CGTATTCGACCCATCTTTAATCCCTACTCCAGCCCGGGTCGCCTCCTTTGTCCCGGATCTGCTTGCCCCGCCACATCAAGACACCCACAGTGAAAGGGAAGAAGAACGCAGTCAAGGCAGCAGAGAGACCAAACGGAGAGGTGATTCCGAGGTTGGTGATCATCGGTTGCACAAAGAACGGACTTGTATAGGAGAACAGGTTGCGGATGAGGTTGAAGACCAAATTCGCCTCGGCGCCCTGGCGAGGGTAACATTCTAGGATGTAGATTTGACTAGCGAAACAATCCTTGTCAGCCTATTTCGTAGCCAGGGTGTTGTAAAAACAGGACAGCATACATAACCGTGGTGGCAATCTCGATGCCGAAGATGTAAACGGCCTGCCCGATCAGAGGAGTGATCCAAACATTTCCGAACTGGATCGACGTGCCGAACATGATCAGGCCGGCCGGCACGGTAATAAGCGCCGGCCAGATCGCCTGTAGGCGGTACTCCGGGCGCCACTCGTGACCCTGCTTCAGGGCCCGCTTAGCGATAAAATCCAGCGATGGTCCCGCATATAACTCGCCGATCAGGGCGCCGATGAGTCCCGAGAAGCCCGACAGCCCGACGTCGAGCACGGAGAAATTGTACTGCGCCTCGAAGATGAGCGGGATCTCGGACGTAATGCCCACGTGCATCATGTAGGCGATGCCAAACCAGAAGGCCGACAGTATCACCGCGGGGAATTTGAAGAGGACAAAAGGGCGCGTCGCGATGAAAAGAAAGCTGTGCTGCTTCTCCTCCGAGCGTTTGGGGATGTGGATCCCGTAGCGGTCCCAGAACGTGGGCTTGGCTGGCGTAGATGTGGAGATGGTTACAGGATGTGCGCGTGTCTCTCGGATGTAGATGGTCTCCGGGAGGAAGAAGATCTGCATGATGAAGCCGGCGGCCATGAAAATCAGGGGGATCCACTGGGAGGCCGGCCAGCCCAGCTTCTCGTTCCCTATGATGGGTCCGCCAATGCTGTCAGGAGGGTCAAGTCAGCTATTGCTTCTCCAGAGGTATGGGATATGTACATTGTCCCCAAGAATGGCGCGATCACAATGGCCAAGGTTGACACACCAATCTTCTTGCCCTTCTCGTGACGGAAGAACTGCGACATGGCATGGTCAGCTCTTTCCGTAGGCTCATCAGAGTAGCAGTAATATCATGGTGCAGGGAGATAATTACAATGTCCCCGATACTCGCAGGCCCCAGTGTCCAGAAGGCCGAACCACCGGCACCGAGAATGACGCGGCCAACCATGCAAGTCGCATATGTCTTGGACGTCGTAACAACGACAGCCCCGACGACGGCGATAATATTACACAGTAGCAGCACCGGGCGACGGCCTATAAAGTGGCTCAGCGGGCTCCAGAACCAAGGCGCCACGGCGTAGAGAGCGACGGGCGTGTTGCCCAGATAGACGGCCGTAGACTTGGAGACGTGCATGGACTTGGCTAGGGGCACTGTCCCCGTGACCAGCGTGGTCACGGCCACGTAACAGACGAGGGCCAAATACGAGATGGTGAACATGGCGGCGTGCTTGCGGAACCAGGACCAGTTGAGCGGGTCGTTAGGGTCGTCGGATGGTTGCGGCATCAGGAGGATGCCGTCGCGCATCTTGAGGTTGGGCTCCACGGAGACGACATGCTCGCACTCCGAGAGATTCTTCTCTGAGTCCTCCACCATGTCGCTACCCGTATCTGATGGGGTCAGCATAACTTTGTCCGCACGGAGGCCTTTTTCGTCCAGGACTGCGAGTGGACTCACCTGGGACGGCTTCTTTCGTCGTGCTCATGGCGAGACGTTGGTTCTTACGTAGGTTCTCGACGGGAGTCCGGCATCAACTTTGGAAGTTTCCCCAGATGCAAGAAACGGGTCCAATTATAGGCAAAAGCAAATCCATCCCCGGCACGTTTCGACCCAGGGACATATTCTCACTTGACAATGGGTATCGGGGAATTAGGCTTCGATTCCGAAGGTATATTAAAGTTGTGGCAGTTAAAAGGTTCGTAAAGTTCGTGGTTGAACCTTGGCTCTTGGCTAGCCGGTCCGCCTCGTGAGTACTGGTCAACCTCGTGGCCTTCACTGGCTGTGGGGCTTCGGCCTTTGCTCGAATACCTTGGCATAGAATAATAGAATAGGACGTGAAATTGTTTTTGTCGGATATTGTCCGAATGGACCCAGGCCCCCCATATTTTCCCCGGTTTAACCCCGGGATTCAAGGAGAAGATGGATCCAGCACCCAGTTCCCCGGGAATGTGCGGGGGAGCCCCAGGGATATCGGATCGTTGGCTCCGCAAAATACAAACAGCTCCGGAGATCCGTCCGAGAGTCCCGCAGCATTGCAGGATGTTGATCTCGCCGCTCAGGGCTAGAATGGAGAAGGGACACAGAGAGATATGAGTGTTTATTAAAGTCTCATCTTGCTTGCAGGCCGTTACTTTCTTCCACGACGGAATCTTACCAGACTTTTTCTGCTTTCTTCCGTCGATATCCTTTTCCTTCTGCCCTTCTCCCACGCCGTCATGGGCTCGCTATGTCTACCGGATACGTCTCTTGCGGCGATTCAGGATAAAGAGACCAAGGCCATCTCTGTCGCCAAACGCTCAACTCCAGTCCCCGTCGGCACTCAAGTCCTTGTCAAGCTACACTACTCCGGTGTCTGCGCAACAGATCTCCATCTGGCCCGCGGCAGCGTCCCCTACCTGCAGCCCAAGGTCTCAGTAGGCGGCCATGAGGGCACGGGGGTGATCGCCAGCCTCGGCCCCGACGTGGACGCCGTGGAGTGGCATGTCGGCGACCGGGTAGCGGTGCGGTGGGTTCACATCGTCTGCGGGAAGTGCGAGGTGTGCACGACCGGCTATGAGAACCTGTGCCCAAGCCGGAAGCTCGCGGGCAAGGACGTCGAGGGTACCTTTGCCGAGTACGCGATCGCGGACAGCGCGTACATGGTCCGCCTGCCGGCTGGGGTGAGCGACGCCGATGCCGCTCCGATACTGTGCGCTGGTGTCACCGTCTACAAGGCGCTCAAGATCGCCAACCTCCGGGCGGGCTCGTGGGTCGCTGTGGCGGGGGCCGGTGGCGGCTTGGGTCATCTGGCTATTCAATATGCACGTGCCATGGGGCTCAAGGTCGTGGCCCTGGATGCTAGGAAACGGGATCTCTGCCTGAGCCTGGGCGCGGCAATGTACATCGACGTGCTCGAGACGGACGACTGCGTGGCCCAGGTTATCAAGGTCACGGATGGGGGAGCTCATGGCGCACTCATCTGTGCCTCGTCCGGCCAGGCCTATGCCGATGCCGTCAAATTCCTGAGACGGACCGGCACCCTGGTGTGTATCGGCCTCCCCCCGAAGCCGACACCGCTCCCCCTGGGCCCCGCGGACTTCGTCGCCCGTGGCATCAAGGTCATGGGCACATCCACGGGTGACCGCCAGGACACAGTGGAGGCCCTCGCCTTTGTTGCCAAGGGCCAGGTAAAACCGCAGCTAACTGAGAGGAGGCTGGAGCATATTGAGGAGATCTTAAAGGAGATCGAGAATGGGACTATGCAGGGTAAATGTGTGATCAGGATAGCCTGACTTTACCCGCCAGAGGCACGTTAGAAGTAGTCTGTGCCATAACTCGCAAATGGGTAGGTAAAGTCAACCCGCAACCCGCCCCATGCGGGTTACGGCACAGCCTAGGCTTAATTTTTATTTAAAAAAGTGGTATCTCCTTTTTAACTAGATTGCTATTCAGCTATGAGCAGGTCTCGTACCAAGTATGGCGTTCCTTTGTTTGTGATAATCAGTCCTATTGAGTGTAGTCCACATTCCTGCTCTATCTAGGCTGTGCCGTAACCCGCAGAAACCCGCACCCGAACCCGCCCCATCCTCCCTATGGGTCGGGTTTTGGGTCAGTCTATCAAACCCGCGCGGGTTTATGGGTTACCCAATGGGTCGTCAAACAGGACAAACATAGAAGTTTATGTAAAAAACTGTACATAAAGGTGGTATATTATATAGAAGATTGGATTTATCCATCCTATTTAGGTATAGTGGCAAAAATTTATGCAAAGATGGGCTAGCGTGGGTAACCCGCACCCGAACCCGCATGGGGCGGGTTGCGGGTTGACTTTACCTATCCATTTGCGGGTTATGGCACAGACTAGCTCTATCCCAGCACTTACCGCGAATTTTCAACTCCGGTTGGATAGCTCGGCTCCAAAGGGAGCTTGTGCAGGCAGTTTTTTGTGTACAAGTACCCACTCCGACCTGCCTCCCTTCGGTGCTACTGGGTCACAGCGCAATGCAGTTTAGGGGCCCGGGATGTGGAAATCTCCCACCACAGCCTAGTGGGTCCGACCCTCGGTTCGCGTACAAGATGATGTACCCACTCGAGGTCGAAGATACATCGAGCTGTTGTGGGCTAGCCATAGCGAAGAGGGACCTCTCATCCGCCTCGTAAGACAGTCAATTTGGTAGCGAGCTGCAGGATGTGGAGAGAACCGTCGAGAGCGGGGAGCAAATTTTCTAGCGCGATACTTTTCTCTCGGCCTAAAATTTTCAAGTTGAGCGCCCTCGTTCCTTCAAAGAGTTGGTTATTGCCATCGATCCTGGATCGACGAAGATTGGTTATCCTCCTCGCCCTCAACCTGTGAAGAAAGGGATCCATATGCCGATCAACACCCATAGAACTCGAGTGATGGCTATAACCCCGCGTTTGCCTGCAGACGACAGCCTCAAAAAATTAAGCTACCATACCTGGCCCAATGGTTAGGCCTAGATGTTATCTTTCCAATGCGAATCAGTGCTCATCTTCCATCTTCATCTACCGCATTCATGGAATTCTGACATGATAGGTGTGGCTTGAAAAAGAGGGCCGCTTCAGATTTGATCACGGGTCTTCATAAGCAGATTCTTGAAAGAAATGGTTCTTCTGACTTGAAGCTATCTCTTGCAAAGACATACGCTTGAGTTGGGAACCGACGACAGCTAATTTATACCAACAGGAATCGAGGAAGGTTGCGTCCAGTTTCCAGCAGCACCGCTATCACGAGTCTGCACGCTGATATCATGATCATCAGATTGATAAAATAGCCACAGTTGGGTCAGCGTCCCTCTAGATCCAGAGGCCATGCTATTCCGACCATCGGGTATTCCTGTTGCGACAGCCATACCAGACGGCATACTGTCGGTCGTGTTATAGACCAGCGTACCGAAATTCCCTCCATCTGCCTGGGATGAGACATTGGCAACGTAGGCCTCTTTCGGGAAGTCTACCGTATTGTTCAACTCCCTAACAACACCCTTTTCATCTCCGTAGTAAAGTAACCGAAGATCGGCAACTCCCGTTACGGACAGTCCACTTGGAGAGTCCAAAGTGGCTCCAGTAAGATCTAAAGAGCGGAGATGATTTGTTAGACAAATGCTAATTGCCGACGGGAAAAAAGATTCTACTCACCATCTCTCCATCCTTCTGAGGTTGAGTTCCCACAACAATCGGGACACACCCTTTCTTTCAGCTCGGATGTTAATTTATCAACGTACCAATACCGCCATACACCATTAAGAGCATGACCAGCAAATCCCGCATAGGTGTCCACATTGGACACCTTCTCTTCATGGGTCCACGTATCTGTATCCGCATTCCAGTACAGAACTGCCAGTTCTTCGCTACCCGCGGGATTATACAGAAGCCAGGCTGCAATCAACCCAACGTCACATGTACCGAAGAAGACAACTGAAATGTCGCTGGGATCTGACGCTGTGACGCTTAGTTGACCCAATGTACCGTTGACCCAAGAGCTACTGCCATGCCGCCCTCGCCTCTCTTGCAACACGTTGTTCTTGTCCGCGTAGAAGATATTATAGTTGAAATTGTCTCCGCTCCAGTATGCTGTAATGGGGCTTCCGGGCCGAGCGTCGTCCGTAATGTACTCCGAGTCATGCCATTGAGAGTAATTATACGCCACTTGACGAAGATCTCCATTTGAGTGTTGATAGAAAACAACATAGTTGGTACCGGAAACAGCTGATGTGGGATTGAATGACAAGGCGAAGATGCCAGTTCCGTTGTACGCCCATGCATCATTGACGGTGTTGTTGGTGGAAGCGCCGCTCGTCGAAGTTGGACTGGTTGCTTTCGTTGTGGAAGTTGCATGCGAAGAGCTAAATAAGAAATCAAAAGTAAGTGCATCCATCTTCTTCTGAATTCTTCAAGACATGGGAAAAATGTAAAAAGAATCGATATCATTTGAATACCTTTGAGATGGCGCATTACGGTTCCTGCTCCCAACAACGCCACCCGCTGTCGCTGCAGCAATAATGATGGCCAGCAAAACGACACCAGCAATTATCATCCATTTTCTCTTCGCAGTGAGTCCTAACGATTGGGGTGGTGAGGCATTGGCAGTATTTGTGGGTGGGCGATTCTGCCCAGCATTCGAAACTGGTAACTTCTCGCTGTCTGGAACAAAGACGACTGGCGTATGACTATCCGAGACTTGCGACGCAACGATCTTTTCAGAGGCTCGGGAGGTATCAAGTTGCGGTGCGCTGTAAGGATCGCGTTCAAGGTAGGCGCTTTCCTGTTTGGAAGATCAGTCAATCGCCCAGCGTCAAAACAGGTGCCTGAAGAATGGCCTGAGTTGGTCTCACCATGACTGGAAGACCCCAGGAAAATGGATTGATTGGTCCAGGGACTCACTGTCAAACAGTGATCAGGAGGCGCCTGGCAAACGGCGAGCGAAGTGTCAGTTGCACAACAGACAAGTGATTGTTGCGGAACAACGAGAGGGAAGGTTAATGCAAATGCCGCCCTTCTGCTAGGCCTGTATGGGTATAGGCACATGACCGCATGTCATTTCCAGTTAAAGTGCTTCGAGGGCCAAGGCGTAGGCTAAACTATGACAATTTGATGCGGCTCGGTAACTCATTACTGAAAACAGAAGGTTGGCCAATCATCTTCGTTTGGCCCCCAAAGATCTGCGAGGATATCTCCTTGGCGGTGTCAAGTCTGAGTCTGAGTTCCAAAATACAGAGCACGTACCTACTCACCCGCCAGCGACATCTACGGGATTGATTTTCTCTACCAGCAAGGCATACTATGCTACCGTACCGGCCAGAAACCTCGCTTACTCGATGTGCACCAGGCAGGCCAAGCCGAACGTGTGGTCAATTTCCACAGTGTGCTCTGGCGCTTGGTGCCGAGTTTGAAGGGCTTTGGTCCCAACCCATCGGTGAAATAAGTCCACTACTGCGACGATGTTCTTGTCTTCCGTGTCTTAGGCAATACAGACATCGAAGGTTCCGTGGACCTTCTCTTTGCCATGGATGTCGCACGTCGACATGGGACCTTCCGGAAAAAGCGGCTACTACTACGAGCGGAGTGCCGCCAGCTGTGCCAATTTTCGTGCGTTGCGACCGATCCTGTATCTAGTATGGCTACTCGACTATTACCAACTCCAACAAGGGGGGCTCCTGGCAGATTTATGCCATCGACCTTCTCTCAAACCAAACAATTGATTACCTCTTAGACCGGAGGTTGAACGGTGATCTAGGGAAGACTATATGTTTCGGGGTGATGTACTTCTCCGTACAGTACAATGGCTTAGACCCGCAGGACTCACGACACGTTTTTGTCCACGTGATATGGGTTGGTGGCGCCTGGGCCAAGGTGAAAGTCAGCCTTGCCGCAGGTCTGGCCAATCCTCGTTCTGAATACGAGAATATATGCCGATGCCAAGAGACCGAGAGTTTCAGGAGCCAAACGTAGATCACCCGTACTCACCCGTACTCACGCAATTCTCACCTCATTCTCACCCCCAAATATGACACACTCACCCTAATTACCCAAGTCGCGCGATGCTAAAGCGGCGCTCAACCCATTCTCACCCGGGCCGCAGCCACCCGGCTACTGTCTGTGTTTTAGCCACATGCCGGTTAGTTAGTAGTATGGTGGGTGACCACATGCGAATTCTGACTGTTGTATGTCCGTGTTCACCCAATTCTTTTTTATTCGTTGGGGAAAAAACTCCCCTGCCACCCACTCTTCAGCCCCTTCTCCTAACCGCCCTGAGCACCACTACTTTGCACCTGAATATCTTGCATGGCCCTGAAGTGCTGATGTGGCCTCCCCTCCTGTGCCTAACTTTTCTTTCTAGTTGCGTCGTTATAGTCAGGACTTTTAGTCCGGTCTTGGCTACGATTTTTAAAGGAAATATCACTCTACACTGCACTGGCATATTTAAAAGGCTTAGTTCATATCCTCTTCTGCTTAGATGTTTTCTTATAAATTCCTGAGACCAATAGATATATACTTATATGTACATATCATCGCCAATATTAAGAATATAGAATCTAGAAAAGGGAAAAGTAAAATAATACCTAAGGGTTTTGAAATTAGATTTGTAATTAGTAACCTGTTACGCAACACACTCGAGGCACTTTATTTTAGGGCTAGGGTCTCTTGTACTTATGACACCTCTTCTAGTTGGATGTAAACTTGTACGAGAAACGGTGCGTGAATGAACTGGTAGGTACCAAGTAGCAATGTATTGATGATTGAATACGAAGAACTGAGTACATGTGGTAAAAACAGTCTTTATATATTTAAACCTTTCTACTCTGGTAGCTACCCCTTAGGGGTAGATCTGGGAGTCACCGTATACCCCTGCATATACACCCGAGGTATATACCTGAGGGTCACGGTCTCGTGCCGCCCTGCGATCCTGACTAACCTGTCGGTCCTCGGGATCTCTATGTTCTTTGTAAAGCGCAAGGTTGTTGCGAACCATATTCAGTCGCAGGGTGCTAGCTTCCTCAGGACACTCAGTGTCTTGTAGATTCCCTTATTTATACCAAACGGTGGCGTACCCTAGGACACCCTGGTCCCGTTGATATGACTGGCCCTAGGCCTCTACGTTCGCAGGGCACTCCGCTCCCGTGCCGTAGCGCATCTTGTGATTGACCTTTTCGAAGGATCGTGGTCTTCCCATGGTGTCGCCGAATTCTTTCATATCGCTTGGGTACAGTGAATTAGCCATGGTTCCAAGAAATATGCCTTTCATGTGACCTGCACGTCAGACTATCGACTGGGCCTCGGCGACTCTGAAGTCAGTGTGACCCCGGTGGATCCGCAATATTTGAGTGTTAATCAGTTGGGCTAAAGTTCTTAATTGATGGATTAGAGATCTCCTTATCTGGTATAGTAGGTGAATATCTGCTATGGATAGACCGATTTGTGGTTATAGCTAACTGGAGGAAATGGGCCTGACTAGATTGGGGCTAGATTAGGTGATTGTTGTTGGCTCTTCTTTTATTTTCCTTTTCCTTCATCTCCTTCGCCTCAATTAATTTTGTTGAAATGGAATTTGTCTTTGAAAATAATTCGTCTCGTCGCAACTGGGGGGTGGGCAAAATTATTGTTAAGTGAAATCAAGGATGTTATCTTTTGAAACAATCAGGGTGGGGGTGAAACCTCTATTCTGCGGACTTGAATCGAGAAACCTAAAATTTATGGCGATTGACATAAGTCTGAACTAATTTTCAATACTTTGATATGAGTCGCGTGCCTAAATAGCGCTTATACGCAAAAAAAATACGATGCGTGTTTGCTCCCTCCCTGTTACGTAAATATTTATATCCGACTAACACCGACAGCGCCTAAAATTCTAATAGCACAGTCTTAAGCATGGAGTCATATTCCGAGTAACTATATTTTATTGACCTGCAATGTTATTGCCTCTCGAATAACGTAGATTGTCAAAGTTTCAGTGTCCTGATTTTCGGGCAAATTCGATATTCAAAGGTCTCGATTTTAAACCGGCTATTAATTACAAGCCCTTTGAAATTCATTGCATTAAACTCTAAAAGCTCATGAAAATTTTCTGTTTTCGAGATTCGAACTCGTAAAAATATGTCTCCTAATGAATCTGTTTCTGAGAAAAATAGTGGGTAACTGATGAGCTTCTGACAAGTGGGTGGATAAAGTGGCAAGAAAAGGTACTGACTGATTATCTTTACATTTGCACAAGGTCTCATTTCCTATGGAAAGTTTCCAGCTGTGATAGATCTGTTGGTGTAAGGCCAATAAATACCCAGAGCGCAGGAATGCGGGTTTCAAATTCATACGGGCCAAGTCTGTCCGCAGCGCCAAAGGGTTATTTATTATTGGTCGGTAGTTGACAGAGGGAACTCTGTCTTACTAATAATTTTTTGGTAAAATAGCTTTCCCGCCCTACCCCCAATCTTTCTTACCCAAGAATTCCAGTTTAATTTTTTTATGCCGGAATGGGTGTCACTTTTCGACCGCTGAATGCCAAAGAGCAAGAGATCCGCCTTCTCACTATTCTTCCGGACAAGCGATTTAGTAGTGATTTACGATGCTCTCTACACACCATGTCCCTCAAGAAACCTGTGAGATTCGAGGCGCTCTCCTACGTATGGGGAGGTACTGAGGCAACAGAGAACGTGTTGCTCGAAGGGCGCCATTTTCGAGTCACTCCTAGTCTCGCCATTGCGCTCCGCTACCTTCGAAAACGATGTCATGAGCGAGTTGTCTGGGCTGATTCCATTTGCATTGATCAAAGAAATGCAGAAGAACGAAACAGTCAAATTCTTTTAATGACACTCGTGTATACAGCAAGTACTCGCGTTATCTCTTTCCTCGGGGAAGCAACCCACGAGATTGAGCGGATGGTATCTTGGACAGAGCGATATATATATAAAAAAGTCAATAAAAGAACGCTTTACTGGTGGAAACTTGACGGCAAAGCTATACTCTCAGCAAAGGCCCGACATGAAAAGAAGCTCAGCCTTATCGAAGCTTACCATGGGACAGTCGAATTATCATCTCGTCCATACTGGACTCGTCTTTGGACTTACCAGGAGTACAATTTGCCTGAAAGCGAACCTATTTGCCTCTGCGGTCATGTTGAATTCAAAGCCTGCACCATCAGCGAGAAAGTACGAGAACATTTAGCTACGAAAGCAATTGCCGTCACTAATCAGTTTTCGCATTCCCAAAGATGCGATGACCAGACAAAGAAACACCTCAAGTCAATGGCGACTCACTTAATCCATAGAGGCAACGTCTTCTGCTTCACAATGCATATAGATGGTCGGAAAGGCCACGACCAAAAGCAAGCCAGACAATTAAGCCAGCTTCTCTGGAGGACACCCAGGCATCAGTGCTCAGATCCAAAGGATAGGATCTATGCATTATACGGAATGAGTCCAGCGGCGCGGGATGTGTATCCGCCTGACTATAATAAGCCCGTGGAGCAAGTGATGAAAGAGGCCACAAAATACATTATCGAACATGAGATTGGATTAATGGCCCTCCATATGTTCTTGGTTCGAGATAACAACACTTCGACCGATATGCTCCCTACATGGGTCCCAGACTTTACTAAAGACCCGGCAAAGAAGGGCAAAGACGGATCACAGTACATTTTTGTGGGAGATGAGGCTATATTAAAATCGGAGGTTGAATATCAACCTTATGTCTCTCCAGACCTATCTACCCTTCATCTATGGGCTCGTCATGCAGGCAATTGCAAAGTTCTTTTCCGTTTCCATGCAACCGTGCCTGGAACCGCTTTGCAAATTATAAGATTCCTTGACGAGGTGTCCAAGACGGTCAATTCAACCGGTTATCAGGAGAGATTCCTTCATGCATTTCTACTCCATGATCCCGAATGTTTGAAACTTGCCCAAGAAGAAGTTCTAACCGCAATTCGCGAAATAGCCGGTCATTGGGATCGTGTTCGGAGAGGCTGGCAAATAGAGCTAGTTTCATCGGTGATTAATGGATTAGAAGGAACATGCGGTAAAACAGTATTTCTCGCTATCAGTTCATTCGGACGGTGCCTCGGAGTGAGTGGTTTAAGGGTGTATGATGGGGACCTAGTCGTTCTGGCCAATACCGCATCACAACCGATGGTACTGCGTGAAAAGGCTGGAAGATATCATGATGGTGAGCAGGTCTATCATCAACTAGTTGGCCCGGCATTTTTGGATGGTGTTGCCGACACGCGGATATCAAATCCGTTTTATGACAATCTCAAATGCAGCCTTATAAAGAATTTCTAGTCCTTTAACACGGGCAATATAGTTACTTTTAAATATGATTCCCATTGTGTAGTAGGCTAGATCCAGTATCCAAAATTCACCCAACTAGGCCAGTGGAATGGTAATATGATACATGCAATATGACTCTATTCAGGGCAATTTGTCCAGAGTGCCGGAGCCATACTTCGGTATAAGTTTAGTATGACAATAAAGGGCGGATAAGAAGACAATAAACATACCATGATATCTAATGATCTAATGCCGAGAGCACATAGCGCATCGTCGTGGAAGAGCATGCAAAATAAAGATACATATGAGCTTGACAAAAGCGACGTGCTATAAATATTTTTCAAAAGTAGCAATAAGATTCTGGTCCTCTAGGCCCATATATCTCTAAATATAATTTACTTTTTCCTATAGATATAGAATAATACCTCAGCAGAATTGAATAAATAGACTACCACTACACTCAATTCTACCAGTTTGCCCCAAGAACATATAAAGGTACAGAGACTGGATCAGAAATAAGTTTGTACCTGTATTAGCAATTCTTTAGAATGAGTAATAAATAATTCTAAGGTAAACTATACTAACCCCAAATTAGGAACACACACTAGCTACAATTTGCCGACATCAAGAAGAATTATGATATATTTGTTATATGGGAAGGTGCCGAGCAGTAATTTTCTTATATTAGAGAATAAATTATCAGCAGGTCACCAGCCAAGCGCATTTAATATAGCGCTTGTTGAGCCCTATCTATATCAGAAAAGTCTGCCGGCGGAACCGGTGTTCAATGTAATAGAGTTTGCTAGGTATATGCCGGTACGGCGATTAAGCGAGCCACATGATCTATTCTATCCCTTCAATCGCAAAGAATTGGCTCAATATCTCGTGCTCTGCTGGCGAACTGCTAGTACACTATATACGATGGCCGGAGCTCTTGGCATGAGACTTCCATGGAAATAACTTTTTGGCGGCTGTATCGTTGACTTCTGGGCCGATAACCGTCGTGGGCATGGAGATTTCTTTGGTGGTTGATAAATGAGCACTATGAAAAGACGTGGAAGATTTTCGTCAAGTCTGAAGACAGAGAGGTTCTGAAGAGAGTGATTGAGATACAAAGGGACGGATCAAATGGAAGACTGTTGGATTCGCGCTAGGAAAGGAAAGAAAAAGGAAGAAAGCTAGTTAATAGAGGGAGCTTATATACCAGAGGCACAGATTTCATATGACCTCGATAAAGCCTTGTCAGGTCACGAGGTTGGAAATAACAGTGATTGGAAACATTAAAAACGGAACGCACAGGTTATACTACTGTTGCCTAACAGCTCGCTTGTTAAGGCGGATATTTTGGAGGGTGGCTTTGAAGCTCCTATGTCTAAAAGTCCACCAATGATGAACATGTTTAGGAAAGATGATTTTTCATTCTACGCAGCCAAGTCAAACCTTGGAACGCTGCAAATTGCGGTCTATGAGTTCTCATTTGCTAAAGCTATGAGGTATAGACTCACAAGAAATAGTTATGATAATTTAATTCCCACGACGATACTTCTGCGGCCTCTTGAATTCAGTCTCAAACTTATTATACGTATAGTTGCTGTCAGTATATTAGATGATGTAAGCTATATGATGCAATGTTAATTGTTTCAAGCCTTACTCTCACAAAATGTCAGCCGAGGAGGTTTTTGCGGGCGCTTGTTCCAGCTGTGATACTAGCGTATATACACAAGGAACATCACTAAGTCTAGGCGCTACAAGGGGTTTATGCTGCGCTGGATGCTTAGCTTCGGGCATGTATCTCGGTAAAAAATATGCAATAGAAGTCAAAGATGCCGGAAGTGGTTCGGGAAGTGGTTCAGCCTCGCTTGATACACGACCAAACCAACAGAAATCGTCACCTGCTCGAGAGAACCGTTCATAGAGTCAGCGATAGCAGGGACGACCTAACAGATCACAAGCCCGATACAACATATGCCTATTGACCGATTAAGTCTGGGCTCTGAACATGTTATCTTTAATTTTGGGTTACTATTGTTCTCTGGGATGTGAGAACAATGAATCTATATGCCCCGGTGGAGATTTCGATATGGAGTTTATTTTGAAGCAGAAGCCATCCGCGATTATCTTCATTCTTGGGACTGCTGCTGCTTTTGCTTTTATTACTCTATGAGACTTTATTCTTATGACTATTAGAATACTGAAAGAGGGGAAATAATAAACCAAAAACATGCATAGCTCTCCCAATTAGGCTTATTTCATAATGAGATATACTTTGAATTGAGACTACTTAACACATGATTAATTATACTGTCAACACAAGTGTTTATGACGACAGCAATGGCAATCCCAGCCAGTAGAGAATTCATCACCAGTCTTGGATACTGAGCCTAAAGTAGATTAGTCTAGAGTAAAGTCGAATCCATTTCCATCCATAATATCTCCAAATTTGGTGTATCTCTTCAATGTGTAGCTTTCAAGACGGGCAGTGGTCGACTATTGTTTTGAAATAATAACACTGACCTGAAACAGATATTTCATATGCATATATTCTTGTACCTCTGGATGATCTTTACAATGAGTTCTCACATCTCTGAATCACTGCAGAGGGATTTAAGTGTCTTTTCACGTTACTGTGAATTGGAGTACTGTTGCTCTGCAAGTTTGATAGCATGATTAATTACTCACTGGACACTCGGATTTTTGTGATATACCTTGAGCATCACAATATTGTCAATATACCCCTGAATTTTAAAAGTAGGTTTAGATCTCGATTGAATATATAAGGTGGTTCTTACAAACTCATCGTGTAAAGAGAATATGTCATTAATACCATATTATGACGACAGCAATAGCAATCCCAGCCAACTCTACTATAGCTATAACTTCCTCACCGAAAAGAACCAAAGTGCGACTAAATTCCCTTACTAATAGCAGTAATAGCAGTAAAACCTTCCGTTTGATTTTAGTGTTGTTATACCCTACGAAGTCCACCGTATAACTATAACCCATATATTTTAATATTGGACCGTGCTCCGTAAGCACGTTGCCTTCCTGCTAGACTGCATCGTGACTATATAGAAAGAAGATAGACAGAATTGTGAATGGAAATTCCCTATATTGTAATTTAACTTCAAACTTTAAAAATGCCATTATCTATCTAGGGTGAATATTTGGATGAAGAATATTTAGGTAGGTAACGGTCCGCCCGGATTGTCCTGAAGAGGGCTGAAGAGAGCGGCGAGCCGCCCACACCCGAACCGTGGGCGCTAGGTGACCACGGTCATACAAATGCTGTTGTATGTTTTTGTTTTTGTTTAGTCTTTCGAAGAAACTGCCATTGTCGTTTAATTCTCAATCCCTTCCTTCGCCTGAACAAAATAATTTTGCACCTGAATTTCCTGCATAGCCCTGAACGCTGAGGTGGCCTTCCCCTCCCGTATTAACCTTTTCTACGTAAATGCGTCATCGTAGTCACAACTGTTTGGTCTAGCCTAAACTGACTTATGTGACTGGTCGCCTTGGTATCCGAAAGATAATAGACTATTACTTTACGTCACCTTTAGGCTGCTTCCTTATCTTCTTCTACTATGACTGTAATAATCCCTGACTTAGGGAGTCTGATAAGTGAAAATTAGTTGAGAGGTTGAGGAAGTAAGGTGAGAAAGTATCACTCGACAGGTCCTGTTGGATCCTATAATCATCTGGCGCTCCTTGGTAGAATAAAAACCCACTAGACCAGAAAAAGACAGAGCCCATTCACTCACCGACCACCGACCACTCCACAGTGTTCGACGCCGGTACGACCACCTTCGGCCGGCCCCCATTATCCTTGGGTTCCGAGATCGGTTCCACCCCCGAGCCAGGGAGCATGACGATGGTCTGGATGTGAGAACTTGAGATTCCCCAATCCCACCAATCCAATGTGTTTCCCTTAAAGTGGTATCGGAGCCTTTCGCCAGGTTTTAGATCATCGGGCAGAAAATCTCCGTCTGCCGTCAGGGTCCAGGAGTCCGACCATGATTCGCCAGGGAAGAGGGTCGGGAATAGGCCATCCGGGTTCTCGGAGACATTTATCAGCTTGTCGGGATTATCCCACATTCCAAATCTACAGCCGTAGCCCTGGAACGACTCCCATTCGTCCTCTGTCTCTAGGCTGGATTGATCAAGACAGCGACGGCGATAGACACGAAACTCGCTATCTACTGGATTGAATGCATAGGTGTGGAAGGTGATTGGTCGGGGGTTTTGGTCGTTTGTTGTTGTATTGTTGTTCTCTGGGAGACCGTGGTAAACGACTCTGATAGAGATCTCCAGACTCCCCGTCATGGTCATCATTGGGCTACAGCTTAGCTCAATGCTAAGGACTGGTGCCCCTGGGCTATTGTAACTATTAGTAGAGGAATGCCTGCTATCACAAACAACGCACTCACATTCTCTCACTCGCCTGGATAGGTGGTGGCGTCTTAGGCTGCGGAATAGATGGCCGCTCCCCATTTTCCACCGAAAACGTGATATGTGCACCACCTGGAACCAGGACCGGTGGCCACTTAGGCTTATTTCCCACGTCTGGCTGCGTGCCCCAACCCCAATATTCAATTTCTCCTCCAGTCCAGAGAAGATCATAGGTATGCTCTGGCTGTAAAAGCTTTTCCCAGGTATCGGGAAATGACAACCTGTGGGTGACTTTATAGCAGTCGTGGCAATTCTTGGCCTCCGCCGTATAGAACGAAGGCGGATCTTCTGGAAACTGCTGTATCCTCGAGCTCAGTGCATATCTAAAATTCTCCTCAACGCCGATTCTCTAGAGACTGCTGCTCCCTGGATCATGGCGCAGGAGGATAAAATCCCCCCTGCCGGGGTCGATTAGAGGGGACCAGCGCAGCCAGCATGGTTGATTAATATCTTGTTTGGTATCGCTCTCTTTCTGATTGTTGAAATCATCATCTGGTTCACCACTTAGAACCCTCCGAAGAGTAACCAAGACAGAATAATTTTCGTTCCGCGACTCCGTCCAGATGGTTGAGCTGCCACTCAGCTCCAGAATCAAGCGTGGGGTGTCGGGTCTGTCATATGCTTATTAGCGGTCTTCTTTTGCTCTCTTTTGTTTTTCAGGACTGGATTAATGAACATACAGCCTGTTAATCTCTTTCCATTTGATGTATGAATCCATGATTGTTCTTGATCTTTAACAGTGATAAGAATGTCCCTTTACCTTGATAAATTGCTGTCTTATCACTAGCTATAAGCACTTTTTTTTTTTAGAATATTTGAGACAATGCTGGACAAGTTGGAGGGCGCTGTAGTCTGAAGCGTTGTAAAACTAACTAGCACGCCAGCCTTAACGGCCTTTTCAGAAGAGACGCGTATATCAAGACGAAGCACCCCTCGTACCAGTTAGACATACGTGGTGGGCAGAAAAGGAATGAGACAGACTGAAGAATTTACTGTATTGTAGCGGTATGCCGGAGGGAAGAAGGGAACGAGTTGGAGAAGCGCTAATCAAATATAAGGAGGCTGGTCACCTGACTCTAATAGGTGCATGCATGGTAGGACGCCCGATTGGAAGGGGTCTGCTTCATGCCATGCCATGCGTCAAAAGTGGGGAAAGATAACCAATATTGAGATGTTGCAGAGAAAAATACAGGTAATGCGGAAGTGGAAATACTGCCACCCGTAGCTAATCAAAACATCGAAAAAGGGACCTCCTCTCCAACTCGCATCTCCCTTCTCCTACTTTATCGAATCATGAGGGGTGGCGCGCCCCCTTTACCACCTCGACCACCGGCGTGTCACACTGCATCAGCGACCGATGCCGTTCCCAATGCCATAGTGATGGATGAGGGGAGACCCAGTGACTCTTTATACAGCCTGTCTCTGCCCCGCCCCGAAGCGACCTGGAAGCGGCGATTGTTACTTATTTACATCCATGGTTTTATGGGCTCTGAAGCCAGTTTCAACGACTTCCCGGCACATGTTCATCACTTGTTGACCGCTGTGCTCAGCGAGTCATATGTCGTATACACTCGTATCTACCCTCGTTACAAGTCCCGCGGCGAAATACAGACAGCCGTTGATCAGTTCAGTAACTGGTATGTGACAACTCCAGTAGCCAGGCAGTGCTACTATTTTCGCTTTTCGTTCGCTGGTCAAGTAGAGATAGCCAAGGAAAGACACTGACCACTGACGGCAGGCTATCCCCGCACGAGGCCGATGACCTTGACGTCATTTTGCTGGGACATAGTCTTGGTGGTATTCTAGCTGCAGACGTTGCGCTTATGCAAGGTCACGGCATCCCAGATATAAAGCCAAAACATCGCATACTGGGGCTCATTAACTTCGATGTTCCATTATTGGGCCTTCACCCTCGAGTCATTCCCACCGGGATCGGCAGCCTGTTTCAAAAGAAGGGTAACAAAGTTGAAGCTAGTGTAGCCGAATCGCTAGATTCCTTATCATTGGACACAAATTCTCTCGTTAACCATCCGAATTTCGACCCTCCATTCAAAAATGATGTGCGATTGGTCAAACGTGACACCGTGGACAGCATCATGCACTTCTTCAACAAAAATACGGATCGTCTCTCCCAATCTCTCGTTGATCTCCTATTTTCACCTGTCAAATTCGCAAGCTGCGTGAATGAATATCCCACTATGCGTATGCGTTATCGCCGCTTGATAGAGCTGGGATCCGGTAAGCCTGGCCACAGAGGAAGTCAATTTGTCAACTATTATACCGCAAGCACCGGTCGGAAATCACAAAAATCAAAGACCAAGCCTGCAACGAAATCTATCGATGAGGAGATCCCAGAGGAGGTACTCGAGGATGCGGAAAGAACGAATGATACGATAGAAAGCAAGGGTTTTCAAGAATTAGACGAGATCACCCAGACTTCATGTGCGACATGTGAGAACTCGGGAGAATCTCCCAAGACAGAATCCACTCTGATCGAAGGACCAGAGATCAAGACAGACGAACACCCGTCCAGTGATGATTTACCCATAGTAGATACACATCCTATTGCATCCGACGCTCCTCAAGCGGTTCAATCGGTTGACATTGAGGTTGAGACCCAACTTAAAGGAACACAAAGTCTCACATCTTCGATCTCCGTCGATAAAATGGAGACAACAAGCCTCTCAGATGATGCATCTAGCATGACATCCGCAGGCGCTTTGACAGCAGATACACCCCCTGAGAAGCTGCGCAAGTTTATTTTGCTGCCCTCTCATCACTGGCGGAGTGCGGATAATTCCTTGTGGGTACCGCTAGTGATGGAGGATATGGATGAAGTGGTAGCTCATCAGTCTATCTTCCTCGCGCATGGTAAACACTACGATCGACTAGTCGGAGAAACTGTGACCCAGATTGAGCAGTGGGTGCAGAACGACTTGACCCTTCGGGCACTTTCTTGAGTTGTCAAGAAATCTGTCCGTATAGTGGTGGCAGGATCGTTCCGATTGCTCTTTATATGCATCGAAGACTTTGTATACTCCATTGTTTGCTTTCATTCAGCCAAATTCATAGCGTCCAACTCTCCATCTTCCCTTGGAGTGTCAACAGCTTTCGAGCAAACTCCAGTGTGGCATAGGCCAATGGCCTTCGACATCGGCTGGTCACAATGTTTTTCAACTCTAAAGTGAAGGCATTGGTGACAGTGGTGCCTTTCGCAGTCAGGGTTGGTGTGACAGCCAGTATTATGCCAGACCATATCAGCCCGCTTCGTAAGATTTTCGTCCAGATGATAGGTTACCAACCAATCACCGGCGGGCTCATGCTCAGTCAGTTTGAGCTTAGGGTTGTGCCTATTTATTATTCCTGCAAACAGCACCCTGGCGCAAGGGGGATCAGATAGGAATGCCGTTTCTCCAGTCGCAGCGTTTATAATTTCTGCCGTAGCTGAAACCTCGTCGACTGAAGTTGCGACAGTAGAAACATTGAAAAAGAATTTCCCATAATATACCGACCGGATACACTAATTACAAGGTTCCTATCCCCGTTCTTAATTCTAGAAGCCATTGAGAAGATGTGCAATAAGCTCAGGTGTGTGTGGAAAACACTTTATACAGGATTTCGCAGACTGGGAAATGTGACTAAGATTGGTGGATTAGTGAAAAGTATTCGAGTTTGACGTCCATCACATTGAGTCTCTTTGCATGGTGCTTATAAAGAGATAAACTGTATGGTGTAATCCGGATTGGACACATTCGATGTAAAGAGGAGATATGATTAGGTTATATAAGAGTATGGTGAATGATCTGGATAGTAGAATGATAAGAGTATTGGCTCTGAGAATAAGTGTTCTTAAATATCATAATTCAACCTTTGGATAGCTGAGTTTTGATCACCTACTTACTCTCTCTCTGGTATTCTGCCCTCAAGTGCTTCCTTTGATCCTTCGCACCTTCCTTCTACAAAACTCTCTTGTTGATTTACGTAGCAACATGCGTCATTGAATTGTACCACACACAGATAACCGAGCTCTTTCATCCAGGAAATCTCATCCTACAGCCAACTCACGAAGCACCTCTATCCCTCCCATCACTCTACAGAGTTTGATCTCATTTGCGCATTCACTTGACAAATACCGAACTCACGAAAGAACGCATTGGCAAGATGGACAGCTCAGGTTGGATGTACAAAGATAGTGAGGACATCAACTCAGACCACTCGCCATCTGGAGTCGACCCATTTGTTGCTGCGACCGACGCCGAACCCATAAACACGCAACTCCTGAACCTTGACAACGACATGCAGTTCTTGGAATCAGCCATGCGGAAGCTGGAGTTTCAGAGACCTGAAAAAGACGCACAGCAACTCCAGGATCTCGATACTGAAGACGCCAGGGGGAGCATCACACATGCGCAGCGGTATGAAGCACCGGGCCATCCGAATTACGGTGAAGATAACATGCGCCTCAGAGAAATTGATAAACTCTCTCACGGAATGACAGCGCTCATCCTCCAGCTACAGGAGAAGGGGGCCCTCTCGATGGAGGAAACCAATTTACTCGGTAACATGCACTTCACGAAACAGGAACTGTGGAAACTGGCCAAACGGTCTTGGATCCTAGGGGAAAAGCTATTCCAACTCTATCGGCGGATTGAGGATTCAAAAGGGGAAGATGGTTACTATACACCTGGGCTGACTATTTCGGTTCGAGAGGATGAACAGCTGCGACACGAAATTTCGGGCCTGAAACTCGCGTTGAATATGCACATTGATAGTCTGGAAAGCACTCGTACAAGGCAGTTTGAAATTTTGAACACCGGAAACGCACTTCTCGGGGGCCATGACAGCTTTTAGCTCATCGATGACAGCGTTTTGCTTGATATTCCAGGGAAGGATTGAATGCGAAAGAAGAGTTATCGTTACCTCGGTCGTTGATTAAACATGCAGCTTTTGTATTGAGGACTATAGGAATTAAATTTTCCGTCTTCTCACATTTTCTTCCTCTATCTTCTCTGCACACCACGCCCAAGACGCGACTATCGATAACAACCTATATAATGGGACCAATTTGAACCCAACCACATCATGGATATCGTAGCCGTACCATATGATTTATATCGTGACCATGGACTCCGATTGGTCTTTGATAGCTTAATGGCTCATACAAAATCCATGCTTTTAAATCTGGGACATCTCAATGAAGCATACATGATCAGGAACACACGCAATGGGTGAACTCGAGGGGACTCTTCGGAATTGAAAGCTATGACGTGGTCGGGGAGGCAACGAAGTCCAGATCACCACTCGCTCCACCCTAGCCAAAAATCCACTGCCTTTCATCTCACCCTGCTGCAGAGTCTGGCACCATGTTGGCGAGCTCGTAGGACATGAAAACGGCGGACCGAATCCTATTTGCTGATTTTGTGCTATCGAAGTGTTCATGTGGATGCCCATGGAGAATTTATGCCCAGGCAGCGAAATGAATGATGATTGGGCGCCACATTGATCTCATTGAGCAATACTTTCACTTTCTTACCTGAACTCCACATCCGGATATCAACATTATGCCCAATCAGGTTAGACAGGCTATGGACCCGGTGACGCTAGTGCATTTTGCGTTAGTCAATATCCACCTGTCAGACCGTTTCGGCCGCGCCGAAACGTGGCACGGCTGCGCTATTGAATGAACTAATTAAGCGATGTTCTGAGCTGAGAATGGGGACAAACACCAGTGGTGGCTGAGCTGATTCAATAGTTCGTTTCCCAACACATTATCTCGTCTATTGTTGTCTTCCTTACTTTCGTGCTTTAAGTTCAACGTCCTACCACTTTGTGGGTTCCATCTTCCAAGATCCACTCGTTGTATTGATTACGATAATGGACGTGCAATCCAAAATCATCCCCACTCCGGGCAGTCATCCCGACGTGAAGTCCGATGCCCGCCGCGTTTTCGAAGTACTCCAATCAGGAGGGGTGGCTCTCGTTCCAACAGAAGTCGGCTACGGTCTCATGGTATCATCCACCGAAGCCATCCAAAAAGCGTTCACCGCAAAGAAGCGTCGTCCAGGCCATGCACAAGGGGTCATGGGATCATACAACTTGCACCGGGAGCTACATGTTCTCTCAGACGAGAAATTGGAGATGATCCGCGTCCTGCATCAGGATCTCGACATGTCATTTGGGATAGTTGCACCGTTCCGATCAGAGCATCCTATCCTTCAACAGCTGACTCCCGCCACCATGGCGAATACCATCAAAGACAACACTCTGGGAATCTACGTCGGTGGGAGCTCGCTTTTGAAAGAGCTGGGTCGATTGAATGATGAGGCAGGGCAGTTGATGCTTGGTTCAAGTGCCAATCTTACAGGGACGGGCCAGAAGTTCAGAGTAGAAGATGTCGATGCCGAGATCAAGGAGGCTGCTGATATCATTGTGGACTATGGGCTACAGCGATACCATGTGTATGGAGGACGCCCCTCAACCATCATCGACTTTGAGAATATGAAGGTTCTCAGAGTGGGCTCTTCGTATGAGCTATTGAGGGAACGTATGAAGAAATACTGGGGAGTGGAATTGCCTGAGGATCCGGTGTTCGACAAAGCGGAATTGAAAGAGGTAGAGCAGAAAAAGGAAGACACGCAAGGGAGTCAAGGGAAAGATAAAGCAGCGAATGATGGGCTGGCCAATATCGAAAAGAAACAGAAATCTCGGCGAAGATTTGCAGTGAGGACGCTGATAGATTGGATATCATAAACGTTGAACCTATACATCTTAGCACTTGAGTGGACCGAAGAAACAAAATTGATCATTTGCTCTGCGAAAATGCTACAGGTTTCCCATCCTCAAATTAATTGTCATGGCCAGCTTGAAATACATTCAATGTCCGACCGCGGAGTAATTCAGTTAAGATGCCGGCGTTTTCAACCTGCTCTAAACCGAGTACTGCTTTCTCAATCGCTTCTCTCCGATCTTGGCTAATAACATCCTTTGTGATGTGCCGCCATTTCTCGAGGATGTCATCGTTAGACAAAGGAATCTTGTTTCCACGTGGCGCGGCGACAAACTCGGTCAATGTCTTTGTTTCTCCTGTTTGATCCTCCCCATCGCGTAGTTCCACATGGACACGTTGCTGCCAGATCGCATCTACACTAACATCGAATGCTGCATCATGCACACATTGAATCTTATCCATGAGTGCCCACACGTCGTCTCTCTCCAACTGCGCCGGTGCGAACTGAGCGGGTTGCACCTCTCCTTCCAAGAGCTGCATGGCAGCTGCATATATGCAGCTCATCTGTGCGCCAGTAACAGTCATGGGTCTCTTCGGCTTCCAGCCACCTTTCTTGAAAGCTGGCTCCGAAAGATCAACGGTGATCTTACGTATTCGATGTGCCACAAAATCTTTGGGATACTTATCTTGCAGCGCCCTCATGCAGTCAATCGTGCCATGAGTCGCAGCCATAGAAGCATAAGGTTTGACAACAATCTGATCAATCTCCCAAGTAGAGCCGAGCCCCTCAACCACTCTCTCAGGCCGATATGCAGGATCCCTTCCATTTCCTAGACTGAACGTACTCAGGAACCCGCCATACGGACGCTCCAGGACCTTTTTGATACCCATGTACTCGCTACGCGCCATAAATGCCGCGAAGAGACCATTGCGAGCGGCAAATCCATGCTGCATCCGCTTCACAGTGCTCTCGTATTGAGCCGACATCAGCCCACCTGCCTGGGTACAGGCAATACCAATAGCATCTTCAATCATGGGCGCGGGAAGCTGTAAAAGTTTCGTTGCTGCAGCTGCAGAGGCAGCGGGCCCGAAGATGGCTCCGGAATGCCATCCGCGAGATAGGACCTCGATCCCGTAGACACCGAGGCCAACCCGTGGACCGGTCTCATAGCCTACAATGGCAGCGAGGAGAAACTGTGCACCTGTCATTGGTGTGGAATCTACCGCACCGCAGTGCTCGAGTGTAGCCAACAATGTCGGGAGGACGATGGCGTTTGAGTGGATCGGAGCTTCTCGATGGTAATCATCCAATTCAAATCCTTGAATAAATGTGCTGTTGAGAAGGGCTGCTGCCAATAATCCAATTTTCTGTTCATTTGTAACTTGTTTTTAGTTGATTCGGGAACTCTGGTGTGGGGTGATTGCTTACCTTTTCCCATCCAATGATGCTACAATTGCCCCCAGATTCAATCGAAAGAACACCTTTCACGGCATCCTCGGACCAGGGAAGATGTGCCCCAATAAGTGCGCAGGCAAGCCCATCAAGAATCAAATATTTGCATCTCGTGACTTTCTCCGGTGGAATGTCGGAAAGAGACAGGCTGTAGATCCAGTCACAGAGCTCTTGGGTGACTGGTGGAGGGGAATCAGTCATTTTCAAAGATAAAAGAATTTAAATATCCTAGACGGTCGACAGAGGTTGCACCAATGTAGGAGTTTACCAACGAAAGACTTTCAGCCCAAGGATGGTTTTTATGTCGGGTAATATTGCCCAACGTGCATGAGTGGGTATAGTCCGCCCCATTTGAAAATCCAGTCAGCCTCACGTGAATAAATAAATGTACTATGACGCTTTCTTTCATTTATCAAGTCGGATTAGTGCAGATTACAGTCCATTCGGTGCGCGATTTATATGTTTAAATACACATCGGAAAATATGCTATGGGACTGCTACCTGTGATAGAACGGTACTTGTTGATCAGAAACTAGAATAAAATCATGAATCAGAAGCGGATTTAAGCATCTGTGAATATAATATCCATTTATGAACAGAGGATCATTGATTTCGCACAAACAACTCCATGAACTCCCTCACAGGCATCTGATCGCGATCAGCAGCTGCAATAATTCTGTCGGCTTCTGCCTGATCAAACATTAGGCTCATATTCTGGCGGAACTTTTCCATCACTCGTCCCAAGGTTTCTTGTCTCTTGTGATGGCCAACGGGGAACTCGACGATAACCTCGTCAAGAATTTCCCCATTGTTTAACTCCACCGTGATAGCATTAGCAACGCTTCGAATATCGGGATTATAGTAATCCGCCGTGAATCCCTTATCCTCGATAACAGTCATCCTTTCCCGAAGCGCTTCAACACGGCGATCGAAAGCCCAGGGAGAATGATCCAGATAATCAGTAGTCTCGACAGCCGAGCCCTTGAGCAAAGTAACAGCAATCATGTATTGTAGAGAGTGATCGCGATCAGCATTATTCCGCAGAGGACCTGTCTTATCAATAATGGTCACGGCAGGTTTCTGAGTACGAATTCGGATGGCCCTGATATCCCGCTCAGCCACCAGCTCACGAACTTGGAGCATAGCAGAGATCTCAACGGCTGCCTCGACGGCCGAGATACCATGTCCCTCCGCGGTAATGACCTTGAAGAGCACGGTTTCCATCACTCGAGTACCGTAAGGGTAGGCCTGGGTGACTTCCTTGCCACCATATAGAACTGAACTGAATCCCCACTTTGGCGCAGTGAGAGCAGATGGAATTCCTACTGCGGCACGCCCATTCCAGGTCGAGTTACTCGGATCGAGGTGGCCGCCACGTTTGGTAAGAAATGCTAGATGCACGGCTCGCATACAAGCATCGCCACCCGCCCACCCCTTGCGGGGGCCTGCATTGGGCGCCTGTCGATATGTTCGGAGTGGATGGCCGTCAATCCAGGCATGTGACACGGCGGCCAGAGCAGCTGACTCCGGGAGACCTAGTAGCCAAGCGACTACGGCCGTTGAGGCGACCTTGACTAGAATGACATGGTCTAGACCGTGTTCATTGAACGCGTTGCGTTGTTGAAGAACGCCTTGGATCTCGTAGGCTTTAATCTGCGCCTCCAGAATTGTGCGCACAGTCGGTCTGATTTTTTGATACTAATTTTAGTGGTGTCCATGAGTAGGTAGAGCAGAATTGATAGGGAACTCACCCTGATTGTCCTTCGACGCGTTGCTGAGATAACCAATCCGCCACACTGAGAATTGCGCCAAGGTTGTCGGACGGGTGACCCCATTCCGCACCAGCATACGCATCATTGTGGTCGAGGTATCTGATCAAAGCACCTATGTCGAATGCGCCTTTCAGAGGATCGACAACGTATGCAGTTCCTGGGATACGGACTCCTCCAGGCGCAACAACTCCCGGAACGACTGGGCCAATGAGATCTTTGCAGTCTGAACTGAAGTGTAGAGTTTCTATGGCACATCCTAGCGCATCCAAGAGGGCAACTCGGGCTCTTTGGTAAACGCCTTCATCCGTAATTTGTCCATTGTAGACATAGTCCACAATTTCTTGAATGATGGGATCATAATCTGTGTGTTTGGTGGCCATCGTATTTTCTCGCTTCGATCGAAGGTTGGATGGAGGTAGACAAAGATCAAGGATCTAGATAAATGTTCCAAAGTTTTGGTTCTCTGTTCGTTGTGTCACAATGTGTTGTCCGCTGTGTACTCTGTACTGTTCTCTGTGGCTGAACTGTGGGGCCTTGGTGGCGCTGAGGTCGGCTATTTGTTCCTAGTAATGTTGATGTTGTGAACTACTCCGCCACAGACTCAGCTGCGTCTGTGATCTCGCGTCTACCAATGGTCGGCTAATATATCCTCCCTGGAGCAACTCAGTGGGGCTGTACTATGAACAGAAATAACACGCTAGGGAAAGTCGGAATGGCAATCCAAGCCTCATGTTTTCAGCATGAAGAGACGGTGAAGCGCATGTGGAGCTGAAACTTGAGCAAAAGGGGGCTAAGCTGAGTATTTCTTGCATCAAGTTTTTTTCATGATACATAATCTTGACCATACTTTATCTATTTCAATTCTGTGTCTCTGAGTATTCTACCAGCGAGCAGAATGTCTGATCTGATTCTGAACGACGCTACATATTGCGAGACGCAATTGGCGGACAAACTCACGGTGACTGATAGCCGCACTTCTATTTCATACGAAATTCCCATCGTCAACAATGCAGTAAAAGCCACTGATTTTAGGGGCATATCGGCGATTGGGCCGGCTGCAAGCCCTCTTGATCGTTATGCCGCAGGGCTGAAGATTATAGATCCTGGGTTTCAGAACACTGCTGTCGCGCATTCCTCAATTACGTACATGTCAGTACCTCCTCTACTTTACACTTGTTTGATCGATCCTGAATACTGACACTTTCGAAAAGAGATGGTGTGAAAGGAACGATTCAGTACCGAGGTTATATGCTTGATGACTTGTTGGAAAAACACGACTTTGAAGATGTATCTTTCTTGCTTGTTTGGGGTCATTTACCGTCAAGGGAGGAGAAACTGAAGTTTCGTGCCAACTTGTCCGCGAAAGCAGATCCGCCCCAATCGGTGATCGATACGATAAAATCTTTCCCGTAAGACTTTTCAATAATCGTTTGACTATGGTAACTAACCCCCTGTTCTTGTTCGTCAGACGCAACACCCCATACCACTTGATGTTTGTGGCAGGATTATCGGCTTGGGCTGCTACAGACCCAACCATGATTCCTATTTACATGGGAAAAGAGCTTTATTTGGGGAAGATGCATGCCGTTGATGAAGGTGTAATCCGAACCATTGCTGCCTCTATCAGTGTGATTGCTCTGATATACTGCCATTATCAAGAGAAGCAGATATGCCCTTCTGACCCAGATGCATCCCTGGCGGAGAATATTCTGCTGATGATGGGCCTCGTTGATGAGACCTCCAAGCGGCCCGACCCAAAGATGGTGCGAATTCTAAATAGCCTCTGGATTGTGTACGCCGATCATGAGATGACGAACTCGACTGCTGCAAGCCTTCATGTCGGGTCCGGCCTAGCAGATCCTTTCAGCTGCGTCAGCGCTGCTGCATGTGCCCTCTCCGGCCCCTTACACGGCGGAGCCATTGATCTTGCATACAAAACCTTCGAGCGCATTGGGAGCAAAGATAATGTGCCACAAGCAATAGCAGATGTCAAAGCACACAAATTTCGGCTGTCAGGATATGGACATCGTATCTACAAGACAGTTGACCCTCGCGTTAAACACCTGAAGAACGCACTCGATGAACTGTCTGACAATGTTCAAGCCAATGCACACCTTTCAGTAGCGCTGGAGATTGATCGAATTGCGTCGCAGGATCCTTATTTCATATCTCGGAATCTGAATACAAATGCAGACCTTTACGGGTGCTTTGTGTTTTCCGCCATGTAAGTGTCCGTTCTTTCCCTGGCCAAAGAGCACAGGCTGATGTGAAGTTGCCCGTGAATAGGGGTTTCAAACCGGAGATCATTACAGCTTTGATGCTAGCGGGCCGAGTCAATGGAATTCTAGCACATTGGCGTGAGCAAATGGGTAAGTGACACTCCTTGAAATATTCATCTTGAGATTTGGGGGCTTTTGATACAAACTTTAATAAAAGGAAACCCTGCTACTCTCTGGCGACCTCTTCAAATATTTAACGGACCAAAGGCAAAGTTGTGAATTGGATTGGGCTAGATAAGTGATCAATAAAATGGTGGCTTGGGTACACCGTGGAAATTCTGGACATACTTTCGAAACCTCTACCTGACTTTTCTTTTCCCTGTTTTCGTTCCATTTCTCTTTCATTATTTTCGATTGGTTGTCTATAATTCCGGAGTACTTCGACTATTTGACTAATACGGTATTAAAGACGTCAGCTACCCATACAAGAACCACATCCATATAACAGTATGTGATATTTCGGTATGGTAGAAGAGAGTTGAGAAATGCAAGGTCCTGGTTCAAAGCCCTATGAATTATATACACTAGGCCTACGCCTAAAAGGGACGAGAGCGCTGCTCAGGGTCATATGATCCTGGAGCTTGCTCTCCAACAAGAATGAAAATAAGGGTATTGGTATGGAGGTAGCCATACTGTGTGAGAAATTTCCAAATTATACGCAATATGGGAGAAGAGGGATACAAAAGATGCTTGTAACATGTAAACTGGATGAAAGCCAAATATAGTCCGTCACTCATGGTAGGACCGGGGGAATTCCTCCCGTCTTTGGGGTTTTCGCAAACCGTAGGTTAAGGGGAGCAGCCAAAGTATGAGCCAGATTTGTCTAATGACTAAGCTCATAGGGACCATGAGCGTCACTAATCGGACCTTCCGATTCTCTGGCCGAGACTTGTGGACCATGAGTAGTGCTCGTTTGGTCCGAGGTGCGTTTTTCATAATAGCCTGCAAAACCTGGGTCGTAATCCAGTTCAAGTCGGGTATCACGCCTGCTGCCAGCAATCTCCACAGGTATACCCCCTTGCTGGACGGTATGAACGTTGGAACGTTGTTGAGGTGACAGGTCGTCCGAAAGTTTGGCTTGTCGCCGGCGACGAATCCAAAACCAAGCTACCAGAACAATGATTCCAATAGCAGCGCACGCACAGCCAATTCCAATACCTGCCTTGGCACCAGTAGAGAGGCTAGAGGTAGAATTTGCACTGGCAGTAGACGCACTGGCAGTAGACGCACTGTCAGTAGACGAGCTTGAAGAGTTTTTGTCAGAATTATTGGTAGCAACACTGGAGGGGAGAGCCGTCCAGTAGGATGCCCAAGTATCTTCCCAGCTGTTATCAGTCCCATCAATAGTCGTCGTAGTGGGCTCGATGTTGACAACGTTCTTGATGAAATTATCATCTGGCCCTGGCGCCTGAGATAAAAACCAATATTTCTGCGACCAATGTACACCATAAAATGCCGCTTGAAGAAAAGCTCTGCCCAGGACCAGGTTGCCATCGGTGGGCATGAGAGGAAAATATGGAGTGTCAACTTCCACTAGGGGAGGCGAGAGAGTGAGATTTAGAAGAGCGAAGGGAACTTTGATAGTGATCTCTTCCGTGTTGACGTCGTCTTTGACAAAGGTGAAGGCCAAATAGCTGGGAGATGTGATGATCTTGGAGTAGTTCTCGTTGTTTGTGTCCCAAGTGTAGAGACCGAGGGCGGAGTGGTAAGAGACAGGTAGATTGGCAGTAATGGCATCACATGTACTCTGAGGCATATAGATGTAAGGGTTTGTTGCATCAATTGCAACATTTATCCCAGATGATAAAGAGGAATTGGACTTTGCCATCAAGCCTGTAATGTTGGAGGATCCCCAAATGGAGCCACCACTCGCAACACCGATGCTGATGTCAAGCATTTCGATTGGCAGCTCCCCACTGTCAATGGGCTGCGTAGAAACATCCCCAAGCACTCGGTTCTTATCATAGCCTCCCAGATACAGAGACCCAGGGATTTCGAACTTTGGGGCGCCGATATGCATTCCATAAGAATAGGATGGAACAACACCGTGTTCATACACCCAGCTAGTGATAAAGGTACCGTTGATGGATGGTCCGCTGGTCTGAGAAAATGACTGGTTGATATCTGGACTCCCTAGCGCAAGAACACCCACTTCCAAGGGGTAATTACCCCCACCGGGGTAAGTTTGATACCCTTGCTCAATGGCAATCAGGTTTGAATCGGATGTGCCTGTGCCTTCAAGATCTATGGAATCAAGAGCCCGATAGGCATAAGCATTGAGAGACACTGCATCCGTATACCCCCACTCCAAGTTTGACCAGACACGATCAGGTCCATAGGCAATAGATTCACCGTCCCAAGTGTCTGAATCTTCCGGGTTATAAAGTCCGGCAATGTCTCCGTAGCAGTAGGATGAGATAGTTGTGTTGTCGCAAAGCGTGTTTAGAAGAACGTAGGTAGTCCAGGACGATCCTGGATACATGGCTAGTTCTGTGGCGTTACCGCCCATTTTGATCTTGACAGCATGCCAAGGGCCATCAGATCCAAATGTTGAGTCAGACCAGGTCATGCCCCAAGGATCTAGGGCGGAGGCATGATTAAAGAACAGCCACCCAAGGCAGATGATCGGACGGAAGGGCAGAATTTTCATTTCTGAGAAGAAGTAAGTATGTATTTAGTATCAACCGATAGGTAGTAAATTTCAAGATGTGTGAAAACGTGAATAGAAGCCAATACGAAGTGAGAGATTGAATGGAACCTACTGTGACACAAAAAGATGCCCAAGACACAGGAGGGAAAGGATGTGAGAAAACAAGTCGAGGCACGATTCAGGTGCACGCGGATCCACAGTCGGAAATGGAGATCTTCTCGCAATCTCAAGTGTCCCACGGACGATAGGCGATAGAAAAAGGGCTCAACTTTGGGAATATTAAAAACCGAGTCAAGAAAATCTTGCGGTGGCTTCCATACGGCTGAGTTTCAAGCAGATAGATTGGAGTCGGGAACTGCAAAGTGCGGTGGATGGAAATTGAATTAATGGAAAAGCGAAGCCTTGTTCGAGTTGACTAAGAGATGGGAGAATTCCCTACGACAAAGGCACCAAAGGCTGAATCTGGTTAAGTCGGATGGACCTGTATTGGCACACTAATGGTAGTATGGAATAGCAAGGGCCTCAGCGCCAAATAACCTGCTAGTCAGTTACTCCTGATTCGAGTCCTTTCATTAATTTGAATCCTTCCTCCGTATTTCTGATCAATTCCTTGATTATATTTGATAAAGGACCCAATGTGGACCCTGCCTGTTCTCATCCCGTCCGTGCATCAATAACGAGTATTTTCATTATCTTAGTATACTCCGTAAACTGAGCTCGGATTGTCTTCTCATTCAGTATAATGCTCCTTCTATCGATCAATGAAGATAATGTGCACGTCTACGGAGTGAGAAAACTCGATAGCATGCATTTTGATGGATGATAGGCACTTTTGCACGGACCCTAGTCAGCCTTACTCTTTGTTATGGTGACCGTGAATGCTATTTTGATGTCGGCAACAAAGAAGTTGCCCCCTACTCCTTAGTCGAAATTGTCGATCCAACAACTCCAACTCCACGGCAATCCACATAGGTGGAGATTGATTGGTTGTTTCGAATAGGGTTCTTGCCGCTATCCTTCCGCTGATCTCACCGATCTGAACCAATCTCCTACCATAGGCCTTCCCGTCCCGATCCACTTTGTTTACGGGCAGTTTTATTGGTTTGCTGACCCACATTAGCACCAGCGCCAGTTGTGATCCTTCGCGGAGTTTGCCGTTTGTAGGTTCTGGCCTGTGGACACACAGCTATCCTGAGCGAGAATTTGTGGGGCGCTAACATCGCCGCCACCAATCGAACGTCTAAGAGCCTCACTACTCGTGGGGGCCAACGCCATGAGACTAATGTGCTCTCGTTCGACCCCTGCGCCAATTTCCCCCACTCGGAATTTGATCTCTTTTCACTTTGTCTTAGTCCACAACCGTAGCTAATCTGTGTTCATTCCCTCGCAACACAAGCGGGTATACCAAGCAAAGACAGCCGACCGGCATTTTCGCACGGTGACTAAACCAGACCATATGGACAACTAAGTGAGTCCCATATGGTTTGGAATGACTTGGAATATGACTAACAGGAAACCCCAAAGCCATGGAATCCAGCATTACCTACCTCGCCACCGCCATTACCGCAATTGCAACAGAGTACTCAAGAAAGAAATTAAAATGGAGCTTTGACATTCGCGTTGAGTGCTTGTCCTGGGCTATCCTGTATCTTGGGCTTAAATTGCGACCCAAAGTATTGAAACTGCCACCTGCGGAATCGGACGAGCGACTGTTGTCGCGAGAACAAAAGTCCAAGTTGGATTGGATGGTATGGAGCACCTCGATTTTCATCGCGGTCGCACGCGTACTAGCGGTGCATTATGATACAGCGCTAGCTATGGTATACTCCTCTACCTCGTTGACTCTTGGTGAATGCAGGCTAATTTCATGCAGCCACTGGCAGTGGTTTTCACATCCTTTGCATTGTTCTATCGAGATTCACAATCGGCTAGTCTACCAGCGCCTGGGATTTATAACGGAGTACCACGACCAAAGTCACAATTCCGATCCTCTATAAACCTATCAATCCTCGTGTTACTGGGAATCTCATCCCTCTTCCTTTCTTTCCATCTTCCACATGGCTCTCCAGTCTTGGGTCTGGTTATCTTTGTTTTGGCGAGATCATCAGGATTTGTCTTGCTTAATACATGCAAGGATGATAGCCAACAGCTATCAGTTCCCCCGATGGTAGAGGCAATTGTTCTCCGAGTATCTTTAATTCTCATAGGGGCCCTGCTGGTTATCCCTCCATCCTTCATGTTAACATGGCCGATGGTACTGCAGGCTTTCTGCACTGCAGCAGGCCTGGCAGCTACCGTTTATCTGGTTTGTTTTTGCCGTCCTTCCCAACGAGTGACTGTATGAAGATAGTGTTGAGCTAACGTCCTATCATTATTCATTCATAAGGTATTATCTGGTCACACGTTCGCAGCAATTACCATCGATGCCTACTCTACAGCGGCCATCCAAAGCCTTCTGTCGGGAACAATTCAAGAGTCTTTCATCATGCCCCTGATCTCAGTCCTATCATTGGTGTTCGGAGTAAGCCATCTTCCTCCATCGGTGCTACGGCGAAAGATCTTAGCCATGATGATCATCCCAATGTTGCCAATTTTCACCGGGCACTCATCATTATGGCACATAGAGGCGATCAAAGAAGCGACTCGAGCACAGATCAGCTCAGATCCATCTATACATCCGATCCGTCATCTTGCTGCAAAAGCCGATGTCGAATTTAATGCAATGGTCAACAGGCAATCTCGAACACTGGACGCCTGTTGCGCGGAGTACGAACGCCGGTACGGACGCAAGCCCCCGCTACATTTTGATAAGTGGTTCCAAGCAGCCCAAGATCAAGATTTCCTGTTGACAGACGAGTTTGATTCCATGATGGCAGCTATGGAGCCGTTGTGGGGTGTGGCTCCGTCTGATATTCGAGCGCGTCTAGAAAACGTAATCGCTGCAAGCCAAGGGGAAGGCATGTATCGCTTTACGGTCTCCCAGGTCACAAAGCCCACATTTACCAATCCAGCAAACTGGATGGGGTCAACATTTAGCTACTGGTTTGAACCAGAGATCCTTGAAACCTTGCCTGATATGACTCTTGCGATGAATACTATGGATGAACCTAAAGTCGTGGTCCCCTACGATATGCTGTCTCACGTCATGGATGCTGCTCGAAATCCGCGCGAGGGCCCTCCGTTACCTGGGAAATTCCCCAGTCTTGCTCAACATGTTGACTTTCTGAACATCGGGAGGCAGAATACTTGGGATGCATTATCGGTATCTTGCCCCCCTGACAGTGTAGTACGGGACTATTCTTTGGAGACCAACCGCTCTCCTTTCTTAACTGATATGGGCTTTCTTTCCAACTTGACTTTGAGCAAGGATGTTTGTCAGTTCCCTGAACTTCATGATATGCACGCTGGCCTTCGTCACCCGGCATCAATGACGATTACCCATTCACTGGTCCCGGTCTTTTCGCAGGCAAAAGCGACTTGCTTTAACGATTTGCTGTACCCAAGTCCGTTTTATGCCGAAAAACTGCGATCGGGAGAGTACAAGGAAAAGTACGATGTGAGCTGGGACGAAAAAGAGAACATTGTTTACTGGACCGGGTCGAATACGGGAGGCTGGTCCACAACCGAGAATTGGAGGTCTTTACAGCGACAGCGCTTGGTGTTGATGGCCATGGACGAAAGCCACCCTATTAGCTTGCTTAATCGGACCCAGCGACCGGATGGTAAAAACTCGGAATGGGTATCCATTAATTCCACCATTGCAGCCATCTCAAACTCCACCCGGGTGCGGATCTCGGCCGCCATTCAATGCGATGATAATGCATGCAGGGAACAGAGCGATGAGTTTAAAATCAAAGCTGGCAACAGAGACGACATCACCGATGGTTATACGGCACGGTACAATCTCGACATAGATGGAAATGGTCTCAGTGGGCGCTTCTACCGCCTTCTAATGTCTAAGTCGGCTGTTCTGAAGCAAACTCTTTACCAAGAGTGGCATGATGACTGGCTGATTCCATGGGTGCACTACATACCGATCAGCATGGATCTCCGAGATTTCCCCGAAATTGTTCGCTATTTGACCCAAGAGCCAGAGGGACAAGCTCTGGGCCGGAAGGTTGCTCAAAACAGTTACGACTGGTCACGCCGTGTACTTCGTAGTGAAGACATGAGGCTGGTTTGGTGGCGACTAATGTTAGAGTATGGAAGACTTGTCAACGATGATCGAGAGCAAATGGGGTACGAGAACAACCCGATCATCTAAGCTCGAAGCAAAGAACACTTATGTATATAGAAGAAGCCACATGTAAACTTACTGTAATTTTGTTGATAAAGCACCAAAAATTCCATCAGAAAACTGGTTCATACCTAAAATTTTTTGTTTGCAAAGTAAAAGAGTCCGATACCAACTATAAGCACTTTGTACAGTTCTTGACCTTTGGCTTTCATGGATGAAGCCTTGGGCGCCAATGAAATCTCGGCAATTGGAGAAAGGAATATGGCCCCCAAGGGCCGCATGATCCTTAGCGAAGGTGTCATCTAATTAACAAACTAGAGTTTCAGCCTAGCGCTGTAAGTAGGGAAAATCAGCATGCGGGCGAGGAAGGACACGTCAGCTCAGGGACGTGCATGGATTTCGGGTGGAGAATTAGGGTTCAAGTCGTTCAGGGCTAAAGGGGCTAAACAGTAGCTAAGGGCCTCGATCTCAGGGTGGTATCAGTTTATCTGTCGTGGCGTAGAATAAGGACGTTCTCTCCCTTTTGACAGCCTGAGATTGGGTATAACTTATAGATTACGGAAACTGTATCGGTCATGTTGCTTCAGATGCTCATTTGTGGTCGGCATGATTCGCCTTACTGTATTCGGCTCAGCCGCAAGCTATTCAACGCATTGTTGCTATAAAATGAAGGCACTCCGAAATGGAACGCTTTTCTTTAAAAGGATTTGATTCAAACGTAGCCTGTGGTAGATTGGTAAAGTGGAGACATCTTTTGTTCTCGGGGTCAGGCATCGTTGATAGAGAGCCCATTACGCCTAAGGCAAGTCGGTGGTCACAAGTACAACGTCGCATCAGCCGCTGAAAATTGAACTTCTTTACTCATCAACTCATATCTTCCAAGCAAGTCTTCCTTCAGACTTCCTAGGGCTTTTTTAGAAGAACTGAGACATGGATGCTACTCAGCTATAGATAATAGTTTGTACTTATCCGCGCCGGTGGAATGGACATAGCCTCGACGCGATAGCAGGCATCAGCGCTTTTTGAAACAAAATTAGTCGCGACGAAAAAAAGGGAACTACTAAATTCACTGCTGCTTTTAATGATTTTAAGTGACTTGTACGGAGTATCTATCGCGCTGGTACTTCCTACCCTGCACCGTTCTCGGACTTCAAACTTTTCAACCCCCAAGCGTATCCAAATTTAGAGATGGGGCGTTTGAATTAGGGTATGTCCATAAAATATAGCAATTGTTTGGTGTATACCCAGCATTAATATTAAATGTTTTACATTACTCAGTTTCCCTCTCTCGCCTCCGCCTGCATTTATAACTATATTTCGTCCATTTTGAATCCTCTGCTAGACTCACCTCCGCATACATGGTCTTCTTTCGTCTGCTTCAAGTCTTTTGAGATATCACTAATAGGAACTGTAATGCTTTGGAGGCTCTTCTAAATGACTTTGAGTCTGACTTTGAGGATTTTGAGGACTTTTACATTCCCGAGGACAACGCTAAATTAATTAAGATCCTGGGGGTGATAAATAAGTGCAATCGAAATTCCGAACCCGCCCCTGAGTCTTCCGTCGAATCTCCCTCCAACACTTGAGTCCAGGCTGTTTGTTTACGAAATTGCCTAGTATCATACTCAAACTCCATTAAGACTGCCGAGTAAGGTTCAATTCAAACTGAGAGCCAGAAGCGGATTATTGAGTAGAAGGATAGTCCTAAGAAACTGAGAAGTCTACATGAACGGGCTGGTCGCAAGGTAGTGAAGAAGTAGGTAGAGATATCTAGGGACAGTAAGGTTGGATAATATAGCGTTGAAATGCGATGAAAAAGAGTTCATAACATTTGATTTATTATGTTACTTAGCATATTAGCTATAAATCATTTAATTTCCATGGTCTTCAGCGGGTAAAATGATATTTTAAGTGTAGAAAAAAGTATGGTGTAGAAGTAACGGCAGAATAAATACAAGTCACTTAATTTCAGGCGAGGGAAGTGAATTCAGCAGGTCCCAAAGTAAATCGCAACAGTTAAATTCTTATCTGCCCACTTAAGTCCATGCAGCGGTGCGACACATCCATCTTAAGATCAAAACCGGACAGACTTTTCATATCAGGGGACATGTTATACTTAGATAATGAAGGTTGTGTCGCAGAAGAATCTTTCTTACGGGAGAAACATTTTATTATCTACAATCTCGCAACCGAATTTGGATGATCACGGTCTTTCCTGGAACGATGGAGTCAGGTTAGCTCGTATGGTGGTGCCAAGCCGTCATCAATGCCAGAAGCCCACATTGGTATCGAGCAGCCCTGTCATCCTTAGTCAGCTACCATTACCCACACAAGATCCACACCAATCCCTTTGACTAATCACAACCCGCGAAATCCTGACTCCTTTTAAGTGATTTACTGCTCCTAAATCATACCTTGTCAATTTATGAGTGTAAGTCTATGGCGGCTTTCACTTAGCTCTCAGATGACAGGCATGGGGGGCTCACCACTTGATTCAATTCTCCGACGGGCGATTCGGGATTCCAGCTACGCAATCACCCACTGAAATATCTTTACCTAGTAAGTGCGTCATAAAGAGATTTCATAGATAACAATTGAAATATAATATATTCGAAACCTTTCATTCCACCAGTTTAGGCGCCGTCGGAGGATTCCAATTTAGGGTTAGCCGCCGGAATTTCGAAAGTGTTCTCACTGAAGGGCAGGTTTGCATCAAGCTAATCTGATAATGACCACCTTGACATGATTGATAAGTGCACGATGTCGAGTGAATAATGCCTAGGCTCGTGATAAAATTTCCGAATACATTTCAAAGCTGGATTGCTCACTCGTGCCATGAGCAGGTGGTCCACACTTTGTTAGTGGGTCCCCACTTCGGGCCCTATGTGTCTTTCTTCGAAACCGCCACCCATTTAAACTAAAAGTGAATGTGAATTCTAGAAAGTCGTTATCCCCTGGATGAAAAATTTCCACCAATGATCGTGTTATATTATGCCACTACCTCTCTCTAGGGGCCGCTTACTGATGAGTTTATTATGCTCCACCAAACTAGTAGAGCTTGAAAGTGAAATGAAATCCACAAATCCCGATAATAGGAACGAAGCCGACGATGTCATTGGGGGAAATAGCTGTTCCCTGTATCCACCAGAGTTCCGCAATTTCTCATGCAAGATGGTCCCTGATCCAGTTCGTTGACAACGACTGACCCCTAGGAGTATAAAATGGCACCCTCGCCGTGTTGTTTGAAGGCTCATCAACCACATTCTTTTATTTTCTTTGTTCTTTTACTTGTCATTCATTATTTACACCATGGTTCTTGGTCTTAAGCTCGCTTTGGTTGGCCTGCTCGGTGCTGGCGCCGTTCACGCCGCCCCGGCTGCCACTCGTGCATCGGAAATTGAGCAGCGCTCTTCCACTTGCACTTTCTCTGGCTCTAAAGGTGCCGCCTCCGCCATCAAGGCTAAGACTTCTTGCTCGACTATCATTCTTTCCTCCGTCGCTGTTCCAGCCGGAACTACCCTTGATCTGACTGGTCTGACTAAGGGAACTACGGTAAGAAGTCCAATCCGACCGGCGGCAGCATTTGAACCCCCACTGATCTATTGTACAGGTCATCTTTGAGGGTGAGACCACCTTCGGTTACGAGGAGTGGACTGGTCCCCTGATCTCGGTTTCTGGAACCGACATCACCGTTAAGGGAGCTTCCGGGGCCGTCCTCAACGGCGATGGTTCCCGCTGGTGGGACGGAGAGGGTTCTAACGGTGGCAAGACCAAGCCTAAGTTTTTCTACGCCCACAGTATGATCAACTCAGTCATTGAGGACATCTACATCGAGAATTCCCCTGTCCAGGTCTTCAGCATCAATGATGCCAGCGATCTCACTTTGACCGGCATCACTGTCAACAATGCTGATGGTGATGACAATGGTGGCCACAACACTGATGCTTTCGACATTGGTAGCAGCACTGGCGTCTACATCACCAATCCCACCGTCCACAACCAGGATGATTGCTTGGCCATCAACTCTGGCTCGGTGAGTAATACAAGATTTTGTGGACTTCTGAGAGCTGCCATTTACTAACATAATTACTCCTAGGACATCTCCTTCACAGGAGCTTCTTGCACCGGAGGACACGGAATCTCTATCGGCTCTGTTGGTGGACGTTCCGACAACACCGTTGAGAATGTCACCATTGAGAACTGCAGCATCACGAACTCCCAGAACGGTATGTTAAAACATCGCTTCAAGTATTTTAATCATCCCAGCTAATGCGCAATTGGCAAAGGTGTTCGCATCAAGACTGTCTACGGTGCGACCGGGTCCGTGAAGGACGTCACCTACAAGGACATCACCCTTTCCGGAATCTCCGACTATGGTATTGTGGTTGAGCAGGACTACAAGAACGGCAGCCCCACCGGTACTCCCACTAGCGGTGTTCCCATCACTGGCCTTACCTTGAGCAATGTTAAGGGAACTGTTGACAGCAGCGCGACTGATATCTACGTTCTGTGCGCCTCCGGTGCCTGCTCTGATTGGACCTGGAGCAGCGTCAGTGTCTCCGGTGGCAAGACCAGCAGCAAGTGCAAGAACGTTCCCAGCAGCGCCAGCTGCTAGAAAGTTTGCATTTGAGCTAGTATATTGGCCAAGGCCTTTATGTACTTATAGTTTATTCTTTGCATTTACTTTTGCAAAGCCCCCCAAAGGGTTGATGTTGATTGTTTTGGACATCGACCTTGAAAATAATAATATCCTATTTTGTGCTGCAATATTTAAAATTGTTCCAGAATAATATTTTTCAATTAGCATAGCTGCTACCAACTCTCCAAAGGCATAAAACGGTACCTGATAATGACCCGCCAATGGCACAGGGGGCACGCTAGCATCGCAGACGCGAAGATTCTTCAACAATCATCATTTCGTATTTTCCGACCGAAGAAAATGTCCTAGCGTGGAGGGCACCTTAGTAACACGCATTGGTGAGGCTTAACCACATTCCTTTCCTTCTTTTCTTACACTTCGTGTATACAGTAGCTAACAAGTTAGGCTTCCATATGATCTAAACTCTTTCGCTCTTTCTCAGCGCCACTTTCGGGAAATAGTCTACTATGTAATTAGCTCATTATTCAGTATTTTACATATCTTCTGTGACGGGTGTGCTCCATACACAGTACAGAATTTTTTCTATAGATATCTCTCGTTCCAGGAAGTTCGCGGCAAATAAGCCAAACTCGAGACATTTTGAGAACCACGTCAAACCCTATGCTAGGGCCCATGATAGAGCTCCCAGAAACGGTCATTCTCTGTACCAATTATGGTAAACCATAACAATGGTCCCTGGAGGAGTAGAAGCCAGTGGTGGTTGCTGATGTCGCCGAGGCAAGTAAGTAAGAAGAGCTTGCAGACATATACTGGGGGTTCCTAGCGAGAGATAGTGGCATACACAGCCATTGGTGAACCCCACCAGACACTCACACAGCTAATGCCCATGCCAATGAATAAAGATCTACGTGATCGTCGAATTTCTAATACATATTATCAGCTCGCATATTTCACGCCCCTTGGGTTATCCAAGGATGCCACCCTAAGGAATGGGTGCCATGGTCCCCAAGCGATCAACTCGGGAATAGACGCTAAGCGTGGGATCTGGTGTCCTATCAACTCTCGCGCTGTACGGCTCTATCATATTTTCACATCTATGTTGTGGCCACCACATTCCCAGGTATCATGGAGGAGATGTATGGTTTGTGAAAAGCTGTACCAAATAGGTTTGGTCTACCCGAATATCGTATGCCGTGAAGCATCATTGGCGCCTTCACGCTGCCCCTTGCCGTGGTACTTTATGATTGGTGCGCCGAGTATAGACTACCTTTGCCCCTTCTTCTATTCTATGTCACTTGAATTCGTCTGTTCGCCTATTGTTACCTTCTTCCTGTGTATGCTACAAGAATCGCAAATTCTAGTCCTCTCGTTGCAATGGAAAATGCAAAGAGCCCGAGCAGCTTTGAACCCTCTGGTGTGGAGACACACGTGAAAGGGCCAATATTACAGTTTTCGCTCAGCCCTTTGGTGAAGACTCCAAAGGAGGCCACAGGAAAGAATTTGGAGCCAGCCAAAACTAAAGAAGTTAAATATCTCACCGGGACCAAGCTTGTCATGGTGATAAGTGCAGTGACTCTGGTTAACTTCCTTGTTTCACTTGATATTACGATCATCGTGACAGTGCGTCCTCTTTCTATATGGTGTTATGAGCTCCCTTTGATGTGACTTGCAGGCAATCCCATCAATCACTACGCATTTTCACTCCCTTGACGACATCGGGTGGTATGGTAGCGCGTATCAAATTACCGGGTATGTCGGATTTTTAAAACATTTGCGGCATACAAAGTACTAACATCTAGCTCAGAGCTTGTGTGCAGCCTCTGAGTGGCAGAATCTACACGAACTTCAGTTCGAAAGTACTTGGAATCTTCAACTTTCTCCTGTGAACTCGAGAATTTTCATCTAACTCAATTTGCAGTGGACATACCTCGGCTTCTTTTTCGTCTTCGAGTTGGGTTCACTTCTTTGTGCTCTAGCTACTTCTTCTAAGATGCTTATCATTGCTCGAGCCGTTGCTGGAATCGGGTCTGCGGGCTTGACAAATGGGACTTTGACCATTGCTACATCTTCTGTCCCCTTACATAAGTCACCTCGTGCACAATCCTTCCTTAATGCTGATGAATCTTGCTAACAATTTTATCAGCGCTGATCGGGGCCATTATGGGCTGTAAGTACTACCATCTTTAGGCATCTCGAAATAATAATTAATATTGGTCTATCAGTCTCCCAACTTGGAGCTGTTCTTGGTCCCCTTCTGGGAGGTGCATTTACCGAATACGTGACATGGAGATGGTGTAAGCTCCTGGGAGACTAGTCTGGGACATAAAGTATGAGTTGACCGTAGTCTCTAACTAGGCTTTTATATCAACCTCCCGGTCGGTGCCATCGTGGCGTTGCTTTTGGTGTCTACCGAAATTCCCGATGAAAATGCCAAGATGAAAGACGACGTTTTTTCCATCATTTTCCACAAGCTCGACCTCATCGGATTCGTTTTCTTTACTCCAGCAGCCGTTCAGCTTCTCCTTGCAATTGAGTACGGGACAAACCAATACGACTGGAGCAATATGACCGTTATCGGACTCTTCTGTGGTTCTGGCGCTACATTCATTGTCTTCATTTTCTGGGAGCATCGCCAGGGTGACCTTGCTATGATTCCTCTTCCGATAATCTCCAGGCGCATAGTTTGGGCAAGCTGCCTGGTGATTATGTGTAATGTTGGAATAACTCTTGTTGCCTCTTTTTACCTTCCCATCTATTTTCAAGCTGTCAATAATGACTCTCCCACGATGAGCGGAGTCTGTATTCTGCCTGCTGTTCTGGCACATTTAATTTTCGCAGTGCTATCCGGGGTTTTAAGTAAGTTGATTCCTTTTACACCTCTACCTATTCTATGCTTCTACCTGCGTTCCACGATTTTGCTTATACTCATGATACTTCTAGTTGGGAAGCTCGGGTATTATCTTCCGTGGGGTGTTTTCTGCGGTGTGGTTGCTTCCATCGGCAACGGCTTAATCTCGACCTGGGCTCCAGATACGCCGACTGGGAAATTGGTGGGATATCAGATACTGTTGGGAGCTGGGCGTGGAGCCGGTTATCAAGTGGTAAGTATCCTGAGATTTTCGGCTATAAAACTTGCTAATCCGGATATGGGAAAATAGCCCATCATTGCGATTCAAAATGCGCTCCCGCCCAGCCAAGTTTCTATCGCCATAGCAATTCTCATATGTTCTCAGAGACTATTCGGTGCATTATGCCTCACATTCGCGCACGTGATTTTCTCGAGCGGACTAAAGAATTTGGTCCCTAAGTATGCGCCTAATGTGAATCCTACGACAGTAATCAAGGCCGGAGCGGCCGGTATTCGAGATGTGGTATCGAGTCAGGATCTGGCTGGCGTGGTTAAAGCTTACGCGGATAGTATTGATCGTGTTTTCTATATGGTAGCTGCACTCGGGGTTTTTTATTTGGCGTTTTGTTCAGGGATGGAGTGGAAGGATGTTCGAAAGAAAACACCTTCTGCGGAACATGTTTAGAGATGAGTGCTTTTGGTCAAACAACAGAAAACCTGTGATATACACACTTTATGCCGATCTTGACTATATCCTAGGTATTTGCTTATATAATTAAAGAATGCTTCGATCATCATCACTCAAGATTAGACTGTTTCGATGGCTTTTCATGTATGAATTCTTCATCCCACCTTGAACGCTTTGGAAGCCGCTCTGCTGAACGGCTCTAAGTATTGCTCTCTCCCTACGTACGGAAATTTTCCAAGTAGGAAACTTCATCATCTTCTTCTAATTGTATTTTAATACCCGTGATCTTCTGTAGTGACTTTTAGCCTTGGTTTTACCAAGCACATTATTCAGTTACCGGCTCTCTCCCTAGGTAAGTAGATCGGCGCTTTAGAGTAATCAAGAGCGGCGCCGGTGTCCATGTTGAGACAAGAAGATAACTCACCATTTCATCATAATGTAGAGGATTAGGATAAGTACTGTAAGGGTAGAGATTGAGGCGGTAAGTTAGATCTTCAATTGACTGCTTAAGGCTACTAATGCTACTAAGTTATGAGCTGGTGGAAACTTGGGCGGTGAGGAGCCGAACTAATCTTCGGATAGGTTCCTGAGCCTCAGGCATTGATTAACCCTGGGCTAGGGGACTTTTACCGCCAACATTCCACACCCATCAGAAGGGATCTTGAGAAGGGAAGACGATAGCGGAATGCCTTGCTTGCAGCGAACTTTTTGTAAGGAGAGGTGTTTATAGAACAGATTCTATGCAGTGTTCATGGTATAGTCCTGTCAAAGACGATACGTGAAATACTGAATAACGGGCTAAGCTCATAATATACAAGTTCCCGAAAGTAGCGCCATGAAAGAGCAAAAGAGTGCAAATCTTGTAGAAGCCAAACTTGTCAGCTACTGTACACGCACTCACTTCCTTTTGTCCATATCGTACTCTTTTACAGCTGTTTGGTCTATTTGCTTTTTTGAATTGAGTCCCACGAGCTCGTTCGACTGCGAGCGCGTCTTCCCCCCTGTCTTTTTCCTTTGTTCGCTTTGACGAGTCAAAAAGCTTACTTTAGTGTGGTCTACAGCACATTTTTGTTTTCACTCACGCCCACTATCCAGCAGGCATCCGCAAATACTGCTTACAGATTCAAACAAAGTATACTCAGTTGCACCTAGAGTCTCGGTTCTACTTCTTCAGAGGACTTACTTGCCCCGAACAACGCCTTCAAAGCCGCACGTGGAGCCTGGCTGTCACGTTTGCTTTCCTTGCTTGGAACTTTCTCAACGCATGCAACTTTGGCCTCTCTTTTTCACCAGTCATACCTTTCCTCTGATAACACTTCTATGTAGAGCACGCTGCTGTTGGGATACTCATTACGAATTACATGTCAAATCGATCCATCAACATGGCTCCCGATTCTTGTGGTGATAAGTCCCAAACCCCAAGTCACACCTTACGGACACACGATTGGGACTGGGTGACTGTGCGGAAACACCCGCTGCGAGATTTTGAAACTGTGGGGAGTTCTCATAATTTGTTCATGAGTCGTTTGGATGAGTTTCAAGAGGTAGTGTGCAACCAAAAATGTCTCGTGCTCCAGAAGCCCCAAAACAAGCAAAACATGTGTGGTAGTCTTGCAAACGATCTCTTACGCCAAAGTCTTCAGCGAAAGGGCCCTCGTGTCATCGGGGGAGGTGAAAAGGATCAAAGCTCCACATTTCCTGATTGGATCAAAACGGTCCAGTGCCTGAAAGCCGGCTTGTTCAAGTCCTGCAAAGATGACAGTGGGATTAATGTGTATCGAGCCGATTTGAATGGTCGCCAGGTTGAGATTTCAGAGGCGGAAAAGCAAGTTTTGCACACCTTCTCTATGGGAAACTTCATTGTTCCCTCAATTGAAGACCAACGGATGGAGCTGGAGGCCAGGCGAACAGTATTAGGGTCTTCTGAACAATTGGTTCACCAACTAAGAGGTAAAAAATTTCAACTTACAGTTCTCTATGAGTTATCCACTTGCTGATTTCAATAGACGGACTTTCCAAACTGCTTGACTTCAACGAGGCTCTCAAGCAAAGTTGCAACGATCTTGAGCTTGACTTGCAAGAGGAAACTGAGCGATCTCAATTGAGAAACTACTCAATGTCGCAACCACCCCAGGAAACGCGTCATCAAAGCCCTACTGCCCATAGCGATATCGCGAATCTCACACGCGAAGCATCTGAAAGGCAAGTCCAGCAACCCAGTGATGTGGCTACCGGGATTGCAGACCGAGAGACCCCTTTCCAGTCAGAGACTATGGAAGATGGTCCACCATCCTCGAGGCTAGCCGAGCATGTGGATGATGATTTTTCGACGTCAAGCCAAACAAGCCAAGATGATTCTATGAATTCAGAGCAAGAGAGCTTGCGGGACTCAGAGATAAAGATGGAGGACAGCCGACATTCTACCCCGCGACTAGCCATAAACGGGGATGAGAGTGCCCCGATCCCAATTCGAGGCAGTCAAGATGATCCCATGCGTTCAGACTTACGCCCCACATGTGAGGCTTCGAATATGATGTCTTCGAGCGCCACCGACAATCCCATTACCCCGATATCGAAGGATTTATCTCCTTCATTCTCAACGATGCAAAAGCCAATAGCCAGGACTGCGAAGGAGAAAATCCAGGGACCGCCTTTCCTTGTGAGTCTTGTGTCGCAAGGCTTGGACTGGGAAGAAATCCGGGAACAATACGCCCGCGAATTTGGAATCTGGCGCACCCCTGGATCCTTGAAATATCATCACAGTATCCATAAGCACGACGTCAAACTAATGGTACTCAGGATCCCGCCCGTGCAGCTGCGCGAGATCTCGCTCCGGACACCCGCTCTGGGCCCGTGATCGCATTCAGTCTACACAGCATTACAGACTACTGGAATATCATAAGGCTTGTCGCTCAGGTACTTCTTTTGTTCCTTTGGATTATGATGGCCCGTGTAAATCGATTATGACTAATTTTAATGTATTATTGGCCTCATTGTCTGCATCCGATGTTTATAGCAAATAAACTGTATCGTATTCATCATAATTTATCGGGTCTCGATTGACCTCCACCTCATACTTTGCACAAGCGAGGGACAGCAAAACTAAATTAAAGCCGCGGATAGGATGGTATTCACCCAACGAATTGGATAAGAAGGAAACCAAAAAAAATAGGAGATTTAGTATTCCCGCATTATCAATTGATACTTTGAAGTTACAGCTATAGTTCTGCCACGAGTCAAAAGCAAATTCTTGATGTCCAAATCTGGCAAGATCAGAGGCTCAATTAACTAACTATATAATGTTGAAATTGATATCAACAATATGTAGTTTCCGGCAGCACAGATATTCCAGTACCCGAATCACCAGAGGTTTTCATTCTGATACTGACAATGTTGCGAAGATCTCATGTAAACAGACTTGATCTAGATCCTGCAATTTGCTTAATCGAATTTTGGGTCTACCAAGAATAGCTTAAATTGGTTACTATATATCGACCAATAAGAAGGGCTGATGAGTTTCCACTTTGAAGTCACGGCACTGGGTGACATGTTTCCATGTCACGTACTTAGTAGTAGCGATTCGAGAAATAATCGACAGACCAGATCATCGAGAACGTCACATTTATATATGTATTCTCCTGTGGATATGTCGTGGACTCCAAGCTACAGCGATCAACCCAGCCAGATACAACCATGTGGGTGAGGCAATTCTCATGCTACAAATCTCAGCCGAGACTTTGTCATAATCGACAAGTCACTGTAACAGGCGGACTTCGAAAGGCTTGTCTTCAGCGGATAAGGAAACTGGATCGTTTGTCTTGAATGAGGAGGGTGAGATCACTGGCCTTTTGTTTGATGGGATGCAGCACCAGTGGGCGTACACCGGTGTGGCGATGAACATGAATGATGCTATTCGCTCCATGAGACTGAAGCTCGGAGAATCGGTCAGGCCAGCTTTACGCTTCCTAAATAACTTGCTATCACCTTTTTTTCACTTTCTTTTTCTCTCTCTTCCACTCTCTCCCTGTTCCATGTTTCTTGAATTCTTCGCCCACCCAAAATTCAAGATATTTCTAAACTGCCTTCACCAGAAGATTCAATGGATACGTCAGTGTTACTCAGCTTTTGTCAACAGATCTTCAGACCGATAAACCCAATTCAACCTCAACCCCACGACGCATACCCCGCGACAGCCCTCCGTTATACCAATCTGCCGATAACCCTTGTGACCCTGCCGGATATACTCTCACGACGAACACATCAACAGCGAATGTGTAAGAGCTGCCTCTTTCACATACATCATGTTATCAAGTTGATTCCCAACTTTTATCAATAATAGTCTGTCTTCGCCACCATTGCGAGTCATCGGACTTCCAATCTCGCTGACAGCCCTTCCACTAGCGATGAGGACGATACGCCAGGTGCATGGGTAATGTTTTTCACGACGCCACCATTCAAGATCCCAATGGCAGCGAAATAATGGGATCTCTGCGGGAGCATTCTGAGTCACCAGTTGAAGAAGACACCCATTCGAGGAGAGCCAATCATCCAGGTTGGTCAGCGTGCGGATTTGTATGCGATACTGTTGTATGCTCCCATTAATGGCAAACTGGCAAATTTGGAAGCGCTTGTTATGCAAATCATTCGTGATGCTCATTTTGAAATCGAAGATCAATGCGAAAGTTACGGAAAGTGAAATGGGCCCTTTGCCGCCTGTGCCCAGATTGGTGGCATCCCGGAGTGCGCCAACTGCCACTGGGATAAACACGAGGATAGGTGTTCATTCATTCCCAACCCGGTCGGGGTGGTTGCAAATCGAGCTGCGCAGGTCGAACTTTCCCTGAAGACGAAAGAGAAACGGCACAAGCGCGTGGCTGCGCAACAACATATCCAAGAAGCCTTTTAAAATGACCCAGAATTTTCAAATAAAGCTGCTAGATGGTCTGAGGAGGGGAAAGCAGGGCAGATGGGTCTTTTCGCTGAAACCCTTCGCACCGCATGGTTGCGACAGCTCTTTGAAATGGTCAATGCGCTGCAGCCTCTCTTTACGGAAGTTGGACACGAGGACAATCAGGTGATGGATAGAATGGAAGCGCCTTTTTTAATCAATCCTTCGCTAGTGTCGCGGGCGATGATGGAAACCTTCCTCTACAGCATATATGATTCGTTTGAGTTCTTGATTTCTTTTTTGATTACCAGGGAATCGGGATAACCAACTAGAATAAGTTAGTTAGGTTAATGGCATTTGCAAATATGTTGATTCCCATCCCACTACTGTTAGTATACTTCGATTTTCAAGGTCCAGATCGTGACCAGCCTTGAAAATTTTGAGAAGTTGGGGAGTGTAGATCGAGATATTTATGGGTAAAGTTGGTGAATACGGACGTGGCTTGGCGTCTCGAAATCCGTCAACTGGTTACCCGGTGCGCCAAAAGAGACAAGTCTCTCAATTGCTAAGATACTATCAACATTATCCTCTCGTTCTTCCTTAGGGGCTGTTTATTCCCGGAACCCTCGGAACCTATTCTCAGACACGTCTAAAACGTTCTCATCCTTGCTAGTCCTGATCGGGATATCAGCTCCGTTCCCCGCAGTCAGACCCAGACCAGCTTCATGAGTCCCATGACAAAAGCAAATGTCTTCTTAATTTTGACCGGCTCCTGATGTGCCAGAGAATCGCGCTCGGAACACGAACGGAGTGACCGAGACCATGCTCCAAGACCCACTGAGTGGACATGAGAAACAAACTACGACAAGAATTACCGATCAAACCTACTCTTCAAAATCTTGGTAGCGGAGACCTAAACAGCCGACCAATTCGGGACTTCCGATGGGTGTTCTCCACCTTTTGGCACCGACACGAGGCATGAATGGCTCCCATAGGCCCACTTGTAGTAAGCCTAAGCCTTACTATGCAGGTGCAAGTAACTTGGCTGTGACCCCATCATGCAAATATAATATAATTAACTTGCGCTCTTCCCCTGGTTCCTGAAAGAATTCATTTCTTTGGGTTTCAGCCATGCTTTTCCCAGTTCGCTTGGTCCCTCTTGTCGGGAGTTTCATCTCACTCGTCTCTGGCCTGCCGTCCACGAGTGAACATGAAACATCTACAGTGCTTCTTCCTAGCGATGACCCATTCTACAGCGCTCCCCATGGCTATGAGGACAAACTCCCAGGGACTGTCCTTCGCCTGCGTCACGTTCCAGGCAATTTGACGGCCTCGGTCAATGCTTCTGCAGCATACAACGTCCTCTACCGCACCACGGACAGTCAATATCGTCCTTCATGGGCTGTGACGACCGTCTTCATCCCCGCTACTGAGCATCATGCCAAAGAGTCTGCCTTACTCTCCTACCAAATCCCATATGACTCCCATGACCTCGATGCTAGCCCCAGCTATACCATGCACGCTTCTCCTCCTACCGATGTCACCATTGCGCTTGCCGAGGGTTGGTACGTCAACGTTCCCGACTACGAAGGCCCACTTGCCTCTTTTACCGCCGGTGTGCAATCCGGCCATGCCACACTCGACTCCATCCGGAGTATTCTTTCCGACACGGCCACTTTTGACGTCCATGCTTCCGCCTCCCGCATTGCTCTATGGGGATACTCCGGTGGCGCCCTTGCCAGTGAATGGGCCACCGAGTTGCAATTGCAATACGCTCCGGAACTTTCTCTCGCCGGCGCTGCTCTTGGTGGTCTTACACCCAACATCACCAATGTGATGGACACCGTCAGCGGCACGATCTACGCAGGCCTTGTTCCCGAAGCTGTCCTCGGATTGGCGAGTCAATACCCTGCTACCTACGAGTATCTGGTTAGTCAGCTACACGAGAAGGGAAAGTACAACCGGACGACCTTCCTCAAGGCGCGGGATATGACTAGCTCGGAGTCTGGAACATTTTTCGCTTATCAGGATATTTTTGACTACTTTGTCGATGGCAAGGAGACTTTTGACGCTGCTGTTGTGCAGCACGCGTTGAATCGGGATGGATACATGGGATACCACGGTGTTCCCCAGGCTCCGATCTATGCTTATAAGGCGATTGAGGACGAGGTCAGTCCTATTGCTGATACGGATGCGCTGCTGGAGAGGTACTGTGGCGTCGGGGTGAATATTCTGTATGAGCGGAATGAGATTGGTGGGCATTCTGCAGATGCCTACAACGGTCATGCGAGGGCACTGGAATTTCTTGCCGCTGTCTTGGGTGGTACCTATGCTAGTGTCTATCAGACTACGGGGTGTACCTTCACTAATGTCGCTGTGAACGTCACCGACTCACCTCTGTAAATGCTTCTGTGTTGTGGTATGTGGAGTGGACTCGATGTATGTACAAAATAGAAATAATATGAATCAAAATACCTATAAAGCCAAAATATCCATTTTCTTCCCTTTGGTCTAGAACACGAGTCTTCAACACCGACAACCCAGCGAGGGCCACGGAGACTCTGCGGCCATGGAGACTCTGCGGCCATGGAGACTCTGCGGCCATATTCAAACGCCTACCTACTAGACACCATGAACTACTGAAGGTTCCAAGGTTGATACTTTGAGCTCCTGTTTTCGAGAGGAACAGCTTAATGAATAATTCACATTAATGCAAATTTGACAAGTTTAAATAAGATCATCGGCGTCATTACATACTACCTGAAGATAACTAGACCACACTTCGAGTTCTTTCATCGAGCGAAAAGCCAAGCACAGCGGAGTGAAAGATGACAAAGGAAATTCATTAACCCAGGAATGCAGGGGAGAAAAAAGTAAATCAAAAAATCAAGAACCGAGAGGGGATATGAAAATCGTAAATAAGAACAAGCCGCAGGTATCAAATACAGGGGAATCAAGCGTGTACATAACAATCTGTCAACTTTTTTTTCGGCGGGTCGGATGTTTCCACTTGAGCTGATTCGCGTGGTTCACGGAGGATCATTCTTTAAAATGAGCGCCAGAGGATGATAACAATAGGCACCGCAATGGCAATCAAGAACAGGGACCTGGTGAATCAGCGTCAGTATTGTGACTCCGAACCGCGCGTTTCTTTTAAATGAACCCAAGATATATCAATATCCAAGGGTGACGGCGTCAAGGGGGAAGAATGCAAATGACTACACTCCCGCGGGGTCTAGCGTTTTCCCTTGGTAAGCCAATTCAAAGGGCAAGCTGTCTATTGCTTGCCCCATGACCAGGGACGGAACATGCGTCCAACGCTTTTGAAGACCGTGCGCAGGAGCGCCTTGAGCCAATTATCAGATGCACTGTTGATAGAAAGAGCGGCGACTGACCGACTCTGGCTCGTGGGACGAGCATCTTCATCTCCGTTATCGGTAGCGGCGTTCGGAGGGGTGAGTTGTTCAGGTGCAGGTGCAGGCGCAGGGGTAGGCTGAGGGGCGACATCCTTCTGGCTCGACTCGGCGACGGGCTCACTCTCGGGCACTGCCTTGGCTGGCTCAACGGGGCGCTGGGCAGGTGGTGCTTGGATGGTAGTGACGGAGGTCAATTGGTCGTTGGAGGGCTGGTTAAGCTGCTGGAGAAGGGCTTCGCCATCGCCAACAAGTGCTGCGAGAACCGAATCAGCTTCGAAGGACGGGACGGACGCATTATGCGCAGGAGCCGACAGCAAAGGCTTACAGTCTTCTGGCTGCTCTGCAGCAGGTGCTTCAGGCTCAGCCTTCGTCTCGGTCTGAGTCTCTTCCTGTTCGTGAGAATGGTGCACGGCGACGGCGGCAATGCCTGCAGCGGCGGCGGCAGCGGCCACACCAGCTTCGAGAACCTCGGCGGTAAAGTCACTGTCCTTGGCAGTCTCCTCAACGGGCTCATCCTGGGATGTCTCAACTTCCTTACTCATAGACTCTTCGGCAGCAGGCTTTGGTGCCCAAGAGCTTCCGGGCCGAAGACCAGCGAGCAATGCGCCGTAGACATCAGGATCAGTAGATTGTTGCGGTGCGAATTCCTTTGCCTCCGTGACAGACTCCTCGGCCGCAGGGGTTTCCTCTGCGATGTGAGCTTCTTCAACGACAGGCTCCTCAACGACGGGGTCTTCCTTAGCGGTCTCCTCGACTACAGGCTCATCAGCGGCGGGGATCTCTTCAACAGTTTCTTCGACAGCGAGAGCCTCGACAAGAGGTGCCTCGGCAATAGGGGATTCCTCGGCCACTGCAGCCTCGACGGGGGTCTCCTCGACAGCAGGAGTTTCCTCAACAGCGGGAGCCTCCTCGACAACGGGAGTCTCCTCAACAGCGGGAGTCTCCTCAACAGCTGGGGTCTCCTCGACAGCAGGGGTCTCCTCGACAGCAGGGGTCTCCTCGACAGCAGGGGTCTCCTCGACAGCAGGGGTCTCCTCGACAGCAGGGGTCTCCTCGACAGCAGGGGTCTCCTCGACAGCAGGGGTCTCCTCGACAGCAGGGGTCTCCTCGACAGCAGGGGTCTCCTCGACAGCAGGAGTTTCCTCGACGATAGGGGCCACAGGGGCTTCCTCGGCGATAGGAGCTTCCTTTGCACTCTCTACAACTACAGGCTCCTCAGTAGCGGGGGTCTCGACGATAGTCTCTTCAACAGTAGGAGCCACAACAGCAGGAATTTCCTTAGCAACGGGAGCTTGCTCGACAACAGGTGCCTCAGCGGGGGTCTCCTCAATAGCGGGAGTCTCCTCGACAGCAACAGCCTCAACGGGGGTCTCCTCGACAGCGGGAGTTTCCTCGACAGCGGGAGTTTCCTCGACAGCGGGAGTTTCCTCGACAGCGGGAGTTTCCTCGACAGCGGGAGTTTCCTCGACAGCAGGAGTTTCCTCAGCCACGGCTACCTCAACAGGGGTCTCCTCGACAGCGGGAGTTTCGTCAGCGATAGGAGCCTCAGTAGCAGGAGATTCTTCAGCCACAGCCTCCTCGACAACAGCAGCCTCGACAGGAGCCTCCTCAACAACGGTAGCCTCAACAGGAGCCTCCTCAATAGCGGGAGTCTCCTCGACAACAGCAGCCTCGACAGGGGTCTCCTCAACGACGGGAGCCTCCTCAGTCACAGCAGCCTCGACGGGGTTCTCCTCAATAGCGGGAGTCTCCTCGACAACAGCAGCCTCAACAGGAGCCTCCTCAGCAGCAGGAGTTTCCTCGACAACAGCAGCCTCGACAGGGGTCTCCTCAACGACGGGAGCCTCCTCAGTCACAGCAGCCTCGACAGGAGCCTCCTCAACAACGGCAGCCTCAACAGGAGCCTCCTCGATAGCGGGAGTCTCCTCGACAACAGCAGCCTCGACGGGGTTCTCCTCGACAGCGGGAGTTTCCTCGACAGCGGGAGTTTCCTCGACAGCGGGAGTTTCCTCGACAGCGGGAGTTTCCTCGACAGCGGGAGTTTCCTCAACAGCGGGGGTCTCCTCAACAGCTGGAGTTTCCTCGACAGCAGGTGCCTCGACAGCAGGAGTTTCCTCAGCCACGGCTACCTCAACAGGGGTCTCCTCGACAGCGGGAGTTTCGTCAGCGATAGGAGCCTCAGTAGCAGGAGATTCTTCAGCCACAGCCTCCTCGACAACAGCAGCCTCGACAGGGGTCTCCTCAACGACGGGAGCCTCCTCAGTCACAGCAGCCTCGACAGGAGCCTCCTCAACAACGGCAGCCTCAACAGGAGCCTCCTCGATAGCGGGAGTCTCCTCGACAACAGCAGCCTCGACAGGAGCCTCCTCAATAGCGGGAGTCTCCTCGACAACAGCAGCCTCGACAGGGGTCTCCTCAGTCACAGCAGCCTCGACCGGGTTCTCCTCAATAGCGGGAGTCTCCTCGACAACAGCAGCCTCAACAAGAGTCTCCTCAACGGCAGGGGTCTCCTCAGCAGCAACAGCCTCGACAGCGGGAGTCTCCTCAACAACGGGAGCCTCCTCAGCGACAGCAGCCTCAGTAGCAGGAGCTTCTTCAGCCACGGCCTCTTCGACAACGGAAGTCTCTGTAACAGGAGCCTCAATGGCAGTCTCTTCGACGGGAGCTTCAACAACGGCCTCCTGGGTAGTCTCTTCAACTACAGGGGCAGCCTCTTCGGAGACGGGGTCAGCAGCAAGAACCTCAGCATCGATCTCCTTCTCGGCGACTGGCTCTGGGGTAGCCTCAGGCTGAGCTTCCTCGGTGGTTTCAACGGAAGCAGCAGCTTCTACTGAGGTTTCTTTAATAGGAGCTGCTTCAACAGGGGTCTCTTCGACAATAGGCTCTGCAACTGTCTCGACGGTTTCGGTGATAGGCTCTTCGATGACCTCCTCCTTAGTCTCCTCGGCTGTCTCGACCTGGACGGGCTCTTCAACAGCGGACTCAGCCTCAACATCAACAGCCTTCTCGGCAATGGGCTCAGTTTCCTCGACAGCGGCTTGGACAACGGGCTCCTCGGAAGTAATAGGCTCCTCGATAACCGGCTCCTCGGCAGCGGCTTCAGCGATTGGCTCTTCAGCAGCGGTCTCAGTCTCAGCGACTGTCTCGGTAATAGGCTCCTCGACAGCGGCTTCTGTGGTGGGCTCTTCTGTGGCAACAGGCTCGACAACTGATTCCTCAGCAGCGACAGCCTTCTCTTCAGCCACGGGCTCAGCCTCAGTCCCCACAGCATCCTCGATCTTCTCTTCAGGGGCCGCAGCGGTTTCTTCAATAGCCGGCTCAGAGACTTCCTCAGTAGGCTCTACAGCGGAGACCTCATTCACATCTTCCACGGGTGTGGATTCAACGACAGGCTCTTCTGTTGCGACCTCGGGAACGGTCTCCTCGACTTGAGCTTCCTCGGTGGCTTCGACGGGAGCTTCACTAACCTCCTCCTTAGTGACCTCTGGGGTGATCTCCTCGGTGGATTCGACGGGAGCTTCGGCAGCGGGCTCTTCAGTGGCGACATCAGGGACCTCGGGGGTTGTTTCCTCGGTCTTGGGAGCTTCTTCGGTGACCTCGATGGGAGCTTCAGTAACTTCCTCCTTGGCAACCTCCGGGGTAGTCTCCTCAGCAACGGGCTCGGCAACAGGCTCAGCAACGGGCTCAGCAACGGGCTCGGTAACGGGCTCAGCAACAGTCTCCTCGGCCTTAGGTGCTTCCTCCAAAGCTTCGGCAACCGGGGCCTCGGCGGTGGGCTCGGCGGCGCTTTCAGCGATAGGCTCCTCGGCAATGACCTCCTTCACCTCAGGAACAGTTTCGACCGCTTCGACAGCTGGCTCAGGAACGGATTCCTCCGCGACCTCTGCGGTGGTCTCTTCGACCTTGGGAGCCTCGACTTCCTCGGCCTTGGGCGTCTCTTCAGCGGCTTCGGCAGCAGGGGTCTCAGCAGCGGGTTCGACGGTCTCCTCGATAGCCTCCTCGGTCACAGTCTCTGGCGCAGACTCGGTGGGGATCGATTCCTCCACAACAGGCTCAGTAATAGAATCCGGTGTGGCCTCAGTAGTGGTCTCTTCAGCCTTAGGAGCTTCAATTTCCTCAGCGGGTGCTTCTTCGGAGGCTTCGGTAGCTGGAGCTTCGGTGGTCTCGACGGTCTCAGCGGTAGTCTCCTCAGGAGCCTCCTCGGTCACTGGCTCTAGAGCAGACTCGGCGGGGGTCGATTCGTCCGCAGCAGGCTCAGCAATGGCTTCTTCTGTAGTCTCGGCGACAGGCTCCTCCTTCGCGACTTCGGGAGTCTCTTCAACAACCGGGGCTTCGGTGGTGGTTTCGGCCTCAGCAACTGGCTCTGGCGCGGACTCGGCAGGTGTTGATTCTTCCACAGCCTCCACGGTGGATTCTTCTGTGACCTCAAGCTCGTCCTTAGTGACCTCCGTGGTTGTCTCTTCAGCCTTGGGAGCTTCAGACTCAGTAGATTCAGTGGTGGGGACCTCAACAGTAGTCTCCCCATTAGTAGCGGGGGTCTCAACTGTCTCAGTCTCTTCTGTGGCCTCTGTTCCGTTTTGTGTCGCCTCAACAGGCTCTTCTGTGGCCTCCGGCTCGGGAGCATCCGCAGTCTCCTCTCCAGCAGCCGGTTCAGAAATAGACTTGTTCTTCTTCTTGTTCTTCTTTTTGTTCTTCTTCTTCTTGGCCTTCTCTCCCGAGCCAGTCTCCGCTTCGGTCGATTCGGTCACATCGGGTTGGGTGGATTTCTCATCCACGATTACCACGGGGTCCTTGAGGGTCTCATCCGAGACTAGAGGCTCGTCAGCTCCATCATCTCCAAAACCAAACACTTCATCATTCCACTTACCATTATGAATAGCGGCGGTCGCCATGGTTGTAGGTCGTTAAAAATCGTTAAATGTCGTGAAAGGTGCGGGGGTATTATCGACAAAGGCAGGATTCGCAATTTGGCCAGCAAAAAAAGCAGAGTAACGCAGGATCCAAGCAATTAGCTGTACAGCCCACACAGCTCACAGAGCACGATGGGAAGAGAGGTATAGGATGATGGTGATAGGGTAGACAAAATTTGACTGATTAGGAGAAGAAAGAAAAAGTAAGAGGGGGAGGAAGCTTAGGCCAATAAAAATCCTTTTTTGTCCCCGATGCCCAAACAACTGTACAACCTGCATTGACCTTTACCAAAATCCCAAGAAAATTACCGGTGGATCATCTAGCATAGTTGGCACAGTGACCAACTCATACTAAGTTCATTTCTGGATAAGCGGACACCACCAGGTCATATTATGCCCAATAACTGCTTCTCTTTTTTCTTGGGCCGCTGGTCGATCCCCACTAGAGACCCAATATGCGGTGAAGCTGCCGAGGTTCTATTGGTTTTTTAGAGTGAAGAAGCGGGTGGTACTAGTTCAGGAGCATTGATTGATCGTCATATTGTGTACGACATTCAGTATCTACAATATTTACCCCTCTTTAGCATCGCGTTTTTTCTAACCAGGGGGGGGGGTTTACCCAGAGCTCATGCGAAGAAAAAAAAAAAGTCTAGTGGAGGCGCTAGTGGAGTGCAGGACCCATTTTAGACTGATAAAGGTTGACCAATAGGGTTCGATGGCCCCCGAGGTTCTGCCTCTCCACCTGTCAACTGCTTTTGACTCATATGACGAGATGATCGACCCTCATGGAAGTTCAAGTAAGTTAGTAAAAATTTTATCAAATTTATTTTCGGCATAAGGGGCTATATAGTTCAACGTAGTTCTTTCAGGGTCAACATGAAGTCCCAAGGTTCAACCTAAATTGATCCATGGGACCGGGATTTGGTTCACATGGCATGACACACTTTTAATCCTTTCTTTTTAGTCCCCTTTATAGACCCATTCTTTCATTTAGTTACATATAGACTCCATACCTACTTAATGAAATAGAAGTCACGCGATATTTCTAAATCTTACTAAGTCCGAAAGCCTTTGTTTACAATTGCGTGCAGCTAACACGGACCATCTCGGACTCCGTGCTCGTTTTTATTGTCTCCATCCAACTCCCGGTTCATCCGAAAAAATCCCGCGTACTTCCGTGATGAACGTGCTGTAAGATTATGTTCCCTGGGGATCTTCTCACCGTTCGTTGCTGTTCAATTACAGGAGATCTACCAAGTCCTCCTTGCCGATCGGCGCCTGAACGTGCAGATGTCTAACTTGGCGCATGGCTCCACCTGCATGGCTTTGACTTTCGAGGCAAGATCTTGTTATGCCTCGGCAGCAATTAGATACAAATATCAATCTCAAGGTTTGATCTATTGGTTGGTATATGCTCTTATACCTGAAATGTCGGCATTGCCAGTGCCTTCGTCATTGAGCCTTTCAAAAGATGACGTTTACAAAGTCATGTGAGACGTACATACAATAGGGCTGCTTATCCCCCAAGATCACGTGCATAGCATTTACACCCCGCCTGGATTAATTCTACCCATCCTATCATCGCTACCAAATGTACTCCCTAATTCGAGTCCACTGCAGAGCTACTTAGGAGTCGATCGAGTCAGAACAAAGTTCACAGAGCCTCATTGCCACGTGCGGCGACATGCATTTTTCCGCCTTGTGTCTCATCCGACGTCGCAAGGGATCACTCATGCAATTATCTCGGAGTACGATGAGATAGTAGAGAAATTCTTCAGACCAAAACTACGGGAATTCTCGATTTCTCAGATGCCATCTTGTATGCCTCGTACGCCGATGTTTCCCTAAAGCTTGGAGTATGTAGTATGTAGTATCTGTGTTTTTTCATCCTTGAGACCAGTTCAAGAGCGCGTTGATTACCTAGGTATTTCGAGGCAAAAATAGTTTCATATATCAAGTCGTCACTCCACCGAATGCCGTCTTGTCCCAAGGAAGATAATATAGAAAAAGGAGGTCCGGATAAAAACAATCGCATTTGATTGATCATGTAAGCACTTTGTAGATTCGTAGAATGAGCCATAGATAAAATTCCAACCTCCCCTAGTCCATTGCAAACCCATACCCATAACAGATCGAATCCTCGTAAAGAGGTGGAATCTCATCGAAAAGTGTAACAACATCAGGAGTGCAGTCCGTGTTGTGCCAGTCCATTTCCATTAATTCTAGCTGTTGTTCCACAGCCGGATCCATCGCAAACCCGTAGAAAATCGGATCATCAGGCAAAGTCATGACATTCTCCTCGAACAACTGACCAGCAGCTGGAGTGCAACGCATGTTGTTCTGCAAATGCTCATCCAGCTTCTCGAACTGATTAGTATGCAAATGATGGAGCTTGAACAACTTGTAAGCCTTGACACTGGCGTCGTCATGGAACTTGTTGGCCTCTGCCTCAAAATGCTGACGCAGAGGAGCATTCCCTCGGAGTGGCAGTTGTTGCTTCAGGATCCGAAGCGTACTGTCTCGGGAGACACGGCTTTTTTGCATTTCTTGAATGTTTTTACGAGCTGACATTTGTCCTGCCATGACATTCTCGAAAAGACTCCACATAGTGAAAGAAGAAGTATCGATTTCGGGATAAGCAAGTGAGCCATTCTGTTCTCCAGAAATGTTACCTTCAATCATGCTGAGCAGTTTCTTGTAGTCATCTTGAAGGGTCTTCAAGCGGTGGTGTGGAAATTCTCCCGCATCAGTCTGTAGGTCCACGCAGACCTGGAGACGGTCAATGATGTCGTTCAGGATTTGCTGAACAGCCCAAAGGTCATTGACCAATGCCCAGAATGATTCAGGGTAGTTGGTCTGTGGGAATCGTCGGCTGAATCCGGCCTCTTCGAGTGATTCTGGAGGTTGATATTCGGGAAACTTGAATATGGTATAGTAGCCCTCAATCTTGTCTGTATTGATCCATTCCCAGAAGTCTTGTTGGAACAGCATCTCTTTCATTGCTTCTAAGAGATTTGATCTCTGGTTTCGAGGGCGATACTGCTTCTTCTCTCGATCCGCAGCTTTAGATTTCCATATTGCCTCTTTTTCACGGGCATGCGAGACTGCATTGAGGACAGTCATGGGCGGTGGTACTTTGGCATATTGAAGTGCCAGGGTAGTCGGATCTGGGGCATAAATAGATGGACTGGCCACCCCAGGACCGGGGTAAAATGGCACTGGGATGCTCCAGTGATCCATTTTCGTCATTTGAACTTGTGGTGACTTAAGCGTGAATGGAATTTAGCACAGCCAGCTGTGCTCGACCAGAGGAAAAGTAACGGTGAATGGCCGCAGTCGAGGTCCAATGATTAAAAGAGAGCGAAATATAGCACAGTCCAGCTGTGTTCAATGGGAAGGAAAGAGAAGAAGTGGTGTGAATGGAAGTTTGACTTCGAGGTCAAGTTTAAGTGATTGAACAAGAACGGAGTATAGCACGGTCCAGCTGCGCTTGACGACGGGGAAAGAAAATAAAGAAATGTTTGAGGAGAAAGATTGACCTTGTCGAGTAGTGGAAGCTTCTTGGTAAAGTCAATTCAAGAGAATCATGCAGGTTCATCTTCATTGAATTGAATGAGGGCGTATCGAGCCCTCAATTTACAGACTAATGGAGAGTGGAGAATTCGTATGGAGCTGACAGTGAAGGAGAATAATGATTGTGCGAAGAAGGCAATTCACTTGGGTTGACTGCCCTCCATCACCTTTTTCAAGATCCAAAGATACAAGTGCCCCAGTCCGGGGTCGACGAGTGATAGAACTTAACATGTTGACAGTGAATCTCTAATGATCCAAACAAAGAGTTCTCCCTGTTCGAGTTGACAAGTGACGGGGCATGATATGGCTGGCTCAGTGAATGTCCAAAAAGTTGAATTTCCCTCACGGTGCTCGGTTCGCTAATTGAAGAGGGAGATCAAGTTGCAAAGATGGCTAGTTACTGTTCTCAAGCTCTGGTCCCCTGACTTCCCAATTCGGACGATTCAACACATGACCAAACCGACCGCATTATGACATTTCTACTTTGCATCCTTCATTTAGACGAAAAGGACGACGACATAAGAGGAGATAGGATCAATGACCGGAGCACAAATTCTTGCTTAAGTATTCAGACCAATCTAATTATCAGGTTCAATTTCAGTACTTCATGCTCCACCACTTCCCGTGATATCCCTCTGTCCAAGAGTCGCGGTTGATGAAAGACGCCAGGTCTCTTCACCCAAAAACAGATGTCTAGGATATCCTGGTACATTTTTCAACTAACCGGAGCTCCTTAGGCATTATATCCCAATCCCAGCCCAACGAGTTCCGCTGATCAGAACTGACCAACCATCAATCCTATAGTTGCAACTCCCAAAGCTCCCCGACCATCTTGATTCCGAACGACGCATGCTCTTCCGACGCAAGGTGCACAAATCCCTCACTTCCATAAATATGCCGTGCCGAGACCAATTCACTCTGAGTCCACAACCCGATATGAGAGTACCCAACTTCCCGGGCAAACTGCGTACATTGTCGTACCAGCGCACGACCGAGTCCTAGCCCGCGCGCACTGGGTTCAACCAGAAACAGACGAATTTTCGCTGCGTTTTTGGCGGCAGACAAATCTTTCACAAGCATGATGCATCCGAGGAATTTGCCATCTTGTTCAGCGATCCAGCAGCGTTCTGATTGGGGGTCGAAGTTTTTGAGGAAGTCCCCAGCGATGCCTGCGACAACACCCTCGAAGCGCTCACCCCAGCCGAACTCTTGGTTGTACAACACTCCATGTCGGTGGATGATCCATCCCATGTCTCCTGGGCGATGGGTTCGAAAAACATATGCCGGGCTTATGGGGGCGGCGCTTCCCATTGCGATGACAGATTAAGAAGAAATTAATTTTCAATAGAGAATATGGAGATGCAGATAATGAACGCTGAGTTTTTATCTAGTGGGTTTATTTTTTACTTATTGTGTCTTATCGCTGGGAATCTTCTGGTCTTCCTGTTGTCAACCACAGGGCGCGATCTAGATTGTAAAGCCACGGAAATATTATCCGGTTCATTTAACCAATCATCTCACCAGCTTGTGTGCAAGTTGTATTGACCTGGAATGCTACTTCTACTCGATTTATTCAGTTAATTTTCCGAATCTTCAAGAAATTTGTATTCCAGCCTCGCGGTGTCGACTCCATCCATGAGCTCCCACTGGCTTTATCTTTCTACAAAGCATCAGCTCGTGGTGCAGTCAACAATAACTTTGACTGGCTCGATTTACTGCCAACTGAAGACTCATCATCCCGCTTGAAGCTGCTCAGTTAATCTTATATTTTCTTTAACGCCACAAAAAGTTAGATCCCGACACCAACCCATGCATGTAAGACTTATCCAGCACTAGTACTTCTTATGATGGGAAGCCGGCTTTTTGACGAGGCGCGAGGATAGGCTGTCGTATATGCATGCGTGTGCGATGAATGATGATCATTTTTGATTCGGTGCGGGCTTCTAAGATCATGAGTCTGAGGCGGGGGGCTTGAATGACGGGATGTGTCCGTGAGTGTTTGTAAGCTTATTTCAATCTCTGTGGTCCTGCGGGGTTTGCGATAATGTCGAATTGAATGGGGCGGGAAAATTTGCTCATAGACCTGTTGGATGATTCTCTTGGTTTGTATTTAAGGTTAAAGGTTGCAGGAGTGATAGATGTCTTACCTTCTTCGAAGCTATACCGTTCTTGTGTCATGGAAATGCAGGGCTGATACTTGGCATCCGCTCGGTGTGCCCCTCTTCCCCGCATCGATTTTTGGAGCTCATGATCATTTTGTGAATTTCAATTGGCTGGCGGGGGCTTAATTTTTTCTAAACGCTATAAGCCCTCGAAAGCGTCCAAGACATCAGACTCAAGAATGGTCTGTCAGTCATGCTATATTTACGATAACTATGACTAGATTATGATCTGACATTTTATCAACCACATTTATCAAGCCATCATACCGCCGCCAAGGTTGTTCCTCTTATACAACACGGTGCTGCCTCGCCGACGTAGGAATCTATGATATACAGACGCACTGGCCCTGCGACGTAATTTGAGCGAAGGAATAGTTTAAAATTTACAGGGTAAAGTCTGCCTTGACTGTTTTTGGGGAAACCATCTTAGTGCTTGTTTCAAGGTGCATTTTGAGCGCATGCCCCTGCTTTGAACTGGTTTTCAAGTCTTCGAGGTCGTGGGTGGGGCATTGGTTCAGCGAAGTTTATGCAACTCTGCGGAGTTGAAGAACTCGATGTTGATCAGATATCTCCTGATCTCAACCAGTGTCCATTCCATCAGCTGGACATCCGCTGATTAGATGAAATTGTTATGGAATTTCGCTACTGAGAATCAAGTAGCGACACTGGAAAGGAGTCGAGATGCAAAGTTTGTGAATAATGCCAGCCAGCTCCGATCTATCAAATTTAGTGGAGTCCTGGATTAGAGACAGGCACTAGGTGAGTTTGAAGCACAAATTACCAAAATTAACGTCATTGTGCGAATACCCAAAATTCAAATGTTAGATGGCAGATCTGGTGCCCTCAAGATTGGATGACAATAACCGCTTTCTGTACGGGTCAATTGAACGGGTACAGCCTAAGCATTGCCACATCTAAGCGAACTTTAGGCATCATCAGGATAAATTTTAATGAACAGGCAAGCTCACACTCAAAATAGCCTTTTAAACACGCTATGCCCGTTGAGTCTAAAATAGTGGATCAGATCGAGAAGCAGAGATCTGGGGAAAGCTCAAACTCCAGGGTTGTGGCTACTTCACCGGAACTAGTTCGTTGCTTATATGGAGAGACACATTCCCCGTTGTGGCTTTGGAGTAGGGCACGGCAGCTGCCCGAGACGGATCCCACGCCCTGAACGAAACCCAAACGCCAGATGTCCCGAGGCATGTATTATTCCCTGCATTTGAGAGTGTTCATCCCTGTCTTTTCTACAGGGATTTATATGCAGTCCTGTCTTGCAGCTCTGTGCCAACATACCAGATCTGTACCCTCGAACTCAACCCTAAAGTTATTAATTGTCTTAATCAGGCAAGCTCCATTCCTCGAAGACTTGAGCTTCGTTTCCAAAGAAACAGTCCCAACACGACTCCATGGTTATCTGGGTTGAAATTACATGAAACAGTGCCGTTCTGCCGCTGGCTTGTTCTGTGAAATTCAACGAGACTGGTACCTGGAAACAACGCTGATACATCCCCCTGTATTGCGAAGACGGGGCGACTCAAGAGATCCACAGCCCCATCAGGTGGATTTCTTCGTCACCAACTTTCGTTGGATAGGGGATGGAATGGATAAGCTCCGGCGTCGGAAGATACGCTGTGAGCATATGTATCTTTTCCATCCAAAGGAGTACATAACTTAGGATACCTTATCCCAGTCAATGGCGAACGGGGATGATCGGTCTTACCCCCCTACAGAGTTTGAACCGCTGCAGCGGTTATCAGTGAATGCCAGCTGTCCTTGCCAAGGAATTCCATTCCCATGACCTCACGGCGGGTCATCCATGATGCCTCGACGAGTCGAATGGAGGTATCGTATCCGGTATTACGCGTTCCCGTCTTACCCTAAAATACCCGAAGCCAGCCCCTGGAACAGGCCGCCCGCTCTATCATGTATCACGCTACATTGATATACAGCCTCAAATTCACCAGGAAAAGCACAGTTTCCAAGCATATTGGTGTGGGAAAAAAAACAAAACTCATGGATGTGTTCATCTCGTATGCAGCTGCAAGGGTTGACGAACTACTAATACCCGGAATGACCCTGGATCAAGCTTGTGTGGGTCCGCCAAGCTCAGCGCCTGCGATCAGCCGAGCTGCAGCCGGATCAGATTTTCCCACGGAAGTTCGCAGAGCCTCCGGGACCCCTGTAGATAGGTGAGGGGGAGGATATAACAGCCACCCGGTCGCCATAAAGGATTATGTATGGGAAGATGAGGTTCCGCAGTTCAACGTTGGGGGCTCTATATGTTAGCGGTTCCCATATTGGAGTGAACCGGCCTGTTTGGGGATGATAATCGGGTCCTGGCGGGTCGGGGAATCCCAGTGGAGGCCGAGGGAAGCGAGAACAACAAACAACTCGTAATTTTGCTTTCTTCTTTGTTTTTTTCTTTTTCTGAATTGGAATTAATTTCAGGAAATTTATGATTTTCCCCTTATCCAGAGTCAGCGTATAAAAGCCACCTCGATCCCATCTGCAAGTTTCATGCTAGATGATGTTCCGATGGGCCGCATCCAGAAAAGCAAAGGAAAAAAACCATAATAAAATACAGCAAAAAGACAATCGGATGCCCGGATCCGGATTTTCAAAATTACATGTTTCCAAATAGACCACTCGGTGTGTGGGTTTCCGAAAGGGAGGTGAATGAGTCCACTTTTTGACTCCTTTCAGCCGACTAAGTGGACTTTTCAGGTGGGTCGGTTGCCCAGTGAATGTATAGTTGGTGGACCTGGAATCCGACTCGGCCCGGTTTGGGCGACGGGAATAAATCCAGAAACATAAACCTTGGGTTCATGGATCCCGAGTATATTATGATTGGTGCAGCGCTAGTGGATCCTGTGGATCAATATCCACTTAGAAGCATGATGATCCACCACAGGGAAGGGAGAGGAAAATGAGATTCTTTTTTTTCTCCCAACCCCCTTTCTCTCTGCCCCCAACATATATGGAGTAATGTATATGTGTTTATCTCAATTGATACATATGAAACCTATTGAAATTGGTTCATGCAGGGGAGGTAAATGAGTTGTATTTTTGAAGTGAAAAAAAGAAAATTGTTGGAAACTTGGGACCAGTGGAACCTTACTCCGAGTGAACCCGACATAATAATCCAATAATACAGTGTATGAATGGTATGAAACTGTAAAACAGCTCCCCAGCATTCCTCGTACAGCAGATTTGCGAGTGAAATACTCCGAACGTCCGCACAGAGTAGGGCTTTTTTGTCACAGAGACGCACTAGCCTCGACTGGGAAGCGGACGGGCGAAAATTTGGCCGTAGAGTATTTATGTCCTGGTCCGACCTTCTTCCGTAGTTTCCCAGCTTTTTCTCCCTGAAAAGAGTCCATCCCCCCATATACCAATCCCCAACTCCTCTCTTTTTTCCTTCGAAAAAAACCCGCAAAATCATCACAATGGCCTCCCGTGTCTTCACCCAGCGCCTGGCTACCGCCATGGCCCAGTCCTCCAAGGTCGCTCGCCCTGCTGCCCGCGTCAACCTCAACGCTGCCACCAAGCGCACCTTCACCCAGAAGGCTCCCGCCACCACCTTCTCGGCCCCCAAGCGCGTCGCCTCGCCCACTCTCCTCCAGGCCAACGCCCGCCTCGCCTTCCAGAACGCCGGCCGCCGCCAGTACTCCTCTGAGGTCGCCACCGCCATGGTTGAGGTCTCCAAGAACATTGGTATGGGTTCCGCTGCCATCGGTCTCGGTGGTGCCGGTATCGGTATCGGTCTCGTCTTCGCCGCTCTCCTCATGAGTGTCTCCCGCAACCCTGCTCTCCGTGGCCAGCTCTTCTCCTACGCCATTCTGGGTTTCGCTTTCGTCGAGGCCATGGGTCTGTTCGACCTGATGGTTGCTATGATGTGCAAGTACGTCTAAGCGTTTGATCGAAGGGCTTGAGGAACGAGGAAAAGGATACACATGATGCCGGTTATATCTTGAAAGAATTTCCTGCCGAGCTTGTTGTTCCCCTTTTTCCTTTGTCCGCCGGGGAGGGTATTTGGTCGTGATGTATTACCATGTACTACTTTTCAGCGTTATCTACAACACCTATTTCTTTCTGTACATATAGAGTCTATATGGCCCACCCATCCCAACTTCCAACGAGCCAAACCAAAACTCTGTGTGTTGAGTCCTCCGGCCGTATCAAATTCTTTGTTCCATTAATTCCGGATTCTGGCAATCCTTCCTCTACGTCTCTTCCGCGCCCCTGTAGCTTCCAACTAAGCCTCGTGGCACATCCGACTGTTTATTCCAGTTTTGCATTCTTTTCGAGCTCCACGCTGAACAGCTATCCTTTGAGAGCTCTGGCTAGACCCCTTCCTGCCGACTTGATGCTTCCGGGGTGTCCAGGTGCTACGTGTCAAGATTCAATCACCATTCCACAACCATAACCAATTGGTAGCCAATGCTTTGCCAGTGTATTCTATTCACCCGAATCAATCTATTGAACCCACTTCCGATGCTTTCCACCTTGTGTTGGGCTCCTGTCCTGAGCTTGAGGTCTCCCCAGTCCCCAACGCAAAACTCGCACTAGCGCCGGGATCTCGGGAAACATCTTCCCGCATCGCCCGGCTGACTCATCCAGTGACATCAACGATCTCATTTCAGTGAAAGGGTGGAAATATCAATTAAGTTAATGGCTGTAGAAAGCAAAGTTAGATTAGTAGCAGGTGAGAATATCAGCGGCTAAGTGGTGGCGATGCGTAGGATGTTAACCTTTGGGCATGTGGTGGCCGTCGCGTGGCGATTAATCCTGCCCGTGGTTTGCCGTAAAACAGTTCAGTGTTGAGTTTATGTGGTTTTACCTAGGTACTCGAATTCTTCCTCTGGCGATTTGCCAGACTGAGCACATGCATACGTAGCTATGTGTGGGTTGATCAATTTCCATGTAGCATATGGAAACAACAGATGTGGCAGAGTTCCATCCAAAGCGGCTAGAGCTGTGTGGGGCGGGTACGATATGTCGATACATATATTTCTGTACTCAACAAAGCAAACCAACAATGAACCTTGGAACTCCTCTGGACATCAACCCTGGAATTTCTTATGTACCTAGGTACGTAAGATCACACGTTCATATATATGTATTTGTGTCAAGTACATAGTCGGAACATCCATGGATGCGCACAACGACACCCACCGGTTACGCGAGAACTCTCTATTAAGTTGCTTGAGCCTAATAGTAGTAGGAGCAAACAGTCATGCAAGCAAAGATGGTCATGTGACCATAAACTCTGATAACAAGTACAACGTCCGAGCTGTGTGACCTAGATGGCCAGATTCAACACTGGATTAAGAACTTCGGCAGATTCTGTCATCTCTTTAAGGTCCCAAATCATAGGTTTCATACCCGAAGATCACCTTTCCTTTACCACACTCTCCAGCTGCGGCATGACTAATTCCTCGACCATATGTAAAGGGAAAATGAAACAAAAGAGGTGTGTAAAAGCAGGAACAAATTCACCTCGGGCTCGATGAATACTGAACCCAGAGATCAGACTTCATCATAGAGGCACACCTGGTAGCCTGTGCATATTGAACAGACAACCGGGAAAGAGATAAAACTTCGCTGCTAATAATATCAATGAATCGGATTTGACAAAAAAGTCGACACCACAGTGTCAACAGCTGGATCCTGCTGTCTGCCAGAGGAAGATCGTAGCTGGGAAATAGGAAAAATAACGAAGCTCTGTATTTCAAGAGAAATAGAGGTACTGAGAAGACAAAGAGAGGGAGAGAAATATCTAGACACGCGCGCGCTGAAGCAAACGGAAGGGGTCACCTGACCCCCATACTACACGACTCCATGCGGATTTCTCTATTAAAATTTCTTCACAATACCCGGACAAACGTAGAGGCAGTGTATGTCAAAGCTCATTCGGAAGCCCAGTTTTGTTTAACCACTACATTCTAATAGCATTTTCATCGAAAAAGTACGTGAATACCTACTAAAACTTTGGGAAACAACGTCTCGGGAAACAGTGAGCCTACTTCAAGGCATTTCCCATAAATTCTACCACGTCACATTCTTGATATTCCAAAAGATTATATAAAAAGTGTATCACAAGAAACTCAATCAAGAAATGAACCAGTCACATAGACAAAATCGACTCCAATCATGCGACATGCCAGACTCGCTTGCTGAACCGCAGGGGCAAAGGTATCAAGGGATTAAGGGACAACGAAATATGAACAGAAAGAAAGAGAAAGCAATGGTATCCAGACTAGAAGATTTCCAGATCTTCAAACTCCACAAATAACCCATCCGGCGTCCCAGACGAACTAACAGGCATTCGCATAGCATCCCACATAGTCTCCCCCCTCCCAATACTCATCGGCCGACTCGCATAAACCCCCACATGAACGAACTTATCCTCAACCCCATAGAAAAACCACGTTACCTCCCTCAATTTCTTCCACGTACTCCCCACCGCACCAGGCGACAAAGCATACGGTGAAAGGGACGGCACCTGATACCAGATCCACAGTGCATGCCCAACACGCTCCATCTTGATACGCAACGAACTAGGCGCAGGACCCGCCGAATGAAGTAGTGGTGAAACGCACCAATCCGCCCCGTCGGCCGTCGCGCTTACAGAAGACGCATTGACCGTCCCGGATGAGAACTCCATACCGGCCTTGACCCATTTACAGGGTGGTTGGATTTGAGGGGCGATGGCGCGGCGGGTGGTGGTGCTGGCTAAGGCCGCTGTATCTGAGGAGAATGACTGTGGAGCGGAACCGGCGAAGATGACTAGGCCGCCTTGGTCCCATTCCATTTCCCAGTCTGCGGTCACGGTGACTTCGGCTACGACGAATGGGTGGCGTAGTGATGTGAAGACTATTGGGGCGGTTGATGTTTCGCCGTTTGGTGGCTTGCGCCATAGATCGGTGTTTGGGCCGGCTGTCAGTGTGAAGTATTCCATGCATTGGGGTAGGGTGAATGATGGTGGAAGGTTGAGGGCCGTGAATGACGTGCCATCTGGAGGCATTTTGTGTATAGTTCTTGTTCCGTGGGTGTGCCCGGAAGCTTAAGACCCGGGTGTGTTGTTGGGGTAAGTGTCGGATGTTTTGTCTTTTTCCCTGATGATTGATTGAGGAATGTTGGCAATGACTTTCAGATGTTTCCAGGTGTGCCTTGGGTCAATGGGATTGTTGGGAGGACAAAATCCAATTGCACGATGTTGTTGGATCTGTACTCTGTGAACGGATAGGCGGAAGGTCGTGGGATAGATTGGGTCACAGCATTTGAATCAGTTTCATGATCTAACGGTCGGCCAGATCGAGTAGAAAAAACGCAAAATGAAATGAAAATGGAAAATGAATTAATAGTTTTGGGGAAATGGAGGATACGAGAAAGAGCGGATTCTGCGGATGCCGAATGCGGATTGAATGCGGGTTGCGAGAGGGAGTACGACAAGTTGAGAAAGACGAGAAAAACAACGTGCAACAAAGCAAAATTCCTCTCTACTAGGGAGTTTGAAAAGAGAGAATTAAAGGAAAGAAAGGATTTATGAATTTATAAATTTCGTTTTTTGCCCCCCCTGGAAACGCGACTCAGGGGATCAGCCAAGTCACAAGTCCCAAATCACAAATCCCAAATCCCAAACCCCAAACCCCAAATGCATATAATCTAGGGAGATAACCCGTCCCAGGACACTGGAACTGCGTCCACCTTTGCATCCCTTGGATCGCCTTCAGTGATTCCACCAGGCCAGTTTACAAGTGGCGCACCTTGGTGATCACATTGTGGAGAGAAGGGAAGGAGCTGAAGAATGGATCGAACCAGTCGGTCATTATACTTTCGGATATGTTCAACAAGCACGAACACATGCTCAAGCTGAGAATAGCTCTAGGATGTTCCTTGAGAGATTCATTTCAGCTGTTAAAGGTGGCGGGTGCGACTCAGCCACAGTTTGACTCTCCTGCAAGAGGCTGCAAACGGAATGGACTTGGATCATATTCCAGGACGGACTGACCGACCATTTCATCACATAAAAGGCCGATCGATCCCCATATCAAAATGTTGGAGAGTCAGAGTCGGTCTAATTATAGTTTCCTATCCTGGCATAACTTGCCAACTGTGCCGCTTATTCGAGTCATACTTTCTTTATTTTATTACATTATTTTATCCTTGGATTCCATTTTATAATATTGACACCCATTAAATACGCCCAATATATACGCTCCACTTATTCCGGTCTTTCTTAATACTTCTTTTCAAAATACCCCGTACTTTCTACAGTAGAGTAAGCTAAAAATAACAAAGTTCCGAAATTCAAGCCAAGAAAAAGGGGAATACACGCTAACCCCGTATTCTTGACCAATTAAGAGTCGACATCCGCCCGCAGCATCTCGTGTGTTGACGCCCAGTGTGATTCCAGGGATTCGAGAGGGCTCAAGAGCCTCTTGGGACTGAGTCAAAGACCCTTGAAATCCCCGAAACATGGTCGGCACCATGTGGGTTTTCTTGATCCCTCCCAGTCTTCCAAAATGGCTCTATACAGCAGATATGGATACAGCTATGAGAATGCCTGGGATGAAACAACCGAATTAACCTACAAACACTTTCCACAATCCTACCAAAAACTCTTTTTCTCCAACTTTGCCTTTGACTGCCTTACCTTTCTCGCCCTGACTAGTTTTCTCGTCTGGGCATGCGCTATCCGACCTTCCAACCAAATCCTCAAGGGTGTCATCGCCGCACTTGTGATGTGGATGGTGTATGTCTCTAAACCATAACATTCAAAGTTGATCATTTACATTTATACTAACACTAATTATTACCATCCCCAGCACTCAACTTACAGACATAATCTACGAAATCCTGGTCCTTGCCTCCGCCGTCGTCAAACAGTACTACGTAATCGACTTCATACTTGAAGACCTCTTCGAGGTGATCTTCAGCTGTATATTGTTCCTGGTCTTCTATCAAATCATCCACGAACTGTTGGACCGACTTACCGATTCCGGGAAACCATACGCACCTCTACGAGTGATCCACTGGATCGTGGTAAGCATCCTCGCCATCCTTTCCCTAGCCGAATTTGCCGTCTACGTCGTATTCGAGTACGAAATCGTCGAGGATACCCTCACTTTGTCATTCTACAATGATTGGCGCAAGCTCTATGGCGTCCGCTGCCTAATCTACTTCATTGTGGCATTTGAGATCTTTGCTTGGACGGTGTTCGTGGCTGTTAAGGGAAAGCACCGATTTGGTTCACGGGTAAGCTTCCACACACATACTTTCGCATCGAATCAAACCAGACCAGGCCAGGAATACTAATGATGTCTCCGTAGACGCCTCTCTTCGCTCTACTTCTCGGTAGTCTATCCTGGTTCGGCTATAGCTTGATGCTTGGTGTTGTCACCATTCGCTACTATCTGATGCCATCCACGTATGCCTATATCGACGAACCGGAGTATCTTGGAGTTATCACGTCGGTTTTCGCGTTCGTGTTTGTTATTGGTATCTTCACTGGTGTTCTTCTTTGTCTTATGAACTGGTTTAAGCTCGCTGGGGGTCAGATTTCGGCGCCGCTTTCAACCTCGGTGCACTACCCTCCGGCTCAATACCCCCCGACGCAATACCGTCCCGCGCAATATCCTTACGAGACTCAGGTGTTTCAGACGGAGCAGCCTCATGAGCAGAATGCGCAACAGTCGTACTATCAAGCCAAACCTGTCTCGAGATTATGAGAACAGAATGGATGGAACGGTATGACTAATGGGGGATTGGGCTGTCAATGAGACTGTTCCATTTGCTGGGAGAAATCTCATTCGCCCACTATTGTGATGTTTAGATGCTGTTATCATATACCCTATAATACCTAATCGTCGATGAATGACCTTGTCTATTAACTCATCTTGAAGATGACTCCATGGTATAACCGTCACCTACAATGTATGTAAATATGGATCATTCCAAGTCTCTCATCCATAGATCCTGATCCTGGAGTTGACGGTCTGGTTGGTCTGGATGGCCTTTGCGGTTCATGCGTCGGCTTGAGTCTTACTTATAAAGTGACCTAAGAAATCTTTTCAAATGAGTTCGATTGACAGAAAGGAAAAAATCTAGTTATACATGGCATGCGGGAAAGTATATGCAGTGCGTCAATAACGCTTATGCCAGAAACAAATCGCTGGTTTCTGAGCCATCCTCGGTCTCACTTTTCATCCGACAAATACACGCTCCCCTGAAATCAGATCCAGTAAAGAGCTTAACGATCAGCGAGCATGTTCTTGACGGAGCTGTAGTATTTCTGCGTCACGAACTGCGGGAGCTCGTCCTTTGACACCCACTTGAAGTCCTTCAGCTTCTGCAAACTGTTAGACAGGTCGGCCTGACCGGCCATGATACGGGCCTTGATGAAGAAGGTCTTCTCGCCGTGGGACGAGACACCGGTAGCCTCATCAATCTGGGGTTTGCGGTTGTTGTAGACGTGGTGACCGGCGGGGTGGAAGCCGACCATCCAGGTGTTCATGTTGACACCGGCAGACTGGGCCAGGGTACGTTCGGCGGCCTAGTAAAAAAAATTAGTAAAGAGAACCTGAGACAGCTAGGACAAAAACCCACCTGACGAAGAGTCTCGTCCACTTCCACCGGAGAGCTAGGGAACTTCCAGTATCCCTCCTTCGACTGAACCAGCAGGTACAAAGTTCTGGACAACAGACGGTTCAGACTCTTGTAATCGCCCTTCTTGTCGGCCTCGGTCACGCGCGAGTGTGGCCGCGGGATCTCTTCCTTCTTGCTGGTATCCTGGGAAGTCGCATTGGCGGTCGACTCGGCATCCTGCAACAGCATCTCGACCTGGTGCTCGGGCTCTGACTCCTTGGCACCAAGAAGCAACTCGTCGTTCCATGCATCATTGGCGTACGCGTTGTACTTTCCGATATCGCGCGCAGGAGTGAGGCGCTCTTGAATCTTCTTCTTCCAGTCCTCGTCTAGTGGGGTACCGCGCTTGAAGTAAAAGTATTTGGTAAAGGGGAGGGCGAGACGCTCGTTCAAACGCTTCTGGTAGAAATAGAATGCTTTCTCAAAGGGCTCCAGGTCGCGGGTGATCTGGGGAGGGCGGGAGAGAACGACGCCGGCGTTGATGGTGTAGACGGGGTTCACGGAAGATGTGGAAGGAGAAGGAATGGAGGATGCAGATGTAGATTCGGTGGCAGCAGAGGCATAATTGCGACGGCCCAATGTCTCTTGACAGCTTCGACACACGGCAGAGTCGAGTCTTGATGGGCCTGGAATGGGTCAGTGGGGATAACTGCAATTGGGGCAATGAGACATACGCATCAGCGACGCTATGCGCCGAGCACCATTAGTTCCTGTAGTCATCAGGAATAAATTGATTTGGTAATGATAGGGTCCCCTTTGATAGACTCGGTCATGTTCGTTGTTGCTGAGAAAAGTTCTGTCGGAACAATGGATCATGTAATCAACTTTATTAGTCAGCGTACCACATGTTAAATTGCTGTGGTGGAGACTAGAGAATACCAGACAAGTACACAGACGTGACCCATACCATTGGTACATGCTGTTCGACCCTGATTACGTGTTCAGAGAGTTATGAGCCCGGATTATCTCTCCTACCGTGATATTTTGATTGAATATACGTTCTAGAAGCTCTCCTCGACTTGCGACGACAGGATTGTTTACCCCTGAGATCACTGACGACGACAACAAAGTTGCCGCGTCAACCCCTCCGAAGAACACGACAATTGAGAAAGGATTGAAAGCCATTTGAAACCAACTAAGGATGGACCCCACGGTATCTGTCTCACAATGGAAGGGTGAGAAGCTGAAAAACAGCTCTCATTGGCCAGCTTGGTACTCTGCGATGAAGCAGTTTGCCAAGACTAGGAAAGTATGGGATTATTGCAATCCTGAGAAACCAGCCCCGGAAGTGCTGGAGGAGCCGCAGGCCCCCGCACGACCGCGGTTACATATCCCACGAGGGGCAACTACAGAGGTAGCCAAGACCCTAAGGGAAGAGTTTAAGGATCGTCAGATGGAGTATAGCTACGACCATGACGATTACAAAGAGGAGCTCAAAAGGTATGAGAAGGTGGAAAACGGCCTACAATCAGTTGAGTTCGTGATCACTGCGTCAACAGATACTAAGCTACACCGTCTCATGGATGATCTTGAGACTCCGTACGAGAAGATTAGCTTTCTCAAGAAGCGCTTCTCACACACAAAGTCTCACCAGAATGAAGTCCTGCTACGCTGGGCAGAAGGGTGCGTACGACCACCAAAGAAGGGTCAAAACGTACTATCCTGGCTAGAAGAGTGGGAGCTGATACGTGATGAAGCGGTCAACCTAAAAGTGGAGAGTGACACTGCGCAGCATCCGCAGCTGTTTTTACATGCTGTAAAGGACATCCTACCGGTCTGGTGGGAAGCTCGGTTCCAGGATATCGTACTAAGAAGTAATACAATCGAGATAAATGATCTGATTGAGTCCTTCCGTACCTCCTATACTATGTCGTATTCCGAGACTACCAAGAAGAATACCAATTCTATATCCAAAGCAGCATTTGCCACATCGACCTGGCAGGGTAAAGCAGAGGCTGAAACCTCTAGAACCGAAAGAAAAGACGGGAAAACTGGACCATTTCAGGACCGGAGCTACTGCCCTTGTGGCATGAAACACCCGGTCACCCGGTGCTGGGTGTTGAATGAAGACCAACGACCGGATGGGTGGATGGGCCTACGAAAGGCCTCCGAAGCGCTGAAGAAGTCATTCAAAAAGGAACCAGAGTGGAAGGTCTGGGCCGAAAACCAGATCAAGAACTCACCTGACTTGGCAGGAAAACCGTCTGGATCAGCAAATTTAGCCCACGTTGGCTTTGCCACAGTCGCCCTATCAACTGAAGTTGATACCAAGTACCGAGACCAATGGGTATTGGATACCGGAGCAAGCGTACACGTATGCAACGACCGGACCAAATTTACCGAGTATAAGGAAGACCCCTCGTATCTCCGTACGGGTGACAATCGGACCGCAATTGCTGGAGTCGGTACAGCAACCTTCACCGGAAGGGATCCTACAACTGGCAGACCGCGTGTGGTTAACCTGTATAACTGCCGTTATTCTCCAGATTTTCACTGCAATTTGGTTTCCTTAGGCAGGATAGAGGACCATGGAGGATGGTGGGATATGAAGCAAGGAAGGATTATGATTGGAGATCAACCTATTCTTGAGACCTACCGAGAACATGATATTTATCTGTTCTCACAGACGCGGGATGAACGTACAGTTTTTCGGCCGAAAACAGAGGGTCGTACGACTACGATCAAGACCCAAAACAACACCCAGCATAAAACTGCACTTGCTACCCGACGATCAGAGAAACCGTTGAAATCGTCTGCCAATACTAATACGTGGCATAAACGACTTGGCCATGTCTCGAAGGCAGCAATTTAGCAACTACCGAAACTGGTCAGTGGAGTTGAGGTTGTACGAAGCACGGAGGATGGGGAAGAGCGACCGGATGATGAAATTTGTACGGTCTGCAGCTTGGTCAACGCTCCACGACAGGTCTCGCGGAGACCGATAGGCAAGCACTACGGACGGTGCGGGAGGGTCTACTTTGACCTAATTCAGGTCATTATGGGATATAATCAGCACTGCTGGATAACCCATTTCTACGTTGAGGGTATCCGGTTCCACTGGTTAATGACCCATGTGAACAAAAACGGGTGCCAGGAAGCGATCAGAAGCTTTATCGCTTTCGCTATTCGCTGGCTAAATTTGCCGATTAAGGTGTTCCACTCTGATAAAGAGAGATCAGTTGATGAGAGTATTCTACTGCTAATTAAGCAGCTGGGGTGTGTTCACACGTTTACAGTCCCGTATACGCCTGAGATGAACGGTCCGGGTGAGCGTGCTGGAGGTGTGATTATCCTTAGAGCGAGAGCGCTTCTAAAGGAAGGAAAACTACCCGATAAACTATGGCCAGAAGCGGTAAAAGCGGCAGTATACCTGCTGAACCGTACGCCTACGAGATTGGAAGATGGGACTTGGATAGTTCCATGGGATGAAGCACGGCGCTTTATTGGGTTCAACCAGGGTACCGAGGGTACTCCTGTCAATACTCCCACAAAGACGTCGCTTGCGAATATCAAATTGTATGGATCACTTGCATACTGCAGGATCCCCAATATCCCGAAACTTGACAAAATGAAGTCACGAGCTGAGATAGGATATCTCGTTGGCTACGTGGCCTCGAATATCTGGCAAATCTGGATACCGCACCGTGGTCAGGTCAGGATGGTCCGAGACGCAGTTTTTGATGAAAACCGACGTTTTTCGGCAGAGAACCATGACCCGGATGAAGGGGTGAAGCTACCAGTTCCAGAGGACTATCCTCCCACAATCATGGAGGAAGGACTAGAGGTCGACTGTATTCGACAGGGTCTCGACGAACAGACTGCTCGTACGAGTATTCCCGAGAGTACCCCAGAAGGGAGCTCTCCGGGACGGTCCTATAGAGCAAGAGATGCGGATGATGTAGACGTCATACAGGATCAAGAATCTGGAGGATCTAGAGAACCACAGGAGACGACAATACCACACTCGGGACAAGATCAAGTTTTTGTGCACAAAACCCCAATTGATCATACCCCACCACCGGATTATCCAGTTAGAAGCAATTCTGCGGAAACTACCACTGATCAAGGGGTGAGGGATGATCCTGAGCGTCTCGCTCAGGACCATAATCAAATAGATCAGACGCCTGTTTCGCCAGTATCACTACGGGAACCGAGCCCGGAGGATCAACTCCAGGACCAATTACAGCTATCCCTACAGGAGAGCGTTAAGCAAGAGGATCGTACGACATCGGCCAAGAACGACTTGGCAGGGTCATTGCCTAAGGATCAAGATCGCGATTGTGCAGCTGTGGATACCAGCAATATCATCCAGGGACCGAGGGTGCGAATATCGAGACGAGACCGAGACTACGCCTATAACACCATGTTTATCGATGACGACAACGGCGACGATACCACAACAACCACTTTACAAGCGTTTGCTACCGGTCTTCTAGCACCAAAACCGTCGCTACGGCAGCATCGAGATGACCTACCACCTCCACCACAACGATTCCGAGACGTCTGGAAACACCCATTGAGCGAAGGTTTTAGCCGAGCTATGAGGGTTGAACTAGACGGACTACAGGCCAAAGAGACGTACAAAGTCGTGGAAAGGCCAAAGGATCGTGGGATACAAGTACTGCCCCTCATGTGGGTATATGCTTATAAATTTGATCAAGATGGGTTCTTGATTAAGTGCAAAGCCAGAATCTGCGTACGTGGGGATCTCCAGACGATCTCAGACGCAGACAAGCGAGCTGCCACACTGGCAGCCAGAACTGCCCGTATGCTATTTGCCCTGAGCGCAGCGTACGACTTAGATATCCGACAGCGAGATGCGGTAAACGCTTTCCTAAACAGCAAGCTCCTAACAGAAGTATACACTCTGATGCCCGAGGGTTTTATGACTCAGGGCAAGTGCTGGAAGCTGCTACGGGCGCTGTACGGACTGAGAATTGCTCCACGACTTTGGCAGCGAGACGCAGCGCGTGTACTGAGAGAGCTTGGTTTACAACAGGTTGCCGAGGATCCGTGTGTTTTTGTTGGGGATGGGATTATCGTATTCTTCTACGTCGATGATATCCTAATCGCCGGCCACCACACTGCCCGCGAGCGTGCTCAGCAGCTAGAACGGGAACTCGAGAAGAATTGGCAGCTGACTGACCAAGGGGACGCTGAGTGGTTTCTAGGGATCAGAATCCTACGAAATCGCAAAGAGAGAAAGCTCTGGCTAGTGCAGGACAGCTATTTTGCCAGTGTTGCTGAGCGGTTTAACCTGGCTCACCGAGCTCCGGTCTGGACTCCGGGAACCACGGAGATCCTAGAGCCATACGACGGGCAAGCTACAGCCGAAAGCATCCACCAATATCAGCAGCGAGTGGGCTCAGTTCAATATGGTACCACGATTACCCGCGCGGACGCAGCAAAGCGAGCGTCTATCTGCGCACAGTTCCTGACCAACCCTGGTCCGAAGCACCACCAAGCAATTGAGCGCTTAATCTGCTACCTCTATACCACACGGTTCTGGGCTATACAATACGGTCCAGTTGACAACGACAGCGAAGTGGTGAAGTTCTCATCAGATGCTTCGTATGGGGATATGGGTGACCGGACTAGCTCCGCAGGATATATTTGCCAGTTCTTCGGTGGACCGGTGGACTGGAGGGCAACCAAGCAGAAGACCGTGACCACGTCGACGACGGAGGCTGAGTTATTAGGCCTATCAGACGCAGGAAGGTCACTACAGTGGTGGGATCGTCTATTTGGAAGGATTGGTTTCAAATATCCGGAGGGTCTCACAATCGAGTGTGACAACCGCCGTACGGTGGACTTGATCAACGCAGAGGATACCCCCTTCGATACCAAGCTCAGGCACGTTGATATTCACGGGCACTGGCTGAGACAAGAAGTCAAGGAAGGCAGGGTGCGGATCAAGTGGGTACCAACCGCGCAGATGCTCGCGGACGGACTCACCAAGATGCTGCCGAGGCAGAAGCATGAAGCTTTTGTCAGGATGCTGGGATTGACGGACGTGCGTCATCTCATTGAGGAAGAAAAATAAGTCATACTTGCCTAATTAGTAAGTAGAGGCTGTTTTGAAAAGATCGCAGTTCTGAAGGAATTGTGTCTATTCTGTTGCTTCTGAGAAGCTTTGAATGATTCAAGTGACCATTTATGGCAACTGCGCAGCTTTGCCAGGACTGCCAAAGCTGAAGGGGTGTGTCGGAACAATGGATCATGTAATCAACTTTATTAGTCAGCGTACCACATGTTAAATTGCTGTGGTGGAGACTAGAGAATACCAGACAAGTACACAGACGTGACCCATACCATTGGTACATGCTGTTCGACCCTGATTACGTGTTCAGAGAAGTTCCCCCGGTCACGTTTGCGCTAGACCTAAAACAGACTAGCATAATCACACTGTTTAAAACCCGCGAAAACTCCAATCTGAACTTCTTTTCCCTCAAGCATCCATTACCTTATCGTCACTGTGTCTAGATCCCACGGCCAGTCGTCCATTTAGAGGTGCTTAGAACGATTTCGCGGCTGATTCGCTAGCGGTAGCTTCTTGAACACCAAGGTGTACCGTTAGATAGATGCGGCGAACACTTCTGCACTCATAATGCAAATAATTATAAAATTTCTCAAAATTCAATGTCCACTGCGAACGTTTGCTTATACCACCTCATATCAAATAACTTCCAGCAAACAAACCAAATCTGAACTTTGCTCTAGCTTAAATTCATAATCCGCTCCGTCGTGCCAAACACCCGTAGTTTGTTCCCGTAAACTCTCCAAAACTTGCTATCCAGGCGGGGTACCAACTGGCCACCTTGCACCTTTTTAGCAACTTCCTCCGATCCACTCTCATCCAGAGCAGATCGTCGTTTGGGTGGTGAGCTTTCATCATCACTGAACTCAATCAAATCGGCTTCTATAGCTGAGGTTCCAGCTTTGATTCCTTTCGCCTGTTCTTCCTTGAACTGCTGCTCCATTTGGCAGATCTGAGACGGCTCTTTGGCAACGCAGATCTTCATACCTTCCAGATCTGCCGATTTGCAATATTGAATTTGGCCCTTCTGAAGCTGGACTGACAGCTTCATGAAGATGATCGCCGATAGCATGCTGTCATAGCCGGCTTCATGACTGCTTTTTCGCACAGTATACTTCACTGCTTGGTCATCGATTACTTACGTTCATTAGTAGGGTCGTTAGTCTAAAGAACCACGCGGTACATACGGATAGTGGGTTTTGATACGTTTACCAACCTGCGGGCGACTTCATCCAGCGAGGAGGCTGGGTTGATAGAGCCCGCATCGTGAGTCGCAAGGTATTTCGTGTCAACCACATTAGGTAACACGCCATGGATCAGTTTCTGGAATTCCTCCACGTCATCTGGCAGAGGTCCAATAAACCCACTGTACAAGAAGGCGAGATCCATGAAGCAATTATGTCCGATCAAAACCGGCCGGTTCTCCTGGAGGCGTTTCCGAATAATTCTGGCAAGGTCTGCTGCTCCATAAGGCGAAGATCCATTTTTCATGACGAAGATACTAAAGGTTTCGTCGGGGAGCTCCGATAAGTCTCCTCCGACCAAGGCCTCAATGAGCCACCGAAATCCCACATGCCGGCGGATTGTAGTCTTCAATGCATTTGCCTTTGCTTTATTGGCGTCCTTATCCTTGACAGGGTCAGCGAAATCAATCTGCACGAACATAGGTCTACTTCTTGATTTGAGTTTTGGATATTCCGCAGTGACGAGCTGATGCACGAGCCGCTTTTCCATGTTATTTAGGATACGAGGGAGAGGCGTACCGGCCTTGGAGCGGGGGTAGACATGTGACGGGATGTTGAGATAATCGGCGCGTTTGTCCTGTGATAAATTAGATTTATCCAGTGTTTGAAGTTAGAAACCATACCTCACTCTGGGCCACCCACCAGTCGATCACTCGACGTGTGGCTCCAAGGAAATTGATTGTTTCTTTATCAGTTTCCTTTACTGTAATCTCGGAGATCGCGTTTGTGATACTCCATCGCTGGTGGGCAATGATCATGCATTGAATCTCTTCCTCCCGAGAGAGATATCGCACCCCGTATTTACACAATGACTCCATGCTGAATTGGTGCTTCATTAAGAATTCCATAGCTAGAGACAATTAGCATCGGTCTTTCAGCACTCGGGGATCGTCTTACACCAGCTCATAAAGGTCCAGTCTCGATTGACATCTAACGCCCGGTCGACGAATGGACTGAGGTTGATGTTGTAAGGCGCCATTGTGTAGGTTGCTGTCCGTATTAGCTAGGTGCCAACCCCCGATATACTTGATAGTGTACAGACCATTAGTTGTGTTCTCTCGGCATACAGTCAGACCAATCTGGAGAATCTGATATCTCTCTGCGGCGGCCTTGACTTCGAGGTAACGTTCCTGGAGCGATTGATCTTTGGAAAGCTTGCTGGTTGGAACAATTGCAATGCCGGAGAATTCCAAATCAATAGCCACAAAGCAGCTGCATGAGATCTGGTAGAGAATCCATGGCAAAAGAGCAGCAAAGTTCCCTCCCGTCACGTCCATCTTGAAGTGGGATCGTGGTTGTAGGCGTGGCGTTTCGTGGAGAGAGTGTGAAAGGTGGAAATATTTCAGACTGAAGAGATGTGAAAGAGATGATTGCTGCCTTTGTTCTCAATTCGTTTGCAGAAGATCTCGGAATGAATATGTATCTCAAGGAATGTTCCATCTGGCCCATCAAAGCTCAGTATTTATACCTTACACACTAAGGATTGAATAAGTTATGATACGAAGATTAATGAACACTCTATGTACAACTTGAGCATATTCAGGTCACAATGATGATTTACTTCGAATTCAACCCAAATAATAACATATTAAACCTCAGTTTTAATTCATCATCTTATCACTACTTCCCCGGGCTTGATAGAACGAAACAGCCTGAGCTTAGCGTTAAACTTCAAGGCCGAGAGTGGTGCTCCTGGAGTACGTGTCGTTGACTATACAACTGGACGGGAATCATCTGGTAGGGTCTCCTTTGATTATGGCTATCTTGTCCCAGATGCATATATTGACCTCTTGGCTAACTTGAAAATTAAAAACATCAATTGTCCTGATTTTGACCCTATATACATGTGTGTACACTGTATAGTCCCGTGACCAACCCCGGACTTGGATGAGCCGAGGGAAAACGAAAGCCGATCAACGCCATTCCCGTCACCAACTTGTCATCTCCATAGTCCCTTTCCTCTTTCCTTTTGCAATTGACTCTCAACATTTATGATCTCGCGCGATGACTGACAGCATGTCATCCCACACTCAACTCACCACTGCCACTTCCCCCACGAAGCTCTGCTCTCGCACCTACAAGACAGCTTCCCAGCTATTCCTCACACGACGTCTACCAGAGTCTCTTGCAAACCTCCAGCCCATTTTAACAGTCCCATCATCCCCTGAAGACTCGCAAATCAATGGCGACCACTCCACAGCTGTCGCGCCGATCGCCACCGCCTCCAGCACGTGGAGAATCAAGGTGTGGAACTTCTACATTACCCTCCTCAGCGCGATCGTAGAACTCGGCCCGGAAGAAGGCAAGAATCAATTTGGGCAAAAGGAATGGAAGGAAATGGCGACACAGGTCCGCGAGGGCGGGATCTGGGAGAATGTGGTACAGATCGGATACCGAGGTCGGGAGGGCTCCGTGGACGCCGAGGTAGTTTACGTTTTGTAAGTGGCGGTCTTGTTTTCCGCGGGGAGATCGAATGTCGCTAACGTTTGACAATCATTATCCAGGGCGACATTAATTCTGAATCACTCATCCTCGCAAGCACTCAACCAACAACGACTTGAAACATACCTGTCATCTTACGGACAGCCCAATCTAGACTTGGCGGACCGACTACAGAATGCCTCCGGTGACTTTCAACAGCAACGAATCTCCGCGGCGAGTGGGACAGATACACCGAAAGATTTGGCCGCTCGAGTACGAATTATTGAATTATTCACATTGCACGTCCTCCCCCGCAATGGGGAATGGGAATACGCACATGAGTTCATCAACTTGAGCGAGGTTCTGGATGAAGAACGCAAAGAAATATTCCTACAAACATTGGAGGGACTTAAGGAAGAAAAAGAGCGAGGGGAATTGCGCGCTGCAGAATTGCAGCGTGCTAAAGACGCCGAGCTTGAGCGACAACGGGACGACGAACGCCGAAGAGCTGAGGAGGAAGCTGCTACTGCTGCCCGCCAACAGCAACCGAATGGTCATAAGCGCAATACCAGCGAGGTGGATTATGGAATTGAAAAAGGTAGCCCGCGCAGTGGCTCCAAGGGCAAAGCATCCAGATCGGGAGACAAGTCGCCGAGTGGAAAAGCAACGCCACGTACAGCTCTATCATCTTCCAACTCCAAGAGTTCCAAGAAACCCGTCAAGGCTGAATCCCGGGCTAGCCATGCACGAGCGGTGGCTATGGGAATCCGCAATTTGTTCAAGAATTTTATCCAGAACGTTTCTGGGAACCCTATGTCATTAGCCCGCACATTACTCTTCCTGCTGGGTATCCTGATGGCGTTTAGCCGGCAAGATATACGTGAACGAGTCCGCAGGGTCACAGGATCTGCATGGCAGAAAGTGAAGGGTACAGTTGGAATGGGTGTGAAGGTCAGCTATATTTGAAGTTGCCGTGTCAACTGCATGATTATTCCTGTATATTTCTTTTGTTTTCGATCTGGATATCCTGCCTTGGTCATTGGTGATTGAATCTGATGCATAAACATTTCCTACTACGATTAGTCTATTCATGTATTATCTAGGTACTGTACCATTCACATGTGAGCTCAACATACCCACGAAATGATTATTCCGATACACTTGCATCCCTAATGTCTCGGATATACCAATGATCTTCTACCTCCCTTGACGTTCATTCCAGCTACGATCAAGAACATTAATAGACCGCTGAGCTACAAAACCATCAGCATCCACCCAGAAATCGAACTCGAACCAAGGTGTCAAACATACCAGAAGGAACAACATCCAAAGCCTTGATAGAGACATTGACTAGTTGACTCAGCATATAAACTGCTGCCTGAGCAACATCCTCCGAAACAAGCGGCCTACACAATTTGAACATTAGCTTGAAAAAACCAACCAAAGTACTCAAAAAACATACTCATATCCCTCAACAAAAAAATCAATTCATCCCCTTATCATGACCAACCCTCAGCGAATGGTAATTAGTCGCCACAACCCCCGGTCTCAAATCCAAAACCTTAATATTGTCCCAGCCAGCTCATTCCGCAATGCATTCATGAGCACCTCTTGCGCAGCGTTACTATTATAAATACTCGTATTGTCAGAATTAGCAGGGTTTTATTGTCTTTGATATCTCTAGATTGAATTATCAAGCAAAAAGGTCCAATTGACGTCACTAAACAGGCATGGATCCACTTTTCTACCCCATTGAGAAAGACTATTACAGTAAATACAGAGGTGGATGCTAAAGGTGTAGTCCTTGTGTTCTCATCAACTAAAAACGTATATTCAAACTGGTTGGTGGAAGAAATGTGCAAGAAATAAATATGAGATCGGGTGTCATCATGCTAACAACACGGACACCGACCAAGATGCACGTTTAAACGCTAATAGCATCTGAGAAGCGCAGAAGAGTACTACCCTGACGAGCAGCAACCTTAACAAAGGAGGTACCCAAGATACTAACAACAGCCTGCGTTTCAAACCCAGTGCGGTCAACAGTAGTAAGCAGTTTCGTCGCATTAGAGCTCTCAGAAGGAACAGAGTAAACAGCCCAGTTATCATACTCGGTAGCACCATTCCAGCTCATATAAACAGTAGCTGAGAGGAGAGAGGTCTCGGCGACAGCGACAGGGTTCCAGAAAGGTGTAGCAGTCCAGGGAAACTTGAAGGCACGGTAAGACTCGCCGTGGCCCAAGGGATCGAACTGGCCGGATAGGACAACATTGCCAGCACCATCGTATTCTTTGACCTTGGGAGTGGAGCCGTAGCCCATGAAGAGATTGGAGGTTGTGGCGGCGGCGCCCAGGAACTGGAAGCTACCTTGAGTCTGGGTGTAGACTGCGTCGTTGGGGTCGGATACGTTGTACATCAGGGTACCGGCCATGCTGGTCAAGTCGACTTCAAAAGCCATGCCGGTTGTTTCGCTTTGGGACTCGCCTTGGCCGTTGGCGTTGTTGAAGATGCTTAGAATGAGGGCCTCGTCGGTCTCATTGTATATGCGGGCGTGGTGTTGCCAGGAGAAGCGGATATCGTCGCCAGTGAAATCGCCCTCGTCATCATCGGCGCCCTTTTAGAATTAAATGTTAGTGATATGAAGGGACCCGGTTTTTGAAGACTTACGGAAAGTTGCCAGCGGACGGTACCGTCTTGGTTCAGGTAGAAGGCGGACCAGTAGAAACGCATGGAGATCAGGAAGCCCTCGTTGGTAGCTTCGACGGAGTTCATGTGGTAGCAATCCCAGGGTGTCTCTCGAGAGACACCGGACTGGACAGCCTGCTTGGATGCAGAGAGGGGAATGCCAGCCTGGTGCTCGAGAGCATCCCACTTGTAGAGGACCTCATTGGTAGGAATGTCAATCTCGTAGAACTGGCTGACGGTCATCCAGCCGTCGGTTGGGCCACCGGCAGAGCTGAGGTCGTACTCGGTGACGTTAATAGCCGAGACGATAATAGTGTTCCGAGGAGTGATGATATGCTCGTGAACATCGATGTAGGAGTCCCGGGCCTCACCGCTGGCGGTCTGGAAGTTCCCATTGAGGGTGATTGTGTAGATCTCGTTGTATGTTTCGTCGAGGATGTGAACAGTACCGTAGCCGTATCCACCGGCGATCTCGGGTACACCGGACCAGAAGGTGATGACATTCTTGCCGAACAGCTTTTGCATCTTGAAGTCCATGGTGATCTCCTCGGGGCCCTGGTAGACGAGTTCGCCATCATTGTCGTAGATTGTCACCGCGGTACCGGCCGTGTTGGAGTTACGGACTGGGATGAAAATCAGGCCCGGATCGACATCGCCAGTCTTGGTCAATTCCAGCTGAGGAGGCTGCCAGGGACCGGTTTTGTAGGTGTAGTTGGTCCAGGTCGCATCAGCGAGGGTGGACAGCAAAAGGGCCCCGCAAGCAGAGAAGGTAGGCCGCATTCTGGGCGGTATTAAGGAATAAATTATAGTAAATGAGTGTGGGCCTAGGGCTGAAGGCGAATATTTAAAGTGAATGACGAAAATTTAAGCTTAAAGATAATAAAAGGTAAAGAACGGTAAGAAGAGAATAGGGTCTAATGGGCTCTATAAAGGATCTATTGAGACCGCGTAGATTACATCGTCCATCCTTTCCTTAAAGAGTCAGCGAGAGCAATATGGAAAACAGACGGTCGTCCGATGGGCTCCGCTGTTAGAACAATCCAGATAGATTGAATGGAACCAGGCGGGATATGCCGGTGCTCGTCAGATGAGATCGACAAGAAATACCTGTCTGCAGGGTGAAGATGCTCCACGCGTTTTCAGAGTTTTGCGGTTTTCATGAGTCTAGTCTTTTACTTTGATTGGTCCAATTTCCCTGTCAGTGCTTGCCATTTTAGGGTTATGAGTCCATTGGGCCAAGTGATTGGACCTTCTGGAACATCGCTAGCTGAGGAATGACATTTAAGGAGCACAACCCAGCCCAATGTGACCTTGAGGGCACCAGATGTGGTTACGCTGGGAAATTGAGTCCCCACTGTAAATCTTCTAAAGCTCTTGGCGAACAGAAATGAAAATCTTAATTTCCAAAACTAAATCTCCGTACCTGACTCGTTCTTCAAGTGGAGCTGAAACAGGGACAGGAACAGGGTTAGATAACGATCGAGTTTTATTCAATAGAGCGTGCAGGTAAGCTCCGTGCATTCACCTTAAAGTCAAATAAATGTAAGATGTTTCATAAAATCCAGTTTCAATTCCCAAAGTATCAATCCATGTTGATTGTTGTTATTCAAAATTTCCAGGGTTTCGATAGTTTGTGGATCGAGAAACTTGGAGATTAAGTGATCTGCACTAGATAATCCCTAATTGGGATTCACACTCGCTCTGCGGCTGAATGGGAGAAAATGACCGAAACAAACTTGTATATCAGCCTCTCTATTACTTACAACGTGGACTTTGCCACTCAAAACCTATCATTCAACTTCCATTTCTTATTTCCAGTTCTTTACTTAGAATTTTGGAGGGCACTTGGATTACTTGACTAATATGGGAGGAAAGAGGGTAGGAAAGCAGGTAAGGCCATATGGTAGGAGATGTAATAGGAGACTGGATAGGATAGTGGGTAGATTAATGGTATATGAGGTATTTTAGAAACATTATTATTCTAGACGCCACGCCTCTTGCGCGAAGGAAAGCCTCTAGTAGGTAAATCCCCGATACACCCGTCTGAAAATATCCCTCGTTTGATGCGCTGTATCGTTCTTTTTCTTTTTGCTTTTGAGATTATCCCTCTTTCTGACATGAGGTCAAGGAAATGTATTTGAATTGCAGAGAACATATTTCATTCTCGGCTTAAGATTTTGAACTGAGCTCTAATGAAGGTAACGCCCTTTCTCCCGTGACCTCGGGCGAATCACCGCGTGCGATCTGCTCTCCATCTCGCTTTTCTATGTATGAGTGCCACTTGCGGAAAATTTGAACAAAGAAATGAGCCACACAGATCTGCTCAGTGGTATAGAGCAGCACGGGCACGGATGTTTGAGCCTTGAGGTATAGGTCTAATGGTGCCCACATGGCATACAGTAGCGGGATTCCGAGCGCCGTGCTTTTTGCTGGACCGCAGAAACAAGCTGCAATTGTCTCTTTTGGGGAAAGAGGCTGAAACACAGTTTTATACCACTTGTTTGAGGCAAAGATTTGAGGTGGTCGAGCACTGATGAAACAAACTCCAGTGAGGAAGATATAGAGGGCGATGTTGAACAATACGACAAAGACAATACTCTGTGTGTCCATTTCCTGAAGGGCCCCTGTGGCAAAACAGGATGAGAATGTCGTCCTATGTATCATTAGAGGTAGTCGTGAGGTCGCTCCGAATAACTTACCAAATCAGCAGCAACATGCAGACAGATGCCAACTTGGGTAGCTTTGTCTTCTGCAACACCCAGGCTACACGATCAGGCCACGTCCATCGCACCAATTGTCCCACAAACAAAGGCAGCAACACGCTCAACCCCAGTTGCTGAAAGACATTTCTGTACATGCTGCTCATATCTCCACCGCCATACCTCCATACATCGAATTCAGGAGTCTTAGGAATCAAAGCCACAGTCCAAGCAGCAGTAAAAAACGGAGCAAGAACATTAGCGATTAGAACTTCCACTAGCGCAGCAGCATCATCGCCACCCGCAGATCGAGTCATGACCACATTCGAGGCGATCGTTGTCGGGATACACGCCACAAAGATATATCCTGCCAGCACAGATCGATCGATCTTCCCTGTCGGATCCCCAGCCAAAATGGCATAAACAACCGCCAAGACCACGGCGGGGATGAACAAGAAGGAAATCACCTGGACGGTGAGATGCAGTCTCCAGTTCATGAACTGCAAAAAGAGTTTCCGGCGATCGATACTCAGTCCTGAAATCAAGAAAATGATCGCGATCACTCCGTACATGACACTATACTGCGACCGAATGATTCCGCCATGCTTCGCAACATTGGGAAAACAGTAGGCTAGTGCACAGGCGACTCCCATCCCGATAAGAAGCCACTGGTGCAGGATGAACTTCAATATTCTCATTGTGATGACCTGCCACCGCGGGCGCGTTTGCCCTTCCTCAACGAACTCCGCCATTATCACTCTGTCCTGGAATGGCAACGTGGATCGTGACGCAAGTCAATCAGGCTGTTTCTATGAAGTAGCTGTCATTTGTATTAGGCTCTCACAGGGAGAGAGGGTTGAAGAGAATGAAATTGATGCGAGAGCACGTTCGGATTTGCTCCGATCAGCATCGGAATTTCATAACGGCGAATCCTTACGCCGTGTACTGATTCGATCACATATCTGTGGAATAACAGGCTAATAAACCTTTATCAGATGCAATCAGATAAACATACAACCCATGCACATCCATGTGGTCTCGATCACCATATAGACCTGATACATGCCAAGCTTTCTGTGGTCCCGACTCAAAGCGCCGATAATCGGTTACCCGAACACCCCAAGTCCGACCATGACACGCCGACTCATCACGGGATTACATGTGAAGTTGACTAGGCTCATGCAGCATGATGCAATACATCTACATCTTGAACTTCGCCCAATTCAATAATTTGTGCCTGATGGGAAGGGTTTTGTTTCAATGTTCAGCTCCATCAATAACCGATGCTTTCCATGTATCCGTAAATGTGGGTAAAACGTTCTACCGCCACTTGCCGATGACGTGCGCAACGATGATATTCATCGACAACGCGACACGCAGAACTGACTGTGATTCAATATTTCAGCTTAATATCAAGAGTTCCAAGAGTGACAAATGGTCTTCTGACTCAGAGCTCGCAAATGACCTTGGCTTTGTGCTTCTGCAGATGAACCTCGGCTGCGGGGAGCCTCTTGGCTGACCCCGAATTCTTCCGGGGAGAACAAGAGCGGAACAGAGTGCGGGACTGAGAGCCACACCAAAAGAAAAAGGGGGGGGGATCAGTTCCCAGGTTCCCGGAGTAATTCACGTCTCTCCCCGGGACTGGTATAGCATTGATGAGTTTATGGTTTTGTGGTTAGTCCAGGCAAAAAGAGCAAAGAGATAAAGTATAGTTGTTGAATTATATGCAGTCATAAGCAAACTAGGTTTTTTATATTTAACATTTTAAACTATGACGACAATTAAAGCCTTGACACATGTAAAGTCAGATCATTGGGGATCCGGGGGGATCTTTGACCTGTGACCTTATAACCGCAGCAATAGGAACCGTGGGGGAGTCGAAAGTCATCCGTCCTTGTTCCCGAAGGCCTCGGGATAATGGGATTGTCGGAATGACGCTTCATTTAATAAGATTACGAAGTCACCATCAAATCTTCAAATCTTGAACGAAACTTTCTCTCCCTCTCTTTCAATTTCCTTTGTCGCAACTTTGGAAGTCTCGATCTCAAGTGCTCTCCTGGCGGCAAAGAACTATATAACGACTTCCGTTCGTCCAGCTTCCCCGTCATAGCTATCTATTTCTCCACAAAGTTTCAGTGCCGCCACCCTATCCGAAACATTTATCCTCGGGTCTTTTTCCATTTGAAAAAAAAAAAAAAAAAAGGAACTCCTATAACTTAAACCCATTGTTTTCACCAAATCATTTTCTTTGCGTCATCGGACCAAAATCGGCTTCTCGAACCCCGGGATTGTATACTTCCGACTCCCTCCGCATTTCGCTTTTACCCCCGACTTTCGGGCAAACCCTTAACTTCCGATCAATTAGCTTTTGATAATATCGTCGCGATTTCTGTTTGATCCTTTGCACATATACCAAGAAAATCATGTCGTCCACGAACGCACAAGCAGGCAGTGGCCGGAAGAAGGCCACCTCTCCCGCCGTCAACTTGATTGGTAAATTGAACAACTGTCGCGAGATCTGGAACTTGATGCTGACTCGTTGAATAGCCGGTGGTGGTGCTGGTATGATGGAGGCTCTCGTGTGCCACCCTCTTGGTATGCGATCAATTGCTCCGCGAATTGAAGACCCAATGGCTAACATTTTCTTTGTTTAGACACAATCAAGGTCCGCATGCAGCTTTCGCGGAGAGCTCGCGCTCCTGGTGTACGTTCATTCGTTTCCGAACCTCGAAATACCGTCGCTAATTGAGCATAGACCAAGCCTCGCGGTTTCGCCGCCACCGGTGCCGAGATTGTGCGCAAGGAGACCGCTATGGGTCTGTACAAGGGTCTGGGTGCCGTGCTGGGTGGTATCATCCCCAAGATGGCCATTCGGTTCACCTCGTTCCAGGCATACAAGGACATGCTCGCCGACAAGGACGGCAATGTCACCAGCAAGGCCACTTTCCTCGGTAAGAACTCCAATTGCAGTGTTGACAATGTCGACTTCCGAATATCCTGCTAATATTTCATCAATTGAATAGCTGGTCTTCTCGCCGGTGTCACTGAAGCTGTCGCCATTGTCAACCCCATGGAGGTGATCAAGATTCGCCTGCAAGCCCAACATCACAGTCTTGCCGATCCCCTAGATACTCCCAAGTACCGCAGCGCCCCTCACGCCCTCTTCACCGTCGTCAAGGAGGAGGGTTTCAGCACCCTGTACCGTGGTGTCTCTCTCACAGCCCTGCGCCAGGGAACCAACCAAGCCGCCAACTTCACCGCGTACACTGAGCTCAAGGCCCAGCTGCAGAAGTGGCAGCCCGATTTAGCTAACGGCCAGCTGCCTTCTTACCAGACCACCTTGATCGGTCTCATCTCCGGTGCCGTCGGTCCCTTCTCCAACGCCCCTATCGATACCATCAAGACACGTCTCCAAAAGACCCGTGCTGAGCCGGGCCAGGGCGCTGTTACCCGTATCATGATTATTGCGAAGGATATGTTCAAGCAGGAGGGTGCTGCGGCTTTCTACAAGGGTATTACCCCTCGTGTGATGCGTGTTGCTCCTGGTCAGGCTGTGACCTTCACCGTGTACGAGTTCCTGAAGACCAAGCTGGAGTCATCGAACTGGCCTATCGTTGGAGTTCAGTATGAGGAGTAAAGTATAAAAAAGGTGTAAAGAAGTAGCCCGGAGGGTTTCTCTTTTTTGGAAGGCATGTGATACCATACTGCGCATGGTGGGCGTTGCGTTTCTGCTTGGAGATCACCGACCACCGGCTGGTTGGAAAGGTTTTCTGTATATATGTTTTTTTTTTGTTTTAATTGTGTATACCACATGGTTCTGGATTTCAAACAGATTAATCTGTAACTGTAAACTGTAGGATTTTCTGCCAGTCGTAAATATTGGCAGATGCCATACAATCCCTTTGTCCCCCTCCAATTCACCGCTTCACCGCTTCCCCGCTCCCGCTCCATAAACAACCCCCCGATCTCAGACCAACAACAACAGCCAAACCCACACAGACATCATGCAGTCAGGAATCTCCGGTAAGTCAAGCACTGCAAATAAATCCCTAGCTCCAAAAAAAACCCATTGAATTATTCAACCCTCTCACAGTCCAAATCTAACCATGAAGCAGTCTCGACGGAGCTCCAAGATGCCTTCACCCGCTTCAGCTCCGACGCATCCCTCTTCTGCCTCCCAGTAACAATTACAGGCGAAAACTTGACCCCATTGACCGCAATCGCCTTCTCAGGATCATCATCCGACCCAGAAGACTTCTTCACCAGTCTCCCCAAGCTGTCCAGCGTCCTCCAGCCCAGGACACCAATCTACCTTCTACTCCGACGCCCGACAGCTTCATCCTCGACTCTCGTCGCACTGACGTACATCCCTTCCAATGCACCTGTCCGTCCAAAGATGCTTTTCGCCTCAACTCGCTCGACGCTGGTTCGCGAGCTAGGAACCGAGAAGTTTCCGTCGACTGTCTTTGCTACCGAGGAAGAGGAGATTCTGGGTCGGGATGCGTGGCGGGAGCGGGATGGAGAGTTGGGTGGTGTGAGTCGGGAGGATATGATGGGCGAGAAGGAGCGGGAACTTGAGGCTGTTCGGAGGGCTGAGGCTGAGGCCCGGAGTGGGACGCCGCATCGGGATATTGGGATTGGAGGTACCTTTGGTCCTGGCACAGGGTCCGGTATGAGAGTCTCTATGGCTGTCGATGAGGAGGCTAAGACGGCTGTGAGGGAGCTTCAGGATGGTGGGCTTGTGCAGTTGGTATGGATTCCTCTCCTTGGTGCTCTATGGTATATGGTGTACATGAATCTGTATGCAGGGAATGGACATGGATTTGGTGCTAATATCTGGCTTCTGTACAGACGGTTGATGGGCCCTCAGAAAGCATTAAACTCGTCAGTGCCCAGTCCGGTGTCGATGCGGGTTCGGTCGCCACCCATATCTCCTCGTCTTCACCCCGCTATTCCTTCTATCACTACCCCGGATCGGATGTCGTGGTGTTCGTCTACACCTGTCCCACTGCATCATCGATCAAAGAGCGCATGTTGCACGCCAGCTCGCGTAGGACTGCAATCACGTTGGCCGAGAATGAGGGTCTGAAGATCTTGAAGAAGGTATGAATCGGAAAGCTGTCGAGTCACCGCAGTCGTACTAACGATGTTGCAATAGATCGAGGCTTCATCGCCAGATGAAATCACGGCAGAGCGTTTGCAGGAGGAGGTAGATCCGCCGAAAGACCAGGGCAGTTCACGAGGATTTGCCCGTCCCCGTCGCCCCGGCCGGTGAATGATGAGGCCGATAGCTCCCTAGTCTAGCATGTAGATAAATAACAGGCGTTCGATTCCGCGCAGTAGATCAAATCAAGCGAGATTGCCCATCATCTGAAAAGACGTCCATGTCATTAAAAAATTGCTCCACCTGACCACAGACTGTAAGGCTGTATGAGCCCCTCCACTCCACAAAGCCAGCCACGAAGAGAGGGACAAGCCACAATCAATGATTCCTAAAGCTTTTCTTTTGGTAGAACAAGTCCGTCCTCGAACTTCCCAGGTTGATAATTTTCGGGCACCCGTCTCGGTCCTTCTCCAGTCGCGTACATTCGAAGCAGTAGAAGGCGTCACTGATTCCCTCACCGCCACAGACCACACATTTGTTCTGGTAGTTTCCAAAGGCGCATTCGTCGCAGATACGGACAAGGGTGGTAGGGCGCACATAGGAATCACAGACCGGGCATTTTCCGTCACACTTGTCACAAAGTCGGCCGATAGAGATACCGGGTTGCTTGCGGCACATAACGAGATCAGGGTGGTGACGCGACATAGTGAATGTGTGGTGAATAAATGTGTAGGAATTTCGTAGGAGATAGGTAGGATGCCAGAGTATTAAGTTGGGTTCGGATTATAAAGCAGGTTGACTGGCAACTTCCAGGGGAGAAAGAATGGAACGGAAGCTGGGAAGAATAGCCAAATGCGGTTAGCGTGTGCACGGACCCAGTCGAACTATACAGTATACTCGAGATATCATGCAAAGAAGACCAAATGTACTTGTTGCAGATCTCATTAAACATTCAGCTAGGATAATTAGTAGGATAGAGATCTTAATGCATTTTTTGTATTATATTTCATCCCCAATGGTTCGTTTATACCTGAGTTGGCACCCTCCTCCCCCGCCGAGAAATATCCGCTTTCTTCAACCATTTCAGACTGAGCACAACCTTCCAAACCCGAGCCTTAACGGCTTTCTTTGCTTGATTCATGCGCCGAGATGTCCAAGCGAAAGCTCAAAAAGTTTGTGTTTAGTGATGCCACTCTTCAGGCCGAACAATACGAAGCTCAGCTGGAACTAGCAATCCAACAGCACGTCCAGTACATCAACCGTAACATCCCAATCCCATCGATTGAAACTGGGGTAGTTCCAATCCCATCAGTCAAAATCGAAGGTCTGGGAGAAGATGACGGGAAAAGTGTCTGGGAACATCTCAGCGACTTCTCCGAATTTCGTGACAAGAAAATGTCCTCCGATGAGTATGTCCCAAACCGCCGAAACATGGAACGAGATTATCACCGGTATGCTAAGCAGGAAATGAACAGAGCATTTGATACCCCCAAACCCAATTATGATCAAAGATATATCGAGAGCTGGGCCAAATATGCAAAACCCAGGAAGCACCAGATGTCTCCCATTGAAGAGACTGTGAAACGCCCGCGCTTTGATCACGACCCCCAAGAGCCTGCCCTGGAACCTATGGCAGAGGCATTCGAGAATAATTGGGGGTTGCTTGGTGGTCCACTGAAAGCTACCAGGAAGCGAAGCTCGACTTCCGCGCCCAAGCAGTCTTGGAATCAGGCTTTGGCGGGAAAGGAGCCTGACCCGGATTTCCCTTCTGAGCTTGAAGATGATGCCTTCGGAATGAAGGAGTGGGAGATCGAGCACAATGCTCCGGCTTCGGGGTCCCATAAACCGGCTCTCGAGCCAACGAGTGTAAGATTTTCTTTTCTTGGTTCATGCATGGTTGCTAACGGTGTATCACCTGTAGTTGAGTCTTGTACATACGCTTGATCAGGCGGAACACTTCGCCAATCATGTAGAGCCGATGATAATGGTATGTCCTGAATAATTATGGTGATTGGCGTATGTTGGAGCTAATATAGTATTTCTTCAGTGCTTCTCGCTCGACACCCCGCCACAACTTGACAAATACTTTAGTCAGGCTCGGGCCGAGGAGGTCGAGAAGATGATTGCTGATGAAAATAATGACTTTTGGAACTGACACACTCGGGAGACATTGAACCAGCAGCGGCAAGATTTCCCAATTGAAATCTGTGAATCCATCGGGATCCCAGCATCGCATTCGCTGGTACCCACCTGAGTAAGTGTCCTAATGTCAACTGATGGTGAGGAAGAGCCCTCGGAGGAGCCTTCGGAGGAAGAACAGCAATCCCGCGAGAGACAATCCAGATTGTACCTTGACGGGGTGTATGTTCTCCAAAAAGAGTCAAAGAAGACCGAAAGGCAAAAGATCGATTATGCGGTGGACGCCAAGGATGAAGAGAGTTGACAAGGCGTTAAATACGGAAGCCGAGGCTTAACGTTCGAGGGGGGCAGAGAGATACATGTAAAACAACCACAAATCCCCAAAATCCTAAACAGAAAAAGTTTCCCCTCTTGAAGTTTCTTTATCATCGTATACATATTCTACATCCATTGATATTGAGATCCTTTCAACATTTGAACCTTGGAAAATATTACTCTACTACTAGGTATGGTTCAGCGATCTTCGGGGGTACGTCATGGCTAAACACTCGACCTAGGCATATCTAACTCCGAACCTGCACTGCATGAAACACCCCTCTTTGATCGAGAAGCCACAACAAATATAACCCTGGAAAAGATCCCAAGAGAATTATCAAAATGCCAGTCGACAAGATCCGTGTCGAGGGCGACAAACGCATCAAGTATGAATCTGCCCTCTTAAACGGCCGGAAATACGGTATGTACTGGAGAATTTCAAGGCCCTCCGGAGACTAATCTATTTGAAAAATTGCACAAATCCTTTCCAAGATTTCGCACCAGTTCTAACAATATGGTCTCGTAGGCTATCTCCTCAGTCAACCCCAATCCGGCAAATGGCGAGGCACCATTTTCCTGGTAAGTTTTTCTCGCAACGCGAAATTAACTTGCCAGTACTAACCAACCTAGATCCATGGATTCCCAGATCTATCCATGGGATGGCGATACCAAATCCCCATGTTGGTTAATATGGGGCTCAGAGTCGTAGCTCCAGACTGTCTAGGCTACGGCCGCACAGTAAGACCTCAATACAACCAATACCAGAAATTCCGAATATTTATATAATAATCAGGACGCCCCCGAAGACTACACCAAATATGGACATAAAGCTTGCGCAGATGATATCAAAGCTCTTGCTTCGCATCTGGGCGAATCAAAGATCATTCTCGGTGGACATGACTGGTATGTGAAGTTCAAGCTATACAAACTACGATGGATATATACTAAAATGACAAGGGGTGCTTTTTTGGCCTACCGCGTTGCTCTCTGGTACCCCGATCTAGTGACTCATCTCTTCACCGTGTGTGTGCCCTACTCCAGCCCCAAGAAGGAGTACTTGCCGCTAGAAGAGATGGTGCGCACTATCATGCCGAACTACGGTTATCAGTTGCAATTTGCGAGTGGGGAGTTGGAGAAGGTTGTCAAGTCCAAGGAGGAGATCAAGCAGTTTTTGACAGCATTGTATGGGGGCAGGACGCCTGAGAAAGAGATTGGATTTGAGGCGGAGAAGGGAATCTTACTTGATCATTTGATGAAGTTGAAGCATTCGCGGCTGTTGAGTGAGGAAGTGAGTTCAAATCTTGCTTGAAGGAAAAACATCATTATGGCTTTCGCTGACAGCTTCTTTATCTAGGAATTGGAGTATTATGGCACGGAGTTCTCGAGGAACGGGGTCCGTGGGCCGTGTATGTCTTCCACGTCTGTTTGCGCTATGTCGGCTAATATAGATAGTGAACTGGTACCGGACACGAAAGCTCAATTATGAGGATGAGTTGAGTATTATCGGTCGGAGGATTACTGTTCCCACACTTTTCATCCAGGCTCTTCGAGATACGGCACTGCCGCCACACCTTGGGAAGGCTATGGGGAAGCAGATTCCTGGATTGATTCTGAAGCAGATTGATACTGCCCATTGGGCTTTGTGGGAGAGGCCCGAGGAAGTAAATGCTATTATTTCTGCCTGGTTGAAAGGAGTTGTCTTTGCAGGAAAGCATCTTGAGAAGCTTTAAATCCATGTTTATAGTTAACGTCGTTCATTTCTTGCGTATCGTATTTGAGCAATTGCTCCATGCACCCCCCAAATTACTCTTGTACACCCTATTCCATATGCAGGCAGTACAGATATACCCATGGCTCCGAAATTAGTGGCACCCTACAACATTACCCTTTCAAATGTTCCTTTTTCGCTACGCAAGATACTTTCGATATACGTTCGTAGTCTATCGTAGCTAAAGTGGAATAGTGAGTAGAGTAGGTCCTAGGTAATTTCAAAGGGTAGGTATACCGGAGGCTGTCTGGGTAAGCTATGAAATATTTTCATTTGGGCGGATACTTGAGTGCAAGTATTGGGTATGTTCCTGATCCGGTTAGGGTGTACAAGAGTAATTTAGGGGGTACGTGGAACTATTGCCCGTATTTGGAGCTTTGAATCACATTATGTATGAATTCGTCAAATGTAGATAGTGTCGTAAACGAGAGTGGCTAGAGTGGTGAGAAGCAGCTCTGCACGGAGAAATTAAACGGGATAGGTTGGATGGAATGCATCAAGAGATTTGCAGCTTTAAAAATCCCAGACCTTGGTTTCAATATGGACGCCAGCCTTATCCAGCCGATCCACATACTCCTGTCCCAGCGTGGCAGAGGTAACAATGCCACCACGAGAAACCTTACGGACCTTTTCCTCTTGCTGAAGGATGACCATAGCAGCCTCTGAGACAAGCAAAGCAGTCATGACATACATGGTTCCTTCGTAGGTCAGCTTACCGAAAACGCGTTTTGGCTTGGGCACATCCTGGTCTGCAGTCGCAACAGCATGGTACTCCACCCGATCGTTGCGAGAATCCTCCAGCGTTGGACCGGCACCGGGGGCGAAGATAAGCTTGCGTAGCAGCCAGCGCACAGGTGGGATGATCAGGAGCGCCATGAAAAGGTTGAAACCGATGTGCATGGCGACACCGATGAGAGCGTTGCGCACGTACAGCATCTGATGGAAAACGAACCGTTTGCCGTAGAATTCAGGCATCAAGATGCTGCTGCGATAGACGATCGCCATGTCGGCCATGCCGTTGGGGGCGGTTGTAAGAGTGCCCAGATCGGGAACGGAGCGTAGACCCAAGAGCTTGGTGATTATCGAGTCGCTAGGAACATGCTTTAGTGCACCGGAACCTGTTAGTGAGAAGGGACCGACGGATTTGAGAAGCTCGGAGATGGGGATCGAGTCGTAGATGCTCAAGATGGTATTAAGGGTACCGCCGCTAGCACCAGATGATCTAAGAAGGATTAGGTTCCTGGTGGATCGGTGTAGTATATTCTGTGGAGACGTACTTGATGTCCTTGATGCAGCTATCGATCCCACGAGTCTGCGATCCAAGGTCCTCGCGGACTCGCTTGACAAGGGCCCACGCTAACATATCCGACGGGACACTTTCCATGCCAGCAGAGGGGATAATCTAGCAGTCATTAGAAAACGACGCTAAGAGTCAGGTAGAAGGCTTACAATAGAGCCATTAGCCTTGGCGGTCTCATGGTACTTCTCAATGATCTGCTTGATCCAGGGTGTCTCTCCAGTACTGCAGGGGTCAGTCTAAGCAGCAAATTGAGGACCTGACCGACTCACACATCCAGATAGTGGGTACCATTGTTGGCACAAGCTTCGACCACGGGGGTGGAGTATAGATGGTAGGGACCAATGCAGTTGATGATCAGTCTGGTCTTCTGGACGAGCTCATTCAATTCGGTAAGGTTCAGCTGGACCGGGAGGACATCTGCAAAGGCTCAGATTAGCATGTTCTCGAGAGACAATACATAGAAGCCAGATGATGGGCTGGATACCTGGTGCACGACGGTCTGGGTTGAGTGCCTTAAGCTCCTGGACAATGGGCTCAATTTTGTTCACCGAACGGCCTGCAACTGCCCATTTCAGGTCGGTAGGGTGATTCTTCACAATGTACTCAGCGCAGAATCGACCCGTATAGCCGGTGGGGCCTAGCAGAACCAAATCGTATTCTCTGTCGGAAGCCATTGTGATGAGGGTCTGGTGTGTTTTGCGGTTGGAGCTCCACTTGCGCAGGGCTAAGCTCTCGGAGGATCACAAGCTTCTCGGCGCTAGTACCGGAGGTATGCGACGGTTAATTAGAGGGTTTCCAGGACGGATCTGAGAATTTGAGTATGAATTCAGGAAATATTCTGGTTTATTATTTGTTCTGAGATCTTCTTGCTAGTTGTAGTACAAAAACATAATGACGGAGAGTTGGTTTGACCGAGGCCGTCTGGTTACATTGAACCTTATTGTAGTCTCCACGTGACCTGGAGATCAGTAATGTCCATCTGGCTCAGTTCATTAAAATTCGAAAGATGACCAAAATTTTCGGTTAAGATTGATCATCTTATGGCAAATTCTTCTGCACCATATTTTGTACACCTGCATGTCCAGTAAGCACTACGGAGTACGGAGACTGTCAATACATTTGGAAACAACCACCAATCAGGGACTGCGCACGGACCATGTTGGACTGAATCGGTTTCGTACAAATCACATGATGTCAATGACATAATACAACGATTTTCAATGTTCCTGTCAGGTGACCACACTACGGCCAAGCCCCATTAGCCCTAAGCGAGCCCACCCACAACCACTCTTCAGAAGCCTCTTCTCGATCTGCTTTGAACCCATCTTCAACCTACAGCCGCACTGCAGACAAGATGACCAAGCGCACCAAGAGTATGTCTCTCCAAACTTATCATCGTCCTCCCGATGAAGCCCTCCCTTTTTTCAAAATGCTAATACCCTTCCAGAGGTCGGTATCACCGGTAAATATGGAGTGAGGTATGATCAACGCCCGACCCTCGATTTCGCCCTCGCTCTCGAACGAACATGATTCCTCGCCTGAGAACCGCGACCGGCAACACGAAAGCAACCGAATATTGACTCATCCTTTGCAGATACGGTGCCTCCCTGCGTAAGCAGGTGAAGAAGATGGAAGTCACCCAGCACGCCCGTTACATCTGCACTTTCTGCGGAAAGAACACCGTGAAGCGCAAGGCTGTTGGTATCTGGGAGTGCAAGGGCTGCAACAAGACCGTCGCTGGTGGTGCTTACACCGTCTCGTAAGTCGCCCGCAATTTTTCTCGACACGACCTAGACCTGGGGACCCGATAGGACAGGAACGCCAGGAATCGTGGCCTTGGAGTCAGAAACTGACAGTTGAACTCTTACAGGACCCCCGCTGCCGCTGCCACCCGCTCCACCATCCGTCGTCTCCGTGAGATCGCTGAGGTTTAAAAAGGGGATGACATGATTTTTTTTCTACCCTACGATCACGTCTGAATACCAAAAATGAAAAACTTTGGAATCTAAGGATTTTGCATTGCACTTGAATTTCCGCGTAACGTCATGATTTTATACCCCTCGGGGCTTCGTTGGCTCCAACCGATCGGAATAGACAATCTACGCCAATATCGGACCTTCAAGCCACTCGAGTTCTGATCGACGAACATGCGACTGTTTCTGCATATGGGATACAACAAAATCCTATCCATCATTGATTTTACAAGTGCGGTCTGATGACCTGGGCAATAGTCGTAGATGCCTGGGCTTCCCCGCTCCTCCTTGACAGGCAACCATCACATTTGAAGCATTGCCCGCGACTCTATCGATCTTCCAATCTGTACATTCTCGGTTCCTTAATACTGCTTTAGTGAAATAGTGGTGGCACCTCTAGCAGCGTTCCTCGCATGGGCCCACTTGGGTGCAGGGGCATACTGGAATCTCCCAGTTTAAGACCTAATGCTATGTTGGGTTTCTCTGTTATCTCACTCTAATCGCGCTAAGGAAGCGACTTTACTACGTAAATCGTGGAGCCTGAGAACTCGCCTAGCTAGCGGCATAGAAATTGTGTTGTGATATACTGGGGTTATATGGACATGGACAGTATCACGACACTACAGCAAGGGACGATCGAAGCCATCCTCGATCTACTCCATACGATTTCAGATAAGGGGAGTCATAGCGATCGCTTGACTAAAATAGGATACGACCATCCCTAATGACTTCTAAAAAGTAAAATTCCCTGCTGGCGCTCATTCGTAAAGAGTGCAGATGATTCGCCCCATCACGTTGCCGCCCTGTTTTGCGTTAGACTGGAAATCCCGGCCCACCTTCAAAAGGCCGGGCTCTCTTCTCCCCACACCTTCTCTTCTTCTTTCATACACTTCCCGAAACGCTCTTCATGCCGACTCTTAGCCTTTCCACCCCTGGCTTGATTCCTGTCCATGTCCGACACCTGCATTGTCTGTTTAGGAGACCTTGGCGAAAGCGCCAGTGATCCCGCCGAACCCGTGCCAAGACCTAGTCTCCACGATGCTACAGTCAAGGAGGGTCTCGATGAGGATCCGGGTCAGATCGCTCAGTTATTACCATGCGGTCACATCCTGCACGATAATTGTCTGAAGCCATGGGTGGAGCGAGCGAACAGTTGCCCAATATGTCGTCGTAGCTTTAACATGGTGGAGCTTAGCGACCGTCCGGGAGGTATGTTCTTTGTTTCGATAGTCCCTTTGTCTTGGGGATCTTGTGACTAATTTTATTTATCTATAGGTCTGGTCACCTCCTCCTACGCCGTCCAAGATCGAGTGCAGGTTGCTGAAATCGATCCGACCATGATGATCGACTATATCGAGGATGACCTCACTGACTCCATTCCGTGCACAATATGTGGCGAAGCGGACAATGAGGATGTGTTGCTTCTCTGTGATGGATGTGATGCCCCTTCTCATACATACTGCTTAGAGTTAGATGAAATCCCAAGCGGGTCGTGGTATTGCTCATCATGCGAGTCCCAGCGGGCGCTTGGGCCCGCTCCTGGAGTGTCTAGTCGCCCCGCTCGAACAAATGAGGGGACACGGCGAACCCGAGGTCAACGACGTCGACTCCAGAGCCGGAATCAGGCCAACTCGCTGCACTGGGCCCGGGTATGGCAGTCTGTCTGGGACCATCTCAATATCGACCTGGACTTCCCATTTGACGATGATCGCTCCACCCAACGGATGATGCAACAGCGTCGTCGGGAAGAAGCAAACCAGCGTGAATTTCGAGCATGGCAACGTCGTTTCGAGGTCGCCGAGCGACAAGGAGGAGGCAGTCGGTTTCGGGATACCGCTTCACTCTTCGATATCGAGCCTGCTAGACAATCTCGACCTAGGGTTCCCAGAGTGCCAACACCAGAGCCAGAGTCATTGGAGGAAATGCGGGCTTGGAATGCATTTGAAAGGGCTCGCGAAATCGAGAACAACCCCAATGCTGCCCGCAAGCGCAAAGAACCGACCATGTCTCCATCACCTGAACCGTCGGAACCTCGTCGGAAATTAAAAAGGCCACGCACAAGGCGACCGCAGGACCTCGCTGCCATGGCTCACCAAACTGGAGAATCATCCAGAGCTGCGAATTCAAGTGCGCGAGTTAACGGCGATATCGTCGGTGGGCCGAGCTTCTTGTCGTCTCTCTTGAAGGAAGTGGAAGATGCATCCACACCTACGAATGCTGCAAATATTGGACCCTCGGCCGCAGCATCTGTGGCCCCTACCGATCATGGTACCCCTGGTCCATCCTCTCCATCTATCTCCCCCATTTCTTCCAGCCACTCCTCCCCCCAATTGGCATCCACCACTCCACCTTTTTCCCGCAGTCGACCCATCTCTCCCCTTCAGCTCTCCTCCCCAGCTGAACCTTCCTCGCCTCCATTCTCCCCCGAGCTCTCTTTCTCCGGTACCCCCGACGCCTCTCCCACTTCAGACGATGCCGCACCCCGACGCGAAGCGGCTCGACCACGCTCACGCATTCCCCGACGAGCTCTCGAGTTAGCTCAATCTCGATCCTCATCTGATGTATCACCCAGCCGGAATGGCCCTTCCCTTGCCGTTAAATCTGCCATTCAGAAGATGGTCGGCACTTCACTGAAGCCCCACTACCGCGCAAAAATGGTGACCAAAGAGCAATACACTGAGATCAACCGAACCATTTCCCGAAAGCTCTATGAGCGCATCGGGTCTGTTGAGTCGCTCAATCTCCAATCTCGGCTTGACCTAGAACAACTTGCAAAGCGCGAAGTGCAGAGCACTGTAGATTCTCTACCCAACCACCGCAGAAAGGATAAGCAGCCTATGATGGCATCTGACAGCGATGGCGATATACAATGATTGTGACGATACGTATTAGCATTACCATGGCGTTTCTTCTCAGCGCGATTCTCGGTTTCTTTCTCAGGGACGATGTACCACATCTGGCGTTTGGATCATAAGATGGAGTCCTTCTAAATGAGACATCAACTGGAGCTCATCTCTACTCATCTGCTGGATACGAATTGATGCATTTGATGTTAATGGTAATAGCTTGCCCAACCTTACTTCAATGTTATATACATATGTAATGTGTCTTAATATTGACATATTTATGCGAACTCATACCTACTACCTAGACCCCAAAAAGTGTAATCACATCAATTGATCTCCATCAGACCAAACATTGAAGGAAATAGGTAGAAGAAACTATATACATATCAGCACTCAATCCCAGTATGGAGTACATCCATTAAATGGATGCACTACGTTGATATTTGCGATATCCATCAGTGGAGTCAATAACATTTGAATATCAATTCCAATAAATATCCAGGGCTTGCAATGGACATTTCAATCATTCATTAAGTTCAAGTGTTCAAATATTGGAAGTTAGAAACTTTGTTCAATTGTACAGAGCTGACATCTGGGGTCAAAATATATATCATGGGCCTACACATGCGTATCTCCACGTACACTGGAACCAACTTTCAAGTGCTTACATAAGCATTAATTTCAAATAATTTTGATCTCACTCTTTAAGTATCAATTGATGACAATTATGCGATATCAGTGATATCAAAGCGCAATTCTAGGCGCTGATAACCAGCCACGCCACGAGGCGTGTGGAGACGCATGGATGTTTTTCCGCTTGATTAAGACCCTGATCCCTGATTCAGTCATATACAGTAATTTTGAGGATTGGTAGTGCAAGTGGGGCCAAATTTAAGATAATACGGTAAGAGCTAGTATGACAAGCGTTCTTAGCCGTAAGCGCTAGTAATGAACTAAGTATCAACTCGAATTTGCGAGCCAACCAGTCAAAACCCCGGAGAAATACCGATATTATTAGCACTGCTTCGCCCCCTGTTCAATTTTAATCCCTAAATATAAATTTGCTTGATAGGGAATTTGATAGGGAATAGTATCAGAATTAGATTAGGATGTGAATCTACTGGTTTAGCTGGCCAGATTCCTTGAAATGAATTGAACCTTGCAAACATCTGAAAGGGACCCGACCCCGTAGCAAGTGTGTACCCAAGTGGGTCACGCATGGGCTGACAAGCATCCTTCGGTCTAGAGTAATTGATTTTGATTATTATGGGTCAGGAAAATAAACTAGACGGGATAAGTACATAATGCACATGATGCCCTGTTTCTTCAGCCCCATGTCCCTTTGCCCCAGACGTTAACGGCAAGGTCCCCCGACCATGTCAACAAATGGATATACAAACTGTGTGTCGGGAACCTTCTACGGCATCACCGACACCGCCAATAACGAGTTTTATCCTGGCGAGACCTTCAATCTGCAGTGGGGGGCCATCGAGAATGGAACACTCCCCTTGAATATATCTCTGGGTCGATCAGGAGGAGCTCTAGTAGACCAGATTGTCGGTTCGTGTCACCATCACCATCAATTTTCCCCCGAATTGCTCTGAGAACGAAAGACTAACTCCTATTTCTGTTGTAGTGGATGCGACCTTCTCCACAACTAGCAGTCTGTACCAAATCGTCGAAAACTCCACCGCAAACTGCACACTCGAACAATACAGCTGGGCCATTCCTTCTGACTTCAACACAACTGACCCGGCCTATCAGATTGGGTTATTCGACGGCTCAGCTCTTCGTGGAGATAATAATAATGGATGGAGAGCCTGGAGTCCACTTTTCTATGTCCGTGATAAAGAAAGTGCCGTTTCAGCGTCGCGGACCGCTTCCGTTAGTGGATTGTTGACAGCGACCGTGGGGACAAGTCCTACCGCTACTGCGCCTTCGACAAACTCTGCCACTTCCACTTCCACATCTTCTAGCCATAGTTCTTCGAACTCGACAGCAATCGGTGTCGGCGTTGGAGTTGGCGTTGGCGCTGCGGCACTGATTGGGTTAGGACTTTTCTGGTTCTTGTGGAGAAGAAGGAAATACAATGCTGTGAACCAAGATCATCCGGATAGCGCGGAAATTGCTGGTAGACAGAGATCTGAACTCCCGGGGGCTATACCGATGACGGAGGGGAAAACGTCGGAAATGCCTGCTGAGGACCATGTTGTGGCTTATGAAGCTCAGGAATTGGAGGGTACACGCGGGGCTGCAAAGGTGCTACCTGTACATGAGATGGAGTAATGTATTTAGTATATTTATCATTATGTTGATACTAGATAATTAATGAACATTCATGACTCATGATATTTCAATGTTGAGAGCAAGGTACCCGTGGTTGCGAGAATATGTGATTTCGACACCAGTAAAACAGAACAAATTATAGTGATAAAAGTATCGCCTTCAACTCATCAGCGAATAAGAGGGAGAGCAAAAATGGCTCACAAAAGTTGTGTTCAGAATACAGGCGTTGATCAAGATAAGGGGTTCGAACGAAATTTATATAGGAGCTAAAACTACTAATATATGTTCATAAGAGACCAAGTCTGCATCAACCAGTACCAAGTGGTCGAGTAGTAACTCGACTAACACATCTTCCTTGGTCTAGGGGTCATGATTTCCGCTTGTCACTAACACTGATACGCGCGGGAGACCGGGGTTCGATTCCCCGAGGGAGAGTTTCTTTTTGCATTTTTTGTCAATTTTTCCCTACTTACCGTATGCGAATATGTATATATATTCGTAAGGTCAGTATTTTACGATAAGTATCTGAGATACTGTTAGTACTAAATTGTATCAATTGGGGTTCCAAGGTTTAACGGTCATCAGTAAGGTGGTAGGTATACTATTCATTTCATGGTGCTAAATGTCACAATTGTATGAACAAGCTCTATCGCAAAGGGACCAGTTGCCGCTTTTTGCATGAGTTGAACTCTAGTTCTCTTTGGATTGATCTTTCTCCTCCTCATCCTTTTCTTTCTTCCCCTCGTCTTTCTCGGGCTTCTTGTTTGCTTCGGCGTTGGAGTCCTCTTGCTTTGAAGACGACTTTTGACTACCAGAGGACTTGGCCGCGTGAGACTATAGTGTGTGTGAGTTGTCACTTGCTGGCCGATATGTTCAATGCATTGGAAGGGTCACTGACGTTATTATTTTTTGAGTCTTCAGCAGACTCCTTGGATTCGTCCTTGGATTTATCATTGGATTTGTCATTGGGTTCGTTCTTGGATTCGTTCTTGGATTCGTTCTTGGATTCGTTCTTGGATTCGTTCTTGGATTCGTTCTTGGATTCGTTCTTGGATTCGTTCTTGGATTCGTTCTTGGATTCATTCTTGGATTCGTCCTTGGATTCGTCCTTGGATTCGTCCTTGGATTCGTCCTTGGATTCGTCCTTGGATTCGTTCTTGGATTCGTTCTTTGACTTGTTCTTGGGTTCCTCCTGGTTGTTCTCCTGTGGCTTCTCTTCAGGCTCCTTTCCCTTCTTCTCTGGCTTCTCATCATTCATTTCGGTAGATTTGGTGGCCTCGCTCTGCTCCTTCTTTGGCTTCTCAGTCTTATCTGCAGAATTCTCCTCACCACCGTCTTTCTCGGGCTCTGTCTTATCCTGTACCTCCGCTGAAGCTTCATTTCCCTCCGAATTTTCGTGCTCGGCTTCGTGGCCGTGGCCATGGGAATCTTCATGGGGCTTCTTCTCCGGGCTTGCTTGCAGTAGGTAGTAGACCATTGGTCCAGTCACTGCAGCAGAGCCAAGAAACCTGCGTCAACAAAACAAGATCAGTCAAGCCCTCAAGAACGAAGAATTCCAGCGATTTCCATTACAAAGTACGCACCACGGCATATCACTAGTTGTATGATCATCATAGCCCTTGTCATTCTTCCCACTGCTGTAAAACCTCAGCCCCAATAACTGGGCTTTATGGTTTGCTCGTGGAACTGCACGGAAACTTTGGGCAACAGTAACAGCACGCAATGGAGAGCGACGCGCAAAGATCGCAGCCATGATGGTAGATATAGATGGAGTACTCAGGTACGAATGGAGAAGAATTGATAGAAAATCAGATTGACGTGATAAGGTGAGGGAAGAGAGACGATAGGCGTGAGAGACAAGTACCCAAAGACGTAGCCTGCAGCTAAGTGCGCCTCTTCTCCTCTTCTGGCCCAGTTTCCGGGGTCGTAAGACCAAGTTCCCAGCCGCCTCCGTTGGTCTGTGCGCGGTACGACAGTGATGTAATGGCGTGCTTTAGTTCGCATTACTCCTTGTACTGAATCAATCTACTTGAAAGTTTATTGCAAACATTTTTAGAGGTCAATTAGATCAAATAGATGGTTCCTGGTTGAACCTGTGGAGGGTCCCATCAGATTAGATCTTGATGATGTCATCTGCTAAGTTTAGTACAGGTACACCCATGGATGCATACAGGAATATTTTTAATAATATTCTACGCTATTCTGAACAGGCAGTATATAGCAAAAGCTTCCGCTTTTCAATGGAAGTCAATTGCATTAGTTAGGTCTTCTAATAGATGGTGGGTGCATCATAGATGTGTTCAGGACAGACAGTTCAAAGATACATTTACTCCACCTTGGTGCTCGAAGTAAGACCAGCGATGTATGAAAAAATGTAATACATTCAATGTTACGATAATTAGTTATTCAAAGAAACATTGAAATGGAATCGAAGATAACATTTAATTAGTGAACCTTGATTTTACTGCCTGAGGCATGAATTCAGGCCTGAGGCATTCACACGTACCAGTAAAGCTCGTGCCTCAGGCGGCAACCCCACGTTGATATCATCAACTCCGCCTTCCCTCAAAAGCTACCTTTGAGCTTCTTCTTTCATCATATAAAGTACACACTCGTGGAGATTCACCACCGCCATGACAGACCGGCAAATAACTCAGCAGAATATCACCAGTCTGCTGGGAAAGCTGGATGATCCCGACGCTGATTTGAGGTACATGTCCTTGAATGACCTTTACGGGATCCTGAACAACCCCCAATCGACATTTATCTCAAACGACCCCCGCTCTGCACACGGCCTTGCTGAAGGCTTGCTGAAAGCATTGGATGACCAGCACGGTGACGTCCAAAATCAAGCGCTGAAATGGTTTGCTCCCTCCGTGTATCCTCCAAAGCTGTACAGATAACTAACCTCGAACTCTACCACAGTCTTGGCCCGCTGGCTCTCCGATTGCCATTCGAAACACTCACACTACTCCTCGAGAAATTGACCAACATGACCGCTTCCCCGACCATCGATACATCTGTCCCCAATACCGCCTTGCGTACCATTGTCGATACTCTTCCTCGGCCCCAAGCTGGTCAACCCTCTCCACAGAACGTCATCACCGCATACTCCGCCGTCTCAAAGATCCTAATACCTCGACTGACAGGACCAACACAGTCAGCATCAGGTAGACGTGGCTCGGTAGTGCGGGGAATGTTGGAGAAGGACCCGTCCAAGGGCTTCAGCAGCGAGGCAATCGATGTGCTTATCAAGGTTGTGACATGCTTCGGCCCCCTCCTCCAAGAGTCCGAGCTAGCTACCTTGCAGGAGCCAGTCATGGCTATCATCCACAATGACACGGCAGGAACCGTTGTCAGCAAGCGCGCACTGACGGCCATTTCAGCGCTGGTCCTTTACTTCTCGGACACCCAGCTCAACTCCTTCGTGGCCGGCCTCATAGAAGCCCTATCCTCCCCCAAGATCTCCACCGTGCACCGGCGTCATTTGATTGCCGCTATCGGCACAATTGCTCGTAGTGCCCCAGCCAAGTTCGGCCCGCACTTGAATAGCCTGGCACCTTTCGTCTTTGCCGCAGTGGGGGAGGAAGGTGTTGCCCCATCAAATTGAGTGATCATTTCTATTGCTCAAATCATCTGCCGGAATTAATCTCCCAAGGACATTATAATTGGCACAAATTTCTCACGCCCGAGGAATAGAATCACTACTTTGAAAGCGAGGGAAGGGGTCTTGTATGGAGCAGAAACACACCTCATCCGGGGAGTATCCACTTTGTAGTAAAATGGATGTCCGGCATGACCAAAATTTAACGATACCCATGTTGATGTTTGTCTAGTCATATTGGTCTGATTGTAAGCTTGCCACTTTCCGTACTTTCCTCGATGATCAACATCATTCGAATTGCTGCTTTCCTTTCCTGCCCTGAAAAGGATCGCACCTTCTCAATATCAATACTCTCGTCATGCTCTTCCATTTCCATTTCAATTGCTGCCATGCAAACTTTCCTGTTCCAAGAATCTTTTCTTGTATGCATAGTCGGTTTATCATACATCATACTTCTTCACTGTACTGTCATATTTCAAGATGCGTTTTACACGCACTTTAATTCTCCTTGCCATTCTCGCTGGCATCGCCTTGAGCTCCCCTGGGAGACATGCCCCAATCATCCAGGATCCAACTTTTGACCCGGACCCGGTCATCAAACGTCGTCAACATTTACCCTGGCACATTCAACACAGTCCCACAGAGACGCAGGACCTGGTCAAGCCTGCCACGTTGAATGATGCGCCCAAGATCCTTTCGGAGCGTCGTGGGCCCACCGCCATCCTCGATTACCGCTGCGGTGATCAATATGGAAATTGCCCCAGTGGTACCTGCTGCTCCGGTGCAGGTGATTCATAGAAACCCCCTGAGATGATTGTAAAGATTCTAACATGAGTTGGTTTAAGGTTTCTGCGGCACCACAAAGGAACACTGCCGCTCCCCAGACTGCAAGATCGACTATGGCCAATGCGATGCCAGCAAAACACCGCAAGGTCCTCCCACCAGAGACATTCTGCGGCCTCAGATCGGTGTCGTTCCATATGGTCCGAAGCAGATCCGATCTTGTACAGTCCCAGGGACGGTTGCTTTGACGTTTGATGATGGGCCCTCTCGATATACAGGTGATCTCCTTGATCTACTCGATAAGTATAAGGCACCTGCGACTTTCTTTGTTACTGGTATCAACAATGGCAAGGGTGCAATTGATGATCCTGAATTGCCTTGGGCTTCCTTGATCGAACGCATGTTGCTTGGTGGCCACCAAGTTGCCAGCCACACCTGGTCTCATGAGGATCTCAGCAAGATTAAACCCACCCAACGTGTGGACCAGATGACCAAGAATGAAGCCGCTCTACGGAATATCATGGGAAGTTTCCCCACCTATATGCGCCCGCCATATTCCAGCTGTGAAGAGGCATCTGGATGTCGCGAAGAGCTGGGTCGCATGGGGTACCACATTGTGTTGTATGACGTTGACACTGACGACTACAAGAATGACAATCCAAGCTTGATTCAAAAATCTAAGGATATCTTTGACAAAGCTTTGTCTTCTGGAAACCCAGCCTCCCATTCCTGGTTGATCATTGGCCACGATGCCCACGAGCAGACTGTTCACAACCTCACGGAACACATGCTTCAGACAATTGAACGCCTCGGATACCGCCCCGTCACCGTCGGAGAGTGCCTCCAGGATCCACGGGAAATGTGGTACCGCAAAGATAGCCGCTGGCATGGACGCAAGAAGATGCCAACAAAAGTCGTCACCCAACAAGTGTCAGTCGACGGCACCTGCGGCAAGAATTACACCTGCATGGGCTCTAGCTTTGGAATCTGTTGTGGGCATTGGAATACCTGCGGAAACAGCTCTAGCCACTGCGGACTTGGTTGCCACAAGGGTGCCGGCTACTGCACTGTGGAAGTACCCCACAATGGAGATGCGTGGGACCCGACTGTTCCGAGCGGAGTTCCTAAGTCAGAAGGAGAATCTGATTTCCGAACTGTTGGGACTGCAGCCGCGACCTCTTTGTTCCTGGCGTTGATTGTGGCGGCATGGATGTGATGGATCGCTACGGTTTTGGTCAACAGTATCCCGTTAATTTTGGACCTTGTTTTGGAGTTGAAGCTGGGACTCTTGGCATTATACTTATAGCTGTGCAAGATGCCTCTACTTGTTTGCCGTGTTACTCGTATCTTGTTTTCATTTTGCTGTTTGCTTCAATGGCAAATTATGTTTGGAGAATGAGGCTGTGAAACCGAGAGCACCTGGGCAAGATGGATGGCTTTACTGTTTGCATTACTGTTTCCTAGCAACTGTGTCCTTAAGTAATAGTGTTCTTGCGTACTGACCTCCGAACATTGAGTCAGACGCGATGTCAATCATTCGTCCTTTTTCCTAATGAAGAATTTCCTGATTAGGAAATGCGTCAGCTGGGGCAATACTCTCACTTGTACTTCGTACTCAATATTTCTGGCTTCGAGATGATAACTACATTAAGTCCGAATTCTTTTTTGCTGTTCGTATTTTGTTTTCTACACATATGTATCGTATCACTGGTAGCTCACAACAAACTAGAGCCAAATCCATCCCGCTTATGACGCTTATGTACGATTTGGGGGCCACACTTGACCAGCACTTGAGAATCTTACATGAATCATAGATACCTAATATGGAAATAATAAGAATTAGCTTAGATGTAGCAATTATACATAAGCTGCAGATTACCTAGAAATTCATCCAACTCTTCACCTCTTTCTGCTTCACTCTACAACACCAATCAATACCTCCCAGGTTTTGCCACGCCATTCCAAACTTGACGATCAAAATTTACCACAATGAAGCTCTTTGATGTGTTCCTCCCTCCGACAATCGTTGTCCTGGCTATGGCCGACTCTGTCGCTGGTATGCTTTCACGATTGGAAGAGATGACCAGGCTACTTAAGATGTCGGTATCGGTTTCCGCGGCTATATTGAGAGAAACACCAGCTTCGAAATGGAGAAGGAGAGTGGCCGTAGAGGCATGATATACTTTCCGAGGACCTGTACTGTGAAGCGGGATGATTGAATGAATTATGAACATGGATGATCAAAAGGTATGTTTTGCTATACTCGATACCTGACACACGGAGAAAGCTTGCCATTCACTTGATAGTGATGTTGGGTTGAAGAAAATGATCGCTAATAATGGCCGCAGCAAACTCTTCCACGGGACATATCAAGACGATGACCCTCTACAGATTGGATTAGTTGCATGAATTGGCAAATGGGATACTTGGGGGGACAAAAATATGATAGTGTATATTACTTGAGTAATGACAACAGGTCTTAAGATGGAAAGATAAGCCTTCGAATTATGAAATAATGCATAATAGAATGAACTTCGGAATTCAAAAATTCAACGTAATAGGGGTATAATGATGAAGTAAAACAGACACGGAACCAGCAATAGGAAAATGAACATTTGAAGTTCAGGACCGACAAGGACAAACACCAAGTGAACGTAAGAGATCGGTTGAAAGTAATATCACGATTTGCGCACAATCTTGAGTAATGGTGCGATCCGAGCCCGCTTGCTTAGACCAACGCGTAATGGAACATTGCTAGTCGATGAGATGGGACTATGCTTCGGTGGTCCTTTCCTAGTGTTCGTGCTGTTGCCAGTGATTGGGGTGCTTGGGATATGATCCGGTTTTTGAGGAGTTTGTGGAAGTGCCTCGTGTGGGCCGTTGTTCTGGGGCACTTGATGGTCTGCTTGGGGTTGATCCAAGTCATCTGCTTCAACTGGCTTCGTTTCATCCTTTGAATCAGAGACTTCATCAGCTAAAGTCAGATTGGAATTCGACACTCCGCTTTCTGACGCGGGAGCCTGCTCAAGAGCTTGTACTGGGGCAGCTTCTGGGGTTTCCTCTGATGGCTTCTTCCGTTTGCGACCGCGTTTCTTGGGGGCGGGCTTGTCACCGGATTTTGCAGTGTTGGAGCTTCCCTCGGTAGAGGCGGTCGGATCTGGTTGTGGTGCTCCAAATTTATCAGAGTCTGCGATGGCTGAATTTGGGACTGTTTCGCTTTGTTCTTGCGTCTCAGTCTCAAGAGGCCGGCAGTCCACACAAATTACATCGTCATCGTCATCAGTATCTGGTACCCGGGACTTTTGCTTTGCCGCCACCGCTGCCTTTGTCCGCTTGGTCTTTTTCTTTTTCGGTTCTTTGGTAGCCAAGTCGCCGGTATTATCAAACATATTTGGGTTGTTTATCTTGCCGGTAGCGGAGCTAAGCTCACCAACAGCTGTTTGGCCATCAGCCCCAGGTGCGACATCTCCAGATGTAATGCCATTTTCCGGGATACATTCGTTGGAAATTTCCGTAGGGTCAGGCTGAGGAGAACGTCCTGGCGATTTCCTTTGAGTTGGCTTACTCGGACTGGGCCCAAGATCTCCAATGGCGAGTTCATCATCGTCATCATCCTCAGGAAGAAGCTGTTTCGTTTGGCGAGCACATTTCACGGCCGAGGAGACTTGCACATATACAGCTGGCAAAGCAAGCTCATCATACGTGCTTGCCGGGGAATTTTGCAGAGAGACAAGACCAGACCTCGTACTGTCATCATTGGTCTGGTTCAACCCTGGCGATGCCATAGATGACAATGGTTCAGTATCATGTGGCGAGCACGCCATCAATTGCATTGGCTGAGGGACCTGTAAGGTCTTATTCGATGAGACCCCAGGTAAATTTCCAACAGTATGGATCGACGAGGAACCTGTGAATCCGTGCGATGGTGAATCGAAATGAGTTGATGCAGCTGGTGCGCTATAATCGTAAGCGGGCGCAACGCCCGGTGCAAGAAGCTGCGTCGCCTCATACGGAGCATTTTGAGGCATTTCGTTATACGCGAATCGATCGTGTGCCATTGTATTCATCTGCTGATGCTGATATGGCTGCAGGGCCGGGAATGATCCTGGTTGGGAGATTTCGCTAGGATAATGGGTCGCGGTGGAAGGAAGATCCTGGGCAGCACTGGATTGATCTTCGAATAATCGTTCTTGTGCAATTCCAATCTCTGTCATCATTGCGCCTATGCGGGCATTAGTATGACTACCGATAAATGAGGAGAAAATCGACATTTGACGCACGAATTGATCCACCCCCACCTTCGTTGGCTGAAGGGATCCATCTTTCCTCACGCTGCTGTTGAGAAGAAGTGGATTCTCCGTGTGTTCCTTGTGATTGCAGGAACTGATCGAAGTTGACATTTAATTGGGGTCCTGGGAAGCTTTCGGTGGCCGTGTGCTCAGTCGGGTAGGTTTCTTGCGCCGCGGCATAGTCGTAATGTTGGACAATTGGGTATTCGGGGCCCGGAAGAGGACCAGGAGAAACCGGGCAGTCATCCTCAACCAGAGGTTCCTCTTCATCAGAGTCCTGAATGACCCGATTCCAACTCATTTCGAACAATGCAATGAGAGTGGGAAAATGCGGGCTTATCGAGCGCGTTTGCATAAACACGTAGACACGTGACGATAAGCAAGTATAGACCAAGAGGTACAAGCGGTGTTCCTCTAAGTATCTTAGGCCAAATGTTTATAACTTGCGTGGAGATCGAGGATAATTAGGACATACACTATATTGATATTAGCAGAAATCCTTGAATTATCTTTCGTCATCGCGGAGCTTGTTAAGCGTGCATTGTTCTTGTTAATCCCTGGGTTGAACTTCCGACTTATTCTGTTAATATTCAATTGTTATTGTTCTTATCCAAATTTCAAGTTATTTAAGAATAAGTTCATGCGATTGGTCAAACAATATGGTTCTTGTATACGTACATGTGCCTTTGTTCCTACAAATGTGCATTGAATTGCATGTTGAATTTTGAGTGTCTTTCTTTAATACATCCTATTCAGCTTTCAAATGTTGTGATATGTATAGTGATATCTTTCAGTCTTTCAAAAATCTCGTATTCAATACATAGATCAACCCTGTCTTTTATTCTCCAATACAACTTGAATCATTGCACATGTGCTATTGGAATTGGCTATAAAAGCTGCCATCGCCCCGAGTCTGAGAACCTTGGAAAGTTTATATCCAACGGAAACATTCAAATCTCGGACCATTCAGACCTGACAAAATTTGAAAACGATCCACAAGATCGGTGAGTATCTAGGAATAAACCTGCATGTCCATCGAGCTCAACAATCAAAACCAGAAAACACTGCAAGATGGAAAACTTCCAGCAAGCCGGCGCAAAGCGCTAAAGATGCCTCAGGTGCGCTGAAGACAGCTGTCTCATAACCATATCACCCCTCACCCTCGGGATTTTCCAGCAAAAAGGCTAAAAATCCTCCAGGAGCCAATCCCCCTCCAAAAAGAATACCACACGCGAGTCTTCCAAGTCAAATTATCCCCCCAAGCCGCTTTCTATAAGGTGAAGGCCAAGCTAGGGGATGGTGTCGATGAGTGGGAGGGAATCATCGGACCAGGTATGATGTTTATTGAGGCAATTGCACGAACAGAAGACACTAACTTGCCATATTCCTCTCAGCTGGCCAAAGCCGCGTATGATGAGTGCTATGACCCCGAGGGACTGAAGTGTGTCTTTGTAGAAAATATTCAAAATGACGAGACAATGGAATTTATGCGAGATTCCATCTACCCTGAGTGGAATAAGGTAGACTTCGAGGCTCCACGCAAATCTTTTGACAGGCTCTTTTGGGCACGAGGATTGGTAAGGTTGTCGTTTACATTTTATTAAGTTCTTTCAAGAGAGGGACGAGACGTGTTGCGAAGATTGTTAACTGGATGAAGGACTCCAGGTTTCACTTACGGTTTGATATTCAAGCCCTATGAAACCCGCAAATAACACAATGAAATCCCCGCTTTCTGAACGATATCATACCTTTTTTTTGGCAATTGCTCAACGTATCCTCCAAATTACTCTTGTGCACCCTGACCCGTATGCAGGAATATACCCATGGCTCCGACAATCGCACCCTACAATATCACCCTTTCAAATGTTTACATCTACAGATACTGATGATATACAACTAAAGTCTACCGTAGCTAAAGCGGTAGTTACTCAATTAGGTACACGAGTAGACACTGGAGTAGAAACACTTGACGCTACAAAGTAATCTCAGAAAGTGAATACACTGGAGGCTATTCGGGTAGACTGTCCACCGTAGAAAGCACATTTGGTCGGGTACAAGGTTGACTACAAACCATGGGTACGTATGTTCCTGATCGGGTTAGGCAGGGAGTACAAGAGTAATTGAGGGAGTATGAGGAGAAATTTCCATATTTATACCTAAATTTTCATTCAAAATCGAAGACTTTACTTTATGACCCGATAACTCTGGATGTAAATATAGTCATGTGATGAATGACGGTTCCATGTAAGCGCTAAAAGGCCCCAGGCAACGATCTCACCTTTGACGATATCAAACTATTACAACTACCTAGACAGTCACCAAAAATATTATTCAATATAATTTGCGGTTTGGGACGACACCAAGGGGGGACCTAAAGATCCAGCTCATCATGTCAGATTCTCTCAGTCTGATTTCTAGCTCCCGCTTCCACCGCCGTGTGACTCTCGAAACAGAAAATGGCCCATTGACAGTCTCTTTCGCCGATATTGGCTGCATCACCGGGCCCGCAGTGATGTTCCTGCCAGGAATGTTTGCCTCGCGGTATGTCGGCATCCCTTTGCACCCAATTGCAGAGCATGCTGGAGTACGTTTACTCGTCGTCGACCGACCAGGCATGGGCGCATCGACTGATGTCCCACTCAATCGAAGACTAGCCACTTGGATCGACTTGTTCCCGCGCCTGTTGGCGTATCTTGGCATTACCCGTATCAGCCTTATCGCACATAGCGCTGGGACGGTGTATCTGCTTAATACGTGGGCGCAATGTCGTGAGCTTTTGAACCCAGACTTTACTTTATTAGGTAATTATTCGGCCCCTGTTCTTCTCCGTGTGGGAAAGAAAAAGAAAAGAACCGAATACAGAGAATCAAAGTGAGGAAGAATTACCAAGTGGTTAACTTAATTACTACTTATAGCGCCCTGGGTTGACCCCGACTACTCGCGCGTTACGGTGATGCAAATGGCACAGTATATACCAGCCAAAGCATTTACACTCTGGCATCGTATTCCGCGATTCTTCGTCACTCAGGCTGGCCCCGTAGTGGCGTCAAGTGGCGCTTTGCTTCGCCAGATGTCACCAAAAAGTGGGGTGGCAACAGAGGAGAACAGCTCATTTCTCGAGGACTATGGAATATCACGGACGGAACAGGCGGAGCTCTTCCGCCTCGCCATTCCCTTTATGTGGGAAGAGAATACAGTAGGCGCTAATAGCGAGGCTCTTCAATGTCTCCGGAAGAGCGATGGTTGTGACTGGGGAGCCTGCTCGGACTATGCCCAATGTGCGCAGGTCTTGGCTGCCCGCGAGCAGTCCATGGATGGCCAAGCTAGTCTGCGTGTGTATTTTGCTGCGACGGATGCCTTGGTGGGTAGTCGGGGACAAAGATATTTTGAACAGTGTTGGCAGGCACCAGGTGTCGAAGCCATTGATTTTATCTACACAACGGTGGATAAATCAGATCATGATACCGTGATGCAGTCGGGAGAAGTATGGGGCGCGATATTCGCTGCCATGAGTGGGCGCCAATGAGTTATAAAACATACGAATCCTTTGTCCTGGCATGTGAAACAAAGCTGTACATATCAGATAGAGTGTATTGACATTCAAAACTCAACCTCTAGTGATAAAAATCTAAAGGGAATAAAAGGCTAATGCACGATGCAAGATCGTAAATGCAGAAGAAGGTCTGGTAGGACAACCTACAAAACAACAAGCGCCAAACTCTCCAATAAATGCGGAGCAGTCTCGAGTATTCTTGGGAGACCAGAAAGCAGAGCAAGCAGGCCTTAACAAGACCGTAAGAATGAATGAAAAAGAAAAATGTGATAAAATAGAATCATTCATGCAAAGTTGTTCAAAGTAACCGGGTATCTCAAGCTTGAGCAACAGACAAAAATGCATGCATCGAGGCTTTCAGTCCTGTGTTACAGAACGCCTCCTGGTAGATTGATCTGTCCCGATCTCCCACCTTCAAACCCGGCACTGTTGGGAGCCGAGCCTGGAGCCGCTGTATAAGGATTGTCAGGGTGAATTTTTCGCAACATAAACATCGGCTTCCGACCCTCTCTCTCAAGTTGCTTAAAGAGTAAGAGTGGTTTCTCATCCAATCCTAGGCATCGTTCTTGGTCACCATAGACAATGTAAAGTGCGTAATCTTTGGGGTCGTGGTGAATATTGTACTTCCTCAGTGCAGCAGGCAGAACTTTATAACAAGGGTCTTCCCAGGAGACGCGGAATGATTTGAATATCTCCACACTTGCAGGACCAGCGCCAGCACCAGCGCCAGATCGAGGATCAACTCGCGAGGCAGAGGACGGGGTTTCCGTTCGAGCAGAAGGCGGTTGACTGGGCGTGTGTCGGTCTACTCGAGATGACGCTCTTGGGGTTTCCTCGGGATGGTCATGCATCATGCGACTGGCAGTGGAATTAGGTTGGGAGTAGGATCGAGAGTTGAGGGTTTGGTGTTGGGTGGTATGCGCATTCGGGGAGGTTGGTGACGGGACGCCTGGAGAATGTTGTAAACCACTGTTCATCGAAGCGGTCAAGTGGGAAGAGGCAGCCAGGGCCGCAGAAGACGGATCAAGGTTTCCATCATGGTAGTGCCTACCTTCATAAACGGAAGGTGGGATATATGTTGGTGAGTTGTTTTTAGGGGTGGCTCCACCGTAGGCGCGCTTGGAGAAGGCTCTGACCAGTTTCGATGAAGAGTGATTGTCTGTGAGGGTGATTTGAGAAGGTGATACGAGAGTAGCGCTATCATGGTGATTGTCCCTGTGAGTTTCCGTTGTGGAAGGAGGGGGTAATGGTTGTGATCGGTCTTTGGCCATCTTAATCATGGGAAGAATCTCTTCTCGTAGTCGCCGGTACTCGTCCGCAAGTCGACGCAGCTCTCCCTCGACTGAATAGATTTTCTGGTCTCGAATCTGAATGGAATGAATTAAACGCGCGATATCTTCCTGTGTGGCGTTTTCATTCATGCTCTGATCCGCCGCTGTATTGACTAGGTTAGCAAGAAGGACAAGTATCGTGATAGAGAGATCGTACAGAGTGGGATATAATGATCGACGTCGAGAGGAACGTTCTGTCTGACTTTGATTTCGTAGACACTCTTAAGAATTGTTAAACGATGGCCCACGCTGGTGATTCCCATTTCTTTCAGCTCATCGTGCCTCAATGCGATGAGTGCCTCTCCTACAATTCCATTTTCTGCAAAGGTGCAATATCAGCATCAAGTTGGCCACTGTTCGGACAAAAGTCAGTTACCTCGAAATATTCCACAGTACTGCAGTAACCCTAGAGATGTCATGAATTCTGAACATTCATCTGCTGTCCATTCGGAGATAATTGCCCGGGGAGTGCGGGGGACGTCGCCAGGGTAGCCGAATTTCGTCGGGGTATGTTCGGACGAAGGAATATCGGAGTCAATAGGAGAAGCCTCAGAGTCTGTTTGAAGGTGCGGGGATGTAAACACGCTGCGCTCATACTCGTCATCAGCATCGGAGTCTGCGTCGTGATAGGAGGTGTGGAGAGACATGGTGGCACGGAGTTTCCAGGGTCAGGGGAACAGAATTTAAGCTGAATCAATATACACTGGCGCCTATGCTGCCACTAGGCCAGAAGATTGCCGAGCGTGCGAGGTGGGCGAGAGCGCGGCTTGGGGAGGATATGCGACAAAGGATCAAGCTCATGGGAGTGCGACTTGATCGTCGAACGCGAGAAGGAAGGCTCGAACGTGACAGGCGCACATAGACCTCTCAAAAATTTGACAGATGGATCGGACAGGATTTTGGTGCCTGACAAGACACATCCAATTTGGAATGAAGGCCTTTTGCAATGATTAGGCGCCCGAGAGTCCAGCTGGTAGGCGCGGGAGCCAGAGCGGGGAAAGCTGTCCGGCGCGAAGAGGTGACCCCAAAGAAAGATTCAATAAACTCTGAATATTTCTATGGTCAAGATCTCAGGTAGAGAGTCCAACGGGCGACCGAGTAGTGGAGATATCATGAATCGAGTCCAAGGGATTCAGGACTAAAGATGAAGCGTCGCGGGACAATCAATTGGCACGTGACTGGGCCTGGACCCGTGCATATAGTACGTAGGGAAAGACCAACTGAGATGCAGAACGAATAGAGTGAATGGATAACTTCTGTTGATTTTTTGGCGTCATATATTTATTTAATACTAATAAATCACCTACCTAGTTATCTATAACTATAGAAAAGTGAAGTATATTATAGTTATATTGTATTGCATTCACCGCCCGTGCCCTATGCCGATTGGCCTAAAGAGATTCCGATTCCGATCGAGGAGGGATTGACTCTTCTCATTCCATTGTACATCAATTGATATTCACTGCCTCTTTATGTGATTACCAGATCCATTCCTACGTGTGCAATGGGCTCATCTATTTGACCCGTTTTCTTCCTGGCCGACCCTATTCCCTCCTTCTCCTCCCGGATCGCATCAACTACACCTCCGCATCTGCAAGCCGTTTTGCGCCTGGAACGCAGCTTTTACAAACGAGCTTCAATCAACCAAACTAAGGTCAGTTACTGTCAGTTACTGTCAGTTGCTACTAAGCGATGACAAAATTCCTCTTTGAACCCTGTTGCAGGGGCATACTTGCCACAACGCTAACTCCGCTCGCTGCACTGACAGGCCGGACCGCGGAACCTTCGTCATTCTCCATATCCACTTTTTCGCGCACTGGAACACACTCCTTTCCAGCCCTGCGAGTACCTAAATCATAATCTACTTTTTCGAACGAAAAGTTTGTTCTACAAGGGGCAGGATCCCCTTTTCTTTCCATTGATCTTCGCCGCGACTCCCGAATCGAGTTGGAGCAGGCCCCGGCGCATACGATATACACACAGTCGTGACCCTGAGACTTCTTGGTAGACATCTGTGTGAAGTGACCTGAGCTTTATCCAAAGCTTTTCCTTGTCATTAGGACTTTGGTTCATTCCAAATACACGACAGATCACATTGAACACTCCCCGGTGGGCCTGAACCCCACCAAAAGCTCTCCACACCATGCCTTCCTCTACCCCCGATGCGCTCGAGTCCGACCTCCTCACAAAACTATCTGCCACATCTGCTCTCGAAGACCTCCAGGAATCCTTACTTGGTTCCCTACATCGCGTAGGTTGGACCGAGCGGATCACTTCCCTCGCCACCGAACTCCTCCGCGCCGGCCGCTGTGAGACTTTCGACGATGTGATGGAAGCAGTAATCGCCTCTGCGGAAGGCCGAAGTCACCCGGCACTTGGCTCAAAAAACTCAGAGAAAAGCGACGCTTCGACGAATGGAGCCAAAGAGGGAAAAGCCAACGGTACAAAGAAGGGCGGGTCAGACGACAAAAAATCGGATGCCCCGTACGATCCACTGAAGTATATTGAAGAAGTGGACGTTCGAATCCCGGAAAATGTGGTGGATGAGGGAGTCCGTGGATTAAAGGACATACTACGGGATATGGTTGACCTGGAAGATGAGACGAACGGGGACAAGAAATGACCCGTTCTGCGCTCCAGGGATTTGAGATACGAGACTGCATTGCGGATATTCATATTATTTACTTTTATCCTCTTCTGCGGAGTATTGACATAGTTCGAGAATGGCTTTGACATCAGATTCGGCATGTCCATCTACGATCTTTGGCGTGTCATATCCCTAAATAGACAATTGCATTGCGCTGGGGACGTTCATTCCCCCAAAGAACATGATAAAAATTGAAGATTTAATTATACGTTATGCTAATATCAGTTATTAGAGCAATTCGACTCTGTGTGTAGTTTCTACGATAAAAGCTGACCACGAGATAATCAACTTAATCTGAATCCCTTTCCTATGCTTTCGGATATAGCATACGAGCCAGACTTCGCATTTTACTATATAAAGATGACTGGCTTAAGCATTGGAGGGCATGGAAGAATTAAGTCTGCTCAATATTAGGCTGTTTAAACAGTAAAAGTGAACGCTGGGTGATTCGTTCCCAGCTCATCAAACGTCTTGATATGACTCTTCTCCCACTGCTTGAGCCGACATCCGCAGCCTTGGCCCGGTTTCGAGCGATAAAGTAAAGATCAAAAGCACATACTGTGGCAATGAGAGTGCACAGACAGCCGATGGTCGCCAACATTCCCTCGAGATACCGCGGTTTATGTGTGTAAGTGTAGCTCACGGCAAGGCCACCGCACGTGCGATCTGTCCAAGGGCATTTTGAACCGGAATGACCAAAGTACGCCTGTAAATTCCGACAGTATATATAAAAAGTAATGTGAGAGTGAGCGGCACCAATGAGAAAGTACTGAAGCTGATCAGATAGAGAGTAAACATTCTTGGACCCTTGAGACTGGCAATTCCAGCCATAATCGAGAATTCAATTGCTGAAATCACAGCTAATCCAATGATAAGTGGACCATGGAGCTGGAGCCGGTCACTAAGGTAGCAAAGAGGTTCACGCAGAAGAAATCGAGAATGCAAACCGGGAATGTGTGCAGCTGGCTTTCCACGGCGCTGAACCCGCACCCATAATCGAGCGTTGGGAGGAAATTGCTTTCCTGATGATGAGCAGATAACACGGAAGTGAGCGGTGATCATGCCGTATGTTTCTGGAAAGCGGAAAATAGTCATTGCTTCTTTTATACTGCTTGGTCTGTCGACTGTATTTCCGGCTTGTTGTGTGTGGACGATACAGATCTCTTTCTCTTCTGCAGAACAATACTTTTTCGCTTTCGATGGAGATGATGGATAAAAGCATAGAATTATTGGACCAAAAATGATGGGGAATATCCCTTCGATCAGGAAAAGTAGCTGCCATGATTTGAAGATGGACGAGTAAATGTTATGCTGGTCAATTCATTGAAAGCACTAGCAAGTGCACCAAAGGATATCCATAGTCCTTTTCTCACAGCCATCTCTTCTTTTGTATACCACATCGTCAGAAAGACAATGTTGACTTGGGTCAGTCCTTCGGAAACTCCAATTAGAAAATGCATATCCCCCAGGCAATGTTGGCGAATCCAAGTAAAATGCATACCTTGACAAATCGGATGAGTAGATCAGATCACCAACAGGCTGGCAGACTATAGACCCGACATGGAACATGGAAACAAGAGCCGAGAACTGGATGGCAGAGAGGTGGTTGTCTTCCTTGGATCCAGAAAGTTTAGCATTTCCGATATCAGCACGATCCATAGATGTAAAGATCTGGTTAAGGGCACATATAGGTAGGACTAGGACATCAATATTCCGTAAGATCTTTCGATCAAAAGCACGCTGCTCTTCTGTCAGCACCGGAATCACCTGTTGCTCTGGAGATTTCATCTTTTCGATAGCACCTGAATGAGTCAAGTGGTTATAATCATTATCAGCCTTATAATTTCGGCTGAGGCCATACTTTGTTTCTGTGTATCTGTATGGACGTCAATCTAGATACGTGATTCTTCAAACATGTGACGAATATCAGGAATGAACCCCGGGCTTACCAATGTCCTTCGCATTCCAATGAAGATTATTTATAACACAGTACCTAGATTTCACATTACTCCTGGGCATGTTTCGGACTTCTGCAATCCAATTGTATTTATTGGGGAGTCAAATCTGCAGAAGTTGTACCCTGAATCGCACGGTTTCACTGGCGTTTCTGAGTCTAGTGACCACGTCCTGTATTTCCCCACATGCAGCCCCCGGTGTTCCACGTCCGGGTAGAGCCGTCTTGAAAGAAAGCTTGGCTCTATCACCGACCTCAGCAGACATTGCACACTCCGGAAACCATGTGTGGGATTCAAATGCTGATAATCGTCTTTCTATGTATAGATATCTGATAATCCTGCCCTGCCTATTGACTCACTCCAACGTAGATCTAACATGAAAACAAAACACCTTAGACTCATTCCAAGTTCAACATTAGGACAGTCTCGTCCTCCGCGTAGCTCATGAGTATGGCTAACTGGAAATACCCCTGCATGGGTTGTGCAGCCAAAAACCGATTTTCTTCCTATCTATAATTTCCACGAAATTACTATAGTTCCAAAGGCTTACCAGGCATTTGGGTTGAGAATTCAATGGCGTCAACTGTGCTCCTTACCGGAACTCTTTATTGTCGAGAAGCTGATACTGATACATTCTATGCTAAGGCGCGGGGACGGGCTGTTGATCGTACTCTGCATAGTCGATATGGACTAACCACGCGTCTCAAAAGGCGTCGTGTGCAGCTGTTTCCACTTCTTATCTTCATGTTGTACCTGGTGTCTCTCACCAGGAAGAGTTGATGGTAGGCTATGGCATATCGTTTCAAGATGCATTGAAAAGGATTAAGGGTATTTAGAGTTTGACAGTAGTCTTTGATATTAGGTTGGCTATATTCTCCGACGTGTAACTGAAATTTTTATCAAATCACTTGATTTTCCTATTATATCAAAGTTATATAGGGCATGGGAAACCTCACCGGGTTCAGACTTCCTAGCTAATTACCTTAATCGGTTTTAATTTCCCAAGCTCCAGCCTTAGGATTACCCAAAGCCCAGGATATTCCATCACTCATAACTTCATCCCACTTTTTACTCGCCTTTTCCAGTGCGTTTCCGTGTCGCCGGAATGAATGAGGAAGACCGCGGAAAACAGTAACATTGGTAGGGACCCTGAACACGGACGGGATGTCAGCACTCAAACACAACCGCAAAGAATTTGTACAACTTGCCCGCTATCATTAAGTAGCTTGGAGTAAAAAAGTGCCTCATCTCGCAGGGGATCTCTCCCAGCAATTCCGAAAGTTGTAGGAGGCAAATTCTTAACCTCCTCCGCAGTAGCATTCCCAGGATTCATCCTGAGATCACGACTTGCGTCCTCAGCAAGTGGCAATTCCAGCATCTTCATGAAGAATTCAAGCCGACTCATCGGAAGGATAGGTGCATCGGCACATTGCACAAGACTTGACAGCTCAGGACTGCGCAGTAATTCCTTCCGTGCACCATAGTACTCCAAACTTACAAGACACGGAATCATCAGCACCTGGCCTCTGATCTTGGGACAGGCTGCCAGAAGTTTATTGTCACCTCGAAGCTGTGCAAGGGCTAGAGAGGCTGTCAACTGTCCACCGGCAGATATACCGCCCACAACAACCTGGTCAGCGAGACCACCTAGTGCAGCAATATTCTCATGCACCCAGACGAAGGCGTCTTCCACATCGTTCCAAGCGGTCGGGTATGGGTGCTCCGGAGTGTGGCGGTAGTTGACATTGAACACAGCAACGGGGGTGCCCTTTTCTTGTCGTGAGACTACGATTCGGGAGCAAATCGCGTCTTCGGAGGCGAGGGTTCCAAAGATGTAGCCCCCTCCGTGGATGTGGATGTACAATGGAAGTGGCTGGGAAAGTGGAATTCCCAATGGACGGTAGATGCGTGCTTCCAGAGCTGCACCGTCACGAGTAGGCACTGTGTGATCATGGAATTGGACCTTAGAGCTGAGTCCTGAGTTTAGGAAATGTTCGTTCATTTGTAATGGATACAGATTTCTGTGCGATGATAGGAACATTCACAATCACTTACCTTGATCAATCATAGACTGTGCTGCCAGTTCCTCACGACCTTTGTTCACCAAGTCCCTCAATTGCTTCGGTGCGAGCTCGGGTATTTTGGGCAAAGAGGGCTCGAGTGCCAACCACTCAGCGCTGGGCACACCATACTCAGTGAAATCAGCCATTTACAAGGTAATTTATTGTATCTCGCGAAGTCAAGGTAGAGTGTATATTCGTGGCAGAGTCGTAGCACAAAATGCGGGGGCTTCAGCGCAATGTCACTGACTCGCCGATCAACAGATGGGCCACGCCATCGGCCAGTTGTTCACCCGAAACCCTATAAGCCTGTTCCATAGTATTGCGTTGTTTGAACCCAATCGAGTCTTTTGTCAGCCTTCTTTCTCCTACAGCTACCTACCAGACCTCGGTTCGGCTATAAGGGGGTAGCCCCGCAGTCCAGCCAAATTGGGGAAATCGCGGTTCTTCCGGTATGCAAGTAATATCAATGAACGGAGTGTTTATATGTAGACAAAAAAGTTAGATCTTTTAGTCTTCGGATATATCTAAAGTCAAAATACCAACCATGGGTGCCAACATACCGACCGAGCCTCCTTCCCGCTCTTTAGAAGGCAAAGTAGCCATCGTGACAGGCGCAGGATGCCTAGGCGATGGAATTGGTAATGGCCGCGCAATTTCAATTCTTCTAGCCAACGATGGCTGTGACGTGGTCTGCGTCGATTTGAACTTGGAGTGGGCGAACAAAACTGTCGAGATGATTGGATCCCAGCCCAACCGTGGACGAGCAGTTTCCTTCCAAGCAGACGTCACATGTGAAAAGGACTGTGAAGCAGCAGTGCGACTAGCAGTCGAAAAATTTGGCCATCTTGATATTCTGATCAATAATGTCGGGATCGGCGGCGCGGCGGGAACGGCTGTTGATGTTGATATGGGAGAGTGGGCGAAGAGCATGGAGATCAACGTCGGGAGTATGGTCAAAATGAGCAAATATGCGATACCGGAGATGACTCGAAACGAGGGGGAGCTCAAAGGAAGTATCGTGAATATGGGCAGTGTTGCTGGACTGAAGGGTGGCACGCCTCATCTGCTATATCCGACTGCAAAAGGAGCCGTGGTTAATCTGACACGTGCGATGGCTGCACATCACGCTTTGGAGGGTATCAGAGTTAACTGTGTCTGTCCAGGTGTAAGTTGATCATTTTATTGCACTGGTTCTTGGCTGACTTTTCATAAGATGCTGTACACACCCATGATGTATGTGAATGGCATGAGCCAAGAGGTTCGGGAGGCTCGCAGGAACCGTAGTTTATTGAGGACAGAGGGAAATGGATGGGATTGTGCTGGAGCTGTAGTGTTTCTTGCAGGTCCTCATGCTCGATGGATGACAGGAGTGATTCTTCCGGTTGATGCTGGGGTAACGGCAGCAGTGGGGATTGAATTGCCCAAGAAAGCCAGCGTCAACGCTCCGTCTTGAATGGACTGAAGCAAAGAAGATATCATTCATAAGACATAAATTATCGTCTTCAGATATGCTTCAAACAAATTTGTCAAATTAAACCAGTCAATGTTAAATGTCTTGAGTGTCATCTCCTATATCTTCCAAAAACTCTGAGTAGACAGCCGGAGGAAGACATATCTCCATCACAACCAATTACATCATATTTCAAATTCGTCTACATCTACAGCTACTTGCCTACTAGTCTACAGTCTAGACTAATTCTCGCTTCACCACCATAATTATTCGCATCCAAGCACGTTATCAATACCTAGGCGCTCCCATCCACACGGCTTCCAACCCTCCCTGTGCGATGACCATACCAGCCTTCCGAGCAGTTACTACACTATCAATCTACAAGTCTCATATATGCACCAGATGGAGCAATGTGTGAACTCAATTCTAATCTCTTCATCACCCTCTATCTGATTTTGCACAACCACCCATATCGCACTTTGCGCATGTACACCTTTTCCGTGGATAGTGGCCAGCTGCCCCACGATACCCCGATTGAGGATGTTCCATTTTCCATCAAACAAGAGCTTTTGCCTCGCCAGCCTGTTGATTACGCGATTGAGATTGGACCTTATGACTTAGTCACACTAGCCTTAGGCGTCAGAAAAGTGAATAGAAACCTTCAGATCACTTGGGCGCGTGATGTTGATGCATATGAGCCCGGCCACCCATTCAGTCGATTGACCCGGAAATTCCCAAATAAGGAAAATACATGTTGCATAATTGTGGTGATTAAACGCCAGACTGCGGAGGCTGCTAAAGAGTGGCGTCGACGGAAAGAACGTTTTGAAGAATCGCTACAACTAGAACGACAACAACAAGAACAACAAGACTAGGAGGACAAAGCAGCCAGGGAATGTGCTCATATTGAAGCCCAGAGTTCAAGCTAGTTTGTACATATCTTCCAGAGCCACTACGTGATCTACTTGCTTATTCCAATCTTGGCAACTCATCACGTGGAAATCATTGATATATTCGTTCAATGGCATCAGTCCAGACAGAAACGTACAGGGTGTAAAAGTTTATGAGAACAAGAAGAGAACTGAGTGGAAAACAGACTGTGCACGAATCGAATAGAAAGATCCACACCAATAATAAACACCCAAACCACATCCCAATGCACCCGAAGTTCTAAGCAGCCGATTCGAAGGCTCACTCGAAACACAAACACCATGTCGGAGTCGTCCAATTCTTCATGCATAATTATAAACAAGGGACTTTCTGGTTGCCCAAGAACCCGTGAGAAGACAAATAAAGGTGACAGGTGGAGAAAAGTCTCCCCAAAATACATGGGAGACTTGACCGTATGTGAGACATTCTAGTCCTCACGCTTTTCGGCTGCGGGTCCTGGGACCACGCTGCTCAGGGGCAGGCTCACCGTTCAGAAGGACCTGCGGAGCTTGGTTCTCCTGCTTGGCGAACTCGGTACCAGTCGCGAGGGTAGCCTTGGTCTGGACCTCAACCTCGACTTCTTCTTCGGTCTCATCGTCACTGCGTTCGTCCTTTGTGACGCTGTTGAAAATATAGTTGGCTAAAATGCGCAGGATCAAGTACAACCAGAACAGGTTGACAGCCTGAAGACTGGCAAGCAGACCAAAGGTAATGTACTGACTGATCCAGCACTTGTACTGCTCAGTCTCCCAGTTGAGCTCGAAAGGACCCACGGTACGGAACTCGGTCAGAATAGCCCAAAGAATCTTCAGGTTCAGCACGTGGCGTAGGTAGACCCACATGCCAACGAATACTGCAAAGTATGGAATTGTAATGTATGCATCAAGATAGTTCAGCGTCTTGGAGGTCTAGATCAGTTGGGTCAGCATGTATTCTTTGTATTCTTTTTGTTTGCTTCCACATACCGCCAAGAAAAAGTCCGAGACGTCATGGGTGATGTACACCGCCAAACCGATGTATGTGAAGTGGAAGCGGTAGCTCAGAGCAATCAGCGCCAAGGTGATAATATGGTGTCCGACCAGCTCCTTGAAATCCTTACGAGGCTTCTCAAGCTGAAGCATGAGTACAATAGCCTGCTGCGCCCAGTAACTCGCCTCGAGAAGGTAGTAAGCTTTGAACAGCGCCTCGTGCTCGCGGTGAGGGAAGTTCTCAAACATCGCCGTGGTGTTGAAATACCAAATATCCGACCGCTTCATGACGTACAACCCGAACGGACCAAAGACACCAAAGTAGATCGCCGTGTAGACCTGCTCCATGAAGCGGGCCGTCTTGCCTTTTCCACGGATACCGCAGAAGGCCGCAAGAGGTCGGATCAGCTGCTGCATGATGAATTCGCGCGTGAACGAGAGCACGATGGTGTAGAACGCCACGAAGGCGATATCCTTCTTGCCCTTTCCGTACATGATCGGACCTCCGGGGACCTTAGGTGGCTGCTGGTAGGAAAGGAAGATGGCACTGTGCATGGGATTGGACGGGGTCGGGTTAATGGCGTAGAGCGACAGTAGGAAGATCATGATGATCAGCGGCAACAGCCAGGTGTACTTGAGGCAGGTGTCGGCGAAACGATGGAGCAACGAGCGATTGCGACGACGCTTTGTGTGGGATTTGGTTGTGGACTTTTCGGACAAGTGATTCTCGAATCGCTAGATGCGCAGATAGAGCATGTTAGCGCGCCGACTTGGGGTTTTCGGCGTGGTGACTAATTCGGAGGGTATATTGAATTACATACCTTGCCCATATCGGGAGAGGAGGGCTCGATCGGGCTGATGTCGTTCATGGTGGACATCGCAGGCGCACTGGTATCGCCGCGGATGTCCACGCCCAGATTGGACCTACCACGAGGGCGAACCATTGTGGTGGATTTTGGTTCCAAAGTGTTGAGTTGTCGGAAGAACGAAGTTGAATGTTCTGAAGATCGGGACTCCACGACTCACGTGCCGGGAAGGGAAAACGGAAAGAGAAACGAGAACGATGGGACTAAGAGCCACTTTTTAGATTTCCGCGCGAACTAATTAATAACAGATTTGCGTCTTGGCAACATCGGTAGAAGTTCAAGTTCCTCCGACTTCCGAATCTTTGTTACGCCCCCTTTTTCCCTCTCTTTTGCTCTTTTTTTTCTCTGCAATTTTTTGTTACTCCACTCGGTTTCCATATCCGGGATTCCAATGTCACCATAGAACGAATATGTTACTTGAACATCAAGCTCTAACGTAATTACCTTTCCTCGTAGAATTATAACAATTTGCCAATTCGGCTGCTATGGCAATGTTCGGTCCGAGAAAACCCAAATTGGTTTGCGGGGCGCGCTAGAGATTCAATGTATTAGTGCCGGTTATACTCACGATGACGAAAGAGGTTCCAAAAATGTGCGTCCCGTATACACTCAAGTGCTGCATAAATCAACAGCTGTATATAAATCAACAGCTGTATATTTATGCATGGTATCTCTTCCATACAATATCCACTGCAAACCTCTGGGGAGGTTGCAAGGCTGTTTCAAATGTTTGATCGTGAGAAATTGTTTACTTGGAAGTCACCGCACAATTGAGCCTCTAAGATCTGATTGGCTCGGGCCCTCAGAGCGGAAATCAAGGTCGATCCACCGCCTCTGGCAGATAGGGGCCGACTGGTCAATATCTACCTCTCTATTACTTGGGTACACCACAGACTTTTTGGACATACGTTCGAAACCACCACCAATTTTTGCGCTATCTCCTTCAACTTCATTTTTCTTCTCTTCTCTTTTCTCTCTCATTTTTTCCTTTCTATCCCGCTAATTATGAATTTGGGGAGACCTTTGACCATTGGATTAAAACGGTACGAAAGAAGGTAGAATACTGGATTGGATACCCAGTAGGAGACCGAAGAGAAGACTAAGTAGGAGACTGAGTAGGAGATATAGTAGGAGGTGAGTTCTAACACCTAAGTAGGCGCCGCGCTTTTTGCGCGGCGGAAAGCCTCTAATAACAAACAACAAACCGACCCGGCTGTCAAACGGGCAGCTGCATCTGCTCAGTGCAAGGGCCTAGATGATTGAACGAGGCTTCAATGCGCCGTACTCCGTACAATTTTTCTTTTTTTACATTTATTTAGGTATGCAGGTAACAAATTGAAAGAACATATAGTCTGGAGGGCATGAGGGGTAATTCATGATCGAAAAATTCTTCTAAATATAGTTGGCATATTCTCATCACAATCATTGAAGCCGCGAAGTGAACTCACGTCAGAGTTGCAAGACCCGAGCTATCGACATTCCCATAGATCCACTGACTGAAATTACTAGGAGCGGCTTGGTTACAGGGAATTCCAGAGTCCTTCTGCCCAAGGATATTCGTGCACTGGAACAATTCGTGCTGAATGTCGGTGTCATAGTAAGGAAGACCGAGACTGGCATTCACGCTGGTGATGTTCACATTTTCAAAAGTGATGTTGGGGCACGGGCGTTCGTCAGAGCAGTAAATGGACGACGCGATGTTAAACCGAGACGTGCCGTGGATGTTTTGCCATTTGACGTCCTCAATTTGCAGTGTCGAGGTGTTGCAGCCCTTGTTGGTTCCAGCCGAGTAAACGCACTGTGACATCTGAATGGGAAGCCCGACATTTTCCATTTCGAAATTGCGGAAGGTGATGTTCTTGACGAGGCCAGTTCCACCGCCGCCCCAGTCCCCATTACTGGGAGTGTAGATTCGAGTGCCTTGCCAGGTCTTGATATAGGCACCATCCATTGAGTTTTTGATTTTCACATTCTCAAAGGTGGTGTTGATGTTGTAGTCGGGCATGTTTGGGTATTGGCCGATGGATCCAATGGTGATTCCAGTACCGCCTTCGCAGTAAATATTTCTGGCGAGCAAGTTGGTCGTATTTCCTTTGGCTGCGATACAGTCGTCACCGTTGATGATGGTGGCATTTTCCACGAGAAGAGAATCACTCCTCCAGGAGTCGTAGCCGTCGGTGTTCATTGTGCCCCATTTGCTGTTGCTGGTGGCGTTGACAAATAGGTTGGTCACCGAGACGTTCTTGCTGTCCCAGACAAATGTGGCCCAGAATTGCGGCTGGATGATCCGCAATCCATCGACAAGAAGGTTGGTTGAGTTGTAGAAAGTGATACTCATGGGCCGTCCTGGCTGGTTCGACTCATTTCTGTTGGCATTGTACCAAGCTTGGCCCTGGCCGTTGTAAAATCCACCCTCGCCGTAGAAATTCACATTTGTACCGCCAAAAAGCCACGCTGTGACTTGGTCCTGCAAGACAACACTGTACGAATGAGTTCTCCAGTACGGAAGGTTGGTGGAGAAGCGTAGTTCACCCCGCAGATGAACATCGCAATTCAGCAGATTGGTTGTGTTCAGAACAGTATTGACATGGAAGACACTTTTGGAGAAGATGACCGTACCATTTGTGCCGCACATGTCAAAGGCTTGCTGGATGGAGGGAGAATCATCCACAGCTTGTCCATGGTGAACCAGTGATTCAGGATACAAGACACATGTTGTCCCTTCATTGACAACCCAGGCCTTCACCAAGGTGACCCAAAGTGCAAAAGACCATAGCTTCATGGCAGGCTTTTCTCAGACAGAGTCTTCACTGTTTTCCGTTTGTGTAAAGTCAAAACTGCAGAAAAGGACATCCTATATATACTCGGTCGATCAGGTACATGAGGTATTTTCCCCAATTTCCCACACCCCACGCAGGGAGGAATACTGCTACATCTGACATCATATCACCACCTTAGTCGGATCAAGCCGTGGAAATGGGGACGAATATCAGGATGTCCATACTGTCAGAAAGGCGGCAATTGAACACAAGGTTCGAAAGCCGACTATGGTGGGGTGGTTAGGTCGGGACTTCCCCGAGTGATATTTCCCATGGGGATATGAGCCACGGTCCGCTTACTGGCCAAGGTTTTTCGATGCCAAAAAGGCTAGGTGTAGGAATATCACTTACTTCAAGGCCGCATTTGGTATTCACGGTGGTGATCCTTATATCATCATTGTATTCCTCAAGATTATCGGCTTCATGGATGTCCCCACCTCGGTTCGGATCTGCTTGAAGCGGAGTGGAAAGTCGAAGGTGCGTATTTGTATACGACATTTCCCAAGGTAAAAGGGAAAATGAGATACCTAGGTAGTTGTCATTTAGGTTTTACTGTCTCCCCATATTCTTCATATCCTTGACGAGTTAGTTACAGACTGGCCCTGCTGTTTTTGGTCAGTCCCGATGTCGGCTCTAGCCGGCTTCCCGAAAGCGAAACGATCTACGCTACAGTAAAGTCTGTTCGGTGCTTGCCTATCGGGCCGATTATGAAAAACTCTTCAAGTTCATATATAAGTTGAGTCTTGATTTTTGTGATTGCTATCTGCAACAAGTCTAATTTGTCTCCGCAACATTGTAAACCAGCTTCTCGCCGCTAACCTTGTCGTTCTTCAGGAGCTCCAGTCCCTCGAGAACTCCTCTCAGACCACCAGGGTTCACCTTAGGGGTGTGCACCTTGACCTTGCCTTCAGCCAGAAGTGTCGCGGCCATCTTCCAGAACTTCGAAGCGAACTCAAAGTTCTCAGGCTTAGCCGGCCAGTGCTGGCCAAACTTGTCAAAAGCTTCACCAACCGCAGTGTATCCCAAAGTCATCTTGCAGCTCACATTCTCACGCTTAGGTCCAGCTTGCAGCAGAGCAGTGTACTCACCACCGGTGGTGGAGATCGCATTATCACAGAACTCCGCACTGCTATCGAGCGAGATGGTATCGAGCACAAGCTTGAGCTTGTCATCAGTGGACGCACGAATAGCGGCGGCCGATTTGGGGTCCTTGTAATCGTAGACCTCATCGGCACCGAGGCTCTTAACGAGATCAAAGTTTCGGGGCGAACAGGTGGTCAGGACCTTGTAGCCAGACAGCTTGGCGAACTGAATAGCCAGGGTTCCGGTCGCGGTCGATCCGCCATAGATGAGGAGGGGCTCAGGGGTCTTCAGTGGCTCGGTGGGTAGGGCGAGCTTCAGGCTTTGGTATAGTGATTGGCCGACGGTTGTGATACCGACACCGAGGGTGGCAGCTTGCTGGAAGCTCAGATTGTCCGGGATGTGGATCTGGAGATCTCCCTTTACGACAATGTACTCGGCAAAAGCACCGTCTTCCTGTTGGTTGACGTTTCCACCGTGGGCAAAGCCGCAGATACGGTCACCCTTCTTAAATGGCGTCTTGACGTCCTTGCCGACCTCTTCGACCACGCCAGCGTAGTCGCAGCCGATCAGTGAGTTGGGTGGAGAAACATAGGCAACGTGCTTCCAATCGGTCGGGTTCAAGGCAACAGCTACGGTCTTGACGAGAATGTAGTCGTCGCGGAGCTTTGGCAGAGGGCGGTCGGTGACTACGCCTGCCTTCTTGGGAGATGTGATGACAACAGCTTTCATTTTGGGGGGTTGTAGAAGGGACGGGTATGAGATGAGGAAATTATTGATTAAGTAAATTGTGCGAGTTCTTGAGAACTTATAACAGTGAAAATTGGCTTGAGAAAACTCAAAATCAACTTCATGGAATACAACGGAAGCTTAGCAAGCAATAATTGATAATTTTCATGTCTTTCATCATTGCCTCCACATACAATAGACGCTAATACAAAATAGGACACACACTAAACCATATGCGGTCTAATCGCCGCAATGAAGCTTAATATTTAAGCACAAACCCAATGACCCGTGGCTAATAGCTTAATAATGAGATCATGTTTACCGAGGTTCTTTTTACCTGCTCCACTCTGGATTACAATATCAATCCGTCACTCACGTCCAGGTAAAAAGGAGTATTGAATGACATTCATCAAATGTTTTCTATGTTCACAATTTCAAATGCTCCAAATCCGTGCAGTAAAATGCTCGAAAAATGCTAAAAAGAGGTAACCTATACCCTAAACGTCTCATTCGCTGTGCTTCTTGACAGTAACATCCCACTCGGCCTTAACTTGCTTGTAGAATGCATCGTCTGTAAGAAGATCCCACGCAGTCAGAGCCAGCATGGTACCCTGCTTCAGTGAGCGGTAGAAGGATTCTTCAGTACCCGTAGCCTCGGTGAAAGTCTGGTGGTGAACTGAGACCCCAGACGTACAAGGGACACCATAATAAGCGTGAATACCTGGGCATTCATATGTGACATTGCCTATAAAAAATCAGTCGGGTTGCAGTATAATATGATGTTGAGATAGGCTTTGTTACCAAAGTCTGTGGAGCCTGGCTCGACTCTGTGAATGAAGGGAATAGTGTTGTGGCCTTGAATGCTGTTCGTAATCTCTGCGTAACGGTTGCAAAGGCTCTCAGTGACGAGGGTATCGGTGTACATATTACCCCTAAGGATGAATTAGTTCATTAGTCCCACAGAAAAATGGTCGATAGATACGTACTCGGTAATTTTGACAGTGCATCCAGTAGCCAGGGCAGCGGCTTCAAAGCAAGCAAGAACACGCTTGCAAAGCGCTTCGAGTGAGCCCCGGGTGGGACTGCGCGCAATCCATACAGTCTTAGTATAATGTCCAATAGTGTTGGGCACGGTAGGTCCCTCAAGAACACAGCCGTGGATTCTCTCTGCGTCCATAATCTGCTGTCTCAAAAGAGCAACGTTGTTATAAGCGGCGACGGCGGCATCGAAGGCATTAACGCCTAGGTGAGGGCACGCAGCGGCGTGGGATGCTCTTCCGTGGAACTCCACGACCCACCGAAGCATGGCCAACGAGGAGCAACCTCCAACTGCGGTCACATTATCTTCGATAGCATTCTTTGAGATTTGATACGGCGGCACGGGATGTCTGTGATTTGTTAGTGGATGAAGGCTCTGGGAAGAAATCTGATACTAACGCCATGACAGCGGCATCAACGCCCTTTAGAGCTCCATTCTTACACAGAACAGCTTTGCCACCCTGATTCTCCTCGGCTGGACAGCCAAGTAGCTGGACACGGCCCTCGATATTGTTCTTCTTGATAGCTGCAGTAATGCCAAGGAAAGCCGCAATACTGGCAGCAGCGATCAAGTGATGGCCACATCCGTGACCAATGCCAGGGAGAGCATCATATTCGGCATTGATGCTGATCAATCTACCACCCTGACCGTAGAGAACCTCAAAAGCAGTATCGAGGGCATAGGCTTTCCGAGTGACCTGAAATCCTTGATCTTCAAGGAACTTGCAGATAGTGTCGTGCGCAATGTACTCTTCGAAAGCGATTTCGGGATTGTCGTAGATCTGGGTTGGAATTAGCATTGATTGAAAAGAGTGATTGACTTCATATGAATACTTACGTGCTTAATGACTTGACGCAGATCAGTGGTAGAAGTAGCAACTCTGGCCTCGACAATTTCTTGAATAGCCTTCAATCTCTCAATACCCGTGACCGGGCTCAAGTTGGAGGTGTCGTCGTTGGCAATGGAACCCATGGTTTCTGGATGTATAGTTCTTTCAGATTTTCACGAGAAGATGTTAATTGATGTGAACGAGAGAAAACATTCATGGGACAGACGGCATACTTATAGTACATCATTTGATCAGAGTCACGATTCCCGCGAGTTCATGACAGCATTCATTCAGTCATGGAATCCGTGTTCAAAGTACTCCATACATGTTTCAACTACGGAGCCCCATCAGTTCATAGTATAGATCATCCCAAGTCAGTTACCCTCGCCAAATAGTCATAGGCACTCGGCAAGATTGAACCAATAGCATGTCAAGAGTTCCTTATCTGGTGGCGTTATCTTCCTTATCTATGAGTTCGGCTATATAACAAACCAAGCAACACCCCATGTCTGTTGGCGTGGTTTTCGTCCTTTATACACTGTTTGTACTTTTTGTACTTTTTGCACTTTTAGCCAATCGGCTTTCACTTTTACTCTTGTGACTTTATACTTATCCTTCCTCCGCGGGTAAAATCGCCGGCTTCATGTCTGGTCTCAACGGGCCCCGCAGTAGAAGTGGTAAGCTATCTCACATTGGGTTTATCGCTATCGGAGTTCTTGTTAACAATTCTTTTGCTTATCAGGATGTTGGACATGCCGAACTCGCAAAGTCAAATGTGACGAACTCCGACCAAAATGCAACAGATGTATTAAGCGAAACAGAGAATGCGATTATGAACCCCGGAAAAGGGCTGTCCGGGGTAGTGGCCAAAGACCCCACAATATCCACACATTGTATCCGAAATCGAAGCCGATCACGATCGCTCCACAGATCATCTCTCCAGAACCTCTTGGACCAGAGCCTGACTTGCCTTATGGAATCAAGACTTCAGATTGGGCACTTCCTCTTACAGCCACAGATCGCCGAGCACTGAATCATTACGCTGTAAATGTTGTGCCGCGGATGATCTTAAAAACTCCTCGATGGTCATCCTACTCCTACGCGCTATTAATGTGCGCGAAACATCCACTTCTCGCCCACCTAGTCACGGCGTTTTCTGTCCGCGATATGGCCATGGAGAATGAAACTGAGCTACTCACCATAGCGATGGAACACTACCAGAAGGCACTATCACTCTTCATCGAGCACCTTTCGGCCCCACACGTAACAGGATGGATCACATTCCCGGCGTTATGGTTATTCATAGTCTATGAGCAAACATATGGAGATGATCCAAACGTACTTCAGACGCACCTTCGGGGAGTGCGGGACATTCTTATTACCCACGGATCCGAAATCTTGCCTGGATCGTTGCACCATGAAGAAAAAGCGGGCCAGGACGCTCCGCCGAAATACTGGGTCCAGCCGCAAATGATCGACCGTATGGCATTGTGGACAATACACCATGATGCTAAGGCATCTACGTTTGGCCTCGGGGCTAACATAGTGTCTCTGTTGGACGAGCAGTACCCCGGAGCGATAGCGAGAATATGTCAAACCTCTGCTAATGCGCTGCACGACGCTTGGGGCTCGGAGTATCCGGTCCAAGAAGAGATTTGGGACGTACAGACTGAGATCCTATTTGTTTTTGCACATGAATCTGCAATGCTACGATATGAGCTATCAAATATAGAGAGGGATGGCGATGAAATAGACTCGTATAAGCTGCTTCTATTCAGTCGCAAATTGAAGGAGCTACAGGAAGTAGGTACTGGTTTAAAGAAAGATTGTTCGATGGCTGACCCATACTATAGAGGGCATCCAATCTTATTACCACAGCTCTATCGCGAAGAGTTCAGAGAAGCGATTTACTCTCAAACACATGCCTAACGGCCGCAGAGATCCTCGCCCTGGTCATACGACATGATAGACTACTCTATGAAAACCAGTTATCATCAATCGTCTCACAAGTACTTCAGATTTGCCACAGTATGCACGAGTACGAAGGCGATGGTTATCTATGGCGAGCCGCGTGGCCTATGTTCGTGGCCGCGTTTGAGACAAAAGACCCGATCCACCAAGGCTGGATTCTAGAAAGATTTGCCGCTCTTTCGGCTGGTGGCCAAAACATGCGACGCGCTCATGATCTCTTGAAAGCCATGTTTATGGACATGAGAACCAGCACCGGATCAGCGGACTACCTAGCCTGGATACGAGATGAAAGATTTCCACGTTTCGTGATATGACATGATATCCGAGGATCAGTCGAGTTAAATACCTCTGTGGCCAATGAAGGATCTTGAATTAAACATTCCCATTGGCGGCATACTTTAATATGCTTGCCAAGTTAGCATAAAGCATAAAAGGAGGAGATAGTGCTGCACTAGTAGAGGTCGGCTCTTCACAACTACCATTGCCGAATTAGAATAGCCGAAGTTGAAGGCCGAAGTCTAAGATTATCGGCTCCTCAACCAATCAAGCTACTTGATCGAATATTCATCTAGGCATCAACTTATCATTGAGCTCACCCTATATTCGCGTAGATTCTAGAATCAGACAGGCGCTAAATTAAACCCAACGCCCCGACCCCGATTTTTTACTGGCATAGATAACAACTCCGCTTCTATGGGGTACTTTTCCGCTATCTCGACATCTTCAAGCTTGAAATCAGAGGCTTTTTTTTGATAAGACGCAAAAGATAGGGAAACGTAATATACCTGAGCAGTGAACCTCGGAATCGTCCAAAGCTCAATCTAAGACGTCAGAACCATATATAAAACAATCTTGTATCAGGTAAAAGTATACAGTCAACACATATCAATTACTACAAATATTGAAGCATTAGCCTTTAACCTTGCAATTCACTTTCTTTGGTTACTATATAAGTTGAAATATGCTGTCCGCCATGGACCAACTGTCCAAGAAAGCCGATCTCAAAGCCCCATGCGTCGATGTAGATGAGGATACAGGCACAGGAACAACTGAAAGTGTACAGATTAACACCAGCCGAGTGTTGAGAAAGATTGATTCCCGGTATGAAGAACCAATTCACCTAGCATAATGTTCTCATGAGCTAAAAGATTGAAGACTTCTACCGCTGCTTGGATTTTGCTACTTTTTGCAACTCCTCGACAAAGTTTCTCTGGGTTATACTGCGCTCCTGGGCATCCGCACTGACGTAGTATGTTCACATGCCCGCAAACTTACTGTGGCTCCATAATTAATCCTTTAGGGCCTCGTTGGAGATGAATACTCCTGGATAACTTCCATTTTCTACTTTGGATACTTTGCCTGGTCGTTCCCCACGACTTGGATTATTGTTCGGGTTCCCCTGGGGAAGTACCTGTCTCTTGTGGTGCAAGTCATATCATTGTGATTTATGCGCTGCAATCTTACTAATATGCCCAATGTCTAGGTTTGCGTGGGGTGCTGTGCTTGCATGTCATGCAGCATGCCATAACTATGCTGGCTTCATGGTTGCGCGCTTTATCCTTGGTGTAATGGAGGCATCCGTTGCTCCGGGTTTTAGTTTCTTAACTGGCAAATTCTACAAGAGAGAAGAACAGCCACTGAGGTACGTCTTACTTCAAACTACTTTGCGTCCTTCAAATGTTGCTTCTAATATTGAAAACCATCTTTCATAGGCATGGTATCTGGTACTTGGTATATGCTTCAATCTGAACTTCACGCTAGTAGTATTCAGCACTAACAATTATGAAACAGGGCAACAGCTTTGCCGGTTTTTTGGGCGGTCTCATAGCCTACGCAATCGGGCATATCGAATCCACTCTATACACTTGGCAATATCTCTTTATCATCCTCGGATCACTGACATCCGCTAGCGGAATCGCTCTGTTCTTCCTTCTTCCCGATGGACCTGAAACCGCGTGTTTTCTATCGCCAAAAGAGCGTGTCGTTGCCGTTGAGCGTACCATGAGTGCCCACCAGAAAAAGGGCTCGAACAAATTCCAGTCTTATCAAGTGTGGGAGGCATTCAAAGATCCCCAGTCTTGGCTTCTTTGTTTGAACATGCTTGGAGTTATGCTTGTTAACTCAGGGTTGACTGCCGTGAGTACAAACAATCTACTCCAGTTCGCATTGCATGCTAATTTCACTCAAGTTCACGGGTATCATCATTGCTGGATTCGGTTATTCTGGACTTCAGGCGCTGCTATACCAGATGCCAGGCTCTGCGGTGCAAATTGGTTTAGTCACTATTACCTCTTTCTGCGGTAGTTACGTTCCAAACTCGCGGTGCTACATGCTAGTCATTCTTGCCTTGCTTAGGTATGTATGACCCTGCCTTGTGGTGTCGCTCAATTGATGTTATAACTCACTAACAGAAATTAGTATCATCGGTTGTGTCTTGGTCTATACCCTGGACGACAATCACAGACAGACAAAGCTATTCGGAACGTCGATCATGGGATCCTTTGCTTCAGGTTTGCCGATTAGCATGTCAATGGTGTCCTCTAATGTCTGTGGAAGTACCAAGAAGACCACGGTCAGCGCAATGCTGTTTATTTGCTACTGTGTTGGCAACATCATCAGTCCGCAGGTTTTCTTGGCAAGGGAAGAGCCTAAGTATCCGGTGAGTAATGGCTCCTTTGGATTATATAACTATTTGCTGATCTGTCATACTTTAGACTGGTATCAAAGTCTGCCTTTCTGGTCTCTCTCTTGGAGTTGCCTCCGCCATGGGCCTTCGGTTCTACATGCAGTACCGTAATTCCCGTGCGGTGACCAGTGCTGGTAGCTACGAGTCGGATGGCAGTAACACTGACGATGATCAGGACAAGACTGACAGGGAGATTCCAGGGTACATCTATCTACTTTAGTAAGCAGGTCATAGATGTAGCCCTTGTGGGATAAGAAATAATAGGGATCGTCTCAAAACTGGTGTCCATTATGCGCCAGGGGTTTTCAAGACTATAGATAATATGAAGATTCGTTGGCAAACACTCTATGGCTTATGTTGCATGAGTACATGTGTTCCCTAGGCCCAGAAAGTACCGTGAATGAAAATAGAAATAAATATTTATATTCAATTATATCTCATGAATCTTGTTTTACATGATATCGTCCAATAGATGAGGGCCTTAGCTCAAATCCAGAGAAAAGGAAAATTAATCTTCACAACTCCAAATAAATCTAGCTTATGAAGAAGCATCGGAATTGTTCTCGGTGTGGGCAGCCATAGACTTCTCACCCACGGCCAACCTCTCACCCAGAACCTCAACATCACCACGCTCGGCAGCGACAGTGCGCTTGGTGTCGTGGGTAGTCTTCCAAGCCGGAGTACCAATGTACGGGATACCGTTAGGATCCTCGAAGATCTGCTCTGTCTCCTCAAGAGTCTTGCCAGCAGTCTCAGGGAACATGAAGTAAACGTGAAGCAACATGACAGTCAAGAAGACACCGAAGACAATGTAAGTCTCCCAGCGGATGTTGGCAAATGCAGAGGGCACGAAGAGACCCAGGGCAGTGTTGAATGCCCAGTTGGCAGATGTAGCGAGGGCGACCGCCTTCCCGCGAACGCGGAGGGGGTACAACTCCGGAGGATAGACCCAGGACACGGGACCCCAGGTGGGAGCATATGACGCCACGAACAGGTAAGTGCAGGCAACGAGGGCCTTGGCGGGAGCGCCGCTCATGCGCATAGATTCCTCGGGGGTACCGTCGATACCGCCAGGGACAACAGTGCCGTATGTGGCCATCAGACCGGCGTTGGCATACATCCAGATCATCATGAAAGTGGCACCGATCAGGAGTGTGGGGCGACGTCCCCAGCGGTCAACCCAGATCAGAGCGGGGACGGTAGTCACGACGTTGATAATGTACTGGATGGACGAGGCGAGCAAGGTAGCGTTACCGGAGTAGCCAGCCATGCGGAAGACGTAGGTGATGTAGTACATCATGACGTTCATACCGGTCAGCTGGGACCAGATCTGAGTGAAGATACCGATGAAGGTGCGGTTGAGCATCTTGGGCTTGAACAGTTCCAGGTAGGAGACGTCAGCGTTCTGGCGCTCAAACTCGCACATCTCGCGAATCTCTTGCATCTCGGTCATGACGAAAGGGCTGTTGGGGTCGCCTTTGCCGTGGACGAGGGTGAGGACGGATTGGCATTCTTCCCAGCGGTCTTTGCGGGCGAGCCAACGGGGGGATTCAGGGAGGGAGATCATGCCGATGAATAGAAGGATGGCGGGAACCATCTGGATACCCCAGGGAATTCGGAAAACAGCAGTGCTGTAGGTGGTAGCGGTGTTTCCACCGATGTAGGAACAACCAAAGGAGATGCTGTGAAGTGGGAGAAACGGTTAGTTTTTGAATCCTCCTATATTCCATAGTGAAACATACTAGTACATGATCAGAATACCCCATGTGATGGCCCACTGCTGGGATCCAACCAGGCGACCACGCTTAGAGGGAGGAGCAAGCTCGGAGATGTAAACAGGAACCTGAGCAGATTCGATGCCGACGGCCAGACCGTTGATAACACGGCCACCAACGAGCATGCCCATGTTCTGAGAAGCACAGATAATAGCAGAACCGATAACCCTAGACGATACAATGTTAGTCTTGACTCATTGAAACAGTGACAAGCCAGTTACATACCAGATAACACATCCAGTCATAATAGCATAGCGACGACCAAGACGATCTGAGATAAAACCAGAAATCAAAGCACCAAGCCACGAGCCAGCGGGCATGGCAGCAGTAACACCACCCTGAGACAACGAGCTCAACCCACTACAGTTCTCGGAATCGTTGAAAGGCGGGCCTTCGGGACCGTGATTAAAATAACACTTGTAGGCAGTAGTATCCAAAATGGCAGACATCGACGAGATGTCAAAACCAAACAGACCACCGCCAATAACGGCGATGGCCGCAATGTAGTAGATGTTCCCCGCAAGAGGCATGATGGGCAAACTGAGACCTCAAAAGCTCCCAGACTCTATGATTAATTGGGGGAAAGGGAAAACACAACAAACAGCCGATCAATCCAAGTCCGGTTGTGGGAGGAAAGGGGCATTTAAATAGATCTGAGGATAAACTTCATACTGCATATGACAGAGAAATTCTTCAATTTACTTTTTTTTTAACTTTTGCAATGGTGGATTCAACATGGGGCCGGAATCATTGCGAGACAGCTCCACCGATAATTCCAGACATGCAGTGGGATCACTCATTCCGGGTAATGTCAGCCTGGGAGGAAGTCGAGAATAATCGAGTGTAACGTTTCCGTGATGTTGCCAAGACCCTGTTCGCGTGCTGCGGGGATAACCAAATCTCATTGGCCGAGACGGGATATTGAATCCACATTTCAATCTCTAATTGGCTGAAACCTGCCGATCTCATGAATGGATCCGGGGAATCGGGCCACGAGGGATGCCTATTCAAGACCGAAGCACAGAGTCATTTGGATTCCGTGTCAGCCATAAGCCGTGTTCGGCTCCCCGTTCGGCTTCCTGACGCAGTCGGCATGGTATTCTACACGGGAATGTGTAAATGAGATAAAATCAATCGGGTAAATGACAGGCTATAATAAAGTAGAGGGTCTTTCTACCCGAGGACCCTGGATGAGAAAATTACTTTCCATACCGCGATACAGAAGTCCAACACCAACTTGGAAATAATGAAGAAAACAAGGCATTAGTATGGCCGATCCCAGACAACGACCTGTGCAATTAGCGACACCACGGTCGGATTGCAGACATAAATTAATTGGCGCATATTACCTACAAATTAACCGGTTCTCCACTTAGTCTGCTCAGAACCAAATTTTCCATTGGAGTCTGGAGAGCTGGAGAGTCAGTCCGGGGCCCCATGGACGGGCCTTTAGCCAGAATTGGACGGCCTCGCACGGCATCTTACGGCTTTGACTGGCCGGCGCTCGCCGAAAGTGTGGGACTCGGGCTTCGGGTACCCATCCCATTCAACCTGGTACACTCAATTCCCTTGTTTTTTTTTTTAAATTTCTTTCAAGCCTTTTCCCGTGAACACTAGTCGGGTCGGTTAGGTTTCGGTTTGTGTGGATCCCAAATAAAAAAAACCTCTTATGATCCAAAGGGGGAGGTGTCGGGTTATTCCACCTCGTCTCCGCGTTGGATTTCATGCGGAGGTAAGTATGTCGGGGTCGACTATGACCGCGTTTGTTCACCGGGAGGTTATTCCCCAGATATTCCCTCCGCATTTCCATTTCAAGCGGGGGAGGAAGATAATCTATGCGAAATTAAGAAGATTCAAATTTCCTTCAACATCATCACACGTTTATTTCAATTGGTTATAGAAGGTAGCGCGGGCCGCCCGAATCCCGATAGTTTGTCAAGCCCGCTAATTGCCCGAGCCTACTACTGGAGGAAAAATTCTGGTTTTACGCATAAGACGAGAATCATATGATGTAATTTTCCATGGCGTAAACAAGCACTTGCGGTTGAGGCTTTTTGTCCTATGCGCCTCAAAAGTTAGTTAGCTGGTACCTTCTTGATGCGACACAGTGGCTGTCTCTTTGGGCGCGCTAGTGTTCATTTCCCGCGCCCCCTCGTCATACGGTGTAGGTGCACGGATCGAGATGGAACCATGGATTCATTGATTAGCCAAAACACCGCCTTGGTCGGCACTTTAGTAAACAGGTAACGGCCCGCTGACAGTAAGATCAATTAATCTGGGGCAGTGAAAGTACCGAGAGGGTCCTTTGTATGGCAGCCACTGACTTATGGCCTTCTATCTCTTGCCATACGCTTCGATATGTCATATCCACGAACCCAATTCCCATCAAGTTGTAATTTGACTATACCAAAATGCCACCAATACGGATTGGGCGGCCTTCTCTTCATAGAGGAAAGGTATCCCGTACGGTCTATGTTTCTGCCCTTTGCCCGAATTGGCCTAGTACGGTATATAAAGTGCCAACATATGAATGTCGAGAGTTCCGCTCCCTCTTTGATCAAACATCTGGAGCGCGAACTGTGGTTCATCAGAGATCGGAAGTTTGTAATTAAACTGGTCGGTACATTTACGCTTAAATGGATCTTAAAAAATATTGAAGTAATTCAGAACCAATTGCTCATTTCAAATCTCCAACTTAAAGCGAACACGTCCCTACGACTTCAGACAGACTTATCTAAATAGCCCCTCCCCCAAGGATTATATCCTCTTTGAAAGCAGTACATCCACCCTCAAACTGCCGCGGTTCCAAAAATTCTACTGTCGAATTCCTATAAGCCAGTCCAACCAAAGTTTTCTCTAACTCAAAGTCAACAAACTAACAATCTTCAATGTGGAAGAAGGCAACCACGAATCAAACTCACCATGTGGATCATACCTCGGCCATCCAAACTTCTTCAGTCCATTTTTCGGATCACTAGCAAAAGCCACCCAAGCCGAAGCCATATAATGAGAAGTTTTCCTTTCAGCTTCACTATCTGGAAGCATACTGATTTTCTCTGCGGTCCCGAAAACCATCGGCAGGTCAGATCCATGATAGGCCCCACTTCCAGGATAAAGACGAAGGTTGTCCCAGTCACCAAAGTATCGAGCCTGCCATGCGGGAACATTATGAGCTACCCGATCTCGGACAGCTTGTCCACTAGGACATGTAAACGCTGCAAGATTGAACTGGTCCCAGGAAAAATCGCTGACGGCGATCGTGCTTGCGTATGCGGCGAGACGGTAGAAGCCGGCTTCGTTGTCGTTGCTGGTTACTAGATATGGCTAAGATATTTTGTGATCAATCCTCTGCACCTATATGCAATTGTTTCACTCTGCTGTGGAGCCGACCTACCAATCTTGCGAACCTTCCTTCGGCGGATCTCTTCTTGTAATCACTAAATACCGTCATCTCGTCCACAACGGGATGGAATATCGGCTCGGGAATGGTAGCAGTGTCGAGCATGAGAGCATTGCTGGACGCGGTAAATATCTCCTCGGAAGATTTCTGTCGCATGCACTCCAGAACCTGATGCTCTTTCTCAGAGCGAGTTCCACATCCCAGAGACGCAGATATATTGTAAAAAGCATCTGCAGATTGCTGTGGTGTATTGGGTATGTAGCTCAATGCTGTTCCGGAGTGCGAAATGAGGCCACTGACGAGTGGGTTATGGGCCCAGGCATAGGAGTAGAGATCGACTGAGGTACCACCGGCTGAGGATCCGAATATAGTGATGCGGTCTGGATCTCCGCCGAATCCTGCGATGTTGCGGTGCACCCATTCAATGGCCAAGCGTTGGTCGAGGAGACCTACGTTTTGAGGGAGGGTTGGGGCGCCTGAAAAACCGAAGATGTTCAACCGGTAACTAAGTGGATAGATAGATTGCAAACATTAGTGCTCATGTGCATCTTCGGAAAGAGATATTTGCCAGAGAATTGCCGGATTCACTTACTTGATTGTGACTAGAAGAATATCATGCTCTGAGACCAAGACTTGCCCATCGTAGTATGGACATTGGGCACCAGTAATGACGAATCCTTTAGGTATTAGCCGGGTATTATTGAGTTGGAAGTCACACTCACGTCCACCATGAATCCACAGTAGAACCGGTTTCAGCTTGGATGGATGGGGTTTGGTCCATATATTAAGGTACAAGCAGTCCTCACTTTGTGGGCCTTGTTGCTGTAAAAAACCACTCATAACCCGAGAGTATTGAGGAGTTGATCCAGGATACAGTGGAAATGTCTCATTGTTGGATAGACAGTTGCTACTGGTTCATTAGATACTCATATTCGCCAACGGGGTCCGGTTACGTATACGCACGGGCCCTGTCAAGATTGTCAGTTGCGTCAATTTAAAGAGAAACGGGAGGAGAAATACACACATAGGCATTTGCTAAAACGGTCTGTTTGGATTCGAATGCCACTGGAGCCGCGAACCGTAGTTTGTCTATCGGGGGTGATGCAAATGGGATGCCTAGGTACTCAGAGGTATCGGGGAATTGAGGGCCAGCATGACCGATGATCAATCCACTGCTGGTTTGGACGGAGGCACCAACAGAGGATGAAAGGACCGAAGCGGAACATCCTTCAAACCAGACAACGGAAAGGATTTTGCATATGAAGACAGCCTGGGTAAGTTTGAGAAGGCCTGCCATTGCGAAATATATTATCGGAAGGTACAAATCAGCCTAAATGAACGAAGACAAGTTTTCTATATATAACTTGGTAGCTTAGTTTATGTGACTCGAATATGTACTGCTGACGAGATCTGCAGAATATCTGGAAGCTTATTTTAGATGTCGCGGTCAGTCTTCCAAATGTTTGTCCAGGTGAATGTCGAGAGATTCTTAAAAAGACTGCCAGGTGTGATTTATTGGCTCGTATAACCCCAAGGATTTGACCTTGGACGACATCATCTCATAACATTTGAGCAGTGCGCCAATTTGACTCATCGATATTCCTTGTCTGCTTTGGCGATTTTAAGGTCACACCAGATGTCACGTCTATGCTGGAGCATGTCCAATAGAGGTAATACGAGTCGGATTATCTCATTTGAGTGACAAGCTAGGTCTGCAAGTCGGTAATATTATTATAAATTTGAATAATTGCATCTCCATTCTCAAATAAACATGTCCCGAAGGAGATACACTCAAAACGCCGAGTCAATGATTACGTATACTGGTAGCACGTATGCAATTCGAGATGATCATCAGCATCATGATTATTTCACCAACTCCCACTCTGCAATAAATGCCCACGCCATCCCCACTCGGCCGCGTTGAGCTTCATACTCCTCTGCTGTGATGCCACGGCAATCCGTGCGCTCACCAAACTTGGTTAACACAGCAAGTAAGACTTTCTGGCCCGGTGCACCTAGCATCCGAGAATCAGGCACATCAACGTACCAGAACTCACCACCACCACCTGGACCGCGGCCAGGCATGTGTCGAAAGACAAGCTGGTCATCTTTACGTCCGTCGACGCCCTTGATCATGAGTAGGAATAGAGCAGGCTTGAGACGCGAGTGTCGCGCCAGTGTCCAGTGCTCACAGAGCAATCCGAACTGAAAACGTAGCGGGCTATGTGAGCTGTATACAGAGATCTCCCCGCCTTCAGGCTGCAAAGTCCGACGACCAATGCTGTTTTTATCGACATCATTGTAGGTTTTGATGGGTTTCAGCCCGGTTGGCATATCAGGGTTGATGAATGTGTATTCTTCATAGGGGACGATGCGTCCATCCTCGCGGAGTTGGTATTCTTTATTCTCAGGATAGTGCTTCAGACCAAACTCCTCGTTCGACATGGAGAACATGGAAGGGTTGAATTTTGGCTCGTAGGGCATGTCGCGGCCGTTGACACAGCCGGAGCCCCAGCATGGATCAACCAGTTTCCAGCGTCCGCCATCGATCTTCACAGCATTCCAAGCGTGGTCGGTCTTAAATGGCGGAGGTTGTGAGCCTGGTGCGACAGGGTTGTAACCGAAGCCCTTGGAGGCACCTCCAATCACGACAGCCTCCAATCCGGCTTTTGTGGCCAGCACAGCATATAGGCCTGCATAGCCTTCACAGACGGCCAATCCCGTGGCTAAGGTATTTTGGGGCGTAGAAGGCTTCACGTTGTTATTGAAGAACGCGACGGTATCGTAATGAATATTATGATGCATCCATGAAAAGATAGCCCTAGCCTTATCGGTCAAGGACGGGAATGGTGCAGTCAGCTCATTCGCTAACCAGCCTAAATCATGTGTTGGGAGGGAAGCACGCGGATACTGGGCACCACGGGCGTCTGGGCCAGAAAAGTCCCGGCATACCAGGCATTCCGTCGTCGAGCTAGGAGTCGGTATGGCATTTGCAGCTGGCATGGAGCCATGGAATTGTGGTTTGGTAGCTTGAAGTTTGCAAAGATCCGGACGAGATCCGTGGGGAATCGGGGGAGGCACTCCGTGTGGTGAAGGTGTGTCTGCTGGTGTGCTATTCGGCCTCACAGGGAGATTCGGACGCCTCATACCACCAAATCCGGATTGCCGAACATCATTCAGGGTCGCAGCATTTGAAGGTGGGGGCAACCTCCGTGCAGGCAGGCTTGGGGGGACGTCTATTGGCGCTTCATTCGCTTCATCCTGCTCATATGTGGGTGCATTCAGTCCGGAGGGCCGTCGCGTAGGAAGTGGCGGCGGTGCGGGTGATCTCTCAGATCGGATTGAGGAGCGCGACGGCAAAGTAGGGCGCGATGGTCTTGTTGGTGGTGCGGGGGAAGCCTTGCCCCGCAAGGAGGACAACTTGGAAGTCAACCCGTTGAATCTGGATTCAGACTTGGATTCGGGGAGCGGAGGCCGCTCTACTTCGATCGGGTCTTCTCTGATACGCCTGGGTGGTAGCACAGGTAGATCTGTCTCCCCCCACGCAGGGGCCTTGATGCGACTGCTGCCAGTGGTACCTGTCGTGGCAGTGGAATTGACAGACGTTGTCGACGCGCCACGTCCCAAGCTGTTCACTGTCGTCGCAGTCGTCGAGTGAGAGGCATCTGAGGTGATTGATTCGAGTGATGGTCTCCGTGACTGCTCTTCTGTCGGTCTGCGGGGTGGCAACGCGGGACGTCTTTCGGGTAGCTCAGAGCGTACGGGAGGAGGGGGAGGAGGCGGGCGGTCCCTTCGCATCGGCAGTGGAGGAGGGGCTTTCGGCTTGGGCTTCAGCTCCGGTCGTGGTGATGGCGTGGGAGGTGGAAGCACCACCGGTCGCTGTTCTCGAGCATCTATGGGCCTGTTTCCAATCGAGTCACCGTCATAAATGGACTCATTCTCATTGTATGATGGTGGCGGTCTGCTGGCAGATTGGCCGCGATCGGCAGTCGGGCGGAATAGAGGTGGCTCAAGGCCCGATGGGTGGGTGGCTTGAGATTGCTTTAGAGCAGCGATCCGATCTTGGATCGAGCCCAACTGTGGCTCTTCAGTCATGATACTTGCACCTTGAGAGCACTAGATTGGAAAGAAGAACAAGGCAGCTAAGTGATTGTAACCACCAAGCGCCAATCCACGGGGTGGCTTGGCGTTAAACTAACACTCAGCCTTGTTCGGGTATCGTTGTGGGGATCATTAAGCCGCAAATCAATAGCAGTTGCAAAGTCAAAGTCGCCCCAGATGAGGGGCAGATTTGTGATTACGCTAGATCCATGGGTCCGGATCTATATTTGGACTACATCCCATGGATCTATACTTGTACCTGACCTCTATAGAGTCAACACTTAATCTTTCAAATTTTTGTATTTCCAATATGTGATTCGGACTCCCAAACACCTGGAACGGCTAAATGGCGCACCTCTAGGGAAATGACCTAAAGACAGAAAAAAAAACCTAAGTACGTCCATATGGATAATGGATGAGGGATATACCCCTCACGAACAGGGAAAGCAAAAGAAAAAGTAACAAAAGAAACTTGAGAATAAGTTCGGCCGTCTACCTTCAAGACTGCAGACTTGGTGACAATTCACCTGTCTTTCGTCAGGAAAGTAAAGCCACACAGACAAAAGAAACGTGGAATACATGATTGGAAGAATGGAATGGAGGGAATTCACAAAATGGAAGGCCTCAATGGCCAGGAGTCAGCATCGTTCATCAAGAGCATCACTTCATCCCAATGTACATAATCGTAAGACAGACTAGGGATCAAGGCCTCAGACCGATTTGTACAGCAGCAGCGGCTCGCCGACGTTCTCAATCTCAGGGATCGTACATTTGAGATCGAATGCTTTGGCCAGAACAATCTTGAAGATCTGGATGGGCTTAGTTAGAACAGAGAATAATAGATGGAGCAGAAACGGACCTTTTGAACATTGATACTGTGACTGGTGCTGCTGAAGATCAGGCTTGCCTTCATCGCCTTAGCAAAGCGTTTTGCCTGTAGAGAGATCTCTTCTTGGTCTTCCCTAGGGAAGTTGACAAAGTGGTCATATTTGGTTCCAACCAAGAAGGGGATTGCTGTCTTGTTGAATCCCCGGCCCTGGCGGTACCATTCCTTAATGGAGTTGAGGGTACTCTTGCGGGTGAGATCAAACATGAACAGAATGGCCACAGCATCGTTGCAGACAAGCGGCAACATGTTGACGAACTCACGCTGGCCACCAAGATCCCAAATGGAAAATGTGATCTCAGTGTTGCGAATTGAAATGGTCTTCTCCATGAAATTGACACCTGCGGTGGAGGTTCTTGTCAGCGAAGATACCACAATTGAGTTTGCTCCCGTAAACACATACCTAATGTCTGAATGTAGTCCTCATCCCAGCTGCCCTCGACGTACTTGACCATTAGACTAGTCTTTCCGATCTGAGCATCTCCGACCATTCCAACCTTGATGACAACGCTATTCTTCGCCGCCTGTGACGACTGCCCTCTTTGGGCAACTTCTGACGGCTGTGGCACGCTGTGTCGCTCCGGACCACTCGAAAAACCGGAGCCGGGACGCGGTGCGACATTAAGCTGGGGCTGGTGGGTCATGGACGGTGATGAATTGAGATGAGAAGCCGGATCAACATCTTGAGGATGGTATTCAGGAGCGGAATGGTGGAAATCATTTGAACGAGCGTGATAGTGGGCTTTGGAGTCGCTAGCGTAACCATGATCGACCCGGACGTGACCAGCAGCGTGTTCGATCGGCGCAGCGACCGGGTCTACAGGGGGCTCTTGAAGATTGACGCTGACGGGAGTAGGCTGCTCCAGTGCTTGTTCAAGCGGCTGTTCCTGTTCGGACGGAACTGGCATCGACTGGGGGGCCTCTGACTCTTGGGGTTCGACAATCTGCTGCGGCTCCGCAACAGCATGAACCTCTGAGACAGGTTGCTGCAGCGGATCCATTCTGGCGCTCGGAGAGAGTATGTCAGGAAAGAGGGTCTTCCTTGCGTTGGCTAACTGTTCGCAACATGTTCGTTAGCGCCTGCGGGGAAAGGAGAGACCCATGTGATATATCACCAACCAGGACCAACCCCAGGGCCGGTTGGTACACCAATGGAAATTGGTTTTCTGGGTTTGAGGTTTGTCTTTGGAATGCTTACCTTTTCCTCCGACCGAGGGGGATCTGACGAATCGCCAGGGTCTGAGATTGGGGGGGCGCGAACCTATCGAGGGCGGTGTAAACAGTGACTCGACAAGCAGTGACGAGAATGATGGGAAGAAAAAAGAAGGGAATAGGAAGACAAGAAGATAGGGATTAAAGATTCAATGCAGGAACACGAAAATATTTGCGACCGGAGATTAATTATCTCTACACAGACTGACGATTCAGCTCTCTCAGCAACTTCACATAATGCGGGAAACATGGATCTGCGCTAGTCCACGATAGGACTAGTGTGAACACGGCTGTCGCCCAAAATTTATTGAAAAACTTCTTATCGCCGAACGAGCTTCCCCTCCATTCCACTCTAACCTTATATTCTTTACCTCTTTGCCATTTTTACTATGTCTAAGAGAGCTGCTGAATCCTCCGAGGAGCAGGATGCTGCCCTCAAGGCTGGCGACCGCCCAATGCTCGATGCTACTCCCGACGAAGTGGGGGAGTTCGAGGACGAGTACGAGGATGAGTTCGAGAGCGAGGATGAGATCCTGGAGGCTGGTGTCGACGGTCGCCCGGATGCAGAGCGTGAGGAGGAAGAGCGAGGTCGGTGCTACTGTTCTCAATGTCCATTTGGTCGCACTACACTGGTAAATGGAAACTAACGGTTTGAATTGCAGAGGGCATGGATGTCGACAAGCAGACTTTCATTCCTGGACGGACAAAATTGGCACCCGGAGAGACTCTTTCGCCCGATCCTTCAACCTACGATATGCTTCACACTCTTACCACAACATGGCCGTGCCTTTCCTTCGACATTGTGCGCGACTCGCTCGGCGACAACCGGAAGACATTCCCTGGAACAGTCTATGCCGTCGCCGGTACTCAGGCAGAGGGATCCAAAGCCAAGGACAACGAGTTGATGGTTTTGAAGATGAGCGGATTGAGCAGAATGGAGCGCGATGGAGAGGACTCGGAGAGTGACGAGGACTCGGACGACGATATGGGTGAACCCATTCTTGAGCACAAGTCCATTCCATTGGGCTCAACGACAAACCGCATTCGTGCTCACCAGACTCCGTCTCAGTCGGCGGATTACTCCAAGCCCCCACAGACCCTGACGGCTACCATGCTGGAGAACTCGCAGATTCTCATCCACGACGTCACCGCCCACCTTTCCAGCTTCGATGTGCCCGGCACCATCCTTCCCCCCTCCGCCTCCAAGCCCCTTTCCACACTCCGCATGCACAAGGCCGAGGGCTATGCTCTCGACTGGTCCCCGCTCCAGCCCCTTGGCAAGCTCCTGACTGGTGACAATGACGGTATGATCTATGCGACTACCCGCACCGAGGGTGGTGGCTGGGTGACCGACACCCGCCCATTCCTCGGCCACACCTCTTCAGTTGAAGAGCTCCAGTGGTCGCCCAACGAGCGCAATGTGTTCGCGTCTGCCAGTAGTGACGGTAGCGTGAAGGTTTGGGATGTGCGGTCCAAGTCTCGCAAGCCCGCCGTGGACGTTCACATCTCCAAGAGCGATGTCAACGTTATGAGCTGGTCCAACCAGACCTTCCACCTTCTTGCGACTGGTGCTGATGACGGTCAGTGGGCTGTCTGGGATTTGCGTCACTGGAAGCCCGATGCTGCGGCTCCTTCTTCCCAGATTCGCGCATCGCCTGTCGCATCTTTCGACTTCCACAAGGAGCCCATTACCAGTATCGAGTGGCACCCATCCGACGACAGCGTGGTCGCTGTGGGCTCGGCTGACAACACTGTCACTTTGTGGGATTTGGCTGTCGAGTTGGACGACGAAGAGAGCCGAGAGGCGGGCATGGCCGATATTCCCCCGCAGCTTCTTTTTGTGCATTATATGGATTCCGTCAAGGAAGTGCACTGGCAGGCTCAGATGCCAGGTACCCTGATGGCCACTGGTGGCAGTGGATTCAGGTACGTATATTCAAACACCATTCCAATATTTGCAATGCTAACCATAATCCCTTTACAGTGTATTCAAGACCATCAGTGTCTAGATGAGCGACCAAGCCTACTTGTAATTACCCTAAAAGTCATGTGTGATGTCCTGCTCATATACCATTCGAGCGCCGAGTCTTGCTCGTTAACGATTCGGAGTCGTAGCCTGTCATATAGAATTGATAGAGCAATGAACAAAATTATTCCCCTTATAAGATTTGGATAATCGAAGCATTCGAACGTTTTCTACAACTTTGTCTACTTACCTGGTGATTTCACGATAGTTTAATCACCTACAAAATCCCCAGTATATCCCACCAATCCAATCCCAGCGGAACCACATACCACTAATTCCGCATCAATCCCAGAACCAACCAAATCCCAAGTAACAAAAACGGATATGGAGGGGGAGGGGCAACCCGCTGCAATGCAAAACATGTCCTAGTGCGTGCGAGTTACATCTACAACCCGTCGAGCTCTGAGTAGTCCGGCACGAGGTACTCCGGAACTTGGTATGCACCTCGCGCCATGATTACAGCAGGTACGGTACCTGCTGTACTGTACTCGTGGTAATATGTAAAGAAGCCCTGGAAGGTGTGGTCCGCATATGTGCCCTATACATGGCGCTAATGTATCGCTGCGTATTACTTTCGGCGGATGGGTACATGTACGATTGTACTCAGTACATTTCTGTAGGACCGTGCTTGATCGCCAGTGCCAGGCGGTTGTTGGTGGCAGTGCGGTATTATTTTCGGCGCCTGGATGGGGCCGACTCGGGTGCGACTTGCAGGCTAGGCCAGTCGGTTCTATGATCCTCCTGCACTAGGCGGGTTTTAGTGGCGGGTGAGGGGCCTGTTTGGGCCAGTTGCGGTCCTCGTAGCTTGCATTTACTTTGGGAGGCTGCGGACTGTAGGATGATCGAGTGCGATCTTGACAGTTGGTATTCTATATCTTCTATTTTCCTTCTATTTATGTGGGAATGGTAAGTGGGTTACGGTGGCAACAAGGGTTATTCGATTCATCATTGATTCTGTAAACATGTTTTTTTTGTATTCTGCGCGGTTGCCTTTGGGCGCGCTTGACTGCAATCTTACTGCATGAATCTAAGGAGCAATAATCGCCACTACTGTATCCGTAGATCTCAGGCATCAATGATGTAAATTCTGCCTTGCTCAAACTGTCGGATGTATGTATGACATGCATAGATTCGGAAACAATTTGATCGTATTGATAAATATACAGTAAGATTACTGAGGTCAGACGGATTTTAGTGCGGTTGTACTTGTGTCGCATTAAGGCCCATCCACTTGAGAATGGTTTCCCGGGGCTACTTTACCCACGGAATGCAGTAGTCAAGTTTTACTCTGGGTGGGCACTTGATTAGGTTCAGGTACAATCGCCATGATTGATCCTAATAAAATCACTCTTAATTATTAGGTACTAATCACAATTTTCCTCTTAATATTTGTGACTTCAACACTGATCTGCTCTCTGATTGCTTCGAAGCTTGACCGGAACCCGGCAAAACATTAACCATGAGAATACCTCAGATATAATACAATACGACTAATGCACGACGAGGAAGACCAGTCAATCACATCAGATCTAGCCGTTCTCACCGACCAACGCCTGCACGTTCCGTGGGGTGATCATGCACTACGACCAAGTAGAGTTCGACGAGCTGAAGAGGGCCAAAGGTCCTGGGTCGGCATTTCTCCGTTTCGAAATTCGCCGGACATGATATCAAGATAAACAACTAGCCGCGTAAAAGCTCTAGCGCTAACAGTAGTTAGTTATAAGATGGCACATTTTTCAAGTCGTGATCTTATCGGGCAATGTCGCGATGTCCCGTTCCCTATCAGTCACAGGTCAATCAGTGTCTTCGATCCACTTAGCCTGACTTTAGTTGTATTTAGTTTACTTGGCCCAATTTCACAGCTTTGTTATCGCTAATCCGTATGCTATCTTGGTATGCATTCTTCAAGTCATTTTTGTTTTTCTGGGCTTGTCTTAGCGCTCGCCTCGACCATTTTCTGATGCCGATCCCGCTCGATCGCCCCCACGGTATATTGCTATCTGTACATGGTACTGTAGTATCGCCACTCCAATTTTGGTTATCGTCCCCTGCAGGTATGGGTTTATTGAAGGCCTGAACATTCGTGAGAATTTATTGGCTGGAGATCCTCCGATCGTTTTCTCTCAGGCCTGCGGATCGTCAGCGCAGGGACGCGGACGCCCCAGTGCTCCGAGCTTAAGCAGCGCCTGTTTTCAAATAGGATCGCCATTAATAACCAAAGAGCTGTTTAGTTTTGGGGTCGTGGTGGCAATATGCGTGGACAGTGCGCAATGACATTCTTCAACGGCGGAAATAGAATACCTTGGATGTCAAGTTACATACAGACAAAAGTGGATTCTAATGTTGGATCCAGCTTATCAAGCATCGGGCCTATCCGCACTTGCACGAAGAAAATCCCGCGAATCTCCAAATCCACACCAATTGGGGTCCCCCAGCTGACTACCGCTCGTACATACAGTACACACCAGAGCTCCACACGTCATGGCTTGCCGTCTAGACTCTTCCCGTCGCAAGTCTCATAACATTTTAAATTGAATGAAACGCCAGGTGCATTGAATTGACTCGATTCGATTTGTCGTCGGAAAAACACCGGCACTCTATACCCGAGCATCACAACGTAGTTTTCCACAGCCACTGACGCTCCTGGATAAATGAAACTGCAAGATGTTTGGCCACAAGACTGCCATGCAATTCGCGGCACACATATTACGGCATGTACTCCGTACAATTTCTATTGGCGTGCGAAGCCTACGCCCACGCTACTATGTACTCCGTAGAGAGTATTACATTGAAGCGGCAAATCGCATGTCGCGTATCTGATCGACCCGAGTTGCACATATAAAAGTGGCCTAGGCTTTGCCTGACAGGATCGGTTGGAATGTTCTGCAAATCCACTTTTTCTCCATTGGCGGGACAGCGGACCTTAGCCCGCCTTATCTTCAAGTGGATCAAGACTCCAAGTGACGCACAAGGTCATCGAATAGAGTCCCAGGGGCATTTTGATCGATACTGTACGTGATATTGACGCCAGGGGCTAGAAATCATGTATGCTGCATTTCCCGGCCCAAAGCGAAGCGCCACGACCGGAGTGCTGTTTCCAGGTCGCCAGCGCTAGGACCGTAGACCTAAATTCAGGATGGAATGTCTGGTAGGTCCTCTGCAAGATCGACTTTATCCACCAACTACCGTCAAAGCTACCGCCCGGTGGACTTCTTCACGGACTGGGCGTTTGTAATTACAAGAGTGGCATCATCTTAGGGTCGAAGTGCACAAATTAGAAACGAGTAGCAGGAGAGAATGGAGTACTTCGTAACCATGGACACCAAACGGGCAGAAGTCCGATCCCCCCTGTGGATGGGGACTAGTGGGCCGCTTTGCTGGGACTTGATGCGACTTGATGCCATCGTGCACAAGTGGCAAGCACAGGCCACGGGCTGATCAGCCCGTTGCACCGGGATTGCATCGGAGCATCGGAGAATTTATGTGGTATTAGTAAGGTCACACCTGACTTTTTTGATGTAATTGTGGAAATTATTGTTAAATTTGTTTTACTACGCCTTGTTTGTAATATGATTTAATCATTTGCTTCGCTAGTAGACGTGGATTTATGGACTTTATTGGCGTACGGTATCAGCCATCACCCGCAAAGCGCGCTTACGCAATAAAGTTGACTTGGCTTGACATCTTTCTTTTGCAGTACAATGATGCAGCTGAGCTTTTTCTGGGAGTGTATCGAGCCAGGGTGCACGTGGGTTTCATTGGATAGGCTGGCCGTAGCGCATTGATGCTAACTAGTATGCTAACTGCAAAGAAGGGTATAGTGCGCCCGGCCTCCAGCCTCGTAGAGATTGAGAATGGCCAGTAATTGACTTCTGCTCTTGGACCTGCATGACTTAAATTTTTCTGTCCCAAAAAATAATCAAGCTATGTCATTGGGGTCAGAGGGTTTGAAGAACAGGGGCAATTCTATGCAGGTAAACCCACTGGCCTATTTCTACTCCAGATGTCTATAAAATGTTACTATATACGCCGTAAGCCGTAAAATAACACGGGATAAAAGCCATGTGCTGTATAATAAATTGCTCATGTGGCAGATTCGGAATAGTCTTGAGTTTCATTGAGTCCGGCAGTATCCATTTCCACGATCATCCGACTCATAGCGTGGCTGGAGTTGTTTCATTTGTCGACCATCCTTGAGTTATCTTGGGTCACCTGCAGCTCTCATAGGCCGCTAGTAGACTAGCCTACCTTAGTGTGCATACTCCGGTCTGGGGTTTCTGCAAACGAGATGTCCGTGCCACTGAATTATCTGTTGATTTGGGTCTGCCATTCTTTGACCAAAAAAGACTTGTTACTTGTTTGTGTCTTTCATGGAAGCCAAAGAGAATAGAACCGGGGGGTTCCCCGGCCTCCGCCAACATCCGAAAGACACTCGGGTAATTCCCCAAGGAAAAGAAAGAGACCCAAGGAAACGGACAAATAGAGCGATCGTCGGGGCACGGTAACCCCAGATCCAGCCGCACTCATCAACGAATGGGTCACCGCGCCAATTGAATCCGGGGTGCTTCCTCGTTCCGTGCGACCAAACTCAAACCGGCGTGGCTGCAACGTGCAAAGTCAAAGCGTTTTCAGTCAGGATTCTAGAAAAAAAAAACTTTGCGGGTTGCGCTTTTGCCTCGTACCTGTGTCACGTACGGAGTATGGGAAGCTTCAAATCACACCCAGAAACAGTCATGTTAGCCTACATTCTTTCATCCATGGAACAATAGGGTATATACGGAGTGGCAAATTGATTAAAATATCCAGCCACTCACAACCATCTCCTTGTCCTCTTAACCAGGCATCATACTTTCATGGAAGACCAATCTCACTACCCCCTTTTCTTTTAAGACTGATCCAGGCATATCCCCCACACGAACCCTTATTTGGTTTCTGGTTGTTTCTTTTTCCCCCACAAAAATGGCGCATGGCCTTCCCTTATTTTGGGCCTTTTTGCGGATCCTTCCGCCTACATCCATTGGTCATCTTAGCCCACCAGCCTCGCGCAGTGGATCTCGATGGGTACCTGGCCACATCATAGACCGCGGCCGGGGCTTTTTAGGTGTCGCAGATTTACCCACCCCCCAACCTCGCTGTTTTGGACCGTTTTCCTGTCGATCGTGGTCGTCACGAGGACTCGAGATTACAATCGTCCCTTTTTGTTGCTACTGGGGGATTTCCGTGGCAGGGGTAGACTCCCATACGTGGTCCAAGGGTATAGCTTTACGGGGTGTGAGGTCACATTCCTAGGATTAATATTGAACCAGCCAATCAGAGAGAGATTGTGTAAATAGTCCTTGAACTGTGCTGATAGTTACGTAGATCTGCGTTAAAAGGTGACTTGATAGGATGTCCCGAAGAGACTCCGAAACACATAAGAACGAGACTGATACCAATGTGAGATAGTGTCAACCAGTGTCTTGACAGGTGAGTCAGTCTATTACTACCTACTCCGTACACAATTAGATCATGCCCCTGGCAGGACATTTTACCCTGATAGTTGATTATCTAGGCAATTTTGGCATGTTCATTGTTTCTTATCGCTGTTTCAGCTATTCCCGTCCTTCCTCGGCTCAAACCCCGGAGTAACCAGGGAAGTCCAAATACTAGCGCCGCGCTGACCGATTACGCCACTAGACCCAAGAAGGCGACTGCGTGGCGGCCAGTCCATTGGAGCCAATAACGCTCATCGATAACCCCAGCCAGGAACTGGTGGGCATCCGGTGAGCAGGCCGTGCGTGGTCGTAAGATTCGGGGCTACGCCGCATTCAGTACCACCCTGGGTAATCGCAGTCCAGTTATTGGTGCTTCTAGGCCGTGTTGGGGAGTGGATCACTGATACATGTATTGGAGTGTTATAGTGCTAACCTTGAAAGTAAAAGAAAATGTAATTCAATAAATCTGGCCATGGATTTGCTGTCAGTTGACTTCGGAGTTCGTGGACTGGAGGAAGAGGAATCCGTGCGTGGAACGTGTTAACATTAAGACCTGCACGTATGGGCCCGTTCTAATGTATTTTCGTACCGCCATTGTAATGGACCCGGTACTTTGTATTTAGCGGTAATTAATAGATTACAAGGTGGGTTTTGGTATTTGTATACGAAAGCTTCCATATTGCCACGAACCACCGGACCACGGGTATGTAACTACCCAAGACCCAGGTACCTTTTGGCGTAATCGTTGCTTGGATTCATCTTCATCCTTTCTCTTCATCCTTCATCCTTTCTCTTCACCTTTTACCTTTTCCTTGTCGTGGTCTTGAAAGGGCTTATCTGCCATTGTTCGCTATCTCGGTTATCTCCGGCTCTATCCACTTGCATGCTGTAGCTGTGAGAGAAGAGAACTTGAGCTTGACTTGGTGACAGGAGGCAAATTATCCTCTCAGTCAATGGATACTCGGGAAGCTTGATATCTGTCGTCAACTCCCTGTTTGACCCTGTAAGTTCTGGTTGGGGGTACTGCGACCGTGCTGCGCAACCCGTCTGTCATGGTTAAAGCCGGTTGCCTTGCTGATGTTGCGACCTTCCCGTTAGAACACCCTCGGCTTTCTATCTACCGGCTGCAGGTCCTCTAAACCTGATTATTCCTTCTTCCATCCATTGTTCCGATTCAGATGAGGCTCGGATAAGTTCGAAGAAACCGACCTCCCCGATCGATAGAAACGTGCTGTATAGCTGCTGTCCCTCTCTGGTGGGTCTTATCCGCTCCAGCATGGTCCCATGAATAGCCGCCTCCGTTACCCTGGATTTTTGATTGAGATAACTTGGGCTTGACGCACACCAGTTGAGAGAGAGAAAAATGAACATGCTGACCTGATGTCATCCGACCGAAATAGTGGTTGATGCGACAATAGTGTAAACTTGTCTCAACTGCTTCGCTTTTGAGAGACCCTTCATTCCAAAGCCTGCGCCTGACTTTCCCCTCCCCCGCATTCCCCAATTCACCTCCACAGGGACCACGGGTGAATCTAGTCTGTCGAGGCAATTTCTTCAATTTTCTCTAGGATGCTATTTGATGCTATGGTTGGTCACGACCAAACCCATAGCCAAAAAGTGGTGGATTTAGCCAGTATCAACGAAATTCCCGGAGACATGCCTGGTAAGTACCCTTTCTGGTATCAATTAGCCTTAACCTGCGAATTCTGAACTCGCAATCTCGCCAGCTCCGTCCAAGGAGAAGAAACAGGAGGCCAACGGCCAAACCACCAATGGGAACATCCCACCTCCCAAGACAGACAAGCCTCGGCCCCATGTCTGCACCACCTGCAGTCGCTCATTTGCGCGATTGGAGCATTTGAAGCGCCATGAACGTTCGCACACCAAGGAGAAGCCCTTCGAGTGTCCCGATTGCGCCCGGTGCTTTGCGCGCCGTGACTTGCTGCTTCGACACCAGCAGAAATTGCACATGACGACAACCCCATCCTCTCGTCCGAGAAATGGTCGTCGTGAGAGCACTGGCGCAGCAGCCCCGGGCGGCGCTAATCGAGTTCGTAAGAACTCCATCGCTAACAACTCCTCCACATCTTCCATGCGTCCCAGAGCCAACACGATCAGTCACATTGATGGCGCCGCATTGGGAATTGCTAACTCAAGCAACCCATCCTCTGCACCAAGCATCTCAGGTCATGCGTATCATCCCAGTTTGGGGTCCCTTCCTTCACACATGGATTACCGCGGTTTCAGCTCTGGTCAGCCCCATCAGAACGGTCTGCCCAAGATTGAAACTTCAGGGTTACCCATTGATATGTCGGGGGGATTGCGGACAGCTCCCGTCTACGGGAGCTTTGATTTGGGCATCGACGGTATGCTGATGGGTCATGGAAGCACAATAAATCCAGCGCAATTACACTTCGCAGGTTCCCCCCAGGGCTTTGGTGATTCCCCCTCTTCCCCGTTTGGCCATCATCCCCACGGCATGCATCCGGCCACGGACCCCATGATGGATGATGAAATGAACTTTGACTGGATGAACGGATTCGATACAGCCGTGGCACTAGGGAATGGAAATGACTCGGTCATCGACGAGTCTTCGCCGTCGGCCATGAGTACGGGTAGTCAGAGCGGCATCAGCGAGGCCATGCTAGATGGCCCTAACCGCATTCCCATCTCCAATGGCTGGCACAACCCGTTCCATACTCACACCTCGGCTTCGGCCAACCAGTTCGCGACAATCGACTTTTCACCCACTACTTTAAACGACTTGGGGATCCCACCAGAGACCGTATCGCCCAAGGCACTGATGGCCCAGAACCCGTTTGGTGAAACCTATGCTACCCCTCCATCAATGACCTCGGTCGGCCAGTCCATCTTGGGAGGACATTCGCAGAGTATGTTATCATCCTCTATGGCAACAAGCGGAGAATCTCCTAATCCTCTCAACGTTCCTTTCCCGAATAGTGCCCTACGAAGTCAGCAACTTTCCCCACTCTCAACGGATACATTTACAGACTCCACACGACAGGCTCTATTAGCGAGCATGTCGCAACCCACTGGCTTCAATCACCGCAAGTATTCTCAACCCGCAAGTGGACTCCTAAACAGCCGAGAACTATTCGCCCGCTCAACTGGCTTCAACAGCTCTGGTCAACTACCTAGCACCTCCGATCTGCAACGATATATCTCAGCCTACTTGAATTACTTTCACCCCCACATGCCATTTCTTCACACGCCAACCCTCAACTTCCAGGCCCCCGAGTATACCAATAATCTGCGCACGCCAAGCGGACACCTAAATTTAAGTTCCACTGGGGTTTCAGGTGGAGGAGGTTGTTTAATCCTCTCGATGGCTGCCATCGGAGCACTATACGAACATGACCCAGCGGCCTCTAAGGAGCTATTTGAGGCCGCAAAGAAGATGATTCAGCTGTACCTGGAAGAGCGCAGAAAGGCCGACATGTCTGCCGCCCTGAGCCGTTCAAATACAGGCCGCGACAACTCGGTTCACACCACGCCGCTGTGGTTAGTACAAGCGATGCTATTGAATGTGATATATGGCCACACTTGTGGGGATAAAACATCTGCAGATATCGCTAGTACACACTGCGCGGCGTTGGTTAGTCTGGCTCGTGCAGCTGAACTCACACACCACTTGGACCCAAAACATCTACCTCAAGACCATCTTACAGCTGGAATCAACCAGTCGGACGATACTGAAAACTGGACGTCTTCATCATTTAGCCAGCCCAAAGAAAGACGGGACTGGCTGAATTGGAAGGTGGTCGAAGAGCGGAAGCGCACTCTTTACGCAATATTTGTTCTTTCCAGCTTCCTTGTGTCAGCATATAATCACGCGCCAGCTTTGACCAATTCCGAGATTCGACTTGACCTGCCCTGTGAAGAAGACCTCTGGGCTGCTGAGTCCCCACAGGCATGGAAAAAGATGGGAGGCCAGACTGCCTCCAAGAAAAGTGTCTTGTTTTCAGCTGCCTTGACATCACTCCTCACAGCCAGCCAACGGCAGCAACAAAACCAGTCACAGAATCTCTTCTTCAGCGGTGGCAGCACAGATGATCCACTGAACGCGGAAAACCGACCTAGCACATTCGGCTGTCTTGCTCTCATATATTCACTACACAATTATATTTGGGAAACTCGACAACGGCATATGGGCCGGCAATGGACTGCACAGGAGACTGAGGCAATGCAATCACACATTGAACCTGCCCTACGAGCGTGGCAGGCAGCTTGGGCAAGCAACCCAGTTCATAGCCTAGAACGCCCTAATCCTTTTGGTGCTGGGCCACTCTCCGCAGATAGCATTCCGTTACTGGATTTGGCATATGTTCGACTCTTTGTCAATCTCGGTCGAACAAAAGAGGCATTCTGGCAACGAGACTGGAACGGCATGGCGGACGAGCTGGCTCGTGGTGGTGAGGTTTTCCAACAAATCGACACACTCATGGACGACGTAGTAGACCCATCCCTTACTGGGTCACTCGATGGCCGACGTGAATCCATCAATGACTTGGGAGTTGCGGATCTCGCAATCTCGAAAACTCCAACCCAAGAAGAGCCCATGCAATCCTTGTCGAGTGTATATAACATCGGCCAGTCTAAGCGTGAAAAGAACTTGCGGAAAGCGGCTTTTTACGCTGCCGACTCCATTTCCATGTCAGATCGCTTGGGCAATACCTTTGCCGAGTTTTCATCCAGGGAACTCCCGATTCAATGCGCGATGTGTGCCTTTGACTGCTCACAGGTGCTGGCTGAGTGGATCACTACAGTCCAAGAACGGGTCGGGCCATACCTTGGTATCCTTGGTCGAGACAACATCGATTTAACTCAAGTGCCGGGCGTCATGCTGCTCGAGGACGAGGATTGCAAGCTGGTGGATAAAATCAAGGAGATTCTTAATAATGTTGAGATGAAGATGCAACGGCAGGTACAGAATAACAACTCTATGTCTGCGTTGAGTGTCATGCAACGTCTACCAAGTGTGGTGGAAGGAGGATACGGATGTAAAATATTGATTGCCACGGCAAGCCTATTGGACCGGGCTGCTGTTTGGCCAGGTAAGACAGATCATCACATTGACCTTGTTCTGGACATGGACGCTAATTTTCAATCAGTGACGAAACTGATGGTCCGCTCCCTTGAAGCACAAGCTATGCGAATGAAGGAGCGGGCTGAGAACTCTGTTATGATGACCACCTAATGACGATTTTCTTATACGAATTTCCTTATGAACCATCCCCGTCCAATTTCTCGTTCTTCGTCTGTTATGGTTATGTTCTTGTGTGCAAGCCCTTTGACTTCTCTATACGTTTATCTTGCCCGGCCTGCCTCGATGGCATGCTGCTTGAATCGATATCGATACCCCGATCGAATCTATCATAGACGAATGCCATGATATGTGACTTTTATGTTTTATTTATCTTATTTATCTGAAGTTTTACGGCGTGCATGCTTTAGGTTGTGCCGTTCCGTGAATGTTGTACTTGATTCTTATGACCATGACCTACATCCAAGATTGATACCTGTGGATGATTGCTCCCGCGGAGGCATTTTGCTGTATTTTTCATCCATTCTCTTTCCCTGTTCGTTGTTTAAGTGTGTAGATTACTCTTGTGAATCTGGCATTATTGGACTATTTTGGAATCATTGAGGTTGTAGATGTGCTGCTTGTTGACGTGGAGCTACCTACGTTTTAGACGTTTACTATCGCATAATTATCCATGTAAGTTTCTTTATGGAACTAGTAATTAAAATCAGTGTACATGACCGTGTCTTCCTAGAGTGCCTACAGAAGTGTACGGAGTAGATTAGTAGAGATTTGTACCTTGTGGTTCGGAAAGTGAATACGTCTGTATCCTACAATATGGTTGATAGCCAGTGTCATTGGCTTTTTGCTGTCTCAGCTTTGTAGCTTGGATTTATCGAAAAAAACAGAAGTGAGATTTTAAAGACTTAGAGACAATTTGAGTAGAAATGGTTGAGGTCGATATACGGAGTAGTCAAGCTCGGCGGAGCCATTACATAATCTCCCCACCGTTGCTGGGGCACGCGTTAAGTGCTCTCTTCGCGTTGGGCGCCCATTCACAGCAAACTAGACGACCATAGAAATGACGACAACCCCTCAAACGGGTCTGTGTCTGGCTGCTCCGTGGCAGCTTTTGACTACAGCCCTCAACCACCAACACCGCGCCACGGTGTCCCTCTTCCGATGCCAAACCAGCGGCCCGTCTCTCCGGTCGCTCTCGAGCCATGTTGCCCTCCACCTGAATCGGACCACGATCTACATGGCTTACTAGGCTCTGATGATGAGCTTGATGATGTGTCTCGGGCTGCGAAGTATCAGCGAATCGAAAGGCTGGCAGAGGCATATCTCCAGGGCCGACCTATGTTCATTTCCTCTGCGGCGCTGCGTGGCCCGTTTGATGAGGGATGGAAGAATCCGTGGAGAAAGAAAAGGAAAGTTACTACGAAGTCCGATACGAAGCTGAGCGTTGCGGAGTCTGGAGGGCGAGATAAGACGCACGGGACGACTGTCAGAAAGACCGACGTACGGAAGAAGAGATATAAGACCGATTTGGAAGTCCATTCTCGTCCTCATACTGTCTCGGCTTCTCCGTTCGTGCAAGAGCTTGCCCCCGCGTTCAATATTGAAAATCGAGCTTCTCCTTCACCTTACAGGTCTGGCCAGAAGAGACCATCCGGTATTGCTCGCGCGGAGGAAATCAGTCGAGTTTCACCCCAGCTACCTAAGAGGCTAAAAGAAGAACCCCAGTCGACGGATAATCCTACTCTCGCTGAACAAAGCTCGGCAGACTGGTTGAAGAAGGGCCGAAGACGGATGAAACTCAAGTCGTTTGAACCGCCTAGTTCCCCAACACCGAAGAGTGGGCATAGATCGGAGATTGGGTCTCGTGGCAGTGCATCGCGCTCTGTGGCTCCAAAGTCACCTAGTTCATCAGACCTAGCTACCGCACAGAAGGCCACGCTTTCTGCACGGCTGCGTACAAATATTGCTGCCAACGTCTCTCCTCATGCGACTCGATCGCCTGCGCAGGCTCCGCAGCAAAGCCCAAACACTATTGCTGCTGTTCCATCGCCTTGTGAAACTGCTTCTGAAAATTGTGCAAAAGGGAGTTCGCTCCGAGTCATATCTTCCACTTCTCAGCTGGCGCGCTTTGAGTATCGGTTGCGTGTACCTGTCTCGAGCCCGCAGTCCGAACCCAACTCAACGGCTGAAGAATTTATTGCTGCAAATCCGTCTACTCAAGCTGATGAGAAGATCGATGCTGATGCACCGGAGCCTGTTCATCAACTACGGCCCAAGGAACCTCCGAACACCGGCCATGGAACAGACCAACCAGTACAATTGTCAAAAAGCCTCCGGTTTGTCAATGATACCGACGGAGCGACCTCCACAAGTACATATATCCCAACTGCAACGGAGCAAAATACCTACGACGAGCTCCCATCTGCTCAACAAGTACCAGTTCTACCAGGCGTTTCAGACCGGGTGCCATCTCTTTACTCGACAATAATGTCCAAGGAGAATGCAAATATTCACAAAGACACTAGTCCGGATACACAATTATCTACACAGGCTGCTTTCTTACATGCACAAAAATCCTTCCAGGATGATTTGGAAAGCCCCGCTCACGGATACGGCATTACACCAGCTCAGCCGCGGGCGATGACAAATGCGGGTGATGAGTCCCTCCTGGCACAGGAGACACCACTTTACCGACCCGGTACTTTAGAGAGAGCATTGCCCCATGGCCTCAAACTGTCTGAGACCAAACACTCCGACAAGAGCAAGATTCAGGCGATGAGCACACAATGCATGATCGACGCTGCTACGCCATTCACCTTCAGTACGGAGAAGAAAATACGATCGTTTCGCTCGCTTTCGCCGCCGAAGACTAGCCCTAGCAAGACACGACCCATTCATATGGCGGAAACCATTTCTCCCCTCGCATCCTCTCCGGTCTCCGTTTTTGACCCAGATTCCTTCGCAGCTCAGCCTGAACCTAAAAGTCCGCATTCTCCATCTCCCTATGCTCCACCCGAGAACACTATTGCCTACCCATACACCACAGACGCCACCTTACTTCCATTAGACTTGGGTGGATCAACGCCGACCACGCAGGATGGACAAGGAGGACTCCACACGACAGACAGTTTCAATCTCAACCAGGCCATCGCCGATGCTGGCAGTTGGCTACGGCAAAGCTTTAAATGAATGAGATGTCAAAACCTACTCAGAATTTTAAGCAATCACACCTGGCGCGCACCCTGACGACTATTTTTGGTCCAAATTCGATAGGGTTTGGTAGCTTGCTATGAGTTCTTAGCATTGGGGTTTTCCTTTGCTTGATTCGTGTTTATTTTTCTTGATTCCCCCTTTCCTAGGTTTGATTCGTATAGCGTGCTTTGACTTACAGACTTCCAATCGAAGCTCATTAATGATTTACGAATAATTGTTCATAGTTGGCTAAATACATCAGACACATATTTTACCTCTTGCATATGCCTTAACACTTCTGCTATACCTCATATTGAGTGCTTTCTGTAATTAGACATTCGAGACCGATAATAGGTTATCTTTCTATTGTAAGGAGTATAGTCTGGGTGCCGAACAAAGTAATCAAACCGCCTTATGTGCAGTGGTATGTATGAACTGAAGGATAGAAGTGAAAATAGAAGCTGGTTGGATTCAGTGCACTACGATCAATGGATTGGATGAAAAGCATTAGACTAAAGAGATGGTTTTGTAGATCAGGTCCCTTAGATATATCGGGAGAATCGCCAGACAACCTAGTGCTTAGGGAGCTACCCATACGCGTTTTTCCCGGGTCCAGATCAAGGGGTATACTTCCAACCGAGGGGCATTTTTGGCATTTTTGCGGGTTTGCGAATCTATTCCTGCTGTTGTCATTTTCCATTTCTTTCCTTTTTTTTACTTGATGTTCCTTCTTGAATTCCCTGTTCTTCCCTCATTTCTTTGCAGACCATCCATTCACTTTCTTGTTTACTGGTGAATATAGATCCTCAGGAACTAAGTGGTCCGTGCGCCCGCAGCGGGGATAGCTCCAGGCCGCCTCCAACTTAGCTCCGTCACCAATCGCCGGCCCAAATGGCACTGACATCAGTACTAATTCCCAATCACCCTTGCATATCTCTGATCTAACAATGTCTTCAGTGGAAAGCGTTCAACTTTATCGACGTCTCCGCGGTGAGACTGCCCGACGAGAGCTCCGCGCTCTTCGGTGTACGTTCTCCAACTTGTCTTTCTCCTCGTTGCCAGTTCTGCACACTAACTCCAACCCTCTAGAGTGACCTATCTAGCCTCTGCACGGGATCCGCAAACCTTTATGTCGGAACAATTGATGGATTCGTTTACATCCTCTCCTCGTCCTTTCGCGTTGTGCGCTCGTTCAAGGCCCATGATGCCGGTTCGATTACGCATATGAAGCAGATCAATGGAACCTCTTTACTTGTGACGGTGGCGGAGGACTTATCGAACGAACCAGTTCTCAAGGTCTGGGCGCTGGATACCGAGAGGAAGGATGGTGCGCCGCAGTGTTTGTCGACAGTCTCGGTGCAAAATGCTAGACGGCAGTTTCCGGTGCGCGAGATCCCAATCCAATCCCAATTACAGCGGAGATGCGTAGCACTTACTGACAAAGAGTAGATATCCGCATTCGCAGCTGTCGATGATCTCTCCCAGGTAGCCGTTGGCTTTGCGAACGGCTCTGTGACTATCATCCGCGGCGATTTGATCCACGATCGGGGTGCGCGCCAACGGATCGTCTTCGAATCAGATGAGCCGATTACAGGATTGGAAACCCAGGATGGAGCGGTGACAGCGCTGTACATTTCGACTACGAGTCGCATTTTGACATTGGTCATCGCGGGCCGAGGACAAGGCCAGCCAGCTCGTGTCTTGGAGGATACGGGGTGCGGGCTAGGATGCATGACGCTGGACCGGGAAAGCAGGGATATTCTCATTGCCCGGGAGGATGCAATCTATACGTATGGCTCTCGAGGCCGAGGACCTAGCTATGCATTCGAGAGCCAGAAGACATCTATTAAGACGTTCCGTGAGTACGTGGCGCTGGTCTGTCCGCCTAAAGCTGGGACTTCCAAGTCGGATCCCTTGCGCCGATATGGGGCCAACCCGGCAGCTGAGATCTTTGGGACCACAACGTTTACGTTGCTGGACACGGATCTCAAGTTCATTGCGCATAATGAGACATTGGCGTCGCCAATGAGGCAGATCTTCATGGAGTGGGGGGATCTATATCTTCTCACCACTGATGGCAAGGTGGGCTTCTTATCATTTTCTGTTCTCTGGCAATTTCTCACGGTGTATAGCTGTTTCGGTATCGCGAGAAGAGCCTCCAGCAGAGACTGGAGATTCTCTACGAGCGCAATCTCTACATCCTGGCCATTAACCTTGCGCAAAACATCGGCATTGATCCACTACAGCAGAATGCCATCTATCGCAAATACGGTGATTTCTTGTACCAGCGTGGGGATTATGACACTGCTATGCAACAATATCTTCGGGCAATTGACAACACTGAGCCGTCTCAGGTTATCCGCAAGGTTTGCTGAATCGTTCCGAGTATGTATTCGCCCTGCTGACTTGGATCATAGTACCTGGACACCCAGCGGATTCATAACTTGATCGAGTATTTGGAAGAGCTACACGACCATGGCCGAGCTACGGTCGACCACACCACACTTCTTTTGAACTGCTACGCCAAGTTAAAAGATACAACTAAACTAGACTCCTTCATCAAGGCTCCCGGTGAGCTGAAATTTGATCTAGAGACTGCTATCGCCATGTGTCGGCAGGGCGGTTACTTCGAGCAGGCAGCGTACCTTGCGACTAAACATAGCGAAAACGACATGGTGGTTGATATTCTGATTGAGGATTCTAAGAAGTACGCGGAGGCGGTTGAGTACATATGGCGATTAGAGCCTGAAGCGGTATGTGTATATGCTCGAAGCCACACTGCAGAGAGCTAATTTCAACAGGCCTATCATAATCTCATGAAATATGCCCGCGTGTTATTGACCCACTGCCCGGAGCAAACGACAGAGCTCTTCAAAACTTACTACACTGGCCAGTATCGACCTCGAACACAAGTGGAAATGCCCGCCGAGCCCCAAGCTCAGCCAACAAGCACTCTTCAAAGTCTTGCTGGAATGCTGCCGCTGCGCTATATGACCGGCGGGTCTGGATTGCAAGCTTCAGCCACTGTATCAGAGCCTGTTACGAAGGAAGAACCGGTCACTGACCCCGTTCCTGAATACGAGATCCCGAAACCACGAACAGCGTTTTCTGCTTTCGTAGATCACCCCCAGGAATTTATAGACTTTCTGGAAACACTTGGGCAGCAGTCTGGACTGACCAAAGAAGCCAAGATTGATCTTTTCACCACCTTGTTTGAGATGTACTTGGATACTGCCAAGGGGAAGAAAGACGTGGCCGAGAAGCAAGAATGGGAGACCAAGGCTAAGAAGCTGATTGAAGGCAAGGATGTGAGTAACCTGAGATCAAGTATCTTCTTACATTGGTTCTAACTCCTACAGATACCAATCTCAACATCCAATGTCCTGCTTCTCTCTGATTTGTCGAATTTCCGCGAGGGATCTACGCTTGTGCGTGAGCAAGAAGGTTTGCGTTTGGACATATTCCGGTCGTTTACTTCGGCCAAAGACACCCAAGGTGCCATCAAAGCGTTGCGACGATATGGACCCGATGAGCCCCAGCTTTACATCGATGCCTTGACATATTTCGCCTCTAGCCCCGCCATCCTCGAAGAGGCTGGCGACGAGCTGGACGTCGTCCTGCGACGCATTGATGAAGATGGCCTACTTTCTCCATTACAGGTTATACAAGCCCTCAGCAACAACGCTGTTGTCACAATGGGCCGAGTAAAGAAGTACCTTAGCGACAATATTGAACGAGAACGCAAGGACATCTCCACGGTAAGTTCTCACCAATACAACTTACCATTCTACCTTCTGATTCAAGAAACTAACCTGACTGCAAAGAATCGCCGCCTCATCGCCAGCTACAAATCCGAAACTGCCACGAAACAACAAGAACTCGAATCCCTCGCTACTCAACCTGTGGTCTTCCAATCTCGCCGCTGCCAATCCTGTGGCGGTACTCTCGATCTTCCAACCGTGCATTTCCTCTGCAAGCACTCTTTCCACGAACGCTGTCTCAATCGCGTCGAGGATGATGCTCAATGTCCCGTTTGTGCCCCCAGCAATGCTACCCTCCGTGCCATTCGTCAGCGACAGGTTGAAACTGCCGATCAGCACGACCTGTTCAAGGCTGAGCTACAACGCTCGAGGGATGGGTTTGGAGTTGTAAGCGAGTTTTTCGGGAGAGGGGTTATGAGGCCTCAGACTACGATGGATGCATGATTTTTTTGTTTCATTTCTCATGGCCGCTTTAGCTGGTTGTACATGGCTTGCTTTTGTTCGCGTTGGATACCTCAGCTTCGACCTATGTTACGATATTTATACCATCGATTCCAAGTTTTCTGTGTTGTGACGTGTAGATATCGCACGCTTCAAGATATGAGTGTTGCTGCTTATTTCACTTATTCACGTAGGAAAGGGATTCGTAAGTTCATTTATTCAATTATTTATGAATTCTCCTAGCATTATCAACCGTAGGAATATACTTTCAGGGATCATGTTCATGTCCACAAGCCAGCACAAATCACTTCGTCCATATCATGATAATTATGCCCTCAAAGGGCTGGTGCTATGCACAGCAAAGAAAAACAGATACATGAATGATAGAAGGAGGCAAGACATATGTTCAAAACTTGCTATTCGATGTACTGGATGAAATTTGAGACATCCGGCATAGCAGATCATGTACAGGGCAGTGACAGGGAAATCATTCAAATCAGGAAGGCTTACTCGCGACCTTTTTCGCCTCCCCAGGAAATGCGAGGTCGGTGTCCAAACTTAGATTGAGACCCGGAGCCGGATCCAGAGCTGGATGATTGTTCACCAGCGGGGCTGGATTGTTCGGATGGCCGAGGATCGTTGGCAAACATGACCTTGCCTGTGGATGGGATCAGGCGGGGTTCGCCGTCGTCCTCGCTATCAGAGTCGGAGTCTTCTTCGACCGCTTCGTCATCATCGTCCGACTCTGAGTCGGTGTCGCCGCTGTGGCCGAGGGCAGCGAGACGACGACGGCGCTCAGCGGGGGTTTCACCTGTGTCGTCTTCTCTCTGACGGGGCGGGGCGGTCAGGCCGGCCGCCTGACGCAAGGCAGATGGAGGGATACGTTCAGTACCGTCGTCGTCAGAGTCACGACGGGAACGGGCACGAGGAGGCGCAGGGCTGAGGTTGTTGCGGCGCTCTTGAGCGGAGGTACCGCGGGTCCATTTAGCCACCGAAGCAGCCACATTGGGAGCCTCGGTGTCAGTGTCGTCCTCGCTGCTGAGCTGACTATCTGTGACAGACTCGAAGTCTTCCTCAGCCTCGGGAATTGTGTTGGCCGCCGCGGCTGCGGCTGCCACTGAGAGGCGACGCTCTTGCTTTTCTTCTTTCTTGGCTTCTTCCTCGGCAACTTGTTGAACGGGGGCGGGTGCATCCGTTTGTTGGATTACATCCCGGCGACCTTTGGCGTCCAAGCCCTTAATTTGCTCAAAGAACTCGTGCTTGTTCATACGACGACCCTTGTGGCCAATGCCATGTGTTTCAGCATCCGTGCTCTGAGCCAAAGTGAATCGCAGACCATCATCAGTGGTCCAGTCATCAGTTACGGTTCTAGGTGCTGGCTTCTGTTTCTTCTGGCCGGTCTGAGAGGATTCTCCCTCTTCTTCCATGCCGAGCCAAGTGCCCATGCGGGTGAGACCACGGCGAATCGGGGCCGGATGCGAGGGACCAGATTGCTGTGCAGGATTCGGCTTTGGCTTGGCAGGCTTTCCCCCAGACGGAATGGTGTATTTCTTGATCACTTCACCATCCTCATCCTCAACAATGATAGTGTTACCAAATTGGTAGGCATGCGCAGATCGGTGCTTGGGCTTGGCCGGGGCTTCGGCGGTAGGCTTCGGATCATCTTGCGGGTCCTTGGCCCGGGCTTTTCCAAGACCTGTCCAGGTGGTCCATTTGCTGCGGGCCTTTTCGCCAGGGTGGCCAATCTTTTCATCAATTGCGTGCTTGATCTCCTCGCCCTCATCCTTCTCGTGGGGCTTGCTCTGAGACTTAGCTAGCTCACCGGACCTGTCATGTTCAAGTCGCTGGCGTTGTTCCTCGATATGAGCAATCTGTTGTTCAGGCGTGAGGTGGCTGGTATCCTCAGTCTTAAGCACATTGCCTTCTTCATCTTCAATAATCATATGGTGACCTTCCTGGAATACCTCCAGCTCTGGCTCGCGACCGAAGCGTTCCCGCTCAGCATTGGGAGGAGAAGCGCCGCGCTCCACGGCATCTCGCTCCTCCAATTCCTTTTCCTCTTCGGAGGCTTGTTCAGGTCGTTTCTGGGGCATAATGGCAGACTGATGGATAGGTCCACCCACACCATCATGTTTACGTTGCTTCTTGCGTCGGCGACGCATAGCCTTTCGTGCAGCTTCACTGGTTTGTGCATCACTGTCCTCTTCACGAACTCGGCGAAGAAAGTTTCCTGGCATCCCAATGGGTGGAAGCGTTCCAGGGGGGTATTCCGGCAGTTTCTCATCCTCTGAGGCATCCGTGTCGTCGGGCTTCCGGAATGACATTGAGCCCTTGGCCAGCGAGGATACCCGAGGCAACCGATTCATCCATGAGGGACCCTCCTCGTTCGCTTGGGTATAGGACAGCGTGACGGTCAGCGTGTTGATACGCTTGCCGAGAGTGAAGACAGCAATCGACGAGCCGTGCACCAAGATGGAGGAAATCACCATGAATGTTGTTATAGGCCAAATGAGCTGCACTATGTAATAGTTGTTTGCCCCAGGTTTGGGAAGATCGCCCTGAGTCGACGGTTGTGTGTTATCGTTCTCCAGTTCAGCTCGAGCCAGGATTGCTGCAAAGATAGCACCGACACCAATCGGACCAAAGTGACCGGCAAAAAGAGCCTCACGCCATGTTTTAATATCCGGAATGAATGGTTTCATCAGTAACATGATGGGTATGCGACGGAAAAAGATCACCAAGAGTGCAATGACTACCAATCGCCAGGGGACGACACCCAAGTCGGGGGCGTTGTAGTCCCCCCACGGAATGATGGCGCCAAAGTAGACAAAGTAGGCTAAATTGAGCAACAGATCGATAACGTTGGAAACATGCGCTTCTTCCGTTTTCTCCGTGAACCAACCATCATTACTAAATCCGACACCGCAGGAGAATCCGATTAATAGGTCGTCCATACCCAACAGACTGCCGGAACCGGCGCAGAACACAGCCAGGACAAAGTAGAAGACCAGGAAACTCTCCCGATCGATCAATGCCTTGCGTTCGGCAAACTTGATCGCGTGGCGGGCAGCATAGCCAATGAGGAATCCGTAAACAGCACCAAAAATACACTCGTACAGAATGGTGATACAGAACCAGTTGAGCGACACCTCACCGGCATCGGGACGGTATTTCCAGATGTAAAAAGATAAATAGATGAACGGGAATGCCATGCCATCGTTACAGCCCGACTCGGCGGACAAGATATCACGCAAATGTTTAGGGACCCGCTTGGCGAACTTGCCCTTACCGACGACGGAAGACGCCAAGACCGGATCGGTAGCCGTGACGCAGGCGGCACAAACCAGGCTCTCGAGCCAATTCAGCGGGGGTATCATCCACCAAATAAACAGACTGGTCACCAGCCAACCCCAGGTCATGACGGGGAGAAGCAAAAAGACCACAGATCTCCAGTGACGTTCCATGTACGATTTGGGCAACTCGACCCCGACGGCAAAACATTGCACGACCAGGACAATGCGCGAGCACTCCAGGGTGATTTTATCGACGTTTCCCCACGATGAGGGATCGAATAGATTGGCGGCATGTGGTCCGAAGATAATACCGCAAAGTGTGGCGACGGTAGCTTCACCAATATAGAGCTTCTCCTTGACGAACAGGGAGCACAGCATGAACAGACCGGTGAAACCACCCAAGATCATATACGCCACATGCGGCTTATCGATATCCAGATGGTCCCACGCCATGATAAAAGCCCGACAGTCACAAATGTAGGAACAATTCGTGTAGAAAATATAGTATTTTGCGGATTTGATCCTTCAGATCCTGGCAGGTATGATCCCTCCTGCTCAAAGCGTCCCCGCGCAATTACCGAATAGATTTCCGCCTCGAACGTCGCTGGTTCGCGTAGCTCCGCATGCCTTGGTGAAAGATTATGGGAGAGATTGGGCCGTGGCGATGTATACCCTGTAGGGCTGAAAGACAGGATCTGGCGCACGACTTCGGGGAAGTCTCCGTGAGTTAAATTTGCGTAGATGTAATTCAGATCCTTGCAAATTCGAAAAAGTCCGAGCGTAACCGTGCGAGAGGAGCGGAGGTAGGCAGATTGGAAGATTGGTGGTGGCTGGGCGGATCAATGATGTAGTTAAGTCCACTTCCATGCGCGGAAAGAAGCAGGGAAGGGAAAAGTGAAAAAGAAGAAAAATAAGTGGAAAAACAGCCTTCACCCTAGCCAAAGACAAAGGCTCGACGAGTCTTGGTAAGACTCTTGGCTGGAGGAATGAGATTTTGCCTAGAAGTTACAAGTTCAAGTTTCCTTGGACCGAGCGGGATTCGTCAGCCCGAGACTCTTGGGGGTGCACGACCCACGCTTGGCAAGACAGGAACTAGGTTGAGGAGGTTTGCTTTTCAATAAACAAGGAATCAGGAATGGAAGGAGTTGTTGATATATCCTTGAAATTTCAAAATAACCAAATTACCGGACGCAGTTGACTTATAGAAAATTTCCGGAAACCCTGTCGATCCCATAACCCGGTCTGGAATATACGGGACGCTTGCGGCCAAGACCAAGGACTAGCCCTGTGAACTGCCAAGTCCCCGGCATTCCAGATCTTTTATCTGATTGGTTTGATTTCCCCGTTCAAGATCCACTAAATCAATTCCATGTGGAGCTTCTGGAATCACGGACCCGTAAACGGACGTCATCGGAAGAGGAAATATTGAAGTAAACGCCAGGTTCCAGCAAACATAATTTGATCGGTATATGTACTCTTGATTTATGCACGAGCATGAATAAGTAAATCGTAGACTACCGTGTAACTACATTTCTATTGTACATGATAAGTAGTGTAAGGTACCCGACCATATTAACTCCAAGCTCGGATATCTATATCAAGTCCGACTTGGAGAAGTCTCTAGAATACCCAGGTGGTACCTAGGTACATCTAGTGAGCAACCCACCTGGTCATGAGATTTCATGACTGTTCCCAGTCGTGTTAGTGAGACATTTCCAAGGATGAAGCAAAATTTACTTAATACAGTAGATCACAATAGACCAATCAATTCAACAACATATATCCTACTCCGTATATTTTCCCGAAACAGGCTGGAAAAGTAGGATGCGGCACAGAAATCGAACAAAATGAAGCCACCAAAAACATGCGTACTATCTCACTGTCTCACTGCCTCAGCTGAAATGCAAATGATCGGGGTATTGGCACAAAACAGCCGGTCCAGACTTGGCATAGTTGCGGGGAAACATGGAGAAATGGAGACGAAAAAAGCAAACAATCAACATACGAGAAAGGATTTCTCCGATCACGGGCTTGGCGCAATCCGCGGCTATCCAACAAAGGAACCGATCGAGGTTCAATGTACCGATGCCTCAAAAGGCTTACTTTACTCTCCTATCGGCATTCCTTCCACTGCATCGCTGAGTCGTCGCCAATTGTCTGCCTGAAGCTCGGCATACTTGACTCGTTCTTGACTCCAGTCCTGGTGCAGTCGACTGATATGGTACTGGCTTTGCTGGAAATGGACAAGTTCATCCCGGAGACACTCCTTGATAAACACCCCGCGTGCATGCTGCTGCACAATACTTTCCTTATCCTGCACGAAAACCAGTGAGTCACACTAAAAAACGGGACAATGGGCCAGAATGGAATGGTGGGGTCGATCACAAACCTTGAAAATAGACTCCTCCACCTTCTCGCTCTCACCGGGCTTCACGGTGCCCGACGGTCGCGCCCGAAGGTCTTGCAGCTTACGCTCATTGGTTTCAATGCGCCGCTCCAGCTGCGGGATGTTGTTACGGGCGTACCGGTCCCGTCTCTCGAACATATCACGCACGCTCACCAAGCAGTCCCGCTGTCTTTTCAGATCCTCCAACACCCCTTCGCTCCATGCCCTTGCCTCATCCTCTAGCAAGCTTTGACTGGTCGTCAAATGCCGCGCCGTCGCGGTAATACCTACATTGAGTGACGGGATATCATTTGTATCGACCGCGTAGGTGTCCTTGGTCACCTCAGTGAGAGACTGTAAAGCCAAGGAGAATCGTAGATGGTCCGCTGCCAATCCATCATTCCGTTTCGCAAGCCGTTCGAGCAGAGTGCACAGGTTAATATAGATTTCCGCCGATCGTTGAACTCCACTGCGGACCGTATCGAAGGTGTCGTTGAGATCGGCAGGCAATGAATCCTCGAGATCGGGGGCAAGAACGCGGTCAGTGAATTCATCTTGGACTGAAATGGTGGCTTGTTTGCGCCAGACAGAGAGCTCCTACACCACCGTTAGCCATTATTTATTACCTCCAAAACCGATGTCCAGAAACTCACGGTGGGTACGGTGAGGAACATCACCACCAGCTGCTCCTGCCCAAGAACAGGATGGCGAACGAGGGAATTGGTAAATCTGATAAGTCCACGGCGTCGCTTTTCCAGGAAGGAATTGGAATCCGCTGAAAGGTGAGTACCATTCACTTGGTATAAGGTGAGTAAACACTTTGGAGCGCCTCAATCAGCGTATGACGTACCTGAGACTCGCTTCGGAGGGAGGAGGGGCAATTGGCGGAAGGGGAATCGTTTCTGAAGACAATCCAAAAGCCAAACAAAGTCACTGTATCGACGAATGACCGTACTACCCCTTCGCGCAGATTTTACCTCATAATTGCGGTGCTGGAACATGAACATTCCCTCCTTCTCGGGCAGGAGGTTGATAATCACTGTCTCCTCGATCTGAGGGTTCGTCGTTCGAGTTACGAGCGGCCGGCGCCGAGACGTGAGATCAGGATCTTCAGGGGGCCCAAAGCCACTTAAAGCTGAACGGGGAGGAGCACTAAATGGAGCATCTTCATCAGGTCTCCCGATGTTGCCACCCCATCCGGACCCAGAGCTGCTGGGTGGTACTGACTCGGTCTTGCCATTGGTATGCTCCCGGTTCACTGCAATCTGACCTGCCTCTTCCACGGCTTTGCTCGACCAGGCGTTGGTGGTAGAGCGCATGCTTCCGAACGCATTATAAGTCCGCTGGTCAACCGCAGCCCCATGGTCGTGGCCACGATGAAGGTCTGGGCTACCCCATGGGTCAGCCTCTAGACCACTCAATGATTCTCGCCGAGTCTGTCGGGTTCGCGCAGAGTTGGGTTCCTGCAATGGGGTTTGTTGAGGTGGAGGGGTCTGCGGCCGTTCGGGTGCAGCGACAGTCGCGGAGTCGGAGTTTCGAAGTCTGTCCAGGAAGCCACTTTTCGGCTGAGGAAGCTCTATTTGTAGATTTGGTTTAAAATCATGTTGCAATGATGAAAACAAAGTACATAGTCTTATTACTCACTTTTGCGATGATCATCGACCGTATCGAATGATAGGTCCTCGCCTTCCTGGCCAAGACCGATAAGCGCAAGCAAGACATTGAACTCGGCGCGACCCAATCCTCCTGAGCTCTCGTGGTCCGCCGACACAACGAGATTCAGAATCCTGCCCTGATCCGATGCGCTCAGTCCACTGCTGGACAGGATCTCGCGAACGGAGGTCAACCCGACACCGGAGCCAACCCTGTCCCCGCTATTCAGTACCAGGTCGTATGCGTCGACATAGCTCTCGGGTACATCCGTCGCGGGGAGTAAGGTTCGAACAAGATCACGGCGGGCAGTCCGCTTCGCAGTGTTGTTTTGCCTCCATGGCGAAGAGCTATCATCGCCGTCGTCATCCGCAAAGAGCGACGGAGACTCGCGAGCCGAGTCATCTGCGAAAAGTGACGACTTGGACCCCTGGGCAGCCGCCGAGGGCCCTTCCGGTGAGGTGCCGAATAAGGACATCAGGGGTTCCGCAGGGTGGACTGTTTGCGCGGGGGTTCAGATGGGAGTTGTGAGGTGCGGAGGAGGCTAGCGACAATGACGAATGGCCGCTACGGCCAGGCGGAGCTAGCTCGGATGGTGGCTGGGGTAGGTTGACAAATGCTGCAGTGGTGGAGGGAATTCCTTCTGCCTTTCAATCTCCTATGCGGCTATGTCAATTAAAAAAAAAACAAATGGAAGAAAGGCCCGCCCTTCCTCGATTGATCAGAGGAGCTGTAATGAGGAGGCGATGTTCCTTTGGGAGATAACGGTTAGCCCCATTCCGCGTGGAACCTGACACCTCCACTGTCCATACTGTCATCGCCACATTAATTCATTTAAGCAAGTTTCAAGCATTAATCTTTCTGAATAACTTGGAAATCTACTCAATGGTCTATACTCTTTTCTGAGATCGTTTCATTTTCCAAGCTTCTTTGATCACTTGACTTACTTCTACCCGCATTACTATCTATTCACGGGTTGCTATGCAGTATAATCTGATCGACCACAACTGTCTCCTGTCCAACTGCCTTTGTGTCCAAGATCCCACCAACCCAGCTTGCGCTGGTTCATTCTCTGAGTTTCCGTGTTTATAATTCATCACACAAGACATCTTCTCCCCATCACGCCGGCTTTCATGTTGACATGATGTAAGGGAAGCAACCATGATGAAGAGAGGAGTCTGTCTTCGTCAAAAGCAACGTCATTGGCAGAAATAATCTTGAGGCCATTCTTGTCCTGAAATAATGACGGAACCAAGCCTTTCCGTCTTCAGAGGCAGAATAAAGGATGATTTTCTCCCCCAAATTGCTCTTGATCCGCAGATCTCGGATGTAGCTCAAAGTAGGAAAGTTATACACCGAAGAATCCGGTTGGGGCTGCTGCTCCACAGCAAATATGTCAACGGTTAGCATGACTCCATCTGCAACATCAGTCCATCTGAAATCTCGTTCAATGGTGTTTTCCCCCTCTTTGTCTTGTATGCGGAACTCTGGGTAGGGCAATGCCAATAGTCTCCTTTTTACTTCATCATGTTGACGTCCCTATCATAGGTGATTTCGATGTCGTCGATTCCCAATGCACCCGACTAACGCCCAACAGGAATCCTTCTCATGGCGGAAGGTTCGGCTGCGCTTACCGGAGAGGATACCAAGAGGGTTCTTTCTCCAAAAGCCAACAAATCCCGATGACAAGAGGACTTTTAATGATTGCCGCAACCACATTGAGGGGATTTCAGATAAAAGTTAGACAGCGCGGGGACTTGGTGCGCCCATGTCAGGCTCGTGTTTTGATAAAGTATCCCAAGGCCAGCTCCGTGGCTAGTTTTGTGATGGGAACGGTCAAATCCGAGACAGTAGCTTGGTCGGTCATCCAGAAATCAATGCCAGGGAGAGTTTTTCCATTGTGGTCAATAAGGTCGGTCTCGTGTAGTAGCACGCCTTCTTGTAAAGTCCGGCCTGAGCACAACCAATATTCCTTTATGCGAGCAGCTTCCAGATCATGTTTCACTTGATCGACATGCCTCTTTATATCTGCTGGAACACAGTTGTCGGCATCGGGTGATTTTAAACTAACAAGCACCTCGAGGGGCGACTCCCCTCCCCATGAAGTTGAATGTAACCAGACAATGCTTTTTCTGGCTTTGCCATAGATATGCCAGTTTCCAAAAATTAGCCAATTGGCATTAGACCCTTATTTTTTGAGCAGTGAAACCAACATTTGCTTCCCAATTTCCTCAGCTTGAGCTTGAAGAAGCTCAGGACTTAATTCTCTCAGGCGACGTCCTCTCTGAGAAACACACATCCAGTCCGACCAAACATATCGACAGCCCATTGTCCCCATTACCCGTCTTGCAGTTGATAGGTCCCATAGTTTCACACCTGAATTATCCCAGAGAAGGCCGTCAGGAGGGTCTGAAGCAGGTTTAGTTTCCTTGATGTATCCCCAGGTGTAGGACACAATCCCATAGCCTTGGATGTCTAGGATGTCGCGCGGAATTTCGCTGAAGGGGAAAGTTTTCCATTCTTTCAGGTCCAGAAGCCACCGCGGGGCTTTCGGATCATTTGGAGGAATATTTGCAGAGCCCATGTTTTGTTTGTCAACCGTTTGAGGTATAGCGGTAAGAAGAGGCTAGATAAAGCGCAAGTAACAAGTGCGTTTCCCTCGAGCTTAGAGAGAATTCAAACAATCGGCACCTGCAACGTACAACACCATACTGGGTTTTCTGTTATACAGGTACGAAGGAAAACAAGGCCAACGCCACTGTAGATGCACAGATGCACACGGGCTGGGTCTAATTCTTCGACGTGTCTACTGACATTCTACCAATTTAATTGAACGGCCGAGGGAGTTCTCAAGTGATATACATATCAAGCTTCCTAAAACGTACTACTGCACAGATCTGCCCGCTTGGTGTTGTTTGTAGGTCGGGGAGGCTGGCTGAACTGAAGCCTAAACATCCATTAATGTCTCCATCAGTGCCTGATGTCGGGATGAACGTATCCACATGTGCACTAATGCAGCTTTTGCAAACCGAACTTTCAATAAATCATGAGTTCTGTTGAGTTCCTCCTGATTACACATCACGTAATCCGTCGAAACACTGAATGACTAGGTTATATATCACGTATGACGTGCTCCTCCCCCACATCCTCCTGCCTTTTTACTCGTCCAAATCAGAAGCGAGAGGAAGTCGGGATTCCAAGTCTACTGTATGGACCTAGAGGGCGTGGGATTAGAACATAGAATAAGCAATCGGATACAAATATTGGAATTAATCCACAGCGAGATAAGATATACCTCAGTTGGCTAAGACCTCTATCGCGGCATCTAGTTATCGCCTCCCCCCCGGTCTATGCTTATGAAACATCGGAGGACCATTCCGATATCTACAAGTGATCTGCGATTATATGCAATCTTGACTTTCTCCAACTGACATGTTGACGATGGAGGGGTAGCTTCATGCAAGATATGCCAGGTCGGAGCACAGCTCCGATGCTTGGAGTAGCTGCACATGTTGGTCAGCATATTTAAGGGTTGGTAGAAAAGCCACGTTAACTGATTTGCTTGATTGGACTCTGAGTAAATCAACAAATTAATCGACTGTAAAATGCGACTTTTCACAATCAGTCGTCGTGCTGGTCTAGGCCGGCTTTCACTTCGCTGGAATGGAATTCCTCGTCGTCACTTGACTATGCTACACCCACCCAGGTTCATTAATGAAAAACCGGTAAATTCTGACCTGCAAAAACTTCGAAGTTAGGAGACTTGCTAACAGTTGACGGATAGCTTGATTATGGAAAGAACTCCCCCGAAAGGGCCGAGCTCACCAAAGCCATCGAAAAGCTGAAACGAGAACTCCCTCTTACGATCCCAATTCAGATTAATGGAGCAGAGGTATGAGGACTGGAGATAACATTATTTCCAAAGAGAACTGACACCTTGGAATCCATAGGTTCAAACAAAACAATCAAAACTCCAAGTCAACCCCTCCAAACACAGTGAGATAGTCGCCAACTATGCTTCCGCGAGTGAAGATCAAGTCGATGCTGCCATAGACGCCGCCCTCAAAGCCAAGCCCGCATGGGAGGCTATGCCCTTCGAAGACCGCGCCGCAATCTTTCTACGAGCCTCGGAGCTCGTGACTGGGAAATACCGCGCGGAGATCGTCGCTGCTACAATGCTCGGACAAGGCAAAAACATCTGGCAGGCAGAGATCGATGCGGCAGCAGAGACGGCGGATTTCTTCCGCCACTACATCCACGAGGCCTGGGCGCTCTTCTCCCAGCAGCCAAAAATACAAACGGAAGGAGTCTGGAACAAAATGGTATATCGCCCCTTGGAAGGCTTTACATATGCCATTGCTCCGTTCAATTTCACTGCGTTGGGAGCGACCCTGATTGGACCAGCCGCACTACTCGGAAATGTCGTTATCTGGAAGCCATCCGACTTCGCACTACATGCTAGCTGGCTGCTTCACAAGATTCTGCTTGAAGCGGGCTTACCGAAGGACGTAATTCAGTTCCTCCCTGGTGACGCTGAGGAGGTCACCAATGTCATCTTGAAAAGACCTGAGTTCAGTGCGTTGACTTTCATTGGATCAACGGCTACTTTCAAAGGAATTCAAAAGAAGATCGGGGATGGTATCGGGCAGGACATCTACAATTCCTACCCTCGTGTTGTTGGTGAGACCGGCGGCAAGAACTGGGGAATTGTTCACCATTCAGCAGATGTGAGGAGCGCCGCACTAAACACCATTCGCGCTGCCTTTGAGTATCAAGGACAGAAGTGCTCGGCCAACTCTCGTGTTTACGTGGCGGAGTCTGTCTGGCCTGAATTCAAAAAAGTTTTAATTGAGCAGACGGAAGCTTTGAAGATTGGCCCCGTGGAAGATTACAGTAACTTTATCAACCCAGTTATCCACGAGAGGTCCTTTGATAAGCTCCAGAAGGTGATTGAGGATGCAAAGACCGACTCAGAACTTGAGTTGATTTTGGGTGGCAAGGCATCCAAGGACGAGGGGTACTACGTGCACCCCACTGTGTATCGGACGTCCAATCCACATCACGAGATTATGTCCAAGGAACTGTTTGGACCGATCTTGTGCATTTATGTGTATCCTGATGCTGAGTGGGAGCAGACATTAAAGCTGGTGGATACTACATCCCGTTATGCTCTGACTGGAAGCATTTTTGCAAAGGATCCTTATGCAAGCCGCCAGGGACAGACGGCATTGAGACACGCCGCGGGTATGTTGTATCTCAACACAAAGTGCACCGGAGCTACGGTGGCACAGCAGCCATTTGGTGGTAGTCGTGACTCGGGAACCAACGACAAGACTGGTACTATGGCACACTTACAGAGATTTGTGAGCACACAGACAATAAAAGAGGAGTTTGTTCCGCTGGAGAAGGTTGGATATCCTTCCAATGAGGTTTGATATAGTCATTGGAATCGAAATCCAACATTTGATTGTAAATCAATACACATGCTTTCCAGCCGAATGGATTTAGACACTCGGATAAAAATCATATTTTCGATATCAAAATTGTTTTACTACACTTCATGAAACTAGACATTTGGTGCAAAAAGGAAAAGACCAGTCTCATGAGACGGATTTGGCACTCATGAATATAGAGAATATTTGCAAATATGGCCTTTCAATGAACCTTGCGGTGTGAACCCATCAATGCCCAGTGATCAACATACATACTAACCATGATCTAGCAATGAATTACAGGCCCGAGCATTTAACCTGGATCCGAAACGTAAACGGCAAATATTGAAAAGATATCTGTGCCTGGTACAACCCTGTTAGCGTCCCAGCTGACAGAAATAGGCTCAATAGATATAGAGACAAAGCCTGTCACTCCATCTCCAGTCAATGTTCTTACCGATAACGGAACACTCTCTTGATCTGTCTATCACGCATGAATGTGTAACCCGACAACCCCTCCCATCGGAGAGGATCCCCGACTATAGTCGGCTGACCACTGTAAGACACGTCGGTAGATTCTGGCGAACAAATAAGCTTGAGAAACTGGCGGTACGATCTTATTGTTTGCTATATAGACTAACGCTGCCAGCAGAATCCACAAAGCACGTTGATGTAAACTTTCTTCAGAATCTTTCTTCGGGCCTATCACTATCAACGAAAATGATCTCTCGACCTCCCTCCTTCCCACGTACCCTGAAACCCCGCGTCTCAGTACAAGGTGTAACTTCAGGCCGGCGGCACCGATCGACCAAACAAGGCTTTCATGATGCTGCTATGACATCGCCTATTCAGCCTCCCATCGACTTACCATCCATGGCAAGACTGCCAACAAAGCTGTTACTACGCTCTCTAGTCCTGACCTCTCTCATGACATCTAAAATTTTCCTGAAACCTGCATTGGCGACATTGAATGTTCTCAGCACCTCCAAATCCCCCCTGTTGAACGCCGATCGAAACCCAGTCCTTAATAAACTTCTCCGATGGACTGTCTATAATCATTTCTGCGCTGGGACAAATCACCAGGAGGTTTCAAAAACCGTGGCGCAGATAAAGGGTATCGGATATCAGGGTGTGATTTTGGGTTACTCCAGAGAGGTTGTTCTTGCTCCAAGTGATAGGCTGGCTTCCAATCATTCTGGTACCCCGACTTACAGTGATAAGTCCTATGAGACTGTGGAAGAATGGAAGAGCGGCACACTTGAGACTCTGCGGATGGTTGGATCCGGTGACTTCCTTGCTGTCAAGTAAGTGCAAACTGTTGGTATACGATGCATACTTCTGATACATTTGGCTAGACTCACGGGTGCCGGTCCAATCTCCCTTGATGCTATGGCGGCGAAGAGGCCCATGCCAGAAGTCATGGTCAAAGCGATGGATGAGATTTGTCTTGCGACGAAAAAACAAGGATCTCGCCTTTGGCTGGATGCCGAACAGCAAGTTCTGCAGAATGGATTGGATAACTGGGCAATTGAAATCATGCGAAGACATAACAATTCGGAAACTCCTTTGGTCTATAACACTATCCAGGGATATCTGAAGGCATCTAAGGCAAACCTCGACCACCACATTACCATCGCTGCGCGAGAGGGATGGACTTTGGGAATCAAATTAGTTAGAGGAGCTTATATCGAGCACGAAACACGCGCCCTTATCCATGATACAAAAGAGGAAACTGATGAGTCTTACGACTTGATAGCGGATACGATGCTGTGCCGACGAATACCAGCAGATGTGAAGGACTTGAAATTTCCCAACGCTGCACTCTTTCTTGCAACACACAATGCGGCCAGCGCTGCAAAGGCAATTGCTACCCACCAACACTTACTTCTTGCGCACAAACCGACTGTCTTACTGGAATGTGGTCAGATCCAAGGTATGGCAGACGAATTGAGTTGCGAGTTAGTGCAAAACTACGAACGTGCTTTGAAGGAATCTTCTGCTGCGAATATTTCAGTGCCTAAAGCTTTCAAATGCATGGCTTGGGGTTCAGTAGCGGAATGTATGCAGTACCTCCATCGTCGGGCGATTGAGAACAAGGGTGCAGTTGAGCGCACACAGCATATGGTGGATGCATTAAGACGGGAGCTGTGGCGAAGAATTTTAGGTTAGAATTTTGATATGATGCAAATGAATGATCGATTATATTCAACAATATACTACACTTTGTAGCTAGTGCTTTCCAAGGATCTATTTCTCGTACTTCCAAGGTTATGTATCCATTAAACTTTGCCCAATGTATACTAATGGGGATAATTTGAACCGTCCATCAAGATAAGTAAAAAAAGGAGATAGCATTACACACCCCACTCCGAATGAGAATCGGATTTGAGTTATCCAATGGTAATGAATTTATGAAGCTCTCCAATTGCCCCACAATCCCACTTCGCAACTCTTATCGTGCGGAGGCGATGATAAGAAACCATCGGATGGCAGTCCCGATAGTGGCCTTTCACTACCCCGCATGGATACATACTTGATATCGGAGGTAATCCCCGGAAGTCACAGCGATTCTTTTGATACAATCAATGTTCGGTTCTAGAATCCGGTATGCCTGTCGCACCTAGTAGAGCAAAAGCGAAGAAGTGTCAGAAAGCGTGAGTCCGTGCTGGAACTAGAAAATTGGAATTTGTTAATAAGTACTAGATGTGTGCGATGCCGGGGTATGAAAGTGAAGTGCTCGGGCTCAGAACCCTGTACAAGATGCGTGCGCAAGAAGTTACAATGCCATTTCCCAGAAGAGGACGTGCGTATCTCAATATCGGAAAGGTCTGTTTTCCATTCATGGTAGAATTCGTCGCTAATTCATTATTTTAGATACTTGAGACAATTGGAAGAGCAGATATCAAACAACGGTAGAAGCATACTACGCTCTGAATCTGCTAGAAGCCCTTCTGGTAGGGGCAGGAATGAACATGGCGTGTCAACTCCTAGCCAGACTTTACTGTTAGAAAATCAACGATGGGGTGATATCAGTTACGGTAGGTCATCACCGTTCGTTGACATGGATGGTGCTAATTTTCATACATCGAAGGAATTCAATCCAACCTTCGCTCGACGCAGGCTTTGCCCTCAAGGAATGTTGACAGTGATCCCGACATGGAACAGGATGACAATCGGTCACGATTTTCCAAGAATCCTCTCGTGGACCAGAATCCCCAATTCGCAAGAACTCCAGATGGCCGATTCTGTAAGTGATCATTTTCAAAATTAAGCATGGCTGTACTCATCGCTCTTCAGGGTATATGGGTCCCACCTCATCGTGGTCATTCTGTCGCCGTGTCCTAGCCCTTATTGGAAGGCGGGTCCCAGAGTCAAACTGTCCTCCAGATCCATGGCATCTGGATGGTATGGCATTCAAGCTCCAATGGCGTCCAACGTCCCAGGATGAAATACCTGATGTTTCGAATCTGCCTCCCCTCGACTATGCGCTCTTCCTCTTCAACACAGTCAAATTCTACTTCGGGTTTCTCTCTTTTATGATTGATGAAGAACTGTATCTTCGCGACCTCCATGAGTTCTATAAGGATCCAGCTGCCAAGGCATTGGAATCAAGATACTGGTACGCGCAGTATCTTCTGGTGCTTGCGTTTGGGAAAGCATTCCTCACACCCAAGAGCCCCTCGGGGCCACCGCCTGGCCATCAATATGCTGCAAGGGCTATGGCACTTCTACCTGACTTATCAGGAATGCACAAAGATACATTGACATGCATTCAGGCCATGAGTTTAGGTGCAGTATACCTGCAGTCTATTGATATGAGGCGGGCAGCATTTCAGCACGTAAGTGAATCTATTATTGACTTGAAAATTTCAAATGCTGACTATTGCAGATTGGACACGCACTGCGTGGGTGCATCATTGAGGGCATCCATAGGCATGTTCCTGAAGAGTTTGGTGGACCTGAGCTTTCCAGACGATGCAGGACTATCTTTTGGGTGGTATATATGCTTGATCGGGAGTTTGCCGCACTGATAGGGGCACCGAGCTCAATAAGAGACGAGGATATCACTGTTCTGCTGCCTGCGGAGGTTGAAAGCTCGGTGGAGGATATTAACTTGACGTTACACGTCCGTCTTTCCAGATTGATCGCTCAAATCCTGACGAGTAAGTTCTCATCCGTTGCTTATATCCGCTAAACTCAAAAATAACGCCCATCGAAGCTGTTTACAATCCCGGAGATGAGCTTAATGGGTCCCTCATTCGAAATACACAATCGATTTTACACAGCATGGCAGAGCTTTCCCATGACCTGACTGCCTTTCTGAACACACATTTCCACGGTCTTATTGGTCGAGCGTCAAAAATGGCAATCCGATTAATGTTAGCCCATCATCATGTAAGGTCCACACAATATGCTTTCTGGTCGAGAATTCTAACGCGAAAAGTGCATCGTTCTCACGACAAGACCGCTGGTAATGTGTGCTTTGCATATGCATATCGATCGCACAAATATACAAACATCGCAGACAATCTCCCTCGCACCTCCGGTGTCCTCCCTTCTTCAGTGTTGTGCAGATTCTGCTCAGACTATTTTGCAGACTCTGCAAACCTTAGCTGATGATGATCTGATGGGTTTGTCATGCGATATTTCCATTTCTCACGCTTGTTAGCTAACATCTTTATAGACGCATTCCTACCATTCCAAGTTGAAGACGCCTCTTCATCTGCTTTCGTTCTCTACCTTATCCGTGCAATTGCCCCTTCGCTCATCCCGGATAGCACATGGTGCGATAACCTCGAGTGCGTTATGGATAAACTCATTGCAAAGGGAAACCTTGCTGCACCATTACGGAGACGTGAACTTAGTCAATTGGAGCAAATACTTGCCCCCTTGACTCCAAGACCTCAAAATAGTCCATTACCGCCCGTTCACTCGAATGCTGGACAGGAGCAAGAAGAAACTTATGCGATGGATCAGGTAGATGTTGATGATGAATTTGAGTGGGACTTGTTAGGTCTCAATCCTTCAGTCAGCCTCCCACCAGCAGAACTTCTTGATCTTGCCGATCAATTGGACATGGAGAGTATCATGCAGTCAGTCGGCGCTTGTGTGAACTGATGTCGATAGTTTGATGATTGACGAGGAAATGTGCTATGAAATCTATGATCCCAGAGTTTGATATTGATCAGATTCGACATCAAAACCTTATCTGAATATTGGCTCACATACTTTATCCTTGAAAGCTTGTAGGAGCGGTGGTGCTCGGAGAGTAGAGCCGATTATCGGAACCCCTGACCGACGCTTAGAAATCGGCCAACCGGGCCTGTGTATTGTGGGGCTACCGGGCCGGGCACTTTTAAAGTCACGATCTGAGATTTATAGAACAGTCTACTATGGACGTTACATGTTCACGGTATTTACCAACATAAAATGTATCACTCAGGAAGGATTGCGCGTCTTTTATCCAGACCGTAAGAGCCAAAGTCAAAATCAAAATTCATCATGTTCTAATGCCGAACTAGATCATTCAGGCACACTCAGAGCCCTAAAAATACAGAACTAAAAACGACATTTGTTCGGCTGAAATCATCTGTCACTGCTGCTGCACAAAAAGAATATAAGATTATTCAAGATGTGGACAACTTTGTCGACGTCGAATCCAAGCGCCCAGACTTCGACCACAAAAAACCCATCGAAGTCACAAAATCACCATATCCAAACTGGAAATACGGCGACGGAGTTCCAGATAACGGCGCAAGCATCGCACAAAAGCATCATGAAATTGACCCATATTCACCAACTCGCCCAATGATCAACAACTACCGTCTCCTGGTATCTGGAATTGCGCCTCGACCAGTTGTATTCATCAGTACAGTGAATAACGCCGGTCAGAAGAATCTTTCACCATTCAGCTACTTCCAGATCATTGATCATGACCCACCTATGTTTATTGTGGGGTTTTCCTCTCGACCTGGACGTGCTAAGGATACGTATCAAAATCTCAAGGAAACGGGAGAGTGTGTTATAAACACCGTCTCTGAGAATATGATCGAAGCTGTGAATGCTAGTTCCATCGATGCGCCTTATGGTGTTTCCGAGTGGGAAGTTTCGGGGCTTCATGAGGCTCCTTCTTCGACTGTGAAACCTTCGCGGGTTGCGGAGTCAGTGTTTTGTGTTGAAGGAAAGGTTATTGATATCAAAGAGTTTGCCGATCATCAACGACCTGGAATGAGTATCGCTGCTACTGTTTTGATTAAGGCTACTCGATTTTGGGTTAAGGAGGGGACAGCCGACGTGGACTATAGCCATATTGATCTGGATAAGCTGCGACCTGTTGCTCAGCTTGGTGGGGTTTCATATGGTCGTGTCGTGTCTACTTTTGAGAGGCCGCGAAGCAAGTGGGATGTTGAAGTTCCGAAGAGCGAATTATTAATAGGTTTGGATAATGCAAAGCCTGATTTTGCATAGCTTCAGCTATCATCTTGCTCATGTCAATTTCCCTTTCTATGTCTTGTCTAGGAAGTCGATAGCTAAAAATGTACCCATCTTCTCACAATTGACTCTATTTTGCTGAGTTTTTCCAAATATGATTGATAAGTTTGCCGAAGTTATTGCTAACTCATACGTTCAAACGGCTTCTACCTCCAAAGGGAGGCTGGTCCAGCCTGATGTCCAATTGGTCCCCTTAGGCATCAACGGCCAGATATCATACAGAATCTGTTGAAATATCTTGGGGATAAAATGTCGCCGTCTCTCACGTGCTACCTTCCCAATCTCTTCAATGGTCGGAGACCCCGAGCTGCTATTACATTTTGTGACCAAGTATGACCGAGGAAAACATTCAAGTAGACGGGCTTCCACCTTCGGGAGAGCAGGGGATCCAAATGGCATAACACGAAGATAACGCAAACGGCGGGAGATTTGATTGGCGTTGATCAGGTTCCAGATCCCGAGAGTAAGTTTCTCGTCGATAGCCGCATTCACGAACATTTCACGAAGAGGTTGTTCCTCTGCCCCTTCTTTTGGTCGGGCATAGTTGAGGTCAAGAACCAGGGTGTGAAGACTCGAAAATCCTCCAAGAGCTTTATATGCTTCGCATTCTGCTTGATTGCCCGCTGACCGTTCTATTTGGAGACGCAACTCTTCTAGATAAGGACAGGACTGCGCCAGCAATCGGATATTATAAGCATCAAATGTGGGATATTTGAATCCTTGGTCTTTTGAGGGAGGCATGATCCTGACCCGTCGCTTTAATGAGGTATCGATGACGAGTCCCTTCAAGGACGGACCATGGTGCTCGACAATTCGCTGCACGCTTCTCACGTTGCGAATGAAATGAAGACGAAGATATTTCAATGGTCGGAAAGCACATACGGCAGTGATTGCATCCTCGTGATCTGCGTCAAGGTCCTGGCTAGTCCATCCTGAGGGCTCAAAGCCGATAAAGAGACGTTCGAGATTGGGAAAGAGCTTCCCAATCTGTGCCAGATTGGCTGGGTCATGGTATTTATCGATGGAGAGTGTCCGCAGACCGGAAATGTCGATAGCAGCCGCTAATTTAAGAATGACCCCTTCCGATGGTCCATATGATGGGATCGATATTGATTCTAGTGTGGAGACTCGTGTGAGTGGGTGGACGTTGACCAGGTTTTTCCATTGCTTCTCCAGCTTAGCGATTGGAAACTTGATGTCTGAAGACTGAACTGCCAAGACAAGATGCCTTAGGCCAGGAGCACTAGCAACAAAAGGCAGAATGCGGTCTCCATATTCCAGTCCGGTCCAATTGGCGTTGTGGTAGATATTACGGTAGGGTCGGGGAGTTTGCATAGCGAGGGTATGAAGACCTGGTAGTTGAAGGACATCGATGTCAAAGAATTCCTCCTTCTGACTTGTCATCTCATCGATTAAATCCTCCTCCCATAGCTCCCCATCATATATATCATTGTGATTGATTGTTTCAGGGTCATTCAGCCGGTCAGTTTCTGGAACTGCACTGCTCGCTACATCCTGGGCGTATGTGATATCCAGCTTGCAATTTGGATGATTGTGAAAAAGAGCATTGCTCAAGCCAACTGTGAACTGATTCTCTGTGAGAAAATTGAATTGCTCCAAGTGGTGAAATTTTGGAAGGAGAGACTCAATCGGTTCCCATTTACTTGGCCCATGAAGGCTGGCCAAGTCCGCAATCGAACCTGTCAGACGGGGGTCCAAAAAGGTGTATCTGCGGGCCTGGAACTTGTCACATAGCAGGTTCGTCACCCAAGACTTTAAATTGGGCGTTTTAAGACATATTATGTAAATTCTGCGAGCGTATTTGAGGAACCGACATCCTCGACCATCATCTGCCAGCTCAGAAACAGCGTTCTGCAGGCTTTCCTTATCGTGAAATATGATAGAGAGAGAGCTGTAGATAAATGGGATTGCTGCCTCGTAGCATATACGGCTGGTCTGGCTGAATGACGCTAGGTCTGTACGCGGGCCATGAGAATCATCTCTGAGCTGGTGTTCATTAGTTTTGCGGCTGGTAATAAGACAGGCGGCAGGGCGGGCGAGCGACATACATAGAAACATATTTGTTCCAACAATTCCAATGGCAGTGAATTCATTGTTTAATTCCTAGGCCGAAGAAAATAATGTGAAGAGAGGGACTGGGGGCAGTTGAGATATCATTGAGATGGTACGAAGGTAAGGGTAAAGACGGGGGAGTGCACACAGGAACGTGGTATGATGGAAAACACTGAGAGTCAAAGTCTATGAGTGCCTCATAGACTCCCGGCCAAAAAAAAAAAAAAGAAAAGAAATTACATGTACCAGGGCTAGTCGTTATTTAGCGCTTGCAGGACCCTTTCACTAACCCGATCAGGGGCCTACCCGTGCCTTTGTGATCAATACTTTTGTCCAAAAATATTTGAACGCACCTAGTAGTTGTAATATATCAGATTGTGCTGAAGAATTATGATAGTATATCGAAAAAGATATGATAAATAAACATGGTACGGCCTACCTGACTCGAAGCCTGTATAAGGGAGGTCTCAAAATTATTCTTAGGCCAGATACTGTGTTAAATAGCAAAATATCTGGAGTGTACCCCTAACAATTATCAATTTTTGGCTTTTAACCTTGCGTCCAGCATGGTATAAAGCAATGCATATGCATCGTGACGACACCAGTGACTGTTGTCCTACCCAAACTGCAGATTCCTGGAGGCCTAGAGATCCAGGCGACTATTGACACCTCACATTGACAACATGTGCACCCTTCGAAGCATGTGGTTTCGCACGCCAATATTGACTCCTGACATTTTGAATTTTTTTAGTACCGAAATTGTCGACAACAGTCTTTCTTGTGTGATGAGTATCGTGTTCGAATCATTGAACGGGAATGGGCTGTTGTTGAGATGAATGATTCTTTTGAAAAATTGGAGCTAAGATCTCGTATCTTGATCTAAATTCATGGTTTGCATCAGATTCTTCTCTGCCTCCAGCCTCGTGTACTGGCCATTTCAACGGTTCATTTGTATGTTACACTTACGGGACCTAAAAACTTCGATACGTACTAGTAGGATCAGCCGGCTGTCTGCATGCTCTACTGTGACTTGTACTTCGCAGGCCTGTGAATCGTCTCTCCGGCAGCTTACCTTCCTTCAATTACCTCAAGATTAAAGATCCGTCTCTATGGTCTATTTCAAAGGCTCCGCTACTTCGTTATGTTAAGGAATGTTGATAATCAAGAAGAACTTCTCCTTCCATCACCTTAGATTTCCTATAAGGTATGCTCATCGAAAATCCATGGCACCTGATATCAGCCTATAGCTAGTTAACTATGTTATAGATTATTGATGACTAAGGCATCTACGAAGAACCGTAAGTTGGTTAAATGTCCCTCACACCTCGATAGCTATGCAATCATCCGTCTTCACCTCCCTTCTGTATCTCTTGTGCTTATTGCCCGACATGGTCGAAGGCCTTACCCGATATCAAAGCGCACTTCCAAGCGACGCCACTGTCGCTCACGATAGGCAATCCCTCAACGATCTGGCCATGACCAATCCGAAAACAATTCTTCACCCCGAGAATGGAGGCTACTACCTCAAAGCCACGACGAAGAGGCCATTGCCATCGCTGGTGACGACCTATGCAAGGAGCTAGACGCTGCTTTTGCTAGGATCAATGCTAGAATTGCTGCCGGTGCTCTTAGTTACGGCTCTGGTGCCGAAGATGAAGATTCTGAATCTCTCAGTGGGGCAGATGTTACAGTCGATAGCGGAAACGGGCTTCTACCCTTCCCTAGGCGCAACTGCCAAGTAACTAATGCGTAAAATTATGCAATACACATCAATAAATTTACGATCGTCTGAGGTATCGTTTGGTGTCAAACAGTAGAACTACGGTACTCAGTTTACTGTACGAATCATTCTCTTTCCTCTTGGTATGGAGTACGCTTCGGTGCTGGATAGCACACATCACTGCATCCCCTAGCTTATTGGCTATAGCTCTATTCTACGAATAATCTATATAAATCGACTGTTCGCAATGTGTACCGTTTGTATAGGATTGTGGGAGTTATGTTCATAATCATCATTCTTTGAAGATTTACGCAGGACGACGTCGATGTAATATCATTCTTTTCACCGAGGAACGTGGGGCCAGGGTTTGCAATTCCAGACCACTTTTTTAACCTATTCGAATAATCGGTTGCAGAAACTTCGGTGCCGAGACGGATGATATATCAATGATTGTTTATACTCGGAATACTGAGACTTAAACCCGAGGTGAACATTCTGGAGTATTCCTAGCCGGAGACCGGTAAGCTGCCTACTGGTCCGGGCATATTACACCAATTCATTAACAGTCTATACTGGGCCAGCATAGCCAACGTTGCAAAAGTTCAGTCCCTAAGCTCCCTCAGATTGGAAATACAAGCCGGCGCGTTTCAATCTTCATCATTGAGCTCCTGGTCTCCTTCATCCAGGTCTAGCTCCGACTCCGATGGCTCCATGTCAGTCTCTGAGGACACATCATGAAGCTCAGAAAGTTTTGCTTCCACCAACCTAAGAACAAAACGATTATCACATCTTAGAGCCAGCTCATAAACTGTTTCACCCTTGTTGCAAGACCTAACATCTGCACCCCCCTGGATCAATGACTTGACCACTTTTTCATGACCTTCTCGTATAGCCCACCGCAGTGCTGTCCACCCATCTGGGTCTTGTGCTTCAATATCTAGTGCGCGATCAAGGAGAAAATCTACTACAGAATGCATGCCATGCTTGGATGCGTGTATAAGATCTGAAGTTTCCAGTCCTTCAGGGTCGGGACTGAATCCCCTATCAAGAAGAGATCTCGCGATTCCTCCGTGCCCTCTCTGGATAGCAAGTGAAAGCGATCTTGGCTCAGGATTTGCACCTGCTTCGAGAAGGAGCTTCACGATACCTTCATGCCCTCTCTGCATAGCAAGTGAAAGCGATCGCGGCTCAGGATTTGCACCTGCTTCGAGAAGAAGCTTCACGATAGCTTCATGTCCTCCTGAACCAGCGTTTTGGAGTGGTGGGAGTTCATCACCAGCTGCTAACTGAGGATCTGCACCTGCATCGAGAAGGAGCTTCACGGTAGCTTCATGCCCGCTCTGGATAGCAATTGAAAGCAATTTTGGCTCAGGATCTGCACCTGCTTCGAGAAAGAGCTTCACGATTCCTTCGTACCCTCCCCGAATAGCAAGTGAAAGCGATGTTGGCTCAGGTGTTCCACCTGCATTGAGAAGAATCTCTGTGATATCTTCATAGCCCAGCTCGCTAGCCGTCGAAATCAAGTCAGTCAATCTTCTAGAATCAGGTTTCACGCCTTCATTGAAGAGAATTATGACTATGTCCTGTTCTCCATTTTGAACAGCTCTTTCAAGCAATTTCAAGCCACAGCTTTCCAATAAATCTTTGGGTCCTTTAGCAATAAAGAGCTTCAAGAAATCTTTGGCCCCACCCTCCACTGCAACAAGCATGGTGTTTTCATCGATTGTAGCTCCTTGGTCAAGAAGTAGCTTTATGACATTTCTCCATCCCCATCTTGCAGCTGTGCTCAGAGCCATGGTTAAAGCTGTAGGATGCCCAATCACCTCCGACAAACTCACTTCCGGCAAAGCTTCAGTAGAAATGTTCGACAATTTGGATATGGATTTGGCTAATCCAAAGTGAGCTGCAACCTGTAAACTAAATAAAATAATATCATGCGAACCCATGGTGCTGAGGCAACTTCTCAGGGCCCAACAATAGGTAGAATCTGGCTTTAGTCTCTGGAGAAAGTTCAGTATCAACTGATCCTCTTCGATCGCGGTGTTTCGGGCATGGTAACCCCAGAATGCTGTAGCATATCGACAAAGTGGAGTCCCAAGGAACTTGTCCATTAATTCACGCGCCTCGTTAACAGTACCGGTAGGAAGAATAGGACTGTCAAAGAATCCAAATCTGTCAAAGGACAGGTATGTGACACATACTCTGGCGATTTCAATGTGAGCATCAGGAAACCAGACACTCGAAGTACGGTCAAGATACTCCTGTGTGGTGTAGTGAGCCAAGCGAACAACATGGCTTTTCTGGTCAAGAACTACCAGACCAGAACATAAAGACACCAGAGCTTCAATACTGGCGATTCTATCTTCATCAAGCGTCCTTGTGCCAGGCTCGACCGCAAGAGCGTATTGAAGATCCGAGGGACTTAAGGGGCTTTTTGCGCATGTTATCCACGACAGAACTCTGAGGGCAAGATCACTCCGTTGTTCTGTTTGACTCATTATTCGACTCATTGCCTCCTTGTATGCATCGTCAAGAGCCCTTGCTCTTGTGACATCTCCATCATTTGAATCTGTAAGCAACGTGTCAAGTTCATCAAGCATATGCTTGGCGTCGCTGATCGTTATCAGATCGGCCAATCGATTGGCATAGAGTTCAGCGAGGAGAAACCTAGGCCAGGTCAGCTCCAATCATATCCCGCAAATTTACATATCAACTTACATTCCATTGGCAACTTCTAAGATCTTTCTTACAATATCTGCCCTCAGGACTTCGTTCCCCTTGATTGGCTGATCTGTAAACGCGGTCACTCTTTGGTCCAGGTAGCTTCGAATGTCTTCTTCTCCAGCAGAAATTTCAGATCTAAGACTTGATCCAAATAGACCTTCGATATTTCCATTGTGGCGTGAAGTCGCAAGAAGGCTGATATTCACACCATATTTGGCTTGCAATGAGAAAATTATGTGCAGAAATCTTTGAAGACTATCATTGGTTTGACACTCATCCAAGGCATCAATCACAATGTTGACCCTAGAAAGCGAAGTCACGACAGCTTGAAACACATCTATCAGCTCATTAACAGAGGGTCGACTCTTGTATCTCTGGTGATATTCATAGAGCTCTATCACACGCGAAAAATTTGGGTGCAGTCGCGCAAGCTGTTTTAAAAGGCTTGCAATCAAAATCCACGGTTTCAGTAGGTGTTGTTGCTTGAAGTCGCAATATATGTACGCGGTGCCAACAGAAGTATCTGTATGGAAGTGTCTCTGGAGAAAGGAAATCACAAGGGACACAATAACCGTCTTTCCTGCGCCTGGAATTCCGGTGCAAAGGAGCGTCTGATTCTGATGTGGATCCTTGAGCCAGCACTGAAATTCATCGGACTTTAAAAACCACTTCCCAGTTCCCTCTGTTCGTCGCTGAACAAGGTCATTATGCTTGGAGAGAAGATCGTCTGTGGCAAGCCATTGAAGAATGTCATCATATTTAATCGTGATCTGGGTCTGACGTATGTCGGATATGCCGGAGAGAGCGCTCTTTGTCATAGCCTGGACCTCATTTACTAGAATAATAACCTGTTAAGGATTGGGCAAAAAATAAGGGCATTGGATTACTGACATGTTTCCGAAACCTTTCTGCATGCATCCACTACCAAGATTTCTCGTGATACATGGCTAAGAGGAACGTATCCCAGCAGATCTTTGGCATAGGCTGCAGCTGCTAGGGCCGCATACCCCTGCCATTGCTTGTTCTTGTGCGAGTCGGCATAATCACATACACCGCGGATGACAATGCAGGGAAAGTCCAACATAAGACCAGCCGCCTCCATCTCGAAGCACAATGCCCCTGTCTCTAAACGAAGTTGTTCTCTTGTCCGCCCGTGCTTGATGACCTTATTACCAGAAGCAATGATACCATAGTGGGGCTGTGGATCACTATCCTCGCGTTCGCCTCTTGTCTCTTCCCATTCTGCTGGACATCCATCACAGCTGCTCGCATTTGGGATGTGATCATGTTCCGTCTGAAACAGTCGATCCGACTTTGCGTTAGGCCGGCCAAAATTTCGCCGAGTTCGAGCATTCCTTTCGATTGCGTTTTGGATATATTCCAGATAGCGGGGATCGTCCGTCAGCCCACTAGCTCTCATCGTGCTAACTGCGGTCAATAGTGCCTTCGGGGGGCTATTCAATGAGCCAGTTCGTTCCAATCCACCGCCTTCAATGATCTTTCCTATATCATATTGTACCACTCCACCACAAGTGCCTTCGGGGAAGCTAATCACGATATCGCCGAGACGAATATCATGAGTAGCTGAAGGAACTCCACCTCCGATACCGACCATTAGTCCGATTCTGAGTGACTGGGAGAAGGTTCGAAGCATGTTGATTGCGACCGTAGTGGCTGAGGTGGTTCCGTATTGGCCTCCAGGCAGGCAGGCGATAACGACGTGGTGTTTGCCGATTCGGCCTATTGTGTAGGTATTTGAGTCTGCCGCGTCTTGCTCCTCGAGAATACCGAATTTCTCATCTAGCATTTCGGCTGCAGCTGCAGCCTCAATTGGAAGGGCACATATCCAGCCGATCTGGAAGGCATCTCGTGGAGGATGGGCCATGCCGAGGGTCGAGCGTAGTTCTGCCATAAAAATGGCTCATCGAAGATGAACTTGAGAATACCAGCAAAAATTGATGTGCATGGCAGACAAAGCCCCGCCGCCAGCAGAAGAAGTTCAGCCTGACTTAGGACCAGCATAGCGCGGCAATAGAGCTAACGCTATTAGAGAAAGCGATCAGCCTGCAGCTTGGGGAGCCGCACGTGACGATGGGGTCCATGAACGACTTAGTTGTGGAGATTGGTGCTGGTAGGAGAAATCACTATCTGGGCGGTTTTCAGGGCTAACAGAGCTCATCACGGATGGCGTCTGGCAAAATTCATATCCTGGAGTCGGCGCAAAGAGCGAGGATTGATCGGGTTGATCATTCTGAGTGGTGAATGGGCTACGGCTCATATTTTCACGGCTATCACGGGCATTGTCGTTAAAATTATTATTCATAAACAGAATCTTTAGGGCATTATCCGAAGATAGCAATGCTGGATTCCAGGCGTTCTCTTATCTTAGATCTAATCGGTGGTGACTGTGCCCTGCGAGATGCAATGAGCATGAAGCAGAGTCGCTCCACCGAAACTTAATCGACTCGACACGGTGTTAGCCTTGTTTCCATTATGATCTTCCGTGTTCCACGGGATATCACGGAGCTGATTGACCACTATTCCCGATTTGGAACAGATATCATATCGCTAGCGTTGAAGGCCCTCACAAATCTGCGCCTTTTTGCCGATGAAATATCATATTACAACCAAAGAAAATATTCCAATATTTCGGTACACGAGATTCCAAGGATGCAATGACATTGGTTACTAGGCATTGTATCGTGGGTTTTTGTGATGATGCTTTTGGCCACGGAATGATGCATGGACGCGTATCATAACGGTGCTGCAGTCAACAAGCCGAGGGCTGCTTGGTGGTTTTTGGTAGCTTATCGTTCTGTATGACCGCAATAGTATGCGTTATACAACGCCTAAGCAAACTCCACACCTAGGGAACAGTTTCCTAGTATTAAGTATGTACAGTAACCTGAATACTGTAGGTCTGCTGCCTAATACCAAAAAGATACCTGAGACGGTCATCACTATGTTGATGGGGGCAAATAATTTTTCTTACTGGTTCCTTGGCAGTGGGGCCTGGGGAAAAGACAAGTGAGTGGTAGGGTCGAAGCCGTTTTCGCTGTCGACTGTACTAAGAGGATGTTATATGTTATAAGGTTTTATGTATGGGCTTCCAGGAGACACAGCATACACAGATGGACATGTACAGTAGATCAGTGATAGTTGCCCTTTCGGCTCAGCCGCCGGGCGTTAATGAATTGTTTGTTTGTTTGTTTGTACTAAGAGGAACGTGGACCTTAAAACCCATGCAGCCACCCCCGTTGCTTTCACAGTGTTCACTTTCGGATCTTCACTAGTTGCTGGGTATGCACTACACGGAGAAAATTCATCTAAAGTGATTATGCTGAGATGTTTGAGATCACGTTGGAGCGAGAGCCTAGATTTAGTAATGGTGAAGGGTTGATTACCCATCCAGTTTGAAAGGGCTACAGATGCTTTCTTGCTGTCTCTTCTCTCGTCAGCTTAGTTCTTCTAGTAAAATACCCATCCTTGCACGGTCAACCTGCTTCGTCACAATGATACTTCGGTGTTCAAAATAGTGACTTGCTTGATATCCTGCCATTTAAAGATGGACTTTGGTCTGAAACTGTGAAAGCAAGCGGTCAAGGGCATACACGTAAGGACAGGCACTTAAAAATTGATCCCTTTACCTCTCCTGGAGGACAAAGGGCAAGCACTACGAGAAGTAGTAGGGTACATGGATGACACGATTATTCAACCACTCAATCACTAGTTCTGAAGTAATTGGGAATTTACATTCAATACCTAGGTATTGCTAGAATTCATTTGGAATGTTCTTTAATTCATATAGTCTTGTCGTAACTTAGATCATGAGATGTGGTCGCTACAGATAGAAATCTATATCCCAGCCGAGCGCTCATGATCCCCGTCATTGGCAACCTGCACTGCAGGTTGCACATGGAAATAACCCATCTGGAACAAAGCCTGCTGCCAATCGGACTTGCCAGTACCTTGAACACTGAAATAATTGGTGTCTTCCGGAAACCATCTTTCCCTCCGAGTAAAGGCCTTGTCACTTCCTTCAAGCGCGGCTCGGCTAGCACGGGTTGTTCGCGCACGAACTTCTCCTTGTCCTTGCTCCTGAGCCCACACTGCGTGAAGGTTATCACGGTATACTTTTAAACGGCAGTCAAATACCATTATGCCACGGATATATGGCGCAAGATCCTCGGTGATTGTGGAAAGGCCATGTTCGAATGAAGGTGCTAGGCGACCTGTTGATGTGTTGTGGCGGGCCCGCATTATGGGTCCAAAAACTTTCTGAAACCCAGGCTTGGTAGATGGGTAAATCTGTCGTCTTGCCGCTAACTGGCCCCAACCGTTGGAAATTCGAGTTGTGTAGACCGATTCAATATCGTCATCAGTGGGACGGAAAGTACGTGAGATCAATGCGGCAGATGTCATGCTAATATTCTCACTCAATGAGGAATATTCAGGTAATAAATCGGATTGAAGTAGAGGGTGAGCGTCGACGTAGTTTGATCGATGCGATTCGAGCATTGGAGGAGAGCTGACATCAAGAATATCCTGCAACAAAAATTAGCTTATTTCGAGATACAATTTATGCTAACAAAACTTACTTTGGCCACGTCGAAAGGACATCCAGAGCAAAGAATATCAAGGGAGCTTCTCATCTCCGAGTATTCCGCTTCATGACTTAGCAACTCAAGTTGCTCTAGCTTAGACTTGGAGGCAAATTCGTCAGAAGACAACAGCTCCGCGTGATTAAACCCACTGACATCTTCTAGCTCTTGTAAGTTGAGTCGCCACCAATGAGACGAATTTCGTAGAGCCTCAGTCTCCCGTTCCAGAGGAGATTCAGTGAGAAAGAGATCTCGATTGAACCAACCCATGTAGGATTCGTAAGTGTTAAGACTCAGCACTCGAAGGCGATCGCCATCTTTGTCAACGTTTTTCTCTGGTGGCCAGAATGGCAGTATCCAGTCAAGTCCCGCCTTTTCACTACCAACGCCAATCTGACACCAGAAATTGAGATCCATGAGCGCCCGTCGGATATCATGGCCAGCTCCATTGTAAAGCTTGCTCACGGAATCCCTCTTCAGAGCATGTCCCTCATTGGCAGCGACGAGAAGCAGATAGTCGAGGACAAGGTCTGGAGGTGGTCTCTGGTAGCGTAATATGGCGTGCAGTGACATGTCTTGGATAGGGACGAGGCTCTCATCATTGCATGTAATGATGATTGGACGGCGAGACTGACTGATAAGGGTGAAGACTCCAGTCCAAAATTGTCTGTCTTCGTCAAAGAGAATGTCAGCTTCCTCTAGAAGAATCAAAGATTGCTTTTGTTCCCGAGGACGTTTCGAGTCATTCTCAGGATTATTGGTAGGAGTGGCTCTTTCATCAGTCGTTTGTGCTGGTTTCAAAGGATTGCCTTTGAAAAAGCCGTTCAACTTGTTTTGCTTGGGTTCGTCTGTGGCGGCATTTCGTGCCTTGACAGAGGACTCGTCGCCTTCGTTAAGAAGATGAACGAGATGGTTTTGTGTCATGTCACCAACCTTCTCGAGCATGTCTCTGGCACTTCGGCGAGTACCAGGGTTGATCTCAAATACCTCAAAGTCAAGCTCTTTGGCAACCGCATATACTGAGGCGGTTTTGCCACACCCAGATGGGCCACTCAAAAGGATGGCGTTGACTAGCTGTCCCTTGTCAGCGCCATGCTGGGAGCAAAGACCCATATCTCCAGATCGCACGACAGTCCGTTGGGCGGAAACAGTCACATCGCCAGCCAACTCATCATCCGAGCCAGGGAGATTGTCCATTTCCGATGCCTCCTCTTCGCTAGAGACAATGAATCCATCAAGCTTTTCTGCTTTTTGGCGCTTCTTCTTTTTATTTTCGCGTTTTGTCTTTGACTTTTTGCTTTCTTGGGAAGTTTTTCCTGTGTCGACCGCTGTGATCTTGAGATGGCGAAGCCAATCTCGTAGCACTTGGGGCTCACGTCCAACCTGCAAAACGTCTTCGGCTGATTTTGGTGCATATTTTTGTGACCAGAGATGAGTTTCGTATTTTCCGGAGTCAAATGCGGAAAATGAGTTCAGCAAGTTGGACCGAAGTTTGGATATAGACGGTGAAACCGCCGTGGGGCGTTGGTTGGGAAGAGACCAAGACATTTGGCTGTCAATCGCCCTTTGCAGAACTTTCCCGCTCGCGTTATATCGACCTGGAAGTCGTAGGGTAGGACGATGATCGGGATTCTCGCTTAAACTCTTCTGCGCGGATTTTCGTGCCAGTGCAGTACTCACAAGAAGGGCATTTTCATCATCCTTGACTCCAATGCTTGGTAATTTGGCTTTCTTGTAATCATTTTGGCAATAATTGGGTGCGAAAATCGAGATATTTGAGAGTGGTGTGGTATATTTAATGTGAAAAAGATCTTGTGGAGGCCATAATGGATGTATAGGTTCCGGGAACTTGGGCTTCGGACGACCAAATGGTGAGCATGAGGCTGCAAAGCTCTTTTGTTCGCGCGTTGATGGGATGTTGGATTTAAGAGGCGCCTGGAGATCTGCTTTTGGGGTGGACTGTATAATGTTGCCGGTTTTTTTCTGAGGTGGTTTTTTCGAAAAGAATGGGTGTGTTGGCTTGTTGGCGTTGATATTGGGGGGCGCGGCAGACTTCGGTAATACTGCAGGCACCCTAAAAACGTGCTTCCCGCTCAAAATGTCATTGATCAACTGGCCAACATTCCTTTCTTGCTCCAAGGTGTACTTAATGACAACCAGTTTGCTTGGAGTTTTCCGTGGCCTACCACGCTTAGGGGCTTTCCTGGTCTGGTCGCTAGTTCCATGGGGGTTGGGGGGAGGCGAGCTTAGCAATCTTCCATTCGGGTTGAGCTTGAGAGTTTTCCGATTTAGATCATAGGTATTGTTCGTTGCTACCAGATCGGTTGAAGTTGTCACTTCACTGGTGGCTTGATTCCGAGTGCTCTCCCACCCGGGGGTCGGCAGGCCAATTGTACCGGAATTTAATGTAGGAACAGGCGGTCCTACTGACGCTGGTATGTCCTTCCCTAGCCATCCAGAGAGGCCAGCCTGAAGAGAGGCCTCTTGCTCTGCCATTTTTGTCTTGTCGATCTTTCTTCGCTTTCTCCGACCGGCGTTGGGATCGTCCTCCGGGCTTGGAGAACTTGGATCTTGTCGTTCCTTCGAAGAATTCGATAGGTTGGAAGAGGTTGGCAGCTTGCCCTGTCGCTCTCCTTCGGGCTGCTGACTTGGAACTGAAGCCAGAGTGAGTTGGTCGGAGCTCATTTCAACTGGATTGCTTGAGACATTGGGCACGATAGGTTTCTCTGGTACTGTAAACTCTACTGTCATGTTAGCTAATCATCTAGTGAGACCATTCAGGACAACATACCTTGCTGGAAGAACGGGTGGATTCCCTGCCGCTCGCCTTGTCCCATGGCTAACGGTAGATTGGATACTGCCGTATCCATGTGAGAGAATCAGTTGTGCATTGAAGGGGAAGACAAAGAGCGAGGTTTATATAAGTGAACACAATCAGTGCCAACGATACTCAGCCCTCCGAGGCCAATAAAGGGGACATCAAACCTCGATAGTCTTTATCATAGGTTATCAAGGCACTTTAACACGCTCGACGCGAAAGGCGCGTCGACGGAGATTATGTCAGCCGTACTATTTCACTTTTGCACTAGTCTAGATTTAGGCTAGACATGTGGGCCCGGTCCGTAGTTAACCCGAAAATTTTTCAGATTTCCTCGTTGGGGTAGACGGATGCTCTCACTGAACAGGACCTGAAGGGACAGGAAACTAAGCCGTTCTTGCAATTGTCGAGGTTTTCTTTCGCCATGGACTTGCAGTCTCCATCTGTGCTGGCTCAATTGCCCCGCCCTCTCCATGCCTCTTCGGGCAAAACTCGCATTGGAGATGTCTACAGCCTCGCTGATGCCAAAAAGCGCAAACGCTATGAAGTTGCTGTTGCGGTCGACGGTGAAGCCATCAACATCTATAATGTATAGTTCTCTGCTTTTGTTGCGCCCCTGAGATACATGGGCTAATACCTTGCCTCCTTTAGGTCCAAACCCCCAAGCTCGTGACCTCGTACGCTGTTCCGCCGCAGTCGACATTCTCTTGCCGCCCATGCTCTGTTCGTCGGAAAATTTCGCAAAAGTCGGTAGTAAAAAGACAGACATACGCTGCCGCGATTAAGCCAGAGCATCAGATCAAGTGCTTTGTGGAAGAAATTAGCAACGGATCAAGTGCGCCAGCAATCTCTTCTTCAACAGCCACCATCACCGATTCCCGCAGTCCAACAACTTTCGTCGGTATCGTTCCTATCAGTGGAGATGATGAGAGCGAATTCGACCCTTTCGATGTTCTAGCAGTTCATGAAGATGGCCGTGTGCGCAGATTGTCATCCGATTTGAAGACCCAGCGTTGGAGTATCCAGCACAGTGAAATTACCAAAATATCTTCCACCCATGTTGTTCACACTTGCTTCTTGATCGATCTTGAAGATGCGAGGAAGTCACTGTTCAAGAGACGTCAGGACTTGGCGGCACTCGCCCTGGGAGACCAAGCCGCAGATGGAACAAATGAGCCTTCCATCCTGCTCGTTGTCTCGCACCCCAAGAATGCTGAACGGTTTGCGCTGCAGGATGTGAATGTTCAGATGTTCTCAGTACCTGCTAAGTCAGCATCCCAAGAGGAAAGCCAACGTCTTCGTCACCTCCAAAACATACAGGTACCCGGTCCGAGCGGAATCGACAAAGTCAACAGCAATGGCCTGCAGTGGAACTTCCACGCAGGATCAGCAGGCCTACACCTCTCCTTTGACAAGGGTTTCATCAACACTGACTTGTCGCAATACGCTCCGTCGGTGACCTCACAATTCATTCTTGACGATGAGAAGTTCTCTTCGGTGATGCGCGTTTCTCCCCAATGTGTCATCGGTGCCAGCGATTCCTTGGTCGCACTTTACGATACTCAATACCAATCTGTGCAGCGAAGCATTGCTGCTGGGGAGGTTTTGTCTGGAACAGGTCCCAATGCACCCATCGCCTTCATCAGCTATTTCGCGAAGCTTGGGATTGCAGTGGCCTCGAAAGGAAACACCCTTATCGGTTTCGACTTGACTTCTCTTCACAGCCACTCCGGACCTTCACTCAAGCGATCCCGCGATGGCCTTCTCATTGATGCCATCGGACGCGGCATTGGTGCATCTGCTGCGCAGTGGGATCTGGCGTCCAAGAAACACCGGTCTGAGAACATGACTTCGCTTCACCTTACTTCACCCGAGCAGGCTGAGAAATGGAATCAGTTGACAAAAACAGTGAATGAAGCAACTACATCCAAAAACTCCAATCTCTTCGATAAAGCCGTCCAGGCTTACTTCAGCTCTCCTGATACGCCAACGACCCTACCTTCCCGGGGCCATTACGTTAACCCCGAATCAACTCTTTTCCTGTTGTCTAAGATCTTCACAGTTGAAAACTCAGTGTCTGAAGGCGATGTTACATCATCTTCGTCATCCCAGCTGCGTATTGTGCTTTGGCCCCGTATCACTTGTGCCTGGTTGATTTCCTTGGGTCATCTATCTGCCGATAATGTCGAGATTGCACTTCGACGTTCCTTGAAGCCCCGCATCCTGCAGCCGCTGTCCACTGGATCGTTTGTCCAGGCTCTCATCGATTCCGATCCGTCATTGAAGAATGTCAACCATGTCATTAGTGGTCCATCTGCCCTTTCTACCGAAGAATTGGCTCACGCATTGAAGTACTTTTTGATTGAGGCGCGTCAACGCTCTGGTGCACTGGAGGAGACTACCCGAGCTATCACCAACGGCGATGTTGCCACACCCACGCAGGAGCTTACACGCCAGTTGGGAGACGAAACAGCCACTGTCAAGGCAGTCTTCAAGGGGTTGAATACTACCCTCCAAAAGATTCACGCCCACCCTCTTTCATCAGTCACAAAAGCCCTTCGCTCTAACTTGTCGCGGCAAGAACTTATCTCGATGATTCACCACCTTCGTCTTTCTCTCGCCACGGGTGGTTACATGTCTCGGTTCTCCGAGAACCCTCCTACTCCCATCACTCTTGACCAGATCACACCCTCTCTTTCCCTTCAAACCATCAGTGATATGCTCACATCCTCGGTTGATGCTGTCGGTCCCTCCGGCTGGATTTCTGCTCTTCCCTCTGTCAACGACCTTGACGATGAAACAGACTCAAACATTGCTTCCGCCACCCGTGAGATGGAACTCATCTCCGATATGCGATCTGAGATCTCTGCTACCCTGGGTGGTGTGGAAGAAGCAACCTACTTGAAGGGTATCCTTCGCGAATACCTGCGATTCGCCGACCAAGCAGTAACCCCGAAATCTGCTGGTGGAAATGCTATTGCGAAGATTGAGAACGAACCTACCCCTGGCCCGTCTCATCTTGTCCGTCATGAAAAGATCAACGGCGCTGACCTCCTGGTGTTCGCTCGTCCAGGCGAAGGAGAGGATGGTTATGATGGTGATGCTAGTGGAAAGATGCTGCCGCTATCTATGAAGCCCGCCTCAACCGATGTGTCTCGGACCAAGATCAAGAAGTCCACAGGTGAAAGCAAGGCCCGCAGTAATCGTGAGATTGGTTACATGCGTCGCAAGGAAGTCGGCAAGTACTCCTTCGAGAGGCTTCTGGTTTAATAAGTGATTTGCGGTGGACATAGCCGTGAACTTTGCCTCTCATGTTTCATAATGTATCAACCATTACGCATTAAGTATAAAAGGAGTTCAAAATCGAGGTCAATAATTTTCTTTCACTTCCTGGCAATTTTACATATTTCTACGAGGCTTTCTGGTGCAAGCAAGGTTGTGAGAAATCTACAAATGACCTTGATATCGTCCATGAGAACCAGCTCAGAACTATTGTATACATCTGATCCAAATTTCTGCTAGGTTTCAACTTTGAAGTCGAGCCTTTTAGTACCATGGGATCCTATTGAAATTCCGACTTCAAAGGGTTACAACATTAAGAGCTGATTCAGGGCTACTTGAAGCATCACACTCAAGACAGTTCATGCTCTTTCTAGTTTAAATTATCAAGAAGTGTGAGATCAAAGAGTAGGGATATTTACTATTTACCTTTGGCTGCCATAAGAAGAGCGTCACAGAAGATCTGATTTGTTTTGGTCCGGTAATACTCCAACTCTTCAGCTTAGTTACAGTGCTTCCCGAAACTGGTGTCACCACTTACACTTTTCGATTGTTTCTCAAACCCTCGTCTTCAAGACAGAATAGTATATGTTGAGAGTGATTCCAGAACATCCCTGTCAGTGGGCCCTGTATTGTTTTTTGCGGAGTAATCTTAACGAGGAGCGTAAATTGTAATTTGATACAACCGACAAGATGCCCCAATTTGGAAGGCGCCCCTCGGTGCGGGCAGATCTCAAAATCAAAATCAACCATGAGTGGTCATACTAAGATGGCGCTCAAGCATGAATGTATATACAACATGTCCACGCGTCTTGTTACACCATATGGTACATATCTACCAATCAACTCGTGCCGTGGCAGCGATGCGTTGTCCTCGAGAGATAGAACTACTACTTTGAGCGGGGTAGCCTTTCTCCCAGGAATTTGTTCGTAAGCCCATCCAAGCCCATATTTCGATCATATTTAGAGTTCGCAGCGCAAGTTTTTGACAACACTAACAATCTAAAATTCTACAATCGGCACCCAGATCCAAAATGCCACGCAAGGGACGCAAAGCTGCGAAATTGTGGTCGCTCCACCCAAAGCTTCATGAAGACGTAGCACGGTTATTGAATGAAGAAGGGCTTCAAATAGACTTCTTTGACGCCGATGATGAGCAAACCAACATTAGGGAGAGGGACACAAACGTTATGGGTCGATTTATATGCCAAAACAACGGATGTTACTCCAGCGGTTGGTCGAGCAAAAAAGTCGCGATTACAATTCGCATGTACTCCGAACAGCGATATAATGCACGAGTGTATCACCAGCGGTGCAGAAATTGCAGAGCAGTTGGTAGGCTAGTCCTGGATATCGGGTGCTACGCGGAAAGAGTGACATACTGGCTCAAAAAATGGAATGGAGTTGAGGTACAGCGGCCCAGTATCTCTGGCCAGAGCAGAGGACCGCACGATAGTGAATTGTGCGAAGGGTGTAAAGTTGGTCATTGTCCCAACTCAAATGAAGACTCGGATTTAGCATTGGTGCTGGCGAGGTAAGTTTGGTACCAAGAGTTCTTATACAGTAACCAATAAGTATAGATTGTCTATCTGAGCGCTGCGCTACAAGGCATCCCATTCTTGGTATGCAGGCTATCCTCGATCTGGAAATCCTTGGGCCAACTATCCAGTCCGAGTGGGCGCAGCTTTGAGATTGACACACCAGGGTCGAAACTGCAAAAAAATTGATCACCAACCTGGTGTTACTCCTTGATGCCTGGTTCTGTGGTGTATGCCGCTCAGCAAGAAATTGGGCTAACATATTTACGACAATGTTTTTTTTTCTCTTTTCTTTTTCCTTCGAGTCATCTTCTGATCATGTATGGAGTAGTAAGATGCGGCAAGCGCTTTCATTTTCTCTCTCACCGATAGTTCAAATTGCCGCTTAACCCTTTGCCCAGACACACTTGACTTCGTCCAATGTCGCAATCTTATCGTATCTTGCTCGAGCGTCTGGTTGTAGTTACTTGAAAACAGAATTTTTCCAACGGATGCCTACTAAGACTGTAGGGTGTCTCAGTGCTCTTTCGGATAGAACAGAGCCTTGTCGGTGCAGTTTGACGTGCTTTGGTCGAGGATGACAAATGGCTCGCTATCAGCAGTAAGCGATGTATTGCTTCGGGGAATGGTTCTTGATTTTCAAGATATTATATCCTATATTCATCTAAGCAAAATCTTGGGATACTTGCTGTACACCATCGTAATAACATGCCCGACCAAGTACCGTGATCGCCACCCTAAGATACCATTGCTCCCATGGATGATTCTCTTGTCGGTGGAAACCATAAAAGCACGACATCACCCATGGAACGATTGTCAAAAGTGCTGAAATGAGGTCTCCTAAATTCCTCAAGAATGAAAGTTTGGTTGCGGCGTAATCTCGATCTCCGTGGAACATACTCCCACTTGATCTCAAATTCTAATTATTGCTTGCTTCAGAGTTCCTAACGCGAATTTGTTCACCGATGCTTATCTACAGTGACGAAGCCTCGACTCTTGTTTGGCTTTATTAGTTATTCTCAGATAAGCCATTATTCCGTGGTTAAATCCTTGCCTGAAGCACAAGCACTGGTTTAAGAACGACTTTTCTCGGATTTAAACAACCTCCAACTGAATATACGCACAAGCAACTTCATCGCTACCACTATTCCCAACAAGCTTCCATCTCGTGTTGGTTTCTCCATCAGGAAGTCTGTTGTCAACCTCATAGGTGTACTTCATACTCCATTCGCTGGATGCCTGCACGGGACATTCAATGCTAGTCCCACAAACAGCTTCATCCAGAATTGGAACCCATTGACCTAACAGGACGTCCATACTGAGGTTGACTTGGTCAACTTCTTGATTGCTCGTTCCCGTCATGACAATGTCCACTGATGTTCCCTTAGTGAAGGTACAAGGTTCTTTATCACAGGGCGTGATGTTGATAGATTTCAACTGATTTGCTTCATCTATAACGACATAGAGTTAGTGTGTGATATTTCTCTTCTCATGTACTGCATTTCAGAGCCACTTACGACAAGGAGAATATGATTTATCCGTGAGCTGGATTGCTTGCGACAGGCTCACAAGTACTGCCGCAACGAGTGAATAAGTGGCTTTCATCTTGAGGGTTGGTTGGAAGTAAATCACCAATGGTGGGATTGATCACGATGATTATAATCCTTCAGAGGTCCTGCGGGGTCGCGCTCTTTTTAAATCATTACGGCCTTCCATCACAGTAATTTTAGCAACGTAATTAACATCCTATAGGCGTGTAGATCTTTCCTAATTTTTAGATTTAAATTAGCGCGATGATTTCAAGGGGCCATAAGGATTTGCATAGCTTAGCTAGTTAGCGCATTAGACCCTAGGTAATATGCGAGACGTGTAAACAAAGACCTCTAGTACGATTGGATAGAGGAAAATCTTGTAGAAATTTGATTGGCTGTCGGAGAACCTCGGTGACCACTTGAGTCCGATGATCGACATCGCCGCAAACCAATAATCTCGTGATTGGGTTCACTAGATCCCTACTCTTGGCAAATGACCTCTTAGTTGCAGGAGTTCAAATCTCCCTTCAATATTATAAAATACCATTTATAGTGAGATACTGAGATTTTCCGAAGCTAGTTTGATTTCGTTATGTGGGCCCTTATTTTGGAGCAGGCGGCAATGACGGAAGATCTGCATGATGAGCAAGCAGACATGTCTATGCAGATCATTAGAAAGAAAGGTAGGCGACATGATTACTAGCACTGATGCTGCGGACTAACTAGTTAACGTTAGTTATTTAGTTACTGACTCGACGCTGACTAAATCAGAGGAGCATTTTCCAATCTCCATGAATCAACATTTGACTTATCTACCAGAGCATACATAGTCTCGAATAGTCTCGAATAAGCGTCGATCTCAGAAGCTCTGAAATCTTGCAGGTTAATGCGTGATTAGCGTCATAACAAACAGAGATCACCCGTATTCTTCAGTATGTCAGCTGATGTAATTACACCTTGCTTCCAAGGCTTGTAGAGGTGGCGGTGTACCGGTCGAGCATATAATTAGATACATTGCTGTGTTTTACATTGTTACTTCATCCCCTCTACCTCTTTCAAATTGTTTCCCTCTTGAGAAGACGAACTTCCTCACCACACTCGGCTGCGTTGCGATTTGCCTTTAGTCGACATTGTCAAATTTCGCCGCGGAACAGACGTGTGGAACTGTCAAGTGGTTCAAGCCAGAGAAGGGAATTGGCTTTATTACGCCGGAGAACTACGGGCATGAAATTTTTGTCCACTATTCGGCACTCATGGTATGACCCGGTGCAAGACAAGAATTCCATTGTCCACACGCTAAACTTTGTTACACTGTAAAACGGTGGCTTCGGTTCGCTTCATGAGGGCGAACATGTCTGCTATCACGTTTTTCAAGGCCCTAAGGGGCCAAGTGCTCAGGACATTTACGTGGCACCTCAGGAGGAATAGAAAATCGAGGAGATTGAGCAATTCAACATATACACTTTCACTTGAGTCACGTCAGTGAAGAGCATCGAACCGCTGGCGTATCATATCAGTTCTTTTCTCCCGCATACCACAGGCGCAGTAATGATTTACTAGAAGCTTTCCGCTGCACTTTCGTGCGGCGCCTACTTCAAAATGTTAGGTGTTAGACCACACCTCCTACAGTCTCCTACTCAGTCTCCTGCTTTGTCTCCTACTCGGTGTCCTACTCGGTATTCTATCCACTATTCTACCTTCTTTCATCGGTACTAATCAAATGGTCAAAGGGCTCTCCAAATACATAAATATTGGAATAGAAAAGAAAGAAGAGAAAAGAGAAGTGAAGAAAAACGAAGTGAAAGAAGCAGAAGAGAGCAAAAGTCTGTTGGAGATTCGAACGTATGTCCAAAAAGTCTACAGTGTACTACCTAAGTAATAGAGGAGAAGACAGTAAAGTGAACCAAACATCGACTCTTAGCCGGAATTATTGTGCTCGGGTCCTCCATTATCCCGCTTTCTTTTTCGAAACCATTCCAGTGATATATTCAACCTTCAAAGTTCTTTTACTACTGCTATCAAGAAATATTGTATATTTCTATATAAGGCATATATATTGAGAACGAGATAAATAAAGCCTGTCTATCTAGACTACGCAGTCCACCCGGTATTTATGGACATGTTTATGTGCTCATTCATAACAAAGATGGATTGTGGTCCCTTTATGGAGAGTCGCCTCTACTTTATTCCTCTTGTAAGATATTCACTATGAATTGGCTCACATCTTATCGAACCTCGCTGCAAACTTAGTTAGCGCGGTCGTCTCCAAGGTTGTTCTGCACATTTGGCGTATCATAGATCTTTTCCAGAAGCGGTTCCAATTTCTCGATAGTTTCCCAAAGAGGGACACCGCAATTCATAAACGCAGAATTTCTGCCAAGTGGGTAGCTAGCGGCTAATGTCCACCTTTAGCTTCTTCTTTCGTTGTACAGCTGCGCCGATTTTTGAATAGCCTGCTACATCATTCCACTCTTCCGGGTCCCGAGGAAGCTCAGCATTGCTAAAAATCCAATCGTCTTCATGGTTTGACAGGTAACATCTGGTTTTCAAGGCCCTGTAGACGATTGGAGGCCCCGTCATGTTGCCCAGGCGCAATGCTGGTCGGCACCGAACTGCACAGGGCCGAGGAACAATCGGTCAGCATGTCACTCAGATTTCGATTTCGAAACAATACGGCCATGATATGTACCTGTATTGGCGAGTGACTGATATATCCAAACGCCTTTCTTGGATTCGATGATAAGGGAACGAGAGGACATGTGCTAGCATAGCTTTGTCATTCTCGAAATTCCACGCCGCAGGGATGTACTTGAAGACACGCTGGCGTTTATCCGTACTTTTGAATTTTGTTCATTGACATGCATTTGGTACTTGGCGCCCAGGTACAGTCGGTGTGTGGTTTCGTTATGTAGGAGCCGGCTGCATCCTAGGATATCGAGGATACTACCAGTTTGGGCCTATGCGTTGATAGCGACACCGATGTCTTGGAACAGGGAGTCCCAAGTCATGTAGCGAGTTTCGACTGGAAACTTCGCAAAGTGACCAAGTTTGAATAAGGACCGCTTGTTGTCACGGTTCACTGGTGGGTTTACCTCCATGAGCTCGAGGTGACCTCGTGCATTCTCTAGAAGCTCGCCGCCATGATCGTCTCTTGCATCTTGCAGTGGCTTTCTGTCGACATTACTTTGTGCAATTTCTTTTCCTTCGGTGCGTCTCTTCCCCTGAAGCAGGAAGCTTGGCGTCTTGGTTCCATGGCTTTCTGGGGATGTTGATTTATGCATTCTCTGTTTCCATTCGGATGTCTCTTTCCCCAAAGCAGGGAATCTTCGCGTCTGGATTCCAAGGTTCCTGATTCTAGGTGGTCACATTATCAGGTCGTGAAATTCAAGGCGGTATTGCGAAGGTAGAGAGGAGGTAGAGTGTAGAGGGAAAGACAGGGAAGATATAAAGCTCTCTAGATGAATTTCATCTTACGTATCCGGCTCATTCATTGGGCATTTGAGTTAGACAGGTACCACTTGAGTATCCTTGGAAGTAAAAGGACATGAGAAGTGATGTCTGATATCAGAGAGGGAAGCGAGTGAATATCAAAGCTTCAAGGGCTCAACATTGAAGTGTTGGAACCTCGAACATACTCAGGCGCAAAGTAGGGAAATAGAGAGAAGTTATCATAAATAATTCAGATATTCAATATAAAAATAACTATGAGTTGACGTGTTGACCATGTGAGGGCCTTAGCTGATGTCAACAAAACTTCCGTTAGTATACAATATCCCTTTGAAAAATTGTCTCTTCTTTTACTCACTATGCTTTCTCTGACATTGAGCGAATCACCCACCAAAAGTTGGATATAATGCCAGATTGATTTATCCATTAGTTAGTGAGTTAGTGAATCTGTCTAGTATTGAATGAGTCATCTGGTACTATATTACACATGTGTGGAAATTGTCTGGTTCCACAATTGTGTCGATTATATATATCTTGCCTAAGCCACCGCCCACCACCGGTTGATTAGTCCACTTGAACCTTGGGACCGATACCAAGCTTGATCTGTATTAACATCTACATAAAAAATATCTAGCCTGATATTTATAGGTATGAACTGATTCACATAGATCCACATATCTCAGGGAATATCGGTCAAGGGAATTGGGGCTCGAAGTGGGACCTGAACAACAAACAGATTGGGCGACAAGGCTTGGACCAATCAGACCACTTCTACTTGGATCCTCGATCAAACCATTGGCTGGGGGAATTCGTGAGAGTGATCGGATTGGGGTTAGATATCAATAAAGGGGCGGGTGTACTCTTCGAACAATATCATAGATCATATAGAAAGAATTGCATGGGTAGCGCGTTGTCAAAATCGCTAAATAAACAAGGAGCTTGAGTGGAGTCTGACATCCAAGGCTTAGACCAACCCGCTCCGCAAATCCCCAAACAGTTCGTCTCGGAGCTGAAAGTTGTTTTGACTGATTTCTTGTTTAATGGTCCTCGGGGAAATGATTCCTAGTTCCCTTGTTTACATTGGAGCGCGAACCGCCGGGACGCGCCTTTCAAATCATAACAATGAGCAATCAACCATGGCTAGACAGTCTGTCAGACGACTGGCCATCGGTGCCTGCCACTCCCACTACTCCCGGTCCATCGAAACCGTCGAATCTAATATCATCCCTGCACAATAGTGTGCAGAATTCCCCCAGTCGCATTCCGGTTCCTGCACGCCGATCTGTGGAATCCCCTGCCGACGACGACAAGAAAAAGGTTACCCGACCATGTCATTTCATTAGAAGAGAACCTCCGACCCCGAAGACCCCGCGAACCCCCAAAACGCCCTCCAAATTGCGATCGCCCACTCCATCCAAGACAAGAACGAGGACCCCCAAGAGCCCCAAGGCCACTCCGAAATCTACGTCCAAGGCTAGCGCGAAGCCTACCCCAGGTGCGGCTGGCAAAGCGCCTCCCATGGATACACGCTCCCCGCTACGGTCGGTGTCCAACGTCTCCAAACAGTCCGACTACGACATTGCCGACACCGTTCAGATCAAGCCAAAGAAGGGTGTTGATGCAGGGGGAGCTACACCCGAATGGCGAAGGAGACTGGTGCGTGGGGAGATCCCGGTGGGAGATCAACGCGATCTGTTTGCGCCGATTGGTCTTGAGAGTGTATTCAAGCCCCCGAGCCCAGGTTCAGGACCTGGTCAAACAGATTCCATCCCGTTCACCCGACAGGACGACCAGCTGTGGGACTTCACCGACAATACCTCCCGAAGGGAAAGCATCACGAACCAGGGGGAGGACTATGAACGCGTCGATGAAGGTGAATACTCGGGTACCGGCATAGAGTCACCATTTGGAACGGTCAATCATCGGGCACCTTGGGCCGACAAGCGACCACATAGTTATGCAGACCAGTCAGGCTTGTCACATGGAGGGACTGAAACTAGGACCGCTAGTGGCCTAGAAGACCTTCGCAATGAGGGGATCACACCAATCACTTTTACGCGAAACAATACACTGGACGGGAACTCCACGACAGAGGTGATCCAATCGGCATTAAAGCAAGTCACTAATAAGCTCGAGAGCTTGTCTATTGATAACGGCCGCCCAGATTCACCAGCTAGTGATAGCTTCCTATTTTATAACCACAGTGAACCACGGGCGGAAGGTTCGCCACACGAGGATAGCTTATTGGATGTGACGAGTCACTCCTTGCCGCAGGACTTGTCGATGGGAACATTGGACTTTAGTCGCCGCAAAGTTCACCGTCCTTTCCACCATCAATTCTCTCCCTCGCCCTTTCCCTCCCATCACTTATCCCCCGCGACCCTCGCCAACGCCAAAACTCGCAGCTCTCCTCTCTTCAATCGCTCCCAGAATAACGGTTCTCCTACACTGCCTCGTCCCTCATCCTCTCACGTCCGTCCCTCAACATCGGATGATACCATATCAAAACAAGGAACAATGCCCTCTTCGGGGAGCCCTTTGAAGTTGTTTGGTGAGCATGACACGTTTACAAATAACAGACTCCTTCGGCGCATGAGTCAATTTGAGGAAACATTCGAGGACGGTTCGGGGTCTGAGAACGAGGAGCCGCCATCACCATCAGAGGAGGCACGACGAAAGGGAGAAAGCCGCAGCTTGCTCAACGTTCGACACGAGCCTTTGCGCGAAATTTCTCCCCGGCGTAATGAGCGCAGTCCGTCTCGAAACATTATAAACCCTCGTCTCTCTCGATTCGGGGACGGTGAACTGGATAAGTTTGACTTCTCAGACACGAGCCCGTACGAGCCTAACTTCACCTATGGTGATGTGCAAAATCTTGGGTCTCGTCCTGTCTCCAGGAGAATATCATCGAATCGACAGCATTACCTTCACCGGGGCTCACAAGCAGGTTCTTTGCAATATGCCAGATCAGCAAGCTCTAGCTTTACGCGGAAACCATCCGCCTGGACACGCCAGAGCTACTTTGACCATTTACGCGATGCACCATCATCTTCACGCGCAAACAAAGAAAACGTGGCGCCGACTGAAACTAAGAGAGTTCCCAAGGCAGCGGCCATTGATCCAATCCCAAAGCGCCGACGAACAATATTGCGCGACGACAGTGCCGAACCGGATCGGCCTCACCCTAATGGTGATCCAGCACAGTTTGGCGAAAGCATGTCGCTTCTGCAAAGAAGCTTGATGCAACACGGCTTGCAGCTCGAAAATGGGGAGTACCTCGCTCCCCCCGGCCTCTCGCAGTCCATGCAACGGCCTAGGACCCCAACTCCTAGTCAAATCCGGTCTATGCACGAATCGAAGATAGTACTGCCGAGCAGGGAGTACTCAGAGTCGAACTTTGATAACCTTGACTACTCGGATTCCTTCTCCATTGAAGGTGACATTCCACTTGTCAAGATCACCGGAGCGAGTGACACATCGCGCAAGGGGTCTATCACAACTCAAGACTACTTGAACGAGGCGACGAAAATTATGGATTTGATCCGAGCTAAAGGTCGGCCAGTCCCTGGGCTGACGAGTGTACAGGAATCTGACGGGGACAGTGAAGATGGGGACAGCTACGATGATGAATCTACCCGGGAAGCATTTTCTCGGCCCCCAAGCCGCGATGGCACAAATACAGACTTCCGCAAGACACGAGAGCCGAAGGAGTTGAATGCTCAAGTCCTCAATTACTTAAAACAATACCAAGAAAGAGATGATGGAGACTTCGGGACCACTGGATCGGTCATGTCTTTCAACCAGGAAGGAGAGCTCAGGCCAGACAGTGGCTTCCGACGAGTGGTTTCAGGTACAAGGAAACGCAAGACGAGCAGCACTTTTGATGATGTCGCAGACACTATCGCTCAAGACCTGATGACAATTAATACCCAAATGTCTGGCTTCAGTGTCCACTCCGTGCGCACAGGATCCTCACAGAATTCTCAAGCGAAAGGCGTGTTGTCATCGGATTTGGTTGCCCATTTGATCCCAGAGCAGGTTAATGGTTTTACATATGACAAATCCAAAAACTTGTGGATCAAAGATGGTGCAGAAAATCTACCTCGACCAGTGTCTCATGATGAAGACAACGAAAACAACGACCCGTTCCAGGATATCCCTGACTTGAGTGTGGATGAATTGCAAGAAATGATGCGCGTTAATGGCCTTGATTCTCCATCTAAGCGTTTGCCAGGGAATATATCTGACAAAAAGGTCTCCCATTCTCTCACCGGAGGTGCCTCACCAAAGAAGGGTGATGTTAGACCACACACAAGAGATGGAAATCCTTCCGTGATCACAAGTTCTGTTAAGTCCAGAGCTACCCGCTTTACGTCAAGTGTTCCCAATTCAGGAACCCGAGCAACATCATGGGGCACAGATGAAATACAGGCGGGAGACGACGCGAGCAAAAACGCCAAGAAGCCCGATGAAATAGAGCCCCAGGCGCGAAACAAGCAGACTCGGGTTCCAACAATATCCTTTTCATCGCCTGTCGTTTCGCATGTCGCATATACAGACAATGAAGAGGCTTCCAATCTCGAAGCTGAACCGCGAGATCCAGCACTTGCTGACGAGGGAAAGAATAATGACCCCTCACGTTCTGGTCATCTACCTGCTCGCCGCGAAACCTCTGTGGCATTCATTCGGCGTCCCGTGTCACGGATTGAGGAACGGAATGAAGAAGAAGTTGAAGATCTTAGCATTGTTCACAGAAATGGCTCACTTGATGTTCAACAGACACCGGGTGGCAATGCTGTTGAAAACTCACTGGTCCCTATGCACACCGGGGGCCACGAGACAACTTACAGCTTCCAAATGAGTCCTCTGGCTGAATTCTCTGTCAACCAACCTGATCACCATATGAACCCGGAAATGAGTTATGTGGCGAATCGCACGCATCCGACATCCCTGAGACATGTCCATGGCACATTTGCCCTTGCCACAGAAAACTTGATCAAGCACATCACCGACGCGGAGCCGTATGAACCATACTGGGAACATGTACGTCGCTTGATACTGCGTCAAAAAGGGCTGATTACCTTGCACAAGCTAAGTGATTTCTGCCCTCGTCTCGAGGATCTCGATGTCTCCGACAACGATATTGGGCAGTTGAGTGGTGTCCCGGCTACACTTCGGACCCTCAAAATCCCCAGAAACTCCCTTTCTAACCTCACGCCATGGGGCCACCTGACCAATCTGCAATATCTGGACGTTTCTGGAAATAACATTGAGACCCTGGACGGTTTCTCGAGTCTAATACACCTTCGAGAATTGAAAGCGAACGACAATCAAATTCGGAATATTGATGGCATTCTTGACTTGAACGGTCTGTTAAGTCTGAAGCTAAGCAACAATTCGTTGACAACAGTTGACTTCGAAAGCACTGAACTGTGAGCTCCTTTGACTACGTTTTATATTGTTGGATACTGATATTAACAGGACTCGCCTTCGCGATCTTGATTTAAGTCATAATTGCTTGACATCTGTCCGCAACATTGACTGGCTTCCGTCGCTGGCCACCCTTGATCTCAGCGCCAACCAGATGACTGAATTTGAAGTGTCGGCCTCGCTTATAAGCCTGCGGGCATTGAGAATTTCAGCCAATCGTCTGAGCGCCTTGGACATGAAAAACATATCCTCCTTGAGCCTCTTATATGTCGATCAAAATGGGCTGTCGACCATTACTGGACTAGAGAATTGCCATAATCTGGAGGTACTTTCTGTCCGTGAACAGTCACAAATGGGAGATGGTGGATCGAGTCTCACCTTGGACCTCGATCTCGGCTCCGCCAAGGACATCCGAAAAGTGTTTTTGTCATCGAACAAGCTTGCTTCTCGATGCCTATCCCCGTCAGCCCCCCTACTCCGGCTCCAACTACTGGACATCGCTGCATGCACTTTACCTGCTCTTCCAGGAGCATTTTCATCCAGCTTCCCGAACCTCAAAGTATTAAATATGAATTTCAACTCTTTGACCGAACTGGAGCCACTGGTGGGTATGAACTGCCTTGCAAGGTTGACGATGGTTGGGAACCGACTTGCGAGAATGCGCCGTATTTGTCAGATCCTGAGCCGACTCGGAAGAACATCACGGGGGAATCCGTGCTCCCTTCGCAAGCTTGACATTCGTGGCAATCCTCTGACGGTCGGTTTCTACCCTCCAGCTGTAATTGGAAATGGAACCAATGCCGACCGCAAGAGGTTGAAGGATCAAGAGAAGGCTGTGGCGCATCAGCAGGAGAACCGACGGGATCTTTCTGATGCTTTGGCGGATCTTGACCACAATGACCATATCACCCAGCCCGTTACCTGGGATGACAGCGCCAAATCTGATCGAGATATTGATATCAACGATCCCTTAACTCTCCCCCCGGCAGATCCCAAAGCGGACGAAAGATATCTCCTGCACCTGGATCGTGCCACTCGCCTACGCCGACGGGTTCTCGAACTTTTACTTTATGCCGGGACCAGCGGCTCCCTTCAAACAATGGATGGGCTGGATCTCCGTCCAGTCCTTGGTGATGACTCAACAGATATGGGTCAAGCTTGGATCAAGCTAGAGGAATTAGGTGTTCTTCGAAGAAAGGCGATTACTGAAAAGGCGTCAAATTAATGGCGTTGCATATTTTGTTTGACATTTTTGTGAATAGCGTGCATGGAGTTTCGTGTATTCAAGACTCAATTGAGTAGGATCCGGTCATGGTATTGGGTGTCCAGCATTTGCATGTTCGCATTCCTGGAGTTAGAAGCTTTGGTATCCTTGCGACAGAGCTTTATCATTTCATTTGAATGGAAGATATTTACCATTGTCTTTATTTGGTAGTCTTGAACAAATACTCCGTTCTTAGAAAATATAAAATAATACTACCTGAATCTAATATTCAACAATAGTGGTAGTCTTTGCTGTCTTCCGGTCAGCATCTGGAACTTGCCCTTGTTCATGATCACCAGCTGACGGTCCTGGAAGGCCATCTTGAACAACTACCCCCTGGGTTTCCAAAGAGTCATAGAACGCCGCACGCTTTGGAAGAAGATATCTAACATCAATGAAGCGCAGTAAACTTGTCATCACAATCACAAGGACCAGTAGCGCAAGAGCCGACTGCCAGCCATACTTGTAATATGGTGCTTGTGACGCAGGCCAAGCCAGAACCTGGGACCAAGCCGATATGGCATAGTACCCTGCAACTGAGACGCCAACAATCAGTGTACGGGCCTCAGGATCCTGTGGAATGAGATCAGATAACCAGGCAAAGATAAGCGGTGCCGTCCCGAGACAGATAAAGGATATAAAGTAAGATGCGTAAGCAGCAGAAAGTGGAACAGCATCAGGGTGGGAAGTCCAGATGCTCATTATGATGCAAGGAATGATACCAATAACACCCTGAGCAACAATCAGAGTCCATCGCGAGCGCAGGAAATCCGAAAGCAGAGCCCAAATCCAGACGAAAACCACATTGATGGCTGATCCCCCGATTGGGATGGCGTTTACTTGGGCAACAGTCCACCTGGCGCTGCCGTCTGGGTTTTTGAGGGATTTCAGAAATAGTGAGAAGTACACATATCCGTATGTTCCCAAGACAGTTGCGATGTAAAGGACTGCGATGAAATAAATCACCCAGCCCGAGAAGGCGCGCTTGGCACCCGCCCAGCTCATCTTCTTTGGTTCGGCACGACCGTGTCGAACTAATCGCTCCATTGATAGCTCGCCGTGGACCCTTCTGAACCAAAATGCTCGGGGATTAGGCTTGTTGGGAAGATCTGGGATCATGAAAAATCCGGCGAAGCCCCATACGACTGTTATGATGGAATTTATCACAAACAACCAGCGCCAGCCGGCCAGTCCACCGCGGCCATCTAGAGTGTCCGTGATTGCTGCTTGTAAAGCGCCCGACATCATCTGTCCGACTGCTTGACAGGAGTGATAGAAGCCCATGCGCTTGGCAAGCTCTGTTGGAGTATACCAGTACACTATGATATTGTTAGCTTCTTATACAGGACTGTGTTTGATATAAAACTGGTGACGACTTACTGAGCAAGGTCATCATTCCCGGCCACGCACTACTCTCGCAGAGGCCAAGAAATACTCGAAGTATATAGATCTGTTTGGCGCTTGTGGCCATGGCTACCAGACCGGTAAATAGACCCCAGAGGATTTCTAATCCTGGTAGCCACAAGCTTGGCCGAACATAGGTCAGGATGATCTGTGATGGAATGAGCATCACGCAATAAGCTGCGTTGAAGTATGTCGTGAATCTAACAAAATCAGCCCCGACACAGAAAATGGAAGTCATCGCATCTCACAGATTCAACTCGTCTCCATAGAGATTTAGATCTTCCATCATGCCCGACACGTAGGCATTGTTGATGTTCTGCTGATCAAGATATTTGATAACTGTATTTCATTAGCTTTTTTAAGAAACTTCATGGTATGGTTTTGGTACCTTGAGAAAGACAGCCAAATGTCAACAGAAACGTATCAAGGCGCCTCACGAGGGCCTTCTCTTCAAGGGATCGCTCATTGCTCCCTTCTGGGTTCTCTGACGGGACATGACGAAAGATCATCCAGTTTCCCATAATGACTTGATGGGAAGTCAAAGGTGAAGTTCCAAGGTTTCATACGATAGAATGCGTTAAGTATTGTGGAGGATAAGATAAGACCGTAGACCCACAAAGGATATGATCCCTGCAAATCTGAGGGGGAACGCGTGATAAGCGTGCACACCAGTTGCATTCCACGTAACCTCGGACACCGAGAGCGATACCGGCCAAATATTTTCAGTCTCGATCCCCGCATAAGCAAGATAAAGTGCAGGTCGAGGCGAGGCGGAACGACATGCCAAGTGTCGATCAATCTAAGTTATACTGATAGGGAGTTGGAGTCAGCGATAAGTGCTTCCCCGCACGGTAATCTTCCCCAATGATTGGCATCATACATCGATATTTTATTTTCTCATACAAAGTTGTTCACCTCAGCCGAGCCAAATATTGTGTTTTGTGATGCAAGACGAAAATTCTAGCAACAGTCTACCTCGAGAGACCCCTTGCCTGAGTTATTGGCAACGGACAATTCGGGCCTTTCCGCATTTGTTTGCGAATCAACACGTGCAGGTCCCTCCACGTATCAAATATGTGGTTATCGGATCAGGGCTTTCTGGGGCGCTCACGACCTTTGAGCTGCTAGAAGCAGGCGTGAAGGGTGAGGATGTACTTATTCTGGAAGCGCGCGAAGCTGCCAGCGGTGCAAGTTCTCGGAATGCCGGCCACGTCCGCCCAGGTATAATTTGAAACTAGAACAGTTATAGCATAGGCTAATGACATGACAGATGCGTTTCGTGGGTTCAATGCCTACTCGAAGGTTCACGGGCCAGAACAGGCGTTGAAGATCATTGCCAACGAGCGACTTGTTCTGGAGAAGGTGGATGAGTTCGTGAAGAAACACAATGTACAATGCGATTTCAACTTGACGTCCACTTTTGATATCTGCATGACGTCTGAATTTGCCAAATACGAAAATGAGAGTCTTGAGGCTTATAAGCAGGCTGGAGGAGAGACTTCGCATATCGTGTGTTATGAAGGCGAGGAGGCCAAAGACAAGACGAGGGTTTCTAAAGCAGTTGCAGCTTACGAGTGGCCTGCGGGATCCTGTCATCCTGCAAAGTTGGTTCAGTTTATCTTGCAATCCGTAATCGGAAGGGGCGTGCAGCTATTCACATTTTGTCCTGCCACAGCGATAAAGCAAAACGGATCCGAGCTGGAACAGTGGGATGTACATACCCCACGTGGCACCATCACAGCTGAAAAGATCATCCACTGTACCAACGCCCATGCAGCACTTCTACTTCCTCAGCTGCAAGCGTATATGCGGCCAAACCGTGCCCAAGCCCATTCTTTGGTTCCAACCCCGGCCTTTACAGCTCAAAATATTCTTCAGAAGACCTTTTCACTCCGCTATAGTCTCTACCACTTCTACTCTTTAATCCAACGCCAAGGTGACGGTACACTCATTCTAGGAGTCTCAAGATCAAATCCTACTTTGAGCCCTGAAACCTTGGCTAGTCGCTTCAGCACCGATGATGGACACTACAACCAAGAGATTGCTCATGATGCGCTACATAGTTTCCAGAGAATATTTCCTGACTCTGTATCACAGTATGCTAAACACGGTGAAGGGTTGGATCATTCATGGACAGGGATTATTGCCATGACACCTGATTCTGTTCCATTTGTTGGTGCTATCGAATCTCTACCTGGCCAATACATTTGCGCTGGATTTAATGGGCATGGTAAGAGATCTACTCAAGTTATTCAATGTTCAATATGAGAATCAATCTGACGTGTTTAGGGATGGCACGAATTTTCACCAGCGCCCCAGGCGTTGCGAAACTTGTTTTGGGGCATGAATGGAGCACTACGGGGCTGCCCGAATGCTTCCAGTATAGCCGAGAGAGATTGTCTCGACTTGCGGAGGGTGGGCTTCCTTCTATCTGGTAGAATTCTAGAGTATTGTAGCAACATGTCAATATTTTCCTGGCATAAGATGCCGATATACCCAAGATGGGCTATTCCTGCTGACTGGATATCATGGTAAACGCGTTGGGGGCACCCAGTTCTTATTGCCCGGTTACCAGGCGGAGACAGATACAGAATTGAGTATACACAGTAGCATTCCGAGATCGCTTCTTTTGATGAACTCAGAGTAAAGAAGCTCCCCACTCATTTGGGTCGGCCGCTAAGGTGAGTTACTGGTCAAGGTGGGACCAGCAGCTCGAGATGTGGGCCCCGATGTCGGCCGGGCATGAAGTATACCGCGCAGTCAGACAGGTATTGCCTTTGTACTGCAATCTGATTTGCATGGAGCCCCTCTTGACTTTAAAAACTGAGCAAGAGCAATTGATTCGAAAATAATCAACATCTCACCTGAAGTTCAGTATGAATCCGCCGTTCTCCGGTCACGGCCTCTCGGTGCATGCCGTTTCTCACCAGGTTCGAGCACATGGTTTCAAGCTTTACAATATAACATGTGGGTTAAATAGCCCCCAGTGATAAAGACGCTTCCTCGTGGCCCGAGTAATCAATCAAAACCTGCTATCTCATATAAAACATATGGCAGCTCGGGCATGTAGCTCCTCGCTGACATATCTCAACGCCGGGTCACCGGCCGATATCGGTCATCGAACTACATCCCAATAGGTTGAAGAACATATAAAAACCAACAATAATCACTTGAACACAAAAAATACCAAGAAAGAGAATTCAAAGCTTTGACAACCATCTTTTATTTTCCCCCAAATATTTCCTCGTTCCAACAAAATGGCCGCCAAAACAGAAGCAGCCATCTACACCCACGGCCACCATGCCTCAGTCTTACGCTCCCACAGCACACGGACAGCCCTCAACTCTGCTAGCTTCCTGCTCCCATACCTGAAGCCAGACATGAAGATTCTAGACATCGGCTGCGGCCCTGGCACAATCACAATTGACCTAGCAGGATATGTCCCAGAGGGCCACGTGACAGGTCTCGAGCGCGTAGGCGACGTCCTCCCAGGCGCACAAGCCCTCGCCGACGCACGAGGCGTCAAGAACATATCCTTCGTCGTCGGGGACGGTAACGGCCTGGACTACCCAGACGACAGTTTCGATGTCGTATTCTGTCACCAGGTTCTGCAACATGTTGCGGATCCGGTGGGTATGCTGAAGGAGATGAAGCGCGTTGCCAAGAAAGGTGGAATTGTCGCGGCGCGGGATGCGGATTATTCTGTTTTCATGTGGTATCCTGAGCTTAACGGGCTCAGGGATTGGCAGACTTTGTATGACAAGGTTGCGAGGCGGAATGGGGCTGAGCCTAATGCGGGGCGATTCCTTCATTCTTGGGCTAGACAGGCTGGGTTTGAGGATAAGAAGTATAGTGTTTCTTCTTGGTGTTATGCGCAGAAGGATGAAGTGAAGTGGTGGAGTGAGACATGGCAGGAAAGGTCTTTGAAGTCTTCTTTTGCGACAACGGCGATTGAGGGAGGCTTAGCAACTATTGAGGATCTGGAGAAGATTTCGCAGAGTTGGAAGACTTGGGGGGAGGATATCGATGCTTTCATTTCTATTCCGAGTGTGGAGATAATTTGCTTTAAGCACTAGCGTTGGTTTGTGTCAATATGAAATTCAACGACAGTCCTCCACTTAACTACCCAAGCACTTAAGTTTCCAGGTTTGGAAACCCTTGGAATCTACTAGCAATATATTTTTGGAAGTTTTAACGTAATGTCGGCTGCCACTGTATCACCTGCTGGGTAGTTCGTCATATATTGTGGTGTTCATTCTCCTATCTTTCGCCTATAACTATTTACCTCTCCTCTCCTACTCCATTCAACGGTTCATATAATAATCTTGCGATATAAAAAGACTGGTGCTAATCAATATATAGTTGAAGAGGTAGACGCCCAGATTCTTACCTCTAGTTATCAAAATAATTACCCCAGATCCCTTTTATATCAACCTTTTCATCACTTCTTAAAGCTCTTTCATTCTTCTCGTGCAACTTCTTCTTCTTCTTCACCCTTTTCGCCTGCTTTTGAAACAAGGCCATTACGGCGAAAGAAATTCTCTATTCTTCTGGAGCTCATGGCTGCCTTGCAGATGGTAAATTCCAATACAAATACGATTAAAAACCCAATCAACGGATCAAGGGTGTTTTGGGGGGCGTCTTTGAAAGGCAAAGGCTTTGAAAGACTAGCTTTAGGCATCAGATTGAAATCCATTCTTCACTATCCCCCAGACTGGCTCGAGGGGATTTCGGGATTGAACATTTTTGATGAAGATATTAGTATCTCCCATGTCGAATTCATAGCGGGGCTAGATCCCATCAATCTAGATGGATTGGCTCACATATACCAACTAAAGGGGAAACCTACATACAAAGTTGCCATTCGCCTGTCTCAAAGCAGTATTCCATGTAAGACGACTTGTCTGGTGGAATTTTTGTGGTAATGTTAAGAATTGTATAATATACAGGGCTACAAGATGGACAGATTGGCAATCGGAATTCAAGCTTCGCCCACCGCACCCACGCGGAACTTCAAGTTAAGATATCCACACAACGATTTTGGCACTTGATGACTTGATCACTCCATTATGAGCTATCGCTGATTGTTTCGGAAACAATCTATTACTCGTTTCCTCCGGAAATTCATGGTTGGAGTGTGCTGAGAGATCGAGGGTTCCTATATATTAAAGAAAGGAATGGTTCTCACACTCCCAAAGGCTCGAGAGCAGTACGTAATGTATGCAGTAGTTTTATTGAGAAGGTAGCTATTTTTTCAGCTTGTGACTGATCAATGCATGCACCGAATATCTAATACAAGAGGTGTGGCATTGTGCCGTATTCGGATTTACATATCCGTTTCAAGGCTCTGGAACTGCGACGTGAAGTTCTTCCGAACCCATTCCATATACCCCTTCCACTTATGTAAATCATTAGAGGCTTCGGCGCCTGGGAACGCCTTGCTAAGCTCCTTGGTGATCTTAAGGATGCCCAGCGACGCCTCCTGTGCCTTCTCCAGCTCTTGTTTGACAGCGTTGTCCTTGGGCTTGAATGACAAGATAGCTGTGTACCGCTCAGCCAGAGCATCCAACCGGCGCTCGGTCTCCTCGGGTACGGATACGATGAGTTTGGAGGTCATCAGGTTGCTGACTGCACGGATGTCTTGCTCATCTTCAACTCCGGCAAGGACACGGTCAAAAAGTTCAGAGAGGTGGAAGCGGGTAAATGGGGTATCCAGTGAAGCATAGAGGGTTTCGTACGCGCTCTGTGAGAAATGATTAACTGAGTGATCGAAAAGCTGAATGCATTACAAACCTTGCGCAAGTCAAGTCCATCGTCCACCTTGTGTTTGAATGGGCCCATTTGCACCTCACGAATCAGCTCTGGCTTGATGTGGGTGTCGCCGAAAACCGCAGGGAGTAATTCACCGAGATGAGGCAGAATGATGCTCATCTTGTTATGAATGGCAGAGTTCAGTGTAGTCAATGCAAGTCGATGATTGCCGAGATCCCTCTCCGCTAGCATGCTGGTCAAGAGAGGCACTATCAATGGACGCAGAACAACGTTGAAAGCATCGCTCGCATCAGCCAGGGTGTAACGGAACGCTGAAATGACTACACCACGCACGACGGGATCAGAATTATTGAGATGTTCCTGTAGAGTTGTCAGCCTACATTGATTATAATTTCAAGAGTTGCGGCTTACCTGGAAGTGAGGAATGTAGGCTACAGGATCAATCAAGGCAAGTCGGCCAATGCACTCCGCACCCACGGCCCGATTATCTTCCTCTTGGGAGACCTGCAGCAATGCCTGCCACAGTTTTAGAGCGGTCGGGGCCAGCTCAGGACGCACATCGGCATGCTGAAGCAGCTCGCGAACGGAATGGAGGAGCAGGTAGCTCTGGGCGTTGGATTTAACCAGGCCATTCAGAATGATCGGCAGGTAAGCCTTGACACTTCCAGCTGCCGCATTTCCGAGGGCAGTAGCAGCAGCCAAGCGGACGCGGTCAGACGGAGAATCAAAATGAGTAATGAAGTGATCCGGGGTCAATGAACAGTCGACACCCATTCGCAAAGCAATTTCGCCGAGAATGGCAAGCGCGAGACATTTGCGGCTGTCATCTGTGGCGGTGCTAAGCTCGGCGGAGAAGTCTTCCATTGTGACTCCAAGATTCGGACCGCCGTGGACAAGCAGAGTACCAATGGCTCTTCCAACGACAGATGCGTCGCCAGTAATGCCAACGTTTTGGAGCAAACTCTGCATCAATTGAGCACCCACACCTTCATCACCAATGACCTTCACAAGAAGGAGCAGGGCCTTCAAGACGGTACCCACGAGTGGCTGCTTGACAATCAAGCAGATCGATTGGATGAGAGACTCGTTGACAAGCGTCTTTGAATTGCCAGGAACCAGCTTGGCAATGATGATCAGAGTTGGAGTGAGAAGATGGAAGTCCGGAGCTGACAAGAGCGGCAACAAGGCCGCTTCCAGACTGGCCATTGTGTCGGGCTTGATATGGGAGCGAGTGTTAACATTCATAGCACTGCTACGCAGAGCTTCAAGGCAAGAGCTACGCAAAGCACGATCTGACTTCCGCAGATTTGAACCCAACTCGATGGTGACCGTGTTGACCCAGTCACTGCTGACATCGTCTTTGCGGCTAGCCAAGACAATCACATCATCAATAGCCCGCACAGCAGCCAGGCGGGTTGTTTCGTTTTTGACACGATCAACCAAAATGTTGAGGCCCTTCGATCGGCGGTCGCTAGACAGGTACTCGGTTCCACGGTCACCAGAAGTCCGTGCCAGAATGACACCAAATACATGAATCGCGCGCTGGCGAACCTCTAGGTCGGCACTGGTGTCAGTGATCCGAGCAAGAACGACGTCATAAAGCTTCTCGAGCTGCATAGCGACATCCGGGCCATTCTCTGACACGCGTGGTGGGGTCAGAGCCTTCACGATTTGTTCAACGGCGCCCAGTGCCTCACTGCTGACTTTGTAGTTCCGCTCGTTGACAGCTCCCACGACACCCGGAACTAGGGCGATGAGGAATGGAAGAAGGGAGTCCGACAGGTGTGTTTCTGCAATGGCAGAGACCAGGCCTAGGGTTTCAATCTGCAGAGTGCCAGCACTAACAGCCGCACCAGAGTGGGCAGCTGAACTGCCTACAAGCGATGTTGTCTTCAGAGCATCCGCAATCAGATCTTCAATCTGCTGGAGATGATCAGCAAGTCCGCCGTAACGGACCAACGAAAGACTTTTCAAGAGGACGATAGCAGCCTGTCGCAAGGGCATCGAGGCCTGTTTCCAGGACTTCACGAGGCTCTGAACAATCAGAGGAACCGAACGGGCCAGATCCGCCTGAGGTCCCGATTTAGGCGATGAGGGAACGACTGGGGAGTCAATGGCCGAGGACGCTCCCACACCAGGTTCAAAATCTACCATGCTCGCATCACTGTCCTGGCGTCTTCTCTTGCGGGAGTTCTTGGATCCTCCCACAGCTTCCAAGTAGCCACTGGACGTGAGAATGATGGACCCCTCGCTTGTTTTGCGCACCAATGCCGTCAGGGTAGAGATGATTTCCAACTTCACGCTTTCCTCACGCTCTTTGCTGATGCGGGTGATCAAAGCGGGTGCGACCTGTTGGTACAAAGTGGCATCCTCCAGGCCGCTGTTACGGCCGTAAGTTGAAATGAGACTGTAGAGAAGCTTGGCCGCGCATCGACGGACCTTCCAGCTCATGTCATCTACATCGCTGTATCCACCTTCCTCCTCAAAGTCCTCAAAGTCGTCGTCGTCCAGATCCGGCTCCTCGGTCGCGTCGTCCTCGCTGCCATCATCTTGTGTGCCCCCCATCTCCTCATCATCTTCCATTTCGGCGACATTGGGGTCATATTTCAGGAATCGCAGGGCGGCTCGGGTGGTGTTCATGAGATAAGGCTGCATTTGCTGGTTGCAGGAGCTGATCAGAGCTTCCAGGGTGACGAGGGCGGTCTCTCGAAGCTCGTCGGCCTGGGGGTCATGATCATCATCATCATCGTGAGAATAAACAGACATGTTGCCGAAAAACTTCCACGCGAAAGCCGATGTGTCGGGCGGAAAGTGCAAGCTTCTCTGTATTGTTGGAGCTCGTTTCCACCCCGCGCTAACTCGGAATTAGGTGGGGCCGTTCCGAACGCCAGCGGCCAAGAGCCTCAATTCACTGCAAGAAGTCGAACAGATCAAGGGAAGGACCCGAAGGTTGACTTTTTTGTTTAGCGGCCAGTAGAGCTTGGAGTCCACCTTGTTTGCGAGTTTTAGCTCGTTTTTTGCTATTGATGTTGTCGGCTGTCTTAGGTGTTGATGACTCGGATGCTGAAGCCTCTGCTGGGGTTGACGTGGATGGAATTGGGGGAGCTGTAGCAGTGACAGGAGAAGAACGTGAAGGATTAGAAGGTTTAGGGAGTGGCTTTGAACGTGACAAGACTGTTCGTTGCCTGCAACGCAAACACATGTACACCAATGCACTTCCTGTATTGGCTTTTTTCTTTCCTTTTTGCACTCGAATGATTCGTGTAGTCTTTGGAGATTGTCTCAAACTACCACAAGCACAATGATGCTTCTTTTGGTGAGTGTTGAGTGGTTTCAACTCCTCGTGAAGAATTCGGGTATGAACCCCTAAGAGATGCGCCGACGTGGATTGACTACGCTTCGCCAACCACTCAGCAGCTTCATTGAGAAAATGTAATCGGGGAACTTCCATAGGTGCCATAATTTTATTCGTTAAAAAATCCAATATGTTAAGGCAGTGGAATAGACATGGAAATCACGAAGGTTGAAGTGAATGAGAAAAATTCGACGAATGAAAAGTGGCCTTTCCTTACCCGATTAGGTTAGAGCTGCTTCTCATTCACTTCATATAATTCACTTCTTCTATGTTTTCTATCATGGAAATCCAATAAATCCTGTTCCCTTCAACTCATATTCTCTCCATTTTCTTTTTCATTCAACATCTTTATCCTCATCCCTTTACATGTTTTCTTCCCTGCACTCGGGTTTTTATCTCAACTGAACTCAACCCATCTTCTCTCTGGTGCTACACCATTACTTCATCAGCCTCCTATTCACACTGTTCCTTGACTGATTCTGCTGAGCCTCTTCAACCTTCTCTTGAGAAGACTTTCTCCATGTCTTCTTCCCTCCGCATTGCGGCTGTTGGCTGCGTAAGTCGCCTCCACTATCTGACCAGCCTCACATGGGCCAGCAGTCATCATACTCAGAGACTAACTTGATGATATAGGGCCATGGTGCGCTTAATGAGATTTACCAAAATGTGTCTATTGAGATGGCTAGACATTCATGGGATAACGTAGACTGTGTTATCATCGGCGGTGACTTTCAGGTACGATTCTATCTCGTTTTTCACATGAAATCATACTGATGAAAATCCAGTCGCTGCGGAACTCCAATGATGCCACATGCATTTCAGTTCCATCAAAATACAAGTCAATGGGTGACTTCCATGAGTATTACTCGGGCGCCCGTACCGCCCCTTTCTTGACCATTTTCTGTGGCGGTAACCACGAGGCCGGCAACTACTTATTCGAGCTGTACTACGGCGGCTGGGTCGCGCCTAACATCTACTATCTCGGGGCTTCTAACGTGCTTCGGCTTGGCCCTCTCCGTATCTCTGGTATGTCAGGAATCTGGAAAGGCTACGACTATAATAAGCCCCACCATGAGCGGCTGCCTTACAACGCTGAGGATGTTCAAAGTATCTACCACATCCGCGAGGTCGATGTTCGCAAACTACTCCAAGTACGTACCCAGGTCGATATCGGCTTGTCCCACGACTGGCCTCGTGCTATTGAGAAATCTGGCAACTCCGCGGCCCTATTCAACAAGAAGAAGCACCTTCGCGATGACTCCATCCACGGTCGCCTCGGCAGCCAGGCTGCCCGCCAGGTCTTAGATCGACTTCGCCCGGCCTACTGGTTCTCTGCTCATCTTCACACACGATTCGCTCTTACCATGGGTCACAATGGTACTACGCTTCAAAAGGCCGATCCTTCATGTGATGAGCCGAAAGAATGGTGCTACACTGCTGCACCCACCACTCCAGTCAAGGCCAAGGTCAACCTTGGTGAACGAACCAGCCCATCGCAAGTGATCAGCAACTCTCCTGGTAATGAGCAGTCTCGCCTGTCGGCGTGGCAGAGCTCCGGGGAAACTATCGCGGCCAAGGAACGCGCGGACGCTGAGAAGAGACGTGCTGAATTTAACGACCCCTCACGGCCCCGTGCCGCTCCCGCCAATTTCCAGGTGACCTGGAATGAAATAAAGGGTGAGGATCGCAAGGTAGTTGCTACCCATCAATCTGTGGCATCTCAGGTCCAGAATGACGATGAAATCGACCTGGATTGCAGCAGTCCCTCAGCGTCCGGCTCGCCTCCTTCCAAGCGGGCCACCCCTGCGGAAATGGATGGCCTGAGCGAAAAACAGGCCATCATGGACCATTCAATCCCGGAAGAAATCCGCAGCAAGTTGCCGGCCAGCCTGGCCCAGGCGGCCCCGGTCGATTTAGTCCCAGAGGCGATCCGCAGCAAGCTTCCCGCCAGCCTCACCCAGCCAGCTCGAGATTCAACCCCGAAGATGGGCCACCCAGAGGCCATCCAAAACCGAATCACCAAGTTCCTGGCTCTTGACAAGCCGCGTGGACATGACTCATATCTCGAGCTGGTCGAGTTGAATGCTGTCTCGGACCAGGCGAACACCGATTTCCAGCGCCCCTTCCGCCTCCAGTATGACAAAGAATGGCTGGCGATTACGCGTGTCTTTGCCCAGGATCTCGAAGTCGGTGAGCCTGATGCAAGGGTTCCCTTCAATAAGGGTGAGGCTGGGTATCTCCAAGCCATTCAGGAAGCAGAGGCGTGGGTGGAGGAGAATGTGGTGCAGCGGGGAAAGTTAGATATCCCATACAACTTTGTCCGCGTTGCTCCGGTGTTCGACCAATCTGTCCCAGTCACCACGACCGATGCCCCACCCGAGTTCCCTAATCCGCAGACGGCAGCATTTTGCGAACTCGTTGGTATCGAGAACAAGTTCGCCCTTTCGAACGAGGAGTGTGCAGCCCGCGTAGCCCGCGGAGCCCGGCCCACTCGTTCGAATTTTAACCCCGCCCACCGCCGTGGAGCTCGGGGTGGAGGGCGTCGTGGTGGTCGCGGTGGTGGTCCGCGCGGTCGCTGAACGGGGAATGGGTGGTTGTCGGTGTTGATATCCTTGGTTGGTTCCAGGTCTGCGGATAGCAGCCGGGCCTTCGGGGGACATCACACAACATATCGAATCGAGAAGGGGGGGAGCTGTAAAGCCTTGGAGCATGAATCATGATTAAGAACAAAGCTTTGTGTGGCAGATAACGCACCAAATATTTTTGTCTCAAAGCTTTCCCTGTGTGGTAGTCACATTATATGACTCTGTACCCTTACTATGTAACACCAGTATGACTTGGATATCATAAGGAGAAGAAGAGAAAGTAAATGAAAAGAAAGATTCATTGCTATCATCTTAATCCTATGGAGTCTATTCAATCTCCTCAATCTTCGGCCTCGAAGACCCACGTCCAGCCATCGGATTAACATCCAAGCCAGCAATACGATCATCTAATTCCATCTTAACTTCTGACACACCTCCAGAGCCAATACCCCACATCAAAGACTTCTCCAACCATGCCTCTAAACTCTCAATCAGTGCCCGTAGATGTCCCCGCACAATTCCATCCTCCTCCCGACTCTCAACGAATCCAAGCGTGCGCAGCATCGATGGAATATTACCGACAGTAGACGAACCCCGACTCTGCATCTCTGCATGCGCATAATCATCATCTATAAACGAGAATCCGAACCCAATGTCCCTACCCTTCCCATCTTCACGTGCGGTATCAAGTGCTTTCAAGATATCAAGAATAAGAACCGCGCTCGCACGTCGCAGAATCGCGCTTTCAGCCGCCGGTTCCAGTGTCAATGTAGCCAGCGCGAGATCGACGGCTGATGTCACAATCACGGATCCTAGCCCGAGTATATTCGTCTGGATTGCTGATGCGAGGATCGAGATCGCTGATGCGCGGATGCGGAGATCTTCTGGTTCCGTGTCGCTGGGTGCACCAGCTGCCCATGCAGCGACTATATTGGCGGCGTGGACTGATTGTTCTGGAGACTCATCGTCGGAGTCTGGGTCCAGTTCTTTGATACTCGTAGGTCCGGTTGAAGCCTTCCATCCTTCAGGTAGGGTAGGTTCTTTTTCTTTCCTCTCCTCTCGTTCTTTTTCTCGGCGCTCCTTTTCTTCCTTCTGTTTGCGGGTTTTTTGGGCCTGAGGTTTGTTGCCTCGGCGTCCTGCGACGCTGAGCATGCCCTCGCCCAGAACTTTAGCCGTTTCGCCTGTCAAAGCTGCGCCCAGGTCCTGGACTGTTCGGAGGAGGGATTCGCCGATTTTGAGGCGCTGGTCTAGAGTTCGTTGTTCATTTTTGTCCGTGTAACTATCGACCAGCGTTTTCATTACGGTTCGTGGGTGTCTGGATGCGAGTGTACCGATGAGCATGATGGCATTGAGGTAGATAAACTCTTCGCTGGCGGTTGATTCGGAACTGTCGGTTATAATTGAGAGGAGAAGGGTCAGTGTTGATGGGATGTCGAGAACGGGGGAGGATTTGATGATTAGTTTTGAAAGTAGGGAGAATCCCTCTGCTTGCACCGGTGGCAATTCCGAGTTGAGATTTGAAAGTGCATGACGGTGTGTGTCGAGATCGGCGATATGTGGTTGCGGGACTTTGGTCTCACCAGATTCTGGGGAAGTGAGTTGAATCTCTAGTAGCATTGATGCAGTCGTTGCCGGTTTAGATAGGGCGCTAGGAAGAAGAGGAATCAATGCGTCCAGACGCTCTTTGATTAATTCCATGAGGGACTTGATATCCTGGGTCATGGAGAACTCTGCCGATGCCAGGACGGTGGACAACAAGCTGAATGCAGTGGATAGGGACTCGGATGTGTCTTTTTCAGATCCTTCGTCATTCGTACTTCCTGGGGACACAATGTTGGCGAGTGACGATAGAGAGGGGCTTCCAAACTTCTCCCCTCTCTGTTTGGCTGCATTGGAACCTAGTGTGTGAAGTTCTCCCTCGATGACTTGCTTGATAAGTTCTAACACACGAAGAGGCCGACGAGACAATGTGTCCTTGAAGGTATCCAACAGCTTTTCCGCGATCTTGGCGCTGACAAGCTTCTGGAAGATGTTTTCCGATTCTCCGATCTTCTGCACTCCCTCTGTATTAGAGTGTACGAGCCATGTCTGGCTCGCGTAAAGAAATACATCACCGGTCAACTCTTCGCTCCTTGGATCCGAGCCTAGCAAGCTAGCGAAAAGTTCTGTCCGATTTTGGAGCGAGTCAATCAATCTGATTAGATTCGACTGCTCGTTGGCCTGGTCATTTCGCTTAACTAGGTTGACTCCCCCTTGAGTGGTGGAGCTGTATGTCCAAGTCGACCCACCGTCCCACAGCAGGTTATCAACAAGCTTCTTGAGTGGTGGCAACCCCACTGATATACTGAAGTAGGTCTGCAATAAGGCCATAACATTATCACGCAAAGATTTAATTTCATGTTCTTGGGAATAGCAGACCAAGCCCCACAGTGGCAGAAGAATCGGATTCACAATTCTCCTTACCAACCCTGGATTTGGGTGTTGCAGGACAAGTTTGCTTAGTCTGTCGAGTGCCCTGTCAACCAATATATGATTCACGATGATGTTCGATGATCTGCTATTCGAGGATTCCAATGAGTCTGATTGTATCCATTGCCTTGATGCATCATTTAATTCAGCGGTAAGTGTGCGGAAAAGGGGGTCAACAAAAATCGAGTGACCAATTGTTCCAGGAGCACCATAGGCCCGCTTTCCCAGGATTCCATTTCCAATTGTATAAGATGCGGTCTTCTGAAGATCTTGGTCTTCGCCATCAAGAAGGGTCAAAAGTTGCCGGGCAATGGCTGTGAAGTATACCTTAGGGTCCACGCCTTGCGGAACGGACGAAAGAAGCTTTGAGATTTGCATCATGGCTTGAATAGTGAAATGAGGACCGTTTGACGGCTCGCTCTGAGCCTCTTGTCCAAGCGAGGGAGCTAATTGCGAAGCAATGAAAATGATTGTTTGCATAACTCCGCCCTGACGAAGCGGAATCTGCGATATTTGACTTGACACTGTCGATTTGAACCAACTAGTGGTATCTGTCTGGAGAAATGCGGACAACGTGGGTAGCAAGACAGCGCTGGGGGTTCTATAATGCTGTCAGTATATGCATCCGAAGCGCACAAAGCGGCATTGCATACTCGTTTATCAGTCTGGCAAACTGTTCTTGAAAGTTTGATCGGTCTTCAGAATTACTGCAATTCGGATTAAAAGCAAGATCGGCTGTCCCACTGATGATGTCGCTTAGGATGCGACCTCGGATGATGGGCTGGATGCTTGATGTAGTATTCATAAGAATAGAGAGAAGAACGTTCATAACGCGACGAAGAAGAGGCTCATCATGAGGTGTACTGCTCGTGGGAGCCTGTGCCTGTTTGGCAATGACGCCAGCTGGCAACACAGAAATCACTCGCTGTTGTAGAGGAATTCCAACGCCAGATGAGAGTGACGGGTAGACTCCTTCAAGCGAGATCAGGTCCAACAACGCATGCAGCATTCGGCGACGCTTTGCATCTTCAAGAGCGACATCCTCACCATCCGTGGCTAGATGGTGAGAGAGCTCTTCATCGGGTGTGATGAAGGCATTGTGAATGCCACTCAGGATTTGTAAAGCTTGGCCGACAACAACAGTCCTCATATAATCCTCGCCACTGGATGACAGGTCCGCATTTTGGCTCAGTCTTTCCAATAGAGATTTCCCTGGGGATTTTTCAATCTCCGCTTTAGTAGTGTTAGCTTTTCATTCAATAATGAGATGAATGCTGGAATTGGCATGCCTCGATTGAGCACTGGACTTAAAAAGTCACTGGCCTTGTTGAACGCATCTCGGACTTCCATGGGCTCCCCCATTATGAAAAATTGTAGAATTAGCTAAGCAGATATAGCATCTTTTGTCTTGGAAGTCGATATCAGAAAGAGCTCAAGTGTGCTATGGGTGAGACCAGAAGCTCTGGTCTTGGCGTGAAGCAGCTGAGTCAGCACTTCGGATCTTACTAATGTAAGCTTAATCGTTCGAGTTCTTCGGATTGATTTAGTTGCTTGTCCAGGTAATTTATAGGGTCGAATTGAACAAAAATTCTTTTCTTTGCCTTTCAGAGTCACTGACAGTGTAAATTTATACTACAAAGTGTTTGATGATAATCTGAAGTAAATTAAGTTGACAGTGGAACATACTAGTTGAGTGGTCACGCATTTCGAATCAAGCTGGCTCAATTCATTTATCATTTTCTCTTGATGCGTGCCGGCCTCTTTAAGAACCATAGTTTTGAGTAGACAATTCATAATCTCATTTAGTACTCAGACTCACCAGTAGGTGTGATCAAATCTCCAACTTGATATAAATCTGTATATCTGGAATAAATGTATAATATTAGTCAGCTACATGTTGCCCCTCGCTGCATAAAACTAATCAGTGCCCCGCCATGGCAGAAAGTTAAGGAAGGTTCCGCAGCGGGACAGCGGAGAGATTTTTTTTTGGTTTTAATTATTGTTTCCCTTCTCTTCCACATATTATTTGCTGAACTTCCTTTCTTTAAGTTCATATTCCCCCATTCATAATGTTGAACGACGAGATCACTGCGCCCGAGTCGCAATTTGAGAACCTCGGTGAGGTGGTCGACCGCGATGACGACACTGGTGTTATGCAGGTGGAGAGTTTGTGTATGAACTGCCATGACCAGGTATGTTGCTCTTTTTTTTAAAAAAGCCCTGGATCGCATACACTACCGCTTTCGGAGTCATCAAGTTAATACTAATACCTTTGGCTTGCAGGGCATCACGAGACTTTTGCTATTGCGCGTGCCTTACTTCCGAGATATCATCCTTGAGTCATTTGAGTGTGAGCACTGTCACTTCAAGGACAACTCTGTCAAGTCGTATGTTTTTTGAGTCCGATGGAACCCGTGGATATCATTGATGCTAACATTCAGTCTTAAAGTGCCGGTCAGATCCAGGAACAGGGTTGCAAGTACACCCTCATCGTCGAGAATGAGGATGATCTCCAGCGTCAAGTCATTCGCAGTGACCTCTCGATCTTCAAGCTCGAATCGCTCGGTATCGAGATGCCAAAAGGTGAAAGTCAGTTGACCAACATCGAAGGTGTGGTCCAGCGCATTTACGAATCCCTGAGTGGTGAACAAGAGCTTCGCAAAGAGCAGGCACCGGAGCTCTACGCTGCCCTCGAGCCTATCATCGAGAAGCTGAAGGATATCATGGACCGCAAGGGCTTCCCCTTCACTGTTTCTTTGGATGACCTTACTGGTAACTCCTGGATTGCGCCCAACACTACCGATCGTGGCAACAAGTACCGTCGCCAGGAATACCCTCGAACCCACGAGCAAAATGAGGACCTCGGCATCTCCCAGGACCCGAACGCCTCGGAGGCTGAAGCTAAGGATGTGAATGATATGGGCAACCCTGAAGATCTGGATATCGTTGATGGCCAGGTATACGAACTGCCCACTGAATGCCCTGGATGCAACAGCTCAGGCGCAGTCACCCGCATTAAGCGCGTGAACATCCCACACTTCAAGGAGGTCTACATCTTTGGAACTAGCTGTGAAGATTGTGGCTACAAGAGTTCCGATGTGCGTACCGGTGGTGAAGTCCCCGAAAAGGGCAAGCGGATTACTTTGCGAGTTGAGAACATTGTCGACCTGTCCCGTGACATTCTGAAATCCAACACATGTGCTCTGTCCAGCGAGGATCTTGAAATTGAAGTGCAGCCTGGCACACTTGGTGGACGTTTCACTAGCGTCGAGGGCTTGTTGACCGAGATCAAGGACCAGCTCTACGGTCACATCTTCGATGCCGGTGGCTCCACCGGTGGCGACAGCATGCAGAACACAGAAAAGGGGAAGTGGGAGAGGTTCTTCGCCAACCTCGACGCAGCCATTGCCGGAGAGAAGAAGTTCAGTATTACTCTTGAGGACCCCATGGCCAGCAGTTATGTCCAAGATCTGTGCTCCCCTGCTGTGGACCCGCAAATTGACATCGAAGAATACGTGCGGACTGCCGAAGAAGAAGAGGAGCTTGGTTTCCACGACATGAAGACCGAAGGCTACGAGGAGGACGCCAAGAAAGACGAGGACAAGGACGAGGATAAGGAGAAGGCGACCGCTGCCATGGATAACCTGATCGAGGCTTCCATGGGCAATTGATTCTCATAGTAGATGCTCGGCTATGATCTTTATGTCTATTTTCATGATATGAGACGCTTTCTCTTGTTTTTGGTTTATACTTAATGGCGTCTGTGATATGTACATTTTTCATTCTTAGATATCCGGTGGTGATGGGGTTGTTGAGAACAGAAAAGTTTTTGTACCTATTCATCGTTCGATCCGTTTGTCCTTGATTTCTAAACATAATCGTTCTGTCCTACTCCTTGATTATTCAGATTATTCAGAACATCTTTCAAGGTTGAATTATTTGACACAAGGGCTCAGAGGGTTAATAGGCTAGATGTCAATTTAATTCTGAGCTTCAATCTTAATTATTTGGGGTTTATTTTCTCGTCCTATGTACACGCAAGATTCTGGCCGAGGGAATCTTCAGAAGTCGAACCGCTGTCCCCGTTCTTGATTCGCAATGCAAATGCAGTCAGGATATCCTAGTGCCAGACTGGAAGTGACTTTCATGGTAAACATGTGAATGCAACCAGTTTAAAGACTCGAGAATTTGCTTGTTGAGCCGTTGGCTTCAGCATTGGATTAGGCAGACTTAGTGTGCTGCCATATGATGCCGGTAGGACCATGGATGTGGAGAATCAGTGGCCGATGGACATGGCACGGAGCTTGCAGTAGATCTCGGCAGACTGTATCATCCCCTTGAAGAGTGATACAAGTAGCAGGTACAAGTAACACTTGCAAACTGCACCTGCACTGATCGATGCCATCGGTATCAAACCAGGCGATCTCGTCAAACTTATATCAACTATGCACATATGGCAGCATTCACTTGGCAAAGGGATTGGCATGAATTGTGACACGCTGGATCTTAAGGGCCTCAAAGTCGTCACCTTCCTTCGGCTGAGAAACCTTGCCCTTCTTATCGACCTTCACATTGGCCTTCTCCAACTTTGAAAGAACATCACCGCCCTCATCTTGTGGACTCAGGTTCAAGACTTTCCCAAATACTGTACTGTTGCCGTCAAGGTGCGGCGCAGGTGCAAAAACAATGAAGAATTGACTTCCGTTTATGGTCGCACCAGTGGCATTCTGTGATCCGGGTGCTGTTCTGTCCTTGACGGGGCGGGCTGCCATAGAGAGGATACCACGGGCATTGTGTCGGATTGCTGGAATATTGATTTCTTGATTCAGCGCAGAGGGATGGTAGATTGATGTGCCGCCTTTAGGGACCTCAAAGGGTAGCGCCGGTTTTGTGGAGGCTGAGGGTCGGGCAACTGGTCCAAGGGAGATGTCACCGCCTTGGATCATGAAGCCTGGAATGAGGCGGTGAAACGGGGTATCATTGTAAGCGCCGCAGGCACAAAGGGCGAGAAAGTTCTCTGCAGTTTCGGGGACTGCTTCACAGAATAGCTCGACCTTGAGGTCGCCCTGGGTGGTATGAAGCTGGATAAGCAAGTATCAGCACTGTCTCCAGATATGATTAATAAGGAAGATTGCCATAACTAAAATGCTTACCGTGACCGACATTATGTGGAATTCGGGTCTTATTGAGTATGCGCAGTGACAAGAAGAAAGCAGAGTCAAGGTGGTTCGGGCGATGAGCCCAGCCACGATATAGCGCTTAGTCATGTATATGGGGATGCGGCCAAGGCTCGATCTCCGATAATCGTTTACAGTCTCAACCTCCAGTCCTTAAATGAAATAACATTGATTTCATTCCCTTACAAGATTTGAAATTCAAGCGAGAATCGGATCTCCTATTCCATTTGAGTCCCCCCGTTGGAATTCGCCGCTGCTTCGTCAAGCGCGACCATCCTGGTCTGAAGCAAATCGCCAACCATGAACCGCCCAGTGGAGCAAGCCCTGGGGAACTTGGTCCCAACCCACGCGAATGATCTGCCACAAGAGCTGCTGAGCTTGGCTTCAAGTCTTGTTGCTCAATCCCGAAGCTTCTCGAGCAGTCTGAAGCCTGAGGAAGAAATCGCCCGACCTTATGCCTGCGCAGAGATCGCCTGCAGGAGGTGTGTGCTTATGGGCTTTGCTGCTCTCACAAGCAAAACAAATCGATTCCAATTGACTGAAATTTTCCAATCACAGGCTTACTCGAGCGTTGAAACTTCCTCCGTTGCTCGGTCACCCACCGTGCCCTCCGCGCGTTTACAAGAAGCTCTATTCATATCTAGATCGGTCTCTTTCGTCTAGCTCCGTCGGTATCAAGCGAACAGCAAGCGGGTCTGTCGCTGGCACACCATCCCGCTCCCATTCCATTCATGCGACGCCTAGTAAAGCCACAGTCGGTGGACGAACGCCTTCAAAGGTCGCTCCTACCCCCCGAGGCCTACAAAACACACCCTCCAAATCCACACCCTTGAAGAGAAGCGTCAGTGTTGCCAAGCTCGGTACACCATCCAAGTCTGTGCGGAAGCCCACAGGCCATCCTAATGGCATATCTGCCTCTACTGTTATCCCTGATGCGCCAGCATGGGCGATGACGGCCATCCGCACCGTATGCAAGACACTCTCGACCCCAGCGCCACGCACGACCACATGGTCTCGACCTCCAATCTCGAGAACACTTCCTCCTCATATTTTTGCAGGTGTATCATCTATTCTTTACCTGACATCCAGCATGTCCAGTAACGAGGAGGGGATCGATGAAGAGACCCTAGATTTCCTGGAGCCCATTGTGTCAATCACGAACGCAAACAATGATGAAGATTTCAAGGAACTTGTATACGCCATGGTCGTTGCCGTATACTTCCTCGTTTTGGCTCGTCGACGAAACCCGGCTGCATCAGAAGATGGCGAAGTAGCGAACGAAGGCCAGAAAATGGACAAGAAAACGTTTACCGAGATGCGCCAGACAGCACTGACCAGTCTTGGCCTTCCTAATGACAGGCGTCATCGCGATGATGTCGACCATTGGATCGGATTAATCATGGAGCAAGGCTGGGCTAATCAACAGGAGTGGTTTGAGAACATTCCACTCGCGGGAGAATTGGACGGTGAGGATGAGGAAGGAAATTCATTTCGCAATCTCGACGAGGAGGATGCGGCCTTCCGAGGTGTGAACCTACCTAAGCGCAACGGTGAAACTAGCGGGGCCAAGGAAGGCTCTCGGTCCAACGATGCTACTCGCGGTGGCCTCCTGCCCGGACTAGGTACTATGATGCAGGATCGGGTTGACTGGCTGAGTGAGGACCGCCGCGAAGATTTCATGGATTGGAAAGCTGAGATGCTTGGCCGCATTGAGGGCGGACTGGGTAGGGCGGAGCTTGCGGCTATCTGAAGGTTCCCCTTTCCTGGGATCTCAGGATGGAACAAGTAGCGCTATAAGTAGAATCGATACCCTTCATGATTGAATGAATAAAAATTGAAAATTTCTATACTTTTTTTCATTATCAATAGACCATCTATGAATATTCACCAAGTTTGCCTGTAGGACCGACGAATCTATCTGCTGCGCTTTTAACAAAGACCAGGGCTACCAGAGCCATAGTCAATAGACCAATTGGTAGGCACGAATGCCAATTCAAAAATGCTGACTGAATGACACCATTGACGCCATGGGAAGAATCTGCCTTAGTACCAAATGCTCCGTGTCCGGTGGTGAGGAATGCTCTCACTATGCTCCGCCTCCAAATCCTTCATTGTGTCGTATAGGAAAAAGTCAATGAGAATCGCATTGATACCGTAGGTTTTGTGCGGCTTCTCGTCGATTTCAATGGCCTCATCGGAATCCTCGCTCTCGGGCTCACCAGTCTTGTCGGACTTGCCAGCGGTCTTGACCTCCGGGTGCCGCTTTTCAATCTCACGCTTAATCAGCTCAACACACCAGATACTGGCACCACGAAGCTCGATTTCCCAGTTGGAGCCTGGCTTCAACAGCTTCTGGTTGCGGATATGGCTTTCCAATGGGGGCGAGAAGCGCAAACACCCAAGCTGGTGCAGCATCTGCGGAATGCGGTAGTCTTTGGGATGTTATAAGCAATTGAATAACACGGTAAGGGAGAAATTCGTACCTGCAAACATGGTAATCTTATCAATGTCGTGAAACTCTCCAAAGTCCTCGCCATCGAAGCAGGCCCATAGGTCCGCGACCAGAATCTGGGCTCGCTTGTATAGTCGCACTCGTTTGCCGTGGAAGACTGTCTCATCACGGAAACAGTCAAAGCTCTCCGTAAGCAGATTGACGAGGCCAGCAGCAGAATAGTTGGCGCTGTCGATGCAATTTACAAAGCTGCCTCCATATTCCTGAGAGCCATGTTAGAATCTGCGAACCGTTCAGAGGGAGAGAGAAAGTACGTTGCACAAAACATCACCAGCCTCCCGTAAACACTGTACTCGTTCTTGGAATAGAGGAATCTCCTCGTCCGTAGCAGACCGGAAGACATGTCGAAGAACTTCCTCTGTGCATTCCGACTCGTTCACCCAAAAATCGGGGGTAGTGATAGGAATACCTGTGGATTTGATCGTCAGTCTTGATCCTCGTAAGAAGCATCAACCCGATACTCATGCACCGTACCTTCATCAAGCGCTCTTTGAAGAGCAGCCACTAGACTCCAATAACCAGTCCACTTCTTTCCTCGGTACTCGATTGCAAAGCGTTTCTCCTCTTTATGCTCGGACCAGAAACTGAAATTCAGGAGATCCATCGTGAACACAAAGTCCACTGTACTTTCATCCTTGGTTTGCGGGTGCAATTCATGCTCTGACCAGGTCTGTGTGGAGTATGCCTTCTTCTGCATCATACGCCATATTGTCTCGGCCGCATCTTTGGTGTGTGTCAAGCTGAGAGCCACATCAATGGCATTGTCAAATACATACTGAGCATTCTCCAGTACTTTAGTCTCCGGCGGAGCAGCCTTGTTTGGCTTACCGCTTAGCCCAAGATGCTGGCGAAGCAGCTCCACCAGCTCAGGGTCCGCTTCGTCTTCGGACCCTGAATCAATGGGCTGGTTTCTGGGCCGAATTGGTTCGAGAGAAGGCATTTCCGTTGATTTGGGAAATTTTTATATGTGGAGTGTGAAAATGAGCTATCCAGACGTTGTTGTCAGGAAAACCCCTATATCTCTTGCGACAGGGACAAGATGCACAATAGAAAGGGTCAATCCAGGGCCAATTTACCCAACCACACAAAGAAAATCGGCCAAAAACTCCGATCGGGGATCTTAAGAATGAAAAAATATGGATCTGGATGACTCTGGATATGCAAAAAAGAGCGATGGGAAGGTTCTTTCTTTTGCCACGGAGAGAATCCATCGATTTTTGGATAGAAACACCTCTTATGTAAGCAGGGGCAGGCAAGAGGCTGAGACAGAATGAGAATCTTCTACTTCCAAGGTTGATGCTTGTACAGATTCTTCCTGATGTCTCTTGAGAAGAATTTGATTGATAAATGTCATATGTATTGTTTGGTAATTTTTATTTACCAGGCCTGGACTACACTGAACTCGTATGAAGTCATTAACATGTACTCCGTATAACCATGGGATTATGCAATCTCCCCAGTACAGTCCAGGCTCATGTTTGCTTTCAATTCAGACTACGAGGGGAAAATCAAACTTTCTAATTAGCAATCATCAGAGCTTCCATCCGATTGACTGGAAATCCCAACAGGTAACTAGAACAAGCGGGGATGCAAGGTCCTGTGAGTAGCCGTAAAAAGACTGTATGGAATGCAGAGGCAATTGTATGTGGAGGCAAACAATTACCTACGAGAATTAATGTAAAGACAAGATAATTATCTATAGAATTTGATACCCAAATAGTGAAAATGAAGTCCTCAGATAAGGATAACAAGTCAGTAGTAGCGGAGGTTGCGGAGGTGGCGGGTGAAGCTTTGCCATCATTGACAGTCAAGACCTCGTCTCGGCCTCTGTTTCCGTATCTCACGCGCCCTACCTTCTCTCCTTCTCACCCACCCACCCCTCCTCACCTTCCTTTGTTCTTGCGCGATCGATATGGTCTATTTGATCCCCGACCACCTTTGATTCCATACAGAGAGAACCTCGTACTTCCCACTGCGCCCGTCATGCCAGGAAGCTCGATCAAGCGCTCGCTCGGCGTTGAGCTCACACGCACCATTCAAGAGGTAAGGATCCTTGCGATGACAAGGGAAATCTCTAAAGGGATGAACCCATTTAACGCGATCAGAAACTGATGTCATTTTCTTTTACTAGTCTCGCGTGTTGCTGGTTGGTGCCGGCGGCATTGGATGCGAACTTCTCAAAAATCTCGTATTGACAGGCTTCGGTGAAATCCATATTATCGACCTTGACACAATTGATTTAAGCAACCTCAACCGCCAATTCCTTTTCCGACATGAACACATCAAGAAACCCAAGGCCCTGGTGCGTCGGTCCATTGTCCTCCGATTCCCTTCCCCTACAATCCTCCCATTGCGCACAGCATGCGCTATGTGCGCATTTGCATAATATATGGTTCTGACAGGAGTGGATGGCTTATTTAGGTTGCGAAGGAGGTGGCGCAAAGGTTTCAGCCAAAGGCAAAGCTAGAGGCCTACCATGCCAATGTCATGGACAAGCGGTTCAACATTGAATGGTTCAAATCATTTAACCTGGTCTTTAATGCGCTTGACAATCTTGCCGCGCGGCGCCATGTAAATCACATGTGCCTTGCTGCAACCGTCCCATTGATTGAGAGTGGCACCACAGGCTTTAATGGCCAGGTGCAGGTTATTGAGAAGGTGTGTCATAACAGAAGCAGAAAGTGAGAAAAGGTGTGACTGACTCAAGCAGGGGACAACTGAGTGCTATGATTGCAATCCCAAAGAGACTCCCAAAGCGCATCCTATTTGCACAATTCGGAGTTCACCCACCCAGCCAATCCACTGTATTGTATGGGGGAAAAGCTACCTATTGCCGTAAGCTCGCATGGATAATTTTGGGAGTTCGACGATTCCTAACCGGTGGATAGTGAGCTATTTGGTGAAAGCGAAGACAGCGCAGATACCCTTGACAATTCAACAACTGCTGACAATGGTTAGTCCAGACGGAGCCGTGCCACAATTTCATAGGTGATGCTGATATTTAAACAGCCGAAGAAATCGCAAAATTGAAGCAGCAAGCGCAGCAGCTCCAAGAAATTCGTGATTCCATGGGCTCGGAAGAGTTTCCACAGAAGATTTTTGACAAGGTATTCAGGATAGACATTGAAGAGCTGCGTGCAATGGACGGAATGTGGAAAGAGCGCAAAGCTCCAGAGGTCCTTGAATGGGATGACCTTCAGGAGAAGTCCAAGTCTGTAGAACCTACAGTCGCCGAAATCGACCAGAGGGAGTGGACGACACCGGAAGCCTTTTTCGTGTTTAAAGACAGGTTGGTTATTCCCCTATATTATTTTTTCTTTGACTAAGTTGCGGCAGTTTGGACCGATTGAGCAAACGCCTTAAAGAGCTCCAGAAAAAAGCAACGCCCGAAGATCCTACTCCAATTATAGAGTTTGACAAAGATGACAATGATACGTTGGATTTCGTGACCGCAACGGCCATTTTGCGTGCCGCGGTATTTGGTATTGAACCCAAATCCAAATTTGATACTAAGCGTAAGTCCCAACCGCGTGTCCAATATAGTAAGCTTCTAACATGCGTCGCAGAAATGGCCGGCAATATCATTCCTGCCATTGCCACCACAAATGCCATGACCGCTGGACTGTGCGTACTCCAGGCGTTCAAAGTACTCCAGGGCGAGCTGGCAAATTCAAAGATGGTATGATCTGCAATCTCTCTCTCTCTGACACCTGCACTTTGTGGCTGACACACTTTTCTTTCAGGTTTTTCTCGAGAGATCTGGAGCCCGAGCTATTAACTCTGACTCACTGAACCCCCCGAGACCCGATTGCGGTGTTTGTTCAGCAGTGCACGCACAGGTCATCGTCGATCCTAAACAAGCTACTCTCAACGACATTATTGAGCAAATACTTCGATCAGAGTTGGGTTACGGGGAGGAGCTCTGTATTCTCAAAGACTCAAATCTCATATACGATCCCGATCTTGAAGAGAACCTTCCCAAGAAACTCTCAGAGCTTGGAATCACAAGTGACTCTTGGATTACTGTCGTTGATGAAGATGATCAAGACCAAGATCCTCGGGTTAACCTTGAACTATTCATGATTGAAAGGTGAGCTATAAATTGTCCGCAAATACTTGATGTTCCCAAGCTAATCAAATAACTAAGAACTGAGCCGGCTGTGGAAGAAACCAAGCTCGCTGTGCTGAAACAGGCCGTGGAGATTCCCCGTAAACCAAAGCCAAAAACAAATCCCGTTTCCGAAGACACCGTAGTGGCAAATGGTGCCACTGGCAAGCGAAAGCGAGAAGGTGAAGATGATGATATGACGAATGGGCACATCGCCAAAAAGGTTGCGGGTGAGTCAACGTCCAATGGGGAAAACAACGAGCCCATCATTATTGAAGACGAAGGTGCCATCTTGATCGACTAGTAGACACACCCAACTTCCTCTTTACAGACAGGCTTTGAGTTTTTTTTTTTTTTTTCCGAGACAAGAAAATAGAAGTTTGATTGGCCTTGGTTTGATTTGTTATTGTTTTGGATTTTGGATTTGACTACCCATATTGCTATTACCTGTGTACTATATCTCACCAGATCATTTTATGCTCCAGTGATTGAGAAACATTTTACGATTTAAGAAATTCAACATGTATATCCATATGTAGTGCAGGCTCGATCCCTACAATTTCCAGGTTAATAGGAAGCAGTAGACTATAAGCATAATAACCGTACCTGAGCTTCCCCCGGGGGGAAGGCCGATCAGACTGCACTTAACCCGCCATCAAGATTAAGCACACAGTTGTTGGCATATTCGTTTTGCGCAAGGAAGACAGCGGCATCGGCCACTTCACTCGGTTTTCCAAATCGATGAAGAGGTATAGTATCGTTAAGCCTGCCCACTTCACCAGGAGTAAAGTCTGGATAGGTAAGTAAGTAATAGATACCAAAGATCAATAATAGATTTAGACGTACCTGCAATCATAGGAGTCTCAATATATCCAGGCAGAATGGCGTTAGACCGAATGACAACATCCTTCAACGAGGCCGATGCCTCAACCGCCACCGATCGGGTCAGTCCCAAAAGACCAGCTTTTGACGCAGCATATGGCACAGCTCCTGTTCCTGCCTTCAGGGCCAATAGTGAGGAGATGTTGATAATACATCTCGAAAGCCTTTTGCCTCCGTCCGCGGCATTACGGTTGCGCACGCGACTGCGGATTGCGGCGCGCATCAATGCTCGGGAGGTTAGTATAGCGCCCTCGAGATTTGTGCGGAGAATTTTGGAAATATCCTCCAGCTCGCATCGGGGAAGAATATTTGTAACGGAGATTCCTGCTGCATTGACAAGGACATCCACATTTGTCTGCAACGTAGGTTAGCTTTTATCTGAACAAGATGATGAATATACAATCGATGCTCACCATTTCCTTTTCGAGTTCACGCATCCATGTACCGGCTTCTGCAACATCCCCGACAAGTAGTCGCACTTTGTCTGAGGACCGGAGATTCGCGGCTGCTGCTTCAAGACGCTCTTGGGACCTGCCAACGAGGATAATTGATGATGCGCCCTCGTGGAGAAATCTTTGTGCAATCGCAAATCCAATGCCTGAAGTTCCACCTGTGATCATGCATGTTCGACCCAAGAGCCGGTTGGTAGGCTGAAAGGTATCTGAGGTATCATTGGTTCTGGGCTGCGTAGAGGACAGAAACCGGAAGTTGCCCTTTGCGCTGCCTGTACTTAGGAGTGAAGGTCTGGAAATATTCATTTGTTGCGTGTAAGATACCAGTCGGGCTGGAGCTCTGAGAAGATTCGCAGATATGATGTTATTCATCTTGACTTGTTTAAAGCTTTTATACACTGCTCGTGTCTTATGAATTGAGGATATACGCGCTCGTTATCGGGTTATCGTTATCGTATATCCTTATCGAGAGCACGGGCCAAGACAAAGGTATCTTCAAGTTCGTTCTCATTTCCGTCCATCTACGCAACACGCACATCCCGACCATGGCATCCTCTTCTACATCCGAGTATGTGACCTTGGTATCATGCGATGGCTTTGAATTTATTCTGCCTCGCAGCTCCGCTTGTATCTCGGGTACAATCCGGCGCATGCTGGACCCTTCAAGTATGTCAATGCCCATCCAAGGATCCTGAACGCCAATTGACCATGCTTCCGTTTAAAGGCAACTTCTCAGAGGCTATTACCGGCCGCTGTGTGCTTGAAAATCTGAGGTTCGTGCGCGACTCCGTACCATAACTTACCCTACAAGACTTGTGCCGTGATAATAACCGTCATCTATCGCAGTGGTGTCGTCCTGGAGAAAGTCTGCGAATACTTCCTTTACAATGAGAAGCACAAGGATCAAGCCAATGTGGCTGATATGGAAATTCCAGCTGAGCTCTGCCTAGAGCTCTTGATGGCGGCCGATTACTTGGACACCTGAAATTCCGGCGTCTTTAAGTGAACGACGTATTCCTCGCTGGTTAACAGGGCGATTAAACTGACAAATTTGCTTCGCGGTGTTCACGCAGTGAAAGCGAACGGAGGTGGGAACCCTTACGGGTGCACCATCGACCGATCCTGATGTCTTCGGATGGATTTGAGTAAGAGCGTAGCTGTTGGGACCCGAAAGATTTTCACATTTGCAATGATTCATGGCGCAACGAGAAGAGCGAAATACCCCGGGGGTATACTTACAAGGAGTTATGGGCCATCTGGAATACACCAGGCCCGGCGTTTTTTCTACGGCATGTACAATTACTGATCAAATACACACACGGTTAATTTGCTAAAAAAAACCGAGCATACTACATTCCGACAATCACTTAGCCATCCAAGCATCAAAACATTCGAGCCTGCTACGCTCCGTGGCCGAATGGTCTAAAATGGATGGCAGATCGACTGCTCCTGCTTTTTAGGCTGATGGTCCTTCTACTATGGATCTAGGCTTTGAAATTTGTGGCTTTGGGATCTGCGGGATACATTATTGTATGTTTATGGATGTGGCTCGATGGATATAGATCACGATGGCCGGATAGAACCTGCACAAAGCTTGATATGTATTGTTGAAAGAAATGACTTATTCAAGCCCCTCATGTCTCATGCTCTGTATTCTCACCTCTCATTGTCATGCAATGCTTGACAAACCACCAAAACTGATACTGAACGGAACTCATGGCTTATCCCTCTGCTGACTCATCCGGAGGAGGTGCCCGGTTTTAAGGAAGCAGAGGGCCCCAACACTTTCTTCCCCTCTTGATCGGTTGACAGTCAGCAGGAGCTATGCTCGCTATGGGTTCGAGTGTGACCTGTGATTTTTCCTGTCGCTCTGATTACATCTCATATACAACCTGTTGATACAAAGCGTCGCGTGGGGGTTTCCCCATAGCGTTCCGATTTCCCCGGATATTGTTGATAGTGATCACTGATAGGGAACCCCTTGACAACAGCCCACCATGTCTGGTGTTTTAGGCCCAGCATCGATGCCGAGCACTTCGCCTGCATCTATGGCCCAGGCGATTAACTCAACCATTTCCCGTACTTCTGGACATACTCTCCTTCCCTCGCCACGCGAACTTCTCTCCCTTCCTCTCCGCGCTTTAAACCATGCGGAAACATTCGCATTCAGCACCATTCCACGACACATCGCCCGACTGGCTGGGATAGAGGATATTACTTTGAATTTGTGGCCAACTGCTGCGCCAGTAGCGGGACAAAATATCGCAGGCCAGGCAATGAATACTGCTGCGGAGATCGCGGCCGGCGCTCCCGAGGTTGTGGAACAGGTGGAAAACTGGTATCTGGCAGAGCTCACGTCGACGATGCGGAAGGTCGGTGGCTTCTTTGGATATCTGACAAGCATATGGTCTTTTGCATGCTTGGTGGAGGTAAGCACATTGTCTACACTACTACATAGCGCCCACTGATAATCGCGACAGGCCTTGATCCTAAATCGAATTACAATCTATGCATCCACGCGACGGCATCTACAACTTGGATGGCAGCGACGCCTTGCCCTGCGCATTATTCCAATTCTTCTTTTCCTCTCACAGATCTTGACTTTGACACGCGGAATTCGATGTCAAACATCCCCTGACTTTTCGACAATGCGATATGGGAGGCCAGGGAAACCATTGGTATTTGATTACGCTACCGGTGGAGGCCCTCTACATTGGTTTGCATCCAGTCTGTTACCATGGGAATCCGACGAGCAAGCCTGCAGCGCTGTGCAGATGGCGCAAACGGCCAACACTTCCGGCATCCCCTATGGATCCTTCGCGCTCTTATGGCCGGTCTTCATTATCCTATGCGTGAGCCATTTTGTTGAAACACTTTCCTGCGCGTTACAAGGACGTCCTGTCATGACGGAGACAGGTATGTCGATCTTTGAGCACTCTCTTGCCTTTGCCGAAGCCGAATCCATGATCAGCAAGTCGATTGGACTTGGCATGTTTGGTCTCACGAAACACACTCCGCTCACCCAGGGTGGGGATGCGGATAGTGCGACTTCGCCTCTTCAACTTCTAACAAGATCGCAAGTCCTGGATCGCATGAATGTGACGCCCGAACTGCTACTTATCGTCTTAATTTCGTGCTGTAACAGTTTGACTTCACATGTCCTGGATGTCTTTGGCAAGCAAAGCCGATACCGACTTGCGAATACCGCTTTCTGGGGGGCTTGTTTCATGGCTACCATGTGCTGGGGGTTGGAAGCGGGCCCTCCAGTCAGCCTCGACACAGGTGTGCTTAAATTTCCCACTGTCTGTATCGTTGGGTTTATCCCTCATCTGCTTGTTTTGTTCGGAGTCCTCATATGTGTAGCAATCTACGGATTAGCCCTGACAATTACTGCATTTTCATTGTCTCCTGAAGGCAACCACCACCTCTCCCTCCGGGAGAAATTCGCGATCGCAAACGATAATATGCAGGGTGGCAGTCAGATTCGGAACATCCGTGTGAACCGACATGAAGATTTCTACACCACCTTGCTACGCGTTGGTTATGTGGCTTTAACGGCTGCCAGTGAAGCTGTGTTCTTGAACGAGGGCAAGGCAGTGATCGCGAGACAAATGACCTGGCTCGAACAAGACCGGCTTGCTGAGATTGAAGCCTCTCGGCAACGCAATTCTTCTCATGGAAGCTGGCCAAGTCACGGCGCGGGAACGTCGCCTTTTGATCCCGCCAGGTTTGCTAGCTTTGAGTTGCCAGATGATGTTTCAACCTGGGAAAGTGGATATGGCGTGGAGAAGAAGATCGAGAAGCCCAAAAATGGCTCAAGAGCCACCCAATCCCAGGCCGAACTAGGAGGTGTTGGTGCTGTGCGGTCTTCTGTTCGACTATGGCATGGCATATCTTTGTTCCGCGCGATCTTCTTATTAATCGCGCGTTGGATCGCCTACGGCTTTAATCGAGTACTTGATAGACTCGGTATTCGCGCTCGGCCACAATGGTTGAAGAAATTCGATGGATCACGGAAGAAGCGAAAAGTTAGCAAATCCTCTTCGTCGGAATTGTTAGACTTTTGGATTCTTACCGATGAAGGGGTGCTTGAACTTCCTGAGAACCACGACTTCGATGTCGAGCTGGAAATGAGGAAGCAGGAGACTTCCGGCAGACAACGCTGGGAACTCCCTGACGAGAGCAGACTGGAGGAGAAGATGTATGGGTGGTGGAAGGCCGGTGGGTCCTGGGGCAACCAAGATCATACTCCTGATTACAGACCCCCTGTGTACGAGGATGATATCACAAGTGTTGTTTCATTTTCCACAAACGCCTCGGAGTCCGAATGGGAGGACTACCCTTCAGATGGTCGCCGGACCCCCACTCAATCCAATCCAAACCCCGACTTCTCTCGCGAGAGTTCGCCCTTCCATGATACACACCTGGACATGGGAACATTCGCTCGTCTTCTTGATCCCCGTGATCTTGAAAGCAGAGAAGAAGCCCGCATTCTTGCTGCCCATCTCACCCCTAGACAGGGAGATCGCATTATGACTCGTAGCCAGTATCAAAAGCAGGTCGAACGCGACAGATCACGTGTTCTTCTTTCCTCTCGTGTACATTATGCCGGCTCCAAGTCGGCCGCCGAAAAGCGCAAACCTAGCCCCGAAGAAGAAACCGAAATGCTCGAACGGCTGATCATCTCTCGGCGCTCTGAAACCGCCCCGACATCAGATGTCCACAGTTGGGAAGAGGGCGCAATGGGTTTGGGCCCGAACGGACCACCCTGTGTAGTCTGCCAGACGAGCCCTCGGTCCATCATTACCTGGCCCTGTCGATGCCTTTGCATATGCGAGGACTGCCGTGTCAGCCTGGCCATGAACAACTTCGGTAGCTGCGTTACTTGTCGTCAAGAAGTTGGGGGTTTCATGCGGTTATGGGTTCCGTGAAAGACTGCGTTTCGGATTGCATCCTGTTTATTGTTTATGCCATATTTTGAGTTCGATATTCAACCCTTCTAATTCAGATATCTAAAATGCAATATGCTGTAGAAGTAGCATTAAGCCACAACCACTCGTTTCTGTAGTTGAGATGAAGACAAGTAGCGAGAGAAGACGACTACCTTCACTCATGAACCGAGTTGCTTCATTCTTTAATGGGATTTGAATGGGCCAAGGCGTGGTGCATGGTTCCGCACAAAACGATGCTAAGCATGCCTCTCTGTTAAGCAGCTGTCTCCTAAGGTTTCACAGAAACCACTGATTCTATGCCAAAATGAATGGTCCAAAATAGGTTTATAAATCATTATTATCATTATTTACACTCATCGGGGTCATTTTCATCTGCTAGGTAACTTGAAGAGTAGTAAAGATAAAGGTAGCGCAATCTCTTCGCAGAGACGGTCAAATCTAGGACTTTACCAAAGGTCGATACACAGCTTCCCACATCTGTGCCCGTATCCATTCCCTTAGCTCACTATCATCAGAAGGAATCTCTTTCTGTTGTGCAAGACCCTCGCTCAAAGAGCATTTTATCACAGCTGCAGCAATATCAACGCTAATTTCTCGTACATCTTCCACATCAGGCAAGAGAGGCTTATTCGGGTCCTCCAATGCCGGAGAGCGGGTTTTGAGTGCCTCGACAGCCGCGACCAGCATCTTTTTGGAAACAAGACGGCTGCGCGAGAGAACTGCACCAAGCCCGATGCCAGGGAAACAAGTTGAATTATTGCATTCTGCAATATCATATTTCACGCCATTAAATTCCACGGGTGGAAACGGACTGCCTGTTGCAACGAGCGCTCTGCCGTCTGTCCATTCGAAGAGATCCTTTGGCTGGGCTTCGTGCAGGCGAGTCGGATTGCTCAATGGGAAGACTATCGGTCGATGGATGTGCTTTGCCATCTCTCGGATGATTTCTTCTGTGAATGCTTTCGGCTTCGTGGATGTGCCGATCAACACATGAGGTTTGACGTTCTGGATGACTGATAGTAAGTCATTTTGTTGTCCTTGTGGCCACTCTGTATCCTCCCTTGCGAATGGTGTCTGAGCCGGAGTCAATTTCTCGGCCATGGACTTCAGGAGAAGCCCGGGTTTATCAATACACCTTGAGAAGTTCATGTCAGTTCCAGAATCCTCTTGCGAGATACTGGACATACCATATCTGCTTTGAAGCCTCCGTCTTTGGTTTATTGGTCTCTGTTGCAATGGTATCCGCGATTTGATCCGCTATTCCTGTGCCAGCTGTCCCAGAGCCAAATACCACTACCCGGACATCTTCCATCGAGACTTGGCTCACGTGTAAAGCGGCCATCATCGCGGCCAGGGTCACACACCCGGTACCTTGGATATCGTCATTAAAGCAAGGGATATCTGACTGATACTTCTCCAGGATTCTTTTTGCATTGGAAAGTCCAAAGTCCTCGCTAGTTGTTGTTAGTGTGGCTTAATCGAGCATAATCATTTGATGTGATCCACTCACAAGTGAATATAGGCGTTTGGAAAGCGCTTACGAGCACTTTGAACAAAGCGATCCACGAACTCGTCGTACTCCTTGCCTTGATATCGGCTTTGACGCAGTCCCAAGTACAAATCGTCTTTCAGCAACCCTTCGTTCTAAAAGGCATATGTATTAACGCTGATATATAATTTCATCTGTTCGGTTTTCTTACGTTCGTTCCACAGTCGAGGATCACAGGCAACTGTCGCGCCGGATGAATACCAGCACAAAGAGTGGTGATCACAAGTTTGGCCACGGAGATAAGAATTCCACCGACACCTTGGTCGCCGATTCCAAGAATCTGCAGTCCTTAGTTCTGGGTACTCTCTAGCAAATATTTGCATGTACAAACGTACCTCTTCCCCATCGGTGACGACAATATAATCGATATCTTCCTCATTTCCAAATTGTGCCAGGTTGCTGTCAATAGAATCTTGATCGCGAATGTTCAAAAAGCATCCTTCAGGTTTCCGGAACAATCGCGAGTAGTTCTCAATGGCGTCACCTTCGGTGGGAGTGTAGATGATACTAAACATTTCCTTGAGATGGGTCTGCAGCAGCTAATTGCAGATTTTATTATCAACAAACAACGCACATGTGCACAGGACTGGTAAATTTGGATGCAGGGCGCATACCTTGTAGAACAAGACTTCATTCTGTGCCTTCATGCTAGCCATGAATGTGTTCTTGGCTAGATCATCACTTCGGCTGCTGTATTGCTGGTAGGCGCGTTGAACCTGCTCTTCCAGAGTCTGAATATTAGGTGGCAATAAACCATTTAGTTTGAAGAGTTGCCGTTCATCGTTAGGGTATGCGGTTCCTTTGTTGAAACGCGAAGTCTGAAGTACTGCGGTGCCCTGGAGAACCGTTCAGCATCGCGTTCAGGCGTCTCACGGCAAAGCTTACTGACCTCATAGGGACATCTTAATGGTCGAGTAATCGAGCGAGGTAATGCGTTGAATCTGTTAATGGCGGACATGTTGGCATCGGCGAACGGGTTTCTAGGTGGTTGCGTGATGTGCAGATGCGGGGGAAAGGCATAAATCCCAGGCGGCCTGTGTGGCACAATCAAAAGTGATTACAATAATTGTTTAATTAGGAACTCTACTGCCCTGCTGATAAGGTTATCCTCGTTAATTGACTGGGCGGCACAGCGGGGTAAAAGTGGTGGTCTTCCAGGTTGGTCTGACCTGAATATCGAGCTGTGATGTCATTTTGTCGTTTTTGTCCTGGTAGTAGACTTGACATAAGTCATGACTGTAGATATATTAGTTTTATGCATTAATGGACCTTATATTCCAGCTAATTTTTCCAATGAATCGAATTCTTCCAATAAATTACCTATTATGTAGAGCAGTCTCATTGAACAAACAGTCAGAAAGCCCCAAATTGCACATATTTGATTGTTCATACAATTTTACCAGATACAAATGACAGCTCAAGTATTGATATTCTTGAGGCTGGTATTCCTTTGTCCTGTCTTCTTACTGCGAAAAGAAAATGTACTAAATCGTCTGGGTTTCATATCCAGCTCCGGTTCGGGCTTCTCTTTACCAGGTAAGATAGACGTGCCATAAACCATGGGATTCTTTGATTTCTGGTAAAGCCACCAGCATAACATTACCAGGAGTGTCAGCGGAATGGTCATTGCAGCCCAAATAAGACAAAACCGTTCTCGAATAGCCCCTCCGAATACACCAGCGCCGATAACAGTACCCGCAAAGGTTCCGGGCAAAAAGACCATGGTTAGTGCAGCGATCGCGTTCATGGATGTAGAGTCCTGCTTCATGCTATGCGAAATCTGAATATTGTTCGCCGCATCCTGTTGTGTCACGAGATTGTAGACCAGCGACAAGGTGCTGTCTTTTCGTTGCTTGTAGTTCAAAAACCAGATCTTTTGCTTCTCCATGGATGAAATAATGTAGCATATGGAGTCCTCGACTCGCTGTAGAATAAAAGGACTGGAATGTAGGAGTGAAGACGTGAATCGGAAATGAGCATCTCGGATGGCTGTTGCTGTGATTATGGCCACATCTGCATTTGCAGTATGGGAATCTGCATTGTGGGACATGATCTGGAGTTGCTTGGTCAGGTCTCCGAGTTTTTCTGGATCGCTGGCCTCGATTCCGGCGAGATAATCGTCTAATTTGTTAATTTGGGTCCACATGAATCGCTGGAATCGCTTGACGTGGTATTTTGAAGCTTCAAAGGAAAGCGTGGACAGTATGACATGGATATCGAAGGGATCATCCAGGAACACGGCACTCCTTTGTGTTTTGGGGGCGGTATGGAGTGCAGTATCAAGAAGGGACTGCAATGTCTTGATGCAGGTATCGGATTCCTTATGTGAGATGATATACGTTGTCAAATTATGAGTAATATCATGTCGCATGTAAACTGACGTTGGAGGTCCTTTAACATGCAAGTTCCAGCAAGGGTGCTGGCAAAACAAGTCTAAATTTCAATCAGTATGTATTTTCCTTTCATCAAGTTTGTTTTTCTGACCGCAAGCAACCAGACTCCCATTATCGTCGGCCTCCAAGTGCTTCTGAGGGGCCCAGTAATCAGGCCGACCGATCAAATTCAGCAGAAAGGCAGGGTTTATGTTCAAAAGTTTCATGAGACTATTTGTATTCTCCCTGGTAATTAAAGCCCGCGAGCCAAACGAAGTTCGTTCAGCGGGTACCAGAGGCACAAGACTAGACTGGTCAGCGGCAAAACCATGTATTCCATTGGAAAGCTTACAAAACTAGCATTTTGCGTCCAGTTGAAGAGTTAGAAGACGAGGGCGCCGAAGAGGACAGATTGTATTGCTGAAAATTGTCAAATTAGGCCCAAGCTATAGTTTCCTGAGTCGTACGTACTTGTAGAAGATCCTGCATGCCATTCTCGTCCAGTGTTTCCCACTCTGTAGTTCATGAGAGATTGAACATTATATTAAAGGGTCTCCAGTACATACCTCCACCCTGCAAGTCAACTTTCAAGCACTGAATTCGAGTATCAGGAGAGAAATTATGATCATTTTTCAGATGGTGCTCGTACTGAACGGCATCAAACACTTGCTGGAGAGAACGAAGATTGCCCAGCGGGTAGTTGTCTGTGTCAAGGTCAAAATTAAAGTCCAATTCATTCACGGCAAGATCGGATTTCTCAGCATGTCGATCGACATCATTCTTGGATCTTGAATTCGGGCGCTGTTCAACTGCAGCGTTCACAAGGGAAGCCTCGAGTCGGAAAAACCGAGTCAAATCCCCCGTTTCTGCCTGGCTAAGAAGGTCTGGAAGCCCTGGCATCTTAATTTCATGTAGAATCTTCACGAAAAGACGAGATCCCTGATCGCCAATATAAATGTTCTGAAGTCAAGACACCAGCTTGCGATCAGACCTGTCCGCGTCAGAGGGTCAGGTTCTTATCTCTCATAAAAATCTTGAAATTCAAGACGAAGTGATTGGTGAGAATAAGGGAGTTGACCATAATATCGGACGTGGTTTTTACATCTTTAAATGGTCATCCAGGGCTCATAAGCTGCATGGAGGCTCGGTAGCCGCACCTTCTTAGGGGCAAATTCGTATTTAAAACGTGTGGTGGTCACTTTGGCGCGATAACACGAGTTGTATGGGATTTTCTTTGTCCACTAGCAATGGCTAGATTAAAACAGGGCTGGTAAGCAATTCCTATAAGCACTAACTGTATGTAACCCGGGTTTTGGTAGTTGACTAGCCAATCGAAGGGCTTCCTATATGCGTGTGTTTATCATGAGCATTTGAATTCGTCAAATCAGATACTGTCTCAATATCACTAGCCTTAGGGGCCGACTAAAGTATAGAGATATCATGAACGTCAATTTGGGTTAAATCTGTTCATCAGCGCACCAGTGAACTTTGACAAAAAATTGTAAATACGTGGGGGATCAAGGTAGCCCAACCTTAACCTTATCGGGTCGCGTGATCCGCTTTTCCTCCCCAGCCATGTTCTTTCCAGGAGACGGAAGACGGATTTTAGACTCGACATTCGACCCATCTTGAGCGAACTTCGAATTCCTTTGAAAAGCCATTCTCATCATGGCAATTGGTCCTCTCAGCCATGCAGAGATATGCGCCAAGTTCGACCGGCTGGTGTCTGACGGGATCATCGCTTATCAACCCAGCAAACCCGTTCTTGTTGCCGACCAGGGAATGATCGTTCGTATCACCACATGACTCCGAGCCTCCACAAACTAATTATTTATAGTTCTGCTTCCACATAGTCCAGACCCTGAAAAACAAGCCACAGGCGGATGATGCCGTCCAAGTAGTGCATTCAAGTGTGGACCCTCATTCGGGAACTTTTGGCCCCGGCAGCGACATAGCAAGGGATCACCCCGATGTCTGCATCACAATCGTCAACGAAACTCACTATCTTGTGATGAACAAGTTTCCAGTCTTCCGCCCCATGCTTCTCTTGCTGACTGTCGACTCTTATCGGAGACAACACGAGTCGCTTGATCGCGAAGACATCGCTGCCGGGTGGCGTATGATCTGTGAGATGAAAGAGGAACACTATGTATTCTTTAACTGTACTGTCCTGGCTGGGTCAAGCCGGTCGCATAAACATCTGCAGGTGGTCCCTGCGCCCGGGGCTCACGAAGGATACGGGGAAGGGTTCCAATTCTTCCCAGATTATGATTCGATGCCGGAAGAAGGCCCACCTGGCTTTGTTTATTTCCTGCACAGATTCAAGAACCGGGTGTTATCGGATGGTCGTGTTCAAGATAGTGAGTATGTGCTAGAGACATATTTGCGGCTGTTGCACCAGGCTCGGGAAAAGCTGCATGTGCAAGACGGTGATATCTGCCCACATAATTTTGTTCTGACCAAGCGATGGATGATGGTCATTCCCAGAAAGGCAAAAGTATTTCATGGGATTACGGCCAACTCCGCGGCAATGGTTGGCTCGGTTTACCTGGAGAGTGAACAACAACTAGACGCATGGAAAGAGGTTGGTCCGATGAAGGTTCTAGCTAGCCTTGGACTGCCCAGACAGCAATAAATGAATTAGACTTGCATAATATTAACACTGTCACATCCTCAGTATATTAATCACATCCTCAGAACAACAGACAATTGATATCCCGTCCAACAATTTTGGACTACAACACTAAATCAGACTAAATAATTTACAGGATATAAGCAGCGGCAGCAGCGATGGCAGCAACACCAGCCAGGTTACCCTTGACATTAGCACCAGCATTGTAGGCAGGCGAGGTAGTGGCCGAAGTGCTACCACTGGTCTTGGTACCGGTACCCTTGGTAAGCGGGGTGGAAGTGCCAGCAGGGGTAGATCCGCTGGGGGTGGAGCCCGAGCTGAGAGTGGTGGAGCCAGTAGGCACCGAGGCGGAAGCACTCGAGTCAGTAGCCGAAGCGGAGGACTCAGTGGACCCAGAGGTGCTAGAGGCGCTCTCAGTGGCAGAGGAACTAGCAGTGGTCTCTGCGGTGGTTTCAGCGGGAGCAGAGCTGGTGGTAGCGCCAGTGGTAGCACTGGCGGTCACGATTGGGGCGAGCGAAATAGGAACGCCGGCTGATGAGCATTGGGAGACGACGACATTGGAGACGGCTAGGCAGAGTATTAGTGGATGTTAGCAGTGGAAGATGCGGGATACATACATGCTTGGTCGGCAAGGCCGCAGGCCTTCTCAACGCAAGGGGTGATGTTGCTAACCAGTGCAGGCTTTGCGCAGTGGCAGGCAAAGTCAGTCAGACTGGAGCATCCGTCAGTGGTCAGGGCGGAGACGAAGCAGTTAAGCTGGATTTTGTTAGCGAATGTTGTGCGCTATATGTGGGAAGCAGATCATACCGAGCATTTAGGAACATCAGGAAGCTGGGCATTGGCCAGGCCGGCAGCAACGAGGGCAATCAAAGCGTGGGAGAAATGCATGTTTGCTGAGAAAATTCGAATGTTAAAGTTATTCACGAATGCCGGAAGCGACTGTCAAAGCTATAACGAGCGAGGAGATACTTAGAATGAAAGCAGGACGTAGGGTCAGACAGAGGATACAATGGCCTTTTATAAGCTTTGATTTTTGTATTATGCTCCAACTTGGCAATCTATTTTCAGGGTCGTACTGGGTGCATCTTCATCACATGTTTCCATCGGAATAGGGAAATGGGCATCTAGAATGCACAAGGGCCGCGGTTGACTTAGGTTTTTTTGTGGCTGCAAGCCAGGATCCCTGAACGCCCACTGCAAGGCCAAGCCTATGGCTGACACCGGATTCTGTGTTAGTCCCGGATATTTGAGGTGAGAATATATTAAAATCTGGTTCGGCGTAGGAAAATGCCGCGCATCATTGGCTCCGCAAAGTCGGGGTAAGCGAGACCTGTACAGAACTTTGTTTCCTCGAAGTAGTCTCTCCAGTGCTACCAATCGGCTGTTTCGTGGAGTACTTGATCATGATTAGTCGCACGGCTGGATCGGGGTACCTTGTCTTTAATTTCCACTGACTCTGGAAGGGCTGTCAGAGCATGTTATGATAGAGTGCGTTAAGCCCAAACGGTATGAACGTAGTAGCACATGCTGCATCAACACTGCAGGTCGCCACTAGTCGAACGCCTTGTACGTAATGGGACTGGTGCCATGCCATTCAAGGGTCATTTTGGCGGTGGAACAAAGATTGCGTAGGATACGTAAGTCATGCCCTTGGCACACCTACACAGGTAGGCAGCACGGCAGATGGACCGACTGAACAAGAGCCAATTATGAGATATCGAGATAGGGTTTAAGGAGGCGATTCTGCAGTGAAACCTGGCTACTCTCTTCTTCCAAGGTTTGGAATTGAAGGATTTATTTTCGAGAAGCCGTGGCGTATCACGGAAACGTAGGGCCGAAGGTAAATCTGGGGAAAGACACTAGGCCCCGACTTGCAGTAGGGTAGCATCCGACTATTCCAAATCAGGTCTTGATCCGAAACTTCCGACCTAACCCTGTGCCATCAATATATTTTGGCTTTTGGGTCGCACGAGATGTTTAATGTCATACTTGAGTCTTTGCATGGTCTGCGGGATAAACAATGCGGTCCAAACTCGCGCAAGTTGCGGAATACCTTTTTCTCGAGAAGAATTAGTCCGGAACCTCTCAAAACGCTTTGTATTCCCAGTACAAGGAGAAGGTTTCGTGGAGAGGGAACTTGCCCGGTGAGAATCTGGATCCGTGGGCCTTGGGCTCGGGATACCCCGCGTGGACCCCCAGGAGGCGACCCCGCTAGTCCAATTGGCGATATTGGTGCCGCCAAGATGATAATTTGATAAAGAGCTATTGTACCTGCATACTAAAAGGGTCCGTGATCAATGTTTCCGTGTATTGTGTCTAATCTCATGAACGACTGAGTCAGGTAAGTAACGATTGGCTCCGATCTGAATTTGGATCAGGCAACGAGTCCAGAACTGAGACATTGTGGCCGTGCTCAGGACCATGCAGGTATCCATAAAGACCCTGGAGCAATCGGCGGAAGCCGCCAATTTAGCAGACGCTAGTCACTGGTGGGGATGTCAGGGTGATCACATGGGGTCATCTGTCGGGTAAGCAACCAGTCAACGGGTCGGTTGTGAGTAAATGGCGGGAGGCGTAAACAGCTTCTGGAGCATGCATTATTAGAGAATAAATGAATTCATTTTCATTTCCGGTTTGTCTTCAAATATATCCTGTGACTTGAAGCAGTTCCTTTCGGGCGCTTGTCGTTTTGGGACCATGTTGCACAGTAACATGGTAGATGTTGAAGAGGTGGAACAATTTACAGTAGCCAGAAGATATTTGATGGAGGATGGCTTGGTGATTGATGGGTAGGCGATACATACCTGCTAGTAATTGGGTTTTAACGACTTTTAGGGGAAATAGAATTGACAATTGACATCCGTGTGGTCGAGTGGTAAAAACTCCCACCAGCTGGCACTGTAATTGACCAAACAAGTTAGCTCACAGGACTTGAATAGTGTTGTCAATTAGTACCGGAAACATCAACTCAGAGCAGACCCCTCCAAAGTGACCAACAAAGGCACCAAAGGAGTCCCTCTGGGTTAGATGTTTTGTTTCTTGAATAACTGTAATCTATATTGTGTACTCCCTAGATCTAGACTTTAAGTTGTATTAATCTCAAATCGAGTCAAACCGAAGGGGGGGAGGGGGGGCAGGGCAGTACAGTGGTAGCCATTTATGGGTGATCTCCTGTGTGATGCAGATGAGGCTATTCACAATGTACCTACTAAGTACTCGGTGAGATCAGGCAGATGACAACATCCCATGTTCGAACCCGGCTCTTGCCAACTCAAATAAGTCTGCTCCGTGAACTCTTTTGATTAATCGGTACAAGATAATTGACTATCTGGTACAGCATGCATATATACTGTAGTAAATGTACGATGGAATGGAGATGTGGTTGTAACGAAGCTGATATATATAATTTAGCTTTTGTTGATTTGCGTCGTGGAATTCTCCGTTAGGCGAACAAAGTTTCAAGGTCGTATGGTACTACATAGTATGTTGCCCAGATGGGTCAAAATTCATTGAGATTGTTGTTTACACACAAAGGATCCGAAAGGAAGTACGGCTTTATAGTGTCGCCCATGATCTGCCAGGGCTTTGCGTATATATATGAAGTATATTATTCGTCGCGCAACTGAGAAATCGTATTGGATGTGTTGGATGTATTGGTATATCATTGGTAATCGTAGAATCATAAAACGCAAGATTGGAGATCATCGTGGACTTGAGATCGATTTACTAAGAGACCAACTCCTCCATATGGGACTGCTCGCTCATATTTTCACTTTTCAGGAGAACCGTCAAAACCTCGATCGGCGGGTTCAAGCCTAATCTCTGCGCACGGTGCCACCGCTTGGTCCGATCCAAACCGATGCATGGCTAAAGACTCGTCAGTATACCAAGAAATTCGGATTGGGACCAATCGCAGCCCAGATACATACCCCATATTGGCTGGACAGATCGAAATTCCGAAGAATCTTCTCCTCCATGCTCAGGCCTTGTTCATGGACTGCAGTAGCGGAGATCGTCAGTGGCCTCCTGGCAATAGTCAACAGGTTCAACCAAACTCACCTCGGACTGGCTTTTTACTATCTTTCTCTCCCCAGTATTCTCGCAAGTCCTTCAAGGACAGCTGCAAAGCTTGTTTCTCTTCTGCCGTTTCAATCTTCTTGGGCTCAGGCTGACGCACTACCAAGTCGGCGAGCTGGGGCTTCGATGGCTCCGGAGTGGCAGATGCGGATTGGTTTGTTTTCCGGGTAGCTGTCGAATCGAGGTTCTTTGCTTTGTGCAGAGTGGTCGGGGTGGCTGTCGGCTTGGTGACCCGGGAGGAACCGAAGGAGAGGGCAGACTGGGCATTAGCAGCCGCACGACGTCGGGGAGGCATAGTGATTAAATGAAGTGACAAGATTGAGAATTTCCGAGTCTTTGGAGTGGTGGGAATGAGGTGGTGAAGTCTGGTTGGGTTTGATGGGAAGTGGACTGGAACATTCAAGCGTCATATGTCCAAATGGAGGCTACCATCCGCAACCAGATCTGGTCCAAGCGTCCATGGTTACAGATTTCCGGATCTATAGAATCTATGTTTACAAAGAAATCCAAACTCAAAACTCAATTCCTTGTTTCATAATTCTTTGATCATTTCTGCAAATGAGTTCTTTTGATTTGGCAATTTGTTGAGAGCACCAGCGGGTGGATCTAAGATTCTATACTATGACGTGTGAGAGTGAGTCGAAGAAAATCTTCCGAAATCCATTCTAAACACTGATTTACGCTGATTTACACTGATTGACACTAATACATTTAGAACCAGCCCGATTTTGAAGGATGCTTCAATTCTAGAATTGATGGCAATGATGCAATCGAGGCTCGAATTAGCGGTAAAATGGGGCTGGGATTCACCCTTTACTTGTCTTTACCATTCTTTCTCCCCCCCACATGAACCCATTTAAGCTAATCTGCGATTGCCGACCGCTCTCCACACCTCCTCTCAACCCTGATCTTCAAGGGTTATTCTGTCACCCTTCAAGTTAATCTCATAGGAAACAACGAGAATTCTGACAGTCAGAACACCAACACCCATATGAACCGTGCGACCCGGCCCCGGTCTAGCTCGCAGGTTCCCCACAACTTCATTGCGCCCCCTCCGCGTGCCCATGTTGGTGCGGGAACACCGCTATCGAGATGGCCGCCTTTGTGCGCGTTTCAGGTCCTGCAAATGGTAACTTTCTGATCGGCTACCCGGGCATCTCCGCGACTATGGTAAGCACCTACATGATCCCGGCCCGCTTTGCTGCGGGAAGTCACTTCAAGCTCCTCTGGCGACGGACTAACAGCTTATCCTGTCTAGCCTCGCATCGAAGGTAAAGTAGAGATCCGCCCAAGCGTTGGTATCTCTGCACCGGTCAATGTTTCCCTCGTTACCATTTCCCTCCTCCGCCGGGAGACCATCCACCCATCGGCCGATTCTGTAACGAAGAAACGCCTTGCTCCGCCTCGCAAAGAACACACAGAGATCGTGGGCAAGGAAATGCTGTTGTTCCGATGTCCTGCTGGCAAGGAATATGAAGAAGTCATCGCGATGGATCTGCCGTTTGTGCTATTCATTCCATTTGGTCGTGGGGGCCGCGATCCCACACGACGGGTACCCCCAGCCAGCCTGCAGCTACCCAGCCGCACTGCCGAGACATTCTATGAGATGCTGGTGACGGTACAACAGGGTCACTCCGAACAACGCAAATATACCTTTCCTGTCCCGATTCAACGCTATGACACATTATCTACATTTGGCATGTATAATCGACCCGAAGCGGCAGAGCGAGTATCAGACCACTTAGTCACACTAGCCATCTCACTCCCTCGGTGGTCCTATGGACCTTTGGATCCAGTGAGCGTCTATGTGAAGCTGTCTCCAAACCAGGATTGGATGGGAAAGGCCCGCAAGGTCACTATCAACAAGATTACCATCGGCATTGACGAGGAGATTATCTACAATCACGAGGGCGATGAGCCTCAGCGCAAGGTCAAGACACTGGCCAAGAAGACCGAGCATGTGGGTGTAAGATTACCCCAGGCGGGATATTTGATGAATATGGGACTCGTCTTCCCCGCAAAAGACATGCGGGACTCGGAAGGGATTTTGCCGCGCAATCGCACGGCATTTCCTATGTACGGTGTGAACGGATTCACGACTACTGGTCATCTGTATAAAATCGAGTATTATCTCACTGTTCGCGTAAGTTTCTTGTTTCGATCACAAGTAACTCGAGTCTAACCACCTCACAGGCTCACTTGACATCTGCACGAGATATTACCATCCGACAACCCATTGTGGTGTGTCCGCTTGACCACGCTGGGTGTAAGGAAGAAATGGAGGCGATTGAACAGGCCGCGAAAGATGCAGCACATGTCAATCCGGACAACCCAATGCTCCCACTCCCATCGATAGTGCGACCCGGTGACCCCAATGCCCTCAGCTACATTGGCGTCGCCATGGTTGCCAACCAGAAGAAACTCCTGATCGACTGAAACGCCCTCTACGAGAAATGAACCCCAATACTTCAACTCGATAGTCTCAGTATACGAGAAGAGTACATTAATTGATCCTCTGTGCTGACACGGAAGGAACACCCTGTGGCCAGCTCCACCACAGCTGAGGCCAGAGGAGACCAGCCCCAACCAGCGGTCATCTTTGAGGCACTGGTGACGACCCAGAAGCCCACATAATTGTCATGTCTTATGATTGCATAGAGCTAGGAGTTTGTTGCATGGCAACGGAAGCCTTTTCATTCTTGGCTTGGAAACGAGGTTTTGATGGCTTTTGTCTCGGAGGCGTTGCATTGTGAGATATCCTAGCCGACAAATGACACTTGGTTTGTCCCTGATTCCTGTTTCTATTCTCAGAGACCTTGTACTTCCACCCTTTATCTGATTTACCATTGTGTCCAAGTGGATTCGAATGTAAATGTCTAAACTCCTCTCTTATCAGGTTGAGATAACTTGACTTCGTACCTGGTACCTAGTATACCCAGTAGGTACCCTCTATATGTACTCAGTACCTCTTGCGTAGTTCGCAAAAACAAAAGTGGGTATCATGCAATTCTATCCCCGCATCATTCTCTGATCTTCAGGAACCCCATCGCAACGCTCAACATATCCGGATCGACAACCTGAACTGCACATTTCTTCTTGTCGTTCTCGATATCTTGCAAGCATTCTTTTAAAATCTCAATAACTGCATGGTACTGCCTCGAGTCGGGTCCAAACGTGTTGAGCGTATTTTCTAGGCTGTTGGAGATCTGCGGATTACCAGTTAATTTAGCCAAAAACTACAAAGAATCACCCAAACTGACTTTGCGTAATGTTTCATTATAATCCGCCTGTCTTGACAAGTTTGGCTCCATCGAAAATGTTGATATGTACAGTGCGTGAGGAAGAAAGATAGCGATAATCGTTATCGAGAAATGTGGGCGTGGGCGGCTTATCGATAAGACCTCGATTTTCTGGACTTCATTCTCGCAGCTCAACTCTCCAAGCTCCTGTTCTTACCCAAACCCCACCACACACAATGGCCGATGCAGACGACGAGGTTGTCAATTCTACCTCAGCTGAGGCGCCCCAGATCGAGGTTGATCTGTCAGACGAGACCCAGGATTTTCGCCTGCTAAATCACCTCAGTTTGTACGTGCGCAACCCGCCACTCACCATGTTCTTGCTAACAAAGTATGTTCTGTAGTTTGGGCGACACAGCTGCTTCAAGTTTACCCAAGCGCGGTGAAAAAGACTTCGAGCCCAATCCGACCGAGTTCCAAGCCGATGTTCTTTCCGCCTCGCGACAGGCGATGCATAATGCGCTGTCTCATCCGCGCATTCACCATCCCAAGAACCGAATCATAGGTTTCTATGCGCCTGATGGCCCTGCGCCTCCACCACAATTTACTGAATCTGCTAAGAATCAAGGCAAGGGTCTGAATGTCTCGCCGAATGCTTGTGTGTATATTCCAAATCCCAAGGGAACCTTTTTTAGGAATATGGGGCAGACGGATCGGTGGAATCGCATGTGGCTTCTACCTGAGGAGGCGCTATATATGATTGAGAGAGGAAGTTTGGATATTAGGTGGCCAACATCTTTGACGGGCGCTACGGAAGGGAGTGGCGATTGCGAGAACGGGGACGAGCTTTCAATTCCGATGAGCTTGCAGGCAGCATATGCGTGTTTCATGGGTCGAGGTGGTTTGACTCTCGAGAGATTCACCGTCTTTACAGGACTAAAACGGCTGGGATATTCTGTTCTACGAGCACCTGGGTGGGACGATTCCGCGAGGCCCGATTCTGATCACGAGGAGAAAGATGCGTACGCACAGCTGAGACACCGCGGTCCTGGACTAGCTGGTATTCTAGCATCCATTTCAAATTGGATACATGACCCTATGTCTACAGCATCCACGGCAGCTGGTCCTGTCATTGGATGCGGCATTCATCGCACATACGGTAAGGACTACCAACGATCAATTGCATACCTGCTGCATTGCTAACACTATTGACAGCCGATGTATACCGCAAAATGGAGCTGATACCATGGTACGACCCCGTTCTTGCGCCTCAGCGGGATCCCCTGGACACAGTAGCTCCCTTCAGAGTTGTCTTCCATGTTTACAAGCCCACAAACCCTCTCAAAAAGAGCGCTCTTCCGGTCCCGGACTTCCGAATTGCTGTCGTGAATACGCGCGAACAAACTACCATTCCGACACTTCCTGAGCTCAGCGCCTTGCTAGAAAGCACACCTCTGGACCCACCATCTGGCGAGAAAATGAATCGTCTGATGTATATGCGTCTCAGGCATGGATATCGCAATGTCGTTCTCGCGGTTGTGGATCAAGGTGTCACTAGCTTCTTGCGTATTGGAGATGCTGCATTTGGAAAGGAGAAATTATTCGATATTAAGCATGTTCCATTCGGAAACAAGAGACATGGAAATTTCAAGCCAAGGAGGCGGTGATTGATTACATTTGAAATCACCGTCTTAAACAATTCTCACATGATTGCATATTGACACCATCTTTTGGTGCTGAGATACCTCACCTCGGGCCTATTAGAGCTTTCTGCTTTGAACCCATTCAGCCTGTGTCTCCGGACGCGCCTCTGGAGCGTGCAGATCAGTGTTTTTCTCTACCGTCTACAGTGGCGGGTGTACCCTGTACGCTGGGGTTTCTGTATTAAGCCCCTTCCGGCCGATCTCGGCTCTTTACTGTAAATAGAATCAACGATACACCATATTGCATAAATGCATGGTTCATTTTGAACGTATAGATTTCATTGCTCGTAATGCGCTATACTAGGCTATTACGCATCATTAATCGTAAGCGGCTACGGATATATTCCTTAGCAACGCACTTCTAAAACCGGTACATCTCACTCCGACTGCGAGCTCCATCAAAAACACACGTATTGTCTAAAGGCACGTACTGCCTCGTCAACACCTTAAGCGACTCTTGCGCCACCAAGCCACCAGTCAGCGACGCAATGTTGTGCAGCTCGCCGCCTTCAGCACGGCGAATCTCTTGGATAGCATTGTCGATGCTCTTCTGCGCCTCCTCATCAAGGGTTGTCGATTCGTCGCGAGTAATTAAAGCCAAAATGCGCTCTTTATGCGCGCTCCAGAGACCGTTATCGTCGATAGAAAGGTGGCTCTTTCTCGGGTTACTCTGAATCTCATCAACGACAGCATCGAGAATCTGACATGCGATGAAAATGGATGCCAGGGCACCGGGCATTCCAAGTCCACTGCGCAAAGCCTTAAAAGTGGCAGAATCGGTTTTTTCATTTATTTGAGGGATCCCCCGTCCGCGAACAACCTTGATGTGCGCGGCATTTTTACAGAACACTTCGACCTCGCGATCAAGAATGGGAATGGTGCGTCCGAGTTCGGATTCCAGTTGACGGATTGTTGCGGTCACTTCTTCCACGTCTTGTCGCGCTTTGGTCTTGTAAATATTCTGCAGGGCGACATAGTCCGCCGACTGGGCTTTCATGTCAGGCAGTGAGCCTGGTAGAGGGAGCACACCGTGCGCGTTATAAAAAGTACGAATGGCAGATGCGATAACCCAGAAATCGGCAGATCCGGTGCTCAACTGCTGGCATTGTTCCATCTCGAAGATCTCGCGGATCGAGCTTCGCAGGCTAAAGGGCGAAATAGTTTTCAGAACAGCGGCAACGGCCTCGTCGAAATTCTCCTCGCCACCTTCGGGGTTCTTTGTGCGTATTTTTGAACGCACAAATTCGCGGAATGCGGTCTTTTCTTTGTAGTTGTCTGGCATAGCTCCGTGTGACTCTTTCCATTGCTTAAGGAACCGCAGAAGAAGTAAGATATATGGCACGTGGCCATGCTGATGGTCATCCATGCTTTCCAGGTCACCTAGTGATTCGGAAGCGGCGGCAAGCTCAGGCCAAGGGTTCAAGAGACGAAGATCTTGTGTTGACTCCGGATCTGGGTGTGTTTCCACAATGGGGAACTCAGCAGGTAATTGCAAAGAGAAAGTCGAGCAGAATCCGATTGAGTGGATGTACAGCACCGGAATATCCAGCTCCTGTGCCCTTTTGCAGAGTAGCTCCAAAGTAGAGTGCTTAGTTGGGCCAGAGATAATGACCAGCTTGTGCCGAGGGAGAAAATCCGGATCTGTCAGGAGATCCGTGATAGGCTTAAGCAATGGTGAGCATTTGATACATTGAACATGGAAGGAATGAAGCTTCCGTAGATACGTACCTTGGAATAAGAATACCCCTGCACATCGGGATTCAATTCTCGTAGCAACCGACATGTTTCATCAGCACGGGATTTTCCGAGAGAGTCTTCCTCAAGGAAGAAATTAACTCCCAGGTCAGCTTCTGTGACTGTTGCCGGGTCCACGATGGTAAATCCTCCGATGCCGGGTAGGACCAAGTTCTTGAGCGCTTCCACTCCCGCGACACCCGTAACGCCGGTGTTACTGAAGTCGAGAGGACCATCAGAGTTCACGAGCAATACTCTTGCATCTTCAAGGGCTTGTTGGCCTGTTGCTGCCCATAATCGGAGTTGACGATCATACTTGCGCTCCTTGGATGTTGGTCCGGAGATGGTCGCGGGGAAAGAGTCGGTCATGTTTTCAGTTGGACTAATAGGCTATGAGAAATGATTGAGTTGGAAAGGGAAAATTCAAGTCTTGCGCACAGTTTCGAGAATATCAAAACTGAGCCCCTATCACTTTTGGAGCCTTTGATGTTGCGCAGGGAATGATGTCGCTTTCCTGTTGTTGATGCGCATCCGTTTGACTAAGCGGTGTGTTGCAGCCTGATACTCGAGGCATCAGAAACCTCAATGATGCTTCAATATATTCCTCAATTAATATGAAAATCATTTTCTATTTAGAGTTTCCATTGTTCAAAGCATGGCCATATGCAAACTGCTGGAAATTGTTTGTCCAGGAGTGAAATCATTGTACAACTTACAGTGGAAGCAATATAGAAATCCAACATATAGTTTGGCATGGGGCAGATCGCCACTGTTAGATGTTCACACATGTATTATATTACGATACCTGCTTTCACAATTTTATCCCAGTATTAATTATATAATACATAGTATGCATCTACTCACTATGGTTCAAGTGGAAACTACATACATATGTAGCATTGTCATTGAGTAGAACGGGACTAACGACGAAATTAGCCCACATGTGCGTAGTTAGCATTTTTGTGCTAAGCCCATGCCACCCATGAAAGGGGTATTGGCCGTATCTCATCTCCCAATAGCCTATAATAACAGGATTATTATAGATATGTAAATCCAATGAGAATTAAATACTCACTATAACCCTATGAAAGAAGATAACTGGGGTTTTCCGTAGGGAGAGGGGGTTTTTAAAGGCTACTCAAGCGAAAAAGTGTCAGGAAGTCCTCGACGTAGTCAATTAGACAAGGAATACTTGGTCACCCTTGGACATTCTTATCCATGTGCTAGATTTCTACCAAGGTATATACTGAATGAAAAACAGCTTAACAATCCCAGATCATAGAATGCCACGGTGAATAGCGGAAATTTGCTCATCGATTTGAGTTGGCTAGCGAAATGCATGAATAAACAGCCTTAATTCTATGTTATTTAATTATAGTTCACCTTGAAGACCTCCTAAGGTTCTTTGATTTGACGGGAATTAGACGAATAAACCAAATTGCCGTGGACAAAAGCAAAAATCCAATCAAGTACAGAAACGTGCACTTCCCCTGCATATTAGTCCGATCGAACATCTGATCTGCAGTCCTGTCTCTAAAATCGAGTCTTGTGCTACAATAGATTCCTGAGGATGGATACTTATTTAAATCGCCGTAATTTGCCACACATAATCCCGTCAGAAGTCTACCCCTTGACTCCGTACATCACTTGCGACTCAACCCATTCAACCCTGAAGAATCCCACCACAAAATGCAGCTTCCTCTATCAATCACCACCTTTCTCGCGATCAGCAGCCAGACACTTGGCGCCAGTCTCTTCGGCCTTTACCGCATCCAGAAAACAATCGATGGCCAGGATGTTGTCTTGACCGGACAAGGAGAAAATAAAGCCCCGGCCTTTGAAGCACCTATTGGCAAAGCCAGTCAGATCTGGAGGTTTGAAGATCAGGGAGACAACAACACGATCATCCAAAGTGTGCCAACCAAGTACTACTTGAATTGTGGACCGGGTTGTCTGGAGTCGTCAAGTGCCCAAACATTTTACGTGGAGCATCAGGGTCCGTTTGAATATACGTTCTTCGACCTTGACCACGACCAATCGTTACGCTCGACAGACAAGAATGGAATAGCGCTAGCCGACGTAGCTGAGAATACCGACAAGGAAAGATTTGAGGTTATCCGAGTGGAATTCTGTGAGTAGCAAAGTACAGTTTTGCGATAATCAGTCACTAATTTCAGTTTCAGAGCGTCTTTATCAAGTACATGGGTGTATACGCGATGTCTTGCGACATGCAAGAAAACACCGAGATATACATGTTCAGCTTTATGATCCCTGGCATGTTCTTGGAGATATTTAGGGAAATTCCATTAATCCTAGATATGGATCCAATGTACTCGGCGCTTCGGACTTAACCCCACTGTGTGTAAGCTGGTTGGTTGTGTGCAGCCGTCAGATGCACCCAACTGCTGGCATGATCCGTGTGTACAAGGTAGGGAATTTCATTGAAATGAATAGCAGTTGAATGAAAACTCGAAGTGATATTCTGTCGAACGACGAAAACATATCCGTTGATATAAAAACGCCAACCACATTGGCAACTCGGTGTAGAACATTGATCTAGATTTCCCCAACTTTTCACAAATGAAAACCCCCACACTCTCGCCAATGACGCTATAGTGCAGACCAAACCTTGACCGGCACTCGATTTCAGCTACAGAGAAAAGCCGCGCAATTTATTTAAAGCGTAAACATCCATGGGTTCCCGCCAAATCTGCTTACCCTTTGCCCTCTCCACCCGACTTCCTTTTTCTTCCCTTCGGCGATCTCTGCCCCGCCTCCACCAAACTTTTCCCCGACGCCCTCTACTTCCGCTTTCAACTTCATCCCTGTCAATACTTTCGACCTTCCGAGCCCAATTACATTCCACAATGTCCGACGTTGAAGCTGCTAAGCGCGCTGCCGCCCAGACGGCTGTCGCAAACCACTACCCTAAGGATGCTCGCTGGGTCGGTATCGGTAGCGGGACAACAATCGTGTACGTTGTTGAGGCTATCAAGGCTCTTGGTGTTGACACCAGTGCCACCCGCTACGTGCCGACGGGCTACCAGTCCCGCCAACTGATCATTACCGCCGGATTGACTGCCGTTGAGTTCGATGCTATCCCCGCTGGCACCGTGCTGGATGTGGCTTTTGATGGCGCTGATGAGGTTGACGAGGAGCTGAACTGTATCAAGGGTGGTGGTGCCTGTCTTTTCCAGGAGAAGTTGGTGGCTATGCAGGCGAAGGAGTTCATTTGTGTCGCTGGTGAGTTTGAGGATTTGTCTTCTTTTTTCTTTGCATGTGACTCACGCTGACGACTTTTTTCTACTTGACTAGACTCGCGCAAGCTTCAGCCTCGTCTTCTGACCAACTGGAAATACATTCCTATTGAAGTCGCTCCTATTGCCGCCCCCCGGGTTTTGAGAAAGCTTCTGGAACTTGGTAGTGTTAACCCGGTCATCCGGACCAATCTTGATGCGAAGGAGGGACCTCGCAAGACCGATCAGGATTTTTTCCTGATTGACGCTCCTTTCCCTGTTATGCTGACCCAGGCCGATGTTGCTGCAGGCAAGGTGTCTGGCAAGGATGGTGTCTGGGAGGTGAACGAGCTATCGAGAAAGATCAAGGACATTTGTGGTGTTCTTGATGTCGGCATTTTCTCTGGTCTGACCGGACCCCAGGCTAGCGCTGCTGGTGGTGTTGGTGGCCAGCGGCCTGTTGCGGCGTACTTTGGTATGCCTGATGGATCTGTGTCGGTCCGCAAGGCTTCTGCATGAGGGTTTTGAATGGTGATTTTTGTTTATTTTTCGGATTTGGTTTACGTATATAGCCCCATGATACCAAGATGTTCTCCCATTTTCCTTGAACGGGGACATAGAAATGAAGAGATGTTCAGATGTTTTATTTTGATTTCAATTGGCTCATTAGATTTGGTGGTATCAAAAAGACCGCTCTATACTTCCGTACATCCAAAGTTCAACTCATACATCTCCCAGTATTTGTTTCGGGAATGTATCCTACCTGACATGGAACTCGGGTTCAAAGATTGGGAACATCGGTATTCCTTATTTAGCACCCTTACCCTTGGCCTCTGTCTCGCCCAACTCGCGCACGAAGATCTTGACCACTCCTTCTGGAATATCATCCTTGCCATCCTCAAACCCAGGACTCACTGCGATAGCCAAGTATTTGCCACTGCTGTTGAACGCAACAGCAGCAACGCTAGACGGGTACTTCTGATATTGACGAATGCGGCGCTTGGATATACCATCCCACAAAGCGACTACACCATCACCACCTCCCGACGCGAATGAGCCATAAACGGGATGGAAAGCGAGCGCATTAACAGGATACACAACATCTACCCCATCGTCTGAGGTCTGACGATGACACTTGAAGGCGTATTTACGCGCCTGGGACTCGGGTGAAGGATCGAACCACTCAACAGCAACACGACCCTCAATACTGGATGAGGCATACCCAGTGTCTCCAGGCATGCAAGCGACACAGCGTGTCATAAACTTGAGACTGCTCTCGCGACGTTGCCAAGGCTCAATCTCCACTCGGTTACCGTTGGTCGTGGTGCCGTCAGCCTGTGCGGTGAGAAGGGCCAGGGCTTTCAGGTCGTAGATGTGTAGGGCACGCGATGCCATGGCGACAACGAGCTTGGTGGCTGTGAGCGAGATAGAGAAAGGTTTCGAGGGGAGTGGGATCACAGCAGGTAGGGAATCAGCAGTGGTGCCGGTGTCTGTGCGGGATACGTGAAGTGTGGAGTCCCATGAGCCTGAGATGATGATCTTGTGTTCAGGGCTATAGACCACGTTGCGCACACCGGCTTCATGGCTGCTGATAACGGTTTGTTGCGAAGTGTTCAAGTCAATTCTAAAGTATTTAGTAAATAAATTCAAGTTCAGTGGCTCAAAGAAGTTCACATCAAGCTCCATTGAAGGGTTACTCACTTGCGCACATCCCAATCCAATCCCGCGGTATAGATCTCATTCTCATTCTCACCAAAGCAAACGTCCAGTACGGGAGCACGGTGCTCAAACTTCTGTAGTAGTTTCCCCTCTCCAACTGTGCCATTCTCATCTCGCAGATCGTAAAGATAGACATTCTTGTCCCATGATGATACGACGATCCGTGTCGAATTGGGCTCGGGGGAGAACTTCAAGGCGGAAATAGCATCAGTCGGCGGCGAGGCAACTGTAAACTGATCTAAAAAAAGTCAGAAAACCATTGACTGAATTTCTTGGAGCTTTATATCACTCACTGGATGCCATTTTGAGGGGTTGCAAACGATGTTAGCAGAAGCAAGATCGCGGCTTAGCTGCAGCTTTACACCGCAGTTGCTTTTCTGTCACTTCAGACCGCCCACGTCCCCGCGCTTTTTGATAAGAAAAAGATCTCGATCTAGCTACGTCTTGGTCCTGCACAACCTTGATTCTGATTTACTTTTTCAACCTTCAAGATGCCATTCGCCCAGCTGGTCATCGGACCTCCCGGAGCTGGAAAATCCACATATTGCAATGGCATGCACCAGTTCTTAGGCGCCGTCGGCCGGAAATGCTCCATTGTAAACCTCGACCCCGCCAACGACAAGACCTCATACCCGTGCGCGCTGGACGTGCGCGACCTTGTGACTCAGGAAGAGGTCATGGATGAGGATAATTTGGGTCCTAATGGAGCTACTTTATATGCACTCGAGGAACTGGAGGAAAACTACTCTTGGTTAGAGGAAGGACTGAAAGAGCTCGGAGGTTGGTGCCATACGTTATCAAGCATCATGAACCTGATTGACTGATCATTTTCAATACAGAGGATTATGTTCTATTTGACTGCCCTGGACAAGTAGAGCTGTTCACACACCATTCGTCTCTACGAAACATCTTTTACAAGATTCAAAAGCTTGGCTACCGAGTTCGTATCAGTCCGAAAACATATCAAGAGAGTACCTTACTTACCATACATGCGCAACAGTTAATAGTAATTCATCTCGTTGACTCTTACACTCTCACCCTTCCTTCAATGTACATCTCTGCTCTCCTCCTTTCCCTGCGCGCCATGCTCCAACTCGACCTCCCACATCTCAATGTTCTCACCAAAATCGACAACCTCTCCAATTACAACGACCTCCCTTTCAATCTGGACTTCTACACTGAAGTCCAAGACCTCTCATATCTCCTTCCGCACCTAGAGGCTGAAAACTCTCAGCTCACAAACACCAAATTCGGTGCTCTAAACGAAGCCATCATTTCGCTTGTGGAGGAATTTGGACTTGTCAGCTTCGAGACACTGGCTGTCGAGGATAAGAAGAGCATGATGAATCTGCTGCGCGCTATTGATCGTGCGTCAGGGTATGCATTTGGACCTGCGGAGGGTGCAAACGACTCTGTCTGGCAGGTTGCTGTCCGAGAGGGCATGGGTGTTACAGATGTGAGGGATGTGCAAGAGCGATGGCTTGATGCAAAGGACGAATATGACGACATGGAAAGAGAAAATTTGAAGGAGGAAGCGAGAATGCGCGAGGAGGCTCACAAGGCTGTCAATGGGGACCCGGATGAATTGGATGAAGACGAGGAACTGGCAAATTGGAAAGGTCCAATGCCGGATAGCGGGATAAAAGTGCGCCGGAAGGCATGATTTATGACGATATTCATTCTTATAAGCGGCTAAAAGATTCAATGTATAATATCGCATATATGGCTGCATGGTCAATCAGTAGGGGTATCATTTAATCGTACAGACCAAAACAGGTCCAATCAATGGTTGGATATAGGGCCGATGGCAGGTTCTCAGTCCTCATCATCATCCATCTCATCGTCACTCGCATCCACAATATTCTGCATAGTCAGATCCTTCCCCCCGGCACCCGAAATCAAGTCTCCCAACACGCCCTGCTCCTCAATCCCTCTAACGCGAACAATCTCCCTCCTTGCCCGTCGAATAGCCTCCTCCTCGGCCTTCTTCATTGTTCCCGACACCCTCAAGACCCGAAAGACACACCCCCGTTCTTTGCCTCCGTTTGGTCGCTTCTGAGACGGATCACCGCCAGCTGCGGGTACATGCGACATGTATGTAAGAGCGGACCAGACGAGACGGAATGATGCGCGGGGACAGCGGAGGATAGCAGTTGATGTTGCGGGCGAAAGGTATTTGACTGGTAGAGACTTAGTGCATGTTATGCAGTGGGAATCGTCGTTTATGTGGTATATATTTGCCTCTTGCTTCTTCTTTTGCCCATGTAGGCTGAAAGAGAACGAGAGGCAGAGAGGTGAGGAAGATCAAACCTACCATTAATTCCTCCCGCAGAAGCACCACCTAATTTTCCCACACCACAGTCACCATACAGCTCGCTGACTTCCTCACGGATCATCTTTGCAAGGAGGCCCGGTGTCAGCGCGTCGGAGGTGGGTGAGTGAATGGCCAGTTGTGCGGAGGTGGAAGTGTTGGGTTTGGCTTTGGTGGAAGGCCATGTTGCTGGATCCGGGTATAGGATATCGATGAGTAGATAACGGTTTTTGAGACGGACCATTGTGTATATGCTAGTCGGAGAGAAGGTGTGGTGGGATGGATTTGGAGAGGTTGAAATTGAGCGCCAAAAAGTGGTAGTGCGATAAGAGATAAGGATTTTCAGTAGCTACCACTGAGCTTTGTACTCAGCTTTGTACTGTAGAAATAAACTGACTTCATCGAAATTACTTACGAACGAAAGATTACTTTCTATTTCAATATATTTTATCCGTGAAAGTGAGAATTGTATACCTCAATGGCTTGCTTATATTCATCATGCAAGGGCATTCATTAGGTCCCCGGAGGTCTAGTCATCTAAACAAATTAAATCAAGAATCCGTAGTCGGGCATGGGCACCGATTTCCATGGCGTGCCTCTTTTATTTCATGTATGGCATCGCCTGTCAAGCCCGGTTAATGCCCTTAGAAAAGGCTGTGCAGCCAGAAAAACTGCTTCAGACAAAAATAAAACAAATGGATCAACCATCCAAACTCCACCATCCTCCAATCAGAGGATGAACTGTATGCCACTAGCGGACGGCGCTGCAAATCATGAACAAAATCACAGGTTGACCTCAACACGGCCCTCGGCACCACCCTTCTGGAGAGTGGGCAGCAGGTAGGTGATGTCGTCCCAGGGGTGACGGTAGAGACCGGTGCGCAGGCGCTTCTGGTCGAGGTAGTGGGCAATGAGACCGATGCTGCGGCCGAGAACGAACAGACCGTTGAGAACACCCATGCGGATGTAGTCCTCAGCCTCCTCGGGGGTGAAGGCACCGCAGTTGCGGAGCAGGTCAATGAAGCAGACAGCAACACAACCGTCGACGTTCAGGATCAGGTTGTCCTTCTTGGAGGTGGTGACAGTCTCGACGGCAATGGCGTAGTCGAGCAGCTTGGTGCTGGGGAAGTGCTTCTTGGCGAACTCCTTAACAAGCTCAACACGCAGATCGGGGTTGTTGCGGGACTTGACCTTGTGGCCGATACCGGGGATCAGCTTGTTGGCCTTGCGGGAAGAGTCGACAAAGTCACGGGGGCTCAGGCCCTTGTCAAAGGCCTTGGTGAACTCCTCAGCGGCACCGTCCAGGGCACCACCGAAGCGGGAACCAATGGTCAGCAGACCGGAGACCAGGGCACTGATCAGGTCCTTGCCGGCACGGGTTGTGATAATGGTGTTCATGGCACCGGAGACGGCGGGACCGTGGTCAGCAGTGAGCATGAGAACCATCTCCAGGAACTTGCTAGCGTAGGTGGGCAGGCGGCGGCGGAACCACAGCAGAGACATGACACCACCGATACCAATATCCTCACGGAAGACATCGGAGATGGGCATACCGGCGTAGAGCAGCTCCTGGCCACGGTCGTCTGAGATGGTGGAGATGAAGGCAGCGGGCTTACGGACAAGACCGAGCTCCTGGGCCCAGGAGTAGTCAATGGGGATCTTGGGAACAACGGGCTCGGCGGCGGGGACAATGACACCCTTCTTCACCTCAGCGTCGTAAACGGCCTTGAGGGCCGCGGGCAACTCCTCGAAGGTGTCAGGGACGACGATACCGGCCTCACGCATGGCCTTGTTCTTGTGGACAGCAGTCTCGAGCTCGGAGTTGGCGGAAGCACCGGCGTGACCGAACTGAACCTCGGTCTTGAACATGCTGGCGCAAGTACCGATGGCCCAGGCGACGATGGGCTTGGTGATGGTGCCGTTCTTGACAGCCTCGATCACACGGTACTCCTCAACACCACCGACCTCACCCAGCAGGACGAGGATCTTGCACTCAGGCTCAGCCTGGTAGCGGAGCAAGTGGTCAATGAAAGTGGTACCGGGGTAACGGTCACCACCAATGGCGACACCCTCGTAAACACCGTCGGTGTTCTGGGAGATAATGTTGTTCAACTCGTTAGACATACCACCGGACTTGGAGACGTATCCGACGGAACCCTTGCGGTAGAGCTTGGAGGCGACAATGTTGTCCATCATACCACCAGTGTTACCGATCTTGAAAGCACCAGGCTTGATACCACCAACGGTGGCGGGACCGATGATAGTGATACCCTTCTCCTTGGCAGCAACCAGGATCTCACGAGCACGCTGTGAACAAAGTCTTGTCAGATCTTTTACTCCAATTGCAATTGAGCCATGGTCTACTTACACGCTCGGGGACACCCTCAGCAATGATGGCAATGGAACGGATCTGAGGGAACTCCATCAACTCCATGGTGGACTGGTAGACGGAACGGGAAGAGGCGAAGTTGACGACAGTGTCGACATCGGGGTGCTTGGCGAAAGCCTTCGCGGTGTCCTGGTAGACGGGGAGGAGGGTCTCACTGGTACCCCAGTACATCTTGCTGACGAACTGGCCACCGAAGGTGTAGATGATACCGGCAACGGAGGGGGTGGTGCGCTTGCAGATGAAATCAAAGTCGAGCATGCCCTGCACGGCTCGGGGTTGCATACCACTATTGCAAGTCAATTCTCTGGTCCACTTCTTTTGGCCAGGCCCTGGAGACCCCGTGGGAACTTACTATACGAAGCATCGTGTCTTGTTGTGGAAGAGGGCGTGGCTTTGGGGGGAGAGGGCACGGCTGGGAGGGGCGAAGCGAGTAATGTTGTCGTTGGCAGACTGGTTGCCGTTGCCGGCAGCGAGGGTAGTAGAGGGCATGATGAATCTATGGGGTTTGAAGTGTTAGGTCTTGGTTTCGACAATCACAAGAATTGAGGGGCAAGTTGGAATGCCATTTGCCATAGAAAAGTAAAGAGCAGAAGAAAAGTGCCAATGGTGGGAGACCAAAAACATACCTATTTGTGCAAAACACCCGCTATGTTTTTTTTAGAAGGAAAGATTGGGGGGGAAAGAAGGAGATCAAGAGGAAAGGAGGTTGTCAGGATGTGAAGAAAAAAAGCGCGGGGCCGAAGTACTCGCAGATACGGTGTACAGCTCCTCCCAGCGTACGCTAGAGCTCAACATTCCCCAAAGTACCGGGTACCACCGATACCTGTGGGATCCACTTTGAAGATCCATTATGCTAGCTTGTGTATTCAATACAGTGTATTATTATACCATACGCAATGTCTGAATGCGGCCAACAATCTTGTCGTATTTAGGGGTCGTACCTGGTGGTAGTACCTGGATGTAGTATATCGTATGTCGTATACCGTTACTCCTATAGATAGAAATCCGCCCCAGTATTTGCTCATAGTATCTGTCAATCTTTGATATTCAATGATTCATCAACTGATTTATGGTTTCGCCCCAGGGTTAATCTCGAAATAGTGCTGGGGGTTAAATTCTGGGGTTAGCTCAACAGTTTAGAACCAAAAAGAGCGGTGTCGGGGTAAATCTGGTACTGACGAAGTATCAAGTATCTCCTGTAATGTAATCCCAACAGGGCATACCCCCACCTTCCCGTTCTTGGGACATTTTTTTCCACTCAACACAGTGGATCACCCCTCAATTGTACGCTGTAATCTCCAGCACAATCTTTTTTCTTGTTCTACGTTGTTCCCCCTAGCTTTAGGATCTTTCTAAAAGTTATTCCTTCCCTTTTTCTTCATCTCCCTTGATCAATTCCCCCTCCACCATCACACACATACAATCATGTCCGCCAAGTCTATTCTCGAGGCCGATGGTAAGGCCATCCTCAACTACCACCTCACCCGCGCCCCGGTCATCAAGCCTACTCCTCTCCCTGCCTCCTCCACACACAACCCTCCCGCTCGTCTCGCCTCCCTCCACTTCCCCGAAGACAAGAGCGTTAAGGATGTCCTTGACCAGGCTGAGGTCTCCTACCCTTGGTTGTTGACTCCCGGCTCCAAGTTCGTTGCTAAGCCCGACCAATTGATTAAGCGCCGTGGCAAGAGCGGTCTCCTCGCCCTGAACAAGACCTGGGCTGAGGCTCGTGAGTGGATTGAGGCTCGCGCCACCAAGGATGTCGTGGTTGAGACCGTCACCGGTGTCCTGCGTCAGTTCCTCGTTGAGCCTTTCGTTCCCCACCCCCAGGAGACCGAGTACTACATTAACATCAACTCCGTTCGTGAGGTAAGCTTGAATTTGACAATGAGAGAGGAAAATAGAAGAGAGAAGCTAATTCGAACCGCAGGGTGACTGGATCCTCTTCACTCACGAGGGTGGTGTTGACGTTGGTGATGTTGACGCTAAGGCCGAGAAGCTGCTTATTCCCGTCAACCTGAAGAACTTCCCCTCCAACGAGGAGATTGCCGCCACCTTGCTCAGCAAGGTGCCCAAGGGTGTCCACAACGTCCTCGTGGACTTCATCTCCCGCCTGTACGCCGTCTACGTCGACTGCCAGTTCACCTACCTCGAGATCAACCCCCTCGTTGTTATCCCCAACGCCGATGCCACCTCCGCCGATGTTCACTTCCTGGATCTGGCTGCCAAGATTGACCAGACTGCTGAGTTCGAGTGCGGTACCAAGTGGGCCATCGCTCGCAGCCCCGCCGCCCTGGGCATGCCCACTCTTCCCTCCGCCGACGGCAAGGTCAACATCGACGCTGGTCCGCCGATGGAGTTCCCCGCCCCCTTCGGTCGTGAGCTGAGCAAGGAAGAGAAGTTCATTTCCGACATGGATGCCAAGACCGGTGCTTCCCTCAAGTTGACCGTCCTGAACGCCAACGGCCGTGTCTGGACCCTCGTTGCTGGTGGTGGTGCTTCCGTCGTCTACGCCGATGCCATTGCCTCCGCTGGCTTCGTCTCCGAGCTCGCCAACTACGGTGAGTACTCTGGTGCTCCCACCGAGAACCAGACCTTCCAGTACGCTCGCACCGTCCTGGACCTCATGCTCCGTGCTCCCCAGCACCCCGAGGGCAAGGTTCTCTTCATCGGTGGTGGTATTGCCAACTTCACCAACGTTGCCAGCACCTTCAAGGGTGTCATCCGCGCTATCCGCGATGTCGCCCCTGTCCTCGCCGAGCACAAGGTCCAGATCTGGGTCCGCCGTGCTGGTCCCAACTACCAGGAAGGTCTTAAGAACATCAAGGCCGCCGGTATCGAGCTTGGTCTTGACATGCACGTCTTCGGTCCTGAGATGCACGTCAGTGGTATTGTGCCTCTGGCCCTTCTCGGCAAGAAGACCGACGTCAAGGAATTCGGCGTATAAATGTGATTCTTGCTTTTGGAAAAATTTGGTACCTCTTGTTTGTTGTTTCTTGCAGCGTTGCACCTCCCCTCCGTTGCATGGGTTAGTGTGTGTGGAATAATGCATGGCATGATATGAAATATGCGGGATTATGCCGCCCGCGGGCTGGGCTGTGCCATGCAGTTCCCCCGGCGTCTGTTCCTGGTTTGCTGGTCGAGGGTTTGGCGTTTCTCCCTTGCCCGGACGAAAAGACCGCGTGCTTGGTGCCGACGTACATGATTAGATTTCCTTTTATGTTCACCTTTCCCCGGGGGATTTAGATCGTGATATCCCATCGGATAATATATCAGTGATGATACGAGACTTTTGCATATCTGTAATATCTACCTATGAACATGTAAGCATGAAGATTTAATCAGTAGGCTTTTTGTTGCAGAAAAAATCGTGTGTTAAAAAATTGGCAACATTTGGAATATATTACATGTGACCAAAAATACAGATGTACGTAACAAAGTAAGGCGATACGGCTCCACCAGAGCTTCCCCGGATTGACAGGGCCCAAATCGATCCCGTTAATCTAGATCTTCAGGAACGATCTATCAAGTTAAGGTAGGGACCGTGCTGGAGTGGTTCCAGATATCTGGTGGGTTGTGTTGCATGGACCGAGGTGGTGGGCGATGTTCCGCTGCTCCGAGATTAGATCCCGGACGAGCGGGAGGCTGGGGAATGGACTGTGCATTAGTGTATATAGCATGGCTAACCGTTTACGGATAGCTAGGACCTTCATTTAGTACATAAAGTACACAGAGAATCTAATGTTAGGATGATCAATGGATGGTCTTTCGAATTTCAAATTAGGTGGTGATCGCAATGAGTCAATAGTTGTGCTCGCGTATTGTATCGCTGTGGGACTGTTATCCATAGAGTTAGTTCGGATACTGCAAGCAAATGGATAAAATGTCTTTTTACTACCGGTACAAATGATCGAGCAGTTGTACTGGGTTGCCTTTGCAAGCAAAGATGGATCCAGGAAGTTTATAGTCACTGCATGTGTTGATACAATGAGTTAGGTATACAACTCTAGATTTGTCCAATGGAAACTACCGGGAGCGACTCAGGCGAATGATGAAATTGACAATGTATGAATGAAGGATAAATGTGATACGCTAGAGGATGGTGGTGTGTTGTCATCACATATCGGCCTGTTAATATAGTAGAAACCTCATATATGACAAGGGTGGCACATGATGCTAATTCCCAAATCTGGCCATGATAACATCATCAGGTGGGAGTTGAGACAAGGAAGTTGGAGGCCGGCTGATTTGTGGAAGACGGGTTCGGTGCTGCGGATTAGTTGTCCTAGTCTGGGCTGAAGGGTTGGTTAGTTCCCACGTTGTCAATCGGTTCCCCTCAACGACGAGATCAACATACGATTGTGCAAATTCAAAGTAGGGCGACTTGGGGGAGGCATTCCCGCGGGTTTCGAGGCCTTTCTGCCCACTTGTCTGGAACTGCCAGTACCACTGCGTTGATATCGATGAAGTTGTTCAATTCCACTGGGGCTCATGGGTAATGAAGGTGTCTTTGGGGGGCGTGGTGCAAACTGAGTAGATTTTCCAGACGGCCCAGATGGGGCGTGTGATGCAGCTGGACCGATCCTCGAGGCCGTGTTCAGAGTATGAGACACTGTCTCCGAGGCTGCGATCTCCATGCGGGAGCGCATTGCGCGTGCTTTGAGAAGGCTGTAAAGATTCGTCATCTGAGTCAGTTTCGTAGACTTTTCACGGTAAAGGTCGACAAGCTCTTGGTTTTTCTTTTGCAGTTGCTCTTGGGCTCCCTGTAGATCTGGAAATGCAAAGATCAGAGAATTATTTGTAGTTGCGCGGATTCTGCAACAAACCTGCAAGCTTGCTATGGAGGTTCGAGATCTCTGAATTGGCGTTGAGGACAATCCGGTCCATCTGCATGTTGAGGCTTGTATACTTCTCGGTGAGACTCTTGCCCAAAAACTCTTGATAAAATCTGGAGACACCAGTAAGCGACTGGTATCGTCAATGGTATCATGACTGCGGAGACGTGAGAAAGGTATGCTTACATTTCTTGTGTGCTTTGATATGCCCAAAATCCCAACGCACGGCCAGCGCACTCCATGATAGTATTGGGGTCCAACCCACTCAGCACACTCGTCTTGTAGTCCTCTGTCGGGTTTAAGATCGTCGACACAGTATCATCGGGGTTGGAAAGAATCGTTGAACAAGCAGGGCAACGACGGTCATCTGCGGTGGGGTGTGAAAGGCCGAGACCATCTGCACATCCTACACAAAATATGTGCCTGGAGTTGTCAGTCCCAACGATACGGCAACATCAATACCACTTACGAGCAAGTTGTGACCACCGCTCTCTCTTTCAGCTGTGCACGGCATTTGAGGGAATTGCATCGCAGGTAGATATCCATGATGTGGGTGGGATTGGGTTGACAGCGGAGGAAAGGAAATGGGAATGGTGGTCAAGGTGTGAGGGATTCCCTCACTCATTCATTGCATCTTAGTATTTGGTCTACTTTTGAGCCACGCAGCACTTGGATATATGCAAAAAGCAACAAATCAATCCCAAAAACATCCACAGAACACCACGCTAAAAGAAGAATGTATTTCCTTGTGCATCACGCCGCGTTGAGCTCATCTTTTCCTCGAATTCCTTGCCAGGCTCATACTCGTTCCAAAGACTGGCCGGGTAAATGTGCTTGTTCTTTTCATACCAACGGCGGTCTACTACTTTAGTTTCCGCCGAGTCCTTGTCTGCACCCTCCAATGGATGGTCATTTGGGCGGTACAAGGATTCGTCATTTGAGCGCTCCGGAGGAGGTTTATTAGTATAGTCGAAAAGTAATCCTCCTGTCTTGGAGAAGCTTGGAACTCGGTTGGCGATAAAGTGATAGAACTCATAATGCTAGAACCAGTCAGCTTAGATGTTCAGCACCATGTCCAAGAAAAGTACTCACATGAGGAACAATAATATTGCCTTTGACGAGCATCAAGTCATCCACACTGACGCGCGCCCATTCTCGACGGGTATCCTTCCGTGCTTTGGAAGCTCCATTCGCACCACGGACTCCCAACTCTGCACCAACCTTGCGACACCGATCCAAAAATAGCCACACATGATCTCCTTTCTTGACCTTGACTGATCCAGCTGGTATACTTGTGCCATCGAAGAACACAAATGGTATCAAGATTTCCGTGTTCTTGACAGCTTCTTGCATGGCCAAGAATTCCTTGCGAAGTGTATCACGAGCCTGCGCTTGTTCTTCCAGGGCGGCCTTGGTCAGAGCTTTCGGAGGAGGCGGCGCATTAGGATTGGCCTTCATTCGAACAGCTCCAGATGTTGCGCCCTCCTCAATGGGTGTTTTCGAGCCAGACCGGGATATACTCGAGTCGCGCGGAGTAGCCGCAGAATCCTCGCCCGTTTCATTCTCATCGTCGCCAAAAGAGAGCTTACTCTTTGAAAGAGGCTTCTTCTTCTTTTTTTTAGGAGGAGCGTCGCTTCGATTTGTTGACGATCTATTCAGTAGGCTGGATTAGCGCAAGTTCCCGTGGAGGCGGTCGTGGGGAAATAGAGCCCTTGGAGCTTACCCGTCAGTCACATCGCCTGCAGATGGAGTTGCGCTTCTTGAATTACCAGATGCTAGTCGCCCAAGGGACTTATCATGCGCTTCGCGCTCTTTCTGCTCAAGGACCTCGGCGCGACGTTTGCGAAAGTCAGACAGATGCACAAGACCGACGGTTTGCGACTTGAGCATATCCTCCGCGGAAGCAGTCTGGCCCGTGAAGGACCGCGGAGTGGAAGTACCGCTTTCTTGATCCGCCATTCTGTAAAATACCTTGAATTAAACAGCCGAAAATGAGTTGTTGGAAATAGTTGACTCGAATGAAAATGTTGGATATCCGAGTCACTGACGTCTGTATGGTACACGTGACCAAATTCAATACTTTGGATGCCCTATGTCAACAGGTGAATTGAGCAAAAGGTATTGGAGGTAGAGACGGAACCCTCAGATTTCGATTGTAGGAGTTCTCTTTCTTGGTTCTTGAATGAACACAATAGTGAGCTTAGAAAAGTCCGCGACTACAGCTCTCAGGTACATCGTTGCCTTAGTAATCAGGTTTCAGGACAGTCAGGTTAACTTAGGATGAACATGTACGTCTCCAATAACACAACTTCGTTTGGCAGTGTTCGAAATATACTTCTATCGCGAGGAATCATAATTTGTTTACTGAACTCTTGGCCCAAGAACTACATTGCTCTCTGCATCCTTCACAGCTACAACGTCCAAATTATCGGCCAATTTTAAGTGCAAACAGTCCAAACCCACATTTATCTGCGGAGGATCGCCGGCCAGTCGCGACATCGTTTCTACAACAAAATCCGTGTGATTGAAAGCTAATCACCATGGAAGACGAAGAAGATGACTTTTATGATCCGGCCGACATGGTGGCACCGGACCACGCATCAAACAACGCCCAAGCTGCAGCTCCAGCCGAACCAGTGGACGACATGGAGGAGGACGAGGAGGTAGACGCCGACTCCGATGAGGTTCGATAACGATTTTCTTTTTCAACTTGGCTCTTTAGCTAACCAAGCTAAGGATGATTTTAATATCATTACAGAGGCGCCCGCCGATGCGCCCCCTCCAGAGCTGTAAGCAATCAGCTATTCGCGCCCATGTTCATATTAGCTAACCCTCGAAGCTCCCACCCACGCCATGCAAGCTTACGGCAAGACTCGCAACGACCTCCCTCCGCAGATTCATCACCAATCTCTAAATCCGCTACACCTGCTACTCCTCGTCAAGATGGCCCGGCTTCACTGCCTGGAATTGGCAGTGCTGCTCCCGCAAAGCCCACCGTGCCCCAAAATCAGAAGCCAGGCTCCTCCTACCCGGCCATCCACACCTCTAACATCGACGTGAATGGCAACCCTGTACACCCTTCCACTGGGAAGACCATTATGGCTACAGACATGGACGCGGACTTCCCGGCTGATGACAAGCCCTGGCGGCGGCCGGGTTCTGATGTCTCTGACTTCTTCAACTACGGCTTCGACGAATTCACATGGGTCAGCTACTGCCTGAAGCAGCAAGAAACACGCAAGGAGGTTAGCGATCAGAAGAGACAGATGGATGATATGTCTTCGTTCCTGGGCATGGGAATGCCTCCCATGCCTGGTGCACCACCTCCGGTCCCCGGCCCTGCGGGCAGCGGCCCAGCAGCCATGCCCGGTATGTCCGGCATGCCTGACATCCCCCCTGATGTTATGCAACAGATGTTGGCTGGCATGATGGCCCAAGGAATGGACCCGTCCAACATGGACCCAATGACCTTTATGCAGAGCGCGCAGGCGATGATGGGTGGCCCACCTGGCGGTGGTCAGCCGCCCCAACAGAGCTTTGGAGGTCAAGGACAGAACCAAGGCTTCGGTCAACCTCCACAAGGTCAGATGGGATACGGAGGCTACGACCAACGCGGTAATTATGGAGGCCGCGGGCGTGGGCGGAGATGGTAATCTCAATGTCAGCTTTAGTACTTCCTGTGTGATCAGTTTGGGTTCGGCCTTCGGATGATGGGCTGGATATTGCGGCGTTTTATGCAAAGGGATGAATAATTCAGAATTAAAAATGGCTTCCTATTCTACACTCGGTAAAGATCCATTGCGCGCAGGCCCGGTTCGGGAGAACGGAGCTGTAGAACGGAGCTGTGTACCGTTAGTAGGAGTATAGGGTTCTATGCATCCAGCTTGCTAAGGAGTATGAATTAATTGGGAATAGAATAGAAACCTGGAAGAAAGGTACGCTATTGAAGGTCTCTTAGGCTCTGAAGTGCGAATTATGTCTATTTCAATTGGACCGATCAAGTTGTTAGACTCGGGTTCTTCCTCGGAACTAAAGCTGTGGTCTTGGCATTCTGGAAATTTCTCGCGGCGAAAGTCCAGATCTTCCTCCCCCGGACATTTCCTCTTCCTTTCTTCATCCCACCAACATCACACCTTGACTTCAAGACCTCTCTCTCCATCACAATGGTATGTCAAATGTTCCATTCTAGCTATTAAAACTACTTTATGCCCATTTCCAAGCTTCTTGGCATGCTGGAATGGCGTCAGAGCCTACCCGCGCATTTTTTCCTTTCCCCAGACTCAACCGGATCAACATACCCTCGGCCTGTCAAAATGGTTGCTAATTTCAATTGCAATAGTCTGTCCTCCGCAACATCAAGAACCTCACCCCCCTCCTGGACCGCGTCCTGATCCAGCGCATCAAGCCCGAGACCAAGACCGCCTCCGGTATCTTCCTCCCTGAGAGCAGTGTCAAGGAGCAGAACGAGGCCAAGGTCCTCGCTGTTGGTCCCGGTGCCTTTGACAAGGATGGCAAGCGTCTCCCCATGGGTGTTGCCACCGGCGACAAGGTCCTGATCCCCATGGTAAGTTAGCGCTACGTTCCCTTTCCGACCTCTTCCGCGCATCGCATCCCAGTGACGATGCGGTTCAACCGGCATATACTCCGACACCTTCTCTGTTAATTTGGTGCTAACATTTTTTCTTCTACAGTTCGGTGGTAGCCCCATCAAGGTCGGCGAGGAGGAGTACACCCTGTTCCGTGACTCTGAGTATGTCTAAGCTCCCAACCTACTTTGTGCAGCGTGGTCTGGGCACTAACATCAAACGCAGGATCCTTGCTAAGATCAGCGAATAAGCGGCTTAACAAGCCACTATGACTCTCGTCTCGCCTCCTCCTTATCTGGATGTCTTCTTCATTCCCCCGAGCTCTGAATCCTCGTGGAGAGAGACATCCAGTATGTACCATACCGAAGCGAAGTCACGAGCTCGACCACTTTCAACGATCTCAAGAACAAATCATACGAAAATAATAAATTATATCTCCGGGGTTCCGGGTGCACGTCTGCTGGGTCAGGATTTGTCCCGTGGTCTGCTTTGGCCTCGTTCACCTTTGCATACTGTGTTTTTGAAGCGCTGGATTGGCCTTGGGTCTGCATGTCTTTGTCCAATGTATTATTAAAACCAATCACAACTTGTCCCGTCTATGCTTGTGCTAAGGCTGGCGGTTGGTAATTTGATGTTAATCTCCTCTCCTACCAGTCACGTCAGGTGTTTTATTTTTGGCAACCAGAACTGCATGTAAACGCATTTGTTTGCTGCACATACGTATAAGTGTAGACGTGTGTCTCTCCTTGCTCGCATATGCACAACGCTTAGATTCGGCTAAAGTGCCTTTAAAGTTGATAGTACTAGATGTACATACCTAAGACATTCCAACTGTGAAGAATAGACACCTAAGGACTAGCCAGATGGCTTCACCTATGAATGACCTAGCTAGTTTGAGGCCCATACTCTCGAATACGTTAAACGATGAGAATCCAGATAAAAAGATAGAATGCGTATGAATTGAAGCATCAAGCACTAGTTACGATGACACCTGGTAATTGAATGACGCTGTCCACAGATCTAGGACGAACATGGAGGGTATGAATAATCTCATATCGCCACACCTAATATGTAAGCGACGGTCCATCGTAGTATTTTCATCGTATCGAAATCCGAGCATCAATCCACCTCAAACAAGACAATGAAATGTAGCCCACAGACGCTCCCCAATCAATCCTCGAAATCGAGCAAGCCTCTCACTAGGCTTCATCTCCATGAAAACAGCCAACGCAGACTTGTTCTCATCGTCTTGAGTCTTGATCGGGAAATCTTCGGGCTCATCGTCACACTCTTCAGAGACGCGACCCTCCGAGTCAATGATATCGAGTACTGTCCTCGCCGCGAAAGGATTCAGTCCGATTATCCGAAGAAACCTCTCCGATTCGGATTCCTCTTCCTGGATGATTTCGTTCAGAGTAACATGTTGAGAGATCCTTTTATGGGCATCGACGTTTGCGGAGGGGGCGGGGTGAGAAATTGTCGAAAGGGAAAGAGAGTGTTTTGTTGCAAGGGTGAGAATCCATTCTGCTGTTTTTTCTGGAAGGGTAGGAATATGGAGGGGGACAATTGTTGTTGAATTGGAAAGGGCGGTGCAAAATAATAAAAGCGAGTCAAGTGAAGTTTTTGTAGATTTTGTAATTTGTAATTCTTTTGTCTGGTGGATATGTGCTTGATCGGCTGCTGGAGATTGATGGCTGATTAGCAAGTACAAAATCTCGTACCGAGGTGCCAGGCGGAAGACTCGTTCTTTCAGGGGGGAAGTGATATCTTTGTGCTGTCGGATGAAGGGATCATCAGATTGATGCCCAGGTAGGTAAACCTGAGTTAATGCATGTGATGTTGTAAGTATGATACCGACAGTCGGGGCGATGATCAAGTCGGCTTCTGTGGGTGTCAAAGCTTGATCTTGTAAATTTGGAACTGTAGAATCCGGGTATGGCGGGTTCGATGATGATATGTATTCTCGATAGATCAGTCTAGGAGGTGTTGGTCGCTGTTCGAGAGATCGAACTAGTCGGAGATGTGTTTTGAGAAGGTTCATGGAAAGGAACAACAAGAGATTGGCTGAGATGGTTTCGGAATCAGGGTTGATTATCGAAAGGGCGAGGGAACAATCTTTAGCTGCCTCAAAGGGCACTTCTCCCGGAACCGAGAGAATACGGGCTTGATCCGATTGACACTGTTGTTCATTGGTCTGGTTAGTTTCACCACGATCAAAGTATGGGCTAGTTGCAGGGTCGCTTGACGTGATGACGCCTCTCGTTTCCATGAATCTGGATAGAGAGCCAAGGCCTGTACTGGAGAGCCCCGTACTGGACGTGTGCGAAGTTTCAAGTCCTGCGGCAGGGGACTTTCCAATAGGTGGCGTGTCATTCAGGCTGATAGGTTTTAATAACGTACCATCATCGTTCTCAGACTCAGTAAATCCTGTCATCGAAGACCTGATCTTTTCATTCGGCACAGGGCCAGAGATGATGGGCTTTTTGCGACGAAAATCACGAGATGAAGAGACAGGAAGTTCAGGGTATTCTTCAGAAGGAATTGGGCGGACTGTCGTTCCCTTGGAAGGTGTGCTGCTAACATTTAGTGCAGTCTGAAAAACTTATATTAGCATCCTCGATGTTTGAATTTATAGAACGCATTCTAATCTTTCCGGGGGCATTCTGGTATCCTTTACCTTGTGGAGAATTGACGCGGACGAGCTAGATTGGTGCTTATTTGGTAAACCAGGTCGGAAGTACGGCGACACATTAATTTCGGCTTGAGCCGTGCTTGGAGGATCCTCTGGGACCCAAGGAAGATTTCCATTTTCTTCCCGTGACTCAGAGGAAGTCGAAATGGAGGGGAAATGGAAATCTGGCAGAGCAGCAGCATTTTGAGGAGGTCTCCATGGGCGCCTGTGGGACTGAAGCATATTTTCATGCTCCGTCTGCTCGGAGACGAGGGTCATGTCATGGAACAGAGTCGCGTTCTGTTATAGTGGTTAGTTTCTTTCAAGGTTGAACCAGTAGATAACAGACTGACCTTGTGCTGTGGCAGCATTTTGTAAGACATCGAGTCTACCATCATTCTCGAGTGTTCATTTCGGTTCATAAGAGCACGCGACTTTTTGTTGAGTTCCAATTTGTGAGAAACGAATTCTCGGTCACGCAGAAGAAGCTCCTTGATCCTCGGAGGCGTATCACAGTCCTTTGACTTGGATGGGCCCCACACAGTACCGAAGCCCAGATGCTGTGCAATATGAGGCCCAAAGTAACTGTGACAGGCAACTGACTCAGGTCCATTCCCAGAAGCTTGGAGGCGTAGACGCGAAGAATCCCCTTCGAACCCATCTGGGGGGACAATGAGTTTGTTACCATGCTCTGCTTGTTCGCTTTGCAGAGGGGGGTCACTGGAAAAAACGCTAAAATGATGCATTGGGGGCATCATTGGGTCCCAATTAAGCTGAAGCGCAGCAGTTGACCTTTTCTGAATCTGCAAGAGAAGTGCGGACTCGTGGCCGAGGTCAAGATTTCTAGCCTCCAGATCCTTCTTGGCTGAAGAATAATATTCCATGTAGCTGGAAGCTACCTCGTCGGGGTACTGATAATGAGTAGATATGTTTTGTTTTACTCCGAGTTGGTCAGATATTTTAATCTCAGATGAACCTCTTGCGATGCCTTTGTCTCGAGCGTATTGTAGAAGTCCTTGGTCGACATTCGTAAAATCCATGGTAATCACCGACAGAATGAATTCTGATATGATATGTTTGTAAGCAGAAGAAAAAAGAAATGAGGCGAAGAAAGGTAGGGGAAGCGGGGGTAAAAGTTGAGAAGTGAAGGACGTGAAGGGTTGGAGTTTTCATCGCAAAGCAGATACCCCCCTAGTGTACTAGTTATAGGCCAAAATTCTTCCGAATTTACTTACAAGTACTGTTCGTAGAGCTTTGATTTCCAGATTCTATTTTTCTATGTATTTCTGAAAGCCTGATGGAGATCAATCATATTAATTAGTTCTAGATCCGTTGATTGAGCATGAAAAACGCTAAAATGCTTGATGAATGATGCAGCTTCAATGTACTCCCCCATTTCGCCTAGTCATTGTAATTCGATTGTCGGGCTCCATTTTTGTTGACTGCCGGCAGACCATACAAAGCATTGAGCTCATCCTCTTGTGATTTACCCGAAGCCTTCAGCACAGGGCGTTCAGCCTGGGCTGCTACGCGTACAGCATGTCGGCGATGAGGTGTAAATCCATATGTAGCAGTGTGGTTCTACAAACTCATATTAGTACAATGTGTTGATTCACCGATTGAAAAAAGACAAACCGTTGTCCTGTTGTCCCAGATGGCAACATCACCCTTGTTCCACTGGAAGCGAGCGTGTGCCTCTTGAGTCGTCGCAACCACATCTGTGAGGTACCGGATAATGGCATCGCTCTCGCCCTTGGGAATACCGATGATCTTGGTGACAAAACCGGGATTGAAGAACAGACTGTTCCAGCCAGTGACGGGGTTCGTTCGGATAAGAGGGTGTTCGGTGGTAACAGGCTCTCTACGGACTGGCCGGCCAAGAGCGCGTGAGTCGTTGGCTTGCATGTCAGCTGAGTGGAGAGCAGTCAAGCCTTTGAGATAAGTCTGCATATGGGAGGACAAGACATCATATGCAGCATACTGTGATGACCAGAGGGTGTCGCCACCACCTCCAGAAGGAGGACCAGTGAGCACCTTCAGCATAGTGTACGATGGAGGTTGCACTTCGTAAGTAACCTGGGATGCATTGTTAGTTCCATATTTGATAGCGTAGGGCTCAAAAGTCTAGACATACGTCTGAATGCCACAGGAAGCTTGGGCTGAATAAAGCGCGGTTTTCCGGAGAGTTGTCGGCTGTGTACACCACGTGGACATCTTCCAGACCCTCCTTGCGAGGAACAGATGTAGTGGCATGCTATTCATGTATTAACAATCATGCTTCTTAATAACCAGAAGAGATTGACCAACCTTGTGCAGCCGTCCAAAGTGCCTTCCCAAGTTTCGTTGTGCCTCAACATCCAGGTTCTTCTGGTCACGGAAAAAGACAACACCTCGATATGCTACCAGACGGGCCAAGTCATCACGTTGTGCGTCGGTCAGATTTGCCAAGTCAACGCCATGGACTTCTGTTCCGATCTTGGGGTTGTAGTCGAATACATCAGTGGCATCTTGGAGTAGATTACGGAATTGAGGGTCTCCATGAATTCCACGGTCTTCGTGATGGATCTCCTCTAGGGGCTCCCAATGAATGTTGGGGAATGACGGCAGAAGGTCATCATATTCATAACTGGTGTGCTCTTCCACGCGTGTCCGTCCAGGCACATAACCGAATTTGTTACTGGCGGCGACTCCCTTAACAGGAAAGACTAGAGGTGCTGAAGTCGAGGAGACAACGGGCTCTTCCAGAGAGGGTGCCATTATGAATGCTTCAGAATGCAAGAGGTATTGGCAGAGGCTTCGTCCTTGGTTTAGAGTGGGACTTGAACTATAAAATTGAAACTTTCTCAACCGGGAGAGACAGCATTTATAGACATGGATTATACATAAAGCAGCTCCTGTGGACCCCGACCAATTGTGAGTCAACTCCGGATAAGCTGAAGAAAATCTGATGCAATTGCGTGCAAGCTTTCCCGAAATTGCACCATCGACATACGTAATCACCCAACCTGAACTCAGAACAGATAGCAATTCATTGGTTCAACCAATCACGAGAGTGAGAAGGCGTGCCTCATCATTAAAATCGTGATTTCCCCGGAGTCTTCAAGGTGGGACCCGATGTTAGGGGGGGGCGAATCACGCCATCTTTGTGACGTTGATGGCAACATTAGCCCATTTCCATCGAATAATCATGGTTAAAAACAACTCCGTAGCACAGGAGATTAAAGGTCATTTCACCGCTGTTTCAAGAGATGAGGGATAAGCGGTATGCGTACGCAATCCAAGGCAGTGTTCATGGTGCGCAATGTGTTTGTGGGGGTGATAGCGGGAAGAAAAGTGGAGGTTAAATTTAGCACGCACACTAGTACGTTCATGGCGCTAAGCGGCGATCACGCAAGAGTGGCGGGCTCTGGCGTGTAATTATCTTGGCTAACCACGAACGCCATGCTTATGAATCCTTATGTGGAGTCCAGGGGTCTCCATTCTTCTAGAGCACCGGACTAGATTCTACTACTGTACATGTGTTGTGGCGTGGTTTAATCAGTCAGCAGGTTCGTAAACCATCAAGTTTGAGGACTGTTACTTTGTACTTATTTACGGGGTACCTAAGTCGACCTGATCGAGTTAGCCACGGCGTAATAATGGGGATTTGGTGTGCAGGCCCAATTTTCTCTTTTTAGTTCCGAAGCTCCTAAGAAGCTATCTTTTTTTTAATAAATAGTTCTACGTACCCCCTAAATTACCCTTATACGCTGTCTTACCAGATCAGGAACATAGTCAACCTGGTACCTGACCAAATTATGTTTTCTATAGCCTATCCAGGTAGCGTCCCGTATACCTACCCTTTGAAAGTACTTTGTGGCATCAAGTACATCTACTCCAGTAACCACTCAGTATCTACTTCAGTACCTACCTCCATTGGCTACGGTGAACCATGAAGGTGTATCGAACGTGTTCATAGACGTAAAACTGCGAAGCGAAAAGCGGACATTTGAAAGGTTCATATTGTACATATGGATGCCACTGATTCCGGAGCCATGGGTATATTCCTGCATACTAGGTGTGGGCTAGGGTGCGCAAGAGTAAGTGGAGGGAGGACGTGAAGCGATTGACCTCTTTTATCGTTGGCTATATTTACTTTCTCAAAGGAGGATCATCCTAGAAAGAAAATAGGCTCACGGGCCATTTATGATCACTTGCGCATATCCAAAGACCAGCTCATTGCATTAGTGTACATTAAATCGATCGATATAATCCAAGGTTATCGTGTTCATCACATTCGGCCATCGCCCAGACCCAATGGTCCTAGGCTCACCTCTTGGACTTGCTCGGTAACACTGCCAAGTCGAGCAGCAACACCCATGATTCCAGCCTCGACATCGCCCAGGACAGCCGCCAGATCATTGACCGCAGACTTGGGGGTCCCGGCACCCGATCCATCGCGGGACTTGGAGCTGATAAAGTCGTGAATCTGGCGGTTCAAGTTGACTTCCACTCCGTGGAGGTGATCTTCAATCTCCTTCAAGTTGCCCTTGTAGCGGCCAAGGACAGCACTCATCTCGTCCGAGCGATGGGAAAAGTAATCCACCAAGTTGACAGGCACACCATTCACTGCATTGGCAGTGGATGGGTCGACCTCCACGTCATCAGGGAGTGCCAAGGTATTCTTCCGGGTCGACCGCAGTGATCCGCGGTCTGGAACCTTTTGATCATGCACTGACCACCAACCCCCACCCCCTGATGACTGATATTGCATGGGCAGTTTCAAGGTATCGATTGCGCGGAAGGCAACCTGGGCCTCGGCCGCATCACGGGTGACGAGTCCTCGGAGCTGGTCAATGTCACTGGCATCGTTCTCAAGAGCATGCTGGATGGTATCTAGTTTGCCCTGTACAAATTCCACGTCGTTTGGAATGGTTGAACCCTGTTGTTCAATGGTAGGGAGTATGTCAGCAACCTCGTTGCACATACGGATTTGCTCGAGAATAGCGTTGTCGATATTCTCAATCTCGCGGCGTAGCTCATCGGCACAGCTCTCATACTTGGTGGTCGGGAGTAGGTTGGTGAGATCGACTTTCACACCCGGGACGACGTTCCCTGTGGCTGTGCTTTGCTGCAACGGTTGCTGTGCGGTGCTAGCGTTGGCGAACAGGCCAAGGCTTGGCTTTTGAGGTTGTTGAGATTGCTGTTGAGTGTTTTGCGTGTTGCCGCTGAAAGGGAAAAAAAATTAGTTCGATAACCACGCACATCCGGCCGTTGTCCCACAACTTACAATAAGCCGCCTGTAGTACCACTGGCGACATTATTCAGGCCCAAAGGCTTCTGCTGAGTTTGGGCTGTTGCGCCCAATCCACCGCCGAACAAGCCACCCGTCCCGGTTTGGGTGGTGCTTGTTCCAGCGCCGGCACCAGTTGTACCAAACAAGCCAGATGATTGCGGTTGTGTAGTTGTAGTTGTAGAGGCTCCTCCGAAAATGCCACCACCAGTCGCGCCAGTTTGCGGCTGGCCCAGGCCCGAGAACATGTTCGACCCGGCGGGTTGAGTGGATTGTGTATTTCCGAATAGGCTTCCTGTTGGTTTCGATTGGGCGGTGGAGTTGGCGTTGCCAAACAGACTTCCTGACGTGCCTGATGCTGGGGTTGATGTTGAGGTGGTCTGTGGATTGGTGCCGCTGTTGGAAATGCTTGTTAGCTTTGGGTTTCAGGGTCACCGAAGACGCGGCCATAACACCCCTGTCATCCTCGACCAATCGGTCGTCTAAAATCCAAAACCCCAGGATGGGCGCCACTAGAATGTAACGCAAGGGATTGCCGATCTTAAGCTTTGATGGAGCTTCGACTAGCTAGATGGTATCATAGTGGGCAAGAAAGGGTTTTGCGACTCACAAGAGAGAATTTGCGGAGTTAGTATTAATATTCAAACCGCCCGTCGAGGGGGCAGCAGCCTTGGGTGCGAACATGATAAGCCGGAATGCAGTGAATAAATAAGTAGAACAACATCCAAGGCGCGTTTAATCCCGATAAGATTTGCGGTCGGTGGATCATTTATCCGGGCGCCGAGGTTCGACGACACATGAACAATAAAGCCCTACTTCTATTGCAACTTCAACTTCAACTTCAACTTTTACTGGTAGATTGCGCTTCAAATTATCATTATCGTAACTCATGTAAAACATCTGATCCTCATATCTGACTTCTTCGATTCTGCTTATCCTGTGAAATTTTTGGGTGAAATTTTTGAACAGCTTGCTCGATCTTGTGCTTCTTTCAGTCATCCAGGATCCCGTCAAGCTCCTGGTTTGCCATTCAACAATGGCCAAGGAAGCCATACAGACATGCATACCCAAATGTGTGGCCTCGATGATACCTCTGACTGGAGTGGGCCCATCTGCTGAGGGGGAAGCTCCTTTGGACCTTGTCTCTAAGAGCGACGTGAATACTAGAAGCTTCAAACGTGCAACATGGTAAGTCAATGCTCGACTTCTTCCCAATTATTGATGGGCAAGAGCACCCATCTTCTGAATCCCTTCATTCCTTCTCTTCATCCTTTCTCTTCATCTGGCTGATATCAAATGCCCGCTAGGACTCCAGATGGCACCACTCTTTTGGCAGACTCTGCTGATCACCACATCCGATCTTTTGTTCTGTAAGTTCTTTCTTCCTGCATCTTCCGGGCTAGCACCCTTCTTATCTGCTTTCAACCAAAAGGCCTCCAGATCTCCTTGACTCACCTTCGGTTCATCATCTTTCCCCATACTCGACTCTTCCTTCAACAGAACCAACTTATGCCTTTGCCCCTTACCCCTTTTTCAATCTCCAAGATCCATCAACCACTCTCTTCCTTTCTTCTGTAAGAGACCACCCAATCCGGCTGGCTTCAGCTCTTGCACCAGTGTCGGTAGCCAGCTACTCACTGGTCAATCCGACAACTGAAGCCTTCATCACTCCACACTCCATCATCTATCCATCTTCGCTTGGGGGAACCCATTTTCTCACGGGCTCTGACAGCCTCATATGTCTATTCGACGTTTCTCGTCCTGGAAAGGATGGCCCGATGTCATGGCTGCCAACAATTCCAAGTAAGCGCAAGCAGATTATTGGCGGGGGTATCGGCATGAAGGGCATTGTTTCGGCCATGGCTGTTAGTCCCACTGGGGATGGGATTCTGGCTGCCGGCACATTCACCAGACAGGTTGGTCTTTACAACTCCAATGGCTCTGGTGAATCATTGGGGACATTCAGCATTGCCAAGACCGAGGCCAATCGTGATATTGGAGGAAAGGGAATCACTCAACTGGTCTGGAGTCCCTGTGGACGGTATCTGTATATTGCGGAGCGAAAAAGCGATGGTGTTCTCGTCTATGACATCCGGGTGACGGGGCAGATGCTCGGATATCTGCGAGGACGCAAGGCCGTCACAAACCAGCGCATGGAAATTGATGTTATTTCTGCTGGTGCAGATGGTGCGCATGAGGTATGGGCAGGTGGCACGGATGGGTTCATGAGAGGATGGAAAAATCCCATATATGCGGCGGGTGGACAGGATCCCGATTGGGAGTTCAAGATGCATGATGGTTAGTGTTATGATTCAAGCATCTCAAGTTTCTGAGAACTAACACGCGATAGATACTGTCACTAGCACCGTGTTTCATCCATCGGGTGGTGTTGTTGCGACTTGTTGTGGTCAGCGAAATCATTCAAGTGGCTTGCAAGACATGGATTCAGACATAACAAACGATTCCAGAGATGGAGAAAACAACGTCAAAATATGGACGATGCCACCTCCAGAATCTTGGCCCGAAGAAAGATGAGAAAATCGAAGTTAGGGCTAACTTCGTTGCCCCAAATTCCAAATGGGAGGGGTAACCAAGTCATCGACTTTTGGAGGGGGGAACTTGACATGGGTGACATCCCCCATAAATTGCATTCTGATTCTTGATCTCATGAGGGGAAATTGGGAACCTCTTATGTTGAAGTGAATGGGCAGTCATGGGGGGTCACTCTTCCTATTGTCCTTGAGGAGGCACTGCTTTTTTGTGGGTCTTCCTATTGTCCTCCAGGGTCATGTCCCAATGTGGTGACTTCACGACTTTTGTTTGCTTGGAAGCACTGCTTTCTTGATAGGAGGCGCTGCTTTCTTGTATGGAGGCACTGCTTCTGGTGGGTCTTCCTATTGTCCTCCAGGGTCATGTCCCAACAAGGTAATCCCACGACTTTTGTTTGCTTGGAGGCACTGCTTTCTTGTGTGAAGAGCGCAAAATCTCTATAGACCTCCTGATCGAGCGTCGCTATAGATCACCAACCCCATTCACTTCCACAGGCTGGGGTATTTAAACTTCAATTCCCTCCTGACTTTCAACCTTCTTCCTCTTTTCCCCGACCTCTTTTTGTTGAGACATCGTGATATTTTCGCACCTCCTTTTCAATTCGTTCTTCTTTCTCTTTTTCTTTTTCTTCCGGCGTTCAGTCAAGCGTTAAAGCGATCTTCATCATGTCTTTGCCCGTCATTACTTACACTCGTCGGGATATGGAGTTCATCTCGTTCCTCGAAACTGGGCAACTCCCCGCCAATTACAACCCCATGGACTATGACCAAGCTCCTTCCGCAATGATTTACGGTGACCAAGGCCCTGGATGGGATTTTGACAACGATGATTGTGACCTTGTTGCACTGTCTAAAAACTTCAACATACCCCCTTTGACCGCAACTGGCTCGTCCTTCGAAATTTCCTCCTCTCTCGCAACTGCCTCCTCTTCCGCAATTTTCTCGTCTCCTCAGGTCACTGCGGTCAACGATGTCAACGTTCCCGAGTCAACTAGCTTCTCCTCGATCCAGGAAGCTCGGAACTCGGTCCGGCGTCAAGGAACGATCCCGCAAGACGAGACGTTCCCAATGTCAGTAATTGACGTCAGACACGGTGTCGGGCTTCTTATGGGTGCCATGAAGTCGACCAAGTACGCCAAAGATGCGCAAAAAGTTATCGAGCCTTTTACCCGAGGTAGATACGGGGACAAGGAGATCGAGTTGACCTGTTGGGAAGTCATGGTAAGTTCGCTCACTATCTTGCCCGTTTCTAATAGTCATTAATAAAGTATATCAGGACTGCCTCATGACTCGCCAAATAAATGCGGTCAGCTTTACAGAGGCCCAGAAGAACCGGGAGACCGGGTCTTTCAAAGCCCGTTTCGACTTCGCGATGGTGGCACTCAAGGTATGTATTCGTGACAGCATGGCTTGTTGAAATCTGCTTATCCACTCATACAGCAATACAAATCAATTTGCAAGCATCTACTTGATCCAAAATACGTCTACACTTTTGTCGACAATCCTGAAGCCGCTGGCAAGCGGGTCGCCGCCAACAAGACGGTGAACGACAAAAAGAAAACCCAGCTTGAGGCTGGAAAGGGGGTCTTGTCTTCTGCCCCCTCGCCTGATGCTGAAATGGGTGGCACTTAGAATCTTCGCTTGTTGCTGATTTCTTCCTTTCGGTCTTATTCAGTCTCTTTCTTCCGTCTCAGGTATCTCTTACTTCTGATGCAAACTTTTTGTTCGGCTCTCTAGTATCACGACCGTATCTCTGTTTTTTTCAATTTTCTTTTTCATTTTACATCCAAAATCTGCTTTTCTTTGCGTAATTTCGAGTCAAAACCATGTGATTGGAAGTAGAAGATGTGGACAAAATGGGGCTTATTCGGAACCTGCTCGGGGCCCGCGGGCTCCGCACAGTCGGACTCCGTCAGTCATCAAAACTTGTTCAAAGCAAAGAAACTCCTTCTCTCGATTTTTCATGAAAATTTCGCCTTTCAGGGCTAAAATCATTAAATCCTACAGCACTCGAGACCTCGCAGACGTGTGAGGGCCCACTTCGTCATTTTCAATGGGGTTCAAAAGTTACCTGCGCAGGGAACCCACACGCCCGAAACTGGTGGGGCTTAGATCAGCCAAATGGTTTATCATCTTTACTGTTTCGTTTGCGGCGTCGACTGTGAGACTTCTTTCAGATTTATCTTACCAACAATGCTAATGTATCACAGGATTATTTTATGTACGGTCTGGTATGTTATATCTTGTCCGTGACCACGGCACTTTGAGCCTAATAAATACATAGATTGTTCCCGTCACACCAACCGCGTTAGAACGCAGAGTCGGTATTTCGAAAGATGATGGTAAGCTGATCCGTACTTCCTGACATCGGTCGTTTATTCTGACATAAAGCTTTTAGTTCAATCATGGAATTCTATTCTATTGGCCTTATACTCAGCGGCGTCACTAGCCTTTTCTCGTAAGCAAGTTTTATTTATCGTTCATCACAAATATCTCTGACCTCCTTAGCTGTTGTGGGTTATCTCGCCGACCGAGCTGAATCTCGCCGCTGGCCACTTCTTTTTGGATTGGTAGCACTTGGTGCTGCAACGGCATTGCTGTGCATCGGAACCAACATCGGTCTTTGGATCGCTGGTCGACTGTGCCAGGGCGCGGCTTCTGCCGTTGTATGGACTGTTGGTATTGCTTTGTTGGTCGACACCGTGGGTAAAGAGGGGTTTGGTCAAGCAGTTGGATATGTGTCAATGGCCTTGAGCATGGGCACAGTAGCCGGTCCACTGCTTGGAGGTGTCCTGTACCAGCACGGTGGATACTATTCTGTGTTTGGACTTGCCTTTGGGTTGATCGGCATCGACATCTTTCTTCGGGTGGTGCTGATTGAAAGAAAACATGCTCTTCCCTGGCTTGCCCCCGAGATGAGGCCATTGTCGCCAGTCCGGGAGAAGGACGAAGAGCATACAGCGAATAATTCGCGCGGCCCGGTCGTTGATGCTCTATCAGCTGAGGATCAAGAAAAGTCGAAACGCTCTCGTCATCCTTTGAGACAGGTCGCAGCCCTGCTGGGAACACCACGTCTCGCAGTTGCTCTCTGGGGATACTTTGTTGTGTCCCTGGTCCTATCGTCATTCGACAGCGTACTTCCACTCTTTGTCGAAGATACCTTTGGCTGGCAACAAACTGGCCAAGGTCTCATCTTCTTCCCGATCATGATTCCTCACATAGTTGATCCTATCACTGGAATGATTATTGATCGATACCCCAAGTCACCTCGATATCTTGTGTCGGCTGCATTTCTCTGTGCTGTGCCACTGTCGGTTCTTCTGAGAATCGTGAAAAACAACACCATGCACGACAAGGTCGTCCTTTGTGCATTGCTCGCGCTGCTGGGATTATGTATTGCCGTTGCAATGACTCCACTTGCCGCTGAAGTCTTTTATTCTGTCAAAGAGAAAGAGATTCAGTCCCCTGATAGCTTTGGTCGTGGAGGTGCGATGGCTTTGGCTTTTGGCTTGACTAATATGAGCTTTGCAACAGGTACCCTGATCGGGCCATTCTTTGCTGGATTCATTCGACAAAGTGCTGGCTGGGGTACCATGGGTTGGGCCATGGGCTTGATTGCTGGCGTCTCTGCGGTTCCTGTGCTGCTTTTTCTTGGTGGGTGGATCTCGAAAGAGCCCGTTGCTCATGAGGACCAAGGTGGCTCGCAATGATATGTTGAACCGCAAGACCGGAATTTTCCAAGCCAAGTTTACCAATTCATCAAGGTTCTCAAGGCTCTCAAAGTATGTATGTATTCGCGACAAAATTCCTTGTTGAGATCTGCTTATCCATTCTAATGGAGAGCATAAGTCGATTTGTACGAAGCACCTGTTCATCTCGAGAGACGAGTGCGCTTCAATACTGTATAATAGAAAATATAGTAAATCTCCACAGTCTCCTAATATTGTAGTATCACCAAATCCGATTTTACAGACCTTGACTCTCGGATGGCAGAAACATCACACCGCTAGGAATATCGGTGCATTCACCATTAACCATGGGTGGAAGGTATTATCAACCATGAAACCGAGGGCCCCCTGCGGTTGGCAATAGCGATCATAAGAATCACAGAATAAATGGCAGAAACCTTGGAAATTGTAGATACGGCCAAGCTATTATGATAATACGCTACTTTATGCACCCTACAGATGCACGAATCGGTGACCGCGACAATAATTAATTGGTTATCCATTTCATGTCCATATTGAGTAATAAGTGGATAAGTAGGAAAGAAGTTAGGGGACTGAGTAGGAGACTGGGTAGGAGACTGGGTAGAAAATATAGTAGAATATTAGTCTAAATATTAGTTATTCTGCCTAGGTAGATCCCCGCAGACCGAGGATATACGGAGGACCATGGTACAGTACTAGAGTCGTGTGGAGATCCAATTGTGGGGATCGAATACCCCGAAATCCGGGGGTTTGATAGGTCAAAAACGCGGGGATCGACATAGTCGGCAAGGAGCAACGGCAGACACAGCTTCCACCCCCGCCCGATTTCAATCTCTGGGCCGAAATCTGGATGTGAATGGCCAGCTATATAACGTCTCTTTATACCTGTTTTTCATTTGCAAGGAACATACATATATCTTAGCTCTAAGGTTGCGTTTTTGTTTGGCTTCAATACTCCCGAAATGTCGCCCAACATCTACCGGTCGCCTTATCCAGATCTTGACATCAAATCCGAGGATTTGATCTCATATATCTTCTCCAACCCACTCAATACCCCTCATGACCGACCAATCTTCATCGATGCACAATCACAAAAACAATACACCCATGGAGACGTGATCCAGCGCACCCGCTCCCTAGTCAACGGGCTCCAGAAGACTTTCGGTCTCCAAAAGGACAATGTCGTAGCATTGTTCAGTCCGAATACCATTGATTACCCAGTTGCATGTTATGCGATTGTGGGATCTGGTGCTCTCCTCGCTCCAACCAGCGCTGCCTTGACGGCCCTGGAGCTCAACGCCCAGCTAAAGACAAGTGGGGCGCGGTTCGTGGTCGCGCACTCCTCCTTGATTGAAACAGCTCGGAAAGCAGCAAAAGGAACAGCTGTTGAGACTGTCATTCTATTGGATGGGTCATCTCCCGTCGATGGCCAAGAGACGTGCGAGCATCTCGCTAGCACATTCCCCCCAGGTACCCTCACCGCAGTGTCGCCTGTCGATGCCGCTCGTAGACCCGCCTTTATCTGCTTCTCGTCCGGCACGTCAGGACCGTCCAAGGGCGTCGTTTCGACTCATCGCAATATCCTCGCCAATCTCCAACAATGGCGCGCTTTGCTGCTAGAAACTGGCTCTCCATCACAGAGACCACAGCGACGCACTGCTGTTGCATTCCTACCGTTCAGCCACATCTACGGCCTTAATCTGTACATGTGCCAATGCATGGCATGGGGTACTTCGGTCGTTATTCTCCCCAAGTTCGATCTCGACAAGTACCTGGACTGCATTCAGAAGTACCAGCCCGACGAGCTTGCATTGGTGCCTCCTATCGCCTTGATGCTAGTCAAGGATGAGCGAGTCTCCAAGTACAATCTCAGCAGCGTGAAGCGAATCATGTCCGCAGCGGCCCCCCTCACCAGTGAACTTTCCGCTGCCCTGGAAGCCAAATTCCGCACCCTTTTCCAGACGGAGGTGTTTTGCACCCAGTCCTGGGGTCTGACGGAGACCTCTCCCATGGCGACTGGCATTCCAAACGACCGACTGGATAAACGGGAATCCGGAGTCGGAACTATTCCTTCCAACATGGAATTCCGATTCGTGGATCCTGAGACCATGAAAGATGTTGCCGTTAACCCCAACGGATCGACATCGCCAGGAGAGATCTGGTGTCGTGGACCAAATGTCACGTCAGGTTATTACAACAATGAGGAAGCAACAAAGGGCGCCTTCTACGTTGAACCAGACGGGACGAAATGGTTCCGTACCGGCGACATTGGAGCTATTGACCAGGAAGGTTACATTACTATCCACGATCGCATCAAGGAGATGATCAAGTACAAGGGTCTTCAGGTCATTCCCAGTGAACTAGAAGGAAAGCTGGTCGAACATCCCGATATCGAGGACGCGGGTGTGGTTGGCATGTGGGCTGATGAGAAGGCCACTGAGCTTCCGGTTGCTTTTGTAGTCCTACGCCAGGAGACCAAGTCCAAAGATGCGAAGGCCACCATCGAAGGTATTCACTCATGGTTGAACCCAAAGATCGCGAACCACAAGCGGCTTCGTGGGGGTATCTTTATCGTTGATCAAATCCCGAAAAGTCCCAGTGGCAAGATTCTGCGGCGACAGCTTAAGGATTTGCTCAAAAGCAAAGCGCCAAAGGCTCAGTTGTAAGATGTTCATATATTTGTCTCTCAGCTTTTACTCTAGAAGAATATGATTTGAAAGCTCAAACTTCAAAACCGCGAGAATACAAGTTTATATAAGCAAAAGCACAATGCCCAATAAAGCACCCAGAATTATCATCTTCTCACGTGGGATAGCCATAGTGGAGGCAGCACCAGTAACGGTAGATGCAATCTTTATATCGGTACTTCGGGTTGCAGAGGTCGTACTCGTAGACGCAGCGATAGGGGCACTGACACCCGGAGTACTCGAAAGCGAATCATGACCAACAACACCAGTCGTATTGACACCCGACACAAAGGTTGTACCATTGCGGGAATAAGATATTCCAACATCCATGCCATAAAGAGCATCATAAGGGAAAGGAGCAGTGTAATTATACGTCGGGGCACGGCCTTTGTACGTGTCGATGACAGATTGAAGGATCCCGTTACCGGCGGAACAAGAGTCACTGGTAGAGGGAACAGGCCAATTGGAGCGATAAGCAGTAAACCCCCATCTCATCAGCGGGCCGGGTAGTGACTCGTTAATATACAGGTTGGTGTCGTCAATGGCCCAGTTAGTATAATTAACTTTGTCGGCAACGAATTTGAATAGATTTGCACCACAGTCCCAGCGGCCCAGCGAGGGTAGACCCCAGTTAGCCTCCACGGAGGCAAGACTGGAGTAGTGTGTGTAAACGGTATCATCCTTCGTACCGACCAGATGCTGAGGGATGGCACCGCCTAGCAGGATGCTGAACACGCGATTGGGGACATCGTAAACCTCTGACTCATCGAAGGTGAGCAGCATGAGAGTATTGTCCCAGAAATAAGTATTGTTCATCAATCCCGATACAAAGCCGCGCAGCCAATGAGAACCGTAGGTAATATTGGTGTCGTGCGCATCGTTGGTCATATTTGGTGTGATGAAGGCCCACTGAGGAAGCTGCTTATTGCGCAAATCTTCAGAGAAAGATGTGAAGTTTTTAATTAGACGCAAAGCAGTATCGTTGCTAGAGATCTTGTCGAACGAAATGAGAGGATTATGCTTGCGCACGTAGTCATCGGCATAGGTCTTCTGATTAGAGTAGTTGTAGCCCTGAAAGCCGGGGTATGGCATATCCTGTTGATATTCACCCCATGAGATGCCCTTAGTGTTCAGCAGGTCAGCCACTGTCGATACATTTGCTGGGATGTCGTGGAATAAATCTGAATGCCAATCAGCGGGATACCTCGGCTTAGACAAAGATCTACTGACCATTATCCATGCCATAGTTGTCACCACTAGCAGCAGCACAGTAATTGGGCTGGGAGGTGTGGCCGACAGCATAATAGTTGGTAAGGGTTATACCCTTGCTGGCCAGCCACTGCTGGTCAGCGTTCCCGGCAGCGTCGCTGTAATCCTGTGGTGAATGTAAGCGTTGCTTGAACTGTAATTGGGCATTTGAACTTGAATTCCATTAGTGACACATACGACATTCTCTAGCCAGACCTGATAGAAACGATCAAAAGCCTTTCCGGTTACATTTGAAGTCCAAGTTTGAGGCACTGTGGTTTGCTGGGCTGCTTTGATCGCTGCCAGGGCCGGCTCTGTAGTAGTGATTGTCGCACCAGCAGCCAGGCTGACGACGGTAAAAACAGCAGCAATAGAGGCCATGAATGGATTCTAAAGAAGGATAATAAACTAGAAAGAAGAAACTTGCCAACAACAAAACAGCGAGATGATTCGTTCCTTTTATATTATCAATTTGTACTCTTCCTGTTCTTCAGTTTTAAAGCTTATGTGACCGTGGGGGCTGCCCACAACAGCCGAACTAATTCCAGACAAGGTATTAGCCGATGGGAATTTTGGCTGACGGATTTTTATGCAGTATTAGGACTCAATGAATAAGTGGAACGAGCCAAGTTGGGAAATAAAACGAAATGGGGGTTAAGAAATAGGACCACGATCGGTGAGGTTGCAGAGGTGGATAAACGCAAACCGCCACGCTTATATTAAATAAAGTTCCGTCGGCGCATTACATCAGATGCTGACTGGGGCGGTATAAAACCCGAGAACCGCCCCTTGCCGTGGCCAATAACATATGAGACGATCTCAGAGCTTATCTGCAAGGGTCTCGTATCCGTAATTGTCGCTTTCTACCTATATAGGTGCTGACCCTTGATAATAGAGCGAAGAGGTGGCCAAATCATTTGACCCTGCAGAATTACTCCGGGATACGATATATGATCCAGATTTCATTTTTACTATTCAAGGGGCCAGGCTCTAAACTATATGAGGTAAAATAGGATGGGAAGTTAAAATGACACCGTGGGAGCGAACTGAAAAAAGCAACATGCCACGAGAGAACTATAAATCGAACTTGCTCCACTCGTCCTCCTCGTCCTCTTCGGGAGATCACCTCTCGCTCGCCGCGTCCTCGCTTTCCACGAGTCCGAGAAATGACCAGGCTAAGCACTGCAGATGACGGACGAATTGTTCGATGTCTAAGATGCAGGAAAGTTCGAAAGGATCGATGGAAGAAGCATCTGTGATTTGCAAACCGCTGAAGAATTGTCGAGCAAGGCAGGAAACGCGAGGGTCACGAGTGTGGCGCTTAATGATCTCAGTCCAACCATCTTGGCAGTACTGTACGTAGGCTTTGTAAGGTCCCATAAGCCGACCGGTCGTGAAATCCGTTAGAATCCACGAACCTCGTTCTTCTTTTTCGTCATCTTGGAAGTTCAACGGGTGGGGGGAAGACGAAGAAGCTTGTTGATGGGTTGAAAAGAAAAAGAAAAGATTATGATCATTATTTCCCTTGAATGGTACTGAGAGTATTTGCAGCCTTTCCGTAGTGCATAACGAGCGGTTTGTTCGCAGTGAGTGCGATTCTCGCGCAGAATTTCCTGGAATATGGCAACATAAGGGTCGTTGATTCGTGAGTCCCATACAAGGTCTCATTCGGTAGATGACTGAACGACGCGTCCTGTCCCCTGGTTCTTCTGGGCTTCCGTAAAGCTGACCGCATTGATTTGGCGGGTCACAAGGCAGTCCTGATATAGTTCAGTCAATGACAATGTCAAATAGGCAAGATAGTGAGCGAACTTACCATGACCTCCCAACAGGTCAATTCGATCTCGTTGTCCCCGTACCGACCTCTGGTCAAAGGCTCGATAACCTTTTGGGCATCCTTGGCATACTGGGTCGAAATCATGGCCCCCATTAGAAGCCCTACACCATGCCTGACATGAACGACAAAATTTGGGAATGTGTATCTTCTGGATTCGGATAGAAGCGAGCCATTTTGCACAGACGAGAAGTAAGTCGGCTTGCTCTCGCTTTGCTCTCGCTTGATCATTAGAGTAAGGCGGTAGTGAAGAGAAAGAGAGAAGAAGAAGAGATAAAAATAGATATTTATAGTCGTGCTCGGAGTCTATCTGGATAGCTATCTTACAGTTATCCATATGTTATATCATCTTAACACCCATGAACTCCAGCTAAAGTGCGACTAGAAAGCCGCAGACAATCAAAAAACTAAAATTTCGGGAATCACTCTGTCGTAGGAACGTCTCTACATAGCCCCTAAATTACTCTTATACACCCTCACCCGAACAAGAAAATATGTACACTTGATATAATTGCTGTCAAGACTCGAAATTCATAGAGTATCCACCTGTCTTTGGGTCTTGCACGAATTTGAAATTATCCGTAGATAGACCAAATGGTTTCAAAAAGCCGTTTCCAAGCTATCAAAGTGTATATGTTAGCCTTATGAAGAGCAGCGACTTGGAAAGCTATGAACTCACCTCTTTCATCTTCGACATCATCTCACCCATCTCCTTTTCCTTGGCCTCGTTAATCCGGGCTGGAAGCTCCCTTAGAGCTCGTTGCACAATACGCCTGTCCTCCGGTGGGAGGTTATCCATCCCATTCAAGACTTGGTAGTCTTCCGCAGCACCTTGCAAGCTAGCCCAGCCGCCCATTTGTGATTTTGCCTTGGCGCGCCGCATCAGGGACTTAGCCCGGATTCGAAGGACATTGGTGCGGATCTCGTCCAGTTCTTTCAGACGTTTTAATTCTTCTTCCTCTGCATCAGCATCATCTCCGGATATCTCGACCACCGCGTCGCAATCCTGTGGGGTTTTGGGTTTTGAATCTTTGGAGTCGTTCTGGTCGGGAATTGACGGTTCGGAGGGGATGATCTTCTCGAGGCGATCGAGGGACATTGTGGCCGAGTCAACTGCGGATTTCCAGTCTTCCATCTTCAGGTAGCATGCGGAGATGTTACAATGGAGCACGGCGACATCGTAATCCAGATAGTTGGGGCAGGAGGCGAGAGCTCGATCGTAGCAGGAGATGGCTTGGTCATAACAGCCAGAACCAAATAGTTGGTTCGCTTCTGTTTTGATTTCATGAGCTTCTCTCAGAAGTTGCTATGGCCATATGGACAAGATTAGCGACTAATTGGGGAATTTGGACTTGATCTGCAACCCACCGCTTCTTCCTCCGCGGGGAATCTTGCATCATGGAACTCATCATCATCACTGTCCCCATCATCCTGTACAGGATCAATGTCCTTGTCGCGCTTTTCGACAGGAAACGAATTTCCGGCGTTCGTCATCGTGAAGTGGAATGCAACAACACAAGAAGAGCGGACGTCGGCGGCCAAGAATCACGGGACTGATAAGCGCCGCTTCCCCCGCGCAAGCCTTATCAATCTCAAGTCCTTTGTCCCGCTTAAACGTACCATAAGTCGACGACATACCCACCATGGCTGAGCTCAAAGAGTACGTAACCGCTGGCGATTGGCTAATTACAACCCTGGATTGACATTTATGACAGACTACCGCGCATTCGTGCGTGTCTCTTCGACATGGACGGCTTGTTGATCGACTCGGAGGACAAATATTCTCAGATCACAAACGAAGTTCTTGCCATGTACGGCAAGCCAATGCTTCCCTGGTCGATCAAAGCACAGCTGCAAGGTCGCCCGCAGCCCGAGGTATGTGAAAGCTATACAAATCACCAATTATCAAGAACATCGGCATAACAATTGCTACAGGCCAGTAAGATTTTCCACGATTGGGCTCAGCTTCCTATCACCCCGGAGGAAATGCAAGCCAAGCAAGCATCTATGCAAGCAAAGTACTTCCCACAGTCCAAGCCGCTGCCAGGAGTTCCCACTCTTCTGTCCAAGCTTGTGTCAACCCAATCCACGGACCAGCCGGTGCACATTGCTCTGGCGACTTCTTCGAACAGCAAGAACTTCAAGCTGAAGTCGGACCACCTTCCAGAACTCTTTGCAGCATTCCCTGAAGTTCACCGTGTGCTGGGTGACGACCCCCGCATTGGCAAGGGGAGAGGCAAGCCGCTCCCTGATATCTACCTGCTGGCATTGGAGACTATCAATGAGAGCCTGCGCAGCAAGGGCGAGCCTGAGATTAAACCGGAAGAGTGTCTGGTTTTTGAAGATGCAGTGCCTGGCGTGGAGGCAGGTCGTCGTGCCGGCATGCAGGTGGTCTGGTGCCCGCACCCGGGTCTTCTGGAAACATATAAAGGCCGAGAGGAGGAAGTTCTTGCAGGTCTAACAGGATCGCATAAGGAGGAAGAAAAGAGTGCGGCTGAAAAAGAAGCTGAAGAGCTACAGGCATGGCGTGTGAATGGATCTGGAACCACTGGAAAACTTGGTGATGGTTGGGGGCAGCTAGTTGCTACCCTAGAAGACTTTCCTTATGAGCGGTATGGGATCCAGATACCTCTTTGAACGGCATACAGAAAGGTAGGCGAATGGGAACTTCGATACACACTAGCCATTGAGACTAATAGAGATGAAAGACATTTCCAGTAATTAAAATCGCTGCGTTTATTCTTGTAGATTGTAAATACTGTCTAAATTATGTACAACATTTCCATAGCAGAACCGAACTTTCATCTAAGTCTACATAAACAAGCCAATAAAGAGCAAGAAGGACACCCAACTGTATAAAGGCGCACCCTCCTTACCAGGAGCGCTACTACTTGGAGCAGCAGTCGACCCACTTGATTTGACATGCTTCGCAGCGGTGGGCTTAGAGGAAGTAGTCCCACTGCTGCTGTTACTGCCACCATTGCCAGAAGACTGTGTCATGGGCACCCCATTGTAAAATCCACGAATAATATTCGCCGCCTGCTCAGCGACTCCATAGGTTGAAGCCATGAGATGCGTTGACAAGGCAATAGGTGGAACACTGGCATCGACCACGCGAACATTCGCGAGGCCGTAAACCAATAGGTTTGCGTCAACGACACCACCCAGCTCGCGGGGAAGCATTGCACATGATGAAGAGGGATGGAATTCTGTGCTGGCAGCGCCGCGCAGCCATTTAACCCATTCATCATCGGTTGTAACATTTGATCCGGGTGCTGTTTCGGTTGTGAGATTGTTGCTCAGCGGAGATGCTTCGCCTATGCTTCGTGCCATTTTGAGGCCATCACGGAGGACTTCGTAGTCTACAATAAGTTAGCTTTGTTTGATAGTCTCCGATACATCAAACGTACCAGCGGGGTTGTATAGATAGTTGGGGTCGATGACGGGGTAGTCCAGTGGGTTTGAGGAGTTGATGTAAATGCGACCGTGGCTATACGGGTGCTGGAGAGCAGCGGTGATCCCGACATCACCATTCGAATCGCTGTTCATGAACAAGAGCTCGATGATACCGGTTGGACTGTTGAAGATTTTCTTCGCTGTGATGTTGCAGATGGCTTTGTAGCCTGCGATCACTTCGTCGCTGTATGTCGTATTTGGTGCATACTGGTTAATGGACGCGAGGATGCTCGACTCCATAGAGGAAACACTGCTACCGTATATCGCGGTTGCGTTAACGTACGCGACGGCATCATCGATGTATGAGAGATAAAGCTGATTATCCTGTATAGATCAGAATACACATTCTGCTCAGCGATTTGAGAAGACTAACCTTGTCGGCACCGTCGTCATAGTAAATAGAGCCTGCCGTAGTCGCATCGGTATCCCATGTCACCGTAGCACTCTGTGGTCGGTCAGTCAGGGGTTCATGAGGTGTGAAACAAAGAACCTACAAAGTGATCTTGAAGGTGCTGGCCAACACCAGGGAGTTCGGATAGAAGGTCAATGCCAGCATCAGATAGAACATCCTTCGGGCCGACACCACTATACATCAGTATTGCCGGGCTGCCAACTGCACCCGCAGAAAGAATGACCTCTTTGTTAATCTTGACCGTCGATGTGGTTGTACCGTTGTCAGTTGTGTACTCGACTGCAGTAGCCGTCAAATTGTCGGAAGTAGAGTTGTCGAAGACGATGCGAGTTACGTAGGCATTGGCGAGAACGTCATAGTTCCCCTTGTCAGGGAGAGGGTCGAGATAACCCGTGCGACTATACGATCGCGTCCAATTGGAAGGATTGATGCAGGATGTTGAGACCTCGGCGCCCCAGTTGTCACCACCGTACATATCCTCTGAAATGGCGATGCCGATATTTTCGAGGGATTCTACCCAATAACCCACTTGAGGGAACGTGTATCCAGGGTAAGATGCCTGGATCGGCCCCGCCGTACCATGGGTTGATATATTCCAATGAATATCCGCCTCTTCGGCTATCGAATCGCTTGGCGCAGTGAAATTCTCGCTTTTTCGCATCGCAGCGTAGAAAGAATCCCATGACCAATTCTCTGCTCCATCCATGTCGCCCAACAGATCTTTCCAAGCATTGATATCATCTTCACCCGGGCGGGTTAGATATAAGCCATTGATGGCGGAACTCCCTGAACAGTTATGTTAGGAAGCTTGTCATTGCTGATCCGAGATGGAGATGCGTACCTCCAAGCACCTTGCCACGAGGCCAATAGATCTCCCGATCTTCGGCATTGGGCTGTGGAACAGTGTAATATTTCCAATTCAATGGTGTTGTCCACAAGGAATCAAAGTATGAGTATGCTGGGGTATCTGAACAGTTGTCAGGATTTCTTTGACCTTTGCTGTTACCCTGACATTAGATTCATACCTATACGTTCACGGTAATCATCACCATTACCACCTGCCTCCAAAACTAGGACTGTATGATTTGTGTCTTCAGAGAGACGGCCACCTACAGTGAGTCCGGCTTGTCCTCCTCCAATGATGACAAAATCGTACGAGTCGGAGATCTCCGTGCGAGGCGACAAGGCGTGAGCGACAGGTACAATCGCGAGGCCTGCGCCAATGATCCCAGCGGATAGGGTACACCGCATTATACACAAATGAGACAGATGGAAAGCAAACTGAATCCAATTGCGAAAATATTTACAAAAGCCCAATGCCTCTGAACAAACTTTCAGCATAAAATATCCCCTGAGCAAACCCAGGGAAAGCTTTATCTGCCCCGATTTCTGGACAAATCAACACGGGCTGGAACCTTTCCTAGTGGAGTTCGTGTCGATTCGACCCAAGATGTTGTACAAATCAAATCTCACGATCCTATCAAAGTCCCCTCCAACCCCCCCACCGACCTCCACTTTGTCCAACCTAATGTTTCCAAAGCTGCAGATCACTTTTTCCCATAGGTTATTTTTTCTGGGTCTTTTTGAAACATCGACGTAATATGGGTTGAATTGATCAAGATCTACGCAATTCCTTGATATGGACACGACACTTGCTCCTTGATGATGCAGCATTGAAGATCTTAATCTTGAGAACTTTTCTTGCTGATCATTAGGGTTTTGCCTTTTGTTCGTTTGCATCCTATTGCCGACCGTCTTGGCACATCATTGGGTCTCGATCAGATCCGATTACTATGCCCCACCCCGAATACGCGACTGTAAGTACATAAGTACGTGGCTGGGGTGCGTGGGAACATCGGCAGATCGGCGGTGATGATACTATTTTGGAGGATATCCGCTTTGTTTACAATGAGCTGCGCCGGGAACCTACACCGAATAAAAGCAAATTTTTTATAGTCATTTGTGGCGTCGTGATTGTGATACAAAGCAGAACTATCTCTTGACGGATAGCGTGTCAAATCAACTGCACATGAATTCTCCAAGCACCTTCGCTAGCTCGTCCAACGATACTTCGGGGGCACAATCAAAAAGAACACTTCTGCGGGCGGTATTTTCTCCAAACAACTTTTGAGACACGTCAGTTGTGACACCCCGCCCACTGGGACCGTATATGCGCGCTGACGCTTCGTCAATTTGACCCGGAATGGCTGGCCAAGGCGCTACACCGTGACAGAATTTGAAAATGTCTTCCGCAAATGCAGCGCCAACTGCGGCTTGTTCGGGGCTCATGGAGTCACTCAGGTTCTGGAAGAGGTAGATCACATCGAGGATGTGATTGGCTCGGCCTTTCCATGGCCCATCCCAGGGATTACCCTCATTGAAATAGTACACATATGCATTGCCTGCCCAGCCACGGGCATATGATAAAGTTGCTGCATTGAAAGATATGTCGTTGGCATATGTTAGGGCAGATGCCAAGGCTTTCGCATCGGGCGTGTCATCAGCGATACCATATGTCTCCAAAATGCGATGGGCGACCGTTGGGTACAAAGCGAGTATCTTGTGAATTGCAGCAATAAACTTCTTTGTCGTCTGTGTTTTGATTTGTGGCGCAAGGAATTCAAAGATACTGGCCTACATAGCTGAGTCAGCCTGCATACAAACGGGGATCGGATTTCAACTTACATCAATTTCGTTATCGCCAATTAACAGATCCTGGCACCATTCTTTTCCAGGAAGGAGATTGGAGCTGGGTTTCCCAATCTCGGTATATGTGGCACCAGGCAGAATCAGATCACCATCAAGAGCAGGTGCAAACGAAATACTCGGTGGAAGCCGAGCCACGAGATCCTCTCCGGGCATCTCGAGAAGAGCCTTGAGTCTCTCTTCTGATGATACGTCGGAAAGTCCTAATGCAGCAATTGCATTCGCGTAATTCTCCTCGTGGAAAATATTCGGCAGTGCCTGCAGGAGACACGATGTGCCAGCCATCGCAATAGCTCGTTTGAATAGAGGTTTTTGCGAGTGAAGGTGGTAGGTCACAGATGCTATTGTGAATCAGCCTTGAGTCAGGTAGAACGTAGAGGACTGGGAATATCACCTCCTCCGGCACTCTGGCCTGCTGCAGTCACGTTGTCTGGGTCGCCACCAAAATCACGAATATGCTTCTGTACCCACTCCAGCGCAACCCGTTGGTCACGAAGACCGTTGTTGGAGCGGTAGCCTGCCTGGCGAAGCTCTTCCGATGTCAAAAACCCTGCTGCACCGAGGCGATAGCTGCCAAAGAGTTAGATAATGATATATAAATCGACGGTCCGCTCATACTTGATTGTCACCACCACCATAGGCAGCCCTCTGTCGATGGACAACTTCACAAGTTTCGTGAGATCATATTGTGGCCATGAGTTTCCTCCAATGAAAAACCCACCCCCGTGGATGAAGAATAGGACTGGAAGCTTCGAGTTTGGAGATGCATTTGCTGGCACCGCAATGTTGAGATTGAGACAATTGACGTCGGACTGGCTGAAAGCTTTTTCGGGCAATTTGTGTTGAACATGGCCGAGTTCAATATCGCATCCAATTGGTAGAGACAGTGCCAAAGGTCTACGACTATTAGCTTGCCTTTGGCTTCCAGCGGGTAAACTTACCCATCGTTGGTTGCATCCAGGACACCGCCAATACGTTCCTCCACCAGTTCAGCATCGGCGAGACGATTCTTCAGGGTTGCATATTGAATGCCGAGATATTTCCTCACGCCATCCGCTTCACAGCCGCGAATTTCCCCTAGCTTGCTTGTTTTCAGAACGGCCATGTTGTTGTAATGGAGATGGTTCGTCGGTTTCGGAATGCGCGGGGCAAACTAATTAAATAGTCACAGGCTTTACCCCACCGATGCTTGTATGTAGTATGCTCCAACCTTGCCTCTTTTATCTCATATACTGTGTATCTAACCTGTATCCTAATTAGTCTACTGCCCTATTTCCTGCCCTATTTCCTGCCCTATTTCCTGCCCTATTTCCTACTTTGTCTCCTGGGAGCATCATTTTCTTGGATCTCAAATTCCCGCGAGTTGTAATGGAAAGGTAGATTCGTCCACTTCTCATGCCCCACATATTGCCTTGAGTATGGTGGGGGTTTCCCGCTTCCGCTGCGTCATATGCCTATCATGCCACCCACTGTTGGAAAATCACATCCTGGAATTTTCTGATGACTTTATGGCTGCCATCGGATTTCCAAATGCTTGAAGAGTGTCTTGTTCGATCGTCGGGAGCTAGGGGTCATTGCCAGCAGTACCTTTTCGTTAGGCGAACTTTTGGATATCTTCGAGCGAGGAAAATCCCGTCTCCTCCGAACAAGGGAGTTAGTGGTTGTATGTTCGCCATTTTAAGTGATAAGGATCTCGCGAGCATGAAAGTTTGCGATTGGCGTGCGGTCAAGTGGGAAGGTACTCAATTCATCATAGGTAGGACGGGGAAGGGGGGGATCCTCCAAGCACTGTAGTTGAAATTCATATCTTCGTATGGGCCGGTGTCTGGGATTTTCCTGGTTAATAACATGTAGTTTGACGGGAAAGATCCTTAGAAACCTGAAAATGTTGTAAACTCCTTTCAAAAGCTCAGTGGCTTCTTCAAATTGCTCTGTATGATTCGTGAAGTTACCTGGTTCGATGAAAGTGAAACAAGTAGACGTAGGGGGATAAAAAGATGGATTTAATAATTGCACCCAGAGCCCATCTGAGCAGTTGTCTTTTCAAGTGTTCTCATTTATGATTGTCAGAGCTAGATAGGAGGGTGGTGTCGTGAAGTATATGGTTTGGTCCCTTAGGTCCTTTGCAGTACACATTATTGTATCCATCATGAGCATTCGAATGGAATCAACTTAATTTAAGGTGTAGCAGCTAGTATATGTCGTTTTCAGGGTTAAAGTGACTGGGGAGGATAGACACCTTGGAGCCTGAAATATTAGGCTTCACAAGCTTTTCTTCCGAGTGGACAACCTTGGAATTGTAAAGATCTCATTAGCTGGATGATTCTGCTCTACGGAGGACAGACTAACGGTAAGGACATTAAACGTGGCACTCGTCCGTTAATTCCGATCTATCCGTGCTACCATAACGTGAGTTCCCCGCAAGAGCCCCACATAACTCGCACTGGGACAATGGATCTCCAAGGGAAGCCATGGTGGATATCTCGGGAGTTGAAGGTCAAGTCATTAGCCGGTGTCTACTCTACAGGCTACCTCGCTGTGGTTGTTGCTGTTTCTATCACCATTCACCAACACAATGCCAGCCACGGAAGTTCACCACGCGTCCCTGAATGCCACATTCAAAGGCATTGAACGAAATGTTGGAGGTGTACCGGTTCATCAATTTTTGGGAATCAAGTATGCCAGTGTGCCGGCGCGTTTTGAAAGAGCCAAGCCAGTTGACAGTTTCGGGGGAGCTGTTGTAGATGCTACAAAATATGGGTTTGTTAATACTCGAGGACTTTGGGTTCCCAATGCTAAATATTCATAACAGCCCACGTTGTCCCCAAGCGGATGTGGATGTTCGTCATCTTCTCCGAATTCCCGAGGACTTTTTCATTGCCCCAGAGGCTGAAGATGAATTCGAATGCTTGAATTTGGAGATCACTTGCCCCCCGGTTTCATCGACTACTGGTCCTTTGCCCGTGCTTGTCTGGATCCACGGTATGTTAGTATCACTCTCCAACAGCCATATTCTAACATGTGTTCTAGGTGGTTCTCAGATTGTGACATTCTGCTCAGCTGCATCCAAGATATGTGGTATGTTGATAAGCCATGATGATTGAAACGAAAGCTTATTGGACATCAGATGCAACAAAGATTGTTGCGGACTCTGTACAATCAGGAAAGCCTATCATTTTCGTGTCCATCAATTATCGACTCAATATTTTCAGCTTCGGCGATGGTAAAGAGAAGAATCTTGCCTTGAAGGATCAGCGGATTGGGCTCGATTGGGTGCGCAATAACATTGCCTCCTTCGGTGGTGATCCTGTAAGTGTCTATCCATTTTTTCAACATTTGACTATCTGTTGACTTCAGCTAGAACAATATTACCCTCTCCGGAGAAAGTGCGGGGGCCATCTATACCCATGCGCACCTGATCACCGGGCCCCCAGTTAAGCGGGCTGTGATGGCATCTGGAACCCTTTACCTGTCATCTCCATTGCCCGTCGAGAGGGGGGACGGACTGATCAAAGTGTTGGAATCTAAGGTCCAGGAGCTGGGCCAGTCCTCCCTGCGATCATCCTCAGTCCCCGTGTTGGTTCAGGCATTGAAGGAGTGCAATGTGAACACCATGTGGATTCAAGAAGAGCCCGAATTGGATAATTGGGAAACGAAACCTGAACAAGTGGATGAAGTTATGATCGGTGATACAGAGTACGAGGTGAGTACCCCGGCTAAATATAATCAAACCACTGCCATGGGCTTTATATTGACCCCCTACAGTCCGTGATCTGGCGCAATGGTGTCGAGCTTTTGGATGGCGAGACCATTGCTGCTGCCTTTAACCAAAACCAAGAATGGGGAATGAAGCTTCGCAAGATGTATCAGGTTGTGGCTGATCGACCCACTGCAGCTAAGTTGGGTGCATTGGATATTGTCAATGATGCGCGATACACCCTCCCCGTTGAAGTCGTTTCGGAAAAGCTTCGGGCTGCCAAGAAGAGGGTTTACAACTATGTCATCGACCAGCCTAATCCCTGGCAGCCATCGAGCCGTGCTCACCATGCGGTGGATCTACTGCTTCTGTTTGAGGGTATTGATCTTGCCTTTAATCCCAGCGCACAGACCGTGGGACGGGAGATGCGACAACGCTGGATTGACTTTGTGTCTGGCCAAGCCCCGTGGTCTGATGAGAAACGATTTGCGTATGGACCTCTTGGAGAGTGTAAAGAAATTAACGATGCGCAATTTGCGGCTCGTCGACGAACCGAGCACTGTCAGGTGCTTCGACAAGCTGGTGGGGGCGTATACATGCCCATTTTGGGTGCACTCACTGCCGGCCGGATTAGCCTCCTTAATTAGAAAGCATTAAATATATCCACATGATATGTTGCCACATAATTCATAATTCCTTCCAAGGTTGTTCCTTATGTCCGTAGACTGCGAAGTTCAAAGTTCGGCAGTTGCTCTTTGCTCAATCCCGGGCTCACTCGCAACAACAATGGCAGGACAACGCGACCCACTCAACTGGAACAAACTTGATTAAAATATCCAGAATCAAATCCAAGGGAGTTCATGGAGTGGATTTCTATTCCGTTCACTCTCGGTGAATCCCTCTCCACCTGTTACTCAGACCTGACTCATGTGGGGTCGAACCCACGAATCCAATCGTTGTCGAATTTAAGCCTGCATTTGGTGTCTCCACTGGTTCTGGGCACGAATCATGATGCACTGCCCGGGGAGGTCGGCAAAGCGACCCTGTTGATACATGCCGATTCACTTGACGCTCTATGCAATTCTGACCACCATTGATCAGCTGAGATCATGGCTGATGACGATGCATTCCCGCATGCTCGTTCTCCACTTCCAATAATTGGAGTTTTGGTCGCTATCTATGTCCGAGGTATTGACCCCACAGGACGAACCGTGCCTGTTCTTCTGAAGTACATAAATGGCGCCCCGGAATCGTTTCCCCATGTGTTGAAACAATAATACACTCTGGTTCTAATCACTATCGCATCATGCATACCACAAACGGCAACGGCATATCGGATCCCCAGGATTATCAAAAGATATTCCATTGGGCCGAGACACAGAAGGATGGAAGTATCCCTTCGTTCCGCACAAGGCACAATGACCCTTATCAGGTACGTGACAGTTCATCCAAGGGAAACAGGATACATTGACTAATATCAACCAGTATCAAGCCGGATTCGGCAACTCGTATGTATTCACATTCACCTACATCTAGCGATTCAACTGGCTGATGTAGTTCTTCAGATTTGAATCTGAGGCTGTTCCTGGCACTATTCCACATGGCCAGAACAACCCACGCAACGTGCGATTTGGTTTGTACGCTGAGCAGCTCACCGCCACTGCCTTTGTGGCTCCACGACACGCCAACAAGAAGGCATGGTTGTACCGTGCACGCCCGGCCGTTGCGCACCAGGGTTTTGTATGTATCGCCCCGACTTTTTTCATCCGGGACTAACATTTTCAAGACCGAAATGCCAGACAATGAAGACACCGAGTCCAACTTCCTTCCACTGAACCCTCGCATTCATGTCTCCCCCACACAGCTGGCATGGCACCCATTTGAGATCCCGGAGACTGGTGAGGTCGACTTTATCTCCGGTCTCAAGACAATTGCCGGCTCCGGAGACCCTACTCTTCGTGAAGGTATCGCGACCCACGTCTACGTTGCAAACACGAGCATGACCAAGAAGGCATTTGTCAACTCCGACGGCGAGTTCCTGATCGTCCCCCAGCAGGGTGCCCTGGATATCCAGACCGAGTTCGGTAAACTTTATGTCCAGCCTGGTGAGCTAGTCGTTATCCAGCGTGGTCTTCGCTTCCGTGTCGAGCTGCCCGACGGCCCGTCTCGTGGATACATTCTTGAGGTCTGGGGAACCTGCTTCGAGCTTCCGGAGCTGGGTCCTCTGGGTGCTAATGGCCTGGCCAATGCACGGGACTTCTTGAGCCCTGTTGCCCATTATGAGATTACACAGGAACCCTGGGAGATTGTTTATAAGCTAGGTGGAAAGTTCTTCAAGAGTACCCAGAACCACAACCCATTCGATGTGGTTGCCTGGCATGGAAACTACGTATGTTCCCTGCCCCGGACCCTTGACTGCGGCTAACATCTCCAACAGGTTCCGTATAAATATGACCTGACCAAATTCGTCAATGTCGGATCTATTTCTGTAGACCACATTGACCCGTCCATCTTCTGCGTCCTCACAGCCAAGTCACGCGATCTGAACGCTCCATTGGCCGATTTCCTCACCTTCTCCCCAAGATGGGATGTTGCTTCCCGTAGGTCACGTCCATATCTTCCAGGTGGATTATTCTAATGTCAAACCAGACACCTATCGACCACCATACTATCACCGCAATGTCGCATCAGAACTAATGGGTCTGATCTACGGCGGCTACGGCGGCCGATCCGACGAATTCAAGCCGGGCAGCGTATCTTTCGAATGCGGGATGGTACCCCACGGTGTTGCCTACGAAGAATTCAAGGCTGCTAGTGATAGTGTGCCGCCGGAGATGCGGATCTCCGAGGCTTCAATTGCCTTTATGTTCGAGTCAAGTCGGCCTTTTACTATTACTGATTATGCTTGGAACAGTGATAAGAAGCACGAGCATGAGCCTAAGATGTGGGATAACTTGGTTGATAACTTCTCCAAGCATGCTAAGGAGGTTGAGGCTATTTTGGCGAAGGTGAAAAACTAGTCTGTATCATAAGTATTTTCTAGGTCAGAGGTTTAGCATGCTTTTCATGATCAAAGATTTCATGTATATTTTTGTTTTTAATTGAAATGTAAACTGTAGAGATAAACTCTAATAGTGGTCGGTTATCTAGTCTCGTTATTTTGGTACAAAGTGATATCCTGTCTTTTTGATAATTACTGTCTACATTCTCCTACCCGATGGATGGTGGTGACTATTAGCAGCATATCTACCCTAATCTTCCACCACCCAGCAGATCTTTCCTTTGTCACAACATTTCCATTCACATATCTCATCAAAAAGTGACTATCATTATTTATACAATAATGACGAGGTATTTACTACATAGAGAGGAAATGACCACAAAAAAGGAAAGCAAACATCAAACGTAATTGTAGAGATTGGAATGGGAAATTTAAAGCAGAGAATGGCACAAAAATTATACTTCGACTCGAACATCCTCATCACGGCAGGGTTTACCACTGCTGTCATATGTCTGTACGTGATACGTGAGTGTATATCAATCTCTCCACTCTCCTTGCTTTCCTTCATCCGTCTGCCTCCAAACATCAAAGCTTGCGTTTCCTCTTGTTTGGCTCTGCTATGCTCCTTCCCCTTCTGACAGCGGATTCACAACCCTCCTAAGAAGCCACACGTGACGAGGTAAGTAATCATCAATCCAACATATATCCACCTGGCGCCAGCAAGCTTGACTGACTGCATATATTATACTACATCTCTAGCCACCCCACCATGGAGACCAACAAAAGCGAGGACCCAGAGGACGAATCTGAAGAGGAACCAGAGACCAACCACAAAAACCCAGTCCTTGGCATCAGACAAGAGAAGTTGTCTACGAATACTCCAGCCAAAAGAGCAGCATCCACGAGGCCCAAACGTTCAAGCCGGTCAACAACCAGACATTCAAAAGCAGAATATCCTGGCATCCAACTCCGCACACTGGTGGACATGACCGTCACCCAACTGTGCACGTTTTGGGAACAAATTGAACAAAACCTGGAACTCAGATATTGTGAACTTCCTGATGTCAGGATCCCGAAGCAGATGAGGATAGAAGTGCGTGAAATGAAAGCCATCAGTACGGATGCAACTACCAATTTGATTATGAGGATCGAGGCACTCCCAGCCAGGATCAATAATCTGGGTGAGCAGGCTAGAAGCGAACAGGATGATCCATGCGATGACCTTGACTATCTTGTGTTTCATAAGTATCTTGTGGTCTTGTCTGCTATCTGTCAAGCTAGAGAGCTGATCGGGGAGGCGGATGAGATGTTTCGGCCTTGGTTGTATGAGTTGCTGCAGGCTGCTACCAATGGCATCCACCTTCGTCTTGAGGAACAGCGAGTTAAAATCAAGCTTCAGGGTGGTCAAAGTTGAGAACTGAATGAAAGGAAAAGAAGTTCAAACATGTCAGTTCTGTCTGCTACCAGCCACACGTGACCCAATTGTCTTCCTAAGCAAACTTGTTTCCTGTTTGATTGCAGACCAGTTATGATCTTGACCGTCCAAAAAGATGAGATGTAAGCTGAATCTCGCAAAAGGGTCTTTTATTTTCATGATTGGTATCAACAGACGGCTAGGCATCGAACCATACAAAATTAAGAAGGCAGCGAGAGCCCTGTCCGTATGCAGCCCCCTTCCTCCGCTAGCCCAGGAGCCCACTGAAGGACAAAAATGAAATCTATCACAGGAAATAATCGGGTGTCCGTCGCGATACCATAGGTTCGCCCGCTCTGGGGCAAGGGTCAAATTGTAGACTGAAAACGATCATTAGCATATTCCTTCACATTGGTAGCAAAGCAACACTCACAATGTGTATTTCAAGTGTTCGTCAATCTCCATAATAGCAGCCTGGTTACCACAGCGGTAACAGTAATTGGGCGCTACACCAGAGTCAGTTTCCTTGTTTAATTTTTGCTCACAGAACCACACAAAGCATACCTGAGAAAATGGTCACTACGTTTCGATCCTGCGACCAGTTATAACCTTCCATCACCAATTGGTGAGCCCGAGCAACCAGAGTCAAGCCGTTGTTGTGGTTGAACGCTTCCGAAATATCCTGTCCGAACGTGTACCCCGCACCGCGAGGCGAAATTCCCCATCCACAGCGATCATCGGGATCACTCCACAGCAGATCGCACATAGGTCCCTCATGCGGAACTTCTTGGATGCGGTCCAGGGATCGAATGTTGTCGAGGGTGTCGATTGACGGGCTCAGCCCACCGTGCAGACAGAAGATCTGGTTCTCAATGAGAGCTGTGAGAGGAAGATAATCGAAAAGGTCGGTGAAGTATTTCCACACGTTGGCGTTGCCATATTTGCGCAGGCACTCATCATAGAATCCGTACACTTGAGTGATCTGGCGGGATTCGTGGTTTCCACGGAGAATGGTAATACGCTGGGGGTAACGAATCTTGAGACAGACCAGGAGGGTCACAGTCTCAACGGAGTAGTAGCCTCGATCGACATAATCACCTGCACGGAAAGAAAAAAACAAAGATTAGGATTGTTGTCTCATCGCCGATATAGGACCCCACAATGCGACCGACAGGCAAGTCACGACTTACCCATGAAGAGATAGTTTGTGTCGGGGTTAGGACCGCCGATGCGGAACAGCTCCATTAGATCGTGGAACTGGCCATGGATATCACCACACACCGTCACCGGACATTTCTATTGTGATGGTCAGTGGCTGCTGATGGTGGGTACCTGACCCGACCCGACCGGGGAAGAGGCACGACACATACCACTGGCTGAACATTCGATTCCTCTTGCAATACTTCTCTTGCCTGCGAGGGGTATTAGATCATCAATTTCTTCGGATCCATCCTAGCTTTCAGCGAGAGAAAACGCACCCGATCGCACAGCCGCCGCACGTCCTCCTCCGCTAATTGCTTGCACGTCATCAAACTCTCGATCCAACCATCCAAAGTCGGTATAGAGCCGGAATCGGTCACGGGCGACAAACGGTGTGGCTCGGGCGAACGCGCCGTGTCGATTTCCATGTTGTTATCCATGGTGGGCACAGCTGGTGGTGATAGGAGGGGCCAGTTGGGGGAGGGGCGGTCTCGTGAGAACAGGATTCCGTGTCGGTCGGTAGAGGATGGAACGAGTTTAAAAGAACAAGAACAATCAGAAGATCAATTCAACGATACGATAGAATATCCCCAAGATCAACTCAAGGGATGACGGATGGGGGGAGTTTGGAGGGGGGAAACAAGAAAGGGAGAAAGAGATGCGGGAAGGTCAAGTTTGGAGGTCCAAGTTTGCGCCACATAATCAGCCACACCGCTTCTTACGTCGTGAACCTTTGAACCGTGAATGAGGCGGTGCGCCTTGATGGAGATATTCTAACTCTATAGCGCAAGTCTTGTGTCAACTTCCTTTGTTTGCATGTCAACTATGATTAGTTATATCCTGCTCAAAGCTTTTTCTATATCCGTACTATTTCACATAGCATACAGGTAAGATCAGATAGATGATAGCCTCGTGGGCATTCGCCACAAAACAGTTCAATTTCATCCAAAGCAGTTGAAATGAATAATCTTAGGATTCAGTTCGCCGTCAGATCATAATCATCAGCCTACCTCGGCATTCAAAGCGGACTCATACTCTTAAATAAAGTCACCACCGAACCCTCCGCCGGGTCCTCCAAATGGTCCTCGGCTGCGGCCAAACGGTGGAGCACCAGGTCCAGGAGGATCATATCTGGCTCCAGGTGGCGCACGAGGATCATACCCACCATTACCACCACGCCCACCAAAGAGAGGGTCATCAAAAGTCGGATGCATGCCACCACCACGCCCAAAGCCAGGGCCAGTAGTTCCACGGAGGGGATCGTGAGGGCCAAGTCCTGCTGGGTAAAGATCACGTTCTCCAATACCGACACCTTGTCCCCTACCAAATCCCGGAACGAACTCACGCGTGGGGCGATTCATCTCAAACTCATCCTCAAATCCCGGAGGAGCAAAGTCGGGCGTTGGTTTAGGCTGGCGGGGTGCAGCAGCCAGAGGATCATCAAAAGGGTATGGACGAGCGGGATCAGGCATGTTCGAACCATCCCGTAGAGGATCATGACGAGGTCTGTCTTCTGGTTGTTGGCGGAGTGCCTCCTGGAATTCTCGATTTGAAGCCCCGATGGCTTCCTTGTCCAGCCCCGGAGCGAGCTTCTGGAGTACATTGGATTTGAAAAGAGCGATCAGTTCTCTGAGACGAGCGGAGGAGATAAACACATTGTGGAGAGTATCGGTGGTCTTGACTGTGGATGGTAGTGGGAGGCCGGACTCTGAGATGTAATCTTTCACGGAGACTTCAAAAGAACCGGTGCGGTCATCATCCAGGCCAAGTGCATTTACCACAGCTTTGTTGCCAAGCCGACTCACTCTCAAAAGGAACTGCATCGGGGATTGTTCGTGGGTATATCGGAAGGTCAAGGTACTGTTAGCGTTCCATTCTGCGGGGAGTTTAGGCAACTCTGTGGACTCTGCTAAAGATTAGCCATCGGGAAGTAAGAGCGATAGATCACATCTGGGATACATACCTATGTTGTGATCTTCTCCGAGTCCCACCAGCTTAAATTCTAACGCTGCCATGCAGGCATGGCCAATCAGGGCGATAGCTTCATAAGGTGTTTTGAGACTCGGTTGTTCATCATGCAGTGCTTTGATTGCGACGTCCAGGACATTTTCTGTGGTCAAAGGGCTTGAATCTGTCATTTTAGATTCCTTTGGGATTCTCCAGATACGGTGATCAAAGGAAGAAGCTGGAGACAGAAGGTAAGTTCAAAAGCTGGGGGAGTGACAGGCAACCCAAGGGTGACGACACTAAACCCCACGCATCAACAATGATCCGATACTTGGCGGCCCTTATCAGAAACCTTATCGTCGCCCCACGAGGGGAAGCTCGGGTACCTACCTATACATGACAGCCAGGGTATCTTCACTTTATATCGATTGTTACATGCAAATTTAATCTCGGGGGTTTCTTGGTAATGTAAATATGGTAATATGGTATGTACTCTCTCATAAAGTAAAATCTACATCTAAATGCTTAAAGCATCGCCTTGGGGAAATCTTTCATCGCTTGCCGAACACCCAGATCCGCAAGAATCTCCTCTGTTCCACCCAAGATAGCATCGAATTTGTATCCACGGTGGAACATTTCAACAACCTTGCCCATGCCGCTCTGCGTCAAACCTCGCCCACCAAAAATGTTCACAGCGTGGTCAGCAACTTCATGTGCAGCACGAGTGGCGCTAGACTTGAGCAAGCCAATTGGGCCTGCAAGGTGCTTCGCCTGCTCAGTGTAGCTCATATTACACATCTGGAAGACGATGGACTCGAGCCAGGCCTGGTGAGATTCAGCGAGGGAAATCATGCGAGCAAGTCTAGGATTATCATTAGCTTCAAGATGTTGGACTTGAGAGGTTAGATATTGGACTCACTTTTGGCGCATGACTGGTTGCTCAACCAGCTTCTTCCCAAATACGATCCGCTGGTTGCACCACTTGAGGCATTCCTCGACAACAGAGGTCATGTTTCGGGTCACTCCTGCCGCCATGTAGAACCGCTCGTGGTTGAAATTCGACATGATAACAGCAAATCCTTTGTGTTCCTGGCCGAGAATGTTGTTCACGGGTACCTTGACGTTCTCGAACTGAACGAAAGCAGTACCGGCGGCAGTCGAGTAGGAAGTTTTAATCTGCTTTGTCTCAACACCATCGTCACGGGGAATTAAAAGCACAGTGAATCCTTTCTCGGTCTTGCATCCGGTGACAAAGTAGTCGGCGAACATGCCGTTGGTGATCCACTTCCTGAAACGAGATTAGCATAAATATCTGGCTATGGTGTGAGAAGACTTACTTTGTGCCGTTTACAACGTAGAATTTGCCATCCGGTGTCTTTTCAGCAGTAGTCTTCAGACCCGCAACATCACTGCCAGCGAAAGCCTCGGTGATCGCGAGACACATCTTCTTCTTCCCTGACAAGACCTCCTCCGTCACCTTCTCCTTCAGCACGGGATCCCGTAGCCACTGCTGGACTGCTGTGAGACTGATAGTCATGCCAGCCATGTTGCCATCTTGGAAACCTGCAAAGAAAGTTAGAGGACCATAGACAAACTAGTCTATCAAAGCACGTACCTCGAGCGTTTGCGCGCACGGATTCCTGGGCGACAATCATATCATGGAAGTAATCAAACTCCTTTCCATCCACAATACCACCAAGCAGCTTACGGCCGTGGAGGTGCTTGCCAGGACCCAGGCGCATAGCCAAAATATTCGTCTCAGCCATACGATCAATCAACTCCTGACTGATATAAGTACCGTCTTTCTCCTTCTCCTGTGCCTCAGCAGTAACATATTTGTCTGTAAACTCGCGCATGGCCTTCTGCAAGCGATGATGACTCTCCTTGTAGTAAGGACTTTTGAACTGCGGGCGCAACCACAATGGCTCGGCATAAGGCACAGTGCTCACAGCGCCGACCTTGGGCTCGATAACCTCAGGCTTCTCGCCCTCGATAACTCCGATGGATAATTGATCGCGGTATTTCTCCAGCACTTCCTGACGATGTAGGTTGTAGAAGTCTGCTGTCGCATCTTGGCCAGCTACCTGGGCGAGCACGACGGACCCGCCCGGATGGGCATCCGCGAAATCAGTCAGATCATATACGCGGTGGTCGATAATACACCAAAGAGATTCTTCGGTATTATGCTTGGCGACCTCAGCACGGGTAAGTGTTTTTGAAGGCATGGTTATTTAATGAAGTGGTGAGAAGAGGAAAGAGAGAAATAGGTGGCATGGTGATTACCCCGGATTTGGTGCCAATCACGAGCGTGCTGATTTTGGACCGAGGCCCGAGAATTTGGTGAGGTAATCTGCAACTTGCGTTGGGGACCCCCTAAGTTGTCTGAGACCCATACTAGTCTATCTTTATTTTTACTGTGTATATTGGGGGAGTATTGTCACTAGTAGTAAGTTAGGCTTTGATCGACATTCTCCGTCACGAATAGGAGGGCGTGAAATAGTAATCATTTGCATTCTATGATCCACTCTGGACTTGAAAATTGGGCAACAGAATGAAGAATTGATAGTCAACAAAACGAAAGATCTACTCATGTGCTTTATATCTTGTCTAATTTAAATTCAAACGGCGTCTCGATATTTTAATAAAAGCTTGTCTTCGGTATCATGTATAAGAAGACTATGGGAAAGGGGATTTTTTCACTATGAATAGGTTCAAATGGTCTAGCAATCTGTATAACGGTTTCGAGGTAAGAGAAGGGATCCATCTATGGCCGGTTTCCAGCACCGTTGGTCTTGATCTCCTTCAGAGCGTCCTCAATCAACCACATACAAACTGGCTGCGCATCACTGCCAACGCGCCAACTGCCTAGCACAACGCCATGAGTCTCCAGAATATTACTGGCACGTTCCCAGCGCCGACGCCATAATTCCTCACGCTTATTGGGCAGGGGTGCGGGAGGTATGCTAGAGTCACTGGCGCTATAGCTGTTATACCCATTGGGCGATTGTCGGGGAAGCGATTGATTGGATGGTGATTGCCTTAATCCGGCCGATGGTGAAGAAGATAGGTTAAGTCGTTCAGTGGCGTATGACAGTGCAGCTTGAGCGGCAGATGTTGGGTATGAGGGCTTGTTTGCCGGTACTGCAGGTGCAGGCCGCGGTGTGGGCGTGCTGGATGCAGAGCTGGTAGCGGATGAAGTAGTGTTTGTGCGTCGGGGTGGTGGGGGAGGTGGGGGTACTTTAGAACGGGATGACTGTGCCGATGTCTGACTCTTGTCTTCCAGTAGTGGTTCGGTCTGGACACGAGAGATGGATGGAGACGGATCAAGATCGACCAGTAAGTCGGTTTTAGCTGTCGATGCCGCCCGAGGTGGCAGGGGAGGCACGGCTTTGCGACGAATTGGCTCCTGCGAGGGCTGTCGGGCATTATTCAACGTATCAGTCCGCAGCGAAGATGGCTTGCTCGGCTTGGTTGGAGGTAAGCGTGATTTCACTAGTGGGTTCGGTTTTGCGGTCTCCATTACATCGTCATCTAGATCAATCAAATCTCCGACGGGAATACTTTTCACATCTTTCTCTGGCGGCGTTGGCACGGGTCGGCGAGGCGGCAGGGCAGGCCTGCTTGGAAGAGAATGCGAGGTTTCCACAAGCTGCGGTGTACTGCGGCTGCGAGCATCAAGCCCATCGAGGTAACCAACTGACTTCTCAAAGAAGGGCTTCTTCTCCGGTGTTGTGACATCCCGAATGAAAATTCCTAGAATCCGACCTGGGTTTGCTAGGGCAATATCGGTATAGACTTCCAGATCAGCCTCTCCACTGTCACCAACCAAAATGAACTTGCGCTCAGGAAAGTCGCGGAGGATCTGTTCTAGATTTCCCCTCTTTCTCTCGGCTGTAGGCTCGAATATTCCTTGCAGCATGCCTGAGTACTGCTTGAGATGGAAAGACCCTGGTGGCAGGCCCGCCAGCTTGAAATATCTCTCCAACAGAGGATAAAGTTGCCATGGTGCGTTGGAGACGTAGTGTATTTGCACGCCTTTCTGGGCTACTTGTGTATACCACTGGTCAACTCCACTGACTTTCAGCTCGGCTAACTCTCGAACAAAGGTGTTTCGAAACATCTCCTTCGCTCCACTGGCAATGGCTGAGTGTTTGACCGTGTCGTCAATGTCACTGATCAGGCTGATACCGACAGGCTCGATTATCTCAATTGGCTTGGCAGCAGACAGATCTTCAGACGCAAGCACTCGGATATGAGTTGGCACAAATGTCATTATAGCACGAATTTTGAAATGACCGGACTCGTCTGTCATCATGTTCCGGGATTCGCTCTGTTCATCGTTGAAAAGGAACACGGTCACAGGCATACCAGCCATTGGGTTCGTCAAGAACGGACGCAAGCGTTCCATGAGATGCGCATTGGCCATGGAGATCTGGTCTTTAGTCATCGCTGCAGGCTGGCCTGACTCTACCCGGTTGCGACTGGAATTAGAAGTTTTCCAGCCCTGATCGGCATCCTGCTCTGCTGTACCGACCAGATTCTGCACTTGCCTGTTCACGTCTTCGTCCTCGCCTTTGCCGGACATTCTATCAGGACCCTCGTCATTGGCAGCTCCAGACGGGGTCGGAATCCCACTCAATGTCCTAGCCAGCTTGATCATCAGTCGATGCTTGCGGTTCATCGGTCCTCGATTTGGCGCATAGATCCATCCACGAACGTCAACATCGACGACCGCATTCTCAGCCTCAGGTTCGTCCCAGCGAGACCCAAAGTTATCCTCCTCGGCCACACCCCGATATTCATCAATAGTCTGCGTGAAGGAATCTCGACGCGGGCGCAAGCCAGCATCCTTTTTCTTCGGCGTCAATTTCCTCGCATAGCTAGGAAACAGTACCATCTCCTCATCACCAGACCGCGCAATCTCGACATCCGGAAATGCGCCTGGTGTATGAGAGTAGTCTTCGTTGGAACCATTCCCTTGCCCCGTCCATCGTGACGTGTAAGTCTGCCCCAGCTCATTTGCTGCCTTCAACCACTCATACGCCTTCTTGCGCTTACTCCCAGCAGCGTATGAGCCATCACCGCTCCACGTAGACGATGCCATTTGATTTATCGCAGCATCCTTCGGCCCTTCAATGGGCCTGCGAATACCTCTAACACGTTTCGCGATCGATCTAGCCCCTGCAAGCACGCCAGACCCCGCTTTCCCACCCCGCAACCGACGCCGAGGCCCAAGGAGGTAGGCTACTAGGCCCCCGCCGAGTCTGTGAAGGCGCGCTGCACGCCGCGCCTGGCGCTGGACGATGGCTCTATATATGCGTGATTGCGCCCGGTGTCGCAGTGCGGGGAGGGATTCGTGGCGGAAGTTCCAGATACGGTTCTGTGTGTTGCGAGTTCTGAGGGGGCCGACGAGGATGCGGAGGAGGGCGGAGAGGGTGCTTTGTTTGGACTCGCGACGGAAGAGAGGGTGGCTCGAGAAAATGCCCGGGGCAAGCGGGCGTCGGAAAAGAAATTGTCTAAACCGGGGGATTGGCCAACGAAAATTCGGTTTGGGCGCCAGGGTCTCGGATTTGAAGGTCGTTAGGTGGATTCTCTATGCGATGAGCACGCTGGTACCCTTGCAACGGGTTGAGTAGAAGCGGACTGCGCGAGATTAGTTGGTCTGTATTAACGCTGATATAGACAGGCGTACTAAAACTCACCTCGATCGAAAACTCAAAGCAATAATGATAAAAAGGTGGAAGTGAGATGAAGAAGACAATATGTTTCAAGGGTTCAAGTGTTGCTGTGTCTGTTCCTGCGGGGCCATGACGCCAACTGATTTGGCCCCATCACCCGCACCGGTTTCCTTTCGGTTATTGATTCATCTCTAGACTGGTTTTGAATAGGTATAAAATAAATTGACTTGATTTTCTTGATGCTGATGTATATATGCGGTATGAAAAAGTGCCTTTTGCTGGGATCGAACCCGGATCTTCATAAATTGAATATTGATGGCTCAAAGTTGTATTTGGAAAAATCACCTATATATAAATAACTGCCCCCCAGATGTCAATGCTGCCACATCGAAAGAAGGCATTTCACGACAGATAACCCGGACATAGAATAATTATCAAGATTTGAAAAGTACAATAGCCCTGATCCTCCAGCTTCTTGGATACTGACTATAAAAGCTAGATATCCCGAGGAAGTGGATCAAAAAGCGTAAAATCCTCAAATCATGATATCAAATTCCTAAATCTACCCCTCTATTACCTAATGAATACTCGAGGGTTCAATGTTTGGAGGACTTGAAGTGTTGAGGTATGTTCAAATGTGATTCAATATCAGATCAGGCCAAATCTACCACCATGAACGCCATCCCGCTCCACATGCATGCAACATTGAAAGTATAATATGTACAGATCATCTCAAGTGCTATGTACTATCTTCAACATAGTTGACCTTCTTAGCTCGAACGCTTCGCCGAGATACAGGATTTGAAACAGGCACAGGCGCCTCGGAAGGTATAGAGCTCAGCTCCTCCGACTCCGGGGTAGACTCGTTGTTCGGGGCTTTCCTTTTCTTGACCGGAGTCCGTGGCGCCCGAGCTGGTTTCTTGACCAATGGGTCCGGAGCAATGCTCGTTTCAGTACCGTTAGGCTCAGTGGGCTCGATCTTGATCTTCTTTGACGCGCGTCCCTTTGCTGGACTGGGTGTTGATTTGGCCTTCACGATCTTCTTGGCTGGTCGGAGCCACTCTTCCATGCCTCGGGGCCAGTAGACTCTCCTATCAGGGCCACCCATACCGACTTCATCATCCGAGATTGTGGGAATTGGTGGAACAGATCCTTCCAGGTCAACAAAGCCACTGTTATTCTTGGTTTTTCGTGGTGGCTTGAAGGGTCTGTTCTCGTCAGTTCGTGTGTAAGGTATTAGGTCGTTAACGAGTTCAAAGCCAGGTAATTTGAACGTCCTCATCAATTCAAACACTGCCTGCTCTTTATCCTTGGCCTCGATCATCAAATCCATCGTAGGGATACATGGAGGTAATGTTGCGACTCGATCACTGTGTTTGCGACGCTGACGTGGTGTAATAGCAGGGGCGGTGGGTTCAGAGTAGTGCATTTTTTGGTTGATATTCTTCCGCGACCAGGTGGCTGCAATGCGGTCGTAGAGCGGTATGATATCTTCCGTTCCCTCGCGGACCTGGCTTGCGTCAAACAAGATGTTGTGGTGATGGTAATCAAGTACCAAAGGGATATTTAGCTCTTCACAGATGGGGAGCAGATCGTGTACTGTCCAACTGACGTCGTCATTCTCCAGAACCAATCTGTTCTTGATATCCTGTGACAGCGGCGCATAATTCGCACGGAACCGGTCCAGCGTTTCACCCTTGTCCCCGAAGACTCCGCCCATGTGCAGAATCATGATGGCATCACGGTCCTGCTGGGGTGGCAGCTTGAGCAGTTGCAGCATCTCCGAGTGGTACTCGAGGTCTCGATATGAGCTTTCCACCACCTCTCTCCTCGGAGAGCCTAGCTGGGTGAATTGTCCTGGATGAACAGAGACACGATGGCCAAGCTCTGCAACCACCCGGCCTGCATCTGCTAGCACGTCTGAGGCGAATGGGGCCAATTTGTATCCGTACTCTTTGTGACTACAAAATGGGAACATCTCACTGCTCAGTCGCATGAACTTGATCCCATATTTATCATTCCAACGCAATATTTTGACAAGGTCGCGCGCATTGGCTAGACCCAGGGATTCGACAAATGCCTGGCCACGTGCTACATCCGCCGGTTGATTGCGATCTGGGCGATTTTTGGTAGGATGTGGAGGCTGGTCGGGATCTTGTAGTGGGTGTCGATTTTCGAGGATAGAGGCAATGCGACAGGTACGAGAGCAAAAGACGGGAGGGTTGGAGTAGCGCAGATATGTATTTAGACAAGCCTAGAAAATTAGCGATTACAATAGCATAGGCGTCCGTATCGCGACTCACATATCCTAAGCGACCTTTCCAAGGAAGTGGAAGATAGCTACTATTCACAGGAGGCGGTCGGCCTAAGGCCTCTTTGAGTTCCTCCGCTCCAACCGGGACATCCTCGTCCGATTCTGGATCCAGTGACACCTCAGCCTGGCCAGCAGGGAGGTTTATATCGCCATTGAGAATATCGGCTGGTTTGGCATCGGTCTCAATTGCCTTTGGTGCCATCGCCACGTCTTCCAGGTTGAGCGGATAGTCGACGTCTGCGGCCAATTGCGAGTATGTCTGAGCTAGAGGTTCAGTTTTTATGGTGACTGACGGAGGCAGATGCGCGAGCCTGGTGATGCTATGAGCGAATTGCGAAACAGGTCGAGCCGTATGACGAACATGGCCTAAAACCGGGGTTGGCGATCTAGCGTTCGCCACAGCAATCGATCGATCGGTACATTTCAATGACATGTGGCGACCCCCCAGGCTCAGGGGGAGGGCATGCTGGATGAGCGGAGCACGCAGCAGCCATTTAAAAGACCGAAACATGCAGCGGATGCAGCAGAATTTAATTGAGCTTGGTCGAATTTGGTGAAGTTGTAAAGTATTAGTGGGCTAAAGCGGGACGATGACGCGCTACTTTACTGAAATCGCGGACGCGCCGCGTGATCACTGGGCGCTAGGGCACATACAAGAGCTTTATTGTTTCTACTATTTCTCCAATACCATTTACCATCAGCTACCTACCCAGTCTCCTACATATGCTACCATATTCCCTAGCTTCTATCCTACTGTAAAAGTTGAAGAGTGAAAGTGTTCTTTGGAATGGCTTCCAAAAATGATGGTACCAAGTACTTGTATGACTTCACAATGAGCCTCAGGAGCTACTTAGCTATCGACCACGAACCATATAAACACAATGAAGAAGATTTATTAGACGCTGGCAGGCCAGCGTCGCTCCGGGCATCAAGGACACAACCGCCATGCTCCAATCTCATTGGAAAGTATTGAACCTGGCATGCAGGGAGCGACAGGGGTTAGACGGGACGAACCCCTTAAGGTCTCGATCTACCAAACTTCTTATATAAAACCTGTTCCTGGGAGATAAGCCCGCATTTTTGGCTCAAAATGCGCCACATGGTATACTAAGGGAGATTTTCTTGCAGGGAACTTTCACAACGCGTCAGCCTGCATTGACATCATTTTGTTCTCACGGATTCTTTTGGTTCGCGGAGATTAACGTGGAATGAAGACCGCAGGGCTGTCATGGTGGCCTTCATACTTGTTTTCTGGGTCTGAGCCCAACAGTACTACACGGGGATGGTGGTATTGCCTTGGACAGGAAGTGACTTTGCCCGACCTGGAGAAAGTAGTTCATGAAATTGAAGTACTGGGTTTCTCACTAACTAACATGCAATAATGTATTCCTACGGTATGAACTGAGAGACTGATTAACAGGGCAATAGTGTTGGTTACCAACATTCCTAGCGTTGCTTGTCCAGCATCTATGGGCTTAGACCACAGCGATGGCATCCCCCATTCCTCTGAATGACTTCGGAGAATGCGATATCAACAGAGCGGTAATTTATTATAATAATCCTTCCTGCTCAGCGTGCCTCCTGCGTCCTCTCATCTATCTCGTTCTTAAATAGACAAGAATTTAACCCCGGTGGTTAAGTGCTTGGCTACGAACTGTTAATTTATTCATAATTTTGTATTTCTCCATCTCGCTTATACCGTGAGTACACCGATACCTATTCCAGTCATGGACATTGATACTTACCATCATGTAGCCATATACCTACAGAATGAAGGGTGCTCTTCTCTGCAGTTTGCTGGCCAGCACGGCTACAGCCCATATGCAAATGATGAAGCCCTACCCCATTCGCAGTCCATTGAACAAGGATTCACAAGGCCAAAAGGACTACTCATATACCAATCCGTTGCAGACCTCGGGCGCAGATTATCCTTGCAAGGGTTACGCCAATGATAAATTCGAGTCGCAGGCCAGCTACTCGCAAGGTCAAACCTACACCATGGAGCTAGACGGAAGCGCTACCCACTCTGGGGGTTCCTGCCAACTCGCTCTCACCTACGACCAAGGCAAGTCCTTCAAGGTCATCGAGTCCATGCTGGGTGACTGCCCGATCGCCAAGAAGTACGACTTCCAGATTCCATCTGATGCGCCTAATGGTGAAGCTCTTCTCGCCTGGACCTGGTTCAACAAGGTCGGCAACCGTGAGATGTACATGAACTGCGCCATGGTTACCATTGGTGGTGCGTCAAGTGGCAGCCAGACCGACGCCGAGACCCAGGGTACTAGGAAGATACACAGCCCAGCCATGATCGAGAACAAGATCGTGTCTCACCCGCCGAAGATTATGGACGTTCACCACGGCCAGATGGAAAGTCAGCGCGGATCCGGCTTTAGCAAGGCAGCCAGCTTTGACAGTCTCCCTGACCTGTTCGTTGCCAACGTCAACCAGGAGGGACAGTGTGTGACTATTGAGGGCGAAGCTGTTGACTTCCCCAAGCCCGGCGACAACGTCCTTGGTAAGATTGATGGCACTGGCAAGGGTTACAAGTGTTCTGGCTCTGCTCCTTTCCTCGGCAGTGCCAGCAGCGACTCAGCCTCCAAGGATACCACCAACTCGAAGCAAGACAAGACAAACAAGGCCACTACCCTGACTGCGACCAGCACCACCAAGGACACTACCCTGGCTACCCGCAGCACCACCAAGGATACAAAGTTGACTACGACCAGCATCAACAAGGCCACCACCCTGGCTACGACCAGCACCACCAAGGACACTACCCTGGCTACCCGCAGCACCCCCCAGTCCATGTCCAAGGTTGCCGAGGCTCTCGGTACCTCAGCTGCCGCTGATCCCCGTGTCCTACCCACTGACGGAGCGTCCACCAACAACGCTTTCTCCAGCTACGTTGGTACCTATAAATGCTCCTCCGGCGAGATCATCTGCTCTCCTGACGGCTTGAGCTGGGCCATGTGTGCCAACGGTGCCCCCGTTTTCATGGGCTCGGTCGCTGCTGGTATGAGCTGCCGCTTGGGCGCCATGGTTGCCGCTCCCTGGTAAGCATGTCAACTTTGTGACTAATAGGCTTTCTTTCTATTCTTCTTCGTCAATGTATTCAGGTGTCGGTGGTGTTTCGGCGCTCTTGGATTCCCGGCCTCTTAAGTAAGGCCCAGTTGATGTGCTCATGTTGATTGGTCTTAATGATTTTGTGGCCATTTAAATGTTGAATGTTTAATGTCTCGCCGCATGCGGAATTTCGTTTCTTCTCGTTGTATTTTAGTATTTAGTACCAGGCACCATACAATACAAACTTTATTCTTATTTACTGTGAGCCTTTTGGAAATCTAGTCTGAGTGACAAGCAATCGTATTATTATTATATCCTTGTGGGCAAATTTCAACCGCCTTGGATCTTTGTGCTCCCAAATAATATACACTGCCAAATCTGTAGCAAACATGGTATCTCAGCTTTCAAAAACAAAAGAAAAGTATCATCAAATCATTGATCAATAGATCAAACCGAGCCCGATGTTTCCATGGATAGCAAAAAGATCCGAGAAAGAATCACCTCTCAATCAAGCCGAAATTCTCTTTCACTTAGTAGTTACCCGTGTAAGCGGAGTTACCATATCCATATCCATTTCCATTCGCAGCACCCGTCGCAGTGGTGCCGTTCGCGGTGTTCTTTTTGCGTCCGAACCAGTTCTTCTCGACCGTAGGCTCAGCACCATACTCCACATCAGCAGGAGTAGGGTGACCAGGTAGCGTGTTATCACCGATGGTCTCAGGGTTGTTCTTGTTACGGCTCCAGAACCACTTGCGGCTACCAGAAGTGTATCCGTTGGCGGGGGAGGGTCCGAAGCGCTTCTCACGCTTGTGGTGGCGGGCGAGAAGCACCTGGAAGAGAATGGAGATAAGGAAAAGGAAGCTAGATAGATATTAGCGACTGTCTCATTCGCGAGTTGGAGTAGAGGTTTATCACTTACATTCCGATCACTGACACTGCGAACACGACCTTTTCCAATGTACAGGCCATGCCGTAGTTCAGCTTCGAAGGGCTGTCATCCGTTGATTCGCCCGAGCCGATAGGAGTATTCACCGTGCCGGTGCAGGAATTTGTACCCTTGCGAGTCATGATGGCGATGGCGATCATCGCGCCTGTAAAGAGGATATCGAATACGACTCCGAGGAAGGCGAAGAAAGCCACACCACCGAGACAGCATACGAAGACTAGGCCGAATAGACCATATAAGGTAGCTGCACCAGCCAGACCTTCAACGGCCTTGAGCCATGTCGCGATGTGTTGGTCATGTTTCGAGAGAATAGCGAGGAAGTATGAGAATATACCGAGGATGACGGCAGCAGCGAGGAACTGCAATACTCGGATGACGAGGGCGCAAAAGCGTAGAAAGACTCCCCCAGCTGCACCCATAGTGAGAAATTTTATGTTTTTCGAACCTTTTATAAGGTTGTGGTTGGTGATTGAGGGTTGTTTTGGATTTTGTGAGAAGGGCGCACGGTATTTGAAAGTGTGAAAAAAGGCAACAGGATTCAAGCAGATTTAATAAAGGACCCTGAGCCGGCCACCCAAGACGCAATAATTGAAGATCAGTGGATGGGGGGAACCCAGTGATCCGTGGAACAAGAACAATTATTAGTGGCTGGGAAGGCGTCAGCCACAGTAGAAAGTGGATTGAATGATGTCACTGCTCAGAACTGGGTTCCACGTTCCCGCTTTGGGAGGCGGCGCCCCAGATTTAAGGAAATCCTGATTTGCTTACGGGAACCCGCCACCGCATGTGAAGGGGAAATTTGAACTTTTCATTTCGTTGATTCTTGGGTTTAGAAATAAAAATAAATTAACTTTTGTATTTAAAATTCTAAATTGATTCAGCCACGACTCCGCCATGACGCCCCCTTAAACCATTGACGTATCATGCTGCTCATGAACGAATTACAGTTACTCCGCATGATGTGGAGATGTACAAGTCATAGAGACAACATTTTACAGTGATCATCCTGAAATGATGGCCGAATTACTTCCATATCTCGTCAAAGCGGATGTTGATAGACTGTGTGCAGAGGAGAGTCTGGTAGAGACTCAGAGTACCTGAAGCAGATGAAAATAGACTACGCGTGGAGGAGAGCCCTTCTCCTAACATGTGGAGCGCGGTATAGGTTGAAAGTACTGGGCAGGCAATTAATTGTAGCAGGGAGTGAACTTAACAAAAATGGGAGTGAGTTTAGCAAGGGAGCGAAAACAAGAAGCCAAAGAGAAGCCTTGTCCCGAAGGAACATACACAGTTCCTTGCATAGATTCATCCCTCTTTGGAAATCCACGTCTTATTCCTGAAGCAGCATCGGCTGATCATCCGTCGAATTCATACAGATGAGCTTCAATGTTCTAAGCGCCGGCGTCGCTGATGACAAGAGCTCCGTCAACGATGCAATGCTTGTGATCACGTCACATAGCGTTAGACTTGATAGAGCAGATAAATGGAAACTTTGTGCGATATTCTTGAAACAAGCATTGGATAGACACAATCAATCATCATCCTGGAGCTCGCGGTCGAAAATAAAAACGCAGGGATTTACAACCACTGTAATCTGGAAACTTTCTGGCCTAGGCCCTGCTTCCTCGAGCGTGGGCGGAAGCGTTTCCCCATAGGTGTTTGGTGGAGAGAAGACAAGATGAACAGATTCATATTCTGTAGGCGTTGGATAACAGTAACGAGGGATGCCCGGTTGTGCTGAAGTAAGGCGCAGGTTATCCTGGATACGTGGACTACCACGTCCTCCGCCTGTGTTGAGCGTTCGAGATCGGGTATTCTCAATGCTTAGTGATGCCAGCAGTGCATTGAGAAGGTTCATGCTGAATGGGTAGTTGTCGATAATTCGCGGATCATTTGGTATAAGTCGATCAACTCCCAGCTGCTTCTTGAGTTCGCAGATGCCTTTCACATCCGGTAAGTGTTCTTCTTCTTCTTGGTTACTAATTGGGCTCCAAACCCTTACCAGTTTAAGGGCTGGGAATAACGGCAGGCGATACGCAAGTGTATTCCGGAGAGTCGTGTTGCCATTTTGGTCCTCTTTGGTCCTCGGGATCAATATGATCTTCTACCGCTTCCCGGTATGAGGTACTATGGAAACCCATATCCTCTGATCAATGATAACACCCGGAAGAGAGCTGATACTATTTGAAAGATGTGATGGGGATATGCCCTACTGCGAACAGTCCCTGCGTCTTGTAAAGAATCGAACAGGTGCTGTCAGTCGCTCCAAGTTGGGAAGAGGATAAATAAAATCGTGACTCAGTGCTCCCTCCCCCGGCTGCACATGTCCAGTAAGAATTCGTAATTTCACGTCGTGCGTGCCAACTTATACATAGTTTATGTCAATTGATACAATTTTAGAAATTATCGAAAAAGAATGTTCACTCTCTGTAATATTAAGTATCTCGTACCTACTAGATAGTTGGGTAAGAGCCCTGGAGACCAAGAGTATACTAGCATGTAGAATTGAAGTTGTGCATAAATGATCATAATAGGTAGCTGATAGAAGTTAAGGTCAATAAGATATCATCAGGTGTACATCCATGGACGATATGAAAGATAGAAGGAAATATGTCAAGGTGGAATTATACTAGCAGCTTGCCCACCAGTCACGTGTAGATAAAACACTCTGATTACGTGACGTTTAGCCAAATACAGGAGATTCCAATGGCATACAGAGTATACAAAGGATTAAGATAAGAATCATTATAGTATACTGTAATAAGTTAGAATCAATTCGTGTGTTATGTTGTTTAAAGAACGTAATGCGTGCGTGATCTACGTGATCCTGTTTTCGGCTGTAAGCGCGGACTTAATCGTGGGACCGCCCGGCAAAGAACATCCACTCCACCACAGCTTCTAATCCTTCGATCTCCATGTCAAGGAAATGCGCATTCTGGAATCTCGGCCTTGATTAGCCTTTTTATATGACTGGATTTGCCCGGCTTCTTCCCCGGCAATTCAAGAATTCTCTGCACGGCCCAGTGATACAGCTGCCCTAACACGAATTGTGACATAACGAGGACCGCAGGACCGAGACTATGGCCTACGTGGTGCCCATCCACCGGGCAAGTGGCATTCGCCATGCGGTGAAGCTAAACTTTATCAGCCCAGAGGAGGACTGCTTAGTTGCTGCGTGAGTTCTAAGTCTACTACTGCCTGTTCGCTGAAGATATGGGATTTTGGTCCATGCGGGGACCACACCGCATGCGCAACTCCGCGAGGTGTCTCCAATAGACCCTTGACAAGAATGCTAATATATTTCGGGATCATATAGCAAATCGAATCGACTTGAATTCTACACTCTCACATCGGATGGCCTGACCCTTGCAGCCACCCGCACACTCTTCGCGCAGGTAACCATGCTCGCCCGCCTCCCAGCACCAGCGAACTCACGAACGGATCACCTTTTCGTCGGGACAGACCAGTACAAATATTTCACTTTGGTGTGGGACCACAAAAATAACGAAATCAAAACCGCTCGCAGCTATGTCGATATTTCGGAACCCTCATCCCGCGAAGCCGAGATGAGTCCGCGCTGTCTTCTTGATCCCACTGGGCGCTTCATGACGCTGGAAGTCTACGAGGGTGTGGTGGTCGTGATCCCAATTGTCGAGTTGACGAAGCGTAAAGGCCGAGTTTCGCAAGCAGCATTGCAGCCTGATGCGCCGCAGGTGGGTGAGCTTGGCGAGCCGACTGCGTCGCGTATTGACGAGTTGTTCGTTCGGTCATCTGCTTTCTTGCATTCTGCGTCAAATCAACCATGGCTAGCCATATTGTATGAGGACAATCAGAAGAAGGTTCGGCTGCGGATCCGGGAGCTGGATTATAGCCGGGCGACGTCCAGTGGGCCTGCAGATGCGACCTTCAAAGAGGTGCAGGACAAGAAGCTAGAGGGCGGAGTGTTTGGGCATGAGCTTGATATGGGCTCTTCACATTTGATTCCCATTCCGGCTCCGTTAGGTATGTCTCATGGTGCCTCTGACGGGCTATGCATGAACTAATGATCATTACTTTAGGTGGACTTATTGTTCTTGGAGAAACCTCGATCAAGTACATTGATGATAATGCGAATGATGTGATCTCACGCGATCTTGATGAAGCCACTGTCTTTGTTGCATGGGAAAAGGTTGATAGCCAACGGTGGTTACTAGCTGATGACTACGGCAGGCTCTTTTTCCTGATGTTCATACTGGATAATCAGGGTGACGTCGAAGACTGGAAACTGGACTACCTTGGGACTACCCCTCGGGCAACAGTTCTTGTTTACTTGGGCGGTGGGGTTCTGTTTGTTGGATCGCACCAAGGCGATTCCCAGGTACTCCGGATCGGCAGTGGAGGCTTCGAGACCATTCAGACGCTGTCTAATATTGCTCCTATCCTCGACTTTACAGTAATGGACCTCGGAAATCGCAATAATGAGAGCTACACCCATGAATTTTCCTCTGGGCAAGCTCGAATCGTGACAGGCTCTGGTGCATTCGACGATGGGACTCTACGAAGTGTGCGAAGTGGTGTGGGCATGGAAGATCTGGGTATTCTTGGTGAAATGGATCATATTACAGATCTATGGGGACTGCAGACCGAGGCCAGCGGAGACATCTTGGACACACTTTTAGTCACCTTTGTTGACGAGACTCGTGTATTTCGCTTCAGTACAGATGGAGAAGTCGAAGAACTGGAAAGCTTCCTGGGTCTTAGCCTTGATGAGAGCACTCTTCTGGCTGTCAATTTGCCGGGTGGTCGAATTCTCCAGGTAACGGAGAAGCGAGCTCTAGTGGCTGACCTGGAGAGTGGTATGGTCACATTTCACTGGACATCCCCTGCGCAAAAAGCCATTACTGCTGCCTCGGCAAGTAATGACCATCTGGTACTTGTTACTGGGGGTCAGATTCTGTCCTCTTTTGATCTTCAAAATAATGCACAGCTTATTACAGAAAAAGATCTTGGTGTGGACCAGCAAATTTCGGGTGTGACAGTTCCAGCTAATCCTGCGGGAGTCTGTATTGCTGCTTTCCCCCAGTCGGCCAAAGTCTCCATCTTGGACATCAACACATTATCTGAGCTCCAAACCAAGACGTTGGGGGAGACGGGCGAGGCGTTCCCTCGGTCGGTTCTTGTGGCCAACGTGCTCGCCGATAATCCGCCTACTCTTTTTGTCTCCATGGCGGACGGCAGCGTGATCACATTCTCTTTGGACCCCCGAAACTATTCCTTGGCTGGGATGAATAGGCTGGTCCTCGGATCAGAACAGCCAAAGTTCAAGAAGCTCCCTCGGGGAGATGGGCTATACAATGTGTTCGCAACCTGCGAGAATCCTAGTCTCATCTATGGCTCCGAGGGTCGAATTATCTACTCAGCAGTCAACTCTGAAGGGGCATCTCGCATATGTCATTTGAACGCAGAGGCATATCCCAATGCTATCGCTGTAGCTACTGCGAGTGAACTGAAGATTGCTCTAGTCGACAAAGAGCGGACGACACAAATTCAGACTCTCCCAATGGGATCAACAGTCCGCCGCGTTGCATACTCCCCATCCGAAAAAGCATTCGGACTCGGCACAATTGATCGAAAGTTAGAGGATGGAGTCGAAGTCGTAAAGAGCCACCTTGTGCTAGCCGACGAGATTCTGTTTCGGCAACTTGATTCGCTGGAGCTCGAGCAGGACGAACTGGTAGAGAGTGTGATTCGCGCCGAATTCCCGGCCGGAAAAGACGGACTTGGAAATGAGATAACTAAAGATCGCTTTGTCGTTGGCACTTCATATCTGCATGATGTCGTCAAGGAAGAGGGAATCCGCGGGCGGATTTTAGTGCTGGAGGTTGATCATGGTCGCAAATTGACCCAGGTCGCCGAGTTACCTGTGAGGGGTGGATGCCGAGCATTGGCCATGATGGATGACAAAATTGTTGCGGCGCTTGTCAAGACTGTAAGTGGTACTTGGCTGTTTACGAATTATTGGGTATTCATACTAACACTCTCTAGGTTGTTGTCTACAAGGTGATTAATAATAATTTCGGGACAATGCAGATTGAAAAGGTTGCAAGCTATCGCACATCAACAGCGCCAGTTGATCTGACTGTTGTCAACAACATGATCATAGTCGCCGACCTCATGAAGAGTGTCAGCATCGTTGAGTACTCCCCGGGCGTGGCTGGAGCCCAGGACCAGCTGGTCGAAGTTGCTCGGCACTACCAGACCGTATGGAGTACGGCCGTTGCCTCTATTGATGACGACATGCTTCTCGTCGGCGAAACCCAGGGCAATCTGATTGTCTTGTCTCGCAATGCGAACGGCGTGACAGATCAGGATAAAAAACGTCTCATCCCGACTAGCGAGATTGCCCTCGGCGAAATGGTCAACCGCATCCGCCCAATTAGTATCCCACAGCTATCAACGGTGATGGTGACCCCGCGAGCTTTTATGGCAACCGTATGTGTCTTTCCAATGCCCATAACATACTACGAGCAATTGACTAACGTTCATACCCATATTTCAGGTCGAGGGCTCCATCTACCTCTTCGCACTCATCAATGCCGAACATCAAGACTTCCTGATGACTCTCCAGAGCGTCATCGCCAGTAAAGTGGAGTCACTGGGTGGACTGACGTTCGATGAATTCCGTGCGTTCAGAACACTGAGTCGTTCTGCTGACGCACCTTACCGCTTCGTCGACGGCGAGCTCATTGAGACATTCCTCACCTGTGAGCCAGAACTGCAGGAGGAGATTGTGGAGGAAGTCGGCTCTAGTAATGTGGAAGAGGTGCGGAGAATGATTGAGGCATTGCGGAGATTGCATTAATATGTACGCCGAATTTCTGTTATTATCTTGACGAATGGGCAAACGGCATTCATTACGAAATAATTATTATTGCATGTTCGATTGTTCCTTTCTTTCCGAATACAGCAGAAGATGTAATCCATTATGTGTAGCGAGATAGCTGAATTTGTTTAATAATTAATAAGGTTAATACAATGAGAATCATGAAGCAAAAATATTACAGATCGGCCGTCTATGATTTTCGGTTCTTGCCAAGCCCCTGGCAGCGTGAGTAAATGTCGAGATCAAAGATCCTTCTTCTTCTTCTTCTCCTCCTCATTCTCCGACTCACTCCAGTCGAGCAATTCCATAAGCTGCTCCTCAGAAAGCTCCTCAGCGCGCTTTCCATTCTGCTTCTCAAGGTTCTTCAGGTACTTCTTTTGGCGCTTGCGAGCCATCTTGTTCCACTCCGGCACACCACTGGCCAGCGCCAGGTTCTCCTCGCCCTCCTCAAGCTCATCCTCAGTCTCCACCTCGCCCAGCACCTTGCCAGTCTCACCACCACGCAGCGAGTTAGCAGACTTCTTAGCCTTCTTGCCACCGAGCGCGGCCCTCTCCTTCTCCTTCTTCTCCTTTTCGAGGCGACGGTCCCGGTCGTACAGCCACTTGAAGAGCTTCTCGATGTAGGGGCGGATGAGGACGTAGAAGATCACGGAGCAGATAACCTTGGTCCAGCGACCCACGCTGACTTCAGCGAAGGAGTTGTAGAGGTTGCGACCAAAGCGGCAAATGGCTTCAAAAACGACACCGAAAATCTGGTTGAAGAAGTCTGCGGCAGCCTCGGCCGCGACGTCGCTGAAATCGGGCTGGGGTTCAGCCATAGTGGGCAAGATGTGAAATTTCTTTTTCCCTTTTTTTGTTTGTTGAGGGGCGAGCGCGGGTGCCGGCGGATGGGTTCAACTTTCAAATTTGAATATTGAAAGGTGAGGAATTGAACTCTGTGGATGCAGAGATTGAGGGAGGAAAGATAAAACGCAATGAAGATTGCGCGACTTCTTTGATTGGATAAGGGAGAGAAGGAGCGAGAAGCTTCCCAATATTTTGTTCTGAGCTATTGCTTGCTAAACGAAAAATGCCTCAATGCGGAAGGAGCAGCCCGTTCGGGTTAACTATTCTTCCTTTTACGCGTTTTTGGCCAATCAGCATCCTTCATTATTATGTATGGAACGCGACGCAACTTAATACCTCTTCAATTCATTGTCAACAGGATGTCGAATAATGAAAATTCGGACCAGAACCAGGCAGAGGTAAGTGGTTTGGGAAATTTGATTGAAGTTCTAAATGACTAACACCACTTATAGCGCCTGAAAACTGAGTTGTACGATTGCGTTAGCAAAATTGTGGACGAGGAGACCTTGAAACTCGATGCCACTGCCACGCCCCAGTTCACCAACGCCCTGCTAGAGCTGGCATGGTCACACCTTGGTACGTACTTCTCAAGTGTCAAACTTGCTGCCTATCCTGTTTTCATGCAGCTGGTGCGGCAGGCAGCATAAAACTATCCAACCATTTCGATAAAAATCACTATCACTGACAACAACACAGAATCTGCTGTCGTTGATGTAGAGGCTTTTGCCAAGTAAGCCAACCCAACCTTCCCCAATTCCCCAAGAACAACTAGCTAGGAACATGGTTTTTTGTTCCAATAAGCCACACTTAACTAATAGGCATCTCCGTTCTAGGCATGCCGGGCGGTCAACTGTCACCCCTGCTGACGTGCTGATGCTTTGTCGCCGCAATGACGGGCTGAACCAGACCCTGCATAAATACATGGAGCACCTGGAGAATGAGCGCGAAGAGAACTCATGAAGAGCGGGTGAGGTGACTTCCTGTACAAGAAAGTGCCACTACAGTACAGAATCCCCAGCTTCGACACTGGCCCCTCACTGGCGGGACCTCGCCCAGCTCATAGTGGGTTAGCATTTCAGTCGTTCATGATGTATGACCTAATTCCGATACCCCTGCAACAACCCAATCAATTTTATTCATGTGCAATTTGGACTGGTCAGATGGCTTCGAATATGTTTCTAATGTTCCCCCGAATGCATGAGAGATCTTGTTCCTGTAAATAGTGGTAATCCAATAGATTATTCTTTCTGGCCCTAAACTTTTAATTTGCCTTTTTAGGTTTAGTGCCCCAACACGACGTCACGTAACCTCCCTTCGATGCTTATACCAAGTGTTATCATCTTTCATATTACGACTAGCGCTTTTCTAATTCGTGACTGGGAATGAAGTAAGAAGATTCAAGAGTGTGGAGGTATAACTTATTTCGAAAACTACTGCACTCATTCCAGAATCACCTTTCTTCAGGACCCGTAGAGAGGCTCTCAGGCACATGATTGCTTGCTCTCAGAAGTAGGAGCAAGGCTCCTCGAGGACCTACACCTTCCGGGGGTGGACTGTATAGCCGGAGAACGAGGAGTCCCTGTTTGCATTGCGTTCTGGAGTGCCGTGATATGTGTGAGGTGAAATTGGCAGATGATGCGTTTGAAGTCCACAACGGACTTCACACGGCTCCTACTGCCCCTGGACTTGGTGTTACACCTCGTCTAGCCGTGTTAGGAGATTTCGTTGCCATTACAGTGAGCCATTTGCCCCTCACTGAGAATCAGCATCAGATATGTTCTTGACAATGTAAGTCTATGATGCGCTCTACTTTGGCATTGATTCAAGAGTGATTGTTAAATGTGTCGAATAAGGAAGATGATGAAGGTCCACTCAAAACGGACCCTCATACGGTACATATACATGAAATCAAACAAATCCATCGAGTTCACCCACTCGTGCGCCACCCTATGGTGTGATACATAATCGAAAATTCTTGACTAGACCTTAACATCATCCATCCACTGCGGCAATGGCATATGCATGCCAGTAACCAGCTTCTCTATAATGCGGGCCAGACTGTCCGCCATGTTCTTACACATCTCGGGGGCCATCATATGATTATTGGCCATCACCTTGATGAGAATATCATCGCCCCGCGATGCCGACACAATGTAGATGAACGGGAAAATGGACGGGTTTGGGAGATATCCCAGATGCGCAAGACCGGCCGAGGTATGGATCTCGGGTGTTGTATCAACACTCCGGTGATGAAGAACGGCGTCAAATTCAGAACCGGCTGGCCATTCGGTGCAGTTATCGACAATGGCCCTGAAATCAAGGGAGTCTGAATCTCCCAGCAAAAGATATTGGTCCTGAACGACGTTGAGTAGCTCCGCAACAGTCTTGATAGAAGCGAAATCAACGCGCTCGGGGAGAATGTTCAGACAACACCCGACGATCTTCTCTACGGCTGGAATCCCGGCGACACGGCCGGCAACCACCTGGCCGTAGATGACGTCGGTTTCACTCGTCATGCGCGAGAGATAGACAGCCCACGCGGCCCGGAGCAGAGTGGCGTGGGTAATTTTGCCCAGACGGCTCGGCAAATGTGCCTCCCCTACTGCATTAATTTGCTCAGGAATGGGGGTTTGGGGATTTTTTGGGCGGATATGGGGCATGATTGGAGTGACATGCGATCCCCGAAGCAATTGGCTCCAGTAGGCAAGTGTCTTGGGGCGCCGGTGGGCGGTGTATTCGAGGAATGAAGGGAAAGTTGGCTTCGCAGGAGTCTCACCCTGATCGCCATCGAAGATTGCCTGCAACAGGACGGGCACACTGAAGGCATCATATTGGGCGTGCGACAACCGAAAGGCCAACCGCATTCCCTTCTCATGCCTGAAGAGGAAGAACGCAGCAGGGGGCTGGGTGGGTGGCAATGTCTTCTTGTTCTCGAGGCAGAAGTTCCGGACGCATTCTTCAAGATTCCCAACGACGGGCTCAATGCTAAAGACCTCATTGAGTTGGTGGGGAACAACTTGCCAGAACTTGCCCTGAAGCTGCAAGAAGCGAGCGCGGAGGATGGGGTACTTCTCAAATAGTCTCCTACAGCCACGTTCCAAGTCCGATACATCCAGGCCAGCATCGAGATCAAGGTAGACATAATCGACGGAATATCCCAAGCTTACAATGGCAGTGACAAGGACCTCCTGGACGTAGGTGAGCGGGTAGATATCCGCAACATCTGAGGAACTGATGGAGAAGGTCGATTCAAGCTCGTCAAGCAGAGCGGATTTGAGTGAGGATTCGACGAGAGGAGCGGAAACAACTTGCTCGGGGGCTTCGTCAGCGGTGTTTAGGGACTCCTGCTGAGCCAACTCCACAAGTATGTCCTTTCGGAAAATGTCTACCATTTTCAGGTTCAGGCCGAGCGCGCGAGCCTTACTTATAACCTTCATGGCGCTAACAGAATCACCGCCGATCTGGAAGAAGCTGTCGTCAAGACCGATGGTGGAGGGGTCGAGTTTGAGCACATCACACCAGATCTGCTGAAGCTGCAGTTCAGTCCGTGTGTGTGGCTTTCGCTTCTCGCCTTTAGACTTGGGATGCAGATCCAGGATTTGCTGTGCGGTGAGCGCGGAGCCCATCTGGCGAAGGATTCTCCGATCGGTTTTTCCAGAGGCCGTGAGAGGAAGGCTTGTGATGGGGAGGAACACAGAGGGAACCATGTAATGGGGCAGCACGCTCTCCAGTCGACTCTTCACAGTTTGAATAACCGACCAGACATGTTCGTCAAGAACCACACCACTGCCATTTTCATTTGTTTGGCTGGACTTGAGCACCAGGAAGGAGATCAACTTAGGACCGCTGCCACCAAGAACAGTAAGCTCTACGGCGACCTCCTTCAAGTCTGGAGAGGATTGTCTTGCTTGGTGTTCAATTTCTCCAAGCTCAATGCGCTGGCCACGCAGCTTAACCTGGGTATCTTTTCTTCCCAGCAGCTCAATGGATCCATCGCTCCTGTATGAAGCGAGGTCACCAGTTCGGTAGAACCTCGAAGATGCAGCAACAGGCCCGAGGGTGCCTCTCCAGAACGGCGCCTCAATGAAGGCCTCGGCTGTCTTCTGCAGATTGCCAATGTAATGCCGCCCGATCACAGGTCCTTCGAATATAACCTCACCAGGTGCACCGATAGGCACGAGCTGGTTAGGATTCGCTGGGTTGGTGAGCCAGCACTTGCAGGTAGTCGCTTTTCCGACACTCGTAACGACCGACGCCGGATCCAAGCCAGCCGACGAGACGACAGCAGCAGTCTCAGCGCTGCCGTAAGTTTGTCGCAACTGGACCTTTGGAGCCCACAACCTGATCTGGGAGCTTCGGATGGGCTCACCACCGACGCAAATTGTGCGTAGCGATGGAACGTCCTCTGGGTGAAGGAGCGCCAGCACAGTCGCGGTCAAGAAGGCCCAATTGGCATTCAGCTTGCCAATCGTCGCGGCCAGGTTGACCGTGCGATCCTCTTCTTTGGGAATACAGATACAGCCACCATAGATCATGGTCATGACCATTTCCATGATAGCTCCGGCGAAGTTGTAGGAGCCGAACTGCAGAGCGCGAATGTTCTTGCTCATGCCTAGGATCTTTCCGTGGCCAGATGCAGCTGAGCAGTAGGATCGGTGCTCGACAACGCAGCCCTTCGGCTCTCCAGTACTACCGGATGTGAAAATGATATATGCAGCACCGCTAGGCACCGCCTTTGGCATCTGAGACGAGGATCGCTGACTTTGTGATTTGAACGAATCCATAGTTTCCTTGGAGAGCACAACCGTCTGGCGCACGAAGGGACTGAGTCTGCCTTGACAGTACTTGGAAGTAATTGCAGTCTCCGCCTGCACCTTCTGGGTGACACTCTGAACTCGGCCCTCGGGGAGACTGGGATCAAGGAGAACGAATGTGCCACTAGCCTTGAGAACAGAAAGTATGGCCACAACGGTCCACATCGACTTTTCGAAGCATAATGGCACGACTTTCTCAGGGCCAACACCGAGATTCACCAGGTGGGAGGCAAGATAAGATGAAAGCTCGTTCAGCTCGCGATATGTTAGTTCACCGTCCCATGCGCAGACTGCCTGCGCCTCAGGGTCAGCCTGCGCACGTTCCTGGACAATATCATGGATACATCGCTCAACCACCGCTGGAACACCGCTGTTCCACTCGCGAATTTGATCTAGATCCTGTGGCGGAAGAAGCTCCAGCTCGCTCAGCCCCTTTTGTTGACTTGAGCTACTGAGTTGTTGAGTGACAAATTCAAGGCGTCGGAGGAGTTTAAAGACAAGCAATGGCTCAATTACACGCGGGTCAAATGCAGCCTTAACGTTGATCTCGCCGCCAACAAGCTTAACATGGATCGTGAGCCCATACTTGTTGAACTGGTAAGGTGGGATATCATCGCGGGATTGGATAAGCACCGTTTGGAATGCGCAAGCTTTTTCGCAGTCGGTAGACAGCTTGGCTATTTGTTCCAATCCCACTTGCTCGTGGGGAATAGCCGCAATCGCATGCTGTTGGACCTCTCGTAGGTACTCTTGAATACTCAAATTTCCGAGTCTTACGCGCACGGGAATTATTGTGTTTCCTTTAGATGCTGTTGTACCAAACATCACATCATTCGAGTCGGTCATTGAGCCGGTGATCAAAGCCCATGCCGCGCGGACCAATGTTGATACAGAGATACTCCCAAGAACCTCCGAAGGTTGGAGGAAAGTGTGCTCTACCTCTCTATCTGCGTCTGGCTGATCAAGGAATGGTGGTAATGTCGGATATGAGGAGCATTCGGCACCTGCCAGGGCATTCTGCCAAAATTCCGCCGCTGTGGGACGTTCATTGGATGTGACCTCCTTCGTCGTTACGTGGTTCGCGGTTGTAGTTCCTCCGTTCACTGTTGGCTGTTGTGCCACTGGCTCCTCCGTCGGTAGCTCAGTCGCCGTTAAAATCGTAGATTGTTTCGAATCTGTCCTTCTGGCGCTGTTCCACTGGCACATGGGAAGGCCCGTGGGGATATCGGCCTCATTGGACGTCATAGTTGGAAACTTCCAGCGATGGAAGCTATGTATGCGTTCGAGATTAGACGATCTCCTGCACCTGATCGGACTGAGTTTATTGACTTACCTAGAGATAAAGCTGCAGGCTCAATTAGCGGGACAGCTGCAGGAAGGTAGAGTTTCAAATATGACGGAGAATTTTGGTGATTTTTCTAAGAAAAACGCCCCTCAATACTCCGATCACTGCGCGATTGTCAAAGTGGAGCTCTAGTCAAGTCTCCTGAGCATGTATTCAAGAAAAACGTGATCATCGAGGTACCCCTAGTTGTTCATGCATATCAGCTTAGCGGACCCACCCAGTCGATAGCTCGTATAGTGGAGACGAGCCAAACTATAGACACATCTCAGGGATCGGCAGATACGAGAATCAAGGTTTTTTTGGTATGATCCACCTCATTCATAATCTTCAGCCCTCGTAGCCAAGTTTCCACTAGTTACTGTGTCCACTGCCGTAATCGGGATCGGCGGTTCGGATCGCCGGAGCTGCGTCCAACTACGGCAGGCCGAATATTAGCCAGGGAGTTACGAAAAAACAGGCCAATCTCCCGGCAAATCCAGCGATGGAAATAATTATTGCCCCGGAAAAGCACATGTCCACACAGTCTCCCTGATCGTTCCCGAGATTTCCCTGACTAGATACGGCACAAGTTCAGTAGAAAAATTATAATAATAAAACACATAGAAAGCTCTTATCAGGACGTTAGCCCTAGGGCGGACTCATTCATGTCCTTGAATAGCTCTCGGAGTGTATAATTCTTCCAAGTAGCGCTCTTCTTCATCAGTGAGCTCTTTTCCTCGAGCAGCGAGAGCCTCATCCATGCGCCCACTCGAGCTAAACCCAATGATGGGGGCGGTGACCCGCCGGTTTAGCCAGGCCAGACTGACATGGCTCATTGGCCACTCCCGGGCTAGAGCAATCTCTCTAACTCTTGAGACAATTCCATCAATATTCTCAATGCCATTGTCATATAATGACCCACGAGCGCTCCATTCGTCCCGAGCTGTGGTTGACTTTTTACTTGGATCGCGTGCTAGCTTACCCGATGCTAAAGCAGCCCACTATCGAAGAATATTAGCTTCCGTCAATGTTCTTTCGCATCGATCAAGTATTCTTACCGGTGTCAGCCCAACGCCAGTGAGATTGCAATATGGGTTCATCTCTCGCTCTTCTTCACGATATAGTAAATTGTAGTGGTTTTGCATAGAGATGAATTTGGTCCAGCCGTTCTTCTCTGCGACGTGCTGCAACATGGCAAATTGATATGTCCACATTGAGCTGGCGCCAATATAACGGACCATGCCGGACCTTACGACATCATCCAAGGCGCGCATGGTTTCTTCTGGTGGTACCGTGGGGTCAAAACGGTGGATTTGAAGCACGTCGATATAACTGGTATTCAAACGCCTTAGGGATCCTTCGACTGCCTTGAAGATGGCAGCGCGGGATAAGCCTTTGGACAGTATCAGTATGTTGAGCTTTTGCGTTAAGATCGAGAATGGACATACCCCATTGGTTGACATAGTCTTTGCTTCTATCTGCCAACTCATGGTGCATAGTAACCATCGACCCAGGATCATAATTTTCGGGATCACATAGGACTCGATAACACTTGGTCATGATGATCACTTTCTCACGTGGAATCTTGTATTTTTGGAGGGCTTGCCCGATGATCCTTTCAGATTCGCCATTTGAATAAACATTTGCAGTGTCCCACTTTTATCGGGTTAGTCATGACCGACAATTCAAAAGCAAGGGGGTGCATACAGTGTTAATACCACGATCGTAGGCAGATTTCAATATACCCAGCGCCTAAGAAAAGATGAGGAGAGTTCCTAAAGAGTTGAAGAGCGCAAGCGGGAAAGAGCCAGTAGATACCTTGTCTTCATTCAAGACCCATGGGAGCCATCGCGAACTGCCTAGAGTAAGTCCACCGAGAATCGGATTAGACACTCTCAGCCCTGAATTTCCCAGTCTTCGATACTCCGCCCTTGACCGCGTTATAGATTCGCTCAGGCATCGAGGGACCTTTGCCAATTTGTCTAGCACAGCTTTGCCCATGTTGGAATCCGAGTACCGAACGAGTCTTTCTCAAGGAGTGTCGAGAAAACAACATGCATGATTCGGTAATTATTGAGGGGCTTCAAAACAGGCAATGACATGCTCCACCAGAATCCAATCGTCCCAATGGTAAAGTTAGATGGTGAGATCGAGTGATCCACATCCCTGCTATTCCTATATCGGCGATTTCTCGTAGAAGGTTGCCGAATCGGGTTGGTTATAAATTACTATATGATCGGCGTTGATAGTGCAAGATGATAGTTCACAGGGTGGAGTCAGGGGCTCCAAACAAGGTTTTGGCGCACGGTTTAGCTCAAACTTTCGCAGATCATGCAGATCTGTGATATCCCAGAAGGTATTAACCCTATAAGAGCCTGCTTCGCACACACGAAACCTAAAGAGTCCTCCATGGAAAATTTCGTGGTAAAAGCGCAATGACGCTGGAGCCAATGGCATTTTTTTTGATTCCAGAACTTTGTCAAAAAGGGTCCACACACCAAATCGACTTTGCATCCACGTGGGTTCAGCTTGAGGATCTTCTACATATTGGGACATATAGTACAGTACTGTGGCATGAATGATCAATTGTAAACTCCACCCATATACCCACATAAATTTTGCCAACTTGTAAGCTGTGTAAAGTACTGTCCATTTTGTAGAAAATACAAGTAAATGGCGTAGGATCTATTTAATATAGTGAGATTTGTGGCAAATTGACGTATCATTTGTGGTATATCATAACCTATTTAGGTAGACGGAGGGTGATCGTCTAGGTGGGTACTATACTATTGATTACATGCATGCTACTGTATTTCAGCTAAGATTGACCTCGATCTGGCCCACTGCCGAATGCATTTATCTCCGTAGCTACAATCTATAGATCACGCGTCCGTTGTAGTGTATTCCCCTGAGCGTTTGACATAATAGTGGCGTTCAATCAAATTTCACGTGGTCCACCCTTTATTGTCAACCTGTCTCCGCTGTACGGCCAAGATCAACACGGCTGAACTGAAACACGAACAGCCCTTTCAAGTGTCCCACATAGCCAACGAGTTATATGGCTGGTGCCATAATCACACAACCTTCCCCTCTATTCCCAACACTTGATATCTCAGCCAAAAGCGGAAACCGCTGGACCAACAATATGGATTCCAAGGTAGATGTTGATGAACTGCCCAAGTTTAGGATCTTGATGATTCATGGTGAGATCTACCCAATAAAGCGCCCCTTGAAGTTTTGCCTTATTGCTAACACTTGCATTTATCTGCAGGGTTTGCCGGAAGCGATTCGGAATTCCGCGCCAAGTCAAGTCGGATATGGGAACGCATCAATGAAGTAGTAACGCCAGACATTCTCGACGAATTCCCAGGAGGCATCGAATTCTTGCACCCCAATGGGACTTTGGTTCTCGAGCCCCCGATAGGATTTGGCGGGGAGGTCGACGATGAAGATGATAAAGGCAACCTTAAGGGTACGATGATGGGCGACGACTCAGTCCTGGGATTCATGGGTTGGTGGTACGGTCGGGATACCGTGAGCAGATACCGCGGAGTCGAAGCCTCGCTCTCTTACATTGCAAGATTTATCTACGGACGACCTATCCACGCCATTATCGGGTTCTCACAGGGTGCCTGTCTCGCGGGGATGATCGCCTCTCTGCTTGACTGCGACAACAACCCGGAAAAGGTTGCCGCCATTCGGGCTCAAGACCTACCGATCGACGACTTCCTCAATCTACCTGGCCAGGAAAGCATCAGATTCTTCATCGGCATGGGAGGATATCGCGGCACATTAAAGTACTACGGGAGTCTTTACCAGTGGCCGATCGATGTACCAAGCTGTCACACATTAGCCAATTTTGACGCCATCGTCAAACCCTTCCAAACCATGGACTTGGCTCACTGTTTCACATCATGTGAGATCATTCGTTACTACGGCTCTCACTACGTTCCTAGGGACCGCATAAGTGTAGAGTCCCTGGCCAATTTCGCCCTCAGAAACTCCTGCAGGGAATCTACTTCCTCTCGGTTCCCTCCCGTCGCTAGCACGACCAGTCAATCTGACACCGATGAGACTCAAACTGTCTCAAGTGGAAGGAGTCAGGCTCTAGCGGCCTTTCCGGTCTGGACACGGTCGAGAAAGATCAATGTTACAAGGAGCCGCCGCTTAAGACCAATGTTATCAAGAAGGTTCATGTAGATCGTCTGATTCTCTAAAAGAAGAGAGTCCATATAATGCTTGTTCGACTTAATGCAAAATCTAATCTCTTGTTAATTTCAGTCACAAGGCTTTCCCGACCAAGTGAGCACTTACTTCCGCCAATAACGTTCGACGACAGCGATTTCTTCCAAGGTCTTGGGCTTAAATCTTGGAGGGAGGCATCCAAGACTGCAAACATGTTCCAGTCTAGTTCGAGTTTCCTCGTAAATAATGGGATCGGTCCAGTATGTGGTGCTCATCAGTTTGAGCCGGATGTCCATGCGTAGGTACTCCGTCATGTTCGCAATACTGTAAGACATTTGCAAGGCGAGATGAAGAGGATCAAGGTCAAAACTTGATTACGTAAACTTTATAAATGGGGTGATGGCGCAATGGTAACGCGTCTGATTCCAGCGATTTGTCCAAATTGGGGTCTCCAGAAGACTGGGAGTTCGATTCTCTCTCGCCTCATTTTTTTTCGCCACTGCTATCGAACCATGGTTGACATTGGGGCAGAAAGCGGTAATAAAGCGTGGGTAATGTGGCATTCTAGGTGCTGTTTTCTACTCGTATAGTACTTTTTGTTCTTGAGAGATTTATAATGAAGGTAGTCATGCCTCTAATACGAACCAATTTTGGTTGAAATCAACTGTTTTCCATGTTTCAAGTTTGCGATATGCAGCTCTGTGGATAGTGCCCGGCAATAACGGCAACTAGTGGGCACGAATTTTTGACATTCTCAAGTACATGGTGTGACAGGATGCTCGAGTCACCGCTTGGAGTTACGTGTAAGAAAAGGCCTTTCTGACCTCAAAAGTGAGTAATTTTGACATCAATTTCATAGTCCTCAGGAGTCTATCTGCACTGGGAAATTTCATTTCAACCTACATATCGACGTTCCACCCCGCCTAAAGCTGTGCTCCCACGCAAAAAGGGGAAAGAAAAAAGAGAAAAGACCCCAGAATGGCCAAATGCGAGGCATAAGTAAAGTACAAAGCTCGCCAGAATGAGACAAGGGTCGAGAATATATATGCTGGTTCATCTAAAGGTGAAGGGAATATGGCGGGAATAGCCAAAGAAAAGGAAAAATCGCAGTTTCATCAATCATGACCACACATCCTCCTGGTAGCTACCGCTACTGCGCATGTGCTTGACCATCTCCTCGCCTTTCTCGGCGGGCATGCCGCGCTGCTCAGCGATGATGTGGCCAAGAACCAAGTTGACCTCCCGGGCCATGTTGGCGGCATCACCACAGACGTAAAAGTTGGCCTTTTGCTTGAGAAGCTCGCTGACAAGCGGGGCGTTCTCCTTGAGACGGTGCTGGACGTATACCTTTTCGGAACCCTCACGGGAGAAGGCAGTAATGATCTTCAGGGAGTCACCAAGCTGTTCCTGGTAGGTCTGGGGGAAAAGTCAGTATGTTTCAAAACTAGAGATAAAGATTCATTATCGTACCTTCCACTCATCGCGGTAGATGAAGTCCTCATCCTGCTTACGGCATCCGAAGAACAAAACAGTGGTGCCAACCTTCTCACCCTTGGCAGCCAGAGCAGCACGTTCCTGGATGAAACCACGGAAAGGAGCCACACCGGTACCAGGACCAACCATGATAATCGGCTTAGACGGATCGGAAGGAAGCTTGAAGTTGGAGTGGCGCACATGAACTGGGACGTGGATACCATCGTACTTGTTGCGAGGACCGTTGATGTCATAAGTCAGACCGTGGGGGTCGGGAGATGGGTCGCCATTCTGCTTCTGCTTGAGAGCAAGAAGGTAGTTGGTAGTCACACCCTTTACCATGTGCGAGGCACCAGGAAGACGAACGGACTCAACGACAGCGGTGATGCTGATCTTGTCCTTCTGAACCAAAGAAGAGGAAGAGATAGAGTAGTACCGGGGCTGGAGCTTGTTGAGACCTTCAATGAGCAGAGAGAATGGGACCGCGGAGAAAGGCTTCGAGGTGATGCTCTGAAGAGCCTGAGCGATGTTGAAGCACTGGCTGGTGATCTTCTCATGGAAGTAATCCTTGTCATTACCCAGACGAACGATCTCAGCCTTGCTTGCCTCATCGGGGGCGAACGCGGCGAGCGAAGAAACAAACTGGCGGGAGACGGGAGCGCAAGCTTCCATGTAGTAGCGAACGGCAGCATCGTAGGTAGTCGGAGTGGGGATGGGAACTTTAGCTGTAACATCAATTCCCTTAACACTGATAACGGTGTGGCGCTTGTCCTCAAGACCAAAGACTTGGAGGAATCGATCGACCTCCGCACCAGCGTTGGTGGGCCAAATCGCAATGTGATCACCAGTCTGGTAGCTCAGGTTGCTACCGGCAATGCTGATTTCCATGTGCAGACAGTTGCGGTCCTTGACGTTAAACAATTCACGGGATTCTCCAATCGGGGCGATGAACGGGTTGTGAGCAGAGTATGGGCCCTTAGCACGACCCTCACGGTGGGCGGTGGTCGGCTCTCCCAGGTAAACAGAGTCATCCTCGGGAGTTTTCTCCTCATCCTCAGACACACAGAAGACCGGTTCGTAGACAGATTCACGCTCCTGGAGGCCAAGAGACTCGGACAAAGCAGCCCACATGGGCTCCTTCCAGGCAAGGAAATCCTCCTCCATGGTTCCAGCACCGTCATCACCTTCACCGGCAGATCCAATGCGCTGAGCACCGAGCTTGGTCAGAGCAGCGTCGACATGACGGACCATCGAGTTGTAGTGTTCGTAAGTGTTGTTGCCCAGACCGAATGCGACGTACTTGAGAGACGATAGCGGCGAGTCATCCGCGGCGGCGCCGCTCTCAAAGGCGATATCGTCCCCAGTCAGGAACTGGTAGAACTCCACTGCGTTGTCCGTAGGTTCACCCTCGCCGTAAGTGGCCAGCACAAAGAAGGCCACCTTATCTTCGGGGAATTTGTCCAGGTTCTCGTAATCGTAATCCTCAATGTCGGCCACCATAGTCTTGAGACCAAAGCGCTGGGAACCCTCCTTAGCCAAGCGGGAGGCGTAATCCTCAGCGGTACCGGTCTGCGAACCATAGAAGATTACACAGTTCTTGCCAGTTTCATCCATCTTCTCAATGATGTCGCGGGTCTTGCCGCTCTTAGCGCCACCGTTCAGAGCGGCGGCTCCGGAGGAGGCATAGGGATCCTTCGGAACTGCCCAGTAAGTTCCCTTGGTGAAGTAGGCCACGCTACCCACCAAAAGAACCACTAGGACAGCTAAATCGAGGGTGTCGAGTTGCGCCATTGCGATCGAGTGTGGGAGGGGAGGGGGTCCGTGTGGAGAATTTCCCTGGCAATCAAGCAAAAAACCTTCAAATAGAAAAAAGAAGAGTTGAAGGCCAATCTTCCAGGACTTATTGCTGGCCTTTGACTATTTCACGCTTTTTGGCCTGGTGATAATCAAAAGGACAGAAACACCCCTATTGTTCAGAAAGAGAAGAGGCAAAGTGGTCTGACCACCGGGCTCGGTCTAAAAAGTGGATCGCTCTTGTGCCTCACCGACTTGAGTGTGCAGACTCGGGAGAGACAGATACGTTTATCTGATCCTTGAGGGGTAAGGAAGTATATGAATTGACTTATTCCATCAACGAAGAATAAGAATAAGAAAAGAAAGAGAACAAGATTGAAGAATGTCAAAAGAGTTAAAAATTATCCATTTTAATCTCCCTAGGGTAGGGGCCAAGGCATTATATAGGGAGGGGCCAAAAGTCATGACCGGAAAGGAAATTCGGCCTATTAATGTAGGAATTCCATTGACGTACGACATAATTACCCCAGTTTAGTGTGTTAATTGGGAGAACCAGTGCAGAGCGTTATCGACCCTCGGGTATGAACCCGTTCGGTAAGGTTGTGCGGGAGATCTCAACATGGGGGAACAATAACTTTCTCCCACATTCGGTGGCAAATGTTGGGGAAACCGTCAACGGACTTTGGTACCTCCGGCACAAGGAACCTTGCCAATCTTGGAAAATCGCAACGTCGCTTCCGCGTCTTCCATAATACTTTGGAATCCCGTTAGTGCGGCGGTATTCCGCGGTGTGCGGCTTCATTATTCCTCAGTGGATTCTGTTTGGCTTGAATCGGTTCAAATGTTATATCAAGCCCATATATTATGTCTTTCCTTAAGACCTATAAAAGGTTTCCCCTATCGTTTTCAATGGAACCTTGGGAAATTCCAAAATTATTCTCTAAATGTTTGTAAGTGGGGTCTCAGACCATTCCGTTAGTATCTCCATAGTCTGGTGTCTCGATCTTCCCCGATCTACCCGATTTACGACATCGATTGATTTTTCCAGTTTGACTTTATTTGACTTTGTATTTTCAGAATGCTAATTCGCACCTGCAGATGTTCTGTACTCACATGCATATAAGCCTCGGTCTATACCCTTGAGATACTCGAGCCGTGGGGGCGATATGTGTCTATATATATACGTTCAACATCCAATCCGTAGAGAGCCATGAAGATTCCAGTGATGGCAGCCATAATTCAATCAAGCAGAATTTGATCGGTGCCTGTTGAGGTGTATATTTCACCTAGCCAATCCACTGAGTATTTAATTTGTACCTTTCCATCAATAGTAAAACCTGGAAACCGTAAAAGCTATTACGCCGGGTAGTTTCATAGCACACGACTCCACGAGTTCTCCTTGATCGGGATGTTTCAGCTTTATTGACTATATTATATATGATTAGTGTTTGAATAATTCAGGACGATCTCTTCATAAACCTGTATATTTTAGTTCCTAGTTCCTTGTTCCTGCAGAGGCGCATGAACATTTGCCACTATACTGAAGTCCACTAGACTTTGATTCGCTGCCATGTAGAGGCTCAAACTCGAATTAGAAATATGGATGAGAATAAATCCTATGAAGATTACAAATGCAAAACTGGACACGTGTTATGACATATCTCCTAGTTTAAATGAAACAAATCTATAGATCGTATTTTGAGTTGGTGAACAAAGAGATGTTATTGCGCCCAACGCTATTGGGCGTACAAAATGTTCCGAGGGGAGGAAAATTATAGTCAATTGCTTAAAAACTTGACTCTTTCTCCGACCTGAATTTAAATATAGTAAAACATAAATCAATAGCCCCCCTTTCGCCTTTTCAAGCTTCGCAACATTAGACGACTAACCGTTGTAAAGGAGTAAAAAGTGGTTCACCCGCGCGCTAATAAACATCTAAAAAGCTCTCGCTATCCGCATTTCTCCAGACCTTCAACCAACTGCACTCAATAGACCCGCCTTCTCTTAAATGGATTGATTCGCCATGACCTGTGACTGGCTCACTGCTGACACTCTTGACACGGCTGCCTGCATACAATTCAACCGGGCAATGAGTCGTTAACTTGTACCAGTAAGCTGTGTTCGCTGCAGTGCCATCCCGCCTTGCTCCCTTGCGACCCTGTCATCCCTTCTCCTACCTCCCCTGGTCAGACGGGACTATACGAACCAGGCTCTTTTGCTAACTGCTGGTCTTGCTGGCGACAGTGGCATCTCATCCGGCCAAAGCTGCTGGCCCCGGCCAGCAATCAATGCCCCTCATCCCTGACGACCTAAAATCTGCGCCGCACCGTAACCTCCAGTCTGCGACAGATTTGCGAGGGACTAGAACCGCCCAATCCACCCCAATGCATAGTCGTGAATCGTCAGCGGTCCGCGGTAGAGCGACCGACCCTTCCGCGCTAGCTCCGACCTTACAAGCTCGCCGCGGCCACTCCGGTTCCAAGAGCCCAGATGTGTCAGCCGGCTGGCCTGCAGGACATGACGCAGGATTGGAAAGACGACCATCGAACTCGTACGGCCACCACCGGCAGACCTCCATCGTCCACGGCATGCAACATTCAAGAAACCCGAGCATGGCGGGTTCGACCGCCTCCAGTCCGCTGAGCCCGGAGCTCATCGCATCTCTCGGTCGTGGTGCCCCCGAAGACACCACTCTCTTGTCTTCGAACATGGACCAACTGGATACTCATACCAATCATCAGAACCCCGGTGCAGTGTCGCCGAGCTATGGTCTACCGGGGACATTAAGCACGATTCAGGACACAGATGCGGATGAAAGGATGGATGGGAGTCCAGCAAGTCTGGTACATAAACGAATGAATTCGGGAGGGAAATCAAGACGGGAAAGGTCCCATAGTCGTTCACATTCGAAGCATCAGTCGGACTCCAAGACGGTGGGCGAATATGCGCTGCACCACTTATTTAACTCGGTAAGATATGCTGGGGAACTCATGGTGGTTCAACCGCTGACGAGAGCAATAGTTTGTTGGCCAAGCCGACAGTAAAATTAACCAGGCCATCTTAAAGCCTGGGGACTCGGAAGCCCCTGTCGAGGAGGTGTGCGGACCTGGGGCAGATCCAAATTTCGATCAGTTGATCTCAGCGCTGGGACATATCGCAAGGCAAAAACCAAAGCCTCTGATTGATACAATCATGTTATGGCGCAAAGGGAAAGGAGATGCGGCTATTACTGCAAGGCAAATGACGAATGACCTGGTAAGCAAGCATGTCTTGGATATATTTATGCAAGAATAGGACTGATGGAAACTCTTAGCCGAAACCTATAATCACGGAGAATGGGGTACTCATGCGCCGTAACACGGAGCCCCCCCAACCCCAAGCTGATCCAACTGCTCCATCAGAAAGGCAACAGCCGTCCACGCCTTTCCTTGGTCGTCATGACGACGTTGCGCTGGTCGAACGTCGCGCCACTGTCTCTGTATATCTGGTGTGCAGAGTCTTAATTGAGATCTTCAATCAGAGTACTTTGGCGTCAATCACTGTTGATATGGCAGATCGTCTGGAAGATATTGTGTTTGGTCAACTCAAAACGGTTGACCCTGACCAGATCTCTGCATCTCCGCTGCGAATGGCAAATTGGCGGATATATGGCCAATTGCTGGGGATCATGAGCGAAGTGAACTTCTCTACTGTTGCGAACCGCTTCCTGGCGGAGCTGGATCGGTATCAAAAAGAAGAAGCAACTCGTGGTCCGTCGCGCGAAGGTGATGCAAAATCCGAGTTGCTCATCCTGGGCATGAGATATTTACGCCTGCCAATGTCCACGGAAGGTTGGAGCAAAGCCTGTGATTTCATGCGGTCCCTAGCACGATTGTTTGTGAACGCACATGGCCAGAAGATCAAGCAAGCCTATTGTTATGTGATCGAGAAACTTCTGCTGCCTGTGGCGGCTACTCCAGTCTGTGACCTCTCGCTGCCTCGGTGGAAGGAGTTTCTGGACTTGGTCCAACCTCGCTTGACGCAGTTGCTTACCAAGCCTCGCCATTGGAGTGCTGCATTCTCCTTGAATGTGCTACTGCTTTGCATATCCAACAAGGAAACATTTTCTTCGCAGTGGCTTTCCATGATTTCCAGCTTGCCCCCTCGACTCAAAGATCGTCCCACGCGTGCTCCGGCTCTACAGGCTATATGTCGCCTGGTTTGGACCTACTTCTTCCGCTACTCTGACTCCCCTACCACTACTCTCCGTAAAGTCGAAGAGGTTGTAAAAATTGCCCTACCTACAGGCAAGAGAACCTATCTCAGCGCTGAGCCGGCCATTGCTGATCCGCTCATCCAACTCATCCGAATGATTGGTTTCAAACACCCTGATGTGTGTTTCCGTACAATCATATTCCCTTTGATCAACTCCGACTTGTTCTTGTCAGGTAGAGACCTGAAGATCGAACAGATGGAGCCTGAAAAAATGGTCATTGGAATCCGGGCCTTCCTTGCGACCATGTCCGATCTGGAGACAAGCGACCAGCTCTGCCCTCCGTTCCCGACAGGCTCTCTCCCCAATCCCTTCGTTGATACATCAAGTCCAACCTATTTCCATCGTCCACAGTTACTTGCTGAACCCAAGTTCGGTGTATCTTCCGAGAAGTTGGACCCGTCATCCTCCTGCCCGGTCAATATATTGAGACTGAGTGATAATGTCAAGGAATACTACCTCCGCTTCTGCGAAGTTCTTGGCAAGATCACGATTCTTTGTGACAACACATTCGGTGGCCAGGCGGCTTTGGATGAGAAGTTCGGTGGAACGACTCCGAAAACCCCAATTACTGAGGCATTTGGCTTTGGGCGACGTGATGACCATGTAAATACCTTGGATCAGAAACAAGGATTTTATGATCTGTTACATGTGGCCGTGCAAGCTTTGCCTCGTTGCCTCTCAGATCATATTCCGTTCAACTCATTGATCAATCTCCTTTGCACTGGAACTGCTCACGTCCAGTCAAGTATTGCCACATCATCGGCAGATTCCTTGAAGGCGATCGCCCGACAATCGCATGCTCAGCAAGTCACTATCGGCTTCGCGAGGTTTATATTTAGTTTTGATGCCCGGTATTCCACCATGTCTGATGAAGGAATGTTGGGACCCGGTCACATCGAATCTACATTAAGGCTTTATGTCGAGCTGCTAGGAATTTGGATTGATGAAATCAAGCAAAAGACGAAGGAAGCGTCCTCCGACCAACTTGAAAAATCTATTTCGGGCAGTCGAGCCCTGCACCTCGATTTGTCAAGTGTCCTTGCGCACGTGGAAGAGATTGAGTCTCATGGTCTCTTCTTCCTCTGCTCACAATCAAGACGAGTCCGAGCATTTGCTATCAATGTTCTTCGTCTCATTACCGAGTTCGACAGCGCTCTCGGTAAAGAGAACACACGAATCATCAGAATCCTAGAAGCTGACTCTCAGCAAATCCTGGACGTCAATGATGAGCAGCTCACCGTTGCCGAGAGGAGCCGGATCCAAAAAGGCAAAAGGATAAGCGCCTCGCAAAATACTCTCATTGAGTTGTGTAGCAGCGAGGTCTCGTATGACTCCACGCTGTGGGCTAAAGTTTTCCCGAATATTATTCGGGTTAGCTTCGAAACCTGTCCTTTTGCTGTGACCCTCGGAAGAGAGATTGTTTGTGCACGCCTGGTTCAGATGCACAAGCTCATCTCATCACTTGCAGAAAGCACGAGAGTCCCGCAATACCCTCCAATAGATGGCTACCAGAGTCGCCCCATGGGACGAAGCAATATGACTGCTGAGATTCTGGTTGAACAATGGAAACTGTATCTTGTCATGGCCTGCACAACGGTCACTAGTGTTGGTGCCCAATCGCAAAGTCAATTGGCGAATGCTCAACTGCATGCTCGCAAGACCTCCAAGGGAGCACAGTCGCAGTCACAAGATAAGATTAGCTCTGCACGAAGCCTCTTCGCTTTTGTCATCCCACTCCTTTCCGCCGAGCGGGACTCAATTCGAGCTGCTATAGTGATTGCTCTTGGGTCTATCGCCAAGAATCTCTATCGAACTCTGCTAGAGTCTCTCCAGTATGCCGTCACAACATGCAACGAAGAGGCTAAAATCCGGATTGGTACCCACCACCGCACCCCTAGCAGCCCTCGTCGAAACCGAAAGACGGACCGTCTCCGTACCGAAGTCACCCACGTCTACAAACTCACATCCCACTTCCTTCGCGAGCCCGATGTTTGCAATGACGACTGGATCGTCAATAACCTGGTCACGTATGCGAAGGATATCCGTATTTTCCTGAGTGATGCCGAGGTTCAGAATGATTGGGAGTACCAACGTTTACGGTTCCATTACTGTGGCTTGATGGAAGAAGTCTTTGAAGGTGTAAACCGAACCAAAGACCCGTCTCGCTGGATGCCCTTCGAATCCAGAAAATCCGCTTTCTCATTGATGGAAGACTGGTGTGGCTACTCTCCCAACCAGGCTCAGATTACCGAACGAGAAGAAAACATGCGCAAGTTTGCCATGGCCCAACCGCATGAAGGTGGTGAGATGCGGAATGCCGCTGCAGCTATGGAGATCGAGAAGAAGAATCTCCGGGCAGCCGCCCTGAGTGCAATGGCTTCACTCTGTGCTGGCCCGATTAGTATAACCACTGAAAGTGGATCGGTGCTCCAATTCGACGTCGGTCGTATGCTCTCCTGGATTGATATAATTTTCAATACTATCAGTGACAAGTGGCATTCAATCGGCCGTCGCGCCTTGAAGAACCTGATCATCCACAATATGGAGCATGCCTATTTGATTGAACGATCTATCGAGATGTGCTACGTGGCTGAGCGGCCCAAGGCGCTTGAAAGCTATTTCGAGGTGGTAACTGAAGTCCTTATCGAGCATCCAGACTACCCACTTCGATTCTGGAGAATCCTGGGTGCGGTTCTCGTAACCCTCGGTAATCAGAAGCGCGAGATTCGGATGAAGTCGGCCAAGCTACTTCGCCGACTTGAAGAGCGTCACCAGAAAAACTCACGGATTCAAGACTTTGATATTAGCATCTCGGATAAAACTACAGCGGTGTACAAGCTCGCTCAATTCGAAACTTCGAAACGACTAGCGAACCAACACTCGGACTTGGCCTTTACCCTGTTCTCCGAGTTTACCCAGCACTTCCGCAATGTTCGCCCTGACAGCCAGCGCAATATGGTTGCTGCGATCTTGCCTTGGGTTCAGACGATGGAACTGCAGGTGGATCCTAATGGTGGCCCAACAGCCAGATCCTACATGCTTCTCGCAAATCTGTTTGAGATTACCATCCGCTGCGGCACTATCTTGCCGAATCAGGTCCAGGCATTATGGCAAGCGCTGGCAACTGGCCCTCACGGAGGCAATGTTCAACTGGTTCTTGACTTCATCATTAGCCTCTGCTTGGAGCGAAAGGAACAAAACTTTGTGGAATACGCGAAACAGATCGTTGTATTCCTGGCAGGTACCCCCGCTGGTTCAAAAGTCATTGAGTTCTTCATGCTGCAAGTTGTTCCGAAGAACATGGTACAAGAGCGGAAAGATCTCACGCCACCTCCTGATCTCACGAGTTTGCCTTATGTTGCTGATCTTGCATCAGTACTTCCCGTGGGTAACAAACAAGCTGGTCTTTCTCTTGGACAGGTGGCCCTCATCTTCCTCGTTGATCTTATGGTGGCGCCTGTCACGCTGGCGATGGAGGACGTGATCAAACTACTCCACGTTGTACTTATCCTTTGGGATCACTATACCGTTACTGTGCAAGAGCAAGCTCGTGAGATGCTGGTTCATTTAATCCATGAGCTCATCGCTGCCAAGCTAGAGGACGATGCGCCTGCAGGCGCTCGACAGTCAATCGAAGACTTTGTCGAAGCGATTCGGAAGAGTGACCCAGTTGTCGTCTGGGAGTACGAGGAGAACAATGGCAAAGAGGAAGAAGTTGATGATCGTCGAGTACCGCCTGCAATGGCTGCAGCAACTCGCGATGTTATCAAGTTCTTCAGCTATGCTTACGAGGGTGTAGGTGAACTCTGGGCCAAAGAGGCGCTGAACTGGGCAACATCTTGCCCAGTTCGTCATTTGGCATGTCGATCATTCCAAATTTTCCGGTGCATTTCAACCTCGCTTGATTCACAAATGCTTGCGGACATGCTAGCCCGGCTTTCGAATACTATTGCAGATGAGGAAACTGATTACCAGACCTTCTCGATGGAGATTCTCACTACCCTGAAAATCATCATCAGCTCCCTGGCACCGGCAGATCTGCTGCATTACCCTCAACTTTTCTGGACAACATGTGCTTGTCTAAATACTATCCACGAGAGTGAATTTATCGAGACACTCGGTATGCTAGAAAAGCTCCTGGACTCCGTCGATCTCAGTGATCCTGCCGTTGTGGCACAGCTTCTTGAGGGGCAGCCACCTAAATGGGAGGGTGGATTCGATGGCCTTCAGAACCTAGTCTTCAAAGGACTCAAGTCTTCCAGGTCATTCAATCTCACGTTGGATATACTCCATCGCCTGAGCGGGCTTACAAATAACGCTCTCATTGGAGATGGCACTCGACAGCTGTTCACGATCCTGGCCAATCTGCCTCATTTCCTCGAGTGCTTTGATCAGGAGTTCGCTGATCCAAAGCCTATCAATCATGCTGGCTTGCTTGCTCGCGTGGCGGAGAATGAAGGGTGTCCTCGACTCGCAGCATCATTGTTCGGTTTTGCCAACCAACAGTACAAGACGGAGGCTGTGTTCCTTGATCATATAATAACGGAGATCAAGTCGTACTACTTCCCGCAGCTGGATTTCCAATGTCTCATCTTCCTGATGGGGCTTCTCACAAACACAACGGATTGGTTCCGAGTTAAAACCATGAAGATTCTCTGTGTCATGATCCCCGAAGTCGATATGCGCCGTACTGAAGTCACTTGCCACGGCCCCGATTTGATCTCACCCTTATTACGACTTCTGCAGACCAACCTGTGTCCACAGGCTCTTGAGGTCTTGGACAACATCATGACCGTTTCTGGTAACCCGATGGAACGTCATCACCTGCGGATGAGTATGGCGTCTGCGGCTTCTTCGCGTGCTATACGCAAAGAATACGAGCGGATCCAGAGTCTCTATGGAATTCCCGAACCCACAGGCTGGTCAGTCCCGATGCCTGCAACGCAGTCAACCATTACTCGCCATAATGTTCATGCTGTTTTCTACACATGTGCTGAAGCAGAGGATATGAACCAACGGGATACCTTGACACCCGATGTGGAATTCCGTGCCGATGAATATAGTGATTCGTTCTTCCCTATGAGAGCTGATACAATGAAATCCATCGACACTCAGACGGATGGTAATATTGGTGATATCGTCCAAAAACTGGACAGTCTGGATGATTTCTTCGAAGAAACGGAGATTAACGTTCCGACCCTCAACGCAGTGGCCCCGCCCATGCTACGAGGATTCACTGGAAGCTACGTCGATACCAACGCCCACCTATATGACCAGCAAACGGCACCTATCCTGCGCAAGTCCCTCGCTCGAAATGGCTCTACATCGTCATTCCACAACGGTCTTGCAGAATCTCGCCCAAACAATTTCCGCTTTGACGGCCCCGGTATGCCTTCTCCAGTGAGCGTGGTCTCTCAGGGTTCTCTCGGCTCAGGTCTTCGGCCTGTTTCCCATACACGGTCTGTCACCTCGCCTGCCAATAACCTCTTTGTCCACACTGCACCGCATGGTTCTCAATATACCCCGCCGGTGGGTTTCGGTGAATCAGCATTCTTCTCCGATGATGAGATTGAAGAAGCACACTCAGATATAGACGACCGCCCGACTACTGCAAGGAGGCTCGCCCATCCGCCAATGCCGCCCATGATCCGCAGTGCAACCGAAGGGGCCGGTTCCCATTCCATCGAGTCCATGATCCGTAGCGGCATGCGTCGACTGACTGGCGGCGCGGCCAACCGCGAAAAAGAACGCCAACGTGATCTTCTCCGCACCCAACATCGCGCCATGGCTCAAACGGCAAACTCTCCCCGCGTCCCCAAAGTACCCGAGGAGTACCTTGGAGGACCAACTAGCCACCCAACTTCTCCAAGGTAGTAAAGTCAGGGACTCGAACCTTTTTTTGTTTCTTTATTATCACCTTTTATTGCGCACTCTTCTTTTCTTCATTTTTGCTTTATTCCCCAGCTTGATCGATCATTTTGAGGGCGTTCTGATTTGTCCTCATATATCATACCCTCTTGCCTATTTATGCATGCCTCTGGGCACTCACTCATTGTTCGTGGTCTTTGACCTCAAATGCTGTCTGTATATTATATCTCTATCATGGATGTTGGTAGATGTGCTTTGATCACGGCGTTTGATATTCACGAAGAATATTATACAGAATAACCATTTTTTTCATCTCGACTACTTGATCCCTTTGCAGTCTTTCATAATCGTCAACTCCAGCTATCTATGGTAAATTTGAAAATCAGTACATACAACTATTCGAATATGTATATGTGTACCTTGTACCCCCGGTAGCGCTGCAAATCTGGTTCTAGCCAGGCATGTAAAAGACTATAGTACAAGATGAAGAGACGGCTCTAAATGGAATAAATTATTCAAAGGACAAACACTTTTGGCACGTTCCGATTTGAGAAATCCATTAAGTTCCGCTAAATCGGGTTTAGGTAGACCAGACATCTAATTTATCAGCTTCTGGCCCCCTCACGGCCCGTGTCCAGCTATACGTCATGCACATTGCTTGGACTATCAGTAGGCTGCCTTACACTCTGGCCTTGCTCTTACTGACTTCTAGCCTCAATTCTGAAATCTCACTCCTTACATAAATCATGAGCTACCACGACCCTCGCAATGTTCTCGATGGCGGAAATGGAAATGTGACGTCTTCCATCAGCCCGTTGTCTGGTAAATATGTTCCCAACAGACTCAAAGCACTATATTACGGACCCGACGTGGTTAAGTCTCACTTGCTGTCCTGCCTACCAACCGAAACATCGAAGGCCTTCATTGTTACGGGAAACTCTCTTGCAAACAAAACGCCTCTCATCAAAGGGCTCGAATCACTTTTGTCCAAGCACCATGCCGGAACCTATAGTGGAATCACAGAGCACTCCCCCCAGACCCAAGTCGAAGAAGTCGCCTCTCGATTAAACGAGGACCCGTCCATCGACACAATAATCAGTGTAGGCGGCGGCTCACCAATGGACAGTGCCAAAAACATTACCTACGTCGTCCACGAAGCAACAGGGAGATGGTTATCCCACATCACAATCCCGACAACATTATCAGCAGGCGAATGTACCCCAGGGGCAGGCTTCACCCGCGCAGACGGCGTCAAAGGCGTTCTTGTTAACCCCGCACTCTATCCCGACTATATCCTCTACGACCCCAAGTTCGGAGTATACACACCTCCACGCCTATTCCTCTCAACGGGGATACGGGCTTTAGACCACGCAGTTGAAAGCCAATACCACCAGTCGGTGACATACATCCCATCCAGGATCATGGCGTTGAGTGCTATAACCGAGCTCTTCCGACTACTTCCTGAATACGAGGCTAATCCCAAAGACGAAGATACCATCACGGCGCTGTTCCTAGCTGCGTATGCTTCTCTTGGGTTCTTTGGTCAGAATATGGGTAGGGGACTGGGGCTTTCTCATCGGCTGGGATATGCGTTGGGTTCGCCTTATGGGATTCCTCATGGAATCACCTCGTGTATAACCCTGGGACATGTGGTGAAGCTACAAGCGAGACAGGATGAGAAGAGCGCGGGTGAGATTGCGGCGATTTTGCCGTATATTGGAGAAAAACGGTCTGGAAATGATGTGGAAGATAGTGATTTGGTAGGAAATCGGATTTTGGGACTGGTGCAGCAGATTGGACTAAAGACTGATCTGACTATTAAGGGCGTTGGGAAAAATCAGGTGGATGTCATTTGTGCTCGCGCAACGAGACTAGAGGTGGGAGAAAAAACCATCGAGGAACCGAGGTTTTATAACTCGGTAAGAGAGCTGATTGAAGGTCTTTGGTAAAAAAGCTTTCAGCAGGCTTCGGGTATCATAAGCTCTGCTGCGAAAATATCGGCTGAGGCTCTGAAGGATTGGTAGATAAATGACTTACAGTCCTGGAGATATCTTGTGCACGCAGTAGTAAAAGTAATGTGATGGCTACGTGATGTAGTTGGTAGCGGTTAGTCTAGGCACTAGATTCTGGTGACCGACTCAGGGTACTCGAGGTTTCATTTTATATCAATTTCGGTAATAACTACTAACTATGCTACATTATGCTTAACATGATTTCTGATTCTCTTTATAGTATGAGACCCTGAAGACCCACCTTCCACTCGGTCCCGCTTCCCCGCAACGTTTGTGAGTGCGGAAAGCGTCGGCGTGCGGAGAAGAATGATCAGCCGAGGGCCTTCACCGTAAATGCACGTTATCTACGCTTCATCTTTCCATCGGCAATTTTGTGTTCCTCTCTATTTCCCGGACACTGAAACATAAGCTATGCATATTCGACTCACTTCTCCCCCTCGGGCTTGCCCTCGCACGCTCGGTATCCGTCGCTGGCCCACTGCGCAGGTCAGCTCGGCCAGAGCATTCTCAACAACACAGCATCGCGACGCAACATGGGGCTTTATTGGGCTGGGGCAAATGGGTAAGAAGAATTTTCCAGAAACAATTTGGCACCTCATTTGTAACATACGCGACTAATATGGAACAGGCTATAATATGGCCAAGAACCTACGCGCCAAAATCCCCGCATCTGACACGTTGATTGTGCGTGACGTCAATGAAGAAGCTGCTAGGCGCTTCCTGACAGAGGCAAAAGAAATCGCTCATAAAGATGGCGCTGGCGCCGATGAGATGCGAGTGGAAATTGCTGCGAATGCGCGTGAAGTCGCGGAGAAATCGGTGAGTAACACGTATTACAGATAGAAGTCTGCCTTACCAATATATATTACGTGTCCACAAGAACAACATTGCCATGGAAATTATGGCATGCTTCGAATCCTTTTGACTAACGATTTGAGCACAGACCGTCATCATCAGCAGTCTCCCCCAACCGGAACATGTGATTGAAGTATATCAATCAATTCTCAAGGATGGCAACCTCCCAGTACTGGAGCAGGAGCGTCTTTTCATTGACACGTCGACTGTTGATCCTAACACATCCAAGCAAATCGCAAACGCCATTCATACCACCCAAACTGGGCGATTTGTAGACGCTCCCGTCTCCGGCGGTGTGGTTGGTGCCCAGGCTGGTACACTATCATTTATGTTCGGAGCCTCATCAGAAACCGGGGCGCTCCTGGAACGCATCAAAAGCGTTCTCTGCCTGATGGGAAAGAAAATGTGGCATCTTGGCGAGCCGGGCTCCGGGGTTTCGGGCAAACTTGCAAACAACTACATTCTGGCAATCAACAATATTGCCACCGCCGAAGCAATGAACCTTGGAGTACGCTGGGGCTTGGATCCGAAGGCTTTGGCTGAAATGATCAACTCGTCCACCGGCCGCTGTTGGCCCTCCGAAGTGAACAACCCGGTTCCTGGAGTGGTTGAAACCGCACCCGCATCCCGTGGTTACCAGGGAGGGTTCGGCGTAAGCCTGATGCACAAGGACTTAAGGTTGGCTCTCACAGCTGCTGAGAAGTCTGGTACCCCCCTTGCTCTGGGAGACCACGCTCGTGAAGTCTACGAGGCCGTTGAGTCGGCTCATCGTGGAAAAGACTTCTCCGTTGTATACCAGTGGTTACAAGAAAAATCGAAATAGGTAATTTTATAGATCATTTCCTCTTTTGATAGAAATAGGCCTCGCCGTAATTGACTTATCTTCACCAAAATTATTGCTGTACTATCATTCCCAGAGACCATTTCTGAAATTTATTTACTGTCAGCAAAGTTGGAGAAGGCCACATGCGACTTGTATCTCAAGCTCATAAGATTGCTATGGAAAATAGTAGAAGCATAGGTGAGGAGAATGTAGTAAGGCAGGCCACTAGTCAGGCATTGCATCAAACAGTCCACAGACTATACGCCGATTTTGCAGGAACTAGCACACTATGACATAAGCATTACGCACACTTTAACTACTACGTGTACACACACCGTACTATGCACCAATTAAACACTACTGTATATGCCAGAAAACGAATTATAAGGCTGTGTTCACATTGAAAGAAATCCTCCACCCCCAACAGCAAAGAATAGGCTGCAGTCGAAAGATGGTCGAAAATGTACAACCAGAATATGAAGTTTCGCGATTATGATAGCAAGATGAGCCTTAGCTCCTGCAGTTTGATGTAGGGTCATGCAGCATACGCCAAAACCGGAGTATAGTCGTTGCAAACGCGGCTGTGATTCGATCGAAGCTCTTCACACTACGAACAATCATCATTCATGGCATAGACCAGTTTTGACCATGAAATGAGCATCTGCGATAATACATTAAAAGCTCTTAAGGGTGGACTACGCATAGTCCCAGCGACTTTAGAACCCTGGTCTCTATTCCTTTGAACACCAACAAATGCGGCGTAGACAAATAATGGAGGGGAAGATATCAAATAAGTTAATGAGGAAATCTCTCGTAAAGATCCCAGTACCGTGCGCTACTAACATACATAGCAGTTTCCTTACTAGTGGTCGTTGTGGTCATGTTTGTGGTTATCTCAGTGCATAGTATCTAACACTAATATATAGCTCCATCAATATTTGACCCTTGATATACCCCCGATGATCGAGCTTTTTCAGCCAGATAAGTGTGCGATACGTGTATGTACGAGCGGAGATGAGAATGGAGAGCACACATGTGCCGCATACATAATGAAAATTGACCTAGACCCTTAGGAGGATGGGATTGTTACTCTATTTTAAGCTGGCGAATTGATAGATTCTACAGCTAACACTGCAGAACCGTATTTTTCTCAGACTCGTGACACCCAGGACCTGTTTTAGGATTGGAACATCACTCGAAGCCTCCTCGAAATCAACAGTGACCCACTAAACGAACGCATTACTGAGCTTTTTCCTCTCCTATGTACCAAGGAGATTTTACATATTCCACAAGACGAAGGAACCATATATTTAGAGCCCATAATCTGTAGAATTCGTGAATATCTAGGCATCAAGTAATGGATTGATAATCAAGTATAATAGAGACATCGAACAGAATGGCCTCGACAGGACTCGACAGCATCACCCTCGAAGGCAACGACCAAAATACTCCGGAGTGAGCGGGTGAGACAGTGACTCAAGACTGCTAATGGCTAGGGGGTGATTAAAGCTTCTGAAAACTTGGCTTTATCTGCGTTCCAAGGTTTTCATGCAGTCGAACCGCTGCATTTTTGTGGAAATCAGCTCTGTAAATATGGAGAATTTACCTTCTGCATGGTACATAGTTAAAGCTTCAAATTTCACCTTCTATTGCTCAAGCCCGTCTAATATTACATATATGCTTATATGCTTATGTATGTTTACAGTGATAGGATTCGATTTCTGCTGTTAAAATTGAACTTTCATAAGCTGGTCGCTAAAACCCGGCGCAGTCCGACGGACAGACCAGATGATGATTATAGAGGACGATAAGGTATGTGACAAGGAAAACAACAAACTGGAGAAAAGAAAAGAAAACGGTCACAGCCGGTTTTGAACCCTGTCCAAGAAGAGCATCCTGAGGCTTTATAGTTCTCAACTTATTCCGGAACACTAGTAGTGCGGTTCAACCAATCACAAAGCGCAGAAAAGCGGAGACTCACTTGTAGAATATCGGATACTAAACCTTATTTGATCGATGGACAAGTCAGTGATATGATCAATTGATATACCCAGTGAAGATTGTGAACCACAATTACAGCCCTGCAGCTATCAATATGATATACTATCTACATCCTACATACGTACATGATAGAAATCATAGTCCATGTATATAGTATCAGTACACCAGACCGGATATTGACACATATCTAAAAGCAGCTGAATTGAGTTGCTGCACGCAACACATATACACTTATTCGCGCATCCATTCCATTGATCACATGTCCTAAGAGCTAATGGCCCCGATACATTGAATTGATAGCGCGCAATACTTGACAGCTATTTTCAGAATGAGGAATCATGCTGGCCAGGTGATATAGGAACCATTATCATCCAGTAAGACAAAATATAACAGAGTCCTATAATACTTAAAGGTTAAAGTAGGTAAGAGCTTATAGGGCAAGAGCAATTCTTCAAATACTTGCATTGTCGCAGTCGCCAGAGCAGCGGTAAGGAGTGTTAACCTAGAACGCTGCCTCTTGAACATACTAGTGTAGAAAAAAACTATCACCACCTATATAGTAGGCACGAACATCTATTTATGTATGTCTGTTTACTTCACGACTATACCTACTAGGTCAATCGGTAGCCACAGGATTGATATGCAATCTAAACAGTATGAAATTTACGTTCTGCACCTTAAGTTCGCACTGTTTAGTGCGAGGCGTTTCGATCCTTCACTTTTAAGCGTAGCCAGCTTACATTAAGTGACGAGACTCAACGCCACACCTAAAAACTGGTCCCAACTAGGCTCCTTCCTAAATGAAATGTCGACCGTCCACGTCTTTCATCTGACCCCTCTTTCCTCCATTGCTCCCTCAACTCTTCAACCTCACTTCCCTACCCCCATCCAAAAGATTCCTCACCTCGACGCGTCGAAAAGCATCTCGCATTCGCTCGTTTCGCTTTCCGTTTCGCGTTTTTATGCTTTTTTTTTTCGCTCAACTACTGAATCTGCCAGATCATCCGACCAAACACACCTCTTATTCCCCTCTTAGCTAGCGTTGGCTAACGGTGGCCGAACACCCATCAAACATCCCGGTCAGTGAGCACAACCAAGTGAGTGCAGAACGTGTTTCCTCCGATTCCTTCACATACTCTTACAAACCAACTGCATTTAGACAAGTAAGATGAATCCTCAGGGCCAAAACAACACTGGCCCCGTGGGCAATGGGTCCCAACGCTATCAACCCGTGGCATCTCAAAGCAATGATCCTCAAAATACTGCTCTTCGCCCAGTTGACTCCCAGAGCAATGGCCGTCAGAACAACGGCTCCACTGGTTCCGCACGTGCACAGCGCTCGGCCTTCAACAATAGTCAGATGCATTACGATCCTCGCACATCTCACTACCAAAAATCTGCAAGTGTCTCTATTCGTGATGGTAGCGGAAGAACCCTCAATCTTCCATATCGGCCACGAAATGACTCCAACGCCACAGCCGTCTCAATGAACAGCATGGACTTTAACCAAAATCCATACTCCAGCCCCTACATGATGGTACCCAGCTCTGGCGTTATTGGAGCGGTTTCGCAAGGCCCCACTTTCGTATCTACGCAGCGAGATCAAATGGCTCCATTCCAGTATTTCTATCCGAACATGCCTCCTCAAATTGTACCAAGTGGTTACCCTCCCTGGCCCTACCTGGTTAACTATGATGCCCAGAACCGACAAGCATGGGGCTCAGTCGATGGTCAGAACGGATCTCAAGCTGAAACTGGTCATACTATCTCATACTACCCCCCAGGCTTCGCCCCTTCTGGTTCTGGGATCCCTGGCTACCAGTATGGGCCCGTGATTTCAAATCCCGCACAGGGCCCTCTGAACAACATGCAGTTGATGAGAACCAAGAATGGTTATGAGATGACAAACTTGCTTGCTATTGTCCAGCAAGAGCCAGCGATTCCCCGTGCCGTGCCAGCGATGTGGACTAACCCTTCTGAGATGACACTTGCAAAATGCCTCGAAAACCGGGAGGGCATCACGAACGTTTACATCCGAGGGTTTCTTCCCGAGACTACGGATGAGCTACTGAGCTCATATGCCGCTCGTTTCGGTGAAATTGAGCGCTGCAAGGCGATCGTTGACTTAGAGACAGGTCTTTGCAAAGGGTGCGTTCACATTTTGATGTGACTTGCTGATTGCTGCTGACAATAACATAGCTTCGGGTTTGTCCAATACCATCATTTAGAGTCCTGCGAAAACGCCGTTCGGGGTTTCTTCTGGCTTGGCTATCAAGCAAGCTTTGCGCAGAAATCTCGAAACTCTCGCCTGAAGGATCTGGAAGATCGGTCATCTACAAATCTATACTGTACCAACCTCCCCAGCGGTTGGATGGAAGCTGTGAGTAAACGGATAATTGACTGCGGTGTTCTTATTTTTCATGCTGACAATACTATTCCAAGGATTTGCGTCGTCACTTCGAGCCTTACAATGTGGTTTCAGAGAAGATCAGCCGGGACGATACCACAGGTATGAGCAGGGAAGTGGGCTTTGCACGGTAAGACATGACTCTCAAAGGTGTGTAGCATCTTGTATTCATTGCTGAGTCTGTGCAGTTTTGAAAGTCGCGCAATCGCCGAGAAAGTCTTGAGCGAGTTCCACAATATCCCCTCGGCAAGTGGTGTGAAGTTACTGTTGCGTTTTGCGGATACCAAAGCTCAGAAGGTGCTGAAGCAGCAGAGCAATGATCGTCGTGCATACCGTGCAGGCGAATACAACTACTCTGTCGAGATGTTCAATGGATCTACTCCATCGCCTACACTGAAACGTACACAGAATAGTGGCAACATTAGCCACTTGACCCCCACGTCTGCGCTCAGCTTTAGCTCTCCAGCCGAAGTCGGCTCCAACTGGACACCGGCTAGTTCGATGTCCTCTACGTATGTTCCGAGAAGACTTGTTTCATATTTCCTATTTTCTTTTGTACTGACATATAAATAGTGGCGTCCTCAAGCGCGTTCCTACCAATGTGCGCCCAGGATTATCATCATCCACTCGCAGCCTCAATGGTCTTGAGAACACCCCTGTTCGCCGTCGCCCTTTCCTAGGCCGCCGTTCGTTGACTGATGTTTCTGGTCTTTCTTCCAAGACAGTGGTGCCCTCATCTTCAGGCGCGAAGCCTCTGTCATACAAGTCGAGTTCTCAGAAAGAAAACATCAAAGCCGGGTCAATCTCACCGTCTCCATCGTTTATGGAATCGGACGTGGAATACCGGGAATCTGACATGGAATCAGAAATGGAATGCCCCATTTCTTCTGCGCGTTCCTGCACTTAAGCAGGAACAACAATTCGAAATCTTCGGGCTTCCTATCAAAGCCCTGTCAGCACTTCTTGAGATTTTTTAGTTCTTCCTATCTTGCGAAGACCCAAACCATGCCTTATTTTTATGGGTCGGATCAGATTTCAAATCGTACTTGTTGACGTGTACTTTCGACATGCGATCTCATTTGAGGTTTGACTTTTCTGATTTCGGTTCCTTAACGGTGGTTTGGGTTTCTCTGATTTTCGTTCTCGACGGAGATCTGCGTCTTTCGTATTGTTATGAGGTGGACGCCACACTCATTCTTATCTCATTTTCAACCTACGGGTGGTATGCTTAACCGCAAAGCAATCATCTCCCTGGAAGATTCTGAGCTTTCCTTTCGGCGTTTTTCACGTCTTTCGTATTGTTATGAGGTGGATGACACAACTTATTCTTATCTCATCTTCAACCCACGGGTGGTAATACACAAGTGAGGGGGATGAATGTGACTCACTTGACTCACTTGACCAATTTGCATCTTTCATATTGTTATGAGTTGGAGACCACCCGCTTTTCATCTGATTCGTTCTCGAGTGATGGTTTACGTCTCGCATTTATGGGGTGGGAATTGCACAGTCCACGGCAAAGGGTGTTGCAGAGTGGGCAAAGGAGATGCAGTCTCGCATGGCAAGTCAGATAGGCGACGATGCTCTTATCGACCCCCGCTAAGCGGTGTTTCTACTCTTGTGTCTAGGCCATGTTTCGACTGGCTACATCGCGTTTTTGTATCTCCCGGCACGTTCGGCGCTGACTTCTTTGACAGCTGCACACCCACCCCAATTCTCCATTCGAATCTTGAATCCTTATCGATCCATAGAAGCACCCTTTCTCCTTGCCTTTCATATCCCTCATGGTGGATCCGTTATTTTCATCTTAGGATCTCTAGCCTTTTATCTCCCTCTCTCTATGAATCTTAGTTGTCCTAGTTTAAATGTCTTTTCTGGTTTCCTATTGTTCAGCCATAAAAACCTTGGAAGCATCCCTTCCGCAGTATTGGTAATTGGGGCATTTCTTTTTGTAAATCACTCGGCAATACCTTAGTGGGTACTCGTAGCTCAAGGTATAGTCTAGTATGAAGTAATTCCACAAAATTCCGCGAGTATCTTGACTCAACAAGTAACGCAATCTATGGATGAAGCAAAAGGACCCCAAGAAGATGCCAGAGGGAAAAAACATTCCAACATACTGCAATTTCCAAAGTCAATCAATTCCGACCAAGCCTCTCTTCCACGTCTTGCATCAGCTTATAAGCCGGTAAATAAACCCCCTCGCCATCCTTCTCATCCTCCACCTTCAGGCGCGGATTTGGCAACGTATCCGAAGTTCCCCCAAGACTGGTATACCCCATATCATAGAGCTGACAATATTCCAACCCAAGATGACGAATGAACGCCCAGATTTCGGCATAATGCCAATCAATGACCGGGTGAATGCGCATGAAATCAGGCCATCCACCATCGGTTCGGTCGAAATGCGTTAACGTCGCCCCGTGCGGATCTGTTCGTCGAGTGCCCACAAATATAGCACGAACGTTCGGATGACGTGCGAGGTAGTCTTCAAAGCTGGAGCGCAGAGTTGTATGGGGTGGTTCGGTAGTGTATTTGGTTATTGAGAGGTGATAAGCTTGTGCGGAGCTGATAACGAAGTCTTCCACCGCGGGGAATGGATCAGGAGGAAGAGCATATATGGCAGGGATGACAGGATTATCGATCGAAGTATTGGTATCCGCGGATGCCGCATGGCTACTGTATGGGTGGAGACCAGCCAGGAACAAGACAAGGAGAACGAGACAATCTTTGCCTCCGTTATAGGACAGCGACAGACCCGAGAGTTGGTACTGGGCCACTGCGCTTGCGACGACTTCCAATGAGGTGCGGGTTTGGCGCTGGACCGAGGCGAGGAGCGAGTCGGGGGGATGTGACTCCGCTAGGAATGCATGCACACGGGCGTGAATGCGCTCGATCACGATCGGGAGCTGAGGGATGGCGTCGGCATTGGCATTTGTATATTCTGTGCCATTGTGGGCATGTTGATGAGCTGACCCATTTTCTGGATCGGCGTTTGTCGCGTGTGTGTTATATTCGGTGGTCTTGTCGGCCCCGCGTTGGTTCGGGTTCGAGCTAGGTCCTAGGTTGAAAGGGCGTAGGTGTTCGAGTGCCTTCGAAAGTGATTGAGGGGAGATAGTAGGCTCTAATGGCCGTTGAACTAGTGCTGGCTCGGCCATTATGTTGGGGGAGAAAATGACAGACTTGAGGTCGAGGCGGGGGAGAAGTGGGTTTCTCGGCGCTCGGAATCCAGAATATGATCTAATCCCATGTGGGGATGGACGGTGGGAACGGGAAACACGCCAAATGATTGATTCTAGAGAATTGTAGATTATAGACATTTATCTTTGAAAGATGTCTTTCAAGACGATAAGATGATGGAGTGAATTGTCCATTCTATCTGTACTCAACCGTGTATGCGCCGAATCTTCTAGGTTTTCCCCGCGCCGCGGCTTATCGGTAGAAGTGCATAGAGCCCCGTAGATGCAACGCGATGCAAGTTACCGTGGTGGGTCGATATGAGAAGTTGGCTTTCATTAATACGAAGGTATCGTTGTATTAGACTTATCCAAGTACCTTCATCTTCTTTTTCTTCTTCTTCTCGTCGCCTTTCCCCTTCTTCCAGTCCCGCCAACTGCCAATGCGCTCTTCCCGGGTGTCTTCCCAGGCCTTGTCATGATCGCGTTTCCTTTTGCGCGCATCAAGTTCTTCTTCCTCCTTGCGCTTCTCCCGTCCCTCTTCCTGCATACGCGCCTTGGCTTGTCGGCGCCGCCGTGCCTCCTCCTCTAACAAGACGTGGACGGTCTTCTGTCGCCATTCCTTCTTGAACTCGTCGGTCTTCAGCTCCGGCGAGTCAACAGTGTATTTGTGTTCGCGAATTAAGAGTCGTCGTGCGTCTGCAATGCATTCGTCGAGGTAGGTGCGCTCCTTCTCATCGAGGAGCGTAACTTGTGCCTTTTTAAGACGATCAAAGGCATCTGGCGCCGCCGGATTCTTGGTCTTATCCGGGTGAATAAGGAGAGATTTCTTGCGATATTGGATCTTGATGTCCTTTTCAGGAACACCGGGCTGTAGGTCTAGGACGGCGTATCTAGCGAAGTAATTGGGATTAGTAGAGTCCAAGTAAACACCGAGCCAACTCACGCGTCGAGAGAAAACGCCTTGCGGATTCGATCGATCTCCGCATCCTTGGTGAACTCAGAGGCTTCGCGCTCCAGCGCATCAAAGATGTCTTGATCGTCGTCTTCAGCCATGGAAAGTCGAGGTTCTTGAGGTAGTTTTGGAGGAAGATCTTATCTCGAGCCCTGGAGGGCTTATCGGCGGATGAGTCAGCAACCAAAAAAAAAAAAGATAGCGATTAGAATTTACATCTCAAACTATTTGATTATCACATCAACCACAATTATGGCTCCGACAAAGGCGTCTCGTGGGAAAGCTCCCAAATCCCATCATGACTCTGGAAGGACCATGAAACGCAAGCGCGGTCAGGAAGACCTTACCTCGCTCATCCAGCGTGTCGAGGACCTCGATCTCAAAGCCGCGGTCAAAAACTTCTCCGATCTGCCTCTCTCCGAACCCACCGCCGATGGCCTGTCTGCCTCTCACTACAAGGTCATGACTGACATTCAGTCGCGCGCCATCAGCTCTGCTCTCAAGGGTCGCGATATCCTCGGTGCCGCCAAAACCGGTAGCGGAAAGACCCTGGCCTTCCTCGTCCCCATCCTCGAGAACCTGTACCGCAAACAATGGACCGAATACGATGGTTTGGGCGCGCTGATTCTTGCACCAACTCGCGAATTGGCTATCCAGATTTTTGAGGTGCTGCGCAAGGTTGGCCGTTACCACGCCTTCTCCGCTGGCCTGGTGATTGGAGGAAAGAGCTTGCGCGAGGAACAAGACCGTCTTGGACGCATGAACATTCTGGTCTGCACCCCTGGTCGTATCCTGCAGCATCTAGACCAGACGGCCATGTTTGAGACCAACAACCTCCAGCTTCTGGTCATGGACGAGGCCGATCGCATTCTTGACATGGGTTTCCAGAAGTCGGTGGACGCTATCATCGACCATCTCCCCAAGGGACGCCAGACCATGCTCTTCAGTGCAACACAAACCAGGAAGGTCTCTGATCTGGCTCGTTTGAGTCTCAAGGAGCCTGAGTATGTCGCCGTTCACGAAGCTGCAGCTTCAGCTACCCCAGCAACTCTCCAGCAACACTACGTGATCACCCCACTCCCTAAGAAGCTGGACACCCTGTGGAGTTTTATTCGCAGCAACCTCAAGTCAAAGACGGTGGTGTTCCTGTCTTCTGGAAAGCAGGTGCGGTTTGTCTACGAATCCCTACGTCACCTCCAGCCTGGTATTCCATTGATGCATCTTCACGGCCGTCAAAAGCAGGGTGGTCGATTGGACATCACCACCAAATTCTCCCAGTCACAGCATGCCGTGCTCTTTGCGACAGATGTGGCTGCTCGTGGTCTTGATTTCCCTGCTGTGGATTGGGTAATTCAGATGGATTGCCCCGAGGATGCTGACACCTACATTCACCGAGTCGGTCGGACTGCTCGATACGAGCGAGTTGGTCGTGCCGTGCTGTTTTTGGACCCCAGCGAAGAGAAGGGATTCCTGAGCCGACTTGAACAAAAGAAGGTTCCAATTGAACGCATTAACATCAAGGCGAACAAGCAGCAGAATATCGCCCACCTGCTTCAAAACATGTGTTTCAAGGACCCAGAACTCAAGTACCTGGGCCAGAAGGCATTCATCTCATATGCGAAATCAATTTACGTGCAAAAGGATAAGGAAACTTTCAACATCAAGGAACTCGCATTGGAGGAGTATGCGACTAGCTTAGGCCTGCCTGGTGCTCCCCGCATCAAGTTTATCAAGGGTGACGATACCAAGGAGCGTAAGAATGCTTCATGGAGGATGGCGCATCTGTCCAGTGGATCGGAAGACGAGGACGAAGAGGACTCGAAGAAGGACAAAAAAGACGAGAAGCAAGTCCGCACCCGCTACGATCGCATGTTCGACCGACGCAACCAGGACGTGTTGGCAGACCATTACTCGAAGCTCATCAACGACGATGGCACACTTATCGCCGCCGGAGCTGGCAATGGCGCTGGCGAAGATGCAGACGAAGATGCGGATTTCCTGTCTGTCAAGCGCAGATTCGAAGTTGGCGACGATACACTCGGCCAGGGTGCTACCGACTCGGAAGACTCGGAAGTTGAGACAAAAACCAAGGTGGTCAAGCTCGATGGCCAGGATCCATTGGTCATCGACTCCAAGCGTCGCGAGAAGCTGCTCAAGTCGAAGAAGAAGCTTCTCAAGTTCAAGGGCAAGGGTACCAAGCTCGTCTACGACGACGAGGGCAACGCCCACGAGGTCTACGAGATGGAGGACGAGGAACAGTTCGCGGCCCGGGGCGACGCGAAAGCCCAGCGCGAGCGCTTCGTGGCAGAAGAAGCCGAGCGCACTCGCCGCGCCGATATCGACGACAAGGAAGTGGTGCGCGAGAAGAAGCGCGAGAAGAAGGAGAAGCGCAAAGCCCGCGAGCGTGCTCTTGCCGAGGAGGAGGCTGGTTCAGAAGGCGAGGGTGGCTTCCAGCTTCCGTACATCCCCTTCAAGGACCCCATGGAGTCTGCATCCGAGTCCGAGCGGGAAGACTCACGTCCGGGCAAGAAGGCTCGGGTGTCCTTTGCCGGATCGGACAGCGAGGAGGACCGACCGAGCAAGAGCAAGAAGAGCAAAACCGCTGCCGCGCCCCAGATCGAAACTTTGCAGGATCTGGAAGCGCTGGCCAGTGGCTTGCTGGGTTAAATGCGTATTTCATGAACTGGGTTCGCTGTGGCGTTGTCTGTTTTCTCTGGTTGGTCTGTTTATGTACTAGCGAAGCCTTAAAAGCATTGATTGTATCGTATTGCATGTGTATAGTGACCAAGGAATGACATCTATTCTACTATTTATACCACCTTTCTCATACTCACATCGTCTGCCCACTTGACAGATCCTGCAGCTTCCCCCAGACCTCATTGTCCGCTATCTGTCGATTACTCAAGCTATTCCCCTCTTGCAACGGACCCGGATCATTCAAGATCTCCACCTTTCTCACGGTCTTCCCCACCTCCAGCACAGTTCCACCCTCATACTCCGGATTCAACACCAATTGCAGCATCTGCTCCGCCACATACTCCGGCGACACCCACTCATCTTTATCCTCATCAAACATATGTCGATCTCTTGACTCCGTCCATAGAGGAGTTTTGATTACCCCTGGAGCGACAGCATTAACCCGAATCTTGGTTAGACCACGCCCTTCGGGAGGATGATCCAGCATCGCGAGGGATCGCACGAATCCCGAAATGGCATGTTTGCTTGCTGCATACATAGGGCAGAAGAAATTTGCATGTTGAGCTGCCACACTGGAGATGTGCACAATGAAGCCGTCTGTTTTGGCTTTGGTGAAGTGCTGAATTGCTTGTTGTGACATGCGCACTGGGTGCGTTAGGTTGATATCCAGGGTGGAGTAGCGAGAATCTAGCGGATCGTCGCGAGATTCTCCAGTTCCTGGAGGGACCCAGAAGTTGGAGAATGACTAGAAGAAGCATAGTTAGGAGCTGTTGTACGTTTCGGACGTGGGATTCCTACCGGCTCGAAGATTCCAGCTCCGGGACAGACTATGTCAATCCTACCAAATTCTTCCTGTGCTGTCTTGAATAAAAACTCGATGTCTTGCCAGTTACGCACATCGGTGCGATGAAAGATAGCTGTTGGGTGTTTAGGAATGGAATGAAGCTTGACCAGCTCCTCTGCCTCGGGACGTAATGCTAGATCGCCCAACACGACATTGCAGCCATGGTCTAGCAAGATTTTTGTGAATGCAAAGCAGATCCCTGATCCGGCACCCGTTACAATGGCGGTTTTACCTTGAACGAAAGACATGATGAAACTGACAACTATTTGGCTCCGAAAGAGATGGATTTTGTACGTCTTTTAAAGCTAGTTCCCCGCACATTTCAACTATGCACATCCAGATTGATTGGTGCGGAGAGTGGTGCACCGCAACCCCATATATTACATAAGAACATCGTCGTCTGTCTGCGTTGTTTTGATAGACTATTCGAAATGATCTTAACTTCTAGTGAGATTGTCAAAATATTGGTCCTGAAGAGACACGAAATGAATACAAACGCTTTTCTATACATACATTGGCCAGCTTCATTCATTCCAGCATGGTCTGAGTCTTCTCTAGGTTTTGTGATGTATACAGAGATTCCTTTCTTGGAAGGAATGCCGAGGATGTTAACCCATGGACATGAAGTGGGTCCAGGAACATCCCAAGCGAAAAGTTAACTTAATATCAGATTTAGGGGTCTAAACACATTGGAATTTTCATTCACTACAAAATGCCTCCAATTCTCTACCTGGTCCGCCACGGTGAAGGCGAGCATAACGTCAATGTATGTGATAATAATTAAACGATGATCTATCTAACAGTCTGCAGGATTCTCACCATCTTCGTGACGCGCATCTGACTGAGACAGGCAAGACCCAATGTCGTGACTTGAGAGATAATTTCCCTTACCATGACGAGGTATCTCTTATTCTGGCATCTCCCTTGAGACGAACCATTCAAACCGCAGCGCATTCTTTCCAACCAGTTTTAGAAAAGCGTCAGGTACCCTTCGTCTTGGTTCCCAAGGCGCAGGAAATCAGTAAACAGCCCTGTGATATCGGGCAGGACTCTGATGTTTTGAAGGCTGAAATCCCCGGACTGATTACTCCGGGAGCTGCCTGCTTTGACCAGGCGAATTTGGACACGAGTCTTTTGGAAGATGGTTGGAATTCAAAAGTAGTTCACACCAAGAATGAATTACAGGAATATTTCTGACTAGAGATTAAATAGAAAGGCATATACGCTCCAACGTCTGCAGCGGTTCGAAAACGTGCAGCTGAATTGCGAACTTGGCTATGGAGACTTCCACATGAGCATGTGGTCTTGGTGACACATGGAGCTTTCCTGCATTATTTGACAGAAGATTGGACATTTTATGACAGGCAAAGAGGTATACCTCATTTTTGATTACGGACTTTATTGGAAACTCACATTCATAGGTACTGGTTACCGCAATTGCGAATATCGACGATTCACTTTCACGGAGGATTCCTCTTCAACGGAGGCACACCTGCTTGAAGTTGGAGGAAGCTCCGTCAAGGTTGATAGGCCTCTTGGTGTAGACATCCATGTGTTGCATGAGGTTGAGGAGGTTGAAGCCGCAAAATAGACGGGAGGAAATTCCAAACTAGCGTTCATTTTCTTCTATTTAAATACTTTTGAAGTATATAGATTCGACAGATATTTCAATTGCCTCTTTTTATTGCATACCTACCTATTCCCTTAAAGAGTTCAAATTGCGAGCAAAGCTCGTCAGCATGTTATCTGTGGTGGACTGCTGCCCAATTAAGTATGTAAGCCGAGCGCTCTCTAATTTGATACTGACGGCTACATTGTCGATGCAAGGGAAATGCAGTGGTACTGGAATGCACAGAGACTAAAATAAGGCAGGTTTGACTCCATCTCCACCTGATCCCTCAATTGGGCACTTGGCTTGCCGTTCTCCCTTTCCGTATATAGAAGGAATGCCGAGTGTGCATATGATCTAGTCCGAGATCAAATACAGAATGAATTGAGTGAAGTGACTGTACATCGAAATTGAGGGATCCAATTCTGTCGTTCTCAGGAGACGTTGTTCGACTTCTTCGTCTTCGTGATACACGCAAAATTAAGGTCCACGCTTGTCTATCTAACCCTCCATAAATTGGGTACATCGCAGTAAAATTGGACATACGGTCGAAGACCCCAGCCCCCGACTTTTCTTCTCCTTCCACTTCTGTTCTAATTTACTTCAAGTTCGCTAATTATCATTTGAAAAGCCCTTTGGATGGAAGATTCGACTGTTTTTTAATAATCCAAGAAATAAGGTAGGAGCCGTGGTAGGATACTGGGTGCAGCTAAAGGGCGTCTTGAATAAATCATGTTTTTTTTTTTTGAGAATTCATCTTTGCTCACTCCGTATGGTCCACTAAACACTCACGAGAAGACTATGAACAGATATCGGTTAAACTATTGTACTGGGGAACGATTGCAGGGTGATCGATTGTCGTCGCGGTAGAAGGATTCGTAACAGTCGTGCATTTATAAGTATCGCCATCGTCGCTGGTATCAATCACAACACCGTCACTGTTTTGGTTGAATGTGGAAGTCTGGTCACAAAATGTTGTTTGGGTGTTCGCAGTGGTGATACTATCACCATTCGCGAAAGTCCCATTAATGACTATAGGAGAATCTAGCCCATCATAATTGATGGCCCAGAAGATGTACTCGTAACTAGTGTATACTTGAGTGATTCTACCAGGCTGAATCCGACCGAAGTGGCCGAAGCAGTGGCGATGGTTGAAGTTTCTGTGACTGTGATCGTGTAACCGGACCAACGAGTGGCATCCCATACGCTTCGCTGACTGATGATGATGCTAGAAATAGAAGCATAAACAGATGCTGCCTGTATCGGCTCCGAGACACATATGAAGCTATTCATAGCAGTAGAATAAGTACCAGTGGTACTGATTGTGGTTGTGGTGGTGGATGGAGTGGCCGAGCATCCTTCAGTAGTTGCACATTCCGTCTAACAGGCGTCAGTACGAAGAAATATGGTGCACGAGGTATGATACCATACCCCTTATTTCCTGCATAATTGCCTAGAGAGGACATGGATAAATTATTGTAAATTACAAAGAAAATTTTGGCTGTTTTATATTTGTTTTATCAGTTATATTTAGGGATATTATAGAGATATATATCTATACCTAGGGACTACTTGTATTTTCCTAGCCTTAAGAACCTTCTACTTTTTTCTTCTAAAACTAGCTAAAATAGTGATTTTTAATATATTTTTGATTAGAATTAATAAATTATGTCCTAATTCTCCTAAAACTTTATATTAATATCAGAGATATTAAGGAAAATATTAAAGAAATATATATCAGCCTACTTATCACATGATTAATTTTACTAAAAGTTGAACTCCTAATATAGGGGTTTAACTTAACTAATCGTATTTAAAGGTAAAAGAGAGGGCGAGGGGGGGTATTAGTAGTAATTTTCCTCTATATCTTAAATCTTCTATACATTGTCAATACAGCCGAAAATTCCAACAAATTTATGCAGTCATGTGATTCTTCCTACTCTGACTAGATCAAGTCCCATGGGATCCTATGGGACTAGCCTTTTTGTCTAAATCCCAGAAGCAGATTCCCATGGGTCCACGTCCCATATTCCCAGGTCTAGTCTCGGCGAACAGGAAATTTTGCTGACTCAGAAATGCTTCAAAACTCTCTTTCGATTGATCCCAATTACTATCATCTTCAGATCATCCTTCGAAGGTGACCTCAAAATGTACGACAAATCTGTCAATATCAGACCTTTCCAAAACATCCGTTACTTTTCAGACCTCGACCAACTGCCAGCTCAGCCAGTCCTGACTGTACTCAATTTTTCCTTTCACCCTGGAGTCGATATTTTAGCGCAATCACAGCCTGAGTATCTACTATGGAGTACGTCCTTGGACTTCGTGTCGACAATTCCTGGATTTCAGGGTCTATATTGGGCACCGGCAAACGATGCACCGTCTCAGCAGATTATTGTTCTTATTCAGTGGAGCAGCCAACATCACTGGAAGCTATTCCAATCCTCTCTTGGGTTCAGTATGATGCTGGGTTATATTTCAAATATATCCAATCGCTGTATTCAGCTTGCTCTCCCTGTGAATCTATCTGGTTTTGTCTGTTACCTCGAGCTGGTTTCGTTTGGGTTTCCAAGGCTATCTACTACCCAGTTTGAAATGGCAAAGTTCAAAGCCAAATGGGACATAACATTCTCGTCTCATTTAGATCACGCTACTACTGAGGCCAAACTGATATGGGCCTGTGGGGAATGGCTGGAAAAAGACCTTGATTCTGAGGATGAATTCTTTATCGGTTTACTCTTCTGGAACTTAGACGCACAAGGAGCTTTTCCTCAGCTTATTCGAGGGGCCAATGCTTATAATATTACAGAAGACTTGGAAAGGCTTAAGGGGGATGCAACAGAGGTTATTTCGACTTGCACAAATCAGCTGGACTATGTGTCTTCTGATTTCTCTGGGTCAAGATCAGATGATCTTTTTCCAGATCACGCGCAAGTTCAGACTGATCACCAACTGTTCAAAACCCCGGTGAAGCCAAGGTACAACGCGAACAAATCCACACGTCGAGATGGTAAAGATATATTTCATCAAGAAAGCATGCAAGATGCAATGAGAAAGGATCGCATTGGTTGTGCGCCTGCAGGTGTTTGGTACCCAATGGGACTTATATCTCAACATTATTTGCCTCATCAACCAGACTACAGCAATAAGGCCAGTATGGAAATGATCTCTTTCTCTGCTCAGACTGGAAATGAACGGGCAGTAACCTCATTTGCGGATCTTCGGAAGAGATTTTGGGAGCTATATGATCGTCCCAGCTTGCCTGGGGAAAATGACTCAGGACGGCAAAGATAACATTTTGCTATTCATGTGTAGGTTTTCCTTCTTTCTATGGAGGGGCAAGTCTCCGAAACGCTAACTTCACTGTAATTGAAGATTTAGAGAAGCCCAAGCACTATGAAGAAGAAACAGAAGTCCAAATGGAGCGCTTCCTTCAGGCATTCTTGAATGAAAATGGCGGTTCTATACAGAACTTATACCATAAAAGAATTGTCGGTCCAAGGCAATTCGATTTTCTTTGGAATATGTAAATTACCACATTTGATGTTCCAGCCAACGAGTGGCGCTCGTTTGAATATGCTTATTCTAACTACATGCAGTATGTATACCTTGGCACACGATTTCTTACTTTTTCCCTTACTCCTTTTTCTAAATACTGATGACTGATTTATGAAAATAGTACTACACGTCAACAACATTTGATACAGAGTATGACCAGCCCCTGGGATTCTTTAAGTCCAATCCACCAGGGATGGGTTGCTAGCAAGCGACCTGAAATTCATTTCACTCTGGCACTGCAACAAGGAAGGAGCCCGGGATGAATGGTATGACGATTTTGCCACGCGAGCTCAAACTGAGTACGATCTCCTGGGTCATATTGTTGATTGGTTACGGATTATATGCACGAGAATCAGTGTGCAGTATGTGGTATTTGAAAAGGAAGATCCTTGGATCACTGCATACAAGTTGGAGAAGGACAGATTGAAAAAGGAAGCTGCTCGGATCGCTAAAGAAAAGTTAGAAGAGCAGAGGCGCGCAGATGCGATTATTCCGCCATCTATCTTTGACATACCCTGGGCAAAGTCCAGGTCTTCTTAATTAGTTGAGCCTTCTTAAGTAGTTGAACAGTGGAATAATTGATAAACCCAGGTCATTGACAATGCTTTCTTCGAAATGAAATCAAATAGACTTTACACACTTCTCACCCACAGACGATATCACAACCAAGAAGATCAACATTGAGACTGTTGATGTCACTACCAGTCAGACAACCACAAACTGCTGACTTCACTTCTACCGAGACAGCATCCGTGACAACCACGGAAACCTCGACAACGACCGTCGACGTGACTGAAGTAGCAACAATTACCTCGACATCTTCAATCACTGTCACTACTACAGCACCTGTCACCATGGAAACCACTATTTTGAATACAGTGGATGTGACCAGCACCGCCTTTACCACCTCAATCGTTGACTTGACCATCACTCAAACAATTTCAACAACTAAAACTATAGCTGCTACGGTCACCTCAACTGCCACCAGTTCGCCAACCTGCGGTGTGAACCTCGTTTCTAACCCCAGTTTCAGTGGCGCGACTCTCTCCCCTTGGACCTGGAGTGGCACCAATGGCGGAAGATATAGCTTTGTTGCCGAGGGTACCACCTATGCAATCAATCTCTATGGAACTGGATGCTCATCAGCCATTACTCAAACATTGGCTACAGTCACCGGAGAAACATACACATTCAGCATGCACTATTACTTGATAATTGGAGTGACTCCAAACACCCTCGTGTGTAGTTTCGACAATTCCGATGGAACGTCCTACTCTATGGAACCGGCGCTAAAAATGTTTGGAAAACGTTCACGTCCACATTCATCGCATCCTCATCTTCCACCACTCTCAAATGTGAATTAGAGACCACCACATCTGCCGGGTCTGCTCTTCTTGACGCCATCTCGGTTGTGCTACCATGTTGATCAGGGAGGGGGTATTGCCAGAAATTCTCTTGCCTATGTTGACTTGATCCCCTTTTCTGTATATGTTCGAGGCATTGATCTAGCAATTTACTCTAAACTGATGATTTTATGAGTATATGGATCACAGTAAAATGCTGATAGCATTTCTGAAGTGACTTTGGAGATGTTGACCTCCTTCCTATTTGGGGACATTGACACCCGAGGAAGCTGGCAAAAAGACCCGAGAATTTCCAATCCTATTGACACCTCATCTTCAAGGTGTCTATCTAGTATCAATTGATGCGAGGTCGCTGCTTCACTGGAATTCATGACCTGTTCTGTTGACCTTATTTATTGCTTTGTAAACAGCTTATCTACCTATTTCTGTGCCTTTCCAAGGTTTTTCATAGAGTGAATTTAAGCCTGGGCGAGTCCTTCCCCATGACATTTGAACCACATACAAGAACATCCAAATAGTACTTTTGTCACCTAATATTATCTTGCAATCACTCATTCCTTCATACAATTCAAGAACCTCTCTACTGAATACTGGTGAAACCTTGATTTGCCCCTGCAGAACGGTAGTTTGGGGGACAATGTTACCCGCGCCACGCAAATGAGTGGATCCGATTGAATTTTTCTCTTGTCATCGCGTGCGGGCCTTCCCGGTCCAACCATAGAATCGCGCGAGCACGCCATCGTAAAAATCATAGTTTGGAGAGTTCTGTTTTCTGTCGATCGAATATGGGCTTCTCTTTTTCCCTCACTAGTCGTTGGCGGGTGAAACAGTTTAGCGTTTCTCATATTGAAGAATCCGGGGTAGCCACGTGCAGGTCACGAGATCTCTGGTGAGTCGATCTATGCCACTTCGGAAGCAGCAAGTGCAAGCAAGTACGGAGTATGAGACGGACACTTATATGAAGCACAGATTCATCCTACCCCCAGCTGTCCAGGTGTCATTATAGCTTTTGTTGTTGGATCTAGTGATCCACTTCTGTCACCATGACTTATATGCCGGATCCTGAGAAGCATGCGCCTGTTGAGGAGTATGGTGATGTTGCTGATGGCCTTGGGTCGACTCCTCTGGTCAACGCGGACAAGCTTGCTCGTCGCCTTTCTGGCCGTCAGGTGCAGATGATCGCCATTGGTGGTACGATCGGTACCGGTCTGTTCTTGGGTACTGGCTCGTCACTCGCCACTGGTGGTCCTGCCTCGATGTTGCTCGCATATGCGATTTGCGGTGCTATTGTCTTTATCACCATGCTGTCTCTGGGTGAGATGGCTGCTTTTGTCCCCGTTGCTGGATCCTTTTGTACATTTGCGGGGTGAGTTACATTGATCGTCGATCCCTGCCGTTCGAGATACTAACTTTTCTGTTAGCCGCTTTGTGGATGATGCTTTGGGCTTTGCTTTGACTTGGAACTATTGGTTCAATGATGCTGTTTCGACAGCCTCGGATATCATCGCATTGCAACTTCTGCTAGAATTCTGGACCAATAACTTCCCGGGTTGGGCGATCAGTTTGATCTTCCTCGTGGTTGTCATTTGCCTAAACCTTCTTTCGGTGAGGGTGTATGGCGAGGTTGAATATTGGCTGAGTTTGCTTAAAGTCGTCACCATCGTGGTATGTATCTTTTGCAGGTGACAAATTTCGAGTGTCCGCTAATTTGCACAGATTTTCATTATTCTTGGCATCGTCGTCAACTGTGGAGGCAATAAAAATCACGAGTACATTGGTGGCAAGTACTGGAACATGGGAGAGGCTCCTTGGGTTGGTGGCATCGGTGGATTCGCCTCGGTCTTTGTCACGGCCTCATTTGCCTTGTAAGTTTGACCTGTTTCTCCCTAGTTGCTTCGCCTAACTTGAATTAGTGGCGGTACCGAGTCCATTGCCATTACCGCTGGTGAAACGAAAAACCCCTCGAAGACCATGCCCAAAGTTGTGCGCAATGTCTTTTGGCGTATTGTGCTCTTCTACCTGCTCTCCATCCTTCTCATCGGTCTGAATGTCCCATACAACTACCCTGGTCTCGATGATGAAGACACTCGCACCAGTCCATTCACCATTGTTTTCGAAGAGGCCGGTAGTAGCGTCGCAGGCAGCTTCATCAATGCCGTGATCATGACTTCTGTGATCTCCGCCGCGAATCATGCCCTCTTCGCTGCCACCCGATTGCTGTACTCATTAGCGGTCGACGGCTATGCACCGCGCTTTTTCAGCCACTTGAACCGCTTCCAGATTCCCTGGGTCGCCGTTCTGGCTAGCTCAGTCATCAGTGGACTTTGCTTTGGTGCAAGCTATATCGGTGCCGGTCAATTGTGGTCCTGGCTGCAGAAGTAAGTTGTATCCGAACCATCTTTGAACGAAAATAAAAGAAACTAACCCCCAATAGCATTGTCGGTGTCTCCAACCAGCTCTCTTGGATCTGTATCGGTATTGCCTCTCTCCGCTTCCGTGGCGCCATCCGTGCGCAAGGTCTCGAGGACCTTCTCCCCTTCAAAAACTGGACCTACCCCTATGGCCCTATCTTTGCGATCGTCCTGAACAGTTTTCTGGTTCTCGTGCAGGGCTGGTCATGCTTCAGTCCGCACTTCAAGGGTGTGAAGTTTGTTTCCTATTATATTGAACTGGCGATCATGTTTGTCATGTTCGTTGGGTGGAAACTTATCAAGCGGACGCGATTTGTTCGCAGTGCGAATATGGATCTGCGCACTGATCGGTATGATGGTGGCCTTGATGATGACCACACGCCGGAGCAAGTTCAGGAGCCCGAACGAAAGGGGATACTTGGAAAGGTCCAGCGCTCTGCTCAGTGGCTGTTCCTTTAATTTTAATTTTTTCTTTCTATTGCTGTGATACCCAGCTCTACTCTTGCATATTTATAATGCGCTTCATGTTAACATAGCTATGTTTCTTTTTCGAATTATTGTGGTGTTGAATAGACCACCTGTTGTTCCCCATCAAGCAATTTCCCGGGACCTAATTAAAGGGGACAAGTACAAGGTGTCATTCGACCCTGAACAAGACGCTATGGCTCATAGTTTTACAAGCGTGGTGGATTCGTATCCTTACATTAGCGACGAACGTTTTAGCTCGAAAGGCGTTATTTTTCCTTTTTTCTCCCCACTTTCCTTCCGGGGGGATCGGGCTTTGTGATTGACGCGTTCCCCCGATGGATATTACAATTGCATTTGGAACCCCCGACCTATCACCTTAACGGGAAAGGCCGCAACCCTAATGACTCGTATCACGGGATGGTAAACGTGCCACAATAGGGGACGGACCCGCTTGGACGCGGGGAAATGAGAAAAACTTTGCTTCTGGCCCTGCATGGTTAGACTTGGATTACTCTTATAACTCGCATCAGGGTTTAACCCCGGGTTTTCTGACAATCCAAGGATCCCAAATAAGCCCTGAACCCAAATATCTTACGTACATCCCACTCATCCGTGGATCCATGAAATAGAGAAGTCATCTGGTAAAGGATCTTCCGGTAGCCCGTGGTTCGTGAGGAATATGAAAAAGACGAAAAATATAGTATGGTGGCAAAGGAATTAGCAAAGATTAAATCCTCCAATGACAAGCATTATATCTCTCGCTTGAATTTGCTTTTCCTAAAAAACCCTACTCATCACGGACTTGGCGGTCTCTTAGGACCGTGCCACTAAGCCAAGCTTACCCAAACCCCAGAAAATCCCTCCCCCCATCTTTTCCCCACTTATAATCATCACGATTTCCTAAATGCTTTTGCTGATTTTGGCTTCTGGTTATGATTCGCCTTACCTGGGCATTTCATGCCTGATCGCTACGGGTGAGCTCACCCCATCATCAGTGGTCCGTTCCCCCGGACTCTGGGATCATGTCGACTAGCTCTACCAACGGAATCATCGGTGAGTACTCAGGCGATGATTTCACCGTCAAAGTCACCTTTACCGTCTTTCTTGGAATTGCCCTATACAACTCCATCGAACTCCTGGTACTCATCTTCGCCTCCTTCCGACGCTACCAGGGCCTCTACTTCTGGAGCTTACTGCTCGCTACCGTATTCGGCGTGATACCACAGTCTGTGAGCTTCCTGCTCAAGTACTTTGGTATCGGTCCACTATGGCTCTCCATCACCCTCTCAACCATCGGATGGTACTTCATGGTCACGGGCCAAGCGCTTGTGCTATTCTCGCGTCTCAATATCGTCGTGCAGGATCTCACAATTAGCCATCGCGTTCGCGCGATGATCATCATCGATGCGATCGTGCTGCACGTCCCCACAACCGTCCTCACCTATGGATCGAACTTCGTGCGCACGGCCGTGTGGGTCCACGCCTACAAAATCATGGAGCGCATCGAGCTTACGGGCTTCTCCCTTCAGGAATTCATCATCTCCGGTCTCTACATCTACAAAGCGATCCAGATCCTCCGCATGTCTCCTCCGAGTACCTCGGGTCACAACCCGAATCGCAAGATCATGTACCAGCTTCTCGCTATCAATGCCCTTATCATCGTCATGGATGTGATTCTGTTGGTGTTGCAATATCTCAACTACTTCGTCATTCAGACTACGCTCAAATCAATGGTGTACAGCATCAAGCTGAAGCTGGAGTTTGGAGTTTTGAGTCGTCTTGTCTTTATGGTGCAGTCGCATCGTTGGCCGCCCGGGCCAAGTGACTCCCCGCAGCTCTTTTCTCGTCCGGCTACGACAGGAGAGCAATTGGATTATCATGAATTTCTTGATGTTCCGGGTAGCAGTACGCTTCACCAACCTGCTACGAATTACTGCAAAGCAGCTTCTTTTCGACACCAGGAGGTGGCCTGAATGGAAGGGATGTACATAAAAATGAAAACATGAAAATAATCTAATTTGAAATTAAGTAATATCCAGGTTTCTATTGTATTCCTGAGGTCATTCTGCACCCCATGCCACGTTAACTAAGAGCATGTCAAAGCGTATTTCATGAGACTTATTCAGCAATCTTAAGAATATTGGCACTGTAGAATATCCGGTTAAATATTAATAAAACACATGTAGGAATTTAGACATTCTATCCATGCATGGAGATGGTAGTACCATGTGGCAAAGACAGACAGATTGACGTACCTCAGTGATACGTCGTGAATGATTGGACTCACGATAACACGAAGCTACAGCTAAGATGAGACGCCAAGCGAACATGGTTACCATTGCACAGCCAGAATCTCGTGGAAAGTGTCAAACAAATGCAATTCCACTATTTGATAACAGCTTCCCTATGGCTCTGTCTTTTAATTAAATATTACTCGGCCACCCATATACAAACCAATATGCCAAGGTTGAAGCAACCCAATTGCCTCCCCAATTTGACCTCGTCTACCAACAAGGAGATCCCGGAAATGAAATAGCAGGGTACGACCTAAAATCCGAAGCTGATTCGGTATTCACCTTCGACTTGAATCTCAGCGGAAAGCAAGATAATCTCGTCTTGTCTTATATCGATCAGAGACCGGAACAATTTGGATCCTGGGAGATAGAGCCGGAATCCTCTATGCGGTTTAACAAGGCGCTCCCGGGAAGGGGATTGGAGGCTATAATTTGAAAACTACGGCAGTTCTGGTCTTTGCTTTCGATTATGACCATACTGGGAAGCTGGATCATCTTGTATTATCTCAACCGGGTACTGGGACGATTGGAATTTTGAAGAGTAGTGGTGGTGCCTTCTAATTTGTTCATCAACGAGGAGCTCCGGGGAATGGGATCGGTGGCTAGGATCGAAAGTCAAGCGCGGATCGGGTTTTTGGCTATTATGATCGGAGTGGGAAGCTTGATCACGTCGTCTTATCGGCCGGGAACGGGGTCGATTTGGAGTCTTGGGAATGGGACTGGGATCTTCTTCCGGTATATCAGGAATGGGATGCTGGGGAATGGGATTGGGGGTAACGATCTCAAGTCAGCAGCTGATCGACTGCTCATGTTTGATCACGAGCATGGCGAAACGATGGAGTATCTTATACTGTATCGACCGGGGACCGATGAGGAGGAGGCTACACGGAGGCAAAAATGAGGCTGAGTATACTTATCGGAAGAATGAGATAATGCATGTTTTATCAAGAGTATGACCTGTCAATAGCTTCATTTTCATCATCACACTGACCCTAGAATCGCTGATTAGCGCTGCTACGAAAGGTGGCTTGATGACACCACCCTGCAGAACATTGAAGTAATGTATCCCCTACGGTAAAATCATGCCATGAAGACACGGGGCCTCAGGAGAGCCGTGGAAGGAATTTTGAAAGATGAGCTGAATCGGAGACCGAAACATGCTTGGATGCGAAGACAAGGATATGCAAGTCAGTCAAAAAAGTCCTTCGATACTTTGTACTACTGTCAACCAAAGCAAGCACTCATTGAACCGTGCCCATTCATCATAAAAGAAAACCGATTTGTTCGTGGTTCAGCGATGAGAGATTAGAATGGCAATTCTAAATTATTTCACATGTAAAAGAAATAAATCATGGGGTTTTTATGGAAACCAAATTTTACAATCTGATGAGCTTGCGTGAGAATCTGTTTATGCCCAGTAGCGGGGCTCGTCAAAGACGTGGTATCGGTGACCACGTACGCCCTCACCGCGGAAGAGGGCTGGGAATCGGCGACCAACGGGGACCAGTTCTTCGGGAATGCGCATTTCGTTCTCCGGCTGAGGTTCACCGACAACGAATTTGCCGACCTATGTGACTTATTAGTACGGTTGGATGAGCGCACTTATTAGAGACTCTTACCTGGATCTCAGTGTCGGTGATGGAGTCACGGCTGATTCTGGCGTAGCCGGTACGGTGGATCTTCTTGAAGAGAAGATACTCGCACCATCGGTCCCAATCGGTAGGATCAATATCGTTCATTTGGCTCAGCTCGCTGACATAAGTGTTGTAGTTACCTTCGAGCGGCTTGGTGACCAGGTAACTCAACAGGATCAGCGGGCGGGGAGACGAGCCCATCAGGTTAGCAAGATATTGACTTTGGAGGCGGCGATCCTCGGGGTCCTCCTCTTGACCGGAGTGGAAGACAACAATGTCTACCATCTCACCGTACATGTCAAGAGTGGCATGGATGGCGGGAGCCAGCTCTCCCACAGGCGAAGGGAGAAGGTGGTGGGTCGAGTTGACAATAGGGAACTTGGAAAGCAAAGCAGAGCCCCAGGTGTGCTTGTTAGGGCCGGGGCCAAAATCGGTGTAGTAGCCAAGGTCCTCGGCAATGTACTGGGTGACGTCCTTGTTACCCATGATGATGCGCTGGTTGTCCGACTCCAGGAAACCAATAACATCAAGCTCAAGCTCACCAAGAACATTGCGCATGCGACGCTCCGCCGCCCACATGTCGTTGTCGAGACCGAAGTGAACTGTCCAGATACCGGCAGTAACAAGCTTCTCCTCGGGGTGGTGGGGCTTATAGTCATTGGTGGGGAATCGCAGGTACGCGACGGACACCGAGAGAAGCTGCAATGCAACAAGAATGTAGATGTAGTAGGAACGCTGTCTCTTGCTGTTAGGGTTGGCGGGCTTGCGAGCACGAACGGAACCGGAATTCGAAGTGGCCGCGGAGAACACACCGGCACCAATGGCGATCATGGTTGTAATCATGACCCAATCAGTATGCTCGCGAACGAGCGGACCGCCAGGGACGAAGGCATAAGCAACAACCCAGACATGGAAGAGCAAAAGAAAGACGTAAAGGATGAACCCAACGCCAAAGGTGCCACCGGGAGAGTGGCGAACACCAGACTTGATGATGACAGGGGCGACGGCCATGATGTAGAAAGCAAGAGCAAGAGCACCATAGTATCCAGTCCAGTGATGGTAGTAAGTTAGAAGAGCAGCACCAACGGAGCCAATGCCGTAGGCTGTCCAGCTGCCCGCCACCGCAGGGTTAAAGATACCAAAGACCAGACCGGCGCCCATAGCGAAGATTGTCACCGCACCATGAGGCACAGCAATAGGTCCACGAATTGGGTATCCATCCCACACCCATGAGATCATAGTGCTAGAGTCAGTCAGAAGCGAAACAATGGCGAAGAGGAGACCTCCGAAGCCAATGCCGGCGAGGAGAGAAGAGCCCTTCTTGCCGCCAGCGGGCAGATAATCGCTTCCACTTGAAATGGAGCCTCTCTGGGAGCGCAAGACAGCAAAGAAGGCAATGACCAGGCCAATCTTGTTCCAGCCACCGTTCGTGTCGTGCATGATTGGCCAGAGGGGGTTGTTAGTGGCACAGGCGAACTTGGCCACAACCGACATAATCAGACCAATGCCCCAGGCCATGATGCGGGCCTCAAGGCGAGCAGCATTTCCACGCTCGGCGAAGAAGCTAGCAACCCATGCGGCACAAGTAGTGGATAGCGCAAAGGCCGTAATGAAAAGTCGGTGGGCGGGGTTCTGGAACTTGTAGGCGAAGAGGGCCGTGAGAGACAGAAGGTGAAGCAGCCGCAAGTTCTTGGTGGCAGCCGACCTCAAGGAAGGAATGGCGAGGAATAGAGGGGAGACGCAAGCAACAATGGCAACCTCATATCCAGAGATACCCATGTGCCACAGAGGGAAGTACCACACAAGGACGGGGAGACCAGTCACGATCGTCCAGAAGACGAAGCCATTGTAAACATCGGCAGCGGCATCCAGAATTTCAGTCCAGAAGAAGCCCTCGCCAAAGGTGTTGGTCACAGGCTTACCCTTCCTATTTACTAGTTAATTTCGAGGAATGGGGAGAACTAAAGAGTTGTACACACCCTTTTTCAAGGACGGAGTCCGCAGTCGTCTTCAACTGCCTAAGAGGAAGTTTTAGAAAGGGTTTTGTTTCATAACAAACGTAGCTTATGCACTATACATTCGTGGGTCATTTTGGAAGCCACGGTACATACCCTCTGCTAATTCCCTTCACATCTCGTACTACCAGTTCAAGACCCTCGAAATCAAGCACCGTAATGGCATCGAATCCAACATCGAATAAGATCAGGGACCACTCAAAGAAGGCGTACCGGGTGTAGGCTAGATGAATCAGTATTGAATTCTCTTTGATTACTGGAAGAACTTACCACCGGCAACCTTATGAACCTTGTGCTGAATGAAGTAGTAAACCAATGGCACCAGAGTTCCAAAGAATAAGCTGGCCATGATCTTACGGTACTTCACAGCGCGGCGGTTGTTGGGGCTCAAGGCAAGACATCCCAGGGTCCACGGCAGGGTCGCCACCAAATAGGAGATCATAAAGATATCGTGCCAGTCATGGTCGTCGGTAGAAGTAACATAGGTCCAGCCACCACATGTCAAGGTTCGGAAGACACCCACACCGGCCACGACCTTAGGGAGGGTGGAATTGGGACGCGCGGTGATGATGTACCACAGGAAGACGAGAAGGAAGCGAGGGCCGGAGGTGATGGCGATGAAGACCTGGAAGAATGAACGCTCGGGGTATCGGTCGCCAATTGTTGCGGAGACGGAGGGAAACCATTCGTCGGGGTAACCGTAGTGCTCATTTTGCACTATCTTGTGATAATGAAGAGCGCAGCCGACTATAAGCGCGCTGAAGAAGGCAGCGTATGCGAAAACCGTGTGAGTCCATGCAACCCATTTACCGTTGATCTGTATTTAAATTCGTGTCAGAATAGATGCATCTTATAGCGTGTTTGAAGACGTACCGCGACCACGGCATCTCCATCCTTGAATCTGGGAGCCATGGTAGCGCAAATAGAACCCTGCGCTGGGGGGAATATAGATGCAAAAAGAAAGATTAAGGAAAAAAAGAAAAAAAGAATGTCAAGAAGAGATGATGAGAAAGGCCCCTGAGGAAAAGCACCGGGATCCCTCGGTTTGGGTCTTTGCTTCCACAGTGGCCTTGGGGAGGTCCTGAATCTAACCTCATTAGGTTTAGCTTATGATTTGTCAAAAATGCGGGATCGACAAAAGTTCGGAGACTCAACTTTTTTTTTTCCCTCAATCAACCCGCAACTATGTCTGCCGCAACTGATAAGGCTCGTTACTTTTTGGAAAAATCAGTTCCTGAGCTGAAAGAGTTTGAGAAGAAGAAGCTTTTCAACAAGGTATGTCCTTGCGATCGAGCGTTCAATTGTCATTCACTAATCTTTAAAAAAACATTAGGATGAAATTACCTCAATCATCAAAAAGCGATCTGACTTCGAGCACAAGTTGAATGCGCGTGGCGCAAAGCCTATTGACTTTGTCCGATATGTCGAATATGAGATCAACCTAGATACACTGTGCAAAAAGCGCGCCAAGCGCATGGGAATTCGGAATGCCGGACACAGTGGTCAACGACGCATTCTATTTGTTCTTGACCGTGCCACACGCCGATTCCACGGCGACCTCAACCTCTGGATCCAATACATCGAGTACACCCGGAAACAGAAGGCCTACAAGAAGCTCACCATGATTATGACCGACGCCCTACGATTCCATCCGACCAGTGCGGAGCTGTGGATCTATGCCGCCAAATACTCTCTGGATGAGCATGCGGATATGTCGCAGGCTAGAAGTTATATGCAACGTGGTCTACGATTCTGCAAGGGCGCACGCCTCTTATGGATTCAATATGCAAAGTTGGAATTGATCTACATCGCTAAGCTGGTGGCTCGTCAACGGATATTGGGACTGGACGAAGCCAGCCAGCGACCCAAGGCTGTAGAATCCGCTGCGCTGGATAACGAGGCTGACATGATTGCGGTCCCTGAGATCACCGAAGAGGATATCAACCCGACAACTGAAGGCGACGAGGTCGACCAACATGCCCTTGAAACGCTGAATGCGACACCGGCTCTTAGTGGTGCCATCCCGCTGGCCATCTTTGATTCTGCCATGAAGAACTTCAAGAACGACGACCAGGTTGGATTCGAATTCTATAAGATGGTGTCCGAGTTCGATGAGGTACCGTGTCTCCGCAAGATCCTGAGTCATGTGGTAGAGAACATGAAGGCCCATAAACCCACCAGCCCACAGACATTGATCTGTTACATCATGTTCCCTACCACAGGCGTCCGAATCACATCCCCAGAATTCCCTCGTGCCCTGGGAAGTTCGCTTGCGCGTTTGAAGGAGTCGCAGCCGCTCAATGCCAGCCTTGCACAGGAAGTAGTGAACTGGTTGAAACCACTATCCGAGGATGAGGAGATGGATCCTTCCCTGAAGAAGGTCATCCTGTCGACATTGCGCAATGCCGAGCGAGTATTGGCATAATTTGTATATCCGCGGGATATTTATTTTTTGCACTTGCGAGGCGTTGGTCGGATGTTAAGTAAAAAAGAGTCCGGGCATATACATTAAGTTTTTAAGTTTTTCTTTCACGGGAATCACGTTAGCATTTCCCCCAATTCAATCATCATACTTATTCCCCCGCCGATTACTTTTCTTGTCGCTTTGAAACTTCTTGGCCTTAAGACGAGACTCGTTTTGAGCTCGTTGTCTGAACAGTCAGATCACCAGACCAACCTGCAGGACAGAATGCTTACAATTTTTGGACACGGTCTTTCTGTCCTGGGGAGGTCTCCCCCGGGATTACGGCCTTAGCCGAACTCTCTAACAGTTGGTGGAGCTTGTCAAAACATGAATCCACATTGCTAGACTGTTTCCGGGTTTCATCGGATTGAAAGATTAAGGTCTGAGACCGGTCGGACGCATAGCGGGATGAGTGCAGTTTGGGGTGGAGCAAACGAGGTACCAAAGGCAGCAGTGCGGCCAAAGGAACCTTGAGGGTTGCTTTCGTGTTGACTCTGCCCCCACTATTAGCCCTGCCGATAGTGCTTTAAAGGGAGGTTAAGAACTCGGAATTACACCGATATGTACCGACTTGTTCACGTTCTGGCCTCCTGGACCACTTGACCGGCTGAAAGACAGCTCACCGACCTGGCGGGGGATGGTTTTGGAGTCCAGAGTTTTCAGCCACGTTCTCGCTAGCTCCAGGTCTTGGTCAGATGACCCCTTTGTTGAAGCAAACCGGCGTAACCAAGGCGTTCTGACCCAAAGTCGAGTGACATGCCCCATCATCGGAACCAAACGAGCCGAAACAGAATCATAGAGTGATCGGATTCCAAGGCCGAAAGACTTGGAGAAACTTGGAGAAACTTGGAATCTGAGAATTGTCCTAGGAGGTACAAGACTTATGTATAGAACTACAATCAGGAAAAAGGGAGAAATATCTTGTTCTATGGTGGAGAGGCCATGACTAAACAAAACGCTTGTACTGTAATTTAAACTCGAAGATCCGGGTCTGGCCCCTCTTTTTACTTTACAGTACGAACTAGTCAAGTATTGGTTAGTGTAGTGGATTCCCACGCAAAATAGAACTATGAAAATACGTACGACGTAATGGAAATAAAAGAACCTCAATCTGCCTTCCTATTTGGGGGTTTATACTTCAGGGGGTCCATTTGGCAGAAAGGAAGAAATAGAAGACGTATATACATGTATATATATTTATCGAACAAAGGAAAAGATGAACTAAAGAGAAAAATATCAAAGAAAAGAAAAGAAAAGAATGAACCAGTAATAATGTCAGATCCGAAACAAGTAGTAGATCCTTGGATGCATGGTCTACGTTAGGCGGTTCGAGGATGATCGTACAGAGTGGTCCTGCATGTCCTGCATTACCAGAACCTTCTCCTCCTAATAAACCACATTTCTTCCAGTCCTACAATTTTATCCTTTTTTCGGTATTTTTAAATCTATGTACTTCGTACTTGGTTAGTGATTTTATTCTTATTTTTAGTGTGATTTTGTTTGTTTTACTATACGACGCTATCTACCCTATCTGGGACCCTGACCGCCCTCTAACCCAAAGTCTTTTTTCTCATCGCCCCACCTTAGCTTGCGATCGCGAAATTTCACAGATTCTCCCTGTCTTCTCTGCCCATAACGTCCTTTTTCTTTACTTTTTATCTTGTCCTATCCCCCCCCGTGTTGTAGATGAAACCTCCGCCCCCAAGTTGTCTACATGACGCCCAGTTCTCCCGATGAAGCACTCCATTTCCGCGGCAAGACACTGACTCCGGAAAGTCCTCGACCACTGCACCTCCCAGAGCCATCCAATATCCCAGTTCTGCAGAACCAGATGGACCCCGTCTTCAATGATACTTCGACTTATGAACGCACGGTAGATTTCCAACCCCCTCAAGTGAGAGATGGATGGTTCGGAGAAGGCGGACGTGGGCAAGGACATACGCATGATTCAGGTAGCTTGCGTGGTTCTCAGCCAGGGAACCCTGTGATGAATGATATGCCTGTCTCAACGGATTTTTACCATTCCTATCCCTCCACAGTGCAATCTGGTCATATGAACGTGAACCCAAACGCGCACACCCAGACCCACGCGCCTCCGGTTGTGCCGGCCCAAGGCTTCGCCACTACGAGTGAAATAGACAGCTCTGCCAACACGGGGGCTGCATCCCGATTGCCAGAGCACCTAGATAATGGGAAGCACCATGCAGACTCAAGCGTCGCCGGAGTCAATCTTCAGAACCTACTCGACAACCTCTCACACCTTCCACCATCGAACGTGGCCTCCGGGGCTCCCTTACCGGAAGACTCGTCTCTCCATCAAGCACCCAAGGACGGACCCCACCATATCCAAGGCGGCTCTATGCAGCCTCTCCCAGAACCCCCTGCCCAAACCATTTATATCTCCAATGATGATGGCACATATCATCACCCTTCTGCCCTTGCCACACCCCCCACCCATCCCACGCAACCCAGTAACAATGCACAATCCTATTCCCAGTCTATGGCACTGGGTGGAGCGCCGGGAACCGTTCCGGCTGGCTCTTTCCCTCCACCACCCGCTAGTTTCCCAACACCTACTTCGGGCGGGGGGTCACAAACATCCCAGGAAGCCTCCCAAGCGTCAAGGAAAACTCGTATCGACAAACAGACAGGGCGGCTCATCAAGGGAACGGATGATGATGATGCGCCATGGGGACCCGAAGTCCAGAAGAAATACGATGAGTTTCTACACGATGAGAGAGTATATGTGACAGAAGGGCTCTGGGATCGATTCCCCATGGGATCCCGCCTATTTGTTGGTGAGTCGTTCCCAAATAAGGGCGTCGAGCCATTTATTAATCTTGTTTTCCTAGGCAATCTCCCAACTGAAAGAGTTACTAAACGAGATATGTTCCACATTTTTCACAAATATGGAAAACTTGCCCAGATTTCTATCAAGCAGGCGTACGGGTTTATACAATTCCTGGAAGCGGGTTCTTGCCATGCAGCATTAGAGGTGGAACAGGGGGCTCTGATACGAGGCAGGAAGATTCGTGAGTTTTTAGCTCATTACCGAAATTTGGGATTGGCAAAATTAATCCTTGGTAGATCTCGAGATTTCGAAACCCCAGCGGAATTCGCGCCCTGCGCCCGCGGAGCCATCTCGGGCGCCCCCTCCGCGACGTTCAAGATCGCCAGAGTTCAGTCGGGCTGGTCCCGCTCGATCCAATCCACGTGCACCTGCTGATCGATACGACCGGCCTTATGAACCCAGTCGAATCCCATTCAGCGATTACCGGGATGAACCCTCGAATCGTCGCCGTGATGGGTATCGGCCTCCAAGATCGCCTTCGCCTCGGCCTCGACCCAGAGATGGGTATCGATCTCGGGATAGAACACCTGAGCGATTCGATCGCCGTGAGCGCCGACGTTCCCGTTCCCCTCGGTCTCGGTCTCGGTCTCCGTATTCCAGAGACCGGCGATACCGCAGCCCGAGTCCTAGACCTCGAGGCACCTATGAAGGAGAAGCCGATCTACCTGTTCCTCGAAGGGCTCCCCGAGATGTGCCGGAGGTTCAGGTTCTAGTGCTGGAGGAAATTGACCGGTATGTACTGCCATGATATAATAGCTCAACCCTCAGCAGTACTAATTCACCCTTCAGAAACTTCGTCCTTCATGTGGAGAACGCTTTTCGCAATCGGGGCTTACGTGTAGATGTTCTTGTGCTTGGTCCCCGTATTCCTCTTGGTGCCGCGGTCCATCGCCAGTACGTCGAAGGAGTCCTTGCGGTTATCAGACTCTCTCGTCCCAACCAATTCTCTCGCAAGATTCCTCTCCAGATTTTTGACCGAAGCCCAGGGCAAAACAATGTTCGCTTCAGTGACTACCCCGAGGTTGACCCGAACATCGCAGCCGAGGTCATGTTCCACCAAGCTCAAGCGATGCAACGTGGTCCTCCGCCTGGATCGTTCCCTCCAAATCCTGCTTTCGGGGTTGCTCCTATACCTATCCCGGCTATGCCCCTGCCTCAGGCTACTTTGCCAGCATTGACCAATGCCCCAAACATCGCCAATTTGATTAGTTCGCTTGACGGCCCTAGCCTCCAATCTCTCTTGTCGGCCCTTCAACGCCCGGCTGCTCAATCCCAACCTGTCTCAGCTACTCAATCGCCATTTTCTTCCCCCAATCCTCCACCCCCTGCTGATCTCGCTGCTTTGTTGACCAATGCGGCCCGACCACCCCCAACCTTACAGCACGCCCCGCAACCTCTTCCTCCTCCTTTCCATCTTCAGCCTCCCAATGGGCCTGTTGTCTCCGATCCTCATTTGTTGTCACTCCTAGCTAAGGGACTCGGAGCTCAACAGCCTCAGGGCCAGCCGGCCGTCGGTTCTAATGTGCAAAACCTGATGAACCATTTGGCCAAGTGGAAGCAATGATTTAATGAATATCTTCGCTGTGACTTATGCTCGAATCATTGGCTCGGGTTTATTTCTTGGGTTATTTTTTGTTCCATCTTTTCATTTTCGGAGCTTGGCGTTCATGCTCCCATTTTATATTTATCATGGGAGCTTTTTTGGTTTCAATTCATGCTGGTATCCATCCAGTCACTGCAACAATAGGCGTTTTGTCAACTTTTCTCAGGACCAAGAATCTAGATATTAGGGTGAATGGGGTGTCTTAAATCGGAATTGTCATGGATCTTGTTTGGTTTCATCTCAAGATGTGTTCCATTTGAACCTTTCTGACGTAGGTACGAAGATGGATATAATATCACCGTGTTCATGGTGGCATGGAGTTACACAGAGGTTATTTGCTGTCATATTGGAATTCTATAACTCAAATGAAGCTATGTGTCGAGTAAGAACATTAAATTGAGATCGTGATAAGAGTGGATATAGTACATAATGTACAAGTGTGAAAGCATTCTGCAAATGACATCTAGCTCGACTTCCAGCCCTGACTCTTCAGCTCCTTCATCTTCTCCGCATCTTCTTTCTTGATTCGCTCGATCGTCTTGTCTCGGTTGTATTCCATCACTCGCTTCTCCTTGAAGTATTTCACCTGGAGAAGAATGGCAGATCAGTATGTATAAAACAAATTTAGTAGCAGAATTAGACTCTAGAAGAGCTTGCGATTCCAAAACAATTGCCTCACGTACCCAGGTCTGGGAACAAGCTGCCTCAAACTCAAGCACTTCCTTCGCGCATTTCCGGCGAGCCTCCTTATCATCTTTGATTCCATCCAAGATATCATTCCGATCCAAGCAGCTAAAGAAGGCATCCCGACCCTCCCAGCATCGTGCACGACTCGTCCGGTCCGGCGCGATGCGGCCACCGTCAGAAGCCTTGCTGGAGTCGCCCGAACCTGAAGACCAAGGGATCCAGCCCATGGTGATAGCAGTTGATTGAGATAATGTGATCGATCGGTCGAGGTCCGGTGCTGGCGAGGCAATAAATGTGGATTGTGGTGGTGAGCAGAGCTTCGATGTAGATTTGAGAAGTCGGAAATGCTGCGGATGCGGCGTTACGGATGCCAAGACTGTTGATCCCTCGGACTTCAACACTGTCCTGTTCCAGTTTCCTCGTTTGCCACAACTTTACGACCTCTTCAACCTTTACACGTACGATTTGCATTATCTTTATACATAACGAAGAACCTCTTCGCTCTCATATTTCCAATACCAAGCAGCATCCGGGTTCCTATCGCATGACCGCTCCGCCTGTCCACCTCGCCTCCGCCGCGCTCTAACCACTCATCCTCCACACCTCACGGTCACTGAGGGGAAAAATTATCTCCCCTAGCTTCAGTTGATGCCCGGGCGCCGGCGCCTTCCAGCGGGGTCGCGAACCGACCTCCCGCCACTGAAAATCATCCGCAAGATCCTCCTCCTCCAAACAGCCTACTATGTCTGCGCAACTATCCTCATCCTCTTCACGACACTTGTCTACGGCGCACCCTTCTCTCTAGATCTAATATTCGGATGGGACAGTCTAAGAGGAGATACGACTGTGGGATGGATGCTGGGGCTAGTCTGGATGCTAAATTGCATCATTAGGTAGGCGTCAAGCTCGAATAAGCTACAAGCCCAAACTAACATTGTATCTCCAGCGTGATATTCCTTCTCCTATTTGTCTCTCGATCTAAACTCGTTCCCGACTTTGCCTTCACCATTCATTTCCTGCACCTCGTCGCCACAACCCTCTACACTCGGTCTTTGCCTGCGAATCTACTCTGGTGGGGGCTGCAATTCGCCAGCGCGGGTATGATGACTTTTCTGGGTATGTGGGCCTGTCAGCATCGCGAACTACAGCCTATTGCGTTCGGTGGAATTGGAGGCAAAAGCAGTAATGCTGCGTCCTCGTCTCAGGAGCAGTCTGAGGATGCTCAGGCGGAGTCTAGCTTCGGGCGGGGAAGAGGGAGGGAGAGAAGTGTTCAAGAGTACGAAATGGATGAGATGAAGACCTCCGGTGATCGTGCTGTATAGGGTCTTCGTCCATTTTCTCACTCTGTATTACGGGTTGACCACCCTTTGGATGCCCTGGCTTGGTCCCGTGGGCTATGAACTTTTGGATGTTGTTTCTTTCTTCTCTTCTTCCTTGTTATTGGTGATTGACCTGATGAGGAGCTTCCTTGCATTCTCATTCTTATCATTTGTTTTGTATACCCCGCCATGATTGCATCTCTGTATAGATGGCGTTTCTGCTGGGGATGAAGGAACCTAGGAATGGTTTCTTGTTTTCATTTGTCAAATATAGCCTTGTTACAATAATTCGGGAGACATGGTCTCTGAAATGATATTATATTAATGACTCGAACAGAAAAATCAATTCTTCATGTGCAACATCATAACTTGCCTCCAATTCTGTTTAATATTGAACATACTACAGGAGTCTCAGATATCCTTTGCTCTTATTTAGAAGTGCATCGGATAGTGTCCACCTTCCACGCCTCCATCTCATCCGCATCTTTCTTACACTCTGACTCAATAAAGGTCCTAGTCTCCGCGCCCATCAGGAAACGTGCAGGTAGCGATCGCTCGTCCTGACCCACAACAACATCAAACAGCACCCTAGCAAGATCATCAGGAGCTGAAAAATTCTCCTGCACATCCGGCCTCGTCATCAAACCAAGCATCTGACTGAACGGACCATTCGAACCAGCGTAGGCAGGGTGTCTCGCCGCAACGTGTGCATTTGTGAGAAAGTTCGTCCGAACACCACCCGGAGCAGCAACCATAAGCTTGATATTCCAGCTTGGCTCAAGCTCTTTCGAAAAAGACTGAGTAAAAGCCCCGAGAGCATATTTCCTAAACATAGGTCAGCGTCGGCATTCAATCCTTCCACAGGCTATACCTACCCAGCATGATAGAACGAATTCCCAGGAAACGTGACATAGCCCCCAATCGAGGAGACCTGAACAACAGTTCCGCCCTGGCCTGCAGGGTTCACTTCCCTAAAAATTCGGACAGCCTCTCGTGTAATGAGAACAGGACCCCAGAAAATGGTTTCCATTTGCAGCCGTGCATCGGACTCAGGGATGGCCTCGGTATCTCCGAACAGGGAGTATCCAGCATTGTTGATGACGATGTCGATGCGACCGAATTTATCCAGTGCTGTAGAGAAGCACTTGGTGATAGCTATTGGGGATGTTACATCGAGGTTTAGCTTCAGGATGCTTGGGCCGTCGGGGAGATAGTTGAGTGTGTCAATGTTACGGGCTGTTGCGACGAGGAAATGGCCAGCTGTATGGATAGTACTTGCTAGTGACTTTCCCAGACCGGACGAACAGCCGGTAACTGTAGGTTCCAAAGGTTCTTAGTATCCATATAGTCCTGAAGACATAGCAATAGCAACATACCAAACCAAACGGTGATATGGTCCAGCATCTTGAAATCTCCAGTATGTTACTGTCTGTATCCTGGAGATGATAAAAGCGTTTCTTGGGATATTGAGATTGAGTTACAAATGCGAATTGTTTTGTCTGCAATTGGGGATGAAGTCTTGCGCTTCTTATATAGACGTCTGCGGACTTAATCTAGCCGAACAAAATAAGGCAGATACGGTCCCAACTACATCATGACATTCCTAGTGCAGCCTCCACTTACCAGCATCGTAGCCAATTAAACTGTAAGGTCAAGGTGAAGAAACGACTGTCCATCAATTAATAGGCATGGATGAACCGAATCTCACTAGCTCAAAGCGGTTAGTGGTATGCAAGGGCCCGGATATAAGGCGGGTATAGATAATATTAAACACCTCGGGAATATTCGCGGTGTTAAGCCCAGATGTTGCAGATGCGTTAGCCAAGATGCTTATAGTAATTAGTTCAGATGTGTATGTTTCTTGGGTGAACATGGGTTGACCTTCAAAAGGCTAGCATTGACCTCGTGTTATACACCCTAGTAAACCTAGAATGATTCGCACCAATGGAGATCAATGGCCCCCAATCTTAGGCCAGAGCATGACCATCCTTCTGATTCAATCAGGGTCCCCTTTCCCTGACCCCTTTCCCTGAAACACCCAAATTCTTCTTCAAAGCACCCATCAAGTCATCATGTCTCGAACAATCGATCGAATGCCAATGCCCTCTGAGGTCCGTCGGAAAAAGGTCATCGTTCTCAGCCACAGTCGGTAAGTCTCTCATCGTTTATATGATAGTACTGATTGGTCTCAACCGAAAATGCGCGCTGTGCTGAACAATCATGATTATCTAGCTCAGGAACTCTTGGGCTATACCGAGCACTACAGATTCTAGGATTCACCCCGTATCACGTCTACGAGTGTTTCATCGTTAACGGGACAGAGCATACCAAGGTCTTTACAGAGGCTGTCATCGCTCAGAATAATCGATACTCTGGGATCAAAAGACTTACGAGAGCGGATTGTGACAAGTGGTGGGCCGACTACGATGTGAGTGAACCACTGACATATGATAACCGAACTAACAACCGACCTCCTAAGGCCGTGATCGAAGTAACGAGCTTAGTGAGCGCAGAGGTCCTCGATTCCTACGCCCAAGACCCCGAGACCAAGTTCATCCTCACGGAAAGAGACCCAAAGAAGTGGGCGCGCTCCCTCAATAACTCAGGCGGAAAAGCGTTCCAGGCAGTCAGCAAGTTTCCGTTGAATTTTCTCAAGTACTTTGATTATCAACTGTACCACTTCATCGAAGCACATCTCGTTACCTATAACGCTTTTGGATCCGGGACCCGGCCTGGGGATCCGGATAATGAAGCTATGCTCTGCCAATACTATACTGACTAGTATGTTCCCCTTCTATTCTTGTTTTTTGTGGACTCATGAGATTAATGGGCATGCAGTATTCGAATGATCAAGTCTACTATTCCGGAAGATCGCAGATGTACTATCCACCTGGATAATGATGGTCTGGAATGGGAGGATATTTGCAATTATCTCGAGTTGCCGGTCCCTGATCAAGATTATCCTGACCGGAATCAGCCTGCTAAATTCCAGGCCCTGTTTGAGTCATTCTTGATGCCGCGGATGACTGCAGCGGCGATGAAATGTGGCGCTGTGGTTGTCCCGGTCTTGGGTGTACTTGGGTGGGCATCTTTGAAGTATGCACCAGCAGGTCTCAAGGCTTTGAAGGAATATTTTACCCACTAGGAGCTCCAATCACCTTAAAGACGTGAGTTATTCAGATTTTTGGAAGACTAGAGGTGATTGAATGCTGAGATGGATATATACGAGTTGATATTGCTGTTGTCTATTCATTGTATTGAAAATTCATCGATTCATCAATAGAATAACCACATTTCACAAACGCCTGTGCCATCACCTTCGCCTGTGCTTTGATGGAACTCAATTCTCATGTGCTGTCCCTCAATCATTTGCTGCACAAACTCATCGTCGACCATGATCTTTAGCCCTTTCCCGTTGATATGAAATAAATGAACACAGTCCATCGCTTTGATCCGATATTTATCTGAGATCTTCCTCACAAGTTCTTGTATGGTGCGTTCCGATAGATAAATCGCACGATAATATTCATGGAGTTCATCCTCCGAAAGCCGAACATAAAAACATGCAACTAAGTTTATTAGCACGCGAACAAAATGATGTAAAGTGTTGGAATACATACTTGAAGTAAGATGTCGAGTTGTGGGTACTTGATCGATCAAATCAACGCGATTTACCTTGATAGGTTCAACGGATAACCCATCAGCAACTGATGAAGCAGCCGTAGTGTCCTTATCCGACACACTAAAACTCCTCGGTGACACACTCTCCGAATATGTGCTTTGGGTAGATGGATCCGCAACAATCTCGACAGGCCCAGCCTTGATACAAACATCATCCAACCGAACCGGGTATAGATCAGGATCATCCTCCTTATCGCCACAGAGAGATAGTAAAGTCTTTGATCGACCAGACAGTGCCATTTTCTCAAACCCGACTAGTTTCGACCGTAGACCAGTCTGGCTCAGTTGCTCGGATTCATCATCCGGTTGAAATATTTTCAAGTCCTTTGCGGAAGTCATACTCTTACCGCGCTTCCGCTTCCTGGACCCCCATCCCAGTTCTGCGTATGAGATTCGCTGTCTCAGTTTCTCAATCGCCTTTTCCAAGTTGCTGTGATCATTGGAAAGTTTTCGTTCCGCGCCGTGATCTCGGAAGACTTGGATTTTGCAGAAACATACTTCTGACTCCGCGGGCGTGATATTGTCGCTTGCCACTTGTTCTGTCTTAGCACAAAGCCGAACGGGGCTTCCTCGAACCCCCTTCGAGCGGGTAAAGTCCGTAGATAGGAAATTGAAACAGATTGGGATATGGCATGAGCTGAAGCGGGCCGTGGAATCAATTGACCAGGTTACAGAGAAGCCGTCGAATCCTTTGTGCTCGATTTGAAACTGGGGACTGTCTCCGCCGGCGTACTCGAGAGCAAATAGGGTTTCGTCTTGTTGCTGCCCTGAGGATGCACCTCTTCCTTCTTTCCATAATTGCCAACAGGTTGCTGGGTTCGATCTTGCCAATTCCTGGTCGAAAGTGACTCGAACAAATGTCCGGTATGTGGTCATCTTGTCTGTTTTTGCGGGCGGGGCGGTGTCCATTACCGTGAGGTAATAGACTTGGCCCTTGTTGAGATAACTCAAGGGTGAATCTCCGCTTTCATTCATCATCGCAGTTGGAGTTTGGAGGGTGGTACGGAAGCGAAATCTGATGAAAGTTCAGTTTGATTCGTACAATGAGCCCAGGTAAAAAATATCGACTCACCTCTCTGTTTCGAGGGAGGTAACATCCTTCCCCTCTAGCTTGGGATCTCCAAGGGCAGTTCCAGTACCTGAATTGTCGGGGGACTCATAACTTGTCTCGTAGGTCAAGCCAGGATGAAATAATGGTCTAGAGGCGCCTGCTCCTATATCGGGAATAATTTTCGTATCTGGGCGTGGTTGGTACTGATATGGCGGTATGTAAGGTGCTTGGTTCCAAATATTGTTTTGCTGAAAGCTGTAAAGACAGTCTGATAGAGAATATGGGCCTTCTGCTTCGCCAGGATGCTTGGGTGAAAGTTGTGTGTCTTCCTGATATGGTGAACTTTCCTTGCCACATTCTGGCTGACTGGCAGAGAGGTCTGTGTTTAACCAGGGAAATTGTGCGAATTTGGTCACTGAAATCCCCTGAAACGCATGAGGTATCTTAAAGTCCTCGATAGCAGTCGAATTATTCTGGTCGAAGATTGTCGAGGGGGTTCCTTGGAAGTATCCAGGGAATCTCCAATCGCTGCTACGCATTAGCTAGAATATTCTCTAAGATGAATTGCTGAATATGCAAACCTTGGTAAAATCGTCTCATCTGCTGGACTTTGGGTGAGATCATGGCTTTTATATTCATTTTGTTGCAAAAATGGTTCAGTGAAGAAGCTTCTACAGGTATTGGCTGGCTTGGAAGCTAAGTTCTGGGTTCGTCTGCGTTCAGAAGAAGTAGAATGTGTTAGAGGACATTCAGATTATTTTTGGGTATATCAATTGATTCATCTGATGTAGGTTGGCACATACCTGCTGTCAAGCATTGTAGCAATTCAGGTTTAGCTGAAGAATGCGAGGTATACAAATCTAATACAACCAGTCTTCTATGATTCGGTCGCAGCGTTGGCTGTCGCGTCTGACATATATATGGATTGACCTACAAAAGGCATTGGACGGATATTTAAAATAACATACATGATACAAATGCCATGGTAGCTCCGATAAATTCCATGTACGGATCATTGAACGATTGCATGGAGATCTAGCCAACCAATCGCCAGTGTTACCGGGGGTTATCGGCACATGTCAGAATTTAAGATTTAAATTCTCGTGGGGCCTTAACAAGCTGGGGCGTTGAGGAGATGTGATCAATTCAACTATATGATGAAAACAGTTGGATCCTTTCATTCCACCATCAATCTGATTGGTCGGTTGTTTCGGCCGGGGAGGGCGCCTGGGTCCAGACCATTCGTGTTCGAACATCGGGTCATTTACCCGGATTTTGCCTGAAACGACTGATTCGTGCTCATGCCTCAGAATTTCCAGGAACCATGGTTGTACCATCTGTCAAGAGTCCCCGTAGATAAAATATGCGCCTGCGGAAGCTCTCATAGCCGGTCAAGCAGCAAGTCGGCAACGACATTCCCTGAATCAGCCGCCCATGATAAGGCGTTTCTTCCTTTAAAACCTTTCGACTCCCGGTTCACGCCTACAGTGGCGAGAAACACATTAACCGCACCCCTTTGTCCGTTTCCTGCCGCAATTGAAAGGGCCGTGCGTCCTTCCCATTTCCGCGAATTGGGATTGATACCTCTCGTAGCAAGCAGTATTTTGACTACTACCTCACGCTTGGGTTTCGCTGCACGTGATAAGGATAATAGTGTATCTCTGAAGGCATCTTGGGCATTGGGATCGGGCTCCGGCGTTGAGCAGCACCTCGACTATTGACGCATGCCCTCAATATGCCGCTAGATGTGTTAGTCTAATAAAGTCCACGGACTGTAGGCGAACCTTGATCGTACCAAGGGGTGTCTCGACAATATCCGTATACCCACCTGATGCTGCGCACTATAGGGGGTCCTTCCATCCTCACAGCGACACTCACAGTTTACACTCGGACTTCCAAGTAGCAGATCGACGACCCCTTTGTGACCTCCACCGCTGCCATCAATAACGCTGTCCGCCCCCTAGATTCGTATTGTTAGGATTGCTTCCTTCTCCGACAATTATCAGTCTGGCCACGTCTTTCTTTCCATATTGCGCAGCCCATGACAAATTTATCTGCCTAGACATTTCGCGAGTATCGGGGTTGACAGCTCCCGTGGCAGGCATCAATTAGACGTACGCCTCGTGCTTGTTCTGTGCTGCTACCCATCTCGGCGATTCTCCGTATCGATCCTTCGAGTTAGGGTCGCATACGTTGATTTGAGGAGCAGCTGGACTATGCAGTGATGCCCATTCTCGGCCGCTTTGAACAATGACGTCGCTTGAAGAACAATCTTCGAATAAGGCTCAACGCGTGCCGTTGCAAGTAGCAATCTCCCTATCTTTAGTTGTCCACCTCACCCATTCGTAGCCGCCTCAGAAAGTACTAGCTACAGGATATTGGGTTGTTTCTAAGATGCTGCTTCTAGTGATTTCTGAGCGGTCGCGATGTGCCCCCACACTGCGGCCCACCATACCGCGGAACTCCACTTCGGAGTATATCATGGGGATAAAGATGTGGGTCGATAATGTTGTAGATGCGGGTCGCGGTTTGAGCAAAAGCATTGATATCTTTTTTCGGATTCTAGCCAGTCAGCTATTGCCTGAACCAGCTCATCTGGCAACTGAACAGCATGAATGCTGTAAACCCCTATGAGGGAGACTGTGGAAAAGCAATAGGCGAGGGTAAACAAATATGAAGTTGAGATATACTTGCATCGAGTGGGGCAGATTTTTTAAAAGCAAGAAAAGAAAAGAGAGACCAAAAAGACGCTGTGCTGAGTGCAAAAAAAAAGTCTGGATAAACAGACTGATACTAATAGCTCTCAACTCAACTCAACGCTGCAAGGGTTAATGAAAGAATTGTGACGATTGTTACATGAGTACCATCATCTCAATCGGCCTAGCTCTAGATCAGGAGTGACTCAGATTTTTTACATACGTCGTAACTTCAAGTTCCCAATCATCAATCGCCAGTCTATTCGTACGCTAGCTTTGACATATTCCGAGTCTGGTCATTTCATTGGTCCGCACTTATGCTGAAGATCACACCCACACTCACGCGTATCCTGGGGACTCAGCAAGTCTGATACACATTCGATTCATGCAATTGACATGCATTATATTTCATGTCTATTTCCATGTCTTATTGTGTCCTTGTATGCTATTCGGCCAATCATCGCACAGCCCGTAGACTTTGAAAGCTACAGGCTTCTTGTTGAGAATCTTCAAAGAACATAGCGGCTATGATGTATTCAGTTAGTGAGATCCGAAGATATTTCTCGTCATCGAAAACTTACAAAGTCAAATTCTCTTTGTCTGTTAGATCCATCTGGTTATTGTCCACAACACGAGCCACCTTGGTACCATCGGAATCAATAAACTCAACGATTCCACTTCCAGCGATGGCATCGACCGCATCTAGCTTATCCCTACGTTTGTTCTCGTTCTTCAGGTAGATACGGAGAATGATAATGACAATTGAAGGAAGAATGGCAGCAACCTAGAGAAGCAATTAGTTGGCTTCCATTCAACACTCCAGTGTACACTTACCACAAGAAGGATAATCCAAGTCGGTTTATATCGCGGCTGGCTTACAGTCAGCATAAAAGTGGTGAGCTCAAGGCTTAAGCTAACTCACCTTCCACTGCGGACGAAATAGTTGAGGAGAAATAATGTTCCCCAAGCCATAACCTATGTGATATAGCGCAATGACAGTGGTCTTTTTTGTATGTCCTGCTGATGCGTTTGCAGCCCATATCATTACGACAGCGTAAGGTATCCCGGTTGTGGATCTAATCCAGATGCCTGAGATGAGGCCCCAGCGATTCGACCAGGGTAGAGCTTGAATAGAGTCAACAAAAGTATTTGTGGGTCAGGAAAAAACAAACCTAGTAAGAGGATGCTAGATAAAGCTCCCGGAATGTAAGCAATAAGTGATATCCATGCCCGGGAGTTCTGACTCGTTAGCCCTTATACCATTATAGTCATTTGGAGGACTTTACCTTGGTGTAGTAAAGTACGATCGCTGCTGTTGCCAGAGAAAAAAATGAAACCACCCCGGTCACACAACCAAGTAGTGTTGTTTGGAGAACTGTAAATCCGAAAGACTTAATGATTAGAGAGTATTGATTTGTAACTCCGTTTGCCATTTCTTGAGACCATGAATGTAAGAAGAACAGCCATGTTTTGGGATCCTGGATTGCTTCAAGAAACCTAATGGTTTTTAGTTAGATCGACCATGAATCTTGGGGACAGAATCCTACTGGTATTTCTTGAATGTCTTATGCTCAATTCCAGAGTGGTTTTCCTTGATTCTCAAGATTGCTTGTGCGCGTTCTTCTTCTGTCAAGAAGCTAGCATGAAGAGGACTATCAGGGAAGAAGAGCCACACCAAAGCCCCAAATATGATCGTAATAACTCCAGTTATTACTGGTTTGTATGTTAGCAGTGCCTATGTACATCTTCAGGGGAACACTAACTCATGAACCATTTCCATGGAGCAAAATTTCCTGTATCGATCCATAACACGCCATATGATAGCAAACCCGAGGTAATGGGGCTTGCATTACCAATTGACCACATAATTGGCATCATGACAGCCTGCTCACTATAAGTGAAGAACATTGACATCGAGAGCAGAAATGCAGGGACAATAGATGCTTCTGCCAATCCCAGAAAAAAGCGAACCACAAAGAGCGAGGCGAAGTTATTACAAGGCGCGTGTAAAAGTGTGATGCAGCCCCTGCAGCCTGGTTAGTGACTAGAATCTTTAGGTTTTAAAGACCGGCTTACCAGATAATCAAGTTTCCTGCCAACCATTTTGCAACGGGAAATCTTTGTAAAGCCCAGTTCTGCGGCCATTCTGCCAATAGATATCCAAAGTAGAAGATTGAAGACAGCCAGTTGTACTGATTTGAATTCAAATGCGCGTCATCCATAATGCCGAGGATAGCGGAGCTTCCTAACTACTGGACGATTATGACTTATTCATCTCCCACCAAGCTTGAAGGAACATACTGTTTGCTTATCAACGTACATGAGGTGATATCCAATGCACAAGAATGGCAAAATGCGATATAAACATTTGTTTCGGATACGTGTCGCTTCTTCTGGACTTGGGTCTGCAACTTGGATTTTGGAAAGGAGCTTAAAGCTCTCGTCCGCAAATCGATCGGAGACTTTTGGCGCATCGCTGGTAATATTCTCACCCTGTCTTTCAGATTCAGTTGTGATCTCCAACCCACTTTTTGGTTGTTTAGCTGCCATGGCCTGATTATCGGAAAAGGAAGGTGTAAAATATTCATCAAAGTCACAGAATCTTCGTATGAACACCCGGGCGGACAATGACTTCTTATCATCTCCAATTTGTGTATTCTTGGATGTTCCACAGATGCCAAGTCATCGCGCGATATATTCATCGGTCTACATGCTTGGCGGACAAATGCCGAGTACATTCTTCCTCATTTGGAATGTAAGAAACTCCATCTGACCAACCGGCATTGACTTTGTATTTGCGAAAACCTGTCAAAAGCACGCATACATTCGCCATCCCGAAGTTTTTATCCGAGTATCGCGTCAAAAATGCACTGTTGACGTGCTTCGAGGGTTGATATAAATTGGTGACGCTCAGGTGCTGCGTTCCAATGTTGGAGACCGATAAGCCATTTGACAAGCACATCCTTGCAAATTCGACCCCGCTTCCCCATCTCGTTTCTACAATTCCTTTTTTTCTCCAGTCAATCAACATTTGAAGTAGAGATGTCCGAGTCTCCTGAAAAATTCCGGGTTATTATAGCGGGAGCTGGAATCGCCGGACTTGCAACTGCTATATCTCTTCAGCGAATATCCTCGATCCCCAATCTTGACATTCAATTATATGAACAAGCCCCCGAGCTCCTGGAAATCGGTGCTAGCATCGCTCTCAGTCCAAATGTAAGGTTCCTGGAAACTCAAACGTAAAATGGCGAGTTGGGTGATCTAAACGCTCTATCAAAAGGGCATGCGAACGTTGGAAAAACTTGGCGTGGACAATGCTCTCTCAGATGAAGTCGGATTCAGAGGACCGAGCGGAATTCCACAGATCTTTCGGTATATAAATTCTGCGTATTCAGATGATGTATCCCATAGGACTGACATTGATTTTTCAAAGTCACTGGAAAACGAACCAAGTGGTCTCCGTTGATACGCACACTAATGTGCCCGATCCTCGTCATCACACCACGCGTTTTCACCGAGGTCATTTGCACGCCGCTCTCTTGAAAAACGTTCCTCAAAAGTCTATACATTTGGGAAAGAAGATTATTGATGCCGATGTCAACGAGGGGGGTGTGTCGCTACAGTTCGAGGACGGAAGCAGGGTATCTGGGGATATGCTAATCGGGGCAGATGGAATCAAATCGGTTCGTTGTCGTGTGTTGCTGACATATTGTACTCCCTCTCTGACAATGAAAAAGAAAGTTAGACAATCATTCGTTCCTGATTACAAATTGCGATTCAGTGGAAAGGTCTTCATGAGGTCAACATTTGATGCGTCCTTGGTGGAGGAAAGGATCCCCAACTTGCCTGCAGACTCATTGCACTGGGTATGACACGCGTATTTCCTTAACCTTTTGATTTTCTCTGTTAACTTGCAGAAGTGGGGACTACAGGATAACTTTTTTGCATCTCGATTGGGTATGTATGGTGAAGTCCATATGTACTATTACGTTATCTGACAGATCTAGGCAAGGGTCATTATACCACCGTTGGCGCTTACAGTGACCCTCGATCCTCTGAAGAGCTTGAGAGAAGCGTGACATGGGACCAAAAGGGTGACGTGAAATTCTTGAGAGAGAGATACAAGGTTAGCTACCAATATACTCCCTCAAAGTAAATGGCTAAACCAAATTATAGAACTGGAACCCACTTGTACAAGCTCTGACCGAAGCTACGCCTTATACCAACCTATATCCTAACTTCGCCGGAGATGCACTGGAGAGTTGGATATTCGGTTCCCGAGTCACTCTCGTTGGGGATGCTGCTCACGCTCACGGTGGAGCCTTCGCCGCAGGAGGCTCTCTCGCATTGGATGATGCTTTTGCTCTCGGTCTTGCTTTCAAGCATGTGGTCAAATACGCCCGTCAAAAGCTGCCACTCCCCGCTGATGATGTCAAGAGAGCACTGGGACTATACACTAACACGAGGAAGCCACATACCGATAGATTATTGCGTATTGTGCATAATCAAATTGGTACGAAGATATCTGGGCCTGCATCGACAGAGGAGGAAGATGCCAAGCTTATTTCTCGGCTGAAAAGCAGGCCTGACACAGAGTGGTTATCTGAGCATGATGTTGAGGCTGCTTTGGAAGCTAGTATTGTTCAGTTTGAAGCGCATGGCAGCTCTGAGCTACTTAAGCCTTCATCGAAATCAAGGGGACATTCAGGAAACCGGAAACCGACAGTAAATCCTCAGGGAAGTAAGCTCTGAAAGATATATGCAAGGAATTATGTTCAAATAAATCAGTGCCATAGACGGATAAACATACAAATGATATCATCGAGCCGGAAATTCAGTCTCCGCATTCGCAACATTTGAATATTAACAAGCCTTGCTGAATGAATCGTTAAGTGACGAAGTTTCAAGAATCTTCCATAAATTTACTGCAAAACTCTCCCGTTGGTCTCTTCCACCAACAACTCATACTCAGGTTGAAACTCGGTATAGAAGTTGTGCTATGATGCATTAGCCAGGTATAAATGTTGCTCACATAAGCACTTACTGGGTTCTGGGCGGCATTCGCGGTGTATTGAGCCACCTCAGGGCTAATGATTATTTTGGGGACACCGTTAGCCGCAGCAGCTTCAGCCATGAGCTGGGAGTGGCAGCAGTTTTCCAGCATGGAATACAGAATCGCAGCTTCATCCACTGTGGTACCCACAGTCAAGAGACTGCAAACAGTTTTTAGTAGACGAACAGTAATGAAGCGCTTGAGTGACTCACCCATGATTCTGAAGAATGCAAGCAATGTTGTCCTTGCCCAATGCCTTGGCAATCTGTCTTCCCTCTTCCTGGGATAAGGCAACGCCTCCGTGGTCCTCGTAGATACCAACACGTCCATAGAAGTTGCAAGCATCTATTACCGGACCAGTCAGTTTATGTGCGGTCATCGTGGTTCAACTCGGACGGACCTTGAGTGAGCATTTCAATCGGCTTGCCAAATGCGCTCCACGTCTTGCCATAGATACCATGAGTATGGGCAGCGGCGATAACATCAGGGCGAGCTTTGTGAATTTCCGAATGGATCATGAATCCAGCCTCGTTGATAGGAATTTGAGCTCCTCCTTCAGTGACATACCCTTCGTGGTCTACAAGAACCAGATCTGAAGCTTTAATCGAGGAAAAGTGCTTGGCGAAGGGGTTCATCCAGAAGTGATCTTTCAGGATGGGGTCTGGCGGCGGTTAGATTTTCTGTATATGCCCCACGGTAACGATACCTACCGCGCATCGAAATGTGACCCGAGATTCCTTCATTGTATCCCTTCTTGCCAAAGTATCGGAAGGCAACAGCCATATGTTCCTTCATCCATTGACGCTTCTCGAGCGGGTCTGAGAAAGTGGGAATTCCACCCAGCTTCAGTGTACCATTTCGATCCCCACGAGCAACGGCTTGGAACGTGGCATCGGTGGCCGGGTCGGAGATCTTGTGCTGGTTCTCAGCAGCCAGGCGAACGGACCCCTGTTGTGTTTCAGTAACAAACGTAGATGTCGACATTTTGGCTATGTAGGTAAGTAATCGATCTTTGACAATGATGGGATTAAGGCCAAGTGAATGTGATTTCTCCAGGGCCGAGGTGGGTTTTTACAGACTAAGTCTTATCTATGGATGAGACCCACCACCCAACCCCGCGTGTATCATTGGAAGGCGGCAGATCTAAAGACCGCACTACGGACTCTTTCCGATATTGTTTATTGACTCTTTTGGGTATTCTTAGCCGGAATCCACTTTTTGTCTAGTAAAGCAGAGCCATGATTGATGCACCAAGTGTGGAACCTCGATTCTCTTATCAACAAACCCATTTCAAGATCAGGCTATGATTTTTATCGTTCTAGATCGTGATTGTGATCTGTCGCACAGGCACGGGGAAAAGCTTGGCACTCGGCCTCCGCGGCGCCCGATATCCCTTGTCAACATCCCGATTCCCGAATAATCAATCGCTATTCAACTAAAGTGGACATGATACAATTCAATAATTAGGTCTCCCATAGGTGGATCTCTAGGCTTAGATATGCCTGTCACTGCATTGAGCATATTCTTGGTAAGTTGACTTCCTATTGGAACAGGAAACTTGCTGATGATTTTAAAACAGGCTAGCACTGTTGCCCAACTTTCACTAGATTGCCTTTTGCATCCTTTGGATACCATTAAAACACGCATCCAGTCTCGTGAATATGTTGGCTCCCCTGGGAGCTCAAGGATCAGCGTCCTGGGCGATAAGAAAATCCTTCGAGGGCTTTACCAAGGCTTAGGCCCTGTGCTCGTCACCTCATTCCCATCTGGTAAGCCAGGAGGCAGCGAATTGCATATCGGCGTCTAACCATGTACCACAGCTGGAGTATTCTTTTTCACATATGAAAGCATTCGGTCCAAGTTGGCCTTCGCGTCACAAAGTCAATCTCAACCGACGAGCTCCACTGTGATTTTATCTGACATTTGTGCGTCATGTGTGGCAGAGATTGCAGCTTGTCTGTTGCTGGCTCCCACTGAGCTTTTAAAACAGAATGCCCAAGTTGCTTTGTCATCTACCAACTTACAGCACCCTGGAACATCTCCCGAAGGCTTGAAAGCGTTGTTGAAAAGCGTTGGTGGTCCTACCAAACTTTGGAAGGGATATTGGGCTCTTTTGGCGCACAACCTACCATGGACCCTTATTCAATTGCCTCTTTACGAAGCTCTTAAAAGACAGAGGTCTATGTCGGGGTCCCAGACCAAAAAGAGTCACGTTTCCGAAACTGTCGTAAATTCTGGCTTATGTGCTGCCATCGCAGGAGGGGTCACAGGTGTCCTCACGAGTCCGATGGATGTTATCAAGACGCGGGTAAATTTAGATGCCTCTGGGCAAAACATTCCTGGACGAAAGAGAGTGGTCACAATAACCAAGGATATAATCAGAACAGAGGGCCTTCGGGGATTATACAGAGGATGTGGTATTAACAGCTTCATGGCCGTTGCTGGATGCGGATTGTATTTTGCGCTATATGAAGGGGGCAAGCAGTGGCTGAGTGATAGCTAGATACCGCTAGCTGGGCTTGTATGTAAATTATTATACTATCATGGATTTTTAATCTCCTATCTAGAATATATTCCATCGAGTTGAAAACGCGTGAAATCGAAGGTACGGTTCTTAACACCGAGGGATCTTGAGAAATTTCATAATAAATTTCATGTTATATTCATAAAATCAGAAATTCACCTGGAACCTACATATTTAATCTAATCTACAATCTATATTGTAAAATCGAAAGTTATAAGTTAATTTTCTGATAAAAACCCTGACATTCTGGGCCTGGTAAAAAGTCATGCCTTACGTTCAGGCAAAAAATATCCTTTAAATAAATAGTTAAGTGATACACTCAAATAGAAGTGCATTGACTACTTGTCTTCAATATTTCGAAAATAAATGTAATTTGTTTCTTATAGAGCGCAGAATGAGCTATAGTTGACTAGTTAACTTAGGTTAGCTCGAGGTCATATCATGACTAAGCCCCCAAGACCCCGATTATCGCCATGTGGGATTATCGCGGAGCTCTCGACAGTTGTCTTTCGCCGAACTCCTTTCACTCTCACACGACATGCCTAACGATCGGTAACATTGGCGCACTCCCGGGAAAATTTCACCCTCCGCATTCCATGCCTCTCTCCCCCGAAGCTTCACAAAGATCATACCTCCCTATACCCCCTAGAACATCGGTGACTTCTAGCGCATTGAAACCCATTTGTTACTTTCTCGCCCAATGAGCTGAAGCTCCCAATTCCGCCATACATTCAAATCGCGCCAAATAATCCCAACAATCAATTTGAAAATGTCGGAAACAGAGCCCTCCTACATCGACTATGAGGCCTTCCTAGACCCCGACTTCTCGCCTGCCGGGTTCGCCAATTCACTAGTGCTGAGCACCAACAATGCGACAGATACCCCTCTAGACCTCTCAACACCACTCTCTCGCGTACTTTTCGATCTCCAAGAAATCGACACCCACATCCATGGCTTGACAACAAAGTCGGCACTACCACTTCTATCCCATACACAAGACCAAACCGCTGCTGCGGAGCATATCCTGCAGGAAATCGGGACGCAGATCACATCGGTAACTGAGGGATATGAGCGACTGGAGAAGGAGGTGCTTCAAAAGTGGCAGGCCGCGGACGAGGCTCGAATTGCGGCTGAAAATTCATTGGCTACTGTCCGGTTAGCCCGGGCGGTCGCCCGCTGTTTAGGACTTGGTCGACAGCTTGAGAGCCAAGTGGCAGAGCTGACTGGGCGGGGTCCAACTTCCCCAGTATTAGGCGCCGATGGAGCAGCCAGTACGACTGGCAAGGAGGGATTTCGAGCTTTGGAGCGGGCGGCGATTACCATCTTGAATCTACGTCAGATGTTTTCAGCAACCTCGGAGGCAGATGAAGGGTATGGCTTGGATCGGGTCAAGGCCACTCGGACTTTACGCAATGAGTTTGTGATCCCTGCAGAAAACATGGTCAAGTCAAGGGCACAGCAAACCATCCACCGCTTCTCGTTGTCGAGTCAAATGAACACCAGTGGCCAATCATCGGTGCCATCAAGTTACAAACAAGCCCGCGAAGCCCGATCACGGTTGGCGACCGCTGCAGCCACTCTATACCTCCTCTCACCTATCCCGAATGGCACTGTCACTACCTCTGACTACAAGCCTGAGCTTCTTATTTCCACCTTGCAGGGGTACATGCAGACCTCCATCATCACATCTGCTAATGCCCTCGCTAAGGCATTGTCCCAACTCCCCACAATGGACCGTGCTCTCGCCGACATCTCCACACGATGCCAGGATATCGTTGCCGTAGAGTCCATACTGCGAAATATCCGACCGCCTTCTCACCCAATCCTTTCATCTACAACCAATGACCAGTCGGCGGAGACAGGAACAGCACCAAACCAGGTTAACCTCCTCCAGCCCCTCCTTCAGGCTCTAGATACCGCATCCCTGCCTTCCTACTACTGGCGATCGCTCGCCTCCTCCCTCACGTCCCGCGTGCAGGAAATTATCAACCGAGGGGGCGTGTCTGCACGCACCCTTCGGTCAAACCGGGATCGACTAAAGGCAGAAATCAAAGACTGCGTGATGCGTGCCTCCAAATTCTCTGCAACCAACTTCCTGGCCGAAAAGAGTCGATCGGGATCGGATACTGAGGTGGTGGGGAATTGGGAACGAGAGGCTACAGTGATGGTGAGCGCTGTTATCGGACCCTTGAGTCGATGATGGGTCTAAACTTCGTATTAAATAATTATAAAACTCTATCCCCGCCTCTAAGTGGGACTGGATATGCATTTCCATAGAATGAGAACCATTCAAATTAAAGCAAAGGAAAACAAAGAAAAAACCGGAGTATTTCTCAATACATGTTTCGTAACCACGGGCCAACTACCCCAGAAATATCATTCCCAGGTACCTGGCAAGGGGAAAACAGGGTACCTTGGGAGGAGCAGAGCAACACCAGACCAGGAAACAGCAGAGAACCAAACCAAAGTAAAAAAGGTCCGTATTCGGAGATTTACAGTTACCGTTGAAAGTGTCATCTGACTCCTTGCAGACCATTTCACAAGGCTAGGGTGGCGGGGCCCTGAATAGCTGCATTACAGGTTGCCTTGCTGTGAAGCGTCAAGGCTCCAATGAAAGATAAGTCAATGAGGGGTACAGGGTAGAGCAGGGTAAACAAAGCAAAATGCAAGTTCCTTGTGCTGCGTCCGATCTGAAATCCACGGAAACTGTTTTATTACATGTACAGTATTTTCCAGGGTTGTTTGGGTATGTACCGAGTAGCCTCATGTACGACGTACGACGGGACCAAGATAGTAACATGTTACTGGTGTCCGTGCTTTTTTTTTCTTGTTTTTCCTCCTCCACGTCAATACGTGGCCGACAGGTACGCATCCCTACAGGTACATGGGAGCCGGGAAATGCATAGTCTGATTGGATGGATCAGGGAGGAAGTTAATATGACTCAACACATAAAGAGACCTATCATCTTGAATACACCGCTTCAAAGGCAAATTGTGGAAAAAACCCAGAGGCAAATGAAGCGGGGGGAAGAGAGGGAATCGGTTATGATTGAATAAGAAATACTTTTTCATACCGTATACAGATGACCATGACTGAAATGAACATTCTCTCTACATTAATCCGAAGTTCCCGGTGAAAAAGTCGACGACGTCAGTGTGTGATCCTTACCCGTGGAAGCGTGGAAGCGCCGATCGGAAGTAAAAAGATTAAGCCCTGCAGGTACCTGCCACTACTTGGCCGTGCGCCTCTAAGGTGGCGTGCATTTGTACCTACAGGTACCCGATTGCCCCTCATATCCAAAACATAATGATTTATCCTTTTCTCCTCATATGTATGGGGAGGACCCATGTACATGAAACTGGGACAGGTCTATCATCCATACATGTGGACATCCGCGTATCCCCAAACTCCGTCTTCACCAATCCGCTTCTTTAGTCCTGTTAACCCCTCTCTAGAACCCCCTCTCTCGCGCCCCGATGGCGCGTTCGAAGGACAAATCAAATCATCAATCATTCAAGTGAAGCACATCATTCCCATGGACCGTGTCGTCACACAGCGGGGAATATGGGGTGGATTCTGGGTCTGGGGTCTAGGGCGGATGCATTTGGTAGAAACCATGGAAGGTTCGAACAGAACTTTGAACCTCGTAGAAGACAACAAAAAGGGTCAAGATCTCGAACGTTTCGAACATGAAAAGAACAAGAAATATTTACAGGGTCAGTCGCGTACCGTGGGATCTTATTTGATCTTGTCATGCGGGCAGCCCATTGTGTATGACATGGACCGATTTACTTTGACCCACCGATCGTCGATATCATAACCCGCATGTCCTGCCGTTTGCAGCGAGTATCCACGGTAGAAGAAGATGAAGAGGGGAAGTTTACACGGGAGACGCAGGCACGGTGAATCCATGGGCCAGTCGGTGCTAGCCGGGGGGCCCTGAAGGTTTCATGAACTTTGGTGCTTTGTCTGAACGCGGGATCATCAAGCCCATTGGAAGAAATAGAGACATCTACAATCGAGAGGTTGGAACTATGGTAAATGTAAAAGTCTACCACGCCACCTATTTTTTGGTGTCTCTATATACGGGGAACCCGGTACCTTGTACTCCGTCTTGAGTTCTTATCAATGGGGTCAATGCCCAGATCGTATCCGTGCATTGCCGCCCATGTCGGCTTATGGGATTAGAGATTGGAGATTAGGGATTGAGGATTGTTGGGAGGTTCAGATAGCAGTAGTATGAAGTGCAATCACCTGCAGCTGCACAGATGATTAGAGAACGGAGATTTTCTCTTGGTATCAGGACGGACCATTCGGAACACCCCCTACCGCGTAACCATAACAAAACCCTATATACATGGGAGTCTGGGAGAGTATGACGGAGCTTGAGTTCGGAGGATGATCCCCCTGTGATGATACATCCAGATGCAAGGGGGGGGGGGAGGATGTTGTATGGAGTATAGAAAAAGGTAAAAGAGTCGAGACCGAACTAGACTAAACCCTACCAAACTCCTCTTCCGCTTGGCCATTGGATTCCAGGGTCTGGGCGCGATGGTGAACGTCAAGGACTCAGCTCGGGTACTATACCTCTTACAAAAGAACATGGATTGGTGGCTGGATGAATCATACATTCTGTACCTGGTGCCTCTGAATACATGGTTCCTGTTATGAAGTTTCAGTTTTCTTTTTTTTTCTTTTCCAAGAAGCGGCTATAGTCGCAGTAACTCTGGAGAGAGAGAAAGATCTGGTGAAACCGTCGATGATTCGCATCGGTAACCCCGGAAGTGTTGTTCAGTTCCTGGGATCTTCAATCTGACTCTTTTCCTGCGTAAGCTGTTCTTTTTTGCCCCTCGCTTCCGATAAGCATTTCTTTCTCGTCGTCACCATTTTCACCTTTTTTACTTCATACTTCTACTACTTTTACTTTCCTACTTTCATCTTTATACCCTTTAAATCTCAACCTTCCTTAATTTCTCTATCCTCCAGAACCGGACTTTCTCTTATCTATACTCCTGAAACTCGGAGTTTTCTTATGGGCATAAATCTGAAACCTTCAGGTCCCACTCGACGATCTTGCTTGTGTCCAAGCAAAAACGTGCCCCAAGAAAACATGCCTGCGATCGGCTAATTCTTTCCTTCTTTCTTTACATTTTCTCACCCTTGCCTTGACGACTACATTCCAAACCTGGAGTTCAACCCCCCCCCCCCCCCCCTCCCCCTGGAGCCCCTCAAAGAATACTTGCAAACTTGTATGTTCCAAAGTCTACTTTTAGTTGCTTTGTCTCTTTATAGTAGTGTGAGACGAGTCTGACGTTTGTGTGCAATGTTGACAGTGACCAGAATCTTTCCCCCCGATTTCTCCGTAGCCGTTCCTACGACAACTTCCAGCATTTAGAACAATAGATTCCCCCGGGATCTGGGGGTCCTTTTAAGGGAAGAGCGGATCGGGTTGCCGGCGTTGCGACCGGATAGGGTTTGCCTCTGCCCACCCCACCCCCCTCCGACACTTTGACATCACCCGCCTCCACTTTCTTACGTCGCCAAAAAAAACATGGCCTCTTTCCTTCCTGTGAACAACTCAGCTAGGATCGATGACCACGCCATGGACGGAGCGACTACACCCCGCGCCAATCCGAACGGCCTGCCGACCACCTCGGATCAACCTCCCGTCGCGGAGCAACCCCCGGATGGTCTGAAGACGAGCAAAGGAAGCGAGGGCTCAGTGCAAACAACTATATCAACCGGACGAGCCAGGACAGCCTCCATGTCCGACGAGCAGATGAACGAGTCCGACGGAGAACCAGAAGGATCCGATCATGAGGGAGAACCGGGGAGTGCACCGCCGTCGAAAAAGAAGAAGGGACAACGCTTCTTCTGCACCGACTTCCCTCCTTGCAACCTTAGTTTCACTCGAAGTGAACATTTGGCCCGCCATATTCGAAAGCACACCGGCGAGCGACCCTTCCAATGCCACTGCTCTCGACGCTTCTCTCGCCTCGACAACTTGCGCCAACATGCCCAGACAGTCCACGTGAATGAGGATATACCAGGGGACTCCCTGGCGGCCACCGGCACTCGGTTTCAGCGCCAGGTGCGTACGGATCGAGTGCGCCCCCCGGGTCGTGCACGAGCAGGTACTACCGGTAGTGCGGGTGGTCACAGCCGGGGTCACAGCCGTAACCTATCTACCTCCAGCATTACATCTACCACATCGACCTTTAGCCAACCCCAGGAGCTGCGCCGCCGTCCTCCGCCGCTGATGATGGCCAACGACCCAACTACCCGCTCTCGTCTAGGGCTGGACCTAATGGGAGAGCCACCGAGTACCCCGCCAAGTCAGATTCGAGGACTTCCACCGTCTGCAAGTGGCTCACCATACACCCCATTCACTACCGGGGCAAATGGCAGTTCACATTATAGCTCGCCCATTTCCGGTGCAACGCATTTCTGGGAGGGAAAAACAGCTGCCCGTCGGCTATCAGTCCCGACCAGTAGTCATCCCTTTCTTCCTCAGCATGGCAGCGCATATCCGCCACATTATGCCAACTCGGCCGCTGTCCCGCCATATGCCAACGCGGCTGGAGTATTTGCAAGCCCCACGAGCAGCAACTATCCTCCATCCAGGGATGAGAGCACCCTCAGTGCTGCTGAGATAGAAATGCGACGACGCACATGGCACCCTTCGACATATCCTGTATTTGGTCGACCATCAACTAGTGGTCTGAGCCAATACCACACCCCCGATACCGTCCAGCCGTCATTTGGAGCTACTTCCAACCCCGCGGACCAACCACCTCGATTACCCGGAATTGAGAGTTTTGACAAAGTTGTTTCTCAACACCGTCCCTTGACCCCTCCCGCCCGCAAACCAAGTCCGATGCAGATCGACAGCCACGGCCGCCCTCCTCCGAACCATGGCTTTGGCTCAGGATTCAACTACGCTCAACCTTCAGTCCGGCCAACACCTCCCATCTCAGGCCCAGGGCATCGCCGCGGTCATGTATCGTGGGATATGGGCCTCCACACCGGCTTGACCGGTCTTGATATTCGGGATCAACGGTCTTCGAGGGATGCCTCTCAATGGAGCCAGCAGACCATCGCGGAGCTCCAGAATGTTTCCTCTCGCCCGTCATCATCCTACCAGCCAAGCTTCGGCCCCATGGCCGAAAGAAGTCCGGATGAACACCGTGGCCACGCTCCTAGTCTTTCTTCAGGGAGCATCAGGCCGACACATACATCTCCCGAAGACTCAAGCAGCAGTGAGGGAGTTCACACTCCGTCCACCGCCTCGGTAGAGTACCACCCGGCGATTGTACACAGCAGTGGATATATTGAATCTCACGAGTCCTCGTTACCATCCGAACATCCTCATCCGGTAGGAAATCCCATTCGAACGCACGGCTCTCGCCCCGGTTACTAATGCCGTCATAGATCTGTGGTCCACGAGACCATCACACCGACGGCTACCCAGGCCATGCCGAGCAAGAGCCCCGAACAGGTGTTTTCAACGACTCTACTCGGGATTCCGGCATGGGTCGGCTTGAGGCTTTGGTTGCGGTCGCGACGAGCGAGAACAAAGGGACCGCTAAATTGTTCTTGTAATTTGTGCATTCGACCCACCCGATTCGAGACCCTATATACCTTTTTCTTGTAAACCGACTCATCCTCTTTACATGATCTTCATAATCATGCCTGCCATACTCTTTTCTCTTTTTCTTTCCCTCTCTCCATCTTTGCGCCCACTGTTATTTGAAATGTGGGCCTATCGACTTTCCCTTCTATCTCTCGGGGCACTCTCAAATTGGATACGAAGCCCTTGACGAAGTGACGAATGTGACGACCCATAAATGAACTGGAAATCTCTTTTCTCTCTCTCATTTTGTTCGTCTTTGTATTTGGGAGTCTTGTCTTTTTTTTTTTTTTTTGTTTTTTCTCTTTTTTTGGATATCTTTCAGGGTTGCCGGTTCTCCGCATGTCCTGGGCGTTTCTGTGCGGGAGCGTATGAATGGCATCGTGTGCATGACGATACCCAGCCTCGATCTTAGTTTTTCATTCTCTGCTTGGTGGTTTTCTATCTTTATGTCTGACGGTCTCACGCTTACTGTTCCCGTTGTTGTTTTACTATACTGCTTTTGATGATGGTGGATCATGTCATGTTGCCTACGGATTACCCGGATTTTATGATAACGTTATCACGCCAATATGACTGGAATGCAAATGCATGTGTGCGTAGTTTAATTAAGTTAGTTTCCTGTGCCTGATCATGGGTATGACGTTTACCCCGCAGATCTTCCCCTCAAGTTGCTATCATCTCCCCGTACTTGAGAACGACCTTGGGAATATGCACAAGCGGGCACGACACGATAGATATCTCAATTATTTTCGATTTGCAATCATACAGAAAGAGTTCAAAACAAGGTAGAATTGAGAACAGAAGCAACCTTGGGAACTCCAATCCAACGAAAATCCGAACGCGGCTAATGACCGACCGGTGACGTCGACAGCGGTGCATTGAACCCGGACCTTGGAAACTATAAGCTCCAATGGAACTGCAATCCACGCTGAGCTAATTGACAGACCCAGGTCCAAAGGCCGTTCCATTCTTTCTACACAAATCTCCTCAATGAATACAAAAATGAATACCGTACAGATTTGAACTCCTTCGTAGAAAGCCATTGCAAGGTTTACACAACTCAAACAAGAATATGAAAGTAACTCCCAAATCCTTGGAAGATCACGATTAAGCCAGAAAACGAGGGTCTGGACTCCGCACTTGGAAGGGGCACAGACGTCATAGTCTGGTGACGGCGCCATTTCTCGGGACCTTTAAATCTGAACGAACCTGCCTCTTCGCATGCATTTCGCATTATAATTCAATTCAATCCAATTCAATTCACAGCTTTGAATTTCTCAATAATTCGACACCTCACGCACACAAACTTCGGACTTCAGATTCAGATCCATATACATTGCAAACATGTCTAAAAGCCGCTTGCCCCTCATGCTCGGCCTTGGTGCTGCCGGTGCAGGCGGGTACTACCTCTACCGCGCGGGCGGCGATGTGAAGGGTGCGAAGCAGGAAATGAAGAGTATGTGTCCCTGTATCTGGTTCTTTGATACTTGATCTCTCTATACGTTCTATGAATTACCCAGATGCTAACCTTCTATAGTTGATGCCGACAAGGCGCGCGAGAAGCTTCCCACCGGCGAAAGTGCAGAGAAGGCGGGTGCGAATTTCGGAAAGGAAGCTGGTGCTGTTGTTGATGAAACTGTATGTATTAATTCTTCATTTCCTTTCGCTGGAGCTATTCTGCACGTGCTTTGTTTGTTTTCTTGTTGAGTGTCTATGAGGGATCCATACTACGATCTCCCCGCCCGCCGATCACTGAGACCGTTGGCAAAGACTACGCTAATGATATCCACAGATCAACAACGCCCGATCCAAGTTTAAGCTTGATGAGAACATCCCCGAGATTAAAGATGAGGCACAGAAAAAGTTTGAGGATGGCAAGAACAAGCTTGATGGGCTCCGTGTGGATGCGAAGAGCAGAATTAACTCGGAGATTGATAAGTTCGACCGCACTGTTGAGGAGAAGGCGGCTGAGGCAAAGGGATGGTTTGGAAGTAAGAAATAAATCATAATTTCTATGGCGTTCAGGATGAAATTAAACGTTGAATATTGAATTGGTCAGGGTAAATTTGGTTGGGATTAAAATCAGTAATTGTAATTGAACAAGTTCGATGCTTAAGGGTCTGACTGTACAGAGTATACCTCTAGTATAGGTGCATGGTCCAGACCCGTAGCTCGCAGCATTCCAATGCCAGAGAATCACCGCGGCGACCAGAATGTCAAGATCGAGGACTTTACATTGTTAATTTTTCCCATTTGAAAAAACACCGCTTCAACTTTTCATTTGAATTGCAGAATCTAATATAAGTTGGTGCTTTTGGCAATTTCGTGTTCTGAACGCGCTAAGGAACGCGTCCACTTTGACCCGAAACGCGACTCAACGCGTCTCAGGGAGTTTTTCACCCTTAAACCGTCTCATCCCCACTTTGGTTCTTTGCACCTTCCTCGTCATAATTTGATTTTTTGTTAAATTGGTATCTCTTACCCTGACTATTGCTCAGTTCCATTTACCGGTCGCACCTTTCAATTGGAATCCGTTCTCCGATCCGCACAGAAAAAATTGCAGTCGCGATGCCACGCCTTACCAGGGCCAGCTGCCTTCCCCAAAGCCAACCCGCCATTCAAATCTTCACAAAGGCAACCAAGGCCGGCGTCACACCGCTATTGCCTGCTAAGAAGACTGCCTCCCTGCCTGTTTCCCCGTCGAAGAAGCGAAAGCTCCAGGAAATCGAGAACATCGACCGTCCCGGTCCTCAGACGGTTGAAGAACCCGATACTCCCTCCAAGACCCTCAAACTCAGCCAATTATCCGTCTCCTCTCCACGCAGTGGCCACTATGCAACACCGAAACGTACTCCTAGTCGCCGGGCTCGCGTGTCCACCATCGCGGAGAGCCCCTCGACGCCCGACACCCCTTCCAAGCAACGAACTCTCAACTTTGAAAAGGTTGTCCCCGAGCCAAAAGAGCCTGTCCTTGCACCACGAGTGCCTTGTGTGACCGACTTCTTAAATCTCTATTCCGCTTTTTGTCAGGCCATCTCTATCCACGCCGCACACAACGGCCCGATCACCCCTGCCGACATCCGAGAATTCCTCCCCAGTATTACCCGCATTTGGAAAAAGCGCAAGGTGCAGATCAAAGACCTGCAGCGCCTTGTGTGGGTCTGGGATCACAGTTTGAAAGCCAAGGACATTACCTACCGACTCGCAAACTATGGACTTGGAAAGGTGTGTCTTGAGCGTAAGGTTCAGATCGACGAACAGGGTTCAGCTTTGCAGGATGCGTTTGAGCAGGCATTCGATTTACTCTGGGAGCAGACCGAGGAGTCCCTCAAGGAAGCCAAAGAAGAGGATCGCCCTGCACTTTTTCTAGAGACTCTCGGTCTTGCTTGTATCCACGAATCCCTCACCCCGTTCACTGCGTTCCAGAAGGGTCAGCAACGACTGCAGGATCTGAGAGGCGGTGTCATCCGCATGAAGACTGAGATGCTGCGTTCTGAGAACAACCAGACAGGCTTGAAGCCTCTGGCTGCTACCAGCAACCGTCGCCAGAGCCTTCTTGAGCGATTGAAGAGCAAGGAGCTGCGCCAGTCCAAACTCCCTCCTCCGCCAACCAAGAAGGAGATGCTTCGCCGCTCGGCCGCTGAGCATGTTGAGGAAGTTGCTGGTATCCTGGCCCTCCTGCGTCCGGCTGGCTATGTTGGCACTGGTATCAAGGCCATGCTTGCCAATCAGCGCAAGCCCTTCCAGATGGAGACGATCGTGCAGCATGTTCGGGATTCAATCCGTACTCCAATTCCTAATGAGGAAGTCCAGATGTGCATTGAGATTTTGGCCGACCCTCGGGTTGCTGGCCACTGGGTCAACCTGGTGACTATCAAAAATTTGAAGTCTGTTGTGTTGAAGTCCTGCAAAGATATTGCAGCCAAGGATATCGGGGCGAAAGTCGCCCTGTTGAAGGCTGATTGGGATAAGGCCGCGTCTTGTCCAGTTTCTGTGCTGAGAATTTGAAGGACCTTTTGTATTGCGTTTGATTTTTGTTACCCTGTCATCCGTTGAGCCGGTCTGCTCGCGGTCTTTGCATAAGCGTTGTGATGATACCCACCCTGTACTTTTACCATACCATGTTAGCCTCGGCACTTTAGTAGATAATAGATTTTAGAATCCAAATAATAACCATCAATATTTAACAAGAACCATACGTATGACCAATAACCGAATTTTGTTTGCATCTTTGGAGAACACCAGTAATCCCACTTAACGCGTGACGCGTCTCACGTGACCGCGTTGATCCGGCGCGTCTCCCTCATCTGCACCGTTCAGCTTTCCCAGCTTGGTGACTACCTTGTCATTGCGCAGCTACCTGCGGAAACAATTGATAAAATGTCTTCTCGACCAGATCTCAAGGTATGTTCCTGAGAAATCTTATGTCTCCAATACATCCTCAAAAAAGCGAAATACCTACCAACCTCCCTGACAGGTCGATGATGAAGTTGGTTTCATCAAATTCTACAAATCCCTCACAGAATCCGACGACAATGAAACTCTTCGGATCTTCGACCGTGGTGACTGGTACTCTGCTCACGGTGCCAATGCCGAATTTATCGCTCGCACCGTGTACAAAACGACCTCTGTCCTCCGCAACCTCGGCCGCAGCGAGACTAGTGGTCTGCCGTCAGTCACGATGACTGTTACTGTGTTCCGCAATTTCCTTCGCGAAGCCCTCCTCCAACTCAACAAACGCGTCGAGATCTGGGTATCCGGTGGTGTGGGCAAGGGAAACTGGAAGCTAGCTAAGCAAGCCAGTCCCGGTAACCTCCAAGATGTGGAAGATGAGCTAGGCAGTGTTGGGGCTCTATCTATGGAATCCGCACCTATCATTCTTGCAGTCAAGATCTCCGCTCGGGCCGGCGAAGCGAGAAATGTTGGTGTCTGCTTTGCTGACGCAAGTGTGCGTGAGCTCGGTGTAAGCGAGTTCATGGATAACGACGTGTACTCTAATTTCGAGTCCCTGGTTATCCAGCTCGGTGTGAAGGAATGTCTGATCACAATGGACTCTGCACGCAAGGATGTGGAGTTGGGCAAGATCCGCGCTATTGCTGATAGCTGCGGGATTGCGATTTCCGAGCGCCCGGGTGCGGACTTTGGAGTGCGTGATATCGAGCAGGATTTGACACGGCTGTTGCGGGATGAGAGGTCCGCGGGAACTCTGCCCCAGACTGAATTGAAGCTTGCCATGGGGTCTGCGGCGGCTTTAATTAAGTATCTGGGTGTTCTGACCGATTCGACTAATTTCGGTCAGTTTCAGCTGTACCAGCATGATCTGTCCCAGTATATGAAGCTGGATTCGTCTGCGCTGCGGGCTTTGAACTTGATGCCTGGTCCTCGGGATGGTGCTAAGAGTATGAGTTTGTTTGGTCTGCTTAACCATTGTAAGACACCGGTCGGGAGTCGTTTGCTGGCGCAGTGGTTGAAACAGCCGCTTATGGATCTTGCTGCTATTGAGCAAAGACAACAGCTTGTTGAGGCATTCGTTGTTAATACGGAGCTGAGGCAGACTATGCAGGAGGAACACTTGCGCGCTATTCCTGATCTGTATCGTCTGGCAAAGCGCTTTCAACGCAAGCAAGCTAACCTGGAGGATGTTGTTCGAGTCTATCAAGTGGCTATCCGTCTGCCGGGCTTTGTACATGCTCTTGAGGATGTGATGGATGAACAGTACCAGTCCCCCTTGGAGAAGGAATACACATCCAAGCTCCGGAGTCATTCGGACAACCTGGCTAGGTTGGAGGAGATGGTGGAAACGACGGTTGACTTAGATGCACTTGAAAACCACGAATTCATCATCAAGCCTGAGTTTGATGACGGCTTGAGGATCATCCGGAAGAAGCTGGACAAGATACGATATGATATGGATATGGAGCACCGCAACGTCGCCAAAGATCTGAACCAAGATATGGAGAAAAAGCTATTTTTGGAGAACCACCGAACACACGGCTGGTGTTTCCGTGTTACTCGTGCGGAGGCAGGCTGTATTCGCAACAAGAAGGGGTACCAAGAATGCTCTACGCAGAAGAACGGCGTCTACTTCACCACCACGACTATGCAGTCCCTTCGTCGGGAGCATGACCAGCTGTCCTCCAACTACAACCGGACACAAACCGGACTTGTCAGTGAAGTGGTCAATGTCGCCGCATCATACTGCCCTGTTCTGGAGCAGCTTGCGGGTGTCTTGGCTCACCTCGATGTTATCGTGAGCTTCGCCCATGCGTCTGTCCACGCTCCTGCTGGTTACGTTCGTCCTAAGATGCATGCTCGCGGCACAGGAAACACTGTTCTTAAGGAAGCCCGGCACCCCTGCATGGAAATGCAAGATGATATCTCCTTCATTACCAATGACGTTTCTTTGATCCGCGATGAATCCTCTTTCCTTGTCATCACCGGTCCCAACATGGGCGGAAAGTCAACCTACATCCGACAGATCGGTGTGATCGCACTCATGGCCCAGACTGGCTGCTTTGTGCCTTGCACTGAGGCCGAGCTGACAATTTTCGATTGCATTCTTGCCCGAGTGGGAGCCAGCGACTCTCAACTTAAGGGCGTTTCCACTTTCATGGCGGAGATGCTTGAAACCGCCAACATCCTCAAATCAGCTACCTCGGATTCTCTCATTATCATCGACGAGCTCGGTCGTGGAACCAGTACCTACGACGGCTTCGGTCTGGCCTGGGCTATTTCGGAGCACATCATTACCGAGATCCGATGCTTCGGTCTTTTTGCAACCCACTTCCACGAGCTCACCGCGCTGTCGGACCGATACCCGAAATCCGTGCAGAATTTGCACGTCGTGGCTTTTATTGGAGATGGCAACGATGTCGACGCCGACGGTGACGCTGACTCCGAATCGAAGAAAAAGCGTCAAGTCACTCTGCTTTACCGTGTCGAGCCAGGCATTTGTGATCAGTCCTTCGGTATCCATGTTGCAGAACTTGTACGATTCCCCGATAAGGTAGTCAACATGGCTCGTCAAAAGGCCGAGGAATTAGAAGACTTTACTTCTGCAACTGCCGACAATTCCGAGAAGCAGTCTGCGTCTTCTCTTAACAAATATTCCCAGCAGGAGGTAGAGGAGGGCAACACACTCCTGAAGGCTATGCTGGTGAAGTGGAAGGCGGAGATTGAAGGCAAAGATCTGACGTCTGATCAAAAGCGACAGATTATGCGTGATCTGGTGAACGCAGACAGCAAATTACAAGGGAACAATGTGTTCCAGGGTATCAAGGCTTTATAAGGGTATCTATCGGACGGGACGATCAAGCTTTCGGATGGATCATGGCGTATGGGATTGTAAACATATTCGTTAATGAGCGCTCATCAATTAAAATTTCGGCTTTCAAAACAGTACAAAACAACTGTCTGCAAGACTTCCATCAAGTAACAAGTTGTCTCAAATAAAGTTGACCGCCAAGCTTGGTATAGATCAGGGACGGTCACGTGGGGCCGTAGTCCGCTGTGAATGGGGGTCTAGACACCGAACCCACACGCGCCTTGGATACTCCGTACTGCAATCAGCACCTCCCCAAGATTGAATTGCACCTTTCGCTCGTTTATACCGTCCAGCATCCCATTTGAAACAACTCAATCAACCATACGTACGATCATACTTGGTCATTCCAATTCGAACAAAAAACTCCACGACCCGACCCGACCCCCACAGCTATGCGCGCACACTAAAACGCGGAACCGCTTCAAGCACCCTGATTCATGCACCCCTTTTCCATCCTAACGCTTGGGATATTTGTCGCGGGTTACACCACTGCCAGGTGGGATCTTGTCACTCGTCTTTACGAACTTGCCATCTTCGCGTGGGATCACGGCGTTGTGGTACGTTGGTCCCCTGTGAACAAGCCCCTCCGTTCTCATTCCCGCTTCGAGCTCAAGCTTCCATTTGATCCCCGCTTACCGTTTCATATGATAGACACGAACTTTGAAGGGATTCCTTTTCCTGTCGGTCTTTTTCTTCCTCCTTGTCCTGCCCATCAACCATTTAGCTACGAGAGAGGGTCAATTGGTGAGCTCCCCGGACGGACATGCAGATGGATCGAATAATCTGTTATTCTGTTATCGGGGATAGGACATGCTAATGGTTTCTGTGTCTGTCTAGCATCCGCGCCACGTTAATCTCGGCGTCTCCGCCCGGGAACAGCTGCGCCGCAGAGGCTCTTTCTAAAGGGCGATTAGAGGATGACAACATGATCACGAGTGATGGTTTGCTGCGAGTATTTTGGCCATATGATCTCTCGCGATCTTCATCGACGGGGGTGATAGTCGGATGGCGTAACTCGGAGCTAGATTTATTCGTGCTCACGGTCCTGGAAGATGTTGAGGTTGGTAACGAAATACGCTTTGATTGCTTTGACAGATCGTGCTGACAAGAACATTTTGTTTGTAGCCACGCAATGTGGACAATGCGCTTCGGGCTGGCATTCTGTTTAGGAACAGCCCGCATCCTATTGTTCGCATATTTAGTCTTTGTGGTCGGTCTCAGATGCATGTCCTCGGTTCGACGAATCCAGGTACAGAACCAACTTCGTTCAACCCGTCTCATCTACATGTGACGACGCACCCACCCTCGAAAAATCAAATCCCGCGTATCTACTGTCCGGCAGAGGCGAACTTGTCGGTTCAGGTTATCATGTATCATCGTCCTCATCCGACACGCATGGAGCATATGTCTTTGGATCCGATCGCTCTTGCTTTAGGCGATAAAGTGACGGCTGTTGAAAATGGTGGACCACTATCGGGCAAGGTTGAGTCTGGAGAAGAAAGGGAGAAAGCACGGTACCGGGTGCTTGTCGACAAGCTGAAGTTTCATACCGTGGTGAAACATGTTCCATCACAAAAGGAGCAAGCACTTCCGCTGATAATCAGCCAAGTGAACTGTGCCTATGAAATGAGTGAGTTGATGCACAAGAACTGCCATCTTATTGGAGTGCGTGCAAAGCGCAGCATGAGTGTCGGAGAACGTGTGGTGGAATCAGCAACCACCCTCTGGGGGCTGTTTACCCTTTTTATTGCTCACATATTCTGGCAGTGGATCTGGCCGGTTGTCACTCGAGTCTTTGTCATAGGTCTCGTCGGACATCGATCGGTTGCAGAAGTTGTGTTGCAGGTTCTTGAGTGGCGGGCCCGGCCTGATGCTGCTGCAATCAAAGATATTTCGGCGACGGCTCAGCAGGTCGATATACGACTGCAGCAATTCTGCTACTGGCCTATACAGTATGTCAAGCTGCGTCAGAGAAAGGACAATTGGGAGAGTGTGACAACGAGCCACCCGGATTACATTCGGTTCTATAATAGTCTGTGGCTTGTGGCCAATGATGTGATTATCGGGATCGCTCTTGGCTCGTACATCATCGACAACGCCAACTGGGTGGCATCTCAAATCAATACTGTTCTCACCGGATGGACTGTAGTGGGCTTGCAACGTACCATTTCATGGCTGATGGATTGGCCTGCCGGTTTGAAACTCAACAATGAACTGGCGGCTTTCCTGGGTGACCTATTCCTATGGGTCATCGAGAATTGGGCCGCATGCATTGCCAACCTTCAACCATACCTCCCCCATGTCATCTACATCGTCGGTTGCTCTAGTTTCGCTGGAGCCAGCATGCCAATCGCCCTTTTCTCAGACCTCCTTTCCATCCTGACCGTCCACATCTACTCCTTCTACATCGCTTCTGCCCGGATTTTCAACTGGCAGCTTACCATAATCATCTCGCTTTTCCACCTCTTCCGTGGTAAGAAGCGAAACGTTTTGCGCAACCGAATCGATTCATGTGATTACGACCTCGATCAATTACTTCTTGGCACTATCCTCTTCACTGTGCTTTTCTTCCTCCTCCCTACCGTGGTCGTCTTTTACCTGACCTTTGCATCGGCCCGGATGTTGATCATTTCCATGAAAGCCGGCTTTGATACCTGTCTGGCATTCCTCAATCATTTCCCTCTCTTTGCATTAATGTTGCGAGTCAAAGACTCAATGAGACTGCCCGGCGGTATTCGATTCGAGCTCCGAGAAGAAGTGGACAAGAATTCTACGGATGCTGGTTCCTCCACCATATCGTACATCCACCTAGAGGTACATCTTACTCAACTATCTTCATGGCACAATCCCATATTAACATTGGAACGTATAGTCCATTCCGCTCTCTCTCCGCGCCATGTTCGACCAATACTTTCAACTTGGCCACCGACTTCGCAAACACTACCTGGCACCCAGTGTCATCTTCTGTCTCGTCACTGGCCGCTTCGTGCCACCCATTCACCGCCGCAATTTGTACAGCATGCAGTATAGTATGTTGCCCGCGCGTCGAGCGGGCATGGCTGAAGTCTGGTCACTGCTCACTCAGCCTAGAAAAGGTGGGGGTGGTAGCGGTGGCTCGGGATCAATGGCAGGTAGTATGGGTACTTTGGGTCATCAAATACCCAAAGTGCCTTCAAATTTTGGACAAAATGATGCTCGGAGACGGGGCCATCGGTAATGACTAGGCTTCTTTGATAATGCCCTTGGTATATAGTATTTCTAATGGATTATTCTAATCAATTCTTCTCATGCTGAACTTTAGAGGATTGATCCAATGAGCGCAGCTGCATTCGGGCCCAATTGATTGGTCGTTGGTGTTGCTGGATTCAGCAAATGCCTCGCCGCTCAAGACCAGCCCACAAGTAACAGGGGGTCGGCGGGAACCGGAATAAGCCCCGCTATGCGTACGTACTCCGCACACTAGTCACCTCGGGGTTCGAAGGTGGGATCCTGGGTGTGAGAGGGGTGTAAGAGGCGGTGCATCTGTTCTTCCTTGTAACTAGTCATGACTTGGGCATATAAAGGGGCCCACATCCCGACGGTGTCCGAGCAACCCTAGCCTGTTTGTGAAGTCTTAAGCGATTTCTTGTTTCCATGAAGTATTCTCTCCTTCGAAAGCGAAAGTCTTCAGTCAGATTAAAATGCATATTATTACACCTATCACTGTCATCCTAGGAATCGCTCATCTGGGCACCGCCCACCCCGGCGAACACATTCTACGAGATGAATCCAGCATCCTCCAAAAACGAGCATACCACTCCCAAGTCACACAAGGCTACGGAACCTGCGTCAAGAATCCAGCCCTTGCAGACCTAACCGCTCGTGCCGACCTCCGCCGTCGAAACATAGTCGAAATACAACGACAAGATCTTGCCGCTCGTCGTCAAAGTCAACAAGTGCTGAGCCCGAACCCAGATCCCAATCCGAATGTAGTCGACCTCCCAGAACCACTCCGAAAATCTCACCTCAAAACAGATACGAATATCGGCCTGGATACCCCAGAACATGAGCTATTCAACGACGATGGAATCTGTGTCCTCAACCCAGAAAGCGTGGTCGGTCCATTCTACGTTACTGGTGAGCTCATCCGCTCAGACATCACCGAGTCCCAACCCGGTATCCCAATGACTATCAACGTACAATTCATCAACGTCGAGACCTGCGAGCCCGTTCCAGGTATCTGGTGGGATATCTGGAGCTGCAACGCTACAGGCGTATACTCGGGCGTGATGTCGTGGGGTAATGGCGACAAGGACGATACGACGAACCTAGACGCTACATTCCTACGTGGGTTGCAGCAGACAGATTCCGAAGGCGTTGCTCAGTTCCAGACGATCTTCCCGGGGCATTATAGTCATCGTGCGACGCATCTTCATGTCGCTGCTCATGTAGGGAATGTCACGCGGTTTGCGAATGATACCATTGCCGGTGGTACTGTTGCGCATATCGGGCAGTTGTACTGGGATCAGGATCTTGTTTATGAGGTTGAGGAGACTCATCCGTATAATACTAATTCGGTGCCTATTACGCCCAATGCTCGGGATGGTTTGTTTTTAGATGAGGTTGAAGGGACGACTTCCGATCCGGTGTTTAATTATGTTAAGCTAGGGGATGATATTCAGGATGGGATCTTTGCGTGGGTTTCTGTTGCGATTAATGTTTCTGCTAGCTATGATCTGATTGATAATTGGAGGCCGAAGGGGCATGGTGATATTTTGCAGTCTGGTGATGATAGTCCTGTTTAGTCGCCAGGTCTATGGGTTATGTTTTCTGGTGTCCTTTTTGTTCAGTCTTTATGAACACAGTAGCTGGTTTAAGATGAAATTGATCCATTGAAAATGCCAGATATGCCAACACTGACTCAAACGTCACTAGGTAGGAATGTTCTCAGCGATCAATCGAGACTCTTCGTCAAATGTTACCAAGACAGTACGACACTTCGCCGTGTTGGGCACTTCTCTGTCATTCGCAATATATTTCATAAACCCCCCATGAGTTACAACAGCAATATCCGGTCGATCACTGCCCTCCAACTCCTTGAATTTCTCTTCCAACTTCGCCTGCACTGCGTGTCCCCTATGAAATAGAGCCTCGTGCTCAGGTACATATCGCCCTTTCTTCCCCGGGAAAGAAGCATCCTGGGCAAGCAATTCCCATTGTAGATCAGGGAATCTCGCTCGCACAACAGACCAGTCAGATCCTGTATCACAGGGCCGTGCAGTGTGGGCCTGGACATCAGGCTCTAAAACAAGTGTTGCGCCATTCGCAACCCCAAGTCCGTTGGTGTAGTACTTCTTGTCCAAGGCCTTTTGAAATCCCAGCAGTGCTGTGTGGAGGGTACGTGTAAGAGGTGATGTGATCACCAGACCCACCCTCTCATTGAAAGGAAAGTCCTGGCTGAGATCCTCCGATTGTTTGACCCCGTTCTCTGTTAACGGTGGGTCGTGAATTGTTGTGTCGTGACCGGGATTATGAGTTCCCTCGGCATGACGGACAAGATGTAGTCGGAAGGGCATGTTTTATATTTTATTTCGCCTCGGGGGAGTTGAACCCTGGAATTTTTTCTGGGATTAGAGAGATGGGTTTGAAAATGGAGTGTATCGAAGCTAGCACTTGACGTGCATGAGAATCACCAACTCATGCGGCTGAAAGCGAATTGTAAGGAATTTGTGAAAGACAAAATAAGGTTGAAAGATCTGGAAGAGAAAACGTGGAAGCTGCACCCACGATATACTATATTTATTATCAGTACAGTAGTCAAATCTGCTCGGTCTTAAAGGTGGGTCGCTAGGTAACTTAAAGCATGGCATTATGGGCTGGAAGATATAGATCTCGAGCCATTTGAGATATGTCTGTGGTGATGTGCTACTGTTGAATATTATAGAGAGACTACTTAGTAAATATATCCTGGCACTGGTGACATGGTGTGCTACGACTTTAGAGCAGTAATAATTAGTGAAAATACTATGCAAGACGTGGCAGAAAATATATACAAATCGGATATCGATAAGCGCCAAAGGCGGTGGAGACGGCTATACGCTAGGGTAGATCAGGCACATAACTCCGGACCATAACTTATCGGCCCCGCTGAACCTACAGATGAGGATGTTATGTCCGATTGGAGATGCTGGAGAAATACTTGATCTAAACCCGATCTACATTCACTCCTATTCTGCATACCATCAGGAGTCTCGTCAAGAGGTTATAGGAAATCAAAATATGGATAATGCACTCTTAATAACAGATCTAGGCGGCAATGGTATGTACCTAACACTAAAATCCAGAAGAAAGCCACATATCGGACAATCCCCCAGTCTGTTGGCTGAGAGTAAGTATTCGATATCAAATGACAGCTCCAACGCCATATTTATGACCTTAGTGGTATCTTCCCATTCAAGATGGCGTCGACCAACTCATTCAGTCGGCCAAAGCGACCTTCCGAAGGTTCTCGGTCTATCTTCCAGACTTTTTTTCCGGCTTGGTCCCATGGAGCATTTAATTGCTTCATCAATTTGTTTTGTTGGTCAGTACTGTCTCCATTTTTCGTGGATATTGTATCCAGAGACTCACGCTGCAGGGAGCGCTTGATTTGTTGTGGCTTGTTCGATTGGTGAACAGGGAGTACCCGGTCAAGACCCTCGCCGCGGACTTAATTGTCGGGCATAGTGACTGGTCTGCAGGGCGAGAGTAGTCAATTTAAGTATAACAGTGCGCGATAGGAACGATAACCTAGTGACTTGCGTATTTTTTCCCATTTCAAGAAGAAATTCGCAGTTAACGTTGCATGTGATGACTGATGCGCAAAGGATGATGGTAGTTGTGACTCATTTTCAAGTAAATAGCAGACCTTGAAAGTGGTAGGAATAAATGAAGCACTCAGGCAAATGTGGGTGAGAGAGCCCAGCCAATGCTCAAAGGAGTTTGTCAGTCAATGTTAAGTACATGCTACCGTTCCATCTGCAGGTTTGCTTGCCTCAAGTCTTTGTATTAAATGTGGACCACTCAAGCGCTACAATGCATGATTGCGAATTCAATGTCCCAGCAGAATTCGCATAATGTACAACATACTTAATACATTCAAATGAGTTCTAGATCCTCAAAATACATATACATGGCCATCCAACTCTAGAGAAGATCAAAATTTCACATGCGATACCGCTCATAGAATACAAGAAAAGGAGAGTGGAGATTATATAAGATAAAGCCCTGGATTAGGACTTTTTGAGAAATTCTGCGTCGGTTTCACTGCTGCTCTTTCGAGCATCATCCAGCATGCTGTCCATGCCTTTCTCTTTGAGTGCTTTCTAAAGGCAGGGTCGGTCGATTATTAGTCTTCGAGCACATGTAGAAGAAGCCTGGTCATGACTTACATGCAAGCAGCTTTTGTACTTGGAGAAGAGCTCATCACAGTCATTTGACGTGGTGTTGCCACGAAGGTATTCTGTTTTAACGTCAACCACACCGCTCTATTCTAAGCCAAGAGTCTATATGGACATACTCTCGCTGTACCATTTCAGAAAACAAGTATCGTATTGCCTGGAGCCCCATGTTAGTTCGTCTCAAACCCTCCAGAACAAAGAGGCGAAAAAGTCAACTTGAAGCGTACTCTTTAGTTTGATTGCATTCAGGAGCGATTGAGGCAGCCATAGTGAATATACACGACCAAGCAAGATCCAACCAGGCTAATAAAAAGGGTAAATTTGCTGAATGTAGGCTTTAAAAGAAGTCAAAAGCGGTCGGGGCTGGAGACTTGAGGAATAAGAGGTTGGCCACTTCGGCCAATCAAAACATCTCCTGAATCTGTCAATTTTAGGTAGGCGGTGAAATCGGCAATACCATTTCTCTAATTTCTCTAAGCGCAACTTTTTTCGAAGCTTTGCAAATCCCCTCCGCTAACGCACCCTATTTCTTCCTTTGGATTTCCGTGGTTTGAGCTCAGCCCATCATGGATTCCGCGGAGTATGTCACATTTCAGGAAAAAGCGCTAGCCGCTGTGACGCAGGTTATTCGCACCGCGAGTCATCTCGCTTCTGAGGATTTGACTTTCCACCGCACCAACAGCAGCGATGTCACCGAGGCGCTCGACGAGCAGACCGAAAGGATCCTTACCTTGACTTCGGCGGTGTTGAAAGCAGCCACAAATGGAACAGACCTCCAACCACCGACGCTGGAAAACGAAGGCGAAGAATCATTGGACGACAAAAATTGGCGCGATGTGGTCGATGTGATCGATACACTTTTGGAAAAGGCAGATGCGTGCCTCGATGAGTTCACGGGCGTCATCAAGAAATTGAGTCCGTCACTGGAAGAGCAGGCCCCCCCTGTGAGGAAGGCTCCAACATTCCCGACCACCTACGACTACGGCCCGTCAAAAATCCCAAAGCCACAACTGAACTTTGATCACAAAGCTGATAACTCAGACCTGGGTCCTTTCCGGCCTCTACTCAAATCTAAGCCACATGCGACTGTACCGCTGGAAAGATCGTTGCAAACACAAGAGATTGGCGGGAAAGAAGCCTACCCGAGTCCTTACGAAGCCGAGATTCGCGCCTCGAAATACCCGAAGGCAGTTTACGAGATTTCGCCTCCGGTCGATTACCTACCCTTTGAGGACACAACCGCCACCTGGGTCGATACTTTTGATGGAGTCAAGGAAATGCTGGCAGAGCTGAAAGAGGCGAAGGAGATCGCGATTGATTTGGAACACCACGATGTGCATTCCTACCATGGCCTTGTTTCACTGATGCAAATCAGCACACGGAATAAAGACTGGATCGTCGATACCCTCAAGCCATGGAGACAAGAGCTTCAAATTCTAAACGAAGTGTTTGCGGATCCCAAGATTCTGAAAGTGTTACATGGTTCTAAATCTGATATAATCTGGCTTCAGCGTGATCTGGGTCTGTACATGGTTGGCATGTTTGACACTTTTTACGCCGCATCTGCTTTGGGATACCAGAAGAAGAGCTTGAAATATCTGCTCCAGAAAATCGTCAACTTCGAAGCCAACAAGCAATACCAAATGGCCGATTGGCGTATTCGTCCGCTTGACCCTGGCATGTTTGACTATGCACGTTCTGATACCCATTACCTTCTGTACATTTACGATCATCTACGAAACGAGCTCATCGAAGCATCGGAACCCGATAACAGCCTGATCGACTACGTCAACGAGCGATCGCAGAACGAGGCACTCCAACGATATGAGCGCCCGGTCTATGACGAAAAGAACGGATACGGCCAAGGAGGGTGGTATGAGTTACTGACTCGCAACTCCGGCGTACTCAGCAAAGAGCAATTTGCCGTTTTCAAGGCTGTACACAAGTGGCGCGATGAGGTTGCACGGGAGGAAGATGAGGGCTCACAGTGTGTTTTTCCGAAACATGTCCTCTTCCGACTGGCTCAGACCATGCCGCTTGACATGGGGACCCTACTCCGCACCGTATCACCCATGACCCCAATCACCAAGGAACGCATAGACAGTCTTCTAGACACCATCAAAGAAGCCAAGGTTGCTGGTGCCACCGGTCCTGAGTGGCGTGATGTTCCGCCGCCGCCAAAAGCTGCTCCTAGAGCTGTATTGCCTGTTGCTGAACCTTACGAAAAGTCTCAATTCTGGGGTACCACTTTGGATGCCCGCCAGCCTCCTAAACCTCTCGAGTATGCTCTTAATGCCTTCACTGAGGCAATTCGGCTCTCTCTTCCCTTGCCGCCCATGCCATCCACCGTCTCTGAGGCTCGCGAGAAGTTCGTTGATGTGAAGGTTCCATCTCCCAAGGCGGAAGCTTCGCCTGTCGCTACCCCCCCGGCTCCTGAGGAAAAGAAAATTTTCACTGTTAAGGAACTTGGCGGTCCTCGCAAGCGCAAAGTCACCCCTGTTGAGAAGCCAGAGAAAGATGTACTGACTCTTGATGGCATGGATTACACTGACGACGAAGAATCCGAGGCGATGCAGCGCAAGAAGGCGCGCAAAGAGAAGAAGCGGAAAGCCAAGGAAGCTGCTCAGGCTCAGGCCGACTCTACTCCCTTCGATTATGGCGCCGCAGACTCTGTCTTACATGCACCTTCGGCGCAGGCCCCTGGAATGCAGTCTAAGCATAAGAGGGCTTATAACCCTTACGCAAAGGCGCTTGAGGCTCCATCGGGTGTGCGCCATACCAAGCGCGACATCGCTGGCAAGTCTATCACTTTCCGCAAGTGAGAGTATAGATGTGCCTGTTTCATTTCGCCAAAAAGCATGTTTGGGGTTGGTTCTTTTTCTTTGTGTTTATATTGTTCTTGTATGCATAGCGATACCCGTGCGTCACTGGGAGGAGACTCTCGGATTTTTTGTATGTACCTATAGAGGTCGGGGGCTCCCCTTGACAATGAGATATGTATCAAACCATTATCGATTCAAATAGAAACTTGTAATGAGGCATCTAAAGGGAAGTCAACAGCAACTTAAGTATGACTTTGAAAAGACCTGAGCGCAAGCCCCAGCCTCTAATGACCCATCGCAATGGGCTTGTCTTGGGCTTTCATCCTCTCCGCGATGATATGCTTACGCTCCCGTCGTAAGTTGTTAGCATACTTCACCCCAAATCCATGCTCAAATACCTCTTGGACTTCTTCAAGCACAAGGCCAGACACTTCAGGGTAGAAGAAATACAGCCAGATCCAACCAACACCGCAAATACCAGCAAAGAAACCAAACGCCCCAGACGGGGTCATCGCCTCTATCATGGAAAGGAAACAACTGGAGATTATAACATTACTGCCCCAGTTGGAACATGTGAGCCACATTGTGCCCATGGCGCGGACCTCCAAGGGGAAGAAATCGGTACTCATCCACGCAGTGTTACCCACCGATACGCCGTAGAAAACGACGTACCAAATGATGAAGACAATCACCGCGATCGCAGCAGGTGGCACTCCGCTAGTCGGTTCAAGGGTTCCGGATTCCAGGTTGAATGGGATCCACTTGAAGGCTATTGCAATGGCAATCATACCAGCAGACATTCCCCAAGTCGTGGAGAGGAGAAGGCGTCTGCGGCCCATCTTGTCGATCACCATCATATTCACAAAGGTCATGATAAAGTTGGTACCAGCAACCACCAACCCAACCGCCATAGGGTCGCTGAATCCAATCGTCCCGAAAAGGGTCCCACTATAATACATCAGGCCGTTGAAACCCGACAGCTGGGAAATGACCATCAATCCACACGCACTTATCAAAGCACGTAGATTGCTGGGCACGCAGTGCAGCTGCTTGATCTTGCTAAATGCGGTACCGCCATCATTGATCTCGCGGGCTTGATTACAGGCGACTCTAATGGATGTTTGGAGAGCGTCAATCTGCAGCTCACTAGCTCCCTTGTATATCTTTTTCAGAACCACGCGGGCTTCCTCTTCCCGACCTTGGTAGATGAGGTGACGCGGCGATTCAGGACAGAATGGCAACAAGAGAGCAAGAATGATAGCTGGTACAGCACCAAGTCCAACCATATATCGCCATCCATGATCCACGTGGGCAAAGGCCGCACCGATTGCGTACGAGATGACTTGACCACCGGTTATGGACATGTTGTTTAAGCCGATGAGCTTTCCACGCGACTTGGCCGGTGCAATCTCAGCGACATACAGTGGCAAGACCATGGCTGCTGAACCGACGCCAAACCCGATTACGACACGTCCGACGGACATTTGAGCGATTGTGTATGCGGCTGCCTGGAGCACGGCGCCGATGATGAAGAGGGCGCAACCTATATAAATTGCCATTTTGCGACCAAACTTGGTAATTTTGATGAGCTGCTGCAACACTGGACCAAGACATGGAAAGTATCTAATAGGAAAGATATCGACGTACCCTGTCTGCCGTGTTTCCTGCAAAGATAGCTCCGAAGAAGGCTCCTCCAGAACACAGCGATGTGATCAGTTCTTTCTCGCTGCTTGTGATAGGTCTATTGTTGAGATCGCTGCCCATGTATGCTGTCGCCCCTGATATGACACCAGTGTCATATCCGAATAGCAAACCCGCTGTCGAGGCGGTTAGGGCGACTATCCACACAAACCAGCTAATTGGAATATCATCGACGCTAGTAGCGATGTCATCCATATCTGTCCCAACGTCGATCTTTTCAATATGTGCATCATCTTCAAAATCGGCACCGCGGACTGATTTTAAATACTTGATCTTTTCTCCAGCCTCCACGTCGCCATCTGAGGACTTGTCAAATGAAGACATCTTGCCAATGCAGATGTAAGATGAATAGAAGGAGAAGCCTGCGAAAGACAATACTACCGACTGCTAGAAGGGAACATTTTTTTTCTTTTATACACCGAAATGCATGCTCCAGTACTCGAGGGCTCAAGCACTGATAGTCCCGCATATTGCTGGGATCTGGGGGAAGTCCATTCCCGAAACGCGGGGGCCCCGCATCCCCCAACGTCCACCAGTGAGCCAAAACTGGGCTAAAGAAGCCGATCCTTGCTCACCGGTACCTGTTTGAAACCTTGTCATGTCGCCGGCAATTTCCTGCTAGGGAGATTGGACTTCATGGTCGGCCTTTGGTCTTAACTATAAAGTCTAAGGAAACCTATTTCCATACCGCCGATCCGATGCGCTTTGATGATAGGCTTGCCGTGCAATTGGAGGGGTACTTCGGGTTTTCAACCTTGCCTGACATCATTATACCTTTCTAGGTTTATGTCTGTACGGAATCACGCCGAGAAAGAGCATGCGAGGCGTTGACAAGCCTTGGCGATTAACAAATACCATCGAGCCGATTAGGTGGTTTCTGGTAGTGGTTACTACGAACGCATGACTCTAGAAGCCCCGGACTCTTTTATGATTCATTGATAACGATTATAGTGCAATTTCATGGTGTTTATTGGTGCATCATGATTGAGATATTTCTTTTGAACTATCGATTTCTGCGAGCATGTATACGTCATTCTATCACATGAAGCAATTCCCGGGTAAACGTTCCACCATGAGCCTCCCCTCATTTCTCCACCTCCCGTCGCCAGATCTTCAAAGGCATAGGCCCCGAGTTCAAATTTGTAGTCTGTCGAATTGTGGGCTCCCATACCGGCGACGATAATGCAAATTCAAACCGATGAACCAAAGACGCAAGGAGAACGGTCTGTTCAAGATAACTGATATTCCGACCAATACAACCCCGAGCACCAGCACTAAAAGCCACAAAGTAAGGCTGAATCTCCTTCCCTGCGTCTCCAAGCCAACGCTCCGGTCGATAGGTTTCAGGTTCGGGGAAAATGGCCGGGTCTCGATGCATCACATATGCCGATATACTGACCGACGTATCGCCGGGAATCCAATCACCCAAGATCGTTGCACCCTCCGGTGGCGTACGTCGGGGTAAATTCTTTGAGACTGGTGGTAACAGGCGTAGGGCTTCGTCGATGCAGACGCGTAGGTAGGGCAGGTGGCGGACTTTGTCATACGGAGCAACGATTTCTCGTCGAGGATGGATCCTACTTCTGCGCGTAACTTGCGAAGGCAATCCGGGTTCTTTAGTAGTAGATACATTGTTGCATTTGCTGCGATGGCTGTGGTATCCGATCCGGCGTTCATCATGATACGACCTCGGAGACGATCTCGCCCCATTCGAGATTGTGAGGATTTCCATTCTTGTCATTCATGAGTACGGAGAAGAAGTCGTCTAGCTTTTCTCCGTTTTCATATCGCTTCGTTCGTGTTGTCGCGCGGTTGTAGACCACTCCGCTCCAGTCTTCACTTAGGCTCCACATGCGTTGATAAGTAGAAGATACCACCTTGCTGATTCTGGTAAGTGTCTTGAACCAGTCGTAAGACCAGACCAGGTTCGACTGAGCGATGGCTGTGTTGAGTAGAAATTTTCGAAAATGGACTTGTTTGGTCGCGCCGTTTGTGTTCTCTGACGTGATGAGATCGTTGCCGTTTTCGATGAATTGGATGTCCTCGCTTAGGCCAATATAGGCAATTGCCGCTATCGTGAACAGGTTGCTCCACTTGCGATAGTCGAGTGTGAGGTCGGTGGTCTTTGGGATCTCGCCATCTTTCAAGGGAGGAGTGCAAAGGCCGTCGAATGCTCGAATTAATCGGCCTGTCATATCAGAGACCTTGTATTCCCACTCCTCAAGGTTCTTTACGGCATATGCGCTTGAGAGAATCATTCTCTTGCGTGCGTGCTCTGTTTTATCAACCACGTCGGCGAGATGGGTATGTGTTCCTGAGACCTCAACGTAAGAACGATCCTTGATGCATATTGTTCCATGCCCATATATGTCTTTTATTGCACTAGCGTCGCTGCAGGAAAGCGAGTTTGGTCCGATACGGAGGGTCAGGTGTTGTTTATGCTTCTGTAACATATACTGGGAGCGGAATTCCTTTTGTGACTCTCTCATATAAGGCCAGTCTGATATTCCGGACCAAATGGAGAGTTGCGGGAATTTGCGAAGACCCTTAGGTTCACGGAAGTAGGCAATTATGGGAAGAGCAAGGAAGTAAATGAGGACACCGATAGAAGAAATGATAAAAAATACATGACCAAGCATCTTCAATATTGTGGAACAAATGTCTTAAACACTATATCATTCAAGTGAGCCTAAGGTATTCCCTCACAAGGTATTAGGTGACGGTGCCAAGCCCCGATGTACGCGCTGCCAAAAATCTAGACGCGATTGTGTTCGTCAGGAGCCGCCTAAATTACGGTTTCACAACACTTCTTTTGCACAGGGGACGGTGAACACATCCGCAGGTTTGTTTTGAATTCATTGAGATTGTGATGGTGATTGTTGCTTACGTTGTCTCAGCAGAATTCCAATATATTGATGAAACACCCAAGTATATTGGAACGAGAGCGAACAGTAGTCCTACTCAATATTCCTCCCCTGAAGAGCATGGCCCGAGCTCACGGAATGTCCTTCGAGATGAAGCACCAAATGATACATATGTCTGGCATTCGTCCCTTCATAAAACGACTACAACCTCTTGTGAGTAATCCCCATGTGACTACCCAGAATTTGTTATCATTGGATTGTATGCACAGCCCTTGGACTATTGATATATCTATCGAGACTATGTATCGAGACGAATTGTTGACTTTGATTTCATAGCGTCTCCCACTATCACAGCGAAAAGGACCGAATTTGCGTCAAGTCAACCTTGGAGAGGTATTCCTATTACGATATTTGTAGAGGAATTAGCCAAATGGGTAGGTGTAGTGCCATTCAATGGGTATTCCTGTCACCGAAAGCATTACCTACTTTATAGTTTGATATATGTGACCCGGAACGGCACTTTGGGGTGGTTGTACCTCAGCGACTGCGATCTTGCCAGCCTCTTTTCAATGCTGTTCTGTCTGCATCATCCAGGCATTTTACAACATTACCAGATCACAATAAGAAGCAGAAAATCATGCAGTTGGGGCTTCAGCAAGAATTGGTAATTAGCAAGGCAGCTGTTCTAGACTACCACAGCCGATGCATTGCATACCTGAGGCTCCTTGCCAATGAGCCCGATGCTATTATGAATGAGAATCTATTGGCAGCCGCAGTGGTTCTTAGGTTTTACGAAGAGCTGGATTGTACGTGGAATATTTTCATATTTTAAGTGGATCTTGCTGACAGCACTGAAATAGCTCCGTTTATTGACATCCCTACTGATGCCGCTACCCGAGGCCTTCAAGTGTTTATTGAGGCCCAAGCAAGTCTGGCACTCGCATCCTCGGGGCTGCGGTATGCTGCCTTCTGGGTTGGATTCCGCCAGGAATTTCATATGGCCTTCTCTCAACAGCGACCATTCGGCATTCCTCTTGATATCTGCGATACCTACCTTTCCTGGGACCCTGCGCCCGATCCCGCCTTAGTGAATCGATTGTTCATCATCGCTGCTCATGTCATTCAGTACTGTTATAACAATCAAGACCAGCAAAATCGTTCAAGATATGAGGAATTGGTCTCTCTCTACAACAGGTGGTTGGAGATGCGACCACCTGCGCTTTTCCCCGTGTATTCCGACCAGCCAGAACAAGGGAAAGGTTTGATATTTCCACAGAAGTGGTATTTGAATGATTTCCACGTGGTCGCTGGGCAAAGTGTCGGCTTGGTGGATATTCTGTTAACCGCCTACGACCCAACAGTCGCAAGAATTGGACCTAGTCAAAAAAGAGCCACTGAGTCCATAGATGACAGGCTGAAATCTACAGTTTTGGATATCTGTGGAATCGCACTTTCCAACCGCCAGGAGCCCACTGCTCTTTTGACTGCCTGTATTTCTATTGCCATCTGCGGAGACCGGTTCACGGATCGGATAGAACAAGAGGCGCTGATGGATATTGTGATAAATTCGGTACGAGATAATAACTACTGGCCATCAAGTGCATTGGGGGAAATGCTGCGAAAGGCTTGGGGCTGGGAGACTTCATAATGAGAATAACACCTTGAATGGACATGCAATGTGTCTGTAGAATCCATTTCAATGCTTGTTTATCGCAGTGCGGGGTGACCATGTGACATTCAGCATCGTCCAATCAGATCACGTACTGATAGCAATCTGACTCATCCGACGATCGTGCCGGCGAGGGGCAGAAGAATTTCCGCGTAGTTTGAAGTCAATTCAATATACCCAGAAAGTAAGGAAATTCTTCTAATTTTCTGAAGATTATACTAATTGTTCTTGCGATCTAGAATTCCGGTCTTCATTACCCACACACACCATGGCGAGCGAAGGTCAACCCCCCGCGCTCGACAACCTGAGCCTTGCTGAAAAGGCCCCCGAGAGCAAGTCTACCGCCCAGGTTGTGACACCCTTTGATGTCTCTGGTGGTGTCGATGAGTCGGGTAAACTGCTCCCGGTCGACTACGATAAGTTGGTGAAGCAGTTTGGAGCCAGTCCTTTGACCCCGGCCATTCTTGAGCGCTTTGAGAAGGTCACTGGCCACCGGCCGCACCGTTTTATGCGCCGTGGTATTGTGTTCAGTCACCGTGAGCTGACCAAGATCCTCGACCGCCATGAGAAGGGCCAGCCTTTCTACCTGTACACTGGCCGTGGACCAAGCAGTGATAGTATGCACGTCGGACACACTGTGCCATTTGAGTTCACCAAGTATGATCACCCGTCCATCTTGCAATTGAGTAGTCAAAAAGCTAATAAGAATTGATTCAAAGGTGGTTGCAAGATGTCTTCGATGTTCCCCTGGTGATCATGATGACTGACGACGAGAAATACATGCACTCCGCAAAGATCGAGATCGAGGACGCCAAGCGGTTTACCAAGGCCAACGCGAGAGACATTATTGCTGTTGGATTTGACATGAAGAAGACTTTCATCTTCAGTGATTTCGATTTCGTTGGCGGCGCATTCTACGAGAACATCTGCCGCATGGCCAAGCGCATTACAATCAACCAGATCCGCGGCACATTTGGATTCAATGACAGCAACAACATCGGAGAGTTCCACTTCTGCGCTACTCAGTCTGCTACGGCCTTCGCCACCAGTTTCCCTCAGATCTTCGGTACCGACTTCAAGAAAGTCTCTTCCATCCCCTGTTTGATCCCCTGCGCCATCGACCAAGATCCCTACTTCCGCCAATGCCGTGAACACGCAGAGAAGATGAAGTACAAGAAGCCCTCGCTCATCCACGCCATCTTCCTGCCTGCCCTTCAAGGACCCGGCTCCAAGATGTCTGCTAGTGTGGATAGCTCCGCCATTTTTATGAGCGATACCCCCAACAAGATCAAGAACAAGATCAACAAGTTTGCTTTCTCAGGTGGTCGGGAGACTGCTGAGTTGCACCGCGAGCTGGGTGGTGACACCAAGGCTGATGTGCCCTTCCAGTACTTGACCTTCTTCCTTGAGGATGACGATGAGCTTGAGCGCATCCGCATCGCCTACGAGAAGGGTGAGATGATGACTGGTGAGATGAAGCAGCGCTGTATTGCCGAGCTTCAGGCATACGTCACCGCATTCCAGGAGCGTCGGGCCAAGGTCACCGATGAGATTGTGGCTGAATACATGCGTCCTCGCCCTCTTGAGTGGAAAGGAAACCCTAACCCCGTTGTGGCCGAAAAGAAATAGTTGAAGGCTGGTAAGGCCCGGTGATCACGAGAAATATTTAAGATCCTGGCAAAATAATTCTAGCGTCACGACAACGTGGTCTATGGACCTTTCGATACTTTTATTTTCATATACACATTGTACATAAGGTGACAGGGCAGCAGTATCTGCAGTCCCTGTGACTATAGACTGTATGGCTGTCATTGCGATGGGTTCAGAGAAACCCTACCACGCATAAACCCTCGGACACCATTGCTTAGCCAACATTCTTCTCCATCCATAAGCTCTGAAGCCTTGACCTTCTGTTCAACGCAGAACCCTTGTTCCAAAGCATATCTTCTTGTTGTACCCGCATTACCACCGCAGGTAAGTGGCGGAGTGACCCAAGCATCCCCGCGCCGGAAATATGGAGTAGTGATAGTTCCTTCCATGATCTCGCCCTCCATATTCACCATAAGAATCTCTTCTGGCTTTGCCCCAGGGCTCACATTGCCCCGAGACTGAGCAAGTGTGTAGTTCTCCCGGTCAGTGGTCTTGTGCGTCGTGAAGCCAGACGGTTCTGTACGTTCCGTATCCACGAGAACACGCCAAACAGTCGAGTCTGTACTCTTGTGTAAATCAGGGGTCAAGAAATTGACCAGATCCATGGGACCGGTCTCTGAAAACTCGCAAAACGCATGGCCGTTGCGTTGTAGAGAGAGCTTCAACCGCCACGGTCGAGTTTTGTCCGGTACTCGCCAATTCAGGAATCTGTCTAGGGTTTTAACGTCCCCATTCATCCACATTGGCCCATTTTCAAACACATCTTGCCAATTGAAATGGCGTGCTGCAGCTATGATTCGCTCTTGGTGATAGGCCAGTAGGTAGTAGGGCGAGTCCAAGGGTTCGGGGTAGCTCCCAGGGTGTTGCAGGGTCATACTGGGAAGGTTGGGATCATAGCGAAATGATGAAAATATGTCGAAGTCTGCTTGTTCGGGGTATTTATGCTCCACAACAAACAAATTCGAGGACATTATGGATGTTCAAGCTGTTGCTGTATGATCGTTAATAAGGCAGTCTCGGCGGTTAGTCGCGATCTGTCTCACGCGCCAGTGATTGTTTCCCTTGGATTGTTTCCCTTGGATTGAAAGGCTGAAAAGATTAAGGATGATATCCGAAGAGATTCAATTGAAAGCCAAAAACAATAGCTTGTATGGAGATTCAGGTAATTGACACATTCCTGTTTTGCCCGGTGCAGCCGAAGGTGGTGTTGAAACGGTGGAGAACTTGCTGTCGCGCGGCGCGTGATTGGCCGTAGCGCAATCATCGAGTTTCTTGACTTTTCCTCCAAAGCTCCATCGTCCTCCCTATCTCACACTTCCCGCTTCAGGCGTCATATAGATCGGTTAGTTTCTCCCTCATTTCATCTTCATCGATTTGTCGCATTGTGTCAACAATACTAATCCCGTCGCCGCCTCACAGAATCACAGGACTTTCATAGCACCGGTCGCCGTGTTCCTGCCCACATAATGTCGAGCGTGTCACCATTACCTACACCCACACCCACCCAAAACGTGGTGCTGGACACTGCGTACTTGCCGCCGGCGGGGTCTTCGTCGGTCTGGGATCGCGTGTCAAAATGGGTGTCGGAGAATAAGGCTCTGGTCTACACCATTGCCGGTGTCGCCGTTGTCGTCACCAGCGCCGGAGTTGTCTACTACTTGTCCGACTCCAGCAAGCCCTCACCTCCGGTACAAAAGAAGAGCAAGAACCAGCGACGGAAAGAGAAGAAGAAGGTTGAGGAAGAGAAGAAGGCTAAGCCAGCATCCGTTCAAGATGGTTTGTGTCTATTGCATACTTTGATGGAATGGAGTGACTGACATCATAATCAGAGCCTGCTGCCAAGAAGGCTGACGAGCCCGAGGAGCTGCCCGAGGTTGATGAAGCGACCGTGGGCGAGCTGTCAGAGGAGGTGAGTTTCTGATGCTGTTCGATCCCCTTTCCTCGGAAGATGCCCGCTGACAATTGATGGAAGACTCGGAAGGAATACGCCGCCAAGCTGAAGGCCGCCGGTAACAAGGCTTACGGCTTGAAAGACTACCCCAAGGCCATTGACCTGTACGGCCGCGCTATTATCTGCAAACCCGACCCCGTTTTCTACTCGAACCGTGCCGCCTGCTACAACGTTCAGTCCGACTGGGAGAAGGTTGTTGATGACACCAGCGCTGCTCTTGCTATGGACAGCGAATACGTCAAGGCCTTGAACCGCCGCGCCATTGCCTACGAGCACCTCGGAAAGTTCAGCGAGGCTCTCCTTGACTTCACTGCCAGCTGCATTATCGACGCTTTCTCCAACGATGTCAGCCGTAACTCCCTGGAGCGCCTGCTGAAGAAGGTTGCCGAGAAGAAGAGCCAGGCTATCCTCGAGGCCCGCAGCAAGAAGCTTCCCAGCGCCACCTTTGTTTCCAACTACCTGCAGAGCTTCCGTCCTCGCCCTCTTCCCGAGGGTCTGGAGGAGACCGTTGAGTTGAGCGAGGAGTCTGGTAAGGGCCTGCTGCGCAAGGGTCTGGTTGCCATGGCTAAGAAGTCTGGTGAGGGATACGAGGAGGCCGCTGCTTCCTTCGAGAAGGCTATTGAGGTCGGTGATCTGGGTGACTTCGAGGCCCTGGCTCTCAACATGCGCGCTACCTTCACATACCTGGGTGGCAATGCCCCCGGTGCTTTGGAGGACTTGAACAAGAGTGTGGAGCTGCAACCGTCCCTGGTCCAGAGCTACATCAAGCGTGCTAGCTTGCACCTTGAGCTTGGTAAGCCCACATTGCAACGTGGTTGAATTCATAAAACGACTCACTAATTGATCCGTAGGAAACAAGGATGCGGCCGCTGACGACTTCGAGCTTGCTATCAACAACGACAAGGACGATCCCGACATTTACTACCACCGCGCTCAGCTTCACTTCATTCTGGGTGAATTTGCCGAGGCCGCCAAGGACTACCAGAAGTCCATCGACCTGGATCGATCCTTCATTTTCTCCCACATCCAACTCGGTGTGACGCAGTACAAGATGGGCTCCGTTGCCTCCGCTATGGCCACTTTCCGCCGGTCGGTGAAGAACTTTGAGGAGGTTCCTGATGTTTACAACTACTACGGAGAGCTCCTGCTCGACCAGCAGAACTTCGCCGAGGCCATCGAGAAGTTCGACAAGGCTGTCGAGATGGAGAAGCTGAGCAAGCCTATGGGCATCAACGTCCTGCCGCTCATCAACAAGGCCCTTGCCTTGTTCCAGTGGAAGCACGATTTCCAGGAGGCCGAGAATCTCTGCCAGAAGGCCCTGATTAGTACGTGATCGTTCTTCCGATTTCTTTTCCCCAATACTAACTTGCTCTTTAGTCGACCCCGAGTGTGATATCGCTGTCGGTACCATGGCCCAGCTGCTCCTCCAGCAGGGCAAGGTCTCACAGGCTCTTAAGTACTTCGAGCGCGCTGCAGAGCTTGCCCGCACCGAGGCCGAGATTATCAACGCCATCTCCTACGCCGAGGCCACCCGCACCCAGTTGGAGGTCCAGGAGAAGTACCCTCAGTTGGCTGCTCGTCTGAACGCCATGGGTGGTAGCATGGGTCCCGGTGCTCCTCCCATGTAAAAGTGAGATTGAATTAATACGTGCCCCATTTCTCCCATCTTCTATCTGTCTTCGTTTCTACCCCCGGTCACCCCAAATTTGGAGTCGGGTCAATGTCTCCTTTCCTTATTCTATGATCCCAGTCTTCTGGCTTTCTTCTCATCTCCCAGATGCCCAGACTGTTTTTTCTCTGCTTGTATTTAGTACCCCTGACATGACCCCTGTTACACTTTATGTTTTCTTGATCTTGGGTGGGGCGGAGATAAGCGGAAGAGATGACTTGGGAATTTGGGGCCAAGGCTGTGTTGCCAGCTAAATGTGTGCATGTTGGAGAATTAATCTGTGTACCATAGAGGTGAATGTGAAAGTGTTTCTGATATATACTACTCTGTTGAGACGTCATTAAGACTACTACGGTGTACTAAGTAGTGAAGACTGACAGTTCGGGGTAAAAGGATCCACAGTGCATCCACATGATCCTCAAATTCGATAAGGAATTGCCCCACTTGGACTATAACATCATCACCTTTATCTGCCTAACTCAACGCATCAACATTTCTACTTCGCTTCAACTGCTTCCAGTCCTTCAACCTTTTCAAGTTCTTTAAAACCGAAAGACTGAGAAAGGAGTTTGAAAGTTTTGGTTCATTCAAAGCCGGTCCAACCAAATCCGATCCTTTTGTTTGAGCCTTGACCTTGACCCTGATTCATCATCCTACCCCTCTTCCCTTCTTCTCTTACCACCTTCCCACCTTCCTTCCGTATCCTCCCTCGACCTTTCTTATCTCTTCTTGTTTCCGCTATCTTCTTGCTTGACATCTTTTACGGTTCCAACCTATCTGAGTTTGTCGGGCATCAAGGTAAGCGCTCCATATGTTTTGGTTATCACTGTAACCTACAGGCTTACCTGTTCACGTCTGGACTAATATTCTGGGCATCAGTCACCATGTCCGATTTTGAGCTTCGAGGTAAGTTCTGAATCTTGGTTTTGATCCTGCTGTCACTTTGACTTTTCTTGATCTTTCTTTGTTCGGATCTGTTGACACCTTTTAAATCTTTCAGCCAAGGTGACTCTGCTCCCACTGGGGACGGATTACGCCATAGCTCGTGAATTCACCCTTAGCGACACAAATTACTCGATTATGATCGGGCGCGCTTCAAAGCGGGGTCTTAAAAATCGCTTTGCGGACCCTGAGAATGGATGGTTTGACTCGCGGGTCATGTCTCGGGATCATGCGGAGTTGCATATGGAGCCTGGCAAGATGGTATGATTCCTTCTCTGATAGATGGCATTCTACTATATTCACCATACTGATCTATTTATTCTGCAGGTCCTCAATATTGATGATCTCGCTTCGACCCACGGAACATGGCTAAACAATAACCGACTGATCTCAGGGGAGTCCACACCGTTGCTCAGCGGAGACATACTGCGATTCGGTGTGGATGTGGAACGCGGCGAAGGTATATTTTTCAGATTCTTGTATACTCCGAAAGGCCTTCAGTCAGCTAAATTACTACCCGATAGACGTTTTCCCCGCTCTGGTTGTTCGTTGCAAAGTCGACTGGTCAAGCGAACCAAAGTATGTGACTCCCCAGATCTGGTCTTCCCGAACCAGGACTGATGTCCGGCCCAGGAATACACAGAACAATGAAATCACAGCTTCGAAGGATTCATTCCCCGCTTCTGAGCTCAAGGCTGCATCTGCCTCTCGACAGACCTCTACCAATACCTTCTGCGTACCCGAGGATGACAGCGATGTCGATGAAGTTATACAGATTCACGAGTCTTATAAGGAGCCTCAAGATACTCACGTGGACGAAGTAAAGACCATGATCTCACCCGCTCTCACTTCCGAAGCTCAGGATACTTCTGTGCTCGTGAACTGCCAATCTGGCGGTCTCAGGAAGCACTTTCCGCCACCATATAGTGTCCCACCGCAATTCATCATCGACCAGCAGCAACAGTGCCCATCCCGCACCTTTACTGATGAACCACCTCTGAATGGGGAAATGTCTGATTATCCACGATTCGGTGTTAAGCTTGACAAGGATAATTGGTCGTCGGAGGTCGAGAAAGAGTTGAAACAGGCTTTTGACGAACAGATTGAAGAAGGTGACTCCGAGTTTGAATCGGAGTCTTCGGAATCTTCTTCATACGGCTACAATGTCGAGAATGAGTTCGGGGAAGAAGAGCTGGACAATCTGTTGCTTGGTAGCTCAGATCTTGAAGAAGATTCTGTCGCAGCCTCTTCCTCCGGAGCCGAATATGAATATGCCTCCGAGGCTGAGTCTGCCTCGGAAGCCTCGGACGCCTCCAGTGATTCCGATGACGCTTCCCACGGTTCTAGCGAGGAATCCTTGGGCGAGGAGAACGAGAAGGAATGCATTGACCCGACCCTCTTGACTCAGTACCAACTCGGAGCTGAGGAGGCAGTAACTACCATCCCGGTCTTTACACGGGCTACCCTCAATCCTAGCTCAGAGCCGCAACCCAAATCTAACGACATGAAGCACCACACATCCAACTTGCATGGTCTCCAGGTGCGCTTCCCAAAGTGCCCTATCAACTCTCTTTTGAACGGTGCGCCCTCACAAATCTCGCACCAGGGAGATGATGTAAATGCCCGTGACCTTTCGACTCATACCGAAAACCTTCAAATTCCTGGATATGCGCCCTACCGTGATGGGCCATTTTCTTGTGACCCGGTTGACAAAGAGATTGATGTGAATGAATGGAAGGACCGGCCCAAGCTCTCCTTGAAGCGTAAGGCCTTTGAGATGGAAACCCAAGATGCCCAGCTGCCGGAACTTATTGTTCCACCATCTGAAGACCTGAGCCTCAACACGACCCAACAGTCTCAGGTCGCCACTGCCATTACCTCCGCTCTGTCTGAGATCGAACCTTCGAGCAAACGAGTCAAGTCGTCACACTCATCAAACCTAGGAACATACACCGCTACCGCCGTTGTTAGTGCTCTTCTGGGCGGACTTGGCACCATCGCTCTTCTGGCAGCTCTACCGGCTGAATACTTCCAGTGAATTCCGAATCCTAGGGTCTACTAGCTGTCTTCTAGGTATTGCTACCCAGATCCAGCTATGAATCGAACGAATCATTTTTCGGCGTTCCCTAAATCATAGGTGGTCGGGGCTTTCTCAAGGTATGTTCCTGTCAGCGTCTCGGCCATTGGAGATTTTTCGGTGGGCCAGTATGCCTCATGACCAGAATGGAGTTTTTTTTGATACAAGGCGTCTACTTGCGTTGATTTGGTGTCTTATCATTTTCCTGCTCTTATTTATGGCTAAACTTCCCTCGCTCCTGTTCCCCTCTGGTGCGATGTCAGAGTTGTCCGGGTGGACTACAGTATGCCTCGCCAGATGGCCTTACGTTGCTCATGATTTCTACCCTTAGCAAGAATTCAATCTCCCATAACCTATTAACTTTCATTTCATCATGGTTCTCACCCGTATCAAGGTATTCATGGGCAGCTATCTGATCCTGACCTGCCGCGTGACTTGCTCAGAACTCAGCCTCGGGATGCTCTGCATTGCTGCCAGGTACCGTTCTTCGAAGGCAGACCCGTGAAGATACGCGGTGATGTCATTCGACCAATCTCGAGGGTCCATACTGCATTTAATGGAATGATACGGATAATCTAGTCCCTTATTTCAATTCTTAGTTCGATTAGGTCTCACAGTAATTGCTCGAGGGTCAAAAGAGTCATAGCTTAGGGACTGCAAGCCACCCCAATATTCGTCATAGGCACACATTGTGTGTTGAAATCATATCGTCCACTAAGTATTTTGCCCTGTCAGCATCACTCCGTCAGGTCCGAATTTATCAACTTGCCTGAAAATCCCGAGACACCGACTCCTAGAACCCGAGGCACCGGATCTTGAGAGGAAGATAAGGCCAGGAGTAGCGGTATACCCTTACAGGGAGATCATCACTTTTGTGATTTCAATGTCAACCGTGACCAATAGCCCCGAAATCATTTCACCTCGAATCATATCACTCATCGAAAGGGAGAGAAGGATTGAATCCATTCATCAATCGGACTGCAGCTTAATCCTTGCAAGTTCGTGTCAGCGGACTCGGTATTTGTTTCCTGCCAGTAACACCCTCGCAGGAAATTTTTGATCAGAATTTCTTTCTTTTCTTTTCTTTTTTTTTCCTTTTTCTGTTTATCAATTTCCACGATTTTCAATGCCTCGATTTCCCGGACTCACCGCGCATCCCAGTGCAAGCCCATGTTAACTCCGGTCTACGTTGAAATTTCGAGACTAGCGCGTGATGGCTGGCTGCAGGTGGACTCCCTATCTCCGTTCGAACAAACCTGGAATTTGGTCGGCCACACCGGAGAAGTCAATTTACCAAATGCAAGAACGGGTCATATAGGCGCTAAGAATGTACTGATCGTCCCACGAATCCAGGCACGTTTCTGAGTGCTGACTGGCTGCACGGCTGCAACAGTGAGCGGAGAATAAATTCTTTTTCCAATCAGTTAGACACTTCAGCTGGAGATATGGGCCATCAGTGGGTTTTAGACCTTAACGGTCCCCCGAGGGGGCCTTGTATTCACGTCACCCAGATGGGGGCAACGGAGATCAGCAAAAGAGGAGAATTGGCACCTTCCTCGGGGCCTTGTCCTAGCGTGGTAAGGCCCCCGGACACCTTCGACGCTGTGCTTGACGGCTACTTGCACCTGGGACACCGAAGGTATCTGCCATGTCGCATCTATGGCGCTTCAAGAGCGTCGCTTTCGTTTAGTTTCCTACAGTACATGATGCAATTGGCCACAAGACCAACTTTTCGACGTGTTCCACGGTCTCTCATTCGCTCTGAATAGGCAACTTTTTTGTTTATCTTTTTTTTGTATGAAAATAATAATGTGCAGCTCACTCTATATTGGGTTCGAGCCAGGGGAATCCCATTCTGGATCCTGGAACAAACCTCACACGCACCTGAATATGCGACCACCATTTCCGTCTGTTCCGGAGGTGTTTATTGAGAAACAATGATCAAGTAGGAAAATCACTTCAGTTTTCTTGTATGAAGCCGACAGCAGATATCCATAAGGAGGGATCGTGCGATTTGTAGCTGGGAGGGTGCACAACGCCCCTCCAGCTCGCTCTTCTCGAATGCACGCCCGTTTTGAGATCTTCAAATGACGTTCCCTGCCTCATCCAATCCCTTCTACTAGTTGCATACTGACTAACCGCCTGGCACCTTGATTTGTGGATCATCCTGTATGCGTCTTGACCCCTCAATTTTGTCTAAATGTAAAGGCTGTCATGCCTTAAATTGGAGGCCTAATGTGTCGGGCTCGTGAGCACTGCCTCTCAATCTGAGAAATATCACGTCTATGTGATCTGCGTTTATTTATCGGAAATGAGATCGTCCTCTTATTTTATTCCCATGCAACTATCCGTGGTTGGATTTCTCCATTCGGGCTTTCCAAATCCCGAGTCTAATTGTCCCCTATTTGGTCCCTACATCTAACATTTTTGTATCTAATGGCAGGGGTATCGTATTGTCCCCTCCTGGATACCTACTGACTCTTGCAAACGGTCACACAGGGCTGTGGTGGCTGCCATGAGGCTGGGGCTTATTTTCCGCATATGCAACATGGAGTCCTAGTTTGGGTAACGACCTGCTCAACCTTGATTCTGATTGTGATTTGCGAACGCCGAATACCCCCGTTGAATGATCCCTGCATGGTTATAATTCTTTCCTAAGTGGACCTGTGTCTGTTGAACTGCCGCGCAACCCGGGATACCGCTGCAGGATGCTGATGGTAAGTGCCATTGACAACTCGTCCTTTGTGTGAACCTGAAAGAAAAGAAATACGAAGCACCACGATTTAGTTCCTGGCAGATGGGATCGAATATCCCTCGTGAGCAACGACCGACCCCACCAGCTCGGCCCGTTTCAACAACCCTGAAAGTGCGCTGCTAGGTACATTAGTGTGGTTGTCCTGCATGCCTTATGGTGCGCAGCCTCCGATACACACACTCATCCAAGCTGATGGGGCCTGGGACCGAACTAAACTGAATCTGGTACATGCAGCGCTATCCAAACTGATGCCAGATCTAGTCCTGGACCTCTGATTGGTAGATTACTTTCTGGAAATATGTACCTTGTACGGATATGACCGGCCCATATCATTGAATAGAAATCAACCTGACCTGCAGTCAAGCTCACCGTTACAAGAAATGACCTGCTGACCATTCAGACATCGGTCTTTGTGTTGGTTCTGATCATCGACATCTACTAGGCAAATGTAGTATTTAATCTGAGATGTCGTGTGCCACCAGCCGTAGTATAAGAGTCGATCATCCTCCTGGACTTGCATTCCCTGATTCATTATACGTCAGCCCAGGCAGGAATTCAACCCTTACCTGATTATTGGAGACAAGGCGTCACGTTCTTTCCCATTGTTCCGACTTTTCTTGAATTAGACTCGGATTGATAAAGCACCACCCTTTCCTACCTTCCCCCAACTACCCTCAACATCCATCATTCAACAAAGAGCATCACAAAGGGAGGCAACCCGTGCTTACAACCTCGTAGCGGCATTGTAGCTTCGCCGAGCTATCCTTGTAGCACTACCGGTTCCAGCTTTGTGCTTTATCTTGCTGGCACCTCACACTATCGTCTTCAAGCCCTTTATGGCAAACCTACAGTCTCTTCTCAGTCTCGACCCAGATCACGTCGCCTGCATTGGCGGACGAACCGTCAAGACCTGTGGTAATTGCGCCGGAAACGCTCCTAGGTACGTCTAAAGCCGCTTTACATGCGCTTAGGCCCTAATCGTTATTTCTCCAGGGGCTCAATCTGCACTATCTGCGATGGCCGAGGTTTCAACATTTTTATTTGTGCACGCTGCAACCCTGCCGCTGCCGCTGCCGCTGCCTCTATCCGCATCGGTGCCACATCGGCATCAGCAACGGCTAACACTACACCGGGATCATCAGCGCCGTCCTCCCCGGGCTCATTAAGCCGAAGCCCTTCTACCTCATACCCCCCACATCCCGATTCGAGAACATCACGGATCGTTGACGGGAATAGAGATAGGACGAACTGTGGACGGATCGAGACCAATACACCACGCGATCTATGATCTATACGCTTCCGCTTCCATATGGGGGTGTCCATTTTGGATTCTTTGCATATTGCTCATCTACCAGGTATAGTAGACGGCTTTTTTCACCTTCGGTCTTTCCCTCCCGGATTCTTCATGTCTTTCATATACTGTTTATCTCACTTCCTTCTCTTCTGCTACCATGCATACATCTTGTGGTCGCACTGGTTCATGTACATGTTTTTTTCCCTTCAACCGCAAAATACACGAACGCGGTAAGGAGCAGCTGGCTTTGTTCCATTTTCGGGTTTTCTGACTTTGAATTCTTATCTGGTTCCCGGAAGGTTTATATATTAAATCTGGAAACCTTATATCGCTATGAATTATCATCCCAAAAATGCAATCAAGGCTTTGATTTGTTTGTTTATTTCTCTAATCTTTCCATTCCCATTTCTCACTGACTAGTAGCGTATCCCAGAGTCAAATTACCTAACATAAATTTCATATCTACGTCTCTATTGCTTGGGTACACCGCAGACTAACAGGACATGCGTTCTAAATTTCCACCAGACTGTTCATTTTTTTTTCCCTTCTCCTTCCACTTCACTTTTCTTCTCTTCTTTTTTTTTCATTTTCATTTTCTTTTCTATTCCGCTACTGATGGACCTTTGACCACTTGAATAATACGGTACGAAAGAGGGTAGAATACTGAGTAGGAGACCAAGTAGGAAATCAAGTAGGAGACCTAGTAAAAGATATAGTAGGAGACTGAGTTGGAAAATAGTAGGAGGTGTGGTCTAACACCTAAGTGGGCGCCACGCAAAAAGCGCGGCGGAAAGTCTCTAATAGAATGCTATGCTCGTCTCGCTCGTGCGCCCCCGTTTCTATCAACGCCTGATGAAGTTGGCTGACTTCCGGAGAGGTGTGTTCCGGTGATAGTAGTGATTTTTTAGTGCCGAAGCCGAAGGGTCAAACCTGGTCTCACCCCATTGGGATCTGCACCGTGCTCAATGAACAGTGATATAATCACCGATGGACGAGAATCATTAGTCGGTATTATGATAATTATCCCTTCAAGGGAATAAGTTAAATTGGAAAATATAGATAGAAAGCAAAAATGGCTTAATTGAAATCACGCTCATATAAAAAACTCCGCCCTATATAATCCAATGTTTAAAACAGTTTCTGTGTCCGAGCCCGTACCCAGGGACCAAAAAAGTAGAGCGGCAAAGCCAATGCAAGACATGCCCATTGAACTCCAGCAAACTCATAGAACATTGTGGCTACGCCTTTCTCCTCCATCCAGGCATACGCACTGGTGGCCAGTCCAAAGGCAACGAGATTCTTCGATGTGTTGACCAGGACAAGGGCTTCACCGGCAACTCTGGGGTAGGCATCCACGACGTATGAGAGCATCACAGAGGGGACGAGGGTCAGTCCAGCAGCGCAGATAGCAGATCCCACGGCTGGGCGGACATAGTGCTGGTGGTTGGCGACTGTGTATCCGAAGACGACCAAACCGACGGGGCAAATCAGGAAGGGGAGGATCAAGGCAGGCAAACGGTGCTCGGGCTGGTGGACGTTGTTGTTGCGCTTGCGCATCCAGCGGGAGAGAAGATCGGTTAGGGGTCCAGCGATGGGCCAGGCGATGACAATACCGACGAAACTGCTCAGGGTGAAGAGACCCAGGTCGGCGGATGAGAAGAGGTAGGGGGGTGGGGAGAAGAGTTCAGGAGCGAGAGTGGAAATGGCGACGATGCTGTGGAGAGTTAGAAGATGAAGCTGAGTAGGATGGGGATGAGTGTGCTTACCCTCCGAGGACCACTCCGTACATGATCGATGCGATCAACACGCCGGGTACGAGAAGTAGAGGGAATGGGAGCATGAACAGGTAGGCAAAGTGTTTGAAGACACCTTTCTCCCGAGCCTCTTTGGTGAGGCTGAAGGTGAACAGTCCCTTGAAGTGTAGGCCGTAATCCATATCGACACGGTCGCCCACTTGAGATTGGATGCGGCGGACAGCCTCAACGTGGCTGTGGCTGTCTTTCTCAAGATCCTCAACCTGCTCGGGTTCCTCTTCAGCTTCAGGCTCGTAGGTAGTCTCTGGGAGCATGAAGATGGCGGTGACAAAGTTGAAGGCCGCGAGAATGGCACAGAGGATAAAGAACCACCGCCATCCCCGAGCCTCGATGAGGTATCCGGCAATCACCGGGCCGATCTGAGAGCCTCCAGACAGGGACGCAGCATACAAAGCCATCGCACTGGAGTAGTTGCGTTCAAAGAACAGGTCTATGGGATGTTAGGGGGTTCTGTCGGGTAGATAGAAGAAAGGAGACGCACCTGCGAGAATACTGGGCCCAAGAGATTCGATCGCACCATAGCCTATATGAAAGCTCATCAGCATCCAACCTAGTGAACAACATATAGGATTCGACTTACCGAAGCTGGCAAAGACTCGAGAGGCGAGCAGGCTGTTATAATCATCTGCGACCGCACTCCAAATAATTCCACCTAGGAACATCGCCATGGATACAAGGACAACGGGGCGCTTTCCAAAGCAAAGAGCCAGAGGCATCCAGAATAGATTTGCCAGTCCCATGGACAGGACTGAATATGTGACCAGACCAGATAGTTTAGAATCGCCAACATGGAAATATTCGGCTAGTGATCCAAAGCCTGTTGCTATACCTGACTATTGTGATCATGAGTATAATTTCTTCAGGAGTCAATTGTGGAGAAGATCTTACCGAGTACATGTTTCCCATAAAGACAAACAAGTTGACGGCAAAGAGGGCAGACCACCGAACCCGGTTGGGGAGGAGCTGTACATGTTAGCTTTCGAGTACTTGAGTACAACATGTAGCATAGCATACCCTAGGATCAACGTCTGACATCTTGTTTGCAGTAGCTCAGTAGATGTGAAAGTAGGGGGATGCAGATCGTATGGGAATGGGATAGGGGGGACCCGAGCACCAATATAAATAATTTCAGTGAAAACTGGGAATTCCATCTGAACCTTGAGCTAAACCCATTTTCCCCGCAGATTAAGACGAAATGACTCAATATCATTGGTGATCCAATCCCAACACGTTTTCCCCGGAATGTCCGTGGGGTAGCTCGGATGCATCTCGGGACCGCACTAGGTGTGGCGTTTTTTAAGCGAACAGCGCCAATTTTCAAGTCAAATCAAATTGCCGAGCTCTGTCATGTGTTGCGTTTTGTTTTTCTTTCTTTTTGTCTTTTCCTCATTTCTCTGGAGTATATGCTGGGTGGGTGAGCGAGTACTTATGGTGAAGTCGGGCCGTGAGAAGAACCCGAGAATCGGCCATTTTAACATTTTAGTCTTTATGAGATCCGGAGCCGATGGGGGATTCCCGTGGTTGACAGTGTCCAGCCCCTTCATAGGCCCAAACACTTGAATGTGTTCAAAGTCTATATAACAAGGTAATTCAAGGTTGAGTTTATCGTGATCCAGTCTCGATTGAAATCTAAGAGCTTTAACGATCATCACCCCGGATTTTCCGCAAGTAGATTCTGAACAGGAATTGAGTACATTTGGATGTTTTCAGACTCAGTTAGTCTGAAAATTACCCAGGACATTTCGGTATGCCGATCATGTAAGGCTTAGTCCATACATACATTTACATAGAGCTGGATCCATTTAAGTCAATCTAAAGCATTGGTGTCAGCCATCAAACTTGCTAAAAAAAAAGTCAGAGATGAACCTTGGAAGATCACAAGAAATCCAGTCCTTGCCTTTTCAAAGGTATTGAAACATTCAATTGATTATCTTCTTCAGACGCAATAATTCAGGACACAACCCTACCTTGGTATGTTGATTTTCATTCATTGCTCTACACGTCATATTGCACGACATATTATGGCGTGCAGATGAAATGCTTAATAATACCTTTGTACGCCCAAGCGAATTATGCACATCTCATTCTATGAAGCACCGGTTTCAATCAGTTGATCAAAAGAAATAATATTCCTTGGCATCAGGATCCACTGGGATCGCCTCCCCAGGCTCCCCCAAACTCAACCCCAGGAAATTTGGGAACGACAAGGTCACGCAGACATGATTTCCAATCCAAATACCCATAAAAAGCACATTTTTGTGCGTGGCGCTCATCCCACCTGCACGTGTGGGAACTCCGAGTCGGCATTTCCGAGATTGTGGGGAAACCGGGGGGCACGAGCGACTCAGCCCCGGCCATTCCGGATAAGTTATGACCGACAAGGATTATAATCAAAGCTCTTCAGGTTGTCTTCTTCAAATATCCAATCGCAACATTGACTCTTGTGATTTCTACTAGAAACCAAGAACAAAACAATTGAAACTTCCACCATGGTACGAGTCAAGAGACCCCCTCCCACTCACAGCTAACGTACTGACCCCGCTTACTCGATGTAGGTTCCAGAAGAAGCGCGTCTGAACGTGATCATCGTCGGAGCCGGTCTCAGCGGTATCGCGACTGCCATCTCCTCCGCTCTGGTCGGACACTCGGTCACGGTCATCGAGCAAGCAAAGGAGCTCGCTGAGGTTGGAGCCGGTCTGCAAATCACTCCGAATGCTTCACGGTTATTGAAGTATTGGGACCTCCCCGCTTCTCTGTGGGAAGCTGCTGCGGAGCCTACCAAGTTGACTGTGCACCGGTACTCGGGTCAGGTTCTGGCTCACGACGCTGCATTTGACAAGGGCATTCGAGCGAAATATGATGCGCCTTTTGTGGACTTGCACCGGGTAGATCTCCAGCAGGCGTTGTATGCACGGGCAAAGGAGTTGGGTGTTACTTTCCATCTTGGGGAGAGAATTGAGCGCATTGATTTTGATTCTACCGTTGTGCACTCTGTTGCTGGGAAGCAGTTTTCGGGTGATCTTATTATTGCTGCTGATGGGCTGTGGTCCAAGTGTCGGGAGGCGTTCGTTGGGAAGAAAGATGAGCCACTTCCGACTGGTGATCTTGCTTACCGGATTGTTTTGACTGCGGATGAGATTACGGATCCGGACCTGAAGTCGCTTGTTCAGAACCCAGAAGTTCATTTCTGGATTGGACCTGGTGCCCATGCTGTTGGTTATTCGCTTCGAGGAGGACAGATGTACAACATTGTCTTGCTGGTTCCGGACAACTTGCCCCCGGGAGTCGCGAAGCAGGCGGGATCTGTGGAGGAGATGCGTGAGATTTTTGTTGGCTGGGATCCAATGTGAGTTATACACGTCACATTTTTTGCACTTCTGCTAACTGGGCTTCTAGCCTGAACAAGTTCCTGACATATGTGAACACCACAATCGACAAGTGGAAGTTGATGCACCGTGAGTTCGGAGTTCTCGAGACTGCAGATCTGATTGCTGACATTTTCATAGATGGTGAAATGGAGAATTGGGTCAACGACAAGTCAAACCTTGTCTTCATGTAAGTGAATTCCATTCAGTGCACCACTAAATTTGGCTAACCGGCATCTAGTGGCGATTCCTGTCATCCAATGCTCCCATACCTGGCACAAGGTGCCAACTCATCCCTAGAAGATGGCGCAGTTCTTGGCCTCCTCCTCGGACATATGACAGATAAGGCGCAATTGCCCCGCATTCTAAGACTATACGAGAGCCTCCGCAAAAGCAGAGGAGAGGCTATTGTGCGGGAAACCTTTAAGCAGGTGGGTAATCGCCGTTCAGCTATTTATGAGCATGTTCTAATGTTTCGTCTAGCGTCATGACTTCCACATGCATGATGGAGAAGAGCAACAGAAGCGTGATGAGGTTTTCCTTTCACAGCTTGGCAAGGAGCTCAAGGGCGCATTCCCCAGTCGATGGTACGCCACTTCTCACCTCTTTTGCCTTATAATTACTAACACACGGATAGGACATGCCCAGAAGTCCAGCCCTGGCTGTATGGCTACGATGCTATCAAGGAGGTTGAGAAGGCCGTGTCTCAGAACCCAGAGTTGTTCTCCCAGTCTTCTAAGAACCCACAGTCATTCTGTGACATTTTATAAGACACGAAATTGCCTGTATTGTTCCCTTTTTATGAAGCATCATTATTGCATACTTAGTTCAATACCGAATATAAACGCTACAATTCACATCTTCGCATTCTTGACGGTTTTCTCATTCGAGGCACTGAAAAAGAAGCCGTCATTTATTGTGGCTTTATAAAAGAGTAGAGGATAGAGATCTGTGATGCAATATAACACAAGGATAATGCACTTACGCCTTCTTCAACAAATGCAACAACTCCACCTTCGCCCCAATCAAAGGCGTAAATTCATCACCTTCACAGATCTTCATCGCCTTCCGGTATGCCGGACGCTCAGAAACCCGTTTCAAATAGGCAAGCAGATGCTTATGCTTCTCCGCATCAAAGTCCACAGGACAGAAGCCCCGCATAGTAGTCAAGGTAAAAAATATCATAATATCCGCAAGCGTAAGCTCCTTTCCAGCAAGATAAGCCCCCGTCTCAGCAAGACGAGCATCAAGCATATCAAGATACCTCTCCAACCTAGCGAATGTACTCTTCGCAAAAGGGGAGTTCGCATCCCCGCTCCGCGCCATAAGGAGTCGTAGAAATGTAGGCTGGAGACTGCCATTGGCGAAATGATACCACTCTAGAAAATTGGCATAGGTGGCACCGTCTTTGGGCGTGGGTGATAGGCGCCCGTTTCCATGCACTGCGACGATGTAGTCCATTATAGCGCCTGATTCAGCGAGCACAACTTTGTTGTTGGTTATGGGAGATGGGTCGTCTTCCATTACTGGTGCTGTGCCGGCGGGGTGGAGGTCTTTGATTGATTGAGGGGCAAAGACTGGGTCGCGCTTGTGGAAGACATATTTGTAGTCGAGGTTGAGCTCTTCGGCGAGCCAGATTATGCGCTCTGATTGGGATAGGCCCAAGTGGTGGAGGGTTAAAGGCATGGTGATGTGTTGTGGTGTTGGAAAATGAGAATGAATTAAACATTGAAGAGCAAATGCTATCGCAAATGAAACTAGATTTTCAATGGATTACAAACATTTTTGAGAGCGACTTTATCCACTTTGTGTAACTGACGAGTGGGGATAAGAGATATGATGTGACGTCAGGGTAAAAGCTCTCGATCTGATCGGGACCAGCAGGTTCGTGTTTGATAAAGATGGATAAGGTTCAATTAGCCCGTAAGCACTAGCATAACTAAGTCCAAATAGGAAGGTCCGTTTAGACATGGCAATTAAGAGCGACAGTTGGATTGTAACTCATACACTATTCTCCTCCAACATAGGTAGTCCACCGATATCATCAAATAGTCGGGCGATTCCTTCAAATGAGTAATCTGGGAAACCGAAGCCATAGGCCCAATCTGGGATTTCAAATCCAGGCTGACCAGGCCCTGGGTGACCGGGTCCTGGCTCCCCTGAGGCCATAAAACCATTTTCTCCACCAATCCCTGTGGCTACCTGTGCACCAGAGGATCGGAATTCTCGTAAATACTGTCGAATGATTTCCACTGATTTCCGTGCCACGACGGACTCCTCCATGGCTTCTAGTATCTCGACTCCCATTTCCACGGAGCGGAGAAGGGGCATCGTGTCTTCGCACATGCCGAGTTTCGACATTGGGAGAAGAAGCGTTGATGTTGCAAACATCACATAGGTCGTATTGTACCACCTGATCGATGATTAGTATGAGCAAAAATTCTAGAGTCGAAATCCTACCAGCATCTGAAAAATTCGTGCACTCGATAGATGTCATGGATCACTTCGATCGTCTTCATGGCGGCGTCAAGGCATTTAGCGATTGTTTCCTCTAGTTCACTAGGCGGATGTCGAAGCTTGCGGGTGAAATGGCTTAAGAATGGTCGAAACAGTAACATTTTCACATTATAATATCCTAGAGATGGTTAATGGTGCGTCGCAAAGGAGTTCGGATCCAACTTACGGATCCCTAGGACCAGCCGTTGTCTTCTTGCCCATTTGGGATCACGGAGGGCGCTTCGTGGCGATCTGTTGGCGCCGATATCTGGTCTTAATTTTTCCGGTAAACGTGCGAGCCAACGATCCATTTCCATTTCGATCTGGAGGGCCAGTTGGAGCTTCTCTTGTAATGTAATGCGCGAGTGGTAGATCTGAACGGAAACCTTTCGGACGATTTGGGCAAAGTCAATCATCCATGGGATAATTGCATACTCAGAATCATCTCGGGGCGGGATGGCTCGGTTATGGTATTCATCCATCCCCAATGTATCTGGTCGTCCGACTGAAAAGCTCATCTCACTGCGAAAAGTCAGCATTCTTAAGCAACTAGATGAACTCATGATGGGGTCCAGATCTGTGCTGACATTTCAAGTGAAAACAAGCCCCTGTTCAGCAAAGTAAGCATCGGTCTCGTCACTGGTCTGCTTTCAACTTACCACCAAGTCTTCGAGATCCAGCTCGAACGTTGATCATTGGTGCCTTTGATTTCTCGGTTAAAGCCAGCAGATAAACATGTGCGCACCGCCAGGCCAAGATACATATAAGCCACTAAATAATTAGCACAGGCGAATTACCAAGGGTGACAAAGCTTACAGTTGGGGTTAAGTTCATTTTGACAGATTTTTGCCTTTGAGGATTAGCAATCGTGGATTTTTCAATGACCGGTTCGAACATACCATCAAGTACAGACATTGGACGGTTTCAAGATCATTCGAGAAGCGCAAGTGAGTGAGATATGCTTGAGCTTCGCCGAACAGCTTTCTGCTCCATTCAAATCGACCCAGACCCGCAAGGGTATCCTCGTCCCATACTCGCACCAGCGAACCAAAGGAGAGGATACTCAAATATAAGGCGACGAAGCTAGGCTCCGGTGTCTGAGAACGATTTAGCCACAAGTCACTGGCACGGGCTAAGAAATCCTCTTTGTCAATGAACGGATGGATGAAATGGATATTCTCGAAATAGCCATTCATGAACACATGAGCCTGGTCAAAGTAATAATTCTGTTGTTCAATAGAAGTCAATTGACCAGGCCCAGTGGTAGAAGGGGAGAAGCTTGGATTGTGCAGAGTCGAAATCAATGAAAAGTCTGCTGAGGGGCGATTATTTTCCTCGCGGATTTTTGGCTCTCGCGCCTTCTGCAAATAGCCGATTGCAGCGGCAGACGAAGTGCTGCCGTGGAATTCCATTGCGTTCGTATGATGGTTCAGTTCGTTGATCTCGTCGGCGCTCTCCGCGGATTCCTCGGGTGCGTCGGGTGCGTCGTTGGGTAGCTTGGATGTGTCGCGGGGTGTTGAGCCCGTTCGTGGCATAGAGCATGGCGTCGCGTCTAGAGTCACGGGGGCTACAGTGTGGGTGTTCTGCACATTGGGAGGTAGTGGCGATGTTATGATATGGGCCTCGGCTGCGCGTAGCTTCGAGGCCAACTCCTCCACCCTCTTCTCGAGGTCGGTGACATAACTATTTCCACGTCAGCATGCTCGTCAAAAGCCACTGGATTATTTAGTATAGATATAGGCTTGGGAAAGCACTTAGAGTTAGATACCTTGCGGATCGGTTGCTTTCGCGCTCCCTATAATTGCCCTGGTAGACACAGTCGAGGTGACTCTCTATGATAGTATTAGTTTGACCCGAAGACCCCGCACAAATATATTCGACTTACTTCTACAGTGCGAGCAGGGATACTGTTCATCGCACTTATACTTTTTCGTCCTGCACCGATCGCAAGCCTGGGCAGCACGAGGCCGTTTGGTCCGCTTCGGTGCAGGATCGGGGGAATTCTGAACGGCTTGCATTATCGAAGCATAATGCCGCTGGGAAATCTGGGGGTGGATCAAGCTAGTTGCAGGTGATAGATAACGAACACAGGTTCGGATTTTCCGGGGGTATAACGTGCAGGTACCACGTGATGGGGCACTGCGGGGAAAGGAATCCGGGGAACCCAATCAGCTTTCTCGCTTGTGTTGGCCACATTTTTGCAAGTCATGGGATCAACGCATCTCGGCAATTATAAGTGGACTGGGAGATTACCGAAATACGGAGAACTCTGGGAATGCCAAATGCCGGGGTGAAAAAAAAAAACTCAATTTGTTATTTACAATCGCTATATCTATTCATCCAAATTTATACCTAATCATGAGAAAGTCACGTTCAGTCGGTCAGTAACAGAGGCCAACTGCGAAGGGTCCCACTCAGGAGCCTGGTCCGGCAGCACAACACCCTCCACGGGCTTACCAAGCTCGTGGATCAGGGACTCGATACCATCACCATCGGTGAAGGAGTGCACCTTGACGTACTTGCTCACAAAGTCTAATGCAAAGGCCTGTCCAGCAGGAATAACCACCGTCTCACCCTCACGGAAGATGGTCTCCCCCGAGCCCTGCAGACGGACCTTGAGGGATCCCTCCATCACACAGAAGCAGTGATCAACCTTAGCAAAGGACATAAATGTAGAGAGAGCAGTCTCGCCATAATCCTTAGATGACTCAATGCTGGAAATAGCGCACACTCCGGTGCTCTGCTTCGTAGTGACAAAAGGACGGGACATGACTCCGCCCAGCATCCAGCGGGGGCCAGTGTTGGCACGTAGGAAGTAACCCTCTGATCCCTCGGGCAGCTTTTCATCATCCTTGGTCCACTCTCCCAGCTCCGGAGGCTGGTAGTGAGGCTGGAAGACGACATCAAACTTGCCCTTGGCGGCCATGACCTTCGGGATCAGGAGCGACTTCAAGTCACGGTTGTCAGTCTCGGGCACGAGGACACCTTCGTACGGCTCGGAGACGTGGCGGAAGAAGTCTACCCAGTCACCGGGGGTGATGAGGCCTTGGAGCTCGGAGTGGGGACCGATCATGTCGGGCATGTGAATGACGGTCTATTTGAAATATGGTTAGATCGGTCTTCGTTTATATACTTAGAGATAGGAAGTCACATACCGGTGGGACGTAGGCAAAGTCACCAGGGCCCATGATACGGCACTTGTCTCCGTTGTACAGCTTCAGGAAACCCTTTGTCACCAAGAAGACATCGTGGGCTTTGTTATGGTAGTGGAAGCCAGGGGCATCGGAAAGGGTGGCACCGCTTGTGAACACGGCCATCAGACCATCGGTCTGCTTTGAGGAAGCTAGGATGCGGAAGACACCCTTACTGCCAGGGATGGTGATACGTTCACCCTCTAGCTGTGGGATGGCATAGGGGATCCGCTCGGCGGGGGGTTGATTTGAGAATGGCAGAGACATTGTATGGGCTTTGTGTGAAGCAGATGAATATACCAGAGGAAGGAAAAAATAAGATGTATCAAGAGGAAGATCTCAAGCTTTAAAGTTAGAGAAACTCCAACTTTCGGTCATGCGGGGGGAATGGATGCCGAGAGGAGGCGCGCGGAGGACCCGGGGCTCGGAAGACCCGAGTTGCTTGCCATCTGGGGAATTGAAGCATTCTGATTTGCTCATTCTATGAATCATTTGCGACAAGTGGATTTTTGAATTGGAATTGGGCATTTTAATGCGTTTTTTGAATAGTCAGCGGAAGTGACAAAGGCCGAGCGATAGATTTACGTGTCACTAGGAAGTTGGACCAGGCATTGAAGAGACTAGATCTAAAGTCTGCGTTATGTTACTTCCGAACTACTAAATCCCGAGATTCAATTCAATCCCGAGATTCCATTACCCAACATTGAATTGCATGAAAATGATTCAATGATTATGGTTGAAATATTTGCATGGCGGGGTCAATTCCGTGCCCCGCACTCAACTGCTACAATTCAAAGCTAGAAGTAGTTCGAAAGTACTCGTCCCACAATACCTCTGAAATCCTGTATATTTGTCTATTCCATATATCTTAACCCGAATGAATCAAGTTCTGTTAATAATACTCGTAAATGCCTTTCCGGTGACACCGGATTGGCCCAAGTAGAACTTCTTCGCCACCATGAACTAGGAAACGGATAAAATCTCACCCACAATTCCCCACGAGCGTGGGGATGCCGCCTCAATCCGCATCTGTGGGGTTCATACTATATTACGCACTGCTACTGCTCTCTTTGACTCCAATCTTTCTTTATCTTAACCCTTCTATACATAATGACCTCCACCAATTCATCCCTAGAGAAGCCGACTGGCGAGTACCGCCAGTACTTACCCGACCTGAGCCTCAAGCGCTTCCAGGTGATGTGCACGCAGGACGCGCACGAGTACGCTCATGACTTTAAGACATTGAAGCAGCCCCCATGGTTGCACGGACTGTATATGCATTGGTTGGACTTGTTGCAGGAGCCTTTCAAGGGTGTCACCACCGATGGTAAGTTACCCCTAAACTATATATTTGAAGCAATTGATCTAATCTCTCCAAATTCAGGCCGCGTCCGACCCGATCTTTTCACTCTGCAAGATGAAGATGTTCCAATCCAGCACATCGTCGATACCACACAGACATTCCTCAGCCTTTTGGATGATAAGCAGAAGGAAGCCGTTAGCTACCACATCGACTCCCCACAGTGGCGCACATGGTCGAACCCTGAGTTCCTACTTGCAAACAAGGGTGTCCGTCTCGACGAGGTAACCGAGAATATTCGTGATGCCGTCATGAACATCCTCAAGGCTACCCTTTCTCCCGAGGGCTATGAAAAGGCCGTCAGCGCTATGCGCATCAACCATTTCCTCGGCGAGTTGGTCAAGTCCCCGGCCGTGATGAACGAGTTTTCCTACAACTTTGCTCTCTTCGGTCGGCCCTCGATTACCAGACCCTGGGGCTTCTCTTTCTATGGCCACCATCTGTGTTTGAATATCTTCCTGTACAAGGGTCAAATCATCGCGTCGCCATGGTTCACTGGTGCAGAGCCCAATGAGATCGACGAGGGTCCTTGGGCCGGAACTCGGATTATGCAGGTGGAAGAGAAGTTGGGTCTGGAGCTGATGCAGTCATTGACTGTGGAGCTTCAGAATGAGGCGAGGGTATTCGAGAAGATGAAAGATCCTGCTATGCCACCTGGTCGCTGGAACAAGGATGACCAGCGCCATCTGTGTGGTGCCTACCGTGATAACCGGGAGGTTCCGTATGAAGGTATTCTGGCGTCGACTTTCAACGAGGCGCAGAAGAAGCTTATGTATGGCATTCTGGAGCAATACTTGCTTTACCTGCCGGCCAAGTCTCGGGCCTTGAAGCTTGAGCAGGTGCGTCGGTGGGAGGCGGAGACTTACTTCTGCTGGATTGGTGGTAATGGTGATGAGGATCCATTCTACTACCGTATTCAAAGCCCGGTTATCCTTGTTGAATTTGATCATCACTCTGGTGTGTTCTTGAACAACGACGAACCTAAGAAGTTCCACATTCACACCTTACTCCGCACTCCTAACGCGGGCGACTATGGCCATGCCCTGCGGGCTCAGGTTCCGGCTATTGAGGGATTGAACGGGAAGGAGATTGTTTGGTAGGTGGATACCTGAAGGCGTGGATTTTGATAAACTCTCATGTATAATCTTATGTGATGAATATTGATGACTTTTCTATTTCTGTTGGAATATGTGGTTGCCTTTTCTTATCTTCAATATAGACCATACTGGCTGATTCGGTCTGATTACTAAAGGTCCACCCGAACTACGAAGATATGATTGAATGTAGATTTCCAAGCATGTATAGGCAGCTCGCTGAAGTGAATTGTTCCATCCGAATTAGTTCCATCTTTGGGAAACAAAAAATGTATATACGACCCATAACGCCAAACATCTGAATGAAAACATTTGAAAATAATGGAAAAGGAAATTAGATACCACCATGATAGGTCGTGGCATTGAAAGTCTTAGCATTTCGTATACCAGCAGATGTGACCCTCGAATATCGTATAGCACGTATGACCTCGTAAATATGGCGAGAAACCAGCCATCACGACGAAACCCTAATATCATCATGATCAGGAATAAGTTCATACCCACCTTCAGAAGGCAAAATCTGAGCCGCAACAATGATCGCGCCAGCGCAAATCAGACCAATACACCAGCTCGTAGTGCAAAACATCCAAGACTCATCTAGCTGCCATCCAACGAAGAACCGGTCCTCATTATCAAAGAGATACGCCTAATCCAACCAGAGCCATTAGCATATTAACCCCCTTCTCCAGGACCCAGGTAGAGGGAGGGACCTTACCACAAGCGACATACTCGCTGCTTGAATAACAGCAGACAATATAATCAAGATACTCAGAACACGCCACCCAGTTTCCCGAAGCCGCTTCCCTCCCGCCAGTATAATCAGGTATGTGACGATACTCATACCCTGCAACACGACAGCAAAGGACATCAAGAATCCAACAGACCGCCACATGGAGCAGAAATATCGGTCTTCACCATGACAGTCTTCGCGGGCGGGGAAACTCTCACATGTATCGGATAGAGAGGAGCAGCGGCGGTGGAGACCGTAGGAAAAGTGGTGGGCAGGCTGGAACGGAGCGAATGGGTTAGTTTGTCCGATCGCAAGAACAAAGCGGGAAAAGAAAAGCAATATCACTAACCTTTTCGCTATGATAGCTGACCCATCTCGGTATGACGATAGCGCTGACCGTCAATCCGAACGCTGTGTCGTTAGTCTAGAGTTCGTTGTTGCCTGGGTTCGGTCCGGATGTCGCTTACATGCTAGAAATACCACCAGGGTGCCTGTGTAGACAATCGTTTTGGTTAAGAAACCTGTGTAATTTCGGTCTATTCCTCGTGGTACCAGATGGAAGTCCATGGTTGGGTATGGGTCGATGGGATTTGTGGTGTGGGTGGTTCACCGTTTAATAAGTTTGGCCCGCGCGGCTGGGATGAATAGAAAGGGATGAAAGATATTCTAGCGACTTCGGTCCTTTGATTCTTTCAGTGATTGAGAAAGACTAACTTAAAGAAGGAACACGAAGAAACCGAGATCAACCTGGAGGTTTGCCCAGTTTGTCCAGTGTGACCATGTAGAGGTCAAAGTGAAGTTCAACTTGATTTCCGGGGTTGACTGTGACCCACTTTCGTCCCACCTTTTACCCGCGTCATGATTACTCAGTTGATGGCACTCTTCAGGTACGTGATTATAGTGAAAGATCACATTGATCAATATCAATAGTACTACTTGAGGGACTTTTAGATTCTTCTAAGGCTTTGAATATTTTATTCTGTCAGTCATGGGGAACTAAGCACTTGCTTTTGATAATTTGACAATGACAATGAGCGGTTATCCAGTCTCTCCACTTGGTTTATTCTCATGCATGCCTCATTTCTCCTTTCTATGTGATGCGGTAAGAGATATGGAGATTAATGGGTACTTCTGCCTGGCAATATCTGTTAGGGCCCACGGGTTGAGTGGACCTCGGATGGAGCCAAGCTGAGCTTAAATTTGTCTCACCTACAACTGGGCATGAATCTTCAATTTGAATCCAATCATCATTACGTGCATCCACAAGGACAACCACCAATGTTAGATACCTATCCACTCATTGTGGCTGAATCTCATGTAGTTCAATGCATCGATGGCGGGGTTATCTGCAGACTACGTCACTGTACATCTTATTGAATAATTTGCAAGGAAACCCGTCCTGACAGAATGGGTCTCTTGGAACAGCCGTCATCATTAGAACTAAAGAATACCCAGCAATACAGAGGCATAATATACAATGAGCAGATATTCTACCCGATAAACACCAGAAGCGGGGGAAACATAGCACAAAATATGTCAACCCAGATGGATCTCGTGGGTCTCATCGCAACATTCAGGGGACTTGCCACCCAGCAAAAGAAAAGATAATAAGGAAAAACATCGTAGGAAAAGGGAAAACGCCAACCAGACTCATGCCAGAACAAATACGAATCTTGCGCCGGATAACGTTCAATGTTCATTGCCGTAGCACTTCACTCCTTGCGGTTTTGCAGCATCGCTCGGAAATCATCATTGCTCTTTTTGGACGGGCCCTCGCCGGTCTTGCCATCGGTTGAGGTGTCCATCTTGTCGCCCTTGTCAAACTCACTGGGGTTGGGTGCAGCTCGTTTCACCCCCAGTCCGGCCCGACGGCCTCCGCGGCCAGGTTGCTGGGGGCGCCGAATCGGTCCTGCAGGTTGCAGGTTGGTCTTGGGTTTTTCTTTCTTGAGCGAGGTGATCCGGCTAGTCTTCTGCTCGGCCTCCATGGTTTTCATCTCGCTCACAGTACCAATGTGGAGTGGCCGACCTGGAAGAATTTCTTTGCCCTCAAGAGCCAATGTGGCCTTGCCAGCATCGTGGACATCCGCAAACTCAACAATAGCACCTTGGTGATTCGGTCGGAGTATGACTTTCATTAATCGGCCAAGTGGCTCAACGAAGGCACGGACACGCGCCTCATTGATGGTGTCAGGCACATTCATCAACGCAATTGTGCGCTCCCATTGGTCGCTAGCTGGCTCCACGGCACCGACACCATTGACCTCCGGGGTTGGTGAAGCTGAATAAGCAACGCGAGAACCAGCGGTGCTGGTCACGCGCTTCTCATTCGAACTGGGTAGAACCCGGATTGGGCGAGACTTGAGGCTTACACCGTCCATTGCAAGTGCCGCGGTCGCTTCCTCCTATGAAGTAGATGAGCATTGACCAGGGAATTTTGAGCTGGAAAAGGGAGTTTGATAGACATACCTTGGTAGAAAACACCACAAAGCCATAGCCTTTCAAGCCACGGTCATTGGAAGGGAGGGTTACACTCTCAACTGTGCCATATTTCGAAAAAGCTTTTTCCAAATCCTTCTCCTTTAACTTGAAAGACAAGCTGGTGCAGAAAATCTCACGACCTTCCTCCCGTGGTGAGCCACGCTTCTGCTTCAGCGCCGGGTCCGAGATTTTTGCGACAAGGCTGAGCCCTTCGACAGAAGCTCCATCCATTTCAGTGGCGGCATGAGCAGCACCAGAAGAAGCGAACTGAACATAGCAGAATCGTCGACCGGTCTGAAACTTGAGTGAGGGCCAACGCACGTCCACAATGCGACCATACTATAACAGTTAGTCAGCGGTACTGTATTTACTCAAAGGTATCATTGCTTACCTTGCCAAGGAGACCGTGGATAAACTCATCATCGGCAGTTGGAGGGAAGTTGGTGACAAACAGAGTTGACTCGGAGTCATCCTGGACATCAATGATGTTCTCACCAAGAGTTTTTTGATCACGGGTTAAAGCGCTGAGAGCGTCCTCCTTCGTGTCGAACTCGACCTTCGCAACCAATGAATTCTCATCCTCTCCAGGGAACATCTTGACACCATTTATCGTGCCAATCTATCCTCTGCATTAGTAACTATATCGTTAGAGAATCGAATAGGATACTCACCTGTCGGAAAAACTTCCGAACTTGAGCTTCAGACGTGTCCTTTGGCAGATTCTTAACCACAACAGTTGCGTGTTCCCGATCCCGAGTAGGCTCTGGCTCGCCCTTGACCTCTGGAACAGTCTCCTCACTGCGGGTCTTTTTACTATCAGGCTCACCATTCGCATCTGTCTCGTCCTCCCGTTTTCTCTTTTCCGACGATGTAACAGCTTCGACAGCAACGTTCAACTGCTGTTGTTGTGCCGTCGCAGCCTCGTGAGCCTCTCTCTCTCTTCGAGCATTGACAGCCCGCATGACCTTCCGAGTTTCGATAACAGCAAGCTGGAGCTCATCCGAATCTTCATAGTCTTCGCAGTGAGCAAGGTAGGTCTGTGTGATCTTTTCGGGCCAGTCAAGGTCAGTTCGCGCCATGGCTTGCTTCAGAACTGCAGTGGCATAGCTAGGCGTAGGGGTCCGTCTCGCAGCATCCACTGTGGTCTCGCCTTGGACAAACTTGCTCCAAGAGATAAGTTCCCAGGCGTAATAAGTGAGCCAAAACTCATAGCTGTTACCACGACGAGCCACAAGGCCCTTGAAAGTCTCTCGAGCACTGTCCCAGCTACCACTCTCGCTGAGGTACCGGATGTAAATGCGTTCCAAACGGAATAGAGGATCTCCCTGGTAGGATCGCCCATATTTCTTCTCGCCAAGCTCTTGAACGCTCTCGATTGCCGAGCGAATTCCAACTTCTGCGACATCCAAGTCTTCATCTGTGGAGTCCGAGAGAAACGCACGTCGACGTAGGTAAGCACACCATGTGGTATGAACCTTGAGTACTTCTTCCATCCCACCAGCATCAAGCAAACCTGTAGCGGTAGCTCTGTGCTTGATATCGGAAATTGTAGAGAATGACAGACCCTCTCGTTCCGAGCTGAGGAGGTACTGTGACCAGAGGTTGCCAGACCATGGGCAGTGACGCGTTCCACGGTCAAGGGTGGAAATGGTTTTGGTAGATGTATGCTTGTGCATCGACTCCTCCAGAAGGAACATGACGTGGCCCTCCCATAGAGCGACGTCAGTGGGAAATCGCAGAACGGCGCGCTGGTAAATAGCATTGGCAAGTTCGAAATGGAATTCCCGTCGACGGCGATTCCTGGTTAGCTCCCAGTCGATATACTCTGTATACACAGCGTATTCGTGAGCCTTGTCGCCTGACTCCTCAGCCTGGCTCAACCGATGTTCAAATTCTTCTCGAGCGGAATAGATGGCCTTCATTTTAGAGCCTTTGGCGGCAGTATCGGCCATGATAGTCTCGTAGTTGGACTCGTAATAGGTGGAGACGAATCCAGAGAATGACTGGAAGGTCTGATCCCAATTTGCATGGGGGGTCTGCAGCCGAGCATCATATAATCCACGAAGATGATTGATTTTTTCCTGCGAAGGAGACCGGGAAATATCCTGGGCCAAAAGATCAAGGTACCGATCCCATACCAAATGACTATTGTTGATTCTCCACCGGGTCGATTCAGCAGCGTCCTTCCACACATCGAGAACTAATTGCCAAGTGAACCTTCGGCGATCTTCCTCTGTCCATTGGCCAGCTCCACCGGTTTCCCCGACTGCAGATTTGTAGAGGTACAAGACCCATTCACCATAAATATGCCATAGGTGAGTGCTACCAAATTCTTCAATGACTGAGCGCCTGCACAAATTTACAACCGCATCGCGATCTGCCGCCGAGTTGGTCAGCATACTCTCATCTTGAATCCACTCAGCCCAGAGATTCTCGCCCATGGCGAAAAGCTTGTCCATTTCCTCTCGAGCTATCCGCATGTCCTTGAGTAAATCGTATCGCCGGGGGTCACCATGGAGTTCTGGATTGTTGGGTGGGTAGACATGATTCACAAAGCCGCCATGCAAGATACCAATGAACTTGACATGCGCATCATACGTGTGGGGGTTCTCTTGAATCTGATTGAACAGATCCGTTGCCAACCGCTGAGCGTCCGGGTCCAAGGATGTGTCGGCATAGTTCCTCCGCGCACTTTCCCGAGGACCTTCAGACATGGCAATATCAAAGGAGGTGCGAGGGATGGGAGTATTGTGATTGATAGTATTCACGTGAGGGTGGATGGTGGAGGGAGATAACTGATGCTCGTATGACTCGGTACCCCGCAGCATGCTTTGCGCATTTTGTCGCTGTGGCTGGTGGTGTTGCATTGCAGCTAGGTCGGCCAAGGTGTCCATGCCGGGGGTCGAGGGCTTGGTGGAAGACGCCCGGTCGGTCGCAGGTGAACCGTTTCTGGCATTCGGGTTGGAACCAACGGACTGGCTACCTGCCGTAGGTGGAGATTCCGAGATGGCAGGCCCAGTGGGGGCGTAGATCTGCTGGGCTAAAGGCGAAGAGGTCTTGCCTTTGCGAGTAGAACCGGAGCGCGTCCGCTGAAGTGCCTTGTGGGGGGATGGCCCTGCAGTCGAAGTCGGTGCGTTATTTGACGTGACACCGGGCACGGGCGTCGAATGTCCGGGGTGAGGATTCGAGTCCGGGGACAGCAATGAATTGATGTCCATCTTGCCAAGCAGAAAGAGAAGGCGAAAAAAACTGCGATGCGCTCCAGGCAGGACTGATAGGGAAAGCGAAGCGATCGAGTTCACGGAAATATCAGATATCAATCACGAGATCACGGATAGTGCTAAGGAAGCAGCGACCCAGATTAGAAGAGAGCCACGAGATGCCTCAACATCAAGTCCATTCCTATATTGACCAGCGCAGCTAAGGATCCCTATCTCCTGTCGATTTTCGGGATCGCAGATGAGTCGCGCGAGGCGGTTCGCACCAGGGAGCTTTTCGGTCGCGGCAGCTTCGTGTATCCGATAGATGAACCGAGGGGGGTGTGCGTAAAGGAACGTGTTGACCGAAGGAGCGGGACCCAGAGTTAGGCAGGTTAAGGTGGAATCTGCAGCTTGCTCGAAGCAGGGACCGTGATGAGCAGGAGAGACGCCACAGGCGAGGTGGCCTGGGAGTATGGGAGGGAGGATGAAGGAAGGAAATCGGAGGGGAAGAGAGGGGAAGAGATGGCAAGGAACCGGGAAGGAGAGCAATGAAGGCCCTGAAAGGAAGATGAGGGCTCAGTGGATCTTTACTGTGGAGATGACGGTGTGAGGGAAGACCGAAGACCGTGTGGGTGATAGAGTTGGCGTACCCTCATGAGGCCCGATTTGATTAATTCTAAGGCAAATTCAAAAAACATAAAATCTCTGGCAGGGTCTACTTCTGATGTGGTGAGAGGGTGAAATATGATATAATCTTTTTTTACTTTCTTTCATGTACTGATCGTGATCAATCACGTCGCGACTTGCATTTAACTGCCTTAGGCATAAACACTTGGTACGGTGACGCGGAAAGACCAATTACGCACCGTAAGTTTCACCTTTTTTCCACGCTGCTCCGATCTCCGATCTCCAATCACATCTTCAAAAAGCTACAATGGGCGCTGTCTTACCTTATGGGCAGCTGGTTCGGACTGGTAGGCTTCAAATTAGTATTCCCGACTAAATTCACATGAAGACTAACCCTTTTGCTAGCGGCCCGAGCCCGTGTCGCCTATGTCCCCCGACGGACATTGACTACAACCCCCATTCTCTACGCTCAAAATGACCAACCCGGCAAGAAAAAGACATCTTTCTTCTCGTCAATGAAGGATTGGATCCTTGGTGAAAGTCCCGAAACAAAGCCTCGGGCTCGCAAAGCGGCAGCACGCCAGCAAGGTGAACTCGGAACAAGCTCTATTTTTGCAGAGGATATGAGCAACACTTCCGGACCTAAACCCTCCCGCAAGAAGGAAGCTACAGAGCAACAACAAGACGGCAAACCCCACAAAAGTCTGGAAGAGCGCGACAAGGCCCACCTCCAATTTGCTCTGAACCCCAACCCGAAGGCCCAGCTCCGATGGGAGAAGAAGATGGTCATCCGTGAGATCCGGAAACGTGGCCGTCTCCCCAAAGCAGTCCAGATCAAGCGAACAGAGCGTGAATCGCTTTCCAAGTCACACTGGTTCAAGACTTCTGTCAAGAAGCTGGGCCCCCTGGCCCGCCAGATTGCCGGCAAGAACATCGACGAGGCCATCCTGCAGATGCGTTTCAGCAAGAAGAAGGCCGCTCTCGATGTGCTTGGCCACCTTGAGCACGCGAAGAACGTCGCCATGGTCCGTGCCGGCATGGGCCTGCCGGAGGAGAAAGCTGAGCCCACCAAACCTCTCACCGTTGTCCTCAAGTCTGGCGAGCGCAAGACTATCACCGATCCCACAAATATCTATATTCAAGAAGCTTGGGTCAACCGTGGTCCCTATGGACACGGCATGGACCACCGTGCTCGTGGTCAGATCAACCGGCTGCGTCCCCCAGCCACTGGTCTTTCGGTTGTGTTGAAGGAGGAGAAGACCCGTATCCGTGAGTGGGAGGAGCGGGAGGCTACCGCACTGCGGAAGCGCAAAGAGCAGCTCTGGGTCCAATTGCCGGACCGGAAGATTTCTGCTCAGAACCAGTATTACAGCTGGTAATTGTGTGGACTTGTTCTTCTCTTTGGCGTTGCATTTGTATTATTTTAACACCTGGACTCACACCAACTTGGTGTTCCCCCAGTCTCTTTGGTCTTTGTTTGTCCTCGGCCGGTTTGTGGAGAGGATTTTGCATGCAGTAGAAGAAGCGGGCTAGTCGCCCATGTACAATATCTACAATATTAAAGTCATATCTCATGAATATTCTCCCCTTTCCTATCTCTTCTCTCGGTTGAACTACCGCGATATCATGAGTCTATCTCAGTCGAACCTACACAATTGGGTTCCTCATATGCGCTCCGCCTGCACAACAACCGGAATCACTGCCCCGGTCTGCAAAGGAAACGCACGGTGACCAATAACCTCTAGAATACTAGTGATAGCACCCGAGTGCGCCGTGAGAGAAAGAATAAGATTCTCATCGTTGGCAAAGATATCATCCAGGAATTTCGTGAGCCGCTCATTGCGCTGCTCATTCGTCTCTCGGCTATACGCGTCCCAGAGCGGATCGTCCTCAGAGAACCCAGGCTCGAACTGATACCCCGGGAACTCGGCTTTGATTTCAGATGCCTTAGACCGACGATCACAGGTGTGTTCACCCAGCGTTTCACGAAGCAGCTACAATATTTCAATTAGCAGCCAGTCTTGTTTGATTCCCATTGACCTCGTTGGGACCGGAAATGTATAATCATAACCTACCTCTTTAATCAAAGGTCGGAATGGATCTGTGAGTGGCATATCCAGTCCCTTGAATGTGATTTCGGCTGTTTCGCAAGTCCGATGCAACGGACTGACATAGTATGACTGCGGTGCGGGGACCCCATTGGCAAATTGCCTTTCCCATGTCTTGTTCGCCGTTTTGGCTTGGGATTTGCCTAGATCTGTGAGTCTGGCATCAACCCAGTTGCCAAACTCGTCTCCGTCGAGTAGAGACCAGTATGCCTTGATTGTTTATGTGGTAAGCCAATGGTTTCTTGGGAGTGTAATCAAGTGATAAAAACATACATCCCATGCTTCAGTGCCATATCTCCTTTCGGCGACATTATGGACACCCTCGCCGTGTCGTCCGAGGAAAAGCACCTTATATTGTACTGAATTCCCTCCTAGGTTGTTCAATTCATTGACGGCTTGAATAAACTTCTGCCATTGGGTGTGTAGTGGGGAGTCTCCATGGAGAATGAGGCCGAAATTCGACTCTGTCTGAATATAGAATGAGCTCACGGTTTCTTTGCGGTATCCATGATCCTTTGAAAAGGAAGTCAAGCTTGTGGTGTCTTACGTAGTCGAATGTACTTGGGTCGGTTTCCGGTTCATCCTGAAGGAAGAATCCCGGCACGTTGGAGAACTTGAATGCGGCTGATTGAGTCATTAGGTTTGGTATCAAGTGCATGACCTTTACAAATCATGAATCAGCCAGACGTGGGGGTGGTTCTCCGGGGTAGAAGAGAAATCGCCGTGCTAATTCCCGCAGTGGGGCTGGACAGGTGCGCGGTGAGAACTGTGCACTATACTGCCTACTTCAAGCCGATTACTGGCGCTATTAGGTACAGTCATACATTTTTTAATGGGAACTTAATTCAATGTTGTGATTCATTAAATTCCATCATGCATGTTTGAAGTTTTCATGCATATATGGCCAATAGTTCGTCCTAAATGGTGAACATAGTCATCTAACATTCTACTAGACCACTCTAACTAGCCCTGTAGTCATAATCCCTGAACTCCAGGCCAAATTATTCATCGCAACAAATATACCAATAGAACTCGCTTTCATCACTCGTGGGGTCGAAACGATTCAACCCGAGTCCGCAGTTACTGAATTTAAATCAGTCACTGCGTTGTCTGTTCAAGCAAAGCCTGCACTCCGCGTGTGTGAAAGACCAAGAAACTTATTAGCAGATAGAAGATATCTGCTAGCTAAGGATAAGCCCTTGAGGGTCACACTCTCTGACCAAGAGGTCATAGATACGGACTGCCAGTCGCCAAATACTGATTGCAATGCTCTTGAGAACACTCCGAGCTGAGCAACGGTGGACTGGATCTTGGATTGAACAATAAGACCACGGCCAACCTTTCCGGAGTTCGCAGTCAAGCTTGAGCTTCTGGTAGCCAATGTGCTCACCTCTGCGCAACCAGAGTTCCTGGCTGGCAGTGAAGATCGGATTCTCTCCGTGCTTCCGCCATCCGGCAGCGAAGAAAGACTGTTCTTGATAAGGCTTTGAAGCAGCGAGGTTCTGGTGTGAATTACACACAGATCGCGGTTTCGTGTATCGCCAACTTGAGGTTGATCGATTGCCTTGGTGGCATTCCGGTTGCCCGAAGCAACACGCTTGACGAGCGAGAATTTCGGTCGCTGGGCTTCCCGCGCGAGGATGTGAGCAATTCCCCGTTCGGGGTGGCCTGTCGTTGGGACAGACTTGGCGGTGGAAACGTTGCACTGCGCAGCGGTAGGGCTGTTGCTCGAAGACGAGCCCATAGCAACCCCACGAGATGTGGGTAAGCCAACAGACTTGCGATTCGGTTGAGGCGACCTCCCCACAGAGGAGTATTGCATCGCCGAGGATTGGGGCACCGCTGCTTGGCCCAGTGACCTGTTTGAACTTTGCGCTCTTTGGCTGGTATCTGGGACTGGTGACAGCACAAAGCTTGTACTGTACTCGGGTGCATGGCCCGAGTTGTTGCGGGTGAAGGAGGCGGTTGTCCTGGTAAATGGTTGTACACCAGACGAACTGACAGACGAATTCGTCATCGGGGATTTCACTATTACCCTCTTCGGGGCATCGACTGGTGGTCGTACGGTCTCAATGACTCGTGGAACGGCGTGATCAGAAACCCGAGAGGAATAAGATGGTTGAAGAGTTGAAGCCGTCGAGAATTGTTGTCTCGGTCGTTTAACTGCGACATCCATTGGCACCTCACTGACGCCCGCACGGGCAGCAGCCTTCTCAAGGCAGTTGCACTGGAGTGGGATTAGATATCAGGGTTAAAAACAAGATCACAGGGTCGAACAAAGCTTACTCTCTTGTGCTGTTTCTTGTGCTTTTCACAAGCGCCATACTTCCGCGCTTTAATGTAGTTCTCCTTCTGCGCTTGGGAACGAGGCTTCTGCTTCTTTGGAAGGTTGGCAGTGGCATTCATGTTCAGATCAAGGACCATTTCCATGCCGCCATTTCCAGACCGGGAAGGAGCTGGTGTCTCCTCCGGGCTGGCGCTGTTCGGTCGAGGGGAGATGCTCTCGCGCATGTAGTCCGACCAGCATGGCGATGAGAAGCTGGTGTTGGAATCGGAAGACATCTCGAGGTCCAAGGCCGTGGCATCACACAGTCGCTGCAGGTGCAGAGCAATTGCTGCTTCTCGGCGCTTCTCCTTCAGAGAAGCGACACGAGGGTCGAGGGCGGCCTGCGCCTCAACCATTTGCCTGAAGTCGAAGGTGGTGTCGTATGATTGGTAACCATGGAACATAGCATTATCCAGGGGCGGAACAAAGTCCGGCACCAGGCCCACATTGGGGGACTGGTCAACAAAGGAAACTTCATGTGACAAATCATAGTTTGTCATGTCCGAGAAACCAGGCTGGGTGAGGTCAGGCAGGTCATTGGTGAAAAGGTCAGCATCGTAGGGAAGCGACATTTCCGGGGAGATGGAGTTAGCGGAATAATCATCGCTATAACTCGGCGAAAGATCAAGAAACTGATCAAAGTCAACCCACTCCTGAGTGGAGGCATCCATGAAGAACTGATTTTCAACTGACGCCATGGCTTTCGGGTATCACAGGGTAAGAATGGGTACTTTTGGGAGGTTTTTAAAGAGTGTGTATCGGAGATGTATAATCAGGGCCACAAGGGGCCTAGGTGTAGATTTTTCCCGGGGATGTGATAAGATCGAAGGCCAACGAGGGGACTCGAAAAAGAAAAGGAACCTGAGGCAGATTAGGCAGATTGCGATTGTATATACGTGAGAGCCAGTCCATTCCTCTTTGGGGTCCCCGACTTCCGCTAAACTGTTTTAGGAGCCCGACAAAGCCCGCTCACTCACTGAGTCATAGAAACGGGGCTTAGATCAAGCGGGGCTCCGAGCTTGGACCCTCTAGCACATCCCTATTAGGGACTAGCGTATTTACTTCCATCCAATCCGACCGCCTTGGTTTTCTGCTCTTCTGGTCAGGTGATCTCTAATCTATAATCTCTTCGCTGTATACTTCGTAGGCACTTGGGTAAGTGGATACAACATAAGGTCATATCGATCCCTGAAAGCTTGAAATTGCTAGCCTAGCGCCTATCCTAGCGTCAAGTTAGTCATCAAACCTTGAAACCTGCACAATTGTGTATGAAGACCAGCTAGTTCATCATGCAAGCGTCAAGTCAAGAGACTTGCCATTGTGTAAATCGAATGATATCTAAATACATATGTCTTTTATTTTGAGGGCGAATGATCCAACCTTAGTGATCTATATGAGTAGCATGGCAATTTTCATGACTCAAGTACTCTAAATAACCAACTGGCGGGTAAACCCCACCAACCCCCAAGCGGAACTTTTTCCAGCTTCAGCTCCGAACACCATAGATTCAAGCAACATCCCACCACCCCGTCTCATTACCCACCGTCACAATGGCCGACGACTACCAACCCCCGGCTCTTCCCTCTCCATTCATAAACACCAATCCGCTGCCTATTCTTCTTGCCCAGGGCGCCGAAGCTCACGTCTACAAAACCGTTTCCCTTGACCCCTCCATCCCAGCGGCGCTGAAGATCCGCCCCTCCAAACCATACCGTCATCCAACCCTCGACCGGAAACTGACTCGCCAACGCGTTATTCAAGAAGCCCGATGTCTCGTTAAACTCGTCCGCGAAGGCGTCAAGGTACCCGCAGTCCTAGCACTGGACTGGGAGGGACAGGGTGGTGATGAGGCAGGCTGGGGCGGAGCCTGGCTGCTAATGGAATGGATTGAGGGGCCAGTGATCCGTGTTGTACTTGAGAAGTGGGAGGCATGGATGAAAGCGAATCGCTCAACGTTAGATGCGACACGGATTGCCGAGGAGGAAGCGCGAGTGCGGGGCCTGATTAGGCGCATGGGATCTGCCATTGCTGGACTGCACAAGGCTGGTGTCGTTCATGGAGATTTGACGACAAGTAACCTTATGCTGCGGTCTGCGCAATTGGAGGGTGACACCTTCTCTATGGATGGGGAGGTCGTACTGATTGACTTTGGGCTTGCATCACAGAGCAACCAGGATGAGGATCGGGCGGTGGATTTGTATGTCTTGGAGCGGGCGATTGGAAGTACACATCCATTGTCGGAGCCGTTCTTTGATGAGTTGCTTGTCGGGTATAGAGAGGGGAATAAGGGCGCTACTTCTACGCTTCGAAGACTTGAGGATGTGCGGTTGCGGGGCCGGAAGCGCAGCATGCTCGGCTAAGGATGTCTATCTTCAATCTTGACTGACAAGGTTCTTGAATGTCGATATGAAAATGCATGCGATAATCCTCTCACAAAAACAAAAGAAAAAGAGACAAAAAAAACGCCCCGCTGAATCATGGAGATGAATGCTTTAACGACGAGAGTTACGAGCCTGGCGTTCACGGCCGCGAATTGATGCATGTACCAACATCTGCAAGAGCGAAGTAGCCCTTGTTTTCGACCACTCCGCGATCCTTCACAACTGCCGTGTACTTCACCACCCATTGTGGCGCAACATCTCCTTGAATCCCATCATCTGCCCCAGGGGCAGAAGCTAGGATGCCCGCGCCTTTGTCCGTCGGGCCCAGAAGCTCTCGCGTCATACCCACTGGAAGGATATCATTGCAGTCATTATGAGTGAGGAGTTGGATCTGCTCCTGCTTGGCATATAGGATCAAGGACTTGGGAACCACGCAGCAGTCTTTGAGGTTGATCTGGTCGACGGAAGGCTTCACCTTGGTGTGCGGCAAAAAGCGAGCCAATCGTTCGCTGCCAAATTCTGCCACGCCTAGCTGGGCAATCATACCCTGCTCATGCAGCGACTCGAGGGTCCGCCACGTCTGCACCATGCTGTCAAAGTCATCGGGCTCGCCAGTGGCTCCGGCATCCTCCTCATCGCTGTCGTCATCCGCGTCGAAGAGAATACCCGGAAACGACACAATCAGCAGATCGATAGATTCAACGTGTAGTTCTTTCAATACCAAATCAATCGCCTCCCTTGTGTGTGCGCATCGCCGAGATACCGGAATCCCTGGTAGATAGAACAATTTCACGGTGATATCGTATTGAGATCGCTCCTCTGCCAATCCGGGCTGTGAGAAGTCGATCGCAGGAATATACAGTGATCCATTGTGTTCTCCCGTCCAATATCCGTAGTCTTTTTTGGTATGCGATCCATTGGCATGGCCGTTGGAAACCCCATTCCCGTTCGCCTGGGACCCGTTGGCGGATTCAATGTGCTGCGACGCGAGAAAATTCGAGCGCAGAGAGTTGATGAGTTCGACGTTGGACTTTTGTGTGAGCGGCTGGCGAATGACAGACGGCCTGCCGCCTTGCATAAGATTCCTGAAGTCAAGTGGTCAGTCTACGTTCCTTTTTTTGGGTTCTCCTCGGAATTCCGATTCTTGCACCAGGAAGCGACTTACGAGGTGGAGAGGATCAACTTCATGGCGCTGATCAATGGAGAGAGGAAGAAAGGAAGGATTAAGAGATAAAAAAAAATATGACAGAGTAAATTTGTGCAGCGCGTTGCGTAAAAGAATGTCTTAAAGAAGAATTACGAAAACCCCGCGGTTTATCTTGACCCCTCCAGGGCTCCGAGCCTCCGAGTCCCTGACAAATCCAGTTCCCGCATTTACAAATTCCCTTCTATAAAAATCTAGAAATCAATTAATCCTCATCTACAGTCGGATCCCAGTCTGTCGGCGAGTATTCCCCCGTATCAAGTAACGTCATATCCTCATCATCAAGTTCAAAGTCAAATACTTCCGTATTCTCACGGATTCGCTGCGGCGTCTCAGATTTAGGCAAAGGCACGAATCCCTAACTTCATCAGCTCATGTCCAATCGCTATGAAATCCACGAAAATCCAAAAATTTTGATCTCACCATTTGCAAACTCCACCGAATCATAACCTGAGCTGGCGACTTCCCATACTTCTTCGCAATGCGCGCCAACATGGGTTCCCGCAGTCTTACTCCATGCGCAAGAGGTGAATACGCTTCAACTACAATCCCGCGGTTCTGACACCACTCTGCAATATCGGAGTGATCCAGCCACGGGTGCAATTCCCACTGCCCGACACTGATCTCACCACCACCGCCGTTCTGTATGTACTCCTCCAGCTCTTCGAGGTGGTGGATGCCGAAGTTGGATACGCCAATGGATCGGACTTTCCCTGCCTTTTGCGCCTCAACTAGGGCACGCCAAGAGCCTAGTCGGGCTTCTTTACCACCATAGGGAGCATGGAGTAGGATCCTATTTTGTCACTGGTTGATTTGGCTCGGGGTGGAGATATCCAAGCTTACAGGTCAAAGTAGTTGGTCGCTGCTTCTTGTAGACTATTGTCGATGGCTCGTGCTGTTGGCTTGTAGCCCATTGATCCTGGCGGGATCTTGGTAGTAAGAAAGATCTCGGATCGGTCGAGGTCGGAGTTCTGGACTGCACGGCCGCAGCCTTTCTCGTTTCCGTACATTATCGCTGAGTCGATCTGGTGATTGGTTAGATATCGGCTCTCAAGTTACATGTCTTGTTAAGGGTAGATACATGGCGAAAGCCGACTTTCAAGGCTTCTTGGACTACTTTTTCGGTTTTGGATGGGGCACTGTTTCTTGTTATTTGATGTTGACATCGTTGACTTGCTTGATACAAACATCATGTAAACCTGGAGGTATTAGGAGTCTCGGTCAGCATGTTACTCTATGGCTTTTGTTGCCAAGTGCGGTGCAGTCTAGTTACTTACCCCATATCCAATGACCGGAATTTCATGGCCTGATAACAGTTTATGTTTCGACTGCAGACTCTGTTTGTTTGCCATTATGTGGTGTATGCTGAATTGGACTAATAAGAGGTTGTACTTGAAAGGTTAAAAGAGATCAAGACTCGGCCTTCGGAACGATGAGATCATAAAGTGGGGGTCGCGGAATGACGTTCCTGTAAGTGTATAACTAGTGGTCGAGCAGTTGCTAATCATGACGTTCAAAGAATTGCGTAAAAATTAAAAATATATGGAAATATGAAGCAGGTCTTTTATTTGGACAGTTCCAACGTTATCAAAGTGAAAGCCTAGAAAGTGGTAACAGAACGATCTCAATAACGATCAATGTATTAGATCATTCAGTTCTATAAGCCTGTCTTCAGCCTTTCTATGTATACAGGACATGTTTCAATCCATGCCTCAGATAAGCAGCTCATTTAAACGGCTCTCTGCTGCTCTTTCAGGGCCTCAGCTTCGGCCTCCTCCTTCGCCTTGCGCTCCGCCTCGCGCTTCAACTGATCAGGACGGCGAACAGCGATATCCTTAGGACGGAAGTCACTGAATAGGTGCTTGAGCACGTTTTCAATTACATAGCAACCAGCATAATCGAAAGCCATCAGCACGGTCAGGGTAACCTTGAACTCGTTGGTGAAGGGAACCAGGCGCAACTTCTCGTTGATCTCGGGAACAAACTCGGTGGCACAGGAGAAAGCAACAGCCGAGGCTGCGACAAGACCCCAGTACATGGCCTTGTTTTCACGAATGGACTCACGGAACGGACGACCCTGGTAGTTGATGGAGAATGTGGAGATTTGCTGGATGAGCTGAAGAAGGTAGATGGCGCTGTTCAGGAGAGAGGGTTCAAACTCGCCCTCCAGGTCGATATCGCTGGCTCTCCTGTAGTATTCATTAGCAACGGCGTCTTTCTCGTGGGCTGTTCGACACTTACGGCTCAACCTTGTAGACGTAGTTGGAGAGGTAGATCAATGTGGCAATGTGGATGGCGAATTGACCAAGAACGGACCCAATGATGTACACGTTGAAGATGTTGGGCTGCGGTCGCTCCTTAGACAGACCCTCAACAGACTGCAAATAATTAGCATTCATGGACTGCACGAGGCGAAAAGGGTATACAAACCTTAGCACGAGAAATAGACAAGAAGCAGACACTCATCAGCATACCACTGATGGTGACCTGGCCATCGCCAAACTTAATACCTTCTAAGTAGATAACACTCAGACTGTAGGCGCTGATCAAACAGTTCAGTGCAAGAATCTTGTACATTTGAATTGTCGCAACCAAAGTGCAACGACCCTGGCGGAGGATGTTCGGGATTGCAATAACATTAGCCAATTTGCTGGTGAATGGAGCAGCAACAGAAGCATCACCCAGCTTGATGGTGGGTGGCTCGCTGTCATCCAACTCTGATTCCAACATAGAAGAGGTGAGCCTGTCAGCAAGACCCGCCGCAGCAGCTTGGGCTTGTTGCTGTCGCTGCTGCTGAGGAGTCGTGATCTGCTGAAGAGCTTGGGCACCAGGAGAGGTGATAGTGGGCATCGGCTCGCCGGCCTTGGCACCCTTCTTCGACATCTCACGCTCCATGGCCTTCTCGTAGTGTGGGTTACCAGGGCCAGGGGGGTAGAGGTGAGCGATGTGCACAGGGACCGGAGGAGGAGGCTGATTGAATCTCTGCATCATACCAACCTGTTTCTCGTACAGCTCCTTCATCTTAGTGGTGCGGTAGTGCTCGGCAATACGGGTCAGGTCGTCGGGGGAGCCGTTAAGAAGGGCAACACCAACGTGGGCTTGCTTCAGAGCACCCACGTCATTTGTACCGTCACCACACATCAGGGTGGTGTAACCAGCATCCTTAAGACCAAGCAAAATGTCCTCCTTTTGCTTGGGGGACACACGAGCATAGACCCAAGTGTGACGCAAAAGCTCCGGAAGGGCCACTTGGTCCTTGAACTTCGCCAGGGCGTAACCAGTGATACAGATGTCCTTGGTTTTCAGAATCTCCGGGTCCAAAGGCTTCGTGGGATCAACTTCAGTGTTGAGCTTGTCATCAATAGTACGCCATACAAGTCTGGTTCCAGAGTTGTCATGTTCGGGGGCATCAAGAATGAGAACCTCTCGGTCCACAATCTCGACCTGTCGTGCCACATGGCAGGCAGTCAACGGATTGTCTCCGGTGATCATGACAACACGGTGGCTGCTCTCATTCAACATACGGACAGATTTGATAGCGTCATCCTTGAGAGGGCACTGCAAAACAAGGAAACCGGCGAAGATTAGCTCAGACTCAATCTCCTCTCGAACGTAGTTGTTAACGCGGCTGTGGGAAAGCTCGGATTCAGAAGAGAGGTACTTGTAGGCAAGAGCAAGGACACGAGCACCGTTGCGAGTGAAGTACTTGTAAGTCTCCTCGTAGTTAGGAGGCGTATTAATAAGCATAGAGTTGATAGTCTCAGGGGCACCCTTGACACCGACGAAAGTGGCTTTGCTCTTCTTCGAGGTCTTGGGGTCATTGGTAGTAATAGTAGCGATAGTACTCTGGCGCTTCAAGGTAGAGGAGAATTGGAATCGTCTCTTGATCTGAACGGACTCAACGGGGCGAGAGGCAACCTTGGGTGCAGTTCCCTTGGACATGAGGGTGTCGTTCTTGCCCAGACCCCAGCCAAGCCACTCCAAAGCAGCCTTCTCCATGGGGTCACCAACGACCTCACCTTCATCTAATTTGACCAAGGCGTGTGCGCTAGCAAGAACAAGAGTAGTAGCGGGGCTAACATTCTCCGCCTTTGCCAAATCCGTATGGGCGCCATCAGCTTCAACCTTGGCATCAGACTGACCAAGAGTGAGACCAGCAATACCGTCAACGACAAGATCCTCGCCAGTCAAAGTGCCGGTCTTATCGAAACACGCGATATCAACGCGGCCAGCAAAGGGGATACGGAAAGGCTCTGTGCAGAAAATAGCAAACTTGCTCAAAGCAGCCAAACTGGTGTTGACCGCCAAGCTCAACTCCATGGGCAACTCCGGGGGAACGACGCTGGTGACGATAAGGACACAGTCTAGAAGGAGCTTTGAGCGCTTGCGGTCCTTGATTACACCCTCCTGCCACACGTACCAAGAGGCGGCAATCGCGAAAATCAGCAGGAAGAGAATGAACAACAGAGCCTCAGCATTGTTGGCGGAAACACGCTCAGTGGAGTAAATCATAGTGCGCACAAGGCTACCCTGGCTGGTCTCGAATCCAGTCTTGACAACCACACCGAGAGCTCCGTTATCCGGGGGCATCGTAACGCCGTTGGCCAGGTTCTTCAGAACCTCCTCTCCATTGACATTGGGGTGAGTGACCTGCAGAACCTTGGTTCCACCGTGCACGAACGAGTTCTTATCCAAGCCCTCCGGTTCAATCAAGTCGTCACCGGGGCGGAGCTGAATCGAGTCCTTGAGTAGAGGGGTACTCTCACCGGAGAGCATTGCCTCATTCACAATCACACTACCCTCGACAAGAAGAATATCACAAGCGACACCGCTGTCCTCCTTGGTCCGGTTGACGGACATCAGATCGCCGGGAAGAAGCTTGTCGCTGGTGGTTTCTTGCCATTTGTTCTCACGGAAAACCCAGACGTCGTAAGGCTTGATGCTCATGCCACGGAACTCGTTAAGAGTTCTCTGGCGCTGCCAAACAACGGTGCTCTCAAACATAACAAGCATGAAGAGAGTGAACAGCGAGTAGTACCAGTATTCATCCAGCATCCACAAACCAACACAGAATACCTGGAAAACGAAGAACGGCGCGACGGCATGCTCTTGGAAGAGCTCCACAAATCCAGGGACGGGAATATCGAAGGTGTTATCGCCATAGTGCTCCTGCACGCTCTCAACCTCCGCTTTGGTGGTGAGACCCTTGGTCTGCTGAAAGGTTTTGAGAGCAGGCTTGGGCTCTGCATCGAGAGCATATGCCAGGGGTGCAAATGTGCCACTTTCGGGGTAGTAGAGGAAACGGCGCTTCTGGAACAAAAAGGAAAGGGTCTTTTTGCCACCGGAGGTGTCGTGGATCAGGGGACAGATTTCAGCAATTCCAGCATTGGTGACCGGGATCACCTTAATCAGTTTGGCGGTATCAATGGAGCTGGCTCTGGTAGTAGTGAAAAGCGTTTTGATGTCAATGTTCCACTTGGTCATCAGCCACAAGAGGGACTGGAGCGTGATGATGGACCCCGCCCAAACGAAGGTCCACTCCTGGCCCTGAATATAGATATCATATCGCTCTTCGGACAGATAGTAATAGAAAAAGGCAGACCAGATTATGGTGAAAGGGAAGACATAAGGATGCCATTGTATCGAAAGAGGATTGTGCAGGGATGCATGGTGAATCTGGGGGTCATCTGCGAGTTTTGCCCTGATACGGGTTAGATTGAAGATGCATTAGGGGCAAGGGTCTCCAGGGACTAACATGATGGCAATCGAGTTGACCACGAAGATGGTCGGATGAAGAACAAATTAAAAAAGCATAAAGAAGAAAGACGACTACACAGCGGAAAGCTCAGAAGAAGCCACCTTAGAGATAAGTAAATTTGGTTTCCAGAGGGTTCGCCCGGTTCCCCGACGCGCTAGACAGCTTATGTCATGAGTGGAGGTCTCTTCCAATCATTTTCCTTTATAATGCCACAATCTATTCACCCTTCAACAAGCCCAGCCGGGCTAGCTCAATCGGTAGAGCGTGAGACTCTTAATCTCAAGGTTGCGGGTTCGACCCCCGCGTTCGGTTCTTTTTTTTGAATTTTTGCACTTCTGATCTTGATTCAACGTCGAGATTGATGTTTTTGCTGGTAAGTAGCTTGAAACCCTTTAAATACATCATACCTGCATGTATCACCTATTTACGCGATCTTGGAGACTTTAAACATTTATTCCGATCGCTCCAAGTGTGTTGTCGATACCATGACATTCCAACTTTCAGCACTTTTCAACGTTTACATATATATTTCCCTCACAGCATATGCATGTGTGCACCTGGCCATCAGACCTTATCAACTTTCAATGTTGGAAAGTTCCACACATGCACATGTGTGTGCAGGAACTAAATACATAAGGTAACGCTTATGAAGTCGACATTTGAATGCTTCCCTCAAGTCAATCCATCCAAGACCACCCCCTTCTCACGGCTCAACTGCTTCACCAAATCTGTCAATGCCTCCACTTGCATACGTAACTGCCTCACCTCAAGAGTACATGTATCAACCTTGATGTCAGGCGTGCTTTGATTGACTTCTTCCTTCCAAGAGTCATCCAACTCATATTCCACATCTTCAGCCACCATTTCCCACTCCTGTTGATCTTCCTCGTCCTCTTCTCCATGGCGCCGATTCCAACGAATTTGCTCGGCTTGGTGAGTCTCAACCCAGGCTGTCAAGAGGAGAAGAGGCGAGTATAACAGACCCATGACAACATCGTTGAGCTTTGCATATTGCTTTTTCGACAGCCACCATTCGAATGGAGCGCTCACCAACAAGATCTCAATCAAATTAAAAGCTAGTACGTCCCATTAGTTCAACCGTTCCATGGTATGTTTAGCGAGTGGAATGAAGGAAACTTACGCGGGATGAAGACATTCTCATCGGGGGCCCGAACGAACTGCATGGTTTTCTGGGCAAAAATTGCCATGAACTCATCGGTGGCATTTCCGGAAATATCTTCATAGGCACTGTTGTAAAGCGCAATGAGGATGTTCAAGAGAACTAGTAAGTCAAGTGAGCATACTGTGTTTCGAGGAGAGAGTCCGGAGGATTTACGTACCAATCATGATGACAAAGCTGAAGACATAGTAGAGAATGATTCCAAAGGGGAATGCGAAATCCTGGAAAGTCTCGAACTCAGGGCTCTGCATGATAGTGTTCGCCATGCCCTGGATGATAAGCCGAGTGATAGGTATATCGTCATCCACCTGTGCCATGCCAATAAATGCCTGGAAGAAACCAGCCAGCACCACAAATAGGAGAGCAAAAAAGATCAAGCTTTCCTTCATCATTACCCGAAGGACCACGAACATGGCACCAAAGAATTTGAATGAGTCCAAATAGAGCATCATACGCATCCAAAACATGGGTCCTGCAAAAGCCAGGAAGTTATAGCTTAAACCATTGAACATTTGCCGTTCTGCATCGCTGCTTGAAGACGAATGGGCCAATGCAACAATGCGCAAGACAAAGGATATGACGAGGAGAGCGTAGAGCGTAGAATTGAAGGCATTCCAGAATTCAAGGTAATTCCACCCAACTTTCCAGAACTTCGCTATTTCGTCACAGAGGAATGCAAGCGTCATCACGTACAGAACAACCTCAGCCATGTCGATATCACCAGTTGGGTTGACAGTGTTTATCACAGCGGTGTAAACAGCAAGATAGACCAGAGAAAAGGCGATCTGGCAGACATTCTGGTAAAGAGGGGTTCGCATGCGATCCGGATGGAAATGGACCCAGTAACTGGTGTTGGCTTTCTGGTCGTACTCCACGAAGTTCGTGGGATTACCTTCTTCCTGACAGATCCAGCCACGCCATAGATACTGTATGCATTTCTGGTATCCGGAGGATCCGATAATTATCAGCGCGTGGAGATCTACCGAGCGCTCAATCACATTGACAGGGTCACTCTCAAAGCCATCGGAAAAGATCGAGTAGCGCTTGAGCAAAACATTTTTAAGCAGATAATCCTGATCTTGCTCGGATTCGATACTGTTAATTGTCAGCGATAGGGAACACCGGAACCTGTGCCAACCAGGGACTCGTACATGCGCTTGGCGATGACTTCGCAGGCCACAGCTCGGACTTCATGAAGATCAGCGTCCCAAAGCTCAATTGAAGCCTGGAGCTTAAACCATTTCAGGCAAACGAGTAGACAGTAGACAACACAGGCTTTGTACTCTTCACCAGCAGCGCGCTTAGCAGTGTCAATGACATTTTGCGTAATAACCCGGCTGTTTGGGTCGGTTAAGACACTCTTGTCGACCTCACAGCACACAACTTGTTCGATTTGGTACTTCAACCGCAGTGCAATTCTAGCATTCTCTTTGGAAGTGTCGCATGGCTGTGGCTCATCCGCAATGTATGATGGGAGAACTGAGATTTGATTAGCGTTGTGTAACACGATCTTGATTATGACGTACGTCTGCGGCGCTCTACTGCAGCGCGATGGCGAGCACGACGCTTATCAAAGCTGAAGAGATTCTTCCAGTACCCCATTACGAAGGTGGTAATAAAATTCACCTAGAGAAACTTACTGGAGCAGCTGTAATGGTGAGGGGGCGGGAAGCGCGGACAAGAGTTGATCAACGGGAAGTCCAAGCGCCCCCCGCCATCAGGGAAAAGGTGACGAGGAATCCTGGAATCTTTCAAAATCTATCTTTTCCAATGTTACAAAGAAACACATGAGAAATATCTCTAGAAGCATCATTGGCATTGAACGTCTCGGTAGCATCACACCATATATACATCAGAAGTTGCATCTCGCACCGTACATTAGAATAAAATGTCGGAAACATGGTTTGCCAAAAGGCATTGCGCCTGCTCATAAAACCCGGACTCGAGGTGCAGGTGACTGGCCTTGGTGGAAAGGCAATTCTGACTGCAATCGTGCCTGATAGCACTTACATAGAGCCATCAAGCCTCTGTCTTTTCCATTGATCGCGTAAAATGTGCATAATTTTCTCTATCCATTTTTGCCCAGTTCTTTTCCTCCGCATTTGCCTTTTGCACTGGTCGACAATGCCGATGTACGTCAGGCTATTTCTTTACTCGGGCACACCCTCGTCGCTCTCTGAGCCACTCTCGTCTCCGCTAACCTCCTGGTTCTCCCGCTCGCGTTTCTCCATAAGCTCCTGGAGAATAGCATCATCGTGCTCGGTGACGGCCTTGGGCGCCATCTTGACGGTGCAGTTACCTCCAGCCGCCTTGATGTTGGCCTCGATTCTTTCGATACTGGCCTCGAGCTGCTTGATACCCAGCTGCTTGTCCAGGCATTGGCTGGTCAGCACGTAGAGAGGGGGAGCGACCAGTTTAACCTTGATCTGGTTCTCGGGGGTGTTCTCGGCCTCGGCGGTGCGCAGGGCGTTCTTGACGGCGTCGATACCTTCGTAGCTGAAGCAGGTGACTTCGATATCGGCACGGACCTTAGTGGGGGCGGGGGTGAGCTTCTTGCTGATGTAGAGCTGCAGCTCCTTCTTCACAGGTTCGCTAGGGAACTCGATCTCATTCCACACCTCGGGGTTGCTAAAGAAGCCGGTTAGTGATAGACCATGTCAACATCCAACACCGCAGGAAACGTACGAGATGGAGATCTTGAATGCGTCGTGGGAGTGACCGTATTTCTTGTCCAGCGGCCAGGCGATTTGCTGGTATAGGGTCTCGAGGGGAGTCTGGGCGGCCTCGGCAACGTGGCGCAAGATAGAGTGCACAGCCTTGCTCTTGTTGTAACGCTCCTCACACTTCACCACATCCTCGGGGGAGACACGACGCTTTGACAAATCAATGTAACCTTTAATATCAGATGGGTCAGTTGCCAGTTCTTTGTTATACAATGGAGGTTTGGTTACCCTTCTCCTTGTCCACACGGAGGACGATGACAACCTCGTTGCGGCCAATACGAATGAGCTTTTGGATACTGCGAATACGACGACGAGACAGTTCGGAGAGCAGGATCATGCCGTCGATGTTGTCATATTCGAGCAGCTTCACGTATGCGCCCATCTCGGCGATCTAAGAACCCCCGGGAAAAACGAATAAGCATGACCGAGCGCGCCGAGAGTGCGGTTTTCAAATCCTACCTGCTTGACATTGACCATGACATAGCTATCCACCTCAGGGTACTTCTCCTCGTAGAAACGGCAATTTGTTAACGACATTTTGGCGGGGTTGCGATCTGGTTTTCAGAGACGGGGTTTCGGCGGAAAACAGGACTGATCAAGCGGCAGTCCAAAAAGCAGCGATGGACTCGAGCCTTAAATCAAGGTTCGGAGCAGATCGAGAGGATTAGGGGGGTGGAGGGTGTATCGTTGGGCGGAAGCACAATCACTTCAAATCACTATTGTGGCGGGCTCAAAACCCACACCATCACGTGATACATCTATTGAACCATTGGCGCCTGACCGTTAAGGCCTGAAAACATTATCACGTGATTTACCGCCTTGTTTCGATTATGTCACAACTCCGCGGGCATGTGGTACAATCTGTCTCCACTGGTCCATGGTTCCCCAGTCGAATGTTGCACAGACAAATCACCGACTACAGGTCACGACAAATCACCGACTACAGGTCACATACGAAAATCATGCTGGTTGGTCCCTATTTCTCCAATTGCCATAGACACGATAGATTCTATTACACAGATCTGCATGGAGGTGATAGCTTAGTAGCTCTGGCCCCGCTTATCAGACCCTAGTGGACACCGCCTATGCTAGCCAGCCACGGCCATTCGGATTGGTTTTCTTTTTTCCCTCTCAAAAGCGGCTTTTCTCATTCTCATTTCATACCTTTCCGCGGATGGACAGCTGAGGTGCAATTATTTGAACTCGGGTCGTCATTAGGTTCTGGATTAAGCAAGCACCATGTCCGACCCTAATACGCCAGTGGGCCAAGATACGGATGATGCCCGCAACCTGCGTGATCGCCTGGCTGATATTTTCCGCCCAAGGCCCTTTGGCTATGCGACGGACGAATCGGGAGTACAGGGCGCCCAAGGCCTGGGAATTACGAGTGAACCAGATGTGAGAACCCGCCTCTTGGAGTCGTACAACCGTTCAGACCCTGCGTGTGGTGAGAGACGTTGCAGTCATGGTACTTTCTCCCCACATGTTGAAACAGCCGAGAGAATTGCATACGAGGGATCACCGAGCGGTCGCAATGCAGGCAATAGGGTTGGAGAAGGAGGAATGGCGTCCGGTCCCTTTCCCGGAGGTGATGGTCGCCCGGAGTCTCACCATGACTCGGAGTACACGTCACAAATGAAATCGTCCGTCTCCGCTCTATCTTCTCACGATTCTAAGAAACTGTAAGCTTTTATGTATTACGTTGACGGGGCACTATAGGCCACCTAATGTGAACAGGGCTGACAGCTCTCTACAGTTACATATCTTATTACATTCCGTTCTTTAATTGGATCGGGCAGTACCGCTGGTCTTTTCTCCGTGGAGATCTGATATCGGCATTGACTATCTCCTCTGTCTATATCCCAATGGCCTTATCTTTAGCCTCCAATCTTGCACACGCACCTCCAGTCAACGGTCTTTACTCCTTTGTCATCCATCCATTGGTCTATGCGATATTGGGAAGCTGCCCACTCTTGGTTGTCGGACCGGAGGCAGCAGGCTCTCTGCTCACGGGTGCGATTGTCAAGTCCACCATTCTACCTGACGACTCCCCGGAAGACATTAATGTGAAGAGTGCTATGGTAATTGGAATAGCGACTGCAATGACTGGTGCTATGATCCTCGTTGCCGGATTGACTCGCCTAGGATTCTTGGATAACATGCTCAGTCGGCCATTCCTCAGAGGCTTCATCACCGCCATCGGTTTTGTGATTTTTGTCGATCAGCTCATCCCGCAATTGGGGCTTTCAGAACTGGCAAAGGAGACTGGTGCTAGCCATGGTGCTACAGTTGCCAAGCTGAATTTTATTGTTCGTAATGCCCGGGAAAGTCATGCACTTACCGCCGTTGTTTCACTCGTGAGCTTTGGAATTATCATGGTTTTCCGGTATGTGCAAGAGCCCCTTATTGATTTCGTGCACGACTGACCTTTCTAGAACCTTGAAAAAGTGGATAGAACCTCGCTTTCCCCAAGTTGTTTACTTTCCTGATCGCTTTTTGGTTGTTTTACTGTCAGGAATCCTGGCTTGGTGCCTTGGTTGGGAAGAGAAGGGCCTTGAGCTTCTGGGATCCACCGAGGTCAGTGAAAACGGCCTATTCGCCTTCCAGTGGCCTTTCCAATGGAAGTATATGGACCACATTCGCACAGCTATGAGCAAAGCATTTATCATTACTCTGCTTGGATTCTTCGAGTCTTCGGTGGCGGCGAAGGGTCTTGCCGAGGTCAAGTCAGAGGGCATTCAGGGTATGCACATCAGTGCCAACCGAGAAATGGTAGCCCTGGGAGTTGCCAATCTTGTGGGCGGTTGCTTTATGAGCCTTCCAGCATTTGGCGGATACGGTCGAAGCAAACTTAATGCACAGACTGGAGCGCGATCCCCAATGAGCAGTATCTTCTTGAGCATCATCACTCTCGTTGGGATTCTTGTCATTTTACCCTATCTCTATTATCTCCCGGTTCGTATAGTCTCTTCTGTTCTCCATTTGAGTGTCACTAATATATTTAAACAGAAAGCAGTCCTCTGTTCCATGATATCTGTGGTGGCATTTTCGCTCGTCGAAGAATGTCCCCACGATTTGATCTTCTTCTTACGTCTCCGTGGGTGGACCGAACTTATGCTCATGTTCCTCATTTTCGTCACAACTATTTTCTATTCACTCGAGCTAGGCATGGCCCTCGGAATCGGTGTTTCTGTTATAATACTCATCCGCCATGCTACCCAGCCTCGCATCCAAATTCTCGGAAGGGTTCCCGGCACTGCTACCCGCTTTGGAAATGCTGAACTCCAGCCCGAAAATATAGAGATTGTCGAGGGCGCACTGATCGTCAAGATCCCTGAACCCCTGACGTTTGCCAACACTGGCGATCTTAAGAACCGTCTTCGCCGTCTGGAGCTCTACGGATCTAGTCGGGCCCATCCCTCCCTTCCCCGCATGCGCCCCGCGGAGTATAACAAAAACATCATTTTTGATGTGCATGGTGTCACAAGCATTGATGGTTCTGGTACACAGGTCCTCTCGGAAATCGTGCGCGCATACGCCGAGGAAGGAACGAGAGTTTTCTTCTGCAGGCTCCCCAATGAAAATGTTTTCCGCATGTTTGAGCTGAGTGGCATTGTCGAGGATTGTGGAGGTCTGACACACTTCGTTCCCAGCGTCGACGAAGCTCTGCAATTGGCAGAATCGGAAGAACGATGGGACGGCAACTAAAATTGAGGCTCTGCCTCTGATAAAGTTTACTACCTGAGGAATATGTGTTTCAGGTAGATTGGCAAAGGAGCCATTTAGATTTGCTTTGTATATAACGAATATATGTTGTGATTTTTTGTTCGCTGTTACTAACATTGAAGCGATAAATTTTGATATGATTTTATCTCGTATCAACGATTGCTACTAATAGAACACCATAAACAGTGGAAGCCTAGCCCTTCAAGTTGTTTCTCTCAAAGTAAAATGGGTGATACCTAGTAGCCTGTGGGCGCTGAGACTGTTGGATGGCAGTGATCATTTGCCGCCTTCAACAATGTGCTCTGTTTTTAGCGGACAGCCTGTTTCTCTGGGCCGAGACTCTGACCTTACTTCCCAGATGGGGAGGCGATTGGGTCCCATTTACATTATAGCAACGTGCCAGGGCCGGGAGCAGTTTCGGTAGTTGTGCATTGCCGCCCGGCAGTAGCAAGATGTTTTGATGCTATACCAAGGCATCACGTGTGAGCCCTTGGTGAAATGTGATTTTAGGAGGTGATCAATTTGGAGCTTCACAGAAGTCTTCCGAGTAATCGATGGATAATGAAGAATCTTCAACTCTTCACAGGCGCCAGGTAATTCATGTAGCCGTTTGATCTCCGACGACAGCCTTACTAATGACAGCCCGTAGCAGAGTTTCACTAGCACGAAGAGCTAATCGGTCTTTCACCGAAGCCTCGTCCTCATCCTGACCCTCTGCTCGAGCAACATCCACAACCAATTTCATGCGTCCTTCACCCCCCAGCACAAAAGCCGCACATGAAGCCTTGGATAAGCGAACATGTTGCTTAGCAGCCCGACTCTTCGACGAACCATTCAAATCAAGCTGCATCGCCAGGTGTGTCTCAAGATAAGAGGTGATATTCTCAATCAAATTACTGCTCAGTTTCTGCTGCAAAGTCCTTTTTGAAATATTCTTTTGCTGCAAAAATCCAGTCAAGGATGCCCGCGAGATACTGACATTCAGCGTTCGCAACGCAGGGGCAATAAGGGCCGAAAATGCCAAGGTAAGCTGTAGCTCCTTGATCACATCTTCAACAACATCATTCGCAGAATTTCCAGAATCCGCACGCAGCTCTTCCACAAAACTTTCCAAGCCCTTACAGAGAAAAGCAGATGAAAGACGGAGCGGAGCACAGTATGTGTCGAAATTGGCGGATAAGAAGGAAATGATTGTTTGTCGCAACGCGTTCGGACATTTTGTCAACAGTAGAGGAAGAAACGTTGATCCTTCCTGGGAAAGATCCTGAGAATTGGAATCCGGTTCCGCGAGAAGAGCAGCCTTGTAAACAATGTTTTCGTACTCAAGCGTCACCAGGATTCCAGCGAAGGAAGTAGTAGTGGCGCGTCTGCTTGCTGTGTTGCGGGTGGATGATCCCGATGCGATGGACTGCCATCTGCATTCTTTCAGGGCGCCTGATTTTGAAAGCGCATCATCATCCGCTGTATTAGCGATAGAATGGAGACCGGCAAGAATATCGCCGGTTAGCTGGTCGCGTAATCTTGTTGCGTATGTATTCAGGGCGGATTGGTTGTTTAGGAGGCTCTCGCAATCTTTTTTATGGTGTAGGGGCGAGAGCCGGTGTAATGTCCAAGACGCGTTGAAAAGTTGTGAGTATGACGCTGTCTCCATTGCAAAGAAATTTCTGCATCAAATTCTTTGTATCTTTGACTTAAAAGAGAATGAACTTTGAAGTCGTCTATCAATGTTTTAAGCTTATCGATATGGACGCGCCCGATGCAAACGAGGCAAACATATAATATCCCTTTTAAGCCTAGTGCAACTGGTATACAGGATCCATCATCCTTCTATCATTACTATTGGTTATATTTACCACGAATCAAGGGTTTGTTTTCTGGTCAATAGAATAGACTGTTTGAATATACTACATAATAATCTGCCTACTGAAAAGGCTTTGGAATCTTGGCTTTCTTCTCATTCCGAAGTCTCCACAAAAGCATTTCGTCCTGGAGCTGTGTCAAAGTATCCACCGGGTCCGCCTGGAGAATCGGATTTGAATGTGACACTGCCTCTGGAAATTTCTCATTGACAGCTGAGCCCTTTGATTTATCTCCATTGCCGGGAGAATATAGCCGGATCCTATCCGATACCACTTGGATCAACTTCCATCCATCTTGTACCAACTTGAAATTGAAAGAAACATAGATGATGAAGACCCCCAGTCCAATCGAGACACAGACTATTCCAAGTATTAGATTAATCCAAGAACTGCAAAATTGTTTCGAGATCTTGCTGACTTACAAATGACAGGGAAAATAAACCCAGGGGTGAACTGGACATTGCCTTGGCTGTCATGCTGGAAAGAGGTCACATTCAACGCAAAAAGCGAGGCAAGGAAAGACATGGGAAGCTATTCAAAATTAGCCCTGGTTCATTGAAAGGAAAATAAGATACCCACGAAGAAAATGGTGACAACTGTGAAGGCCATAATGGTAGTTCCTTGCCTTGCAGATTGTTTTGCCAAATCGCGAGAGAGCACAGCCTCGGTGATATTGATCCCATTCTGCTCAAGATCTAGAGTTTCTTTGACCTGCATCAAGATTAGAAATGTTGATATCTGGAGTACTTTCGCTGGTTCTCACTGAAGTTTGAATCGTTTCGGCAATGCTGTCCATCTCGACGACCTCCTTGAGAATATCGGCCAAATTTCTTTCCGTTCCCAGGCTATTCTTCATCGCTTGACTCATTTGGCCTCCTTGGCCCAATAGTTCTTCCCAGACAAGTTTTTGCTGAGTCAACACCATTTTGATCATATTGAGTTCGTCCCGAATATCCTTAACCTCTTTCAAGAGTAATGCAGCGTCGTAGATCGCGTTCCAATCTTTCTTCTCTTCACCATCGTCGTCTTCGTGCTCCAGCTCATTGTTGCTGAATGTAACACCATTCACTTTATCTTTGCTGCTGACTCCATCTCTGTTATTTATCTTCTTGGGGCCAATACCATTACCATTCTTCTTATCTTCAACCTTCTCAACGAATCCTGTGAATAAAGTGTTCTCTCTCACGGCCTGTTTGTTTCATAATTTAGCCTAAGTAAAGCAAAATGGCAAGGGATAGTCTCACCGTTCCGTTGATGGTCTCTGCAAATATTTCGCAAGGTGATTTTCGGAAGCGGTCCTTCCAGGTCTTCTCTTCCTCTTTTGTATCATTCTCCTCGTCTTGCTTGGTTTCCTCGGTCTTCCCATTCCTCCTTCCCCCTTCGTGTACTGTCTTCTGCATGATCTTCGGGGGATACTTTTTATCTTCATCCACCCCACGCACGATCCGAGACCAATTCGTGGTATGAGTAAAGTTGATGCAAAAATTGACGATGAGTTTGGCCAGATCAAGTGCCGACGATGGAGGCATTGATCCTCCACCATTCTTGTTTCTTTCCCGGAGATGTTCAAAGATGCCCTCCACAACTGGATCATCTAATCCGTCTGGGCGAAGGGTGGAGCAGGAAATGACTGTATCTTTAAAGAATTATCAGTTGACAGTTGACCTCAAGTGCCATCATTCTGGGTACACACTTGAATCAATAATCCAAAGCCAGAGCTGACCAACTGAAAGAATGGGCCACCAATCGCCGTTATCTTCTTTACTCCCATGCTTCCTTTCCAGCAAAAACCGAGTCACCACTTGGTCTGCATTTCGTTTTTTGATATCAGGCAATGACTGATAATAGAATTGATCCAGGGACCGAGAGCCCTGTACGACAGGTCTTTGACCCTTTCCGTTGTAAGTTTCCATGAAATTTTTGTAATCAACTCGGACATCAACGTTCTCCGAATCCTGTACTTGATTGCCAGGTTGCATAATTGTTTCGTTGACTTGCGGCACTGCTTCATTATCTTTAAAACATGTTTCAAATGTTATGTATGGTATCTAATATAGTGAGCAACAGTTGTTGGATGAGGAAATCGGTGAGATTTCTTACATAAAGAGCCGTGGGATTATCGTCTTCTGTTCATGATATGTAAGTCCACTGCGGGAATGAGTCAATTATAATTATACTTCACAGACTCACCAAATTTTTCTTCTACAGCTGGTCTTGGTTTTGGTTTGTCGTCATTTGTCTGGTGTGCCTTTGATGCCACTGGCACCTTGGGGTCCGACTTCGAGTTTTCTTCATTTTCATTCTGCTTTTGGGCTTCTACTGCAGCCGTGGGATGCTCATCTGACTGGATGGGGGTTGACTTTCTGGCAAATTTCTCCTGGATAAAACGATTAGTTCTTGGCTTCTGGTCATCGGTGGTTATTTCGTACCAGGAAATTCGGCTTCATAAACTTGGTCCCTGAATCCCCGGAAGGCAACTCCTGCCAGCTTCCTCGCAGGAAGTCTCGCAAAGTTGCGAATTGTGATTTTTGTTTTTTCTGCTCAGAGAACAATCTCTGGACAAGGTCCTAAACTGGGTGATTAACTGGAAATTCAAGGGTCGTCATATTTGGATTGAAATACCTCCATCCATTCCATCTAGAAGATTTTTATCACACGGTCAGTCATGTTGATCGCAAGTAATCGATCGATATGGAAATCACTCACATTGTTCGCCGGGAGGTGCACCCATCGCATTGTGAGATTTTCCTTCTCATATACCCTCCCCTCCAATCCAATTGACTTGAGAACATCTGCCGTCCTCTCCATAAAGCTTACTGGGCCATCCTTCTCCTTGTTGTAGATAACGTCACGTAGATCAGATGATCGTCGGAGAAGATCCACGCGCCCATCATGTCTATAAAAGTTCACAATCGTTGCCTTGCGCTTCTGGGTAACCTTCTCTCTGGCAATGTCCTTCAATTCTGGTATTTCACACTCGCCTTTTTCTTTCGTTGCCCCAATGCCCAATGGTGGATCATGCAGAATATCCAAAGTGTGTGAATAGCGATCCTTTTCGTCTGTCGAGAGGCCATGCTGGTCCGGCGCCTCTTTACTCTTGGCCTGACCAGAAACGTGGGATTTGTCTTTCGACTTCTCTGCTACCTTAGTGGTTTCTTGTCCCTTTTTGTTGGATTGTCCGATTGCCTGTTGCTCTTTCACTCCATCTCTGTTGACATTCGACAACTCTTTGGGCTTCCTCTTGTCAATGCTGTTGAGCCTTTCCTTAACAATTTTAATAGCCTTGGCCCGGTCTTCTTGGGGTGGATCAGTCTTTTGAAAAATCCACCACACAACAGAAAAGTTGCCATGATAGGCCGCCCATTGCAAAACAGTCTCTGGTTTCGTGTTGGTATCAGGAGTGTTGGTCTCGAGCTGCGAACGCAGACTTTCATGCTCCTTGGGTCGCATGGCACGCCAAATAAGCCTTGTCTGATGTTCCCAGTCTGCTTCTTTCCCGAAATTATCAACACTCGTCAAGATCTCAATGGCAAGTTCCAGTCCATTCTCAGAATTTAAATCTCGAATAGATGCCATTGCTGGAATGATGTCGACTTTTCTTTGGGCCAGAAGTCGAATTGCAAGCTCGCAGTCCTTGAGAGATTCCTTTTCGGCCTGCTGCTCGGTCTGACTTTCCTCTTCCCCTATGGACTCTTCGGTTGCTCGATCGGTACTTTGCTCAGATGTAGGCTCAGATGTCTGTTGTGTCTGCTGATCTTTAAAACACTCGGCCGAAAATGCATTTAAGTGCTCAATGGATAGAGCCAATGGCGTCTTCTTTTTAACCTCCGTTTCGAGGTCAAATGATACCCCATTTCTAAGAAGCAGTTCCACGACTTTTCCGAACCCGTTGTTGGCGGCAATATGGAGGGCTGTCCATCCTTTCTCCTCACGCGCATTGATATCATACGAGTTAGCGTGCTTCAGAAATACTTCAACAACATCAATGCATCCATTCTCACAGGCTACATGCAACGGCGTAAGGTTTTCACCCTTGGTCACAAGAAAATTTGCCCCCTTCCGGATTAAAAGTTCCGCAATAGATGCTCGGTCATCAACTGCATCACATGGGGGGACTTTGTGCAGAGCTGTCCAGCCGTCGTTATCAACGGCATTTATCTCCGGTCTCTTCTCCAAAATCATCGTCACTGTCGCTGCGTTGCCATATCGTACTGCGACATGAAGTGGAGTCTGGCCACGGTTATCAGTGGTATTTATATTCGGATCTTTCTCCAAAATCATTCTCACTATCTCTTGTCCGCCATATCGAGCTGCGAAATGAAGTGAGGTCCGGCCGTTGTTATCAACAGCATTTATATCCGGTGCTTTCTCTAAAATCGTCCTCATTACCTCTGCGTTGCCATATCGAGCTGCGGCATGAAGTGGAGTCTGGTCGTCGTCATCAACGATATTAATATCCGGTTCTTTCTCCAAAAGCATTCTCACTATCTCTGGATCGTCATTTTCATTTTCAGCTGCAAGATGAAGTGGAGTCCAGCCGCCGGGATCAATGGTATTTATCTCCGGTCCTTTCTTCAAAATCATCCCCACCATTTCTGCGTTGCCATATCGAGCCGCAAGATGTAGTGGAGCCCATCCATCGTCAGTTTTGACATCGATAGGCGGGTTTCTCTCTAAAATCATCTTCACTCTAGCCGCAGTAGAGTATCGACAAGCAACATGAAGAGGCTGCCATTCTGCCGGATCTGTGAGAGTCACATCTGCACCATGGTCTAGCAGGATTTCAACTAGCTCATCTGGACCATATTGGCACGCCATTGTCAAGGGCGTATAGTGGTTGGAAGGCGTATTAACTGCAACATTTGATTCCAGCAGAGCATCGACCACCCTCACATGTTGTTCAGAAATCGCCATCAGGAGAGGTGTCTTTTCCTCGGTAGTCGTTCTCACATCAAGATCTGCCCCTTTTTCGCGTAGGAGACGGACCACTTCAAGCTTTCCCTTGTTCGCTGCCTCATGCATGGGGGTCCAAGCGAATTGGTCTTTTTCATTGATCCGAGCGCCGGCGTCGAGTAAAACCGAGACGACTTCGACTCTTCCATTCCTAGATGCCATATGAAGGGCCGTTTCGCCAGATTCGTTTTTGGACCCAATATCGGCAGGCTTATCCAAAGTCTTCCGGTCAAGTAGCACTTTGACTACGTCCGCATGACCACTCTCAGATGCCAAATGAAGAGCCGTTTCACCTAAATTGTTTTTGGCCTCAATATTGGCAGGGTTGTCCAAAGTCTTGCGGTCAAGTAGCATCTTGACTACGTCCAAATTACCCTTCTTAGATGCCAGATGAAGAGGTGTTTCCTCTGATTCGTTTTTGGCCTCAATATTGGCAGGCTTATCCAAAGTCTTCCGGTCAAGTAGCACTTTGACTACGTCCACACTACCCCTTTCAGAAGCCAAATGAAGAGGTGTTTCCTCTGATTCATTTTTGGCCTCGATATTGGCGGGTTTCTGCAAAGAATTGCGGTCAAGTAGCACCTTGACTACGTCCGCAAGTCCATTCTCAGATGCCAAATGAAGAGGCGTCTCTCCAAAATAGGAGGTTGTGGCCTCAATATTGGCGGGTTTCTGCAAAGCCTTGCGGTCAAGTAGCACCTTGACTACGTTCACATTACCCTTCTTAGATGCCAAATGAAGGGCCGTTTCGCCTCCTTCATTTTTGGCCTCAATATCGGCAGGGTTATCCAAAGTCATGCGGTCAAGTAGCACCTTAACTACGTCCTCATGACCACTCTCAGATGCCAAATGAAGAGGTGTTTCCTCTGATTCGTTTTGGGCCTCGATATTGGCGGGTTTTTGCAAAGCATTGCGGTCAAGTAGGATCTTGACTACGTCCAAATTACCCTTCTTAGATGCCAAATGAAGGGCTGTTTCGCCTCCTATATTTCTGGCCTCAATATCGGCAGGGTTATCCAAAGTCATGCGGTCAAGTAGCACCTTGACTACGTCCTCATGACCACTCTCAGATGCCAAATGAAGAGCAGTCTCTCCAAAATTGGTTCTAGCCTCAATAGTGGCGAGGTTGTCCGAAGTCTTGCGGTCAAGTAGCACCTTGACTACGTCCACATGACCATTTTCAGATGCCAAATGAAGGGCCGTCTCTCCAAAATAGGAGGTTGCGGCCTCGAATTTGGCGGGGTTCTGCAAATCCTTGTGGTGAAGGAGTAGCTTGACTACTTCAACAAAGCCCTCACGGGACGCAATGTGGAGCGGTGTCAGGCTGTCTTCCCCCGTGACGTTGATATCCGCTCCCTGTCTCAAGAACTCCTTAATATCATCCTGATTATTTTGATGGACTGCATTCAGGAGAGATATATCGAGATCAGAGTGTACGGTCCCAGGAGCAGGAGCTCGACGAGCATCTGATGTGAGATTATGAGCCTCGTCAACAGGGGCATTGACAAGGCTCTTAATCGAAACGAGGGAATCTGTTGAAATATCGGGCGCCAGTTCGGGCGGCCCAGCCATTGTATTTGCTGGATCCGATTTACTTGCGCAAAGAAATATAGGGAAAGGGAGGAGGTTAATATTATCGAGGGTGGAATTGGGGGCGCCATTGTTCAGCTACGAGCCGCTTACGCCGCTAAAAAAAAAACAACTTTCCTCTAGGCAAGACTTTCCTGATTAGTGCTAGATTGATGCAGACGCGCCCTTTAGTTAGAGGAGGTCATGGCGCTTTTATCGCTTATTGGTCGCTATTCCTGCAATTAGAGTGTTCTTCTTGGCATATGCAGCTAGACTCCTTAGTGTGTTTGCGGTCGCCCTAACTGTCCAGCTGCCCAATTGCGCGGAACGGGCCGTGGCACAGAATTTCAATATCGCATGGCCGTGACAAAAGTATAAACATTCGCGAACGGGGAGGATTTCGGAGTGTTTTCTGGAACAACTTCCCCCCCCCCCCCCCCCGAGCCGAGTAAGCATGACAACTTAGTGGTGGACCGGGATCGATCGAGCCCCCGCAAATTGACGAGAACAGGGACACTTATTTTCAAGTCGAAATGAGGTCGGGCAGATATTATTGGCAAGAAAAAGAGATCGGACATCAGTCACGAGGTATCTATCACATAAAACGCCATAACGCTCAGTCTAAATGCATTATGCTCTCCATCCCGGCGTGCGATGACAATCCGGGCATCCAAACAGAATAGGAATCCCATTCCAGCGCCAAACACTCTCTATATCGTGAGGAATCGCATTTCGCGACGCAAGTTCTGCCTTGGCGACATCAAACCAAAGGTCGCGCACAGAAGTATGCGAATTATGCGGGTTTCGGTCAGAAGCCCGACCCCAAACCACGGAGTTCATGCGATCTTTTTCGTGCGCGCGCGTATCGTGATAAAAATTATACATAAAGTCTTTCCGTTGCATGCGCTGGTTTCCCCCATCGCCGATCTCGGCGGAGAAGAATTCGACGATCCGGGCGAAGGGCGAGACAGTGAGGAGAGAACTGATCCACGAGTCGTCGGGTTCTCCTTCGGGTGCCATGGTATACCGGATATATGACACCAGCAAATGCATACAGTGGTGAGTCGCAACGAGGGCCGCGGTATTGTTGAAGGGAGGTTCGCGAAGGATTCGAGTCTGGAGCTCGCGGTACATGCTTTGACGCGTGTGCAACGCTACTGGGACGGAGATGTTTCCGGCTTCGTACTCCCGGAGAAGCATGTTGGTGTGTTCACGACGGGCAGATGCATACGTCTCGAGGTAATATAAAGTGTAGTACCTAACACTGTCAGTTCAATGGCTCAAGCAATTTCTCCAACATGAACTCACATTAACGGCGCAAGGTGAAACCACAGGGTACTTTTGCCTTGCTTCACCAATGCTGCTCGCTCGGCCCTCTTCGTTGGAAAAGAAGCTTTGTCGAAAATCGGCTCGGCCTGCACGAATCGATCCATCACCCTGTCTGCCAGGTAGTAGCACAATCTTGAGCAGAGCCTTTGCCTCTCTCGCAAGCTCCACAGGTACCGGTACGTATAAAGGTGACCACCTCGGGCGCTTTTGGAGGGGGGAAATAAGTCGGATAGGAGGACAACATCGTCTTCGGGATTCCGGGTATAGGTACGTTCGTTATCGATTGGGGAGGGAAGACTGCCATGGCGGTGTCGGCGAAGGTATAAGCGAACGATAGCATGTTCATGAAAGGTCAAGACCCGATTGAAGGCCTTGCAGACTAGCTTTAGATGGAGGAAATCGACGGTCCTGCAGTGGGCGAAGATTAAGATTTGGATCTCGACGGGAAGGCCCCACGGCGGCAGACGATTGGCGTCGTCTAAACTGTCGCGCAAGGGAGAAGAAAAATCAGCCAGAGAACTCAAAGTTGTGCCACATGAAGCTCACCCAAGCTCAGACAAGGATCCTGGAATATCCGGCTGGGATCGGTCCTTGTCCTTTGTGGTCTTTCTCCCCTTTTGAAGTGCAGCTCGGAATTTTTGCACTGATGGCAGGATTTTGGAGAAACCACTCATTTTTGCCTTCAAGAACACATGGACGGGGCAGCTCCGGTGCGGCCACACGGATGAACAAAGTCAAGTCAAGTCCATGTCTCGACGGGCGTTGACATTGATATCTGACTAAGCACGGATGAGCTCCGCCTGAAGATGACGAAGCTTGTTTAGCGCAAATTGGGATCCACCATGAATGATACCGATAAAATGGGGGTGAATGGTCTTGTTAAAAGCTTGGCTGGAGTGGATCTGCACCACTTCCACCCTTGTTAGTTGGTTCTTTACAATGGAACCTCGGAAAGCAAAATCCCCGTGACTGGATTTTGAGGGGTAATACGCGATGACAGAACATAATTAATTATCTCGATATCCTGTTACTTTTATAACTAGACTCATTGTTATCTTTGATGCCATGTGATCCGGGCCTATACTTCGCACTTAATGCATCCCACAAAGGCAACTACGGGACTTGCACAGCCGTCGCTTTCATAAGGGAAGGCTTGGACTTGAGGACCACATCCTATCAAAACACATCTTGTCGAGGGCCTGGATTTTGGAGTTCACGGCAATGTCCTTTATCCGCAATACACCCCTGCATGTGGAAGTCGTCGATACAGTCATATAACTTTCCCATCTCACTGTCATCTCCCATCATCATCCATAAATCCCATAGCATATATGGCCAAAATTCTACCCACCCAGGAAAAGTGTCATAATAATCTACCATGGGCCATGCTTCAAATACCTTCACGTATCGTAATATGTGGTCTGTATCCTGCGGGTCATTTTTAAAGACGTGCTCCGCGGCACCTTGCATTGTTTGCACGGATACTTCGTCGATGATCATGCACATTCGGAATTTGCTCCAATAGCCACTCTGCTTTGAGCGTCGACTCACCTCTCAATATGTGTGCGAATCACCTCAATAGCCGCCCAGTTAAATTGTGGATATTTCATGACGGTACCGGTACTTGGCGCAGATTTCCACACTGTATACCGCCCTGGGTGACCGGTATACGCCTGGACGAAGTCTTGTTTAACATAGGCCTCATATACCTGATAGCGGTTGGGACGGCACAATAATAGCATGCAAAAATTATATCACGACTACACCCACGCAAAGAATCTCGAAGTGCGTATATTATGCAAGATCGGGACGCGGTACTGAAGTACGAGTGAAATCGAGCTTATCTAAACACTCAGAATGGGATGGGAATGTCAAGCTGCAAATATCAACATCCACTGGATATAGTGTCATCAGATAATCCAATTTTTGAAATATTTTGATCTTATGCTCAATGATTCTTACAGATCGGTAAGGAAAAGTAGGCCATATCAGAGCAAGGATTCATGGATCTCGATATGCATTTACAATCTTTAACGGGACGGCCCGCGTGATTACCCCCAACCCCCCTAATTTATTCCAAGCATTCCAAAATTAATGTACTCACTGTGTACTTTTATTTGACATATATTCCCATGGTCTGGACCACTGGGAATGCACAGAATGAGTTAGTCATGAAATTCGTTGGACATGGCCTGGAAGATTGTTGTCTGACTAAGCAGAAACGGGCGGTTTGGCGGAGTGGTCTAACGCGCTTGACTCGGTATGTCACCGAACAATCCCAATCGCCTATGACTATTTACTAATATTCCTTCTTCCAGAAATCAAGTCTCTTTGGAGGCGCTGGTTCGAATCCAGCAGCCGTCGCATTTACTTTTTTGCAATTTTTTCTCTTTTCTTTTCTTGATGAAATTATTACATAGTCAAGTATTATTTTGGTTATCCAAAGGTTAACTCAAGTTCAGACTTAGGTTGTGCATTAGTCATCAACAGTAGGCGATTTGGCGGAGTGACAACGCTTAACATTTATCTATTTAATTTGGTGTCAAACACAAATGATGGCGATAACATGGGTTTTGAATGGGGTTTTTTGAAAACTTGACTTGGACGGATCCAATAGATCTTCTTGGTGTCGGGTCCTCAAACCCCTGTCAGTCAGCCTTTCTTTATCACGGAAAGGATGATCCTAAGACTGGAAGTGGTAAGAAGTGATGACAATCAGAGAAAAGGAGATCCTATAATTACTTATCATTGCGGTCATGCTACTAATGTAAGTAAAAACCTGTTTTAATATTTTCACACCCGGGCCCATACTTGGCACTCAACGCGTCCCATAAAGGCCCATCTGCACTGTCGCCGCTTTTAGAATACTATACTCGGGCTTTGGGGGACCGCATCAATACCTTGCCAGAGAGACCTTACCAACAGTCTGGACCTTGGACCGGACCTTATGGGGATGTCCTTGTTCCGGCAAGTATCATGACAGCCTCGTATTGGTCGTCCAATAGGCTCACCCGGAGGAAGAAACCTTGAAAGTCTTGAGGTAGGCCTGAGGTAGGGGGCTGAACTATTATACACCACAGAATATAAGCAGCTTTCTTCGAATGATTCCAATCTCGCTGATATCGTCAACGACCACAGCTAATGGCAAGATGAACTCTGCCAATTCAAAATTGATTGTTGTGGTAGGCGCAACTGGTGGGCAGGGCAACTCAGTAGTCGACGCATTCCTCGAAGATGATGAGTACCGAGTACGAGGAGTCACCCGCAACACACAGAGTCCAAAAGCTCAGGCCCTAACGAAGAAGGGAGTCGAGATGGTTGCGGGAGATGCGCACAACGAGCAAAGCTTATCGAGGGCTTTTGTCGGAGCATACGCTATTTTTTCCATGACTGACTTTTTCGAGCCATTTGCCAAATCCGGTCCTCAAAAGGCTATCGATATCGAGGTCGAACAGGGGGTCAATATCGCTCGCGCCGCAGCCGGAACTGCCGGTCTCCAGCACTTCCTCTGGAGCACTCTCCCTCACGCGGGCGAGCTGACTAAGGGAAAGTTCATCGTACCTCATTTTGAAGCCAAGAATCGCGTCGATGATTTCATCAAAACAGATAAGAAAATTTTAGCAAAGACTACGTTCTTGTGGTTTGGATTCTACGCTGAGAATCTCTTCTATCCGATTTTCACTCCTACATACGTGGTGAGTGTCACGAAATGAATGACTTCCAAGGGTCTTGTCACTAAACAGCTGCTGCAGAAAAGTGCTGGGAAGTATATCCAGCTGTCTACTGCTGATCCATCGACGCCCATCTGGTCCCTTGGTGACCACCGGACTAACGTTGGTATCTTCATACGCGCAATCGTCAAGAACCCGCCAAATACCGGTGGTACCTTCATCCGGTGCTTTGCGGAGCTACATCCTTCTCTGGATGACTATCTCGCTGCGTGGGGTCGTGCGAGTGGCTTGGCTCCGTCACCTGGTTCCACTATGGTCGTGAAGATCTCCCTTGACGAGTATAGTAAGTTGTGGCCTGGCTGGGGAGAAGAGATGGGGCTGATGATGGACTTGTGGGGTGTTCTCAAATATAACAGCTGGGGAGGTCTTCCTGGTGACAATGTTCGAAACATTGATGAATTCCTGTCTGCAGAAGACAAGAAGAAGGTTATCAAAACGGAGGCCGCTTTCAAGGCTTTGGATTGGAAACCGGTAATTTAGTTCGATATGTGACACCGCGATGCAAACTGTCCTTACTAGTCGCTGGAAAAGCCCTTGGAAATGCTCCGCATTCTATCTCTAATGGCCAGCATGTTGCATCAACTTATCAGTTAAAAATTGTGGTTTAACCTCAGTTCTATATAAGCTCAAGGAAAAGCACGGTGGTACACGTGATTCAGGAGGCTTTAACGTCAACTTCATCAGCTTTACCATTTAAAGTCAGCGTCTTAATCCATGACATTTTTTTAGAATATGAAGATATGTGCTGCTATGGAGTGAGTATATGACCGGCGAATTCAATCCAGGAACAGTTGCTTGGGTGTGACTTCTTTATTATTTTTTCAGTTTAATTCAATTTATCCAGTAGCTGCCACCATAGGGTGTGTACAAAAGGGTTTACAAGTCGATCTAATGACTCCAAGGTTCTTTCAAATCAAAAACTCCATTTAGTCTATCCCAAATATGCTCTATGTACTATGTTCTATGATCTATACTCTATGTTCTATTGTCTAATATCTATATGCAATTCCAAACTTTTGCAAGTTTTGCCTCTCTCATCTCTCAACTGCCACTGTCCTCTCCTTCCACCTCACCCACTCACTTGCCTCTACTCTGCCTTCTTTGAGGCCTTGGTTCTCAGCTTCATCAGCCCGAAAACCAAGGCATATCCACTGATAGCAAAGATAACAGAGATAGCAGCATCTCTCCACCCAACATAATAATGATTGATGTTCAAAGTCTTCAAGAAGTCACTGCCATTGGTGTATTCGCACACCTTACAGCCTGATGTAGCATCAGGATTGATCAAATTGGCCATGTATCCCTCACCAGACAAGTAATCCTTGAGATACTGCGCACAGGTACCATTGGTAGGATCGAACACGGCGAACTCATCCTCATTGCAGGTAACCTTCGCATCCCAGATACCGAATGTCAACATTCCAGAAACGACATAGTTGAACGGGTTGAGCCAGTACATCCAATATTTCCAGAAGACGTTCAGCTCAGTGTATGGCACGAAGACACCGCAGAAGATAACCAGGATACTGATGATCAGCGGGTTGACGAGTGCAGCGAAAGTAGGGTTAGGTGCATAAGCAGCAATGAACTGGCCGATACCGGTGTAGATGAACTCATAAATCAGCATGATGAAGAAAGTTGCGCCGCTTCGGTTCGAATCATGAGGAAGTCTCCAGACTGGGTAATACCAGCAAGCGAAATAGAGGACCGCGCAGATGCAGAGGTAAGGGAACTCAGAAACGATCAGTCCGGTAACGAACGCAACCCAGGAGTACATCTTGGATTTCTTTTCACGGGCGTCGTAAATATCACGGCGCTGGATAAAGAGAGGTTGCAGTTGGTTGATAACACCGGGGGCGACGAAGACGAAGTTGAAGATAGTAAACATCTTCAAGTTCAAGGCGTTCACACCAGGGCCAGGTCTCCAGAAAGAGAATCCGTTCAAAAGGGCAGAGATAATGTGCAGAGACATTTTGTTGTTGACATAGTTCGTGTTCCGGAAAAGAGCGACATTCATGCGCTGAGTGACGATCTTTGTCTGATCCCATAGGGACATCGAGAACTCATAGCCATCGGAAACTGTTCCTGGGGGCTTGTTTGCGGCATCATCAATCATTCTATCGAGCTCAGTAATCATCGCATGCTGCTCAGGAGACTCAAGCCAGATCTGGTGCCAGTCCTTATCCTTAACAGCCTCGATACCACCAGTCACGACATCGATCATGAATTCAGCTGGGTTGGCTTCTTGAGGACATATAGCACCGTACTGGCCGAAATAGTGCTTGATGGTAGCTCCATTTTCACCAATATCACCAAAGTAGACTGTCTTTCCACCTCGGGCAAGAAGGAGAAGGGTATCAAACTGGGCGAAAAGCTGCGCGGAAGGTTGGTGAATAGTGACAAGGATGGCTTGGCCAATGTCGGCAAGTTTTCGGAGGAAACGAATTGTGTTATAGGCTGATTGACCATCAAGACCGGATGTGGGCTCGTCGAGGAAGATAAGAATACTAGGTTTGGAAACTAGTTCCACACCAATAGTCACACGCTTTCTTTGCTCAACGCTGAGTCCATTGCCCACGCCACCGATAAGGGTGTCGGCGAGGTCATGGAGCTCGAGGAGATCGATGATGGTCTCGACGTACTTGAGCTTTTCCTCTTTCGGGGTGTCACGGGACTGGCGAAGGAGAGCAGAGAATTGAAGGGCCTCTCTCACGGTGGCGAAGGGTTCATGAACGTCGAGCTGTTCACAGTAACCAGCCATTCTTTGGAATGAGATGGGCAGTGGTCGACCGTCAACCATAATAGAACCATTGATAGTACCTAAGTAGATTGATAATTAGGAGAGAAAAACATCGTAGGTCATTGTTGTACTCACCTTCGGTTTTGCGCTGGGCGAGCACATCAAGTAGGGTAGTTTTGCCAGCTCCAGAAGATCCCATCAGAGCGCCAAGCATGCCGGGCTTGACCCATCCATGGATGTTGTCTAGCAGAACGCGATCTCCGGTAGGGGTTTTAACGGTGTACGTGAGATTCTTCCATGTGAAAATAGACGTGTTTCGAACAAGGTTACCATCATCAGTATCAACAGGCTCATCGGCTGTCGTACGAGCACTCTTCTCATTGTGTTGAGACTCCTCATCGTTGTGAGCTCGGTGCTTTTTCAGACTCTCACGAGGAATGAGGAGAGATGATCCAGAGCCGGCTCCACCTTTCCATAAGCATGTAAAGATGACAGTCAAGGCAGCGAAGAAGGCCCACCAAGCCCAGAGGATACCGTAGTTTCGCCACAATTGAGAAGCATGGTAGTGGAGAGACGCAAGATATTGATCTCCAGTGACAAAGCTAGCACCAGTGGTAGCACCACCAATACCTGTACAGGCTTTGTTGGCATCATCCATATCCTCATAACCTGGGCCGTTGGGAACGAGGCTTCGGCCAACGCAGGGGATGACTTGGCCATGAAATTCGTTGGACATGGCGGCCTGGAAAGCGTATGCAAATGGGTTGGTGTAATACAGCTCAACAAACCAGTTCTTGATCTTTGGCTTGGGAATCATGTAGCCAGCGTACATAACAATTCCCTTGACAGCGGTTCCAGAGATCTTGGAAGCGGCTTCGAAGCTGCTGAATGCAGCTCCAATCATTCTGAACAAGGCAGTGATACACTATTTGCGTCATTAACAATTGGATCTTGAAGAAGAGGGGAACGAGGTAGACTTACTAAAGTTGTCGTGAAGAGGATGGCCCAGAAAGTAAAGAAAGCAGCCGCGGTGTGCTTCAGACCAACCATCCAGTAGATGACAATCGAGAAAATTGAACACTGAAACAGCAAGACAGGGAAATCTGCCGTAATTTGAGCCAGACAGAACGCCGCTGGATGGTACATCGCGAAGCTCTTATGCTTGATGAGGATAGGACGTCCTTTGAATGATTCAGTGACCTCAGACATGGCCACAATGCAGTTATACAGAAGCGAGAAGAAGATGGCGCCACCTTTGGTGAACAGGCCCTCGGTAGTGTCGGGGGAGTTATAGAAGCAAGAGCCAGCGATCAATGCCATCACGCAAGACAGAACCTGCTTGATCAAGAAAGTAGACTTCTCACCCCACAGAATTTGGTACTGTCTTCGGGTGCAGGAAGCGACTTGGTCGAAGAAACTGATGGTCAAATCACTGCTCTTAGGTAGGCGCTTCGACTTTTCCCAGGCAACCGATTCCTTGAATGCCGCTGTGCGCTCGGCCGCAACATCAGTTTCAGGATAATTGTAGTGGGAAATTTCGTTCTTGTATATAGGCGAGTTCTTATACTCGGCCAAAATAGCGTCGGCGGTTCGAGGGAATCGGTTTTCCCAGCCAGGTCGGACCTTTCGCTCTGTAGGAACTGTCACACCAGTGAGGAAATCACCTAAAGTTTAAGACGTAAGCATCTGAATCGCTTCATAGTGAATAAATTGAATAACTCTTACCAATGTTTGCTCCTTCGGTATACATCAGACCGAGATTCTCCATGAACGGCCTTGCTTGCGCGGCAGGGCCATAGTAAATCTGCTTTCCTTCGTCGAGGACAAGAACCTTATCGAATAGGTTGTAGATGGCGTTTCCGGCTTGGTAAAGGGTGACGATAGTACAAAGGCCTTGGACGTCTGTCATAGCGCGCAGAGCTTTCGCCCATTCCAATGCCGTACTAGCATCAAGACCACGGGTGCTGTTATCCCATGAGAATACCGAGGCTCTTGTTGCGAGACATTCAATAATAGAAACTCGTTTTCTTTCACCACCGGACACACCGCGAACAAATTCGTTTCCAACTTTTGTGTCAGCTGTGTGCGAAATACCCATAGACTCCAACAGGAATTGCTTGGTTTCCGCGGTATATTCAGCGACACTCTTGGCTCCGGGAACATGGGAAGGGACCTTGTTCTTGGTGGCGAAATCCATTGTTTGGCCGACGGTAAGACGAGGATAGAACAGCTCTTCTTCCGTGTTCATCACGATTTGGCCTTGATACTTAATCGCTTCGTCGGGTGTCATGTTTCCAAAACGCACATCTCCATTGATGGTGTGGAATCCTTCACGACGATTGGCAAGCATCTTAAGTAGTGTGGTACATCCCGAACCAGGTCGACCCAGGACAAGTAGCATCTCACCAGGCTTGACACAGCCATGACTGTCGGACAAAATTGACTTGAGTGGCGGTTTCTGACGCATATCCTTGACAAGTTGAGGGATATTGAATTGAGAAATCATGTTCTCTTTGACAGCAGCTTCGGCAGCTAGGACCTCCACAGAAAGGTTCTGCCAGGTAACTCCAAGCTCGCGTCGTTTGAATCCAGCCTCTTCGTCACGTTGGGCATTCTGAATGACTTGCGGGGTCATGCTCCATTCTGGACTCTTCTTGGGAGATGAGGTAGGGGGAGTGCCAGGTGCATTGAGAGTTTCGAAACTGCTGGTATCGTGGAGGCCGAATTCGGGGGCAGCGAGGGTGTCGAAGCTTTTCTGATATTTCGCCTCGCGGGGCTCATCGTCGAGGGGCTCAGGGGACGACATTTCGTCAGACTTTTGATACTGCTCCGACATGGAAGCAGATATCATCTATTTTTGAACCAGTAGAACAAAAATGAATGACGACCACAAAATTCTGGGCCTCTTTGGATATTTATAAAATCTACGAGTATCTCAGTGCTCGAAAAGCCGAGGCCAGACAATAGGCGAGACCAGATAATCAAAATTGACGTTTACTATTTCAGGACCTGTGGAGACAGAAGTGGAGCACAGGAACTGGTGGAAGGTCTTCAATATTACCCTTTTCTACCAACAGATAGTATTGGTAAGAGTCAGTCATGATTCCGCTAGCCATGAACTACTGTTTCCGCCACGAACAATAGGTGACCACGGACCTTGGGATGGAGCCGCTAACCGATTTTCGGTAAAGTATGATCCATGAGGTTATTTAATACATTGAATTAATCTGTAGCCAATGAAAGATTTGACGCATTGTTCTAAGGCGCGGAATCTCTTCGGAATGGTACCTGCTTTCACGGCAGTGGATGCCGAAGAGTTATTTATTGGCCGATCCCGATCTAACCGGTAATAATCGGCATTTTCCGATTACGTGAACGTCTTAAATTATTGGTCGAGGCGGGACTCGAGACAGATAGAGTAAGCCGACTGTTTCAGAATTGAGGAGAATATTGGTAATCTATGTTGGGCACGGGCCGGTAAAGATTGTCCGAAAAGTCGGGAAGTCGTTATCTGGTCGATCCCGATCTACCCGAGATTCACCTCTAACCGTGTCTACAAGCCGACGGAAAACACTACCTAAATAGGAAATATGATAATTACTATAGGGGGCGGCGTTTCCACTTAATTTTTTAGAGCCTTATCGTGCACCAGCGCCTACATAAGTCGTAGGCAGCACTGTTAAAGAATTACTACATCGATAACCCTGAGAATCTCCACATTCTATCCACTAGCCGAGCGCGATGTTTGAGAGGGATGGTGAAGCGACTGGAGATATATCAGCAGCACCCGCCAAAAAGCCGCCAATTTATGAATTTGACAAGGGCTTAGCAGGTGAACTTGACTGTCTAATCTGAAGCAGAAACCAGTTGTGTCTGTTCCTCGTAGATCGTTCAGCAACTTGGATTCCTGCCTCCTTGCACCTTCGTAGTTCGGCATCAAAGTCCGAGTCGTTGTTTAGCTTGGCAATGGTATCATCCCTGGGCTTAGGGGTCTGGATATTTCTCGGTGGGTATTTTTGAAAGACTTTTTCCGGGTAAGGGCGAAGAAATATGGGTCAAATTTCAAGGGGCCGTCTTTGACGCCTAATCTGGTTTTCTGTATTCATTTTCATGAATATTGAGAGGCGAATGTGGTAAAGGCGAACCAGGTGGGTCAAAGGTCTGGATGAATAGATGGGGGGTAGATGACGGTTGATAGATGGCTGTTGATAAACCGGCGAGAATGAAGACAGATTCGTAGTCATTATTTCTGCTCGAAACCAACTGGCATAATACTACCGGAGTAGGTACCGGAGTAGATACTGGCTTGCAATATAGCATGTTCATTTTTTGTCAAAAAATGATCAAAATCTACTAGTAGTCCCGATATCCTTGGCGCCCTGATCCCGGTCATGTTACTCCTGTATCTATCCAAGAAGTTCAAAACAAGAGTTGAATATAGTATCTTCCTGCAACAACCTATGTTCCTCAGCTGGAAGCTGAATGAATGCCTCATTTAGTCGCGTTGAAGAACGGCTTAAATTAGGAAGAATCAGACAGCACGCACCAGTGTTAGGTCGATGCGTACGGAATGCATAAGGAGCATCAGTCCCGATATCATAGTTCTCTGCTTTTCCTGAATACCAACTATTCATCAAGATGTCCATATTGTGAAGATCCATGGGGATACCCAGCCGTTCAGATGGTGAGAGAGATCTTACCAGCCTAGCCAACCCCTTGATAGATGACACACTGGTTGCGTTGATCGATTTGCGGATCCAAGAGGCGGCAATGGAAAGGCCATTTTCTGCCAGGAAACATTGCACGTCAATCGGTCCCACCCAGGATGGGAGAACTGCGTTCCAATATACTCCTGCGAGTTGGCATTTTCTGGGTCCCTGGAGCGGAGATTGATTAGATTCGCGGAGATGGATTGCGATGATGATTTCTCGGGGTGGCGGAGGAGCCGGGCACGAGTGATTGAGTTCCAGAGAAGCGCGGAAATACAGCCATAAGAGCTAATGTAGTCGACTCCGTCGAGGGTAGTGCATAGCTGTTTAATTTTCTGGAACTGATAAATCCGTTGCTCGGTAAACATGGGTTTGAACGGCCGGGGATGGTACAGGCTGAGCAAATGCAGCACGTGCTCTTGAGTCTATCACAGAAAAGCCGGGGTATTTTCCCAACAACTCCTGTTGAGAGGTACCAGCAGTTGTTTTTTCAGCATTAAAAGGGGCTCTGCGAAGGTCGGGGGTGTATACTGGCATTGGAAGATCCTGCTGATGTGCTTTTGCTCCACGACATGTAAGAGCCAAAAATGTGTCCATGGATGTCCAGTCTCCCACGGCATGGTGCATTGCAAATCCCAACATCAGACCCGCGGGGATGATTTGAAGTTGTACCGTACATGCTTTTTGCTGTCCAACAGATGCCTCTGGCAACAATTTGATGTGGTCCAAGTCATCAGGAGCACATGAGCTGTCCACAAGAGCGGCGTATGATTTGTGCTCGGATAATAGCTAGCGGACACTCAGCACCAGGCATTTTTCCGAATTCATTTCAATATAAGGCCTGCCAGATTGATCAAACTGGACACTTCCCTCCATGAAGGGCATACAAAAAATGGCGTTCTTCAAACCTTCTTGTAGCGAGGTAATCAACTTGTCCAGATCGGCAATTTGCGAAAGCTCGTATAGGAGGAAGGCTTTCACCATCATTGGAGGTGCTAGTCTATCGAGATCGGACAGCTCATACCTAGACTGTCGTGGTATTGGATCCATTGTTGCCTCAAAGTCAAATGCTGGAAACACCTGCTGATGGAAGCATTTGAGCATGTTAAGAGGCACCCCTTGGGGCAATCTTTATATCTTTCCCCATAATGTGGGAGCCTAAAATCGAGGATGGGTAGATCATTACGCGTGATACTTGATAGTATGCCAAAAAATCCATTATCCCATCATATCTTCTGGCTTATTGCCTCCCGTATTGGTCGAATAGTAGCCAAAGGGCTCTCGACTTGGATCAGGAAAGACAGCGATGTGGGCACTTGGGTATTTGACAGCACATCAAATCAGCATGATTGGCTCGGACAGCGTAAGCAAATCTAAATAGGAGAGACGTGGATCAACTCCCATTATCTTTTCATTCGAAAGATTTACCAGCTGGGGACTGAAAATATTGTGGTAGAATTGGATACGTCGTATCTCAAAAAAACTCCCTGACTAGTTTCGACCCCTCGCAATCTTAGTCGGGAAAAGCCTTAGATACTCAAGCGAAGAATTGATACCAAGCTTCTCAGTCTCAGTGACCCATAGGGTAAACCTTTCTCGAATAGTTTCCTTGGAAACACGATCGAGCACGCATCTTCGATCGTAGAAGCCGTAAAGTCCGGGAGATAGTAGGCTTTTGAGTCAGGATGGATATTTGATGTATTTCATAAGCGAATGGTCAGGAGATGGCGACCTTGCTAGGACATGTGGATGATGACGGGGAATGATGAGGTAATTATGGCCCTTAGTTGTGAAAGTGAGGATGTATGCCCAGATATCTGGTAAGGAAGAATGTGTTGTAAGTTAGATGTCTTCTTTCAAACCACTTGACCTTCTCAGCTGCCTCATAATAATGCGCTGCTCTTCTTCGAGGATTTCTTTCTCTATGTTCTCAGCTCTCAAATCTGACTCGTGAATTGCGATTTTAATTCTTGAAAGTTGGTCTTCAACTGAGCAATCATTATCCTTCGATCCTTGTGAGGAGGAATGGGGATCGAGTGGGGCGCGAGAGCGAAGAGAAGACCGAGACCGAGACAGAGGGTGAGAACGAGATGGGGAACGAGACCGCGATGAAATTTGGTGTTCCAACGGGGAGAGTGACCGCGGTTCAGCGACGGCAGGCTTGTTTCCTCGGGCGATGTTTGCCGTTAATCGATATAATCGATCCCGGAAAAGATTCACAACAGGAACAGCAGCATTCAAATCTGGGGGAACCGCAAGTGCATGAGATCGCGATGTCCGCGTACTTTCTCAGACGCGGGTCGACCATCAAGCATTCAAGCCCAAAAGCGGAACACCTCACACACTTGTTTGAAATGCCCGAAGACACACAGATCGCACCATTGGGGATTGCCAGGATACACCGGCGGCACCAAGCTGCATCACTGTTTCCAGGCCCCACGTACGCGCTTACCCCGGAGTTGGAGAGAGGAGGCATATTTTTCCGAGGAATGAGCTATTGAAAGTTGAAGGACAAGTCAGAAAAGAAGCAAAAGTAAGAGGATTATATCGAAAAACTTACAGAGTGGCCGAGGGTCGTCTAATTGGGGCTCTTGTCAGAACCATAAGCTGCGCAACGCGACAGTCTTGTAACAGTAGTAGAAAAAGTAGGTTCAATGCTGTAAAGCCCAAAAAGGAAGATGTCTTCGAACAAACAATCAAACGCCTTGAGGGTGGAGCTAAATGTGCCCCGACAAGGGAAGAGAGAACCGAAACAAAGTAAAGAGTAAAGGAGTGGCGTGGAAGAAGAAAGGATCGTAAAGAGGGAGAAATGAGAGAAAGCCTCCAGCTCAGATTTATTCTTATGCATTAAATTCTGCCAAAGAAGCACTGAACCCCCTGAACATCACATTATCTTCCCCTTTAGTGAGCTGCGTCCTTATAATCTAGCAGCCAAGAACCTTGAAAATGGTAGCTGCGTCTCATTGGGGTAGCTTTTTGTTGGTGTAATTTTAGTATACAAAGAAGGGGGAAACATTATGAAGAAAACCCTTTTGTTCTCTATGTTGATAGAGAGATGAAGTTGTTGTGCTCTTGAGCCTTCACTATGAGGCTAGAAACTAGTCCCGAATTAAATAACCATCCCCACTTATGCCTGAAGACTCAGGCTCCAACATAATTAGTCGGCTTGGCCAAAAGTGCACAGATGGCTCTTATGACCGGGTCTAGTCTGTGAATAGCTTCCAAGAGTCCATCAAAAGGCAGTGAAGTGTATTTACAATATCTCCTTTTCATAAATTGAATGATATATTTCTTTCCTAAAGTAATCTGCTTTCTGGCGTGACAATGCACCTCATGTGGTTACGTCATTTGAATCATGCACGTTGCGTCAGATTCCTGATTCCAAATTCCTGTGACTTGTCTGCCAAATATTTGATCCCAGTTCTGACTTTCCAGTCTCTTTCAACTGTTCAGTCCACAGCCTACTAAATAAACTCTACAGATCTACAAGATGACCAACAATATCCTTGTAGTGGGTGCAACAAGGGGTCTCGGCGCCTCCCTCAGAGCACTCTACGCCAAAGATCCCGCCAAGCATATCTTTGCGACCTCGAGATCAGAGTCCGCCCCACAAACAGACTCAAAAACTACATGGCTGAAGGGTATTGACCTTACTCAACCCGATGTCGGTCAAAAATTGGTTTCACAGATTCCAGCGTCCACCAAGATCTCGACTGCCATTATTTCAGCCGGATACTTTGGCTTCGAATCCTTTGATGCGCCAGACTGGGAAAAGGAGGTCCAGATGTATACTATGTCAGCAATCGCACCCGTTTTCCTGGTCCATCATCTTGTTAAGGCGGGTTTATTGGGCGAAGCTAGTAAGGTGATCCTCGTCAGCAGCGAGAGCGGCAGTATCACACTCCGGCATGAGAAAGAGGGCGGAGGGAATTATGGTCATCATGCAAGCAAGGCGGCCTTGAATATGGTGGGGAAGCTGCTCAGCATTGACTTGCAGCCTAAGGGAATCGCTGTTGGTTTGGTGCATCCTGGCTTTATGCGGACGGAAATGACCAAGGGTGTTGGATTTGACAAATATTGGGATGCAGGTGGTGGTAAGCAAGCTTTTACGCCGAGCTCTACCCTGGTTTATGCTGAATTTTATCTAGCTGTTACTCCGGACGAGGCTGCTCGGTCACTCGCGTCGTTCATCGAGAAATTTGATATCAATCAGACTGGAGAGTACTGGGCACCAAGAGGACCTGCGTAAGTCTATTAGGATATAGACACATGGAACATCCTTACTGACCTTCCTTAATCAGAGACATTGGAACTGCAGAAAGTGTCCTCGGCAAAGACTTGTCGACTCCTTTGCAGCTTCCATGGTAAAAGAGGCATATAAGGTATTGGTGCCTCGGTGTCTTAGGAACTCAGCACGTTTACTCGACTCACCAAATTGATAGATAGCAGGGCTCCAGTTCCTTAATCATCTATTGATAATGTTTCAACAATGCTATTTACCAGCTTGGTCTTTAATAATGCCAACCCTCTTATCTCCAAGTCAATCTGTCGAGGTACATTGTACTAGTGTAGCAAAATCCCCCCATATCTAAAACCGCAATTCGGGTCTGAGTTACGGTGGGCAATAGCGATCAGTCCAACAAAACTTTTGGAATCACATAATAAATGGCAGGAAATCATAAATGTCACGCTAGTATGACAATACCCTTACTACAAGCACCCTACAGATTCACCATCCGGCGATCGCTGCAATACCTAAATATCCAATTCATATTTATATTAGGCTATAAGTAGTAGAAACGAACGTAGGAGACTAAAGGAAACTTGGTATGAGACTGAGTGAGAGACTGGGTAGGAGGCTAGGAGACTAGGTAGGATATTAAATTATATCGCCAAAGCGATCCTCGACTCCGAATAACTAGTGGTTGGCGCACTGACAATACTCCAAATGGCGTGTGGAGTGGGGTTGATGGTGTTAGTGCACATCTCAGGGCCGCACGCAATCACGGATAACAATGGTGTTACCTACACCAAATTTGTCCCGGGATCTGTCTCAACCTAACCGATCCTATTTGTTGTACATTGCGTATTTACCTGCCACAGCTTACGGTTCCGGCTCTGTGACCCGATTTTGGATTGTTTGATGTATAATGCGCTCTAGATGGCGTGCAAGGATACATGAGGGGCAGAAAACCCATTTATCGGCGGGGTAATACATCTATCTACTCAATGACCTGCCAATGCACTCAATTTTCTTTTTGTCTTTGGTATATTGGTAACAAATATCATTATGACTCTGCTAGAAAGTCCTCAGGTCGCTACTTTGCCGTCGTTAGGTAATCTTTCACAGAAGCCAGAGGTATTGGAGGGATCTTCATATTCAACTCCAGTGCCTTTTGTGGCGATTAACAGCTCCGATGAACCGATATCAAATGCACACGACGGGAAAGTCGAGTTCTCTCTAGAGGAGCACCCTGTTGATGAAGTAAGACCCATTAAAGTGGGCATCATTGGTGCTGGACTCACTGGTGTCAGTGCTGGCATCTTGCTACCAGCAAAACTGCCGGGACTTGATTTGCGAATCTATGACAAAAACGCCGATGTGGTATGTGAGATGAACTATTCATTAAGCTCTGACTCGATTATATTGTCGCTCTAACCACGTTATATCCAGGGAGGAACATGGTTCGAGAATACCTACCCTGGAGTGCGATGTGATATCCCCGCGCATGCCTACCAATCGGGATTTTCGCCCAACACTCAATGGTCGGAAGAGTTTGCTCAAGGTGCTGAGATCAGAGACTACTGGCAAGGGGTTGCACGAAAGTATAATGTCTACCAGTACCTTCGGTTTCAGCAACAGGTTCAAAGAGCAGAGTGGTTGAATGAGGAAGGAAAATGGAAGGTTACCATTGAGCATGTTGATGGTTCTAAGAAAGTTAGTCAAGTCTTATTATCAAAACGGATATTATTGCTAACTTCTCTCTAGGTCTATGAAGAAAAGTTGGATATTCTGATCAATGCTATTGGCCACTTCAACGCCTGGAAGTTGCCTGATTATGAGGGAATCAAAGACTATAAGGGGTCTCTCTTCCATTCGTCAAACTGGAATCACAATGTCAACTTGAAAGGCAAGAATGTTGCCTTAATTGGCAATGGCGCTTCGGGTTTGCAAGTTCTTCCTTCCATCCAGCCTATCGCCAATCACGTCGATCATTATGCTCGCAATCCAACATGGATTGCGGACTCGTTCAGCAGTGGCAGCGGCGGCGTTCGCCGGCTGGAACCAAATCTGATCCCCAAGGAACTCTTAGAATCATTCAAGGATCCACACGTATATCTGAAATACCGCACACAAGTGGAGAAAGGATTCTTCCAACGCTTCGGCGCAATCTTCAAAGACACTCCCGAGAACAGAGATCTGAAAGAAAAGTGGACAGATTTGATGCTCAAACGCATCGCCGATAAGCCCGAGCTTGGAGAACAGATCCTTCCCGATTTTCCACCAAACTGCCGTCGTCCCACACCAGGCCCTGGATACCTCGAGGCCCTGACCAAGGATAATGTCAGCTACATCCGGACTCGCATCCAACGCTTCACAGAAAAAGGAATCATCACCGAAGATGGCGTTGAAAGAGAAGTCGACGTCGTAATCTGCTCCACGGGCGCAAATACAGACCACGCTCCACCATTCTCAGTCATCGCTAACGGCATCGATCTCAAATCCGCCTGGAAGCGAGACGGCCATTTCGGCTTCCCATACTCTTACCTCGGATTTGCAACCCCCGGATTTCCCAACCTCTTCTGGCTTGGTGGTCCCTATGCTACTGGCCACAGCGGCACAGTCCCAAACAGCACGGAGAACCAGATTACTTACGTTGCGAAAGTCCTGCGCAAGGTGCGCAGTCAGGGAATTAAATCTATTATGCCATCTAAGCAAGCGGCAGATGATTTTGTGGAGTACTGTGACCAATTCTATCCGCGTACTGTTTGGTCTGCGAACTGCAGTTCGTGGTACAATGGTGGACAGCCTGGTGCACGTATCCATGGGTTGTTCCCTGGTAGCGCGTCGGCGACAAATTACATTCGTCGGGATCCGAGATGGGAAGATTGGGAATACACCTATGTGAATTCCAGTGGGAATCGGTTTGCTTACTTTGGAAATGGGTGGACTTCCAGGGAGTTGGAACCAGATGCCGATTTGACACCCCATCTTAAGATTCCCGAGGAAATTGATTTGAGATCGCATCTGGAGGGCTGGTGGGATGTCTGAATTGATTGTAGTGAGGTTATACAGACCTCGAGTCTTCAAATTAGATTTTGCATATACAGTCAGTGCCTTGAATTCTTATACACTAGATTTATGCATCTCGGTTCCTCTGGTGTAAATTATATCTTGCACTCACTTACGTGGCAAGCTAACTTCTGACTGTAGCAGGCGAACCGAGGCCATTTAAATTTGATTTTTGATTGAGCTATCATTTATGAAAATAAATCCGTTCTCGCGTCTATGGATGAATTATCCTGATTTCTCCAAGGAGTACGGCGGTACGCCTTCGCCCTGCTTCCAAAAGAACTTCGCACCTCGATGAGCATCAGGCAGTCTTGACTGGCCCTTCTTCCCATACATGTTCTCTCTGAAAGTCCCACCCTTCACCGCATAGTCAGACCAGAACAGACCACGTCGTTGGAGCTCAGGAAGCAGGAGGTTGATAATATCATCAAAAGTCTCATCGAGACTAGCATAGCTCAAATTGAAGCCATCAACATCGCCAACATCCACCCACCGCTCGAGCTCATCGGCCACAGTCTGAACGCTGCCAATAATCTTAACGCCATTTCCTCCAAGAACGAGGTATTCTGCGATAGTCTTCTTATCCCACTTCTTGCCTTCTGTTCCAGGCACAGTACTTGCCCAGTGATTCACCATACTCCGCACCGCCGGCTGCTCCACAAATCGGAAGTCCTGATCATCGGTATACGTCGAGAGATCATACCCCGTCCACCCACCAAACAAAGCCAAGGCACCCTCCGTATCCCCGTATTTCTTAAACTCATCAAACTTCGCCTGCGCCGCCTCATCCGTCTCAGCAACAATGACCAGCGCCCCAGCAATAACCTTGATATCGGCAGGATTTCTTCCTAGATCCGCAGCTTGTTGCCGAATACTATCGACAGAAGGACGCACAAGCTCTGGCTTCTGCGCATGAAGAAAGACAGCCTCGGCATGTTTAGCCGCAAAGGCCTTCCCAGCCGACGAAGTCCCCGCCTGCAACAAAAATGGCGTACGCTGCGGACTCGGCTCACAGAGATGAGGACCAGGAACCTGGAAGTATTTCCCCTTGTGATTGATCTGTCGAACACCGCGCGGATCCGCATACCGTTGACCCTCCACAGGACCATCGAGCTTTGCATCACTCTGCTTCCAGCCCACCGCGTCATCTCTCCACGACGCTTCCCAGAGCTTATAAGTAACATCCAAATACTCATCCGCAATACGATAGCGCTCGTCATGCTCAACCTGGGTATCAAGACCGAAGTTCCTCGCTGCTGAATCCAGGTACGATGTCACGATATTCCAGCCGATGCGACCATTACTTAGGTGGTCGACTGTTGAGAAGCGTCGTGCAAGTGCATAGGGTGCTTCATATGTCGTTGACGCCGTGACTCCGAACCCGATGCTCTCTGTCACGGCTGCCATGGCGGGAATGCTGTATAGTGGGTCGTTGATGGGGAACTGGGCGCCGGCAGGGATGGTCGGGTCCAGGTTTTCAGGTCCGCGGTATACATCATAGCCGCCGAGGACGTCGGCGAAGAAGATGGCATGGAATTTGGCTTTTTCGAGCTTTTGGGCTAGGGCCATCCAGTGCTTGATGTTTTTATAGTCTGCGCCTTTGTCGGTGGGGTAGCGGAAGAGGCCTGGGTTCAGGTGGCTCGGCGAATGCATTGCAAATGCATTGATGATGAGTTGCTTCTTCTCTGTTGAGCCCATTGTGGTGGCCTATAGGGTTTCGGTGATTTGGTTGGATTGGGAAGAGGGCAATTGAAAGTTGCAATTGTAGGACTTTTTATTGCTTGGACTTTTTTTCGTGTTATTTATCAGGACTGCGTCACGTCTCTCGCTGTCAACCCCGCAGCTCATGCGACCGGGTTATTGCGTGCATGTTTGAGAAGACGTGAAATTGGAGTCTGATGGCGTCAGCGTCGGGAGTTATCGCAGGCGGGGTGGACAGCAATAGCATGTCTCTCGACCGAGTGCAGGGTGTAACATGAGGAACTGGCCATTCTTTGAGGGTTTTTTTTTCTATGCCCTGGTGGCAGTGGAAAGGTCACAAAGAACCCCTATATTTCAAAGTTGAAAATTGAGGCACTGATCGGCGCTGTCAATGCTGTCCCTGGATCTCAATTAAGGCATTACTTAGTTTTAGAGGTCCAATTTAATCTACTTATGAATTCTTTCGGTAATAATTTTTCAGTGTTTGATTCAGGTGGTCTGATTACAGAATAAATTTGATTGAAATATGTATGTACATGCATATATACTTCGACACTTGCCTGAGGTAACTCTTGACACAAGCAAATATATATATTGGGAGGTTCTCGGGCGTACTTTGGTAAGTGATGGTCAAACATTTGAAATCTGGATAATAACAAGGTAATTGTATCGTGCATCGAGAAATGCCAAAAAATCATCAACATTAAGTAAAACACAATGGCACAAAAGATCTGGAAAAAACACTTGAAATAGTTTGATGTTTTGCGGTCGGAACTTAAAAAAGACAAAAAAGAAATGCATCATCCGTGAATCGAACACGGGCCTCGTCGATGGCAACGACGAATTCTACCACTAGACCAATGATGCTAGTTGATGTAAGTGATATAAAATTTTGCTCTATAAATAAAGATGGAGAATTCATCAACTTGAGTCTTGACTTTTGACAACACATTGGGCCAAAACTTGAACAAAATCCATCACGCAATGCCAGATCCACCCGAAAGAGCAGTCAAGTTTTGATTTCCTTGCACAACATACTGCTTATTGGGAGAAAGGTTATCCAACAGACTATCTGGGACATGCAATGTATCCTTGATGATCTGTTTTGGAGTGAGCTTCAACCATTGACCGACCGAGATATCAGAGAATCGAGTTGCCTGAAGCATTTCAAGAAAGACAACATCCTCATCACCGGTATTCTCAATGTAGTGCGAAGCTGTAGCTTTCACGTATGAGATATCTCCTGCGGAGAAATCAACGGTTGCTCCGGAGGTTGGCGCTTCGTAGACGCTGACGCGTGCGTTCCCAGCGAGGAAAAAGCCCCATTCATCACTGGTGCCGTGCCTAGGACAAATAACCATTAGTCCTCGCTTCAACAGATTATTCATCGCCAAGTTACTTACCAGTGAATCTCCCGCATGGCGCCTGGCTTAATTGTCACGAGCGCCGCGCTAAACATTTTCGCGATTGGGAAGCTCACGGGATCGATGATCTTGATGCTTCCACCGGGTGTCTCGTATGCCTCTTGCTTGGACAAATGGTACGTATAGCTCTGGTTGCCCGATATGGTACCGCCAGGTCCGGAGATAGTTTGTTCCTCGACATCCTGTGGAGCGGGCGTGCCGTTGAAAATGTACAATTGATCTTGTGGAAGATCATCAAAGTCCGACAAAGGAGCCTGGAAGTTTTTCGAAAGAACTTCTTTCGGGTTACGCAGGAACATCTCAGTGATCAGCCCTGTACCACCATCGCTGAAATCTCCCTGATCGAAGACAAGCATGAACTCCGAACCTTCTTCCAGTGCTTGAAGCGAGTGAGGTACACCGGGTGGGAAGAACCAAACATCACCCGCAGTGACATCATCTGTGAACGTTTGACCATCCTCGTCCATTGCCTGCACGCGGACACTTCCGTTCAAGACGATACTCCACTCACTTGCTTGATGCCAGTGTAACTCGCGGTATGCCCAGGGTGCCAACTTCATATCCACTCCAGCCATAGCTGTTGCGCTGGGAAGAACATCTGTGTTCTCTTGCCGAGACCAGCCGGAGTGTCCTGGAAGGATGCGGTTGTGCGAGAGACCGAGGGGCCATTTGCCTTGTGACACATCACCACTATCTGATCCTGGTGGTGCAAAAGTGCTCGGGTTCAGGCGGTCGTAGGCGTATGTACGAGGGCCGGCGGCTGTTGATCCTAGGTCACCTCGGATGGGCTGGGGGTGCGGGGTGTTCTTGAAGGAGAAAGGGATTCCTATATCTGCATCGGCGGTCTGCCCGGGGGCAAGTTCGATTTCAGATTCAGGGACCGTGGCGCTGTTTTGGGTATTCACTTCACCCTGAACAACACCTAGAAGTGCTGAGCTACCTCGAAGAGGAGCTACTGCGGACGTTTCATCGTCACCAGCGGCGGATGCCCATCCGTATAGACTGGAAGGTTGAGGAAGGGCATAACTGAGTTGGCAGATGCTGAGTAGGAGAGACAACAGGGACACTTTGAGACAGAACCCTGCCAAGAGCTGAGGACTCATGATTCCGAGATAGAAAGAGGATGGAAATCTGTGAGGAGTCAAGCACGGATAATCCGGGAACAAGAGACAAATAGCACGCTTTTATAGAGCTCTGGACAGAGCTCGGTTGTTGCGAGTCTCGCCAGAGGACAACGATATCTACTACGTAGATCCTCAAGAGGCAAGGAATCAGTTGCATATTCTCATTGATCTAGAACAGTCCCTATTGACTCATTGGCTAAACCCCAGCCCGAGGTGTGGCCGATGCGCAGAAAATACCGTCAGTCCTCAAACCAGACCAATCACAACCTGATTGTGATATTGCTTTTACACCATGATCCTTGACAAGCTTAGGTATTTCAAGGAACTTGAGGATCTATCTAAACCCACATCTCCACACCTGCAATCAGCAAGACTTACATTATAGAGGATCACAAAACTTAATGACGACAAATGATTCAATCCGGCGGAAAGAAGTACCCAAGCAGGCATGAATGATTTTATAACATGGTAATACGCTAACTTCTCATTTCCTCAGAAAATGCTGCTTGACAACCTCTCTTATCCGAATGTGTTTGAAATTGATTACTACCAATCCCTTGCTTGATTCAAATTCCATCTTATTTGGAATAGGTCCACCGCTGTCAGACATACCAGCTCCAAGAAGGGAAAAAAGCGAGGAGAATGAATGTCTCGCATGGGGACTATAATCCCAAATTGAGAGACAGAAGGCATTTTTGGGTGCATACTCCGTACATAAGCCCAACGCAGCCATTATATGCAGTGTCCACACTCCACTGCCCTGTAGGGCTGATAGTGGGTCTTTGTAATAGCGTTGCCTGGAGTTGGAAGCGGGTATACCCTGAGGTAATTTTCCCTTGCTGGGAGTTGCCGATTAGCCGTTCCATTTTGTCTCTGACCTTTCCCACTGCTAGAAAATGTTATAAGTTGTCGTGTGGCTGGTGGATCGAAATTGTAAATTATTGACGCAGGTCTTAATTCCGAAAACCATATGTAAAAATTTACGATGGGCAAACCACTGCTGGTGAAACCTACTAGTAGGTATAATGCATATGCTCGGCAATTAAATCTGTCCGGCTGTAAAGACAAGCTTTCAGCTAAGCTTTGATTACTGTAAAATACCTCGATTATTTTTGTAAAAATACGCTTTTGATTGGTGGTGATGACGTGTCGGAGCAGGAACATGGCTTCGAGCCGTTCTATCCGACCACTTATACTTCGCGTAGATTGCATTTGCGTTTTTAAATGCACGGGAAGAAAATTATTGACACGTCCAAATATTTGTATTCTGATCCGGTAGGTGAACTCCGCAGCCCGTAGTACGGTCTATGTATGAGGCAACGGAGACCCGTTCTCCGGTTCCACAACATGATACCTTCCCTTACCCTAGGGCTGAGCCAAATTACTTGAGGGATTTCCACTCACCTCCCTTCTTTCCTGGGTTTCGTCTCTTTTTCAAATCATATGATAAGCACTAACAATGTCGGGAAAACAACCAGGCCTACCTGCACATAACCTGGAACTTTCATCCAAGCCAAGTAGGATAACAGACCTACGTAGAAAATGGACGGAGACTGTCGACACCACATTCGCAGACAGGATATGTCTGCTTCTCTGCCTGAATACCGGGCTATGCGATAGCTGTGCATTCAACGCATGGTCCTGTTTCCTCGCTATGCAAACAGGTAGAATATCCCAACCCCAGCCAATCATAGAAATATTCTAACACTTCCAGGAAACACTATCGTTCTCGGCCTAGGAGCTTCTTCACAACCACTTGGAGCACCAAACGGATGGGTTCGATCCCTCGTCTCCATCGCAGGGTTCCTTCTTGGTGCAATCACCTTCGCCAGATGGACAAAGGCATTCGGAGCCTGTCGTCGTGGTACACTGTTCATCTCATTTGCCTTCCAGGCCCTTTTGATTGTCATCGCCGCCATCCTCCTCCAGACGGACGTGGTACAAACCCAGAATGGACGATCATTTACCTTAGATCGGCCCCTCCTCAGCCTGATCCCTATTGCGTTGCTAGCGTTTCAATCTGCCGGATCCATTAACTCCACTCGCATGTTGGGATTTAATGAGATTCCCGGCGTGGTTCTGACCAGTGTCTACTACGACATCGCCTCTGACCCTGCTCTATTCGAGGGATTGAAGCGGAATACCAAGCGTAATCGACGGATGGGCGGTGTTGTGATGTTGCTTATTGGGGCGATCGTGGGAGGATGGCTGAGCCGCACGAAAGGAGGCATGGCACTTGTATTATGGATTGCGGCGGCGTTGAAATTCGGAGTGGGTGTTGGGTGGTTGTTTTGGACACCTGCGTGATTCTCAAAGGACTTTACTAGTTGAGCCTTGCGCTATGCCTGAGTCATATTTTGGCCATACAACATTTAGATAGTTATTTCCCTCATATAATTCTCTGTCATTGCGGCTCGTTATACTTTCGTGTTCAACACTGCCTCGAGCTAAACCCGTGCCCGCGGGGCAAAATTGGCCCGTAACTGCTATACTTTACGTCAGGGGATCCCGATCAGCGAATCAGCAGGTCGGGTTGTTAAACGAAAACGAGCTCTTTCATCCAAACCTTGTTAAGGTTGTGAGAATCGAGAATTTTGTCAGCCTTGCCCCTTTTTAGGAAATAGAAACTCTCTGGGAAGATGGGGCACGTGAATTGTCGTACACCTATCACCAGTGGAGATATAATATCGTATGTAATGTTGCGTTATAATCTAATATCTATACTCAAGTGCTTCACGATCAACTCTTTCGTTGTCTTAGATATTTCATCTCCATTTAATTCGTTGAACTATATCGTAAAGAGGTGAAGTATTTGATTCCCAAAGTAGGAAAGGCAGGAATCATGAGTCCATCCGGGTAGACGGCAGCCGAAATGACCAATCTAGTGTCGGCCGTGGAGTAAGAACCATCATGGGGTAAATGCGCCCGGGAGGCTTAGAGGTGTTTTAAGGACAAGAGTCTTGGGTCGTGGAGACACGAAAGTGCCCCATGATAACATAGTACTATTGGTTGGAATGGTAACATTGCCCCACTGCGGAGAAAGCTCGATCGTTTGCAGTAAATGACGGTTTTGGCCAAGGTTGATCTGGTCAGCTTTCTGTTTATTTAAGAATGATTTAAACCTTACCCATTTCCCGTATTTCTGCTATTCATCTACTTCATCTCAGATTGTACTCCCCTTTTCTGATCAAACTTTCATCCATATATTTCATCTGAACATGTCTGTCAACGGTGCAACCGGTAAGGCTCCAGCTTTAGACCCTGAGCCGGCCACCGTCCCCCATCGCGCGGCGCACGGCCTGGTCAAGGTGCAACCTGCTCGTTTGTCTGATCTGCAACCCAAGTATGCTGCGGTAATCCAACATGATGTTGAAAACCCCGATGCGCATGGATGGTACTCCCAAATGAGTATGTACAAGTAGATGAACCTAGCGCGATAAGGTTGCATAGCTAACATTCCATTTCTTCCACAGTTCACAACCTGGGCTCATGTATCGGCTTCTGTGGTGCTATTCCCTGCTGCATCTGCTGCCCAAACCCCTTCAAGCCTGTCGACCAGGGTCAGGTCGGTCTGGTCTCGCGATTTGGACGGTATGTACATCCTCAAGCGACATGCCTATCTTATTTATCCTAACTTACCCTTCAGCTTCGAGCGTTCCGTCGATCCTGGCCTGGTAAAGGTCAACCCCCTTAGCGAGCACCTGACTACCGTCGACGTGAAGATCCAGATCGTCGAAGTTCCCCGCCAGGTCTGTATGACCAAAGATAATGTCACTCTCAACCTCACCTCCGTCATCTACTACCAAGTCACCTCTCCACATATCGCTGCCTTCGGAATCTCCAACGTCAAGCAGGCCCTCATCGAGCGCACCCAGACTACCCTGCGCCATGTGATCGGAGCCCGCGTCCTGCAGGACGTCATCGAACGCCGCGAAGAGATCGCCCAGTCCACATCGGAGATCATTGAGGAGGTGGCATCAGGCTGGGGTGTGCAGGTCGAGTCGATGCTTATCAAGGATATCATCTTCAGCAATGATCTGCAGGATTCGCTTTCCATGGCGGCTCAGTCTAAACGGATCGGTGAGAGCAAGGTTATCGCCGCTCGTGCCGAGGTCGAGTCTGCCAAGTTGATGCGCCAGGCTGCTGATATTCTGTCGTCTGCTCCTGCGATGCAAATTCGTTACTTGGAGGCTATGCAGGCTATGGCTAAGAGTGCTAACAGCAAGGTCATCTTCTTGCCGGCCATGAACCAGACCATGAGTCAGCAGTTGGTCGAGAATGCGGGCGAGGGTCCAAGCAGTCAGATCGATGATGGATTCCAGCAGGCTATGAATGCTCGCGTTGTTGAGAACATCTAGATGTTCCTTTGACACGCACTCGCTTTTCCCTTTTTCCCCTTTGCCTTTTTTCATTTTTGTCTATGAAGATATGACTTTCACCCAATTGAGGATGTACACATGATTCCCAAGAAAAGAACCTGATCATCATGTTCATTGATCGGTAGTCTTAGGATTTCGATGTTCATACGCCTGGACGCAACTGAATCGCTGACGATACCCACCCTCTTTTATGATTTTTGATTCTTCTGGCCTTGCTTTTACTTTAGCTACCCTTATTCTAATGAACTTGATGCTTTAGCTGAGCTTCTAGTAATTTTCTTTGACATCTATAATCTGGGGCATCTATAACCTTAGATTAAGGATCGCAATATACTGTAGTCCCGATTTACCTTTCTTGATGGTCCCACAAGCTCATCGAAAACTATTAACAAACACCACAAGAGAACAGCATTTCAACATCGGATGAGACTAATCCACTGGATTTGTTTATCCTCTACCTGGCGGTGCAACATACCTAAGAATATTCTATATACGGAGCATTGTTTCTGAGCGAATTTTATATCTTATCCATGGCTCGAGCTTCGGTGGTCAGATGAAATGCATTAATGTAACATGGAGACCATATTATACGAAGGGAACACATTCACACATAAGAACAAATCAAACATCTGCAAGGCTAGAAAATTCACAAGTGCCTGCTTGATCCTCAATAAATCTTATACGCAAATCAAGGGAATTGGGCTTTTATAGGGCAATGGGAGTGGACAGAGTGAAGGTGACAGGGGAGCCCGAAAGCGGGACCCAGACTGTCAGAGGGTCGCTACCGAGCTGCTCGGTGGCGTAATCTTTGGTCGAGGTCGGCTTGACGGGGAAAGTGACCGGAATGGGCTCGCTGCAGGTATCATCATTGGCAGAGATGGTGACTGAAATGATCTCATTGTCCTCTGTGTTGTAGGTGAGGGCGTAATTACAAGCATCGCGAGTGTAGCGAGCATTGAATCCAGCGGACATCTAGGCAGAAAGTCAGTAATGAGGGAATAAAAGAGTGGATGGTAATCCAAGTAGAACTTACGTCGGCGTGCTTGATTGTCACAAGGGGCCAGTCGACCAGGCGGACAAACTCCTGTATAACAGTCTCGACCCAGGCCTGGAAGATAGAGTACTGACCACTCACTCCGTTAACGGTGATAGGATCGGTATCAGCGTTGCGAAGGTTGGCCTGGTGGAACATGTAGGGGTCGTGGTAAAGACCGAAGAAATGGCGCATGGTATCGGACTTCTCGGTGGCCAATAGATAATCAAAGTCTCCAGATCCATCAGAAGTATCGGTCCACTCCAGCAGGGTGCAGGCAGGGGTGGTGCAGTCGTAGTAGATACGAGTCGACCAACGAGGGTTAACCTGCATACCAACGAATCCATCGGTAGCAGTCACAGTGAAGTAGGGCCACATGGCGTTCTCTTGATTTAGGAGAGCAGAACGAGTGTTGTCACCAACACAGTTTGTGATACCGTTGTCGTACCAAGCCTGGAGAGCATCTCCGTTGTGGATACCTGTGATGGCCGGGGGAATGATACCATTGTCGGTCCAGTAAGTAGCTTGATCAAGTCCAACCTGCTTGAACCAGGCCTGGTTGAAGCTGATCTCCTTGTAGATATCAGAGTAGGTGGCATTGTTCTCCGCCTCGTGGGTGAAGGTGTGGGACAGGAGGGCGAAGTTGTTCATGTTGGTTTGCCACCAGATCAGAAGGGGATCCAGGCTGGTACAGTTTGTGCCCCAATCATAGACAGTTGGAGTAGAGGGCCACTGGTTGGTACCAGTCCCCAGAGGCTTCTGCCATTCAGGTGCCGTTGCTGCTGCCGCCGTGTAGTAGACACCACCACCGCAGATAGCCCAGCCACCAGCCACATTCGAAGAATGATCGATATTTCCATTACCATTGAAGCCAACTTCCGGGAAGTATGTGCTACCAGCGTTCATCTTGGCGTTGATGGTGGGAATCCAAGCCAGAATACCATCCATATCATCAGTGGTTATACGGAAGGTGGTGTTGCTAGGCGAGTAGATATTGGTAGTCAACATCATATCGTCAACCTGGGTGTTGATGTTGACACGACGCCATCCAGCATGGAGACCGCGAGTCAGCCAGGTGATCCAGGCGTGCTGCACAAACGCTGAAGTGGAACTCCAGCTAGGATCCAGAGACATGAAGAACACCATTTGCTGGCGACCATCGAAGTCATTTATAACTGCAGCAACGCTTTCGGTGGTGACGACCGAGTTCGCAGCAAACGAAGCGATCGGTTTGGTGTTGCTGGTGTTGAGAATTGAGGCAGAGTAATGATAAAGACCTTCGGTGCTGACGTTGGCAGCAACGCCAGTCCTGATGCCAGAGGTAGGGAAGTCGCTAATATCCGTAAAGTAGAATTCCTGTTCGACACCGGTATCACAGCATCCGTCGCCAATAACACTGGTTCCATAGTCCGAGCCAGGGTAGACATCGTACTGAACCATACGAACACCATACTCGAGCTGGTAAGCATATAGCTGACTCCATTGGTCGTCAGTCAGACCACTTGCCCAGCCCGTGGAGTAGTCATAGCTGATTCCTGAAGCTACCACGATACCTCCGAAGTTTCCACCAGCTGTAGTGTTGAGCACCGGCAGATCAGCACCGGCTTGTGGCACCAAGAGAGTGGTGAAAGGAATTCCATAGCCATTGAGACCGTCGCTAGCAGCTGATGCAGATGCAGCATCTCTAGCAATAACCAGGATATTTCCTGCCACAGTAGCCTGGCCGACTGCCGAAGAAGTAGTACAGACCGACATGCCGGAGGATGTGCAGGCAGCAGTTGAGGAACTAGCTGCACTTGTAGCCGTAGTATGAGTAGAAGAGGTAGTACTAGATGAAGTAGGTACACTGATAACAGTAGTATGAGTAGAAGAGGTGGAGGTACTAGCCACACTAGTATGGGTAGAAGTGGTAGTATGGGTAGTGGATGTAGTAAGAATAGAAGAGGTAGTGTGGGTAGTAGTGTGTATACTAGCTACACTGGTGGTAGTCGTATGAACAGAGTGAGTCTGACCCATGATGGGGCAAAAGTCGCAATTTATGTTCGCACACGGAAAAGAAAAGCGAAGTCTACGGCTGAATCCTCGGCTGATAACTATCGGTATTTATAACCATCTTTGTTGATGGCCAGATTTCTCAAAGCAGGCTAAGAAGAGGAGACTCAGGTAGCATGTTCCAATCAGAATTGACAGCCAAGCACACTGTGCGGCAGGGCCCCGGAGAGAATGAGGGTGGCATGAAGGTGCAGTACCAAGATGCAGGGCAGCAATGACCCGGAAGCCTATCGGCTGCACTGACTCGGGCTAACAAGCCTTTTTCATGACGAATTCCGATGAGCCAACAAGGCTATTTTCGATTAGCTTGCCTGTTCAGGCGAGGGCCGGAGCGAGCCATGGAGGATTTTTCAACCCAGAATATGAATCAGCTGAGCCGGATCAAATCTGGTCAAGGTTCATGATCCAAGTAAGAGCTAGAAAAAATTGTCCAGTAAGCGATTGGCTAATCAGGAGAGGGTCTGAAGTGGAGGAGTGGGTATCTCCCGCAGAAAATGTGATGATTTGAAATCTGGATGCATGCAGTCTGGGTGGGCAGGGTGCTAACAAGAGCTAATGTGGTAACTAAGGCCTAGGGGGAACAATAGCGCATCGATCTGAGACATTTGATAGAGGCAAAGCCGGGATCAGGTGGGACTCTCCGAAGATGCTGATATCGGCGATTTTATCAGATGCAGGGTTTTCTGGCGAGCAGCGGGTCAAGTTTAGGGCTCTTCAGGGGCAGGAACCGAGCCCCGCTTGTATGGGGTTAAGCAGCAGGTACAACAGTTCCGGAACTTTGATTACGAGGCAGGCAAAGGAGAGACAGGTCGTACCTGATGTGTAATGACATTGCATGATTGTGTATGCATGGCGGTTCGTGTTCGGGTGACTGGCCTGTTCCTGGACTCCTTGGCTCCTTGGCGCTCGGCAGGCTGTGCAGGATGCAGTACAGTTCAAAAGCACTGTAGACAGGAAGAAGGGAGAAAGAGGGAAAAGAGGGGAAAGAGGATCTATTCAGGTCCAATGGGAGATGAACGGATCAGATCGAGATGCTTTTTCGGATCTATCGAGTTTTAGTTTGGAGAGAAGTTTGATCAGGTCTCACTTTTGAATACTTCAAGTCATTTACATGTATGAACTTAGTGTTAAGTGGCAAAATGACACAGCAAAGCTTCCAAATCACGTGCACCACCCAATACCTTCAGGTTCCCAGCATTGGAGTTGAAATCAAGTTAACAAAGATGTGGCTGACAGCAGGGTCCAGGTACAGACCTAGGTCAGGGGTCTTACCCCACCAAATTGATAAGCCATATACAAATCTTTCTCCGCTTACCTGTTAAACAATATTTATGAGAATTTTGAATTGATTAAATTAATCAAAATAATCTTTCATCTTGGATGATTTGCTTATGTATAAGTCGAATTAACTTCGGAACGTGTAGTCCGTAGTCCTTACACAGTACATGTATACTTCCAAGGCGGTGAAGCTTCCAAGTGGTCCGTGGTTATGGGGCATTGTTGACTCCAATGGCAACTCCCGTGTCAAGCTCCTATTGCTCGAATTAATTAATTAATCATCACAAGCCCAACACCCTCACTAATGGCTTCTCAAAGCTATAGCTCAACGGCTCGAGCCAGCCTCAATGTCAAATCCCCCAATCTATCCGACCTTACCCCCAACTTTGCCGACCCCAACTTTGACCCAGCTGAGTTCCTCAATGATACTCTGTCCCCACTGACAGTGGCCTCACTCCAACCCAATGCCTCCCGAGTACCAGGCTCGGTACCTTTGACCGAACTGTCCGCCCAAGTCCAAACCCTCCTTTCACAAATTAGCGCCCAGAACGTTCGCCTATCCAGCACACTCTCTCAGTTGAGTGACGAGATCCTTCGCAGTGGTGGACGTCTTGCCTACGAGGTTGAGGTGTTACGGGGAGAAACAATTGGGTTGTCCGAGACCTTGACAGAGGTTCTACGGGATGATATCGCCAAGTTCGTTTTAGAGACACCGAGTACAACTACCGCTACGACTGGTCGCAAGGATGAGGTAACGGAACAAACGGAAGCTACAACCACAAAAGATGAGAAGCCGGACGAGGATGAGGATGAGGATGCGAGTGCGAATGCGGAAACAATGGAGAAAGATGTGTCCATGGCGGATCCTGAGTATATCGCCAATCTGCGCACATTGAACCAAGTCCGCTCGCGACTAGAAGACGTTGTACAGACATTCGGCGACGCAATGGAGTGGCCTTTACCACCATCGGAGATCTCCTTCTCATCCTCCTTCATCTCTGTCTCCGGTCCAGACATCACTGTTGACGGCTCCGACCAGGAAGAAAAAGGCCAGGCAGTTATGAAGAAGCTACGAACCGAAACACTGGAGCTGCTGGACAGCAAGGGTGGCGGACGGGCTGGTTTAGAGGCAGCCACTCATCACGTGGAGACTCTACGGACATTGGCAACAGTATGGAAAGGCTCGGCTGAGGAAAAAGCACGGTATCGATTTGTGGACAGTCTAGCCCGGCTCGTGGATGAGCGACGGCGCAATTTGGAACACCAACAGGCGATGGCGGAGCAAAGTCAACGTCCCAAGCGATCGGAGCAAAGACGAGACAGCGATAGTGGAGCACCAGCGGGTGGCTTATTCCGCAATCTGCAGCGACTCAAGGAGGAGATCTATTTGGAATAGAATTAATTAGTTATATTAGATAGAATTACGTTAATATGTGTTCATGGACTGTATGTACCACATGCGGAAACAGCTCGGGGTTGGTCGATCAATGAGCCGTTTCCATCTCCACCTTTGAATTGCGTATGTCCCGCGTGGCTTTTTTTACATTAACAACACCCTCGAGGTATCACGACATGTTCAGTTGCCTAGTTATTTTCTGAGATAGTCTCGGCGTTTTGGTCATGGCTTCCAGCCCGCTGCCGTTTGAGAAGGCCAAGTCGTCCGCCACCACCGTGATGTGGCAGGTCTACCGTCAACGACCGCGGACCCCAAGATCCAAAGCCATCACTTACTCCATTATCGCATTCCTTTCCTTTCTTGTTATACTCTCCTCATCACACGGGGTAAGTTTCCCAGATTGTTGCCTCGCCTGGGCTGAATGGACATACTCCGATCGCCATTCCGACAGCGGGGAAAGACCAGGAACAAGATGCTGACCTCTTTAACAGCAGTCCGAGCCAGATTTCTGGACCAAGTTCCCATCGTATCATCCATTCACTGAAATCCCTGAAAACGCGCAGGTCGCACTTCCTCGACGATCCGATGTCTCAATCAACGGTACCCTCCCTCACGACTTGGACAAGCCCAACCCGAATCTCCATGTCCTGGTGCCCTTGCAGCAGGGCTCACGCGGCGCTTGTCGAACACTGGCATCGGCCATGATTCTGGGATACCCACCTCCAATCCTGGTCGGATACGGACAGGACAAGAGTGGTGCGACCGAGTTCGAGCGCATAGTGGACCGGATCACTCGCTTGCGCGATTACCTGAAACCGAGCCATACCGTGAAGGATCATGATCTGATACTGGTCGTCGACGCCGAGGATGTCTTCTTCCAACTCCCCCCGGAGATTCTGGTTACGCGCTTCCAGGAGATTCTACGAACGAATAATCGGAAGTTATTGAAAAAGCATGGGTACACGAAGCTAGAGAAAGAAACCGAGGATGCTCCCCCGGATTTAGTGCCGAAATACTCGCAGCGCGTGCTCTTTGGTGCAAGTAAATTGTGCTATAGTGCTCTGGAGGAGGACCCGGGCTGTGTTTCTATCCCCGAGTCGTCATTGCCTCCGGATGTGTATGGCTGGAAGACGGACATCTATCCTGATGGGCATTTGAATCGGCCACGATGGCTGAATCCGGGTGCGGTGATTGGTCAAGCTGCGGATCTCCGACTTATCTACGATGAGGCCCTGCGGATTCTCGAGCAGCGTATCAAAAAGCACGGCGACTACCAAGCTCTGACGCAGATGTATGGCCGTCAAGAGGTGGTCCGCGAGCTGGAACGACGTCGCACTACTAACGGTTTGAAGGAGTGGTTCCAAGGACTGCTGGGCATTAATGAAGCCACAAATATCACGAACATTCGTCTCCGTCTGGAGACAGGTCACCGGTATGAGTACGGTATCGGAGTCGACTTCGAGTCGCAGATGTTCTTCAATCAGATCCTCTCTCGCAATGATGTCGAGTGGATCAAGTACAACAACATCACTAAGACATCCGTCCTCCAAGGACAGTTTGGTGTCCCCCGTGAGCACCGTCTTCTTCTTCCAAGTGATATTGCCGCACTTCCAAACCCTTTCAACCAGACCCGGCTTGCCAAAACTATGACCACACTTCCGGAATGGAATGCCACACTAGACAAGCTACCAAACCCAGAAGAGCATTCATGGCACAACGTACCCCTAATGACAAATCCTCACTCTGCTGCTGTCCCCGTCCTTGCCCATCTTAACGGTGACCAGAAACTTCGCAACACATGGTGGGAGAAGATGTGGTTCTTCCCCTGGGGCCGTGCCCTCCTCCGCCGATATGTGCGCTCCTCTCATGGGTTCGACGCTGCACAGTCTTCCCTTCTGGGCGGCCAAGAGTGGTGGAATATGCGCGGTGGACGAGGCGGAGTCTGGACAGACGAGGAGAACTGGGTTGCCTTTTCGGATGTCTGCGAGGGCCAGGAGCGTGATCTCTTCGATGATGATCTGGGTCCCTGGGCTAAGGAGAATGGCGATCCTGATGAGCCGGTCTACAATAAATTTGGTAATCTCATATACGGCAAAGAAGCTCCAGATGGAGAGAAGTCATAGTGCGTCTACATGGGTACACTTGGAGATTCTTAGGTACTCGCCCAGCTTCTCACTGTTTCCATATTTTCACAAGACTTACGCCGGGACGATATGTTATCGACTTGTGCATATCGATCTTATGTCCCTAATGTCGGATCCTGAGTCTTTCTGCCCTCTTTGATACCATTTTGAGCTTTTTCTTTTTCGGCCATGGATGGCATCGACCCATGTCATGAGTGTTATGGCGTTTTAATTTGGTCTCTTTGGTTCTTTAATGACCAAACATGTATTACATAGAGCAAGGTGCGACGAGCTGGCATCACGTACATAGAATTGGAACATATTTTATCTTCACCGCATAGAGCAGATATACACCAGCTCGAGCATGATACTATGTATCGAACAAGCCCAGCTCCTACCTGTACAGTTCAAGCTTAATACTCACCCAACATTGAACCAGAAAGACGAATGCGCATGGAATTGAAGGGCCATGAACCCGGGATATCAAACATCTCAGACAAATAATCTACTTAACAAGAAAGCAATTTATATCCAAAGACCCCCCTAGCTCCCATAATGCTCATTGAGAACATTCCGAATAATCCCCAGCACAACTTGCACATCTTCATCCGATATCCGCGTCTCCCGCTCCTCAACAACAGATTCAAAAAGCGCCATCGCGCCGAAATCCTCCTCCTCCTCCTCATTAACAGCATTCCCATCCTCGTCCACATCCATCTCCCCATCTCCATTGACCTCTTCACCATTTTCTCCTCCGGAGGAACTCACGCCAACACCCAGGTTCAGAATCATTACTACTTCAGCCTTGGTAAGACCGTACGGCTTGAGCTGTGTGATCAAGTCACGGAGGGCAAGATCCATAGGCGTTGTCTCTGAGGAGGGGTCCCGGGGTGGTGCGGTGGGGTTTGTGAGGTCGTTGTTATCCGAGGAGTTCTGTGCTGGGGGGCGCATTGTTCCAAATGCAGAAGCTGATTGCGACGAGGAGGGGCGAGGGATGTAGCGGGGGTATTTTAAAAGGTGGGGGGAGATTCTGGATACATAGTTGTGGATCTGAGATAGGTGTATGTTAGCTAGCTGTTCTTGTGGTATAAAATATGGAATATGCATGGGTATTTTGATTTTGGGAGAGGGATTGCGGTCTGCTGGTTTCGGGACTTGGGATATAATCCCTGAGTCTTGGTGGGAATTTGCAGTGGAAGGATGCAGGCCAGGCTCACCTCTTTAACCACTGTGTTGTGGTCTCTCAAATCTGGGCTGGGTACCCATCGATCAGCATTCTGCGGCGGATCGGGAGAGCGGCGGGGCGGGTTGGCTGTTAAGTAGGCCAGAACCTCGATGTTGGTGAGGACTGCATTTTGAGGGTCGAGAATCTTGGAGTATTTATAAGTCAATTGTAGCTTTTATGTGATCGGACATATCTTACCCGCATTGTGGTGGTTATTTGTGTATGTGAGTGATCGTCGAAAGGTGTGAGTTCGCAGCTGAGGGAAAATTACTGATTTTGCCGGTCCAAAGGTAGGCGGTATATAGGGCGGTATTCACAAGCTGCAGGCTCAGCTACAAGGAAGTTGGGACTTGAGGGCTAAGTACTTGCACTTGAGTGCGATCAATATATAGCTGCAACTCTCTTGTTTAGCCTTAACCCACAGTGTTACGGATTTTACAGATAAATATTTTGCTGAATGCTACTCAAAATTGAAGTATGAACAGATTATTCAGCTAAACTGTACTGCCTGGACCAAGCACCGTCTGCGCCATAAAAACGAAACAAAAAACGAAGATCAACCTTGAAATGCCCCCGAACATGCGAGCAAGGCCGCGACATGAAAAGAAAGTGATATCATACAGATTGCGCAAAAAGAGGCCATCCATCACATTGCACGAAACTTTTGAAACAAAAGCAATTCATAGCTACTCGCCCTTGCTCTTCTTCTTCTTCTTATCCTTCTTCTCCTCACCCTCATCGGAGCGCTTGCGCTTCTTGCCATCTTCCTTGTCGGACTTCTTGGACTCCTTCTTGGCCTTCTTCAAGTCCTTCTTGCTGATGGCTGTAGGGTTGCCAGAGGCATCGAAGGTGATCTCTCCGCGCTCCAGCTTGCGTTGATAACGCTTGACGCTGAGACCAGCCTTAGCGGCCTGCTTCTCGAGCTCAGACTTTGAGTCGTCCTCGGATGAGGAGTCGGAGTCGGAGTCAGAATCGGCATCCTTCATATCCTCGTCTGACTCGACCTCTTCAACAAGCTTCTTCTTCTTATCCTTCTTCTCCTTCTTGGCGGGGGTAGGAGCCTCGGTATCCAGAGCATCAGCATCGGGGTTGTATTTACGGGCCTCCTTCAGGTCGAACTTCTGGGGCTGGGCAGTGCCGTTGGGAGCAATAGCAACACCGCGGGGCTTCATGGGCTTGCCCTCCATACCGGCAAGCTTGCGCTCAAGGTTGAAGCGAGCCTCGGTACCGAGAGCAGCCTTGTCTTCCTCGGTGACATCCTCATCCCACTCGGCGAGGGCGTCAACACGCAGACCAAGAGAGGCCTTGGCAGCGAGAATACGGGCCATCTTGCCCTTGTTGCGGCCGGTGGCCTGGCCGATCAAAGAGGCGTGGTAGATCAGACCGTACTTGGGTGTGTCGTGTTTGGTCTTCAGGGCACGAAAGAGGGCCTTCTCGGCACCCAGAATCTGGAGGGTAGAGGCGGGGCTCTTGGCAAGGCTGGTCAAGCTACCAGCGTGGGCAATGAGACGGGCACCAACAAGGTCACCGACAAGAGCAGTCAAGTTAGGAGCGATAGCGTTCATACGGGAGGTCAGGTAGCTAGCAAGCTGTGCGCGGTAGTCGTAAAGGGAAACAACCTGGTCGGCAAGAGCCTGGATGTTCTCGAGATCATCCTCGCTGATCTCAGTACCCATGGAACGGTCAGCGGCAGACTTAACGGCACCCTCAATCTCCTCCGGCAGAATCTCAGCGAGATCAACGGTCTCCCAGTTCGAGCGCATGCCCATCTTCAGGACGAGCTTGGCGTAGGCAATGTTGTCGTTAAGGATCTTAGCCAGCTCGGGGAAGTGCCATCCGTACCATTCCTTCACACGCATAGCGTAGGTGTTCAACTCCTTGTCCATGTCATCCAAAAGGCTGATAGCCTGGACAATCATAGTATCGATCTTGTCGGGAGAGAACTTGAGCTTGTGACGGGCGAGGGAGTGAGACAGACCAAGGGCCATAGTGGACATGTCACTGGGGGCCAGGCCAGGGATGAGAGAAGTGAGGTGCTCACGAATGGCACGGAAAGCCTCGGCGGTAGAAGAATCGGCGATCAGCTCAATGGAGAGGCCGGGCAGCTTGCCAATGGCGTTTCCTGATGACCATCATGTCAGTGGAAAGCGCAAAAATTGGATTATCGGATTGAACATACCGAGCTTGGGGTCCGCAACAGCGAGAGAAACTTTCTTCTCATCCTTGATTCCCTCCAAAAGCGAAGCGAGGCGGGGAGTGACCTTGCCCTCGATGATGGATGCAGCCTCCTCAACAGCGGCAGCAGCACTCTCGAACTTCTGGAAAGACTTCAGCTTGAACCTAAATTGCAGTATTAGCATCGCTGTCTACTGCATCAAATTTTTTCTCGACCATTCCGCGAATTGGTGTCCCCCGCTCCATTGGGATTTTTTCAGGCAGTTTTTGAACTAAAGCCAACCATCACACGTACATGTTGGAAACACCCTCGGCGGTGGAAGCATCCTCCGGGAGCTGTTCGCGCTTGAAGAGCTTCTTGTCCTTGGCCTTCAGCAGGGCATAGCCGGCGCTGGTTTCGGTGAGGATGAACAGCGACATGATGGCGACTGGTCGGGGGGGAAAAAAGAGAACGAGATAAAAATGTAGAAGGCCCCGGTCGATTGGCGAAAAAAAGACGGATTAGAATGAGTGGACCGTCGAGGCGTGCACCGTTGGAGAAGGGAATCTAGAAATTTTGCAACGGAAAGAAAAAAGTGCAAAAATGGTCGAGCCACAGCCCTGTGGCTGGTGGCTTATGTAAGGACCCACCCCGACAGCTCCCAGCACTTAACATGTACGTAGATTAAGACGACCTTTCTATTGACCACTTCTCACTCGCCATAATGGAGGGCCTCTTCTTCAATGTAAATTCTGGGTATGTCTGTCCCTGAATATCTATGTTATTTTTGATTGCTAACGTGCATTTCCTAGATACGTCGAGGGCATTGTTCGAGGGTATCGGAACAGCCTTCTGAGCGGCCAGAACTACTCCAACTTAACACAATGCGAGACTATTGATGGTATTTACATCCTCAAACTAGCGTCAAGACTAGCCACGTCTAACATCAAATCTTTTCACAGATGTAAAGCTTCAACTGGGCCCATCCTATGGCGACTTCCTCGCCTCTCTCCCCCCGAACCCCTCCACCTCCGCCCTCGCTGGCAAGATGACCGACAAGCTGGTGTCGGAGTTCCGATACTTGATCGCACAGTCCACTGGGGCAACTGCCAAGTTCCTGCAGTATCTCACCTACGGCTACATGATCGATAACATTGCTCTCCTGATCACCGGTACCCTGCATGAGCGCGACACCCGAGAACTCCTGGAGCGATGCCACCCGCTCGGCTGGTTCGAGACTCTGCCCGTGCTGTGTGTTGCAACCAACATTGAGGAGCTCTACAACTCAGTCCTTATTGAGACCCCGCTGGCCCCTTACTTCAAGGGTAGCCTGAGCCACCAGGACCTTGACGAGCTGAACATCGAGATTGTCCGCAACACCCTCTACAAGAACTACCTTGAGGACTTCTATAAGTTTATCAACACCGACCCAGACTTCTCTGGCCCGACCCAGGAGGTTATGTCGGAGATTTTGCAGTTTGAGGCCGATCGCCGCTCTATTAATATTACCCTCAACTCCTTCGGCACTGAGCTGTCCAAGCAAGAGCGGAGAAAGCTGTACCCGGAATTCGGAAAGCTTTACCCGGAGGGTAGCTTGATGCTGTCTCGGGCAGATGATCCTGAAGGCGTGGCCCTGGCTGTGAGTGCGGTTGCAGACTACAAGACCTTCTTTGATGCGGTGGGTATGAACCAGGGTGGTGGTGGTGGCATGGGCGGGAGCGACGGGAAGAGTCTCGAGGATCTCTTCTACCAGAAGGAGATGGATATGTCCAAGTTGGTGTTTACCCGTCAATTTACCCCGGCGGTGGTGTACGGGTGGTTGAAGCTGAAGGAGCAGGTAAGGCAAATTTCTAAATTTATATACCCAATATCAACTGGCTAACATTTATTAGGAAATCCGGAATGTCACCTGGATCTCGGAATGCATTGCACAGAACCAGAAGGAGAGAATCGGTAATTTCATTTCCGTCTTCTAGATTTCATTATGACCTCGTTCTTCCCATTTACTTCTCCTATATTTACCCCATTGGGCTGCATGACTTGGCTTTAGCAGTCAGTTCCGTTGTATCGAGTACCCAGTTCGTTTCTTGTCCTTCGATCCTGAAGTGAGCGCATCGCCCCGAACCGGGCAAATGGTCACTGGTTTCGGTTTTTTTCTCGTTTCTGTTCTTGACTTCTTTCCACCCTCTGAGGCGTTTGGCAATTTCGTGATCTCTGTGAAATAGAAGAGCAAAATTCATCGGTCCGATGAAATCCGTGGTAAACACCCCTCATACATCCGTAGATTGTAGGCTGCCGATACTGACTGCTGCTTGGCATCATGCGTATGGGCTAACCAAGCGAGATAGTCCTCTCCGGGAAACAAGTCCAAAAGGCAAGATGTAAGACGGATCACATAAAACACGATAATTTTAGTTGATTTCATCATATGTGCAAGATGCCAGTAGCAAAGATAGGCAATAAAGGTCGAATAGAACAAGCCAAGCCTGAAAAGCAAGATAAACCCAACAACGCTGTCTGCTGTCTTGGGTAAGACTACTTTGAACATGGACTCTATGTAGATTTGGAAGAAATGGTGCAAGCAAGTAACGGATGATGAAAAAATGTCTTCGCATCAGCAACGCCAGATATCGACTCAAATTCATTTAATATGGCAAGCTGGACATATCAAATCCAGCCAAGATTTTTTTGGTATTTGCATTTTCCAAGGAGAGAAATGTTGATCACGTTCAATCATACTGGAACAAAACACTGATACTCTCACCGTGGTGGACGCGGCGGATGGCCTGCATGAAGCGGTCAGCAAGGGCCCGGGCTTAAGACAAATGGAACTTACCTCGGCGAAAACGTGGCCAACCTCTAGGACCTCAAGCTTCGGGCATCGGCGCAGGTGGTCATTCTGCTCTACACTGTTGGTCACTACGACCTTATCAAGGGCGCTGGCGTTAATACGCTCGATAGCATCACCGCTCAGGATGCCGTGGGTCACCAGAGCGTAAACCTGGGAGGCGCCCTCCTTCTTCAGCAACTTGGCTGCACGGGTAATTGTGTTGGAAGTGTCCGCCAAGTCATCGATCAGAATAGCAATCCGATCGCGGACGTCACCGACCAGCATCATGGTCGCATTCTGGCGGTCTGTGATCTTTGTGGGGCGGCGCTCCTGCAGGGGTTGTTAGAATTATCCAATCTACCAAGCTAGGAGGAAAAATAAAATATGATCTTACCTTGTGAATAAGAGCGAATTCCATTCCCATCTGGTCAGCAATGGCTGTCGCACGCTTGGCACCACCCGCATCGGGGCTGACAATGACAGCCTGCTTGTAGTTGGGGATATTGCGCTGGATGTAGCTCTTCAAAAGAGGACGTCCGTAAAGATTGTCCACGGGAATATCAAAGAATCCTTGGTACTGAGGGTCGTGCAAATCCATAGTGATGATGTGATCCGCACCGGCGCACGTCAGCAGGTCAGCCACCAGGGTGCCTGCTTGCGCAACCCACTGCTTGTAACCAGGGCGCGGCTGGAAGGAATTAATCTTTGAAGCAGCCGAAGAGTTGTTTGTAGATTCTTCAAGGATTGCGCTGTTGGCCAGAGACTTGAGAGAGTCATTCGTATCGCTCCGGGGAAGTGCGTTGCCGGAGGCATGGCGGCGCTTCACGGGGCTGCCATTGTGCTCTTCGATCTGAGCTTTGGCAAGACTCTTCTGGAGGTTGTCGATGCCGTTCATCAGACCCAATCCCTCGGGCTTACCGGGACCCGGAGTGGGAGGAGTGCTTTCGAAAGTGTAGCCATTGTTGGGCTTGTTCGGGACGGACGACTTGACGAGAGGAGCCCCGGCCTTGTCGTAGGGGATATCACTTTGGCGGGAGTAAGGGAACAGAGGAAGAACGGCGGTCACCCGGCGGGCCGAGGCCGTCTTACAAGCGGAGATGGTGATGAGGAGCTCAAGCAAGTGGTCGTTGACCTTACCACCTCCGGATTGAATAATGTAGACGTCCTTTTCACGGACGGATTCTTGGATCTCGACACGAGTCTCACCAACAGCGAACTTGGACAGCAGAACCTCCGCGGGAGGGAGTCCGAGTACACTGCAAATGGTCTCGGTCAACTGCGGGTGGGAAGTACCCCCGATGACAACTAGATTGCGAACCATCTTGTTTAAAGGGTCTGGTTTGGGATCGAAAGAAGTATTGGAAGGGAACGGGAGGAGGGGTTGTTGGGTGGAGGTCGAGAAATCTGGAGAGACGGAAAATCTGCGGAGGCGAAATCGGCTTCAGAAAAGAATCACTGGATAAGGCAGGAAGAAAAGTCAAGAGTGGAGAGTCAAGCGACTAGCTCATTTCGGAGAGATTGTGAGGTCGAGAAACAGCTCGGACAATGACCCGAGAGAAAAAAAACGAATTGAAGCTCGTGTGAGTCCCATAGAAAAAAAGCCTCTTTTAGAGAGTGGAACAGACTTTCTTGGTCTCGGGTTGGCTGGAGAGGATTTTGGCCTGAGGCACCAAGGTGTCAATAACCCCCGAATCAGGATAGTGCGGGCACATATTTAGCCCCGCAGACGGTAAATGTTTGAGCAAAAACGGCCGGAAAAATGCTTTGCAAAAGGAGACGCCAGCAAATGGTCAGCAGCCCCAAGGGGGGGCCAAAAGAACCGCTTTACAGCAACTTCCATTTTTCGCCGGTAAGATACAAAAGGGGCACCAGAAAATTCCATAAAAAGAAAACATGAGAAGATAAGAAATCCATTCAGTGCACGCTCCCATGCTCCAAGAAATCCAATAGTTTTGATATGAGAAAGAAAAAAACACCGACCATTTGAAACTGACCCCATCGAAGTACATGAGAATATGCTTTTTAGTCTCCTGTTCCAACCTCCCTATAATGATAAGTTAGTATAGGTCATGGGAGTAGAGTGGCAGATAGGGTAATAAGTAAGCTCACAAGTCAAGTTGTACCCCATTGCTCACTCCATAGTCTTCCAGTGTCAGCTGATCCTTGAAAGGGCGTTCGCCTTGGCGTTTCAATAGGATCTCATGTGGTTCTCGACCAATTCGGGCAGCCACCTGGGCTTTGAAGAGCTCTGGATAGAAATAAGATTAATTCAATCCAGAAAGTATCATACGAAAACAACATACTGATTGGATCTGAGGCCAAACAGGGGATCTCAGCTTTGGTACCCAACCGATCATTCACATAGACAATAATCATGGGTTCTGAGGACTGTGGCACAACAGGCTTCTTTTTCTTCTTCTCTTTCTTCTCTTTCTTCTCTGCACGATCTTCCCGTGGTGTATCACGCTCGTCCCGTCGTTGGTCGCGGTCGCGGTCGGCGCGGTCACGGTCACGGCCCTGATCTTGGTTGCGATCCCCGTAGCGGTCGCCATCACGGTCTCGGCGGGGGGATCTTGGGCGCTCGTCTCGGTCTCGGTATCCACGGTCTAGTCGTCGCTCATCGCCGCGGGAATCATCGTCGCGACGCTTCTCCTTCCATCGAAAGCCCCCAGACTTCTTGGGACGTCGATCACCATCTCGCCGGTTCGGGGACCGACTTCTGGCTCTATCACCCATGATGGATGGATTGAAAGAAAGGGAGATGAGGGTCGATGTCCGACAAGCCAGTTGCGATCATAACGGAGGGAGCGGAGAGTTGATCTGTAGCTTCACGTGATCCAGATACGGGGAGGTACATTACGCTAGTCTGGAACAGGTCTAGTGTGTTTGTTGCGGACTTGGGAGCTTTTGCCCCCGTGAAACGCTGATAACTATTTAGTCAGTCTCTAGAGGTTATCCAGAGAGTCTGCAATCACCTGGACCTTTCTAGATTGTACTTTATACCTCTACATTCACAATGCCCAGTCGACTCCTGGTTCAACGGCCTTCTCCGACAACTGTTAGCTTCACGGTATCTAATGCGCCGAGTCGCTCCAATTCCCCCGCAAAGATCCTTTTCGGTTTCCAGGTCCTGCTACGGACTGTTCTTTTCCTCTGCGTGGTTGTCATCGCACTAGCAAGGCTGCGACACTTCTCATTTGAAGCAGAGGGGGGGTTTATATCCTGGCCAGCCATATGGGCGAGCCCTCTCGGGTCTCATATCTGCCAGCTAGTGGACGCATACAACCCGTTTGTTGTGGCGGTGATGAGCACCTTGGTGATCTATGGGGTTTTCAGGAGAAACTATACCGGTATGTATAGCTCTTTTTTTTTGGCGCTCTGGCTGATCGTCAATGTAGAGGAATCCCTTTTGGTCATTCGAGGATTTGGTATCCAGACCTCAACCTCATCATCCACCTATCTCTCGTCGGCCGTGACAAGATTTATCCCTACAACCCAGATTCAAGACATTGTCATCCATGAAGCCTTTAAGGGCTTTGAAGTCCGGTTCTACCTGGCTGTGATTGTGGAGGGCGAGCCTGATGTCTTGGTGGTCTTTCCGGTAAATTGCCTCCTCCCTGCCACCATTATCAAGCTAACCAACACTCCAATTATTAGCACCTACTGCCCAAACGAGAGATTTTAGAAGAAGTCTGGAGAGGCTCCCGACGCTGTCTCTATGATGCAAAGTCTTGATTCATAAAGCAGGGCAGTATATAAGTTAATGCTAATACACAAAACCTTGAAAGGACCGATATGAGTATGTACATCTTTCTTCATGCTTCTTCCTTTGTTGCAGCATCTTGCTGGAGTGCCAATTTCCGCTGCTTGGCTGCTAGCCACTTGGCATTTTGAATTTCGACAGGCTCTGTTGTTGCCTTGTCCAACACTGCCACGTATTTGCCTCCGACGCGAACACTGTTATCCCCAAGCCAGACTTTCGCGCCTCTGCTGCTTTTCTTGCTTTGTCCCTGTTTCCCTTCCATGTCGTGAATAACACCCAAGTCTCCTTGGCTAACAGTCAAATCCAACAGTGCTCCAGCCAAAATCTCATCAATCTTGCGCTGTCTCCAAACTGACCACAGTCCATCAATCACGCCCCTCATGCCAAACTTGCTGTCGCTTTTGGCACTTCGGCTCTTATTAAGCCGTTCATCACCAGCATAAACCCAGTTCAGAGAATCCTCGCGACTTCCAGAGCTCTCGTCGGGGAAAATCGTATCCCACAGAACCAGGGGTGCATCAGAAGCCATCTCATATGTCGGTTTGCGTGGGTTTTGCTTCACATCTAGTAGCTTGGGGACAATAGACGGAGATTCGAGTCCTTGGCCAACTAGGAAGAGGACTGCCACCATATGCCGGACTTGGTGCCATAGGAATGCAGACCCATGCAGGGTGAATGTGTAGACCTGAGGTGAGGTCGCAGGGGGCACTTCTGAGGACAACATTTCCACGTCAGGCACAATGCCCTCTTCCTGCTGGAATCCAGCCCGGCCAACATAGCCCAGAGGGTTGGTCTTTGGGTTCACGAACTCGATATCAGAGTAAAAAATTTTACGTTCAAAGTTCTCGATCTGCTTGCTGGTATCCAGCTTGCAGAAGTTCCTGAAGTCATGGGTTCCTTCGAAGTGTTTCGCGGCTTCACGCATGGCATCGATGTCCAACCATCCCTCGCGGTACTTAGCACGAGGTCCCTTGCCATCATCCACAACCTTCTCAAATCCGAAAGGACCTGGGGTGGGTGAGAACGCAGGCTGGGTGAAGAAGTACCGGTAGCGGCGTTCGCGGCAGGAGAAACGGGCATCAAACCCAGGAGGGGGGTTAGGGCACCAAGCCAGCACCCGAATATCCTCCGGAAGAACCCTGTTCAGAACTTGTATATAGTTGATTTCATCCGCGATGTCATCCCAATTCGAATCCACGGCTGCTTCCTCAACCTGCATCGCATCGCCCTCTTGAAGACCCTCTTCGTTTGACGAAGAGGCAGTAGGCTTCGGCTTCGGCCGCAAACTGCGAACCCGAATACCAATAACCTGTCCAAACGCACTCACACCACGATCCGTTCTTCCAGCCTTCGAGTAATCACACCCATCCCAGAAAATTGAGTAAGGCCGCACCACTCTTGGCCCACCACCACTAGGCTCATCCGCAGGAGCGCTAGTGTGAGGAAGAATCAACTTCGTCCGCCGCAAAGCCTTCCACAGAACCTCCTCAATCGTAGGCAGAGGCGTACAATTGCCATTGGTATGCTCAAGTCCATTATACCGCTGACCCAGGTAAGCGAACTTCAGCGCAATAAACCTGGTAGTGTATTTCGATCCGTCGAATTCCCGCTCCGCCTTCAAAGCACGGTGGATACCAGGCTTGTGGGTAATATCGGTATCTGGAGAATGAACCCGCTTCTTCTTCGACGCATGCTCATCGTTACCAGCTTCAGGTAGTGGAATCGCGGGCTCGTAGACGTCGCTGGAGATCGGGGCCCCAGTAGGTGCTGGGTGTGTCTCTGTCGGAACTGTGTACTGTGTAGTCTGGGAGTGAAGTTGGCGCTCGAGTTCACTAATCCGCTCGATAAGGCTGGTGTTACTCCAGGTTGTGTAGTCGGGGCTGTGCCCCTGTGCGCTCTGGTTCTCGGCCATTTTTTGCGACAAGGATGCGTGGTATTCGCGGGGAAATTGCGCTCGGGGCTGAAGTGGATATTTTTGTAACCAGCGTGGTGGTGTAAGTCTGCTTGGTCGTCTCCACATGCCCTTGAGGCAATTGGAGATCAGCTAGGCTCACTTGGTGGTGGTGGTGGTGGGGTTTGCACGACTTATCGAAATTTGGACTCGTGGAGAATCGGGTATTTTATGTAATATTTGATGTAATGTACTGTACTAGCAGGGTCTAGAAACATGCTTCGGTGTTAAATCTTTGCTGTATCTTTGTGTATTGACAATTGAGACTTACTCTATTGGGTTTGATAATTATTTAAAATATTGGAAAACAGACGAATCATAAATTATTGGGCTTCTAAGGTTATTGGTAACATGGGGAATATATATCTCCTTGTAGATCTAATAGCCCATTCCACCAACCTTATCTTTTACACTATTTCTTCGTCGCTTAAGATGCATCTCCGACCTTAGGAACGTTCCAAATGGCCACTGTACCAAACCTCGAAAACGGGACTGGAATCGATCTTGAAAACGACCATCTAGTAGATGTGGAATATCCAGAGCCTGACTCAACAGTGACCTTGTTACTCTTGGGCGACGCAGGCTGTGGAAAGTCCTTATTCTTATCGTGAGTCTATATTCTTCCATCTACATCTGGATATTCTATATGCATGCAATTCAGCCATACACGGTTTGAACTTTCATCTAAACCCACATGTGCATGAAGGATAACTGAAAACTTCCCAGGCGCCTAAAGAGTGGCAAGAAGCCACCAGCACCACCAGGCACCACAACGGAGAGTGCACCCGAGACTCTACGGGATAGCGACCAGCCATTCACTTATGATATTCGATTCTCCAAGAAATCCTTTACATTGGAAATCTATGATACATCCTGTCCTAACCAGCACTGGTCGACTCTCAGCCCTGATGTCATCGTTATAGCATTCGATATCTCAGACCGGGAGACACTGACAAGTCTAAAAGGGGTGGGTACATCTTTCAGGGCACTACCCTGCTTCGTGAATGAGAAGACTGACTCTTAAAAGTGGCGTAATGAGGTATCAAGGCATTTCCAACATGGTCGTGGGGAGCGTATCCCTGTGATGATCCTTGGCTTGAAGAGAGATCTGAGGAAGGAGGGTGAGGGTATCATCTACCCACAAGAGGTTCGTGAAATATCTTGTCTGGTACTGCACTTAGCTCACTGACAAGCTAGGCTTACCGTATCGCCCAAGAGCTGCGCTGTGATAGGTATGCTGAATGCTCGGCTATGACGGGTGAACTGCTGGCAGAGACATTTGAAGACCTTTCAAGGCTTGCGGGAATGTCGACTACATCTAAGGGTGGACAAGGTGATGGAGGTTGTAATATTTTATAATCTTGTTATCACAATGTATGATCTAAAAGTTCACTATTGGTCTTGTCAATTCGAGGAGCATTCGGTAGGTTCAGGATGATAGCTAGCCGAAATTCTAGCCCTGGCCTTGACATCTAGAACGTCATAATCTACAGTCCCTGGGCCAGACAATTTGCATACAAATCTACAGGTCTACGCGATCAAGATGGACAATACCGAGCACAATCCTCTTTGAATTACTAGGATACAAACAGGGAGAAACCAAGGTAACGATTAAGTCCACCTTGTAGATTGACAGCACAGGGCTTTCCCCCAGTTGTAGAACACAACTGGATATCTTTCCCTCATAAGCGCCAGGTCAATGATTGACGTAGCTATTCCTCCCCGATGCAAAAACAAGAAATAAAAAGGGTGCTGGTAATGAGACCACTGATGCAAAAAGGACTGACGGGTTCACCGGTGAAAAGCTCTTTTTTCTTCTGCTGTTTTTCAGTTTCTTTTTGGTTTGTTTTTTGAGACACTGAACAGAAACTAGGATAGACATGTCAAGGGATTTTGCGGGAGATGGTGTATTTTTTCCATTTGTCAATGGATTTCGTAGGTGAAAAAACAAACAAGAGAACTCCTCATGTCTCCTATGCCTGGATAGGCACGGGAAACATCCCAATCATCCCGGATCACCATGGCGTTTGGGTTTTGAGATCATACTTCCCCCCTTTCAACGGCTATCCTTTGTCACTGCGGAGTGAATCTACCACTTGTTCTCAGCGGCAGGGGCGGGGGCAGCCTGAGCGGTCTCAGCGGCCCACTCAGTGGGCTGCTGGGTGGAGCTGGCAGCCCAGTCAGCACCGTCAGCCTCCCAGCTGGTGGCACCGACAGCGGCGCTGGCGGCAGCGAAGGCAGTGCCAGGGGCACCAGCACCGGGGGCGGTAGCGTCCCAGTTGTCACCAGCGAAGCCAGACTCAACGGCACCAGCGCCGATCTCATCAGCACCGGGGGCCTTGGCCTCATCGGCGACCTCCTTGTTCTCCTCGGCCTCAGGGTCGCGGTAGAAGTACAGGTCAACGACGCTGTCCCACTCGGTCTCGCGGGTAGCGAGGGTACCGCGGAGACGGAGGACCTCACGGGCGAGCATCCACCAGACGAGACCAATGGAGTGACGACCCTTGTTGTTGGTGGGGATGGCGACATCAACGAAGTCGGTGGGGGAGTCAGTGTCGCAGAGGGCAATGACGGGGATGTTGACGTAGCTGGCCTCCTTGATAGCCTGGGCGTCGGTGCGGGGGTCGGTGACAATGATCAGGCGGGGCTCCTTGAAAGAGCGGGTGATGTAGTTGGTGAAGTTACCGGGGGTGAAACGACCGGCAATAGGGGTGGCACCGGTGTGGGCGGCGAACTTCAGGACAGCGCGCTGGCCGTAGGGACGAGCGGAGATGACACAGACATCGGCGGGGTTGTCAATGGCGGCGATGATACGGGCAGCCAGGACGATCTTCTCCCTATTGATTGCGCGCACAAATTAGACATCCCATTTCCTCTTGCTTTCCATCCTTCACTGGACTTGTTGAATTCTCTTATGCATACCAGGTCTTGCCAATGTTGATGACATTGACACCGTCGGAACGGGTCTTCCACAGGTAAGGCTCCATGTGCACCTGCAAGTTCTTGGAACCCAGGTGGGCCTGAGCAGCCAGGAGCATCTCAATGTCCTGGGGAGTAGGGTTGAAAACCGGGGGGAGCTGGGAGGGGGCCATGGCGGGCGATTGATGTGTTGACGGATTAGAGGAATCAATCGTCTGGCTCTTGTCGTGGTGATGGAGGGAAAGGATTGAAGCCGAACCGCGAAAAGCACGCTGCACTCCGGGAGAATTTCGCTTGCCGGTTGTGAGCTAGGGCTAGGGCTTTATCCTTAGATAATCATAGTACCCTTACATAATCTATTGCCTGAGGCAGAAGCTCCACTTACTAAAAGTAGGTTAGCGTTTCCTGGCCGGGCCGCGTGATTTTCCTGACCAGAAGAGCGATGCGAAGAACTTCACAGGTTGTCGACTGGGGTTATTGATAAGTATTGACCCATCATCATGCCGCCGCGATTCTCAGTTCAGCCTTCCTGGAAGGCTTTGACCGGTATGTCATTTTGTTCCATTATTATTTCTGCTTCAAGCACCAATTCGCTTTTGCTCCGTACCAATGCTAACACGCTTGTCTGAGCAGGTACGCTTTACGGACAGAGCCCGGCCGCCGTAACATCCAATGTGTCTCATGCCACTGCCAGGGCAGCATCCACTAAAGCTCCAACCCAGAAGAGAACCGACTTCTTCCGGGCTGCCCAGGCTCGTCAGCGAAAGGCCGCCAACCTCTCCCGACAGAAAGTTCTCCAAGCGGAACGGGACGCCTCGCTAGGCGACCCGGTGGAGAGCCAGCCCACACCTTTCATTCAAGACATCCAAGCGGTTTCAACTGGATCTCAATCTTCAGCATCCGCCGGTATCAACTACTACCTGAAGAAAGATGACCTCACAAGCGCCTTGGAATTCTCCAAGGACTTGACCGAACCCCTTCGCAACCCGAACCGTGATACAGCGGACCCACAAGCCGAACAGAAAGCATCGGAGGGACACGAAAAAGCGCATCATAACGCAGAGGAGGCTATCCAGCGCATTGTCGACCTAAACAATGGAAACACCAAAGATCGCATGCGGTTGAATATACAGAAATGTATCGAGGAGTTTGGGCGACACAGCACCGATAAAGTACTACCCCCCAAGCCTACTGGGCTACGACACGAATCTGCTCCAATCCACTCCGAAAAAGCGCCCCGTGTCGGTATCGATACAGGCTCCCCCGAGGTTCAAGCAGCTATCTTGACAATCAAGATCATGAACCTTTCTCGTCACCTGCAGACTGCCAACAAGGATAAGCACAACAAGCGCAACTTGCAGCTGCTGGTTCACAAGCGACAAAAGCTCCTCCGTTATGTCCGGCAAAAGGAGCGTGGCGGTCCCCGATGGCAAAACCTGATGGAGAAATTGGGTCTGTCTGAGGCTGCATGGAAGGGCGAGATTGCCCTGTAGGGGATCTTTGGGGGGACACAGCGGGAATGTATTATTTAAAAACTTGACCCACCATGTCTTGGATTGAGCATCAGCGTGTTTCTTTAGATCGACTGGATCTATCCCTAGGATTTAGTGGGTTTATTGTCTGGACCTGGATTTCCAGAACTCCTGTGTTTGATATCATCTGTACAAATAGCATTGTTTCTTAGTTTTTTTTTTGGCATTTTTGATTGGGATCTAAACTGGAAATGTACATGTTCGAAAATGGACCACTCTGCGGAAGCTCAAATACCTGGACAATTTTCAATATCAAATGATCTTTCGTTGTATACTAGTAATTACTCGTAGTTACATGCTTGGAATTGAATGCCTAAGGTGCTAATCAGTTGACCGCCTAGGAAATTCTGCCGCGAGCAAACAATTTTTGGGAACGTCAAGTTGCCTCCCTAGGATTCAGGCAAAAAAATTGCAGACGGTCATTCCTTCCCCAACCACCAGAAGTGAGGTGACTTCTCAGCTTTGCAGTGTCGCGCGAGCAGCTGTACCGTCACTTTAGTCCACAACAGCAACATAAACAATTTTGTTTTCCCCCCAGCCTTTTTCTCTCCTTCCTTTCCCCACACCCCAACCACATCCACCAGAAAGCCTCCCAGCATTCTTCTTGTTTGGATTGTTTCTATCAGAACTCAAACCCTTGACGTGCACGCGCCACCATGCGTACCCGTTCTCAACCTCTTTCTCCCGGGGGATATCAATCCCTCGACGACAAACCCTCCCGTCGCCGCGCGACGCGAAGTGCATCATCAGCCGAGCCGACTACTGAGTCGCAACCCGCTGACATGCCTCGCAAGACTCGTGCCAAAAAGGGCACCGTCACCAGAAAGGTAAACAAAGACCTCCCATCAAAGGAACGAATATATTCTACTAAATGGATAACAAGCTGACTTATATCGACAGACCACCCGCTCCAAATCGAAGGTCGTCAAGCCCGATGCCTCTGACTTACAGCAGACGTCACCAGCCGCAACTGCGCAGTCAAAGGCGCCTACTGCGGATGAGCAGGACATGCAATCTGATGGCCAGATGTCCCCAAGCATCACCGCCCCCTCTCGCCAACCTCTCACCAACCTCGCCAACAGCAGGGTTCTGGGCCCTCTACAGGCGACCCCCATTATGCGTCGGCGCCCACGTATTCCTTACTCCACTATCACAGCTCGCCGCCGAACCAACGCGGACGGTCGCGTGGTAAACACCCTCTTCCAGCTCCCGGACCTGATCAGCCAGTCTCCCATCACTGTGCCTGCTCCGGTAGACCGACCTGTTCCTATCGAACAAGAGGCAAATGCCATTACCCGAGTCTCTGTCACCCCCGAACCAACCCTCCCTACTACCCCAAAGACCGCCCCTGCTGCAAGTGCCGGTCATTCTCCCAGCTGGCCTCGACGAATAATCGCAAATGTCTCTTCGAAATGGTTGAATATCCGTGGGCGATTCAGCCCTCGTAAATCTCTTGGCTCCCAGGATACGTTCGCCGAAGCTTCCGCTGCAAGCCCCAGTGCTACGGCACCCAGTACCCCTCAGATTGAAGACATGAAAGTGAGCACGCAGACGCCTTTCAGCACTGAGATGGAGCTGGTAACCATGGATTCGCCATCGGTGACCAGGGCTGCAACTACCACCACCCGGCGTCCCTCTTACACACGCCCCCGCATCGATGGCCCGAAACGACCATCGGTCGTCGATTATTCTATCCGTGGAAAATTAAGCCAGGAGACTCTTGACAGATGCTATGCACGGAGCCGCCCCCTTCCATTGCCTGGTACGGAAGCCCCAGAGCAGCCAGCGTCAGAGCAGGTGAAGAAGCGGAAGCGCTCGTCTCCCGAATCCATTCCTAACCCGCCTGGGTGCAGTTACGGAATGCATGATGACTACTTCACGTTCGATTCTGACGACGAGATATGGGCGGAAGAAGAGAAGGCTGCTCTTGCTCGAGAGGCTGCCAAGGCCCCCAAGGCTACAGAGTCAGAAAGCGAAGGGGCTGCAAAACCCCCTTTGAAGAAGCAACGTGTGGCCGAAGAGCCAGACCAGAAGCGTCACCGACACGTTCTCCATCCTAACACTCCCCGAAAGGCCGACAAACGCGCTGGATACAACCCGAACCGTCAGAGCCGATTGTATCAAGCCACTGATTTATCTACGATCGAATCCAGTGGCTTATTCTCAGAAGGCGAGCAAGGACCCCAAGCCACTCAGACTCGCCCCGAAACAAAGACCACCCCCAAAAACCCACAAGGCACATTTTGTGTCCCTGGATATGAGTCTGGGTCCGACTCCGAAGACTATCCGTCCTCTGGCCCCGTGCCTCAGTTCACCAGCACCCCCAACGGTATGTATCTCAATCTACCGTCATCTCTAGATGACAAATCTCCGGGTCCGTCTCCGGCCCCAAGGATAATTCTACACCCCAACCCACATGGAACATTTCAGACGCCATATTCTAGTTCCGACTCTTCGTCTTCGGACGAAGACGGAGACGAAAAGATGGACTTAGCCCCAGCCCCAAGGATAATTCTCCACCCAAAGCCACATGGAACATTTCAGACTCCATACTCTAGCTCCGATGAAGACGAAGACGAAGAGATGCACTTACTCCCAAACATGGCAAGAGCTGACTCAATGGATGAAGATACGACGACCCCCGCCCGAACTCCCAACGTCCCTACCGAAACCACTACCAACACCACTACTAACACCCCTAACAACACCACTGCCAAAACCACCACCGAAACCAACCCCAAAACCAACGACGCCCCCAAACCTAGCGACTTATCCCCCCTCACCCGAATCCGTAACAAGGCCCAGCAGTTCAAACCCAAGACACCAAGCCGCCTCCGCGAAGCTTCCCGGTTTTCAACCGGTAGCACAGACCTCTCGCCTATGTCCAGCGACCCGATGTCGCTGGATGGCTCCTCCTACATCGACATATTGCAAGATTCCGAAGATCTTGAAAGCATTGACCATGCATGGCTCCAGAAGAACTGCCCCAGCGGGCAGTTGAACAAGCTTTCCTGGCCCGGCCTTAGCAGCATTGCTGAAATCGGCATTCCGGCTGGTCTTAACAATCTGGATGAAATCAAGACCAAGCAAGCAGTGGAATACTGGCATCAGTGTTTTTTGTCTGAGGATTGGTGAATATTCCGCTGGTCCTAATCCATGTACAAGTATATCTTAGCCAAATTTCGATCCATGTATCCCTCCAATGCGAGGTGAAAAAACTCTGCTCTTTCTCCTCCCCCGTAAATCTTATTATCTCTCTACTTCAAAGTATCTGGTAGTAAGACTTTGAGATAAGTTGCACTTTTTTCGACCTTGAAAACTTCCTATATCGTCACCACCAAATCCTAAGTGGGCTCTTGCATCACTGTACAGTACTATGTACATAATTTGAACAAAGCCCGTCTACTTAAGATTGGAACACCTTCTTTTACTATGCTATGGCTCATACAACACTTACTACCTTAGCATTCACCATATACCACTTTTGGATTGCGGGTCTCGTCTAAGCTACCGTATCCACTCTTGGATCTCAGATCTTAGATCTTGAACCTCTTCACTTGAACATTTTAAAACTCCGCGCCCGAGTTCCCTAGAAAACCCAGCAATTCAATCACCATTTATCGACCGGCAGCACACCCGAGCCTAATGGCTCATCTCCCCTAAACGGCGTTCAAAAGAAAGCTCAGCAATACAAGCCCGAGACGCCCAGCGGTCGAAATGCTTCCTGTTTTCCCACTGTGATCACAAACTATTCTGAACGGCAAACCCATATTGTTGATCGCTCCTCCTACTTGTCTGTTCTCACGCCTGATAAAGATTCGAATTTCGAAAGCATGAAACCCAACCGGCTCCAGAAGAACCAACATTGGTAATTCGGGAGAGCTTATTCTGATTCAATGATGTCGTCCATTATCGGTAGTTAGTACTATCATTACCGGTCCGAAAGCCGCAGGAAGATCATGTTGAGCCATAAAGACCAAGTTTCCCCAGGATCAGAACTACAGAGACTCACGCAAGGTCATGGAAGTGGCATGTAAAATCCCTGCTAGGCACAAAGGGATGATGCCTTACCTCTGCCCAGTGACTGAATATCTGTCGATGGCTCCTCCTACCTACTTCAAGGGAATATTGAAGACTCAATGGAAAGGTCCGAGGATTATGAAAGTAGTGAACCGAATGCTTTCGGAAGAACTGCCCCGGCAAGTATTTTAGCAAGCTTGCATGGCCCGGCCTAAGCAGTATTGCTGAATTCGGCATTAGAGCTGGAATAGAAAGCTTGATGCTCCAAGACCGAGCAAGCGGTGGAGTATTGGCGACAGTCATTTTCTCCAGAGGATTGGTGAACAATCTCTATAGTAGATACCGACAAATCTATGTAAGTACTAGTGTTTTTGAAACAAAGACATCTTCATCTGATATGAGTTTTACTCTCTGTATTGCCATGGTAAATACTGCATGTGGCATAGACTATGGACCGTCAAATGTTGGGAGTAGATAAACATGGTGTAGGTGAGATTGTACTTAGGTCAGTCAGAAGGTAGTAGCTACAAGAAACGCTCAGAGAGAAAGTGTAAAATGTTCATATCGGCAGGTACATGAACGATCCGTCCTGTCTAAGCCAGAAACCATATTTGATGCAATGCCATGCCCGAGAAGAAAAGAACACACTGTCATCTAAACATCATTAAATTACCGAGACATGAGGGATGTGTATGTGCGATTGCTGTACGCAAAGAGAAGGGAAAAAGCAATATATGTCTAGCCAAAGACCTTGAGAAATCCCCAGAGCCCAAGTCCACTCAGCACTGGGATGGTGAAGTTGTCATCCCAACTCCATAGATCGATAAACTCACTACCGGCCGCGATGAAGCCAGAGACAATGCTCATCACACCCAAAGCCAACGGGCCGGTTATGGTGGTGGACGAAGTCTCAACAGCATCCCAGCCCATCAGGCCCCGAACACAATCTGGGAGTAGGTTCAGGCGGCCGGTAAACATGAAAGAACCCTCCGGATCGTTGGGAAATGCACCCATGTAAGGCACAAACCAACCCCAGAAAGCAGCGGCGGTGACAACACCAACGAGCCAGGCGGCTGCGGTGCCAGCCAAGCTCTTCCCTTGTCGGAGATGAGGAGTATAGCGACCGTACATACGACCAAAGGTGGATGCTGCAGTATCACACCAGCTGAGGAGGAGTACACCCATAACGCCAACGTCTTTGGGGAAGAAACGGAGGACGATGTATGCGCCGAGCAAGTACCAGATCACACCGTTATATCCCGAGACCTCGGTCTCACGCATGAGCGCACCAACGCAACGAATGTAAAGCTTATTGACCTTCTCCGACCGATGTCGTACAAAGTCTGTCACTGCAATGGGGACCAGGGCAGACAAGAGCACTGGTGTTATCTCAAGTGTCTGGATACCTCGGCTGTAGAGGTGAAGAGTCAGGAACCCAATTGACACGTGGAGGAACTTCCGCGGGATTTCATGGCGGTGAATAAAACTGCGGTATCGAGAGTGTAGAGGAATCAGGCCAAGCGGTGATGGTGATCTCGAAAGGTCGTGTGGTGCGCCTGAGACCTTCGATGTGGGTGATAGGAAACCGTTGGAGGTGCTACCATTGGCCGCTGGTGGTGATGCTGGGATTTTCGGGTTGGACCGCCGAGGTGGTCGACGTTGGCGCGTTGAAGTCCTCGAGGGTGTGTCTTCAGATGGGCTTCGTGTTCGCCTTGAGCCAGATCCATCCTGTTGTCGGCGCGATGCAGATCGCGTTACCGGCGCAAAATACCCATCACGTGCTTCTGATTTATCGGAAACAGAGGGCGACGGGGAGATGACTCGAGTCTCCGGTACTACCGTACTAGGTGTGGACGGCATGTCGGATGCTCGCACTGCAAAGGGTGGGAGCGCTCGAGACCAGATAAGCCCAGACAAGGGCCGCGCGCAGGTAGTTGTGCTGTCGCAGGCAAGATTGCCGCAAGGTATCAATGGTCTTGCTAACAAATCAATGATGGGCGGTTATTTGAAGAGATAGTGATGTATGGGAATATGGTAAATATGCTGGTAGACACAGGAGGCCACCGCATATAATGATGTGCTGTGCAAGAAGAGAGCTGCTTATCCAAGTTGGGTAGTGTTAGTTGGACAGAAAGGGAAAAGTAGACCCACGATCCGACCGATGCCGCAGATCACGTGTAGATATCTAATCGATAAGACCGGGGCAACTTTTTTTCTTTTTGCGACTTGCGATCATAGAGCAATTCAAACGAAGAACGGTTTGAATTGATTGATCATGGCACCTAAACCATCATCCTCAAGATCATGGGATGGCCTCAATCCTCCCTTGTCACAATGGGCCTTGGACGCCGTGTCCTCGATGGGCTTTACTCGAATGACCCCGGTCCAGGCCTCCGCAATCCCTCTGTTTATGGCGCATAAAGATGTGGTTGTCGAAGCGGTCACGGGCAGTGGAAAGACGCTTTCATTTTTGATACCGGTCGTGGAGAAGCTTTTGCGCCTTGATGAACCACTGAAGAAACACCATGTCGGTGCTATTATCATCTCCCCAACAAGGTAATTGAGATGCATGTGCTACGATTTTCGTCGCTAATCTTTTCATGCAGAGAATTGGCTACGCAAATTTACCAAGTCCTCCTGTCATTATTGGAATTCCACCCGGCATCTGCTGCCGCGATTCACCCTCCAGAAGCTGACGCCCCGCGCCCCAAGTCCTCTGCCTCTACCAAGAAAGTCGTTCCACAACTTCTCCTGGGCGGTTCGACAACGCCAGCTGAAGATCTCAGCTACTTCCTCAAAAAATCACCTAATGTGCTAGTTTCTACTCCGGGCAGATTGTTGGAGCTTCTTTCTTCTCCCCATGTCCACTGCCCGCAGTCCTCCTTCGAAATGCTTGTGCTCGATGAAGCCGACAGACTTTTGGATCTTGGATTTAAGGATGATCTCCAGAGAATTCTTCGCCATCTTCCCAAGCAACGGAGAACTGGTTTGTTCAGTGCCAGTATTAGTGAAGCTGTGGATCAAATTGTCCGCGTGGGACTTCGGAACCCGGTCAAAATTGCTGTCAAGGTCAAAGGCGGAGGCGGAGCAGAAGACAAGCGTACCCCTGCTAGGTGTGTCTCTTTTCAAGCTTTTAAGATTCCCCAAGAATGATGCTAATCTCTGGATAGTCTGCAGATGACCTACCTCACAACTCCCCCGGCTCATAAATTTTCCATCCTCAAACAGATTCTGACCTCTGTTAAACCGACGCCCCAGAAGACTATCTTCTTTGTATCAACATGCTCTAGTGTGGATTATTTGGCTGTGATCCTACCGATTATCCTGGGAGATGACTTCCTCCTAGTCCCACTTCATGGCAAACACCCTGCCAATGTCCGCCAAAAGAACTTTTCCCGCTTCACCACCTCTACTACTCCCTCGATCCTCCTTACTACTGATGTAGCCTCCCGTGGTCTGGATATTCCATCCGTGGATCTAGTCGTCCAGATTGACCCTCCATTAGACCCCAAAACATTCATCCACCGATGTGGCCGAGCAGGTCGTGCCGGACGAAGAGGTCTAAGCATTGTCCTCCTGCACCCTGGCCGAGAGGAAGATTATGTCTCGTTCTTGGAAGTGCGCAAGACTCCCGTCGCACCTTTCAACCTTTCAACCCCAAGCTCCGATGTGGATGCTGCCGTGGCCACTCAAGCCGTCCGCGCGGTGCTTCTCAAAGACCGTGCTCATCACGATAAGGCTCAGAAAGCTTTCGTTAGTTGGGTCCGAAGCTATAGCAAGCACCAAGCCAGCAGTATCTTCCGCGTAGCAGACCTCGACTGGGAATCCCTGGGCAAGGCATGGTGTCTTCTTCGTCTACCCACAATGCCCGAACTGCGTAAATTCACCGGAGATCGGACATTGGGCGTGAGTAATGACTGGGACAACTACGCCTACAAGGACAAGCAGCGAGAGAAGCGCCGCAAGGAGGTGGCGCTAGAGACCGAAGAAGAAAAGAAGGCTCAACAGGATTCACGCAAACGAAACGCACCCGAGAGCGCGGCTTGGAGTCTGAACCAAGAAGAAAGAGACAAGAAGTTCAGGCGGAAGGAGCTCAAGAGGGCGCGCAAGGAGGCTGAAAGATGGGAGCAATTGCCCGAGCATCTTAAGCAACAGGAACTCGAGACACAGAAAATGGTGGAGGCAATTCGGGTCAAGAATGAGCAGCAGCGGCTATTGCAGCTCGCCGCGAAGGCAGAGGCTGAAGGGAAAGAAGGTGGCAATGACTTTGAAGGCTTCGATTAGAGATCTCAATTAGTATAAAATGTCGATATTCCCAAAGCCCTTATTGGCAAAATAAAAAGTATCTGATAAGCCAGTCATTATACGATTGACTGAAGATTCAAGTGACCCGTTTACACATAATATCGTGATCGAAATTTCATTATCATGTCCTGCTTCAAGGCCCTTGTTTCCAGATGATTAAGCCAATATGTACGCTTTGTATGATGCCTGTACCTTAACGCCGAGTTTCACCGTCCCAAAGAAAATGCAAAAATGATAAGGGTATAAGAAAGTTGTTAAATCAGATCAAGAAAGCTGACCCGTGGAACTCGTTTCGCTTTGTTCTTCCTTTGTCCACGGTTTTCACCTTCAGCCGTAGACTGGTGCGCATCCAGATCCCTTTCACATCCAACCGGCTCGTCAAACGACCAGAATCCATTGGCTGCTGAGATGTTTTCAATGTGGCCCAAGGTCTGTCTGGTTTCTGGGACCATCTTCTCTTCCTTCTGGGCCTTTTTTGAAGGCTTTTTCTCTTCCTTCAGGCAGGAATTACCGCTCATTGGCGTAGGCTGTTTTTGAGAACGCTCATTGTCATGTTTCATTGACAATGACAGAGAGCCAACGGCTTTCTCGAGATCTTCAATATCCCGGGGGCTTTCCTTATCAGGCAGACTTTTCACCAATTCCCTGGGACTGCGACGAGTAGGCTTTTTAGTTGGGGAGACTGTCAGTTTTCGTGAGACTGAGTCTGTACTTGAATCCGAAGAATCATAGCTCGATACCGAGTAGCTAATCTTCAGTCCCCTTCGTACTGAGCGTTGCGACAAAACAACTGTATCAGATAATGACAATCTGGATGTCTCATAATCCACAATATCAGTTCCCCCTGCCGTTAAAACTCCGGCACGAGCTGAAGTGGGGTGGCCTACTATAGGGTGGCGCTTGAGTCTTGGTGTTGAAGGTGTGGTGCGCAGAGATGAGAACGAGTCAACGAATTCATCAATCTCACGAGAAGTGAAGCGCATCTGACTCGGGGATTTATGCCGCGAGTACATGCTTGGAGAATGATCCGACACAAGGTCAACGCTCTCAAATGAAGGTGGGGTTCGGAATCCAGGAGAAGGATCCTTGGTCGTTGATTGAGATGAAGCTGCCTCTAATATGTGTGCTTTATTGTGCGAGGATAAGTCAGATTTCTCTTTTGTGAGCATTCCATATTTCAAGATGCTCCCCTGCTTCATTCCTGCGTCGATAGGTCCCTTCTTTCTTGGTCCAGTGCGCCGAGTAGCGGGTTTCTTGGGTACAGCCTTTTTAGCCTGAGCGGCCTCCTTCGCGGCCTTTTTTTCAGCTTGTTCTTTTCTCCATGCGCAAACGGCATCGGGGGCACCGAGTTTTGCAACAGTCTCAAAGATCCAGACCTTTTCAATAACGAAGGGATCAAAGCGCTTTTTGGGACGACACTTAGAAGGTGTCACTGGAGGTCCGTCGTTGGCAACTTCTAGATCATCTTCCTCATCTCCTTCGGCCAGCTCTTGCGACGGCACAACCTCCTGTGGCGGATTCGGTTCTTCAGCTAGAAGATCCAGACCGACAACATCGATGGGGAGCATGTCCATTTGCAGTTCGGTCGTGCCATCAGTGCCGAAATTCGCACGAGTCTTGTACACTTTCTGCATCCATGGCGTATCACAATCGGGCGCTAATGTACCTTGCGATAATCCCAATACTGGACGTTGCAAACGAAGCCTGTAAGAGAGGAGAGGTTCTGCCAGGTTCCTGATCACCTTTCTGGCGCCTGAACGATAGTTCCACTCGAAATTATCAGCCGCAAAAGTTCTTATCGCGAGCGGGTCGATATCCCGGTCCCAAGCGTTCCTAAGATTGCGTCTAAGTGTGACCATTTCCTCATCCGTAGAAACCTTTGGCTCCGCGTAGTACTCCAAAATTGTTCGATCAGGGAAAGTGTCGGGAATGCGAACAGCTTTGTGCTTTGTGGTGAAATAGCCGCTTTCATTCTCCTCCAATTCGTACTGCAGTCGCTCTCGCCATTCGCCGAGGCGTATGTTCAAATCAGGAGAATTAGATGCAAGCTCTTCCAGCAGATCTTCACCAAAATTAGCTTTAGCAATTTCTGCGGCCAATCCGGGTCCACACTTTGGAACACCCCCTGGTAGATAGTCGCCTCCACTGAGCATGGCAAACAAGATCATTCCTGCTCGGCTTAGAGGGACATTTGACACATGATCTTCATTGCCCAGATGATAACAAGTAACATGGGTCGCCCCAGATGTACCTGTGCCGCTTTCTTTCGAAAAATTCATGATCGTCAGCGTAGACCCAAACATGAGCGCATCAACATCGTTGCTCATTACTGCGTCGACGATGCCTGCTTGCTGTAATCGCGCGCATTCAGCTTCTGCCTCCCCCGGAGCCTCATGCCACGGAAATCGAAACCGCTCGATGAGATCTTTGGAACGCTGGATAATTGGTGCATTGCCGTAACTGCGCGGAGAAACTGCCTTTCCCCGCTTAAAGGGAGGTTTTTGATGGCCATCGTAGACAAAAAGCGGGTGGACTGGTAATGCCAGCAGCTTCAGAAGTCGATAGAACAATGTGCGAAGCTCAGGATTCTTTCCACCGCGACCAGCTTGAACCTGAAAGAGCCAGATAGAAATATCGACTGCGACTCGGATTGGCCTTGCTGTTCGCTCCAAATGTGTGATCGCCAATTTTGACAAGGATATGCGCTCCCCCTTGCCAATGGCATGAATGAGACTATTTCATGTCAGTTTTAAATCCTTCTGGCAGCCCGGAGAAGCAACCGAATGCTCTTTTGGTTGCGTTGCTAGGGAGGGATTTTTGCGAGACCCGACTGAATATGTTGCGGCCTGCATGTAAAAGAGGATCGGAGCAAGACATACCCTGGGATGCCCATCCGGCCGATATTAATACAGACCAAGGCTTAAAATTAAGAAATAAGGTATGAAGCCATGTGGTGCTGTTGAGAAGCGGTTCAAGATGCTGGGAATGAGTTGTTGACGAGTAAATAAACCACGGCCCGATGTAGATCCGTTGAACTTTAGTCCGCGGTCAGTTCACATCGATCTGTTGGCCAGTCCCAATTGACCTTTGTGATACTATGGGCTGCAAGACCCATTGGAACCAAATTATCTTTATCTCATGACTCTGTAGACCCGGTACTTCGCTGAAGCGGGTCCTGGTCGGGTCTTTCTGTTGCTCCGAAGAGCAACCACCATCGCGCCCCACGCACGATTCCAAGCTACGCGACACAGCATCTACCAAGCGCGCTACACCAGTAATACAATAAGCACGAAATGTCGACTACCTCCGGCTTGCGCCAGAACCAGGCTGCTCGACCAGAATCCCCTCATACTCCGCAACAGCCGCTTCGCTCAGGAAATACTTCCTTCGCCAGCACAACATCACCGGGCTCATCCTTTCGAAATGAAGACGATGCAATCATATTTGAAATTGGCGCTCGATGGCTACGAGCTGGATTTGAGGGCAGCAGCTCCCCAGTCTGCGTGGTAGGATTCGGACCCGAACAATCGAGGAGAGTGGGGGACTATCGGGGATGGATTGAGGGCGATTCTGGGGCAAGACCGACAGCACAGCCTGTCGATGCTGAAGATTGGGCTCGCGAGTACGAATTATGGAGGCTGGACCTGCGACAAACTGACCTAGGGTTGGTCGAGGACAAGATTGAACGTGCTTTTCGCGAAACCTACAACCAATACCTGTTGACCGACGCAGGCACGTCCCGCCTGGTGCTGGTCTTACCCTCTCTTATGCCACATCCGCTGCTTTCATCACTTCTTTCCACCTTGTTTGGCCGCTGGCGATTTCCTAGCATTACACTTTTACCCCATGCGCCTATGGCGGCGACCGCGGCAGGTTTGCGGTCTGCCCTGGTGGTAGACATTGGCTGGGCGGAAACGATAATCACGGGTCTTTATGAGTATAGGGAGGTCACCACAAAACGGAGCACAAGGGCAATGAAAGCCGTGCTGCAAGAACTGGGTCGAATGTTCACCGATGTGGCTTCGAGGAGTGAGCAGGACAGTGTTCCCACAGATGACATCTCCGTGGGATTCAAATATTGCGAGGAGATTGCGTGCCGATTGGCTTGGTGCAAGATGGAAGCTCAGAACGAAGAAACAGAAGACATGAGCCAGACCATTTCGATACCTTCACCAACCAACCCAGAGCAGGAATTTATTGAGGTGCCATTTTCCCGCCTTGCAGAACCCGTTGAGAAGGCTCTTTTTGCCCCGGATATGCCAGAGAGTGAGTTGGACGATGAAGAGAAACCTATTTCCCTTCTGGTGTACAATACTTTGCTCGCACTACCTCCCGATGTGCGTGGAACATGCATGTCGCGTATCATCTTTGTGGGTGGCGGAGCCCGCATCCCTGGCTTACGGCAACGGATTTTGAAGGATGTCTCGCGATTGATTGACCAGCATGGATGGAGTCCCATCCGAGGTTCCATCCGAGAGAAAGTCATTGAACGACAACGGCAGCGATTGGAAAAACTACGGGTCTCAACTCCTGCCAATGGCGAGAACCAAGTGACTTCCAAGGATACAAGCTCCTCGCCAAATAACGAACAAACAGGCCCACCTAGAGATGAGCCTGAAATTGATTTCGTGGAGCAAAAACTGCGCCGTCAGAACAAGGATACACCCGTCCCTGTCCAAGGTATCTTACGAGAAATTGATTCTCTTGGAGCCTGGGCTGGAGCGAGCTTAACAACCAGCCTGAAGATCCGCGGAATGGTAGAGATCGAGCGTGAAAAGTTCCTGCAGCATGGCTTGGCTGGTGGCACCCGAGACTCGGAACCTGCGCCTGATCGTCGATCGGGCTTGAGAGCGGGCGACCGTTCCAGTTGGACCCTAGCAGGGTGGGCATAGAACTGTACATTTACTAGTTTGGCACATAATAGATACCCGTTTTGTCATGTAATCGGTAGTCGGCATTCGGCGTTTCGGTAACTAAATAAGTGGGGTTTGTTGATCCGGGGGTGTGAGTGCGGGGAGGAGAGGACTAATGTAATAGAATATCTGGCTAGTAAACAGCTCGATAACACCTCTCTCAATTGAAATAACCAACCAAAGAAATGGCAGATATTCCTACATTTCGCAATCTGTCTTTAGAGAGACATGGGAACATATTCGTTCTCACCATGCAGAAACCACCCGAGAACCGATTGAACTCGTGGTATTGTCAGGAAATGATTCGCGCCTATCGGACCATCGAAACACTTCTGGAGCCGAATTCAGAGGGAGCTGTCATTACAAGAGGCAATGATGCTAAATTTTGGTGCACTGTATGACAGTTGACCCTGCCATGTACGGATCTAGCTAATAGAGCCTTTCCAGGGATTGGAGCTGGATGAGTCCGACAAGAACCCATTTGCCAACACGGATGGATTTTATCCTGTGAGTATAAAAACTAACACTTTAGCTGAGGGTCATATTGATAACTTTCTAAAGCTCATCCATACGATTCTCGACTTCCCATTTCCAACCGTTGCTTTGCTAACAGGCCATACATTTGGTGGTGCTTGTCCATTGGCATTAGCCCACGATTACCGTATCATGAACTCACGGAGAGGTTTTATCTCAATGCCCCCTGTCAACTTGGGCTTGCACTTTGATGGGATCGGATCACTTCCCCGGCTCAAATTGCGACCCCAGGTTGCACGTAAGATGCTTCTTGAAGCACACAGGTGGACACCACAAGAAGCACTAGAAGATGGCATTGTGGACGCTATTGCCGAGCCCGACCGTATGCTGGAGGAAGCATTGGAAATCGCAGCTAAGTGGGCGCCTAAGGCGAAGATGGGGTGAGTCATCAGAACGCGGACGCATACATATCCCCATGAATGCTGTCCTCAGCATTGTTTAGCTGACTGATTGATATTAGGGTGTATGCTTTGCTAAGACAGGAGCTTTGGGGCGAGGCAATTAAGAAGTTTCAGCGAATAAGCTATGTGCATAGTCGAATGACTTCAGCTCCTGCCAAAGTCAAGATTTAATCAGATCACATACTATTCAGAATGTGATGCAAAGAAATACGCCCAGCCCTAGACCGACCTACTGTGAAGAGGACTGGAGTCTCAATGCCTACCAAAATTGACAGGTTTTCATGAACTAGAGGCTTTTCGCCTCGAATAACCAGAACTCTGCTATAGTTACCACAGCGTTTACCTATCCTATATCCTATTCAGTATCCTACTCGGTCTCCAATTTAGCCTCCTACTCAGTATCTTGTTCAGTATCCTATTTCATATCTCTTTTACGCCCCAATGAGCCCCCTTCCCCCCCCTCAGTCCCATACTAAATCTGTACTCACTCTCCTGAATAGCTCCAAAATCACAATTAATGAACCGCAAATAAATTGAAAGAAATGTAAAAGGAGAAGGGAGAGGAAAATGTGAAAGTAAGTTTACTGTAAGTGCCCATTTTCCTCTAAGTACCCAATTAATGAAGAGGTGACGATAGGGGGGAGTCAAAGCTTTGTATCAAATAGAGAAATGTCAATTCAATGCAGCTCTATAGCCTAGACCTCTTACTCCATACTGAAACCCCAAGAAGATCTTTATAGTTTGGAGGGAAGAGTTTCGGCCCTAAAATCTTCTTCTGGACTTTGCCAGTTCCTGACTTGGGAAGCTCACCGTTCACCACTCGTAGAATAGTAGGTATCTTATAGCTCGCCAGCTTACTTCGGAGATCCTCTCTTAGCTCTGCTAGTGTGAGGGCCTTGCGTTTTGTGCTCTGATCCGTCTTGAGGCTGATACTGGCTGCCACCCGCTGTCCATATTCTTCGTCCTCCACACCAACCACCATTACTTCGGATACATAGTCCAAGCCGAGAATCTCACGCTCAATATCTAAGGCGGAAATTTTATACCCTCCTGACTTGATGATGTCAATCGAGGCACGACCAAGGATAAAGAAATAATCTCCTTCTTGTCGAGCGATGTCGCCTGATTTGAAATATCCATCTTTATCGTGGGCTTCAGCTGTTGCTTTTTCGTCATTGAGATACCTAAGGGGAAGACTGTCAGAAAAACTTTTATCCTTGCATGGGTAGAAAGAAGCAAGACATACTTGGAGAACATATAGGGACATTTCACCAACAAATGACCATCATCTTCAAGCTTGAGCGAAACACCGCCAACAATACGACCAACACTGTTTTGTGGCATCCCACGAGGCTCAAGGTCGGTTTTTATAACCGCCCCAAACTCAGTAGACCCGTACCGGGTCATTATTGGCTTCTCCCGAAGTTTCTCCCAGAAGTCCTGCACGGGCCCAGGCAAAGCCGACGATCCACAAAGCATCGTGCGAATATCACGAGCCCCTCTGACGTATTGGTCACGTATATCAGGGGCCTGAGTTGCAATACTCTCTTCAAAGTACCGCATCATCCGCATGTAGATGGTTGGTACGCCGGAGAAAAAGCTCAGTCCACCTTGTCGCCAGCGCTCCCACGTCCACGCAGTATCGAAACTACCACTTCGGAATTCGATGCATGCACCGGTCATCAGAAAGGGAAGGAATGTGAGACCTAGCCCAGAGGCATGGTGGACTGGTAGCACATGGAGGACAACATCTTCTTCTGTGACGCGGTAAAAGGCTGCGTCGGTTTCGGCATTGCCGGTTAGCCAAGTGCGGCGCTGGACAGCGCCCTTGGGAGGACCGGTTGTGCCAGAGGTGAAAATGACCGCGGCAGCGCTGTTCATATCCAGAGCTCGGTTTGATGAGATGAGGATATCATTGGCTGGGAGCAGTGTTGTCTGGAAGAAGGATGCAACGGGAGAAATACAGGGTATATGGACGCCATTTTTGTCCCTCATGGAGCGCACAACGGATTGCGCGAGAGTCTCATTGGTTCTACCGGCTACTAGAGCTACACATTGCGCTTTGCGAAGGAAGTATGAGACTTCATCGCTTGGTAGCCCGGCAGCTTTATATAGTCAGCTTTCATATCCACACATCGTAAAAGAATGCGGACTTACCCATTGGCACTACTGCAGCGCCCAATGCAAGAATAGCGACGAAACCAACTGTGTATTCATAGCCACCAGGCTCGAGAAGTCCGATATAGACCTCTCTATCTTCCTGAAGATCACGCAAAGTTTCAGGGCTGAGCTTTTTCTCCAGCTCCTTACGAAGAATCAAGGCGTCTGAAACAACATGATGGAAGGTTTTCTCCAGCCCGGCGTTCACGTCTCGGATGGAAATACGCGACGGCCTTTGTTGAGCATAGCGAAGCAGTTTATGAAAAAAGGGCAGGTTGGGAAGTACATTGTCTCCCACATGAGAGGGTACGAATTGAGTGCGATCTCCCATTTTTCATGAATTACTTGATGTAGAAAATACCAGGTTATTTGTGGTATAAATGAGATTTCTCCGCATTTCCTATGCCACACCAGGTTAAGTCGGCTACTTAGTCCTTTCCCCACGTTCCTCCCCACGAGCTTCCCCGCGATATGCCGGCAATCGGCACTCGGTGATTTCGGTAAACTGACCAGAATAGAGACAAAGTCAATAATGAGGAAATTAAATAGCTATTCACAGAATTTAACTGAAATTGTCCTGATATTTGATCAAAAACAGTTGTCCAACATGCCCGACTTCACTGATAAACTCCGTCCAAGCCAGCCAGATGGACCTGCAACCCTTGCCCGCGAACGAGAGCAATCTAGTATCTCAGTTGACGAGTTAGGACACCACCTATTCTCGTCTGATGGATTTCTGGAGCGACAGGCTCGAATTCTGCCCATTTTACAAAGAGAGCCGCTTCTCGGAAAGGATAAACAACAGACCCTTTCTCGGACAGACCGATTCAAACTAGGGCTCGCCCGAGCAAAGCTGCTTCGTCGATTGGTCGACCAACACCAATGGAGTCATGATGATTATAAAATGGCCGAGTATCTTGTCAGCGATGTTTCGCCATATTTCCTGCATCTGGAGATGTTCGTTACCACCGTCCGCGAGCAAGGCAACGAGGTTCAGCGAGCCCATTGGATGCCTCTGATAGAATCGTGGAAGATCATTGGAGCGTATGCGCAGACAGAGCTCGGACATGGTAGCAATGTTCGAGGACTGGAGCTCCAGGCACGCTGGGATCCCCAAACCCGCGAGTTTATATTGCATAGCCCGACACTCACGGCCAGCAAATGGTGGAATGGCAGCTTGGGTCGAATTGCCAATCATGCAATTGTGGTTGCACAATTACTTCTTCCCAAATCTGAATCTCCAGATCAATATGTGTCACATGGTCCTCATCCATTTATTGTGCAAGTCCGAGATATGAAAACTCATCAACCACTGGACGGTGTGGTAGTTGGAGATATCGGCCCCAAATATGGATACATCACTATGGACAATGCTTATATGCTTTTCAATAACTTTCGGTATGTTCGTGATACAAGATCAAATAAGAATGGAACTAATCCCAGCAAGAATCCCCCACTCCGCTATGCTCTCACGCTACTCAAGCGTGGACCCCAAGACAGGAATCTACTCAAAACCAGCTCAGCCAGCCGTAGTCTACGGATCATTAACCTACGTCCGAGCTCAGATAGTCGACCATGCCCGACTCGTCCTCGCACGCGCAGTCACTATCGCAGTCCGCTATACAGCCATCCGACGACAATTCACAGACCGAGATAGCAACACCCCTGGACCCGAAATGTCCGTCCTCGATTATCCCACTGTTCAAATTCGCATTCTTCCTTTACTAGCTACTACATTTGCCCTACACTACACCGGGCTCGCGATGCGTCGCGTCTATGAAAACGCACGACAAGACGTAGAGCGAGACGATTTCCGCTCCCTAGCGCATATGCACAGTATGTCATCTGGGCTAAAGAGTCTTTGTACCATGCTTGCTGCGGACGGGATAGAGACCTGTCGAAGGGCTCTAGGTGGACATGGCTTTGGGGGTGGAAGTGGGCTGATTGAACTCAATAATGACTACTTATCTAAGCCGACGGTGGAAGGGGATAACTGGATGATTACACAACAGGTCGCTTCTTATTTAATTAAGAAGATGGCTGGTGCTGTGGCAGCATCTGATACTCCGGGTGTGGATGAGACGGAGGTTCGCTTCAAGGAGTATATTCGGACCGGACGTGGATCTTCTCGTCAGGAATATCGTGTGTTGGAAAATGATCGAGAAATCGCGAGGAGTTTTGAACTTCGTGCTACCGCTCTTGTACGTCGAACATATTGATGAGAGTTTAAGTCTCATGGCTGACGATACGCAGGCATATGATGCATACGAGCAACGGGTTGTCAAGAAGAGAAGCTGGAATAGTCTTCTCATTCAACTGCATAAACTGAGCAAAGGTATGACACGGTCATAATCCTTGATCCGACCACGAACTAATTAGCACAGCTCAATCCCAGTCTATTCTTGTGAACAGGTTTTTCGACGCTTTGTCGACCGATGCCACACTGTCAAGTTCCTTGAGGGATACTCTATGGGACGTGTATCGCCTCTTTGCCCTGAATACAATGGAAAACGAAGGATATGATTGTAAGCTTTCCAAAACCGACGCAGCACAATGCAACACTAATCCGCTTAGTCTTCCGCTGCGGCGCCGTCTCTCAATCCGATCTTGACCTCTTACCATCCCGAGTACAGGATTTGATGGCGAAAATCCGACCACACGCTGTGAAGTTGGTGGATTCGTGGATGATTCCAGATTATTTGCTCGACAGGTAAGTGAAATAAGCCGCCTAAATTTTAGATACAAGGATTTTCTAACGGGGATCGAACAGTGCGCTAGGACGGTACGATGGACGCGTGTATGAAGACCTTTTCAACCGAGCTCATCGCCTAAACCCCTTGAATGAAATTACCTTCAACCCGAACTATTGGGAGCATGAAATTGTCAAGGGGGGCGGAGATGATTGTTCTGATATATTGGCAAAGCTGTAAAGTGTGAAAATCGTAGAGTTGAAGGAGTCTAACTTTCTAATTGTTTTTCTACGACATACCAAGAAAATGTCCATGAATTGAGTGAAATTAATTACTATGGAGAATGACTGGGATAATCCAGCTCGCTAAGGGCATGTGTTTTAGCTATATACAAAAACGAACCTTAGTATGACGAATCACATCAAAGGACGGGCCCTGGAATGTAAAGCAAAATCATGGTATCTATGCAGAAGATGCATCGCAAAAGAAGAGACGCTTAGAAAGTACCAAATTGGTATGTGGCCCAGTTCACAGCGGGGCCATCATCGGCCCCGAAAATCTGGTACTGGTCACGGCCCCACTCAGGCTGGTTAATGCCATCAATCCAATCCTCGGTCTCAATGACGAGACAGCCGTACTTGTTGACGTAGGCGGCACCGGGGCTGCCATCCTGCTCCTTGTTGCGCTTGGCCTGCGACTCCTTGGTCGCGATGGTGCCGTTCTGACCGTTGCAGGAGTAGATCTGCAGAGCGGCTTGGTTGGTTGCAACCTCCAAGCTGATACCGGTGGTTTCGGATGTCAGGCGCACCGAGGGGACCATCGAGTTCTCAGCAGCGTAGGCAGCGGGGCGGTCGATGAGGAAGCAGGTGTCGATGCCAGTGCAGTTATTACCACAAAGACCTGTGGTCTTGCTGAGGTCCTGACCGATAAGCTTGGGCTCGGTGAAGTCCAATGCACCGTCGTAGGCAGAGTCAACGGTCAAAATCTCGCCGGTGGGGATCAAGAGGGAATCCCCGGCGATGAAGCGCTGAGTCAGAGGCATCTGCAGGCTGGTGTCATTCAGAATGGTTTCCTCCTTGAAGGCGTTGAGGTTCCAGTAGAGGTGGTTGGCGAGCATGATTGGGGTCTTGGTGGTCAAGGCCAGGGAGATCAACTTGGTGGTCAGCTGAGGCAATCCCTTGGGGTTCTCTGGCGACTTCTCGGTGGAGAGGCTGAACTGCGCGTGGGAAATCACATCGCCAGGGAAATTTTCGAAGCCCTCATCCAGGAGGCTGAAGGTGATAGAAGACGAGTCATGGGCAGTGACCGTCCAGTTGCGCATATCATAACCAACAGGGCCACCGTGGAGTGTGTCCTTGCCACCGTTATCATTCTCTGGAATATGGTAGGTGGTGCCATCGATGGTGAAAGTACCATTCTTAATGCGATTGGCGTACCGACCCACGACGGCGCCGAAAAAGGTGCGATTGGTCTCAGAATCGTGCAGGTACTCAATGGGGTTATCATAACCAACCAAGACATCCTGGGTGTTGCCATTACGGTCGGGGACCAGAAGTGAGGTCAGACGCGCTCCATAGGGGATGAGAGTGGCGGTGATGTTCTCCGCTGAGATCGTGTACTCCTTGAAGTGAGCGGAGTTCTCACTTGCGGCAGAGGACGCGGTCGAAGCAGAGGGCGCCGCGTTTGCCAGAAGAGGCAGGCCGTATAAGGCAGCTGTAGCGTAAGACTTGAAATGCATTCTGATTCCCAATGCAGTAAAAGCTAGGAGAAGGACAAGGATGCAGGAAAGAAGAAGTCGGGGAGAGAGACGAGCTGGACAAAGAAGAGAGCGGAAGCAGCCGAGGGGAAGGCTGGGCATTTTATGTGAAAAGCTTCCAATACGCAAACAGCATTGCCAATTCAACGCGCTAGTCTACACTCCGCATGTACCGACGCTAGGGGGTGGTCTACGCGTGGGGCAGGAAACCCGGGGTAGTCGATATCCGTAAGCAGGTGAGGAAATGCCGGTCAACCATTGGATTGGGGGTTACTTTCAGATGAGGGGAAAGATCCGAGCCCCAAGCTAAGCGTGTGGAGCCCCTTAAAGCTTCCAGTGAGGCGTCGAGTTTAAAAAGTAAACAAAGAAGTTAAGGGTTTAACGGCAAAACTCCGGTGGAGAGAATGCGGATGATCTTGGCATTTCCCACCAATCGTTCTATGATGACTCAGCGATGTTTACCATTTCAACTGATTGTCACTCGATTTTCACTCAATTTGCACTATTTAATTTATTTGTATTTCGTGTTAATGCTCGGTTGCATCCAAGGGTCTCTTTGACCCATCTATCTAAGTTTGTGTTAATCGGCTGCTCTTTGAGGTCCACCCTTGCTGACCTTCTAGTCATAAGTTTGCGTTATGCCGGTACATTCACTGGCATAAGTTGAGGCGTTCGCTCAAGAGAGCCCATCAAATTAACCGAGCCGCGTGGACAATGTGGCCATTCTATGCGAGGCAAGCCATGGACGGGATCTTTCACGAATTCAAGGTAGTCCTGCCAGTGCTCGGATACAGCCGCCTCGAAGCTGGTTCCCGGACCCCATAATCTTGCCAGGTTCTGAAAAGAATCACCCTCATGGTCGAGGGGAAATATTACTGAAATTAGCTTCGTTGAAATAGAAGATTGTCCAGAAATTGGGTTTGTATCGCAAACAAAATTCTCTTGGTTAGACCGCACTGACCTATTACAAAGGAATCTCAAAACTCACCTGGTATGATGCACATACGTCATATTGGGACCAGATAGGCCCGACCAGGTTATGTAGCATCCTCAATGGCAGGCTGCATGTGGAAAACTGCATAAGCTGGGGCTCAAGGGAAATGAGTCTTACTAGCTTGCTATGTTTTCCGGCAAGGGATCGCTTCATGTAGTTCCCGAATCTGGTCATATCTACCCCTCTATTACTTGACATACGTTCGAAACCTCCACCAGAATGTTGCTTATTTTCCCCTTCTCCTTCCACTTCATTTTGTCTTCTCTTCTCCTTTTCTCTCTTTCTTTTCTATTCCGCTATTTATGCATCTGGAGAGCCCTTTCGTCATTCTATTAATACGGTATGAAAGAAGGTAGAATACTTGATAGGAAACCGAGTAGGAGACTGAGTAGGAGGTGTGGTCTAACACTTAAGTAGGCGCCGCAGTTTTTGCGCGGCGGAAAGCCTCTATCTGTCGACTACAATAGTACATAGCCCAGTTCAGCTCGCAGCTGCTGTTCATAATATAGCATTGAAGTATGTACAGTATGTTTATTCCATCTCTTTGGTTGAGGACATTTAATCCGGAGATTGCCCCTTGTCGATGGTTAATTTCAACCATGCGTCATTGGAGGGAATTCTGAACCACAAACTCATCTTTGAATCACTCCTATGGACAATTTGGGAGTTGACTATCTACATGATCCAAACTAGCACTCGCTCAGTGATTACTGAAGCTTTCTTGTTAGCCACCCGACACCCGAGCATGACGGAGTGTGAACTTGATACAGCAGCAGGACAGCTGCGGTGCGATGATCTTTTTCGAGACATCGAAGCTCAATTCTAAGTATCTCAGATCCCCAACGACAAATGGTATTTCACTGCCCCGAGCGACCTCACCACGACTTCGAGACCTCGCCTAGCAGACCAGCTTTATCTATACTTAACAAACTAAGAAGCACACTACACGGCCGATGCACGTCGAACATGGATCCAACGCAAATGCGAAACACCGTTCAAAGACATTGTGCTTGTGGGCCTTCCCCGGCCTACTGAAGCTCTTGTAGCTATCAGTCGAGTAAAGCCCGAGGATGAAGTGGAACAAACTTTCACGCGCGAAGGATGGCAATGCGACGAAACTAATCATACCTGAGTAATGGACTGGCTGCACAAGATCTACGCCCACAATGCCACAGCTCTGTTTGGTTTATTCGAAAGACATCGAGACTGGGGGTTTTGGGTTGATTAGATTGCTTAAGGGTTGCGTCTTTCAGATCGTCAAGTCCCTAACGATGTAGATACAGAAATGGTAGTCTTATCAGCATTAAACATACTGGCATATTCAAGGGACTAGAAGAGTGGGTGTTTCTAGAGAAGATGTCCAGATGGTGTGTGATTGTGTACGAAAAGTGTCTCGTTTCTGTGGAGTCTAGTTGGATCAAGTCCCGTAGGTTGATTTAGTGCAATAGAAGCTTAACTCTGGAACCTTGAAATATATTTAAATGTTTAAAAGCATCATATAAACACATGAAGTTCATTGATGAAACATGTTATACTTCCGCTTACCTAATCATCGATCGCAGCGACCGCGTGCCCGCTTCGGGAGCTTTGTTTATGTGTTGCCCCGCGGATTTAGCTGGATTTCATGGTGTTGTTCTTTGATAACTTTCGGGGAATTGACTCTCACCTATCTAGCATTCCATAGGGTGCGCTCTCTCCACGCCCCCTAGCGGCACGCGTGCCGAGATTCCACCACTTCGAGTCCTCCCGTCATGTCAATCACGTCGCGCAGCCAAAGCTCCTCCCCAGATATTCTTGGCCCTCCAGGAGACGCCGAGTACTTGATCTCCTCTCCAATCAAGCCATTTACTGGTCGCCAAAGCTGGATGTCTCCCGCCGTAAGCAAACGTCAACTAACCCCGGCCAAGCGACCGCGCGCGACTCTCAGTCCAGGAAAGAGTGGTGCGCATTCGATCCGCTTCGACGACATCCTGCTTCCTGGCTCACCATCCAGGAAGCTGACTGGTCGCCAAAGGTCCCTCTCCCCGGAAAAGATTCAACAAGATGGCAACGTGAGCCCGTGGCGTATTCGAGTCACTCTCGAAGCAACACAAGATGAGGAGAACCAAGTCGAAGCCAGCCCGTCGCGCAAACGACGGCGACCCTCAACTGTGACAACAATGGTACCTTTGAAAGATGAGCGGAGCCCTTTAATGGAACGGACACCAGCAAGGAAGCGTGGCCGCCCGAGGAAATCAGACGCTCTGCCCCAAAATGGATCACCATGGCCAGGAAGCCCAGGTCACACCCCCGGCCCAAATGAAGTCAGTACGGAGAAAAGGAAACGCGGACGACCGCGTAAGGGCACACCGAAGCCAGCGCGAGTGGAAACACACATTGCCGACGATGCACCGATATCAGAACCCTTGGGGCATGTGAGTCCAATGGATATGACTGCGGAGGTTGCAGACCCTGCAGACGCGGGCCGACAATGGAGCCCGATCAACTTGGGAGGAGAAGAAGGCTTTGACAGCGACTCTCTTGGGGCCGACGATCTACCCGTTGCGAACCTTCGTGCACCAACGCCAGCACGACCCGAGACCTGGAACAATGACACTGGCCGCGAGTATGGCAGAACTACCTATGATACTCCCATCATCGCAGATACCGAGCAACAATTCGAAGACGATGATCGAAATATACATTCTACTCCTTCTAAGATGCCGTCACCAACAAGAGAAAGGCTAGGTTCATCTAGATCGTCACGTCGTGGCACAACCTCCTCACCACACACCTACCCGTCCCCTAGTCCAACTTCTTCGCCGGGCGAGGAAGAGAATCGCGCTCGAGAGAATCGTTTGCACGAAATCGAGACCATTCACCAACAACCTACTTCCGATGCAATGGAAGATCCGACAGATGATCATGAAGAGTTCGATTCTATCATGGAAAGCGAGGGCTTCACAATGGTTTCCTTAGATACACTTCCCTCGGCCAAACAATTCGGCCTTGGATCTGGCGCCAGAAATGCTACAGATAATGCTTCAAAAATTCTGCGAGACCGCGAAAAGGGTGTCATCGGTGAACGACTGAAGCGCAAACTGGGTGGGGGCATTGATGGGCTACGAAGCGATCACAACTCTGCAAGGCCAAGTCCTTTAGCCCGGAAACATTCTCCCGCTTACCAGGGTTCCCAAGATCCCCAACTGGAACCCATTCATCCAAGGCAACGAAGTTCACCTCACGTTGTATCCTACCCCGAGCTACCTGTAACAATATCGCCGGAAAAGCCACGCAGCCAACAAGAAACTTTCGATGATATGGAACAAGATGAATTCGAAGGTGATGTCGAGTATGAACATGAAACCGATCAACCAAACCAGGACGAAAGGGATTTGGAAGAAGTGGACGAAGAGGAGGATGAGCCAGCTATGATTGAATCACCACCGTTTACGAGGCAAAGCCCGCCACAGCACGGCTCAGCGAATCCAAGTCGGAATCGAGAATACCGATGGCAAAAGGAGCGAGAAATTGTCAGTCGGCATGCAGCAGACCCCATGAATGCGGCGCGGCTCGTTTACATCGATAGCGATGAGAGTGCCTCTAATAATGAGGATGCTGGTGGAAAAGGATTGGAGGATCTTCCACTGTCTGATGCGCAGTCGGCCATTGGACAACCTTTTGAGGAAGAGCTCGAGGAGGAACAACCCTTCGACCAGGAACCTGTCAATGAACATGTCGACGAAGAATCTGCCGATGAACATCTATATGAAAATATCAATCAGCCTCTCTACCAAACTCGCTACCAACATCGCTATGAACCTCTCGAGCCCGTCTATGAAGAAAGTGTCAATGAAGAATTCGTCGACGAAAACATACCCAAGGAACCTCATTATGAAACTTTCGATCAATATCCTCGCCAGCCTTCCCACCAACGCCCTTACCGAACTCGGCATGAAAGTCTCGACGAAGAACCGCTCGATGAACCTCAGTATGAAACTTCCAAATCATCTTTCCGCCAACCTCTCCACCAAAATCCCCACAAAGCTCATTATAAATCCCTCGATGAAGAGCCTGTCGATGAGGCACCCGAATATCTTGAACCTGAGATCAAACCAGGCACATTCACTTCTTACCAAGAAGCTGACTCAGGAAAGGATGTATTGGAAGAAGACAATGAGTCTGTCGATATTTGGCAGCAAGAGGTGGAACCCGATGTAGGGGGCGAGCCTGAGGTTAGATCAAACCAACCCAGCTCTGACGAAAGGGACATTGATCCAGAAATGCCCGACGAGGATGGCTTTGATGATATCTGGCAGCAAGAAGCACGAGATCATAGCCACATTTCACAGAACTCAGATGATTTTGTATCGCCTCTTCAAGAAAGCAAGAGCCCTTGGAAGAGGATTGCTCGTTCTTCAGTGCACCAGGACAACCTGAGCTCATCACCAGCTTATGTGACCTTGGAGCATGACGAGGCTCGACACTTTGATCGGACCCATATTCGCAAGCTACGCGATCAAGAGATTGATCTGTCGGCGATCATGGCAGAAGATGACACTCCAAACCGTGCCCGTTACTATAACGGAACAAGCACCCCTAGGAGCATCTTGCGCCGACCTGGCCCCCAAAGCTCCGCGATGAAATCCGACTCACGAAAGCCAGAGAAACGGGTACGTCTGCAGCCTATCTCCCAAAGCCCAGAAAGGCACTCGGAAGCTGAAATCGACTCACCTGGCCCTCATCGAATTTCTCACGTTCAGTCGCCACAGGAACTTCATCCCAACCGGGGTGTTCCTGGCTCTGAAATTCAAGAGAACGAGTCTGTGCAGGAATTGACAGCCACTCCAGAGCCCTCGCATCAAGCAGAGGGGCAGCCTGAAGCAACTTGGTTCCAACGTATTACCAGCCTGACTCCTAGGTGGCTCAAAGCCCCACCCAAGTCCCGTTATGACGATACTTCCAGTGAGGTCTCCGAAGAGGAACAAGACTACGAGCAAAGCGACCAAGAAGGAAATGAGCATAGTCAATCGGCACCTGACATCCGGGAGAAACCCGAGCACGAGCCTCGTTCCAGCCCATCACACCAATCATCTGTCCAACAGCTGGACGAACCGGCAGGTTCCCCGTCTGTGGATTATGACGATCACCGGGCTTCCATCGAGGCCGACGATCCATGGATCCAGCCAGAAGTAACAGACGACGCCATGGAAGATGATGCTGTTGCTGATCAAGATAAGCTGCAGAGACTGAAACCGGGACCTAGACCTCTTGCGGTGTTTGGCTACTTCTCCGATGCCCATTATACTTCTCTTCGGCGGATCTACCGAATGGCAAAGCGACACCCTGAACGGTTCCCATATTTTGACGCGCCCGGACGCGCTGAGATTATGGGTGACTGGATGTGGCTCTCAGATGGACGTCACGGTGTGCCAATCACTGAAGTGCAATTTGCCGTGATTGATCGCTTTGTACATGAACTATCAAACGCCGACATCGAGTATGGCGGCAGTGGGCAGGTAGACTGGACCGAAGCCGATCTGCACCGGAGGCTGATCAGCATTATTATTGGCGAGCAGATCCGGGAGGAGCGAAAAGCGAGAACAACTCGGGGGGCCTCAGTCGATACCTGGCGATGAACACCAATTATTTCATCATTCTCTTTTTCCATGTATTTGCTTTTCGTACCATTGAGCCCTTGAACCCCTTGGCGACGGAGTTGGTTTGTTTTTCAATGCGGCGAAATTCTCCTTTATGATTCCCTCATGGCTATGGATTTTGTGTATGGAGTAACTTGAATATTCTTTTTGAGCGTATATTTGATACCGATGTCATATTGAGAAATATTTGAATATTCACAATGTTGGGTAGAATCAACTACTTTGCCACTTGTATGCACTAAGGCCACTGATCACATCTTGGGCTAATATTGAATACTGACCAGCAATGCACGTCTACCAGACGAAATCATTCAGAGCAAACCCTGCAAGCAGATCCCTTGTTTTCCCGATCATGAAAGGAGATTGTGATGTATACAATTTAGCCAGGCGAAAGACTCGGCATTCGTCATAATCTGAAACAAGTACGATCTTTACAACACAACACAGCATAACCATCATTCAAATTGATGTTTCCTTTGTGACAGTGCCTCCAAATCAATCTTTCTGTATGACCATCAAGTACGATTGTCTCGTTTCTGTGAGGTACACAAAGGCTACACCTGTACAGACATTATCCTGGTTGAAGTCCGGACCAAGACTGCAGCCATGATTTGGGCCAGACCAACCAGGGGGAAACCGGGGGAATGTACTCGCACTCGCGTGGCCAAGTATCTGATGTACATTGGGCGCTTCCCCACTCCGGTGCAAGGAGATGCACGTTCATTTTCGTCTCAACAGGTCCGAGTACTAGTGGGGAGAGCAACTTCGGTTCCCCTGTTCTAGAACTGATATAAGAACCGCCGTGCACGTTGAACGAGCTAATACCTATCCAGCTTCTTCCCTCGTGCCTCGTTTACATCCTTGACTGCAGGATATCTACTAATATACCATCATGTCCGTCCTGACTATCGTCCAACGAGCTCTCCCCTTCCCCTGGAGAAGACGCTCCTCCACCAGCAAAGGCAAAGAAAAGGAGGATGTATTTGACCTGGACCTCGAGTCCTCCGAACATGACTCAGACTACCTCTATGAAAAGCCCCCCGCTCCCCAATTTGCCGCCGTACCCTCTCCGCCCCTGCACCATGACGTCTCCCACGCCCTGCATATAGCGGTGAAGCAGAGTCCAGACCAAACAATCGACCCCAACGAAGCCTCTAGCGAATACTCCGATGTGGACTCGGACTCAAATTCCGAGTTCGACCAACAAGAGTCTTCCTCGTCCCCGCGCGTTCGCTTCGGGCGCATGGTCAGCTGGGCGAGTATTGTTCGCAACCGATGTCGATGGACACAAGAACAGGAGAATGAGCTTCTCGGCGCAGAGAAGCAGTTAGCACGATGTCAGAAAGCGTGGAGCTCTGAGCAGGAACTATGGCTATCCTATGTACGTTTGCCTTTTCCGTTTCAATTTGCTGTAGTATCTCGCGAGAGTATATGGGGTGGATCACCTTCCACAAGAATACAGAGCAAGATATACTAATTTCGATGCCGTTATCTCGCTAAGATCCAAGTTCTACGCGAAGAAAAAGAAGCCCATGAAGGCTTCCTGCTGATGCGACTGAAACAGCAAGGCGACGAACAGATCCAATTCCGCAAGGTCTGGAAACGACGTCGATCTGTTGAAAGTGCCGTTCAGGAAAAACAGATCACTCTCACAGTGAAAAGGAATAACAGTGGGCTACAAAGACTACGTCGACTGCAACTCGGCTATCTAAGTCCTAGTCCCAGTGCTGGTCTAGCCAAAGCTCCGGCAGTAACATGTCAAGCATGACTGAATACACACAAGTTTTATTCCAATTCTCTTAAGCCACATACATAGAGTAAAAGCAGCAACAGCAACAGTAACATCTCTACCTCGTGGCAGCCAAATGCTCATTCCTCTTCCCCATATCCTCATGAGGCCACTTCCGAAACAAATCAGCGATTATATCCACCGGCGCAGTCAGCAACCCCACAGCCGTCTCAAAGGGCGGTTTGCTAGGCGCCAACGGATGAGATCTCGACGGCAAGAATTTCTTCATCCGATCTAAAGATCGCGCTAACGCTTCACTGTCTTTCCTCGATAACGCTTCCTCAAGAAGTACGACATCTACATCCTCCTTTCGGCGAATATGCTTCTCTAAATCCTCTACCAGTGCCTCCAGCGTTGGTGCGAATCGTGGATCATTACACGAGAGTCCTTGGAACATCTTCAATTGTTCTTTGATCTCCTGATGTTCGAAACGGTTTTTATCTGCAATTTCCCGGCCGTTGTGCACACGTTGGACGATTGCTGGGTAGACGAGTAGTTCTTCGCCGATTGTGTGGCGGGCTAGTTCCCAGGTAAATCGGTTTTGGTATCTGGTTTGCTCGTCTGAGTGTAATGAGTTGAGAATTTTGTGGCTGGAGGATTGGAGTTCGGCGTGTTCGCGTTTGATTAATGGGAGGATTCGGAATTGGGATTCTGTTGCGGCGCTGGCGGATTGGTGGAACAAGCTGAGTCGGTAGTTGTCGATGCCGGCCCTGCAAAGAGGATGGCGAACACGGACAGAGCGGAGATATATTTGCTTGAACATGTGGGCAGGGAATTGATATGATGCTATGATTAGGATTGACTTTCAAGAAGAGAAGTTTTGACATTTCGTGATGGCGATTACGGCCTTCACTCCCGTCATAGTTCATCATGATGATATCTAGCCCTAAATGAGATAATTTGGTTTTTTAAAACTTTTAATAATCAACGATCAACGATCAACGACCTTGTATTAAATTACTGCCATACTAGAGCGACAATACAATTTATCCAAAAACCAAAGCGCGAACTTCAATACTCTCCCGAATCCTCGCCCCAACGGGTGTCCTCTCATCCCAAAACGCTGTATGAGGCACCCACTGCGAAACATCCCCATCCCTCAACCCCTTCGAATCCGAACACTTCAGCAACAACCTCTCACTACCAGTCATACCAGACCAATAAGTCCACCTCTGTCCACTATTATATTTAACCCCCATAGTCTCCCCCGTCCGATCGGGATACCGATGTTGAACAGGCACAAGATCATTTTCATCCACCGACGCCGCAGACGCAAACGCTAACGGAGAAGACTGCACCGGCTCGTCACTAAGCGGACGCCAGACATTCACGATACGGTACCGGCCTTTGAGGAGAGTCTCGGCTTCCTCTGGATCAGAGATGTGGAGACGGACCCGATCAGCTGCTGCGCGTGGAGTCTGATCGACATGGACGCGGGTGACTGGTTTGCGGGCAGCGGAGTCTGTGCCGCGGCGGATTGTGTGGTCGAATAGGACGATTTTGTGGGCGCCGGGGATCGTATTTAGGAGGAGGGCTTCGACTTCTGGGTAGTAGATTTGATGGACCAGGGTGTCCGAGTCGAAAGTTTTGTACGTTGTTGCGGAGGAAATGTTTTGGAGGGCTTGGAAGGAATCTTTGTCAAGGGTATAGTTGTTTTCTGATCCGCGGATATCGGATATAGGGACTTTTTGTTCGTTTTCACCGAAGTTGTATTGCGGTTGACCTGCTGGTGGTCCTCCAACGTAGTTGAAGGGGGCCGAGTTGTCGGATGGTGGTTTGTAGAAGGTTAGGGAAGCGGTCGTTGGACCACGAGGGATGTAGGAGGAATCAGTTATGGTGGTTTTAGTGGTGGTGGTTTCTGTTGTAGACATGATTGTTTGAAAGTGTGGAATAGACTATGCGGGGAATTAAATATGTAAATCTGAATTTGAATAGACGATCTGTGCTGTTGGAGATGAATCGATAAAAGACGGATGATATAGACCTATATATACCTCAAAATCCTTTGAATTTTCAATCAGAGTGACATATGAATTAGTGATCAAAAGTGTAGAATCGCGTCATTTGAATTTGTAATCTTGCCGAGAATGCGGAGAAACGGCAACATTAGATGCAGATGACATGGTTACTGTATTTGCTTGATCACCTCATCTTTAATTTTACACGTGACTATTGGCTAAGCAAGTGGCGATATAGGTTAAATGAGGCAAGAGACCGAACATCGAATCTAAGTTATCATGCGCTTGTCATTGACTATTGAAAGAACATTTCCCATGGAGAATAGATGAAAATTATGAATCTGTCTGAAATGATTTCATGAACCGGACGCCAGCCTCCCATAAAGTACGCCTGCCAACCATAACAGAAAAGAAGATAGAACAAAGTTGAAGATTACCGAAGATATTCCTATGCACACAACGCCTCAAAAGTTGCATCAATGGTTGCGGGTACGCTTGCTGCTGCGCTCCCGCTCCATGCCTACCGACTGGAACATTTCAGGACCGAGCCAAGGTCGTGCAGGCTGTACTTGCATACCCACACTAGTCGGGAAATCAGGGTGGCTAGAAGAAAAGCGGTCGGGGTTGGTCGGAATGGCACCGATTGAATCCGGAGCGGGAGCCATAGAAGCAACCACTTCGATAAGAGAAGAGTCAATCCAGCCCGATGGCTTGGTGTTGAGACGGTCCAAGCGAAGCAGATCATCATCAACTTCCTCAGTCAAAAGCGAGGTCAGCGGGGGCGCATTGCCGTTGGGTCGAGCAGAGTAGTTGGACAGGACGTGGTAAGGCAAAGTGGGGCGCGTGGCAGGCTTATCGGCCAGATCCGCCAGAGCACTAAGAGCGCTGTGAGCAGCGGTTGTGCGGGTCGATCGGGTGACGTGGAAGTTGTGGCTAGCAGTTCGGACCATATCGGCAGCGCTGGGGGTACCGTTGTCATCAACGGGGGTTCCGTCGGGCATATCTTCGACATCGGTGTTGTTCCCGTTGGTGATAGCACCGGAGCCTTGCTCGGGGCGCTTGGAGGTGGAGAAGAAGTGGAGGGCAGCTGCGTGCGCCTGGTTTGCGTGCGCAGTGAGCTCCTTATCGGTGAACAGGGAATTAATGGAGTATGTCGGGGCAGTCTGCTGGGCGAGGTAGGTCTTGGAGCGCTCAGCCGGAGTCGTGCCACCAGTGTCCCGGACGGGGGATCCGACATCCTCCTCCGGTGCTTTGCGCTTGCGCTTATTTAACTCGGCAGCGACTCCGTTGCCCAATTCATCAATATCCACACGGTGCCGAGTGTGTCGGGTCTTACGGTTGCTGTGGATACCGCCAGGGCTCGCGGGGTTGGTAATGCTGAACTGGTTGGGGTGGAGGAGGAGCGCATTGGTGTCTGCAATATCGAGTTGTTCTTTTTCGCGCATCAGACGGGCGCGTTTGCTGGAGATGCTTTGCATAAGACGCTCGCGCAATGTTCCTGACAATTGATTGAATTCCTCCTTGGCAAAATGGGCTCGGAATTCGTATTCGCGACGGTGTCGCTCAAGGTTGTTCTCGTGTCGGCCCTAAGTAGAGAGTCAGATAAGATCAGTCATTTGTTAAGTACTTCTGCAATTATAATGTCCAAAACGTACCACAATCTGAGCGACCTCCGAATCGCGCGTTTCCTTGATATTGTTCACCTCCTGCACGAATTTGGCATACCAAGTTCCGGACAAGCTCGCCATCTCTTTGGCAAATTTGCCACCACCAACAGTCTCCTCGATAAGCCGCGCAACGTCCTCGGAGGAGTCAGGAAGTGGGCTGTCGTCGTAAGGGGAGGCATTGTTAATAAGAGTCATATCGCATTGCAGTGAGTGCAACTGCTGCCGAAATTGGCCGTCGCGGTTCTGGCTGAAAGTAGCAGTCAAATCATGAAGACGTTCCTGCAGAGCGGAGCGTCGTTTATCACGTTTTGAAATAGGACCTGCTGCGCCGGAGGGACTGGTGGAACGACCTCGTGAAAGTAGACTGCCGTATGCGGGCCCGGTCCCGGGGGACGGGGGTGGAGAGTAGGCCATGGGTTCGGTGGGTTGATAAATGTGAAATTGTTGAAAGTAATTCTGTGGGGATGACAACGGATAGTATGAGGACTAGGTGGATTGTTGGAAAAAGGAATCTAGAGGCTTAATGATGTATGCAGAACGTATATGTCTAGCAAAAAGTGAGTGGAGAGGCAAGCCGGCGACGTTTGTACTATGACACCCGAATAGGATTAGCTTCGGATTGAAGTTTTTCCCCACCGAAGCATAGACTCGCTCACGCTTACTCTATCAGTTGGAACCAACGTTGTTTCTGAACTTCTTTATACTTCTCTATATTCTGATAGAACAGGTGGCAAGGCTAGTTGCTCCAGTAGTCTGTGAATAACGGAACCGTTATCATCCCCCAGCTATGGTTATCAATAATCCTAGTTTCTTCTCGTTTGTCAACACTAGTTGCTGTCATAAACCTGGAGCTTCAGACATACTTTCTAAGCAATCACTATCATTTCTTGTTATCCTAATTGAAACTACTTAGGACTCATGATCTTACCCTTCCTTCCTCCTTTCCTCACCGTCCCACTTTTAGAGAGAATATCACATTATTCTGGTCAAAATATCCCTCCTACGTATAAAAAATTCCTCTTTCCTTTACTGAATTTGGGTGCGCCCTCAGCTGTTTGGGATCTCAATCTAGAGTAGTATGGTACCCTTAGATTAAAGAGCTCTGAATGACTATGATCTTAACTAAGATACAATATCATAGCACATGTATTGATCTCCCTATATCTTCTCTCCATCAAAAGAATATACATACTGCATACCTCAATCCCTTTTTGGGGGTGGCTGCGTCATGATCTGCATCATCACAATCCACCTAATCCCTAGGTTCAGGTGCACCATTCTTCAATACTAGCAGACCTCGTTAACAAAACTTGGATATGACATCTGTAGATTTATCAGTATCATGTTCTCTTTTGGAGGTGGCTTTCAGACTCGCTACTATTGAATTATGGTTCAAGTTGTAGGTTAAGGGTTGATGCAAGGTGCATGCGAACTATTTCACTAGCGACTCCACTCAGGAGCATTTCGACTACTTCCAAGGCTACGGCATATGTGCGCAAGTCGATTATAAAGGGGAACTTTCACTTTCACGAATTTCATCCTTACGTTTACGGTTAAATAGCAAGTCATTGCGCCGACGGAAACGCCATTTCAACACCTTTATTCCACAATGAATCACAATGAACTTTTGCCCTCGAGCGACGAGTCTAACCATTCGGCATACGAAGAAAAAGACGATTCCAGCAAACCAAATGAATGGGTTAACGCGATCCATATTCTATTTGCCCACTTTGCCTGCTTCAATAGCTGGGGTGTAATCACCAGCTTTGGAATCTTTCAACAATACTACACAAACACGTTCCACTGGTCCGAGTCAGATACATCCTGGATAGGAAGTATACAGATGTTGCTTGTGTTTGCCATCGGTGTTTTTGCGGGTCGTACAGTAGATGCAGGATACTATCGACTGACTCTCTTTCTGGGCATTTTCTTTCAATTGCTTGGTCTGTTCGCTGCCTCTGCCGCAACCAAATACTGGCAATTTTTCCTGGCACAAGGTGTTTGCTCTGGTCTGGGCCATGGCTTAATTTTCGTGCCAGCGATCACTGCTGTGTCATCCTATTTCAGTCGATGGAAAACACTTGCTGTTGGACTTGCCTCGTCAGGGTCTGCCGTCGGCGGGCTGATATACCCAGCGATAGCGAGTCGATTGCTCTATACAATTGGGCTTGAGTGGACTTTGCGAGTGATGGGGTTTGTCATGATGGTCACCTATATCCCATCTGTCATCTGGGCTCGATCAGCATTCTCTCCTCGTCAATCTGGCCCGCTGGTGGAATGGTCGACTTTCAAAGAGTTACCATATACATTAGGCCTCCTGAATTTCTTTCTCATTTATTGGGGAATTATATTCGCCTTCTTTTACGCGGGCAGGTTCGCACAGGACAAACTCGCCGCATCTCGGGAGGATTCTCTGCATCTTCTAATGATCATCAACGGCTGTGGCATTGTCGGTCGCATCTTCCCCTGTCTCCTCGCCGACATTAAGTTTGGACTGTTGAATGTCTTGACGGGGTTCACCCTTTTCGGCAGTATCGCGATTTATTCATGGGAATGTGTCGAGTCCCTTGAGACCATGTACATCTTTGTGGTCTTCTATGGTCTCTGCGCGGGAGGACTTCAATCTCTGCTTTCGGCGTTGGTACCGTGTTTAACGACCGATGCAAACAAGGTTGGGACCCGAATGGGCATGATGATGACCATCGTCAGCTTTTCAGCGTTGACTGGAACACCCATAGCAGGGGCTTTGATTCAATATGACGGGGGGAGCTACAGGTATGCTCAAATCTTCGCTGCTTCAGTCATGCTGGCGGCAGCCCTGTGCATTGCTGGTGCGCGAATCTCCAAAACGGGCTGGAAGTTAGCAGTAAAAGCGTAGATCTCTGGGTACTTTGATTTGTTGTTTTCCCACTTGCTTGTCCAAAGTACTACCAATGTGAACGCAGATAAGCACTAAAGCCAGTATTTGATTGGAGGAAGATAAAGGACAACGCAGTGCATTAAAGCAGGCAGACTATTCGGTCTACTCCGTATACTCGTTATCATGAAGATAATTCAGAAAATAGAAAGTAAAAATTAGAAAAATAAAATGCCAGAACTCCACTCTAGTGGCGCTTTTACCCTTGATTCTCAGACCTTTGGCGATCGCCCACGTAAGTCTGCTCACATTCTGATCTTCACCAACTTTTGAATTTTCGAACTATGGACAGTACCCAGGAAGCAAGGGCACCTGCGTACTCATTCAGGTATGATGTAATGATATATGTTCTTCGATCTCCAAGATTCCTGACAGCTGATCACCAAGATGTCCAACCTAAGTGGCATGCAAAGATCTTGATCTCGCTGACTGTTCGACAACCTTTCAACCCTTTCCCTCTTTCTCTGACCGGCCATTTGGCCAAAATCTTAAAAAGTGGGGGATATGGTTGCATTGCAGATTCAATGTTTGTAGATCCACTATCGAACTACTAAAAGAATTTCTGAGACATCGGTATCTCCAGAAGGCCGTGGGTCTGCTAAATCCTTTGCCATCGGTGATCTACTATATTGCCTACGTAAAAAAAAAAAAAAAAAATCCAAGAAAACCACAATGAAGCAAGCAAGCTGACCATCAAAACTTGATCGATACTTGATGCTTTTTCTTTCATGATATTTCCTTCCCAAGTCGTTACGCCAGATACAATAATTACTACTTTCACGCAATTGAGTAGATGTTCATTAAGTCATCACTGAAACCAACATTGCAACATTGCTCTATCTGAACCAGCTGGCAGCCCCATGATTTCTCTCCCCGATATCCAAAGCAACCAAAATTCGACTAACACAATTATAAGCCGCAATGGTCGTCGTAATCTCAACAACCTCCTGTGGATTGAAAAAGTTCTTCAACTCTGCAAACACCTCATCAGGTACTTTGATCGTCCTCGTCATAGCATCCGTGTACCTTAGCACGACCCTCTCCTCAGGGCTCAAAATCGAGGAAAAACACTCGTATGAAAAATCCGCTTGCGAGTCTTTAATAATCTCCAATTTTGCATCTTCCATTCCGCCCTTCTGTAGCAATGGAGCATGCTGTTCCCATTCAAATAGTGCGCCGTTAACGACAGCAACGCGGCAGATCGCTAGCTCCCGGACTACAGTCGAGAGACTTGTTTGGGCTCTAATTGCCCCGAAGAATGAATTCCATCCTTCTGCTATAGGGAATGAATGGAGGAGAGCTAAGTCGAGAGGAAGGAGGGGGTTTTCTCCGCGTCGGGCTTTGACGCTGGCGAGGATTCGGGCTTCGTCTGGAGTGTTGGTTGGAGGGGGGTCTTGAACATATGGAAGGCGCATGTTTTCTTGTCGATCTCTGGAGTACCACAAGTTGGGTATAATATAAGAAGCGATTGAAAATCTGGTCTGATGTCTGATGTTAGATAGGACAGTCGAGATAACCCATTCCAATTGAACACATACAGGTGTCGTTTTTTGGGTAGTTGAAAAGTGCAAATCTCCAGGTCAAAGTTGTAGGCTTTATAGGATTAGAGACCAATGTGCAGGGTCTAGGGTTTCATCAACAGCTAGCCCCGTGCTAGCTGCGCACCATAAACATTTACAGATAAAGCTCGTCAAACTAAGTGGACCGATCGGCCCAGATCGGGCAAAGAGTCGAACTGGGAATAGATCGACGGCGAGGTGGTAGAAGATCCTTTCAAAGTAAGCAATATTTAATCTCGAGATGGCGAATAGTGGCATCTATCTCCTGCAAGTTGTGGCGGTGTACGGAGAACACAGCGTTCCAAATAATTAATAGCTTCAAGTCAGAAAAGATAGGTAAAATCCTTGGAATCGTCACAATTGACCCACATCGGTCTCTAAAATGGGAAACCACGATGCATATCATCTTCGGTCACTTGATGTATGGTCTGTGTGGATTTGTTACTTGTAACAATATCACACCGTAAAGTGACATCATATGCAAGCTTAGGTATTACCTCGAAAGTGGTATCTAGTAGGCATGCTGATGAGGAACTCAACTGCAAAAAGAACTTTACCTTGAAATGCATTTAAATCAACAGGTCCGAAAAAAGAGTGAGATGGCGTCCGATGCAGAGGAGCTTGATTGTGAGCGGCCTTGTTGAACGCGTTCTCAAGCTACCGGATCAGTGATACCATGACCAGCTAAAGATGTTTACGATCATCGAAGTCCATTTTTCTGAGTGCAGTTTTCAAGGGCACCTGTGCCCCTCCCGCAGAACTAGCTCATGTCAAGCTTCAATGAGATCCTGAACGTCCACTTGCATCTTTTGCTGTAGGTCTTTAGTCGAAGTGCGAGTGGATCCACGGTGGCAGGAGAGGGAGCAGTGGGATAAAAATCTTTGCGAGGACTGCCTTCAAGTCCTGAGAAATGGATACTTTGCGTTAAATGCTGCACAAACTATCGGTTTCGTCATGTTCTGGAAAATGGTTGAATTTTGAACTTGTGAAGGAAGCCAAGCGATGGTTCTTTTCAAGGAGATGTAAAAGCGTGATGCAGAATATGTAAGGTGTTAAGGCAGTCTGATTCCACTTGGAAGAAGACCATGGTCACGAGAGGAAGAAGATAAAATTGTTCTAGAAGGAAAGGGGCAGGATATAGCTCACCTTCGCAAGGGTAATCAGTAAAACAAGCAACCCCTTCGCGGGCAATCCGGATGTATAGCAATCAAGCAAGCGGATGAGACAATCAGGCAGGGCTGTCGTCCAGCTAGGTCCTTTCCAACTTGGGTTAAGAAGAGAAACAGAAACAACTCTTGAAGATGTAATGTGTAATGCAAATCCGGAAGCAGGGGTAGTTTGACGTTTCTCAGGCTAGACCGTCATTCCACAAAGAACCCCGTGATTGGAACGGGACCAACCTCAGGGAAAGGCTGAAAATTAGCATGTAGAATTCCCTGGATATGGCAAAAATGCATATGGTACCCCTTTTCAACCATGGAAGGGATACTTTGTAAAGTAGATTTCCGAGAATTCTACACTAACCCAATAGCTCGACTCAAATTCCAGAACCATCCATCTTGCATATGTGTGCACTAAACCCGTTTCACCAGCTCAGACCAGATGAGGATCCCGGCTCGCCTCAAATCTTCCAATCAAGTGAATCCAGAAGTCGGTGAAGCAGTGGTGCCTGATGATGCCTGACCATGCGGAGCTCGGATCGCAGCTAGGCTAGTCGATAGCAGAACTTGAAGAGAAAGGGGAGATCCCAATTATGAATTCTGAATCATATATTGGACTTCATGAACTTGTCTTACATATTTATTAGTCACGAGAAAAAAAAAGTCATGAGAATCTTCGCCAAACAATGAGAACCAGAACCAACATCATGGGTATTCACAATCATTTCCGTCCGGCCAAAGCATAAATAAACACGGCCGAAAAAAGGACCAAGAACCAACTCCAGGACACCGATGGTGTTGTTGCATTTAATAGGAGCTGCAGGAAAGGATTTTAAAACGTGGTATGGGGGAAAGGGGTAGAGAGATGTGAAGAGAAAGGAGGATTTTAGAGGGGTGGGAGAGTTCGGGTCGTCGTGACTCGCCAAGTCGAGGGTTATTAGTGGGTTCGGCGAATCACGAATACACCTAGCTCGACTCCGTCGCGAGGTTCATTGTCTTCGCCATAGGGCCGCTTGCGAATGCCTTCGAAGATCTCGCTAAGAAGCATGGCGGAGGTGACATCTTTGCCGTCGCTCATTCCGGAATTCATGGTCTTGACCGGTGGGCGGCGGCTGTTTTGCCAGTACATGCTGAGAACTTCCTTCATTCGCGCTTTTTCTTGGTGGATGAACCACTCGACCCAAAGATTTCGGTCTAGGTGGGCGCTGGACCGGCCGGCGTCGGCAATCTGAAATTGCGAGGATGGGGAGCTCAAGGCGTCGCAGAGAGAGTTGATGTTTGCTTTCATAGTGGCGAAGTCATCCATCTGGGAGACTGTGGACATTTTGCCCAAGTAACGGCCCACGTCCGCGGATAGTCCATTAACCACGACGAGTTGTCGCAGGAGTGGGTCTAGGATGGGGCCTAGGTATTGTGACTTGAAGGTAGATGCACCTTTCTTGGTCGGATATACGAAGAGAAGAGAGCCGCCGTTTGGAGATAGCTCGCTGAGGCGATCGACGAGGAAGGATGGGCGGGTTGGGCAGAAAACATCGCGGTATTCTTGGGCGGAGGGTGGGGGGAGATACCGCTCCAGAACGGAGATGTGAACACTGTGGGGAGGTACAACGGGCATGGGAGTATGGGAAAGGTGACGTTGGAGAGGGCCACGGAAATCGTGGTAGGCACCCACCACGGCGGCGCTGGAAAAGACGGTGGCGTTGAAGTAGTCTTCAGCGGCGGTGGGGGAGCGAGGGGTGCTTGGAGGAGAATGAGGGAGGTTCGACAGGCTAAATTGTTCGGGGACGGCGTGAGTGACATTGATATAGGGTGACTGGCCAGGCTGGAGGTGGTTGTGTACAGCCTGGACGATGGAGCAGAAGATGCTGTCATTCCTCGACCTGGGAATGGACTGATTGGTAGTGCGTGGGTATGGAAGGGTTTGCGAGACGATCTTAACAGCATCCGCTCGAGGGTTTGAGGTCGCCAATGATGACACTAGATAAATCAGCAACTGACCGGCAAACAAGTATACTCGGGGGTCTTACCAGTGACATTGATTCCATGATCTAGCCAAGAGCCAACATCCTGTTGATAGTCCATCTCATCGTGAGGACCGGGACTGCCTGAGCTGGACGATCCGTGAGACAACCCGTCAGATGTGCTGCTCAGTGTATCTGAAGGACCGTTGGTCGGTGATGTGTTCATTCCTGGGCCATCATCCATCATCGCCGGGTTGTGAGAATGACCATCAAACAACAGCATATCCGATTTCGGGTTCCACGCAACGTTGCTATCGTCTTCTGGGGGTGTGGGAGGGAGAGTGGTGGGGTAGTCACCCTGGAACGATTTTGGAGAGTTCCAGGGCGAAGACTGATTCGACGATGCTGTTAATGGTCTCGGCCCGCGAGATACGGTTGTGGACAGACGAAGACGAGAGTCAGATCGGGTTCGGGACTCAATGCGAAGGGGCGATCCCGAGTTGCGTTGTTCCCAAGAGGGGAAGTTGACGGCCACGCTGCCCTTGGAGAGAAAGCGGGATACGGTTGATGGTTTGGAGCGGAGAGATCCTTGAGAGGCTCGTCGACGAAGCTTGGCGGGGGAAGGGCTAGCAGAAACAGAATCGAAGGAGTGTTGTGATCGCGGTCGGTGGTCGTCCTTGACGGAGTGCATGGTCAGATCGCTGGGAATTGAAGGCCAACCAGGTCCATTGCAGACTTGATTCATCCAGGTAGTCCGGTCGGGAGGTCGGAGGGCGGACAGCATGGAGTAGGGGGAAGGGATGTGTGATGTGATGTGGTGTAGTCAGGGAGGACAAGAGGTGTTATAGTAAAAGGAGGGTAGGAGTAAGGGGAGTGGATAATAGAAAAGCTGTACCGGGTACTCAAGCCCAATATGGTGAACATAAGAGCAGCAGATGTACCCAGTACGGGAGGCAAAGGAAGTGTTGGCCCAGACTTTGAAGGTCTAGACCATTCAAGTCTTCGAGTCATAGGATCCAGTTTTTTTCTTTTTTTCCCTTTTTTCCTTTTTTCCTTTTTTACACTTTTTAATTTCAACCTGATTTGGATGAAGTTTTTACATTGCATGAATCATTCCATTAGATCTCGAATATTCTATAGAAATTGACGGAGCTTTTAGTACATCTCCTTGGGAGGGGGGAAAGAAATTGGGAGGGGAAAATCCCAAACATTGTTAAGTCAGAATTGGGGAAGAGAATGCTAAAAATGTTCAAAACCCAAGAGTCTAGACGAGTCCACTAAATCTACTGGCTATTACTGGCTATTCTGCCCCACGCGGGCTTGGGCGATCATTCTCTCTGCATCGAGTTGATTGAAATTTCATAGTGAATAGTATCAGATGTAAAGTTGAATAAATAGATTAAATTTCAAATTAAAAAAAAAAAAAAAGAAAAAACACTCTTGTTTCTTGTTTCTGGTTAATGGGAATCAAATATGAAGATCGGATTAGGCAAGTATCAGTAACTTTCTGTCTTGTGTGCCCAGAACTTGGCCCCGATGTACCATTTACCTGTACACACCGTTTCCGGATATCATCGGGCTTGCCACTTTGAGCTTTGGGCCCCAAAATCCAAATCGAGAATCTTATACTAGCTTTTATGGCTTGGGAAGGGGAAAGAGTCTGGATTCTTCAAGATATAAAGATTAATCTAACCTGGACATCGAATTTCCATAGAAATCAAGTGACCCCATTTTAATGTTCTAGAGCAATGATAGTGGTTCAATTGATGGATAATTTCCACCATCCAAAGTACCAGATCTGGTTCACAGTCCAGGGTGATTTCCCCAGTCTCCACTCGGTCGCAGGTAAAGTGGGATCTTGCCACTGGCGACTTTCAACGTGTCATACGAATCTAGTGATACTGAAATTGAAAGAAATTATAATTAACAGTAGAGTGTCATTAAAAGTATGATTCGCTGTAGCGAACCGAATGTGGTAGGACGGCGGTCTGCATTGTGCGACCTGCAGCAAATGTGCCGTGCCGTCCAGGCAAGAAGTCCCTCTTCTCTGGTCCGCATTTCTATATAGCTAGAACATTGCGGAGCCTTGCGTCTCGAGATTGGATTTGGCTCGGTCGCGTTGAGGGGAGCCCGGAAGGGGGATGTGCGGGGTTGGCCATGTGTTGGAAGCCGGTTTTCCCTTTTCCCCCCCTTTTGATTTCCAAAAAAGGAATGCCGGGAACTTTATTCGCCATTTCACACTTGGCTGGAAATTCTTGACATCTAGATGGTTCCCATATCGAACTCATCTCTTCCAGGGCTTTTCACGATGTCATCGACCGTTGCCGGGATTGGGTTGATGTCCCACCAAGTGGCTGGCGCATCTCCCGGGAACAATTCCATGAGTTCCAAACAAGTGAGGACCGGTAACGCTGCTCCTCGCGGCTCAGCTTAACCTGTTTCCGGGCAAAGCTTGAGGCCTTGATGGCAATGGTGCAGGCGGGCCGCTCATACACGGGAGACGTCTTCGCCAGCGAGGGCGTCTCGAAGGTAGGGCTGTCAAGGTTGGCTCGCAACTCGTGACATTGACGAACAAGCTGCTGAACACCGTCGGTCAAACGGGAAGCGCGGTCTTCGATATCGGGCCAGAAGGCATCGCCCCAGAAGGGATCTTCGCGAACAGCGGTCTCGAGTGCGGTGAGCCAGCAATTAAAGCCGGAGCGGGATCCAGCAAGCTGAACGGCCACGGTGAGGAATCGAATTGTAGGTTCGGAATGGAGGACATGCAGGACGATGCAGGTAGGGCATCGCGCCGTTAGGTACCAGTCGTGCTCCTCGATGAGAATGCAGTGGAGCCATGCGAAGGCGCTGCGCGCTTCCCCGCGGAAGGCACGTTCGGGCTCAGCCCCTTTACTGCTGGGTAAAGCCCGGGCGGCGATTCGTTCCGCTTGGTGATTGATCAGGAAGAGAGGCACGAGGAGGGTGTGAATAATATCGCGGTGGAGGCGGAAGGCTTCCTGGTCGGTCGAGTCGCATTCATGGCGGTGGGTAGAGCAGAAAGTCGGACTTTCCATGCCGCAATCCTGACGGCGGAGTTGCTCCCGCATAGCACGAAAGGCTTCATTACGCTCCAACTCGATTTGGTCACGAAGTGAGACGCGGAATGGGCAAGGGGTCTCGGAAGACATAATTGTGGGGAAGTTTTGACTCTGGCACAATCAACGAAGACAGACACTTATAAGTAATAATGAATTGAATATTCGGCTAGATTAAAGAACCGTGCCGCCATCGATTCAATCATGAGTTTCTTTTTTTATGCTTATAAGAAAAAGAGGATGATGTTGGACAAATTGAGGGCCGATCTTAAAGGACAAAATAATGAAAAAGTGCCGGATGCGGGACTTTATTATAGGGGATAACGCCCCCTATGCGGAAACGTCATGGGGATGAGCACGACGGTCGCAGATCGCGCAGGGACTCTGGTCTTACCTTTCCGTGCCAGCCCAGGGTAGCAGGAGTCGATCGTAATGGATCAATCTCCACTAGCTGACGAACACAGTTGGTCGTGGCGTCTACTATTGGCGGGTTTGGTCGGAACGAGTGGATGCATGGAGTTTTGGAACAGAGTCTGGACTTTCCATGTCTCCAGTGGCGCACAAACATGGTTGAGCTCACTCAAGCCATTACTATAGATAGAGTCTATCACCCTCAGAAATCCATACTCGTCCCGAATTTCCCCCCCTGATAACAAGCCCATCAGCACACGGAGGCGCTCGGACTTCTAAGACATCAAGCCATCGAAATTGGGGTTTAAGATGCATTGCAACCCCCGATCGGCAGGGCGGCCCAAATCTGGCCCGATTAACCTACACCGCGATAACTGAAGTTACAAAATCCAAAATCCAAAATCCAAAATCCAATGGTAGATCGTTCCCGACCGTAGAAGGTGGGGGACATGGGAAGTGGGAAGTGGGAAGTGGGAAGGAAAAGGGGTCTCCATTCCCATTTTACACATGTTTGTTTTGGTTTTATTTGAGTCCCAGATGTCCACGTGTACGGAGCACATTCCGATCAGAGAAGTTTTCAGATATTTATGCTATTGACGAGTATCCGTATCCGTACTTAATACAATGTTAACGTACAAAACTCTTGACTAAGTGGAACTCGGTAGGCTCCGACGGTGAACGAGTGAATGATCGTCATTGAATGGATTTTCGCTTTTTCCCGCAGAGATGGCGTTATCAAGCTCTAGAAGGGCTTGAAATCATCCATTCGTAGTATTGATGTACATAGATTGGGGTTAGGGCTAGTGTTCAACGGTTGACTCCGCGTGGAGAACATTAATGGATTATATTTGACTCTATTATTGACTTGACAGAAATCATTTCCTATCGTAGTAATTCAGCTACATCTATTCAATATTCTGTACGGAGTACAGAGTAGAACTATCTAGTGATCTAGTTCTAGTACGGAGTAGTCTCATTGAAATATTCTATGTATACGTACTCAAACACGGGGCTATCACGCTAGCTGCCACTGTAATCTTGGTTGCCAAGCATTTCAAAATTCCAGGAATTTATTTCCCTGCTTTTGCTTCCTTTTGCGCAGCTTCTTACCTGTCTCTTTCTTGCTCTCTTCCTCTTTCTCTCTGTCGCTCGCTCTTTCTGTATCCCTGTGATTCTCTCGCTGTCCAGGGGAAAGTCGTTCTTTGTGTGATTTTAAATTTAGATCTCATTTCGGGTTCAATTGTGATTGGTACTGTCTTACATCTTCAGCGATAGCCTATCTTACACCATGTTTCCCTCGCTCGCACTCGCCCCATTGCTGCTGGCCGGCTTGCAGGCTGTGACCGTGAACGCCATCCCCACCATCTCCGCCACTGGTTCCAAGTTCTTCTACGAGAATGGTACTCAGTACTACATCAAGGGCATGATTCGGATCACTCCAAATTCAATTCGCAGGGACTAATCTTGTCTCAGGTATCGCCTATCAGCTCACTCCCGACGATCCGCTTATCGATGAGGCCCAATGCAAGCGCGATATTGTCCGCATGTCCGAGTTGGGTGCCAATGCTATCCGAGTGTACCACGTGGATGCCAGTGCCGACCACGAAGGCTGCATGACCGCCTTTGCCGACGCCGGGATCTACTTGTTTGTTGATCTTGACACTTTCACCACCGCGATTGATCAGGTCAGTTGGTCTGGACCCCATGCATGTACACCCAACGCTAATTGATGTTTACGTTATAGACTAGCCCCCACTGGAATGAGACCCAGTATGAGCGCTTCTCTGCTGTTCTGGACGAGTTCCAGCAATACGACAACACCGCTGGTGTCTTTGTTGGAAACGAGGTTCTGACCACCGCTGAGGGTTCCATCGCCGCCCCCTATGTCTTGGCTGCCGCCCGCGATATCAAGGCCTACCGTGATAAGAAGGGATACCGTGAAATTCCAGTTGGATACTCCGCTGCTGACATTTCTGCCCTCCGACCCATGCTGCAGAATTACATGGCATGCAGCTCGAACTCCTCGGAACGCCTGGACTTTTATTCGCTGAATGCTTACGAGTGGTGTGGCGAGTCGAGTTACTCTGTATCCGGTTACGAAGAGCTGCAGAAGAACGCCACTGGTTACCCCATTCCCATCTTCTTCTCCGAGACCGGTTGCAACACCCCGGCTCCTCGTACCTTTGATGACCAGGCCGCCATTCTCGGCGACGAGATGGACGGTACCTGGTCTGGTGCTATCATCTACGAGTGGATCGAGGAGACCAATGACTACGGTTTGATCAGCTACGGTGCTTCCGTCTCCAACGCCGCTGCCACCAACACCCTCGTTGAGGATGGATACACTCGCCAGGGTACCCCGACTCCCGTGTCGCCTGATTTCACGAATCTCAAGACCCACTGGGCAACCCTGAACCCGACCGGTGTCTCTCTCTCTGCTTACAAGAAGTCCACCTCCACAATCAGCCCTATGGAGTGCCCGTCGTCAACATCTGGTGGTTGGGCCGTGAACCCGAGCTCCGCTCTTCCTACTCTGGGCCAGACCTACAGCAAGGACTCAAAATCGGCTGACTCCACTGGCTCTGATAGCACGAACACCGCTTCTGCCTCAGGATCCACCGCTACTTCCACCAAGAGCGGTGCGGCTAGCAATGTGATGATTGCCGGTAACCCTGCCACCGAGCGCTTGTTCACTGCTTCCCTGCTCCTGTCTGGTGTTTTGGGATTGTTTGCCTTTTGGCTTTGAATAGACCCTTGAGATCTGAGGGTATTGTTTCTATATGCATTATTGTTGTAGGATAGACCTACTCCATTAGGTTACATATTGGTCAGCTGGCCGTGCGCATACGAGCCTCATTATTGCTTCACTTGTACACAATACACGATTATTAGTCATAGAATTCAAGGACTGGTTTACGCTCGTAACATACAAGTTCCCAAAACATATGATTATATCATACCCAGGTATCCAGTTTGATTGTTGTTATTTAGGCACCCGGGGGAAATTGAGGAGTAATATAGACATTATGAAATTCTAAGATAGGGTACCGTAGATTATACATTCAAACATTCCCCATACTCGTACACCAAACAACTTGAACATTCTTCAAAGCCTTGAGCCAAGATCAAGTTCCTATGCATGAATAGTCAACCTTTCAATGCCAGTTAAATGAACATCCAGATCCGGCAACGCCAGCTGCGGAGAAATGCGATCCAAATCCACCATCGATGCAAGATCATCCTCATCCACCTCCAACAAAGATGGCTCAGTCTCAACCTCACACCGCTCATGCACCTCACTATCACTTCCCTCGAACCCGAAATCAAAATCAGAGTTCGAAACAGACGAAGAATCCAAAATAGACATCTTAGACTTCTTCTCCCTAATCCTCCTCTCCTCCTCCCTCACAAACTCCGCAGCTCGTTCCTCCTCTTTCCTCTGCATCTTCTCCGCCTTCTCAACAGAACCACAATGCAATTCAACCGCATCTCCACCACCCACGCCCTTAGTGACAGGGATCTCCCGTATAGCAGCCGCAAGACTCTTCTGTACCCGTCTAGCCGTCGGTCTCTTATCCGGCTCCGGAGCAAGCATCGCCCGTAAGACAATAAGCATCCGTGGTACAGCCCAGAAGACGCGATCACTTCCCCGATCTCGACGGCAGCGTTTTAGTGCATCGCCTTCTAGTAGTGCGACCCAGGACTGGACTTGGATTGAGTTCCGGGGTAGATGGAAGGAGGCATCGGCCATTCCGCCGCCGCGGCCTGCGCTGCGGTTTCTGGCGGCGCGGTGGGAGGCGAAGGAGGAGAGGGAGCGTTTGCATAGATGTGTTATTATGTCGAGGATTATTGCGGCGAGGGAGAAGAGGTCTGAGGCTGCGGGGTTGGTTTGGATGGATTGCCAATTTGTCAAGGAGGTGTTGGAGGTCGAGGATGTTGTTGAGGAGTGAATTGAGGCGCCGGAGGAGTGGGAGGAGCTTGATGTTGATGATGTTATTGAGGGGGTTGGGATTAGGCCTTTGGGTCTTTTGTTCCAGAGGCGGGCGAGCTTAGGGCTTTCTTGTGCGTGGAGGGATGCTGCTGAGGAGGCCGATGATGAGGAGGAGGATGAGAAGGCGAATGAGAAGCGGGATGGGGAGCCTGGGAGACCGATTCGGATTACTGTGCCTTTTGAAGCGGCGGACGTGGCGGAGGTGACGGAAGAGGGGCGTTCGATGTCGGGTGAGGATTCGTCTAAGGTTGATAGAGGTAGCTTTGTTGTCTTCTTTCTTCGGCCTGTGCGGCCTCCTGATGGAAGGATGGTGCGGCTTGGGGCTTGGACTTGGTGGACTGGTGCTGCGGTGCGAACCCAGCGCTCTGGGGCGGCGTAGTGGTAGCTTTCGAGGTCATTAACTCGGGGTGGCGCGAGTAGTGAGTCTAGGACGTGGAATTGGCCCAGACAGATCTGGAAGTTGGGATCGACTAGGACGTTCGAGGGTCGGATGGCACCGTGGAAGTGACCATGGGCATGCAGCCAGGATAATCCGGACACTAGGCAGTGTGGCCAGGTAATTAGGGTTTGACGACGTTGTTCCTTGGGAAGCCGCTTGAAAGCCGGCGGCTCATCAGTGAGGAAGCTATGTAGGGTGCGATCTGTTTCAGCGCCTGTGAAGAGCACACTGACGCTGTCGTCGACAAAGTACGAGGCGTATATTGACATCACATGCTCATGGGCGAGCTTTCGGAGAGCTCGGATTTCCGCTAGGACTTCGTCGGCAGAAAAGAAGTGTGGTGCACCGCCGACTTGGACTTGTGTTCGCATGAATACTCGGCATACAGACCCAGCGAGAACCACCTTGTCGACCGAATCATCACGGCCCTGCAGCTCATTGTGAATGCCATTGGTGCGCAATACCTCCACCGGAACACCTTCATTGCCGGTATATGAAACATGCTCGCCCTCTCCAATCCCACGCACAGAGAAGCGCCATTGAGTGTGGAAGAACTTTGTATCGAGGGAGGGATCGTTGCCATCGGGTGATAAGCCCAGGCGATCAACATTCTGCTCGGCGATAGGCAGATCGTCATCGTCGCATGATTCGTCAACCAAGGCGAAAATGCGGTCGGGAATTCCGATCTCGTTCAGGATCAGAAATAGACGACCAGCCTTGAGAAGGATGTATTCCATGTATGTCTCACTGGTTAGACCCTCACCCCATTTGGGGAGATCGAACAGCCGCGGCACATTCGGAGGTTGTAGCTGATTGACGATGTACTTGGTATCTAGCGTCGACTTGATTCGCTCCTCGGGCCACCAGAGTGAGGTGGGTTCATGCGTATGTTGAGCCATGCTGATGGCATGGCTTACAGGAAGAAATCAATCGCAGATGATAATCCATTTGGGAGAGAGATTAGGGATATAAAAATGGCGCATCACCATGGAACGGTATAGAGTTTGAGCCACAATATCGGGAACCAAGAAGAAGTCACATCGCCCCTTGTCATCGTTGTTAACTCTGAGCTGGGGCAGCTTAACGCTGAGTGGCTGACAAGATGCTTATCTCTTTCTCCGCAAGGAGGCTCCAGGGCCAGTCAATAGCCCGGAGAATGGTCCGCACATGTGGCATCGGCGGTATTCCGGTTCCTCAGGAGGGTCCTTCCATACGGCATGCGGCGAAACCCAAAAATTGATTCGATCGCGTGAAGGGGGCAAGTTCCTGTCGTTGGATTGAACCAATCTTGGGTCACGAGCTTATCTAGGGAATTTTCATGTCCTGCCGAGATAAGCGGGTGATCTTCGCTGACATATGCACATTTTGCACATTTTACACTTGTAAGGAGTATGAATCGATAATTGAACACGCTATTATTTTCTTTCTTTTTGGAATAGAATTCAGATTTCGCCTGTTCATGCAGTCGATCCTTTGTGGAGGTTGTGGAGTGGTTTACCTGTGCACCCAAGTCCGTGGTCCGAACTCCGAGATAACTATGGGGCAGGGGCGTGGCGAGTCCCATCAACCCGGATAAGTGAGACTAGGGAGTTTCAAGTGACGTAGACAAAGACTTTAATAGAAGCTTACTCTTTTTTATATCTTCTGTGGCTTTCTTATGTTTGGAATCCCAGCTCGGCGTAAGGATATGGCTTCATGTATAGAGTAAATAGTGTGCGTGACGATCATCTCAGCTACAGTAATATACTCCGTAGTAGAGGAACAAAGAGAGGGGAAAAAAAAAGGTACAGATCACACTAGAATGCCGGTGAAAAGAATCTCAAATAAATTGAGCTTTGCTTTTTATGACCTGCAGCTCGTAGTAAACATTTTGAATCATGATGTCCGGCCAAGAGATTGCCGTGGCTGATAGTCAACCCTTTGCTCTATACTCCGTACACTTGAGCCCACTGTATGTTCAAATGTTCCTAGTATCTAATTAAGTCATTTGATATCAAATATTTGGTATTTCTTTCTTTTGCTCAGCGCTGGGGCCGCTTATTCTGATATTCTTGCTGCCAAATATTAGAACACGATCATTGGTTAGATAAACGGCGCACTAATGATAACTATTCGTTCTTTGCATATGTACAGTAATCCTGGGACATGGTTCATTATCCCTGATCTTGCAGTAAGTGGCGTTTCTAGAAGACGCTACCGATAGGAGAACCCCCTAATCGCTGATATGATTGTGGAATTAGCTAATTTGAATAACGCAATCTAATTGAGATTGCAAAGTACCCTTCAAGACACTATTAAGTCAAATATAGAGTGCAGAAAGAAGGAATTCTACATAAGTAATCGACTGGCCAAGAATTCATAATCGGCGTCCCGTGGTCGAGTGCGGAGGTAAGCCCATGGGACGAGGACGCCGATCAACCGGGAGACAGCAACTCAAGAAAGGGGCTACCCTTGGGTCAGATTTTTCTTGAATAATTAATATCCAATCTCTTTTATCCCAAACAGAATGTGTAGTGTGGTATAGTAGTGGATCATTTCGAGTGGTGATGCAAATGAGGCTATTCACAGTGTCCAGCTACTGTGACATCCCAAGTACTGTGACGTCCCACGTTCGAATCCAGCCCTCATCAAAACAATTCGGAGTCTCTTTTATTCGATAACCTATAAAAGCCATGGGGCTACCAGGGACTTATCTTATAAACCTGTTAGATAACATGTGGGTCGAAAAAAGCGACTTGTCCAGATTGAACATGGTTTTCCTGCGTTTATCGTTTATCTGTTCATGTGCAATCTTCCCGGGCATTTACCCCACAAGTCCCACTATCCGGGTTGAAACGATTCCCGCTAAGCGGGGTGCCCTCCCAACTCCATTCAATCTTGTTACCTCTTCATTTGGCCACTGTCAGCCCTGCCATGTACGAGCGACAAAGAGTCTGGCGTGCCTGTCAAGCATGTCGTCGCAAGAAGGTCAAATGCGACGGAGAGCATCCATGTCAGAGTTGCACTCGGAACGGAGCCGAGTGCGTCTTCGAGCAGTTTAGCAACATGAAGCTAGTGGATCCACAGTAAGTACATCCCATTTGTCGGGAGATTCATCCTGTGACACGACTTTTATAGATATGTCAAGAAACTTGAAAATCGACTCGCTCAGATGGAGAAGGAGTTGAAACAGCGCCAACTCAGTGCAGAAAGCAGAGTTTCTATCGATTTATCTGCACAGTCTTCAAATGTTACGGCTAGCTACCAGGGCTCTTCTCAGCCGATACAGAGTGCTGTATCCGACCCGACGGATGAGTTCCTAGCACCGTTCAGTGCAGCAACCCCCGCGTCAGAATCGCAAGCGCGTGAGAATTGTATCAATGTACCGGATGCACCGATCTTCGACAATCATGACTCCCAGCATGGAGAGGTTGCGATACTTCCGGAATCTACCGCAATCGATGTCACACGGCTAGAAGAACCCATCATTGAAAGGTTGATTGATGTCTTCTATCATTCAATCTATCCCATCTTCCCCATTGTCCATCACCGCAATCTGCGGTCCCAATATGAAAACTGGCTGTCTGTTCGCGCAGATGGCCGACATGAAAATGATGGTGATTTTTCTGCTTTACTGTATGCATTGCTCGCCGTTGCTGCATCAGTTACCCCTAAAAACCATGCTGTTTTTGATCAACAGGGGCTCGAAATATATAAAGAGGTGGACCTGGGAGAGTTGCTTTACTCCCACGCAGCCTTCCTTGCTACGAGAGCATATCGAGGGAGCGCCAGGTTTCCCATGAACATCGTCATTTCCCAAGGACTTCTCAGTCTTTATCTCACTGAAGGCGGCAGAGTCAATGATGCATGGGTCACTGCGGGTCATGCCATCCGACTGTACCAGGGATTGGATTTGGAAGAGATTACAGATACGTGGCACGAACATAGCAAGCTCTGGTGGTGCTTGTACATTTTGGATCGTTCACTATCCACGGCGCTTTTGAAGCCTTTGGCTATTGATGATGCGGATAGTGATATCGAATCCTACACCGAACACGAGCCCCCAACCGACGCCAAAACAGACCCTTGGTTCTCTGTAATTGCGGACTTCCATGTAACAATGGGTCGAATATACAGATCGGTGCGACGTATTCGCAAGTCCAACCCGTCTCAAACCGCCAAATTGAGAGACACGCTGCGGTCGCATGTGAAAAAGCATGATGCTGAGCTAGAGAGATACTACAGGAAGCAGGTGTTGCCCAAGATTAAAGAGCCTCACCATCAAATTGGTCCTCTCGCCCTGCAAACAATTGCTATCTCATCCTATTACATCGGAGTTGTACTCCTGTACCGGACATTCATTGAGCGATTGAATATTGCAGAGCCTGCAGCGTTTCTTCGATGTGCCGAGGCTGCATCCAGTTGCATCAAACTCACACCTCAAGTTATCGCAACCGTTCCCGCCAGTCATTTCGTCATCCAACAGAGCCGTGCAATATACGCAAGTGTTAATGTTCTTTTGCATTGTATGCGTCTTGCCCGCAACCCAAGCTTTACCAATAAAGCCTGGTCAAATGTTGAGAGCGGCTTCAATATGCTACGCAATCTCAAGATAAAATGGCCGGAAATCAAAAAATATCAAAATCTCACCGAGGAAGATATGCGATTTACACAGTGTGAACTTGCAAAGTACGATCTTTTCTACCACACATTTGGCCGGTATGGTCAAGGGACAGGAACCCAGAGGCAGGGCGACATTTCACCCACATCGACTGCCAGCCCCGTTCTCAGCCTAGAGGACCAGGGATGCTCTGATCTACGTAACGTTCATCCAGAAGCAACCAGAGAGCCTCAAGAGACAGAATCAACATTGACTCGAGACGGTGAGTCTTCTGAGAGACAATCAAAACGGCGAAAAGTCACACCCGACTCCTTCTTTCCATGTGATCCTACAGCACTATTTGATCTATTACCGACATCCGAAGAGTCTCAGGAGGCTGAGCCGCAAGACATGGTAATGCATAATGACCTCTCTGAATCACAATCACTATTTTTGGGAGATTTTTCAGCGGAATTTTTTGACGACTCAATGCTCCTCAGCTCCATTGAGCAATTTTTGTCTTATCCAAGCGAATGATCCTCGTGTACTCTAACTCACAATGTGTTACTTTTAGCGAAACTTCAATCGAGTACGGGAAAAGACAATCTTATCCAATTACCCTTCATAAAACTTTACCAACTTTTGAATGGACAAAAATTAATGAGCTGGCGCAACCTGGCCACATGAACGGCACTCCCGACTCGCAGGATTCCCCATCCAGTCTTCAATCACATCCTTAAGCTGCGCTTCAATATCCTCACAGTAGAATTGCTCCTCTCTAATAATTCCTGGATTTTCCAAATGAGCTTCTTTGTTTTCACAATACCATCGAACGCGATCAATGGATCGTGGAGGACGAGTGCGCTCCATCACAAGCCCAACTGTATCTTTATATCTCCTTGGAGAGTGAGGGACATTTGCTAGACGGCCGTAACCCGGTTAGATAGCGTAAATCAGGATATGTAGGGGATTCATACCAGGCAAAAGAAATGTCTCGCCCTCTCGAATTATAATATCCCGGAAAATGCTATCATTCTCCACAATTTTTAGGAGCATATCTCCCTTGACTTGGAAGAACCATTCCTAACATTGAAAATGAGTCAGTCCAAACTTCAATAGCCTTCCAAGGACATCATTGTTTGAACTTTTCGTACCTCTGTCTCATTAACTGTCGCAAGGTTAGCATTGATTTTTCTTACTGGCGTTTTACTCACTATGATAATCATTTCTGGTATTCGGTCCCCCCACAGCCATCAATATGAAGTCTTTCCCAGAATAGAGACATGAATTATTTACTGGTGGTTTCAATTTCTCGGCATTCGTAGTAAGCCACGAGGCTAAAGCAAAGGGCCCGGGAATAGTTTGAGTTGAAGACTCCATGGCAAAGCGCTCATCCGGTTGTAAGTATAGAAGGAACTCGGGGTGGAAATATTTCTTAAATGGTGGATTCAAATGTGTCATATCCGTTCTATGTGCGAGTGGAGATTGTCCGCAACGGCTTCCTATTGATCACCGGATCTATCCGCCCTTGAGGACCCACTTCGGGGGGACCGAGTATCATCATTACTTCTATATTAACAAAGGTCCAGAGATATCATGGTCTTTATCACAATTTCATACTTGATCAAATTTCCAGCTTGACGCCGATCTCAAGATGACACCTGCAGTGAGCTATAGCTCAAGCTGTTGTACCTGCTCCACAAGGAACATTCGGAACAATACAAATGGAGAGCGTCAAGATGGCTTTCGAATCGACATGCATACACACATCATGCCTCCTTCCCTTCCAGACTTCTCTAAAACTCACGGAAATCCAGACGAGAATGGTGAAGATTGGATGACTCTTCGACCACACTGCCCAAATGGAACTTCAACCAGCGAACAAAATACTCTCTCCAAAGTCGACATGTTCGTTGGCGACAAATTCTTCCGAACCGTTGAGCCAAATTGCTTCGATCCAGAGGTACGCATGGCAGAGATGGACGCTACAGGCGTCGACATTCAAGTCATCAGCACCGTACCTATATTATTCTCTTACGACAAGCCAGTCAAGCCTGCTGCGGCATTGGCTCGGTATCTTAACGACCATATCGCTTCCGTTTGTCGCGAGCGTCCGAACCGATTTGTAGGATTGGCAACTGTTCCATTGCAAGATGTGTCTAGCTCTGTGTTTGAGCTTCAGCGCGCGAAGAATGTCCTTGGATTGAAGGGTGTGGAGATTGGAACAGAGATAGACGGGAAGACTTTGGATGAGCCGGGATTCGAGCCATTCTGGACTGCATGTGAAGAGTTGGATTTCCCTATCTTTGTGCATCCGCTAGGATATGAACTTGAAAGGGAGAATAAGAATCGATGGGGAAGTTATTGGTCTGCGTGGCTGGTTGGGATGTGAGTATTTCTTTGAACATTCTTTATCTGCTTATACTGACTTTGCGTTCAGGCCAAGCGAAACAGCACTAGCTATGCACGCAATTCTTTCTTCGGGTGTTCTAGTTCGACACCCCAAGTTACGATTCTGCTTTGCACATGCTGGTGGTGCCTACCTTCCTCTCCTTGGACGAATCCAACATGGCTATAACTGTCGACCTGACCTGGTAGCTCATAGCTCACAGGGGTTGTCTCCGGAGAACTATCTGCAGTCTCACCAGGACAATATTTGGATTGATAGCTTGGTACATGATCCAGACTTGCTGCAGTATATCTGCAAGAAGATTGGATCGGATCGAGTGATTATGGGTAGTGATTATCCTTTTCCACTTGGAGAGATGCCCGTTCCTGGTAAGATGTTGGCAGGTGATGAACAGGTGGCTGACCTGTTTCCGCCTGAGGCGAGAGCAAGAATGCTCTATGGGAATGCGATTGAATTTCTAAGGCTGCCGGATGTTTTTAAGAAGCATTGTTAGTACTAATGTTATATTAATTAAAGAAGATTACGTTGTTCAAGATATTCAATAATGAAAGCCAAGTGAATAGAAAAAAGAACAAAACATAATAGCAGGAATTGATCCGCAAACCCACAAAAATGCCAAAAAATGTTGGGTTGGATGTATATCCTTTGGGACCCGAGAAAAACATGTATGTCTAACACTCTGACCACTAGGTTGTCTGTCTCCCAGTATGTTGTTTCTAGCCAGAAATTCTATTTTCCACCACCCCCAAACTCTGCTTCATCGGGCTGATCAAGCTTATACTTCCTTATAAACTAGACGAATCCCAACACCCGCAATTCCACACATGTCTGCTCAAAGAGATAGTGAGTGATTTTGCACATAATTCCCAAGCCAGTATCCCCGAAGCACCACGAAGAGGCAATGAAAAGCCTTCAAAAATATACTCCATAAGACTTGACGCATCCTGCGCATGCTTTACTAATTCCACATACAGCCCAGGATGATCCCCAAACTTCATGAGTATTATGCTTGGGGAATCACCCCCAAGCCACAACCGCAGCACCAACACCAACACCAATATGTATTGGCCCAGCATCCGGAAGAAAGCCGTTATTATTGCATCGATGAACATTAACTGTTCTCATTGGTTCTGTACAATGTGCCCCACAACGCGAGGGCCGGGCCGTTATCCTATTGGTCATGGTTTCCAGGGTATAACCACCCAAACATTACGAGAGAATCTACAACCATCTTCGACTTTGTTATCGACCTTCATTAAATATGACTGCAATCTCTGAGCAGATGTGGGAGCTCGACACTGTGGAGGGTGTCAGAGACTTCTTGTCCAGCCTTCCGGATAACCACATACGCCTACAAAACTTCATTGGCAATGATTTCGCCCAACATTCCGACCCTGACAACTGGATCGAATCATTCAATCCCCGAACTGGAAACCTTCTAGCAAAGGTACCTCAAAGCAACGCTTCTGATGTAAGCCGCGCTGTCGAGGCTGCCTCACAGGCATTCCCATCATGGTCGAAAACCTCGCGACAAGAACGATCAGATATTCTACTTAGGATCGCCGCCATTATCCACGAGAAAAAAGAAGTTTTCGCTGTATGGGAGAGCTTGGATCAGGGAAAGACATTGGCTCGAGCTCGAGTTGAAGTAGAGCGTGCGATATCGAACTTCCGGTCGGTCTTTTCAATCCTATGTCTCTGCTGCTTGTTGCTAATGCTTACATTTAGATACTTTGCTACTTATATTCTACACGAGGAAGGCTCTGCACGTTTTGTTGATGGTCAGATTTCCACCTTGACATACGAACATCGATCGCCCGTCGGAGTCTTCGCACTCATCTCACCATGGAACATGCCTTTGTACCTCCTCACGTGGAAAATCGCACCTTGCATCGCCTTCGGGTGTACAGGCGTTGCAAAACCAAGCGAGGTCACCAGCGTAACTGCATTTTGTAAGGAGCTCTTCATCCAGATTCAAGTAAAATCTACTCACTCGTCACTAGTACTCGGTGAAGTGTTCCGACAAGCCAAGCTCCCAGCAGGCGTGATGAACCTTATCTTCGGCGACGGACCAGGTGCCGGGTCAACACTCGTCAGGTCTCCTCTTGTGCGAGGTGTTTCATTTACAGGCGGCATAAGAACAGGTATCACTATTCGACGGGATACGGTCGAGGACATCGGCAAGCATCTGTCCCTCGAGCTAGGAGGTAAAAACCCAACTCTGGTCTTTGACGACGTCGATCTCGACCAGGCGATTCCAATTGCCGCACAAGCGGCATTTGAGAATAGCGGACAGATTTGTCTCTGTGGATCGCGGATCTACGTTCACCGCGCTATCTATGACCGGTTCGTCTCTGCATTTGTGGACTACGTAAAGAAGAATTACCGATGCGGGGAAACGGTTGGTCCTGTTGTTTCCCTCGCACACTATGATAAGATTAGGTCTTACCTTCTTCAAGCCCAGAGCGAGAAGGCAACTTTCCTAACGGGTGAAATTCCTGTTGAGATCCCTACGGGCGGGTATTGGATTGAACCAACTGTGCTCGGCGATCTTGGCACTGAGAGTATTGTCATGCGCGAAGAGATCTTCGGGCCGGTGGTTACAATAGCCCCTTTCGATACGGAGCATGAGGCGATCCGACTAGCGAATGACAATCCCAATGGATTGGCTAGTATCCTCTTGACGAGAGATGGATCGCGGATGCGCCGAGTCGGGGAGCAGATCGATGCCGGACTAGTGTGGGTCAATTGCTGGCTAGTACGGGAGTTGGGTACGGCATTCGGAGGAATGAAGGCATCCGGAACTGGCCGAGAAGGAGGCGCACATAGCCGGGATGTTTTTACGAATTTGCGGACTCTTCATATTCGTTAGTATAGATCCACGGAAATGACGTAATTCGGACTTGAACCGTTCGCCCTTCGGATCTATCCGAGATTGACAGTACATATTATTGGAAGCCATAAACACATACCATCTCCTGTTCATTCAATCTTCTACTACAAAGAAAATCTACTCTCATTGGATAATATACCATGTCACAAAGCACACCTTATTTCCGGCCTTCAACCCATGCTCAAGGGCTAGCCAACTACCCACATGCCCGAACCATAACCTCTCCTAACGGAAAAGGTTCTTACATCTATGTCTCCGGAACATCATCACGTCGCGGCGACGGGACTTTCGTCGGAGCAACGCAAATTCAAAATCCCGACGGCAAACCTACACTAGCACTCGACATCCGACAGCAAACAGCAGCCGTCCTATCAAATATCGACGCCATCATCCAAGGTGCCTCGGACGGGAAAGCAACTATTGCAGATGTGGTGGATGCGACAGTCTTTCTCACAGACATGAAAGGCGACTACACTGGCATGAACGAGGAATGGAATCGGATCTGGCCTGATAGAACTACTGCACCGGCTCGGACGACTGTGGAGGTTCGCGCGTTGCCAAGGGATGAGATTCTTGTTGAGATCAAATGTACAGCATACTATGTTTGATATGAAGCACTGGAGGTTTGAATCTACTTCTACTCTACAGAGGACGGGATAAACAATAGTAATTGTATGGATTCGAGTAGATTAGAGTACAGAAAAAATAAAACTCCCCAGCTGTACCCATGAAATCAGCAAACGCACGAACCCATACCCATACATATTTCTAGGCAGCACAGGTATCAGGTTATTTTCAGATTAAGCTACAATGCGCCAAGACAGATAAAAAAACAGTAGTGAAAGATAAAAGAAATTGAACTTGGAAAAGATTGCATGAGATTTCACCGTGCGCAAACCGCCAGCGGAAACGGAAAGATACCTCTCTAGAAGTGCGCAATGATAGAGGTGATAATGGCCATAACGACGGCTCCAAGAGCGGAGCGGGAGCCAGCGCCAGTCGTGAGTACGGCCGAATTGAAGTAAGGCGTGTAGCTTGGGGAGGGAGTGGCGCTGGTGCGACGGTAGGGAGTGCTCTTCATTGTGGGCGTGGGAGGAACGCGCATGGAGGGCGCGCTGGTAATTGCTGGAACTAGGACAGGTGTGGTGCCCCAAGCTGTGTGGGTCACGAAAGTCACCAGAGGCACGGTGACGGTGGAAGTCTGGTAGGTGATCGTAGTGACAGGGATAGCAGGAGCTGTTGGAATTGTGGAACCAGAGCTGGCAGGGAGCGTGGGAACACAGACACTTGGGGTCAAAGTCATGTTCGCGGGAATGCCGGTCATGATGGCTGGGTTTTGAGGGATCCATTTAGCGCAGACACCAGCGAAGTAAGACAGGCCTCCTTGAATCTCGGATTGGGAGTTGCTCGATGACTCGATGCAGCTTTGAACCTTGTCGGTGAACTGCGTGTTGGGGCAATAGCAGCTGGTCGAGACATCGGAAGCACAGTCGGTCTCCGTATCGAGCCAGGTGTTGATGCACTGCACGACGACGGTAGCGGCGGGGCATTCGGGTTCTTTGGGCGTGGTTGTGCTAGTTGCGATACATTTTGTGCACACGGTCGTGGTTGAGGTCAATGTGACTGTGGAAACACTGTGCGAGACAATTGTGCTTGCGGAAGTACCGGATATCCATGTAGAGGTGACTGGGTACGTGGTTTCACTCAACCAGGTTATAACAGTCACGCTTGAATCCGGGGTGGCAGGGGAGGTGTGAGCATCGACGCCAGTAAGGGTTGGCACAATGATTTCCGGAGTGGTCACAACGGCAATAGTGGAGGTCGATGTGAGTGTGACTGTCGAGGGAGTGCTTGTAACAACGGTTTGTGTAGAGCTACCCTGAGTGTAAGTAGCTGTGACTGGGCACCAAGTCGTGGTCACGTAAGTAACAACAGTGGTCACAGAATTTCCAGGGGAGGCTGTAGTTGATTCTGGGCTAACACTGGTAGGACTCGACAAAGTCACCGTGGAAGTTGTGGCAGAAATGGTCGAGGTGGAGCTAGTACTGACAGTCACTGGAATGACCGAGACGGGAACTCGAGGGGTAGTCTGAGCAGTTGTGGTTTCAGTGAGAGTCTCGGTGGTCTGTACTGGGATGGTCGACTCAGGAACGCTCGGGGTTGTAGTGTGAGTGATATGACACTCTTCGGTGCAAGTAGAGGTCAAAATTACTGTAGAAACGGTGCTAGTAGTCTGCACGCTTGTAGTTCCACTGGTAGTGATCGTTTGGGTGACTGGGCAGGTAGTGACAGTTGTGTAAGTCACAATAGTAGTGACCGAATTTTCAGGGGATGCGGGAGTTGATCCTGCGCTAACACCAGTGGGGGCCGACAAAGTCACCGTGGGAGTTATGGCGGAAATGGTCGAGGTGGATGTGAGTGTAACTGTCGATGGAGTGCTTGTAACGACCGTGTGTGTAGAGCTACCCTGAGTGTAAGTCGCGGTGACTGGGCACCAGGTCGTGGTCATGTAAGTAACAACAGTAGTCACAGAATCTCCAGGTGAAGCTGAAGTCGATCCTGCGCTAACACCGGTAGGAGTCGATACAGTCACCGAGGGAGTCATGACTGGAATGGTCGAGGTGGACGTGAGAGTGACCGTCGATGGAGTGCTTGTGACAACGGTGTACGTTGAGGAGCCAGAGGTGTGTGTAGCTGTGACTGGGCACCAAGTCGTGGTCTCGTAGGTAACAACAGTAGTCACAGAATTTCCAGGGGAAGCTGGAGTTGATTCTGGGCTAACACCAGTAGGAGTCGACAAAGTCACGGTAGGAGTTGTGGCGGGAATTGTCGAGGTAGATGTGAGGGTGACGGTCGATGGAGTGCTTGTGATAACGGTGTATGTTGAGGAGCCAGAGGTGTGTGTAGCTGTGATTGGGCACCAGGTCGTGGTCACAATAGTCACGACAGTTACTGTCGAGCCAGGAGTACCAGGCGTGGAGCCAGCACTGACACCGGGAGTCACAACGGGAGTAACAGAGACGGTGGATTTGGTCGATGCCACCGAGCCAGATTCCGTAGTAGTAACTTTGACGGGTGTGGTCTCAGTACCAGGAGTAGTGGACTTGGAACTCGAAGGCACCGAAAGAGATTCCGTGGATGTGACTGTCGCAGGTGTAGTCTCAGGGGTACCAGTTGCCGGAGTAGAAGTAGAAGTACACTTTGTGCAGATGGTTTTTGTGGACGTAACGACAACTACCGAAGGAGTGCTCGAAACCGTAGTGTAATGCGAGGTGCCAGAAGACACAGTCGAGGTGAATGGACACCATGTTGTAGTGGTGTAGGTCACAACGGTGATAGTCGAGTTAGGAGTAGTAGGTGTACCAGTAACCGCAGATGGGGAGGATGGCACGGTAGAATCAGAAACAACAGGAGTCGTCGAGCTATGTGTCTCTGTCTCAGTGACTGGGCAGATCGTAGTCGAAACAGCAATCGTGCGAGTGACAACGGTGGTGGAATCGGCCGGGCAGTTGGTGACAGTAGAAGCACAGCTGGTGATGGTGATCTCGCTGGTAGTGTAGACAGTCGACGTAGTCCACTTTGTGGGCGAAGCTGTGATGCCAGCGGGTGAGCTGGTAATAGAAGAGCCCGAAGCAGTAACGGGAGACGATCCCGAAGGCTGCGGCGAGCTGCTGGACGAGATCACGGGAGATGGAGATTGAACCGAGGAAGAAGTAGGCAAAGCACCACTGGGTCCAGTAGGAGTCGAACTCTTCGCTGTGGCAGTCTCTGTCTCAGTAACCGGGCGAATGGTTGTCGAAACAGCAATAGTGCTAGTAACAACATGGGTAGAGTCAGCCGGGCAGTTGGTGACAGTGGAAGCACAGCTGGTAATAGTGATCAGACTAGTAGTGTACACAGTCGACGTAGTCCACTTGGTGGGCGAAGCTGTGATGCCAGCGGGTGAGCTGGTCATGGAAGACGATCCTGAAGCAGTAACAGGAGATGATCCCGAGGGCTGGGGCGAGCTGCTGGGTGAGACCACAACAGATGTAGATTGAACCGAGGAAGAAGTAGGCAAAGCACTACTAGGTCCAGCGGGAACCGATGTCTTTGTTGTAGCAGTCTCTGTCTCAGTTACCGGGCAGATCGTGGTTGAAACGGCAATAGTGCTAGTAACAACGGTGGTGGAATCAGCCGGACAGTTAGTGACAGTAGGAGCACAGCTGGTAATGGTAACCAGGCTGGTAGCGTAGACAGTTGAGGTAGTCCACTTGGTGGGCGAAGCTGTAACTCCAAAAGGTGAGCTACTAACAGAAGACGATACCGCAGCAGTAACAGGAGACGATCCCGAGGGCTGCGGCGAGCTGCTGGGTGAGACCACAGGCGATGTTGATTGAGCCGGGGACGAAGTGGGCAAAACAGCACTAGGTCCAGTGGGAGTTGAAGCAGCAGTACTCGGAGAGGCGGTAGGCACAGTGGCGGAGCTAACAGGGGATGAAGATCTAAGCGATTCAGGAGGAGAAGTTGACCTCGTGGAAGTCTCTGTCTCAGTCACTGGGCAGATGGTTGTCGAAACCGCAATGGTAGACGTAACGACAACAGTCGAATCAGCCGGGCAATTAGTAATATCAGCAGCACAGCTAGTGACAGTGAACTCGCGAGTGGTGTACACCGTCGATGTTGTCAGACGGGTAGTGTGGAACGCAGACGATGTGACAGCAGCAGCTGGCGAGCTAACTGGAACCGCAGCTACAGAGAATGTCTGAGAAGTTGGGGAAGCGCTTGCTGAGGGATTAGAAGCAGGGGTAAAAGGAGCTTCAGCTACCGATGAACTGGATTCAGGGTTTGTAGCTGCAGATGAGCTAGCATGCTCGGAAGATGCGGGCGAGATAGAGGCAGCATTACTTGGACTGACAACAACAGGGATAGCAGATGTTGTGGATACTTCTGCAGAGGTCGAGGGAGCAGCCTGGGGGATAACCTCCAGAGTATTGGCGACCGAGGAACTGGCACTGGTAGCTTGGCCATTGGCATTGGCAGACTCAGTGTTCGAAGGGCCGTCATTTCCATTCGCAGGCGCAGATGTCTCTTGACCGCTTGAGCCAGCAACTATAGAAGAGGATCCACGTTTCCGAATATCCATGTGCGGCACAGAGTCAGAGTCAGTGTTCACATATGAGGGCATGTCAGTGGATAGTCCGCAGTTAAACATGATGTTGTAGATGCCAAATCCAGTACTGTCGTCTTCGTTGCTCTCATCCAGTTCAAATTGCACGGAAGTGGCGCCGGCGCATTTATCAACTGCAATCACCGAAACTCTAGAAGAGATGGAAGCAGATTTGCGGCAGACGTCACCATCAGGCATGATGAAGACCAAGTTGAGATCAACAGCCTTGGCAGCGGAGGCATACATGGTCTTGATAGCGAAAGGAGACCCGGATGACATAGTAAGAGCCGGCTTGCCACTGCCAGGCTTGGCGAGGGTGCCAATAATGGATTTTTTCTAATAATGTTAGTATATGAAATCATGACAGATGGAATGTAAACAACATACACCATACTTAGGGGTACTGCCTGTGCCGAAGGTGTTGCTGCAGGTGAAGTCGGTGAAGTTGAATTCACCATAGGTGGAGAACGGACCAGCGGGAAGAGTAGACCAATTGAAGCCATAAGACTTCTGCTGGTAACGATTGCACTCTATGCTAAACAGGTCGCGGGTGAGAACAACCTTAGGTGTCCACTATAAGAGTCAATCGGGCATTTTCAATGTTGATAACAGGAAACATGTAAACATACCGAAGCTGGAATCCGAGGAATAGTGAAGATAGCGATGAGAAAGAGGGTAATGAAGAGCATCATCATCCCTCTCAGGGAGCTCTTAGAAGACATTTTGAGGGATGTCAACAAGTGACAGAAGCGAATGTTGTTAATCGAAATATGTGCAGTAAACACAAGATTCTGGAGAGAGAAGCAGCCTTTAGAGAAACGAGAGTATCAAAAGATCAAGATCCTTGAAAGAGAGTAAGTTTCAGAAAGATTCGAAAATTCAAAAGGAAGAAAGGTCGAAGGTCGAAGGTTGAGAGTGAAGTATGGATGGAGTTGAAAGAAAGTAAACAACAAAGAGTGTCAACAAGCAAACAGAAAACAAAAAGAATGAGATGAGGTAAAAGAGAGCCAGCCCCCGGTACAAAGTGAATGATGAACGACTCTTCATTACATGGGGAACCTCTACTTTAATATACGCTTCCCCCATTATACTTCTATTCAAGTCTAGAGCTCCACATTCACTTCATTCTGTACCTATTTGTAAGACAATCTGGCACCAAGGGCGTTGTCTCCTCCAATAGGTAGAGTTTTGCAGTACCTGATACCTGATGAAACAAGATCTACCTTAAACAAGGCAAGGTAGCATCGCTTGCAAGCATAACAAAGCGGAGACTAGTGCAGGAAATAGCAAAGCGGTTAACCAAGCATCCAATCAAAGAAATCTTCAAGTATGGAGCTTCTCGGTACAGTGAGATCCGGACGGCGGTTACAGCAGAACCAGTAAGAATTTAATTTAATAATTCATTAATTCAATTCAGGATCAGCCTAAAATAGGTTGGCGAGTGTTTCCCAGATCGACATGGTGTATAGGCTAAGGGTCTAGTTCAGCGGTTAACTTATCCAATCATTTATCTTCATTTTGAAGTGGGGAAGTATTAAACCAATCAGGAAATCCGCCCAACCCCCCAAAAATAGCCTGACGAATCTTACCCGCCATCCTGCAGGCACGCGAATGCTTCAAGTTCTTCTGATGCATGTTCAGCCTGATGACTTTTTTAGAATTATGTACCTGAGCATGGACCTTGTCTACGCCATTCTACGCCACTCTACGCTACTCCCTCAAAACTCCCGCTAGCAGGGGCTTTCGTTCAATCTGACACATGGCTACTACTAGACTAAGCAACTGTGGCTTGACTGGTCGTCCTTTGTATTATTGCATGGTAGACTATCTGATGGGTACTTGAATAGGCTCTTTTCCCTTTTCCACTCTCTCCTGTCATCCGTTCGTACTACGTGAATGAAAATTTCGAGATTAACTTTTTTTTGGTAATTCTGGTGAAATAATATCCATCACTCGTAAGTATAAGAAAAGCAAAAACAAAACTCCTTGGAAGTCCAGGTATCACCGTCCCCTCTGAAAGTGAGGGAGTCAATGGCAAATAAAAACATATGAGAAGCGAATGAATGTGAAGGCAAAAAAATATCCAATGCAATAACACAAGAATAGGTCAACTTTTGGATCATGAGAACCGCCATCGATCTTCTTTTACATAAAGAATGCGGTATTGTCAATAATCACATGTTAACTTGAATATAGATCCCATCTATCTGATGAGAGATCAACAAGATCAACATCAAATCATCCTGCCTCAGGGCACAAGTCTGCCAGCGACTCGACAAATGTAACTGCGTCCGTGTGTATCATGCGATCTTTTTTCAAAATAAAAATCCAAACTTCGTGGAATCGTTAAATGATAGTCCAACGGGGGACTCAAAGAGGTAGCTGGGTGCGTCGTTGCGCATCCATGAGCTTGCGACGCACCGCCTCGCCGCCCGTGTACCCGCTTGCTTTGCGTTTCCGAGTCGGGGTACGCTGGTCGGTGTGCTTAGCGTGTCGGAAGACACTGGCTGGCCGCGCGGGGGAATTAGCGGGCATAAATTCACGGTGTTGAGGGAGGCGGAGGAGGGCTTGGTATCGGTTGTGGTTGCGACGGAAGGCAGTGACAATGCCCTTGTCGAGGTGGTTGAGGAAGCGTTCAGAGTTGGTGTCCTGCTGGGTCTCCGAGTTGCGCTTTGGTGTTGGGGTGCCCATGTTCGGCATGGAGGATCCACCGGCCATAGGAGAGACGAGCGCATCGTCATCGAGATTGCCCATGTCCTCTTCATCTGAGGATCCGTTACCGAAATCAATGAAGTCATCCACATTGAGAGCAGATTCTGGATCATCTTCATCATCCTCTTCGAATGAGCTATCGATGGCGAAGTCGCGAGAGGGGTAGAATGCTTCAGGGGGGCCCATAACCTGACCGCCAGGGGCAAGGTCGTTTCCGAGGGCCGTCATCATGAGATTGGCGCTCGAAGCCAGCATGGGGCTGAAGTCGGTCTGGTTTGGAGATGCAAGGGCATCGGTATCGCTCTCGTCGATCAGCTGCAGAGTCGTCTGGCGGGGACTGTTGTTGGCCGTGCCGGCCATGCTGTTTGCCGCAGAATCCAGCCAGTCATGACGTGAGGATGCATAGGCGGGGATAATGACAAGATGCTTTCCGGTGCAGTCGACCAATGCTACAGGCTTGTGAGGATCCGCCACAAACGTTCCCATGATTGGGCCACGGCGGCGGGGGATGATATCGCTCTTTTCTTCGGCAGCGACCAATGAGTCGGTCGAGTCCCGACGGAGAAGGGAGCGAGGGTGAGTAATGGTGGCTGGAGGGGGTAGATCCTCATCTGTTGTGTCGCCATGATCGGCTGGAGTTTGGTTAGCACAAAAACATAAAAAGGTAAACAAGTAGCCATACACTCATAACCACTCAAGCTACCCTCGGATGTTCCCTCGGACTCGACATGGTAAATATTGCCATGGCCATAGTCAGCATCGCCAAACATCTCTTCAGACTGGCGACGATGACTACGGTGGTTGTCATTGTCATTTTCAATCATGCGACGCAACTGAGGGTCCAAGGAATCTTGCTGGAGGAAATCACTGGGGATCTCATCTTCAGTGTGGGAGTCGCTGTCAGACGAGGAGTCAGATCGCTCCTCGAAATGGACACGGCGAGCCACGGAAGTCTCTACCGGCTCGCTCGCAATTTCGGGTTCCCCGAAGGTGTCCATGACACTATAAATCTGCTCCTCGTCGAAAAAGGAGGCTGCAGGCAGGAACATCGAGTCTCCAAAGATCTCAGCACCATGCCATTGGTCATGAGAGGTTTCGGAAGTGGGCAGGATGCGATGATCTCTCTCGGATTGCATGATCATCATTTCTTCCAATTTTTCCACATCCTGCTCTTCATCCTCGGCATCCGTAATATAGTCTACCGCAGCGTAGACATCATCTGAGCTGTCATCAGAATCACTGCCACTACTCAACTGGTTTCCAGAGTCCTCATCATCGGAGACCTGTCTTCTCTTTCCCTTGGCGGTTTGTCGACCCGCCTTGCGGGAGTTATTCCATCGACGACCAAAGGAACGAGCCTGGGCCAGCGGCCGGTCTTCTTCGTCGTCTGCGTCATCATCCGACTCATCAGCCTCCTCGCTCAATTCTTCAAGAGAAGAAACGGATGAGACACTGGAGACCGAAGAGGAAGATGCTCGTCTTTTTCGCTCAAATGGGCCACTCCCGCCAGAGCGGGAGTTCGCCATCTTCTTCGACTGTACGATGGCTTTGGGAGACATGTCGATGTGTCTTCGGTTGTAAGATTCGGGTGTTGAGGGGCGTGGTGTAGTTTTGGATGAGCTCTTGGGAGTTCTTTTTGAAGAAAATGGGCTCGATTGCGGCATATCGTGGCAGTTGGTAATTGGGACAGGATGCAAAGGTTTTTTTTCTCCGTAAAATGGCGGGGTTTTTGTCACAGGGAACCTCCTTTGGGTAATGTGACTAGAAGTAGATTTGTAGGGAGGTTTGGTTCAAGGGATTAGTGTGTTGGAGGTAAGATCCCAGGGGATTGTAGGGAATATCGTCAAGGGTGCGGGGAGTTGAAGGTTTTTTTATTCTCGAAACCACGAAGCACCTCCAGTCCACTGCGGACGGTCAAGTGCTCTTTCTGGAACTGTACTAGGGGGGCAATTCCGACGCTTGGGGGGCATCAGAAGAGGAACAGATATCGTCAAGTCGAATTGAAGTCGGAGCTGCTGGACTGAGGAGCCGGCAGAGAACAGGCTCCTCAGCGAGGCGTTTACAGCTCAACGAAAGCCATTTGGCAGGAATTCTTGACGGTGTATCTTAAAAAGTGACAGTGGGGGTGAAAGGGGGTGTGGGTTGAATAAGTAAAATGTAAAGCTGTTTGATGGAAAGAAGATGTGAAGGGATAATAATCCAATGGATTTTTCCCGCGAAAAAGCGGAAGTGGGGAATGGGGCGGGTTGATTGGCCGGACTCCACGGACGTCCCATTCGTTGTCAAGTTCACCGCATCTTTCGAATCGTCAATTCTAGGGATAGGGATTCTTAGAATTCTATAACTGTATAGCTGCCTAAAGATAGGTTTGATTTAATTCTACTCCGTAGTTCTAAATGGGCTGGTTGGAAAGCTTTCTTATCATAGGGGAAGAGAAAACTTTGCTACACTATGGATCCAGAACTGGGGCAAACCCATGCGGGTCCATAGCCAGTCTTCAAACAAAAAAAAAACAAGACTATTGCCAATGACCCTAGGAAATGATCAAAAAAGCATTCTATTACCTACATGTAAAAAGACCTGACATGCATAGGAGAAATGATTCTGTTAGAGCGACGTCAGACTGGCGCTTAATCTAGATGAAAGTTGACCCGTGCGGAATGATTCATCCGGATGGGATGAATCATATTGTGACCCCACATGAACGAGCCCAGGTCAGCAAGAGCACTCGTCATCCATTGGTCGGGTCCGAGGAATTGTTGATTTTTTTCCTTTTTTCCCTTTTTTTTCTTCCCGCGGTGGCAACTCGGGACCCTCCATTCCGGTGACCAGAACTTCAATCTTTGACTGGACTGGGACTTTTCTCGACTCGGGAACTTGCATGGGACAATCAGCAGAGATTTAGGCCGTAAATGGACAAAAGGTCGGGGGAATAGGCGGTAAAGTCTGGACAACATGGCGGCTGCAGTATGCATGAGATAGATCGCCCCAAAGATAAACACTACTGCCCAACTCTAGTATGACGAGGGAATTGACCCCTCCAAAGCAAGGGGAACTTCTCTCCCTCTGCAAGATCATCTCCGCCCCGCAATGGAATCAGTAGAGATTTTGCCACTAATCCAGCCCCACTACACTAGCCTATTTTTAAACGGTTGGAGGCTCGGAGAACAGTTGGCCTTTGGGTTCTGTAAATTTGGTTCCACGTGGTCTATCAAGACATGCACAATAACTAATAGTTCATTGATTAAACTAGTGAGTCAGAGAAAGGGGTAGAAACGGGAGAATCTAGAGGCTGAAGTCAGCTGATTATGGGATCTGGGCGATCTGCATACCATCCCCATCCAATCACACCCTGCATCAAACCTTGAGTCAAATTTATTTCCATTTCACATCTCTACTGTTCCAACCGTTCGATAGAAATATGAATGTCTATTTGCATGTTTCTAGGTGTATGGTTCAAATATTATGTTCCTAGGTCCTCGAGCTCGCATCAATCAGTCTCTTAATGTTGGGATCCGGAAACGTGACTACTGTCGTAAAATATATCCAGTTGCCACATCAGAATTATTTGCTTGGCAACCTGTGGACGGGTGGTTTCCGTCCAGCTAACGGATGGTCCCAAAAAGAATATTCTGGATAGTTTAGGACTAATCTCGGTTTCGGCTGAATTCAATCTTGGAAGTAAGATCGGGTCCGGGTGCTCATGTACGTGGCACCCAGCCGGGAAGCCGAGATTTCCAGCTGGTGCCCTGGATGTCATCTTATGCTGACCACCAGGGCATACATAAAAAGAATTTTACATCATCTAACTACTCGCCCTAGGTCGGAACTATCTAAATTGAGAAGTGATACGAAAAATTATAAAACGGACCCTCCAAGGTTGTGAGCATTGAACTAGTTAAATTATCTGAATTATCATTGAGTTGCATGTCCATAAATCGTTATCATCCTCTATGCCCGAGTGCTGCAATTTTCGTCTGCGTATTCACCAAATATGTTGACAAGAGATAGACGCTTCCACATATGAAAATGGGGCAATCTACTCAAGTCCCAGGGTAAGGGGCAATATTAGAGGGACCCGGCTCAGTCTTTGCCCGGCCAAAGATAGACAGACGCGACTTAGTTCGAGTAGGGGCCGCGAAGGAAGGAGTGGTCTTATCCCTTGAAATCTGCGACTCTGAAGTTGTAGCTTCCAACGCCGAGGATGCCCGGGCTTGTTCCACTTTCCTCACACCTTCTCGAATTTCCTCGACCGAAGCCCCTTGAGGTGCTGTGGTCGTGAATGTCTCAGTGGGACGTATCTTGCCCTCGGAGGAGTTCTCATTCAGCTTATTGATCTCTTCCTCCGTGACCAATCGTTCATTCTCAAGACGGACCTCACGGCCACGTTTATGGCAGTACCATAGAACAAAGAGGAGAACTGTGATGGTCATTAGCGCCGAGGACCCAAAAATCGAACCACGGTTCACTTACTGAATAAGGCCAGTGACCAGAGCACGTTCATGCCCAACACAGCAGGGAAACGTGCTCTCAAAAATGCCATGATCGATCTCAACATTCCCACGATCGCAGCAGGCTTCGAAACTAGCTCCTTCAGACTGGGTATATTGACACCCATCTTTTCGGCAGCCGCGGCAGCCTTGCCGACATTCTCCATGTTGACTCCACTCTGAGTGGCCCGTTCACTTGCCACTGCGAGCATCTCTGGAGCCAGAGTCTCGGTCCACTTCTCCGGAAGCTTCTCGATCAGCTTCTGAAGGAAGCCAGGGAGCTTGGTATATGTGTCTTGCAATTGGCGATTGCCGTTCGTCAAAAGCATCTCTAGGTCGTGGTAGGCTGTGGGAACACCGTTGATCAGATCCTTGAAGATCAATTTGAATTTCCGAAGAAGTTCCTGTGTGTCGTCGCCGATGGAGAAGACGCGATTGTTATCCGCAGCCAGATTCAATCGCTCCAGGATATCTGTCATGTCTTCTTGGTCCTTCTGAGCCTCGTTTCCATTATCTGTCGTCGGCGTTACTGTCGATGGCGGAACGGGGGTTTGAGGCTGTGAAAAGTCTCCCTTCGAATCTTTATCCTTGTCCTAAATTGAGAAGTGCAAATGTCAGCTTGTTGAGTAGAGACAGGTAAAGCGGCACCGGGACAAGTCCTACTTTCTTGGAGTCTCCGTCCTTTTTCCAGAACATGGTACTCCATCTTCTCTTTTTCTTCTCGGGGGCTGTAGACTCTGGCTTTGCAGATTCTAGCTCTTTGGTCGTAGAACCACCTGAAATCTGGCTGGCTCTTCGCCCTTGCTCTCCCAGCTCCTTCCCGAATTCTTCGACTGGCGAAGAAGGAAGAGGAATATGTTCCGCATCCTCGTTCAAAACAGGCTGTTGGGAACTCCCCGGAAGAGCCTCAGACACTGGTGATGACATTTTTGCCGCAGAACTGGACCCAGTTTCCGACGTTACTTGTCGCAAGAAGGCTTCCTCCTCATCTGTCAAAACAGGGTTCGGTGCTTGCAAGATCTGCGACGAGCGCCGGCGGTTCTTCATCTGGTTGAGATATTCCATCGCTATGACAAGGAAAAGACCCAAGACCACAACCTGGTATTTTTTTTGCAAAACAGTGGCGAGATGCTCCTAATAGTGAGAGTTGAAACAGGTCGGCGCGTAGTGAAGGAGAGGAGGCTTGAGCGCACCCAGTTGATAGGTCACTATGGGCGACTCGAGGTGCAGGTAGATCGGCAATATTGAAGATTCAGTGAAAAGGGCAAAGTTACCGACACAACGCAGCTGGATTAAAATGAAAGTACTGAGTACAAGGAAGTTTTGAACGATCTCAGCTGTAGCTTTTTCTTTCGCAATGATATCATCGGTGGCTGTGGCTGTGGCTGGCATGTGGGATCTCCACACGACCCTCTTGTGCACAGCCACAGTTTAAAGCCACAACCTAAATCCTTGGTACCATGCTGGGGTTGATTTGGTTTCCACTCGAATTGGAATGTGTTCACAATGCATACTAAGAAGGCTCCCGAATTATCTCGACATGTCTGGTCATTCTTTCACCCTAATCAATGCATTTGAGAATCAGGGCCCATTTAATTCATAAATTCATCGCCGATCTCGCCCAGAGATGGCACATCGAGGACATCTGAAGCCCACGCATCATTCAGATCGTTTTCAACCCAAGATAGCCATCTAGACAGGACAATCAGATAGTATCCCGGATACCGAACGGCTTGTCTGCTCTGGAAATTGTATTTGCATCATGGCTCATGTCAAATGTACACCGTATGCAGGTAATGATAGCCATTCGGAGCGTCAGCTGCTGCAGTGTTGTGGGGTTTTCATGTTTATCATTTCAGACCTCACCGACTGTGCTGGACTTCAGGAATTTCTCCTTTTTTGCGAAGTCAGAACAACGAGCCTCGGTTTAGGAAGTCCCGATTCTAAAACTGCCGGCCTCCGAGGCTTTTGACCCTCATTTAATAGGGACCATGCGCAATGGTAAATTTGTGGCCAGGATCTGTTTTACCATAACACATTGAAATCCACTCCTCGGAAACCATATAATAACAATTTAACTCGGGACAGATATTTGGCATAGGTTACCGCGAAGATTCAAGGAAATACGATCAATCAACGAACCAATTCAAACTCAACGCCCGAAGCTCATATGATAAAATGGAATGTACCGGAATTTTGAGATCAAAAGTTCCGAGAACCTGGATGAGACCAGATTCGTGGACGGAGAAATTGCCCTAAAAACATGATTCATGTGCCGAGGGAGATTAGGGACCAGGGACCGACTAAACATGACTGATTTTTGAGGCTGGACCCGTATTTCTACTAGAGATTCCCCACATCCGGACTGTTCGAGAGACAATCTAGTCTCACTGGCTGAAACCAGCCCCGTATTTCAATCCATCGATCTACAGGATTGAGTTTCCAACTAACCTGGACTCCTTTATGCCCAAATTTCAGCCCCTTCCCTAAGTCAATGGAACATACATCGAATAACGAACTGACAATGATTTAGTGACCCTCTTGATCTGTGGTTTTAAAATGCGGAAAGACTCAGCAATTATTCTAATCAACGTGCAATCCTTTATACCCTCAAAGGTCGCAGAACCCCCACCATAAGCCCTACTATACCATCCCCACTTTCGCCGATCCCGAGTACACCCACCAGCACTTAAACGGGGATATGTCCGAAAGGGCATATGCCTCAAAATGACTGAGTCTGAGATGAAAGTTGCCTAGTGTATAACAAACCATGTGGAGAGCTCATATCCCGAAACACTTTGTCAACGTGTCCCGAGATCGAGGCCAGTGTACCAGAATGAGAAAGGCATTTAAAGCGCAGTATTTCCAGCATTTCCCAGAAATGTTAACAGAAAAATCAAAGTTGCCTTTTCATTTAGCCATTGGCTAATATCTCCATTCCGAAACCATTCGCTATACTACTGAGTACACAATGCTTTCTACTAGCATATCATTTATCACCACTGTCGCATTAGTCGCGCAGGTTTCTGCCTTCCCAGTGTTGCAATCGCGAGCCACTGCAGGTTCGTCAATTGAAAGGAAAAGAAAATCCAAGATGGAACATTATTTGACATTGATAGACACTGCTGCTTGGTCCTTCCTGCAGCGTGCCGCTGAACTGTCGTCCGCTGCATTTACTGGATGTACCGGAACAGCCTTCGATATCACCATTACCAAGCAGGTTTATGATCTTACAACCAACGCAAAGGTACCGTAATACCTTTCTTTGAATCAACAATTAGTAACTTTATCAGGGCTTTGTTGGATATTCCGCTTCAAACAAGAAAATCTCAGTTGTCATGAAGGGATGTACCACCGATGAGTATTGTTTGCTTATTGCCGATGTGGTCCAAAGTTGACAAGATATAGAGACTGATATACTCAATGATGTCGACACGACCTTAGTCGTCCCATCCCTCTCCGGTGTCACCTTCCCATCTGGTGCTAGGATCATGAATGGTATTAGCAGCCCTTGGTCTGCTGTCCATGACGAAATCATCGCAGAGGTCAAGTCTTTGGTGGAACAGTACCCAGATTACAGTCTAGAGTCAACCGGACACTCTTTGAGAGGTTCTCTCACTTACCTCTCCTACGTTGCCTTGGCTTCCAACTTTCCCGGCAAGGACATTACCAGCAATGCGATGGCTGCATTCCCGATCGGCAACCAGGCCTGGGTCACCTTTGCTGAGTCTTTCAATGGAACGCTGAACCGTGGCAATAACTATGATGACGGTGTTCCTGTAGGTCTTGCTATTGGACAATCAATCTTTACACATGTGCAAGCTAACCACGCCATAGAACATGTACATCCAAACCCCATATGAATTCGTCCACTTCGGGACCGTGAGTCGAACCAGTCTTAATGTATTTTGCTTACACACAATTGATACTGATATTAAGTCTTTTACCTAGGAGTACTACAGCTATGGAACTCAAGCTACCTGTGTCAAGTGCTCGGGAGAGCGTGACACATCTTGCTCTGCTGGAAACGGACAGTACAGTGTGACTCCCGGTCACTTTTCCAGCTTTGGAATAGCACTTGGCTATGCTGGATGTTCTGCGCTGTAAATCGAGACACTGGAAATCATTCCGAGGTCATGAACCTTGAAAGTCCTTGCAGGCGAGGATCAATTGAGACAAGTTGTTCGATATATATTGATTCCTTCATCAATGTTGACTATTCAACATAGCTTGCATTGTGCATGCGTCAAATTATTTCTTGCTATAAGTTCCATGGCTATCGGAAAATACAGAATTGCAATTTCTACCAGTTGAAACACCAACCGTTATCCCGGGAGTTTGTGTAGGTAACAGCTGAGTCTAGGCGGCAGAAGTAACGTGCATTTGGCAACGCCGATCGTTCAACCCAGCAGCCAATACGAAGCGACCAGTAGGCGCCACCGAATTAACATCAGTTATAATCATCACCAGGCGGACGTGATTATGCCAATCAGAGGTGACCAATCCTGCGCCTGCTGATGGCGGCACCTGCAGTTGATATCACCTGACCAGGTATCTTAAATAGCGCTCGTCCCCCTCACCCCGACTTACCTTTCTCACCTGCCAGAGTCGACAAATTGCGCACCTTGAGTCTCACAGGACTCTTGAATGCAAAGCCATCATCTGAAAATTGTTTCTTTCCGTCTCTTGACGAAACGGGGGAACTGCTTCGGAGGATAGCTTTCCAGACTCTCTCACATGCTCGTGTGATCCGCAGCGTCAAGTGTTTTGTTTTGTTATTTGTCCAACTCGTATCGCTCCTTCTGATATTTTAGGGTTTTTCGAAAGTGTTAATCGAATATCCTGCTTCGCCATGTTCAGGCGCTCCTTTACGTCGAATAGCTTCACTTCTAAAAGCCGGGCGGGGAAGACCGTCAAGGCGAGTAAGAGAAAGTACGACGAGCAGGCCAAAGAGAAGATGCAGGAGAATGTGGAGAATGTGGATAAACCGTCACCGGGAAGGTGGTAATATTATGATGATGATTTGGGAATCTTGAAAGCTAATCAAATCATGGTTAGTGCGCTGACTAGTCCCATCGTGACGATGATCGTGGGCCAGGACCAGCGTCTGTTCGCAGCCCACGCGGATGTCTTGTCTATCTCCCCGTATTTTCGTACCGCACTGAAGGAGAAGTCTCTGGATGACGGTGCAAAGCAACTGGCTCTACCCGAGGAGTGAGTTGTCTTTTGTTCATCGCCGAGGGAATGAAAATTATATACTTATACTCTGAACAGGGAGCCCGAGATCCTTTCGTGCATTCTCGAGTTCCTCTATAAGGGTGACTATTATCCACGCTTATTGCGTGGGAAACGTCGAGACTCTTGGTATCTCGAGAACGCCCAGGACCCCTATCAAACCGGTGGCTGCGGGTCGAGTGAAGCGACGTTCTTCCACTCCGGTGTGAAGGACATCGTACTCCGGGACACGGTGGTATATTGCGCGGCCGAGAAATACGGCCTCGAAGAGCTGAAGAGCGTTGCTTTTCGCAAGCAAGGTCTCCAAAGCGGGATCCCTGCTGATGTGATCTTGCGATCTGCTCGATATGCGTACGACCACACCCCGGACACTGAATCTCGACTACGCGCTCATTACTTGGCTCTCATCATTCGAAGTCGCAAGACTTTTAAACGCAGTGGAACTATGCAGATGGAAATGAAGAATGGTGGCAAGCTGTTTTTTGATCTGTTTGTGGCGATGTGCAACCACATGGACGATCTTGTGGAAATCCGGTAGGATGACTCCAAGCCTTTTGCGTTAAGGTCTTTTCTGCTAGAGTGCCGCGGCTTTGTGGCATGATGACTTACAGTATCTTTTAGCAGTATCAAGCGGACCCCAAAGTTGTTCTAGTAGAACAATTGATCGTCTCACTGCTGTTTTTGCTTCAGATCGATCGACTTGACAATTGAATTTGAATTGGGAGGCATGCTTATTTTGACCAGAATGGCCTAGCTTTTTGACTGCGTTACACCTCACAGATTGAACCAGTCTTTTGCTTTTTGCTTTGAGAGCAAATTAACTTCGATTCTCACGAGGCTGGCCGCCATTGACCGGTTTGAAGAAACCGCCCTACTCACTTTTAATCGGATTGGCGTATAGTGGCTTGCGTTAATCGTCATTCTCTCTTCTTGATGTACGCTATGTTTCATTACGTTACCCGCGCTATTATCTGTATCGTTTGCATCTCCACACTTTTATGAATTTTCGTCTCTGCTTCTTGAAATTATGATTTTAGCCGTGTGATCTATTTGAGCCTTGCAATCGTTGATGATTCAGAAATAAGAAATGAGAAATCCGGCCGCCTCGAATGATCTTTCCAGTATCTTTGGATAATGTATAAGAACTAGCAGATCCAGATCCTGCCTGGCTTCATGATATTACCCTCATAGTTGCAACATCAGTCGTTGTTCGACCGCCTGTTCATTCAATACTTCGTTTCCGCTCTGACTCAATTTCACAGCCTAGCTTTATTGCCTCTGTCTGACTTGCGCCACAGAGCATTCCAGGTGATAGTCATGATCAAAATTCATCAGCCTGCATCAACCTTCTGATAAGTATAAAAGCTCTTTTCTACCGAGTCCTTGATCTTCTTCTACCATAACCTCACTTCCATGTCTTCGGAAAGCTTGTAAGCATATTTGCCTATTTCCTCTCCCACTTCAGCTGGCCTTTTTTCCTGACCTCTTCCCGTACCACCACATTCTAGATCCTGTCAAGCGCATACCTCTCTCCAAACTTCCCTTCTCTTCCCCTTCACTACGATTCAGTCCTCCCCCTCCCACTAACCTCAGTTGCTTCGAGTCATTACTTCACTCTCACCTTGATCACACCATACTGACCGTCAAAGCAGTACCCCAATCAGGTACCTAACCATCTTTCTACCCAATTCGCCAAAGGTCTCTCTCCGCATCACCTACCTTTGACAATCAACAAAAAAGCTTCTTACCGGTATTTAGCCGATTTCTCACCCCCGCAGCAATGGGTTCAGACTCAATCTCGCCCACCGCCGGTCTGGTGAAGACCAATTCGACCAATGAGCTTCTCCCCGGACAGGTCTATATAATTCGGTTCAAGAATCCCTGCCGCAGCTATCGAACTGACATCTGGCTGGGCGTTATCCTCACCGAGGAATTCGGGCCGGGCAAGAACCTCCACGGACGAGCGAAGGGCGCCAAAAACCCCGATGGCACATGGGATAATCCCCTCAGCGAGCATGTGTATCCAATTTACATGCCCGGAAGAAACAGCTAGTAAGTCAGCACTTTACCATCAACAAAAAATTCTCGTTAACGAGATACTAGCCGCTGGTCGCATGTTAAGGATATTTCCAAGCTGCAGAGCCATGTTCCACCTGTGTTCGGCTACAGTAGTATTCGCGAAGAAGCGGCGATCTTCCGGAAGTTGCAGAAAATTGCGCTTATGAGCTTGAGCAGTTATTTCTGGGAGGAAATGGCGGAGAAGAAGTCTGTTGTCAAAGGGAAGCGGAGCAGAGATGTGTCTTTGATCTTGCTGGATGGGTATGAGAATATCTTGTTGGATATTAGGGATCTCCAGGAAGATTCTGTGACGGGTCGGCGTCCTGGTATGTAGTCATGGTACCTAACCGGGAAGCATACCGTTATGGTACTAATACTGAATTATGGCAGATTACCGGTCTGGCTCTGTAGCGAGGGACGCCCACTTTTCCATGCCACAGCCGTCGAGGGTACAGGCAGGTGATGGGACTGGAAAGGGGAAGGGCAGAGCTGATGGAACTACGTTCCTCAGCTTCCCGGACGAAAGCCTCGTCTTTCAGCTACACGGCATCAGTATCATCTGACGCAAGAAAATTCGACCGCCTGGACTCTGCGATGAGCGGCCAACAAACCCCAATTTTCTCCCAAAAACGGAAGGGAACCCAGCCAAAGATAGAAGATGCCGGTGGAACAGTCAGAACAAGCGCCGATATTCTGCAGCTAAGCATCCAGGCTGGTATCAAGGCTTGGATCCTGGGATTGCCCGGAGCAGAAGAAGTTAAGGCTCTGTTCAGCCATATGATTGATTTCCCATCTCGGCCTGGGTTCGTTCAATTGAGATCATTTTATCTAACGCAGGACTTCGTGCCTCGTCTTGTCCAGGTTAACATCCCGTCGGACCTCAGCAATACCTCAGGGAGTGAAGGGGTAGAGGAATTCATCGATTACCAAGTGGGTGACATCAAGGGTATCGGCCGACACAGGCAACTACAAGACATTAGGTGCGCCGATGATCTCTGCGCCGTGATAGTCTCTCTAGGAAACCTATACACTTATGCCCGTCGCTTGAACATCGAACCAATGATCCGGATGATCACTTTCAAGCTGCAGGTAGCCTGGAACTCGTACCCGGGCTTTTACCAACTTGAGTACCTTCTTGATGTTACCTCGATGGTATACAGGGATGGCCGCTTGACAGAATCAGAGGATGAGTTGGAAGAATGGATCCCCAAATTTATTGCTGATACGCAAGACTTGATGCTGCTTGCTTGCTCGGTCAAGTACCAGGCTGTCATGCGCGAGCTCCCAGAGTTGTACACTGCCGTCTCTGATCTACGGGTGAAGCTTATGTCCGAATTCCCCGGAAAATACACGGACCAGCGTTGCTTGCTTGAGAGCCGTGGAATCGATCAGATTTGAGGCGTGGTCGAGGCCTAGGCGGAGAAGTTCCATGATGGAAGTAATGTTCGTTTCTATTCATATTCGCGGTCGCCCTCGGCGTCGGGAGTTATCTCCGGACTGAACTTGCTATTACCGAGTTTAACTTTATGCATACCTGGCTTTCGTGATGTGCCCTTCCAGAATGAAGAGACCGAAGGATTGGTTGACTAGGAAGCAAAATATTTCGTGGCAACATTTCTTTCCTTACTGCGGTTCCTTATTCATATCATGAAAAAATGGGTGATGTCATGGAAAAATGGTTTTTTACTGGATCGAGGATACAGCAACATAATGTTTTAAAATCTAGTATCAATTTCAAATCCATGTTGATGTCGCTAAAGCTTGTCCATTGTGTCTTGCAACGGGTGGATTTGACTGCTGTTCTATGAGGAAATCGACGGATCACCTTGGTAGCACATCGGAAAAAACCATACTGTCAGTTTTGGCAGTAATACCATGATATTCAGTTTAATAGTAAGCACATGATTATGATATTCCTTGCAAATGTTACCGAGTATTTTCCCTCATGGTATGCACTCTCGGTAGGAATGATAAAACGCAAAGCAGCAATCAGCGAACCTTGAAGGTACATCGTGAGATATGCACAAGGCAAACTAAATACAAGCCGTATGCGCTAAAGAACCAAAAATAATAGTAAGAGTAAAGAACCATCAGAGACCGAAAGCCACCAACAATGAAGACATAAGAGCTTCGGCATAGTAATACACGAAGCTAGGTCGATGCCGACGCTTAGTTACTATCATCGGTAGCTTCCGCCACCTTTCTGCGTGCATTTCGCTTCGGGCGAGATGGCACGTCTTCTTTCGGGTCGACCCGGGGCTTTGAGGATTTACCACGGCGCTTGGGGCCCTGATCAGTCGCTTCTTCCACCTGCTCTTCCTTCTCGATAGCCTTGCGCTTAACACCCTTGGTTGATTTGATCAAGTTCTCTTCAGATGCAGTGGACTTGGCAGGGCGGCTAATCTTCTTAGACTTAGGAACAGCGCTGGCTTCGGTACTATCACCGGTGGTCGTGGGAGTGACTTTTTTGGTGGCCGGCTTTGCACTCTTTTTGGTAGACTTCTGTTGGTCATTAGACTCTTCCTTGATGGTCTTCTTTGGGCTCTTCTTGGTGGGCTTTTTCTCGACATTGTCTGCATCGGCTTCAGTGGCGGCAGGGGTTTTCTTCTTGCTGGCGCGAGACTTCTTGGGCTTGGCTTCCTCAGCATCAACCTGAGAGCTGGCGGGAGTGTCCTCCTCGACATCCTCAACCTTAGCTTCAGTGGTGACAGGAGCCTTTTTCCTGCTGGCACGAGAATTTTTCGGCTTGGTCTCCTCGGCATCATTCTTGGGGTCGGTAGGTGTATCCTCAGACTTAGAAGGGCCTTCAGTAGCCTTGGAGGGGCTTCCAGCGTCCTTGTCCTCGGAGCATGTTAGTTGCTGCTAGGTACTGAAAAAGGGGGTCTGTACATTTTTCTTGTGCCCGGCACGACTTCCTGGAACTCGGAAGGTGCGACAACCAGGTCGGTTCATCTCAAGATCCTAGTGTAACCAGTCAGTGGAAATTCGTGAATATCAAAGTGTCGCTAGAAAACCTAGCTGACTGATTATCCGAGACTCAGAACTTACTCCCCTCCAATCTGCATCATCAATGTGGCCATTCTCAAGGGCGCGGCGGATTTTCTCCTGAAACTCCTCTGGAAGCTCGTCGTAGCCATCCAACAGAGTGTAGTCAGATTTGCCGTCGGAACAGCTGTCCTCCCACCCCGTCCGGATGTTTTCGAGAACACGAGGAGTGGTGCAGCCCCTGAGAATAATTAGGTTTCCACCGTATGACTGACAGGTATTTTTGAATGTGGTTCAAATTTGTACTTGCCAGTGGCGCCAGAAGTAGCTCTGCATTCTGTCGGTGTCGACCCAGGAGCCTACACGGAGACTCCCCTTGGGAATCTTTTCCTTGGCATCTTTACACTCCTTGTTCGTACAACCAGCACGACCACTTGGAGCGAGCTCTGTGTGGACAGTCAGCATAGTGAACAGCAAAAACTATTATACATTGCGCGTGGGTAGGATATTAGTATCTGGGCTTCAGCATAATATTATCCGTGTTGCGATCAACTGAATAATCGCACACCGCAATCTAACACGCGTAATTCGCGTGTCGCTGGACTGGAGATACCAGGTGCTTCCAGTTTTCACATAACGTAGAATAAAAAACGACCTGAAGAAGGTGAAAGGGGAATTGCTGATAGGCAGGACTTACCAAAACGATAAGGCATTATTCGGTTGACGCGCTGCTCAAGTTCACGGTGGCTTTTTCTTGATTTAGAAACCGGTTGAACACAAAAGAAAATCGCAGTCGTCAACAGTTCAAAACAGATACAAACGGTAGAATCTGGGAGAGACTGGGGTTGATGAGAAATCTCTGGAAGGGAAAAGGGTGGAGAGTGTAGTGACGTGACTCCAATTCCTGCAAATTAAAGTAACAGACTCGTCAGCCACAACCACCTGGACAAGATGTCAAGGGTATTACTCTATCCAAACATCCTGTATTTCTATATTTACTTTGCAATTCTAATATTATGAGTCAAATTATTATGCGACTGCCCAGAGGTCTTGCCTTTTGGATTAAGTCGCGAGTAATAAGGGATCATTTGCCGTTCAAAACTGGGAAAGAGTTGTAATACATACTATCCCTAAGGCTATATAATTTGTAAACTTGCAGGCAGCAACTTCTTTCTTTGTCAAAGAAATGATAAGTCTTTGGGACATTTGAAGATTCTTTAAGCCTTCAAAAGAGCTGTATCTCGACCGCCGTATACCTGTACTTGTACGTACAGCTCAGGAAGAATGAATAGAAAATTTTACCGAGCAACAAGAAAAGAACATTGAAAATGAGTATTTATCTGGATAACTTCTTATTTCAATCAAAAGCCAATGGATCTGGGAAACTAGAATCATCTACAAGTGAACACCAGAAGCCGAAAGCGGTTAGCGTGTCGCAGTTCAGATTTGGCGCGAACTTCGCCAGTGCCTTACACTTCTCTCACCACTTCCTTTCGTTCCACCATTGTCAGCTAGGGATTCAGATCTCAGCAAATAAAGCCTTTACCTCTCTAAAGGCTATTACGGTATCAATCCTATCAGCATCATCCATTGCTATCCAGCAAGAAAGGAAAAATAAAAGCATTGAAGCCAACCGCGAACCAAACATCTCAAAAGAAGCAACTACACCTAGCCATAATGTCTGAGCCTGGCCCCGAGTCACTCCCAACTAGCGCCGATCCACGCAGCAAACGGCCCACCAAGCGTCGCGCCATTACACCACACTCGGAACAAGCAACGGAAATCAAGACACTCTTCAAAGACCCATCAAAGGAGATTCGGCTTCCGGGAACAGACAAGCGCGTCGGCTCCTTACTCTCCGCACCACCAGAGATCGTCGCCAATGTCCAGGGTTCCTCGGCCGGAGCAGGCTCGGGCGAGTTCCACGTCTACAAAGCAAGTCGGCGGCGAGAGAATGAGCGCGTGCGCCAGATGGAGGCGGAGGTGACAAAGGAGAAAGAGGACGAGCAGTGGAAGAGGGAACGAGAAGAGGCGAGGAAAAAGGATGAGCAGAAGACAGACAAGAATCGGCGGAGGAGAGAGAAGAAGAAGGCTATGAGGGGGAAGCCGAAGAATCCTGCTAGTGCCATGCATATTGATGGTCCTTCGCCTGGTATGGCGAAGGGAGGGACGGCTCCTGGTGAGCCAGTAGCTACTGGTGCCCGGACTGCGGATTCGGAGGCACAGTATGTCGAGGAGGTTCCTGGTGTGATTATTCACGACGAATGAGGCCGTCAGTGCTGATTTGGCTCTGTTGTACAAATATTGATACCCATTTTAAAGTTTGAAAGCCTAGAATTATAAACTGATATATCAGCAATCAAGACATTCGACATTTAATCTGTTGTTGAAGTATACATGTGGACCCGTTAAACAATGAGACACTATGGCCAGGAAGGTTTAATCCCGCAACTATCAACGCGGGAAGAAATGCTTAACAGCTCTCGGTACACAGTACACAGTACAAATCTCGTCGCTGACCTGAAAAAATGCATTCAAATTTGTCATTACCTTTCGTTATCTGGGACTCTGTCCAGATGCATTAGCGTATACTGATCTAGTTAGACGGGTGGGGCTTACATAACTGCGATAACCGATTTCATCCCGTATTCGATAAAGAATGCTCCTTAAAAGACATTGTTCCTGTGAAAGACATTCTTAGTCTCGAGTATAGACTGTTCCAGTCTAATCTCCTGCCCAGGTATACTTCGACTGGTCAGATTCAAGTCCAGAGATGGTCACAACCACAGGGAGCAGTTCGAGCCGAGAGACGGTTATCGGAGTTGCCGAGCAAAATGATCGTCAAGATGAGACTACGGCTCTTCTTGGATCTCTGTCCAAGCATGTTAATTTGCACACCTCGACTACATATGGCACATCACAGTCAGACGGCTATGTCGCTGCCGATGAGGAAGACAAGCCTTTACCCAAAACTCAAGTCCTGTTGCTCTGCTATGCCCGTGCGATAGAGCCACTGGCGTTTTTCTCAATCTTCCCATATGTTAGCCAGATGGTTCAAGATAATGGCCATGTCTCGGACTCGGATATCGGTTTCTACTCTGGGCTCATCGAGTCACTATTTTCTCTAACGCAAGCGATTGTCATGATTTTCTGGGGTCGACTAGCCGATCGCATTGGACGCAAGCCTGTGCTCGTTTTCTCTTTACTCGGTGTCACTGTGGCAACTGGTCTTTTTGGACTGGCACAATCTATTCCGCAGATGATCATGTTCAGGTGCATCGCCGGTGTCTTTGCCGGAACTATTGTCACCATTCGGACCATGATAGCAGAGCACAGCACACCCAAGACCCAGGCTCGAGCATTCAGCTGGTTCGCCTTTAGTGGGAATCTGGGTATCTTCCTCGGCCCTTTGCTAGGTGGCGCCCTTGCCAACCCTACAGTTCAATTCCCGGGCATCTTTGGAGGCATCCATTTCTTCGAGAAGTATCCGTACGTTCTCTCAAGCTGGGTAGTGGCAGCGGTGGGAGCTACCGCTGCCATAACTAGTGCCCTTTTTGTCGAGGAAACACTGAAGAAGGATCCGGCTCATGGCCACGATGGCGAGGCAGCCTCCGACGCCCCAGCTCAAAGCGGCGAGCTCACAACATGGGAACTCATGAAAGCACCAGGTGTAGGCATGGTCCTCTACATATACGGTCATATCATGGTCCTCGCCTACGCTTACACGGCTATCGTCCCCGTCTTCTGGTTCACTCCCATTTCCCTCGGCGGATACGGCTTCACGCCCATGCAAATCTCCCTCCTGATGGGCGTAAACGGTGCCGCTCAGGCTACATGGCTCCTCCTAGTCTTCCCCCCATTGCAGAAGAGAATTGGCTCGAACGGCGTGATCCGGATTTGCGCTGCTTTCTATCCGATCTTCTTTTTGAGCATGGCCATTGGAAATGTCCTCTTACGGAACGGAAGTGAGGCAGCTGTCAAGGCTTTCTGGGTTTTTACACCTTTGATGTTAGTTTTGGGATGCGGAGTCAGTATGTCCTTCACCGCGATTCAGCTAGCCATCAATGATGTCGCGCCCTCACCGAGGGTTCTGGGTACGCTGAATGCTTTGGCATTGACTGGTGTCAGTGGTCTACGGGCTTTCTGTCCCGCTCTCTTCACTACTCTCTTTGCGTTGGGAGCGAGGACACAACTTGCTGGGGGATATGCTATCTGGATCTTCCTGGCTCTGTTCTCCTCGGGTTTGTCACTCGGAGCGAAATTCTTGCCGGAGCCCAAACCAGTCCATAAGCGCCAAAGTACAGAATAAACAGTTGTTCAAGACAGGCCAGGCTATGGTTACAACACGATCAAAACGGGACTCAGTGGTCTTGTTTACATTCCTACTCTTTTTCTGTTTACTACAATATTGTTTTACAATATGCCTAGATTGAAAATTCGATAGGAAAGGCAGATGATGCCCATCCAATAAAGTAGCCAGGTAGTGTACAGGAGTCTGCTATACAAGGATACCCATATGACAGTTCATTCTGGTCTAGGATGTTCATACAGAATAGAAAAACTTGAGGGCAGTCATGTAGCATTATGTACGGACATCAAGTGCATGAGAATCTTTTTTTTTTGGTCTTGCTCATCTATTACTTACTCGCCACCACCGCCACCGCCGCTAACTTGTTGAGCCGACTTACCACTGCAGATATCGTCGACACGGAGGAGCAGACACGCGGACTGCATAGAAGTTAGTAAACCATGAATGCGCAGGGGAACAGTTTGTAGCTTACCTCGACCGCGGTCTTAATACTCTGAAGCTTGACAGCTTCCGGCTCCCACACACCGTAATCGTTCATATCCACCAGGTTGCCGGAATCGCCGTCCAGACCCCACGTGTTGTGACCCTCGACGTGCTTAGCGCGTAGGCGGGTGAGGACACGGATGGGGCTAGCACCAGCATTCTGGGCCAGTGTGCGGGGGATAACTTCCATGGCATCAGCAACGGCCTTGTACGGCCACTGCTGGACACCCTCGATGGAACGGGCAAGCTGGCTCAGCTTCACGGAAACAGCCATCTCGACGGCACCACCACCAGGGCACAGGCGGGGATTGAAGATGACGTTGCGGGCAACTCCCATGGCGTCGTGGAGGTTACGCTCGATCTCATTCAGAATATCCTTGGACGGGCCACGCAGCAAGATGGTGCAAGCCTTGGGGGAGTCGCACTTGCGAATGAATGTGAAGTACTCGTCACCAATCTTCTCAATCTCGAACAGTCCGCAACGGGTACCGATATCCGACTCCTGGATGTCGTCGACTCGGTTAACAATGGTAGCACCGGTGGCACGGGCAATGCGGTTGTTGTCTGTTTTCCGCACCCGGCGGAGAGCGGTGATGTTGGCCTTCATCAGGAAGTGCTGTGCAAGATCTATAGAAAAGGAATCAAATGGTCAGATACAGGCCTTTACCACCAAACAAAAACACAATCTCTTACCGGAAACACCCTTCTCAGTGATGACAACGTCGGGCTTGGCTGCCAAGATGGCGTCACACATGTGCTTAACCTGCTCCTCCTCAATCTGCAGGATGCGGTTCCAGTCGTCCTCCTTGGAGACTTCAATGTTTGTCTGGGACTCTCCCTTCTTGTACTCCAGAGGGCAGTCGAGCAAAAGAATGCGGGGGTTTTCGATTCTTCTCCGCATCTTGGGGTGGGTAATATCCTTGTTAACCATAACACCGTCGATGACCTCGGAGTCCTCGATTTGACCACCGGGGACCTTCTCAATACGAGCGTAGCGCTTGATATCAACCTCCTGCTTTCCACCACCAACATCGAAGGAAACTGTGCGCACAGCGTTCAATGCCAGGCCGCACATCAGGTCGGACCACCGTGAAACGAACTTGGTACCGATGGAGGCCTGAATAAGCTTGTACATGGCTTTGTCGTCGTGGATGTCGACGGGTTTGGAAACCTCTCCGACAATTGTAAGGGCATCGGCGAGGGCACGCTTGAAGGCGGAGATGATGACGACGGGGTGAATGTTGCGTTCGAGTTGGGGGAGGGCCTGAGCGAGCATCTCACCAGCTATGAAATTGTCAGAAAATCTTCAAGCAACCAAAGTAGGGCCTGAAACTGTACCCAAGATAATGACAGTTGTGGTTCCATCGCCGACCTCCTCATCCTGGGTACGGCTGAGCTCGATCATGCTCTTGGCCGCCGGGTGCGAAACCTCGATCTCACGGAGAATAGCGTGACCATCGTTGGTCAGAACGATACCACCCATTGGGTCAAGCAGCATCTTCAACATGGCCTTGGGGCCGAGACATGAGCGAATGATATCGGCAACACTGGCGGGGGGTAAACTGTATTAGCCTCGAACGAAATGCGTAGCGGTAGGACCGAGAGAGCGAGGATAAGGATAAGCGTACGTCTTAGCAGCGGTAATGTTGGAAAGCTGTGCCCGGCGACCAACCTGTCGGTCGCCAGCATTGGTGTCTACTCAGGGGAGATCCATTAGTAAATGCCGCCAGAACAGTCTCGGGGAATGAGGGGCACGCACTCATCACCACCACCGGAGCTTGCATATTGGCGGTAAGTTAATATGTCGAATGGAAAGAAGGAATGAAGTCAAGCCAGATGCAAAACAAAACTCCCGATGAACAGAGAGAAGGCTAACTCGGAACCGCGTTGATGTCGCCCGCATCCTAAATTTCCAAAGTGGGAGCTCCGTGGCACTAAGCCTAAATCGGTAGGGACAAACCAGGCAAACAAGAACTACATCGAAATTATTGAAAAATCATCGAATCTTAACAAGTTCTCTATCCATATCTCTTGATCAATTGTGTTCATATGGTACAAAGTGGGTGATTTTAAATTTAGTCTATCGAAAGATACATGCAAATATTGTACAGTGTTCGCCCCCAACCCAACGTGAGGCGCTACTCCTCCAAAGCCATTTCTAACCTTTCTGTTGCCTTTCAATACAAGGCGTCCAAAAGAGCTGGACTTAACAGATCCCGTTCAATACTCTCGGCTTTCACCAATGTCAACCACATCAAAAACACCCTTCTCGGGAAGACCAAACTGCTTCAATGCAGTCTTCAGCTTCTCGGGAGGCTCAAGAACATCCTCCTCGGTCAGAACCCAAGTTCCCCAGTGAATACCCAATGCGTTCTTGCACTTGGTATCCTGGAAGATTGAGACCGCATCATGTGGATCAGCGTGTGCAGGACTCCACACATGACGAGGAGCATATGCACCAATCGGAATCAATCCAAGATCAAATGGACCCCGGAACTCACCAACTTGCTTGAATGCAGGGCAGACAGGGAAATCGTACTTCGGGTCATGATCATCCTCACCTTCAGGAAGCTCGGGAACTGGTCGGTATCCAGTGTCTCTGATCAAAAAAAAGGGCTGTATTAGTACTCTGTATTCTGCAATTACACTGCTAGAAGTGTGACATACCCTGCGAAGTATACTTTCTTGCCCTCGGATTCTAAAGCCCAAGAACACCACAGAGTCTTGTACCTGTCAAAAGGACCACGGGCGCTGACGTGTTGACAAGGCACGGAACTGAGCCGGGCGGTGATTTCCGAGGCCTTCGGATGGCCTTCACCCACTGCGTCTACCTTGGTTTCCATGGTTTTTGGAGATAAGGTAATGTCACACTCCTCCCACCAGTCCAGCTCGGTGACCTTCTCAATGCCACAGCTTTGGAACCACGACTTATTACCAAGTGGGACAAAAAAGTGGCAGTGGGGATGCTTCTTTGCGATTGCTGTGACTGTGTGGTATGATAAATGGTCGTAGTGATTGTGTGAAATAATAACGGCATCGATCAATGGGATATTGGTGGGCTTGCAGGGTGCATCCGTGTAGCGTTTAGGCCCTAGCAGGTTGTACGGTCCGCATCGCTCCTCGAGGACTGGGTCAAAAAGGACTCGAAGGCCACTGGGGAATTCGATATAGTAGGCAGCATGGCCCAACCATGTTGCGCGTAATTTTGGGGTATCGCGGCTAGGAAGGAATTCGGGGTTTCGAACAGGGACTGTAGGACCACTTGTATCGGGGACATTGGCTTTACCGGACAATCGGCGCCTGCAAAGAGATCGCGTGAGTTTTTGATCATGTTACCCATGGTGAGTGGCTTACATCATGACCTCTCCTACACTTTTGAGACTCACATCCCGCCATGAGCTGTCAAAAAATAGCCTCGGTCAGCGCATACATGTGGAATGAAAAAAAAAACATTACTGACTCCCATGGATTCCTGAAGCCAGATGCAGCATGATGGCTCTTTTTTGATGCATCCTCTGGGGCTGGTCTAGCCGGAGCAGTAGCGACAGTAAGCGCGTATAAAATCTGTGTCGTGGTTGAACCCATACTGCGAACAGACATATATGGCTTGATGGTGGGCCGAAAAAAACGAGAGTAGGGACGCATGGGGGGCAAAGGTCCTTTTTAAATACCACCCCCTGGGATCCAATTGATCGCGCTGCGCGCAGGCTTTCGGCGTTGTGATTGAAGAATGCCGGCGGAAGAAACTGCCATTGGACCTACGGAGTAAACCGACTCCGTTTCTCCAGTTGAGATAAACCCGATTATCTCCGTGTCGAGCAATCAACTCCCCGATCTCGTCAACAACCTAGGTTGGAAGCTGACGGGCTGATCTCTATTCATCTCAAGAGATTACAGGAATAAGATGGAGAAGAGATAAAGCAACAAACAATTGACGATGGCCGATCATTCGGGTGGCTTGTGTTGTACAACCGATTACAGCTCGGGCCGTTAAAACTCCGATATCTTGACTTTCTTATCAATCCAGATCTTTTGGTTCATTCACCACACCTTGATTTGGGCATGGAGTCAGGCATATCCCATGCTGCGCCAGGTGTCGTGGCTGCGTCAGCACCATCTGCAGGGGACTTAATTCTTCAACAAAGAACCCAGACGCTTCAGAATGCTCAGTCGGCTCAAAATGGGGACGGTAGTCTCTGGTCACAACTAACATCCAATCCCTTATTCACAGCTGTATGTGATCTCCTACCAGGCCACCTCTTCAGTATCCGTTGACAATTTCATATAGGGCTTTGGCCTTGCAGGTTTAGGAGCGGGACTCACATTTGCGCAACGGGGCCTTCGTCAAGGTGCCGCCTTGCTACGTCGCCGCATGTTGGTTGACGTCGAGATCAGCATCAAAGATGATTCATACCCGTGGTTTCTCCACTGGATGACCCTTTACCAGCAATCACAACTAGGTGCGACTCGTGCAGCTGCCAACTCCGGCTATATCGATCGTCTTCTCCAGAAAATGACACCCGGGATGCGCCATCTCTCCATCCAGACCCAAAAGGTGGAACACGCCAATGGCGCCTTGAATACACACTTCTCCTTGGTGCCGGGACCCGGAAAACATGTCCTCCGCTATAAGAACGCTTTTATCTTCGTCAACCGCATACGGGAATCCAAGTCCCGTGATCTCCAGACCGGAAAGCCATGGGAGACGATCACTCTTACTACTCTCTACTCCCATCGCCATATCTTCGAAGACCTCTTTACCGAAGCCCATGCCTACGCTGCCAAATCACATGAAGGGAAAACAACGATATACAATAGTTGGGGTACGGAATGGCGGCCATTTGGCAACCCGCGGCGGAAGCGTCCACTGGATTCGGTGATTTTGGCGGAGGGCGTCAAGGAACGTATTGTGGAAGATGTTCAGGACTTCATTTCAAGTTCATCTTGGTATTACGACCGGGGCATTCCGTATCGACGCGGATATTTGTTGTACGGCCCACCTGGAACAGGCAAGAGTTCTTTTATTCAGGCGCTGGCAGCTGAGCTTGATTACGATATTGCAATTTTGAATCTCAGCGAGCGTGGGTTGACCGATGATCGATTGAATCATCTTCTTACTATTGTTCCGAAGCGAACCTTGGTTCTGCTGGAAGATGTGGATGCAGCTTTCTCCAATCGCCGTACGCAGTCCGATGACGATGGTTATCGTGGGGCAAATGTGACTTTTTCCGGCCTACTGAACGCGCTTGACGGAGTGGCTAGCGCCGAGGAACGCATTGTCTTCCTCACCACCAATCATGTCGAGAGGCTCGATGAGGCCTTGGTCCGACCGGGGCGCGTGGATATGACTGTTCGTCTTGGCGAAGTATCGCGCTATCAAGTTGGCCGACTCTGGGACCGATTCTACGAAGATATTGACACCGATGGGTCCCATCGGAAACTGTTTCTTGATCGACTCCAAGAGCTAGGCCTGATCGAGGATGAAAATGGTCACAAGGCTGATCGCTCTAGGAGCACGAGCGCAGCAGCCCTTCAAGGGCTGTTCCTGTATAATAAGGGTAATATGGAGGGTGCGATCGCCATGGCCGAGGGACTTACCCATTCGGTACACGATGAGGCTATGGAGCATGGCCAGGGTCCCGAGTAATTGTATCATATGATGTAAATATTTCAAAATGTATAGATATCCCTGTTTAACCTGCAATTTTTGCAGATTTGTCTAATCCTCACGCCTTCTGTTGTGCCGCCTCGGCCGGTTGCATGCGCCGAGTCTTCAGGTCGTTGAACTTTGCGGTGAGATTTCTGCAGAGTTCGATCACCAATCGCCATCCAGGACTCAAGCTATTTGGGGATTTAGTCACTTGGACCACCAATCATGTGAACTAAGCGAAGCGCTCCTGCAGTCACTATCCCCCGTCGCACGATCTGCGCCAATCACAGCCGTCACAGGCTAAGCGCCCGGCCCAAAAATAGGGTTGTCACGTACTATGACCCAGCATGAAGCAACGGACGCCCATCGAAGCAAATGTGTATATGTCAATCGAAACATCCCCCTGTTCTTTTTCAAAGTCCTTCCCCACTCTACTTCGCCGTGAACGTGGATCTATATACATCATATTTCAGATACGATAGCCATGAGTCAATTTCAATTATTTCCACCGCCATCGCCAGAGGTGAAGCCCAAGAACCCATTCCGAAAGGGTGTGCAAAGACCAGTCCCAAAAGCAGAGACTGGACCTTCAATACCTCTCAATGAACTCAAAGTTTCTCCCAACACAACTGAGTCAGTGCTGTTTCAAATCATCGAAGATACACAGGCTCTTCCTCCCCCTCCTCCACCAGCGCACCTTGCCCGCTCAAAGTCTCCGGCAAAGTCGGTGTCATCTCATGGTTCCCAATCTGCACGTAGCCGAAGTCGTTCAGACAACCAGTCGAGCCACACAGCTTTGCCTTCTCAGAGTAGCTTGAGCAATAGCAGCGGCAGCTTTCGGACGACTACATCAGCTACTTCACCCGAGTCATTTCAGTCATCTGCTTCTCCGATACCAATGCGGTCAATGTTTCCCCAATTTGATCCCAATAAACCTCTCGATAAACAAAGCTATCATCCTCAAATGCCTAGCAGCGCCCCAGATTCGAAGGGAAAGGCATCTCGCCGACCCAAGCTTACACTGTCCCCGACATCTGAGATTGACCAGGTTCTCGGGCCAAAGACTGTACCTGCAAGTGTGCTGAACTTTCCCATTGGTGTTTTAGACTCTGAAGAAGCCCGATTCTCTACGCCGCAAGAGTTGGAGATGCTATGGGAAGCTGCAAATGGCCAACGACCGCAGAACCTTCATGGAGCGTTTAACTTGCGCTTGACAAAGTGAGTTTGGCATTTATTTCTTCATAGGTTAGAATTAACTCATATTGATTCCATCCATCAGGATCGGGCCGGCAACCTTTACATTCGGCAATTCGGAACAACCATTCTATATGCTGCAAACATACTCGAATAACGAATTGGCTATCTCTCGGAGCGCGCCATCAAACCCCGCGAACGATGTGCCTATAATGACATTGAATCTTGAGAGCCGTAGTCGTCGCGAGCACCCCCATGACGGACTTGTCGCGCTTCTCTTTTCACGGCTGGCCGCTATGCTTGCAATCGAGCAAGCAGATGAAATCAGTAAACAGCACCAGCTCTCCGGCTCGGAATCTAGAGAGGTGGAGAACAAGGCCCTCCAGCGGGCCGCAGCTCAAGAGTCTTGCCGGCTATCTTGGAATCGCAACCTGAGACTCTATGAGCTTCGGCATCCCTCTTTGTCCAAACGGCACCCTCCAGCACTCGTAGGGGCGGCAGGTATTCCACTCTCTCCTGTTCAGTCCCAGTCCTCTGGAATACTTTATATCACTGTCTCTACCTCATCCAGTGATAGCAGCCCCCAGCAACCACCGACAATCATTGTTACTGGCCCAGTGTCGACATCGTCTATAGAGTCTGCACAAGAAGCTGCCAATCGACGCACCTCAGTCCTCCCCGTAACAGACTCCGACGAACCACTCGCAACCTTGGACTTCGCTACTCGGACCCTGTCCATCTCCCCAGCTGCCGTTATCGCCACTATCCCCTCACTCTATGCCATCGACTCCCTAATTGCTGCAATCCTGGCGGTGGCTGTCTCAGACGAAGCTACCAACCCAATTCTTGCAAACATGGAACTTGGATCTCCCAAATCAATAGTCTCGAGCATCACACCAAGATCACGGCAGGGAATGCCGTTCCGTGGAAAACTGATCACAACTCTCGCAGAACGAGAGGACTATGCCGATAGTCTCGAGCTGGCATCCCAGATTGAAGCCGCGAAGGCCAAGCAGGCTGGACCGGAATGGAAAGACTTCTTGAAATTTTGGGATCGGTCCAAGTCTGCGCCACAAGACGAGCAGAACTCTAAATCTAAGAAGCGGCAGAAGAACCAGAAGATCGTGGTCGAAGAATTTGATCTGGAGAAGTATGGTCGGTATGGGCATACTTCGTCGCGCGAAGGAGAGAAGTTGCCTGGTCTCGTAAGGGGCATATTGAAGATTCTATTCTTTGGCTTGGACTTGATCGTCAAGGCATTAACGCTGTTTGTTAAAATTTTGGCATGGGTTTTGGTCAATTCGACGCGCTGTTTGACAAGTGAGAAGTTCTAAGCTGGACTTGGAGCGACTTTACGTTGTCTCCCCTTTCTTGTTCTGTCTGGTTTAGATTGAAGCGATGGAGTATATTATGTTTCTTGTTATACCCAATGAACGATCTTTGGCTTGAGTAGGATCCAGAAATTGGCTCTTCTTTATATCGGCATCTATACCTCAACTAATCTGTGAAATGTCGGTTAGAAAAATCAGCGGTTGGAGGCTATCTCTATGTGGGGCTGTAGGGGGATTTATCGTGATATCCCCATAGATTGGTTGTCAAATAGATGGCCATCCAAATTACACCTTCATCAACGCAAGTGACGTTCAATGCTTTGAAATTAGCAATTCTCTTGGGGATCCAACTTCAATCATACTTGGGTATATATCAATTCAATGGAGTCCATATGAGCAAGGTATAAAAGAAGCAGGTCAATCCGCTGGCCATAACACTTGACCTCTCACCTGTTATCAACTACATATCAACCTCTGCGCAAGACCGGGACCTCCGAAGTTCATGTCGTATCAATTTAAGGATTCTCATGTCGGTGAGATTCAAGACGAGGGACGACCACGCCGACGATAGATCAACGATGAATCTGAATATGTACGTACGGGTAGTTGAATATTAGATTTGTTATCAAGACTCTCCAGCGGCCGGTTATGACTGAAGCGGAGAGTCGTCGTTGAAGAAGATAGCCTACTGACCCCAACATCTTTTGCTACCTTTTATAAGCGCATGCTATATCTCGATACAGATGCTTGGCCAATCAGCCAACAATGCTCGCGATGTTGGCCCGTCCACCTGTAGCTATTATCTCTGTAGATCATTCCATATCTTGCTGTCAAACTAGATACCTGCCACATAACATTGAAGTCGAAGATAATCTGGATACGACCTCAAGCATGCTATATAAAGTGGATTTTAACGATTAGCAGATTTCATAAGCTAGAGAATTTCGTTGTATGAGTTTGATGTGGTTGGACCCGCAGGATGTAGCTTCAACCTGATAGACTAGCTCGGAATAAAGAGACCGATAAACAAGCCTTTTAGTTATTTGATCGACAATCAAAATAAAATGAACGTCTAAAAATAATCGAGAATTTCCTGGACATTCCTCGGAGAGATGGGTAACCAGGGATACAGGCATAGCACGAGAATTATCACCACTGGCACATATTTGTGACATTCCAAGGTGATAAACAGGGGATAGCAACGAGCATCAATGGATAGTGAGCTGGCCAGTCTACTAGATACCGGGGAAAGCTTATGTACACAGTCTTCCACTTCGGGCAAGAGAGCTACATACCTTCACGTCATAATTATCAATACAACCGAGTCCAAGGATGAAGGGATACAGAAAGGGCCAATTATGTATTTTGTTTACCACGGGTAAGATTTGCTATTTAATCCATGAACTCCAGGTGCCGACTCGCTGCGTTCCAGCATCTGATTCCCTCGTTCGACACCAATTCCAAAAACCACCAACAACAATCACAATGCGTTTCGCCATCGCCGCTGCCCTCCTCATCGCTGGAGTCAGCGCCCAGTCCATCAGCGACATCGAAGCCTGCGGTGTAAGTTATCCAAGCCCCAAACACCACGAACAACAATTTAATCCTTAGAAACAGGACGCCATCCTGTCCGGAATCGACACATCCGCACTTGACGCCTGCGCCAACAAGAGCACAAAGGACTGCGTCTGCTCTAACGACTTCTCAGGCCAAATCAGCGATGATGCCGTCAAAGCCTGCAAAGACGCCGGGATCGACCCAGACGACCTAAAGAATTCCTTCTGCTCCAGCACCAGCGACAGCCCCGCCGCCCCAGCCCGGCACGCAAGCAGGCCCATGGAAATGGCGGACACCAAGCGCGCCTACGCTCCTCCTGTTGCTGACGCTGAGATGGGCTCCGCTGAGCCCGCTGCTCCCCGTGTTATCTACGTGACCGAGACCAAGACTGAGTGTGGATGCAAGCCTACGCCTACTGCTTTCGATCCTTCGCACTTGGCTCAGATCCCCGTTAATGTGCCTACTCCTAGCAGCGTGGGTGGTATGGCTGTCGCTTCTTGGCCTGCTTCGTCTAGTGGGGTGTTTGCTGGGGCTTCTTCTTCTTCGCGCTTGTTTGGGTCTGCGGCTACTCCTGGACCTTCGGGTGCTAGTGGGCAGCATTTCAATTCCTTCCAGGGTGCGGCGCCTCAGCTTAGTGCTGTGCAGGGTAGTCTCGCTGCGCTTGGTGTAGCTGCTGTTATGGGATTGATGATAGCTCTGTAAAGAATCGGTTTGGGGTTGTTATTACCTTCTTCATCCCTTCTTGCCGTTGTGTGCTGCGATATGATTTCTTGTTTAGACAGATTTCGGCTTTCTGTTGGGAGTTTATATTGGTGTCAAGGGAGAACGTTTACTTAAGGTCGAGATTGTAATGAAAATGAACACGTATTATTCAGTATTACCCAATTACCGCTACCAGCTACCTAAATATGTACCCAATACTTGTTCATTCTGCATCTGTCCTTGTCAATCCCCGTTATTCAAATTCTGCTCATCATTGTCTCGTCAAATGATATATAGTGTACTATCAAGCGTGGATGGCCTGTTGAACTCGTGGGTACAGCTGTACCAGCTTGTAATATATATCTGGGTGGTCGTTTATCATGACTTGGGGATCCCAACCCATTGCGACAAAGATTGTCTCGACGCCGCTTCCGATAGGCGTCATGAAGACCTGACACACTTGCAGGCCAATAAGGAAAGAGAAAGCCATGATGACAGGAGTGAAAGTTCCATCGTCGTTGTAAGCTGGCTTCGTGAACTGCAGATAGAGATATGCCAATAATGCACACACATATGCCACGAAAGTGGAGCCCATAGTCAAGACAGGGCCGATCAAACAGTCCTGTACCAGCGCATCAATGCCACGATCGCGCATCATCTTCCATGTGTCCTTGGCAGCCGGAATATAAGGCTTTCCATAAAGCGCGATGTGGCAGAAAGCATAGCGATTGAAAAAGGTCACCAGCCAATCGAGCAATGAAATTAAGCATCCAAGGATCCAGACAAAGATCGATCCAACGATATTCCCCTGAGCAGCTTCTTGTCGTTGAGCGATTGAACATGCCTGGCGCATCATATTGATGATCGCAAGGATCAGACTTCCGAAACTGATACTTCCGAAGGAGTAGGTGGTCGCACGTCGGAAAGCGCCGCGGGTGGCTCCCTTGGGCATTCCACCCGCAGACTTGCTCCAGAAGTACCAGGACCCGTACACACCAGCAATGGTGGTATGCACCGTGTTCTTGATCCACTCACTCAACCAGTACATGGCAAAAGTGACATAGACCACCAGACCAATCACCTTGGCGGTACTGCAGCCGCCGTTCGCACAAGCTGGGTTTGTCCCTTTAGAATCTGGCTCGTACCTGACGTAAATCGAGACCAAGGTCACCGAAAACCATGCCGCAAATGCAGTGGTCACGATGCCACCCAGTGCGCTGACAAGGAAGACATTTCCATAACCTCGCGCGACATCCATCGTCGTCTGTAGCATAAAGGCAGTAAATGGGATACGCGGGATCCAGCTGATGAAACAGATGACTGCAAAGACGCCAAAGAGCAAAAATACTATTCCACCTCCGTATTCCTTGCGTGCAATATAGTAAATGCCCGTTGCGAAAGCGAAGACGATGTTCAGGATGCCTGTGGCCCAGATGAAGGTTTTGGTGAAGTAGCGCGCGCCCATAAAGTATGCCCATGAGAAGACTAGAGCGACACAGAGAACAAATATGAAAAGCACAAGGGTATTGGTGTTTAGCGAGAAGTCATTACCGGAGTCGTAGATTCCTCCTCCGCTGAACCCTTTATGAGTGGCATAAGAGTGGATAGTCAAGCCCGACACAGCAACATAGCCAAGGAAAACCGCGATTAGCTATTATAGACATTGGTAAGTAAATTGTATACTTCGGGCTCCGTGGACAAGACAACGTACCAAAAGACCTGCCCATATATCATTGTATTTCGGTCGGTCGATCTTGAAAGCTTGGTTGAAGGTCTGACTGGACTGCGGCGGAGCTGCATTGTCTGGGTATGGAGGAGGTGGTTTGGGCTCCGCTACTGGTGGTTGATAATTTCCATTTTGCGAGTAGCCATTAGTATGGTCCGTCGGACCCTGAGCATCGACACCCTGGTTAGGGTTGTAGTAACTAGCAGCTTGCCCACTCATAGCTGCACACCGGGCAAAGATACAATTGAAAGTGAAAAGTGAGGGATGGAAAAGGTCAAAGAAAACTTGATTGAAGCAAGGAGCTATTTGTTCCGCATTAGAATCCATGACGACATGCATCATTCGCGGAAGGAACCATGATCGGCCCAATGATCGGCCTTGTAGGGTTCAGGACCCTGGAAGTTCGGTAGCGTCAAACCCAATTTTAAGCGCCAAGAACCTAAACATAACTAAGGTACTGGAATCCAAAAACAAGTAAAAACGTACAAATGTCATGTATTTCAATATGCGATGCACGATGCCATTGATTCTTTGTTTCCATCACAACGCCGTTCAAAATGCAAGGAGATTCCCCCATGTATTTTAGTTGCTTTAGTTGCGGGGGACATTGACATGCTTTGCCAAATTGACAAGGATAATTATGATTACAGGAATTAGTGCAGATCCTAATTGGCCTATTCTGGTCACCTGGTCCAGACCTGCAGGTAGCACAATAGACACGGTCTTGGCGACCTCAGCGTCAAGAGATTTAGGATCGACTAACGAAATGCATGGTGCTTCAGATGGCGCCAGGAGTCGACGACTCTGTCTTCCAGGCCCGGTTGGTTGTTCCGACGACGAACAGGGAAATCGTCGGTCGCTGGCTTCAGTTCACCCTTGCTGAAAGCAACAGACCGACGCATTTGCTCTTGACGAACAGCGGTGCGGCGCGCGGCTCGAAGTTCCTCGATTCGGCCTTGACCAACTCGATGCTTTCGCAAGAAGCAGTCATCCATCAAAGTGTTGGCGTCTAGCAACTTCTTGGGGACGGTTTGCACCACCTGAAATACCTCCATAGGATCGGAAACAGCCAGGATATCCCGCTCACATGCTTTGAAGATAGCCAACGAGACACGAAAGAATGTTTTGGAGCCCTCATAGAAGAAAATATCCCAGACCCGCAGAGTGGTTTCCAGAGGGAGCGTTCCAATAAAGACCGACATGAGCCAGTTAGTCAGGCCCAGAGTAATGTCTGGTAATCGCGAATTCACATTGAGTGGTGGGGTTTTACGGCCGGATGGGTTTCCTCCCATGCTGGAAATCTTGGCGTAGATTCCCGGCATTGTATCTCGGAGCAAAACCATGAGGATCCAAAGATCAATGTTGGCGCCTTCCAGACTGATCTCGTGTGTCCCAGGCAAATACAGCGAGGTTATGATATGCAGCATCCAAAAAGCTTTTTCCTCCGGTAGAAAGAGGAGGAGCATGCCGGTGATGAAATTGAGGGATTGAGTATAGCCGATTTTGGGGTTGTGGAGGGCAAAGGCATACAATACACGACGAAGGGATTGGATCATTTGCGTCTCTGTTGGATTGCCGCTTCCAGCCTGCTCAGCAGCATCAACAAACTCTGGTTTGAAGTGAAGGTTGTCGGGAAAAGTTCGGTGGAGATCACGCTCAATGTGCTCTTTGTCATCATTGCTGGGCGAAGCCATAACCTTTCTCACCAATTCGTCGTAGAGGCCGACGTTGGAGTTCAGGAGCTCCCACCCGCCGGCATACCAAAACCACGCGGCGCCCCGGTATTCCGCGGGTATGCCTTTTCGCACATAACGCTTGAGTTTAGACGACTGCGCCGGAAATGTGCTTGGATTTGTGGTTGGAAGCCCATGTTCCTGGAGCATAGCATGCCATTTCTGTCTCCGTTGGGCAGTATAATTTGAATATGGGCCGTTCCAGATCTCGTACTGCTCCCGAGTCACGTACTGAGTTGCTTTGCGAAACCCATACATGTCTCTCGTGTCATTTCCAGAAATGAGAGGTGGAGGGACGGGACCGGGAATGAATATTTTAGTCTGCTCGCGCTTGTGAACTGACTGAATGTTGGATGATTGATCTGATAGGGGTTTAGGTGGCGTAGGCATCGAAGGAGGACGCTCGAGAGGCTCGAACGAAGCGGGCTCGGATCCAAGGAAAGGCATTTCGGAGGGAGCTTCTGCACCAGGGTCGTGTATATTTGGTTGCAAGTACACAGGTTCTGGCAAAATGGACTGCGGTAATGGTGGAATGGGAGGAATATCCCCCAAAATAGGTTTCGGGGGCGGGATGCCGTCCAAATGCATATCTCGGGATGGGGGCGGTGTTATTGACAGTGCTTTGCTGTCAGCCCGAGACATAGGAGATGCCGGCTCTTCTGTAACATCGCTGAAGCCGTCAAGGTACATGGAAATCGCGTCTTCCACACTCATGCCATCCTCCATGCCATAGGGAGCATCAGGTGTATCCGGTGACAAATCGGTAATCGAGCTGCTCTTCGTAAGTACACTACTGCGCTCCGTGCCACTGTGTTGCTCAATGCTCGACCGCGATGTCATGGCAGAGTTCACGCTGGTTCGGAGGGATTTGTTATCCGCGGACCCCTGGTGTGGGAAACGTGGTGGCGGCGGCAGGCCATGGACGTTGAGCTCCTGGCGTCGGTCTGGGGATTCTTGTAATCGCGGCCGCCTGCCGTGCAATCTGGAAGTAGACATAGATATTCGCAGACCGCCCCTGGCCGGCGCGGCCTTGCGATTGGGCGTCCAGTCTGGTTCGTTATCGCGAGGGTAGTATCTTGGGGTTTGTGGGTCGGGTGATTGTAAAGGGGGAGGGTAGCCAACGGATTGCTTCGCCCTCCAATCTTCTGGAATCTCCTGCGGGGAGCCTGCCCGGAGAGACATCGGAAGCCACGGTCGGTCATCTGAAAAAGACCTGGCCGATGGGGGGTTGGGCGAGCGTGCGCGTTGGTCGTATGTTGAGTTCGGAGAACGCGGCGATGACCTGGGGGTAGATCTGGCAGTTCGTGGTGCGCGGGGATCGATCTTCAGAGGATCCAATCGCGCCGTTTGGGAAATCTTGCGGCGACCGCGTAGATCTGATTCCTCAAAGGGAGACGGGTATCTCGAGGTTCCATTTTCTGTGACCATGGCCACCAACTAGTAACCAGTTCCCGCTGGACATTTGTTTTCGTGACGAAAGGTCCCAAGTAATAGCCGTGAGACCCTAGGAGACTGGTGTATAGTGGCAAATAGGTGGTAAAAAGTTGATAGTCGCGTGGGTATCTGTGTGTACGTTGTACACGAAGGGCGCGAAGAAAAAGAAACAAGTCAACGAAAGACCGAGCTAATTGCTCTAGGGATTTCAAAATATGAGTGCCAGGAAAGGAATGACAAAGTGGACCAAGCTGAAAAGAAAAATGAAGCGAGACCTGCCAGAGGACTGGAATGAGGACGAAGTTGAGACAAAAATCAACAGAAGCCTGTTCTAGCCTAGCGTCACATGACGTCGACAAGGGCGTTTCGAAAAAAGTCAATTTTTAATCAATTTATGAACAATGTGACTAGTCTTGATCAATTAATTCCTAAGGTGAATGTAGTTCTTATTGTTTCTGGGGATACCATGCAGAACTCGTATAGTACTGTTGATTCTATTGTTCTTTCATGCAACGGAACGGGGATCAACCTTGATTTAAACCAAACGGATGATCCGGGGACTTGGTTGCTTCCCCAACATCCTTCTTTTCGCTGTTAGTATTGCAACTATCTTGCATTATTTTACAACCCTCACCTTTATGGTTGTTTATTGTGGGGATCATAATGTGTTTCCATGGATCCTTGGACCCTCTTTCCTTTCAAAAGCTGTCGACCTATGACAATCCACGAAATACCCATGTCATAAACTCTTCAACTCCAAATTCAAAATATTTGAATACAATTGCTTCGAAAATAGACATATCGAATGAGACCCTATCGTCACAACGGCCCGGCTAAGCTTAATTGTGATGGGTCAACCGTACATCCATGTGTTTTTGCCGCACAAACCAAGCATTAACCGTTGTCCATTCCTTCTCCGGGTTCTCTAAAGTGATCTATCGTAGTACCCCAGTCAGATACGACACCTCGATCCGCACGCGATACACCCGCATTATCTTACCTCGAAGGTCAAAAAGAGTGATGGGATCAGCTTATAGATCTCCAGCAGACTGATGTTCTTGCCTATACACGTCCGAGGCCCCGCTCCAAACGTAAAGGTCGCTCGTAGCATTTGCTGTTTCCGTGCTTGATACTCATCCTCTGACTCTCCTTCCATCTGCAGCCATCGCTCAGGAATGAACAAGTCGACTTTCTCCCCGAAACAAGAATGGCGGTGGATTATCCACGGGTTGGCTCCGACAATCGTTCCTGCAGGCAAGAAGGGACCGCCATTAGGAAGTTGTAGTCCTCCTGTGGGTACGATGCGCTCGAGTAACAGACCCACTGCCGGATGCAGGCGGAGCGCTTCTTTAACCACGGCGTCGAGATAAGGTAGCTCCTCTTGACTTTGCTTCCAGGAGACAGGACAGGAGATTCGACCTGCTTGGTAAGCACTTTTCAGTTCGTCGTGCAGCTTTCTTGACACCCTAGGAGATTTTAGCGTGTAATAAAGAATTGCCCGGAGTGAAATAGCGGTGGTGTCGGAACCAGCAATTAAATTGCTGATCGTGTATGAGAAGATCTGATTGTCCGTCACAATACCCGGGTGTTCTTTTTTGGCTTCGAAGAAACGTGCCAAGAAATCCCTGTGTGCTGGATGGGCTACCTTGCTGGTAGGTTTTTCACTGGACTGTGACTCTTGAAGTCTTTCATTCAATCGAGCACGTGCAAAGCGAGCCACAGCACCAGTTGAACCCCCCTGGATAAGCTGCCGAAGAGGGTTCTTGATGAACAAATAGTCGAGCCAAGGCATTTGGCCAATCTACTCCGTCTAAGTACGCCTTCGGCTGATAGAAATGGAGACTGACCTTGCCAGAATAGTCAAGCATGCGTTCCAGTGCAGCAATGATGCCATCTACATCGTTCCCATTCTCCAGGAACCCAAGCGGCTTGCTGAATGTCAACTCGCCAATAACGTCGAATGCATCTACTCAAAAGTCAACAGCTTATTCTACCAGTCTTCTGCAGCTACCCACAATATTGCAACCAAGAAGCAATATCGCAGACCTTCCTTTGATCCACAAACCTGTCCAGCTTTGCAAAGAAAGTCTGAATGGTCTTGTCAACAAATGGCTCAAATTCAGTCAACGTGCTCATGGAATATGCAGCCGAGATAGGGCGTTTGATTGAGGCATGATATTCTTCATCTGTGGTGGTGAATAGGGTAGGAGTTGGTCTGCCATTGGCTAATTGTTGTTGCACATGATAGAATTCAGTCTGAAAAATTAGTGACGTGGAGACACTCTAGGTACGCAAAGATGAGTTCAAATCCCAGTTCACTTACTTTTCGATAACCTTTATTGATTCCATAGATCACTTTCAGCGAATCCAGATCCCAGACACTGACAACATTTGGACCCAATCGAACATAGTCCCCGTATTTCTTATGTAGTTTGTACAAACTGGCTTCGGCGTGCCCATTCGCCACATCAATGAATCTCCAGACATTGGATAATCCTGCGAGGAATGGCCCCGGTACAGATGAAACACCCGGCTTAAGATAATTGCGACTGAGATGGACTATGACGAGAAGAAGAAGGATGCTTGTCGCGTGTTGGATTACGAAGGTCACTGAGTCTGAGATGATTGCCATAGTGTTTTGGATCGTTAATCACGTAGCACAATCAAATGGATTCCAAACCATCCATGACGGAGTGCTTTATGTGCCATATATGATCAAGGAAAGATCTGTGGGGGTGGGGCTTGCGGGGAAGTTATGACGACCTTAATTCCGCTGACGGAAAGGCAAACAAAAGCTTGGCTCGTATTTCTACCAGATCTCATACCATTACCGAGGCCTACTATAATTCAAAAAGTCAGTTAACATGATTTCAGGACGGCAGCTTCCAAAATTAAAATTCTCTCGTATCATTTCTGGGCATATATTTAGCGGCATAAGTACAATATGATAGGGGCTGTGCATAGTCTTCGTCAGAACGCGCATGTCGCATGAAATTTTCCAAGCGATTACAGCAGATATTTTCTCAAAGTTATGAGGCTATCATCCTAAAATTAGACAGGCCAATCCACATCTCGCTTAAATCACAAATGCCTCTGCCAAGCCGCACAAGAGGAATGGGTGATAGATCATTCTGCACGTCGAAGGTTTTGTGCCGTCTTGTGCTAGTCAAAAAAACACCGAGTGGGGAACCAACAAATCCCCGGTGAACTTAGAACACGCGGTCTCTGGTTCATGATAGGGCGCCTTGACCTAAGCTGGTCGCTTCCCGGAACAGGGAGGTAAAAGACAAACTGGTCGAATCAAGGGTCCTCAATATATATTCACTGCCGAGCTGAGCATTTGAGACGATCCTACTACGTATCGATATGTATCGGGAGCTTTTAGCAAGGTCTTTGTTTGAGGTGCCAATGCTTCCGAGGTTATAGACCACCTGAGCAGTTGCACCACTTTTTACCAATCTCGAGCCAAGAAATGCAATTGATGCATTGTTCCGTAACGCATGCATGTAGTCTCAATATTTTAGAATAGAAACTGAGAATAGTCCAGTGGTCATTGCTTTTAATATGCTCAACTTCTAGTCAACAGAAGCTCCCTTATCCAAGCCAATATGCGATCCAGGCCATGGCAAAAGTAACAGTTGTCTATCGATAGACATGTAGAATGCAAAAGCGTCGAAGTCATTAGGCGTGGCTCAAAACAAGTGCTCTTTATTCTGCAACAGCATACTTGCGAGTCCAGTCCCGCGCAATCTCCTCATACCGTTTCTTGTCGTTTTTGTATTGGTCAGCGATTCGACCCTCGATAGCATCATCTGGCATGGGCTCTGATAGCAGTTGACGAGCGAATTGTAAGACGGCCGAGATCTTCGAGCTCGGCTTCCACTCGTCGGCTCTCAGCATACCCAAGCACATGCTTCCTTTCTCATCATTTGTGATGTTGGGGTGGTAAATTCTTGTGGCGAAGGAGACGGTGGGGGGCTTGAAAGGGTATCCGGTTGGTAGAGAGAGCTTGACTAGGAATCGGCCTTTCTGTGTAATCAAGAATGTCAGCGAGCTTCGGATAATAATATTAAAGAAGAAGAAAACAGCGCGTCCTATTGGGGGCCATGTTCCTGCCTTGGGCGGATCCCTTTCAGTCCCAGAGGCCCTGGGGCAAGGTAGAGCAGGCGTCATGTCGGTAAAGAGAGAGGTTTCTTACTTGGTATGGTGATCCTTCAGGCCCTTCCATGTACACCTTCCACTCATACAGGTTTGCTTCGTCGGCCAATTCGACACTGATGCCATCCGGGGGCGACTCCGTGAGTTCGGCCAGCTCCTGCAAGGGAAAAAAACGTCAGTGGATAAAAAATAACAAATGATTGAGGATAATAGTAGCTCCAGAAGATTTTACCTTGGTAATGCGCTTCTGGCTGGTCATATTGTTGAGATGGTCAGATCGTAGAGGGGCGCTTGGGGACTGCGGGGAGTTGGGGAGGCGATGAGGCGCCTCTTGAAGATATAAGGACTGTGGAAGTCGATTTTGAGGACTTGGAAGGGAGGAGTTTGGCTGCACAAGGATCAAAAGGTCCAAATTGTGAGTCACTGGGGGTTAGGCGTGGTAAAGCTCGGAGCCTCAAGAAATCGGAAGTTGGTGGGGTGCGCAAAGACGTCAGTATATTCGGCCCGCAAGGTCAACCACAGTTAAGTCTCGATGGACCATGCCCCTTGGTATCTATAGCCATTGCTTGGATAAATATTATAAGTCTTTTTTTATTATTTAACCAGCTGTGCCGATACATCTTGATCGACTTTATACCAATTATTCCCGCTGCAGCATTACCATCAATCCCATACAACCCAATAAAGCAGTCTTCATCCAGGGGTGTTCCGATAGCATAATTGTCACATACCCAACCATTGGGATGTATCCTCTCACACTTCCGACAATGTCCGCTAGAGAATACATTAGTTTTGACCCAAAGAATCAGTCGGAGGATGATAAAGTTTCCGCCCGAATTTACAAGCATGACATGTGCGCCTGATATGAAAAGATAGCTTACCGTTGCGATCCAGGTGATCTTGACCCTTTGCATACTAGTGTAGACTGAGGTTAGCTTTTGGTGATAGGTTGATAACAAGTGCAAAAAAGAACTAACCAGCTCCGTGTCATCAGCCAAGTTATTATCGCCCTGTTTATAAAGCAGAATCAGTAGGTGTCACAATCCAGAAAAATGCTATCTACAAAGTAACATACCTTTGTCAGAAGCATTTGAGTACCCGGTGCGGAGTCACTGATAAGTCAGTCAGAATCCAAGCTAACAATTGAACAAAGACTCTCGTGAAAAGACTTTGATCCAGAATTGAACATACACTGTGATTTCCTTCACTTTGTTCTTTTTGGGCTCCATTTCTGGGAAGGTTCGGGAGACGCGGTGGACGATACTAGTCATTGTTAGCAGATGTCGAATTTAAAGATCAAGAGTAGACTTCGGTTTTCGTACGGAATATCCTTGCCCCTCACGTTGTACCTATTCCAAGTTCAAGTCAGTAAGGCCGATTCTCATCCGTTGCAGCAAGGGAATACCAACACAACGACCTCTCCAACCTCCACTCGAGGGCTTCTATTCCACAAAAACAGAAGATCACCACGCTGGAAAGCAGGCTCCATGCTACCACTCAAAACCACCACAATAGGGCTGGATGAAGCGCTAAAGATTGATAGCCCCTTCCATAACATGAAGGCTGTGGATAAGACCTGCACGCGCTTGTTAATCGAGTATTCGGGCTGCGGGCCAGGAGCAGATGTAGCGTACAAGGGCAAAGTTGAGCACCTGTGCCATCGTTTGGCGCACATTGGTGGCTCCGGAGGAGAGCGAAGATAGCATCGTGGGCGGTTCGAACGGAAGGCAAGGTAGGGAAGGGAGCTCGGAGAAGGATGTTTTGCGCTGAAACCGTAAGGACAATTGGCGACTGTCAAAAACTAGTCAAGCCACTGCGGTCAGTATCGTGTGTAAACAGAATGAAATTAGGACAGGAGCTCACCTGTTGCGCCCAGCAGTGCCGAGTGGTTTGTTTTGCGAAGCTGATCACCTCGAATGCGGAGAGGTGGCCTCCTCCGTCACGATTGGTGCCTTGTCGCCTTACAGGCCGCCAAACCTGGAACTATTTAGTCCGTGTGCTTTCCTTGGGGCAAAGAATCACTATATAATACATATAACTCAACGATACGAAATGTAAAATTCATGCAATACCAAAGATGAGTTATTGTACAAAATAGACTTTCATTATTAGCGTATCTGGGGTACCAATGATGTTGAGTTTCCGCAGATAACCCTTACCAATGGAATTGAAGAAGAAAACAAATGAGAAACCGGAAACATGACTTCCAAGAAATTAAAAGTTATTGAAGACTGGAGGCAAATATTGAATTCTGATGTTCGGTTAATTTATTTTCATTTCAATGAGACACGTGCTATCTTTCACGACTCAGCTCTGAGACCATGCCCTTAGCAGGCAACTTCGCAGGATCCCCTGCCGAAAGCTCAGCTGTTTTCTGAATGGGCTTCGCATCTACCTCATGGATCTGGTTTTCTTTCGTTCTCTTCGTCATGAAATACCAGATCAGACCTACGATCAAACCGACGCCCGCCACACCGGGTATTAGTAGCTCTCGGGTCGAACAGAATGACCGTTCATACCTCCAAATCTGTATCTGCGACAAAATCCCCCCAGCAGATCTGCTAAGACATCTCTTTTGGCAAGATCTATAACCCCGGCGGATGAGGGTCATTAGACTTATTACCTAGAGCGATAGCAGCCACCAGCCTAACATCTTCAAATGTTGGAATTGTTGTAGGATACACCGAAGCAGGTAACAGGTGACAGAATCGGCAAATCTCTCAATTAAATAGAGGTGGGGGATCCTATAAATGCCCATTTTATGTTAAGCGCTTTGGTTGTATTTTAAATGTGATTATTACAGCCCCTAGTCCAGAATGTATCCACCTTTTCATTGTTTTATACTTGCGCTGAAACAATCATGGACTAGAAGAATAAGAATCTGAAACCAACTAACAAATTCTTTACGAAGTTGTTACCTTTTATTACCAGGACGACCCGCGTGGGGGCAATTTTGCTCCGTTAAGATATGGGTATTTGGCGCCGTCGAGCTAGCGTGGGTAGTGCGCTGCTAAGCTAATTGGCTCTGAGTGTCAATCCTCATTTGCGCCTTTCACATCTGCAGAGCCAAGACTTTAGGGGCGTGCAGCCGTGCGGAAAAGGAATTGAGAGGGAAAATCATTCAGCCGTTTACCACAACATAAACTTGTACCAAACGAGATCAAGCTCCAAGATCAGTTCAATGTTGACTGCGGCACAACAGTACCCGTTCAAAATGTTGTAAGTACTCATGGGACCAAATTAATCTACGGGGGTAATCTCTCTGTACTATTTAAACTTGAACAACTATTAATATAGACTGCACATATGAAAACCCTTGAATTACATTTTAATTAATCTGCAGCTATGAAAACTGTAGACAAAAGGGATATGCCAATCTCGATCTCAGTGGGGGGGCCCGGAGAAGGAAAAGATCGATGCCTCTTAGATATGAGATCATGAAATTCCATATAAGATCGATAAACAACCGTGGGCGCTTTTCTGCGTGCAGATGCCTAGGTCAGCTGTACGGGTTGACCCATGGCAATTCGTTCTCGTTGCCGGGCACATTGGATAGTGAACATTTCCAGAAATTCTTATCGTACACCTTAAACAAGAATAAAAGGCTAAACACTTGGCGAGAAAATCAAGAAACACAGTCGGGAATGACCAAGGATGGTTCTTCGTGAATAAAAGATAAGACCAGGATGATATATACCACATAGGGCTAGAGAGTTCAAGGCCTTACAGTGACGATCGTGACGAGGTGGGTCAGTTGTAACGCCACTAGCGATGTATACAATGTTGAATGTAGTAAGGGCTACTGATACAACACATGTAACATGATTGGCGGGCGACCATACCCTTTGTTTTGAAATTCTAATACTTGATCTCCAGTGTTTTATGTCTATTGAATCGCACTTGTGGAAGGCATGGTGGATGAGCCGCGTCACAGCTATCCATTTCTAAGGCGGCATGTGGGTAAAGAAGCTTGTCCTGGATTCTTTAAGATAAGATATATTCAAGTGTGACATCATCTTTCACTCAGCTTTATTCTCATTGCTTGATCTTATAAAGTGAATATATCTATCACGCTTCTGATCGGCTTAGGAGATCCCCTTCGTTCCACAAGGAATGTGGATAGCCTTAACCTTGCAACACCATCCATCCCTTGAAAACAGGTGTCACCTGTACCCGCTTCGTGAAGACAAAGAGTTTGCTTCAAATTGGAACATTGAAATAAAGTGGACTTTAAATGACTTATAGGTAGAGCTAACAGCTTTGCTATTAGCTAGCTGGAGATCTCCATTCCACGACAATTATGTATGCATGACCTCTGCATAAAATGACATAGAATCCCCACATTTTCGGAAATTTACAGATCCTAAAGTGGGCCTTGTTGAACTACCTGTAGATCCCAAGGGGGACTCATTCCTCGGGATGCAAGATGCTGCTTCCCCCTGTGTGCTACGTACCAACGATTAAACCTCGACACACATGTCAATTTTCCGAGCTTCACATACATATGCTAAAGGGTTCCCCTTTCCCAAATGAGGAACGTATACCTAACGATCCAACATGAAGTCGACTTTGGTGGAATATATAGACGAGCCCAAATTCTCGCTACGGAAGCAACTACGAGAACACCATCTCGAGCTCACCTTAGATGGAAGCTTTGTACGATGGGGCAAAAATAACCCCAAATATCCCCGAAATTGGTCAGCACCACGGAAGACCTACGATGCCGGGATTGTTTGCCTATTGGATCTCTTCGTGTGAGTAGCTGAGAAGTACTGGGGCTCGATATTCGATGTTATAGGGAAATCGCTGACCTTTTCACACAGAACTGCCAGCAGTACCGCAGGCGTAAGTTTATAGATCTCAGCCGGTCCCTCTCCTTGCTCCGAAATCCACGGACCCTAACAATAATATCCAGGCGGGCGCCGCAGCAAAAGCGCAAGATGAATACAATTTAGATCCCACCGTTGCCATATTCTGCTTCGTGACACTGTATGTTCTCCAATGTCATCAAACGACAATTCTTCTAACAAAATTTAGGTTCCTTCTCGGCCAGTCTCTCGGCAATATTATACTTCCTCCCTGGTCTGAGTCCTTTGGCCGAAAAAGGATGTATATACTCAGCAGTGGTATTAGCTGCATATGCTGTGTTGTTATTGGCCTCGTCCAATCTTTACCAGCCGCAATAATCATGCGCACTCTGGCTGGAATCTTCTCATCCGTTCCAGGCACTATTGTCGGAGGCAGTATCGAGGACCTTTTCGACACAAAGGCCCGAATTTGGGTTGTTTTCTTCTGGACGGTTGCATCAAACATTGGTCTTATTATTGGTCCTATTATGAGCAGTTTCATTGTTCAAGACCTTAACTGGTATGTTATTGGAAATTGAACGGTTCGTCGCTTCCAAGTCACTGACAATTATTTAAGGCGATGGGTATTTTTTGTCTACGCTATCATTCTTGCTATATTTACAGGCCTTCTATGCTTGATCAAAGAATCAAGAGCATCATGCATTTTAGACAGTGAAATCGGTCGATTGCAACGTGTTATCCCAGATATACCGCCAGCACTCAATCACGATCTTTCCCGCGACTTTAAAAGCTTCGTCACCGAGTCTCTCTTCAGGCCTGCTCAACTATTTGTTCGAGAACCTATCATCTTTACAATCGCCATGATGATCTCAGTCGCTATGTCTCTCATCTACATTTTCACTGAAGCTCTGCAGCCGATATACCAATCGATGGGATTTTCAGCATCTCAGGCCTCATTAATCTTCATGTCCATTGGATTAGGTATTTGTATCAGCACCTTGACAAGAATTCTGGATTGCCACATCTACAACAGTCGACGGCGCAAAAACTTGCCTATCAAGCCTGAGCACAAGCTCGCGGGATTGGCAATCGGTACGCCATTTTTGGCCATCGGGTTATGGTGGTTTGGATGGACAATTCCACCTAAAGTTGATCCTTCTAATGTGCCCTGGATTGTCCCAACCCTTTCGTTGGTCCTGGTTGGATACGCCCTGACAGAGCTAGACACTGTTTTGTACGGATATCTATCGGATGCCTATCTGAGTTACTCCGCGAGTGCTACAGCTGCGGTGGCGTTTATCAGAGGCATGCTCTCCGCAACCTTTCCGTTGTTCACGACACAGATGTTTACCAAACTTGGAGCTAACATTGCGGTGTCAATACTGGCCACTGTGGCAACGGTGTTTTGCATTGTACCTCCGTTATTTTTGTGTTACGGGGAGAGCATCCGCCGGCGGAGCCGCTTTGCAAAGTACAGCTGGGAGATCCAAGACGAGATGGGAAAAGATGAAGATGATCTTTAGATTAGTGTAGTACATGAACAGTGCGTTAAGAATAATCAATTGTGGAACTTGATCATAACATGCAGAAGTCCGCAATTCTAGGACATCCAAATCGGGAATCAGTGGCCAGTCTCACGAGCTAGTCCCTAGAAGAAGAAGAAGATGAAGAATATTCACACCAATTTAAGCTTCCTGAGTGACACTGTAACGGTCCGACTTTTGCTCTCCCGCTCTCGCCGTCTCCCAGTATCTCTGTTGCTTGCCGCGTTTCACAATAAGCCCATAGACATCGAATGGATCGACGAAAGTCTGAATCCAATGACGGGGGTCGTCATAGCCTGGTCCCTCAATCTCTGTCACACCATCATCGGCAAGATAAATCTTGTTTGAACGCGGAAGCTTATGCATCGGGTGAAACACGTTAAGTAGAGTGGTATTGCTGTACATAACTACACTCTCAAAGAACCAGAAGAACCACTCCTGTTTAAGGATAGGGCTAATATGCTGGATGTCGATGTAATTGTTCAAACTCGCCGCACTAAAATACTCCACGGTGCGATAGATCGTCCGGATCGTTATCAGCGTGCAGCTGATGTATAAAACAATCAAGCAGCGCTTCACCTTGTGGCTCAGCACCCCCGCTCCTTTGCAGTTAAAATGAAACCGAGAAGCCAGGGCAATGAATGCCGCCATCAAGGCAAGTTGCAGGATCAAAGCTGTCTTGAGTAATGCTTTTCCGATGTTCTGCTGGTTGTGTGTCGAGTTACCGCTTGCAAGTTGGACTGCGCCGTTGGCAGTGATGGATTCGATTACAACACCGAAGGCGATGAAAGTTGAGTACACGCGACCGGGGTGTATAGGTGAGTGGTATGGAATATAGTAGAGAATCCGCCCTAAAATGAAATAGTTCGCAGTTTCATATACGGGTCTGGTATTTTAGTCAGATCGCGGCTCATGGGGGAATCATGAGGGAAGCGTACGGTCCAGCAAGAAGTAAGACACTACTGGCGATATAAAGATTGATATTGCTCCATTGTCCAAACGCCGCGATCGCCCGAGTAATGAATCCTCCGGTGAAGAGCAGCGCTGACCAGGGCAAGAAGCCTGTCACTTTCCAGGACTTGTATCTCCTTCACAAGTACCTCGATTAGCATAACATGTTCCAGTTTTTTCTCGGGAAGACTTACCAGGTTTGGTAGAAATGAATAGCCCCAGAAATTGCGAACAGGATTGCGAATGCAATGGGAGCACCCTTATTTGGTGCATAAAACCAAAGACTTCCGTCCTCTGGTTGGGTTAGTCGTATCACAGTCGATGGAATGAGTGCGGTACTCACGATATGAGCGTCCTTCGAGCATGACTAGGGGGAAGATTGATCTTGTCTTGGGATGGCGTGTTATGTATTGAAGGCTGTGTCTTTCCTTGAGCGATAATGAAGGTTCTGAATAGTTTTTGCGAGCCTTGAAAGATTTCTGAAAAATAGGTATAGTCTGGATTCTTGCAAGTCCCTCGGTCTATGTATACCTCATTGTCCACAGACGAACCCTATTAGATAGAGAGAAGCGAAAACGAGTTGCCCGATCGGGACCAAATCAAGGTTTTGTTGCCAACGAATCATCGCAGCCCAAGATCTCTGAATACGAGATCCACGGGTCCAAGCCATATGACCAGGCGCAGGGCTGAATTTGCCCAGTACGAAGTCGAGCAGCGAATGTCGATCTATGGGCCCTGTGCTCAGCCATAAGCGAGATTTGATAATAAAGTGGAGCTTCTGCAGACCCTGGAACAGTTTCGAGGTACGAGCTTGCCGAAATAGGTAACTCTCGTACTCGGGATGTGGGGACTTGACGTGGCGGAGCCTCATCTTTGGGGTTTGACGTGAACAATGACACAACATTGGACGGAGAAGAGATTTGCTTGTCGGAAAGAAACATTGTCATTGAAGTTGATACCACAAATTTGTCTTCTATTCTTCAAATTTGACCTTGAATCTACAATGGAGGATCTGTTGGTGTTGAAACCGCGTGAGGCTGTATATGGTTGCCGTGACAACAGTCGCGCAGTCCATTCCGGGAAATAAATAGCGCAGATCTGTGGACGACGAACTTATTCTCGACTCTTTCTGGCCCGCTACCCTCCACAACTCAACGCTCTGGAGCATCAAATTTGCAAAATTAGGCCACCATGCCGTCCAAACAGCCCCAGATGTCCTTGTTCCAGGTTTACTTACGTCTCCGCCCCCCAATGATCGGTAACGATGAGTCCGAACGCTTCCTCACTGTGGAGCCTCCCGAGGCGCAAGATGACGGTGAAATCGTTGCGCCAGTCCCAACGCATATCACATTACAACCTCCAAATGATTCAAGAAAGCGCGCAGTCGAGAGATTTGGGTTCACAAAGGTCTTCGAGGAGAGCGCCACTCAATTAGACATATTTCACGATACCGGTATGGAATCGCTGGTGAGAGGCGTGCTGAAAGAAGGTCGTGATGGATTGGTTGCAACTCTGGGAGTGACAGGCAGTGGAAAAGTCCGTATTCCCTCCTTCTCACATGGAAAATTGAATGCTAATGCAGGCTATTTCAGAGTCATACCATTTTAGGATCCAAATCGCAACGAGGAATCACCCAAATGGCCTTAGATGTCATCTACCGTTCGTTACAGCCAACCCTCAAAACTGACGACGGCAGCATCACACCCATGATGCTTACATCCCTTGCCGGCTCGGATGCCTCCGAGGCACACATATTTTCTGCCCAGACATTCCTGGAAGCCGTGTACGGCGAACCCAACGGAGGCCGCAACTCCAGGGCGCAGACTCCCATGAGCCCTTCTCGCGCACAAACACCACAAACGGTATGGAGCCCTGACACCCTGAACACCCAAGGATCGCCGATAAAGCATCCACCTGCCCCCGGATCTGGTCTCCCAAATCCATCCATCAATCCTGGAAGCCCTCGAAAGGTGAACTCAATTGCGACGCCCGCTCCTTATCGCGCAGATTGGCTCAATTTCATGCCGCCAGAGACAGAGAATTCCGGCTGGAAAACCCCTCAACTTTTTAATCCCCTCCCATACTCTCGTCCCAATCTGCATGAAGCGCGTTTAGCTAAATCTCGAGTCATTGTTTTCCAGGAGCCGACACCTGCGCTGATTTTCCCTCGCCGCCAACCCCGTGAACGACCCACCGCATCTCCTAGACTTCCGGATGTCAGTCACTTGGCTGTCGATCTGAATTCGAATGCCGACTATGTCGTACTGGTATCAATGTACGAAGTGTACAATGACCGGATCTTTGATCTTTTGTCGCCTGCTATCAACCCAGGACAGGGAAGCGCCATGTCCCGTGGGAATACTCAGAAAGACCGCCGACGCCCACTTCTGTTCAAATCCACCGAAGGTTCGCCCGATCGAAAAATAGTCGCAGGTCTCCGAAAAATCGCCTGCAGCAGTTATGAAGAAGCGCTGGCTATCTTGGATGTTGGTTTAACCGAGCGCAAAGTGACAGGCACTGGGGCGAATAGCGTTAGCTCCAGAAGCCATGGCTTTTTCTGTCTCGAGGTAAAGAAGTTGAATCACAACAAACGATATGGGGAGGCCACCTGGGTAGGAAATACCCTTACAGTTGTGGATTTGGCTGGTAAGTCATGGTTTGCGTGCCGCCCTAAGTCTATATCCTAATAAAAGCAGGATCCGAACGTGCGAGAACTGCGAAGACAGCGGGTGCTACCCTCGCTGAAGCTGGTAAAATTAACGAAAGTTTGATGTACCTGGGGCAATGTCTGCAAATGCAGAGTAACCTACAGGATGGCGTTAAGGTATGTTTGCGCCATGGGCCACAGATACGTGCACTACTGACCAATATAGACTGCCCTCGTTCCTTATCGCCAGTGCAAGCTCACTGAACTCTTGTTTTCCAATTCTTTCCCCACCGCCAACCAGATGTCTCGCGGCCACCATCCGCAAAAGGCTGTCATGGTTGTTACTGCTGATCCTGTGGGGGACTTCAACGCTACTTCCCAGATCCTACGTTACTCTGCACTGGCTCGTGAAGTTACTGTGCCCAGGGTGCCTTCCTTGGCAGAATCAATTATCTCCGTTGCCTCTGGCCGAGAGCGTTCCATCAGTGGACGTATGTCGCCCAATGACGCACAATCAGAAGAACTGGAAAGGGCTCTGGGAGAAATCCAGCGACTCACAAAAGATTGTCATGGTCTTGCTCTGCGTTTAGCTGAAGAGGAAATTGTTCGTTCTGAGATAGAGATTCGATTGGCTGCCGCTGAAGAAAGGTCTCTCGATATTGAACAAGAGGTTCGTGAAGAGTGTTGGGCTGAGATGGACGAAATGATGGAGAAAGAGCGAAAACGTTGGCAGAGTGCATTGGATGAGCAAATTGGTCGAAACGATGACCACGTTGATCGAAAGATTGAGCTGGTCTCCCGTGGATTCAACATATTTGAAGACCCCGAGCTATCCTCAAATGCTAGAGTCGACGAGCTGGAAGACGAAAATGAACAGCTTCGCCGCCGCATCGCTGCCCTCGAGCGCGAAATGCATTCGCATTCTCCCACCCGAAAGCCCAGGGCCAAAAATGCAACTCCTGGCCCTGCATCCAGCCTACTTGGTCGAGAGAGCGACATCGAGAATGCTATGCAACGCGTGAATCAGCTCAACCTCACCGACACCATGTTCTCTCCCGCCCCTCCAAGCTCTTCACCGACAAAGAAACTGAGGAAGCTGGGAACGAGAAAGCTTGACCTGGGTTCGGAATTCGATCTCTAGTCTGCTGGCCTTCTTTACTTGTCACGACTGTTATGATTTGCTTTTACGGAGAACTGGATCGGTTGGATACACCCCTGGGCAAGGACTCGGATAAGGCGTTCTGAATGTTCTTTTATTTTGTCGGGACTAGATACCAGGGTTCTATTTCGATGAATTGATTTATTTTCACTGCTTTGATGGCTTTACAAACGTTAACAATAATAATCATAAAGTGCTAAGTCTCCCACAAATATTGTGCACTCACCTTGTTTATACATGTAGCCCTCCAGAGATCCAGGCCTGGATGATGGCCACGTTGTGCTGACGTCATTCTACAACAGACATTTTCGCCTAGACTGAATTCTGTATGGTGACATCAAAAGTTCATGATCTTAACCTTGATAGATCTTGAAAGACTGGCCAGATTACAAGGCAAAAAAACAGTCGAAAGCCAGTAATGTTGCACCCCCTCATATCAAAGTGAAGGCTGTGCATGGTCTGACCCGAGAGCTTTCAAAAACATAGCCCAGAGTTATGCGCTAGATGTGATGATTGCATTCTACTAATATGGAGAGTTCTGATTGTCATTCAATAGAAATGTTATATCCAGGCATCAGTTCACCAAATCTCCCTATTCTTGAATGGTGATGACTCTCCGCTGAAGATATTATTCGACTGATACTTGATAGATCTCCCATTATGCTCTTAGAAAGATACTTTGACCCTGTAACTCAAGTCCAATTTCTGGCCCACCAGTGTGTACATAGCGTATGTCAACTGTCCAAGGTTATAATCGTCTGTTGCCTCACCATCATTATCAATCCGTAGCACATGTACTTGTACAGCACCCATGGTGTTCGAAAATTTGCAATTATATAGGTTCATATATGAATTTGAGATGTCATACACGCGAAAAGCATCGCCGGCTTGTATTAATCCATAGCCCTAGCCCTTAGGCTTCCGTGACGCCAGCCCGTGCCATTGAAAGAGAAAATGCAACAAAACCTCCCCCCCAAAATATAAATGTATGAAATGTAATCAGATGCCAAATGGCAAGAAAACCATCTTAAGCGGGTGTGATATCCATGGCTTCGGGTTGTTCGGTATCCTCACTCGGAGTTAGAGCACCAGAGTCTTTGCCATCAGTGATGTTGATAGTCTCATTGTCCCCATTGTCTCCTTCATCGATCTGGTCGTCTTCATCGTAGAGTTTGGTTTCTTCAATAGTGGTGTCTTCACCCTCCTCCTGCATCTCATCATCACCACCATCATCGACCTCTTGATTTTCTTCCCCGCCAGTCTCAGTCGCACCGCCATCGCCATCGCCATCGCCATCGCCATCATCTTCGTCATCCCCTTCTTCGGCCTCTTCTTCTCCACTGCCAGCGTCGTCTTCGGTCTCACCATCACCTGGTTCGCTCTTGTCCAGAATGGGGAATACTATGGCCTTTCGCTCTGAAGATGTGTTTTCGAGTTTTGATTCATCCAGGTCGCTCAATTCAGTCTCATCGCCGGGTTCTGTCCTTCGTTCACCCCTGTCTTCTCCAGCCATTGACTCGCGCTTCGCTCCATGTGGAGTAGAGGTCGGCCCAGATGTCGCGACAGAATTTGAGCCACGTCTGACGGGGATTGGTTGTTCATTGTCCGCCGTGGTGGCTTTGCTGGCTGCCGTACGAGGAGGTAGCTTCAATGTCACAATTGTATCCGCTCGCTTCTGGATATCCCGACGGGCAATACCCTTAGTACGGCCACGGGGAGCTGGGGTGTCCGAAGCTGGAACAGGGGTCGCGGGAACGCTTGCATCGGCAGCGCTGTCACCCGTCATGAGAAGATGATCAACCTTCATCTTTTCTTTGTTGTTCTCATTGACCTGATCAACGAGCAAGGGCATGTTGAGCTCATACACGCGAGAGTAAAGATCCGCAATAAGGTCCTCAAACATGGTAACCTTCATGAAGTTATTGTTGAGTTTCTTCAGCTCCAAAGCGTCTCGAATCAACTCCAGAAGTGGCTGACTCTCTGGTGCAAGGGAGGTCAAACCCTCCAGCCGAGCCGTCTTCATGGAGAACTCCTCCCAGCCAATCGGTTTAAAGATGCTCTCTTCATGCCCCTCATTTATTTGAGCAGCCCTCCGGATCATCTTTGCGTAAGAGAGACAAATATCCTCCCAAAGCTTCGTGTGGTCTATGAAATCACCCTGTTTCTTTCTCACGCGGCGTAGCAATTGGTCCAGGCTAGCACGATCATCAAGCTGGTCGAGCAAGCTGACAAAGAAATAAACGTAGCGCGTGGTGTAGACAAAATGCCTACCTGGCCGTTCAAACTCAGGTCGCCATACTTGAATGGTGAGTGTCTTTGTGAAAATCTGCGACATCTCTTGCTTCGCAGCTGAAGCAGTCGTGGCGTTCTTATCATCGTCGTAGATGATATGCGCAGCCTATGAAAATCAGAAATGAAACGAATAGAACTTGATGGGTATGGATACTGTACCTTGCTGCTCATTCGGTGATGCCAGTTGGATTTGTCGGCGCTCTTGAACTTCTTAATAACTTCAAGGATATATGGTTTCCACCCTTCCATATTCTCAGGCGGGTCGACTTTGCGGGCCCAAGGAGTTACATCGAGGGCTTTGATTCCCTCGGCAAGCTACAATTTGTTAGCTCAGAGTATAAGGAGTAAACACATAGGCCATTTTGCTTACAGTCAAGTTTCCTCGAAGAACTAGTCTGTGGACGACCGACAAAAGTTTGAAGTGGGGCTCAAAAATCGGCTCAGCTCGTGAGTCCCTGCGCTGCGGAAGAGCTGAAATGGCATCGCGGAAAGCGTCTAGCACATCATGCACTTCGATACGCTTCGACGTTGTCCGCAGCGAATCATCACAATTAAACATTTTCCAGAGACATTTTCCGAGGAAGTAGTGTGTCCTAGTCAAAGTTAGTTACCGAGTTTCACAAAATCGGTGATTATCAGAATTACTAACATCCAACGCTTCGGTTTGTCAATGGTTGCTCTTCTGAGGAGATTGCTGGCAAAATTCCACACCGAATACTTAGACATCTCTTTGAAAGGCTGGGCTTTGTACATCTGCTGACTTTCCTCACTGCTGAAATGCCGAGAAAAGTCCGCTAATGAGAAAGCGCCCATGGAAAGGGGCTCGCAGGAGGAAGCGTAAAGACGAATTCCAAAGTCGGTATATAGGTCTGACAGTAAGGCTCGAGTCTCAGATGTGGGCTCAGCAGATTGAATAGCCGTTGACACGGCCATGGCGTAGCAATGAATTGCATATCTCTGCGTCGCCGCCAGCTCACTGCGATTGTTGTTAATCTTGTCCGCGGCCCAGGTGATGTCCTCTTCCAATTTTGCATCATATGCTTGTGCCAACCGGTACCATGTTTCCCATCTCCCTGTTCCATGATCGAGATCCTGCCGGAAGAAGTTGATGGCATCATCAAGCTCTGAGGTTGATCCAGGACTCAGACGCTTATGGGCTCGGAACTTTGTGAGTGTGGCATGGCCCAGAAGGAAGTACCAGCCCTTGGCGGCGATTTTTGCATTATCGCCAGGCACTGGGAGCATGGAAAGCTCTGTCACTCCCTGAACCGCGCGAAGGAGATGCGAGGGATTGATTGGACCTTTAATGTATATGTTGAAGAGACGCCGGTTGAATGACATCTGCGGTGACTGCGCAGGAAGTTTTGCAGGACCAATTGCGTGCTGCATCTTCTCAATCGTAGTCTTCAATTCTGACTTTGACAGATCTTTCATGTTCATTTTTTGAGCTTGTCTCATCACGAAATCAATCATCACGGTTGCTGTATGACGATCTAATTTCTCAGGAGAGCATCCATGATCAGCAGTCCCATCAAATGGAGAGAACTTGATGCCATGGAGATCAAAAAGCACCTGGCAGATGTCGAACTCATAATCACCTTTGATTTCGAGATCAAATAGCTCTGACTTAAGGAGCTTCAAGAATCGTTTCTGCGAGTATCGGCACATAGACCGAACTCCTAGGGCGTTATGCACAGAGCGAAGAATATGAATGCGATCTTCCAACGGTTCGGTGAATACATCCTTATTTTGGGATATTAGTTCCAAAAACAGAGCGTACAACAGAATCCAGCAGCGCACGTAGGTTTCCCTCATTCTGTCCTTGAAGCTCTCTAGAGATTTTGCCAGAATTCCGCGAAGATCACGCCCAGGGGTTTGACCAACGCGTACTGAGTCTTCGTAAAGGATGAAACTGTGTATAAGCCGAGCCAGTCTAGCAACAGCAGACATGGAAGAATGCAGATGGTCTATGTCCAGACATTCAAAAGCCTTGTCGGACTGTTGCAATACAAGCGGGATGGCTTTGCTCATAATCCCATCGAGTGATTTGAGCCAGCGCAACAAAGTGACTTGGCGGTGTCCGCTTGCTTCTTGCATGTGCTTCACATCCTCAAGCTCAGTCATGACAGTCTCGATACTACGCAGATGGCATGAGATTACTTTCGGGGGGTAGTCAATGGCCTGGTATGTCTCCTGAAGTCTCCGCCATAAAAAGAGTCGTAATGTAGCATCTCCTCGGTCGAGGAAAGAAGCCATTTCGGTCGAATGAGATAGAGACCCGGCCACTTCTTTTTCGGAACCTTTTAGATATTCAACTGATGATGGCTCGAGAATTGGTTCAATGGCTTCAATAAGCGACACAGGATCTTCTCCCTCTGTGTTGAATACTTTGGCGAAGAAATCCATGCACTTGATTTTGAGAGCCTCCTGGTCGATGGTGGCAATGGAAAGTTCCGCCATGATTGAGTTGTTCACAAGATTGACGACAGGATTGTCAATGGACTGGAGAATCTGCTTGAGATCCTGGAGGCACAATAAGATATGCTCACGATCAGCCTCGCCAGCAAGGTTGAGATGAAAAGTGGACGTCCAAAGATGACGAAACGCAATGTTCTGTTGACACTCTTCGGACGGACAGTAGTCAACAGCGTACTCGAAGGATGTTCGAGCTAGCATGGCCCACCTAGTCAATCGATCACGCTGTGACAAGTTTTGTTCTTGGTTAGGCTCGGTGGTGAGATTCTCAACAGAGGCAAATATGTCCAGGTGAAGCTCATAGATAGACTGGATCATCTCCAATTCAGAAAAATGCTTTGGCTCATAAACAAATGGAGTTGCAGTATGGGATTCGAGAATGCATTTTTCAATATTGGCGACGGAATCCCACAACCTGGTGAAGATATATTCGTCTTCACGAAGCAAAATATCAACAACGGTGGTTTTCAGCTCCTCTGGCCACAAGAAAGAAGTATATGCAGACTTCATAACGGCAAAGTCCGAGGGATCCTCGCCAAATTGGGGCATGAGAAGGCACTTGAGCCATTCGAACGAGGTATCATGAGGATGCATACAAAGACTGTTAACAGTGTTTGAAAAGTTATAGAGCTCCTCCCCTGAAGGAAGCTCTTCTTGGATGAGTGACTTTCGAGTCGACTTTCTGGAATGCTCAAGAAAAACAGCCAGCCCAGACTTGCTGGATCCAGAAATGCTTTTCAAGGAAGAGGAATCATCCTTCTGCTGCATCAACTTAGACTTGTCGTCGTTCCACTGCTGGATTATGCCACGAAAATCCTGGAATAATCTGGTCTCAGGGTCTTCTGGTGCGTCACCAGCCTCGTTCACAGAGGCTAGCTTTTCTTTCAGACCCCTAATCGTACCAAGGGATGTAATGCCTGCTCTGGAGAACAGAGACCCAAGGGTATTGAACATCCATTCATCGGCATTGACGAAAACTTCAAGACGGTCTTCATAAAACTTGTCTTGGTCAAATGGAACCTCGTCTAATTGTACTAGACCATCTGCATTTGATTCACGGGCTCTTGTACGGCGGCTCTTCATCCTTCCCCCTTCTGAAGGTTCTTCGTTGGCTGCAGATGCGGACGATCTTTTTCGCGCGTGAATTGGTGATTTAGGTTCTTCTTCTTGGTTCGTATCGCCTTCACCTTGCTTCTCAGCTTGCTGAACTGATTGACCTTCCAAAGACTCCATAAGTTGTTTTTCTGCGCTTTGGTCAATCGAAGACTGCTCCTCTGCGGGCTCCTGGGGTTCTCTGCGATCCTCGGTGGGATTTTCAGGTTCAACGGCTTCGGTTTCCTCGAGCATGTCAACATCGTTGTTCTCTGCCTTTTTCTGCTCGCTCTCCTCAGTTCCGTTTTCGGGATCCTCCATTTTCACTGACGCGGTGTCAGGCTGCTCAGATTCCCTCAGGGGTAGGGTAACTTGAAGAAACCGACTCGGAGCAGCACCCGCCGGAGATTTCTCTTCGTCATCCAAGGCTTTTAGAATCGCTTTACCCACGGATTCCCAAGTCGCGTCAGGTGGCGTGAGCTCCCGTCGGGAGGTGGATATGGCAAGAGGACCCTTGATTGAACTCAATGCATGCAAATCAGTCGGAAGGTTTGGCAAATAGGGATACGGATCTTCATGCTGTTTGAGGTACTTGATGAGGGCTTTCTTCGGCTTCTTCACGGGTACTTGGGAGGCAGACAGCCCATCAAAGAGGGACGTCAGAGTAGCACGTAGGCGCTCCTCCGAAAAGATCTCCTCCAGCCCAAGCTGCTCCGAGCGTATTTCGAGTCGATTGTCATCATCCGCAAGCACACTCTCGAGGCAAAATCGATTTAAGCGATAGCTTTCCAGAGCACTGCTGAGCCTGGCGCTTTGTCGCCATAGATTAAGATCTGTGTCATCCCGCTCTAGAGCATCTGCAAACGATTCCAAAGCTTTTCTCGACGCCTCGGTTGTCTTGAGTGCTGTCTCGTGCGCTGCTTCGGGGTCTTGTGGGGCGGTTCGAAGGTTTTCCTGTAGCGAGTCGAGGATGTATTTGCCGTGGTTCTTGTAGGACAGGTAGAGGGTCTGGAAGAGGCTTGACGTTGAATCATTGACATTGAACTCTGCGATCGCATCGGCAGGGCCATCATCAATGGTTGTTGTAGCGTGCGCATCCAAGTCTGCTGCGCGTTTGAAATCCGAGATCGATTCGGGGTATTTAAAGATCTCCGATTTGAGTAACGCATCGTAGGCTTCTGCAGCTTGGGCGTAGAATTCTGGGCCCTGCGAATGAAGTTTGAGGGCGTTTTGGTATAGCTTCAGCGCCTCTTCAATTTGAAGCTCTTTGGTATCATCGACCTCGTCCTCAATGCCGTCGTCCGGCTCCACGTTTAATGCGGTCCAGCTCGCCATGATTCGAGCTCCCGCACAGGGCTATCAAGGATAGATGAAAGGTAAATTAGAGAGCAGTAAAAGCATTTCCAACCTTTAATGTAACACCTTGAAAGGTTAAACGGTTTTACAGAAAGAGATCCAATTCAAGACGCCAAACGCGGGTTTCGCGTGGTTGCCATATCAGGCAAGGGTGTCTCTCTCCGCCTTTGTTGCCTGATGGCCTGAAGCTCTTTCGGATTGATTCAAGCTGATCATCCCCTCAATCTTCCTATTTGGCCTTTTCACGAAAAACACCAGTTTCTCATATTTGCCAGAGGTCTTTCCATTATCTACCATTTTCTGATCCTGTTGCGCATTTATTGCAGGCGCCATGGTTGCGCCCGCTGTCCCTGAGTATGTTCTTGATCCCCCGGTTTACGTGTTCCCGGTGCATGCGCATAACAATTGTCCCCGATCGGCAGGGGGTGAACTCTGCGCAATTGGCTGGATATATGACTGACATTGGGAAATTATTATAGAATCCACGAGGAGGAGGAAATCTACGTCGCTGTTGATGCGCGCTCTGAGTCTTTGCAGAGCTTGCGGGAACTGGGTCCCCCGGACCTGGTATACCTAGTGAAGCAGCCCAAGGCCAATTCAACCCGTCAGGTGGGTTCAAATATACTCCTGTCAATGAGGCTCGAAATTCGCTAAAAATTGATTGTAATCATGCAACACAGACTGGTGTTTATCATCATGTAACCGGAATTGACGCCTCTTCGTCCGCCAGTCTTGCTGCCTATGTCAACACCCTCACGTTCTCCCCTCTCGATAAGACCCACAAAGTGGTATCAGGAATTTACTGGTGAGGCTATATCATTTGCGCGACTTGTGAATCCTATCGCTGACATCGACGCAGCTGCTACAATGCATTCTCCCACCTGGACATGCGAGTTGAAGTCAAGATCCCTGGAAGCTTGGAGGCCTACTGTATTGATGAACGTGGTGATAAGCGTGTGGCCACGGAGGCTCTATGGCTAGAGACTTTTCTCTGCGCCGTCCTGAGAGCTTATCTGTACGCCGATGATGGAAGCGGCGAGCAAATTAAGAAAATTGTCGGAGTCCGTCGCTTCAACCCGATCACCAATACTGAAATGGAACACAAGTTCCTAGATGCTGCCGAGAAACTCTTCTTCCTCGGTAGGTGTCACACTCTACACTAAATAGTTTCGCTTGCTCACAATGTGATAGGACGCCAACTCAGCTCGGACCCCGAAACCCAAGTGCCGAACACCGTGAGCAACCACCTTACCTCGGGCATCCTCAAATATATCCACACGACCGGCCGCTATACATCTGGAATCAACTTGTTTGAGAAGTTGCGCACAAAAGACGTAGAGGTCTCATCCCTCCTGGCTCGAGTACAGTTGATGGCCGACGAGGAAGTTCAAGCAGTGCGATTAATCTACGACGCTTTGCAAGATGTCCCAATGGATTACGCCCTGCTTGACTGCCAGGCATCATTTTGTCAGACCAAGGGTGAGGGAGAAATGGCCCTGGAGTGTGCCAAGCGCGCGGTGACTGCTGCACCCAGCGAGTTCAGCACCTGGGCTCGATTGGCAGAAGTTTATGTAGGACTTGAGCAATGGGATTTGGCACTTCTCACTTTGAACTCCTGTCCCATGTTCACCTACCAGGATAAAGATACCCCTCGCATGCCACAGCCGTCTCGTATAATGCTTCCGATCCTATCGGAAAGCATTCTTGATGAGATTGATGAAGGTCAACCCAAGCAAGGAGACCCTCACGATTATATTCACCCCTCCTTGAGGAAGTTGCACGCCGCTGGTTACCAGGGAACATTCCTGAAGGCTTACAATATTCTGACCAAGATCGCTGCAGCAATTGGATGGGATCAGCTATTGAGAGCCCGAAGTGAGGTGTTCGTTATGGAAGAGGAATATCGTGTTGAGAGACAGCATGTGCCTAAACCTGCCCACTCACTTGAAGCGGAGACGAACGGCGCCTTTGTTGACAAGGATGAAGACGAGGAAGATTCAGCATCTGTCTCCGGCCCTGGCCCAGCGAAGTCATCTGCGGCATCTACGAATGGCAACGGCGATGAAACCCAGGCAGATGATACGATTGAGCGTCCTGAGCAAACAGTGGCTTCCGAGGTGGTCAAGTCTGGCAATGATGATGTAAGTTACATCTCGCTCACAAACACTTGCCTAATTATATACTAATAATATTTCGAGCAGCCGGATCCTTCCCACAGCAAATACACACATTTCCGCCACAAGCGTCTGTGTGAGCGGTGGTTGGACAACCTTTTCATGGTCTTGTATGAAGACCTCCGCATTTATACCATCTGGCGAACAGAGATGGCCCAGTTCCGCCAGCAGGCGATCGAATACAAAAAGTCAGCCGCGGAGTGGGAAATCCTGGGTGAGCTGGCCGAGAGACTTCATCACTTTGACGAGGCTATCGAGGCGTTCCAGAGCTGTCTGGCAACTCGCTTCTCACCCAAGGCTATGCGCGGTGTGTTGAAGCTATATGAAAAGAGAAATGACACCCGCGGAATCTTGGGTGCACTCATCCGTCTGATTGCATGGCAATACCGCTGGTACTCTGAAGTATGTCCTTTGCCCCTTGAGAAATATGATCTGAAATACTAACTTTTCTAGTTCTCTCCTGAGCTGTTGTACTTGATGCGCAAGCTTATCGAGGATGAGGGCGCGGTCAAGGTTCGCAGCATTGTGCAAGCCACCAATTTGCCTCAGCCAGTCCTGGACCTCACACATCAGTACTGCCAACTGTGTGCCACATTCAGAAGCAGTGGTAGCGATACTTGAAGTGAATTCTGGTAAATACTGTGTTTGATGAGCGGAATCGAGGCCTTTCTGCAGCTATGTCTGTCTGGTGTTAGATAAGAGCACCTGCAGGGTTAATGATGACTATTCATGAGACCTGTTATTTTCTTGTTTCTTTTCGTTTTTTCTTCTGTCAATGAACTCATCCCAATGTAGCTTAGATGGTATATAAAATATTATTTTAGTCCCTGATATTTCAAGGCTTCCAAGTGTAGGTTTTAGCAAAGTGTGCCTCCATAATGCGGCAGAAAAATTTCATATCAAGCCTAGAGATACAGCTTTTACAGTCAATCGGTCGACGATAAGCCAGCGTGGCTCCTAGGTAATTTATTCCTCATCTTCCACATCATCGACCTCAGCCAGGTCCGCTTCCTTAGGAATAACATCGCCCTTAGCCTTAACCGCAGCCTGAGCAGGACCACTAATCTCCGCGGAATCATCCGCATCTTCTTCTCCCTCTGCCTCTGCATCCTCATCTTCGTCCTCGTCCTTCTTATCACCATTGGCGACCTTGTCATCGGCGGCAGGCTTAGTCTTTTGCTTCTTGGCTACCGGAGGACCTGAGGCGCATGAATGAAACGATTAGCAATTGAACATCAACGACAAAATTAATCATGATTCCCGCAGGCGCATACCTTCTTCCTCTTCTTCTTCGTCCTCGTCATCGGAATCTTCCTCCACGGCTTCGGGATCTTCGTCGCCTTCATCACTCACGGCAGAGGCTTCATCTTCCGAGTCTTCGTACCTAATGCGCGCATAAAGTCAGCGATAATCCCGTAATTCCCTAGGGTTCCTTTCGATGAAGACGATGCTTGAGAGGTATTGGAATCGATGCGCGACAAGTTTGTAGGAAATTATGGGTGTTGGCGCAAAAGTGTACTTTGGATTGGATGGAATAGGGACGGAAATAGGATACTTACTCCTCTTCCTCTTCACTGTCGTCACTAGGAAGGGCCTGAAGCTCCTCCTCGGGATCGTTCTTTCTCTTGCGAGTGGACATGTTGCAATTATGTATAAGTATGGAAGAATCGGCTTCGAAATTGAGGCCGAGTTGGAACTTGGAAGTATATAGTTTGGGAGAGAAGAAGTTGGGAGAGGAGTAGAGAGTTGGATTCAACCTCGCTACGGGGGGGGGGGAACTTATAATACTATGGGAAGAGAGTGGCAGTTACCGGAGCTTGGAAGGGGGCAAAGGAACCAAGGGAGAGGGGGTGCATAAGCTGAGGTGACGACATGGGGGTGGATAGCTTACACTGCCATTTTGTGGAGACTAGTGCGTGGCTATTTATTGGTTAGTGCGTGTGGTTATCGTCGTGGGAAGGGCTGGACCTCCTCTTTTCCTTCTATTTACATTCCTCTTTTCCCCCCAAAGTCGCTCAGACCCCCTCTAGGGGATGCGAGGACCATCGCGTCTTAAAATAATCCCTCACATATGTCCCGTACCCGGAAATTCGACCTATTGTGCCAAGAAATCGAAATTTGCCATACTCGGGTCTAGCAAGTTTTCGTCAAGTCCAAACCCATACGTTCCCACCATGTCGTAGATCAAATCTGGCGGTGGGAATCCTTGCGCCATCGCATTCGCGCCCCCAGGCACTTCGCGACCATCTAGTATACCCCCGTCACTAGCGCCACCTTGCCATCCAGACTCCCAGGTGTCGAATCGCTCTAGCATCTTACCTAACCCACGTGCAATGTGTCGGGTCAAGTGTCGCTCACCCGCGGAGACGCAATTCATCAATTCAATAACCCTCTCAACCAACTGGCGTACTTCGCGCGCGTTGATGCTGAGATATGCCGAGTTCCAATTGATGGCAACTTTGAGCAGGAAAACAGCCGAGAAGGTGACCATGGTATGTGTAAAAATCGGAACCCCGACGATCGCGTCTCGGATGTCGGGCTCCTCGAGTACCATATTCAGACATGCCATAGCTGAAGAAATTGCAATGTTGGCTGATTCTTTGCGGTCCATAGAGAAAACAGGAGTGTTGGACGGTGATAGAGCGCGAAGAGACAGCGAGTTAAGCTGGAACTTTGCGAAATGGTAGTGTAATACCACACCCTTGGAAGGGTATGTTCGTACATAGGAGCTATCGGCTAGGATGGGATCAGTCAAGCATTCTGTAGTTATTGGAAAAAGCATAGGACCTACCAGACCTAGGCTGCCAGAGCAATCGCCATTGATCTATTGCCACATTGTATACCCGTAGCTGACCAAAATCCCCCTCGGTAAGTGCTTGCTCTGTATCGCTACCAAAAGTTCGGTATGCCTCAGTCAAGATCATGAACAATGCAACCTGCGCCAATAGTCGAATATCCCCCGGAGCTACCATTGGCATTTCAAGAAATGTCTCGTAATTCCGAATCGCAATATCCTCGTGGATCACAGGGGGCCGCCCATAAGCAATACTGAAGTGATGATCGCATACATAAAGCAGGTACCACAGCTGAGCGCGCTCATACTGATCAGTATGCCCGCGGATCAGGCGCTGGTAACTTTGGTGCAGCCCCATTTCTGTGGCAATTCGGACCGCATGTCCGGAGAGTTTCCAGCTCAGCTCCGACAGCCAAAATGCACCAACACAGAGCCCTCGAATATCATCTAGAGTGTGCGCTCGGGTAAGAGCCATATTTGACACTAAAGACACATATTCATTGTAACATCGGTTCAAAGTGGCCGTGCGATTAGGAATATGCAGCGCCGCCACGGTTAGAACTGCAGCGGAAAGAAGAGTCGATGCGCGACGAACGGATGTCAGATCACGGTGCACCAAAATGATTCCGCCCCAAAGTAACTGGTTCATGGTGCGACTGAAGTATGCGAAGAGCTCCTCCGCCTCGTGAATGGATATCAACCCCCGTGTGATGAAATCTTCCTCGAGTAGAGTCTTTTTCGGCGCCTCAATGTGATTATTGCGCAGATTACGCAACTTAGTGACTTCGTACAGGCTGCGCATGGGCGCTGGGACCAATTCTGGATCTTGAAGGTCCGGTTCCTGAGATGGCTCTCTGGTGACATCCATCACTACTCCTGGTCCGTCATGATGAATAGAATGCGATTGCATTGTATCGATAGATGGCCGGTGAGTATGGTGTGAGGCGGCAGGGCTGGGGCCATTTTGTCCATCTCCGGCTCCGTAAGACGAGAGATCAGGCAGTCCTGCATGTCGTAACAGTTGCGAAACAGCTGCCTGCAGCTGCAGCAAATTAGAAGATGCTTGGTGTTTCCATCTAGCGAGAAGATTTAAGATTAGTCCCTAGTGGTTGGCTCCGGGCGTGAAAAGTGTTTCAGGGTCCACGTACATCCCATCGTCGTCGACAAATTTTTGAGAGAAGTCGTTCACCACACATTTAATTCCACTGCGAATACACTTAGTGCAATTTGTTTCACCTGTTCGAAATTCGCAACGAATCTTGTGTCTTTTGCACTCCGCACCTAGGGTAGGTTAGCAATGCTGGGGGATGTGGGGAAGCGTCAGACTTACAGGCTCGGGCTTTGGATATCTTTGGAGCCTGTTTCTTTGACTCTCCAGATCGAATTGATCCCTTTGGAGAGTCCAGGTCAGCTTCTGTCGAGGACCGTTTGAGTGGAGTAGAGGCCATGCTGGGATGTTAATTGTGCAGTCGGTGATGCTCCGGGGTTTAGGGGCGAAATGTTTGGCGGGGAAGTGGAGGGAAGTGGATTTCCGGCCGAGGTGGATTTCCAACCAAGTTCAACTTCTGCTCCTCATAACCATGACCTGGTTTTCATCATTTGAATCATCAGGCAATCGATTCATACACGCTGCTTATCCTTATATTTCAATTGATGTTTTTTTTTTTTTTTTTTTTTTTGACTTGGACTACTTGTTAACCAACCATGACGCTATCCAGTATATCACTAACACATCAGCCTTTGCTCCAGAATCAACAGAAAGTGCCTGAACCAGACATATGATAAGATCCAAGCTCGTGAGGACCCTGAATCGGCCGGCGAAGCCTATTCGTCATGGAGATCCACCGCGAGCCAAGCCCATTCACGCCCACCCGGCCAAAGTCCGGTGCGGAGGACCAGCAGCGGATCGCCCTCGGACTTAGTGCGAATGCGAAGCGGAAGATATTGTTCATATACTCCCCAGCGCAAATCTTTCCAAAGATTCAATCGCTCAATCTACTGTCATTTCCAACCATCATGCATATTCTCATCACTGGTGGCGCCGGTTTCATCGGTCAATTGCTTGCCAAAGAGCTCCTGAACGACCCCACATACCGCGTCACATTGACCGATATCCATCAACCTCCGATCCCCCATGGCGTCAAGTATTCACAAAATGCGACTGCAATAAAGGCAGACCTCCTCACTGCACCAAAGGATGTAGTGGATGCTTCAATCGATGCTGTCTACGCTTTCCACGGAATCATGTCCTCTGGCTCAGAGGCTAATTTCGATTTGGGAATGAGTGTCAATGTTGATGCTACCCGCAATTTATTGGAGGCGCTACGGCATACCTGCCCTGGCGTCAGGGTCATCTATTCATCCAGTCAGGCTGTCTATGGTCAGCCATTGCCGGAGGTGGTGACGGATAGTGTCGTTCCAACACCTGAATCCTCATATGGCGCTGAATAGATCGTATGCGAAACACTGGTCAACGAGTACAGTCGTCGCAAATTCATCACAGGCTTTACTTTGCGTTTCCCTACTATCTCTGTTCGTCCCGGTGCACCTACAGCTGCAGCTTCATCCTTTCTCTCTGGTATGATTCGTGAGCCTCTGGACGGAAAGGAATGTGTCATTCCCATTGAAGATCGATCGTTTAAGTCATGGCTTTGCTCACCAAAGACGCTGGTTTATAATCTTCTCCTCACGCTCCGTCTGCCAGCAGATTCGGTGCCCCCGCATATCCGTCAGATAAATGTGCCTGGTATCTGTGTAACTGTTCAGGATATTATGGATGCGCTGGAAGAAGTTGGTGGCAAGGACAAGCTGGCTCTGCTCAACGAGAAGGCCGATCCTGCTTTGATTCCGATCTTGAAATCTTGGCCCACACAGTTTGATAACTCTCAGGCTATCTCTCTAGGCTTCAAGCGTGACGTATCATTTGAACAGGCCGTGAGAGAGTACAAGGATGCATTATAGAGTTCATGATATTGTACATACACAGAGCAGGAATCGTAAATTTTCATATAAGGTTTCTTTCAGGTGTGATGGGGCTATCTTGTTTTCCTAAGGAAAGTCCAGTGATGCTCTGAATAGTTCATTCCATTATCATAGACGGTTATAGCCAGCGCAAAGGCAGTAGAAATCAATCGATTCGTGGATTAAATCCTTTATCTAGGCGCAGATTTAACAGAGGCAAATGGTTCTGCGACCCATGCACATCTTTCTCTATGAATTCCGGATGATTGCGGTTTTCCGTCTCTCCGACGTGGGATTGTAGCCCTGAAAGCCAATGCAGGATCGAAGAAGCCAGACCAAATGAGATCCTCCGGCCTTAGATCATAAAGGCCAGCGATACGTTCAGGTATGAGAAGTCCTGACCCTTTGATCTGCTCATAAACCCCAACATTGTCGAACATCACATCCAGCGTGATCTCAAAAGGGCCTGCGTTCTTCGATCGAATAACACTTGCAACATCGCCCAAAGTACTATGACATGACAGGGATGTAGGCGCATCGAGACTTAGATCAGGAGCAGACGCATTGAGTCACTGTGGGTGATCCCTGGTCGCGGGTTCTGGTGGTCGGGTTTTGTCGCGTTGGGGTCCATTGCCCAGCAAACACATCACGCATCGAATGAATCTCTTTGCAGCCCCTTCCTTGGTCTCTGACGGCTTCGAATGCTGGGCCTCTTCTGCCTCTTCCCGTCCAGTCGAAAGCTCAACCAAGTGATACAAAGAGAACTCGGTGCAAACCCCTGTCTCAATCTCCAGCTTTCCGCCAATCCCTATGCCATATTCCCGCTCGTTGCCTTTTGACCTTTATATGGAGCATGGACGCAAGCCACACGTGCACACGAGGCAATGCTCGTTGCTAGGGCTTGTGTCGTAGCTAAAGTTTCACCGACAAGAAAGACACCACCTAGGAATTCTCTAGGTCGTTTTGGATCAAAGCCATATGTATGAAAATCCAAAGACCATGGCTCTTGAACGTGAGCATGCTGCTGAGCGACATAAGCCTTTACATGAGCGATGAATGACGGCAACTGCGAAATTAAACTTGGATCGCAGAAAGACCCCATGAAGATAGTGCGGTATCCGGTGATTTTAGCTCCTTCGAACTTTATCGTGTAAGGAATACCATCGTTTTTGGATGACTTGAAGACAGCCTCGCTGGTCCTGGCAGTAATACCATTATCGAGGACATGATAGACTGGAGTGGTAAGATCAAGATAGCCACCAGGACCATGAAGCAGGTCAGACCGAGACTTTTTGTACAGAGCATGCGCCGCGACACTTGTAGGTATGCAGCGCGAGCCGAAAGCCAGGGGCCGAATGTCAAAAGATCCATCGCGTTGAATAACTGCCATGGAAGCTGCACATTTGGGAGTTGCGCATGACCCCCCACACTCCATAAGTTTGCCCATATGCGTGAAGCCGCCAAGTGTTGTGGGTTCTAGATCGAGAATCAAGTTGTAGGAATTATTCAATGCAGGGAAGGCGCAAGAATGCCACATAAGGGCTCGGATCATACGCTCTTCCAGCAATCAGAACGTCAAAGTCGGGATGAGCACTCATTGCTTGCAAAAGAGGTTCTGGGCCAACCTGTCCAACAAATGTTGGCGTGGCTTCGATATCCTCCACGGTGAGAGCAGGCACGCATGGACCACAACCGGAAACTTTGCCGGCTTCGAGTTTTTGCAGCATCCACTCCCGACTGGTCTCACTATATACCGTGAGGACCTTCATACTGTTTCGTTCGCTAAATTAAGATTTTTCCTCAGTAAACATCATAGAACTTTGCCCCGAAGCGTTTCTTACCTGGAGTCGGCAGATTGTAAGATTTCGCTGATGATTTCTACAAATTCATCGACATGAGCGTCGCTACCATCTTCCCCGGCCGAACTTATCAGCAAAGGGCTGTGATTATCTTGCACAATGTGGATGAGTTGGCGGATATCCCTTTCGTAGGCTGATCGAGGGCAAGTCATGCTTCCTAGGGCAAGTTTCGCCGGGCCCGAATCCGTTGACCCGGAATCCAGTATTATTGCAGTCGGAGCGTCTATCTTGAGACTTAATTGGAGTCCATACTCTAGATCTGCCATATTGAACCCGTAGCCTAACATCCCAATTGGCGTAACAATCTGGCACAGCTCGGGTAGGCTCATGGTGAGATCGGTTCGGAGCGATTCCATGACGACGTCGAGCTCTGGTAAATACCACAGTATTCAGTGAATTCAAAAAGCAATATATATGAGAAGGCACAGGATAAGCTTGCGACCGAGACGGGCAATATTGAGCTGACCCTTCTTGGAGAACTTCGGCCCGAAAAGCGATTTTCGCTTCGGGATCACCACAGCGTCCATTGGAGGTGGAATCTCAAAGATTCCATTACAAGGGAAATAAGATCGGCACACCGTGCTCAGATATTTGTTTCCGGTGTCTTAGATATTGTGTTCATCGTGTCCATACCAGCCAGCCAGCTGTTCCACTGGAACAGGGTATCTCCCCATAGCGGCAGTTCTGTTCCATCTTGAAACATTGACATATCGGCATTGGTGGGTGCCAGCTCAGGCTCAGGCTCGCATTCGGCAGGTAATTCAAAGTTTCCGAGCTTGCTTCGAACCTCTCCTGCCATCCTCATTCCACTGCCGATGATGGTCAAAGGTCGCTTTTCACGAGTGGATTCGCGTAGATCCAGTGATGTATCCTGTAGCTCGACATGACGTGATAAAAAGTCAATGGCTTTGGCAGCTCTAGAAGCCTCGTCCCTGTCCTCGTTTGATTGGGTCATGAGCATTTCATAGACCTTTTTGATATGGTTGTGGGCGAGCAGCTTGTCAGGGACGGATATGTTCTTATCAATAACAAGCAAATTGATGAAATACATGCCTGCCATTACAAGCGCATGGAAATAGTATTTTGGGGAGTGCATAGAGAGGATATCATCTGCCGAGCCAGCTTCATTCACACCGTCTGGCTGATTCGAGTCCGCAAAAACAGTTGCCAACTGCATAGCAGTATGGAACCCCTTGTACCAAACGGCATTTGAAAGAGTATCTGGGTACCCGTCTATGGTTCTGGATGATGCTCGAGAGAGGAGTGGTAATGAATACAACCGAAGACGTGCAGTGAGAATGCCGACTTGAAGTGTTGGTGAGACAGGGCTCGGTATGCGGGCTTCTACCGCGTCCAAATCACTCTCAAGAAGTTCTATGAACGATCTTTGGGTCGGATTGTTAGGTTGGCTGTACAGTATGGAAGCTGCCCTGGTCGAATATGCTTGAATTTCCAACACGGCCAGGAAGTTATCTGGTAGTTCACTCCTGATACGGTTGCGAATTCCAGGCATCAAATAGGCAACAGAACACATAGGTGGGGGCAACGAGAGACAAGCCGCCACACTCGGAGAACGTTAGTTGTTTTGCAATTTGCTACTATTTGCAGGTTGTACTTACTTGGTGCTGACTACAAAACATCCCAGCCATGTCTTCAATCGAAAGGTCAGCTCATCTGTGTTGTGCTGAACAGCCACACCCCAGTTCGCGGGGAAGTCGTCAAGTCCCATTCTCAGCGCAGCCGCAACAGCTATTCCACAAGATTCCCAGGAGGAATCATCCAACTGATTACGCACTGGAAAAGGCCAGAGACAAAGAAGCAGAAGCGCTTGAATAGTCCAGATGCTGCGGATTGAGCAAACCAAATGTTCCGACAGAATCCTCTTTAAAGGTGCTTGTAGGGATGTATAGTAAGCGAAATAGACCGGATGTTTTCTAGAAGAAACAACTAAGAGAGTCCAAAACAAAAGAGTGCTTTGATTTCTGAGAGAATCGATGGGTATCCTCAAATCTAGAACGGGGAGGTGACGAAAATAGTAACGAGCAAAGCTGTTGGGGCATTAGCTGAATGTGATTATCTCCGATTATGGGCTGACCATACTGCTGAAAAAGCCCATGGATAAGTTGGCCATCCAAATGGACTCCCTCAATTTCTACTGGCTCTGGCAATTCCCAAGTAAAATCGTCCAAAAAAGATGGCTCCTCGACTGCTGACGGGTGTTGTAAAGCAGACCCTGCTGGCAGTGGTACGCTAGATTTAGTAGCTACTGCTCCTGAATCATGAACAAGATTTCGTAGTCGCTCGTTCTCTTCTATCGCCTTTTCAAGTGACCTATTGAATTTAGATTGAACCCACTAGATGGGAGTCTCATGGAAAACTTACCCTCGAATTGGTGTCCTTTTGAACTTTGGGTCAAATTTGCAGCTCAACCGCTGCTTTTGACACCGAGTACATGGCGCTGGGTAGCACTGTGTGGCATCGCAACGTAACTAAGTCCACATGAGATCAATTGTCTTATGAGAAACACATGCAAAGGCTAACCTTGACTTGCCGACATGATGTACATGCCATGGAAGAACGCTTGGAGGAAGCGGCTTTGCCTCTGCCCCGGTTTCCTGAATCTCTCTCCATGTTTCTGGGTATTTCCAGAGGATTACCACGTCAGGGTTTTGATGGGGTGGACATAAAGGAGACTGCCTGCACTTTTGTGGTTGTGACATTGACATTTCCAATGGGGACTAGCGCCTTTCGATGCCAGACCAGCAACGTTGAGTTGGAAAGCAGGATAGTAGCATATCTTTCTCTCTATTTTTTGAACACCCCATTCATTTGGCTCTCGCTCATTCAAGGAACACTGTGGAATGCCTAACTTCGTCTATGATTTTTTTTTACGGAATCGAATGGGGCCACTTTGGGGCTAAGCCCAGTTTCTTTAGTTGAGCCGGGGCCTTGGGAAGGGGGCTAAAGAGCTGCCTTTTACATAATGATTGCCCTCATTTCGTCTCCGAGGTGTTGATGCATGCCCAATTATTGGTTTCCAACATTTATAATGTATTTCATAGAGTGTATGTTCTATTCAAAGTCCTATGTACTTACTGTCGCGTGTCTATTCATGGTCATGAAAAGCCGCTTGAATCAACGGCCTCAAAAACTTCATCATATGCGGCCAAATTTTGCCTCCTTCGTGAGATGCCCCTTCCACAATATCCAGCTGGCTTGGAATGTACTCCTTCTCCCAAGCTTTATGCAAATTTTGTAAGGTTTCCGATCTTCCTTTTCCCATCGCTTGCAACTCGCTCCCCTGCCGACCCTTCTCCATCCCCTTGAATTGCTGTAGCCATTTCCAGAAGTCTTCACCACCATGAAGCTGATTATCTGCTGATCCAACAGCCAACTGAATAGGAATTTGCTGGATATTGTGTTTCCGGATTGGTCGGGAAAACAATGCCTCGACATTCGCTACGCCCACCGGCCATGGGTGCACATGGTCCAGCATGGTCACGCGGCCGGGTGCTCCCACACTGAGTGCCAACAGCCTCTCCGGGTATATATAGAGAAACCTTTGAGCAAATTGGCCGCCGCCTGAGAACCCCATCATGAAGACCTTGTCCGCTTGAATTCCTGGCCACCGGACCGCGACCTCATCCAAGATTGACAACAAGACAAGGTCAGAGGCCAATGACTTTGAGCGAAGCATCTTGTAAGAGTCTAAGTCATTTGGTCCGTCGAGTCCGGCTGGGAACAATGGGGCAAGAATGGCACAGGGCGTTGAGTTGGCAAATGAAATCATCTCTTCGCGATGGAGTGCCCCAGAATTTCGGCCAGTGCCATGTATACAAACGAGCAAAGGAAGTTTCTTTTGAGGGTCTGTGTCGTAATGTGTCGGAGGTATATACAGCGCATATGAAACGCGTGGATCGGCTTTGGATGCTTTCAGTGGTATTTGGCCAACCAGGAATGCGGCCTGAAGGAATTGGCTAGGGACATCAGCTGCCGACAATGGGTTCTGCATCTGAATTTGGTGGACGAGTGATGAATTCTAGATGCAATAACACATGCGCAGGCGGCTTTTGGACTACCAAAGTTCTAGAGCGAAGATATAGGGTGTGGTGACTGAAGCGAATTTCGGCTTTCGGAGCGCAAATCGCTTCCTCATAGTTTGAAGCCGAACCCCTATTTGTTCCAGACTTCAATGATCCCCAGCATTATGTTGATCTTCCCCATGGCTGGGTCAAATCGCTTCAGTTCGCTTCTGTTGCCGGAACTGGCTTGGTGATTACTTGTCTCGCTTGATGTCTCTGATCTGGGGAAAAGAGGTGGGGGGCAAAACGGGTGGAACCCTTTAACATGACGAATCAAGTAAAGTTATCATGCCGAATTCCATTTGCAAAGAAGCCGATGAGGCACAAGCTGATCACAACCATGAAGAATTCTGTGACGCCACAGTCTCTTTATCAAATCATCGTAAATTAAATTGGAAATTGGACTTGTTCATTCTACCAATAATCTCAAGTGTCTATTTTTTCGCGTCAATGGTATGTCATCTCGTAGAGTCTTCGTGAAACTATCTGATTTTATCTGTTTTTCTCTGATTTTAATGTAGGGTCGTTCTGACCTTGCAAACGCGCAAGTTGCCGGTCTTTCAGAAGATTTGCAACTCTCGGCCCGAGGCTATTCAAATGCTGCCACTGTACTTCTCGTGGGCTATGTGGTGCTTCAGCTGCCAGGAACCTTGTTGCTGAGACAAATCGGTCCTGCTAAGAAGTTTGCTAGAGCGATGATAATTGTACTATATGAAGATGCCTTCTCAATTTTCATTTGCTAACCGTCTCTTTCCTAGTGGGGTGCGCTTACTGCAATAACAGCAACTGTTCACAATACAACCCAATTGCTGGTATTACGATTCCTCGTCGGGGCCGATGAAGCATTCGTTCAGGGCGGCGTCCTTTGTGAGTTGTGGTTTATTCTCCTACTCATCATTCTAAAATCATTCAACCTTCATAGATCTTTCATTTTGGTACCAATACAGTGAACTTGCAACCCGTGGCGCCATTTTCTATTCCATGTCGACTTTGGCAGGTGCCTTTAATGGGCTTATCGCTTATGGTATCACGAAAGATCTGAATGAAGTCAATGGCTGGAAACCATGGCGCTGGATTCTTCTGATTGAGGGTATAATGCCTTGTGCATTTGCTTTTATCGTACTATTCCTCTTGCCTCCAAGCCCAGAAGCACTCTCCTTTGGCTTCAGTCCCGAAGAAAAGTCACTAGTGGTGCAACGTTCTCGAAATGCGCACAATACATCAGAAGCAAGACTGGAGGTGATGAAGATACCATTAGTGCTCATGAGCTTGCATTTCTGGCTTCTTCTGGCTATTGCCTGCTGTGGGCACTTTTGTGTTGGTTCTATGTCGAATTTCCTTCCGGCGATTACTAAGGTACTGGTAGATTATTGCGTTAATATCGGTCAGCCGTTTCATAAAACGTCACTGACTTTCATCACAGAGCTTTGGTTACAATGAAGTCAATACGCAACTTTTTACGGTTATCGTGTACTGCTGTGCCTGTGTTGGCATAAAATTCTGGGCCCGGATCGCAGATCGATCTAATGCTCGAGGACTCACGCTTGCCCTTTCTACATGCGGCGGAATCGCTGGATACGCTATTGTGGTAGCAGTAGAAAATGAGCATGCTCGGTTCGCCGCAACGTGTATTGCCGCTTTCTCCATCTACCCTAGCATTGTGTTGCAACTTTCCTGGTCCGCGATGAGCTTCATTGGCTACACTAGAAGGTATGTGGAAACTTCATAGGACGAGTCGCAGTTTGATTCTAATAAAACAAGGGGCAATCTTTGGCATTCATAAATATCTTTTCTCAAGTCTTTGCCATCTGCGGGACTCAGGCTTATAGTGATCCACCATTTTGTATGTATAGGAATGTTCAAAGTCTATTCTTGAATTCAATTACTCACTGTGCGTGATTGCAGATAAAAATGGAAATTCTAGCGCCCTTAGAATATGCTGTTGCAATTTGATTCTTTCCCTCACTCTTAGATGGTATTTCGGGTTCTTGAATGAGAGAAAAGAGAAAGCCCAGCATACAGATGAGGCTAATCGTCAGAGAACAAAGAAGCTTGGAAGAGCTTGGGGAATATCATCCTGGTAAATATGTTCCTTCAACACATATTACCTCTATACACTGACTATGGCTATACTCCAGATTTCTGTTCTACCACTTGATTCTGACCGTCAACTTACGAGGGCAAGCGCCACTAGATGCCGGACCTTATCGCTTCTGGCGTGGAGCTACACCAGCTGAGAAGAAGGCGCAAATGTGCTTTACTAGCATGCTAATACTTCACTATAACTCAGCATCTATTCATTTTTGCATAAAGTAGATCAGAGCAAGTGTTCCGCTATTGTCATAGTTTCTGGTGTGGCGTATAGTGAAGCCCCACATTACCCGTCCACTCAACTGAACCTCGGAATTCTCTCAATATCACTGCTTGATATAGACAAAGAACTAACGTTTTGGCCCATAATTCGGGGACTCTAATGAAGTGGTGAAATCGATTTTAAAATTTAACTGCCCCTTCCCCTCTTTCACTGCTCGCATTGTGTATTGACGGGTCGCCTGAAGTATCTCTCTTGCCTTGTGCTTCACGCCGACCTCCTGTAGGAAAATGTCGACAACCATCTCCATCGTCGTTTTTCGGGGAGATCCTATCGACTGGGCAATGTATCGACACACAGCAATCCATGTTCAGTTTGCTGATGGCCAAGACTCGATGTTCCACGTCACTGGAGCGCACCCGTTTTTCAAATATACCCCGCTAAATAACCACCCCAAAAACCTCAACTTGACTGTAGTGGCCTCCATCCCAGTCTGCAGACCACCAGACTCTATCACAAAACGCATGATTCAAGAGACATGTATCAGAACACCGGTCTGGAATGATCCTCGCCACTCAGATTGGAATTGCCAGAACTGGGTTGGTGAGGCTCTCGCTGGTCTGGTTGCTATTGGCTGCGTCACTCAAGAGGAACGGTTAAATGCGGTCACTCAGATGGTGGATGTGTGCTTGGAGGCTGAAGATGAACCCAAGGATGTGTGAGTATTTCTGATATAATGTGGCTTCTTTTCTAACTCATATACTCTGCAGGTGGGGGTGGTGATCTCGGTGCTTAGTATTACTATGTGCTGACCTAGCATGGAATGAACCTATGATACGGCCACGAACGATGCGTTGAACATGAAAGAAATGGGACACCAGGAAAGTCTTTGTGCACTGAGGTTAATTTAAAGATTTTTGTATTGTATTGACCATAATGTTATTCCCAGAGGGCGAACCAAACACTATCTATATGGACTGCTCAATGGATTTATCTCCAAACCTGCAATATCTTAGCATAATTTTTCAATAAATTTAACAGCGCTCCCAAACCTGTCCATCAATAGCAATCAGCCTATTAAAAAGTTGATTCCTCATTCCCATAGCCGTCAACTGATAAGACTGTTGCGGTTCTTTGCCCACAATAAGCAGTCCATCAACAACCTCCTTGCCCCCCATGGCCCATCCAACAACTAATTTTCCTTTCCATCCCATTCCACCTTGCTTCTTCATCTCTCGAATATCTGTCACTGGCATTGTGAACAGTACTGAGCCGCTCTTCCGGCTTTCCAGCTGGATATCGCCATGCTGGATGTCGGTTGTGAAATATAGTAAAGGAGTTGTTTTGGTGGAGTCAATAATGACAGCACCACGCTTACCTTTGTATCTAGCTTCAAATTCTGCAGGCCCAGTGGGTGTAATCTGTTTGCCCTTTGGACGTAAAACTCCAAGTCGATTTGCAGCATGAGTGGAGCCAACCATTGCACGTACCCTATCGACGCCTCTCTTGCTCTCTACCCCGGTGGCAGTAGTCCCGCGGAAGAAACTGATTATTCTGGATGACCACCCGCTTTTGGGTACTGCAGGTATTGGGGACTTGGGTTTCACTGACATAGACTTAGATTCAGCCGAGGCAGCTTTCGATATTTCCTCTTTTGTAGCACCGAGAGCAAGCTCCTCGTGATGGATAGAGGCTGGTCGAGATGGAGGTGCGGCCATGGAGGTTGGAGGTGGTGGCAAAGGTGATGCGTTGGCTTCTCCAATGCGCAATAGGGTAAGGGTTAGCTGGGCATTCGTCGGAATCCCTTTGAGCAGCGAACTATTGATATTGTTAGAAGGCAATCAAATGCAAGATCCACAATTTCTGGGATATACTTTTGCAGCTGTAGGATCTTTCGCCACTGGGGAAGTTTTCGGTTCAAAAATGACATGCCACGCATGATAATTGGATCACCGAAAAAGGCGAATCCGATCACAAACCCACTGGTTTTCATGAAGGTGTAGCTCGATATAAACGCCGATACGAAGCACAATGGTGCTATGACAGATGCTAGACGCAGTCGAGGAGCGGTTCGTGGAAACGGAGGTGTACCTGACAAAGCACTGTGGCGAGTCAACATCAATCGACAAAAGGTACTGAGAGGTACAAAACTCACTTTCCGAATTTTTCGTATGTGTCAGTGATGTCATTGATGACTTGCATAGACATATTAGCTCCATCCATGACCGATTGCTTCATCGGTTGCCGGGTTTTGTCGTGAGAATCTGCAGCTGTCTCTCCATTTGCAGCGCTTTGGGCATCCGCAGAAGTGGCAACAACATCCATGGCATCCGGTATGGACCCTTCCATAGGTGCACCCTCCGGGATAGCTTGATCGTTTTTCCCAAGTGCACTACCTACAGCGACAGTAGCAACACTTGACACCAGATTGCTTGCTTCTTTCTCAGCAGCCTGGCCTTTGAAGTTCTGCGGTGCACCGGTGATGCTATCGTGGGAACCTAGTACACCGGCCATGGGCTTCTGAACACCACCGGTACTCTTATCCACAAGAGCAAGAGGCGCTGGGGGAAACAAAAGTTCTCGACAGCGTGGAAATACAATCAAAGCAAGTAAAGTCGCAAAGAATGCCGGGACGAGCATATTCAAAAGCCAGCACACGGAGTAAACTCCACAAAAGATAGCTGTTCGTCGAGGCTCTTTCCACGATCTTAGGCGAGCAATGTGTTTGATCAGACATGTCAGACCAATAATTACTGTGGTATAGAATCTCTCCAGAGTGGTTCTGAGTTTGTCCGGTGAGAATTCATCGTCGACCGACCGAGTCAGGTCAAGTTTTTGCATGGGAGCGTCCGGTACCGCTTTAACATTATAGACTTGCTGTAGGAATGTTAGTTGGTTGAAGTATAATATGCAGTTCCTTTCAGTCTTTACCTTGTCAAATCGCCTGATAAGCATCCATAGATCTTCGTTCGATAATCCAGCAATGATTGCTTCGTCGAAATGCTGGGAAGGCTGGTTCCATCCAAGATCCCTAACTTCCGCAGTATCGTCTGCTTGCTGCGCTAGACCTTTGTCGTCTTGTTCAACTTGGGATAGAACATGACTATCTGTCGGTCCTTCTGGAATCGGTGACTCCTCATTGATGTTGCTATTCTGCTGATTCTGGCCGGGGTGTGTACCCGGCGGAGCAGCTGTGGAAGACATGGTGAATGTCAAGGATATCAAGATTCAAAATCTGAGCATAGAGACACAATGTGCGATTCTAATAGAGACTGGAAATAGCATCAGTGTAGAGGATAGAAATTACATCCATGATTTGTGCGGTCATTTTCCTTGTTCTGCTTTTTGTACTTGTTGTCCCCTCAACGACGTCATCATGCTCGGCAGACAAGTGAACTTGATACCAACACAACAATACTTTTTGTGATAAGCTGAAATGGAATTGAGCGGATGTTCTTGTTATCAACAATTACTACTGTTCCTGCCTTTCTCCAAATTTTTATCATGGATAAAGCGAGGTTTTCTTACTCCGTCATCGCCACAGGACCCTAGTCACATGACACGCGCGTTCCCAGAATGGAATCTCCCGTCGCGCGTCTCGGTCAGTTGCGCAATACTTCTAGCTTTCAGCCCGATGGCGGAGAGGCCACCATGAGCGAGGAGTGTGCCAATCCCTTATTATTGGGATGGATCAAAGAATGGCTCGATCAAGCTCGCGAGCGGAACAGCAAGGGTGTGACAGTGTGGGTATCCCGCGTCCTTTTCGCGCCTGTCGTACCGCTGATGTCATTTTAGGTACAAAAAAGCATACGAGTCGATGAAAGCATGTCCCTTGGCATTCGAGCACCCATCTCAGGCCCAACAACTCAATGGGCTGGGCCCCAAGCTGTGCGATCGCCTGACGGATAAACTCAAAGCTCACTGTGAGGAGAATGGGCTTCCCATGCCGGAGCCTCCTGGCAAAGGTGAATCATCTCCACGGAAATCGGAAATACTGATTTGAGCTGACTCGAATGTTTTCTAGCCAACAAAAGGACATCTGATACAGGTGTTACCGACCAACCGGCGAAAAAGCCCCGGAAAACTAAGCCCTACGTCCCAGCTTTGCGTTCCGGCGCTTATGCGCTCCTGCTCGGCTTGGCGACTATTGGGGAAAATTCGTCACAGGGGATGACCAAGGCTCATTTGATCGATGTAGCTCAACCGTATTGTGATAGTTCCTTTACGGCACCTACGGACCCAACTAAATTCTACACGGCTTGGAATTCCATGAAAACACTGATCCAAAAAGACTTGGTCTATGAACATGGTCGACCGCTCAGGAAATATGCGCTCTCTGAGGATGGCTGGGAAGTTGCTAAACGTATTCGGAAGACCCTGCCTGGGTCGGTCGAGGGCATGGCAGCCGCCTTCGCAGGCGGCGAGTCTCAGTCTCAGCCTGGCACCGCTGCTGACACTGCATCAACCATAATTGATGCCGGCGATCTTGAAGACACACCACAACCGAACGCTCAACTTTTTCAGCGTTCAAATGTCGATGGACCCACTGACCCGATTCCACTTCCTCCAGGATCTTTCACTATCCAACTTGTGCTGGATACTCGCGAAGTTCGTACATCGACAGACAGAGACTACATCGCAAACGAACTTATCAAGCAAGGTATTACTCCCCAGGTGCGTGCCCTGGAACTGGGCGATGTAATGTGGGTGGCCAAGTGCCATGATCCCGATTTTCTCTCCCGGCATGGCGAAGAAGGCGATGAAATAATGTTGGACTGGATTATTGAAAGAAAACGCTTGGATGATCTCATTGGGTCTATTAAAGACGGACGATTTCGCGAACAGAAGTTTCGTCTTCGTCGCTCTGGCATCAAGAATGTCATCTACCTAATTGAAGAATTCTCCATCACCCACCCGGAATCTGGGGGCGGTGCGCAGAAATATCAGGAGATGGTTGCCTCTGCTATTGCCTCGACGCAGGTGGTCAACGGATACTTTGTCAAAAAGACACGCAATTTGGATGATTCGATCCGCTACTTGGCGCGGATGACCTTGCTACTCCGGAAAATGTACGGAGTCTCGGACTCACCTGATCAAGGGCCGAGCACCAATCATTCTGAGGCTTCTCCGTCTTCAAAGATTTCTGTTGTTCCCAGTAGCCAGATCTCCTCCACGCAATCCTACGTGGCACTGTTAGACAATTGTCGTGTTCAGGATCCTTCCCGTACATACGGTGTGACATTTTCGACATTCTCGGCTTTGACTTCTAAATCCGACGTCCTGTCTCTCCGGGATATTTTTTTGAAGATGCTAATGTGCACGCGGGGCGTGACTGGTGAAAAGGCGCTTGAGATACAGCGACATTGGCAAACCCCACGGGGCCTGGTTGAGGCTTACATGGCTTTGGACCCTAAAGATCGCGATGCAATGGTGTCAGACAAATTGCAATCCTTGGTGGGAAGGAAAAAGGTTCCTAAAGCTGTCAGTAAACGAATTGCTGAAATCTGGGGAAACGGCGGATAAAAAGGTGAACTACTAGTACAGTACGTCCCGAAACCAGTGCGACCACCTACACTTTTTGACATCTACTCTAGCCCTGATACCAAGATCCACTAGTCTATACTTCAGTGCCCTGTCAGCTGAACTTATATTGCTTTTGACGTAGATTACATAGTATCTCCAGAACTGTATTTGTTTGTAAATTCAATACGTCCGACACTTCGATGCCCCACCTCCAAAGCAATCCCCCAAGGAAAGGTATCTTAAATAATTAATCAGGACTACTCCGTACTCGAACCAAGATAGCGCCAAACCTAGCCTCCTCTCAACATAAGCTTATCTGTGATATGATCCACAGTATGTATCTATCTTTATCGCAGATGGCACAGGCTGCTGGCTGCAATAAGAGTACTATCCTGAGAATCTCTTCCAATATACTCGTGCACGCACCCCTGAGCAAGACTGCAATAAATAGCTAATTAAGAGCCAAGTAGGAAAATGATCGGTGTGATATTCAGATATGTATTCAACAACCTAGTGAGATGTAACGTCTGTCCTAAAGCTCATCGGAAAGAGGATAAGACGTTTGTTGAAAACGAACAAGCGGGGGGATTCTTCAGTGAAGCACATTAAATATCCTAGTGATCCATATGCTAGTCTACCAAAACGACCCAGAGTTGAATCCGACGCCAAAGTGTATGTAACCGAAACTAGATCTTGGTCCATCGCAAAAGAGCTGCAGCGATAATGACAGGCAACACACTGATAAGTTCACCCAGCCCAGCATATTCAGGGGGAATCCTAGCTTTCACGAACGCCCCAGCAGCAAGAAGCACGGCAAATGTGTTGTATATGAAACTCCACCCGAAGTTAAATTTGATGCGCCGTACAGAAACTTTGCTCGTATCCATCACAGTAATAACTCCGGATAGAGCTGGCCTCATTAACACCACATCGGCGGCAGCTTGCGCAATGTCGCTGCCTGTACTCATGTGGACGCCGACAGTTGCCTGCGCTAACGCGACGGCGTCGTTGGTTCCATCTCCGCAAAAGATGACAACGGGCTCCTTAACATTCACTGAGTCTCCCAGAAGATTCTTAATGTAGGACTGCTTGTCAGATAGAGAGCTGTGAGCTTGGACATTCCTATCTGGAATCCCTAAAATCGATACTACTTTTTGAATGGGCTCGGCATCATCACCCGATACCACATGGACTGACACATTCCGTCTTAGTAGAGTTGTGACGACCTGACATGCGTCATCCCTGAGAGAGTCCTCGAGGCCAGAGACTGCACACAATACACCGTCGATGGTAAAACAGAACGCAGTATAGCCCTGGAGAAGCACTTGCTGTACCAGTGGGTGGTTTTGAACATTTAGCCAGCGAGAGTTTCCCCCCCGCATCGTTTGCCCAGCCACCTCACCCTCCATGCCTCGGCCGGTCAGACTTTTGACTCCTGGGAAAGCCGTTGTAATAACTTCATTGCGCCTTAGGTGGTCAACAACTGCCACAGAGATCGGGTGCTTATTGTTGCTGATGAGGCCTAGGAGGAAGAGCAGTTGTGTTTCACCGTTCTCAAGACAGTGTTCGACGACTACACTTAGGTTGCCCTTGGTCAGAGTTCCTGTTTTGTCAAAAACCACGTGAGACGCCTTATAGGCTACTTCGATGGCATCAGCGGACTTAAAGATCACTCCTTGCTCTGCCGCAATACCGCTCGCGAAGACAACCACCATGGGAACGGCGAGGCCAATAGCACAGGGGCAGGAGACAAAAAGCACGGTAATGGCGTAGGTGATGGACTGGACGGCAGCTTCCGAACCGGTCTTACCTTGGACCGCCACACCAACTGCAATCCAGACGACAAACGTAGCAATGGCCAGGGCCACAATGACAGGGACAAAGTGAGAAGCCACTTTATCTGCCAGCTCTTGCATCTTTGGTTTGGATAGCTTAGCTTCATCCACCATTGCAGCGATAGCGGTGATGGTGTTGTCGCCGGGCAGTCGAGTGACCCGAACATGTAAAGTTCCTGAGCCACTAATCGTCCCTGCCATAACGCGGGATTGAGGGCCCTTCTCGACAGGATGAGACTCCCCAGTGAGCATTGACTCGTTCACTTCAGATGAGCCAGACACAATGGTACCATCCGTCGGAATCCTTGTATCGGGGGCCACCATAAAAATGTCCCCGTATTGCAAAAGCCTGACGTCGATGTCCCTACCCTCGAACGAGTTGAAACCGTCCACCAGGACAGCATTTTGGCTCTGAAGTGATCGAATAGAGATTGACTCGACTGCTTTCTGACGGGCAAGTGCGGCAACATAACGCCCAACCATGATTAAGCTGACCAAAAGTGTGCTGGTCTCGAAAAAATGGCCTGTTGACAACGGGTTGCCAGCAACGAGGTAGCCAAACGAGATAAGGGAAAAGACATAAGCTGCAGTGGTGCTCAAAACAACAAGGAGATCCATCTCAATGACCTTCGAAAGGATAAGAGCCTTCAGCGCCTTTGGGTAAAAGGGGCCTGCAACCATAACTTGAACTAGCGTTGCCAGAGCCAATAATGTAGAGTTGTAGGGTATTTCTCGCTCGGGAATCGGAGCCCACGTCAAGACCAAGACTGGAATGGTAAGAATCACAGAAAACAGTGTGATATATCCGACATGACGGACATGCTTTTTTCCAGCCCCAAGAGCTGGATCGTCGCGGGTAGGCGCTAGCCTCGCAACCCCTGCCCAATGTTTCTCTATGAGGTCGCGTGCCCCGACAAGCTCTGGATCAAAAGAAACGCGAATTTCGTCCTTGTTGACGGCAGATACGTCTGTCACGCCTTCTGGCCATGGCCGATTGACGAACGTTGACAGATCCTCAGACGTAATGATATCCATGCTCGATCCGCTGCTGGTGATCACATCAAATTGAAACTCTGTAGTACGCTGTAGATGTTTCATCACATATTTGACACTCGACATATTGAGATCCAAGTCGAATTCTGCACGGGACAAGATGAGGCTCGTCTTTACATTCCTGACACCTGACACTATAGCTAAAGTTCTGTTGAGTTTCGTCTCGCAACCAGTGCAAGTCATGCCAGAAACCGAGAGAATGACATGCTCGGCGCCAGTGTTTTGTCTCTTCAGGTCAGAGGCCATCGTCTCACTGTTCTTGCTCTCCACCCCGGTGCAGGCTACCTGAACTAGCTTCGGGGATTTGGTACTGGCACGTAATGGACTTTCAGAGTTGCAAAGGGCAGAAACTTTGTCCCCAGAACAAGAGCTTTTAGGTTTGCAGTGAGACTCACCAGAGCAGCTCTCCACAAACCCGTTCTCAGAGCCGGACGTTTGCGTCGCTTTGGGCTTACTTCGACGTCTTTAAGTGTAGATATGCCTTTTGAGCAACAAGAGTCAACCGAGATGCGCGAGCGTACCCCTTTCAGCGGTTCTCTGGAGCTTCGTTTCCTCAATGGCGAAGGCATCCCTCGAGGAAGGCAACATGTCTCCTTGCTTAGAGCAATAAGAGCACGGCAGATACATCCTAGAGTTGCTAGTGTAGCGGCATACTGTTCGCGGACAGCACGTCGATGATGATCGCAGGCTCTGCGTTGGGGGGCATCACCCTTATTCGGCACTGATTTCAATGTCTCAGCTGCAATAAAGCCCAAGTTGATAAAGACCAATGCAGGATTCGCTTGGTCCAGTCAACGTACCTTGTTGAGTGGCTTCAACGCGCTGGATGTCCATACCTGTATGACACTTGCGTAAAGCCAAGCGATCCAGACAAGTCTCGTCGCAGCATGGGGTAGGCACGCCACTGCAACATTCTGGTTCTTTCAATTCGGCTGGAGCAGAGTTGCTTGATGAAAGGGTGCTCGAGCAGCATTTTGGGAAATGCGCGCGCAAATAAGTATTGGCCGTTCCCTCGCTAGCTTCAATGGCAAGGCCTTCTTCGGAATCTTCCCAGGCCAAGTCACCAGGGGGTGAGACATCCGTGTTGCAAAAGGTCTCCGAAGGCTGATCATCGCAGCAACTTCCTGGGCCAGTCTTTTGTTGGGAAGAACCAGAGCGATTATTGTCACGGCAGGCAGTTGCCGGACATTGGAGGGAGGGCAGAATATGGTTATTCTCATTTTGGGCTTCCTCACTTCTGGTGTTGGCCGAGACGCTGCCACAGCAATCATCTTGACAACTCCCGTCTCGTGTCGCGCCATCCTTGTCATACCCGTCATCTACGGTCACATCCAAGCTGCTGGCTTCAACAGCCCCAGGATTGCATCGTACTGTACTGACTTCATCATTCACGTTCAAACAAATTTGATTTCCCACGTCGATTTGGGTACTTTCATCGGACGGGGATTCATTTGGTAGAGGGGGCGTAGCAGGCTGGTAGCAGGAGCAACTCATAGTGCCCGTTCGACAAACTCGCTTCGGAGCTTTCTCTCCAAATTGCGATGGCTTCGCTTGTGGTGTCGTGGTTGGCGTGGCAGGCACTTGTTTAAAATCTGTACTTTTGATGAGGGGCTCTTGAGGAATAACCTAGCTCCCAAGAGCACGAGTCACGACACCGCCAAGCTAGATGCATTCCTATAGGTAGCGAGTAGCGACCGTTCAAAGCACGTGAGACGATGATTCTCTTGTGATAAAATCGGGCTGGCAAAAAGCCCTGCGCACGCCCATCATTCCATGAGCGGGCTCGTCAGCATGGCCACATAAGTAATCACAATTATATAGTCTTATGGCCTTTAAGAATGCATCAAGTGGTGTTCTCACCACAGCACGGTGGGTGGTTTTCAATTATACAGAATTGAAACAAGTATGCTCGGTGTGGACGATTGACTATTCGCTGACTGCAATTATCATGTCTAGATGAGGTGATTTCTCCCCGTTGCTTCACCCAAAGGCCGCACCTACTTTCGCGCCATGCTTGACCAAGAAATTAGATTCCAGATCCTCATGAACCTGCGCAAGATCGAGGCAATTTTCAAGTGTCACATCGCGCGCCATGATGATATTGTCCCTGAAAGCCTCGTTGCCCACCCGTGCTCGCTGCCAGTCTGTATACTCTTCCACGGGTACATCCAGCAGGCCATGAACCATGTTTGACTTGTTTGCATTATCGTCGAAAACTTCTAGTTCCCTTGGATCGTAGCAGTAGTCATAATGTACCGTTTTGACCTGGTTTAAGAGTGACAGCGACATGTGAAATTACCAACTCAGGTACTAGTGATCGACTTCAAAAGTGTCTCCACAGCACGGGGCCCACTGGGGTTCCTGCTTGAACGTGTTACGTAGGTGTCGTGACGAATAGACAATGACGTCAACTTTTCCACGGAGGATCTATCAACTAGACCGGAAATGGCTAAAGCCTGCCAAGATTTCAGGTATCTGGATGATGATTGGATGAGAGTTTTCTGTATACAAAAAACAGGGTTTTGGACCCAGTTTTCTATCCTACTCTGGAATATGATTAATATAATGACTGCGGGCGTTGATCCCCGCTTCTCATTTCGACGATCCGATCAAGACGTCGGCCATCTTGACATTTCAAAAATTGGTCAATCATGGACACACACGGTCCCTGTGCGACACGGTACCGCCTGGCCCAAGAGCGGGAATTCCACAAGTACTCAGGTGTCCCCCTTTACTGAGATCTCAACCAGAGCTAACCACTCACCCCGACAGATATATTTCAAGCGATGATTTCGCATCCCACTATGCCCCTTGGGATCATGCCAGCAACGAGAAATTCGTCCCACAGCCATCGAACGACCCTGCGTTGACATCGTACGCTCAGCTGTCTGCCACTCGTTTGGGCACCGAGCGCGCCCTCATTTCCTTGTTCGATCGCACACACCAGCATGTACTGGCAGAGGCAACTCCGACATTGAGTCTCAAGGGTGGACACTTCCAGAACAATGTAGAGAGGTTAAAACTGGGATGCTGCGTATTTCCTAAGGAGCGGGGCCTTTGTCACCATGTCGAGTCTCAAGCGTCAGAAAGTTCGGAGAAGGAGAATGCAGCTACCGACAATTGCACTCTAGTGTCTTTGGACATTACCAAGGACGATCGTTTCAAGTCATGCCAACTACTTGCTCCACTTTCCGACGTGCGTTTCTTTGCGGCAGTGCCCATTTTGAGTCCAAGAAAATACAGAATTGGAGTCTTATGCGTGATGGACAGCCAAGCGAGGTCATCTACTCCCGACATCGATTCTCTTCAATTCCTGAAAGATATGGCTGCGACCGTCATGGATCACTTGCAAATGAAGGAAATTAAACGTCGAAGCCATCGCGCTGAAAGGATGATAGTTGGTCTCGGCAGTTTTGTGGAAGGTCGGTCTACTCTTCGAGATTCATGGTGGCAGACCAAGGTGCAACGCGACGAATCGAAGAAGAAGAGCCATTCCACTGGTCAGTTGAAAACGGAGCTGCAGGATATCCAACCCCTGAAAGAAACCGCAGAAGCGGGCTCGAAAAGTCTACCCATTCGGGAGCCGCCAAAGATGACCAGCGATACTAAGGACGACGGTGATGTTAAGGACACAAACGGTACCCCGAAAGACCAGAATGATTCCCCCCAGCCACCCAAATCGGCCAGTCCCAGCGATCTGCCATCGGGGAGTCACCAGGGAACACCCAGACAGGAAACTATAAACGAGTTTTCTCAAAAGGGTAGTTCGGTACGCAGCGTGCGTGCAGGAGATAGTCTAAAAGACGAAACTCTCCCTAATAGCATTCGAAGTATCTTCTCGCGTGCTGCTAATCTTATCCGAGAGTCAATCGGGGCGGAGGGGGTGATGTTTCTGGATGCAAACAGCGAGCGCTTTGGGAATCTCGTCGATCAAAATAGTCGTCGGGTCTCTGCTCCTCATTTGAAACATTCTACGTCCGCGTCCACATCCATGTCCAGCTCAGATGACAGCACGGATTCCGGGTCGTCGAGAAAACGAAGACCATCCGACGCGAGCCAAATATCTGATTCAGATGAGCACCCGGTGACCTCTGAATGTTTAGGATTCTCCAGCTCTGGGATGTCAAATGGCAACGATGAGGACCGAGCTGGTCAACCCATTGTGGTTCCTGAGCCTCTGTTCAGCTCACTTATCCGGAGGTATCCCCGTGGGAAGATCTTCACCTATAATGCGGGTGGAACCCTTTCAGACAGTGATGACGCCAATCAGAACTTCTATGGGTCGGACGGAAGCCGTACCTCCCAAACTTCTGCTCCTGATAAACCGGGTAAACGGAGGCGCAAACCAGCTATCCAGCGAGATGCCGACGATCTGATTAATATATTCCGCGGAGCTAGGAACATTCTTCTACTGCCTATATGGGACTCGGACAGACAACGATGGTTCGCAGGGGCCCTGGTCTGGACGAACGAACCGCACAGGATTTTTACCTTCGAGGATGAGCTTGTCTATATCTCTGCGTTTACAAATAGTATCATGACGGAAATTCGCCGAGTCGATGTGGAGGTGGCAGAGAAAGCAAAAACCAACCTAGTCAGCAGCATCACTCATGAGCTTCGAAACCCCTTGCATGGAATTTTGGGAACGGCAGATATACTAAGTGACACTGCCATGAATGCACTGCAGCATGGAATGGTTCACACGATCGAATCTTGCGGCCGTACCTTATTGGACACAATCAACAACTTGTTGGACTTTACCTTCATTGATCAATATAGGAAAGGGAGCACTTCTCGGCGCAAGGGGGGAAAATCACGATCGCAATATAAATCCTCCCGGGAAATGTCTTCATATACCCGTGTGTCGTTGGACTCTATCTTGGAAGAGGTTACAGAGTGTGTGTTCGCCGGATATTGCTTCTACAACCACCCTCAGGCACCCCCTCCAGCCCTTACAGAGTCGTCATCACGCACGGGCGGTCAACCCGAGAAGGCAGACCCTGTTGGTCCCCGAGCGAGTCAAGTCACTGTCATTTTCGACATCGAACCGGATACCGAATGGGTCTTTTATACGCATGCCGGTGCCTGGAGACGTATTCTCATGAACATTTTCGGGAATGCGCTAAAGTACACATCTTCAGGATACATCTATCTCGGGCTGAAATCAGCTCAAAGTGGCATTGAGTCGAACATGTCATCTAAAAATCTCAGAGGCGAATTTGAGGTCACACTCACCGTGAAGGATACTGGAAAGGGCATTGGAGCAAAATATTTGCAAAATGGTGTTTTCAGTCCCTTCTCGCAGGAGGACCCACTTGCATCTGGCAGCGGATTGGGATTGAGTATTGTCCATCAGGCCGTTGGACTCCTCGGTGGCTCGATCGAGATTGAATCTACACCGGGTGTTGGCACTCAACTAACAATCCATACACCCCTCATGAGGCCACCCGCCGAATCAGAGGCTTCTTCTTCGTCATCTTCCATGTTCCATTCACTGAGACAACACACGGAAGACAAGACAATTGCATTCTTAGGATTTGGACAGCACTTACGTTCACAAAGAGACACAGCCTTGTATTCTTCATTGGAAAGAATGTGTCATGAATGGTTTGGTCTGCAAGTGACCAAAATATCGCCATTGGAAGGCAAGCATAGTCCATACAATTTCTACTTGGCCGTGCAGACAGAACTGGACAGTGAAGATGTTGGGGGAAGAAATCTGTTTGGTCTCCCTGAGCACCTTAACAAAGACGGCGAATGGACATCGCCTGTTGTCGTCATCTGTCAATCTCCCGAGGAAGCCCACGGTATGTTTGTGGCTGCCAAGAACCGGGGCGACACGACTTTCTTCGAGTTCGTGAGCCAGCCTTGTGGGCCTCGAAAATTGGCTCGCGCACTGGATATGTGTATCAAGCGGCAGCGTGATAAAGAGTCTGGTCGACGGGACAGTGATGAGCCTACTCGCTGGGTGGAAATGCCCGAGTCCTCTCACCTGCCGCTGGATCTCGGGCCCGCTGATCCTCCGGATGATAGGATGAAAATCAGCAAGCGGCCAACGACAGAAACTATGAGCAACGACAAAGATAGACAAGAAATGGAAGCCTCTTCAAAGAAACCTCCCGTGATAGAGGAAGAGAATACCACACAGCCAACAACGTCTTCAGCGCATGGTGAAGGGGAACCACGCGAACCCGACCCAACGGTCTTACTTGTTGATGACAATGATCTCAATCTTCAACTACTTTGTGCCTACACCCAAAAGGCCGGCCTTAAATATATGACAGCTCAAAATGGCGTCGATGCAGTCGAGATTTACAAGGCTCATCCTGGCAAGTTTCAGGTTGTCATCATCGGTAGGATCTCAATGCTTCATCTCAATCCGACTTCCCTCCGTACTAACATTGATACAGATATCTCTATGCCACTCATGGATGGCTTTGAAGCATCACGGCAAATGCGCCGCTTGGAGAAAGAGCACCGTGCACAATTTTCCAACTCTGAAAATGCACCCCCACGCACTATCATAGCTGCTCTGACTGGACTTGATAGCGCCGAGGCTCAGAAAGAAGCTTTGGGCTCCGGCATTGACACCTTCCTCGTCAAACCCATCAAGCGACCTCAAGTGCAGGCTATCTTGCGGCGACAAGTATAGTAATATACGGCAAATGTTTTCATGATCACAAGAAACAAATTATGTACATGCGAATTATACACAACCTTTTTCGTGTTTTGTTAGTCCTTCGTCGTGCGTTTTGGATTTTCAGCCTGGATCTAACTATACATAGAAGTTCGATAACTCTGCGAAAAAATATAGAATTTGAGTTATCTGGGAATTTGGAAGCTGCATTTATATCACAAACTATACATACATAGAAACGAAAATTTAATGGCATTTAGCTACTGTACAACAATTCAAATTGGGTATCTCAGCACCATATCACTCAAACACTATACATGCCTTATTTCTTCCAACCAAGAAACTTCTTAACACTATCAATATCGACTCTCAACGCCAAGCTACTCGATACGACCGAGATACTGCTCAAAGCCATCGCCAAAGCAGCCCACACCGGGCTAAGTCTCCAGTGGTCATCAACAGTAACCAACTCCCCACCAGCAGTCTTCTGATGGTGTCCACTAACAATAGGATAGAAGACACCAGCAGCGACAGGAATAAGACAGACATTGTAGACCAGCGCCCAACAAAAATTCAGTCGTACACGCATAAACACCCGCCGACTGAGAACAACGAGTTGGAGAATAGTGCTGAGGTCCGAATTGAGCAGAATGAAACTAGCAGAATTGATCGCGACGTCGGATCCAGATGCCATTGCAATGCTCACATCTGCAGCGGCAAGTGCGGGGGAATCGTTCACGCCGTCCCCGACAAATGCAACGATGGGTCGTGTTGTGGGCTGGTCGTGTGGGCCCTTTGCGGAGCCATCATGCACCCGGGAGACAAAGTTAGCTTTCTCAGCTGGGAGGACATTGGCTATGACGTTGGACCGCGAGATGCCCAGCATATCTGCGACCGCGTGTGCGGTTTTTTCGTTGTCGCCTGTGCACATGAAGACTTCGACATGGCGTTTTTGGAGTTCGGAGATCACGCCTATAGCCTCCGGTCGGATGGTGTCTGAGGTTGCAAAAACTACTGCGGGGACGAAGGGTGACTGCGTAGATGATTTTGAATTCACAGGACGTAGGGACAGGATAGCTGTTGACTTGCCGGCTGTTTGGAACCGGGATAGTAGACTTGAGACGAAGTAAGAGTCTGCTCCATCGGGTAGGACGCTATTGAGTAGGCGTTCGTTGCCAATGGCAGCTTCGTATTGTTGTTCTGCTTGATCGATGGACACGGTGAAAGTTCCTTTCATTCCTTGGCCACTTATTTCGTGGATGTCTGATGTAAGAACATTGACGTCGGACTTCGATTCGCAGAATGCTGAGATTGCTTGTGCAATTGGATGATTGCTGCTTTCCTCCATCTTGTGAGCGAGGGCCCATGCGACTTTCAGAAGGTCGTTATCATTTATCAATACTTCATGATCTGAGACCTTCAGGCTTCCTCCTTCGGTCAATGTACCAGTCTTGTCGAAGATGATGGCATTGAGACGACTGGCTTCTTGGAAAGCTTCACCACCACCCTTGACTAAGATTCCATGTTTTGCAGCAAGACCACCGCCAACGAACAATGCAGTAGGCGCAGCGAGAGCCAGTCCACAGGGACAGGCGACCACGAATACTGCGATGGCAAATTCCAGACTCCAGAAAGTCCATCCCCCTTGTGCGTTATCCAGATAATCGCCAGGTAATACGCCCGAGTGACCTAGAGCGAGCCAAATGACGAACGTGAGGATGGCAATGAAAGTGATTGCAGGAACGAAATGAGATGTGAGCAGATCCGCCACTCTCTCGAGTGGCGCACGCTTGCTCTGGCCCTCTCGCACAACTGCAATGATTTGATCGAGCATAGATGACCCGCCAAGCTCAGTGACTTGTATTTGCACAGGTTGGCCCAAATTAACAGAGCCAGTATATACCTGTTCACCAGATTCCTTCTTGACGGGGCGAGACTCTCCAGTCAAGGAGCTCTCGTCAAACTGATACGCTCCTTCGCCAACCACTGTACCATCGGCTGGCGGAGACGCGCCGTGTGGAATGCGAACAATATCACCTACTTCCAGGAGATCAACAGCAACGCGGGTCATGCTACCAGAATCCGATGCTTCAGCAGAATCCACAACACTGTTTTGAACCAATAGTGCCTCAGATGGACGGAGGTTTCCCAGTGAAGAGACTGCATCACCTGTTTTCGCTTTGCTGTACGCCTCCAAATATCGACCACCAAGAATGAAAAGAGTCAAGAAGACAACCGAGTCGAAATAGGTTGTGCTGGCTGTACTTGTCTTCTTTCCCACAACGGCGTCAACAATGAGTACCGCAAGTGATGAGAAGTAGGCAACTGCTGTTCCTGCAGAGATCAGGAGATTCATGCTGCCAAAGCGGTAGAATCGCCGCAAAATCGGTACTCGACTACCTGGACGCCAGAGCGCGTGGATTTCTTTCATCGCTCGGATATGGAATACATCTGTACCAAAGAACATGACCGGTGTCGACATAATGAAGAGCGCCCATTCTGTACGAGTCACGCTGCCGGACCAGATTTTCTGCTCCAGGTATTGTCGGATTGAGTTGTGCGAGGACACAAGGGACATGAACACAATGCCAATGAGGAAGGTCGGTATAGCCACGATAAAGACAAATATTAGACGGAGCAATAGCTTATTTCGTTCATGCAATTGCATGGCGCGAGAGCGTTCTTCGATGCTGGGCGGGTGATAAATAGTCGCGCTGAAAGCATCGTTGGCTTCATTGATTCTGGCGAGAATTGTTCGAATACTCAAAGAAGGCAACTCTGGGGTATATGTCACTCTGAGTATTGGGTGCTTCTCCGTCGGCTCCTCTTCCACCGTAACATTAGGAAGAGACTCCAAAGAAGCAAGAACTTTCTCAGGACAATGATGGCAGAACATTCCATCAACATGAATAGAGGTTGTTCTCGCCTGTACGTTAATGGTAGTCTCGCCGCTCTCTGCTAGAGAATGAAAACTACTGACAACGGCGTCATATCCAAGATCCTCGATCTTTTCCACAATATTGTCCAAGTTCTCTCGTCCTTGGAACTCCACTCTTCCGCTATGTGAGAGTAAATTCACTGAGACATTTGTGACAAACGAAAGCTCCTCTAACCCTCGAGTGACGGATCCAACGCAGGATCCACAAGTCATACCAGTGATTGCAATCTCAGTGACAAAGCCTGTCTTGATCAATTCGGGGCTAGACGGAAGATTTACTGCATTCACTTCATCAATAAAGGCTTCAAAGCCAATATCTTCGACTTGTTCGGTGACAATTGTGACATTTTCTCGAGGGCCAAAGAACACCACTGTCGCGCTATTTGTGAGAAGATTGACGGTAACTTCCTTGACACAATCAAGTTCCTCAATCGCAGCAGTGACACTGTTAACGCATGATGCACAGGTCATGCCTCCAATGCTGATCCGCGCATTAAATTCGTCTTTGATTGTTGGTGAAGATGCTTCAGACAAGTCGGTTATTTGGGGGGAAATCTGTGGAGAGCGGTGCCCTGCTATGGTGGTAGGAAGAGTAGGAGTGGGTGATTGACAACAAGACGGTGAAGTCTCCAAGGCCTTTTCAGTCTGCCCTTGACCGGCCTCAAGATCGGTGTCCCAAGTCTCATTCAATGTGATTTTCTCATGTGGAACCCCAGTTTCGGTCAGGGTGGAATGACAAGAGAGTCCATCGGTGTCCTCTTTCTTGCATGCATCACAGTTGGCAATATGACGTTTCTCTCGACTGGTGTGCAATTTTCCTTTTACATTGGAGAGACTGGAATATGACGTCCGGGGCGTGGCGAACAGCATCGACCCCCGCGAGTTCCAAGCTGTCGTATCGAGTTCGGAAACGACCACACCCCGGGCGTCATACGTTGATACATGGTGGACTTCGAAAGCGGCATGTATTAAAGTAGCGGCAAGATCTGCTGGCTGCACAGAGATCCCATGAGTGACCCGCACCTCGTGGGTCAAGATCGATACATCGATATCCTTGACAGTTGGGATTTCGGAGAGAATTTCGGTGACATAGGCCACACAGGAGGCGCAATGAATATTACCCACCCAGAAAACACTGCGCCTTGAGTCACGATCATCATGCGACTGCATCTTGGACGTATATTCTGGGATTTTCGGCGTGGTAGACATGATCAACTAGGCCGTCAGATAGTTACCGTTGAAAGGAAATGTCGTGGAAAACCAGAGATATCCGAATAATATGTAATCATCTGAAACGGACAGCTGCCTTATTCAGAGCATGGGGAACTCGTTCCTTTAAAACCTCGTTCGGCCTATCGCGCGGGTAGTGGGTCGATCTGATATCAACGAATTGCCACCAAGCATCTGAGACCACGAGACAGCAAAGGTAGGATAAGAAACAGGATCAAGGAGGATTACCAATGGCTTTGTCGTAATTTAATTAAAGAAACTAAAAGAAAAAAAAATCTTCGGAACTATATGTAGGTGGAGGGCGTTCGAAAGGCGCGATGCGGCATTTGTGCGCGGTCCCCGTCCAAATCACGCACAAATACCGCAACTACATTCCAATCAGCGAGAGCCATGACGATGGATATTAGGAATGTGACCAACGATCTGAAGCTTTCAAGCTCAACTACACCATGTGCTCCTGTACCTTCCTCAGCCTTACCTCAAAAGTGTTCAAAAATAATTCTGAAAGAATCCAAGGGAGAGCTGACTGTCCGCTTATCGTTAATAATCAGATGACTTTCCGGTATCAATTTGATCCGGTGATCTAATCAAGTATCTGTCAACTAATAACTGCTTTATTATAGCAATCCCCGGATGGCCGCCCGGCGCCAAAGGCCGCTTGCAGGTGACTTTGAGGTCTAGCTGGAACCGTTGGCCCTCTAAAAATTTTAATAAGGTCTAAGGGGGTTTATAGGGAAATATGGTTTTAGACAGAGATCTAGATTTTACTAAATACAGTACTTAATATAACTACGAAGTCAATATAATACTAATTATCACCAATATCTAGCTAGCCCTAGCAACAAGCTTATCATCCACTTCCTTCATGCCCGACACGGTGCTCACTATTAATGAAGGCAGCCAGGTGTGTGCTGATCTGGATTTTATATCTTTTGTAAAAGGTGAAGTTGGACCTGCTTTGGTACATGTGCTGACTGAATGAGTTGTTCTAGCAACACGCGGCCGAAAATCCTTTAGTAAATCGATACTACGTACCCAGGTGCACTAGGATAGCAAATTTGAGCAGAGTATACTAAATCAAACCAAATAATGCCTAGCCATCACATATCAACATTTTGCAGATGTCAAGAGACTTTTCCCACTGAACCATAGTCTGTACCTTTTGTATTCTTCTATAGTCGGGCCTTGCTTTCCTCTCTGTTAACAAGGTTGGGATGGGGAGCGCGAGTCGGACGAGTGACGGCGTAGAAGGCAAGGCCTGCAGACTTGGTCGAGAACTAAAATAGAGTAAAGATCCGTCAGTAACTCCCTTTCTTTGTAGTGAAGTGAAGAAGGACCGGAATTCTGGAAAGAGGCAGATATTTCCATTACCAACCTTCACCTTTGATCCAACATAGAAGAAGGCGAAATCTCCGGGAACTAGGTGGTGAGTAACTCCGGTCGCCTCGTCCTAGCAGTTGGGAAATTCCACTTTAATAAGTTTCCTCACAATGGAAGTACTGTAGTAGAACAGAACATACCAAAATATCAATCTGACCACGGAGAACATATTTGGTCTCCTCAAAGGTGTAATGAGCGGGCCTTTGGGGACCAGCCTCAATCTTGTAGAATCCCGATGTAAAATAGGCAGGCGATTCGGACTCGGTACGGATGGAGTGGAAATCGGCCGTGGTTGCGTTCTCGCCCGGTGGGAGAGGAATGAATTCGTGGCCGGCGCCTTTAATAACAGTAAGAGGAACTAGATCTCCAGACACTGCACGAAACGAAAGTCAAAATTTACTTCAATATTATGAGTCTTCAAGATGCCGAAGCATAACTAACTTTTTCAATTCTTTCAAGTTATTGATACCAATAAGATTCACAGGCGCTGAAGAGACTGTTAACTTGGGGAATATAAGCACCAGCACACTTCGGGTGTCATCGCGGAATGAGATCAAGATCCCGTGTACTTTAGCCCAATGAGGGTGTAATTGGCGCCTTCGTGAGGAGAACACGGGCCTACCACCCGGCTGCCGGTGCGGGGAAGATATCGGGCATCTGCGCGGAACCCAATGCCCACTAGGTATAAACATTCTAGAGTAGAGATCTAAGCTTCATATAAGGTGCATGGTGAAACCTTTCCAAATGCATGCCCCTGGACCCATATAAATTACATAGACTCTGATGCCAAATCGTTTAGCAAAGATACTGGGGTACTTGACCTGAAACCAGCCTCTACGCGTTGCTGCTATATAGATACAGTATATTTTGGAACAAAGAAGATGAGCCGCTTGCCAACTTCACGCATAGAAACTGAAGGTGAGGCCATTGCCAGTGATTGACCCTGGTCCGATACTGATCTTATATGGAAACCAATCTTACTCTCAGTTGTGATAATATTCCCATCTCTGCAAACGGGATGTCAGCATTCGAATATCCGACACTGCCAATAGATATACACAATCCTAGAGCCCCAAGTATCATTGTGGGCTTCCGACATGGCTATTAATATAGTGGTTCAATAATTTACCTAAGCTAGTGTCGGTTATACGCTCGTTGTTTTGCCAGGTGTCATGGGAACGTGCATATTGATAGTGCTCTCGAAGATCTCGTCAAACTTCACATAACCACAGTCCGATTCAATTCACTGTCGATTGACATATACTAAGTGTAGACCAAGAGGTTCGACAAAGAAATGGATATAGATTGTTCTAAGGCTGGTCCTGAGAGTTGAAGTTGAAATATGGCGTTTAACATGGTGCTCCAAAGTATCTTTCTTGCTGCTGTTCCTTACGTACCGAGTCATACATTCGGTGAGATACTTCCTATGCGAGTGGATTGTTTAAATTTCGTTGAACTCCGTACTAGCGGCGAGTGCCAGGTCCTTTTGCTCCACATCCATGGAAGTGGCTTGCTGTACATGTACCAGATTCACGGCTAGGCCAACATTAATGTGGTTCCCTCTTGATAAAGAGTGATTCAGGAATTACGATCAAGCTTTTGGATGAGAAGTGGGACTCTGACGGCACAATCAATAGGTGGATGGAATTCAAAACCGTGGGACTTTCTTTATTTAGTTTTCCAAGGAAAGAGGAGATTCAGGGGCAATAGGACTTCAATGGAGAATTCCTGAAAGGCTTGACTTGACGTTTTGCTAGAGTCATGATCTTCCATAGATTGAGATCCATGGCTTATCATGAGCTACACAGTCCAGCTAATTATCAATAATTAACTAATTGGCATTTGGGCTGAAATTTTCGCATGCTTTTCCTAGTAGGTTCCCATTTTCAGTCCCCAAGTTCCAACATTTCAATTTCGTTGCATGACATTCTTGGCAGACGCTTGACTCAAATTTGCTTGGTGGGTAGCTGAGACCGCTCATCTTTACAAGTTACGTGGCAAAAATCCTGCAATGCGCTAATATATTCGCCAGTTCGGAATCGAGCCTTCTGAGCATGTGGGTCTGACTCTGGCCCGGCGCCTATTCTTCGGGTTTTATCCAATCTCTCAACTATTCCTATTTTCTAAATGAACAATCATCATACCTAGGCTAAGATCAACGCCATCGGTGTACATAGCTCGAGGACTCTTGACAACTTAATCGCCAGAATATTTTGAATCAAATCATGGAGCGAATGTATTTACTACTCCTCCGTACCATCTACGTAGTTTGCTCAGGAATAGATATGTGCTAACTGCCGGCGCTAAATTATCGATGCTTTAGGCTGGGAGCTACTGTAGACTAGTCCTTTAACTAGTCAATAAAGGGTATAGGGCGTAGAGCTGCGTCTGAATAAAGATAAGCTGCTTAGATAGATCGAGCTCTTGCGACTTGCTGGCCATGCTTTCTCCTTTCCATTCATTCTGTCTGATATATTGACAGCTGGAACTTTCTCGATATTCTGCCTTGGCTCTTCACATTGGTCTAGAGTTCCTTTTTACTACCCTACACAAGAAGCCCTTCGTTTTCCTTCTCCAAATTTACGAAGCAACCTGTGGACATCCAGCATGGCTTCAAAATCATCCTCTCTCATCAGACCCTCTGCAGAATCCCAAATCCTATCGGAAACGAATAATCGCTCTGACCCCAAATTTGATCTGGTCTATCCGCCAATAATGTTCTAGAGTATGTACCTCTATTAACCTATTTGCCTACACTGCTAAACCAATAGTAAAGCTATGCTTTTCGTTGGTGTGGCAGTTTTTTTATGGCGCCCCACCTGTCGTCAATTTATCGATGCAGACACTTGTAATGTAATTCGCTCGTATACTATTGAATTTTCAGCGCTCCTTACTGCTGTTCTGCAGAGCATTCGAGTATACCGCAGACTATAGATATCACATGGAGAACACTGGTCGCCAGAATAAGCCATCACCAACTTATCGCGAAAGGAGATAATATGCACATCTCTGTTGGCCAATTTTGTTAGAATTGGGGGTCTCTTTTAATTCAATAATGGATCGAGCCATTATAGTAACATTCTGATACGTAGATTGGATACTGCCTCCACAGACCATAACTAAGCTATTCCTAAACGAGACGAGAGCGCTGTATCAGGTCACATGACCCGGGGTCACTCCCAATGAATGTAAAATGTGACGTCTTATTCTCAGGCAAATAGATATTGCCTCTTATAAAATCCTAGCCTTTCAATCGTCACCCGTGACACTTGAATTCAGTGCTAGTATCTAGCAAGCAGCAAATATCTCCTACTAGCCTTCTGTAGTCCATAACGTGACCTTTAACACAATTCCATATCGGGAATAGCATGGTGGGTTGTCCTGACTCCTGATGGTAAAGGCGGTGAAGGTCAATAATGATGACTCATCCTTTTCGCCGCTGCCTCAGCGAGAATTAAGCCTTCAGCGGCGACTCAACCTATAATTTTTAATTAAGGTGGACTTTCATCTACACTATTACTGAAGGTGGAGTTGTTATTGCTGCCTTGAGTGCATCTCGTCTGTTGACAAAAGTGGGTAACCAGAACACCAGCCTCACCCGCATGACACGCCCTTTCAGAGACCATTAGAATCTGATGGAAGCGTGGGTGAATCATCGCCCTACCAGCTTTGAAAGTGTGTTTACGTGTTCAATTCACACGAAAGGCACCAGCGCCGTGGCATTTTAAAGTTAAGCAGTGACCCCATCATTTGATTCAGACATCTTCAACACGGCTTCTCGCACTATACCCCGCCAAAGTCAAACAACTTCAAACTTGGCCCCAGCAACTCTCGAACTTCATTCTTACAGATTAAACGTGGGGCTTTAGTGTCATCATTTTCTACATTGATGGCGCGAGTGTGTCTCTGATCCGGGTTTATCTCATTCCTGGCACAGGCCTACGTCAAAATGTCCTTGTTCAGACCAGCTGGGGAGATATCCTCATCAGAGTCGGAATCCGAATCCGAAACAGACACTAACCCTAGCAATGGGGAGGAAGCTGAGAAGGGCCAATCATCTGAATGGTCGAGGACGAGGTTAAACTCGGATGAATTGGAAGCATCAAGTTCACTTGAGGATGTCTCTGCACTGTCCCAGGACCCGCTGGACACCAATGCAGAACGACATGCAAATGTAATGACAGCTGCATTGCTTGAATTTTACTGTCAAAGTCGAGCTGTCGACATCCTTAATGCACGGAAGGGCTCCGGTCGAAACTTCACCCGTCACAGCCCTGAGGTCCAGTACCTGGGCAAGCAGTTGTATAAATACAAATCACAGTTCTTGTCATCACACGGTATCATGCCAGAAGGCATTGAGAAAGAAGAGCTGGGTGCTACGAGGCAAAGTTACCGGGACAATCTCGACATCCTCGGCATTACAGCCCTTGAGAAAATCGATTTGAATTCGGCTGTGAGGTCACCTATCGAAGGCGGTGATGACCTTGCATTGATTTCAAGACCACGACCTCATAAAGAGGAAGGCGAAAATGCCAGTCAATTCTGGCGGAAAGAAGGAGACAATTTGCATCTACCGTCCGTCGATCACATTGATGTTCTTGGGGGCATTCCTAGCATTCCAAGAAACATACCAAGCTCATCAAGGCCTCTTTTCGGAAGCTCGCCGGTAAGCGTCCCGTTGTTTAACGGGCCTGCTGCTCCGCCATATAATCACATGTCGCGCTATTCGGTCGAATTTAGCGAACTGAAATTATTAGGCCGCGGATCTTTCGGCGAGGTTTACCAAGTCAAGAATCATATTGATGGCCAGGAATACGCCGTCAAAAAGATCCCGCTCAGTCAAAGAAGACTTGAGCAGCTACAGTTTGGAGGTCAGAACCAATTGGAGACCATCATGAAAGAGATTCGAACACTTGCTCGCCTGGAACATACGAACATCGTGCGATACTATGGCGCTTGGGTTGAACAAGCACATGTCTCCGGTCACATACCATTGAAACCGAATACCCAGACCAGATATGAGGAGTCACATGTCGACGAACCAAGTTATGAGCAATCGCAAAGTCACCAACCCAGATATGATAGGACTAACGAGCCAAGCATGGGGATCGTCTTTGAACACTCCGAAAATTCCACTATGGGATCGCACACGAGCTCTGTTCCAGAGGAACATGGCTTCCACAACCGAATCGAACGGTTAGACAGCCATGCAACATCATCTTCTCGTAACACAAGAAAAAGCTCAACAGTCGAGTTGGAGGATGAGGACGACATTGAATCTATTCCTCGAAACTTCAACAATCCTTCTTACGGACAGACTTCTTCCTTCGGGGACACGGACGACATTTTCACCGATGGCTTGAGTCAAGATCACTCGAAGATGATGCAACGCCGCTACGGGCCCGGTCACCAACCACCGGCAGTCATTCTCCATATCCAGATGTCACTTCACCCTATTTCTCTGAACGCTTATCTCAATCCCCAAGCGCCCGAAAAGAGCGATGCCAAGTCAGGATGTCCCTCCAGGCGCCATTGCTTTCATTTGATGCCATCTTTGCGACTGATGATGGATATTGTCTCGGGAGTTGAATATCTCCACTCCAAGGGAATCATACACCGCGATCTAAAGCCAGCCAACATCTTTCTTTGTGCCCCCGAGAGTTATGCTATAGAAAGCTGCACAGCGTGTCGCATTGGTGAAAAATCCCCAATCCACTACTGCCGCCCTCGAATCGGTGATTTTGGCCTCGTCGCGGATGTGTCACGCCTAGATCAAAACTCGCCTGGTGGTGCAGTGACTCCATTTCGCGAAGTTCCCAAGATCCAACGCGTTGTGGGCACCGAGTTCTACAGACCCCCTGCCAACACGCACCCATCAGCTTCACAGTCCGACTACTTTGACGAGTACAGGATAGATGAAAAATTGGATGTGTACGCACTTGGAGTCATTTTATTCGAGCTTGTCTATCAACTCAACACCAAAATGCAGCGCCAGCTAGTCTTGAACGATCTGACTCGCGGGTCAACATCTCTCCCTGAAGACTTCGCTAGCAAGATTGACCAGGGTAAGACTAAATTGGATACCGGTAAGGTTGTTGCTGAGTCTTTGATCACTTGTATTAAAGGCATGTTGATGCCACAATCGCAGCTGCGGTGGAGTTGCCAGGACGTGAAGGAGAATTTGCGACAGATCTACAAATCCGTCAAGAAACTACAACAGGAGTAGTTTTTTTTTTTTTTTTGCAAGCATTGCGGGTATCTATATTGAGTTTTGATGACATGGAATGCATAATGAGCGCTTATAACCATGTCTCCAGGGCATGCTTTCATCAAATAGAACACACCGACATGGGTGCAACCACTCCACTCTTCTCGTGCAAAAACTGATCGGATAATTACTACGTAGTAACTTCCCAATACGAGAGGCTCTCTAATAGCCCTATATTAATTGTATTGATACACCGGAGAAAGCTGATTTCGATAGAATGGTAATAAGATTCGCATAAACAGTCGGTTACATCGGTTGCATAACCCCTCCGAGCCTCGGTTTGGGTGGGAACTCTCTGTATCACAAGTTCCGTCCCCGCATGAACTATAATGAACCTTGGAACCCACATCAGCTCTAAACGTAGCTCCACAACCACTTGTCTACGCTATACAATATTGAGACTATTACAATGGCACATACTCTCCGCGCCCCAACGGCTCCATACAGCGAGCCGCTTCTACCGCAACTCGACATACACAATCCATACTATACCGATCTTCACCACAATCTCCGCGCCTGGATCCGCAAGTATGTCGAAAATTACATCGCGCCCTATGCTCAGGAATGGGAGGAAGCAGGCCAGGTCCCCGAGGAAGTCAGGAAACGCCATTGCGAGCTGGGATTCAGCATCGTACATCCCTTGACGACTGAGGAAAATGCCGCAGGTCTTTCTCTGCCGGGCAACGTGCCTCCTGAAAAATGGGATACATGGTGCTCACTTATCATGACAGACGAGTTGACGCGTGTGGGGTTCGTTGGAGTCGTCTGGGGGCTGGGTGCGGGGAATGGAATTGGGTGTCCGCCTATTGCGAAGTTCGGTACGCCTGAGCAACAGCGTCGGTGGCTTCCTGGAGTTGCAAGGGGGAATATCCGATTTTGTCTGGGAATTACAGAACCTGATGGTAGGTATGATTTCTGGGAACTATGGTTTTATGAAGCTAATATTGCTCTGTGATCTAGCTGGCTCGGATGTAGCGAGCATACGTACTACGGCTAGACGCGATGGTGATCATTACGTTGTCAATGGAGCTAAGAAGTGGATTACCAATGGTCTCTGGGCGGACTATTGCACAGCTGCTGTGCGGACGGGGGGTCCTGGACGGTCGGGCATCAGTCTACTGGTCATTCCTCTCGCTGCCGAGGGAGTGACCTGTAGAAGAATGTCCAACTCTGGTGTGAATGCGAGTGGTATGTTCAATACTGTCTATGGGCCTGCATGATATAATTTACCATCGTTGTGCAGGGTCTACCTTCATTGAATTGGACGAGGTTCGAGTACCCGTGGAGAATCGAATCGGGGAGGAGAACAATGGCTTCCCACTGATCATGTCAAGTATATTGAGCCCATTTCTCAACATACTACCCTGCATTATTTGACTATCGTATAGACTTCAACCCCGAGCGGCTAGCACTAGCCTGCGCCTCTCTCCGATTAGCCCGCGTTTGTGCCGAAGATGCTTTTCACTATGCAGTCCAGCGGGAGACATTCGGATCCCCTCTCATCCAGAGACAAGCGATCCAATCAAAGATCTTCAAGTTTGGGCTGATGATTGAACCTGCATATGCGTTTATGGAGCAGCTTGTTAACATCCTGGAGCTCACTAAAGATCGGCCGGTGGACGATGTCAAGATTGGAGGCATGACCGCCTTGCTGAAAGTGATGTCGACCAGGGCTCTGGAGAAGAGTGTACGGGAGGCACAGCAGATCTTCGGAGGTGCTGGGTATAACAAAGCTGGCAAGGGTGCCCGTGTTGAGCAAATCAGTCGTGATGCTCGGGTTCACGTTGTTGGTGGTGGTAGTGAGGAGATTATGCAAGGATTGGCGCTCCAGGAAGAGACGAAGGCTTTGCGATCGCGACGCAAGGCTCTTGAGAAGAGGCAGTCAAAGTTCTGAGTCTAACCAAAGAGGCCCAGTCCCTAGGTATGACAGACAGTCCCTATGTGGGTGTGGGGCCTGTTCAAAATAGCCCTGTGCCATTGAAACATGAAAGCATCTGAGCACATAAGTGATATTATGACCATATGTGCGAGGTTACTGTATCTAATAGTCAACTTCTAAATACAGTATGAGTGAATTGGCTCCTTGGAATTTCAAAAGCTTTGTGGGAAACGAAATGCGATGTTTTAAAATATCGTTGATACATATATATATCTCGAGTCAACTCGCAAGCAGCAAACCACGAATCTTGGAAAAGGTGGACAACATTCCAAAACAAAGCAAATGTTGCGAAGCTTTCAAACATTGAATATAGCACAGAATCTAGGGTGGAAATGTTCCCCACGTTGTTTTTCTTTCAAATTTGAATTGTCATAATCGTTCATTAACTAGACAATGAAGTTGATTCCTCAGGCAGCAACTTTCGGGCGACGTCACCGGCTTCTGTGGGGAAAGCTTCCAGCTTCTCATCTGTAACCACGATGGAGAGCTTCGACGACGTGACTCTTATCGGCCCAGTATTAGACCCCACAGTACACGATGACCACCTCTCTACAAACCATGATACGAAGAGGAAACCCGACGGAGAATCTGGTGGCACAGGAACCCCCACTTCCAGCCAGTCCGTGAATGCAAGCCGCACCCAAATCGAGGAAGCTGGATCTGAAATAGCGGAAGAACCAACAATATCAACTGAGTTTCCTCCGGAAGAGGAAGATGAAGAACCACACGTTGCGACGTCTTTTGAGCGCGAATCTTCGCCCTCGTCTGCGCAAAAACACCGCTTAGGATTGGAGGGCGAAGATGAGGGCATCACCCGCTTGCACAAATTCACACTCTACGAGACGGCGACCAGATTCTACATGGTTGGAATCAACCTATCCGAGACGCGCTTCCGAATTTTGAAAATCGATCGCACCACGGAGTCAGGCGAGTTGAGCATCATCGAAGATGAAATGATTTACACAAAGAGGGAAATGACCCAGCTTCTCGACGCCATCGACGATGGCAATAAGAGCTCCGGTGGTCTTAATCAAAAATGTAGTGCTTGGGCTTTGCTCGGCTTTATTCGATTCACAGGGGCATATTACATGCTTCTTGTCACAAAGAGAAGCCAGGTGGCCATGCTGGGCGGTCACAATGTCTACCAGATCGATGAGACAGAACTTGTCCCATTGACAACATCGGACTTATTCCGTCTCAAGCCAGAGAACCAACCAGATGAGGAGAGATACAAGGCAATATTGAATAATCTTGACCTTACCCGATCCTTCTACTTCAGCTACTCCTACGATATCACAAGGTCATTACAGCATAATGTCTGCCGCGAACGGAAAGCCCATCAGGATGGATTGCCTCGATTTTTACCGCAGGACTACAATACCATGTTTGTTTGGAACAATCATCTCCTTGCTCCAGCGTTGGCCACCCTGAAGAACCCATTCCAATGGTGCCTTCCGATCATTCATGGATATGTGGACCAGTCGAAGATGAGTGTATTTGGACGATTGGTATACATTACGATCATTGCTCGGCGGTCTAGACTTTTTGCTGGTGCTCGATTTTTGAAGCGAGGTGCCAATGATTTGGGATATGTGGCAAATGATGTGGAGACCGAACAGATTGTTTCTGAGCAAACAACTACATCCTTCCACTCTGCAGGCCCAACACTGCATGCGAACCCCAATTACACTTCCTATGTACAGCACCGTGGAAGTATTCCTCTCTATTGGACCCAAGAGAATACGGGCGTCTCACCGAAGCCTGACATCGAGCTAAACGTCATCGATCCATTCTACTCCGCAGCGGCATTGCATTTTGATAATCTTTTTGAGAGATATGGGACGCCGGTCTACATCCTGAACCTTGTCAAAGCTCGTGAACGGACACCGAGGGAGTCAAAGCTCCTCAAAGAGTTCACCAATGCCGTTGAATATCTTAACCAATTTCTGCCCGAGGACAAGAAACTGATTTACAGAGCGTGGGATATGAGCCGCGCGTCAAAAAGTCGAGACCAGGATGTAATACGAACGCTGGAGGGGATTGCTGGTGATATTATACCAAAGACGGGGTTTTTCAAAAACGGAGGCGATGTTGAGTCGGGCCTGCAGCTTCAGAATGGAGTAGCGCGAACTAACTGCATCGACTGCTTGGACCGAACTAACGCAGCGCAATTTGTTATTGGCAAACGAGCCCTCGGGTACCAACTTCACGCTCTTGGTGTCATCGACGAGACAACAGTCGAATATGACACAGACGCTGTCAACCTGTTTACAAACATGTTCCATGATCACGGGGACACGATCGCCATCCAATATGGAGGATCCCATTTAGTCAACACCATGGCCACATACCGCAAGATAAATCAGTGGAGTAGCCAATCTCGCGATATGGTAGAGAGCTTCAAGCGATACTACAACAACTCTTTCCTCGATGCCCAACGTCAAGAAGCATACAACCTCTTCCTCGGGAATTACATTTTCTCGCATGATGCCCCGATGCTTTGGGACCTTGCAAACGATTACTACCTGCATCACGGAAATCCCAAATTGCAGAAAAAGCGACCGCATTACATTCACTGGTACACACCTGAAAATTTGAAAGAGCGGGAAATGCCTCCTCCACCAGCATGTCCGAAAGAGCCACTCTCTCGCTTTGACGATTACTGGCTGGAATACTACCGTCCACTTGCACTTTCCACACTCTCCAAGATCTACTCCTACAAGATGAACTCTACTCTACGCTACCTTCCCCATTTTCGTGGAAGCCAGGTTGCTCCAGATCTCAGTCCATTCGTACCCCGCATCCCACCAGAGCAAGTCCAGCGCGACCGTCCACAGCGATCAGTGAAGATCCAAGAACCAAACACCCGCTCTACAACAACAACGCCACCAATCCTGGAATCTGACCAGGGCTGGACACGGCAGCTACCGTCCTCCTCGAAACAGCCCCCCTCGGTTGGAATCATCAAGGAGCCGACATTTGAGTTATACCAGGGAAATCGCATCCCACCCATCAACTCATCTACCACCTCAACCACACCCAGCAAAGCGCAGATTGCTCAATGGACACTCGGACAGCTAGTCTCTGATTCTTTGAATCCGTCTGTTACCGCAACAGAAGCAGAGGAATACGAGCGCTACATCAACCATCCTCTCAAAGTCCCGCTGGTCGTTACGTCTGAAAGTGAAGTGACGGCCGCCTCACTTCGAGAACATAAGCCGAATCTCGATCTTCTGGAGTATGCGAATAAGTGCAATGTTGAGGAAGCCGTGCTTGAAGCGAACGCGGAGGAAAACATGTCCGATTACGCGGAGTTTCTCAATGTGTCGGAGGAGGGGCTTACCGTCGTCGGTGAGGATTATGAAAAGAAGAGATATAAGAGGTATAGACAGTGGTTGCGTGGAAAGAGTCTTTTCAAGCAACGGGTTGATATGTGATGACCGGGAATGATCTCATCTTTGATTTAGTGTACATTCTGCTCAAATTTGATACCCCAACGCATCGAAGATTTATTCATTTGAATTCTTTGTTGGAGAAACTATGTTTATTCATTTGTTCCTGTTACTACTTGGTATCACGACTTGGTATCGGCGCGCAAAAGAGTCGCTAATTCAGAATCCGCGTCCACAAGTTCCTGTAGCTCAGCTTGCATGTTCTGTTTAGCATGAGCCCTGTCCGTCTCCTCGGGAGAAACAGGAAACTGTAAGGTGAATTTCAGCACAGACACGACACCTTGCAGCTCTTTAGTAAGTATAGTAAGCTGTTTCACGGAATCGCCTTGTCCTGTTCCGGCCTTGATCTCTGTGGTTACATGAAGCCAGCATGCGCATAGCCCAGACAAGATCTCACCACGCCATTTCCAAATACGAGGGTGGGCGTTCAGTATCACTGCTCGTGTTGTCCAAATAGCGGCTAAGAGAAGTGGGGGATAGACTGATCCGAACGGATTCGCGAGAGTCACGTTTAGTAGTGGGATGATGTCTTGGAGGTACTTGGTAGTCTCGATGCCCAGGCCTTTAACAAAAACAGCGATCTCATTCATCAAGAATTCAGACAGCTTTGGGTGTGGAAAGGAGGCCGAGGACTCGGAGCCGAGCGTTGATGAACTGATGTGGTGGAACGATGTAATGAGGTTTGACCGTAGGATCCTAGCGAGGTTCGAATTGTAAGTCTCTTTGCCCTTTTCAATCTGCTGTTGCGACGCCTTTGAAGGGTTGTTGGCGGCCTTGAAAAGCGCAAGAAGGACTGGATAGGCGGCACTAAGCATCTTCAGAGATTTATCTTCCGGTGTGATTGTGGGTAAGGAAAGAAGACATGGCGTGATGGCCTGTTCGAAGACGGGAATAAGGTTTGTTCGAATAAGAATGTCGGAGCCGCTTTCTTGAATCGTCTTCAGTAGTTGACCGAGGAGTTCACATCCCTTAACTTTGAATGAGATGGAGCTATCGTCTATTAAAGCCAGGATAGCAGGGACCAGAAGTGGGAAGTGGTGTTCCAGATGTATCTTGTCGGTAGGCTAGATGACCGTTAGTAGTGTTATGAAACCGAGACTAGAACACATACCTTGTACAGAGAGACGATCCAAGATAAGGCACTAGTAGCATAGATATCCGTATTCTTCCAAGGCTTCGCCGCATCGTCAAGAGTGCTTCCATCAAAACGGTGCAAAGGAACAGGGTGAAAGTCCCTTCGGCCCTCGTTCGTGATATTAGGATTTCTCTGTTTCGTAAAAAGAGGCCGAATTTTGTCTTGGAGAGTCTTGTAGATTATGTTCCAAAAATCAGCAAAGTCGCCGCCAAGGAAAATGTCGGCGCGGTCTTTATTAAGACTCGTGGACCAAGGATTGTTGGAGGATACGAAAGTAGCCATGGTGATTAATGTCTGCGGGAAAACGCCCATATCGCGAATTATCATAGTAACATCGGTTTGAGCCTTGAAAAGGAGAAGAAACTCCAAAGCCACTGACGCTCTCAAAAGACTCTCTTCTTGGGCTTTTTTGATCTCTGTAACTTGGTGTTAGTAGAAGTTGACACTTTGAGTCTGTCGATACGTGCCTGGGGTCACTTCGACTATGTCATCAAAAGATGCAGCGAATTCAGATGATGGCAGTGCAGCTTGACCCGCCCATTTAAACAGTTTGAGCGCCGCCGTCTTGTCGCGGGGCCCAAGCTTTCGCACACCCGAATCATCGGGCATAAGCTCCGGGGGGTTCGCCTCAATGAAACATAGAGCAGTATACAAGCTTTCGCATACCTAAATATTTTATCAGTCTGTTTCTTTTTAGAGTAGTTGTTCATATCACTTACATCCATTGAGGTACTGTGATCGTAGGATGAGATATTCTCCCACAGCTGTTGCAGGTCGCCTTGAACCCTTGTCGATTCTAGGAGAGAAGGAGGTCCTGATTGGATAAAGCTCCTAGGATCTTTCTGTAAAGCCTCACGAGCATTTCGGCGTAGTTGATCCATATTGCACCCTGAGCATCCCAGCTTTGATGAGATACGTGGTATTATTGGAGTGGAGATGGAACTTTAGATGAAAAAATTGGTTGTGCCCGCGTTTCGCGTCACCTGGTCAATCTTATCGATATTTACATATTTTTTTTTCTTCACAATCCCAACTCTCCACGGCGACGTGAGAGTTCTCCCAAAGTCGCCTCCTTATCAGTATCAGGATGCAGAAGCTGCCATTCTATTACCATCGTGGTCGCCTTGGTCATCCATGGTCCCTTTTTACCGCCCATGTGCTGGATAATTTCCCCACCATTAACGACGGGGACAAGGGAGTGTACATTCAGCAGCGAATTTTCTATGATGTATGACATAAAGGCATTGTATTCGGCGACCACTAAACAAGTCAGTATGGAGGGAAAGAGGTGATTGGAAGATATCCTACCCTTACTCATGTCACGGCCCTGCATGACTTCATGAAGAAGGGCCATAACAATACACAGTCTCCAATCCTTGCCCCAGGCTCGAAGATGCAGTCCAATCTGTTGTCTGATTTCGGCCCGGCTGCCAAGGATAATGTTATCCCGTAAGTTAGATTTCTGAGTAATGATGTCTTTGTAGTGGAGGCTTGCGTCACGAAGGACTTGTAGGGTTTTGTTATCGGTGCGAAGGCTGTCTCTGGCAATTTCGACAACACGAGTTGAGGTAGGTCTGGGTTTGATTTCAGTGTCGCTGCGAGGGGGTATGGACATCCATGGGGCAAAAGTAGCGATCATCCAGGCATGGTGGGCGTCACTCTCGTCGTCTATGAGTAGTGGGTGCAAGGTTCGATAATCGGGTCCTTGCTGCAAGAGCTTTCCTAGAGTAGTGTAGGCAAGCGACCAGTTCGATGTATCGGCCGTTACCTCGTCTTGATGGTTGGCGAAAATGGTTGGGAAAAGATTGAGTTTGTCGATGAACTCCAAAGCACCGCGAGGGTCGGGACCTGATAGGAGCTTTAGGATCCATTTATTGAAGGTAGCTTATGGCTTGGATACTCACCTTTGAGCATCTTCTCTAACTCCGCTCCAACTCGTTCCTTGCTGATTTTCAGCTTGAGTGCAACTCGAATATCCTCGTTTTGCATCGCAGCCTCAGCTTCTGGGTCAATTTGGTATCCCAATCTGCTGGCAAATCGAATTAAACGAAGGACACGGAGCGGGTCATCCTTGAAAGTCTGGAATGGTTCCAGTGGTGTCCGAATTATGTGCTTCTCCATATCAACCAGCCCTCGTTCTGTAAGATCTTCCAGCTTCGATTCGTTGAGGTTGTAGAATAGGGCATTGATGGTAGCATCTCGTCGCAGTGCATCTTCCGTCGCCGTGCCAAACTCCATCTGTGGGTTTCGACTGTCTTCCGAGTATGTCTCTTTGCGCAGGTTGACCAGATCGATATCCAGGCCGAAGATCTTCGTTGTGACTGTCTCCAAATGTTTCGACTTTTCGGGATTGGCTTCGATTTTGTGTAGGCTGACAATTGCATCGTGCATTTCCCCCTTCGGCAGATCCTTCTTGTACTTCTCAAGATTTTCAGGAATGTCTAAGTACTCCTTCAGGTGCATACCGAATTGGTAGCCCGTCATATTGCTGATGCCCACGTCGATATCATGACTCTGCACTCCGAGCAGTTTGTCTCTGACCCAGCCTCCTGTGAACCGCAGGACAGTTTCGGCGCGATTGATTTCATCACGGTTTTCGTTGGGGGATTCCTTCTCATGGATGTATTGCGCGACGTCAAGAAGGAGGGTTTGTAAGGTACGTTCGATCTGATTGAGGTGAATGGTGGGGTGAAGGGAAGCCATTTCTTCGAGAGAACCACCCCGCACGGGGGAGGCTGAAATACGTTGTCTTTTGGCTGATGGTTCTTGAGACTGCGAACCAGGTTCGCGGTCACGCATGGAAGAGTGCCAGGTGGTTGAGAAAGTAGTACTTGTGAAGCTCAAAAAGTTCAAAAAGTTCCGCGGATGTGTCTCAAGTTGGTTCAAAGGGCGGGCGAGTGGAGTGGGGGGTTTTAATCGAAGGGCGACAAACAATGAGTCAAGACAGCGCAACCTGAACATTGAAATCCATAAGTGAAAGCTTTGTATGAGGAAAGCGCATAAACAAGTGAGTCAGTGATCAAGCGATAAGGCTTGAGCTCTCACGTGGTTGCATCATCACCCGCGATTAGTTCTATTTGTCTATTGCGCCCGATATCTCAAGCAGTCTACATATTTCTGCGACTTAATCAACATTGACCAATTTAAATCAGGTCATATTCTGAATCTCTACATTACTATTTACTCAATCTTCCGCGGTACACTCATCCCGTCACTAGAACCTTAAGCCAATCGGGCCCGAATCGAAACGACTCGGTTTTCCCCATCAACAACTAACCAACTCGAACCTCCCTGTCGCCGAACCCTTGTAATCAACGCCCGCATTCCTTTTTTTTATGTTGACATCCCAGTCCATGGGGCCTGTTCATTCCTTTTATTAAGTCCAGTTTCGCAGAAAGTAGGAGTCCATGACATCTCCCGGAGATGCAGCTCCGGTCAAACCACCGCCGTCCTTCTCCCCCGGCGCTGCGCGAGGTACCTCCAAATCAAGATACCCGGACGAGGCTGAGCCTACACATTCCATAGACGCTGAGCTGGCGGAGACCCGCTCGGCGTCCTCACCGACGCCTCCTGTGTCGGGGACCACTGCGGAGCTGCCCATCCGGTCATCATCGCCGCACGCCCGGTCCATCAGGTCGTCCACCCCACAATTAGCTCGTTCGTCACTTGGCTCGCCATTTGATGGACGATTTGATGGCTCGGAAGATATCAGATCGTTAATAATACGCGCCTTCTCCCCCACTGTTGCCATTCATGCGTCCGACGATACCGACGAGCTTGTGAGGAATAAGGGGTTCAAGGGGGGATTCTGGGAATTGGTACGGCCTTTTGGAGATACCGTGTCTGGAAAAGTGGTTATCCGGGATAGTATTGGATCAAGTCGTGCCTGGGAGGACTATGGAGTGCGTTTCGTGGATTTGAACGGATTTGGCCGGGCACCCGCAGGTCGAGAGTCCGGACAAGAATCATCTTTGACGCAGATGGATAAAATCCTGGAGCAGCAGTTGGACTCGGTAGACGGGCTACTTGGCGGGTCTATACCCTCAAAGGATGCATTAGGAGTTCCCATGGCAAGCCCGTTGTGGAAGTTGTTACTGCGACAAATATTATCCAGCACCTCTGCGGCACCCCACGAAACATTCAGCCACCCTGTTGCCAGTGTCATTGCTATCAGCTCACGCAACCCATCACCGTTGGAGACTCTCCGGCAGTTGTATGGTGAGAGCAGTTCTGGGGACAAGCGGTTACCAGATTGGGTGAACCCGGAGTATCTTCGATACTATGTCTTGGTCCACGACGAGGAACGTGACGATATTACCGAGTCAACAAAACTATATGATCAGATGAAGCGACACTTCGGTTTACACTGCCACTTGTTGCGACTTCGCAGCAGTCAGTGCATTGTGACCGATGATGATAGTGTCCAGGTGCCTACGTGCGAATGGTTGTCCCCACAGGAGCGTCTGTCAGGTGTGGGAGAAGCAGGCAAGTGTTTTTTGAATTGACTCGATAACCAGAAACTAACAGTATCGCAGAAACACTGGTGGACCTCGGCACAGATGGTACGCCGTACCTATTTGACTCTGATGTCACTGCCATCCGGACGTTTATCCGGGAGCTCATGGTGCAGTCAGTAATTCCTTTCATGGAAAACCGTGTTGCTGTCTGGAATGACCAGATCGCATCTCGGAGGCGTGGCATCAGCGGCAGGTTCATGTCCGTTGGTCGAAGATTTATGACTTTTGGTTCCGGTTCAAGATCTGGGGCCACTGGTTCCTCAGGTGGAACTGGGAACTACGACTCTACAAACAATTATTATGGCCCGGACACACAAGAAGCTATTTTACGGAAGATGGCAGATTTTGCTTTTATGCTTCGAGATTGGAAGTTATCGGCTTCGACATATGAAATGATCCAGTCAGACTTCAAAAATGACAAGGCATGGAAATACCATGCAGGGGTCCATGAAATGTGTGCAGTGAGCATGCTCCTCAACCCACTTGCTATGTCCGCCAAGATTAAGCTTGAGAGTGTCGATCAAATGTTTGAAAACGCCTGCTATTCTTATCTTACCCGGTGTTCAGATGTGCCACATGCACTGCGTGCCCTAACTCTCGGTGTTGAGCTTCTCAAGTCTCGGGGTGGATCTGCTACCGAAAGCGCAGCCAGATGGGCCATGCGGGTCATGGACTTCGGCTTGGTCGGCCCCATCGGCCAAATATTGTTCACAGAAAGGGTCTCAGCATGTTATGCATCGAAGATCTCCATGGGTGGTGCTAAATGGGGCGGGCGTCGGCGCAAAGCTGGTATGTGGAGCATTTTCGCTGCGAATCAATGGTTGAAAGCCGGGAAACCTACTCTGGCTTCTGCGTGCCTCGAAGAAGGAGAACGTCTCTATGGTGATGTGTTGGAGATAGACGGTGTTTTCCCAATCCCGGAGATGCAGAGCTTTGTGGATAATCTGCGACATGCTGTGAAAGTTGAATATCTCGGCGCAAGAGGCTTTGACACACAGGACGATCCAGTTCCAGATGAACCAATTCCTACAGAGGAGACCAGTGAGAAGCTGGAGAAGCTTGACAAGCGCAACAATCGGCGCTCACACATTGGGCTGCCTGTGCAGCTGGACGTGGGGAATCTCACCATGACCTCAGGGGCCAGGGATCCCGAGAACCCACCAAATGATGACTTTGAACGAGCTTGACGGATGAGCTATTAGCTCGACGTAGCATATAAGAATAGAATACACAGCATTGTCTAATTGATCTAGCCTTCACTGTGAAACCATAGATAAAGTCACGTGCGTCTTATCGATAAAGCTGTTGAGCGCATGATGTTGACATCCACTACAGTCCGAAACCCTCCATTCAATCCAAAGCAAGACATTCCCTCTCCATAAGCCCCATTTGGGCCTGCCACACCCTCTCATTACAAGATCAACTCGAATCATAACACCTCTCCGTATCCTCAAAATGAGCGATCTCCTGAACTACATCCTGAATAACGAGGATGCATTCCGAAAGTACAGTACCTGCGACACGACAACCCTGACTTGAAGTATATGTAGTTAATGGCCCTTCTACCACTCCAGAAACCGTCTCCCGTCTTTGTACTCCGATTTTTCAACCCAAAAGAAGACCAATCCAGATGGCTACGCCGTTAATGTCGCCGCATGGGAATCAGCATTGAACCACGCCGCGAAGCGCGGATATACTTCTACACGAGGTGTGCGCGTGCGTTCTGGATCGACAGCCTCGCAGAAGAATAACCCACCTCAGCGGAAGAAGACTGATCATCTTCTTTTACGGACGGATGAGTCATTGGCGAGAGATCTGGAGCTTCCTGAGTTGGGGAGACCTGTTGCGCTTGGGGCTGTTTTTGTATGTTGAGGATCATGCATTTGTCTTGTGGGTTATGCTGATTTATGTTGCTAATCATGCGTCCCATTGCAGGATGAAGCAATGCGCAAACGTTCTATGATTCCTCTGCCGGTGTACAAGACTACGGCGGGTTGCTTGCGGAAGCATCAGTGGCGGTTAATAGATCCCGCGGCTTTGAGTCCGTGGAATGTTATGAGTTGGGGTGTTCGTCAGTTAAAGGGATTTGTGATTGGGGAGGGAGAATCCGCACCGAAAATCCAGGTGCAGGAGTTGGTGTTGGTGGAGAACCTGGAGGTAAGAATATGTTCGGATAATGTCAGCCGGCGGGGGAGCTAAAGCTTATTTTTCACAGGAGGCTGGAGATTTGGTTATTAAGAAGGCCACTGCCAGCAGCAAGTCTTCCAAGTTGGATCTGATCTGGTCGAAAGAGAGTTTCGTGGAAGAATATTCTACGATACTGCACGATGCTACCGAACTTTCGGACTCTGATTTTGATGTTCTTTTGCTCTATCTTTCCCGCGACTGCGGGGCCATTGCATATGATGGCAGGGTATGTGAGCTATCAATATTAATAAAATCGTCTATCGATGCTGACTGAAGATCGTTAGACTATTAAGTTCAGTTCATCAGACGGACCAGCCCAGATCACGCAGCAGGACACAACGATTGCCTCGATCAAGACGCTTATCTCAACGATTTCAAAGCAAGTGACGGATATGGAGTCAAAGATTTCGGAGCTCACCGAGTCCGCGAAGACGGCATTGGCCAACAAGAATAGGATATCTGCTCTTTCGGCACTTCGATCAAAGAAACTGGTCGAGCATAATCTTTCGCAGCGGCTCAGTACCCTTGCACAGCTGGAAGAGGTATATTTTAAAATTGAGGGCGCTGCAGGTCAAGTTGAAATCGTTCAAGTCATGGAGGCGAGCACTGGTGTTCTGCGTGGGTTACACGCTCAAATCGGTGGTGTGGAACGGGTTGAGGATGTGGTCGAAACATTGCGCGAGGAGATGGCCAAGGTGGATGAAGTTGGCAGTATTATGAATGAAGCTGGCCCGGTTATTGATGAAGGCGAGGTTGATGATGAACTGGAAGCCATGGAGAAGAGCGACCAGGAAGCAAAGGAAGAGCGGGAAGCTGAGGAAACTCGGAAGAGGCTCGCAGAGCTGGATGGCATCAAGCAAGCCTCGGACGAAGCGGCCCGCCAAGCACAAAGGACGAAAGATGTGGAGTCTGAGCTGGCAGAGAGCATCGGTAGGCTCTCAAACATGTCAGTTGAAGATTCCCCGTTGCCAGCTAAATAAAGGCAGCATCTTGAAAATGCAACATTCTCTATGGTGATTTCTCGATCAAATCACTTCTCGGCTCGGCTGAAATGCCTCATCGATTACCCAGATGCGTTGCCTTGCAATCAATTCGGAGGTGTCAAAGGTTGTTCATTTGACGCGGACGCCCCAGGGATTGTTGATCTCACCTGGGCATCCGTCTTCCTGCGAGCGCTCGCGATGAGACGCTTAAAATCATCATTATGGTTGGTAGACCAACCAACTGCATCGAATTCCTTGGAAGTCACAGTGTTCCTATCAGAAACCGCCAATGTTGAGCCTCCGCCTTGCGTATCTTCCCATATTCTCAGCTCGCGGAGCAACTGCATTCTGGACTTTGGATTTTGGGAGTCACAGTTTGCGTTCCACAAGTTCACCCATTCTGTGTGCCGTCTTTTCATTAGATCCTTGGCCCCCTCTATTGGGATTCCGAGATCCTTGAACTTTTTGCGCAGCTGGCTTTGGGTCATAAGATCATAGTTCAACGTGGGAAGCCTATCTAATTGTTTCGTGGGCAGATTTTGTTGTTGTTGGAGAACTCTAGAATAGCATTGAATTAGACCCGATACGCTGGACTTTGTAGGCTCCACTCCATGACTTACCCAAAGGCGGTTGGCTTCTGTCTCGCTGGAGATTCGGCTGCGCCCATTTCGGCAAGGCACCTGTCAATATGGCCGTTAACGGCTTCTATCCTCATTGCTTGTTCACAAACAGGGCATGTGGTCATGCCATCTTCTGCAGCAATTATTAGATTCAATCAAGAGCGCACGAAGTTGCAGTATGACCCACCTGGTATATATTCTTCTTCACCCTGACTGTCCTCAATAATATCTGGTATATCCTCGGGTTCCTCTGGCACCCGTGGCCCTGCTTTGGAGCTTCTTGACCTTGTTCGTAGTCTCGGCGGGCTAGCCTCCACCAAAGGAACATCCGACTGCTCCATGCGACTCGTTTTGCGCTTCTTGTGCTGTGGCTCTGGAATATTGTTTCCTTCCTGCTCTTTGAGCGCCTTGAACTTCTGGGCGATTTCCATCACAGCAGGTCTCGCAGTCTTGAACGTATCCAAGAGTTCCTGTACTGCCCAGTTGCGACGCAGTTTGAGTACCTGGTCCCCTTCGCGGCAAACAGGGCATTTATTGTCGGCGGTAAGACAACGACGAATACATAATGAGCAAAATGTGTGAGAGCACGAAGTGATCATAGGAGTGTCGAAGAAGTCCTTGCAGACCTGACATCTAAGAGATGATTCCAGTGGCGCAAGTAGCTGGAGAGGGGTTCCTAACCAGTCCGTAGAGTCGGTGATTTCCAGGGAGTTATCCATTGAACCGGAGGAACAGCCCTGGAACTGTGTGCTAGTTGGTTTGGTCAAGAGCAACTCTCAGATGCCCGTCGTGGAAAAGGCCAAGTGAGAAGAGACGAAAGTCAAGAAAGAGTGGAGCAACTCCACGCCAAGACCGCTGACTGATACGCGTAAAGTGGTTTCGCGTTTCAAACATCTAAGCTGCTTGTTTGCAAGCTTCAATCACCATGGATCCTAAGATATTTCTGGCAGAAAATGTGCTTAATGAGCGACGTACAGTGAGTAATGCTTAGCTACGCATTTTTGAATCAATAACTGATTGTGTTCAGGTGACTTATCGCTCCTTGAGCCGCGCTCTCAAAGTCCATGCCAACCGTGCCAAACAGTATGCTTTCTTTCCCCCGAAGCACGAGATCAGACCAGGAACTTATAATCTGCTATAGAGTCCTCTACGAATTCCATCGCAACGAAAATGCAAAGAAGCCGCAAAGCGTTCATGCAACCTACGTCATCTCCGGTGTTCAAAACTCAGAGCCCGCGACGGCCAACGGTCATGCGAACGAAGACGAAGATGAAGTCATGCAAAGCAGCCCCTACATGCCAAGCTCAATGCCCAATCAAGAACCGCGTTCCGATTCCATGCGCATCACATCCATCATACTAGCTCGCGAGGAAGACTTGGATGGTAGGCCATCCTACCGACATCTCTATCACGGCAATTGCTAATGCCGATCTTCAACGCAGATGCAAAGGCCACATTCAATTCGATATCAACTATCCATGTCTACAGCGTTCAATCCACAGTGCTTCAGGATTTGAATGTGCTGACCGACGTGGCCCGTGAAGTTGCGACTGCGAATGTACAGGATGACCCGCTAGAGTGTGGAAAGCAATGGGGTATGATACAGAACCGCCACGTCAAGGTATATTGCACCAAGCCGGGCATACTATAATGGTTGAGCTAACAGCTCTTATAGCGGAGGACCGGCACTCGTCCACCCCCACCCCCTGCTGCACCCAAGGCCAGTGCGCCAGCACCGAAGATCAAACCCGAGCAAACTGTGCCTGCCAAGCGGCCCTTGCAGAGTGAAACTTCAGTCAAATCGGAAGCAAAGACGGAAGATTCCAAGCCGCAGCCATCCTCGGCCAATGATGTTCAATCGTCTGCTAAGTCCACAGCTTCGGCACCTAAGCGTGAGAAGGGTAATCTCTTTAGTTCCTTTGCAAAGGCCAAGCCGAAGAAATCCCCAGCACCTGCTGCGCCAGTATGTGTACATCTCCATTTCTTCTGTCTATCATAATTAACTTTTCATTAGGCTCCTAGTGCCACACCGGATGGTGAGTCGGGCCAATCACGACCGAAAGACGTTGGCTCACAGTTCACAGTTGTCCTGGACGATGCTTCAGATGAAGAGCAGGAAGAGCTATTCCCCGATACCGGCGGTAAATCCGAGAAATCAGCTGCCGAAGCCCGTCAGACCAAGAAAGAGCGCGAAGAAAAGCTCAAACAGATGATGGAAACCGACGATGCGGACGGTTTGTTTACATTCATATCCAGAATCACCGTGCATTTCGCTGACAATTCTATAGATGAAGAAATGCCGGATGCTGATGGCGAGTCAGAGCCAGAGCCAGAACGAGAGCAGACACCCGTAGACCCGCCGCTGCCGTCCAAGCCCATGGAGCTAAAGGAAGAGGCCAGCGTACAGGGTGGGCGCCGACGAGGCAAGCGGCAAGTCATGAAGAAGCGCACGGTCAAGGACGAAGAAGGCTATCTAGGTAAGTTTCTGGTTCTGAGGTCTGATCTCGGCACGATCTAATGCAAAGGCAGTAACTCGGGAAGAGGCAACTTGGGAGTCATTCTCTGAAGATGAACCAGCACCGCCCAAGAAGAAACCTGCGGTCAATGTGCCTAAAGCCAAGGGGGCTAAACCTGGACAAGGAAACATCATGTCCTTCTTTGGAAAGAAGTAACAAATGTCAGGTCGATAGTATTAATATAGGGAAGTTACTAAACCTGTCAGTGGTAGTAGTAGTAGTAGTAGTAGTAGTAGTAGTAGTAACATCAAGTAAACAAACGCCGATCACTCACTTTTCTCCGCATTTACAGTGGAGTCAAGTGCAACCATGCCCTTGGCCGATGTCACCTCGCCCACAATTTCCCCGACATTAATTTGTTTTCTAGAGTCGATCTCATACCATGCGGAGGAATGCAAGTATCCAGGTCTGGTTGGGATCGACAACAGGCCTACAAAAGCCCATGGCCTCCCCTCATCTTCCGGATCCCCAAACCCGGATTGTTTGACAACATATACTTGCCTGCCATGCCTATCTCGACATTCTTCATGGCTGGGCTTCTTGCTCTCCAAGTAGATGCATTGCCTGGACGAGACACGCCTGCGATACTGCGTCGCGCGTGTCCCGACTACACTACCTACGCATCGACACAACAGTAAGTGCACAGAGCATTGCACCACGATTGCACTGACTTACTCTTGCCAAGTGGTCCTTACAGTGGAGGTCCCCTGAACCTCCCATACCAGCGCCCCGCAGAGGCATGTCGTACCTTCTCATCGGACTCTGTTGAGCGGGTCATTGAGGATGTGACTTCGCGTCTTGTCGATAAGGACCTCGCGCAGATCTTCCGCAATGCGTATCCCAACACACTTGACACCACAATCCGGTGGCACGTGAATGGAAGCAGCTCGACTGCGAATCGTCGAAACCTTGACAAGCGCGATACTTCAGACTGGAGCGGCCTGCAGACGTTCATCGTGACGGGAGACATCAACGCGGAATGGCTCCGTGACTCCACAAACCAGGTCATGAACTACCAGAAACTAGCATCAAAGGACAAGGGGCTTCATAACTTGATTCTAGGGGCAATTCGTACTCAGTCCGAATTTGTCATCCGATCACCTTTCTGCAACGCATACCAAGCCCCGTCTGTTAGCGGCATTGCGCCTGAGAACAACTCTCAGGTCGATACCGTGCACCCAGGATACGAGACATCGTTTGTTTATGAGTGCAAGTATGAGCTGGACTCACTGGCTCACTTCCTTAAGATGGGCAGAGAGTTTTATGAGAACACGAGATCAACGGAGTTCTTGACGGGTCGTTGGTTTAAGGCGCTGCAGACTGTCCTCAATGTGATTGACGCAGAGTCGAATCCGACTTTCAACTCAGACAACCAGTTCGTTCAAAATGTGTATACCTTCCAGCGACTGACTACTGCTGGAACTGAGACTTTGACCTTGTCGGGTGTTGGTAATCCGCTTAACAGTGGAACTGGTCTTATCCGCAGTGCCTTCAGGCCTAGCGACGATGCTACGATTCTCGGATACTTCATTCCTCCGAATGCAATGATGTCTGTTGAGCTGCAAGGCATTGCCAAGGTTTTGCAGGCGGCAGGGGGTCATGACAGCTTAGCTTCGGAGCTACAAGACCGTGGCGACAAGCTTGCGGCGGCGGTTCGCAAGCATGGAATCGTCACCAATGGTGATTATGGCGAGGTTTATGCCTTTGAGGTTGACGGTTACGGATCGCGGATTATCATGGATGATGCCAATGTTCCATCTCTGCTGTCCTTGCCTTACCTGGGCTTCCTCAACCAGTCCGATCCAGTCTACCAAAATACTCGCAAGATGATCACTGAGAAGAATGGTAACCCTTACTACCTGGAAGGCAATGCTTTCCACGGAATTGGTGGTCCTCATAGTAAGTTTCGTTCCCATAAATGGATTCTCATATAAAAGCAAAAAGCTCACATTGTTTATAGTTGGTCTGACAAACGCTTGGCCCATGTCGCTGCTCATCCAAGCCCAGACCTCGGACAACGATACTGAGATCATGGAATGCATTAATCTCGTTCGTGATTCAAGCTTGCTTGGTCTGATTCACGAATCTATAAATGTTACTAATATCAAAGACTACACTCGGCCGTGGTTCTCATGGGCTAATTCCGTGTTTGGTCAGACCATTCTAAAGGTTGCTGCTGAGAGACCTCATTTGATCTTTGGGGAGGGTGCAAAGCCTTATACTGTTTCCTAGGCTTGAATAGCATGTGGTATTTTTACTCTTGTATGATACTTGAAACGAGTACCGATTTCTATCTCCATCTATACGTCTTGTCATTGAAAACTAGATTACAGGCCTTTCGATGGCATGCAGGATGAATTGGTCTATCCTGCAGCAGTGAATTATCAGGTCATTGTATGGTGTCACTGTGTAACGTAAAAGGGGAATTTATAGAACCCCATAGTGTTCACCGCTTCTGGCAGAACGGGAGAATTGGGGGGGAAACAGAAGCTCTGGGAAATTTTGGCGGTCGAAGATCAGCGAAACCCCTCCGACTTCCACGACCTCTCATTTTCTCTTGGTTTTGCATTTTCTTCGCGCTCAGGTTTCGTCTATCTCAATTTTACATCATGGCCTTCAACGGCCAAACACCCACCATTGTGGTGCTGAAGGAGGGTGCGTGCTCCTTTACCCCCCGTCGGAGGTACCGTGTTAGTGGGATGGACCCATGCTAACCATTCGTCTCTGGTCAATAGGCACCGATGCTTCTCAGGGCAAGGGTCAGATTATCTCCAACATCAACGCATGTGTTGCCGTGCAGGCGACTGTGAAGAGCACCCTGGGTCCCTACGGTGGTGACCTCCTGCTTGTGGACAGCAATGGCAAGCAGACAATTACAAATGACGGAGCCACCGTCATGAAGGTGCGGATTCGATTTGCGTTCATCTATCATGGAATCTGCAGATACCACAGGGACGGGAGATACTGATCTTGATTTTTGATATAGCTTCTCGATATTGTGCACCCCGCCGCCCGCATCCTCACGGACATTGCCCGATCCCAAGATGCCGAAGTCGGTGACGGAACTACCTCGGTCGTCGTCCTCGCTGGTGAGATCCTTAAGGAGGTTCGTGATCTTGTTGAGCAGGGTGTCAGCTCGCAGACTATCATCAAGGGTCTGCGGAGATCTAGCGCTATGGCGGTCAACAAGGTTAAGGAGATTGCGGTGGAGATGATCAACTCCGCAGAGAACGAGGAGAAGAAGATTGAGACCCTCCGACGACTAGCCGGAACAGCCATGAACAGCAAGCTTATCAAGCGGAATCAGGAGTTCTTCACAAAGAGTAGGGCACCGGAAACGTTGGTTTAGGGGGTTGAGATGGCTGACGAGATTCTCTATAGTGGTTGTTGATGCGGTGCTCACCCTGGACCAGGACGACTTGAACGAGAAGTTGATTGGTATGAAGAAGATTACCGGTGGTGGTCTTGAGGAGTCCCTTTTCGTCGACGGTGTCGCTTTCAAGAAGACCTTCGCCTATGCCGGTTTCGAGCAGCAGCCCAAGCACTTCAAGAACCCCAAGATTCTGTGTCTGAACGTTGAGCTGGAGTTGAAGAGTGAGAAGGATAACGCTGAGGTCCGCGTGGAGCAAGTCTCCGAGTACCAGGCCATCGTCGATGCCGAATGGCAGATCATTTACAACAAGCTCGAGGCTATCACCAACACTGGTGCCAAGGTTGTACTCAGCAAGCTTCCCATTGGTGATCTTGCTACCCAGTATGTCCTCTTGATTATGCTTATTTGAGTTATTTAGGGTGTACTGACGAACTATACAGGTACTTCGCGGACCGAGACATCTTCTGTGCCGGTCGTGTCGCAGCTGATGATATGAACCGGGTGTGCCAGGCTACCGCTGCTGCCACCCAGTCTACCTGCACTGACATCCAGGAGCGCCACCTCGGTACCTGCGGTGTCTTTGAGGAGCGCCAGATTGGTGGAGAGCGCTTCAACCTCTTCTCGGAGTGCCCTGCAGCCAAGACCTGCACCCTGGTCCTCCGTGGTGGTGCTGAGCAGTTCATTGCCGAGGTCGAGCGCAGTCTGCACGATGCTATTATGATTGTCAAGCGCGCTCTGCGCAACACCACCATTGTTGCTGGTGGAGGTGCCACGGAGATGGAGCTGTCAGGTCACCTACACGGCTTCGCGGATCGCAATGTCCCACACAAGCAGCAGGCGGTGGTCAAGGCGTTCGCCAAGGCCCTGGAGGTGATTCCCCGCCAGCTTTGCGATAACGCCGGCTTCGACGCCACCGACATCCTGAACCGTCTCCGCGTGGAGCACCGTAAGGGTAACACCTGGGCCGGTGTGGACTTTGACAATGAGGGAGTCCGCGACAACATGCTTGCTTTCGTGTGGGAGCCCAGTCTGGTCAAGGTCAATGCCATCCAGGCCGCCGTGGAGGCAGCTTGCCTGATTTTGAGTGTAGATGAGACAATCAGTAAGTGATCTGTCACCCTTCTCCTCACGAGGGGTCATGTAGTACCTGACTAACAACACCTTGCAGAGAACGAGGAATCCGCCCAGCCTGGAGCCCCGAGAGGTGGTCTCCCTCCTGGTGCCGCACAGCGGGCCCTTCGGGGTCGTGGGCGTGGAATGCCCCGTCGCGGATAAACGAGTTAATGCCACGAGATGATGGTCACAAAAAAAGATTGGAGAATTTGTATTTTCTAATGAAACAAGCTCAGTTCCAGCAATATGGGACGCCGCTGTCCGTGGGAGGATCTATGACAGGGGATAGAAGAGTTTGTAGACAGCTTTCCCTCCATAGCGTACATAAGATATTCTCAATTGCTCTTCGGATGTATTGCTGTACCTGAAATCCCCCGTACGATGTATCTAAATCCTCTGATGAACTAATGCAAAGCACAGATTGATAAGTAGACTTTCGGTCTCCAGATCCACTATCGCTTTTTTTCAATTGTCATTGGTGGTTTATCTGTTCAGAGGATTATTGAATCTTTGCAATGCATAAGTGGATCTCACCTAGTAATAGTCTCGATCTGTGTAACTTTACACAGTTTCTCAAGTGGGCGAATGGAAGTAACGGGTCCAATCCAATAGGGTCCAATAGCGGGGTCTCGCTTTAAGCTGCAGGGAAGACTTAACTATCTCGGAGCTGCCGATGTGCATGTCAGATATAAAGGAAACTCGAAGGTTTTTATTTAGGTTTTTTTTTCTCTTTCTCTTTCTTTTTCTCTTTCGTTTACTTTTTCTGTTTCGCATTAATCAAAATCATCAACCCTACATGATCCAAACTTGTAAGTGCCCGGTTTTTATGCTCGATCTGCAGTTCGTCCTCTCGTTTTATCACTATTTTTCACTTTAAAAATCATTGGAATATTTAAATTATCTTCTTGTTGTCATTTTATCCATAAGTTATTTTTATCTCATAAAAACCCACAAGAACCGTGGTATTGAGCGAGGCTTGGCAACTTCCATCAGATCTGTTTTGCTTTGCGGATCGGATCGTCTCCACCCAACCTAACCTCCTTCTATCTTCTCTGACATCTCCGTCGCTCTTCCCCATCTTTCACAGTTCACCATGTCTTACTATCCGCCTTATGGCGGTCCCCCTGGATACCCTCCACCCCAGCAATACCCCCCGCAGCAAGGCTACCCGTATGCTCTGTCTCCTGGCCCAGTTTCGCGTTAGGCGCTAACGATATGTGATCCAGACCAATGAACAACCAACACCACCACCACCAACAACAGCCTTCCTACGGCGGATACCCTGGCCAGTCGTACCACCAGCAGGCTCCGCCGCCTCAAAACCCTTACGGATATAGTCACTCGCCTCAGCCCCCACAGCAGCAGCAACAGTACGCTTCGCCTGCCCCGCAGCCCGGATACAATGTACGTCAGAGCTAGGAGAGCCCCCACTGGGAGCATGTAAATTGATGAAAATGTTTTGCAGGGAGCTCCTTCTAGCTACCAACAGCAAGTGCCCACTGGTCAAAACGTGTACCAGGGCCAAGCCCGCCCAGCAGGTTCGCATGCCGCATTGCAAGCAGAACTTTCCCGAGCCAGCGACGCTAACATGAACCTTTTTGTAGGAGGGAATTCATACGGTCACTCCCACGGCGGCCCTGCCGCTCCTCCCACCGGCGCGGTCTCGTTCGGAAATGGCGCGCCACAAGGTTACAGCTTCCAGTACTCCCGTTGCACTGGTAAGAGGAAGGCATTATTGATCGGAATCAACTATTTCGGCCAGAAAGGTCAGCTGCGGGGATGTATCAACGATGTGAAGAATATGTCGGCCTACTTGAACCAGAACTTCGGATATGCTCGCGAAGACATGGTCATCTTGACCGATGATCAGCAGAACCCGATGAGCCAGCCGACCAAGGCAAACATTCTGCGTGCAATGCACTGGTTGGTGAAAGACGCACAGCCGAATGATTCGCTCTTCTTCCATTATTCCGGTGAGTTTAGTCCTAGTGAATGAAATGGTGAGTGTTGGAACTAATACTTTTGATCCAGGCCACGGCGGTCAAACACCCGATCTTGATGGTGACGAGGAGGACGGAAACGATGAGGTAGTCTACCCTGTGGACTTCCGAGTGGCTGGTCACATTGTCGATGATGAGATGCACCGGATCATGGTGAAGTCGTTGCTCCCTGGTGTGCGTCTCACGGCAATTTTCGATTCGTGTCACTCGGGTTCCGCGCTGGACCTTCCATACATCTACTCCACCTCTGGTATTCTCAAGGAGCCCAACCTGGCCAAGGAAGCTGGTCAAGGCTTGCTGGGTGTTGTGTCTGCTTATGCACGTGGCGATATGAGCAGCATGGCTTCCACAGCGATGGCATTCATTAAGAAGGCCACCAAGGGTGACGAGGTGTACGAGCGCAACAAACAGACCAAAACCAGCCCTGCGGATGTTATCATGTGGTCTGGCAGCAAGGATGACCAGACCAGTCAAGATGCTCAGATTGGCGGCCAGGCCACCGGTGCCATGTCGTGGGCTTTCATTGCCGCGCTCCGGAAGAATCCCCAACAGAGTTATGTGCAGCTCTTGAACAGCATTCGTGATGAGCTGGCTTCGAAGTATACCCAAAAGCCGCAGCTGAGTTGCAGTCACCCGCTAGGTAAGTCTTGCCCTGTTTGAAACCCCATATAACCCCCGACTGACAATCCTGCAGACACAAACCTTCTCTACGTGATGTAAATCATAAGCATATTTAAGAAGTGATGGCCCTCAAGTTCTGCAAATTTGCGCTTCTAGTTTTAACGATTCGCCTGTATGTAATTTCATCCTGGATAACCGGTTTCCAATTGTCATTTATCTTTCTACCTTCTATTCAAAATGGCATTTGAAATTCTACGACGGAGTGACGACACCCTGGCTTTTCCTGATCTCATTGTAGTCTAACACCTCGAAAACCTTCCCCACCACCAGGCACAGCGCAGTTTCAAATATGCCTTTTTCCATTGAAGATGAATGTGCTCCCCAAATTTCATTGCGGTGTATCCATCTCGCTCACTCAAGTCTGCATCATGCAGTTATTCCTGGAACAATGACGGATCTCCAGACAACTCCAGAAGCAAATTGCCACAAAACACGACTACCCCGATGATGTCTGGACCCACGAACGCCGATATTGGTATCGCGAATCTTTCGAAGAACGTGACCTAGATGATGGGGAACCAGCAGTCAGGCGACGAGAACATTTGTGGACCTCATATTCGGAGATGGAGTCGGCATACACCGAGTAGTGGGGGATGAATTTGAATTTTTAATTCTTCTAAGTCGGGGTTGTATATCATGTTCATGAGTACAGTTTAGAGCGTGTTTGATATCTCCACGTGATGACCAGCCTGGCGGCTTCCCGATTTGGAATGTTTCGCGTCAAATCGCGTCTCCGCAGTCCACCAGCCACTAGGCTGTATATCATAGATAAGTCCACCTATCAACCTTGGGAAAGCAATAAACTATCCCAAAATTCAAAATTGTCATGTCTATCATCAAGCACTGGTCCGAGGGCCCTCAAAATGACTTCTCACGTGGTCCACACTGGAATCACGAATCGCCATTCTTGCCAGTAGATTGGGAGACCACTCAAGAACGGGGTGCTCCGTCTTTGAAACACGCTGCGATGAAACGCGTGCTACGTGATCAGTCTGAACTGAAGTCTGAGATGTTTGCCGATATCCCGTGGATCATTGCGGAGTATCTGTGGCAGTGCCTAGAGAAGTGGTATGTTTTAGGATATTTAATTTGTCTTGCTGCCTCCTTCGCTTTTCATCTTCAGACCTGACTCCTTTATTCTAGCAACAAGCGGACAATGCACATGTGGAAGATCATGACTACAGTATACCCACAATTTAGGGAAAGACACCCACACTACCATCTGATAACTGACTATTGCAATATGAAAAAACCACTGCGGCAATACTTCGAAATCATGAATAGTGACACTTGCCAATGGCGTGCAAAATTATCCGTCGCCCACAATTTCACTAATGTGGCTGATTCTCTTGCTATCGCTAACGTGACGAACCTGGTTTGTCTCCACATCACCTCAGAAAGACTGAGGAGAAATGACATTTCGCTGCGGACACCTGTGCAGGCCACTGATGGAATGCAGGACGGTGCAATCCGGAGCTGGCTTGAAATGGCAGAAACCCAGGGATCACTCCAGCACCTACGTATTCTGCGATTGGGCCTCCAGGGAAACTTGACTCCTCATGTGTTACCGCTACTTAGAAAGCTTCCGGAACTGCAATATATCGCTATATGTCACTGTGATCACTTTACCCGCAAGTTCAGTCGATATCATCCAATAGACCAGCAAGATTGGATCATGATTGATGGCTGGATTGTGCGGCGGATGGACTGGATTGTCGAAAAACATGGACAAGATAAAGCCATGGATGAGATGCTAGCGATTGAGAAGATTTACGCGCATGGACCTGGTGATTTCCTGGACTTCGCTGGTATGGAGCCTCTCAAACCGCACTCGTTGGGTTTGGATCTTCCGCTTATGGAATTTCAACTATCGAGGGGATTTGATTGGCCGAGTGGATGTAGCGCGAAAGATATTTTTTTCCTTGTTAGAGCTGTGTGTGAACCGTCACACGAGAAGAAGAGAGTACCAGGAGAGATATCAGGACCCGGTAAAAAGAAACGAGCCATGAAAGATCGAGGTCAGGATTTGGCTGGGGTGCTCGGACAATTTATGTGAAATCTACAACACGTAGTAGTCATAACCTGGATCAAACATGCACGGATCTATGCCATCCATTAGTTTAGAACAGCTTGAGGGTTATGTCCTGCTTCTGCTCGCATTTTCTGAGATGAAAACACTGTTCGGTTGAGTAAGCTGGTCAGAATAGCATAGCCAATAGCCAAGAAACTCGATAACCTCCTCGCTGGTGTAATAAAACAACAGAAGTTTCTTCAGTGAAGATGACAGTCTGGAAATCCATTACAAGATGCTAATAACACCGAGCTAACCGCTTACTTATCATCCTCTTCGTTAGTCCAGGCTTCCGAGTTGGCTTCGTTTTCCCTATTCCAGCAGCTCTGAGAATTTGCTTTACTGTTGTTGCTAGGATATCGATGTTCTCCAAGCTTAGCTCCCCAGAAATATCAGCGCATGTTCCTCTCATCCATATGGATCAAGTCGCACCTTTGCGAGGATCACTTCTGTTGTTTGAGGTATCTGCTTTTTTGGTCGTCCGGAGCGAGGAGCATCGATAATATAGCTATCAAGGATAACTAAAGGACGAGATGATACTTTAAAATCCCGTTCAATTGCTCGTGCATGGATACTCCGGATATTACTCTTTGAAATGCCAAGCATTTCAGAACCTCAGCAGTTGATATACCTTGCCAAATCAAGGTTAATACTGCTGCACGCTGGGCAATTTCGGTAGGCATAGTTTAACAAGATACTGTGGTAATTAGGATAATTCAGGGGGAGGATTAGGGGAGGGGTTAATATTCATTACAATTACAAGGTCAAAACCGAGCTAATTGAACAAATAATACACTAGGATCCACCTGCGCAAGGACTTTTGAAAGCGACCTCCGTAGAATTCTCTGCAATCGAGAACCACTTGACTTTGTACTTTTATTTGATGCCGAGATTCGCGAGAAGTAGTCCTCAGAAGTGCGGGACGAATTTTACCTCTGGATATTGTCACTCTGGTCAAAGGGTTTGGATCGGCTTCGGTCTACACCACAACCTTTAGAACATCCTGGATGTCCTGCACAATAAGTCGATCGCTTCAGTGAACTGGTGACTATCAAACAAGCCTTGGAGAACTCTTTCAAGACATCGGATATTAATATAATGCTATCGTGGATACCGCTGATTTGAAGACTACTAGTTTCAGTATATGTCTTTCAAATGCTCCTTTGGTGATCTCTCTCTGGTTGTTTAATGGCTTCCTCAATGATGAATGAATCCTAGATTCCCTAATGATTCCAGGGTTCTTCAATACATATGTAGCTCGAAATCATCCCCTGACCACACCTCCACGGACCTCTGTCTTGCCTCAAGTCTAGAATCTTGGGGTGACTTGGTGATTGTTTGTTTACCTGGACTTGTAATCTTTATCACTTTCGCGGCACAGCTCCGCTCACGGTCTTGGATTGGTCCTATTATTCAAATGTTACCTCTAGATTTTGAGTATTTCGTGATTATATCAAATACAACAGTCACTTTAATATATACACTAGGTATAGTTGAAGTCTCAGGAAGTGGAGAGTTGTATACTAGGTGAACCGATGGGCATCCAACCTGTCTGATTCACTGAACATTTTGTTTACAATAAATGGGTAAAGACCAGTCATAGCACGGATGAGGTGATACAATACAGTAGCTATTTTTATGACGATATATACTCATGTACTCTGTGCCTGGGCAGGGTGCAATAGTGAGAATGAGTAGTGTCTAGTGGGGCGTATGGTGGACGATCGACAGGGCCGCGTGTACGCCAAACCACAAACCAAGATAGAGATTAAGAATGGCGGAACCACTTTGCAAGCACCAAAGACCGGATTAGCTTGACGATCATTATGATTGCCTCATTTATGCCCCACTTTGCTAAGCAAGACTCGTAAGCCTGGACATGTGTATTGATCTCGAGCTCCCACTCTATATGCATCATCCGGACTCCACTTAGGGCTCCAGACGCCAAGCCAGGCTCATCATCCCCAGCTTTGGAAATTATCATCATACAGGACTCGTAAGACATTGGCCATTTATTCCGTGCTCAGTTATGCATAATGTAGATCGGCACCATTGAAACACATCGTGGAGAACCTCCTCTGCCTGATCACATCTCGACCCTATTTTCATCTCCATTGATGTGCCCTCCAGTTGCCCCATAGGTCACCAGCTGACGACCGAAAAGGCTGGACAAATCAACTCATGATGCATTTTGTCTTCTAATGATGTGATGAAGGAGTCATTGCTAGGGGTTTGGAAAGGTATAAAAGGCTCACCGATTTCCGCTCATCTGTTCAAATCATCAACACAACACAAGCCTACAACCAAGACAATCACTCTTTATAAAATCACTCTCTAAAAAATCATTTTTTATACAATCTTTATATCATCACCATGAAGATTTCCGCTATCATCGGTACTCTGATGGCCGCCGGCCTGGTTGCTGGCGCACCTCCTGCAGAGCGTACGTTGAGACCCCAATGCATACTTTAGAATTATAGTTAACAATATGCTTCAGGTCCTTCCGAGATCTCTGAGCAGCTGCCACCGCCACCTTCTGGAACTGCTTCCCCTCCACTTCCTCAGCAGCAGGAGAATAACAACAACAAGCGTGGAGATGTCCTTCCACCTCCCCAGACCACCGACGTCCCTCCACCTCCTCAGAAGACCGATGGCCCTCCCCCAAAGGACGAAAAGAACACCAACAAGCGTGATAACGATGTCCCACCTCCTCTGAGTAGCGATGTTCCTCCTCCGCCTCAGAAGACTGATGGTCCCCCTCCTAAGGAGGGCCAGAGTGACAACAACAAGCGTGACGAGACTCCTCCCCCTCAGAGCAATGACATCCTTCCTCCACCCCAAAAGACCGGCGGTCCTCCTCCCAAAGAGGGTCAGAGCGACAACAACAAGCGTGATGAGACTCCTCCCCCTCCTCAGAGCAGTGATGTCCCTCCTCCACCCCAGAAGACCGGCGGTTCTCCTCCCGAGGAGGGTCAGAGCGACAACAACAAGCGTGACGAGACTCCTCCCCCACCCCAGAGCAGCAACGTCCCTCCCCCACCCCAGAAGACGGATGGTTCTGCCCCCAAGAAGCCTACTGAGTTTCAGGCATAAATTACTGGCCGATTTCTGGGAATGCCTAGAGAGTGAACTGTCAGAATGAGCTTGCAGGTCAAAGTGTCCTGAAACTCATCAGGGCCAGCATCATTATAGACGGTGAAATCTCGTGGTGTATGTATAACGTTTCATATGTGCTACCTAGGGTAGAATGGGTATCGGAATTTGGATAACATTGGAAATACAATTCGTTCGTTACATGGCTTGTAGAATCAGTCCAAGTTGCATATGCTTCTCGCGTAGTCCATTTTAATAGACACACAGTTTCTACGGGCTTTTATTCTAAGTAATTGAAATAGTTGACCTCAAGCCCGATGTTTGCCACCTATTTGATTACTGTATGGGGGATTGTTGATCGACACTAAGCGCGGGTGGGCACTAGTGGAGCTTGCTGCGTCAACACCAGCGATTCTAGATCCACATTCGCCCCATATAAATATAGCAACGCTTTAGTACATAGTAGCATATCAAAGGACCTTGAGAGGCAGATTCAATGGGAATGACAAGGTGGATACCAGAAATCGCCTTGTTGGACTGAATGGTAGATCGTAGTATTACTCTATAGTAGAATCCAACTCAAGTATTGAACAACGATGATCACGTTTTGATTCAAACAATGTGGTGTTGATATTTTCTTTGATAAAATCATTGTATCTAAGAGTCAGGAATCATTTCCAATTGCTAAAGATGTAAAACATGATGGCATGAGCTTGACTGTGGATATACTCCCCACAGTATGATGACATAATCTCATGATGTCAGAAACCGGCGCCTCATGATTGGCTTACGCACATCAACCCCGCGCTATCACCGCTTCTCTTGCCTCTCCAACTTCACCTACATTGTTTGGCCCCAACTTGTCATGGCAGACCAGCAGATTCGTCGGGAAGGCTCCGACACATCCCTCAATGCCTCTGCCAATTCCAACAATGGCTCTAATATCGCTTCTCCTCGATCCAGCACTGACTCCCGTTCCTCCAACCGCAATTCCCTTCGTGTGACGCACATGCCTCCTGCAAATCATCAACACCGTCAGAGCTTGAGTGAGACTTTACGGGGTCCGCCAGGTTCTCCTCGTACCCGCCGCCAGCCATCTCTCAACCAGTCCGCCCTTCAGAGTCTTATCGATAACCCCCCACCACCAAAGACTGTCGACCCGGCCTTTGTTGACCGCGACTGGCGAGAAATCTCCATTGAGGAGCTTATCAGCCCAGATGACTTGCGATTCGTTGAGATGGATACGGGCATTGAAGAGGCTACAAATGTAAGGGAGCTCGAGTCTCCAGGTCCAACATAGAAAAAGAATAGGAGCTCACATATCTATCTTAGCTGTTGATTGACTCTGGCGCTGCGGTGCTGTTGATCCGGGAAACTCCAGAAGACAAATCTGCGGTCGCTACCTTTGACTACTCGGACCTGAACACATATCTACTGCTGGCTGCCGGATTGTCATTTCCACCCGAGGAGCACCGCGCATCGTATGATGAGATTGCCAAGAAAGCTCGTGAAGGTGAGAAGATCCCGATAAGGGATGTGAAACGCCTAGGTGTGGAGAAGGAGCCACTCGTCACATTGCCGGCATCAGCGAATGTGATGGCGGCTGTAGAGACATTTGGTGGTGGTGTCCACCGTGTGGTGATTACCAAAGAGTCCAACGACAACGAAGTGGTTGGCATTTTCAGCCAGTTCAGACTGGTAAAGTTTCTCTGGGAGAATGGACGCAGCTTCCCTATTATTGAGCAGCTTTACCCCCAGGCTCTGCGTGATTTGCGCATTGGCTCGCAGAACGTTATCTCTATCAAGTAAGTCGATTCGAATCAAGTTTCTATTCTGTGCTAACAATCGATACTTAGTGGCGACAAGCCTCTCAGTGAGGCCCTTCAGGTCATGGACAGCGAGGGAGTCTCCTCTCTTGTCGTGGTGGATAATCATTTCAATGTCATCGGCAATATTTCTACCACAGACGTCAAGGTATACCATTTTTACTATTCGAACGCGGATCTCGCTAACCTACTCTAGCTCTTGACTCGTTCTTCTTCGTTGCCGCTTCTTCAAAACACATGCATCCATTTCATCTCAGTCATCTTGTCTACTCGTGGATTGATGGAAGGCAAAGACTCTTTCCCCGTATTCCATGTGAATCCGGGTTCTACTCTGGCCCATACAGTTGCGAAGATTGTTGCAACTCGATCACATCGGTTAGAACTTTCCTCAATGATAAACACTGAACAAATATCTAACTTTGGGTAGTCTTTGGGTGACCGAGCCGGCATCCCCGTCTTCATCAGGACCTCCAACACCTTCTCATTCCGCACTCCATATGCCTCTTCCAACGCCGCCACTGGGAGCTGGCCCAGGTTCTTTCCCTGTTATCTCCCCTCCAGCTTCGCCTCTGCCTCAATCGGCAGTAGCCCCGCCACCTCACTATCCTCCTCATCACCCAGCGCCGCCGCCTTCCCAGTCTCCCACAGCCACTCCACCCCTGGCTGCGTCAATTCCAGCATCTTCACTGCCAGGTGCACGACTATCAGGACGATTAGTTGGTGTAGTCAGTCTTACTGATATTCTCAATCTACACGCTCGTGCCAGTGGCCTGAGCCCCGCGGACCCAGATGAGTCCCGACGCCGACGACGTAGCAGCTCAACATCAAGCATGAACGTGCGCCCAAATGTTGAAATTGGCCGTGAGCTTTTCAGCCGTGGTGGAGTCTAAACAATAAGGCAATTGCCAGGTTACAACTGAGCTTGTTATGCCAGTTCAGTTCTAGTATCACATCGCGGACACCCTCTTTTTGTGCATTCTTACATTATCACCCCGGCTGCAAAGCTACATGAAGTGCCGTTTGTATGTACCGTGCTTTTCCTGGTAGGTTTACCTCGGTTATCTCCGTGGACTGGATGTGTCAATATGTATTATTGCCGTTCCGATTAGCCTCTACTTTTTTTCCACTTGCGTCTAGTATACGACCTAGCCCCTTTGTATGTTGCAAATATGACATTACATTACTACGAACAATAACAATAACAATGAAAGGACTTTCTCCGAACTGATTGACCGTATCTGAAGTAAGCTGAGCACATTGGTAGCCAACTAGATGAACAAACTTTACTCAAGCACCGGTCAATGCGTTGCGATGACGATTAGCTTTTACGATTTGCTTCAACGGCGACAATTACTTGTCAATCGATCCCGGGCGTTTTGCACGTTATCAACTTCGTTGGAGGATCCACTACTAGTACTCTTGAATCGTTTCACGATTGCGATAGATCAACAGCGATATTGAACTGTAACTTGTGATAGCGTTCCAGTAGTAATCCAGGAAAGGGTCAATTGGAAATAGAACTATAAGCATCAAACCCCATCCGCGAGAGAAGTATCCAGTCCGTCAGCAACAAACCGGTTTCCCCAATCTCGGTTATTTACCTGATAGGCAAGGGTCATCCCCTATCTAAACGTGAAACGGGCAGCTACTAGACTCATATCTCAAAGTCAAACACAATCAGGAGCTCCATATCCTTCAATAACCGATTGGCCACGTAGTCAACAACCAACCCAATCATAATTTAGCGGTCAGGACCGACAATCCATGTTTGGATCACGAAGATCCCAAATTCCTGACTCGCATTATCGATCGATCGCCCCTGCATTTTAGCCTCACGAAAAACGATCACCTGCCACAAGGTCCGTATGTGGCTTGGATAGACTTCTGGGGCGGGTCCCAACCCCCAACTGGTTGGATCAGGGTGGTCTGAGCTTATTCTGCCCTTTCCTTTCCCCCCATTTTCCTGTTTGGTTGGATCGTGTCACCGGATGCGGTGTTGGATTTGGAACCTGATGTGGTGGTCGGGCTGAGGGTGGCGGTGTGCCTGGTTGGCTTTTGGTAAATGGCGATTTCAACCTGGATGGAACTGAATTGGAACTAGAACATGTGCCGTATATCGCCTTCCGGGGAGGTGAGGGGTATGCGCATACGATGTAAAACTTGGTACAATTCTATGCATCTCGTTTATCTCGTCTAGCGTTACTGAATGTACGAATGCCTAATATATTAAACTTTGGATTGCAGACCTCAAAAATCAGGCAAGTTAGCCGATATCTACGCGAAGATAGAACTACTTGGTTAGCTTGGCCTTGGCAGAAAGTTGGCAGTCAGAAATCCCCACTAGCCAAGACTTCAGACAAGAAATGGAGACAAGTATGCACTCCCCGATTCTCAATACTCAAATCTTCACCCTTGGCTCCATGTTGCACGGAAATCCAGTCCAGCCCGGTCTTTCCGATCAGTCGCCACCGGGTAAAGTGGGTCGACCCAGCAAGTTTCTAGCGGGAGAATCCCCTGTCCAGGTTCATGTCAATTGGACGATTATGGTGCAAGTCAGAAACCCGAACCCGAGCTCGATATGGCATGCTTTTTCATATCTGAGAGCCAATATGCCGTGCGTGATATCCGTGCGGCCAACTTTGTCGTGACTAAATGCCTCCAGGGCTCTAATGTGTAGATCTATCAGCAAACGTTAGCGATAAGACCTCTTCACTACCGACCTCGGGGAATTCTTGCCGGCATATAAACTCTCTTTCGGTCGCATTGACCTTTAGTCCACGAGGTCCCCAAAACAAGCCATTCACTAGTAGACAAGGACGCGGATACCTGCATTACATCCGACGAACCAAACCCGTTACGTCTGGTCTGGGCTGGGCTGGGCTTACGCTCGCGCTTATCTTTCGCTTTCGCTTTTAGCCACCACATAACATCCAACCCAAGGAAACGTGCTTGAATAATTTGTCAATCTATTAGCATCGCACGAACTTCAGGAATAATGATTTCTAATCTACCGAATACCTCCAAATCTAAACCCTGAAATCTGAACCCTGAACCCACGACATAACTATAGCCCAATGGATCGCCCGGATGCGTGCACGGGTCTCAAAAATGGATCCACTCTGTTCCAGGATATTCCCTAGAGGTATTGGTGAACCATGGAATCGGTGGATGTTTCCGTGGCCGTATTTGGCTGGTACTAGTCCCATTGCGGATGTGGTCTGTGCGGGAGCTGCAACCTTAACCCCGCAATTCGAACTATTCGAGATCGGGATTCTGCAGGTCTTTATGTCTTTGTCAATGGTGAAGAGTATCAATCAATTAAAATGAGAATCATGAGTAGTTCAATATGATCGCATACATCATTTTGAAATGCTGAAGCCAATTGAAAAATCACTGTCCTGATCCTGATTCAAAGTTCCATCTGCCTTCTAACTACGGGATCACCACATGCAAATCCATCCTGAAGAATCCTATTGGTCTACTAGCATACCTGATTCAGGATCTCTGCTCATGTGCGCTGACCTCATAGCAGGTCACACCAAGAGCCCCATCTACGGTAAAGCCCCGACTAGCCTAGCCCTATGGTCTCTAGACCAACCCCTCACCTCAAAAGCCACCCCCCACTTCGCATCACAATCTACATCAAGCCGACCCACAAGCTTCTATAGAGATGTGGAAATTAAAAGCCATGAATACGAGAAGCCAAGCGCTTGTATGCCTAGAAGCGAAATCAAAAACGGAAGCGAAGCGCGATGAACTCCAACACCGATACAAGTGGAGGGGCTAATTTGAATTAGATTCAGGTTTAGGTTTTAAATTTTAATTTTAATTCACTTTGCTCGCATATTATACTCTATTCTATTGTGCGAGATATGATTTGGAATTGAATTGAATTAAATTTCTGAAACGTTTTGCGTTCTTGCCTTTCGTCCACGGATTCTTGTGGGTGTGTCCGAGTCCGAAACGAACCAAAGTACGTGCCTGTTTCCGGGCTGCGGGATTTAGTAGCACTGCGTTTGAGTAGGTAAGGTAAGGTAAAGCCCGACCCTGCGCACTGGTAGAGTAAGAGTCGAGGTTGTGTAGTACAAAACCGCCCAGTCGATTCCGGGGCTATGGCCATGGTTGTGATCATGGTTCTGGATTGTGCAACATGACTCGGGTGTGGAGATCTACCCTAGCTGGAGCTAGAGCTGTAGTTGTAGCTGTAGCTGGCACGGCCCGTGGACTGTAGTGAAGAAATCTATGGATGGGTGGAGAGAAGACAGAAAAGTATGGTGTGATGTCGCCGGAAATGGAATGGGATCCGCTGTCGATACAACACTACGAGTTTTTTTTGCTCACTTTTAATAAGGCACATACTGTACGTGGAGACGTGAAGGGATGGAATGGATTGGTTCGGGGATGGACCAAGGATTCAATTACTCTTGAGGTTTTAATTTTCGCGGATTCAAGTTCGATTGGAATTTTGGAAATACCTGACTTGTACCGAGCAATCCGAAATTAATGCAACTCAAATTCAAATTTAAATCGTCAATGGGATAGATTTCATGTGATATCATTGGAGATTAAGATGATAAGGGAATCACGTAAGGGAAAAAGTAGATAGAATAGAATAGACTAGGTATTGTACAGAAGCAATGTACAAGCCAACGCGTCATGTACACAAGGGAATAAACGGGGAATCAAGAAAGGAAAGAAGAAAAAGTCTTAACAGGATACTGTAGCGAATTCATCCAGGGTGACAAAGTCTTCGAATCCGAATGGCTCCCGGTCCTGGAGTGACGAGTCTCCTAATCCAAGAGCAAACTGGCTGAATTCATTAAAATCCGGATCCAGCTCCTCGTGAGAAACCATAACGCCCTCTTCATTCTTAGCATTCTGAGCGGTCACCGCTGTAGGCGAGAGAGGGGTACTAGGGGTAGGACAGAAATCCACTGTAGACTGCGTTTCAGCAGACAGGGACTCGATCTTCGGCGAGTTGTTGCTGGAAGGAGCCACAGAGGTCGCAAGATGCGTACTCTGAGTAAGGAGGTGCAGGTTGTGGAACTGGTTACTGGGCTGGGAGTGGCCACGAGAATGGCCACTGGGGCCAGAGATAGATGCCGTTGCCGTGGGCGGGTGAACGGCGGCGTGAGTTAGGGGAAATTCGGGAGCGGAGGCGAGACGATCTCGGAACTGGCGCATGTGCATTGTGGAGGCTGTGTCAGTGGGCATCTGGGCCTGCTGCATCATTTGTTGCTGCCACATGTGCACGGAGTGGGAATCTGTAGGGGTGTGATTGGGGGTTGGGACGTGCTGTTGCATTGCCCATGACGGTGCCATCTGGTGGTTCCAGGCTGGCGTAGGTGTTTGTGATACGTAGGCGGGGAGCCCGGATGAACTGCTCATCATGGTGTAGGGGGTGCCCTCTGAGCCGTCGAAGGGCATATAAGACTGGGCACCTTCAAAGGTGGTAGTTGACGGGGACAGCATATATCCATCGGCGGTCATGGCAGGGCTGGTCAGGGAGCCTGAGTCCATGGCGTGGGGGAAAGGTGAGCGTAGGTTGGTAAGGTCCAGGCTCATCTTGCGAGATGAGGCGGAGCCCTCGACAGAAGCACGGGGGGCATGACTGGCTCGTCGGCTGGCGATGGATGAGGCAGCTGATCCCGAGCTATTAGCCCGGGCGGCAAAGGCAGCCAGTAGATGACGGTGGAACTGCTCTTCAATCTGCATATTCTGGGCTTGCAACATGCGGATCCGCTTTTCTTGATAGCGTTCGTCGACCTCTTCATACATAGCTTCTTTCTCAACGATCTCCTTGGTGATGTGGAAAGCTTTGCCAGTGCGCTTCCTGTGCAACATGGAAGCGCGGTTGGCAGATTCCAAGCGAGCATCGAGACTACGATCCTTCCGCCTTGAAGCGGCAATGAATGCACTAAGACGGTCAGTTGGTGTTTCGTACGAGTATGTATCTCACACTCACCGCTCCTGATTCTCCTCCCGCGAACGGGGAATAGGGACAATATCCTGATCTAGATCGGACATTTTGTTGTGGGAGAATTTAATTCAGGGAAGAGACGTAAGTTTAAGTAGGTAAAGGAGGGGCAGCCTGTCAGGCCCCGAGCGTACCCTCGAAGCTTGCAGGAAGTATCCATGGATCCAAGAAGATCTCAGTTTGGATGAGGAAAAGTCTCATCCGATATGATCCATGGATACCAAATCATCCCAGTGCGCTCCATAACGCCACGTCCAATACGAAGAAAAAGTCCGGAGACATTTTCCTATAAGTTTTCTAATCTTGCAATTATTTTACCTGTAGTCCCTACCATGAGGCCTAGACCAGAGAGTGGAGAATTGATTACTCCCCCGCGATGTGACTGTTCGCAGATCCACTCCTAAACCGGATTCGACTTGCTCTCTCTCTCTCTCTCTGTCTCTGTCTCTATGTCTCTATTCTATGTTTCATACTTCCTACAACCCTGGAGATAGTTTCCCTCGGCGAAGGGAACGATTAACATGGAAATATGAAATCACATTGATCCAACCTTGCCAAAAACCGTATTTTGATTCCCCGTTTTTCATACATTTTTCATAGATTTCGACCTTCTATATTAAGACCCCCAAACTACTCGGCATGTGTCAAGTTCTAGAGACTAGGCCCTCGGTATAGTAAGATATATCCATGCACTGATCTATGATTGGACCATCAAATGGGGATTCATGCCTAGCCAACTCAGCCCCCGTAAGCCGCATCTCTCCAACTCCCCAGGCGCAATCTAGACTAACAGAGAACTGCAAGTAAAATTCAATAACCTGCACGCCGTATTCTGTGGCTGGCAGGGACTTATGGGGTTCGCCACTTAGCCCGTCCATGGTCTAGGCGGGTTTTCTCCTTATCGGCCGGAGGAATCTTAGCTTAATCTGGAAGTTGGGGAAATCCTTGCCACTTTCAATGATTACTTAGCAGTCGGGTATCTCCGTCTTTTTCCGTTTCTACAGCTTTTAATGCCGTGGAAGGTCCTTACGATTTCATGAGGATTGGAATCCAGATGGACTCAAAGTATGGTTGTCTATTGAATAGGGAATTGACTGCGAGTTGTGGAGTTCGGCTTCTTGCCGATCATTGTAGATCTTGAATATATGAGTTTGAACGTGGGATGATCCTGATGACTTGAATTAACTACGTGGGATTTCAATTAATCGGAGATGACGCTCATCGTAAGCTCAATCCTCGCACTAGTGAATTAATATGCTTATACAAAGTAGTGGAGAGATCGTAGATCACTGACGATCGTACAGCTACGTAGATCCATCGAAACGGCTTAGTACACGGAATACAACCATATACATCAACAACTACCTTCCCCTTGGAACTACTACTTAACAATTCGTGATATTCACACCGTCAATCTTTGTCAGTTCAACTTTGGAACTAGTAGATAACCAGTTTAGCTCTGGTGCTTTGACAACGTCGGGAAATTATCGGTGCAACAGCCTAACCGCGGTACCATCGCCATCGTATGAGATCACAATCTGACCGACCAATCTCTGACAAAACTCCGATCTCCCAAATCAATCAGAAGTTTACTTCCGCGATCATTCCGCGACATCTCGGCATCGCCGAGATCGAACTCCACCGGATCGGCATTTCGCGATCGACAGAACATCTTACTGAAAACGGCGATTCCACCCCTGGATGGCGTAGTGGCATGAGGTGGCCTTTCTCCGCGGGGATCGGCTAGTTTGTGGCGATCATTAAGGAGGTGGGAAGTTGATGTGGTACTTTCCATTCATTTTGATACAGCATCGAGATGCTATTAGCTGACAGAATTTTGGGCTACGTTACTTGTATAGAAGAGAGTGCTTCATTCGACTTGTATGGAACGATGCAGAAAATGGGATCTTATAAACAGCATGAAGATGAAGACGCGCTAAGTTTTCAATCAATCAGAAACACTTGAAGAACATGTCAAGGCTGGGGATAAACACTTGAAGAACAGATCAAGACTGGGGATAAACACTCATGCAGGAACTAGCCACACTGTGCAGAATGCGTGGTTCCGGCTGGCGGAGAGAACGAGTCGGATGGTCGGGAAGAACAGGAAGTCTCGCATCAAACCACAGGCCTTGGCATTGGACCGAAAAGGAAGTTGAAATGGGAGTTGGAAATGTCTCTTAGTAAATGCCCAGAGATGGAACCATGCCTTGCTCTTCCCGAGTCTCGGCTCCGAGTTTGTATGAAACCTTAAACCGAATTTTCACCGAGTTGCCTTTGCCGGTATCAACACCATCCAGGAGCATGTCCTGTATCACACCGTTCGGTTGTTGAGGGGCAATCTCTCGGCCGGACTGGGGACGAAGCTGGAGCGTGTATGACTAAAAAAGTATTAGTATCGGAGAACTCGACGGTAGATGATTGATTATTTGCTGACCTTCTCCACGGCAACCTGGAAGTGAAGCTCTGTGATCGCTTGGCTGGTGGTGTTGGAGAAAACAGCTCGGAGGTAGACTTGGCGTGGCGCACTTGGCACACGACGGGCGTGGAAATCGATCTGTAGCTGCTTATTCAGGACCTGCAGCTGGTTCATCGAGGGCAAGGTGTTGCTTTGAGGAAGAGAGGATGCAAAGTTCCACTCGTCATCTTCGCGAGCAGCCTGTCCTGCGGGCTGCGAAGCGAGACCCCCCACCAGGTCAAGCAAGGACGAGGAGGCCGGAGCAGGTTGGTTCTGAGAAGGGGCCTGGAAAGCGTTGCCTGCCGGCCGAGGACTGGCAGAGACCAGTGACGCAAATGGATCAGCCTGCGGCGGAGTCGCGGTCTGACGAACCTGAGGTGACTGAGTACGAGCCGGGGTGGAAGCCTGGGAAGCAGGTCGGGATGTGTTCATCGAGGAAAGAATGTCGTAATTAGCCTTGAATCCAGCCGGTACTTGCTGTGATACTGGGGATGGGCCAGAAGACATCGAGGGAAAGCCCACTAGGTCAAAAGGTCAGTGTTGATTCGATGTCACGTACAAAGAAACTTACTGCTGGGACCTCCGAGTGAGATGCCACCACCAGGTACAGGGCTTTCGTCACCAAGAGAAAGTCCAAGTAAGTCATTCTCGAGGGCATTGCCTTGGCCACTTGGCGAGGCTTCGGTGTTGCCATTGGAGCTTGGCTCCGGGTCAAAATCGATCAATGAAAGCTCATTGTTCGCGTTTTTGGATACTCCGGTTGTCGTGCCCAGAGTTCCCTTTGGAATTCTCGACGCAGCATCAATATCACCCTGTTTAACCAGTTTGTATCGCTCGATGGTGCGATGTATGCTATCGTTAATCTCCAGCAGCTTGTGAACAGCCTCGGGGTCGTCCGATTCCTCCTCGCACATCTTCTGGATCTTGGGGTGTGCACTTTGCAGTGCATTTGCAAGCTCCTATGCACCCAATCAGCAAGTTGAAAAGGATGAAGAGTGCAGGTGACATACCTCGAAAACATCACCTTCGGGAATTCCCTGTCCATTCTGCAGCATTTCCTCCAAGATTTTTGCCTTTTGTTGTACCTTCGATACCTCCTCGGCGGCCTTTGCCCGGTAATCAGTCTTGTGTCGATTATCGTATCCAGCCATAACCTTCATCAACCGATTCGCTTCCTGCAGATCGGCCGGTGTGCCTCTTCGAATCAGCTCCTGAAGCTTAGCAGACTGGGCTTCCTTCTCCTCCTCTTCCATCTCCTCGGCCGAACGAAGATTCTAAATCATGTCAGTAGCTTCCCCAATTCATGACCACCGGGGTACCTACGTCACTCGGGTTCAGCACAGCCGCATCATCGCGACGAACCTCAGGGAATGCATAGCCCTTGTAGAGTAACAGACGATGCATATCCCGAATGAATCCCAGATCCTCCTTGTATCGCGACGTCTGGCAGATCGTCTGGCGCCACTCCTCAATCAACTCCAAAATGCGGTGTTGAACCCTCGAGGGTCGCATGGCTGGGCGCTCGGGGAACCTTCGGACCAATTCATTGAGAAATTCTTTTGTGCTGATCTGGAGGTGGAACTTGTATCCGCAGTTTTTTACACACATGTCGAGAAGCTAATGGTCGTGTGAAGCGATCGTCAGTTAACCCCGCGCCAGGCTGTCATCTGCCAATTCTAAACATACCGCCAATGCCAGCAAGGAAACATTCTGATTCCGAGAGTTAACAAGATGAACAATCTCGACAGCTGATTCGCGAGGACTGTAGGGGATATCAGTATGCGCATTACATGGGCCGGTGTTATCCAACTCACGCATTGCCCTTCTTGGAGTTGACCAGATCGGCCACTTCGAGGTTCAGGGCCAGGTTGGGCTCGTAGTTCTGTGGATCGCATGCATTGCCTAGGTATTCAATATATTAGCAATTAGATTCTTCTATTTCTCCCAGGATCACTGATGGAGCTCAGCTCACGAATTGCCCGCTGCAGCGGTGTTAGGCCCGGCTCAGCATAGGCACCGAAACGGTCCCTAGCCGCCATGCGTGCCGAAGCAGCCTCCAGCTTGGCGGTTTGAAGGAAGAAGAGGAAAGAAAAGGAAAAGGAAAAGAAAAGGGGGTATAAATTGACGCAGGAGTTGGTGGTCGAAGCGGGAAGACGCCGCGATGGTTTGTTGTAGATTGGAGAGCGGACGGGGCGGGCGGAGAAGCACGTGTGGCGCTTGTGCTTCCACTGTAATTTTTATTTTCTCTCAACTCCTCGTTGAACGCAATCGAGGTGGAGGTTTACTTGATATTCGCTTTCATATCTATAAACACTTCAACGTCTTCATCATGGTTCGTCATAAGAAAGACAATTTCTCTCGAGGGGGCAAGAAATCCTCTCACCCCCGCCCGCGACCAGTGCCCCGCGGTGATGGAGCTGAGGCCGGTTCTTCGTCGCGGCCTGCATTCAAGGCTGCTTGTTGGGATATGGGTCATTGCGACCCTAAGCGGTGCTCTGGAAAACGTCTGATGAAGCTGGGGTTAATGCGAGAGCTTCATATCGGCCAGCGATTCCCTGGTGTGATCATCTCGTAAGGCATCCCACCTTTGTTCAAATGTCTTGACTAACCATTTGACTAGGCCGAATGCGAAGAAAGTCGTCTCTCCTGCGGATAAACAGCTTATGGAAGAACATGGTGCGGCGGTAGTGGAATGCTCTTGGGTTCGCGTCAAGGAAGTGCCCTGGTCGCGGATCGGTGGAAAATGCGAACGACTTTGTATGTGTGTTGCACCAGGGATCATACGCCTTTACTAATTCATTCTTGCATTTAGTACCCTATCTTATCGCTGCTAATACAGTCAACTACGGAAAACCTTGGCGACTGAACTGCGTCGAAGCGCTCGCGGCCTGCTTCTGCATTTGCGGACACCAAGAATGGGCAGAAGAGGTCCTGAAGAACTTCAGTTATGGACAGGCCTTTTTGGAAATCAACTCTGAGCTATTCAAGCTCTATGCTGCCTGCAGTACCGAAGAAGACATCAAGAGGACTGAAGAGGAATGGCTGGCCAAAATTGAAAAAGAGTACGAAGACAGTCGTGTGGAGGGAGAGGATATCTGGGCTGTTGGAAACACCAACCGCTTGCCGCCAACCGGAGGCTCAGACAATGACGATGAGGACGATAGCGAGAGCGGGGAAGACAGCGAAGCCGAGGAAGAAAGCGAAGCCGAGGAGGACAAGGATCCGTTTGCTATCTCTGATGACTCCGAGGATGAAGAACAGATGGCCGAGATTCGGCGTAAGATCCTCGAGTCAAAATCTTTCCAAAACCCGTCAGCGTCGGATAGAGAACAGCCGGAGAGGATCGCAAAGCCCGAGCCTGCCTATGTCGACTCTGATGCCGAATCTGGCTCGGCGGGCAGTGAAGATGGAGACTTTGATAACATCATCAACGCTACAACGGTCACAGACCGAACTGGAATTAAAGAGATCCAACGCCGACGAGGACAGGAAACAGTCAGCGCCTCCTTCTCACGGGCTGAGGTCTCTGCGCCGAAGCGATGGTAAAGCGAAAGGCAGAAAAATAAACCAATATTTGACTTATGACTTGATGAAAAATAATATGACATTTCCACTCGGCATTTATATCACATTGTGCCCTTCCCTGAAACCAAACTCCGGGCATTTTAACATAATTCCAGATTGTGCGACATCCAGTGGTATCAATCGGTGCCTTCGAGATGTCAATACGATGATCAGAAAGTCAGAGGTGGAATACTCACCAAATCTTCTGAAGCACTTTCCTAAACATCCTCACGATGACGTGATAAAGATGATCCCCAATGAGGCCACCGGGTCTTGAGGTCTAAAGCAAGCCTTTCAAGGCAAAGGGTCTCATGGTTATGTCTATGCATGGAAGCTGCTCTCTATCTCGATTGTACTGCATGTACTGTATTCTGTGCTGAGGCTTTGATGCATGGAAAACTTTGACACCGTGGACAATCCTCAACTGTATGTCTAGGCAAAGTATGTGTCAAAGAATGTGCTGTCGAATTATATATCAACGGATTGCTTTGGTTGTAGCAAGGAAGTATAGCTCCACGAGATGGGCGTCTTTTTCGTACCCGAGTTCTCAATAATCGTTCCTTGGACTGTTGAAGGGATGGAGGACACATGAGAGGCTTGTTGGGTGGAAGTGTCTTGGAAAACGCAAGATCAACCTTGGAGAATATTGTGCAAAATACAAGGGGCTCGGTGTGGTTTGATGAGATGCCGGTAACAACCTTATGTTTAATCCCATGCGTAAAATTGTCCACGCATCTACTTGGGTGGTAGGATTTATATAAGTTTCAGAAATGGAAGAAGGGATATATCCACTGCCACCGTGCGTCACAACGGTGAACTCTGTAAGGGCTTCAAGTCTAATATACGGCCACGATGAAACAACTGCAAGGGGGACCATATGCCGAACCTTGCCTACCCTTGGAAATGTTTCATAATTGATACGGAAGTAAACAGTGTGCCTAGATAGTAAGCACTTGGATTTTAGCGCTGCTATCTATACACTGCACATGGGTGAAATGTTATGAAGAAAATCCTAGAAAACCCATTTCTTCTGTCTGTCTTATTTGAGCCCTGCATTATTTATTTGCATCAGGGGCATCTAAGTACTTGATCATGTTCTTAAGAATTTAAAAATTATCAGGATTGAGTCTGCCTCCTCTGGAATCTTGGACCTTACTCAAGTGCCTGCAAGTCTTCATTATTGATCTTATATGTCTTGTGGACTGTGCTCCGTACATGTAAGTAAAAATGCTAGGTACTTACATATACTCTCCTTCATCTGCATGGTTATACGTGCTGGGTATTTCTTTTCATATCAACTACTTTGGCTGTTCAATATGTCAATCATTTTGAATAACTATATTTTCTTGAACATGTCAAACTAATTACTATTAATGACAAAGAAGGATGCTAGATACTCGGTTTCCTGCTTTTTCAATGCTGTCTATACATCTCCTTGCACATGAGGTGACATGCGGAAAATCACAACACCGTGCCTCTTGATTGTGAGCGGTGAAGAACCTACTAGTAGATACCTAATCTATATGAAACCCCCTCCCCGGAATGAATGGAAATTCATGGATTGCACGAGACCATATAAAATGGATCGAACACTAGTGGATCCCCACTCACGAACTGGTGGAGAGATCTTGACTAGACAATCACGTGTTATTATAGATATTATATCAGGACTAGTGTGTCCCCACTGCATGCCATCCCTGTCCCTAGAGTCAATATGAAATCGTGTCCACGACTCATGAGCAAAGCTCGGAGTCCATTGCGTATATCTAGGTACCAGTCCCAACCATTGAGGAATGATTGAAGTTCGAACAAAAGTAATCCACTTTGCATAGTATATACATGAAAAATTGAAATATTTACAAAGCCTGATCCTCCATTCCTAATCCATCTACGAACCCATAGAGCTCAACTGGATCCTCGAAGACTGTCCAAACCGAAGCTGGAACGTCTTTAAACGCCTTCTCAAACCTCTCATCCTTATTCTTCTCATCCATATGCGCCACATCCGTAACCTTCCGAATAGCAATCGCATGAATCCAAGTTGAATACTTCCGATAAATCTCTGCATAGGCCTCGGGATCACTCTGCGTTGAATCTCCAATACAAAGCACTCTCCGCGCTGGAAACCAGCGGCGAATCTTCTCTATCCGATCCATCTTGTACTCCTGTGTCCGCTCCGTTAATGACTTGATCAAGCCACTAATGTCCAAGAAAGAGTACTCGCGCAGCACCAGCGTACCAGGGATGTAGTACTCGTGTATGAAGCTGCGTAGAAAAGGGTAGAGGTTGTACGGAGAAGCGGAGAGATAGAACCAGGCAGGATCCAGCTCCTCGTGAACGTAGCGGTAGAATTCCGGCATGCCAATGATCGGAACCGGTTCCTCTGTGAATGTTGTGCGGATAATTCCTGTTGGATCGACCGTCATTGTACGCTTGATCGTGTCGTCGATATCAGAAATAACCAACCAGCCTTCCGGAGCTGCGAAGTGCGTTTCCATTGATGCAATGCTATTTCCGAAATTGGCTAGACATGGTCGTAAGACTGTTCCGTCTGGGATGGTCGGCACCCCCAGTTCAATAATTTGGCTGATTATCCCGTTTCGGTCTGAGGGACCTAGTTGGTGTGACTGTTCTGTGCCGGCTATGTCAAGCTGTAATGTGACTGTTCGACCCGGAGAAACGTTATCGACGAATGGCTGGATGCGATCCACGATCCGCTGGTGCGCTTCTTCATCGGCGATGCCTGTTTCACCGTCCAGTCCGATGTGGTCTGCTATCGAGGCGACTAGTTTCCCAATATCCTTGCGGCCTTCTGTCTCGAGGATGCAAGCCACGAACTCGGCGCGCCATGGTGCTGGTTGATCGGGCTGGTCTGAGTCCCCTGGCTCAGGCACAGGCTGGTATGCGGTGTTATCCAGTAGCCAGACGGTGTTCGTGTGTGGGTCCGCAGGGTGTGCGATCGGGCTTTTAGAACCCAAGATTGAAGCGACGAATTTCATGAACGACGAACCCCGTCGTTCTATGGGAGCTGGCCGTGCCTCGGAAACCTGAGCCGAGCCAGTTCCCTCTGAGGCATCATTGCTATAATGCAGATGCTTGGCGTCGGAGAGTGAAGAATCATGCGGCTTAGTGTGGGCCATTATGCACCTTCCCGGGCCGTTTATTTGGATGTCCCCTTTTCGGCACGGATTGTTGACCAAAGCAAATGGAAGTACTCAGCAAGGAGTTTTATATTCAGATCTTCGAGGTTTGGAATGGTCGATCCATTTACATCACCTGGGCTCTTGGTGTTGCCTTGGGAGAACGGAATAAATAGGGGGCAAGCACGGTGATCATATAACGAACGATCAACCCCTTTATCGTCCTCGGCTGTTCCCTGCCTTGCTCTTTCCCACCCCTCCTGATCGCAACACCCCAGGTTGAGGCTGTGAGCTGGGCGCTGGGCGCCCGTTCATCTAGGCACCTGCCCGTGCACCTAGGGCACCGGGGAGCATCATTCGGCGATGTCATGTGGCCGAGTAGGCAAAACGTGCATCTCGTCTGCTGGGATTCTGTGGCCAACAAACTTATTCAAACTGGCGGCGTGCTCATGCTCATGGAGAATTTCAGCCTTGAAGTTTTGGATGTTAGATGTCAAGGCCGGTTTCTATTTGTCATAGGGCTGATGATGCGTAGACACCAAGAAGGTGCAAAGGGGAACAGCCATAATCTCTTCAAGATTCAGTATTATTAATATGCTTTCCCATGTCTGAGGTTTATAACCAGTTGATAGCTTACCTTAAACTAACCAAATAGGCTATTGAAACTTTGGAGTGCACATGTCCCGAGCACGTACACTGGTGATGGTGAGACTGAATCCCGGTGAGATTTTCGCTTCCAAGGTTTATCTACTATGAATACAGATATGAGTGAGTATAATATAGATTCGAGCTTGGAACTTCTGTGCATACTTGTATCCTTGAGGGCTCTAGTGAGACAAGAGAGTGATACTAAGGTATGCTTCAAGTATTTATTTGTGCGTGGGCATATCAGCGTGCCTATATAAGATAACGCATCAAACCTTAGGTGATAGTGGCATTTGACTATGGTGGCAATAAAGCAAGTGGCATTAGTGGACCGGACTAATATGATGCCATCTTGACTTACCTATCTCGCAAAAGTACCTACATAGTGTATTTGTATATAATGTGATCTCATCAATACCTGTGGCGTGATTGCTCAATAATCATCTTTTTAGGAGCTGACTACCCCGCTTCAACTTCCAAGGTTGTCTCTTGATGAAGATCATGTGTGACCTTGATCTTTCCCGGAAACAAATATTCCACTTACGCTCAATAATCCTGATTCCTGAAAAGATCGCTCTCAGGGAATATACCTCGAGTAAGATCCTGTTCAATACTGTGGACTATGGTTTGAGTCTAATCAACTCAGATATCTACCATACCGCAAATTGTATACGGCAGCTATTTGCATCTCACTATCAACCCAAGCTTGCCTTGAACCCACACCAATTTGATAGCTGTAACAATCGGAGCTACCCAGCCCATCTACTTAACTCTCGAAGACGCAAAGAAATGTCGAATAGCCTTGGGGCGAAAGCGCTTGGTGGAGAAGAAGAGTATATTGACGTTTTCGCATTCAAAGTACCAGGGAACATGGTCATGGAATTTCAGGGCATGTCATGTTACATTTTTGATAATAATGAGCTGTTGGTTGACAGACTAAGCTGTGAGGATGGAAAGGTCTCGAGGAGAGTTCAACAGGGATGGCTTTGTTACATTTTAAGAGCTACTGTGAAATTCTCCAAATGGCCCGTGCATGTCCATGAGGCAAAAGGAGTTTCTGGAGAGGATCTGATTACTTTTGGCTTCGACAGACCAGAAAACATACTCATGGAACTTGGGGGCATTTCATTTTGAAGTTATGACCGCAAGGCAGTTTGCTCTGAGGATAAGAAATGTCGAGGGAAGTTGGACGAGGTTGAGGTTGACGTCGCAAGTGAAATCCAGCAGATGTACAAATATATTAAATCGATATTATGTCTTCTTCGCTTCTTTATTTACAGACATCTCGAGGCTGCTTTGCATTTCAAAGCTAAATAACATGGATGGTGATGCACGTGATTGGCCTCAGTATATAGACTGGCATTGGAAGGTTGAGATATCCAACCATTAACACCAAGTTGCATCAAGAGCGGACCTTGTTCCTTGAGATCTCAGCTAGGGCACACCAAGAAAACATAGATCTGAAAGTATTCAATTCCTCTTTCCAGCAATTCCGATCACAAGAAAGACCTAAGCGTGTTCATTATACGGGGGCGCAATTTGCCTTTCGATCTGATAAAGCACCATGGATGATTACCAGTTATGCTGACCTAAGGCAAAATATACGTCAATGTTAGGAAATCGACCAACAATACACTCGGTTCATATAAACCGATGGCGAAGGCATCCTTCCAAAGATAAAAGGGACACACCTCTCCAACTATAGCGCCAATACCCCGTACATTACCATAAATCCGCCAAAATGAGTCTTGAACCACCAATGCTCTCAAACGTGGCCGCAGCCAATATAATGAATCCCTCAACATCCTACGGACCCGCAATGAAAACCGAAAGAAAGTTCTCATCGGCAGAAGATGAAAGCTCCATCCCCGCCACAATGCGAGCTCTATACTACTCGCCCGCCGCAGCACTGAACAACAACACCTACCCAACAACCGATTCTCCAAGATTTAGAGAAGATAGCACAGTGAACCCCAGAGCCGCTTCTTTGGCCTTCAATCCGAGAGCCGAGACTTCGCCATTCGCGGATAGCAACATCTATCCCAGCCCTGGAAAGGTTCCTGAAGCAAGAGCCGCGTCCATCGCAAATCCAATGGCTAAGGCGATTCCGCATCCAAGTACCAAGCCCGGCCCTGCCGGTACTCTTATCCTCGACAAGTCATTTCCAACCCCACGGCCGGAAACACACCAGTACCTCCTGAAAGTACATACCGCGGCCTTCTGTCAGGATGAATTACGTCTTGCTGTGACGCTGAATCCTGTCAAGACGACGCCGCAGATCCCGCTGCATAGTGTCTGCGGGAGGGTGCTTACGACTCCGCCGCAGAACCATGACCGGCCTCTTGGACCAAAGTATAAGATTGATGATGTCGTGTGGGGACTCCTGAGTTATACACGGGATGGAGGTGCTGCGGATTTTGTCGTCGCTAATGAGAACGAATTAGCGCTGAAACCGCCGAATATCACGGTGGCTCAGGCTGCAGCGCTCGCATTACCAGCATTGACGGCCTGGCAGGCGTTTTTCAGAGTTGCGGGGATAGATCCTAACACGCCTGAGGATGGAATGGAATCAAATGCGAATAAAATTGTGAATAGGAAGAGCAGCGGCACTAGCAGTGGCAAGAGGAGTGGTCAGAACACCGCAGACGGGAGCAGTTGTGCCTCTGAGCAAAGGGATATTATTCCCAGATTTAGCTTTTCGAATAAGGGTGGGGAAGGCGGAGGACGGAAATTCAGCCTTGGAAGCCTCACCGGCGCCAGTGGCAGTGGAGAGGGTGGACGCAAATTCAGTCTTGCAAGCATTACTGGAGGCGGCAGTGGCGGCAGCAGTACTGATGGAGGACGCAAATTCAGCATGCCAAGTATCGGCAGCATGGCGGCAGCCAGTGGACGCCGATTAAGCATGATCAACACGGGTGGCAGTAGCAGCGGAATAGGCGATGGGCTCCGAAAGAAGAAACCACTGCGTATAGTTGTGACCAACGCCCAAGACAGTGAGGTCGGTCGCGTAGCAGTTCAATTGCTACGAGCCGACAAACTTTTCCCGCCTAGGGTCCGTCCCTGGATCTGTGTGACCTGCACTGTGGCGGAACAAACCGTTCTCCGGGTTGACTGGATGGTCGATGCGATTCTTGTGATCCCACCTCTTCCCACGAAAGATGAATGTGATCTCGGGGCTATGTTCCGACTTCGCAAGTGGGATCCTGTCGATATTGTACTAGATTGTATGGGTGGGGAGGTTTTTCGACAGGCTCATTCGAAGGATGTGGTGAGAGATGGCGGAGTTGTCTTAACGGCTGTGGATCCTATGCCTGTGCAAGATGCGGCGCACGAGCAGGAGATGCTGAAGCAGCGGAAACGGGGACTTAAGAGTCGGTTTGTTCCTGTGAATCCTGACGGTGCGGCTCTGAAGCGGATTGCGGAGTTGGTGGAGGATCGGGTGCTGAAAGGACGAGAGGAATTGCAAGTTGATCTGAGTAGTGCGGCTCGGTTGCTTGAGGGTAAGGCTGCTGGTGCGGCGGGAAGTCGTCGTGGAGAAATGATAGTTGTTCGCGTTAATTCTGTTTGTTAATTACGATGGTCATTCATTTGGGCATTTGATAGTCAAAAATTGGTTCATCTTTTTTGGTATTGAAATCTGCGCTTGTGTTGCAAAAGCCCAGGGTCATCCAATCGGCAAGTCTGTATCGACCTACAGGTATTCATATCTGAATATCAGCTTCATATTCAATGGCATCGAGCGGCTGGCCGGTCTGAATGTCTCAGGGTATGCCACGGGAAGCTTTAGAATGATAATATAGATCTGCTCACTGAGATAAGAAAGCGAATAGAGAAAGAGCAGACTATCAAACATCAGGGGTCAGTCGATGAGATATCCCATACAAGAAATGAATTTTGAGTCGTATAAGATCACAGGACGCGCTGCCAATTTTCAACCTGATGAGAAACTACATGAGTGAAGAAGATAAGAAGAAAGAAACCCGACCCACGTAGAAAAGAACCGGGTGAAAAGCGCGAACAGACGTAGAGAAGAAAAGGCGGTTGAAAAAGAAAAGGACATTGTATTAGAATCGAGCAGGGTAAATCCGCTTAAAGTAAGGAATCAAGTCTGGTGAAAACGCTCAAGCAAGCGGCGATGATCTAGTCCAATGTTAATATTCACACATTAATAGAAGTCATAGGGGAAACGTACCTCCATTTGGAGCTCTCGGTCTGGGGACTTGCTAACTTCGTCATTGATCGCCTGCGCCAGGTTGGCACCAATTGCCTGCGAACCGCCGGGTCGGCGAGCAAATGGGAACTGCGAATATTCGGCCAGTAGCTCATCCACCTGGGCAAATGCTCTTTCCCGAGCTTCGTGGCTCATTGTGACCAGGGCGTTCTCCAGTACGTTGGCCGCGTAAGCAGCGCAAACCATTGTGACGGTGCGAAGGTAGCGGTACTCCGAGTCCTCGGGGAGCCATTGGGAAGAAGGAATGATCACGGTGCGGCTGCTGCAGATGTTGCGTACCCGTCGGTGAAGGTCATCTTTAGCGCCACCATCGGCGACGGGGTGCGTTGCCATGTCAAATAGAAGGAAGTTTCGTTTTTCAGTTCGCAGGATACCCTTGTCCACAAGACCCTTGGCCAATCGCTCGCGCACTTGTTTCAATTGGTATCCGATCTTCATCAAATTCCAGGTCTCACCTGTGAGAAGTGATCAAGTTAGCCAGCGTGTCCCGCAATAACCCCTCCCATCAAAACACAGGGACTAGAATCCATACCACTCAGCAAGTCAATCCAAGAGTTCACGCTCATCTTCTCGCTCGACTTCATCATCTTCAGCGTCTCGTCCAGCAAGACTTCGCCGGTCAGAGTGTCGTCGACGACCTCGATCACGCGGTCTGCCAAGGGAAAGCGTCGCCGCGATGAATCCTTCTGCATACTAATGCGGCCGCGGAGCGCGAGTTCGATGACAATACACCCTCGCAGAGCGTAAGAAATGTTCTCGTTCCAGAAGGACAGGTAACCCTATCACAGGAGACACCAAGTCAGCATTTCCAGTCCGCCACCTTGGAGACAGCAACAGAGCGAACAGTCGCTCATCAATCAGGGGGGGGGTTTCTCACCTGCTTGTCCTTCAAGCCCAACAGCAGAACCTCCTCCATCAAAGTTAGTTTAGGCTGCTTACTCCGCTCCTCGGTTTCGCTGAGGTCGCGGGGGTCGAATGCGATCTTGTGGCCGTTCTCTCCGGCCGTGAACGAGGTCTCCGGGCCGCGGTTATCCATCGCAGAGCCATTTCTCGATACGGGCGACGATACACGGCTGTCATCTTGTTCTTCTTGACCAGTAGCTCGACCGCCACCTCGTCGGCGAGTCAAGCCCCCGGCTGCGGACATGAGGATGGGGGTAGTGGGTTGAAAGAGGGGGTGAACAAAGGCCCAGGTGGGTAGGGCCAAACGGCGTTTCGATTTCAAAAGCCGATCTGCGTGCCGGTCGCAGGGGGCATGAATTGACCGCGGTGTAGGGAGATGTTAAAGATCGCGCGTAGTGTAGACCGAAAGTCTGCCGTTGCCGCTTGCAAGTGGGACTGTCTCGGCGTCAGGGGAAACCAGGGACCGAGTGGGTTGTCAGGCAATCGAAGTAATTCAAAGACGAGACGATAAATCAAATACTTTTTCTTCAATGTTATTTGTCTAGGATAGATGAGGCAAAGAGGAGAAAGGGAAAAAGATGATTGGGTCAACGTTCCAAGGTTAGTTTGGTCGGCAAAAGGTGTCGTGGTGCGCCCGATAGCGGGCATATATATATGAGCCCCATCTTATCAACTTCAATGTTCCCGACAACACATGCCTTCAACCTTGGAAGTGTTGCATAGGAGAATCTCAAGTGCTGGAATACATATTTAAACCCCACGTGGATTGTATGTATACAACTCATGGCTTCCAAAATTAATCTCAAATGTTCAATATTCCAACATCTTGGAATTTATCCTTCTCCAAGACTCTGCACAGGTGGGTCACAGGCTAGGAGTCTGCGAAGCTTCAGGTGAAATGAAGTTATTGCGTCAAAACTGCATTCAAGATGATATACACGATATAGAAGGACAAGGGTAACAAAATCCAATGGTATGGAGTTCAGCATACAAAGCAGCGTCAGGAATCATCGAGATATATTCCCGTGCAACGCCTAACGGACGCCAATATCCCGATCCTTTTCTATCCGACTTTCCACACACATCGGTCTCAGAAATTTTCGATTAAAGTATTTAGTGAGCTGCGTAGAGCGAGTCAGTATTGAAAGAGTTAAAGCTGGAGGGCAGAGAGCAACATACCATCGGGCTGAGCCAGGATGTACTCGACAGCCTTCTCAACTATTCACACAAACACGTTAGTTTCTGCTGTTGTCATCCTCGACTGATCCAAACTTACCACTGTGGATCTGGTCAGCTTCCTTGTCGGGGATCTCAATGCTGAACTCCTGTTGTGATAGTCAGAATCTTATTGCTTATCTTTTCCGAGGGAAAGTTCATCGCGTACCTCCTCGATGGCCATAACGACCTCGACGGTATCCAAGCTGTCCAGACCAAGGTCGTTGGCGAAGTGGGAAACACCGTTGATCTAGATGTCGAAAAGTGTTAATGGATAACTGATGCTGATGCTGATGCCGAGTGGCTCGTAGCTTATGTCCGAGCCGAAGCATGCCGAAAGGGACCTCGTGTCAAACTAACCTTGGTGGCGTCGGAGACCTGCAATCAGAGAAAGGGATTAGTACTGTTGAACTCAGGTCATGGTGGATTCAATATGTTCCACCGAGGATGAAAAACAACTGTGACGCACCTTGTCGAAGTTCTTGAGCAGGTTGACTATCCGGCCCTCGATCTCGTTCTTGTTAAGACCAGCAGGGGCGGAGTAGCAGCGGACACCCTGGGAAACGAAGCAGGGAGTGAATTGGGGGACGCGCGCAGCGATGGGAGAGCTGCGGATCTGGAAGGGAGCCGGGGTCTTGACAGCGACACGGGGGGCGGAAGCCCGCAAGGAGCGAACAATGGCGGAGCGGAACATGTTGAAAAAAAGAGGTAGATCAAAAAGAGCGCAAAGGCTAAAGATCTAAGAAGATAAGAGAAGAAAGGGAAGTGGGGGAGTTTGGTAGAGGAAGATTGTTGTAAGGTTGACGGGAGAGGGAAGAAGATGGTCGGAAGTGATGCACCGATGCAAAATCCTGCCGCCAACCAATCAAAACCCGGCAGAAAGAAATGACCTAAGCCCAAACCTGCAAACACCACTCAACCTCATCCAGCGACCTTCTCCCCTACCTCGAAGATCTCCAATTCGCCTTCCCCACCTTCCTCCTCCCTTAACAATCCTCTCCGCTCATACCTCCTTCGCAATGGCCGCTACACGACAGGTCGCAAGGCTGGTCGCCGTGCGTCGCTCTCCCTTCACGCCCATCGGCTCGACGGCAAACTTCTCTTCCTCGCTGTCCCGCGCAGCATCCCCAGCGGGCCCCCCTCAACCCGGTTTCCGTCTTCCCCCTCCCAAGCGCTGGGATCAGGGCTCCGAGTCTGCTATCGACAAGGCCACCAAGTACTTCCTCCTCGCTGAAATGATGCGTGGCATGTACGTCGTGCTGGAGCAGTACTTCCGCCCCCCGTAAGTCTTTGATCCCACCGGCAACCAACGCTATCAACAACACCAATTGGTTCTGACCTTCTCTTCCAGTTACACTATCTTCTACCCCTTCGAGAAGGGTCCCATCTCCCCCCGTTTCCGCGGTGAGCACGCCCTGCGCCGCTATCCCACCGGTGAGGAGCGCTGTATCGCCTGCAAGCTCTGCGAGGCTATCTGCCCGGCGCAGGCTATCACCATTGAGGCTGAGGAGCGCGAGGACGGAAGCCGCCGGACGACCCGTTACGATATCGACATGACCAAGTGCATCTACTGTGGTTACTGCCAGGAGAGCTGCCCCGTTGACGCCATTGTTGAGAGTGAGTACGACCTGGAGATATAGAGCTCCAAATATGCCTATCTATGAGTCCTTGGCTAATCAATTCCTTTCCTTACAGCTTCCAATGCTGAGTACGCTACCGAGACCCGTGAGGAGCTTCTCTACAACAAGGAGAAGCTCCTCGCCAACGGTGACAAGTGGGAGCCCGAGATTGCGGCTGCTGCTCGCGCCGATGCTCCTTACCGATAATCGAATCACTGTCCGGATTTCTGGTGATCTTGGAGACACATCATCTGAAACTGAGAACAGAAAAGCTGGTCTAGTGAGGAGGATCATGCCTATAGTGCGCCCCCAACTGGCGTGCATGAAAAACTAGAGCAGGGTTTATGACACCCTCCCCCATCACACAACACACCTTGTACATATTTATCCCCTGTGTTTTCTCTGTACTAGTCGATTCCCAACCGAAGGTTTATTTCGTTTCGAGTGGGTCATGACTTCTTTGTCTTTGTTTATTTTTCCTTTGTTTTGGAATCTAGCAGGTCTTTTACTTTTTTACGGCTTCAATCAATAAAACAAATGATCAATCCAATATCTTTCGACTATACTGTTGCTGTCTGCTATATGACTGTACAAGAAGTGGTGTTTAAAGAGCCTAGCAAAGTGACCGACGACAGAACAACCGCTTTGGAACAGAATGATATTTGTATTCACAAAACGAGACAAAATCGCTACCCATGCAGAGACGTATAGGACATAACGGAGGAAATCATGCCGCCGAAACAGCGCGAACACCAAACACCGCAAACCCCAGATGGATATTTCCCAGTTCGATGTTTGAAAAAACACTTTTCTTTTTTTGAGGGGAACCCAGATCTTGCAACCAAAGACAAGAAAAGAGGGGGGGGGAACAGAAATAGAAACATCTAGACTAAGTCAACAATGGGAAATGGATTTATTTCTTCTTGTTGCCACCAGTCTTGGACTTGAAGCTGCCCTCGAATCCAGGTCTAGACTTCTTCTTGGCACCACCGCTGGACTTCTTGCCCTTGCCTTTGCTGCCCTTCTCGTCTCTCCGCTTGCGAAGGTTCTCCTCACGCTGCTTTTGGCGCTGGTCCTTCATCTTGGAGACGGTCTCGATACGGTCCTTCCACTCACGCGCGGACTTGCTTTTAGCCGTCTCCTTGCGCTTAAGAGCCTTCTTCAAGAGGGATGTGTCATCGCGAATCCGTTCGCCGTGAGCGCGCTTCTTGGCGTTGAGCCAGCGGTCCTTCTCTTCGAGGTCAGCACGCTTCTCCGGGTCCATCTCGGCCAGACGAGCCTTCTTGGCCTCGGCGATCTGGAGTTGAGCGGCGGCGTCTCGGGGACCATGGGTCTTCTTCGCATCAAGGATGTTTGTCAGGGAAGCGTCAGCGTGTTGACCATCCGCGAAGACAACACGACCGAAAGAGAAGTTGTTGCCCGCTGAGCCAACTGACTCAGCAGGAGAGCGAGGAGAAGCGAGAAGAGATCCAGAACCGCCGGGGGAGAAGCGACGGGTCATAGCCTCATCATCCTTGCGCTGTTCCTCTTCCTTTGCCTTAGCACGGAGCTCCTTCTTGTGTGCTTTGCGTTGTTCGGCCTTTTGCCTCCGAGCCTCGATGAGCTCTTGACGGTTGCGGGCGGGCTTGCCGTTCAGACCATCGGCATGGCGCTTAGCCCGAAGTTCATCCAGGCGCTTTTGTAGACGCTGCTTGAGGTCTTCTGGTGTGGGCTTGAGGGCCTTGGGCTCGGTGGATTTGGTATCATTAGAGGCGGGAGGGACAATAGAGGAGATAGAAGAGCTACCCGACTGGGGATTGGAGGCATCGGGAGAATTGCGAGTGGAGGAGGCTGAGGATGGTTCTTCGGGACCGGCGTCAAATTCGATGGAAAATCCTTCCTCGGCGACACCATCCTCCAGGTCATCACCATCCTCGTTGTCTGAGGCCTCGGGCTCATCACTGTTACCCTTAGATTTGGGAATATCTTTCTTCGAGGTCTCAGTCGTGGTGCCGTTTGGCTTGTCGTCCTTTGACTTCTCTTTTCGTGCAGTGTCCTTAGCCTTCTTCTTTTCTTTTTGAGCAGCCTTCTTCTCGGCCTTCTTCTGTTCCCGCTCCTTCTTGCGGGCCTCGGCTTCCTCGGATTTGGCGGCGTTCGGCTTCTCCAACTGCTTTTGCTTCTTGGCCTTGTCGCCGCGGGTCAGGCCTTCCCTGGGGATCTCGGAGCCCAGCTCGCCGTCTGAAGAGTCACTCTCGGCGGTACCGTCTTCCTTCCGCTTGCGCTTACGAGCGTTTTCGTCCATGATGTCCTTGGCGGTTTTGGCGGCTTCAGGATCCAGCTTTGCACGCTTTGCCTCACGAGCCTGCTCTTTGGTCTGTTTCTTCCGTTGCCACTGGTCCTGCAGGCAGAAAACTTGTCAGAAAATGATTGAAGAATGGCAGACAGCAATTAGGGAAGAAGAAGACGAGTTGGGAAAAATCCGAACTGATGGAGCTGAAGGCGCACGTACACTAGTGTCTTCACCGTAGTAATACTTGGCGGGGATTAAGGATAGCAGACCATCAAATGCCTGTGCATGGCTGCGCAATCGATCCTGGAGCAAGTTAATATTCTGGTCTGAGAGTCATTTTCAATCTCACATACCTCGATATCATCCATGCTGCCGGGTAGGATCCGTACTGATTGAAGGCGTGGGTCGTAGAAAATTTTGGGATGAGGAAATCTCCGCTCGGCTTCACCGCCCGCACGAAAAAATCACTGGAGACTTGGTCTGTGCGCAGTATACAATGGTTCGAGTCTCTTCGGGATTTTTTTTTTTTTTTTTGAAATTGTTGGTCAAATACCGATGGGACTGGACGAACCGTTGGAAAGGGAGAGTGTGACAGTGAGAGTAAAGTGGGCTTTGGGGTTGTAGGCAATCGACTCTGTCATAAATGTGGTTTCGATTAGTCATGGTTGAAGAAATCTAGTCTCACCCGGCTATAGAATTCCGAGTATCTGACATCGGTAGCAATCGAGTTCTTCATCGTATGGGGGGACAATCTCAGTACCGTTATTGCATGAATTGATTGTACTGAGGAGCACAGGCAGTACTCATGTGACATTTAAATGAAGTTATGATGAGAATTCAAGCGAGACTATTGAGAAATCGTGAAGTAAAGTAGAAATGACCCTCAAATATTGCAAAGCATCACATGTGAACAGACTTGCATACTGTGGACACTCTTAATTACTTAGCCTCTCGTACTGCGTTCCTATTACAGATTATGTCCCCTGAATGGCATTGTCAATAGTTCTCAGTTTCTCATAGTAATTGGCTGAGTGCTTCGTGTTGTTGTGATTAGCAAGGGGGCTGTTTTATAAGACTTCATCCTCTGGTAATGGCCCAAAAACAAGGTGAGAAAAAGAAATCAGTCGGAAAAGGCACACATAAAAGCGCAGAGGATAAAGACTGGATAAAGGGCGCTAATTTTTGAATCAATAAGTGGACTTGTCAGGCAGTGGAATCCAGAGACTCAGAGAGGCGCATATGGATCATAGTCTTTGAAAATGGACGGTACGACAAGTCAATGAGATCAAGATTGAGGGAAAAAAAAGCTACTTAAAGTACTAATGAACAAAGTTATGAAATTATATGATGCCAAATCAACCTGGCATGAAGCTTGACCCGATTAGGTAATGTGGTTGCCCCACTAGGAAGGCTGAAGAAACTTAGGACAGAGATGGAAAAGAGAGTAGAACCCACTGAAAAGCCAAGAAGGTATGATAGTTTTACCCAAATGATATGACACTCTGGAAGCAACTATACCTTTTTGCAAGGGAATATGTATAAGTGGTGGCAGTACTGACGCCTTTGTTTTTTATTTTCATCAGATCAGATGAAGGTTCCATGATGGAGCGTGGGATGCTCATTAGGCAAAGGAGAAAATATAGCCGAAACAAGTAGTTTCACTCATCAAGAAGCGTGGCAGGTGGCGGAATGGGAAACAAGGGAAAAGGAAGCGAGACAGAGTGCTGATGCTGCGGATCAGAAGGCGTATTGGGCTAGTCAATTCAAATCTGCAAGCCCAGTTTATGCAGTATCAATGGCGGTGGAAATCATAGCCGAAGTGCCCGTAGTACTTTCGGTTTATTGGAGTGTGGTGGCTGATGTGGATATCAGATCCACCAAGCCACCCCCATCTTACCCTACTTGGCAAGTCTGATGAACACCCAATAGCCGATATCACAGACTATAATCCGCAACTAGCTGAAGATCGTCCAGGTGGATCTAAGACACGTATGCCAAACATGCCGCTATGTCAATTGTTAGCCAGCTCCTTTCTATACAGCTGAAACTTACGATATGGAAGTGATGTGGCTAGCTGACACATGTGCACGGGTGTCGTAATCTTGAGGAATAAGTAGCGAAGAGGGAAAGGATCGATGACATTACGCTCTGACAACGTATGAATCGGATAAACTAGGCGAAAACCCACCACCACCGAAGCCCGCCCTCGGAGAGTAGCGAGCACCCCATCAGGATCAAAATGAGAGAGGTGAAGGAGTTTGTATTTTGTAAATAGTGCTAGGCTCGTACTAATATGGCCGTTACCCTCATGGAACGGAAATATCCTGTAATGGCATGGTAATCCGTAATAGGGACCGGGTCTCCCCACTGCACTACATAGTCTCCGCCCAGGAAAATAGATGTGGAGCAGTTTCATCAGGTGGCGTAGAATTGAGGGGTCTCTGGACGATAGTCGATATGAGGAATCGGTTCCTTTCACGATATGAATCTGGGCCCTATGCAATTGGAGTTGAGCATGTGCTATAGATAAGAATTAGTGGATTCTGGGATGAATGCGTGTAGACAAAGTGCAAGTCGGCAGAGAGATGTAAGCATCAATAACGTAATTGGAAGAAAGATCGAGAAAATAATCTGCAAATTATTGATCTCAGCTGAATCTCGAAACCTTGAAAGTGGAGATTCACAGACCGCTTGCTGAGTATTCGGTATAAATAGCTGAATACCCCAGATCTTTCTCAATTGATATTCTGTCTACCGGATCTATCGACTTGACTTTTCCATTTATCAAAATGCCTGGCTTGCACACCCACGAGAAATATGTCTTTGGCAGAAGCGCCAAAGAGTCAGAGCGGTATGCTTGCTGTCTGACTCAAGATTACTCGCGATCAAATGTCTAATCAAAAGAATGCATCAGACTCAATGCTCAGCACAGATTGCTCACCAAGGTGACCCAAAACACGATGATCCACCCCACTATTTCTAAGGAGGGCATTCATGCCGTTGCAGACATCGCTACTGGAACTGGGTGAGTGTTTATACCCCCTGTTTACTTCCAACAACCCTGGAAGACTAATAGATCGAATCTTGTTTAGTATCTGGCTGAAGGATGTCTCCAAATTTTTGGAGCCTGAATCCCAAGGATCGGTCTACTACCACGGCTTTGATATTTCCTCGCAGCAATTCCCCAAGCAGCAAGAGAACATTGAGTTTTCTGTTCACGATATCACCAAGCCCTTCCCTGAGGAGCACCACAACCGATACGACTTGGTCCATGTGCGACTTCTAATTGCCGCCATCGACAAAGACGACTATAGAGCGTCGATCGAAAACGTTCACGCCATCTTGAGTATGTTCCATCTGGCCGTCAGCCTCAATATCATTTCACTAACACATTCAGAACCCGGCGGTCACCTTCAGTGGGAGGAGATCGACGAGGAAACATACGTCGCCCCCGACAACCCTGTTATTGCGGAGCTTTACAGAGTTTTCAACACCGCAATGGAATCTGAGGGAAAGTGCTTCCAGATGTCTGAAAAGATCTTCGAGGAATGCACCGCAGCTGGCTGGCAGGATGTCCAGAGAATTGTGTATAGCTCTGACTGGGATCCTAGCCTCCTCAAAGAAGGAGAGGATCGGCTAGTCAACGTCATTGAGACATTATATGCCAGTTTCCTGCTGCGATCTGGAGAGGTCGATACCGATGAGGCGGCCCACAGCAAGACTGTTGAGTTGGTTAAGCAGTATCGCGAGCTTTGTGCCGCTGGAAACTCTCAGCCGTGGAAGCTGATCAGAGTCATTGCCCAGAAGCCTAACTAATTCTGAGTTTTATGAAACACTATTTACTCCCTAAATACAATTCGAACAATTTTAAATATACCATGTCATATATTGATCTCTATTCCCGAGGCCATTTCTTAGCCTTGGCCTTACAGTTATGTTTTTCTCCCAGAATCTCCACTAATGCACGGACCCGTCTCCCCCACCCCTGTTCGCTTCATTTACCTGCCAATGAAGTTTTCTGTTATTCAAATCCTTTGAGAGATTCTAGACAATTAGGAACATCTTTTCAAAATGTCAGACCAGCCCATCAAAGGTTCTTCTGAGATGGAGGTGGATCTGCTTACAATCGATGCAAAAGCCTTGCAGACACTTCTGAGTCAGGGCGAAATCACAAGTCTGGACCTTGTCAGACAGTATGTAGCCCAGATAAAAAGACACGATGACAAGCTGCATGCCATGATCCAAGTCACCCCAAATGATCTACTCGAGGCGATTGCAAAAACGCTTGATCAAGAACGAGCTTCTGGGAAGACGCGAGGGCCATTGCATGGCATCCCCATCATAATCAAAGTTTGTTACGACCGATAAATATCTGGATCTTGTTGACATTTTTTAGGATAACATTGCTACCCATCCAAGCCTTGGTCTTCCTACCACTGGTGGGAGCCTTGCGCTCTTGAGCTCGAAGCCTAAGAAGAATGCCGAAATTATTGATCAAGTGGGTATTGACCATGGAATTTGTAGAAGGACAAATTGCTTATAACCGATTAGATCCTTGATGCTGGTCTTATCATTCTTGGAAAGGCTAATTTGGCTGTAAGTCTTTCCCCACAACCTGTATCTTCCAATTTTCTCGTCTAATCAATGGAATCTCAAGGAATTTGCCAATGCTAGGTATGGAAGTCTGCTTTCTCTACGAACTAAAAGATGAGACTAATAAACAACAGAGGATCTGATATGCCCAACGGCTGGTCCGCAGTAGGTGGCCAGACACAATCAGCTTATATCCTTGATGGGATTGATCCAAATGACTCGCCAGAGGGTCATTCAGTAAGTCTCCTACTTATATTCTCGGTGTTTAAATTTTTGGTTTTAATCATGGATTGTAGAACCCATCGGGATCATCTACAGGCTCAGCCGTCAGTGTCTCAGCTGGCTACGCACCCTTTTCCATTGGAACAGAGACAGATGGGTCGCTTGTCAGTCCATCTGGTCGAGCCGCACTGTACACAATCAAACCAACTATTGGACTGGTGTCTCAAGATGGCATTATACCGATTTCTAGCAACTTCGATGCAGCCGGACCTATGACAAAGTCATCGCATGACTTGGCTACTCTTTTGGATGTCCTGGCTGGCAAGTCCGGCTCGGACTCTTTCACCAATCATCTGACATGCTCATGGTCTGATCTCTCTGTTGCAGTCCTCGATCCTGAAAACTGGAAGAATTCAGAGACCAGCGTTAGACCTGTTGATGGTGCAGAAGCTCAGATTGTATGTTACCTGCCCCGAAAGTTTGCAGGGATACAATTTGGCATTTTCTGACCATAACAGAGCCGTGAGATCCGCCAAGCGTACGAGATCATCAAATCAAAGGCAAAGAAGTTCGTTGATAATATCGATCTGGTCTCCCCGGACACGTTCCGAATTGGAAGAGAAGGCAGCGAATGGGCCATTATCAGTATGTGCACTGCACCTATTCAATATGGCTCAAGTTAACATTCCCCAGAGGCGGATATGAAACCCCAACTCAATGCCTACTTTGAAAGCCTTGCAGAGAGTGAAGTCCGGTCTCTAACAGAGGTGATTGAGTTCAATGAGAAACATGCAGATCTGGAGCTTCCTTCGCGTAAGCACTCAGCCGCTCCCCTGGAATATCAATGGAACCTCTAACAATCCCAAAGATCATCCCAGACAAGACAATCTCATCGATTCTGAAAACCAGCAGCTCTCCACAGAAGATTATGACCGACACCTGTCATTTCTCAGACAAATGGGAGGTGAAAAAGGTGTGGACATGGCTTTGAAACAGTATGGTGTGGATGTTATACTGGGTCCCATAGATAGTGGGCTCACATCTTTGGCGACAGCTGCAGGTAAGAAATTTGATACCCAATCGTTAATAAAATTTCCACAAAAGGGCTTTACTGATTGTCTGCTCTTTCAGGTTATCCCCTTTGCGCAATGCCATTATCCTACCTTGATTACAATGGTCGCCCCTTTGGGGTTGCAGCTATCGCAGGAAAACACCAAGAGCACCTTTTGGTCAAAGTCATGAGTGCCTGGGAAGCGACTTTTCCTGCCCGAAAGCCCCCTCCACAGCTAGTGAAGATTCCTTGAGAGGGTCTTTGCAGTAAATAGAGATGGTGTATATGATCTGATATCTAGGTAAAGATGCAACAATAGAGAGAGAGGAAGGAATAGAAGGAATCAAGCACAACAAAGTATTCAACTCTAAAATCAAACACAAGTTTCAGTCATAATTCTGTCATTTGCTCTACATACCCGCAAAATCACTCTTTCACACCCTAACCCATACGCAGGAACATACCCGTGGCTTCGAATTATATGTCTTCCCATAATATAAACCCTTCAAGTTTTGCTACGAAATTGCATCTATGGATATGTTCGATACACTTCCATAGTACATATACTCGATAATAAAACCTTGGAGGGGTAGATTCTTCTAGGTAAGCTATAGGAAACATGATGTAGTTTGGTACTTGACTTGAAGCCATGGTTATATTCTTGATCGGGTCAGACAGGCTGTACAAGAGTAATTCAGGGGGTGCGTGGAGCAATTCTCATAATCCCGAGCTACTTCGTTTCCTTCACCCGAAGCGCGGATTGACCACGGCGAACCAAGTCATTATTGGAAAGAGTTTCCTTCTCAAAGCCATACAAAGCCTGGTTCAACACCGCAGCTACAAGCTCACGTTGGCTCACGTTCGGAATTGCTCTGGTGAATAAATTCAACATACGAAACACGGAAGCCAGCAAAGCCATCAACCATGTCGTTGAGCTTGTCACTACACCAGGATGAGCAATACAGACCTGAGCCCCTGCATACTGAGTCGCAAACTTCCGCACCATATTTTCAGTCTCACTCTGTAAAGGAAGCCATTTATCAGCTCTGTACAAAAATCGACAAAGGAAGAAAATAAACTGACACGCATGATTTGATAATCTCCCAGAAAGAACGGCCGTTGTGACGGATCTCGTGGCGTGCCCTCAGCGCTGAAATAGAGAAAGCGAAATGGGCGTGCAGGTCCGGCTTCATAAATTGCCTTGAATCCCGCTAAGGTGCAGTCCTGACATACGCGCTTGACTTCTGCAAAATCGAAACTTTTGCTGCGAAAAGGCGTTATAGCCACAGCCCTGCGAAGTCGATTAGTGCACTGCGCAAATGGATTTATTATTGGCTGTGATACCAGATACATGCGTCTGCTCCGGCCAGCTCGGTTTTGACTTCGTCTGAGTACTTCTCGTAGTCACTGATGAGTATATTCTTCAACTTTGTCGAACTGCTGGCATTCTCTATCTGAACAGGTTTGCGAGCTAAGGCGATAAGTTGGGTAACATCGCTGTGCTGTAAAGCTTGTCTGATAATCTCCCTTCCTACCGAACCGGTGGCTCCAGCTACTATGAGTTTCATAGCTGTGTGGTTGTTGGCAAGAATTGGGTGTGGGTATGTTGGATATTTGTGTATCACTACTCTAGTGCAGTAAAACTCTCCTCTAGCAAAGATGAATTAAAAGCAAGGTCAACTCCAGGATACTCCGTTGAAAAGCGTTTACTCGTCGGTGTTCGGTGGCCGAGCCCGATCGCCGTTCGGAATGCCGTCATCTTCCTCTACTCTTTGCTTTCAACAACCAACTTCTATCATGCCATCAGATCCACTATTTGATCCTATTCAGCGATATGGAATGATGCGTCCTAAGTCATTACCTTGAAATTAAATCCTAAATCCCAGTCCTACTCACAGGCCTGCTTGAACTGCTTCATGTCAAAGTGCAAGTGTGTGTCAGGACCGGGAACTCATGGCTGTCAAAGATGTCGACGTTTGAAGAAGCATTGCAACCCCGAAAGGCAATGAGATCACGCAATTCTGAGAGCAGAAACTCCATCCATCGCATCGCTATACTCGAGGACAAGATCGATAGCCTCGTTTCTCACCTGGAGAGCAATCGGGCGATGAAATCCGTCGCGACTTCTACACCCCAATCCTATACCAGTTTACCCATGTCATTGGATTCGACGACTGCCAGTCGGTCTGCATCAATCCCCACCGAGTCTACCCTTGACTACTCACCCGAGGAATGCCTGGCCGAATTCCGTGGGAAAATGCTCAAGTATTTTCCATTTGTATCTTCCTTACGACGCACAATGGCTATCCACCCATCGACCATTTCTCTTCACTTGCATAAAAGCAACGTCATTACAAAAAAACAAGGTCAAGGTTGAACTGGGAGAGGAAATAAAGGAAACATTGATCGAGCGCATCTATTTCGACAACGGTAGAGACGCGGTGAACCTCGATCTACTTCTCGGTCTTCTAACCTTTATTGTATGGGGCCATGATAATTTGCTCCAGAGCACAGCTGCTCGGGTGTCTCGTTTCACTCAACTAGCCATGACATTGGTCTTTAGCCTCCGCCTTAACAAGCCGGCACCGCAGGAGTCGAATATGCTTCCAATGTATAAATATTGCTCGAGCTCCGATGTTCCAGCACGAACCTTGGAAGAGAGACGGGCTTTCCTGGGTTGCTTTGTATTAAGTTCGATTGTTTCTTCATATTTGCTCAGATCGACACCATGCAGTGGACTCCATACATAGATGAGTGTGTTGAGGCTTTAACTGAAAGCAATGAGTCTGTGTATGATGAGATATTCATACAACAGGTGAAGCTAAAACGCGTTGCATTGGACATTGAAGATATCAAAGAGACGGACAAAGTGCCAGCGGCATTTTATTCGGCGGGCTTTCGACATAGAGTGAATCATATTAAAAACCACATATCACCACAACTGCTTCGGGATGGTGAGTGCGATCCTGATGTCTGGAATGAAACCCCTCTTACTTCAACAGAAATCATGTTATAGTTGATATATTACACCGAGCTAAGCATCTCTGGACTTATGCTCTGCAATAAGAACCTTCCGGACTCCCGGGAGCTCGAGAGCCTGCATGAGTGTCTCAGCATAATCAGGTCGGCGCTTGAGAACTTCTTCAGGATACCCATCTGTGAGTATTGTGAAATGCCACTCCCCATTTTTTCCCAGCTCGCGAGAACTATTGTCGTGTTAATCAAGCTCTCGACTTCAACGGATGCATTTTGGGATTCGGCACTAGTGAGTGGTACAATCAACGTGCTACAGGTGATGGATCGCTTGTTGGACAATATCCACGAAGCCAGAACAATGATAGGGGACCAGGGCAAGGATGGGTTCTTGAATAAAGCTTCCAAGATTTTTGTATCAGTCAGATCGTGGTGCTCTTCAAAACTTCCGAGGGAGATAGGAGTAGTGAAAGTTGTCTGTGACGGAATTCTCGACAATAGCCTACAATTCGAGGGTTTGCTTTTAGATGACGCTTGCTTAAAAGATCATCTAGTGTTATAAGATCTCAAATGAAGTTCTTTACATAGATTCGTGATCGAATTAAATTACATGATACTTCTACGCACTATCTCGGCTTCAGATAAGCCCAGCTCGGCTTTATCGGATTTATATTCGGACATCTCGATCTCCGAGGTAGCGCTACAATACTCGTAGCTCTGCCCCCTCCAATGCCCATTTCAACCAAATTCCACTGTTACACACCGGACTGTCTGAGAGGATCTCCGAGCACAGCATGATATCCCCGAAAGCCTATTCACACAACGCCGGTTCACCGCCAGGTCCGAGCAATGGAGCCAAGCGCAAGCGCAGAATGTACTCATGCTATGAATGTCGACGACGAAAATTACGCTGTGATCGTACATACCCGGTTTGCAGTCGATGTCAAAAAGCAGGATACAGCGACTGTATTTATGATGGGCCTCCACCCTCCACTTCTGCTCCCCTTGCAGCTTCTGAGGGCCCCGCACAACTCAATGCCCCGGTGCCTGTGGGTAGGGCTAACTATGAAAATCTTCAACAGCCGGCGCCTGCTTTAGGTAAAAGCTCACTGACGAGCTTGGAAGCGGACCAGAATACTGGTACCTGGCAGCTTCTTAATGGGCGGGGGGCTTTCTCGGCTAATCTTAAGAATGAACGACCTGCGGTTAAGGGAGATAATGAGGAGCCTGCGTTCCCTGGTCGAACGCGTGATTCTATACGAAATGTTATCTTTCGTGGAGAGAATTTCAGGACTCAGTATTATGGTGGGAGTAATCCGACTAGTTTGATCGGTCATGTAAGATGCCCCTATATGATAACACGAACATGAAGTGGAATTGATTTGTCGTCTAGTTTCCTCAACTTCGTTCCTTCATGAAAGAAGCGATCAAGTATCAAAAGTCGCTTTATAAAGTTCAACATGACTTGAAGACTCGACATAAAAAATGGAAAGTGGAGAAAATCAACACATTGTCCACACCTCAACTGGATTTCACATACCTTCTCCCCGATCAGAGAACAATTGATGAACTTGTCCACCGATACTTCACTACCTTTGAGTCTGTCTACAGAATTATGCATGGCCCGAGCTTCTGGGAAGAATATGCCAAATTCACCGCTAACCGTCTATCAACATCATCTGCTTTTGCGGTCCTCGTCTTACTGATAATGGCCACTGCGAGCTGCATTTCACGCAATGAACAAAATCTGTACATTGGAGATAGTTCACTGGGCCGAGAGCGTGCAATAATGTGGATCGAAGCCTCTGAATCCTGGCTCAGATCTCACAGTCAGAAGAACGTATACTTGGCCGTCTGGCAAATCCGCTGTCTCTTGGTTTTAGCAAAACTGGTGAATACAGTTAAGAAAAAGCGACATTGGACCGAAGCCGGAAATCTAGTGCGAGAAGCAATGGCAGCAGGGATGCATCGTGATCCGGGCCTTTTGGGTGAAAAGGTCTCCGCGTTCGACCGGGAAATGAGACGGCGATTATGGGCCACAATGACTGAACTGGAACTTCAGGCTTCGATTGATCGTGGAATGACATCTACATCAGCGGGAGCTTTCGCTGATACGAAAGGCGTTTTGAATCTGGAAGATAAGGATCTTATTGATGAACCTGATGGATTGGATACACAACGACCGGTGACAGAGTACACTGCGAGTTCGTTCCTCTATTTCTCTCATGCTAGCTTCCCTCTGCGCGTGTCCTTGAACTCGGTGGTGAACGATATGGGCTCTCCGCTGCGATATGAGGAAGTCATGCATTATGAAGAGCTTATCACCAAGGAGCTTCAGAAACTTCCCCCGTGGAGTTCTGTTAGGTCCCAGCCAAACGAGGGTGGACTCTCCCTGGTGGCAAGGACTCTTCTTGATGTTCAACTCCGACAATTTTTGATCCTGTTACATGCACCCTTCGCTCGGCAAGTTGAAAGCACTTCTCGACATTCCTTCTCCAGGATGGTTTGTTTCGAAGCCGCATCCATTATTATCGACCAATACGCTCGACTCGGCGAATACAATAACCTGATGCTGTTACTACTCCGACACGATTACTTCCGGGCAGCATTGGTGATATGCCAAAATTCGTACATTTCAATCACTCTTCAAAGTAAGCAAAACAAAATTTCTTAATTAATTTTACTTACACCTAGCCACAGATGATCTCCTTCTAAGCTCCAACACCCCGATGTTCATAGATTACCTTGAAAAAGCCCTATCAATGCTCGAAGACCGTATTGTACAAATCGGCACAGGATACACTCACCACTGGTATATCTCGGCCGGGCGTGCTCTTCTGAGATTAACACTTTCGATGGATCAGTCAGTCCATGAAAGTGGACAGGCTGTTGACCGGGTCGCAAGACAATATTACCGAGTGATGTCTTCGCAGGTTGAAATGGAACTTGCGAAGGAGAAGATTATATCACTTCCCGAAAATAGAGTAGGTGACACTAAACGATTTTGTGCATTCGGCTGACCGTAATAGTTGAATGCTATTTATGAGCCTTCGCTAGATACAATAGGATCACCTTTTCCGGATTCTAATGCACTTAATGTATGTGCTCATGTCCCCCTCTACTTCACAGTTTAACTGAAAATTTAGGCTCTTTTCGATCAAACGGATATGAATGATTTCTTCGGGGACCCAGAGGTCTGGGTATTTGATAGTCTGTACCCGATGGAAACTATGTAGGTTGATAGTTGATCTTAGATCTTCATTATCTACCTAGGTGTACGCCTAATTGGGGATCGGTACGAGACGAAAGAGTGCGAGTCAAGTATATAAGTTTTTATTATGAATCTCTACTACTTTCAAGGTCTGTCTTATTGATCTAATTTTGCATTTCATGATAGTACCAAGATTGAACAAAGATAGATATACAAAATGTTATCGGTGTTCCACACCGTAAATCACTCAAGTCGAACTTTGGCTAGCTATTCAGAAACTCCTGATCGAGTATCGCGGTCCTAAACAAGTGATCTTTCCTCTATTGATATAAAAACTCAACCTCATCCAGGGCATTAAAGCTTCGCCTTCTCCACCTTACTAAACCGATAAACCACATCCTCAAAAGATCCCGTAGGGAAAACATAAAACCATCTCAGCACCCCTTGGCCAATATTCGTAATCCCATGCTCAGCATCACCAGGAATAAACACCGTACTCCCCTTGCTGACTACACTCTTCACTCCATCAATCGTCATTTCCCCCTCCCCCTCTAGGATGTGGTATACCTCCGCTTGTTTGTGTCGGTGCGCGCAGAGGTGTCCTGTTTGTGGAGCACAGACTGCTATTCCAGCGCTGAGGTCTGAAGTGTTGGTTTGAGGGGTTGAGAATAGAGTGTGCCAAGTTACTGTTCCGTTATCTGGGTCTGGGAAGGATTCTGAGGGTGTTGATTTGGTGTAGGTTGGTTGGAGGATAAGGGGCGTTGCTTTTAACATTTTGGGTCAATTAAAAGGATTCTTTTTGGTGAATATGGACGGGATATCAATTTTATCCTAAGGGAATTGGGGGATTTAAAATAGTTTTCTTGATGCATATGGCTGTCCAGTATCTAATCTGCCCCTCGTTTATCGGGTAGATTTTCCTGTTTTGGGGTGTATGTCCATGATGTATATCCTGAATAGTGATAAACCCATATAAACACACTCATTGGAGGTATATCATTCAGTCGAAAGATTGATGATAAATAAACGGAGAACCGTATCAACCAGATCACCATCCGCACGCCATGCAGCACTATCCGAACGCCATCATGAACTAATCCTGAGGACCAAAAATAGACCTGTACCCACTCGCTAGCGTATGCCAAGTGGCTGGACCACTCAAAAAACCCTGGAAATGCCGAAAATGTTACCCAAGGTGCACTGCACCAGTCTTATTGTCGTGGAGAAAGGAAAGTTTGAAAGAGAAAGAAAAGTTTGACTTGATGAGACTGGATGAAATAGAAGAGATCGCTGGCAAGAAACCCGAATACAATCCCAGATAAAAAAGGACGAAGAATGCCTCAGAAAGAAAACCTCAGGTACGATCCTGTCCCAGTGATTAGGGGAGAAAGGAAAGTACCCCTGGCCAATTTCATTGGAGATGCAGGTCTCCCTGAGGACGAATGGGTGAATCCCCAGGGGAGACGGGGTATGTAGCTGATAACAGCCAAAACAAATCATGACAGAAAGCAAAAGTAGGGATCCCGCCTCAGCAAAGACTGAAATAGCACGCAGCGAGATGATTATCCTTCAAACGAGATGAACAATGATCGATGAACCAGACTTGAGAGGACAAAGGAATGCACCTAAAGACATGTACAAGACAAGATCAAGACTCCATGATCATGCAATGTGGGATAAACTAAAAGAAAGCGTGGTCACATCAAAAGTTCTCATCAACGTTAAAGATCCCGGGATCGGCGCCATCAGATGTCTTGACACCACTCATCCGTAGATCCGACGAGTTGGTCGGCCGGTGGGATCGCTGCCATGACTCGGCGAGGAGTTTGTCTTCATCCACCATATACTCCTCGTCGTCATCTTCTGGGACATCCTTCACGTGGTGATCGATTGAGCTTTCGTTCACAAATGTAAAGCCCTTGAAGTTGGCCTGCATGCCGGGGGAAAGCGGTGTGCCAGCGGGCATCAGCCCGTTGGCTAGGGCTGCAGCGCGGTCGTTCAATGAGTTATTATTCTCCAAAGCAGTTGTGAACTCTGGGTCGAAGTTGGAGGTGTCGAGATCGGACTTGAGCTTGGGCTTGAAAGGAGGGATCACCTGCTTCTTGCCAAGCGCTTCCCAGTCAACGTCGTGGAAAAATGGGTGCGCCTTGAGCTCCGCTGCATCACCATTGGCTCCAAGACGGTGCTTGGGATTCCGGTTAAGCAGACCCTTGACAAAGTTTCTACCCTCGGTGCTGAGTGCGTCTCTGGGGAACCGCACTTTGCCGAAAGCAATGTTCTTGTACATCTGCTGGGTATCCTCGGCGTAGAACGGACTCCAGCCACAGCACATCTCAAATACCAAAACACCCAACGACCAGAAGTCAACCATCTTTGTGTATCCTTGTTCATCCAACAAAACCTCCGGAGCAAGATACTCAGTGGTGCCGCAGAAGGTATTAGTGGTATCATTTTGAGTAAGGTTAGCCTTAGACAGACCGAAGTCACACAGGGCGATATGTCCATTGGCGTCCAATAGGATGTTCTCGGGCTTGAGGTCGCGGTACACAATATCATAATCGTGAAGGTGCTGCAGGGCCAGAATTAGTTCGGCAATGTAGAACTTGGCCCGAGCCTCCTGGAACCGGCCCTCGCGCTGGAGATGCCAGAACAATTCACCACCGGACATATAGTCCGTCACCAAGTAGAGGTCGGACGGTGTCTGGAAAGAAAACTTGAGGCCCACGATAAACGGGGACGCTGCCATCGCGGTGCGCACCAAGATGTTTCGCTCTCCTAGAGTGTGAACCACCTCTTTCTTCTGGATGATCACCTTCTTTGACAGAACCTTCATCGCGTAAACACGCTCGGTATCCTTCTTCTTGGCTTGGTACACCTGCCCAAACGTTCCCTTGCCGATAAGTTTCAAGATCTCGAAATCACTCGGGCCGACCTGTTTCCGCTCGGTCATTTCATAGGTCATGGTAAGATAGATTTCACCCGACACCAGGCTGTCTCCGGCGCCACGAGCCATCAAGGGGAACCAGCCCTCCAGTCGACTATGATCCTCCTTCAGGTTGATACCAATTCGCACATGGCCGAGGAAAGCTTCTTGGTTGTGGCGATCGTACACGGTAACATCGACTTCGGATTGATCACCCAGAACGTCACTGTTTACGGTTAGCAACTCCGCAGGAAAGAATGCAAGGGTATGAAACGTACAAGACAGCTGCGTGGTCCCAGTGGGGGTCTGTGACAGGGGACTTGCCCTTCTCAGCACCTTCCAACGAACTGTTGTGACTGCTTTGACGGCTCCGCATCGGAATGGCCATGGGTCGGCCAGCCTCGGTATCGGACTCGATCTGACGCCGCTTCTCCTCCTCTTCCTCCTCACCATCCTTGGTACCCTTGGAAATGTACTCGTTCCATTCGAACACACACACCACATACGGATCGACACTGGGGCGCAGACCGCGGCCTTCGGAAATTTTGACGGTCAGTTTGCCCTTCAGCGGGCCGACGGGTGGACCATTCTGAGGTGATGGTTGGCGGGGGAAAGCTTGATCAAGTTTCATGGTGATTTCATCGGTCGAGGTATCTCGGGCGGCACGCTTGGTTTCCTCGGTCTCGTCCGGTTTGCTAGGCGCCGAGGTCGTAGGGGTCTTTTTGTCCTCGTTGGACATGGTACGGGGGGTGAGCGGTGGGGTATTCTTTAGACGCACCGCATCGGGTGCGGATCCAGTCAGCTTGCTAAGGTTCTCGGAAGATACTGAGACATGCTGTTTCTCGTGGTCGAGTAACGGTGCTTCGGTGTGGGGAAACGCCTCTTGTGCAGGGAGGGATGGGTTGGAGAAGTGTGTGGCAAGAACGGGGTCATCAGAGACGCTAGAAACTGGCAGGGAAGTTTGACGGCGGGAAGGAGATTCATGTTCATGTGGAATGAGATATTTCTTGAGGGTATTAAAAATCGACCCCGCAGTCATGTCTGGACTCGAACTGAGATCCATCTCATCTGACTGCAATAGAGAGTGAGGGGGTGTAGGCGGAGATGCCTCGATCTTATCAGACCCCTCCTCTCGATCCAACACGACAAAGGACTCGGAAGAAGCGCCAGGGTGCACAGAGGGTTTTGCCAAACAAGGCCATAGGCGCGGTAGACTCAATCGGTCACCGGAGAAGGAACCAACCTGGAAATAGTTGTGCATGATGGAGGGCAGACGCTTGTCTGCAGGATCGGGCTGAGGGGTAGCGATTCCAGTGGGAGTGGACCCGTTTGAGCCGATCTGGTCGGGGGTTTCGTCTTCGGACACAGAGCTAAGTCAATCATGTCAGCCATTTCCCGGGAGATTGGTGATGAAATATAAATCGGATGGGGTTGTGGATTAAAGTGCGACCGAGTCATTGTGCAGATAGCGGGCAAACTCCGGCAACCTGGTGCACGGGATGGTCCAAATGTCTTTTCCCCTTCTTCTTTGTACAGGTCTTTCATGGTCTCACAAGACAAGTCATGCAGGACCAACCCCGTCGAAGGACAAAAAAGGTCACGTTTTTGGGCAAACATGAGCATGAATGTGCCTGAGCATGTGGGGGTTTCGGAGGCGTGAATTAAGTAGAGCTCACCTATTGGGCTTCATGTTTGCATCTCCGTGCAACACGGTACCGTTCTGCGCAGCAGCCATTGTGTTTCCATCCAGGACTTCGCTCTTTAGCACGGGGAGGAAAAATCGAAGTGGGGGGGCGGGGGATAATGTTGGGCGGGTCGAAGGAGAGTTTCGAGAGTTATTCAAGGAAAAGAAAAAAGATTAGTCAAAGGGAAGAGAAATTCAAAAGTGACGGATGATGAGCTAAGGAAGATTGCGGGATGATGAACCCGGATCGGCTTCGGCTTTTCCACTTTCCCTTAATACCCAGGAAGATATACCCAAAAGGAAAATGAAAATGAAAATGAAAATGATGGAGGGATTCAGAATAGTTATATAGTGAGATCATAACCATCAGTGATCACTGATATCACTGAGAGTCTGAGATCATCTGGACCTAAAATTCATTGGGGAGATTCTTCATGTCCTCTAAGTTAGTATGTACCTTAGGTCTTATGTAATTATCCATACGACTTGATTGATTTAGAATGAAACTGGGAGGCCGATTTTATTTCTTTCTCTATACTAACTCCCACATTCCAATCTTTCCCTGTCTCTTGTCTCTTTGACTAACTCAACTCCATCGTTAATTCCCGCGGGTTATCGACCGGTGGATACCCCGTCAACTAAGCTTGACCCGTGAATGGCCGACAGGGTTTGGGTTTGAAATTATTGATTATCGAGGTCTACCCAATAGATCACTGAATTTAATATGCGGCATAAATTCATTATATGGCGCATCGGGCTGGTAAGCGGAGGACGCACCAAATAACACGATCGGCATGGCATGTGTATGTAGTATTCGGGGTTCTCTATACCGGAAAATGTCGCCTTATACAATTATCCCACTTTGCTTCTTATCAGGGTCTGACGCACCATATGCATGAGAATCTCCGCCATCTCCGTAAATAGGGCGGGGTACATGCGATCGGAGTACATGCCTCCTATGCATGCAACGAACTATAGTATAGGATCCTAACCACCCTGTACTCGGGAAGCCACATCACTAAAGAAAAAGAAACAGGAAGACAAAGCAGCCACCTTCTCTCGTGCAACATAGATCGAGTCCGATCGGCAATTCCAACTCGATCGCGATCGCGCACATGTGCATCAGCTTTGAATATGACTGAATCCAACTTTTCCGGTCCCCTTGCATCCACATACCCTTGGGAAAGCTCTCCTATTCTAGGTATGTACCACACTGCTCCCCACCCTCCAGCTCTAGCGGTATGCTACAGGATCTCCACTATCTGCGTCATGGGGCGTCCGCCATCAGAGTCCTCCGCTTTTAATCTTACAGATGGTTTGATGGGAGAAAACCCCGGGAGGCGTAAGCGTGCGCAACATACAGTAGATCAGGTGCAAGACGTCTAGATATCTCTTTTCAGTACGATGTTGAAGTCCTTACTACAATGTATTCCCGAATCCCGAAGTTGAGGGGGAGGATCTGCAATCACCCCTCATCCTGCTCTTGTTCAGAACAGCGAATAAGCATATGATTGGAAAAAGGATCCTCTGAAAGCGTTCATGAAAGACTAGGGGGTCTCTACACATGTGGTCCTGGTCAGAACACCCTGGAATTGATTGACACCTGGATATCTAATCCCGCTTGTCCATGCGTCCCTGATTTCAATGGTTTCTTTTCTTGCCTTTCCTTTATTACTGTAGTTATAGCTCCTAATCATAAACATAATACTAATACAGTTGAAAAGCTCCCTAGGGCTGCATGAAATGGCAAGTAAAGTTCTTCATTAAGCCACGTTGATCCAATTCGTAGGTCATCTGCAAGCTACGGTGAAGCTGAGCCACGATCTGCAATCATGCAGCCGACTCGCCTTCCCGAGGCCTTTGACATGATTAGTGCAGAAAGGAATGGAACACAGACTATTCTGGAAAGATGGGAAAATTCCCGTGTCATTATTGGTCAGATCTCAAATCAAGTACAATAGCGACCCATAGATTTGCATTGCCAATTCCATGGCTAGCTAGGTATAGTATCCCTGTCGAAGCGGACTTCTTCACAGCTTCTATTTATACTAAATAGCAGGTTTGCCTCAACTTGATTGTTTCCCGTCCAGATGTGATAGCTAAACTCATTCTCATCGGTGGATGGGAGCGGTCGCACGGATACCACTCGAAAGCTCTGCTTTGGGTACCTACAGCCCGTCGGGAAAGAACGGTGAGCAACCCGACCCGGTGAGCATTTAGGGTGCATGAGCTCATGGACAATCTCCGCATTGCCCAAACGGCTCCTGTCACATCCGACATGCGTCGAGGGCTTGCAACAATGATATCAATGGGTGATAGTAGAAGGCGGTCAGAAATCTAGAATGTGGAAAAAGCTGCATGAAAAGGGAAGAATGGTAAAAACTTGACCAGCTGATGGCGAAAGATAGGCCAGTGACGTCAGATGCTTGTGATGGGGGGTAGAGATCGAATAGGGGAAGATAGGGCATAGGGCTGTGTTCCGCCTGAGGCTCAAAGTGGAATTGATCACGTGATTTGTATATCACGTGTGTGGCCTATTCATGTCACGTGCGATGTCGGTAAAATGATTAATCCGCCATAGCAAAACAGCCATGGGATGGCTTGTGCTAATGGACATTGCGTCTCGCCAATCTGATAACCCGCCATCTCGCTGACATGCCACGAAAGCTGCGGGCTGCTGCCCAAGCGGCAGCAAAGTCCATGAGTAAGTAGTCGATTATACCCGCGCCTCCAATCCCGCGCGATTGTCAACCATGAACGCGTTCGCGACTAACATGAACCTACCAGGAGATGCGCCTCAGAACCCTGATGCGTCTGACGATGAGATGCTAGATGCACCCCCCTCAGTACCATCATCCCCTATGCCAGACTACGATGATTCTCCCGAAGATCATGATATGCAACCCGCCGGAAGCGACGCTGAGCCCGAACCTGCACCTGCACCCGAAGTCGAGGTCGAAACTCCTGCTGAAGGAACTCCTGCTGAAGAGACCCCTGCTAAAGGAACCCCGGCTGAATCCAAGGACGATGAAGGAATGAGCGTAGCAAAACCTGCGGCTGAAGATACCCCTCAGATTGCGGGCGCAGATGATACCCCAACTTTCACCGGTGGCCGTCAATCCGCCATTCCCCGCAAGCGTCGCATTGGTCGGCCGCCGAAGAATCGGCCGCCAGACTGGGATGCGCCAGATGGCCCCGATACCCCACTTCGAGTTACAACTCCCGTGAAACGTCGCAGAGGTCGCCCTGCTGCTAGCGGTGGACGATGGGCGCGAAACCGCGGGCCATCTCATCTAACCCAGGTTCCCGTCGACAAGGAAGGAAACATGATGGATGTGATCAATGATGAAGTGGCTGTCCCTCCCGACCCCAAGGGTTCCACCAAGGTCGATGAAAATGGCCATCTGGCCGATGGACGCGAGTACCGAGTCCGCACTTTCACCATTCTCAACCGCGATGACCGCTTATACATGCTGTCGACTGAACCGGCCCGATGCATTGGTTTCCGTGACTCGTACCTTTTCTTCCAAAAACACAAGATGCTCTACAAGATCATCATTGATGACGACGCCAAGCGCGATCTGATTGAGCGCGATCTCATCCCCCACTCCTACAAGGGTCGAGCCATTGGTGTGGTCACCGCACGCTCCGTGTTCCGCGAATTCGGCGCCAAGATTGTCGTCGGCGGCAAGAAGGTCATCGATGATTACTATGAGGACGCTGCCCGTGAACGTGGTGATGTGGAGGGTGAGTTGGCTGTTCCGGAAGACAAGCTGCCCGGCCCTGGAGAGCCCTATAACCGCAACCAGTATGTGGCCTGGCATGGCGCCAGTAGTGTTTACCATACCGGTGCACCCTCAGTGCCTCTTGCTGGAGGAAAGCCCGTGGACTCCAAGAAGCGTCGGGTCCCTGTCACGGATGACAACTGGATGCTTGAGCATGCACGTGCGGCAAGGTACGTTTCTTTTTCTCCAACAAGCCTCGAACACCATTAACATATTATCTAGCACTTTCAACTCTAAGATTGTTGAGATTCGCCGTGGTACTATGGGAGGTGTGTATGATGTTCACACCAACACCATGCACTACCCCCAGATCACGCAGCCCACCCATGTCCGATACGAACGCGTACCGCCATCAGAGGCTGGCTCTACAGCAGAACTGATGACCGACCTATCATCCCTGACCATCGCAAGCAAACCCTCAGTCAATCAGTCACTGACCAACGCGCCCAACGACCAATCCGCCGAGGAACCATCCTCATCTTCCCTCAAACCTTCCAACTCCGATATCCAACAGGATTCCACCGAGCAATCTTCAATCTTCCCACCTGTCAGCAAATCTCTATCTGACCGTCACGTCATCCAAGACATTATCTATGAAACCCCCTCCCACTCGAATATGGGACTCCCAGGTCCCGACGGAGATATGCACACCCTCACTTCGAACGGTCTAGTCAGCCTGGGTGGGCCGCTGCACCCAGAGTTCATGAGTCCTGAAATCATCGCCATGCTTCCCGAGGAATGCAGAGAGGGCCTCCTGGAGCATGCAGCTCATGAGATCGAGTGGAAGTCCAGGTGGTCGACTGAAGCTACCGACGGGGCGCGGGGAAAACCCACTAAGAGCTACGCGTGGTATCCCTGAGGTCAAAAGTCTGCTAGCTAATTTGCTTGCTTGCTGTCAACGATACATGTTTTCAATTGCCAAGGAGTTCATTACATCCTGGAGGCGCTTTGTTTCTTTGTTTTCTTTCGGCGAATTTGGTTTAGCATGGATATGGGCGACCGGTCATGGCGGATCAAGCCATGGGAGTTATTTTAATTACCTTGATTTACCTTGTGGTACTTTATGTTCCACGATCTATGAATCGTGATAGTTCCAATTGATTTGGTAATCATTCATGCAGATCTGGTCGATCGTACCATTTTTCTTCATAGATCAATAATAGGATGCTTGAGAAGATCAAATGGTCTAGTCGAATTCATTGTCCATGGACAAAAAAGCAAAAGAAAAACTAAACCTAAGCGAAGGATAATATATGTTGACCATATTCATGGTGTATAGAAGAGAACTGGCGCCAGGGAACATCAAAAAGAGGCTTGCTTGCAAGTGAACAACAAAAAATACAATGCATCAGTAAGGACGAGCCCAAGGGGAAAAATTGTGTATGAAATAAAAGTCGCGAGGCATTCTACATGGCCATTTCCGCGCGCAACTTCTCCAATTCTGCCTCCTCGTCGTCCTCGGCCGCCGCTGTCTTTTTGTTTACTACATCAAGGTTAGCATCAAGATTTGTCACAGCTATACCAAGCACCAAGTACTAGTACGAGTAAACTTACACTCGGAAGTTCCAGCAGCTGGTAACCGGTCCAACTGTGTATTGACCGGTACGGGACCAGTATTGAGCATCCGCTCATCCATAGCCTCCTGCTCCAGTCCCTCCAGCTCGGCATCAAGCTCGTCCTCGTCGATCTGCTCGCCCAACGGAACAGAGGTAATAGCGGCCCCGACCTCGTCTGCCAGTTGGTGTTGTTCCTGAAGTTTGCTCCTGCGTAAATGGTCAGTGTCGAAGACAAAACAAATCGAAAGAAAAGACCGCCATACATCGTTTCGTCAACCTGATCAATGCTCATTCCACCGTGAATCTGCTCCATCGCTGTACCGGCATGCTTCATCGCTTGGAGAGTCTCGTAATTGATATTCGCCGCTTCGATCGAGTATACTTGTTGCTCGAGCTGCATGATCTGTGCTGATGTCTGCTCAAGGGTCTTCTCATGGGCCTTTTTCCGTCGTAGGGCGGCTTTGGCGGCTGCACATGACGAATGTTGTTAGTTTACTGTACGATGGTCTAAATTTCCTTATCGTTTTGTACGTAGGGAACGAGAGTTATGAGTCGTACCGTTCTTATTCGTGTTGACGTGCTTCCGTGCTGCGGCGTCTTGTTCTGCGATCTGGTTCTCAAGGTGCTTCTCTCGCTTCTGTAGCATGTCCAGCTGTCCGCGCAACATCAGGATAGCGTTCTTGGGCGCCTCCTTGCGCTTCTGGGCGGATGCGCCGCCGAACCAGGACCACATATTGTGCGATGGGGGTGAGGTTGGAATTTGGGTGGAACGGGGATTATTTGTAATTTGAGGAAATTCAGGCAGCACTGGTTGGTCTCGTGGTTGGTGGTATGTAAGTAAGTCCAGTGCGGATTAGGTAGTCAGATGAAGGCGGAGAAGGTGATAGGCACCAGGAAAACACAGGATAGGTCGGAGAGGACAAAGAAAGGGAAAAGGGTGATTTGACAGCCCGCGAGAAATGGTTGCGTCGAGGGTGCCGGTATCAGATTGAGGATTGGGAGAGATCGCTGATAAGTCTTGTGATGAAGTCCGAAATGGAGGGGAGCGGACTTTCCCCTCTGCGCCTATGACATACGAGCGGTCACGTGATTATATCAACCATCTTGGTACCTACGGTTCAACTTGCTTTCCTCTCTTCATCCCAGGGATGAATGGGCCGCGTCCCTCAACTCGTGCGTTCCTGTGCGATCTGCCATGTCTTGCTGCCGATTCGAAGATTCGTTTTTTAGGCTGGTGCGTCTCTTCTCGGACGTCCCACTGAAGGATTTATATCTAAATCACTTGCAGGGGTCTTGCTTACATGATATAACAGTGTCAGACAATATAATGTCGCGATAGGCCATCTGATCCTAGAACACAATTATCCACGCAGCAAGTCTGAATCCAGTACGGTTGCCGTGGATATTAATGCTGTCCTGGAGAGTTTGACGGCGGAGGATCTACGCGTAGGCACTTGGTTGAATGTGCTGGGCTATGTGCGAGATTCTACCACTCCGGAATCTTTTTCGAGTCAAGTGGATTCTCAAAATTTGAACAGCACCGTTCCTATCAAAGTTGCGTCTCGTCCGGTCTATATTGAGGCTGTGATGGTTTTTCCTGCTGGAGCTATCGCGTTGGGGGAATATGAGCGCATTCTTCGACATGTTCAAGATGTGGAGAGCCGTATCAATTACCGGGATGGATGTTGAACAAATATACCAATTTCCACTCTATCTTTTACGTGAAAAATGAGGTATTCGAAGTCCTTGAGGGAACAATTAATGCAATTTTAAATTAATACATGTCGTGCAACTGGAGCAATTCGTTAGACTTGACCAGTATATCTATAAACTTTTAAACACCAATGCAACATGCAACCTTAAACATTTGAATGAAGATGGGGTATCGATGCCAACGCAATCGGAACTTAACAAACCAACCAGAAAAGCACTGCCATCCTGGCCTAGACTGTCTCAGTCTTTTCCTCAGCAACAACAGCCAACTGCGCCACTCTCCTCGCCCTCTTACCATCCAACTTCTTCTTCTCCTCCTGCATGCGCATGATCATCGTGCTCTTCTGTCTGATCTTGTGTCCATACTTATAAAACACAAACGGAATCGGGATGATCATCACTTCCAGCAATCCCAGAAGAGTACCTGACCAATGCGGACCAAGGCTGTCATACATATAGGATCCAGCAAGCGGGAGTACTCCACCAAGAATACTCCGAACAACCGAGTTACCCGCCAAGGCAGACGCCGCGTACATTCCATAGCTGCCGGTGAGATAGTTGGAGGCATAAATGAAGACACCGGTGTTACCCGCTCCGAAGGGAATACCGGCAAGCAAAGGCACAATCCAGGGGATGGATGCTGGGGAACAGGTCCAGGCGAACCAAAGCTCACCAATTGGAATGAGGATAGAGCAGATGCAAATAAAAGAGACCATGGCTTCGGGTGGGACTTTACCAGTCTCGGGATCGATTTCGTGCTTGTTAATCAAGCGACGGACGAGAGGCTCACAGCCAATTGTGAGTACAACTCCGATTCCGATGCCGAGGAAAGAGAGGCCGGATAGACCGAGGGACCAGCCACGGATTTCCTGGAAGACTATGGGGTAGGCGACGAAGCAGAGGTAAAGAATACCGTAGACGATGGCGACGTAGATATCCCAGAAGATGCAGATCGGTTCGGTAACAGCCATCACGAATGGACGGCTGAGGTTCAGCTTTAGGATCTCGGTTAAACTATCCTTGCGGTCATAGCGAGACCACCAGCGGGAATCACCGGTCTCCTTGCGCAGTTTAGCGGCCTTTTTCTGTAGGAGGGTTGGACCGTATGTCTCCTTTAGAATTATAGCGAACACCAGGGCTACGCCAGAGAGGATTAGCACGATCCAACACATCCATCGCCAGCCGAGATATTGGGTGACGAATCCTCCGATCACCGGACCAATGACTGGTCCGTTAAGAGGTCCTATACTCCAGATTGAAATTGCCAACGCGCGGTGCTCATCGTCCACGATATCAGCTACCATGCCCGGTGCCGTGGATATCATGACACTACCAAAGAGCGCACCAATAAAGCGAACAACAATCAACGTCGTCACCGACTTGGCGAGGGCACAGGGAATGATCATCGCGGTAAAGACAATCATGCAAATCACGCAGACTGGTTTCCGGCCATAGACTTCACTCAATGGGGCCATGAACATGGATCCGATGGCCAAACCGATCAGATAAAATGTCAATCCCAGAGTCACGACCGTCTCGGACTTTCCGAACTCTTCACCGATTTGTGTGGTCGCCGAGGTATAAGATGTCGAATATAGCACGCTATGTATATCAGCCATAGGAACTAATGAACGGCTTGAATCCCACTTACACAAGGAGAGTGTTCCATGCCAAAAAGAAGATCCCCATGGCCTTATAGCCTATGCTCCAATTCTTCGGGTTCTCGGGGTCATCTTCTGAATCCCAATCGACTTCATAGTTCGGATCCGAGGTCGCATTAGTTGCGATTGTAGTCACACGTTCTGATAGCGACATATGGGAGGTTCGTGAGGCACGCGCTGTCAATACCTTGTCCAGCCCATCCTGATCCGCTTCGGTGTCTACCGAAGAGACAGTCTCGGCGATAGAGTCCGTGTCACGATCATTATTCCTTGGACATTTCCCATGGGCATCCAGAGAAGAGTGCAGCGACGACATCTCCTTGGATTGTTGATGAGTACAGAGCTCAATTAGGTTCAGATGATGAATTCCGACATGAACGATTGGGGATGAGAAGCCGTGTCGTTATTACAGAAATTTCAGACGCTAGAGGTGGTCCAAGCTAAGGTAAGAGCGAGTCTAAATTGAGGATAAAACAGTTTCCTGCCCTGTGGATATGGGGATCATATGTATTGCGTGGGGATTAAGTTACGGAGTACTTTTTAGATAAAAGAACGGGTAGAAACGGTAATTTCCATGAATATCAATCTGGAAAATTTTCTTAGTCACAGTACACCCAGACCATGTGGGGCAATAAGTGGGCAAGCGATAAGCCTAATTGTTGAGCAATGCCGAGTCAATAAGTTTATTCATAATATTACATACGGTGTACATTATCTACGGAATACTAAGGTATATTTACGGGATTCCAAGGTCCATTCCGTTCTGATTCCGATACCTCTCTATAACTATCTGATAAGTAGACTTCCCCGTGGGTAAGACATGGGGGTGACCCCTATCTTCCTACGGTGTAAAGTTGTCGGGATTAGCCTACAGCAACTAACGTGCCGGTTTGCCGAGATACGCAATCGCTACCTGTAGTCACGTCTAATGGGTCAAGGCTATAGTTGGATTGGAATATCATAGCATATGCTACGTGGGTGGAGACCAAATTTTCTGCGAGGCTCGGATATGTCTCCAATCATTTCTGTGAATATACTCCGTATACTGCATAAGTATCTCAAAGTATTTCAGGTCAATCGGGCATGAAAAGTTCGGATAAGCTAACATCCCGATCCATTCCAAGCGGGGGCGGTAGATGCCGATGTCCTAGACCGTAGCGTGAGAATGGTGCGGAATGGGTTCCGTTTGTTGTTGCAGTATTCCGCAGTTGGCCAGGCCCATACGGAGGTAGAGGGGCGCAATTCTTAAAAAGGTGGGCCCAACCCCGAAGCGAGGTGAAGAAAAAGGGAACAAAGAAAAAACTTCGGGGAAATCGGGGAATTTATCCATCGATGCCTTATCAATTGGGCCAACACTCGCCATGCCCTTCCTGATTCGATGCAAGTTCAACGCTCGGTCCAACCATGGCGCGTGGTGGCTCTCGTTTACCTCTAACCGAGCAGTCAAAGCTCTAAGCGATGAGATGAGACGTATTCAAAATTTTGATATAGCTAAAAATTGACTTAGATATAAATTATAATCCTTGACTCTTGACTCTAGACTCTTCACACTTTACCTTCTTTGTTCTTTCTGCGAAGACTTCTGCAAACGCCACGAGACAAAGCCATGGAGAATTGAAAAAAAAAATAGATTAACTTGACAACTTTTGAGTTCTAGATGGCCTAAACTCCTATCAAGTGCTGTCTCTCGTTGTACTACTTCTTCAGTGAAGAGGGGTGCTACTCTTCCGGCCTTCGTCCTACCATATTCACGCTTCCACAACACGATGACCTACATACTTCTGCCCGTGCTGGGCTTGGTGGTTTTATACTTACGCCATGTCAACACCGCTATGAAAAAAACACCAGAAGAAGCTCACAACCTTTCACCCAAACGCTGGACGGTCGATGAAGTCAAATCAGCTTATAAAAAAGCCAGCGAGACTCCCGTTGACGTGTCAAAGAGTCTCCCACCAAAACAGACCCGCCGCTACATCGTAGTGGGTGGATCCGGTAAGTCTCTTCTAATGACGCAAGCTCGAAATACAACATTGGTATTTCCAATGAAAACAACCCCACCATATCACTAACAACAGTCTAGGCCTTGTCGGAGGCTGGATCGTTCAGCACCTACTATGCCGCGGCGAAGACCCATCCACAATCCGCATTCTAGACCTCCTCACCCCAACAAAAGAGGTTCTGGATCTGGGAGTCACCTATATCAAAACAAACATCACCGACAAACTAATCGTCGACACCGTATTCGAGCAACCATGGCCACAATCCGTTTCTAAACTTCCTCTAACCGTCTTCCACACTGCCGCCATTATCCGTCCCCAGGATCGTCTAGAAGCTTTCCTGCCGCTATGCAGCAACGTCAATGTTGAAGGTACCCGGAATGTGCTGAACGCTGCAAAGGCAAATGGCGTTAGCTGTTTTATCTCCACATCCTCCGGTTCGGTGGGTCTTCACCGACCAAATTTTTGGATCGCGCCGTGGGATTCGTTGCCGAAGCGCGCGGTGCAGATCATCAGTGATGATGGAGCGTTACCGCAGCGGCATGATGAGTATTTCGGGAACTACGCCGTGACCAAGATTGAAGCGGAGAAGCTTGTCCGGGCATCGGATGATCAAGCGTCGAATTTCCGGACGGGGTGTATTCGGCCTGCGAATGGGATTTATGGCATTGGAAGTGATGTGGCGATGACTATTACAGGTGTTTACCTGCGTAGTGGTGGAAGTCCAACGTGAGTCCCCTTTCACATTTCTTGTCTTGAGAAATGATTTTGCGATGCGGTACTAATGTGATTGTTTCTAGCTGGCTACATCCTGTTATCCAAAGCTTCGTCAATGCGGAAAACGTCTCCATCGCCCATCTACTTTACGAGCAACGAATTATCGAGCAGGGAAAGCCCGGCTCAACAGTTCCTGATATCGGAGGCCAGGCTTTTGTGGTGACGGACCCCAACCCGGCGATTTCCTTTGGCGATCTATATACCCTTTTGGGTACGCTTGCTCAAACGCCTATCGCTTTCCCAACTGTTCAGCCTATTTATCTGTTTCTTCTTGCGTATGTCATTGAGGCATACTCGTTTGTTCAGTTCAAGTACTTGTCTTGGATTTTGCCGAAGATTACGGGTGATTTGGCGCAAATTCAGCCGTCGTTGTTTGCTATTTCGGATGTTTTTACGATTGCGGATGACTCGCGGGCGAGGATGTCGCCTGAGGAGGGTGGGTTGGGGTATAACCCACCACTGACGACGATGGAGGGTATGTGTAAGGAGGTGTTGCATTGGAATAAGAATGCTTTTGCAGATGGGGCTGCTGTTGATGAGAAGGTAGGACCTTTGCGGGTGACGGAGACTGGGATTGATGTTAATCTTGTTGCGCCGGCGAAGGTCTGATAGGGAGTTGCTTCCTTTATTTTCTTTTTTATAGCATTACTTGGAGTAGGACATTGTATATATTTTAATTGAACTTTTCTTCCATTTAAGGATTGTTCAGATTGGAAAATATCATGTGTTGCTATCAATTAAAGGCACACTAGTGCCGGGATCATTCAAAGATCTAGGACGTACATAATCTAAGTTCGACCCTGATTTGATGAGAACATTGTGTTATCTCAGTATCTGATATTCTGGCCTTCCCAGGCCATCACAATGCCGGATTACTTGCAACGACATGAGATCGGACATTTGCGAGAAAGTGTCGTACCTGCGACACCCGCAAGATAAACAGATGTTGCCATGAGACTCCGGGAAACGTCTCTAAAACGAAGACGAGGGCTCTGGCCCTGAGGCACACCGCCCAAAGGCCTGCTAACACCTTGAGAGAAAACCCCTCAGGGAGTGAGGAAGAAAGTCCAGAGGGGTCTTGCACCTGCAAACCCAAGAATTGATGGGAATTTCGAAATGATGCAATCGCATAAGAGGAAACAAATGCCTTAGCGCGACTGCTGCTGTGCCATTTGTCTCCGATGCTCCAAAATTTGCATCCGAATACCCTCGGACGCCAGTTCCACATCAAGAATAGCTCCAAGTCCCCGCTTCCAAGTCTCTTCCAGACTCGACAACTCCCCAAACCTCGCCTCCTGAGCAAGCTTCCGCTGCTTATTCACCTCTTCCGCACTCTCCTTCGTCTCGGCCAGCTCCTTCTCAAGACCGCCAAGAATGTATTCAAGCTGCGAGTTACCGACTAACCACGCGTTCTTGCCATGCTCATCGAGGAGAGTCAGGTTCTCATGGCGCTTAGACAGATGTGAACTTGATTTGTATGCGCTTTGCAGCGCCTGGCGCCATTCGTCGAGATTGGGGCTCTCGCCGGCTGCGGCGCGAACTGGGGGTTCGGGCGCCTCGTAGCGAGTTAGGTCGATTCCACCGGTGAGAGGCGCGCCGGTCGCCTTGCGCTCGAGTTCTTTTTGGATGAGAGGGGAGTAATTTGGTTCTGGGGCTGGTGGGATTGAGGGGTGAATCGTGGAGGAGTGTTCTGGCGATAATTCGGCGTTGATGAGCTGCTGAGCTCTTTGGTACGCGGAAGCCGAAGGCTCAGCGTCGACGTCTAGGCTCAATTAGCTTCAGTGTAAAAAAGCCTTGATGGAAAGAGTTCTTACAAGGTAAAGAGTCGTGAGATTCGTTAATGAGAGGCATCTTGATGTGGATTGGTGGAGACTTGAAGATTAATCTTCATTGTCGAAGCAATTGCAGCGGAAAGCGGTATGGGGGCATGTCATGTGATCATGTAGATATTGACGAATCAGCATCACGACTTCACTGTTTGTTATTGCTTCAAGCTCTTATGCAACTACAATCCAGGGTCCGATTTTATCTGGCGAATCAGATCTCATGCAAGACGATTCACGGTGTAACCATGATGACCACAGCTGCAAGACTTACCTGACAGGTCACCGCTGATCTGGATATACGAAAACCTGCCTCGCTTAAAACTTGATTCTTATTGAAAGGTCTAGACATGTGAATATTGAGAAGATCGGATTCATATCTGCACTTATTTCCGTGCGGGGAAAGTATATTTCGCTTCCTGTTTGGGCATCGGAAGTACATGACGATCACAAAAATCCCTGCAGGTTCCTTGTCCATCACACATTGTGGAATGTGACCCTCGCAATTCTTACCACGCCGAGCTAAACGATCTTCATTGTCACCTTTACTGCTTTTCTAGCCATGAACTTCCCGTCTTAAATTGTGCTCAAATATTCGTGGTTCCCCCTGTGCTTTTCCAGGGCGCATCCTGGTATCCTAGTCTATACATTTTGCTCACCCCAACATGATGAATTTACGACTGAGCGCGGCATTCGCTGCGATTGCATTGATGCTTCTAGTCTTTCTACAATTACTGGGAATGGTACAAAATACTGAGCAAGTCCCCGCATCTAGCTTTAGTCGAAACTTCAACCAGTGGCGAAGCAGAGCCAGTGCTGCGACAGCAGCTAACAATCGGTTTCTGGTGGGTGCCGGGAAGGCTGATGTGACAGGGTACAACCTCTATCCACATTGACTATAGTCCGAGAGTTAACACGCAACAGTCCAGTAGTTGAGGTTGATTTCAACGGCTATGCTAGCCTAGATCAACTTGGGACGGGTCTGCGACAGAGAATTTATTCACGTGCATTCATATTTGCAGACCCAAACACTCCTGATGATACGTTCATCTATCTGGTTCTAGATACCCTTGCAGGTGACACTGCCGTGCGACATGGGGTCTTGCAGGGCCTCGCAGCGCTTGGGGGCGACTATGCACGCTATGGCGAACATAACATTGCACTGACGGGAACCCATTCCCATTCTGAACCTGGCGCGTGGATGAACTATCTACTTCCTCAAATCCCGACCAAGGGATTCGATAAGCAAAGCTATCAGGCGATCGTTGACGGCACGATCTTGTCTATTCAACGTGCGCATGAAAGTCTTACCGCAGGGCGCCTATCTTTTGGGTCCATTGACCTTGAAGATGCCAATATCAACCGTAGTCCATACTCTTACGATCAAAACCCCGAGGAAGAGAAGTCCCGATACTCGGCCAATGTGGAGAAGACGATGACCCTGCTCCGCTTTGATAGGGAGTCTGATAATAAGACTGCGGCTGTTTTAACCTGGTTCCCGGTTCATGGAACATCCATGTACAACAATAACACCTTGGTCACTGGGGACAACAAAGGTGTGGCGGCCTATCTCTTCGAGCGCAGCATCAGTGGAGACTCCCGGTTCGCGGACGATGTGGTTATTGGATTTTCTCAGTCCAATGTCGGAGATACCAGTCCCAATATCCTGGGTGCCTGGTGTGAGGATGGCTCGGGAGAGATGTGCACATATGCGGACAGCACCTGCGGTGGCACAAATGAGGCCTGCCATGGTAGGGGGCCTTTCTTTCGAGTCAAGGACAATGGCGCCAAGAGTTGTTTCGAAATTGGCCGGCGTCAGTACTCGGCGGCTAAATCGCTTTACGAGCAGATGAATTCCAACGCGACCACAATTAGCGGCAGCTCAGGTGTCAGATCTTTCCACGTATATCAGGATCTGAATGGTTACACATTCCCGTCTCCATTTAATGGCAGCACGTTGAGGTCATGTCCCGCGGCATTGGGGTATTCCTTCGCCGCTGGAACCACCGACGGCCCCGGAGCCTTCGATTTCACTCAAAATTCGAGCAGCCCAGCCACTGGTAATCCATTATGGCTCGTTGCTCGGGCATTCATTCATCAGCCAAGTGCAGAACAGCAACAATGTCAGGGGGCCAAGGATATTCTCTTGGATGTTGGAACCCTCACACTACCTTACGCTTGGGCCCCAGACATTGTGGACATTCAGGTTCTCCGGGTGGGGCAACTGTTTCTCATCGTTTCGGCTAGTGAAGCTACGACCATGTCGGGCCGTCGCTGGAAGGAAGCTATTTCCAAGGGCGTCCAGGACACGCTGGGCATCTCTGACCCTCTTGTCGTTCTAGGTGCCCCGTCGAACAGTTACGCTCACTACGTTGCGACAGAAGAAGAATACAGCGTACAACGATACGAAGGAGCATCGACCTTGTATGGGCCGAATGAGCTTGCGGCGTACATCAATCTCACTCTGACATATCTGCCGTACCTCGGTAGCGCCCAAGATATTGCCAATCTCCCAGCCATCACCGCAGGCCCAAGTCCACCCGTCAATACCAATAACTCGCTTAGCTTCATTACCGGTGTGGTCTATGATAACGCTCCTCTTGGCAAGTCTTTCGGGGATGTGATTTCGAACCCCAGCAAAAAAAGTTACAGCCCCGGCGATACAGTTAACACTACCTTTGTGGGTGCCAACCCTCGGAATGACCTTCACCAGGAATCTACATATGCAGCAGTTGAATTTTACAACTCCACTGGCGATTGGGAAGTTGTGCGGAACGACCGTGACTGGAACCTTGTATTCCTGTGGGAGCGAACCAATAGTATTCTCGGATACAGCGATGTCACCATTCAGTGGACGATCGAAGACACGTATTACAGCGTGGACAATCCAAACACTTTGCAGGATGGGACCTACCGCATGCGCTACTACGGGGACTCAAGGGATGCCCTTGGAAACATTTCGCCCTTTGAGGGCATCGGGGGGTCCTTTATGGTGGCTTCTTAGGACTGTCATTGGATCAACAGGTTAACCCTGTGGCGTATATGAAACGAGGTCCATCGACACGTTAGTTGTATTCGTGACCAAGTAATTAGTTCCCGTAATTAATCTCCATAATTTTACTTAGTTCCCATCTACCAATTACATCGCCCAAAACCAGCTGCAGTCAAAATGTGGATTTTCTCAACCAATCATAACCAAAGATGCATAGGCGGTTACTGCAACATCTCTTTGTCGCGCGCCTTGGATCGATCTATTTCTAGTGAAACTGGTACATCTTATAATATACCCCTGGCAATGGCATTAACTCGACTTGGTTTTTCAAACAATGAGGACTGGACCATCTTTGCTATTCAAAGTAATCCAATATGGATACTAGTTCAACGCCTTGAATATGTCTCCTTTCTATTTCCCTTTCATACTCTCTTTGCATCCCATTTGGCCTCATTCTCATGTTTCCTCCGGGGCAACTCTTCTTTATTCTATAAACCGGTATAAATTATACCATGCCCCTCATTTATTGAAGTCCTGACAGCCATGCGCCGCTCTCATTGACTCTCAATGTGCCATGCCTTCCTTTGCAGACCATCCTGGACCTTTTGTCACCTGAAACTGTCTTTATATTCCACTCTTGTCATCCATTTCCCTTTAGCGTCTGCTCCAGTCTGTCGTTTAAACTTCGGCTTCTAAGAACTTCTTGGTGATCTGTGCAGATCCGCCGCAGCATGCTGCTCTTTCGCTTTTACTTTTTGCTGCTCGTGGCCTGGTCTTGCTCGGCTGGTCCGATCTCTCGTTCTGCTGTTCTTGATGACCATCCGCCTTATGTATCGCCAGCTGAGACACCTGTTTCTACGGGTACGAAGAGGCTGGCTGTCCGCGATGAGGGGGAATTAACGATCGTACCTGTTACGCCGTCTTGGATACTTTCGTCGAATACCGCAAAGACGGCTACTGTCTCTACTAGTACTTCCATGATGCCGGTGACTGAGGAACAGAGTATTGAGACTCAAAGCATATCTGTGACGCCGTCCTCTTTGGCTACCCCGAAGGAAGAAGTTACATCGGCTTTTACCTCGGAGTCGAAAAGCTCGCTTTCTACCCTGTCTTCTGTGATTCCGACAACTGTTTCCACTGCTACATCTTCGATTCTAATCTCAGGAAATGGCGATCATGTGGCAACCTCGGCTGTTGTTCACACAACGTCGAGACGTAGTGCAACTCAGGCAAAATCGAGCGAATTTCTTCACACAACTTCACCTTTATCTTCTCCATCTTCTCCTTCTTCTTCCTCGTCTTCTTCGTCTTCTTCGTCTTCTTCGTCTTCTTCGTCTTCGTCTTCTTCGTCTTCGTCTTTTTTATCTTCAAGCATTAGCAAAAGCGCCTCATCAAAGGCTTCTTTCAAAAGCGAAGACTCCACGTCGCTCATTTCATCTTTTGGTTTATCTCATACTCCGACTTTCTCTTCGGAAAAGGCGTCACCAACTATGACATCACACCATATAACAAGAACATTAACGAAAACAATATTCCCTAATGGAGTCACTCGCAAAGCTTCACTCCAAGGCAAGACCTCCACGACATCCGATAAATGTGAGGGTTGCTGGACTACCACGACCACTATCTGGTGGAACGCCACCACTGCAACGACGACGCCATCCAAAACACAAAAATCAACTCATATACGGACATCGTCTAGAGCACTGATACCGACCAAGACAGCAACACTCTCCAAAACACACACACCAACTCAAACATCAATACTGTCACAGAATAGAGTATGGCCATCCAGCACCTCAGTCTACTTCGTGACAGGCAGCGTAATCGAATATGTCTCCTACGATCAATCAACACCATACTCCACAAGCATAATCATTCCATCATCCACACAGTCCCCGAGCAAGTCTTCAGACACAGAGATATCCTTGACATCAATCAAGGCAGCAGTTTCTTCCCCAACTACTCAATCCACGTCGTCAACAGTCGAAGAATTGGAGACCGTCGTCACGGTTCACGCAACGAAAACGGCAAAAGTTACAATCACGCAGCCTGGTCGTACAATTACTGAGACTGAGAGCCCTGTAACAGTTACTGAATCCCCTGTTACAGTTACTGAGTCCCCGTTGACGGTTGTTGTTATGGAAACACCCTTGGAAACTTACACACTTGGTGTTCAGACTTCTGCTGAGACACCGACATCAATCGCTACTTCGTCTTTATCGGAGAAGACCTCATCTTCTGCTACGGCTCTCTTTTCCTCTACAATTGTGTATCCCTCTACTACCATGCACACATCTACCGTCATGCATACCTCAACAACAGTGACAACATCAACAGCTGTGGAGACATCGACATCAACAGCAGCAGTCACAAAAACAGCCACAAGGACAGAAACAGAAACCGAGACTAAGATTGGAACAACCAGCTCAGATGATGGCTTAGCTGTTGTTCCTGTCACGCCCATAGTCATTACCACGACAAAGACTGTTACTGTGACTGAGGCTACGGCTACGGTGACTACAACAGTGACTAAAACATAGTCAGCAGCATTTGAAGAGTCGAGAATTTCGAGCCGGGGTATAACCTAGCGGAAATTCATGTGGGAGATTGGATGAACTTGGACAGAGATCAATGCATTGACACGTTTCAAATTGTATTTTTTTCTTCAGTATTTGGTTGTGCATGTTTGTCAGAATAGCAGCTTGAAGTGAATGATGAACCTTGGAAGAGATGAACAATTAAACATTATTTTGAAATGTATCAACATAGATGGTGAATTCAAACTGGATTCAATTGTAATTCGATATCTTGACGTTAGCGTCCACGAGTATTGGTAACGAGCTTTGTATTGGATTAGAAAGAAAGAGTTGTATATAGAACATAGCGAAGAAATCCATTATTATATGTATTTCCTTTAGTTACAACGCAGATAAAAGACCACCGGCCTCGGCGAACTTTTGCTGATATTCCTTCAAACTAGCCCACTGGCTCAGTTCTTCTTGATCTCTTTCATAATCGCTTAAATAGCTCATAGAACGGTCATTAGTTCGCGGGCTAAGACCCTCGGTTGTACTACCGGAGTCTGTCCCTAAAGATGTATGGCCTTCAAGACGGATGAGGGTATCGATGAAAGCGCGCAAATAGGATTCTGCTTCAGCGGCAGTGAGAGCGTGCGGATTTGATGATGGGTCGACTGGGGACTGTAAAGATGGATTTGTATGCGAAATAGCGTTTGCCGATTGGGTTGGCTTTGGGTAGTGAGGTATGTTGAGGAGGGTTGATGCCACTAGACGAATTTTACTAGTCTATTGCATGTTAGTATAGTTAGAGTGGTGTGTATTGGTGAACTTACGATGCTGGCTCCATTAGGCTCCATGTTGACTTCGTTGACAGTTCGTAGGAGTACAAAAAGGTCCTTAATCACTAGTTTGCGCTCTTCGGCCATCATGCGGCCAATGCAATCGGTCTGTGCATCTTCAAAAGTGTGGGAGAAAACTTTCGAGGGACTTGTAGAAGTGGCATCTGATTTTGTGTTCAAGAAGCTCTCTGTCTTGATGGGTGGGATTGCGTTGAAAATCACGGACTTAGCTGGATTTCCGAATTTGGTGTAAGTCTCGTAATAATTCCAGTATTTCTCAACCAGCCAGGACCGAGTGGATAGTTGGCTAGCGTATATATTGGCCTTTTGGATTTCGTATTGGATGGCTCGTCGTTCTTGGTTGATATGGTCATCAGGGTATTTAAAGATCGAACCATCTTGGCCCATTCTAGAGAATATGTTGGCTTGTTTTGGGTGAAACACTGATAACTCAACAGGAACATCTGAAAGAGCAGACTTGGCTTTTTGAAGACATTGCCAAAGACTTGAGCGCTGGTGTTCCCAATTGAAGATTTGACCGCTGCCAAAGGCAGTCTCCCAGGCCAACAGGGCGTTGTATGAACTGTACACCCGGACGTTTGCATTGAAGCCAACTAATTGCGAGACTCGGCCAATAGGCTGTTGATCCACGTGATCTGGGAAAAGAAACTCATCATCGACTTCGAGTGGAAATGGAGGGTAGCGCTCCGTAGGAGTTTCTGGAGGTACGTGCATCTTGATGTCGGATGAGCCAAACTGAAGTAGAGACTGATATCCAACCAAGGATACATAAAAGAGACGACGGCCAAGCTCTTGCGTGATTAGATCCACATTTTTGTTATCAGTGAGACCCGGCGGGGAATCGTCCCGAGACATCCCTGGAGACATTTCTGATGTGGGAGACATTGGACTGACCCCATCCACGGCTAAAACATAAGGGAGACCTGATACAGTAGGTTGATTTGTAGGAGAGCGGCAAAGATCATATACCTGCAGCATGGTGCGGCATTCAGCCAAATAGATGCGACACCGACGCATGCTGTAGACGTAACCTGCACAGACACCCAGAAAATAACTGATAGCGGCGTCGTAAACGGTTGCATTTCGGTCAAGATATCCAGTACCTCGGGCCTGGATAGCAACATCATGGCACCGTTTTACCAGCGCGATCGAGTTCGGAAAGGCGAAACGTTCGGCTTCAGTGTTGAGTCTTAGTTTGGGTCGCCGGGGGAAGGATGCGACGAGAAACCCAATCATCGAGGCCAGAAGAGCCAGAAATGTACCACTGGTAGCATCTTCTCGACGCTCGAAAGCAGCTCGAAAAGTAGGCTCGTGAGGAATTGGGACCAAGGGATGGATGTAAGTAAAGAAATCGTCAACAAGCAGCTGCACTGTATGCAAAGAACAGATAGCCTCTGCCGAGGTCGGTAAAGATGACAGTGGTGTTTCCGCAGCCCGGTATGTTGAAGCCTGGGAAGCTTGCGGAGTTGTTGCAAGCAGGATGTCATTCAGACTGGCCGGTGAAGCATCAGGCGGGGCCTCTAATTTCTGCTTCTTCAAGGCCTCTGCATGGCGATTTGGGGGCCCACGGCGTCTACTCGGCCGCTCGTATGTACATGGTATGTCCAAGCCAGCGCAGCTCCGGCAAGGAGGGCCACTGGCATCACACTTACATATAATATTAGTACCTCGGCAGAAAGGTTTCTGGGGGGAGATTCACCTTCACCTTGCGGATGCTGCAGGCATCGCAGGCTTTCCGCAACCTGGTTTTAGTGTCCATCCGTACGGAACTGGCTTAGCCCAACCGCGACAGTAGATTCAGATCATGGTCATGTGTGAAGTTGTATAAGCTTTGACGATGCAAAGCCAGGTACGTGCAGACACTGCGGGGGACCCTTGAGCGACCCACTTGAACCAAGTCGCGTGGAGCTATTGTGTGAACGTGTGCCGTGCCACTCCGCGAACTAGTTTCGTACCCTTGCTAGTACCACGAACGAGTGACCGCGAGACCTTTCCCGCTTCAGTTTCAACAAGGAACTAATTGAGTGGATCCCGAGATATCAGGTATGGCGGGTGAGGACCCTAGCGTGCACAGTTTTTTTTCCGGTGGGGTGATCTTCTTAGGGGCATGACAGCTTCCTCATTCAAGTGAATTAATGTTAGGCGCATCGGCGCAGACCCGTTCGGAAGTGATGGCGGTAAACGTTGACCGAACCTCGGATAGGGATGGTCACGTGCACGCAATCCGGGGAGAGCTAATAAGGGTCCAAGATATAGATAACAATGAATCTATGATTGGGTAGTGAGTCACTCGAGGCTATTGTATTTCCACAGTACAAGCAAATATACAGAAGGAGCGAGTATTATTACAAGAGGGGCCACTACAGGCCCACTGTTCATGCGACATTATGTTAAACCGTGAAATCATCTTGATAGGCATCACCCAGCCGCGTAGGCCGCTGGTTAGCAATCTGTCGTTTCTGCTCCAGCTCCGATGCCCACAGCGCAGCACCAGCTGCGGTAGTTATTAAAAACAGCATGGAAAAGGGAGGGATTAATTGCAGAATCAAAGCAACAGTTCCGAACCTATAAAAATTAGACACGAAGAAAACAATTGGGCAATAAATGAATGAACATACGTAGTGTACTGCAACTGCCGCCGACTCACACTAGCTTTCCGCTCCTGCTTAGTGAAATCCAGGAGCTGGAAATATCGCCAGTGATGGAAGGGTCCACCTCGATACCCAGTGAGAACGAGGAACATGGGAACTCCAGCCACAGGAATCAAATTCAACGGCAACAAGACAATGAATTCGAGAATCTGCCGTAAGGAGAATGGCGCATAAACCGCACTGGTTGTTGGCGTGCCAAGACGGCTGGTCGGGTCCCCAGCTTCAGGATAAATCACCCGCGAAGCGAGCACAAGCTGTTCCTGTCCCTCATTCACCAGGACGGAATCAAACACATCCACCAGTGTTTCATCGACGAAAAAGGCCTCAAACAATGCAGCCACAATCGCGGAACCTTCACCCAGCACCAGGAATGCACCGCTCACCCATGCTCCGGCTCCTTGGAAGAGAGCCAAGAAAGCCACTTGTGGGAGGTATGTGAAGAAGAATAGAAGAAAGTAGACGAAGCTTGAGAGGAGCACAATAGGTACAAGGCGCGCCCTAAATAAGGGCCAGAGGAAACGGTGGGTCGCAAAGTAATGGATACCCTAGTCAAGCAAGGTTAGTATCAGCTAGTAATGAGGGATTGTAGAGGAACTCCAAATTCATACCCTAAGAGGATACAGCCATGCTGCCCGATTCGGATCCCAAGGTCGTGGCGACATGATCCAAGATTGGGAATAATGGAGCTTGTTGCCTGTTGGGGAGACCTAAAGGTACTGTAATCCGGCTTCGGTTCTCCTGTTATCGATAAAATGATCACGTGTACGCTGAGTCAGCAGTGACTATTTTAGGACTGAAATTTTTCTCCTGGCGCTGTTTCCTTTTCTTCTTCACATAAAACTATACTCCTCCCTATTCACTTAAAAATCCACCATTGCAATGGGTTCTTTGAGGGGAAAAGGAAGGACAGACTGACTCTGCTGGCTTACCCCGAATGCTTCTTTCTACGTGGAGCATCTGGAAATATTAATCAGCGGTACATCCCCTTTTCCAACTGCTCTTGGGTTTCAATAACATAAATGAATGGAGTCTTTACTTTGAACATAACATATTCCTTGCTTGAAAAAGTGGTTGACAGTAGACCGATGGTTACATAAGGGTTTGAAGCCGTTGTGGTCAATGGGAAATTGATCCCTGATGTTCCTTGATCTCTTTCACAACCTGCTCCAAACTATGAACGATCGCTGTAGGCCTCAGCTCCGGAATAGCAGCATCTTGCCACCCTGTGCCAGTGCGATCAATCCAAATTGCCTCCAGCCCAGCGCTGCGTGCCCCCACAATATCCCACGCGTTGCAGCTGATCAACCATATCTCATTCATCTGGGAAGGCTGCTTGCCGACCATTCGGGCACAATGCTGATAGCTGGCAGGTGCTGGTTTGTATGTTCTCACATCGTCGACGGTGATAAGGTCCTGGAATACACTGGCGTGCTGGGATAAGTCTGGAGAGTGCATCACCGAGTTTGAGATCATATCTCTCGTACCATTGGAAAATATTACAGCGTGAAGGGTCGAGTCATTTGCGATTCTGTTGAGCGCTGAGCTTACATCCGGGAATGTATATAGTCTGTTATATGCTTCCATTATAGCGTGGATGTCTTTGTCCGGGAGTTGTTGACCGTGCTCATTTAGTGCTTGTTGCAGCGAGTTTCGGGTGACGGTGTAGAAATTTTCGTATTTGTCTAGATATATCCCTGTTAGGTGGTCACTGAAGGTAGTTAAGTCTGCTCACTCATGCTATTCAGTCTCCATGTATATTCCAGCTGATATCGGCGCCAAAGGGTCGAGATAGATGATGCTTGAGCTCCGAAGTGTGTGTCCAGCTGCTTGGCAATGGAGTCTGTAGACAACAATGTGCCGTACATATCAAACGCAATAATGGTTTTTGGCATGGCGATCAGAGAGTGACGTGAATTAGCGAAGTGTGTGAATACTAAGAGCGATTAACAGAGGAATACTCATTTTGTGGAGCGTGGATGATGTCAATCTTCCGTTGGCGGTCCGCGGGGTCACAACTTTCCTCCAACTCCAATTCCAACTTGGACTCCAACTCCTCAAACCGGAGAATTCAAAACCATGAGCTCAATATACCAATGACACATGAAAATTACACAATCTTCCGAGAATGTCTCTCGAGCGCAATCGTCGCGCGCTCCGAGAAACCCACCTCCAAACGCAGAACTAAAGTCAAGCGCAATGGACGTAAAGAAATGACCGTGACGAAGACCGAGGTATTTTCCGAACGAGCAAGTCCTGAAGAACTGGCCGAATTTATCGATGTATGGAGACACAATATTCCAGTAGACCGCAATAAAGCAAAAACTAATCATTCACAGTTCATTGCCTCCGAAACCTTCGATTCCTTCCCCGAAGATCTGAAAACACTTTCCTACGCCGCAATACAGCATAATGCGGAACTTGCGAAGAAATATATTCCACGCGATAACGACACACCTCTTGACCGTGCGGTCCTCGATACAATCTGCATAGTAACGCCCGTCGAGGTGACGGACTCTTTATCTGTGTACGGACTTATTCCCGACACGGCTGATTTCGCGGATTTCATATCTCCGGTTTTGTCGGAGTATATTGGTGGTGTTACGAGTGGTCCGCCAGCGTGGTCTACGACGAAGACGGATGCGTGTGAGATCTGTGAGCGGAATTGGATCCCGTTGTCGTATCACCATTTGATTCCGCGAGGTGTGCATGCGAAGGTGATGAAGAAAGGGTGGCATGATGAGTGGATGTTGAATAGTGTTGCCTGGCTTTGTAGGGCGTGTCATAGCTTTGTGCATCGGATGGCGGGGAACGAAGAGTTGGCCAGAGAGTGGTATACTGTTGAGAGGATTATGGAGAGGGAGGATGTGAGGGATTGGGCGAAATGGGTTAGCAGGGTGAGATGGAAGGCGACATGACGATACATTGGTAGTTATTGTTCATGGCGGACGTATAAGTGTATATTATTGATCTATTCAAGACGATATGTCGTGGGATTGGAATTTTGGGTTATGATACAGCATTGTCAGGTTATATCCAGTGGTAAAACGCCCGACCCAGATGCAAGCCATGTCGAAAAATTGTATGGTACATGAAACGGGGCTAACAGAAGGCCCCTAAAGTGCGAACAAATCAAATCTAGAAATACATGCGTACAGATCACTGGGGATCTCAGAGGTAGCGCTTTTCGTGAATCTCCTCGTAGCACTGGATGTGATCGCCAACGGCAAAATCAGCCCAGCCCTCGAATCCGATACCACACTCGGTGTCTTTTCGCATCTCAGTAACGTCCTTCTTGACGTTCTTCAGCGAAGTCATCGTGCCTAGTTCAAGTTAGCAAAGTCGAGCGTTGAAAAGCGTAGATGGGATGGGTATATGCTCACCATCGTATACAGTCTCGTCACCTCGGATGACTCTGACCTTACGGGCTTTGTTGACTGTGCCGTTACGCACACGGCAACCCGCAATAGCGATCTTATCACGTCCCTTGACGGTGATTTCAAAGATTTGGCCAATCTCGGCTTCACCTGTGACACGCTGGGTAATGGTCGGCGCAAGATATTGACTCAGGTCGGCCTTGACATCGTCGATGAGTTTATAGATAATATTGTGGTCCATGATCTTCACGCCTTCTTGCTCCGCCATGCGCATCATGTTAGGATCAATGGGCATGTTGAAAGAGATGACTCTTCCTTTAGCAGCAGCAGCATGCTCGATATCGAACTCTGCGACGGGGCCAACTGCCGAGCGAAGAATGTTGGCATAGACTTCGTTATTGCCAATGGCAGCCATGGAGTTCATGACCGCCTCTGCAGAACCATCAACATCGGCCTTGATGATGAAATTGATCGCCTTCGGGCCAGTTGGTTCTGCAACAGCACTAGGCGCGTCATCAGATTGAGACTCCTCGAGCTTGCGCTTTTCAGAGAGTTCTCGTCGCGCCTCGTTAATGGCAACCATATCCTGGCCAAGCTTCTCAGTATCAGCCCGTTCCTGACGATATTCCACAACATCCTTAGCCTTCTGCTCAGTGGGCGCCTGAAGAATCTCAGCACCAGCAGCAGGCTGGTCTCTCCAGCCATCAATCTCGATGGGCATTCCTGGGGTTGCTTCACTGACGGTCAAGCCAGCCTCGTTACGCAAAGTGCGCACTCGAGCCCAGGTATTACCGGCAACAATGATATCACCCGGCCGCAGTGTACCACGACGGATAAGAGCTGATGCGACTCGGCCATAGGACTTGGTCGAAGCCTCAAGGACCCATCCCTCGACGTTACCGGTCCTTTGAGCCCGGTGGTCAAGCATCTCCGAGAGGGCACCAATAGCCTCTTCAAGCTCAAGCATACCCTCGCCAGTCTTACCGCTGACTCCGATGGCTTGAACATCACCACCGTAATCTTCCACGTGGACACCGTGGACTGACAAATCTTGTTTCACTCGATCCGGGTTGCGGCCCTCCTTGTCAATCTTGCTCATGGCAACAATGATAGGAACGTTCGCCTGTGTTGCGTGCTTGATGGCTTCAATGGTCTGTGGCTTCACACTGTCATCGGCGGCTACCACCAGAACCACGATATCAGTGACGTCGGCACCGCGACGGCGCATTTCCAAGAATGCCGAGTGTCCAGGAGTATCCAAGAAAGTAATCAATTTTCCAGAAGGCATTGGCACAGAGAATGCGCCAATGTGCTGAGTGATACCACCGTGCTCAGTCGCAGCAACGGATGATTTGCGCAGCCAGTCCAAGATAGTAGTCTTACCATGGTCAACATGGCCCATGATAGTTACCACAGGCGGTCGAGTTGGCCAGTCAGAAACATCTTCTGGCACTGGTTCAGCCTCAATATTATCCGCCCCAGTATCGAAGATAGCTTCATAGTTGTACTCAGCGGCGACCAACCCAGCAGTCTCGGCATCCAGCACATGGTTGTATTCGACATCCTCAAAGCCCATTTCCTCCATGCGTGCAATAAATTGAGCTGGCCGGACGCCAATGACATCGGCTAGGTTGTTAACACTAATGAATTCAGGGAGGTAAAGAGGTTGAGGAGCAGCACGCTCCTCCTCCTTCCTCGCCTCTCTCTTAGCTTCTTTCGCCTTCTTGCGCTTGCGTGCCTCGCGCCGCTGTTCACGTTCCTCAGCTTCAAACTCCGCGGACTCGGAATCCCGCTGCTTTCCTCCATCACGGCGCTTCGACTTTTTGACATCCAGTGGAATATCTTCCTCACCTTCACCCGACTCTAGTTTCTCTAGCGCAGACATATCCCAGGTCCATTGGTCAACTTTATCCACTTTGTCGACTTTGGTGACTTTCTGTTTCTCGACTTTCTTTTTCTCAGCCTTGGCCATGGATTCCTCAGCCTTAGGTTTATCCTTCTTCGGCTGTGCAGCAGCTTCTTGGGCCTGGAGTGAGCGCTGAAGCAATCGCAGCTTGGCAGCTTCCGCATTATTCCGCGGTGTCCGCGCCTCCTCTGCTGGTAGTTCTGGCCGCGGTGTATGACAGAAAGGACAATCCGAGTATTTTTCAAAGACATATCGTTGGCAACCGGGGCAGTCCCAGTCGGTTGGTGCCCGCTGCGGGATTCTTTGCCTTGGTTTTTTATTCCAGCTGTTTCGATTTCCCGAAGGCTCCCGGTTATTATTGCGTTCGTTTCGTTGGTTTGAGAGTTCCCGGTTGTTATTCCAGTCGTTTCGATGACCCGAGGGTTCCTGATTGTCAGTACGTCGTTGCCGTTGCTGGAAACCGCGGTTGTCGTCTCTGTCAGCAGAATCCCCGTAGGAGCGCTTGGCCCATCTTTGATTCCGTAGAGGATCCGATGAGCGCTCACGTTCTGGCGCTCGTGGTGGGGGTTGGGGTGGCTTGCTTCTAGCAACCAGCGCGTCTCGCAATGTCTGCTCCGCGGCACTCAGACCTGTCGATTGCGTTCCTCCAGTACCCCATTTGCTTCCAAATTTGGGGGCTCCGAACTTGGGCGCAAAGCCGGAAGTTTTCGGAGTGGTCGCAGATCTTCCATCACTTTTATTATCCCCGGGTTCCGAGTTTCGATGCGATGCAGAGGAGTGAAAGCTCCGTGGAGAGAAGGTCGAGGTTGAGGCCGTTACGCTGGTCGAAGAAAGCTCGACGCGGCGTGAAAACTGGACAAAATGTTAGATCCTCAAACAGTGTTATTATTATGAAGGCCATCTCACCCTTGTGACCGCTCGCCTGTGCATTGCTTGTCTTGTCTGCTCTACTGTTTAGCAACTGTCAAATGCAGAACTGATTGCGGTCGCTTACGTAAGCTCTCGGTCTCACACAATATGATTGGTGGATCAATCAAAGAGACTGTATCTCCTGTTAATCCATGTATATTGCTGTTGCTGTATGAGCTCGAAACATGATATAAATAAATTTTGTTGTACTAAAATACCAGTAGAGTACCTGGAACTTGACTTGTGGGCTCTGTCTTTGAGTACAAGTGTGATGGACTTCCTATGCAGGTAATCCTGGAACCCAGAAAGAACTGGCGCTGGTGTCAGCTGCGGCATCAAGGCATCAAGTGATCAAAGTGTTGCACAGCATAAAGCCAAAAAAGACAGTACTCCCGTTGGCTAACTACGTAACACTAGGTAGATGACTGTTGCAACCATCAATGATCCAAAAGAATCGTTCTCAATGAAATAATGACCCGCAAAAGATATAAATCTGACGACTAGAAAATTCATGGTTCTATCACAGATACTGGAGCTAGAAGATCCGTACATTGATCGCTCAAAGTCTATTTTATTTCCAAATGTGCACAACTAATAGAACATTCAATTGAATCATTTACTCAAATCCAACGAGACTCTAGGATTCCTATGCTTATTTGGCCATCCTGCCTGGTCCCACATGATGCTCATCCTAGAATTACCCGCTTCATTGACTCTGAAGGTAGCTGTAGTGGGTTGGATCCAGGTGAGTAATAAATTGAGGCGTTCAACTCATGTATCTCCGCTAAAATTCATTAGTATCTAGTCATCAAGGCAATCTACAATGTCTTTTTTCATCCCTTGAAGGACTACCCCGGCCCGCGAAGTATGGCTGCTAGCCGGCTTCCAATCACCTACGCAAGGTTAGCAGGCCACTCTGTATATTTGACCCTGCAGCTTCACCAAAAATACGGCCATGTCGTCCGTATGGGTCCAAATGAGCTGAGCTACTCCGATTCAAGCTCTTGGAAAGATATATACGCCAGTCACCCATTCCGACCCGGCGGTATGCCGCCAGAGCGATCTGCCGCCGAGACCTTTGAGAGGAAGAACACCACCCGCTCACTTGTTAACGTCCGGGACAAAGAGCATTCAAGAATGCGTCGGGCCTATGGGAGAGCACTTACGAAACAGGCACTTCTGCAGCAGGAGCCACTCATACTTGAGCATATTTTGGATCTTATCAGAAAGCTGGAAGAACAAGAGCATTACCGCATCAATATAGAAGACTTGTTTACCTTTCTTGTAGCGGATATCACCATCCATTTTCAGCTTGGGAGCCACCTTCACATACTTGATGATACCACTCGCCAACCCTGGGTAAAAAATATGATTGGCATGATACGAAACTCTACAATACTAGGGATCCTTGCGGAATTTCCTCTTTTCGGAGCCATTTTCCAACTAGTGCTTCCCCTATTGATGAAGCAGGCACGAAACATTCATTTTGGATGGATGACAAAAACCCTCGATGATCGCTTCGCTACGGAGTCAGATCGGCCCGACTTGGTGCATTTGGTGGTAAACCATACTGGAGCAGAATCATCAGTGTCAGAAGCAGAGTTTCGAGCCAATGCACCCATATTTTTCCTCGCCCAGACTGAAACAACTACTACGGCACTAAGTGGGCTAATAGCTTTGCTACTCAGTGAGCCGTTCATTCTCTCTGAATTACAAACCGAAGTCCGCTCGAATTTTCAAACTATCTCAGACATCAACATGGCAGTGATTGAACGAATGAAAGTTCTCAACGCATGTATCAGTGAAGTTCTTCGGGTTTATCCACCTGGGCCATCGTCAGTACCACATGTAGTACCACAAGGAGGTGGAACGATTTCCGGCAGATGGGTTCCAGGCGGAACTCGAGTGTATAACTCTATGTTTGCCACCTTCAGGTCCTCTGAAAATTTCCATGATCCAGAATTGTTTCTTCCTCAGCGGTGGTATAAGGAAACGGACGAACAGTTCTTGGCGAATGACAAGGCATCATGCAGGCCGTTCTCTATGGGCCCAAATGAGTGTCCCGGTAGACAGTAAGTCCAGTATTCGTACTGCTGAGTTCATGTTTAATCTTCAATGTTGAACTAATATTGGTTGGAATAGCATGGCCAACCAGCTAATGACCATGATAATGTGTGGGATAATATTGCGTTTTGACTTTGAACAGGATACAGAGAGCAAGCTATGGTTTTCCAAGCAAAAGGCATGGACGTTTTGGAATAAGCCACCTTTGATGATGAAATTGAGAACTGTCAAGACCGGTGTCTGATGCAAGGGTGAAAGATGGATCTGATACGTGGTTTTGTCATTGTGCAATTCGTTGCCTTATTGAGTTGGAACATCTCAGCACAAGTCGTCACCAAAAGAATGCTTAGTTATGTGATGATTTTATCCATATAAGAAAAGGTTGCAAAGTATTAAGTAAACACGACTGCTGCTGGATTCGACAACTATTCCGAAAAGTCTTTATAAATATGTAGATACGAGTCAAGCTCATAAGACCACTCCGCCAAACCGTCTATCAATGAATAAAGAGACATAAGAGGGGGTAGACTGTGATCTATCTCGTCTCTCGATCTTTTTTCAGCTTATGTTTTTCTATATTGTCAATCAAATCCGCCATATCATATTACTAAGCATCATTGGTCTAGTGGTAGAATTCGTCGTTGCCATCGACGAGGCCCGTGTTCGATTCACGGATGATGCATTTCTTTTTGTTGTTTTAGTGTTACTTTCCTCACTTTATATAGTCTTGGACTTGTTTTTTATGACTTGGTCTCTTAAGAGGTGGCTAGTTAGATTGCGTATCAATTTAAATCACATAGCCAGCGAGAAATCCCCAAAAAAGTCTTGCCACGCAGTAGGAAAATAAAACAGATTTAGACCGGGAAAGTCCCACTCCGAAACAAATTGTTCCGGTACAAACCACTGTAAATCTGCCTGCGCATCAAACAGCTCCCAGAACGGAGACGTCGCCGTCGTACCGCCAGTACTCGGTTGCTGCGATTCTCGTAAAGCACGTCCATATTTTTCAATACTAACCTTGAGAATCTGGAGATAGATGTTCCCCGCTCCGGTTTGATTAGTATCAGAGCCTGCTTTGCTCAATTCATGAACGAGCCGGTTACCATGTTCCAGAAGCTCCTCGTGTTCTTCGTCGCGTTCAGGTAGGAGTCGGGAGAGTTTCAGGAGGAGGAGGAATGCGAAGGCACATTTTGCCCAGACAAAGTCCATCGCGTATTTAAGTTTAGCGAGATAGAAGTCTGGCTCGTTCACCATTAGACGAAGATGTCGTCGAGCGCTGGATTTGGCTGTGTGGAGAATTTTTCGTTCAGTTGGGGACATGGTACTTTTTTGGATGTCAGTTTTAAAATTCAACATGGGGAGATGGAATGCATACGCAACGTTCTCAACGCCCATAGCTCGAAGGGCTTTGCAGTTTAGCATCATCTCAGCCCAACATTTTTGTACTCTGAGGGCTGCCAGAAGGAACGGTCTTTCCTCCTGTGCGGCAATTGAACTCTCTATGATGGCGTTAGAAATAGTAAGTGATTGTGTATTCGCTAGCGTCACCTATAATTCGTAGCCAATCACTGTAGGGGTCAGCATGAGTTTCTCCAGTCTTGGTATATGACATACTCAAACCAAATGTCCAAATCCACCTTCATTTCATGAACGAAGTCCGAAATGTCTGGACCATCAAGTTTTGTTCGAGGTCCCAGGCTATCATTAATAGTGGCTATTAAGTAGTCAGCGAGAATGACCTCCAGCCCGAGGTCGTTTCTCTCATACCTCTCATAATATTGAGCTACCAGAAAGCTGTCAGAAAATTCCATAGATAATTAATTTGTCTTCATTGAACATACCTCAACTTGAGAAAACAATCTCAGATCAAGCACCGTCGTCGAAGGATGGCTAAGAAGAATCCGACTCCGTCTTGAATTCCCCAGCAACCGAATCCCAGGGGGCTTTCCTCCATCAACACGAAATCTGCCCAAAAGAAATCAGCACTAGTCTCCTAAAACCCACAAGAGTAATTCACATATGCTCCAAAACCAAAAGTCCAAACCAAGTCCTTGACTTCCGCATCAAATCTCTCTCTTTCTCAAAGTCATGATCCGGCACCCCTGCCGCATCTTCGTCGTTCCTGTGCGCTAGTCGTTCACTAAGCTCCTCAAATGCCTCGTGGAGTTCAAGATCCAGTGCCATCCGCGTAGCGAATGATAGAATGAGAAGTCGCTCTGCGGAGTAGCATGCTACAACAAGCATCGCCTGAATGGACTCGAGACAGTTAAGTCCTTTGTTTTGGATTATGACATTGATCCATTTTTTGAGTTCGGCGTGGAGCATGTCTGAAGTTGGGCCGCCAGTCCCTGTAAGTATTGTTAGTTGATACAAGGCTGCAAATGTTTATGTGGTAGTTTCCGGCTTCTTTACTTGTTTCAACCATGCAGCCAACGGTGCAGATGGCGTTCAAGAGAATACTGCTTCGGGATCGGACGGAGTCAAAGCTATCAAATTTTGGGTCGAAAATCGGAATATATCTGTCCTGTTATTTGAGAGAGGTTAAAATTGTCCCATATCCAAACAATACTTGTTGAGTCCAAGGTTGATACTTACACAACCTTGGAAAAAACTTGAAACGTCAGCTAGGGCTTAGATATGCATAGAAGTGTATCAAACGTACGTGTTAAAGCATGAGACTGCGCACTCCGGTGTTATAAGTCCCTTGTCAATAAAATCTGCAATTGACTCTTCTCGAATCTCAAAGCAGGAGCGCTTCCGCTTATTGGGTCGAAAATTGTCTTCATTTGACGGCTCATACATTGGAGCCACTGTCGTGATCCCATTTGGAGAAACATCCGACACAGATCTTTGGTAATGATGTGAGCCATCCATATACTCAGCTGAGCTTGGGTGGACCGTAAGAGCACCTACACCATCTTGCTGGTGAGGGTGAGTAAACTGGGATGCCGAAGTGCAGGCACTACCGCGGCGTATATCTCCTTGATGATATAGCTGTGGAGAGTCAATACCATGCTCTTGAAATCCTGTATTTTGGTTTATTTGATGCTGGTTAATCAATGCTTGCATATCATCAAGTTGTCGTCGCAAATATTGAACCTCGGACTCGACGCCCTCAAGCCGCCTGGAGATAGGTCAGTTGGTTGTTTTGGCTGAGATGAAGACATTCGTGTCATACTCCGAGACAGGGTCTTTAGGTATCTCAAAGAATATGCATTGCTTATCGATCTTTTGACATCTGAAACATTATCAGGGCCCGTTCATGCATAACGCAGTAGTGGCACTGCATACCTCCCACAAGGCCGATCTCCATCGCATTTAACCTAAAGCGGAGTTGGTGAGCTTCTCAGTCATGTTAGCTTCAAGTTTTCGATAAAGAACTTACCTTAGACTGCCGACAGGCACTACACGCTTTCTAGACAATGGGACATGGGTGTCAGGGCGCTTCAGAGAACAGGGCCGAGGTCCGAACTCCGGGGTAGGTCACATACAGGGATACGCTTTTTCCCGATCGGCACTGGCAGGACATGCAAAGAATCATCGTCGTGCATTGTCAGATTACCCGTTACTTTGTCAGTCAATGAGAAGATGATCACCGCGTGATCTCAAAACGCAGGGTTCGGGTCTTCCTCCGCTGTACGGAGTTTGCGGGGGTTGGACCCACTCAACAGCCACTGACCCAAGCGCTATCGTTCACCTCTGCGTAGCGGACCATGCTGTCCTGGTCATCACCATACTGAAGTTATTTGCCGCCATGAATGAAATTCATCGATCTATCCATTTAAAAGTCCTAGAATTTAGCATACGGTGGACAACTTGGAAATTCAACTGATCCGCTGCTATATTTCCACCCCCGAATATATTTCCGAGGATAAGATATTGGTTCAAGTCGTACCTGTCACATACCTATCTTGGTATATGCTTGTATAATTTACTGCCCATGATACCTCTTGAATGTGAAGGCATTCTTGTCAGTTTACTTATTTGAGTTTTTAACTAGCCCGATCCCATGTTTCGCAGTGCCTCCGCCCCCTCTATTTTCTGCACTGCACTAAAAGCGCGCGATATCTCCATCAAGTCACGACAGATGTCGTTAATCATGATGCGAGATGAAATTCGATCACCAGCAAGGTGCCTATTGTTGTTGACAACACGGGAGATACTTTTGTTTTTATTGAGAAAGAGGTTGGCAATGCACTACGTGCTGCCAGTCCATATTTACCAGTCGCTACATTTAGTGCTGAGGAAGAGTGTAGACTTACAATTTTCTAAGACTCACAGCACTTTGGGCTTGGTGAGTTCTCAGGGTGCGAGAGTTTTTTACCGACACGACTAACACGTTGTTTCCATCGCTAGGGTCAACGAGTTATCCCCACCTCTATCTCCCAAGCCAACTTCGCCAAAAAGAGTCATATTGAAGCCCCGCAACTTTTTTTCCTGAGTGGAGTGATGCATGAAATAGCTCTAGATAGAATACTAGATGGTACCAGCCACAGATCTTTCACTTCTTACGCATACTGATCCATAAGCCTAGCATTTTGTGGAAAGGTCAAGCCAGAGTGGACGGAGACTGAAAGTGGTACCCGATCAGCTGAAGGATATATTATGGTAATCTTGTTTCCTTCCTGCCATATCGGCACTCGCTCGATACAACACCATGGATATAGTTTGCCAATCTACGGCTAGGATACGGGAAGATTTATTGACAAAGGATAAGACCTAATGTTATCGAAGCTACCGGGGGCTAGCATCCTAGTACTACTGTACTAGTCCTTGAATGTTATCGGAAAGACTATTGGATATTGTCATCGTACATAGTGCAAACTTCCCATGTACACAGCTTCAAATTTAGTCGAGAGGGGTTAGGATGCGATAGGCGTAATGGACGACCACTTTGATGCGATATTCAAGGTTCCTTCCAAGCAGCTGACCGCCAAGCCAGCAGATGGTGGTATGCACTGGCAAGCTATTAAGACCATGCGGGTTCATATCTGCTCAACCCACAAAGCTCCTGAACGCCATGCTGTGCCATACATCATGGTTGCGAAGATATTGCAAATGAGTACAGAATTTCCCTGGATGACTTCACGATTAGAATCCTGCCATCGGAGATACGTGCGGAGAACTGTGGCCGGATTAACATGTCTGTGTGGGTGTTGAATACTAGTTTAATTAGCATTGAAGTGACACTCACATGTGTATCGCCTGGGGATAGATGTTAATGAGAAAAAAACATTTATAAGGAGTGATCACTGTTGAATATCCTGCCATTTTGAACCAAGTGTATCTAACTTCTTGCGAAGTAACGACGCCGCATCATCAATACCGGCACCTGAAGTTGTAGAGACTGGACAGAAATGCTATGGAGAGAATGTCAGTGTAAATGACGCGTTTAGTGAAAAAATTCGCTTACCCAATCCACATCTAGTGCATCCAGTTGTAGTAATTCAACCTGTTCCTGGGCTTTCTGTTTATCCTATTATCATAATAGCGGAGAACCTAAATTAGTTGAAATCCTACGAATACGCCGCAGCGGGGAATAACATACCAGTGGCTCCCCTCTAAAATTGACCAGAATCAGCCATGGAATCCCTTTCTTGGTTGTAGGGTAGAAATCCATCGGTTTAGAATTGACTGTTCCCTTCGCAGATAGCTCCAAGCAATCCTTGAGCATATGCCGTATATATGGATTGAAAGCATCGGCGACCACAATAAAAGCATCTGAATCTGAGAAAAGCAAGCCATTTGCTACAAGCCAGCGCTTGGGACCGACGATGCCCAGGTAGCCAAGTCTGAAATCGAATCTATATTTGCGATTACTGCCTGTATAAGCCGATGCGCCCGAATCCTGATCTGGGACATAGCGGTTGATCGGGCTGTCACTGAGATGCTGTAGCAAAGCCTTGTCACTCTCAAAATCGTCCTCACTCACGATGCTCACTCTTGTCAATGACTGAAACGCGGGTGTTGCCCCAAAAATTTCCTTGAGCCGGGTCAGAAGTGAAGCCATGATGAGTACCTGGAAGAGTTATTGGCGGAGATAAACATTATGGAGCGCGGCGCCTACAAGTTAACTACAGCCAGTTGGCGGGAGTGGCCCTGTCCATGTGACCTGGTGCAGCGGCATCGTCCCGTTTAGGAATAGCTTAATTGTGGTCCATTCTCCTATCCACGTCTCAAAAGTGGTGAAAAGGCAAAAATAAATATGTAGTTCTTCGTTAGAGGCAACACATGAGCATGGTGAATGTGATGGACGGGCAAAAAGAAGAAGGGCAAAAAGGAAAAAGATGAAATATGCTCCCACGCCGGGAATTGAACCCGGGCCGGCCCGGTGAAAGCGGGCAATCCTAACCACTAGACCACATGGGATAGTTGATGTACTGTGAAGTGAAAGTATGCATGATACTGCCTATGCTCCATTTCCCGAATCCCGTGATGCCCAAGACAGCCGATACGATACAGATTGTCCGGCAAGTTTGGAGGTGCCTTCTATCCTGAATGCTTGCAGATGTGAAATCAAATAGGAGATATCCTAATGCAACCAGCGTCAAATTTTCATAATTTATGCCGTCCTAGAGCGCACATATCTTCGGATCATAGGTCTTATGCACCTTTAGGTGACAGTGTCCACCAAGCGTCTAACAAGGTTTTGAATATCCGCAAGTAGAATTGCCTAAATTCTTCCAAGATTTCTAAGGTTCTTACATAAAACACATCGCTCGATGTGAAATCGCACAGGGCTGACGGTGGCAGGTATACCAAGTGTCATGTCATACCTTGTTAATAATAGTAATACCCAGGCCCAACATACCCGATTTATGCGGAAAGATAAGATCATGTGGCTTACCAGCCTAAGTCATCTACGCGCCCGCTAAGTACCTGGACAACTGAGCTAGTAATGGACATATGCATAATTTTGATAGAAATTATATACATAGACTGGCGGTGTCCGGTAAAGTCACCATATCTAGATTTCTTGCGGCTGAAAGTCAGGCTCTTCCGGATCGAAGCTCATCTCCGGCTGTTCAGCCACCTCAATTTCAGGCACATATTCCACCTTAGGCTTCGACACGTAGGGCTGTCGATTAATCGTTCTCCAAAATCTGCTTGTCTCCTGAATATAATCCGTTTGCTCGAGCGTGGGCTCCCATTCTGCTTCGTGCGCCTGCGCAATCTGAAGATACGGTGACAGAGTTTCATTCAGATGTGTGCTGGGAGTGCCCGGGAAATGAACCAGCAGATCTCCAGGGTGTACCTGGAAATGAGCAGGAGAGTCCTTGTTATGTTGCCTTCCGTCTGGCGATCGCATATAAGCGTTGAACCATCGCAGTGGACAGTAGACAACAAATTTTGCAAATTCTTTGTTCTCGTTGAATAAGTTTGTGAGGGCTGATTGATCGGGCCAGTATAATTCGACGTTTGGATGGACAGTTGGGTAGGCGATCGCCGCGGATAGTAGTTTCACGGACCATTCATGTACGCGGAGGAAGAACACTCCATTATTCATTCCGTTCCAGTCTTTTGTGAGTAGAAGGTGGACGTTTCCAAAGTCGTCGGGTGGGAGGAAGACCTCCAGGGGCATATTGGGGTTCATGAGAACTGTATCGCTGTCATGCCAACTATTGAACGAGTCGCGGATTAGTTATGCTCGAAAGTGCCAATCGATCCAGCGCGTAACTCACAAAAGCCACTCTAAGCGTTGTCCTTTGGGCTTTTCCAGTTCCTGGAGGAGTAAGGATAAGAGAATGGCATATTTATTAAATGTACCGTCAAGGATGGGTTGACGGAGGATGAAAAGTGGATAGTTGAAGCGCCTGCCATGCAATTCATGTGTTTCTAGCGCTTGGTCGTATATTGTGCTGTTGCCATATATCATAGTCACTTTGGCAATAGTTGGCTGTATTTGAGGGCAGTTGTTATTGTTGTTGTTGTCTTGAATTTGTTAGCTTTCTTCGCAATCTGAATCTCATCGCGAATCTGCACCCACTATATACGTCAAACAACCTCACAAATCCCAAAATGCCGAAGGCCGCAAGAGCCAGCTGCTGCCATAATCTTGACCTCATACGAGGGCTTCTGTAAATGAACTTGAACATGCTGGAGAGTTCCTTGTTCTGACGTGGTTCCCACAATTGGACATTGAAGCAGGATAATAAGGGGACAAGGGTCCCCCCACTAGAGCAGGGAGTCGGGGCCGTATGGATAAGAAATCGCGATTAGCTACGCTGTATTAAAGATACAAAGACATATGTTGTTGATTGATGCATAAAATGGCTTTTTTTGGCGAGTGCTCTTCAAGGCCATTAAGCGTTCGTGATAATGATTCGCTTGGACCCGCCCGAACAGTCTCGGTAAAAGTGTACAGCTATAGCTTGGCGGGTGATTCTGGGCCTCGTGTGGAGCGCTCCCTTGTTGACAGGGATTAGTGAGCCGAGCGCCGGTCCCTGCATGAACTAAGGAATGATGGGTGCGATCACTGCGATGTATCCAGGATCTCTGGTTTGTTGGTTTTTGTTTTTATTAGATATAGTCAATACAACTTCACTGGTCGCCTTTCGTACTACTACTATGTTTGATTTCCGCCCCCAAACGGGCGAAAATCCCGGAAATCCATTGAATTTAGGAAGAACGCCCAGAAAAGAGACCTTCGAACTTAAAACCTTACGGATCAAACATGTTCGAGCTTGCCAAGTAATTTGTAATTTATTTTACTTTTTTGTGTAATAATTTGGTTCTGCTGGTATAGGATTTAGACCGCTTATCTTCAGCTAGAAACGCGACCAAGTGAAGCCGCAGGAAATGAACAAAAGCGACTCCAGTGTTTCAGCTTTCGGTACTTCGTATGACCTTCGGCATTGTATGGAGGAGTGTTCCGGATGATTGATCCCAGATTTAATATCTCCACTATGGCAGGATAGAATATCGAGTTACAGGGTTAACATGGTTGATCTCACTTATATTGACATATTGCGTAGACCATGTGTCTTGTAGACTCATCATTAGTCTGCAACATCCGCATCAGGGCCAGAATCAACGATATCATGATAGAATTAACAGCAGCAGCAGTGGAAGTAATCGCCACTACCACCACGGCCATCACTACCACTTCGGCCTCCACGAACACTATAACGACAATTGCTAAGACAGGACTGTTCACTCCACCGGCATCTTGCTCAAGCTCATGTACCTATGAAGGGAAACTAGCAAACAGTGTCTACGGTGGTCTTTTAATGCAGGACTGCGTGTCTATAGATGGTTATTGGAGTATATGGGGTCGGGTCAGCTGACCCCCTCCGTTTGTCAGCGCTTGCATGTCTTTAGCTAGATCTCTCTCTCTCTCTCTTTCTCTTTCTCTCCTCCATACCTCTCGGAATACAGATCTTGTCCCTTTCTTCTGTTTCCACGCTACTATGTAGCCCTTTCTTCCCCTGGACAGCAGATCAGCTGCCGACAATGGTGATAATACCGCATGCTGGCCATCCGGGTTTGGAAAATGGGGGAGGACTAGTGCTTCTCAAGTCTCTAGTCCCGGTCACTGCCTGGTCGGTTATACATCGGCAGCTATGACAGTTGCTGAGTCGGTTACTGGTGTGGTTTGCTGCCTCTCGTGAGTGCCAGAGAGCCTTTTGTCTTTCTAGAGAACATTCGGCCAACCACTCAACTCGCTAGAAATTTAAACTACACTGTCAGCGCTGACTTTCCGGCATGTCTCAGCCTGTTAGCATCAGCAAGTTCACGCCGAGAAACTACGGACAGCACAGAAATCACCGGACCAGTCACAATGTGGGCTCAGCCCATAACAATTTAGCGGGAGGAAAAGGATTTAAGTCTTTTTGTGTCTGTAACTACAACCTCGCCCTCAACTTCGAGCTCAACCACGACCTCTGAAACAACCGTCACTTCGTCGATATTAACATCCCTTGCTTTGACTTCAAGGCCGACTTCAACGGCAGCCACAACGGCAGGCTCTGGTAGCTTATCTGGAGGATCATCATCCAGCGGACTGTCGACAGGAGCTGGAATTGGAATCGGAGTGGGCGTGAGAGTGGCTGGGGTGACCGGACTTGCTGCTTTAGCCCTTTGGTTCTTTTTGCGCAAGAAGCGAAATCCGATAACTGCCCAGGGGTTAGCCATAAGAAAACTTTCTATGAGGCCTTGAATGGTTCTTACGGTGGTCTTCTCAACACCCGTGTGACATTCGCAGCCCTACAAACCTACTGAGCTGGATGAATACACGAGTCGGGATAAGCATTTTCATAAGTTGGACTCTTGATGGTTTTAACATGGAACAAACTATGATCTGTATCTGTTGCTTTCAACTAACATGTTCAAGTTGGTTTGCGGGTCTCATGTAAGGCCTCGATTGACGTCTCCTACAGGCACAGGAGATGTTTTAGAGTATGTGTGTTTATTAGCGCTCTTCAAAACCTTGGTAGTCAAACTCTTTCTGTATATAATCTATATTGTCTAAATCTTCATTACTTGGGTGAACCGCTGGATTTTTGGAGATGCCTTCAAAACCACCAGCCCGCGACTTTTCTTTTTTGTCTCTTTACCTTTTATACCGCTATATATAAATTTGCAGAGCACCTTGACCGTTCTATCGGGTAGGAAAGAAGGTAGAATACCGGGTAAGATGCTGAGGCTGAGTGGGAGACTGAGTGTCACCTCAGTAGGCGCTGCGCTTTTAGCGCGGCGGAAAGCCTCTAGTTGTCATGTTAAATGGGATGTTCCTGACTCCTGATCAGGAAGAAGCGGTTGAATCACGTGATGTCCAGGTTGTTAAACGTGACATTTCCAGGGCCCAGACCTGGGACGAATCAGAATGCCTCAATGGATCGGGAGTATAATTCCATGCCCTTCCAACAGCTGTCATGACGCGCTTAACCCAAAATGGGGATGGAGGGGAAAAACTGATCCACCAATCACAACCGATCGATCAAATTTTATGGGGAAAACCGGTTTCCAGATCGGGGGGACTCCTCAGAATATGAAGCACCGTGGATCGAGTTCTATGCCAAACAACTATGGCAATAGACTCGGGATCGGCATACCCGCGGGAATCTAGGTGTGACTCCGAACAAGACAGGATCCGTGATCTATCAAGGTGCGCTGCCCGTTCGTTTCTCACCGGCCCCCTTGCTGATCATCATCTTCAACTGTTTTTTTTAGATATTATTGTACATTTGATTCAGATCCACAATCCACCAGCAGCCCTCGTCTCTCGCCTGACTCTACACTAACTGCCTTGGCACAACTCGGGGTTTTTCGATTTGGATGTAACCGTTCGTTCGTTTCCATCATTGACGGCGAGTCGCAGCATCTTATTGCGGAAGCAACGGCATCGGTCTCTTTACGCAATGAAGATCGACATCTCCCAAACGATGGCATATATCTGGGTGTTCGGACCCTCGATCTAGAATGGGGTGTTTGCCCCCACGCCATACGTCTTTTCACAGGACAGGACCCCTCACGTGTCAAGGACTCGGAAAATATAACCGCCAATCGAACACGCAACATCATTCGCGACTTCACAACAGAAGACTTTTACAAAGACCGCCCTTACGTTCTGGATTGGCCCTACTTTCGCTTCTATGCTGAAGTGCCTTTATATAGCCCTTCTGGCTATGTGCTGGGCTCATACTGCGTGGTGGACAATAAAACGCGCACAACATTTGGAGACGAGGAAGTCGTTGCTCTCCAGGAGATTGCAGATGCCATCTCTCAGCACCTTGAGAATGTTCGAGTCGCTCATTACCACCATCGTGCGGAAAATTTGGTCAAAGGCTTGACTAATTTTGTCAAAGGACACTCATCTGACCTTCCAGATCATCTCGACCAACTTGCAGCTCCGGAAACGCTGAACTTCCATAACCTGAACTTTACAAATAGAGCCATCAATTCGAATCAGCCGGACACATCGGCCTCAACAAGTAAATCTTCTAACACTAAGTCGACCTTGGATCGATCATCCTTGGCAACCAAAGATGAAGTGATTTCTCTTTTCTCGGAGGCGAAAGGCTCGGAAATGACACGGCAGACTAGCCAGCCATCATCGCTTGCCCCAGGCTCTCCGGAATCAGCAGAACTACTATGCTCAAACGAGTGCTTTGACCCAGAGGCAGCGACGGATGAAGTGCCCATTGCAGAACGTGTTGCTGCGATATTTTCCCGTGCTAGTGACCTACTCAGAGAATCAATGGATCTGGATGGTGTAGCCTTCCTTGATGCACGTCAAGGTGACTCGAAATTGTTAGTTTCGTCCTTCCAATATCTGCACCCTCTAACAGTATACAGTGACCTTAGTGATGATTTTGGAAACGGAGAGTCTCCCAATTTTGCAGACTCTAGACCTGTGATAAATCTAGAACCTTGGGCACTGGGCAATCCCGCTGAAATAACGCCAGATAATAAGGAGAGCCTGTGTCGCCCATTGGACTGCCTGACCACCGATCCTCTCATACCAGGGTCCGACCTCACCCTTTCGGAAGACTTTCTACGCACATTGATTCAAAACTTCCCAAGCGGTCACATTTTCAACCTCGACGTTGAACCTTGCGAGCCACAGACCTTGGAACAGAAGGCTTCTAGCCATCTTGCGGAGAAGCTCCCAGGCGCAAAGTCGGTACTTTTCATCCCCTTGTGGGATTGGAATAAATCACATTGGCTAGCAGGAACACTGGTTTGGACACGGCAAAGTTGCCGTCCTCTAGGCATGGAAGAATTGCATTATTTCAAAGTGTTTGGTGATTCTATCATTTCTGAGGTGTCTCGGGTACATTGGTCGGCGACCGAGAGGTCCAAATTTGATTTTGTGTCTTCAATCAGTCACGAGCTTCGCTCTCCATTGCACGGTATACTCGGGAGCGCAGAATTGCTTCAGACCATGCCTCTTCAGCCCTCGCAGCAAGAAATGGTCAAGATGATAGACACCTCAGGCTTGGCATTGCTTAACACTATTGATCACCTGTGAGTTTGTTGATCCAACATTGTTACGACGACACATACTGAATTTACTATAGACTGGAATATTGCCGGATCAATGATTTGGCAACCGGGGGGAGACCGGACAAAAACAGGTCCCAAAGGGAGATGGCTAGACAAGAATCCCACTTTGACCTCGGCACATTAGTGGAAGAAGTTGCGACCGCTGTTTGTGCTGATAAAAAAACACGATTCGTCTCCGCTCTCGCAAATGAATCTAAAGCCGGATCCGAAGTCGCCGCGGGCCCCCAAAATGACAGCAACAATGAAGTTTCAGTAGTCTTGAGGGTCGACCAGCCCGGCCTTTGGGCAGTGCGATCGGCGGCCAGTGCCTGGAGAGGTATACTCCTCAATCTTATTGGCAACTCGATGAAGTGGACTGAGAAAGGCCTCATCGAGATCACGTTGTGCAAGATGACACCTGACACAACGGACGAACCATGCCTTGCTCACTTATGTGTCAAAGACACTGGCAGTGGAATCTCACGAGACTACCTCAAGAACCGGCTATTTTCTCCTTTCGCCAAAGAAGACTCTCTATCGCCAGGTGTTGGCCTTGGCCTCAGTATCGTCCGCAAGTTTGTCAGAACCCTAGACGGTGAAATCGATGTCAGAAGCGAGGTGGGTGCAGGCACACAAGTGGACATCCGCATACCCGTCAAATACCCAAGAAAACCTCATCCTGCCGAGGTAGAGGATATGCCTTCACTTCTAGCAACATCGACTACATCAACTCCAGTCCGAGCATGTCTGATTGGCATACATGGCCAACCGGAATTGGATGATATACCAACTGGGATCCTAACCGTGGACGCGAAACGGAAGTTATCAATTCAAAACGCGCTTTTTGATGTGTTTATGTCACAGTTGGGGTGGATTCTAACGTCAGCAAAATTTCCTCGCCAGGAGCATGGCGATGTTGCAATAATTGAAGGCGCAGATCTTCATGTAATGCTGGCCAATGGACTATTGGCGACGGATTGCGAAGAAGTCTCAAAATTCTTCATTGTCCTCGATGGAAGGACATCGCCTCTGACTGATGAATTGCCTCCAAATTTCATACGCGTGTCGCAGCCGTTAGTATAAAGTTTTTTTGTTGTGCATACATCAGCTGACGATTCTTACAGATTTGGACCAAAGTCTCTCCATGATGCTGCAGCAAGACTTCTTAAAGTCTTCAAGACGCCACTTGCGCTGGCGACAACAGAATTAGCACCGATCATTCCATATACAGCTCTACAGAATTTGGACCTAAAAACACAGCAAAGCTCTAAGAATACATCAGCGACGCTCGCATCCGGATGTGAAACTGCGATCGCCAATCCTCCCGAACAGGCTGATATCAGTGAACCCCAAACCGAGGATCAACCCAAACCCGCAAATGTCCTTATTGTGGATGATAATCCTATCAATCTCAAGGTTTGTGAACATGCCGCCTATTGCGCTATTTCTGTAGCAGTTTGCAGAATATCAGCTCACAAGTCTACTATTAGATCATGTCCACATTCATTTGCAAATTCGGATGCCGGTTTGAAACCGCATTAAACGGACTAATAGCTCTCGAAAAGTATGAGACTGCTGATCAACCATACGACTTTGTCTTGATGGGTAAGTTTGAAAGATCATGCTCGATACTCATAAGGAAATTTTTAACATTAGCAGATATTTCCATGCCCGTAATGGATGGACTCGAGGCAACAACAAGAATACGTGAGCACGAAGTCGAAAATAAGCTCAAACCGTCGTGCATCATTGCTATTACGGCTGTTGCTTCGAGTGATATACAGGATGCTGCTTTCAAGGCTGGGGTCAATGACTATCTGATCAAACCGCTATCTCTTGACAGACTTCGTGAACTAATTCGGGTATGATTTCACGGAGTTCTACGCATGCGAACCATCTCATTATAAAGCTCTTTCAAAAAAAACATCGATTCGAGGTGTCTACTGTTCGGTTCATGTGTGCCTGCTTGTGGATCGATCTGTAATCACCGCAAGAATGGCGAAACGTTGAAACGCAACAGTCGTTGGAAAATTCTCCAGCTAATACGAAAATATCTGTCAAAAGCATGAGCATGAAAATTTTGAAATGTGCCGCGTTGAAAGTCCGTAAGTCGCCTTGCTATGATCAACGATTTGAAAACGATCACCCACCGCCACATTAGTCTCTGACGTTCCACAGTGCCACCAGCGAATGCTTAAAAGCATTCTAGCCTGTTACTGGAAATCTAATGAGCAAAACGGAAGTCTGAACGTATGTTGCCTTTTTCTTTTACAGTGCTGATGTAGTAAATATTCTGGTCCGCACTCATGGAATCCCATTACTGCTCACGCATCTTGGTTCTTCCATGAAATGGCATTTTGTGAATGGTCATCATAACGTTCCAGCACACAAGGACAACAAAGGATTTGTTTCCCCTTCTTATAGCAAGGCTTATCATCATCGCGATATATCTCAAGACATGCCAGCCGATAGGAGTTGAAAGGGAATATGCTCTTTTCTGTAAATTTGTCGGCAACAATACGTGCCATGTACCGAGAACTGCGCCATACAGGTCATTCATGACTCGCCGAGAAGAATGAGGGCATGGTGGAGACAAGGACGCGAGGGTCGAGATTTAATAAATATGTTCATTTTTCCATGAATGATGGAAATGATGATCATTATTGAGCCGGCGGAATACTGGGTGGATGCCCTTTAAGGAAGATGAGAGGAGATAGTGTGGGATGGTGCAATTCTAGAGATAGTTGACAGCAAATAGTACAAGGTACCCCTCTCCACGATGATGGGACTGATGACAATCTCATCCATACTTTACTATCTACTATATGCTTCAGTGTGTAGTATCTGCTACTATATCTCCCGCCAGGATCTAAGGTCATACCGATTGGCATAATTGATTGAAGGATGCCATACAACACAAGTATAGATAATGTTGTATCTTAGCAATTAAATAGACGACGATAAATATGGAGAATTGCTGTAATCAAGTTCGAGGATTCTTTCAGAATGATTTGACGAAGGCTAAATAGTAGAATAATATTAAATAAATTATTTTGCTGCATACCAGGACACTGGACAGTGATCAAGGATGCAAGTACTTCATTGCCCTGCACTCTCCAAAGTCGCTCACCAGGCGTAACCTCACAAGGCGATAACCCGATTTTTGGTTCAAACGCCCACTTGAACGTTCACCGAGTGACTAGGTGTTCCATCGCTGTTCATGACGAAGAGCATGTAGTACCCAGGCTGAGCAATACCAGGCGTAGCAGGAATTTCGAAACTGTAGTGGTTGTCCCCAGTATCTTCCAACTGAACAGCTATTCTGCGTTGGTCGGTATTCACCGTGTGAGTGGTGGAACCATAGCGAATGAGTGACGCCAAGGGGTTTACCGGGCCATCGGTTGTGATTTCGACAATATCACCGGGCGTAATGGCACCAGTGGTGACAGTATTGATCTTGGGACGGTTGCGGAGAGATCCATCGGAATTCAACAGATAAGCAGGTGTGTAGATCTGACCATCAAAATGGTTGGCGTTGCAATCTCCGCACAGACCGCCACCACCAGTGAAGACAGTACCATCTTGCAGTAAGAGGGAGATGCTGTGGTACACTCGGACGATGGAGTTTTCCAGCAGCTTATCCCAGTTGCCTCCGTTCTCGCTCTCGGGATCGGGAGTGAACAGCTCTGGAATCATCTGAGGCTGGCTCTCATTGAATGGGAGTCCAACTACCTGGCCACCGTGGACAAATACCGAGCCATCAGGAAGAACGACAGATGTGTGGAAAGTTCGCTTGTAGTTCATTCCACCACCTGCGTATGGAAGGACAGAGACACTTTGGTTGACTTGATCAAGGGTGATGATGGCAGCATTGTCGGTAGCCTCAAGAGTCTCATACCACGGGGACCCACCACAGGTGAGAATCTTACCCTGCTCATACATAACCGCATTCCCGCACATGGCATCTTGATCACCAGTACGATTTCCAGCAGAAGCAGTGAAACCACCTGGCGATGAACCGAACCAGTTCATTTGCACACTGGGGCCGGCTTGGAAGATGGAACCGTCAGTCCAACCGAATAGCCAGGCGTGGTTGTCTTGTCTGTATGTCCGCTGGTCTTGGGTGAGCATCGCTGCCGACGATGCATTCGGGAGCGAGGTCCAGATATTGGTCTTAGGGTCAAAGACCTCCCCGTTCTTAACACCAACACCTCCCTGCCATGATCCACCGATCAAGAAAATGCGCCCGTCAGACAGGATCGAAGATGCTTGGTAACCGCGAGGGGTATTCAAAAATCCTCCCCTGAACCAGTCACGAACGGTGGTGTTATAGATACTGGTTTGGCCTGCATCGGCTCCGCCAGTAACGACAAACTTTCCTTCCGCATCAATTGAAGTGCCAGGGCAGAACATGTCATGCTGGGTGTTGGTAACAGCACGACGTGTGACCGACTGGGCCCCGCCGTTCCAGGTCGCGGTTTGTGTCTTGCCCCCCTTGCCGCCAGTAAAGATGTTGTAGCCCCAGGCGGACCAGGCGACCACCTCGCCAGAATGTGCGTCGACAGCACCTGCAACGGGGACCAGAGGAAAGTCAATTGTAGGACCCCAGGCTCCAAGAGAAGGATTCGGGGTAATGTAGTCGGTCTGGTAAATCCTGATATCTGCGATGGCGATTCCGTTTGGAGCAGGAGCTGACAGTCGGACATATTGGGCTTTTTGAGGTTGGAATGCCGAGAGCTTCTGGCTTTGATCCGGCCACCAAGTTCCATAGGCAACCAGGTTCCAGGTCTCATTATCAGCACTGACAAAAATTTGGTGTTCCTCAATGAGCGCAGCTTTCTGATCTTGCCTGGGAACCACAGTCAAGCCACTGACGCTGACATCTTTTGTTCCCAAATTGATGGTAATGGTTTGGGAAGTCGAGGTGTTGAGACTCTGCCAATAGGTTGCATTGTTGCCATCGAAGGCTTGGTTGCAGTTGTGACCACCCGAGGTGGAGGTGCATTCAGCGACCCAGTTGCTGCGAGGAACCTCACTGCCCTTTGGCAAGGGCTGTGAGAGTGACGGGACTTCGGTTCCGTCAATGTTCCGAGTGTCCGGTGTTGTTCCCTCTCTGTAAAGCTCCTCAAGCTCCGATATCTCGCGGGCTCTTACGGTCCCAAGGAGAAACACCGCCGCATGCCAGTCAAGTCTCATCTTGATATGCAAATGTGCTGTATGAAGTACCAACAGACAGAGACGAGCTGAATCTCACGGGCACTCGAGGCGAGGTCGGTGTAGTCAAGTGAGTAGACAGGAGCAACTCATGCTTTTAAAACAAATATTTTGAACACATGAAGCTCGACGAGACTTTCATGTAAACACACCAAGCATTTTCAACCTCCTGCCCAAGCATAACGAATTATGCAAGGGCCGTAATTGAGGCCTTTCATTGTAGAATTGGGAATGTCAATGTGAAGAAGTCACGTTCAACCGAAATCCAGAACCCAGAATGTACAGGGGAATATCACCTCCGTGTTTATCATCTCCGTGCTTATCATTGACTATAGAAGCAGGTAACACAAAGAAGGAATGCTTGCCTCAGGTATGCCCGCAAAGCGCCTGCAGAAATGAATCGGGTGAGATTGACTGGTGAAAAATGTCCAGTGTATTGGTAAAGGAATGGAATGTGCTCCACCCAATTAGTTAAGGTGCGCGGCCCGGAGCGAAGGGTTGGTGCAACGTCAACCCGGAAGTGGAAGAGAGGGAATGTAGTGGATCAAAATCATTATGTTTCGCCTAAGTCCACCAAGATGAATCTGAAAGCCAAAATAGGCTAACGGTTACCCGAATATCACTCGATATGGTCTGCTACCGTAGCGTGAGTATCATTATATTTGATTTACTTCGGCATTGCTCCCGGAAATGGAAATCCTGGGGCAAATATGGACTTAAATGCCACCTATTTGGATTCTATGTTGCAATCCAGTCCTTCGGCCAAACTTTCCAGATGTAATAAGCTGAGTTAAATTTAAAAGACGCACTGTATCATTGGTCTGTGGCTGCGTCCTGAAACCAGAGATTGGACGGTCGTAGCTGCCGAAATCCTCGGCAACGGTAGAGACTGTCTTTGCCTGAACGACTTTTTCGCGACACAATGCCATCTTCTCATGAATAGGGTACTTTGTGTATAATCCATGCTCTCTATTGTAGGACTAAACGGGGTCTTGAGAAATACGGCGGCTTTGTTCTGGAATGACTTGCCGGATCGGCAATAGAGTAGGAACGCACCAGAGAAGGACTGGAAATTAAAACCGAGATAGCATTAGGTCCTGAGGTACAGAAGAATGCCCCACAGTTACATCGGTTTCAATTGATTTGATCATACACACAGTTACACGTTTTTCAGCCAATTGGATACATGATAGACGCTGGTTGCAGATGTCGCCCCACATACATCAAGCTATAAAAAGTGCCTCCATGGCTATTGAAATCGTCCGCTATCATACAATTCTTCCAGAAAATAAATTCAAGAAATCACCACCCGCAGAAATGGGCTCCATCTCCGAGTTTGACTTGGACAACATCCAGGGAGATATCTGGTCAGTTCCATGATTTGGCAATTGTCATGAACATTAGTGCTGACCTTGATTTAGGCCTGGCTTGTCAAAACGATATGAGAAGTTCATCTTTTTCACCATTCAAAACCCTGCTCTTTTCAAACCTGGACTGCAGAAGCTCGCCGATGAAGAGATTACTTCTTCCAACAAAGCCCTCCTGGATCGGTGTGCCATTCAGAAGGTTAACGAAGCCAAGAAAGCCGATCGCAAAAAGCCACTGTCGGGATCGGGTCTTCTGGGAGTCGCTGGAGGGTTTATAAACCTGGGGGTTGACATGCTCACTGCCCTACACGATGCTCTCCCAGAGCATGGTCATATTCCAAAAGCTAAAGGATCCGACGATGCCAGTATAGCCGGTGTTAACATATCCTTCACCAATAGGGGTATGGCCAAGGTGATTCTGCTTCCTTTTGTTTGAAGCATCTGACACCAAATCTAATCTTTTCATCTCCCTTAGTTGAGCAGTGAAAAGTTCAAAGATGACCCGTTCATCAAGGGCATGTTCCACGACATGGTGAACGAAGGCAGAGACGAAGCTGACCATTGGATTGCTGAATTCACGCAAGACCAAGTTGATGGAGTGGTGCTCGTGTGTGGCACCCAAGACGCCGTCGAAAAAAAAAGACATGATCTCCTCAACAATTACCTGAGCAAGTCCAAAGGCGTCGTTGTTGTCAAGGAATTGGAGGGTAAGGAAAGACCTGGAAAAATGAAGGGGCATGAGCAGTAAGTTCCTGACTATTGCTATTGAGAAAATTTCTAAGCCATTCCAGCTTTGGGTTCTTGGATGGAATCTCGCAGCCGCTCATCAAGGGCCTCGATGATGCAACTGCTGAGCTTCGCGGGTCTCGCAAGCACTTGACTCGTCCCGGGTATGTAAAACCACTGCCAAACGAAAATTTCCCCAATACTAACATATCACAGAATCATCCTATTTGGACACGATGGAGAGATGGACGACAATCCAGATTTGAAGCATCCCGCTTGGGCCAAAGACGGCAGCATTCTGGTCGTTCGAAAGATCAAACAATTGGTGCCCGAGTGGAACAAGTATACAACCCCACTACTCTTAATATGAACCACGAACTAATTTTTATTGATAGGTTCGTAGAATCAGAGGCCCCAAAGCTCAACTTCACCCCGGGGCAATTTGGCGCTAGACTCGTCGGACGCTGGCAAAGCGGTAAGCTGCAAACTGTAGCAACTCTCATGCATACGATCAGGACTAACAGATATGTTAGGAGCACCTGTTGAGTTGTATCCCAACGAGGACCCTGTTCCGAAGTATGCCGATGATGACCCAGAGAAGAAAATCATCGCAACATGGAATGACTTCGACTATCCCACGAAGAGCCAGGTCAACTGCCCATTTGCATCCCACATGCGTAAGACTAAGCCCCGAGCTGTGGTCGACAATGATGACAAGTTCGACATTATGCGTCGCGGTATCCCATACGGAGAGGAGCTCCGTAATGATGAGGCTACTGAAACCAAATTGGATCGTGGTCTCATGTTCCTTTGCTACCAAACCAGCCTTTCTAATGGGTTTCAGTTCATTCGGAACCGTAAGTTACCCCTTGTTTTCTGACATAAATCATGCCACTGACATTTAATCTCCAAGGCTGGATCAATCCTGATACTTTCCCTTTCGGCAAGACTGATTACACTGGTGGTATCAATCCTGGACAGGATCCCGTTGTTGGCCAGTCAGTCAAGGGTGCGATTGAAGATGACGATAAACTCTTGAACACGAGTATCTATGATGGTAATGGCCAGCACAATCAGGTCACTTTCCAGCCTTTCATCGAGTCCCATGGAGGTGACTACTTTTTCACTCCGTCGTTGAAACTTCTCCGAGAACTCTCTGTGGCCCCAGCCGTTTAGCTGATTATCCATGTTGGACTTTCCAATGGAATCAATGAATCTTATCTTACGGTGTGTCTGGTGAGATTGTTGGAGGAGGAGCTGAGGCTGTTTGAAGAAGAGATTCAAATGCTCGCTGAAGGGCCGTTTTAACATGTAAAGGTTTAATTGGGTATCCGCCGAGCAAGTATGTTAGTTCTTTTTTTTTTCTTCTCATTTATTAATTGACGCTTTCACCTTCTTAATGGGACACTTTAAACGCGGAAACGTAACACTAGAATCCCTTGCAGCCCTTTTCCTGCGACACCTGATTTTGTTATCTCGAGATACTCTAATCTGCCGGCCAAATTATTGCGACCACTTTATCTTTCTTGGCATTCTGACATTAAGCTTAACATTCCACATGTGCATGTGGATTTATGTAGCTCTAGCGGGACTTGGCAGTGTCTCAAGGGATTGAATTTATCCATCCCGCAGCAAGCATTACGGCCAAAACTTTGACGAACACAACTAGTGCCTAAGGCCATTATGACGCAACCTGAATACATTGATTACCTTCCGCCTTTAATGCACGGCGAGTCTGTCTAAAATCTCGTTCATGTTATCATTATTGAGTAAACATTGATCTCGGTCTATCACATGTGGTCCATGTGCATCTACAATTTTAAGACCCCAAATAAACGCCAGAGGAATTTAGGGGAAATAGTTCTCATGTACTAAATTTAAGGAAGACACGCCGTCATTCCAACGGAGCCCTCAGATAGATTGTCCTTCCGGGTCTTAAACAGACCCGCTTGGGCCGAACGGGTCCTCCCGAGAGTTAGAAGTGGGGCCTGCCGTCCAGGGCTGATCATAGTACAGAGTACACCTTAATTCAATTTACTATGCCGTGTGACGTGGGCGGCACTCCGTATTCATTTTCACATTCTGCTAATATTGTATTATTCCTTGATCACTAAGTTCTTATGCCGTTCCCAGAGATCCTTCTTCGGACGGCTACTAATATCAAATGCATGCCTATATGGCGGACCTCATGCGACGCAAAGAAAAGAATGTACGAGATCCGGTCGACATAGATCGTTTAAGAGCCCAGCTTATCGTAAGGTGAAGGCTTGACTTCCAGATGAGCATTGCGAGGACAGCCCCTTACGACAGACATCTATCGAAATGACCGCCATGCTTACTCAGCGACAACAACGTTGCCCTACTAGGCTAGGCGGGGTAAGACTCCCACATTTGAGAAAGGACATCGGTTGAACAGTTCGCTTTCTGCGCGACATACCACGGAAATGTCTTGCAAGCACCTGCAAAGGTATTCCTTCGCGGACCCTGAATATGCTCAAGAGTTGATCCGCGGAATGGAAGCCTGGCTACGAGGCAACGAGCGCGACCTAGACGGGGTCCCAGGTGACGTGAAAACGGTCTGGACCGAACAAATTGATACCTCCACCCTGAGGCTTCGTCGACTTATTTACACCGGTGTACGTGACTTGACAACCATTTTGATGACCCGGTTGACAAAAAGCAATCCTAGCGTGGGGAATATACAATCATTCGTACCACCAAAGCAGCGAAAACACCCCAGAACCTCCTACATGCCTTTTACATAACGCTGATTGTCGATGAAGATAGTCCCAGGCAGATAGTTGCGAACGACATCATGGAGAGTGGGCAGGCAATCTGGATCGAAAGCCCAGTTCCGCTATGGCGCAACGTCACGTTTCTCGTGGTCAAGATACCTAGCAACCTTCTCATGGTCAAGCCTTCCAGTATCCTTCTTGTGGAACCGGAAGAAGCGTTTTTTAAACACCAAATCGAATGGTATCGCAGAGTTTTAGAAAGAAATTACCGAGCTCCAATATACGTGTGTCCAAAGTGCCGCAAACCATGTTCCGACACTTCTAAGTTATACGCGCATTTTAGAGACACTATGGGGCACTATGACTGGGCTTGCTTTAATTCACGTGATGCCAATTATAACCGGGAAAAGTGTTGGGAAGTTCTGAGGGAATTCTTAAAATGGGATATTCCCGACAATGATGATATAAGGCATGGAAAATGTTTTGACTTGGAATGGCTCATAGAAAACACATTCCAGCAGCCATCCAAGGAAGAGGTTGACCAAAAAGCGTTTTTACAACACCAAATCAATTGGTATCAACAAATTTTGAGAAACTTCCACAAAGGGGGAACACACGTCTGTCCAAAGTGCCATCAAATATATGCCAGCACGTCAAGGTTATACGACCATTTCGAAGGAACCCCGGAACACGAAGTCTGGGCTTGCTATAGGGGAGGTGGCAGGATCATCGAAGCTCTAAGGGAGTTCTTACAATGGAATATTCCCGATAATGAAGTTCCAAGCAATGGAAACTGCTTCAAATTGGAATGGGTCATAGAAAACACATTTCAGCGTATGTTTGACTCTCTAATATATGCGTTTGGTGAATACCTGGCTTATCAGAGACCTCTAATACCAGCCCTAGTAAGAGAATCTTCTTTGACAAAAAGATTGCGAAGAACAAAGGAAACAGTCGATGCATGTAAGTTTCATGTCTGTGTCTTGTACTTTCTCAAGGACTTTGCACTAATATCTAAAACTTTTTCCTCGAAAGGGTGTGCCAGTCTAACAGATTATTCAGTACCGACCCAGGAGAGCGATCTTGGAAATAATAGCTAGTGACTACACTGAGATTGAAGGCGGGAAGTGCAGATTCCCGAGCTGGGTGAACTAGAATTTTTTAGCCCCTGCGCAAATGTGACCATGTCTCTCCTTGAACTCCTGGATCTTGAGGGGTCTGCCTTGATCAAAAGTGTATTCTGTCGTTTCCGCGTTGATATAGATGCTATATTATCTGCTTGGGTATAGAGATTGTTGACAAGCAGTGAATTTGTTTTCATCTTTCGCAGGCTTTATACTAGTAGCACATAGTTTTCATATATCTGAGATAGAAGTGTAGGCAGACCCGTGCCAAATCAATCCATTAGAGTGTCCTCGGCAGGAGTAGAATCTCTTTCGTGAACCGCACTCCGTTATTACAGATGAGAAGATGCAGCAGATCTACTGCACATACGTCTCTGCGGCCCTGAGTGGTTTTCTTGCCGTTGACTGGATCCAGAGGCAGGACTTTCCAAGACGATGAATACGCCTTTCCTTGCTCATCTTCTGTTTTCTGCTCAGGCCATGTACTAATGGTGGAGGGATCGTACCCCGAATCCTGAAGGTGGAATAATCGGAGGATTTGCTGCCTAATTTCTGTTTTTCCCGAAAGAAACTGGGATGAACTTTTGGCCTAAGCACGAGTATGATGACAGCGGTAATGGAAAAGGCAACAAGGTCGTTCACGGGTAGTTTATAGGAGAGCGAAGAGTTAGTTTAGTTGCTTGTGTGAGCTCCGATGCGGGAATTTGGGAAGAAGACTGTGGAGACTTTGACACAGAAGACTCAAAGAGATGTCCTATGAGTTTAGGGAGTTGAAGGAAGCTTGGAGGTAAAAAGCAAAAGAAATTTGCTGCAGCGCCCCAAATGATGTCCAAATCACGTCCTCAGGCCATTTCAGGCCATTTATTCCATGTTTGCCTCCCCCCCCACCAGATGTTTGTCTCGCTTATCCCTGAATCTCCTCGTTCCCTGGACTATAAATACCGCGAACTTCTAACTCTTTCTTTTCTTCCTTCCATGTGGGCTTTGGCTTTCTCTCTGTTAATTTTGGATTTTGGGTTTTGGCTCTATCCTCGTGAAATACTTGCTTGTTGAGTTCATCTCCTTGTGAGAAATTCCTTTGATATTCCAATGGCTGCTGTGTTTTCCTTATCTTTTCCCTTCGGTCCTTCGTGGCTATGCGTCCTTTGTTGTGACAGGATATGATGATACCTGCGTTTCGTCTGCTGTTTACAGCGCGCGCGGTCTGACTGAAAACAACAATTGCCCCTTCCAACTGAGATCTCCGAGTCTTGCTTCTTTTTGAAAACAGGATGGTGACGAGATTTTCAACCTCCTCCACCTCTACACCTTCACACCTTCACACTGGACTTCAACTTTGGACTTTGTACTTTAGCTCCTTTTCTTAGTGATTTAGCAAATATATTTTGGATTCCTGTATTCCAAAGATGCTCATACTACGTACACGTCCCCAAGTAATAGAACCTGTCATGCCAATCTTAATGAGTTTCTTTTAATGATCTCGCGGCTTCCTAACGTGTGCTTGATCTCTTCTGGGTGAAGCCAGGAGTGGAGGCCACTACCATAGTCACAACCGCTACCAGCCCCACACTTTTCTATGCGCGTTGAACCATTGGAAAAACAAAGGCAAAGACCCATGCCTCCACCCCGGGGGCTATTCCTTTCTGGGCTTCGGCTCGGCCATGATGTTAAATTGGAAAGAATATGCAACTGGAGATCATAGTATGGAGTTAAATTGAACTATGGCTACTCGAAATAGACATTTCCCTTCGATCCACTACCACAAGTCTCACTGAATACCAGATAAAGCTACAGGAACGAAGCAAGGTAAAATAGAAAATCGCAAATCAAAAGCAGGGAAAATCAAGAACACTGCCATCCTAGTCACGAGTCTTGGAATACGTAGGCGTGGGAGGATCAGCATCGTCAGAGTCAAAGTCAGTTTCACAGATACGGGGGAACGGGTCTTCGCCGAGATTCTCGCGGTATGCATCAAGCAGCACGTTCTGGATGTTCTTAGGCTGCATGTAAATCCCCTTTGAAAGGATATCCTTCAGGTGCTCGATGACCGCAATAATTCGGTCTCGCTCCGTGAGTCTCTTCAGTACAACATTGGCCTCTGGAGTGTCAAGCTCCTTTTCAATTTTCGCGGCTTCTGAGACCAATTCCATGATATGTTTTAGTTCTTGTGCAATTGGATGGTCTGGATTGAGACTGATTGCTTCATGGAGTTGGAAGGAAACTTTGCGTCTCTTAGTCGATGGACAGGAGGAAGCTGACTCCCATAGGGCTGACGCTTTGCGCTTCATAGCCGACTTTCGGGTATTTGGATTCGGTGTATCACTCCCTTGTTCCTCGATGTGTGTGACTTCCTTCGCGAAGGAGGGGCCTTTACCCTTCTCAGAAGCCTTGGACTTGGCTTCTTCCGGGGCCTGAGCTACTGGTCTTCCTTTGCCGGGAGTCTTTTTGGGAGTAGGCGTGGTAGCCGATGCTGAGGCCTTGGATTTAGCGGGCTCTTCATCGTCTTCGGGTGCATCCGATAAATCAGAGCTGCTCCCAGTCGTGGCGGGAGTCCATGTTTTGACAGCGGCTCTGGACTTGGCTGATTTGGGCGCCTGTGTTGCGGCTTTGCGTTTTGAAGTGGCCTCTTTTGGCGCAGGCTCGGGCTTCGACATTGAGGTCTTGCATTTGGCGGACTTTCCGCCCTCGCTAAGCGTGTCCGCTGAGCCAGAGTTCCAATCTTCAGTGGCATTAGACATGAAGTTGCCCTTGGCATGGCTAAAAGCCCTTGTCATGCCGGGCATTTCAACTTCTTCAGGTTTCTTGGCGACCATGTTCTTTGCAGTTGCTTCAAAATTTGCAGTTACTTTAGACTTTGTCAAGGCACCTGGCTTGGCTCGAAGTGGATGTTTGAGCGAGGCCTCGGGCTGTGCTATCTCTGGAGGTCGAATTATTTCCCGAGAATCTTCAAGTTCCTTCAACAAAGCTGACTTGCGCGATCTTCTAGTCGGCTGATTTTGAGTTGATCTGTTTGTCTTTGCTATCTCCGGAGGTTCAAGCTGTTCCTTGGATAAAGCTGGCTTGCGCAACGCTGGTTTACGCCATCCTTTCGGCTTACTTTGAGTGGACTCATCTTTCTCGGCAGACGGAAGGCTTTTAGTCGAGCCGGGAGTAATGGCAGCTTTTCCTTTCCCTTTTCCTTGCGATTTTGGTGTTTCTAAAGATTTGGAGCTTGTAGGATCTTCTTTCTGTACTGGAGCTTCCGATTTCGTGGTTTTTGGTTCTGGGAGAGCTTTCACCTTTCCCAGAATCTCGGGTGATGGAGGTTCCAGTTTGAGTGATGAGGTCACCGTAGTATGGGCCTGGACTTCCGTACTATCACTTCCCTGGAGGCTTGCTTTGGCCTCGGGAATGAAATTTGACATCTGGGCCTTCGCGAGTAGCTCAGAAGGTACCTGGGCATCGGTTGTGGTATCTTCTGGTTTCACCCCAATATTCGACTCCTGAACTGTAACGTTGGCTTTCATTCCAGAATTTCTCGCGGGATCAACTGTCTCCTGGGAGTCAGCTAAAACCTTTTTAGTGATGATTGGCTCCTCTGCAGGCACATAAACTTCCATTGAGGTGGTTTCGAGGGTGGCATTTAAAATCTGGGGCTCAGCAGGTAGCTTCGTTGGTACTTGAGCATCGCTTGCTTTCACCCTGATATTCAACTCCAGAGTTGGGACATTGATTTCCTTTCCAGATTCGTTGATGAGGTGGGACTCAGCTATAGGTTGCTCTGTTATAGTTGGTTCCTTTGCTGGGAAATCGGCCTCAATTGAACCAGTCTTGACCTTCGCCGGGAAGCTAAGCTGAGCATCCTGTTCTTCCTCGCCTAAAGGCTCAGTGGTGGAGTCATCGGGAGACATTCTTGAAGTCCAAATGGTATTGCAGGAGTGAATGATATTGGCTGAGTAGAATATGGTCAGTTTGATAGATACGGTCAACAAAAAAGTTCCTTTGTCTCACGGATCTATAACTTCGGGATCACTGCTTCACAGGACGAAATGTATCACAGTGGACCTTCAGAAGCCGGATTCGGCTGATCGAGCTGAGAGTAAAGCGAGTTTTGTGTCGAGTGAACTATCACGGAGGAGAATAATATCTTGAGAGAAGAAGTTGCGAAAAGGGAAGATGAATGATTGTTCAGATCAAAAAGTATTGAGGATGAAATGTAAACAGATGAAGAGATCACGTCCTTTTACCCAATTCATTTAATGGAAACTTCCGGTTCGATTTGTTTTGATTTTGTCGTCAACCATTTCTCTTTGCGTTCTTCAATCTTCTTCCTCTTTTCCTCACCTCCATCAACCCTCCCCATCATTCTTCCCTATCCTTTTCTTTTGATATCTCTGTACCGTTCTGTTTTCTTTCTGTCTTTGTATTGAGAAGTTTCAAATATGCAAGAAAATCAAAAGCCAGCCGGCAACTCGACTGGCTCTCGGAAGAGATTCCAAGCCAGCGACCAACGTGTTGAATCTTCCACAGAAAGAAAACCGCTTACCCATTCATCCACTCTGCTGAGTGGACTGGGTCTTGATTTGAAACCCTCATATCTCCAGCCTGGAAACGCCTTTGCCCTGATGAAGCCCATTGCCGCTAATGGAACCAAGCTGCCACGCAGAATCAGTGGTTAGTATCAGCAGTCACTGACTTCATTTCCCTGAATCTCCGAGGCTCAATTATGATGCTTTATTGATTGAAGCTGGCTAATCATTGCAATATTCTAGGTACCTCAGACACTATCCCCACCGACAACCTTCAACGTCCTCGAACCCTTCGGAAGATGTCGAGCCTCGACTACGATGAGGAACTCGCACTTCCCATGCCTAAACCTCGTCATATGAAACCTGACTCGGACAACATTCCAAATCCATTTGAAGATGATACCGAAAGATCCAATGTCATGAAGAAACGTTTCCCCACTGACCCTTTTGTTTCTACGGCACATGCTACACCTGAGCCAAGCAGCCTTCCAGATGGCCCCGATAGCAAGAAGAAATCACGGTTCGAGATGATCAAGTCAAAGCTCAGCTTCAAGGACTTGCGAAAGGAAATCAACAAGGAAGATCCGGCTTTTCATTCCCCCATGCCACCGCCCCATGCCCTCAATGAAAGTTCTATTGCCACCTTGACATCAAACGAGGGAGCCAAAATGAAAGCTAAGATGCAACCACCTACAATGGTACGATCTACCACCTCCAGAACCCTGCACCACTCTAACAAGAAGCTTCCTTTGCCTTCTTCCGGAACATTCTCGAATGGACAAGTGCCCAAGACAACAATTGTCAGGGAGGGAAGTCGTCGTGTCAGCTCCATGGGGGATAGACCTCCGTCTTCCACGAGCCCCTTTGACATGAAAGTGGTATCAACCCCAGGACATTCCACCCCGACTCCAGTTGCCCCTGAAAGACGTCGGCCGGCGGTTGCCATCCCTACTTTTAACCCAACCAGCAAGCCTGTGTTGCTCAACACCGCATCCGTACCGAAGAATCCCGTGCCAGATGACTTGTCTCCTAATCTCAGAGATTTGACTGAGGGCGATGGAAAAGTCAAATACCTTCCAAAGACTTGGCTTGATGGGTCAATCCGCCCAGTCTCTGACGGCAACCCACAAACCCTTACCATCCTTCCCCCAACTTTCTATTCCGACCGTGACTCTCCTGTTGAGTCTCTCCCCAGCTACCTTCCGTCGCTCACAGAGCGTTTGGACAATCTGGATCTCTCGCACAAGAATGCTCTCAGTGAAGGCCAAAATTGCAGCACACCTATCCAAATCGATGAGATTTTAGACATGGTCAATTCCATTCAGCGCAAGGTAGATAGTGGAGCTATTAGTATGAACAGAAAGCTCGAAGAGCTTTACGCCTGGATTGGCGATCAACTCCATCATCAAATCCAGAACAGTGGGGACTTGAGCCGTACCAACTCCGATCTGGCCTCGAAGCAATCCCAGATCTCCCGGGAAATGATGAAGTTCCAACTTGATATACGCTTAGATATTGGCACTATGGAGCGACGGCTGAATATCTTTGAGAACAGGATTATTGATGAGATGCAACATGAAGTCCGCTCACTTGCCAGATCTTTCGATGAACTGAAACGAAAGACGGAGGCGATGATTGAAAAGCACTCCCTCAATGACAACCAGAGCTTTATCAATAAACAAGTGCTGAAGAACATGGAGATTGAACGAGAGATTGCATTCCTTAAGGCTCTCCAACAAAACTCGTCTTTGCAGCAGGAACTTGGTCCCTTCGCTGCTAAAAGAATCACTCCTCAGCGAAGCTTTTCTAGCAACGATAGTTGCGAACCCTTGATCAAGCCAGCCTTGCGCGCGCATCCTTCTTCCCCTGAAGCTGCTCTCTCCCTCTTCGAAAATGTTCCGACCACCCCCAAGCAGATTCTGGCTATGCCCAGACGTACTCTCGCCACTCCCAAAAACATTCGTACCACTCCCAAGGAATCAACTACAACCAAGGAATCCACCCCTAAGGGAGTCACCCCCACTCCCAAAGACATCCGTCTAAGTTCTGGATGTCACCCTCAAGTACTTTCAATGGTGGAGAATAAAGCCGGCGGTCTACTCCCACGCAGCGTCTCCATCACCGGAAAGCAATTCATGAAGGGAATCAAAGACATTGCTTCCATCGCGCCCGACACGAACACCGACCTGGGCAAACTAAAGAGCCACGAGGAATCTAAGAAATGGAATCTCTTCGGCATGCGCTCCCGCCGTCACCAGGACAGCAGCTCCAGCGGCAGCAGCGCCAAATTCTACTGGTCCCCACGCAACCGCCGTACCAAGGAAATTGAAGGAGAAGAAGCGACAACACGGTCACGCTCTTCCACTCCTCCCATTCCACCTATTCCTCGCAACTCTTGCGGTAACCATGTCCGCTCCATCGAACGCGTTCCTACTCCGTTCCCGGCTACCATGGTGGAACACATGCCTAATCAGTACTCGGCTAAGATGATCGATCCTGTGTTCTCGGTTCATCCTGCGCTGCGAAGCCAAATTCATGGCCCTCATGGTGCATCGGCTAGTTCTTACGAGACTGCTCATGAAACTGGGGTGGGGAATCTTGAGCAGACGATTGTGGATAGTGATCTTTCTGGTTTTACTGAGTCTCCCTGTCTGGGATCTGGTGATGTTGGTGGTAATGCTGGTTCGGCTGTAGATGTGACCCCCACGTTGAAGACGGGTGAGGTTGCAGTTGCGAATATGTCGCCGAGTACTATTGTTCATTGTGGTAGTGGGGATGATCAGAAGAATGTTGTTCTTGATGCCTTGCAGGATTGGGACCATGTCTCCGTTACTGAGACTAAGTCGACTTGATGAGGCTGGAGATACTATGTCTACACACTGTCGAGGATTACCTTGTATCTTCGTGACGTTTATCGACAGGGGGAGGGAGAGACATTGTGGTGTTGTGGTTTGTTTGACTGTGCTCAGAGTGGAGCTTATGAGATTGAGAAAATTCAGACGTGAACTCACGTTTAGTATCCGATCACGCATTCTAATGTGCAATATTCGTACCTATTAATTGTGAAGCCAAGGGACAGATATCCACAGAAATATGAATCGCTTTTATAGTTTACATCCTCAAATAAGAACATCACTGGCCTTCTATAAACATTCAGGTACACGCAATCCTCTATTTAGCAGAAAGCAACATCTTCTCGATATCAATGGTTGCATCACGGACTTGCGGGCAGTAGTGGTGGCGCAACAACTCGCCCTCATAAACCGATCCGGCAAACACATTTGTACCCTCAATATCAGTGGAGTATGGGTTGAAGACACCATCACCCTTGCGCTCATCAGTGTGCCACAGCGGTGCAATGCGACGTCCGTGGTGCCTAGAGACCTGTTGCAAAAGCGACAGTGTCGCGAGAGCAGACTTCTCAGGGAGTTGGAGTGAGGACGTCATAAGACGCTTTGAGAAACTGGCAAGTCGGACTGGTGGCGGGTTTCCGTGTGCCCTAGATAGAAGGGTCGATTGGAGACAGCGTAGAAGTAAGACCATTGGAGTCTGGAAGTTGACCTTGTTCTGGGAGCGGATTCTGGAGGACTCCTCAGGGGAATTCGGATCTGGGAGACGCAGGGATGTATTGGGGTTGTATTCGACTTCTGGGTTGAGGGATAAGGCATAGAGGGAGCGGTAGAGGTGCTTCATGAAGAAGCCGAGATCCAAATGAAGAGCTGTGGCAGCCTTGCTGGTATCTTGACCATCAAGAAGAGCAAAGGCTGTGACTGTGCACAAGAGGGTCTCGCGGCGTGAATCACGACTCTCGGCTTCGGAGACGGCAGCAGCGATGTTTTCATCATCTTCCTCCTCTTCGTCCACTTCTCCTTGCTCCTCACGTTCGGCGTGGCCGATGAGATCCTTCAGGGCTTCCAAAAGATCTCCGAAAAAGTCCTGGTTGATGAGACGAGCGTACTTGGCCAGACCCTCTAGAACGGGACCCATCAAGTGGGGAATTCGTTGCTTCAAGATGCGGAAGTAGTTACCGAATACAAGCTTCAACGTCTCGGCTTGATTCTTGTCGCGCTCCTCGTGCGAAACAAGTGCATCTGCTTGTTTCATATCCTTCTCAACCACCTTGCGCTCTTTCATGACCTTGCGCTCGCGTTTCGTACGGAACACACGTGTTGGCTTTTGCTTCTTCTTCCGAACCGGCTCCTGCTCTTCTTCGCGGTCAATGCTATCTTGAGATGCCTTAAAAGTAAATTCACCCAGTAGACGTAGGTGGAGGAAAGTATCCAGAACACTTTCGTGGATGCGGAAGTCTCGAGCCTTCATCATCTTCGAAAGCAAGCGGACGATCTCAAGGGAAACAACGCCGTCAATATCCTTGGCAAACACATCCTCGACGGTCTCACGGCATTTAGCCATGTCGGGATCCACAAGTCGTCGTGCAAGTCGGTTGATAATGATCTTGATCAAATCGTTCCGCATGTTGAAATGAGGCACAGCCTGGAGCAACGTGCATGCACAGTTAATTGCCATGCTCTTCAGACTGGCATCTTTCTCGCTAGTGTTCCGACCAGGTTTGGCCAGCAGAGCCAATCTGTTCACGTAGTTCTTGTATCCAGATACAAGACCCTGCTCGAAATCACGGAGCTTGCGCACATCCTTCGACACCTTTGCGGCCTTATCTTCTTCACTGAGAGGGCGAATACGGTATCCCGGAATAATATCCTTGTAGACCGCAGCCTGGGCTGCCAATGCCAGCTTCTTCACGGTAAGACACGAGTCCGGGTTGTCTGCGATATCGGCCATGGTCTTGAACAGAGCGACGTTTTCTTCGGGGTCTTCGTTGATCTGGGTAGCGATCCGGGCCAGGTCTTCCTTCGCTTGCATGATCTGCACCTTGATGGGGATCTTGGGTTTAACCTCTTCCTCCTCGGGCTCCTCGTCGGATCCATCCTCCTCGTCATCGTCGGTTCCCAAAAAGCTGTCGGTATCCTCCGCCGCTTCTTCTACTTCATCTTTCGTCTGGACGAATCCCTCCGAGGTTTTGATGGGCAATCGGGTGCGCTCCTCTTTTTTGGTCGTTTTGCGCGGGCGGCGCTCGTACTCCTGCTCAACGTCCCACTCGCCGTCGTTGGTGTACAATTCAGAGTCACCTCCATCGGCAGGAGGACTCAATCTCCGTCTTTTTGAGGTTTGACGAGCCATTTTGTGATTGATTTTGGTTAGTGAAATAGCGGGAGTCGAAAAGCGCAAAAGCTTTGCGGCGAAGAAAGGCGGTGCGGACACAAAATTTCTGCCGCATTTTTTCAGTTCTCCACCGGGAGATTTTATCAAAACTTATCTCCTAACAACCATCTTCGCCCATCATGCGTTCTCTTACTGAGGAGGAAACCAAGACTCTTTTTACTAAGATCGCCAATTACACTGGCTCTTCTCTGTCACAGCTTGTCGCTCCTACTGCTACCGATGGCGCCAGTGGAGAGGTAGACCGTATGGTCTTCCGCATACAGAAAGACCGAGTCTTCTACATGCCTTTAAAACTCGCCAATTTGGCTGTCTCTATCCCCCGCGCTAGCTTGCTGAGTGTCGGAACAATGATTGGCAAATGTCAGTCTACTCTGGTTCCATTATTCCCATACAGTCCCTTGGACCTGCGTATCTGACTTTCTTCATCCTTTAGTCACCAAGACTGGCAAGTTCCGTCTCGCCCTCACCAGCCTCGACATTATCGCTCCCCACGCCCGTTACCGTCTTTGGATTAAGCCTAATGGCGAGAGTGCGTATCATACCAACCAAATCGTGAACGTTTTCGTGTTAATCAATGACTGTTTCACAGTGCCCTTCCTTTACGGTTCTAACGTCGTTCGCGCTCACATTGCTCGTTGGAGTGAGGATGCACCGGAGCATTCTGGCTGTATAGTATATTCTATGGATGGTATGTCACACCGCTTCCCACTGGCAGCTGAACTTGGCTAATTTTTTTGGTTCTAGATACCCCTCTGGTATGTTGAAATATATAATTACTAATACAACCACGGACTCACGGCTAATGATACCTTTTTCTCCTCAATACAGGGCTTCGGAGGTATGTTCAATTGTTCTCTCTTCTCTGCAATGCCCCGCTAATAATCAATCAGTGACTGCTCGTTCCACCGCTGAGATTCGCAAACTTGATCCCACTGCCATTGCTCTCTTCCGGCAAGCAGATGTCGGTACGTTTACATTGTCACTTCAATTCCCCTTGTTTCAAATGCTAACCTTCTTTGTAGGAGAATACCTGAGAGAGGCATGTGGCCGCTGCATGATAATATTATATGAATTGTGGCTAACATTTAACAGGAGGATACCCTTTTCACCACCTAAAAGAGCACCATTTGAACTGGAAATTGGAGTTTATGGAGTCATTAGATGTCAATACAAAAGTCTTATTCCACTTCGGTGTGGGTTTCTTTGTAAAAAGTAACAGTGATGAGACATAGGACCGCTATGAAAAGCTTCAATATCAAATTGGAGTAAAAGTTTGAATACAAAATCATGACATTCAGGGCCCATATTCATTTTTAAATTGTTCATAATTAGGATCTATATATATTGTCATTGCACCAATCAATCATCACGCAAGAAAAAATTAAAATTAATTAACTTATGAGCTGGTAGACAGCCCTAAGTCAACTGGTTATCCTAGATAAGATAAGAATGCTCGCAGCCTCAGGCAGCCGCTGACTAACCCCGCGGGCGATATAATCGAGCTTAAACATCGCAAAGACAAACGCAAATCGACGGTACACAAACACCTTAATCGTCTATCACTCGAGTCTGCTACTATTAATCTCCCCTTATCGCCGACTCTCCTACCTCTCCGCCCCCGGTCTAAACCGCCCATCAGTTCTCAGACTTCAATATGAGTTCCGGCATGCGGGGCTCTAGCTCGAAAGACTACCGCCCCTCGGTGCCCTTGACTCCCGAGCAAGAGGGAGTGGTAGCTCAGTTCTTGTCCATCACGACTAGTCGACCTAATACTGCTGCCGATGTATGTCTATCGCTGGTTTGGAGCGAATGGCACACCCAATTCGAGACGCCGCGAATATACCAGTATGAGCTGCCACTAACGTATCGATTTAGTATTTAAAAAAGGCGAAATGGGATCTGAGACGGGCGATAAATATGTAAGTTCTTTGGATTACTTCTTCGATCTCAAAAGTTTGTTTTGCGCATGAGTGTTGTCTTGCATCAAGGCAACGCGCGAGATTCTCTCGCCGCGCATCCTGAGAACAACGAATGCACTTCGAAGTATATCACTGTGTGACCTAGTTCAAGCCTGTCCGCATTTTGCAGTACCATAATTATCGCATATCAACTTCTGACAAAACTCTTTTCACGACCTAGCTAACCAGTCTGTTCTCCAGGTATTACATGGATGAGAACAATGGCAACACAGCCCTCATAGCTCCACTGACCAAGATCTTCGAGAGCTACCGAGGTAATTCCACGACGCCTCCATCTTCATACCCAAAATACTCACCGTAATAGACGCGAATGACGAGAAGGACCAATTCGGCATCGAAGGCGCAATGAGATACTTCCAAGACCTCGGCGTCGGACTTGACGAGATCGTTGTTCTCGGCGTCGCAGAACTATGCCAGTGTCCCACAATGGGCGAGTTCACCAAAGAAGGATTCCTGAACGGCTGGAAGCTCGTTGGGTATGTGCCGTACCCCATTTTGATCCATATTACCGCCATATATTTCTATATCCGAGATCAGATGATACTAATTAACCTCTTCAGCTGCTCTTCCCTTACCGACATGAAAAAGCACGTCAAGTCCCTCCGCAAAGATATCCCCCAGAACCCCTACGTTTTCCGCCACGTCTACCGACACGCCTTCATAATCTCCCGACTTCAGGGCCAACGAAGCGTACAAATGGAAATCGCCGTTGAGCAATGGAGACTATTCTTTGACGAGTCATCGGGCGGTATAAAGACAAATACGGAGACGACGCCGTGGCTGGATTGGTGGTTGCAGTTTATGGAGCAGCGGGGGGCCAAGGTCGTTAACAAAGATTTGTGGGAGCAGCTAGAGGTGTTTTTGCGGAAAGCGATTGAGGATGAGAATCTTGATTTCTGGAATGAGGAGGCGGCTTGGCCGGGAGTAATTGATGAATTCGTGGAATTCGTTAGGGAGAAGAGAGGAGGCAGTCTTAAAGTGCTGTGATGTGATTTGGGTTATTATTCCGTGGCTAATTCTTTACAAGATACCTGGGTTGAGATTTGGCATTGAGTTTGAATGCTTCGTTTCTACAGATTCATGACTGCAATGAGTGATACATATAGTTAATATCATTGCGAACATTATTCATTTGTATCAAGTGGGTCCGATCGAAAGTCCGGGGTCTAGATTTATAGATGGATCAACGTGCTATGTATTTCAATTGACTGCATAATTAGATTATTATCTCTAGAATTCCAAGACTACTGGGCTAGTTTCAAAGTATATGGGGGATTCCATTCGTCATAAGATTGAAATAACATCAAGGTGAGAAAGATATTTGACGCATACCAAGATGCAGATGTGTACAAAGAGATCAAACACCAGAAATAAAGAAAAAGGCATCACAAAAGAAAGGGGGAATAGATATCTGCAGAAAGAATCCAATGTACGCTGTACAGTACGGATCCAACTCATTCAAAAGGGACACGGCTCTGTCGAATTCCGATCTGCAGTGCAAGGCAACTCAGTCCTCTAAGGGTAGTCGCGCTTCTCGTAATCACGGCGCTGATCACGCTGATCGTAGCGCTAGAACAAAAATCGTATTAGCAAAGTACTCAGCCTAACGAGGAAAAAGATCTCTCACCTTGCGCAGAGCTTCCAGACGCTTCTTCTTGGTGTGGGTGTTAACATAGGTTCCAATGAAGAAACCGATGATGTTGAAGAACGGCACCCAGGTGTGCTCGGGGAGGAACTTCTGAGCGAACGCCAGCGCCAGCGGCGAAGTAACCCAGCTGACCTTCATAACGGGCAAGAAGCCAGCGCGAACGGTAGCGCGGACCTGGTGGAAGGTACGCGCACCAGCGATGACCGCCATCGAGGAAAGGTAAACGGAGTTCTGAATGGGGGAGATCTATCGGGTAAAGCGGGAGTTAGCGGATGGATATCTTTGCGCGCGGTCGCAACGGGCGGAGAATTTGAGGGGGATATGGAGTCGATAAACATACGATCAAGTTGCTAACCAGGATCTGGAGGATCTTGGCCTTCAGACTGGTGCGGCCGGCGAAGATCTTCTGCAAGATTCCGATGAGGACGTGGCCGAGGGGAGCGGCGATGAACATGCCGTAGAGCGACATCTTTGGGATGCGCGAGGAGAAGTAGTGGCCATGCTTGCCGACGTCGGAGGCAAGGTAGGAGGCGAGAAGTTCTTGGAAACCAGAGAGCACACCGGAGGTGAGCATCTTAGTGCGCAGCGGGTTGTGCTGGAGCTGGCGGAGGTAGGCCTGACATTCTTCGGATCAGTATGGAATGGAGGGGTGGGAGGGGGAAATTGAATGGCCTCAACCAATATTGAAGTAGTTTAAACCCGGGAGGAGATTCATACCTGGAGGTAGCCGGCAGTGGTGTGTCCGCCAGTCAATCGCTCGCCGACGCGGTGAACGAGGTCCTCTGGCTTGCCGCCAGTGACGGTGCGGGTAATCTCTTCTTGGAACTTGACAGACATGATGGGCTCAAGAAACGCAAGACCCTAATGCGCCTAAATTAGAAGTATTAAATTAAGTCAAAATATCATAAAATGTATGAGAAAGTTGAGGGGGCGGGATGGGTGTTTGTTTATGAAATTGGGCGGGAGAAGGAGAAGGGGGGGCTGGGCCGAGTCTAATCTCCCGAGGCTGTTTTCTCTTCCCCGGTAAATTCAAAACTTACCTTGGTATTACGTATAAAATTGTGTATAAGAAAAATAAAACTGAAGATTTCAGATCTGGGGAAGTTAGAGGCGGTCGGGGGTTCCAATGTATTTAACGGTTTCATTCATCGGCAGATGGGGATTGAACACGGTTAAGAGAGGGAAATTGGGGGAAAATGGGGCTGACGGCGATATCCATTGGATCCATCTATTCTTGTCGGAACTCTCCGAGCCCACTCATTGTATTTATTTAATGGATTTCATATATCAAATTATTCTTTAAATCATCAATTGCCCTTGAATTGTTGTATTTTATTCAGTATTCAGATTACCTGGCTAACAGTCCGGAAATCTTAAGTCCGGAAAAGCTTAGATTCCGTTGCCGGTTACTTAAAGAAATGACCTAATCATATCATAAGGAATTATATCCCGGATTTGCATATAGTCAAATCTCTGAACAGTCTACTCCTGCTTATATGAGTTTAAGATATCATAACAGAGCCATACAAGAAAATATATCGCAAAGAAATATGCAGTGGGCATACAATGCAGGTTACGTGAAAGCATGCACAGAGATCAACTTACCTATATTGGCTAAAAGCAACCTGACAACGCTAGAGTACTTATGGGATCCAAAGTGTGCACTCCATAATCCCACAGATTTCCTCAACCGTATAATCTTATAGAGCTGCGTCATGAATCTGTGGAGGCATACAAAACATTGAACTCGAAAGTATGGGGTTTCTAGATGCCGATTTCTCGACGCCGCCGACGAGGGTAAGAAGATCATCTCAGACTCGAGGGCTCCTAGTTCCCATCAAATCCTGCAGCACCAGCGAATCAGCACCAGAGCCACAAACATCCTTCAAAACACAACGATTTACCCTTTGCTCTACACAGGGTGTTTGAGCCGGTTCTTGAGACCATCTATGAAGAAGAGGTATTTAATATGGACGACCTTAGGCCGGGTGTGTGGGGCAGCATGGACGCGCCTGTAAGTCATTGCAAGGCTTGACAGAAGTTCTCGAATTCGCTAACAATATCAAATAGTGGGATATAGATCCCGTCGACGCTGCCCGGGTCGAGGTTCGGGTACGTACTTGATCGCAGAACCTTGGATATACCATGACTAGCCAGGACAGATGACCGAATGGTCAGTCGAAGGTTCACATGAGGAGAGAGATAAGCATACCAAACTATCACATACTGAACATCTAAGGCCGATTACTTGATTCAGGCCGTTGCCGTTGTTGCTTCCAATGCAGCAGTAGACGTAATTGGTCGAGTTGAAGGTAGAGTGAGGTGTTGATGGTATCAGATCGGGGAAGGATCTGGCTGAATATCGCATCGGATTTGTGACATAGGCTCTCGGAGGGGGTCCATGTTGACAACGGGGTATAGAATCCAGTCTATCAGGATTGTTTGCGAGCGCATGATAATGGGAAGGCTGCGAAATCATGCGAGGATTTAATTTGCCTCTTCACGCGAGCATTTAACTCCTTCTCCTTTTCTTCAGCCGATGTCCCCTCCCTTTCCCTCACCAAAATCCCTTCTCCAACCTCCTCTCAGAATAGAGGAATGGCCTGAAGCCATTCGCCAGGTGCAGTATCGATTCCGGCCTGATGCCAGGTGCACTCACGATATGACCCTTCGATACTACGCGAAAGGAAGCGGCCTTATCTGTGATAACTGCGGGAGCTCCGAGCGCTTCCTTTATGAATTTATCGCAGACACGCCCGACTTCTTGACATTCGACCCCGAGATACCCCCTCAAGGAATCAAAATCCTCGAGCCCTGGATACAAAAGGCAATTACTGAGGGGCAGTACACAGCCAACCAAATCAAAAACCTCGTCAGCGCCAAGATGAAGGTTCTGGTCACTGCTGCCCTGCAACGCAACTACATTACCCGACGCAGAAAAGAATTTTGCATCAAACAGACTGAGGATCAACAATCTGTACGTGAGTGGGTGTTCACCTCACGTCACCTACAAGCAGCCACCGGCAAGCGAGGCAAAAACCAGTTATTGATTACAGCCGCATGCCATGCCAAGTCCGAGCATGCGCTGTATGTCGACCTGGCTGGGCCCAGCGAGCTCGCAAGAGCATCAACGCTATGGTCAACGAGCCGTACAGATCCCCTCCCTCGATCCCGGAACTGCTCAACCGACCTGTGGTACGAGTCGCCGTCGCCACCAACCTCCCCGCGCAGGACATAGACGACTGGCAGACGACCCGCTATTTTCACATATGGTGGCGTACCCTGTGACACATAATTGGGTATGGGCTAGAATCTGCGCTGAGTCTAACCAAATCGATGGGTCTGGCATTCTCTCAGTTTCAAAAACTAATGGGGTGGGTTGTGAAGCGTTGCGCATCAAAGCGGCAAGCTGAAGACATCATCCGTCGGACCCGGGAGACGCAGAACCCCCGAACTCCCCATCGCAGGCTTCAAATTTCCGCCAAACACTCGCTAACTTTCGATGCTCTTCCCCTCTGCAAATATGGGAGCCGCGGGTCGGAGCAATCTATCATATCGCGTCCCATCTGGGAAGAGGCTGAATGATAGAGATCTCTAGTTGGGAGTACTCCGATACCCTGCCCTATTCCTCGCAGAATAGGGCTGCTCATCAGACGAATACCGCACGTATCAGCATCGAGCAGATGGTGCTAGCTTCTCAGTTCAGCTGAGCGTACCCGGTGAAAGGGCTTATCAGTGATCCTCAGGGACTGACCTGACAAACCAAAGCGTTCCCCATTGACTTTGAATCTGGGCGTCCTATCAAGGGCAGTTGAGTGCGATGGGAGTTCCTGGTGATTAGTTTGGGGGATAAATGTGAGCCTGGCTTCAATCATATGCAAGTGTAGTGAGACTTGATATGTGCGAGGTTACTTGTGCTACCAAGGGAAGCTGTCTAAGGGGGGTGCCAGCCATGAATGTGGCATTGCGGGAGAGAGCGAAAATCCCCGAAATCATGAGAGAATTGGCAATACAAGAAAATCCAAAAAAATTCCAAAATCCAAATTTATTGAGTCTTGAGACGAAGTTCAGTTGATTGTCACAAGTGCCGAGTGGAGCTCGCCGAGTAAGGAAGTCCCAACCTTGTTCCGAGCCTCGGTTCCTTCCGTGATTGCGCGCGATTTCCGTGAAGTGTATATCTCCGTCTCCGAGAAGCTGGTCTTTCTCTCTTCTTCCTTTCTCTATTTCTGCAAATTCAAAATGCCAGATTCAGATCACACCGAAGCGGAGGCGCTGGACGACACTCAGCATGTGGGGGCATCCAGTCCGATGCCCGCGGGGAAATCAACGACAAAACGACAATTGCTAGCAGCCCTGACTGCGACCGACGTGACTATCCGGCGATTAGATTTGTGAGTTTCCTCTAGACTTCATCATCAACGCGATAAACATTCAAGTCAACCTTCCTTATCCCGGTCCGCTAACACCACATCTTCTCCAGACTTCTATCCTCAGCCAGCGGAGAAGAACGAGTCCTCGCAACCACAAATTATGTCGCATCAATCCTCCACCACCTCTGTGCTTCAGCGCCTTGGATCGCGTTACAAACCCGACTTGGAATCTTAAGGCGATTACGAGGCAGAGTCTCTTCACAGCCCTCCTATTCCAAACCCTCCCCCTCCTCCGCTAGATGGTCCGCTCTCTCCAACCTCGCCTCTGAAACCCGTTACAACATTCGCCTCTTCGGTCTCATTCCACTCTGGGTCTGGGGCTCCCAAGAGATCAAATCACCACACGCCGATCCTATAATCCACGCCCTCACCATCCTCCAAGTCATCTCCAACGTTATCTACCAACTCCTCGAAAACATAGCCTACCTCGCCGGAAAGGGCGTCGTCTCCAAGAAATGGATCAATAAGTACGGCGGCATCGATATCTGGTATATATGGAGTACCCGTGGCTGGTTTGGGCATATTTTCTTCCAATTCTTCGTTCTCTGGCGGGAACATGTCCTGCGCAAAAGACGCTTGGCGGCTAAACGCGCTGCCGTCGGCAATGTCGAGACGAAGGAAATCAAAGCTGAAGAGGCCGAGGCACTGCGTCTGGAGATTAGGTCTTGGAAGAAGAGCCTGGTTAACAATACTATCTGGGCTCCGTTGTGCATTCATTGGAGTTTCGAGAAAGGTGTTGGTATCCCGGAGAGCATGATAGGCTTGGGCAGTTTCATGGCTGGCGCTTGGGGACTTTATGATGCCTGGGTCGCTACAGGCAAAGCGTGATACCATTCGCATTTTTGCAATATTGTTGTACATACTATTGTTTGGATATATGGTTTATTTCATCGATGCGATGCAGGATATACACCATGCGAATATGAACTTTAAGTTCTATGCTAATCTGCGGTACCTGCTAGACAGTCTGTGATCAATCGCTGGACTCTAGCACCCCCAGTACGTGGGTCTTTCTCATCAATGTCGGGGTCCTCCGATCCATCAAATGGATATACGCCGATTGGATACCTACGCCTTGTTTCCCCGAGGAAAGCAACTCAACAATTTTGAAACTCAAATTCGCATAAATGAAGTAATCGTGGAAAAAGTAACCTTGGAAATTAATTATCCCACCATCCTCGCGACAACAATCTATGACTGATTATAGCCACTGTGGTGATAGACCATGGGTGGAGAATTTAAGCTTCAGAAAAGGAAACTTCAGGCGCTTTTACCAAGCGACTGTCAAGTAAGGATGTTTAAGTGGGTTTTCTTTAGTCATAACCTCAGTCTTGATTTTAAAATGGACTTGATTTTCATATCTATTCATTTTGGTGGAGTCCCGATCCACTTCTGTGGAGCGGATTAGGAAAGGCCACGCGGTTATCAGATCTTATTGTTGTCAGACTTCAGTCTTTCCAACTGGAGAAAGACCACTAGGCTGAACTGTCGTACTCGGTCTCGTCAACATTATCGGACGAGATATGTTACCTTTACGCCCGATATAGACCAGATCAGATATTATATGCATCTTCAGGATCAGTCAATCGTGCGTGATCATATTCTGCTCCACGACCCGTCGCCCTAAGAATTTAGGGAAGCGGATATAAGCGAAACAGCGTACGTGCATGAGTTCATATAATTCCTTCGGTGGAGAATCACTACCAAGTACATCCGCGATGATCATTACTGAATTGTTACACAGGCTTGTTAAAACAGAATGGATTCGGCTGGTGGATGAACGTCAAAGCAGATTGGGTATACATCTCGAATGGTCATCGGCTGTAAGGAACGTAATGACCGCAAAGGTATGATAACAAGATAGAATAAAAATCATGACATACAATGCACGCCAAGAGAATGAATCATACAACAAGAATGAGAGAAAGATAATGGGTATTCTCATGGAACTCGCTTTGAAGAAGTTGTTTATCCCCGGCGGGATGATCGTCGTGTCGGCAAAGCGGCTGTGGCTGGTTTCCCTTTCTGGGATCGAGGACTCTTGGTCGTGGCTTTTGTTCCACGCTTTGGAGCCGGGGGAGAGTTCTCTTTCTCACTGGCCTGTGCAAGGCCTTCCTCCTCTTCATCGTCTTTGACCCCTTCTTCCTCATCTTCATCGGGCTGGTCCTCAGCCTCATCTTCCATTTCTTCGTCCTGATCTTCCTCTGCTTCCACATCGTCATCCTGCATCTCCTGATCATCTTCATCGCTGTCGTTGTCTACATAGCTAACCTGGGCTTTGGCGGTGCCTCGACTGCTACGACGGCGGGCAGAAGCAGTGACACTTTCAGTACCAGCCGCAGACCACTCGTCATCGCCCTTGCGTTTGCGTTGAGGGGTCTTGGAAACGCCCACTGATGAAGAAGACTTGCGAGGTGGCCGTGTAGTCTTCTCCTTGCGTGCTTTCTTGACCGAGGCTTTACCATTAACATCGGCAGATTCCGGCTTTCTCTTTTTGTTGGAGCCTTGTCCCTGCTTCATTGCGACTCGTACAACACGGTCGAGCATGTCGTCTAACTCATCTGGAAGGAAGTTCTTCTCGGCAACATCTTGAGCTTCTTCGTGACTACCCATAGTGGCGAACAAGGAGCTAGGAACACCCATCTTACCAGGGTAAGTTTGTAGGATGTTAGTTCCTCCACTCCCACCGCCAAATTTATGTTGTTGCGAGTAGACGTCAGCAAACTTCCTGATGGTTGATTGAGCCAAGTCAGACAGAGTGTGAAGACGAGTAGACATCTCGTCTGATTTGGTGATGCCATCACGGAATTGCTTAACACGCTGAGCAACATGGAAGATCAGTGACATGTTGTGCTCGTTGGCAACTGCAGATAGATAGAAGACGATGTATTGGCAGAAGTCGCTGAGATCACCGAGCTTCGTTGCCTCATCGAGATCTTCAGGTGGATAGTCAGGGTGGTAGGCTAGTAATGATAAAAGACGCGAAAAGATCAATTCCATCACCATGGTCTGCTCATCTCGCTTTCCGATGGATTGAGCTTTATTGGCGAAGTCCGCTGCGCGAGACCGCAGCCAGATGAGCGTGTTCTCCTTCAAGCTTATGCTCGGCTCGAATGCAAGTAGACAAGGGACAACGTACCAGCGATGTCCGAGGTATGACCTTTGAACCAGCTTTTTCTTCAGGTAGTTGATAAAACTGGTTCGCACCGGTAGAAGTGGATCTTGAGCCATCAAAGCAATCGCGTTGAAATCTGCAGGAGCCAGCAAGTGATCACACAAAAGACTGGAAGAACATAATTTCACAAGTGACTTGGCAGCGAGAAGACGCAACCGCGACTTTTGATGCGCAGGAGTATCTTGCTCATTGGAAAGTTCACCTCTTCCGGCCACAAGCTTAGTCAATGTGTCGTAGACAGGCTTAGCAAGGGTACGGAAGTCTTCATCATCATCTGAGCCATCCTTCGCACGAAGGCGGTTGACGATGACTTTGAGCGCCCACTCCTTTGCATGTGTTTCCTCATCAATTTCCTCCGACCAAGTATACTGCGAGTTTTCTTCTGGGGCGCGATTGATCAGAAGAATCTGCTTGATTGCAATGGAGAAAATCACATCGGTTTCATCGTCTGCTTCTACTGGGGCAAGCAAGTTCAGCTGCGATAGGGTTGCAAGACGGGTGAGGAAGTGGTCAGAACCGTACGTCCACTTCTTCACACATTTGTGTATAAGGTCTTTTGCGTACATTTGCTTCCGTTCAGTCGTGGCCATCAGAATTGACACGGCGTGCTTAGCAGAACGTGGCGACGCACTGTACAAAGCATAGTTGGCTAAGGCCTGGTGGAATTTGCGCTCCTTTGGGAGTTTGCCTGGAAGCTTCTTGGCAAATCCTGCACATGCCTTGAGAATCTCCTCAGAGCCAGCTTCGCCAGCCGATGAGGCACTGGGAGCTTGTGCTTCAAGGTCTCCGCACATCTCTTGAACCTGCGCCTCTAGAACCTCGGGATTTTGGGATGAGATCTGCTTTAGCATCTCCTGGGCGGCGTTGGCCAGACCATTCTCGTCAGTCCGGGAGAGATTCATGATCGCTGGAATGTGGCTGCGGTTGAAAATCAAAGAGCCACTGCGATACAGAAGAGGGGTAATGGTATCAAGCAGGGGCGAGTTGTTGGCACTCTGTGCGCGTCGCTGAAGTTCCTTAATAGCCTTGGTCACAGTTCGATAATCACTCACAGCAGCCATGGCAAACCGAATGAGCTGGTAACTGCGTCGATCATGAGTCTTGGCAAATTTCCACAAATCCGCAGATGCGCGTACAGCATCGGGGAATGTCTTGGACAGCGAGTCAATGACTAATGACAGCTCGCCCTTTACTTTCTCTTCATTTTTGTTAACCACACCACCATTATAGTTCTCACATTTTTCCAGATACTGGGTCGTGGCCGATCTCATCTTCAGCTGACGAGCCAGCGTGATGAAGAAAACCCGTCTGGCCTTCTCATCCAATCCCCGAAGTAGAGTCAGGATGCGACGGACGCGGATTTTGTCAACGTCATTTTCTAGGTCAGGATCGGAACTCTGACTATCCTTCTGTTTTTGGGATTGATTGGAACCTGTGCGGCTAAGCTTTGACTTGACCGGTGGATAATTCAATGGAAGAAGCGTCTCAAACAGAACACGGTCAATCAAGATAAAAACTTCTTGATCACCCGTATAGTAAGCATCAAAAATCTTTGACGGCGCGTCTTTCAGAAGAGACACAACAGGTTCAGTGTTCTGCTCTATGTCCCCAGCAGCAACAGCCCATATACGTGCGAGGACTTTAATGGCACGCTCACGTACGTGTGGCTTGCGGTCCTTGACACGCTCAGCAAGAATTGCCAATACTGAATCTGGTGAAGAGCAGCCGCCCTTCATGCCCAATTTTTCAATGACGTGTGTGTAGCCGAATTGGCCGACGGTATCAACAGCAGCAACGCGGACCTTTTCATCAGCGTCGCGCAGCATAGAGACAATGCTCTGGACAAGACCTTGCTCCTCGCTCTCACTGAGACCAGAGCCACCTGCTGAGGTCAGCAGTATCCGACCCACAACTGTGACCCACGCTGCGCGAATCGAGGCGGTCTTATCAAGACGCCGACTCAAGAATGCATCATAAGCTGAAGCATGCACCTGAGAAAAAGGTTTTGGTGACACAGGCGTCAGAAGAACACTAGACTGAGGGATCGACTGCGCATAATCTTCAAGTGTCACTGGCGGGTAAGCCGCGGGGTCCATGGGTGGTGGTGAAGGGGGTCCTGCAACACCAATACCTGCCGCCAGATCACCAATTGTTTGCGTAGCCAGTAACCTAAGGGCGACTGATTCTGCAGATAGCTCGGCTTCAACTTGTGGGATGACATTTTGCAAAACTTCCGGGCAGGCTCGCCATAGCTCTCGAATAAGGCGATGCGCTTTGCTTAGTTCCTTGATATCCTCGCCTTCTTCATCTGAATCGTCCAAGTTCGGCTTGCGAGTCCCATTTTTGGATCCATTGACTTGACCAGCATGTCCAGACGCATCAATGATGACATTGTTGAAGTACTGGCTGATGTGACTGGTCATTCGCTCTGGGCAGGCTTGACAGATTGCCTTGGCCATGTTGTAAGCTGGCGGATAATCCTTCAACAAAAGTGTGTCCTGCTTGGCATCAACGGGTGCATCACCGCGTTTACCCTTGCGAGGGTTGTCCAGGACCCGCGGGTCTACCCGCAGGAATTGTGCAACAATGGTGTCCACTACCTCAGCGGCCAAGACAGGCGTTTCATCGATCACCGTCACAAGGAGTCGGATCATGTCAAACTCCACGTGCTTAGCCACTTCCTCGCCAGTTGACGCCTTTGATGATCCTGAGACAATGTCGAAGCAAGCGGTGAAGAGGGGGACGATAAGAGAGTCAGGGTGGTCCATGTCAGTCATGAGAACGATACTCTTGACCTCAGCAAGCGATGATAAGACGTATATGTGTTGCGCATTGTAAGCGTTGGATGGATCAGCTAATGCGGGGATGATCGAAGTCACGATGCAGGTAAAAACGTCCTGCGTCAATTTGTGTTAGCACTTTCCAAAAAAGCTCAATTGATACCCATAGATCCTGTCTTCTGGCAAGCGCACCTTGAGCTGATTCCTTGTAAATGGCGCGTCCGGCGCGCACAGTCGTAAGACATCGACCAGACAGCACGTGGCCCAGGCCCGCACACCCTTGTCCTTGTGCGCAAGCAGATGAGCACTAGCAAGTTCTTGCGACACTTTTCGCATGGATTCTTTGTCAATTTCCTCCTGTTCGAGCTTCCGAAGTTCCTGAGCGAGGGTCTGGAGACGTTCAAGTAGATCGGCGATGGGGATAGCCGGGCGCCCCACGCGCCATGACAGTGGCTGATTGAAGGACAGGCTACGAAGGCCAGTCTCTTCCTCGGCCTCGTCAGCAGGAACTTGACGAGTGCGCGACGGCATGATTGCGACAACCAAGCTCACACAAGAGATGGAGGGGAGGAAGAGAGACAACGCGGTGCAGAATAGGTGGAGGTGGAGGTTGACCGCCCAGACGCGTCGCACGGGATCGCGTCTGCCCTACAAACTTCCCAATGTTCCATTGACTTGACTTCATTCTTTCTATTTTTTCCTTTGTAATCTTCCATAACTTCCTAGGGAATATCCTTAATACAGATTGAGAGTTGCTCAATTATACTCATCATTAATTGTTTATATACACGTTTTCTGAACCTATAAAGGGCATATACACATGGCTTCGAGTCAAGTGACACTCATTATAAGTCTGTTTCTGTCAGTACCTCAGTACCTCAATACCGTCTAGTATATCTATGTAGGTTAGTTTTTTGAGATCCAATCCTCTCTCCTATGATACACTATATAAATCTGTTCAAGGCAGATAAAAAAGTCTCAAAATGAAAGTTCTAGAACAAGATAATATGTAACGCTGGTACTCAAATATGCCAATTGTAGTTTTCAATCATTTTTCATCAAGCAAGAAGTACAGAATACATAGCATTTTACCTTGTACCCCTAAATCTCTCTTTAATTGCCAATTGAGCTCTGATTCCATGGACCATGGCTCCGAACTTTTATTTAGCTAAACATTGAAGTACCACCGTGAGCGGTGTATCCCTACTCCGTTAACTCCGTGATATCTATAAAGCAGGTTTTTGAACCACGAACAGTATCAGCAACCCAAAAACTGGTCTAAGAATCCTGGGTTACAGCTTTGCATCATCTTGTACGGTAGACATCATGAAATAGACTTGAGGATTCCGATGGTGGTTGAATCCTCTTGTCCAGCAATGTCTAGCATGTCGTGCTCGGTGATGATTTATAAATGATAAATTTAACCATTGTGGCGATAAAAAGTCTTATTGGATCTGATTATATTGATTATATATCAATGCCATATTTTCAGATGGTTAGAAATAAAGTCACCGAGGTCATCTGTTTAGGAAGATTGCTTAAGCGGGGAATCTCCACTCGGCATTCGGCCGTTCGGAGCACATTGAGCGCGAAGCCGGTCATCAAGCCGACAACGCAATTTTATCCTTTTCGATACTATTCAATATAGCCGCAAGCTAGTCTATGTGACTAATGATCCAGCAGATGATGGAAGAATCCCAATATAATCCGAGGCGACTACCAATGAAACACTGGGATAGGGCTGGGTACATATATCAAAGTATCTGAACTTCGGCCTCGCGCTTGGGCCGGACTTTGGTTTCAGTGGGTTATCCACGGACATTAGCTCGAACAGTGGAGATCCCGGCCTTTACTATAATTATTTCTAGCGAATAGAATGGGTTCATGCGGGTTCTTTTCTGGATTTCGGCTTTTCTTCTTCTTCCTAGCTTCGCTCCGGGGCTCGGCCTTTAGGCCGCGAGGTTGCTTAGCATGTAGTTCTCCAAGATAAAAAGTCTGGTCCATTCCCACATTGTGACGTCTCTAGTCAGTATTAATACATCAAAACCTTCAAGTTCCAAGATTCTTGTATTTAGCATTATCTCATTCTTGGAAGCTTCGACCCTATTCTTACTGCATTTCAACAAGAGGACATATATTTTTGCAACTACCCCTTTTCATAAATTTCCTGCAGATTTAATTTGTGATGAGTGGCGCTCAGTTTGACTCGTCTACAACTACACCTCGCCTCAGCATGGATCATCGTGATCCCACCATCGATGATGCCCTGGAGAAAGAGGTCCCTGCGGCACCACAAGACACCGACGTCGAGAGTGCCCATGGCCAACAAGGACCTGAGAAGCCGGTCGACAAGGATCCCAATCTAGTCGAATGGGACGGTCCAGATGATCCGGAAAACCCTCAAAACTTCTCCAGGGGACGGAAATGGCTGATCACTGTGACTATGTCATTAATGACCGTGTGGATCACATTTGCCAGCAGTGTCTTCTCAACTGCAACAGTCGTCACAGCCAAAGAATTCAATGTATCCACCGAGGTCATGGTTCTTGGAACCAGTCTGACCGTCTTCGGTTTCGCTCTAGGTCCTCTCTGCTGGGCCCCGATGAGTGAACTATACGGCCGCCGCATCCCACTATTCTCTGGCTATGCTATTTTCGCTATATTCCAAATCCCCGTCGCCGTGGCCACCAACCTACAGCAGATCATGATCTTCCGCTTCCTCATTGGTGTTTTCGGCTGCTCTCCACTGGCAGTTGTCGGTGGTGCCATGGCTGACCTCTGGGACCCTGTAGATCGGGCTGTCGCCATCGCCATGTTCAGTGGCGCTACCTTCCTCGGCCCAACCCTCGGTCCTATTGTCGGTGGTTTCATCACAGACTCCTACCTGGGTTGGCGCTGGACTGCCTGGATCACACTCATCGCATCCGCAGCCTTTGGCGTGGTCGGTCTTTTCGTCGTCCCAGAGACTTACGCTCCCAAACTCCTCCAGGAACGAGCTGCCCGTCTTCGACAGGAAACCAAGAATTGGGCACTGCACTCCTTCCTCGATGAGCACAGGCCTACTTGGAAAGACATCGTGAATAAGTACCTTCTTCGTCCATTCCAGATGCTTATCCTGGAACCTATCCTCCTCTTCATAACCCTCTACCTCGCTCTCATCTACGGAATCCTCTACCTCTTCTTTGAGGCCTACCCCATCTCCTTCGGCCAAGTTCGTGGCTGGACCCATGAAGGCGTAGCTGCGCTGCCTTTTATCGGCATCATGATCGGTGTCATTGGTGGCATTTCTTTGATCATCTACACTACCAAAACTCGCTTCGCTCGCAAACTAGCCAAGCACGGCCGCGTCGTTCCTGAAGAGCGCCTGGTTCCAATGATGATTGCCTCAGTCCTCCTACCAATCGGTCTATTCTGGTTCGGCTGGACCTCTAAGAAAGAGATCTCGTGGGTACCACAGGTCATCGCCGGTGTCCCAATTGGAATGGGAATCCTGGTTATTTTCATGCAGGGCCTAAACTATATTATCGATGTCTATATGATGTTCGCCAACTCGGCTATTGCAGCCAATACCCTCGTGCGGTCTATACTCGGTGGTGCTTTCCCGCTTTTCGCGACTCAGATGTATGATAACCTGGGTGTGGACTGGGCGTCTAGTGTCCTGGGTTTCATTACTATTGCTATGATTCCGATTCCGATTTTGTTCTTCTTCTATGGAGCCAAGATTCGGGCTATGAGTCGGTTCAGTCCGAAGTTCTGATGCATTATTTCCCTAATACTGGTTTTGATCGCTTTTGGTTGCACATGCGGAGTTTGACCTTTTCTTGATACTTTCATGATTGCATTGTCACGATTTACATAGATTTCCATACATTGGTACACTAATTAACTAATGTTTATAAAAACTATTCATAGTCCAATTCATAATGTATTTCATACGTGACTTTTTGTCCGGTGAAAAGTATCACTAGGCCTTAAGCCTACGATATTGGATCTATGTACCTACTATGTACTTTCGAGGCGGGGCTTGTAAATACAGACAATTCAATACATATCTGTCAATGCAACTATTGAGTAGTACTAACATCTTTGAAGGCTTCGAATGTTGGTGGCACTTGCAGTGACCTCGGCACAACAGGGCCAACAACTACAACTACTGTGCAGTACTGAGCCAAGGTAATTCAGTGTAGAATTTCTCTACTTAATTGGCTATTATGGCACATTTATAAGACAGAGACAACCTTGAAGAACGAAAATTATCGAGAAAGAAAAGACCGGAACAGTTCGCAGCAAGCTCCCTACTCTAAAAAAAAACCATCTAACTAGTGATGAATCTTAAGGGCAGAAGAACCTCAGTCGAAACTGAATGGTCAACAGATGTCATCACCCAGAGCAAAGAAATCAAAACGGAACCATTTAGTCGTAGAGGCTGTCATCATTGCCGGCTTCGCCGAACGTGTCGTTGTTCTGGACCTCCCCGGCGGTGGGGAAGCGGAAGAAGCTGCTACCTCCAGAGTTCTTAAGGCTCTGGGCGAAAGCCTCGTAGCGGCGAATCTCAACGTCGCTAACGGACCGGCGGGCAGACTTCATGGCCTCCTCGAAGTGGGCCTTTGTGAGCTCTGAAACAGTGTCCTCCATGGCCTCGTCGTCGTCCATGCTAATATCCTCACCAGCAGCCTCACGAGCCTTGATGCGCTCAATGTCGGCAGTGATAGCCTCCTTGATGGCGAGCTTGACGGCACGCTGGGTGACAAAGCCAAGATCGGCACCGGAGAAACCGTGGGTCTTGCTGGCAATGAAATCCAGGTCGACATCTCCGGCGACAGGAGTCTTGCGAAGCTGGGCCTTGAGGATACCTGCACGGGACTCCTGGTCGGGCAGGGGAACGTAGACCAGGGTGTCGAGACGACCAGGACGGACGAGGGCGGCGTCCAGTTGCTCGGGACGGTTAGTGGCACCAATAACGAAGACGTTCTTCTTAGAGGTCATGCCATCCATCTCTGTTTAGGGTGTTAGGAAGAAAAAGTGAGGGTGAAAGGTTCTTAAAGACACTTACCAGTTAAGAGCTGATTGACAACACGGTCGGAAGCACCACCGGCGTCACCTACAGAGCCACCACGGGACTTGGCAATAGAGTCCAACTCGTCAAGGAACACAACGCAAGGAGCGGCAGCGCGGGCCTTGTCGAAGATGTCACGGATGTTGCTCTCCGACTCACCGAACCACATGCTCAGCAACTCAGGACCCTTAATGGAGATAAAGTTGGCAGCACACTCGTTGGCGACAGCCTTGGCCAACATGGTCTTACCGGTACCGGGAGGTCCGTAGAACAGAACACCTCTTGAGGGGCTGAGACCGAACTTGGTGAACATCTCGGGGTGGTCGACCGGGTACTGCACGCTCTCGATGAGTTCGCGCTTGACCTCCTCCAGACCACCAATGTCGTCCCAGCGGACATTGGGAACCTCGACCACAGCAACCTCGCGGAGGGCGGACGGGTTGGAGACACCGAGGGAGTAGCGGAAGTTCTCCATGGTGACACCAAGAGAGTCAAGGACCTCAGCATCAATGGTATCCTCATCAAGATCAATGAGGTCCATCTTTTCACGAATCTGTTGCATGGCAGCCTCCGAGCAGAGCGAGGCCAAATCGGAACCAACGTAACCATGAGTCTCAGCGGCGAGGCTCTCAAGATCAACATCATCGCCCAACTTCATGTTCTTAGTGTGGATCTGCAGAATCTCAACTAAATTTTAAACAAGCGCGGTTAGTACAATACTTTTGAGAATCAGGAGAAAGCAAGGAGGCACGTACGACGACCAGTTGGGTCGGGAATACCGATATCCACCTCACGGTCAAAGCGACCGAAGCGACGAAGGGCCGGGTCAATAGAGTTGGGACGGTTAGTGGCAGCCATCACCACAACATTTGAACGAGACTTCATGCCGTCCATGAGGGTCAAAAGCTGTGAGACAACACGACGCTCAACCTCACCGTTGGTCTTCTCACGCTTGGGGGCGATAGAGTCGATCTCATCAATGAAGATAATAGCGGGAGAGTTCTTCTCGGCCTCCTCGAAAGCCTTGCGCAAGTTCGACTCGGATTCACCAGCCATCTTGGACATGATCTCGGGTCCGTTTATTAAGAAGAAGAACGCTCCGGTCTCGTTCGCGACAGCACGGGCCATCAAAGTCTTACCGGTACCAGGAGGTCCGTACATGAGAATACCACGGGGGGCTTTGACTCCCAGCGTCTGGAAGAGCTGGGGGTGGCGGAGAGGCAGCTCAACCAACTCACGAATCTGAGCCATCTGTTTCCGGCAACCACCGATATCGTCATATCCGACTTCACTGAGGTTACCCTCCTCATCCTCTCGCTGGATGGGCTCACCCTCACAGTGAATAATTGTGTCCTGTGCTACGATACCGTACTCTGGGGGATCCACCTCAACGACCTTAAACTCGACTTGGCGCATACCTCCCCGAACGGTGAAGAGGTCTCCTTGGCGCACAGGTCGGTAGGCCTCACGGAAGTAGGGAGCGAGGAAGACATCGAAGATAGATCCGGTCAGACCCTCAATAGTATCGGCGATGGGAAGGACGGCAATGCGCTTGGCCTGAAGTTACATCCAGATTAGTACCCGATCAAAGAAGTGGAATTAGGAATCAACTCAAAATCTAAACTCACGTATTTGATATCGGGGCAAGGGTGAACAGTGATAACATCGCCGTGCTTAACGCGGAGGTTGTGTCGGACAACACGGTTGATGCGGGCGCTACCGTCATCGAGGTCGTCATCGGCCAGGACGATCAGCACAGTGTCCTTGCGCTTCTTGCCCTTCACCAGGACTGTGTCACCACGGAAGAGCTGGAGAGTCTCCATGGTGTTGTTGGATAAGGCAATAACAGAGTTGTCATCGTTGACGGCATCGGTCACGCTATCGATGAGCTGTCAGCTTCGTCTCCGCAAATCGCCCACGGCCCCAATGGGATCTCTTACATCAAGGAGTTGGGCTTCTTCTTCTTCTTGAGAATAGCAGTCGCAGTGTCAAGCTCCTATTTATTCTGTCAGTCTTCTGATGCTGCGAGTTCCTGTATGCTGGTCTGACCTCTTTCTTCTCGGCGCCCGAGGCATCCCTGGTGCGGTGTTAGTCACGGATCGGTGAAAATTCAATGGATAAGCAACATACTGAAGGTTGACCCTCTTCTTATCATGAGTGTGATCTGGCTCTGCAGACATCTTGAAGGATCTGAGATGTGGCGGATTGTTGGGAAGAGGAAGCTTAGAAGCGGGAACGATCAAGTGTTCACAACCAAGCTGAACGACAGCTCAAGAGAGTGAACGAGAAAAAAAACAACGAATCGAATCAACGATGGGGAGATGAGAAATGTGCGCGGTAAAACACGGGGAAGATCAGCAAGACGACGGTAAGGTGAGAGATGAGAGGTTGGTTAAGAGCTTCCAGGTACTCAGTGACGATATGTGCTGAGCTAAGCAGTAGACCGTTTATGTCAGCCAATTGGTGTCCGCCACCAGCGAATGTGATGGAACTTGGTCGATATTTGCCTTAATGCCTGATGTTCAAGTAACCTTTTAATCTTTTAATCAATAGTGTCCACTAGTCTTTACTGATTGGTATTGATTATTGACTACCCTTGGATCTTCGTGAACGTGTCCAGGTACAAATCCACCACGGTCGCAGTACTATATCCATAATTTTGACCTCCCAATGAAACCACGGTTAAAACATCCAAGGATAACCCCAAAAATTGTCGGGCCTTTCATTTCCGTACATATAGATGAGGCTCTTATCATTACTTCCTGCACTGCGCCATCCCCACAGCCTAGAACCAGATACAGTACACCAGGCAGCCCCAGGCAGAATGGTTGATTAATTCGCGCGTCATGTCACCTTACACACTTTCAAAAAAAATCCTTCGTCTGAGCCTGTACTCTTTATCACTTGTGTCTTCATCGCAGCAATATTTGAATGCAGCATTTATATACTGTACTCCCTAGCATTGTTCCACCACCACAACTGCGACCTATAATTTCCCTTCTCTCCTAACATTTGATATTCTACAATTTGACACCTGTGCTATTTCATAAAAATGGAAATGAAGTCCTGGTACCCGACCGATTTCAAACAAGCATTAAGCAACACAATTCCCGAAGAAGACATGGCAATCTACCTCCAGCGACCAGGTAGCTCCCCACGCTTTGTATACGGAGTCTTGATGCTCCCCACCGTTCTGAAATACTATATCAACCTTGAACAATGTTACGAAATCCACACCGCTATGACTCAAGCCACATTACCTGGATACCAACTACATCAATTTGCAGAGTCAAGCTCGCCAGTCATCGCACCTTCACCAGATCCCAAAGCCATGGTGGAGGGAATGCTCATTTTTAATCTCGACGAGCATCAACGAAACGCTCTTTATGAATTTGAGGCTGGGCTGATGTGTCTGACCAGCGTGCAAGTGGATATTTGTCAGAAAGATACAGGTCAGATGCACTACCTTCGCACTGTGGATGCTGGGGCTTTTACTTGGACCAATTCCACACTTGGACTGGCGCGAATCAGAGACTCGTCGTGGGGGATTAGTGAGTTCTTGAACAGTCCGTTCTATCAGTACATGTCCCAATCCCAGGATCGAACCAGTGTTCGGCTTTAGAACGGGAAGGCAATGAAGAGTCGAGATTTGGTCACAGTCGCAATCCTGGCTGGGTGTTTGGCAAACAGTCTTCTTTGTACAGCATGGAGAAGGATGCGTAGTATGATAAGGACCGAAAATTGGAATCGATCAATTGATAAGTTTTCCATCATTCTAGAAACAATTGGTGAAAATTGAAGAAACCTCGGAATTGCCTTTTTTACGTTATGTCTCATACACTAATGCGCATTAAGTCTACCAATTCATCTAGCTCGTGAAGCTACTAGTGACGTCAAGTTTATCCTAGGTACCTATTCTTTGAAACTTTGATCTACTACAAAAGCGTATGAAAGGCAAGTAAAAAAGATAGAGAAAGATAGAAGCTTTAGCAACTCGGTATGACAACTTCAATCCTTAAAACCAGTGAAATCCTTGGAATCAACTGAGTAAACAGCAACATCATGATGCCCCTTCTGTTGCGCAATACTCAATGCCGTTTGTTGTGCAGCATCGGGGATCTTGAGATCTACTCTGCCAATCTCCATGTGTAGTTGAGCAATACCGCATCTCCACTTTGAGCAGTATAAATTATAGCTGATCGGCCTTGATAGTCCTGTAAATTGGTATTCAGATAATCCCGTGCCAGAAGCTACTTCAGAATCTCTTTATTTTCCAGGGCCACAGCAAATATGAGGGTCGTTCGATTGTGTCTGTCTTGAAAATTGACGTTGATCCGGGGACAACACAAACACATCCACAGATGCGGTATTCTGCATTGCCACAGTCCAAGTGAGATCAGGCCGTTGAGCGCGGACATAAAATGTCTTGTTTGCCGCTCCAACAACATCAATTGAAAAGAGTAGTCCTGCTGAGGGAGCTTTTGAAATGAGTCAAATACCGCAGGGTCTCGTAATAGGGATTCGGAGCGTTCCTCGTCTTCAATTTTCTCGGCCTCGAAAAAGACATGGAGGGTTGTTGGGAACTCCGACCTTCTAATGTCACCAGCGTGTGTATCCAATCGATTAGGATTGATGTTGGGATGGGCAAGTTTCGAAACCTCCATTCGAACTTTTTAATACAGGAAGCCAGAGTCCCAAGATTCATGGTAAATGTTCCATAAGGCACTGTCAACAAAGCCCTTGTCAATGAATGCCTTTATAAAAAGATGATTCATCTTGGCATCTGTGAGACCTACAACCGCCGAATGAGATACACCTAAAGGAGGATTCTCATGGCGCGCAAATGTCGCTCAAATGTCGTTGGGTGGCCAACAGAGAAACTAGCCAGGCGACAAAACTCGAAGTTACTTGTTTACAATAGTTATACAATCACATCAGATTACATCAACAGTGAAATCGAATATCTGGGACCAAAGGGTATGAGTGCAAACTGTCCCTGTTTGCTCTTGGAGAGGTAGTTGATGTAGATACAGTATGTAGATTGCAGGACCTGCCATCGGATCACATTATTACAGCCGGGCAAAAAGTATGAAAATGATGTAGAGGCGTGAGATGCCTCATAATGGATAATGAATAAGCACTAGTTAATTCGTTCTGCCGCTGCAGATCCAAACAAAGACAATTCCTATACAAAAAACACCCTCGCGAAAGAGACAAAATGGTCGAAGAAGAGTAGATACCAGGGTCGATTTCATGCATAAAACAAGAGTAAAGGCGTTTGAAAGAAGGGGGATCCAGTTAGATAATCTCACACAGGCACCGCAGTCGTGACTTCATCAAGGAAATTCATGACTCAATGCCGAGGTCCAAGAGCAGGAGAAGGGGCACCAGAGATTGCAGGACTAGCACTGGCCGACATACGGGCACCAGGGGCCGGACTCGCACTACCCAGATTGGGGTTTGCAGGAGCATTAGCACTTTTAGAAATACGCTCCTCCACACGTTCCTTGTGCTGCCGGTTGCGAAGGTGAACCTCAAAGTTGTCAACAGTCATGCCGGGGCCAGGCGTGTACAACTTGCCGGGGCAATCGTGGCACCGAATTCTGGGTAGGTACTGGTATTTGATTTTTTGGCCAGGTTGGAGTTGGTTGGTATTGGGCACAGGGGCCAAAGTTTCCATATCCACGGCAGAATAACGCATCACTCCTTCGAATGAGTCATTGGGGTGGGCCTGTTGTAACCCTTGAAGTCCGGCCGCGAGCCAGCTAGGCGGTGGGGGCTGAATTCGCACGGTCAGCTAAGACCAAAATTTCGAGGGTCAATATCTACTCACAGCAGGGACGCCGGGCTGAGGTGGGTTCGGCGCGTCAACAGCTCCTGTTTGCTGGGGCCTTGGGGGGTTGTTTCCAGGAAGTCGAGCTTGCTTATCGGAGGGAGGTGCCATTGAGGCATTGGATACAGCCCTGTTAAAGGATGATTGAGATACAATTCGCTGTCCGTTTCTCAAAGCCATCAACCTGTCACGTGACACTCTGAGCCTCACGATCAACTTGTCCGGTTCTTCTTCGCTTTCTTCTCGGTATTGTTGCCGTCGAGCCGACGCTCGCGGCTCGTAGAGTACAGGCTCTGGGGTTTCGGAGTGTCCCAAACCGGCACGTAAGGCTGCATGGGCTTCCCTGGCAGCTCCCCGCATGCCTCTTGTGCGAGCAGTGCCTTGAGCAAGATTTGGCCCAATAGCTGGAGAACCTTCATCCGAATCATCACTTTCAAATTCATCAGAATCGTCGTCTCGTTGTCCCGCCATACCACGACGGCGACCGGATCCCGAGCGCTTTATGACGTTGCTTTCTTCCATGGATGCTGCCGAGTTGGGGATGACAGAAGACACAATCAACGTGCGAATCGTACGTTGACGGTCCTTCAGGTCTGGTAGAGCAGGTCCACCACGCCGGTTTATGGATCGTTTTTGGCGACGCTGCTCCCGAGATATCGAAATCTCAGTTCGCTCGAGATCTGTCTCATTCAGTTCGTAGAGGTAAGGCGTGTGTTCCTTTGCCGATTGGTAAGGTCGGAAGGCGGAAGATACAGGAGTTGGTAGGAAGGAAGCGCTGAGATCGGGATCTTCGATGGGGCGACCATCGAAGGGGTGGGCAACGATGTAGAGGGACTTGGTAAACATTTGCGATTGTTCACGAATGGAATGAGCGATAGCGGTGGTGAACTCGCCAGAGAGAGAAAGATCGTCTGTCATCCGTATGGCAAACTGCTCTGGAGAATTTTGTGGATCGTTGATGTCCCACTCGAATTGGTCAATGAGAGTATGCTGACCAATTGTGATATTCAACTTGACCAGGATACGCATCTCATCGTTTCGGTATGCGGTGTAGGGGAGATGCGGGTCAAGAGCCTCCTCGTGCATGTAGATTTGTGGATAGTAGTCCATCAACTGCTCCTGAATGCTCTGCGAGATCTGGCGCATGAGGGGGCCAGATGTTTCCATAGGAAGGCCCAGATCCTCCACCAGCTTCTCGGCAAACAGGTCTGGTGACACAACACGGTCATGTAAATTCCAAGTAAAAGTATCGCGAATCTTGACTTTCTCCCAGTCAATATCTAAACGGATTGGCACCAGGTCATCCATCTGCTCGTTCTGCACCTTCAAATCTCGACGCGAGACCCGAAGTTCACGAGTCTTGCGATTTCCAGGCCGACGTCGATTGGCTGGGTACAAAAGCTGGGGTGGGTGGTTTCGCAGATCCGTGCGGGTATTTCCAAACCCTTCGTATCCTGCGCCAAACAACGCAGCGGGGTTTGTCTGGTTTTCGCGTCGAAGTTGGAGGTAAAAATCACGCTCCATCCGTTTCTCTCGCTGCAGCTCCTGGCTTGTGGTTTGCCAAGCAGTTGCGGCCGAATATTCAAACTCGCGGTTGACGAGATTCTCTATCATAATCTGTTCGACGGGTGTCTCTCGTGTTCGAACGGTCATCGTCCCTGAGACATCGCTAGGCTGCACGACAGACCCATCGCGAGATCTTTTTCGACTTTGCGCGGAGCTACTTGTACCGTTCGACTGGGGAGTGCCATTGGCATCACTAGGATCCGATCCACCAGATGCTGCCAGCATAGCTTTGGCATTCTGCTTTCCGCCTTCAAGTATATTGGTCTCCTGTCCATTGGCAGATGGTTGTGTACCCGGGTCGGAATCCTCTCCTCCAAGCCTGGTTTCAAACGCGCTGGAACCATTCTGCACGCCAGGCTGAGATTCGCCGGTGAAATACTCTGATGGGACAGAGCCACTTGCCAATTCAGGGGATGTCATGGTGAGTTATTAGGATGGAACAGGAAGCGGGCGTTGGGTGTCACTCGGTCGGAAATCTATGGGGAGTGGCACTCAACGCGACAAGAATGATTGAAGGCCAATTAGAACAGCATCATTGAATGATTTCCTAGAGACTGGATTCGCCTAGGTTAGCGGTTTTCTTCAGTGTTGCGGTAATGAGCCATCCTCATCGCGACTGCGCGGTCATCTTCGGCCTGTCCTGGCGCCGATCGATGGACGTGTCGCGACACGCATGGCCTAGGCGACACACTGTCACAAATTATAGCAGCGCGGGAATAACAATGAAATGGAATGGAATTGGTGAAGGCGACAAATGGCAAAGCTCATGGGAACGAAACAACATACCAAAACCGAAGGGGGTTGGATGCCGATGATGGCCTTACTCTGATCACGAGAACGAACACAGCCAAGGCAGAACGGGTCGATATCGGAGTATAGGAGGTCACTTGATTCAGAGGTTCGCGCGAGAAGATAATCGGTTTCTTCCGCTTGAGTGCTCGGATGTTGGAGAGGCTGTGGGGGCGGTTGCTCAAGGCGTGGGTGGGTGAGAGAAGTTCAGTTCAAAGGGGAGGATTACGAGATGTCCGCACCCGGGCGAAAAGCAAGGCCTATCCTCGGCGCACCCTTCTACGGCCACGAAAGGTACTATATATGATTATAAGAGAATATATAGTGGAAAGGAATTATATTCTACGTTCAGGGACAGTATACTTTGCCCGTTTATGGCTAAAGACGGCGCTGCGCCAGGACCAATTTGACGGCATGTGGGAGTCACGTGGTCAAGACTCAGCAGACCCGTTGGTGCCTGTATAATCGGGCATTAATTGTCTATCTAAATAACTAGTCAACTTCAGGTCGATACTTCGAAAATTAGCAGAGCATCAAAATCCTTGTAATCATTGCGTATTCTGCTGAATAGATGAAGTTTAGTATTCTCAAGGGGCAAAGGCTTAATTACTACCAACATTTGTTGGTCACTTTAACGTTATTGCATGAATCACCCTGCATGTTCCATGGCACCAGGGCGGATAACGCTTAAGTAGAAACAGTATTTCGATCTTGGACTATTCAAAGCTTGTATTGTGCTTCCTTCAGACATTTTCAATTTTAGCAACTTCACAAATTAGAGTGGACATGCTTCAGATATGGAAGTCGGGCTTCCAAGGTTCGGCACTGCAGGACTTTACCATCGACCACAGGAATATCCTTTCTTATTGCAGATGGCAAGCTCGAGGACCCAAATGTTGCCTCAAAATAGATTCAAAATAAAGAGATCCTCGAAGACGTCTACGCCATTTACGTTGATCCTGGGAAAGCATGTGCCTAAGATAGTAGCAACACTATACATTTCCTAACCAACCAGCGTGAGATCGGCAACCACCGCGCAATGATCTGAGTTATAAACCTCGTCATCAAATCTGTTTGGTATCACAGAATATCCGTCAACTCGCCAGGGCTGATTTCCCTCAGGTGCCAACAGAATAAAGTCAATACGCTTTGGGGGCTCCTTGCCGTATCCAAACCCAGTGAAGGTGTTGTGGTTACCATACCGACACGCGTCAGAAGCCATCTTGTAGGTATCACCCAATCCTCCCTTACATGTTAACTCCAAGTATGCTTCTTGCTTCTCTTGACTATTCAAATCTCCAGATAGGAACGTGCCCGAAATCAGACTCCCAAACGAACCTTGCTGGTAATCCCGAATCTTGGATAGTATGATGTGCGCAGCCTCAAGTCGTGAATGCGATCCTTGATCATCGAGATGCGTATTCAGGGCTAGGACAGTATTGCCTGTCTCGCGGTGGGTGAAGAGGCCAATGGTGACGATGCGGACGGAGGCTGCGTCCCAACTTTTAGAAGGCTCCGAGGGAGTTTCAGAAAGCCATACCGTCTCCCAGTGCTGTAAGTTCCACACTGACGGTTTATAGAATATTGGCGAGTATTCACCCGCTTGATGGCCATCATCTCGACCAACTCCGATGTATGCCCACTCTTGAGACAAAGAAGCTTTGATTGTGTTCAATCCGGCACTTATGTATTCAAGTTGGCCATGAAGAACTTCTTGAAGGCATATAAAAGTCTCGTCACAATGGCGGGAGTGGTACTTTAGTTCATTCAAAAGATTTTGTCTTCGTTCGGCCCAGGGGACCTCCCCCTTGAATGGAGAGTTGGTTGCATAACGGATGTTATGGGTCAATATCCGGACGGGAAGCGTTGGAGTAGACCTCATAGCTCGAGCTATTATTCCGAATTCGGTGGTGGGAAATAAAAGAAGAAGCTTAGAAAGGCTTTCGGAATAGGTTTACTTATGCGGAGAAGCTCGGGGGAGTTGGGTTGATGGTTCTGGGGAATCTGGGCCCGTGGCTAACCCCTTGTAACCTAAACTTGATGATTTAAAAGAATGCAAGTACCTAATGGAAACTATACATCCTATTAATAACTCTTTTTTTTAGTTGAAAAACTGCGAAAGCGGGGAAAAACCCAATAATTCTGTAGTCATCATGACCCATGACGTCTTTGCAGCCGTAACCCTACAGAGCCTGACGGTTCAGGCTGCGACGAAGTTCCCCCCACCACCGCTAAACGCTAAACGCTTCATTCGCTGCACACGACCTGTTCTCGATCCATTCCTCTCAAGCTTCCAGTGGATTTCAGATCTACCGTTAATACCCACCTGTTTTCTTCTGATTCTTTATACCGGCCGAGCCAACCAACTTCACAATGGTTGAGACTACCCAAACACCCGAGGTTGGTAAGTAAGAACTGCTCCCGCGAAAGCTCTTACGTTTGTGGGCATCGCTGTCCGACGAACCGAAGAGCTTTGGCGGGGCTCTAGGATAACACCGCCAAACTTCTAGGATGTTTTGAGAGCTAATTGGTCTGAAATTCTCTTTCAGACTACACCCTCAACAACCCCGACACCTTGACCAAGTACAAGACTGCTGCTGGCATTTCACACAAAGTTCTCGATGCCGTCGCTGGTACGTTACACTCCACCATTAATCCAAATCTTTATAAGACCTAATATTTGTTCATAGCTCTGTGTCTTGAGGGCGAGAAGATCGTCGAGATTTGCCAGAATGGTGACAAGCTCCTCGATGAAGAAATTGCCAAGGTCTACAAGGGCAAGAAGATCGCCAAGGGTGAGTTCTAATTTTTTTTTCTTCGTATGGATTTTTGACAGTTGAAATCTAACTGAAGAAAAAAGGTATCTCCCACCCCACCACTGTCTCTCCTAGCTCCTATGTGACCCCCTACACTCCTCTCGTGTCCGATGTCGCCGAGGCCGAGATCGCTCTGAAGGCCGGTGAGGTCGTCAAGATCCAGCTGGGTGCCCAGATCGATGGATTCGGAACTATTGTCTGTGACATGGTCGTCGTTCCCAAGAAGGACGCCGCCAAGGAGCCCATCACCGGCCGTGAGGCTGACCTCATTGTCGCTACCCACTACGCCAACGAGCTCCTGCTCCGCCTGATGGTTCCCTCCGGTCTGCTGGCCCAGGGTACTGACGAGGAGAAGGCCAAGGCTGCCGCCAAGAAGCCCCCAACCCAGTCTCAGATGACCGACCTCGTCGAGAAGGTCGCCAAGGCTTACGACTGCAAGGTCGTTGAGAACACCACCAGCTGGATGTTCGACCGCAATGAGATTGAGGGTAACAAGAAGATCATCCTTGTCCCCGGTGAGGGTGTCCGTGGTGAGGGTGTTCCCGATGTTGGTGAGGTTTGGGGTGTTGAGATCGGTCTCAGTTTGGGATCCGGTAAGGTCAAGAACCTTGACCACCGCACCACCCTGCACCGCCGTACCACTACCACCTACGGCCTGAAGCGCCCCAGCTCTCGCCAGACCCTCTCCGAGGTTGTCAAGAAGTTCGGTACCTTCCCCTTCAGCTTGCGTCAGCTCGATGATGAGAAGGCCGCCAAGGTCGGTGTTGTCGAGTGTGTTCGTGGCGGTGTCCTGCGCTCCTACGAGCCCGCTGGTGAGACTGACGGCTCCCCCGTCTCTCGCCTGCTGTCCACCGTTGGTAAGTTTTGAATCACATTTTTTGCAATGATCCAATTTTGCTAATCTTGTTATAGCCATCACCAAGAACGGTCTCACCAAGCTTGCTGCTCCCGCCCCCATCGACCTGGAACTGTACAAGTCTGACAAGAAGATCGAGGATGAGGAGATCCTGAAGATCCTCGAGCAGCCCCTGGCTCGCTCGACCGGCAACAAGAAGAGCAAGAGCAAGAAGAAGAAGACCACCACCGCTGGCGAAGAGTAAATGCATTAACCAGAGCTCATTTACGGTATCTCAATGTGCAATATACTTCGATCTTACTTGGAATAAGACTAGATATTGGTCAATACTCAAATCAAACAAAAAAAAGATATCCAATACAAAATTCCGTCAACGCTTAACGACTTCCAAAGTATCCTACAATTTCAAAGCCCACAACGCCAATCATTAATGTGTCGATAGGGGAACCGGGTCTGCAGTACCATTCATGTGGACAGGACATGACAACTGCTGGTTTTTTTTCTGGCACGCATGCACTAGAAGTGGAACCAAGAAACCGAAAGGGAAGTGCCAGCCTATTCCTAAGCCTGCAAATACTCCCCGATATTGGCTGCTGTAGTACAATCGTGTAGAATTCCGACAGCTGTAGCTATGGCATAGCTATGCCGTACCATTGGAAGTAACGTGCGATCAGACAAAGGGCTTGCAATCCTCCACTTTTGCTCACCATCTTTGATCTCTAGTTTATCAATCATTAAACCGAGAAAAGCTCTCTCTATGATGAACTTGCTATAAAAATCAAGCCCACTGCCATGAAACCACCACTGGAATTGAACAAAGGTACAGGGACTGGTCACCCGAACTTCTGGCACAGCCCCCCAAACGTTCGTCTTTCCAATGAGCTTTCTATATTGTACGATGGCTCTTGCTTGACGGGTCTCAAACATGGTAGCTACTATTGTAGTGATAAGTACACAAGCTTGGGATCATTCACCCGACAAGAGTGTCTCTTGACCTGCCGGCAATAAGCTGGAAAGGGAAGATACACCATGGTTCGCAACTTACGCCTGCTACATTCTTTGCGGATCGTTGACGCCCTCCATTACTGATGAATATTTTTAAGCATATGGTATAGCGCAGATCATCATAGTGGAGTTTCCTTTTTGATTTCCTCCTTGAAATGGGCATATGGAATTTGGTGTGTGGCTCAAATAAGCAAAATGTACAGACTCTCCATGGATCTTGCATTCCAAGGTCGAAAATGATGTAGAAGCAACGAGATGGTTCTTGAAAGAAAACCCTTGAATAGCTCATATTTGCCCAATCGTATAGTCTGACAACCGGTGGCATTAGAGGTTGTCTACATGTTTCCTTGCCTTGGCATCCCTGCATATGGATTTGCAGGTATCAGGCCTCACTTTTCTCTTCCTAGTTGTCAGCTCTGTTTCCATAGGTCTAACTTATGCCTTGATCGAATCGAAGCATCGAAGTCATTGCTATAATAGAGCATATTGAGATAATATCTCTCTGGCATCCAGGCTTTAGATCTGCTAGTAGTGCCAGAGTTCAATCCTGTACGCAAATGAAAGAACATTGAAAAAATTAAACACACCATCAAACATTTCCATAAAAAAGAAAAATGATTTCCCAATTTACTGCATATTCCAGGTCATTGTGAGTGATCGAGTTCGCATCCCGAGTTAAAAGAGAGTTAGGGCAAGGATGGGCGTGACGCTAACCCTAGCAGCTGCTTTCCGCCTTACCGCGATGGGTTACTTGACTCGGTCCAGTCGACGAGCTAATTCTCAACCCGCGAAAACCGCGAAGCAGCGCAAGCTTCTAGAACCCAAATCGCGTCCAAAACGCGCTGATTCTGCGCACTCGGGCAATGCGCCTTTAAGTGAACACGAAAAGTCCCGTGAGACTGCATGGGAGGACCCCCCGGTCGCACGCGCGCGCCCGACTGAGGCCGATGCCGATTCCACCAAAGACAAGAACCCCATCTATACCATGAAACCGATCGGCCAATATCCATCTCCCGCAGAGTATAAAAGCGTTGGCTTGAAGCCGCCTCCTAAGCATGTCCGCAAGGTTGCCAGGTGGGTGGCGGACACCGATGAGGAGGACGAGGACTTCATGACCGACACCCCTATCACACCAACTGCGGAGGACACTATGGTGTCTGGTGTCTCACGTGTGGATAAAAGAGACGATCGATTCTCAGGGGGGGTAAATCCGGTGGCACTGAAGAGTTCCATCGAAAAAATCGTCGGAAGGGATTTGGGGGTGAATGCGAATGGAGTGAATGATGAAGTGAATGGAGACGCAGATAAAACGAACCTTGCCACTCCAGTTTCCGAGTCGTTTGATTTACATCTTCTTCCTCCTTCGACTACTCATCCTTCCCTTTCTCCTGCAGAAACCCCCGTTCAAACTCCAGACGAGATCACGACTGACCCGATCTTGCCTGTTTCCGACTCTCTTCTTTCCGCACCCGACCCGGTAACCCCCTTAAACCAAACACAATCTCCCCCAGCTACGACCATCGCAGATGCCAGCATGGCTTCAGAAGCGATCAAGTCTACTGGCCTCAATCTCGTCGCTCTGTTAAATTCTGTTGAACAGCCAACTTCCGACGTCTTTGACGTGCCTCAGCTCAAAAAGGTCATAACGACCGCTGTTTCCCACTCGAAAGAGATCGGAGATGAAGAGGTTGCGCTCAGTCTTGTCTATTTCTGGTCTGATGTGAAAGATGACGAGTTCAAGATGGCACTGATTCACAATATCGGCGTTGAGCCCGCTAATCCCATACTTGAACTTGCTTTGCGTACAACTCTACGTCATTCTGTCACAGAGGCCCGGCAATGGTACCAGGATATCAACGCCAACAGCGCTGTCCGTGCAAAGTGTCACTCTAACTACGAGTCAGATAGCGGTTCCAGCTTATCTTCTGCAAAGTCTGTTGTGGCTGAGCCGGGAAAGTCGTCTTTCAAAGTTTCTGACATCTACCGTGATACCAGTGGCCCCAAACTTGAGGAGTCATTTGTGAATGGCAAGACAAACACTGCGCCTTACAAACGGCCCAAGAAACCGGTTCGTGTCCACGAAAACTCCTTCAAGCGTCGGTACGAGTGGGAAAACGACCCCACCATGAGTGAAATTATACGCACCAAACGTGCACGCTTTGCCAAAGATGCTCCAAGCGAAGAAGTTCCTGCGATGCCTAGTTCGATCCGCCCCGATCTTCCAGGTTCAGAGATTCAGTCCGTCAACCCGGTTGAGGAAGACATTGACGTGCCTCCTGCAGACATCTCCCCTCGCTCCAAGCGTATGCAGGATCGTCAGAACAAGCAGGAAAAAGGCAAGAAACAGGGAAAAGGCAAGGGCCCACAGAAAGGAAAAACGAAGTCCAAATCTCCTTCAGATGCGCCTACTCAGTCATCATTCTCCTCAGATACCGCTACCCATGCACCAGTGTCATTAGTCTTTCCGAAGGATAATTGGAGTGCTAACTGGCCTGCCCGCCGCCGGCCTGACTCGATGTATGTGAACATTCTTTGTTGATTTCCTTGATTTCCGACTAACTTCGGTCCTACAGTGATAATGATGGTGAAAACGTTGACAACTGCACTTTTTGCGGTGGGGGTGGCAAGTTACTGTGCTGTGACACCTGTCAAAATGCTTTCCATTTCAAATGTATCAAGTCTCCCAACAAGACATCGCTCAAGGATGATGAGTGGTTCTGCCCGAAGTGCGACACCAAACATGAATTCACCTTCACCATCCTCGACGGCAAGGTTGTCCCGAGAAACGAGTTCAATCCTCCCACCGAAATCAAAGAATACTTTGAAGGTGTCGGTGAAGCATTCCAGTATGATCCTGATCATCCGAGCGACTTGAATAACCAGCGCTACTACCAGCCTGTTCCCCACATTCCACGTCTGACTAAGCCAGCGAAGCCTGGAACCTTGACACCGGCATACAACGATCCCAACCTGATCAAGCTGATGGAAAATGGGCATGTGATTCTATGCACCAAATGTGGCAGATCTTCGGACAACGAGCGTCCCATTATCAGATGTGACTACTGTACATGTCGCTTCCACCTGGACTGTCTTGATCCTCCCCGCGCCTGCCCCCCTAACCCAGCCAACCCCCACGGCTGGATGTGTCCTAACCACGTCACACCTGAGGATATGATCGCCAAAAAAGTTGTCAACGGCCAGGTGCAAGAGCGCCGTGTCCGTCGTCCCCGCAATCTTCTATTGATTGACGCGGAACCTATGACAACCTATGACAAGGACTCTACTTTTGACGAGGACTGGCGCGGGGACCGCCTTCGTTTCCCTCCTGGAGATTTGATCCAGGACTTTGTCTCCGCTGTTAAAGAAGACCGCAAAAAGCTCAACGACGATTACATCGATCGTATGACGAAGCGCATGGTCGCCGTTACTACGATGGCAATCAAAGACTTGGCAGCCAGAAATGGTGGCATTCCTTCCCAGGCTTGGTTCAATAGTTTTGAATCTCTTTGCAAGACTGAGGCCCGTCGTATTCGACGTTTCGAACGTCCTGATGAAGAGGCCGATGCTGCACACTGTCTCCTTAACCTGGCAACTAGTGCTCCAGCACAGTCCAGCCCCCTTGACAACTCTCAATCTGAGCAGACAGTCGAAGACTCAAAGTCACCTCTTGAGGCTAAAGAGAAGTCCCCTGCTACGGAGACTGTCTAGCTGAATATCTATCTCTTTTTCTCATTTTCTTTATCTCTTATCTGGTACACGCCAACCCCCTATGAATCCTCCCAACCTGAACAGACAATCCAAGACTCACAGTCAACTGTGAAGGCCAAAGATAAGTCTCCCGATACAGAGACTGTCTAGCCCAATATCTCATCTCTTTTTCTCAATTTCTTTTACCCTCACGTTTTCTTTCCTGTTTGTTTTGTCTTCCGGGCCCGGTGTTTTTTCGTTTTCACTTTTCCTTGATCTTTCTTTCCACCTGATGCATTTTTCTCGCTCTTTCTCCTGATTTGCGAAATTGTCATGTGAGCATGGGACGGCGCATTGTCGAAGAAGTCATTTGTAAGATAGCATGGGCCCCGAAAAATTGGATACGATCCATTCGATCCGACGTGGTTTGATTTTCGTTTCGATTTTGATTCCCATTTTTTTGTTTCTCGTTTCACACAAACACACAAGATGTTCAGTTGATTTTGCAATTCGGAGCTTCATAATGGAATCAAATCGAACTAAATTCGTATTCTACATTAACGTGAAAGGTCCGAGAATCGGCGTACACGGACCTAGTGGACCTAGTGGCGAACCGGGCAAAGGGAAAAACGTCAAAGCTAATAAACGACACGCAAGAAAAATAGAATCCCGTTTCAAATCCCGCCACAGAGCACCAGATACATCGCTCAAAATACGGCCGTTTGATAATCCAGACTAGAAGGGTGGTTGTTGAAAAGGTCTTTTTTACAAGAAAAAAGTCCTAAGTGATGCGATTTTATCCCTAGAGGAACTTCTTGGGCATGTTGGCACGGCGACGCTTGTAGACAACGTATGAAACAGCAAGAAGGATCTGGAATGCGATGACCAGGAAAATAAAGAAGCCCATACGAGGGCTTGAGGCAGTAATAGCTGGAGGTTTGAACGTTAGTGTATGAACCGGGAACAATATTTGATTCAAACTTACCATTGAGGAAGTGTCCCTGCAAGTTCTCGCTCAGGCTGAGATGCGAAGATCGCAGAGTATCCTGGAGCTGGGTGAAGCGACTGCTGTAGTCCTTGCCCTCCAGATCCCGCTGGATATTCTGCAGCAGAGTCTCGATGCGCTGGAGGCGAGCATCGAGGGAATTGAGCTGATCCCTTGATGCGGTGTTGCGAAGGATCTCATCGTGTCTGGTCTCAGACTTCAAGAACTGCGACTTAAGATCCTGGATAATGCTGTTGGTGGCTTTGCTTTGGGCTTGCATGCGGTTGCCCAGTTCGAAGAACTGGGTTGAGTAGTCCTTCACAGAGCCTGCTTGGGCCGGTGGAATCTCCTGCTTCACTATGGGCTGTTGCTGTTTCTCTTGCTGCTCCTGCTGGGGGGTTCCCTGGGGGATTTGGCCGGCCGCGGATTCCAGGATGAACTTGAAGATCTCGAAGGAATCGGGGTTCTCGGGAGTTGCGGCCGTGATACCGAATGTGTTTCCAGATGGAAGAGCGACCTATTAGTTCTTAGTAAGATTGATCCAATGTTAATTAGAATAGGGGCGCATACCTTGTCGGTCGAGAAGCAGACCTTGTCGTCGACGGTAACCTCGAAGAACGAGTTTGTGTGCTTGAGCTTCACCACCGATGGACGACCCAAGTTTCGGTATGCGTAGTCGCAGTGTCCGAATGCCAGGCTATCAACGTTACGGTGAGTCTTGTAGTCTGTAGTTCCATCATTCAAGAATCCACGAATGCTTCCACCCTATAAGCCGATTAGCCGATATCCAGTAGTTACATTCGGACCAAAGCATACCCTTCCACCATGTGTATCAATCACAAGAGCAAATCCGTCGAAGGGGTCCACGGTGTAAATGCTGGAAGTGCCCACGCGAGCCTGGCCATCCTTGGTGTACCATAATTGGAGATTGCCGCTAGCTCGCTCGGGACCGGTAGCTCGGAATTGGAATTCGGCGGCCCATTCAGGCTGGGGAAAACTGGCTGGTCTTCAGTATGGTGTACATAGTTCGTTAGGTATGTCACGTACGGGTTCTGGGCCCAGGCTGATCCTCGCACGTTTCCGGGGTAGGGAGGGGTTAAGATGAGTTTGTCGGATAACTAGATAAACGTTAGTTATCATTGACCTCAGGTTTGGTATGCTGCTCACCAAGGATGTGTCAAAGCCTTCCCCGTTGATATTCCATCCCGGAATCGAGTCTCGGCTTGGAGAAATACTAGTGACAACAGTCAGACAGGGTAGGACCAGGAGGCAGAAGATATTCCATACGTTTTGCCATAGCCAAAGCTTGCACTCTCAATCACCTCAGCTGTAGCACTTGCAGCAAGCAATGCGATAGAAGCAAAGGTCTTCATTGTGGCGATATTAAAGGCAGGTTCAAATTGATTGGTAACGACGGGCAGCTGGGGGGCAATGCAATATAGACAATTCCTGCGCGTGGGTATTACACCAGTCTAGATCAATTATTCAGTAGTAGAGGCTTTCGGACAATTTCTGCCACAATGTTCACAAAATTTCGACCTCCGAGGCAGTTCGCAGAGGCTAGACACGACACGAGTAGTGATCCACCCAGCCACAATAGCAATGACACAAAGGCGAGCCTCTTTGGCAATGGCGGCAGCTGAGGGAGAAAAATCAATGAAATGATGCAGTTGGAGACTGTTCAAAATGGTGTGTCGGATGCCGACGTCCGTGAAGTCCATGCGGAATAGATTGGCCCTGCGCTAGTGTAGCTGTTGATACCTGGCCTTCTCCTGATTTGTTCTCCGCATATTCACGTGACCTTCTTGGGTGCGGAGGTTCCATTCCCTTTGCAGTTTGGACTTGATCTCCAAATCCCTCTAATCCCTGAAGCTTTACTTTGATTGGTATAACATCTTTTCATTCTTAGTACCTGATTGTCAGTCTCTAAATTTAGCTTTTTTCCATATTCCGACCGTCCCATATCAGCAAATTCATCAACTCCGCCGCACATCATATCTTTCTCTCCAATCTTTAACCACTACCCGTCGAAAGATACCACTACAAGTCAGATTTAGTATACATGGTTAGTAACTGAATTTATGGCTTTGTTCTAACTTCAGAATACCTCCCAGTCGCCCCAAATTACCCCGCTCTTTGTGGTCTTGGAATGGCCATCGCAAACGGCTTCAGATGCGGTTGACAGATCTCATGGTGGATGAATGGGTCTATGTGGGGGAACATGTGTTCTATAAGAACCATAGCCATCTTGACCGAACTGGGTGTAGTTTATTGTAGTTTATTCGGGTTCCTCTGCGGAGTATATCTAAGCTTACTGGAATACCTTCTCCGGCTCCATCCCCCTCTTCGGATAAGATATTCACGAGAGCCTTGCCAATCCCTAGTCAGCTTTCCTTTCAGTAGTTCCTCCTCAAAGACAGATCATGCTAGTTTCAGCACGTTTCGGCCTCTTGCGGTTGCAGGCTACGTCCCCGGCAATGCTATTTATGGTGGCTGAGCTTCCTCGGCGGCTCATAGCATGTTCGCCGTTTCCAGTCGACCAGTTTCCGTTTGTTTCGATGCTGTGGCACTGATGTCTGATGGTCTGGGTATCTTTGTGTCTATCCGCCTCTCTGCGTGTGTGTGCGTGTTATCCGCCACTGTATCCCGCTTACTCCGTATACATTTTCTACTCCACTTGAAACCTTAATGGAAATCAAAATCAAAATCGGCGACTCAAACTTTTGTACTTCTCGTTCCTCTCCTTGTCATTCTAAGACCGGTTGCCATCCTTGAACATGTCGAATCCATTAAGTACTCCCATACAGCCTGCAGACAAACAATGATGTCAGATGTTTGCACTGTTTGACAGACCACGTGGGCCAGCCCCACCAAAACCTGGAACCACAAGGAGCCTATCCCGCACTAGTCCTAATATAGCTAGTCCCACATGAGATCCATGCAATGCCGCCTGCAGGATGCGGCCAAAACACCAATTTGTAAATTCATAGGACTAGGATAGGGGATAGGACCAAGGTCCTTGAATTGTACATCTGAGCTTATAATCACGCATTTCGGTCGTTCTAAACTCGATTCTGCTGTTTTGTCTAGGGTTGATGTTTATCTAATTTGGACAGCACAAAGGGGTTCCGCAACATGTATATATTTTACACAAATCCGCCAGAGGTCTACCATCAATGTTTGGTGACATGGATCATGAAGAAGTCATGCAATCCCATCAAATCACTTCATACTAACACGTGAATCAAAAAGATAATTTAATGGATTCAGTTAGGATATTAGATGAATATGCCTAGGTGCGTGTAAATAAATGACATCTTCTAGTAAGAAAGGCCGACAAAAATCTGGAGAATAAAAGATCATCAGAACCCCAGAGCTCAATACAATTAGCGCATCAAACTGTATTTTGGATCCTTTTTCCAAGAGTATGGAGATGCGCGAGATGGAAAAGATGTAGAGGCTTATTCTCGAATGACTAGATAAGTCGTCAATATACCCAGGCAATATATTTGTGGGTTAAATGAGTGTATTGATTCAAACAAGCGATCATTTGCATGGATTTGGATTGATAGATTACCAGGACAAGCAGATAAATCTAGCCTACCCAAGGAAGAGTGTGTGCGAGAATATCGTGGATAGTATCAGGTGACAGTGGGGATGTTTACGACACCGAATCCACACCTTCGACTCACAAACCCCCTGTGGAGAGATTAGCAATATGTAACCCCTAAGATGTTTGATTCGGTCTCAGACCATTTCCAAAAGTCACTGGACTTACAACAGCTACAGAAAAGCGATATGAAGACTGACAACCATCTCTAGCTGTGGTATACTGCCTTTTTGTCGTGCTGTAGCACCAGCAAAGCCAACAGGACAAGACTGAGAATTGGCTCAAAGCTGACAAAGAAAGAAATATATGTCAGTTAAAATGCTTTTTAGTCATTACAGAGAGTCGAACATCCATCTTATGAGGGGGCTTCGCAGATATCTAAAGAATCTGCCTTCCAGAATGGTGAATACACTTGTAAAAGCATGAGATACTTTCAATAACAAAAAGGACACCGACAAATACTATCTCCCAAATTTAGTAACTAGAAACTAAGATGGTGGTGGAAAAATGTAATATTTTAGGGGTATATGACAGTCACTGTTGCGACATGACCCTTGAGTGTCGCAGAGGTGGCCCGGGGATAGATTGATAACCGCAGAACCTTTGGTAGGCTGGAGATAAAAATCAATAGGTAATTAACCAAAAAATCCTCCAAATCGTGACGACTCGAATGAGGGTAAATACAATAAATGATGGTGGGGAGAGTGGCAGGGGGAAGTTGAATAAGCTCGGGCAAGGGCAGGAGGGCCCAGAGGGTCCCGAGAGAAGTTCCAAAGCGGTTTTTTTGCTGGGCTTTTGACTTCCCGCTGCTCCTCCTCTCAACCAATCAGAATCCACCGCTGATTCGCGGTTGATCTACCGCTTCCTCCTCTTTTAGGCACTTCAACCTTTCGTTCTGCTTCTCCTTCCCCCAATTCTTCTTCAACGCGACTTGCGCGTCCACCATCCTTTCTCCTCCACCACCACCCGTTTCAGATTTGGCTACTGGAACTGCTTGGCTATCTACCACGCGTTTCTCCGGTAAGTCCGTCTCGATTCTATTGTCATGCCGCGCTGGTTCACCCGCTATGGCCCTGGTCGCCTCAACCACCATTTCGGCGAGTTCCAACCACATGGTACAAAAGCGCTTCAAGCTATAGACCTTGCATCAGCATGTCCTTGTCATCTATACTTGTCACATACTTGCTATGGCAATGGGGCCTTTCTGCGTGATTGAACATAATCCGCTAACTGAAGTCGCGTGCTTATATAGTCGTTTGATGCTCCAAGTTGCTTGCTCACCACCCTCCCGGCAGCCCGGCTCGTGTCGGCATAATACTTAAGATATAATGGTATGCGATATCATTTACATTCGAGACGTTTACTGCTCATGTCACTGGCGAAAGAATCAATGGTGGGTCATTTGGCTAACCTCGACAACTCAGGTTCTCTTCAAACGAAAACCGGTCCAATACCTTCCACGACCCGTCATTGAAGATGACAACTCCGAGGTATATTTGTCTCGCCCATATCCCTCAAATTGAATGAACAATCCTCTTAATACCAACGCCTTAGGTCTGGGTCATCCCAGAGACCAGCGAGCTCTTCATGAGCTACGAGCCGTATCTCCAGCGTATGGACTTCTATAAACAACGTCGGTTTATTTGTGAAATCACCGGTCATTCGGGGTTGAACTTTTTTGAGGCGTTCCGGAGTGAGGTAGGTGGTTACAATGGCATTCGGGTTTGATGCATGTGAGATTGAAGCTCATTCTCGATCAGATGGAAGAGTCGCGTGAGGTGAACAACAGTTTTCCAGAGGCTTTGAAGGAGCCGATTTTGCGCCGAATCCAATTCGCGACGACCTCACGGGTTGACAATTTGGGTAAGATTTATGACGACATAATATACCGCAACTAAGCTAATACTCCTTTATTTACAGTGGACGAGATTTATGAAGTGAGAATCTCGACCCAAAGACAAAGACGTTTACAATTGAGCTAACAGAATTCTAGGAATTCAAACAGGATTTCTACCCCGGAGAGCCTGTCGTCATTCTGCTCCAGGATACTACCAGACTCCATGGCACCATCAGGGACAAGGCCAACTTTGCTGAACAGCTTTTTGCCGATGGGACCATCAAGACCCCTGCGTACGCTCGGTATTTGGTAAAGATTTCAGACCGTCCCAACGAGGAAGCGCTGCTGGACCAAGATCACATCACGCGTGATCGCAAGTCGTTCACAAAATTGATGCTGCGTGGCTTTATCAAGAACAATGTTACTCGGGAGTCTTGGACCGGTGCGCCCTGGTTGGTGAAGCCGTCGATCGCAGAAGAATACAAAATCTCCACAGAGGTTCCCAAGCATCTTCAGTACGGCGCAAAAGTCGCAGAGAAGAAGGCGATGAAGAAGGCGGACCAGGATGGTTTTTTCGGATTCTTCTCCTCCCAACAACTACCTGAACTAAAACCGGCTGTCAAGGGTCAGAAATCGAAGTTGTCAGCAAATGACATGGCCAAGTCACGAGAAGCCCAATACCAAGAATACCAGCGATCGCTGAATGGGAATCCCTCATTCTTATCGCCTAACAATCCACTCCGCCCAACCAAACCGCCGCTGGTCGGTGACAAGAAAATGCCCCCTCCTTCGGTTGTTATCAAAAATGAATCGAGACCTCCATCACCACCACCGATTAAATACCCAATTGATGATCTTGAACTTGCCCCACGCCACGACAAGAGTCCTCGTCCTACATTAAAGCTTTTGAAGTTAGGCGAGTCGGAGGAGGATGGAGCAGAGGACCTCCTTTCCGATGATCTGGAACCTGAATCCGTTGGATTGCTTCTTGAAACATGGGACACCCTCAATGTCTACTGTGAGGTGTTCCAGCTAGACTCATTCACGTTCGATGATTTTATCCAGGCTATGCGTTTTTCATCAGAGGAGCTTGACTGTGAGCTGTTGGTCGAGTTGCACTGTGCCATCCTGAAGAAGCTTGTCAACGCAGGAGACCAAGGCGGCGCAATCCAGATCTCACTTCCAGATTTCCCCACTGACGATTCGGATGACTCCGAAGAGGACGATGATGAAGAGGAGAAAGAGGAAGACGAGGAGCGACCGGAGAAGGCACCTCGTATGACTACCCGGGGCAGCCTCGCTAAGGAAGAAGCACAGAGCCTGAAGGCGCAAATTGTCGAAGAGGAACCCGAAGAGGAGCGCATTCATCGTGCCGCTGAAATGTTCGAGAAATATGGATGGATCGATCGCCTGCGGAAACGCGACTTCCGCAATGGTGGATGGGAGGTTGTCATGATCGGCCTGCTGCATCAATTGTCTCTTCGCCCTCGTTCTGAAAAGACCTGCAATGACATCCTCCAACACCTCGCTCCTCTTGATGAAGAACCGACCCAGCGAACTGCCCAGGCACAGTATCGGACTCTCAACATCAATTTGCGTGTCAAGGCTCTTCAAATGATCACCATGCTCTGTCTCGAGACTAAAGCGATTCGGAATTACCTCGAGGAATGTAGCAACCAGATGACGGAATTCCGCAAAGAGAAGATCGAACACCAGAAAGCCCGCAAATTATTGTAAGTGGATTTTTTCCAATGCGACACTCTCAACTAACTGTTCACTAGGCTGAGTGAATTACGTCTATTACATCAGGAGCGCAAGGCACTTCAACCAGAACCCGAGAAGTCGCCATCCCCCATCCCGGAACTGGAAGGGGAGAACATGGATGATTCGAAGATGACAGGGATCGAGGGTGATTCTGAGATTCCCATGGACTCAGAGGACGAGGATACTCCCAGACCACGCGCTCTGCGTGGTGGAGTTGACCGCGCCCTTGAACGCAAGCGGAGGCAGGAGATAGAGCGGGAACGCAAGGAGCAGCTGGCTAAACAGCCCAAGGGCACTAAGCAGTACCAGCGAGTCCTGAAGAAGATCGACGAGCTGAAAGCCAAGGTCGCCAAGGAGGAGGAGGAGATCGAAACCATGGACAATGATTTGCGTGAGGCCGACTGCCCCCGGACCCGATGCCTCGGATTGGATCGATTCTGCAATCGGTACTGGTGGTTTGAGCGCAATGCCATGCCATTTGAAGGAATGCCAAATAGCTCGACTGCTGACGCTCGATACGCCAATGGCCGTCTTTGGGTGCAAGGTCCTGACGAATTGGAGAGTGACGGGTTCATTAACCTGACGGATGAACAACGGAAACAATACCACAAGCATTTCCAAACCACCCCTGCCGAGCGCAAGAAGCTCGAGGAAGGGTCTACTCATTTGTCGAGTGCCCGCGAATGGGCTTACTACGATGATCCGGACTCGATCGAGCTACTGATTGAGTGGTTAGATCCACGAGGCAATCGTGAATTTAAGCTGCTCAAGGAGCTTCAGTTGCAGAAGGGGTACATCATGAAATACATGAAGAATCGCCAGGAATACTTGTCCGACAAGCCTGAGCGGGCCGAGTCTGAGGAGATGCCCACGAAGCGAGTCACTACGCGTACTAAGACCTACGTGGACGTGAATGAACACCGCCTTCGTTGTCTCCGTTGGAGAAACACAACCGCCCTGACTGAAATTGGACATCTGCACGTGGACCCTGACCGACCAGCCAAGCGCAAACGGAACACCGATGATATGCGCGAGATCAAGGCTACTCGCGGCAAACCTCTGACCCGACGAGGATCACGTCGAGGATAAAATTGGTCTTTTATTTTGGTTTTCATTTGGCCAAATCACGCGACCACGACCTTTTGCCGATTTTCTGGTGTATTATTCCATTTTTTTGTCCCATTTCACAATCGGGATAGGTTAATCTGTATACATCCCGTGCATTTTTTGGAGAGAGGAGTTGAGGGGTTGTCAATTTCACAACATTTTACTCGATCATTTTATCATTTCTACTACTCCAAACATAACCAAACCAATTCGCTGATTAATGTACCGCTCGGGACTCGTCGGGTTCTTTTTCTGCCAAACTCGGTCCGTTCTTCCTCGGTTACTGACGGGTGCGTCATTGGGTTTGCCTCTGGCTATATTGAGTATTTTGTACTCCGTAATTTGGTGACTGTGGTATTCGCAGCGTCAATTAACACTCCTTTATATTTTGTTATTCTTTTATGACCCCTTAAAGCGCTACATGATCGACTATTTGTAATCTGAAGAACAGCCCGTTAGCCCGAGAAAATCTCAAGCTTTTCTTGCCGCGTTATCGCCGAGAGTCACGAGGGGAAATACCGTTTTCCCCAGATCCTCTTTTTGCCCCCGGGCTTGGTCTCACCCGCATCCTTTCCATGTCGACGGGCGCGACATAAAATGCAAATCGTGACCCCATATTTGCAAAGTCTAGACATTCATTGAATACTGCGGTATCCAGTCAGGAGTCCCCGCAGATGAGTGAGATCGCACATTCACAACCGGCGGGCCCCATTACAGGCGGCGCGGCCGTGAGAGGTGTCCCCATCACAAATCCAGAGGGACAAAAAACTAATACTCCGGTCAAGACGCGGAGTTTAGACTATGTCTTGCGAAGTGGTCTAGCCGGAGGATTGGCAGGTTGTGCGGTAAGTGCGCGCCAAATCGCCAAGCACACGGTTCTCCAATAAAAGCGAAAAAAGCGAGTACTGATTGTGAGATTCTGGAAACAAACAGGCCAAAACTGTTGTTGCGCCACTCGACCGAGTCAAGATCCTTTTCCAGGCCTCAAATCCACAATTCGCCAAATACACAGGCAGCTGGACAGGCCTAGCGGCTGCTATCCGGGACATCAAGCGCCATGAAGGAACTCGCGGCCTCTTCAAAGGCCATTCCGCTACACTCCTCCGAATTTTTCCCTATGCCGCGATCAAGTTCCTCGCCTACGAGCAGATTCGCGCCATCGTGATCCCCTCCCACGATAAAGAAACCGCCTTCCGTCGATTAATATCCGGCAGCATGGCTGGCATCACGTCCGTCTTCTTCACATACCCGCTGGAATTGGTCCGCGTACGACTTGCATTCGAGACAAAGAAATCCTCTCGTTCATCATTACGAGATATTTGTCGCCAAATCTACAACGAGGGTGTTACGCCTCCATCTACGGCATCCGCATCACCAAAACTCCCCTCATCCGCTGTCGCCGCCGCAGAAAATGTCTCTTCAGCCGTAAACTCCGTCGTCCCTCGTTCAGGCCTCGCAAAATTCTACCGTGGCTTTGCTCCAACTCTCCTTGGCATGCTTCCTTATGCGGGTATGTCGTTCCTCACACACGACACAATCGGCGACTGGCTTCGCGAGCCGGCCGTGGCGCAATACACAACCATCCCTGACTCAGAAGCCAAATCTTCCCATAAAACTTCTCGACGGCCCCAACTCACAGCTGCAGCGGAGTTGTTTTCTGGTGCCGTGGCTGGTCTTGTTTCTCAGACTTCCTCATACCCGCTTGAAGTGATCCGGCGACGAATGCAGGTTGGCGGTGCAGTCGGTGATGGCCGTCGACTTGGAATCATCGAAATAGGTCGCAAAATCTGGCTTGAGCGTGGGTTCCGCGGTTTCTGGGTTGGTTTGACTATTGGCTATATGAAGGTTGTGCCTATGGTAGCCACCTCTTTCTTTGTTTATGAGCGGTTAAAGTGGTCTCTGAACATTTAAGTGCACGAGTCTTGAAATTTTCCTCGAATCGCCGCCTCACCCAAATTTCTTCCTCTTCTTCTTCCCCCCTTTACTCGCTATACTTAGCTGCATGTATCATCTGTTTCGGCGATATACTACCCATTCCTGCAGGTGCGATTTTGGCATGTGCCCCTGATTCCCGCTGTTGGCGTCTGTGGATATTCCTTTTTTGGTTCGATTTTCCCTTTTGGTTCCTGCTTAGCATTAGAGAAGCCAACGATGGCTCACTTGGAGATACACTTGAAGATGCACATATGATCTGTTTCGAGACTTTCTTCTCGAATTTATTAGGCCATTGTAGTGTGTTCGTCACCATGCCCAGGTGGTTGTCTCGCCGCGGATACTAATTTGACTTTGAGATCCTACAATTACCATCCATAGTCTGTTTAAAATATGCTAAATGGACATCATGATCGAAGAGTAAACAAATCTTAACCCTGGATCCCGAAGCTGTAGAAGCACAGCATGAGACCTAAATAATTATGCTCTCGTTGATTACTAATTTTCTCAGGCCATTTGCTACGCTAAGATGTTCGTAGATCAAGAGGGATAAGGCGACCAAATCCATATATTTTTTATTAAAACAGAAAGTCATCTAAATCTACCAAGTCTAGTAGTACATAACTAAACTAGATGATGTAACTTCAGGTAAGTAATTGGCGGATCCCAGATGGTCCGTGCGTTACTCCGGGCTCCGCAAAAAAAAAGTTGTAGAAGTTTCCAAGCCACTACATACACTCTGTACACAATGACAACACGCAAACACAACGATTTCCTGGACGTCGCTGCCAGTGACGATGAAGACGTCAATGATCGCGGCTACGATTCTGAAGATAAAGTGGCTGAGAGCAAGGGCCGGGCTTTGAAGCGGAGAAAGCGAGCGGCAGATACCCAAGACTTCTTTGGCTTGCAATCCGACGAGGATTCAGAAGGCGAGGACTCGGAAGTGGAAGAGTCACGCGGAAAGGGAAAGCCGCGCAAGCAAACCAAGGCGACAACTTCTGCTTCAGACGAGGATAAAAGCGACGCCGAACATGACGCCGAAGAGGGAGGTGACGGCCTCGACGAGGACGACGAAAGCGCATACCTTGATACTGCGACAAAATCGAAATCGAAGGCCGTAAAGCCTATCGATCTCAAGTCTCTTGGAAAGAAGAAAAAGAAGCAAAAGCTCGGAGTGGTATATCGTGAGTTCCATAGACAATACTATTCCCAAGCCAAGACTAACATACAATCCAGTGTCCTCTCTTCCGCCATACCTGAAGCCGATGGCCCTTAAATCGATGCTCGAGAAGCGAGGCTTCCCTCTCACCAAGGTCTTCCTGTCGAAGCGCGTCAACGACACGAAGCAGAGAAAATCCAATAAGAGACAATTGTATTCGGAGGGCTGGGTCGAGCTGCGCAAGAAGGATGCTAAAATTATGGCGGAATCGCTTAATGCTCAGACAGTTGGTGGTCTCGGGTATGTGAATTCTCTCGGTGAACAAGAAGCTCTACTAACATAAACCAGCTACTACCGTGATGATCTGTGGAACATGAAATACCTCTCTGGATTCCATTGGGATGATCTGACCGATCAAATAAACCGTGAGAGAGCAGAGCGGGAATCAAAACGCCGGGTTGAAGATGCACGTGCACATAAGGAAGAGAAGATGTTCCTGGCTGGTGTTGAGGCTGGAAGGGTTGCCGATGGCATGGCGAAGAAGAATGAGGAGAAAAGGAAACGCAAATTGGAGGATGCTGGTACGGATGCTCAATCTGTTCCTGAGAAGAAACCAGTTGTGCGGAGACGTTTCGTGCAAAATGATGTGGTGAAGACAAAGCAGGATTCAAATGCTGTTGGGGATGAGACGAAACGAGTGCTAGGGAAGATTTTCTGATCTTCTATGCCTTCCATTGCATCTAGTCTGGTCTAGTCGGGGTCTTTTTTGGGATATCCATATCTTTCAATCAAAATTTTTGCATAGCCTACTCTAAAGTCATGATCGTAAATTTATCAAGTGGTGATAAATAATAGAAGGATTGATCAGCGCTGTAACTATAACTAGTTAGTAGTGTGTTAACTAGTTAGTGGTAGTTAAGTTCGTTGCCGTTGGGGATGACTCAGCCAGTTTGTCTGATTTGCACTCTTTATCGCCGCGCTCTTTCTCCGAAGCAAGATCTGTTTCCAAGATTCAAGCATCACATCCACCATGAGTAGAGCATTGCTTCGAGGGGCCGTGTGCCAATCTTGTCGCCATGAAGTGCTCCGATCTTTTATTGCTGTGTCGGGTCTACCGATGCCGCGATACACTCCTCATTTGCGCAGCTTGAACCCCAGAGCTTTCTCCGCTGTAGCACCAAAGCGATCCGATCGTCCCCCTACCTCGAATCCTCCAGATTTCATTTTGTCGCCAACTTTAGAATCAGCGCCGGAATCTGAACCTGCTGCAGAAGCAGCTACAGAAACCGAGAACAATGAGCTCACGGAGCCGCACGTCCCTTGGTACCTACAGGAAGAGGCGCCAACCCGAAAAGTCCGCCCAGTATCAGGAGATCACATCCCACAGGTTCCAGAGAACTCTCCAGCTATGCTCCAGAACCTTATTGAGTATACATATCAAGATCTCGGCTTGGATGAGTTGAAACTTTATGATCTACGGGGTCTTGAGATTCCGGCAGCTCTGGGCGCCAATGTCATTGGGATCATTGGTACTGCTCGCAGTGTTAAACACTTGAATGTCTCTGCTGATCGCCTGTGCCGCTGGCTTCGCAGCACATACAAGCTGTCCCCATATGCTGATGGTTTGCTGGGTCGCAATGAGTTGAAGATTAAGCTTCGACGCAAGGCCAAGCGCGCCCGTGCCGCTAGCCATGCGGGAACAATGATCGACGAAAAGGACGACGGAATTACTACTGGTTGGATTTGTGTGAACATGGGTGTGGTCGATAAGGATGCTGCCAGTCCCCAGCTCAGCGATATTGGCTTTGAAGGATTTGGCCAGCTTGATACCGGAACGAGCGTGGTGGTTCAGATTTTCACCGAAGAAAAGAGAGCCGATGTGGATCTAGATGGGCTTTGGCAGGGGACTCTTGATCGAGCTGAGCGCAAGAGAGTTCAGGATGCCTCAGAGCCTGTCCCTCAAGCCAATCCTTCAATCAATAGCCGTCGCGGAGGCATAAGCACCCCTAGCGGCCAGCGACGAGGTCTTCACACTGCGCGGCAAGAAATAACTGCGAGTCCCGATACATTGGAAAAGTCATTCACCTTAAAGACCCCTGGGTTTGGCACAAGTACTGAGTCGTTGATGCAGAAGCTAGCTGGACTCACCCATGAGAACGCTCGAAGCGAGCTTGGTACAGGACCTGAGGACTACACATCGACTCTTTTCCTACAGCTTCTATATGCTAGCTTACCAGCCGAAATCTCCGCAGCAGAGAAAGCCGTCCTACGATTGAGGTTGTACTCAATTGCGGTATCTCGCCAGCACCCAGGGTACAGCAAGGACACACTCTTCAGCGCATTCAGCAAACTTCTTACTGATGGCAATCGGATATCCGACGAACTTGGTTTTGACGTTGTTGCCGCTCTTTTGACGCCGCGCCTGGATGTTTCTTCCCGAACGACTGCGCAATTCCTACCCGCAGCTGATGTCGAGCTCGCCCTCCAGGTGCTAGAGCGCCTGAGCCTGCGCGGTGTGCCCATACTCAATATGAAAGTATTTAATATGTTCTATGATGCGGTCAACACCCCATCTGCGCCATCTTTGTCTCCTGAAGAGGTCGAACAAACCTCAGGTGACAAGCGTCAGATGTTGACCCGTCTCTCTAAAATCGTTGCCGAGGCAGAGGTTTCTTTTGATGCAGTTGAAGCCCGCAAGCTTATGTTCACCCAGTTCCGGTGTCAGGATTACGATGGTTTCTGGCGCCTGTGGCGCCTGTTTCCTTTGAAGAATGCCTCTCGCACCCAGGCAGATTATGCTCAAATGTTCCAACTTCATGCGGAGCTTGGCGAAGAGCGACACGCCCGAGATGTTTTGTCTACTTGGGTGCCCATGATGCGACGAGAGATGACCCCAATCATCCTTCAGGGCCCGATTGTCAATGCCATCATGCAATGCATCCTGGTGGCAGACCCAGAGATTCAATATCGAGCCGAGGACGGCTCCCCCGGCTATTTCATGGAGTTGTGGGCTCAGTGTCAGCGGGCGCTTGACCAGGCTGAAGAAATGATGATCGAGCAATAAATGTAATAAATCAGTATAAATCATAATTGAACCCAAATTTATACCTTGAACCAAATTATTGATTTTGGTTGTCAAATGTACTCCGTAGTAGCGCTCGGGGAAGTTGAGCCTCGGCTGCTGATCACTGGATTCGGCCATGAGGATTGGACCTCCGCTCCCCGTCCCTCCACAAAACAACCATAGCACCCTCCAAGTCTCCCATCTGCAGCCAAGGATGACCGGTGCTCCTGACAATGGAGTACCTTCCTAGCCTTCAACAAGAGTTCGATGAGCACAAACCATCACTCTTCGGTAAGTCCCCACTGCGTGACCTCGCGGGGAAGCCACTCAAAACCCGGGGAACTGTTACCTATACGGCATCGCTAACAGAAGCATCGTCTACATCTAGAACTCCTCGCTGAACAGCAACTGTCCGACTTACTCCCGCCATCCCTCCGATATCTACTTGCAGTCGCGACACACCGCCACCCGAGATACCTACTCCGGATCCTCAATTCATATGACGAGGTCTACGCTCTCGTCTCCCTAGTCGTCGAGCGCTATTATCTCCGCACATTCGGCGGCTCCTTTACAGAAAACTTCTATTCCCTCAAACGTGAGCGCGTTCTCCGTACAAAGAATGGCGAAATCCCGCGCGCCCAAGTTGGCGCCGGTGGCCCAGTCCGCGACGCTCTAAAGTTACACTCGGCCGACGTATGGAAGAATCTCTTGGTCATGGTCGGGATCCCATATTTAAAACGCAAACTCGATGAAGGATATGATATTCACGCGGCACCACAAGCATCCCTGGTCCTGGGCGGGGGACCGCGATATAATCCTAGCGACGATCTGCCTCCGCACCCGACAGTGCGCCAGCGAATTTTCCACTTTTATAAGTGGTTCCTGCGCAACATATACCCATCCGTGAACGCGGCATATTATTTCTCGATCTTGGCTTTTAACCTCGCCTACCTTTTCGATAATACGAAATACTCCTCTCCTTTCCTTTGGCTGATTGGATCGCGCATTCGTCGTCTCGGAGCTGCTGATCACCGTGCTATTGCTGAGGTGCTGGACCCGAAGCCTGCGCCAGGTGGTAACAGATCTCAGCGCCCTGGGTCTGGCCTACTGGGTCTTCTTAGCCCCCAGAATCTGTCCCCGCCTCTCCTCACCTCTCTACGCTACTTCCTCCCTGCATCCATCTTTGCGCTGAAGTTCCTGGAATGGTGGCATGCTAGTGACTTTTCGCGACAATTAGCCCGCAAAGCAACCGAGGTTCTGGACCTCCCTGCGCCTGTCGTCTCTGGTCTGACAAACCCAGCTGAGCGAAGCAAGGCCGGCCAAGAAGAGAAGGAAAAGAAGCAGGCCGAAGAGAAGAAACCTGCTGGGGATCTGAAATCCGCTCTCAAACCACCCCGTCGCCATCAACACCCGATCTCTGCCACCTCATATCTCCCCATATTCACAGTCCCGTTACCACTAGCAGATGCCTCCAGCGCGAACATCTGTCCCGTCTGCCTGAATACCCTCGTCAATCCGACAGCTTGTCAAACAGGATATGTGTTCTGCTACGTCTGCATCTTCCATTGGATCAATGGTGAACACCAGCGCCAGCTGGATTTCATGAACGGAGAGGGAGCCGGTGCAGCCTGGGAAGAAGAAATCATGGACGATGACGTGAAGGATTCGGATGAAAATGAGGGAGAAAAGGGCTCTCGTAAGCGTGGTGGGAAATGGGAGAGTGGTCGGGGAAGGTGTCCTGTTACTGGCAGGAGGGTCCTTGGTGGAACTGAGGGCTTGCGCCGTGTGCTGATTTGATGTATATATATACCTGGATTATATCCATTGTTGAGAGATCTGTTATTTATTGAGAACCAGATGGTCCTCCTCCAATTTATCTCGCCAGTTCGTGTATTGTACCTTTGACCTGCTGCACTGCTGCACGCGCATGTCACTAAAGACTTTTTCAAGACTCTAAACTTCCCGAAGCCTCCAGGTCGATATCACCCTCTTCAATCCCCGGCCATGATAAATCAGTATTTAGCGGGGGCTTCAAATAATGAGGACCCAAGCCAGCAGAACCAGGCGATATACATGGTGGATCCGAATTCCCGGAAGGCTGACTAGTCTTCGGACTAAAGCCAAGCGAACGTTTCACGCGACTAGGAAGTCCAGATTCCATAACCAGCTTAGAAAGACAAGGCATACAAAAGATTAAAAAGCCACAGGTCATTTCCGCGCAAGCCCAGAACAGTAAAGGACCAAGAAGATAAAATCTATCAGTTGTTTTGGCGAAGTTGACGGTATGAGCTAAACGGAAACAGGCAGCGATAGAGGCACTGTTATGTAGATTGATATTAGTAACTTGGAGATTGTATAACTTTCAAGTGGGATTTAGGTAGGTACTCACAGTATTCCCACACCGAAGATGATCGAGACTCCTATTTTCTTTTGCCAAGTGATGTGTAAACGCCAGATTACCTTTTGCGGAAGAAAGAACATTATTATATCGGAGAACACCTGGACGCTGGCAGAGGTGAGCATCACATCAGGAAGAGGGTAGCATGTGCTTGGAAGGTAGAATTTCCAGATAGCGTCATGAGGTCTGCATTGTAGATTCAATAAGATGATGCAAAGCGCTCCCCATACGCATTGAAGGGATATGATAGCCATGCAGCCCCACCAGAAGAGATTTTGGGTTCTGTTGATCTGGACGAATATTCTGCACCAATCTAGTAAGATTGCGGTTTTTATTAGAGGAAGAGCTGCAGAGTAGCAGCATCCATAAACGAGAATCAACTGTTGCTGTAGGTTAGTAGTCATTCCGAAACTTCGGAAAGGAACTTGCACACGTAGAGAGGTCTAATGAGGTCTTTATTGCGTAGATTCCAGGTATGAACGAAGTAGCCCGGGGTAAAAATCAATGCATAGCCTGCATATGCAGTACCACAGTAAGCGCCCTACAGAAGATTAATCTGACTGGAAAGGACCATTGCGCGTAGAGCAATGGCGTACAAATGCAGAAATCATTAAAACTAACTAAGTTATTAGCTTTGCTTCATCTAGCAGTCGGGATGAAATGCACTCGCCCTCTTCTGCGCGGATCTTTTTCTCCAGCCATAATCGAACAGCTAGACGTAATAAGAGACATATTATGGCAACCACCAAGCAAAGGGTCGTCACCACCCATGCGAGAGTATTGCTGGTTGGAGGGTTATCGAGATCGGCTGTTACACCAGGCGGTGGTGGGAGGGCTGGCTGGGCCAAAAACGTGGCTAGCGCTTCTGGTGACATGTTCCGACAAGCTCGTTGCAGGAGACGAGGTTTCGAACAACGATGAGTTTCATTGTTACATAGCTTCTCGTTGCACTTTCTTCGGGATGTTGAAGCTGTCAGATAATGTTATTACCCATGACCCCATGATCAGTGGCGGCAGCCGTTGAGCCATGGTTTGCTCGGGATTAGATTATTAGCATCCGCCACTTTACGATGATAGGATGATCTCCATTGATCTTCATTGCTCAATAAATTTATATATTTTATAATGCCGAAATGTAGATAAATAGGTATGCATATGATCTTTTACTGTCTGGATAGCCATGTCTATCTAGCTTTGCCAGTCGTTCGATTTTAAAAAGTGGTAGCCCACAATCCACACATGTCAACGCTAGGAGACATGAAAAACATAAGAATAAAACATGACTGAGACCAGCTCAGGTAAAATCATAATTGCCCTCAGAAGGACTGCCATACTCGAACTTCGAAAGTAACTCGGCATCATGTTGCAAGTCATGCGAAGGAGGGTTCATAAGTCCAAGTACCTCCTGTCGAAATGGATCGGAGCCGTCATCAACCATCATCTGGTACGCGTTATTGGCAGTGTGGTATCGCACCGCATCGTCAAAATTCGCCATGCCCATATTCGAACCCGGGGGGTAGGCATTGGCCATGGCATTTTGTTGTTGGTAGCGCCGCAGCTGTTGCTGCAGTTGCATGATCTGGGGATCAAGAGGCATCGGGGTGAAGTTCGCCATGGGATGTCCTGTTACAGGTACATTGACAGGAATGTTAGGAACGTTTCCAGGTACTGCCTGGTTCATGAAGTGGTGGTGGGTTGGGGATTCGTCATGTGCATCGTCTATATCTTGGGAGGCATCCATATGTTCATCTTGCTGGTCCATGCCATCATCTACTATGTCTGACGTATCAACAGAAGGTGACTCATCCTCCTCTTTGCTCCCTGGGATAGGCGGACCCTTGAGTGTTTCTTTGCATTGGGGACAGTCCCGGATCACTCGGTTAACGGTTTCTTTGATCCGTACCCAGTGGTATTTGATTGCAATGGCAGCGGTGGTTTTGTTGATGCCAGCATGTTGTCTGAGATGAACTTCCTTGGCGATCTCATACTGTTGCTGTGGATCCGAGACGACCTCTTTATCCTTGAGCATCAGCTTGTCGGGGTCTCCTTCCTCGCCCTCGATCAGTTTGTAGTGGGTCGCAGCACTACGCAGCCGACTCTTCTCGGCGCGGTCTGCGCCCCGGGGATATTTGGAGTGCTTCAGGTAGTAGCGAATCTTCTCAAATCGGTCTTGTGACACGGAATCTTCCCCATCTAGGCTGAGACCCCGACCGTAGATGATCGCATCCACAAACTCTCCAGGTTGAGACTTGAGCCTTCCTCCACCTGGAATTCTGCCGATCCGCTTAAAACCAAGAGAATCCCAAAGACGACACGAGGCAACATTGCTCTCATATACCAAGTTGAATACTGCATATGTATAACCCTAGTTGAGTGTTAGAATTTTTCGCTGAATTATTAGGAATAACACAATGTACTTACTAGTCGAGGTGCCCACTCCAGGTAGCCTTCACCCATCAACCTACCCACACCCTTATTTCTGGCCGCATCTGTCACAATGAATGTACCATTGCAAACATGACTACTCCAGCCAGGATAGTTGGGGCGAATGTGAAAGCCACCTAGGCAGATCTTTGTCCAGTTGGCACCAGCCTTATCCATGGCGTGTGTCTGTTGTACACTCTGGATATCACCGAGCAGCATGACAACACCAAAATTGGAGAACCAATAGCGAGCAAATTGGGCCAATGGGATGGGTTCTGACATGGCATATGTGTCACCCTTTTCAATCTCCTTGTTGAATTGGTCGGAGAGATACTTGAGTAGAGATCGGGGTACGTCGTCCCCTGAGGCGAATGGCATCAACGTTGCCACCGTCACCCGGTCGCGAAGTGTGACTTGTCGTGGCGCGAGCGCCAGAGGATAGTCCAGCTCTTGACCTGTCGGAACCATCTCTGCGTCTGGGAGTTCAGACATGATGGATAAATTACTATATAATGTTAGAGCCGATCACGGGACTTTTTGCCATATTAGTCGATGACTTTTGACAATGCATGCATTAAAGGGACAGAAAAAGAATGTGATCGAAACAGACTGTTCACGAGGATCCAGAGCTTTGAAATATGTCTTGACTACTCCAGCATCATCAACAAAGGGGTTACTGACACTCTGCTCTGCTTCTAGAAGCCTGTTGGCACTTCGTGGACCGCGTGAGTATTCTCGAGTCCGGAATCGCTGCAACGCAAGTTAAGAGAAGCCGTGGTCCTTGATGACTCATCCGCTGACTCATGATTTCAGGCCGTAAGGTGTCAATATTGGAGTATCCACTATCATTGATGCCTCAGGCGGAAGGAGCCAACAGGTCCTTTGGAACAACAACTTCATTCAATCACAATCACCCATCAACACACATCTTGTATGTTCTCTTCCTCTTTATCATCTCACAGATTTCCTTTTGCGTTTTAGCCTATTGCCTATGCCGATCTGTTTGTATTTCAATCGCGCCCTTTATCGGAGTTTGGGGTGCTTATCAGCAACCATAACTCCCTAGCGGCACTTGGTTGGTGTACTTCCGATCCCTTAAGATTGTTGATGGAGTCGTAGATTCTGGCTTAAGCGCTTTTTCTCTTCTGGGAACTCTTTTCCCAAATCACCCCTGTAATACCGTCATGGCCAAGACCAGGACCAAGAAATTTAAACCTTGTACGGCCAAAAATGTGTCACCTGATTGCATGCCAGTCTTCGAGGCAAAAGAAAAGATTATCCTCATGGTCATGCTCACCGAATTCACGGAGCAAAGCAAAAACGCCTTTTTGGAGCATTTGGAAAACGGATATCAGAAGGTTGTCAAAGGCGGCATCAGGTTCCAAACATGGACTCCTTCCAAACGCCTTCTTAGTTCAATTGCTCTACAGAGTTCTTGTCGAGACAGTCAGGCCAACATCCATGCCCTTGCCATGCTAGCCCACCGGTCCGGACTGAAGTTCTTATCTGGCACGAGCTTTGTTGTTGTCGATGATCTCACCAAACGTTGCTGGCATGGTACCCACCGGGTTGGAGAGCTGGGCAGAATCTCACTGCTTATGGTCGGTGTTCGGGAAGAGGAGATTGAAGCGTCAGGATGGATATCTCCTCCGCCGGGTGTTCATGTGACGGTTGGTCGCTTTTCTGAGGTTACAAATGAGTCCAATCGAGAGTCAGCTGAATGTCGAAACCCGTATCGGCATCTTGACTCGGACTCGTGTAGTGGTAATGACAGTGTGGACTCGGACTCGGACTATTGTGGCGATTACTCAAAGTACGGTATGTTGCCACTAGTTATGGATCAAATCCGCCGTGGGAAACATTTCCTCGAGTGGGGATCTAACGGTAAACTCGCCGAACTTTGGCACGCGATGAAATACGAAATTGGATGGTCTGAAATTAGTGATGGTGATCAAGGCATGTACCTTCATGATCCCGATCAAAAGATGTTCTCCACCGAAAACCCGGCCTCTTCGACAAGGCAGCAGTATCTAAAAACCGCATGGTCAACTATTTCGTCTCGTCTCCCACCAGAGTTGTCCACTGAGATAATCTCTCTGGCCGACCTGACTCCGTCCCTCAGAGTACCCTTATGGAAACACCGACAGAGCCAGGAACATCTGCACATCTTCTTAATGTTTCCAACCACAGAGAGTGAGCTCCGTGAAGCACATTTTCTTGTTCATGGCGCTTTCCAGCAGCGATTGAAGGATCATGAGGATGTGCCAATAACAGCAGAGCTCATCCCCCTCCATCGCCACAATATGAGAACTCGCCGTGATGTGGTGGCATTCTTGCAGGAGTATCATACGCATGAACCAGATGAAAGATACGATGAGTCAGTATCGTTGAATCTCATACTCAGCCCTCTCCAAGACAACACCCTCAACTTTCCCCACTGTGCCATTGTCTTTTCTATCCCTAGAAAACCGACGTTGATGCTGAGGACTTCGTTCAACACTTTGGGCACACTGCCCAGCTCTGAATTATCGATCCTTTCTCACAATGCTTGTAAGGAATACAATATCGATCTCATCGAAGCCACACATCATCCCGACCAGCCATTTTATTGGAACCCACCCATCTGGATGCCAGGGGGCACATCAGTGGCCAATGAATGTCTCCTTAACAATAGCTGCATCTCAGTGTTTTACTTAACCAAGCACCTGACGGCATCCGAAGATCGGGTCCTTCGAAAGGAAATACATAAAGTGAATGGGCAGGACAGATATGACCTTGATCCCGAAGATTCCCCAGATGAATTCGATTTAGAGGACGAGCCAGAAAAGATGGTCTGTTTTGTTCCCTGGGAGCGCGACGAAGATGGAACTCTGGATGACATCTGGAACATCACTCTTGAAATTTACAAACACGAAGGCTATGGTCGGCAGTTTACCCGCTTCTTTTGCCTCGATCGACAGTCTGTTGTGGACCGAACACTCATCATCGTTGAGCCCGACTTCTATCTGCCCGGGAGGAGGGTCCAAGATGAAGGGGAACTGTTGCAGGGCATGAAGGCTCCTATGCTGGCAGGATTCCGTTACAACCGCGTATCATGTGAGGATGCCCATGAAACCAAGATCGAACTTGAGCGATGTGCTCGGCTCATTGAAGAGGTGGGCGAATCTGACGACGAAGGGCAACACTTTGTTCGTCCCGGTTGGCCTGACCCTGTCCTTCTTCCTCCTACTCACCCCTGGAGGCTGGATTGGCCCGACCCTGGAAAGCCTGGCACTATACCAATATGGGCTTTATTCCGCGATTTTGCTGATGCTAACGGTGTATCGGAAGACTGATAGAGGCCCGGCCCATGATGCTGAGAGCGGTTAGTCTTTATTTGGCATAGTCTGTCAGCCCTTCTGTTCAACTTCCGGATATAGGGCTCGCATATATGAGCTTCACGTTTCCCGATTTCGTCTAGTATAACTACCTCAATAACAATATACAGGTTTTAACGATTGATGTTATTACTGATTGACTGAAATGGAAACAATTTAAAATTTATCTGCTATCCATAGAAGTCGGGAAACAAAGCACTACTTTTAATACGGTGTAAATTAGTAGTAATGATCGCCCTACGTATCTGCACTGGTTCGTCTTCCCCTCAGTGGAGTCTGACCAGCCATCGACATTTCGAGAACCTGCCACTAGTTATGTAAAGATCGATGGAGATTTTGATTATGAGGGGTCTGCTGCCTGAGGCCACAGTCCAGATCTCGCGGGGCTGAAGATCATAAAGCTCCCACCCCAGCTTCCAAGGTTTATAGCACGGCATCCCGCAAGATATTGTCACATCCAAGACCTTATGTCACATAATGACAGAACGCCCACAGTACTTTGAAAACACATTGAAGCCGCTAGAGATCAATGCGGCTTCACTCGCAAATTCTCTGAAGGAACTGCGTGTAGCAGTCCGCCTTGGCACTGAAGCTATACAAGCAAATGAGCCTCCCCAAGAAAAATGGTCGGTCGGTGGCATGTTCAAGTCCTTCCCCAGTATGTATACGGAGTAGTTGTCGGATCAATGTGCTTTTTTCATAGCTCAAACTAACCCAACCAGCACAGGAGTTGCCCTCGCTTTCTTGCGTCTCGATTACCAGTCCTCAGTACTGAATGATGAAAGTGTTTCGCAACCGGACTACCGTCAGCTTGCGCTCGAGAGGATTCCCTCGGAGTTCCCTGAGACTCCACTATTGCCGTCTCGATTGTCTCCTGCAGGGTCGTTCTCACCTATCAGTGCTGTATCTCTGCGAGTTCTTTCGGCTCTGGCGAAGTCTAATTGGGGGGAAAACTATAAGCCCAGCCTTTCTCAGAAGGATGTCACTTGTCTTCTTGACGCTTCCAACTTGGCTCTGAAGAATGCCCCTCTTGTTCATCATGATGGCCGAAATATGGGTGGTGATGAGATGCTGTTCGGTCGTGCAGGTCTTCTATGGACACTACTAAATATACGCGCTCATCAGTTTGATGATAAGACCCAGAAGGCACTCGGTCCTGTTTATGAGACAATCCCAAAAATGATAGATGTGATTATAGATTCTGGACGTCAAGGCTCGAAAAATTATATTGAGAAGAATGGAGCACAGGATGCGCATCCGCTGATGTATGCCTGGACGGAGGGACACTATTGTTTTGGAGCGTGAGTATGGTCCCCCTGGAATTTGCCAATTCTCAACTAACAAATTCTCAATTAGTGTTCATGGAATTAGTAAGTTTCACCACAAAGATCCATGGGTATGGTGAGGTAGTTAGCTAAGTATTATGTACGTCTAGCTGGTATCCTGTCTATCATCCTTGCAGCCAAGTCAGAGGAACTCACAAAGCATCTTGGAATCATTGGAGAGACGATCACGGCCCTATGCAAAATGACTCTTTCAAATAACGGACACATGATGATAACTCTTCCACCTATCAAGTCCGAGCATACCCGAACCTCGGAACTTGTGCAGCTCTGCCACGGAAGCCCGGGGATTCTGATTCTCTTAGGAGAGGCCTTGAAAAACAAATCCTTGACACAAGACCACTGGTGCCCCGAATGGGACCAAGCCATTTACAAGGCCTCTCAGCGAATCTGGGAAGAAGGCCTTCTCTCCAAGGGAGGTAGCTTGTGCCACGGAATCTCTGGAAACGGATTGCCCTGGCTCACCCTGCACAACACTTTCGAGTATCACTCAAAGAACCTCGAAGCTGCCAAAACCGCTTATGTGCAGCGTACGCAGGCTTTGGCCCCTTCATATGGAGACGCTAGTCTGAGGCTCACCCCAGATTTCTTCTTGTCAAAAGCTCTGGCATTCATGTTGCACTCTCGCGAAACTCCGCCGTATAACAAAGCTGCTGGAGTGTCTGAGAAGGATTACCGCATGCCTGACGATCCATACTCACTGTCCGAGGGTTTGACGGGTACTGTCTGTGCTTGGGCTGAGACATGCGCGGTGATTCAAGCCCGATTGCACAAGATGGAACTTGGTGAGGGATCAGACTTAAACTCTGATCGGTTGTTTGAGCAAGCAATCAAGAGTGAGCTTGGGTTCCCGCTTGTTGGTGGAAACGGGGCTGGTGGGCTTCTTTAGTTGGTTTTGGGTACTATTTCAACCATTCACTTCCGTTATATAATGAAAGATATGGAATTAGAAAAGTGTTACATACACACTCCGTCTAAACCGATCAGGAACATACTCATGGCTTCGAGTCAAGTGGTCGACTCAGCCATCCAGATGGCATGACAATAGGATTTCCTCTTGGACATCCACCATTTTTTTACAGTAATTATGTAGCGTTTAGCTCCCCTACCAGTTGTCTGACCTTAGTACTTGCCAATTTTTACATTGATAGTAGATCCCCCAGTTGTTGCCCGATGACATCATAACCAAACATTTGAAACTCTCCAACTGTACCTGCGATTGGAGCTTTACCTCACCACAGAAGTCCTTGAAGACTTGTATATTGTTATTTTCCAGCCTTGCAAATATTGAACCAATCAAATATGAGTTGAAAGCAATACTTGAGCTTCCCCGCCTCGGAACACGGATCTCAGAACGGGGCGTTCACAGCCTTACGGAAACCCCCACAATCCCTTTAGAGGCTGTGCAGAGCACCTCACAAAGTGTAAAGTTGAATTCTTGATCATCTTTGTGAAGCTCACATTGAAGTAAACCTGATCCACCCTAAGACCTTCCACTGAATGAGTTCTATCTAACTCACAGAAGCCATGGATTTGATTCCACCGTCATATGAGTCGGCAACGGACCGAGATGCATGGGCCATTATCGCCCACTACATTCCCTCTAGCGACCTTTGTGCAGCCTCACTAGTATGTCACCGATGGCATGACTTGTTCATGCCTTTTCTATGGGGTGATCCGGCTTCCCATTTTGGCACAGAAAACGATGCCGTCTACGGTAAAGCGGTACTTCGCTTCAGGTCGATGTATTACTAACCATGTAAACGTAGTGGCCCTCGTGAGGTTCCGAAGAACCCTGAAATATGTAAGAAGAGAAGTTCGCATGCTAACACATACGCTTAATCTTCCACCCGCTTTATCGGAAACGTATGATAGCCCCCGACCCGGATGGCTGAGGGATATGCTGGAATACTTGCCTTGTCTGCAGTCGCTGGTGGTCTCAGGATTACCATTCTTCGATCATAATTGCATGCTTGCGCTGAGAGATCCGTCAAAGCCAAGTCAATACAATGTTCGTCTCTTATTGGCGAACCACGAACCAAACACGACGTCCGCAGGTCTAGCAGAAACGCTTATTCGCTTTCCCTTATTGACTTATCTGGATTTTTCATATACGACTCCAGCGCGAGACCCGAGCGTACTATCGGCATTGTCCCAACTTGAACGCCTTCAGGTGCTGAAATTGCGCGGTATTGGCTTGAAAGACCGCGATGCCGAGTTCCTGGCTAATGCCATCGGAAACCGAGTTCGATTTTTGGATCTGCGCAATAACTTGCTCACCGACATGGCCGTTCGATCCCTTCTCCAGGCCTCTTTCCTTTCACCGAATCAGCAACCATGGCAGCCACGACACCTTAGACGTACTGGAACTTCGCCAGATCCTGTCGCCCAATCAGCTCTTCGAGGCCTCGAGTCGGATTTATTGGAATCGCCTAATCTAGACGAGCAGTACTTGAAGTTCCTGGCTAGTCAAGCCACTAGTCATCCTTGGGTGGACTATTTGCCATGCATGGGTATTACACATCTGTATATCGCAAATAATAAGATCAGCGTCGAGGGTGTGGCAGCTCTCTTGACCTCTTCCAGGCTTTACGCCCTCGATATCGGGATGGTGAAAAGCGCAGATATCATCCATAAGCAGGCGAGACATGAGAAGTACTATGGTGCTGAAAAGCTCGTGCCACTTTTGGTGAAGTTTGCTGGAGACAAGTTGACCTATTTCCGTGCTCATCATGCAGTACTTACTGCTGAACCTCCGTTAAAAGATTCTGGCTCCACATTCGAATATCTACCAGAGCTTATGGCCAGCGAAGCGCCTAGGGAGGCTGAGTTGGACGTTTCACAAGAAGCTCCGATCTACGAGCTCCCCGAGGAAGAAGCACCAGCCTATGAACTTGAAGATACATCTCTCATTGACTCTACAAGCACAGTCTCAAGCACTAATACGACTCAAAATTCAAAGTCAACGCTGCATCAAAACCAGCTCGCAGCTACTACTAGGCGTGGATCAGCTTTCGCCTCAGAGGTCGTTAGAATGTCAAATGAAAGCAATACAACCACAGCCTACTGTGAGAACCCTAGTGACATTGACTCTTTTCAGCGAATCTCGCTCTGCAATTCCTACATACCATCGAATGATTCCCGTGCCCAAAGAATCCAGGAACTTCTCGCAAAACGCCCACGAAATCAATCCCTAGCACTGCGCGGCGGGAAAGAAAGCCGATTTCCTTATCTACATCCCTCACACATCCCCCATTGCGAAACACTAGTCTTGACAGATATTCCATCGCACATCCCGCCGAACTCCCCAATACTATATACTCTCACTCGCTTTATCACGGCTTGCTCTAACGAAGCCCTCCTCGCGACCCTCCAAGCTGGCTCAGACTACTCCCTCCCACCAGGCCAAACCCGGTACCAAGCCGAACGGCAGCGCTCCCGCTCTCTTTTTGGCCTCCGCCGCATCATCCTCGAAGTCACGGATACTTCTACCCGACTAACGTCCTGGAAACCAGCTAACCAGCGCAACGGAACCTCAATATCTAGCACAGGAGACCGTGACTCGGAGTCTCTCTGGGCTGCTGCTACGGATGACTTCAGCTTCTTCGGCGAAGAGGAATGCGGAATTCCCGATTCTGGCCCAGGGAAGCACTTTCCCATGGCAGTGCTTAACGAGAAAGTCTCGCTTATGCCCTCAGGTGACGATTCTCCCCCTGGCACCAAATCACTCTTCCCCGATGGCGACGCTTTGCGCGGTCTTACGTCTACTGTATCTCATGACATGGGAGAAAAGCAACCGCGGCAGCTCTTGCAAAACGTGGATGTCGTTGCACAGCTGGCTGTATACCGAAGGGGGAAGAGTGCTGAGTATGAGCAGCTTCTCCAACGGGAAAGAGGACGGCGGGGTGCAACTGAGACCATGTCGAGTGATTTAGCAGCGGCTTCAGTGCAGGGATATATGGCGCATTTTGTGGAGGGTTATTGGAAGGGGGAAGTTAAGGTTGTGAGGAATCCGATGGCAAAGGTTCCGAGTGGGGTTGTAGATATGTATGGCAATTATTCGGGAAAAGATTAGCTGTATCCTTGAGCTGCAAGCCCCCGCAATAGATACCAATTTGACGAATGAGATTACAGAGAGTTTTGAGATTTTGAGAAGTTTTTTGGTATTTTCTAAGCCCATAGATAGGGCACACCCTCATCCCTGGTCTAACCTGGGGTTCAAGCAAACCGAGACATAACCCAGACAAAGCGTAGAAAGAAAAGTGACAGAGAGCCCGCAGGAATAAATCCCCATGATAATCCCACATGTCATTTTCAATCCAATATCCATCATATCAATCCATTCAACAAATCAATGCTGAATCCATCCATTTTTTATCAATTCGTCACAGCATCGCTGGTCGGTCCATCCACGTCGTTGAACGTCTGAGACCGAACCAAAGTCGAGTGGTAGATCAACGTGGGAAAAGAGAGACAAAATAAAAGAATTCATTTCAGACTAGTTCCATTTTATTTTGTTCGTTGAACAACCGTCTCCGATCCCTTAGTTGGCCTTGCCAGCCTGGGGGGGAGTCAACTTCTTTCCGTCCTTGTTGTAGCGGATACGGGGAGGGGGAGCACGGTTGCGGCGGCCTTCGCGGGAACGGACACTAAAGTTGGGGGTCAGTATTTCTGTTGTGGAATGACTGTTCATCATAGGTTGGCTGGTTGGAGGGTCGCGTACCGAACGATCTTGCCGTGGATAGCGCAGGACACGCAGTACTGGAGTTTCAGGTACATCTTGGGAACGGCGTACTCGGCGAAGACGGAGGCATCGGAGATATCACGGATGGCGGCAGACTCAACCATGTTGCGGATGGTGAACCGCTTGATAGCCTTGTCCTTGGGAACGCAGCGGGCGCAGTTGGAGCAGCGCACCGGCTTGACGTGGCCGCGACCATTCTTGTTGCGACCGCTAGAAAAATCAATCAGTGATCCGTTCTTGAATTCGTGATGTGTTGGTGCTGTGCTAATAGATCCATCACGAGTGTAAATTCGGATTCCCCAGTGGCTCCCATTCTTCTTGTTTCCGGCAATGCGCGTAGGTTGTTTTTTGTTTGAGAAAATTCATCGGCGTGCTTCATCCTGTCCTTCTAATGGAATTTGTGCGTGGGTTTGGCATCATTGCGGAGATTCAAGTCGAATGGGAGTCTGGGTGTGGAAATTCGAGGCGACGGGGAGGGATTCGGTCTTACTTGTTCGCCCGCTTCTTGACCATTTTGACGGATTGATCTAGTTTTGGATTAGACGTTGAATAGATCGTAGATGGGGTAGGGATAGCGTACGGTTGATTTGTCGAGGGTGGGTTGTCGAAGCTCGCTCACTCAGAGTCTCATTAGGAATGGATAGTGGTTGTGTTGTGGGAAGCCCTAAACCCTTAAGCGAGACCCACGGACACCTTGACACCTGTATTTACAGGCATTAACTGGCGACGTCACCTGACAGAGGTTTGAGGTCACGAGAAACACTAGTCTTAAAATAGACTAGCGTCCGGAACGAACCGTCAAATGGGTCGTGATCCGTGCACCACGGATTTTACCTACCACACCACGTTACATAAGCTACCCTCTTACATAATTAAGAGATATCGGGAATCCTCGGAAGAAAATCACGTGCTATTCAACGTCCGATATCAAATTTTCATCACTATAGTAACCAGATTTGGGTAGATAAACGATAATTTACTCTATTCTACCCTTTTTTTTACCATTTACCTTGGCCTGATCACTCTATCTACCATAATCTGCCCTACTTTGCCCTAAAATACCACAAAAATGGCTACCAATTCTACCTTATCTGCTCACGGAAGTAGGTTATATCCTTTTCTCTGATCTTTTATAACTGATAATAACCTAATTTAGACCTTCTTCCACCCCCTGAAGCTTCATATGCTACTCGAGATGAATTAATCGAATCCGTCCGGAAGCATGCCCTCTCTCAGGGCTATTGTACTGCTATAAAAAGCAGTAATTCTGGCAAGGGTCAATATGCTTACGCGAACCTTTCAATCCAATGTGTCAAATCAGGCATACCTTTTCGGCCGATTGATAGGCCAATTACAGGCCTAAATCCTCGGGAAACAAGCTCAAAACGTCAAAATTGCCCCTTTAGGCTATATGCAAGTAATAAAACAGGCAAATGGGAGCTCCAGGTACGTAATTCATCCCATAATCACCCTGCTGACGATCCAATAGTGTTCCACCAAGCTCGGAAGCTTAATTCTACTCAAATTGATAAGATTAAAGACCTGAATCAGATCAATTCTGCCCCTAGAGATATGATCAAATTACTCCGTTTATCTACAGATCAACCGATAATCTCACGTGATATATATAACCTCTCTGAACACGTAATCAGGGTCGAACAGCATGTACCAATGGTATGGGTCACGTCTGTGTACTTCTCTAGTCTCCACCACAGCAATTTAACATGTGGTACGCTGACTAATAAAGTTGATTACATGATCCATTGTTCCGACATAACCAAAAAGCAAAATTACTCCGAGATAGGTATGGATATCAGGGAGAAATGGAGTATTTTCTCCAAAATTGGCAAATTAAAGGATATAAGTATAGATTATCTTTATCATCTGATGATAAAATCGAGTTTTTAGCGCTTGCTAACCCTAAATCTATTGATCTTGCTAATAAATACTATAGGGTTTTCGTCCTTGATTGCACTTATAAGACTAATAAGTACGGTATGCCTCTTTTAGAGGTTATTGGCATAACTCCGACTAACCAGACCTTCTTATTTGCTACTTGTTTTATGCGAAATGAGAGTGAAGAAGGCTATAAGTGGGCCCTACAAACCTTATTCTCGGATTTTATCCATTTATCTAATAATTCAGTATTGATTACTGACAGAGCTTTAGCACTTATTGGGGCAATTGAAGAGCTTTTTCCTAATATTAGCCATTTACTGTGTATTTGGCATATTGAAAAAGCTGTTTTTACTAAAGCACGTGAATTTATTTGCCAAAAAACAGCAAATCAGCCCCAAGACGACCCAAAAACACAGAATTCACAGAGTTTATGAAGATATGGAGAGACCTTTATTCATCTAATATATCAGAGGAATATAAATTAAGGTTATATAACCTTAAAACTAAGTTTAACTACCCTAATCTGATCCTTTATCTCGAAAGAATATGGCTAATCTATAAACAGAAATTCGTCCGCTGTTATACTCCGAATATTACCCATTTTGGTAATTCTGCAAGCTCACGGTCTGAGGGTATTCATGCAAGGCTTAAGTCCCATCTTCATGGCTCAAATAACGATTTTATTACCGTTTTTAGTGCCATTGATGCTGTTATTAATGGCCAATTAGATGAAATCCGCAAAGAAACAGCCGAAATCCAGACTAAAATACCGAAATTCACCATGATTCCGCTTTTTAGCCACCTTCGGTCCCATCTCTCCCCACATGCTTTGCAGAAAATCAATAATCAACGGCAATTAGCCTTAGAAAAGGGGCCAATAGGCATTTGCACCCATTATTTTACTAATTCAATGGGTCTACCCTGTAAGCATATGATCCGTGAGTTATTGAAGGTTAATCAGCCAATAGGACTCGACAAAATTGATCCTTTTTGGGTTACTCGACCACCCACAGCTGAATATCTCTCAATTCTACCACCTCGGGTCTATCTACAGCCAAAAAAGGAGGAAAAAAAGAGAAAAAGATCAGAGGAAATCACGGAAATATCGGAGATAAAGAGGCCTAAGGCCCCTAGTAAGTGCTCAGGGTGTGGAGAAATAGGGCATACTATCAGAAGTTGCCCTTTGCGGAGAATTTGATTTACTCCTGTACTTATAATTTGATATCGGACGTTGACTATCACATGACTTTAGTCCGAGGATTCCCGATATCTCTTAATTATGTAAGAGGGTAGCTTATGTAACGTGGTGTGGTAGGTAAAATCCGTGGTGCACGGATCACGACCCCCGTCAAATCATTGTATTACCTAATCCCATGTTTACCTGCGGGACATCGAGGAGAGGGAAACACCCCTGTTTGGATCGTCAATCGAGTACTTCTTTTAGGAACTTTGAACAAAAAAATCACCCTTGCTTGCTGTCTTTTGTATAATCTCCTCATTCTTGTCTCTCCTCCCCTCCCCCTCCCCCCTTCCTCTTTATACCTCCTTTCTGGAAATTATTCCGTCAGGATGTCGCATACCGGTACCTTTCGAGGAACGCCCAATAAGACCATCGGCAGGGGAAGGCTGCCCGACTTTGACGGTTCCAACTCCCACATCCCCCGTCCCCGATCCGACCGTCCTGAACCTACCTCTTCCCACACCCCATCCAGCGACGTTGGCAGTGGTACAGGCACAATGAGCGCCGCCAGCAGCAGACAGCGACAAACCCAGTCGAAACGTGATGAGGTGCGTTATCAACCAAGCTATATTGTTCCCAAGGCTCCGCCTGGCTGATATTTCTTCGGTGTCTTTTCTACACCGGAAGACTCAAAACTCGTCTATGCTATACGCTTGACTTAATTCGACTCGACTTCTTTGACTTACTGACCGCTTTTTTGTTTTTAGGCGATCCGCCTCAAGATGGAGGCCAACCTCAACAAGAAGAGGCAAAATCCGACCAAGGCCGCTCGTTCTCGCAAAGCCCCACCGGGGACCGTCCTGGCCCTGAAGCCTAGCCAGGCCCTCCAGATCAAGCCCTCGCTCAACATTTCGGAGGCTGCCCAGTTGATGGCCGCCAAGCGCGAGGACTGTGTGTTGGTCACCGACGATGATGAGCGCATCGCCGGTATCTTCACGGCTAAGGATCTGGCTTTCCGTGTAATTGGAATGGGTCTGAAGGCCCGCGAGGTCTTGGTCTCTGAGATCATGACCAAGAATCCCCTATGTGCGCGAACGGACACCAGCGCAACCGATGCGCTCGACCTGATGGTTCGGAAGGGATTCAGACATCTGCCAGTCATGGACGAGAACCAGGATATTTCCGGTGTCTTGGATATCACAAAGTGTTTCTACGATGCGATGGAGAAATTGGAACGCGCCTACAGCTCGTCGCGGAAGCTCTACGATGCTTTGGAGGGTGTTCAAACGGAGCTTGGCTCTAGCCAGCCCCAGCAAGTCATCCAGTATGTTGAGGCTCTGCGGTCGAAAATGTCCGGCCCGACCCTTGAGTCGGTGCTGGATGGCATGCCGCCAGTGACTGTCTCGGTCCGAACTACTGTGAAGGATGCTGCGGCTCTTATGAAGGAGCACCACACTACTGCCTTGCTTGTGCAGGACCAGGGCTCGATCACCGGTATCTTCACCAGCAAGGATGTTGTTCTGCGTGTTATTGCCCCTGGCCTTGACCCAGCCACCTGCAGCGTTGTTCGCGTCATGACCCCTCACCCCGACTTTGCTCCCTCTGATATGAGCATCCAGGCCGCGCTCCGTAAGATGCATGGTGAGTTAACCTAAGCTTAAGGCATTCATTGCAGTCTGCTAATTCGATACAGACGGCCACTACCTCAACCTACCCGTGATGAACGAGGGTGGTGAGATTGTCGGCATGGTGGATGTGCTGAAGCTCACCTATGCCACCCTTGAACAGATCAACACCATGCAGACTCAGGACGACGAAGGCCCTGCTTGGAACAAGTTCTGGCTTTCAATGGACCACGAGTCGGACTCGATGGTCTCTGGCAGCCAGAGTCAACAGCCCCACCGCTCTGTCATGAGCCCCGACCTGGCCCGGTCAGGCTACGACAATAGCCTCCTTCCTAACGATTCCGCATCACACAACGGCGCCGAAGAGCACTCGGAAGTTGCATCGCAACACCACCAAGTCGAGGATATTCCCTTCCCCTTCAAGTTCAAGGCTCCCAGTGGTCGTGTGCACCGTGTGAACGTGTTGACCTCCGCGGGTGTCGAGGACCTTGTCAAGCAGGTTACAGCCAAACTGGGTGGCGAGCTCGAGGCCGTTGGTGGTGAGGCGGTGGTTGAAGAAGGCCGCCTCAGCAACACTGGCTATGCCCTCAGCTACATGGACAACGAGGGCGACACTGTCTCGATCACTACCGACCAGGACATGCTCGATGCTATCAACCTTTCTCGTGGAACTGGCCGTGATAAGGTCGACCTCTTTGTTCATGACCCGTCTCAGCCACCTATCCCTGCCACTGTTGAGCCCCAACCACTTAAGCCCGCCACCCCAGTTGTTGTTGAAGATCAGGGTAGCGTTACAGACTCCACTGCCATTGAGGAACCCGTTGTGAAGCCTCGGCAGCAGCAGTTCCCCTCGCATGGACATGGGCATGGCCCTGAAGACCAGCTCATTGCCGGTGTCCCCAACGACCTGCTCCTTCCTGGAGCTATTGTGACTTTGGCCGCAGTTATTGCGGGTGTGTTTATTCTCAGCCGACCCAGCGGTCGCTAATTGCAAGCTTCCATTCTTGTTTTTTATTTCCCTTTTTCTTCTTTTAGATATTCCCTTCCTCTCGCTCCCACAGCCTTGTTCCTAACATCCTCCCACATTCTTGACCAACTAAATCCCTCGCCTGCTCATCTTGGCCCTTGTGAACTTTTGAGAGAGTGCATACCCCTTTCTAATTATCGATACTTGTGTATCGCGTGTCCAGATATCGCTGTTCTATTAGTGATCAGCTACGGCCTTAGCTTAACCTTCAATGCAAATACTTCTTTGTGTCTGGTATATCATACAAAGACGGGAATTAAGGACTAGAAGTAAACTGACTAGGAACCCCCCTGAACTAGGTATTGGAGTCAGCATAAAGAACAAAAACAGACTCAAGTCTCATATAACCTACAACTACCCCAGGTGAGAAAGATTCATCTTACATTTTCGGCTTGTTTCTTGTATTCTCCAGCATCAAGTGCTGATCCCCAGTTGGCCGCTATCGCATATCAATTCCCGTAATCATCAATCTTTTTTTCCCTTCCTCCCCGCCCCACCAACAACAAATCTCCTCCCTTTCTAAACCACCCCTCTTTCAATCCCCCCACTTCACTTCTCACTTAAAGGGTTCTAACGACCTGGGTTGCTTCTGTCTGTTGGATCTTGGGAACAGACAAGCCCACCATGTCCTTACTGCCGCCCGAGGTCCACACCGCGCTGTCCCAGCTGCTGCGCTCCCTCAGCACTCCCGACAACGCCGTTCGATCGCAGGCTGAAGATCAGCTGAACAATGACTGGGTTCAGAATAGACCAGACGTCCTTTTGATGGGACTTGCGGAGCAGATTGGGGGCGCCGAAGACACACTAGTTAGTGATCACTCTCTTGACCCCTCCCTTGGAAGACTGTGAACATCCTGAGGGAACAGAGAAGATCTTTGGTTCAAATCCTTCGGATATCGGCAGATGCTATAAAATTCAACACCTAGTAGCACCGGAAGGCTAATATTGAGACCACTTCAAATAGACTCGTGCTTTCTCCTCCGTGCTCTTTCGAAGAATCGCAACAAAAACTCGCAAGGACCCCATTACTGGTGACGCCAAGGAGATCTTCCTCAGCTTGCCAAACGAACAGCGTGTAGCTATCCGGGAAAAGCTGGTCACATGTCTCACCACCGAGACCGTTACTGATGTGCGCAAGAAGATCGGTGATGCGGTGGCAGAGGCGGCTCGGCAGTACACCGACAATGGTATGCAAACTTGCGCTTCCTCGGGGTCAGCATGTGCAGTAATTCTGACCGGTGGTTTCTTTATGTGATATTTTAGGTGAACAATGGCCCGAGCTATTGGCTATTCTTTTCCAGGCCAGCCAGTCCCCCGAGTCTGGCCTTCGCGAGACTGCTTTCCGAATCTTCACAACTACCCCCGGTATCATCGAGAAGCAGCACCAGGATGCCGTCATCGGTGTTTTCTCCAAGGGATTTAAAGACGACAACATTGCTGTATGTTTTGAGATGTTGAAATCAACTAGGGGGAATTATATCCGCTTACGAATGTGTTCTCTAGGTGCGAATTGCTGCTATGGAAGCATTCGCTTCGATGTTCCGCTCTATCCCTAAGAAATCGCAGCCCAAGTTCTTCTCCCTCATGGGAGATGTTCTCAACATTTTGCCTCCCCTCAAGGAGTCCAACGAGAGCGAGGAGCTGTCTTCCTCCTTCCTTGCCTTGATTGAACTGGCTGAAATTTGCCCGAAGATGTTCAAGGCTTCTTTCACTGACCTTGTTAAGTTCAGCATCAGCGTTATTGCTGATAAGGAACTCAGTGATCAGGTGCGCCAGAACGCTCTGGAGTTGATGGCAACTTTCGCCGACTACGCACCGAAGATGTGTACAAAGGAACCCAACTTTGCACAGGAGATGGTTACCCAATGTCTGAGCCTCATGACCGATGTTGGTGCTGATGACGATGATGCTGAGGAGTGGAACGCTTCTGAGGATGTATGTTTGTCAAAGTATACATCTAAAATGTCTTGCTAATTATTTTTCAGCTCGAACCCGAAGAAAATGATCTTAACCACATTGCTGGTGAGCAATGTATGGACCGTCTTGCCAACAAGCTTGGTGGTCAGGCCATTCTGCAACCCGCTTTCTCTTGGATTCCGCGCATGATGTCTTCTACTGCCTGGCGTGATCGCCACGCTGCTCTTATGGCCGTCTCTGCCATCTCCGAGGGCTGCCGTGACCTTATGGTCGGTGAGCTTGATCAGGTTCTTGCTCTTGTCGTACCCGCCCTCCAGGACCCTCACCCCCGTGTTCGCTATGCTGGCTGCAATGCTCTCGGTCAGATGAGTACCGACTTTGCCGGAACCATGCAGGAGAAGTACCACGCTATTGTACTTAACAACATCATCCCTGTCCTCAGCTGTCCCGAGCCGCGTGTTCAGTCTCATGCAGCCGCCGCTCTGGTCAACTTCTGCGAGGAGGCCGAGCGTAGCATCCTCGAGCCATACCTTGGAGATCTTCTTAGCCGCCTTCTCGACCTTCTGCGCAGCCCCAAGCGCTACCTCCAGGAGCAGGCTCTATCTACTATCGCCACTATTGCCGATTCTGCCGAGACTGCTTTCGGCCAGTACTACGATAACTTGATGCCATTGCTGCTTGATGTCCTTAAGCAGGAGCAGGGCAAGGAGTACCGTCTGCTTCGCGCCAAGGCCATGGAGTGTGCTACTCTGATCGCTTTGGCTGTTGGAAAAGAGAAGATGGGCCAGGATGCCTTGAACCTCGTTCAGATCCTCGGTAACATCCAGCAGAACATCACTGATGCAGACGATCCGCAGTCACAGTACCTGCTCCACTGCTGGGGCCGCATGTGCCGTGTCCTTAACCGCGATTTCGTGCCCTACCTTCCCGGTGTCATGCCGCCTCTGCTGACCGTGGCGGCTGCCAAGGCGGATATTCAGCTACTCGATGATGAGGACCAGATCGAGCAGGTTGAGCAGGATGAGGGTTGGGAGTTGGTTCCCCTCAAGGGCAAGATCATCGGTATCAAGACCAGTGCTCTCGAGGACAAGAACACCGCTATTGAGTTGATCACTATCTACGCTCAAATCCTGGAGGAGGCGTTCGAGCCTTACGTTCTGGAGACCATGGAGAAGATTGCCGTCCCTGGTCTTGCATTCTTCTTCCACGACCCCGTCCGCGTATCGGCTGCCAAGTTGGTTCCGCAGCTGCTGAACTCATACAAGAAGGCTCACGGGCAATCTCCTGCCTTTGCTGAGATGTGGAACAAGGTTGCTGAGAAGATCATCGAGGTTCTGAGTGCCGAGCCCACCGTTGATACCCTGGCCGAGATGTACCAGTGCTTCTATGAATCCGTCGAGGTCATTGGCCGCAACAGCTTGACCGCACAGCACATGCAAGCATTCATCGATTCCGCCAAGTCTACTCTGGAGGACTACCAGATGCGTGTGAAGCAACGGTTGGAGGACCAGGCCGAGCTCGAGGAGGGTGACGAGGAGAACCTCGAGTACGAGTACGCTATCGAGGATGACCAGAACTTGCTCAGTGATATGAACAAGGCCTTCCACACCATCTTCAAGAACCAGGGCACAACCTTCCTGCCTGCCTGGCAGCAGCTGATCCAGTTTTATGACAACTTCATCACTAGCCAGGACCCCACACAGCGCCAGTGGGCTCTTTGCATTATGGATGACGTGTTGGAGTTCTGCTCTGCGGAGTCGTGGAGCTTCAAGGACCACATCATGCAGCCCCTGGCTGCCGGTCTGCAGGATCCGAATGCTGCCAACCGACAGGCCGCTGCCTATGGTGTTGGTGTCGCCGCTCAGAAGGGTGGTGTCGCCTGGAGCGACTTTGTTGCTGCTTGCATCCCTAGCCTATTCCAGGTGACGCAGCACCCGCAAAACCGCACTGAAGAGCATGTCTTCGCTACTGAGAACGCTTCTGCCAGTATTGCAAAGATCCTGCATTACAACGCCTCCAAGGTGCAGGCTCCCCAGGAGGTTGTGACCAACTGGATCGAAACCCTTCCCATCACCTTTGACGAGGAGGCGGCCCCATATGCCTACTCTTTCATTGCTCAGCTGATTGACCAGTAAGTCTTCGTTCTTGTCCGATTTTGCCAAGACCTAACTAACTTGACTTTTTTTCCAGACAAAACCCGGCCGTCTTCGCCAAGGCCGACCGCGTCTTTGGTTTCATTGTAGAGGCTCTTGAGGCCGGTACTCTGCAGGGCCAAACTGCCGCTCGTGTGGCCGCCTCTGCCAAGACACTGGTGACAGCCACTGGTCTCAACGCCGAGTCGATCCTGGCGGGTGTCAGTCCGGATAACCAAGAGCGCATCCGCAAGTTCTTCCAGTAGATCCGATTTTTTCTATATCCGGCATGTTGCCCGTTCTCCCGGTTGTCTTATGTTATCATTCCCCTTGTCCATGTGAAACCTGATGCTAGTGAACCGAAATGTCCTTGTTAATCCATTTCTTTTTTCTGATCCGTATCGAAGTGCTTTATTAAGAAATGAAGTACATCATAGAGCTCAGCAATGAACATCCCTGAATACCTATGTGGAAATATATATCTACCTTCATATGTATGTAGGTAGAAGCTATACAAACCCCCTTATCAACATTGAAATTTAGAGAGACGCAACCCTCTTAATCTCATTAGCAACAACCTCCTCCAACCCCATGACCCTCGGCTCCCCAATTACTCCATTAGCCCTCTCCTCATAGAGCGTACCTCCCTCAGTCCAAATCCTCCTTAACGTCAAAACAGTCGCCGTACCCTTCCCCTCCTCCCACGCCTTCCGCTCCAACTCCCGTAACCGATCAAGTGATGTAAACGAAACATCCCACGTCCCACCCACCTGACGCTCAAACTCCTTCTGAATCGAAGCAGGCGTCGTAGTAAAAGAATTCACACAAAACGCCCGATTGACATTATCCGGAGACGCATGCAGCAATGTAGATAAAACAAGAGTTCCAACACTACTATCATCAGCACACTTCAACGTTTCCCCCAAGCGCTAGATATGGGGTTGAACACGGAAGGGAAACTCACTCCTTCATAGTAGTCAAAGAAATCCTCTCCTCACCAGTCCCTAACAAAACAGCCTTTCTACCTTTAACATCCCATCCACCACCCTCTACATCCGATGAAAAGTGGAGATACATCTCCGCGAATGGTCCAGTAACGACATACGCATAGCTTAGCTGGTCGCGAGGGATTCCTTCCAGAACAGCTCGCACTTTCAGTTTTTGTTGATGCGGTTTCTCGTTCACAGAGGCCGGGCCGTAGGCTATGTCAGTGCCGTATTCCGAAGGGAGGAAGAGCTTGATTGAGGGTGTTGCTGCTGCGAGGCGGATCAGGGGGATTTGGAGGGCTAGAGCTGTGCGGCCGAGGGATGAGATGATGGTGTCGATTCCTGGGGAATTAGTGTAAGTATGGGTAATGGTGGGATTGGATTGGATTGAATTGGATTGGGTGGTACCAGTGTATGCAGCTTTAATGGCATCTTCATCTTCGATATCACCAACTATAATCTCGACGTTTTGCGCTTTCAGCTTCTCCAGGTGGGAGGCCTTTGTTTCGGCTGTGCGGGGGGAAGTGAAGATTGCGACGCGGTCGAATTGGGGGCGTGCGGAGAGGATGGCTTCTAGGATGAAGGAGCCTATAGCACCTGTTGCGCCGAAGAGGAGGAGGTTCTTGGACATTTTGATGTTCAAATTCTTCAAAATGAATTGAAAGAGAAGTTGAAGTTAGAGTGAGCTTAATATATGATATGTGATGTGGGGTCGCGGGGTTGCTTATCAATGAGGGAAAGCATGAGTTTACCCGGCGGATATTAATGTATTACACATTCCGGAACAGAGGTATCCGTCGGATGGTACTTGGTGCACTCTATACAGGTATGATCGTCTATGATACTGAGTATGTACGGAGTATAGACGCAAGGCTATGCAATTATTGACCTAATTCCATCTTCCGTCCCTGCAATCTGGATTGATTCAATTCCATATTAATCTTAAACAGCACCGGCAGCAGCAAGCAAAGCCGTCAGTTCCTTCTTCTGCTGCAAGCTCTGCAGGTCGGAGTTACCACCAATGTGCTTCTTGTTGATGTAGATGTTGGGGACAGTGCGCTGGCCGGAGATCTCCTGGAGAGCGTTCTGAATGGCGTCGCCGTCCTCTAATTGAAGAATATTAGTAATTGGTTTTTACAAAGCATCTTCCTTTTGGTTGGTGGGATAGTAATATAGGATGACGACAGAGCGGGGCAAATGGCGATCGATGAGATGGAGATATCTTCGGATACAGGAAGTATTCTCCGATTCCTCCTCGACTCAAGACGAGATGATATAAACACAAATGATGGAAAGAAATCACTTACTCTCCAGATCCAACTCGAGGGTGGTGAACTTCGCATCGAGCGAGTTCAGGAGGTCCTTGCTGGCCTTGCAGTAGGGGCAGTAAGATTTGGAGAAGACAACAACGGCATTCTCGTTGATGAGGTTCTGAGCGGTAGTCTTAGCAGCGGCAGACATGGCGGGTGATGGAGCGGCGGTGCCGAAAAGACGCTGGAAGATGAACGAAATGGTGGGCGAGAGGGGAAAGAAACCGGCGGGGATGTGCGGCTTCTTGTAGTTTTATATAGGTGGGGAAGTATGTACAGAAGGTTAAGTCGACGGAAAAGACGATGTGATTCGGTCATGGCTATGATGTCAGGTGATGGGCTTTGTCAGCCAGAACGGTCGAGATGTTCATCACATGATCCAGATTACAACTTATGCTTATGATTATGTTTAACTAAATGTACATAAAATGTTTTTAATACTGAGTCTTTCGACTTGGCTGTGTGGGCTTTATCAGCTAGAACGATCGAGGTCTTAATCACATAGTTCAGGTTACAGTCGATGATTATGTTCATGTTTAACTGTACACATTATCTTTGTAATACGAAGTACTCATTCGTTGATGTCTTCAGACTTGGCTATAAGAGTAAAATAGCATGCACGAAATGTCCGACAAGAATAATAATAAATCAGAACGCTTGCGACGACTTGGGAATATGGCAAAAGTGGCAATAGGAGCAAAAGAAGGGCCAAACAGAAATGAAATCAGAAGCAAAGTCGAGGAGATCGCAAAATAACCAGATGAATATACTAGGGCTCCAGGGGACCCGATGAAACGCACATTTTTGGGTCAGTCCGGCACGCTTGATGCCGATAAGCAGGAACAATGATCACAGGAAAAGAATCGAGAAGGAATGGATGTATGGATATCGCGCTCCGGTAGAAGTCCGAATTAAAGCAGTTCTGGAAAATAAGGAAAAATCAAGAGGGAGAGGCGTATGTGTACGTGTAAGTAATCAAAGGTATCTCGAATAGGGAGGTAAAGCCGGAACGTAGTTAAGAGGGAATGAGATGAGATAGAAATGAATAAAGTGTCCATCACATCACAACACAGCATCCACAACTCTTTTCCTTTTTCGGTTTCTCTTGGGCGGTGACCACCGGAGGAGTCCAGTTGGGGTTTGGTGTCAGACCCAGTGGGGGCGTATCCTGCACCTTGGGCATCGTACTGTAGCCGGTGCTTGTGTTGGGCCGCGGCGGCTCCGGAGTCCTGGCCTTGGGTGGCTCTTCGATCTGAATCTGCAGTGGTTCTTCCACAGGCTCCTCGGCCTTTCGTGGTACAGAGGGCATATCGTCCGGGTATACAGCCAGGGGTGCAAAGTCGCGGTCGTACGTATTCGGGGTCCGTCCCTCCTTCTCCCATTGTTCCTGCTGCATCTTCTTGGCAAGAGTAGGGAGCATCTGCTGGTCGGGAGGGAGTCGAGGATCCGGCTTGTACATGGTTGCCAACCACGGCGGATCGCCCTCCGGTCGGTTGGCCGAGGTGGTAGGCCGGATTTCGCCAGATCGCGTGGTAGGTCGCTGCGTAGTGTTGCTCGACACTGCCCGCGATCTCGCCGTGGATGTCTTTCTGTTGGCTGGGGGCGCCGAGGTTTTCCGGTTGCTGGATCCGGTCATCTTGGTTGAATTCTTTTTAGCGGGGGTATTTTGAGTGGTATTGAAGCCGTTGAAGCCACGGCTGCCTGGTCGGCTTCCTGGAGAGGGAGTCGAGGGTCCCATCTCAGTCGTCAAGGGTTCACTGGCTCTGCGTCCGCGACCTTCGTCATCCTCATCAGTCGCTGCACGGCTGCGAGGCCCGCGAGAATCACGGCCCATGATGGGCACAGGGCTTGCTGCGGCGATGGGGATCCGAGAAGAGCTCTTGCGCAGAGCCGGTTGGTTGTAAAAACCGGCGGCTGCTTCATCCGCAGCAATCTCTTCAGGTCGGCGGAGATCCCAATGCTGCCGCTCCTTATTCTCGCCGTTGGCTCGGTCGATCCGGGATTCCTGCAGTTGGGGCCACGGTTCCTGGTGCTCTGTATTCGGTGAGGCTAATGAAGCTGCGCCACTATGATGAGAATCATGGCTCCTTTCACGCCCCGCGCTCGACTTGCTCTCCGCTCTGATCCGTCGTTGAAATATTATGGCCGCTTGGTGCAGCTCCTCGCTCTCGATTTTAGCCAGCTTATCACGATGGATCCAACTCTCACTGTTGAACTCGAACGATTCGTCCTGACCGTCTACCGAGGCTCGAACAGACGCTTCATGTCCTGCATCACGCGGGCTGTTGATTTCGTATCGATTCTGGCTTTGTTCTCGTCGACCTCGGCCGGACAAAAAGGGCGCATCGTGTGCGTGAACGGTTCGAGAAACCGAGGAGCTCCGGGAGCCGTTCGAGTTGCGCTGTCGAATGGATCTCGCACGCGCGGAGTTCGAATCGTGGGAGTTGCGTTGTCGTGCGGAATGCTGGGCGCCCTGTGCGTAAAAATAAATGGCGATCGGTCAGACAAAGGAAATTCCCCTCCTCTCACCACACTTTGGGCAACGAAAAACTCACATCGCTACCGATCGGGACGGAAAATTCCCATTGTGAAGAACTCTCCGGGCCTCCAGATGTCAACGCATCAGTTGAAAACGCGGTAGCCACGCCCGCCATTCCAAGACGTTGAGATGAAATTGGGATTAATAAGGCCAGGCCAGCTGGAACCCGTTTCTTATTGTAGAAAGCAAACGAGGAAGAGTCCAGGTCCGCTTTAACAAGTTTGGGTGTTCAATCAAGCCATCCCAGTCGGTAGCCGCCTGTCATGAACCGAAGAGAAAACGTTCTTTAAGGGGGTGAGAGTCCCGCAAGTGGGGAACCGAAAGCAGTAAATTGTAAATACGGTGACTGCAGGGGGTGGAGTTTCCAAGTCGCTTTGGTGTTTCTCCCGGAGCCACGGAACAAGTTCTGGAACGGCGCGTGTTGGTACCGTGGAAGAGAGTCCGATACTCCCTGAGAGCCGAAGTTATGGAGATCTGGGATTTCTTGGATTTCTTGGAGAAAAGGAGCGCTGGACAGGAAATATGCCAGACGAAGAGCACGAGGGGAAGAGGGGAGGGGGGGGTTGGGGGTAGAAGATCGTGCGTCTGTGTCCAATCTGGACTGTGAAGGTTTAGGGAAAGAAGAAAAAAAAAGTGGATTATCAAAGAACGCGGGGGGAGGAATGAGAGAGAAAACTAGGATTGAAGTTTTAGCTCATGGACTTGAGTAAAAGAAGATCAAAGAGGGAGAGAAACGGTTGAACTAACAAGATTCGATCTCCCCCCCCCCCCCCAACTGGGATTAGCCTATAGTCACATTTGGCCTAGAACTTTTGGTCCACCGAGTATATATAGATGTTAGATCTGTCTAATCCTCTATACTTTCAACGTTGAATTTATTTGGAAATGTTTCAAGGGGAAGGTCAATTCAATTATTGATCTTAAAAAGATCATACATCATTGATTGACACAATTCTCCCAAGTCTCTTTGTCCTTGAACTTGGACCGTGCGTAGAGAAGTTTGCCCCTGAACCGTTTAAGACATGTTCAATAGTCAGTCCTAACTAATGAACGAACTAAGAACTGGTTGGTAAAAGTTCAGTTTTTGGCTTATTAAACCCCACTTTCAGAATACTTGACACTTCGGTTCGAGGCCTGAGCGGTTGACTCCTCTGAAACGCCGGCATATGCAAAACCTCCTTCGACGGATTGACAGGTCATGTGAATTTCCCCTCCAGGGTATATCGATGGTCTATGTGTAGGAAAATGGATGGGAAATGGGAATTTGAAGATGAAACATTGTGAAAGTGATCGGGAGATATTCTTCCCCTATAGGATTAGATCCTGATAAATTTCGGAGATCAGGATCAGTTCTTCTGCTTCTCCTTATGCATGTCATCGAGCCGGGTGAGGTACGATTGCGCTTCCTTGACCAGGGCTCTGCGGGAATTTCGCACGTCATCGTTGCCCTCGGGATCGATCCCATCTGTCTTAAGGATGATCTGTTGTAGGATGGTCTCACTTAATCTCCTGTACTCGAAGTCCCATTTCTTGGCATCGGTTGGTTGGTCGGCAAAGAACTCTTCACACATTGGGATGAGCACCTGTCGGAGGTACCCAGTCAACGCGGCCAGCTGCTCTAGAGCGGTGGGGAGGAGTTTGAGATTGGGTGGCAGAGCAGGGTTGGGGGTGGGAGTGGGAGTGGGAGTGGAGGTGGGAGTCGAAACAGGAGCCTTCTTCTTGGACTTCTTCTTGGACTTTTTCTTTTTGCTTTTCTCGACAGGTGAGCCGGAATCTTCGTCTTCCCCATCTACACGCGAGGACGAGTCCGAGACTTCGTTCGGGGTGTTGGCGCCGACCTCAGAGACCACGCACAGCACCTCAGAGTGCTGCTTGAGTCCTTCGGCCTTGCATGACCGACCATCATCCTTGAGAAGATTTCCCTTGTACAGCAGCCGGACCTGGTTAGGGTGTTTGGCACCGGTCTGTCGTCCAGCCTCCTCCCGAAGTGCGCCCACGGTCAGCACACCGTCGTCGATGGCGTATGCACGGAAGTGGAGAGGGTAGATAGTGCTACGGTGTCGAAGGCAGATAATGTCCGGCTCGCTGCTATCCACATTCGGGTCGTATCTGGTCTGATTGGCGTGACGTGCAGTATTGCTCGGGGGGTCGACGATATAGTCTGGGGTGATGTAGCTGTAATCATCGTCGTTGACCTGCGGGGCAGCCCGACGCCAAAGGCTGGACAGGGGGTTTGTCCAACTCATCGCGACAATGGTCAGGAGACAAACGAGCAGAGCTAGACAGATGGCAGAGGTTTGTTCGTCAAATGGCAGCGCCTGCGCGACTGAACGGAAGGGCGTGGTCGAGTATGTCAGCCACGGGTCCAATCGGGGACGGAGGGAGTGCAAGAACACGGGGAGGTTGTCGGTGACGTGGTCTAAGTAGAGGGCAGCCTTCTCGCTCAATGTCGACTGAGCGAGGGGCGAAGGCAGGAGAGTCATGGATCTCTTTGAGGGACGAACTGAACCAGGTGGTGGCGAAGTCTTTCCCCGGAGTCGAGCGCCGAACGAGGCTGATAAGGCGGAGAGCCAGTTTTTTTTGCCATATCGTTGATGAACCGTAAAATCTCCAATCTATAGGATCGCGGATATCTGACAAGGCATACTCTGATCTTCGAATTTGAAAGTGAAATTTTTTTCGAAATCTTGCGAGGTGTTGGTGCCTTGCACTTCCAATGCTGCCTAATTACAACACAAAGGTGCTGGCGCCTAATGCCTCCTAATGGTTAGATCTGTATTCCCTGCCAACATACCCATGATCATTCAAATGTTCGAACTAAGTATGATAATTATCTAATAATATGTAGGAAGGTATGCCTACATAATCCCAGCTACGAGATAGTCGGTAACTAGTTAATCAACTTCAGCATCTACGTAGCAAATGTACTTTGAACCCATCAATGGCTATCTTCACATCGAAAATATACAGCAGTGCCAACCAAGTGGGCCAACGCCAAATGCTGTGGGCATGATTGCAACTTGAATTCGAAATAGAGTAAATCCGAAGATGCATACTGTATCTAAATAATGAATGACAACCCGTGGACAGAGATAACCTTGGAAAATTTAAGACTCCCACATCCCTCTTGAAGCACCTGCATAGGCAGGTCATGCGACATCGGGCTGATCACAGTCAACAGTACGTAGTTCAGTCTAGACCCAAGTGGAGGTATAAATTACAAACGATAACAATATTTGAAGCCTTTGAATACAATAAAGTGTCTCAAACTCACCGATATCTCTCTATGCACATTCGCAGCCTCCAGATCTCACCTTTTTTGCCGAGTACGCAAGGAGTATATCAGTCCCGCCACCACCATTTGAAAAGAATCATTTATGACACCTCGAAAAAGAATATGAATAATTGACTCGGGGAGATCTAAAACAGGGGGAAATGAAGACCTTAACAGGATGAAAGAGCAGAATATATTGCTCTTATCGAGTTAACCCGCGGGTAACGTAACGAGGGGAAAAAAAAAAAGGAAAAAATAGAATGCCCTCGTCCAGGATCGAACTGGAGACCTTCGGATTGCTATCCTGTTAACAGGAAAGTCATATGTGAAAGTGATATGAGACCAACGTCATAACCAACTAGACCACGAAGGCTTCTTGATGAATGGCCGCTTCCTAACAAGAATTCCAAATGAATAGCCAACACCGATAATAAAAAATAGAGCATGGAATTATTGGACGTCGAAAATTGTTCAAGAGCATGTGGAGATGATTGGAGTTTTTATTTTAAGATTATGCATTTCGCCTGTGACTGCTCTCGATGAGCACCAATATATGGTGTCTTCTAATTGGCTGTAAGTGAAAGCCATCTAGCTGCCACATGGAACCGATTTGAACGATTCACCTTGGTTAAATAGCAAAACAAAATATGTCGGTGGTATATGCATCGCGAGCCAGTGTGTCTTCCGACCCAATGATCACATTCAATACTGAGTCATCCAATTGGTAAGCCCGTCGGCACATGCCGGAGTTATCAAAATCATTCGCATAGACAAACGGGCCAAATGCCCAGTCGACCCTTCTACCATCCAGGTATGAAGGTTCCCAGGACAGCTGCGTTATTCTCAAGGCCCACCTTCCAGTCGAAGTGTAGTGCTGCTTGGCGTCCGCAGAGAAGGTAGTATGCTTTGTAAACCAGCCAGTGGAATTGCCCATTAGCTGACCAGGTTGGTGCTGGGATGCGATCGGCTCTTACATCTCTAGACGCGCCGAAGTCGGCTGGCCAGTTATGCGCTCAATGGTTGAACCATGTCTGATATTATCACCCTTATGAACAGGGCGCCTTATACATGGTAGCGTATGGGAATGGAGGAGAGGGTTGGATCTAGAGGGATAAAGGAGGAAGAGAGAGAGAGATATATATATAGCTAAGACATGCTCTGGGAAGCTTTGTTTCGGAAGTTGTATTTGAACCCCGGCTCGAGGCGAATGGGGGAACAGAGATCCCCCAGGCAATGGACGAGCTGGCAGATTGGCTCGAAAACCGGCGGCAGAATTTCTCGATATTCAACAACATATCGCTCTGCACGAGAAGTCCAGCGCTTCTAGCGTTTATATGGCAGTATCTATATCAGCTCTATACTTACCACTGATGGAAGTTTGCACACGTTCGAATATCCTTATGATGATGGCCCTTTCAACCCAGAAAATTGGAAAAACAGCAACAGCACATTCGATACTCGGGCAGATAGCAGTTTGATTTTTGATGTTGCATATGTTTCAATGATCGATGACCTAGAAAAAAAAGCGCCTCTTTACGTCGGGCAGCCAGATTATCTTGGGGGGGCTGGATTTTAGTTGAATATATTTATTGGTACCCAGAACTTCATCCTATAAATTTAGCACGAGGTAATAGCAAATTAAAGAAACCTTATAAGTGTAGATTATTTGCATATACATGCAACAAATATTGGAAGATACAGCCAGAATACATGCTCACGAAGACACACATTCAACGAAATATAAATGTCTCTACCATATATTAGAAGGGAAAAAAAATCAAAACAAAATGAAATACTATGAACTTCTATTTATGCCCGCACAAACATCAAATCCATTCTTCGGCCTAGTAGTTGGGAATGCAAACACCGTCGTTCCACTCAGTGGCGCCAACACATTGCCAGCCGTCACAGCAGGGGTCTCCGCCAGACTGGCAGGAGACGGAGTAGTCTAGAGAATAAGTTAGCTAGATTACTACTAAAGTACTGTTTTCATCAAAATCAATTTACTGGCGACGCAGGAGCGCTTCTCCGACGTAGAGTCCGAGGCAGAGGAGGCAGAGTCCTTGGCATAGGCGGCAGAGTGAGAGGCAGAGGCCACGGCGGCCAGTGTAGCGATGAAGACTGCGATGAAATGCATTATGATGGAAAGAGGCAGGTAGATCGGTGAGTCTGGTGATGGATTGGGCTGGACTGAGTTATTGAAAATTCGAATTTTGGAAAGCTTGAGTGTTTGAGTTGATTGTGTTAATATTCAAGTTATCGAGGAAATCTCTCGCTATTTAAACTTTGTTGACTCTTCATCGATACGTATGTATCATGATAGACACAGGTCTAGATGAGCCTCTATGTCTATAGACTGACATGACCGATTTTGGGAAATATTGTTTCTTGGTAGATTAGTGCTAATCTTGGAGATTTCTTGCCACAGGAATATATCTTCAGCATGAAACATTTAAAATACCCCGTTGGATCGATGGTATCTTGCCTTCACCAAAATAAGTAAATGGATGTAGTTGGTATTTCTTAATTTGTTGACTCTTTCATTTTTTCCGAATGGAGGACAGATTCAGTTAACGATGGGGGATGGGGGCTATACTACCATATTAGTACGGATACACACTCCCAAGGTTACAACGGCCCCGGGGCCATGATCTATGCTCTGAGCCCAAGTGGCGTGTATCTGCTAGCTCACGTAAGAGACAGTGCAGTACATTTCATAATAATATGACAAAATCGAAACCCAGTCGCTATTTATTCACGGTAATATGAGTGGAAAAAAAAGAAAAAAATGAAGAATGCCCTCGTCCAGGATCGAACTGGAGACCTTCGGATTGCTATCCTGTTAACAGGAAAGTCATATGTGAAAGTGATATGAGACCAACGTCATAACCAACTAGACCACGAAGGCTTCTTGATGGAGATTTTTCGGTTATTATGCTTTATTAGCCACATTGAGGCCAAACTTTAGCGACCCGCTGGCTCAACCCCGGCATCCAGTGAAGGTCGAAAAATTGCACTCATGACATAACACCATAATTCCGGGATTTCCCTAGTACTTCGAAGGCCCCATCCCATCCCATGTCAGCGCGACCCCGCATCGCATGGGTTCATGCGCTGACCAGCGCCTCTTATGTCATAGCCATCATGCTATCTCCGCTTGAATCTTTGTTTACTGCACCTTTATTCCGTATAATCGAATCAAATCCTCTCAAATATAAGCCGTCGTCACCAGACGTGGAATCTCCGACTCACCCAACACTGAACTGTTCAACATTGCACCACCTCGCATCTGTGAAACTTGCCGTTTTAGTAACATGGTAGCCTATTTTGCTAGACATTGTATAAAGTACCACATGCAAGCAGGATAATGTAGTTCAAAAACAGGACCACTGCCGAGACCTACAGATGTGGCTTGCGGTACTATGCCCGTGCCCTAAGATCTAAATATCTGATCGCAATACATCTCATTCAAATGTTGTATACCCAGGTCATACCTAACGATTGAACGCCTCGAAATAGAAACTTGGTTGGCGCAAACTATTCCCAGTTTCGGAAAACATCCGACGGGGCGTTTTTCTAGACCCGAGTCTTTCTTAGCTGAAGTGACTGTTGACTATGTTCTCCGTATATGTACATGCGACATGGTTGTCTTAGAAGAGCTGACGGCAACTGACCTGATGCAGATGCCAAGAATCAATATTTTTAGATGGGCCGCAAGAGGCAAAGAACTGCAATGAAAAGAGATTCCCTTGGAGCTCTTTGTTTGGGTTTTCCTTGCATGGCACACGGTTCCTTGATTGACGAGATGAGCCGTTTCTTGACCCACCTTAATTTGGGAAATTTTGTGTCTTTTATGACGATCGGAGTGAGTGGGTCAACCCTGAAAGATAGATGAATTAGGCGAGGGTCTTTGACCGACGAGAGTTTACTTCAAATGAGGTTCAAATATTGAACTTGTTTTCCAAAGTTGACGTATAAGCTATGTTGCGTACTCTGTACTCCGTACAGCGAGAGTAAATAATGCGGCTGGGAGACAACGCGGGTCACACCATTGGAGGGAAGAATATCCCTGCACGATATAGCGGAACCAATAAAAGTGGTTTTGATCCAATTTTGTCTCCACAATTGAGCCGTTCAACTTAGGTAAAGTCCATGACTAAGTCCAGTCCCTGACTTTCATCCCGCTAGTCCAATGGCTAGATGCTTCATTTCTTTTCGAGATTCCTTTTTTTTTTCTTTCTCTTTCTCCTCTGGGAAGAACTTCCGTCTGTACGAAGGACTTCTACTTCGCCTTGGTCGAATTGTCACACCATCCGATCCATCCCCTATTGCAGCTCACTTTTCTACTGCCAAGCCAACCTTTTGGCCCCCTATTCCGACAACATTCTCCCCAAATAAATCCCCACCCCCGAGAACACATTCGATTGCGACTCTGCTAGATTAGCGCGCAACAACTATTGCGCTATAACCTTGGGTTCATGGTCTTCTGGAACTCGACCTTTTTCCCTTTCACCGTCACTGGAGAACTGTTGCCTCGCCAACTCTAGAACCCTGAAACCCTCGACCCGCAGTCCTTGGCGTTGCTTGTTTTGCGCGTCAACCCCTCCAACTGGGCACCATTTAATTCCCCTCCCACAAGAGAAGGAACTCAAAACAATCGTATACTATACACAATGCGACCGGCCGTTTTTCTTGTTGCCCTCGCGCCGGCCGTTCTCGCCGGCCCGTCACCACGCGCCCGCGATACCAACTTAGCTCTCCGCTCTGACGCCCCATCAATACCGGAGCTCGTCCCGCGGGACCAGATCCTCTCTATCACCGATCAACCGGTGGGGAAACTGGGTGCGCGGCATGTTCTCCAAGCGCGCAGCGAAGGCTCTCTCGGACAGACCCCGTGGATCGGAATGGCCATCGGGTTAACCTGTACGGCTCTAGCGGCGGTGATGCTAGGGTAAACAACAACACCCATAGCCAACGGCTACTTCTATCTTGACCTTCACCTTCTACCTTCAACTTCAACTTCAAATCCTCTTCAATTCTCTTCGACCTTTTACATTTTCCTCCGATTCTTGACACGATACGTGAATACGCGCCCCCCGACCTTTATCAACAACTTCGAACTAATTCTGTCGACCCGTCGACCTCTTTTGACACTTTATTTGGCGATTCCAGCGACATTTGGTTTTTTTGTTTGCATCCACTGCCTGCTCGGCGTGGTTCATTTTGATTTGAGTACCGATTGCATTCTCCTGTGGGAGTATAGAGATTGTACATGATACCTCTGGGAGCCTGTGTATACCTGGACCGATATTTGTCTGTATTTATGTACATAAATGAAATCACACGTTCCTTTTACAAGGTTCTAAACTGTTCCAAGGCCCTTTCTTCCTACTGGCACTGCGCACAGCTAATGCCTTTTGGTATTTTCTTTGTTTGCATTTGCCCCCTTTACCCTCCCAATCTTTCTATCTCCCTATTTTACACTCGAAACTGAACTTTACCTGATTCTTATATTCTATCCAAGGGCCAGAATAGCTAAAGTACATTGGTATTGCGCTTTTGCCTTGCCAACCTCAAAACCAGTTCTTGTCTGATTGATACATCTTGTCCTAAGATCCTTTAAAACCGACAATGGCAGTCAGGTTTCTTCCATACATACCTGCAACTTCGCTAGGTGATGAACTAGCCATCATCTTCGCGTTCACTGCCGCGATGATCGGGACTGTGATCATCTATTCCTTTTTCTGGCGGAGTATGTACCTCTTTTCAGCTACAAAATTGAGCATGATCCTTATACTCCAGCATATCCTCGCCACTGTTACATAGTAAATGCTAATCTCAATCCTCACCAGTCCGACAAAAACGCAACCACGAAGAGGACCTCGCCCGTCGCAAAATCTTCCAAAGTCGCACCGCAGCCCGCGCACCAACTTTCAACTTTGACCTGCAACTCGGCACCACGGCGACCGTCACAGCGGGGAGTGTTGCGGACAGTTCCGATATAGGTACCGTTGTGGCATCTAGCTCAGGTGCTGGTGTTTATGAGAAGATGATGGATCGATTTGCTATTCCTGAGAACCGGGCGGAGTTGCCGGTTCATGGGATGGAGATGGTTGGGCTGCGGAGGTAGAGTAGGTTTGGTAGGTGGACAATTTGTGACGAAACCGAGATGATAGGATATGCAAGTGTTTGAAAGGAATTGTATCTAGTGAGTATATTGATATTACGAGTATTTTAAATCAACTTCATCCACAGACAGGGTGATCAAACCCCCGAGTCCATAATAAGGACCCCATAATCACAATCAGCAAACCCAATCCCACCACCACACTGGTAATCCCATAGAAATAAGCATGTCTCCTCTTCCCCAATCCATTCAACTCCGCAACCCAAGTACTAATCGTAGTCGTCGACCCACAAAACCCATCCATAACACCCTGCAACACCTGACACCCAGTCCAAGCAGCAGGCACAACAGCACCTAACCCACTAACATGCTGCAAATCATAACACACCCCCTCAATCACCGTCCCAAACATATTAACCGCAAACGTCCCCAACGGAAACGCAGCAACCCGATTATTAAGATAAAGCGACACATAAAACCTCAATAAACACCCCACCGGCGCAAACACAATCGCAAATGCCGCTCGCCCCCGCCAAGTCTCCAAACCTGCATCATTCCGATCCGGAGGCCAAATAGCCAAAAACACCGCACCGAGCCAACATCCCCAACCCAGCACCACTATACACGGATCCAGTACGCGGCGCGCAAACTTGAACGGGATGGTAGGCGTGAAATGGCCCAGGGCAACTGCCAGATGCGCACCGAAGGTCAACGCCGAAAGACTCAGTGAAACGGTTACAAGAATTACGGCTACCAGCGCCATGAAGCTGTATCCGCCGTTCCGGGAGACTGGGGCTGCACCGGCAGTCGAAGGATCAGGGAGGGCGTTTGCCAGGGCGAGAAAGACATCACGGATGAATGAGGAAAATGATGTACAGCAGCCGCAGAAACCGGTTGTCAGACCGATATAAAGTGGGATGGTTTTCTTGGTAGCTTTGTGTTTTTTGATCCATTCCTCTATGTCTCCGTCTCCGTGTCCATTTCCGGAGGGATCAGTAGGCAGACGAGGTGAGCCCCATGCTTCACGGAAGATGTTCCTGTCTTCGATTAGGAAGCCCATTACCAGGCTGCCTGCGACGTTTGCCCAGAGGACGCTTGTTAGGACTGGGGCGCCGGGGTAAAATGTTAGGGATTGGAGGCCTAGGCGGGCGAGGGTACCAAAGATGGCGAAGAATATTAGGTAGGAGATTGTGTAGAGGTGGGTTGCGTGTTTGGAAGGGGTGGATGTGGGTTGGGGAGCTTGGGTTGGCCATGATTCTCTGCGGGATGAGACCTGCTCGACGGGTGGTGGTGCGGTGGTTTCGGTGAGAGGGTAATCGTTGTATTTTTCAGATTCGGGTGTTAGGGGCGCAGCCCTTTCTATTGGGAGATCGGGCATGCTGTTGGAGGTGAGTCGCAGGTCGCGCTCGGAGTTGAGAAAATTAAGGTTGGAGACTTGGAACTGATCTTAGATAATGAAGAATCCACCAGCCGATAAGAGCTTAACAACACAACTTCGACCTCGGGAATTATGTTAGCCATTAAAGTGGTCATACATCTTATGGCCTGGAATATAGTAGGTGTTTCCCTTGATATGGTAAAATAAGTCGGAATCTGTTCATTGAAGTCATGAAGCTGACAAAACATTCACTCATCAGGACTCGCTGTGAAGGAGAATCGGACTTCAATTCAATATTGAATGCTATAAATGATCCCAATGGTAAATTGGCTTAGCCCAAGGTTAGAACAGATACCATGTTAGTGTTTAATTAATTCAATGTTATCTAGAGTACTATAAAACTCTCAGATTTTCATTTACCCACCAGAGCTTACTTCCAATCTCTTTTCTTAACATTATTCTTGCCTGATCAATTCAACCAAAGGGATATGGCAATACATATAGAGGAGAGACCCCATATATTAAACGGCTCACGTATTTGCTAGAAATTAGCTCCAGATACCCGAGACTATCAGCGCTTGCGAGTCACAGTCAGACGTGGCAATCCCAATGAGGCTAGCTCAAGACGAAGTACTATATCTCCATCGCACAGCTATTTCCCTCTTTCCAAAGTTCCCCTCGTTCATCTCCGAGTACCACAGTGGTATTATCTTGTAACCTTTCATTACATCCTTCACTCTTCCAAAAAACATACGGATATCCTCTATCAGCAGATAACCATGCCCCCCAAACCAGGCCGCCTCGCATCCATTCTCCGTCCGTGGGATATGATTTGGCTTTCTATTTGCCGTAAATCTTTATCAACCCACTCCGATTCCCACAATTTCAACTAACACTCCTACAGTACACTGGGAAGCATTGACGCAAGCGATTCGGCGAGACGGCCTCGCAGCACTTGGCCGTCCAGGAGAAATTCGAGATGCCGCCTCAGCAAAGTTGTTCAGCCTAACCTGTAACCTACCCCGCTAGCCATATATTATACAAACTAGACTGACCATACCCAGCTGGCAATTTCATCGCTTACGAAGACACAACCATTGTTCCCTCGCTTGTCAAAACCGCCAGGGGCGTTATTCTCGAATTGGGCCCTGGGCCAGGCAATCAGATTCATCGTTTCGATACTTCTCTTGTTAAGCATGTCTATGGTGTTGAGCCTAACCCCAACTTTAAAGATGTGATTGATATCAAATTGGACAAGCATGGTCTGCGAGAGAAGTATGAGCTTATAGTGTGTGGTGTTGAAGATAGTGATGTTCTGAGAGAAGGGGGGATCACGGAGGGGAGCTTGGATGCTGTGCTATGTATCCAGGTGTTGTGTGCGGTGAATGATCCCAAGAACGTGATGAAAGAGGTGTGGAAGCTGCTTAAACCCGGAGGCAAGTTCATTTTTTGGGAACATGGATGGAGTCGAGACCGGTTGACGAATGTAGCGCAAGGTATGTCTGTATCTCCTTTCTTCTTCTATATCTCTTCTTTCGGCTGGCTAATAGGAAGGGATAGCTTGCTGGAATCCTGCTTGGAGCACTTTTGTTGGATGTAATCTGACACGGAATGTGTTGGGGGATATTCTTAGCTGTGGGGAGTGGGAGAATCCGCATGAGATCGAAGAACCTGAAGAGCCGTTTAGTTTGTTGCCTAGAATTCAGGGTGTGCTTGTCAAGAAAGCCTAGCTAGGCACTGGGGACACATCGGTTCATTTTGGGGGTCAGATCGTGGAAACAGAATAGATAGGTAGAACAAGCCTTGCCGAGCGGTCATTGTCATTGTCGTTGATTTCTGGGCCATGATCCGAAGAAATGAGAGTACTGCTTTGTTTATTTGTAATGAATGTGTGAGTAGGTAATTCTCAATCTGTTCAGCTTTACAAATCATTTAGACACGGGTATACACGGGTATGCGGTGAAGTACAAGGATAAGATTCACTGCAGATAAGATAACCAACCCCTCATTCTGTCTCTAACTACCTTGTCATTGTCATTGTCATTATCCTGACCTTTGACTAAACGTAGAGTTTCATTCCTACTCTTAATCCTTTCCCATTCCTACTTCATCCCCCATTCCACCCATTACCCCACATCTATGACACAATGTCCCTCCCACCAAACATCCACGTCTCCACCCACCCCTGCCTTCAGGCTAAGCTCTCCCAGCTCCGCTCCGCAAGCACTAGTCCCCGTGAAACAAGGGCCCTCATCCATGATATTTCGTCGATATTAGGTGTTGAAGCTTTTGCAAAGGGACTTACGGTTACGAAGACGGGGATGGTATGTCCGCCATACCTTTTCGTTCTTTCTTCAGGATCCATATATCTTATACAGCTGCTAATACCATTCTAGGATCGTACTCCACTCGGCGCAGAGTATGAAACGCAGGGAATCGATCCAGCCGATGTGGCCCTGGTACCGATTCTGAGATCCGGGTTGGGAATGGTTGAGGGTTGGTTCTTTCCCTTATCCTTTCTTTCCAAGTCCTACTGAATATGCATCTTGAATCCGCCTCTATCCATCCCAAGATTCCTATCTTCCTATTATTCCCCATATAATCTAACAAAGAAATGAAGCTCTAAACTCCCTCCTCCCAACCCCCGTCCCAATCTACCACCTAGGCCTATTCCGGGAAAAAATCACCCTACAGCCTGTAGAATACTATAACAACCTCCCCTTCCACCGAAACGAACTCTCAGCACAAAGTCCCGCGCTTCTAGATCCATCTGCCGCAACGACGAATACAGCCGCGGCGACACTGGCCGTGCTGCTTGACCCTATTATTGCGACGGGGGCGACGGCTGCGGCGGCTATTCAGCTGTTACGGGAGTGGGGGGTGCAGAGGGTTATTATGTTGAGTGTGCTTGCTTCTGAGGAGGGGGTTAGGAGGGCTGCTGGGACTTGGGAGGGGGTTGAGGTTTGGGTTGGGGGGGTTGATGGGGTTGTCAATGAAAAGGGTATGATTTTGCCTGGGGTTGGGGATATTGGGGATAGATTGTTTGTTGCTATTGGGAAGTAGGAGTTGGAGTGTAGTATGTAGTCTATACTGCAGGTTGCGGTATGGATGGAGCAGTGGTAGTTGACACTTTAGATACGAAATACTACGTTCAAGTAATTCCCCGCCAAATATTGTATTCATAGATTACGTATAGTACATGGAAATAGGGCATAAAAACATGTGCAGGTGAAAGCAAGACGATGCTGAGCAGGCAAAAAGCAGGGGCGGGGAACAGACATGCAAGTAACATCAAATACAGCAGCCAGGGTAGGCTTGGGCCATAAGAAGCAGATGAAGCAGATGAGACAAAGGGAAAAAGAAAAAGAAAAAAAAAAAAGAAAAAGGAAAAAAAAAGACAAAAAACCACGGATAAGCATGCAGCATGAAAGTCAAAAGGTATCAAAAGATCAAAAAGCAGATGGACGGGGCACGATTAGGGGCTAAGGAGAAAAACAAAATAAAACTCCATCGAGTGCGAAAGAACACACAGGACCAGCCGAGTGTCGAAGAGGGAACTAAAGCAGATAAACACCACACCGGACTCCCTGGTGCAAAGATAGCAGGGGGATAAGATGCAACCCAAAGTAATAGAAAAGTCAGGAATCACACCAAAAGGCAGAATGCAGAATGAAGGCGAAGTATTCCATAGCCATAAAAACCCCGCCTGCCCACCGGTGAACCCGTTCCTGAGTTTTCCCATGTCCCATAAAGCGTCCAACAAAGGAGAGTAAGAAAGCCCGAAAAACATAAAAGAAAAAAGATTTGAACAGATGCGAATTCAAATCAGAAAGGTTAGTACGCAGTGCCAACGCTGGCGAGCGACTTGGGAGGAACTGCGTGGATAGGCTGGTCCTTGCCAACGCGCAAGGAATCCTCATAGCCGACCAGAGCCTGGGAGTGGAGTTTGAATGACTCGCCCATAAGCTTGGTGATTCTGTAGACCATTAGTATCAATCCTAATCAAACGGCAGAAAGAAAACTTACCCCCATACAACCACACCGTCGAGGATGTTACCCCACACACGGGCCACGGTAGAGCTGAGTTTACCAAACGCGTCGATGGCATCGTCGTCAAACAAATTGCGAACCTTGTTGTAAATAGCCAATTCAGCCTCAGTGGCTGGCTCGTCGTCATGTTCCAGACGGTAGAGCCAGAGGCTGAGAATGACCATCAGATCTAGTCCGCAGAGCGGGTGCTCAACACTCCAGTTAGTGGCGGAGGTCTTGGCAACCCAATTGATGCCTTGAATGGCTGCGATCTCGATGCACTCGAAACATTGTTGAACCACCTTGTTCATCTCATGTCCACGCTTGACCTTCTCACGAGCGACGGTCATTGCAGCAGCCACCTCATACGAGGAGTGGTACCGCATGGCCTCCTGGATGGACTTCAGGTCGACTTCCAGGCGGGCGCGTGTGTTGCGGTAGACGGCCATCGAGTTGAAGATCAAGGGGTGACCCTTCTGGGGAGTACTGAGCGGAACAACGATCGTCTCGGACTCGCAGACATCGAGGGAGTTCTCCCAGGTCTCGAGAGCAAGGCGAAGCTTGTACTCGGTGACAACATCTTGCAGAGCCTCGAAGCTGCGCTTGTGATTCCAGACCTGTAAGAATAGAGCGTTGATCAGAACACGAGTGGCAAATGCGCTGTAGCGCGTCTGCTCGCCCTGGAACAAGAAATCGTGAGCCTCGCGGACGGTGAGTGTCCGTGTGGTGGCGGTGCTGCGGCGCCAGGTCTCCTCGTCGGATGGATCCAGGTTCCAGAGCGACTCGGAAGACGGAAGCTCCAAGTTGTCAAACTCGTCGAAGCTCATAGCTGGGGTATGGTTGAAGGTGAGAGTCAACATGCCGAAGAAGATGTATACTGCAAAGTAGGTACGGCGACACGACTCATCCTCGATCCAGTCCTCGCGCGAGACCGGAACGCCCTGGCGAGCATCTGTTCGGACCTTGAGCTGGTACCGATTGCCAGCAACCATGTTGGCCAGGAGACTCTTGATCGAGCAGGTCCATTCAAGACCCTTGGGGTCACCGCTCCAGCTTTCAAAGACCATGTTCAACAGGGTGCTCTGCATCAACCAAAGAGGACACTTTCGAGAATCGAAGTTGTCTTTGTGTTGCAGGAACTGGTTGACCAGAACTTTGGAGCCGACGTGAAGCATAAACGCGTGCTCGCGCTCGAACGTATAAAGAGCGCCGATCGAGAGAACTGCAAGCAATAGTGGAGCAGACACGGTAGCAGGGTTAAACGATTGCTGGTGCAGGAAGGGTAGATGAGGGTGGTACAGGTTAAAGTAGGTAGACAAGTACCGGTTCAATGCGACCAGGCCTGGCATCTGGAAAGTCTCGGGTAGACCACCAAGGGTGTCAGCGCTTTGGACACGCTCCACCACCATGTTACGATCCATCTCATCAATGATTTGCGGGGCTCTGGGAAGAGTCAACGCTTGACTGGGACCGGGCGACCGACGGTAGTTTACGGGACTGACAGGGCCAGTCATGGACGGGTAGGGGGACAACGCGTTCGGGGTCGAGTTGCCAGACATGGGCATCGAGTTCGACAGAAGCACATCTCCGACGGGGCCGTGACGGTCGAGGGAGGGCATCGCATCGTGAGGCGAAACAAGGGTATCCCAAGGCATTTGCGGTAGGGTAGCGTTGCCGGAAAGGTAAGGCTCGAAATTGCCTTGGCCGGGGGACAACGATTCGGAGCGCTCGGAAGCTTGGCCAGTCGCCGCTGCTGCAGCCTTATGTTGGAAATCTGTCATCAACATGGCTGCAGTTTCAAGGTCGACCATACCATCACTACTTGCCTCGATCTGCTCCAGCGTAGCTGGGTCAATTGTGATCGAGGGTTTGGGGGTAGAAGTAGCCTTCTGAACACCCCCACCGCGTCTGCGGCCCTCGGCGACCAGAGGGATACCGCCATCCTTGGCATGCACAGTTCGATCATGGCGCAACAAAAGGTCGCGACGAACGAAGGTACTCCGACATTTTAGGCACTTGAAAGGGCGTTCTTTGGTGTCTACACAAAGTCAGTATTTTGGGGGGGTGCGCGAAGGGCGGCCCGACTGGGCACCAAGAGCGAAACTTACGTGAGCGTTCATGTCTACTGCGATGTTCACTGCGACTGAAAGCGCGATTGCAAAATTGGCACTTGTACTTCTTCTCTGGGGCTGAAGTCTTTTTAGCCGGCGAGTTGCTAGCTGTCCCGGGAGCTGATGGAGCCATGTGTGTATCTGTTGTATGGATCTCAAACAAAAATCGTCGCGTTTGGTATAGTTCCCTGGGTGATCTCGCACCGGTTCCTTAAACGTGTCGACGACAGAAGTTCGTTGGGATGTCTGATCATTCCTATGTGGGGGAATCACGGGTATGTAAAGTTGAAAGTGGGTGTCCAGCCACGGATAGAAAAACAAAAAGGAACGCTCGAAAAGAAGGGCGGATGAGCGTTAAGCACCGCGATAGAGGGGTTGTGTGTTGAAGAAAAGGTGGGAGGGGGGGGGAGGAGGGGGGGAGGGGAAAATGAAAGTGTGAGGAGAGAAGAGGAATTTAGAAAGCCTTTCAGTTTTGGGGGGAAGGGAGGGGATGGAAGGGAGGGGGAAAGGGACGTGGGCCCAAGCAATCGCTTACTACGCGTGAGGGCGCGCCGAGGGGCGAAAGCGGGACTGAAGTGACTTTGAGTACTTAGAGGGGTGAACCGAGGGGGCTGGGTCATTCAACTTTCAAACCGGCCACGCACTTTGACTTCCTATAACCACAACCACACTATAGTTGGACTAGATGATGTGCCCCCCCTTTTTACCATAAATCGACACGTCGTAATATTCAAACGCAAATCTCATTCGACCCGATCGCCAAAATTTAAAAAAATCATTTAAACCAATAAATCCCAAAATGAATCATACATTGGCCCGCAAATTGCATCCTTTTTGAAACCCGTCATTTCGGTCCTGCCGAACGTTCATATTTTACTTTTGGTCCGATTCTTTAAACATATAGATCTACTAGATTTATTTACGTATCCATAAGGAGGGGTCTTATTTGACGATAGTCGATAAAGAATGATCTATACGTCTGAAATTGTAAAATTGATAAAATCAACGAAAAAGAAAGCCAAAGAGAAAAGAGAAAAAAAAAAGCAATATTCAAGGGAGATCAGACAAAAGTGGGAATAGTGCCTGCGAGGGCTTAGTGGGCCATGCAGTGGCCCCTCGCTCAGCACAAGACCCATAGGGAATTATTTTGGAAAATGTGTGGCTGGCATGTGAGGCGATTTAGTGTCTCGATCGTGGCACATCCATAGCAAATGTAATCTTACTTTCCGTTATCTGGTAGGTAGCCCTGTCTATGAAGTGACGATAACCCTGTATATGTACATGACATAACTTTGATGCCCGGGAACTCTCTCTCTTTCAACCATGGTTCATGCCCACGTTACCCCTCTCATTCAAACCCCTCCGATCGGCATAGATCTATAGTTACACAGTTCCGACGTCTAGGCGGGTTGGGAATGAGACAGGGATGGATTGGATCACATTTCTACTTGAGTTTGAGTAAACATGTATACGGGGACCTCCCTCCTGGTCTCCGGATTCACGCTAGAATAGCCTCGATCGGTGTATCCACGGGGGGTTGCATAGTCGATCAATCCACCAAGATCGTTGTCTTGCAATTTTTGGTCAATCAAATTCAGGGATATCATGACAGGTGCGCCACACTTTTCCATGGATCCCCCCTTTAATTATTGACGGATCATTGATATTCACGTACTTTTGTCTTCAGTTTGGGTCTGACTGGTCCAGAATCCGTCTCATCTCGGAGCCCCGCTTTGTGGCGGTTCGAAACTGAGCCACGGAGGGGGATTTCTGTGAAGGACAAAATATGAATTCAACGATGCTCAGATACGATATGTCATGTATGCAGCTATACATTTGCTTTGTCAGGGCGATGTACGACACCAGGTCATCTGTGTGACGTTGTGTCCAAACATCACCCGACAAAGATCTGCAAAGTGGGCTTGGGGGATATTATCATCTGATCCAGTACTACTCCGTACAGTACTTTGTATAACCGGATTGTCTGTTTGATCATAATTCGGTCTCTGCTCAGTATCGGGCTTCTCGAGGTCCACACTGTACAATAAACGGTCAGTCCGTAGTGAGTTGTCTAGCTCTTGTACACCGCACAAAACCCGTGTCCTGGATTCCCGGCTTTCATGGGGCTGCATCATTGGAAGCTCGAAGATCCGCTAGGACAAAAACGCGGAGCACCGACGCGGTTACTTGGGAAACGCGTCTGGCGCCCCTCCGGGTGGAGCGCGATGCAGCCCACGGCACAGAAATGAAAGATCGGCCATCTAGCGAGGGGGAGAATAGAAGAAGGTCCTCTGCACGGAGTACAGTACATTTTACATCTTACCCCCCTTGACCCCTCGAATGACTGACCTATCAAATTATATCGATCTGAACATTATCGATGGAGACCAAAAGTACATTTTATACATCTGCAGCCACTGGAAACCGGAAATTCCAGCTTGTTTGTTCCAGCGGAGTTCCCGGATGATCATCGAAGCCTCAACAAACCTTCTCTATCCCGCTATATCAGCTGAGCAGAGCGGTGGAGAGTATTCCGTGCTTGAAGGATAGACAGGGAGCAAAGGCGAGAAAGCCCTTGATTTCAAAATTCCAATACTGGTTCGATCCACTTCCCGATGCAGCGGTCCGACCCAGTTTCAACGTTCTCGACCCAAGCAGGAACCAAGGGGGGAGAGAAGATGACGACTGCGTGCAGATTGAGCGGTGAGGTTTGGTACTTTTGTCGAACAAAGAGACCATTCCGATCCCTTTACTCCGTGATATAACATTCCATAACTATTTGAAATGAGGCACACAACTCATAAACCTTATTGAATATCTCTGGATTTATCAGAACCACCAAATATTCCCAAACAATGGATCTACAGAAATCGGAATCGGCGCAGTTCTCAATGAAACCTTGACGCAAACTTAGTTACTAAAAGTACTCGAGTCAAGCTGATCCACTATCTGTAGGAATAGGAACTTTAGAAATCTTCCCCGGCGCCGGTCCCTAAACTAATGACCTCCGGCATCCCACCCATAGTCCCGACAACTCCCTAGTTTAACGAAGTGGACCAGTGGATACATACTGGGTCTGGTCACCCCGCCAGGACGGTCTGGAGTTTTTGAACTTCGCTAGCAAGCTCTGGCCCGTTTGAACTGAGCCTAAAATTGTTGCCGAAGATGTCGGTGAGACCTCATCGTGCATGTAGCTATTCTCATGATTCACCGCTTCGTCACATTCGTTTAAGATTCGAGTAGATGCAGGTCCCGCCAGCCAAAAGTCCCAAATTATGATGTTTTTTTTTCTGGTTTTTTTTTTCCCCTTTGTGCGCCCTTTAACCGATACACTTTCGCTAAAGATGGGGGCGTTGAAAACCCGACTTCCCGACGCCCTGGGAAGCAACACCTCCGAGATGGGTTCCACTGACTTTGCTCTTTGGTGTGTGTGGGTTTCCATCCTCCATCCTGATTGACCGTCATTCGCAGGAAAGAAGCCGAATGCGAATCGAATCCGCCTGCCTAGTTGAGCTGTCTTGGGATATCTCCGTAACTTCCGTTATGCTCAAAGGATTCAATCCGCTTATCCGTTCATCTGTTCTGTCCCGTGCCGAAAAGAAAGGGTCTGGACTCGGCACACAATCAAAAATCAGGAAATGCGAATTCAATTACATCCAATTCGAGTCAATCCCGTTTCTAGTCTCCCGGTAGTTGATTCCCATATCCAGTTAGATCCCCCTTCCCAGGCAGCGACCGTTCATCATCAATTTGCCACACTGGGGTAGAATCTCCAATATTAATCACCGGCTTCATCTAATTATTTACAAAAAATAGTTTGCGATCATCCCTTCGAACCTTGGAAAGGAAATGAGGGTTCCGGGGAAGAACACCCGGTCCATGGTTCACTCCCGCAGTCAGATCGATATATGAAATATCTGATATCACCACATCCACACCGACAGGGCTGCAGCAGCTGCCGTGCGTCTACGTGGCATTATTACACCGTCATATCCGCCATTTGCAGGTTTTGAATTTAGCCTTAGCCCCATGCAGGGGATGCAGAAGCAGAAGCAGAAGCAGAAGCAGACGCAGAGCAGAAGCAATCAATCTCTTCTCCCAACATATTCCGTATCCAAGGATACAATCAATGATCCAAATAATTGACATACAATTTCCTACGCCCCGCGCTGATGCTTCAGAATTTTCTCGAAGGGGTGGAACACTGAAAGACGGAGAAACCGGCAAACTTTCTTCCTGCACAAGGTTTGAGAGCGGAGCTAGCTCTTGACGATAGCGTAATGGAGAGTACAGAAACCCCCACCTAGTCTATCGAATAATCTATCGAAAGCAACGGCCGTTCTCTTTTGGAAGCTCCCACGCGTGCGAGTGGAGCGAGGCGAAAGGATCACCCTCACTAATGTAGTGGCTCCGCCCATTGTACTCCGTACTCCTTATGTACTGGATAAAGAGGGGCGGAATGTATGCAAGACAACGACATCTAGATGATTCCATCTTCAAAATTCACGAGCTCATGGAGAAATCGAGACCGAGCCAGAACTGAACCGGACTGAACTGAGTTGGAAAGGGGTGATCAGGATCATTGGGCGGGCCCGACACTTTGGATAAGCAGGGGCAGGACGAGAAAATCATTCGCGATTGGATGCCCCCTGCCCCGAGCGGCAGGACGAGTCTCCGCTTGGTACTGGAAATCCGTCCGGTTGGGTAAACGTTGATTCCCACAGCAGGGTTCCTGCGACTCCCGTAAATCCGCTGCAAGGAACAAAGGATGCGGATTTTCGGTGGCAAATTGGCCGACCGCAGCTGTTTTCTAACTATTGCTCTGGTGGTATGAGCTTTAAAAGTTTTTTTCTTGGCATCTATTTCGGTTTTTGGTTTCCGTGGACAGCTGTGGACTACAAGGTTGTTTGTGCTATTCAAATTGCGTGTTCTCTCAATGTTCAAATTGCGCGTGGGGGATTTAGATATTTTGATCGGCATTAATCGAAGTTGCACTTTTGCGAGTAGATATTGAATCGCAATATATAGTGTCAAGGTAAAGACTGTTTCAGTATATATATGTACACCCATTGATGCATATGTATTTTGCAACATTTTTCAAAGTTGAACCTTCAAAGATTCAGATATAAGATACCATACTTTAGCATGTACTTAAAGCCTACAACCATGTATATATTGTGCCGTCGCTTCCAAGGATCAAACCTTCAAATGTTTGTTTCAACAGTCTCGGGACTTCAAATGTTGGTTGCAACCACAGTACAGTTTAAATCTCATGGTTTTTATACAGTATTATGTTCCGACATGTCATTGTATCTTCACACATGATAGAATAAACGTGTGGATAATAGTGCATGTATATGGATGCTAGACTTGGCCTCGTGGGACCTTGGCAGCTTGACCCACAACCCAGATGTCCACTTCTAGAACTGCACATATAGATGGATCCTGATCGGTTTATTTAATGTGTTTTATATTTAACTTCAAATGATATTGTAGTATATTGGAATATCAAATATAATGAATACTGCATGTATTATATAGCCCGGGCCGGGTTGTCTGCTTCTTCCCGGTCCCTTCCATGCCTAAAGGAGCATTTGGCAGAGGGCATGTAAGCACATGTGCATGCATAATAATATCGTCAGCAGTAAAATCAACACATGACACACGAATATATCAATTCGGCAATCACTACCCACGTGCTCATCTGCAAATCTACAATATACATGTAGCACGTGGCCAACATTGAAACGAGTGTTTATACCCGATAAAGCAGACCAGGATCAATAACAAAGCCGACAGATCAAACGTATTGGTAATAATTCTGAGTGTTCAGCAATATACTGCAAGTTTGAGATCGCAGAGACTCAATGAAACGACCAGCGTTCCATGGAACCATAAACCTTTCCAACTTCAACCAATCTTCACACGAAAACAGGCCAGTCGCCCTGACCCCGCAACTTAACCAAATAGCTAAACGATCTACTCTGATCTATGTACAGAAACCATCGCGGTCCGAGAACAAAGAGCGAATTTGCTCCACTGAATGACTCGAGAATCAGGGAATCCCTGGACTACCAGCGGAAACCTCCGAGACAATACGATGTACAATGTATGATGTAGTATGGCATCCACACAAGACCTGGAATAATCCCTGCTCGAAAATGAAACGGCCCGGAGAGTTTCCCCAGCAGACCGGTTCTCGGCACACTTTATCGTGTCTAGCTCGGAGGCGAGGGCCAATTGTTTGGAATATATTGACAGGGAATATACTGTTTGACTAACATAGCAGATATTGCCGAGGATTAACGGGCAAAGAATGGATGTTATGTATGAGTGATTATTTGCGAGTTTTGTAGCCTAGTTGAAGTAAAGTTTGACATTGCGTATGAAACATGAAAGTGGGATTAGTGTTAACCCTGACTTATAAACTCAATTCCGTTAATAAGTTTCCATGATTTTTGAGGAAACTTGCTGCCGATGGTACCTGGGCGTTAGTTCCATTCCTAATGGGAACTAGATGCTGGTTAAGTAGCTTTATTTGGTGTTTAGGATCTAGCTATCTTCCCGTGAAATGACCATTAGTCTTAGTCTTGGTATTTATACGATCTTCAGGCTAGTGAAATAACCCGAACCTTGGAATAATCATCCGCTCAGTACAAAGTGAGGCGATCATGTACCATGGGCAATGCAATCCTTGATTTCACAGTAGTATGGCTTATTTCGATGACGTGAATCGGAGTCGATTACCAACTTGGCATCATCCAGATGGTAGACCGGGATTTGACCGGTCTGCTGTAAGAGATATCTTCTCCTGAACAACAGACGAGGGTCTAAGGTGGCTGTGGAATATATTACCAACCCTTGTAAATACTCCCAGCAAGCCAATCGCACATACTGTAACCCATGTCGTTGCCGCGTGGATTAATTTCTGTATGCAGCCACCGTCAACAGGGGACAGGCATGTCAGCGTGATTTCAAGGTGACTTTGAGCCTCGGACAACGACGGAAACTATGCCAGCCACATCAATATAAAATGGGTTCGACCTTCTAGAAAGGTTCTGGAACTTGTCGGTTCCTTCTTAGCTTGGTGTGGCTTTGTGGGTCGTGCAGCGAGAAAGCCAACGGTTGAAGTTCTCGCGTCGGAGAATAGGGTTGGTTTCATCATATTGCCCGAGATTCAGATAATTCCTGCTCGGCAGAGAAAATATGTTGATTACCCCGAAAGTGCTCTGCTTTATCTCACTTGGTTGGATATTGTCCTGGAAAGGGTGTGAAGGATCCACGCTGTGTACATGTATTTCTGCTAGTTAACAATAATTGATCAATTTGATGGGGGCTTAGCTTTCCGTCCCTTACCTGGACAGTTTATTATTTAGTCTCATCACTCCTTTGAATCACATAGTTTGGCGCTTTTGTCTTCTTTTTGGGTTTCTTATCCAATTACCAGGGTTTCCCCTGAGAGTAAAGTTCAGAGTTCAGAGTTCAATGGAGGTAAACCATCCCAGTTTGATACTGGTATACGAATAACATACAACCAACAAGAGATTGGAATTTCCTATTGGGTGGACAGTAAAAGTGAGAGTTTACTCGGAAAACCCCCCGTATGTGTCAAATCAGCGCGAGTCGCGGTCGATCCACCATGGGCGCACTTTTCAAACAAAAGCCGCAACATTTCGGTCTGGACAGTAGTAGAGCTTTTCTCAGGCACATGGCAGCAGGATTCCAGTTTTTTGCTCTCTAATTTTCGTCTTGAATCTCTTCTAAATTTTTATAACGTTTTATTTCATTTTGCCCCTGACCTTTCTTGCCCCTCAGCATCGCGGGGATGTGACTGTAACGGGGCGAGTAGGCTGTCACACCGTTAGCAGAGAAGGCCATGTCCTACCACGTTGTTTAATGGCGCGACTGGCGATTTAGGCAAGATTCTAAAGTAATCAAAACACGCATTTGTTTTGATTCACCCTACTTGAGTCCATAGCGCGTGAACGTGCCACGGTAGATCCCAAGGCCAGTCAGGTCGATGGAGTACTTACTCCGTTATGGAGCCGGGTGCTCAGACGCTGGTAACGCAATGTGTGGTACCGCGTAAGACAAGATAACATGGCCAATGACAAGCAGGAAGGATAAAAAAAACACCAAAGATTCAAGTTGATGTCAGATTGCATTGGAGATGGAAAAGTGAGACTTTACTATGCATGCTACTAAGATACCGCAAGTATACGGAGTCTCCGTAGATGCAGTACCATTCCAACGTATTCCGTTCTTGAGACCGTAAAAATACCAATAATACCCGCAGCAGATACATAGAGACCTTAACCAGCTGGTTCTCTCTACGCAGACGCCTTATCCGTCCCGCCTCCACTCCCTGATTCTCCCACTCTCTCAGACTCACTCCGTACAAGCTTCACGCTATCCCCTTCATCTTCATGGCTTAAGGATTGTTGGTGGTTTATCGTTGCTGAGCCGGAAAGTCATCTTCTCCCCTAACCCCCGGAAAGTGGGTTGCAAAAATTACCCACCCGCCCCTCTCCCAACAGCACATCAATTTCAGCCATGAGCCCCCCGGAGCGAGAGTGAGAAGAAATACCAGAAAGTAACGGTTCCGACCGGGCACTTACTCGACTCCCTGAGACCTCCTTATGTACGAATACCGCTCAGTGGACCTAGCCGTGGACTCTGCGCTGGCTGCCAAAGCCGGGGCCTTTGCGACCGCTTTCGAGTACACCGACGAACAGGCCACCACCCCCACAGCTGCATCCCGACACCGCGGTCGGGGGACCAGCATCTCGCAGCAGTCCGACCGTTTTACTCAATCCCCCCTGAAAATGGCCACCGGATATGCGGTCAGCCCCGAGCCGCCGGCGCTGTTCGTGCGGGCTATGTACGATTATGATGCCGACGATCACACAAGTTTGAGCTTTCGCCGGGGCGACATCATCCAAGTCCTAAATCAGTTGGACACGGGATGGTGGGATGGTGTCATTGACAATGTCCGTGGTTGGTTCCCGAGTAATTACTGTACCGTCATCACAGAGGCGGACGACTTTGGTGAGCAGATGGTACATGGGCACGACGAAGAGGACATGAGCGGAGAATCTGGACCCGAAGACGATTTTGGGAATGGACACGACGAGGACGACGAGCTGGACTCGGAGGGCAATTCGCGCGACTCGCAACCCATTCTCCCCATCGAGGGTATTCCGGGGCAACAGGAGCAAGAGGAAGCTGCCTTTTGGATTCCGCAGGCCACACCTGACGGCCGCCTATTTTACTTCAACACTCTGACGGGATACTCGACCATGGAGCTGCCATTTGAAAACCCTACCGCTGCGAACGAGAATGGCCCTCGAGACCGAACCAACTTTTTCGTCCCTGACCAGACGCGCCCGCCTCCTGAGTTGATGGCGCGGGGATTCGAGAGGGACGAGGATGAGTACGATGGATCCGCATCTGAGGCCGAAGGAGAGTCGTTGATGCTGAATTCGCGTGACTCTATATCTCGTCGTCGTGAGTCTTTGGTGGACGGGGTGTCACCTGCCACCTCTATGGATTCATTATACCCCCCGGGGCCGAAGGATTTCAGACCACAGATGAAAAAGAGCCCTCAGCCATCATTCAGCAGTGCCTCTGTCACAAGTGCCGGCACCTCGGTCGCCGAAATCATCTCCCGACCTTCCATATCTTCAAACACACCCTTGCAGTTTGTAGATGATGGCTTCATCCCGCCCGTGGCCTGGCCCACGCTGGTGGATAACATGCGATCTGCCGTGGAGGCTTATCGTCAGACCCTCCTCTCTGGGGAACGATCGGAGTATGTAAGAAAGGCTGAGGATATTTCCGATCACCTTCGCATGCTTTTGGCCGCTGGGTCGGACACCACCGACAACCATTCCGGCAATCCGTCTATCATCTCTACCAACAAGGCGCTCTACCCTTACTTCCGAGACATGATGTCCAAATTCTCGAAGTTGGTTCTCTCATCACATATCGCCGCCGCCGACTGGCCTGGCTCTGATTCAGTCAACAAATGCCTTCAAGAGGCTGACGGAGTCATGCAAGGAGTGTACGGCTATGTTGATGTTGCCCGTCAGCAGAGCGGGGACATCATTCACAGAATCGTTCCTGGCTTTGTTGGTGGTAGCTCTTGCGGTGGCAGCTGGCAAAACAACGGGGTTTCTTTGAATGCAGGCCCCACCTCTTTCCTTGTTCCCGAAGCTGGGGATTCTCGAACCGAGCCTTCGGTTCCTCTAGATACTGCTCTTTTAGATCACCTTGATATCCTAAGGAGGTCATTTGTGGGTTGTATTCGCCGCTTAGAGGAGCGATTGATATTCAACCAACATATCGTCACAGCAAAAGAGCACGCAGAGATCGCGGATGCTGCCGCGGCGGCTGCAATCAAGGTTATGGAGCAATTTCGTCCCTGGATCTCAGCGGTCGAGTCGATCAACCTTCTACCTTTGGGAACCAGTTTTCAGAACCCTCAACTTGTGGACTTCAGCTTGCAGAAGCAACGGGTTTATGATGGCATTGGTGATTTTATCTTGAGTTGTCAAGCGATCTCTGCTCCCCTGCCTGATGAGTGGGCCGAGCTTCGAGGCGATTCTCTCGACGACCGAATCACTGCCGTGCGGATGGTGGCCAAACAGGTGGAAAACTGTGTCTCCCAGATTGGGTTTTCGTTATCTCTGCTTCTTGAACAACTTCCTGATGATCAATCATCCGTGACTCGCGTTGATACTCGTGAAACTCGTCTGGATGAGGAAGATGAGTCGCTCAACAAGACCACACACAGTCGCAGTGATTCCAAAGCCAATATCTCTTCTGAGTCAATTGGCATTCCATCGTCCTACACTCCGGGTAAGGAACCTGGAAAGGTGCGCCGCAACATGGACAAGGCTCAAAGATTCTTTGGACAAGCGCCACCTACCACTGTCACTCGTGAACCGGTTCAGCAGGAGCCCGTAAGAGAACCTGAAGAGACACCGTGGTTCCTGAAGATGGATCATGAGGGCGAAGTGTTCTACGATACCAAGACAGATTCTCCTATCTTGAAATGCGGAACATTGTCCGGGTTGGTTGAGAACCTCACGCGTCATGACAAGCTTGATGCATCCTTTAACAATACTTTCCTCCTTACCTACCGCTCCTTTACCACCGCTTCTGAACTCTTTGAGTTGATAGTGCAGCGCTTTAACATTCAGCCTCCATTCGGCTTGAATGCTGACGACATGCAAATGTGGGTCGATCGCAAACAGAAACCGATCAGATTCCGGGTGGTCAATATCCTCAAGAGTTGGTTTGATCACTTTTGGATGGAGCCCAACGATGAAGTGAACATGGATCTCTTACGACGCGTCCATGCCTTTACCAAGGATTCAATTGCTACAACGAAGACTCCTGGATGCCCTACCCTTCTTGCTGTGATTGAACAGCGACTTCGCGGTCAGGACACAACCGTGAAGCGCCTTGTTCCAACCCAGAACACTGCCGCCCCACCATCCATCATTCCCAAGAACATGAAGAAGCTGAAGTTCCTTGATATCGACCCTACCGAGTTCGCTCGCCAGTTAACGATCATCGAGTCTCGCCTTTATTCCAAAATTCGGCCTACAGAGTGCTTAAACAAGACTTGGCAGAAAAAGGTCGGCCCGGATGAGCCTGAGCCAGCTTCTAATGTCAAGGCTTTGATTCTTCACTCGAATCAGCTGACCAATTGGGTTGCTGAAATGATTTTGACTCAAGGCGATGTCAAGAAGCGCGTGGTGGTCATCAAACACTTTGTCAATGTTGCTGACAAATGCCGCGCCCTCAATAACTATTCTACCCTCACATCTATTATCTCTGCCCTTGGAACTGCCCCAATTCATCGGCTGGGCCGTACATGGGGTCAAGTCAGTGGCCGCACTTCTGCGATTTTGGAGCAGATGCGCCGACTGATGGCCAGCACGAAGAACTTTGGCGAGTACCGTGAGACATTGCATCTTGCGAACCCTCCCTGTATTCCTTTCTTCGGTATGATATACAACGCATTATCTGGTGTCTTCCGCCTACTCTCAGGCTCCGCAGCTAACCTATATCAGGTGTATACCTCACGGATTTGACATTCATCGAAGATGGTATTCCATCTCTTACGCCATCAGAACTGATCAACTTCAACAAACGGGCCAAGACCGCGGAAGTTATTCGGGACATTCAGCAGTACCAGAATGTGCCTTATCTCCTTTCACCAGTCCCCGAACTCCAGGATTATATTCTCAGTAACCTACAAGCCGCTGGCGACGTTCACGACATGTACGAGCGGAGTCTTGAGATCGAACCTCGGGAGCGTGAAGACGAGAAGATTGCAAGGTATGCTGACTCTTCAAGCAATAAGCCCAACACCGTGATTTTCTCAAGTACTGTCGCATTTTTGCGATAGTCATGTCCCAATCTATTTTTTGCTCTATTTCCCCTTTCCTTGTGGGATGTGGCGTGCACTTTTCGGCGATACCCAAATTTGATCTCAACTTTCCGGTTCTCTTTTCCGGTGACGATCGAGTGGCTTTTGAAACCTGTTTTGAGCGTTTAAACTAACCGCTTTTGACATAATCGTAGATTGCTTTCTGAGTCGGGTTTCCTGTAGTTGTGGCGGTGATCCCTGTCAAGCTACACCTGCAGGTGGCCGTGGCCAATCGAGAGCCACTCTCTCTTTTTCGCCACCTCAACAGCGCTCCAATCAAATCAGCCCGATACCTGATCGTCGTCAACTGCAGGCAGGTTTCACCACTAAGTGATGAACTAGCAGGGGCTAGCCTGTGGCCTTTCAGACATGTCCAGATCATGCGACATGGCCTAGCCGCTGCAGCCCCTGCATAAGTCCGGTCCACCGACACCAGGACGAATCGATTTCGATGAATTTTCCCCGCGACTCTGTGAGTATACCATACCGCCTTGGCAGACGGTCAATGACCTATCGCTGCAAATATCACTCGCATGCATCTTGCCGCTGCATGATCTATGTGTCTTCGACTTTCCGTTCCATATACCTTTTTGTTTGGCATAGAATTACCTGGGATTTGACCAGCTGTTTCTTCGTGCGTCTTGAAATAATCAAGAGGATTGTTTGTCCCTTGTACTCGATTTTCGCCCATACTGGCCATTTGGTGTGTATATTCTGGCCTGCTTGTTAACACTGATATTCCCTTTTCGTTGTCGGGACTGAGGTGGGATGATGTGAAACCTTTTTGAAGGATAATGCCTTGACGCTGTCTTCTATAATGAAATGTCACGACCCTTTGACTCAAATTTTTGTCAATTGAGCTTTTGACAAGCCCATCTCTTATGAGCAGGAGCCCTTGGTTCTTGCTCAGTTCTTTGTATCTATTTGCCGAAAAAGTATTTCACCCCATGCTACTTGGATTCCTATACTTGTTGTGGCCCCTGAATGATCGGTTCTGGGATTGAAGTGGACTGCCGCTTGAGTTGGGTGGGTACCTATAGAGTACTGAGGTATGTATCTAGAGTACCTACATGGAGTGCCTACCGAGGATAGCTACCCAAGGCTGGAGTACTCTAGCACATTTTTAGCTAAATTATACAGAATCAGTATCCTTGACTCTTGTTAATAGATATGTGCGCTTGATTATTGTGGCTGCTATTTCGGAGCGGCGTAGCATAGTTACAAGGTATAGCTGACTTGAGCAGTCGGGGATTTTTTCCGCGGCTGTGATGATAGGCCATCTGCATATCAACCCCAGCAAGGTACAGATACTTGGAACAGGGTATTACAGGGCTCTACCATGGAGCTGGTAGTTGATTTCCCAGCTGCGGCTAGATGCTCTATGGATATGATTCATCACTTTGCTTAAAAAGACTCCTAAAGATATGAGAAACCGAGAACCCAGCGCCAAAGACACCAGTTCGAATCTGTAGCTGAATGCAAAGAAAGAAAGCGTAACAGTCGTAGATAGCTATGGCATGGGGGAGGTCGTGAGAGGTGGCTAGGCTGCTGGCTTTGGCTTTCCGATATCTCGGAAGAGTTTCAGCTTAACCTCAGATGCCATCAGACCATTAACCTCTTCCGCGACAATCCGTTCGCTGGCTCGGACAACTTTGTCAAGCTGGTCGTCCTTGGCCGCAGTTGAACCGGGACGCGAATTGGTATTCTCGATTTTCCTCGAAGCCATGCGAATTTTATCACTGAGATCCACAATCTGCTTGCTACCATAGTCCCGAGAAGCAAACAACGGACTCTGACTGAGTGTCGAGACCCAATACTTGCTCCAGAGCAATGACAAAATTTCAGTATCAAGTGTGCTCTTGAAATATGTCGTTTCAAGCGAATAGTATCGATTCGCATGAGTTCCAAAATCCTCCGCCTTGCCCACCGGAATAGTCTGAAACTCATCATCTTCATGAGCCTCCTTAGCAGGCGTAAATTCCAGAGGAAATGTCCGGAAAGACCCAATCTCCACCTTCCCCGCCGAGATCGTACGGTCGGGATCGATAACAACAGCCACAAATGGCCCGGACATTTGCTGTGTCTGCTGCGTCGCCACATCAATACCCGATAGCCAGCACCCATACCCCGGGTGACTGTGATACCAGCCAACGGCATTATCCATCACCCCCGCATCTCGGCTTGATTGTAGATAAGAGACCATGTATTCGTTCGCTTCGTCCTGCGCGTTCACACGGGTCTCTGTGCCTTCTACGGGGAGTCGGAATGCATCTGTTACCACGAAGGTTTCTGGGAGGATATAGCCTTGCATTAGACCCATCACTTCGAGGTTCCCACCGGAGCGTGCGTGCATGGTCATTTTCAATAGTGCGGCGGCGCTGATTCGGACGTATTTGAAATAATATGGATCTTTGGCCCAGGGCCGTGCTTCATTAAGGTCACGCTGTGTCTTTTGGTCATAATTGTACAACGCATCGCGTTCGGGGTCGAAGACGGTGATCGCATTCTCGAGCTCTAAAGTTGGTCTTGATGTTAGCTTGGGGTGCTTGTGAACGTCTTGCATAAGGACTGAAGGGTACAAACCCCAGGACTTCTGCGCAGCAGCCTGCATTTTCGCTGACTATTTATGCCTGCCGATAATTGGAGCGGCTTGGAGTAGTACGGTGAGGGGGAAAACAATAATAAAGAACGATAAGGTCTATCAAGCAGCTTGGTTGATGTAGTGATGAGCGTGGAGAAATGCGGTATAGAGAGGCAGAATGGAGGGGCGGTGTTGGGTATGATTATCTAATGGTCTCACACCAGCTGAAAGCCATCGGATGACTCAGCCGTTGCCCCGGACAACGATCGGCGCCAAAACAACGGGGCTTTCCTTGATGAACCTGTTATCATACAGCCCTTCAGCTGATTCTCCATTCCCCTCATAAACACACCCACTTCTTCATGTCTCGCATCTGACGCATCTCTAAACCCACCTTCGTTTTTTCAAGTTCGGTTCCGTGTGTCGGGACACGTTGGGTTGTCACAGTCGAGCTGTCATTTGAAGTGAACCACACTCCTTGATTCTACTTACCCTTGCTACCAGGGCCCGAGAAATGGCTGTCGACACAAGCTACTTGACCACTCAGGTCAATAATATCGTGGAGCAACTCCACGGGATCTTCGATGACATCGGTGTCCCCGCTCATGAGCGCGAGACTCGTGAGGCAGATGTAAGTCCTTTGCGAACCGCAATTGACTATTGACGATCTAATCCCTGTTACAGCTATTCAATGCTCTGTCAGAGAGCTTGAACAATCACCTCAAGCTTGTTGATGAGTGAGTCGCATCGCAAATACTATCGCATGGTAGCCGCCACTGACACAGGTTGCAGGGAAAAGGAGCAAATGACACAAGAGGCCGAACGTCTGATCACAACCATTCAACAAATAGAGGTGTCTCTCGGCGACGAGAAAGCCAACGGACAGTATGAGCTGAATCGCGATGATGTTCGTATCACCTACCCGCTCAACCGGTGTATCGCATTCCTGCGTGAGAAGTGCGATGGAATGACCAAATTGCACCGTGAACGTTTTGAGCAGGTCAAGAGTAAGTCAAGATGAGCTGCGATGCTAGATCTTACGCTGATTCCTGATAGAACTTGTTGATGCGCTGGAGTCCTACTCATCCCACCTCGAGCCCTCATTCCTTATCATTGAACTGCCTCCAACCGCGCCAGGCTCAACTATTCCCCCGAGCTTCGACCTTTCACCCGATTATGTTACATCATTGGACTCGGAATTCAGCCGCGTTTATGAAGAATACCACCGTCGTATATCTTTCGTTCAGACGACTTCCGAAGAGATCATCAAGATGTGGGCCGAGCTTGGAACCCCCCAGGTCCAGACCGATTCCAACATTGTCAAGTACTACCGAGACTCTCCCGAGCAACTTGGGCTGCACGAAAGTGACCTGGCCAATCTGAAGGCTAGGCGTGATAAGTTGATGGACGAGAAGAAAAGCCGTGAGCGCAAGATTAAGGAGCTCAGAACCGCAGTGGAAGACCTGTGGGAGCGCTTTGGCGTTGAGGAGTCGGACCGCAAAGCATTCTTGTCAGCCAATCGTGGTTGCGGCATGCGGACTATTAACGAATACGAAGAGGAGTTGAATCGTCTCAATGAATTAAAGAGACAAAATATGCATTTGTTTGTCGAGGATGCGCGCGTGCGTTTGCAGGACTTGTGGGATAGTCTCTTCTTTAGTGAAGAGGAGATGCTCGATTTCACTCCTGCTTTCTCTGATGTTTTCAGTGACGCTCTTTTGGAGGCCCACGAGGGCGAGATTCAGCGCCTAGAAGCCCTTAAAGAACAACGCGCACCTGTTTTGGAAATGATTGAAAAGCACCGCGGCCTGCTGGCAGACCGTGAAGCCTTGTCTTCATCCAGCCAGGATGCGTCCCGTCTGATGGCGCGTGGAACCACAGGCCAGAAGCGCGATCCCGGCAAGCTACTGAGAGAGGAGAAGATGCGAAAGCGTATTTCAAAGGAGTTGCCCAAACTTGAGGCAGACCTTCGGAAAGAGCTTGAGCACTGGGAGGACGAGTTTGGCCGGCCTTTCCTGGTACACGGTGAACGTTATCTTGATAACTTGACTCCTGCCACAAAACCCCCGCCTCGCTCTAAGACACCCTCCGGTCCTCCTTCTACCATCAAGTCTAGTGCTGTCCGCCAGCCGCCGCCATCGCGACCTGGAAGCTCTATGCGTGGACCCCCTCCTCCTCGCTCTGCTACCAAGACTCCAAACGGAAGCCGTCCTATCAAGCACAACACAATCGGATATGCTGGATCCAGATCAGGGGCCATCTCCCCCTCCAAACTTCCTGCGCGGGCTCCCTTGAGCAATATGCCCCATGGAAACAACTCCCCCGAACGTCGCACTGGCCCCGGGACCTACTCATCTAGCACTCTCAACAGCAAGATGCTTCCACCTCGTAATGCGCCGCCCCGAATGCGTGCCTTGACTGTCGAGTCCAAGGATCGCAATAGTCATATCATGGAGCCCCCGCGCTGCAACAGTGCCATGTCCAGTGCCTTTGTTCGACCAGTCAGTCCAGAGGATGTATACGATGACCGCCAGCGTTCTTTTATGAGCTCATCTGTTATGTCCAACTCGCATCGATCAACCGGATTTTCACACTCTTCACATTCCTCCCTGTCATCTCTGTCTCTAAGCTCTTCTCAACAAGGATACCCGCGCTTGAACCCTTATTTGTCACAGGCACCGCCTCCTCCGGCTCTTCGTCAAACTTCCAATTCATCGACCGTCAATACTGCCACCTCCGGCTCTGAGAACTGGGAAACCTTTGAGGATGGATCCGAGTCCGACGATGGATCGAGTGACCTTTACTACTCCAGGCTGCGTGCTGCACCTGGCAAGCGCTTTGCCCCAGACGATGCCGTGGACCTGATGGGGAAGAAGAGCAAGGGTATCAGAAGCGTGAGCCCAGATGGGCCCCACCCAGGCCAGGTCCTTCGTGTCGCTGGTAGTGACAGCGAGTGGACCGAAGACTTTGAGACCTACTAATTCCGTCAAGAGTTGCTTTCTATTGCATTGCGCGCTTCTATTTGACAGCAATTTTCCTGGCGCATAGCACATGTTGTGGTTGCGCAATCGCTTTGTTCGGCCCATGGCTCACGATCCACGGACGTTGACGATCCCTTATGAATGAGCTTTCTCAGATTCCCTACACGCAGTGATCACCAGCCTCACTTCGTTTCATTTTCTTTCGTGTTCAAAATTCCGACATGGCTCATGTCAATACTGTTCATGCTCTGCCTTTCTTCTGTTGATTCTTCTCAAACTCGTCGCTGCTTTTTGTGGTCCTTGAGGGTTGGCATTTGTCTTTTCTTCTGTTCATTGTCTTCGAGATATGACTTCTCTCTTCAACTCGACGGGTTTTAATGCTGTTCTCTCCTTTCTCTGGTGACATGGCGTTGTACTTTATTTTCTCTGTCTTATGGTTCTGGCTTGGTGCTCAGGTTTACTTATTCCCTCCTGGCCCCCGTGCGATTCAGGATTTTTATTGATGCTGTCCTTTCCAACTTTTCTATGTTGGACTCTAGCGCAGTACAGCTTCTGTATCTTGTTCATAATACTACTTTTTGATTCAATTAACTTTTCTTCGACCTTTTACCTTCCAGTATAATACACGAGCCACAACTGTAGTTTGCTCCAAGTACACCAGCCCCTATGTATCTACCTCGGGGGGTTTGTACTCCATTCAGCTACTCTAAGTGTCTACTTCAGTGTGTACTAGTACCTACAGTCAGACCGCAAAGGTATGGACATACCACGGTGGATTGTCTATGTCCAAACTTTCGCGTTCCCACTATACCTACCGGCACGAACCACCCTTCAAAACTGTCCAGTCAGAGGCCACAGAAAAAAACGAGCAGTGAGGGCTTAATAGAAATTCCTCTCCCTAGACAGGAATAGATCTTTGAGTCATGATCAGAAAGAAATCGCTCGAATTTCAAGAGTTGCCACGGTATCCACCTCCTTTGGTCCACATATTGCCACTCGGCCCGAGGTCACGCATCAACTACTATTAGTTGCACGATGCTGTCCAGGTCCAGATCCAGCAAGATTGGTCATTGTGGCTAATTTTTCACGGCTGAATTTTCCGCCTCGTAGCTAAATCCAGTTTTGCGATGTCATTTCTTTCTGAGGAAATAATGAAATCCTAAATCCCCGAGAAGAGATTACTTTTTCACTTGTGAAAATAATTCAATCACTCAATAACTCAATAAATCAATAACCCAATAACTCAATAACTTAATAAGTCAATTGCCGTCTCAAGAGAAACTAATAAAAAGTGCCGGTAAAGGACCTTCCGGCCACACCTGCATGGATTTACACTAAATTTTCAAAATGCGGGGGATTTTCCCGCAAGGAGAATCCTTCATCATCACGGGGCAGTTATTTTCCGCAAATTTCTCAAAATAGCAATTGATTGAGTAATTGTTCCCACACGTGAGTCACTTGACTGGTTTGCGTGATAAATTACATAAAAAAACTCGGTTCGCGTCGGGCTTGTACTTACCCGATCCAGTCATGACTTCCATTTACAGACCAGAACCGAAGTCTAGAATTTCATATTTTCCAAAAATTTCTACATTTTACGTGATTTTACGTGATCTCTTCGAATCTTCCATGGGGATGCTCCATAATTGCGCCTTGTGGTGGAACCGAATAGCGTCATTATGATCTTCCTCCCCCGCAAAATCTCTATAAATTGAGGTGTCCCCCGGACTACAATGCCGTATATCATTCAGCCTATCTATTGAGTCACATTCTATACTCATTCAGACTGTTTTGTTCAATTTCTTCTTTTAGAACTTCAAATCACCTGACTTCGACTTTATCAACTACAAATTGTAAGTGTTAAAACGTTGTTCCCATACCTTGGTCGCAGTGACTCATTCGTTTTTTTTAGTCAAACTTCTATCATCATGACACAAATCTGGAAGTGCGATGAGTGCGGACTCCCCGGTGTCCGCCTCGCAAGCAATGATGCCAACGGCGCAGCCTACTACAAGTGCATTCCATGCAACCGCTCCTTGGGCTCCTGCCCTTGCACCACACCAGGATCCAGAACTACTTCAACATGCCCATGTGGCGAACGAAGCGACTCCCGATCACCAGGTCTCGATGTGCCTCGTGGCATGTCCGTGTACTCCACAGAGGCGGACTCAGGGTTCGATGAGGACTGGGAGGCAAATTGCAAGCCTGGCTTCATGGTATCAAGATTCAAGGCTGCGGGCCATGAGTTACTTTGGGGTTGAGAGTGATACGTTTTGATTTTGATTTTGATTTTGATTTCATGTTTGAATAGCGAGTCTTGAATGACACAGACCATACTTGATTCTTGCCTCTGGAGGCGACACTACAAGTTTTCGGATAAAAAGTTACTACATCAATAATATCATGGTCTTATGACCGCCACTTCATCGGACCTGCTCAACCACTGTTCTAATCTCGCGTAGTAATCAAGTTTCAGGTGCGAACCGTACAATTGGATCTGAGGAATCTTGCCACTCGGCTCGGTTTTTTTCATACACCTCAACTACATCTTCATTCCATATCCATTCTAGTCGGTGCTCGAGCTATTCCTTGACAACTGGTAGAGAAACTTAATAGGATAAGCCTACTATCTCATCGGTCGTCATTTAAAATAGTTCGTCAGCTTGTTGAGATGTGGGCTGTACTCTTGCTGACCGTGGAAAGTGAATTGAATGATACTGTCGCAGAAAATCTGTAGACTTCGTGGCTGAGTTGTTTCCAGCCCTCGTAAATACAATTGCAGCGTTCGACCGAGAATATACCCATCTTCGAGCGCTTGACCTGCTCTGGCGCCTATTCACTTTAGCCAAATGAAGTATAGAAAGCAAAGATCACATAGCCCATACCTTGATGCGGACAAATCGCATGAGCCGTGTCTCCCAGCAACGTAACCTTCCCACGTGTGAATATCCATTACGGTGTTGGATGTCATTCAGAAAGCACCCACTTCAATAGCTGAGCATGCATGTCCTGAATTACACGCGGAAATTCTTGTGCAAAGTCTTTGAACTCTTCTTGCATCGTGTTCTCATTATGTGGTACCGTCCGGCTGTTTTCTACTTGTCCAACCTTTCCCCATGGCGTTGAAATGAAGACAAAAACGTTGAAGATCTTGTTGTCACTAATTGGAAATGTGAGAAAAGCTTATTACGCGCCATGAATACTGCGGCAAACGTGGGGATGATCCATTCGTCGCAAGTATTCGCCAAATTAAAGAGACGGCAATAGATGACCCTGTCATCGTATTGGGGAGCGTCTTGCTATCAAGAGTCAGTAAAAGAACTGGAATGTGTGAATCAGATCAAAACTTGTAATATACATATCACAATTTGAGGCCGAACGGCAGAGATAAATCGATCAGCTCCGATAGCCAGATGCACATTTGTGCTGACGTTGACGTTTCATCTGCGAAGATTATTACTACCATGCTGCCTTGGTCCTACACATATTATGCAAAAAGCAAGTACTTACCTCAATCCCAATACAACTTTTATTCGTATGCAAAGTAGTAGCTCTAAGTTCCTGAACAGCCCTGACAAGAACCTCCAAGAACTCCTCCCGGTGCATCGACAGCCGTCTTGTCCCCCCTCTCTGGGGTCATAACCGTGCAGATCTCAGCATTAGTATCATATCGACGAAACGCAAGCCACTGCACGATCGCCAGCAATCTTCAGATTTCATCCAACAGTCCCTGCTTCTTGATCAATGTAGCTGCATTCGGTCCAATTCCCATGCCGGCTCCATCTCATCGCATCCACGTGCTTGTTCGTGGGTGTCAATTCTGGATATGCTTAGAACTGCAGTTGCTGGTGGATGGGTAGAGCGGCGAAGAGGCCTTCTATGCTGCCTCCGATTATCGCGATACGGAACATGATGGTTCAGACTGCAAATGTGGATTTTGTGGCAGGAATCCGGACTTGAGAAATAGGAGCTGAGAATGAATTCAGCACGATATTTGTATAGGGATAATGTCCCATTTTCAAACGTTTCTAGATTCACTATCAGATGACATATGTGATGCGTTCGATATCCACATGATCAAGGCTTTACAAGAATTTAGTAAAAGCTATTTGTGGTTAATTTATCATGCGGAGATTATGGGCTGAATCGAGAGCAATTGCTCCATGTACCTCCAAAATTACTCTTGTGCACCCTAACCCATATGCAGGGTTATACCCACGCCTCCGAAATCAGTGGCACCCTACAACATTAACCTTTCAATTGCTTGGTTTCGCTACACATTTATACGTCAACGGGTAGGTTCGATTTACGTTTATAGTTTACGGTAGCTAAAGGGGGTAGATATAGGAGTCGGTGCTGGAGTAGATACACTTGACGCTCCAGATTACTTTCAAAGGATAGGTATACTGGAGGCTGCCTGGGTAGGCTATAAGAAACATGATTTGGTCGGGTACAAGGTTGACTGCAAGTTATAGGTACAAGTATTCCTAATCGGGTTAAACAGGGTGTACAAGAGTAATTCAAGGGTACGTGGAACAATTTCTGATTCCAAGTGTACAGATATCGCACAACATGGAATCTCGTTATACTTCATGTGGGGCTTTGAGACTCTGGGGTTTAGACTGGGGCATAGTTGCCATTACGTACATGTGGATTTATCCACAATGGATGCGTGCACTGATTTGATCTGATATCTTGATATGATAGATGAGAAAAATGAAGAGCAAAATTTTTTTAATGAGGATTTCGGACTGGAATAATGTTCATAGTCCAATCATTAAAGGGAAACCACAAGTGATATCAAAAGTGAAGCAAGAAGATGGAGAAATTAATCCCCACAATCTAATGGTGGATCACCGATATCGCTTGATGCTTTGAAATCACGAGATCCGGTTGGCTGGGGATCTAAGGTCACATGACTCGATTGTCCGGTCCTCTTGGCAATGTCTTGCGGCGAAATTTCCCTGACTCACCAATCACTCAATTGTATAGTTGATCAGCATGGTTAGGCATCTGTGTGCGCTGATGCGCCGGCCAGTGAGTAAAATTACCTGTTACAACTCCTCGCTTTGATCTGACGTTCCTAGGTTTGGCGTCGGCCTCTTTTGACCCCATCGGTTGCCCTCCCGGGTAGACGAGTTCAGCCTCAATTGCGATCGATTGCGACTCCCCTTGCCCCTCGTTCGCTGAGCACAACCGCTATCGCCCAGGCCGAAGCCTTGAATGCGAAGCAAGTTCTTCCCTCGATCAATTTGTCGGAGATTCCGACTGAGAAGCGGACACCGCAGACCTTGACCGAGAAGATCGTTCAACGCTATGCAGTCGGCCTCCCCGAGGGAAAGTTTGTGCGCAGCGGCGATTATATCAGTCTTGCACCCCAGCACTGCATGACCCATGACAACTCGTGGCCCGTCGCTACCAAGTTCATGTCCATGGGAGCCTCTGAAGTCCACAACCGCAAGCAGATCGTCATGACCCTTGATCACGACGTCCAAAACACCAGCGAGTCGAACCTCAAGAAATACCAGCAAATCGAGGCATTTGCTGCAAAGCACGGTATCGACTTCTACCCCGCCGGACGTGGTATTGGACACCAGATTATGGTGGAAGAGGGTTACGCGTGGCCGGGAACTATGGCTGTCGCCTCTGATAGCCACAGCAATCACTACGGTGGTGTTGGCTGCCTTGGTACCGCTGTTGTACGAACTGATGCTGCTAGTATCTGGGCCACCTCGCGGACATGGTGGCAGATTCCCCCTGTGGCGAAGGTCAACCTCACGGGAACCCTTCCAGTAGGCGTGACTGGTAAGGATGTGATTGTCGCCTTGTGCGGTCTGTTCAACAGCGACGTCCTCAACCATGCCATTGAGTTCAGCGGTTCCGAAGAAACCATGGCTAGCCTTCGTGTAGACACCAGAATGACCATTGCCAACATGACCACTGAGTGGGGTGCTCTTACGGGTCTATTCCCTATTGACCGGACCCTCGAGCGCTGGCTCCGATACAAGGCTACTGAGGCAGCCCTATCGGATGACCGGACCACTCGCGAGCGCATTACTCACGAGAGAGTCGATGAGCTGTTCGCCAACCCCCTCAAAGCTGATCCTGATGCTCAATACGCCAAGCAGCTCTACCTCAACCTCTCTACCCTCTCACCCTACGTCTCAGGACCCAACTCAGTCAAGGTCGCCACCCCTCTGAACGAGCTCGCCCCGCAGAAGATCAAGGTCAACCGCGCGTACATTGTCTCTTGCACCAACTCACGTGCTTCCGACATCGCGGCCGCCGCTAAGGTCTTCAAGGACGCTGCTAAGGCTAACAATGATGTGGTCCCCAAGATTGCTGATGGTGTTCAGCTGTACATTGCGGCAGCTTCCATCCCTGAGCAGGAGCTCGCCGAGGCCGCTGGTGACTGGCAGGTTCTGCTCGAGGCTGGTGCGCAGCCACTGCCTTCTGGTTGCGGACCTTGCATTGGTCTCGGAACGGGTCTTTTGGAGCCCGGCGAGGTTGGCATCAGTGCCAGCAACCGTAACTTCAAGGGACGTATGGGCTCGCGAGATGCCAAGGCATACCTGGCCAGCCCTGAAGTCGTGGCTGCCAGTGCCCTCAGCGGTGTCATCTCCGGCCCAGGTGCCTACCAGGTGCCCGAGGGCTGGTCCGGCGTGGAGCACGGATTCGGCACTGGTGCGGAACCCTCCACCCTGAGCGCCCTGGACAACATGATCCAGCAGATGGAATCCCTGATCGACCGCGTCGAGTCAACAGCTGGAGGTGAAGAGAAGGCCGCCACCGAGATCCTGCCCGGCTTCCCCGAGAAGATCTCCGGTGAAATCGTCTTCTGCGACATGGACAACCTTGACACCGATAATATTTACCCCGGAAAATTAACATACCAAGACAACGTCTCCAAGGAGGACATGGCTCTCGCCTGTATGATGAACTACGACCCCGACTTCAAAGAGATCGCCAAGCCCAACGACATTCTAGTCTCCGGCTTCAACTTCGGCTGTGGTTCCTCCCGCGAGCAGGCCGCCACCGCCATCCTGGCGAAGCAGATCCCTCTCGTCGTGGCCGGTAGCTTCGGCAACATCTTCTCCCGAAACAGCATCAACAACGCGCTTATGGGCCTGGAAGTCCCCCGCCTTGTCGAGCGTCTGCGTGCCACTTTTGCCGGTGCCGAGCGCCAGTCCACACGCCGGACCGGCTGGACTTTGACCTGGGACGTGAAGCGTAGCTCCGTTGAGGTGCGCGAGGGAGAGAATGGAGAGACCTGGACCGAGCAGGTCGGCGAGCTGCCCGCTAACGTGCAGGCCATTATTGCGGCAGGTGGTCTCGAGGCTTGGGTCAAGGAGGAGGTTAAGAAAGCGGCTGCTCAGTCGTCTTAATTGTATTTAGAGAGAATTCGACATGAATAGACGTCCTCACTTTGTAACATAGTGAAAAAGGTAGAAGAGGATTGGGTATCGATACAGAAAAGGAGTGAAGCCCTGGAGGGGTTAACATGTACAAATTGAAGATTTAGGGTCAAGACCACTTGTGCACCTTGTTTTGTTACTTGTGTAGAGAGTCCAGTGTATTGCAGCGCCTTTATATGAAGGGAGACGCTATGTACATGATGAACGCCACTTTGAACATGATAGGATACTCGAGATCAGCGCCATGAAGATGTATACTAGGAGAAAGGACTCGACCTGAGAAGTTCGAGGATCTTGTAACCCAGCATAAGTCAACGCTAAGCCTAGTTAAATACCTACTGAACTAGATGAAGTTCGAGTACATGGCCGGGCCGCAACTACAAGGTCATCGGAGCTGTACTTTCGGAGTACTTAACTAGGCGGCGGCTTGCCCCCCGCATCTACTGTAGTATCGGAGCTGCAATTCTGAAGAATGTATATGAATGATAATTTATTTTGAGGTATACTTGAAATATAGGAGTGATGATACATAAGATTCTACCTCATATACACAGTGAGACATACATCCCGAAAGGATGATATAATACACGACAGATACAAAAATCTCTCATCCAGATGTCTATTGCCCACCAGCAAGAGATCCCATCCAGCTTCTATCCTCACCCATAGTCTGCTTCCCTTTAGGAACGCGTCTCCCAACAAATGGAACAAGATCTTGCGTCAAAGCTTTAGCATCCTGGATTCGGCGAACAGTCTCATCTCTCCCGAGGATGGTCATCGTCTCCGGGATCCCAGGACCAGGTGCCGATGCAGATAGTGCCCAACGAAGGTAATGGTAGAGTTCCTTCTTGAAAATCTTATCCTTTGACCCTGTAGTCTCAGAAGAAAGCACGACGGCATCAGAGCCATCATAGGAGTTCACGTTGAAACGGTGGGTTTCGATTGTCCAATGGCTGGGTGGGACGAGAGTTAGACAGGCTGCCGCGGTGTGCAGGGCTTGCATGGGGACTGAGGGTGGGGAGGGGGATGTAGAAGTGGTTGTTGGGACAAAGGGGGCTCGATCGAGCTTTGTAGTGAAGAATGTTGAATTGCGCTCCTTGAATTCCGGCGCTGTGGTGTAGGATTTGGCGTCGGCGCGGAGGAGGGGGGCGATGTACTCTGCTAGGGTACGGCCTTTGAGAAGGGGGGTACTGGAAAGGTTAGATGATCAACTATATTTGGTAGAATGCTAAGGGTACTCACAGATCTTCTTCGGAGTGACTTTCTTTGACCTCGTTGCATACTCTGTCGACCATGTCGTCAAATTCGGGACCACCAGTTGCTGCGAAGCGCTGAGCATGCGCTTTTTGAAGGAACCAGAGCTTCTCAAAGGCGACGATAGTGTTGCCGCGGGTGATCTTCAGATTGAACTGATATCATGTTAGTAGACACTTGACAAGGTAGATAGAAAAACTTACAATCTGCTCGAGTTCTCCCAAGTCGAAAATGTCGGACTTTTGTAAATGCGACCAGCCTAGAAGAGCAGCGAAGTTGACCAATGTAGCCGGGAAGATTCCCTGCCGATCCTTGAATGAAGAGAGATCGATGTCCGCATTTCGTTTGCTCAGCTTCTGTCCAGACTTGTCCACCAGCAGAGGAACATGACCAAAACGCGGAGGCGTCCACTTGAATGCATTATACAATGCCATATGCATAGGAGTAGAGGGCATCCATTCCTGCTTCCGGTCAGAAATGGTTGGCGTATAGCGGAAAGTATAGACTTACAGTGCCCCGGATTACATGTGTGATCTCCATGCAATGGTCATCCACAACATTTGCCAAATGATATGTAGGAAAACCGTCTGACTTGATCATGATCGGATCATCATATACACGATCAATAAAATCCAATTTGTTGTTGTTTGGCTTATTCTGGCCCGTCTTGCCATAGACCAAATCGTTGAACATGGGATACCCATCCACCTTCAACCGGACAACATGTGCCCCTCCCTTGTGTGCCCGATCTTGCGACTCCTCGGATGAGATATCTGCACACTTTCGATCATATCCTGGAGGCAGTCCGGCTGAACTTCGGTGGCGGGCGTGAGCATCGAGTCGTTCTGAAGAACAGAAGCATCGGTAGGCATGTCCATTGGAGATCAGATCGTCGGCGTGAGATCGGTATAAGGCAGTTCGCTCAGACTATGTCATAGCAGGTCAGCCGTGATCAAGCGATGATAGTACAATGCCTTACTTGTCTATAAGGTCCGTATGGGCCTCCGACAACAGGACCTGTGATCGCATTAGTTCAGCCTATCATTCCAGCGCGCAAGTCTACTGTACCCTCATCCCAGTGAAGTCCTGCCCACTGTAGATCATCATATAGTCTCTGTTCCGCCCCAGGAATTGTCCGTTTCTATGCTCCTTAGTACATTGATAGCTATTCACACGTACGTCCAATGTAGACGAACCTGATCGGTATCTTCAATACGTAGCAAGAATTGACCACCGGTTCTTTTCGCAAGCAGGTAATTGAAGAGCGCAGTTCGCAGAGATCCAAGGTGAAGGTAGCCGGTCGGTGAAGGCGCAAAACGCGTGCGCGCGGGAGCATCGGGGAGGTTGGTCTTGCCCTTACGAGCTTGCGCGCTCGATGAATGGGCTCTGCATTGAATACAAGTCCAAGGTCGCCGGGCGAAGAGCCCAGTATGAGGACGTGGCATAGAGAGTTGAGGTGCTGGTATAAGGACGGATACTCGTTCTCGGGCGGTTTTTCGGAGAAGAAGTTTGGCTCCGCAGAGCTGCCGCTTCCTTAAACAAAATTTCGCCCGCAAACTCCGCTTGATCAACAACTTCTGCCTTGTTTGATCTTCACCTTCGCTTTGCTGTGAAGGATTTTTTCTTATCATTTTAAGCGCATCTTGGGGGCTTTTTTCTGCCATCGTCGAATAGAAGTACACAGCCAGTATGTTCCCAAGAAGCCCGCCGCTTTTTTTTGCCTCTGATTCGTCCTTTTTGGTTGCATCTTGCTAACAAATACTGCAGTGGTTAACGCTGAAGTCGACCTCTACGGTATGCAAATAACTGGTTCTCACGCGATATTATTGGACAGAAGATTAACTTGGGTTTTCTGGCAACAGAGGTCCTCGAGATTCATCGCGGTGCAAGCAAAGACGAAGTTCGACAGGCTTACCGCAAGGTACAGTTTTCCGCACAGTTTTTCGAGGCATGCAGTACTGACCGCATGCCATAGGCTGCTCTGTCCAACCACCCCGACAAAGTTGCCGAAGAAGAGCGCCCCGCTGCCGAGATCAAGTTCAAGGCTGTTCAGGAGGCATACGAGATCCTATACGATGATGACAAGCGCCACATCTATGACACACACGGCATGGGAGCCTTCAACGGCTCTGGTGAGCCAGGAATGGGTGGAATGGGCGGCGGTCCCGACCTAGATGATCTGCTGGCTCAGATGTTCGGTGGAATGGGCGGTATGGGAGGTATGCCTGGTATGGGAGGTATGGGAGGTATGCCCGGCATGGGTGGTGGCCCCCGTGGCAAGCGTACCAGCCCGAATGAGGAGACGGATTATGAAGTCAGCCTGGAGGACATGTACAAGGGCAAGACTGTTAAATTCGCCAGTACCAAGGAAGTCATTTGCAGTCTTTGCAACGGCAAAGGTGGCAAGGAGAAAGCGAAGGCTAAGAAATGCTCTACTTGCGATGGTTTGGGACATCGGGAAGTTCTCAAGAACATGGGTCAGTTCATCACTCGGGCCCAACAACCCTGTTCCACCTGCAATGCCCAGGGCGAGTTCTTCAGCCCCAAGGACAAGTGCAAAAAGTGCAAGGGCAGCAAGGTTGTTGAGGCAAAGAAGATGCTTGAGATCTACATCGCTCCCGGCGCACGGTAAGGTTCTTGACCACTCTGAATGGGAATGTAAGCTGATTGTTTATTAGTGAGGGCGAGAAGATTGTTCTCGAGGGTGAGGCCGACCAAGTACCAGGCCAGGAGCCTGGCGACATTATCTTCCGTCTGATTCAAGACGAGCACAAGGTGTTTGACCGCGCTGGTGCCGATCTCCGCGCTCAGATCAACATCACTCTGGCCGAAGCGTTGACCGGTTTCAGCCGTGTTGTCCTGACGCACCTTGACGGCCGTGGTATTGAGATCACACACCCCGCTGGCAGTATTCTCAAGCCTGGACAGGTTCTCACAGTTCGCGGCGAGGGAATGCCGATCAAGCGCAGCGATTCGCGCGGTGACCTATACCTGGTGGTGAATGTGGAGTTCCCCGAGCAGTCGTGGAAGCCAACTCCCGAAGTGCTGGAGAAGCTACAGGAGGTGCTCCCCAAGCCTGCAGCGCCCATTGAGGCCGCCACTGTGGATGAAGTCGATTACGACGCTCAGGGTAACATGGAAGAATTTGGCTCTCGCGATACCAATGGTGGCTCGGCCTGGCAAGATGATGAGGAAGAGGATGATGAGCCTGCGCAGTGCGCACCTCAGTAAAAGGCTAACAGTTCCCTATTCTGGCATAGAAGGCGTCCGGGGTGTGCATTTTTCTTTCTTTCTCCCTGGCTTTTCTACGATCATGACGAGTACAGTCCTTAGATTTATTTAAAAGATTCATTCGATATTCTTCACTCCGGTCAATTTTTAAGCGTAAGGATATAAATAAACGCATACATTTACAGGTGACCAGCGCTACAAGCAGGTTCACTTCCCCTGCTGTCGGCTGCTCCCCCATAGTGGGTATGCAAATTCAGCACAACCATACGAATATGATAGTTTTAGTTAGGTAAAGAGACTCGGAGGTACCCTAAAACGATGTGTATTTCTATGAAACCCCAATAAGTAATCGTCCAGCAAAGTCTGTACAAGTCCTTTATATGAAATTATCGCCATCTACCAACAAGTCGACAAAATATCCCGAAACTTCTCTTCCCGCAGCGCTGTATAAATCTTACTCAACTGAGATCCAATACACATCTTCCCGGCGGCATTCTCTCTGGTGTAAGTAGGGTGATCATCAATCCCTCTATGATGAGGAACTCCCAAGTCCTCCCGTACAAATGTGTACAGCTTCCGTGATGCACTGCAAAGGTAATTCTTCGTTGGAGGGTCCCTCAAGACTTCTTTGCGCACAGCATCATAACTTTCTTGCAAGGTAGCAGCCACGCTACTCTTCCAATTGCTGATATCCTGCGAAACGCCATCACCCGCGGGTAGGAGATCAAGAAGAGCTCCGACTGAACAATTTGTGGCTGTCACGCAGCGATTGGAAAGATCGCTTGTGCTGCTTCGGCGCCAGTGTTGCATGAGTTCTTCCCAGATTGATTTTTGGATATTCTCCAGCTGTGCAGGGAGTATGGATGGACAAGTGTTTGCTGTTATGGTGTCGATTTTGGCGCGTGCGTCTTTGACGAATTCTGCGTGGAGTACGCGGAGATCGAGGGCTTGGCATAGGACGTATAGGTACGCTGATACCATTAGCGATAGGATTTCAACGGCATCACCTGCGTAGCGACTGCTGATGAATGCCAGTGAGTTCAGTCCTTGGTTGTGCATCTCTGCGGACTGGACGTGGTTGCTGACCGGGTGGTTCAGATACCCGAGCTCGGATGTGTATGCTGCCATGTTGATGTCTATACCCTTGAAAGCAAAGGAAAGGCTTGGGTCATCCGTGCTCAAGTTCGGGGGCAGGCCGTTACTCAAGGCAGGGTTGATTAACTCAGAGCACTGGGAGAAAATCATCTTGCCGATCATCTGCATGGCGCTTAATGTTTTCTCCATGGCAGAGGTTATGGCTGCGGCCTGGAAGTTCCCTCCATGATGAACATGTCCGTTAGATGGGTCGGTGAGAGGGTTGTCAGTGGTGGAATTCAGTTCAGCTGAGACTTGCTGCAGGGCCAAGGCCATGTTTTCTATTTGTGGACCCAGCCACTGGGTGGATGTTCGCAGAGCGTAGCGATCTTGAGCTAGTCCTTCGTGCTCGGGGCCAGCGGCGGTGACTAATTTAGAGTCACCCAGGAAATGGAAGATGTTCTTAGCAGTCTCGATTTGACCGTCATGGGGTCGAACGGCAGCAATAAAGGGGTGGTAGTTATTTATCGAGCCCAGCATCGCTTCAGTTCCCATGGCTGTTAAAAGCTGGGATATTAGGACGAGCTGATTGGCCTCAAACAGGACTAAGCTTGCAGCGCCAGTGCTGAATGCGGTCCCGTTAAGAAGACCGAGTCCCTCCTTTGGACCGAAGACGAGGGGCTCAAGGTTCAGCTCCTTCAATGCTTGATCAGCACCAATAATCTCTCCATTTCCCTTGTCAACTGAGATGTCCGGGTTTCCCTCTAGAGCACCAGCGATGTATGAAAGTGGCATCAGATCACCCGAGGCAGAGATGCTGCCTCTGAGAGGAACGACTGGAGTCATGGAATTGCGCAGCAAAGCTAGCATGTACTCAACCACTTCAATTCGAACCGATGAGTGACCACGCAGCAAGGAGTTGCATCGAGTCAACATTGCAGCTCTGACCACTGGAACAGGGACGCTGTGGCTTTTTAAAGACTGAAGAATAGCAGAGCTTTCCCGTCCTCGATCACTAGGGAGCAAGACAGCCGAGCTCTGATGCTGGAGCAGTGCCTTCTGCAAGGCGATATAGTTTGTTGTTCGGGTGTCTGCACTTCCTCCGAAGCCGGTATTGATACCGTAGACGACTTCATCTCGGGCGAGCTTTTGACTGAGAAGCGTTACACTTTGTTTGATCAATTGATGCACCTCCACATTGTCGGTAACTGTCGCATTGTGTCCATGCCTTTCACAGGTAAGCATGAAATCGCAAGATTTAGCGGAAAGGTACCATACCGAGCAACGGCAACAACAGAGCCCAGGTCAAGAGAGTAGCCGTCCAAAACGACTTTTGTGTCATGTGTCAAAAGATCACGGACTTGGTGGCATGTTTGGAGTGTAGCATCTGTAAAGGACGAGCTTTGCTTCGGATTGCCGACCGGGGTTACCGTACATACCGAGGGTGGGTAGAAATCACCTGAGTCACCCATTGTATATAAAATTGGATCTGAAGGTGTGAAGGTGAAGTTGTGAGAGATATCTTTGGAATGCGTCGGGTCACGAGTTAAATATGATCAGCACCGATGCCAAGGCTCTGCTCACATGTAACAAGTGTAAGCCCTAGAGAATGGAAATTATTATATAATTTTTATTTTCTTTACTTTTTTTTGAATTCAAAGTTTGAGAAACCGCAAACGGTTGGAAGCTACAGGAAATTGTTTCTCCACTTGAGTCGATCTTACCGGGATTGGTCAGTTCGGGTCTATTAGCCGTCAGGGGATACAGATCTTTCGTCAGGAAATCTGACAGCGGCCAAAATAACCACATGCATTATCTGTGAGGTAGACTGTGCTGAGCTCGCCTCACTCGTCAAAGTTTCCAACTGGAGAGGCATTTTCGGGGCGAGATCTGCAAGGTTCCTCATTCGTTAGCGTTTGTAGGGGTATCTGTACCGAGACTTGGATCAAGTGGCGTTCTATAGCTGATTTACTTTCAACTTTGCTTTCAAGACAGCTATTTATTCAGTCACTGGAATAGTCTAGCTCGTGGCAATCGTGTAACCAAATCTTGAAAATTGTGAGCTAGTGAACTAGTTCCACAATTACCCTGAGATCTGGTAGATCAGTCGATCTATCACATTCCGATCAATAATATTATAAATCCACCTTGCGTTCCACAAGGCCTGTTTAGCTTCAGTTGCAGCTTCTCAAGTCCACAGCCACGAAATGTAGCAAGAACAAGTCTCAGCAGTAGGTCAGGGTATCAATCGTTATCAACATACCTTGAGCCAACCAAGGTAGAGGATAAGACGGGAAGAAACGGACTTACGTGGATCCCCACCTTAGTAGCTTTCGTGGCTTGAATTAGCATAAACAGTTCTGTATTTACTTAGTCACTCGTGCATCAGATCCACAGCGAACTCCTCACTGTTCAGCTACCCCGTTAAAAAAACGTAATAGGTGTCCCACATTTGTAGATTTTATACGGAGATACAATATACGGAGTTGTCCGTACATCACAATCCTTCCGGTGGCTCAAAAGGGAACCCTGGAAAGTTAACTAATCGCCGATCAGTTATTAACTAGTCTCACCGATCCATCGGTTACTATCGGGGTGGGGTTACATCAACCTAGCTTAAGGCTGAAGAGTCCAAGGTCATAGCCTAGTTTGACAGGTGCATTATCTCTGTGCAGGAAACAACGCTAATGCAGTCATTTTGATAATCTACTCGGCTATTGGGTACTGATCTGTCGATAGCCCAAGTGGCTGACTGAAATTGAATACCACCTTTCTTTCAAAATCAGGATGTTGATTGTCATATCTGAGGATGCGATCCAGAATGCGTGGACAGCTGGCGACTGGCGTCGACCAAGGGGAAGAACACCCAGGTAATACGTGAAGGGTTCGGTCCAGTCAATCAGTCTGATAGACCAAGTTAGTCTCCACCATCTAAACCATTCCTGTAGCTAACGTAAGCATAAACCCCATTGTTCCAGCTTCTGCATTCTAGAGATCCAACTTTCAAATCACACTCGGGCCCTTGCTTGCTTTCTGAGCTTGTACCAGGTCTCCAAAATACGCAAGATGCCTCCTAGGAACAATTGTTTGAGTTGCGTTGTGTGGCGACTCTAAAGTTTGTCTTTATCAGCATAACCTGTAGTAAAATCAGCTAATTAAAGAATAAACATACCTTTGTCGGACCAGCACCAGCTAGGGTGTGTCTACTCTGGAAGACTTAATAGGCCTCGAACGAGCCCGCGAAAACGACCGTAGAGATTCTGATTTTCTACCCATTAGCGTAACTCTTAATCTTGATAGCTGATATTTGCCATATAAAAGAAAACTTAATTGAGATCATACTTACTATAATATGCCTTATCGTTGACGACTCGTATGATCATATAAATAATATAGCTTTATATGGAGGTGAGTAAGTCCGCCCTAAATGATTTAGAATAGGTGAAACCGTTAACTCTGGTAGATTCAATGTTATTAAAAATAGCGTGAGAAAAGCCTACCTAGTCTATTAATCACTATTACTCAGTCCTAATAGCATTCTAAATAAAGGATCTCATATAAGGTGTTCTCGAGGTAAACATCTATTCAATACTTATATAGTTACTAATCGGTTCGGGCAATATTTTTCTTACTTCAGGCCCATCTCCATAGTGCCAGTCAAGATGGATAAAGGGTGGGAATAAGGCTCTCCAAATCATCATTCAGGGAAAGGGTCGTGGAATTTGAATTACATTGGTACTGTTGGCCAAAGGGCCCACCAGTATTAAACCTTAGGAAACTCCTTATATCCCTGGCCAGCAACAAATGTATCCATCCACGATCTCTGCTTACGATCCTGGCTAAGCTCCCAGTACCTCTCTGCATGAGCAATGCCGCTAATAGCGCCACTAGCAAAGTCGCCATTGGCAAGGCGTTCGTCTCCATAGTAAAAGCTATGTAAATGTTAAGCTTAGCTTGATCCCGGAAATAGATGGGATGCTCACGTAAATCCTTTGCCTTCAAATGCAATGGTAGCATTCTCGATTACATGGCCCATGGCAGTCTTTCCAAGACCGAGGCTTACTAGGCGAGGCATAGGCATCATGTTAAGTCCATTGGCTGTGTAGATGAACGACTTGGGCACTTCATCCGGAAGAGTCTCAAACCCCCTGACAGCCTCCTGTGCGGCAAGGTAGGCTGACGTGAAGTTCACGGCCAGGTCATAATTAAGTTGACCGAGACTGAGTGAAAGGGGATTCTGTGGCTGTGCTGGGAAGACATGGTACGCTGTAGGATGGTGTTAGCTCTTTGGTCGGAGATGAACAAAATATTGGACATGTTTACCATTGTGGATCACCACATTTGGAGCCCTTCCGTATTTGGTCTTGACTTGAGCAAACCATATAGGGATTTCCTCGGGGTTGGAAAGGTCACCCTGGATGTAGAAGTAGGAGGGATCGAAAGAGGTCGATTTTCCGCGACTCACGAGGGCTACTTGGTATCCTTGCGCCGCAAAGTGCTTTGCAGTTGCAGTGGCAACATTGGGCCCTGCGCCGAGGATAAACAGAACTTTGCCGTTTGTCATTGTACTGATAAGGTAGGTTGTAGATACTAGCGATACTGGCCAAAGAAAGAGGGAGACAACTCCATTTATAAGGATGACTGAGGCTTAGCACCGCGTACCGGAGTAGGTCACTTCTAATAATATCATGATCAGTTTCTACCTAGTCTCTTAGTTTTCCCCGGGGAATGGCCAAGCAGGGAATCAACTTCGTCAGCAAGCCGGCGAAATTCGCCGCACCGGTACAATGCGCTACCAGTTTTTCAGAGCCAATCAAACCAGCAGGCCGAATTCTTCCTGGTGTATATTAGATCAACGCTCTACGGTAATCGTATTTTACATGAGAAGCTGTCTCATTTCCAGACTGGTCGTGTCTTTTTGTAAAATGAAAAGCTTTATTCGTCTTTTTTACTATCCCAATATGCCAGCATTTCACACTTTCGCGAAAATGCGTACATTTGCGAGGCGCCTCTTTCTGGTTGCCAATGTTTACCATGTAAAATGGCCATGCCTCCATCGATGTCATTTTCGTTTGACCAAGTAAGAAACCACAAGTAGTGTAACCTTCTCCAAGGTAGAGGGCCCGTCCAGTTATGAGCGTAATTAAGTATATCTTGGTCAGGGAGGCCGTTGTAGAAAAGTTGTGGCTGCGCAAGTATTCTCAAGTAATACTGAAAAATCTCAGTGCTTGGTTTAAATAGGATCAATCCACTGTTGAAATAGTCGTGCTTGTGGTCGAGGTCGAGAAAAGGATAAGGATGTTCCCTGTCTCCAAATTCAGGCGTTGCAGAGAAAACGAACGTATCTGGGAGCGAGTTTAGTCCCGCTCTCTGAATTGTTGTTTGAGGAGTAGAGCTGAGATCCTCAAATATCCGATCTATTGGACGCATAACGGCCATGTCCGTGTCCATCATGAGTACCCTTTCGTATGGCATTATTTCCGGATCAAATAGGCGCAGTTTTGTAAACGTCTCAACCCAGCGTGGTTCTTGAATTGATATGTTGGTGAGTATATGATCCGTCTCGATAACAATTGCTCCATCTTGTCTTAATCTTTCACGCTTGCTTTGCCGGACGTCTTTGCTGACGAGAATGACAAAGGGATTTGGATCCGTGAGCTTAGTGCTGGGGGCATGTAATAGCTGATAGGCAAGTGTCCGTGCTCCCACATAATACCAGTCATCATCGTCGGTGTCGCCTTCTTGACTGTGCCAGTAAGCACCAAGAAAGGTGCCAATAGCATAAATGGGTTTCGATGGAAGGATGCCAGAAGTTGAATCAAGAGTCAATGGGATGTTAAAAATCGTCAAATGTTTGGAACGGAGCCGGTAGCAGACTGAAATGATTTGTTGAGAGAAAAATATTCGCAAGAAAATAGAGAATAAAGCAGCTCGCTAGGAAACGAATAATAGAAAATATTTTAGGTTGTTGGCGCATAATATGGAGTTAATGCATATCGTGGTCATTTCATCCTGAGTGGCCCGAGAAGGGCTCCAATTCCTATAAAAAAGTCAGAATACAAACACACACACTAAAAATTATTTTTTTGAGTTCAATTTCGTACGCAATATTTACTTGCCTCTCACAGTCTTACAAGTCCTGTGGCATTCTTCAGCTGCCATTCTATCGCTCTCATTGGCCCATTAACAAGCTTGGCTCTCCACGGACTAATGGCTCGATCCTAGACCGGACCAAATCGAACCAATAGTGGTTAATAAGACCCACAGATATCAAAGATCAACATTGATCTATGTCCGAAACTAGCATCTCTGGCCCTTGCCTCAGATCTTGGCCGGCGATCACTCGCATGGAACAAAGAGCTCATCAGGACTCATTCATCTCTCTCATCCAGTCTAGAAATGCCAAAAATCTCACCTATATCATCCATACTCGCGAGATGTAGACTTCGTCGCCGCTCCGACATGATAGGGCTGTATGTACAAAGAATTAGCCGTGCAAAATCTAAAACACCGAAGGACGAGAGAGCGGACGCGAAACTCTGTTCTTCACCAGTTTTCAGACCGGCAGCAAACCACTCGAAAAATATCCGCCTTAGGCCAAAACTGCGAAGCAAGGGGAAGCTTCAAGGCAAAGCCGGGATAAACTGGGCATGAAACTTCCGTGAGTTGGGACTTTGCATTAAAAAGAAAAATGGTGAGATGAAAATCAATGTCGAATCATGGAGGACATGCCTTAATCTTGTGTCCCAAGCTCATAATTGAATCACAAGCATTTCATCTCCTTCAATTCTGAAGGATGCGTTTCAACGGGATGGACTTTTCACCACCCCACAGGCGCCTTAGCCAGGTGGCTGTATTTAGCACCCTGGGACTCACCGAGAAGCACCTGGGGGCACAATCTGGGCGAGTTGCCCGAAAATTCCGCGTCCTGTGAGCTCCCAAGGGCTGAGGAGGAAGTGACAAGAGTGGGATTTAAACCCAAGCCCTAAAAACGAGATACGGAAATCAGGATCAGGTGAACCTGAGCTGTACGCCTTGGACCAAGTCGGCCATCTTGCCTGTTGATAAAAGGTTTGAAATGAGCCCCAATCTGCGAAGCGAGGGTCTGAATTGGTAACAAGTTGTTCCAATTGACTGCCACCAAAGATGAGAATCGGAGAGTTCGCCACTGCAGCTGCATGACTCATAGCGCGCTCTGCACTCGTCCAAACCTCATCCCACGAAAGTGAAGGTTTGATTTCTGGCAGAAGGTCGTTGGCCACATTTGATGAAGGGCGATTGGTCGGACGGTTTGCGGCTGAATATAAAGGGCAGAATAACTCGTTTCTTTCATGAGATGACGATGTTACGTGGACACCAAAATTTGTTTTGAAATGGAAATGGTGGGCGTAACTGGCTAAAAGTTAGGTACTTGGGAAGTGAACTGGACGAGTATGAGGATGAGGATGATATTCCGTAGCTGCACCGAGCAGTATTCCTATGGTTCGCCGTAGGGTGTATCTACCAGCTGGGAGACGGCCGTCGTATTTGCCGAGTCCTGAGTATGCCAACATGTCCATGCCAGTCTAGCATTGTGCAATCGCTTATCACTTATGCAGCTATTGGACATTTATCGAATGTCAAAGTGCTCACTTCCAAGGTTTGTCTACGTTTCTCTTGCGTAAACAGTTGTGTAAATACCTTGATCTCGCAGTGCTCCCTGGCCCAAGCCATACAGCCAAGCGAGCCAAGACCGTCTTCTAGATTATCCCAACTATTGGAGTATGGGGTCAGCTGACCCCCTCCGTTTGCTAGCACCTGCATGTCTTTAGCTAGACCTCCCTCTCCTTCTCTTTCTTTCCTCCATCGATCTCGGAATACAGATCTTGTCCCTTTCTTCTGTTTCCAAGCTACCATGTAGCCCTTTCTTCCCCTGGACGGCACAACACCACCCACTACCCGATTGTTTATAAATTTATATGTAAACAGAATACTGTGAGCTGCCAGGTGGTATTGGAAGCGCAATTAATTATTGTGGATGAGGTCTTCAGTGCAACCTCTCAATGCTCAGCTTCAATTTGGCTTTTTTTGCTTAGAAAGTACATGCACCAAAATTTCTGGAGCATATGAGAAATCTAGTGCCCTAGAATATCCCATGTGCACGAGAGAGACAAAACTTCTATCTGCACCTTCATCCCTCTTCGAACACGCCCACAAGATGTTTTCTTCTTGCCTTTGAAGTCCGAGCACATGTCAACAAGAGCCCTCGTGTTTCTTACAACCTTTCATATCATAAAATATTTCATATCCCCTGTCAATTCTCCGTTATGCTTGAACATTATTCCAGTTTTATGCGCATCATGAAAATGCTGATGTTTTTATAGCGATGGCTTTCAACCGCAGCATGTATTCCACTACGATCGGCCACCCAGGGCCAGCTCTGATCGCCTCAACCACTCTCAGCACCCCCAAGAACCCGCACGAGTTGGCTGAGATTCGCGCCCTTCTCGCAAAGCTCGAAGCTAGACGACGCCAGTACTGTACCAAGATCCGATCCCGGATTGAGCTCAACAAGGAGGTCTACCGCGATCTTGCCTACAGCAGACGAAAAAACATCCACGTGATGGAAATTGTTGCTAGTTGGGTTGAATTGTTGAACGATATTTCAGTCGAATTTTAGATCATCAAGGCAATAAGCAGGGAGGTTATAGACCGTATGGAACGCCCTTACCTTTGAATTCTTGAGAATATCTGCCAAATTTAAGGTGGTCAAGGCTAAGAGCATGGGGTTATGAAGCGCCTGTACATCTGATTATCTGAGAACAGTTGCCAAATTTTGACTCGATGAAGCACAGAATCTCGGGATGTTGTTCATTGACCTAAAATATTCAGCAGAGACAAGGTCCGCTCGATAACGTTTCGAATGCTCATTAAATACAACTAAATGCACATTCTGTGGGTATATGCGTTTTCCAAGGTCATTGTGCCATATCGCGATAGGAGGTTCATTCATGGTAGCTCATAAGCCGTATTTGGAGTCTGCATCCCCTTTCTTCTATCCACATTCGGTTGTGTAGCTGACAGTTCCGCTTTGGCGGCGTCTGAATGGAGCTCTGAGGGTGGTGCATTGGCTTGAAGTTCTGGAGGCTCGTGTGCACCCTGTAGTTCTCGTCGACTTTCCCAATTCGGGGGTCCTGCACCTTCTGCATCTCCGGGAGTCTTGCGAGTCCTTCGGAAGTACCATAATACTAGTCCGCCGACTAGAGCCATTCCGGCTATAGCACCCACTACAGGACCTGCAATCCAAGCCTGGGAAGAGGAAGAAGAGGGGGTGGATGCTTGTGAAGTATTCGAGGCCATCGCTGTAGAAGTATTAGGGGCCTATGTAGTGGTCGCAGCGCTAGCAGGCGAGGCGTTGGTCGTAGTCATAGGCGTACTCGCCGCCGCCAGCTTCTCCAAGCCCGAAACAACAGGAATAGTAGCAAACGTCAAAGTCGGCTCAACGGTAACGGTTGTTCCATCCACAGAAGATGAATTGGAAGTAGTGCCACTGGAATACCACGAATTGGTAGACAATACACAATCAGCACCCATTGAAGAATCCGTAATCACGCACGATGCACTTCCGGTAACAATCCACAATATTGATCTGTAATAAGTGGTGATATCGAAATTCATTCCTTGAATCGAGGGACCGACGGTAACAGTCTGCGGCCAGAGCATGCCGGAAGAACTGCAGATGGAGCTCGCTGAAGATTGACAATCCAATTCGAGAGTGGTGGCTGTCGCGTCGACTGAGATTACACTTCCTTCTAGTAAAGTCATATTTTCGGACATGAGTTTCCGCATCAGTTGGATCGTTGTTGTTGATGTCGCTGTGCTCTCCGCACCAGCCATGGCTGGTATCATTATAGCAGCAGCGGTCACAAGAGACTGTAGGAAAAGCATTGGGGCGACGGACGAAATGATTTTGCGCACCCGGCCTTGGGGCTGTTTATCTTTTAAAGGCCCAACCGGCCTAAGCGTTGGGATGACTCTATCCTGTTGTTTCCCCTTAAGAATTGCGAACGGTCCAATCGCAAGGCAGTCGGACAAATTGCGATTGGTCAGTGTGTGAAATTCCGTATGATCCTTTCCTGATCACCTCTAATTCAGTGGATCTGGGAGTAATCCTTTCTTAGAGGAACTTAGCCTGCTGGAGCCGTTGTCAACAACTTTTGGGTCTGACTGGTTGTTCTCCCGTTCAGTCACCTGCCTGTGACGATCTCTAACCCAGCATGGGCTTTGCGCGACCCACAACTGGAGCTAATTTTGGGGTCCAGCCTTTTTATAGGCTTTTTATGGATGCACCGTGCACCACTTGGATGAGAAATTAAGAGTCAAGGGATTCAATTGGTATTGGAAGCGGTAAAATCCGAACATGTCGTCTTGATCTCTGCTGGTATGATTATCTTTGATATATGAATTGTTTATGATCCTTACATCTTTCCCAGCTCCACCAAAATTATCATGTCTTCCATTGTTGAACATTATGTTGACATTTGTACCTCTGGTTCCTTGTGTATAGTCACGAATCACGAAGCCCGCTATCATGGCTCTGTCATTGTTCTCTCGGATTAGTGTATTCTCCGTAAAACCCTTTCTTATTTCAATTCTTATCCTCCATCTCTCTAACCATGGCCATTGTCAGAAGTTATATCCATAATACCATCAAGATCTTAATATAAGATGAAGGTTCACACAGCCCAGAGCACCGGAGATAAAGCATCAGCCGGAGATAAACATCCCTTGTACTCTGTCGTCATCCAAATCCCTCTAATCCAGATCTCACTTTAACATCTACCACACAATGAAACTCATCCTTGCAGGCTCGACAGGATTTGTCGGTCGCGAAGTTCTTAATCAGTGCCTGGCAAACCCCGCCATAACTTCAATCGTAGCACTGAGTCGACGCGACCTGCCAGCCCACGACAAACTCAAAGTGGCGGTGATCGACGACTTCCTTTCGTACCCCGAGTCAGTCCGCGAAGATATCAAAGGTGCAGATGCATGTATTTGGTATAGCCTCTCCAAAAAAACCACCTGGTACACCCTTGATTAATATATACCAGGACGATTGGCTTAACGCCTGGAAAGGTCCCCAGACTTGATGATGGGACAGCACAACGCGTCAATATAGAATACACATTGACAGCAGCGCGGGTATTTCACGAGGTTTGTCAGAAACCTTTCCGGTTTGTGTATGTTAGTGGTGCCGGCACGGAGCGGAATCAGAGTAAGTCGCTGTGGGTTATGCAGGATTATCGACGTCTCAGGGTAAGTGAAAACTCTCGCGGGCATTGAAGAGCATGCTTATTGAATGGAATGTAGGGACGAGTTGAGACTCTGCTGTTGAATTTCGCCAAGGATCATTCGGGTTTTAAGTCGTATATTATGCGGCCTGCTATGATTATCTCACCGGGAATGAGTTTGCACAGCTTGGTATTTGGGCTTGGACCGTCAGTTAGGGTGGATGTTCTTGCTAGATCTATGATTGATCTGGCTCTCAAGGGTGGGGAGAAAGGAGTTTGGGAAAATTCGGATATGAGATAGTATAATTTGACGGAATGGATCTGAGTGTATGAAATGGCGGTTTTATGCAGCACTAGGTTTTACATTGAATGGTTTCACGTTTATCTACTCATTTTAAGTAATCGTAACCGTACTTAGTGTCTTAGGAGGGGCTTTGTGCTTATAATATGAAAACCTTGATGCATAGCCAATGCATAGCCAGACCAATGTCTAGTAAACATGGCATAAAAGAAATCAATGGATCCAGGCCAAACGTATTGACTACATAGCTGGATCACATGGGAAATAGCGAATTATTTTATCCTCTGAGCTTTGATCAACACTATAAAAGCCCATGCTCGAGTTCTTTTCCTGTCAAGCCCCAGGGTCCAGCTGATCACTACTCGAGATGGCATTGGTAGCCCCACCAATGGCCCCCGTTATCAGATTCAAGGTAATTAAGAAAGTCATGCTTTATTATATCTATCATCATACAATCGTATATGGATAACTCAATACACGTAATTGAAGCCGGAAGCGACATCATCAACATCCCTCATCTATCAAATCAGACATTATAATCAAGAGTAAACTACTTAACCAGCAGGATTGGTACAGCTGAACGGAGTCAGCGCCGTGCTCTTGAAGCTAGCGTTCATTCCCATGACAGATGCCCAAATACCAAGACCAGCAGTAGAAAGAGCAGCAAGCGCGTAGAGGACGTCGAAGGTGTTCCACCAGAACTTCACCTTATAACCACGAATCCAGCGCTTGACACCGTGATCCACACGCTGGGCCATGCCAGTGCGCGGGTTGAATTCCTCCTCAGGGAGCATCGCGTCTTTCTGGACGTGGTAGCCGACCAAGAGGAGGGGGGAAGGTGTAGGAGAATTGCAGGATGCAGAGGGCACCGACGAAGGAGGTCAAGTTGCTGATCTGGGGGATGGCAGCGGCGACGACCCAGGCAAGGATCCAGTAGACAGGTACACAGGCCACCCAGATCCATTTTCCAATCTTGCTGTCCAGCGGGGGGAAGTGGAAGAGATCACGGAGAACGGAGGAGTAGAAGACCTTGATACCGATGTTGCCGTATAGCAGGGCAGCAATGACACCTGTGACGAAGGAAATGGCGTTGCCCACAGTTTGCCAGCGGTAGGCGCCGTTGGTGTTGGGGATTCCCTCGTAGGCAGGGTTATAGGTGAATTGACCCTGAGCGGAGTAGACAACCATTCCGTTGACGAGGTAGCAGACGTAGATGAAGATCTCGGCAATGATGAAACCCTTCCAGAAATCCATAGGACGTCTCATCTCAGCCATCAGCTCGTTAAAGAGGGTGGCGCCACCGTAGGCGAAGACGGCGTTCATCATGGCGTTGACTCGGTCCTCGAGGCCGAAGCCCGCGGTCCAGTTCGCGCTGGTGACAATTGGACCCTTCTCGATACCGTAGCTCGTAAGCACAGCGGCGTAGTTAGGAGGGTAGTAGAAGACAACAACCATGGTCATAATGATGACAAAAACGTTACCCCAGATAGCGAGGTTTGCCAACCATGAGAGACGCTGCAGGGTTCGGATCTGTCCAAGGACAAGTCCAATAACCATGAAGATGACCTCGGCGGCAATGAAGCAGAGGAAACCGCCGGTGTTGTTGACACCGGCAACCATCTGTGCCAGGCCCTGACCGTTGCTCTCAATCAACAAAGCAACGTTGAGGAAGAACTGGAAACTCTGCAGGATGTTGACACCAATACGGGCCCAAGGGCCGAAAATACGGAATGCGACATCGCCGTAGTTGCGCATGGGAAAGCGAGTGGAATCCATGCCAACGAAGACTTTCCACAGCTGCATACCGGAGTAGGCGGCCAGGAGACCGAAAACAGTGTAAAGTGCAAAGCCAGGACCGTATCCCATTCGGCTAATAGCGTAGGGAACGTTGGTAGGACCCAAAATATCAGTAGTGATCAGGTAGAAGATCGATCCCCAGGTCGCAGTCCGAGCAGCTCTCTGCGCAGTCTCCCATTCTGTCTCGGTGACACCCCATTTGTCTGATCCTTCGTCGGTTCTTGGGGCGTTGACGTCGGCTGTCTTCTCGTCGGTTGAGGTCTTCTCGGGTAAAGGCTCGGGCTGAGCAGGTGCGGTTGATTCTTCTTCTTTCCCCTTGCGGTTAAGGAGGAGCTTGCCAAGTCCTGCGAAGCCTACATTGTCGGTACGGATGAACTTCTCGGCTTCACGCGATCGGTTGGCCCAGTAGTGATAGTTCTCAAAAGTGATGGATTCGTCCAAGTAAATATTGCCCTTTCCATCCAGATTCGGAGGCTCAATATCATGGTGCACATCCACCTCATGTTCCTTCTTGGTACCAATAATATCAGCCTCGTTCCCAAGACGAGGATCGGCGACACCACCGAGGTTGGCAGCAGATATAATGCCAGCCATTTTGGAGATGTGAAAAAGTCGTGTGTTGATCTCTCAAAATCAGGGGAAACGAGAGGGCCCAGCCGGCTTTTAAAAAAAATCTAGGTACCGGGAAAATCTCGGATTCCAACCCCAGCGAAAAGAGATTGTGGCCCGTGGAGTAATACTGTGGGCCGGACTTGATATCCGTTATCTGTTTTGTTATTGGATTGCATGATGATTTGGTGGGACCGGTATCAGGAAGCGGCGTGAACGTTTTCGTCCAGTCCCCAGCCAGGGACTTATCGCTCGGCCCTTAGGCCTCATCGTGTTTTAGTGCTTGTCTCAGCGAACGAACCGAGGGTGTAAAAAGACGCTAGTGAAGAATGGAGAGATATTGGTGGCTGTTGCTGACGACTAAGACCCACATCGCCCCTTGGATACTCGGCAGAAGCTTGTCTTCTCCGCATTAGAGATAAAATCATATTCTCAGATGACCAATCATGTGCCATTACCGGCAGCCGGCGGATGGCAATCTTTTCTTCTTTATGCCCCCATTCTCCTTCAACCAGTCGTAAGCTTTGGCACCACGGGCGACCGACGGGATTTGTGACAGTTCATGATTATCTCTGCCTAATATGCACACCATACGGTCCGAGCGATTCCATATACCAGGTTTGTATTCCCTGCAAGCGATCTGAGCGAAAATCTTTTCCCATAGCAGGATTGGACACGAGACTCTGGTTCGGACGTCCCCGTGTTGGTGGACCCGATCCACTGTTTGAAATGAGAAAAAACCTCGCTTGCCACTTCAGAAGTCCAGAGACGCGTTGCTAAATTATCTGCCGCCCGGGGAATTCCGCACACTCGCGAATTACAGAGAATCGCGCCACTACTTCTGTCTAAATTTTCACGGTAATTCAGCACCATGGCTTTACTTGGTCCAGCCACTGACTAGTCCTATTTAGGGTCTAATTCACCTGCCAAAACGAGCCTAAATGAAAAAGTAAAAGTAAAACCCAACAGAAATAGTCAAACTGTAAATAATGAAAATGACCCGCATGTTCCATTATGAACTAGAACCATTAGGGCAGTTACTCGGACGCACAATCCGTTTCTCCGTTATCTCCCCACAATGATACTCCACAGATAGGAAACCTAATTCAGTCGAAAACAGTCTACGTTCTCATGTAATGATAGGAATCTTATCCCGGGTCAGTCGTTCATGTCAAAACAGACATGAAAGCTTATATTCATGCACGTCGACTTGGCATCAGCAAGCCTCTTGGCGGTGGTGCTTGGTGGTGCTTGGCGCAGAAAACGAGTCTGAAGGAATTTAGAGATCTGACCAATCGGAATATGGGACGAACTCCGACATGAGTCTCCACTGTGGCTTTCTTAGCGTTATCTATCATTCCACGTGGATTTTACCTGTAGGGACCAATCTTTATTTTGCACGATAGGAGCTGTGACCATGGCAAATTAGTCATTCGTTTACACTATACGAAGGACTCCCGTAAGTACCAAGTCGTCTCAATTTAACGAGATTAGGCTATTAAAAGTCAAACTGCTAACGGGCATCAAATCTGATGGAGCCTTAGATAGAAATATCTGGAGGTAGTAAAACTATAGTTGAATTACAGAAATTCACAGCAAGCTCAACAATCCAGTTACAAGGAAGCCCTTGAGTGCTTGGAAGACAATTGAAATCAACAGATCTCTCTCTCTCTCTCTCCCTCTCTTTCAGAAATAAAGCTTTTAAGTTCCCGAGATGAACTACTCTATACACAGAATCAAACCCAATCTACACGAAGGGCGTGGCCTAACCAAATCCGACGACCATGCAGACAAGATCGGCAAAACTCTCATGGCATGCATTCAACCCTATTTCAACCTACTTTACCCAAATCCCCGCAATCTGTCGATACAATGCCCCGTCTCCGCAATCTTCGCCAACTCCCTCCAACCTCCCAAGATACGACGAATTCTTCTCCTGATCCCCAAACATAAACATCTTCGTACACAGAAGCGCTAAAAACATCCCTACAGGATCCTCCTCATCCGGCAACTGGACAATTGAGCCAAAAACAGCGGACCCGCGGTATCAGTGTACTCGCATATAACGAGTTCCCGAAGGACTTCGTCTTGCGTGTGCGCTTGATGAACTCATCTAGAAAAGCCACCGGATCTTCCGAGGGAATTATGGGCATCGAAAGTGAAACTGAAAGTTATTCTCTCGATCAGGCCGAGTTGATGAGCCAGTTCAGCCTGACTCCCGCCTCAAACAAAGTGGAAAGTGATGGAGAGTCTGAGAGTACATCTGGAGCTTCGGTTGCAGACTCCAATGCCAGATTGCTGGAAGATGAACAGCAATTCCAAACACAAAGACAAAGGGACGCCTTTGCCTTTTCCAGGGAAGATTATCCTCCAAAAAACAAAGCAAATCACCCCTCCCTCGGCAGTACCTGGACGGAATACAAGTCTATTTTCTTAAAGTCAGATAATTTGGATTTTGCTTTGATACCAATCGATACCAAGGATCATATCGCTGGATTGCCGGTTCTCTCCCAAGAAACGATCGGCTCGCCCAAAATCGCAGCTGTCGAGGTCATGGCCATGACGGGGTCAGGTTGTGCTCTGACCGGTGAGATGTCAAGCCGAAGATCAACCATGCGACTTCCAAAATCTCTGGTGTATACAGAAGTTTTGTCGGTGAAGTTCAGGGGCTCTTTGCAGCACGGTGACTGTGGCTCCCTCGTTCGAGACGCAACCACGGGGATTATATATGGCCATATAATAGCAGGCGATACTGTGTCGCAAACCGCCTTTATCATTCCTGCAAATGATACTGTGGAATATGCCGTGAAACGCTACAAAGAAATTGAAGGAGCCTTGTCGAATTTGAGCCCAAGTTTGACTCACGATAACACCGGGCAAAAGTCTACTGAAGCCACAAGCAAACTCTGCGGATCAGAAGACCAGCAAGGTCTAAACGAGTTTGACTTTCTTGCCGAATTGGGTCTTGAAGATGAGCTTGACTTCTTTTTCTCCAAACCCCCAGAGAACGCCTACTACTTCCCGACGGAATTGAAATTCCAGGATGACGACTCGACGGAATACTCTGATAGATGGCCAACATCAGAAAGCAGTTGTGTCACATCCACAACCGGGAATACTTCAATCCCAGAGCCGATGACCTCTGAGTTTATTCAAAACCATCATATCCTTCAACAGAACCCTGTCCCTTGGGAAATGCAGAACCCTGTCCCTTGGATAAGGCAGAACAACCCTACTAGAAAGCGGACCCCAGTTTTGGGTCTCCCAGCACACAGAAGCGAACCCTATCCTTTTGATAAAGATACACTCCACGAGGAAATGAATGAGGTTTTGGGGGCTTTAACTGATCAGTCTTCCCTTCAAGACGAGTACAACGACCGAGAGCTGGGCAAGGCCTTGAATCACCTGAAGCAATGGACACATGTCATTAAAGAAAAGATAAAATCGGCCAAAAACCGGGTCTCGAAGAACAAACAACCCGAGGCCGCACTTCCAACGCCAGGATTCCCTCTATGGAAAAAATTCCGATGCAGAGTTCCTGGATGTCGAGCAACAATGAGCACTGCAGGGGCTTTCCAGCGGCATGTTGAATATGTGCACCATCCGAGATTCAGCTTCGATTGCTTGAAATGCGACTTATCTGGCATCCCCAGAAGAGACAAACTTCGGAGCCATTGTCAGACAGTACACCTATGGCGGCCATCTAGCGAAGAGGTAGATGAAATGTCCAAAGCCCTTAATAGCCCATCCCATTGCAGCTTGTGTGAGAAGTCAGTCACGGATTGGGACAACTTTTACAGATGTTTCAAGAGCCATTGTCGTGGCAGCAGCATAACGGAAGAAGAACAAGAATCATCTGATGAGGATATCTCTACAAGGCAGGGGCTTGGAGAGGTAGAAATGCCTCCCACTCAAGGCTTCGACACCTATACGGATGTCTCAGTCCAGGACTGGCATCCTTTCTTCCCCCATGCCGAGCTTGGATTCCACTACCAAAGTTGGACTGCTCCGAAAGAGCCAACAGAGGATATCCAGCACAGCCAGGACCGAGTCTCACGAAAACTCCTTTGGTATTGATGAACGTTCAATGCAAAATGGTATGCGGCCAGATACTGAGCCAAATCCAAATGCTTACAGAGATTTCTCGGCCGAGAGTCGTGCAGCCTTGATGGCCGAGCTAGGCGTGGAGATGGCCTACAAACGAGCCAATGGCAGGATGGTAATGAAGGCACCTCAATAAAGTTTACCCACAGAGATCATTTCTGACCTGAAATTAGATCCAACCCTCCTCCTCTCTGTCAAGAAATTGCTCTGACCACCATTGTCTGAGATGTAGACACAAATTCAGCGAATGTGCTCTCTGTAAAGGCAGACCCGTTCCAGTTGAGATGTGCCATGACTGTTCTTATGCCGCGAGTGCTCTGATGCCGCGAGAACTTTAACAAGTCCGCGCCAGGGTATAAGCAACACAGCTATCGTTGTTCCTGGATGCCAGAAGTAAATGCGACGGGGCCGATGGATGCATGATTTTGGCTTGACATCCTCCCTAAATTATCTCAGAGACATTATCATCAACTGCAATGGTATTATCTATTGAAGAGGGGAACGCTCGTTGGCAGAACGCTCTGACAACATACGAATCGGGTATACTAAGAAAACCCCACCACGACCGAAGGTCGCCCTCGGAGAGCAGTGGATCCCTTAACAGAGGTCAAAGTGAGAGGGGTAAGAAGGTGTATTCTGTTACTAGTGCTAAGCTCGTATTGATATAACCGTTTCCCTTACGGGATGAGATATGACCTTAAACGACATGGTAAACCGAAATGGGGACCAAGTCTCCACACTACACTATATAGAGACCCACACTAGAGTAGTAGGTCGAAAATATTCTAGAGGATCCTATAGTGAAATATTGTCGTATAGGGTTTGAAAGGTCTCTTTGTTGATTTCATATTTATATTGCTTCCTAAGTAGAGGGAAGTCGTGATTAATGAGTGAAATTCCGGTGATAAACCTAAGCTTATTCTTTAAGGGCAGGTAGGAAACGAAATGTGATTTTTGATATACATACTCTCTGATATATCGCTGGATAGCAGTATATAGATAGTGAGAAGGGCGACTTACTCTATGATATTTACTATTGATCAAAGGTATACTTCTTATAAAATCATAAAATAATAACACATATGTAAATAAATTACTATGTCTTCTACAGTTTCGACTCAAATAACTTGACATACTAGTTTTATTATAAAACTAATGAAATCATTTGAAAACTCTATTATATAGTCTGGTTCAGCGACGGCTCGCTTGCCAATTACTTTAGTCTATACCTAGACAGCGAATTTGAAGTGCCCATTGGAACAGGTCTTTTGGTGCAGTGGTTTCAAAATGGCTATCCGTCAAAGTTAATAAGAGTTAGCCCAGCGGAGGACTCATCTATTACGAATGGTATTTTACGCCGCATTTTGTTCATTTCTAGTACATTTTCAAAGCATATCCAGTCATCTATTTCATGTTTTGCGGCACAAGCTCAATGGTATAACCGTCCCGAAATTTTTCTCTATAAAGACAGGAGTCAAACCTACCGGATCTCTAACGAAAGCAATCTGCTCAAATATCTTCTGGTATGCCGGATGCACACTGCCCAATCCGATCCCACGTTGAACCTCCCACTGACTCAAGGGGATAGATTCCCGAGTAGCAACCCCCAAATCCTTCTCAATCTGAGCCCCATGAAGTTTCAAATACTCTAAAGTCTTTGTAACATCAGGAACCGTGAATCCCAAATGTCCAAGGACGAGGTTCGGGGGTTGATTGCCCGTGCTGTACAGGCCAGCAGGCTCATTTTCCGTGCCGTGGATGTGATAGAGCTCCAAAAGCCCGAAAGTATGCGCAAGGTTTGCGAAAGTTTCCTCACCAAATTTTGCCGGATCTGCTTGGTGTTCAGGTGTCTTTGGGTAGCCGAGATAGTAGATTGTGAAGGGACCAGCATTCATGACGAAGACGGTTCGCATGCCGAGTAATTCGACATAGAAGCGTAATGAGCGAACTGGGTCTTGGATTCGCATCATCAAGTGGTTTTATTTGAAACCTGTGGTCGGGTTGTTTGGGAGTAATGGAGACTCGGTCTTGTCACCATTGATGAGCTGTTCACCCACTGGGTGAGCCGGGGAGGCTGTAGAACCGTCACCCATTTTGCAATTCTTCGCTATTTAAAGGTGAAACAGGATCAAAATCATGAAATGTTTCATATGGAGCTTCCCATCTTATAGCGATTAGGAGGAAAGTTATGCTTATATCAATGCGCGGGGATAACGTATATGGGACCAGCGGGGATATGGGGGGAAGTCCGGCCTGGGTTTCGGTATAGCATCGAACTGCCTTCCGAGGTCTAGTTCAATTGAAAAACTTCTTAAAACAGCTCTGATTGTAGTTCTCTTTAATATAAAACTTTCTCCGGATATACCAGAATAATGAAAAGTCGATGAGGCTCAAGCTGATTCTTTATGGAAGTCATTCCCTTAAGCCCCACATTTACAATGGCTTATTAGACCTTCAGCTGGATCTCTACTGTTTAATTCCTAGCTCGATACTCTGCGGAGGTACTTAAATGCTGACCTGGAAAAGAATCTTATGATGGTCGAAGTACTCTTTGATAATCAGTGAAGGTAGTATGACATGCTTTGGTGTCGGTTCCAAGAACTCTGAAAGAAAATCACTGATCCGGAAGTGGCCAATCAAGTCCGAATTTGAACGGATGTCATCTATGGGTCTACAATGTTCGATTTGAACATTGTAACACTGGGAACTCTCAGATTTGTGATATTCGGGGTGACCACCGGAACAGCCCCAGCCCCGCATTCCTCCCCGCATTTCCCCGGAATCACACCATGCACTTCACTATCTGTAGCCCTTCGTACACTGCCTTTGGAAATGGAAGCCTGAATCTCGTTGACCACGTATAGCCACACACATATGGCACAAACAGGCTCCGAGAGACCCAAAAAGAAACGCATTCGGAAATGGACCGCTGAGGACAGAGCTGTTCTTCGCGAGTTTGAGAAGTCCAGCAGTGAGGCATTTGGTGAGTGCTTGATAGCTCGTAATGCATGGTATAGTGCTCCTTGTTAGACCCTAGCCTATTTCAGGAGCTGAGAAACTTACTTCCCATGCTCCGAAAAGAAGCGTGACCCTCAAAGCATATTATTGTGGATGCAGTATCTCCCATCACAAGACCCAACAAGCAAGATGCCACAAATATACTACTTCATTCTAATCACTGTTAGCTGATCGTGATATCTTGCTCAAAAGGTTCGATAGCCTTCGATCCTTGAGCCAGCCAGATGCTTCTGTCCTGCGACAAGCCCTGCCAATTGATCCGGCTGTCCTCAAACTCCTGAAAGAGGAAAAGAAGGCAGAGGCCAATCGAAGAACATCGACAGGAAATCCCTGCATCGATGGTTCACAACAAGATCAGCCACCTTCTGCCTTTGCGCCGATGCCTTTTGTACCTGTTTCGGGTGATTGGCTGTCTCAAGTGACAGCCCACAACCAAATTATCCCGCAAATTCTACCCATAGCATACAACTCAACGGATTTCAATTGACCGGCTGATTCAATATTTACTACTGTACCAGTGAATTTACTTGACGACCCTGCTTTTCTATGGGACCAACCACCTGGGCTATTGGCAACAACGCGACCAAAGGATGTGGATAGTAGATACAATAACGATCCTTCATGCCTTGTTAGAGACTGCTCTCTTCACACTGCTCTTGATTCAAAATATAGTAGCAAGTTATTAGTTGAACTCTCTTCCTACGAGGTACTGCGTATTCTTCATGCCTTTTTGGGTGCTCCTATGCGAGCCCTCAACATTTAGTAATTCATTTCCTGGCATTGAAGACCTCCTAGAATTCATGAATTTAAATTGAGTAATACATATGATTTAAGGCAAAGAATAAAAATTAAGCATGTTGCTAAAGACCTCGGGAATGTGTCAAGGATATTTTCAATACACGGAAATTCCCCGGCTCACCTCCCTTCCTATAGCTGTGAGTCGGATAGAATGTGAAAGGCTTTACGCTACTGTACAGTAGTGCATGATTGATCCTGCATTATTAATTAAAATTGATCCGTACAGGTTCGCATTCCTATGCCAGAATTCCCGTTAGGAAGCCAATTAAAATGTGTCGGAGCAACAGTTTAAACAGGGGCATTCTTGGGCACACCTGCAAGGTCCACAACGAATGACCATTTCTTTACTCGGAGACATAAGAATGTATACCCTTATTTTTTGTCAACAAGGCAGGAAAACAGTATATATTGTCATCGGGTGCAGTCAGGAGCAAGCGACGTTGCCACGTTTTAATATCAATTTTCCAATTGCTTTATACTACCCCCGGCCATTCAATATTCGCTACCATGCGTTTCGTGACTCTGGCCCTCTTCCTTGGGGCTGCTCTGGCTGATACTAGTATCACGCTGAGGCCCACCATCAATGGCAATGTGGTTCGTTACATACTCACTCATGATATCTTAGAAAAACAACGTTCATCACGTCTACATAAAACATGCTAATCGTGACCCATTGCTACTTCAGGACGCTGAATATCCCGCAAAATGCTATCCAGACCCCTGCAAAGGAATCACCTCCGTGAACTCCACCGCCGTCTGCGGTGACCCACGCCTGGGCCCAATCGAGCTTCCTAAATACTTCCCCCTCTCGACAGAGACCCGAACCTACTACCGTTTCGGCAACCTCTGTCCCTATGAGTGGCTCGCAAAGTACACCTTGAACGTCTCCGACCCAAACGCATACTTTATCTACCCCGGCGCCGGCGGCTTCGCCAACACAACCGACCAGACCCCCATCTACGGCAACGCAACATTGGTGGTGGGCCAAAAGATTGATCGATTCGGAGGCGACTCTGGACAATACTTAGCTCCCCTAGGTGCTCCCTATATTGAGCGTGCCTTGCCGCCCAAGAACTTGTTTGCGGATAAAAATAGCAGCTATCCCTATAACTATCATGTGTACGAGGTGATGAAGCCGATCGATGTTGATTTGGGCCCTGTTGCGGGTTGGTTCGAGCAACCAGGTTTTGGAACACAGTTTGCCTTGAAGGGGGCCTTGCAGAATAACAAGACTATCACTATTGCCACTCTGGTGGCGGATAAAAGTTTGAAAGAATTGGAGAAGAGGGAGTATGATGAGGCTAAGGACTTTGCCGCGGACTATCTGCCTACTCCTCCACAGTAGGTGTAGGCTTGGATAGGCCTCGGTGCTGAAATAATTGGTGCGAGTATATGGTCTCATTGCGTTGGTTTAGGAGTGATCAAGTGAAATAATAATCTAATGAAAAAGAGTTATAATTTTGGATTTATCGCTTAATGGCGTAGACAACCATTCTTTCGACTGTGCTAGGTATCAAAATCCGTTCAAAATGGATAACAGTAGATACGAAAAGAAGGGGGCCATTGTAAACTATCTAGACCAGCTAGAAGTATAGTAATTCTATAATGACAGGAAAATCAAAAAATGAAAAACTCTCAGTGCCATCCCTTAGTAGTTAGGGATGCAAACACCGTCATTCCACTGAGTAGAGCCAACACACTGCCAGCCATCGCAGCAAGGGGTGCCGCCAGATTGGCAAGCAACATCGTAATCTGAAAAAGCCCTAATCAGCCACAATATTCTAAATCGTTTCTTACGTGTAGAGGTCAACTTACTAGCGATGCAGGTACGCTTCTCGGCGGTCTGGGAGGCAGAGGCGACAGCAGCCAGAGTGGCAATGAGAACGGTGATGAACTGCATCTTGTTGGAAGTTGGTTGATGGGGAAATCAGGTTGATTGATTGTTTAATGTGATGGATTGGATTGTTGATTGATGATGTTCAACTCTCGAGGAGCTCTAGCTATTTATGCTTCAATCGACTCATCATGAGATACTCAAAGACATTGGAATTGAGTGATCGTCATGCCTATTCAGGAACTGACAAACTCTTTGCTCATAATTAATCAAGGTTGTAGGTTGATACTCTCAGTGCATGATCTTTCACGTGGCAATGGGTTTCACAGATAAAGTGGGGTCATTACCGTTTTGGGATACACATAAGGTACAAGTCTGGATTTGCTTCAAGGGTCTTTTCCTAAAATAGAAAAAATCGAATTTCTATTTCCGTGTGATTCAATAAGGTAAAACCTGCTTTATCGGAATTCCACAGAGAACATGTGCCTGAAGGCTTTTCAGTTCTAGCTCAGAGTCCCGACGGGTGGCGCTTAAGATTTTCCTGCTCCCCTTCTCCGTGCCTAACCTCCATATTTTTGGTCACTCTTTGACTTCTGTTGGAAGCCTGGAGCCGCTTCTGCCTGGACTAGCGTCCATTGTACATATTCCCTTAAATTTCTCTTTTCCACGCCCCCAAAATGTCTTATCTACCCCCAGGATGGACCCTGGAGCAACTTCAAACTGCAACAGTCGATGATCTACGTGAAATACCAGAAGAAGTAATTGGATCGAAAATCAGCCCTGCCATCGGATATCGATTACTAATATTCTATTTCTAGAAACTCCGTGAAATTGACACAAATTTAATTCCAGTTGAAAATGTTGCAGTCCGTCAAGTGATCAGCCGTGCAGTGAGCAATGAACACCGACGGAAAGTGCGCGCCGAGCGGGGCCTTCCACCTGCTCCCGGGAGACCAATTTTTGAAGACCCTGACGATGCAGTCGTGCAGGTGGTAGAACGGGGAGGATTTGATGACTTTGGATTCATCGTATTCCGAACTGATTACTCGGATGAGACCCGCTGGGAGCAGTGGCATAAAGAGTTCTTTCGCATGATAGACGCGTCGATAGACAGCGTTAGCGGAGGAAAGAAAATCGAAGATAAATGTTTAATGCCGACCTTCGAAGATGAGGATTTGGATGGTGCCACCTATCAGCGAATTCTAGAGTGAATGAGATCTTATCCCTCTCCTTGGTGATCAATTGCTAATTATGTATCGTTATAGGGTGTACTATACCTACCTCGAGACTGACGGTGTGCCTCCAGGACTTGAGACTGATATGTGTCTAGTTGTCGACTCGAATGTTATGGACTCGATAGCGACTGATAAACCGTGGATCTATGCATTGGACTTATCATTCGATCATCAGAGCGAAGTTGAAGAAGGTGATTATACTGGCTACTTTAGGGTCGCTGTGGACTCGGTCATACCGGAACTTTATCCGATGCTCGCGGCGATGACACCACCAGAGCTTTGGCCCTCAAACAACAGAATATGGGAGTCGGCCTTTGATGATATTTTTGCGTCTTCGGATTGCCTTCAGGCCTTTGAGGGCATTGGCCACGAGGTCGCCAATATCAGCAGCACACCCCTTTTGCGGTTTTAGCCTTCTATGTACGTAACTCGCCTCTGGGTGCAAGAGTCAAGTGTAGCGCGTTCATCGGCTACTCGTAACATGGCCTATATTAAATATTACTTAGCTGGGGACTCTATCATTCTCTATAACCCTTAAGAGCCGTTGGTTCCGATAGTATTTATATAAAATTGGATCTATCGGAAAGTGCAGGCCCATTTGGAGATCCACTAGTTAACCTCAGACTATGTGTTATAATGCTATTACTCAAGTTCATATGAGGTCCTGAAGTTTCTATTGAGGTAGCAACTGAGAAATTAGATCTTGACAGGCTTAGGAATACAGCCTAAAGCTTCCACCAAAAGCGACAGTTCCGGGTTTGAATTCCCTATCAAGACCTCGATCTCCCTAATTTCTTGTCCGATTTGCTTTTGCAACTGCTGGATATAATCGAAGGTATCGTTTAGGGCGGAAACACTCGACATAGCGCGCAGAATCGCCAATTTGTTTCCGTGGTTCATTTGCGAGTTCGTCGAACGTGCTTCTCGAAATATGCCAAATATGATGGTCTTGACGTTCTCACTCTTTTGACAGCTTTTGACAATCGGGTAGGACATTTTCCCTTCCTCAAGATCCTCACAGAATCCTTTCGCTTTCGAATACTCTTCCCCTTGGAGATTCATATAGTCATCGCGAATTTGATACCATCGACCGAAAAGACGGGCCAGGGTTGAAAGTCGATCTGAGAAAGGCGAGGCTTTTCCATTGGCCTGCATGAGTTGAACCATCATGGTCAACATGGCACCGGTCTTTTGGTCTACCATGGCAAAATATTCGGCTTCCGTGGGACAGTGCAAATGATATCTCCAATGTATATCCCAACTTTGGCCAATGAACTGTGTATTCAGACCCTGGAGGAGAGCGCTCATCATCTGGGGAGCAGCCAAGGTATCCACTGCCTGAGCCGCTTTGACGATCATATACGTCGCGCTGTTGACTGCTTGTGCGGGTCCGAAGATTAGATGGGTTGCTGTACTCCCTCGTCGTAGTGGCGAGTCATCTTGGAAATCGTCCAGGATGAGAGAAGCGTTATGGAGGTCATTGACGATATCCTTGATGGCTGCTAAAGGCTTAGGGGGTACCTGTATCCAGACATCGAATGCATCGACAAGCTTTGAGATTACGCCCTTGGACGATAGAGACGCAATGTAAAGAGCTGGAGCAAGGACAACTGAGTCATCTAGAACGGTTGTAGGTTCCATCAGATGCAGAGACACTGAATTCGCGGGCTTTTGGCAGTTCAAAGGTTTGTCTTGGGCGTAGCCTTCAATGTTGGACCCGCGTAAGAAGGGGCACATGTGGAGTTCCCGTTCAAAGATAAACAAGTCTCTTTACCGCCTCTTATATGTGAGCAGCGCGTCTTTCCTCCTTAGCGCTAGTTACACTGGTAAAGAGCTTAACCACATCACAGATCTATATATCGGACTTATTCTTTGATCATGAGAGCCCTGAGGAGAGCTTAGAGGACGTGTTATATGACTTTTTAACCCTAAAAGGTTGATTTTCGGGGTTGTATGTATGGTCAGACCGGGTGCGGGTGGAAATATATATATACTTAATCCCTGACTGAAGGCACATGATCAACAATCGGATGACAAGAAGTCCTCTCCAGAGATTCCGTCTAATAAAAGAATAAGATCATATTGATGATATACTGCTATGGGCTGGTACAGAAAACACGACTACTTCGAACCATCTGCACTTGAATTATGGAGAATTTCTCCACGTACTCCCTAAAGATCTCACGTACCCCCTAAGTACCGATACTTTTTCTGCCACACTTATAATATGGTTTCTCTCTCTATAGACGTGCTTTGATCTCAATGAATTCGGTTATCATATTCAGCACATAAATCATATATTATCAACGATTTTTGATACAATTCAAACTCATTAATCTAACCTCGCTGCCTCTGAGTCCCCACATCCAACATTCAAAACGCGAGGACTGCTATCATATAGTGCGGTATATCTGGTACTAGACCTATATCTGCATTACAGAATCTACCATGTCCTCGCTTTATCGGACTCTGCCCCTGCTGAGTCCTGGCAGAGAACGCTGAGTGTGCTATGGTGGTCCCTGTGTCTACCGTGAATATTGCGTTCTATTGAGAAAAGCATACAGAACTCGGTCAATTCCTGGCCATTACAGCTTAGAGATCATATAGTCTACAGGGTCATAGTCTCAGAAAGCATTAAGTAACTCGGGATTTGGCTCCCTAACTTTGGGAGTCAATTTATATAAAGAGGTGAGATAAAATACTTAAGGGTACTTGACACAATGGCTGAATCGGGTTAGAGGGGGTACGTGAGAACTTTAGGGAGTACGTGGAGAAATCCTCGAATTATGGTCTAACCCGTGATTTCGGCCAAATTCGGATAGATGAGAAAGTCAGGTGACCTGGGGGACATGGGATGTAAGCGTAGATAGGTAAGAGGGCTTAGGGTCGGTCAGCTTACAGATCAAATTTGTTCGTCTTTCAGCTTAGCAACTTTTAGTTAATGCGCATATTTTGCCTTGGTATGTATTCGTAAAAAGTAAGCTAGATTTGATATTGCTTGTAAAGTATTAGAAAGCTGATCATTTTATTTCTGTGAGGCGGAAAGTTATTACATGTGGCAGTGCGACAGGACCCAGCGATCTTATCCGTATAAAGTAAAACAGAGTTTTGAATTGTGACAAGGATGCAAATCCACTATCTGACTAGGTTAAACCACAGAGAATAGACTAGCCTTTAGAGGGTAAACGGTGGCAATTCTTCAAGTGACATCAGATGATGGTCGGAAGCTGAGTCTAGAGTTGGAGGGTTTTTTCATGGCTGAAACTCTAAGGCTGAGTCAACGTTTGATCCCATTGCCAAGAGCTAAGCAGCGATTCTTACATGTAATGTCAGAAAAGAATTGAGACGGAGACAATGACCTATAACAAAGTCGCTAATTAGTGTGAACGACCAGGCAACAGTAAACAAAAAAATCCCTCGTTCTCCACCTGAACCAGAAAACCGGAGGAGAAAATTCGACGAACGAAGAATCTAGACTTATTTGGGTTTAAGGTGATGGGACCCGAACACGGGACCCATACCAAGCTTGTTAATATCCCACAATTCCCTTGGAATTCTTTCTCCTGGTAATCCTCCAGTTATATGCTTCATCTCTTGCATGCGCCTCTTATATGCAGTAATACCGGCTCTTTGACGCACCCAATTGCTGCAAGTTGCCGATTTCTGCTTCGGCCAAGTCGTGATATTCCTTAAGCCACTCATCTGATTCGCCCTCAGATCAGTCCCTTCTCGGGGTTCTCTTAAGGTGTTCAGCTGCAAGCTAATCACTCTTCCCGACTTGATTTCGCAAATCCCCGGGGACGTGTACTCCGTTCTCACCGCAACGATAACGATACCCTAGTCTCTGTGCTTGGACAATCCCGGCCCTCTTCCTCCAAGGCCCTTTAAGAGCTTCAAAATCGAAGCCGACGGCCTTGTCCATTTTTTTATAACTTCGATTTCGACCAATTGATCTCGACTTTCTCACCATGGACGTCGATTTGTAACAACGCCGTCCTCTGGGATCCTTTTTTATCGCATTTCAGCGCTGCCGCGTTTTGCTTTGACCTTTTCCACTGGTCTTCACACTCAACATTCTGATTCCTAAGCCATAATCAACATCATCGTCATCATGGCCCCCAACCTCTTTATCTGCCTCCGCACCCTCTGCTGCCCTATGTACTGGTTCCAGCGCGGCGACCGCATCCATCCCGATAAAAATCGCGAACAACATTGGGAAACTCCCGTCCCTGGAACATACAAGTTCCTCCCTGGGCAAGGCTGGCACCTTATTCGCCGTGACGGGCACGAAGATGAAAAAATCCCCGCAGCCCTCGTCTACTGCCGCGTCCTACACCGGTACATGTTCGAGTCCGAGCTTGAAGAGCGTTCGCGCTTCGTCATGGCCCCATTGCACAAGGGCGGTCGGCCTGAAAAGCTCCGCTTCTTCCTTCTTGATGACGGCGTTCACTGGGTTGCTGGCTGGGATGCTAAAGGTCGGTTCATTCCCGGCCCGTATCCTAAGTGGCGCCTGGATGACGATGGTGAGACTATGCACCGTGGTGTCTCGCCGCCTACTAGTGCGGATGTTTCTCGCTGCAACAGTATTGTTGTGAGCAAGATTGAGTAGATCCGGAATTTTTTTTATGATCTCGCCTTTATGTTTTATATTTACCGGCAATGATTAGCGCTTGTTATGGTTGGGAAGCGTTTAGCGTGATTCGGTTACAAAAGTGTTTTGAATATTGCGGGAGGACTGGGTTTTGGGTGTTTCTTTCGCTTTATGTCTTTTTCTCTGGTCCTGGATACATGAGACTTGGGTTGTTTTCGGTTGGGATGATCTGTGACGGCGCGCGAGTTTGAAGGTGCGCGTTCGTGAATTCATTGGAGCTTCCATAAGCTTACTATGATGATCCGATAATTCTCGCAGGATTTCATATCATCTCATCAATGACAATTGTAATCATATTCTTACAACTTACCCTGAATAGTACGTGACCAAAAGTAATTGGCTCGCTTCTCTTCACTGTTAAAACATCGAATGTACTACAAAGTCCCGAAATATGTACATGTAAATGTGGTGCAATTCCACTTTACCTTTGAATCTACACTGGTACGGACAGGTACTATCATATTCCTCACAGTTTCGAATCCGGTCTACTAAGCAACTTCTGCAATCCATTTCGCACCTTATCCTCCATACCACCATTCCCCACTCGCATCGTCTCCCGCAATACAAAAACATGAATATAAGTCCCCACCATCTTCACATCCTCTTCTCCCTTCCGAAACACTCCAATCTCCCACGTCACACTAGACGATCCCAACTTAGCAACCCGCAGTCCAACCTCTAGAATATCGGGAAATGCAACAGAAGCAAAGAAGTCTGCGTGTGTTGAGACGATAAGACCGATCTGCTCAGCCCCAACTGCTAGGTTGGATGGATGGCCCTGCTGGCTCTTGGGGGTGGGGTTGTTCACGCTAAAGGGATTCATGCCGCAGGCCTCAATCAGGTAAGAATTGGCGATGGTGTCGAAAAGGGCTGTGTAGACTGTGTTGTTGAGATGAGCGTACATGTCATTGTCGAACCTGGGTGGTTCTAGATTAACTTTTGCTGCTTTTTTGGTTGTGACTTAGGTTGTCATTACCATCTTGTTTGGTGGACTTGGTGATAGCCGTAGTCGCTGCGCACGCGGCGTTTCTTGGCTTCGTAGTCAGAAGTGGCCATGGCTGTATGTGTGTGGAGTTTTGGTCTGATGAGAGGAAGAACGATAGTATGAAACACTGTCCAGCGGAGCGAGAGGTGATATGCGATCGTCTTGTCTCCGCGGCATTGATGGACCGAGGTACAACGAGATTAGGTAAGCAAAGTCAGTATTTCGCCTGAAAATTCAAAAGATAAAATGAAAATAACAAGCAGACATCATAAATCCAATAAATCTAATATAAAAGAACATCGATATCAGAATATATAAAATTTGAAGTATTTGAATTCAGTTCCTGGTTACGTGGGGGTTTGGTCTCCACATTGTTTTCTTATCGTTAATCTCAACTTAAATCTCAAAATCTCTTTTTTTCCCAAACTTTCCCCGCCAACTTTCTTTCAGGAGCCACGTCGCTCGTTTCCCTCCTGGCTCCCTCTCCACGTATTACCGCCTATCTTCTCCGGCGAGGAAAGCTTCCTCTGCCCCCTCCGCCCGTCATGGCTCTTGTCAATTTCGAAGTCAAGCCTGACCCCGTTCAACCGCCCCCCGACGTCTGCATCACCCCTTGCGATCCATGGCCAGCACCATACTATCTAGAAGGCGGACTTCGCCGCGTCAAGCCCTACCACTATACCTACAACACCAATTGCAAGGAGAGATGGCGCGGTCGTACACTGGAGGATATCTTCACTTCGGAGTTCCGTGACCGGAGACCAGACTATTATGTATGAACCCTCGAGGCAACGATGCACAATGATATACTAACATATACCAGCGATGGGCACTCGACCAAGGTCTTGTCGCCGTGAATGGCAAGCCCGCCGCCCGCAATACCGTCATTAAGAACGGCCAGGTCATCTCGCACACCTGCCACCGCCACGAACCCCCCGTCTCGGCGCAACCAGTCGGCATCATCCACGAAAGCGACGACCTTATCGTAATCGACAAGCCTGCAGGAATCCCTGTTCATGCAGCCGGCCGATACCACTTCAATTCCGTCGTCGAGATCCTCCGCGCAGAGCGCGGCCAAGGCTGGCTTCCACGGCCCTGCAACCGTCTCGACCGCCTCACATCAGGCGTGATGTTCATCGGCAAGGACGCCAAGGGCGCAGAACGAATGGCAACAAAGCTAAAGGAACGCTCCGTGCAAAAGGAATACGTCGCTCGAGTCAAGGGCAAGTTCCCAGACGGCGTCATAGTCTGCGACCAGCCCATCATGCAAGTTAGTCCTAAACTGGGACTGAACCGTGTGCGCGCTACAGGCAAAACAGCCACCACCAAGTTCCGCCGTCTGGCATACTATCCCCCCGCATCGGAACTCCCCACTGCGCCGGATTCCAACGGTGACGAGATTCCCGCTCTGGCTAATGAATCAGAGGGATACAGTATCGTTCACTGCTTCCCGCTTACGGGCCGCACACACCAGATCCGAGTCCACCTCCAGTTCTTGGGACATCCTATCTCCAACGATCCCATTTACTCCAACCGCCGCGTGTTCGGGCCCGAACTGGCTAAGAACGAGTCGCACGGTCAGCGTGATGATGAGATTATGGAACGGTTGAACCGAATGGGCAAGACCGAGTTGCCTGATACGGTTTCCTACCGCCACCACTTCATGGCTTCGCCGGATGTACCCCCGGATACCGACCCGGCTATTCTGGCGCAGCTCTTGGAGCGCGAGCAGAAGGCTGCTGCGGAAGATTATAGCGTTCGCAAGGGTGAGCGGTTGTCTGGTGCGCTTTGCGAGGTCTGTGATACGGAGTTGTATTCTGATCCCGGTCCCCATGAGCTTGGTATTTTCTTGCATGCCGTTGCATATGCGGATCGCGAAGGTGACTGGTCGTATCGGAGTGCGATGCCTAGTTGGGGACTGCCGCCGTTTGGTCTGGGAGGTCCTCGTGAAGTTCCCGACTGGGTCCCTGCTGCTGAGGGCGAGGAGATTATCATTGGGCATGGAACTGTTCCGCCTGAGATTGGTGTTGATGATGACGGAAAGGTTGCTGAGGGAACTGAAATCCCCACCGGGCCTGTTCTGCTTGAGGGTGTTGGGGTTGTGAATATGTCGTCCCTGAATCGGGCAGATAATGGGGCTCCTCCCACTGGGGCTGAGTTGGCTTCTCCTGCAGCGCTATAGTGGGTCATGTTCTTTTGTTGCATTTTGTCTTGTCTTATGATACCATATCGTTGATTGAAGTCGAGGTGATGGACATACAGCATAGAGTAGGTGTTACATTGCATATTGCTTTAAAGTACATAGAATTTGATGCCTTTTATGATTACCTGACTCGTACCTTTCTAGAATATCAAATGATATAATTCGCTGGCAATTTCTAGCTCCAATTTATCCTCCAGGTATGCCAAAATCTATACAAAATTCAATGCTATCTCCACCCAATGCACCATCCCATACCATACGCCGTGTACCGATGTGATGAATCCCAACGCAAATCAAAAGCAAAAACATAAACAAAAACAAACACAAAAGGAAGAAAGTGAAGAATGAAAAATTTCTCACAATATCCACATCGGACTCTCACACTGTCCCAAAAGTCGCACTTTTTCATCGATCCTCCACAACATCGACCCAGAAGTAACACCCGGTGAAGGTCGGCCACTAAGCCCATAGTCAGAGACCTTACAAGTCCCAGCCTCGTCAAAGCGATACTGCGTGCACCTTTCTTTTTGGGCACAAATCTCCGCACACTCAAAATGTGTAAACGGAGTCTTATCCTCGCCTTCTTTCAGGACCTCCTGCGGAGCAGAGTTCTCCCAGTTCTCTCTCACATCAACAAGAGTTGGACGGACAAGTAGACGAAACACATCACTATACAAGGGATAGGAAGGATTTCCCTAAAAAAAAACCCGTAAGCAACGACCAAAACCACCATAAAGACAGATACTCACATCCGCATGCCACTCGCTCTCAAACTCGAACATCCGCCCAATATCCACGGGTGTCATATGATGAAACGTAACAGGCGGATAACACCACTGAACCTTCCCGAAAGCCTCATTAATCGCATCCTGTTCCCAAACAGAATGCCCCGTAACATGAGGCCACGCCCACGTAAGCTGGATCCCAATAGCCTTAAGCGCCATTCCCATAATACAATCACCAGCCCAATGCCGATTCGTCTTCTCATGCCACTCATCCATATGAAGCAGGTACTCATCCGCAAGCGCATGCATCGCCGGATTCGAAAGTATAATGCCTGACCCCCCGTGCGCGAATACGTCTTCCCCAATCTGCATCTGGTTGCCCAGGTAGAGCTTTTCGGTTGGATCAAGCTGCGCAAGCCAGGCTACCAGGGTAGGCCAGATTGGGTAGGTGTCTGCTTCGAGGATGACGTACCATTTCGCGGTTGGGTTGGAGTTTCGTGCTTCGACGGCCATGGGGAGGAATTTCCATTTGTCGAGTTTCCAGCCTGGGTTCTGGATCATTCCTGCGGCGCTGTTGGCGACTTTGGTTACATCTTCGGAGCTGAGGCCTGCACGGCCTTGGTACTTGGCGCGGTTGTAGAGAGCGAAGTCTAGGTTTTCGAGGAGGGTGTATGTTGTGTTGCGGAAGACGTCGTGGGTGTGGAGGCCAGATATTTCTTCTTCGTAGTCGGAGACTATTAGTTTGTTTGGGATGCAGCGGAGAGTTGTATTGATGTGGACGGGGACTTTGTCTTGGGCTTCTGTTATGCCGGTTTTTAGGATGACGAGGATGTCTTCGATGCCGGGGAGTGGGCGGCACGAGGCGGATGTGGGGTTGGAGTCAGCTGGGTTGAAGTCTGTGATGTTGGATTTGATGTCGAGATTGGTGTTGGCGTTGGTGTTAGTTGTTTGATTGGATGGTGTTGTGGATGGTTCGGTGACTATTACTGGGGTATACAATCCCTGGCCGGAGTGTCGGAGGTGCAGGAATAGGAATATTATGACTGCCCCGGCAAGGAGAGGCAGCCAGCGCGAGTACCGGGCGGGGAAGGTGAGCATTGTAGGGATGAAAGGATAGAAAGACTATATTGATCCCTCCATGTTCGAGAGGATGAAACGAACGTGAGGGAAGGCTGGGGGGTTAAGTATCAGCTTTCCCTAGGTGGACCTTAGGGGCTTGTTTCTGGGGCTTGTTTCTTGTTTGGGGATGACATTGGCCAGATCGTCGTGTTCCACTTTTTTTTCCTTGGAAGAATGACGGAGCAAACTTGGGAGTACAAGCTGGTCGGTTTCGAAAAACAACTTGCAGATCGGAATTACAACTGTCATTGTGTTTCCTTCGGAGTCACATAGTCTTTGCTCTTCTCTTAAGTGCTACAGAGTCCCGCATCAAGGACCCCTGACGAGGTGGGTCTGGCGATCATTTAACCCTGCACGGACAAAGAATTCAAGACTCCAAGAACCCCGTGGGCTGTGCATTTAAGTATAGGTTTGAAGAGATTGGAGTTTAGGAGTAAAAAGTATGAGGTTAAATCAAGCCACATCTTGGCTGCGTAGCCGATCATTGCCATCTACAAAGGTATCATAATCATAGCTGTAACGGTACGGGTACATTTTACACGCAGCAGTTTGCATGCCCAGAAGAGAATTTTTGAATTTTTGTTTGTCATTTCAGAACAAGTTTCTCTCGCTCTATCGCCCAGCACTCTGACCAAGCGCGAGCCGCACATGGCATGGCATGCACAATCCTTGAAATTCGTTATCGCCAGAGAGATATCACGACCGTACAAAAACCCTCTGCTCCTGCGAATATCCCCTAAAACATAATGAAACAGAACTTTTTGGGGTTCATTCCATTTAAGCCTCAGTGGTGACACGGCCCTTGGCGTTGGTGACCTTGACACCGAGAGCCTTGGCCTTGGCGATGATGTCAACACGCTTGCGGGAAGAGACGGCGTGGCCGATCCTATAGACTGGGTTAGCGGGTGATTCATTCGAGCAGTCGGACTAGTTGTGCTGTGGCGGTCGTGCCATTCAACCATGGCCGCGTAGGTGGACGTACTCAGCAGCGAAGGTGCGGTTGTGCATCAGGAGGAGCTCAACATCCTTGGGGTTGTGGACGAGGAAAGCCTTGTGGCCGGAGGGCATCATGTGACGGGTCTTCTTGTTGGAACCGTAACCGATCTGAATTGTTTATTAGTCTTGGTTTCTAGCATCCTGGACAAAGGGGTCGTACGGAGGGCATAGCAATCTGGCCCTTGAAACGGCGGCGGACGCAGTTATCAATACCCTTGGGCTTGCGCCACGAAGCGCCAACACGCATGAACCGGTCACTCTGGTGACGGGTGAAGCGGTTGGTACCTATTTCATCCAGTCAGTCCTTCCATTCTGAATCGGTAGTCGTTGAATCCCTTGTGGTTGTGGTTGTATCGCTCTCCGACCGTGACAAATTGGCGTAAAAAAGTCAAAATCAAAATCAAGATCTCCCCTCATGTCGTTTCAAATGCCCTTCTCTTTCTCGTCTATGATTTCGATTTCGATTTCGATTCCTTACGTCGTCGGGTCGAAGGGCGATCCTATCCAGGCCATGGGATTCGCAGGGTCGAAGATCGGGTGAACATACGCTTCTTAACGATGGGGATGTGCTTCTTAGCGGCGACCATCTGTAGGGAGAAAATTGTCAGAATGCTGAAGTTGTCGATCGAACGGACGTGACTCACTTTGTCGGTGTTGCTGGGTCTCGCCGGGCGTTGAGAGTTGTCGAGTCGGAACGAAGTCAATCTCGAAAACTTCCAAGCAGAGCGGCGTGGGCGACCCACACTAGTGTGATTTGGGCGACCTAAGCGAAATAGGTGGGATTATGTCAGCGTAGGGTTGGCTGACACATAGCCCTGCCAAGATTGCCTAATTGGGAAAACTCATGTATATATCGACGATCTTCGGATTAATTGATTAGTTCTAAGCTGAATTAAAGAATATGGTTCTCAAATTATTGACTGTTGGTTTTAAATATGACTCAGGCACATATTTTCTAGTCAAAAGTGATGTAATGTTATGTACGGCTGACCATGTTCCTCTCTATACAGTCTACGGAGTACTTCATCTGAATCTCCTATGCTCATATTGAATGTCGCAGTTCGTTACCAGATTTCAATTATGTATATCAAGTAGCTCCTTTCCTGTGGTCTTCCTTCGCACGTTCGAAGAAAAGCATGTGCAGTGACTCGTAAGAGCGCTCATGGAACCTTAAGATGGAACTAGAATAGAATGATAATCAATCGCTGTACCTAGGAAAAACAAAGCCTCGACTATCTCTTTTCGATCTGTATTTTCCAAGGCTGTTTTTACTTGTTCCAGAATGGAATCCGATGTTTTGCAGCTCAAGTTGTCTAGTATATCAACTGTCACCACCCTAGACCTTGGGCACATCCCCTACCTATCATTCTATCATCTATTGCCACTGAACCCCCATCCTCTCCCCATCCTTCTCCCCGCTCCTCAACATCTGCTCCAGAACCTCCAAATCAGCCAACGCCTCCTCGGGTGACTGCCTCTTCGCAACAGGCCTGCCATTCCCAATAGCCAGCGCAAACTCGGCAACCTCAGGAACAACCCCCTTCCCATCAAACTCAATAACATGATCCTTCCCATCAACAGTAACTCCATCAAAATGCAATCTCACCATGCCCTTTTCACAAGCAAACTCAAACACGTTATCATTAAACGGAGAGCCCCACGACAGAGACACGACGCCCGTAGCACCAGACCCGGTCTTCACAACCGCATCCACCGTATCAACATCAGGCAGATATGTCTGCTGTAGCTGTGTATGCGCAGAGACAGTGGTGATCTTCTCTTCTGGTCCGAGAATCAGTCGGAGACCGGCTACCATGTGAACACCGCCGTCTAGGAGAAATCCTCCTTGGTGCTGGGGTGTTCTGCGCCAGGCGGTTACTGATATGCTTAGTATGGGATTCAATATAGAAGATTATGTATCCAGGTCAGAATTTGAGTTCGTGACGTACAGTAGTACTTGTTATCCTGCATGATAAGGCTATGCACGTTGACTCTGAAATTGCGTACTGGTCCCAGTTGCCGGACTTGTTCCGCTGCAAAGAGGAACTTTGTTAGGTATCGGTAGTTCTCGCCTACGGCCCAGAACACCTGGTTCGTGTCGATGTTCTTCTGGTACCATGATAGAAGCTCGCGGGCGGTTGTGACGTCCTTAGCGATAGGTTTTTCGGAAAGAACGTGCTTGCCTGCGAGGAGAGCTTGGCGGATGAATTCTGGTTGGACTAGGATTGGAAGACTGCACACGGTTTGTTAGACTTTGATTTTCCGAGGCTTTGCTTGGGTAGATCTTGGTTGCGTACGCGATGATTACCATGCTGATATCTGAGCGAGCTAGGAGATCTGTGTAGGAATGTCCTGGGTCGGAATCCTCGGAGTAAAGATCGACACTGTTTGTGGTGCTGGCGAGATCTTGTGCTGATTTGAGGGACCGTGAGTAGATGGCTTTGAGGGTTAGGTTTTGGACTTCTTTTACAGCGGGCTATATATATTGATGAGGATGTTTAGTTTGTATAATAGGTCAGTGGGTTGGAGTCCCTGTCTCATACCAAGTGTTGCTCCTTAGCAAAGTTGCCTATATAGACCATCAGCTTCTGTTATCGTTCATTTGTACTTAAAGATTCGGCTCGGCACCTGGGGGTTCACTTACCACTGCCAATGATAGCTACACCGATAGCCATGGTTTAGTCCGTTTGAAGTATAGTTGAGAAAAAAAAATTAGGGAAGAAAGAGGATGACAAGGGAAGTTAGGTGTAACTCCGTGGATGGGTGTCAATGTGAAAACCAGTCAAATCCTTGCTGGAATGGCATACAGAAGCATGCAGACTGTAAGTGGGGTTCTTCAGTCCGGAGCCACCGACTTCCAAACGTGGGAAGGTCCAACCCTCATTTCGCCTCCACAAGCTTGGCTTCGCCCTTTTCGGTCCGATTTCTATGCTAACTGCCAGATGCCGTTGAGTCTAAGGGCTTGAGATGATCATGTCGTTTCAAATCTTACTTTATTTCTGCTGGATGTGCATGATGCAATGTTAAGCACTAATGCGAGATGTTTCCTATAAACATTGCCCTCAATACTGAAACTTCACTTCAAATGACTAATACTAATAGCAAGAGAAGTAAGTTCTCCTGGCCAGCACCAAACAATCCAAATCCAAATCCAAAGCGCCCCCAGCATAAAAAAAACACAATGCAAATATGGGAATCGAAGCCTACCACAATGGAGGAAGAAAAAAGCGCAGTATCCAAACCAAACACCGTCCCCGGCGCAGCTCATCATGAACTCATCATGAACCTTGAACTTGATCCAAGCCGCCAACCTAACAGAAAAAAAAAATCATAGCAATCGTTATAATCAGGTATCACGAATTAACCAACGCTTTTAACCTATCCACCCTCGCCATGGATTTCTCCAATTTGTCCAATCGACTCCGTTTCTCAATATCTCGACGCTCGAGTATGGCAACTCGTTCTTCGAGCTTTGCCCGCGCTTTTCGCTCTTGCGCGACCATTTCGTTTGCTTGGCTGAAAAGCTGTACTGTTAGCTCTTCTAGCTCATTGCTGGCAAGAGAGAGCTGGGACTCGGCTGCTTTGCGGAGACTTTGTTCGCGTGACAATGCGTCTTGAAGCTCGGCGTTGTCGCTGTTTGCTGGGGATGATTGTTGGAGGGGGTTGGGTGGGATCGAGGTTGGGGTTGCTGGTAGGGGTGTTGTAGTGGTTGCGGAGGCGCTGGTTGTTGAGCTCCCGCGGCGGTAAGGGAGAAGGGAGGTGAGTGTTGAGAGGCGGCTGTGGTATGTTGTTGGTTGGGAGAAAGCGTCTGGTTTTGTTTGGGTTGGTGAGAGAGTTGATTTGTTGGTATGGGAGGAGGTTGGTGGAGAGGTGCTATTTCGGGGTGTGTCGTAGGAAGTTCTGTGGGAGGTTTGGGATTTGCGTAGACGTGCAATCTCGTCTTCATAGTCGGCGAGTTTGTTTGCTGTAGGAAAGAGTCGGTCAGCAGGCGTTTGAAGTTCTCAAATTTCAGAACTTTTCTTTCGGTATGAGGATTCTTTGCTGGATAGGAGCTTGTTTTTTTTTTACACTATTGTTTCCCTGTAGTATAGGCTTGGGGTTTATTTTGTTACTCACCATCTAAGGCAACACGATGGGTCAAGTCCTGAATCTGCCCCTCTAACTCCTGGATCCGGAGTTGAGCCTCGGAAGGATCAAATGAGTCGCCATATCCACATGCTGGACAGTGGCTATTTGTGACTGTAGCGACAGCCTTCATAGTAGATGTTCCGACAAGAGTGGCGGTCGCGACTGTGGTGGTCGTAGCAGACATGACAGCATGGGGAAACCCCGAGGTCGTTTTTTAAGTGGAGTCGAACTGGGGTGTAACGATGAGGGGAAACCGAGCGGAATTCCAGAGTTGCAGTCCTCAAGTGACAAGTAAATAGGAACTAAGTGAGCTCTGGAATGCTCCGAGCCTTGGATCCTTTAGTACATGAAACGAGGAAACAAATGAAAGTCCGAAAACCTTTGAAGGGGTTCAATTTACTCCATACTGCGCCACCGAATTTTTATCTTCGGCCGTGTCTCATGTTGTAATTATTTTTATTATCTTTAATTTGAATCTCTTACGACAGATCTAGATCTATATCTTTACCAATATCTCTTTCTATATGATCTATCTTGTTTGCCTACTCCCGATGACATCGTTGTACATGGCCCCGCCCCCATGTCATCATGACCACATGTACCAACCTCGTGGTCGATGAACTTGCCCTGAGTAATACCAGAGGGTAACCCCTGGAGGCTGGTATCCCGTATACTATTTATATCACCCTTACCGCTAACTGGCTTCTTCATCCCTTGGGCGCCTATAGGGGTAAAGTGGCGCAGGAACGATCCCATGGTACTCCGTAGAAAGCTTCAAATTTTCATTTCCATATCCTAGAACCTGTACTCGATTCCTTTCGAACAATACGGAGTACTTGAAACGTTGAAAATGCAGGGAAAGTATTGTGGGATCCACTTAAAGCGGTCAGACGTGTACCCTATACTGCCTCGGTGGGGTGCATAACATCTGGTTACCACATCTCTATATCTTTTCTAAGGAGCAGAATCATTGTCAATGAAGACTGAATTTCATTCTATACGGAACGGAACACCCTGAGATCACAAGCACGTGCAGAGAGGAGATGACCAGGTCAAATGCGGCCTTGAGTGGAGAGGAATTGAGGAGAAAAGAAGACCTGAAAGAATATCGGAGATTCATTGTCATCGAGGGCTCAAGGGTGAGGTTATGAGAATGCTCATGGCGACTACTTCGTCTCTCATAGAGTCGTTCGTGATCACATAGCAGGTCGAGTAGGGAATCAGAGGGTGCATGGTGGATGATGGACACCAACTCCTTCAAACAGCTCTGATCCCACACTCAACACATAAGAGACATAACACGACCACCTGGGGTCAATTGGAAAGACAAGGAAAAAAGGAAATCGGGTAATCTTCATTTCGCATCGGCTGTAATGGTCATGGGCAAATCACACGAGTCACACGCACGGGAATAGTAGCTAGATAGCGAACATCATACTAGACAGTAAAACAACAACGTAGGAAAATAAACTTTTCAGACTGCCAAATCATCAGAGCGAAGACTAGATGTGTATCGAGAATCTAGCCTGAGAATAGTGGGAAGATCATGAACCAAGGACAAAATGAGGAGGAAACAAGTAGGGAGGAGGAGGGAGGGCAAAACAACTACCGTCTGTCGCACGGCGTACAAAGAAATATACCCTAAGAAACATGCTCACGGAAGCGACATCGAGGCCATGACTTATAGCCTAATCACTCAAGACGTCATAGTTCTCGAGGGAGCCCCGGTAAGGATCTTCGAAGCAGGGTCACGAGTTCATTTGCACACCCGGGTGCGACAATTCGGAGGTAGGCGGAGGTTGTTTCGGGGGTATCGATAAGGTTATCAGAATCCACGGCCACCACCACGACGGTTGCTGCGCTTGTTGGTGCTGACGGTGCTCCAGCCATCGTTTTCGTCGGTGGGCTGCTCAGCAGTTCTCCAGTTGCCGTTGGCAGTAGACTCCTTGGCCTCGGTGGCCTCGGTGGCAGGAGCAGGGGTCTCCTCGGCATCGGCATCAGCGTTCATGCCGCTCTCCTCCCCACCGGCCCGCCGGAGGATCTCGAAGTTGGAAGCGCCCTTCGGGGTGTCGACATCATCCTTGTTGGAATCGGTACCGGCAACACGGATATCCTTGCTCTCCTTAACCTGCTTGGGCTTCTCAGCCTTGGCCTTCTCCTCGGCCTCCTTCTTCTGGCGCAGAGCCTGCTGGCGCTTCTCCTCCACCTCTCGCTCACGAGCGGCAGTATCAATAGGGCGAGCAGCGCCGAAGGGGCTGGCCTTGGAGTCACCAGCGCCAGCGGCGGCGGTAGCAGCAGCGTCGGGGACGGTGCGCTTGGCCAGGTTCAGCTTAGGACGAGAGGCAGGAACAGTCGGGGATGTGGGGGTGCTACCCTCCTTGGGAGGCTGATCAGGGCGCATCTTGGAGCGCCACTGGTTGTCCATATCAGCGGCAGTGGGGGCCCGCTCGACACGGGGGGCAGGGGGGCGCGAGCCATCCTCCTGCGAACGACTCTCGCCCCATGCGGGGGAGCTTCTCCGGAAGCCAGGTCCTCCTTCATTGCTGTGGGGGCGACCACCCTCACGGGGCGGGGGGCCAGCGGGCGGCGAAAGGGGGCCCTTGCGCTCCCAGTTACCGAAATCACGGAACTTACCATCCGACTCGAAATTGTTGCGACGGCCACCACGGTCACTGCCAGCATCAGATCCGGCATCCATGTTGCGACCAAAGCTGGAGCGCTCGGGAATACGGCGCTCAGGAGCGGCGGGAAGGGGTCCACGGCGGGTCCAGTCAAGGTCACGGCCTTCCGGGCGAGATTCCTTGGCTATAGACAACCTGTCAGTTCTGGTAGAGACATCTTACGCGACTGAAACACTCACCAGGCTCAGCAACGCTGGTGCGAATGGTGCGGCCCTGCAGGGAGGTGCCAGACAGATCCAAAGCCTTCTGGAGGCCCTCAACGGTCGCGAACTCAACGTATCCGAAGCCCTTGGGGGCCTTGGTCATCTTATCCTCAACAATGCGGACGTTGGTGACGCTGCACTCCGCAAAGAGGTCGGAGATATCATCGGCAGTCGCATCGAATGAGAGGTTGCCAACGTGGGCAGTGTAAGGGGGCTCGGTGGGAAGGTCGAGCGGCTCGCGAACGGCATATCCTCCACGGGTCTCACGCTCTATATCGCAAATGTTAGATCTTGTATAAATTCGCATGATCGTATGGCATACCGAAGGTGCTACCACCGCCGAAGCTGTTACCGTAACCCATGCCACCGGCAGGGCGGCTACCAAAGCCAGAGGAGGCGGAAGGTCCTGTTGCGAATCAGTAAACCGTTCGAGGTCAAATTGCAGGTGTGAACCGTAGAGATCAGGCGACATACCGGCTACAAATCTCGTTAGTAACCGTAGGATCACAATATAGCGGGGATATTAGCGACTTACATGGGAGAGGCATGTCCTCCATCTCATCAGCCCAAGAGCCAAGGCCTATGGTCCATTAGTATTAATTTGGTTTCCCAGTAGATCTTCCAACACTCACTCTCATCGGCCAAGAAGTTACTAATGGTCATCTTCTGACCCTTCTGTTTAGGCGCTAGTGGAGAAGACTCGTTAGCGGGGGTTTGACCACCAAATATGTCTCTGCTGATCGAGACATCCTGCTCTCAAATTGACGACTGGGTAAGAGAGTGAGGCGATCCCGACATACCCATGATTGCGGTTTAGAGGTTGGCGCGCCAGCAGACTTGTGCGCGCTTCACACAGTAGGGTTTGAGGTGGGGAAATGGCGAGAAAAAAACCGACAGACACCCAAACGAAACTCGGGAAGCCGATCGAAAGAAGTGAATTAGGACAGGTTTGGCCTTGAATTTCAAGGTCAGTAGAAACACACTTCACGAAAAGTTGGTTAGAGGGGAAGTCGGCAATCGAGATGGAAGTGGACGGGTTAGTTAATCCGTGATAATTTTTAAGTGGTGCCGCTAGTCCAATCACAGCCGCCAGACAACCGGTCCTACAGAGACAGACCACAATTATAGCGTCAAATCATCAAACAGAAAAATCACCTAAGGAACAGTTATATTTCGATATTTGGCTTCGTCAAGCTATCATTTGGGGGGGTTTCTATCAAATAAAACTTACAGGGAAAATGCCTGTAGACCAGAAAAGTCGCAGGATTGAATAGCCGTGGTTAAACCACTGAGAAATTTAGTCTTGGTTTAGCGGGGAATCAACAGGGAAACATACAGCCGCACTAACTAGTTACGTCAGTCTGGTTTGATGGTCGATCCAACATTTAGATTAAATGGGTACAAGCAAATGATACATCTTTTGGCATACAAAGTAGACAGTATGAATGCAAACAAAACAAACATCAATCTACTGTAGACTGAGAAATGGGCACGGTTTCGTACTTTTCGACAGACTAATGGGTAAGGAAATTTTATCAATTTCTCAGCTTGAATGGACTAGAGACTTTAGTTCTAGACTGTAAAGATAGCTGTGCTCATGGACATCTTTAGATTTTTTTGTCATTTCCTGTCGCTTCATTATCTTGAGTAAGAAGTGCATAGGTAGTCCAACGTTGTATTCTAAAATGACCTTTATCTTATTTAATTTCTATTGCCTTCAACATCACTACCAACTGTTAACTTCTGGTTTGATGCTTATTAGATGCTAATCTAGGTAGGGCGTGATACTTCTGTTAGGTTCAAACTTCAAGCTTGGAGACATATTTATTAATATGTGTGTACAACGGATTGCAAACCGATGCAAGACCTTGAATGTTCAATGTTAAAAGCACAAACCAAGACAAAATCCACACCCCCGTAAGCATTTCAAATAATATTTTACTCAGTCATCAGAAGAAACAAATGCCTTACATGTCTGGCTCAACTCCGCTATTTTATGAGATTAGCCATTAAATGTATCCCATTGTTCCTATCCCATGGATTACATAAACACACGTGACCCCATATTTTCCAGCTGGATGAAGTCGACTCTGCCGACATCTGGAATAGCAAAGGAATGCTTGCATCTTTGTCCAGTCCGTTCACAACATGAACGGGGACAATCGTCCACATGACAGCTTTGGGTCTGATCCTCTGCTGGCGGCAGTCAAAGTGGGCGCCTTGAGCGGTTAGTCTCAACCTATGTCCATCGAGGTCCTGGAATACCCGGTTCTCATTGTACTTATGCTTATCTGTTTCTTCAGGCGCTGCCGGTTTGATATATGGAGGAGCAGCAGGAGTGATCAAATCGCCAAATCCAGTGATCCATTCGCTATCCTGCGGTATTCACTGGTTTGCATGCGGTACAACCTTTTGGTGTAAGTCCATTTCCAGTCCACTATCTGGTCAACCACTCAACTTGTATGTCCAGGGCTACGGAGCAACGTTATCAAACTTCACTTTCAAGATCAAGCGTCCCCCCAAGAACGCGCGTATGTCAGCGCTCTTACTGGAGGAATATCCGGCGGAGTTGTGACTAGGCTCATGGGTATCTATAATCCCCCAAATCGAGCCACATTTTGATCACTGACCAAAGCCTTTTCCTATTATCTAGGCGGCAGGCTGATCCCTGGCCTTGTTGTGTTCTCATTGCTCGGCTACTGTGGTCAAAGCGCCTTCAACAGAGTTGATGCATGGCAGGTGGAAAGGGCCCAGAACCCTTCCAAACCATTCTTCCAGCGCATGGCTGATAGCAAATGGATTCCTCTACGGAATTTGTCGGATGAGGAGTACCGTGGGATGCTTAGCGAGAAATTACTAGGTATTGAGGCGGAAATCGCGCTCCTTGACGAGAAAATCGAGGATCTTGAGAAGACCCGCCCAGTGTCTACTACCGAACAATGACCCCTCCCTGCCGCTTTTACTCTGTCGACACTTTGGGTAATGTTGGGGAAGTTTGCAGTGCAAAGACTTGGCATGACATCTGCATGTCTAATTTTACTGGGTCAATTAACTGCATGTGGGTGGATTGTATAATTGTATGATACTTTTCGAAACCATTGTAATTTTACTTCTATTTTTCTTCCATTGAATCCACTTTTCGGTGCCGTCATGCTTGGAGAAAAGGGGGATCGAATCCGGGAACGCCGATCGTGAGCCATAAAAAGCCTCACGAAATGAAACCATGGAACAGAACACGCGTCAAGATCTTGTTCACAAGAGGGTTCTGTGAAATGAAGATTCATAGAGCAATTACATAGATAGAAATTCAGAAAAGCTATTATAGGTGAATTCCCATGTATATCGGACTTTACGGAGTTGTAAAAAGGTCCTGCCAGAGAAAAGCCAGATGTGCAAAGTGGCAGATTACGGTCCCGCTCAATCTTTCTCCGGACGCGTCCGAAGAACCACTACTTGTCATTTCTACAGCTCCAGTATGACCTTTTACCAACATAAGATGGGGATGTGGTGTTTGTCTTACTGACATTGGAGCTTTCTCCCTGCTTTCGCAAGTTAAACACATCAACTTCTCACCCCCGACCACCCGAAAAAGTACGACACGACACGACACTTTACCCAAAGCGGATGATTCGGACAGCTTCCCTGTGATCGATTGAAAGACATCAACCATCGATTAACCCAATGTTCTTTGTGCTGCGCCGTGTCTCTGTTCGACAGATCAGCCCCTGCTGATCGCGACCTCGCCATGTTCTTCACCCCGACTTCTATTCTCTTGGCCTTATTGATCCTCTACGTATCCTCCTTCGTCTTGTTCGCGGTAATCCGAATCGCAACAGGAATCTCCATTCAACGGATCGGTTACTTTTCGCTTCGCCGCATCGCATACACCCCGAGGGAAGGCCTACACATTGAAATCCGTGGACTCGGGTTTTCGCTACACCCCCCGTCCTTCGCGCAGCCAACATGGATCAGTATTCGCTTGACGGACTTGAAGGTGACACTGGATACGGCGATAATGGCCAAAGGAAAACCAGAGCCCCCTCGAGATCTCCTGGGATCCTCGAGTCCTGGAAGCCCCATCCCTGAGAGCCCCAACCCCGACTCGACCACCCCGCGGAGTAAAACATGGAGGACACTCACTCGGCTGAAGGAGCGCCTAAAGCGCCTGCATCGACAAATCAACTGGCTGGCTCTCGTTGATATCTCTGCAGTAAACACGACCGCTCAGTTTCTTGGCGCCGGTCAAATACAAGTGGGGTCATTGTCGCTGGCCGTGGACACCCGGAGTAAGATGGTGGAACGGGGCAAGCTCTTCCGGCGCAAGAAAGATATGTCTCAGGAACAGCGCCCGGCCGAATGGATTATGAATGTTCAAAATGTTCTCCTCGCAGTGGACGGTCGGGAGCCAACAGAGATATTGGACACTGTTGGTGTGAACCTGCATGGTCTGCTCTATAAAGATCTCGAGGGACTTCGGGATGCCTCGATCGCGCTGAAGATTGGCCGACTGCACATCCCCTACGATGAAATCAGCTCGCTTCTCCAACGCATCAAATCCGCCCAGAAACCATCACCCAAGGAGCCGCGCGGTGACACGGATGACGAGATTTCCTTTGCCGACTTCGTGGAGGAGCTCGATAAGCCTGGCAGCCGAGATGACTCCATCGTGCAGACCGTGGCCGATTCGAAGGAGTTTGCTAGTTCTCTGCTGCGTGGGATCCAGGAGATCCAGGTCGCTTTGAGCTTCTTCCGGTTCTCGCGCAGTCTTGGATCTCTTTCTGCAGGCCAGAGCCCTGTGTTCCTGCATGTGGTTTCCCACGAGCTGGGAGTCGATCTTCACCGAATGGACCAAAGAAGCCCCGAGCACCGTATGTATTTTCAGTCAACCGACGTCGCCCACCAAGCGTTACTGGCCGCCATTTCTCTTTCCGTCAGCTTGGATGACAACTCGGGTGAAATTGAGAATGTTCTCTATATTCCCATGGCTACGACAACAATCAAGACAACATTGCCATCGAAGACAGTGAGCGGCTTCGATGAAGAGAATCTCGAGGCGCGGAACTCCAATATTCTCTTCGCCAACCTTGTCATCACGTCACCGTCACTCGATATGCGACCTCAGCATGTGTCTCGCCTCTTGAAATTGGCACAAGCGCGAGCTTCTTCTCCTCGAGTAAAGAAGCGGAGTAATCACCAATTATTTACCCGCCTGCTTCCCAAGGCCACCATCAAGTTGTCCGTTCATGAACCTGTTATCCGATTTGTCCTCCCCATACCAAAAGAGTCAGGCACTCCGGATGACTACAATCTCCTCATTTCATCCATCTCGTCAATATCGCTGGACATCGAATCATCTCATTCATCCGAGGGCGGCGCCCATTATTCTCTTTCAGCCATCTACCGCGTTGCGTCTCACAAATTTTACTACCAGACTCCTGCTGGTGAGAAGCATAATCTGCTGACGACAGAGAGCCTGGAGCTCAAGGCTCATCTCGATGCAAACCCAGAGGTAAAAGTCATTGCCTCAGGTAGCGTGAATGATAGCTCTGTCCACATGATTAACGAGGAAGTCAACCGTGGAATTCGAGAAGTTCTTGAACAATTCCGGATGCATTTGCAGCCGCAAAAGAGAGTTTTAATGCCGCCAAATGAGCGCAAGACAAGCCCATTGAGAAAAATTCCGTCATGGCTCCTTCAATTTACATTTGAGTCTACTGGGCTCAGCCTGGAAATCGCTGGGGTGGACAAGCCGGTGTCTGAAATCTCCCGCGGTGTCTCTTTCCAGCTACAGTCCTGGACAGCAGAATACAAGGTGCAGGAAACTGAACACAATGTTGGCAGCATTGCTAGGAGGCGTACTTCCAGCCAATCAATTAGTGATGAATCGCCGTTCAGATTTACGCCAACTTCACCTCCGAAGAGCGTCCCGAAGAATGTTCAGCGTGGTGCCACAGATGGCAGGCGACTCGCGCTTCATGTGCGAGGCTTCGATGGCTTCGTGATCGAGTCAGATGATTATCTCGAACCAGAGCCTTTCTTCTCGCTTCCTCGATTCGAGATTGCCTTAAGCACGCATAGCGACCGGCTCGGACCTATGCTGCACATCAACTCCGTGTTCAAAGGAATCTACCTGCAATATTCTCTCTATCGGTTTTATTGTGTGGGCGTTGCAGTGTCTGTGATCAAAGACGTTCTGAGACCTCTACCACGAGACTCCAACTCCCCTCAGAATAAACATAAAGGAGCTCCAAGCGTATCGATGCCACCTCCTCCAATGTCACCTTCATCGTCAACAAAGCACGAGCTCATCACCATGGACGTGAAAGCGACTGTTGTCCAGCTTAAGACCAATCTGCCACACGATCCCCCGATGATGCTCCAGATTTACGGACTGGCAGGTGGCTCACACAGACTTTCCACTCCTCACGTTAAGGCTAATCTTGTCCGTCTCCACGCCGAAGCCCCCAAGCTCAAGGGTGTCTGGGCAAGAATCGGCAGCATGAACAATGTCAGACTTGATTTCCGAAAAATGAAATACAAACAGGGCTCAAGTTTGGTTGAGGAGAGGTCAATTGATTTGTGGGCAGACTTCATTCGAATTGGCGTCCCCCACCACATGGTGATGCATCGCATTTTCGACAATATTATCAATACCTCAAAGGCATTTAAGCAATTGCATCATCGCTTCAAGGCCCGATGCAAAGAGTTTGTCTCTGTTCGAGAACCCGAAGGACCTAAAAAAGTGCCCCGAGTGTCTCTTCGCAGCAAAGCTCTCCTTTTCGAGCTTGAAGATGACGCCTTTGAATGGAAGCTGAGTTGTATCTATCGGACCGGTTTGATCGAACAGACACAGCGCTTGGCTCGTGAGGACGCGTTCTTTTTGAAAGCGCAAAAGGTTAGAGAGTCTGACCAACGGCGCGCTTCCTCAAGATTACGGGCCAAATCCAGCCATCGAACCCTGCGCAGCGAACGAACCAGCCAAGAAACCCGCAGAAGCAAGAGCGCAGATACACGATCCAAGCAGGACGAGCCATCTCGTGGTCGAGCCCGGAAGTATCGCTACGATACCGTGGGTGAAACCTGTTTGACAGCGGAGCAAAAGATATCCGCAGAAGCTGCTTGGAACCGTCTTCAGCAACATAATGCCCAGGTGTGGAAAGAGAAGATCGATGCTTCCATGAAATTTCAGGGTACTTCTATCAAAGAAGTCCGAAACCTGTTCTCTGGTGCAGATGAACCACCTGACGACGCGAAGGAAACTGAGACCATTCTGGCAATCCCCAATAGACCGGGCTTGTTGTCTGCTCTGATCAGTGATGTGAATCTTGTGATTGACAAACCATCTTTCCCGATCGATGACTTCCCTAAATTCCTTCACCGCGTTGGTAAGGGCATGCCCATGTCCATGAAGTATGGCTTACTTATTCCAATGAGCTTTAATCTGGAGATGGGTGAAGCGCGCGTCAACTTGCGAGACTATCCTTTGGACCTACTGCATGTCCCGGCCCTAAGGCCCGGACAGTCTCCAAGGCTTCCTAGTTGGTCATTACGAACCAATTTTGTCATTGCCGAAGAGTATCGTGACCACGAATCTGCAAGACAAGTTGAAGTGGAGCTTATTCCCTCTGCTTCGGCGGCGGATGGCTCGCGCATTGATCCGTTCCACATGAAGGTCTGGCGTTCAGTGTCTCCTGTCAAGACATATTCCGATCCAGTCATTGAGATCAATACGAGCTTGCCCACGAGCATCTCCTGGGGAGTCTCCTATCAGCCCGTGATCCAAGATATGATGAAGATCATCGAGGGTTTCACCAAACCTGAGATTGATCCTTCTGACCGGGTTGGCTTCTGGGACAAGATTCGACTAAGCTTCCACTCTCGCATCAAGGTGCTTTGGAAGGAAGACGGCGATGTTCATTTGCGCCTTAAGGGTTCTCGAGATCCTTACGTTGTAACAGGGTTCGGAAGTGGATTTGTTATGTGCTGGCGAAGAGACGTCAAGTGGGAACTTCATCCCAATGATGATCCAATGGAGTTCATGAGCGTGACCAGTGGCGAATATGTGCTGGCAATCCCAGACTACAGCGCAGAAGCTCGATGGGCAAATGAATTAACTACAGAAGACGCGGATGCCAGCTCTCAATCAAGTGAGCAGAAGAATGCCGCGTACTTTAAGAAGGTCATCATGAAGTTGTCCGGTGATGTGAAATGGGCTGCTGGGTTGGTGTTTGAACGTGAACTTGATGGCGAATCACGATCATTCGCATTCAAGCCACATTATGATGTTATTCTCAAAAATCCCAAATTCGTCGATGCTGCACAGCGCGCCAACTACGATGCCTATCGTGGCTTCCGGAGTGACCATATTCATCTATCGATATCAATCATTGCTCCTCATGGACGCAACTGGACTGTGGATGGTGTCCAGCCGTCTTCAAGTTACAACACCACTCATTTGTCTCCCCGCTTCTTCACTCACTTTTTCAGCTGGTGGTCGCTCTTCTCCGGTGTCATGTCTCTTCCAGTTCGCCAGGGCCCGCTCTTCCCGGGTATCACGAAAACAAGCAAGAAGTTCAATCGTCATCTGGCGACTGTCAAATACAAGGTTCTGCTTGCCCCATTGTTTGTAGCACATATCTATAAGCACAAGGACCGCGAAGATTATGGCGAAGATGCTGTAACTGCCACCGGTCTCAAGGTGCGCCTCGATAGCTTGAAGCTTGATGTTCACCAACGGCGTGAACAGATCAAGACTCAAGCCCGTGGCCGTTCTAAACAGACCAAGACAAGTGCAATGCGCATCAACCAGGCTCTGATCGATTTGCAATCAGCCGACTTCCGTGCTGTTTCTGCTAGCATCGAAGGCACGTCAGCAGAGGACATTGAAAAGAATAGAGATGACATTATATCTTCCTTCCAGCAACCTGTGGCCACGGTTGACCTTTCTCGGTTTACAATCCCGGATCAAAATTTGGACTGGATTGACATGGACGATTTTGTCGAGCCAGACTGGATTCTACCCCAAGAGTCTAATCCGAAGACACAGATCCTTCCGCTTGCATTTACTCCACGTTTCACCTACTTCCGGCAAACAGACCATGGTGATATCGGATCAGAAGAAACCGGTTACAGTACTTTTGGACATGAGCCAACTCATGAATGCGTGATGTCAGACACCAATGAGCCTCGTCGTGTTCAGATCGAGTTGATCAAGGACCGCCTTGCAACAGTTGAAGCTCAGATCCGCAACTTTGATCGTACTATCGGGGAGCTAGAGCTTAAGTTGATGAAGGATGTTGACCACAACCCTGATTTGAAGATTCAGCACGAGACTTTCGTTCGCCAGGCCGAATCCCTTTCCAGGCGGCGCAAATTCCTGACATCGACTTTGAATCGCCTCGAGAAACTCCTAGCACGCGATGAACGAACGCCCAATCGCAACAATCTGGGAGTTAACGCTGCACCCAGTGAAGCTTCTTTCCGCACAGGAAATGATGCAGACTCTACCGCCGATGGTCGTGCTTCTGGTATTGATGGCATCTATTCGTCTGCTAGTGATGAATACTCCAGCGACTTCAACAATCGCTTCACGATCCACAACATGCAGCTGAAATGGAACAACTCGCTTCGAAATATCATCCTCCGATACAGCCACCAAGTGAGCCAGCGCCGAGGATTTGTTTACTACATGTCTAGACGGGCCGTTAAGTTCATTCTCGATATTGTGGACGAGCAAAACAAGTACAAAAAGAAGAACCCCAAGATGTCCAAACAGCAGACTCGCAGCGACAACGAGGATGAGAATGTCGAGGATCGAATCGAACAGCTTCTGAGCGATGCCAAGCGCTATGTCAATGCTGAGGAAAATGAACCGACTGATTCAAATACCGACTTACCCAATAGCGACTCACCCAATAGCGACTCACCCCAAGATTCAGACAGTTCCAGCGAAAACATTGCGCCAGAGTTTACCCCGCAAAACAGTTATTATCTGCGGCTCATTGCTCCTCAAATTCAACTACTTAGCGAGAAGAATCACAAGTCGGTGTTGTTGGTGGCTGCTAAAGGAATGGAACTCAAGGTGGTGTCGATCATGGACAAAGAGCGTGTTTCAGACGATGTCAGCGGCTTGGTCCAACGCCGGTTCTCTCTGGAGATGGACGGTGCCCAATTTTTCGTTGCGACTCAGAAGAATCTAATGGCGAACTTGCAATTATACGCGGGTAACAAATATGGCAACGCGCCAGGATCTGCTTGGCCACCTTGGTTGACCCTTGAGGCAATGTTTGATTTCGAACTCAATCCCTTCGGATTCTCTCGAATCGTGCAGAAGACCTCGGCCAGTCTTCGCTACGACAAGTACAATAACCTTCGTTTGAAGTACAACGAGGAAGTAGGCAAGGGCCACCATGGATCTCACCCTTCTGAAGAGGCCCGTATGGACCAAATCAGTGTCGACTTCCCTCACTTCCGCGCTATTTGCGACTCTGCCGAGTATTACTCCATGTACATCATTGTTTTGGATCTTATGCTCTACAGTGAACCACTCGAGAAGGTCCGGAACGAGCGCCTGGAAAAGATCATGCTTATGTCTGATTTCAGCGATCTTCGCGGTGCCCCAGAGATGGTCTTCAAGTTGCAGTCGCGTATTCGCCAGCTGGAAGAGATCAAGGAATACTTCCAGATTAATGCCAAGTACCTCGACAAACAGGGCTGGGAAGACCGGCTGGCGCTGGAGCGCGATTTATCTCAATGTGAGGATGAGTTGTTCTTTATGATGAAAGCTATCACGACATCTCAAAGACGTGCCGAGCCTAGTTCGTCTGTTGCGAATGGCGTGCTGCGTTGGAGCATTTCCGCAAGCGAGGTGGTCTGGCATTTGATGAACGAGGCATCTGCCCCATTGGTGGAGTTTCAACTTCAAAACGCTGTTTATGAGCGTACAGACAATACCGATGGATCCAACCACAATCTCGTGGCTATTGAAAGGCTAAACGGTTTGAACCTCTTGCCAGATGCGATCTATCCCCAGATCATCGCACCTTATCTCGATCAGCCACGAACGTTGGATGATGCCATGCTTAGAGTCAAGTGGCGTATGTTAGAAGCCGTTGCCGGAATTCCCGTGGTTGATGACTTTGAAGTTTCTCTATTCCCGCTTAAGATCCAGCTGGAGCGTGAGCTTGGTCACAAGCTTTTCGAATATGTCTTCCCTAATATGGGTTCCGGAGGATTTGGAGATGGCGGTTTTTCGCCTTTCAAGAACATCAAAACATTCGATGAGTCAGATGATGAGGACAACGACTCCAATGCTCCGTCGCTCTCTCAGTCAATCAGCGTCGACGATGACAATGTATCAATGGACGATCTATCTTTATCCAAGGGCCCTGGATCTATTGAGCTACGTCTGCAACCCACCCTCTCGCTTTCTGAAGAGGGAAAATCCAGCCGACGAAGCCATATCAAGGGTCTTCATATGACTCCTATCCATCGGAGCAATACTCAGTTGAACGTACCTGATCCTTCCCGAGGGTTGCCTCGCCCTGCGACCACCGGTAGCTTGTCGAAGAAGAAGTCTACTGAAAGCATCCGTATGCTGGTTAAGCGGCCTACCGATAGATCAATGTCTAGTCAAAGTGCGGGCGAAGAAAGGAAAAAGTTCGCCCTGCACAAGCCCAAGAGCGGCAAGTCCAAGGAACCCACTGATGACTTGTCGCAAATGATCTCCAGAGCCTCCAACTACATGACCATTGCACGCGTGAAAGTACATGACGTGGTTCTCAGCATGAGCTACAAGGGCAAGGGTGAGCACAACATTGAAGATCTCCACGACTTCGTTTTCCGTCTCCCAGTTCTGGAGTACGGGAACAAGACATGGTCGAATTTGGATCTTGCTCTGCGTCTCAAGAAGGATGTCATCAAAGCCCTCATCTCGCACGCTCCTGCCATCCTCGGAAACAAATTTTCCCACCACCGCCCTTCCAAGCAACAGCAGAAGAAGCTCCGCGAGCTTGCATCCTCGTCTCAACTTCTTCCTAACGCGGGAACTCTTATTCACCCCCCTCGAAGCAATCCTCCTAGTATGATCAGCTTTGACTCCAATAGCGAGTACTCCGAGTCTCCTTCGCGCAAGTCCATGCAGTCAAATGCCTCACCCTTAGCGAGATCGGTGTCTTTGAGCTCTGATGCCCGCGATAATCAAGATCCTCCAATCTCCGACTCGCGGTCTGCCAGTGGAGTGGATGTGGATTCTCGTTGGGAGGTTTGTACCCAAATTCCTCCTACCCACTAGGTTCATCTACTAACTCATCTTAGGAATCCCGTCGTTTTGTCAACGCACCAAGACCCATGACTGCTGGCAATCTGACTTCCGGCCACACAGTGACCACAGTCGAATCCTCTCGCTCCGAGCAGGATGACAGGTAAGAAAGAACCCGGCACGTACTATTATGTGGCAAATACTAATTCTGTTTCTCAGCCACAAAAACAACACAATCCGCAATCTTAGTCGGAAATTCACATTTCGGAAGGGATGATCGCTCAACTTTCACCAACCATCCACTTACCTCATTTTAATCCTCTACACCTCTACCTGTTTTAATCCCACCTCTGTGGCTTTCAACCTCCAGTCACATACCAATTCACTCTGTTTGGTCTTTACCGTGTCTCCTCTTAGATACCCTCTATGTGCAGCGGGGCCATATATCGGCGTTCATTTTTGTGTTCATTTGTATTTACTTATCTATTTTGGTCGGGAGGTGGGAGAGGGAAAGTGGGCTTTCTTTTCTCCCCCTGCGTTATCCACATTGTCACTATATCTCGGTTCTTCATTTTGGCCCTTTTGGCATGCATTGAGGGAGTAGAGGGTTGAGGTTTTTGGTCCTCAAAATTCATTTACCTTGCTGCTGCGCCATGCGCGGCTGGCAAGCGTGATCGATAGTTACTTCAAATGTTCCAAGATGATCAAACGTGTAGTACATATATGCACATGTGGTGTGACATCAATGGTCCAATTGAATTAAGTAAAATGTCTATATTTTCATTTTTCTCATATGCGTAAGTAATATCAATGGACAAGGATCAAGGGTATATACAACCGACAGAAATCGCAGACGGAAAACGTATTTGAAAATCACTCCAATGCCAATGTCGCCTGCTTCTATGACGTATTTCCATATGCAAACCAACATATGAACAATAGTATCCAAAATATCCAATATAGCCACCAAATGGGCCGAAAAATGAGAGTCAAAACTTCAAAGATATCATCAAGTCATGCGTTCTTACAGATTAAATTTTCAAATGGCTGTTCATCTGGTCGCCAGTGGTAGCAGTACTTGAAGTAGGCGCCTCGCCAGTCGTTTCGGCAGCAGGAAGCTCAGCTTTCTCGTCAGGAGCAGCGCTATTCGTCGTTTCTGCCGTACTTTCACCGAGAAGAATATACTCAGGCCTATGGGCATTAGCAGGAACACTAGGAGCCCCCGCAACGACCTTTTCAGCCTCGGGCTTCTGAGTCCCATCATGCGCGCCATCAACAGAAGGAGTCGACGGCACGCTCTGCTTCTCTCGGTTCCACGGTATAATCCGATCCTGGACAGAAGCGAAACGCGTGCGCGCAGTTGGCGCGTCAATATCGTCCACCCAGGGAATACCACCTTGTCCCCTATTCTCCGCCCAGGCCTTCTTTTCGCGGCGCAGATCACTCTGTACCCAGGGGATGGTAATAGCAGTCCAGACCAGAGCCCAAGCGAACGGAAGGGACCAGCCGAGCTATGTGACGTCAGTGTGGTTCAGAAAAGGGTTTGGGTTGGATTTTGGACGTACCGTGAATGCAACGGGCTCTGAGACTGTGAAGATAATTGCGGTGATGGCTGCTGCGCAGAGTATTGACCCCCCGCTCCAGAAACAGTTCATTTCGAATAGCATGCGGCGGAAGTATGGGCTGGATAAATATCGGGTTCGGAGGGCGTAGCGGTAAATTTGGCCACCCCCGCCGTCGACAGCGACGACATCTTCGATGAGGGCGTATAGTGCTGTTGGCATTACGGAGCCTTTGGGGGTGGAGGAGATGCGGAAGGGGGCTTTGAAGCCGGACATGCGTAGGATGTCGAGGACGAGGTGGACGATTCCGAAATAGAACATAACGGTTGGGAGGACCATAGCGACGAGGCGCACTATTTGCATGTTAGAAGATAGACATTCGTTTTATGTTTCTCTTGTGAATTTCTCTCACCGTATGGCTCTTGAGGTACGGTTCCACTGGTATTCGATTAGCGTTGTTCAAAGTAGCACATGATTGTTGTTGACATACACAATCAACTCAACAGCCAGAATGAGCCAGACGATAGTGAAGTTGATATGGAAAAAGTCCAGCTAACAATGCTTATCAGTATGCGCTTCGTCTTTCTCTCATGGAAGTTAAGCATACCCATGATTTTCGAGCATTCAGCGGCCGGGCGCGCGAGTTCTTACGGATGAGGTTGTGTAGACGATAGAAGTATTCAAAAACAGAAATACCTCCCAGACAAGCAGTGACAATAGAAAATACTAAGAAAACCATTAGCCATTCCATTCGCGGATATATTATCCTACGAAACCAAAACATACCCAAATTATGCGACAGATTGGTTCCGTACCATAGCCCCCAGTATAACCCGACCGGCTGGCCTAACGTATCAAGCACAAATATAGTCCAAAAAAAGGCGATCGACTTTTTCCTTGTGTGTAACGAATATGGGAGCGGAGGGGGTTCATCATGCACAGGAACAGTGTTTCTTTCGGGGTCCTCCATCAGCGTGGCGATGTGACGGATCGCGTTGGGGAAATTCGGATTGATCCAGGGGGATTTGTTGTCTTATCGATAGATACAGGATTTCTGGGGTACTTTAGGACATAGTGGGTTTCAACTGAGAGGAAATCCGACGATAAGATAGATATAAGGAGAAAGAAGATTGTAAGAAGGAGTACGAAAATAGGATGATCACTTGGTCTTAGCCAAAACGAGATTTTTAGTTCGCCAATGCCGGAAACGACGGATTGATACGGGTACCTCCGTTCACACACAAATTAAGGTGTGGGAGGAAGTACCTGACGTAAGGTTCTAGTGATGTCATTCCTTGATAAAACGGGTATAATCGCAGCACTGAGGTATGCATATGTACATAACTTCATGTCATGTTCTTTGTTTCTCTTACCTTGCATTGTAAGCTGATTCATATTATTCATGTATTTTGGATCATGCACATTTTTAATTGGTTCTATCATCTGGAAAACAAGTTGTATACATAGGATAATCATGTGTGTGCGCATTCGTATGGATTGATCGATGTCACTGGAGCTGTCATCCCTTGGCAATCTGCATGAGAAAACAGGAATCGGGATCCTAGGGGCCGACGGGGTTCGGGTACGCAGATCCCGAACAATCCCACACTAACTAGTAACAGCAATATACGGAGTACTTAGTTCTTAACTACTAATTGTCCCCTAGGTTGTTAACTTCTAAGTTGAATATTTCTGACTAAGCGGGTCTGCTTTCGAAGCGTGAGACCCGAAAATAGAGTTGTGGCATTTGTATTAGAATGCCGTGTAGCCGAGTACAATGTCGACTCGGATCATGCTGCCATCTGGAGAAAAGGTTTAATAAGGTGTTCAGACAATTGTACCGTAAAGTGTTCGACCGTGGAAGTTAAGAATAACGTGAAATAAATTATTTGCTTGGAAACCATGGACAGGACAGGATAACTACTAGTCAACTAGTTAGTAGTTAACTAGGAGTTTATTTGTAACCATGTGATGCCTGGATCTCAAGGTATCAACTATGGTCACGTTGAGATAAGAACCATATCAATGATAAGCGCAAATTCAAAGTGATCCGAGTTCGAACCTCAGTTTCTGCTTCGAATTCCATCCCTATTTTCACCCACCTTTACGCCTGCATCCCAGAGAGGAACTCTTCTTTTCTAATTCAATTTTCAATTTATTATGGACTAATCATGGCTCCCAGCTTACAGGAGCTGATTGCCTTTTTGCTGAATGAGGTCGCGCTATGCGGTAACCAAGGTGCGTATAGCTCTGCTACTCAAGACCCACTTTACTCGGCATGTCCATCCGGGCATTGGTCTACAGAATCCCGAATCTTTATTGAACGTGATCAATCACATTTGTACTTGTTTTACTGTCTCCTGAGCCATGTGGACAAAATATTCATAAAAATAATCCGCTTCACGAAACTAACTGTCTGCAGGTGCGACCTTGCAGGATGTCTTGAAAAGCATTGAGATATTCTATCGCAACTCATCCTGCGATGGTTCTGGGCGTCAACAGCTCGTGGATCGCCGTTTTCAAGCCAAAGTCTGGTCATGGTTGACACGAAATCCTGAGGTGTCTGTGGGGATAGGCAAGGAGTGGAATCACCTCAGCCTCGATGAACTTGAAAAGCTCGATCAATCTATTCCGCCTCAAAAAGACGCCGAAGGAGATACTGAACAGGATCAAGACAATTCGACATCGGCTCCCACGAGAATCCCCATCTTTGTCTCCAAAGAGAGGGCCTGGTATGCAGTTGCCGGTCATGAACCTGATGACAACAAGCTTCCAGCGTCGGAGTTTTTGTTATTGTCTATTATAGCTGCTCGCAAATCGGAGGGTATTCCACAGACCGAATTGGTCCAAATTAGTGGCCAAGACAAACGATCGGTGCCCAAACGAACAGACGCACTGGTCGCGAAAGGATACATTGAGAAGCGTGCAGTTCAAGTCAAGGCGGCTCGCACTAGTCTGTTGACTCTTCGTCGATTTTTGAATGCACCGAGCGCTCAGCCTAGTGGCGAAAACGCAACTGAGGCAAGGCCAATGATTGATTTCCATGATTTTGCCAATAAGCTGTTTGCGGCTCTCAGGGATAACAATGGTACCATGACACGGAACGATCTCAAAAAAGTCTTAGGGATCGAGGATCTCTGGAGGTCGCGCATCCTCTCTCGAACTGTTCGCAAGTATGAAAAGATTGGAGTGCTGAAGCGAGTGAGGGTGAAGTCGCAGTACGATATGATGCACCCATGCGTGATGCTACTAAGAGAACCCACAGCAACGGATGTTCAAAAATGGTTCGAATTCAGCAAATATGGTTTTACGAGAGGTGATGATGATCCAGCAGATTTAGATGAAGAAATGGATCTGGAGGCCGATGCCACAGAGCAGATTGTGGACGAGCCAGGAGAAGGCGACATGCAAGTCAAGAACGAGCGCGTCGTCGATTCTGGACGCATTGTACCAGTCTGGACACCCGATCGCATGCTGGGCAACCAGCTGTTTGACATTATTGACAAAGCCGGCACGTCTGGAATCACCAATGATGTTATCAATCGGACTTGCTTTGGGCATTTCTACAAGCGACCGTCCGAAAATATGGTCCATCGTCTGACCGACTGCTGGCAGATTTCTCAGCCTCCTCATCTTCGACACCTTGCAATTGTCCGGGACTCCGATGTGCACAAAACCATCATCTATTATGTTCATTATTCGGCGAGGAATTTTGCCAAGAAGGTTATGGAGGGGACCGCGTTTTGGGAGGCTGTGGAATTTCCAGCAAAGAAAAAAAAGTCCAAGACCGAGCTTCCCCCGGTTCATGCTCCCGCTCATCTTGACCAATATGGGCTTCCCCATAACAATATGCCCGCGGGCATGATGAAAAAGGGAAACATAAGCTTATTCGAGGGTCTTGCTACCTGCAAACCGATGGACTACAGTCTCACCCGCAAGGATCCCATGGGGGTACTACACCCGGATGGTTCATACCGTAAGTACCCATCTGCTTTTCTTTTGAACTTTCTGACAGCAAAATTGTTTCAGGAGTCCAACCCGGTAACACAATCTCCCTTGAGGGGTTACAGCAATTACGGGGCAACAAAAAGGGCCGTAGTAGCCGCCCCCCAAAGAAAATGAAGAAGGAATCTTCTATTATCTCGGCACCTGATGAGGTCGACGTAGTCATGGAAGACAATCTCCCAGTTCTGTCTTGGGGGCAAGGCAGGCGTCAAAAGAAGCGGGATAAATATGAAGGCATGTCCCAAAAAGAGCGATTCGAAGCTATGGGCTGGGATGAGACATGGTCTGAGTACAATGCTCTGGTCATGGAAAAGCCCAGAGCCGGAGTCTATGTCACTCCCCATGGAAAGCGCAGACCTGCGGGAAGAAAACAGGGCCGCCCGAAGGCGAGCCGAATCGCAGTTTTCAAATCTTCAAGGCTGTCCTCTTTGCCTTGGTTCATCAAGGACGACAATGATTTGGATAATGGGGATGCGATGACTCCTGCAGTTACTACATCCGAATTTGCTGACACCCCTAGGCTGGTGACTGAGGAACCCGTTTCACGTCAACCCAGTGAGCCAATTGAGTCTACTCCGAGCCGGCAGAGAGGCAAGCGAGCCTGTCCGATTGCAGATGTCCTTGACTCACCAATTCCATCGGCAAGCGATACTGCACTCAATGGCTCCAAAAGAAGACCTATAAAGCAAGCTCGCATTCGTGGGCCTGACGAGAGTGAGGCGCGTCAGGTTGCCTCCAGGTCTCCAGAGCCGAGTAATGGATGGGCTGCAGTCGATTTGATCCCGGCAGTTACCCAAGGCACCACACCTATGGCGGGATCATCCAATGGTGCGGAAGCCGAAACACTATCGCAGAACAACGGCATCAAAGCTCCAGAGAGAAATAACACCATGGAACCTCCTTCCAGATTGGTCACACCAAAGCCTACCCTCGTGCATCTTATCCCTATGAGCAACACGCCAACGGAGAAGAGCGGAACCCCTATGAGTGAAGCCTCCAAGACACATGGCTCAGCTGACCGGGGTGGCTCTATACCATTCCTGCGAAGAAAAATTGTCATGGATATTGTCGAAAAAGCTGGCGGTGCATACCCTGGTGGCGGTGAGCTCTGGAATCCATTCACGACTGCATGGATGAAGATGAACCACAAAGAACGACCAGACATGCGAACTGTGCGCGCAACGATCAAATACCTGGTCGATTCTGGCAAACTGATTCAGTTGACCTTTACTGGAAAGGATTGCAGAGGTACAATGGTTACAAAAACCATTTTGAGAAAACCAGACATGGATGCAGAGGACCCCTTAGTCTTGAAAATGAAAACCGAGCTGCTTGCGCAGAACCACAATCCCAAAGTTGTCTTCTCGCCTCACATCGAAACGGACCAAAGGATCTCGCGAAATGGCGGTAGTTTTGGCCCGACTGGCCAAAAGTTCCAAAAGTTCTCGTTGCCTACTGTATCTGATGCTACCGTTCATCTCCGTTCAAAGCCTGCTTCCGTTCTCGTTCAAGAGAAGAAACGAGGCCTAACGGTACAGAGGAAGCTAATGAGAAGGTTGGCAATGGAGGAAGAAAGTGATTATTCTGAAGATGACCTGGACATGTTTGAGGATAACTTTGACCCGAGATTTGGAGTCCAACGACTCATGAGGTTCCCACCTCAACTGGGCTCTGGGAATATGACATCTCTCTACCGTCCCATGCCAGGTGGTGATATGATGCCGACTATGTCTAAATTCAGAATCAAAATGCCGGTTATCAGGCAGAGACGGCTTCTTACCGGGCTTGAAGCGATGAAGATATTGATGGACCCAGGACAGATGCTCCATGACTCTACACACACATTTTCCACGGGATCTATCAAGCGTCGTTGGGGAGGTAAAGACTCTACATTTGCAGATACTAGTGTCACCAGACACTTCAAGTTCGCTGATGCTGTCCAAGATCTTACAAACCTGGCACAACAATCCGATGACTTGGGTGTAACGACGGAGGCACAAAAATTCGGGTCGAGAATTGACAGGATCTTGGAATGGGAGCTTGAAAACGACGAGATGGCTCATTCGAAACTCGACGATCATCTTTTCATCGTGCATACTGTCGACGGAAGTTTTGAGGAGTCGCCAATAAAACGACCAATTGTCTTTGATGTCGATCAGGTTGCACGATCTACCAAGTCCCGTAGAGCAAACATAGTCACCAGGGGACTGTATCACCGTCGTCAACGTCGTCGCAAACACGAAGCCGGCTCACGAACTGTCCCCGGCTTTGATCGAAATGGCAATCCAGTGCAAGTGCGCGTTGCTCCGCGTCGCCGGACAACTTTCAAACCACTTCCTGAGGGAGTTGTCCGGAAATACATGGTCGCCATTACGGCTGTTCGAACACTGGCCGGTGGACTTGAGGGAAAGATTGTCGATTGGGACCTTGTTCCTCTTGCTTTTCCTGCCAGCGAGCCAGATTTCGTTCAACACCACGGTAAATCGATCCTCGCCCGGAACCGGATGGAAATTCATAAGATGCAACGCGATTTCCAGGAGCGATTCCTCCGGGCCTACGAGAAAAAACAGGTGCCTCGAATTGACTACGACAACCTGGCTGGATACAACTGGCCGGCCGTGGTTGAATGGGCGACCATTGAACTCGAATTCTCTATATCTGAAAAGGCTCCTACGCTCCCTGCAACTCGGGAGCAGTTTGACAGCCTGTTCGAGCTCCGCGAAGAACCCGTCACCATTGCCGAGGAAGTTCACGCCACCACAGGATCTCTCACCATCGCCAACAGAAGGCGTCTAATGGGCCGCGTACCATTTGTTGTTGAACAACCTCGCTCCACCACCTCAATCCCCACCAGACAAGACATCAAGCAGCTCGAAGTCGCCAAGACATGGGTTCGTGCCAACATCACCACACCCACAGATCGATACAACGCCCCCGCAGCCACCGAAACCCTAGCCCCATTCGGAGAATCCCTCCTCTCCGCCGCAACCCAATACCTAATGACCGACCGCATCATCTGTAACGCCAACCGCGGCCGCGTCACCCCAGGTCGCAACTACATGCTTCACGACAACTTCCTGCAAACCATGGAACGCCGCCGCGCCATCGATGGCGACCAACTCGCACGCGCAGCAGTCTTCAAAACCACAGTCCTCGATCCCGCCCTCCAAACCTCAGGATCCTTCACAATTAACTACCACGCCGGAGATGGCGACGCCCTAGCCGTAGACGAACTACTCGCGAATCACTACATCGAACTAATCCCGCGCGACCTCCCGCGCGAGAAATTCGGTCTGGTGGACGGCGGCGCATACCTCACTCGACAAATGGACAAAAACCGACTACGCTTCGAGATGGAAGTCCGTCCCTTACCGGCATATGTATATGGAAACCCAATCTACGATATCGTGAAGGGCACTTCCCCTCCACTTCCACCCGCATCGGGACATTTGCCGCTCTGGTTCGATATCCATGGCTGTTTGATGCGTGATTGGTGGCATAAATCTATTGCGGCGGTGCTAGGGTGTCTTGTTCTGAGGCCTGGGGTGTCGATTGAGAGTATTGCTGTTATGGTTAAGCCGGGTTTGATGAAGTGGGAGATTGAGCTTTTGCTGGAATGGTTGTTGAAGGTGAATCTTGTAGAGAAGTCGGGTGATCCGACCCGGCCTTGTTGGAGTGTGAAGGAGTGGTGGTGGATGGCTTTGGGTGAAATTGCCCAGTCAGAATGATGACTTTCTAAAGTTCTTCAATGTATTATCTATTACCCATAGCACCACCCAAGTGCAATTGAACATCAAATTTGAATTGGTTCCAATTACTGAATTATCACATGTGCAGTTAATAATTCAGATCTAGGAATGAATGTTTACTTTCTACAGGTATCTATATTCGCAGTATAAAGATGAGATGAAAAACAATAGAATGACATAACTTGCTCAAGACATGACCGATCTATAAAACCAGAACCAGAACCAGACATATTCTAAAACGAACCCACTCCGAAGCCCGCTCCGAAGCTCTAATCATACAAAGCCCTAGTTAGGGGATGCAAACACCAGCATTCCACTCAGTAGCACCAACGCACTGCCATCCATCACAGCAAGGGGTACCACCATTCTCGCAGGCAACCTTGTAGTCTAAAGAAAGTCAACTAACTATGTTTTCGTCTCTATCAGATGAACTCACGGCCAACGCAAGTGCGTTTCTCGAAGGCATCGGGGTAAGGAGAGGCGGCGGCAATGGCGACCAGGGTAGCGATGATGATGGTGGTGAACTGCATTTTGATTGTCGATTAGAGATTGTAGTAGACTATAGTAGACTGGATGGATTGGATTGGATTGAGTTGATTGATGATGTTTCTCGAGGAAATGGATAGTTATTTATGCTTCTACTGAACTACGTAGAATTTCCTTATTCAGCGTGAGTGTGAATGTGAATTTGCCTCCCAGCTATATCTTCCTACCTAGGATTGATGATGTTTCAAGATCGAGAGAGACTCTTGGCATAAGACGGAGATGATCCGCTTACCTGTTCAAAGTAAGCGGTGCCAGACCTAAAGCCATGCTATTACCAAGATAGGATATCTGGATATCTGAATATCTGGATATTGACGACTGCATGCTCCCTAACTTATGGAGAGATCTTCATAGTAAATTGATTGTTCTAACCACCAAAACACCGAATAGAGTAACCAAAACCGTAACTATCCAAGACAAAAATTACTATATGTGCAATACAAAATTGAAAATTGCCCCGATTCCGTAAGCGCCAAGCTGTATGAATGTAAAGTGAAAAGAAAAACAGATGTGGCAGATGTACCACTACAGATCGTCTACGTCCAACGTCTGGCGTAGGATCAGGATGATCAAGGCGAATACAATAACCACGATGGCTCGATCTAGCCATGGACTGTTTGCTGGTTCTGAGGAATGTGTGATAGTTGCGGTTGCAGGTACAGATCGAGCTTGAAGAGCAGTGGGCGGAGTGGATGAGTGACTTGGTAATGTTGACGGAGTAACAGCAGCAGTAGGTGGTGATCGCGGAGCTTCGACCAGTGCAGCAGATTCAGATTCAGATTCAGGTTGAGGTTGAGGTTGAGGTTGAGGTTGAGATTGAGGTTTAGTTTCAGTTTCAGGTTCTTGTTCAGGTTGCAGCTGTGGTTGCGATGGTAAAGGCGAAGTCGACTCAGTAGCAGCAGTCCCAGCCTGCTCTTCCACCTTCTTCGCATCCGCATCCCCAAGCCCCTCAACATCAACTTCAACCCCCTTTTCAACACAGATCCCCCACCAATCCCTCATAATTTCCCCATTACTAACCCCACACTCCCTACAAGCCCACTCCGAACTAACCTTCGCATACTCCCTCCTAAGCTCCGTACTACTCTCAACCCCGCCAACCTGCCCCTTACTTTCACCCCCCATAATCTCCGACCGAATCGCCAGCAACGCAGTCCTCACCCCCCAAGCTGGCTGCCACGTTTCCTCATGATGGCCAGAGATACTAAGACAGATCTCGCGGTTTACTTCGAAGCGGCCAGATGGTGTTAGGAAGCGGAATGAGGGGGGTCGGAGGGGGTAGGTTGGTGGGAAGGTTATGCGCCCATGGTAGAGGCCGCCGGCGTAGGGGGTTGGTGTGGGGGGGGCCAGCTAGGGTGAAGTGCCAGTCGTGAAGGTTTGTGTCGGAGATTGGGGCGGCTGTGAAGTAGGGGCTTGGGTTTTTGTGGATGTCTATTGATTCTTTGAGGAGGCGTTTTGTGGAGGGGCTTGTCATCTTTTAAGTCAATGTGAGGTTCAATGCTCGTTGGTTCTGGTTGAAGGTTGGGTTGGATAAGGATAAGATCATTGATAGTGATTAGATTGAGTTGGCGATCTGTCTATGGGTCATGTGACCAACAGGTACAATACGCAAAATAAATGAAGTCATAGATGGAAATTCGACATTAGACATCACCTCTGTAATATATCTGCTAGGATTACATGAAGATGCCATCTTCAGTTCGCTTGATCGCTGAAACGCCGACAATGCAGTCAAGTCAATCCACAAGGCATGGGAAATAGATGAGTGACAAAATGAGACGAAATTCATTCCCAATCTCGCCACTCATCCGTATCCCGCGCACGCGCAGGACGAGACGCAGTCTCTGGATCCAAAAGTCCATTACTCTCGATATCTGGCTCATCTTCATAATCACTATCGCCTGGCCGGGGCCGTGGAGATGCGGGCGCGAGGGTCTGCATCGAGACGCTTGTTGGGGGACGTTCATGTGGTTCCTGTCGGTTCCGATTGGCGATCCAGCTGGGTTGGGCTGGTGACATGCTGGTTCCAGCACCGGCGACGCCATTACCACCACCATTTCCAGTGCCAGCGCCAGCGCTAGCTCCGCCGATCCAGGCGTGGCTGTTATCCATATTCCGTTGGTATAGGTCACGGTAGTACTGCTGTTCGTCGTATGCTTCCTGCGCACGTTGGAGACGAAGCCGTTCGCGGGCTTCGAGGAAACGGGGGCTCGGTTCCCAGCGCCACCCGTCGCCGGTGGTTGTGCATATAGGAATAGCCCAGAGGAGGGGGCGGTCACCGAAGAGGTGTTCGAGATTCTTGCGCCAGCCGTGATCGAATGCGCTGGGTGTCTTCTCGCTATCTTCTTCGTTGAGATAATCCTGGTACCGGTCGTGTTCGCGTTGACGCTCCATATCCGCATAGGAGCGGGAAAGAGCCTGCTGGGCGGGAGTGAAATTGTTTGAATTGTGCAAGTTCGGACCCTGGCCTGGACCATAGGGCGCGGGCGATAGGCGCTCTTCGCCTTCTTCCGCACGGGTCACGCCCGGAATAGCATTAGCGTGCGCATCGATGATTTGATTCCCGTATCCCTGAAGCCGGTGGCTGAGACTGTCTTGTGATAAGTCATTTGAACCGTTGGGTCCAGATTCGTTGTCGAATCGTCGCTCGAGCGCTTTGCGTAGCGGTGAGACATATCGCGTCTTCTCTAGACATTCAATAGTTGTCACCCCGCGCACTGCGAGACTGATGTGCCATGCGGTAAACCCGCTCAAAACCAGGCCGATTATTCCACCTAGAATAGCTAGCAAGACGACGTTGACCGGCAGGAAATTGTCCATGTACACTGTATCGTTGAGGACTTCCTGCCAGGTCCACGTGCCTGCCACAGCGAAGCATACCCAGCAAAACAATGAGGTGTAGATCAGAAAGAGCAGGAAAGCTTTGTAATTATGCAACCCGACACATGTTGCCAGCCAGGGACAGTGGTGGTCCATTTTGAGCACGCAGCGCTTACATGTTGAGCAGTGATGCGCTCGATCCGGTTTGGGGCACTGGCATTTCTTGCAGTATCGTGATCCACCTGTAGAGCTGACCGTGTACGATGTGAATTCTGGAAATTCAAATTCAGTGACCGGCAGCGCACTATAATTGTGTCGGTCATTTCCTCGGCGCGTTGACAACGGAGATCCCGGATCGGTGAAGACGGCAAATGTATACGAAGCGTTAAGTGCGATGTATAACAGGAGTCCGAGTAATGTACTTGGGAGACCTGCAAAATAAAAGATCGGAACCATTAGTTGTTTCCATCCAACATGGGGATAATTGAGTCCAGAATTGCTTGTCCATACCAATCCATTTACTCTGCGACCCTTTTAACCCAAGACTAGCCTCCACAAAAACCGCCCAAGTCGTAAGTCCATACACAAACGCAAGCGGGAAACAGCTGGCAGCTGCACAACAGTATCGTTCACATCGGAGCATCCAAGCTCGTGAGCGCCGTTTCGGCCATGACGGCGAGGTCGGGGGAGACGAGGCCAAGGTGGCCATTTTTAATGCTGAAAGGCGCGGACGCTAAGAGAAGAGGATGTGCATTTGCACATATGTGTTGATGAAGCGGGATTATTGTTATGAAGGACAGACCTGTACGGTCGAGTGAACGACCTAGGATGTCGCTGAAGATCGGGCGCACCGGACTGCGTAAGCGGTCCTGACTCAGCCACTGTACAGCCACCCCAGTTTTAAGTTCGGATCCGTAGGGCGGAAGTGGAGATTTCAATGTTTTGTTCCTGTTATGTTCCAAGGTTTGATTGACATGGATATCTTAACTGGCGTAATTTCATGTATATTCTGGATCCAGTATGTGAAGTATCCAAGTAAATTGTCATGGATATGCATTTGTTCAAATTCTATTTACAGTTTCCCACTCTCAGGGAAAACATAGATAAACGCCTAATTCAATATACCAAAAAGGCGGTTATGAGCTACCGGATGTGCTTGTAAGCTGTAGGGTACCTTCCTTGCACCAACCGTGAACAGGCTGTAGAGCATAATTAGCAAATATTCAAAGCATCCCAAGTGAATATCACATACCAGACAGCTCAGACGGTAGCACCAAGAGCAGTTCGAAGAGGGGTATTTGTAGAAATCAATGATAAGCAGAATAAATCCAACCAGTACAGCGACGAGAGCGCCAGTACGGACCAACCACCATGCCCACCATAAGGGCTTCCGATCCTTGAAGAACGCCAAGGGACCCTTTGGTACACCGGCATTGGCATCACCGTTCGGCGCGATCTTATTCCCCTTGCCTTTGAAGAAGTCCATTAACGAGGTGGTTTTCCTGCCCTCCGGGCTATCAGGACCAGCGCCACCAGACATGGCAACATACGGCTGGCGGGCTAGACCAATACGTTCCCGAAGAGCATTGGGGGATCGCAAGATAGTCAAGCCTAGAGCGAGACCCATAGTGAAACCACCGATATGGGAAAAGTTGTCAAGACCGGGAAGAAGACCAAGCACAAATGAAATGGCCACACCCAGAACCATGATGAGAAGTTCCACCCAGGGAGATGGGCGGTTGGGCCAGTCATACAGCAAGTCCAGCAACTGGAGAGCCATAATACCAAATAAGGCACCCGAGCAGCCGTCACTAGCCTCTAACTGAGCGGCGTAGTTTCCGCCCAGCACGAACCCAAATATACCACTGGCAAAGTAAACGAGTGTATATCTCCAGATTCCAATCATCCGTTCCATCTCGGCACCCATGGTCATCTGCACCAACAGATTGCACCCAATGTGAATGAATCCAGCGTGAATAAACATGGGTGTGATGAAGCGCCACCACTGATTCGGGGCGGGAGTATCATCAAGACTGCCATAGGCATGATTATTGGGAACACCGTTAAAGCCACATGCCTCCGAGAGGGTGCATTCGGATGCAGTCGACGTGGCATTCGGGCACGGGAAGTAGATAGTCTCATTGGCGTTTTGAATGCCGGGGATATTTTTCATGCAGGGATCGTAGCGGGCACCCATCCAGATCTGAACGTAGGAGGAGGGGCCGATCATCACGTTAAAGGAGGGTTTGGTTTCGATAGGTGAGCCAGTAAACTCGGCTGGAGATAATTAGCCATTGAATGCCAGTTTCAGACAAGTCGAGGATCACTCACCGGCCTTGACGAGTTCCACGATAAACACGACGATCTGAACCAGTGTGAGAGTCCAGGTTACCCATGCGGGCTTTTTTTGGAAGAATCCCTTCTTCCGTCTGTTCTGTCCCCGCCGGGAGTCCTCCAGGGCCCCTGGTGATTGCGGCGGGTATTGAGTTTGCTGATGCATCCAGTCTGGATTGTTCCCATACTGTGTTTGAGCTTTTAATGGAATATTTTCTGCGTAGTGATCGCCTTCTCCGACTCGGCCAGTTGTCTGGTAGGCGCCATTTTCTGATGCAAGTGATTGTTGACTCTCGCGGTTGTGATAGGGGGCGGAATGGTCGTCGCGGTTGGCCAAGTTGGGGGCAGCATAGCCGTATCCAGGGGCGAAAGAAGTTGCATGGTCTTGATGTGCTGGATTGATCTGATCGTAGCTTGGTGGGCTAGGGATATTGGAGTGATAGTATTCGTTGGCTGCCATGGTGGGCAAATTGCCGAGGTTTGGCGGGTTGAAGCGATCGGGGACCTTAAATCATAAACGTGACAGGTACAGAGTCAATTTAGAATGAACGAGAGTCCTAAAAGTAGTCAAAGTAAAGCAATAAAAAGAGGGTTGGGGTGAAGTTCAGAAAGACAAAATGTTGAAAGAAATGAGAAGGCAGTAACTTAAGTTATTTTTGGGCTGATCAACACAGCCGCGCGTATCGTCATCTCCTTTTAACATTCACTTGGCAAGACATTTTCATTCGCTGTACGGACCCAATTGTAATTCTTTATGCTCTTGGCCACGGGAACTGTCTTGTCTGTGCAACTCAATCTTCTCTTAATTATTTTGCCCAATGTGTTGTCTGTTGTCCCATTACGCACACAATCTGAGCCTCAATGCCAAGCGCGCTATTCAAGCCTCAACCACAGACTACGAACAACGATTGCGTACGATGAAAACATGGGTATTCACTAATTGATCAAATTCTAGTAGTAATCAGATCCAAGGGTATAGTGAAAAGATGGAAAGAGTTGAGTGTTATATTCTGACTGTTCGGGTACGGTGATCGCCGCTAAAATTAAGAATAAAAAGGGTAAGAAGGGTAAAACGGGTCTATAGGGCGGACATCAAAATTCCGACCGGAGCAATTGACCAGTGCACGGTTCTAAAATCAAAAAGTCAAAAATTCAAACACATGAATGCCGCCAACTCGTATTAAAAGGGTGTATAGGAAAATCGGAATCACCAGGGTGTCCGGACGTAAGAAAAATCATTTGAAAAGGCGCAGAGTATGCAATATTCCCTTGCAGCGGCCCTTGTAGCCGCAGCCCATAGTAAGACATGTTGTAAGGAATACCCCTGGGGGCAGGGCCAAGGGCCTCAAGTGCTGTCACGATGCGATAGCTGCCTAGTAGGCGACCAAAGGCGAACTGTGATTGACGTGCTTGTCGAGGATCCCTATTGTCCCTTGCTCATCACTGTGCCCTGTCACCAACCACGTCAGGCGAGTGAACTTGTGATATAGAATTGCCGGAAAGTAGAGAGCAAGTGCCCATGATAAGAGCATAAAGACGACCACCACAATAAGGTTGACAACACATTTCTCGCCCGGTGTCATCACATATAGCCCATAAGTCACCTCATACCGGTAGTACCCAAGTCGGAAGCTGTCGATCAGGCCTTGGAGGGGATTGCTCGATGTCCGCTTTATGTATAACGTGGTCGGCGTGCTCGTTATCGTCGAGGATGAGTATTTTTGAAAGATTCTGTCCATCGAGGCATGGGACACGTGCGGGGCTGTGGATGAAGTATAAAGGGATTGCGTCTTGGTCGTCATGACGTTATGTATCGCGAATCGTGATCTCCAGGAAGCTTGAGGAGTCGAGTGGAGCCTTAGGTATATATGGATTTCTTTGAATATTCCCAGGTTGATATATTCGGTAGGTTCTTTCGTTCCCCAAGGAAAATACCGCGAAGGGTCCCGGGGAAGAAGTCCATGCCCGATCCTGGTATAAGAAGGGTTGTCCGGCGGATGTTCGGAGCTCAGCGGATGAAGAAATCGGCAATAAATTGGTAGATTCCGAATGGATTCCGAATCAAGGAAACCCAATGAATTAGATAATCTGTAGGTTCCAGGTTTTTTTGTGAGAGTGGAACCACAGGAATGCAACTAGTATTTACATATCGTGCTGGAACAATTCCCTAAAAATTGACGAAGTATGTACGTATACTTGCTCCTTAGGGCTGGAAAAAGTGGATCGTGAGAAGCCACCAACCTCGGTCGGAGTTCCTTTGATGTACTGCACTTTTCTTTCATCCAACTCTCCAGATCGTGCACTTGATTTTCTTGAAAAATGGCTCTCAAACAGGACGCCAAATGTGCACTCGTGTCAGCGACGAGACGGAATGGCCGAACTTGGTGAAAAGTCATGAGAAATCATTATCTATCGTACCTTTTACTATGCCGATATGCGGTGGGGCAAGTCTGTCAAGCGACTGGATAAGTTTACACAATGGATACTCCTCGATGACGAAACAAATACTTGTAAGAGGATGGTCAGGCTAGAATGAATTGTTTAATGATTGGTTTGACCCCTTGTTGGAGGCATTATCGAAAGAGGAGATCTGGCGGTATGATTTCTGGGCTCCTGGTGCCTGAGCAATGAAGTTTCTATCCCGGAAGTTTTTGGAGTATCAGAGGCTAGTTTTTTTGATAGACGCCACCGGAAGCTTATCAATATCAAGTCTCTTCACGGAGATGTATATGGCTTCCAAGTTAGAAGTACCTCAAGCATTTGACAGAAGCTTTGACCACCGATTCCTATATGAAGCAGTAGAAGAGTGTCATCAAAGTTCAATTGATGGTTTATCTGTCTATACCTACAGATTTTTACTTTATATGATAGTCTTGTTTCATTCAAATGTTGTAGCTTTTAATCTATTTTTATCACAAGTTTCATCAAGCCACACTATATACGCCACTGGTGGCTGAATGTGATGTCACTCCTCAATGTACCTTTCTTCCCCGCGCAGGACCGAATCAACAACTCATCTGTATCAAACAATCCCCAACCATGGACGCTGACGCTGAAAATCCGCTCGTTAAAGCCTTGCCCCCGGCGACTGACTATCTAACCTACCTGACACTCCTTGAATATCAACTTACACCCGAACGTCTGCCGCTGTTGCACCGCCTCCTCCAAGATGAGAAGCTTACCACCAACATTGGTTGGGACCTTATAAATCTGCTTCTCCCTATGTTGCCAGAATCCACAGACTGCCTTCACGATGTGGCAAGATTTGGGAATCCCCGCGAGGTGATTCTGCGGGTATCAGAGGCCTTGATGCAGCTGCAGCCAGACGACGAGGATGATGAGGAATTTTCAGCTGATGAATCAGAAGAGAAGCACCTTCCGAAACATACTCGCCAATTCAATTGTATGCTAGCAATGTTGTCGGAACTTCATACACGCATTAAAACGAAATCTCCCAGTCGTTTTATCGCGACCTCGCTTCAAGCGGCCCTAGAGGCGTACACGTCCATGCCTAGCGATGAGACGACACTAGCCTTCCTTGAGTTCCTGCGAGACCTTTCACCAAACAAGCGACCAGCACCGCCCCCACGATCGGACAGTCAGTCAACTGTTCTACGGGTCAACTCACTCACATCTGCCCCAGATCCGGAAGCGGAGGGGGCCCCGGCTGTAGCCAACGAGGCCATTCTGGTTGAAAAGTTTATCCAGTTCGGTCTAATTGAGATGCTTAAAGTTTATTTGTTGAGTCACTCGAGTCCAATGGATCCAGGAATGTCTTGGACGGTTCGGATGCAGGAGCACTTCCACCCGGCGTTGAAGTTGCCTGATCAGTCCCAAACACAGGCATATGCCAGCACCAAAGAGCTCAAGGAACGCGACATGATCATGGGAAAGATAATTGTATGTGGAAGACACTAAAGTGCTCCAGTAATGATTGAAATGCTAACCTTGCGTCTCTTCAGGCTCTGTCGCGAGACGTTGGAATTGAAAATGCCGACCTTCTATCCATCATATCCAGCTCTCCTGAAGCTCAGCCTCAGCCCCTCGACTTCGAAGAGCCTCCAACCTCCCCAAACGAGATATCATTGGAACGTCACGGCTCGTTGTTACTTCTTGCAGCTCGAGTTGCTGGTGCAACTTTATTCACATCTGGCCAATCTGGACCGAGGATACCCATCTTCCCCGACCTAGCTGTGATCTATCAGAACTTCCTGGGAAATACCGACAGCTTGGATGAAGTTGCTTACGGACAACCGCAAGCCCTCATCGATTCGCTCTTAGCTTTGACCGTCTTTTCCCTGCAAGAACCAATCACTACACCATCCAGCGACATAGAGTTCAAAGATTTTGTCATCACCCTGACGGCCTGTACCTCCAACAAGGAGTATGGTATTGTGCGCCAAATTCCGGCGATCATTGTACACAGCTATCCATCTGAAACCGCGCGATTCAAGCTCATCCGAACTATCTTGGAGGATGATCGTCTTCAGCCTGCTCGGGATAGCGCTGTTTCGTGGTTCAAGGACGAGATCATCGGTGCTACCTCATCTGACAACATATTCCACGACCCTCTCCACTTCTGGTCCCTTTTCCCACTACTCTTCCGGACAGTCAAGACTGCTACATCCTCTAAGATCGTCGATAGCTGGATCAACCTGACACAGACTGAAGGTCCAGCTCTCCACTCCGCGCTGAGTCTGTACTTTTATCTTCTATCCTCATCTCTCCGGGATCAATTTGATCTAGCAAAGACCGTTGTTAGCTTCCGAAATGAGGTTCTTGCGCCTCTCCGAACCCTCTTCCGTACCTATGAGGCGGATCTTACTGCCAACGGGGGCGATGGAATCGTCGAGTCGGCCGTTGGCGAAGAGATGGCTCAGGTTGGGCTTGCTCGGACTGTGGGATTGATTGGTCTCACACTTGATCAAATTGAAGATGCGACTAGTGAGGCTTATGGGACGGATGATTCGGATTTGACTAGCTACTCTGAAGCGGAGGAGGCTAAGGCCGCGGAGATTCGTAAGGAGACTCTGGTTTGGAACTAGGATATCTACATCTATTTCTTTCTAGATCTACAGCGCTGTGAATATTACTTTCTTTCAAAATTTCTTTCGATCTGGGATGACTGTATGAGAAAAGAGAAAAAGAACCTTGGAAAAAAAAAGTTATCCGGACACGCGGAATCGAACCGCGGACTTTCTGATAAACTGAAATTCTATTACAGTCAGATGCGATAGCCAACTACACCATGTCCGGATTATTATTCGAGCGACCTGGAATACTCATTAAGTACCGCAATTTTCATGTTTGTGTAAAGAAAAAGTGGAATTGCGGAATTACGGACTTTAACACGCTCTATAGTCAGGATGTAATATATAGGAGATTTCGACATTTTTTCAATCTGTGGAGAGGTCCACTGGATTAAGGTAATGGATATGAATACGTCATCAATTCTGGTTTTATTCATGTTGTACTCTGCTAGCGCCACTTAAATGCTGCATGAAATCATTCAAGTTGCCCAGTTCATCGGTTGCCATATTATTAAGATATGCAAGACCTGCCTCTGGTTGATCTGCAATATCCAGAGTTGCCGTTAGGAGCCACCACAATTCTTCAGCGTGTTTGGGATAGCCGAGATGAAGAAAATGCTTCTGGTCAAGTGAGACGGTCACTGAATCCCATATCCGTTTCCAATTCTTAGCCCCACGACTGATTGTCTCGAGTGGAAGGAATTTCAAAAGTCCTGTTCTTGTTTGAAAGGCAAGGGAACTCATGGCTTGAATACTAATTAGTGCTGTCATGAGCATTTGCGGTCTTGTCGGTTAACATACCGTATATGAGAATCAATAGATTTTCCGCGGACAACGCAAGACTCCATGGAATGGGGGCCTCTGATTCCGGGGTTTCTAATAATTGTGTGACCACGTCTCGTAGAGGTGGTATGGGAAGTTCGGTAGATTGTGTTGCCACAATCTGAGCGAAGGAGGCCGAATCCTCGGCTTCCCATAGCTCGGCGCACCAGGGCAAATGGCAATCCATTTCAAAAATCGACAAAGCTGGGTGATTCTTAAAACAGACTGTGAGGAACCCATCGGCTAAGAAGACCCAGCACGCAATTCTGTTTATTATCAGCAATATTCAGAGATGAATATGATAGGTTGACTTACCGTATACACACTTCCTCGGCGACAAGAATCCTCCATGTCCGATCGTCGTGTGTTGCAGGTGCAGTGCGTCGCTTCAACTGAAAAATTCCCAATGACCGAATCGTGGACACCAAGAATGGGTGCCGCATTATACGAATGCGACGCCTCGTTTGCATATCATCACGGCCGAACTGAAGCATTTCCATGACGAGGGCGGCTTGTACCAACTGCACCGTGGGCAGGATATGCATTCCATCCTTTGAGGTTGGTGTTTTCGTCAGGTTCAGAATCTTTCGGAATATATACTCCTCTGCCGCATCGAAAATCCAAGGCGAAAGAGATGCACTGTCCAAGGGTGTTGTATATGTTGCGCCCGACAGAAATATTGCGAGCAGGAGCGGGTTTGATACATTCCCGGGATCAAATGTTGGGAAATGGATAATCGGCAAATGCCAATGCAGGGATTGAAAAAAGGCCGAGATAAAGGTCGCAATATTGGATACTTTAAATAACGCGGTGAGTTTCATCATATCAAGCGGTTGTTGATCTTCCGCACCGCCAGATGCCATCGATTGTGAGGTTTCTATTAGCTCAGTCATCAACTCTGTTAGTTGATTGGAAAGTTTTGAACGGAAGAGCATGTCAGATGGGTATAGAGAAAGAAGAGAGTCTTCTGTCGAAGGTGGAAGCAGGAAGGGGAAGTCAGCTCCCCCGAAACCCCCAGCAAAGGCTGCTAGTGGATCAGATGGTACAAGAGCATCTTCTAGATGAGAATATATTAACTCAAGATTCCTGCGAATGGAGAACTTTGCTGTCTCCCCTATCGCAAGTCTGTCCTTTTTATTGGCGGGGTTGGCAAAATGTTTTAAGAAAAAGAAGGGCGTGGTCCCGTTAGAACTGCCTCTAGGTGTAGCAATAGATAATGAAGCCGACATCTTTGGCAAGTGGAAAGGGCCGACACTGGTGAGTGCTGAAGACTGCTGGACTGAGACCCCAAAAGTGCACTGCCTACCAATAGCATCGCAACGAGTGCAGGGCGACTTTTGATCACATGCTGCTTTTGCTGAGAAACATTCGTTGCATGACTTTCTCTTCCTTCCTGGTTTTGCAGCAGGGGGAAGAGGCTGGTCGTGCTTCTTGGCACATATCTTGCTATGTCGTCGGGTGACCTCTCTAGGGCAAGTTAGTTACCGTTTCAACCCGCGGACCCTACGGACTCGAGGGATTTCATACGGCTTCACAAACGACTTATCACAGAATGGGCAGCTGGAAGCCGGTTGTTTCAGATCTGTTACTTAGTCAGTTGTACTGATCATGGTAAGGGGATAAATCGGGGCTCACGTGTAGCTTCATGACGGTGCAAATGTGTCTTCCTCTGATAAGATTTGTCGCATTGTGTACATTTGAACATAATGTAAAAATGCTTGATCCCCTATTAGAACCATCGTTCACAACGACTCCGTTGATGGCTGATGCAACTCGGAAACTTGCGAAACGCGAGAGGCCGGAGATGCCCTACATGGCGCTAACCCTAAATAGGCAACTCCGTCGGGCCACTCATCAAGAATTGGTACCTGCATCTGAGCAATTGAGTACACTCGGGATATTTTGAGGTATGAAACTTCAATGCGGCGATTGTTTGTAAATTTGATGCTACATATTCATTTGTACACTTTTTCACCGAAAATTAGGGGTTAATATACATAATTATTTACAAATCTGGTCCTTGTCTTCCCTCAATTATTTTTCTTGATACTCTTCGCAGCTTTCACAGCTTTCTCCTCCTCCATCTGCTTCTTTTTGAATTCATCTACCTCGGGTGTGCGGTATGTCCCTCCAAGACGATCCCACAGTGTGATATATTGCCCGTAGTTAAAGTTGAAGTATAGGTGATGCATTGTATGACACGCCGCACCATTGATAATCCGAGAAGTAGACAAATACTCGGCATCATCTAGAGTCAGTTAGTCATGCTCAACAAGATAGAGGGAGGATCTTACGAATCAAAACAGTCCACAGAGTGACGAAAACAAACAATCCCAAGTACGCACACTTCTGCAACGGGAAAAAAAGTGGGAAAATATGATACGGTAAGCTCTGCGCCCATCCATCCAATGGGTGAAACGCATAACTGGCGAATGGCGTCGGCACAATCCATTTGTGGTGTGGCTTATGGCACCAGCGATACACCAGCGGGTGATGTAGACCACGATGAATCCAGTAGATCGCGCTATCGGTAAAAAGGATGAAGAACGGGTATTGGAGGAACGTGTATCCCCAGAAGGGTGACTCGCTGCTGAAATCGTACAGCTTGGAGAAGCCTCTTATCTCGGCAACGAAGAAGGGGGCTGTGAGAAGTGATATCACGGGGATGGCAGACATGCCCAGGGCGATTTCTTGTGAGATTTGATTTGGTAGGAAGCGTGGGTGTTGCATCATCCGCTTGTCGAATATTGTGTGGTAGAGAAGGAAGCTACCAATCAGGTACAAAGCCCAAGCGAATATTCTATAGTTGGTGAGTTATGTCTTTATTCGGTAAGAGGCAATTGGTACTCACAATGCAATTAGGAAGAATGACACGCCTTGTCTGACGATGTTATCTCTTTTCCATAGACTTGCGTATGCAAGGTCAGAGGCCTGCAATGGGTAATAAACGTTCACATGTTGATTGACTGCTGGCATGATGTCCAAGGTCGAATTCCCGAACGAGGGATCCGGTAAGAGGGATGCGTAGCATTGGTCAAAGACAAAAGTGTCGAGGATATCTAAAACAATATCCATTTTGCCAATGTTTGTTTCAGTAATATGCAGGAACAAAAGCAGGTACAGCCCCTGGTTCTTATAAGCTGTGGACGGACAATCCCTACTGGAGAATACCTACATGGAAAATACCTACATGGGCCCACAACGGGAAATCCCTACATGAACGCACTTCATCCATCGCGCCACCTAACGGTAACCCGGCTGCCGGAGTCAGCTTACTCACCCCTTTTCTAGAACCATGGAAATCTGGCCTACTTTTACCATTTTTGTCTCCGAGAAAAGTTCTAGAAGACTGGACACAGTGATATTTCTGCCTCAGGCATCAAGGGCTTATCCTCCACTTTATCTCCGAAGGTCCTTTTCCCTCTATTCTCAACAGATACGAGAACTGGAGAGTAAGACTCTGGTGACATTTCTTTGAAGCTAAAATCTGCGAGATGGAAAATCGGGGTTTGCCGTGGTATCAGCGGGGAAATCTCGTCTAATCTTAACCTTAGCGAATCTCCCGCATCTGCGGGGCAAGTCAAGTGTTAATCATCGCGTATTCTTATACTTTAGGGGACATTCACATTGATACAGAGCATCTACATACGAAATACCAACCTCCTCCTTTTCCTATAAATTGTAGCCATATCTCCTTCCCAATAAATAGCTTGTCAACAACATTTGAATCCACACATCCTTGTGGATGCTCATATATTCACAATGTCAATTCCGACTCCACACCCATTCGATCCGTTGAACCCAGTGGAAATTAGTCAAGTACGGCACTGCCAAGAACGTACTGGAAATGTTACTCATCATGTATGACAGACTGCCCAAATCGTGCGAGAAAAATTCCCTGGACAATCGCCCAACTTTCGCGTTATAACGCTTCAAGAGCCAACGAAAGATAAAATGATCCAGTTCCTAGAGGAGGAGCATCAGGGAAAGTCCGTGGTATCACGACCCGTCCGAAAAGCGCGAGTTCAGATCATCATAAGGGCCCAATCTGGCTTAAACGAGATGGTCGAACTTGTCGTCGATCTTGACCAAGGCGTGGTCTGTAAAAAGGAGCATCTACCTGGGAAACATCCATACATAGATTCTGCTTACATGCAAGCAGTGGAGAACGCCTGCAGAGCCGACCCAAGAATCGAAGCTGAGATTCAGAAACTTCAACTCCCAGAAGGGAGCACTGTTGTCATCGAACCGTGGGCGTATGCCACTGATGGAATGAGTGACATGACTGAGCGCACAACAATGGTAGGGGCAAGGCTTTTGTGGAAACGTTGTGCCAAACATTTACCGTGTTATAGTGCTGGTTCTACATGCATAATTCGAAAAACCCAGATGCGAACTACTATGCGTATCCCCTGGATATATGTGCAGAGGTATCGGAGCAACTACAGGTCACCAAAATTTACTACCTGCCCTCATCAGATAACAACCTTGTTTCAGAAGACGTTCGACCATTTGACCACGAGAAGATCCACTCCACCGATCTGAGTGAATATCACCCTAGTCTACGACCACCACCACGAACATCTACGAAGCCGTATCAAGTCATTCAACCTCGAGGCCCATCCTTCAAGACCGACGGGAATTTCATAACTTGGGAGAAGTGGACAATGCGCGTAGGATTCAACTACCGCGAGGGACTTACTCTCCACGATATTCGCTACGACAACCGTAACTTGTTCTACCGCATGTCACTATCAGAGATGTTCGTTCCCTACGGCGATCCCCGATCTCCATTCCCCCGAAAAGGCGCCTTTGACCTTGGGAATGACGGCGCCGGAATCAACGCAAATAATCTTCGGCTCGGCTGTGATTGCCTGGGTGTAATCAAATACTTTGACGGCTGGCATAACACGACGACCGGAGAGCCAGTAAAACTGCCCAATGTGATTTGTTGTCACGAGCAGGATGATGGAATCCTTTGGAAGCATACCAATTTTCGCACGCAAAATGCGGTTGTCACTCGCTCCCGGATTCTCGTCCTACAAACAATCATTACTGTCAGCAACTACGAGTATATTTTTGCGTTCCACTTCGGTCAAGATGCCTCTATTCACTACGAGGTCCGAGCAACGGGGATATTATCCACATGTCCAGTTGACATTGGCGATAAGGTAGGCTACGGTACCGTCGTCGCACCCGGCGTTCTGGCACCTTACCACCAACACCTCTTCTCTCTAAGAATCGACCCTTCCATCGACGGACACAAGAACTCCCTGCAAGTCGAAGAGTCTCACCCACTTCCAATTGATAACCCTTCCATCCACAACCCCTTCGGAGTAGGTTACACGACACGTTCCAAAATAATTTTCGAAGAAGGAGGCCTAGATCTCGACGTGACCAAGAACCGAACGTTCAAGATCATCAATGAAAATGTTGTCAACCCGATAACTGGCACGCCTGTCGGATTCAAGCTACTTCCATGTTATAGTCAGATGCTCCTTGCGCACCCGGATTCCTACCATGCCAAACGATCAGAGTTTGGCAGTCATGCAGTTTGGATTACCCGATATAAGGATGATGAGCTTTTTGCTTCTGGAAAACACACTATGCAGTCCCTTGGTGGAGAAGGAATTGCGTCGGTTATTCAGCAGCGGAGGGAAGATGATTCTAGTGAGACGAGCGTGCGGGATGAGGATATAGTCATCTGGCATACTTTTGGATCGACGCATAATCCGCGCATTGAGGATTGGCCCGTTATGCCGTCGGAAAAGATGGTTGTTGGACTGAAGCCTGTGAATTTCTTCATAGGGAATCCGAGTTTGGATGTTGCTGTTTCTACCCAGGAGGGTAACAGAAGTGCTTTGGTCTAGATCCTCGGGTTGGAGAGGATGGCCTTGGAGTTAGTCGGGTATATATGCGTCTGATAAACCAAATCGAGGAGAAGTTGTTTGAAACGAGTGACTAGGTTAAATTTCAAGCTGGCTGCGAAAAATAAATAGCAATAGACATGGAGACTGCAAAACAAGAAGACGGAAATATTTCAAGCCCTTTTTTTTCTTTATTTCCCCTTTCATCATTTTTTTTTAATTTATTTTTTATCGGGGGCTTTTTTTTCTTTTTTTCGTTTTGTTTTTCTTCACACCAACAAGATGAGCGAAGTTCCAAACCCCAAAATAAGAAATCATCCATTCGATAACTGCATGTCCAGTTACTCGTTTGAGCCTAGCGAAGTGATTTTCTCCACCCTTCGATATGAGGGAGCCCCGGTACCGAGGAGCTTTCTATGCCGAAGGGTTCAAGAAGATGACATTCCAGACAAATTCCAGCAACTTGCAACCAAAGAAGTATTTGGATACTATTCCAGCAATACTAGCCGTCAGATGCCCATATAAAGGGGCCCTCCAGCCCTTTTTCAAAGCGGCACAAGGTACCAGATGTGCCGCTTTTGCTAAGGGCTGGAGCCCCCTTTACGGGGGCATGTGAAAGCAACTATTGCCGCAAGGGTATATAAATACCACTCGGGAGATGCGATCTAAATACCAATCAGTATTTTGAGATTGGTCTCTTGGGGAGCAACTTCATGATCTTACCGGAGAATTTTGCTCAGAGGGCGTCTAGGATGCCCAGGCGAATAATCACCCGGCGGGTGACCATTATATCTTTGCCACAGTCCAAGTAGACTGCTCCGATGAGGGCCTCCATCGTGGTAGCCATGAGCTTCATAGGTACAGCCCCTCGAGCTGAAGGATTCAAGTCGATCAACTCTGCTAGACAGAGGCCGAAACCGAGGCGTGCCAAATTCGCATTTGTCGCTTTGGTATTTTGGGAGTCCGTCATGGTCTCTGTTCATAACTTAGTATTTACAGGATCAATAAGTGTAACGTATATCATTGAGAGGATCTCACCAGTGGAGGCGTTGTCCTCATAGCCTTGTTCATAGAGAACAAGTCTCAAAGCGGCATCTCCAATGAGTGCCATGGGCTTATTTCCGTTGGGATCAACGGCATTTGGGGCCTGAAAGGCGATATCCAGAAGCCTTGGGTTTCTAAACAGATATTGTATAATGTCACCGATGATTTGTTGGCGCTCGGCAGAAGTCACTCTGCGCCTATTCGGAGGTTGCTGCCTGTACATTGCGAGAAGCTTATAACAAATGAAAGAAGGAATAAAATTGAATGAAAAGAATCAAAGCCTTCGTGAAATGAGAGGAAAGTAGAAGGAAATCAAAATGTTGTGGGAATTCAGAAAAGAGTCCTGGATTGTCCCTTTGCTTATACCTTTTAGCCCCGCTTTTCCAACAGGGCCCCATCTTGGTGAATGAGCCTTACGCTGACATTTTGGTAGGAGATAGTCAATTTAACATGCATGGCCACGTATTGATCGAAATTGAATGGACGGGAGCGCTTGAAAATCGCGCAAAGATGTGAAATGAGCGAGAGAAGAAGAAGACCGACAGGCAAGTCATAGTTGCTTTTTCGGGCGAAGGCAGGCTGAAGATTATTGGCTGTGTGTTGGCCATAGCACCCTGCTTCTTGGCAAGGCAACGGGGTGCATATGAGGGGCCTAACACCGGCTGTTTTCTACTCAACACCAAGAAAATCCTGTCCCCAGAAACGACTACACTTCCCAAAACAATATGACCTCAAAAGCTTTTGACTTTGAAATGGGGTTTTCCTCGGGATCACCCAGGACTATCGCCATTGTCGGAACAACTTTCTACATGATCGCTGACGTCACACTGCTTGGACTCCTAATCAGTTCATGCCTGATTAGAAGGCCAAGGCGTGAGCCTAAAGCTATTGCCTTTGAATCTCTATTTTTCTCTATTATGAGTAGTATCGTGTGAGTGTCAGCATAAAAACAGGATCTAAATGTCGTAGGCAAGTGTTTGCTGATGAATCCTGCAGCTCAATCTCAACGACTTTATCTCAATGGCTACCTTATACATGGTTGGTTTCGAATGATGCTACAATCTTTCAAACCTCAGTGGTTTTGGTCTTCCAAGATCTTGGTTATATTCTTATTGCAAATGTGTCTTACCGTCTGATATATGCACACAAGGTGAGACATGGCGACGCGACCGTGTATTCATCTTATCTATCAAAGATGCACGGAGGATTTCTAGCAACACTGATCAGTGTTTGTTTCGTATCCATCATTCTCTGGATAATCATGTGGTCCGGTTGGGAGGTTGGGACTGCATATGTTTATGTATTTCTTACAGGAAACATTCTAAGATTGATTACTTCCTTGGAGATCATGATCGAGATAATTTTGGTTGTTTGGAAACCGAAAGACTTAAGACTCCTTTCCAAAGTAGGTCATCCAAATGATTTCTTGATCACATCATTCTGTGTCTGACTTAAAACAGGCAGCAGCTGTTTCATTAACAGCAGTTGGTACTTTCCTACTTGTGCTCAATCTCTTTTTCTGTGCCTTTAACATCGAAGACCTCATTGTAAATACTGACGAATATCCTGGTAAACGCGCTTTCTATGAGCAGCTGCCTCCAAACACTTTCCCCCAGATTCGACCGGCAGTCACTGCTATCTGCATGATTGGACTTTATACAGGGGTTATTTACTGCTGCATGTAGTGGCACAAGCTAGATTTCCGTCATTTCCAAAAGCCAACCTCTACGGAAGATGAACGCCAATACATGATTACCCCATATGAAGAACCGCATGAGACATGAGCAGTCCGGTTTCTTGCTCGGAATATCAATATTCAGACAAGCTAGCCAATGGGTATCTGTGATGGATCCAGAAAAGGGAAACAAACATTAAGAATGATATTATCCTTGAAGATATAAGTTAGGGGTCTGAGCCAGAATTTCAATATCTTAGTCTTGTTAATGCAAACATTTCTTGCCATGCGACAAAACTTCTCTTCAGCATTTACACCTCCGTTTCCATACTTTCAGAATATCCCAGGTCTCGGGTAACTGCACCCTGCCGATGGAAACACGCCAGAAGAGCAGAACCACCAAAGTTAGTGGAATTGAAACTAGCCAGAATATCCAGAAGCTCTGGGAGATGCGCACCAAATATGGGTCGAAGTTGAAGAATTGGCTTCCAAAAACAGTCTGGATGGTCAGTAATGAAGTTTGATATTACCCAGTGAGATAACATACAGATACTGTTGACATTGGTAGAAATACTAATGTCACGAATGCAATAGTGGCCATAGAGCTGCTATCTTCTTGCATGATTCGATTACCGTCTTGTGTAACGAGGTGGAAAGACTTTGATCACTGTTCATTAATTCATGTTTTAAAGCAAATGAGTATTATAATGCATACCAGTGCAATAATATTTGCCATCCGTTTTTCAAGACTCTGTAAGCGCAGACCGATAGATTGGAATTGAGTCTCAGTGTGTGCCAGCATTCCCTGTGCTGCTTGGGTGGCTTGGTGACTCGACGAAGAAACCGTGTCCAAAATGCGTTGATGATGGCACATCATACTTTTCAGAGTAAGCATTGCGGCCTCAGAGCTCTCTTGAAGAAATAATATATGCTTAGAGACATTGTGTAGCCCGGTGAAAGATTCACTCCCCCTCGTAGTGGTCAAAGTATTCTGTCAAGGTTAGCAGGACCCAGGGGCGTATAGACTCAATTGAAATACCAGCTCAATATCTCGAAACACATCCATCACGTCCCAGACAGTGTTGTCCATTTGCAAAGAAAGCTCCTCCAGGATGATGGCAAATAGACTGTAAGGGTCCAGGGCGAGGCTATTTGGTATCGAAGACGTTGGAATTTGTTGAAGCCGTTCTTTGAGACAATGTGATGCGCCGAAACAAAGAAGCGTCACTTCTGGATCATGATTCAAGTTTAATTTCCACCGAATAAAATATCCCGACCGTATCCATGTTGAGTCACCGTGCTCTAGTCGCATTGCTCCTGGTCTGGGGTCGGATATTGCGGCTTTCCCGTGGAAATCGTGAGCGACGGTCACGTTCTTACATAGATAGTGGAACCATGCGCCTATATAGAAATGTACGTCAGCAACGAGAGGACGGAAAGAGATTGCTAAGCGGCACCTGCAATTATAGCCATCGATATCATTCAATGCTCCAAATGAGTGAGTGACGGACCGCAATCTTCCTGCGAGGAATGCAGACGGGACAGAATAATGATCGAAAATCCATCTGAATTTGTCCATAGAGCCACTGTTTGGAAGGTCTAGTGATGAGAATCTGGGAGTATATTAGTCGCAAATAACATAATGTATAAAGCGAGGGAGCTAACATGATCCGCAGAAAGGGGACGGGCAACTGGGCTAGCTCAGGCACTGTGACTTTGTGAGAGATTAATCTGTAGAAACCTAATCGTCATCAGTCATAGTATTATCATATTGTAACCAATAGTTTTGACTTACGAGCCTCCTGGTTCCAATCCAGGACGTCAACGGTAGAAACATCAGAAGCCTTAGTGTCGCCGGGTATGTCTTTGAAAGCATCTAAAAGCTTCTGGTCTCGGTAGATAGAAGCCATGTTCGGAACTTGGCATTTGACTCTTTGAAAGCTCAAATATGGAAAGAAGAAGTGTGTTAGCCTGGAACAGCGTGGCTAAGCCTCACTGCTGCAATGTCACCTCCACATTTCGCCTGGGCAAGCAGTTCAGCCGCACCACCCTCATTGGCCGGGCAAGATTATTATAAAATATCTAATTTTCTCATGGAAGTTCCGCTTGATACACCGCAAGTTTGTTCTTTCCTTCGAGTTTGATACTGTATCTTTACATCCCAACATCGAAGATTTGAACTTATCCTCTCTACTGCTCCACGATGTCCGATATTGAACTTGGACAGATTGAACATCGAGACAACCCCGCTCCGGATAGAGAAGGCTTACTTTCTCCACAAATTGCCGATCATCTCGCCGAGGTAAGCCAACGCAAAGTTATATCGTTTTCATTGCCATTTTCGTACTAATCATGAATAAGTGCCCAACGTATTTCGAGGTATACATGAACCCGAAATCATGGTCGCAAGTTGTACCAGGCAGAAGATACAAGTCAACACAGGATTTTCGCCACAAAGACAGCCTAGGACGTGTGTGGATAGGGCCCGATGATGATCGATGCCTGAGCGCCACGGATGGCCGACTTAATCCACTGGTGGTACACGCCACTGAGGATATCTGGTTTGGGCCAGTGAACGCGACTTGGTCTCGGTCGAAGATCGAGGAATGTACCACGACCATACTCCGAGTTGTATATTCGCTACTAGGGCCTCGAATTCAATAGGAGAATCTCTCGATTGCATGGTTGATATCCGTGTGCTTGAGCTGGATTCCGTGTTGTCTCATCATCGGTGCTTTAGTAAGTTCAGATTGTAAGCCTGAGATGCAAGCACAAGCTAATGTTAGCAAGTTGTTTATTCCAGTAGACCTTGGTGGTGAAAAGAGAAATAATGGTCGTTACGAGCAGTTTAAGTATCACTACTGGGGCTATTCGAAATTCTCAGCCAATCGTCATGAGATCCAGCCTTCGAGTACCAACAATTGCTCGACCTCTTATCAAATTACACACGGAATATCGAAACGAAATCTCCGACCAAGACAACTTTGTTTGCTCCAGGACGATGGAATCGAAATTGTAGATGTCAATGAATGGGAGGCAGAACATGGAACCATTGACTATTTGTTCATTTGCTATACCACCCTGCAGTTCAGTCACGAAACCAACGAAGACATGGATGAGCTTCATCGTATTGCCGAATCTGCAGCTCGAAGAGCTGGGGTTGCTGCCTACTGGCTTGCATGCAGCTGCATGCCTCAAGACGAAGAACGTTTCGAAGACGTCTACCGGATAAGCGACGTCGTTCGAGGCGCCCACTCTCTGGTCGTAATCATCGGCCCCCCTCAGGGCTCAAACCCGACCGTGAAAGAGATGCTTCAACAGCTTGGAGCGAGGCTGTGGACATTTCCCGAAGTTCTCCTAAGTCCTTCCAACCGAGTTATCTCAGTGTACACCCGCGACTGTGACACGGATTCTTTCCGCACTCTTTCCAAACGGAACTTTACCGTGGAAGCTTGGGACGATGCTCTAATCTCAAGAGAGCTTATCGATCATTATGAAGCGTCGATTCTACTGAGTCCTCTGGAGCTGGTTTCTCTTGCCTTGAAATGCTTTCCAAATCGTGAGAAATCCATATACGCCGATGGAGACTTTTCATACGCCTTGATGGGGCTATTGCGGCGTCGCCCAAAAGTCAATAAGGAAGACTCGGCTTTTGAAGCTTTCTGTAGGCTGTCCTTGGCTAATGACAGTGACCAGCTCATCGAGCGGATGATATGCATGCTCCCCCGAGATATTGGTCAACCATGGAATGAGATCGATGACTTCTGGGACAGTAAGCTCTGGGAAATCGAGCCTCATTGCCAGGTTGTCGGTATAGGAGGCGAAGATACCGTGATTTTAAGTGGTGCTTTTGGCGCCCCAATACGGTGGAACTCATACCGGCCGGTCAATCTCTTGATGCGCAACACTGTTAAACGCTGGGTTGCTAAAGTCGTCCTCCGCAGTATTCCCGCATTCCTTCTCATAGGCGTGTTACTGTTAGCAATGGGTCTGGCAGTGCAAGAAAATTATATGCTGGAATATAAGGTGATGGGGGGGATATTCACCGGATTCTCGGTTCTGGTAATACTAGCGTCTCCGTACCTCATTTGCTCTCTCTATGTTGGCAAGACCTGGGCAGCGCAACCATGGCTGTTCGGATTTGAAGGCTACATGGAGATTGGTGAGATTGAGAGACTGATCTTCGGTATTAATATTGGCCGATTAAGGTGGAGTCCATATTCCAGTGACCTCTCGCTGCACCATGAGGATGAAAATGGTGAGTGCGTGGGACAAGACCCCAGGCGTAGAGCTTCGACTGCAAACTTTATTTCTACCGCTCGCAGATCCCAGTATGGAGAGCTGAAGCTTTTCACCTTGGTTGATACCAACACTTTCACTGTTACATTGTTCCGGGCAGTGCGTCCGCCCGTGGCGATGTTACTATGCGGCAGCGAAGGTGGTATGCAAAGAGCGCTTCTTTGTTCTTACGAATGGAAATCCCAGACACTCTTTCGCGAGACTGTTCTGCGGGTGCCGACCACAGTATTGGAGCGCATGTCACGCGTGGATCGATTTCGCTTGGGGTTGAAAAGATCTGTAGGGGAGACAGTGAGGGCTGATAGTGTTAGGTGATGTGCCAGACTCGGGCCGCCAGTGCGTAATGTATACCGGAGGAATGAAGGGAGATTACTATTCATTTCTCAGCCCGTATCTGTATTGGTTTAATCCAAAAATGATCCCTGCTAAGGCGTATCGTAGTATCGAACGTAGTGTGTTTCTATGTCTCATGACTCATGAGTCACTTTAAATTATATCAAGCTCCATTTTTCTATACAAGGATTAGAAAGGGGCGGGGGTCTGACAATCTGGCCTGATTCACGCCAGTTTTCCTCTCTCTTTCCTTTCGTAGCCTACATCTTCATGACCTTTTCCACGGCGGTGGCTATGCAAGTGCCTAGTAGGCCAACATAATCTCTTCTGTATTTTTCAACAGCTATTGCTCTCCATTGCCGCTTTCTTCTAGTCATAGCTTGTACTGCCTGCTTAGCCGTAGCACAGACCTCTAGGGCCTCAATTGTGTGTGGATGGCATTGGCTTGCCCCACCAAGAGAGATCAACCCACCTCGTAATTACCAATATATGGCTTTCGCTCCCACTTAATGAGAAATAATTATTGGGCGCGTCCTGCACTTTCGTCGAGTACAAAATCAGGAAATGGCTTGCTTCATCTGGCCAAAGTTGGATGCTTTAGCTCAATGGATAGGAGTGCGTATGACCACGTGGCTGCATCCAGATGTGTCGCAGATTCAACTTCGTGTTTGGCAAGTCATTCGACAAATTGAAAGTGAGAGTTGGGCAAATTTGAGGCTAGAATTTTCCCCACTTGTCCGATTCTTCCTTACGGAGTCTCTGCTCGAGAGGAGCTGGAAGATCGTGTGCAAAGCTTTTGGACCGCTTGAGAGTGTTGGCGTCCCAACTATTATCAGCGGATGGTGGTTGATCTCTGTCAAGGTGCCACTTAAATTCCAGAGGGCAGAGTTCGGTATGCTGCTACAAATGACTCCAATGGGCAGTCTAGTGGGCCTTCGTTTTCTCCCATCGACAACGCTTGGTCTCGCAATTGGATGGCAGATGCCCTGCTATGCCGACCACGGTGTGCGCGAGTTTGAGATTACACTCGGGAAGCGAGATTTTAAGGTCGTGGGAACTCTCTGTTTACCCAACGCCACAGAAGAGCAAGACAAAATACCAAAATTCCCGTGTGTCATTTTCCTGGCGGGCTCGGGGCCGTGTGATCGAGACTCGACGGTAGAGGAGAACAGGCCGTTCAAAGATCTTGCATGGGGTCTCGCCAGTCAGGGAATTGCCTCTATTCGATTCGACAAAGTGACTCGCACGTACCCCAAAGCTTTTCACAATCGCAAGAATATGACCTTGACAGACGAATATGTCGAACACACAGTCGACGCTGTATTACAATGCCAGAACCATCCGAACATCCTTCCTAACCGAGTTTTTGTTCTTGGACATAGCCTCGGTGCGGTGGCTGCTCCTATTATCGCGGCTATGGATGCTTCGGTCGCAGGTTGTATCATCATGGCTGCGCCAGCGGAGCCAATATATCGATGTCTGATTCGACAGCTTCGCTACATTCAATCATTGGATGGCCCAGAAGCACCTTATCTAAGTAAGCGAATTGACGAGGCGCAGCTACATGCCGATTTAGCAGATAGTAATCAGCTCACATTGTCAACGCCCGCTAAGCTACTTCCCTTTGGGATAGGCCCGTCTTATTGGCTTGACTATCGCAAATTCAACCCAATTGAAACTGCAATATCTATTAAGAAGCCTATCCTTATCATGCAGGGTGGCAGGGACTATCAAGTCACCGTTCAAGATGACTACCAACAATGGCACACGGCTCTCCACGGAAAACAAAATGTCCAGTTCCATTTATATGACCAGCTAAACCATCTTTTTATTGCGGGAAATGGGCCATCAACACCACTCGAATATTGCGTTCCAGGCAACATAGATGAGCAAGTTATAATTGATATTGCCAAATGGGTGTTAAGAGCATCGTAGGCATTGGCCATGTCTGTCCAGGAAGCTGTCAATGAAATTGAATTTAAGCACAAAGTGCGAGCCGCTCAAATTTCTTACCAGAGAAAAAAATGAACAAAAAACGGTGAACACGAAGATGTCTTGTAGAAGCAGTCCCATTGCCCTAGGGTAATGAGTCATATCAGTGTCTGGTAAAGAAAAAAATATCGAAGACATTCCGTTAAATCCTTTCCGAATTACCAATGCATTTCAATGATGAGCACCCCAGACAGTACCATAACTTGGAGGACGTTGAAATAGCCAGGGAAATATACGACTCTACAAAGTAAGAAAAAAGAGTTGGCGGAAAATGCTGTATTCCTATCAACAAGCATGACCAACAGAAAAAGTATCAAACAAAGTAACAGGCGAATCCACAGTCCACCCCAAACAAGCAAAGAAACCGTCGAATCCACACATCAACCACGACAAAGACCAAAACCAACCGAATTTTTTTGTAAAATTTAAGAAACACCCGAGAAGTCGACAGGAAAAGAAATTCAACATCATCTGCCCCTTTCTATCAGAGACAATCCACGAAAGTCGGAAGAATCGGAACCACATCGCACATCCAGAGAATGCATTCTCAACTCAACTCGGAGAAACCGAGAAGAGAGGAACAGTGCAGGATCGAGAATGGACAAATGGAACGCGACCCGGAAAAGAATGAACTGGACTGAGACATTGAAGCATGTAGGCGTTGGTCATGTTCGGAGAATTTGTGTCGATTGATGTTGTTTTTGTATGCTTGTTGTGCGGATCAAGGATGTGAGCGTTTCGTTACCATCATGCTGATCATTGGAAAGGGATCAGGCGTGTTGAATGGGATGGCAGGATGGGTGTGTCATGTAAGTAATTTACATGATGACACAGCCGCCGCCAGGGGAAGCTAGGAATGTTAGTTGAGTTGAGTGGAATGCGGAGTAGATGTATTACCCTTGACGATAGCAGAGTTGCGGATCTGAGTGTTGGCCATTGTGAAGATGGTTGGTTTGCTTGGGAAAGCGAAAAGACTTTTTGAAGATTGGATTAGAGGATGAGTGAGTAGTGGATAATGAGAAAAAGTCTGGTTGAGGGGGGATCTTCCAGGTATTTATATTTGGTTCGAGGGTGGGAGTAGTAGGTGAATTGGTGAGGCTATTCGGCATGATGGCATGTAGCCGTTTGAAGCCTCAAGAACAATACTAACAGCGGACTAATCGGGGTGATTGATATCTAAGTATTGTTCTCCATTCCCGCCCCGGGATGTTGTTGCAGGCCGAGAACTTGAATAGAACAATATGGCAGTCCTTATGATTGTTCTCCCCTGAACAATATCAGTACAACCGACAAGGCGCGAAGTCATGTGATGGTTGTCTTTCTCTGTTATGCCGTGGCTACAAGCACCACAAAGAGAAAACCAGATAAGCAGGATTAGTATGACGAACAATATTAACAAATCGAAAGAATAAATGCATTGGGAGGCCACCATGTTCGAATCGTGCGGATGCATGGGTGACAACAAAGAGATTGAGTTATCAACTTCGATCAGGGCTTAGTATTGTTCTCTAGGACAATACTAAGGAATGCTTGGCAGGCACGTGGCACACGTGTACGATATAATTAATCGCTTCCAAGGGGAGTAGAATAAGATATCACGGCTCGTCTCCAAAATTCTCATCATACGGTGGCCCCAATGGTTGACCTTTTGATAGAGTTCTCCAATATTTGCCCAGGCCCAACAGGCATGATCATCCAGATGAGCATTTGTCAAGGCTGTCAATTCCACCGACTCAAACGGCTCTTCCCGCGCGTAGCAAACTATCCGCCCAAATTGATCAAAAAATACAATCAGAACTTTGCCTGTGTCGGGACCTTCGGGAGCCAGAGTTGTTGCGTCCACTATGTGGATCTGATTTAACGATGTCGCTTGGTGGTAGGAAAATGATATTTGTAGGTCCAGATCAACATCGTCCACTGGGTCACGAGAGCTATCGGCCTCAAGCTCGATTCCTTCCCTTAGACTCAATTGGATAGCTTCTTCGTATTCTTCCGCGGTCAAGTAGGTTTCGAGAAGCTCTGGCTTGATGAGAAAAATCTTCTCCCAGTTGGGACCAAAGTTGTATAAAGATTCATTGTTGCAAATCGAATCTTCCTCAAGCAGGCTGCTCATCTCCGTATCATATCATGGCGTCGCTCCGAGCTCAACATGAACGTTTACAGCTAGCCGACGAGTTTTTGACGCAATTACCAACGAATTCTGCGACAATAGCATCTTTACCGACGCCACCAAGGCTGGCGACTTGTACAACCTGAGAATCGAAGACTTTCCGCAGCCCAGCATTTACGTACAGGCCGTCAGGGACGGTTGGGTCGATTTAAAGGAACGCGGCATGGAAATACACCCTTATATCATGCTGATGATCGTCATAGGTAGCATGGGCGACAAGTCGATCAAGGACATGGTCATTACCACCTTGAATGCGACTACGAAGAATCCCGCCGCTACCCTCAACAGCGCCCTCATGCACCGTCATTTCAACTTCATCATCGATCGTCTCCAGGCCAAGGAAGCTAAGTCCCGTTACCAAGCTACATCTCGAAACGCTACCATGAACCCAAAGTCCAACAAAGACAACAGAAAGGGTTCAGGTAGACGGAGTAACTACAAAACTGTTGTGGATTCAAAGGAGTAGAAAAACTGCCCTGGCCAAGGTATATCCGACGACGCACACGTGAAAGCACAGATTAACAAACCACAAAACAAGGCCGACTGCTGCGCTCACTGCGGATTTTGGCACAAAACCGTTGAATGCTACTGTCTTCGACCGGACCTTCGCCCGCAAGGATGGGAGGGCCCATGTGCTGTTTGGCATTACAAGAGGGGCACAAGCCGGGTGTGAGTACGTCAACTACGTCTTCTGATGATTTTACCGACGACAAGAATTCGTGAGTTACTACCAGCGTACAAGCGACACGCGCAGGCTACATGGACGCATACTATGCTGAACACTTTCCGCCATGGCCGAACCCACTTCGAAGGTTAAGTCGTAGGTCAATTCGAAGACCTCTATTTCGCAAAGCTCTTGCAGAGAAGCATAATCGCCTATCTTAGATTTGACTCTGTGGGATATTTCATCGCTAGTTCAATTTAGGTACAAATCAAAGATCTCGCAAACGCAGATTCATGAGTCGTATTGATATCATAGATCCATCAATATCAAGTGTAGATGGGCTCAGTCAGATCGTTCAGAACCAGTCCTGTCTTCGCAATATCCTCCTCGCCAAGGAACATCAAAGGCATCTCCACCAGCGTACCCTTAACCTGGCTGAGCAGTTCTTTAACCTGCTTTGCGCCCTCAGGGCCGGGGGCGAAATCATCACGCACGACGTGGCCCCATTGGTATCGCGGGGGTCGGCCGAACTCACCCTTACCCTCGGCCTCCTTATCAGCGCCGTGGAAGTAGTACTCATAGAATTCTTTGTATGTGGCCCAATTACGGACGGTGTCATCGGGAACAGCATGGAACACCTTGCGGAAAACTTCCGTGTTGGTGTGGGCACGAGAGTTCCACAGACTTTGCAGAGTATCCGAGAGCGGATCAGAAACGATCTTGCTTTCAGGACAGTCAAAGTCGAATTGATTGGGAACACCGACAGGCTCGAAGTTAGCATCTGGTCGCTGGTAGTCTTGTGGGACCACAAGTCCCAAATGCTTGCGCATCAGCTGGCGGCGAAGAGACGAAGCAAAGCGACTTGCGGTCCAAGGACGGCCATTCATAGTCGACTGGATCGGAGTAAAGTCTTCGATGACAACCGCGATCTCCGAATCATGGTCTCCCAGCTGCGATCGGTCGTTCAGGTTCGCCGATCCACAAATCACCACGCGGTCGTCGGCAATCATAACCTATTTCCATTAGAAAGACCCAAAGCGATTATTCTCAGTTTACATACCTTGGAGTGGATGTAGAGCTCCTCGCTCACGAATGCATCAATCTCAGCTTCGGGGTGACCATTCCACGGCACATTACGAATATCCTCTCCACCCAGCATGTAGCAGGAGCTGACGGTATCCCAACGACCAGCACCGGGTGCCGTATTGCCAGGCACTTGCTGAGCAGCTTGCTGGTATTTCTGGAACGGAGCAGTGGGATCGAAAACACTCCGAGGAGCCCCAGCATTCTGTTGGCCATAGTTGGTAGGAGCTGAAGCATTTTGGTCATATTGGTGAGTGGCATCTCCATAGTTAACACCGCTCTGCTGTTCTGCGGCAGCCATGATGTTTCCGTTGTTGATGCGATCATAGTTGCGGAGGTTGTAGAAGCGAATGTACTCCATGGGGTTGTAACCCTCCTTGGCAATCAGCTCCATGATGCTGTTTCCACCTCGGTTGATCGAGTTGTACTGGAACTCCATAATGGCACGCGTGCCGAGGGTTTCATCATCGTGGAGGTCTCCAGCAAAGGAAGGCACCGAGGGCATCACGACAATTATCTTGTACTTCTCGCCAGCGCGAGCAGCACGCAAAATACGTTCAACGATGGCAGCACCGATCGTGTTCTTCACCGGGTGCTGGTGGTCCCCAGTAGCAGTGATGAAGAATTGGTTTTCGATATAGACAAAGTGCTGACTGTTCTTGATAACAGCTGCGTAGGCGTTGGCAATGGAGTGCTCCAAGGGGCTACCATTGCTCCACTTAGCACAGCTGCGCACAATCTGGCAGGACATATGGCCTTGATTCTGCGATGCGGGGCGCCCGTAGTTGGTCAAACGATCTTGGTACTGATGAATCTGGCCAGCCAGCTGTCCACGAAGTGGGTTGACATATTTGTTGAACTTCTCTTCGTAGCGCTTCGGCACAAATCCACGCTCTCCATCAGATTGGTGCGGGTTAGCATAATGGGAGGAGTTATCCTGGTAGTTCTGTGGCATAAATCCACGCGCGCTGTCATGATGCTGGTCATCGAATCCCCGAGTAGCTGAATGAGCTTCCTGTCCCGGTGGAGGTGGGTAGTAAGGTGCCTGAGCCTGTGTTTGACTCTGATTTACTGGGTTTTGACTGGCAGGTGGGTAGTGGGATTGAGTCTGAGACTGATTATAGGCCGCATAGTTTTCAGTGGACTGGGTCGGAAGCTCTGAAAAATTGGAGGGTGCGGGTGGGTAGTAAGACGCCTGGCCCTGCTGCTGGGAGTGTTGGGGTGTATTTCCAGGTGACTGGCTTGGAGCAGGACCTGGAGGCGGAGGTGGAAAGGAGTCTCCGGTGTAAGAGTATTGAACGGACCCGTGACCCTGCTGAGCGCCGCTGGAGTATGCAGGAGGAGGAGGGGACTGGACATTGGACGGAGACTGAGATTGACCCAGGGTAGAATAATCGGTCTTACCAGAATCCCCGTAATGTGGGTAATCTGACTGTGCATGACCCTGCCCTTGTGTGGGAGTTAAAGGTGGGTACTGCTGGTAGGGACTCGGTGATTGCTGGGGCTGCTGCTGTTGCTGTTGCGACTGCGGGCTAACAGACGGCTGGCCAGAGGGGTGAGCATTTCCAGATTGCCAAGACTGTTGATTCTGTGACTGCTGGAGCTGCTGGGACACTTGACCTGGGGGTGGAGGGTAAGTAGGTGCACCTCCCGTCTGAGTTGGGTACTGCTGTGTCGGCTGCTGAACCTGTGGACTCGCCTGACCAGACGGGTACAGATTGGCCTGCTGTGGGCCACCCTGGGTAGCTTGATGGACAGGTTGACCATACAGAGAGAGTCTTTGGTACCGCGAGTTATTGCGGGCATGGTACTTGGCATCATAGATGAAATTCCATCGTTCAACAAAGTGTCGACGCAGGTCCTCTACTACGGCACCATGCAGACTGATGGAAATATCCGACCAACCCATACGAGACGAAACCCTCCGGTCCAGCTGGTTGTTCTCCCAATCGGCGACATTGTGGAAATCCAGGATCCGAGAGTTGTTGTAATCTTGGCCTGGGAAGACCGTCTCATTCAGATCCTCTGGGTGGACATCAGCAATTGAGTGCTGATTTGTGTCCCAGCGACCAAAGCAGAGATCCAGTCCACCCATGAAGGCAATCTGGCCATCAATCAAACAAAGCTTTTCATGATGAGCCCAGTATAGGATCATCTCGTCGGTTGCGCCATATACGCCTTTGAGGTTCTCCTTGCTCATCTGGGTTAGGCTGGTAGAATTCAGCGTCAAGTGCTGGAAGGCATTTGTGATCTCAGATGCCACCTCATGACCATCTGGCAAGTGGTCTGGATGACGGAAGACCGCAATATTCGGGTGCAGGCTCTCCAGGGCCTTCTTGGTGTGTTCAGAGGAGAGTGTCAATGCCTGAGTCACTTCCTTGTAAACAATGATGTTCACGCGCACACCGCGCTGAGCAGCTGCCTGCAGCATGCGATCCAGGCGATAGTTTTCATTCTTGGTCGGGGGACGTCTGAGATACAGCTCAGGGGATAGCCACCCTGATTACGGTTAGATACGGACCGGACCCACAGGAAGAGCTGGAACTTACAATCCAAGATCCAGATGGATTCCTTTGCATTTTCAAGAGCGCGAGACACGGCCCAGAAATAGCTGGCTCCATCCACATACCACTTCACATCGTTGTGCTCACGAGGGGGCGCGAAACTACCAAAACGATTGTCGGCGGAAGGATTGGTGTGACCATACTGGGCATAGGCCTGGGGATCGATGGTGCTACCGATTTTGGTAGCCAATTCCGAGCCATACTCAGCGACAGTACCCTGGATCTTGTCCAAAAAACCAGAAAGCTTATCTTGCTTCTGAGGATGTCCCTGGTATTGTGATTGCTGATACTGTGGTTGTTGGTACGGATGACTGGGGGTCTGACCGGATCCATATTGCGGGGGCTGATTCTGGTCCGGGTACGCCTGTAATTTAAATCATGATCAGTTAGGAATAGGATATAATCTGAGAAGTTAAGTTGAGTTGACATACTCCTTGCGATCCCGATCCCGATCCCGACTGGTAAGACTGGTTATAGGGCTGAGCCGGTTGACCCGACTGTGATGAGCTCTGGTGGCCCTTGTAGAATTTCCTCAGGGTATCTCCTAGACCCCTGGAGTTATCGCTAAAGCCTCTGGAGGAGTCATAATGGCCGTAGGCCAAATCATCGTTCTGCGACATATTGGTGTGAGTTGAATGAAGAGAAGGAAAGGAAGGATGCCTGGGGTGGGGAGAGTGTTTATGAAGCTCGGGTGCCCCGCTGCCCAGCCACGTATATGGAGTCGTGGCTGTGTCGTAATACGTATAGCGTCTCAGGTAAAACGCCAATAATTTCAGCTGAGCAGTCTAGGTAACAGAGTTCTATTTAATGTGGCACTATTTTTGATGACCAGTGCAGGTGCCGATGTCATGCAACACAGGTCAATGCAGCTGGTGAGATCGGCAATTCCCCGCGGACTTCCCGTATCCGCATAACCAGGATCTGGTTCCTACGCCAGTTCAAAACATTGGAATGTTTTGTTTCTAAGTCTATACTCAGGTATTTCTTATAATCATATAGCAAACACTACATTAATATAACTTTTGTGGCTCAGGAACGTGTTCCAGCCATTCCTTTCAGCGGTTCGTGCCTAACAACAGCATGATTACATCATCCCGAGCTATTCATATTTCTCCGACCAACCCTGACTGACATCGTTGTTGATTCCTATGAATTTGTGTAGTTGTGTCCTTGTCTTTCCCCAACCAGAACGATGTGAAAGCACCCTTATCTCAAGAGCCTCTTACACAGGATTATCTCACCCTCATAACTTGCACATGTGGAATTGCTCCTGGGACGCAATTATGGGCGCCGCTTGGGGTCCACCAGGGGAAACAGGATCAGGCCTCGGGACTCGGTTGGGCTGTGATTCAGTAGGATCTCCAGAATCTATGCCGTCATTTCCTGCAATAAGATAAGCGACTGAGATATGCTATTCTTCAGAGTGGGCTTAATGATGCAGCAGTCTCCCAGTCTCCAGTGAGCACCTGCGAGCGCTTGTCCGACCCATCCGAGTTTTGTTTGCCGAGGCCACCCTCAATATATAACTTTTAGGTTCTGGTGAAATTCGCTCCTACGAGGTGTTCGAGTCATCTGGGATAAACTTTTAGAGGGGTGGATTGCGTCTATCGTACAAGAGCAACGGTCTCAGTGTATGGGAATTTGGATTTCGAGGTTCCACTAATAGACACTATTACCGTTAGCTGAGAATTTCAGAATAGAAACTTTCTTACTAGAAACCATGGTTTTCCATAGCTCTCAGTCAAACATTTTTGAGATGAACGGTTTATCTGCATGGTGTTGAGTGGCTGAAGATGTTGTCCCGGTGAAAATGGGGAAGAGCTTGCCAGAAAGATTGGACATGCATCTTCATGCATCCTTTACTTGGCCTGCTCAAGTCATCCAATCAGCAAATCCTTGGTATTTGTGGAACAGTACTCCGTACTTTGGTGAAACGACATCCCCGCACTTACCTTACTTAACATTGAGGTCATACCCCGCCTAGAAAATAACGACTTCATTCTTTCAAGTTCCAACACTATTTTCCTCAATTATTATAAGCAAAAAATAATAATCATGTCTCTGGCAACTTTAGATGTACGTACATCCTTCCAGAAAACCAATCTGACACTTACCTCGACTAGACATCCCAGCACCCCAATCTCCCCGCTTCCGCGGCCACCCTCTTCTCCGCCAAAGCAGCAAAGAAGTTGAGCTTCGAAAAAATTGCGTCTCACATCGGCCGCAATGAGGTTGCCACTGCTGCCATTTTCTATGGCCAAGCCAAAGCTTCTGATGAAGATATCGTGAAATTGTCCGAGGTGCTCGGGATTGACGTCTCCCTACTGGAGCAGCAGCTGGCTGGATTCCCAGATCGTGGTCGATCAGTGGAGATGCCACCAAAGGAACCTCTCATCTATCGTCTGTATGAGATTGTGCAGAACTATGGCTATGCCTATAAGGCGGTGCTGAACGAGAAGTTTGGGGACGGCATTATGAGTGCGATCTCGTTCTCGACGAAGGTCGAGAAGGAGACCGATGCCGATGGCAATAACTGGGCAGTGATCACTCTGCGCGGTAAATGGTGAAGTGTCTTGATCTATTTTATTTCTATAGCTAATGCGATTTCAGGTTGCCATTCTCTCGATTTTAATAAATATGTTAGAATCAATGAAGTCTCGCTTAGGAGGTAACGTGTATATGGAATAATCAACGCTTTGACCGGTTCTTGTCGAGGTGACTGATGGGTTGATTACCCGTCATGGGACGCTCAAGAATGGTTCGTTCGAGGCATTCAACCCTGTATCAGGAAAGTCTCTTGGTAAATTGATTGGCATGTGGGCCGATCCATTGTTACTATATCTGCATTTATCAATTCTACTTCATTACCTTCATTACATCACTTTCGTCACTTTCGTTCTCTTGCTTTCTTTTTCTCATTCCTTTTCTTTCATTGCTTACAGTTACCAAGTCACATGTATGACTAGCTTACCGGTATTGGCTCTTTATCTGGTACAACCAGGAATGCTGTAAATCAGGTTCACCTTTCTGTGTATATGAGAACTGGAATTTGAGTAAGGGTAATTACCACATAAATCTCAAATCTACACTTTTGCACTCACCGTAGAGCGTTTTAATAAGCGACCAATGTGATAAAACCTAGATACCGAGATAAGAGGCTGAGATCCAAGGCTCTTGAGATGATAAAAAATTCAGTAAAGATTTGCTTAGCTAAAAGGGTATTGATTTGAAATTTGACTCCACTCATAGACAAGACCAGTATGAACGGCAAGACTCGCGAAAACAAAAGATAAGCATGATAATATGGCAGTAAAGAATAAACCGAAAGGGAAAGAAACATGAGCGATTTTGATGGCAAAACCGCTCCACCCCTCTTCAATCAAGATGGAATCGAGCATCCTTGATGGTTCAGTCTGCCATGGAGAGCGTCAATCGTCTCGTCATGGGCAAGCGTATTATGTCGTTGAAGTCGTAGATCGAATAAAAACGCTGGCGAAAAACAAACGGACGCTTAGCAGCAATCCTCACAGCACTCGAAGCAAAGAAGACCGGCGCAGCTAGATAGAGTCAGTATATATTCTGTGTTTGTAGAGGCGGTCGGGGTTACTTACAGGCCACAGCAAACATCGCCAGCACCACCACCACGCAGCTTCATCATGTTCTCCTGGGAGTTCTGGCAAGATTGTCAGTTAGGTATCAAACAGGGATCTGTGCAAAAACGATGACGTACAGGTTGCTCAGTGACAACGCGCTCAGTGGAAGGCGCATCAGGGCTGGTAGGCTGCTGGTTCTGCACAGTGGCAGTGTTTGGATCCCAGGTAGCGGGGGCAGTCTCCTGCTTAGAAGAGAACCAGTTGAAGAGACCGTTGGCGAACATTTTTGGAGTAGATGGGGCTTGAATGTGGGGAAAGGTGAAGAGTGTCAAGAAAAGCTTATTTGGATTTGTTGATGTAAGTGTGAGATGGTGAGAAGGAAAAGAGGGGAAAGGCGGGAAGAAGCTTTCCTTTATATGAGATCCATGTACGTGCAGGGATGCATGGGTCCGTATAAAGCGCTTACAAGTCCACTCAATTATGCTGTCAACTCCACTGATGTAATGGGAAACCCTGACATGCGTATCCACTCGGTGTGGCTTGGGGGTCCTGGCGTCGTCATGATCATGCGTAATCTCAAGTTACGATCTTTGAATGGCTGTTTCGGCTGACGATCTCAGCCACATTTTCTACTCTGTGCACTTACCGAGGGGAATACTGAAGAACCGTATTCGATGTTTCACCGCTTATGTTCTGTTTGGAGTTTCTTTGCCTGTGTAACTCCGATTACTTGAAAGGGAAACTCCAGCCCCACTCAGCCCTACATACTTCGGCTAAGCTTTTTCAATTGGTGCAAATACTGAATTTTATTTTTAGAATGTGGCTCAGTCACAGCCGAAGTACCGACTGTGGCTGAGCCTTCGGGAAGAGTGGATTAAGAGGCTGTACTGGTTATGCTCAGTCTATATTTTATACCAATGCTCTGGACATGAATTATGACAAACCAAGTAACCCACAGCATCGGTGCCCTGGTTGTTCAATTGGACAGGCAGCGAAGTGTCTGACGGAGAAGGTGGTCTACTTTGCTTGATGTCTGGTGTTCCAAATCCATGGGCTATGCTGCAAAGAAGGCAGTTTGTCTCTTTGTAGGAAGGAAATCGGTAGTATCTGGGATCAAAGAATGCAACTCTTGACGTGTGAGAATTTTCAGTGCATAATCTGGACCAACCCTTCGGCAAGAGTTCGTATTTTGAAAGTTCAGGGTCATAGATAATAGAAATCCACAATCATCAACAACCGCAACGACAAGGAAGCAACGGAGGATAACACTAGGAATGCAACGGTGTTTTTCTGATCATCGGGTTCCTATATATCCACAATGACACCCAGTGTCAACGTTTCACCCGCTGTACTCATTTCCCTATGCCGACGGACCATACTATAAGTTGCGACGTTCGGAGCAAGATCGCAAAGCAATCGGTAGTTGAGGAACAGACTGACTTTTCTAGCTGGCCGACAACCGAGTTCTTTTTTTCATGGAGCCTAGTGTTCACATCTGGAGACATGGGTGCTGAGGAAAGTCAGTTGTAGGATTCTGGCGACTTGTTCGCTAAAGTTGTGCTTCTTGGCGACGGCTGAGACGCTTGCGTTAGGTTTATGGATATCTGGATACAGGAAATCACACAGAACCATTTTCACCAAATATGATAGCTGTAGCCTAAAGGATGTAAGCGCCCGGTTTGGCTAACTCGACATTTAGCGTTCTGGAAATTTGATTCTTTCTGTGGTCTTTTGCGGCTGTTGTGAGATCCAACGGGAAACCATTGTCATGTTGCGGGTTGAATGTTGATTAACTCGGCAATTCCGAACAGAACCCAACGCTAATAATTTGAACACATCATTGCCTTGTAGCCTTTGATCCGCAGAGTGAAGGGAAATCCCGATGTCAGGCATCATCCGATGCGCATGGATGTTAAGAGCATGGCAGCATTGAATCGTAATGATATTGGGTATATTTATAAAAGTATCCAACCCGTTGAAAAAAGATGTATGGGCTGTTCGGTCTGTCGAACATCCATTTTCCGAAGGATAGATCTTCGCAAACCCAGGAGGGAGATTTGTGCACACCTAGCGTCCCTTCTTCATCTTCCTCGCTCTACCCTCATCAATCCCAGCTCCAGACTCAGAATCCACGTTCCCTCTAGCCCGCTTCTTGTGAAGCCGCAATGAGCCAGGCGACACGTTATCGGCCGAGATGCTTTCACGCTTCCGCTTATTTGATTGCGAGCTTTCCTTCTTGCGGCGCATCTCATCCTTAATGCGCAGTCGTCGCTGGACCTCCGCGGATATGTCTTCTGTCTCGTTGGAATCCTGGTCATCTTGAGTCCACTGGGTTTCGACTGAAGGTTGTCGGAATGACGGCATATCGCGCTTGCGCTTGAAGGTGTGTGATTCGTCGGTCTGGTCGGTGGACGCGCTGGGCTCCTCCGTGTTATTTTGAGACCAGGGGGAGTTAACTGAAGGTTGTTGGGAGGGAATGTCTCGCTTGCGTTTGGATGAGCGCGAGTCGCCATTCGTATTGGTGGGTGCTTTATAATCCTTTGCATTATCGGTGCGAGGTCGCTTCCGGCTGGCGTTGGGTTCCGTGTCTGTGAATTGTGACGTGGTGGTCTCCGTAGCGTTGTTTTTGGATTTTGTGGAAGTGGACTGGAATGTATTTTGGGGGTGTTTCTCTGCGAAAAGGTGTTATTTCCATATCCTTCTCATAGGAAATATGTTCCGTTGATCGTTGTCTCATATAGACATATGGGCAGCGTTCGCGTGTGATTCGCGTATAGCAGACTCCAGACTGTAAGCGGGCGACGTACTGTGTAGCTAAAGGTGGAGAGCATTAGTCCTATATCATTGATAATTCTTTCAGCCCTTGAAACATACTGTGGAATTTCGGACAATTTTGAGCTGGTTCATGGCTTGCATTGTCTTGTCGAGCATGGAGGATACGGTCTGAAAGGCATCGCCATCTGAGACACAACCTTTCACCTCTTTTAACATGTGAAGATGAGACAAGAGGACTGTTTCGTGCCGAGAGAAGATCTGTAAAGGGTAGATTACATTTCAGCATGGGAAGCTTCTCAGACGTGACGGTCAACATTGGGAGGTTGCAGCTGTGCTTTCCGTTTGTTGCGCGGCGGAGAACGTCACGCGGGGAACCAATCGTCATGACGACATACCTCTGCCCAGGGAATTTGGGAGCCATTCGCCGCATATTCTTGTGGGGTCGAGTGTTGATTGCTTCTATACTGATCTCCGGTGGGATCCATGGTATTCCGTCGGGGGCGTTTGGGAGAGGCGATGGTCAGAAAAGTTGCAGGGATCGGCGGCGATGGAAGCTTCTCCGGAGTCCGCGCTAAAGGACCCACTATGACCTGCATACTTTGCGAAGATGGAATGACCTTGGCCCTGACATATTCTTGTGTTTGATTTATTGTGAGATTTTGCTAGCAAGAAAGTTGATTTGATATCGATTATGCAGTATGTGTACATTCCAAAACGCCGACCTAAAATAAGCCCCCCAATCCTCGCAAAAATGAATAATGCTGCAGTAAACAATGAGAAACTCGTCTACAACCATCACCATGAACCAGCATCAAAGTCAAATCGAGTCAGTTCTTTTTGCGAGTCCTCAACATCCTTCTTTGCCTTCATGCGCATGTAGAAAATCGGGCAATCACGCGATGAACAGATGACCTCGCAGTGAAGGCTGCCTTGACATCGCTGGCACTGGGTCCACAAGCGACCAAAACGAACCTCAAGGTCCGACACCTTGGTCAGAGCCTTGGTGTATAACTCACCGAGACGAGGACGGCAATTCTCGCACACGGCGCCGGCCATCTCTTCTTTGCCCGACAGCGGCTTCTTGCAGCCCATGCAAGTCTGGGTTTTCTTGGCAAACTTCATCAGACCACCTAGACTAGGTGCAGCAACGGAAATGGAACGTGTGTGCTCGCCAGTCAATAATTGGTTCGCCTTCTTCTCACCCATGATGGGCTCGAAAATCCGACCAAGCGGATTTGCAAGCTGATTGTCGAGATAGTACTTGGTGTCGATCGGGACATTGTTTTCCAACACGTAGATAGGATCTTCCGCTCGCTCGTAGTTCTTGGAGTTGGTGGCACCACGGATCATTACGTAGGCCACACGATCACCGAGAGCAGGGGCGGAACCAGCGTCACGCTTAGCCATGCGCTTGGCGAGTTCGACGTGTGCTTGCTTGGCGGTATACTCTTTTTGCGCGTACGCTTTGGTGATAACCAATTTGGACATATCGACCTTGTTCTGAAGGAGATCCGAGATCGTTGCTTTAACGTACCTATGGCATTGTTAGCATGCAGTTGGCAGATGAAATACCATTTATCTTACTCCGCAGCTCCATCAACATCTCGGTCAATGAGAATCTTGTTCAAAACAGTTTCAATGACATTTTGCACCAGCAGACAGTTGTCACGCCGCACGGTCTCAATACCCTTTGTGTCCATCTTGTCGTGCTTCTTGGTATTGGTCCAGTAAAGACCGGCGTATCGCTTCTTGTTGATGAGAAGGTATGGGAAGTAAACCTTTTCGAACTCGAGTTTAATAGGCTTGATGAACTTGGATGAGACGAAGTCTGCGGCCTCCTCGCCAAGCTTCATCGCGTCAGCTAACTCAGTGACTCCAAACTTGACCATAACGGAATCGGTATCACCGTATATGACTTCCGCATCATGGGAATACCCATTGGCAATGGTATACCGTTCCTCAACCTCTTGCTTGGTTTTCTCAATCATTTGACGACCGTAGCTGGTTGTACTACTGGCAATGGGAAGACAAGGAAGCTTGCCAACTGTGGCTCCAGTGAGACCATACACACTGTTTGCGCTAATCTTCAAAGCAAGTTGTCGACCGTTCAGCACAGCTTTCTTGAAAGGATCAGTCTCGACGGCCAATTCTTTCTTCGCACGCTTTCGGGCACCCAACAACTCCTCAAGAATCTGTGTCAGGAGACCCTTGCGAACTTTCGTCGTGCAGAACATGTCTCCGTTCGGGGTGACGATGTAGTCATCATCTTTCACAAGACCCAGCTTCTCGATAGTTGTCTTATTAAGAAGAGTGGTGTAACAGAGATTGTGTGCTTGGATGATAGAGGGGTACAGTGACGCAAAATCGAGGGTTGCAATGGGTACGTTGTAGTATCCACGCTTGGGCTCAATGACTGTCGCACCTTCATAGTCTTGTTCGTCCTGACTCTTCTGATTTGGAATAACAAGTTGTTGTTCAAGGGCCTTTCGGAACAGCTGACTGATGAATTTGACTTGCTGACCTCGAGAGAGGAGGAAGTTAAAAGGAACACCCGTTACTCTTGCCATCTCAGTGTAGTTAACCAGACACATCAGCTTGTCCATCAATCTCTGCGGTAAATAGGCATCTTTCAAGCAGTATACTGCCAGACGGCGCCGAGAATCCGGAGTTCCGTTGAACAGTTCCGTGATCATCGTGTGGTGGACATCTTCCTTCTGCTCCTTCAGAAACTCGTATGACACAGAATTGAGAGTATAACTTCGCAATTGGTGATCCCGCTGCACCAATTGGAGCAGGTCAAGTTGGATACGACCATTAGTATTTGTCGCTTTTGTTTCTCGGTTGCCCATCTGCTTGCTAGAGAAATTGGACTCCTTGGCCTCTGTTTTCATGCTCTTCAGTCGAGTCCAGTAGGGGAATTGTGTACACTTGAGATGCTTAGCGCGGTCAAGAAGATAAGGAAAGTCAAAGTTCGCAATGTTGTATCCAATTATGACATCTGGGTCAACCTTTTCAACGAAGGTTCGCCATGCCATCAGCATCTCCTCTTCCTTTTTGTATTCGAGAACCTGGGTGTTGACGATTAGACTTGTCTCGTTGAGACAGAATACATTTCGAATGAAAGGTTTCTGTTCTCCATATCGCGTAACGACATTCGCGATTTGAATTACCGGGTCAACGTTTGGTTCCGGGAAAATACCCTGCCGACCAGCACATTCGATATCAAACGACAGGATGCGGAGTGGTGCCATCTTTGCCCACTCGCCGGTCGGTGGATGTGCGATCATATCTTGGTAGTCGACGACAGCTTCAACTTGACAGGTTGATAATTTGTCGGGTCCGTGCAGAAGCGTGTATTTCCCTGCCTTCGCCTCTACCCATGCCATTCCGGATAGCCCGGTGTCAATCATGAAGCGCAGGAGGTATTGGATGTTGTCGAAAGTAAGGACACCTGCGTCCATATTGCTCCACATGCCTTTGTAGTTCATGCCAGAGCCGCCACTCTCCAGTAGAGTGCGGACCTTGGCAATGAACTTGGGATCAGCGACCGTGATCTTGAGATACCAACTCTTCTTGTTCCCTTGGAAGCCATAGATATTTTCGCGCAATGTCACCTGCACTTTCTCAATGACCCTCGCGGGTTGCCCCATTTTCGACTCCAGGAAAGCCCGGTATGGATCACAATCCGCTTCGGTGAAGCCGACGGGCGCGGCAATATAGAGGTAGTGTTGGAATCCGGTGACGTGAAGTAGAACAGATTGACCGGTCTAGAACACTCGTTAGATTTGATGCCCCGCGGCGGGAGGTTACGCATCGGGACAAACTTACCTCTGTCACACCAAAGAGACGAACGGCCATGATATCTCCACGTGGTAGTCTCCCTTCCTCAGCGTCAATCTGCTGGAAGCAAACATTCTCCTTCGCTGGGTCCCATTCGGGGAGCGGCGGGCGTTCCCATTGTTGATCTTTTTCCGCGTTGCTATCTTTCAAATCTCCAATGTCCTGTGTGAATTTCTCGAGCACTTCCTCTTCAAACCGACTCTTTTGCGGCTGAGTTGAGCCGAAGCCCTTCCTTTGAGATGACTGCCCGGGCGGCTTGAGCTGAGATGAAGGTTCCCCGTCTAGCTTTCGCTTTTTTAGCGCATTGGGAGTCGCGACGCCATTGCGGGCATTATGGGTCGAATCGACCAACACCCGCTTGTGGGGCATGGTGGCTTCCGGCATGATTAAAACTCGTTAAAGTGCATGTATAGACACAGAATTCGTGGGCCCCAAAGTGTATCAGGGAAGATAGGTTGGGCGGGCAACTACTCAGCGTGTCGTGGTCGCGTCAAAGCGTGACACTCTTTACGCGGGTCGGTCACATGTCGATAAGATAAGAACTGCACGACGCGAGCTTGTCACGTGAAACCATCTGACAGCCTAAACTTCTATTATAGTAATCTCCTACAAGAAAGGATCCTTAGTGTCCTTTTTAAATAAAAATATTTTGTTTACATGTATACAAGTAGTACATTATGTCAATCTTCTTATTTTATCCAGTCCACTGTCCCGCCTAATAGTGGGCCTCAAATGCCAGAAAGATGAGATAGTCAGCTATTTGGACGCTGGATATCTTATCCCAAAAATCCAAGAATCTCTACGATCGTATAATTATCATGTTTTAGTAGTAAGATAGAGAGAGGATCAGATAACTAATTAGCATGTTACATGTAAGTAGCTATCAAATATTGTTGCCTTGATAAGCAGGCACAAATTAATACTTCCTCTTCCGTTTCGTTCATAAGGATCATGTGACCACACGCTTTCAATCCCGCAATCCAAAATGGAACGAAAATTGAACTTAACCTTCTCAAGTCCTTCTCAACTGTGGAATAAAATAAGTTCTACTTTCTAATCTTTTCATTCAAGTTCATATCTTCATCTGGTTACCACAGTCTAGATCTCTTTTACAACAACCTCAGGGAGACTCGAACACAGAACGGGTATTCTCCTCATCACGTGACTACACCACTACGCCATCTGGGCGGCACCAACTAAGAAAAACTTCACAGCCCGTGTGCCCCACCAGCGCGACTCATCCTTCACCCGCGTTCTTATCACTTATCTTTCTTTGTTTCGAAAAAGATCCCAAGCAAATAATACTCCGTGATTCGCACCTTGAGAACATAATAAGAGCCTTGTTACGAGGACTATCTGCTCTCCGCTCCCATCCTCATTCGTCCTGACTTCAATCCCCATCTCCTTGCTCCGCCGCTTCATCCGTATCGCCGAAACGATATGCAGATGGCCCTAATTTAGCTCCGTCGCAACGCCATTGCAATCAATCCAAAAGCATTTTAGGGTTCGGGTCACACTCATCTGAATTTCACCTCCTTGCGCCTTTTATTTTACACCATGTCGACCTCAAATTCCACACGGATCACCGTGGCTCCCCGCAAGCCTCGAGCCCCAATTGGTCGTTTAGCCAGCCTAAAACCCCAAGGCTCAACATCCATTAATCGTCCCCAATCAATTGGGCGTCACCATGCTCCACGACCGACAACTCACCCAAAGACAACGAGTTGTCCAAATCCGGGTTGTCCTGCTCCACATATCGTCGAAGAAGAAGGGCAGAAACTGTGTACCGGATGTGGTACCGTCATTGCCGAGTCAAACATCGTGTCGGAAGTGACATTCGGCGAATCTTCTTCCGGTGCCGCTGTTGTTCAAGGTACTTTCGTTGGAGAAGGTCAAAGTCATACGAGGAGCTTTGGTCCGGGCTTCCAACGAGGCGGTGGCATGGAAAGTCGAGAACTGACGGAAGCAAACGGCGAGTGACACCATATATGTTTTGTTGGCTTTCATACTGGAATACTAACACTCACCAGGTAATACATGCATATCCCAGCTCGCGCGACCCTTGAACATCCCCGAGAGTGCTAGCAAAGCTGCTGGGCAGGTTTTCAAACTTGCCGTTGGACTGAATTTCATCCAAGGTCGTCGAACCAAAAATGTGGCAGCAGTTTGCCTTTACATTGCTTGTCGTCGCCAGGCCGGAAATACAGTCATGCTGATTGATTTTGCTGATATTTTGATGGTAAGTCTTTACATTAAGCCTCCGGAGGGAAACTATCTCTGACTTACACCTCTAGATCAATGTTTTTAAGCTTGGTCGAACGTACAAAGCCCTTCTTGACGAGCTTCGACTGGGCGGTAACGTCTTCCTGATCAGCCCAATTGACCCGGAAAGCTTGATCTATCGTTTCGCTAAGCAATTGGAGTTTGGCCCGGCTACTATGCGAGTCTCTGCGGAGGCTGTGCGCATTATTCAACGGATGAATCGTGATTGGATGACTATTGGCCGACGGCCGGCTGGTCTCTGTGGAGCGGCTCTCATTCTGGCAGCACGCATGAACAATTTCCGCCGAACAGTCCGTGAGGTTGTTTACGTTGTCAAAGTCACCGAGATCACTATCAGTCAACGCTTGAATGAGTTTGGATCGACAGAGAGCGGAGATCTCACTGTAGATCAGTTTCGATCCGTGCAACTTGAGAACTCGCATGATCCCCCAGCTTTCACTCGAGCGAAGCAGGGTCACAAGTTCAGTCGATCAGCGAAGAGGGCTGCAGAAACAGCAGCCGATATTGAAGAAGACTTGATGAACGAGGCAGACTCGGTTCAGCCCAGGCGCGTCGATGCAGATGGTTTCGCAATCCCGAATATTCCGATTGATCCTGCCTTGATGCAGACTCATCGGCGGACATCTGTTAGCAAAGCAGTGAACGATATTCTCGAAGACACGAAGCTAGAAATGGCCAAAAGGGATGGGAAGGGCAAGGATGCACGTCGGCCGTCTATTCTCGCCAATCCCACTCCACAGCAAATCGCATCTGAGGATGCATTAGAGGCAGAGATGCAAAAGATGCTGCAAAAGGGGTCGAACTTGGTTGACAGCGTCCCCCCGGAGCCAAAGAAGGTCATCTCTGATAGCGTTGATATTGATGCTACTGAATTTGATGACGATCCCGAAATCGCCAATTGCCTCCTCACCCCCGCAGAAGTCGACATCAAAGAGCGCATCTGGGTCACCGAGAACAAAGAATACCTTCGTTTGCAACAGGAGAAGGCCATGAAGCGTGCTTTTGAAGAGGCCATGGGTGGCGGTACCACTCGCAAACCTCGCAAGCGACGCAAGGCTCGCATGGGTGATGTCACCTATCTTGAGGGCCAGGACGGTGAGGGCCGTGGCTCTCGAGCATCCACTCCGGCTGAGGCCACAAGACGCATGCTAGAGGTGCGTGGATACAGTAAGAAGATCAATTACTCTTTGCTGGACACATTGTACGGTGGTCAAGAGGAGGGCGACGATGCGGAAGCCAAACTGGAAAGTTTTAGCCGAAGCCGAAGCCGTAGCCGCAGCATGAGCGTCGCATCACGGCAAAGTCTTCCTCCTGCAGCCACACCTCGCCGCCGCAGAAAAGGTGCCGCCGTCAGAACCTCCCATAACGCTACTACTCCTGTTCCCGAGTCACCCTCTAGATCTGCTTCTAAGCCTGCCCCCAAGTCTACTCCTATGTCTGCTCCTCAACCTACTCCTCCGGCTACTCAACCTACTCCCGTGCCTGCTCCTGTGTCTGCTTCCGCTTCTGTTCCCGAATCCGCTCCTCAACCTACTCCTCCCCCTACAGCACCAGGGGTTTCAAACACAGACGAGAGTGCCAAGGAAGGCGAACCTGCTAGCGAACAGCCAGATCCCGATGACGTCGACGAGGACTACGGTGATTATGACGTGGATGACCACCTTGATGAAGCATTCGCAGGGACCTATGAAGATGACTATTACGATGTTGGCAGTGAATCAGACTAGAACACGAACAGACGTTGTGTCTTCCTTTACTTTCGTGTTTTGACTACCCATGTCGGGCTGATACTATCGAGGCAAATTATGAGGGAAGTATCATTATTGTGCATATTTTAGCGTCACAGCGTCGAACCCGCGTTTTATTTGATTGACTTCCCTCAACCTGCTATGTTACTGTAACCATAAACGCAGATTTCACATAAAGAAGTCAATTCAAGATACCTATAATGACAGATCTTACCTTGATAAGCATTCATACTGGCGTGGAATCGGATACTTTTGAGCCCTTTTATGGTACTCTTTAGGTCGTCCTTAATTATTTTTTATTCCCCCAAGACTCAGCCTTTACTGTATCTCTGTACATACTGCTTTATGTATTCGCTTTGTCTCTTCTTCGCACAGCACATAGAGCAATAAAAGCCTCGGGTCAACTGATCCTGATCCTTCAGCACTCAGGGGCCAACATGTCTCAGATAACGCGTACAGTACTTTTGCGCCGTTGGTTTTCGTAGCAATTACCATGTTTGTTCGAGGACACCACCATTTCCAACAATCAGCGCTCATCAATTCCTATGCTTCCATATTATGAACATTATTTCCTTTAAATTTACAATTGAAGCGCATGGTATAACTTGTTAAAGGTATGGTCCTTGGTAATAAGCTTATTGTTGCATGTGAGACTGCATTTCCAACACCTCGGGGTTATAAGCACGCCCTACGCCCGGGTGGCCGGACTACCAGATTTAGTATAGTGGTAAAAACGGTTCATAAATCCGTATCTAAAAACCGAATTCACTCATGGGCATGCATGCCAGCATGGTAACCCAATTTCAAACATTACATACACTAAACAACCCGAAAAGAAAGGGGAGCGTTCAGAAGAGGACTTAGCCCGAAAGCCAACGTTCAAACATATGGCACTCCGTAGTCTTCATTTACATGTACACGTACAAGACAAAAAGTATATGGCTCATGCATATTTTCATTTTAAGTCATAAATAAGATGGACCAAGTCAAATACATGCAGATGAAAGAAAAAAACTCCACGATTACGACGCCAAAAAAAAAACTAAGACCCCGCCGGTTATATCCATGAAACACCACACCCACACGCCCTCCAGGGGCGTGAAATGAACCGGGCTGCGCGAACTGGGTCAGTCAAGCGCAAGTGAACAGAACTAAATCCAGTAAACATTAAAACAGGCAAAGAAACAAAGAGTCGATCGAGTCGGAGACGTTGTGGTCGTGGTCGTGGTCGTGGTCGAGTGCCAACGAGTCGTACCGTAGGCTCACGAGAGAATCGAAGTTTTTCCGGGTTATTTTGATTTTTTGTTGGGCGAAAGAAAAATGTTGGAAGGATAAATGTCGGTTATGAGTCGATCTCCATTCCCATGTCGACGCCTTCGTTCGGCTCCGCTCCCATGGCGGATGGCGTATGTGAGTGCGTTGAGAGGGCTTGCTGAAGAAGAGGCACGCCTATCTCGCCGTTGTTGAAAGGGTCAGCGGAAGGAGGAGTGTTGGATCGACTTGATGCAACGATCGGAGCGCCTTCGAAGATGATAGGCGTGTTGCGTAGATTTCGGAGACAAGATTCCCATGAGGAAGCCACAAGTTGAGCTTGGGTAAGGTCTTCATTGAAGAGGTAGAAGGCAGGGGAGAATGCAGCGACGGGTGTGGCGGCGACGAGGTAGGCATTTAGAGCGCGGCTTTTCATGAGCATCTGCGAGTTGTGTAAATAGGCGGCGTATTGGTTGTCGATGTACTTGATCCAGCCGCGCACAGCGGGAGCCATGTCATTATCGGTATCCATGCGTTGCCAGCTGATGCCGAGGAGATGGGTAGCATCGTCAATGAGTGGTTCAGCAGGTGGCGTGGATCCACCAGTGAGGTTACGGTGCTGATCAGCTTCGGAGCCATTCAGGCGGTGCTGGTTCGAAGAAAGTGCAATGTCGTCGAGACCCGGGGCGGAAGTGTCAAGTCGTTGAGCTTTGCGGGAAATATCGGCAGCATCAATTTGCAGAGCGTCCGACGAGACCGGAGTCGCTTTGGCAGCTTGCGCCTCGGCCGTCTCTTCGTACCATGTACCAGTTTGACTTTCGGGTGAGAGAGCCATGCCAGTCTGAGGATTCAATAAGACCATTCCCTCGCCATAGATGGGCTCTACTTTAGGAGATGGGGCGGGCTTCGGCGCGGGCACGGCTAGAGCTTCTCCAAATGAACCATCATCACGCGACCTCTTGCGAGATGGTCTGGGCGCGGTAGCGATAGACGCGGTGCCAGAGTTGAAAATGGGCTGGGCAGATCCATTGGCAAGCATCGAGTTATGGCTCGCGGGATAGCCATGTCGGTTTGAGTCCAGCAGGGAGGACTGGGAGGGGAACTGAGCGAAGGCGTGTTCCTGGGTAGGAGAGAGGCCCATGGCAGGACCATCGGAAGGACGATTGAGGATCATCGGGGACATATTTTATAGAGCCAAGAGTATAGGGGGAACTGTTCTGTAGGGTTAAGTGAGCAGCACACCAAAAGCTACAACCACCTATAGATCAAGAGCCGAAATAACGGAAGGTGATGGGAGGTAGGAAGGATAGGTCCAGGCAATATAGAATATATAAAAAGATGGAAGATCCCGACTATATAAGGAACCCAGTATGTATGAGGAGGGGGGAGAAAGCAAATTGAAAAAGAGGTAAGGCGAAAGGGAAAGAAAGAGGAAGTCGCGTAAAGCGAGCGCAAAGAGAATCAGAGGCGATCCTATCTTGCAATTGCGGAGGGTACAATACAATACTATAATACCTGGGCCTGGAAGGATGTTCCGATCGGCCGTTACAGTAATAATTCAAATGTGGATCACAAAGTCGGCGCAAGCGGATTGCGCTGTTTGGTTGTGTGGAGCTTTCAGCTGCAGCGATTGACCAATCAAGGAAGCTTAAAGAGTCCAGCCCTTGGTTCTAACCGCAGATGCAGATGCACCAGTGCGCAGCTGCGAGGCCCCAGCCCACACTCACCTTGCCCTACCAAGTTCCGGCCCCAGTGATACTACCCTACTAAAACACAGTAATCTTTATGGAAAAAAAAGTCTATTGGAAATAGTATGATGACAAGAAGAGGTAGAAAAAAAAAACCAAAAGACACCGGAACGTTAAGAAACAAGTCCAAAGCAAGCCGACACCAGAGCTCGTGCAAGTCTAACATCAAATCAATGTTCGTGGAAAGGAAGAAGATCAAGTACACCGCCAGCAACGCCAGCTTGGGTATACATCGCAGGTATTGAAAAAGGAACGGTAAAGAACTGCCGGAACCCTCCGTTTTTTTTAAAAAAAGAACAGGAACCTGGCACAGGCTGGATTTCCTGCATGTCGCCGTGCCGGGTTCAGAATAGGCCAGGGAAAAATAAAGAAATGAATATGGAAAGCTGTTTCTTTTCAATCGCCAAAAGCTAGCTAACTCCATGAGAGGCTGCCATCATAACAGGGGGTATGAAATATTCTCCTTATCAAGTTCCCCGGGCTTGAGTCTTCTAAGGAAGCCAAAAAAAATCTAATTGGCCGGAGTAGCACCACCAAGCATGCCCTTCACGGATTCGGGGGCATAGCCGGGGGCCATAGTGCCAATGAAGAGGAAGAAGATGATAGCAGCCGCACCAAAGATAACAAACTTGCGCTGGGCAGGGCGGTTGTTGCCATACTCGGCCCAGGCACGGTTAGCCTGGCCAGTGTACTCGCGGATCTTGTCACCACCCAGCTTGTAGTAGACTAGACCGATGAGAGCGACGGAGTAACCAAAGAACTGCAAGGGAGTGACCGGGGTGTTCCACAGCATCATAGAGGCGGCAACCAGCAGGATATCTTTCAGGACACCGCACAGGGTCATCACCAGAGACGAAGTCTTGCCAATCTACAGATATTGTTAATAAACAGACTCGGGGGTTGTTCAGATCAGAAAGCGTACCAAGAAAACGACAGAGACGTTCAGCAAGAAAGCGACCATGGCGTTGGCGAGCAGAACCCATACACCCACGTTGTAAATGTGATCCATGGTGAGGCGGGGGAACTCCAGGAACAGAGCCACGGAGCCGTTCATCACCGCACAGATAGGAGCAAAGTAGTAAAGAGAGACCATGGGATCCATCTTGTACTCCGCAGAGCTAAGCAGGCGCTGCACCATAACCAGACGAGTGGCCTCAAAGACAATACCACCCAGCTGGAACAGGAAACCGACCATGACGAACTTAATCTCACCGAAAGAAGCAATGACGACACCAACGACGATGATCGAAACGTTCATGAGAGTCTTGTAGTTGACGGGAGCCATACCCATACCCCAGGTAGCGATGAGGACAGCAACGGGAGTAGTGGCCTGCAAGTACTGTTAAACCGGGCATTCTTCGAAGTCAACGATTTCCGAGATTCCAAACGCACCTTGAGCATCTGAATGAAGGCAACACTCAGATATAAATAGGTCATGTTGCCGCAGATCAAGGAAAGACTGAACATGAGACCAATGGGTACGATGGCGCGGAGGTAGACGCGGCCAGTCATTTTTACACTCTTGCGACCATCAAGGACGGTGGTTGTGCGGGCAAGGATCTGGGTCATGATGGTCGCGAAAGTCAAGTGCCATGTTGTGAGGATGATAGCTAAAGAGGAGTTAGGAAGGAATCTCAGTGGGCTGAAGGTGTAGCAACGAACGGAAACCTATACATCAAGATCTATTAGCAATATCCCGGCAAAGTAGGGTAATGGTACTCACGGAAGTTGGCATAGTCGAGGAGGTACTTGTTGAACAGAATGACACTGGAACTGAGAGTAATCCAGATACTAATTCCTCAAGCAATTAGCTACCGTTTCCCCGCGAAGTTTATGCCTTTGCTCACCTCACATAGACCGCCGGGTGGAGGGCAGCCCTGGGGGCCTCCTGCTTCTCTGCTGCCGGGTTGACAGTGGGGAGAGTCTCGCGCACTACCTCACCGGAGGTGCGGACCTTCTCGCCATCGGAGCTCATTGTGAATGTTCGAGTTTGTTCGGAGAAAAACTGTCGGAGTTCAAAGGGCCTCGGGCGCGAAAGGCTTCCTTGGCCAAATGCGGAGGAAGCCACGGGGGATATAAAGTAGTGAAATTAAAGGATCACTATTCAAAGTGATGATTAACGAAGGTGATTGAAGTTCCAAAAGAGGAAAAGCAGTAGAACCAAAAAACGAACGTGGAGGGGGGGGAATGAAGAAATGATGATGGAAAGAAAAGCTAGGGATGGAATGGGGTACGTACTTCGGGGGAAAGGACACTAAAAGTGTAAAAAAAGGTACAGCTCAAGAACAACCAGAACCAGAAATTAGGGAAATTCGGTGGATAATAGAAAGTAGACGGGATCCGCTTGGTTTAGATGGAACTTCAAATTGGATGCAAACGGTTAAACATCAGTCTCAATACTCCGTACAATACTCCGTACTGTAAGACGCTAAGGCCACCTGTACTTTTTAACTTTTAACAGTGGGGGAAATAGATTACGGTATTGGTTTTATAGTCAGCCCTTTAACCAAACTCCCCACTGTTCCTGTACGGAGTACATTCGTGGCAACTCCTTTTCGTCCTGAGCCGCACGCCAATGAGCAACGATACCCTCACCCACGGTCCCATAGACTCTTATTTCTTCTTAACTATTATTAGAGTGTCATATATGTCCCCAAATCCGGATATCCTTATCAACGAGAATGTAACCCACTTGGTATTTTGGTGTCTCCCCTGTCAATTTATTCCGGTTTGAGATAGAAATCACTGAACGCGACAACTACTGACTGCTTCGTCACAGGGCAACGCTGATCCAAATTAACCGTCAGTTGACAGAGGTCGACATTACGCAAGCAGTTGTTAGCCCGACCCACTGTGGCCCGCGTTCAGCAACTCTATGGACCAGGTCCCTTACGGGTGGAGAATGCGACGATCGCTTTGAGGAGGCTGTGTCTGACGCCATCGACCCGTTCAGGGACTGTTGGAGACCCACTTCGCGAGGAGCAGGGGGGAATAAAGAAAAGAAGAAGAAAAAGAAATAATAATAATTCAGCCCCAGGGTATAGGAGCCGAGGGCGGCTAGTTCCCGCAGCAAAGCTTTTTCTTTGTTGGTGGTGTACGGAGCACTCCATATCAAGTTAGTATCTGTTAGACTTTGTCAAATCCAAATAATTCTCCCGCATCTTTGCAGTGGACTCGAGATCTTCTCGCTCATCTTCCAGCCATTTTCCTCTACCCGAGCAAGCCGTCGATCAAATGAGATCCAGCAGACTGAAGGGATCTTCCTGATCCTCATCGTCCTTTCCTTGTTTAGGGAAGGCCAATCAGTGGATCCGCTTGCCTGTGCTCGCCTTGTACCCTGAACTCTGCGGATGTCCGCCCGGTGTTCAAGATTGTTTTACAGTACAATTAGTGTACAGTATACAGTAACCTCTGCAGGCAGCAGGAAGATCCCAATACATTGACGAGTCATTTACTCCAAACCTGACATGTACGGAGTATCCGCTACGGAGAGAAGATGTACTGTACTCTCGATGCTGGGTCTCAATTAAATAATTTAAAATTCTCAATTACGGAGTAAGTCCATAACTAATGCCCACAACGTGCCGAACGACATCGGTGGCGTTTTTAGCCAAGTCTTGTTGCTGATTTACGATCGTTGTTTCTTTTACCCGTCAAAAAAATATGAGCGAATCATTGTAATTCCATCATGAAGCTTCCCAGTCTACCCCTTTCCAGCCTACAATCCTGTTGAGACGAATCAGAATACGCCGAGAGATAACAGCATTCCTGATTCGTTAGGAGGGCGCCGAAACCAAGCCAAGGACTGAATTTTAACCGCATGCAAGCGGTAAGAGCCCTTCAATGGGCATTTTGATGGTCCGATAAGACTATCTGCAGACCAATAACGGCCGCTCGCGGATTGTGATAGATTCGATAGTTTAAAGCCAGGGTCCAGTGAGTGGCGTGGTGATAGCGAATGAGCATTTAGAATTCGTTGCATGGCTTCCAAGAATTACAAAAATGAAAGAGAAAAAAAGACACAAATTTCCTAAAGGGGGGGACGAGGATCGTGCATACGTGTTCATGGTTGGGGAAGAAGGGTATACGCCCCTGAACTGTAAAGGCTGTTATAGGCTCTGGGACGATGTGATAGGGTCTGGACCTAGATCTCTATGGTTCAAGTAATCAAAAGTAAATTAGTGTAAAATCAAGTGGAGGGAAAGTAAACCTGAAACAGGAACAAGACCCAACTCCACTCTTGTCGACACCGCTCGAAAGTGCCGGGTCCGTTTTACCCCTACCCACGGTTTCGTGAGTCCCTCCCACTTTCCCTTTCTCAACCTTTATTATCCCTCCAAGTCGCTTCTTTGCAGTCACCTTTGCTGCTCAGTTCATCTTCTATGCTGAACATCGCTCGCAGGACTTTCAAACGCGTGCCCAGCTTCCAGGACCTCCTACAAGGCAGGATGACCCACCCCGACATGTATGAATACCCCCCCTCACCGTCACTCTCCTCAAGATTAACACCAATTCCAGTTCTGTTGACGTTCTCGTCATTGGTGCTGGCCCGACTGGTTTGGGTGCGGCCAAGCGTTTGAACCAGATCGTAAGTACAACTTCTCTCTCTGCATTGATTCTGATTCGGTGTTGGAAGGCAGAAAAAAAATAGGGGGGAAATGGAGGGGTATACAGCACCCAAGAAAGAAATCAAGTCACTAACTCAATTGCTTCTAGGATGGTCCCTCTTGGTTGATTATCGACTCTAACGAGATCCCCGGTGGTCTGGCTTCGACCGATGTCACCCCTGAAGGTTTCGTAAGTCGTGCCTGTGTTTGGTTGCGGGGAAATGATCAAAAAAGCTAACACGCTGTCAAACAGCTGTACGATGTCGGTGGCCACGTTATCTTCTCCCACTACAAGTACTTCGATGACTGCATCGACGAGGCCCTCCCCAACGAGGGTGACTGGTTCACCCATGAGCGTGTCTCCTACGTTCGCTGCAAGAACGAATGGGTTCCCTACCCCTTCCAGAACAACATCTCCATGCTGCCTAAGGAGGAGCAGGTCAAGTGTATCGATGGCATGATCGACGCCGCCCTGGAGCACCGTGTTGCCAACACCAAGCCCAAGAACTTCGATGAGTGGATTGTTCGCAACATGGGTACCGGTATTGCCGACCTCTTCATGCGCCCCTACAACTACAAGGTCTGGGCCGTTCCCACCACCAAGGTAAGAACAGAAGGTTTCGTCGCATGGAAATCCGCTCAAACGCTAATTATCCTCCCAGATGCAATGCGCTTGGCTCGGTGAGCGTGTCGCTGCCCCCAACCTGAAGGCTGTGACCACCAACGTCATCCTTAACAAGACCGCCGGTAACTGGGGTCCCAACGCTACCTTCCGTTTCCCCGCCCGCGATGGTACTGGTGGTATTTGGATTGGTGTTGCCAACACCCTCCCCAAGGAGAAGACCCGCTTCGGTGAGAAGGGCAAGGTCACCAAGGTTAACGCCAACAACAAGACCGTTACCCTGGCCGATGGCACCACCATTGGTTACTCCAAGCTCGTCTCCACCATGGCCGTCGACTTCCTCGCTGAGGCTATGGGCGACCAGGAGCTGATTCCCCTCACCAAGCAGCTCTTCTACTCCTCCACCCACGTTATTGGTGTTGGTATTCGTGGTGCTCGTCCCGCCCACATCGGTGACAAGTGCTGGCTCTACTTCCCCGAGGATGACTCTCCCTTCTACCGTGCCACCATCTTCTCCAACTACTCCCCTTACAACCAGCCCGATGAATCGAAGAAGCTGCCCACTCTTCAGCTCGCCAACGGCTCTAAGCCCGAGAGCTCTGAGGCCAAGGAGGGACCTTACTGGTCCATCATGCTGGAGGTTTCCGAGTCTTCTATGAAGCCCGTGAACCACGAGACCCTCCTGGCTGAATCCATCCAGGGTCTTATCAACACCAAGATGATCTCCCCCGAGGACGAGATCGTCTCGACCTACCACCGCCGCTTCGATCACGGTTACCCCACCCCCAGCCTGGAGCGTGAGGGTGCTCTCACCCAGATCCTGCCCAAGCTGCAGGAGAAGGGTATCTGGTCCCGTGGTCGCTTCGGTAGCTGGCGCTACGAGGTCGGCAACCAGGACCACTCGTTCATGCTGGGTGTCGAGGCTGTGGACAACATTGTCAACGGTGCTGTTGAGCTGACCCTCAACTACCCTGACTTTGTCAACGGTCGCCAGAACACCGAGCGCCGTCTGGTTGATGGTGCCCAGGTCTTCGCCAAGAACAAGCAGTAGATAATTTCCCCCTTTTTCTTTACATCTTCGTCTTTTTTTTTAACAAGCTTGTTTCAAATATACTTGCACGATGTCTTACACTGTCACGGAAAACTATACACGCAAAGGAAGCATCTGAAGCGGCATCTGGGAGACGATATTTGTTGGCGTTTCATGTGAATTACGTCCCATCTTCATTTTTTACTTCAGAAGAGACTTACCATGTTGGATTTCCTGGCCTTTCATACTTGATACACCTTTATAGGCTTGCTGTGGAAATAACTAGCTTATTATCCCTAATTGACTGTTCACAAATGTTTCTTGTTCAACTGTATTCCCTCTGTTGATATGTATACTAAAGACCGACTCCGCCCTGTTCTGACCTATCTGACGCGTTTCACTATCAGCAAGTGCGACAGTGGGACGAACCCAGTACTCTCACTGAATCGACTCCCCCAATCGCCACTGATCCATCCCATCGCCACCCGCAGATCTCCGCACCCCAAATCTCCAACGTGTTCCACACAAGAAATACCGGTACAACCAACTCCATCGTCCCAATTCCCAACGAGGGACCCTTGGAAACAGCCAGGGACAAAATTATCATCCACGACAGCACCAAAACCTGCCACGAAATGAGAACCAAAATAACCGAGGGAACCAATAAACACTCGAGAACGGTCCTAAATGCTGGTTGGTTACCGGATCAACGTTATTCTAACAGGTGGCGTTTCATGTGGGCCCTGTCGTCGAAGCCAAGCATCGTGGAACACGAAGATGAGACTAAAATTAACCGTGGGCTTGCGTCTTGATTGGGTCGATTTGTGGGATTCTAAATTTTGGGGCATGGTCTGGTAAGAGGTTAAATGGGTAGATTACGTGGATGTAAGTGTGGATTCAACGTAGTTTTATCCGTGAAATTGATACATGTGCTTGAAAACTTCAAAACAGATTACTTGCGAGCACTTAAGGATGATACATATAAGATTTTAAATTACACTAGATTCTCTGCAAGTATTTATTCATACACGTCTGTTTACACAATATGGTAAATCTCGCGAATCAATGGGTATCACCATGTCAATTTATCTATTCTAACAGCTTGGAGTTGTATGACCACCACATTGCAACCGCCTCCTTTCAAGCAACTTGCTATTGTTGAGATTAAGGTTGGAAAGAGCAGAAAGTGTTCTGTTGAGCATAATCCTGTCTCTGAATCCTTGAGGTGCTCCTCCGCCCTTTAATTCTCGTTGTTGTGACTGGTGTTCCTGCTGTTGCACAGAATGCGCAACATTGTAGATGTCCCGAATATTGGGAGTCTCAGGATAAGAATGCCCGCTCTCATTATCCGTTACTGCTTGGAAATGTTCTTTAAATGAGTCTTTCTCCTGCGAAGCAGAGTGGTGTTCAGGTATGGGTGTTGAAGCGTCGCTGTCACTAGCAGTCTTTTCATCTAAATCACCTCGCATCCAAGGATGAGCGAGACAATCCTTGATAGTTAACCTTTCTTCAGGACTAACAGTCAGAAGGCGAGACACGAGATCCTTTGCGCTGTCCGAAATATTATCCCACTTCGGTGATGAAAATGTGTATTCTCCTTGCATGATCTTCCGCCTCATGATGTCAAGATCTTCGTCGTAGAAAGGGGGGAATCCGGCCAACATGGTGAACAGAAGACATCCGAGAGCCCACATGTCGACACTGGTTGTATACTTATGTTGTCTGAATAGTTCCGGTGCAGCGTAGCTCATGGTCCCACAGGGTGTCATGGCTGGAACACCACAGATGACCTTAGATAACCCAAAGTCGGCGAGTTTGACCACGCCAATATCACTAGACCCAACCTCGGCAATTGAAATGGCTTCTTCGGCTCCATCTTCATTCCCTGGTTGTGTGTTGCCCGGGGTGGAAGAATTAGGGTAAAAGAGAATATTTTCCGGTTTGATATCCCTGGAAATATGTCAGTTTGGGGATCACTACTGCAGCCTTTTGGACTTGCAAGGGCAAACTTACCTATGAACAATTCCCATGGTATCATGAAGATATTCCACTGCATTTGCAACTTGTGTGATGACATGTCGGCCCATTTCTTCACCGAGAGACGCAAACTTGACTATTTGATCGTATAGTTCGCCTCCAGGGCAAAGTTCCAAGAACATATAATGATATTGAGCTGATTCAAATGAGTCGATAAGTCGAACCACATTGTCGTGATCGAGTTTACGTGTAATCTCAACTTCGTCATGTAACTTTTTTTTCTGCGACATTGTCAGAATATATGTTTACACATCTGCTAGCTCTTGAGGGAAGCTTGGAAGATGCTGAACTGAGAGTTATTTCCTTACCTGTTTTTCTTGCATCTCATATTTCTTCGTGACTTTAATGGCGACTTCACTGAACTCGGATTTGGTATCGCTCGCACGGTAAACACAGCTGAAAGCGCCATCCCCGATCTTCTCCTGTAAACGCCAACGATCAAGACCAGGGTAGCTCGGCATATTTGAAGCGCGTCGTGATTTTGACATGAATCCGACAGAAAGATTTGAAGTGTCGACCTCCTGGGCTCGTTTAGCTTCCTGCGCTCTGCGTCTTTCTCGGATACGCTCCATCACACTTCGATTTCCAAAAGACCTTGTCTCAACAGGTCTAGATATTGTAGTGGTAGACATGATTATTATTCTGAGATTGGGCTCGTTGTATGACAATGGAGAAAAAAAAATTAATTGCGCGCTGTTAGTTTTTACTTGCGACAATTAAAGTTGAAAGCGGACTGGACAATGACGTAAACCCATACCTTGATTCGGGGCTCGCATATCGCATAGCCTGACAACTGCGTCATAATTGGAGATCCCCAAGAGTTTGGCATGTAAAATTACGGTCTGGTAAGGCTTAGTGCGATTTATGCTCGCTTGTTCAAATGTTATCCTTTGGACTACTCTTATACCAAAATTCTTCTAGTATGCCTCTTCCCTGCCGCATTGAATCACCTTTCCAATGGACCTACCTTCAAATTTGTCAGTCTTTACGAAATCTAATTGCTATTCAGCTTCAATGCCAGAATACTGTCCGTACAGTGGTAATTATCTGGAAGGACTTTGTTTTGAAAAAATCTATTTAGTACATTCAAAAAGACTCTGATTGGCTGGATTGCGACCCGACGCGGTGTGGCTCGACTGTGATTGGTGGGCGCTTTTCCGTTAGATCGCTATGATGTGCCTGATCGATGATCTTCAATTTTGTACATTAACAGATGATATCAAATGAAATTGAACTGTCACACGCACATTGCGTGTCTTCTTTTCATTTGCATCAAATATAAGTGATCTCAGCCACACAATATTAATGTTTGCGGAACCTGTCGATTGAAGATTGGATGTATAAAATAAATAGGTGGCGAATATTGAAATCATTACATGTAGATCTCCTAAAGGTTCCGACACCGACACGAACATTTGATCAAATAAGGTGCATCCCTTACCTAGTACTTCCTGCTTTTTGTAATAGGGCTTGACTCTCCTACAAATGTACACGTGTATATGTAAGGAGCTGGCGCCTAAGCTGAGCCCGATTCAATCTGAGCTACGTCACGCGTCAATCTCATCAATGCCTGGGATTTTTATGTGGCGCATGAGTCCGGCTTGAGGCATACATGTCTAACAATGGTAAAATTATAATTACGTCCAAAATGTGGGTGCATCTTCCCTTTTGGCGCTGATATGGTAACTTGCGACCATATATATGTAGCGACGAAGCATTACTCATCAGAAATCAATGACAATAATTGTGTGGGATGGATCGACATGTAGATTTATTCACACTATGAAACTGCATCTTGACGGAGGAACTCCCCGCGGCACGATCATCTCTCATCATACGATGGGCCCGACTGGTGAGTTGCCCTCACGCAGTTGCTGCCATCCGAACCTGGCAACCTATAGGCTGGCCAAAGCTGCTGTCGGACACAATTTCTCCAGTGTGTAGAACCAACCGCTTTCCAACGGGTGGAAATTGAGTTCTGCACGTTTATCACCCGATAATTTCGAGTTGTACCGCTCGGCGGCGGATTCCCGAAAGCACGAGAGGAGGTTTGTGCGAACAACACCTTCCGTCTTGAGAAGAACCATGGCTCGAAGTTGACTAAGGATTGTATACACATTAGTGTAGTGAGTCGTTTCTTGAACAGTCTTCTGATGTGTGAGGGCTGTTGGATCTGGAGTGAAAAATCCAACGTCCTCCGTCTTCCAGTTTGATAGGCGTCCGGTGGCAATGAAACATGGAATTCCATCCTGTCCGGTAGGGCCTGGTGGGCTGACCGGGCCGCTCTGTAGGTCATCAAATGCCCGTCTAGCTGCCACGTTCAGCATTTCCTGTACCATTTCGCGGATGATCGATATCATGCTTGGTGGAGACGCCACACTTGGCTGAGCTGATGGGATCAGCGGGGTCGCAGGATGGGTCCCGCTGTGGAGAAAGGGCGTTTTGCGGCGTTTATGACTTGATGTCTGACGAATCACGACTGGGCTGGCCTCCTGTACTGTATTTCGTGAACTGTGTTAGATGGCCGAAAAGGGAGCCATCGTTATTGAACGGACGTAGGTTCAAAGGAGCTTCCGATAGTTGTCTCACCGGTGCGGTGGAATTGTAACTGGAAGACGAGACGGATGACTTGTCCTCGTCGCTTATAAATCGGCATATGTGAGTAGGTTCGATGCCAGACGAAATCCGAAACAGATGAAAGCCGAAACGTTTGGGTGAAGAGAGCCTGGGAGAAGAGCAAATTTTGTGAATATTTCCAAGGCTGGAGGGTGGCTACTGATGCTGCCTACTTGCCCAGTTTTCACACGTACATGGGCATGGTCCTTTTTCAAATTAATGCAAATGCTATTTAATCACTACCTGTTTGTCCTTACATACATACATCATCAACTGTTCAAAGGCCTCGTACTTTATACAGACCCACAGCCACTCTGAGGCAAAAGACTTATCGCATCGAGATACACCTGCCCAGTGACCGAGTTATCCTCAGAGTCACAAGCAGCAAGAATATGCAAGGACTCGACCGGATGCTTTGGCACATAGGTTCCAGATACAGAGATCCACTTTCCGAAGCTTTCCTCGTACACATCCGCGCTGGCGATCTCGCCGACCGTTGAATTGGAGCCCGCGTATACGTACACAAAGCAGTAATTCGATCCCGACAAGGGGACCTGAGCCTCGGCGTTGAAGGTATAGTTGCGTCCTGGCTTGAGATTTTTCAAGGTTTGGGATATGGTGTTGCCTTGGTTGTCGACGGCGGTTTCCAGGTTACTATCGAGTCAGTCAGGGGTTTAGCTCGCTTTATTATGGCGGTGCTTCTCACAGATAGTAGTCACCACTGTAGGCATTTGCGCCAGTGATGACATGGGCAACGTTGATGGCAGATGCACGCCATGGGAATAGGATACCAGACTCGAAGCCTGGGTTGATAACGGCATTGCACGCTGAGAGAGCCATCTTTGCGGTTGTAGAGCACGAGAGATTTGGGATACAGAAAACTAGAACATCTGGACTATATGCTAATACTATATAGGAGTCAGAGTTTGGACAAGCTGGGTTATCAAAGCGTCCTCTCGTGATGTCTTAGACATTTTGCGGTTGGGGTCGCGGCTTTGGCCGCCATGGAACGCCTTTAGCCAAATCAGGGTCTTCCCATCCCCACATTTTCCTTATGAATTTTGATTAAAGTTCAAAGAAGCTGACGATATGTAACATGAAATCCAGGGTTACTCTGATCTATAAGATCTATTATTAGTAGATCTTATATTAGTACCTATTACTATGGTGGATTCTAAATCAGCAAGACAGTGCTTAATGAGGAGGGAATATTCTGGAAAGTAGTGTGGGTTATGTTGTTTTTTCATGCTAACTTAGGTGTATATGTTTCAACGGCTGTGTCGACCCCGGGCGTTGGATTCCAAAGAAATTCCCACCGTCTCGTAAGAGCAATAGATTACTAGAGTTGTAAGGACTAGTTGACTAGTTGACGGCAGCTACCGACAATGGATCTGAGATGGCACTTTTCCCGGTCTCTGGCATATTCACACGCGGAGCAGATGTCGCTCTATGGTGCAATTAGCAGCCAGACCACTCGGCCACCACAGACTTTCATGATATTTGCCCCCATAAATAAGGGAGAAATGGTAACCTGAGCCCCTTTACCCACACCATCCAACTCCACCATCTATTTGTTCATCCAGTGGTATGAACCTGGATAACAAATTCTTTTTTGGGGGGGGGGGGGGGGTTTAAAAGCACCACCAGATCCTCGAGTCCTTTGCTTGATAATGAAGATGGTATCCCAATCCACCTACGGTCCGACCATGATTCATGTTGCCAGGTTTGTCAGGCACCAAAGCCTCCTTTTAGACTAGACTGCCTTGATAGCCCCGCTCCAATACAACTCATACAACTCCCTCGGGAAGTTCCCACCGTCAACCCAACATGTTGCTATCATATGGGCAGAACAATTTTGTATTATAGCCAATTTAGAAGACAGATATGTTTTGCCATCCTTGATTTCCCCAGAGAAAGACTAGAAATTAATAAACATTTCTCCAGGCAAATCGCGCTCCGGATATGCGGACCCTAAACACGTCATTTCACCGAGGACCACGGGAAAAAGCAGGTTTCAATTCAATTGTGTTCGGCAAATGGACCCGCATAGTTATACTTCGTACTTGTTGGATAGCCCTGGATCTTAGAAGCTCAAATCCTTTGAATCTGGCTCTGAAACCCAATTTCATCTTGCATCTCTACAGGGGTCTTCAGGTCTTGGGTGATCGGCAATGGTGAACTCGGAACTTCCACATCTGCAATTCACATGGACTATTTTATGAGATATCCGTTGTCTCTCCTTGGTAACAGCCACAATTTACTCCTGGCTCTCAATGACTGAATCCTAATCAACCTGCGATTGGATCAATCCTGGAACTCACACCATGAAGATCACACTCCTAGCTTTGTTGGCATTTGGGACGACAGTTGCATCTGCTGATCTCCAAATCCAGACCTCTAGCGGTATCGTACAAGGAGGCGTGAAATACACATATCATCAGGTCCGCCAATTTTTGGGAATTTCTTTCGCTCAGTCTCCCGATGGAGATTGCCGTTGGCTTCCTCCCCAGTCGCTCCCTCCGGATGCCACCTCAAACAAATTATATCAATGCGACCATAATGATTCCTGTCTGTCTTCAAATCGCCACTGGTACCGTATTTGCAAAATACGAGCCAGGAATCATCACCGCTAGTGGTATGAGTGAGGAGTATTTGACTGTGCGCATCTGAGCACCAAACAACAGCAAGACCCACCTGCCGGTAATCATCTGCTTCTATGGCGGGGAGAGGGTTTCCGGTGGAACAGACGTACCTGCATGGTATCCAGCTCCTTGGGTAGGCCGCTCCCAGGAGCACATTGTTGTCGCTGTGCAGAATCGTGTGAGCGTGCTCGATTTCCCTGCTTCGAGGGCCCTCAAAGACCAGGATTTGGATATTTTGGACCGGCGCGCTGGCAATGAGTGGGTGCACAAGAACATCGCTCAATTGGGAGTAATCCCCGCGCAGATGAGCCTCTGGGGTCAAAGCGCAGGCGCAGGCAGTGTTGATATCCAGAACTTTGCATATCCCGGCGAGCCTCATGTAAAGGGGCTTGTTGCCAACCCTGACTCGGCTCTCCTCACGCTCGATACACGTTGGACAGAAAATTTGGGAACGAACTCTCCTCTGTTGCTTCATACTTTGGCTGCTCGGGTTCGGCTCAGCACGAGCTGAATTGCCCGCGCAAGGTTCCCGTATCTAATATCACTGCTTATCGTGGCAGTTTGAATGACTCTGGCCTGAAGTTTTCTCCTTTCAACGACAATCGAGTCATATTCAACAACTATACCGAGCGCTACCTGGGCAAACATCTTTCCAACAAGCCTGCCATATTCGGTTCCAATCTCGATGAGGGCACTCTCTGGCATGCCACTACTAGTGTCGCGACCAAAGCCATGGCCCTGTCTACCTTTGGATGTCCTGTTCCATACTCAACCGCCCTTTGACAATATCTGGGGTAGACTACCTACCGCTACCAGTACCGCGGTAACTCCAATAACATTTGCCCGAGTCCGGTCTAGGTGCTTATCACACCGCTGAGCTGCCACTCATTTTTGGTACTTCAAGTATCTACGGCCCTGACACTCTCCTCGAAAAGGATGTCAGCGCTAAGATGCAAGATCGATGGTTGGCCTTCGCAAAGGATCCCGAGAATGGTTTATCTCAGCATGGCTGGCCTGGGTCGACGAATAGAGAAGTCTTGCTGTTGGTGGACTCTGTCAACCAGATAGTCTCTTCTATGGTGGCTGACAATGTCATCGATAATGCTTGCACCAGCTACTATTCTTCATTTTTGGTATAAAGGGATGACATGTGATATTTGGCTGTAAAAAACTCTCAGCGTCGATCAATTTCTTATACCAAATTCATCCCACGAGAGTCAGCGGTTTCACCCGCAATATTTCCACTAAACGCTACCAAACTCTAGCTTGAATCACACCTTTCTTTTTCCAAATGTGATCCTTGCATTTTATTATTTGTTGAGCGGCTAATTGTGGTCCACTAGGGCCCATAAAAATCTCCTTACGGCTAGCAGCCCCATATCGGCTTTGACCTCCCAACGGAGTCAACTCAACAACTTTTCGTTATTTTTGCATGTGCCAATTCGTATTCGGCTTTAGATCGATCGAGGGAGAGAAATTTTCAATTCTCGAAGGTTTATTGTAAACCATTTACCCCTGGCCAGATCCACTAATCGCCACCGGATAAAATATTGGATGAAAACCCAATCTGTCTCACTGGAAGTTTCAATTCTCCGGTCGAGGACAACCCAAATGGCTAAGACTAATCTAGAATGGTATCACTAATTCAGGCGAAAGATCGAGGCAAAATGGAAAAAAAAAAAGAAAAAAAATGTCAGGGGATCTCTTAAAAGCGCTAGCGAATAGACTCAAACCTAGTACCAATGGAGCCTATCAGAAGCAGCCGATGGAGATTAAATTGCGCGCTAGCGTCGAAAGTAGAATTTTTCTCCACGAGAATCCCGCGCAAATCAACGTCTTTTTAACGGTTCTGTTGGGTAGAATTCCAGGGGAATAAAGTCAGGAGTTAAGATCTGAATCATATTATTGGGCAATTTGAGTCTTTTACCCACAGAACGTCTAGAAAGAGCCTAGAATGGTTCCACATCAGGATCCATTACCAGAGTACTCCATAGCCAATCAATTTATCATCCTATCCATGTAAATATTTTTTTCCCAGGGGCAAGAATCTTTGATTCTACAACCTTTGCTGTTTGTGAAATCAAGTAGATATGGCATCTTCTACTATTCAGACGGCGCCCGTCATTCAATTGAAGGGAGAGACTGATGTATGTGCTTCATTCGGAATCTGGTGACTTTCATACTAACAATTGACTAGCCCAAGGATATTACCTATGCCTTCTTAAGAAGCAAGGTCCCCGCCCACTGCTTTGAGCGTTCGGCCATCAAGTCATTCTCCTACCTCGTCCGGGATATCATCTATGCATCCATTCTCGTATGGCTGGCCCTCAAGATCGACCTTCTGCCTACACCGTTGATGCGCGCCTCGGCATGGATTCTCTATACTTTTGTGCAAGGCTGCGTGGGAACTGGAATGTGGATCATCGGCCACGAATGTGGTCACGGCTCCTTCTCTGAGTACACCAGACTCAATGATGTTGTTGGCTGGGCTATCCACTCTCTCCTGATGGTCCCTTACTTCTCCTGGAAGATCACCCACGCCAGACACCACCGTTACCACGGCCACATTGATAAGGATGTTGTCTTCGTTCCTGCGACTGAGGATGAGGTCAAGGCACAGAAGCCTACTATGTTCAGCAAGTTCATCGAGCTGGTTGATGAGACTCCTCTCTACCACGCTGTTGCTCTTCTCGGCCACCAGGTTTTGGGATGGCAATTGTACATGCTGTTCAATGTCAGTGCTGGAAACAAGAGTCTCCCGAACAAGGGAACTGCTCCCAAGATGTTCCGTAACAGCCACGTCGACCCCACGGGCTCCCTTTTCACCAACGCGCAGACTCACCTGATTGCGATCACTGATTTGGGTCTTCTCATCGTTGCCGGTGCGCTTTACTACCTGGCCACCCAGATCGGCGCCTGGAAGGTCGTCCTGCTTTACGTCGTGCCCTACTTCTGGGTCCACCACTGGCTCGGTAAGAACAGTCTCATCCAAACATCCGCCCATAACCTTTGCTAATTAAAATTCTAGTCGCCATCACTTACTTGCACCACACTCACCCCACTGTCCCCCACTACGACGAGAACAACTGGACCTTCGTCAAGGGCGCCCTGGGCACAGTCGACCGCCGCTTCGGTTTCATTGGTCGCCACTTCTTCCACGAGATCATCGACTACCACGTCATTCACCACCTGTTCAACAAAATCCCCTTTTACCACGCTGAGGAGGCCACCAACGCCATCGTGCCCTACCTCGGAGACCAGTACCGTATCGAAGAGGGCTCCTTCCTGAAGGATCTGGTCAACACCTTCACCACCTGCAAGACCAAGTACAACCCCGACTCCAATGGAGAGTTGCACTGGAAGTTTGCCCAGGATGCCGAAAAGAAGGCCAACTAGGTCAATCGGCCAGTTCGAGTCGGCTTGGCTTTTTCATCATTTGTTATTAGAGATTATAGATTTAGACTAGATTGCATTCTGCCCCATTCTGTATAGGAGAGACCATCTCCAATGTGAATAGAGGAAAAAGTTCTCTTTCTGATGATATCAATTCTTATTCCAGACGTAAATCATTTAAAAGGCAAGCTTGCCAAGGTCCTCGTTTGCGGGGGATGGTCCGGGCTTCAAATGCTGCCAGAATTGGTTAGATTGTGCATCATATCATGTATTGTTGCCTAGGACGCTAGGCAGCATGGCCGTTTGATGTGCAGGAAGCCGGAACATTGATTCTTGTATAAATCGGTCCAAAAGCCAGCTTCTTACCCCAATTTATTCTGGTTGCCTTGCTCCTCACTGATTATTGATTTCTTGTATACCAACCGCAATAATGGAACTACTGGAACTAGGCGGAGTCAGAATACCTATTATCCAGGTAGTGGCTGGTGCATTTTATCTGCACCATTTATGCATGCTCCCGCACCAACCGGGCAGTGCTCCTAATGGAACAAGTTCGATTCGGGATCTTGGTTGGCCTCGGAACCTGCCTCTGATTTCCAGCCCTGACATTCCTCAGACACGGACTCAATGTCATCGAAGTGGACCCTGGTCATACGCCGAATATCAGTATTTGGATCCTGTCATATGTGCTCTATTGGTTGTTAATTGATACTTGGTTCATGGAAACATAACCAGGAGAGCGAGCAAAAAGATGGTTGGAAGATCAATCCTGGCAGAGCAGATTTTCTCGTCTGTGCGAATATTCCGCTGATGGCTTGGATCTGAAATGCCAGACGGAGGTTGAGATTGAAGTTCTGGAGGAGATGCTGCGTGTCCGAAGGGAAAGACTTGCAGACTGCAATTGAGCTCTCAATTCACTCTTGCTTTGTTCTGGCCTGATATCGTTACTATTCACCTGGTTTGTCAATTATTGTCTGGGCTATTGAAAGCTTACTGACCTTGACTTTACCATGTAGTCTGACCCGGAGGATTGTGACACGATTTCGGCTGTTCCAAGCAAAGCATCATCTACTATGATACTATGATACCTTTTCCATGGGTTTATGGACGCGACCTCATGTTTATCAGCACCGTTGGGTCACTCAGCTGCGTTCCACACGAGATCATCATATCCTACGACTCGTACAAGTCAACCTAGTTATATGCTAGGCTTACTTCACCCTCCCTTCGTGTTTGTTACTTCTCATTGATAAATACGGATTGGCTGATATGTGCATGTACTGCGCATTAGAGAGCATGCTTTTTTTTGGTTAGACGGTTCAATTGAATGCATGGATGCCGCTTGCTTTGTTCCTTGGAATATAAGGTGCATAAGCGACTTACATGGATATACCTACGGTGACAATCATGAAAAATCCATTGTTTTCTCGATAAGTCTTTCAATTCGGATCCGATAACTCAACTGGTTGTCGAGTTGACTGCAATGGCAACGTGGATCTCAGTTCTATAGATAGCTCAGCCTTCCGTACCGCAGACCTGTAACACTTAAAATTTCCTAACAATTATAGAATTGACCAAGCCCGTTTCGTAATGTGCATTGCATTTGCATCTGCGTCTGCATGGAAAGTTTTTAGATTTTGATAAGACATGATAAAGAAGTCCGCTATTGCTTGGGTGTTGATTGGTCCCGATAAAATTCTCCGACGCTTAAACAGACCAACGACTAAGTAGGAAGTACGCCGTAAGGACGGGCCAACCATACGAGGTATTGTTTCTATTAATATCGTGAGGCTGGGGAAAGAAGGGCCCAGAACGTTGAAATATTCGCTGGTGCCTTCTTGCCAGCCAAGAAAACCGGTGAGACAATCGATAAGCATGGAAGCGAAAAATATCCGATTGTGGATGGGACAAGATCCGGGGGGGGGGATAAAAAATCCAAAATATGCAGTACCTGGGGTAGAATGTCTCAATTGTGCTTTGTCCAAATGAATCATAGTTCAATTTCCCAGATTGGTATCCAAAATAAACACCAGTAAACAGGGCATTTGGAAGGACGCGTCAGTTGCTGGGTCATCCAAACGCAACCGGATAATACATGGATCGGGTTTCTTCTCCCCACCGGAGCACAGCCGAACTATACCACCACCTATACATAGGGGCTGTTTCATCCCCATCTGGTTGATCGTTGTACGGAAGAAAGATTTTGTGCAAAACAAAAATCAATAGTAGTAGATCCTGGTCAAATGATAAGGGTCATAAGTTTTCTATTCCCTGCAGAATGACGCTGGACACACGTCTGTGAGAGAAGAACACCAAATTAACAAGCAAACCAGCGATAAAAGATAAGTATACAGGTCGTATCTCGTAGAAGCAATAATGGGATATCAATCGTAATCCATGCGAACTCCAGTCCAGACCAGGTTGGTCTCAACAGTCGTCCAACGAACCAAAATCCCGATTGGCACGTTGCTTGATAGTCGAGGAACGGTGAGTATTAGTGTCTTTCTTCGACTTGGGTCCCCACTGAAATGGCGGCCAAGATCGTAGAACTGGCTAAGCCTGCCTCGTCAGACCGTATAGACGCTAAAGTTAGGCCCCGGAGTGGAACGGCATTGACAGTCTCCGGAATGGCGGGCGACTGACGGGAATCCTGAACAGTGGGAAGCCGCGAATGCTCATCATTTTCAGTGGTCAATGCATGGTGATATCGTCGGCAATTTTCTGCGAGATGTGGTCAATGGTTCGATTATCAGACTAAACTGACGATCTCCCTTAGCACAGACCTTCTTTTCCAACTAAATAGATGGACCTTTCCCTCTGTGGTAACGCAGCCCAGGTGACTTTATGACGAGTTTGCGAAGAAATCGATAATCCCAACCGAGTAGCGGGGGCATTGATGGTGTCCACTGTCTGGTGGGCCGACTCTGTCAAGGCAGATTCTTTCACTGGGCTTGTTATGACGCCTGGCACGGGACGCGTTCCAACGCTGGATGATCGAACTACGCGGATTTGTTTAGCATCCACATCCTCGTCCGAGTTGTCGGATGATTCTCCAGAGCTCGAAGGGTTGAACAGATTGTGCCTTTCATAGTCATAGTTTCGATCTTGATCATTCAGATTTAGGCGGCCAAAATCGATGGATAGAGAACGGAGAAACGAGCGGCGCAAATAGTATAGAAGTTCTTCATCCCCCAAAAAGATGATTGATGGTGGGCGTCTGATCATCAGTGGCAGCATGAGAAGAGAGAGGAGAAAGAGAAAGAGATAGCAGTTTTATAAGAAAGGAAGTATAGAAAGGAAGTCACGACTTACGAGTACTAATTGATACATTCCCCTACTACATCTGGATGACGACGCATTCAAATTCGAACTCGAATTTCTGTTTATTTATTTTGCCTCTACATAGTCTGTATGAAAGTAATGTCTTGAATATGAATCGAAATTATACTTAGCTATTTCTCATCCATTAATAGGAAGCTCAGCCCACCGTGGGACACTAGACCCGATTTCCCCTACTAAACGGAGCCTCCTGTTGATCCTTTTCTGCCTTTTCTTCCCCCTCTCACTTTCACGTCGTCACCCAAAGAGGTCGGACCATGCCTCCACAGTTGCTTTCGCCGCCATAATTCGTTGGCTTCTGGATTCTTCCCTCCTTCCTTTCTCCTCTCTCCTCCATACCTCCCATACCTCCGGTCGCCAGTGCCCGTGCCCGTGCCCGTCATGAATGGCGATTTAAGCCTATCCCAGTCCCTGGGAGGGCTTCGGATAGCAAATCCAGATGATTCGCCCTTGCCATCAGAGGAAGCGACCGCTGGTTCGATGGGATCCAGTCCATTCGGTCAAACGGACGGTTCGGTATCAACACACCCACAGAATCCCGCACCGAACGACGAGCCCCCCTCAGCATTCCCCCCTGCACCGAACGAAGCTCCAGCACCAGTCGAAAACCGTTCGTCCGTCGTCTATTCAACTCCTGATCATCCTCCCTCTTATCCGCCCTACTCTACACACCCCCACGCTACTGCGCCAAACGCCTCCCGACCCCTTTCCTCTCTTTACGCCAACGGCTCGGCCTCCTCCGCACTTCCCCGAGATAATTCATACCGCATGCGAACGGATTCCGGTGCCTCATCTACCTCGACATCCCATTCTCGAAAAGACGCCCGCGGTGCCGCCGTGGCCTTGCAAGCAGGTGTTCCAGTGCGCGATAACTCTCACAGCGACCGTTCCTACCGAACTGCGCACATCCCGGCCAATGGGGCGGTAATGCGTCAGTCATCTAGAGCACACGCCCGAGGAACTACACAATCGCAAATGGCCCGGACTCCCTACGGCATGGAGAACGGCGCAGCACCCAGCAGCGACGATTGGCAGGATCGTGGGGCCGCGGTCTCGGTACGACAGGAAGTGGACGCCAATGGGAAAACAGTCTCTCGCTTCATCAAGAAGGGCGTTCGTGATTTCTCGTTCGGCAATACCCTCGGAGAAGGATCATACAGTACAGTTGTACATTCAACAGATCGACAAACACTGAAGGAATATGCGATCAAGATTCTAGACAAGCGTCACATTATCAAGGAGAGGAAAGTGAAATATGTCAACATTGAGAAGGACACTTTAAATCGCTTGACCGACCACCCGGGGATTGTGCGGCTCTATTACACCTTTCAGGATGAACGATCGCTATACTTTGTGCTGGATCTCTGCAAAGGAGGCGAGCTTCTGGGTGTTCTCAAGCGGATGTCTACTTTTGACGAAGAGTGCACCAGGTTTTATGGTGCCCAGATTCTCGATACGATAGATTATATGCACAAGCGTGGTGTGATTCATCGAGACCTGAAGCCGGAGAACGTCTTGCTGGATTCCCAAATGCACATTAAGATTACCGATTTTGGCACAGCTAAGATCCTCAAAACTTCACATCGACCAACCGAGAGCACAAGCTCAATTCCGCAGATGGACGCCACAGAAATTCCAGAGGAAGAACGGGCAAGCTCGTTTGTTGGTACCGCAGAATACGTTAGCCCCGAGTTGTTGACCGATAAGAATGCCTGCAAGGCAAGTGATCTGTGGGCGTTTGGCTGTATCATTTACCAGCTACTGGTTGGTCGTCCGCCTTTCAAAGCGGGCAATGAGTACCAAACGTTCCAAAAGATCGTCGCCCTGGACTATGAATTCCCGATCGGATTTCCCGCCGTTGCTCGAGACCTTGTTGAGCGTCTTCTTGTGCTTGACCCAGCTCAGCGATTGCAGATTGAGCACATCAAGAACCACGAGTTCTTCAAGGGTATCTCCTGGGGTACTGATATGTGGAAACAAAAGGCCCCCCGGTTGAAGGCCTACGTGCCACCCCCGAGAGAGCCAATCAAGCTTAATGGCGATAGCAGCGAGAGCTTCCCTCCCACGATCTCAACGGCTCCATCCAACACGCCCAATGCCAGTTCCAGGGCTCTGCCCAGAGTGGTCACTGAACTGCCCCCACCTAGCCAATTAGACATTGAATGGTCACCGGTGTTGAGCAGATCCAACGAGCGAATCCTGAAGCTGGGCAACATGGTCGTTTTGTCTTCCCCTGCATCCCACAGCCCGACATCCAAGAATGGCAGCAGCGAAGCCGAGGCTCCCAAGAAGTTCTCACGTTTCTTTTCGAGCACAGCAACGAAGAAACGTCAACGATTGGTTATGGTCACATCATCTGCGCGGATCATTCTAGCTGCATCTGGCGGTGACGAAAAGAAAGCAAAGCTTGAAATCTCTCTCCTTGCTCCCGGAACACACTGGAGGAGTACAACCGACTCCAAAGGGCATTCATCGTGGATTGTGGATACAGTATGTGGCACCTCCCGCCAGCTCTTTTTCCTTTGGCATTGCTAACTTGAATGATAGAGAGAGAAACACTTTGTCTTTGAGGATTGTAAACCGTCATCGAGCAATATCGGATCCACCGCGGTTTCAGCACAAGAATGGCTGGATGCACTGGACCGGGCTCGTGAGATGGCAATGACACAACAAAGCTCTGGATCTTATTCCGCCGAAGATGCATTCCGCAATATGTCCTCGGGCTTTTCGAGTCACGCCAACACTCTTGATCGCAGTTCAGAACTGCAGAATGAGAACAATATGCCCCTTCCAGGGCGTAATACATTGGTTAAGCAGCAGACTGACGCGGACTCGGTCAAGGGAAAGAAGAGATTTAGCAGACGTCATTCTAAGAACGGCCTTGCTGCTGTTTTCTAGACTTGCTGAGTTCACTAAGACATCACAGTTTCTTATTCCACTTTTTCGCTACTTCGAGCATGAAGGGTATTCCCATACAAGCAACATCATCATCTTCCACTTGGCTTGTGCATAGATTTGCTGCCTGTTGCTCTAATGGCTCAATTCTAGGCCATGTACCACTCGCCAGGATATTCCAAATCCTGGGAACCATTCTCCCATGGTCCCTTCCCACCTTCCATCCTCGCCAATTTTCGCGCAGAAGACAGATGTCTTCTTCGCATATCGGCCATTCTCTTCTCTTGCATATTACAGTGATGAGCGTGTTTTGTTCGTGTTGGGACATGTTTCTGCATTTAGAACCGGAGAGGAGCATGCGTATTGTTTTCTTTCCTTTTCTCTCTCATTGCGTTGCCTATTCAAGTATTCATTTCTTGTCGCTTCCCCATTTCCTTGTGTGTTATATATCCCTGATTTGATCTGATGCATACTGTCGACACCCATATCATGGCCTTGTGTTCATTTCTTTCCCGTCCGGCGATTCAAGTTTGTTATTCAAGACTTTTCTTCGAGATGTTGATTACTGAGCTCCAGGCTGCAGTGAAGAAAGAGATTTTACAATGCTGTTTCTATTCTTTCAAACCGTTTCCTTGTCATACTTGCTCTAAAAAAGAAATGGGCTTAGCTCTCGTTCGTTGTCTTTCCTTTCTGTCTTCTTTCCTGGCTCCACTCTTATGAGTTTCTCCTATTATACCACTTCTTTTTCTTCTTTTTAAGTAGTCCATTGACCTGGACGCTTTCTTGTGACTTTTCTTTGTCGTCATTCCAACTTTCCCATACACAAGTCTCTTTTTTCATTTGGTTCGGTCCATGGTGCTCCATGGCAGACTAGTTTTCGATTTAATTTTGGCAAGATTCAAAAATTGAATACCCAGCTTTTTGGTTGCGATTTTCCATGATTTTCCATGATTTTCTGAAATCCAATCGCCTCCTGAGGACCATATTAGGTGGTATCTTGGTCATTTCTTTGGCAATAAATTCGGTTCATCATCATGAGTGGTTTGTGCACCATGAAGTAGTTCCAAAGTACTTGAGAATTCATGGACAAAAACTTTTTTTTATCTTCGTTTTATTTATCATTTCATTAAGAACAAGAGGACTTAGATCCTCACTTTTATACATTAGATGGACGTAGAATGCCATTAAATAAACAACCAGTCAAGACGAGATGCATCCAGCTCATCCACCCAATCGAACGAAGAATCAAAGGTCTCGTGTTCATTTTCTTCAAAGAAAGCGTCTTTCGGAAGAAGCCCATCAACAAGCCCAACAGGAACGTTCTCCCGCTCCCGGCGCTTGAGATCCTGTTTCTGCCACATAAGCCTAAGCACCCACGCCGCATTGCGGACATTGACACTCGTGACAGCCTGGTAAAGAGAGCCGAGCTTCTCCAAAACCAGCGAGCGCTGCGATAGGCGACGGCATTCTGCGCCTGCGATAAAGGTGGGCCATATAAGGCATTTGAAGTGGGGATCGGAGGTGGGGACGGAGCAAATGCGAGTGATGAGGTCGTGTGCGGCTTGGGGGTGGTCAGAGGGGAGATTAGTTTCGATCCAGGGAGCTGTGTATCCTTCTCTGGTCTTAGAGAGGACACGACTGGTGTAGAGGTAGACGGCGGCTTGATAGGCGCTTGCGAGGGCGATGCGAGGGGAGAGGTCATCGAGAAAGAAGTAGGTTTGCATTTCTTGGGCCCAAGAAACGGGGTCAAAGGTGCGGATTCCATGGAGTAGATGTGCGAAGGATTCACTAGATAGGGGCTGGCCTGGCTGCGTAGAGATCCCCAGGGTTGTCGGAGGGGCTGCAGGTGCTAGCTCCGAGTCTTGGTACCAGAGAGTGTGGACGAAGAAAATGACTTCGAGGAGGTAGGCGGGGCAGCCCACCCAGGACGTTTCCTCGAGACGCTTGAGCATGCCTGGTCCCATGTTCTGAGCGTAGAATGGTTTGGAAAGAGCGCCGGGTCGCGCCAGCGTCGATCCCATGATCTCCATGATCAAGCACCCATCAATGGCGACTGCTTCGAGTCCCTGGAGAATACCCTGACCAAGCTGATTTTGACGACTCCTCATGATTTTCTTTGCACCTTCAATGTGATAGCTCCACGCCCCGCTGCCGGACTCGAATAGATCCAGAAGAGCGAGAATAACAATGGCAGCCAGGGTTATCTCATCGTTTTGTTTGGCCGGATTTACAAGATCCTGTGACAATTGTTTGAGTGTCACCTGCTTAAATTCCAGGAAATGGTGGTATGCTTTTGAAGTTGTTTGTCGAGAGCTTGTTGGTATAATCATGTTCTCGATGTCCTCCGACGATAACAGAGAGTTGGTGGCCAAGGGGTTATGGGATGACCAAGGCATCATAGATGAGTCGGAATTGGAGATAAGCGAGTAGTGTAGAGCTCCCATTGCAGATAATACATTTGCAATAAGGGGTGAGTGCCCTACTAATGCCAGCATATCCCGCCAGGGGTTCTTGAGCTGCGGATAGACCAAAAAGTCATTTGTCATGTATTCATGATCTTTGGGTGATTAGTGTGGATCGAGAAATGGTGATTGAAAGGAAGCCATACAGTGTTTAAGGTACATTCTTGATGTTGGACTGAAATCCTTTAGCAAAGGATCAACCATTCCCCATGGTGCAGGAATATAGTCGCTGAAGATGTTATGCGGAGTATGGACCAGCGCAGTTTCAGGTTCTGGCGGATTTGATTCCAAGAGGCCTCCTTCATCAAGTCCAAATACCGCATCGAAGTTCCCTGCATCTAAGACTTGTTGGAACCAATCTGTCTCTGGGCTGGGCTGAGCCACCGAATTCGGGGATGATTCTGTGTCGGATGGTTCAAGCATGGGAAACAATGTCAAGGTAGCAGTTGGCGGTCTTGATTCATTTGTCGCGGGCGATTTATGACGCTCAGAAGCACCGACTGGCGTCTTCACATCCTCGAAGCTCCGACCCATCATTTTGCCCCGGCTGGCAACACCACCCTTGACCCATACCAATGGTTTTTGGTAACCCAAACATTCCTTCCCCGCATCACGGCACTTTCGACAGGTTGGTAGGCCATTATCGCAGATGATTCGACGGCGACGGCATGTATAGCAGCCTTTGGTCATGATCGGGGTGTTTGAATCGAGACTTCGGTGTAGAATGCTGGCCGCGGGTGTGCTTGGCCACTCGACATCGCGGTGGGATCGGCGGATGGTTGAGCGGAATCTCTCGCTTATTGCAGGCCGACGATTCTGTACGAGTCAGAAATAAAGAGCATTGCTGGAAGGATATACAGAGAACTATAGGAGGTTAAAGGTATGTGTCAATTGAAAAGGCGGAACCTCGGTGCGGGGCTTACTAAGGATCTGGACATTTCTCCAGATCCCCTCATTTTCCGGCAGGATTCACGTTCTCTCGCCTCCACATCCCTTTTCTGGCTCACCGCCATCAAGATGGTCTTTCAAGGTCTCTGGCTCGCAGAATTAGAGGTGAGTATCTCTTGCTCTCATATTGCTTCGGTGCTAACGAAGATAGCGCGCGTTGGTCAGCCGAGTATGTGATCCGTGTCCCCCGACCGAATATCCCTAACCCCATCCAGCTCCTGCAGAGTCGTGTCTGGCATAACATGGTCGGCCGAGTACACCAGCGAGTTCAATATTATCGCCATGGTGTGCCGATGGAAGAAAGCCGCACATCCCTCAGTGATGGTATGGTCGGACTCGAAAGGTTTGGATTTGCACATAGCTGACCGAAGCTAGGTAACCAACTGAACCAATTTTTGAAGTTTTTCAAGGAGGAATTGAAGGATCAGGCGAAGGGAAAGCCTCCAAATAAGTTATAATGGAATCCTGCTGGCGTTAAACTGTTTTGAACCCTTATACCCATGAATTCGATTACAAAATATATTCCTCTCTTGTTTCTGTTTTTGTTCTATAGCGCTGGATAATCTCTCTCAACCATGTGTAAACGTGATCACAGGATCACGCTTACTACTAGTAGTAACTAATTAGAGATCGGAGATTGGCCCCCGGTTTATGAACTATGACAAGTCCCTAAATTTCTCATCCAATTATCCCTACGAAGTGCTCCGTATTCTCCTTGAGAATTACTCCGTACGCAATAAACTAAAGGGGCTTTAGGGACATATGGGCCTTATACCATAACGGCCCCATAGGAGTCTAGACTGCCAGTGGTGCGAAATACGGAGTGGATCGGGATTGTCGCCCTGCATTGCCTTTGTTGACCTAGTTCAGGCCCCTGGGCGTTATTGCTATGTCAGCGCTACACAATTTCACCCTAAGTTGGGATTAGCGAACTCGACCGGCTGAGTCGGCTTTGCTCCGGAGTTGTGAGGTCCTGCGGATAAACAAATCAACTTGGTTTGACCTTTCAGGTGCTCCAGGTTCCAAATTTAAGTTCATGGAGTACAGATGACAGCACAGCCATGATCAAAGTCTCCCAAGTACAGTAGTATTTAAGAATCCCATGCGGACATGTAGGGTGTCAATGCAGGCGTTACTAAATATGGGCCAGCGCGAGGGGTGGATCGAGTGGGCCAATGATCGGCCGATTGGGGAAGGACGCGAATGCAAATATTTCCCACAAATGACAATCTATCGAGGGCTGGGAGAAGGGAGAGGGGGGGAGGATAGGTTCGAAAAGATTGAAAGAATAAAAAGGATACTAAATGGATTAAGTGTAAAGATGAAATAGAATTCTTGAAAGTACTCCATAGTCTTAAAAAGGATCATAGAAGGCCTAAAACACAAAGATTTGAAACTAGGGCCGGACTAGTGGGCCAGATCAAGTTAGCGCCAACTGTCTACATCCGCCTGACTCCCTTTCCCTTTTTCTTCTCTTCTCCTCCAACCGTCGCTTACTCAACCCACTCTCGTTTTGATATACGTTCACTGAGTGAAAGACAATATGCGTCTCGCCAAACTCTCGTTTATTCTCCACGCTTTGGTCCTGACTGCACTTGCGGCTCAGGACCAGAGACGGGACTCCAGCAACCTGGTCTCTGATATCGTCAACAACGACTCGGCCACTGCCGTCACCTCGTCCGATCCTGCCGCTACCACGACTTCCTCTGAACCCACTTCTTCATCGACCTCAACCTCGTCCACCTCAACGACAACCTCGTCCACTTCCTCGACCACCACCACCAGTGAAGAAGCTAAAACCACCACGACTACATCGGAAGCCGCCAAGACCACCGCTGCAGAGGCTCCCAAAACCACCTCCGAGCAACAACAGCAACACACCACCACCACCTCCACCTCCACATCTTCTTCTGAAGACCAGCAGAAAGTAACTTCGGCTACCTCTGCCACGACTACCCAGACCCCAGTTGTCGAAACCATCACCTCCTATGAGACTGTCAGCGGAAGCACCGTGGCCAATGTCATTACCTCTACCTCCACCCCTGCCGCTGCTACCAACACTGCTAGTCTCAACACGGACAGCTCTTCTTCGAACAGCAGCAGTGGTCTGTCGTCGTCCGATAAGAAAATCATCATTGGTGTGGTCGTTGGTGTCGGCGGTGCGATTGTCCTAGGTGTTCTGGGTATTGTAATCTGGCGCATCCAGAAGAAGCGCAACGAGGCATATGGCGATGAGGACACTGATCTGATGGGCGGAACCGCCGTTGGCTCTGGGCCTCGTGAAAAAGCCTCCAGCCCTGGTGTCGGCACCCCCTTCAAGAGTACACTGGACCAATACCACAACCCTGGTCCCGTCAACGCTGCATCGAACTTCTAGGGAATTGGTAGCACCGTTCTCTACCTTTCCTAGTTTTTTCTGACCTTGATGGCAGAACAGCAGACGGTTCATATTTGAAGTGTAAAAATCTCTGTACGATGATCATGCAATTCTCAGGCGCAATGGGCAGGGCCGGCGAAGATCACGGTTCTTTTTTTTCTTTGGTTGCGGTTTTTTTTTCACTTGGAGACCGATTTGGTCTTTTTACACTCCTTCCTGTCATAGACTTGACTGTTTTTCACTCCTTTGAGCCTCGCCAGCAACCTCGACATTCCTTTCGGTGATCACACCCTCTCTCGATCTTGATTCTTGCGAAATTCACAATACTCTCCCGACCACGTTATCTTTCGGCATAGCCTCGTTTTGATTCCCCGTGTCGAAGCGCTTGGTCTTTTTTCCTGACTCCCCTATCTCGATATCCTTATATCCTGTTATTTAATTACATCTGTTTCCTACTGTTGATCCTGTTAAGGATGCTGTGGACTGTACATTGTTCGGCGTTGAAAATGTGAAAGTTTCCATGATTTCGTTTCATCTGCATTAATCCGTAGGTTCCCATTCACTATATTTAAGGGTAGATTGCGTCATCAATAGTGCTGAATGGATCTACACTGCTTAGATAAGCATTGATCTCCAAGGTCAAAAAGTACGGAGTACACTAGGTGAAAAGGTGTACCCCGCGGAATAAATGGTCATGTTCACCCTGAATATCTGTATCTATTTAGGTATATACTGTAGGTCAGCGTAGGCTTCATACATTGACCTGAACCCTTGAACCCTAGAACTCTTCCCCATACTTCTCCGTATGCCCTAAGTACCCCAATCGGGAAAACCGCCGCCGATAATCGGGCTGACTCACAGCTCCGGGGACGGAGAAACCCACCCCGCTATCAGTGTGTCATCGCATACTTTATTGAACTTCCCATTCTATTCCCTTCGCGTATTCTTACCATATTCTCTTCCAATTCTCCTACTTTCACTATGTCGCAAAAGATTTGGCTGCGTGCTGAGACCAAGCCCGCTGAGGCTCGGTCTGCTTGTGAGCTTTGCCCTCTACTCCTTCGTTATCGGAGGGGCGATTGTGATTGTTTGCTCACAGCTTCATGTAGTGACCCCAACCACCTGCAAAGCATTGATCGATGCCGGATATGATGTCACTGTCGAACGCTCTACTCAACGTATTTTTGATGGTATGTCTTTCAATCTCCGAGTTTTGACCCTACTATGACCTAAATTGACTCATTCTCTGAATAGACGAGGAATTCGCCAAGGTTCGACCATACCCCTTCGCCACACCAAAGAAAGCTTCTAACCATGCCAATGGCTTTAGATTGGTGCCCCCCTTGTCGAGGAAGGTTCATGGGTGAAGGATGCTCCCAAGGACGCCGTTATCCTGGGTCTCAAGGAGTTGCCAGAGGAGGACTTTCCCCTGGAGCACGTTCACGTCACTTTTGCCCACTGCTACAAGCAACAAGGTGGCTGGGAGAACGTTCTGAGCCGCTGGCACCGTGGCAATGGTCTCCTGCTCGATTTGGAGTTCCTTACCGATGAGGTCGGCCGCCGTGTTGCTGCCTTTGGCTTCTCGGCCGGTTACGCCGGCTCTGCGTTGGCTGTGAAGAACTGGGCCTGGCAATTGGCCCACCCTAATGGTGCTCCTCTGCCTGGTGAGGTTCCCTACGCCAACCAAGGTCTCCTGATCGAGTCCGTGAAGGAGAGCGTTGAGGCTGGCAAGAAGATTTCTGGCAAATACCCTACCATTCTCGTTATTGGCGCTGTGAGTAACCACTGAAATGATCGAGTTGCGATTCTCATGCTAATATAACTATAGCTTGGCCGTTGCGGTAAGGGTGCCGTGCAGTTGGCTAAGGATGTCGGTATCCCCGAGTCCAACATCATTCAGTGGGATATGGCCGAGACCAAGAAGGGCGGTCCCTTCGAGGAGATTGTCACCAGTGACATCTTCATCAACTGCATTTACCTCAGCTCCAAGATTCCTGGTGAGTTATCTTATGAGAAATATTCTCCGGGCCTAGCTAATGATTCGCCTTTTGTAGCCTTCGTGGACGTCGAGTCTCTTTCCACACCCAAGCGTGCCTTGTCCGTCATCTGTGACGTGAGCGCTGACACCACCAACCCCTTCAACCCCGTGCCTGTGTACTCCAGTGAGTGACTAGTACTTAATTTCTGGCATGAAACACAAACTTACATTGACCGCAGTTACCACCACATTCGATAAGCCCACTGTCCCTGTGACTCTGCCCGCTGGCAATGAGAACCCTCCTCTCAGCGTGATCAGCATTGATCACCTTCCCTCCCTTCTCCCTCGCGAGAGCTCCGAGCAGTTCAGCGAGGCTCTTATGCCAAGCCTTCTGCAGCTAAAGGACCGCACCACTGCTCGCGTGTGGAAGCAGGCGGAGGAGCTCTTCCAGGAGAAGGTTGCAACTCTCCCTGCGTCTTTCCGCTCTTAAGCGACTTTGTACTTGGCTAGATATTAGGTAATGATGCGATGGAACATTGATAGACTCTGGGGCCACGGAATAGTATAAAAGCCTTTGTATTGTCCATAGTTGAAATTTTGGGACATTTTTTTTCGATTGACGACACATGCTTTGAATATGTAGACCTGGATACAAGAGTATGAATAAAAAGTTCGTAGGTCGGTCAGCACAGTAGGTATCTAGATCTATTAACATTGAATGTCACATATGCTGCTTCGAGTCTCAGATGTTTAAATTGTAAACTGTATGACGGCAGCCTGGTTGAAGTGAAGATACCCGGAAGCTGGTTTCCATCCATCAGCCAAGACATTTCAACCTCACCCTTCCACCTTTCTAAACATCTTCAGGTCATTTCCATCGAGGTTACCGAGGTACCAAAGACCATGAGTAGTATCTACTATTCGCGTGAATTAAAGAGCCTCATCCCATGGTTTACGCAAATCCAAAACATCTACACTTTCTCCCAGTTCATCTCAAGGTTCCTGTTAATTCCCCGAAGCAACCCTGGTATTCTTCCATGAATGCGGGGGTGCCAATTTCTGGATATCCGAGGGATCCGTCGCGGGGAGATGACTCAGTACGTCTTGGCCAAAATGACCCTGTTGGGGGTCAAGATTGGGCATGGCGAAAACGAATTAATTAGCCTAAGGTAGCCAATGCCATGAATCTTTGTCTATTACCCGGTCGGACTTATCCCCTTTTTATCATGGGTGCCAGGAACTTGTTATTGAGATCGAGAACCTACCGTTTTCTCCGCATGAACTCTTTGGTCCACTCCCGCTCCCCTCTCTTCCCCGGTCTGCCCGCAGAATTCTTTCGTTTCCCCAGTTCTTCAGACCTCGAAAATCAGGGCTAATCTATAACCTCACTATTCTTTCACTTTCGTATTATATATACTTTGTTCGACCTACTGTGTACGCTCTTTCTGCCATTGTCCCGTTGAAGCTGACGATGGGGCGCATGGGATTGCCAAGCTGATTCGCCTCACTTCCTTCCTTACCCTACGAACCGCACATCCTTCCTCCATACAAGTCTTGATGCAAGAAAAGCCGACCACAGTTGCCGCCTACGCGGCCGGCGCCTCCCTCGCAGCCGTTGCCCTATTTTACGTGTTCGGTCCCAACTACACACTTGACGGTGACGAGTCCAACGATGACAACCGCAAGAAGAGCATAGTCGGCTTGTCCAACCTAGCCAATGACTGCTTCATCAATTCGGTGCTCCAGGCTCTGGCTGGCCTGGGCGATCTCCGTGTATATCTGAACCGGGAGCTGCACCGGCGTGAGCTGGACGGGCCGGAGATTTACAACGCGGTGCCGAGCGAGGATGAGCTGTCCCGCGGAGCGAAGCAGGACAAGGCGCGGGAATTACAGCAGGGATTGATTACACAGGCATTGAAGGAAATGTTGGATAGATTGAACGAGCGTCCAATCTATAAGAAGACCATTTCGGCACGGGGATTCATCCAGTCGTTGGAATTCGCGTTCCGTACGCGCATCAGCCGAAATCAGCAAGATGCGCAGGAATTTTTACAGATTATCTTGGAGCGACTCTGTGATGAATATCATGCTGGTGTGCGCGCAAGGAAGAATGCTCTCGGTCTGGTTGGTGCGCCTGCTGGTCTGAGCGCGCCGCCAGAGTCTGAAATCGCTGTCCCCGATAGTCCGTCCGGGGTAGAGGTGCGGATTGATGATGGATCACCGAATGGCTTACCGGCTATCATTGATACCAAACTCAAGGAGATTGATAACGAACCTGGATTTATGTTTGAGGGTAAGCTGGAGTCGCAGATCGAGTGCCAGTTCTGCCACTACCAGTATAAACCGAACCAGACGTCATTCGTCAATCTCACGCTGCAAGTGCCGCAAAAAAGCTCTACCACACTCAACGCATGCTTCGATGGTCTTCTTAAAACCGAGTATATTGAAGATTTCCGTTGCGATCATTGCCGTCTTCAGCATGCGATAGGACTGAAGACCCAGGAGAAGGCTCGGACGCATTCCCAGAGTGAGCAAGAGCGCCTGGGTGAAGAGATCGCCCGCATCCAAGAGGCATTGGAGAAGGACCCAGAAAGTGAACTCGAGGGCATTGAGCTGCCGCCTTCTGATCTTGCCCCGAAGCGTCGGATTGCACGGCACATGCGCATCACGGCATTTCCCAAGGTCATCGCCATTCACTTGTCGCGATCAATCTTCGACCGAAGTAGCTCCAGCAAGAATGCCGCCAAGGTCTCATTTCCCGAACGACTCCCCCTGGGCGGTATCTTGAGCCAGACGTGGTATAAACTCCTGGCGATTGTTTGTCACAAAGGCAGCCATCACAGCGGTCACTACGAGTCCTTCCGTCGTAATCATATCTACGCCCCATTCTCCACCCCTGGGACATTCAGCTCGTATGCACAGAGTCGTGCCGTCAGTGAGAATCCTTCCGAAGCCCCGAGTCCTCGCCTGGGACCCCTCAGCCCGGACAACGTAGGTGGCAGTGACATCTCCCCTGCAGCCTCCTCCACCTCTCTATCGGGAGTCCAGCTCTCCCCCTCATTACCCCGCCATACTACGTCCAGCTCTCGTCGCTCGTTACAAAGTAACCTTTCCCGATCCTCAACTCCCCAACCGATCAGCTCAGATAGCAGTCCGACGTTAAGTCTCGGGCGGGCAAGCATTTCATCCGCCCCACGATCATCTCGGACCATCCCGCGATCCTCTGTGGAAACCCCCCCGGGGATTGGATCGCGCCTTCGTCGAAAGCGCAAGCCAAATGATCGCTGGTGGCGGATCTCAGATGAAAAGATTAAGGAATGCAAGACCTCGGATGTGCTGGGCATGCAGAAGGAGGTATACCTGCTATTCTACGAGATTGAGCGGCCCGATTCCAGTCCCGTTGCATAGGGACACCTTTGATGGAACGCAGGCGGCTTTCCTTTTTTGGTATGGTTTGGCTGCGAAATCTTATTTATTTTCTGTAGATAAACGTCTTGTATATTTGAAGCCTTTCACATGTACAGATTAACGTGATTGGAGATGTTGATATGCATAAATAGGACTGAGCCGGTTTCTCCAGCAATTGACGATAGCAATAAATCTGGGCACAGCTCCATTAAACTGATGTCACCGAAGTTAGGAGGTCTGAGTGTGCAGATCCACTTTCTCTTCCTTAACCGGATTGTACACCGGAAATGGAGTAGACCAAATGCGAGCAGCCTGATTGAGGGACTAGATGCGTTGTTTCTATCTTTCAATCGAGTTCTTGTAATTGGTTGAAAAGAAGCTCTATAGACTGAAGTATATGGGAGAGTAAATACTTTTGCCGTTAGAAGGAAAGCGAATGGTCTCGAATTCCTCGGTTCCCCGCCTACGAACAAAATACGGAGTGAACGGGATCAAATGGTTATTGATAATTGAACTCTCAATGACATTGAATTACTTGAAACTTCCTAACAGTTTTAAATTATCCTTTCAATTAAAAAACTCCATGTGATCCTATACTTCAAAACCTTCAAAATGTTAGAATGTTGGGATCAAGTCGGTAATGCTAACCCCGCGGCTAATGATGTTATACAAGGCCGAACGGTAACTTGCCCGATTCACGGAGAGATTCGGAGGAATTGATGGATTTACAAAAAGGATATATATAACTGAAGATCCCCCTTCTAAAACTTCTCCCATTATTATCATCTTAAATCACTGTGACCTCAGTTCCACTAGGTTTCAACCTAAGGTAAGCTCCACCGAACCCGGTGAGAAGGTGTCGATGACGATGCTTGCCCCTCCAACTTTGCCCCTCCCTTTCCATTTCCTTTAAATTGCCCGCTTTCGTCGTCCGGTAAGGGAGTGTCAATTATATTATTCCCCCTTTCTAACTTTCCTTCTTCTTTTCCTTCAGTTTCCAAATTTAACGAATTCTGTACATTTCATCACAATGGGTGTCACTGAGATCCTCTCCCGCAAGACCGGCGTCATCGTCGGCGACGATGTTCTCCGTCTCTTCGAGTACGCTCAGGAGAAGCAGTTTGCTGTCCCCGCCATTGTATGTTCCCCTCAACACAACCAACCCCCTCCAGCAACCGGAATGCAGTCACTGACTTGGAATAGAACGTCACCTCTTCCTCCACTGTCGTTGCCTCCCTCGAGGCTGCTCGCGACGCGAAGTCCCCCATTATCCTGCAGCTTTCCCAGGGTGGTGCCGCTTACTTCGCCGGTAAGGGTGTTGCCAACGGTAACCAGGAGGCTTCCATTGCTGGTGCCGTTGCCGCTGCCCACTACATCCGCAGCATTGCCCCCGCTTACGGCATCCCCGTCGTTCTGCACACCGACCACTGCGCCAAGAAGCTCCTGCCTTGGCTCGATGGCATGCTCGACGCCGATGAGGCTTACTTCAAGCTTCACGGAGAGCCCCTCTACTCTTCCCACATGATTGACTTGTCGGAGGAGCCCGTCGAATACAACATTAACACTACCGCTGCCTACCTGAAGCGCGCCGCCCCTATGAAGCAGTGGCTCGAGATGGTAAGTCCTGATCTCAGCGCCCTCTAAACGTAGTTCCATGTCTAACATCATTAACAGGAGATCGGTATCACCGGTGGTGAGGAGGATGGTGTCAACAACGAGGATGTTGACAACAACTCCCTTTACACCCAGCCCGAGGACATCCTCGCCATCCACAACGCCCTTAAGGATATCAGCCCCTACTTCTCCATCGCCGCTGGCTTCGGTAACGTCCACGGTGTCTACAAGCCCGGTAACGTCCGTCTCCACCCTGAGCTGCTCTCCAAGCACCAGGCCTACGTCAAGGAGCAGACCAAGTCCACCAAGGACAAGCCCGTCTTTTTCGTTTTCCACGGTGGCTCCGGTTCCTCCAAGGAGGAGTACAAGGAGGCCATCAGCTACGGTGTCGTCAAGGTCAACGTCGACACTGACATGCAGTACGCCTACCTGTCCGGTGTTCGGGACTTCATCCAGAACAAGAAGGACTACCTCCAGACCATGGTCGGTAACCCCGATGGTGCCGACAAGCCCAACAAGAAGTTCTTCGATCCCCGTGTCTGGGTTCGTGAGGGTGAGAAGACCATGTCCAAGCGTACTCAGGTCGCTCTTGAGGACTTCAACACTTCCGGCCAGCTGTAAAAAATTATGCCGTGATTGTGTTTTGTTTTAAGGGATTCCCCACGTTATTATGTTCTTTTTCCCATGTTACGCGATGATGCCAAAAAATTTGGGCGCCTGGGGATGTCGGCGTACTGTATGTAGCGAAATATCATTCGACACGTAATGAAGATATCAGACACGGTTTAACCGTTTGGAAATTTTATTTGAAGCAAGGAGTAAGGTCATGCGTAGGAGCATGTTGTACGGAGTAGAAACATGTGTTATAGACTTTCTCGTGTATGCGAGGGAGGTAATGTCGTGATGCCTTAGTGCCTTATTGCTGTCGTTGTCTGAGTGGGTTCAATGACTGGGTGCCTTGATGCCTGAATTATTTTGACGCCTGAATTATCAGGTGTCAAGATCAATGTGTGAATCTCCGACAAAGGAAATTTCAGTGGAACCAAACCAAAGTAGATACTTCATCTGTGTCAGTGCTACCCTGGTTTACTCTGGACCCGAAAATGGCCAAATGTTCCAGACTGCCACACACTTACAGACGATGATTGGTTTTACCACGAGGCGCAGTCTTGGTTGATCCAATTAAATTTGGATTAATGGGTCTCCGATGGAGTGTCAGACGCGTCGGGGACGCCACCAGGGACAACAGTACTGTACAGTACACAGACGACTGGGGAAATATGTTGACGCACTTGAAAACCCACAGCATTAAGAACAATTGTGCACTTACAATAAGCAGGTCGCTTGGACGATCGGCAACGCCGCTGATCGACTTCTCTAATAATAGGGTGAATCCAGGCCTATCAATCTCCACTTTTCTTTCATTCTAACTGTCTTACTTTCTTTTGATCATTTTTCACTTCCCTCCTGATCACCCCGCTTCATGAACCCTTGACCTATTCTTGGTCCTCGCTCTTCATGTTTCTTCGTCATTCGCTTTAACTGTGACCGTCATTATTCCCTTCGTTTTCTTTTGGGAGTTGGGGACGAAATGGATCTGCTTCAAAGGTTACAGCCGCGGGACTCGACCAGTGATTTCCTTCAACTTATTGCGGATCCTTTCAAATCACAGGTAAATTAGGTTCCTCGGTGATCACAAATATCCGCTAATGATCGCGTGTCATACAGTTCACCACTAGCTCTATTTGGGCTTCATTAGGCACCTCCATCGGCATCTCAATTCTCCTCGCTCTCCTCTTCTCCCTTTTCCGACCTCGTCACTCGCTCGTCTACGCTCCTAAAGTCAAACATGCCGACCAAAGACACGCTCCGCCCCCGGTGGGCAAAGGATTCTTCTCCTGGATCAAACCCGTCATCAGTACCCGAGAAGCGCAACTGGTGGACACCGTTGGATTGGATGCGGTTATCTTCTTGCGCTTCATCAAGATGTGTCGCAACATCTTCATCTGCATGAGCATTATTGGCTGCGCAATTATGATTCCGGTGAACTTGGCAGAAAGCAAATCCAACGCTAACTATTCATCGCTCTCTGTGTTGGAACTCATGACACCCCTTTACGTGACAAATACGATGGCTATATGGAGTCAGGTGGCATGCGCTTGGGCATTCGATATTATCGTGGTTTTCTTTCTTTGGAGGAATTACCGGGCTGTGCGGGCTCTGCGGAGAAAGTATTTCCAGAGCTCGGACTACCAGCGAAGTCTTCATGCGCGAACTCTCATGATCACCGATATTCCTGCACCGGATCGCTCCGATGAAGGCATTCTGCGAATCACAGACCAGGTCAACCCTACGGCCGCTTTGCCTCGCGCTGCTATTGGTCGTAACGTGAGGGACCTGCCGAGTATCATCAAGGAACACGACGAGGCCGTGCGACAGCTGGAGTCTATACTTGCCAAATATCTTAAACGGCCCGACAACTTGCCTGCGAAGCGTCCCCGTATCCGTCCACCTCGCAGCCAGCGCGACAAGCATCCGGATGGGAAAGTGGACGCCATTGATTACCTGACGGTACGCATCCGGGTTCTAGAGGAGCAAATCAAGCATGGTCGAGCCTCTATCGACCGCCGGGATGCAAAGCCCTATGGATTTGCTAGCTGGGAGGAGATCGGACATGCACATGCGGTTGCCTGGACGGCGCGAAAAAAGCATCCCAAAGGCACTACCGTCAGGCTTGCTCCTCGCCCCAGTGATCTGATCTGGGAGAACTTGCCACTTTCCAAGTCCTCACGCAAGTGGAAACGATTTGTCAACTCCATCTGGGTTACTGCGCTGACCATGGTCTGGGTTGTTCCTAACGGTCTGATCGCCATCTTCCTCTCCAACTTGTCAAATCTGGGTCTCGTGTGGCCCGCTTTCCAGACCCAACTGGCGGCCAATCCTAATGTTTGGGCTGCGGTTCAAGGTATTCTTTCACCCGCAGTGACTTCCATTGTTTATCTGGTGCTGCCTATCATTTTCCGACGCCTTTCGATCCGGAGTGGCAGCAAGACTAAGACTGCTCGTGAGCGGAAAGTCATGGGCCAATTGTATGCATTCTTTGTCTTCAACAACTTAATAGTTTTCTCGCTCTTCTCCGCTGCCTGGACATTCGTGGCAGCCGTTATCGATGATACCGACAACAATGAAAGTGCTTGGCAGGCCATTGTTGACAGTGCGCTCTTCCAGAAGTTGGTGAGCGCCCTTTGCAATGTGTCTCCATTCTGGATAACCTACCTCCTGCAGCGCAACCTGAGTGCAACTATCGATCTCGTTCAGATGATCAGCTTAGTCTGGGTGTGGTTTGCCAAGACATTTCTTTCGCCCACACCACGTCAAGCAATTGAATGGACTGCACCTCCTCCTTTCGACTATGCGAGCTATTACAACTATTTCCTCTACTATGCTACTGTTGCAATGTGCTTCGCCACTCTCCAGCCGATTGTATTGCCGGTGACTGCATTGTACTTTGGTTTCGATGCCATTTTGAAGAAATACCTGCTCATGTATGTGTTTATCACGAAGAATGAGTCTGCCGGTGCATTCTGGCTGGCCATATTCAACCGTATGGTCTTTGGAACTATCCTCGCCAACGTTATCATCGCCCTAGTCGCCCTGTCGCAGGGTACCCGGACCATGGCGTATTGCGTCATCCCACTCCTGTTTATCATGATTGGGTTCAAAATCTACTGCTCGCGAACCTTTGATGCAGACTGCGAATACTACAACCGCGCCAATCTCAATGACGCCGAGGCACTGGGTCCCACCAAATCGGACAAGAAGGCTGCGGACCGCCTAAACGCGAAGTTCGGTCACCCGGCCTTGTACAAGCCACTCATGACCCCCATGGTTCATGCCCGTGCAGCTGAAACGCTCAAGAAGATCTACCAAGGCCGCTTGGATGGCGGCGACATGGTAGGCGAGTACTCAGACATCGCCATGAACCCGATGCTGTCGTCCCAGCCCGGCAAGGCTGCCGACCCGGCGCCATTTGAGGTTGTGCCCGAGAACCATCTAGACTTCTCGTACTACAAGGACCGTGCCGACTTCCGTGAAGAATTCGGTGGAGGCATATACGGCCGTCCAGAGGATCTGATGACAGAACGTTCTCAAACCCCTCGTACATTGGGCGGCGATTGGTCTCCCAGCTCTTCGCGTGCTTCTTCGCCTGCCCCGTCCTTGCCATCCATGTCTGCACTGAGGGTACACGAGAGCTACGGGCCTACTGATGACACAGGCCTTATCCACCCTGCATTCCGTGTTCCACTTTCGCGGGGCGACAGTGGCAATGATGTCGGTGGAGGCTTGTATCACCACTCCAACGAGAGTGAGACTCAACTCCTCAGCAGTGCGCAACCACCCGCGCAGGCCGATGCCAATGCGCTTGATCGCTGGCGTACTGGGGGCAGCGGCTATGGTCCTGTTGAACAACAGGGAGAGGAGGAGGAGTATAACCCTTACACATACACATCGTATGATGCCTATCGGGCACCACGGTAGTGGATCCCATCCTCGCTGGATATTGAGGACTAAGTAAACCATGTATATGTTTTCATTCTTTGTACAGTTTTTGGCGAACATTCATATACCGGTTTTAGATGGCGGTTTGAGTCTATCTCACGAGATCACGATTACTTTCCCTTTGAATATTCTGCATAGAGCGAAATTCGGACTCATCTGTACAAATAAAAATAAATTATCGGATCTTTTGAACATATCAAAGTAACCTCTATCAACCAAAACTGTAACCATCAATGCCATCTACCACTCAGTGATTTTCCACCTCCCCCATATCAAAACGAAACAGCACTAGGAAGCGCACTAGGCGCATCCTCGCGCAGAGAACTCAAGATCAAATGATCAAACGAAGCAGCCTCATCAACCCGCGGATTAAACGGCGCAAAATCCCAAAGATATCCCAACGTCCTCAAAAGCGAAGTAGCAGAATAGGAAACCGTCTTTCCCACATTATTAGTCCCCTTCTGCTCCACAAATCCCTTAGAAATCCAAGGCGAGATCAAAAACGTCGGGATCCGACCTCCTAACCGATTGAACTCGTACGTATAACTCTCTCCATTAGGCGAAGTCTCCGTATAAGTCAAATTATCCGGCCTAGCCGCCAACGGCGGCGGAACATGATCATGGAACCCACCCGTCTCGTCAAAAGTCAACACGAACAACGTCTCATTCCACTGCGGCCCACTGCGGAGCGAATCATAGACCTTCTTGATGAACGCCTCGCCGTCAGAGATCAGGCCGCTGTCGTGCATGGATGTTGTACCGACACCGCAGCAGGAGGGGTTTAGGTATGAGAACTCGGGCAGGGAGCCGCTTGCTGCGTCGGTGTAGAATTGCGTCATGGGCACTACTTTGTCTTCATTGTCAGTTGCTTTTGTCCAGGCAAACCAGTGCGCTTCTGGGCCTGTGCCGCCGGCTGTGTCCCAGTAGTTTAGCCAGGTGTGGTTCGTTTCGCCGAGTTGTTGGAAGATTGAGCGTTGGGTGAAGGCGTATGTACCGAATGAGTCGTCGTTGGAGCCGTGGCCGGCTGATGTGCCTGCTACGAGGGCGAAGCGGTTAGGATCCGTTGGCTGGTTGAGTTAGTTGGAATGTACATGCATTAGAGGCACTTGGAATGGGGGTTTTGGGACATACGCCTGCGACATCGGAGTGCCAGTGGTTGAAGGACACGAAGTTTTGAACCAGGGATGTGAGGACTGGGACCTCTTCTTCGGTGTAGTAGTTCATGACCTGCTTTGCGAGAAGGGTTTTGTTTGCTTTGGATCCGTAGTTGTGGATCTGTTCGTGGATGAACCCGTTGTTGTTGGGTGTCAGCTTGCCTTCGGCAATCAGCTTGTTATCAGGGGTCCAGTTGCTGTAGAACTCCATTGTGTTCCCGGTGACAGCGTGACTGGGATCATCGGTGACGGAGTCATAGTCCCGTGCCTCGGTACAGTGGTGTCCCTGTGAAGGATCGGTCACGTTGTACGGGTTACAGTACGGGCCATTGTTGATGGGGTTCTCGAGACCTTTGTGGGTTTGTCCACCAAGAAGATTGTCGAGTGAGCGGTTCTCCATGCAGAGAACGACGACATTCTTGATCTTGGACTTGAGGTTGGAAATTGATGAGGCGGAGTGCGCTTGGTGAGGGTTCGCTGGGATGGCTTGTGCCGCAGCAGCAAAGGCCAACAGACCGACAAGAGCGCTGGGATGCATGATCAGATTTGGAGATCAATTGCTCTGTTTTGGAAAGAGATACATTTCGATTAATGGCGTCCACAGGTGGTGCTTTTATACCTATTTGCAGGACGTTCAGACCCATGTATGGTTTGCATTGGGGAAATTAGACTTAACACACGTGGGTCATATAATGTGAACAGAGCATTTCGAGGGGAGACAGCCAAGATCTAGACGCTTTTCACCCGAGTTTTATATGCCCCAATGAGATTGATTCCAGGGGCCACGGGCATAATCAGATTGAACAAATTCAAACTAGTTAGTCAATGCCGGTTACCTCAAGGTCAACGTATACAATGTAGATTATGCATCCCCGTCCCGGGTCATTATTCGGCCATAATCATGCTGGACATTGTAAATATCTTTAGATAGCATAAGGATCCTTTGATTGTGAGTATTAGAACAATTGCTTCTAAAGCCCTAACACTTGGCAATCCAATTATGTACGTTACCCCCATCTTCCCCGCCGATGTATAGATCGACTGCATAAACTGCCAAGAAAGGTACTGGCGGCACTAACCGTCACCCTAAACCCAACCAGTAAATTGCTAATTATTTAAGCCTTTAGTCTGATTGATTAACGGTCAGCCCGTGGTTTTGATAAGCATGGTGATTGGTACTTCTATCTCCGGGTTACATTATATACATACACTACGGACTTCACTCCGAAGGTGTGATATCTTTTGGCAGCGAATGAACATCTCCTTATTTGGCGCACCGCTTTGAGACGGTTGTGATTGGAAGCAGAGAAAATAACAGATAATTTGGTTGTCAAATCGAGCTTCTCATCAAACCCATATGCAAGATTGGAAAACACATTGTTGAAGAATATCGCATAATGGAAGATCTGTGGAGCGTGGCGGTAGCTTCGGAGGTGCAACAGAGAAAATGTGATTTCTACCCCATAAACCACACTGCATGCTTTCAGTCCAGGCTCTTCATCACAGGCTCGGTTATTTTAAGCGTAGTACACTGTCCATTATCTTGGCAATAAGAACAGATCCACCCATCCGTATCAAAAGCTACATTGGACGACATTTTGCGCATTCCATATGAGACCAAGCATAGCAGACAGAGCCGCAAATACCATTTCACTACAAGGTTATCAAGGATACCAGTAGTGCTCGGCCAGTCACGTTGAATCCATGCCATAGACATGCATGTTCCAGGCTATCGAAAACTTCATCCTCGTCATCGTCAGTCAGATCTGCCAAGGCGAAGCATTGAAACGCGTTTGTCGGAAGGGTCAAGCTACGGCCTGGTGAATAGATTGGTAGGAGAGAGGAAAGCGTTGAAGAGGGAGAAATGGGAAACTAAATGTTATGAACTCATATTTGATGCTTTTCAACATTATTTCAAATCCACCATTGCTAGCTCTAACCGCAATAATAGCATCTGGAGAAAACCTCCAGATTCAGTACTCCATACCCTTAAGTCTTCTTCTTCCGACCGGGACTCCATTTTCGCGGAATCTTCTGCCTCTCGCTTTTTGCTGCTTAGTCCTCTTCTGTCCACGAGTTTGAGTAGAAGCCCGCCGTTGGATCTTCTACGTGACCAACCCCGGTGAACAGATGATCGATGCAGTTTCATACTTTCCAGACGAAGAAATACTTGTAGGCCATTAGACCATATGTGCTGTGCATAACTAAGCTCAATGTTGCCACAGGACTGTTCCTAATGACAAGTTTCCTAATTAGGACATCAGATCGGGCCTCGGTCCCCGCTTTCCCGCACCTCCACACGTTCCTGATCACCAACTGTTTTTAGCTCTTGTCGCTCCTCTTTTCTCTCTAATTCCCTGATGAAGCGCTCTGGAGATTAAACTTATTCGCCAGACATCGCCTTTCCTCTGCATCCGATCCACTTCTCTCCTTCCTCAGGGACCGTGCGGGGAGGGGTGTCCGGGGATTTGATACATCGCTTGCCTCCACACAACAGAACATTTGCACCTTGGAATATCCTGTACCCAGAAGACAGTCTTTACTGCCCAGATATCCCTGACCCTGGAAATGGGAGGAACCCCTGAGCAATAACTACCAACAAGCAGCAGCTCCCACGCCCGAGGAATCCAGCCTGAGAGACCGCCGGACCTAGCGGCTACAAACGGAGAGGATATAACATATCGCGCTTGTGACCACTACTCCAGCTCCTGGAAAATTTCTGCGACCAGAAAAAACATGGCGTGGTATTCCATCCTCCCACCGCAGCTTATCCAGGTCGAGAGCTGGGCAGTGCGGATTTTTGTATGCGCCCTTTCTACACCGTCTTGTCCCCAGCTAACCTTCTTTACTCCCCCCAGTTCCTCCTCGGCCTCATCACTATCGTCCCTTGGGCCGCGCTCATTCTCTTTGACGCAGGCCTGTGGCTCTACCGAATGCTCTTGTGGGAACTACCCTGGATAGGCGGACGCGCACGTGGCCAGCAGCGACCCCGTGCACCAAGTCTGAACGAACGACCTGACGGACAACGACGAGCGTTTGGACTGCGTGGCGTGGAGACTGATACCGATACCGGTCAAGAACACTCGGGCGACGCGAGGGCAGATGAGAAGAAAGGGAAAGAGAATATACCTACCACCGACGCGGCTCATTCAAAGGCTAGCGGGGAGGTTAAATTTAGAGCGTCTGGGCGGGCATGACCAATCTACGCTTTTTTCCCAAGTCCGAATGTTTATATGCTTATCATGTCTTGTTTATGCTCTGAATCGTAGGTTTATAGCGCGCATGGCGTTGACTTGCCCAATCGGGAGTTTTTTTATGTCCTGGATTGTATGCTATCTGGGATGAGCGTTCGTAGTCTATTACTTATTGTAAATATCTTTTACCATTCAAATGTGAATTTGATAAGTAAATTTACGTCAAAGTGGAGAAGGGATATAATTGCCTATCTAGATATTAACCCCTCCCTCGGTCTGCGGAGTCAATCCATGGTTGCGGATTGCGATCCAGATTTGACTCATACATAATTTCAATCCAGGTCATGACAGCCTTGGAGAAGGTGCATAGACTATCGAGACAAGAAGATGAACCTGATCACCGAACATGAGTTGTCAACTCTCCACTCTTTAATCGGAGCCCTTGTAGTAGGATTATGCCTCTGGTACTGTTGGCTCCGACGAGTGCACAATGAAGACCAGACGGAAAACCACCTAGTGATCACACCTTTACAAGATTTCGACTGGAAAAACACAGAACCACTTCAATTCCGTCCATTCCTAGGAAAGGAAAAGTATAACTTGACCATGGGTAAAAACCTATCATCCACCACAAGAAACCAGCTAATAATCCCAGCAATCGAGAATCTGGATCCGTCGGACCTCATCACCATAGACAAAACATACCAAGACCGACTCGCACTCCGAAAGCAGCTTCTCGAACAACACCACGAAATCGTAGTCGCAGTCAACGAAACATCAACAGCAGACCCAAGAACCCACTCCGCAGTCCGCGAGCTATACTCCTTCATCCTAGGAACATATCTCCCATCTCGATACCCGGGAATATTCAAACTCCAGTCCAGTACCGAGAAAACGCCTGAAATCTTCGAAAATACAATAACAGGCACATCATGGCCAACAAATCTCCACCCAGAAACACCCACGATCCGCGCACTGGAGATCCTAGCACAAACCGTCGACGAGGAATTCCTCATTCTTCTTCCGGATATCTCAGCCCCAGTTGATCAACCGAAATACATACTTCAGGCTTATGCGACATGTTTCCCGTCGGGTTTCAACACGCGCGAGAAGCTTGGATTGCGCCTGGCTGATATCCATATGCCTGTGCCCGGGTATAAGGAGAAGATCGAGCGGAGTATGGATCGGTTCTTTGCGAAGATTGAGGTGGGGAGGTTTGTTAAGAGGGTTAATTGGGGTCTGACGACGGAGACGGAGTTGTTTGCGGCTTTTGGATCTGTGCATGGGTCACACGGGTCTGGCTCTAAGGGTAACGAGTATGGTGAGAAGGAGGATATGGGACAACAGGCTCTTCGGCTTGAGGAGCTGAATATTGATAAGGTTCGTGGGTTTCTATTTTTGAGGCGTGGAATCTTCCTGCTGATCGAGTATAGACGGTTCTGCGATGCGAACGTCAGACCTTGCATCGACTGCCGACTTCTAAGGCTATTATCTTTTCATTTCATACATATACCTACCCGGTGCAGCAGATCAAGGATGAGGGTCTTGGAGAGGAGTTTGCGGTGGCTATTGATGGCCTTAGGAAGGGGAATGTGCCGGGTATGCATGCCTATAAGAGAGGGGATTACTGGGGGGAGGCTGTTAAGGAGTTTTTAAGGTCTTGATAGTATGGTAGAGAGTATATAGCATGATCGCATCCATCGTTGTCTTTTCATTCATCGGATTTTTATAGCTTTTATATCCATATCCCCTTTTATCATTATTCAATGTACTTTGCTTACTGCAGGCGCTGGACCACCTTGATGAGATCGGCGGACACTCCCATGGCAGTGACCTCACCACCGGCGCCGGCACCCTGCACAATAAGGGGGTTGGCACCGTACCGCTTGGTGTAGAAGCTAATGATGTTGTCACTGCCCTTGAGGCCAGCGATAGAGCTATCCTTATCAAAGTACTGCAGGCCAACCTTGACAGCCTTGGTGGCAACATCAATGCTACCAACATAACGCACAACCTTACCCTGCTTCTCAGCAGTGTTCTTGACTTCGGCCATCTGGGCATCGAACTCCGGCAGACGAGTCATGAACTGAGTAATACCCTCCGAAGAAGAAGGCAGCGAGGCCAACTCAGCGGGGATGAGCGACTCAATGGGGAAAGAGTCAGGGCGAGACACCTCCAGACCAGCCAGACGGGCCAGGATGGTGAGCTTGCGCGCAACATCCATGCCGTTCAGGTCATCACGAGGGTCGGGCTCGGTGTAGCCCAATTCTTTAGCCTGAGCGACAACGGCACTCCACTGGGCATCCGAAGAGCCGGAAGCAGGGGCGAAGGTGTTGAACAGGAAGGAAAGGGTACCGGAGAAGACACCCTCAATGCGGGTGACTTCGTCACCGGTCGCGACGAGGTCCTTCAGGGTGGACAGAACGGGGAGACCGGCACCGACGGTGCTCTCATGGTAGACAAGAGCCTTGCCCTCGGCAGCGGAGGCGAAGATGTCCTTCCACAGGGACAGGTCATCAGAGAAGCCCTTCTTGTTCGGGGTGACGACGGAGATGCCCTTCTTCAGGAATGTGGGGTAAGAGCGGGCGAGGTTGATGTCGGAGGTGTTGTCGACCAGGATGGCGCGACCAGGAGCAGAGGCGAGGTAGTTAGCGATCTCCTCGGCGGGCAGGGCGCCGGTTTTGGTGAGCGAGGGCGCGGCGGAGGCAGTTGCCCAGTCGGCCGCGGGGATGGCGGGGGAGTACGCCGGTGTCGGAGCGAGGAGGGTCTGCGAGGAGCGGGCGAGGAGAACGAGCTGGGGGGCATTGGGGATACGAGCAAGCTGGGACAAGAATGCGGTGCCAACGCCACCAACGCCTGGAGGTGTTAGTATTATTTGGTGATGCTGTGGCCTTCAATTTTGAGGCTTGAGGCTTGAAATGGAGGGGCAGCATACCAACAACACCGAGGTAGACAGGGCTGGACATGTTGAGTCAATTGATCAATTCTCTGTATTTAAATTGAAATGGAGTATTTCAAAGGACCGAATATGTAAACGGCGAGATCGACTTGAGTTTGAGCTGTAAGATGTAAAGGTTGGGAGATGATCTGCTTGACTCAGTTTAAACTAGCGGACTCGGCCCGGAGTTATGTATTCCCACTGACAGTATAGGTAGTTACCAATTCTTACCATTTCTCCCTGATATTTTGCAATTTGAGAGATAATATCATAAACCCCCCGGTAGCCGACTGTTCAATCCTTGCCGGACACATTTCAATCTTTGGCTCGTGTGTAAAAGATTATAGATTACAAGGCTTTGCAGATTTTAGGCAATGTAAGCGTAGCGGGGCATTTAACTGTTTCTATACATTTGAGGTCTACACAGTCTATACTTTATGTTCACTCAGTTAAATGCCTGCTTATTATGCATAATCTTACTACTTTTTACGAGCTTGTAATCTTGGTGTACCTTTTTGATCCACAATATTCTACTTGATGTATTTGCTACCTAGTATTCTCATGACATTTAAACTTATAAGCTGATTCATCATGGATGATAACCAGATATCCCCATATATCTCCTACTGAGTATCGTCATCGTAATAAAGAGTTATTCTGAATTCAATCACTTGCGTTATTGCCAAACATACATGCCCAGACTATAGCAGAATCCCTTGGGCGAGCTGTCCTAATTAGGTTAGACCTATTTCTATATATCTCTTATCTCTTATCGAATTCCATATCACTTCCAGTTCATCACTTTCAGTTCATCGTCGACAAGAGCGCACAGCCATGGCCTCCGATCAATCCTCTCTATACGGACAACGCCGTACCAAATCCACCAAAGGACCCGATATCTCCAACTCATCCAACCTGGCCTTCACTTCCCAACTATCTTCTCTCATCGCCCAAGAGTCCAGCACAACCCGCGGTCGAGCCCGCCCATCCAAGACCCCCAAAACCGATCTCTTCGCCAAATCCAACAAGGGAGCCGAGAAGCGCGTAGCTTCCGACCTCAAAGATGACGGCTACACCCAACAAGTCCACAAGAGCAGCAAGGACATCGGCACAGTCGATGAAGCCACACTCGGTCGATCCAAGCGTAAGATGGAAGCGAAGGTGCGCCTATACAACGACATGAAGAAGGGATCACACCTTGCAGCCGAAAGCAGTGATGAGGAAGATGGTCTCACCCACAAAAAGGCACGAGCGGAAGATTACTATTCTCGACTACGGCGCAAAGAGAAAGAAGGTCTGGTAGACTTCGATCGCAAATGGATAGACGAAGAACGCAACCGTGATGGATCCCCGGTAGATACCTCAGATGACGATTCAGACGACGACAATGCGTCACAGATATCCTATGAAGATGAATTTGGGCGCACGCGTCGCGGCACGAGGAAAGAAGCTGCCCTTGCAGCGCGCACGAAGGAGCAAGAGGCAATTCAGGGCCGTGAGACTCGGGAGCGCTGGCAACCTGCGAGACCGGATAATTTGATCTACGGAGTCACGGTCCAAGCGGAGGCATTTAATCCCGAGGAGAAAATAGCGGCGCAGATGGCCCAGCTTGCTGCGCGGAGAGATCGGTCGGCCACGCCACCGGAAGAGGTGCACTATAATGCCGATGCGGAAGTGCGCAATCGGGGTACTGGGTTTTATTCATTCTCAGGGGATCAGAAAGAGCGGCAGAGGCAGATGGAAAATTTGTTGATGGCACGGGAGGAAACTGAGCAGCAGCGACAAGCTAGAGTGCATAGAAGGGCAGAGTGGGAGGAGAGGACTAATCACCGGAAGAGGGAGCTAGCCAAGTTACGAGAGAAGAGGATGACGGAGCGGCTTTTGAAGGGTCTTTCGAATGATGGGCTCATATCCAACCAACCTACGGCATGAGGGCTTTATACCAAGTTTTTTTTCGAAGCGATACCCACTATGTACAGGCTTTTTATATAATATCGGATGCAATGAATAGACTGCAACCGATTGCCAGGCGCTGATATTTCAAGATATAGAATAATGAGATTGCACTGAGTCTTGGAAGCCAGCACAAGCAAATAAAGCGTCAAAATTCATCGCTCCGAGGCATAAAGAAAATCAAGCGCGACTCGACTCCAATTGACACCAACTTTTGATTTAATCATGACATTCATATCAGCATATATTATCAGTCGTAAAAGCCCAAAGGTCATTTGTAGGGCAAGTGTCAGTCGACGTGTCTAACGAATATTCGCCGCTATATCATCCATTATGTCCACGAAGTCTTCAGCATCTTGATGAGATTTATTAGTCAAAGAAACAAGAGTTTGAGGGAGAAGGACGTACCACTACGAGAAGAAAACTTCAAGATATGTTCTCCACGGGTCGTCGTAGGCGGATTATAGTCGTCTGTCGACATAAGGATGGTAAGTTTTAGATCACGCACTAACACAGTTCGCGTGTCCACGACCTTCAACCAGCCCCGTCGGTTGAGCTGATGAGTAACGAATGCAGTCCAGACAGGAGTACTATTTGAAAATGATGAGAGTCGGTAAATATGGAATTCGGGACTCGAACTTACCGATCCATAGTCCCCTTGTGAACAGACGCCTGTAGTCGAACAGCCCCAGAGGTCTTATCTTGATAAACACGTAGAGCATGAAGATAGCTATCATCAACGATTTGGCTTGATGCAATTAGTACTTTGGAAGCTCATTCAGAACTAGGTTGACCTACCCGCCAAAAAGCTCCTCTTCGTCATCCAATTCGTGATCCCGAATGTCGTCGATCGGATGACCAGCATCTTGAGCGCGAAGAGCCAAAAATGAACAGAAAAATACAACCATACCTAGAACCCATGGTTAGGCTTTATCTCAATTGAACTTTTGATCATCTAGATGGCACTCACATTCCATTGTCGTGAACTTCAGACGAGCCCACAAGACCAATTCCTTGCCTGCATTTCTTCTCCGGCACAGCTGAAGCGTAGAGCCTGCTCGAACAACCTCCAGCATGTTCAGGGGCATACAGAAGTACTCGCTGGGTCGAGAACGGTGGGGTATCTTGCACACCATTCGAGCGCGGTGGTCTTGATCCCGCAAATAGAAGTAGATGGTCATCCCCGACTCGTCATGAAAGACCCTTGGAAAATGACAATCAGGGATATAAACTTCGGGATTGATCATCTGGGCGACCTACAATTGAAGAACCCGCTCAAATCCGCCCTCTTTGAGAACCTCCTTGACCCCCTTGTGAGGTTTGGCGAAACATCCCGCCCTGTAGCAGTGTTAGGATGCTATCTCAGCCCAGAGTAGAGCACGAGGAACTCTTACTTTTCCGGTGCGTTTCGAAGCGCAGTCTCCGTATCATAACTGCTGAAAATATCTCTGACCCAATGGTACTTTAAGGTATCGTGTTGAGTAGAGTGGCTATTCGTTGTAGTGGCAGATGCTGATCCTGTCAATGGCGAGTGTGGGGCCTCAGGGACGGAAGGAGGAATACTATCCGAGAAAGTACCAGTGCCAGAAGAAGGCGACAAAGGAGACTGAGGGGATAGATTCAATGGTCGAGACCGCTCAAATGACCGGCGTCTGCGTTGATCGCGGTCGCTGATCGGGCTAATCGGGCTCTGAGGTTCCACGATATTGCCTCGAGATGGAGGACGCGAGATGGGACGAGATGCGTGACGAGAGATGGGACGAGAAACGGGACTAGGGATTCGAGGAATCTCCGGTTCAGGCTGGAATGTTGCGCGACCAGGACTGAAGCGACGGTTCTGCAATTTGAGGAGAGAGGTCAAGCTGGCGCGAACACTTGCAAGGAGGCTCGCATCATGGGGTCGACTGATAACAAGGCAATCAGCTGTTAGTATAGGATTGAAATTGACAAGTGGATTTACATACTCCTTCGCCACATCGCCCAGTTCTCTGAGGAAAATCTTGTATCTTGCTAGGCGGGTTGAAAGCGTATACTGCGACTCATCCCAGAAGAATCTACCCATCGCCAGCCATACGATCTTGTAGTTCTCAGGCGTGTTCCCGCCATCGTCAAGGCGGTAAAAATAATCGAAGATGTCCTTGATAGTATAATTCATGCTTTTTAGCACCAAGTCCAAATCAGGCCGCACATGAGACCAATTGCGCCGGTACTGGACATCTTGCGAAAATGCCTCCAGGCTAGTCAATGAGGAACTGATAGCATATAGATCAGATATTAAACCGGTCACCTCAGCTGTACATTCAGGAAAAGGGGCACGAAAGGTAGCGAAGCCGGCTGCCGCATCCTCGGCGTCTACAACATACGTGCGCAGGGCCATGGGGCGGGTCAGGCCATATGGGGGAATTTCGATCGAGTCAAAAACACAAAAGTGCGGGAAATGCCAAAAGTAACCCAATCTCACGTGGTTATGCGGCTCTTACTTTTCCCTCCCACCCTTGCGTCCTTGCTTCCTGACGTGGTCGCGCGGGAATGGCGGGGCGTAGTGGGGGGAGGGGGAAGGAGAGGGGAAGAACCTAGGAGAATCCAGCACGTCAGGATGTCGTGCAATTCATGACATTTAGAGACTCGAGTATTCAAATATTATAAGAAAAAGTATATAATATCCATATTCCCTTGGTTCTAAACGGGTGATGAACGAAATTCCATGGTTGAAGCTCTCAAGTTTACCATAGCACTTTTGAGTGTTCAGGTAAGCATCTTATGTGACCCACTAGCTCTGCCCTACGAAGTAGCGGTGACATTGAAGCTTGACTGTACAGTATCAAACATATATTCAAGTCATGCACATTTTACCTCCTGATTCTCTTTTCAACAATCATACTGAAGCAGGGATTCGGAACTACTGGAGGCGAGAAATCTTCTAAACACTACTGGAAGAACTCGGTTCACAGTTCATCTAATTCGTAGAGTTTATTCATAGTGGGGCTATGTAGATCGAGACCTACATAATGTAACTAGGAATAGACTGAAGCCGGCAAGGAGAAGGCTGAGTGACTAATCTCTTGTAAAAGTATCTCTAGGGCATCACAGTCCCCAGCTGACTCCTGACAGCCATATTTCCTTTACTTCCTATTTCTATTTCTGGGAATAAGGTAACATTGACTCCCTGTCGGAAAATCAAACAGTGCGTTGACCCTCCAGAATGAAACATACCGAGCTGGTCTCCCTTTTTCACATATACCCCTTCCTTGACAGTGATTTCACACGTCGAGACTTCAGCCTGTCCAACCGCAAGAAAAGTCATCAGACCAATTGCTGGGTTATCGGCTTCAATAAGTATTACGGCCCGTGTCGACGTAGCCGTGTTATATGCTGGGTAATCAGCCCAGGTTGATGGACTGCCATCAGTGCTCAGTGGCGCCGAAGAATATGTCCCGTTGATAGTATAGGTTTTGACGATTTTGCCAGATACAGGAGCATGCCAACGGTGATAGCTGAAGGCACTCAGGAAGCCCTGGTAGACAGTACCCCCAACAAAATGATTAGAATAATTCTGGCCAATCATATCAGACAAAGAATAGGACTGTCCTTTGATCCAGAAACTATCCCGTGCTTTCACGCCCTTGACTAGTGCAGTGGGCTGGGATTCACATGCATTGACAATGATACTATTATCGTCTGGAAAAGCCACAGTGCGGATGTCTTCCCTGAAAGTTCGTGTAAAGAAGGCGTCCCAGGATTGGAAGCCATGGTATGGCGCAGATGGATCGCAAACAAACATCTCGTCAAACGTGTAGGTGGTTCCACCGATATTTGCAGCACTCGTCAATGCAGCAAGAGCTGGACTGCTGAACCAGCCACTGGCAGAAGCATCAAGTACAGCGGCTGAGGATTTAGACTGTAAAAAATCGGCCCATGCATTTAGTACATGCTTGATCATTGAATTCACATCCGGGTCAAGAAATGTCGCAAAGCCAACGGCTGTTTGAGCATAGTCCAAAAAGAAGATCGTTCCGATTGGGAGGCCAACATGGAGACCTTTGGCACTCCAAGGAGGGCCGTGGGTGATTACGTAGTTCAGAAATTGTAGCATATGCTGATAATCTCGAATCTTGGAGGTACATGTCTTTTGCTGGAATAAAGATCGAAAGAGCAAATCAACACGCGAGTTGGTTTCGATGAGCTGTTGAAAATTCTGTAGAACAGGATGGAGGGTCCGAGGTCTTTAATCGGCCTCCTTTATAATATCCCATGCCCAGGCTGTGGGGTCATTCTCGTCAACATGGCACGGTTCTCTAAGTATCGTTGGAAAGTTAGTACCTTATGTATCTGCGCGATTTCGGCCTCTGGGACGAGAAATATAACCTTTGGACTGTTTGTTGGATATAGCTGTCACTATAGTTCTTCAGAAGAAAGATCAGTTCCTTGGACAAGCACGAGCTTATGTGTGTAATAGTCACTCGCGTTGCTGCAGGAACTGGAAGCTGTTAAGACCGCTTGTAGCAACAAAAAAAATGAATATTTTTTAGGAATGCATTGTGATCCGCTTGCCATTGATCAGTGAGAATGAAAAATAGAGTGACACTGAGAACCCTGTCAGGTGAGTTAATCGATGACCAGACCGAAGGATTGGTAGCGACTAGTGAGCAGGTCGTGAGATAATCTCTGGTATAAATACACCTGGAAAGATGCAAGGTACATTTATGTGAGTCGGATGCCTTGGAATGCTGGAATGGTAAGCAAGGGGGAAAAGGTGACATAAATGAAAATCTAGTCCCCTGCATCTCGACGGATATCTTAAGGGCTTGTTGGAAGCTCATGCTATCTTCTCTTCTCGAATGGTTGTCCGCTGCATTGACCCTGGACTTGCATCGACAAACCAACACGGGCATACTCCAGAATCGCCCTATGTTTGGGTGTCTGGACAAGCAAAAGCCATAAAGCCCACTGGGTATCCATCGACTTGAAGTATCGAAAATGAGTCATAGATTTCAGCGAGCTTGCTGGATCGAGCAGTGGTGAAAATCGTCCTCGGCAAAAGACGTCTCCCATCTCAAGACATGGAGAGATATATCCGGTATCCTCATGATGCTCTCAATCCCATTGTGCGTGGTATCTTATCGATAGTGAAATCTGGAGATCAAGCCGGCCATTGAGGCCTGTGATCAGCCTGCATTGGCACATATCCGGATGATAATTGTCTGGACATCGAGGACACCTGAACGGCAGTTGCAATGAAAGTGACTTGTTAAGCAAATGACTTGAACAACGGCTTCCTAAAAGATAATGTGGAGCCCTGCTGGAAGTATACACTGTATTGTTGAGGGTAGTAAACCAAAGTAAAAACTGGGAAGTGGATAGGGCAGCAGAACCAACCTCAGCCCTTTTCAGGTGATGAATGGTTGCAGTTCGATCCTACAGCTCGAAATGCCCTTCAAAGTTGATGAGTTCACTAACAGGCTTTCTGGCCGAATTCTTAGATCACCCAGCCGTTCCTGTCTAATACGGACAGGGTGACATGCTCGATACATCTTTTGCTAAGGGCGACTTATGAAAGCTTAGCTCTGACACTCCCTCCATCCATTTGAGGATCATGAGATAGGGAAATAAAATAGGGTTGATTAGACTAGTATACAGCAGACTAGGCTTGCGCCGAGAGATCCAGCAAGCACCGTCCTGGCCACCCTTCAGATCAGTCATGCGGGGTAATAGTTGAGTTCTTTTCTTTCCTATTTCCCAGCCGGTAGATAAGAAAAAAAGTAAGGAAAACATAAACAAGACTGTTAAAAGGATGGGGCGTCAAGATGAAAACCATTTCCCGCGAGGGAAACACAAGTTCGGGCCGAATCAGGCCATCAAAAAGCAATCAAAAACCACCGAGGAACCCATCCGTTAAGCCCGTAAGTGATAAAGCAACAAGGAAAAAGTAGACCGGGAGAATCATTGAGAGAGCACGAGAACGCCAGCATCTTCGCAAGAAAAAGGTTGCGAAGAGACATTTAGGAGGACTCCTCATCATCATCACCAGCAGCCAGGGACTAGAGATCACGTTAGTAGGGGTATGATTGTTTGGGAAATTATACAACTTACCTCCTGGTACTTGGCCTTCTCTTCCTCGTAGCGCTTCTTGTCAGTGGCGGCCTTCTCATCGTAAGGCTTGCGCTCATCCTCAGTCAGAGCCTTCCACTTGTCACCGAGCATCTTTCCGACCTGGCCTGCAGGGGAGTTAGATAAAATTTACAAGCAAGATTGGGGTAAAAGCAGTCTTACCGAAAGTGATGCCGGGGTTCTCCTCACGAACCAAGTCGCGGTTGTCGTTGGCGAAGAACATGTAAGCAGAGAGACCTCGCTTGGGAGCGTTGGGGTCTAAAGATGAATTAGGACTTAATCCAGTCAATCGTGTCGACAATGACTTACCCTTCTTGCGGCGAGGAGCGCGATCACTCTTAGCCTTGCGGGTGGCGGTGACTTTCTTAGCGGGAGGCATCTTTCTGGTGACCTTCGCCATGGTTAGTTGTTGGTGTTCGGATATGAAATGAGCAATAAGTTGATGCAGGAGATGGAAGAGATGGAAGAAAATTGCAGATGAAAGGGTTGCGATAAATAGCAAGAAACAGAGGATAGATAGCAAAAAACAGAGGAAACAAATTGGTGCAGAGAAGATGAGTTGGGGAGCGGACGCGTTAAGGTTGACCTGAGCAGTTGACGCAACACGCGTTGAGGCGACCAAGTCACCTCAGTTGGTCCCAATCGCACCAGAATAACGCGTCAAACTCGAGACGAAACTCACGCGAAACGTAGATTATATATTTTAATAAACAATTTCAACGCTGAATCCGTCCTATTGAGCTGGGCGCAAGTTAGGGTGATTGGAGCGCAAAAACAAGAAATGCGCGACCGCGACCACGACGACGAGAAAAAAAAGAAAAAGACGTTGAAAAAGAAGAGAAGGACAAGAAGAAAGCAGAAAAAAAAGGGAAATGGTGGTGGTGGAGAGAATTGGGTGATTGGGGGTTGATGTTGATATAGATGGGGATATGCAGTACCTGAGGTTTGTATGGTCAAGTTTGTATGGGTGAGAGTTGGTAGTGTAGGAAGAAGGGAAAGAGAGGGGGGAGAGCTGTAGTAGTAGGGAAAGACTCAAGAGAGGGGGATTCCCTTGCTGTTTGCTTACACACGGGAATGTAACAGCCTGCGTCACAGTATTTTATTTTTTTGGTGGCTCCTTCCCACCAAAAGTCTGTACTTCTGGTATGGTAATTAAAATCATCTTCCACGAAAAACATAGTATCTCTGGAGGTTTATATTTGACATATTCTATATATTCTAGTATTTTATTCTTTTATTTTATTTATACTGTTATTTCCAATTTTATAGTCTAAATAAGAGTCAGCAACTACTAGTAATACTAGTAGTACTCTGTTGACGAAAAGCGTACCAGACAATAACATACTCAAGCCCTCTCACAGTGGAGCACCAGCGAAAAACCGCGCAGGTGGTCGTACCATATACCGTTGGAACCCATAGTAATGTGACTTCCCACGCAAGTACCCAGTACCACTCCAAAACGCAGCTCAGCTGGTTTTCTGGAGAGCCAGAGTTTACTACACTGTCTTCCTATGTATCATATAGCCCATTATTAATCAATAAATCAAACAATGAAACTCAAGGATTTTATCTTTACTATTAAATTTTAATTTGGGTAGAACTATAATAAAAACCCCCAGCTGGCAAAAGACAAAAAGACTGGGAAACTGTAGACTCTACACGCCTTCAAAGACCTTTCATGTGGGCGTTTGTAAGGAGCGTTGCGCGATACTGTTATCACAGACAAATGGCACCCGCACAAAATTCTCTTTGGCCATCGAGGCAATAAGCCCGAGACAAATACGGCAATTACGTGGGGAGTAGTACCCAGTAGTCATTGGTAAGTGACCACCACCAAAGTACTCCGTACCCCGGAGTATCTAAACTAAGTAAGTGTTCACCATGCCGCCTCTGGAAGCTAGACCGAGTGCATAACCAGTAGTTAACCAGCGACAGTATAATAGAAATGGAAATTTATTTTGTTTTGGAAAAAAGCACCGACCTCCGTGTGATAACACGCCCATATTCATGATTGAATTAGCGCGAGGTAAGGGCCTGGAGTCGCAACCGTAAGTTGGAGCGTTGCTCAGTCATAGGGCGTGACCTTTGAGCAATACCACCGATTGGAAACACAGCCATACCTAGAACTTTGCGCGTAATTATCAAATTTTCTGATTGTTTTGAAATGTGGCCAGAGCTGCCGATATCCTATCCACCGGTGCCCGTCTTACGGGATTGGAAACCGAAGGTCGCGCCATATTACAGTATGGGAAAGGATGGGAAGGCTTGGGAGATTTATTCCTGCAGAGTTCGGATCATCCCATGATCACAAGCCGTAAATCATGTATTGTTTCCCTTGCAAGACGCGTCTTGAAAGATCCATTGGTTACGGGGGTTTATGCCTGGAAAGCGGAAATGGTCTGCGAGTCCAGAAATGTACAGAAGGATTCGGCCTACAGCGCTAAAAAAAAAATAGTGCTATTTATGTACCTACAGGTAGACTGTACTGAAGGCAATGGCTGGTTTATTCCGATACAAGATGGGTACCTGAGTGTACTGGTTCAATTCCCGCAGGAAACAAGTACCACTCCACCTTGTAATATTACCCTTTCCACTTCTTCCGAGCGTCATAGAGTTGCCCTCGCGTAATACGCACTGGATTCTGCACGCTAGCCGAAACGCTAATGTAAGTCTGAATTTAGTTATAGTCGGTAAGGTATAAACTAGATGTATCGAATGCGATCTATGCTACACATCAATCCATGGATCTGGGTAGATTTTGTTGCGCAAGTCCTTTCCCCGTAAGTCTCTTATCTATCCACTCCGTCATGGTGGCTGTGCAGTGATGTAGACGTGGGTCTTACACAGATCCTATGTCGGCCATGATTTCACGGAAATTTCGAATTTGTAGAAAAATTTAAGAATCTATTCAGAATATCGAAATTTTCAATAGGTCGATCGTATCAATTCGTTGCCCTTATCGGACCATGGGGGTATAAACCTTTCTAAGTGCGCGAAGACCGAAAAAAGACCAAAGCACACATCAAAACGCGTTCGTAAATACATTAATCATCGCTCTCATCCAGAACAAGTGCTTGAAGATCATCGTCCTCAGCCCAATTGAGTCCACTGCCGACTACCATGGCACTAGCGATGCTCTTCATTGTTTCCCATTTCGCCTTGCTGGTACGGAGTTCAGCTTCGAGTTCGTCTAGTTGCGACGCGAGCTTTGCATCCTGAAGCCTTTCGCGCCAGGAAGAATTCTGCTTGGTGAGCTCTAGTAGCTGGCTCACGAGCTCCTGGTTCTCCCGGTTGATCTGTAAATTCTCGATCTTTGTGTTGGCGAGCTGTTTGAGAACAGCATTGTGGACGGAAGCCAGATTTTCATACGCCAGAGCTAGCTCGTCGCGACGGTTGACCAACCGAAAAAGCGCCCTGTGAGAGTTTCATAAGACGGGGCGCATATCAACTAGTCAGGGGTAACAACGTACTTTTCAACAGGGTTGGTCGCTTTCAGGTGAACCGCTTTCAAGATCGGGTCAGTCATGAGGATGGTACGCGCTGCTTTCCTTCTGACAGTGTAGGTAGCCCGCGCCTCCAAGAACTCGCGTTCAGCGATCGCGAGCTCCTCTTCCACATTGTCACCAGAAAGCGACTCCAGTTCTAGAAACATGTAAGAGGCCAAAAAAGGAAGAAAGAATTGGAACAAAAGTAAGGAGAGAAAGAGGTCTTGTGTACAAACCTTGTTCCAGCAATGCTTTTTCTAATTGTTGTTCCTGGATCTGCTCCGCGAGCTGCAGGACTAGAGCTTCTTTGTCCGAGAGCATCACCACATCGCGGGTGTCATCTGCAGCATAATCAAGGAGGGTCAGCTCCCCTGCCCGAAGGTGTGGCCACTGGCCATGTTTTGTAGCCATGAGGAGATCGCGTGCGTACCAAGAGTATCTTGTGATATGGACTGGGGGCGGTGGGGAACTCACCTGGAAGAGCTTCAGCCCCTGCCAAACTTAACTATGTACACTCCCCTCTTCCCTGAAAACTAGAGCTTTTACGCTCGGGTGAGGAGGGGGAAATGTCTTTACACATTTATATCGCTCACTCCGGTGAACACCTACTGGCCGATCCAGTAGCCTTTGCTTCGTATGTTTTTTTATCTTTTCCCCAAGTTTCGATGAGGGGAATGCCCATGCCGATGTCCCTAGCTTTATGCGCCCGCGAGCTAACTCCACCTTATTTACAGCCCTGATGCGCTCAAATCATGGGTCGTTCGGTATACGTCGATTCCTCCTTCCAGGCAGATCTTGATGACTGCCCGGGGGAAGAACGTGAAAACACAAACGCTTGCCACTGAGGTGCGTGGCTACCTAATCCCGAATCTCCGCCTCACATCCCCGATGTGCTAACAAATGACTGACGTGAATAACAGACTGAAATATTCGTGTACGACCGACAATATGTGAGCGAATCCCGCGAGATCGAGCTTCCAATGCTCCCTGAACCCGAACCCTATCAGCCCAGCAGCCCTCCGGCTTCTCTCACCGATCAGAACGACCTCCAGGCATGGCAAAATCTCTTCATGGCAAGGAAGACCTGGGCTCAGGATTTATCCAAGAGCTGTGGAACCACTGATAAGGCGATCCAGGAGCATAGTGAGCGAACGGATGTCATCAACCGCGCCGTGGGTGTCGCACTCGAGAACCTCAAGTCTCACGTGGGCAACCTGGAACACCGGTTCCAAGATGCTCAGACATGGGCCTCTAGCTTACTGGAGGAGCAGCAGACCGCTCTGGATGGCTGGCAAGATGCTCTGGCGCGACTAGAAAACATCCCGGCCCGGAAAGACTTTCCTCTTCTTGGACGCCCATCTACACCTAAGAAAGATAACAATCGACCAACGGGGACTCTGAATGATTTTGTTGATGCGAATGAAGTCCTACAAGCTGGAGCGGATGCTGCCATTGCATCGCCGCGCTTCGCTGGGCAGATGCAAGATATTGGGAAGACGGTCGGTGAGATTGCTTCGGATACCCAACACTTGGTTGATGACATCCTCTCTTCCCCGCCGAAGTGGACGAGGGTCTACTCACCGAAGTAGAAACCATTACAAAAAAGATCGGCTCAGACTATGAGCATGTTCTTGGGCTCCCAAATAACCAGAAGATGCTGGCAAATATCTCCAGGCTTGCACTAAACCATACTCAAAATCTCCTCCCCTCTCTTTTGGCGGCCGGCGCAGATCTTCAGCAAGCCCTCGCGCATTCTGTGCGGCGGCGCAACGCCGCCGAGAAAACAGCTCTTCAAAACATGCGGACCATCTCATTTCTCCAATCCCGTCTGGCCGACGCCCACACCCAATTGATCAACCTTGACGTGAATACCAATGCTTTTGAAGTCATCGACTCGGTCTTTCAGATGCCGATGGTCTATGGCTCGATTCTGATCGAGTCTGTGCGGCGTCACGAGTGGAGCGGTAAGATCAAGGCAGACTCCTTGAACTTGGCGGAAGAGATGGCTGTCCTAAGAGACGAAGAGCAAAGACGCCGAAAGAAATGGGTCAAAAACATGGGAGATCACATATCCTTTGGGGATTCTACAACCATTGGGATTGAAGTGAACCTCCAAGGACAGGATGAAGAATGGCCTGTAGTATCCCGGAAAGAGATCGAGACTTACATAGAAGATCTACGGTCGAAGCATTCCCTCACAAAAATGGCGGATGACTTGTCTCAGCAGTTGAAAGAATTGGATGCACCCACACGCCAGCAAAGACGACGAGCCAAGGCATTCAAGAATGGCAGTGTGTTTGACATGGGCCGAAGCTCTATGTTGCTACGTGGAGATGACATGGTTCGAAGCCTGCAGGATGAGAAGACCAAATTGGAAGAGCGGCTCAAGGGCTCCGAGAGTCGGATCCGTAAGCTGGAGGACCTACTCCATCGGCAAAGCCACCTCAGTCGGCCATCTAGTGGGAATTTTGGACCGGAATTCCCAAGTTCACCAGCGTCTCCACATCTCGATACTCTCTCTAGGCGGTCCTCGGTATCATCGAGGCGTGTGTCTATGACCCAGTCCCCTGAGGACAAAGTGCTTGTCCAGCGCATAGTCTCTCTCGAAGCCGAACTAATGACCGAAAGGGAGGCCGTGCAGAGGCTTCAGAAGGAGGCCCATGCTGAGCGGCAGACTAATTCCGATAAGTACCAAGAAGCTCAATCCACCAAGAAGGACCTTATTGGAAACCTAGAGGCTCGGCAGCGTGAATTTGAGGATGAGCGAAAATACCTCGAGGCGGAAGTCAAGAAATGCCGGCTTCGTAATGAGGAAGTGGAAGAAGAGCTAGATAAGCTCATGGACAGTCGAGATCATGAGAGACAAGAAGCCGAAGAGCGGATCCACCAACTCGAGGCTGATTTGCAAAGTGCCCAGGCGAGCTCAGCGGAAGAGGCTCAAAAGGCCAAAGACCTCGATGAACGGATACGAGTTCAACAAGAGAAAGAGCAAGAGCTTCGAAATGAGATGACTGTTCTTGTACGCCAGAATAGCGAATGGAGCCAAAAAGCACAGGATAACTACCAAACCCTACAGTCAGCTTTCATGAATCTATCTCCTGGTGGTTCTGTACCACTCGAACTCCCCGATATCATTCATGCCATCGAGGTGCTTTCCGAAGGCTTGTCCATACACGCCAAGAGCGCTGAAGACAATGCATCAAAGGCGATGACTGAGATCAAGTCTCTCGAGGAGAAGACGCATGCGCTTCAATCGCAATTAGAAGAACAGGTTAGGGTCTTTGATGGACGTGAGGCCGAGGTGGCCAAGTTGGTAAAGGAGCTCTCTCAAGTGCGAACTGAAATGGATAGTACAAAGCTGGAGCTGGAGCAGGAACGCGCGAAGCTGAATACTTTGCATTCACAAGTATCTACGGGTGAGATTGGCTCGGATGCGCTCCGGGGAAGAATTGCGGAAGAGGAGCGAAAACATGCAGATTTGTCTCAGAGGCTAGCGGATGCCGAAACCAAGGCTCAGGATTTACAGGACCAAAAATACGAATTGGAAAACAAGGTTGAGGCAGCCTCTGAAGCGGAACGAGATGCTCTAACCCGCTATGAAGGCCGAGGTACTAAGTGCTATGAGACGTCCCGGCAACTTTATTCGCAGGTCGATAAGTTAGAGCGGATGCTTGAGCAACTGGGATTTGCGATCATTCAGCAGGATGGCCGTCTCGTCGTCCAGCGGGCATCAAAGCTTGCAGCTTCGGTGTCTGGGTTGGGTGAGAGTATCGCCCAGTCTGGGATCGTTTCTGCTAAACCCGATAGTGCACTGCTTGAGTGGATGCGAGCTGAGAGCTCAGAAGAGGAAGATGCCAAATTCTCCGCTTTTCTGGAAAGCCTCTCTCGATTCGATGTTTCCATTTTCGGGGATGTCGTGGTGAAACGTGTGAAAGACATTGAGCTTCTAGCACGAAAATGGCAAAAGGAAGCCCGGGGCTATCGTGAGAAGTACCATAGGGTTCAAAGTGAGGCCCACGACAAAATTGCCTACCGATCTTTTAAGGAAGGTGACCTCGCTCTGTTTCTCCCGACTCGAAACCAGGCTATTCGCTCTTGGGCCGCTTTTAATGTGGGCGCGCCACATTACTTTTTGCGCGAGCAAGATTCTCACAAGCTTAACACTCGTGACTGGTTGCTTGCCCGCATATCCAAGATTGAGGAACGTGTTGTAGACCTCTCGAAATCACTAAATGGGATCGCCCCCGATCGGCACTCGCTTGGAGAGGCCAGCGAAGCCACCTCTATCGACGACGAGAATCCCTTTGAGCTATCAGATGGACTGCGTTGGTATCTTCTTGATGCTGCAGAAGAGAAACCCGGGGCACCTGCTACTCCGGGACTTGCCAAGACTACTGTTGCATCGACACCAATAGATGCTAAGGGTAGCATTCGGCTCAAGCGTCCAACCGAAGAAAGCACTGTCGCCCAGACTCTGTCTAAGAGCTTGGATAGTCGTCGGAATAGCTCTAATTCTAAACGGGGCACACCGACGCCCTCTCAAAAGGCCAATGACTCAGCGGTCGATCTAGTTCGTCCCATCGACACCGACGAGCCTGCTGCTACAGGATCTCATCGTGAAAATGCCCCCATTTTTGAAGAGGTTCGCCGTGACCTCCTCTTGGGCCCGTGAAAAGTAGGAAAAGTCACAGTTTCTACCTTTTCTCGGGTGTAATCTAGATCTATCTGCTGACCTAGCTTTCTAAATTATAGGCTGCCAATCAAGCACAATCTCCTCCACGGCCACTGGCAGGTGGTGCTGCTGGGAGTGAGGCAGCATCGCCGCCCTCAAGATCAATATCCGCCCGACGACAGGGAGGAAGGAGTCGGCCGTGGGAGAAGCTATGGTCTGTTGAATATCGGCGGGAAGATGGTCCATGATAGAAGTCCAAGTCATGTTGTTGGATTTACGGAGTTATTCCAGAGACTTGTCCTTTTTTCCGATAATGATGCAAGATGTTTTATTGGTTTATGGGGGTTGTTTTGTGTTTTTTTTTGTTTTGTTTTTTCTCTTTGCTTAGGACGGTCATTCATCAACACGTCCTTGCTTTCACTTCCCCTCAAGATACCCCCGCATACAAATACAAATGAAATAAGACCTCAAGTCTCAGCATTCACCATCAGAATGATTACAATGTTCCGTTGGCTACTCCATGATGCGTGGCTCAATGAGGAGGGGAGCTTGCCCTGGTAGAAACGTTCGTAGGTAACATCCAGGTAAAGTCCTGGAAAATCCCCCCAAATCTTTAAGCGTTCAAATTTATATAAAAATCTATTCTTAAAGAGCCCTAACAGAGATTTGAGCACACATCTGACTCACAGAACTTCTTCTAATTTATTAAGCTACTTAAGAGACCTATAGGCCTCCAGGATTACTGTTTTGGCACCAGCAACAGTTATCAATCTATTTCAGCGAGTCCAGCTCCATCAAACTTTATTTTCAATGCTAACAGCCACTAATTACCTTCCAGAAAATAGTCTAGTCATCTACAGGTTCTTTACGAGAACACAGAGAACGCAATGGTCTTGGATTGATGGACTAGGCGAGGCAGAAGCAAATAGGACCAGAAACTGTTCCTGAACTCGGGGGATTACCAGTGAGGGCTCATTAGAGTAGGAAATGAAGATCATGGTTTTTAGGATTTGTCTTCTAATGCGCATAGGGAAGTACAGCAAATAGAGTAACGCCTTAAGGCTTAAACTAGCAGGAGAGCTTACTACTTATGTATAGTTATTGAGACTTTGTAAATGGCCGGGATTACGATAAGTAGCAATAATCTAATGAATAAGCGGCAAAAACAAAAGCTCTTGGGATTCTATGCATTACATAAAGTCTATGAAATAATTATATATATGAGCAATCCCGGCCAATTTTCCATGTTTTTTACAATTATTGGGGTACCTAGGTTCTCCAGCAAGCCATGTTCACGCTGCATCACAATAATATTATGATCTAATATTTGAAAGCCTTTGAAATTACGAACTAGGCCTATGGATATCATGAAAGGTATGCAGAGTAGTTCTAGACCTTTTTGGTGATCTTAGGCAATATATACATCTGAATTTTTAGATTGTTTACAATCACTGGTATGAATATGAGCATTGGGATGGATAGGATACACTTTGCCGTCAACGTTGATTATGGTACGGTGTTTTTAAGGAGATTATTTCTTTATTCAATGTTACAATTACAATGGTCTATTATATGTAGGGTAGAACACGATTGTAATTAGAGCGAAAGCGGTATTCTTCCTATCTAGACTAATATTGTCAACGGACAAAGAAATAGTATGCCTCGCAACAGCAATTCATACCACCCACACCAATACCCCGGATTGGAAAATAGAAAACCATGCACACGCGCCATTCGCTTGATTTATTCCAACGCAACATCGAAAACCCCATGAGAACCCGCAAGATAGGATTGCAAAGACCATTAAAAACACATTGGAGAAAAGGAGGAAAGAACAAGGTAAACCAGTGAAGCCATGTTCAAGTGAGAAAAAAAGCGCTTCTCAACAGGAGTCAAGATATGACAGTCACAAACAGATTAGAGGCATTTAAGAAAGTTTTCATGGACCAGTCAACATAGCGGCCGTGTTCGAATGAACATGCATGAAAGTAAAAAAATGGGACTCCTATGACTGTATGGGAGTGCCGCTCTGCTTGCTTCCTGGTGTCAAGCTTCCCTCTTGGGAATGGCGAGCTTCAAGTTGTGGATGAGCTGCTTTACTCCGATCGATTATAGTAGCTTGTTCAATGGCACTGCGAGCATACGCTGCGGTGGTAGTGCTGTTTGAATATGTTTGTGATGGGGTTTGATTTGCGTGTTGGTATCGTTGAGCCGGGGCAGCTGCAGCGCTGGGAGTACGTCCCTGAGGAGTGGCATTGTATGCAGCTGCTTGCCCGGGTCGTGGAGTGTAAGGCTGGGGGGTATATCCATTGGAAGTGGGACGCTGGAACTGTGGTACGTTGTTGGCTTGACTATATTGCGAATTTGTTTGCGCAAACTGAGAGCCATAACCAGGGCGTTGGGAAGGAGTGCTTGGTGCACGACCTCCTGCATAAGGGGGAGTGAATGACCCGGTTGATGAGGGTTGCCGGGCTTGTGGGGGAACTTGGAAAGCCCCCTGGGATTGGGGCAAACGAGCGTTTGCATTGAAAGAGCGCTGGTTGTATGTGGAGTGAGGCGCTTGGAGACTATTGGGTCGAGTGGATGATGGCGTTGAAGCACGATTGGCGGCATTAGCCTGAGCAGCGATGGCCGCAGCACGCTCTTGATGAAGGGTGTGGTCATCTTTCTCCATTGTGCCCTTCCAATCAGGGCTTTCTATGATGATCTTTTGGCTGATGTTTAACTCTCCCAATTGATCACCATTCACCTTTGAAACGACATACGGAGGCAAGCTGCTGATTATGGAAACAAGTTTTGATCTCAAGTTTTCGTAAACAGCGATCTCAGCCTCGGATGGAGTGTCTGGATCATCGAAATCTGGTACAGGTGAATCATTTGATTCGGTATTCTCATTGACAGAAGGGATAGTGGTTCTGCGGATGTTTTGGTATGAACCCAGGGTCTCCAGCAAGTCGGAAACCTCTGCGAGAACTTCGTCGATGCCTCGAGATTCCAGAGATTTTTCGGATGCGACTTCGTTTTGAGCAAGATATTCAGCATAGTCTTTCGGTTTCATCGAGTCGACCATTTCATTAAGGGTGCTTTCATCGATATTATCGATGGCTTCGAGATCCACCTCGTCTGGTGCCTTCTCTAGAGATTGAAGAGAGAGCAAAGTACGCAAACGCCTTGCACCTCGTTGGCCCCACCAGACCATGTTTTTTGATCCCGCTTGCAAGACGGCACCTGAACTGTCGAAAGAGGGGGCAAACGATGAGTAAACACCCTGTAGAAGAGAAGAGTCGTCACCACTCCAGAGAGCAGGGTCTCCGTACTTGGAACCAGTGTTTGCATCTTCATTATGCTTTTCAACCCGAGACCAATATGATGGTGATGAGGTGACGCCACCATATTGCAACCATTGTCCTGAGGGAAGGGGTACAAGATTGGTATTGCTGCGATCCCCGGAGAAATTTTTATAGTCAAGGACGAGATCGAATGGATCAATCCAGGTGACTGCGCTTCGACTATTTCGTTTCCGAGGTTCCGCAGGAGGTAAGCCTGAACGTGGTGCAAAAACTTCACCAAATGTTCTAGGCTTTGGAGCAGTGGAATCAAGATTATAAGGCACCACGCGAGTAGTCGTAATGCCATTAGGCAGTCCACCTTCACGAAGTGGTTCTTGCACCTCCACAAACTTCTCTGCGCCAAACTCAGAAGATGGCAGTGGTACCTTGATGGACTTTTGCAGACTGGAGAATAACTGTTTTGGGTGTGATTGATTCCCACCGAACAGAGTCAAGGCTTGCTTGTCCTCGCGAGCGCCGACATATGAAACTGTAGACTGGAGCTGATCGTCGTCATCGTCGTCTGGTGTCTCTGCCTTGACATCAGTCTGATTGACAAAAGATTGTCCGACGAGGCTGTTCATGTGCTTCTTAAAAGCCGCAATGCGATTGACCACCTCTGTTACAGGTGCGCCTTCGGCACTTGCTCCATTTGTCTGGTTCTGGTTACGCTCAATTACCGCAGTGGATGCCCGCTCAATGTCGGCCAGGAATTCCTGCAGGGTGTTGTAATGACCCAATTCAACCCGTGTCTGAATGCTGGATGTCTCTTGGTCACCAGATGTTTTGGCGCGCTTCGCCCGAGGCTTGGCTGCGGACGTGGCAAAGGGACAGGAAAGGAGCTGAAGTTCGGTGTCATGCCTGTCAATTGTTAGTAAATTCTATCCTAGGAGTACTACCCAGGTATAGTTCGGCTTACTTCAAAAGAAGGTTAACAAGAGTTTTCAAAGTCTCGTGGAGATTGATACTCTCGCGCGACGTAGAGGAAGCAGGCTCGACAGCTGAATTCTCGTCCTGAGTCGAACGCTTCCTCTTACCCGGAGTCGCGGTCGCAGTTGGCTCCGGATAGTGTTCACCATTTATCGGAGCCATCGATTTGGGATCTCCACCTTCGTCGGCGTTCATGGTGGGGGGCTTCGCGGGAGGGACAAGGGTGACAGAACTTCCGTCGACGCGATCTCCTCCAATGCAGACGATGTCTTAAAAGATCCGGATATGTTGAAGGAAAAGATCTGAAGGTCGCGACCAGACAACTGTAAATCAATGGCTAGTTGTAGTTGTGAGTGACCTGTGGTCTTGTTCGCGACTGGTGGTTTCGAGGAGTCTTGATGCGAGGGCCGCGACAGGATCAAGAAAGGATGAAATCGCGACGAATGGGGGACGAACAACACGTATGAGCCAGGTTCTTGGGTTTGGATCAGTGAAGTAAAGAAAAAAAAACCCCGGTAGAGTATCGGTCTGGGACGTAGAGTAGATTAATCCACTACTTAAAGTGAATTTTTTTGGACAGTGGTTTTAATTCTATGAGAATTGACGGACGAGGGCGATACCGTTTCGTGAGACTCAGAATGCGCGCTTGCCCGAAATGTGTCGATCCGGCACGTGATCTGGTCTCATTTTCTGCCGCGAAGCTTTGCATTCATCTTTTCGAATTTCGTTTTTGTTCAATGTTCTCGCTCTTTATTGTTTTTGGTCTGAAAGGTTATTGCGACATCTGACTGGAGTTATCGCTCTAGAAAAGGTGTCTCTATGATTACATTCATGGATGTCATCGGCTCTCAATCAAGTTCGAGGCCTCTCGGGGATATCCTCTTTAAGAGCCGCGCAAAGGTGCAGATTCACATATCGCAAGGTAAGTCGAAAAGAGCCCTTCAAAAGCTAAAGCGTCACTAATAGGGGACTGTGTCTTAGAACCGTTACAGTGACATATTATCTCCTATACATCATCATAACGATATTTTGCGCCATAAACCGCGAGGCATCCGACGTTCATTCTATTCTGGCTCTTCCCGCGCTTTCAAATCACAGGTAGCGCACATCGATGAGGAACAGGATGAATATCATGCCGAAATCCAGAAGCCATCCCTATACCATCTGCAGAATCCACCTGATCCGGAAAACCTACATCCCAAACACGCGCAACAACCAGCATCAAGATCGTCAAAAAACTCCACGAAATACCAACCTACTCCATCCGATTATCTCTCCGAATCTCTTCGGAGTGCAGGGCATGCACTTGGATCCAGCAGGATTTCACCACGAACCACGATTCATCTAGATGATGTTCTTCCGAGAAAAGTGTTTCGAAAACACGCCAACCCCGGGCCACACTTCGTGCGACAATCTCTACAAACTACACTTGGGGAATATATAAGGCAGGTTGAACCGCTGTTTCAAGGCAGAACTGAAGGCGATGAATCAAATGCTTTGGATATTGCCCTCAAGGATGTATTTCGAAAAAGTAGCCGCCTTTTTCTGACAACGAGAGGCTACGATGTCGAAGATGTGGCTGCATGGGCCTGGATCTTGACAAGCAATGATTCTCATCAAGCAGTCTCTCGTATATTTGCACTTGAAGCCGACTACAGAACTCGGGCGGGATGCGTGGATGGGCCTCGGGTCCCACCCTTTATCACCCTATTTCTGTTGAAAGAGCGCTATCTGGACCCCCATACTCTTCGATTGCTATTGATCCATTCTTTGCATCTTATGAGCGGGGAGTCACTACCGAGTATTAACGACTTGGAAAATTCTCTGGAAATGAATCAAGACCGTTTGATGGAAGGGCCAAATGCCAGAGTACCCAAAGTTGATGTGACTACATGTGCAATGCTGACTGTTCGCTTGATCCGCCATGCACGCCAGGTTTGGCCGGAGGCTTTTCCTGTTATTGCACGCCAATTTTCTCGTTTTTTGACGAGATCCAATTTGAACGAAGCCGGGAAATCAACATCTGACCGGGCGAAGATCCATCGCTTCAAGACTCAAAAATACAACGAGTGTCTCTGGGAATTGTCGCTTCCCACGAAAATGCATCCATTTCGGTCAGCCTTCATACAACAACAGGCACAGTTTGAGCTCCTTAGGGCCATGGCTTCCAATAAGCCTGTTCTTCCCGTTACGCGGACAGGCTACCGAGCTGTTGTTGCAGTCCAGCTGGCCCATAAAAAGACAACAGCCGAGCGCCAGTCTGCCGATTTGAAGGCCCCCTCATGGCCACCGTGGAAAGAGGAAAGGCTTGGCATGGATGCTCAGCGAGGCAATGAAGGTCTACACAGTCGTGCGATGAACGTGCTGACTCAGATGAAAGAAGCCGGTTACTCTCCTCAGCTGTGGGAAGAAATATCTGCTATCCTTGCTGGTTGGGACTCCGATGGTAGTCCTACCGTGCAAACAAGAGCTCTAGCCTCTAGGCGGCCTTTGTCTTTGAAAATCTCTCACGACCGCAACCGCGAGTTGGTGTGGGCTGCAAGAATCCGCGCTACCAGAACTGTGCGTGAAGCCTGGGCTTGTTTTCTATCATACCAGGACCAAGGTCTACCTATGAAGGCCGTCATTTATGCTGCAATGGCCGAAAAATTGATATTCCGCCATAAGGCGGCCAACAGCCATTTTGATCTGACTAGTCATGCTTTACCCGGTGACGGTCGGGAGGTCTACCCTGAACCCGCTTCCGCTCGAGACATCATCTACGTGCGTACAGAGCCGCCGACTTTAGACGATTTTCTGGATGGAATGATCTCTCAAGGATTCCGTCCTTCTGGGAAACTGCTCTCCCTTCTTCTTCAGTCTGCTCCAAATTTTTCCTCGGGATTGGCCTACTTACAATGTAGCAATCTTACAGAGGACCAGATCATAGCGCTGTGTACTGTGTGGCACCAGCCGTCAGAATATCAAGCACATCGGAAGGCGCTTGAGGCTCTGCCAGATTTTGTATTCGGCTCATTCATCCAGTTCCTATGCCGGCATTCGCGGACGACTGTCGCCACCTATGCAAGGGATGTTTTTATGGCCGACCGACTACCAGAGCGAACAGTCGAAGACCAATACAATGAACCGCTTGCAAATCTTTCAGAGTACCAGGAGCCGGAATGGCAGACTGGTCATCCGATGGCCCTTTGGCATGCTATCCAATTAGTCAAGTCGCGGCAACCACCTTGTCGCTGGGCTTGGCATAATCTTCTGTCTACCTTCAGTCGTGATCCCATTCAGGGATTTCATCGAGCGTATGATAAATGGCTTGTCCGCATATTGGCATGGCACGGGATGCTTCAAGTTTTGAATTGGATGCGAGCACGCAAGATTGAACTCGGGCCAAAGGATTTCCAACCCTTATGTGTGTCATTTTACAAGGCTGTTGATGCTGGCATCCAACAGCCTTCGAAGGCAGAGAAGGCATTCAAGCTCTATCAGACCGCTACGAAATCCCCAGAGATTGAGGGCCGAGATGAATTCGACACCTTAATTGAGGATGGCCTGTTGCTCCTGAAGACCCATTTTGATCAGCTGGTCCTTCCTTCGGCGAAAACATCCGGCGTAGCAGAGAAAAGCATGTTTGGGATGGATAATAAGAGCGAATCACCTCCTGAGATGCCTACAGTTCTTCATGTTCCGTCGTATGCGACGCTGCATAGTTTTGTGCGGGCCATGGGAATTGTGGGAGACGATGACGGCCTGTTACATTTACTGAGGTGGATGAGTCAGTCAGCTGAGTTGCTCAATGAGCTTGCTGAAGAGCGCCTGAATGGAGAGCGAATGATGCGGCAGACTCTGGTGGCGATCCGTTTGTATCTGGAGAAGCTACACCCCCAGTCTATTAATGGCGATCGGATAGCATCGGACTGCAAAGTGCAGGAGGCATACGACATTGTCAGCCGGACACTTGGCTGGGAGTGGCCAAGTAATGCGGAGATCGAGGAATACTTATTGTACAATACTGTAACTTTTACATAGATCTAAATGAATTGTGATACCCCTTTGATACCCCTGCCCATGGTTGTTTTCTTATGGGGAAAGTCGAGTAGTTCATGAGCTCGGCAATCGTCGGAGTGAGCTTCCCCACACCCGAAAGCTCAAACTTCAGCATTTTATGATCTCCATCTTTCTCACCCCAAACACCTCGTACAACCCTGTGATCGAGAGAAATCTCGGTCTGTCAAACTGACCCGGGCAATGACATCCACAATGACGCCCCGAATCGCCCGCCTGGCCTTCTCTCGCCGGACGGCGACACACACAACCCGGGTTTTCATCTCGCACTACAGCACCAGCCCGGAGGACGTAATCAAGACCCAGCAGATCCCCGCCCCAGGCTCTGGTCATGTGCGCCTGCTGCAGCTAAACCGACCCAACGCCCGAAACGCGATCTCTCGTCAGCTGCTCGACAGTCTATCGAAGCATGTCAAGGCTGTCGCCGCGGAGGAGGGCAACGGCCCCACGCGTGCCTTGGTAGTGACAAGCAACGTTGACGCCGCATTCTGCGCGGGCGCAGACCTGAAAGAGCGCGCCAAAATGTCACCTGCTGAGTAAGAACTACAACCCCAGTCCTAATCTCAAGGCCTTGCTAATCGGTGCTCGAAACAATAGGACAGAAGATTTCCTTTTGGACCTCCGTAGCACCTTCAAAGACCTCGCAAACCTGCAGATCCCCACCATTTCTGCCGTTTCCTCCATGGCTCTAGGTGGTGGCCTCGAGCTTGCCCTCTGCACTCACCTTCGTGTCTTCGGCTCCTCCTGCTTGGTCGGTCTCCCGGAAACCCGTCTCGCGATCATCCCCGGTGCCGGTGGCACCTACAGACTGCCTGCCTTGATTGGTATGAACCGTGCGCGCGACATGATTCTCACCGGACGCCGGGTGACGGGCCCAGAGGCGTATTTCATGGGGCTGTGTGATCGCCTGGTGGAGGTCTTGCCCGAAGAGGCGACTCAAGAGGGCGTTGCTCGTGAGAAAGTTGAGAAAGCGGCCATTCGGTTAGCGCTGGATATCTGTGAAGGTGGCCCAATTGCTATCAAACAGGCCCTTTTGGCTATTGAAGGATCGCCGATGGGCGAGGCTTCTGAAAACAGAGCATACGAGGGAGTGATTGAGACAGAGGATCGGTATGAGGCGCTGCGCGCCTTTGCTGAGAAGCGCAAGCCTGCTTTCCGGGGACGGTAAGTAAGCATGCCCGGGCGTAATTGATTTCCCTAGGCTGTTTCACTCGTCTTCATGTTTGGTTTCAATGAAACGGACATGGTTTTTCTTCTTGGCAAAGTGATAGAATGCTACCTACTAGGAGCCTAATAACAATAAGAGAACTTGTACAACACGACCACCAGATAACACCTAATAGTATGCCCAAACCTTGAAAGCCTCCGAGCGTTGCATAGAATCCGCTGTATAGTTGACATTTGGACCTTACATAGGAGTGGGATTAAAGGGTACGTGAATGAATCTACTCAGGGTGAAATAAATACCTAGGTTTACCTATTGTCCATGATTTCAATTGATAAACAGACCTTTGGTGCACTTGATGCGGGCACCGGGCGTCATTGTATAGCCACGTCAAGCCTTGTTCGCCTTGGAACTTCGCCCCAATCAATTACACACAAATTTATTTTTATCTGTAAATATCTGCAAAGTACAATGATCTTTGAATATTACCATAAACGTACCTGGATATCTAACTCCATAGATCTTGAGACTAAACGATAGATTAAGGTACGATCGTTGCTTATTTTGTCCTACCCGGATGTATACTTGACGGACAAAGCAGGCGCTACCTTGCACATAGTTCCATGGGACGCAATAGGTTGCCACCAGAATTGGTTTCGTGTAACACGATCGTAGGGCGTGCTATGACTCAGAAAGGTCTCGATTCTGGTCTTCTACGCCTTGGATGCACCCGTTCCGGAAAATAAACAGGGTTCCTGCAGACAGCTGCACACAACAGTAACTAAAAATGGATTTTACCCATGTATTAGTCGATGAGATAGAGGATATAAGTATGTTGGATATAAGCACGCCGTAATTTGTGGGCTGTTTACATCTACCTAAGTGTATAAGATTCTTTAACTCTAACTTGAACTTCTTACCCATATAGATTATGATGAAATATTTAGTACTCTGCTCTTCTACTACTCCGCCTTGTACTCTGCCTAGTGTCTTCTGCAAGGCTGAGTACCAATAACAGGGCAAACATACGGCCCCACTTGGCCCACTTGGCCCTGGCCCCAAGGTGGATCAGGGGGTCTGAAATCGAGTTTCCGTACCGTAATATAATTCTGCAGGAAAAGCTTCCGTTTACTTGTCATCTGAATGGGTCAGGGGAACCGTATCACCTGCAGCACCTGCAGCACTTGCCCTTTATAAATACTCCCCTTCCTCTTTATGTCACTTCCCCGTACTTTGAATTTGATTATATTGAACCTCGAAGTTTCTTCCTGTTTGCTAGAATGTCAATTTGATCTGATCTTTTACCATGCCTGAACCCCGCCCCGTCAAGCCGTTTGGCTTGACGCAGGTATATCTTCCCCGTGGTGACCCCACGGTGGATATTGTACTTGTTCATGGCCTTAACGGCCATCCTCATGACTCATGGACCAGTAAAACGACCAACTGCTTCTGGCCAGTCGATCTCCTGCCCGAAGTCCTTGCCTCTCAACGCCCTCGTATCCTAACCTATGGATATAATTCGCATGTCACCGCATTCACCGATGGTGCTTCTCGTGATTCGATCGTTAGTCATGCGGAGACCTTAGCTTCTAACCTAGCGGCTAATCGAAGCCTCCGCGATTGCTCCGACCGACCGATTATCTTTATCTGTCACTCACTAGGCGGCCTCGTGGTCAAGCGTGCGCTGATCTATTGCCGCAGCCTGTCAAACGAGCGTACCGAGCACCTACGCTCAATTTATGTGTCGACTTTTGGCATCCTCTTCCTCGGTACACCGCATAACGGATCTGATATCGCGAAATGGGGTCTATTGTTGCACAACATCTGCAACGCTGTGCTCCCTAAGAAATTCATGGAGTCTTCTCCACAGCTGATCCAAGCACTGCGTACCAACAATGAGACGCTGCAGAATATCAATAGTCTCTTTGCTGATATAATGAGTCGTTTTCATATTTACTTCTTCCACGAAACTCGCTCAACAGACCTTCGAGGAACAAGGGAGATCATCGTGGATGAGGCTTCTGCAGCACCCTATATAGAGGGTGTCGAGCGTATGGGTATAGAGGCAGATCACAGTCACATGTGCAAGTTCGACGACGAGAATGCTGCAGGCTACGAAGTCGTTGCTGAAGCTCTTCTGCGATATTCTCGACAGGCTCCCGCTTTGATTGGAGACCGCTGGATAGCAGAGAGAACTACCCGCACCATGGAAATGAAAGCGAAGGCCCGTGAAATATATGACGGTAGGCATGAAGCATCGACTTCAGACATGCGCTCACCAGTCCCAGTCAGAATGCTGACCAACTCAGTCAGACTAGACGGAGACCCTCTCACCCAGAGCACACCGAATTTGGATACTGGTAAGACACACCTTCTTCCTTCACCCAGTGAATCAGTCACGTTGAGGGATTATGAGGTTGAGGAGCCTTCCGATCAATTTGCTTGGCACCACTGACTGCTATTTGATGATGATGTGCTTTTTTGGATTATTGGATGCCTGGAAGGCAAAGAAATGAAGCCATGTTTTCAAAGTTCTTGCGATGATTGTTTACGCATACCCTTATCGCTGGCTTTGCTGTGCCCCCATATCCTGCTTTTTTTCTCCTGGGGCTGGAAGACTTGAAGGCCAAACTGATGTTTCTCCGGGTATCTTCACCGATATCTGCTCGTTTTGCCCACTCAGGTACCTGCAATAATCATTTTGACGTCGCGTTTTGTTGTTTTCTGGAATATAAGCCTATGCGATTCAAAGCGAATATTGTGTTGCAGTCTGTGTATCTTAGCTTGCAGTCTTTGATTCCAGGGTGGCTCCCATCTCTCCTCAACAGTTTAACTGATATCATTCAAAATTGCCTTGAACAAATATCCGAAGGCAGACAGTTGGCTGACTGTCTACTCCTAGGTGACTCTGTACCAGCCCTTCCCCGCGCCTCGGCCACCGAAGGGCGCAATTCACCCGTATCAGATATGAGCAATAGTGGCGTGCTTTCATTCTCGCACTATTCTCATCGAGATCCACAGATGTTTGTAGCACCACCGGGCTTTCATCCCAATTCCACTTTCTTTGGCATGCAAAAAGAGCTAGAGGTATTGCATAACCGCTTGTTCAAGGCCAAGGCGCGTGCAGATCGAACGATGGCTGTTCTCATTTCTGGAGTGCCAGGATCTGGCAAGACTCATCTAGCGCGGCATTACGTCTTTATGCAGCGGGAGTGCTACCCAGGAGGCCTATTCTGGATTGATGCCAAATCTCGCGAGTCATCATACAAATGTTTCTGGGAGATTGCTCAAGCCGCCAGGTTGGTGGAACGCCAAGATGCCGAAGACCCAGGATATTTAGAGTACCGGACATACGTGAACACCGTTCGAAACTGGCTTCAGACACGCCACGAGTGGCTTTTGATTTTTGATGGTATCACATTTGATCATGATGATGACATTAATGAGTTCCGATCTTTTCTCCCCTGGCAAAAGAGGTGCAGTATCATTTATACCTCCATTGACACTACACTTCGAAAAAAGCAACGACTGTATGAGCCATATTGCCTCTCGATTCGCCCGCTGCTGATTGAGGATGCTTGTAAACTCCTTTACAAAGATCTTGGAATCAAAAAGCCCACACATGAGCAGTCTGTCCGGGCTGTAGAAATTGTCGAGCACTACGACTGCTTACCTTTGGCAATTCATGCTATCGGTCACCGTCTCAATGCAACAGGAAAGCCAATCGAAAGATATCGTGTCAAGCACCAGGTGACGGATAAAAAGCTGGCCGAGCCATTTCTCAGCATCATGAATGATCTTTATCGGCTGCAGCACCACCAAGCTTTGAACCTCATCAATCTACTCTCTTTCCTAGGCCATCAAGTCCCTGTCGGTCTCCTCAATTTTGGAAAACATGCCATGTCCGCTGAAAATGCCGAGATATTGAGCAGTGCACAGACCGGAGAAGATCCTGATCTTGATACCACGCTGGGAACTTTGATTCACTACGGCCTGATTGAGCGAATCTCGGATCCACATCCATTCTTCGTGCAAAATAGCTTCGCACAAAAGTCTGCCGAGGAGGCGCAGAAGCCTGTTCCCGAATTGTCTGAGTCTCTGACGGAAAGCAGCCAGGAGGGCCCTTTCCCTCTCTATCCTGGCGGTGATGCCATTGATGTTGTCAAGATCCACAGTGTGGTACAGGGGTTTTGTCGAGATGAGCTTCGAATCAAGGATGAAGAGTTCAGGGAATCTCTAAGTATAGATGAGCCTGGCTTCTATGATTCGTGGCTAATCGTCGCCACTCGTTTCTTGTGCAAATCTTGGGAGGCCGCCAAGGAGAGAATGACTCACTATGAAGGCTGCGGACTGGTCCGTGATTACCGGGAGTATGAAACCCATGCATCTCGACTGGTTGAGCTATTTCCCAAAAGACAGGGATTTAGTGCACACTCGCCAGTTCTTCGCGAGGCACGAGAGAGTCTGCGGCGGTTAAGGAGGAGTCTCAGCAACGTAATCGATGGCAAGTCGCCCAACTCTTCCCAAGAATGCGGAGGTAATCAGCGGTCGGTCTTTGATCGTTCAAGCAGTTCATCGTCATCATTCCCTGGGTCTTCCACGGACGAGGGTCTTTCACGGGAGTCCACCTGGGCTTTCACCGATTCTGGGTCTCCTCGCGATACTCGCACCGAGTCTCCGGAAGCGGTAGAGCGTCTTCCAAGATTTAAACTGGAATTGTTTCCTCCACATATATTTCGACAAGCAGGCTATGAGTCAGAAGAAGGGTATGAAACGGATGGAGAAGCGAAGGAGGCGCCTCGTATTTCTCCTGCTCTGTCACAAATGAGTCAGGTTACAGAAAAGCCAAAGCTGTCGCCTCTATCATCCAGTCCTCCTATACAATCTGAAGAGGGCAAGAATTGGCAGTTAATTGACCGACAGCCAAAGCCACACTCAACGAAGGCGAGGCAACCAAAACGACGCCCTCGAAGCCCTCTTCGACTTCGTGGTGATAAATCAGCTACCCCGTTGGTGAAAATATCACCTATCCAGGGACGAGGGTCATCAAGCCGCAGGTCTGCAGATGAAGGTGAAAGCTCTACAATATTGGCATCGGCCGCCGAGCGAGCACTTGCTGCGGTCCGTCGGTCGAGCAATGCCCAGGTATTGAGCGAAAATATAAGGCCCACACAGAATCCTTCAACAAAAAATGGAAACAGTGAACCAACTTACGCAAGTGTTGTCACTCGCCGTATGCTCGAGGCCGAGCCAAAGCGCCCAGCATCCATGCCTTCTCGACGAGGAGCAGAACCCCTTGAACTGCAAATGAAACCATCTGCGGAATCTTTGGATAGTCAAGGAAGTTATATGTTCGCCTCCCCACTATCACATGAGCTGGCGCCCCACGAGCTTCTTGCAGAGCCTTTAAATCGATCAACATACAGTGATCCCGGCCGGGACTACCTCGGCCAGCCACTGCGAGAGCTAGACTTGCACACCGCACCCAACTCCCAATTCAACTCTCGACGCGCATCACTTGCAGCATTCGAGCCTATACGAGATCTATCGGCCAGTTCTCCCTCACTCATTCTATATGGCCCACTTCTGCCGTACGAGAACGACATTACTATCACGAGATCAAGCCACTCAATGCAGCAGGAAAAAGCCTCTGGCCCAATCTATATCCCACAAGCTCAGCCTGCATTCATGGCCCACCCATCTGCAATAATGCCCGGCGTATTACCTCTCTCCTTACCTTCCGATGCCCCAGTATCACAGTTCAACGAACGGCCTGGGTCTGAAGCCCTCTCGCGTGCATCATCTGGATTCTCAACTCAATCCTGGGCCACAGAACCTGTCCGCTATCCACCACGCTTCTCTCCCATCCCGAGTTTCCAGGGAGCAATTGAGATCTCACGGAGTGCTACGCCAATTATTAAACCCCAGCAACAGACACTTCAAGGACGATCCAGCTGGACTGGCGAAATTCCCGTCATGAACAGTGCCCTTCAATCTGATCTGCTGTACCCTGTTCCACAGGTATCCAACCACCGCCGAGTGGGCTCAGTGAATGAGCGACTGCAGACGATGAAGCCAGAATGGGATTCAGAGATGGAGCCCGCACAGATGCTCAATTTTGGAGGATACCGTGTTGACGTGAGAGATCCTCGTCAACGGCTATCGGAGTCGGGCCGACTGCAGGCACCACGCCATGTACCGACATACCAGCTCTATCATCCTAATATATCCGGTCCCTTAGTTCAAGACGGAGGGCATGTCTTTGCATCTGCTCCGCAAGAGGCATATGGGAGACGCGCGCGAAGTGGAAGCACACCTGCTAATCCTGATTATGCTGGTTTAGGTGTACGGTTTGCATGATATCCTTTATACTTGTTGTTTACTCTTGCAATACCTGTTATTTTTTGCTGTTACCTTATTTTTTGCATACACTCTCATAGATTTGAGCAGTGGAGTTTTAATACCTTTGGGTTGCCCTTATCCTAAAAGACTTAATAGATCGATCTGAGCTGTTGCATTTGTTGGAGTCTCAATTTTAGACAGCATTGAAACTACAATTTGAACCAAGTATCGTCAGAGTATAAAAGAAGTCCCTAAGCTTCACATTAAGCTATGTACGCAGTTACATTCAATTACACGCAGTTCCTGGGCTGTCTAAAGCCTCATTCTTCTCACGAAGCCGGTTATAGAAATCCCGACTTCGTGCGATTTCTTCATTTTCTACCTTTAAACTTCCTTTAGAATCCTCATCAATACCCAAAATAAGAAATAAAATTTCCAGATCATCCAACTCACGCTTTAGAATCGCACTCTCTGATCGAAAAAGTCGGTCAAGACCAAATATATTCTCCCTTTCGCTCTTTTTCTCATGACACATTTCATCTATCGAATTCTCCAAAGCCCTATAATCTCCCATAGTCTATCTCACAAATTCCTCAATCTCCTGATCCAAATCTCGTAGCTCATTCACAACTCTGCCGGTAGCCACATTCTTGATGGATGAAGACGGTGAACCGGACATCCAGTCCTTTCTAGTCGATCAGAGCCTCTTGGATAACTCTCGAGTATCTGATAGAATCAAGTGCTCTTGTCTTTCTCTCGCCATGTTCGAATCTCCGGGTCTTATGCCCGCATGTGTTAATGATAATAAATTATAAATCATATTCGTTCAACGTAAAGTTGACTCGAACCATTTAATAACAATAAATAGAAAAAGTCAGACCTCTCTCGAAGCAGCCATGGCCCCCTTCTCAACAATCCCAGAGTCACCATCAATTACAAAGATCGCTTCCCTCATATAGTCATTGTCATCAACATAATCCTGAGGTTCTTTCCACCCAGACTTCTCCATGCCCTTAGGCGCAGAGACTAAGCAACTAAGATAATACACACCAAACGCAACCAATAAACCAGTTGGGTACGCAACATAATAAAATCTCTGAATGCCCAGCGGTGCCTTGACACCCATTTGATGGAGAAATCCGTAGAAGTTGGGGGCCACTGCAATTATATATGCAATGAATGCCCGTGGGTTGAATCCGTGCAAGTACCGATAGAGGCTTTCTGGGTGTGCGGTATACAGCGCGGGTATGTTGAGATAGCCTCTGCGAATGAGGTAGTAATCGCAGATTAAAATACCCGTGATGGCTGACAGGAAGATTTGGTAGGATGACAGGAAGGTGATGAAGATTGAGGCGCTGGAAAGAAGATACCACGGACAAATTCCATAGGAGAGCACTAAATGGTATTAGCTTTGAGAAATGATGGGAGAGTTTTTACCATACCAGCGCAAATGAGGAATCCTCGCTTGATCGTGATGTATCGAGGCATCAATGCAGCGATGTCATTTCCAGCGCTAGAGATAGTCAGTCTTGCTATTTTGTTGGAAAAGAATGTGAACATACGGAATTGAGTTCTCGAATATCGCAGAGAAGACATTGGAGTAAACAAACGCCAGTGATATAAAGGCGCAGGCTGTTCGATTACCATGGGTATAGCGCTCGCCTTCCATCAACTTGTCCAAGAAGGTCAGGGGGCTCCAAATCAGCTATAAGCGAGGATTAGCTTTGCGTCAATGCAGAGAATGAGCTTCATCATACCTCTCCAAAGATTGACTTGCTAGCCGCGGCAATTAAATTGCCCAGAATAGCCACAAGAAGATTTGACACTGGAAAGCTAATTATCTGGCCGATGAGTACATCATTCGGCTTTCGCGCATAGCGCTGCAGATCTGCCGCATTGGAGATAAATGTTCCACAGCTCGCCGTTCCCAAGAAGAAGAATTTGAGGATCAGATAACTCTTCTCTGTGCCTTGAACGGTTGAAGGAGAGTGCAGGGTACGCAGGAACTCGGATGACCCCCCTGACAGGGATACAGTCCATCCTACCATCGCTAAGGTGGCAATGAAGTAGACTATGACCTTGGCGTAGACAAGAGACTTCATTTTCGGGACAGGCACAAAGAGAAATGCGCAGTTTATCAGCCTATTTGGCGGTTAGTGAGACATCTTAGGAGACTTTACAGGCTGAAACACACCAGTAGACAAAAAAGCACATCATCTGCGCGGAAGTCAAGGCCGATTTGGATCCCATCTTGTCTGGGATATTGGCGATAGACGGAAATATCGCGTGAAGAAAGACACTGAGATATGTCAATGGAGCCCTGTCTATCCTCCAGAGAATATGAAGACATACTACAAGCACTGTGCCCCTTGCACAGAATTGACTCCGTTCCACACAATGGACATAGCCGCGCGATTGAATGTCGGCCACATAGCACCCCATGAGCCAAAACTCGAACGACAGAGTACTGGAAATGGAATTCGATACATAGCACCGCCTCGTCCGTTAATAGCCATTAAGGCGCCTGCTAGGATTTGGCCCCCAAAGGAGCAGGCGATAGCTTCCCACATGGTGAGGCCCATGGCCATGCCTGTAGAAGCAGAGTACAAGTTGCTGACATTGGCAGTGGCAGACCACCAGAAAACGATATATGTGAGTTGTGACCATGTGCGATCCTTCACTGGTGTCGGGCGGATCGAGTCATTATCGAGCATGTCAACAGGGCGTGGAAAGCCATCGTGATCAACGGCCTTGACGAGCAATGCCTCATTGAGTCGTGATAGCTTGGATGCCATTTTGAAGACTTTCCAAGGGGGTGTGAAAGAAGAAGTTCGGGGTATGTCCTTAGGCTGGCATTCATAAATGCGACCACAACAGAGTCCGGACTCAATAGCGTTACAGCGGAAGCCAAGATACCAAGGGATTTAGGGCTACGCCACCCAGTGGACAACCGATAAGAGTCTCCAGTCATCTTTCTTTGATTCTTTCCATTCTATGATAAGCAGATACAAAATCAAAGATTAAGCGGTCGAGATAATCTTATCAGGGCCATGAGACGGTCTCTCCGTAGAAATTCGATAAGGGCGTATCTATAAGCGGGGTTATCGTGTCTTTTATACCTGGAACCTGCATGAACCCCAACGACCCCTCAATCTCGCATTTGTCCCTGTGCAACCATGACAGAATATACTCAGATAGAGCTTCTCACTCTTCACGGTCCGGAGTTCCGTCGTGTCTCAACTGCACCACCTCGGCCGCCTACTGAAAATGAGATCCCAGTCATTGATCTCAGCGAGATTGATTGCGACCTGGACTCTAGAAAGGGCATTGCAGCTCAAGTGAAGGCAGCCGCCGAAAACACGGGCTTTTTTTACATCAAGAATCATGGCATTTCGGAATCGTTGATTGGAAGAGCCCTGGAAAATGCCAAAGCATTCTTCAGCCAGACAGATGAACAGAAAGATCTGGTCGCACACGAAAGATTCAAGCACTACAATGGCTACCATGGAGTCGGAAGCACCCAGATCAACAAAAGGGAAACAAAGGGTTCTTACTACGTCAAAAACCCTCAAGATGCCTCAGCTAACCACTCCCAGACCGGAAAGAGACATTCTCACTACGCTACAACCCAATCAATGACCCAACAATCACGGACCCCTCTGCGCTCCTCGCAAACGAGAAATATTCAGACAATGACGATGACGCCCTGTGGCAGGGCACATCACAAATCCCAGGTTTCCAAGAAACAACCATCGAATTCTGGCAACAGCGCCTAACCCTCGCCCGCAAGATGATCCGCATCTTCGCACTAGCCCTCGACATGCCAGAGACCTACTTCGACAAGGTAACCACCAATCCCGGCGCAGACGGCCTCTATGTACACTACCCCGGCTCCGCAGAGACCGTTCCCGCGCACGCTGCAACAGATGTTGGAATCGGATCACACACCGACATCCAATGCGTTACCCTCCTCTGGCAGGATATGTCAGGCGGTCTGCAGGTGCTATCAGCCAGCGACGAGTGGCTCGATGCGCGGCCGATTGCCGGGACATTGGTGGTTAATATTGGAGATTTTTTGCAGCGGCTTTCTAATAATCGATTCAAGTCGACTGTGCATCGAGTCTATAACCGGCAGACTACGTCACGGTACTCGATGCCCTTTTTCTTGGGATTTAATCCGGATTCGGTTTGTCGGGTTGTACCTAGTTGTGTTGATGAAGATCATCCTGTGCTGTATGAGCCTATATCCTGTGGGAAGGTATGTTTTGTTTTCTTTTCTGGACTTTTGATGTTTGGATTGCTTACATTCAGGTAGTGGCACCAAGATCGACTTTCACTTGCGCAGGGCAGGGCTGTTACTGCATGAGCTCAGCCTTAGTGCGATGCAAGGAATTGAGTTCAACTAATATACTTGAGTTCATTATGAAAATACTATTTGTTACATACGACAAAAGTGATCTACTGATTTAATAGAAGAAAACAATCGAAATCCGGGGAACTCCAGCTATGGTGGATCCGCTATTTTCCAAGGTTGAAATTGAGAATCAAGAAACATGAAATATACCGGTGGCTTATTTGTTACCATTCTCGTATGATGAGGAACTTGAAAAAAACAACCAAAACCTGGTCATAGTCGGTTCTCGCCGGGAGCATGACCGATCATCGACGTAAGGAATGTGAGGCCAATGACGTCGATGATACCCGGAATTAGTCAAACCATAACCAACTATTTCACTATAAATGGCAGCTGCGCGGCAAACAACGAATTATTATTTTAAGCATATTCAACCTCTCGAATAATTTCCACGTCTATTTGAAACATTTAAAACTTCCACCACACCACGTTTATACAATATTCTACACAATCCGCCCACAATGTCTGCGACACGCTTCATTACGCTTGCTAAGTCCCGCGTGGCGACTGCGCCGAGCTCTATCGCTGTTCGATCTATCTCGTCTACTGCTAGACTGCAGAAGGGGCCTATTGATGCGGCCAAGGATACCCTCAAGAAGGCTGATCGGGTAGTATCTGATGTGGCGGTCGATGGCATCAACAAGGGTGGTATGTGTCCATGTCTGAATGAACACGTCTGGTTGCAAATGCTAACATGGATCTTGATACAGCGGAAGTTACTGGCAAGGTGAAGGAGGTCGTCGGTGGCGCAAAGCAGGAGGCCAAGACCAAGGCCGGGGACATTAAGGGCAATGCATCCGAGTATGAGGGAAAGATCAAGGGCACAGCAGATGAGGTTGCCGGCAAGGCCAAGGGAAAGGCACATGAGGCAGCTGGCAAGGCTAAGGAGCATCTCAGCTAAGGGGTTTTAAAATAAGTAACATTGAATTAATTTAAATTTGTACATCATGCCAGAACTATGAGCACTCATGAAAAATGGATGGCTAGCTAAAGAGAACTCCAAGCAAATTGCAATTGAAGCCTGTATATGGCAGTATATCTAATCAGTCCAGACCTTCAATGCCTTGCATGCCACCCAAGTCTTCCCAGAAGCTGTCAAAATCGACCTTCTCTTCATTGAACATCTGTTGCACTTGAAGCATAGCGGATTTTTGCCTCTCCGGGGTGAAGCCACCAGGCTGGGAGCTCTCCGCCTGTACCACCTCGACCCAACGGAAGAAAAGTTCCTCCTTGCCCATCGCAGTAAGTTTATCTCTGCACGCTAGAATTTGATCTCGCTGCGCGGAGCGCTGCTGGTTAGCCGGAGTGTTCTCGTCACCGACGCGCCAAATCAACCATCCATCGGCATCGGTATATACCAATACCGCAGTGCGGAACTCATTCAGCTGCACACCGTCACCCTTTGTGATTCGGCCGATCAAGGCATGAGCACGGACCATGGCAGCATAGTCGAGATTCCAGTCCTCATCAACGAGCAGAAATCCCGTCTTACCGATGCGTTCAGGTGTCACAGCAGCCACGATTTTATCGCGCATGGCCTCGTTGTCGCGAATCCACTTGTTCCGCTCGAGCTTCTTACTCCAGCTGTGATGACTACGACGAACGATGACTTCTCGATTCTGGAATCCGACAGCACGGCGCCAATAAGCGGGGCCGAAGATGAAGTTACTGGGCCAGGTCAGGAACTGCGTCACGAGAAAGTAGTCGATTAAGAGGGTGCCTGTCCGGCGCAGTATGAGCTGTGCCATATGTATCCATGAAGTATTGGTCTCATCTACGGCAAGAGAGCTCTGGAATCCGAGAAAGGTCTTGATGAGGGCGGGGTAGGTGCTGATTCCAAAGTACACTCTTACCGCGAGCGCGACGGTGACCACGATATTCATGATCAAAGGCACAAGAAAAGTCTGCCATTTAAGGTCCGTTCCTGTTGTATCGATGTGGACCAAGTATACCTCTTCGGAGGATAACGGTTTGACAAAGGGCTCGAGAATGGAGGGAACTTTGGTGAAAGGAGGCATCGGGCCGGAAGATGCGGAGCTTGGGGTTGAAGCTCCTGATGAGGCCGGAGTTGATGCGGGCGTCTTTCGGCGGGAGGATTTTGCCATGATGGCTATATATAATGGTTTGAGGCTGAGGTTTGTCGAAGTCGTCTGTAGCTTGTAGACTGGGATATTCCCGGGACAAGCTCTTGCGCCCGGGCTTTGGGGGATTTTTTTTTGTTGGAAACGCGTTGTATGTGGATGATCAAAACGACTGGACGGGTCACATGTCAAGGTAAGTCACCAGGAAAGTTCGAGGGAAGTCCAAGAATAGTAAGAAGGGTGTAGAGATTCGGTAGAGAAGATGGTTTAGAAATAATAACTAAGGTGGATCATCGAAATGTTAAATTCCGTGAAGCTGCTAACCTCATCGGGCAATGCGGGATCTCCAAGTTATTATCCTGCAGAGAAACTTGATCAACTCAAACATGTATTGATATTATTTCTATAGAAAGGTCCCCTTTCCCTGCGCAAGGGGGGTAAATTCACTTCACCATGTCAACCTCTTATGATCGAATTCCACTTGCGCGTCATAATTATCCTCAGTCACCTTTCGAACGCGCGCGTGAAACCAACTACGAATTCGATCTAGATACCTCCAATTTTCCCACCCCCTCCAAGCAGAATGGGTCACGTCCCCGTCACAGTTACCGAACAAGCACATTAGCTGGAGCGTATCGAGCCGCATCGGCTTCCTCGATGGAGGAAGGCGCGCCGCTGGGCTCGTTCACGAGTCCCCGACGGACGCGGGAACCAGTCGACGCGATTTCACCGAATTCCGACAGATCGAACCCCCCCGAAGAGCTCACGGATGTATATCGAAGAATTGAAGAAGATGGAACACTGGCTGAATACGTGTCTTCGGACGGATGGGAAGCGCCGCCGGGGGCCCGTAACGGAAGTCGGACGAGTCGCTCATCATCACACGGAAGGGATCACGACTACAATGGTTTTGCCCGCAATGGACTCGCTATTTCAGAACCGAGTCTATTCAGTGATACTGGGCGACCTTCACCGCGCCGGAGGAACACCGATTTCACCAAAGATGAGCAGCGCCTCAGACGCGTGACCAACAAGGATTCTCCCGTGTTTAGCAAGGCTAAGGTCGGCGCACGATCGCCATTGACAGCCGATAATTTACAACGGCGTGAGGAGGAGGAAATCCAGAGCCTGCATGTATCAGAGGAGGAAGACGACGAGCACGGTCCCTCGCTGAATCTGCCAACTACCTGGGGGAGTCGCGCCACACACCAACAAAAGTGGCTTCGGAAAGTCAGCAGTCGAAGCGTTTCAGATCCAGAACTTCCAGGGCAGAAGGTAGAAGATACTTCAAGGGGTCCAGTGAAAACAGCATCGAGGACGAGGCCAGAAGATAACCCAGTCCCGAAACCTCGCATTTCTCCCCGTTCCCTAGAACGAAGCCGCATTCCAAGTCGAAATGTTCTCGAGGAGCGCACAGCCAATCTGTATATTCAAGACGCCCAGGGGACTCAGGAGAAGACCAAAGAAAGTACATTTGACTCTGGCCCAAATGTGCCTGAAGGCGATCCTATCCCTAACACACCTATCGTGATATTCAAAGGCTCATCAAGCTTTATGAAGCCAAGTACGACAAAGCGAGACTCCCAGGACTTGCTACGCCGATTATCGAGAACCGAAAGCCCAAAGCTGGACCAAGTGCAAACCCCGGATCAACCAAAGCTTTTCGAGCGCCGCATTTATGATAAAACACCTCGAGTCACGGGTGCATGGATTGATACTCCCATGACGGAGAAAGTGGCCCAAATCCCGAACGACTTGACCAAAGATATCGTCCCTCCACCCACAGCACCAAAGCAGGCTGAGCCCTCAGTTGAGCAAAGTAAACCGCCTGTTGTGGCTCCAGCTCTAGTCCCAAGCAAACCTGAAAGCTCAAAGAATGAAACGAGCAGCGAAAGAGATTCTTCGAAGGAAGAATCAAAATCAAATAAACGGCCAAGACCTCCAGTCCTTCGGCCTAAGCTGCCCAAAAGTGGGCTCGAAACAGTCATTGAGGACGTCAGCTCCGGAAAGGAGACGCTCGACCTGGGAGACGATACCATTGAATCTCTCCAGGCCATTATGGACGACCCGATGGGGTTGAAAACGGAAGAAGAAGAGGAGGCCGCTTTTGAGAAGGAAGTGCTTGAAAAATTGGCAATCGCTCGTTCGAATGGACAAAACTCAGTCGACCTCGACCGGCTGAATGACAAGCTGGCATCTCTCTCAAGGAACATCAATGAGGTAAAGAAAGGTCTCAACAACCTAGAAGAGCATGTCACTCACAAGGCTACGCTTACATCACGGCCAAGCACCCCTCCCAAAGCGGCACAAGCAACACATTCACACGACGAGTCTTGCACATCTTGTGTCACGCATTCTGATGGTCGTGTTTATGCTGCGATTCCGCTTCCTCAGCTGTGGACACAAAATCCAACTACCCGGCGCCGCCAGCTCACTAGGCTCGGCTGGGTCACGCTAGTGTCACTATCGTGGTATGTTATCGAGTGCATGATGGTAGAGCAGTACTGCCACCCAATCATGTCCGACACTTGCGACGGTTATTGCCTCCAGCCCGATGCACCCGAATTTCCATGGGTGACCGTGACAATGCTATGGCGCTGGTCTCATCTATCAGCCCTCCTCATGCCCATCTTCACCGTGGGGTTTGCCGTGTTTCGGCTGGCAGCGCAGTTGCTCGGACTATGGGATGGCTATGTGGATGAGCCGGCACGCTTGGGTAATCTTATGGGTGAGATTCGTATCAATGGTACTCCAGTCTCATTCCCGTGGTTGTCAAATCCCACAACCCAGAGCATCCCGTCTGCACCCCCACAACAGCCAGTGTGGACACCAACACCGCGCAATGAGGCCCCTGTCATATGGGAGGATGACCAGCCCTCAATTGATGACGATGAATATCTTTAGCTGATCTTGATGGCACCGGGTGGGGTAAGCCCATATTTAACGGATTCGGAGAACGGTTCAATTTGCAAGAATGATGAAGGTTGGATTTAGCGAGTATAGCTCATTACCGTGGCTTGATCAGACATTACACACTAAGCTTAGTCTAAAATGAATCTTGATATGTTTCCAATCCAAAACTGGCATGTTCCACGTGAGATGCTTGTAATATATGAAAACTGCAATTAATGGATATTGCGTATGTTTATAACGTTATTTATTGTGTGTAATATGTCACCCAGTGCAAACCTGTAAACCTACTAAACTCACAAACGTGCCCTCTCGTGCCACTCTTTCTGTAACTTCTTCTCACTCTCCACCCTCCAATTCAAATTCCTGCGCAACCGATCTTCAACCTCCTCATCACTGACCTCACAAGCCTTCTCCAATGGAATCTGGCGTGTACTCCTCAACTTAAACCCATGGTGAGTCAAACACCCAGTTGGTGTTACCTTTCCCGCAACAGCATCGGAGCAAAACCCAGACAAATTCTCAAAGAACTTCTTCCCCGTCGGCGTCGAAAGCATGAGTAGACCATGGCAATGCGGCTTACCCTCAAACATCTCAGCTACAACCGACACACCAGCTCGATGGACTCGGCGCGCAAGAATCAAGGCTTCGTCCGTGAGACTCTCCTCGCCAACAGTGATGAACACAGGAGGAGCACCCTTCCACAGATCAGAAGAAGCGGCCATCGGCGAGACGAGGGGGTGGTTGACTATCGATGCGTTGCAGAAGGTATCCAAACGGGGAGGGGAAGCGGGCCATATGTCGTCCGCCTGGAAATGCATTGGCGTGAAAGGTTTGGAATAGTCGGGTTCATCGACGCCTCCGGGGCGGATGTCCATGTAGTCGAATTTTCGGTAGCTGATGATCGAGGGCATAGAGAGTGAGACATCGCACCAGGGTGAGATACCGGCTACACCTGCTGGGAGTTCGATGTTGACTTCTTTGCCATGGAATGTGACGGGCCGTGAGGTACGACGCAGAGTGAGGAGGGTTTGTAGTAAGACCAGAGTCAGGTTACCACCAGCCGAGTCGCCAGCGATGACGATCTTGTTGGCTGGTACGGGCTCGTGCAGTGAGCCCCGGGGTGGGTGAATGAGTGAGAGGTATGCCGTCAGTGCATCGACCAGCGCAGCGGGAAATGGGTTCTGTGGTGCTAGTCGATAGCGCACTGACAGGATCTGGGCGCCTGTTAGACGGGCCAGGGTTGCTACGGGCACTCGGTGTGTGCATGGGTCCATCATTCTGTGAGTTCGGTGAGTGACTTGAACAATAAGGGGCGGGATATTGGAACTTACAGGTAGGCGCCTCCATGGAGATAAAGGATGGTCATGTCAGACGTGACATCCTTGCGCAACTCGCGATATCTCTCTTCCTCGGAGATATCAGGCTGCGGAGCCTTCTTATCGACTCCACGGCGATATCCTGTCCATTCGGCTTCAACAGTTTGGGTAGCAGGAACATCTAATGTCTCCTGACCGGTTCCAAGTTCTTGAATTGCATAGAGAACCGCATCGCGGATATCCAACTCAGGCTGCGGTAGGGTGATCTTGGATACCCACATAGGGCCTTGGATCCCAGGATCCCGCATGCTATTCTTCTGTGTCTCTGTCATTGTTTTCCTTTCATCACCTGTGATGAACGAGCGGATGACCACAGTGATGAGCTCGGTCCGCAGGTCTTGTTTCCCTGACACAGGGGACATGTGAATGCCATGCAGGATGAGCGTTTTCAGAATCAAGGGGATCCGAGTTAGCAGCAGTTTCAGCTGTGTGATAGTATGCTTAATTCCACTCATCTTGCGTGATGAGGAAGCTTACCAGGGCTTAGTCGGGGTATGTAGGTGGGAATCGAGATTGATATAGATTCTCCAAACCGGTTCCTTGCACCTCATGCCGAGGTTCGATTTTAGTGGATTACTAGGCAGAGATCCGCTCTGCAATTAGTATCCACTACGATTCAAATGATATCATGGAAGCTTGGAAGCCATGTTCAAAGGTTTACTTTCTTAAACAAATGTACATTTTATTCGAGTATGTAAATTTTGACTATTTACTCGAGATCACTTGCCCAACCAGTCCATATGCCCGACACGCCACCCATGCAATAAAACGAACAAATTTTGGTCATCACTCGACATCTTTCATAGTTTCAGTCTGCGACTCTGATATACTTGGACGGTCATCCATGCGCTTCTCTATACCCTTCTTGGGATGAAGCTCCCTCTCATAAATAGGGTGCTCATCATCCTTGAGCCCAGATCCAGTAGGGTCCCTCCGAATCAAGAAACTCTGCACTCGAGCATCATTCGACGGCATTTGGGTGACCGTACTCTGCCTCCGGCCACTCAAAAACCGCATCGAATCCTCACTAACCGCACGAAGGCGCTCCTCGTACCCTGTATTCAACTGACCAATCCACGATGCCTGCACCGCACCACCGAACAGTATCAGGAGAATCACGAGCTGCGTAAATGTGCGATTGTCCACGATGTTCTGCTGTTTCCCATTGTGCCGATTATTCCAGCGCTCCCAATCTTCCCAGGTCGCGTTTCTGTAAATATTTACGTCGGGTGCGTAGGGGCCAGCTGTAAGATCTGGTCGCGCGGAGTAACTCCATCCTTCACCAAACTTGTCATAAGCTGCGCGTTTAGTAGGATCAGATAGGATCTCATGGGCGGCAACCACGATCTTGTAGCGGTGGAGGCGGACTTCGGGAGTGATGTCTGTACTGTGACGATCTGGGTGGTAAATTTTTACAAGGTCGTAGTATCGGCTTTTAGAGTACGCAGCGTTTCGGGGGATGTTGAAGACTTCATATGGAGTGAATGAGGAGGTTCTTGGCCAAGAATCGTGATGTCCTGCATCTGATGTGGTGGCATAGCTCCGGATGGGTCGGAAAGCGCTGAGATGAATTGGCAATGAGCTGGTTTGTTGGAGATTTAGTAGCTGAGTGCTACCCCAAAGGATACTGGAGTTCTTGAGCATGGCGTCATTGTTGGGACTCGCAATGGATGAGTCCTAATACTCGTGTTGTGACGAGAGCAAGTTGTCGGATCGACTGGATCCGGGGAACCTTGAATCTATCAAACCAGCCAAACACCAAAACGCGTGACCCCGCACCGACATATACAATCGAGTTTCATTTCTTCTCAATTTACCCAGGCTCCTACAATGTATTCTCATACTTAGTATCCTGTCTAGCCGAATGTTTATGAAAAAAAAAAAAAAAAAAAAGTTAGACAAACTCGCTAGGGATCACTTAAAAGGGTCTATGACGATTTATTTTACACATGCCTATTTCATGTATACATAGATCTAGCACAAACTTTGAAAGCTTTTCATTCATAGTACTGTTGCATCTAGCGTGAGACCAGCCCCTTGGAGAGCCTAAGTGCCCTACACTGGGACCTCTGGTTCAAGACTGCAGCATCCCACAAGTACACGACGATTGCGCGATTCTTCCATCTCTGCCTATCCCACTCAATCAAGTATGAAGTTTTTCCAAAATGAGACGTCAAGATGTCTTGAGATCAAACATCTAGGTCTTCTCCTGACAAGAAAAAAAAAACAAAATGCAAAGAACCCCCTTTAAGAACGAAGACAGCAAATAACAGAAGGGGGGTGGAAGCAACGATCGTTCATAAATGACACATTGGAGGAGAGAATTCATTACTCATGACGCTCTAAAAACGGCCTTAGCTAAAGCTAGGGAATGAACATGGCAGCAACAGTCATAAAACCAAAATATCTAGAGTAAACAGGTTAGTTTCCGTTTGAATCACTGTTATGATAGGTATGTCTTACAGTGTGGCACATCTCCAGCCATCTCTTGAGTCGACTAGCGTATCAATTCCGGCGGAGTAATTCGCGGCGACAGCTGCTGCGGCACCACCGACTACTGTGACAACGACAAGTCGGCCGGAGAACTCCGCGATCATGCTGAATGCCAGCAGCGGCAGCAAAAGGGCAGCCGATGCAACCATTATGGCCATGTAGACCGGAGCAGTAGCCGCAGAGGCTGCCAAGCGAGGTGTAAGAGAGACGAGATCGACACCTTGATCCAAGAAACGGGTTTCGGCCGCGGCGATTGGATTGTTTGTTTTCATCCAGGAACGGTAGTTCTGGATATCGTCGTCTGTGGCACGGGGAAGAGTTTGGACTACTTTGCTGTAGGAGCTAAGAGCATTGTCTACAGGCTATATTAGGTTGGTTCATTGCAAAGGTATCATACGGGACTTACTGTATTGCTCTGTTTTTTGAATCAGAGCCGCCATCAGGTCCATTCGCCGGTAATGGAGGTTCGAATACGACTGAGACTGGGCATCTATCCGACGTGATGCAGGTACGGGCCTATTGCCTTCTTTCTCGGCGACAGCGGCACGGTGCATTTCTTCATACTCATCCAATAGTTGCAAATCTTCCTCCATTTGTGAAATTTCATCTTGGAGGTGAAGAAGAACACGGTGGTTCAAGTTCTCGAAGCGTCGGTACAGTGGAGGGAATGCCCCCTTATCATCTTTGGCTGAGTGGGTGAGATGTGATGCCACAATCCCATAACCCGATGACACCTGTGAGGTACTCGTGCCTCTTCTCTGCAGCGCAAGATGTATGCTCTCCTCTGGGCTACTCGGCGGAGAGGGTGGCAGCGGTGACCGTTGGATTGCAGTAAGATCCCTTGAGTGATTCTCTGGTGGGGAAATCCGCAACTGACGCTTTTGTGGTGGAGACTCTGGCCGGGATTTATTATACTCCTTAAGAGATGTCTTTCGTGCCGGCGACAGTTGTTTCCGTGTTACTAAGTCGATCTCTGTTCGAGCCCCAGATGGTGGTGACGGTGCTGGCGGAGGGCGCAAGTCACTAGGAGCTTTCGATGCCCCGCCAGCGGTCGATCTTGTTGGTCTCGAAGAGGCGCTATCCTTTGATTCCAATAGAGCATGTGGTACGGGACTGGCGCGCGGTTTTGGTGACTGGATATTCGTTATAGCCGATCGATTCGCAGGATTGTCACCCTCGGAATCGGATTCGGACTCAGATTCAGACTCGGATTCAGACTCAGAAGGTTCGGACGATGATTCAGATGAGGATTCAGCGCTGTGTTCGAGGAATTGGAAAACATCAGGGACCTGTTTCGGCGGCTCTGGGGGTGGCGGCGAAGGTGGGGCCGCCTGCGGTTTCACGATTTGTTTAGATGTATTGTTCCGTCCCAAAGAGGTGTTCTTCTCTGAGCTTGTAGATTTATCGACGGGACCAGCCTGCGTCGTGGCATTAGAGAGCATGGATGATGTCCTCTTCCTCCCATCCTTCCTTGTCGACTTCCTGCGCATGCTATTTTGGAGTGGCATGTTGATCGGATAATATCGGGAGAAACACCAGGGTCATTGCTCTCAGAGGTTATTATACAGATACTTCTATGCCCATGTCCACACCAGTGATATTTGATTGGCATAGAGCGAACCAGCTTGGTGGTGATGATAATTGAATTCCAAAGTGTGGATATCGGGCCATGAGGCATGGCACAAGGGAGGGGTTTGAAGGCGATCTCACGACGTCAAGCCGCGGAATCTAGGGGTATGTCCTGCAGGATGGAGGACAACGTTTGAAAGAAAAGGAAAGTAACAAAAAGGGAAGAAGAATCAAGCGATAGTCGATGTGATGTCTCAAATCTCCCACTGGCATTCCTCGGGCGAGGGCGGGAGGTATGTATGGACCCAAGCCAGTTGGATCGGCTGTAGATAAAAGTAGAAACTGGGGGCTGCACGTCAGCTTTTTACCTGGTGGAAACGATTTCGCGTCACCAATGCGGGACCAAAAACACACCCGCGTTTCTCTTTAGAAATGGAGTGTTGCAATTCGTCACACAGGGAATCCCGGTCAAATCTGAAGCAGATGAGAAGCGCCGGGGGCTTCAGATCGGGGACCAATGACGGCAGCCCGCAAGGAGGTTACCTTTGTAATCGCTGCCGATCGTAATGCGGAGGTAATTTCAGCTATCACAAATGTACTTGGTCGTACAGATTCCCCAGGATCGCAACCTTTTGAAGGAAAAGAGGGTGGAATGGGACTAGCGGCCTGAATGAGGAACGTTATTCAATAGTCCTGTGGGCCCGTGGAAAGGAACAAATCAGCCGTCATCCTTTCCGATCCGAGGGACAATGCATGCGTCTGAACATAGTTAAGTTAGTGAGCTGGCGACTCGCCTGTCGATCATCTCCTTGCGTCTGGACTCTGGACCATCTGGCGGTCTGGCAGATAAAGCCCCATTTTTTGGGTAGCGAAGAGTGATGCCCAGGATGTGACCAGTCACCATTCTTCATGCACCTGTTGTCTTGTCTGCATTAATTGCAAGAGAATGTTACATTGTATGACAATACACCAACACTTATCTTTATCTGTGCAAGTGAAGTGACCTTCTCAATAGATTTGGGTTCTATTCTAATAATCCCACAAGCTCAGTGTTTGTTACGTCATCAATATCGAAGAACAACTTATTCATATTTCTTTATTTAGCACTTCGTACTTTGTTTAATGATTAGTTTTCTTGGGGGCCAAATTACAGTGGCGTATAAAGGTGTGTTCAGATTTCCACCCCTTTATATCCCCTCATCATGTAACCTTTTTCACGCCACTGTGTTGGCACGATTAAGAATACAAAGAATACATTAAATACGCTAGAAATATTTGTCGTCGGATGTGTTATTAGCCTTATCTGACCGTAATTTGTGCCCAATTAACACGTAATACTTGATCGAGCACTTGGTAATAATATTGATACGACTTGCCCTTTATTAACCTCACTTATCTCCCTCAACTTGAGTTAATTTATCACTTTTGCTATAAACTACCCGCTGTTCATCCAGTATGACTATCGCGGCAGTCACTAGAACACGACGCCCAATAATTCACTTAAATGGATTTCCGGGGGTTGGAAAGCTGACAATCGCCCGCTGTCTTGTCAAGCTATTATCCTCCGCAAAACTCGTCCATAATCACCTCTTAATAAACCCCGCTGATGCTGTTTTACGCCGTACCCAGCCAGGTTATCAAACTCTACGCCATGGGATTCGACAAGCTATCTTCTCTCCCCTCATAAGCGAGCCTGAAACGTTTGATACGACTTATATATTTACGGATTTTCAGAGCGACGACGAACTCGGTGCGGCTGTGTGTGAGGAATATCTCACAACCTCAAAATTACGAGATACAGCTTTTATTCCTATTGTGCTTTTTTGCGATGAAAAGACAAATATGCAGCGTCTCGTTTCGTCAGATCGAGAGTTACATTCAAAATTTACAGACATAAAGCTTGTCACCAAGTTCCGCCTCCAGGAGGATGTCCACCGCTTTACTGGCCATCCGAATTATTTAGAGCTCGATGTTTCCAGTCTACTGCCGGAGGAAGCGGCAAGAAAAATATCTGAGCACATAACACGTGTATATGCTGAATTGTAAGGATGGCCGGGGAAGAGGCCACAACCCATGGGCGGACTCGGGATCAACAGGGCGGATCTGCTCGAGGGCTAGCGTGGTGAAAGAAGCATTCCCGGTTCATTTTCTTACCAAATGTTGCCTACTTCGTTTTATTTGGCACACTCGAACTGATTCTAGCACGTCAAACATTAAGCCGTACTTGGATCAATGTTGTTTTTTTCACACTGTAATTAACTGCCTTAGTGCTAAAAATGAAGTGAGAGAAACTAACCTTTCCATGGATAAACTTGAATTTAATGAAGAGATTGTCCTAGTCAGATGCCCCTTGGCCTAGTCAGATCGGGAGATCGCCAAGTCGGTCTCGGGGGCGGTTGGATTCCCACCAGTTGATCCTACCATGACCTGCAGGGTGAATGATATTTAAAGGTGTTGTCAAGTCTACATATGTATGTCTCAAGTACCCTAAGGTTTGACCAGTGTGTATCTGATGACTTTGGAATACCTCAAGTGATATATAGACATATATAAATATTGTACGCGTGGACATTGACGGTTCAACACCTGATCTAAGCTCATCTCACTGGGAAAATATACATCCCCGGCATAGCACCCCGGGAATTATCCTAAGCGCCGATAAAGAGAAACATCTTGAAGTTAATTCACATATATATGTATTCCTCTAGCCGCGAATAGCGCTCACATGTGCAAGTGATAATGTCGATTGCGGTATCAGGAGTGTTTATAATGTTTCTAATCTGTGTCTTTTCACTCCATCAACAAGTAAACAAACATTGAACAGTAGTAACTATAGCTGAACCTTTAATGTTGGCCTTTCCTTCCTAGATGCAATCTAAGATTCAATAAATGGATTCGCAGATATGAATGCTTAATTGTATTGAAGTGATTCTACTGAGTGTGATTTTATCTAGGAGGCTAAACCCGAGATGTTTGAGTGGCATAGATCTAGTCAAACAGCGACCATTTAATGTTGACGAGGACCGGAGTGCGGGCGATGCGCTTTTAGCATTTTTAATTAAGCATAAAAAGTTCCCTTCAAAGTTCCCTCTCATAGTATCCATAAAAATTTAGAAAGATTTTAATCAAGGAAGAAAAGTACCGGCGCGGTAATGACGTTCAAAGTGGATACTATCGTACTGTATACTAAACCCCAGCCATCTCAATTTCCCCATACGACAATTCCCCGCCTCTTCATTTCTTACTCTCGTCTTATTCTTTCCCCCTCACCAAATTTACCTGCTAAGTCTCTCATTCCACAGTGCGCGACAAAGACGTTCGTTTTATTCTTAAAGGTCCGTAAGGTTAAGGTCTTGCCTCGACTCTGCGCCTTTCGGCGCCCGATGCGCTGTCCGCCCTTATCGCTCATCAGATCCAAAGTCGAAAAACAACATTGCACATCCCACCGCCTCGAAAACTTGCGCCATTGGGTTTAAACAGGTCGCACTCTGGTGGCAAACATTCAGGCGACTTGATTGAATCAGACAGAAAGCTCCTATACACTCCCGAGGGCTTTTATATATCGCTTTTTGCTATCGCAACTCGATCTCCAATCTTCAGCGAAGATCAACATCTCGCCTGACGCGAATTACGACTGCCATTTCCACTGCAGTTGCCCACCATGGCCAAGGGTGATCGCCATGTACGCCTCAACTACCACTGGCCAGAGATTCAGCTCAATATCTGGCTTATCGTCGTGCTAGCAGGCTCCGCAACATGCCTCGGCATCTTCGCCTGGTTTATGACTGTGCAATCAACAATGGAACTTGGGACACCCTGGTGAGTTTACCATCTACGATTCAACTCGAGCAAAGACTAACGTCGATGGTGAACACCAGGCTTTTCCCCTTCATGGTCGTATCCAGCGCCCTGGGCGTCTTCTTCATCTTTCTCGTCCTCGGCCTAATCGCCCGCCAACTCTTATTACCCGGCATCCTGATACTGGGCAGCTTCATCCTCTTTGTCCTCTTCCTGACGGGTCTGATTGAGACATCGTTGCAGCTATATGGAGTCTATGGGAATGTGAATAGTAACTGTCAGAACTATGTCGTGGAGAATAAGTCAAGGGGGAATAACATCAACACCTTGGCATGGTTGACGCAGATGACTATTTGTGAGTTCTTTGATTCCCTTACCAAACCTAGTTTTCCGTTCTATTGGGGTGGGTTCGCTGATAAGTTATGTTTGCAGGCAATTGCTGGAAAACAGCGTTCGCTATGGAACTCGTTAATACCATCTTCTATGTATGGATGATGGTGATGTCGTGGCAGGTGCATCGGAACTTCTATCATAGGTGATTGCTTCGAAGTTGTAAAATTTATGATGCCTTATCTTCTTGTTTTACATATTGTGATACCATATTTTGTGCATATACTTGGCGTTCAGGTGATGATGATGAGTTAAAAACCACTGGTTTCTTCGATTGCGAATAATGACAAGCCAAAATTGTTCTCATTTAATGACACCAAAGTTTACACTGCACTACATACACACTGCCATGAAGAATATGGTAGGGCTCATTTGTCGTGACACTGATGCACATTTCAAGAATCAGACATAAGCAAAAGCTTAGATGCATATCTCGCATATTGGACATTCGACACTAGTCAGGAATCTACCTAGTACATGGTGAGAACAAGTTGATACACTTGACCAGTGAATAGAAATAGACAAAATGAGTAATAATAGAAAATAATCAATGCGAACGCCGTCGCTATGGCAGAAGCGCTTGCAACCGCAAGAATCAGATAGATAAATCAAGTAGAAAACATAGCCGAATCGAAGAGTGGAATGTAAATCAGGCACAGATAACGGAGCCATACAGAGGCGCAGACTTGGAGTATGTGACGTGTAGAGAAAAATCACTCATCTTCCTCGGCCATGTCTTCCTCTGCTTTCTCGTCGTCATCTTCGAATGCCGCAAGCATCTCTCGCTCCAGAGCGTCGTCGTCATCGTCTGGGTTCTCTGGCAGACCATCATCTGTATCTTGGTTGATACTCGCTTTGTCCAGGTCCAGGTCCTCTTCACCGACCTGTAAAGTCATGCGAGACTCATCGGAATCGGTGGGAGCAGCGCTTGCAACTTCTCGGAGACCAGTGCTCCGTTTGTACGAACGCTTAATCCGCTGCGAGAGGCGCGAGCCTTTCTGATCCTCATCATCCTCATCCTCGGCAGATTCGTCGTCTGTTGTCCCACCAAGTCCATCTCCGCGCTTTCGTTTCTTGCTCGCTAGAGTCTCCTCACCCCATGCCTCGCTGTCACTTTCACTCTCATCGTCACTGCCAAGGAATTCCTTGAGTTCGTCATGTACGGCAGCTTGCTCGTCCTCGTCGTATCCGATATGCGATGTCTCATCAAGTCCGGTGTCTTTGAACATTTCGGATTCTGGATTGCCTTCCTCATCAGTCCAGAATGGGCCCGTCGCCTCGTCCGAGGAGGATATCCAGGAGCTCTCGGCGAGTTCTTGTGCGCCGGGGGAGAGAGGCTCACCACGGTCATCGGGATGAACAGGAAGCAAGTAAGGCTCCTCATCAAGACGCCTCCAACTAGTCAAGCAGTCCAGGAGCCACTGCGTTGTGACAATCTTCACATTGGGGTACCGCGTGGCTTCGCGCACTTTCGCGGTTCGGTTCCGGCCAGCGACGAGGTGAGTGGTGCGGCCATCGATCTTTGATGAAATGACGATACCGAATGTCTTGGCCCATAGGGAGATATCGGCATTCTGCGTATCAGTTCCGAGAGGAAGGACACCCGAGAACACGATTACCACCCCTCCGAGAATCCGTGCCTTGATCTTGGGCATGATGTCTTTGACGTCGGGAACCAACTTCAAATCAACATCCTTGTCTTTCAACGGGGTCTTCTCACCTCTCAAAGCCGCCACTCGGCCTCCCAGGGCACTTGTGCGCTTTTTATCGTACTCCTCATAGAATTGGAGATGGACTTGCTCTAGGCGATCCTGGAGCTGGAAAAGCTCTCGATCATGGTCTTCAAGTAGGTGATGCCGGGGTTTGTTTTCTTGGGATTCATCAATGCTTGGTACTGATTCGCTGCTCTCGGCACTGGAATCATCCTCTGCATCTAATTCTTTTTGCTTTTGCAATAACGGTCGGTCTTCCACCTGATGCAATATTGTCTCTTCCTGTGCATTGGTCTGTTCTTGCAACAATCTCGGATCGTCACCGCCTCCCATTGTCACCAGTTGTTCTAATGCGGAGACCGCAGTCCCATCAGGCGACTTCTCAGTTGAGCCATTAGCATGAGTTTCCTTTGTTTCAGCTTTCGCAGCCTTCACAGCCTTGTTGGTTGCACCAATCTCCTGCTTTTTGGGCAAAAAGCTGGAGTTGATGTCACCAATGCCAACGAAGAAGTCATAGGGAGAGACCTTGATGAGATTAGGATTCCAGCGCCACACATCACCACGGTCGTCGATAATGACAACCATCTTTGTGTCAACTGGGAACAAACGTTGGAGGTTTTTGGCAGTCAGGCTTCCGCTTTCATCACGGCTGAGAATACGGTCTCCGAAGAGCTTGCGTGTTGGATCAATGATATCGGCAATGTTTTGAGCATATGCTCGAGTACCCATGGTGTAGATATGCAGTTCATAGAGCTCTGCAACATTCTGCAAAAAATCCTCTAGTCCTGGCCGCAGCTTGATGTAGTACCAACAGCCACGCATTCCCGGGCCGTCGTCAATCAATCGGAACTGCCTGACGCCCTTTAATGCTTCGTAGTTTGGATTGTCCTTGTCCTCTTTCCATTCTCCGACGGTGGGGTCAACGGTAGCATGGATAATGGTCTGATCGAGATCCACTACAAGTGAGAGACGCCGAGATCCCAGAAGCCGACGCTTTGCATCCTCATCAACACGGGTGGCCTCCTTCTCGCTGACTGTTAATGTAGTGTTGTCATGGGACATTTGAATCGGCGCGCGGAAGGAGTCCATAATCTCAGTATTGTATGAAGCTCTATTTGTAATGAGAAAACAGTTTGTTAGAACGATCATGCCTCCAGCTGTTTGCCAAAACGGTATACGTACTCGGTCATATCCTTTCCACACTCCGCGCACATTCCTCCGAATTGTACCTCATGGGCACATGGCTCGTGAATCTCAACGACATCAATCCTGTACATATCTCAGTCAAAGTCCCCAATTTCTCCGGGCAAACAGAACTTACGGTCCGTCAATAACATCTCCTTTGGATATTTTCCACCCCTCAATCTCACCATCAACAGTTGATTCGAATCGAGTTGGAAACTTGCGTTGTTTCTTTATGATGTTTCCTATGCCATCACCCTCCTCAACCTCAGAGTGATAATAATACCAAAACAAGGCTTCATCCCTCTGTACCTCATCACCAGGCTTTTTCAACAATGAGGTGATGGTGATAGGATAATGCAGGCTGGGCGGCAGACGAAGAAGCATCTTTGCTTCCAGTTCGCCCCCCAGGCGACGGAATCCACGAACTCTCAATCAATGGCTCAGCGAGCCCAGCGTCCCCAGGGTTCCCACAGCACAAGCAAGCGGGGTGTGGATGGTAGGTGGATGTGATCGCGTTCGCCTCTGGCTACGGAGCCATAACCAGCACGCGACGCGTGGTTGAAGGTTTTTTGGGGTCTCGGACGAAGGGAAGTGCAGATGGAGGAAACTGGATGAGGCTCAATGATCCCTATGAGAGCTGAACGCCTTCAAATATGAATGGATAAACGGATACAAGCGCAAGAGTTGGGCTTTGACAGTCAAGTGTGGATGCGAAGTCGCCACACGACACAGGTGCAATGATAGATGACCTTGCGCGCCTTGCAAAGCCTAGCGCGTGAATGGCAAAGCCAAGAAGCACACAAAGTCGCGGAGGAACAGGGTTGAAGGCGGGGATTTGAAGGTGGGAAGAATGCCTGCGATCGGGGAATGGGAAAGCTCGGTGCGGGGACTGTGAACAGTGGAAGAAGCTCATCCGCTTATGTCAACTCTCTCCACCGCCCCTCGGATAGTTATGCCATGGATTGCCATAACGTCGACTCCACTCTCCTAACATGAGGAACATTTACTATAGAAGAATTGAATGATTGCAATATTATGGTATTTAGGAGGCCATGAGCTTGGCCTACTGCCTACATAGACCTACAACCCTAAAGTTCAAAAGACTTAGTCTAAATTACCATATCTGATTGGCCACGGACCTACCTCTGAACGGCTTTTGATGCACCCTCGGGCTGTTGGATCCATACAAGCTGGTCTACGAATCGCCATCGGAGCAGGCAGAAAATAGATTCTAAGAACTACAGACCACTGAATATCGCAAGAAAATATGATTTTTGTCTACTTTTAGTATACTTCTATAATACACCATATTTGAACTGGTAGGTGCTAGGGTAGATACTGAACTACTCAAAGTACTAATAATCGAATGTTACATTGTGGTCATACAATGACATGGGAGCTCAATACAAATGCCAGGAGCCATAGATTCAAGCGAAAAGAACGAAAGATGCAGAGTGAATCCATGCGAGGCAACCAGCAACTGTGTACTTACTGATGAGCGAACTCAGGAATAGAAGATGTGCCAAGATAGAAAAGCAAAAAGATACAAATCACTGAAAATATGCTTGATAGGGCGGATAACAGAACGTGTTCGCAGACCCATACCTCACCATCCTCGTGGAAATCGCATGTACAACAATGTACATACGAAATAGTCCCTTGAGTCCTGGCGTCAGATTCATCGGTAGCTTTCGCTGAAAATCCTTAATTTCGCTAGAGACCTATTTGGCCTTGGCCAAGCCAACGGTGCCTTTGCCAACATCATAGATAGAGTACCACCTGCGCAGGAAAGAATCTCCAAGAATGGCAAGGGGGCCAACGGGCTCGGGGAAGTCCATACCCATGAAGCTGCTGATGCAGGAGCCCTGGACCTCCAGGATGTAGTCGTGGGGACCAATGGTGAAATCGTGGCCGCTAAGAGTGAAGGTCAGGTCAGGCAGGGAGTCAACAGTGGCACAATCAACGCTGTACTGCCCAGTGAAGCCCTTTGTTGCTCCAATCTCCTTGTTCAGTAGCTCGGCCATAGTGGAGGGCAGAGCGATGAGCGAAGTACCGGTGTCGAGGATGATACCGGTGTTATCCAGCTCAGCCTTGTTGTCGCCAAGAGCGATGGCGTTAAACTCGACCTCCCAGTAAGCCTTGCGGCGAAGAGGAATAGTGGTAACCTCACCAGTGTAGTGGCTTTTGTCTACACCACCGAAGGTGGCCTCGGAGCTGTCGCCCTCATTGTTGGCATTGCCCAGGTAGAAGGCAAAAACAGGCTCGTCCAGAAGACTCTGGTTGATCATGTTGTAGACGGGGGGAACCATCTTGTTGACGGAGATAGTGTCGTATCCAAGACCAAGGATACCATCGAAACGACCGAAAGCAAAGGCCAGACCAGGCTCGCTGGTAGCCTCAGCAAAGTCTTGTTTAGCAATCTTCAGATCTCCGATCTGGACAGTGTCCTGGGAGACGAAACCACTGAGGCTGCCAGATCCATATTGGATGGCAAACTCGGTGCCGTTCTTCTTGTAAGTGCTAGACTCGGACGAGTCATACTTGTTGTGGAGATAGCAGGCGATCGAGCCGCACTCCGATGACGGGACCCACAGGTTGGAGCTACCAGTGTCGAGGACAACCTTGAAAGTCTGAGGAGGAGTACCGATATTAATCTCTGAGAAGTCTAATAAGGATGGTAAATCAGTCGGTGAGCAATACTGGTAGGGGTAGATGAAGGAGAGCTTACACTGCGCGTTCAGGAAGTTGTCGACCAGAACATCATGGCCAGCCTGGGGCTTGATAGAAGTATCCTGGAACATCATATCCTGGTGCTTGTTAGGGCGGATGCCCATGTACTTCTGGCCCAAAGCGTGGACGTGGGCATCGATGTTGTGGGTATCCTAAGATGGGGGGATCAGCCGGGAACTCCGCTGGGGGATGAGGAGTATGGGGATTGCTTACCAGTTGCTCGCTGAGAGGAACCTTGTTGAGCTTGAGCTTGTGGACCTCAGCAGAGGCACTGCCCAGCAGCACGGAGGCTGTCAAGAGGGCAACAGACTTCATGATGGGCAAAGAGTGTGGATGTTATTATGGGGGGGAGAGGATGAAGAAGATAAGAGGGAGCTGGGGACGGAGTGACTGGAGACGGAGATCGACATAACGTGATAAGAGTGCGTCATGTTCCCGGAATCAGCTGCGCCGTGGGTTACACCTCACATTAACACATTCATCCCCCTTCCGTTTTAAAATAGTCCTTCCACTTGTTTTGTAAATAAATCCCTCGATCAATTTTAATCAACTTACATCTCTATAGAACGTAGTACACTGAAATAAATAATTCAGGTCTACTCGGTAATGTTATCTTGTTCTGCTTTGAGGGGGTTGGGTGCCCTGCCTTGCTTAGCGCCAACAAGTGAGGGGTCATAGCAAGCTGTTCCTGGCAGCTGCAGTGAGATGGGAAACCTTCTCCATACCCGTGAAACCAATCTAGCCCTGGCTTACGGAGTTTTGGGTAGCTGCCTTGCCTTGCTCCGGTCTCTTCTGGGTGGAATTCGGGCCTACTCGCTCGATAACTAAAATTACGCAGTCATAATACCAATCTTTGACACAATTTCATGCATTTATAAACCAGGTTAAATAAATCACCCATCATTTCCAAGTGCCATAGATTATTGATAATACAACGAAGAGGAGGAAGTTTCCTCCATGAGTACCCAAACCCGACCATGTCCCAACAAAATCTCCGAAAGCACCATATGTTTACCGGTAAAAGTCGAGTCTGCGAAGCCATCAATAACACCAAACTGATCAGAAAAGGGAGAAGAACATACCGGTCGTCCTCATGGCCACTCTTCACCTGGGCAGAATAAGCATCCTCCAGGTCAGATTGGATGATGTTGTATCGGTTCTTGCGCACTGCCCGGAGACCGGCCTCCTGCATGATAGCAGCAATCACAGCACCAGACAGGGGCTCGTTGCGCACAATCAGGGAGTCCAAATCCACCTCTGGAGACAGTGACATCTTGGCCGCGATGGTACTGAAGATCAGTCGACGCTCACGGCGGTCGCGCAGCGAGGGGAACTCGATCTTTCGGTCCAGACGACCAGGACGCAGCAGAGCGGGGTCCAGAGTGTCAGCTCGATTGGTGGCCATGATGACTTTGACATTGCTGGACTGCTCGAAACCGTCCATCTGGTTCAGCAACTCCAGCAGGATACGCTGGACCTCACGATCGGCACCGGTTTGGGCATCGAAACGCTTAGTAGCGATGGCATCAATCTCATCAATGAAGATAATGGCGGGGGAGTTCTCACGCGCCATTCGGAAGACATCACGGACCATGCGAGGACCTTCTCCCAAATATTTCTGCACGAACTCTGAACCGTTCACTCGGATGAAGCTGGCGGTTGTACTGTTTGCCACGGCTTTGACCAGCATGGTTTTACCGGTACCCGGGGGGCCATAAAGCAAGACACCGCGGGGAGGGTCAATACCTACTATGGGTTAGGGAGGTTTACCACAGTTTAATCTGGTGCCCAAACGTACCGATCTGTTTGTAAAGCTCGAAATGCGTCAAGGGCAGCTCGACGGCTTCTCGGATTTCCTGCTTTTGCATGTCCATGCCACCAATGTCGGCGTACGTCACGTCTGGCTTCTCGTTATCACCGAGCATCGCAATCGAAGAATCGGCCTCAGGAGGAAGGATATCGACCAGGGCGTTAGAGTGTCGGTGGAGGGCGACCGAAGACGATGGCTTCAGCTTCTCGCGGTCAAGTGTGGAGAGGATGCGAACAACGTAGTTGGATCCGGTCGAGCTCTGCACGATACCAGTACTAGAAGACACTATTAGCGACTGTCCCCATTCATTCAAGCGATATACAATTCAACATACTTCTGATCGATAGCTTCCATGAACTGTCCAATCACCAGCGGGACACTCTGTATACGCTTAATCTCCTCCTGTGCCCGAACCAGCTCTCTCTTCAAGCTCCTATAGACACCAAGACGGTCAGCATTTGAGATTTATAGAATAAATCTAATAGAGATCAAAAAAATACCTCTGCTCATCCTTGATGTATTCCTCCTGCAGCTGAATGTATCTGGGAAGCGTCAGTACGTGACACAGGTTGCACATCCAAGGACCTGGCATACTCTAGGTGTCTCTGTAACCGTTTCAAGGTAGCATATTCATCATTACCATCAGCCCCCGTTCCATCCAAGGAATCCAAGTTCCCAAGGGCGTCCAGAGCACTTGGCTTGGGAAGAGGCGTGACGTTGTTTGCCGGGTTCTCCACGGCCACGTCTCCCATGGTGAAAATTCTTGTTGGCAGATACTAGATGAAATGAGATGGATACGAAATTGAGCGGAGTTATCCGATGCGGGTGGGTAGGCGTGTGTTGGAATGGGAGGTGAAGGGTCTGGAGATGGGTTGTGTCCTTGGAGCTCATCAATCGGGCGATTGGAGCTTCCGAGTAAATCACGTGATCAAGACCTGGGATTAATCGAACTGATCAATTCCAGATTCTTTATTGACTTTTCCTCTGTTAATTGGGTATTAAAATGCCATAGTATTCAAGTATCCAAGATTTTTTAATATTGTAGCTGTTTAATATGGTTTATTGGAATCATGCAGGACTCCCAGATGTACCAGTTGGCCACTACCCTACTGTACGTTGGATTTCGTCCCCAAGCTACTAAGAGGAGCTACTAAGAGGCTAGACTCGCCAATTTACAATGGTAATTTGATAACTGTGGTTCATTTCTTAGCAATAGACATGGGACTTTACGGAGATAGGATTTGCACCATTTCAATTCATTTCAATCAGGAAGTAAATGGGTTTGGCTACGGTATGACGTAAATTTTGTGGTATGGTAGGATATGGAGTATGGCGGTGAAATAAATGAAAGATCAAGACCATTCAGGCTACAGGTCAGCCTTTGGATATTCTGGCTAGGCTGTGTTCATGACATGTTTCAGGGTAATCACCGGTGGTCAGACAGCTGGGCTTGTCACGTAGCCAATGAGGCGGGACTACGTTTGTTAGGTTGGTGATGTTTAGCAGGCGAAGTAGATCGAGGCAGCTGATGCATTTATGCTCTGGGGAAACCATGTGGTCAAATTGAATCTTCTACACCCTTTCACGTCTCTTCCATCTGGCATTGAGCCCGGACCCGACTATGAGTGGAGTAGGGCCCGCGGCTAGGTGGGACAGGCACAAAAGACCTTGAATGGATTTTCCCATGCGGATTGAGTCGGATCCTAGCCACCGGTTGGAGGGTAGAACCTAGTCTTGGCTCTCGTTCTGGTTCCCTTGGTGCAGATTTGGTTTTTTTTTTTTTCACCATCCCTTTTTCCTCATTCCGTGACGAGAGATTGGGCGCTCGTCATGATTATCAGACGCTAGCCCGAGCTTTATATAAGGAGCGGCCACACCCAAACCTGACCCCGGAGTTCTTAGCAGATTTCTATTCTTTCCCTACTTCTCTCTTCCCCTCTCCCCCCACTAACATTTACACACAAATTTTCTTCTGTCTTTCTTTCAGTGATGGTTTTCGGGCGCCCGGGGCAGTCCACGGGCCTAGCACCCTTGGGAGTATACAGACTAACCTGACTGGGCGAAGACCGTTGGAATGGATCATCGCCCTACTTAATTTTGGGAGTATTTCCATGGGATCTTTCCTCCCTCTCTTTTCATTTCTTGCATTCTCATCCCGCGGAAAATATGAAGAAATCAATAAATCACCAGTGTTGGGAGGTGAACCCTCGAGTACTTGGCCTCGTTCGTTATGGTGGATGAGCCGCGAACGCAGCCGAGACCCGCGACGAACGTCATGACGACCTATTCAATTTTACCAGGAGAAAGAGATAATCAGTTCATTTCTTCTTCTTTGGTTCTTTTAGAAAAAGAAATACTAACTGGAAAATCACAGAGAAATGATTCAGATCTGCTACTAATTAGCAAAAAAAGACAGTGGAAAGAGAATGAATGTGGTACAAAGGAGACCGGAAACTACGTTGCTTTCTCCCACTGAATCCTCCCGCAGTAATTTTCCCTCTCACCTGAATTCTCTCCACTTGCCCTTTCATCCCTAACTGCTTCGCGAACTGTAGGTATTCGTTTCCCTTGTATTTTATGTTTTATGGATCTGTCGTGTTTTTTATTATTTACACTTTCCTGGTTTGTTTCCACTTTGGCCACGCACTTGTTCTTCCCACAGTCTTCGTTTCCCCCCTTCTTTCCCGGGAGCCCACACCTATGCAATACGTGTAACCCCCATTTGTTCTCTTTATGGTTTATCGGGCCGAAGCTGGTCCTTTGATCATCTAGAGCCATCAGCTTTATCCCCAGACTATGATTTGACAGTTACCCCCCCCCCCCCAGACCCCATACACTCAATTTCTCCCCACCCTACCTCGTCCCTTTATTGCTGGCCTGGCAGAACCTAGCTGCCTCAGGCCACAAAACCACGTGACCTACAAACGGAACACCAACCTCTGCCCTTTTCGTTCCATCTGCTAATCCCGGGACTCGGCCTTAGCCATCCGTTCGCCAGTCGGAATTTTAAGTAGTCCAGCCTTGTCGGTATGTATTCCCCATGACTTCATTCTTGACCTTCCATTTCACCTATCTATTCCCTTTACGACAAAATTGTTCTTCACTTCCCAATCTTGTGGAAGGGCCTCCTCCCCCCCACGACCCGTGTCGCGACCGAGCGCGCATTTCCCCAAAACAGGCCCACCCTACGCGTATCTATCGTCTAGAAACGTCATCGGGGGCCCTACATTTACGTGCCCATTGATGCAAATGATGAATTCCGGGTTGGATCGTTGATTCCCGAGGATGGCGCGCGACATGAAATATATACCTTTACTGACAGTGATTGCGCAGATGGGTTGGTAAAATCGCACGACATGAACGCCTGGGCCGTTGACGCCTCGAATCTCCCTGGTCAGGATAACGGAGCATTTAATCCTTCCACAATCGACCCTGCCGCTGCTTTTCTTCATGCCTCTCCAAACCCACAGGACCCGAATCAGTTCCAGCGCATGTTCAATGGCGTGCCGCGGAACGCTTCCCCGGGCTTCCACAATCCCAACCAGGTGATTCCATCCAAACGACAAAGACCGGAAGATGGCATGCCTATGTCACCACGTCCTGCTCCCGGTGGGGTGGCCGGGGGGTCGCGATCGCAGACTCCCCAGGTTCCCTACCCGGGCTATCAAGGCCAGGCCAATGGAACGCCGCAATTCCCTCAACATCCTACCCCCTACCAACACCTACAACAAGGTGCCTCGCCAAATGTGACTCAGTCACCAGTCATGCAGGATTTCGACCAGCAAAGCGTTCGCATGGGGACAGCCTCTCCCAGTCCATTTTCTCCCGCTGGCCCCCATGTTGGTCCTCATATGTCACCGTCGCATTCAGATAATGGAAGCCGTGTCAACACCCCACAAAACAATAACTTCATGCCAGGACAAGCCTTCGCACAAGGTATGGGTGGCCAGTTCCAACAAGGTTCTGGAATGACTTCGGCGGCATCCCAGCCATCTATGCAGGCTCAATTTGGTAATATGCAACAAGTGCCGCCGGGATACCATCAAGCTCTGGCGGCCCAGCAGCAGCGACTTCATGCCATGTCAATGCAGAACCGGCAAATGAATCCCAATCCGCAGATGGCCGGGCGCCCGGGCGGTGGTGGCATGAACCCCATGGCAAACCCCCAGCAGATGGCCGCGATTCGGCAGATGCAGCAGCAGAATATGGCAAAACCCACCAACCCTGAAGCCTTTCTGCGAGCGGTTCATAAATTCCAGACATCGCGTAACCTTGCGTTTGATCCAAATCCTATTATCAGTGGCCGCCAACTCAATGTTGTCCAATTGTATGGAACAGTCATGAAGATGGGAGGATCGAAGAAAGTCACTGCGATGAATGGTTGGCCTGCGGTTGCACAGCATCTTCAATTCCCTCAAATGCAGTTCCCAATGGCGGCTCAGGAACTTCGGGAATACCACCAACGAAATCTGGCGCCTTATGAGCAAGCATTCATCAGCTCACAACAAAAACAAATGGAACAGATGCAGCAGCAGCAACAACAGCAGCAGCAGCAGCAGCAGCAACACGGTCAGCACCCCCAACAGCAGCCGCTTCAGCCACAGCTGCAGCCAGGCGGAATTCCCCGACAGCTGAGTGATGCGTCAGCGATGCAGTTCCAGTCTCCTGCGATAAAACAAGGCCAGGGCTTTGAGCAAACACATCAAGCCTCCCACTCCCCCCAAAACAACACACCCGTCCCGAATCCAGCTCCTGCCCCACCAATGAATGGATTTGCGACCCCAACACAAGCACGCGGCCAAAGCAAACCCCCTCAACCTGCACATCGACTAAGTGTTTCTCGCCAGTCACAGTCATCGGTTCCCCCGTTAGACAGCACTGGGCAATTTGCAGTGCCTTCCCCGTCACAACAAGGCAAAGCTACCTCCGCCACACCTGGACCTGTCCAAGCCGAACCTAAAATGGAACAGGTAACAAAGAAGCCTCTTGAGGATCCGTTCAAGCCAAAGGTGCTTACTGAGCACCGCTTGCATGGCCCCATTGCAGTGGATGAGATGTATCAACTTGGCAGTGACATATTGAAGTTGAAGCCTAGTGTGCCGGCATTCGCAGAGTTAGGTGTGGTGGATATTCACGCGCTAAACATGGGACTCAAATGTGGAATCCAGGCAGAAATTCGGGTTGCTTTGGATACTCTCACTACCTTATCATTTGACCTTAACACGTCTATCTCTCTTGAGAACTGTGATGATTTGGTTGAAAGTCTGGCGGATTGTGCCCAGGACCAGGCCGAATTTTTGGCTGAACATACGCTCGAACTGCCTGAGGCCATGCCATTACGCTCTTACGAAGAGGTAACACGGGGTTGCCAGTCTGAATTCACATCGCTTGTGGACGTCCCTGAATTCGGGAGCATTGAATACCTCCTGGACCGAGCTGTGGAACGATTAATATGCATCACTACCATCATTCGCAACTTCTCCTTCAACGAAAATAACGCAGCAATTCTGGGTATACCCTGTGTTACCCAGGTCTTCGCCGACGTCTTCCGCTGCCTTGGAACCCATCAAATGTTCCTACGGACTGACCAGAATACATTGGATTTCATGAAGGACGCGGTCATCTTTATGAGCAATTCGGCGCACGTCATGCAAATCCCCGGAAAGGAAGAGGCTTCGAGCCTGCTGGAATTTCTTCTAGCCTTTGCACCTTTGCCAGAGCCGACATCGAAACCAGACAAACTGATATTCACAGCTTTCAACCCTTTGATCCATCGATATATACCTGCTGCTGTGGATGGTCTGGCTAAGCTGCTGGCGAGAGACGACCCGAATCGAATCTACTTTGGAGCCATCTTCTCTGGGGATGGCTCTGTCTCTCCTCGGCCGGATCTCCTAACCCGTGCATTTGGCCTTGCTATTTGTGCTATTCCTGATAAGAAGCATCTGGCGGTTGCAGATGCCCGCAAGATTCTCCTCCTGCAAGGGCTGTTAGCTGCGGACGTTTTGACATCATTTGCAGACGGATATATGGCAAGATCGTGGTTTGGGTCTATTGATGGGTTCGCTATTCATCTCCTGCGACTCTCATGTTTGATTTGCACTGAACGCCTTCCACAACTCGCCAGTATCCAGCAAAGGGGGCCCCACGAGGCGGATATTTGGGCATTCACCAGCATCATCAATCGTGGACTGGCCATCCTACGCCGTCTGGCCGAGAAATCAAAGCAAGTGGACAGTACATTGCCACTGAAGCTTCCATCGGGTGTTATACCTCGCAAGGAAAGTCTACTCGGGGCGTTATTACTTCCCAGCATGGACCCGAGGATCATGCGCCATCTCCTCACATATGCTAGTCTTGCAGAGTGAATCTGGTACTTTTATACCCTTATGTACGGACGTTGGCAGGTATCTTTATATTCTGCCATCGGGTAGAAAGGAACCCTACTTTGTACGAAGCATTTACGAGAATTTGATTTCTGTCATGTCATTAGTACTCATGTCTCCAGTCAATGGTCAATCTTGCTTTCTTTAGGCGCCTGTGGAAATGGGGGGAATCTCTTTTTGACTATTACTTACTTCCATTATTTGTTTTCATTGTCAGATAGCGTGTTCAGTCTTTCAGTGTACAATGCTCAAAATACCCTTGACCGGATCATACGATTTGTCAAAAAGTACGATATACATATGTACATGCAGTCCCACTGAGGGCCCTCGCAGTTAAGTAATAAATATATAGAGAACTCCCTGGTTCCAGGAGAGTGATTTATCATGTAGTCTCCTTCGTCAAGACCTTGCGATCGGTGGTATGGTCCCCATCGCATATTATTCTACAAGGAAACCCACTTAGATAGGGCTAAAGACAGAAATTAGGCTGATGCATTGAATCATTCAATAAGAGAAAAGACCTTGGCACCCGCACCGAGTCATGGAACATATACAGTGTAGAAATGGTACAGGGAGAGTATAACTCAAAAGCAAGCGCCGGGAAACTGCAAATGGAAAATAGAAAGAACCCAAAAGGGAGAACACCAGCAATCGAAGAAAAAAAAAGGCAGAAAAGAAACAGCCCCAAGCAAGCGAAGATTAAGAAGAAAAGAACATACGAGGCAGGGAAATGAAAATACCCACGGGCGTCTCAGCCCACCAAAGCCACTCGAGACAGGAATGACATATGATATCCCCCCTTGCCTTGTATGCTTGCTGGCCTCAGTGTGATCTTATCCTTCTAAAGATCTATCGTTCAGGGTCGAATCCATCCCGCGTGTAGAATTTGCTCAATGCTTTTGTGGCCACCTTCATTATTGGATGGCCGGTGACACATATTTCGCGTGGATATGGTGCGAATAAGAGGAGAAGAAAAAGATGGAGAAATTAAAAGTTCCGCTCCTGCAGGAACTTCAGGATTTCGGTTTTGCGCCAGCCCTGCACCAGATAAGTCATTAGTATTATAACATGTTGATGTGCAGCAATAGCACGATAAAGAGCCGAATCGCTTACCTTAACAATGATATGGCCTGTCAGGCGATTAATGCTCACGTCCGAACTCCGCAGGTCAACGCCCAGGGCCTGTGCCAGGTCCTCGCGTAGAGCATCCAGATCACCCTCGGTCTTTTGGATCTTGGTAAGCTGCTTGGTGCCGCCGGCTTTTGTGACAAGGTAGACAGGCAGCTGGTTGGAGCCAGTACGGCGGATGAAGTAGGGGAGGTTGTTGAGTTGGAGAGAGGGGGTGGCTCGCGCAGTCTGCTGGGGAAATGGGGTCGAGGACGAGATGGGTTGCTCTTTAATCGCTTGGGCTTGGCGGTGGAGGTGCGTCAGGAACGTGCGCGTTTGAGAGTTGTAGGTAGATGAGCGGGGAGAAGCTATTGCGAATTGCGATGGTTAGCTGGACATATTTCGAGAATTCATCTTTGTTCTTTCAACCGGGACCCATTTCACGTCAGACTCTAGGATTCTTAAGTCCGATGTTGAACCTGGACTGCCACAAGCCATGACCACGGCAACTAGCGCAGTATGGCTAGAGGTACTAGCCCCAAAATTTGAGTGAAGTATTGTTGGTTGTATGTCCAGTCACTTACAAGATGTAGGCCGTGTAAATATGGAAGACAGGCTAGATGTCTGCACGGAAGCCACGGACTGGGTCAGACGGGAGTTGGCGCTCTGCTTGCACACGGTCGAAGCGACCGAGGCCGAGTGTCGAAGAGACGCCATTACGCGTCAAAGAAAAGAGGTTGGGGGAAGGAGAGAGGGCAAGAAGCGACACGACAAAGCTTCAATCAAGTACCGAGAAACAAGAAAAGCGCAAGTTTCTCTCAAGTCCTGATTCTGCCACCGCCCCACGTCTCCTGGCCACCCAAAAGGGTTTAGCGTATCAAACCCTCCCGCACACAAATTCAATCAAAGAGACATCGCTGTGTCTTTTGAACCAACCCACATCCTGCGTCCCACTATGGCAGACAACGCCCCTCCTTCCGCTGAGCAGCTCAGCGGCGCTGCCCCTACCGATGTCGCCCCCGAGCATGACCTTCTACCCCGGTTGATCCCTTACCTTGACCGCCACCTGGTTTTCCCGCTGCTCGAGTTCAGCGCCGGCAACGATGAGGAGGACAGCGAGATCATTCGGGCCAAGTACGAGCTGCTCAAGCACACCAACATGACTGACTACGTCGCCAACCTGTGGAAGGAGATCAACAACAGCGACTCGATCCCCGAAGAGTTTGTTAAGAAGCGCGAGGAGGTTCTGGCCAAGCTGCAGCACTACGAGGGCCAGGTTGAGAAAATCACCGAGTTGCTGCAGGATGAGGAGGTTGTGGGCAACTTGCGGAGTGACAAGGCCGCTAACTTGCGCTTCCTTGAGGAGCAGCACGGTGTCACAACCGAGATGGTTGACGGCCTTTACGACTACGGCCGCTTCCAGTACAGCTGTGGTAGCTACGGTAACGCCGCCGAACTGCTGTACCAGTTCCGTGTTCTGTCCACCGATAACGACAAAGTTGCCTCGGCCACCTGGGGTAAGTTGGCTTCCGAGATCCTGACCACCAACTGGGAGGCTGCGATGGAGGAGGTGCAGAAGGTCAAGGACTCAATTGAGACTCGTCTGTTCAACAACCCGCTCGCCCAGCTCAACAACCGCTCTTGGCTCATCCACTGGTCGTTGTTCCCCTTTTTCAACCACGACGCCGCCCGTGACGTCCTGACCGACCTCTTCTTCTCCCCCGCCTACATCAACACCATCCAGACCAGCTGCCCGTGGGTTCTACGCTACCTTGCCGCCGCGGTCATCACCAACCGCAGCCGCCCCCACAAGCACTCCGGTGTGTACCAGAAGCAACTGAAGGACCTTATTCGTGTTGTGCGTCAAGAGGACTACGAGTACACCGACCCCATCACCGACTTTGTCAAGGCGCTCTACGTCGACTTTGACTTTGAGGAGGCCCAGAAGAAGCTGGGTGAGGCCGAGGAGGTTCTCCGCAGTGATTTCTTCCTTGTGTCCGCTGCGGATGCTTTCGTTGAGGCTGCTCGTCACCTTATCTCTGAGAGCTACTGCAAGATCCACCAGCGGATCGATATCAAGTATGTATCCGACTCAATTGAGATTTATCTTTGGAGACAACACACTGACTTCTATCTTCAGCGATCTCTCTACCCGTCTTGGTCTGAGCCAGGATGAGGGTGAGAAGTGGATCGTCAACCTCATCCGCGACACCCGTGTTGACGCCAAGATCGACTACCAGGAGGGCACAGTTATCATGAACCACCCGCCGCAGTCGGTTTACCAGCAAGTCATCGAAAAGACCAAGGGTGCCTTCTTCCGCACACAGGTCTTGAGCTCATCTGTCGCAAAATGAACAACCTCCCCCTCCATCTGTCCTTATCCATGAGCTGATGCCAAAACTGAATCTTTCTTCTTTTGTTATTATCAACCCCAAATGTTTTTTTCTTTTTGCCTCTCCCTTTTATAGTCTCCCCGTGTATGTCACAACACGGTTCTTTTGTGAGGGATGAGGGACTCCGAGGCAAAGTGGCATCCGGCTGGCGTTCTTAGGTGGTCCAACCTTTTCTGATGTTTCTTTTTTACCTCTAAGTCCACAGTTTCTCTTCTTCCATTTCCTATTTTCCCCCTTCTGTCATCAGATCGTGCTTTCCTCTTTTCGTTGGTTCCTAGGCTTTGAAGAGCTTTAGTTGAGAAGCGGGTGAAATAGAAGGGGCACCGTGGTGCTCTCCCCGCACTTTCGCAGAAGAACAAAAAGAGAAGAGATAGGGAATTATGCAGTAGACTCCCGAGTTAGTCGGGGTCTGGTGGATCTATGCTGTTACGAATGGTCTATAGAGATGAGTGAAAATGATGTCTGACAATATGTCTGGTCCAATATGTGTCCTCGTAAGTCGCAACAAGCCGCATAAGATAGCCAAGGGGAAGAGACAACATATGGCCCATGACATATCCGTAGATGTGCACGAGGTTTGACAACAATAACCGTTATAGCCAGAGCAAACGTGGAACTTGGGAGCATTTGAAGGGTATCGTAAAACAAATATGCTCAAAAGGACGAATTGGCATTCCACTTAAATACCCAATTGTCTGATATATCTTCCTCTCAGGAATCGAACAAGGTCCGTTTCGCCTCATCCGGAGATAAACCCAGTCCGTGGATTGAACCATAAAGCAGAAAGAATCTGGCAACAAGAGAGATCCGGGCAACCTTGGATATGTTATCCTGGGAGAAGGATCTGACCCTGGAATTGGAATTTGCACGAGATAGAATGGATCAAGATCAGAAAACAGAGTAAGAATATGTCGTCCTATGGACAAAGAGTCCCATGGAATTAGATCGACAACCATGGATAGTCCTGGATGAAGCCCCGATAGGATGGATAGATCAAAGGTCCTGGGAAATTCAGGGAGCGACAATTTCAAGTTTCCAGTTTCCAGTTCACGGTAGGTATTACCGTCTACTTCTGGTCTCCTGTTCTGGGTGTCGACGTGCCCGGGAGGTTTCAACCGGTATCAGTTCATTGATATAGGGCTCCGAATGTCGGGATGAAGCATGGCCATTGGTATTCTGAATTTGGTTTGTCATGCGTAGAGCTTCCTGTTTCTCGTATTCTCGAGACATGGTAGCCAAATCGTCGATTTGCTCCTATATGTGAACAAGACTAGTCAGCTTCTCGTTGATGCATTTTGATCTCGCTTTGCTCTCTTTCCATTGCGTCTCCTGTTGGTCGTGGTAGAGAACAGACCCGTGTAAGAGGAACCCCTGTGATCAGATATCCTTCTCGCCCCTTTGAAAACACAAGGAAATCTGGTTAGAGTGGGTTAACTGTGGCGCGTAGTGGGTGGTGTAGCCCGATATACCTGGTAGCTATATGGCCGGACTGAAGCAGTGGGACCGAGGAAATAGTGGATATGTCCGAGGACGATATGACGGGATAGTCCATATCCTGGGAGCCAGTATTGTTGGACTTGCGACATCGTGATTTAGAGGTTTGGCGATAATGGTATGTGGTCCACGGGTCTTGATATTGAAGTAACACCACCAACGAGTAGTCCGAGCACCTGTGGTAGATGCTTCGGGGTGTGTATACCCGATTGTCTTTTTGTTCTTTTGGCTTTCTTCAGGATCACATAGGGTATAAATAATACAGCAGTACTATCAAGTCGAGCCTAAGGAAAACGAACCCCACGTATCACCCGTAACAAGCGGTCTATGAAGAGCGCTCCGGAGAGGAGATGACGAATAAGATCAATCCCATGCCAACTTTTGTAATTTCCCCCTCCAGATCCTTGAGCGGAGCCAGGTGGAGGGTAGTCTCAGAATTCAAATTTACAGCAAACTCGCGTACACCATGAACCCGCTTGCATTCGAACTTCAGCGGACAAATAGAAAGCAAGATATGCAGGAGAAAGGCCTAGGTAAAATCCCCAAAGGAGACATATAGTATCCACCAGTCTGGAGTGCACCCGGGTAGACAGTAGACTAATACCTAAATGGGGGTGCATCGCAGAAAGGGTGAAAGTATAAACCCACAACCAATTGATCCAGTCCCAATTGGCATTGAACATTCACGGAACTGTCGGGGAAAGGGGTTTGGTTCGCCTCACTCTTGGAGTCAACGACACCCAACCCTTTTTCACCGGTCTTGCTCCCATTGATTAATCTGAATATCAAAGTCTCAATTGGATCAATCATTCTCGGATCTGGTCAGAACTTAGCTCATGATGTTCGTTGCCGACCTGTTCCATCCCGGGTCAAAAGTGAGGCTTGACTTGGTTGGGGATAGAGTTAGCATATGATTCCAGATATGCATTGAACAACGCAGCAAGACGGATCATTTTTCGTTCCCAAAAAATCCTTTAAATCAATTGAAACCTAGTGGAAAAAATATCCCACACCGCACATTGTTCAATGCGCCAAAGTGGCTCTTGATGTCGTGGCACCATGTAGTCTAGTCCCTTTTGACTAAAGCCCGCGCTGAGCCGATGCAGGCTGTTTCTGCCATCCAACGCTTCTAGGGCGTAGTGCCTTGGTCTCGTATGTCGAACACATTTCGGCCCACAGTTCCTGGGTTCAATCAGCAAAGCCACGTTCTGATTTGTCGGAGACTGCATCTGCCCCGATCCTGTTGAAATCGGAACTCTAACTTCTGGGGACTTGATGTTTTGCGTTCGGTCGTCTGGTCTGGTTGGGTTGTGTTGGGCTGTGAGAAGGTAGATCCAGAAAGTTGGAGGAGTGTTGAGGACTTGCATATGGAATTTCCCATAGTTTTATGATTCTAGGGCTTCCTGGATATTATAACTACGGAGTATGTGTATACAAATCCAGCCAGGATGATCGGCGTGTAATGTACTATTCTCTAGTCTTTTCATAATTCGTTCGAAAAACCTGCCAATTCCATCTCGTTTCCTGTCAAACCATATCAAGCTCTCACTGCGGCGGAATATAGGGGTTGATAAGCATGTCGCTGAACCTACAAAAGAAACAGAATTGGTTAGCCGAGGTCACAATGCAACAGGTGCAAAAATTAACTCACTTTTCCAGCTTGTCCTTTCCGCGGACCTCCTCCACCAATAGTGGCATGCGAACCACGTTGAAGTCTTCATACAGCTCCTCAATCTGCTCCAGGTACTTCTTCTGCATCTTTCTGCGCGCAGTGCACTGGTCACAGCCGCTGCCCTCCTTGGGGAACAACAACTGGTTCACGACAATCGAATGGGTATCAATGCCATAGCTAGTCAACTCTTGAATCATCCGCTCGGTCTCGTAGAGCGACAAGAACTCCGCAATACACACACAAACAAAGGTGGTCATATCAGGGTTCTTGAACTGCGTGTTGACCTCACCAATGGTCTCCCGCAGCGACTCCATCTTCTGTAACAACTCATCCATGTTCTGTCCACCAGGCAAACCACCCCTAGCGCCCAGGATCGAGTTGAGCATGGGTCCAAACTGCGATGACAGCTGCGACAACTTCGCCAGCGCCTTCTCAAGGACTGTTGGGAACTGCAGGAAACGCAAGGTGTGACCGGTGGGTGCGGTATCGAACACAATCACCTCGTACGAGAGCGACTTGACCTGCTTCAGGACTTCGGCAAAGGACATGGCTTCATCAACACCGGGGATCTAAATCGTGGAAACAGCGCTCCGCGTTAGTTGGATGATTCCGTATACTCCAATATCACCTCGTTTCCTTTTCCACTTACACTGAACGCCAGATCCTGCATCATATTGCCCATACCCATTCCGCCCATAGCGTCATCCTGACCATCTCCATTGGCCAGGAGATCCTGGATGCTGCCATTGGGATCGATCTCCATAGCGCTGAGATTGTCATAGCCGTCAACGAGACGGGCCTCCTTTCCAAATTTCTGGCCAAAGGCATCGCTCAGGTTGTGGGCGGGATCGGTCGAAATCAGGAGCACAGATTTGCGGGCTTTGGCGAGCTGAATGGCGAGCGAACAGGAGGTGGTGGTCTTACCCACACCACCTTTGCCGCCGACGAAGATCCAGCGGAGAGTTTTTTGGTTGATGATCGACTGGAGCGTGGGCTCCATGTCGAGGTCGTCACTGTGGACCACGGCGGAGGAAGACATGGTGATGTTTGCGGAGCTTAGGAGGGGTGTGGGGGAGAGACGGAGGTGATGTTCAAAATTGATGATTTGCCCCGCAAAGGCGATCGAACGTTCCGGAACACAGTCTAGATAGTTACAAATGACATGGATGGAGCATGGAACATGATGTTTGTTAATCTTGTTTTAGTTTACCAGCAAAATAGAGATATAGTGATTGGTTCCAGTACCTAACGTTTGTTACTCAGAGAGATGACGTACATAAAACGATGTTAATGCCACATCACCTGATGGTAGTTGTGCCAACTCTCCAATACAGCCATTCAACAAGAGAAATTCCAAGATACATCTGATAAAGTACCTATTCCACGGGCTTAACCAATTCTGGGCATAATTAATGAGATCATTAGGTCCATGGTAGCGCAGGTAGCTTGCGTAGAAAAGTTTCTTCGTTCATTTTGCCTATGAATACGTATATGTTCTTCTCTCTTTTCTTCCTTCTAGTTTTCTACTTACAATTTGGAGAACTATTGAATATAGTAGAAAGAGTAGGTAAACAGTATAAGTATATGTAGAACAGAAGCCCAGTTTCGCTAATAGATTAGTTGGCCGAAGAGACGAGGTAATATCAGGTTTCCTAGGTAATAAACAGATCAAACCAACTCACTCAGTGTGCTTCGTGAGTATCACGCATATAGAGAGCTCTACCCACTACACAGTGCATTCCAATTATCAATTTTATCAGGTCAACTACCATGGGAAGTATAAAGATTGTCTGATCAGAGCGGAGTGCTGGGGATGGAATCTTCTTCACTGAATAAGCATTGATTGCAGTAATTTCCTAAGTATTTCCTCTTTCCTATAACCTTTTAGTCAGAATGAGTTGATATCTGAATGATTAAATCAATGATCGTCGAGAACCCGAAAGTAGATCCACCCATGGCATCCTCCGCATCGCTATCGGTGCTCTCCGATGCCAATGGCCCATAGAAATTAACCAACTTCCCGTGGATAACTCAAATTTTATTTCACCGAAAAACCGACATTGACTTCCCCTCTCACGTCCCTCACATCTATATGGACCACCCCCGTGAAACCGCAGACCGCACAGCCAACCGTCTCGCGCTCTACCAGCAACACCTTTCCTCGGCCCCGCTCTCCAAGACCAACCCAACTCACCAACCCACAATGGCCGCCCGCGACCCCATCACCTGCCACTGTCTCAACACATTGACTGGCACCCCGGCCGCAAACCTACCTGTCACATTGACACTGCTGTCAACACCTGCAGCTTCCAGCCCCGTCACCTTCCACGCTACAACCAACGCCGACGGCCGCGTCGCAAAGTGGACGCCTGCAGGCGGTGCTTCGGCATCTTCTGTCCCAGATATTCTGGCGGCACTGCCGGGCGCAGAAAGCAAGACGAACTGGTCTGTGCGCTTTGACGTTGGACCCTGGTATGAGGCGCAGGGTATTGAGAGCTTCTGGCCTGAGGTTGAGGTTAAATTTACTGTCAAGGGTCGCGGCCGTGACGGAGAGGAGGGTTGGCGCCACTACCATGTGCCCGTCCTTTTGGGTCCTTGGAATTACTCGACTTACCGTGGATCTTAATGGACGTTTAAATAATTAAAATTCATTATTATGTTTGCCATGTTCAAAACGCCTTGAAGTTTCGATAAGGTTGTAGTACTTAGATGTATTCTGATTCTATAGAACTGGGTATGTTCTTTGTCATATTGGCATAGAATCGCTCGCCTTATATCATTAGGCAAGATGGCCGAGTTGGTCCAAGGCGTACGGTTCAGGTTCACCTGATCCAGATTTCCGTATCTCGTTTTCGGGGCGTGGGTTCAAATCCCACTCTTGTCAATTCTTTTTGTCTTTTTATGCTTTATCTTGACCCTCAATGATGTTTCTTCTTCCCTCCTTCCTTCTGTGGCCCTTTTCCGTTAAAGTATAAGAGGCGGGTTTTGTTTTGAATTTTTGTCATTTATAAAGAGTTCGTCATGTGTGCCGTTAATTTGTCTCTATGAATGTGTAATTTACATTATGAAATGACTCCTTATGCTCCTCTGCCACGACCGCCACGACCACCGCGGCCTCCACGTCCCCCGCGGCCTCCGCCACGACCACCTCCACCTCCACCGCCACCATTCTTCTCTACCCCACCTCGTCTCTGACCACCGCCTGGGCTGAGAACATCGCGTTTCTTGTTATTGGGACGGCCATTGGGACGGCCACGGGGACCACCGGAGCTGTCTCCATTCAATTCACTCAAGCTCCCGAAGTTGAATCCAGGGACACCCTTCAGACCCATCTTACCAACGACCTTCTTATCCATAGGGGGAGCCTCGGGACAAGCCATACCTTCAATGGCCATTTCGTTGGCGAGTTGGACAAGACCGGCCTTATCGAGACGAAGCTGCTTCAGAAGACCTGATCCAGCAAAGAATCCAATGTAAGATGAGTAGGCACGTTGCTTTGTGACTTCATCGATCTGGTACATGGCCGCGTCGACGAGGGGCTTGAAGGCGGGAGCCTCCGCAAGGATTGCGTCGGTCTGGGGGTGCGGCTTGATGGGCAGATGACGGTTGACCTTCATGAAGAATGACTCGGCTTGAGTAAGGAGGATGATTGCGCGGCCATCATTGCCAGCACGGGCTGTACGACCAACACGGTGAACGTATTGTTCGCCGTTTGAGGGCAGTCCAACCTGAATGACCAAGTCGACGTTGGGGAAATCCATACCACGGCCAATGACGTCTGAGGCGAACATGATTCCGGTGGCCGCTTCTTTGAACTGGGCAGTGGTTCTTGTGCGGATGTTCTGGCTGAGACGGGAGTGAATTTCAAATACATTCAAAGGGGTTAAGCCTTGAGAGAAGACCTTGGCGCATAGAGCGACCATGTTGGCAGTGACGCCGAAAACAATGATCTTGGAGCACTTCTGACTCTCGAGCTTGATAAGAGTAGTAAGAGTAGTGAAGGTCTCTGCCACAGATGGAATCACCACGTGGTACTGGGGTACTCTCTCGTGCGTTGGTGACTCGTTCTTATCAATGGTAGAAATGCTAGTGTAGCCCTCCTTCAACACCACGTTGACCACTTCCTTGACCTTGGGTGGAACAGTGGCTGAGAAGCACATGCCTTGCCAGCCGGTCTTCTTTGATGGAATAAGGCGAAGGATCTGCTTCACATCGGCTAAGAATCCAGCTTCGAGCATAGTATCGGCTTCATCCAAGACAAGGGATTGAATGTGGGAAAACTTCTCGGCGGTGAATTCGTCAGACAGGTAATCCTTCAGTCGGCCCGGTGTTGCTACCAGAACAGACGGAGCTCCCTTCATGAAGCGCGAATGAGCGGAGGCGCGAGCTGTTCCACCAACCGCAATATGACACTCGAGAGGCTTGGACAGTTGTGAAGTAAGTTGGTCACACGATTTGGCAATCTGCTGGGCAAGTTCTCTGGTGGGAGTGATAATCAGAATAGCGACCTTGCCTCTGGGTGGCGCACTATTTCCCTGGAGGAGGCAGTGCAACGCGGGCAGTAGGAAGGCAAGAGTTTTTCCGGTGCCAGTCTTGGCTTGGACGAGACAATCACTGCGCCAATCTGGAAGTTCAGTCAGAACACGCTGTTGAACGGGGGTCATGAACTGGAAGTCCATGACTGCCAGGGCTTGAAGGAGTCTGGGATCGAGCTTCCCAGCCATGGTGGCATATGGCTGGGAGCCAACGTTTGTAGGAGGAGTTTGCATGATGCCTGAGACTTTGTATCTCAAAGAGTCACACAATGGTTGAATGAAAATTTCAACCCGAAAGGTGTCTGGGTAGGCACGTTGTTGACGGTAAGATATGGCAGAACAATAATTTTGGAATTTCTTATCGATAAGACTTTTGGTGGTTTGGGGAAACTTTAATTATCAAGTCAACAAGCGAGATCAAGTAGTTCCTTTTAAATCACCGAGTGACTTAGAAGGTCAAGTTACTCTTTAACAGATTTATCATCCTATGCTATAACGAGACTTTGAACAAAAAAAAACTAATATGACAAAAGCTGATAAGCATACCTTGATTGGCCATCGTGAGATCTGCGGCTCGGGTGGGTCCTCATTTTAGTTTGTTCCTGTAAATAAAGTCTTGACTCTTACCTCAGGAAAACACTAAATTTACTCTAGAAAATCCGATGATTAAATAGCTAAATAATTGAATAATCAAATTCAAAGCCAAGATATATCTATGGAGCCTAGTCCCGAGTCGAAGTTTCTATACAGGCTGTGCTTTAACCATTTGGAAGGCTAAGGTTTGATACAGCGTTTACCTAGGATTTGCACATTTATTCCAACTAATAAGTGGCGGAATGGACTCGTACATACAACGGATGGTAAATATATCTAGATAACAAAGCCACATCATACTTCTCCTTAACTGGAAGTCCCTATCGTAATCAAAAAAGACAGGAGATTGCATTCATTTCGTTTTGAAGGCTCCCTCGATCGGACCCTCGTCCGAGATATGGTTGTAAGGCCGATCGTATCGTTGTTCCATCTCTTCATTGTGCTTTCTCACATCCTCCGGTAGATCCTCATGCTTCTTGCCTTCCATGTCAGATAGGTTTGACTGCCTGCCATCTCGAAGAGTAGGATGAGCTTTGTTTGAGGGAATTGGGTGGTTCGGCGTATTATCACGTTCACAGCCTTCCTCATCCAGATCATGCTCATTGGCTTTATCAAAGTTCTTGGCTGTACCATGAACATAACACGATTGGCCAGGGAGTTTGGGCAGAGGGCGACCGAGAGGAGTAGAGGAAATAGGCGCCCGGATTCGCGACGGAAGTCGTAAGAAGGTGCTCATTTTGGGTTGTAGGTAGAGGATGAGGGTGGAGAGGATAAAATAACTTTGGGGTCACAATGTTCGAAAAGGAAGGGGAAAAAAAAGCCTAAGGAGATTTGATTTTTGAATATTGATTTTAAAGCAGGTTTCTACATCTCATTAGGAATATGATGTGATGCTTGCTCTTTCTCGCCGTCGTTGCGATGACGTATCTCGATGTCATATCTTGCCAAGAACATAGAGTTCACCCTGCCCCTTGTACTTTATGATTGCCCCTGTACATATCTGGACTGGGCTACTCGAAATTACTCAACTCCAATAAAAATGGCACAAAGCCCTAAATGCAGCTTGGTGTTCCTTAATGACGTAGTGTGTCATTCATCAAAAGACCAGCCATGAGACCAACATTGGCGAAAGCACCATATGCACAACGGAATTAAAAATGCTTCGTATTTAATAAAATAAAAGGATATCAATTTACCATAATTCGCATTACCCTTGATATTTAGCGATCCCTTGGGATGCTTACTGAGCAAGCACCTTCTGCGTCGTAGGTAGGGAGTCATGGATTTATATGCTACTGATTGCACCGCCACTTCTAGCCGACTGACTAATTTTTTGCCTAAGGTAGGAACAAATTTGGGTCCTTCTAAGCCATCTTATATTAAAGACACCGATATCAGTGAAAAGGCCTCGAAAAATATCAATAGATGCTGTCACAGTGACTATAATCTCTGCCATCAAAGCCTTAAAGGCTGAGATAGAAAGAACCTGTGGCAGAAGGTATAAGAAGGGGAAATGATATGCTTTGGCCATGAATACATGTTACCCAACGACAGGGATATCGTGATAATGGTGAAACAATCCAGAGCTGCACAAAGAAAGGCCAGGATGGTCCCTAAGAGTATATATTTTATCAATTGCGTGGCGAGGTAGAGCCAAAAACTTGAGAGAATTATGATAATCTGACCTGAAATAGACAGTCCATGACCAATCTCATCAGCCTCAATAGTCATTATTGTAGATTGTGGAAGTTAAGAATATTTTAATTGACTTGCGCATGGTGCTTCTGTCTGACCCTGACTGTGTTCGGTCGCGTGGCCCCAGATCGCCAAGATCCACTTGGACCCTTGAAATCGTTGGTTCAAAGGTGAATTTTTTTTTTGACATTTATCAAGAGTAATCAGGTATGAATGATCTTAGATTCGTGGATAGAGTCTTCAAGTATTACTTGTGGAATGAATCACGTTGATCAACATTCAATTGGGCCATATAGTGTAATTGGAGCGACGATAGGGCAGACATATTAGAAGTTTGTTCATACCACTTTTGAACACAAGCGTAATAATTGCACAGGCAAATTTGTTACGACTAGTACATACAGTGACAGGTCAAAAGTCTTAACACCCCATTTGATTATGTAATATTCTGCCAGTCAAAATCGTTTTGAAACTAGGCGAGTTGGTATACACCACTGCATACTAAGGCTTATTTAACCCATAATATTGAATCATTACTTGTGCCCGGGGCTCCCAGAGTTATTTGAAATGATTTAGCAGGAATTTAGTACACGATTTGGATAAGCACGATAGGCGGTGGGAAAGGCGGGTCTTTAGGGGGGTGTCAACACTTTTGTCCTGTCACTGTACCAGTACCTATCAACGAAAGCTTTGGTACTTGATTCATAACCGGTGGACCCTAGGGGTTTTCCTAGCGTAGATGGCGTGATAGATTTCTCACACTTGGGGAGTTTTCCATTACAAATAAATGGAGATAACGAATAGCTACTAAGGGGTATTCCGTACATGTTCAAGTGAAGCTGGGTAATGAAGCCGATGTCTCAGCCACTACGTAGTTTGCTTTAGAGCGTCAGATTTCAGGAAATAATAGGACAACTTCACCCTGATTAGAAAAACGCAAGGTACTCCATAAACCTGTCAAGTTCCTTTGCATAGAAAAGTACAATGCCTGTTGATCAAAATGTAAGAAATGTAAGGAATGTAAGCACATTTGCGGCGGCGGTTCTGACCAGAGTCGACTACTAGCATCCACGTGACCGAACTCTGACAGCCGCGGGTCGCAGCCGAAATGCCTCTCCACCCTAGAGCGGAGCTACTCTCTTTCAGTGAATTTCGCAGACTATTGTCTCCTCACCGTCATCTCCCCATTCTTGGATTTTCTCGGAAGATGCTGACCCAAGTTTTTTTGACGAGGCCGGTACTCTAATTCTTCACTTTCTTACGCCTTTTTGACTCTTCCCTCACCATGGCGTCACTCTCAGGTTATACTGCTACTGGGAGGACCCGATCATCCGATGGCGTCACTTCCATTAACGATGATACCTCCACGGTCGAAGGCACCTCACCTCAAATCGACTCGACAGAGGATAACGAGACCGTGTTCTTGAACAAACCTGCTTCGACTCCAAGCGCCCTCGACAATGTGACTGACATGACCGACAAGGCTATCGGTCGACCTTCCAACACCCCGGATACAATGCAAGAGGAACCTCGAAAATGCTGGATCTGCTACACCGACGAGACAGAGGACTCACCACTCAATTTAGAATGGCGATCTCCATGCCCATGCGCCTTGATAGCACATGAGGCCTGTCTGCTTGATTGGCTCGCAGATCTCGAGAATCCTCGTTCACGCAGACGAAACGGCGGCGCTAAAATGCAGTGTCCCCAGTGTAAATCCGAGATTGTTGTCACTCGGCCACGAAGCTACATTGTTGATGCTTTACGCATGGTTGAGAGAGTGGCGGGACGGCTCGTCCTCCCGGGAATGGTTTTTACAGTGGCGGGCACAGTATGGGCAGGCTGCTGCGCACACGGCGCGTACTCAATGAATCTTGTATTCGGTGCGGAAGAGGCCAAGCAAATTCTCGAGGAGAGCATGGACGGCCCGTGGAATCCTGGAATGAATCTCGGTCTACCCCTCATCCCGCTCGTCCTCATATTTTCTCGTACTCGTTACGCCGAAGGCCTCCTTCCGGCTATCCCCGTTTTATTCTTCGCCGCGCACAGCCCTGGCCAAGAGCCCGACCTCGACTTTTGGCCGCCGACTCCAGCCTTGACTTTCGCCGCCCTGCCATACGTGAAAAGCTTCTATGGTGCGCTTTACGACCGGATGTTTGGTGGACTGGAGCGAAGATGGATCGCAGAGGTGCAGCCTCGCGCGGCAGAAGAGATTCTTGATGATGCGCAACAACAGGATCAGGCGGAGGGACTCAACCGATTTGGCGACAATGTTAATGGTCAAATACTCATGGAGATCGACCTCGAGTTACAGGTAGGAATGGGCAATGACGCCGAGCTTGCCGATGCTCTAGCTCTTCCTGCCGCCGATAACAACGATGGCGCTGACGTAGGCGCTCAGGACGGACAAGCTCAAGGTCAGCCTGCAGGCCAGAACGGACAGGGACTGGACCTGGGTCGGCGACAAAACGAGATCATCCACGACACCGGAAACCTCACCGATATTGTTCTTGGGGCCCTCGTGTTCCCAGCCATATCCGCATCGGTGGGTGGTCTTCTGAAATACATTCTTCCCAAATCCTGGACCACGCCATCATCAGTCCTAGGGCGCAGCCGCCCCGGACTTCTCCAAACCCGCTGGGGCCGCAGTGTTGTCGGTGGGTGTATGTTTGTGCTGCTGAAAGACGCACTCGTTCTCTATTGTCGGTGGAAGCTGGCACAAACACACCGGCGGCGCAAGGTTCTGAATTACGAGCGGTCCAAGGCCAGAAAGCAAGGGACAACAAAGCGGTAAAACTGAATACGCGGAGCTGTTTCATTTATTAGTCCACGGTATCCGTATTTGTTTTCTCTCATTTGCATCCTACGGCGTTAATTTACGGGGCTTTGCTTGACAATTTTGGTGGGGTGTGCCATTTACTACATGTATGTCACTTTGACATTTGATGCCTCTTACGACCCTTAAGATACCGCAGCACATTACGATTCATTCAATCAATTTCTTTCATCTGATAAAATTCCTCTTGTCTTCTGGGTTTTACTTGGACGGATTATGCATTTTGATTACACCCTGTATTTAACATTAGGAGCATCTTTTGAATTGACTTAAGGCAGTTAAAAATTGACAGGAAGGAAGTTACTGAATATCACTCATTGGATTTGTAACGTGAACAGCGAATTTTATTATTGATTGTAGAATCCTTACCTCTTTAAGGTCGATAGAGGTATATGGACGTCCAGGCGCGCGGCTAATCAAAAGGCGGCGACGATTCTGCCGTCAGGGAATTATTCGCCCTGAACTGCACCGCAACGTCCTCTTCCACATCCCCATATACCCCAACCACAATGCCGTCTCTATCACCAGCGCTCGCATCTCTTGCGAGTGTCTTCCGAATTCCCATGTCTCTGGCACCGGTACGCCCCTCAGTCACCCGCGCCTGCCAAGAGACCCTGACTCGACGAGCAACACAACTGGGCCCGATTACCGCTGCCGTGCAATCCGCGCCCTTCTCATCGACAAGCTCTCTGGCAAAGCGTAAGGGTGCACGCCCTGGAACAGACAAGCGAATCAGTATGTTAAGCCACAATTGTCGCAAAATGCGGCCTATCCGCCTCGAATTGCCTAGCCACGTGCCCCTCGAGATTCGACACTCTCAAACATGAATATGAAGCATTCAAAGCTAACAATAATTTCCTCAGCCCTTATCCGCTACTTCCTCCACCACCCCCTCACCCCGCGTCCCCTCCGCTTCTCCCGTAACCGTTTCCTCCGTCACTGGACCATCCACCGTACCTGGCAACTCTTCCAGTCGAAGCAGCGTCAAAACCACGAACTCGAGCTGCAGCGTCAGTACCAGAGCATGCAGTCTGCATGTGAGGAGCTGCGCACTGGTGCGAGTGATGGTGGCAAGCTGTTCCGGAAATCCATGAACAAGAAGGGCATCTTTAATGATATGTTTCCCATTGAGTACGGGCGTATGCAGACCGATTATCCACCCGCGGAGGGGTGGAATCACGAGTGGAAGAGACCGTCAAAGAAATAGATGCTCAGATCCTGTCTCGAGCATTGGTTTTGTGTTGACTGAGTGAGATTTGGGGGAATTGCTAGATTCGCCTTGGGTTGTCTTGTATCATTGGCGCCATGTACTATATATGCATTTTATCTTCATTGTCAAGGTCGCTTGAGATGTAAATCAAAGACCCATGAATTCCGTCCGGTTTTGTAATGTCTTCCCATACAAATAGCCCGATCGACCCTGCTCTTAGTAGATGCATAACCTTAAAGGACTGAAAGCTTGCGAGACCACGGAAATAGTGAGGCTCTTGCTGCTAGAAATGTTTGTGATCCTGGAATACTAAGTTACATCAGATACACAAAACCCAGGTTAAGTAATTGATTATGTAGTTCCTAGAGAAAAGAGTAACAACACACTGTATGAAAGGAGAGAGTGACGGTAAATACTACATGAGAGAAGGATCAAAGGAGCGGGATTCGCCATGCACGTCGGGGAATTTGCAAAAGAGAGACAGGGACAGGTATCCGGAGTTGCACGTGCATAAAGTCGGGTAATGATAGGAAAAGCAATCGCCAGTCAAGGAAAGACATGAAGGAAAAAGAAAATGTACTCCGAGAGGATAGACAAGGTTAAAACAGCCTGGGCAAAATAAAAGGCAGACAACGTGCCCGAGTCAATTGACTAGGCAAGCACTGGAACCTCCCAAACGCCAATGATGCATGATACAGCGGAAGGTCGATTGAACGGCAAACTAGAGCTTGACCCAAGTTCATCGCTTTCCCAAGTCGAGAGTAAAACAAACCGAACGCTGACAGAGAAAGCAGTTGCAATATCGCACATTCTTGGAATGAAGTGGTTTATAGCACCACGCAGCAGGAGCTTTTCCGCTTGTCAAAGGTTAAAAGCGCAGCTCGGGTGGCTGCTTCAAAAACGTCGTCGACACCCTCGCCGGTCAAGGAGGAGCATTCGAGATATTTGCGAGCTCCAATATTGGTGCCAGTGTCATTGCCCTCTTTAGATGTGACAAATTTGAGGGACTTTTTGCGCATTTCTTCGATGGCCAGTGGATCTTCTCGCAAGTCTTTCTTGAGACCGACTAGGATAATGGGTACGCCGGGGCATCGTTCATTTGCTTCTTCAATCCACTATCCTGTATGTTAGTGGCCATTTCACATGATCTCCGTTAGCAGATCTGACGAACCTTGTGCTTTACATTCTCCAGCGTGTCAGGTGTGTCCACGGCGAATCCGATCAGAATGACATGAGCCTTCGAGTAAGCCAAAGGGCGCAATCTTTCATAATCTTCTTGTCCTGCTGTATCCCAAAGAGCCAATTGTACGGAGCGACCATCGACTCGACAATCCGTCACGTAGTTTTCGAAAACGGTCGGGACCTAGGCAGCAGGTTAGAGTTGCGTTGGTGGGTTTCAGATCGGCGTATAAACTAACATAATGCTATGGTGTAAAGAAGTGTCAGTAAAGAATCTCTCTATCACGCGAAATGTTGACTTGCTGACGAAGACTTACAGTTGGGAAGTAGCCAAGTGTGAAAACACTGAGTAAACTGGTTTTCCCGCACGCGCCATCTCCGATAATCACAAGCTTTCTGGATGTGTCAGTTGAGGTTAGCATCCTGGCATGGGCAGTCGAGAAATTCAATTGCAGAGTATGCAAGAGTCGTCCTAGTCCTCCGCGGGAATGGAATTGCCACTCTGCGGAGACGCTATGGGGGCCTCGTGCGATCTAGGCCGGAGGGGGTATGACAAAGTGCAAATGAAGGAACTGGCCGCGCGTACCTCCGCATAACATTATCACCCTGTTGTTGCGCCATATTTCAATGGATCGAGTGGGGTAGGAAGTTCTCCCAAGCGCTTCTTGACAAGGTGGGAGAAGAGAGAATGATGACTCGATCACAGGTTCGTAGTCGAGTCAGGCCCACGAAGGCGCAACACAAGAAGCAGGCAGGGGTAAGGGGAGGTCAGCCCTGCGCGTACACAGTTTTCACGCCCAATCGTAAGGTGCAAGTGTGGTTGGCCTAAAGAAAAACAGTGAGGACGGTCGCGCCGGGGCTAAAGCGTCGGAGAGAGGTGGGATACAGTTGACGAATTGGATAACCGGATACGAGAGGCTTTGTAAAGATCTGATCCACCGAAGAAATTAATACAGTAAGGAAAAAAGAAAAAAAAGTAATGAGAGATATTGAAATTGAGTAAGCGAAAGAGAGTTGCTTTTGATTTTACGATAAGATGAAGGGGGGGAAGAGGGAATGCGGTTAGTGTAGGAAACAATCCGGAGATTTAAGGCACACCGGGAGGAGTGTTAGAAGGGACGCAATTTCTAGTAAAATGAATAATATAGGTACGTGCTTCATAGTACTATTTCTGATTCTCGGTTACTCCGTGAAATACCCTTTCGGTAAGAACAGTGTCATTTAAGAAAGTTATTTTTATCATTTAGCGCATATGTCTCACTACAGGTGGAGAGTACTAAACAGGCTAAACAATACGTAAGGGAGACAACTGGTAAATATATTCACCGCCTGCTTATGACATATATAGATTCAGCATTATTATACAGGCGGTAGGTATTGCAGTCAGGTGACTTCATGGTAAGGCACCACATCATGAGAAATTGAAACTTGCATATCTCCACGCCTCAAGATACAAGTCTAAAGATTAGATCATGTATATGTAAATTCTAAGCGCAATTCCATGAAACCTATATAAACCTGAGTGTGAGTACAGTTCAATGCCTGAATAGTCAGGCACCAGCTCGCTTGCGGCGGCTAAGTATCCTGTTGCGGCGGCACGACAACCAGCCAGAACGCAGTAAAGGCCATCGCTCATTCATCATCATCGGCCAGAAGATCTCGCTCCTCGTTGTGACCCATGCTCTCAGGGCTCTGCTTGCTTGGTGGCCCTGGTTCAGACTTAGCTACACTTGCCTCTCCGCGAGTCCTCCAGCCTCCCGCGGGCCCGCTTCCGACTCAGCACGTCCTGCGCCGGCGGGTTCACTGTCTTTCCACCCCTCCCACCCCATCCTGATCCTCCGCCAACCCCTCTTACTTCCTACCACCCTCGACTCCCCGAAGTGCCTTTACAAAGGGATTGCATTCATACCTTCGCCAAGACCCTAAGGGGTTTGGATCTTTTGGTGAGTCCCTGTAGGGATTGAGTTCGGAGCTTTGTTGGTTCTTTCGCCCTACCGGTCTCCGCTTTTTGCCCTGGCCGTTTTACTCAAACCCCCACCACCTTTGTTGATGATACAGGGGTGCTAATCTTGCGCTAAAACGGAACAGAACCTTGCTGAGGACTATCGCTCCCAGCTTCATCTACATCCACAACCACCATGGCGACCCACGTATCGGCCAACCCGACACCCACCAACGGTGATGCGCGGGGACCCTTGAGCCACACCACTGCTGAAAGCATGCCCGCACCGGCGCCCGTGAATCGCAAGAAGCAGAAACGTCGACAGAAACAGGCCGCCCGCCTCGTGGATCCACATGATGTCCATGCCTCTGCGGAACAGGACTCTACCGCCGATGACCGACATTCCAATGATCATGAAGTCGACAGTACAGATTTTAATCATGCTGGATCGGATGATGTGTACCACAATGGAGTACATTACGACCTGAGCGGACATCCGATATCGAATGATTATGACGACGCAACGAGCTCGAAAACAAAGAAGAAAAAGAATAAGAAAGGCCGTTCTGACTCACGCACTCTCGCCGATGGTAGCTCGACTCCTCTTTCCTCACCCTCCGCTACCTTCTCCCACCCTATGCCTCCACACTCGCTGCCATATTCTCGCTTCCCTGCCAAGTCCGCCAAGGAAAGCAGTATTTGGAATCAATCGTCTTTGGAGGAGCGCGAGAATATTCGGACCTTCTGGTTTGAGTTAGGCGAAGAGGAACGGCGTCAGCTTGTGAAAGTAGAAAAGGACGCCGTTTTAAAGAAGATGAAAGAGCAGCAGAAGCATTCTTGTAGCTGCACTGTCTGTGGTCGAAAGCGAACCGCAATCGAGGAAGAACTTGAGGTCTTGTATGATGCCTATTACGAGGAGCTTGAACAATACGCAAATAACAATCAAGGGTCCTTTGACGAAGGCGCGCCGATCATCCCTCCACCTCGATTATACCAACCACCACTTCGATCTCCTGGTCAGCATACACGCACGCACGGTCAATACCATCCATCAAGGGGCAGAGTTCAAGAATTGCCCGAAGATGAAGAAGAGGAAGAAGAATTAGAAGACGATTATGATGACGAGGAGGAGGATGACGACGACGAAGATGACGACGAGCTGTACAGCGATGACGAGTTCGAGGACGATGAAGCTCGCGCTGCTCGGGCGGACTTTTTCGCTTTTGGTAATAGTCTGACGGTGAAAGGTGCGTTGATACACAGGTTCGATCTTATCCAAAGTTTGGTTGTTTTCTGACTGTTTCTGGTTAGATGGTATCCTTACTGTGGCAGATGATCTTCTCAAAAACGATGGCAAACACTTCATTGACATGATGGAGCAACTAGCCGAGCGTCGAATGCAACGAGAAGAAGACACACAGTACAACATAGCTGCTGCTCACCAGTCATTTCATGCGGGTCACAATCACGGACCCCTTGACGATGAAGACTATGACGACGAAGAGGATGAAGATTATGACAGCCAGGAGGAGGAAGAGTTCGATGAGGATGAAATGGTATGTTTGGGAATTGTCATTCCTTCATACCGATTGTACTGACAGGCATGGAAGGATGCTATGACGGAAGAACAGCGCATGCAAGAAGGCCGACGGATGTTCCAGATATTTGCCGCTCGGATGTTCGAACAACGTGTGATGACCGCATATCGAGAGAAAGTTGCAGAACAACGTCAGAAGCAGCTCATAGAGGAGCTATTAGAAGAGGAGAATCGAAACGAGCAGCGCAATGCTAAGAAAGCACGAGAAGCCCTAAAGAAGAAGGATAAGAAGCGCCAACAGAAGCAGGCTAAAGAGGAAGAGAAAGCTCGTCGTGAAGCTGAGAAAGCGGCTGAAGAGGCCGCGGTCAAGGCTGCCCAACAGAAAAAGCTTGAGGAACAACGATTGAAGCGTGAGGAACAGCGCTTGAAGCGTGAGGCTGAACGTAAAGCTCATGAAGAGGAGCGCGCACGCAAGGAAGCAGAGAAACAACGGCGCATCAAGGAGGAGAGGGAACGACAAGCCGAAGCAGAACGCAAACAACGAGAGCAGAAGGAAGAGAAGAAGAGGCGCGAGGAAGAAAAACGCAAAGAGAAGGAAGAGCGCGAAGCTTACGAGAAGAAGTTGAAAGAGGAGCAGATCAAGAAGGATCGTGAGATGGCAGCCAAGGTAGAGCAGGAGGCTAGGGAACGATCTGGGAAACGAGATATCCAAGGAAGAGCCGCACCTCATCCTGGCACCATTCCTATGCCTCCGAACTTTTCGTCGCACGCTGTTCCTGGCTCCGTCCAATCCCCTCACTACAACATGGCGTCTCCAGCCGCTCCTAAAGTTTCGACCCCCGCAAGGCCACGACAGCCGTCCCAGCAGGGTTCTCACACTTCTTCTCCTCATTCTCAGCCGTCTTTGTCGGAGATCTTCCCACAACCTTCTATCTCTCCTCGTTCTATGGCACAGTCTCACTCCGGAGCTATCGGTAGTCGATCGGGCCACCACCAGCAACCTCCATTACACCATCCTCAGCCTTCTGCTCCTTTATCACCCCTGGGTAGATCGCACCCTCCTGGCTTCCAGGCCTTTGGTGGGCTATCTTCAAACCCACCAGGCCTGCCAGGTATGGGCGGTCGGCCACTTGGGGCTCCTGACTTCCACATGTACTCTCCCGGTTCAGCAATGATAAACCCTCTCCGCGCTTTCGCTGGGCCCGGTGGAATCTCTGCGCCCCCTGGGATTAATGGAGTACGTCCAATGCCTTCTGCCAGAGGATTCCCAGCAGATCCTGGACACGGTCTTCCTTTCTCTGGACACCATGGAATGCCTGGTGCATTTCCTATGCAACAACCGGGGTTAACAAAGACTCACTCAAGACAGCAGTCGGGATCATTTGAACGATCTCCGCTAGAGAGTGGCCAGCCGTTCTCGTTTGCGCGACCTAGTCCTATCAAGCGACCGTCGAGTGGCGCACAGGATCAACAAGAAGGCGGCCATACCACGTCACGCCGAGAAGTAGATGCTTTGAGCAATCAACTTGGTAGCAGCGCACTACTTGATGATACCGATCCTCATTACTATGCATCCAACTTATCTCAGTCGTTGCCCGGAGCCACCCTGGCAGGGCAGTTCCCTGTCCCATCGAGAGCTAGCTTCCAAGGGGCATCATTCTTCGCTGATCCTCTAGGGTCGAAAGCCACCAATTTTGGTAATGGCTCCACTGGATGGGGTGGGCCGTTTGGAAGTTCTGCTTTCCCCGCTCCGTCTACCTGGGGAACAGCAACTGGTAAGCCTTTCTTTGCATTCCTTGTATGTAAGAATTCCCCTAACAATTGGATAGCGAGCGGCTGGCCGCAACCGCAGCCACATAACTTCTTTGCTGCTGGTGGTCATCATCGTGGACATACCCCTCGACCTGTTACCATTCGTCTCTTGGTGATCCAGGCCTGCAAGCACTTAAACACACTAAGCCCGCAGCCTGGCTCTGGAGGCTACCACGACGTGAATAAGGTGCTTAGCCAGGTAGAGAAGCTGCGCCCTTCCAACGAGCCTGCTATCAAGTTGGATGAGATGCTGGACATCTGCGACACTGAAGGTAACCCCCAGAACGGCGGCGGATCATTCTCCATTAAGGAAGATGCGAACACCCGCTACGTCAAGTTCGAGCCAGATACCAACAGCTCCGTACCCGGTCACCGTGGCAGTATTGTTCCGGGTGATATTGGTAGCCCAGTCCCTGGTAATAGCCACCCTGCTGGCTTTGGGGGATTGAACACTGTGCTTCGGCAATACTCCTCGCCTACCGCAGGATTATTTGGTGGGACTTCTTAATTCCCTTATGATTATGACCCATTCGATTGCTTAAGACCGACTGAGCTCTTCTATTGGAAATGCAAGGCCTCATTCCTTTATCTTCCAGGGACTAGTCTCCTTACGCGCTCTTATGGGAATGACTCCTGAAATGCCCCTCATCTCTCTGTTTCATTTCTTCTTTGATTTTCCTTTTTTTTTTGTCTTGAATTGAAGCGTCACGGGTTCACGTCTCACACATCCACATGTCCTAAGTGTCTGGTTTCTGCTGATCGGTTTTCTCTTTATCTTTGCGGTCAAGTCTATTGGACTTGGATCTGAGGCATCAGGGTTTATTTTGTGTACGGTATGAGTTTTCTTTTTCGTTTTTCTGCATTATGCAGCGATATCCAAGGAGCTTGGGATAATCTCCCTCTCCGCATCATCCTCAACAATTGCATGATTGAAGGTTTCTTCGTCCGTCTGTTTCTGGCTAGTCTTCCAGACGGCTGATACTGTAGTCTGTACGAAGTATTTCCCGCCGTATTTCTAAATGTCCGGACATGCAATGGAAGGTGCATAGTAGTTCAATAAATTCACAACATTGAATATCAGACTTTGTATTCCGCTTAGTGACGACTCCTGACCTCAGGGGCTTCTCTGTCAAACACTAGCAGCGCAGATACATATGGAGCATGAAAGTTTGAACTCCATTCTTTGTGTCATGCCCTAATCAGGCATGTTTATATTTCTACCATGCACCTCACCAGTGCTCCATCTGGTCCCTCATATCTGCATGCTTTTGCGCCTCTTAAGGATGGATACAGTACATTGCTTATCGTCCTGAACATTCAGTTGAAGTGAAATAAATAAGTTCAAAGGTAGGTATGGTATGGTGTGACAGTGGTACACTAGTATATACTCAAGAACGAGACGAGATAAGCATCATAGACAGGGGCTGGCTTCCAGAAAGCGAACAAAAGTAAGAAAGGAGACAAGGAAAAAGACAAGAAATGAGACCCAAAGAGACCTTGTAATCAGAGGCTTCAGGGACTATGCACTTATCGCATCTCGTACAAACAAAACGTATGCCTCCTTGAGAGGCCCAATATCTGCAAAGCTCAAAGAAAAGCTTTGACACAATCTCAGCCCACACCAAGGATCACATATAATTCATTCACTCTACTGCTTCTCTGTAACGACACCTTCATAGTCTCGAGTCCGGATGTACTCGAGCGTACGTTCGAAATGGCGCTTTGGACCATCGAGGTTCGGGTTAGGTTCATCCTCGGTGTTTGAAAGGTTTGAGTGAATGAGCTCAATAAGCCCATTGAGATACTTGGTGGTGACGGTCTCATTTTGCTGGTCAAAGTAGTAGACATAGCGATTGAGGATCTCCACGAAAAGCTCGACGGAGACTGCCGTGTCCATGCAAGCATCGGCAACACGAAGAGCACGCTGAAGACACTCCAGGACTCGTTTCCCGTCGCGGTAAAGCTATTCCTAAATTAATACGATATGTCAAGAAACGGGGTTGATGGATTCTTACATTTTTTGGATCTTCCTCACCACGCTGCGGGTTCTCCACCACCCACCAGAGGTGACTTGCAAGGTAGACTGCACGGCATTGATCTGGCTTCTTGAGAAGCTTGCTGCCGTGAAGTGCGGCCTTAGTAATCAATGTGTCGTAGTTCTCCTTGGAGAAGCCACGGGTACCATGCAGAGCACCAGAGATGATGCAGACTGCCTGGAACTGTGCACGTGAGTCGCTAATCGAGTCCTCGTAGATAGTAAATGCTTGCGCGAAGAACTCATAGCTGACTTCTTCGAATCCCGTTTGATCTGCGACCTCACCACACATCACAAACAGCCGTAGCGCCAAGTCAACGCAACCAGGATTCACCCGCTGATACAGGTTGTTTACACATTGGTGCAGGAAGCGGTAGAGAGCGGAAGATTGCGATTGCCAGTTGTCATCGTAGTGTTCGCGGGACTTCAGTTTACGAGCGAGGCGAATCGAAGCTGTCACAATGGCAGGGGTAGTGTATCGGATGCGCTCGTTTCCATCAGCAAAGGCCTTGCGCGTGGCTTGAAGGAGCTTTTTGTTGAGTTAGTTTTGAATCGTCAAGCTTAGACGGATTGGTTGCCATCCATACCTTGAGCTGAGTATCATTATCTGGGCCTTGAATCAAGTGCACCAATCTTGCAAGCCACCCTTGCTCCTCAACCGTCTCATCCGTCTCTCCTCCACGGCGCTGTGATTGCGCTCCTGGATACCCAGTAGACTGTTGAATGCCTTCCTTGATCAGAACTCTTGCAGCTTGTAACACCCGGTCGAGGTTTTCCGGGCTCGAAATGACAATCTTATTTTTGAGGAGACTCCGAATAATCTCGCCAGCAATGGATCTCCGAGTGGGATATGACTGCGAGGTCAGGAGCGGCAGGTAATGTGGCAATGCCAGAGCGGTAAAGATCGAGACATAAGAACGGATGGGGGCGTTAAGTAGGTGGAGAATGTGTTGTTGCGTGGGGGCTGAGTGTAGATCGGCGTGGTCAGTGTACTCAGCAGTCTTTTGAGCCGCGAAGTCCAAGACCTGATCGACATACTCCAACCGATCGGGGTAAATGTTCAATGCGAGATTGACAAGCGAGACCAGGAGAGCCATGGTATCCTGAATGGGCAATGCGCGGGTCTTTATCAAGTTGACAACCTGATCATAGAAGATGTCGTAGAGCTTGACCTCTGCAGGAAGACTAGGCTTCGCATCTTCCTCGCTGACGGTTTCCGACTCTTTCGCGGGCTCTTCAGTCTTGCTTGGCTCTTCGGTCCCGTTTTCTTGGGGTGCTTTCCCCTTGGCAACCTCGGACAATTCTTGCTTTTTCGTCTCCTTGTCAAGTTCGAGCTTCTCCAATAAACGAGTGACCGCTTGCTCCTCGCTCTGTTTCCGAGCCTCTGGCTCGGCCTCTGTCGATTCCGTCTCTCCTTCTTTCGCCGCGTATGTCGAAAGACGATCCATTAACCCAATGACAATTTTCTTAAGATCGACGTAGGGGTTGAGTCTGGCGATAGCGGACAAAAGGAGGTCAAGTGTATGGAGGTGGAATTCATCTGGGAAGACCTTGGTGATTACTGTCGCGCAAAAATTAGCAATTGAGCCGCGTAGATCATTTGAGGCAGAACTTTACCCTCTAGGAGATACTCCTGCGCTAGAACATCGCGACACTGCACCACCTGTTCCAGAAGTGCCTGCAGGATACCAGACTGATATGCTTCGAGATCCACCAGCTGGCTCAGACGAACAACGTTGCTACCCACTAGTAGCTCAAGCTCCCGCCTCTCTTGTATCCGCCGCTCTCGCTCTCGGGAGGGACCCTGGTGCTGAAGTCGCACCCAGAGCTTATTCATCTCCACGAAATTGGTCAAGACGAAGTTGATCGAGTCCTGCAGGTTTCCTTCCGGTCCATCACCGGTTCCAGAAGGCAGGTAGTCGCGCGCCTGGCCAGACAAATAGTATCGCAAGAACAAACCACGAATGGGATGTTGAATTCCACGGCTCATCTCCATCATATCCTTCATGATTTCCTTGACCGGCGCATCCTCCACCGACATGTATACGGTACCGACAGTGATCATCAGGTATAAGCGAGGAACAATATTGCCGGCATACTGTACAAGCTCGTAAAGGTCCGCCAAGTGGTTGACGGGATGGTTCTCCTTGAGGTAGACGGACAGGTGTCGCAGCGCATCGAAAACGGCCATGTACAATTCATAATATTGCTTCGGACCTAGGCTAGGAGTTCGTAATTCGGATACTAGAGTTGATCTGCAGAGCCCAAATTGGGGATTGATTAGCATTCAAATTCATTGCGCGGTAACCCGGCATGGTTGCCTGTTGAAGCGAGGACAGCTCACCCGCACTTGAGCGCATCCATGAGCTTCCCGGGGGTCTCCAAGCATTTGCGCATCATAGCCGACTGTTGCCTCACCACCCCCAATGCCTCCTCAAGGAGGCGGGTTTGGTCCTCCGGGATAGGCGGTGGGCTGGCCATAGCGGAGGGAGTGAGGGGGAGCTGAGGGATGAAAGCAGGCGGTAAACACCAGCGCGTTTAGAGCAATGATCAAGCTTGAGAGGGGCTCTTGACCATTAACAATTCATAAGAGAATTGAAGGATTTGGTGGTTGGGTGTGGGTTGTTTAGAGGAGAGGGAGGCAAGTTCAAGTTGGAGTCAGGAAGGATAAGCTAAACTAACACCATATGGGGTCGACGAACCACCCCGAAACGTCACTGAACACGATTTTCCATCTCCACTTAACATTCTACCGCTACGTAATATATGGAAAAGACAATTTCTCTTCTCAATTTTTCTTCATTTTTTTCTCATTTTATTTAATTTTCTGATGATTTTTTTTTGTGGTTCAAATCCCCCTCAAACGCCGCCTGTCGTTCAGTTGTTCAGTTGTTCAGTTGTTCGATCGAATCCTCAATTCAGTCGCAATTCAAATTTCCATATCATTAAAATCCTCTTCAATCCCCCGTTCAGCATCTTGTTCGAAATTTCGTTCATAATCCTCAGCTCTGGTAACCCCGGGCGCTAGGAAATGATTCTCCCCTCCAACAGGGGCACCGCATTCTGGGCACGAGGCTGTCTCCATAGCTCCCCCACACTCGCCGATGGTGAAGGGATGATTGTTGCGGCAGTAATACCAGTGACCCGTTCCTTCGAAGCCGCGGGCCATGACTGAGATAACTTCCATTCGCTCCTGGCTGGTGACTTCGGCGTAGAAAGAGCCCCCGTTCAGCATTTGTTGAGCGTTGTCGACTTCAATGCCCAATCCACGTGTCTGGCCCGAGTATTCCTGACAGAGTTTTTTTGCTGCATAAATGCAGAGGCGGCCATTCTGGAGATGATCGTTGCCTAGCTCTTCGGACACGTATCCACGCTCTAGGGCGTAAAGCTGAGCCTTGAAAATCCAGCCTTCGGTCTCGTGTACTGGTCGATGAGAGGCTTGAGCCTGTCGAACAAGAATGTCACAGTCATTTCTCAGAACTCGCAGGTCGATTTTGAGCGCTGCCTCCTTGTACTTGGTTAATCTTTCCAGGTCCAGGAAATCTGCCAGCAGGGCAATATCAAGACGAAGACTGAGAGCTGCTGCTTGCAAGACTCCCTTGGTTTGTAAGATTTCGTCTCCGAACGTGAAATCCCCTGAAGTCGTTTTGTGGCGCTGCGCGTTGACCACCATTTCACGAACCCGTTGAAAGGGTTGCTCTTCTGGGTTTACATCTCGAAGGTACTTCATGATCTGTTCTCGCAATTTAATCATGTTCTCCCATCTCTGAGGCTTTGCACTGTCCATTATCATTTTCATCACTTTGATCTGGCCACTACTCCGTCCACTGATCTCCACCTCTGGCAACCTGCCCAATTCTGGAATATGGGTACCCTGAAGTTTCTGAATTTCTTGAGCAAGCTTCTGCGCAAGAGGTATGAATTCTTGATTCAAGCGGAGAATAAGCTTTTTTGTTGATTCATCCAGAAGAGCTCGCCGAACAAGTCGGCCATATCTGGCAATGTTTCGCAAGGGACCACGGCAAATTCCACAGGTCTTGATGTCTTCCATTGAGAAAGGCTGCGACGAAGCGAGAATGGCTGTGGGTTTTCCATCCTTGTTGACTTGATAGTGCCGTTTCAGATCCATTTGCGCATCCATACTTTCCATAGTCAGGAAATGACCACATGTAGGGAAAATGCAAGGGTTTTCATCAAGATTGATGTCCTTGTATGTGGCTCCCTCAAGATAGTCCACATCCTGATTCTTGATATTGTATGTTGCACAAATCTGGCAGTAGGACGAAGTTGGACATTTCTCTCCACACACTGAAGGACAACGATGTCCACACTTGAGAATTTTCTCACACCGAAGGGAGCAAGGAACATGGTCACATGGGGCAGCACAGGGCATAGAGCATCGGCTGTGTGGGCATGCAGAGAGACAAATGTTTTGTGCGCAAGGAGCACAGGGTTCGAAACACTTCTTCGGGCATTTTGAGTGTCCGCAGGCGACTTCACATTTGGAATTGCATGGTGGACATTGTTCATTGCCGTGGCAGGTTGATAGACAACTGTGTGAGCACGTGGTTTGCTTTCGTCCACATACTTGCTGGCACTTCCCATGTTTGATTTTGAGGGTCTCGCTGTCAAACACTTTGGCACAGACTAAACATCTTCTGGTGCATAAGTGGCCACAAGGCAATTCACAGCGGCACGGAGCGCGGCATCGAAATTCCGAATCGTTGACATCCACATGGCATTCAACTGTCACTTTGTGATTGCAGCCAGGAACCGTCTTTTCTACTTGCTTTGGACAGAGGTATGTCGATTTGTTCTGGTCCTCCCAACACTCAAGTGTTGCAATGGTATGGCCGCATGAGAGCTTGAGGTCTTTTTGGATTATCACAACTTTGCACTCTTCTGGACAGCGATCTCCACATACATTGGGGCATTGATGGTCGCAACCCTTTCGGGACCGAGGGCAAGGCTCAAGGCACTTCACTGCGCTGTGCAGAACATCGGAGTGGCATTTCTGTATGCAGGGATGGCCACATGATAGGCGACTTGCACAAGGTAGATCACAGCCTCCTTCAGGAGACAGTCGCGCGAAGTCATCAGGTTTGGTGACCTTAATTATCGTGTCTGGATGCCGCGGGCACTGCAGCTCCAATGCCCCACCGATGTTGTTATTTCGTCGTAGGATGTCGATTACCTGAGCCCACATTTTGACGTGCCTCGAGGTCGTAGAGTTGCCAATGATGTACATTCCATGTTGAGCTCGGGACAAAAGGACATTGATCCGATTAGGAGTGCGCAAGAAACCACAGCTACTATTTTGGTTACTCCTGACGAGTGAAACCACCACCACTTTTGCCTCCTCGCCTTGGAAATTATCGACGGTAGAAACCCTCAAGACTTGTGATAGAGGTGCCTTCATGACCGACTTGTTCACTTGAGGATCATATTCGAAACCGGCGTTTTTGAGATCTTCCTGGTCATTTTCATTCAGTGCAAGGATAACAGAATCCTGAAGCTTCTGACGAAATCTGTGCAACTGGCCCAGATATGGTGTTATGACGGCTATGTTGCCTTCTTGGTATCCGCCTTGTCTAATGAGGTGGTTGACCAAGGCCATGGTCAAATCAACCTCAAAGTCATTCCAGTGAGACGTTGACAGGTCTTCAGCATTTGATAACCCACCTTCGGGAACCCGGTGATCAAACCAAAATAGCCTTCTCCTCATCCCAGTGACCTCGGGCCATTGCGAAACGACTGAGTGATCCTTGAGGTGCGGATACGAAGGACCACGGATTAGCTCAGCGATTGATGGGTGCATTCGCCGCTGCGTCTCCAACGCTTTGAATGGAAGCTCGCAGCCTAGAGCGGTATTTTTTGGATCCAGTAATCTTTCAAAGAGAGACACATCGAGGGAGTACTGTGCGCCATTGTTCCGGTTCTCTCTGGAAAGATCATAGTTTTGCACACGTGGAGGCAGTTGTTGATGGTCTCCGATGAGGATAACATGTTCCACTTCAGGTAAAAAGGCCGTCAGAAGATGAGGTTCAAGGACCTCACCGGCCTCCTCACACAAAACGACCTTGCACTGCAGGTTTTGGAGCATTTTCAGCCTCCTGGCAAGGCCCGCGGTCGTCATTCCAACGACGTCTGCTTGATGCAGACAACGGAGATGCAGCTCATCCTGAATTGCCGTATATCGGGATTTTGCAACGGAATGGGATGTAATGGCTTCGATAGCCCCCTTTTGGGCGTGTTCAAGAATCTCTTTAGTCCACAGGTTGTGGAGAATCCAGCGCTCCTGGTGAGATAAGTCGAACAGATTGGCCCCCAAAAGTTTTTCCATGGACTGGGGGTCATGCTTCAGTTGCAAGCCTGAATTAACCCACTTTCTGATGATAGAATTGGAATTTCCGGATACAACGGGTTGGAAATCACTTCCACCCTCCCCGAACAATTGCTTGTGGTGATGAGGGTAATACACACGGAGGAAACTCACCAAGTCCGCAGCAGGAACTTGTTTCCGAAGATTGATATTGTTGAATTTGACCTCAGACTTCTGCATGATCTGACGTTCCTGGAAGGAGGACCCCTTTTCCATCTTTGTTCGCTCCAAGTTTCTGGCAATAACGTTGAGGTTGAAGGCATCTAGCCTCTCCGACTTGGACTGTCCGCCAATTCGAATGACTTTCGATGTGATGCCTTGGTCCAACACGTCTTCCAAGAGTTGATCCAGAGCATGGTTTGTGAAAGTGACGCAAATGATCGGCCCCAGAGCGACAGATTTCTTGCTCTCTAGAAGAACCTTGATCAAGGCCGCACCGGTGTAGCTCTTACCCGTACCAGGGGGTCCTTGGATGAGACCAATATTGTGTTGCAGACAATGGACGAGAGCTTCAGCCTGAGCTTCGTCCAGGGTTGAATTCCCATGTAGTCCTTGCAGATCAACTTTTTTGTTTGGATAAACCAAGAAATCAGCTTGGTCTTTCATCAAAGATGCAAGATTAAAAGCGAATTCAGATTTGAGAGAATACAACGGAGGGGCCAGATGAATCGAACTAGGCATTCCAGGGGTTGAAGGCATAAGCAGATCTAGAAATGGCATGACCGGATTTTTCTTGATTGTCTGAAGGGCTTTGAGTGTCGGTTCAAAGGATGGCAGAAGGATTCCGGGGAATTCGACCAGAGATAAGGCCACCCCAGTTCGATCATAAAGGTCTAGGACGGTTTTTACGTTTGCCTCCCTGGGATCAACAAGTACCAATGTAATTGATGCAGTAGCTGCGCGTCTCCACAAATTTCCTCCGGGTTTCCTTTTCTCTTCTTTGGGCTCCACCCGAGGGCCTTTCTGTTCTGCAACTGTGCAGAACAAAATACTTGCCAGCTGGTGGATGGACAAGCATACAAGGGCACCCGGCTGTAGGCGTCGTGAGGCTACCCACCATTCCTCTCGTGCAATCGTAGTCTTGCCTGTCAAGATAGCGGGCTGAGGGATTCTGACTTCGAATTCGAGCCCAGTGAGCCAGTTAGCGTGACAGTTGGCAATTGCTGCATTTTTGTACTCGTGCTTGCGAAGCTGCATTTTTGGATGAATAGACTGGGCATCATCGAGCAAATGGTGAACAGCGTCACGAAGCTGCCCCACTGTGTCTTCTCTCAGAAGACGAAAGTTTCTATCGAGAAGACCGTCGATGCCCTCAAGATGCCATTCTGCTGAACTATTCACTGGTAGATACTCTGAGCGACCACTGGCGATCTCTTCAAAAGTGGGCATGATTGCGATATCACAGATGTCGCCGTGATCATTGCCATGTCGACCGCCAGGGCTTTCACGCAAAAAGACGAAGGCGTCGTCATTTCGTTCAGATCTGTTCTGAGCGGACGCTGTAGGGAGCGAGGCTCCAACCGCTAGACGACGTCGAAGGCGGGTCAAGTAATCCCGGCAATGGGCAAGTTGAGTAGGCCCATGATCTTTGACCATGGAATTGAAAACCCACTCAAATCTCTTTGCCAGCTGATGGAGACTTTCCTGAATAATAGCCGTCGAATTGAGATCCAAAATGCGAGAAAAGAAGAGCAGGGACACCTCTAATATCTGGATGCTTGTTTCTTTTGCAGTATTTTTCTCGAGAAGATTGCAGATCTTTCCGAGGACTCTGGCTGCTCTGGCTCCCTCAATACCGAACACGTAGCCATAGATAGTGCCCACGAATTGCTGTAGAATCATAGAGCCCAAAACAGTGGGATGCGTGATAATCTCCAGAAAGGGCATGATCTGCGAGTTGAAGACAAGATCATCATCGTAGAGTTCAAAGCTTTGTTCTAATAGAGACCGAATTACATGTAGACCATGTTCTTGCGAGAGTGTTCGTATCACATCCTGCTTTGACCCGGCGTCCATCTCGATGAGCTGACGGGCTTTCTTGAAGAACTTTTCAAGTTTTCCGTCATGGTCCGACGTGAAAGAGCTCTTCAAGACAAAACTGTTCTTCCACGCTTGAAGTTCTCCGTCTGATTCTGATAGAACGCTTGTTTGATTGGGACGGTTTTTTCGGTTTTGGGTATCTTGGATAGATGACTGGGCATTCCGCGTATGCTGGAATCTGCATACGGACTTGCTGCAGCGGCCTAGTCGGGCGAACTCATGACAAACGCTGCATTAGTTAGCGTAGTTCATTATTTGGATTTAGAGATACAAACCCGGTTGATGCCATGGTGCTATCCAGTAAAATACTTGCACTGTGCTGTGAAGGATACCGAAGAAGAAGAAGTGTGTAAAGAGGTTGGGTGGAAGGAAGAAAAGAACGGGATTGTAAAGAAGAGTAGGGAATATGAAGTGCTAGTGAGAGGGGTGAAGAAGAGAAAGAAAGAAGGAAGAGGAAAGGATGAGAGAGGATGTGTGAATGGCAGGTTAGTTTTATCTTCGTCGGCGTGGCGACGGCGAGGTCACGATAACGTTTACTTTTGAGTCATACGGCGGTATTAACGAGCATAGTGAAAGGGAGAGTGAAGGAATCATCACATATAATGTTTTCAATGACAGCCTGTTTCTGATAATTGAAACAGGATATCCCCAAACTGGACCTGTGTTCGCAATACATGAACATTATGTACACAAACTTATGAAAGCGGTAGCATGAACGAAAAGAAACCCTGAGAATAAATGAATAACCACGTAAATGCAGGTCGGTTGTAATCCCTTGGTCTGATCCAGCTTCTCAGGGAAAGGGAAATAAAGACAACAACCCGAGAGTAAAACAGGCATCACTTTCCCCTATATCGGTCGATCTGCAGGGGGGCGATGGTTTTTTTGAAAAGGAAAATTTTCGAGTTCAAGATCTTTCCAATCGCTTTTGATGAACCCGCCAAGTAAAAACGCCATGGATATCAACGATAAAAATAAGTGACAGTCAACAACATGGACCGTCATTCCATCTGGAGGCTAGCTTGCTTGCTGGCTGGCTATTGGCTTTAAAACCTCATTTGCGGACAGCGAAGTCGACATTGCGCTTGCGCATCAGATCCTTGCGCTCCTTCTCTTTGGCCTCGTCAAAGACAAGGAATTCGTGCAGACCACGACCGGAAGGAACCATGGGCAGCACAGGAACCTTGCGGTCAGTGATGACCTCCAGAAGAGCAGGGCCATCTTGCTCAATCAGCCACTTCAGCTTGGCCTCAACTTCGGCGGGGTCAGAGACACGGTCAGCGGCAACGCGCATAGCCTTGGCAAGGGGCACGAAATCGGGGTTCTGCTGGTGGGTGTGAGCGTAGCGGTCGTCGTAGAACAGATTTTGCCTATAACCATGGTTAGCAGTTGAAGCTGTGAATAATTGAATATAGAGTGATATACCATTGGGTAACCATGCCCTGCTCCTCGTTGTTCATGAGAAGAACCTTAACGTTGATTCCGAACTGCGCAGCAGTAGAAAGCTCAGTGAGAGTCATGTTGAAAGAAGCATCGCCATCAATGTCAATAACAAGGCAGTCAGGGCGGGCAACCTTGGCACCGATGGCAGCAGGAAGGCCGAAGCCCATGGTACCAAGACCACCGGAAGTGATCATGGTACGGGGGTAGCGCCAGCGGAAGTGCTGGGCAGTCCACATCTGGTGTTGACCCACACCGGTAGTAATGATGGTCTTCTCCTTCATGTGCGCGGTAAGGTCACTGAGCTTCTCAATGACGGACTGGGGCTTGATAGGACCATCCACCTCCTGACGCTCATAAAGCGAGAGAGGGAAACGGGCCTTCCAGTCATTAATCTGCTCAAACCACTCAGGACGCTCAGTCACGGGCTTGACGTGGGGCAGGAGCAGACGGAGGTTGTCAGCACAATCACCCTCAACAGCCTCGGTAGCCTGAACAACCTTGTTGATGTTCTTGGGCATGATCTCAAAGTGCACAATACCACCACGGCCCTCAGCGGCAGCCAACTTCGCCTGCGGGGCAAACTTGGGAATGCTCAGGGTCACACGGTCATCGAAACGGGCACCAACAGCAATGATCAGATCGGCCTCCTGCATAGCCATGTTGGCGTAAGCCGAGCCGTGCATGCCGAGCATGTGGAGAGCCTTGGGGTCCAACTCGTCGAATCCACCGAGACCCTGGAGGGTGGTGGTGACAGGAATGGAACACTTGTCGGCAAACTCCTTCAGGATTTCAGGGCCGTCAGGACGAGCAAGCAAACCCTGACCAACGTAGAGAATAGGCTTCTCAGCCATATTGACAAGGCGAGCAACGCGGCTGATGGTGGTATCAAGAGAGCGCTGGCTCATCTCACGAGCAGCCATGGTGGCTGCACTGGGGAGAGATGGGATAGTGCTCTGCATGGGGATGGGGTTGCGGAGGATGCCAGCGGTGACATCTTTAGGCAAGTCAACCAGGACGGGTCCAGGGCGACCGCTGGTGGCAATCTCGAATGCCTCCTGGATACGGCGAGGAAGCTCACCCACGGACTTGACCATCACGTTCCACTTGGTGCAGGCACGCGAGATACCCACAACGTCAGCCTCTTGGAAGGCGTCGGTACCGATGGCGCTGGTCACGACCTGACCAGTAAACACGACCATGGGGATACCATCAGACATGGCATCCTGCATAGGAGTAATGACATTGGTGGCTCCAGGACCAGAGGTAACCAGAACGACACCGGGCTTGCCGGAGGCACGGGCGTAACCCTCGGCCATGTGGCCAGCACCTTGTTCATGCTTGGGGAGGATGAAATCGAAGTTTTTAGAGTTGTAAATGGCATCGAATACAGGGAGAATGGCACCACCAGGGTAACCGACTATATTTTGTGAGTTAGTAGATAGAACGGATTGAGCTAATATATGAGTGATTTGTTACTCACAGATGTGCTTCACATCGAGACGCATCATCATCTCATGGAAGATCTCACCACCGCTCATTCCGACCATACTAATTCATTGTCAGTCTTACGGAATTGGCCCCAATTGACACTCGGGGTAGAATTAGTCAATTTGACATACGAGTCATCGAGCTCAGGGAGCTGGCGGTTCTGAAGAGGCGAAACCTCATTGCGATGGGGTTCCTGGTTGAAGGCCGGGCTAGGCACGGGGCGAGGAGTCCTGGTAATACTGTTAATGCTCTTGATTCCTTTTTTTTTTCTTATGTTGCTTTCGGCAACACTCACGTAGTGGCCGTTGCTGTACTCTGAGCACGCTTCTGGGGAGAAGAGCGGTGGGGCGAAGCAGCCGAAGCCACGAAGGAAGTTGAGAATGGCCGGCGTCCAGAGGCGAGTTGCCTCTGAATATGGGTAGACCGCAAAGCGGTCTTTGATGATCTGAAAGGCAGCATCTTAGACAGCCCAGCAAACAAGAAGAATGTGAGTCAAGAAGAGGTGCTCATGAATCCTTGGGGAAACGAAAAAAGCACCCGACCGCGCTGACTCAATTTCGGAGCCTGTGATTGGCCCTGATCCCCATCTCTCCTTTCCACACTCTCCGACCTCGGCGTAAATCGGCGCATCACATGATCTAGCCGCTTGCGTTGTATGCACAAAATGACTAGCTACATATATCATGTGATGGGTATACAAATAACTCTGACCGGCTGCCCAAGTAGGAAATCATTCATATCCACGGAACTTGGGATGAAGGTATGATTCAAAAAGTTTGCTGATAACCATTTGAACTATATATCACTCGAGTAAATCAGTGTTTTGATATGCACCTTGGAGACCTCATAGAATTGGAATAAATGTTGGAACATTGAATTGATCGCTGGAGCATGAGACCTCCACAATAAGCCGATCCCTTAGTAATACCCGACGGATATGATTCCTTTGCCCTAGTGCTGGGATACCGAAAATTGAACAGCCCTAAACGGAAAGCCGGGCGATCATCCAGACAATTCGGGCCGGAAATCTGTTCGAGGGATGGTATTCATTATGTACTTCCACATATGTGCATATGGCACTGTAATTGCAGGCTACTTCTGAGGTCCTATTTCTTCTTTCAGTCCATTACTTATGAGCATTTTGGAGCCCCAACCCCTTTAGATATAACTTCAGTTATTCAATCAATACGGTAGGAGATGTGTATGGTGGGAGACCACCAGTACATAAGTAACATTTATACAAGTACTGGAGGCTATCCGCCGCGCTTTTTGCGCAGCGCCTACTTAGGTGTTAGATAAAACCTACTGTATCTCCTACTCAGTCTCCTACTTAGTTTTCTACTCCGTATCGTATTCAGTATTCTACCTTCTTTCGTACCGTATTAGTCAAAGGGTCAAAGGGCTCTCCAAATTCATAAATAGCGGAATGGAAAAGAAAGAAAGAAGAATAGAAGAGAAGAAAAGTAAAGTGGAAGGAGAAGGGGAACAAGGAAAGGTCTGGTGGAGGTTTCGAACGTATGTCCAAAAAGTCTGCGGAGTACCCGTATTACAGAGGGGTAGACTTTCAAACTCAAGAGTCTCAAGAGATTGTCCTGAAACCTTTGTATCTACCCATTCTTCCCTCAGAATCGACTTTGGTGACTTTCGGAACAATTAATGGAGGCGTAGGACTTGAGGAATATCACTGAAGACTTCGCGAATCAATATTGGAAACCACGAAACCAAAGAATTCTCGTTCCTGAGAAGTTGAATTCAAAACCAATCAGAGAGAACAAAGGAGATTGTGCGGGTCAGGGTCAATGCAACCCCCCGCAACAATTACACTGGAGAGGGACACCGGAAATGACAAAGTGGACACATTTGACTGATTCCCCCACCTAATACTCTTCAATTTAGCCGGGGTTGGAAAGAGCGTCATCAATCTCGCTTGCCGGTTTTTTCTCCTAATTTACTCCGTACTGAGGAGCTCATTTAATTAATTCGCCTTATTCCCCTGCTTTCCACTTTTCTTCTCTACCTGCTTCGACATAATTTCTTTTCTAACTTTACCCCGCCATGTCACCCCCACAGGAGCTTGTCCCACAAACAGATTCTATCGCGGAGGTCTATGCCACCGACGATGCTTCCGTGAATTCAGTTGCTGCCGAACACCAGCAGCGATTTTCAGGACTGGTTTCTCAGTTCAATAAGCAATACAACCACCGACCAGACTTTGTCGCCCGCAGTCCCGGCCGTGTCAACATTATCGGCGAGCACATCGACTACTCCCTTTACGATGTTCTCCCCACTGCCGTCAGCGTTGACGTGATTATGGCTGTCAAGGTCATCCCAAGCACCTCTGGTACCACTATTAAGATCGCCAATGTCTCGCCAGACAAGTTCCCCACCCGCGAGTTCAGCGTACCGCATGATACCGACATTGAGATTGACCCCAAGAAGCACGAATGGATTAACTACTTCAAGGCTGGTCTGTCGGGTGCCCTGAAGTTTTTGCGCAAGGAGAGACCCGATGGCGCGGCTCCGGTCAGCATGGAGATTTTGGTCGACGGCAATGTGCCCCCCGGTGGTGGGATCTCGAGTAGCGCTGCGTTTGTTTGTGCCAGTGCTCTGGCTGTCATGAAAGCCAACAACCACAATGTGTCGAAGCAGGACCTGTTGGATCTGGCTGTTGTTTCTGAGCGCGCAGTCGGTGTATACTCTGGTGGGTAAGTTACAACAAGCATTTCATCTGCATTATTGTAAAAGTATACCAAAGAAGAACATCTCCTTTACTAACGATCAATGCCTTTGAATAAACAGCATGGATCAGGCCGCATCCATCTTCTCAAAGCGCGGTTTCCTACTTTACACCCAGTTCTACCCTGCCTTCCAGGTCGAGCACGTCCCCATCCCTACTGCAGCCGATGAGATCACCTTCCTCATGGCCCAGAGCTTTGTTACGTCGAACAAGGCTGACACCGCACCCCGCCACTACAACCTGCGCGTGGCTGAATGCACCCTCTCCGCCGTGATCTTGGCCAAGAGCTTTGGCCTCACTCTGCCGAAGGATAGCAGCTCCTTGGGCTACAGCCTGCGCAACTTCCAGAACCAGCTGATGACCAAGGAAGGCCGTCTGGGTGACCCACTGGAGTACCAGATTGACTCCGTTATCCAAGCGGTGCAGGATCTCTTTACCAAGGAAGAGGGTTACACACGCGAGGAAATGGCCCAGCTTCTGGAAATCACCGTTCCGGAGCTTGAGTCAAAGTTCTTGTCTGCATTCCCTGTACAAGCGGAGCGGTTCCGTCTCCGCCAGCGGGCGCTACACTGCTTCAAAGAAGCGCGTCGTGTATTGGATTTCAAAGCTTGCTTGGCGAATGCTTCACAGTTGGATGAGAAGCGCATCCACTACTTGGGTCAGCTGCTGAATGAGTCTCAAAACTCGTGCCGTGTCGACTACGAGTGCAGTGCACCTGAGGTGGATGAGATCTGTGCTATTGCGCGGAAAGCAGGTACCTGGGGTAGCCGATTGACTGGTGCTGGATGGGGTGGTTGTACTGTTCACATGTTGCCTCAGGGCAAAGTCGAGGCTGTAACGACGGCCTTGCGAAATGAGTACTACTTGAAGCATTTCCCTGATATCAGTGCAGAGAAGCTGGCGCAGGCCATGGTTATCAGCAAGCCGTCAAACGGCTCTTTCGTGTATGTTGCGCCCCATTTGAATGTCCAAAGGGATCTTCCGTTACTAATCTTGACTACAGGGTTACTGGAGCTGCCATTGATCAGGTTCCTCTGTGAAAATACTGGTATCATTGACTGTTCAAGAATTCATCCAATATTGTGAATAGTATAATATGTCTCTTCAAAGGTTGAAAGGTCAAAGGTCTAGCCTTTAAATATAGTACATGTCAAGGTAAGCAGTCGCATTTTTGGGGATCAGACTTGAAGAAAACCCAGGCAAGGAGAGACAGCTCTTATGCAGTGGCCAAGGATCTGAGATCGATGCACTAAACCACTTCCTCTAAACAGACCTTCTGGAAATCGCAAACCGCATTTATTTTCAAATGAAATCGATCTCACCCGCGATTAGACCGATAGGTTGGAGCGTGTCCATGTAGACTGGCCGGATTGAGGCACGGCCGTCTGAAAGCCCTCGGCAGTGTGGATGGCCTTTGCAAAAGCCGACTGTGCATTCCTGATTTGTTTACGCGTCGTTGCATGGAATCGTCCCACAACTCGCGAAAGCGAGGCTCATACCTTCTTCTTTGCGGCAGCCTTACCGAAGAAATCACTCATTTTCTTCATGCCAGTAGTATTCACCTTTTTTAGATCGCGAACACCCCTAGACTCCGAAGCCTTGGCCTTCTTGTCCTCTTCCTCCTTCTTACGCTTCTTCTCGGCGCGAGCCTCGACTTCTTCATCATCGAGACCACGCTTCCGGCTGAAATCAGACATCGTTCGGGACGAGAAAGCCTCCGCACGGAGAGCAACAAGCTCCTTTAGACGTTCTGTCAGAGGTTTTAAATCCAATGGGCTTTCGGGAGCAGCAAGAAGCTCATCGATGCGAGTGGACAATGCTTTTGGTAGGTAGGATTCTTTCATGAATGCCAGGGCAGTGGAGATGCGCAGTAAGTGAGCGACGCTCTCTCCAACGGATTCACCTCCACCATCAGGTTGGGGTACAGGTGTCGACTCCCCCACTGGAGTAGAAATGGACGGGGTGGTAGTTGTGCCCATTGTTGATGGAGAGTCCTGTCTCTCATCTGAGTTGTTACTTGTCTCGCCGTCATTCTCTTTAGCATTCAATGTTTGATTGGTGAGAATATCATCTCTCTTGACCGACATCAGCGGAGCAACCAATGCTTGGCGAATGAAACGCTCCTCTAAGCTTGCAGGCAGGCCTTGTGTTGCCATTCTCTCAGCCTTGGCAATCAATTGCTTGAGAAGTTTTGTTTCATTGAACCGGAACATCTTCTCGTCACCAGCTTCCACGGTATCACAAATAGCTTCTGATCGCGCGAGTAGGGTATTTCGGAAAGCGTCGTCGTAGAGAACATGGCGCAAGTGGGGAGCGAGGTCATCATTGGAGTCAATGATATCGTCCAGAGGCTGGTACAGTGATTGACCTGGTTTCGAGGTAGGGGATAGAAGAGGAATCAAGAAGAAGATTGGGTCAATGGGAGTTGCGACGAGAAGGTCTGCTTTCTTCGAAATTGATCCAGTTGGAGGAGGGGGCTTCTCATCACCAGACGCGGGACTTGGCTCTTGCGCACAAGGAGTGAACAGGATGCTGCGAGCCTGATGAGAAGGTGAGGCGACCACTGTGAATTCGAAAAGACCACGCTGAGGGCAGAAGTAATAGCGGTTTAATTCGCCAGATTGGGGGTTCGGAAGAGAGACCAGGCGCGCATCGGCGCTGGTAGACGCGGGCAGGATGAATGTTTTGGCAGGTTTTTCAGCGGGTATTAACGCCTTTTGCTCTGAAGACTTTGTCTGCTCGGCTGGAGCCGTAGAGCGAGTTCGAGGCATTGTGTCAAGATTGCAGCGCAATGGGTTGGAGCGGAAGGAACAAAAGGCAAGAGGGACAGGAAAAGCGCGACACGCGCCGGAACGCGCCCAAATCATGTGTCAGTCATGCATGTGTGATCCATCACTTCCACTACCTCCATCCCTAGCAATTTTCGTCAAAGTTCCACAAAACCATTGCAATACCCTTTTCTGTCATTTTGAATTTCATGCCCAGTCTCAACAACTATTGCTGTCAGACAGAAGGACATTGTGCGTTCGGCCGCGGCGAAAACGGCTGGTGCTGCGGGGAATGACGCTTATTGTTTACGGCCGTTGTTAATTCATTCTCTCTTTTTTCCGGCATAAAAGTGAGTCTATTAGCCTATGGGATCGAGTCTGCGACCTAAAAATGCTTTTCTTCGCAGTGGTTGAGAATGGTTGGCCTCCCAAGTCACCCCGGGACGCTATGCTAAGCTCCCCGGGGGGGCGAAGGAAGTACCAGGACATGCAACGACGACAACTTCTCTCCTCACCCTTGAAACGTTCCAATACAACCCCGAATTTCAGATCAAAAGCGAGACAAGTCTTAGATGAAGGCGAAGACGATGGGGAAGAGGACGAAGAGACGCTGGAACTGAGACTCGCCGAGATCCAGGCCCGCCTTAAGCTGAAACAACTCCAAAGGTCCCGTGGTCGGTCCGGCACTGCCACGTCCCACACGGAAGACGAAGAAGATAGCTTTGGCGCGGCTCCGCGCTCTCAACGTCGAATTACGGCTCCAAGAAGCCCCCCGCCCAGCCAGCGTAAGGCCCGTATCGACCAGGTTCAGGTTCCAGTATCACCTACAAGACGGGCGGCGCCAGCCCCCGAGCCTTGGTCCCCTCGAAGGTATCAATTGGGCATTGATAAAGGATGGAAAGCGAGTGATGTATCATTGAAACGACCCCCAGCCCCAAGACTGGAGGCTCGGCCTGCCAGTCAACTTGGAACGCGTAGCGGTGCAATGTCTCGCGCAAATGACATGTATCCACCACGGCCTCAAACTTCTCCAGGTGGGGCAGGGCTGAATCGAATCAAGAGCTTTAGTGAGCGGATGGCTGAGGGCCGAGCAGCTGAACGCGCTGAGCAATCTCGGCTTGAAAAAGTGGAGAGAGTACAAGCAAACCGCAGCTCAGCATTCCAGGTGGACAAGGCAGAAATCGAGACTTTGAGAGCTGCAGTTGCGGATGAACCGCAATCGACCCTTCCATCGTCTATAAGCCGAGAGCCTGAAACATACGCATTCAACCGAGAGGAGATTCTTCGATCACTTAACCGCCCACAGGCCGGTGTGCTGAAGCGCAGTCAAACGACCCCAAACATGCGGGGCACATCAGAGGAAGTTGGCTCAGCACAAAGTGCCCCTGACGCATCGAAATTCGAATCTTATTCATCTTTGCATCTGTCAAGCCGAATATTGCCTCATTCATTTCTAAGCCGCACGATGACTGATAAAACCGTTCTGCGCATACCCGATCTTCTTAAGACTATCAAAGCTCCTGCATTTGAACTACCAGATGAAATCGATGGAGATTTTGTGGTGTTTGGAATTGTTGCATCCAAGTCTGAACCGAGACAGAAGAAGGCATCAGAGCAAACCACAGCAAAATCAGCTGACCTTTACGACGATGGCCTCCAAAACACCAACAGCTATATGGCCATCACTTTGACTGACCTGAAGTGGACAGTTAATTTACTTCTATTCGATACTGCATTCCCCCGCTACTACAAGATCACGGAAGGAACTCTCGTTGCAATCCTGAATCCCACAATCTTACCTCCTCCAAAACACCAGCAAGATACAAACCGATTCAGCCTTTGTCTCTCCTCATCGGATGATAAGATCCTGGAGATTGGAAAAGCACGGGATATTGGCTACTGCAAATCCGTGAAAAAAGATGGTAAAACTTGCCAATCTTGGGTAGACGGCAGGAAAACCGAGTTCTGTGATTTCCACGTTGATCTCCAGGTGCGGCGCACTCAAGGTCAGCGTTCTGGCGTCAACAGCGGGACAGGTCAATTTGGCCCTGGCGGTCGATCTGGATCGCGAACTGGGTTTTATGACGGAGAGCGGCGCAAACATAGTCGGCTAGGTGAACCTCGGAAAGAAGGGCTCAGGTCAGAAGGAGGTCAATATGATATAGCTACCGGGTCAACCTACTTCGTGGCACCGGCTCCAAGGAATCGCGGCGCTGTCCGTATGTCCTACGACCCGATGGCTGCCGGGTGTGGGACAGCAGCCCTACTTGATGCCAATGATGACCCTTTCATCGCGGCGGGCATGATGGGAAGGGGCAGGGAGAACAAAGAAGAGCAAATGCGCAGGCGTCTTGCAGCGCAGAAACGCGAGCGTGATATCACACAAAAGCTTATCTCTGGTCGAGTCGGCGGCGTGGGCGCAGAATATCTTCGCACACGCACCGAAACACCGACTACCACTGAAACCTCCTGTACGCCAAAAGCTGTTCCTTCGACCGGCAGTGATTTCAATGTCGCTAGTTTCGGTAGGGCGAAGAATGTCAAATTGGGTCCCATGAAGCGTGCCCATGATGGTGATAAGCCCCATGGCAGTGGTGTCAAAAAGACACGGTTCATCACCGCAAAGGGTATCCGAGAAGCCGGACGAGACAGCCTGGGTGGACCTGAGACAACAGGAGGTCAACAGCGGGCTTTATCAGACGACGATGATGACGACCTGGAGTTTGTTTGATTATGCATTAAATTGGAGGGTTGATCTACGTATCTTGTATGCTAGTGGTTACATGTACCATTTCTTGGTCTTTGGCGCAGATTTGTGAGCCATAACGCTATTATGAACAAAAAGGAGGCAAATCTCGAATACATTAGACATATTTCATTCCAATTTTAGTGACTTCTGGGCTGGCTCTGCGTATGTAGATATTTCGGCGTGAGACTTAGGTTGAAAACGTATTGCCATGATGCCTCGCCTAATGTGCATATGGGTTTCTGAGCGGGGCATGAGTGCCTAGTATGATATCGTAATCCAGTATCTGCAAGAAGAATATCCATTTTGGAAAGATTTCATTTCGTGAAATCTAATGCGGATAAGCCACATCGATAAGTACTTGAGAGGAGACCCAAGGACAATGATAAGTGATATTTGAGTCTGGAGACAAACGGAAGGGACAGGATTGCAAAAGAAAGAAAACCAAACAAGACCCATAAAGTAAAGACACTGAACTCCTGGACCCATTGCGAACAACAAGAAAAGCAAAAGAAAAAGCAACGCTAGGTTCCTTGGTATCTCCATTCCCCAGTTCCATTTCCACGCGCCACAGGTAAAAAGTGAAGCAAAATAAAATAGAGCGCAGTGCTTGTAGAAAACGCACAAGTCATGAAAGGTCAAGCAGGGAAATTAGATCATGAAAAAGAAGGCCAGAGAGGCCATGTGCAGCCACGGAGAAAGTGGATGTGCAGGTCAAGCAAGGAAAATGCTCAAAATATGTGCTTGATGACCATCAAAGATCCGGGGTAAGCGATCACAATGCAGGAAAGAAGACCAGACAGAAGAAAGGCGCCCAGGCAATGCATACGTGGTGAGGAAAACACCAGAGCTGGTTGAATGATCAAATGTCACGTTCAATGAAGTTTTTATGCACTTTGAGTGTTGCGAGTAGTAGCACGGGTTCTCTTAGGACCTGGGAGGCTTCCACCTTCATCCTCAGCCTCACGCTTCGTAGGAGTGACAGCGGGTTGTTCCTCGGTGCTCCTCTTCTTGCGCAGCCAGTTGTTGAAGGGAGTGCGCTTCTGGTTAGAAGCTGTCCCCTTCTTTGCAGTAGGAGATTCATCGTTATCGTGATCATAGCGAGCAGAAGAGCGCAGCTTGCGAATAGCTCTAGGGGAAGGAGGGAGCTCAGGTTGCGGGGAATTGATAGCATGGGCCTTAGAATCATCCATCAGATCCTCATGGTCTGTAGCTTCATCTTCGGCAATTGATTCATCAGCAGGCTCGGGTTCAGCCATTTTCCTAGGCGCAGGAATCGGACCCCCACCCTCAGGCCAGAGCAAGCGAGGTACAACATCCTTGCGACGAAGGGGCTTGATATTCTGTAGCACAGAAGGATCAGGCAGCAAGTGCTCACGACCAGCGAACAGGCCCAGATCGCTGGGGTCATCTTCTTCATCCTCCTCCTCGTCAAAGTGTTTCGTGATTCTTTTGCCACGGCTGTGAGAACAATGTTAGAGTGGAAGTAATCGGTAGAGTGAAAGTACTCACAAGTTATAGGTCAACTGGTCATCGCGGTCCAGACGAAATAGCTCACGCGTGGGACAAAACATGGGATCGTCAATACGGGTAGAATAGTCACTGGTGGAGTCAGAACCTCCAGTGAATCGATCTCGGATTGAAGAATCAAAGCCCCCACTGAATGGGTTATGCATTGATGGAGTGCTATGGGGCATAGGAATACGGTCGCGAGAGTCGGTATGGATCTTGATACTCTCACGGCCATTTGTCGCGTTGAAAGGGTCATCGAAAGGGTCAAGTGAGCGTGGCACCTTTGGTTTCGACATTTTGGCAGTTGGTGGAAATAAAGTGCGAGCAGTTGATGAAAGATCGGCAGTAACCTTCTTCTTTGATGGAGTCTTCGCGGGGGTGGGAAGCGCGTTAGTTCCAGAGCGCGTAGCCGAAGTTTGAGGGCGAGAGAGTTGAGAGTTGGGTTCATTATATCTCACATCACTAGCGCGGCTTTTGGAGGTACTAGCATGGGAGGTTTGTACAATGTCCCTTGACTTTGAGTAACTGCCTGGTGGTGATAAAGTTGCTTCTTCCACTTTTTGATACTTTCTTGGTGGCGCCTTCGATCGGGCTTTGCCAGGCGAGCTTGGGCAATTGGTAACAGGCGCTTCCTTTGATCTCGAAGCACGCTGGTTGGCTAGTCTAGCTGAGTATCGGGTGGCATAGGGCTCGAAAGTGTCATATCCAGCACCATGGCGCGGCGCAGCCGGAACCCTCAAAGCTGACGGAGACGGTGGCGGTGGGGTGGACGCCATAATGAATGATTATATTCAACAAAAGGAGCGCAGTAATGGTTATGATCGAATGTACACCAATCACTAGGATCCGGTGCTCGTGAGATTGTTTGTTGAATCGCTTATGCGGTCGACTTGAATCAAGGGCGAAGCGTAAATCCGTCCAAACTTCAGTAAATCGGTTGCCGTAGATTTTGGGTTTTCGAAATAGCGATATAGACAGCGGGACTGTAATTTCTCAGAATCAATGCACGCAAAAAGCGACAAAAAGTTGAGATTGAGAAACGTGGAGAAACAAGGGCGAGGGTTTATGAAAGGGCGCATGTTTGGACTTCCCAGCCACCTCTTCGGTGTCACCGACCTCCTTCACCGCCTACTACTTTTAGTTTGCATTTCAAGTCCCCGCGATTATTCTTGTTCCATGGATCTGCAGTGTTGATACTCGATCGGCTTCTCTTTCGGTCTGGTTCAATTGTGATCAAGTCCCGGATTCAACCATGGCTCGAAGCACCGCCGAGGAGATGGACAGGCTTCAGCTTTCAGATGAGGATACCGAAGATCTTTGGGATTCGCCTTCAAAACGAGGAACTCACAAGAAGTTTAACGCTCGATCCTCGGACGAGATCCCGGCACCAGAGCCTCGGAAACCTCGCGATGGGGGTGACACTTTGTTTGATCGTCAAGAGGCAAGACAGGCAGCACTGCACAACGAACTACGGACTGTTCGAAATATCAACGAAGTAATTGAGGGACTTCTAGGTAGCATTGACCGTGCCAAGGGAAACATGGAGGCGAGTCTACCTTCTCTGTGCACTTTTTCATGCAAAGAGCCAATTCTCATCACTAATTTACAGACCGTATCGAGAACCGTGACATCGGCATCAACCCTCCTCAATACATGGACCCGAATTCTGTCCCAAACCGAACACAACCAACGTCTGATCCTTAACCCGAATTGGCAAGGTGCCACTCAAGACGTGGCCGATATGGAAAATGAAGAAATTCAGAACCGGCAAGCGGCGGAGAGGCGAGAACAAGCACTGCAGCAGCAACGAGAAGCTGCAGCCCGCAAAGCAGAGGAAGATGCGCAACGACGGGCGCTAAGCACAAGAGGCACGAGGGGGACTAGTCGAGGTACTGTGCGCAGTACTGGTTTGGGCAGAACACCTAGTGTAAGCACCAGTCGACCGGGAGCGACGCGGGGATCATCAACAACCACAACTCGGCGACCAATCAGTGGAATTGCACGCGGTGGTGGAACAGTTGGAACGGTCCGAGGAAGGGGGAAACCTTGAACAATAACTATTTTGTTCTTTTGTATATGACATGGAAATCATGGAGATCAATGTGCCCAATGAAATAATGATACCCCCCAAAAACCCAACGTGTAGGTGCCTGAGGCCACAACATAAACACGCGGACACGCGACCCCGATAGCGATAAGGAGCTTAGTTTCCCCGAATGATTTGCCTAGAGCTCTCCTCTTCACCATTCGGACACAATGAACTTTGCTCCTTATCAAGATGAATCCCCCGAGATTGAGCGGGCGCTCTCCCCTCCACACACAGATATCCGCAAGTCCCCGAACCTTCGGTCGCCGAGAGCCTCTGCCGACCTCCCGTCTCCAAGCCACTTCGTGGGAGGTGGGCATGGCAACACCGGTTTTGGACGAGATGTCGAAGGAGGCCACGTGAGCCTTGGGGCATTTGAAACAAGTCTTCCGATTCGTATGGACATTGAAGCTGCGCTGGCGTATTTGCTTCTGCCTCCGGCTGGAGGTGTGTTTCTGTTGTTGGCTGAACACAAGAGTGATTACGTGCGGTAAGTACCGATAATTGCTTTTTTGGCTTGAACCCCAGGAATAAGCTAACATGATTACTCACTGCAGGTTTCATGCTTGGCAATCTAGTATGCTCTTTACTGTCCTCTTCGTAAGTATCTATTCCCTTCTTGATTGAACTTGTCTTTAACCGGTATAGATCATTCATCTCATACTTTCTTGGTCCTCCTTTCTGTCGTGGACTCTTTTCATCATCGATCTCGCCCTGATGGGCTATCTCAGCATGCGGGCTTATCGTGACGGTAAGTTTGCGCTACTGATCCACAGAATCCATATGCTAATTGATTCTTAGTGGATACTTTGGACCACTTTGAGGTTCCCTATTTCGGCCGCCTGGCCAATTCCTTTGTTGATGATGAATAAGTCTAATCTGTTGTATTGTACTTGAGCTTTGCACAAACTTGGAATATTTGTTTAGAGAGCGTGTGTTCTTTCTCCATATACCCCTGCTGCCTATCATTTCGCTACTATCTTTGTGGTTCAGCAAGTTATTGATTCTCGTGATTATACATGTGCAATATCATTGCAAATATTGAGTCTGTCACCTTGTAGGTATCTACCAGCTCCAACCTATTGTTTCGCATTCCCCCTGATCTCGAGGTAATCAGCAAGATCCATGGAAGTAATCAATTGAAGGTCAATTCCGTCTTCACTTATTACAAGAAGAATAAAACGAGTGTCAACGATGTATCTGATCGGATAAACTTATCGCGAAGTGATCTCCTGAGTGATCAGGCACCAGGTGGTTCTAAAGTACGGCAGAATGGCGGGTTTTAAACGAGTAAGCCAACACTCGGAGAAGTTTCAGTAGCAGTCTGCCAGTTATGCAGAGAAATGAAATCATATATTATAATACTTCGCAATTGTTGCCACCTTGAAAATACAAAAAGCCTTACATACCACACTGCGACTTCATCAACTTGACGTACCAGCTGCAATCTCAGTGCAGGGTCTCAGCCTCCTGACAGCTAATTGGCCCACGCTGGTAGTTAAGACGGGTAGTTGTGTTGTAATTCCACCAGAAGTCAAGGGACTGCGGGTAGGAATTGGGAACTTTACAGGAGGTCAGGTAGCTAGGTAAGCTCTCCTTCAAAATGGCGGTGTAGTTGGCCAGGGGACAAGAGTAGCCAGGACCGGATTGGCATTGGTTGAATGGAACAACGGCCTCGTTAAGCACCAGGCGAACGTAAGTTCCCTCGTCAGACATGGCGGTGGCGTTGCAGCTGAGACGTTCAATAGTGAGATGACCACCCATAGGAACGATGTCCGTGGTGACATAAGGGTTTCCAAAGGGAATACGGTCTAGAGGTAAGTCCTCATCGGGAATGAGAATCCCTAGAGCGGCAATGATAGGAGTGATGTTAGTGTCATGGGCACTGTCCCCAGTCAGTAGAAGCTCCACAGTAAACCCACTTGGTTGAGGGGGCAGGGTATAAGGCATACAAGTTGAAGAATAGAGATCCCGCTTTCTTAGGGCCTTCGTTAAGAAGACTGAGACTAGCGTTCGCATAGACGGCTCCAACAGCCGCCATGTTCTTGTCACCAGGTCTTCCAAGAAAAGTCAGTACGGTGCTTCCTTTATCAAATCTCCTGGCTTAACTCACCCGGCACAGTAGTAGTAGTACAAGTCATTCAAGTAGCTATAAGTGACCCATTCATCCTGAGTGAAGACATTTATCCACTCGGAAAAGGCACGAGCATTAAGCTCGAAGACAGCCATAGCTGGATGAAAATTAGTCAAGGTATTTCAAAAAAACAATTCGATCACGTACACATCAACTTATAAATATCAGACTCTGTGAGATTGAGACCAGAGTTTTGAGAGTTCAGACGAGCTGCAGCAACCTTGAACTGGGACATGGTGGAAGGTACCTTGTCACAGGTCGTCATGTCATTGTCGGTGTCACAAACGGGAGTTAGACTGTTTGCACCCATAGACGCAGACTCCGAGATGATGTTGAGAGCAGCACTGGTCGAGTAATTATACCCGAAGAAGCCCTCACCAAACTTTCGCGCGGTGTTGATCACCCGACTATAACCACTAGTGAACATTGGAATTACCGACTCGCCATCCCAAAGATCTCCATAGCGATCCCGGTACTCTGTTCCCTGTTGGTACGCATCCGACAATCCCGCGTAAGGACCGCTGTAAGTCTCGGCATTGTACCAGCATTTGTTAGGGACGAAGTATTCCCAATCATCCAGGAATGCCAGATCATCCTTCCATTCTGTGACACCAGCGCCGTAGACCTTGGCGAGAGAGGTTTCAATGTCGGCACCCATTGATGGCGAAGGGTATCGTTCTCCGTGTCTCTTGATCATGATGACTTGATCAACGGCACAGCTCTCAGGTGGATCACGGGAGATACCGTAGGAGCGTCTCTCTGTGTAGGGGCCATAGCCACCGTGGAACTTTAAGATGCTGTAGCCTTCTGGGAACGCTTGCGAGAATTGTTTCTCGGCAGAGTCACCAATCTTGACTGCCGTAACAGCAGATGTGAGTCCTAGGGCACACATAACACCCGAGATAATAGAAGAGGACATAATGGCAGCCAGGCCCAAAAGTAAAACAAGAGATGTGGAGAGGGGAGAAGTCGGATCAAGTGTTTTGTTTCGACATGAAGGATTTGAGGAGCGGAAAAGCAAGGCTTTTATGTTGTTCCTGCATGGAAACCGGAGCTACGACCCTACCATGATAGCTCATGGAACAAATCAAATCAGGCCAAGTGCTAGTTATTCCAAGACTGTACCGCAAGTGGGTCGATCAACAAGCTGTTGAGGTATATGTGCTGCATTAAGGCACAACATCCGACATTGATGCCGGATAAAATATTATACGTTGTGCATTGATCTAAATGAAAATTGACTCAATTGATTCCACAATAACATATATTGGCCCATGTGCTTTCGTCTAAGGGGATGTGTAATCTCAGGAAGAGAAGCTGACACCCCGGAAGAGGCAAGGGAGCACGCGCGCAATCGATAATCCAGGTACAATGTTGGTTTCCTGGGAACCGCATGTATCCAAATCCATTTTGATTGGTCTAGAAATGCCTATCTACTTAGCGTCGAGCGGGGTAAACAGTAAAAAGTGGGGCTTAAAACATGTCTCTCTTCCATCGGAATTGCCCTCAAGCTTTTTAGTTTGCGGCTTGGCTGACAGCCATATTGCCAGTATTTCATTTCTATGTCTCTAAAAAATCGAAAAATCAATCGGGAACTTAGGCTCATCAAGAGATTGGAAACGGAATTTTGACGTAGGGATCTGCCGATGTTGCCGAAGCAATTGCGCCGAATGTATTAGACTAGAGCATTAAGTTAATGGCCGGAGTAGTTCCGAATTTCCAACTAAGTGGGTCATCTTGAGACGTTAGATTACACTGATGCTGTCGCACTAAGCGCTCTTCGCGTTACCGTTCTTAGATTATCTCCATGTACTCCGCATAACAAGACGAGAAGACCGGAAATGACCGCCTCTGGCGCCATTTTGATCTTTCTCACTGTTGAAGGACTTGGAATTACGTAAATGCAAAGTCATAACACACTTTCCTGTACTCCGTAGAAATCCATTTACTATTAGGTCTCAATAGTATAACTTAATAATAGGTCACCCCATCTCCATACAATGTTGATCCTGCAACAGGCTCTTTGACAATTCCCGTCTCCACTAGCTCATTCACCAAATTGAAAACCATAAGATCGCATCCGTGAGGCACGATGAAGTCCACTGCAACCGGTAAATATTCTTCCTGTAGCGTGATGGTAGAGTTGTATAATGCTTGGCCAACTAATTTATCCGTTGGTTAGTGTCTCTCTCTCTCTCAAATCCTTTTTTCCCATTTGTAACCACTCACTTGGGACAACCATGTCAGGTACTCCAGCAAAGTTGGCAATACGAGAGGATGCAAATCCACTAGGAATACCGGGCATGCTACAAACAAAAGTTAGTGAATCTGTTCTTCTGAACAAGCACGACGAGTAAAATACCTCCTGTAAGCATTCCGATACGTTGGCGTTGCCGCAGTCCCAACATACAAAATCAGACTGTCGGAGCATGTTTCTTGATCAAATACCTGAACAGTACTATTCCACCAACTAGTGAAGATATCCTTGTGCTGAATTTCCGCTTCCAGTTGCGAATCTGGATACTCAAGCCCCCAATCCCAACGGGAGAGAGGAACAGGGTCGATGAACGGCCTCCGACCTCCATTCGCAGCCCCATACTTCTCATACAGCGGGGCAGCAACAAGAGGGTACTGCTGTTTTGAGATGAGGATTGGGTAAGTGATATTCAGCAAAGTCGTCAGAGTTTCGTTTGTCGACACCGTTGAAGGCTTGGTAGCCTCCCATAGATCATCGTAATCCAAAGTGGAAACATTAGCACCACCCAAATAGGTCGATAGGCGGTCGACAAAATCAATAAGAATTCCATCCGCGGTAGTGGACGCACTGGTCGGGAACTGAATGGTCTTGATACTCTTCGGGTATTTCGTGTAGGACTTCAAGCCCGCATCCTTATACAACACCTCAGAGGCAGCCCTCCACAACTTCACATCTCTTGTCAAAAAGCCCGCTGTATCCAGGAGTGGAGACATGGGCATCACATCATCTAATGAGACCAGATCCCATGAGGGCCGGTTGCCGAAACATCCATTCACTTGGGACGGGTTCCGGATTGAACCTCCGGTATCACTTCCAATGGCCAGGTCCAGCCAGTCATATGCTCCGATTCCAGACCCTGGACCAGATGATGAAGAACTTGGATCTTGGTACCCGTCACCACGGGCATTGAAGGGGGAGTGGTAATCGACCCAGTCATCCGTAGCAGTTTCACCGTTAGCGAATTGACTTGTCTTCATCTTTCCAACGATAACGGCTCCGGCATCGATGAGGGATTGAATTGCAGGGCCTGTGGCATTGGCTTCTGGATAAGTATCAAAGTAGGCGCGGTTACCACACCCCGTTTTCACACCTTTGATGTTATAGAGATCTTTGACTCCGAGACGGACCTAGTAGATCAGTCAGTATATCTTCTGCTCGATTTGAGACTCGAGTAAAAAGAATAGATCGGGACCTGCATACACCAGCTAGAGGCTTCTCGGCCGTCTTCGTGAAATACAATCTCGAAGGAACTCCAATTGTCAAGGAGGCATAACCCGGTAGGTTTGCTGGCAAAACATCATACTCATCGTCACCAATTGCGATCAATCCCTGAGTGAAAGAACCCATCACATCTGAATATAACAGATAAGCCTCAAAGACCTCTCCACTGGATGGGTTGAGGAAATAAGGGCCAGCAGGCAAGCTCTTCGACGACGACAGCTTTGTCGACGCTTTCGTGTCATATGCCGAAGCGAATCCAAGGAACTTAGTGTTCCACGCAGAAGGTGGGGATACATTCTCTGATGGCGATTCGTGGGTACCGTTATACTCCACGTAAATATATTCGAGGAATCCCGTATTGAAAACATCGTCTGTAGACTGGTAGCTTTCTACCAAGGACTCGATTATGGAGCTTGTCAGTTTCAAATAATCACTCCGGATCACAGTGAGAGGTTGCAAGCTGTTTTCATTGCTGACTTGGCCCCCAGAAGCGGTTTTCAGGGTTGCCACTGCTGTTGGCGGGGCGTAGTAGGTCTTGCCATTGAATTCAATGGTCTGGCCTTTGAGGGTGATTGTGGCGATAGCATTGGTAGAGAGTGATATGAGGAGAGCCAGTAATGCCGGTAGACCAAATGATTTGGATGTGCAGACCATGTTGATTGTCCGAGTCTTGAGACTCCTTTCAAATGAAGAACCAAACGCAGCATCCTGACGATCTTTGGCGTAACTACTATATATACCCTTTGGCGTAACTGTACGTATCTTTCGGCTGTGATGTTTTACTGATAAGGAATATATTGAAGCGATGGGCTGTGTTCATAAGATAAAGATAAGGGATGCGAAATTAATAATGAAGTTCTAATCAACTTGGGGTAAGATTGATTAAAAATGGATTAGTCTCATCCAAATCCGGCATAGTTTATACCCACATCGGGACTGGCGTCAGGTACGCCAGGTCCTTCGATCCCTTATCTTGATGCAAACCTCGGATAATCAGCTTGGCAACGGCCTAACGAGTAATTTAAAATTACCTGAGGCTAATTAAGCGATGCTGCAGATGTTTACACTGCCACCCGGATGGGCCGGCCACAACTTTACATTTGGTTATTCAATATGGCCAGATAAGTGATTCAGCACTCCACAGGCAAGCCTATCACCACCCAATCAGAAGTGGTCAGTCAGGAGTTGTGGAATGCGCTGAATCGTTCCAATAAAAGCCTCGCAAGAGGGTATTTACAGCCTTGGAATGAAGTTGTTGTTCTACAGTCCACGCGAAAGAGAGACTCATGTAGAGCGAATTGTATGGTTATGTATCCTCGATTTGAGCAATATAGTGCTTGTGACATTCAATTACATGGAACTCGTAACATTTGGCCTCCACCCAAAATATCAAGGAGCGATGAAACATTTCAAGTAGGAAAAAGTCAATGTGAGAAGCATTAGAGAAGAAAGAAAATAAAATCAAGCATGAAATCCGAAGAATGTACGTGGCCCAGATCGTTCCTCCCGCAATTTGATTTGAACAGAACTCATATCCCTATTAACGCAAAAAGGAACCTCGGTGAATAGATCAGCAGAATCAAGATATCAAAAGAGAAAAGACACGCTAAGTATTCCAGGGAAAAAGAATCAAACGAAAATAACATCGAAGTGTCGAGTACGTCGCCAAGCCAAGGTAATTGCGAAGGCAAAGCGGCAGATCAACAAACAGTTGAGAGGGAGAAAATAAGGCTTGTCGATGTGCAAAAGGAATTCGGAAGAGCATGGTATCTACGTGAAAGCATGAACAGGACAATAAAAAAAATCGCCGTCAGGACATAGGCTTGTCAGGGTCGTGGCGGGTCGTAAACGTGGGAATTTTGTCAGATCTAGATGATCTGCAGGTAGTTGCTCGGAACCAAGCCCGGGTGTCCGCGGCCATTGGTGACTTCAGCTTCCCACCATCCATCATCTTGAAGACGGATGACAGACAAGACATCGCCCTTTGTGAAGCCAAGCTCTTCGGGGATGGCAGGAGAGTAGCTGTACATTGAGCGAGCTGTGAAAAAAAGTTAGCAAGATCGCGATAAATATACAGAGGTAGAAACATTCAATACATACCGAAATGCAGAATTGGACGCCCATCACGGCTGAACTTTCGGCCTGGATCGGCAACTGCAACAGTTCGACTTCTGGAGCGACCGACAGGCGGGCCACCATTGTCTCCGCCGTAGTGGGATCGGGGACGACCGTCCCCTCGAACTGAGCCGCCATAGCCATTTTGGCTGCCACCTCCGAACATGTCATCTTGACCGGCAGAAAGCTGCAGCTCCATGCCTCCAGCGCTGGACGGACGGACTTGCTGTCTGAACTGGGGCTGAGGAGAAACTGCACGGTGCGATGCGGCCGGGGAAGCCCTTCGAGCGTAGTCGTTGGGAGAGTAGGGCGGTTCTTGCGCTCGATGCGGAGTTGGCGACTGGCTATAGCGGCTTCTAGCGCTGCCAGATTGATACGTGCTTGGACTAGGGCTGGCACCGCCACCACCATATCCTGTGCGAGTGTCGACGCGGGGAGAGACTTGAGGGCTGGCGCTGCGCCTAGGAGCGGGCGACCTAGAAGGTGCCGGTGATCTCGCCCGAGGGACCTCCTGAGGCTTTGCAGCCTCCCTGGGTGCCATGGCAGGGTTATTACTTCCACCCCGAAGCATGCTCGCAGTCTGACCGGTGTATCGTTGGGTAGTCTTTTGCATCTGCTTGGCTGTGAATGCCGGTTCGGGGGCGCCAAGCCGCTTCACGTTAGGGTCATTGTATGCAGGTGGCGCAGGCGAGTTGCTTCCGCCATAAATTGACGATGGGGCTGAGGGATTCGGGGTTGAAATTCCATGGTATCGATCGGCCGACACGCGCACGCTGGGCTGCTTACCACCAGTTGTCTTCAAATCGGCTAGGGCGCGCGCAATAGGGTCCGAATCATCGTCAGCTACATTTGTAGGCTGAGAACCCTGCTTCTTGTCAGGCGAAGCAACATCAAACACATTGTTGCCAACATTCAGCTGGAAGTTAGCCCGAGGATCAACGGGTTCTAGGCTAGGAGAGGGGGGCTCGGGTTGCGAGACTGGTTGCGAGACTGGTTGCGAGACTGGTTTTGAAACTGGCGCTGGTGCAGTCTTGGTTGGACTGGCCTGCTTAGTGGGCGAGCTCCAAGGGCTTCGAGATGAGGATTGAGCTGCGATAGCCGGCCTCTCCTTGTCGTGCCGACTCTTACGGCGGAATGGGCTGTTACTGAAGAAGGCGCTTTTCTTCTTTGAGGTCTTGTCATCCTGAGTACCTGGCGATGACGGATCGTTGATGGGCTTCTGAGCGGCCTGCAGCTTCATAACACTGGGCAGGGGCGGGGCTGGTTTCTGGCTAACTGGAGCCGGGGCTGGAGCTTCAACACTGGACATCGAAGTGGGATTTGACACATCGCTTTGAGAATCCCGGCTGGACGGTCTGTATGGACTGGCTGCTGAGCTACGTTCGGAAGGTGGACCGGTACGACAGAACATAGTCATTCCATCGGTAGGGTATGCATTATGCGGTACTGCATTGATTGCACCGTGCTGCTCAGGGTTGTAGTTTGGTGGCGGTTGTCCACCCCGGCGAAGGTCAAGTGGAGCCGGCTGCTGCGGCATCCCATACATGGCTGACTTCTGCGGTGGCAGGCGCTGCATTGATGACTCGGGCTGCATATTTTGGGGAGGCGGTTGCTGGGGCATGCGCTGGACAAGTGGCTCTTGCTGCATATTTTGAGGAGCTGGCTGCTGCGGCTGCTGCGGCATACGCTGAACAGGACGTTCTTGCGGAATGCTCTGCGGGGGCAGTTGTTGAGGCATACGCTGGACAGGAGGTTCTGGGTGTATGCTTTGAGGCGGCGCCTGCTGAGCCATACGTTGGAGAGATGGCTCTTGTTGGATGCTCTGGGGAGATGGCTGGGGCACACTGGCCGGCAGAGGCGCCGGGTGGCCCATCTGAGCCGCAAGAGGAGACTCTGGATCGTGATGGGACTCGTAAGTCGACGGCTGTGGAGATGATGTCCGGAATGCAGGGTTCATGGTTCGCTGAAATTGTGCCACTGAGTAACCCTCTCCTGAATCAATGTCGGATCCTGCATCATCATCCTCTTTGCAGAAGTTGATGAAGCGAGGAGGGTCTGGAATCTCTTGACCAGTTCCACGCTCCTGGATGAAAGACAAAATATCCTTTTCAACCTCGCAGTTCTCCAGAGACAAGCGAATCTTTTCGCAAGAAGCATCGTCGCTAACGCAAACAGTCGATGCGATGTTTGCAAAGGTCCAGAGGCTGCTCTTAGTGAAATCCAATCTTTCCTCTTCTAGATCCTGGAATTTATCACAGGCACTCTTCCACTCCTTGTTCCAGCGTCCAGTGGTGTCCTCAAGGACCTTCACGGCGGCTTCATACTCCTGGCTGTTCGAAGCCATTTGAATCTGAGTCTTTTCAAGCCTGGACTTGTTCTTGCGCTCCTCCTGGCCCATAACCATGTGTCCTTGAGCCAGATAACCCTTGATCTGGAGGCAGTTTTGCTCGAAACGGTCACGAGCCTAATTCGTTATCAGTTGAATCCAATCCACCGCAAATGATTTTTTGTTCCCTTACCTTGTTAACGACTTGTGTTTGTTGCATTTTAGTTTTGTGGAGGCGCTCAATGCCATTCTGAATGATCTTTCGTCGTTCCTTCAGCCCGCTAGCGAAGGCGCCCAGTGGCTCCTCCAGTTCTGTTTTCATCTGGCTGGCAATCGCCGCGTGTGCTTTAGCGATCGCCTCTGTCTCTCCACGGACTACGTCCAGCGATTGGCGAAGGGATCCGGATTCGCATGTTCCGAATGGCTTGCGACACAGTGCCTGTAATTTTCGCGCATATTCATCTTCGATGGCAGCTCGCACTTTAACGAGAACAGTATATTAGTAGTTGACGCCCCGATCAAGTCCGCAATCGCTGCTGACGTACCGTTGTAAAACACCCTTAATTCATCACTAGTGTTTTTCGATCCATGCATCCGATCAAGCATGGGTTGTAGGCCCGCATCATCTTTACCCCAAAAGTTGTTGGCAACTAATCCACGTGTTAACAATGTATGAATTTCGAAGATCTCTTGGGAGACTTACAGGACATGGAGACCGTCGGTCCCTCTGCCGTTGTGCCAGGCATTGTTGTGGATATTGAGCCTCGGCCAGCCTTTGCTCACGTTTAAGATGAAAAAAAAAACAGATTCAAAGAATGAATGAAAGTGATCAAACAACTTGGAAAGGATGGAAAGAAAACACCCAAAGAGACCCTGCGGTCGCTGAATGTCAGAGTGGTGAGTAGAGGGACAAGCGTGGGCAATGTTTATCGGCGCCGTCTCTCGGGGCAACGGGCGCAACGCTGCCTTATGTAACCAACACTGCTGCCCTATTGGACGCGTCACCTATATTTTCTATGCGATTTCCAAGTCATTCGAGATTCTTTTGACAGATTCAATTATTCTATATCGTCATTTGCAATTCAAATTCGTATAATTTGATTTTCATTTTCATTGTCACTACCTATGTTGTGACTGAAGCTACATAAAACCGGGGCATCTATTCAGGCAATCTATGTAGTTTAAGCCCCACAAACATCCACCAACTTTCATAAAAAATAATAACACAGGTGGATTCGATGCATAATCGCATCCAGGAAAAAAAACGCCTCCAAATGCATTCTAAAGTGTGAGTGTCAGAAAGAGACTTGATGGGCAGGGAAATATCAGAAAGTCGAGCTGTATCGACGGCGAAGATTGTTGCGTTGTATCATATGTCGTCTTTGTCATCTTCGTATCAATTCGTAGCGTGAGGAATTCATCACTCGTGGAAAATATGTGCATCGTATTGTACGAGAACTTCGTGCTCCATCATCCATGTGAAGTTGCTTTAGTAAAGCAGAGCGGACGAACGAGGAATGGAGAAGCTGGCGCTAGGTGTAGGAGTGGGAGCGCCAGAGGGAGAAACGTGGTTGTCAAAGTCGCGCTTGACGGGGAAAGATGTGGGTGCGACAGGAGTGCTCAGGCCGGAAGGACTGCCAGAGGGGGTAGCGACAGAGATAGGGCTCCGAGCACCAAACTGACGAGCCACCAGAGAGACGGAGGGAGAAACAGACGGAGACGCAGAGGGAGTACCCCAAGGCGCAACACCGTAGCCCCGAGCATAGACATATCCAGAGGGGCTCACACTGGGAGTAGCAGAGGGGGTCGGGATAGAGCTAGGGTTCCAGCCGCCAAACTGCCGAGCAGCCATAGACGCAGACGGAGTAGCCATAAAGCTAGGCGAGAGGGGCACCGAGGCACTGGAAGCCCAGTCACCATATTGGCGAGCAACTAGAGGAGATGCATATGGTGTGGCTGATGGAGTGAAGGAAACACTGGGAGACGGGATGTAGTTCTGTACGAATTGAACCGGGTTACCAGCGGCATTGAGGCCACGGCGGAAGAAGCCATTGCTCTGGGCAGGAATGAAAGATTCCCCAGGAGGAGGGGCCTGATGAGAGATAGGAGTCGAGCTGGGGGGCCCAGGTGAGTATGGCACGAGAGACGGAGTGGCAGTCACTGTGACGGTCTGAAGCACAACAGGAGCGCCAGCGGCGGTCACAGTAGACTCGGCGGTCTTGGTCACAGTCTCGATCTCAGGGACGGCAGAGCTGTCTGAGTCACCATCCACATTTACTACATGGTAGTTTATCTGACGGCGGTTGAGTTCGTCTTGCGGGTTGGCGAGAGGAGCGGCATATATGGCGCTGATGGAGGAGAAGGCTAGCAAGGCGGCAGCGTTGGAGAAATGCATGGCTAGAGGAGAGATATTTTTTTGGCAGTTAATATGGTGTAAACAGTCGACTGCAAAAGTAACTGATGCAATGCACTTGATTCCAGGAAGGAAATATTGTGCCAAGGGAGTTCAGGCGTAAAAATTGGGTTATAGAAGATTGGAAAATAAGCGATGGGGGAATGGAATTCAGGGTTTAAAAGTAGGAAGAAGCACGATCTCGATCAGCCAAGTATGTCAGTATGAGTATACATCACATCCACATGGCAGTCATTCCATTGGACCAAAAATAGGTAGGCTGGGGATCTACGGAGGCTGGGGATCAAAAAGCATAAGAGCTAGACCAGCCACGGTGTTTTACACTGCCTAATGATCCACTTGGCAGCGCCACAACCGTTTTGTTACATGTTGATTGGACCTCGAGGCTTGTGTTACCAGGGAGACCCACTTTAAGCGTGGCTGGGGATCCACTTCTATATCCACCATATTGTATCCGGGAAAGCCGGTGCCTAGTTTCTTTTCTTATTGTGGATAATATTCGTGACTGTGGATTTTGATCAAGTTGTCACATATTGATTAACTTTGACTGATCGACCAACTGCCAGTGATGGTCCCATAGAGGCAGTGTCACTACACGGCAAGATCTTCAACCCGCAGTAGACCACAACCAAGCGCGGCGCTGCCCCAGGCGGCACACAGGCGGTTGGGATTCCACCCCAGCGCTGTGACGTGTGTGCCTTCTTCATGAATGGTGGTAAGACTAAATCCCATTGGCCGGGGCTCTCCATTGCGTAACGTGCCCTGAGTTTCCGCACTGAATCCCTCGTAGAAACGGCTGACACCCGGGTGGTCGACTTCAGATCGAGACGCCCAGTCGTGAGTAAACCATATCTGTTGCCACTGTGTTTCCTTTGGATGCAACGTTTTTCGTAGAGGATTTGTCGCCAATACCTCACCTCCCGTCCCACCATAGAGGAGGCTGGGATGCCAGAAACTGCACGGAGCGAGGGCAGAGACGGTGCTGAGGATCCTGCAAGCAGTGGCGGTGGCAAAGAATCGTCGGATTGGCATGATTCGTCCATATTCATTTTCATCACTGGAGCACACTGACTGAAGAACCGGGGAGAAGCTAAGGTGAGAGGAAGCTAGCCGCACTCGAACCGTGCCAGTGGTCTCGCTCTGAGGTTCAAGAATAGACCATAAGCGAGTCTCACCATCGACTGAAATGGTTGAGATAAGGTGTGGGTTTGTTGGGTATATGGATGTGATGTTCAGCACGTAGGTTGCATGAATTTGATGATAGAAGTAGGGCTGAGGTTCGGAAGTGGAGCAAGGTAGAATGCTGTAAACGGCGACAAAACCATTTCCACAGCCTACTGCGATGTCGCTGGGTGAGAGCCAGGTCAAACACGTACAGACAGTCGAGGTGGGGATTGCCTCAAATGCTGGCGACATGATTTTGGCTACACTTGCATGTCAGAATTTGGGCAACACAAGAGCAACCGCTGAAGAAAGACCATACGCACCATATTTTAGTGTACTGGAGCCTTGATGTAGCTTTATGTCCAGCACCCGCACCTTTCCATCGCCCCAGACTCCAGCCAGAAGGCCGATGTCTATTAAACCTTTGTCGGCGTCGCCTCGCTTTTCTCGCCCCATGGGGCACCAGGCCATACGTCTCAGATCCCCCCACTCCGAACACAATAGTAAACGAAGTTGTGGTTCGAAAGACATGTCAATAGTATTTCTTTGGGTGCCGGCTTCTTTGGCCCGGAATTCCCATAGTTGAATTGTTCCAGGATATGAGGGTGATGGCACAAATGAGGAGATTGGATTACTTGTAGGGGTCTTGTAACCGTTTTTTTGTGCATCGGTGACTGGTGCAGCCACAGCCAGATACTGAGATACGCCATTTTGGTTGGGAGCCCACGCCATGCATTGAATTTTCTGTCCAATGTTGATGATCCACCCCTCACGTATCTTCTCCAGTTCATTGCTTTTTTGCGCCTTTTTGGAACCCCAGGCCGGGCCGAAATCAATACAGTCGTGGTAACCGAGATGAAAAGCTTGTTGGTCATCTATTGGTCCCATCAGAACTGTATGCTGTTTGGACTTCGGTCGCGGCAGATAATCTCGACGCACGTCAATCTCTGTAATTTTCATATCAAGTCGTTGTTTCCTTCGAAACCTCTCGCCATCCTCATGCTCATAGTACCAGTTCCAGCCTAATGTCCGTTCTTTCTCCAGAAGATCTGGAGAAATGCCCAATGTTGGACCGTAGGGTGAATCGGACTCTCCGTCGGTATTTTCTAAGGAAACACGAGTAGGAAACGTAGAGTCCCGACCCCAACGCCATCGGCCTCGCATGTGGATTGTGAGGCCTAGGTCTCGGTCATCGGAACCATAAGTCAAGGTATACGACATAAGCTTCGAGACATGGTCTCGAGAATCCATGATACCCCGATAATGTGTGTTATCTGGCGATAAAGAAATGGTGCCATAGGCTGCCTGCATATTCACTTTTGGTGGTTGGGAGTGTTGAGGTTGTTTTTTCTTGGGGACATCCCCGATTTCATCAACATCTATTATATCACCATCTTCGTCCACACCAGATTCAGCTTCACCATCCTCATCTGCAGATCCCTCGTCTTCTTCTGGGTTGGCGACACCCGGATCTGAGCCCGCGACAAATTCTTCGTCGGACACGGAATTCTCTCTTTTCACCCTCTTAGCCTTGCTTGCTTTGTCAATCTTTTCAGAGTCTGAGTCATCATCGATGATTCCAGCCGATACAAAAGGATCCTCAGTGTAGAGGGTTTTGCGACCCTTGACGCGGCCGGATCTGCGGCCGGGAGGCATTTCAGTCAAAGTGAAGTCAAGACACCATCAACGTTGGAAACGAAGTAATGTATGGCGTTGGTCTAATGATCAACAAATTGGTTGATTGGAAGCTCAAGACGTAATGGCAAGCGACACATGAGAGGTGAGATAACGATTTCAGCAAAGAATGTTGGAGTTTGAGGATGCGGGCAGATACATCAATGACGCGCTATACCCGATCGGGTTATTATCTACTACACCCGTTTGCGTTAGCGCGAATAAACAAAATGTATACACTGGCAACCCAGTTTAATTGGCAATAAACGACTAACCTTCCAATCAGACACGCGCAGATAGTCCTGGCATTCTGGAAAAAGGCTAGTTCCACGAAAACCTTTTAAAAATTGGTCCTTCTAAACCTTAGTATAGATCTACCTAGGTTTTCGTAGGGTTGGTTCACAAGTCAGTTTGTTCATTTCTGTCCGTTCTCGCGGACGCGCAGGATAAACATTTTCCAAAGGATATTATCATGTTGCTGAAAGGAAGTCACATCTCAATCATCAATATATTCACGCTTTCACTGATCCTTTAAGTGGCGATGAAGAAAGCACATTCGAGCCTGTCCTGGCGCCAGTTGCTGCCCCGCCTCCTTCCAGTTCATCATAAGAGGGCAGTCGCTCAAGCTCCTCGAATTCTGACATCGTAAAATCGTAGCCGAGATGTCTCTTCAACAGCTCATGTGTAATAAACCGCTCGGGTGTATTTCCCTGAGAATCAACAAAGGAGACATGAGGGTTGACCTCGCTGATCCTCTGCAATTCATTCGCATGTCGGTGATGATGCGGGCAACCATCGACACCGATCAAGAATATCGTGACATGAACCCAAGATAGACTGAGCAAATCGAGCTCGAACTCATCCATATCACTTGCTTCACCGTCAAGCAATAGAAGCAGTCGGAGTTTGGGGGTCTTCGGACCAGCTTGCCACCCGTAGACTGGGTGATACGATGCTGACTCGGAATGTTTCTGGAAATGAAGATTCTTAACAAGTTGCCAGCCAGTCATTACTCGAGTTCTGCCACCGAAAACAACATGGTTCCACATTTCGTCGAAGTTTTCATGGTTGATAACACCAATGTAGTCTGCCCTGTCATGAAAGGTGACGAGTTGATAACCAGTTGAATTTTGATCGTAATGGATCATTGTATCGGTGAAGCGACGAATAGTGGCTCTTGCGAGATCTGCAGTATTAAATTATTAGCATCGGCAAAAGCCAGTCGGCATTGACTCTTTGAGCTTACCCTTGTTTTTGGGCTGATTAGACCTTTCGTAGCCCGTGATAAGAGCCTGCTGGTAGACCGGACGAACAGGTTGGAAGCCCATAGATCCAGAAACATCCAGTAAAAGCATTGTATCATCTGAAGGCGACCCTGGAACATCGGAAGGCTTGAAGGGACCTGGCAAAACTTGCTTTGAATAGTCATCTGACTTATGCTGAGTATGGCACACGTCATTGGGGGAGTAATATTCAATAGGAGGTGGAACTGCAGAAGCCATTCTGGCGCGGGCCATAGCCATCGCAGAAATAGGATCAGGCTTCAATCGTGGTCCACCGCTTCCTTCCCTATGATTTAAAACCCAGTAAAGACGTTCTTCGGCAGTGTCTTCGAATCCTCTCCAAGTAGGTGTAATACCCCTCCACCCAGCGGAAGCCTCGATGCGAAATTTGAGAGGATTTGAAGCGAGATTTGCCCATTCCACTGGGATGGGCTCAAAGTATCCTGCCCGGAGAAGGTGCAGATACTGAATAGGACATCGAGCTCGAAGATCGGCAATCTTTTGTGCCATGCCGACGTGCTCTTGATATCCCATCACTAAATCTCGCCATTCTTTATTTGCCCATCGTCCATTTTCTTCGTTGAGGATCTCAATTCGCAGTCCCTCGCCCTTGGAGAATATTTTCAGCTTTTTCTCAGCCACTCTTTCCTCAGAAGTCTTGATGGAAAATGCCTTTCGCAAATTGGAAAGCCTGGAGGCTTTGACCCTTTTCTCATTTCCAGAAGGTGAGGTCGTGGCAGAATCATCATCTGGACTTAATGGCGCTGGCTCATTGACAATCCATATACTTGATTTGGGCTCTTTGGCATCGATAGAGGCTTGCGCGCTCGCGTTTAATGACGCATTCAGCCTGAGTGTCCTTTCCAGAGACCTTGTATAGTTATAAGGATCTGGTCTTGCCATGCCATAGAATCCAGTAGCACCATACATACTCGTGGCAGCAAAACCACTCGTGCCGATGATACCGGCAGAATACGATGATACAAACTGATAGGGGTTGCTGCTAAAAAGAGTGGCCCCCTTATAGCAATCATGGTAGGCTTTTTCGCCTATTGAATCATCAGTCTAAATGGATCGCACTTGTCAACAACTGCAGATATCAGCTGACCTGGATACATGACGGCTTCAGACCATTTAGTCTGGACGCGAAGTCGGGCCAGCTTTCTGGCCTGATACATGTGGATTGAGCAGTTGCAAATAAACTCGGTATCGTGTTCTGGTTCGATATCAGAATTGTAGATGCTATATTCCAGCTGGAGCCTCTGCAAGTGATTTTGCATATCTTGCTATCTCCCCATAATTCGTCAGCTTATTGGCCCTCACGTAGCGATCATACGTACTTCATCTACCGCGCGCAAATTCCCTGCTTCGATAACAGCATTTGTATGTCCATGCCGTGGTGGATCTCTCATTTTGGCAGTCGATGGATGGTTTGGTGTAGGTGTAGATGCGAATGTTTCTTGTCCGTTTCATGGAAGACGTCTTGGCATGCAGGTTGCAGCCTTGCAGGTTCCACGGTACACTTGCGGGTATCACGCGGGGGTGCAGGCTGCAGCCTCAGTCACGTGGAATTGTGTTCTACACCTACTAGACTCTAAAATATAGACGGAACTGTCCGGCTTTGCCTTAATCCAAAGGTTTTTGAATATACAAAGTCACTAGCGCGATCATCCCACTCAGCACACTTTATATCGTCCCCACTGCTCATATTAGCATTGCGATGATCGTATACTTTCTTGACTGCTGTGAATAAAATCAAAGCAACAACCAATGTGCCGAGGGACCAGCCATTTCCGAGGCAATATTTTGTTTTGTTTTTTAAAGGGTATATCTGACCAACTACAACGCCTGCCCAGGTGGTGATTCAAAAAACAATATTTAGTCTCGGGACTATGATAAAGTCATGGGATCATGATTTCTATCACCTACCAGCCAGGTCGGTAAATGTTAATGGAATACCCATGGTACCACCTCTCTTCCCATTTGGAGCCGAGTTCAAGGATGTCTATGATAGATTGATTCCAGCAATGATGTACGTCCCGGTGGTCATCAAAGATGTAGAGAAATACTGCACACCAGCAGGACTGGGACACAGAATAAGAGCTTATCCTAAGGCAGTGATCGATCCAAAGTCGATCACGAACATATAACGTTGCTGAAGGCGATCGGATACCCATGCAATACTCATGTAGACAATAGCACCCCACATTTGCGCTATATTGCGGTTAGCTTTGGCATGAATGCCGCGGGTATTCAATCTATACCAGGAATCAGTCTCATCGCCACTTTGTCATTTTCATCCAAGAACCAAGCAGTCTCGAAAGATGTAGGCACGAGCCAAAGAAAACATGAAACCGAAGTCAATGATCACACTTCCGATAATATAGATCCATTGTTAGCCCGATATACCAGCAGCTCCATCCATGTGGTAGATACCAAAGGCGACCAAGCCACTGAAAGCACCCGCAAAAGCTGACGAAGCTGTTTCCTCGTTAGTATTGACTACTTTCAAGGGAGAAGACTGAAGTCTCTCATCTACCAAACAGAAAAGCCATTCGAAAGCCCAATTTTTCTCTTCTGTACCAGTTCGCAACGAAAAGAGCGAGACATGGAAACAAGCAGCCTTCAGACAGACCCAATATCAACCTGGTGGCCACAAGACTGGCTTAATCGGTCATCCCCCCACTGCCAAATGTAACAGCACCCAAGGCAATCGTGAGAGAAGGAAGCACACGTTCAATTTTCCACCGCTTGGCGACCATTGAAATGGGTAGTTAAGAGCCCGCTCCTCACTTTTGTGCTTCGCCAGTGATTTCCAAATAACTACACGTACCTAGGGCAGCACATTTAAAACATAAAGGATTGATATTGTCACCTATGTATAGCTTGTGATCAACTCTTGCGCCATGCGCACAAATTGATAAATTCACATTCAATTGATCGCCCTCGAGATGCAGATCCTCTGATATTCCTTGAGTGTCTGCAAACCCAATATTCGACCCATCGACAAAAGACAAATCAGGGTCAGCGAGATACCGGGTTGTTGATAAATCTTCCATTCAAGAAAGTTAAAGGCGCCTATTAAAGGAGCAATGGCAAGATCTAATTTTCTAACGCAGGTGCGTTCCATCTCACAAGACGGTCATAGTACATTGCCCCAACTTCACTCAGACTGAGCTCTGCGTGGTCGGATATGGCTCCTTCCTTGGTCAAAACTGACCCATCAAGAGAAGAGCTGCCTGGAATGATCGCCAAAGTCATGCCACCAGAGCCAATACATTCGATAAGAATCTGGGATGCAAGTTGGAGACAAGGAATGGAGGGTCAAAGGATCAACTTGTTAGCCGCATTTGCTTGTTCCGAATGTTCGTGGAGTCATGGGGTGATATATGATATGCACTGACCCTTTGGCCAATGGCTGTGTGCATATGGACATCTGGAGTCTGAGAGTAGCCGAAAGAGAATGCTTAGCGTCTTCCAGGCCCCGGATGAACCCCGGATTCTGTGATACTTTGCGAATGGCTGCACATGAACAGATTCACACAGACGTGGACTTTTTTCACACAAATTGAAATAACCTTGGCTAAGAGGCTCGATTGCAGCTCATTAATCTAATTTGCTTGACAATTAGATGCCCACTTAGTTATCAGGGTCTAGAGAGTGAAAGCTTCAAGCCCCGCGGTGGGTCAGGTACGTCAGCAAATTTAACCCAACTTGCCCCTCCGCAGCTCCGCAGTCAACCACCGGAACAAAAATGTCGCATTCTGGTGTTCTTCACGAATATGTATGACTAGTCCAATTCAACTATCTTACTATGAGCTAATAATCGCTTAGGCTCCTAGGCTTGTAGCTTTCGAGTTCACATCGCCTGAGAAGCCAAATAAACCGAACAGCTTGATCTTCGTGGGCGGGTTGACCGATGGGTTTTCCACAGTCCCCTACGTCGCTCCCTTAGCTAAAGTCCTCGAACCAACGGAATGGTCCGTCTTTTCCATCCTACTCTCTTCATCCTATAATGGATTCGGAGTTAGCAGTCTTGACCTCGACGTAGAGGAGATCGCGCAATGTGTGCAATTCATTCGAAAACTGAAGGGTGAATCTGGAAAGGTTGTGGTCATGGGCCATTCCACAGGCAGTCAGGATGTTATGCACTATCTTTACTCGCCCAATCCTCTTTCCAAGAACTCTGATTTCGACATTAGTCTCAAGTACCTGACCCGCCCGAAGCTTGACGGTGCCATCATCCAAGCACCAGTTTCGGACCGGGAGGCTGTTAAGCACCTCATCAAAACATCCCATCGACCCAACGAAGCCCAGAGCGCTTACGATGAGCTCGTAAGCGCTGCTAAGAGACAGCCCTGGACTGAGGATAAGGTGGAATCGATCCTTCCAATGAATCTGACCGGGCTTCTGGGGTTGCCGGGCGATGCACCTCTCAGTGCCCGCCGATTCCTAAGTCTGGTCAGCCCAGACAGTCCTCAGAATCCAGCACAGGACGATCTTTTCAGCTCCGACCTGACTGACAAACGTCACCAGGAAACATTTGGGCAAATTGGTTCGCGAGGCATTTTGAGCTCCAAGTCTAAGTTCTTGGTTCTATACTCGGGTAACGATGAGTATTGCCCACCGTGGGTCGATAAAGAGGCTTTGCTGCAGAGATGGCAACAGGCGACTGAGGCCGGGGGTGTTTCTTGGGATGCGGAAAACGGCGGGATCGTTCATGGTGCCATTCACAATGCCGATGGCAATGGCCAAGAAGACCTGATTGGTCGCGTGGCGCGGTACCTGCAAAGCATCTGAAAGGACAATTGTCCGCCCTCTGGGAAAACAAGATCGAACAGATGAAAGAAATCCGTAGGACATGAAATAAATCATTGGATTTTTCTCTTGACATACACAAGTTTCAATTAGAAAAGACATGCAAAAAACCGCCCAAGAGTATGAATATAAGGGAAATGAAAATTTTAATGAGAGAGAAGACCAAGATGGGGTATATCGAAGTAACGGACAGACCGTTCAGAGTTGACACCAAGTGGGCCCGAATGAAATGCGCACGACTCAAAAGTCAATTAGTAGGCCATGCGTTGTATTTTAAACCTTCAGCCACAGGGTAAAGACACCCTTGAGATACTCGACAATCTCACTGCCACCCAGCTTACTCTCGCCGTAGAGACGATCGACAAAGGTGATAGGACACTCCTCCACCTTGTATCCCAAAGCCTTGGCACGAACCATCATCTCCATCTGGAAACTGTAGCCCTTGCTTTGAGTGCTAGTAATGACCTTGTCAAGAACCGGCTTCTTGTACAGACGGAAACTACCAGTCAAATCGCTGACGCCGGGCATCAACATAACATCCGCGATCATGTTCGCAGTGCGCGACGTGAATTTGCGGAACAGATCCCAGCCATAGACACCACCCTTAATATCCCCACGGTTGGCATAGCGAGTACCGGTCACGATATCGGCATCGCTTTCCTTTTGAATACGGACCATCTCGGGGATGAATTTGGGGTGGTGGCTGAAGTCAGCGTCCATGATGATGACGAAATTGCCGGTGACGTATTGTAGACCGTGAACATAGGCAGTTCCCAAGCCGAGCTTGCCTTCGCGAGGCTTCAGGATGATGTGCTCGGGCCCATAGAGTGTTTGAAGCTGCTTTGCGATCTCGAGGGTTCCGTCAGGGGAGCCATCGTCAACAATGATGACTTCCCAGTCCAACTTGCTATTCAGAAGAAAGATTAATTGTCAGCTGTCGCATTAATAGAGTTATGGGACAAAGACCTGCATACTTTTCGTTGAAGGTCTTCTGAAGCAGCCAAATAATGATAGGGAGGTTCTTCCGTTCGTTGTAGGTCGGCAGAATGACCGAGTACTTGTTCTTGGTGGCGGCCATTCTGAGATGGTTGGAAAATAAGATTCAATCTGTGTCTCCGGGACGAAATCGATCAAAATGAAGAAATAAAAGAAAGTAGGGAGCGAATGGCTGGATAGCTTATTGAAGGGGATGCGGCGTCGCGCCAACTCTGGCCAGATCCGGCGTCGTCCACCGCCTTTGGTACTGCCCGATAACTTATCGCGAGCCATGAGCTTCCCCCAGACAAGACTGATCCTCGTGGATTTGTTTACGATACTAAGTCTCCGAAAATGACATCACAGATAAAACACTCCCACAATGTTTCCAGATGTAAGACTTCTTGTTGTAATTGGTCCTTTTGACATTCTTTCGCCCAAATACTGATCAGCCCTCCAGCTTCACGGCCCCGCAGCTCAACACGGGGTCCTTTAGATGCACCAGATGAGTGAGCAACGAAAGGAACTTCTATGATTGCGAATCCAATCTGACATGCACGCAGTTTCACTGCATCAGCAAGCTCATCATCTTCACCAATTCCGAACAAAAATACCGAAATGGAGGTCTTCTTGGGGACTTCTTTTCACGAATTGGACCCGCTGGCCCCCGATGATCTCCCAGAAACGCTGGGCAAAGACCTTTCTTTCATTCTACGGCATAATATCTTCCATCCACTAAACCATAGTGACATTCCTTCCTCGTTGCGCTCCGAATTCATTGTCCTCAACCCCGGCGAACCGCTCTCGTCCTCACTCGGGGTGCTTGAGAAATTACTTGTTGAAGGTCGTTTCTTGGTCGCTGCACACTTTGCCGCCTCCATATTGACCTCCTCTCTGATAAAACCTACGGATATCAGAATCATATTCTCTCTATTTTATACCCGCCTTGCCTGTCTAGAGCTATCCGGAAATACCGTTCTTGCGGCCCAGGAGTCAAAGGCATTGGAGGATTTGAACTCTGCATTCTATTATATTGACCTTGGGCTTGATTCCTCCGAAGCAGATAACAAGGACAATCATGTTACCAGTCATTATCCTCGTCACATAGTTCCATGGCCATTGCGTGTTCTAGCCGTGAGACTTCAAAGCATCGGATTCGGCGATCCCCGCAGGAGTATCGGTGGACTATATGAGATTGGGCTGGAAGCACGACGAAAGATAACGAATAAAAAAACTGGGGACGCAGAGCGAAAACTTTGGAGAGACAGACTGGCAGACCTAGGAATGCGAAGTGTCAATGCTCTAATCGAAATGGGTGACCTTGATGCAGCCAAAAGATCATTGGAAAGTCTACAATCGTCCGAGCCAGACACAGATATTACAAAACTGCGAAAAGCGCTTCTCTTCCTACGGACTGGTGATGTTGATTCTGCGCAGCGAGTATTTGGTCACTCCCCCGAATCGAAGGAGGCGGCCTTGTTGCAGCCGCTCCTGAGCATGTCAGACGGTCGTTACAATGATGCAGTGAACGAATGGCAGGCTTTACAAGAAGACAAGACAAGGGCAGACGGTGCCTTGATAGCGCAAAACTTGGCTGTTTGTCTTCTTTACTCCGGAAAACTAGATCAGGTATGTTCAATTGCCTTTTGGTCGATGACCTTTTGCTTACGATTTTGCCAGGCGCGTCAACTATTGGAATCTCAAATTTCTGCCAATCACTCATTCGGCAGTCTTTTTTTCAACCTGTCAACGGTCTACGAACTCTGTTCTGACCATGCTGGTCAATTGAAGGGGCAGCTGGCAGCTACCCTCGCAAGTCAACCAGTTTCTGGGCAGACTAACATGGACCGACCTAACACTGATTTTAAGCTATGAGATGATTGAGAGAAAGACTTAGTATGGTTATCCTTAATTCAAACCTTCTTGTAAAACTCCAAGTGTGCAGAAGATGCGATTTCAACAGTCCATGGAGAATTGAGCAACTGCAAGCCAATAAAAATATTCATGATCTTGGCACCAATGCCATATTTCCCACCAAGAACGCCAGCCAAGAAAATGCAATTATGTCCAGTTGGCTCATTTGCCTGCTGGAATGGGCCCCGTTTTCGACGATGGTCGAGCCTTGGGAACCCTAATTATGACCTTATCATCCTCCAGTTGCCAGCCCAGATTCTCTTTCCGGGTCAGCTCCTCCCACGTCCATTTTCTATCATCACCGGTACACCCGCCTATGATCCAGTTCACATTTACGTTGAGGTACGCGCTGCCCACAGCCTTCAAGGCGTGTCTCCGCACTCGGTCCACGGCCCAATTCATCACCGCGCGCAAGTATGAGTCCACACTTTTGCGCACCTGCCAGAAAGCCACCCAGTTATCATGCATCAAGGCCGTCAAGACACGGTCAACAGTCTGCGATTGAAAGTCATAGTCCCGCCGCGCCCGCGCCCGCAACTCAAAGGCCGATACCATGTTCTGCTGCCGACACGCATAGTCGAGAATCAAGTATGAGATCAAATCTTTTACTTCCGAGTCGGCCATTGGGTGGGATTTGGAGTGCAGTTTGCGCAAGCAGTACTCCAAGGACGGAAAATAGGACGGAGGGTGTTGCGCAAGAATAGACATGCGGATCGAGAAATAGTGCACGCGCTGTGCAAATGCGGGTGGAGTTGTTCGTGATGTTGCCAGGATGCCTTCTCGCAGCTTCCGGAGGGAAAGAAGTAACTTTGACAATTCCGTCGACGGTGGGGGGATGTGCTTCTCTGCGGGGTCGGACTTAGTCCTTGCGACCGGCTGGGCTGCAGGTGGGTTGGAGGTTGCGTCATTCGAGGAGCTCAGGGGAAGCGATGCGTGTGCTTGATCAAAATCCTTCTGGTGATCGGAGCAGAATCGCAGATATCGTTCGACAATCTTATCATAGTAGTCCTGCTGGGCTTTGTGGTCGAGAAGCCTACCATGGATCGCGTCAGAGTGACTAGTGAATGGTGTGAGAGTAACCTACGTCCTGTCACCCTTTGAGACAAAACCGACCCTATCCAGAGGGTCAGCCACAGGCTTCAACCGGCTTTTGGTGGACTGCATCGAGGACGCGTCAGGGGAGATCTGGGGTCCATGTGGGCCAAGGCTAGTGGCTTGAGACCGATTGCCGCTGTTTGTGCTTGTGAGGTTTGTATTGTTTGCATGAGGGAAGAGAGGCCGAGGTCCCAACTACTCAACGCTTCTCTCCATTTAGTTCACCATTCCTTGTGAGTACTTCCGAGATTATTTTCTGTGTTTTTAGATGTTCTGGTAGCAATTCAATCCACACCGTTCATCTGCTTGCATGTCGTGCATGATTTGTGGCTGATCCGTCCAGTTCCAAACACCACCTTACATTGGACTTTACATGTGACGATGTCTCGCCAGCGTCGTCCAGCAACTGCGGTCGATCCGGTCCTTGAAGTTCCTCCCAAAATGATTAACAAGCTTCTTCACTGGGACGAGTTACCTCATTGGCAGCGTGATAATCACCACATCCATACTGGATATCGACCAGCCTCGTCTTCATTCCGGGTCTCGTTCCAATCGCTGAGTTACTTTCACAACGAGACAATCAATATCTACAGTCACCTTCTACCGTCCCTTTTGGCTGTTCCTGCAGCTTATCAGCTCTATAATGCCTTGGAACCTCGTTATCAAACTGCAGCAGACTCTGACATCGTTGCGTTTGCCTGCTTCTTCGCCGGTGCTGCTTTCTGTATGGGAATGTCCGCGACATACCATGCCATCTCCAATCATTCACCCATGGTGGCCCGGATTGGCAATGCGCTTGACTACATCGGCATAGTCGGGCTCATCGTGGGCAGCTTTGTACCCAGTGTCTTCTATGGGTTCTACTGTGTACCCGAGCTCCAACATCGATACTGGACCATGATCTGCAGCATTGGGCTGGGCTGCGTGTGTGTCTCAATCCTCCCACGGTTCCGGACACCCCGTTGGCGACCATTCCGAGCCGCCATGTTTGTCGGGATGGGCCTGTCGGCCGTCTTCCCCGTACTCCATGGCTTGGCTATATTTGGTTTCGACCGTATGCGACAACAGATTGGTCTCAGCTGGCTTCTGCTCCAGGGGTTTTTATATATTCTCGGAGCCGCCATATATGCGGCAAGGGTACCCGAGAGACTGTGGCCCGGCAAGTTTGACCTTGTTGGCAGCTCCCATCAAATTTTCCACGTGCTGGTTGTGTGCGCGGCGGTGGCTCATCTGACTGGGCTCTTGAAGGCGTTCGATTACCGGCATAGCGGGACTGCCGAGATTTGTCAGATTCCACGCGGCTGAGTTATGACAGCAGTTGCGTAAAGAGAATAGGGTCGGACAGCATGCTCATGGCAATTCTAGAGGTCGCATGGAATGAAACATTCTAAGCGTGTGGCGAGAAGGTATACGCTCGTCATCAACGGTGAAAGTCCCTGCTGACGGTGACCCTGTTCATGATGTGCAACAATGACCACGGTCAGAGTGAAGCGGTGAATAGCTCTGACAGGGAAAAGACCCCAAGGCCCTGGCTCGATCCGGTCAGCCGAGTTCAAACGCACTGGATATTTCACATGATGCTCGTCTCTGGAGAGATTGTAGATAAGTTTCATTGGTCGTGCAGTCGGGTCTGGCCGACAACAGACTCCCTGAATAGCCCTTTTCAGCCGCGGTGGTCGTCATATTACCTTTCAAGAAATCCACGAGCGAAGTACAATAGTAATTGAAAAACCTAACTCCGTGGGTCATTTACGATGTTGCATCAGTGTGTGTGACTGTGAGGGCCCTTAGGGGACTCCAGGTCCCAAACATACCTTTCTGCTTTAACCTATCACGAGCGATGCGCGAATCGAGCAACAGCTGGTCCCAGCGATATGTTCCCCTATATGGCCTGACCATTGACGCTGTGGGGGTTCGAGAGAAGGGAAGGAGGGCAACCCCTTGACTTTTACTTTTCAAAGTGCCTGTCGCCATCTCAGACCAAGTCGATCAGATGGAAGCATTCTTGGGTTTCACAGCGGCTGACCTCTTTGCGGCTGCCGCCGGTATAGGAATCCGAATGCAAGTGTGACATTTCTTATTGCTGGATTCCTTGGAACATGAAGCTTGAGCATATTTTTATATATACGAGGACAAAGGGGACGGTGTGTGTGTGTCAGAAGAAGAGGGGGAAGGACTCGATGTGTCCTATTGGATTGTATACTGCATGCCCAGCCCAGGGTTCCCTATTTGATTTTCTCGTTCCCATGCACTGATCGCCCTGGCATTGTCGATCTTCCTCGTGAGATATCTCTATCTTCCTGGGTCCGAGCCAAAATACTTTTAGTTTGATAATTCTTTCCAGTCTCTACTCCTCGTTTGCCAACCATGCTTACCGAGTCCAATGGCAGTTCCCATGTCGGGGGTAACGCACCGAAACTTCGAACCGCTTGTGAAAACTGTAGGCAGTCAAAAGTGAAATGCAACCTGTCGGGGAAGAATGTCTGTACGAGGTGTCTGCGACATGGCTTGCAGTGTCAGTATGGCTTTGCCAACCGTTCTGGCAAGCCAAAGGGCAGCAAGAATCGAGCCACGCTCCGCAAGCTGGGCCAACTCCAAGAGGATAAGTCGCCTGTCCGAGGGTTTCGTGGCAATCGAATAGTGCCTCCTGTGGCCGATCGAGGGTCTCGGGTTCCCACGGAACATCCAAGTCATATGGGAGATCCAATGATGAATGATGATGTAGGTGAATCGCATTTGCTCTTTGAAAATTGTGGTATTTTCTAACCTTCTCTGCCATTTAGATGTGCTTGATACCAGGCCCACCGGTGTTCTGGGAAAGCCCACGAAGCTTTGGTAGTACTACCGCATTGGACACGCCCATATGTCCTTCGAATCTGGGAACGATTGACGATTCACCTTTCACTGATCTCATGGATTCCTGCCCTACAATGCCTCTTGGTATGGGATACCCCCACACACCCGTCACACCCACTTTCCTTCCATCAGACCCTCTCATCGATGGGATGGCGAGCCCGCCATTTGGTGGATCTGTCTCTTCGCCGTACCCATCGGCAGCCTGTGAATGTGTAGACAAACAGATATTCTATATGAACCGATTGACTCACCTTCTGGCGGAGTCGATGTCTCTACGATTTGACAACAGCCTCCAAGCCATCAAAGCCACATTTTGTGCATGTCAATTCTTCATGCAGTGCGTCAAGTGCACGAAAGATAGCGCAAACCTGATTCTAGTCATCTCTGTCCTTAACTTGACTCTACAACTGTTCGCGTATTGGATCTCACGCGAAGCTTTGCGAATTCCTCGGGCAGAGCTTGGGGGCGACATTCGCTATGGATATTATGAGCTTGGTCAGGATGATAACCGACAGATCCGGGCTTTCTTGCTTCGCAAGTTGCTGCTGCAGTGCAAAGACATCTTGTCTATGTTAACGGCCGTTGTCAATACGGTTTGTCTCGAAACCCCCAAGCTTCTTGATGGCGAAGGTTCTGCTGAGCCGAGCATGAGGACTGGAGATCCTGTCAATCAGCCTTGGGCTTCATCGGAGCACTTTGGTGCCAATTTCTCTCATCATCTAGAATCGGACACGCTGTCTGGCCCTGGAAGTAATTGTCTGCTGCCTGTCATTGTTGGTTACGAGGCTACAGTCGAGGCATTTCTCCAATCTGTCTCCAGTAATTGTATCTGCGGATCCAAATACTCGGTACCAGACGAGTCTCTTTGATTCTGCAACTGTGAATATGGAAAATCTGGATAGGAGAGGGTATTCTGCCACCATTACTTTTGTTAATTCTCTTTTCTACTTTCCCAAGTTGTATTTACGGATCTCGTGCTTAGATAGGATTCAGCTCACGGTAAACGTGCATCGTATTTTTTTTCAACCAGCAAATTTGAATCAAATAGGCTATATGCTTTATGCTACTATTTCTCCTATTTTGTCTGATATATAGTTCATGGCTCTCATTGCCTTTTGACAACCCCACACTCTCGGTCCGCGACGAGCCTCGGCATTCCAACCGCCTTGTATAAGACCACAGCTTCCCCCTCATCTTAACCGATGCATCACCAAAGCAAAACCACTTATCAAAATGGCGCCTTCCGATCGTCTCAATCAGATTAACAAGCACCTTAACTTCCCGGCTGGTCTCCTTGCTGGGCAAGTGGCTATCATCACTGGTGCGGGCCAAGGTATCGGTGCGGAGGCTGCTCGGCTGTTCGCCAACGAAGGCGCAAAAGTCGTAGTAGCAGATATCGATGGCAGTATGTACTCATGCCCCCTCTCTCCACCCAGATCACTTGAATGTCTCCTTCATCTTGCTTCCCTGGGAACGTAGCTAATACCCCAAAATAGAGAAAGCCAACGCGGTCGCTGACGCCATTAACGCCGCCGAGCCTGGCCGCGCCTTGGCTGTGGCCGGCGACGTCCTCGACAGCAACTACATCACCGAACTCGTGAAGCGCACAGCCGAGTTTGGTGGTGGCAAGATCCACATTATTGTCAACAATGCTGGGTTCACTTGGGACGGTGTGATTCACAAGGTGAGCCTGCTTCTGCAACTTAACATTGTTTATTACTCATTCCCAAGATCACTCCCACTGTCCATTGCCCTAGCTAGACATATGAAGAGCTAACGAGGGACACCCATGCTTGAATCTGTAGATCACCGATAAGCAATGGGATACCATGCTTGCAGTGCACAACACTGCGCCTTTCCGACTAGTGCGAGAGGCGGCGCCGTATTTCCGAGTCAAGGACAAGGAGCCGCGCGTTATTATCAACATCAGCAGCACAAGCGGTATTCACGGTAATGCGTAAGCGGACTATGATTCCCCTGATAACTCCGATAAGATGCTAACCAATCCCTTCAATAGTGGCCAGGCCAACTACGCAGTCGCCAAAGCCGGCGTTGTCGGTCTTACCCGCACAATCGCTAAAGAATGGGGCCCTGCCTTTGGTGTGCGCTCTAATACGATCGCCTTTGGCTACGTGACCACCCGTCTCACAGCTGCCAAGGAAGAGGGCGCCTTCGTCACCACCCCTGACGGTACTAAGGTGGCTCTGGGTATTCCCGGCAAGCAGCTTGCTAGCAAGAAGGGAGATGAGGCCAAGGCTGAGACTTTCCCGGATATTCCACTGCGGAGACCAGCGAGCCCTGAAGAGGCAGCACGTTCAATCTTGGGTGTTGCTAGCCCGTACTTCTCCTATGTGAATGGGGAGACGATCCGGGTTACTGGTGGGCGCAATATGTAATTTGGGGTTGGCACTTGTAATTTTGTCACATGCGATTCTGAATTATGTTTGACTGTCCCATATTAGCTTCAGGTTAGGCAAAACCTAGGTATACAGTATCAAGGTTCAAAGTTGATATTCATGGATTTACTTTTGTGTTAGGTAACCAGAATGCCACCAGCACCTTCCTCTTTTGCATCTATGGATGAAGTATAAAGCCCACAATAGAAGAAAATGAATTGAACAGAGACTACCTTGAACATTTCAGATGACAACCTTTAGGTATACATAATGTGTATGTATGATTGGTTCCACCTCTAACGAGCAGATCTATCCCACCAGCCCTGAAGGCTGTGCTACTCATGACTAAAATAAATAGAGTAGAAAAAAGACGACTGGAAATTTCCTCATTCAATCTAGCTGATAACATTGAATTGAAAGCCAGAGATATTATTACTGATTTCTTTCAAAGCTTCCACATGGTCGACCGAGCCGACTATAGCTGTCATTGTAAATATCAGTATATATCAGTGCTAGATACATACAAAGCGATGTTTGGAAATATTCCATGGCAGTTGCCTAGAAGGTTAATAGGTAGGGCAGGCCTCCACATCCCTCCACAGATATAGAGCTTTATCTCGACAAACCTCCCTCTCCTGTCCCGAGGTCTACATTCGACTCGATATACGCAAGTAGCAAAAGAATATGTGAGTGATTTGGAGAAATTGACAGGGACCAACAATAGCGTGCAAGTTTATCTCGCAGTCACCCCCTCAGTCCACGGGTAACGGGACGAGGAGGTGCAGCCTAAGCGCCAGCCTAATGCGTGCCGAGGAGCGAATCAGCCACGCAGTCATGGACACGCGTCTTAACAGAGCGAGATAATCATCTCAAATGCCAATGTGCATAAAACTTCAGACTTCACGGACCATTGGCAACTGACTTGTGTTTACGATGATGCAGCTGACGCAGAACAGGGCTTGAGCAAGCCTAGGCACCCACTTGTCATCTCTGGCGGGTCTTTTTGAAACTAAGGTAAGCTCTATATCGCGCGCTCAGGAGACGTGTCTCATGTGGAGTGCAGATAGTAATTAAATGGTTTCTCCGTGGCAACGTATAAGAATTAAGGCACGATATGGGGTCGACAAGCTCGTATGAAAAAATTAACATTTTCAAGTAAGAAATACTTAAGTGCGGAGTACTGGGTGGTCCATCGGAAGCAATTGGCATCATACTCTCCACTAGACCTCCTCTACGAAGAAGGAGCGGTGAGTTCAAGCTCGCTTTCCCATTCCTATCGTTGCCCAGCCCCCCCCCCCCCCCCCCCGTACGAGACCCAATTTACTCTAGACAAGGCTCCCCCAGCCCCGCTTCTGGGCTCACACGGACCACAGGTACGGAGTAGATTGGGACAGGTGGCGCGACCGCTAAAATGTATCTAACGCACATTAAATTTTGGTAAGGTGGATACCTAGCATTAGCCAGGTACCTAGTTAGGTATGCTGCAGAGGACCCGCCATGGTTAGGTATTTAGACAGATTTTGAACTCTGGATTGCGGATAGCTCGAGTAAAGCGAAGCGAAACCTTGAGCTCCAGATGAATGCCAAAAAGCAAAAGGGAAAAGCGGAGAGAGAGATAAAACGGCGTAGAGATTGATAGGGCCGTAGGAATATAGTTTGCATTGGAACAACGTTACTCAGTGGTTGCACAATGCAGTGAGCATGAGGTTCTTCCAGCCATCTGGGCGCAAAAGACTAAACGCGAGTGACGAATCAATCAGCAAGGATCGCACATCTGTGAGATCCAGGCCGCATGAATACGTGGAAAAAAGTCTCGAATATCCCCCTCGGGTTAGTGCTCGTTCATGCCTCATGCCTCATACCTCACGTCTCACTTGGGCAGCAATGGGTGGTACGACATCTGGAGCATCCACAGCACCCACACGAGACGACCCGCATCGTCGACGCCGCTGCCTTGCGGACGTAGGACATGGCAACGTTGTACGGGAAGAAGAGGAAATTCATTGAAACCCAGGGGTTGAACATAGTGTAGATTGTATGCAATTATCGCTTGATTGTCGGTATCATTGTAAAACAAATCCCAGTCCCAATAATCCAATCCAATCCAATCCAACCATGATGTGATAAGTCTATGCACATATGCAAAGTAATCCGAGATCAAATCACCACCCATAAAATCATAATCAGGTAACGAAATAGAGATGAATGCTTTCCCGGAAAAACAAAACATTCACAAAAAAAAGTCCACACCCAATGTGATGAAATCAAGACTCCCAGCGCCTCGAAACGACTCCACGTTTCGTAACAAAAATAAAATGTGTCATCTACCCTCCCAGGGGTAGTCTTCAATCGTGCCTCCCAATATATGCCAGAAACGTTTCAAAATCCAGTCGAAGCAGAGAAAAATAAATAACAAAGTTGGCCTCCTGGTATGTGGTGAGAAATATTAAAACAGTAGAAGCGAAAGCCAAATCATGGTGGGATAACGGAAGTGGCCAGGGAAAAGTAGCCCGAATCCAGTGGATGGAGGAGAGATGTAGTCCAATGGAGAGAAGTATGTCCAGGATAATATATAATGATGGAGATGGGCAGCCAAGTTCCAGAATAGGAATCCTCAACTTGGCGACCTTGTTTTTGACGGCTTTTGGGGGGGGGGAAGACCATAAAGAATCCGAAAAATGTATAAAAATCAAAAGAACTCCCAGTGCGCACAGCGGGTTAGGACGGAAGTAGGGCGTGTAAATCGTGCAGCGGCGTTAAATGTCGGCCTTAAGGGGTTTTAACAGACCAGAATGGGCGCTCCCGTGAAGTTATCTGGCATGCCATGGTCCACGCAGATGGGGTGGGGAAAGACAACCTTGCAGTCCGGTACTTGCACCTGTTCCGAGGCCATGGGCGACATGTAGTTGTAATCGTAGTCACCATAGTCCTCAGTCAAGGCCGAGGTATCGGAGATGGCCGAGTCGGAGAAATCAGAATAGTGTGACGAGTCCGACGACGATCCAGATTGTTGGGCATGCAAGGGCTCCACGGGAACGAAGGGCATCTGGGGCTGGACCAAGTAGTCGGCCTGCGGAATCTGGTCCGGCACCCAGGAGGTCACAGGGGGTTGTTCGGTAAATCGGGGGCAATCCACGATCAGTTGGCGCAGTTCCGGGATGGTGATCCTCTTGGCAGGGTCGCGCTCAAATACGCGGCTGAGAATACAGACCATCTCCGTGGATAGGGGCAGGATGGACTTGAGGAAGAATGGATCCTTGAGGTATGCCCGGAATGTGGAATCCTCGAGGGAGGCACGCTTCCATGGGTTGCGACCGCAGGTCAGGTTCACAAGCATCACACCCAGGCTCCAGACGTCATTGGCTGCGGAGGCGTAACAAGACATGGGTCGGGGGTTGGTCTGTTGACATTCTGTTTGGGATGAATTAGGGTTGGGTCCGGGCTGGGGGATAATACAAGATCGGTTTCATCTATGGCGTGAGACAAACTTACCAGGCGACATGTAGAAAGTGGAACCGCAACCGAAATCCGTGGTGAAGTAATCCGTGGTGGCCAAGCCGAAGTCAGCCAGTTTAACAGTCATGCCTTGATCCGTCACCAAAACGTTCTCAGGCTTAAGATCCCGGTGGTAAATCCCGATGGAGTGGCAGAACTGTACGGCATCCAGCAATTGCAAGAATACGCGCTTGACCAAGGGGTCATTGGAGACAAAGTTTCCCTTATCGGTGATACTAGAGAACAAATCACCTTCCGGGCAGTATTCCATGACGACGTAAGTGCAATCCACGGAATCCATAATTCGAATTAAGGAGACCACATTGGGGTGTTGGCTGGCCAGATGGTGTAGACGGATCTCTCGCTGTTGGTATTTCAATTGTCGGGGGTCCAGCCCAGATTTATTCAAGGCCTTGACGGCATAGGAAACGTTGGTGTGAATGTCCACGGCAGTATAGACGACTCCATAAGCACCGACGCCCAGAATTCCGGTGAGTTCAAGACGGTTGGCCAAGATAAATCCTAATCGGTCCTCGGGAGTGTAACACCGGAGAGTGGGAGAAGGTGGTGGTGTGGGAAGCATGGCCGGATACATGGTAACAGGATATAGGGTAAGATAGGGTATATAGATCCGGGGAATTTGGGGGTTGGGGTAATATAAAGTATAAATCCGGATAGAAAAAGACTTCTCTAATCCTTGGGGCAAAGGTAGAGAGAGTAGCGAGAAATATTTCCAAAATAATCCAAGGAGGTTTGTTTATCCAGGGAAGTAGTTTTCGATTTCCAAATGCAACGGCATTCAAGGACAGGTATCCATTCCAGAAAGTAAGCAAGATCCAGAGAAAGGGGGCCGGTCTAGTTGATGATCCGGGCGAGAGGGGTTTTTGGTTTGGGGAAGGGGGGGGGAGGTTGTTTGGCGGGTATATAAATATTAAAAACAAACACCAAGATGTTTGAAAGGGACAGAAAATCAAAAGGACTAAAAGGAAAGTATAGATCAAGTTTGAATATCGAAAATGGAAAATAATAAAAACAATATAAGGGGGGGGAAGGGGGCGATAAAAATATCGATGATGCGTCGAGTCGTGTTAGTCCATGTGGATTTAGGCCAGGCCACCGTGGCTCCAGGAAGCGGTGTACATCAAGTACACTAGTGCCGGGACTAGTAGGGTGAGCTGACCATCAAAGCCAATCATAATTCTAATTTCAACTGTGCGGAACTCCATGCATGCGCCACCCTGCGGGTCTTGATTCGTGACTTTTCTTTTTTTATGAAGTTTTGGTTCAATTTTACCCATTTTGCTTTTTTTTTTTGTTGTCACTTGGCCCCTTTTGCTTCTCTTACTCTTTCCCCACCCCCCCTTCTGCCAACTTCCATTCCTTGTGGCAATTATGATTCGAGACCTCTCCGACTTCTCCGCCACTTCATCCCGTTCCCACATGGACTTGCCTTGTGTTTCCCGTAGCCCCGCAATTAAAAACCAGAAACAAAAATATGTTGGCAAATGTTTCCCCAACCATGTTTCCGTGTTCCGTTTCACTTGTAGCAGGGGGATGTTTCCACTTGCAACAGGACTAGGATCAGCGTATATTACAGTACAATATAACTGTGAAAATATTTCTTTGGCCCCAACTCTATTTCGCCCCGTGCGAACTAAGAGAAAGCATCAACCAAAGCACCGACCAACAAAGAAAAAGTGAGGCGATGCAAGAGGGGTCTCCACCCAATCAAAACCATAGGGCGTTGATGTGTATTCGAGAACGAGTGGATCATCTTTCCCGGCTACCAGTCGTTGCACGGGCCTGCAGACCCTGGCCAAACTGTGACTCCCTCCAATTCTGAACTGATTGGTCAACGTGGTGAGTTTAGGGGGGAGGGGAGGGGCATCCATGGCCTTTGTGTGACTCCGTAGGCGCCAGCTGTGGCAGAGAAGAACTGGGAAATTCTGCCTTGCCTGCCTTCCGGAACTAACCGTAAAGGACAGCTCATATGAATCAACCAGTCAAACTGCGGTGAGGGTCACCTGATCTACACGATGCATCACATCGACTCGTTGTGCTCTGCACCCCAGGATTGGCAATGCAGCTGGACCGCTTGCTTCCGAGAGTTTTCTCACCGCTACCCTAGAATCTACCAGTTCCATGCTCCACGATCAATAGTTTCTGCATAGATCGGGCATACTCCAGACTAAGCTATCCCAAATTCCGGTCTTAGTCAACTAGCCCTGCATGGAGGCGCGGAATGCGACCTGCCAGGGGGAGAAAGGAGGAATCACCATTTCTATCGCCCCACAAAATAAACAAATCTAGACATCATTCAAGCACATGGTTTTCAAGTATAATCTCATCACCACTTCTGTTTATTCATCGTTCCCGGATATCTTTGCCACTAGAGTGGTGGCAACCATGGAACGCGGAGATCTTCGCCTTCGAGAACTCTCCACTAGAATAATGCAACCCCAACTTTCGGTTTGATCATTGAAAGTGTACACCAACCCGGTAGGTCCTGCAAACCGATTATGCTCTGTACTCCGTAGTCAGATATGTTAACGTCCTCGTACATGTACGTTGCAGGGTCAGTTGCACCACCTATTCCAAGTACAACAGGTCAACAACAAGTCCCCCCACAAGGCGTCCAATATAATCCACATTGCAATGCATGGCCCCGAAACGCCATGCATCATCACCCGGGCTAGCTTCACCCCCACCATTCACCTTACTCCTTTCTGCCTTTTTTGCCTTTCACTCAACATCCTGATCCCTCGTATTCTACTCGTCAGCCCAAATCACTAGCCACGCAATTTCCAGCGCCCAGTCCAATCGGCTCTTATCCTCTCCTAACAAATCCCAGAATTCCAGCTCACCGGCCTGCCCATTTGTCCATTGTCTCGGGAAATATGGCTCTCGTTCGAGCGGGGGCAAACACGGCACACTAGCCTGCTGCGAAATGAGTACGTAGATGGCTTCTTGGAGGGTCTTGGTTTCTGTTTCTTTTTCTGTTCTCACCTGGCTTGCAATATCCCCTTTGCTCGGGTCCGAAAGGGATGGATCTGACGCGTGGTTTAACGGGCAACCGTTTGTGATGGGTCAGATGTGTTGTGAGATCGGCGGCATCTTAACTCCTCTCAACCATGGATAGAATCATGGTTGATGTCAACTTTCGCTGATCTAGACCTACTCCGGCGGGTCCGAGGACGTGGCCATTTTCCTATCACGTACTGGAGAACTGCATTTGAACGAGGTTCAAGAGCTGGAACATGGTTGGCTGGCTGGGGAATATTCTTTATTGGATGGGGGATAATTCCATTCTCTTGAGCCTCTTCTGGCTGACCCAGGCACGGCTTTGGTGTAGAAAGTTTCTAGAATCGTTCCCATGATTGTCCTGATTTGATCTGCCTAGTATGCAGTAACTAATAATCGATTGACATATTAGTCAACCACTACGTACTTCGGACTGTTTCACATATCATTGTTTGCCTTCCTGGGGGCCAGGCTAAGCATATACATGTAGATCGATATGATGTCGTAGACAATATGTACAGTCTCCACTCTGTATTGCCACCTGCATATGATATTGACTCAAAAGTGTCAATACCCAACGTCAGATACTTTACCCCCTCTTCTGTACATTGCCGAGGGTTTCGGAGTACAGCAGGATCAATTGCCTCCGGCTTCCAAGCTCTTATCCAAGTTGCCACGGAAAATGACTGACATCAGCCTTGGTGTAAGGCGATGACTGTGCAGGCTAACTTCCGCCAACAGTGAAGAAGAGTAGTGTGCGACTATCGTTGCTCAGCGAAAGAACATTTTGCTTCATGAAAACTATTTGAACGTGCTTTGGAAGGGTAGTAGTCCAGTGGACTGTAGTAGTAAATGCCTTGGTGATGATATCTGGAGGTGAGGCCATTGCTCGTGGCACTGCTGTCTCGGGCACCTGCATGATAGCTCTTAGCTCTATACTGAAAACCAAGCATGGAAATTTCCAAGTTTCAGATATATTTTCATCCGCTTTGATTGCCTAGTATCCGTGCTGTGATTATATTGATGTACATGTGCTGTAGTGTATTTTCAAGCACTTGGAGCGGGGAGTCTCTGATTGAATTGGATATTGAATCTCAAACATTTAAATTCTCTCAGTAATTGCGGTTCCAGTGGATAGGTGCCCAGCTGCATTGTTGTACATGCTGGTATATATTTGCCCAAGGAGCCCTGAAATCAAAAAAATCATGTTCAAATATTATATTGGGGTTCAATTTTATTGAATTTCCAAGACTATCAACGTTAGTATCTTGTTCAGATTGGTGTTCTGCTCAAATTTATGTTCCGACATTTGAACTTGAAAGGTGAGCCCCCCCCCCCCCCCCCCGGGTCTCCCGAGACTTTCCTCTACCCCCATCGAAGAAAAGCCTCGAAAAAAAAATGAAATTGCGATCAAACAAGAACCTGATAGTCTAGATCCTTTAATATCATTAGAAAACAGTGTATTTTGCGGGGATGGCGGTGTTCCAGCCTCATTGAGTAATTCTGCAGCACCTGGACGCTGCAGAGTTGCAACCATGATAATATGAAACATGGTCGCAACACCAGGAAAATAAATCTTAACTCTCTCCATAGTATCTGGTTTGAAGAAATAAACGTAAGAACCAGGCTTACAGTCAATATACATGGGTATTCTCCAACATATCGCATTTCCCAAGATCATCCGCGGTGACTTCAAATCTCAGCCTCCGTTTGGGCTCTTCGGAGTGCTGGACAAGGTTTGGAAAAGTCGGAACAGTTTGTGTGGACTCTTGTGCAGGTGATAAAAGGTGGTTGTAGAGGGAGGAATCTGAATTCTTTCCCTCCAATATTGAGGATGATTGAAAGAACTATCAGAAAGCTTGTGTGGGAGAGATATGGTGGGGTGGAGAAGGACGCGAGGCTTGGGACCACAAATGCCTCATATTCAAAGTACTTATACTATATCGAGGAGTGGAAATGACCGATTCTCTTGACCAGCTTCTGGTCTGAACTTAACTTTAGGTGAAAACAGAATAACCATGCATGACAACCGGTCATTGCTAGTATGACTCCACTGAAACGTCGGCTCAATCAAAAGTCGCCGTCGGTGTTTTAACATTTAGACAGAACAAATAAAGGGAGGATGTTATTGGATCAAAACCACTCATAAACAGCTTTGTAGCTCTCTGGGGGTGGAAGATGAAATGTAATTATCAGCTAATGAGTTGAATATTGATTAGATTATACTATATGGAACTGGCCCGTCCAATTTGGAATTTCTCAATGTTACTCTATTGCCAATGATAAAGATCTCCTTGTAGCTTAGCACTCGTATTCGCACCAGGCTGCAAAGAGCTGAAATACGAATAAAAATATCGCCTGGCAACCCCTTTCTATGACAACGGCATCCCAAATATAGATACCAATTTCTTGAATTATTTCCACTGGGTCTTCATTCTGTACAGCACCCAAGGTCGATCAGCAATCTTGGAATTCAAGTGAGTGGATCAGGGATATTCAGCTTCCGCAAGGACGAGGCTTGGCCTTGAGTCAAAAGCAGACAAGCCCCATAGGGCTTGCGGGTCTCGAGGCTGAGATGCAATGGGTCACAACATTTAGGCAGACACATTTCTCGCCAATTCTTCTTCGAAACATTTGGATTTGGGCGTACCAGCGCCCTGATTCAGGTATTCATTCGGCGTGTCTTCCAATGCTGTGCTTTGTAATTGCCGGTCGACCACAATGGCCGGTATTTATACAGACTGTGGCAGATTCACTGGCTGAGAGTACTGCCAAACGATTACTTTGGCTTAGGCCATCCATCAATGTCGGCAAACCAGCGCGACCGATATATCTCATCGCCCAAGTTGATCTTGCGCCGCACACCGTTTACTACCAAACTGGTATGGAAGCCACGGAACTTGGTCCAGAGCGACTGCACATAAATAAAGCTGCCATCCGGCGCCAGGTTGAAACTCTTCAGATCTGACTGTGGCAGCTCCTCAAACTGACCCGTGTGATTTATACCGTGACGGTCATCGGTCGTTACCTCAAAGCCCGGCATAAACATATCTTGAACATCTTGATACTCGGCGAAGAACTCGCCCTTCTCAATGTCAAAGGCGTGCAAGCCCCGATCCTCTGAGATGAGAAACTTGCGCTGATTTGGCACGGGAACGAGATCATGCGGCCCGGCCCACCACGGGTATCCTTTACCCCATTCAGTTTCGATGGTGTACGCATTGAGGAGATGGTAGATGTACCGGTCATCTTTCCTCAATTCCCCCGTCGCTGCATCGAACGGGTAGCCTATTATGGTACCGTAGGCTGGAACGGGATCTGTTCCATCGGCAGCGGCGTTGGTTCCAGTCGCCCAGAGCATCTGGCCCTGCTCATCCCAGATCATGCCGTGGATGGCGCGGAGACCTGTGATATTCTGCAAGACAGGTGGGTCATCGACGAGGGGATTATCAAGACTGACGTTATACACGAGAATACCATCCCAGGGACGTTGACCGGTGGTGGAGACCGCGAGGAGGTCATTAGGAAGGGGTTCGACGCTGTGAGCATTCCACAGGTACTGATTATCGCGACAGGTGGCCCATGTGATTTTTTTATCGCGGGTTGAGTCATCCGGGGTGTGGTTCACGACCAAGACGAGATCACTGTATATGGCAGCGACACTGGTGCCGTCGCGCATGTACTTCATGTCGGTCGCATCATTTGCACCTCCCCACAAACACCGTTGTATATTCGGAGGGAGATCCTGATGGACGTCTTCCCGGCGAAAACTCCATTTGACATCTCCGGTTCGGTCGTGGATCTTGAGCAGGGGTGGGTGGCCGTATACGCCTGTGATAATGTTTTGCCAAGGTCTATTCTCGGGCCGTAATCGGGCTTGGGGCTGTATAGGTGGAATATACCAGTCGGCCAATGGCTCAAACAACAACGGGATCCAGCCCAAGGCACCCAACATGATTCAGACTTGGTGTTTGCGGAACTGTAGGGGAGGGGAAAAGAAATCCTCTTGCCCGAAGGGTTTCCTCCCGATACGAGTGGAGAGTGGAGAATTTGGGGGCGGGGGTATTACGCCAACATTGGACTTGGGAATTCTATTCACCAGTTCAATGGTCATGGGGGACAAGTTCAGAGATAATCAAAGATGACGATGATGGAATCACTCAGCCTCGTTGGATTTCTTGGCAAATTGGGTCTCAAAGTGGATTCTGACCAATACAGTTAATGATCGAATCGAATCCACACTGATAGGACCCTGACTTGGTTAAGGGTCGCGTGTCTTGGGCCAAAAAACATCTCATTCTCCTCATTTCCTTTCCCCTAACTCTCTTATGCCATCATGAAGAAGGTGGCCGGCGTGGTGAAATATGTGCGCTACCAGGCCAGCCAACTCTATCAATCTCCTGCTAGGACACTTGCTGTTCTAGAAGTCTTTTGGGACTTTTCGCGTCGTTATTTTTACGCTTTAGCCTTTTGGTCACTACTCGGTGCTAAATTGCTTCATCTTTTTGCCCACTTATATTCTCTTCCCTTACACAAGTTTGTTCTCTGGGGACCATCATTCTTTTTCCAAGATTTTGCAATCCTACTACTATTTCGCATTTTGGTGCAGAAAACCTCGGGTGTCATTGCAGCGATATGTGCCCTCATTGTTCTTCCATTTAGGTAAATCCTCACGTATCCCCTGTTACCTTGTCGAATCCAATCTAACGGCCAAATTTGCAGTTTGATTGTCTCAGGAATGGCTGCTGCCAACTTCTCTGTCTATGTCTTTACAGGATCCGAGATTCATTGGCGACAGGCCAAAACCTTTACTGGTGATGCGGCTGCTCTTCGAACATTGTTATCCGGGTTGACCGGATTTTTGATCGGCGAGGCGCTACTTGTGGCGTGCGCCCTGTTCACTAACCGTCCGATCCACAAATTTGGTGGTGGCGTTTTGCATGTCTTGGCGTGGCCCTTCCGCTCGTTGCTGACGCGATTGCAACCTTGTGTGGGACCCTTATTGCAGCGATTTCAACGCACTACATCATTGCCGGATCCCCGGCTGTATGAACAAATTCACTTGGAAGATGATTATCTCAACGAGTCTGACGACGACGACGATGACTTCCTGCTGGATCCGTTCAGCAGAAGTAACCCTAGACATTCGACCGATCGTCTGATTCCAAGGGTTCTCGTACTCGGCTTCGTATTCTTGGCAGTGACGTTGCGCTTACTTCGCCCGTCAGAACCAGTATACCTATATTTGTCGGGAACCTTACCTTTGGCCTCATTTTTTGAAGGTGGTCACCGGGATTCTCCAGTTGATATCACCGGCCTACCTCTTTATCAATACAATTATCTATCAGGTAAAGATTCTTTACACTTGCCGCCATCCTGGAACTGGATGCCCAAGGAAGCCGGTCCCGGTTTCACTGATTGGAAGCCCAATCTCAGCGCGAATGAGTCTCTTCACTACAGCCCACAGGCGAACCCCCTGCACATCTCCAACCTACAGCAGCCAGTCCTAGAGTCCATCAAAGGTGTTCTTGCCGATGGAAGTGTCAAGATCAAACATGTGGTGCTATTGAAGCTTGAGAGTGCTCGTGCAGACACCTTTCCTGTGCGCAAGGACTCTTTTCTGTATAACCGCGTTGCTGAAACGTATGACGACGGCGAAATCCCCCGGGAGGTTCAAGATCGCATTGCCAATCTCACTCGCACCGCAGAGTTTTTGACTGGGGCTTCCTCTGGCTTCCAGGACAATGACCAGCTCCACGCAGATCGCAAAGCATATGGTGGTCTCAGCGCGACAAACGCCTACACAACCTCCACATACACCCTCAAAAGTCTCGCTGGTACGCTCTGCGGAGTGACCCCACTCGTCGCGGACTTCAACCGCGAGTGGGAGTACCACATCTACCAGCCCTGTTTGCCCCACGTCTTGGAAATGCTTAGCAACCAAGAAGGTATCACCAACGATACCGATGATTTTACTCGATGGCCTTGGCACTCAATCTGGATGCAGTCCGTCACCGAAGGCTATGACAACCAGGACAAACTGACGCCGGTTCTGGGCTTCAAGGACAAGTATACGAAGGAGATCATCGAAAGCGCCTCGGCAAAGCACTATCCGGTGGAATCCGATGAGGTAAATTATTATGGGTATGCCGACACCGAATTGCGTGAGTACATCTGCGACGCCATCGACGATGCCGAGCGCGATCACAAGCGTCTATTCCTTTCGCATCTGACTGGCACTACACACCACCCATGGGGCCTGCCAAACAACACCTACGAGAAGATTCTCGGCTCGAACAAGGGCCACAACGAAGATCTCAACCGGTACCTCAATGCTGTTGGCTTCCAGGACAAATGGCTCACCGAAATCATCGGCATCCTAGAGGAAAAGGGTGTCGCTAATGAAACCCTCTTCGTAATGGCAGGTGACCACGGTCTTTCGCTTCCCAACGACGGCGGCATCACTCCTTACGATAACCCGCATGTCGGCAGCTTCGCCGTGCCCATCGTTCTCGCACACCCACAGCTACCCGCGCTTGAGATCACGGCACCAGTCATGAGCGACCAGATCGTCCCCTCGATCCTAGATCTCCTCATCGAGTCCAACTCCCTCACTAAGAAACCCGCCAAGGCTGCAAAGGATATTCTCTCCTTGTACGAAGGTCAATCTCTAATCCGCCCGCTCATCCAGGAACAGCACGGCGTTCAAGATTGGCAGTTCACAGTCATGAACACCGGCGGCTCGTGGCTTGCCGTCCGATCTGCCGTGCGCCCACAGTACAGACTGGTCATCCCGCTCGTCAACGACGTGGAGTGGCGGTTTTCCGATCTGAGCACCGATCCACAAGAGCTGGATCCGATCTCGCGATTCAATCTCGCAGACTTGGCCGCTTCCCTTGATGACAAGTATGACGATGATGAGGTCTTGGATTGGCTTTTCAACGCGGCTTACGTGACGAATTGGTGGGTTGGAGAGAACTGGGCTCGGTATAGATACGATCCTAAACAGGACCATCCTAAAGAAGATGGGGATAAGTGATTTAGAAGATTGATTTGGTGACTTGACACTTTGCAAGTTAAGGTGCTTGATTCGGTCTCTCGATTGTGCGTTGTTTCCATCTTTGACTAACCCTGCTGGCCTGGGTTTCGTTTTGTCGACATCAAGCAGCGAACGAGGTAGAGACCTCCAAATTTCCAGCGTCGGGGTCGATCCCCAGCATATTTGCATCCCATCCTGGTCGGCGTTTCCGAATCGATAATAGGAAGGCCTTGTCATAATGACTCCTGGAATGGCCTCCAACATTGATCTTACTTTGGGTTTGATAGTAATATCTATCCTTGGACACGAATTTCGGATGGAGCCGTGTATTCACAATAATGGGAGATTGCCACATGTGAACTGTTCCGTTTATAATTCATCTTAAACATGTACATAGGAATTAAAGTCTAAGATACCTACCAAGTGTATACAGAAGAGACTTACGCCCGCAACTTGGATCTTATCACCAAGCTACAGAACTGTATGTTCACCGACAGGAATTCCACTTCCACAGTCAAAGTTGCACAATGCAACAATTGCTTTAATCTCCTGCTCCTATACCTTCATTCACCTTTGGCGCTGGTAAGTCTCTGAATCATAACGACATGGATGCACCATTAGTACATGATATGCACCTAGATACTGGTTGGATTGAAACTATACTTCAATTGCAGCTGGATACCAACCACTCGATAGACGATGATACTAGTGGCCTATCTTGACTAGTAGTAAGATTGATGATGTATGCAGTCCGCAGGTTAAATTGATATTTCTGTACACTAAAAGAACATATGCAGATGAAAGTTAAATCTAGAAACAAATGCCCGTCAACACCCATAAACACCCGCTGTTATCTGGACTATGTCTTGCGCATCAAAAAAGGATGTTTCAGCGCCTCGGCGGGTGTAATCCGCTTTTCCGGATTAAGGGTCAGACACCGATCCAAGAAATCAAAGAACAGTGTCAGCTCCTTCGCGTCAGCATCCAACATTCCACGGGTTCCCTTGCCCGTCAACCGGCTCTTCAAGTCGCGTGTAGGTTTTTTGAAATCCAAGATGCGAGTAACAGGCCGACCCGTGATTTTGTCTTCCTCCATGCTGTGGAAGTTCAGCATGTCGTCGAAGTGCAGGTGGGCCAGAGACCCACGACGAAGAACCTTAGGCGGGTATTTGCCTCGGCATTCCATGATGGACTTAAGCATCTGGTTGTTGTTTCGGCCAGTAAAGAGAATCTTTCCCGTGTACAACTCAAAAAGGGTACAGCCGATGGACCACACATCTATAGCGTAGTCGTACGGAATTCCCAGAATGACCTCTGGGGCTCGGTAGAATCGACTAACCAGATACGGGGTGATTTCATTGTCCGTAGCATGGGACGCGGAACCGAGATCACAAACCTTGAGCACATTGCGCTGTTCGTTCACGAGGAGATTATCAGGCTTCAGATCGGCATGAAGAATGTTACACTTGCGAAGGAGACTCAGTCCAAGGAAGATCTGCTGAGAATAGGCCCGAATCGCGCGCAGGTTCAGTCCAACATCGCGTCCGAATTTCTTGAGTACCTCTCGAAGGTTCATACTCAGATTTTCAAACACCATGCACAGGTGGCCTTTGTGTTCGAAATAGCGTTCGAATTTAATGATATGCTTCTTGTCTTCGGGATCGGCTTCGTGCAGCTGCTCCAAAATCCCAATCTCTTTCATACCGGCCTTGCGCATTGTATCATTCTGGCGGATAATCTTAATCGCAACGAGGGCTCCCGTGGTGGAGTCGGTGGCCCGGACAACAGAAGAAAACATGCCCTTACCGAGGGTTTGTGTGACATGATACCGGCCGTTGATCAACTCACCAATGCGGAGGTTGTAATACCCTTCGGGATCATCCCAGTTATCCATCATGCTGATGTCCAATTCCTTGGCTTCTGGTATGGCTGACATTGCCGATGCATGGGTTGGTTGCCCCTCTTTCTCCTCGGCGAACATATCGTCGTCGTCGTCTTCTGCAAACATATCATAAGGATCCTTTTTATATGGGGGTTGAAGAGGCGGAGCATCAGGGATAAGAACATCCTGCTTCACGGTTTGCGTCTCATCGTATGCTGCGGATGATACTTCCTCCTTCACACTTTGACTACCGTTGTGTTTTTCTCGTTCTTCTTTCATGTCCATAGTAGGATCATAATCTGCAGCCGAAGGTCCATCTTTCTCCATACCCTCAAATGACACACTAGAGCTGACCAGGTCTGTGTCCTTTCCAATTTGGAAATCAGCAAAACCTTGTCCTGTCTGTTCATTGGGTGTTTGTGCTGGTGAGAAGGATGGGGAGTCTATAATTTAAAATTGATATACGTTAGTTTCATGCTTTATCCTTTGTCTCGGGTTGGGTAACATACCCGCCGTATCTTGTGCACTGGTTGGCTCCGTGCCAGGAGTGGACGAGTCCGTATCGCCATCGCCAGCGTGCAGCGCTTTGAGATGCAGGGGTGTCGCCTGGCTTCGATACTTCGCCTGGATGGCTTCGCGGCGTTTTCGACGTGCCTCCAAGGCAGCAGTCTCGTCGACCGGCTCGGAAGGCTGCGATTCCTCTGCAACATCCACGGAAGGGGGCTTTACACTGCAGTCTTAGTCAGTTCATGGTTCCTCAGGTAACAGTAACGGGAAACATACCCATCAGCGAAATGAACACGGGAGGGAAGAGCCTGCTGCACCTGGTTTGATTGTGTTTCAGCACCAAGCTTGGAATCCCGAGAGCCAGCCGGGGTCTTTCCTTCACCCACTACCTGACCAGAGGAAGGGCCTTGTCGCTTGCGGTCTGCTGAATTCCCATTCGAGTCCGGCTCATCATACTGTTTCTGTTTCCGTGGATCGCGATACGGAGATCGGTTACGAGTGCGCTGACGCTTATCTTGACGTGGGTCGTAATCATCCGTATACCGCAGACCGCCACCATAGGTTTCTTCCCGATCGTAATCGTGGTACGCCTTGGTGTGTCGGTTTGAAAGCTCTCTGTCTTGTCTGTCGTCGTATCTGGATCCATAGCGGCGCGCGGGTTCGTACCGGGCGTTCCGACTCTCGTGCTCATCATAATCATCGTCGCGCCTGCGCTTATAACCTCTGTCTCTGTTTTCCCGATACGGTGAGCGAGAAAGTGATCGGGATCGCGACCTCGTCCATGATCTGCGTCGGCGTGGTGATCGGGATCTGGGTGCAGAGGGTGTACTAGCTCTGGGGGGACGGTCAACGCTGGTGCCATTAAGAGGAGGTTGTGACGCAGTTGCCTTCAACTCTGAGCCTGTCTCAACTATCTCACCCTCGGAAAGGGTCGATGGAGACCTCGACCTTTGGTGTGATGCCATTGCTGACAAGGTCTTGATGTCACTAACTAACCTGCTCCGGGTGCAAGCTTCTCCTTTTCCGTGTACTTGAGACTTTTCTTTCTTGCGGCCTTGGAGGAGGCTTGAAAGGGCAAAACGAGGCTCAGTTAGCGTGAGCACAAGGGATAAATTGTTTCTTTGGGGATGTTTGAAAGTCCAACCGGCTTGATAGGCCTGCCTTCACACCAAAGCCTTATTGCAGCTTTGACTAATCCAGGCACATAGTTCAGTGACTAGATCTGTGCTTATAAACGGGGGATTGCGATAATTCGATTAGGACGAATCGCGCTTGGATGGAAAGTGAGGTGATGAGAAAGAGAGAAGTCGCGAGATCTGCTCCGAGATCTTGACCGATACGCCGATTCTGCCTGACCGGATATAGCAGGCGGTCGATCCGATTCCCCGCCTGCATGATAAACCGTTAAAAAAACTTTAGCATTTGCCATCAACACCAACCCCTCATCCTCCCTCCAATACTCCCACATTCAATTAAATCCTGCAAATATGGGTGGCGTTAGCAGAGAGGGTAAGCATGATTTGCTAAATTTGCCCTTTTAGCCATGAACATGCCGCTAATCCGTGTCAATAGGTGGCAAGGTCAAGCCTCTTAAGGCCGCAAAGAAGGAGAAGAAGGAACTCGATGAGGATGAGATCGCATTCCGAGAGAAGCAGAAGGCTGGTATGTAATACAATGATGTTAAGTTGTATTACCTGAGCGTCCAACTAACAGTTCGGCGCATTAGATGCCAAGGCGAAGAAGGACATGGCCGAAGCCGCCAAGGGCAAGAAGGGCCCCCTGAACACCGGTCAGCAGGGTATCAAGAAGTCTGGCAAGAAATAAACTTGAGAAGGAATGCTGCCAGGTACATATCACATGGAAGGACTTGTTCCTCGACATTTTACGATCCAAACGAATCTTATAGCCAATGAGAGCGCAATACCTTCTCCCACCCATGCTATACCCACTGTCAGTGCTTCGATTTTATGTTTGACTACCTACATATGTGGGCTACTGTATTTTTGTATAGAAGTGGCTTTCAATCGAGGTTCAGCTTGTCTACCATGTTGAGACTACGAGACCATGCACAGAGACATGATGCATTTTTTCATCAACCCAGGCGCCCGGAGAGGCACACTAATATTTGAAAAGCACAGCAATGTAATCCACCGGGTATCCAGATCAGACAAAACGGAAAGTCGCTTAAAATTGCAGAAAACAAAGGCTCAGGACAAGCAAAGAAAGTCACAACGGGGAAATAGAAATTAAACAGATGGGACCCAAATGTCGCGTGGGAGATTTAATCACCAGTCGGCATGCCTCGAGCATTTAGCTGGTGATACGCTTCACCCACAAAGTACTACCATCTCCATGACCGTTCTCATCCAATCGTCTCCACGACCGAGCCGCTTTCAATCCCAGCTCATGTTCCTCTCTTTTGATTTCGGCAATATCATTCTCGATGCTCTGAACGCTCCTCTTCACCTCTTGTTTGGCGGCAAGATCATATACACCATTGTCAGGTTGAATGACTCGAGTCAACTCTTTGATCACCGTTTCTAAATTGATCCGACGGCGTGCGAGTCCATCTCGTTTGGCTTCCAGAGCCAGGATGCGATCCATAGGCTTGCTTGATTGGTCCACATGGGGCTGAGCCACTGGATCTGACTCTTGGATAGCCTCTGTTGGAGCGGGTTTCCGAACTGGTTTCCTCGACACTAGCATGGCATTGGGGATTGGGCGCCGGCGTGACATGATAGAGGGTGAATCTTCTACGAAGTTGGGTTGGCCACTTGGGATGTATTTGGGGCTTTCCTGTGGACTATCTCGCAAACTATCTCTCGAACTGTTGTTCAGGCTTTCATCTGGACTGGGACTGCCGGGATTTGAGACAGTGGTGCCACCAAACAAGGAATCAAGTTGCTTGGAAAGCGTGGTATCAGCTACCGTATTGATTTCTGGCAATGGGTTGGCATCTCGCTGTTCCCGCCATTGCTTGTAGGCATCTCGTGGCGCTGGTCTTTGCGGCAACGCCTTTGGACCACCGGCGGTGATGGTTGTTACGGTAGTCGGAACCAACCCTATGTGAGAGAGCTGCACACCTGAGTTGCTCGCGCTAGGGCGTCTGGGATGTACTTCCATGCTACTCACACGTGATCCCGATCGAGGACTACCGTTCTTTAGTTTGCTGTCATTTGCTTTGGTTGGCACGGGGATTTGGCTTTTGTGGAAACTGCTGTTTCGACTGCGGGATTGGGCAAACTCCTTTATGGGCTGAAGCTGCTCACGCCCCCAGCTCAAAATGTTGGATGCGGACCCGGACGATTTATGAAAAGTGGCGGGTGAGTTGACTTGACCCGCCTTTCCAGCGATCGGAGTTGTTGGTTCGCCGGAGTAGAGATCCCAGGGTGTTGATTGTGCACCACTTGTTTGCTGGCGGTCTTGTTCTCGGAGGGCTGGTTTCTTGGAAATTGGTTGTGGGGTAAATAGCCTGTCGGAAGCTGATTGCTGGGAAACAGGTTGATAGAAAGTTGCTGGCTTTTCCAAAGCAGGATCCTCTGAAGTCGCCTTGTGAGATTCGAAGTCCCTGTAGTTAGGGGCGCCAGTGTCTATTCCATGAGTTGGTTGCATGAGGACCGGTGCCTCAGATGCTGGTGAGAAGTCTTCCAGGACAGTTGGAATTTGCTCTGACTCTGCTGCGAATGCGACGATTTTCTTCTTGCGAGGCATAGGAAGCACTGCGGGTGGAGATGGTGGAGTATCCACATAAAGCGCATTCAACTGAGCATCCGCGAAATACCCCATGGCAGATGCCTTCTGTTCCTGGCGATGAAAGCTATTTGACTCTTCAATCGGCGATACGCAGAAGCTGCTTCCGCTGTCATGTATAGCCTCCAGGGCCGGCGACGTCAATGGGGAAACGGCTGAATATCGCCGTTCATTGCCATCCTGTGCAACCGCCAAAGGCCCACTCGCCTGATTCGCTCGAGTCGGAATGTTATTCTGAGATGATACGTCCATAGTCCTAACAGAATCATTAGACAAATGTATGCCCGGATGACCACAGATAGTACGTACTCGGGCAGGGAAGGAAGGCTCTTGAAAATGGGCTCTGTCCGCATTGAACCTGCAGAGGTCGATGAATGCGAGCTGTAATCGCCCGATGTGGGGTTGCCCGTCCCGCGCGATCGATTCAATCCTTCTTTCGGCCACATCTTTGTCTGCGACGATGTGATAGGCAATGAAGACGCTGATTTTATTGCAAAATTATGCAGGCAAGAAGATAGTTGCAAACGAAAAGCCCACTTCCCTCGATCAACAAGGTGAAATGAAAGAGAAGATGAAAGAGGCAGGGCTTGCCGGACCAGAGAAATTAAGGTCTGACGGTTTGACCACGGGTGCCAACGTGGGGTGAGATTCCAGGAAGAGATATCCAAAAAGCAAGGAGAACGTGAAGAAAAAAAGGGACTAGACCCCAAGCAAGAACAACATGGCATCACCGGGTGGAGATGGCATAAATTAAAATGGGGGCGATGACCGATTGGAGATAATGACAATGGGGGGCTTCAGGGACTAAAGTTTCATGTTTAGGCTTGGGCCGATTTCTGTCTCTTTGAGTTGCTATATATAGATGTTAACAATTTGTATCATTAAGCGCCCATAGTAACTATCATAATTGGTATCCAGTTCAAGTTTTCCATTTAGTACGGAGTAGATACTAGTAGTACTAGTAGATACACGACTACGGAGTAGTGCCTCTCAGTATACAGATGGATATCACGTGATACGTCAACAAACCGTAAACGCCAAAAACGTTAGAATTCCAGGATCCATGGTTGATATAACATACATTCTTCTACTCAATCTCGATGGAAGGAACATTCGGTTGATTCATTTTTAATGAGAATTATAAGCGCCCCGAATTAAGTCATATCGTCGTGATCTGAGAAACTTCACAGAATTTCAAAATTCGTCCCATGATTCCATGATCATCCTGAACCTGAATTCCCGAATCCCGCCTCAACTTTCGTCGCTAGAGCCGAAAGAGAGCCCAAAGAAACCAAATAACAAAATAAAACGCGAAAGATTATCCGTTAATCGAGATTATCTCCAGCAAACGAGACTCAAAGCTCACAGCTCATTGCGCAAGCGCTGAGTCTGCTCAGCGGCCTTCTCGCGGACCTTCTCAGCAGCTTCCTGGCCCTGGACGCGGCCACTGGAAGCACCAATCTTCAACTGCTCAAAAGCCCATTGCAAGGTATCTACTACCTTGGCATAAATGGTGTCCTGGGGGCTATTTGTGCCATATTTGAAATAGGTAGCGTGGCGGCGAGCGGCAGCCCGAAGCTCGTTGATGTTGGAACCTTGGTACACCGGGATACCGTAGGAGTCCAGGTACTTCTTGAGATCGGACTGCGACCACTGCTCAAACGTGGTATCCTTGATAGAGCCAGTAGCCCGTGCTGCAGCCGCAGTAGCCGATGCATATTTGTCGCCGCCGACCTTGGAAGCCTTGACGTAATTTTCCTCGGCGTACTTGGCCAGCTCTTCACGAGAGGCGTCTGCCTTCTTCGCATACTTGTCATTGACGGCAGACAAATATTTGCTATTATATATTAGTAATTGATCATCTTTCAACAAGCTTCACAAGCAACTTACAGCAGATGCTCTTTATCCCAAGTGTCAAAGTTGTACTGGTTCCACCCACCAGCCGCCTTGTGCGCACTAGCACGCACGGCGGCGATCAGTTCATCACGCTTACCAGCCTGGGGAACGGGGACGCTCCGAGCATCGAGAAAAGCCTTAAGGCGTGAATCCGACCAGGTGTTGACAGCAGTATTGAACGAATCCTCCAGCTTGAGCTTCGCATCCTCCGTAGCCCGAGCATACTCATTTCCAGCTTTGGTAGTAGCGGCACTGACAGCCTCAGAGGCAGCAACGGATGCACTAGCAGCTTGGCCAACGAGATGAGCGCGATGTTTACGAGCAAGGGCGATCAGCTCATTACGCTTGGAGCCCTGCGGCACTCGCACATTGTGCTCGTCGAGAAACTCCTTCAGCTTGGAGTCGGACCAGGCGTTGAACAGTTCTTCACTTAGTGATGCCTGCGCGGCTTCGGCGGACGCTCTAGCGGACGCAGTAAGGGCGCGCGCCTGGAGACTAGCGCTTCGGGAATTGCGGCGCACCATGGCGATAAGCTTGTCGCGGGTTGTAGGCTGGGGGACGGGCCATCCGCGCTCGTCGAGCCATTCCTTCAAATCGGACTCGGACCACTGCTGGTACACCCAGTTACCAGGGTAGGCGGCTGTCTCGCCAACTTTCTTCGCGATAGCTTCGTAATGTTCACGGGCAGTTTTGACAAGGACGTCGCGTTTGCGGGGCTGAGGGGCGGGAATACCGTGGTAGTCGAGGAATGCTTTGAGCTGCGAATCCGACCAGCTTTTGTAATTTTAGTTAAGTGTTCGCGTGGACCGATGGAGCATTGAGCCAACTTACGTATCGAAGACCCATTCTTTCGCATGGTGAAACTCATCTGAGATCTGATCAGAGATAGAGCCCAAGGGCTTCTGCACCTTGGACTCCCAGTTGGACTTGACCAAGCTTTCGAGGTCCCTGCGGTCGGCGGGAGTAGGGTAAGGAATGTCTGAATGGATTATCAGTTCTCAGATCACAAAATGATTTTCAATGGGAAGCAAGGCTAACCATGGTCTGAGAGCCATCTCTCAAGCTCTGTCTCATGCCATTTATTGTAAACTAGAATGATGACGTTAGTGTTGAAAGGTTGGATAATTCCCAACATAGCGACTAACCAGCTTTACTCCACCAGCTAGAAGCTCCTACAGCTTCTGCGGTTGCAAGGAAAAACACTAGGCCAAAGGCCAGGTTAAGTTTCATGATGCCGTTGGTTGCTTAAACAGATTGTTGATTCTGTCGCAAGGATTAGAGATCACTTTTGACGAGAGGACACCCAAAGATTGAGTAGAATCAAAGGGAAAACAAGTCAAACAGGTGCATGAATGTTCTTAAATACGAAGGGTCAGATCTTGCCTTCAAATGCAGGGAAACAACAGGGATGATCGTACAGTGACGTAGTTATGGAATTTGCCTGGTTCCAAATGCATGATTCATCAAGTATCTCATTCTTCCTAACAAAGAACTTGGCGTCATCTAATAATCTGTAATAATCTTGATTTTCAGTTTAAATACAACTACAGCTATGCGATCCATGAATTATTTCGTGGACTTTTGCTATTGTTCCTACTTCGGGGTCCACTTTTTCACCAACCAAGAGAATCTGTATACATAAACGTGGGACTTTGTGGACGTCAAATCGCACCAGATAATGAAGTCTAATTATTTAGATGAACGAGAGTCAATTACAGGCCAGTTATCAAGAATAAAAATCCCCACTCGATCTTTTTTAAGTCAATAGACACTAGCTCTGTGCCTTATTATTGCCTGAGGCACAGCTGCATACCAGAACCAATCAGCGTTCTGTTTTTATATTTTGAATATGCCAGAAGTCCAGGACTCGACAGCATCAATCCCAGTTTATAACAGGTTTTTCATGTATACCTCATCAACCTTTATGTATTAGAACTGTCTCGGACTCTTTAGTGAGCACACTCAGAGCGATGATCAAGAGCCAGGGAACTGACGATGCATAGCTCGTGGTAGGGGAACCGGTTGGGAAACAATGTCTTGAGTGGGGAAATCCTATTTTTGATACAAAAGGGCAGAGCCGAGATTGAGATGTGGACTTGTCATGCTCCAACAGTATTAGTACGAAGCTCAAAGACGGTTGAACAATCTTGATTGGATTGGCATTTCACTCAAGGCGGTGAGGCAGTGGGACTGGAGCCTTGGGCGGGTAGTTATCGGTTTGCGGGGACTGAGGTCACCAACCTCTCTTTCGATAAACTCCCGAGTCCCTATATTCTTGCAATTTGACCTTCCATACCGATTCTTCTCTTGTCTTAGGTATAAATCTCTTCATCAGAGCCATCATATGTTAGAGTTTGGCTTTCACCATAACCTTAAGCTCACTCAACCGAGTCAGGGAGTCAACCAACCCCTTAGCTCGGATCGTCATCCGACAATCAATTAAGTAAAGCCCATGGATACGTTGTCACCGATATGCCGTGAGCTTGCCTCACCTGGCATCTTCCAGCCTGTGCTATCTGTGTATGCACCCTCTACACACCCTGCATGTGTTTAAAAACTGACCTATTCTATGCTAGCTTGATCATTTTCGGCATCCTCATCTCCTACCTACCACAACACATTCGAATCATCACACGACGAACCTCCTTTGGAATCTCCCCCTATTTTGTGCTTCTCGGTACTACATCTGGGACATCTGCTTTTGCAAATATTCTGGTCTTCCCCAAGACTGCGCAAGATGTTGCTTGTTGCAAGGAGATTGACGGGCTGGCTTGCTTCGCAGGGCTACTTGGTGTCTTCCAGGTGGGCATGCAATGGCTAAGCTTCTTTTCAATGTGAGTCAAATTGATAAAGCTTCCAAACATTTGCAAACTTAGAAGTGCAATCCCTATTAACACTGTCCAGCCTGCTCCTCTTCGTGATTTACTTCCCAAGGGCCACCTCCCCGACCAACCCGGTCGCCTCTGTCTCTTCAACCTCCAGTGGCCCGACTTACCGCACCGCCCTTACAATCACTGCCATCTGCCTCTTTCACGCTCTTGCTACACTCGTCATCTCGGTGGCATTCGCACTCCGCCAACCCACTGCTCTCCCCGCGTGGGCGAACTTCCTCGGCGTCTTATCTGCCATTCTCGCGTCAATCCAGTACTTCCCGCAGATCTACACAACTTTCCGTCTGCGCTGCGTGGGAAGTTTGAGTATCCCGATGATGTGCATCCAGACCCCTGGAAGTCTGATCTGGGCCGCTAGTCTGGCTGCGCGCGAAGGGGTCAAGGGCTGGAGTATTTGGGGAGTGTTGGTGGTGACAGCTTGTTTGCAGGGTACTCTGTTGGTGATGGCAATCTACTTCGAATACTTTGCCCCCGATAGCAAACACAAGGGAAGTGCGAGCGAGGGTGAGGATGCGCGGGATTGTCAATCAAATGGGGTTGGCGCGTCCTCGTTTGAGACACCTGAGACGCCGACACGGGAACCGGTGTCCGTGGAACATCCTTCTGAAGAGACTCCGCTGCTACAGAGCCAGTGATTGTCCTTGATGTACAATACCTCATGTTCTGCGACCGGTCTTCGCCATGAGGTAGAAAGCGATTATGCTATGCGTATATAGAAATAAACATAGCAATAAGATTCAGAAATCAACTCGAATTCAAGAGAAGGTAGATTGGGAATATTTATTCATTCAGAAATTGTTTTATTCGTCCCATGTGCCAGGTCTGATTGTATCCTGTACATCAGAAGAAATCGAGTCTTGGGGATATATCGTTCCAGTGCATTATTCCCACGCCGGTAAGAAATGTACCCTCACCATCGCGTTGTAATCATGTCTCTATGCGCGATTGAAGACCAGTGGAATTAGACGGCAGGGAAGATCAGACGGAAAACGTCGTTCGCGATCCAAAATCCGCCGTTTCCTTCAGGCATGAGGTTCCATGTCTGGACAAAGTTCTGGGGTCTTTCCTCGCCGTCGGTCTGATGTTTGATTGTGTTAGCTTATTATCAAATTTCGAAAAATCATATGAAAGAAGGTCGGAGGTCATTTCCACGTACAATAAGAGCACCGACCGCGCTCACAAGGACACCGCCAGCGGCAGTGGGTTGAGCATCAATGGTCGCAACCTCGTGACGGACTTCGTTGAAGCCTAGGGTCTATTTGGAGGTTTCGCGGTTAGATTGTTTCACAGCATACTTGGACACTTTGGTCCGATTGAGAGAGAACAAACCGTGAGCTTCTCCATGATGTCGACGACACCCTGGAAGTTGTTTTGCTCGAAGGTGAGCATCGACTCAGGGCGCTGTTATGATCCACAATCCCATCAGTATCTATCTGTCTTGAGGTATCTGCACGAAAGAGATTTTCCGTAGCAGAGCTGAGAGCGAACGAGATTGGTCTTACGTAGAGGTTCGCCAATGCTTTCCGGTCGGAGTCAAAGGTGGGGTAGTAGTAGGCAACAAAGTCCTCTGTGGATTGATATGATAGGGTCAGATATACATATACAAGCACACATGGGTATAAGTGCCCTATTGTTGCGCAAGGATCGAAGCGCCAGCGTGGGGCTAAGATTATGTGCCTGCGCATACGGGATCGGGGATTGGATGGGAGGGAAACCTACTAGCGACTTGCTCGAAGTCTGCAAGGAGAGAGGGACTGTTAGCTGAATCCATTATATATCCAGTTCATGTGAAGTTTTATCGATCTGGCAGTTGCATAGGAATGCCAGGCGCAAACCTATTCACACATGAGGGGCAGACCTATACCCCTGCCATCTGGGCTTGGGTGGTTGAAAAAGACATTTGTGGGATTGGTTATTTTCCAGACTTACTAGCCATTTTAAAGAGGTTTTGCGGGAGACGCAAGTGAATAAAGAAATGAATATGGTGGGATGAAGGTATTTGTTGACGCGGGAGGGGTTGTGGAGGCACGAATTCTGTTATGGATGCCTTGATGCCTTGATGCCTTATGCTCAATTTAACCCGATAGCGATAACGACGTCACTGAAACTCAGATGAGGCGAATTGGGCAAGTGGGATTGGGCAGTGAGATTGGGCAGTGGGATTGGGCAGTGGCTTTGCATACAAAGACAGTGGGATTGTGATATTTGGTTGGTATCATTTCAGTCATTAACATCCACTATTATCATAGCGTCCTAACTATTCCGAGTCCTCCGCAAACATGTCTTCGGCTTTGGGGCGTGGCTTTCGAGGACGTCGGGATACAGATTCTGGTTCTTCAGGCTCTGGCCTAGATTGTGCAAATGCTTTAGTTGAAGCATTCTCCTCGCCTAATTCTGATTTGTCTTGTTGCATGGGCTCATGATCCCCAGTGTCCTCAAGGTCACTATCTTCCATGGGGACTCCATCAATATCACTCATGGATTCATCTTCTGGGACATTGATATTGGCAAACTTGGGATCTTGGCTCTCGGCTGCAATGGGATGAGCCAGATCTGGATTTTCAGGTACAGGATCTTCATCCAGAGCTTTCCAGCCACTCTTCCCTTTAAGGAATGTGTTCGTGGCCTGTTCTGCTTCGGCTTTCTCCTTCTCCTTCTTTTGCTCCTCCTCAGTCAGTGGTGGTTGTTCGAACATTTGAACAAAGTGGCCATGGCTGTCTTGTGGAAAGACACACCATCCTTCCCACAGATGTAAAAGAGTGCCAACGCTGCGTTTCCATTTCTCGGCCTTGAGTCTGCCCCAGTTGAGGTCTTTCTCGAGTCGGCCGAGGTGCTCGAAAACCTTATGAGAGCGAAGAGAAGACTCAAATAATTGTCGATATCGCCATGCATGTCGTATGCCGCTGGTTGCTGACGAAGAAAGAATATCGGAAACAATATAGAGCCCAACGAGTTTAGCAGAGGACAAATCCAATTTTTTCTGAGACAAAGCATTTGCACCATCTTTGTTGTCATTCTCTGGATCCGCTGCAGCCTTCTCTAGTTCCCGGTCAGGATTGGCTCCAGTGTATGCCAGCGGGCTCAAAATGTTTAAGACAATCATATCCACAACCTCGTCTGCGCCAGCGCCAGCGTGTTCAATTGCAAATGAGGTGATTCGGGCGACATCGCCTCGGCGAAGCTTAGCATGAGTCGTTGGTAATCGGGCCAAAAGATGAGTAAGCTTGGCCTTTTTCATAGGGTTCATGTAGCCCAGGCCGTCTTGTTGGCCAATGATTCCTTCTGAAGGTGGGGCCCCGCCATGATTCCGTCTGTCATCTTCATTGTCCGAATGCTCTTCATCTGATGAATTATAGTCCTCATCGGAAATAAATTCATCCAGATGCGTAGCATATTCAAATTTAATGCGAGAATCAGGTGGCTGCCAGTTTGCCCCGCCCTCGAAGATCGAAGCAGGCTTATCAATCTTGCGGCCAGATTGAGGTTGCGTGACAATCTGCCATAGCTTCCAGCGGTAGTATACACCACCTGGGCTTCGTGCGTCCCAGATCCAAGCCCATTTTTCGTCTCTTTGCACTTCGGGTCGACTCATAAGTAAGGCCTCAAATTCGGGGCCGTATTGCAGAAGGGACTCCAGCGTCTTATGAATTAGCCTGAGCTGTTTAACATCCAACGGTGCCTTAACTTCCACCTGCGTGGAAGTTGCACCTCTTCCAATATTTGGCCCGTAAGAACTTGGAGGTGCGAAGCCTCCGCGGTGAGACCCTGGTGGCGGAGCACGATTTAGGCGACCCCCGTGTATTGGTTGAGAATTCTTTGCGCCAAATGGAAGTAAGCTGGCGGTGGAGGAGCCAAGTCCCGTTGAAATATTCGAAGTGATCGTTGCAGAGGAGAGGTGGCGAGACAAAGATAGATAGTATCCTCGACCTAGGTACTTATTTTGAAGCGCACTAACAGCGTTGTCAATATCAGAAGCTGCAGTATCGCTCGCAAGGGTAACAATAGCCGCCGATGATTTTCGTTCTGTGGCGGTTTGACTGGATGGGCGTGTAATGTGCACGTTATCAACTACCAGAGGAGACGGTATCAATGCCTTGACCACTGACGGGGATGTTCCGGGGGGTAATAATGCTAGCTGCAATGTCGGCTTCGCAGCTGCTCTTTCGGCACCTTTAATATCGGCTTTTCGGTAATCGTCATCGTCCGATAGGCTGTTGAATCCAGCTGGAGGACCGGTGGTTGTCTGATCGAATGCCAGGACACCTTGTGCAGAGTCACGATTGCGCAACAGAGGTGCTAGCCCATCGTGTGTCCTTTTACCAGGCAACGAGGATGGGGGCAGCCCTAGTGTACCTGGGCCGCTGGCGCGGGGGCCGGAGCTTGTGAAATGTCGTCGCGGTGGTCCTCCTCCCAACCCACCACCCCGGGTTACAAATGAACTTGGCCGTGTATCGAAAGTTCTTGGTCCGGTAGGTGTGTCGTCCTCGAAAGATTTAACAAAGTCCTCGTAGACTGCCGCAGTTTCGGCCTTCTCCCGGGCGCGTTTGGCTTCGGCTTCAGCTTTCTGACGCTCGAATAACGATTTCTTCGGCAAGGCAGAGAGTTTGGCGGATATTTCAGGGAATCCTTTCCCTTTCGAATCGTCGGGCATGATGTCAAAAAGCTGCTCCTGCAGCAGTCCGAAGCCAGCTGCAGTCGACGTGGTGGAAAGTAACGGGATGTGGAAAGCTGGAGCCCTTCCTGATTGGGAATGCTTCTGGGCGGTGAGCACATCGTCCTCTCTTATCGTCCCGTGTAGATATTGAAGCTTCCTTGAACATCGTACTTCTTAACACCTTCATTGATTGCTGGATATTCCACTCGGTGATGACTTGGAGACAGACCCTCATCGCATGCATAAAATCCAATCATTGCAACTCTCAAGATTCCACAGACAACCTTGGTATTCCCGATCGAAAATACATACCCCGACATCCCGAAAGGTGACATCCTGTGAGTCCATGGATTTGATTCGTGTATGAGTATCAAGCATATATTGGCTACAATTAATGAAGTTTGACGGACTATGGTTTAAGATTTGGGGTCAGACCTAAACCAACAAGTAGCATTGATGTCAAAAGGGCGCAAAACCTAGTTATAGCGGGCCCGATGAACAACATTTGAAGGTTCAAGGCAACATAGACCTCGGGACAAATGGACATCTAGAGTGATCTATGGTGCCATAATATTTAAATAGCATCTTCTTAGACTATCTAGCCCAATCTGCTATAGCTATTATCCTCGTCGCGTGGAGTTTCACCCTGATCGTCGTCGTTGGGCCCCATACTGCAAGAGTAAGGCCGTAACATCATCCCATTGTGCCTCGCGAGCTGCTCGAAGTGCATTGAGAGGCGGCTCCTCTGAATCAGCGTCCGCTCCACTCTCAAGTAGCAACTCCACGATCTCATAATTCCCTTCACAAGAAGCTTTGAATAGAGCATTTCCATGCCGTTCGTTTCTTCCTTTGGCATCAACATCTGCCCCAGTCTCGATCAAAACCAGCACAATATCCAAGTGATCCTGTTCAGAAGCCCTGACAAGCGCATTGCTGGCTTCGCCCTTTGCGTTAACGTCTGCTCCATGAATGATCAAGAACTGCACGATATCCAAACTGCAAGAGTAAGCAAGAGCATTGCCATAATTCCCCTTGATATTCACATCTGCTCCATACTTGACTAAAAGCTGTACCATTTCCAGGTAATCATTTTTACAGGCACAGTGGAGAGCAAAGTCTGCACCCTGTATATTGACATCTGCCCCCTTTTCCAATAGTAACTCCACCATGTCCAAATGGTTCATCATGCAAGCTGTGATAAGTGCTGCCTTCCTACTACCCAAGGTTCCCGACAGCTTATTGATGTGGGCCCCACCTTCTATCAGCACAGTAGCAAGTTCCTTGAAACCTGCGTGTGAAGCGATATAGAGAGGTGTGTCCTTCATTATGTCCGTTTCAGAGTTGGCATCAGCTCCCCTCTCCAGTAATAGCTTCACAATGCCAATGTGGTTCCCGTGAGAAGCAGCATGAATTGAATATCCATTCCCAAAGCTACACAGTAAGGGATCGGCGCCATTCTCCAAGAGGAGCCTCACCATATCTTCTTGACCCTGCGCAGAAGCAGCAAGTAGAGCAATTCTGCCGCCTTGGCGAATTTTGGAATCGATCTCGGCATTATTTGAAAGCAGGGTCGGAGCGGGAAAAACTGAGTGGACAAGAGGCTGACTTCGGGTATTAATACCGGCGTTGTGCTCCAATAAGAGCTCCATGATTTCTCTGTGACCTTTTTGGGCTGCAACATATAGGGCAGTGGGAATTAAATATCCCTCTGCGTTAATGTCGGCCCCATTTTTCAGCAGCCATTTCGCCAAACAAGGAAGGTTTGCAAAGGATGCATGATACAAAGGAGAGGCTTTACCAACCAAGTACCTCTTGTACCCTTGGTGTTCAGCGGTAAGCATGTGATGAAGTGCATCCCAGGCTTCATATGCGAGATCATCGGACAGAAAGGACCAAAATTCTTGAAGGGTCTCCATTTCAGTGGGTTTCGCATGGTCGATCCAATGTCGAGTAGAGTACAAGGCCAGCGGGAAGTTTGTCTCGAGTTCCCTTAGAATGCGAGAATTGTGGCCACTGAAGCAACCCTTACCCCTTAGCTCACCCCAGTAAAATTCGGGATGCGTGTAGATCTCTCCGAGGGCTTCCTTGTCAACGCATGATAAAGCATCCAGACAGATTAACAGCATTTGACGGTGTGACTCGAGCATATCCAGTCGACCTTTCCACTCGCCTTGACGCTCCCGATGGGAGAGGATTTCTCTAGCTGTCTGATGCATAAAGACCAACTTCGATCCATGAAAATTGACAAGGAGTCCACACAAGTCCTTCACAATATTCTTGAAGACCTCTGACGGCCACATATCGGAGACCAAGACGGGCTGAGAATTTTGCTTCGCCAGTACTGTAGTCAATGCCATGTTGGCTTCATCCAATGTCAGAGGCTCCATTGCAGCCAGAAGAATTCGTAAAAGGGCTTCGGTACGAACCAGACTGTTACTCCGGGCTAGGATTCTCTCGTACGCCGCTGAAACTTCGTCGGGCAAATCTTCCAAAAGCGCTTCGACATCGGACCGGCGTCCATACAAGCTTGGATTCTCTTCGATGATGTGAAGTGTGAGATGCAGCCAGAGATATGTACGATTCTCCATGCCTTTCAGTCTCTTCGAAATCCTTTCACGATCCTGAGCGTTGAACGCACTGGCAATGTCATTTAAATTGTGATCAATAACTCAGTCAATATCTTTGGCAATCTCCACAGACTTCTCATCACCATCGAAGCGGAGGTATGCTATCGACTCAGGGAACTTTTCGAAAGGAGCCTCCAAATGAGCATATGGGCGACTCGTGATCAAGAACTTGAGCTTTGAATTTGTATAAGATTTGGGTTGCGAGTAGTACCCTTTCAGAGCGTCAATAAGCTGTCGTCCGCTAATCTTGTTGCACTCGTCCAGCGCATCAAGAACACAAACGACTTCTCCAGCCTCTGGAAGGCTAGTGCATCGAAGAAGAAGTCGCCACAGCTCAGAGAAATTCCGCTTCAGTTCTGTGCCGAAGTTTCTATGGCTGCCGATTGCAGCCTCGATCAAAGCCCCAGTGGTATCTTGTACGAAGAGTTGATGAAGAATTGCACTCAAAGCGCTCGTGGCGAGCACACGGCTTTCGTCGCCGTCATTAAAGAAAAAGTAACAAACAATAGACGTGGCAGGTGTAATTGACAATCGGTTCTCACCAATCAGGGTGCGCGACAAGACTGACTTTCCACATCCTGGACCAGCAATTATCCTCAATAGACAGGAGGTGTCGCTGTCGCGCCAATTGCGGAAGCTTTGATCTTTAAAGAACCACTCGCATGTATCCTGAACACGGAGCGGAATAACTTCTTTATTATCTTCATACTGAGAAGCAAGATCTTGCGGAAGGGCTTTTTGTTGCTGATCTTCATGTAGCTTTTTGTTGAGGCTTTGTCCTGCCTCTAGAAATTCTCGAATCTCTCCTAGAATAGCCCGTGATTCTTGAATTTCATGCAGTGTACTGTCTCGGTTCTGACGGATCTCCTCTGCTTCGAGTGGGGCAAGATATGTCATACAATCATCGCTTGCGCTAACGATCTTTTTCGTCATGTCCTCCCATGCATGGGCACCAACCACATTCTCCCATGCCCGAGAGAGTTGAGCCCTGGAGAGGTGGCATAAGGCTCGCGCCTGGTACTCAATAATCATCGAGTAGAGCTTCGCCAAGGGCTCTCTGAGAGGCTTATACTCTTTTTGGTGCTCAGATTCGAACTTTCTCTCCTCACAGATATTCCAGTATATTTGAATCTCGCTAATTAGGTTCAAGCCTTTTAGCATCGCTTCATTGTTCGTTATACCACTCGAAAGCAGCTTTCAAAGTTAGTTTTGCCTCAGATGTTGGAGGATCTGAAACATACTGGTAGAAGTAAGCATACACCACCCCAAGCCAGGGCTATGTATGGATCATTGCTAACAGCTCTTTGGATTATAGGAGAAGCCCAGAGGACGAATTTGATCAGCTTTTCAGTCAGCTGACGTATCTTCATCTGCATCCCTCGAAGCGCGAATCGCCACTGCTTCTTCTCGTGTTCATCTAGTAGATTCTTCACAACCGACTCTATCGATCGCGGCACTGAAAAGTCCACATCGACAAGGCCCCCCGTCCCAATTGATCCCAAGTGCTTTCTATAGTCCTCCATAAGCGCCGGCTCTCTGTTCGCCAACAATTTATATGCCCAAGCCCAAAGATCATCATTGTGTGATGAGATGGAGAGCGGTCTGATGCTCGATGAATCAGGACTGTATTCTGGATGAGTTTCGGTGGTTTCAGAAGACGTTTGGGGTCTCGAAGAAACCGAGGAAGAATTAGCAGAGCTAGGAGCCCGGGGCCCTGCGCCTGGCCTCGACACCGTCCCGTCCTTGGATAGATTGGTCGTTTTTGACCTCGCCAGGCGCTTCAGCTTGGTGACAATGCCCATTTTCTTGGTTTGATATGGGCACGCCGCAATTATTATGGCCCAGAAAGAGGCTTATGTCCCTTTTGAACAGAACTTGACAGGGCTTGGAACATTTCAGATTGGAAATATTCGCCAGAACAGCGTGGCTCCGGTCCTGCGGGGCTGAGTTACGTGCAAAAGCACCTGCGCAGGAAGTACGTATCAAAATAGCGCCGAACAACCAATTAGGAAGAGGTCTCCACGCTCATTTCGCTGACCGGCGGTTAGCTTAAAAGAGGGGACATAGATGATAGGGCATCTTCGCCAATCTAATGAATCTGTAGACGAAAAGGAATCTTGAAAATAACTCTGTAATGATGTTATATACACGGTTTCCTTTCAAAAGATATGGATTGTCAACTTAACCTTCAAACTTCCCTTAGGAATGTTTGTTTGGTAGCCGATATGTGGTCCTGCGGCAACGACCCGCTGCCGATCGCCCGATCGCGGGCGAGAACCTTGGAATGCCAACATCGACTCACTTAGTTGTTCCATCGGACTAACGGTTGTCCGCTAGAAGGATGTTAAGACTAGCACCTGCATGTCCGAGTATTCGGTCTCCGCTGTTTTCATCTTGTCGACGCACCGTGAATACTAGGCAACATGCCCTACCAGCAGCCAACTACCGGGGCGGTACTTCACGAGCGATCTTCTTCAAAAAAGAAGACCTCCCCCACGACAGAAAGGACTGGGACTCCATTTTCCGCGGAGCTATCGGCAGCCAGACCCTTATGGTCGCCAGCTCGATGGGCTCGGGGGCGGCATCTCGAGCCTATCGAAGGTGTGCGTTGTCGGCAAACCGACACACCCCGACGCGGACGTCGACTACACCTTCGTGTCGCTTGGTGTCAAAAACACAGATGTCGACTATTCCAGTAACTGTGGAAATATGATTAGTGCCGTGGGGCCTTTTGCGGTCGACTCAAGGATATTCTCTCCGTCACAGGAGAACCTTGACCAGGCATGCGTTCGCATTCACAACACGAATACCGGAAAGATCATTCACGCCTTGTTTCCCGTTGTCGATGGTGAAGCAGCTTCCACTGGTGACTTCTCGATTGATGGAGTTGCAGGGACCGCGGCTCGTATCCAGTTGGACTTTATAAACCCTGCTGGGTCGGTCACGGGTAAGCTATTGCCAACGGGTCAGGCTATTGATATAATTGATGGTACCCCGGTGACTTGTATCGATGCAGCCAACCCTTGTGTCTTTGTTCAAGCATCGCATCTCGGCGTGCATGGAAACTTAAATCCAGATGAAATCAATGCTCACCCTGGTCTACTATCACGCTTGGATTCTATTAGACGCCTGGCTGGTGTGAAAATGGGTCTTGCAGAGACACCGGTTGCGGTCACGGGCAGTATACCTAAGATCTGTCTGGTTTCTGTGCCTTCTAACTCTGAAGCGAGGGATGTTGAGCAGAGGCAGACATCTGCCCATGTTGATATCCTTGCTCGTGCCTTGTCTGTTGGACAGCCGCATAAAGCAGTTCCTATCACCGTGGCTCTGGCTTTGGCTGCCGCCGCAAGGGTATCTGGGAGTACAGTCGCCCTTTCTGTTTCAGGTAAAGATCCCATCGATGATGCGGGTCTCACTATTGGTCATGCTAGTGGGAACCTGTTGGTTGGTTCCAATTTTGACACAGCCGGTGCGCTTGCATCGGCAACTGTTTTCCGTACTGCCCGACGACTATTCGAAGGGCGGGTATTCTGGAAGACGGAGGATGATCTGCGGGGTTTTTGACGAATGTAAAATCAATTCTGACGACAGGGATATCAATATCAATAAGACAAACGGGTATACATAGCCAAGTGCTTAATAGTGAAACCCAATAGGATAGGGATTATAGGACGTTCCAAAGTTGTGGCCTGATTTATGAGACATCTGAAATAATCCAAAATACTCAAATTGAACTCCACTACCTTTATAGTAAACTTTTTTATATAATCCAATTCGAACCCCCAAAATCCTCAAACGACTTCTATGCACGCCTACCAAGATCCAGATCCGCCACCAACTTCATATCCCCCTTTCCATCATTCTCTCCCAATCCAAAGAATGGCTTCACCGCAACATCAATCATCTCCTCAAACAGCCGTCCAACAACAACCTCCTTAAGATCCTCACCCGTCTGTGCAAAGTCCGGGTATGCGTTCAACTCCAACAACCACGCACATCCAGTGCTATCAACCAAGAAATCTACGCCAAACAACTCAAATGCGTTAGGCAGTGTCTGGAAATGAACCATCATACCCCGAGCTGCAGCTTCGAATGTCTCGCTCGTGATATCACAAATTTGGGAGAAGATCTGTTCCTTCCAGTCTGCGCTGAGACCAGGGACATGGTGGTCAAGATCCCAGAAGCGACGAACACTACCCTCGTTTGAGCTGCCGCCTTCTTGGAAACAGGTATTTGTGAGGTGGCGGGCGAGGTCTTTGACTTCGTCTTCCTCTTCGTGGGGCGGGAAGTAAGACTTCGCGGCAAATAGAGCGAGCATTTCTTTGAAGACATATACCTTCAGTGAGCCCGTGGCGAGGACGTAGGTGCGGATGTGGAATTTTCGGTTTGAAGAGGAGGGCAGGAGAAGTGGTGGGTCGATGTAGGGTTGAGCGATGAAGTGGCGGAGTTGGGAGGTGACAACGCCTGTATCGTGTGGAGCATCTTCGGCATCTTCTTTCTCAGATCCACTCTCCTCCTCGTCTGAATCCTCTTCCCATTCCTCGAAAATCTCTTGGAGCTGGGCTTCGCTGTTGAAGAGGCGGATTCCCTGACCGCGGTCACTCATGCCGGGCTTGAGGATCCACCATTCCTTTTCGGATTCGGGGCGCTCTTCATTCTTGTCGAGGCTCTCACGAAGCTCGTAAGCTTCCAGGAGGGCTTCGTCAAGGAACTCAGCGTAGTCCAATTCAAAATCGAACGCGGGTTTGAAGTGCTTCCGCAAGACGCTATCTGGATGCTTGGAGATCCAGTTGGCCACGGTGTTGGAGAGGTAGTGTTTGCGAATGAGGGCCTTTCGGATGACATAGGCGTTTCCAAGAGAGGTTGACGGTCGTGAAAAAATGTGTTCGAAATCGAGACGTTCGTATTCGCGGTATTGAAAAACCGGTGCGGAAGACTCTGGTAGCTCAGAGATAGATGAGATCCGTTTCAAGTGAGCAGAATCTCCCAAGCGACTGGCCAATGCTTTCTCCACAAGTTCTCCCACATATGGAACGTCACAGTCGACAATAGAGTACACTGTGGGCTGGCTAACCGTGGGCGCATTATCTGATCTACAAGTCCTCTATCAGAATCGCCTCGTGGAAATATGCCAATGAATTGCAAGAAAAACGCAGAAACTTCAACGATGGGAATAGGGGGGGGCATGAGGTCTATCAGCTATGCCAGATATCTAAAGCACAAGTACCCTGTACATCTGAAACAAATGATCTTTGCAGCCATCATGTCATAATCTCCACTCACAGCTTAATCTCGCCCGTGATGCCGGGCGCGTGCATGAAACTAGCTTTCAAAGGTGTAACACTATAATGAAGAAGATGATGATTAGCGGAAGGTGACAGGTGTACAGATCTGCAATGATAGTCAACTAACCTGGTCATTTGCTCCTTGACGGCCCAGCCGTCATTACCAGGAGCACTCTCCTCGACACTTCGAAAGACGTCCTGCAAGTTCGGTGCCCACTTGAAGTGTTTGTGTTGGAATCTCGAAGGACGAGACTTATCACCACTTGTGGCATTAGCATCAGGCTTCTGTCCCTCCAGCTCGCTCTTAACACGTAATCGTTGCTCCTCTAATTCGGGTTCACCACCCTCAGCAGGGTCGGCAACCTCGAAGCAACTTCCCGCTTTCCACTTATTGATTAGCATATCGGTATATAGAATCTTGTTCTGGCTAACACCAGGCTCCAGAGGAACGTTGACACTGTAGAGGTCCACACCGTCCACCCAGTTGGCGCAAAGATACTCAATCAATTTGACTGAGTGCTTCGACGCCTCCGCAATAACCACAGGGTCATGGGTTCTAGAGCTGAAGGCATATGACAAAGCGATGGAGGGTTTGCCACAGGCAGCACCCTCCATGGCGCCACCAATAGTTCCACTCGACATGGCGAACAAGGCCGTGGTATTACGGCCATAGTTGGGACCTGAAACAACCACATCAATCGGACCACGCTCCTGGAAGTAGTGGAAGAGACCGATTTGGACGCAACTGGCTGGGGTTGAGTCAATCAGGATCCATTCGTCACCGCCATCATCAGGCTCGTCAGTGCTACCCCGCGGTAGGTGATGCACTGTTCCATCTTCCTGGTGCAGAGTACCCGGCCGGAAGTAGGTTGGTTTCACGGATGCACCGACCAAGTGTGCTTTACCGATCCATGATCGTTGTTGATGTGGGAGAACGACGGAAACTGTGTGGCCAGCAGACTGAAGCCAATGGACGAGGGAATGCACGTACGGCGACGACTGGTTTGACGGTGGACCGTCGTCGTTAGTGACCTGGTATAGAATGTGTTAGTCTTGCCATTATTTTGAGCATAAATACATATGCGAACCAGGATATGCATGGTGAGTACTGATCAATTGGTGGGATGGATGAGAACAGATCGGAGATTTGCCCGCGCGGGGCGCTTTTTATCGGAACCTAAATCTGCATGTCGCGATGTCATACCCCACACGGTCGGGATACTTAGGATATACACCAATGTGCCAGAACTCAAGGAACTACTAAGTCATTTTGCTCTCAATGTTGATGTCAAGATTTGGCTTATGGGCTTAGCTTAGGCATTGAATATTCAACAACTTGGCATTTACATCAAAGTAGCTGTTAAGCAAGGGTATCAAACATTGAACTGCACTTAGAAAATAAGAGGCGAAAGCAGCAGCAGGGCCTAGCTATCGTATTCCGACAAATGACTCCGTCGTTTCTGTAGGCCTCTAACTTCTGGATCCTCCAGTCCAGAGCCAATGCCGCCCTCATCGTCGGCTAGATAGCTCTTGAACAAGGAGCTACTACCTTGTTCTTCGGGCTCCTCCTTGACCTTAACAGCTCCACTAGATGAGCCAGTGTCCTCGGTTTCGGGTTCATCCTTCACTAAATCACGAGCTTCATCTTTAATCTCATCCATTGAAACAGGCTCGGGTCGCAAAACCCAGTTCAACAATAACCACGTAACGGTAGCTGAAGACACCGAGACGGTCCAAAACATCGAACTGAATATCACAAAGGATGTGAGCTTCCATCGGTACATAAACCACCTGTAAGTTGAATTAGCCAAGCGCCTCTAGAAGCAATAGTCATATGGAAACCATACCGAAGCCCAGTGAACCGCGCCCGGAATTCCACGCGCGCGGAGTATATCTGGATCTTTCCATCGCTCTGGATCTCAAGGCGCAGACTTTGCGGGATATTTCGCGCGCCCCGTGCAAACTCAACCTTCTCCATCATGGGTACCTCTAGCATCTCCGCCTCTCGGCGCCAGCCAACGACGTATAGCGGCAGTCGCGCCATTCTCCGAGCAACATCCACCATCGGTGAGCTAAAGGTAAGGATAGCCGATCGGCGTGACTGTGAAATCGGGTCTAAGGAGCTGGCGGACTTGGGGAGCACGGAGCTCGCTTGAGGAGAGTAGAGGGTGAGATCGATCATGAAATTGCCCACATCCAGATTGGATGGCGTGCGAGGCATTTCAAGAACCACAGCAACATCGTAGGGTTGTGAAGAAACGAATTGGGACTCTAGAGAGGCTACGCCCCAAGGATTCTTGTCACTATTGCTATGAGCGTGAGTAAATCGCTGACATTCATTCAAGCTGATGGAAGTGAATGTGTTCCTACCCGAATTGCAGGTGGACTTCTCGATCGACACCGACCGTGGGAATGAAACTCAGGTAGAATATCGCATAAGCAATTCCGGAAATCCCCACTAGGAGCACTGTAGCGCCGATAAATAGAAGTGTGTTCAGGTATATGCGGAGAGCGGTTTTGGAGAATAACAAGCGGAATGGTGTCCAGAGCGCGTCCTGTCTTCTGTTAGACGCATTGAAGAATATGTCGACAAAAAACATACCAGGACGACAACTCGAGAGGAGGGGCCTTCATACTCTGTCTCATCGTCCGTGTACTCTGAATCCGCCATCGTGGGGTGTGGTAGTGAATGGGGGAAGGTCGAAAACAAGTTCCTCGGCAGATAACTACAGCGCGGGTCCAATCAATCTTATCTGAATACATGGCTCTACCATGAGGTCACCCACTGCACTTTAGGATACTGTAGACAATAAATGCACATTTAAGAGCTGCGTGTAAATTATTTCCATAAAGATAGAAAAGCTTCAATTAGGAATCCCAAGCCTTCAATGCAGATTCCATCAACTCCTAGCTTTTACGATTCTATCATTACAGGTCGCAAGTAGCCTTGGAACGCGAAAATAAAATCGTAGTATCTCAGGTCATGCGGAAATCGTAACACGAATAGGAAAGATGCATACCGTCCACATGGCAAATCCCGGCCGTAACATGAGACATAATAAGTAAAACGTGAAAGCAATGAACCCCGTGAAAGAAGAATGAAAAAAAAGTACAATGAGGAGTAGAGAACGGTATGATTACGCCGTCTCGGTATGTGATCGGGGAAGGAGAGGGGGAGTAAGATCAGCTTATGCCACAGGGCGAGGGCTTTGCTGCTGGATATGCTGGAGAAGGGCATCAAAAAGCCGACCAATCTGTCGTGGTGTCGTTAACATAGCTGTCAAAGAAGGCGCGTAACATGGGAATAGACCGTACCTCCGGGGCCGCCTGGATGAAGGGAAGGCGGAAGAAGGAGTAGCTCCGGTTCTGGAGTAGTTCCTGCAAAGTAATGATCAAGCCCCACGGGTGAGGACGGTGGACAATGAGGCGCTCCAAAAGCACACGGATGATTTGCTGGCGAATGTCGGAATCATCCTGCTCGGTGAAGTCGACACCGAACAGCCGCAGAATTGTGAAGCTGAAGAAATAGGTGTGACTGTTGGGGTATCGCAGCTGATTTGCCATCGCACTCAGGAGGTAGTACCGAGCCTCAGGCTGCATGGCTTGGGCGAGCTTCTCGAGAAGGGCCGCATGGGTCGAATTCTCGAAAGCGCTGCGGATGTCGCTCTTTGAGGCCTGCTCCTCCGCAGCTTGTTGGCCAATATACAGAACCAGCGCGTTGAGAAGTACAACGTCCACGTGAACTGGTGCGTATAGAAGGGCGGTGTCCGTGGCTTGGGGGTTAGTAATGACACCACAGAGCTGCTGGACGATGGTCTCAGACACATTGCCGCTTTGAAGAATACCGTCGACAGTGTCCTTGATATTTACTAGCTCCAAAGGTGCTACAATGTCACCTGCAATCTTGGGGATTTCCCGCATCTCCTCAATGCGTTCCACTTTGAGGCCCTCACGGAAAGGATCCGGGAGCTTTTGAAAGGAGGATGGGTAGGCACTGAGCACAAGGTTGCGGAGCTGGGCGCAGTGGGCGGGAATCACATTGCAGAACTGGAAGTGATTTTCAGCAACAAACTCCGGGAAGTCGTGGTGCAAGATCAACAAGATGCGAAGCACACCCTTGTACAAATCTTTGGCGATATAAGAGATGTTAGTAGCCTTGAGTTGCTCGCCGATGTAGGAAAGCAGGGTTTGCATGATCTCGCAGTAGGGTGCCCAGCCTTCGCGGTCCGGCATATTGAGCATGTATGACATGAATAGACGGTGTGAAACCAGTGTGAACCATCCATAGACAAACCCGGGTATGTATTTGGGCTGGAGAGACAGCAGGCGGTTGGCGAAAGCAAAGATCATGCCCTTGTGTTCCTCGTGGTGCTGGAAGTCGGCCAATGAGTATTCACAGAGGATGGTAGAGAACAGACGGAAGAAAACGCGTTGGTTGAATGCTTCACCTCGCATGACCTGGTGATGGTTGAGAACAAGAACCAGAGATGAAAGGATAGAACTGAAGTAAGCCGGCTTGTTGGCTTTAACAGCACCGGCATGCTCGCCCTGGAACTTGACAAGTAGAACGACGAGCTTGGCGAGGGCATCGATGTAGAGGAAGGCTTCATCGAGGCTGCCGTTGGGGACCTGGCACTCGTGCTCGAACATGCCCACAGAGATATCAATGCTGAGACGGAAAAACACAGCAGAATCTTCCGGGTTGTTCATAACCTGTCGATTGTGCAAATCTTGGAGGAAGGAGTGGAATGTCCGATCAGTGGCTCCGGATGCCTTGTAGATTCCAATCCATTCGCTGAAAATGTACTCCATCTGGTCTCGCTTGGCCCGGGCGGAGTCGTTAAGGAGTGGGTTGACAACTTCTGGAATGCCACCGTCGCGCAGCTTGCGGACGATCTCCAAAGCGGGAGTGACGTTTGCATCTTCGGCTAGCCATTGGCTCATTGCCTCGAGACTGCCTGAGAAGTCTGACCGAAGAGCTGCCGGTTCATCGTTGAGAAGAACACGGCTCATCAAGTTATCAAGCAGTTCTAGGGCACGGACGTCCTTCTGGACAATGAGGCGGGCCAACACCATGTCGACACGACGAATGTCCAAGAGACCAGCATCGATAAGAGAAACAGTCACCGGCACGTTAAACATGTGTTCATCATCAATGTCCGCTAAGAGCGCCCATGTGTAGCGTGCGATCAATGTAGACATATCGCAAATCTTCGCAAGTAGGTGCACAAGGACTTCAAGTTCCAAGGGGCCTGATGGTTGCGAGTACAGAGTGGTGCAAATCTTCAGAGAGGTCAGTCGTGCCAGCTCCTCACCATTTGGCGACGCCAAAATAGTACGCAGAGCCGTGTTGTACTCTTGCAGTACAGTACTATCCCTGCCAAGGTCCTTCACGCGTTCCTCTGAGGACTCGCGAGTGGCCTGTTGGAGTTCCGAGATGAGAGACTCGACCTTCTCACGTGGGTTTAGGGTCTCGATGAAGCCGTTGGTGTGTACACCGCTGATCTGCGATACAGCCTGCGCCTGTGGTGTTCGGTGGGGAACTGCAGGCTGCTCGGCGGGTGTAGAAAGGTTTGGAATGGCTGGGTAGGACTCTTGGAGCACGTCAGGAAGTTGACGGCCAGAGTCCGCTGAAACATTCTGAGGGTGAACAGCCGCCGCGGTACCTCGCGATTGGCGCGCAAAATCTTCGTAGATGGCCAACTGTTCCTTGTTTAGACCACCGGGAGTTTGGCGATAAGGCTCAGGGATGTAGAAGCCCCAGCGGTTCATCGAAGGATCCATGAAAGGCTCACTCGGTCGAGTAGCAAGGTGACGACGGCGCGCCTCCAATTGGGGTTCAATCATCTTCTCAATCTCAGGAAGTGACTTTTCTTCCGCGGCCTTTTCAACAATTCCACAGGCAGCATCCAGATTATCATTGACGCACATCAGAATCAAACCTTCCGGCATAGGCTGATCCGAAACATCCTGTTGAATCATTCGAATGTAATTGGTCATGCTGACCTTCAGAGGCTCCTTGCAGGTGACCAGAGCAAGACTTCCAGCAAGTTGTCGAGCCATGATTCCGGCTGCATGTCGCACCTTCTCCTCGTCGGGCTCCATGGCGAAATCCTTAGAGACAAGCTGGACGGTCGAAATGGAAGCAATGGTAACCGAGCGCTCGACGACAGGGGTGATAATTTCTGCAATCGCACGCTCCACTGCAGAAGTAACAATTGTTCTCAGAACGGTGGAGTCTACCATGCCGCTTGCCGAAGGGGGCAGGACAAGAATCTTATCGAGGCTTGGCAGACTAGACATAATAGCAGCAGGCGATAGCCGTTCATTACGAATTCCTTGGTTGATGGAAGTGAGTCCCATTTCTTCGAAAGCTTCGAGCCCTTCTGGAATGGTTACGGCTGCTGGCAAAACCTCTTCAACCTGTGTACTGCGGTCTCGGATGATAACGGCAGGCTCAACAGTCTTGTGGTCAAGGGCAATTTCTTTGCACAAGACCTCGATCTCGAATTTGTTGTTGAGTTTTAGCTCGGCGAAGTGGTAAAGTTCCAGTAAAAGACCCAAGATGTCCATCAGCCATGGGTTAGGTGGCTTGAACACGGTGGATTTGGCAGCCTGGACAAGAACCTTGCAAGTGAAGGGGATCGCGACTCCGAGGCGCTGGGCATCGAAGCCTTCCAAGAGAAGACCCTTGAAATAAATGTTCTTGTGCTTGATTGGCTTGTCTTTCGCGATTGTCAACGAGCCAAGCCAGGCAGCGAGGTTCTTGAGGTGGCCTCTCTCGGTGGAGGAGCTAACAGTGGCGTCGGAGTTCAACAGCTTAGACACACTAACATAGGTCTCCCTCAGAACTTCGGCCCAGAGAATTCTATCTCCAATCCGATCGAGCAGATCAAGGTAGAGCTTCTGGAAGTTAGGTTGCAACTTAGCGCGTTCTTCCACAAGATACGCTGCGAACCATTGATGATGTTGATCACTCAAAACCTCACGGAGGTCCCGTAGCTTCTCCTCTATGTTTTGCTCAGAAACATTGTTCAGTACAAACAAAATCTTATCCTGGACATCCTCGTTCGGGTCCTGGTACAATTCTGATCGCAGAGGAGGGTCCACTGAGACAGAGCGGAATTTGAAGGTGTTGCCATCAACGGAGCGATCATCAGCATCACCATTGGGCAACGGGGAAGGACGAATGTTCCATTTCTCGGCTTCACCATCAGCGATCTCCTTACCTTGGGCTCGAAGAACCTCCTCGGCTTTCTGGAAGATCGGTGTGCCTTGCAATGTTGGGATTTGAAGAAGAAGGTGACAGAAACCAGCCCACTCAGGGAGACGATCCATGAGCTGTTCAATCGCCTCTACACCGAACTTGAACATCGGGTTGTGTACTTCATGTTCCCTGACAGCCTCTAGAATCATGCCAAGACCAACCTTGAGCGTGATTCCATCAACCAATCGGAAGTTGATAATACCGCCAAACATGACCGCAGTTTTGGTCAGGGCATCCAACGGGTATTCATGATAGCAATGGTATTCATCGATGAGGCCATGTACCATACAAGCAAAGAGGTCTTGCTCCTCAGGCTTGCGTGATGACTTGTACTGCCGCATCAACTCCAACATCTCCCTGAGTGAGAGTTCATCGTGGTACATTTTGCCGAATAGTGCCTGCATCTGCTTATCAATCACATCGGGCAATGTGTTGCCATTCTCGCCATTCGCATCGATTATATCATCAAAAGCTTCGCCATAGTTGATCAATCGAGGGTACGTCTGAATGCAAATACGCTGAACAGGAGTGAGGTTCTCGCGATCCCCAACAAATTCTTCCAAGACGGACAGAAGTGTGTACACAGTTCGCACAGATAGGCTGACCATTTGAGGAGTAGACTGCTCCTTCCGTTGCACATGTAGCTCATCCTCTGCCTTGATTCTCAAGAACTTGGACAAGAGGCTACCCATGTCAACCTGCCCTTTTTGGGCAGTACTGCGTATCCATTGTCCAAGATCAAACGAGCCCCTGCGATCAGAATAACAAGCAAGGTCTAGGGCAAGGCCATTGGTGAATCCGAGCAGATAATCGAGCCAACCAAAGCTAACAGCGTGTTCATAGATCATCGCAGTAGAGTTGGGGTCTTGGCTAAACGCCGCGAACAGTTGCTCCGAAACCCACTGCCGATCCTGACGCCAAGCTCCATGAAGAGCCAGCTGGAAGCCATCTTCTTGTTTTGAGATGAACACAACAAAGGTCCGAAGAACGAAACTCTGCTGGACAGTTGTCCAGGGCTGGGGCATAGCCAGTGCAGAAATAAGGAATACTGGGAGGTCATACTGCACTACCGCCTTGATGAGGTGCTGGCTTTCTTTCGCAGCCCAGTGGGCTTGCGAAAACAACGCCATGTCGAAGACTGCTTTAATGGCATCAAGGGACCGAAGAGGTGATTTGGCTGCACGCTCCCCCTGCAGCTTAACGGTCTCGGGTGCGTCATCAAAGAAGTCTGCGGAAAATGTTGCGCGAAAGTCGCGAATCTGAGAAGGATCAATTCGAGATGCAACTAAGGCTGTCAAGAATGAGATTTGGGTATCACGGTTGTCCCAGTCACCACCCCAAAGCTTCTGTACGTCCAAGGAGGGATCGTCAACAGCAGCAGCAGAAAGAGCTGTGTACAGCTTTTCAAACTGTGCCGGGTCGACTCTCAAGCCTTCTCGGTCAAATTGCCGGAACACAAGAGACCAATTTGGCTGCTTCTCGGCATATGCCGCGATGAGAGTTTCCAACGAGAATTGTTGCCAGTATTGGGATAGAGTCATGAATAGAAGAGCACTGGCAAGCGTCTCTTCCGTCCAGCTATCTGGACCCACCGCATTGATCATCTCAGTGATTGTCTCAACGTTGGCCGTTGCACGAGGTCCCTTGGCGTGGAGCTGTCGCACAAGAGTGAATCGAGGGTTCACGAAGTTGAACATTTGCAAAGCAGAGGAAACTTCGAATGGCATGTCCAAACCCAGCTTCTGGTATCGAAGGTTTGCCGCGTATACCAGCTTCGCCTTAACGTCGTCGGTGAAATTTCGGGGAGGGTAGAGGATGAATCTTTCGATCGTCATTCCGAGGAAAGAGTTGTGGAAATCCTTGTTTGCTTCGGATGAGGCTGATAAGCTATGCAAAAAGGGATTAAGAGAGTTGGAGAGAATCGCATCGGCTAGATGGGCGCAAACGTGATTAGTGCTACCTCGAGGCATACAAGGAAGAGACAAACTTACCCTTGGCTCGAAGATCTGATTTGTTAGTCATCTTGAAAGCCAAAGCGAGGGAAACCTTGACAATGGGATCCAGACGGAAGTGATCCAAGAAGGTGGAGAGATCGAAATCACGGAAGATGTCACCTTCGGACGTATCGACTGTCTCTGCGATCTTCTGAGACTGCTCCATATCCGAGGAAACTTTCTGCATCTCCTGCACAAGAAGGGGGTAGTTGCCCGCATTTTCGACGGACTTATTCACCCCAGGAAAAATCTGGGGCGCATTGCCAGTCAAAAGACGACGGAAGTATTTCGAGAAAACCTCCATGCCGTTCGAAGTCACGAGCTATAGAGCATATTTGGTTAGACTTTGCACTCGAAGAGAAAGATAGGTGAAGCCGATGTTTTACCTTGTGTATCTGAGCAGCCTTGGTCTCCCACTTTTCTTTTCCTTCCTTCTCCGTAATTGAATCTAAGAGGAGGAAAACCTGAGCTATCGAGATCTTCGTGAGCGACGATTGACTTGAATGAGCTGCTGCTGATCCGGGCTTGTCTGAAGCGAAGCCTGTGGGTGAGTTCACGGTTGTGCCTGACGACAGTGGTGAAAAGGCAGCACCTCTGGAAGAACCCGGCCCACCACCTCCCCCTGAGCCTCCAGCACCTGTGATGGAACCTGTTGCTGAGGCGAAATAGGACCCAGCAGATGGGGTGTGTGCTCGGAACTTAGGTGAGGAAAGCGACTGGGCTTGTTGCTGCGAGCCTGTCTGCAGCGAAGTGAAAGGCGAGGATGTAGGCTTGGGGCTGTTGCCAGAGAGACCCCTGGTGGAGCTCAGAACGGCAGAGAAGGATGATGGCGTAGAGAACCCAGGGCCTGCGTCCAAGCCCCGGGAAGAAGCAGAGGTAGCGGTGGCGGAGGAGAGGTTAGTCGCGAGAGGAGTCAACCCACGACGAATGCCGGACTGCGACGCGGACCGACCCCAGGCACCAATCTCAGTTCTGGTCGAAGAAGGTTTATCGGTGCCAGAAGCAATCGACGATTGGGCGGAAGGGTGAGGGGGAGGGAAGGTCATCTAGGAGACGCGATCATTTGATCTGGAGGGTCCAACGACAGATTTTTAAGCGGGCGGGCGCGGTGGACACGATCGATAATATCGACCAAAGGAAAATCTGATGTGGCGTCGTCAAAATGGAGGGGTGGGAGAAGAGGGTTGGAGAGTGGGATGGGGGAATGGATAGCGATGGAGAGGTTGGAGGAATGGTGCGTCAAGGTGCGAGGTGTCGGAAGTGTCGGTGCCTCAGGTGTCACGAGGGAGGGAGCTTGGGCTTGAATTTGTACCTTTGGGCACGTTACTGCTCAAGTTCTCTGTTGGATATGGGAATTCCAATGGCAGTGATCAGTCTACTCTAGATACGAGTCACTTTCAAGGCGCCAGATACCTCGTACTCTTTTATTCACGGGAATCATTCATGGACTAAATGCTCAACTACAGTTTCAAGTCACGTGATAGACAATGTGTGCTGAGTCATCTTAGTCCCGCCCTGCCGAAAGTGGAACGAGTGGGCTTTTCCCCGGGTATTTACGACACTTCCATCCTCGATAGATCAATTTCCACCCTCCTTTCTTTGGGTTTGAAATATATCTATGTCCCAAGAGCATTACTTCTAACACGTCCTCTATTAAGAGTATGAGAGTGAAAATGTCAAGACCCGTAGCCTACTATGAGGTCAAAAATATGCATACTTGATGCTCACGAAAGCTTATGTACTAGTAGTACTCATGGCTAAATATTTTGTGCCCATTTTAGTCCTTCTATCCATCTTGTACACGTACAGTTCTTCAGGGCTGTCGACACTGACAAGAATCACCCATTACCAACATAGGTAGAACCCTGCCATATCCCTACGCTCATCCGAAAAGGCCGCTGTAGACACAAGTCCTCGGGAAAGTATTTGTTCACATATCCTAACTAAGCCATAATAGTCAAAGGGTAGTGAGTATATGCAACCACGCTTGGTAAAACAAGATTTGAACAGCCCAAAGGTGTTTTCAATGTTGGCTCTTGGGATTTATTCAACGCCCCATTTAGCTCTACATACCTAGATAGATACATGTACATAGTACATAGGTATACCTAGGTACCTATTTATAGAGAAATTGAACATTTGAAGTACCGTTTTCTGTTCATGCCTTGGGCAGGTGTTCAAAAATGTTGCCAGCACTATCGCATTTCGTATTGCTACAATGTATGTTCATACTATCTACCTAAGTGGTGAGTTGGAACCTTCAAAGACTCTAGTGCTACATGCACATGTGTACATAGGACACCTTACACCATTGATATGTACGTAGCCACGAAGATATAAATGGCACCTGGTCGGTGGACGGAGTTTCAATATAACCACATGATACAGCACTACCTACATATGTATGTAGGACGATAGAGATCTCCCAAATAACGAACATCTCTCTTTCATTCAGATAAATGTGGGCACCTGGGTAAAGGACATCATGTGAGATGCTGAAATATAAGAGATGGGACAAAATAGCCCAAGGAACAAAAATGGCAACATGGCAACAATTGACTTGACCATACATTAGAAGACCCGAACCGTACCAGTTGACCCAATATAACGCCAAGAAACGAGTTTTAATCAAAAGACCATATAACCCCGTGAGAAAAAGAGGAGTTGCGCGGGGGAAATCATGTCGTGTCGAAGAAGAACTTCAAAAAACAGCAAATAAAAGAGAGAAAAAGGGCAAAGGATATGACTTGTGTCGAGATTCAAGAAGATAGAAAGGACCCCCACAAGGCCAATGGTGTCGGGAGATACGAAAAGAAATAGAATCACTTAATGGAGAAGAAATGTAATCGTGTGCACATAACCCGATGCTAGTTTCACGGTCTGATCTAACGCCAACGCCAGTGTCCCAGAACCAATACCACAAGAAGAACAAGAAGAATCCGCTCAAATGCCAGGAAATCAGACTAATCAGACAAGGACAGACAATAGCATGGTGTTGCCCATTGTGCTTTGGCAGTGTATGTCTGACTAGAGCCATGGGCAGTGTTGATGTAGGTAGTGGTCGGTGTAGGCTCAATCTCCTGGACTGAGTACACCTTATTGGGAATGGACTCAATGTGGCCATTGCTCTCCAGCTGCATTTGCTGACAGTACGGGGATGAGGCACCTGCATGATCACGTCGTTCTTCCATCTTGATGATTCGGGGGTAGTTGGTAATATCATCACGCTTGGCATTGGCTTGGGCAGTCGCCATGCTTGCCGCGAGATTGCCGCCAGTGGCAGCAGTAGCATCGTAAGAAGTATCTGTTGCGGTCTGGTTGACATAAAGGAAAAATTCCAGAATCGTCTGGTTCCACCAGCAGAACCACGGCTTCTCACCAGACTGGACAACCTCCTTCCGTTCCATATAACTTGACACAATGTCTTCGGAAAGATCCCGCTTCGAAGCAGAAGTGGAGTCAAGGGCAGACTCCGGGAGAATGACAAGCTTGTCGATGTAGGACCAGAAAAATAGAGCAGCACCAAGGCCTGTATCACTAGTATCCATGACCATGCTCAAATTTTGCGTGGGGGTAGGAAGGATCGGCTGCTGGGCTCCATAAGAGAAGGTAGAGGTTGGAACATCATTGGCGAAAACAATAGACTGTTGACCATTTGAGCTCCCGACGTAAACCTCGAAATCCTTGGGTTCTTCCAAACAGCTCCAGACCTCCTTGATATCGTGATCCTCAACACACATTCGAGAGTAGTTTTGCAAAATTGCTGGGATCAAGTAATGGCCGGTCGGAGCAGGCTTATAGTTTGTCGGTGTAGATGTGATGGAGGAATAGTCCAGCTGAGCCGAGGCCGTCACTGTCACAATGTGTGGGCCCTGCTGCTCTTGGGCTTGTTGTGCCTTGCGATCGGCCTCCTGGGCCTTTCTCGTGCCAAGAACACCACCAATCACACCACCAATAGACCCACCGATCAACAGAATCGTAACAATAAGGACAATAGTCCAGACAGGAAGACCACAGCATACAGTCTGTTTTCCTTTCCGCTTGAGTTTCTCCTCAAATGCCATGATCCCCGTGGCTGCTGTAGCACCCGTAGCGCCAATCACTACCGGACCTGCATTAGGCTCACTGCTCGCAGATGACTGAGGGATCAGAGCCCTTGATGATGTATTCGAGATCGTCTGTTCCCTTGAAGTCGAGCTGAGTTGCTGGTCTTCCTGTGGTGGTAGGTTGATATCGACAGGGCTATCCGCTTCGGCCATGGTTGGCATCTGCACACCCGGGGGCTTAGGAGCCGCTCCTGTTGGGTAGCGTGAGTAAGGAGGTAAAGGTTCAGTGTGCCCATCAGGTCCAATGATATCGCCTACGTCATCCATCCGACGACTAGGGGGCGACTGATATTGTGAGTTGAGGCCGGGAAAGCCGACCGGGATTTCGTCATCCATCCCTTCTTCGACAACATTTTGGGTGTACATCCCATAGGGATGTTGCGGACCACTCGTCTCGCCCAAGGGACGATCGAATGGGCGGATGGTCGAAGTGCTTCCTACACTGGGGGAGCGACCGATACCAACCTGAGGATACATAGAGTAGGGATGGCTTGGGCCGGTCGCACCGGTGTAGGGGCTGAGGGCGCGTGGTATCGAGAAACGGGAAGAGACACTCTGAGTCCTTTGCCCAGCAAAGGTGGCATTATTGAGAGACGTAACGGAATTTCGATTGTTCGCGAAGCCTCCCTTCTGGGGTAAGCTGGATCGACGGGGCGGCTCATCGATGGAGGACCGGGCATCGTCGGCAAATGGATCGTCGTTTTCTGCTGCGGTCGCACTAAACGGTTTTGGAGCGGGATGGTTTAAGGTAGTTGAAGAGGCTATAGAGGCAGGGCTAGGCGCGCGCTCAATTTGGTCGACATAAATGGGTTCTAGGGAATATTCGTCGGAGAAGACATTGGGGTTAGAGGCGCGCGACGTGCGACCAAGTGAGTGGCGAGGCATCGATTCATATTGTCCTTGAGACTGTCGTGGATTTTGAGATGACCTTGACGCCGAGCGAGAATGGTCGGATGAAATGTGTCCAGACATATCTCCTTGCTCTGGCAGCCCTGTCGGGCCACCGCTGTGATTTCGTTTCAATCCGGATTCCTTTCACCCTCGAAAAGAATGGGTGGCTGTAAAAGGTGACCGAAAATGCGGTAGGGCTCTTCCTTTGTATTGTACGGAAGAGTATGTAAATGGTTGACTTGGGAGGGGGGAATAGTTGGGGTGAAGTTTGAAGATGAGGTGAGAAGGAGGGAAGGGAGACAGGTTTGAGACTTAGTGTGACGGCGGTAATACAATATCGGGGAGGGGGCGCCGTAGTGGGAGAGTTACTGTACGGAGAAACTTGGAAACCAACATGTAAAAGATCTTTGAAAGATCAAAACCCCATCTTTGAATTACCCTCTCTCTTTCACCCTTGATCATCGTCTTCTCGTTTCTTTACATCTTTTTTTTGTGATCTAGTTAATGAAGACCCTTAACCCATTATCTTCCCCATGGCCCTGAGAGACCCTTTGACCAGACGCGATCGACTGGGACTCCTCCACGAACGCTACGCCCACTCGGGCCACAAAACTAGCGACTAGAGTCTCTCTCCGGCTGCTCGCTGTGGGTCTAGGTCATTGCCACCCACTTTTGTATTCCCGGGGGTGAAAAAGGGTTAGTTATTGGAATGGTATGAGCAATGAAACTAAAAATATAAAAATAAATAAAACCCAATTCTTCTTCCAAATGTATATCTTGAATCTTGAATTAGGATCAGCTCTGTACATGCGAGGATCAGCGAAGTTTTCTCACATCTCCGCCACGAAAGCCTAGAACCACGCGAACTTCGGTCTTTGTCCGGGTCTGGATTCTCAACCTGCAGTTCAAACAGGAACAATGTCTCCAGATTACTGACCAGCCAACAACACCGCATGATTGTGGACCTGGCATCCACACCCCTGAGTCCAACATCACAGGCCGATTGGTACGTTCTTGTTCACTTCGTTTCGGTATTACAGTAGGTACTCGATTTTGCTTTGCGAGACCGAAGCGAAAGCGAAAGAACCCACCCTGAAACTCAATCTAAACTAGGTGGTTACCGGTATTTGGGATTTTCAGGCATCATACCGACCCCTCACAATGAAGATTGCCCAGCGGATATTCTGGACCTTGCCCATAAAAAGGATGTTTCAATCGGCGGGCTAGTTGTGACCTGTACAAAACAGCACTGTTCACCTGGAAAATACTTTGTTTGGTGGGTTTCAATGAACAATACACCGACGACATAACCTTGGAGTGGTCTGTGTTTCGCAGGTACAAACCTGTGCGAGACCGGCAAAATTATTATCGGTGGATGCATCTTTCAATTACATCAGGCCTTGGATCCATGGAAACCCTAGAAGGTCCTTGGAAAGAAACGGGGGCTTGCCAAGGCCCAGGGTATTGATTAATTAGACGGGTTTTCCCGTTTGTACGATAGATGCTTACTTTGATAAACCTGGTCGATTTTATGCATTATTTAGGCGCAACGCCATGAAACTCAAGTTGGTTTGGCGTTTCAGCCGCCCTCCATGCTTGAATGATTAGCGCAGCCTCAACCCGGCGGTTACTGTGTGAACGCGTAACGCTAGTCAAGGAGCCGGTTCAGATTCTCTTTGTTTCAATCCGATTTTATTCAATCTAGAACGGTGGATCGTGTATTGTTCTGTGGTTCGTATCATCATAGGTCCCACAGTATCCTGACCATCCGCCCAATCCGATTTGCACGATCTATCCAACCGGCGGAGAAAATAGCCGATCTGATGCCCTCAAGCCTAGGTAAATTAATAACATGATAAATATAAGATGGTCTTGTCGGATATTTTCCATGGAGGGAAACACCATTTGCATTGAATAGTTATCCAGATTCTATTGGAAATCTGGGAGTGATTAGAGTCCCTGAGTCTGGCGAAGAATTGCTTCCAACGCAAGATTAAGATTCAATTGGGATCACCTGGCACATCCCGAGGTCATCGGTAGACCATGAAATCATTACCTACCTTGACTATACTTAGGTTCAGAGGTAGATCTATGACCTCGGGAGAGCTCTACTCAGACATCTTTTTACCTAAATAGTTGCATGAGATATGACCCCAGATCACTTACCAAGTAGGTACTGCACACCAGCTAGTTGCGCAGTCGTTCAATAGCTGAGGCCGTCGACTCGCCGGCCCGGAGTGCTTCCATAGTCTTCTCGTCGATCTCGAACCGCCCCTGGCACAGTCCTACAACTTGCTCAAGCAATGAAGATGGAAGAATAACCGCACCATTCTCATCGCCAATTAGAATATCCTTCGGGGTTTTCCAAAGATCACCCCTGAACCGCAGCGAAGTTTGATCTCTGACGCACGGGTGAATGTGTTGGATCCAAAAACGGACTTACTTTTAGCAAAGACCAATTGACACGTTGAATTCGCAGAATCTCATGGTGAAACTTCAAAAGGTCCCCGTAGAGCCGAGGCACACTCACTGGGAATACGATGCTCCTGTACATCCCTCATACGACCGTTAATCAAAATTCCTGGGTTACCAAGCTTTTGAGCCCGGGTAGAAATCAGACCACCCCAGCAGGCGGAAGGCAAATCCTTTGGTTGTTGGATATACATTCTATGACCCTTTTGATTCGCGTCTACAAAGTGCGAGGGGTGGGGGCTGGGTTTGGACTATTCGTCTTTACCATCTTAACGGTGACAGCAGGCGCACAGTTCCTCGTTCCTCCGCCCAGACAAAACATCATGAGGCCTTTTTGGAAGTTACCGTTCGGATAATTAAGCTTCACAAGCGCGTTGCCAATCTGGATATCGATGAATTATGTTGATGATCTGACCAATTGGTGCTGCACAGATGAGTTGAGGGATTATGTACGTTACAAGCTGTGAACTATTCGAGGCCTTTCAAGGCTTTGGACATTGTAGCCATCCTTGCGGTGCAGTGACAAATGTTCAAGAGTAACGTCTCCGGACTCCATTATGTTGTTATCGGGTTTTCCCCACGCCGAGGCGCCGACCCACTGCGATTCGACGGCACGACCGAGTTTATCACCTCGTGAGTCACATACTTGTTATCAACAGCTCGATCTGGGGTTCTATCTACATTGATCATATAAGAAAATTGAAGCAATTGTGCCTAGTACTATATGTGAGTCATTTCCCACAGTTTCTTCAATATTCAAGTGAACTTCTCTCATCTAATAGCTCACCATTTCTCAGCTATCCACAAACAACATAGGAGTTTTGGGAAATGACTGGAAAAGTGGGATTATCTGTGGATACGCATCCTGCGAAGCCGCCACCAGCGACCACTTTGACAGGTCGCACAGTGCGGCTCGAAAAACTAGACCCTCGGCACACCGACGACCTCTATGAAAGCATAGGACGACCAGAGCTTTCCGCAATCTGGACCTACATACCCTCTGGGCCCTTCCAAGATAAAGAAACATTCACCGCATTCATAGAGCAACTCTCCAAATCCCCCGACCCGTATCTATACGCTCTCGTCGACGTCCCATCCAACAAAGCAGTGGGATTTCTATCACTGATGCGCATCGACCAGAGAAACCGAGTAATCGAGATAGGCTTCGTCGTTTTCTCACCCTTGCTGCAGCGCACAACAGCCGCAACGGAGGCATTTTATCTCCTTGCAAAAGCCGTCTTTGAAGATCTGGGATACCGCCGTTTTGAGTGGAAGTGCGATAGCCTGAACCAGCCGTCCCGGAACGCTGCTGCTCGTTTTGGATTCACGGCAGAGGGCGTGTTTCGTCAGCATATGATAATGAAGGGCCGGAATCGAGATACAGCTTGGTTTTCTATGCTGGATTCGGAGTGGCCTACTGTGCGTGAATCATTTGAAAAATGGTTGAAAGTGGAGAACTTTGATGCGGATGGGAAGCAGATCGCTACACTTGTTGCTTTGCGAGGTCATTGATCGTGTGTAAAGTGAAATTCGATCAAAGATCTTGAAATTTGAAACGGACTTAGAAGGACAAGGTAGATTGGTTTCAATACATCATATTTGAAGGTCGGATATTCTCTTGTTGGGTACATCATCTTCCCAACTGGCTTTAAGGGGATCAATACGCCGGCAACCTGGCGTTTGACTCAGTAAGAGAAAATACCAACTGGGAAGTTGATAAAATCAAAATTTTAAATCAAGCGCTCTCATGTGGAAGCAGTCAGGCCATATACTTTTCAATTGTAAAGCCAGTGTAAAAGAGTCAAGGCTTAACCAAAACGTTGCTTTGCCAAGGTATGCAGCCAACCCATTGTCTCCTGCTCCTTCTCACGGTATTTCTGAATGCGCTCCTCACGCTCTGCTAGCCGTGCCCGAAGAATTTCCTCGCGACGAATCTCCCGTTCATTCTTCTTGCGATGGTCTTTCTCCTTTTCTCTCTTCAAAGCAGCAAGATCGTTTTCCCCAGATCCCATCAGATCCTCTTCTGGTGCCGCCTCGGGTGATGCACCTCGAGCGTTTGCAAATTCGCGATTGGCAGCAGCAGCTTCTCGACGCTTCTCGAGCTGTCGCTCCCTCGTACCAGCTTCCGCTCGCGGCGCAACTTCATCTTCGAGATTCCGCACTGCAGCTTTGTGGGATCGAATATCGCTACGATGTTGCTGCCATGACTGCTCGCGCTCAGCAATGGCATCCTCAGCTGCAGACTCTGGATGAATTTGTCAGCGGGCTGTGAGTATTCATTTTGAGGGTGGTCACAAGCTTACCTCTCTTGAGTTCGAGGTCCTGCAGTCTCGGTATCGTCGGCCCAGAATGCGTTGGATCTCTGCTCGAGTTTGGGTGAGGTAGTTTTGGCCCATATTCGTCATCCTCGTCGTCGTCATCTTCTTCAGCGTTCGGGGATGCCTTGCTTTCCACGATATCATTCTGTCCGCCCCGCGCATAATCTGGCGAACGTCTCTCGCGTTCCACAGGGGGTTGTCTCTCAGCCATGCTTTCGCGGGCTCTTTGCAGTGTGGCCGGGTCGTACCAACCCTCGGCCAATTCTGCTCGATTCCTGTCTCTAGTTAACAGCCGGACTATTCGATACAGGAACGATACCTCATAATACCATTTGTGAATAAAGCTCTTCCATCTCCCTTTTACTTCATCTTCAGACATGTCTTCAATGAATTTGCCTTTCTGAATATCTAGGTACATTGCGAACATAGGTTGGAACGCTTCCAAATCCCGCCTCGAGAGCTGCCGAGCCTGAAGCGGCAGAATCACGGGCTGTGTGGGTGTTTCTTTACTCTTGTGATCATGATGCTCTCGGTCTCGATCGTGTCGACGGTGGTGGCGGTCTGACCTGTGTCTATCGGCTCGATGGGGAGAGCGCGATCGCGCGTCATCGCGGTGTCGGTGCCGGTGGGAATGCGATTGGCTGTGTCGGCTGCGATGATGGTGTCGGTCCTTCTCATATGTGGATGGAGAATGAGATCTGCGTAAGGGCTTTGGTGATGGCATTGTAAATATGTTTGGAGGAGAGTCCCATGAAAAGGCCTGACTTTTGAGGATCCCGATGGTATGCGGCTTATCTTATCTTATCGGACCAGGTCCAGTTTCGCAAGCTTGCATACAACGAACTCGTCTTGATTGAATTTCAACGATTCACCACCTCTTCAGACTAACAGAAGGTAAACCATTTTTAAGGGTCATTCATGTAGTCAGCTTATTACAATTTAAAAGAAAAAATCCGTAGTGATAAATACATCTAACTGAAGAGGTATACAGGTACCGACGAACATTAAACATTCCAAATCTAGCTAGGTGGAGTAGTCTGCTCATTAGCCGTTCCGGCGGGCTTTTCGATAGGAGCCACTGCCGGGCTCGATGGCGAGGAGCTCTTAGTTCGGTTGGCGGCAGCCATTTGCCAGGCCGGGATAGAAGCCGACCGATTGAGTTGTGAGAGGGGGTTGCTCTGAACAGGAGCGGCAGGAGAGCTCACCGACGACTGAGTTTCCTGCTCTGGTGAGGTTACAGTTGCCTGCATGCCGTTTGTGGTTGACGCAGCGGAAGCAGCAGTGGTATTTGTTGGGGTCGACGGGGACGCAGTGGATGAGACAGGAGGGGGAGGGGGAGGGGGAGTAGAGCTACCCAGAGTTCTACCAGCCACCGGAGCGGCACCACTGCCACCGAGACGGTTACCCAGAAGAACCTTGAGGCTCTTCAGCTCGGTTCCAAGTTCTTTCAATCGGTTCTCATTGCCCTCCCGGGCGCCCTCGAGAGCTTTGGGAATGGCGTCCTTTAACGACTTGACCTCATCACTAATACGGCGGGTTTCATCGTCTCTCCTCCGCGAAGATGTTTTTAAATCTGCAACAAGACTTTCTACGTCCTTGAGAGCGGAATCCAGGCGCTCAGTGCGAGCATCTTCGGCGGCCTTCAGGGCTGCAGTATCGGTCGAGAGCTGTTCAATCAGATCAAATGCCCGAGAGAATTGCTCGTCAATGTTCTCTTTATCTTGTTCCAGTTGAGGAGGAGTTGGCGGGGCAATCAATGGTGATATATAGCGCTAGATAGGTCAATTAGCATGGGTCACAATACACAGCCATCCATCCCAAAGAAACATACCTTGGTTACGGAATACAGTCCATATCCCACTCCACCTACTACAGTCGCCATGATAAACCAGTCGCGCCAATCACGCTTTGGTGGCCTGTGATGGGATTAGACAAAGGCAATGATAGGGATTCATATCGGTGCATACTCTGGAGGTGGTTGCCATTGGCTGTATGGGGGGTAGCCATATCCTTGGGGTGACTGTGGTGGTGGTCGGTAGGCAAGCTGTTGTGAAGAGGGGGCTGGCGATGATACTGCGCCGGTGGCAGCGGCAGCGGCGGCGGCTGGGTCCTCACCCACTCGCGATAAGGCGAGGTCGACTTCTTCTTGGGTTAAGTTCTTTGATTGCAGGAATGCGACTCTCTTCTCGATAGGCGATGAAGCCACTGATGGGTCTTGGAGAACTGTCCCATAGTTAGCGAATGATTCTATCACGCGACGGTTGCGATAGATGCGTACAGGTCACCTAAGAGGCATGAGTTAGCGCTTGATATCAAAGACAAGGAGGAAACATTCTTACAGCAGACGTGATCAGCTCCTCGCGAGGAGCCATTGTGAATGAGAGTCAACTCAGTCTAGGAGGATGGAGAAGAGAAAGACAGAGGATGGAGTAGGGGAAAGCGACCTTCATCGGCAACCGCCGTGGACCTCGGAAGTCAGGACCGCCAAGCTTCCCCACACCGAATCTGGGAAAGTCTCGTGATTGTGACCCTGTTTGCTCTGTTTGCTTCATTTCATACCGCCTTCTTTATTTGATCGCGACCCGCTTCTTGTTTACATCTTCTTGCCTGACCCTGCTGCACGATAACAATGCCCCCCCTCCACGAGCCAAATTTTAAGTGTCTGACTTAGACTTGAAAAAATTGAGACCCCACATACTCTATTCAACTGCTTGAATCACCGTGATCTAAAACGCCGCTTTTGTGGCATTTGCGATCACAATGTCGCAAGATACTCATCTGTTCAGCGTCAGGCGCCCAGGCCCCCGAGAGGTATGAGTTTCTTTCTGGCCACGATGAATTTGAGCTAACAACGATCAAGACACTTGGGAGTGTACAGAATTATTCTTCGATTCCACAGCCCGCTTCTGCTCTCAAACGCACGAGCTCCATTGGGTTTAACAACCCTCCATTCACATCGCAAAATGCCCGCCGCACGTCGCTACTAAACTCGGCAAGCAGGCCTCAGCAGCCCAATTTCACACGCGCTTCCACCGGAGGTCCATTTGGCGCTGATGCTGGTCTCTCATCTGTCCGCCGATCTGTGTCGAGTAATATGTTTCATGGCGCTAGTGCGGGCCGCCAAAGCTTTGCGCCGGGCTCTCTTTCATCGAATCCTGCCCCCCCAAATTTACAACGTCGGAGCAGTGTCTTTTCGAGACCATCAATGAGTGGTCCGATGGGTCACCAGTCTTTTTTCAACCAAGTCCCCAGTGTAGCTGGTGTTCCCCGGGACCCGCGACCACTTCGGGATCGATCTTTCCAAGCGCGAATCGGACAAGAATTGCTGGAGTATTTGACCAATAATCAATTCGAGTTGGAAATGAAGCATTCTTTAGGACAAAATACCCTCCGCTCCCCGACACAGAAGGACTTCAATTACATCTTCCAGTGGTTGTACCATCGTATTGATCCCGGGTACAAGTTCCAAAAGGCTATGGATGCCGAAGTGCCTCCGATCCTGAAACAGCTACGTTATCCGTATGAGAAGGGAATTACGAAATCACAGATCGCAGCCGTTGGTGGACAGAATTGGTCGACTTTCCTGGGAATGCTACATTGGTTAATGCAATTGGCGCAGATGATGGAGGGCTATGTGCATGGGCAATACGATGAGGCTTGCGCGGAGGCTGGTGTTGATCTCACAGGCGATCGCATTATTTTCCGCTTTCTTACTCAAGCCTATCATGACTGGCTACAAGGTGGCGAAGATGAGGATGACGATATGGCCGAGCAGAGATTGGTTCCGCACATCGAAAATATGTCCGCAGAATTTGCCCGTGGGAATGAACGATACGTACAGGAGCTGGAAGCCCTGGAGGCCGAAAACCAAGCTCTTCGTGAACAAATTGAAGAGATGGAGCGGAATGCCCCCGACATGGCCAAGTTGGACAAGCACTTCCGAATTCTGGAGGACGACAAGCGGAAATTCGAGGATTATAACCAGAATGTCAAGGGAAAGATTGAGAAATACGAGACTCGTATCAAATTTCTGGACGCTGAAATCCAGAAAACAGATGCTGAACTGCAGACGACTGAGACTGAGCGAGCCGATCTTCAGGCCAGCGTGGATCAACAGGGGATCACTATCCAGGACATTGATCGCATGAATACGGAGCGAGAACGTCTCCAGAAGAGCCTTGAAGACACAATGGCTCGATTGGAGGAGACGCACGCCCGCGTCATGGAGAAGGAGGCAGAGGCTAGCCAGAAGCTCGAGGATTTGGAGGAAATTGTCAAAGCCTACAACACCCTTGGCTACCAGACTAGTCTGATTCCATCTTCAGCAGAAAATGCCAAGGGCGAAGACTTTGAGCTCCAACTGAATGTCAACGAAAACAATTTCTCCGCCAGTCAGGCTGGAAGACCACCCAATCGAATTTCATCTGAAGGCGATCGTCTCTTGGCCGAGCCTTTCACTGGATACCACCCAGCGCATTTACTGAATCTCGATCTCCGGGGCTTTGTGCGTAATAGTCTACAGTCGCTCCGGAAGGAGATCAACGAGCGGCGCAAAAGGGGGATCGACGATGACCTGGACCGCCGTAATCTACTTGACAACATTAAGGAGGCGATGGACGAGAAGCGAAGCGAAGTGGAGGCCTTGGAGCACCGACGCCGGGCGGCAGAAGAGGAGTTCGAACGCACCAAGGAAATCACCACCACTCAGAAGTTGGCGTCTGACGCCCAAATTGAGAAGATGGAGAAGGAGCTTGCCAAAATGCGCGCCACCCTAAGTGACAGTGTGCAATTAATGGAGCAACGGGAGATGAATACCAACATCGAGTATGAACAGCTGACTCTACGGGCGAATGCCCTCCGGGAAGAGCTGCACACCAATGTGGAGACTATGCTTAACGATGTCATCCGGTTCAAGGTTCATGTCCAAAAGGGCCTGGAAGACTACGAGAGCTTTGTAATGGATGAAGTGGAGCAGGAGCTAGGGGGTGACCTGCCACCCGAGGAGGAGGAACTATGAGAAATCACTTTGGCGCCTTTATGATGTGACGAGATTCTGTGGAGTTCTGTGTTTTGGTACCACGTTAATTATGTCCCTACAGGGTATGTTTCAATGTACAATACATTATTTTCCCAAATGTTTTTAATCTACACTGTTAATGTTTCTATTTTGACGAGGGAACACGCAATTTGCGGGACGATTGTGTAGCAGACTTAGTGTGAGAACGCCATGGCGTTCCTTTGTTTGACGATTAGAAAGCCTTTAAAGTCCCTGCTGGTGGACTTTGTCCGTTTTAGTTTGCCACAGAAAATCTAGGGATTAGCCAATCGCCATCGAAAATGAAACACTTTGTTTACTCAATCTGAAGGAAGCGGCGGATTAGATTGACAAGAGGACGTAAGCCTTGGTGGATCGCAACTGTGACTCGTCCGTTTCATATTTACTTTTCACACCTCACAACCGACCTCTCTCAAACATCAAACCCCGTCCTGAGATGATTCCGCCAAGATGTTTCATCTAAACAAAGCCAGCGCTAACAAACTCTAGGTTTAGGGCCGCGGCATTTGTGACCTGAGAATGGCGTTGTCCCTATAACCTGCCGCCAAACGTATCGGCTCCACATTGATGGTCCAATATGCTCGTGGGTCCCTAGGGCTTCGTCTGCCCACGCTCTGCCATGATCATCGTTGATTCGACACATCCACCACGTACAGCTGTCCCCGGCACTTGTCTCAAAAAGCCGATCTTCACTGTTCCCAGGATTCAGGGCCCGGTCCAGATGTCTCAGCTAAATCTAGCGGCTGGAGGTCCACTTTGGCCAAAGACCAGGCAAGAGTCCCTGTGGGGTATATAAAGCACTTCTAGTCCTCCAGGAACATTTTTTGAACCAGAGTGCTGCGCGCTTCCTTCTTTTCCAATAACATTTTCGGATCATTCCAGAGTTTGATACTCTACCTATCTATTCCTTCACAATCTCTTGAATTTTGACTATATCAAACACTTTCGTTGTTTATTCTTATCTCAACAACATCTTCACCATGAAGTTCAACATTGCCTTTGCTCTTGCTGCCGCCCTTTACCTGGCCCCCAACGCCGTGGCTTGGAACCTACCTGGGGTATGTGCTTCTGTATTTAATCTTGCTTTCTGATTATGAGTTAACATCCACTAGCTCGGCAAGCGTCAAGATGCCACCCCTACTTCTCAGATTGCCTCTAGCTCCGAGCCTACCGGCACATTCCCATCTGGCAGTTTCGGGGGTGGTGAGGGCGGATCATTCCCGTCTGATGGTGCCCAGCCCTCGGGTAGCTTTGGAGGATCTGGCGGCCATGGTCACGGCTCTGGTAGCCAGCAATCCGGCCGTCCTGGTCCTCGCCCGTCTGGCGCTGCTTCATCCGGCGCTGTTCCGTCCGGAAGCTTTGGCGGTGGTGAGTCCGGTGGTGCCCAGCCCTCAGGTACTGTTGGAGGCACCAGCGGCGGTGGCTCTGGGGGTGCATCCCCCTCTGGCGCACCTCATTCAGGTGGTGGCTCTGGTGGCTTCGGCGGAGGTCAGTCCACCTTTGTGACAGTTCCTGCCGGCCCCACCGCTACCCCCGAGGCCAGCTCTCAGAGCCAGGGTGAGTCCTCTGAGGGTGAGAAAGACCAGCGTATTCACGCTCGTCAATTCCGCGCCATTCAGGTTTAAATGTGTGGGAAAATATGGGCTCATTTGTGGCATTCTCGTTGCCCTGTGTGATTGAGGTAAAGGTCGTTGTGTTACTGTGGCTGCCGGTGCAGTTATAGAGAAAATTACATAGGTATATAGACCTACACCGTATTCACGCAAATGAGACTCTGGGATGATCATACTATTTCTTACCCTCTATTGGTTTGGAAGATCAATAGGTATTGTTTAGCCAGAAGCTAGTAGAAAAAAAGAGCATGTACATTTGGTATTCTAATTCACGTCTAATTTGTGATATTGAACTTTAGTTGGAGTCATTATCTATTCAAAATAGTCCTGTACCTCAAATTGTGGCATATTGTTTTGAAATGAGCTTTTTGAAGATATTTCGAGTCATCAGGTCCAGTCATGTATTCGAAGTAAATGCGGTGGCTCCGATTGGCTGCAGCTTGTGTATGCTGACTCATCCATCTGGGACCAAATTTCCAACGATTCGTTTTCCTTCAAACATTTTCAACACTCCCGTCTTAACGGGCTCACAGCCATTACCGATCACACCTGTACGGATTAAACGGATCGGAGAACCTCTGCGACCGACTGAAGTTTATGTACGACTCGAAATGTGCCACACCACACCGGAACCCATCGAGTTCGTGAATCATCCACAGGTGCCTTTCGCGAGGCTTCTCGCCGTGTCATGAGAAGGTGCCTATGCCCCGGCGGCCTCTTACGAATAGGTCGTGGGTCAATAACTCCTCGTCGACGTGTCATCCCTCATACTGCGATATATCGCCTCCAGGCCCGGCCTTCATCGACGACATGCAACATACGGCCTAAAGATTACGCGCTTCTTCTCACATATAACACCTTACCGCCTTCTCCTCTCCGGTCGTCGCTCAAGTACAAGGTCGATTCCTGGTTACCACTCTTAGAGAAATGTGTCCCACCAGCACAAGGGGGCAAAAATCCTCCTGGTAAGCTTGAGGCTTGCCTTCTAGGCCATGCGGACACTTTTGATAGAAGTCATGCTTTGAAGGCATACCTTTATCATGCCAGAACGGCCAAATTGAATCTCCTCAACCATCTGGGTTTCAATATGGGGCAGTGGTCGTATGTATACCGCCTCCTGGGCAGTTTTATCGACACATACGAAGTGCTCATTCCTTTCATGACCCCTCAATGCCCATCCTCGCGCCTCACTTGGGGAAACACTGGACTTTCTCTCGAGGAGCTGACAAGGGCTCCTCCTGGTGATCTTATAATTAAACGCGAGTTAATCCCGATGCGTCCGCCTTCTGAAAATATCCCCCTCAGAACCCTATCTGGGGCCCGGCCAGCAGTACGGGACTTTGCTCGCTCATTCTTGGGGGAAATATTGGTGAATCTTGGTTCGTTGGTACTGGAAGCTGCAGATCGACCAGCAATTGAGTCCGAGCTTGCAATGTCATGTGTTTACCGCGTCCTAGCTCGTTTGCACCACCTAGATTTGGTTTCCAACAGAGTTTACCAATCTCCAGAAGACAAAACAAATAGCTTTGCAATCCGACCACCCGGGCTGCATTTGCTTACGGGTCACATCATGAGTGTCCTTTCTGACGCAGCATGGTTGGAACACGAGTCCACACTTGCCACCGCAGCCACCGAGGCTGGGGAAGAACCCCCTTTCGTTTCTTTCAAAATTGGAGTTCGAGAGTTGGGTCATGAGATCTGGTTAGAGCTTATCCTTTGGTGCTGTGTGGAACACGGATTCAACAGACAGGGCGCTTGGTTGGTGCGTCAAATGTGCGAGCGCAAATCCCAGTCGAGCTGGAAGATCGAGAGCTGGGCCCCTCTTATGGAGGCTCTCGATCTTGTAAAACAGACCAACATTAGCACTGAGCAAGTCTGGCGTCGTCCGGGCCAGGAAAGCCCAACGGTGACGCCCAAGGGCTCCAAGAAGCCCCCGTTCAGCGGACTTGGCACAAAAACAATCAGTTCTGAAGTGGTTTCCAGCTTACGAAATGGGCTATCTGACATCGCTTATAATGGCGTCGGTTTCCATGGCTTGTCTCCTTCCGAGCTGCTCTTCCACTCCAAGTCTCTAACCGCTTTACTTGACCCACCCGGTCCAGCTGACGATCTCCGTCCGACCAGAAGAGTATCCACCGAGCATATTATTCGAATCATTGAATCTGGCTGTTTAGAACCGATGGAGGATCCAATCGCGTTGGAGAAAGTGTTACGGTCTACTCAAAACCTTGTACCTCCGTGGGAGACTGATCCAGTTCCCTCAACGGTGGACCTGAAAAACATGACGAGAGCACAGCTTTATGACCAGACAGCAGCTCTAAGTGGTCTAGTCCAATACAACATCAAAGGCTACAGCTACAAACGCCAAGCTACCCTGGCCTTCATCCAGTATGCTTTCCTTCAAAACATCGTCGATGCCAGCAAGGTCCACCACATACAGGCATTCTTTGACCATCTCACTCAATCTCAATCGATGGACGTACCCTTTTTCGATTCACGGCAACTAAACACGTCTCAATTACTGCAGTCGTCTCTCCCCCAGTTGTCTCTCTCAACTTTGGCCGATTTGCTTGATTTGGCAACTGCTATTCGTGCTGTCGACTTTGGAAACTGGTTGCTCTTTAATGATGATCTTGATGGTCCCTCGATTCCACCAGCTCTTTATGGCAAGCAAGTTATAGCCTCGTCGATTCTTCGTTTTGCGACCGCTACGCGAAATAATGAGTTGAGTCAAGCGGTGATCAAATCGCTGGAGTTCCCACTTGCCGTGAACACCCTTAAAGCGATGGCTAATGTACACATTGAATTTGGCGACTGGGCCCGCGCGATTTTGGCCTTTGAGTACCTGCGTGACTACAGGCTTAAGTCTTGGGGCTTTAGTAATATCCTGATTCTGGGAGCGAAGATAGTCAGGCTTGATGGTATGTTAAAGCTACGCCAGGCCAATGGGGCCGAAGAAGAAGTGCAACAAAGATTGAGGCAAAGTCTCGACCACGGAAAACGACTTCTAAGTCGTTTCTTCACTGGGGAATTCAATACGCCTAAAAGCAAGAGTTGGAGACAACATGATTTCCAATGGAGAGCTCTTCGGCGCGTACAGACGGTTTTCCGAGGAGTTCCTGGTGAATTGGGAGCCCTCGCGGCGCAAACAAAACTTGACCGCACCTTTTCCAGCCGTGACAACATACCTTATGTTCCTGCTGCCTCTTTCCATGTACTTCTCAACGCGATACTTGAAGTCCACGGCTGCAAAGTGGGACATAAATTTGCGATCCAGTGGCTCCAAACCGTCCCCAACCCAAAGGAGTGGCGCCAGAAAGAAGGCGGTGTCACCCGACTCAATCTTCACAACGAGCGTGATTTGAAACTGGGTAACCCCGATTTCAGCATGCCTTTCCATAACCATGTTATGAAAAAGGCCGTCGTTCCAAATCTGAACACGATCCGCATTATTATCCAAGCTGCCATGCGTGAGCTTGAGGCAGATCAGCAGAAGTCGAAGACTGGACAGCCTTCTAGTGAAGGTTATAAACTTGACGTTCCAAGGGCGGTTTACAAGAACCTAACAGTGGATGGCGGCAGACCGCCGGCTACTGAAGCTGAGGCCGTCCTCGACTGGTGTGCGGCTTTCCTCCTACGTTTCGGTATGCGAGAAGACGAAATCGATTTGGAGATGCCAGGCCACACGAGCCGCCTGCGGGCTCGAGGCGTTTTCACTTCACCGCAAGAGAAACGGAGCCGTGTCCGCGTCAAGGAGATTCAGAGTAATCCCTGGATGAGCACCTTCATTAAGGAAATGGATGTGAGCACATAAAAGATCCAGTCTCAACCCACGACCAAACTGATGGGGTGATTCATGGCTTCCTGGATCATTTCGTGATTTGCGAGACTATAAACTCGCGTGTATAATATTTTGTTCTTTGGACCATGGACAAACAGTGTATATACCCTTTTTCTTTTTCCATGTTCATATGATGTATGATCACTTTTTTCCCTCATCCTTCCTGTCCCTAGGGTGCCTGTACATAGCGGAAACCCAAATGTAAAAGCATAAACTCAAATCGATCTACTGAAGCAAGACACGAAGAGGGGTAAGATGGTATACAACCCATAAGATTAAGATATTGAGCCCAATTTAAAGATCTTAGAATTTTAAGCAAGATCATGACAAACCCAATCCATCCCAGAACACCATCCGGCAATCAAACAGCGGGCAACCAGGCCTACCTAGCCGATATCCTTCCATCATACCTCCGCCTTAAATGTACCTCCAAACCAATAATAATCTCCCATCCCATGTCGATTATGCAAAAGCACGCCGTTGTTGATATAGAGCAGTGGAGGAAGGGAACGGGAGAAAACAGAACCAATAAAGAATAAGCCATCAATTTGCTCCAATAACGAGATTGCAAAAGGTAGGCAAAGAAGAAAATCAGAAAAGAATTTCCAAAATTACAAGTCGTACTTGCAGGGCGAGCCCAAAGGATAGAAAAGAGGCTTACAAAGCCAAGAAAAAAAGGCGATGTCACGATCAAGTGATAACAAAATTGAGGTTGAAGGAAAGAGAACGAGAAGTTAGGTCATGCGTCTTCACTCATAAACAAGCATCATTCAGTAATTTTTCCCTCGACAAGATCAAATTTGATCCCAGTTCTGATCTTCGTTCGAATAGGGGAAGAAAGAGCGGATAAACTCGCCGCTGATAGGATCATACGGGAAGTACAGGTCGTCTGTCATCTGTGCATCGCCCGTAAGTGAGGACATGATATCTGGTGTGGACATGTCTGAGTATCCCGCAGCATTGCTGAAATAATCCACACCAAATTCGGTGGGCTGCTGTGCAGCCAGCGATAAGTTTTCTAAGTGTGAATTCCAAGGCCCTGAAACGAAGGGAGCAACGGCCTGTGCAGCTTCCTGTGGACATTCGAGGGAGAGTGTAGAAGCAGGTGCGGGTTGATAGGAGTGGGTAGGCATGTCATCAACGTTGAATTTCATGCCGGCAGACAGACGGCGCAGAGAAATGTCGCAGAGCTGCCAAGCGCGACGCGAGGCAATGCTGTGCTGGGACATAGCAAAGAGCCAACGGATGGCCTTTTTGGATAGGTGAATGAAATTCTTTTCTTCTTCAGGCATGTGAACACATCCAAAGGCGAGCTCAAGTAGGAGGACCGTTGCGGCTTGCATGAGATAGTGCAAGATACACCACCACGGCGCAATCTCATACAACTGAATAGCATTTGGCTCCTCGGGGATGAGATCGAGCATGAGGTTTGCGGACTCCAGGGTCAGTTCAGCCATGTCGTGGCTGAACGCTGATTTTTCTGAAGGGCTTTTCTTCTGAGCATCGCGCCGGCAGAGACATGGGCGTCCCAATGTGATGCGTGCACTATAGTAGTGGAAGGCCAGTGCCAGTTTGTAACGGAGTCGGTCAGGTTCTTCATTTTCCTTCTTGGTGAAGTCGAGTGTGGCCGGAAGACTGTGATACCAAAGGTCGATACGACACCTTAGCTCACCGATTCGATTCTCGATATGAGCCCAGGGTACCATAACGCAATCCACCGAATACACTTTGTTCACAACTTCCTGCACCACGACGGCTAGATCACAGTAGTAGAGGTGACAAAGGCCCGCGTTGACAGGCACGCTCTTCACCCACGAGTTGTCGCGTATGCGGCTTGAATGGGACGCTTCTTTGCCTCCAGTAGGGTTGAGGGGCATATGTCGGACCCATGAACTTGCCATTATCTTATTGATACGGTCATCTCGGATTACCGAATCGTTTAGCAATTCAGCGGCGGCTGGTTCTATAAGTTGGTCCTCTTCAAACGGCAGCGGCAGAGGTGTGGTGCATACTCCATCCAGGATACAGGAAGCACGGCCGGTCATTATACCCAGAAGATGCTCGAATGTGTATAGACACCACCAGACTCGATAGCGAGCCTCTTTGGACACATTCGGTGTTGTAGGACTGCTATTTTTCATATTGATTCCCAGGGTGATTGCAGACCGAATCGCCAATGCAGAGATTCTCCATGCCCTGCGAAAAGGTTAGAAAGATCCTTCATCATTATGTCGCATAACGCATCTGCTTACCGGTTGATCTGATCTGATGCAAGCAAGTAAAAGGCGATCAATCCTTCTACCTGAACCTGCTGGAGATCAGGATGGCTGAACAAAACATCACCATTCATGCTGAGGATCCTAGCCCGATTCAGATACAACAAATGATCTTTTTCATCTCCGCGCCATGATGCCTCGAGAAGATCACCATGTTTTGCACTGATAGCAAATATCATGTTCAGAATAGCGAGCCATTTGTCTCCGGGTTGCGCATTGCTATCATAGAACGTCTTATACTGCGCAGTGAAAAGAGGTCGGTTGATGATGGGGAAGAACGGGTGGACGGTTCGCAGATAGTCATCGAAAAGTTGATCGGCCTGCTCTCGCGGAGGAACCGAATACACGTCTATCGGTCCAGGGACATTGATGTCCAAATCATCGAGATGGTAGTTGACAGCGTGAAGAGCGAGGTCATCATCTTGTCGCTTACTTTGGCCAGGCTCCAAGGATCCAGGTAGTCCTTGTGATCGGTGCTCTGCCTCTCTTTGGAGCCTTTGCATCCAAGTCACCTCGGAGTTCTTCCCCATATATCCAGTCGCGCGAGAGTGCTCGTTTCGGTTCAAGTCCTCTTCCACTCGATCAATTGCCTCCAGCGAACCGATCGATGAAGGCGAGCTTGGTTCATCCGCTTCTGGAAGGTCATCCTGAGGGGTGACAGAGTGAGATGGGGCACTACTGGGTGAGTATTCTGCTGAGTCCAAACCATGCTGCAGGTGTCGAAAGATTAGTATATCTAGCGCGAAGGGTCCGACAGCGTACGAGCATACCTTGTCCAGCAAGCTTTTGATCCGTTCCGCCGCACGGCTTTCCACAAGGTTACCCAGGTCCTTCAGCATATTTTCATAATCATAAACTTTTTCGGTAAGTTTTTCGACGTGTCTAGTGGGGTTTGCGATAATTGATTAGCTCACTGAAACTCCAGGATGATGCTATCAGCAGAAGAATCCTACTTTTTCGTCTTTTCTTTCCATCCAATGGGGTAATTACATGTGACCCTGAGTTCACGACACTGTCGACAAACAGGAGTATCGCCACTGCATTTTGTCTTGCGCTGGCGACAAGATTCGCAAGCCCGAGGTACCCGGCGACTATACCGCGGGGCGATACCCCCGCGGTTGCGGGGAATAGCGACTTTAGCGTGCGAGTTTCTCGGTTCGGCGATCGATGAGCCATTTCCCAAGATCGAAGCTGTATCGGCGTTGGAGGCAGGTTGAGTTGGTCCAGTGGAGGGCAGTGGATATTGCTGGTTGCGGGCGTCGATCGGATTTGCCACACCCTCACCCGGTGGGTTTTGGGGCGGCTCTTCCATCGTCATGATAGCGGTCAATTCAGGCAGTCAGGATTCACAATAGCGAAGTGAGGGTGCAGGTTCTCGCCGAAGGAGGGTCCTGATAAGGCGCGATGCGATTCGTCGGCTCGGTTTGCCGAGATTAGATCGCGCGGGCTAGTAGCTGCCCTAAAGAACGGTGGCATACATTTGCATTGAATAGAAATCGATAGCAGAGATAAATGACATGAGACTTAAGATAGAGGTTTCAGCGAAATGAAGTTGGAGTGGCGGGAAATTACAGTCCCACTTGATTGGAAGTTGGAAGTTGGAAATTGGAAGGCTTAGGTAAGATGAATTCATACTTGAAGATGTTCCATGGATTTGCATAACGCCTTTTAGCATACAAGAAAAATAAGGTCGCTTTTTGCCCTTCTTTGTCGATAAATAAATAAATAAGAATCCGATAAACCCAGATCTCCCATCTCATCCACCCATCCAGGGCGATTAAAAAAAAATCAGAAAAACAGATGTGTATATGTACAAGAATAGGAATGAGAGGGGTCAAGAGTAAAAGCACGGCGGGGAGATGAGAGCCGAGTATAAAGAGGTTCAAGGGCGATAAGAGGGTATAACGACAAGAGTGGCTCCCAGAAGTGAGAGGAGAGGAGAAAAAAAAAGTGGAGAGAAATTCCCGAGTTGTCCAGAAATCAGGCAAGATTTGTTTAGATTTCGCCAAACATTTCATCAAGCTCGTCAACCTCAACGTTCTCTGGGTTTTGTAATTCCCTCCAAGAATCAGAAGCGAACAAAGGCTCTGTCTCCATGGTAAAAGCCCGGGGACCGAGGCTGAGCTTCTCATGCGATTCAGTCAGGTCTGACATCTTCAAATCCACATCGGGGAAGCCACTGTTCAACATGTCAAGGGAGCGCTTGAGAGTTGAAACGGGCGCGGCATCAGGATCGGTGGGAAGACTGATCTGGGGAGCAGCTGGGAGATTACCAGTCCTTTCGTCACAATCAATAGCATCATCAACAGTACTCGTTCCAGACGAGACAGATGATGCGATCGAGGTGAGAGAAGGCGAAGGCGAGGTACCGAAAAGAGTGGCGGCAGCGGCCTCGTCCAAATCGTGTGACCCATTATCGGTAGCGTTCATGTGTGAGAAATAATCATTAAACTCCTCTTCACCATGGATAGAGGGCGACATCTGTCCACCATTTATAGGGGAATCGATGCTCATATCTTCCTCCATTGAACTAAGACCTTCGGATAGAACGGAGAGACTGCGCTCCGATTCATCCCGGCTAGCCTTTTCCTCCGAAGCACGCTCACGAACGGCACTGGCGGTCTGTGTAAATTCCTTCTCATCGCCCTCCAGGGGCGGGGAGGCCGCACGGTTTGAGTGCATCAGACGTGTATGGCTGGACGGGTCTGGGAACTGATCCGAGGCGGAACCCCGGCTGGCGGGATTCTCCAAGTCGACATCCTCTCCCTCTTCAAAGTCGGGGGATGATAGGTCCACTTCGGGACTGGGGCTGCGGTGTCGCGAAATTACATCTTCGTCATCTTGGTCCAGACTGGAGACGCTAGGAGTGTTCTTGCCGTCAATGCTAACAGTAAAGTCATCATTTTCGGGAATAGGCTGACGAGGAAAGGTCGTCAAATAGTAATACACTTTGCGTGGGTGGATTAAAATAAGTTCTTTTGCCATGGGACAGGGCGAGAGGGCGGTCCATGGTCGCTTCATATACGCTGCCAGGCGAGAGGAAAGAAGCGCGGCAGGATTCGCGGAACTTTGAGAAATCCTGTTAGCAAAGGAGCGGTTCCAAAGTGGGGAGAGCAGTACTTACTTGGCGACAGTCGCGTTCAGTGCCACCAGAACGGCAGCGAGCTCCTTAACAAGATGAGGGCGATTTCCGGTCTTTTCCAACTGATCAATTACCGCGACAACAATATCATCGTTGATGCCCTCGGTATCAATCTTGGGTGCAATCTCACCATCTAAAGGCGAGGGGGGAGGTGTATGTTCGAAAACACCGTGACGACCCGCGCGCACGATAGATCCCTTCTCGGATGGCTCCGGCGATAATGAGGTATGCGACCGCTTAACCTTTTTCGCCTGGTGATGATCTTCCACAACACCTTTTGAAATGGAGGAAGAACGACGTGACGAGTTTGGTAGGTGGATGCCTAGTGATGGGAGGGAGAGAGACTTGCGACGAGTATTGTACGGCATAGTGGTATGATTGGGGGGGAGGGGTTAAAGAACAAAGGAGGGAAAGTGAATCAAGTTCTTTATGAAAGGAATCAACAATCAAATAATAAATAATAATAACAGTTTCACTCGGAGGGAATACTCGCGAGGATGTGTAAAGGGGGAGGGGGGAAAGTAAAAGGGAAGATGCGACTGAGCTACGAAGGCGACTTACACCTGAGGAATCTCAATGGGAGTGGGTAAACTGTGGATTCCAAGGTAACTTTTTTTTTTCCTTCTTTTTTTCTTTTCCTTTTCTTTTTTGGTAATTTAGTAATGGCTGTAATGACCGAAACATGCCGTTTGGAATTGCTGTGGCGCTGATTGGCCTGGAAACTCATTTTTCGATTTTTCTTACGGCATGCTCTTGTTCTCAACCATGGTCGATTCAACACTTTCCGGCTACTCGAACCTCCTCTCCTTGAAATCTTATAAGGCATTCACGGAGTCAAAGTAGTTTTTTCAGATGCTACACCAATAAACCCGTCAGGAAATTGGAACTACATGCAACACAAGGAGAATTTATTAAAATTCCAGGCGGTGAGTGGATCTCCCAGGTTTACAGTATTTCATAACAACCCGCTCCATTCCCTCTTTAGGCCCTAGTGCATACCGATGGCTAAGAGGCAAAAAAAAACAACCAAAAAAACTGAATAGAGTGGGGAGGAGCCATGTGTACCATCTCCCAAAATGGAACCTATGGCCCACGGTGCTCCAGTTTAAAACTCCATCAGCTCCGGTATAAACCACACTCAACCATTCAGAAATAGTCGGCGGAGCTGTACTGTATGGGTCTCCCAATGGTCTGATTGGCTATGTAGAATGAGAGACAGCACTGGACCGAACGGCGCATCCCAGCTCTGTTCCTGTATCCCGATTATGCATTAGATCTGTCAATGGTTGCTAGGTGACCAGTCGTCTGGTCGCATCTTGACCGCTGCTCTGACAGTATGAATTAGATACGGGGTGTATGATCTAGTATCGAACTATAGAATCTGACCGCCTCGTAAATGAATACATTAAGGTTGTTTTGCTTCTCTATTCTTTTCTCCCGTAACTCCCGTGCACGCGAGCCAACCCGGGACCTCCGGGCGAAAAACACCGGTTCCCAAAAAAAGATCCCTAGCGTCGCCGTTGGAGTGGATCCCCAGCCGAATCGATACCGTATTTGTATTACCTTAAGGGATGCGCGCAGTAGCGCCTCGGGGGGAACAGGAGAGCCTCGCCACCCTAGCTTGAGAAGAAAAAAAAAGTGATACCCCGTACGCCTCTTTCTGCACGATCGCCCAACTCACAGACTTTCTTTGTTTGACTTTGGTTCTAAACTAAAATATTCTATATCACATCCAGTTAGTCTCTCTGCGATCATGAAGTAATTGATATCTTGGCGGGAAATACTTTCGCTTTTACCCCCTTAGTTCCATCAGCCGACGTAGATATGATGCCAACTCCATTTTAGCGCTCCACCTAGTGCCCCCTCAAGCTGGAATATACCTTCCCCTATGGCTGAGATGGAGTAGCCCCCATTATTATTGATTGTTATTGTCTCGGCATGCTGAAGTCACTGTTTGATTCTCAAGTAAAGATCGGCTAAATGTCGTATCCCGTACATCATCGTTCTCCTATGTCCATGGTCCAGCAAGGGCGGGTAGAAGCATTGTAGTACCTGCAAGTCTGGGATCATTCCAACAGATCTTTTCCTCTTCTAGAGTTAGTTATGCATGTGCGGAGTAGTAAATAAAATGATCCAATATACTGTAGTCGCCCCCTTTGTATACTCCTAGTGATGACATCGTTCACTCTCGGGAGGGGAAAGTTACTTCCTTACCCATGGATGCCATACCTAGGTATTCGCCCGAGCATCAGCCCATTCTTTGAGGTCGGCCGAAAGGAACTCGGTTTATCTGATCTGGACTGAACTGTACTTGCGTTTACCTGCACTTTGCCGCTCGAAGGCCTGCAGGTGGATACTAATTCTCCGCATCTCCCCAGGTCCGCTCAGCCTGCATCCAACATGCGATGCAATTGGGTTTGGCAATGCTGGAATATTACGCCATCTCCTGTTCCGACTCTTGGTTGATTTTGCGAATCGGGAAAGGTTTTACTTAGGTTAAACCTAAAATCTATCTACATGTCCATTTGTCGGTTCACTTCATCGATACGTCTTGATACGTCTCGATATGGCGTGGTCGGCCACATGCTTTGAATCTAAACTTTGTGATAAATATGATCTTCCAAGGTTCATATCATCATGATCCATCAAAACAAGTTTTAGTCTACGGAATATATGCCCCCATGTGGCAACCTGTCTATACTGATCCCATTTCGTATACGTCAGATGCAACTACGGGGTAGATCAACACAATGTCATCTGAAGTCCACGCGTGTAAATAAATAAAAAACCTTGCATTATGTCTCAACACGTCTATCTGCATAACCCTCTACTACCAGGCCCCTTGGGCAACACAATAAATCTAAAACATATAGATACACCCCTGCAGCCGATCTGCGACCTGCATATCACAACCGATCCAGATTGGAGGGCTATTTGCGCCGTGAGTCCGTCATTTAAATACAGGGTCGCGTTTGTCCAATATCCAGTAAGATAGCATTGCGACTCCTCCAATTTTAGGGTCTCTTCCCGCTTTCAAAGGAAAGGCTGCATGTAGCTGATCTTATCTACATATCCTGTCACACCTTTCCTCGGCCAATTGGTCTATATTATAGTTGCAGGTACGTACGCTACTGTGTATCTCAGTACATAATCGGTAGTCTTTCTCGGAAATATTAGTTGCAACATTTGAAGTCCCAATGGCGTGTTTCCATGTGCATGGCAGTGCGGGGATATTACGTTTACTTCAACTCTTCGGAGTTGAAATTTGCCCAGTGATGCTAGTACGGTATTCGAATCGAAATTTTCATATCTTGACTATTGTATACATGTTATATCAAATCTGGTTTCATGGCAGCCCCGCATTCATTATTCTGCGACAAGGGGTTGTAACTTGACAGGTCATGATTCTGGAATACTTATCCTAATTTGCAAGGTGGTCGTAGGTATGTAAGTGATTGATACATAAGCTGCTTATCTCGAAAGCGACATGCTGGCTGCATAAAATGCTAAAACTTTAAACTATGTCGCGCATCATTTGTGCTTTCTAGGATCCAGTATTATACATCGCTTCTAAATTTAAATATTATGTCGATACAGGATAGCCATGGGAGACCAAAGCCACAATAGAACCTTGGTCAAGACCTCAAGTGCTCTCAGAACTGGCTCTCGGACGCAACACATACCGCCACGTCGTTCCAAAATGCCACCGTTTCTCCTCCACAATCTCCAATCCACTCTCCTTTACAATCGCTCCAATATCGCGATTCCACCAGCAACCATGTCGATCCGCATGCGCAGGAGCAAGATTATCCAAAATACGATTCAGCCAGTCATAGTGCGACCGCCCATGTTCCAACAACAATATGCGACCATTCCGTGGCTCCGTAATCTCCCCCAAATGCCGTAGCGTACGCACAGGATCAGGCATCGAGCACAACCCCATCGTCTGTACAATAGAATCATAATAAGCCTTTTTATCCTCACCCTTTGGAGGACATTCAACGGTAACAGACCCGGCATCCTGTGCTCGGAACGTCACAGGGGTGCTTTTGGTCTTATACTCAGGGTGTAGTGCCTCGAACTTCTCTTCCGCAATGGACACCATCTGCGGACTCAGGTCCACAAGTGTAAGCGAACGACATCCTAGGATGGCGGCACGGCCTTGTTCGTCCACGCCTCTCCGTTCTCCAATATCGTAGTACTCGAGGTTCCGGCCTGTGCCGCAGCTTACCTCGAGTACATCTCCACGAGCGAGGCTGATCAGATCTGCGCGCTTGGCGCCCATGCGCATAGCTTTCTCAGAGAGCTCAACCTCTGCGTCGAAGGTTGGTGCTGTGGTATTGTACCGGTCTGACACGTCAGTGGGGATATTCAGTGCCTGGGACTTGGAGACTTCACGGCGATAAGACGCGTATAAGAAGCCACAGTAGGTACTGATTCCTAGGATTGAGATTCCAAGGAAAGTCATTAGGCGTGGTGACATTGTCGGGCCCTTGTAGTCCAGGTTTTGTTGTCCTGGTTTGGACCTTCGTGAGACCGAAGGCCTTTGGCTGGACGGGATGTTAGAATGGGATGAGGCATATAATTATTTCGTAATACAATCCCACTTACCTAGGTCTCTGACGGGGTGCTTGTGCTTTGCTTTGTATACCTCTGCGGGCTATACTTGTGGAGGGCCATCTGCATGTGGGTTTGAAGACGGCCCTTCCTATCTGGGTCGCATTCATCACGGCGGTGTCAAAGGCCACCCGGGTTTTTAGGTATATAATCAGACACTTGACTGGAGGCTTAATCCAATCTCCATAACCGATTCACTCGGTCTATAGCCAACTCTCGGGGCTATTTTGCAAGTAGAGCGTCCAATGCACCAGGAAGAAAAATCAGGAGCGCGTAGGATGTAGCCAGATCAGGTGTCGCAGGTTGGGTAAGAAAGTCAACTGTAGTTGTACATCACAAGCCTCAGCCAAGAACTAGACACAGATACTCAACTACTTATTATTGGTGAAAGTGAAGTAGTGAGGCTCCGCGGTCTTTAGTTTTTCGGGCAAGTTGGAGAATAGTTGGCAGCCGGACCGACGATAAGTTCGAGTCCGTTATCGGGAGCGCAGCACCGATAAGACATAATCACATATTCCAGGAATATACTTACATTTCAAATGCACTTGAAAAATCCTGGTCCAAACATTTGAATGAATGCTTCATCCCCACGATAAACAAATCGCAAAGCTATAGAATATTCAACTTTGTAGACCCGTGGGGCCTGATACAAAGGTATTCTATATATATATGCGCCTTGTGTAGACCGCATAAAAATCAATTTTAAAGGATAATTCGGAACCAAATACTCAAGCGAAGGAGTTGCGTGAGCATCCAGACTGGATAGGTACCTGTGAGAAGAGTAAAAAGATACATATGATAGGAAAGCATACCTGGGCAAGTATACTATTGGAAGATCGTTCCTACTTGCAACTTCCACAAGTGCAAGGGTATCAGGTAGCCCAAAAAAGAGAACAACATGGGCTCGCAACTATGAAAAAATTCAATGACAATGGCAAGGGCTCATTGTAGTACGACCTAGGGAGGGGACTGGAGGAACTTCATATAGGCTTATAACCACCACTGTCTAACCTATGGTTATCAGGAAGTGCTGGTTGGCTCCACTTTACTCCACAAAACCACCTGGACACATGTGCATGCCGACCCTGATAGGAATCCGTTATCGGGACATGCAAGCCCACATGTGCAGGTATCTCCAACCCTTCTCCAACTCGTAACCCCACCTGGTACCTTAAATGACCACAAAGGCTCAACCCTTGGAAGCACCCAGAAGACTATACCATTGAATGCTACTATGGCACTGCCGTCGAATATTTTGATTGTGGGAGGTGGTGTCTTTGGCTGTAAGTTCTAGCAACACTACCCCAATTTCTTTGACTCCAGTCGAACACAACTCCTTTTTACCCCTCTTCCCCAGGAGCCTTCCCTCAATGGCAGAACTATGAGCCCAACTAACCCTTCCTCCAGTATCCACGGCCCTTTCACTTAGCAAACGTCATCCAGACTCGCAAATAACCCTAATTGAAAGCGCTCCCACCATTCCCAACCCGCACGGCTCTTCTGTTGATACTAGCCGGATTGTTCGAGCTGACTACGCAAACAGCGCCTACTCCAAGCTCGCTGCTTCTGCTATCCAGAAATGGCGCAGTACATCTTGGGGTGCTGACGGTCGGTATACGCAGACTGGCCTGTTACTAGTGTACCCTGCCAACAGCGCAAGCGCAAAGAAATACGCGGAGAAGAGCTACGCAAATGTGCGGGCGATCGAGGGCGACAACGTCGTTTACTTGCCAACGAAGAAAGACGTCCTAGGTGTTGTACCGCCGTACGGTGAGACACTGGATGTTGCGGGGGGCTATGTGAACTGGGGCTCTGGATGGAGCGATGCGGGAGCGAGTGTAAACTTCATCAAGAGGGAACTGGACAAGGAGAAAAAAGTGGTTTTTAAACACGGCGATGTGAAGCGAGTCCTCTTTGATTCTGCGTCCGGGTCGAAGAAACGCGCTACCGGGGTCGAGTTGGTCGATAGAGAAACGATCAACGCTGACCTGGTCATTCTTGCGACGGGCGCCTGGACTCCTCGACTGGTGGATCTGCGTGCTAAGGCCGTCGCGACAGGTCAGGCGATTGCGTATATCAAGATCAGTGATGACGAGCAGCGAGAGCTTGAGAATTTGCCGACTATCCTTAATTTTGCGACTGGCATTTTCATTATCCCGCCGCGGAATAACCTCCTCAAGATTGCGCGGCATGCGTATGGGTACCGGAACCCGACGACGGTGCCGGTGCCTGGGTCGCAGTCTGGAGAGACGATGCAGGTTAGTCTGCCTGAGACGGGGGTGCCGGTGCCGTTAGAAGGAGAGGAGGCGTTCCGTGTTGCGCTGAGACAGCTTCTGCCACGGTTCGCAGATCGGCCGTTTGCCGGCACGAGAATTTGTTGGTATACTGACACGTAAGTCTCTTTTGCTTTTTACCTTGAGCATTATTGTACAAAAGACCGGTTGCTAATGCTATTTCTGCAGCCCGGATGGTGATTTTATTGTTTCGTATCACCCTGAGTACGAGGGCCTTTTCCTGGCTACCGGCGGCAGTGGACATGCTTACAAGTTCTTCCCTGTTCTTGGAGACAAGGTTGTTGATGCATTGGAGGGTACGCTGGAGCCTGAATTGCGAGCGCTATGGGAATGGACCGAGGTGATACCGCCGACATCTGCCTCCGAGGATCTGTTTGATGGTGATGGTAGTCGGTCTGGCGAACGAAACTTGATCCTGAAAGACGAGTTGGCAAAAACCAAAAAAGCTGGCAGGAGCAGTGTTCTATAAGTGATAGGCGCAGCCGTTGGCATCTAGTTGTGTATATTATAACAGGACCCTAGGACAGGACTCTTAACCATACATTTTCATGCTACGAGATTATATTGAGGTGAAGTTGTTTTTTAAAAAATTTCCATTTTGGATAAAAGAAGGATAACGGCATACACCGATCCATCAGTCTCGCAGCTGGCAGACTCGCGACGGAATCTAAGCTCACCATAAAAATTTTTTGGGCCCATGACAAGTTGCCTTGCCGACGGGGATGACCAAGTAACGTAACATGATTAAGAGGCAGCCATTCGACCAGCGCACAGAACCGCCTCACTGCGGGGTGCAGCAATCTCTAAGTGTAAACGGTCGAAGAAAAGAAAAATCAAAAATCAAGATGGGACTGGGGAACAATCCAAACCGCTAAAACGCCCAACAATGCTTGCGTAGAGAATCGTGAAAAGAAGGGAAACCGAGAAACGGTATGATGGACTAAAAGACCATATACCGACCGATCAACCCATAAGCGGGAAAAAAGATAAAACGAAGATGTTAATACAATGTTGAAGGCAAGAGGGCTTTGATCTTCCTGATGGGAGCAGTCTGATTAGACCTTGCGGAAGTCTAGTCCAATGTTAGTTGTTGCCACAAGCCATGAGCCGAAGTGGAACCTACCAGAAAGCACAGGATAGATCATCTCGAAAGCCTGATAAATCTCCTCGCGCACTTTGGCACCAGTCAAGACGATCTTGCCACTGACGAAAATCAAGAGCACAATCTTGGGCTTCATCATGCGGTAAATCAGACCGGGGAAAAGTTCAGGTTCGTAGGACGAGAAATTGTGGTGACGAGAAGCCAGACCCTCCAGGCGGATGGGGAACTTGATGTCACAAGAACCGACGATGTTCTGGATCTTGAAGTCGGTGAACTTGGCGTTGAAACCGAGCTTCTGGATGATACGCGCATACTTGCGCGAGGCCAGCTTGGAGTCATCCTCGGACTTGGCACCGGTAACGACCATCTTGCCAGAGGCGAAGATCAGCGCAGTGGTTTTGGGCTCACGGATACGCATGATAACGGCGGCAAAACGCTATGTGTTCACAAAGTTCAAAGTTCAGCCACACTGTACCCCGATAAAGGAAAGCCCAAATCTCAGGGGTGTGGAATATACCTTAGGATTGTACTCGGCGTTGCGAGCGTGCAACGCGATGGTCTTGAGGTCCAGGCGACAGTCAAGGTTGACGGTAGCAACGATGTTTCTTTAAAGAGAGACAGGATTGGTTCAGCCATTTTGACTCTGGGAATGTGGTTTTAAGACAAGCCAGAAGAGTCAATACTCACTGCAAAGTTGGCACAATGCCACTGCTTCCGGTAGTAGCCCCCGGGGTAGCGACCGGAGTAGCCGGGGTAGCGGGCATCACCCCGTTGCCGTTCATGGCATTTCCGCCAGCTTGGCCGTTCATCATACCGTTGGCACCTTGGATTTCCTTCTCGGAAGAGGGAGGGGTCAAGTCAGCGGCGCCACCGGGGAAGGAGAGCGACGACGGCGAGGTGAAGGCACGGGCCTGTTGCGCGTTCGACGGGTGAGTCGTAAGCGAGTCCATGATGGGCAGTGGATCAATAATCAAAGGTCAGAGACCAGAGAGATATGTGTCAGGGAAGTGGATCACTGCAGGGAGGTAAACAGGTGAGGTTAGTTGACCGAAGAAAGTCAAGGTGAAATAAAGACCAAAATGGTTGGCGGTCAGAGGTGGCATTAAAACACTCACCAGAAGAGAAGGACAAGTCAATGTATCCCCCCTGAGATGCAGGACGTGGTAACACGAATGCGAAATTCAGATTTCCCGAAAGATATCAGACACAGAATCCAGAAAAGCACACTGAAGTGTTTTCAAGAAGGATCGCCACAGGAAAGAGGGTAAAAATTATGATCAATGAGGTCAGACAGCAACAACTTTTGCGATAGGGGGCTTTTTTGGTCTCCCTGTCTGTTCTTTTTTTTTTCAATTAGAATTTTCTCTGGGTTTCTATCTGCGAACGCGACCTGAATGAGAGTGGCAGAAGCGAACAACTGGGACAGGCTTCAGTGGAGCACCGGCTGGAGATTGATATTATCCTCGGCCAAAAGGATAAAATAATCGAAATGAACCTTCTTTCCCACAAGGGACTGGTGATGTGAATCTTTTTTTAAATTTCTTTATCTTATTTCAAGATAAGAAAAATAAAATAAAGAGCAAATTAGTACACTCCGTAGATGGCGGTAAGTGGCCACAAAAGGAAAGAGTGGGGGGGAGGAAGTTTTATCCAAGAACGGGAATTTCAAAGCGAAATTCTAGCGAAATTCCAGGTGGGAGATGCTTCCTACTTATAGTGCTGAGTCACTCATCAGGGGAGGCTAAGCCGCCACCAGACGGCCAACAACTCTCCCTTCACCCATGGTTTATTAATCCAATCATATCCACAACGAGCTATCATTGGTCCACGCCTTACCCCCCCCACTTGCATATTGAATGTAATTGGATGAAAGGGATAGTCCTCGGCGCCATGGTTACAGCCAGTAGTCGCCCAGTCCGTTGCGCTCCTGCAGCTGATACCCAATCATAACCATCCCTTCTCGGTCACCGCTTTGGAAAAGTTATTACCGCCGACCTGGTTCTTTCCCTTTTTTCTCCCCACAAACAGGCTCCTGTCGGTTTGTGCTTTCGAAGCGCCGGCCCCCCAAATGACCATTCATCATATTAAAATTCACTGAAAGACTGCAGCCTGAATAAAAAGTGACTAACTATTCCCAGACTTGTTTTAGGGCGTGTTGTTGGCATTTTCGGAAAAGAAAAAAAAAGAAAAGAGGCCAGCGTGGCCATTTAGACTGGTCGCGTCAGAGATATGATCCACCGCTTTCGCCAAGCCTTGGATCAATCTCATGGCATGCGATCATCACTGTTTGTACGGCAGTATGGTATCGGTATGCTAAATATCATGCTTAGCAGTGCCAGAGTCACATTCCACCATTTTCCTATGAATTCCCTGGCCATAACGTGGAATACCACGGGATAACGTGGAATAGTACGGGATATGCCAAAAATGCTCAAATATGATATATCCACATATGAGCTGTCAACTTCAATGATTAGCTTATTTTGAAAACCGTCTTACAGGTATGGGTATGTTTTATGTCCGATTGCACGAATGACTCAAAATCGGCTTGCATGTGGTCTGTCGGGAATTCTACCGGTCGCATTTTGATGAATATAAGACCTCTTCACAAACAACTACTCTGAGACCATGCTGCATAAAATCCAACCGACATGATCCTGTTCGGCAGGATCGCGAACTCATGGGTCGGTGCACCCGAGTGGCGATTTTTGAATCTCACCGCCTTTGATTGGCTACCGGGTTCAGTCTGCATTTGGCACTTTGGTAAGGACTTGGGAGCATACAGTACTAGGGGCTTCCCGCGACGCATTTCACGCGGCGCCTACCTAGATAGAGACTAATATCATTGTGTCTCCTACTTAGTATCCCACCCAGTCTCTTTCTCAGTCTTCTACTCAGTCTCCTACGTAGAGTACGAATTCAAGGTTTAGGGGGTATATATAATGTGGAGCAATTCCCAATATATTAACACTAGTCAAAATATTATCATTTTCAAAATCCACACTCATTTACCCATTATCAGAATTGTCTTTACGCTTTTTTTGCCTTATGTAGTACATGAACACTAAAAAACAGGGACCATTATACATATTATTACTAGGTAGGTACCTACACACATCTTGTAGGTAGTACTTGCAAATTACAAACATATATATACACATGCAGTAATAGATTTTACGTATTAGCACCCTTCAGGTCCCATGTTTTCTTGCGAACGTTTTGATTACTCTAGATGTATGTTTACATGTATAATCGCACTATAGACTAGTGCGTGGCCTGAAAAATCGATTTTCTGTTTGATGTTTCCATCTTTCTAGATTTGGAAACTCTTACGAAGCTGAAAGGAACATTTCTAGAAAACCCACTCTGTGTACTATAAGCGGTCGACACCTCTGCAGGGCAGAATTGTGAGAACAAGTCGGAAAGCCATTCACCTAGTTCACTTGTGGATCCAGATTTAAGCGCCTGCCGTCCATCACGATTCACCGCCATCTGAGGTCCTGATTTGGCCGCGTCCCACGGTCTTCCCTATCACGCTGGTACTGTCTTTGACTTTTTTCCTTCCCCCCAAACCCGTGGATATTCATTTCGACAGTTCTGTCCCTGAACCAGCCATGACGGAGGTTTCATCGACCCGACTGTATCTCGGGAACCTTCCCCGCAACGGTATGGCATCCACACCCTTTTTCTCTTAGCCTCAAACCACGGTCGGCCCTGCTGTGATTCCAGTATTGTCCATGGTTTTAGCTTGGTGTCCCGCTGAGCCACCCGCGGCCCACTCTCTTCAAAAATTCCAGACATCGGCATGGAAGCAGCATGGAAGCAGCCCAGGAATTCGACACATGATTTTGATTCTGTGCACAGCTGACACGAATTTAACGACTTGTAGTCACCAAGCAGGATATTGAGGAACACTTCAGTACTCATGGATCTGGTAAGATCACAGAGATCAAGTTGATGAATGGATTCGGCTTCATCGAGTATGAGGATGCGATGGACGCTCGTGATGTTGTACCTGGTAAGTTTCATAGGTCGAGTATTGATGGAGCTTGCTAACTCATTCTCTCTCTAGCCTTCCGTACGTCATGACTGATTTCCTGCGACCACCTATACCCTTTTATTAATATTGCGACAGATGGCAGCGACTTCAAGGGTGAACGATTGACTGTGCAGTTTGCTCGTGGCCCCCGGCGCAAGGAGAACTTCCCCGGTCCAGTGGACCGCCCCGCCGCTCCTCGTCCACGCCGTACCATGTTCCGGATGCAGATCTCTGGTCTCCCAGAAACCAGTTGGCAGGTTAGCAGCCCAAGCCCAAGCTCATTCTTCCCTGGACACCTCCCCCAGACTCTATACCTTGGCCATATCTTTCTTTGAACTTGCCATGCTCTCCAGCCTGCCCCATGCTCTCCAGCCTGCAGTCCTCGATTAGGTCGTGGGTCTCGATTCCTGGAACCCAAGGACCCTTTGCACTATCGGTCCTGGTGTTACGGACAAGGCTACTTTGGCCTTCTCGTACAGGGAACATCGTTCGCACCTGGCGAGACCTTGAACAGGCACAATGCGAGTTGTTGCCGAGGATTTGGAAGACCTGGATACCATGGCCACCTTCAACCCATCCCCTTATGCCCGGACGTAGAACCTAACCCTCACTCTTCCACCTGGACCCATTGGCCATATCTGTCACTTTTTTCCTGGAACCTGGACTCACCATTACCTTTTCTAGGATCTGAAAGACTTCGCTCGTCAGTCAGGACTAGACGTGGTCTACTCGGAAACAGGCCGTGAACAAGGAAAAGGGTAGGTAACCATCATCTCAAGCCGGACCCGGGCTTTCCTATTCAACTTGAATTGACAATGGAAACAAGGTTTGTTGAATTCGAGACTGCCAACGACCTGAAGACCGCCGTGGAAAAACTGGATCAGCGAGAGTTCAAAGGCGCTTCTGTGTCCTGCATTGCGGATGTAAGGAACCAAATCCATTCTGCCCTCGGACCCGTAGGAAGGACCCCCATCTTATAATCACCCACAGATCCAAACCAACTTTGATGACCGTCCCTTCCGGGACCCCTATCGGTCTCGCTCCCCGCGTCGGCCGTACCCTCCCATGGAAGAATATGATAGAAGATTCCCAGCACCCCGAGGATACAGCCCCCGGGACCACTACCGGGAACGTTCGCCTATTCCCATGCGACGGGATTATTATGACCGAGAGGGCTATGGACGTCGTACTCCCCCTCCGCCGCGGCCTCGGATGGAGGACTACCCCCCTCCCCGTCGTCCCTACGATGATCCCTATGATGCCCGGCCTCCGCCCCCTCCTCCACGCCATTACGAGGACCCATATCTTGCGGCGCGTCCCTATGCCCGTCCCCGTTCTCCTCCCCGAAGTGACTACGTTGGTTATGACCGCCCTCGCTACTGGTAGATGACGACCCTCCCTTGGTGGTTTTCCCTGATTTATCCTTTCGGATGTTTCCTGCAGATGCTTTGCTTTCTCTCTCCTCTCGAATACCCGCTACGTATTGCATTGTGCTTTATGGTACCATGAATCTTTTCCATCTGCCGAGATTTTAGCGTGTTTTCCTGGCCAGATTTACTCTTTGAAATGGACAATACGTTTTAATTTTCATGAGTTAGTACCCTAATTTGTGCATATAGCCTAGAAGTATATCCTGGCCCTGATCTATGATAACCGTGGAAGTTAATAACCTAGCATTATTCGCTACCCAGGTTTCGTGGTATCTTAGACTTTGGTACAACCTTAGCTAAGTAGACCGTTGTGATCTGCGGCAAGCCCCGCCAAAAAACTTCCCAAGCTCCCCCACCTCCCACCATCTCTCCACCTGAGATTATTCACAGGCTCGAATGGAAGCAAACCTTGAAGCCCTCAATCCAGACATCTAACAAGGAATCTACGCACAGAAGTATAAAAATGGCCCAACCAAGCTCCACAGTCCACATTCCTCAACCCCCACCCGTCCTGGACAACGTCCTACTCAAGGACATTCAGCTCCCCCTCCCTGCAGCCCCAGAGGCCTGGCACCGTCCTGGCAAAGCCCAACCCTGTACCGCAAGCCTGAAACTTTCCTATTCCTCCGCCATTGCCTCCGCCGACACAGACAGCGTCTCCCTCTCCATCGATTACGGAAAGCTCTTCCGCCGCCTCGAATCCGATGTCCGCAACATGGACGCTGCCTCTTCCCCGGAGCAGCCCCATATAGTAAGCTTGGACGGAACGCAGCGCGAAGATATGAAAATCAGTGATGTGGGCCAGGATCCGCGCGTGACGGCGGGGATTGTCGCGAATGCGGGGCTAGGAATGCTAGATGAGACGGCAGCGGGAGTGCGGCGGATGGCGCATGTGCAGCCGAGCCCGCGGAATGGATTCTCGGGAGCCGGCAATCTGAGTGCGACGCCAGCCACTTATCCGATCGAGGCGGAGTATGGAAAGTGTGAAGTCTGGTTGCATTTCCCGAAGGCGTTGTTGCGGGCCGAGGAGGGATTGCGGTATCGCAGTGTGACAGCTTGGGGATACAAGCAGAGCGATTTGCAGCAGAGGTGCCAGGTTGTAGTGGAGGAAGAGTTCCGCATTGAGGGGATTCGCTGCCATTGTATCTTGGGCGTGAATGCGCACGAGCGTGTTGAGAAACAGGCGGTGATTGTTTCGCTTCTGGTTACTGGGCCTGGACAATTGGCCTGGGGCTCAACTGTTGTGGAGACTTATCAGGCTATGACGAGGGCTGTGGCTGAGGTATGTACAAGCTGTTATGCATTGTGTGGATTTACGCTGATATATCGATGTCTATAGCAAGTCGATAATACTACATTCCAGACTGTGGAGGCGTTGGCCACTTTGGTGGCTCACATTGCGACAGTAGAATTTGGGAATGAGCGGGTGACTGTTAGAGTTGAGAAGCCCAGTGCATTGGCATTTGTCCAGAGATCGGGAGTTGAGATCACCCGATCCAAGGCATTCTTCCAGAACCACGAGGTTAATCGCTCATCATCGGTAGCCGCCTCTTGATACTGTACTAGTATGTTATGCATGATATTTGAAGCAGTCCGCTGCAGGGAGCTGCACCCACAGACCCTTGTGAAACAACCTTCACCTACCATAGAGTGATAGAAACTCCTGATTGGGTTTTGTAATAAAACAAACCACTCAAATGATATAGATTATAATAAATGGAAGACGTGTTATTTCAAGAGAAATTAAATGAGCCTATAGTAGCACATGTAATCGACTTACACGTGAATGCCGAATCTGGTATAGCGTCGGCCCCCGGATTTCCGCCTCAAAGCGAGATGAATTTCTTCAGCTGGACTTATACCTCATCTCATTCACTTCCACTTCGTGGGAACCTCGGATTACTCGCTCTCAAGCTCTTAAAATTACCAACCTGCCACTTCTCTATGTGCCTATCTGCGCTACCCTCGCCTTCCTTCATCCCTCTGACCAGCTACCTGGTCAACCTCGACCTGATCTCCCTGGATTCTCCCTCGCAGAGAGCGCCTCCCGACCTCCTCGACGTGTTCACAGATCCTGCACCGACTACATCCGCCTTGGCCTTCGACCCCGCCGCAGGTGAGGTGATTTGGCTAGGGGTCCCAGGTCCGTCCTGAGGAAGGGCGGACGGTAAACCCACTCGAGACATTCCAGTTGAGGTCCCACCCAAGTCGGAAGACATTGTGCTGCTTGTTTCTTAAGCTGAGGTACGTGTTGTCTTTTTCCCTTTTTCCAGTCTTTCCTTGCTTTTCGCGATACGATTAGTGGGGCAGAAAATCCCAAAGAAGAAAGCTCGAACTTACCCCTCCAAAATTTGAAAGCATGAAATTGGAAAAAGCCGACCGAGATGTTGATACGTTCTGTAGTTGCGATTTGGGTATCTTGAGTACCTGGTTACCATATTTCACCATTTACACAATCAATTACTTGCTGGATAGCGACTATTGTCGATTCTATCCGAACAACTGCTGGGAATTTCCTCGGCGTCGATAACGCTTTAAAACCTCGATCGACGCGGATCGCACTTAGAAACCATGGATCCCACTGTATCCCACGATGATATTTTCGTCGGAGATGTGTTCACCCCGCAAGCCGACAGCACGCAGCCCTCCGTGGACATTCCGACCAATCATCACGGCCCGGATGACCACATGGGAGACCGGCAGTCGCCGCGCAAAGATATGGCCAATTACAAGGCGAATGAAGAGGGTGCCATGAAACCACCGGCTCTGAACCCAGATTTGCTGACTGGCAAGGCGCGCCGAAAGAAGAAAAAGAAGCAGGCGAGTCAAGCCGATCCGGCTCGATCGACCGTACGTGGATTCACACCATTAGCCTCTGCCGATGAGGACTCGGATTTCTCTACGAAGAGCTCGCGCGCAGCAAATTCGCGAACCGCTACTCCTGGTAGAAGAACCAGCCCCCGTGGACTTCCAGGTGGCCACGGAGTCAGCGCATTAAAGCTACAACTCGATTCACTGAACCTTTCCAGCAAATCGACCACGGGAACTAGCGGGCTTTGCTCCGAGACTCCCAGCAACGCGAGTGTGTATTCCGACAGTGATCAAACCGAGATCTTAACCAGCTATGAAGTGCCTCTGGACCAGGATTTCGTGAGCACGGACGCGGCAGACGAAGAACCGGACAGTACAGACCAAGGGACAGCAGCGAACAGTATGGATATGCGAAGCCAGATGTGTCGCAAGATGACCGCGCAAGACTTCGAGCCTATGCTCTGCCTCGGCAAGGGGTCGTTTGGAACTGTGTTGCTGGTGCGGCATGTTGTCACAGGCAAGCTCTACGCTCAGAAGCAATTCCGAAAGGCCTCGATCACCGTACACAAAAAGCTAGTGGAACAGACCAAGACGGAGCGCACGATCCTGGAGAGTGTCAACCGACACCCGTTTGTGGTCAAACTGTTCTATGCTTTCCAAGATCATGAGAAGCTTTACCTGATTCTGGAGTATGCTCAGGGTGGCGAGCTGTTCACTCATCTTGCCATGGAACGCATGTTTGATGAAGATGCCACTGCCTTTTATATGGCTGAGATGGTGCTTGCCTTGGAACATCTCCATCAGAACGTTGGCGTCCTCTACCGCGATCTGAAGCCCGAGAATTGTCTTCTGGACCGCGAGGGTCACCTGCTTCTCACCGATTTCGGACTGAGCAAGATTGCGCTTAACGATGATGAGCGTTGCAATTCTTCCCTAGGTACAATTGAGTACATGGCACCGGAAGTCGTGCAAGGCAAGCCGTACGGTAAAGCTTGCGACTGGTGGTCTCTCGGAGCTCTAGGCTTCGATCTCCTCACCGGCTCCCCGCCCTTCCGCGCAGGCAACCATGCCAAGCTGCAAGAGAAGATTATTAAACAGAAGCTTGTCCTTCCCTATTTCCTTGGACCCGATGCCAAAGACCTTCTCACCCGTCTGATGCGCAAGGACCCAGCCAAACGTCTGGGTTACCACATGCCCAAAGATCTGTTAACCATTAAAAAACACCGCTTTTTCCGCAAGATCGACTGGGCTGCACTCGAACGACGCGAAGTTGACCCTCCAATTAGGCCCGTCGTCACCGATCCGGCTCTTGCTGAGAACTTTTCTCAGGATTTCATCAATCTCCCTCTTAGTCCTACGGTTGCCAATTGTTTTGATGAGTTCTCTTCCTCTCCTTGTGTTCCTGGCCATTCTCGCGCACTGTCCATCGGACTTGGTGCGAAGCCCTCTGGTGATAATGAAATGTTCGGTGGATTCAGCTTCGTTGCTTCAAAGAGTCTACTGGATCATGGATTAGGCATCGAGGGATGCTAGTTGGTATCAGGGTTCCCAACCTTGCTCACTTGTTAATTTTTCCCGGGAGTTTCGGCTGATATCCAAAGTTCTTTATTCATTCATATGCATATCGTCAGGGTTATTTTTATTTCTATTGTTTCACTACACTGCTCTCATGAATAGATCTCGAGTGATACCTCCTCCAGTGTATCCTATTATCGATGATCGCCTTTCCATAGCCATTCAATTACGCATTTGAAACTAGCAGTACTCTAAATGTAGGTTGTGAACATTCCACATATGTACACAAATCTAGGATAAATTTAGATGTTGCCTCAAGTTAAACCTTGGAATATTCTTGTACGAGATGAATGAATTGATAGTAATCTTTATCATTGTAAACGTTCGTAGATATTCATTGATGTACAGTTCGTCCATATTTCCTCCCCCATTGAAGCAACCTGCAACATTTAGATGAGCTAAAAAGAACCTCTCCCTATGGTAGAAAGACAAAGGCAAAAGGCAATGAAATTATAAGGGACCCCTCAAGTCAACTCCCCAAATGTATGCATCCCAGTTCAGAGCAAGTCAACGCAAAAGAAAAAGGAAAGGAAACGAATCTAGATCTCGCCCTCTTCACTTCCTCCTCCATCGTCGGATGCATACTTTCGTGGCGATACCGCAGTGTTCGGCTGGTTGGTGTCTTTGTCATCTGAGATTTCGCCTTCTTCCGTGCTGGCTCCATCCTTAGAATGAGAGCCTGGATTCGGATTTGTATCCAAAGCTGCATGCGAGCGGGAAGTCTCGCCCGAATTAGACGAGTCTCTGAATCTGGGTTTCGCAGGCAATGACGCCATTGCTCGCAACGGAATTCGAGGACGGGATGTAGAAGGCGGAGGTAGGCCCTGTGGGGTTCCCGAGTTGGGTGCGGGCGATACTGTGCATTGGCGTTTGGGCGAACGCTCGCCGTTTAATGTGGATTGGGGTTGAGGAGGAGGGATGGGGCTTGGGTAGTGGTTATCTGCAGAAAAAGACTCTGGTTCACGGGAGCGTTTGCGACCATTCAAGGCGGGAGAATCTGCTGCTGGTGTGGAGAGAGATGAATTGAGGTCTGAGGCGGAGAGGGGGTTGCTGTGGAAGAGGCGAGTCGGGTCGTTGGGGTCGGCGTCGCTGATAGTGAAGTCCGGATAATTCTTGCTCAAATTTTGCTGCACACGCTCATAGATTTTGACAATGAGTTTGCAAGCGGTGATGAGATCCTCGACGCGGACATCGATCTGTTCCCACCACGGCCGACCTTGAGAATCATCTGGAAACGAAACCTTGCAATGGCGCGCAGCAGCGTAAAGGGCCGCGGCGGCGATAACGCGTGGTTGGAACTGCAGCGAGAGAACGGTGTATGTGGAATCATTGAGAAAAGCATAAGCAGCGTGTCGGAGGGGTCGATTGTCGGGGACACCGAGGAAGAGAGTGTAATCCCACAGGACGCGGTAGGGCGACTCGAGCTGCAGGTCAAAGCAAAGGAACTCGAGCATGACGCTCTCGTTCTGCAGAATCAGGTCCCGCCATTTCCAGTAATCCTTTGACTGCTCGTCAACAATCAAATCAGACTTCTTCATGGCAACGCGGCAGCATGCCACGACAAAGTCCTTCATCCGGCGCATGGTCTCATCCACCTTGAATGCGACGAAGAGCGCCACCGCCGCAATGACCTTTGGATGCATTAGGTCCCCGCCCTGTTCGGGATATTGTCCACGTAAGGAGTAGCGCATCAGGAATCTGTGCATGAAGACGGTGGCAGTCATTGAGGTCTGTGGTGGCATCTTCAGCATCATGCTGACTTGCCAAATGAATTCGACGGCTCGGTGCCGAATGTAGTCCTCCTGCTCACGGTCGATTTTGTCGAGGCGCGACGGAGTGCGCTCCAAGTCCTCCTCCGAAAATAGCCATTTTTGCTCAGCTGCTGCTACCACAGGGTTGGGCAGACCGGGAATGCGGTGCTTGGACGGCGTAGGAGACGCTGTAGACTCCATTGGGTAGGCGAATGCGATAGTTCCAGGAATGACGAGGGCCGAGAATAAAGCAAAGAAGAACGGGAAGAGGTGTCGAGAGAGGATATAAAGTGGTCTCTTCTCACGAGAAAGATGGCAAGGAAAGCGCGCCGGCGCGCTTGAGTGAGTTTGTAGATTGCGATCCGAGGCGTAGATGTCGTCTAGTCCAATCAAGCATAGCGCAGCTTTTTATCACATTCCGGGAGGGGTTAGCGAATTAGTTGGACATCATATACGGTAGATAATAGTGTGTACCTTCCGGAGCAGAATGAGCGTTCATGGAAAGCGTCGGAGCGGAACAACATTACTACGAACCGATTTGAAGTGAATACGTTCAACGCCGCAACCTATACATTATGAACTGTATTTCTTTCACTTCTAGTATCTTAGCCTTTTTACTTCTGAAGAATTGATATCCATATGTATGCGATATTAAATACCAGAATTGCTAGGGGTACTCTCTTACTTGGTCACCTACTCGGTCTCCTACCTCTAGGGAACCAAAGTGGAAGTAGATAGTAACAGGTAGATTGGTAACTGTACCAAGAAGGAAAATCTCAAAATAAATTTGGTATCTCAGGTCCCGTAACCTAGCGCCCACGCTGATAGTGCTATACAATATTTTTCAAAATAAATGAACATTAGAAAAAAGGAGACCAAAGGCTGTTACTCCTCTTCGCTAACCTCGCTCTCGTCATCACTAGCCACATTGTATCGTCCAGAAGCATGCTGGCTATACTGTTGACTGCGAGCCTCTTCTTCTCGAGCACTTTCCTCAAAAGCAGCTTCCATCTCTGCTGCGAGTAAATCATCCTCATCCTCCAAATCCCCAATGGGGGCAGCCGGGGCTGGCGGTGGATGTTGAGTATTGCGTGCCGGTGATGGAAGCCGAAGGCTGTCAATATCATCCTCACCATCTTCGTCTTCATCTCTGTCATCGGGGGTGTTGTTGGAAGAGAAAAAGGCTGGGTTGACCAATGTTCGGGATGGACGCGGTGATCCCATGTCAATGATCAAATCGCCGTCAACAATGATGTTTGAGCCAGCAGATTGGACAGTGCGTTGAGATGTGTCTGATACTGCGGAACGGGCATCTTCGTTGTCCTGTGAGTCAGGCTGTGTATAGGTGGCCTCAATGACAGGTTCGGGGGCCGCTTTCAGTGGATTTGGTCTAGCTTGTGGTTTTGGCGCTGGGCGCTTCGTCTCTCGGAGTGGGTTTGCCTGCTTCTTGGGCCGGGGTATGGGTTTTGTGGCAGGTTTTACCACCGGAATAATGGGAGTATTTGTCTTGCTGGTGTAGATGGGCTCCGGGGTGTTGTAGCCCGAGGCCGGTTTGAGCTCCTCCGCACCTGGCTTGGGGAGGAAATGCCGGAAGTCATATGGGTTGCTGTCATCGGCAATACCTTCATCCTCACTGATACCCCCAGAATTGCGATCGTCTCCTGATATGGGGTCATCCTCCTGCGCTATCTGAAGCTGTTCATATTGCTCAATGACCTGTTTCTCCGTCTTTCCTGGTGCCGATCGGAGGTTGAAGTTGAACTTGGTGGTGACGGGTTCCAAAACAAAGGCTTTGCGTTCGGGATCGAAGACGAGGACCAGGCTGGGTTCGTTGACAGGGTCCTCGCTGCCTTTGTATGCATATGTCAACGTGTGATCGGCATTCGGGGCCTTATCGGTGACGGAAAGGTCGTAGAGGACGGGCGATCGACCGGAGGGAGTAACAATCGAACGTTGCTGTGGTGTTGCATGCTTGGTCTTGTAATTATAATTCACATTGATCAATTTGCTTCTGTCTGCATCGGCCAGCCGTTCACCGAGGATAATGGGGTATTCGGCCTGCTTGGTCGGGTCAACCAGCGTGGGGGCGGCCATGGCTCCGCCACTGGGGAAAGAACCGGGACGAGGTTGCGCGACAAAAACCAGTAAAGTATTGGAAGTTTGAGGGGGGTTCCTTTAGAGAAGAAGAGGAGATAATATTATACAAGGGAGGAGTATATGAAAGGAAGAAAGGTGACACAGGATCAAGCACGGCGAAAGGCGGAGAACTCGCCCCAATAGTTCTATTAGTAAATAAGGCTTGGCGTTACAATACAAGGGTCGAAACTGTATACTATGAAGAAACAATGGTAAATGTAATAAAAGAATTCATTGCATTCAATGCACTGGAACTCGACTGGTCAATTGTTCCAATCGTCCTGCCAATGCTCGGTGTTTGCGCATCACTTCCTCCCACTCAGACTCCATCTCTTCTTCCCCGCTTAGCTCTGTTAGAATCATGCTAAAATCACCCCCTAAGCGACCTAAACTAGCCGCGCAGTACAATAATTGTGTCAGAAGACTCTCACGTGAGCTGCGATCCCGGACATTGGGAAGGTATGTTCTCATAGTATCGGTCAAGAGCTGCACTAGGTGCATAGGAAATGTCGCCAGAGCCGACGGGCGATTTTGCAATGGATCCGACGATTTGTGATTGGAACCAGATCCTCGTCGGCCTGATGCAGCAGTGTCAGACTCCGATTGCTCTGCAGCGAATATATTCTTGTATAACGAGACAATGGCAAAGCTCTGTTCGCGGAAGATCTCAATGTATCTTTTCAGGTAGCGATCGGTCTGCTGACCACCTGACCACGAGCCAGCCGTTATTTTACCACTTGTCCTCCGTTGGGTTTCTTGGTCGGCAAGTTCTTTCAGCGGGTCCAGTGCCTCCAGAGTTGCGACCAAGTGAGCCAGCCGACAGATCAGGAAGATGGCGCCCAGCGCTCCTTCTCCTGTCCCTGTGACACCTTCACTCTGTAAAGTCTCCAAGTCTGGCGCTACTCGCCGCAGCCAGCCTACGGTTCGCATGCCTGCTGCGAGTCGTAGGTTCTGGGCTCGAAGCCCCGCAATGAGATTGGTGGTCATTTCTTTCATCGCATCTTCGGCCTGAGATGCTACATCTTGTATTAAGGGTGATTCGGGGTATAACGTTTGTAGTCGCTTGATGTGTGCATGCAGGTCAAGTGCGGAAGAGTACGTGGTGGATGCTACGCCCGCTCCTGAATTGGCCGATGCCGCAGACACGGCAGTAGAGAGGAGTGAGGGCAATTCAAGAATATCAGACAATCGTTCCACATTGCGCATCAATTGCATTGCTTTTTTGCGCCGTTCTAGAGCAGCATTGTCGGTGATCTTGCTGTACTTTGTGGAGAAGTCCACGGCCGCTTCATCCAGCTTCGGGAGCGCATCACGGAGTTGTTGTGCCTCACGTGTCAACTTAGGGATAGAGGATCGGAGGGTAGATAGATTATCTGCGGACGTAATAAAAGTCCGGTGAGAGCGGTTGGACAATGCTTGAAGGGAGAGAAGCGTGGAGTGGGAGGATTGGGCGAGAGATTGAGGTTCGGTGGTCTGGAGGTTTTGCAAGGACAGGGTGGACAGTCGATTAAGATATTGAGAGGTTGTAGCATCACTAGATTGTGGTATATCAAGATGTGGAGCCAATAGCTCCAGTAATGAGTCCGCCATGTTGGAGAGTTTGATGTTGAAGCTGAAGCTGAAGCCATACAGCCGAACGGAACGGAGAGTTCGAGGTGGTCCGTGCACTCGGAGGAAACAACGTATTGGTGACGAGAATCTGGTTTGGTATCATTTTCTTCCCAAGAAAGCTACTTGTAAAGTTATCAAGTGGAAGTAAAATTTGTTGAAAAGAGTTAGGGGGTAGACTTGTGTTCTATCATCGACAGCAACCCTATACTTCCTCTCCAATATAACCCCCTCCCCCGCATCTCCAGTTTCTTGATTCTCAGTTCCACATGCCCCTTCAGCCATGGGGAAACCACGGGTGAGCCTTTTTACGCCGACAGTGATACAGGATCAAACCTAATCTTCTTATAGATGATTATTCTTGTTCGCCATGCGCAGTCAGAGGGCAACAAGAACCGTGACATCCACCAGACAACTCCCGACCACCGAGTAAAACTCACGCCTGAAGGATATCGTCAAGCCCAAGAGGCGGGTCGGCGACTGCGGGAACTGCTGCGACCTGATGATACCCTTCATTTCTTTACATCTCCATATCGTCGGACGAGGGAGACTACTGAAGGTATTCTAGAGTCATTGACTTCCGACTCCCCGGATCCCTCGCCATTCCCCCGAAACACAATCAAAGTCTATGAGGAACCTCGGCTACGAGAGCAAGATTTTGGAAACTTTCAACCATGCTCGACAGAGATGGAGCGTATGTGGATGGAGCGGGCTGACTACGGCCACTTCTTCTACCGCATCCCCAACGGCGAGTCTGCCGCAGACGCATACGATCGCGTGAGTGGATTCAATGAGTCTCTATGGCGACAGTTTGGCGAAGATGACTGCGCTAGTGTCTGCGTTCTTGTTACACATGGTCTCATGACTCGGGTCTTCCTCATGAAATGGTACCATTGGAGCGTAGAGTACTTCGAGGACCTTCGCAACATCAACCACTGCGAGTTTGTGATCATGACCCACAATGAAAATAATGGGAAATATACCTTGCAGAACAAACTTCGAACCTGGTCTGACCTACGAAAGGAAAGAGATGCTGAGAAGAAGCGCGAACGAGAGGCACTCGGGTTGAGTCCTACTATTCCCGCTCTGACGGAGCATGTCCCCATCCGGCGTAAATGGGGTGGCTGTCCTGACGGATGTACTCATGGCCTGTCTGCCGATATCAAAAAATCTCTCCGGGTAAGAATGTTTGATACCATGCGCAATGAGAGTAGCAGCAACAGGGGAAATGCCGAACCAAAATCCGCTACATCAGCCTCCTCCAAGGATACAGATCAGACAAACAAATTTCCCAAAGGCGAGTCGATGCAGGATGCCTCTGATCCTGACAACGATGGTACGAACGAGAGCTCGGGAAGCGATCATGCACAATCCAATCCTCGACCCGAGGCTGAGGTCGAGGAATCTAGAAGATATAGAACCGGTGTTTCCAATGCCGATGCTCGAGCCAACACTACTTCCCGCCTTGTTACACCAGTCTTGCAAGGTGGCCATCGAGACACCAATGATCACCTGCATCCACCGGCTGTATCATCCTCCACGGCATCTCTAAAGATGGCTCTTCTTCACCTAAAAGGCCGCGATGGAGGTGGCTCGATGAGTGGCGCAAACAGCCTCGCACCATCCGACGACGAAGGAGAAGACCACACAGCCCCGCAACTAGTTTCCGGGCAACTCCAACCAAAACCCGCTTTGCATGTCCCATCACAAGGTGCAGAAGATGACGGCGATGACGAGCTTAGCGCGCACCCCACGGAGGAAATGAAACGGGTTCGACACAATAATCATTACACTCATCATCATTACCACCACCATAATCATGCATCCCATCATCGCCACTCCTCTTCCACAAATTCCTCGCAACCGCCGCACCGGATGGCTAATATCCTCGGGGATGGCGATGACGTCTCAACAAACTCTGGCGGCCATAGCCCCGAGTCAAGTTATCAAAACCCCGAGACAAAGTCCTCAAACAGCAAGAACCATAATATACCAGAGCAAGAAAACGAGAATCTTTCCTTGGAAGAGCAGCAGCGCCAGGACCAGAGTGTTCGAGGGAGCATATACTGATTGAATCCAGTTTTCCCTATTCTGCGGACGTTTGTTCGTCCATCTTTCCTTTATTTTGTTTTTTTCGACCCCATTCGACATGCATGATATTCTGCCGACCCCTATATGATACGAATATGGATGTACAAGGAGAAATACCATTGATACTGGTTGAAGCATTCTACCCGACTCAGCGTTACGACTGCGACGATAATATGAACGATTCAGCATTCAGAGACCGGATACAAAGGATATTAAGCTATTCATGGGCATATTCTAAGTTGTGGTGTCGATTTTGATGACAATACTACGCTATGATTAAACTTTTCTATATAATCCCTAATCTAATAGGTAAATTATATAGTCCATAGGTGCACTTCGTGAAGGTTGTCGTTATAACTCGTCGCACCCAAGTATACTATGTACTACACAGAGGCTTTCCGCCGTGCTTTTTGCGCGGCGCCTATATAGGTGTTAGACCTCACCTCCTACTATATCTCCTACTATATCTCCTACTTAGTCTCCTACTCGGTATCCTATCCAGTATTCTACCTTCTTTCGTATCGCATTAATCCAATGGTCGAAGGTCTCCCCAAATAATTAGCGGAACAGAAAAGAAAGAGAGAGAAAAGAGAAGAGAAGAAAAATGAAGTGGAAGGAAAAGGGGAATAGAGGAAAAGTCTGGTGGAGTTTCCGAACGTATGTCCAAAAAGTCTGCAGTGTACCCAAGCAATAGAGGGTTAGATTATTAACCTTCCAAGGTTATGTAGGTGCATAGCTCTTGAGATCAAATATGTACTACATGTCCGATTCCTGCACTGTCATTGTGACAAGCCAGTCATCCATAGATACAAGAACATAGACCTACCCTGTAAACAAGCTAGTCATTGACAAGCCACACATCAGCATAAGGACTGGGGCTACCCTGAGTCCAATAGTGTACAAAAACCGTAAGTCCTAGACCTGAAGTGGTCGTCAATGTCATTATCTTTATACGTTGTTGTCACAGAAGTCAGGATTATACACACTGTACTAGAGGCGTTCTGTCGCGCGAAATGCGCAAAGCCAAAAGTGATTATTGTTTCTACTACCTATTTTATTTACCTTCGTAGATTTCATGACCTCTTACTATATCTCCCAATCACATACGCAGTTCGGATTTCTGCCTATTATATCAATTAGAAATAGTAGATTAAAAACTTATTAAGGTTTCTCAAGGCTTGCGGCACCTGGGACGCAGGCTTTAATCCCAGCCAAAACTAGACATCCAACTTGATTGGGTTAGAGGTGCATATGAGCAATTACATACATAGGAGACGTTAGGAAGACCCTAGCAATTTCTAGTTCCAATATTTTAACTAGGGGTGACTGTCTTGGTTGACACAAATGACCCAGGGATCAACTACCACAATAGTGAGACATCAATGCGAGGGACAAGCCTATACAATCCCGATCTGTGTGCACACATAATATCGAGTGCACTACGCAGGGCCAAATCCTCTCAAGCGTGAGTTTAAGATACTAGACGGGAAAGAAAGATAGTACTGCGTGTAGACAAAGATAATAGTTTGTCAAATATTGGCTTCCACTATCTTCGAAAAGCATTTCAACACACAAGACCATAATGACAATAAGACTAACGCAAGGACACAGAAAAGACTAGCGACCAAGAGAAGCGTAAAGTCAAGAAATTGGCGGTGAAAGAGGCGATCGAGAGCAAACATCAATACTACGTACATATCAGATCCTCATGCGGGAACTGACTAACTTGATTCCCAAAGTTGATGATAGGGCTCATCAAGGAACTGGAAAAAATGCATGGGCAAAAGGGAATAATCAGTCGGGTTGGAAAACCGCGCGGCCTGCCCCATATTTGTCGCTCTGCAGTCCAGGCTTGAGGAATCAAGGGAGAAAAAAAAAAAAAACTCGATCTCTGATCGATGGTGCTGCGGAAAGTCGTAAATTGAAGAGAGCAAGGGAGAATGAAACCACATATCAAATTTGTTTGGTCGAATTTCGGCATTTGAGGTTGTGAAAACGAATTGAGGAAAACGTAGAGGAGAAAATATTAACGCCGGAGTTGACTGTAGCGCTGGGAATTGGAATCAAAGTAATGTACCGACATGAAGAGCGGAAGAGGAAAGAAGCAATCTATAGGTGATCAAGGCGAGACGAAAAATGCCGGACATGAAGGCAAAAAAGGAGGGAAAGAAATGAAAGAAAAATATGAACCGAAGGCATGGGTAATAAACAGGTCAGATTTTATGAATTCGTGATCGTCGTGACTGCGTCCCCAGCCACCAGGGACCCGGTCTTGGGAGAAAAGACAAAGTGAGCCTGGCTGGATGTGACGCAATGTCCAACCGAATGATTGGCAAAGTATCGTAGGTTTTGGGGCTGGGGCGTGCCAATGTCGCCGCGGGGCGCGTTTTTTCCTCTTTTTTTGGTATTTTTGAGTTTTTCGCTTAGCCGACACGAACCAGCAGACGCAGAACAAAAAGAACTTTTCGGAGGTGACGCGGAATGCCGATCGATCAAAGAGTAAGGCCAGGCGAGTCAAGAAAGGATGACAAGAGGGCACAAGCGTCGAATCGGATCAGAAAGCAGCGAAAAGAGGAAGAATAACAGTATCATCAGAGAAGAGAACCATGCAAAATCACTCAACCATCACAAGGGAAGAAAGTCTAAAAAAGCAGCACCGAAAAGGACAGAAAAAGGGCGACCCTAATGAATGGTGCCCACTTCTATCCGTAGTCATGAATCAGCAGAATATGAAGGATCAAAGAATGACACGGCTTTAGCCTGCAATGATGGGCTGCAGGGCCGGAAAGGCGGTGTTGCACATGTAGTGCTCAACGTGTTTAGCACAATACATGCAGCCACATGAGGAGCCATGACCGGTCCACACACTCTGCGCAAAGGGCAGACCGTAAGCCGGGGTGTGGTGGTACGAAGGAGGTTGTGACCTAGGGGCCGAGGCAGGGAGGTACTGCGGGGGCGGAATCCAGGCCCGCGAGTAGGGAGGTGGTGGGTTAGGGTATGTCCAGGTGCCAGCTGCGTAGTAGTCGGGCGTGTTGGGGCCGCTGTGGGGGGCCGACGGAGGCGAGTACTCGGACGCGGCCGGGTTGAGCCACGAGTTCTCACCGCGCTGATACTGAGGTGGAATGGGGCCTTCGGGGGACATAAGGGGCTTGGCGACAGTCTGGGGTTGGCGTACAACGTGAGTATCGAGGGGAGCCAGGGGCTGGCGAGATTCCTGCTGAGCACGAGCATTGGCCTTGGCACGCCAATTGTCCCAGTGTCGACGCCACGAAGAAAACCCGTCCTGCTCGTCATACATGCGGTTGTGGATCTTCCACTCGAAGGCGAACAGCCACTCCAGCTCCATCTTGTTAAGCTCGGACACGGGGATGTTGCTCACTTCCGACCACGACTTGTTCTGGAAGGTGTTGTCGTCCAGAAACTTGCTACCGAGTAGAAGGGCCACGGTCAGCATACGGTAGATCTGGCCGCTGTTGGTCTGGAAGACACGCTGGGACGACAGCTGGCGCATGCGGCAGGAAAGGTAGTAGAGGCCTAGTAGGATGGTCGAACTCGGCAGGCGGGTCGAGGACAAAATCTGGTAGACGTATTTCCGAAACTGAGGGGGGACCGAAGATCCTGGGGAGATGCTTCGCATGATGTCAATATCTTCTAGGTTGATCTTGGTGTTGTACAATGCATACATTCCCTGGGTCATTTCCGCCACGAAATCGGACATGCGATCCATCTCGTAATCCAGGTGGGCGGCAACACCTCCGGTGGCCTTTTCCTCCTTGCGCACCTGCTCTTGCTGCATAGGGGCGATATCCTGACGACGGTACTGCGGGGGGATGGCACTATCCATGGGCGGCAACTGGACACTGGAGCGGAGCGGAGGCAGGGTTGCCATTGATCCATACATGGGCAGTTGACCCATGGCGTGCAAGGACTCCCGAGTAGGGTGCATCATGTTCGCCGATTGGGGGTGCAGGTTCATCGAGTTTGGCTTGGTGTACCGAGACTGAGAGTAATTTTCAATAAACTCACAGCCACTCTGATGATAGCGAGGAGGAAACGCAGAGTGATTGATCGGGTAAAAGGACGGTTCGTCCAAACGACCACCGCTGTTGACGTGAGGAGGGGTAGGAGGCAGGCCGTGGCCTGGAGCGAAGAAAGACGGCATTTCAAAGGGGGAGGGTTAAGAAACACCAGTTCAAGACGGGGAGAAGAGACGAATTTGAATGCTGTGACGTCGGGTGAAGTCAGCGGTTGATTCGAGTGAGCCTAGAAGAGTCGACGCAGGATAGAGAATAGAAAAGTTCAACGAACCGTCTACAGCTCCGCGCCGTCCTGATCCTGGGAAAGGTGAGAGCGATGCTCAGCGAGCGGCGTCGCTCTGTTGTGGTCCTAGGGAAAGTCTCTAATCAAATGACATCGAGAGTCGTTCAATATCTGGGACCGAGAAGCACAAATGAGACAGAAGGAGCGTGGTTAGATCCGGAACTTCGCTTTGAATCTTAAAAAGACCGCAACGGAGAGACTGATCCACACGATTGAGAATCAAAATCACAACTTGGAAGTGTATTCCTGCTATGGGTTATTGGTTCTGAGGAGACGCGCGCACAACGGATATCCGCGAAGGGGGTTTTTTTGTTCTGATTTCACTCTCGTGAAATCAGCAACGACACCTAATGAAAGGCTCGTTTGAGGGAGGGTTGAAATTGGTCTGAGGAAGCCGAAGAAAGCCAGCCAGAAACCAAACTCAGGGGAGATAGAAAACGAAAGGGGGGGGGGGACAAAAAAAGGAGAAGAGTAAAGAAGACGGAAATGCAGAGGCTGTCGAGTTGTGTGGGTGAAAATGACCGTGTATTACAAATTACATACTACGTGGATCTCAACCAGACAAAACCAGCCAACCCAAGCTTCGAAAAATTTCCCACTTTCAAAGCTGAAACCTTCCCCCGGATCATGTAGAATATATTCAAATGATAAGACTCCTGATTGATTCAAAAATGTCTTTACATGAAATCAAGTCACCAGGGGAAAAGGGATATTCATACCGTCTTGGTGGCTGTTTCTCTGTAACATGGTCGCCCCCCATGTAATTACACCGCCCGTGTCACGCCTAAGTAAATCTTAAAAAATTGAATGGACTCCACCTGACTAAGCTTAAATTACTACTTAAAATATACCCAAATGTGTACTCCGTACGAAATACGTCAAAGCTTTGAAACATTCCAAGTTTCCCCCTACATAAAATCACTGGATTTCTAAACATTCTCCATGTATTAATATATATTTAGAGATCGGAACTATGGAATTCATGTATGCAGTAAACATACTTTGGACCTTACTCCCTTAAGTGCTCTATTTTATCACCCGGTACAACCAAAAAGTAAGGGAAATATACTAAACTCCCGATGAGTTGTTAGGTGTCTATGACTGGGCCGGACCCTTGTCCAATGACAGCATCCGGCATGACGCTATGCACCAAAAAAGGTATTAAAAATAATTAAATGTCTGGACTTATCCACTCAAGTGCTCAAGGTCTGTGACTCACAGAGGGGGGTAACCAACTGCTGACACTGCCATTGACTAGGTAATGAGCAGATCCCGTGGTCCTTGCCTTTTGTCCTAACTTGGAATTGTCAACGGCTACCTTTTTAGAATCGCGCTACAGACTAGTGCGTGGCTGAAAATTCTGATTTTTCTCTCTCTAGCTTTCTAGATGGCTTGGATTCCCTGCACATGAGCACCAGTGTGGACTAGCCTTCTTCAGTAGTTCCCCTTTTTCGGTGGAGAAGCGGTCGTACCCGGATACTCTCGGCCCCAACTATTCCTACACGTTGCGTCGGGCAGCATATTCCTAAACCCCGCCTCTAAGGAAGAGTTCGGTCACCCCTCTACGCATCTGGAGCTGTTTGGGTTTGATTCGAGCGGGGAGAGGCAAACCAAAAACAAGTTTTTGTAAGAATACCGGATATTGACGGCCGGCATCGAACACGAAGGAAAGGGCAAATCGTTTCATTGTACAGAGTACAACACCAAGGGAAATTTAATTTACTTCATACAATAATAATATTTCATATATCGGTCAAGACGGGGAACTTCTAATATATTATGGCTTATATAGACATTGCCTGGGCCGGAGACGGAAGGAGATATGTTTAGAGGTGGGTATTTCTACTTGTAGTGACTGGACAAAAGTATTTGCACCCTCTCTCACCGAATGTGGAGCCTTGGGGGCAAATACTTTTGTCCAGAAGTACAAATCCTTTCTGTCACTAGTATATGCGTGTTTCCAAGGTTACCTTGAGATAACTAGCTCGGGGTTATCAATGTAAGTTTCAATGGTGAGTCTAGATTTCCCGTGGAATATGGATTGGTATTTCTATAATGCTAGCTTTTGGTTTTATTTTTGGAAAGATGCCCACCTCATCGGGGGGTATCAAAGGTATGGTTAGACATCAAATAATCTCGAGATCCACCGACCCCTCTAGCAACGATGGTGACTATGTGCCAAAGGAACAGAAAAAAACAAAGTGGAAAGAAATCAAATCAAAGAAAACACAAAAGATGTCCAGCATATGCCAGAACAGGGATATCATTAGATTCATCGGAACCCACAAACAAAGACATAGACTCGTATACTATCGTCAGGGAGGCAAACACATTGCCCTCCCGGTCGAGTGCTTCCAAAGGAACAACTTCGATCTATCGCTCCCCCGGGGCAACCCCCACAAGGAGCAGGTCGGGTCGCGCCAAACTTTGATCAGAAAAAGAAAAAGAAGCAAAATGGAAATGGTAGAAAGAAGGGATAGACTCCAGGGGAGCCATTCCCCAAGAACGCGGACAAGTTCGTAAGTCGTGATGAGAGAATACCCAACGAAAGACCGTCAAGGCGGCTAGTCGTCTTTCAAGCTTCCAACAAGGTTGCGAAGCACGTCCATGATGACGCCCTCGTCCTTGGGCTCTCCACCGGGGAATGAACTCTCAGTAGCATTACCCAACACACGGGCACGGGCACTTCGGAGTACCTCTCGGATGTAGTTCTTATCCTCGTAATCTTCCATAAGAACGGCTTCAAAGTCATCGATGGCTTTGTTCGCACGCTCAGTGAATGAAGATGTTTCCGGTGGTCCATGTGGCATAGTATTTTGTCGCGGAGGCATTTGCTGCGACTGCGAATGCGGCGGCGGACCAAGTGGCGGCGGTGGTTGTTTCGGTACCTGGTGATGAGGCGGTCCCACATGATGTGGCTGGTGCTGGTGCTGGTGCTGGTGTTGGTGTTGATGTGGGTGCTGCTGGGGCTGGTGCTGGTGTTGATGATGATGCTGAGGTTGATGCGGTTGTTGAGGTGGCTGTTGCTGCGACTGAACCGGTTGCTGATGCTGGGGTTGGAACTGAGGCCCAGGTGGGAAAGACTGGGGTTGAGAGTTGATGTGTTGAGGTTGAGATGGGGGATTTGAAGGTGCGTATGGGGACTGCTGCTGAGGCGGTGGTCCTTGCCCAGGCCTTGAGGGCTGAGGCTGTTGAGCCTGAGCCCCCTGTACAGGTGGATCGACTGCATAAGGAGATGTGTAGGTGGATGGGACAGTTCGAGCAAAAGCCGGTGGAAGACTGCTGCGAATAGTACCCACAATGGGAAAGGACGCAGCAGCGGGAGCGGGAGCAGGAGCGGGAACAGGGGTAGGGGTGGGAGCAGGGGCCGGAGCGGGGGTAGGAGCGGGAGCGGGAGCAGAAACTGGGGCAGGAGCAGTCACAGCAGGAGTTGCAGAGGGAGCAGAAGAGACTGCAGTAGAAGGGGGCGGAGGAGGCGGTGCTGCCGCATAAGGACTTGAATGCTGAGGAGCCGGCGGTGGTGCAGAGAAGTTGGTAGATGGCATCGGAGGAAACTGGAAGTTGTGATGCTGAGCTTGCATTGGAGGTGGACCGCCAGGTGGGGGATAGGAATGAGGGATAGGTCCCATATATGGCTGGGGAGCTGGTGCCGACACCTGCGGCGGTGGCGGCTGTTGCGGCGGCGGTGGTGAAGGCCGTCTCTTCTTTTCCTTCTCGACGGAGGCACCAGGGCGAAGCTGCCATGACCAACCTTTACCATCTCGCTCTGCGTGCATGAACAAGTGACCATTGCCATTAAGGTTGTGTCGTACGCTTGAAGTCCATCCCTCTGTCTCGCACTTAAAGCGAAAGTAGGGATACTTCAGTTTTAATGCACGGTATATTTGCTTCAGCGTCATTGGGGTAGCAGCCTCTGTAAGAGCATCAAAGATGAGAACAGCATAGTTGTATGGGGGTTTCGCCAGATCCTCTTGTGTGTAAGCAGACTCGGGAGGATAGTTCGGAGAAGGAGACCGAGATGGTTTGCGTTTCTTGACTGGCGGAGGCTTCACGTATTCCTCGGGCCGTTGCTCTGTAGTGAATTGGCCACTTTCCATAGAAGGAAGAGGGAAATCCATCGAAGTGCCATCCTTCTTCCGCTTGTTATACTTCCGTTTCTCCGATGGTTTGAAAGATGAGGGTGGGGATTCAGCACCAATAAACTCCTGGGGAGTAGTAGCAGTCGTTGCTACTGTCTTGCCTGCCTTGGTTGGCCGGTTTTGCAGCGGCGGTGTGATACCACCATTGGCTTCGCGCTTAGCGGCAATCTTCTGCTCCCGAGCAAGCTCAGCTCTTTCACGCTTAGACATTATTCCGTCCTTGGGAGGCCGGCCAGGACCACGCCGGCGGGCTGGTTGATCTCCCGAAGATTCGACGGAATGCGCCTTCGAGTCAGAATCCTTCGTCTTCAAGACAATCTTGGTCACCCTGGAAGAGTCTCTGCCTTCACCACTGTCGCTCAGGGGCCTGTCCATGTCATCATCAAGCTCATGCTCGGCGTCGGCGTCGGCGTCCGCATCGACATCAGCGTCGGCATCTGCATCGACATCGACAGATTCCATAGCATCATCTTCCTCTGCTGCCTGTTCTTCCAAGCGATCCGCTCCTGTCTCTCCAATGGGAACATCTGGCAGCAAGAATCGGATGCGCACACCTCCGATTTGTATGTAATCTCCACTATGCAACGGACGGAGCTGACCTGGCGATAACCAGTCAGCTCCAATAAATGCTCCATTACGGCCCATGACCTCCATCTCGAAGAGACTTCGGTCAAAATTATACGCAATTCGGACATGTCGACGTGAGATACCGCGGTGACCTGCAGCACTGCCGTCGATGGTGGATGGAGGGTGAATGGGAATCGTGGGACAAGAATCGGGAGACGGTAGCAAAGCCAATGCATCCACGGGTTTGGGATCGCCGTTTCCATCCTGAAGAGATTGCATCGCAAGCGCATTGTAGTCCGTTGACGTGGTGGTCTGTAATTGCGCCGGATTGGCATGCAAGGGCATAGCCTCACCGAGAGAAGACTTTGACGACCGTCGGCTGAGGTTAAGATTGGTTGGAAGATGCGGGGGAACGTCCGGATCAAAGCCCATGATACCTCCTCGGTCACTAACCACACTGCCCATCATGGCAGCACTTTCCTCCCGTTTCATGCGGTTGGGAGTGTGTGAGGCGTTACCACCACTAGAACTCTTTGCGCGAGAGCTCCGCACGGCCTGCCGGTACTGAATTTCTCGCTGATGGGCGGCGCGTGCAGCTCGGACATCTCGCCCTAGAATGAAGGAGTAGGTGTTGCAGTAGAAATGCCCATCATCGAATTCTAACTTGGCAAATGCTTGGATACGAGGCTCGGACCCGGCAATGGAAGCCGATGCATCTTGATATCCGAGAGCTGATAGGTCAGCACCTTGTGAGAGGTAGGCGGCCGTCAAAAATTCGTTCTGCTGGAGGGCCTCAAAAGCATTCTTCGGGGTTCCAGCCAAGTCGAAAGCAGGGAGAAGTGAGGGCTGGTCCAGGTCCTGCTTGGGGTTCAACGGGTCGGAGATAGAATCCATAGCGTCTGATAATCGATGTCCCATGTCGCCTCCTTCCTGCGCGGGCGCACCCAGTCCTGCAAGGAAATCTGTCATCGGAAAATCACCATTCGACATATTGGACATCCCTGTAGAGTCTGTAGGATCTTGGTGTAGATTCGAATCGGCGTGCGTGGAGAATGGAGTGGATTTGTCGATTGACGGGCGGTTTGAGTCGTGTAGTTCCCTATCCTGTTCCTCTGTCTGTTGCCCGGCCGCTTGCTCTGGCGCAGAAGGATTCGGCGCGGACTGGTTTCCGAGCAGTTGGGCCAATAGCGCACCGGCAGCGGATTGGGCATTCGAGTCCTTTTCATCGTCAGGCATGGCGAAGCCCTGATGGTCCAATGACTCCCTCTTTATTCCAATCGGACTGGCGGGCAAGGCCTTGGAGGCTGTAGCAGAATTATGCATGTCGGGGATTGCGGAGTTGCTTCTAGGGTCGGACGGAGACGAAGCGTCGTTCTGTGAGCCGCCATAGTCGTACATGGGCGTATCGGTGCCTGGATCAGGCGGACGATGGCCCACCGCTGGCGCCGTCATGGTCTGCGACGACATGGCTCTGGGAAGGAGAGAAGGGCAGAAGCAAAAGCTGAAGTTCTCTCTTTAGGGCCGGGCGGTGAGAGTCGATTTGCCCGACTGGTCACTGCACGTGGCCGTAGCTGGAAGGATCGTTCCTAGCGTGAAGGCTGGCCCTGCATGATCTCGGATTACTATGAATGATGAAGTCAAAGGAATGAATAGATATCAAATGGTAACCAACATCCAGATTGTTGAATAGTAAAAGTTTGACATTGTTCCCAATTGCCCCTAGGTAGAAGATCCTCCGGGTCAAATTTTCTCTTCCCGCCCCGCTCCTTCTCCGACTCGATCCACTGGTTTGGGTGCCTGGCTCCTCACCGATTCTAATGATCGACTAAGATACGGGCCCAATTCCTGATCTCTATAGATCATATGACTATCCCAGGGGCTAGAAGATGTTCAAAAGTCATATATAATATCATTATTACGTTCTACTTACCTAGGTAATACCTCCCCTGAGTATAACGGTCAACAGACGGTGTAAGGTGGAGTTTACCCCTCTACTGATAGTCGGTGGCTTGTCTCCGCTGCAGAACTCGGGACGTACAATCTACACGCCAATTCCCGGGTCATTGCTTAATGGGGGGTGGAAATTATAAATATTAGTCCGTTCAATTCCATTTCCATACACATTTAAATATCTATAATCTTATCTAAATGAAGCCAATAAAATCTCTATCAAAGTACCAACAAGCCATTGATGAACCAGACTGCGGGGACAAGCGGAGCAAGCTTTTTTGGAGTAGAAAAAATGGCCTGCATGCAAATGTCACCAATCTTATCAAGCAGTAGACGCACACCCCTCCTCCTACCACACTCCACACCTGGGCAACCCCACGCCCAAATCGCATCTGTGTACAGTACCTACAAGGTAGATCCAAAATGCCAAAGCCCAAAAAGATCGACCCAAAAGTCCAAGCGCGTACAGCACCCAATCCCCCCACCATCCCCAACTGGCCACCCCTCCGCCCCCTCCTTCCCACGGCAGACCTCAGTCTCGTCTCCCTCGTCCCGGACCAGATCTATATAATCCAGAACTTTCTGGCAAACTCCTTGTGCAAAACCTATGCCTCGTTTCTCGCGTCACTGCCGTTGACCACAACACCCGGGAAACCGAAGAAGGGTGAGGCAGTGCGCGTAAACGATCGGTTCCAGGTGCAGGATGCGCGGTTTGCGGAGATGCTATGGAGTGGGACTGCGCTGAAGGAATTGGTCACGGCGAGATTTGCTGAGGATAAGGAGGTATATAATGAGGATGGGGAATATGAGTCTCTATCTACAGAGGACTTGGCGAAAAGGGCGAAGGAGGTCTGGGGTGGGGAGCCACTGGGGTTGAATCCGAATATACGGATTTATCGATATTCGCCGGGGCAGTTCTTTGCTCAGCATTGTAGGTGGTGTTTTTCATACGCCATGGAATTTTTGGACATGACTGATTTCTTTATCTTAGACGATGAATCTAATTCGTTGACTTTCTTGCCTCAATCCGCTACGAAAGCTTCCCCCGCTCGTACTACATGGACTCTTCTGATTTATCTCACGACCTGCTCCGGTGGGGAGACGGTCTTTTATCCCGAACCGACACGCGCGGACCGGAACCCAGAGCCGATATCTGTGGCACCGGAAGTAGGGATGGCGCTCTTACATCGACATGGGGACCATTGTATGCTGCACGAGGGCATGGAGGTGACAAGTGGGGAGAAGTGGGTGCTGCGGAGTGACCTGGTTGTTGCTCGATGATGGGAACATTAAACTTCATAAACTTGGTTGTTGTGCATTTAGCAAACTTGGCGTTATAGTGGATGGGTGCATCGATGGGAACCTTGGAATGACTCTACAATCTAGATTTTGAAAACATTCAGATGGATTTTGGTCAATTTGCTCTGCCCTACTGTAGGGGAGAATGGGAGAATACGAAGTCAACACAGCAAGATAGTATGACAGGGACGATAGGTACCTGTGTCAGGGAACCACGTCGCACGTAACACGTAAAAGAGACAAGAATTTGTAGATACAGAAGTAAGTCATAAGGAGTGTCGAGGTCTGGGAATAGGGAGAGTCGTGGAAAAGCAACAAACACAGGCATGGGAGGATAGGAACTGGATGATCGGACGGCTGGAATTGGCAGTGAAAAATAAAAGTATTTGTGTCACACCCAGCACCACTTTTCCGTTTCCTACTTCGATTTCATCGTATCGTATCACGTTTATGAATCACCCGGAGACTTGGACGCATCCACCTTATAGTCAGCCCGGCGCATGATATCCTCCACAGGCCCGAGCAGCCTCTTGAATCCGTCCCGGCCCAGGCGGGCCACCTTGACATCGGTCTTAGTGACAATGCTCGCCGCACGCGGCTTGTCATCCAACAAGGCCAGCTCGCCAAAGTAGTCACCCCGATGATAGCTCTTCACAGGCACGTCACCCTTGAAGGCCTCGGCCTCGCCAGACTCCAAAAGATAAAATGCGTCACCTGGATCACCTTCCGAGATAATGGTAGCACCGGCAGGATACTTGATTGTATCTAAGGCGTCGGCGATCTTAGACCGCTCGTAAGGCTTGAGAGAAGAGAGAAGCGGCACTTCCTCCAAGAAGGCCTCGTACATGCGGCGTCGCTGAAACGCGGAATCCATCAAAATCCGCCGGAAAGTGATGCGGTCCAGTGCCCACAGAGTGCATTTAGCTTCTGTGGAAATGACCGTCGCAGCACGGGGCGCATTATACATCAGAGCCAGCTCACCAAATGAGCCACCGGGCCCAGTACTGCCGACCTTGTTGCCCAGACCATCTGGGCCGGGCTGCACTGCACCGGACGAATGAATATAGATGTCGAAATTGCCGTTCTCCACAATGTAGAAATAGTCGCCTGCGTCACCCTGTGAGATCACTTTGATATCCTTGGCGGGAATAGGCTTCTCAACTAGTGCATCCAGTACGGTCCTGAATTGATCGTCGTCTAGGTGAGAAAACAGGAAATTCCCACTAACAGCGGTCTTCAACCGGGCCAGCTGTTCATCCGTCTTGGGGTGACATGGGGGAGTCCATCCTTCTGCACCGGCGGATGTTGGGTTCAAGGACTCTGCGGAAACTGAGGTGCGACGGCCCAGAGCATAGTTGTTCGGGAATCCCTGCCCTGCAGGAATCGGTAGATGTTCAGGCTGATCGTCACCTGCGTTGCCGCCCGATGGCGGACCGGAGTCAAAGGGACTTCCCCGGCCAAACAAAGAACCCCCGAAGCTTTGTGATGCGCTTTCACCAAATGCGCTTCCTCCGAAAAGGGCGGCCTCGGGCAAAGCGCCTATGTTGGCTTGTCGATAAGTCATGTCGGTCGGTGACGTCACCTCGAATTCTTCGTCCTCCGTGATTTTCTGGATGTGAGACTTGTCAGGTTTAGTGCCGGCGTGGTTGAATGGGGTAGACCCCGGGAATGTGCTTTGAGCCATGACTGAGTCGTTGATAGGGGCCGGAGAGGCCGCTCCGGCCACGGGAAAGTTGAAAAGAGGGGTGGATTAAGGTACTGAGCGAAGCAGGTAAATCAGATTCTGAGATTGTCCCGCTGTAATGTAGTTAGAAACGGAGATCTTCGGTGGTGAGTATACAGCGGTTTAAGATGGAGGAAGGACAGAGACATGGGCAGGAGGGGTAGTCTCGGACCAGGCAGGAAGCAAGAGTGTAATTGAGAAAGGACAGCGGAATGAGTATCTTAGACAGCTGTGTCTGTATGTGCTGGTCTCGGGAAGGGCTTTCTGCAGAAGATGAATTCTGGGAAACGTCTTACCTGGCGTTGGGAAAGAGAGTAGGGGAAGCACACAAATCCACAGGGAAAGGAAAAGGAAAAGAAGCTGAAGATCCAAAAGGAAGTTGACGGGCCGAGCAGGAAGAACTCCAGGTCTCGTGCAAGTCAATTGGACAGGGAGAAGGGAAAAGGGTTAGAGGAAGGAGGGGTAACGAGTAAAGTTGGGGCGGGTTGGTCTGAGCTTCTCTCGCGTCGATCAGTCTCTTAGTTATGGTGATCGACGTCACTCGTTCCCAACTTTGGTTCAAGTGGAAGGTTTGGAAAGGAAAATATCCAATCAAATAGCTTAATCTTTAATTATTGATGACAGAATTTGGTCCATTAGAAAGTATAAGTAGATTCAAGTGGACAAGTATCGTGGAAAAAAAAGAGAAAGAAAAAAAAAGAAGCTTGACACCCGAGTCTTCCAACTGTCTTCTAGAACACGGAGAGCACGGCAGACGATCATTGGCATTGGTCGCCACTACAGTGGGACAGTGGCAAACTGGGGGTCCCATATGACTCTTGAAGTCATGCATTTGGACATAGTTACATAGGGACTCTAGTTGCTTTTTAGCAAACCCGATCGCCGTTTGCAGGTTTGGGTTTTGTCGCAAAATTCCTTCCATTATTCTTATGTCTACTTATCTGACAATAGGAAATAAAATCCATTTTACTTGGGAACGGGTAGTGTCGATCGCCCTAAGTCACTCGAAGCAAGCATATCCTTGCTTGAGATTTTGAGTTTTTTTTCTTTACTTTTACCCCATAGCTCTTGATAAGTTTAAATTGATTGGATCCTTCTAGTAATTTCAATGTTTCTAGATAACTGAAAAAAATGGACATCCAATATTGCAACTTAAGTGTGGGAGGCGGCCGGGTCTAGATGGTGGCCCAACGTTACAACCATGGATCTTACAGGCAATGGGGGAGAAGTTCATTACTTCTATAGATAAGTGATTTAAGCATTTTACTTGCAACTCATAGGACTTCGACCAATCAATTCCATATTCTTTTTCTTCTTTTTATTTTCTTGCTTTCCTCCTTTTTCCCCCTTTAAAACGTTCCATTTGACTTCGACAGGAACCTGATCAGTTCAAACTCTTTGGCCCTGGCAGTTGGTCTGTGTCACACCCCACCCGATTTAGAGCTTGGAAGCGCCCTTCCCAACCTTGTCTTTTTTTTCCTCCTTCCAACTCTTTTTCCTCCTGATTTATTTTTTTCGTGATAAAGCTGCCTAGATGGGATCAGTTGCAGCAATGGGGACCTACACATTTCAATGGTGAGTTCGTGCGATTCAATTTTCTCTGCCGGGCGCGGGCGTCCGGGGATGTGGAGAGTTCGAATCCATTTCTCTACGCCCCCGAAGTGGCACAGACTCAATTCTGGATTGGATCGCTGACTTGACGGTTCCTCACATTTGCATGCAGGCCCTCTACCGCGAACGAGGTGTTCGTTACTGGCACATTCGATGATTGGGGTAAGACGGTGAAACTGGACCGGGTGGGCGACATTTTCGCAAAGGAAGTGTCTCTCCCGATCGGAGAGAAAATCCAATACAAGGTAGGTACATTGTTTCGCCTGACTTCTCCCTCTGTTTTCTTCCTTATTTCCCCCCTATTTTTCACTTCTTTCGTCCTGTTATTCTATAGGGGCACCGCAACCGTAGATAAAAAGATGCGGTGAGCTGTTCTGCCTCAGGCCACAATAGGCACCAACCCCAGCTTTGTATGACGACTTTGCTTTCCCACTGACGTCACTTTCTTTGTACCGCTTTCCCACCATAAGATCGTGGACACGCCACACCGGGTTTGTGCTGACTTACTCAAGTTTGTTGTTGACGGAATTTGGACCACCGACAAGCGCACACGCGAAGAGACCGACGGCTCAAATAATCTTAACAACGTTCTCTTACCGGAAGAGATCCAACCCCGGACCCAAACCCAGATCCAAACCAAAACATCTCAGAACCAAGCAACTCCAACCATTCCCACTACAGCCATGTCTGGTGTGACCCCTGACTCCACTACCGCCATTCTGGCGGCCAATGTGCCCAAGGAGGAGCTGAATGGACATCTCCCAGGTTCCTTCCCCGACACCCCGGGACAAGAGTCCGAGCAGATCTTCTCTGTAAATCCAATCCCAGCCTCGGGTGGATACGAGAACCCCATCAAGCTCAACCCTGGCGAGAAGGTCCCAGACCCCAGCACGATCCATGGCAACACTGTCGAGTCAACCGTGAAACTGGACAAAGAGTCCTATGAAAAGAGCGACAGCGTGCCCCTCGCCAGCGCTGGCACTCAGAGTGACACAGCTGGTCCCAGTGCTTTCACCTTGCCTCCTGTATCCAAGAACACCGTCCCTGAATCTAGTCTGCCAATGGGCGGGCCTGCCCAGCGCGCTGCCTCTACTGAACTGGAACAAAAGCAAGCCGGAGGCCCCGCGCTACAGGCCGCCATGGCTGACCCCGGTTTCACCATTCAATCCGCCCACCCCACCTCCACCACTGCCGCCTTGGCCGCACAAGTTCCCTTGGAGAACCAAACAAACGGCGCTCCCGTGAATGAAGTCCCCGATGTGGTGAAGGAGTCCATCAGCGAGGCGCGCCAGGACCCTAAAGCGACCGCCAACCAAAAGGCTGTGGAAGAAAAGAAAGAGGTCGAACAAGAGCTCACCAAAAAGGTCAACTTGGATGAGTCCACCGGCGCTCCTGCACCCACCGGAACTGCCGCCACTACTACCAAGGCTCCCGTGAATGAAGTCCCCGATATGGTGAAGGAGTCCATCAGCGAGGCGCGCCAGGACCCTGAAGCGGCCGCCAACAAAAAGGCCGTGGAAGAAAAGAAAGAGGTCGAACAAGAGCTCACCAAAAAGGTCAACTTGAATGAGTCCGCTGGCGCTCCTGCACCCACCGAAACTGCCGCCACTACTACCAAGGCCCCTGGCGCTACCAACGCTGGTATCACTGCTTCTCACCTGTCTACTGGTGGCTTTGACTCCAACGATGTGTCCCCGACTTCGAGCCCGCCTCCGGGCCATGCCGCACCTACGTCCGCGCCCACCTCCGCGCCTACTTCCGCATTCAAGACCGAAACCAAAACTCAACCGACTGCGACTTCTGGCGACACTACCAAGGCCCCTGCCAAACAAGCTTCAACTGGTGCTGAGAGCACCCACAAGGATGAGAAGAGGAAGCACCGCCTGAGCGGATTCTTCAGCAAGCTCAAGGAGAAGCTGAAGTAAACGTTCGAGAATACTGTCTCTTTCGGTGGTGCCTTTCGAATGCTGGGCCAAGCCCAAAGCTTTTAGATGGCCACTCAGTGGTCTTAGTCACTTTGAGATGTTTACGTGCTTTTGCTTGTCTGGGGCTGTAATCGTCTTTGTTTTCATGTCTTTTAGTTTTTTTTTGATTGATCGTTTTCGATCTGGATACCTCATTTGCACGCACTGTCGCATTGTACTCCAGCAAGCCTTATTCTGTCTTCCTCTAATAGTGCTTTTCATCGAATGGATTTTATCTATTTAAACCTTTCTTTCAAATTTCAGGTTTAATATTATCCTTCTTCAGTACCTTATATGCCCAATCTTCAGCTGAATGCTGTAATCTTGAGAAGAGGATTGTACATATTGCTCTTATACATATGTACATGTACGATATTATATATATTAAAACCGCCCGGAAGACTCCATATATGACCAACCTGGTTTCAAGATGGGTTTGTCGTTGACTTGACATGTCTCAAGGTGCTCACAGTTCCATGAGTATCAAAACGGTATAGCATTACTGACTTGCCCATTAAGTTTGACCGGATATCCCAACATACTAAGATCTCGTTAGAAATACTTCCTAGAGAAATCATTCCCATCTCAAGGGAAATAAAGAATGGAATGATCATACTCTCTCCCAGTCTGTGTGCACCCACAACCACAAAAGATCGAAGCGGGCCAGCAAACCACCTAATTGAATCAGTCTCCAAAGATGACTTTGCAAAGTGTCTAGGTTTCACCTACAGCAGCGACAATCGTACAACAGAAACCTAAGATGACCACGTTAGCCAAAAAGCTATCTTCTTGAGATACATATGTATCGTTCACACATTCATTTCAAAACTTACCAAGCGTCGGCCCGACGACCTTACAATGACACGGATTCTGATCGGTGCCACATTGGAAGCAGATAGGGAAGAATGGTATGAAAGGAATGTCACACATTGTAAGAAACGGGACAGGCAAGGTATGCTCTAGAAAGATAAATGTGACTTTGGAATCTACATAGCTTTTTCTATTCTAGCTTTCCCCAGATTGCAGAGCCGGAATTCACCGCTTGTTGAGTTTGGATGCTATCATTATGACGCAGATGAAGACGCATTCCGAATCTGGATAATTGTGGAGACTCCATCTTATCTTGTTTAAACTACTCCGCGTACTCAGCTGCTTTACTTCTATAGGACTTTTTTCTGAGATAAGCTCTTACAGGAAGGAGCCATGTTTGATCTAGATTATGGTTAGCCTTTGCATTGGCTTTGAAATATGGGGAAACCTTAATTCAAGAACAAAATTCATATCAAGGCATCGCTTAACTGTGTTCTCGCTGTATAAGTTCATTTATCCATAATTGCACGCTGATATTCCGTCTCTCACTTATACATACAGGTTATCTAAGCTCAGTCGGGACATTCATTCTGCAGGATTCCACTCAAGATGGTCGCAAGAACGACATATAGGGAAGAACAGCGAACGTCAGGTGCACACAGTAACTTCTTTGTGAATATGTAAATACATAGCTGGAATTGTCTTGAAAACCTAAGAAGATTCCCACAAAGGCTTTGGAGGATCCGCTGAGAGAATAGGCTCCATATCAGGGTCGCCCTTTCCCATGGCCCGCTTATAAGCATCACGCTGACCCACTCGCTGAAGATATGCCACAATATTCGGGTACTTCTCAAGGCTGAAGGGAGCAAATACACGGAAGGTGGTCAATGAGAAGAGAGACATGCAATCGGCAGCTGTGAACTCCTCGCCTGCTAGATACGGGAACTTGCTAAGCTGTCTATCCATGGCCTCGTAGGTCGCGTCAACGCGTCGCTGCATATTCACGTAACCATGGTTCTCCTTAGAGATACCATTAAGCTGCATGAACATCAAGGAAATTAGAGAGGGCATTGTAGTGCCGTTTTCGCGGTGAAGCCAGAAAACATAGTCGGCATAGTTTGGATGCGTTGGAGGAAGAACCAGCTGGCCATTTCCGTACTTGGCCAAAATATACTCGAATATGGCACCGGTTTCAGCAAGACAAATATCTCCATCTTGAATGATAGGGGCGTTTCCGGCCCAGTGAAGTTTGCGAATCTCATCTGGAGCAACGAGGTTGGGGGGTCGGCGGAGATGGGTTTCGAGTTGGTAAGGAATGCCGAGTTCCTCACACAGCCATAGTACTCTTTCGGACTGTGAGCGTCGTAAATGATGGATTGTGAGCCTGGACGACATATTTCACAGGTAGCAGGCTTCAAAGGTTTAATAAATGAGCAAGCATTTCGGGGACCTCGGGAGATTGACTTGTATTCGGGACAGGAGTCCTGTAGATCTTTATACTCGTGGCCAGGAAACAGAATCTTCATTCCAATGCCGATGTCCGGTCTACTTAGGTAATTATGAAGATTTTATGAGCCTATTCGAACAAAGATAAGCCGATCAGTAAAGTGGATGTTCGGCTAGGGAATTGAGGCACCCTCTAGAGACAAGCCCACCCGGTGGCTTCCGAAGCCGGTTTCCACTTCTCTATATGCATGTTAGAGTCATGCAGGTACACATTGTGAAGAATACTTATTTTAACAACTTGTCATTCATAGTTATTTGTTCAGCTGGGTGCAATCTAGATTCTTTCCTTTCATAATAGCAGTCAGATTTATATGAGAGTTCCACATAATCTAGATTTAAGACCATGAATGCCTTTCGCTAGTGTGCAGCTGGACGATACACTTGAGATCCACAGTACGGAGTTTCCCGTGCATAAAGAAGCATGGAGGCTTTTGTGTTTGTCATGCACAGGGTCTAGAACACCAAGGTCATGTAATCTGGGACAATCCTACGGATTACTACCTACACTTCTCCACGTGATCGGCAGAACACATTTACTCTTTTGGGATCTAGGAAACGATCTTACACAGGTTACCATCACCCAGTGATGTACTGAAGAAAACATTGCAAACCTTTATCCGATTCCAAGCCTTAGAGCTATATTCATCTGACTTACTATTTTGTTCCCCTGTGGTTGTTGCCTTCAATACCTACAGTCGAGCCCAGATGTCTGCTTATAGCGACACCCTTGGGGCTATCTTCTACGCTTGTCAAGGTGTCCCAAATGTCTATACCATGGAATACTTGGGTCTTGGTACAAACTTATCTCTCTACGAGTTGAGCCGTGTCAATGTAGATTACCATTTATACAGGTGAGCATAAATTCGCCAAATTCTTGACGAAAACTCCGATTAACGCTGAGTGACGTTTACGCTCCCACAACTAACTAATATGTTTTCTGTAAAACTTGGTGAACCTGCCCCACTTTACCTGTGAGCGCCCTTGCTGGGAAAACCCCAAAGATCTCAAAAACTCCGAAAACTCCGGTGGTCTCAGGATTTGATTGAGGGTTCCCTAGCATTAGTTGAGCTGTTTCAAAGATGATAATTTGACTGGTGACGTGACTCAAACTCGAAGGTCCGGACTCCGGAGACCAGATACGTTGACAGTTCAAAGATTGAGAGTGAGTTCAGTTGGCGCGCGAAAGTAATTGAATGAACTGGGCAACGACATCAAATTGTTCAAGTCTCACTGTGGAGAACTGTGTAGTTCGTCAAACAAAAAAATTCTGGTTTTCTTTACTGACCCAGTTCCATAGGGCTTAGACCCAAACTATTTTGGTGTGTACTGAGCCACAACCTTACCTCACAGCCCCGCCACACTTCCCCAAATTCACGTCACAGGAAACCGATAAAGGAACTGTTGGCGCTGATCCATTCAGACTCGCTAGAAGTCTCCCTCCTTTTCTGGGTTTCTTTTTCCTTACAAAACACTGCTCCATTCCTACCAGGCAGCAACATTTACCAAGCGCCCCCATTTGCACTATCCAAGCTCTAATTCTTGGCGTGTCAACACGCGCCTTTATAACCGTGACACTCGGACTCCACCCTCAGCCCGACCCTCAGAGCCACACCTCCCACCTGCCACCTGTGCTCACGCGAACCTTGATACCTACCTACGTCTTACCAATATTCCAATAAATATGGCGGACCTAAAGAAAGTCGTTCCCCTCGTTCTTCTCCTCCTCTTTGTCGCCATCCTCGCTGCTGTGGGGTTCGCCGTCTATAGCGTCCTCCAGGATGTCAAGAAGAACACGCGCGCAGAGATGGAGCGCAAAAATGTTGTGCTTTCAAAGGATGGAATGAAGGTCAATATGAAGGAGATCGACGACGAGAATTATAAAGATCGAACTCAAAGGTGCGTTACGCAACCTCTTTCCCTATACGCGAGACCCTGTTATGTGGAGATGGCGGCTTTCTTTTCCCCTTGTGTCTTTCCCGGAGTCACTTCAATCTAGATTTGGACTGTGGCTGACTTTCTTGCATTACACAGCGTTCTCTATAATATGTGGAACCACACCTCCTTCCCAGCATACAAGAGTCGACTGTGGAATATGACGGGCACCTCAACCTCGAAGAGTGAAGGTGGTGCTGAAAAGCGCAGATCGTACGTGTCTCCCTTATTGAATTCTCTTTCCTCCGAGAAGTCAAGAGATATATCTAACACACTTTGTTATATTCTAGGCGTTCGAAGTAAACATCACACAGTTTTTGATTGTGTGCCGATCTTGCAACACATAGAATCCGCAGAAAATACCCAGTTAGGGCTCTCTTCTTCGATCTGCACCTTTCTGCCTTGCGTGCATATAGCGTGGCATTTGTCGTGTTCAGATTAGCAGTTTTATATCTGAACCTACAGGCTCAGGCTACTCTTTCTTTCTCATTGTACTTCCATTTCATTTCTGGTTGCGGTTCGCGATTTCTGTTGACACGACTTTGTGGTTCTTGGGAATCACATCATGATGTACGATAATGCCTTTATACCCCGGGATCCTGAGCCACGACCCCTTACCTCAGGATATGGCCTAGATTGGGATCTTGCGATAACACTCCCATTGACTTGACCTGATCTCCATTCTTCTATTTATGATTTGATGTGAACAAGACTCCTCTTTCTCAAGTAATCCATTTTATATTATCCGACAACTCAGGATATACCTATCTATATGCACCCAGACGTCGGGAGGCCTTATCCGAAGTATTATGAAATACAAGATCCCTCACATATCAGCATAGTAGCTGTAGTCCTGGTTCAGGAGATAAAATGACTCCGGCTCTGGCTCTCCAGCTCCACCGTACCATCTAGGGGTGGTGAGTTTCTCTGGCGTATCGGTGCGAAGCGTATTCGTGAAGACCGACTCAAAAGTCTTAGCCCACTGCACACGGTTGTTCAGACCTTCCAACTCCCATAGTTCCTGCAGGAAATGCAGAATAGAGCTGTGAGTGTAAGCGGAGTTGCTGGCGTACATAGTGCCCTGGTCGTGGATGAGAGTATTTGCGGTGAGGTATGGCGAGATGAGGAAGGCGGGAACGCTATGAACCCCATTAGCATTCGAATCTAGTACATCAGAGGGAGACAACATACCGAACTCCCAGACGGGTAAAGTCATAGGTAACCTGGTGGCCATCAGAGGTGCCGTTATAAGAGATGCCGTCTTTGGGTTGGGGCACGTTCATGGGCGGGGGAACGTGATCCGCAAAACCACCGTGCTCATCAAAGTTGATGATCAGCAGACTGTCAGGTTAGAATTAGTGTCACTAGTGTCTGTTCAGGAAAGAGCACTCACGCATTGTCCCAGTACTTGGAGCCACGAAGGGCGTCGTACAAGTGCTTGATCATCTGCTCGCCAGAGGACATAGGGCTAGTCGGGTGCATCGAGTCGATGGTGCAGCATTCTGGGTTGATGTAAGAGAAAGTAGGTAAGGTTCCCTCTTCAAGATCGGTGTAGAACTCGCTGGCATGAACAAGGCGGTCCATGGCATTGTCTTGAACCCACTGCGAGGGAATCAGCATTTGGAAGCACAATTTCAGCTATCTGCAGACTAACCTTGTACATGAATGCATCGATGATGTCGGTCTCATAGTACTTTAGATCAAATAATTAGTCTCTATGGGAACATCATGACTTCATCACAACGTACGTTCTTCCAGGTAATGTTCTTGTCGGTGAGGGACTCGAAGATTGATGTGGCACATGTAGTTCCTGTCACATTATTCCAGAATCCGGACGCCTGGTTGGTGTTGTCGACAAAGCCACAGGACGATCCTGAGGTTGCAAACTGGCGGTTGACATCAGTTGGGCCAGGGTGCTCGGCGAACTATATCTCAAATGTCAGCACTGTTTCTTGCGGCTTTCTCTCCACACAACAAAACCTACGTAAGAATCAAAGAATGCAAAGTTCTTTGCCAACTCCGCCAGAAGAGCAGTCTTCTTCTCGTCATACGCCTGGATGACAAAGGCAGCATCACCAGGGGTTTCACTGTACTTCTCCGATTGGCGCTCAACAAAGCCGCTCATGTCAGGCACATCGTCCTTGGTTGGATTCCACTTGCGAAAGATCTCATAGCTGACACCGGCAAAGTTATGATCCGGGTCCTTCAGCGGCACCTCGGTCTCGTAGGGACCTGCACATATCTCTAATGGCTCTCCCCATACCGTCCAGTTGGAATTGGTGTACTCGTTGCAGAATGTGATGTTGCGTAGATTGTCGATATCCGGGTGGAAATCCCAGTAACCAGCAATGTTGTCGAAAGAGTGGTTCTCAAGCGTCAAATAAATAACGTGTTTAATCTATGATACGCTCAAATGGTGAGTGAGATACTCATGACCGTTGCATTGAACTGCTCTCACATTATTGCGAAGCTGGCTCCACACTTGACTGTTGTCCGTCGGACGAGCCGATGCCACTCCGATGAGGCCCGAGAGAGCAGCTGAAGCCCAGAATGACTTCATAATTGGGGTTGTCCTTTTTCAGTGGATTGAATTTGCAAAGAATGCTTCCAGGGTTCTCACAAAAATGAGATGAGGCGGGAGTATGAGCTGGAATGAGGAATGAGGAATTTATAGGGTGGAGATTGCGCACGCCAGTGACCCCGACTGAGGGCCCATCACTCATTCTTCTCAGGCTTCATTTCCAGTTTTTCCCGTGCCGGAGCCCCCCGTCCTTGTACAGATTTGAAAAGTGGACACACATTTTCTCTGTTCCAAGCAGCCAAGACCGAAGCTAGGAGACCACGAGGGCCAGGACGGACGCTAATTGCCTACACCAGCAGGAGCGTAGCCTAAGTCCTATCAAGAGCGGAGGAGTTAGCACAATCCACACGACTTGTGCAACTGATTCCCCATTCTTGTCAAAGTGGGGGGAAGTTGAAGCTAGCGTCCACCTGATAAGGATGCATTTGAGCTAGGAAGCGGGAGGAAATTAAAAGATAAACGAATGTAATTTCTTTTCGGTTCCTGGTGTGGATTTGTTCTGAAGATACTCCATGGAAGAATTCTTCAGAATGATATGCATGTTTACGGATATCCGATCGCGTGTACCTGCTGCGGGCGTGGCTTCTAGAGCCTATGGTCGCTTCGATGTAAAGTCCGTGTTTGAACGGAATGTCGAATGAGCAAAAGGAAAGTGGGTCGTCGCTGACCCACCGCTTACATTGTGGAGTATATGGTTGGTTGATAACAAACATATAAGCACCAACCGGATCCACTTTGATCCACTCCGGTCATTCAACTCACAGGATCTCCTCGAATCAGCGTTGCACGTGCCTGTTGTTGCATTTAGCCCCGGGGCCAATGTTGGACTTAGTACAGAAATTGCCAAGCACGTTTCAACGCGCAAGCCTGTGATGGGCTTAAGTCTCCGCACGAGAATTATTTCTCCAAGCGAGGCACACGCTCATTGTCCTTCTTAAGTCCGACGATCCCGATCCCTAGTTTTCCTCTTGTTTTCCCTGGCTAAAGTTCAAAAACAAATCCTATCCCTTGCTTGAGAATGTCCATCACTTCAATCAGCGGCCTAATGTCCCAATATTCTCCCTTGTCAGATCGGGGCTCATCCGTGGAAGATGAGAAAGAATCACACGTCCGACTGAATCAAGATGTGGAAGCTGGCGAAAAGCAGGCCACCGAAAAGAAAGCTCGCTGGATTGATGGCCGCACTGTCTCTGATGCCATTATTGGCCTGTCCGACGGCATGACAGTGCCTTTTGCCCTCACTGCAGGCCTGTCAGCGTTGGGTGATACTAAAGTCGTTGTTTTTGGTGGCATGGCCGAGCTCATCGCGGGTGCTATCTCGATGGGACTCGGTGGGTATCTAGGTGCCAAAAGCGAAGAGTATGTACCCCGCACGAAACATCAAGTCTCAGAAGTGGCCGGCAAATCACTCAATAAGTATGATCAAAAGATTAACATAACGCAGGGAGTCATACAAGGCGACACTTAAGGAAACACAAACACAAACTATGACCGACCCAGCTTCTGTCACTGGTACGATCTCCGAGATCTTCGAGCCCTACGAGCTACCATCCGAACTAGTCGCCCAACTCACCAACCATCTCGCCGCCTCGCCTCTGCTTCCTTCTTTCCTAATGAACTTCCACCACACACTGCCTGAGCCATCAGGCTCGCGCGCCGTTATTTGCGCATTAACCATTGCTTTGGGCTATTTCATTGGCGGCTTCGTGCCCCTTCTACCCTACTTCTTTGTCGGTCCACACGAGGCTTTCATTGCTCTCCGTTGGTCCATTGCTACCATGGTCGTCGCCCTCTTTATCTTTGGATACGGAAAAACCTGCTTCGTGAGCGGTTGGCGCGGTCGCCGCAACATCCGCAAAGGAGTGGTCGGCGGCTTCCAGATGGTTCTGGTCGGAGGTGTTGCGGCCGGCTCAGCTATGGGTCTTGTCAAGGCTTTCCAGATGCTGGCCGATGGTAAAACCGGGCACCCAGAACATTAATGACCTTAACATGATTTTGTATTACAACCTACCCATATCTTGATTCTTTCTGTTTCTGCGGCGTTGGTGGCATGGGCATTTTCGACAATATACGAAATGGGCGTTCGGGTTTCTCTGATTTTTATATTTTGCTGGCCCAGGTGGCCGGGGTAAAAATACCCTCAGTTAACAGCCTTTGCTGGGTTAAGTTATCTTACTTTATTCATTCATCATAATCAAGTTTTATTTAAACATTTGAACATATCTAATGTTACTGTGCAAGGACTTCCAAGTAATGATAGATGTACAAATGGACATGTCCTGTAGAGATTTTCTAGCACCAGTACTATAGTGCTACTTGATATCCTCCATTCATATGCTAATTGCCACCTGTCGAGCTGTAGCATCTATAGAATGCGTCATCCATAGAGATCGCAGGAGTTGAGGTGGTGGCAAAGTCGTGGGGGGCAATTCGCCGTCTTAGGTGATCCGGACAATAAGAGTCAAGTCTACACGAAGACCTATTTATACAATGTTCGGATACTGTTTTTCCGGCGGCAAATTTAACATCTGGAGGGATCAATAAACTCCATGAGATAAGCACCGGCGCTCAAAGTATACGATAACGTGAGGGTAAAGATATTGGGGCTGTGGGGGCTATTCAAAAGATGCCCCGTGGACCACTGCCCAATTATCGGGATACATGAACCAGAATCAATAGCTGACAGTACAGTATGTCGAGGTAGATTAAATGAAGCATTGGAGGTGGTGAATAATTATCTAGAAAGGTTGAGAAACATTGAATCTTCAAGACACCCGACATGGTGTCGGCTCAAGTCTAAACTCTATCATTTTCCTTTCCTTTCATGCATTTGGATTAATATGTCCTGCAGCCTCTGTGACAAAAAAAAATTGAGATCGTACCACTAACTAAAAGCTGCTGAGGGGTGGAATTGGATACTGGAGTGATATGGTTGACAATATCTAAGTAGTCTTCGAAAATATTAATTTCGTGGCCACAGGAGTGAAAGGCCATTATCTCTGGTTGGTTTAATGTGCTGAGAATATTGGTATCATCATGGGTAGCTATTCTCAAGTAATTGCTGATACTCTAACAGAGCCGCTGCATCGAACGATCGAGATGTGCGGTCCAGGCTATCGAGTAAATATGCAAGCAATCTCAGAATGAATCAAAGGCACCCGCTTCTCCCAAGGCAGGCACCTAGGCAGTTATTCCTTTTCAAATAAGGGCATTTATCATATCAGGCACCTGGGAGCTCGGGCCTCGGGTGATCTGATAAAAGAGCTACCCATTGGTTCCGATGTCTCACTGAACCTTCATTTGATAGTTCCCATGTCTGGACTGCGGCAGCTGTTCCATGGGTACACAATATTTGTTGCAATTACCACTTGCGCCTTTACAATTAGATCAGGACTTTTTATTCATTGCAAGACGTCCTATTAGATCGACTGAATATCAATATCGAATACAAGATCTTGTTCGGTTTTCAAAATCCGATGATTGCGTCATCGTGCATTCAGAACAGGAACCAGATCCTCCCTATGACTCCCAATGAAGTCAGCCAAAGGCGAGAAGACTTCGGTGGATTTGTACGGAGTAATGTAATTGAACCAATTTTCTTTTTCATAACGGTAAATAACAGAAATATGTAATAACAGCATAACATAGCCCATGTTGTATACCAAATGTGCGGCGGGTGGCCTGATGACACACCCGTTTAATTTACACAACTAGGATCTACGATGTCCCCTTGCCGATCATACGATAAGACACTGAGCTGTTGGCTGTCGCTACTTACAGGGCTGATTATGCAATGCTGAAACTAGCCAGGAATCCTGGCTGTGCTATGCCAAGCATGGAGTTGTGCTGCCGTAAGGGGGCTTGGACAGAAGCCCACAGTAGCCAGGTAATGAGGCTCGAGTACTCCGTACAGTCAGAAGAATGTGAAGTGTTCCAATACGAAGCAACTCAATAAAGCGCAAACCTAAAGTCAGAAATAGAAAGTTAGTCATGGCCAAGCTCCATCGTGGTTTGTAATTTGTACATGTGTAAGCCGCCCTCGCCTCGGCCCCAGCCCCCAACCCAAACCCAGTAATCTACACTTTCAACGGTTTCTGCATGTTGGCTTACCTCACACGTGTCCCCACAGTATGTGGCGCAGACACGTCTTTTTCGTACACATCACCAAGCCAAGTGAGGGACCAGCGTTGCTGTATCCACATTTTTCCAGGCAACCACTTGAGGTTGATCGATATGGTGAAAAAAGCGAATACGATCTTACCTACACAGCCGGTACTGGTTAGTAACGTGCTGTCATGAATACTGATTCTCAAATAATGTGAATATTTCAAGGGTGACGGAACGGTATGACTTGACTTAAGCGCCACGGGTCGTGAGGCTGATTAGCATTGCTTTGTGATTGGCCTCAGCCGCGCGAAGTTGAGATCTGAAACGTGGATTATTAACTTGTCAACCTTCCTTTGAGTGATTGACCCTATAGAAGACACCGGAAAATGCCATTTTTTGGTTCCTCAAAATTTACGGGATTTGACGTTCTTTCTTGACATGTCGGGGCCACGGTGAGGTCTATCACTTATGAAATACCAAAATCGAGTGGTAGTTTGTAGGTAGGTGCTAGTCCCTGATCTTCCAACGTCTGACTGGATTTCTAAAAGGGATTCAATGGATAAAACTCTCAGTAAATTTCCGTGGATCCTCAACTCAATCCAGCATCCGCCTAAACGTCCGCCGCTTCACAGAGCAGCGTTCATGTAGTACGTATCGGCATTGATGAATTTTGGGACTAGTTTAAAAGAACTCATTCTCATTCATCAGTGCATATCATTTTGATCTAGAAACAACGGTTATTGTTGAAATTGAAGAAGTATCCAGTCCCGGTCAAGGCACGACCTCCAGACACCATAGTCGTCATAGTTCTGCTCAGCTGCTCTTTGCTCTACCCCGTTTGGTTCTAGTGGTAAACCAAAAATTTCAAGGGTAAGTCACCATGAGTATCAGCTATTTTGGAGATTTTGACTAACTCGAAAGGGATAAAAGCCATCGAGCATAGACCAAGAGACTGCGAGGCTCCCTATCTCGAACCGCAGCTTTTATACCTACCTACCGGCAGTGTCTTTTGCATTAAATGTCAGCGCCATCACCCGTCCAACACGTGTTGATGCTTCACAATTGTCTGTCTACTCCGTACTCGAGTACATGGCTATGAAGCACTAAGATAACTCGATTCCGAAAATGAAGCTGCATATCGCAAAATTGGCATTACAGGTCGCCTTGTCCGGACGGAGCTTTGGCCCCCTTGAAGTGATTATGATTGGCCATAGTTGCGCGACTTTGGAATCCTGAAACTGGGGGCGACAAACTAGGCCATGATCGGCTTCAAGATATCCAGCTCCCGTGTTTAGTGAAAGTTTGTGGGAAATTGGATTATTTAGTGTATTCCGGAGTTTTAAAAAACCACGTTTGTTTCAGCTGATTAATTGATAATAATAAACACAGGTCTAGACACAACTGAGACACTTAATTCGGTAGGTAGTGAGAGCTGCACATCTTAATTTACGCGCTGGGTCCAGTACAAAACCAGAAGTGATAGTTTGGAGTAGTGCAGAGTTTGCCCGGAGTTTTTATGAATTGTAACCACTCATCTGTCGTGCCTAGCCTTAAGCTGTCCTTGGATAGGGTTTAGAAGCTGTCAAACAACGCCAGCACCTGCTCTACTGAACCTTAGCAAACAATAAAGCCACACTTTCTCCACAACAATCACCGCAGGTATCGATACCTCATAGAATGCTCCATCGAATACCAGTCCCGATTCTTCCAAGGTTAGACATGGCCGTGTTGTTTAATATCTAGCTCGCTTGAAATCACCAATGAATAACAAATCCTGAGTAATACGGTTGAATCGGATATGGGCGTACAACAGTGGGCTAAGCGAAATTGGGCATGAGGATCTAAAGCCTCCCGTTGGATAGTACATTTGAACGACGGGGCCGCGGAAGGGGAGGGTGGGCCAATCGGTCTGCTGCAATGGATCTTATATTGAAAATTTGCGTCTCAACCAATACTTGTAATGGTACCTGGGCTCACTGTATTGTAACGATCTGTTTTGGGGTTAGGCTCAACTTTTGGCCCTTTCGGTCTTCTTCCAAGGTTGACTTGTGATTTGACCCTTTTTTACTTTTTTTAAACCTTTTTTTTCCTTAATGTTTTTGTTACTGACCTTGTACTCCGTATACGATCTTGAACTCCCTAGGTTTAGTGCTAGTAGATAGTAGAGGTGGACATGGTTAAGATCTCTGAACCGTGATTAGGAAGAAAAATATATAGATTTTTATTCGGCCCCATTTAACAGAAATTTCAAAGCTATCGGATGCTAATCTTCATAATCTCCGTTGTGATCTCTCATGCATCAGCCTCTCGGCCCCCTAAAACTCCGTTCCGTCACATCCGCCCGGCACAGTCGGGATGATCTCGTATCCGTACTGTCTGCCATATTCAATGAGCAGAATTGGGATAATTTGAAGAGTAACATTTGAATTATGTACAATAAAAAAACATCATAGCTTTAATGGTTTAAAGAGTAGCATAGGCTTGGAACCAAAAACCCCCAAACCGGACATGGTTACAATAGGGGCCGAGAACTAGTGACGCCATGGACTTTTCATCTATGCCAAACTTGGAAACCTTTGTAATACAAATACCGAAATTTACGGAAATCTTGCCAATCTCTTCCCCTTCATAATCCTTACCTATCCCCCTCTCATTTCTCTTTCTTGTTTGCTCTTTATCCTTTTTAGGGCTCGGCGCCTTACTTCAATCCGGTCACCTCGAACTCTCTCATCCCATGCCGGTCGGTCCACGCTGATTCCCTACCGAACGCTCTTGCGAATTCCTTCCGTCTCATCCCGCGGCATCCCTCGAACCCTTATTGCCCCCCTTCTACATTCGAGTGATTCCAAAGTCTCCCAGAGGGGGCTCACGCCGCGAAGATGTCCACCTTTCCGTCATGGAAGGATCGCACGCAGAATCAGTTCGGCAAACTTCAGATTCAAGTGCCATGGCGCTCATTCAAGCTCCTGGTGCCACATCGCATGCGCCGCAAGATTCGCTCAAAGCTTCGGAGTCGCTTATCGCCAACTTCGTCTATCTCGACATTGCAGACGTCGTTCTCACCCTTCGATACTCTCCGCTCGCTCCAGTCGCATCGATGGACCGTCTATGATTTCCAGTACCTACTGCTGCTGATCATCGGCATCTTCTCCCTGACCGTCATGCAATCCCCGGGTCCACTTGGCAAGACCGCCATCTCGAGCCTTCTCCTGTTCTCACTACTCATGCCCATCACACGGCAATTCTTTCTGCCTTTCTTGCCCATTGCTGGATGGCTCATCTTCTTCTACGCTTGCCAGTATGTCTATCTCGGCTTTGATGTTCGCCCCACGTGACGTTATCATTGCGCGTCTCGGCGGTCACCCCGTTGAATTTCGCCTCAATCACGAGAGAAAAGAGCTAACAAATGCGTTCATAGGTTCGTCCCGAGCGACTGGAGACCCGCAATCTGGGTCCGAGTTCTACCAGCCATGGAGAACATCCTATACGGTGCCAACATCAGCAACATCCTCTCGGCCCACCAGAACGTGGTGTTGGATATTTTGGCGTGGATTCCCTACGGCCTCTGCCATTATGGCGCGCCATTCGTCGTCTCCATAATCCTGTTCATCTTCGGTCCTCCGGGCACCACTCCGCTCTTCGCCCGGACTCTCGGCTACATCAGCATGGTCGCTGTCACCGTTCAGTTGGTGTTCCCGTGCTCACCGCCATGGTATGAGAATTTGTACGGTCTCGCTCCCGCAGACTACTCGATGCAGGGAAACCCCGCCGGTCTGGCTCGCATCGACAAATTGCTCGGTATCGACCTTTACACCTCTGGGTTCAAGCAGTCCCCGGTTGTGTTCGGTGCTTTCCCCTCACTACACGCTGCAGATTCGACCCTCGCGGCTCTGTGCATGAGCCACGTCTTCCCTCGGCTGAAGTTCCTCTGGGTCACATATACCCTCTGGATGTGGTGGGCTACCATGTATCTTTCTCACCACTATGCGGTTGACCTGGTCTGTGGTGGTCTGCTTGCCACTGTGGCCTTCTACTTTGCCAAGACTCGCTTCCTCCCTCGCGTCCAGCTCGACAAGATGTTCCGCTGGGACTACGATTATGTGGAAATTGGCGACTCCTCGCATGAGTTTGGTTACGACCTAGCTAGCCTCGACGGTGACTTCAACCTGGACAGCGATGAGTGGACCGTTGGATCTTCTTCATCGGTCTCCTCTGGCTCCCTCAGCCCCGTCGATGACCACTACACCTGGGAAAGCGAAACCCTCACCTCCAATCACGACATTGAAGCTGGTCGCTAATTCGGGTGGTATGCACATACCCTGTTCGACCTGTTGATTATTGCATTTATTTTTGAAACGGCGTTCTACTTTTCACGATCATGTTTGGACCACTATCTGCATTGCACCATTTTCGACACCTAAAGGTTTTTAATCCTATTGGAAACCTCCGGTTCGTGCGGCACCCAACCCGCCTTGAGCTGAAGGCTATCTACCTTCTGGCTGTACATGCCTCGTCACTCCCGAGTGACAACCTCCGTCTATAATACTAATTCCGGTGACAGGCCTTACCTGGGTCTTTTTGCGTCTCCCGCAATTGTCACTGTTTGGAAACATTCGCTTGTACAGACTCAATCGCCTCTATTGAGACGATTTGCCCTTCTATTCTTTTCTGACCCATGTCTTTCGCTACGATTTCTTGCACGGGCCACCCTTTGCTTCTCGGCCCGTGCACTTGCACAAACGTTTTTATCATTCGTGTCGATCGCTTATGACCGGCGTCTCGGGAAACGATTTTTTATGGAACAAAAAAAGTTTCGGCGCCTCTTGCTTGCACTACACTCGCTGTGCATAAAACTTTGGATATTTTTTGATTGCTTTTGATGACATTTTCATTACATCGGCACATAGAAAGAGAAGGGTTGCAACTTGGACCGTGGAATCGGTCTAACCTTCGTTTTGGTGCCTTCGCCGCTGGCAGGTGAAACCCGGCGTCGGCATCGGGTGATTCCTGAAGAATCTTCCCTGGGAACATCAAGTGGCCACCGACTGATAAGGAACCTTCGCGGGTGTACTTGCAGCACGGACCACTGCGGCGGACTGCGGGAGGAGAGTGAGATTCGACGGAGCTCGTCTCTCCATCCCTAATCTTGCCGGTATCTTCGCTTCTGGCTATGAATGAGGCACGCGATCCAACTGGGCTGGCATGGCTTGCATCCACCTAACACCTAATATCTCTGTGACCTCTCTTCCCTTATCAAAGGGCGTGGTGCACATGTACGATCGGCCGGATTGGGGACGATCGTGTTGGATTATCGTTAGCATTATTCTCTATCCACTAGATGAAGTTATGAAGAATTGTACATTATTATTATCCCACACCGCACCTGACCTTGAATTGTAAACCTTGCTCAAATACGGAATACTCCGTACATAGTAAATACACCATTAACTTTCCTACCCAATACCCAAAATTCCACTGAAAAAAAAAACCAATACTGCAAGTCAGTACCATCATGCAGCCCGTAACCGTATCCCATCCCTTCGCCTCCAGACTCCACTAAGACCACTGATTTGGTTCAGTGCAGATCACTCAACCCTCGCAAGTTTTCTCGCCCCCGCTTTCGCATCACGCAGATCACCTATCGTGCCTTATTGTGAGTGGCTCTTGCACTCCCTCGTCGATCCAACGGACAAAATCCTCATGCGCGCTTCCGAGGCTGGGCAAGGAGGGGCATGTCTCAAATTCGGGTGCATAGAAATACATCATATGATAATCGTAGTAGCATACCAGGCAATTTGGTGAAGGCTGACGGGAGATACTGCAGCCCTCATCCCTAGCTTCTGGTGATGTACATACTGGTCATTGAAGAATCTCCTCGTATTCAGAGCTGGATGCGTTACTGGAAACGATCGGTACCAGAACGGATGCTCTGGGTCTGTGGCTCATGTGATTTAGTCTGTCTATAGACTCTATACTGGTATTGTAAGCTTCTACCAATTGGATCGCGGATTGAATAATTATGATATCACCTCTAGAGTATAATATTCAGTGCTTGAGCTTGTTCCAGGGTACCCTGAGCCACTTTCCCCTGTTTGATTCAAGCTGTCATTTGAGTTATCTGGGTTTAACTGGTTATCTCATGTCCAGGAAACTGTACCCTTTACCATCCCTCTTTTTACCACCTCGGTACATCTGCACTGGAATCAATCAAGAACCTTAACAGCCGACGATAGATTTATAATACGAGGAACCTTAAAAAGGAACGAGGGTCTAGTTAACTTGCCGTGTCATGGTACACAAAGTCTGTCCACGGGTATAGTACGCCCTGTGGGGCTGGGTCGGCGATAATCTAATGCTGCATCTTAAAGCCGGCAACCCATTCAGTTTTCGTATTACAATTGAGATGGGCGGCTTGTCGGATTCAGATAAAGGTCATGTGGGTGCTTTCGATAGTCTCCTGCAGCTTACTTGAGCTCCGATCTGCATCTATCGTACCACTATCTATGTATGACAACGTACCATATAGCCCCAAATGACATGTGCATGCCCGAGTGGGATTAACGGATCTGCATGTGCACATCAACTGAAAAGAGCAGATCGTAAATTAACAGGCTTCTGCCCATATGAAATTTCAAGTTTAAAATTCTATTTATCATCAAAAATCTTTACACGTTCCGCGTACTCGCGGATGTTGGACACATATGTTTCCTCGATATCGTCGCCTTTACCTCCCGCTACGCGGAGGATAAGGTCGTTCAAAGAGGCACGGCCAAGAATATCGACATGATCGCCTAGTTTATATAGTTAGCGTCAAATGATATAATGATTTAAAACTTGTGAACATACCAGTGTTAGGTCCGCCACGTGGTGAGAAGCGGTCCGGTTCGTGTGGCATCTCAAAGACCTTGATCTTTGAGCCGGCTGGGTTATACCGTTTGATGCGCCAGCCCTTGGCACACATATAGCCCGTGCTAAGTAGATTCACCGTGCCATCGCCCTCACCCATGTTGACGCCATGGTCAACGTTTTCGTCCAGGGTGACGGTGGTATCGATGCTGACGTTGAGGTTTACTAGCGGATCGGTCTCCTCCTGGTACCAGTAGCTGCGCTCAGTAGGCTTGCCCACGCCGTAGAAGCAGTAGATCTTCATATCGGGGGCATAGGGTAGACGAGTCTCAAGTGGGTTGAGCCATGTACGTGGGTCTTTCTCGTTGGCCTCAACTTCGGCTGCGGTATGCGCGACTCCGTGCGAGTAGCTCCCCAGTACCTGATTGCGGTACCAGTCCTCACTTTGGTCAAGAAGGTACTGCAGACTTTCAGGAGCAGTGAGGTTGCGCCGCGTCCAAGATGAGTTGGTCTCGCGGAAGTTCAGTAAATTGCCAAAACTCATCGCCTGGCCTGGCTGATCATCCGGTGCCCATGTTGCATTTCCCCACACAGCTTCGCCGCCCTTGGGCAACATGCTGGAGATGCCTGGCATGGCACGGAAGATCTCAGCTCGCTCTTCTTTGGAAAGAAATTTTTCAAGTCCGTAGACGGCAAAGGCGTTCAGTTGCGCTGTGTCGCGCATCTCTCCTGAAAGTACAGCCGTCAAGCCTTTGACGGCACCAAGCATACATCCGCTGATATTGATCCAGGAATCAACGTGCTTATTCACCCAGTCCTTGCCCCCCTTGCCATGGTCTTCGCTCTCTACCCACTTGAAGAAGTATAGCACGACCTGTGACCCCATGCTGTGCGATGTCAGAGTGATCTTCTCTCCTTGCGTTTCGACCGCAGTCTCAATATAAGACTTGAGCCGACTGAAGTAATTATCACGAACTTCCAAGTTCGGATAGGATAGTCGCCAGTCGTATGCAGCTGTAAAGGCATTTGTCGGATCATAGCCGATTGTTGCCAGGTTTTCCAAGATCTTATTCCATATCCAGTATCCTGTGATAAAGAAGTCGGTCGCATCGAAGCCCTGCGCTGCACGTAACTTGATACCGGGCGGATCCAAGCCAGTCTCCCGATCAAGCATGACGTGATTCTTCCACTCTGCCTTGTCCATAACCAGCGCCCGCATCATGCTCCAACTGCCCCATAATCTCCGACGGAAGTATTGACGCGAATTATCTCCAGTTCCCCAACTCTCGAGGCCCGTGGAAATAACCCCAGGGATCATCACGACAGGATGTTTAGCTTCGACGCCTTGTGCTTGGAGGTGGAGGCCGATCGCGAACGAATCATAATTGATGGCATCGCGTTCGTGTTGCTGTATTTCCTTGACTGATTAGCGGGTTTGGACGGATACTAAACAGTAAGCTGCAGAACATGGGAGCATAATACCGAAAACTCCCTCGCATCACGCATAATTCCTTGTGGGATGACATCAATTAAAGAATCGAGATTCAGTTCCAGCAGTGACTCTAAGCTGATAACCTCCTGCTGGTTCGCGAAGAACACCGCAATGAAGATGCCAAAGAGGCCGCCCAGCACGAAGATCAGCCCATTGCGACGCTTGCTCCGTCGCGGAGGTTGAATGACGAGCTGCTTAACCTTGGCACCATCGAATTCTGCACGAAGACGATCCTCCTCTGTTTGTGAATCGAGATCCCGTTTGTTGCCGTCGCGGGACGAGGTGTCGTCCTTGCCCGTGCGGCGGCGCAACATCATGACCGCTCAGAAAGAAAGAGGGCGAGGGCCGAGCCAAACCCAATTGATTGGAAGAAAGGAGCTTAGCCAGATGATAGATACAAGACGACAATCGGGAGCTTGGGAAGAGCAAGGAGAGAGAAAATCAAAAAGCGATGTATTGTTAACGGGATGATCGGCGTCACATGGTAATCAGTTGTGCTGTGGTTTCCGCCTTGTGATTCCTTGCTATCTCACTATCGCTTCCCCACCTCCCCCTCCACCACACCTTGAACGTTCAATGACTCCGGGATGAGCCAAGATGCCTCTCCACTCCGCTATGTGCGGTATGATAGTGCTCATGAAAATGAGTATGTCGCGGCAATGCGCCAGCTGATCTCCAAGGATCTCTCCGAGCCGTACAGCATCTACGTCTACCGTTATTTCCTTTACGAATGGGGCGACCTATGCTTTTTGGCAATGGACGACAAGAATGAGATGGTTGGAGTTGTGGTCTCGAAACTAGAGCCGCATCGCAGTGGTCCACTACGAGGGTATATCGCCATGCTGGCTGTGCGTGAGGAGTACCGGGGTAGAGGCATTGCGACAAAGCTAGTGCGCATGGCTATTGATGCAATGACTGAGCGGAATGCAGATGAGGTTTGTGGTGGTTATGAAAATTCAATTGCAATTCTTCGCTAACCGGCGTCATGCATAACAGATCGTCCTCGAGACCGAAATAACAAACACCGGGGCCATGAAGCTGTACGAACGACTTGGCTTCCTTCGCAGTAAGCGACTGCATCGATACTATTTGAATGGGAACTCTGCATATCGGCTGGTCTTATATTTGAAAGAAGGCGTTGGCTCGATTCGACCTCCCTTTGAATCCTACGTGCCACCTCCAATGGTGCCACCCCCAGTGATGGCAGACCCACCCGCTGCAATTACTGGACTTGCAGGGAATGGGAGCCCCTGGTGATGTGGCCCATCAAATTGGTGTCTGACACGCAGATTCCATGATGCGAAATGACCACAAAAGATAGATTTACACTTTTACATGAAACCGGCGTCTGGATTGAATATCAAGATATTCTCCTCTTATCATTTAGCCTTTAGGCAATGCAAAATATTCCCCATCGCTCCATTCTGCGTCGGTACTCAAACCATGGATAAGTCCCGCGTCCCAAGTACGTAAGGTTGTCCTTGGACAAACCATGCCTATTCGGGATGGCATATGGCCGACATTCGATTTAAAATGAACTCCCTCAACAGCTCTTTTAAGTTTTAATTATTATTTGTATCGCGTATCGCAAAGTAACACCATGAAAGATCAACAGCATACCAGGCTTCACAAGCTCAAGCAGGGAATGCAGCTTGTATTCGCAGCAGCCATCGACAGAACCGAGAGCAAGATTACGCCCCGGTGGCTACTAAGAATAGCCGATCGTCCCTTCTTTGATACATTGATCCCTGCAGAGAGCCGGACGATCGATGATGTTGGTAGTCTTTTTACCAATACCGGGAACATAGGACTTCGTTTTCTAGCCGAGGTCGACATCACAAGGAAGTGGATGAAATCTCGTCTGGAAATCAATCTTACCCGAACATTTGGTAATATTTTTCAGTTATTCCTTATTGATTGGGCACCGCTAACCCCGTGAAGAGAGACGGCTGGATTTCATTGACCTCTATGAGCTTAAAAATATGACCACCAGAAGAACCCGGCTCGATGTGCTTCTCAATCATGTATTTGAAAGGGTAAATAAAATGTTCAAGCTCTCACTTAAGCTTCAAACCAATCTCGAGTTCACCTATGGAGGTATTGCATACGGGAAAAAACAGAATGCCTATTACGGATTTCCCTATTATAGTCTGTGGTACGGACCCGTGTAGGATTTGTCCACAAATTTCGTCGTCGTGCATACGGACACACCAGCGTTTTACGACGAGGGAACTGTGCAGAAATATATGGGTAAGCATCCTGTTAGCATTTGCCTACTGTACGGTTTTTAACCTCGTATAGGTATGATTTACGCAGCGCGCAAACAATGCGGCAAGAAGAACTGTATAGTTTACGGACTTGCTACTGACTCAAATGAGTATTGGTTCTACCAAGTCGATAATGAAGGCTACGTGAGTATCCAAGGTTTCCAAGAACGATGTTCTTTCGAAACATACATTGATCAAAACTCGTCTAGTGGAGTCATACAGTTGTGAAGCCAATGGATGAGTACTTCTATGAAGATATCGCCGGTCTACTCGCCTCTATCCTACGGAAAGCCCATATTCTGTCGAAGGAGAGGGAAACCTCCAAAATGAAGCCAGTATCTCTCTTGCAGATTAGGAAGTTGCCCACGAGAACAAACATGAAAACTCCCTATGACGACTGATAGTTTTAACTCCGGGGTTGGTCACTTGGATCGATTGAACAGAATGTAGCCACGATTGTCCTACGCAGATGGAACAGATACATATGGATTAGAGTTTTCTGCTCAGAACTCTTCGTTGTCTGTGTCATTTTTGCTATGTTGTTGAGCCTGTTTAGTTACATCAATGCAAGAGTGGATTGTCCAAATTAATATATTTTATCAAGTTTGCGCGGCGCCCCCTACGTCATACAGATCAATTCTAACGGTTATAGATCTATACCCTCAGTTCGTAATTATCTTCAAAGCAAATTTCATTCCTTGACTTCCTAGCCTATTGACCCAGGCCATCCTCCTAAGCACCCTTCGTCTGGCCACCTCCAGACCTCATTTTCGCCCCAATGTCTCTCGATCCCGTTACCAGCGGCCTCGGCCGCATCCCAAAAGCCGAACCAACAAAACCCGTCAAAAACATCCCCAAACTAGACCGATCTGTGAAACAAGTTCACAAGCAAACAAAAGACCTTACCGACCCCATCGTCCCCGGCGAGTTTCCTCGCGATGAAGGAACCCCCCGTACCCAACACGAACCAACCCCCCCATCAACCTTCACCGGAATCTGGTCCAGCATCACCGACTGGTTCTCAAATCTAGTCCCATCTCAGATGGACCGATTCGAGTCCTTTATGAAATGGCTCGTGATGTACCTCATCCCACCGTCGAAACAGTCGCAGGCCTTTGACGCAGCGATGAAGAGACCTATTTCGTCGACGTTTCTTATATGTCAGTTGATTTGCTGTGGGGTGCCGTTGTTGGTGTTTTTCGCTGGGGTTTTCATTTTTGCGGCCGTTTCGTTGATTTTGTGGGCTCTATTGTCATTGTTGATTCTTGGACCGGTTTTGTTGGTTGCTAGTATGATGGGTGTGTCACTTTGGGGGTGGGGGTGGGTGCTTTATGGGTTGATTGGGTGGGTTGATCAGAAGTTTTTGGGGGGTATGATTAGTAGGTTCTGGCTTCCCAAGTTGGAAGCGCAGGCCGAGGAGGAGGGAGAGGGAGAGACAGAAGAGAAAAAGGAGGAGAAAAAGGATTGAGGAAAGCCGAAGGTCCCGAAGCCCTGAAGTTATCTGACCTGGTCGACGTTGTGAACGTGGTTTTATAATTGTAGGTTGTAACAAAATTCTGATTCTTCTAGCATAGTTGAATAAAGCATCATGTTGATTCCCATTTTACTTTCACCTAAGCCTATTCCTCCCACTAATTAAACTAGGTATTATCACTGCACATGTGGGGTCACATAATCCGGGTGAACCTCGGGATAGATCCGTATCAGATCGACGGATATGGGAAAGCCAACGGTTGCAACCATGGAAGCGTTAGATAAAAATAACCGGAGACACCTGTGGACTGTCACCGTTAGTGATAATCGTGATTCCAAAGGTCCAGGCATGGCCAAATTTGGAAGCCTGTTCGCTGACACTACTCTGTACTACCCTTTTCAAAATTGAAATCACGTCTAAAATACAAGGCTTCTATCATCCTGCCGTTGATGTTACGGGATGCACATGAGTCACTTGGCAAGTTTCAATCAAGTGTCAAAGATGGTATTATTGGGGTATGGAAAGACGATAGACCATGGTCTCACTGCAATGCCAGGAAGAAGCAACTCCTCCAACCAAGATAATCCCGATTCGGATGCCCTCTAGCGTGGATTGTCGATCCAAAGCATTGCGTCAACCAGAAACTAGCCGAACTCGTGTCAAGCCTCGCAACTAGCGCCAAACTCACCTGGGGTAACCAAATCCCTCAAGTTCTTGCATTGCGCCGAACCTCAAATGTTATCGCAGCACAGACAGCAAATGCAGTCAGCCGACCTAACCTCCGCATGGACCATTCCCCACGCTAAAAAGAAGAATGCAAGGTTCAGTGAACAAACTACATATCAAGATGGGACGGGCAGGCTCTGAGTAGGTATGCATTAGTCCGTAGAGACGATCCGAGCCCCGCTCACGAGCTCCAGGAAGGAGCGGCCCGTTGATTCCAGTCCTTTCCGCGCACACCCATATGTCATTTGTGCATTGCAGATCGCAACCCCCTCCGACACCTACCCGGGAGGCTAGCGATATCTTGCACGGGAGCCCCGGCATTGACAAAGGGGCTACAGATGAGCTACAGCTACTGCAACGGATCTACGACGGAACTTGGTGCGTTTCATGACGGACGGGATGCATGTGGCCCGTGTGGTTGATCGGCCGGACTAGGATGAGCATGACGGTAGATAAAATAAAAAGAATAAAAGAATAAAAAGAACCATTGAAAGCTAAAAATGCGTTCTACATGCAAATAATGATTTATCATCTGCAGTTGCATTCACTCAAGCCACGAAGTATGCATGAAAGTTGTCTCAGACACGGATAGACGGGATGTTGGAACGGGCATAACGACCAGGGGGGTAGGACATGTACAGGACAGTTCATGCTGCGGAGGAACTCTCGAGTATCCATCCCGAGTCCCACTAGGATCCACTTTCGTGCGCATTTACCCCTGAACAGTAAAGCACTGACCAGGAATGCAGCAAAAAAAAGTGTGCAAGGTTATCATCGGCGAAGGGGGAAAAAGCAACGATGTCTAGTGCACCCCCGCACACGTATGCGACAGCTTCGGATTGGGAATAGTAGGGTTAAGCTTGGGACACCAGAAGGTCCGGAGGGGTTTATCTCAGCCATTTGGAGTCAAGGACTTAAAGGATCTACTGTACTTCGTACAAGGAGACATGGATGTTCCAAATGTTACAAATTGTTCCAGGTTGCAATGATGTCCACTTCCCCCCCCCTCTCATTTTCAACTCGGTAAAAAAAGAAAGTGGAAAGAGTCCGTGAAGAACGAAAAAATGAGAACAACCGTCCACGCGGACCGCACGATGTCGGATGAAGGAACCGGGACTGCTAATCCGGCTAAGAGATCCGCTGGAGTCCTTGCGTTTGAGACATCCGATAGTGTCGAACGATTGCTGCACCTGCAGTAGGCGAGTCATTTCTATGGGTCAAGAACAGTGGAGTTGATAAGCACCCGAATTTCTTCTCATTACAACTGTAGACGGACTTGAGTTTGGGTCTAATCTTGGAATGAATCAGATACAGTCAAATAGGAATTAAAGCAAAACACGACTCAAACTGAAACTCAGTTAATGCATCGTCCACATGGAGGTCTCGTGGACAAAGCAAGTTCCGTTCAAATTGACGGTTCAACTGGGATCTCCACTTAGGAGTCAGTGCGGCCCGGCTAGGGCCCCTCCGGATGCAGGTACATGTACCTGTACAATGTTGTCAACAAATTTTAGATTGCTTGTCACCGTTGCTTGACGTCAAGTCGTGCGAATGGGGGGAGATTGGATTAACAAGGATTGAGACGATCATGACGAATGGAAGATCTGACAAGTTGCAATTAGAATTTGGAATTTCGAGTCTTGATTGAATCAAGGTTCAAATGTAAAGAGAAAAGGGGGAAATTGTTTCGGTGGCGAACACAGGTTTATGGTTAATGGGACAGGGGTAAAACCACAGTATGTACGGAATAATGGGATCTTACCTTGTTAACCTGTATAGAAAATTAGTTTGAAAATAAATAGATACATATACTGAAATAGGAAAGACCAAGGGGGAGAAGAAAAAGAAAAAAACAAAAAATAATAAGTAAAAATACACTAAAATACACTAAAATCCCCAAGATATGGGATTATGGTTCCCCTTGCATAGGAAATTCACGGATCCAAGAAGAATACGAAAAGCTATCGGTACATTAATCGATTTTACTTGTAGAAAAGTAAAGTGATGGGAAATCATGATGGTCTATAGCTCCACTGTAAATCCACCTTGTCCTTGACCTTTTTCCCCAGAACCGCCCTAACAGCGAACTAACGAAATAATAATCTCCCCCTCCGATCAATTCTAATTCTCCCCTCTTCCCATCCCCTCCAGCCTCTCTTCTCTTCCCTCAACCCTACTTTGCGTACATTGATCGTGATTCGCTGCCATTCCACCGCTTTTACCGCTCCCCTTTCCGTGGTCGCGACAAAAACCTTCTTTGCCGACCAAACCCCCCCCCTGTTGTGGGAAAACCGAAGCAGTTCAGCTCGGGGATTGTGAGGTATGCGAACTAGTCCACAGGGCGCCTGACCTGTAAACTTCCCATTCGGAACAGAATATGCATATCTTAATTGTCAGGAATTTTTGAGCCCTTCTGACCTTTTTTTCCTTATCTACCAGTTTCGCGCCAACGACCCTGACAACAACGGTTGTCGGAAGTGCACTCGGACTTTCGAAGAACCTCCCTCAACCGCACAATGTCAGTAGCAACGATGCTTCAACCAGCATCGAGAATGTCCCGAGCATCATCGTCCTCCTCATCCTCGTTTCAACCCGTCGCACGACAGAACACCATGTCGTCCCACGATACTCGGTCGCTCCGCCAATCCAAGCGGATGTCAGTCACCGCGTTATACCTGTCCATGTCCGCCAAGGACAGGGACTTGGAAATCTCGGATGATTTGGCGAAAGGTTCGTGGACCCCTTATGCATCCTAGGCCGTGCTGACGCCCGCCCAGCTCAGAAGCACTTGCGAGAACTCAAGTCCAAGATCTCGTCCCAGTCCAAAAAGAACTTCGTGTTGGAAAAGGATGTACGATACTTGGACTCACGAATTGCCTTGTTGATTCAGAACCGAATGGCCCTTGAGGAGGTGAGACTTGCCCAATTCACTGATAAAGATCCCCGCTGACACCCACCCCTAGCAAAATGAAGTTGCCAGTCACCTCGACGACACTGCCGACCCCCAGGAGGGATTCTTCCCCAATGACGAGCGAACCCAGAAATACGGCAACCTTCTGTTCCTGCTGCAATCCGAGCCCCGCCACATTGCCCACCTATGTCGACTTGTCTCCATGGCGGAGATCGATTCTCTACTACAAACCGTCATGTTCACCATCTATGGTAATCAATACGAGAGCCGTGAAGAGCACCTCTTGCTCACCATGTTTCAATCTGTCCTCACCTACCAATTCGACAACACCCCTGAATACTCGTCCCTCCTGCGCCAGAATACCCCCGTCTCACGTATGATGACCACATATACACGCCGTGGGCCCGGTCAGAGTTACCTGAAGCAGGTTCTCGCCGACCGCATCAACTCCTTGATTGAATTGCGCGACGTCGATTTAGAGATCAACCCCCTGAAGGTTTACGAGAGTATGGTGAAGCAAATCGAAGAGGAGACCGGTTCCCTGCCAGACTACCTTGCTCGGTCCGTCACTGCTGAGGACGCGGCTGCGAATGAACAGGTGCAAGCCATCATTACTCCCCGCCTGAAGATGCTGTCCGATATTGCCAATGGCTTCCTCACCACTATCATCGAGACAGTGGACGAAACCCCCTACGGAATCCGGTGGATTTGCAAGCAGATTCGGAGTCTGTCGCGCCGCAAGTACCCTGATGCACAAGACCAGACCATCTGTACTCTGATCGGTGGTTTCTTCTTCCTGCGCTTCATCAATCCCGCGATTGTAACCCCTCGCTCCTACATGCTGATCGACGCGACACCCACCGATAAACCCCGACGAACGCTAACCCTCATTGCGAAAATGCTGCAGAACTTGGCCAACAAACCATCATATGCCAAGGAGCCCTACATGGCGAGCCTGCAGCCCTTTATTGAAAAGAACAAGGAGCGCGTGAACAAGTTCCTCCTCGATCTGTGTGAAGTTCAGGACTTCTACGAGAGTCTCGAGATGGACAACTACGTTGCTCTTTCCAAGCGCGATCTCGAGCTCCAAATCACCTTGAATGAAATGTACGCCACCCACGCTCTTCTAGAGAAGCACACTGCGGCGCTGGCCCAGGATCAACACTCTCACCTTTCCCTGTTGCTTCAGGAATTGGGAGCTGCGCCTCCTCAGGTTCCTCGCAAAGAGAACAGGACCATTACTGTGCCTTTGTTCAGTCGCTGGGAAACCGCCTTGGACGATCTGACAGCCGCCCTTGACATTACTCAAGAAGAGGTATTCTTCATGGAGGCCAAGTCGACCTTTGTTCAAATTCTGCGATCCTTGCCTCAGAACTCCTCGGTCGCACGTCGACCTCTGCGGCTGGACCGCATTGCTGAAGCTGCCGCCACCTTGAAGAATGATGCCGTTATGGTACGGAAGGGTATCCGCACCATGGAACTGCTGAGTCAGCTACAAGACATGGGTGTGATCGATCGTTCCGATGAGTTCAGTCTTCTCCGAGATGAGGTGGAGCAGGAGTTGGTGCACCTCGGTTCGTTGAAGGAGAAGGTGTTGGATGAAACACGGAAACTTGAAGAGGTTTTCGCCACGATCCGCGACCACAACGCGTATCTGGTGGGCCAGCTCGAAACTTACAAGTCGTATCTCCACAACGTGCGCAGCCAATCCGAAGGTAAGCAGCGAAAGAAGGAAAAGCACCAGGAACTTGGTCCCTACAAATTCACCCACCAGCAACTGGAGAAGGAGGGTGTGATCCGCCGCAGTAACGTGCCGGAGAACCGTCGGGCGAACATCTACTTCATGTTCAAGAGCCCACTTCCTGGCACCTTTGTCATCAGCCTGCACTACAAGGGTCGTGCCCGTGGGCTATTGGAGCTTGATCTGAAGCTTGATGACCTTTTGGAGATGCAGAAAGACAGCCTGGAGGACCTTGATCTGGAGTATGTCCAGTTCAATGTCAGCAAGGTCCTGACACTCCTAAACAAGCGATTCGCACGAAAGAAGGGGTGGTAAGGGTGATGCGCCCAACATTACTGCCCTCTTTTTATGACTGATATGAGACTGAGTGCAGGGTCTACAGTGCCCTCCTCTCTCCAACCTGAAATGCATCGGTTGGCGGTGAGTCTCGCCACCTAATTTTTTGATGATATGATGGACTCGGACATATGTCCGATTTTTACATGAACCGTCCATCCTCGACCGTCGATGAACGGAATGAAATGCTCCCTCTGCTATGATTCTGACGCTCTTGCTCTTTCCCAGTTGAGCCCATGCGTCTGTGAATGTTGTTGATATACGGACATATCTGACGGAGGATGATCAACACTATCCCGCTGGTTCGGGATCAGCAGACGATCTTTTGGAAAGTCTGTTGGACCATCTCCTTTGTACTGTGATTTTCTCGTCTGCAATTTATACCCAGCGCGTCATGTTTTCTGTTTCTTGATTTCTGGGTTGGGCCAAGTCCCTTTTTTATGGCCTATGATCTCAATTTCTGGCTTGTTTCCCTCGCGCCCTCACCGCTCTGGCTCTTGAGCCTCTGCGCTGTGTATAATAATATCTTTGTTTTTATGCGCGGTTGTCTGGATTTAATACCCGTATGTTCTCATTCATGATTGCTTTTGTACACCCTAGACGCAGATATCAAATGACTTTTTGAAACCTGTACATCGCTCAAGTACGCTAATCGTCCCAAGATTTTTGACTGTCAATTTCAACGTCATTTTCGATTTAGCTTAGGGTAAAGTTTGAGCATATGCATCAACCTAGCGACACCGCCTCGCCCCTCTTTGCCCCTCACTCTGGCATATTGGGCTTTCAAACGTGTCTGGCAATTCAGGCTTCTAATTAACATTGGATTGGACAAAGGCCTGCTGCATACAGGTTAGGCCGGTTGCGGACAACTTCATTTGTATCAATGTTCCTTGCCAATGACGGCCAAATAGAGCATATATTTGTTGTCTCCATTAAATTTAATTTACCTCTGCATGCAACTATATTTAATAATAATAATCCTAAGGGGGGAAAAAGGAGTTCACGGTCTTCGTCCCCGAAAACTTGCCCCCTAATTTTCAAACCATTGACTTCAATACTCAGCGAATAACGCTACTTATTTTATAATCTATCTTCCATAATATTTACCGGATGAAGGTTTAGCTCCGTAGAATTAAAACAAAAAAGAAAAAAAAAACTATCACCCGGGGCGCTTGTTTACCGTGAACCAAAGAGGCCGATCCCTCCGACGTTTTTATCCTTGTGGCCACTTACGCCTCCCTCCGCCTTCTCCCTCCTACAACCAACTTCTCCCAAACTTCTACATTCGCCCCTCCCACTATATCATTCATCATGGCAGCCGCTGCTGAGAAGATGTCGCCTACTGATCCCAAGTTCGATCAGTACGACTTCCCTACCACCGCCCCGGAAGCCCAGTCTGGTCACCCTGGCCACACCACCCCGGAGCAGGATGAGAAGGTCGTCAAACTCCGTGCAGAGCTCCTCGAGGAGGGCTACACCGAGCGATTGGATACCTTGTCGCTGTTGCGCTTCCTGCGTGCCCGCAAGTTTGATATCGCGGCCGCCAAGCTTATGTATGATTGACGATCCTTTTGTTATTCACATCCCCACGGGGAGCCTTGCGCCTGACATGTGAAGACTGGAGCTAATTTTTTCTCTCTTTTTAACAGGTTCACCAATTGCGAGAAGTGGCGCAAGACTTTCGGAACTGACGAGCTCCCCGCCGTCTTCGACTACAAGGAGAAGGCCGATGTGTTCAAGTTCTACCCCCAATACTACCACAAAACCGACAAGGTAGGTTATTGCCACCCTTGAACATACTTGGTCACTGGCCCATACAAGCCGCAAAACTAATGATACCCTCTCTGTATAGGATGGCCGTCCCGTCTACATTGAGAAGCTAGGCAAGATCGACCTCGACAAGATGTACAAGATCACTACCGGTGAACGCATGTTGCAAAACCTTGTGACCGAATACGAGAAGCTGGCCGACCCCCGGTTGCCCGCTTGCTCGCGCAAGGCCGGCAAGCTGCTCGAGACCTGCTGCACCATCATGGACCTGAAAGGTGTTGGTGTCACCAGCATTCCCTCCGTCTACGGATACGTGCGCCAGGCCTCCGACATCTCCCAAAACTACTACCCCGAGCGTCTGGGTAAGCTGTACATTATCAACGCCCCCTGGGGCTTCAGCAGTGCCTTCAGCTTCGTCAAGGGTTTCCTTGACCCCGTCACCGTCAACAAGATCCACGTTCTTGGCAGCGGATACCAAAAGGAGCTCCTTAGCCAGATCCCTAAGGAGAACCTGCCCGTTGAGTTTGGTGGCTCTTGTAACTGTGAGGGTGGCTGTGAGCTCTCCGACATGGGTCCTTGGCAAGAGTCCGAGTGGGTTCGTCCTCCTGCCTGGGCTGCCCCCAAGGAGGCTCCCAAGGAGGAGGCTCCTGCTGCCGTCATTGAGAATGAGGACCCCGGCTACGAGAAGAAGGATGCCGAGGGCCAGGAGGGTGCTGTGGCCAGCGCCTAAATGGAATCATAGAATGTTCCCCCCTTCCACTCGTTAATCACATCCACTGGGGTTTGATACTGCACCACTGCGGCATCATCCCCGTTTCTCCGAGAGAAAAAGAAAAGAGAAAAAAAGACCCCAGAAGAGAAAACAAGAAATTCATTTGGAGGGTATTCTTATCGACACGAGATCCACCTGATTTGCATCTGATATCCCTACGTTGGCAACCGGGTGGGTCTTGCCTGGAAGTTTTCAACATTCATCGCCGACTACCCGACCACACAATTTGTGGATTCCTTGCCCTTTGCGTTTTACCTTTTGCTTGCGTTCGATCTAGATATCATGGAGAGTTTTTACACATGTCCTATTATTGCCTATTGAACAAGCGATTACTCCTGCGCTTGATATAGAAGGGCCATTCAGGGCGGATTTCAAAAGCGAGTTTGGGGAATGTTGAAACTGGCTTTTGTTTATGTTTTTGTTGAGATGAAGTGTACACATGGAGCACATAGCGAAATCGCAGCTGTCACAAGGGATGTATCTGCTGGTGAATCTTTGCACAGAACTGAAACGGGGAATTCAAATAACTCGTAATAGTAGACAATGTATTGAGCATAATCAACATAATCAGGTCTGTAACTCAAGAGCGCCTCAAACAGAATAAGATATGGTATCATGATCCCTTGGCACCAAAACGCCTCGCCTATCAAATAATCAAAAGCCCAGCCCTAAAGAAGTCCCATCTTCGCTTTACATACTGTCCACGACATCTGCAGCCCGCCCGGCCCGTTCGGCCTTGCCCACCGTCGTAGCCAATGCATTGCCCTCAGAACCATCCTCACCATCCGCATCAGCCTCACCCTGTAACCGTTGTAACGTCCGCAATGCATGTTCATACACCTCTGCCATATCCCCACTCCGCCAGCGCTCCGCCTCTGCATCCGTGCCAAGCGGAATCTGTAAGTCCCACGCAGGATCCGGACGATGGCGATGGCGCCGAGCTTGTGACTGTGACACTCCAATTTGTTTTGATGAAGCATCTCCTGCGTCAACGTCCATCGCTCCATCTTTCGTTTCACTGTCCTCGGTCTGTGGTTCGTCAAGATCGTCTTCGTCCTCCTCCTTGAGTACCTGCATTAAATGCGCCGCATACTCCTTTGCCGCTTGTCGTGGCGCATCCCGCCTCTGCTGCGCAACCGTCGTGGTGAGTGACTCAAGTTGTGCGTAGAGGGCTGTCACGCGCGATGCTAGCTCAGTGTCGTAAGGTTCATATTCGACCGTCTCGGGTGCAGTAAACGATGCCGGAAAGGGGAACTGCGGATGGGAAGAATCGATTCCATTGATGCTAATCGAAGCAGAGGCTGTTATGAATGTACGGTTTATGTACTATATTCAATAAAACCTGTCAGCCGTCTGCCCCTCTACTCTATCCACTCTCGCCCTTTCTTCTATTTCTTGTGAGGCCACAGAAGAGATACCTCTGATATCCTCTCAGGGGTCGGATTGCAAACTCACCTCGTCCACCAATTCTCTTACGCGTTCGCGCATCGGATCGGGTGTCTCATCGTTTGTTGCGGAAGGGGGAAAATATAGGTCGAGTTTCTTGCGCGAGAGCGCCATTGTGTTGGCATAGAGATAAGTCAAGTCTGCTGGTGATTGCAGCTCGATCTTTCGCTGGTGTGCGGCCATGGTGGCTGTTGTGGGGGAAAGTAGATTGATGCAGTTGGTTTTCACGCGTTTAGGGTGTTGCAGGTCTTGGCGTTTTGGTCCCCGCAAACGATGTCATCGATTGGCTGCTCTTTACACCTTAACTTGAACTTCACCTCGGTTGAGGTTGCGTCATTCCTTTGAACTATCGCACTTTACTATTTTCTTATCTCTTGTTTTGCTTCATACTTCTGTCATACTTGCCACTCTCCTGCTCAGAGGCATTTGGACGCCACCAGACAGCAGTGGGTAATGAGTAAAGTCCAAGGATAATGTGGTGATTGATGTGCCAGTTTCCGCCGCTTCAACTGAGGGGGGCATTTGAGCAATACACCAAAGCAGTTTGAAGATGTCTACAGAAGCTATGGAGAACTCTCGTTCTATTTCACTTGTGGACAACACTGCCCCTTCGGAACAACCGCCAAGCGGGGAATCGTCACGACGACCCTCTAAACACACACACAGATTGTCGAAACACATAAGTCGCACATCGGTATCTGACCAGCTGGCAAAACGCAAATATGCCAAATGGCAACCCGACAAACTCGGTCTTTCGACAGATACCGACACATCACCTAGCAGAGAGTCGTCGCAAGTGCGCGGGTCAGTCTCAGCAGAGAGCTCGGCGGGACCGACAAATGGGGCCAATCCAGAAGGACAATCAGATCATGCAACCGAAATCACCCGTGTTGATACAGTGGATTTTGCCCCTTCCCAAACCCAGAGCATACAATCAAGCGGAGCAGGCCAACCGTCCGATTCCGATACAACCGCAAAACCCGTGACCGAATTAGATATCTTATACGAGAATCAGCGTGGCTGGTTCTTCTTTGGAGTTCCACGCTATTCTCACAATTCGCTTCTCAACCTTGATCCTAGCGCCTGGATGACCCAGGACAAGCGACCAAGCCCCGTCAATATCACCAATGCTCAGGTTCCCGATCCTAGCTGGGAGTGGGCATGGCGCACGTGGTATGTAGATATGTCGGGTGACGTCGACGAACAAGGGTGGCAGTATTCGTTCTCCTTCGGCTCGTCCCAGTGGCATGGCACGCATCCGTGGTTTCATTCGTTTGCTAGGCGGAGACGGTGGATTCGTTTACGCCAGAAGGTTCCGGAGAGGCGTTACCGTGGACGCTCGGAATTTGAGAAAGCTCACATGTTGACTGAGGATTACTTCACTATTCACTCTTCCAAGGTGAGGAGTCGTGAACAGAGTGCTGTCGGTCTGTCGAGGATTGAATCGGGCTATTTGAGTCGAGCAGCCACTGGATTGGAAGAGGAGCCACCCATTGAAGAGATTGGGGACATTCCTTCTCTCATGTACGCATTGAAATTGGCATCCATTGATCGAGAGAGGATCGATGTGTTGAAGAAGTTTGTCGAGCAGGGAGGGGAGGAGCTTTACTATCTTAATGATAAGGTGAGTTTTCCTAAGAAAGGGCATTCAAGATACCCCTTAGAAAATTCTTGTTCTTTATCCAGTGGCTAATTAATTCATGTTTGAAAAGATCCCGGAGATCATGCCTACGTTCCTCTTCCAGGCATCACGCTGGCAATTCGTGACATACCTTGTCAGCATCATCAACCAACTATCCACTCCAGGCGATGATCAGCAAGAAGATTCCAACAAGATCAAACGCAAGAAAGATAACCTTATTCGGGTGGTAGAAAGTGCCAAGCAACATGTCACCGGACCAGATGTGTTCACTGGTACCGGGGGGTCGGCATCTGAGCTACTCGATTTGACACCGATTTCTCGACATGATACTTTGCTTTCCAAGCGAGCGCAGGCTACCGATGAGCCATTGCATGTAATGAAACAGAAGGAAATCACGGGGATCCCCAAGGCCGCGGAAATCGGCCACGAAGGGCATATCTATTAATACCCGGCTAGAAAGCCAACCAGTCGGTTTTTTCTTATGAGTTTAGCTACGCACACGCCTTTTACTACTTTTCTTAAAATCAATAATTTCGGATTTCATCAACAATCTAGGTGTTCACGTTCTAGCCAAGAACTTACTTACGTTCGGTCCATTCATCCATCACTGATTCCTAGTGTTACTCGGGTACTCCTCAGTTTTTGGGAAGTGAGTCGGCGCTTTAGTTGGGTACATATAGTGAGGTAGCTATTTAGACATGAAACATTTACTAAAGTACTTACTTCGAGCACCTACTGAGATAGACACCTAAAGGCCGCGGAGTACGAAGGCAAATTACAGTACTTGTCGCGTGCTGTCGGGAACTCGGCCACCGCCTTCCCTTCCCGCATAGATTTTTCGGAGCCAAAAAGATCGGACTTCTCAACACTTTGTGCTCTTTACCATCCATCTCTGGTTAAGTACCGGATGCCACGAGTGCATCGATCCATATGCTCTCGAGTGGCCACCCGTGTCTAAGAAGGCGCCTTTCTGCCGTCTTGGATACTGTTGCGGCCGGCCCCGAAGATCCTCTCCTCTTCCTCTACCCCCGATGGGCCGCTTCTGCCCTGCAACAACGACGACCGATCGCGTCTCTGACGCCTGCAGCAACTCCTATAAAATGCAATCGAACTCCTAGCAACCCCCTGCGTGCCACACTCCCATTGTATCCATCCCCTCCGTCATTCCATCGCCAGTCGAGCCGATGGAGCTCTTCCAATGCCACCGTTCGGTTCCCCAGTGATTACACTTCAAAACTGTCTACACCTGCAAAATATGGCATTGATGGGTCTTCGGAAGGAGGGAGTGGCGCTGGTGGCATTGAGTCAAGCCATGACATCATGGGATTCCCTGTAAGACTGTCAGGAGAGTCTAATGATTTACTTGAGCCCACGTCCGATACCTCTGAATCGCGTACCAAACGTCGCGGTAATATAAGTCGCAGGGAGCTGCGACAGAGACGAATTGTGGACGAGAGAACAGCTACCCAATCTCCTCGCGAAGAAGACCCGAAGACGGCCTCGCGAAAGTTATTAATAAACAACTTATCCGTTCGGGATCGGAGAAAGCTTCGCTATGGAGATTACTTGAGAAGGACACGTGGTCAGAGCCCGTTTGGAAACTCAATGGATAGTTGGAATGACATGAAGCTGCTGTTGGAAAAGATACAGAATGATCCTCGCACGCAGCCCAAGAGAAGCACCAGATCCAAAGAGTTACATATACCCGAGGAGACGGTAGCTCTTGTGGCTGGCATCATGGACACGAGTATGAAGGAGAACATCTGGTACGTACATGTACGGAACGGGTGTAAGGTGCAAATCTTGCACCCTAGAGAGGGCGACGGAACGAACCGCAAAGCCATCTTGACAGGATCGGAGCACGTTATGGAGTTGGTTGAAGGCCGCTTCAAAAGCGCGCAAGCTGCTCAGGATTTCGGGGATCCTCTTGCCGATATCAGCAAGCCGCCAGTGCCCATGTTCGTGGAGAAAGAAGTTCTCTCGCGCAGAAACATTCCAGCTCCAAAGATTCGTGGAGTTTGGACTTGGACCCGCAATGCTGAAGAGCCGCTCACACTCAGGGACGTCCTTGCCTCGCGTCCGTCTCTAAGTTCTGTGAAAGACTTTGCGGAACATGTCGAGGATTTAACGAACGCACGAGAACGACCTAGCCCTGGCGTGCCGACACCTCGCAATATAAAATGGACGCCACATGCCAAGCTGATCTGTCGTCATCTTCTGGAGCTCTTTCGGCGTGACGCGTATCATCAAATCATATCTACCGCTGCGCTGAATCGAGCGTTGGAGTTTTTGTGTAAACACGAACAACTCAATGCTGCTAGGATTGTTTTCCTGAAGTCAGAACATGTTGCGACAGCGGACACTTATAATGTTCTTCTGCGTTCCGCAGCGCGGCGTCACGATACTTGGGCATTTCGCAAGTTTTTGACCTTGATGCCTCGATCGAACATCCGACCCAACGCAGACACCTGGCTTGCTTTGCTATCGGCTCTGGTCACTTCCAATGCGAAGGCGTCACTCATTACACATATGGTGCAGAATGGCTTAATGATGGATGTGAAGGTGATTCGAACAGCTCTTCAGTTGACAATTCAAGACTCGCTTCGTGTACACCTTGAAAGCGGACAGAGTGTTAAATCATTCGTCGCTCTCATGGATAAAACTCACGGGGCAGGTTGGTTTAGTCCATCATTACTCGGACAAATGTTCAGTGTAGCTGCGCGCTGCAAGAATTTTGCCGCCGTGGACGAGCTGTTGGATATCTGTGTCGAGCAAAACTTTGACATCGACAGCTCTGTCCTCAATCAAATCTTGCCCATGTGTCGTGCCAACATTCTTACTGCACTTCACTACACATATCGTTGTGTCAAGTTCCCTTCATTCCGATTTGCGCCTCAGATATGGGAGCGTCTGTTTTTCATTGCCTTCAAATCCCATAACTTCAACATCTGCCGAGTGTTGTGGCGATATGCCTGCATGGATGGGTCTGTAACCCGCGACATGAGGAAAACAGTACTCGGCTCATTGACCCGCAATGTGTCTTTCAAAAAAGGATCTGATCAAATGAGTACAATTTGGCGCCTTGATGCTGGCAAGATCATCGTTGGGATCGATGCACACTTTGAGGACTACAAGATTCGGGAATCTGTCTTGCAGGGAATCCCCTCTGAGTTTCACGATATGCCCCTCACCTTCCTTACATCCGGCTACAAGGAAGGCCAAGAACGCCTCCACCAGTTTAACCTGGCTCAATATCTGATTTACCGTGACATGAAATACGGTTCCAAACTCTATGAGCCTATCAACTCCGTTTCTATCATGCTCCAAGCTGCGGCTATCATAGATCGCGATTGGAAGGGTGTCCCGCGTCCGTTGACGTGGAGGATGCAAAATGCCATCCATGTGCCAATCAAACGCACCGGGGATTGGTCCCAGAATATAAAAACTCCGCAAAGGTCTTTGGCGTGATCTTTGCCACCCTTCTCCTCTTTTTGGTTTCTGTCTGCCTAGCGCTGCCGTGTTGCATGAGATATCCTATTCAGCGGGCTTGGATAGACATAGACTTGTACTATATTGTGTTTCTGTTCTACTCATCTGTATATAATCATTGTGCATTAACTCAACAAATATACATTCCATATGCCTCCCTTCAAATACTAAAGAAAGTGCAGGCTACGCACAGGAAGCACAGCCAAGCCCATCATCCCTATCACTCAAAGCCCGCCATGTTAGGATCGACGAAATCAGCCCAAGACCACAGACTCAAATCCGTTGTTAAGTACGATAATATACCCTCGCCTCTGTTATCTCCCTCCATCTCCGATACCGAGCCCATCAAAGATTGCATCTCCTTTCCAGTACGATGCAACTCCTCCCCAAGAGATAAACCCATCTTACCTACCCTATTCCGCAAAAACCGCGTGAATCCCGCCGCTCGAGCCGCCGCATCGGATAGCCTGCCCCCGAATTCAAAGACCTGCAGAGCAAGATCGACATGCCGGAGAGCTGTTTTGCAGTGTACCGAAGAGGAATACGCTAGCATAAAGCCGATCAGCGTTATGACGGCATTCCACTGGTACTGGTACAGCTCGCTGCATCCGTAGAAGACGTCGTACTGAGACATGCGGGAATGTATGAGATGGATCGTTCTCAGTGCATGCTTTAATGCCGTGTGGGCGTGTGAGTCTGCTTGTGGATGTTGAAGCGGTGCGGTTGGAGGGGAAAGAACGATGAAGTTGCGGTGGAGGCTGATGAGGATATCATGATATTGGAGTTCCAAGAGGGTAGTGAGTTGGATTGGGAGGGAGTTTGGGTTTTCATGATCCTCGTGGAACGAGCTAGTTTCCGTGAGGTCGTCGGGGACATCCAGGCAAATATGTGAAAAAGATTGGTCTTTATGTATATTCTCTTTCCACTCCTGGATTGGAAGGAGTTGTTCCGAAAGGACTCGAGCTCGTGTTTCGATGTCGGCTTCCTCGGGACTTGAGCGATACGTCAAGGCCTTGATGACAGCGAGAGTGGCACATGTTAATCGCAAACAATGGATATAATACGGCGACGATTTCTCATTCACCACACTATCTGGGGGTCGGTATGGCGTCGACGCCGCAATGGAAAAGATCTCTGAAACAGGCTTGCCCGAATACCTGGAGCATCGAACATCAAGATGAATGAGCGTCCACCAAATCTGGAGATTTTCTATTTCCCCAGAACCTGGGTCAACGCGATCGAGATTAAGAAATCGAGCGAAACGAACCGCCATACCGATCAAACTATATGCCGTATGATGCTGGCCCGTATCAAGGAGGAAGAGAGTCATTATGCAGAAGCATTTGAGAGTCATGAGCGAAGGGGTAGCGAAAATTGCATACTGGGTGCAGTATGCCAGACATCGTTGAAAGTATGGCATGCCAATGACTCGGGATCTTTTACCTGCTTCAAACTGTTTCCACTGTAGACCTAGGAGTCGAGTATGAAGGCCAGAATGGAAGATATATTGCATTGTGTATGCGATCACGGCATCCTGCAGCGGAGAGGGAAGTGGTTCATCAGCAGATGAGATTTCAAGATCCTCTTGAGAGATGATAGGAATTTGAGGATGAAGACGTGTCCGGAATACCCAAAAGAGGCCCTTAATTTGCTCGAATGAGATATCGCAGTGTGTTGAGCTTGTGGGATCTACCTCACCAGGACAGAAAGGGGATCTATACGGGCCTGGATCATCATGTGATACAACTTGCGGAGATAATTGCAAGACGCCAGAACAGAATGTATCGATGCGCGTAACAAATTCCAGCGTCGAGTCCAGCTGATATGTCACGGATACTGACTTCTGCGGATGTGGTGGATATGATGTCTCTTTGCCATTCTGGCGGGAGGCGTGAGCTCTAGAGCCTGATGCTATTGTAGAAGCTGGCTGCAATGACAAAATATCGTTATTGCGAGAATCCCTTTTATTTATGGTTGCGTGGGTAGACCGCAGGCGACTGCAAGAGACATCATGGTCAATGCACTGAGCGCATGGAGTATTGGCATCGCATCGGATGCGCTGGGCACGACAGAAATTGCACGCTCGGTTCACTCGTCGTCGTTTGGCAATTGAACGGGGAGCAGCAAAATTATAAAACATTTCGACGGGAATAAGCTCCCAGAATTAGTTATTGATCTGGCGTAGCTAGGTAGAAGATGAGGTTGGTTTGTAATACAGAGGGATATCGTGAGTCTGACCAATAGGAAGCGTTGGAGCATTCCAAACTCGGTAAGACAAGAGTAGCCAATGGAAAATAGTGGATGAATCTTGCAATGGTAATGGCTCCAAGAGGCAAGTTCTCCAAACAGTAGTAATGTTCACATTTAATGATAGTGTTTTCATAATATACTAGTACTTAATTCAGATATAAAAGACTGGTAGGACATCCAAAAGTCCTGCACAATTCAAACCATCCATATCATTCAATAACTGCAAAACATCCGATACTATGGCTCACAACATTCTCATCACCGGTGCCTCAGGATATCTTGGTGGCTCTCTTCTCGCCAGATGGAAATATGCCAACCTCCCTCACCATGGCAAACTCCACGCCCTCGTTCGATCAGAACAACAAGCTAACGCTGTGAAGCAATATGGCGCTGAGCCGCTGCTCTGTGACCTAGATGACCATGACAAGCTGAGAGAGAGCATTATAAACCATGAAATCTCCATCATTCTATTTCTTGTGGATTCCTTTAGTGCCCGGCATCAACCAACTATCATCCAAGCTCTACACGAAGTCAAGACCAGGACCGGAAAGGAAGTTCATTTTGTTCACACCGGCGGGGCAAAGCATTTTAGTCGTCATGCAGGTTTTCCTACTGAAGAAAATTTGCTTGATACAGATCCGGAGATCTACGAGATGCTGAAAAGTGTCGTGTCGCCTCATTCTCTGGTTGCTCAGGTACTACATATATAACTAATGTCATTGGGCTGGCGATGAGGTCTGTGCTGATTTGTGGATTACAGACAATCAAAACGTACGCCACTGTAATTGATACGTGCGAGGAATATGGTGTGAAAGGGTACATTTTTGTACCATGTATTGTGTATGGACGAGGAAAGGGATTTGGAAATCAAATCTCTATTCAGGATGTTGCGATTGTGAAAGCCGCCAAGAAAATGAGACGAGTTTATGAGGTTGATACTGACACCCCGGTATGAGCACCTCGTCTTCAGACAAATTCCGGTTCGAAGATCAGTGCATTTGTACTAACATTGCTCAGAGTTGGCCCGTCTGCCATATCACGGACAACTCCAACCTCTACTTGCAAATGGTGCGGAACATGCTTTTGAACAAAGACATGGGTTATAACAAGCAGGGCTTCTACCTGGCTTCCTCCGGTAGTGTTGCGTGGAAGGATATCTACCAGGCTTTTGCAGTGGCTCTAGCGAAGCGGGGAGTTGTGGGCGATGATACGATCGAGCAAGCAGATGATGCAGCCTTGGCTGAGATGGGCGAGGCGCTGGGCGTGCCATCGTCCCTTGTTTCGGTCATGCTAGGCGGAAAGTATGTATCTAAATATGTATCTGTTTGGTTTTGTTGGATATTTTTACTAATGCATATGTATCTTAGGTGTACATTTACTGCTGTCCATGGTGGTGAGATCGGTTGGAAGGCTGAGTATCCGCCCGAACATATCCTGGAGATTGCGGACGATGAAATTGAGTCGATTATTCGCAGCCTTGGACAGTAGAGAGAAGAATCCTTCATGCCCGAATCCCAACCCAGAACCAGATGGACTGTACCTCGTCTCTCGAATATTTGAAAGGTATATGGGTCTGATTCCTAGAAATGGAGGTTACCGTTTCTGCTCATAGGATGTATTTCTACCAATGTGATAGGCTCCCAAAAGCCGTTGCGAACTAATAAACGATTCAAGATAAGCAGACCCAAATATAGAGATACGGAATCCCTGCGCCGGGTAAAGCTCCGGTCCTATAGCAATTGAAAAGCCTGTTTTTGAGTTATGCAAGGGCATTATGAACACCCCTGAAGAGACCGGGGTCTGGGCCGCTGTCAAATGCTGATCGACCACGTTTAATTTGCTAATGGTTCCACCAACGCGTTTGGGCCATTTGCTCCGTTGAATTTCCACAGAAAAGCGGTCATGGCTACTGTATCCGGTGTTGTAGCCCACCGGGATAAACCTTAAAGGGGCTTCGGTATTTTCTTTCCTTTTGGCCCCCTGACGAAGAATGTTAGACTTTTGTATGGGGCAGTTTAAGCTTCTTGGTGGTATTGGCCATGACCGATCGTCGCTGCAAAAATGTGCGATGTCCATGTGGGTTGGGGGTTAGTTTGCCTTCTCCATACTTTGGAAGGCGTTGAGGTGGACCGTTAGATTACGATCGGGATTTGGTTACTTCGTTGACGTTCAAATGTTCACCATTTGAATTATTCCAAGGTTACTCTACCTGCGGATAAGTGAAACATAAGAATAGGGTAGATCCGTAAATATGCATGATTACTTTCCATGGATGCTAAAAGCCTTCCCGTAAACCTTGGAAGGCGCCATTTCTTAATTTTGGGGACTGGAGCATGGGCATGTAATCTCTACCCCGGAGGTACCTTTGCATTTGCTCCGGCAAATCCGACAGAGAAACACGCTAACATCCACTTCTTTGATGCATGGATTTATTAACAGCGCTTAATGTCCATATTCACCGGGGCCAATTCAACTATCTTACAGTAAATAAGAGGGTTATCTACTAGATCGGAACCGAGGCGTGCTTTCGATCCAGCAGTGATGATTTATAATAGGGAAACATATCTCCACCGATGGAAGATTACCCCCTGCCTTGCAGCGAGAACGGCACGGGTGAAAACCCTACCGAAGATCATGAAACCGGAGTGAATGGATGTAAGCCTTCGTTTCAAATCCCGGCGCCTCAACACAAGTCCGGGGTGAACACCAAAAGGCCCAAAAAAACATTGTCGTTAAAGGGGGAAAGCGTTATCCTCACCGAATTTGCTTATACCAATCAGTGAGTGCATGGCAGAAGCACGGGCACGACACAACACGGAATGTACATAGTGGAGTGCTCCACCTGGTCTGGTCTTGCCGAACCTGCGATGGGTCATTTGTTGCCGTTTGGTCCCTGAAGGCGTTTCTCTAGCGAAATACCCCATCGCTGATTGGTAAGTCGAGTTTGGGATGTGGTTCCCAAATTTGCCAGGATTGGCGCAATTAAACGAGAGGAAAAAATAGACGTTATTTTAAGAAGTGTAACTTCATTTCTAGCGACAGGCCAAGTCTCCTTGGGATTAGGGATCGAGCAGGCGGGGTCCAGAATCAACAGGAGAGCCGACATGTGGAGACTTGGCCTAATCTGTAGACTATGCAGTCGAAGCCGGAACAGGATTCCACCCACTGTTTCAGGATTTTTCCTTGCGTCTCTACGGAGTATGCCCATGCGGGTTTCAGCAATTGTGTGCCGATCGCTGCAGCTGGATACCGCCTGGCGCCTTGGCGCATAGAGGAAACTAGGTGGTTCGGAGCCACAATTATCCACTGGGAACTCCCCAAGTATCCGTACTCCGTTGGTATGTCCGCGTTCCTGTATCTTTACTGCGTCGAAGTAAAGAATCGATAGCGTCCATGGATGCAAGGATGGGAAAACGAAAAATCCATTGTTCTAGAAATGTCGGTGCGCGAGGGAATATTATTGGTCGAATGGTATGGAATGGTCCGACGATTTTCAATAGTGTCGCGATGGACCGGATCATCTCTCCGGAGCAAGCTGTTTTTGGGGGGAGGGGGGGTGAAGGTGTCATAGCACCCATGGACTTAAGAAATTGATAGATCCTTGCCAACATTTGAAGGAAGTGATTTACCTAAGCTATACGTGTATGAATGGCAGGTAGATTAGGAACAATATGAAACAACCAAAATTGTCGTTACTCTATAGAGTATACCATGCATATAGATCTTTTGAAAACCCCAAAAGTACCGTAATCTAATCATTTAACTCCGTGATTGACAGGAAAAGGAAAAAAAGAAAGAGAAAAGTCGGCCCCATTATCTTCGGTGGATCAAGTCCTAGCGCCCCCTTAGTACATACAACTCGTTCGTCGGTACTCCGTATATTGAAATGATGATTCCCTTTCCACATTCCATACGAAATTTACTCTTTTTCCTCGGCTATAATCCTTGGGGAATCTCACAAACAATTTACACTTCGGTTCGGAGTTGAAGAATAAATCCCTACTAACCGGGAACCATCATCCTCCCCGCTTGTGCTTGTGAATTCCCTGTGAGACGGGAAAAAGAGAGAGAGAGAGAGACAGAGATGTGCTACTGACCTATTCAGCTTGGCTCCCTTCTTTTCCTCCTGAAACCTCAAACCCCTCCGATCTGGTCCTTTGTTGGTGTTTGGGTGTCTTGGTTAGGAAATTGCCTCCCTCTTTTGCCTCCCCGCGAATACCACCTGGATCCTTCCCGTCGATCTTTGCGACTCCGAACCTCCTTCCCTCCGAACCGACTCGCAAAAAAAAGGTCTTTAGTACTTGCTTGGTGACGGACTTGGTGTCTCGGAGGATAATCTGGTCCAATTGGAAACTCGGCGACGGCGCATTCGTAACGGAACGTGGCAGGCCCTGGGTGTGGGGAACCTTGGAAGAACCGATCGAAGCGCTCTCGGCGTTGACAGGATCTCTCGGATACGCTCGCTCATTCGTCGCGTGGGGAATAAGGTGTTGAAGAATTAATAATCGGTGGGCCACCCTATTGCACCCCCAGGGAATTCAAATCTTGCGGTGCGCGTCTGTTCCAGAATCCTTCTCAGCCTCAATGGGCTTGCGAGGTGGCTCAAGCGGAGCGCATCCCTGATTCAGATCCTCCTCCGCCCGATGCACGCGAATTTTACCCCTGTGTCCTCGACTCGATCACTGACTATGATTTGCGCCAATCTAGAATTTTCTTTTCTTTTCGTCGTATCCTTGAAATCATGGGCTGTATCGCATCGAAGCCCGCTGAAGCGGATATGGATGCTAGTCAGCGCAATGCCCGTATTGACCGAGTCATCAAAAGTGATAAGAAAACCATGGATCGCACTATTAAGATCTTGTTACTGGGTTAGAAATTCCCGACTCCCAAATACCACTCCTATGCGCGATCAATTGAACTGACCGTTTTCAGGTGCGGGAGAATCGGGCAAATCGACTATTATCAAGCAAATGCGCATTATTCACAGTCGAGGCTTTCCCGAAGAGGAACGTCACCAAACACGAGCTGTCATCTATTCCAATGTTGTCATTGCCTTCAAGGTTTTGCTAGACATTATGAAAGCGGAACACATAAAGTTTGAGCATAGTGAGACGAAGGCCATGGGAGCCTTATTAGACAAGACTGAGCCCGACGTTGGCTCGGATGAGGCTTTCTCGGACTTGACAATCCGAGATGCCATGAGGGCCATGTGGCTTGATGGAGGCGTTCAGAAGGCTGTAGCTCGTGGGCATGAATTTGCGCTGCATGACAACCTCAGCTAGTAAGTTCAATATCTGCGCGTGACGGGTCATCATACTGACCATTCATCTAGTTTCTATGAATCTTTGGACCGGATTTTCACCCCCGGGTGGCTCCCTGATAACCAGGATATGCTACAAGCTCGACTCCGAACAACAGGTATCACCGAAACCTTATTCGAGCTTGGCCAGATGAACTTCCGGATGATGGACGTTGGTGGACAACGTTCAGAGCGGAAAAAGTGGATTCATTGCTTTGAAGGAGTTCAGTGCTTGTTGTTCATGGTTGCTTTATCTGGATACGACCAATGTCTGGTTGAAGACCAGAACGCTGTAAGCCTCCCATATCTTGCATATTATACCATTTGCAACTGCTGACATCCCCCAGAATCAAATGCACGAGGCTATGATGCTGTTCGAATCCCTCGTCAATGGCGAGTGGTTTAAGCGCAAGCCCATTATCCTCTTCCTTAACAAGATTGATCTTTTCAAAGCAAAACTTGCCATTTCCGCCATTTCGAAGCACTTTCCGGATTACACTGGCTCTGATACAGACTTTGAAGCTGCTGCCCGGTACTTTGCCGACCGATTCCGCGGTATCAATCGAATTCCAGACCGTGAGATCTACATTCACCAGACTAATGCCACGGACACCACTCTATTGAAGGCGACCATGGACTCGGTCCAGGACATGATCATCCAAAAAAATCTCCATACCTTAATACTATAAGGCAGTGGAATTTTAAATACCGAGGGCTTTTATGATAAACGCCATTGTTTGCCACGAGATCGATTGTCGTTGCTTGTCGAGCTCTTGAGCCTGCCTTTTCTTTTTCTTCGTTGCATAATTCCGGCGGTTTCTTGCCTTTCTATCATGGAAACATCACCATGTCTCTTTGCATCTATCTTTCCGACTTTTCTTATTTTAATGAGGCGTCTTGATGATAGAGTCGTCGATCCTCTGACGTATCCTTGGGTCTGTTGCGTTGCACCCCAAAAGTCCGTTCGATTTCGCCAACTAATGCCAAGCTCCAAGCTCTGATGGTTTCTTTCCTCTCTTACTCTATTTTTGTTTGTTACATCATGCAGGATGATACCACTTGTTTACTTATTTGTCGCTGCAATTGTTTTACCTGACGACTGTATTATCACATATCTTATTGCTTTTGGTTATCTACAACTTTGAATGAACTTGATAAATTCCCTCTGGATCTTACTCCACATTACTTGTCGTCCTAATTGCTGGAAGGCTTCGCATGCCTTTATTTATGTAGATACTACTATGCAATGGTTAAACATAAGGTGCCGTTTAGTTGGTTCTTACATAGCAGATGGGTCGGAAACATAGTGCAAGGTTCTTTCCTCAACAACAATCTTGAACCTCCCTCACGTTTTCTCCTTCCCTTCTAACTCCATTCCCTCACTTTCCTCAAGGATCACTCATCAGTCATTTCCGCATGCCCACAAGCAACGAAAACTATTACATCTACAGGTGAGCCTGCTAGAAGAAAGCCGGATAGCTCCTATCCGGAGCTTGAGCAACTTTTAAAGAAAAAGCAAAATCTGGGCCCGACCTCCTGTCAGTTAACATACCATTATTTTCCGGCACCTCAGCATAGAAGCCAGGATTATATGTATGAATATTTCTTATATATTATCGCAATCATATTTATGCAGTCTGAATTTTTGCCTGAAGTATATACAGACCAAAATTTATATCGGAATAAACTTATTCCGATGATATCCGGTTAATTTGCCTCACCTTCTTCCCTGACGGTCTTTGTCCTAGTCATCATCCAGTACAACCTCCTCGGCACGGGACGTAACTGGGTTCGTCAACCATGTTCTCAACCTCTGTACGCCGGGCTGCATGGGCACCTCTTACTGGTGTATCCTGCTCTGCCCAGACTGTTCCGTCTAGCGGTCTTCTCGGCGCAACCCGCTTGCAACGCCGATACTCCTCATCTTCCTCCAAACCACCATTTCCTCCAAGTGATGGGTCGCAGCGGCTGGATACCTCTACTCCCGCAAAGAGTGTGAACTCCTCCGGCGAAAAGACAAAGGCTGCTCGCCGCCGAGGCAAGGACGCCGGTGCCCGCAACGGATCTTCCAAGTCTAGCCAGCAGCATGCGGTATTCTCGAAACTCCCCAGTGTCCCCTCGACACAGCACCGACAACCACATGGTGAGTTCCTAGTAACTCAAAGAATTCCTGCCGCTTGTATCTACTCTATACTAACTTCTGCTCAATAGATGTCCATGTCGCCTCGTTCTTCTCCATTCACCGCCCGATCTCCGTGACCACCACGGTCCCCCCAACCTCGAGCTCCGAGGCCTTCGAATCGATCTTCTCCAAGAGGCTCTTAAAGAACGAACCCGACGATGTCATCTTCACCCTCTCGAACACTGTTCAGTCCATGGAGGGTTCCAACGGTATGTCGGAAGCTGAGGACCCGTTCGGCCAGATGCACGGTCGCTTCACCAGCGATGCGAACGGCGAGCTCCAAATGCTTGATAATCCCGAGGCACACATGTCCATCGAAGAACTCACTCGTCGTCTTCGCCCCTTCCACCCTCCCCCACCCCCGGTCCCCATGAACATGAACGCCGAGGCCGAGGCTATGGAGTCCCAGACCCAGAGCGAACAGGATACCACCTACTCCACCGTTCTCACCATCCGGGAATCCCGCCACGCCGATGGTCGCAAGACCTACGAGGCGTCGACCGGTCCTTTTGTCCGTGACGAGATGGAGGCCCCCGCTGGCATGCACGAGATTACCATCGATGCTCCCAGCTCTACCACTGGCATGAGCTACGTCGAGCGTCTGCGCCACAACTCGTCCATGCATGCTATTAGCACCAAGAGACGGCGCAAGGTGAAGATGAAGAAGCACAAGTTCAAGAAGCTGATGCGGAGAACACGCACTCTCCGTCGGAAGCTCGACAAAGCTTAGATTTGGGGCGATTTCCGCGTTTCCATTTGTTTGGTGTCTTTCTTCGGTTTTCATCGGATGCATCTTTGGCCTGCTTCTTGCATCTTTACTGGGTTTAGGGGGGTTAGTATTGTCTGAGCTGTAGGGCATATCCTCTTCTTCTTTCCCTCCAGTACATTGCTCTTATTTATTTCTTGTCCTTTTTTTACTCGGTTTCCTCTATTACTATCCTCCTATCCTAACATCCGCCAATTTTTATTCCTTTTGACAATCATGTCAGAAGCTGTGATATGTGGCCGCTTCCTATGTGTGCCATATCTTGCCTCATGCATCGCGGATATCTCTATAGAATCTTCTCTCGATCAATATCCTGCTTTGAATCTTCACATGAAAATGAATGTTACCGCTCGTACTGTAGATAGAACTCAATGAAAGATGAGCTATCTGATGATCTCTCAACGCGATACACCAAGAGTGTGTTTCAATTAGAAGCCTGGGCATGGTACTCAACGATACTGATGAACAGGAAGCGAGTAAAGCTACGCAGGATACAGTTGAATCTAATATCATGATACACAAGATCGAGATTGGTATATCACACCGAATACAAGGACCCGATAAGCCAAAAAGAAAAGACAAGAAGGAGTCAAAACCGAGAGTGAAAGTTGTAGAAACGAGTGTCTCCAGAAGCAGCGAGACTAACACAGTCAACCCCACTGCATCCGTGAGACGAAAAGGGGAACGGCTCCCAACCAAGCGAGAGTCAATATAAAGTACAGTATCCAGCGCGCGCATTCATGCAATGTAAGCCAATCCAATATCTACCCACACCAACCGTTGAGGCCAATGATAGCCCTCCGATTCTACATACCACATTGATCAAAAAGAAGAAATTCCCATTCACAAGTCAAATTTATCATAGCCGAAATCTTTTTCCATCTTGCTCCATACTAGTCATCGTACCGACACCATGGGACGGAAGAATCAACGCGCTTGTCATGTCGGGCTCCGAGGTTCACAAATTGAGACGTCGGGCTGCAAGACACCTCACACGCTCGATGAGTGAAGTGTCCAGTTTCCGAGCGTTGTAGCGAGGCATTGCTCGTTTAGCAAGAAGCTTTCGAACGAGAGTTCATCAGAAGAGCGACAATCAGACCGTAAAGACCTAGATGACGTTAGAACATACGCTGGTCTTTCATTGAGCAGACAGAACTTACCCAAGACTTCCGCGAAAATGAGAATCAGAATCATTCCAACGTAGAGACGAGGTTGCTGAGCAGTTCCTCGAACACCAGCATCACCAACAATACCGATAGCAAAACTGCAAATATCCGTTAGCGACCAGAGCCATTTGGATATTTAGGAGGATTGTGAATTGGACGTACCCAGCGGCCAGACCGGCCAGACCGACAGCGAGACCAGCACCCAGCTGGATGAATCCGGTGTAAAGAGGGAGCTTCTGGGTCAGGTCGTTGGCGACCAAGACCGACACGACGAGACCGTAGATACCAATGATACCAGCCATGACAATGGGGACAATGTCTGTTGATTTATCAGTAAACAGGTTCAGACACTTCGATAGATTCACCGGATTAATGGTTTCCGGCTTTAAAGCTTGACGTACTCTTAACGATCAGGTCGGGGCGGAGGACGGCCATGGAGCAAACACCGACACCAGCCTTAGCGGTACCGTATGCGGCACCGAAGCAGGTGAAGACGATAGCTGAGGTGCAACCCAGCGCGCCGAAGAAGGGCTATTGAAGATATATCAGTCATTCGGCCAATGTGATGAAAGAAACCGTGCTCTGGGGAGGGGTGGTTATGACGGAATCGCCGGTTGATTGAACTCGATGGTGATCGAGGAAGCTAGACATACCGCATAGACGGGGCTGTGGAAGATTCCAGGTTAGCAGGAGTCATCAATGAGGGTTTTCCCATGATGGATGAAGCAGTCCGAAGATCGGTAGCTGTCAAGCACCCAGGGGGCGGGAGTCGGAATGACAACGTACCAGAGTTCTGTGGCCATTTTGACGGAAGTGCTCGACAAGACTGTCGAGGGCAATTCGGAGCTTTGGATGAGATAAGAAGATCCGAGAAATAGAGGCGTGAGCCGAAGAAGAGGTTAGCGGTGATCGGGAAGGAGAGAGCCAGCTACGAGGTCAGAGGCCACCACGCTGGTGTTACGGTCACGTGCTTCTTGGCACGGCATCGGATCCACTCTACCGTATACATCGAACACCAACTTGAGATGTGTTTAATTCTACATATACACTATCCCAGCTGAATCCTTTCTTCAATTGCCTAATTAATAATTGGCTGGGTTACGCCAATCAATTATGAAGATTTGTGTGAGGTTGACTACCTTGACCCTGCATCTATAGAACCTTGCAATATGGACGAGGAGGATATCTCAAACTTGGAGACTATAAATATGATAAATAGGTGAACTTTCAAACTATTACACTCTTTAGAGATCCCTGAGCCTATGCTCTTGGTGTTTCTGGTGAATTCATGAGTTGGAGATTAATATATAGCCCATCTCATATGGCATGGCTGCCCATCAATTACGGGTAACTCATGGATGCCCAGGCAGGCCTGGTCAATTTATACTAGTATGTGAAGAGATCTGGCAAAACTGCACATTTTCAGATTACTCAAAGGTGCTTATAATATTCAGGAACTTCAAAAGGTTTTTAGTGACCTCGGGACAGATGCTACTAATGCGCGTAGCTGTTAATGAGAATGACGGTAATACAATGTATAAAATACCTACAAAGCCGAGAAATATACCTCTAAACGTTGAAATATATGAAATGTGTTACATGTTACGCTAACCAGAAGGGGCAGCCTTCCCCGCGGAAACCCGCGGACGCCCAATGATTCCTCCAAATGTACGACCGACCTTGAGTTTCATTGACTTCCTTGACAAGGCTGAGAGTCAATCTTCATACATAAGAACCCCGCGGACGTCCGCGGGCCTGAGAGAAATCCATCAATACCACTTTTGGACTATACGCCATGAAGAGAGACGCCAGGGGTAATCCAATTGCCACAGTGCATCGGTGGAGCCGACCGCCGTTATCATGTCAAGCTTGTCGTGAGAAGAAGCGTCGGTGTGATCGCGCCCAGCCGTGCTCAAATTGTGTGCTCAGAAATATCCCATGTGAATACTCTGGACAGAGTCCGGACGGTTTGAGTGGCCCAGAGTCCTCCCAAGGTCCCATTTCAACTACAACCAGCCATGTTGCTGCAATGAGGCCCACAAACTGGTCCGAGCCAACTCCGAAGTAGGTACAGTAAGCTATCTTTCGGTTTTCATCGCTTACTAACTGTGAGACACCCTTAAGCAATTCCGATGAGATGTTATATCGAATAAGAAGATTAGAAGCGGCCTTTCTTGGAAATTCCAATCAGCATCAAGGGCCTGAAGTAAAGCCCCAGGGTATTTTCCCAACTTCGAATCCATCTTCAGATCAGGTAAGATTGTTGATAAGTCTTACTTCACAGATTCGTACTGAACATAATCACTTTTCAGACTACTGTCTCTCATTATGTCACCCCGTTCAGTGCTCATCATATGTCCTCAAATGAAAGGGTATCGGATTCGCCAGGCATCATTGAAATTGCAAGGCAGCTTCCACCCTTACGACAGGCCAAGGAGCTGTTCAATCATTTTGCAGTCACTCTCCAGCCCACCTATGGAGTTCTTCATGTCCCTTCATCCCGCCTTATGATGGAAAAGGTGTATGAATGCATTGTCGAGGGTGAGGTACCACAGGCAGCGGACTTAATGCTCCTCTTTAGCATCTTTGCAGGTGCCGCTTTGGCCTGGACACCGACACTTTTGGAGACGTTGAACGCAACAATCGAGGGGGCACAAGCGGCCTTGACAGCATATAGCCGGCTCGCCTTCGTCATCCTGGATCATCCTTCGCGGATCATACAGCCATCGACGACCGCCCTTATAGCCATGGGTACCCTGGGCCATATAATCATGAATACAGATGGCTTTCCGTCCCGTGTTCAGATTCTTCGGCATTATTGTTTACTTATGTCGAGGGAATTAAAAATACATCGATTGGATACAGCGAAAGCCCGCGAGGAACGAAGACTGAAAGGATGCGACATGATTGATGTCGAGGTTCAACGACGGGCGTGGTGGAATATGGTAGCATCCGACTGGTATTTTCTCTGGGCACTTGAATAGAATCCGCACTGACTATAGTAGGCTTATGTCGTTCTGTGGAGGTCCTCAAGAAGGCGCATATATTTTTCAACCCAAACATATGAACGTGAATTTACCCAGCAACACGGACGATGAATTTGTTACGAGTGCTGGAATCCAGCAAGAGTTTCCAATGTCTGTACCCACGTCGATGTCTGCTTTCATTACTCGAGTTCAGGGCGCAGATCTCTGTCGTCAAGTGATCGATGCTCTCCCGTCTATTCTACTCGACTCTCAAGAACCAGACTATAGCACCATCCTGGGGCTAGATACTAAGATCCATGATCATATCGCCAGCCTTCCTGTTTATTTCCAGCTGGACCCAGAAAGTATCGAGCAGAGTCGACAAACATGCAAAGAGCGACCTTATATTGCTTGGCAGCGGATCACCGTTCATTTCAGCATCCACACCCGACTTTGTCGATTGCACCGACCCTATCATCTAGAAGGTATAACGAACCCCAAATATGCTTACTCACACATGGCTTGCATCCGTTCCGCGCATAAAGTCTTAGAACTTCGGCGCGCGATGGACGAGGTGGCTCCAGAAGTAGGGCTGAAAGCCGCCCGGTTCTGGACCGTCATGCATCATGTCTTCTTTGCCGCTCTGATCCTGGCGATAGATGTATCATTCAATCCCTCTGCATCCGATGCTGAGGCTCGGAAAGCTCAAGTGATGAATGCGTACGAAACGTTGGAACAATCCAAGCGAGAGTCCAATAACCTGATGGAGGGCATTCAAAAAAACCTACAGACCTTGATGTCGACATTGCATAAAGAACGGTCGCAGACATCTAGCATACCCAAGAATGCTGCCGCCCGCGAGGGACTTGTCGCCACAGGTTTCTCAACGGGGAACCGATCGGCAAAGGAGGCGGAGCCTGTGAATGCCCCTGAGAGTACCTTCTCTGCACCGCCATCTTTGATCGCTGCTGATGGTGGTAGCCTTCTCAATGATCTAGGGAAAGATGATTGGGAGAGACTTTGGACCGATTTTGTGGCTGTGGCTCCTGATTTAGATGTACTCCAGTGGAACGCTTTGTTAGAGGATGTGGATTTTACTTCCCACTTGGAGATATTCTAGATAACCTATCCGAGACTTAAAATAATTCAAATGCAGCCTTATGGGGTCCTATTACTAAACGCCGTGTGTTCTGGCCCTTGCCCAAACAAGGAGTGGACCTGAGGGGAGTGTACAGTGTTGCGTCAGGGGCTTTTCCAAATTTAGTGTGGGGTTTCTTGCTTTGTTGACCATCTCGAGTTACACACGCATGCATGAACATTGCCAACCTTCTACTGTAGGAACCTGCCAAGGTTTGAAGTCACCAATTCAAGGCCAACCAATTAAGCCGTCGTGGCTGCAGCGTGGCCTTGGCAGGTGGGGGGAAGAGTAATACATAGGGCTGGACCGTTGGTAATGATGCGCCACAGGTGACGACAGGGATTTTGTCGGCCTTGATGGGATCGTCACTATCATGCGACTTCGTACAGACCGACTCTAATGCCTTCCTAACCTAAGACGCCATGAGCCAGGTCATGGCGCCAAGATTCTCTTTCCAGGCAACCGGGAAACGGAGGAAAAAGATAGGACAGTTGAGAATAGAGCCGAGAAAGGTATTTGTAGGATGATGAGAATATTAGTAATCAAGTCCAGTTAACGAGTTAATTCATAATTTCATATACAGGGAAAGTGTAACCTGCAACACGAATGAACCTTGGAGATGACGATCATCATAATTTTAAACCCAAATAGTTACAAAGGCAAGAAACCTTGCTTATCTTAATTAACAGCCACAGGAGAATATAACCAATCAAATGCTGGTTTGATGTACCGCTGAGCCACAAAATGTGGCGTCAATGATGTAATAGAAAGCTCTCTTGCTTCCCTTTTTCCAGTTTAAAAGAAGCTCCGCCTTTCCTCTCCTCAACTCCTCTTTATCTTACTCAATTCTTGACCTCATCCCGCAAACATGCCTTTCACTGCTTCGTAAGTTTACCTTTGTTGATATTCGACACATATCCTCTTAGTCCATGCTATACCATTAGAAGCCCTCGCCTCCTTGTCGCATGGAGCTCTCTGCCAAAGTACACCTGGAACTTGTAACTGACTCAAACTCTTGACAGTGATATCTGCAAGATCATCTTCGCCATCATCCTGCCTCCTCTGGGTGTCTTCCTGGAGCGCGGATGTGGTGCCGACTTCTTGATTAACATCTTGTTGACCATCCTGGGTTGGTTGCCTGGTGTCATCCACGCCTTGTACGTTTGCTCCCCTAGCTTTCAATTTTTCAATTTTTTTTTAACCAGGACTCTTGAGCTAACTAACGTCTCTACAGTTACATCATATTCAAATATTAATCACGCTGAAATGACCACCTACCGTGCCACCCCTCGACCCTGCATTTCGACCATCATTCACTGGGAACACAATATTTCGCTGCACCATGCTGCATTCCACTAGCCATTCCTTGCTCCTTGAGATGCGCAGTGGCTTGACCGGTCAGGTGCTATTACCAGTGATTCCGCAGAGGTCCGAAAAGCCACCGGGCACGGCCGAAACGATGTTCATAATTCCTTAATGTTGGTAGTGTGCCATGTGGGCACCGCCAAGGATTTATTTTGATTTATTTTGTGCGATTCTATTGCGGGTTTTCTGTTCTGCTTTTCAAACGATACCAATCTTGTATGACCCGTGGGCTTATGTTGACCGGGTTGGTTAGCTTTTATGATCGATGGAATGGCAATTACTTGATTCCGACCTTCCGGCACGTTGTAATTGTGTATTCGTAGAATCCACTAGTAGTGGGACCGCTATTTGTGACTATCGGAGTATGTACTCGGGCATTCCGGGAGCCAATGGGATGGCATCTATCCCAAAGAATTAAACAACCGATTTCCTACGCTACTTCTAAACTCAGCAAAGCAGATTACCAGATCTGTGGATACTTTTGAAACAATCGTGGTGCGATGTGCTGCAAGGCAAGCGCCCACCTTTTGAGTCCGGCGCGTAAAGCAGCCGCTAGGCCCGAGTCTCCTCAACACAGAATAGGGCGCTTCACGAACACCAACATTCGTCCACTCCGACAAGGCCAGGATTGAGCATGTCATCTGGTTTCAACATGGCGCCTATATGCATTGCCACAATGACTGTGTTTCAGGTCCTTGTTGAGCTGGATTTGCTTGGTCCGTATAAGCTGGTCTGCGTCATAACGTCCGTGGCCTGAGATCGCGACGCGCCCGACTTTTCACGTTTACTTAGGCTCCTAGCCCAACTTGGAGGCGTTTAACATCATCTTTGATCCTATTTTGAATACTGTCCTTCGAAATTCGCCTTCGCACCAACGGTACAGATGTGCTGATGATGGTCAAATCAAGGACATGCCTACAAGGATAGCCATTCCCATGTATTATTTGAACAAGTCAGTTTGCGATGGAGATGCTATTCAGAAGTTACTGCTCACACATTACTACCTATAGGGCCGCCACAGAATGCTCTTCCATCCTGTCTACAGGATACTCGCTGCGGCCTTTCCCTTAGTCGCATTTTGTGCGGCCAGCGATACCTCCGATGAAACAAATACCTATCTTTGGGACATGGTCCCTGATTGCGCAAAAAACTGCACTAAAAACTTTATCGCATCCGAGTACACTTCGGCAGAGTGCAGCGACAAATCGAATATCAAGTGTTTGTGTCGCTCGGAAACATCCAGCAATCTTACCATTGGGGAAGGAGCGCTGAGTTGTGTATATGCTTTATGCACAAAGGAAATTAAAAAAAGTACCAATGTCTATCATATTTGCGATTCGGTGTCCGGGGCTCTGGCAGAGACGCATGCCACTCTCACTGCAACTACATTTGCTGGTGTGTCGACTACGACGACAAAGGTGACGACAACAAGTTCAATGACGACGATACCCACGACGGAGTCTAGTAAAAAATCGGCGACATTCATTTCCACAAGCTCAACTTCGACATCTGACGAAGCGGCGTTGATTACGTCTTACCACCCATCGACCTCTGCGTCCGAAATATTGCCCTCTACTAGCTCTGATACGTCCACCACAGCACCCACAAATTCGTCGATCGCTGCAACCGGTAAAGATGACAGCCATGGCGTCACTTCAGCTACAGTCATCGGGGTGTCCGTTGCATCTGGCGTGGCTGGCTGCTTCATCATAGGAGCAGCCGTATTCTTTGGTGTGAGGAAATGGAGGAAGAAGAACCAGATGGATTTCGAAATTGGAGGAGATATGTCCGAGCCTTCTAATTTCTCCGAGCCATCATACTCGCGAGGGCCTTCGCCAGATCTGAATCCAGGATCGTCAGAGCTGACCGCCATGCGAAGTCCCCAGGAGATGTCCCAACTGTCGCAGCCACCGCGTGCTTTTCAGTTTACATCATATTCTCCAAAGTCTACAGCGCCAGGAATTCGCCTGGTAGAAACACCACGAGACGAACAAAATCAGCGAATAGGCTACGCAATTACCTCAGAGTCGGACTGGGAGGGCTCTCCTAGGACAGTGGATTCGCAACATACCTTAGCAGAGCTGCTGCCGATTCAAACTGCTAGTCTATACCCAAGGCCACTGAGACTGTGGTATCGACCGCCTAGTTCAGGGACTGTATTTGAAGAGGATGACAACCATCTCATGGCAGAAAAAAGCTTACCTCCTCTACCCAGTACGAGGAAGAATCCGAAAACAAGATCACCGCCGGTGATACTGGGTCTACCAGCGAATCCTCGAGCTGCAAAAGAGGGATTCCCGGCATCGAAGTTCAGGCGTGTCCAGACCCAACAATTAAGCTCGACACAATCGCAAACACCTCGTGAAAAACCAGCAGGCCCTCGCACCTTAGGACCGCCATTCACCGCCACCCATTCCCGCAGATCAATGATCTCAAACAGCAGCAGTGGACAGAACGACAGCTCCGGAGTATCAGACCACGCATTCAACACCTACCTCACAACAACACCTGGCACGACCGCACCAGGCCGCATCCTCAGCGGCATACTCGAAGGAAACCCCCATCCACCCAAACCACCATCACAATCCTTAGCTCAAGCACCAGACATCGTATCTCGACCACGGATTGTCCGCGCAGCAGACATCAAGCGCATCCCGCCTGGCGAGCGTCCACCCAGCGAGATCCTCGCCCCATACTGCCCCGAAGATTTCTGGCTAGAACGTGGTCGGGGAAATGCGCCCTCTCGCTCCGTTTCCACTGAACTTCCATACCCGTCGGAGACCTTTCCGGGTATGGTTTTATATCCAAACAGCCCGAAGAAACGACCCGAGGATGCTCCCAAGAGAATATCACCTACAAGCAGGAATCTAACTCCTTCGAGAAGAGGGGAAGACTTGTGTCTTAGCGTGGATTAGACTTTTGTGTTTCTTTGTTTGTAATTTTGGCTTTTCTTTCTTGTGGATCTAGTTGCAGCGGGCTGCTTCTGTACATTATGGTGAGATTCTGGTATGATAAACGCGAAAATCAGTTGTATAGATATCAAATTAGTACATACCCTGACAGTTACACTTCGTGAGCCTATCAAGAATTAGCAAACCGAAAATTTCGGTAAATCTTTACGGCAACGGCGATCGAGTAAGCGTGATTTTGATTCGTAGATATAAGCAAAGGAGGCGCCTAAGGCGTGATGGATTCGCAGGAACCGACACGTCCCAAAGTGATGGCCCCAAACAACTTTTCTCTCCATATGGAGTACCCTCTGTTGGATTATGAGGGCCAGGTGACCTGCATCTCTTAACTAGTTCTCTCTCTTCCCTTCCACTCCTCTCAGAATACAGATAAATGCTCTGCACTGTCTATTTCATCTTCTTCTAACCGGCAATAACGCATGATGAAGGCCTACCGCCGACACTTTCAGAATATGCAAAATCGAAGATCTGCCACAAGAGATATGGGATACGATCATCAAATCTACTGGTCTTAATGGAGAGAAAACGTAAGACCAACTATTTGAAATTAATACAGGAGTCGGGTCTTTAGCTGAGACGTACGAATTAATAGATATTAGATGCGCGGGAGTCTAAGCTGACTATCTAATGAAGCTTTTCCCATTGGCAAAACCCCTGCTATCATCCACCGGAAATTAATTGATGACATCCTTTGCCTCCTGCAAGATATGATCAGTCTCCAAAGCCTTATTCATCGTCCGACCTGCGACGAGCGGCGTAACCAAAAGGCCAAGGGCCCCAATACCAGTCATCACTTCAAAGATTGAGTCTAAACCATACACATACGCGCTCAAAACACCTTCGTGCAATGAAGATCCAACAGACAGAGTCTTCAGGGTAGTAATATAACCTTCTGCATTATGCGCGATAGAGGTAGGAAGTCCCAATTCGCTTAATTTTGTCGCCATGAAATTCTGCAGCACTGTCGAGCCAATGATCACACCGATGGCGAAACCCAGGGTGCGGAAGAAAGTGTACATCGAAGCAGCGTATGCCACATCCTTGGCTGGTGCACAGGCCTGAGCGGCAACTAACATCGCATTGAGAAGAACTCCGTGACCGAAGCCCACGAAGGCAAAAATGAAGATCCAAGAGGCTGTACTGGTATGCTTGTGCAGGATGATGGTCACGCCAGTAGCTGCGATGGTAGCCACCCAGCCGAGCCAAAGAGCCCAGCGATATCGTCCTGTTTTGGATATGATGAAGGCAATCACTATGCTGGTAGGCATGAGGGCGACGGAAATGGGTAAAAGACCAACGCCGGTCATGAGTCCAGATTCGGACTTGATGGCCTGTAGCCACACAGAGACATAGTACAGACACCCGTACATCTGAGAGTGAGCAAGTTAGTAAATTTGTTTACGGAAACCAAATCGAGGGAACTCACTATAGTGCCCTGGACAATGGCAGCAATGTACACAGCCAAGGAGGATCGGTCGGTAAGAATAGAAAGTCGAATAAATGGATGGCTTGTTCCGAAGAACTCCCAAAGTACCGTTGCGACGAGACCAACCACGCCGAGGCAAAGTGGGAGCAACGTCTGGTAGCTGCTCCATGAGTACTGCACCCCACCCCACGACAGACCGATCAAAAAGACGGATAAGCTCGCGATAAACAAAGCCTGACCAAACCAATCAACGGATCGAAGCTGGTTCCCACCCTTTTGAAACCGAACTGACGTGAAGAGCATCACACCTGCTACAACGGAGAGGGGGAAATTGATATAGAATACCCAGCGCCATCCCGTGGAGCGACTAGTATATTCCTCAAAGCAACCCCCGATCAAAGGTCCCAGGATGGTCCCGAATGCCATAGACACCTGGACAATAGCAGCATACTTGGGCCGTTCACGTAATGGGATCAGGTCAGTGATAATGATCATTGAAAGAGGAATAAGTCCACCCCCTCCAATACCTTGAATTACACGACCGGCCAGTAGTGTAGCCATGTCGTGAGCGACGCAGCCCACGATAGACCCGATCACGAAAAGGCCCAGAGAGGCAACGAGCGCTTTTCTTCTGCCGTAAATATCCGAAAGAGAAGCCCATACAGGCTGGAAGCCAGCGCAGGGGACCAGGTACGCGCTACCCACCCAAAAAGTGCTGGTGGCATCTCCATTAAGCTCTTTGGCGATAAGCTGTTTTCACGATCAGAACTGACCAGAAGGACGACCAATCAAGTACTCACAGGAAGAATGGGTAGAAAGATGGTCATATCTAACGAAGCCATTATGCCAATGATGGATAGGCAAAAGAGGACCTGGAATACCTCTTTGCTCGCCTTCCATTCTGGCTCATCGACAGGTCGACATGCCTCTACGGCTTCGCTCTGCTTGAAGCTTTCGTCAACCTGAGTATGACTGTCCTGCGACATTGCGCCGACTGTAAAACGCCAGGCAAGAAGTCGTCGAGATGACCAAAGAGATGTGAAGGATAACGATATGGAAATCAAAGAAGTTTAATTTGGACCTAAATCAAGATTCCCTTGATGTCTCGAGCCCGCGATATGACCTATCACTTCCCCCCTGCTTCCAAGTGATCGACTCTCCCTTCGATTCGCCATGACGATCATGAACCATTGCCGATGCAGAGAATCTTAAAAGCAAAAGGTCAAAAAGCCCCAAGAAAAAAAAACACCAAATACAAGCCTACATACGAGATCAGCCCGCGTATTCCGACCGGTGGCGTTTTATGGCTGCAAGCTCACGAATTAGGTACTCCATATACACGGCTGCAATGTAGATCAATCCACTAGACATCTCTTAGCAAAATTACAATAAAACCCATACCGGTCGGGTTTACTCGGGCGATAGGGGTGAGTTAGCCGAGCTGGATGCCTTTCTTCGAGTGGGCCTACCCGTAGTCTTGGGAAGCTTCAGCTGAAAAGAAAATTCAACATGGACCCGCACACGGGCTATAGATTTGTCGGAAATCAGCATTCTTGAGAGCGTCATTAACCGATAATACTAGTAGTCAGCCGCCAAGGGACAGTTATCTTCACTCTGGCTTGGTATTGTACTAAAAAAAGCTTAAGGGGACTACACTCAAACTGAGTACTTCTTGCTATTTTTTTCTATAGATTTTTTCGTGAGGTTCATTGGGATCCATGGATACGGTTTAGAAAGACTGATCTCGGAAGAATCTACGATATGTTCGGAAGGGAATTATATTAAAAATTTGCTAGCATGGAGGACCCTCTAACCAGATTAGGAATTTACACATGGCTACTCCAATTTACTCATAGATTCCACATGGAGTACACAGCCTACTCTGTCAGCGTCTAAGATCACTAGTTAAATAGATTTACTGTCATTGATGAATGCAAGGTCTTTCCAAAGCAAGTCAACGGGGAGCATGTAAATTGGGGAGTGCTCCGAACGGGTCTCAAGATATTAGGTGTAAATACGAATTAGTTGATATTGTGTACGCAATTTTAGGTGTATATTTATGACCAATCTCCAAAAAAAAAAACGCTAGAAAGCCCATCACTCTCCCACCCATCATATTCAGCTAAATGCAGACACTCGGTTTTCCTTTGCCTATAGCATTTGCGTGCTGGTCATATTGTTCGTCAGATGATCCAGCAAAAAGCCAGATTAAATCCGCTTATATCCATGTAAAAACTTGGAATCTCACAGCTCAGTGTGAATCCAGCTCGAGTTGTTGGCCATGTTCATGAACTCAGAAGCAGGCACAGTCTTTGCCAGCGAGTCCGCCAAGAATCCCGCAAGGATACTCATACCAACCATCGTGTACCCATGGCTAAACCACCACGCACAATTTTTGTCATCCTTGAGATTGACGGACGAGATAGTAAGAGCCAGACCAACAGATGCGCAACCAACAGCAAAGACATAGTAAAGCGATCCAACCTCAGTCAACACACCAAGAGTAGCGAGCAGGCCAATCATCACAACAGACAGAATGGAGGTAACAAGCTTAGTGCAGTTCTGGTATTTGACAGCCATACCCTTAACGCCAACGTGGACATCATCCGCGACATCCTGGTGCGCGTAGATAGTGTCAAAGATCATACTCCACATCGTATTAACTAGAACAACACAAATAGACGGGGCGAGGAAGTCCTCCTCCATGGGGAGAACATGCACAGACCGGGCGCACAAAAGAGATCCTACACCAAATGTTGTTCCCAGCACGGCTTGCGGATAGTAGGTGAAGCGTTTCGCGAAAGGGTAAGCCATTGACATAATGATGATGACTCCCAGGTACTTGAACACTGCAGCCGGCATTGCGTAGACCAATGCCACCATCAGTATGGTTTGTGCAATTGCCCAGATATTTGCCTGGAAGGGTGTGACCGCGCCACGGGCGATGGGCCGCACACGACATCGCTCAACCTGCTGGTCAAAGTCTCGGTCTACGCAGTCATTCCATGTGCAGGATGCACCGCGCGCGAGCACACAACAGAGGTAGATTCTGATGGCACGGTCCACGAGAAGTGTGGTAGAGGGTTGGACAGATGCAATGGAGGTAGCGTAGGCGACACCGAAGAGGCAGGGGAGGTAAAAAGTGATGAAGCCGCCTTGTCGGTCAAGACGCATGAGTTCGGCGTATGGAACCCATGATGCTGGGAGGAAAGGGAAAATTCCAACCTCAGGCCGCTGGTATGCGGTAGGCTTGGATTCGAACTTGCCCATGGATGTGGTTATAGAATGGAAAGAAGAGATCAGAAAAATCAAAGAACCCGTAAAGGTTTATAGTATGGGATTTGGTCTCTGGAATAACCTGGGAACGGTGCAATGCAAACTAGATGCCTTTAAATCAAATCCAATCGTCAGTGGTACCAGTCACCCGTGCATAGACCCATTCATCAATCCTGATCTTCCAAAGCTAAGTCCTCAATACCTTGCATCTAGGACCCAATCGTGGGAAAGGTATACTTCACGGCCCCGCCGATGAACAGTCCGTAGGAAGGTACTCCGTATCGTTGACCAAACTATCAAAACAAATATTTTCCAGTGGATACAGATGGACACACGGCATGTCTCCACCCAAGATCCACTATAAATTACACAAAAATGAAATAAACAATATATCTAGATTTCTGGATTTTGATTGGCACATGAAGATCTTCCCATTTTGCGAAGTTTGTTTTGGTACAGATCTGCACACGTTGGCATATTTCCATTTTTTGCTTTTTATTGGCAAACAACTCCTCCTGCTTAAATACCCAACAATTACAGTCGGAAAAGGTCACATTACAGCAATCATGAAAGTCATCATTGTGGGGGCGGGTTTAGGAGGTCTGGCCTGCGCCATCGCCTGTTGCCGTGAGGGAATTGACGTCGTCGTACTCGAAAAGTCCCCTGAAGTTTGCGAGATTGGCGCGGGTATTCAGATCCCCCCTAATGGCGGCCGCATTATGCGGGAGCTTGGAGTCTTGCCCAAATTACTCGAAAAGGGGTCTCAAGTTCAAGAGGTGGAGTTTCGTCGGTATGACGATGGTCATTCGCTGCGAATTATGCCTTTTGGCGACGACATTACCCATGAATATGGCGTACCGTGGTTGTATGTTTTCATTGGCAATCTGCATGTTTTTTTTTTGTATTTGCTAAGAAATATCAATCTAGAATTATTCATAGAGCTGATTACCATCAAGTTCTTCTTGAAGAGGCAATCCGACTTGGAGTCAAGTTTCAATGGGGTGCTACTGTCGTGGACATCTTGATTGATGGGCCCGAAGTCATCCTGGAGGGGGGCGAGAAACTGTCCGGCGATGTTGTAATCGGCGCTGATGGTAAGCATATCCAATCTTCTTCATGCTACTATTTTCTCATTTGGATTAGGCATCGGCTCTACCGTTAGGAAAATTCTTCTTGGTGACTCGACCTCTTTGGTCGAGACTGGTGACTTAGCCTACCGGGCGGTATTCAAGCGCGAGCAGTTAGAAGCTTTGAATGATGAAAAAGTCACGGAACTATGCCAAAAGGTTGGTGTAACAAGCTGGCTAGGACCGGAAAAACACACTATATTCTATCCAGTCCGTGGTGGAGAAGAATTTAACCTGGTTCTCCTTCGACCGGATACTTTCAGCCAAGTTTCTCATCGAGAGAAAGGAGATATCTATGAGATGCGAGAGAGTTACGCGGACTGGGATGAAACGTAAGCCAAAAAGCAACCCATGACTCTGACTGACTTTTCCGACTGACTTTTCATAGACTGCAGAAAATTATATCATGTGTGCCATCCACTGATAAATGGAAATTGTCAAATCTACCTGAGCTACTATCGTGGACAAAGGTTGGTATCGGTTCCTGTCTCGACATTCAACGCTAATCGGTTATTTAGGGCACCGTGGCTCTCCTTGGAGATGCATGCCATCCAACACTGCCATATCAAGCACAGGGAGCAGCGATGGCAGTTGAAGATGGTGCACTCATCGGCCAGCTTCTTGGTCTTTTGCAGGCCCGCTACAGCAGTCTTGGAAATGGCCCATCGATATCGGCAAACGAGTCAACCCAAAAAACGCTTGTCTCTTTACTAGAACTCTATGAGCAGATTCGAAAGAAACGTACTACACGCAGTGTGCAAGGAGCAATCATGAATCGCAAATTGTTTCATATGCCAGATGGACTTCTGGTACGCATCCGCAATTTCCTCGTGCGATACGCAGGCGTTACTCGCAAGTCTGATTGGACATGGCTATCTTCGTTCCGCCAGAGACAAATTCTTGGATACGACGTGCTGCAGGATTCTAAGAAGGTTTTTGACGCCTGGGCCACTTCACATTTTCCGGTGAAGAGCGGATAGTGTGATTACAACCCACGGCCCCCAGATTAGATTAATAGAAACATTCGACTTTCCCTCTACGGATACTTTATATGATATCAATTCATCTGCAGTAAAGTCTACATACATGTCGATCAACCTCCCAGATCTATCGGTGAGGAGTAACTCAAATATGCGTGCACTAGAGGTTACAGCAGGACTACAGCTCCATATCAACCTACAATGTATGTACATAGTCTCGGGGCTTTCATCTCACTGTCTACCATTGCAGCGCTGTTATTTGTCATATGTGCAGGAACTCGTTTTCTTGACCTCGTTGATCAGACCGAATAGTGCCATATTGCATTAATTACATGATTGAGTGGGCATTCTATACGATGGTACAGATAGTGGACCCTATGGGTCCCACATGGTACTGCTCAATACCGTAACGGGTCGCGCGTACGGAATACGGCGGCCGAAGATCTGCATTTACACGTCAGATCGTCGGATCGTTGAGTGGGCTGTCAAACGCCAGTGTGGAGTCGCTACCGAGATTCCCAGATTGGGCTGAATCTCAACCAGAAGATCCCTAGAAGATTCTCCACTTTGTTCCCAAGGGATACCACTGTGGTCAATATAGATCCGCTTTGCATAGTGGAATCTTGTGGCAGTGTCAGGTTAAATTCCTTCTCGCTTGCCTAATAGACTGTTCTTACTCTCTCCTTTCGCAGAGAAATCGAAAAATCGAATTTAATTATGGCGACCCCATCGGCAATCACTATCGGGAACTCCTTTACGGGAAAATGGATGGTAGTAAGTTCTGGCCTATCACAGACCTCGCATGAACTGTGCTAACACGATGCACAGAACAAGAAGGTTTCGCCTGGTCCAGAACCGACATTGAAGCTTGTATGTGTAGCTCCAGAGATACTAGACTGCATGTACTAAAAATCGATATGATTTAGCAAGGAGTCGGCTGGGTTCTGCGTAAGGCGGCTGCTCTGGCAGTGGTGACCCTCCATATCTCCATCTCGTCACCCTCAGCCAGCCAGTCCGATACCGCTTCTCCACAAAAATCTCATATTTCCGTCATCCAAGTCCCCACTGCAGGGCTGGGAGGGACTTCGGAGACCAGGATACTGGATTGGGACGAACGGACCCAACTGAAGGATTTCATTTTTGGTAACCGTCAATCACGGAATCGGTTTGTTACCGGTAAAGCCGGGGTCGATGGCCGGATTCTGCCCGACCTGGTCCCGGAGACGAAAATTGATAACGAGGTGATTGGTCAGATGCTGAGAGGAGAGATCCCACCCGAAGGGGACGATGGGAGTGGATTCCTGGTGGAAGGTCACGATGAAGCTGAGAATGCAGGACTGTGGATCCATAGCTTCGATTGCCAGAGTGACGGGGCCTGGACTATGGAGCAGGTAAGATTTTTAACCGAAGTGGGGCGTATGCTGCAGCTAACTGATCAAAACAGGTTTGGGGCTTTGAGATGATTAGAGGGGAGAGATATCATACGCGAAGATTTGTGGCTGCCAGCAAGGGCAATTTTGTGATGGGTCGTGTTGTTTTTTCCTATGCTGGATCTATTGAGGGGTTGGACCTGAGCTGAGGACGCACACTAATGCGAAGTGGCTGGAGCTAAGCTAAGCTCTGATAGTTCATGATAGTCAGTGGCCATCAGTGGGTCTAAAGTGCCGATCATACTTGTTTGAGGTATTGGGCGGTACGCTCGGTACGTGGCGCGACTCAGAGTCTGAGGGCGCACGCTAAGATCTCGGGATAGTGCTTGGTCTTTTGCATGAACACGGAATCTGTAGTTTAGAATCGTCATCAGTGTGGACCCAATCTTTCAACCTCCATACAGTATATGTGGTCCATTGTTTTGTATGTAACTTACGCAGTTTTAGTATCCACATGGATTATGGGTCAGAGAATCACTCAAGTATGCGGTCAGGATCTTGGAGGATGTAATGTAAATCCAGAAACTACTAGTAGTGAAGGAGATAATTTATTCTCAAGCTCATTAGCTGCTGATTACCATTTACACTTCAACTCATTGAACCTATTCTATTCACATCGAACTTCAAAAGTTAATCTTCATCATGAGAATGCCTTCTGCCCTCAGCGAGAAAAGGCTATTTCGCAAGAGATCCAGCAAAACCGCAACAGAAATTACAACCATTGAAAAGCCTGACCTTCACATCGGTCTTTCATCACCAACCGAGTCAACCCAACGTCCCTCAGAAGAAAAGACTGCCGTCGAAGATTCATCTTCATGCTCTTCCAGCCCAAGATACAATGAGATTCAACTGGACGAATCCGCAGTCCTCGCACCATGTGAATACATCCGATCTCTCCCTTCCAAGAACGTCCGCGCGATAGTCATTCAGGCCTGCAATCTGTGGTTCAAACTACCAGACAACCATGTCGCCGTCGTCATCGATATCATCTCAGACCTCCACAACGCCTCGTTGATCTTGGACGACATCCAAGACGACACCGTGCTCCGCCGAGGAAGCCCCGCCACACACTGTGTCTACGGAAATGCACAGTCCATCAACAGTGCGATATACATGCTTATGAATAACCTGGCAAGACTGGGACAACTACAACTGAAAAACTCGAACGCCATGGATGTCCTGGTAAATGGAAACATCGACCTTTCAGTCGGTCAGAGCTGGGACTTGAAATGGAAAGCCCACCTCCACTGTCCGACCGTTGAGGAATACATGGCTATGGTTGATGGCAAGACAGGAGCTATGCTTAAGTTGATCGTCCGTCTTATGCACAGCATGTCTGACCAGCGTCGGATGGATAGCGCCATGCCACTCTTTGACAATTTGGTGCTCCTACTCGGACGCTATTATCAGGTCCGCGATGACTACCAGAATCTTCAGGACGACACATACTCCGAACAGAAGGGATTCTGTGAGGATTTGGATGAGGGCAAGATTTCATATCCTGTCATCGCCTGCTGCAATGCTGATCCCACTACAAGAGATATCATTCTTGGTATTTTCCGTGAAAAACGGGATCCCAGTGTGAACCCGCTGGCCAAGAGCACCAAGGTCTTCATGTTACAGCTTATTGACCGGTCGGGGGCATTTGACAATACGTGGAACTTGTTGCAGAGCTTGGGCAAAGATACCTGGGGTGCGCTTTTGGCTCTGGAGGAAGCTACAGGGCAGTCCAGCCCTGCGCTACAACAGATGATCAAGAAGTTGATTCACACTGTGCAGCCGCCCAAGCGTTGGTAATATTTTTTATTTTTGCTTCGTTATATTGGTACGGTGCTTGGTGTTTGAGGTCGTTTTTTGGTGTTCAAAGATATCGATTAATAATCTACATTCTTCCAAATTTCTCACTCGATTCTCCTTGAATCTGCTCTTGTTACTTGACCTCGTAGATAACAGATCCGTGGCGACCATCCTACGCCATGGTATTAAATCTAGTCTGCCACTATTTCCCTACGGCGGAAGGCTCGCGTCGCGGAGATGCATCTAATCTCCTTACCCCGAACCCACTGGTTTCCGTACATAGCGTCACTCAAACATGTCAAATCTGCCCTGAAAAGTCTATATTTTCAGCTCGAATCAGGGGTTGGCAGGTCCATGATGGTTTTTCGGCGCTATTTGAGATTTATGCATCGCCCCGCAGTGAGTCGGTCCACAGAAGTCAGCCTTGAATACCGTTCTGAATACCACTAACGGCCCATCGGAACGGTACAGTGGAGATTATTATTTAGCCGTGTCTGACTGGCCAAAGAAGAAGGAGATCGGCAAGGCCCGCTTAACCTTCCATCCACATATGCCCCACAGCTCGTGTGAGCTCCTTACATACATACGCAGATTACCGAAGCTAATACATACGGATACGTGGTTTGGAGATCATCGTATCCTTGCTCCGTACATGCTTCTTTCAGTGGATCGCTATTATGTCGGAATGCCTGATAAAGGGAAATTTTCATGATACTCGATTCTCCACCTCAGCTTGTGGAAGTGCGCCACTTCGCGGGAAGCGAGTCACCCCACTTCTCTCTGGGAGGTGAGAGCTTCCCGTGGAACAGTCAGAAATATTGGATGGAAAATGATCAGGCGTGAGTGGGGGTAAGTCGCAGTGTAAACAGACCGGCGCACCCCCTATCCAATTGCAATTCCTGCGTTTAAAACTCATTGATCACCCTTTTGGTCTTCTCAGCCCCCTGTCACTGAAGCCTACATAGGTTCCTTTAATTGGATTTTGCTTGGTGTATCAGCCTAGCCACCGATCGTCAGCTAATATGGACATGGAAAAGAAGTCCCCATTCAAGGTTCTTATCGCTGGTGGGTCGGTTGCTGGCCTTACACTTGCTAATGCTCTCGCGCGTGCCAATATCGATTTTCTGGTGCTGGAAGGCCACGGTCAGATCGATGCTTCTATCGGTGGTGCTTTGACGATTGTCAGCAATGGATTGCAAATCCTTGACCAGATGGGTATATATGACGATATCCACCCACATCTTGACCCGGCAGGAGAGGTATACACATATTTGCAGGATGGACGTTTATTAGGAACTATGGATACTCCAAAGCTTATGCGAGAACGGTATGTATCTAATTGAATCATCTTATATTGATGCTGCGAGATGCTCATTGTTGATAGACACTACTACCCTGTCGCTTGGCTACCGAGAGAGCAGCTGCTAAGAATCTTGTACAACAATGTGCCCGATAAGAGCAAGGTCTTGCTGAAGAAAAAGGTCATGACCGTCGATCACTCTGACGATGGTGTTGTGGTAAAGTGCGAGGATGGTAGTGAATACGCCGGTAGTATGATTGCCGGTGCGGATGGAGTTCACAGTACGATCCGAGGGGAGATGTGGAGGCACATGGAGGAAAGCAAGAAGGGAAAGTCCAAGGCGAAGAAAGATAAGAAAGGTGCCTCTCCTGTTTCTTGTGAAACTTGTGAAAAATCAGGGCGTGGACTAACATGGTCGATAGCTATTACGGTTGAATATGCCTGCCTTCTGGGAATATCCAGCCCAACAGAGGGCCTGAACCCAGGAGAGATCCACCGAACCTGGGGTAAAGACTTCACAACATTTGTCAATGTCGGCAAGGAGGGCCAAACATTCTGGTTCATATTCACCAAGATGGACCGCAAATACCGATATCCGAACGTGCCAAAGTTGTCGAAAGAAGACCTAGACGCCAAGGCTAAGACCTTTTTGGACACACATTTGTGCCCTGGTGTCAATTTTGGAACAGTCTATGAGAATGCCACGAATTCCGCATACGTGCCGCTGCAAGAGGGTGTTTGCAAGTCTTGGAGCTGGGGTAGATTTGCCTGTTTGGGAGACGCAGTTCACAAGGTTGATTCAATTTTACCCTCCAATATAGCATCGCATGCTAATAGTAACAGGTGACACCCAACGTTGGTCAAGGCGCCAGTCTAGCCATTGAAGATGCCGCCTCGCTTGCCAATCACATCGTAGAGATGACGAAGGACAATGGAGACTTGACATTGGGCGATATCGACGCCTCCCTCACGCAGTGGGGCGCTGATTTAAGGCCAAGAGCAAAGACTATTTGTGACGGAGGCGCCATGTTCACGAGGTTAGAAGCGCTAGCAAATTGGCCGCTTAAGCTCGTTGCATTGTATGTTTCACCTCATCTTGGAGGTGTTTTCGCAGATATTGTCAGCTCTGCTCATATCTCAGCACCCACCTTGAATTTCCTGCCTTTGACGGAGAGGGGCGAAGATGATTCTCTGACGGATGAAAAAGCGATGGCCGGTAAGGGGACGAAGAAAGAATTGAAGTTGAGGTCTTATGTTCGGGCATTCTGGGCCGTGAATCTGAAAATTAAATGAGGCCCTCGTTGCTGTATTGCTCCCAAGAGAGATATTGCTTTAGTCATATATAATTCTTCACCTAATCATAATCCTCCTATTTGAGGTTTCCGAAGCCTATCTGTCTTCCTTCCACTCATTCATTTTCAACTCTCTCACTTCACTTCCAGCGCAGTTTCTGGCTTGAACCGTTCTTTCTCCTACCTGGATTACAACCATTTGCCGGGTCAGTAATATCCATCTTGTCTCTCCCAGTCTTTGGAGAGCAAACCTACCGATTTAGTATCATCAAGAAAATTTTAAACCTTTCAAGTCATATAGGTTCTTAAATGAACTCATCTTTCGGAATTTTGAGAACTTCAGCGGTAGCATTGATCATGTTATGTAGGATTCACAAGATGCTCGAAGAATCATGGACTGAAAAGATGGGTCAGCATTTAGAGTTTCACCAAAGGTGTGGTTGATAACCAATTAGATCAATGGATCTGATCAGATAACACATCGAATCAAGTGCATGTGCGTGGCACTATTGATAACATGAGAGTACACGCATAATACTTAATTGTCTGCCTTTATTTGATCAGTTGAAAATCCTGCTTCTCTAAGTATCTCAATGTGAGAATAAATGTGTAGCACGTTCATGGTTCTCATCTTGAAGTATATGCTGCTAGTTTATTGCTCCAGGCAATCAAGGGAAGTAACTTCATCGCTATGTTCCTTGCACATGTCCAAAATTCTCCAGAGTTCTCATTCATGCATCAATGTATCTCCAAGCATCCTCGTGACAATATTTAACATATAAAGGCTAAAGCAATTTTCTACTCCGGTGAGCCACAGGTGAAGACACCATGCACAGTGCCAGCATCATATTTGCTGATCTGTAAAAAGATTAATTTCATTCAAATTATTAAGCACGGCCAGGATAAAACTTACAATATCAGCAATACTAGCGTATGTTCCCGCGGCCAGAGTTACGATTCCGATGATGAAAACAAAGAGGTTGACCACCCCAAGTATGATGTTTTTGGGCTCTCTCCAGCTGCCCTTCTTAAGGAGCAGGACCCACATCATCGGTGGAAAGTAGAAGGTGAACCCAGAAATGAAGAGCGACGATGAAATCGAAAGCAGGTCATTGAAGAAGGGAATCACTTCAGCAATAATGAAAGCAATAACCGTACCAGCGGCGATAACCGCCAGCCACGTTATCCAGCCCATTGGTGTGTTGATAAACCGGAGTTGAGAGTTGGCGAAAATACGGCCATGAACAAGACGACCGAAAACGACTGTGTTTATGGAGCCACTGATGAAAATCACTGGCAATGCAATACCAAATGCAACACGCTTCAGCAGACTACCCGCTGATAGCAGGGCAGGGCTCTGAACATCCTGGCCGACGAAAGCGTAGATCAGAGCGCCGGTAAGGGTATAGATAACAATTTCGATGATACCCAAGGCCCAGATAGACTTAACATAGTCCCGGGGTGTGTGCATTTCGTCCATAAAGGAGAACTGGCAGAGCGCGAAGCTATAGGCGAAAACTATATTTGTCACCGAGACAAAGGCTTCATAGAATGAGATTCCTTCCTTGGGCCATGCCGACCAATTCACGGCCGCAAGTCCGCCAGGAGCATTGCTTGCATCCACGCCAGTGGCAATGATGGTAATACCAATGGCGATGATGATAGATGCAAAGTCGATATAGCCTAGCACGGCCATTTCGGTGAAGCTAGGAGGAACGGCGAGTAGGAGCAGGATCACCGCAGAGACGACTCCGAATACCACTGAACACACATCACTTTTGGTAATATTCAGGAATGCAATTGTACCAGTCAGACAGTGAGATCCAGTAAGGAAAAGCAATTGAACGGCCAGCATTAGATTAATTAATTCGAAGCCAAAGCGAGGACATCCTAAACGTGCACCCATCAATCGACCCACATCGGCATAGTGTGCAACCTCAGGGAACGCCAGCTTGACCTTTCCAATAATCCAACTGGTATAGATCGCGACCAGACCAAGGCCGACTGTGCAGATCACACCAGCAACCATGCCAAGAGTCGCAAAGGTGGAGGGAATAGACAAGCTCCCCAACGCAATCGCTTCAACTATAAGCACAACCGTGAGGCGCTTCCAGCCCAGACGACTGAACTTCTGAATACCACTCTCGTAAATTTGCCTGTCCGCCTCATTCATGTATCCAACCTTAATATCTCTCTCTTCGAAGGGCTCGGTGGGTTGCATTTTTTCTTCTTCGTCGCGACTCACTTCGCGATTCTCGTCACGAGCAGTATCATTATCGGCACGACCATCGTGGCCATGAGAGATCTCGTCGTGATCCATAATGTCGGAGAGGAGCGTAAAAGGGAGAATGAAGAAAAAGGTGGGCGAATCTTCAAACAATCGCTAGTGCCAACAAATTTCACACAGCAACCCAGCGCTTATAAACGGACAATCTCGGACAGAGTCCGGCCCACTGGTATCTCCAATATGTCTTGGCTTGGAACCTAGCCTCCACTTATATTATCGAACCAGCAAGCGGATATTGGTAAACCGCACTCCTATGGTGTTTTGGAAGCGGGGAAACGCAGACCAGATCGGATATGGGGAAAATCAGGTACATTTTACCTTTGTGCAAGGGGTCATCACGTAAAAAAAAAGTGTAGGGTCATCAAAAAAGTGGACCATGACCGCATATGGTGTTGAAACATGACCGCGGCCCTATAACTGGGTTGACCCACTTTTCCCATTAGGGTTTTAGGGTTTGAGCTTTCGGTGAGAAAACGTAATGCTCCCGAGAATTCTCCAACCCAGTTCCGATAATCGAGTTATCGAGTGCGCTGATTTGCTAATTGGCAATATAGTGGGGATCCATATGAGCCTCTGATTCATTTGTGTGGCCGAAGATTTTGAAGTAAATCGGGGCGCAGGTTGTATCCAACCTGAAGTTTGCCCGCAAGGCTTAACCAACAGAGTTGTACCTGGGGAAGGTCGATCTGGAGATTCAATGGCGGGGACATTGGTTTCTTGTACCTAAGAGAATCCACCTGATGCAGTTCCGTGTATGTTGACCTCACAACTGGGCTTCAGAGGAAATGATAGTGCGGGGTTTGGCTTCAGGGCGAGTAAACAATGATGTTATTCCGGCTAATAGACGGGTTCCTCGAACAATATGATGATTCGGTGTCTGACCTTTCTCTCGAAGTCCCCTGCTTCGACTTGGCGTCAGACCATGTACTCCCACAGCCCTGGGGGTAGCGTCTGGCAGCAAAGCGACCGTGTGAAACTTTCACGGTATCTTTCAGGTCGCAAGGTTATCTATGAAATATGATGAGAGGAATTGGAATGCTGATGCCTGGTACTTGATTCACATGTGCATTCTCTCCCTTCTGTTTATGCATAGAAGTAAAAGGACTTGGCAAGGGATGGTAGTGGTACAGACCAAAAACTATATCCGGACACCCCAAGCACTTCTCTCATCGACATTGTGCAATCCAAGCACATTCTAAGTTCAGCCTCGAGGCATACATATTGAGCTGACTGTGTGAGCATTGGCGTCAGTTCTTTTGATGAGAACCAAGATCGATGTTCAGCTCTTATCTAAAGATTTGAATATGAAGAGATATTCACAAGGTCAAGTCTCAAGTGGCTTCTGACGTCTTCGGTTCGGAAATAACTTCATTCTTTCCAGCCGCATGAGTGTTCCGCACCTCCCGAGTCGCTCTGGATTTACCACGCATGACCACGCTTGCGCTTACGGCAGAATGAGCGTAACACATTCCGTGCCGCTCGAACGATTGTTCATGCGGTTGGCCGGAGCAATTATCGGGTCCAGATCACTGACGGTCGAAAAGCCACGTTCGTCATCCCGAGGAACTAGGCTCGCCCATATCAATTATAACCTGTAGAGACTAATCCCGATTTGGGGAAGTGCACAGTTATGCAGCAGTACCACATGTCATTGGCGCCACATGCTGACTTCCACTGGCTTTACCACCGATCTTCATTTCGATGCTCCGGTTGCGGCTTGTCCTTCGCCGTTTGAAAGATGATTGGTGCACAGACCATGGATCCATCAGGCTAGATCGAGTCGGGTTAGATCGCTGAGTCAGCAAGGGAATTCCATGACGTCAGAAATTCCAATTTCATGGTAATGCAAGATGATTTGGTCACTTACCTGAGCCTGGAAAGCATAGAGAGCCGTGGGATACCCTTCCAAGATACTGTGAGGTCAAAGGATGGTTAGGCAAATGAAAAATATGATTAGTTGTCGCAAGGGCTCCACCAGCTCCTGGCTTTCATATCGACGCCACGAACCAATCTTTCGATGGTACTCCATGTGGCTGGTTCCGATTTTTGAAATGAACATAGCCATACATGTAGGATGTCTTACACGGTTGAATGGTGATAATGAGCAATATTTGAGAGTCTGACCGAGGCCCTACTCCATGAAATTCTTCCCGCGATTCTAACGGCCCAGTCATGAATGGCGAACGGGCCTGGGAGCACCCCACTCCTTCAATTGAGAGTGTTTACATCTGTTTCCTTACGGATGGATCAATCGGCGTCCTCGAAGTGTTTCCGGGTTGTTTCATTCCGGCGCCAGGGATAGAGGTGCGTTGATCCATAGGAATAGTCTTCTATTTCTCCGGCACATTCTAGAGTCATGTCCGCACAGCCAGTCAGAACTGAAATTGGTAAAAGCCAGGCTATGACGAAGGTTGATTGAGTTCAAGGCAATATGTGGGTCCGGAGGCTTACAGGGAAGAAAGATTCCTGTTGCCAACGATATATAAACGGCCCAAGTCCCCCTCTATGTGCCATCTGTCTAACTCACTTTGACAAAATTTGCGCAAATTCTCGTTTCCCACTGCAGGCTGCACATCTCACATCATAAATTGCAAGGCAGCTCTTACACTTAGCGGCAACCCCCGGAAAGATTTCTCGGATTTATCGCGGGGTATCGGTGATCTCACAGTTCCAGACACGCGTTTTGACCCACTCTCTTGCCGTCTACAGTCCACAATGACGACCAGTAACGGGCTCGGTTCCCAGCAGACCTGCATTTCTAGCGAAGACGCCGATCGGCCCGACTTTTGCAGTGGATCCCATGTCGCCGTTCCTGAAAACCTGATGCCCTCTAGTGGGGATGGTGACTTCATCTCTTCGGTCGAGATGAATAAAGTCCAAGAGGAAGAAGTTACCTCTTCCGAAGAGGAGAGTCTTCAAACAGACACCCCCCTTTCTACCCCCCCAATGATCACCAGCGACGACTTTGCCCTAGCCTTCGATATCGATGGCGTCCTCCTGCGAGGTCACCAGCCCATCCCGGAGGCTGTGGAGGCTATGAAATATATCAATGGCGAAAATCCATTCGGAATGAGAGTGTAGGTCCCCTCAATTTCATTGCATTAACGTCTCCTTCTCTTATCTTCACTGAAATTCTGACAATATTTTCAAATAGTCCATTTATTTTCCTAACCAATGGCGGCGGAAAAAGCGAGCAAGAACGATGCGAGGATCTCAGTCGTCAACTCGAGACGGTAATCCATCCTGGTCAATTCATATGCGGCCATACTCCCATGCGCGAGATGGCGGAGAAATACTCTACCGTTCTGGTCGTGGGTGGCGAGGGCGAAAAGTGCCGTCTAGTGGCAGAGGCATATGGTTTCAAGAACGTCATTACACCGGGCGATATAATTAAGACACGACAAGACACCACTCCCTTCCGAAAGTTGACGGAGGAGGAATGGAACAATTCGAAATTCTTGGATTTGCAAACTCTTCAAATCGAGGCTATCTTCGTGTTTGCTGATAGTCGTGACTGGGCTGGGGATCAGCAAATCATTTTGGATGTCACCATGTCAAAGAATGGGTGTCTGGCCACACGGTCGGAAACCTTCGACGACGGGCCTCCAGTCTATTTCTCCCATAACGACGTCGTATGGTCCACCTCTCACGATTATTCCCGCATTGGAATGGGTGCACTTCGCGCCTCGCTTGAGGCTCTCTACAAGGCCGTCACCGGGAAAGACCTCAAGAGCATTGCGTTTGGCAAGCCACAAATCAGCACATTCAAGTTCGCCACACGTCTACTACAAGAATGGCGCAGTGAGACCCATGGCATTGACAAGCCTCCGTCTACTGTGTACTTTTTCGGTGATACTCCGGAATCCGATGTGCGCGGAACGAACGAGTACAATGAAGTTGCCGAGAACGAATGGTTTTCCGTCCTTGTGGAAACCGGCGTCTACCAGGGTGGCCTGGGCGCTGTTCCTCGCTTCCAACCCAAGAAGATTTGCGCCAACGTCTTTGAAGGCGTGAAATTTGCGATTGAGCGTGAGCACGAGAAACAGCTCAATGGCGGCTGTTACACCGATGACTTGTCGGATGACAGTAAAGGCGGAGTGCAAAATTGAGGCAATCTACTTTACCAACACTCACTATCTGGCTGAGCCAGTCTTCCTGTTCAAACCAACATAAATTCTATCCGATGACTGTGTTTTTGGCGGTATATGTCAACATGATTCCCAATTTACGATCAACATGCCATTCGTCGCTTCTGCTTTCTTTGCAACTCCTGGCGCATTGTTCTACCCATTTTGCCCATCTTGATTATCACTGGTACGAGTTACATCACGAACGATATTTTAAATCATAGAGAATTCTTAGTCTGATTTCCGGTATATCCTCTGTAGGCCCTTAAATATGATACGCCACTGTTACTGAACTATAACCACACACTAACTTCACCCATAAACAGAGCAAATACTCCTAGAAAAGTGTGATTCGGCGAATTTCCCTCTATTTGCATTTGACTAGTACACCCGGGCATGTAAGCGGATGTTTCACATTGGAAAGCTAAGCCTAAAGGGGTTTCTTAGATGCTTTTCTGTGGGGCAATCTAATCCTCATCCTCCCAGCCTGCCAGGCTCCCTCGTTACTGAAACATCTACAAAACCACCTTGCATCTCTCTTTCGCTGTCGCTCTTATTAATTTCGTAAGATCATGGTATTTCTACCAAATAATTCAAGGCTTCTCCTCGTGCTATTCGCCCTGGGAGCTGCCGCATGTATATACCTCAGGCGGTTCTTCACCCACCGCCAGATTGCCCGCGCCCACGGCTGCAAAACAGTGGCGAACGCATGTAACAAGGATCCATTTCTGGGGCTCGATACTATACGCTGGACTGCCCGCGCCTATAGGGAACACAAATTGTTAGAAAGGACCGCCGAGCTCTTCCGGATCCACGGCAACACATTCACAAAAAAGGTGCTACATACATCTGCAATCGTGACCGTGGAACCAGAAAACATCAAGACGATCCTATCACTCAAATTCAATGATTACGGAATTGGTTTTCGACTTGAACCGTTCAAGGCACTTTTAGGGAAAGGCATCTTCGACACTGACGGCGATCACTGGGCCGCATCGCGCGCCCTGGTCCGACCTAGTTTTACGCGTGACCAGATAGCTGACTTGACCTCGCTGGAGAATTTGATCCAGGATCTCTTTAAACTACTTCCTCGCGATGGAAAGACAATCGTCGACTTGCAGGAGCTCTTTTTCCGATACACCATTGATTCCGCGACCGAGTTTCTGTTCGGAGAATCGGTTGGCACTCTGAAAAAGGCTCAGTTGGAACGTGAATTTGCTCAGGCATTCCAGTATGCTCAGAATGCAATCATAACACGAGCCACGCTGGGTCCATTGAAAATCTTTCATAGTGATCCAAAAGCCGACGAGGCCAATCGTACCTGCCGGGAATTTGTCCAGCGGTTCGTTGATGAGGCGTTCCGCGCTGTTGAGACCAAAAAAGACACCGAAGAAGGTGAAGCGAGTTCACTACAACACAAACATGTCTTCGCACATGAATTGGCCTCACGGACATCTGATAGAACTCGTGTTCTGGATGAGCTGATGAATCTCCTCATAGCGGGTCGCGATACTACTGCTAGTCTACTCAGCAATTTGTTCTTCATGCTTGCTAAGAATCCAGCAATATGGGAGAAATTGCGACTGGAAGTTGCTTTTCTACAGGGTCGGGCGCCAAGTTACGAGGAGCTTCGCAGCCTCAAATACTTACATTGCTGTATGAATGAATGTAAGCAGGACTATTTATTCCCAGGCACCCTTCAACCTTCATCTAATTGACTTTCTTAGCATTACGTTTACACCCAGTTGTGCCACGTAATGAAAGAGAGGCAGTACGAGACACCATACTACCACTCGGAGGAGGTAAAGATGGTCTCTCGCCGGTCTTCGTGCCCAAAGGAACGATAGTTGGATACTGCATATACGCAATGCATCGACGGCAAGACATATACGGAGACGATGCGGAAGAATTCTGTCCAGAACGCTGGGAGGGTGGAAAACTGCAACCTCGCTGGGGCTATCTGCCTTTTAATGGTGGCCCGCGAATCTGTATAGGCCAGCGTTACGCTTTGACCGAGGCCGCCTACGTCATTGCTCGAATGGCACAGGAGTTTAAGGTGTTGGTAAGTAGGGATACAGGAGTATGGGAGGAATCTGTGGCCTTGACTTTGTGCTCCAGGAACGGAGTAAAGGTATCCCTTACACCTGCTTGAGTGGAATGAAAGCACTCAGCCAATTATACATACCTTAGTTACTGTTAATGTAGACCTTGTTGGTATTCTGTCTGGAGCTCCCCCGGACCCGGGGCCACGGGGTAACTCAGGATACCCGTTAACCCAGATTCCCAAATAAGTTTTCTGTCTAGATATTACCAAATTTCCGGACAGGACTGCAACCCAAATATTCCCTTTTTAATGACGTCTCAGCCACGCTTTATTATTCTGTAATGCGGGGCTCTTGGATGAGTAGATCAGGCAAAGCCGGGCAGGACCGGGCGTAAAATAGTTAAATTAGGTCGAATATGGTTTGCGGGCAAGTCCATGTCTATGGAAAGGGCGGGAACCAATCCGGGGCAGTAGACGTCGGATTAGAGCTAGCCTAGAGGAGCGTTTTATCCACACGTGATGTATCTATGCAATATCTTCAAGTTAATTCAAATTTTGCTCAAAAGCCGATTATCTCTTAATGTCGATTGATAAGTTGCTACTAGAGTATTGGTCAACAATTTCTTTGCCATGCCTTTATGCCTGATAGTTCAGGCGTGATTTCCGCCCTTCAATTGACATGCCCCACTGGGCGGGAGAAGTCCCCGATTCCCATTTTCTTCTCTCCTTATAAGCGAATATCAGTTATATATCCTGGCAAAACTTCTATTAGAAGATATGGTATGTAAATTTTTAGAACTTCGTGTTAGAACAATTGCTAATTGAGTTCAGGCGATCCCTACAGAAGCAGTATACCTGCACGACGCCTCTCTGAGAACTCTGAGAACGGAGATTGTGTCATATCAAACTATCTCATCACTTTCAGACGATGAACGAGACCTAGCAAAAAATGTCGGCTCGGACGAATTAGCGATGACAATGCGTCAGACCATCCTGTACCCACAGGGAGGCGGACAGCTCAGTGACACGGGCACCATCGCAGTCGAGAACCAGGAGCCTAGCTTCACGGTATCTCTGGTCCGCAAGACACCAGACGGTACCATCATTCACTTCGGAAAGCCCAGCAATGGAGATCCATCTGCTTTTGTAAAGGGCCAGACTGTTGTGCAGACAGTCGACGGTGCCAAACGAGACTACCATTCCCGACTGCATACGGCCGGCCATATCATCGGTGTGGCGATGGAGATTCTCATGCCACATATGAAAGAGATCAAAGCCAATCATACACCTAAAGAGGCGGGAATGGAATATGAGGGATTGCTGTATAATGAACACAAGCCGGTGATTCAGGCAAAGATTGATGAGCTTGTTCAGCAGGACTTACCTGTTACTATCTCGTGGATGGATGCTGGCACCGTTGTTGATGATCGTGCTAAACCGGGAGATGGTCCTGTTCGCATTGTCAGTATTGGTGGGCTTGATCAGAGTCCTTGTGGTGGTACTCATGTCCAGCGTACTGGTCTGGTTGGCTCGATCAGTATACGCAAGATCACCAGAAAAAGTGGGATTAGTCGCATCTCATACGAAGTTAAATAGAAACTGGCAGAAGGACTCCATTTGTCTTTAGCAATCCTCATCCTTTTTCTTCTTTCGTCACTTCTACAACGGATGTTTAGCATAAATGATTTGAGAAGATCATGGAGACTCATGATACCAACTCCAACTTTCAAATATTGCTCTATAATCTCACTGTTCCTATTCTCAAGTGAAATGGACTGCAATCTCGAGGCAAAGAAACCAAGGAAGAAGAAAGATAATGAGAAAGTAAAAGAGGGAAGCAAAAGATAAGGACAAAGCAAAGGTTCTTCTGTGCGCTAGCACTGATTCAGCGATCAGGCAGCGCCATGGTTCGGATAGGCAATGCCTTCTGTCTTTCAACACATTGGGTGACCTGGACTCAGTGGGCATCGCCTGCTTAATGTATGCAATGGCAACACGATTCTGGTCTGTGAAGCAGTATGATGCGACTCTGGGGAAATTGGCCTAATCTAGTATCCTCTGGATGGTTAGGAGAAGAGAAAGGCTATGTCCTCAGTGATTTCTCTAGTATGTGGACGAAAGATCCACCAGCAGTTCCGTTTTCCAGAATTAGAACAGAGTTCCTTAATAGGATGTACTTCGTAATTGTATTAGGTTGTGCACATCATTGACAGTAAAGCACCTTGGCCCCAAAATGCAGAACAAAGAAAAAGTGATCTGCAGCTGAAAGAAAGTGGCCCCCAAATGGATTTGCAACTACCCACATCTGTTTTCCCCTCATATTTTCCCTTGAAATTTGTGAGATCTCACAGGTATCTTACAAATTTCGAAGAACCTTACCCGGGAAGTGGAGTCTTCACTTTGAAGTCTCTCCACTTTGAACTCGTAAATGTTTCAAAAAGCCCAAATAGATGTTATCTGTTCGTATTCTGGCAACAGGGCGCCTTCAAAGTTCTTCCATTTTCAATAGACTCCAAAGCTTATTCAGTCTTCTTTGTCCTCCCGTATCGTACAAAGGGTTTTCGGAACTGTGCTGGTCATGTATGACGTGACCTAGCCGGGTGTCAGCGATCTGGTGTATAGAGGCTTATGCTCCTTCTCTCCTCTATACCGCACTACAACCTATACATTTCGTGTATCTTCTTATGTTTTTCCTTGGCTGACAAGATTATCCTTCATCTCGTATGACATGAAATTGCTGTCAAGGAAATTTCAGCCTTATTTATTTGATGACATCTACGAATGTTTTAAATGATTGAATTCCACTAGTAGGGACAGAGTACTAGGGAGAAGGTGAAGAAAAAAGCGAAGAAAATGTCCGGTAGAACCAAGTTAAGAGCTTTGAAACTGAACAAAAAGAATAGTATAATTGCTGCTATCTCAGAGACATGCTATTGGAAAAAGGTAGACAGGGGCTAAATAAGGTACAGATTGCTCTCAACCACGCAGCCTGTACTATTTTTAACTCATTCGTCTTCCTACTCTACCTCGACAATTGCCAAAGCCGATCCAGATGGGGTCCAGCATCGAATAGAGCCAAGTTCTGGGCTTGCCTCTTGGAATAAAGCTTGCCACTCCTCCTCGTCACGTAGTCGAGACTTATTTAAGGAAAGCATCATGATATCCATCCATCGAATATAGCGCTCCACTGATAGTGGTAGTAATCCACTCTCAGGGCATAAGCTCTCATTTAACACAATCTTCGCTCCTTTCTTTAGAGCAGGTACCAATGCTTCATAATTTTCACCACATAGCGGTCAGGCCTATCATGCATAACCCATCGAAAGACATAGATATTGGCTTGAAGCGGCTGTGGGTTGAAAAAGTCATGGGCCTGGAACTTAAGCTTTGTATCCTCGACCTCATTTTTTAAGTCCAACAGACTGCATTGCTTCGGCCTTTTGTATAACCTCTGGGAGGTCTTGGACAATGACCTGGATTTTAGAGTTTGCGCTTGCGATTAATCGCTTAACATGGCCAACGTTACCACCGACGTCAACTACAATAGCCCCCGGCGCTAGAGATTCCCATCGATACCCGGCAATCAGAGACTTAGGCGAACACTCTGGTACTGGATCTTGGTAGTATTTCAATGCCTCTGCAAATTTCTTTGCTTTGGCAGGCCTAGCACCAAGGTATTCGAAGAGAGTTTTGTTTGTACCATGAGACAAGGAAAATCCCTTTTCATTTTGTTAATCAATGATCCTCAAGTCTCTAGGAGTTGGGCGTGCAATGCCTACTGTTTGGCTAGGCTCATGCCCTTAACCTTTTCCATCACATCAACTGCCTGTGTTATTTATTCACCATTAGCTTCAGACGCCTCAGCTTTGCCTTGTTGGGAACAAGCCACGTACCTGCCCAAATGAGCCATAGAACTCATCAAATTGACCCACGTCAGCATGAGTCAGATGATCTTGCGGCAGTATCCGCGAGTTGGAGTGAGAGACAAAACCCTTTCGTTTTTGGGGGAACAATCTATGGTGAACAATGGCAAAGCGAATGATCTGTTTCAATTCAAACACATGAACACCGCAAGCCTTGGAGAGAGCTTCATACGAGATCTCCCCGACGATGGGCAGATGACTAGCAATGTTGAACCGAGATACAGCCTGCAAGCTGATTCCACTTCACTAGATTCAGATATCGTGAGTGATAATATTTGTGAAAAGATCTCTGGTAGAGATTCGACTAACGAATGGCTGTAAGCAATGCATCGGCCCTTGAAGACGGTCAATTAGCTTCATGCAGGAGCTTATGGCGGTCAACTTTGCATAGTTCGCTTCTTCAGAATCAATAGACAGTCGCCCTGGAGCATCGACATTAAAGAGAACATGTGTGGCTCGTGGTCTCTGGCATATTGATCTAAACCCTTTGTAGATTGGGAGATAATAGATGCGAGACAACTAATCTGAGTCCATGATTCGTGTTGGTAGATTTTGTGGTCTTTGTGATATTTGCCCTATTGTTTCAATGAAGGAAAAGAAAAGGTCCCAATTGCAATGTGGGACCAACAACAGATCCTGGCCTTTCTCCTTCCCCTTGTTCTACATCTTTTGGAGAGCTCCAGGATCATGTCACCATGTGTAGCGCTCTTCTACCCGTTTAGGCTTGAATCCACGTTGGGGGCTATTTCCCCCTCTCTCTCCTTACTCCATCCCTCTAGTAATGCAGAAGAGTGGGGCGGGCCTGTAAATTAGTAGTTAGTATAACCGAGGCTGCGCTGACATGGCCCCGCAGTTCGATTGGTTTGATAGCTAGTGGCGCGTTTCCAGTATCCTAGTTCACATGTACTTTATGCGCCACTAGATAAATTCTTTTAGGCAAGAGCTTTTCCCTGTGAGTTGGCCAACATCCAGTGGGGTCTATGTCGGTCCTTTTGTCATACAAGAAACGAAATTCGGACATCCCCATTATTGGTGGAGGTAATGGCGCCTAGCATTAAGCAATGCACATGCAGTATTTGCAATCACGCCGGGTACATTCTGCGTTACAGTTACTACGAACCTTTAGGGCAGAATGGATAAAAATGGAAATATCATGCAAGAAGAAAATGCGGAGCACAAAGTTATCACATCTTCGTTGGTCTATTCTCCGATTAGGATTCAAGGCCTGTATCCAGCATATAAAGTCGGATTGCCCGGGAAAAAACACATACTCTCTACGACTATTCCACTGCCATAAAGCTTTTTCTCAACAACGTTTTCCACAATTCCCGGATTGCTGTCAGACGCTATAAAAACTTGCAAATTTGATCCACCCACCTTCGAAACAATATGCAATTCAATAAGATACTCTTTACCGTCATTAGCCTCCTTGGCCTCTCCCTAGCTGCTCCGACTGCGAACCCAAATGCAGGTTTGTAAAGATATTCCAGAATTTTTGGTGGTATCCATTCACTAATTCATCCTTAGCTCCTGAGATTGAAATCGCAGACGGTGTTGACCTGAAGCCTATCGGTGACACCTATTAAGCCTTCATGTGGTCTGTTGGAATTCAAGTTGAACTTTGAATCAACTCTTGTGTGACAATTTATCTTCATGTCAGCTTGAAGCGAGAGATAACATTTGAATGGAATGAAATTGGTGGCCAGTAGAATGACCTTGCATAAATTTTCGCATTATTCCATCTGATTCCACTAAGACGTATGGTTGAAAGAATAGATTAATACAAGCATTTGAGAATGCGTTGAAAACGCGTTGTCAATTTGGCGGAACTTTGCCGTAACTTTGCCGTGAGATTGTTTCAACCCCTTCAAGTCATAAATACTGAATATGGAATTTAGGTATTGGGACTGGACTACAGACTACCGAAACATCTTTGAGTCTCCCGTCTGGGATATTTTGGATGGATTTGGCCCAAATGGAGATACCAATGCCTCAACAAGTGCTTTTGGACATTGCGTAACCCGAGGTCTCTTTGCTGGTTGAGCTCCTGCGTATTCAACGGTAGCTATGAGCCTCACTGCTTATCCCGGGGCTTTGTGAGTGAGACTGCAGCCCAAAGAGTAGGCAAATTGACAATGAAGCCCAGCGTTTTGAAGGAAGCAATTGTTGATCAATCAACTTATTATGGTTCTCCTACACATTGAATATGTCTCCCACGCCACCATTCCGTATCTCGTGCAGGGAGACTTTCGTGTATTTACGGCACCCAATGGTAAGTCAAATGTTCCTCGATCCCACTTCCTTCCTACATCACAGTCAAATTGATCGGATCTGGTGGAGTTGGCAGATGTTCTCCCAAGATCGACGCACGCAATACAATGGCAAGTGTCGAGACACCTCAGAGGTTGAGGGTGTACTAGCAGATGTGCTTGAGTTTTATGGTCTCCTTGATGCCACACCGAGTGTTGCTGATGTAATGGACACTGAGGAGGGAAGCCTCTGTTATACTTATGATGTTGGTGTAGTTGAATGAGAGCTCGTTGATTAGCAAACTCTTCCATCGAGATATTAAGGAGGAAATCCGGGCAATCCAAAATTTGAAAAAAAACCCCCGAAGTTTCACTAGAAGGAGTGACTTTTCGGGCTATGTATGGGTTCAACGAGTCTCTAAATAATTTTGTTGCTCACAGTAGTGTTTTATAGGGATGTGAGATTGTGCATCTATTTATTATATATTATACAAGTTGCCAACATCGAGAGACTGCCAAATTAATCCAAATTTATAATTCTGAAACCAATGTACTTACCAATCAAAAGCACAGAGTGCCGCAAATTTATAGAACGAAGCCATTGTCAAGCCAGTGCTTCATGACCAGCTTGCCCTCGTTGAAACTGTCCTTTTGAATTCGAACAATGATAGCTGCATGAGTATGTCGATGCTTGTGGATATAGACCGGGTATTTCCGGAATCCCACGTCGTCCAGAGAGTCAATAATGTCGAATTGTTCGGACGTTAATGCGAGCTTGGGGAATTTAGATACCGCACTATCAATGTACGAAGACTGAGGATCTGCAGACGCATCCAAGTCGAGTCTGGTCGACTTCAAATCCCTTCCAAGGGGCTTCTCATGAGAGTCAGAAGCCTCGACGTCAGATCCCGAAAGATAGGCTGGCTCTTGTCGAGCATTGGCATTCTCAAAGACTTCGTCCATAACGTGTTGCATATCTTGCACAAGTAAAGGCACCTTGTATTTCCCAAAAAGCGCACCATTTTTGCCTTCCACATGGAGGCGGATTCTTTTTTGGCTGCGGAATGTTTGAATGACCGCATTGATGCAGAATAGTGTGGAAGCGGGAGGAAGAAGCAGCATAATTAGCAGGTAAAAAGGCATGTTTTGTACAAATGATTTTGTCCGCTTCCACGTCTCGGATGAACAATCATCTTGTTCTTTGGGTGTGACCGGTAGCAGGAACTCATCGGGATCAACGATCACTTGCTCGTAGCCGTCCACGTAGTTGATATTGATGTTTTCAAGGTCCCGAAAGGGATTCGTTTTCGTAAATAAAGTCGTGTAAAGTGCCGTGGTGCGATCGTTCACAACATTGCCGTACACACTTCGATTTTTGAATCTCTTCAATCCCTGGATGAAAATGCTCTCTGGGTCGGCGAGGATGCTAAGCAGGGGTCGTCCGGTGTCACGGAACGAATCGACCATGAATAACTGCTGGCCCGATATGGAGACCAGTCGAGGTCCCAGCCCATTCCAAATCTGACCCCTTATACCCTTGAGGGGCGTTCTCACCCCAATATGCGGCGAGGCAAATGTTGTGAAGTTCATGGGTTCCACTTTATCCAGCCATCCGTGGGCCTCGAGCAAACCAATGGCATATCGAGCTACCAGACCCCCCAAAGAGTAGCCAACAACGCTGATTTTCGTGATTTTTTGTCCTTTGGCCTCTAATTTTTCAAAGGTGTCTTCGATCTCATGCACCACCCGTTCGCCGCCCACTTCGATTCCATCGTAGGTGAAATTGCCGCTGTTTCCTTCTGGGCATAGAATGTGAAGGTTTTCTTCGCCGTGTCTCTCCTTAAGCGCCGCTACCATGTAGTCAAGGTGCGATGGCTTACCCCAGAGCCTACGCAAAGAGAGATTAGCTTGTCTTATTCCGACGTCATCAAAACAGGGGACAGAACATACCCATGCACCAGGACACATAAATGGTCGGCTTTGATCGAATTTTCAGTGCCGGACATTTCTGCAGTATGCGACCGAATTATTTTCAGGAGGAAAAAACAGGAGGCCAGGCTGACGAGTTTAAAACCAGCATTGGTTGGAATCGGAGTTAAGGCAGGCTTATGTGCCTGCAGCCGATAAGCCCGCGTCGATAAGATCATGACTTTATTGCCTAGATATTCAGGCCTCAAGTTTGGTTCGGTTTGCATTTGATCTTCAACATTTCATAAACTCTGGCCTTGGCTTCTCCTACATTCGAATTCATGCATATCGGCTATATTCATTTTGAATGCTGTCCAACGATGAGAATATCTAACCTTTCGATCGTCTAGCTCGGCTTAAATCAAGAACAAAGGGTGATGCTCATGTTTGCATCCTAAGGTCTATTTGCGTGTCATAGCAGCTGCGCCAACCCGAATAGATGCCCTTGAAATCTGTTTTTCTTTCCTGCATGTCCTTAATGCTCCCTTGAAACGGTCTTTGAGATCATCTTTTTATTACGCAACCAACGCCTTAACTTTCAATTTGGAGTTTATCCCAGGACTTTTCGCCTGATAATGTTCACACCTCTGGGTTTACTCGACGGCGTTCCCTGCCCCCAGGCTACGCAATGCATGCTCATAACTTGCCTATTCTCTCACAAGGGACAAATTTTCGATCCACCTGTAGCTGAAAAATGTGCTTCAAGCTCGATCGACAACGAGCGTGCTTCCAAGAGGCTCAAGGTTGAAAGCACCACTCCATCATCAGGCTCGAAATCAATCACATCTACTCATGTTCCGGTTCGAGAGCATCCAAAACAACCCCCAGTGGCTGTTCTTGGATCGAAACAGCAATCTCAAAGTGCCAGCTCGAATATTTCGAAGTTGACATCGGTTTCTCGGGAAGTCTCTCCTCCGCCAGGGCGCGCGGATAGCAAAGCTAAAAGCCAAGAAACTGCAGCGAAGGCCATAGCCAATTCAAAGCCCACGCCGCCGCAGCTTCCCCCTCGAAGGGTGCCAAAAGAAAGCCTCAACCCTCGAATGCTGCCCAAAGCTCCAGCCAGTCATGCTGTCCGGTCAGCCATCCTATCCAAACTGCATTCTGGCATGTCAGCGCTCAATGAGAAGCTTGCTAAAGACAAGGACCCTTCAAACAAATGCTTTGTCCTCAGCAAAGACGAACTTGTGACAATGGCCCTGGACGAAGAAGAAACAGTAGCCAAGGATAGCCCTGGGGTTTACTCCAATGTCATCAAGCTTCGAATAGTAAAATTGACGAAAATGGGGAAGGAAGAATGGACGAAAGAGGTCATGGCGCATCTTAATTCTCGGTACTACCAAATTCACCCCGTCCAACAAAATGTCAAGTCATCGAAGCCTATCAACACGGGTCTCACGAGGAAGGAAGAGACTGTTCTTGCAGCTGCACTTGTCACGCCATTGGCTGGCCTTGAAGAGTTTGGCTATGTCACCAAAGCACCTACTAAGGCAGAGATCGAATCTGCCAGGAAAGGGGTCATCGAGTCTAAGGGCTGGGAGAAGTGCGATCGATGTGGTGGACGCTTTCAAGTCTTTCCTGGTCGCCGCGAGGATGGAGAATTGGCTAGCGGAGGTCACTGTACCTATCACCCAAATCGTCCCGTTCACCCACCACGCAAGAAAACAGATAGTGTCACTGGCTCTAGAGAGGCTTACTATCCATGCTGCACTGAATCTGTGGGCACTTCTTCAGGCTGCACCAAAGCCAACAACCACGTTTTCAAGGTATCAGAGGCCAAGCGTCTTGCATCGATTCTCCAATTCGAAGAAACACCAGCACAGCCCGATAAAGGGCCCCTAGACGCAGTGTGCTTCGACTGCGAAATGGGCTACACAACCTTGGGCTTAGAGCTCATACGTCTGACAGCAGTCAGCTGGCCGCAGGGGCGTGATCTTTTGGATATTCTGGTCAGGCCTATGGGTGAGGTGCTGGATCTCAACTCACGATATTCGGGTGTTTTGCCTGAACATTATGCATCTGCTATTCCATACGGCACCCCAGCTGCGGGTCAGCAGGAGAGTGAGAAAGATACCAAGCCTATGCAGGTTGTCGATTCCCCTGCGGCAGCGCGATCCCTTCTTTTCAATTTTCTGCAACCCGATACACCCTTAATCGGCCATGCAATCGAGAATGACCTGAACGCTTGCCGAATCATTCATCCCACTATTATTGATACCATAATCCTCTACCCCCACCCAAGAGGAGGTCTGCCTAACCGCTTGAGCCTCAAATCTCTGGCACATCGTTTTCTCGAACGTAACATTCAAATGGGAGGAGATCAAGGTCATGACTCAAAGGAAGACTCGATTGCCACGGGTGACTTGGTGCGGGTGAAGGCAGGTGAAATATGGACGCGATTGCAGTCGAAAGGATGGAAGTTTTCAAATCACAACCTGGTTGCACCTCCTGGTCAAGACGTCAAGAATTTAAGAGAGGCCATACGGGGAATTGAAGGTGCAAAGAGAAAGATTTCTAGCACCGCATAGCATACTCTGCCATTTTAGCCAATGATACCACATGATGATTGTCTCCTTGAAACATTCTAGAATCGGAAAGCAGAGATGGTTAGCACCAACTTTTCGACACACTCACACCTAGGCAATTACGACTTCTACAGAGATACTCGAAAACTAAAATGCGTGAAGGGTATAAACTTTTTTTGATTTCATAGCCCGTAAGGACTAGTCTATCCCCACAAATCCACGATCCAACTTTCCAAGGCTCTCACACTTTTGTCCGACAGAATCACCAGCCAAAAAAGAATGCACATATACAAGTTCGAATCGATCGACAATGAGGTCAAGAGTCAGTCGAGTGGTGAAGAATTTACTCCTCATCCTCCTCAGCCTCGTCGTTGACGACGTTGTAGAAGCGGAGCTCGTAGACGCCCTTGGAGGTAGAGACGACACGGAGCCAGTCACGGAGCTGCTGCTTCTTGAGGTACTTCTTGGTCCTGTCAAAGAGAAGAGGCACAGATCAGCGGGAGGCTCCGGTAGAGTACCGAGGATGGTGCCAAGAATCAACTTACAGGTACTTGAGGTAGCGACCGGAGAAGGGGATGTGAGCAACAACCTCGACCTTACCGTCACCAACGGAGTTGATAACGACGTTCTCACCGAGGTTGCCGACACGGCCCTCGACCTTGATGCGGTCGTGGAGGAACTTCTCGAAGGCAGAGACATCGAAGATCTTGTCGCTAGCGGGCTGCGAAGCGTTGATGATGAACTGTAAAAAGACTGTTAGTTCCTGGCTCTGGATCTAGTTGTATCGAAAAGTTTTGTAAATTGCAGCAACATACCTTCTGGGTGACCTTCTGGGCCTTGCGACCACGGGCCTATTGACCGAAAAGAATTGAATTAGCCTACTGCTCCAACATGTCGAGTTCCCCAGTGGCAGTCACAGCAGACCAAGACCATGCAACTTTTGAGCAACCGAATAGATATTTCAATACTCGACCGCCGTCATGTTGGGTGGTGTATGATCTGCTGCAGACATAACCAGCGGGGAGGAACAGCAAAGCGTTCACGGGGTGTCTTTCAACGTACAGCAGCAACGGGAGCCATTGTGAATAGATGGAAGTGGATGGGGACGGAAAAAGGTAAGGTCGCAAAGAGGTGAATATCCTGCGCCGGCGAGAGAGATGGTCGGAAGAAGATCTGTCGGGCTTCGTGGTGGAGCCCTTAGTCGAATAGGCAAAAATCCCAAAATTGCACTGCGCGTGGGCTGCGCTTATCCTGTTTTGGAGGTATTAGGGTTGGGGCTGATCGCTAGATCACGTGGCTGTCCTTGGCAGCGGTGAGGACTGGCAGATAATGAATTTGATCATGTGATGAATGACTCATTCTTGATCCACTCTTATGTGTCCTATGGTTGGTTGAAATACGCGAGATTTCCACTAGCGTCTTCTGCCTGGGGGTATAAATATCTTCTTCCTCCCTCCTCCATTTCCTCTTTTCTTTTTTCTTTTCCAGCTCTCTTTGCCAATTGGCTTAGATCAAGTGTAGTATCTGTTCTTTTCAGTTTAATCTCTGAAAGTTTCCTACGGGAAACACATTGATTATTCTCATTTTTGGATCTCGCGATCAACCTCTGTGCTTGCGCATGTTGAACGCACAGTGTCATCGGGCTTACACTATCCCCGATCGACGCAAACCCTTTTTCATCAACTGTATCGGCTTGCCCGGTCGCTTGGAGAAGAAGTATTTGTAATTGAATAGTTTAATGAATCTACTTTATATCTTCACGGACCTATGTTGCGTGGTAGTAGGGCTAGTTTCTTTTCCCATACTGCTGTCCCAAACATCTCCCTAACACAGGCAAATTACGATGAAGTCTTAGCTGAACCTGTCTCCAGCAGGCAGACGTCACGACTACATGCTGTTCAACAGGAACACCTCCATCTACGTAGATTCTTTATAGGTTACCATGACATCTCACAGGAAGAATATTCATTCAATTGTGATGTTTATCTTCAAGAAGTCATTCCTCCCTGAAAATCACCCCAGTATTGATTGTGGGTCATCTGGGTAGGCTGTTTACCAGCGGTCACTCTGCTCCATACGTTGCTCGTAGACCTGCTTGGCGTGGTGCTTGGCCTTCTGGTTGTCAATGAAATCCAGACCGCGGGTCTCAACCTCGCGGTCAATGAAGGCACCGGCAAAGCCAGCGAGGATCTCCTTAGCCTTGGCATGGTTCTCAATCTTGCCTATATAAGAATAAGATGTCAGTCCATGTGCCTTTAGACATGCAATGATAGAGTATTTACCTTCGCGCTGCTCGTGCTCCTCGTAGGCCTTCATGGCCTCATATGCAGCGGCACCGCCGATGAGCTCGTGGGACCACTTGGCCTCGTGAGGGCGCTGGGTGACCTCCTCGTGGTGGCGGGCCTCCTCGCTGTCGTCTGTAGTGAAGTTGTTAGGTCTGGTGGATCTTTCAAGCGTAGAATGATGATTTGGTACTCACGATCAAACCAGCTCATTGTGATGGATTTTATGTGATGTAGAGGGGGTAGAGGTGTGTGTTGTGGATGGAGAGAGCGTAAGAGAAAGAAAGGGACGCAACTTTGTAACCCCTCCAAAGCCCCGCGCCACCCTTGTGAAACTACCAGAGCCAAGAAGACATTTCCAGCGATTCGCTCCAGATTTGCCAAGCCTACCGAGCTTGGGTTTTGGGGCTTAATATGAGGATGGCGCATCGAATAGTACGTACACACTATACCGGTTTGAGCTAGTGGATACCCCAGATCGAGTTTATGATTGGAGCAGCGGATGGTTCTCCCGATAATAACCAATATTTTCACGCCTTCTGAGGCTTAGACTGTCTTGGCCATATCCTGACCCGAGTAGGGCAGATGATTTGTTGAGATATCACCCTCACCGGCATGGAGCGGAAGACATGACAGGGGTTTGAGGCGGGCATAATTCCCCGGCGCCACGACTGCACGCATCTAACCATAGAGATGCAGGCTCGTGTATGTTTCAATAGTACATAGTACCTATGTGCTCTGAAATATGTATAAATCTTGCACGTCTGTCTGAAACCGATTTTGCATCTGCCCTCAAGTGCTCCATTACCGTTGGGCTTCGTCCAGAAATGATATCCTTACCTAGTGAGCAGGGAATTTATGGCTCTCTGAGCAATGCATCTTTCTAATCGGAAACTACTACTAGTACATAATACATAGTACATGCGCATACCGTCACGTGTCTAATGCTTTGGTTTTCAAGTACATACCTGTGCACATATATGCGGATGTATATTTTAGACGAGTGAGAACAACAAGTGCTGGACCATTCGATACATTGGAAATTCAGTGTTGGGGTAATGAACACTAAGTTTAGAGATCAATCTATAGATCAAAACATCAATAATAAATACACTAGCAGAAGCCCCAACCCATTTAATCCAACCCTGGAAGGTTGACACTCGCCTGAAACGTTTGGGTGTATGTAGAGTGTTCTAGAGTCGATCCCACGTCACCTGACCCTATCGCGGGGTCCAGCGATAAGCACCAGCTTCTCCATTTTTCATCATGCGCCTTCTCCCCCAAAGAAAATTGCCATGGGTTCCATTGTTCTGCCTCACCTGCGGTCTGCCTGGCATGTTGACCAGGCTATTCTCTCCGAGGAAGAACGCCTTGTGGTCATTCGGTTTGGCCGCGATCACGATCCCGACTGTGAGTTACCTGCATTCCTCTCCCGAGGTCGTGACACTAATGACGCCATCCAGGCATTCGTCAAGATGAGGTTCTTTACAAGATCGCCGAGCGAGTAAAGAGTACATGCTGTCATCAATCCCACACAATCCAAATGTACTAACACTAGCGCCCGATTAGATTTCGCCGTCATTTACCTTTGCGACCTAGACGAAGTCCCAGACTTCAGCACCATGTACGAGCTCTACGATCCGATGACGATCATGTACTTCTATCGCAATAAACATATGATGTGCGATTTTGGCACAGGTAACAACAACAAGTTGAACTGGGTGCTGGAGGACAAGCAGGAGTTGATCGACATCATCGAGACCATCTACAAGGGCGCCAAGAAGGGTCGTGGTTTAGTCGTTAGCCCCAAGGGTATGCCCCTCCCCTTTGACAACATTGGAACTTGGGCATATACTGATCATTACGCAGACTACTCGACGAGATACCGATACTAAACGAGCCGTGTTCGAGACAGTAACGGCTTCCGGTGGTGTGCTGAATGGCGCACCTATTCATGAAATTTACGATTACGATCGCTAGAAATAAAAGGAGAATTGAAGATACAAAGATCTTGGATGTGCATGGGGTGACTCTGGCAAGAAAGCTATTTGGTAGCCGGTTCTACAGATCACTATTCCAATGAGATCCAATGAGAGCCCCCCGGCCAGGGAAGCGCCGGTTATGCATCTGACACCTCTATTAGAAATTCACACAAAGAATCAGTGATAACTGGTAAAAGAGGCTTTTAAAATCTAATGAATGGCGCTATAGAGTGGGAATTGTTTGGTAGACAATTTGATCCCATCGAGACGCTCGTTTTACGTACCACAAGAGATCTTAAAACCAAGGAGAAAGCGGAAAGGCCAATTATTGTCAGTCTCTTCTCAGAGTATTCAATAGACAGCAGATTTTACGTGTTTGTAATTCTTAGATTTTGACGTAACTCGCTCACCTCGCACCACCACCAACCACACCGCAACACCTTCAACTCCCACCTCTCCACAGGAAAATTCACCATAACGACAAAATGATTGACCAACGCATTTTCGAAGATCTTCAGACAAAGATCGACGAGGAAACCACCGTCCGCGACGTGAGTTCCCCCCAGCACCCGCGAAGTCGCGCATAACGAAATTCTTCGCGTGCCAAGCCCCAGCTCAACCTCAAGCTCGAGCACGTCCGCAGCGCGCACAGTATCCGGCAACCAGAGCTGACTTTACCGTATAGGAACTACACGATATTGTCCACACTCTTGCACGGAAAGGTATCTTTCACTTCTAAACTGATTGAAGGCTCGATCTTTCGTTTCTGAGCTATGAAGAGTTCCTTCGTTGGGAATGCAAAATTGACTGGAGACTGATGCTGCCTTCTGCAGGACGTTCCACACAGGCAATTCTCTCAAGGGCACACTCTACCCCGACTGATCAGAGTAAGTTCTCTTTTGTGGTATATCCGGGGTTCTTTCCGATCCTCTTGGACGCCATGCTTTATCTTCTCTCGGCAGCATTGCACGATAGCTTGAATTATATACACTAGCTAATTTGACGAAATAGTCAAGTCCGTTCTTGACGATGCACTTGTGGCAATCAATGCCCAAAAGCAGGACGTTGCCCGCCTGAAGGCTGTGGCGGACAAGCACCCTTTCTACAAGTACAATGGCGTCTGGTCACGGGAGCTGCAGAACCTGGTGAGCTTTAAATATTAGATTTATTCTCCTGGGCATGATGAATGGGAACTAGAGAACTAATTATTCCCATTAGGTTTCTTCCGTTGAGCTGTGTGCATGGCTGGGAGGACTTGAGGAGCACAAGGGACCTGACTCCACCTCGTTTATGACTATCGAGGATGTGGGAAAGTTCCTAGAAGGTATGTGGCCCCCTACATGATACTAAAACAGAAAAAGAGAACGAACGATACTGACATTTTCCCCAACTTCAGTGCCTGTCAACCTCAAAGAGGAGGATGCATTCCACCTGACCATCGAGGAGTATCTCCTCGCGCTGATCTCCATGGTTGAGGAGCTAGTATGCATACATCATCAAACCCTCTAATAAATCAACCCACTGACTTGAATATAGTCTCGTTTGGCTGTCAACTCCGTTACTCTGGGTGACTACGAACGGCCCATGCAGATCGGTAACTTCATCAAGGAGCTCTTTGCTGGATTTCAGCTGCTGAACCTGAAGAACGATATTCTTCGCAAGCGAAGCGATGGAATCAAGTACAGCGTGAGTTGGATATTTTATTGCCTTTCCAATCTCCGGTCATGATAGATGTACTAACGTGTCTACGATGCACAGGTCAAGAAGGTTGAAGACGTCGTCTATGATCTTTCGCTGCGCAATCTCATCCCGAAATAAATTGAAAGTCAATATATGTCGAAATATTGAAAAAGTTTCGAGGATGAGAATTTGACGACGCAGATTGGTGGTAGTGGAGGTATCTCCAAAATTCACGTCCTGCTGAAAGCAACCTCCTTATTATTTACTACTTATATTACATAGTAGAAAGTTTCCCAGGGTCTTCTCCGAAATTATCTAGAAAGGCCGAACCGTATAATAATGATATGGGGGATAGTATTTCGTACAGGGGGTACCTAGATCATAAGGCATCTAATATTAAGATACAAACCAAGAGATAGAACAGGGAATAATGGAAAAATGGTATCGAAAGTCATCCCAGAAAATAAAAAGCCGAATAAGTCCACACAAGTTAAGCCTCTTTACTCAGCAGCCTTCTTGACCGAAGCAAGAGTACCAGCCTTCTTAGCCTTCTCAATCTCCTTCTCGATAGTCTCCTGGAGACCCTCGGGCTTAGTCAGAGACGAGTACCGAGCGACAACCTTGCCATCAGCACCAACAAGGAACTTCTCAAAGTTCCACTTAACGCGCTTCAGACCCATAACACCGGGCTGTTGCTCCTTGAGCCAGGTGAAGAGGGGAGCGGCCTCGTTGCCGTTGACGTCCAGTTTTCCGAGGACGGGGAAAGTGACACCGTAGTTCAATTGGCAGAAGGACTGGATCTCGTCGTTGGAGCCAGGGTCTTGGCTACCGAACTGGTTGCAGGGGAATCCGAGGATGGTGAAGTCTTCGGGGTATTTGGCCTTGAGGGTTTGGTAGAGCTTCTCTAGGCCTTCGAACTGAGGGGTGAAGCCGCACTTTGAGGCGGTGTTCACCACCAGGACGACCTTGCCATCGAGGGAACTGAGGGGAAAGGGAGTACCGCGTTCTGTTGGGTGAGAAGATAGTTAGTTACTGTGTTTTTTTGCGATGTGGTATGCAGATGGGGTCAGTGGTTCCTGGTGGGCTGGATTGATCGCGGAAAACCAAATGATGGGGAGGGGTATGGGCAGGGAGCGGAACACACTGTCAACGGGCTCAAAGTCGTAGAAAGAGGTTGCGGAAGACATGACTCTGATTGTGGGTGGTGTGAAGATTGAAGACCGTAGTCGACGAGGGTTGGAGCTGTGTTGGAGAAGGTTACGCGATGACGTCGTAGAGTAGTAGAAGTCTTGGATGGTGCGGGGAGGGAGCCAAGACTTTATATAGGGACGATTGAAGATCCGCACTTGCAGGTACTGCCTTTTAATTTGCATTTGAGATGAAGGAGACCGAGGCTTCGAGAAAAGTGATATTACCAATGATCACAGGTCCAGACACGGAGAGTTGAGGGGCCGCCGGGACTGCTGCATTGCCGAAGCCGATCTTATTCGATTTAAGTGAATTGATTGGTTGATCTACAAACGGTTATCCCTCTCTGGAGTTTCTTCTTTTTCTTCTTTCGATTGATTCCATGATCCACTTTAGAATCCACAGCTTTTCATTAATGAGCTTATCCAGTCAACTTTTGCATAAATTTAGTACGGATAAACGAAAACCAGGCACAAATTCAATTTCAATTCGTAGTTCATTTTGAAATTCTGCTTAGAAGAGCGAGGAGGTCTCGATTCCCTCCCAAAAGGGTGAATGCGCCCGTGCCAAGAACACAAATACAAATACTTGCTCACGGAATATGAGTACCAATGGAGGTTACTTTCCGATGCTAGGCTTTTATAGCCTTGGCGTGAACAGCATGCGGCATTGCATGACCCAGTTCATCGCTGCAGGTATTCAACAAGAGGGAAATTGATCCGAATACGCCCGTACAACAGGATCCCAGCAGCTGTGGTCTGATTCCCCTGCGACAAACATCTAGTGGCACCAGATTGATCAGAGGCGCCCTAATAATATAAAGACATTGATGCATAGAAAGCACCGTGCGTCGGTGGCGGTGACATTGCCGAGTAGCTCTGCCAACCCTGTCCTGGTCCAGAGATATACCCCGCGATCTGGGCTTCGTTATCCAAGAAACACACTTTTCAAGGTTGTCATCAAATTCATCCTTCAAGCTCGGCTTGGAGAACATCGACGTCTAGCTCAGCCATCACGCCCAAGATTACACCCAAACTCTCCATGAATCCATTGACCGCGACTCGGAGCATACGGTTTGTAGTCGCGTAGTAGTTGACCTGTAAAACGGTCTTAGATTCATCCGAGTTGGGATCTTGCTTCTGTTTCTTTTCTTGGGGCTCGGTCGCTGTTTCGGGAACGGGGCTTGTGAGAGTCAGGGTGCGCCGCACAGAGGCAGATAACTCGGGGTCAACATCGAGGGTTTGCAGGGCAGATAAGGCAAGACGTTGATTTGGCAGTGGAATTGAAATTGCCCTATATTCCGAGTCAGCATTTTATTTACTTTGAGAAAACACAACACAGGTGTTGATCTAGACGCCGGGAGATCTTACAGCGAGTAGGGGAATTCAGACTGTGAGGGTGATGCGGTGGCTGCCATGATTGACGTGTATTGGGATTAAATGGGCGGTGACACGGATGTCGAGATTATTGCAAGGTTGGTAGAATGACTGTGGTTTGCGACGTGATGTAGCTTTGGGAGATCAATCAGTGTGAATATATTTATAGCGGGGTCCTGTAGGCGGTGACTCAGCAACCAAGCTTTATCACTGTTAGAAACATTACATTCCAACCCTCAATATGTACATCAAGAACATTCGAGTGTACAATGACTACAAATATGTGGAACCTCAAGGATGCTAAGCATGTGCTTATAAGCTTCAAATTAGGACAAATCATGAAATTTGACTGTTATATGGAAAAGCAACTTCAATGTTTTCTCGGGACGATATCCCCCAGAGGTATTTTTGCAAAGCGAGTCGTCAAAATAGAAAAGCGCACTCATCAGATATAGTACAAAAGTTTGGTCAAGAAAAAGCCTGATGTAATCCAGGTTAGAAAAAAAGTGAAACAAGAAGAGAAATATCACGCCAATCGAACCAAGTCGTGAAGCCTTGAATGCATAGTGACAGACGAATTTTTTTATGCCGATTACCAGGTCGTCTAAGCGGTGTAAAGGTAGGCGACAACGAGCTGCATCTCAGCAGGGAGGGTAGAGATTTGGCTGGGAAGGATGCCGCCAGTAGAAAGAGCAGCCTGAAGGCCACCGAGGGCGCCAATGAGGCCAGAGGGGTCTATGACCAGTGATTAGCGAGGCACAATTTTCCGAAGCAAATTTATCAACATACTCCCGCTCAACATGCCAAGATCGTTCTTGATGGAAGCATCGACAACTTGACCGGCACCAGGAAGCTGACGCTTGCCTGTCAATAGATTAGTATTAGGAAGTACCCGTTGGATTTGCCCAGTGAGACTTACGACCAGGGGCGACGCCAGCAACCTCATGCTCAGCAGTTCCAACAGCGCCAGACGAGGTGCTCTCAGCGGTACCAGCAAGGCTACCAGCAATTCCAGTGACTCCGTTAAGCGAGCTAGTAGCACCATAAACAGCACCACTAACGGCATCACCACCGTCACGCTTAGCTGCTCCCAGGATCAGTATTTCATTTCAACCATAACTAGTCATCACCAAGGGGACTTACCAGGGGCAATGTCAGCAACCTCATGCTCAGCAGTTCCGACAGCGCCAGACGTAGTGCTCTCAGCGGTACCAGCAAGGCTACCAGCAATTCCAGTGACTCCGTTAAGCGAGCTAGTAGCACCATAAACAGCACCACTAACAGCATCACCACCGTCACGCTTGAGACCACCAGTCGCACCTTTGACAGTAGCCCCAAGACCACCAGTCGCACCTTTGACAGTAGCCCCAAGACCACCAGTCGCACCTTTGACAGTATCCACGAGACCACCAGCCTGACGTTTGGCTGTTGGTACGATCAGTAATTTGTCTAAATCAGCCTGAGTGGCACTAAATAAGGCGGCTTACCAGGGACAGCGTCAGTGACCGTTTTTTCGGCAGTTCCAACCGCACCTGATGAGGTGCTCTCAACAGTACCGGCAGCGCTGCCAGCAATACCAGTGACTCCGTTTAGTGTGCCGGAAACACCGTAGGCAGCGCCACTAACGGCATCACCACCATCACGCTTCAGACCACTGAGGGCCCCTGTGGCTGTGTTAACAACACCACCGATGGCATTGCCACCAGGGACCGTGGGCAGAGCGGCGGAAGAGACAAGGCCAGCAAGGGCCAGAGAAATAGAGAATCCAGTGAATTTCATTGTTGCGGTTGTTCAATTTAAGTTGGTCGAAGTGTGGAAAAGAACGGCTAGGTTGAGTTGAATTGGTGAACAACCGAAAAATCCTTTAAAGAGCGTAAGGAATGGAATGAGTGACTAGAGTAGTGGACGGAAGAGAAGATACGAAGCGGCCCCAGAGCAGATTTTATACATCTGCTTTTTGTTGTTTAGATGAGCTCGAGCAACAACATGTGGCCCCAGTGAACTCCTCGCATGCACGGTAGCCGGGATCATCAGGGGCCCATGGTTCTTCCGGGTCTGCTTTTTGTCGGTTTAGGCCATGGCTGATAATGATCGACATCGAGAGGGTGCCATTAGCAGTGCCGCACAGGTAGTAGTGTCAAGGGAGTCCCACATGGGCTCCAATGAAATCCAGATGCATGATGTCCAAGGTTTTTTAGGGCGGTATGCTCGATCTGGGTAAGTCGGATAGGATTTCAGCAAGGATCAAGATGTGAAAAGGGGCATCGATGGTTGCTAAAACTTCGCAATCGGCCTATTAGGTTACCGCGACTTTAGGCACAGATCCTATGCATACATAGGGGTCCTCGAAAGTGGAATTTCGGAAGCAATTGGAAAAACACTTCGTTGATCTCGTTATTAGAAATTTGGAATAATCTCCAGACTTAGAAGAGCTTTGCAGATGCGTTGATTAGTCTGCAAGCTATCAGGACCTCATTTCATCTTGCATGCTAGGGGGTAGGGCGGATGCATCCGCTATGGCCTTTGGTGGAGAGGCCGAGGCAAGGGCGTTAATATCGGAAGACGCAGGCCAAATGGTCCTGAGGTTGCCCTGTCGATCCTCCAATTTTGTTCTTGAAGGTAGCCGGTTAGATGAGGATTGGATACATCAGACTGCACATTTGTAGCTACCGCAGGCTTGGGGCTCTGCATCTTACTAACGATCGTTCCATGACCTTGCGTTGATCGTGCACTGACCCGACCGAATGTTCAGCCTTGGAAGTTTCAAGGTAATATTCCGGCGTATGGTAATCAATCGCCGGTAGCATCAACGAGGTGCTGTCAACGTTGGAGCGCGTTGGATAATTTAACCTATTCCGAAAATAACAGGCCGAAAGCGAGACTGAGATGGCATCTCCACTGTCCAAATGTCTGTCCAAGATGAGGCCTCTAGGCAAATAGGGCGGGAGCCAATCATCTCATGCAAGTGGGGACAAACAACAGTCGAATCTCAAGTGCTTGTGGATCTCATCACTTTGCCGCAGAATGTGAACAAATAAACCTCAGTGGCAAAACTATCTTGACCATCTCGACCAGCTTCTCAGGCTCGCATCGGCTATTAACTCTCCAGTGACCGCCGATAGCAGCCGGTGGGCGCTGGGATGCAATGGGATATCAAGGTAGCCGTCTGATCTCACGGGCATATCAAGGGATGTGATTTTCATCAATGGTAAAATGTTTAATTCTTGGGAAGGTCATAGCGATCTAGTCTATAATGCAGAGTGGGAAGCTGTAACATTAAAGACAGGACCAGTCTCCAACCTTGGGAACCTTTTTCGGAAAGGGGGAGACTGCCAACTCTGATGATTTTGCAGTCAACGTTTGGACCCGTGGACGATATATATTCGCACAATACCCGGCACATGTGCATAATTCTGCCCCTCAGCTCAAGGTAACATTGTTGATGATATCACCTGATCACAATCCTTTGCTGGTCATACGGAATGCCATGCATCAGAAAGTTGCCCTTTTCAGGCATCGACATACAGAATCCGTTGATTGTTTTGAGAACCAGAGAGGGGAAACATCACAGATACCTAGGCAACAATAACAAGTGCAGTTCATGCAAGCCAAGTTGTATTGGAGAAGAGCAAGCTACGAATCAGAATGGATGTGATGGATCATCGAGCTGTCAATTTGGTTCAATGTTTAGATGAGGTAAGCATCAACGTTATTGTTGGCCTGAGGCAAACAAACATAAATAATGGTTGTCGAGTCAACGGGGGGCACTAATCCCAATATGGCCCAGCACAACATAACATCGTTAGCGTGGCATGGTAATAACCCCAAGAGATTCTTCTTTCACTCTTCTATGTAAAGTCTCTCTTCCCCAGGTACTATCTTTACCTTTGATTTCCATTCCAATTTTTATTCTTTCTCAGATCCCTCCAGATCATGAGCTTTTGAGGTCTTACATTTTATCAATTGCCGACCTTGTGTTTTCCACACCATCGGGCACCGTCACCGAAAGTGACGATTTGCGACACCGACCAAGCTTGCATTGTTTACCTTCAATATCATTCATCTATTAAGGTCGCAAACTGCTCATCGACACCATGTCTGCTGAATCTAGCAAAATGATTGAATACATTCAAGGTGCGCGACCAATGTTTTTATTACCCTCTGTTTTGAGAGGTGGGGTCTAACAACAAACAAACATCAGACCGCCTATATCTGGCATCCTATGACTCTGCTCCAAGCTCGAGAACGGTATTCCCTTTCCCTGTCGACTCATCCAAGTCTCCAAGCAAGCGGTCGCGAGCTCAACCGCCCGCTACACCTACCAGCAAGCGCCGCGCTCCCGTGTACTTCACCGTCGATGATACCCTCCTTTACAATGCTTTCCATGCGGACTTCGGCCCCCTGCACATTGGTCACCTTTACCGATTTGCCGTGCTCTTCCACGAAATTCTCGGCGACCCAGCCAACAGCGACCGGCCCGTGGTCTTCTACAGCAAGACCGATGCACGAAGCCGTGCGAACGCCGCGTGCCTGGTTGCATGCTACATGGTCCTAATCCAATCGTGGCCGCCCCACTTGGCCCTTGCGCCGATTGCGCAGGCCGATCCTCCATACATGCCATTCCGTGATGCTGGATACAGCCAGGCTGACTTTGTCTTGAACATCCAAGATGTAGTCTATGGCGTGTGGAAGGCAAAGGAGAAGGGTTTGTGTGGTCTGCGAGACTTTAACCTGGAGGAGTATGTACTTGAACCTTGTATTTCGTATCACAACATATGCTGATTATTCATGCAGGTACGAAAAGTTTGAGAGAGTCGATATGGGTGACTTCAATTGGGTGACACAGGATTTCCTTGCTTTCGCTTCCCCCCAACACCAACCTGTGGAGCCCGTGCCCGCCAACACCCCCGAATACGATGCGCTGCCATCCACCATCTCCGAGGTCTGCTCCGCCAAGTTGCCTCTGCCATTCAAGAATGTCCTTGTTCACTTCGCGTCCCGGAATGTGGGCCTTGTGGTGCGGTTGAATTCCGAACTCTACAGCCCATCTTACTTCACAGCTATGGGCATTGCCCATATCGACATGATCTTTGAAGATGGCACCTGTCCACCATTGCAACTTGTGCGCAAGTTTATCAAGATGGCTCATGAAATGATCACTGTCAAGAAGAAGGGTATTGCTGTTCACTGCAAAGCTGGTCTCGGTCGGACTGGTTGTTTGATCGGCGCCTATCTTATCTACCGCTATGGTTTCACTGCGAACGAAGTCATTTCTTTCATGCGATTCATGCGTCCCGGCATGGTTGTGGGACCCCAGCAACACTGGCTCCACCTCAACCAGGGCTCCTTCCGCGAATGGTGGTTTGAGGACAGCATGCGTGAGAAGATGGCTGCGTCTACTCCGGCTACGCCTGCTCGTATGTCAACTAAGAAGCGTTCAAGCAATGGCGTTGTCTCAACTCCTCCTAACAACACCCACTCGAAGCGCGCTGCTCTCGGTGAGATCGACCACAATGAAGGTACTGCCAGCCAAAACGAGGAGAACCTCCCGGCCCCCACTCCTGGTCAGCCACGCAAGTCACACCGAAAGGATTCTCGCCACCATCCTTACTCCCGCACCGCATCTGGGTCATTAGCTGTGGAGGCTGAAGGATACATGACTGAGCAGCGCACCAGGGGTCACCGCCTGAGTAATGAAAGTAGCGAGAGTGACGAAGAGATTCAACTTCGTATGCTGGCCAAAAAGTCATCCAAGTCTCCTGTTGCATCCCCCACATCGCGATCTATTAGCTACTCAGCGACTGTCACAGCCAGCTACACCTTGACGGATGATATTCACGAGGACCGAGAAAACTGGGTTGAAAATGCTGCCCCCAAGACTCCCAGCAGCCGGAAAAGTGGCGGTGCCCCAATTTCTGTTAGCAAGGTTCGCACCAGCCCTCGGCGGGCAACAGATAGCTCTAAGACTGAATCACGAGGCGTTCGCAAGCCCAGTGGTCGCATTGGCAGCACATCTAGTCCCGCTCGGACTGTCCGGGCTGTTCAATAATGGCACCGTCCCTTGGTCTTCCTAACCCTGTTCGCCTGTGGCGACACTTCTATTCTTCCTGTCCTCTGGGACAACTATTTGCATACCCCCTTTTCTGCTGCATTTGAATGCTCCTAATGTTCAACTTTCTTCACATTTCTTGCTTCGGGTTTTGCGGCGTGCTTTTCCGGTTATTGGCATGTTGTGCTTGGCGTCTGGCTGTTCTACTTTGTTTATGCTGAATGCTTGGGTGACTTACATGTAGTGACATTGTCGATTCTGATTCACGCCCTTTGCATGATGTTGTGTTGCAGGGTTTCTGTACGTGTCAATCTGTATGCCGAAACGATAGTCAATCTCACGATCCCAAAATATTCCATGTCCCAATGATTTCATCTTTCCAACGAGTTAGGCCTTCTAGTTGAAGTACCTTGTTTATTTACCTTGCTCAGTATTTATCATGATCTGGATTGAGATTTGAACTTCAAAGTAAACACAAAGTAAAGACAATATTCAGTCATGCCACCCGGCCTTCTCATTATTCAATCATGAATTCATGAAAGCAAAAAAGTCATTTTCAAAAAGAAGTTTAGTCATGATTATGACGATCGGCTACCGATTTATTATGCTTTTTGACCTCTGCTGATCCCGACTTCGGATCCAATTCGCCACTGGAGGGGTTAGGCCCTTCACGGTACCATTTCATCGAGTCATGTTTATGACTTCCCTCTTTCAGCGTTGCTGAACTCGAATCCAGGGATCCTAAATTTGCCAACAATTAGTGATTCATATTTGAAGTGCATTTTCGGGTGCCTCTACCTTTCATATCGTGGTCTTCCTGGCCTAGATTGGCTTTGGATGCCTTTTCATGATCCGTTAACTTATCTTCGGATAGCATGACCCTGCTGGGAGAAAAGGCCATATGACGCCGAAAGTAGAAATCCATGATGCAGAATCTCTGTGCACGTTGATGACCGATTGTCCGAAGAGCTTGCATTGTAGGTATTGAAGGCTTGAAGAGAAGTTGCCCCCCTAAATTGATGGAGAACATGGTACTTTGTTGTTATAAAGCATTTAGGGAAAGCTTATAGCTTCATCCTGTGACACTCGCAAACCTTAACCTTCGCAGGTAACCACGTTCTTGAGCTTATGGAAAGCTGGGTAGCAAGTCATATTCGCGGGATAATTTTCCAGCAACGGATCAAAAGTAAAACCCAAAGTTAATGTTCCTTTTTCTCTCGCCTTAGCTATATTCACGTAGTCACCGAGTCACACGTGGCGCCATGATGTCATACTAATGTAGACTTAAATGAAGATAGGTCCCCTTCCACGCATTTATACACTGCACTGCTCCTTTCAAATTATGGCAGACGAAAACAACCACACTGAGAGCAAAGTGAGAAATATGACAAAGTCACTCAACCCGAGCCGTTAGTTAATACTTTCGAAGCCATCCATGGATGTAAATGCCAAAGCAGTCCATCGCTATGGAATTATCCCACTTCGAGACAAGCTATTCTCCGAGGAATCAAAAGTCCGAGCTCAAATTCTTTCCCAGCCATCATTTTACTAAATTATGATCACCCTTTACAGCAGCGGACATACTTCGACTCCGCCGATTTTGCGCTGAAATCGGAACACAGACCTTCCTCGATTTATAATAATGATATTGGAACTAAACATCCGGAGCATGCTCATATATCTCACCCATTTTGCGCTGTACCTGGTTCCAGTAATCTCTCTCAACATGCGAATGATGGGTGTCGCACTTCCAGTGAATATCAACAGTCTGAAAGTCTTCTACACGAGGACGGGAAAAAAGAGAGCAAAAGGCGTAATTCACTAACAATGACTTAACATGCTATTTACATTCAATTTGGTCCCCTTTGACCACAGGCGCAGATAGTGAAAATTTGTCATTTGCGTTTTGTTTCATTTTTACTTGAAGCTTGTATTAGAAAGTGTTTTAAAACAATCGGAAACGAGCTAGGCATGACTCTTCATGTTGGCCAGAGAAATATGAACAGTCATATAGTAAAATATTACTCCGTAGAGACCTCAGGTCTATTCAATACCAAATGTAGGGGGGGGGTTTTAAAGTTCTTAGTAGATGCAGGGGCCTGTCATCACGCTAAACCGCTTTAGGCGATATCCGCCATTTTCCCTCCCTCCCATCTACTTTGCACTTTCAGTGTAATGGGCCAATGCAATGAGAATTACCGATGATCGGCGCTCACACTCACCGGCGACCCGGCGAAACGGTGCGTTGCAATCATGCGAGCCCTGTCGCCGGTCGAAACAGCGGTGCGACCATGAGCGACCCGTCTGTCGACGATGCGCCTCGAAACGGATGAGCGACAAATGTTTCTATCATCCAGCTCCAATGACCAGGCGGAGATCTCTACAAAATTCCAATCCAACGATAACGGTGACGGCCTCTAATCGGTTTGCGAGCCAGCCGACCTCTAAGTAAAGATGCATTCACCCCGCCGCTCGACTTGAGGAGATTTCTAACGGGAATCTAGTGCTTCGAGCCCAGGATCTCTAGGCGGAAGTCGCATTTTTGCAGCACCAGAGCCTCAATCTGCTCTCCCCGGCTATCTGGGATCCACGAGCTTTACGGCAGTTCTAACAGAGCATCGTGACGAAATTCCTTTTGAACCAGAAGAGAGCTCGGAATCCTACCCTGTCCTATCGGTGGAGCCAGAGCGGGTCCAGTCCGGGGCAGACGTGCTGCTTTTCCTTTACAATCTTGATTTCCGGCAGAAGTTGGTTGACAAATTCTATAGCCGATTGTGGCATTCTGTCGTGCCGAAGATAGTGTTGGATGCTATCCTTCACTCGATACAGGATATCTTTCATGGCTTTGATCCCAATAATCTCATGCCCCAGCTACAGAATCTGGCCACGCAGATATTCCAGAATTCATCGAGAGCAATGAAAATATATGCGTCGATGACTGTCAAGGAGTACTGTGACTCGTTCACAGGCCGCAATCTCCGGTGGGAGGCTCTGGCAAACATCTTTTCTGTGTGCGGGCAACAGCTGATGATCACCCCGGACAATGACCCTGAGGTTTCGCAGGGGAGCGAGGACCCCCGGGTAAAAGACCGACTTCTGGAGCAGGTTATATGGGCAAGCACTGTTTGCTTAAGCTTCTGTGACCAAGCTTCTTCAGCAAATGAATTGCTAGCATATCTACAATATAACGATGTTGTGCTCCGAACACAGCAATATGGTGATTCAAGTATGATGCCCCTCTCTTATCTTCTCCGATCGATCTAAAAATCCGTCTAGGTTATCAAGCGTGGCGTCGGTTGGGTGACTTAGTCGCCACTATCTATGCATCGGGGATTCATCTTGATACAGATAGTGCTGAAAGCAGTCCTTTTTTTCTCCGCCAGTGGCGGAGAGGGTGTTTTATCTCAGCTTTTTACATGGATAAGATGATGGCAACCTTTGTTGGCCGGCCGCCCCTCATGAACTATCGATACTGCACTTTGGTCCCTCCGCTAGACCTGAGCGACGATGTTCTTGTCGCGGGAGGTGACGCTCTTGATCAAGCCATATCGGAGCTGGACAGTAATGGTTGGAATACAAAAGGGGCTCGGTATCGAATGACATCCTCACGACTGCGTTTCCATCTAGCTGTGGCAAGAGAGCAAACCCTTGATGTTGCATTAGGGAACCCTGATGTCCACGATCTTGTCCGCAAATCAAAGTGAGTTGACATGCTTCCACCGACCACTCTTATCTAACGGATGTAATTTCAGTGAAATTGAAGAGAATCTGCGCGTGGTGTGGAATGCAGCCCCAGATCTTCTCCGTTATGATCGCCGACCGAACGATGAGTTCCATCATGGATGGTTGATGATCGTTTATCTTTATCTTAATTACCTTTACACCTGCTTCCTCCTCCAGCGGGCTCTAATTAAGCACACAAACACTGGACAGGCCGCACTCTGTGATGTTTCTCGCCGAGTCCTTGCGATTGTCATTACCATCACTTCTCAACGAAATCCAATGATGGATCTTGACAGGCATTATTCGTGGATTGTATGATCCCTTAACATACAATGGGAGATATCTTACTGATTTGATATAGGCCCTCACATACGGTTTACCCAGTGCTAGCGTTCTTCTCGTCGAGCTGCTACACCAGTCTCATGAACCTGGTCCCCACACCATTAACCTCCCGCGCGCCGAATTGATCCGCAACATCAGTGTGTTCGTCTCGATATTGTCATGGGTATCAAGACCTGGTCATGGAAACTATCACCAGTGCAAGGATGCAGAGAAGAAGTTGTCTCGTATCTTGGACCAACTGCTGGACCCACAGCCCGTACAAGCAGACATGATGCACGATGTAACCTCCGGCCTGTCTAGCTTTTTGGACTGGTCAAATTATAACGCCTGGGATTTTACCGAGTATTTCCCCGGTGCTGGAGGGTTTGCGCCATAAGGACTAACGAAATACTGTATACCTAGCCTTGCGTTATGCAAGAATCATAATATCATCTCATAATCATTAGTATCGGATGCTGGAAATATCATTGAAATCGATGTCATCACATGGAATTCCTCACGATGGCCGGATCATACCATCCACACATAATCATGTCGTGGGGGTGTCTCCGCAACGAAATAGGCACGATGGCATAGCGGGCAATTATAGTGATCCCCTAAGAACCATTTCTCCAGGCATTCCCGATGAAAGACATGCAAGCAGCGCAGCTCCCTGATCTCCTCAGAACGATCCACCTGCTCCAGACAAACCGCACTAGCATGATAATCAGCAAAGTTCCAAATCGCAGCAAGAAACAGATGCATACCAAACAAACTGGCCATCCACAGCTTCCGAGAGCCCCATCTTCCCCTTCGTCATAGTCCACCATTGCTCCAGTGTCCGAGTCGGTGATACAGCGTCCAGACTAGCCAGTCGCTCATCAGGGTTCTTCTTTGACGACAAAAATGCTCGGCGATCGCGCCGGTTAATGACGATAGTCAAACTGAGCGGGGGTTGTTAGTGTCACACAAAACTCGGGGGGTAATCCAGCCACCTCAGCTAAGACGTGAAATCGGAAAAAGGGAAAAGAACAGTCCCAATCGTGAAGATAAGTACAAAGTTAACTCACACCAAGCTTATAACAATCAGTAGTACCACCCCGAGCCCAATGCCTAAGACGATGGCCATATGGCTCGTCTTGAGGTTATGGTCATCGGCCATGTCCCCGTTTGGAGAATCCTCCTTTTTGGCGATGCGATCAGCGGGGGATGGGACCTGAGATCGGATACGAGGTTAGCTGGGAATCGTATTGAGTACGGAGTATTTGCCAAATCAATCTTACCTTACCTTTGGCAAGGGAGGCTCTAGCGGTAGTAACCCGCAGGGGATAGATCAGGATCAAGATCAGGGAGAAGGTAAGGACATGAACCCAAAAAATCAAAAGTAATACCAAAGTCACGAGCTAGGGCCGAGGGTGTGGTAAAGTCAACTTTTGAACTTGAACTTTCGACTCAAATAGAATGATCGACCCGTCCAGTCCAACTGAAAGCGGGGGATTAACACGAGCTGCGCTTAATTTTCCCATGCGGATTTTGTTTCTTTCTTTTTTTCTCCCTTGGGCTGTGGAACCAATGATGATTCGAGTTTGAGGGGGGAAGGGGAAGGTGACTTTGACTTGGGGAATGTTTGATCGGCTGAATTGTCCATTTTTACTTTTTTTTGCGGTACAAGGTAGGTCAGATGAGTTCCTTTATCTCTTTATAGTGATTCTGTTGGTTAGATAGATTGTGCCACTAGTTGCTACTTCTCCACTTCTCCCCCACTCTTCATACTTTAATTCTCTCCAAGTTCTTCGTCACCTTTGGTATCCTGAGCGACCGGTCAAATAGGAGATCTATCTCTTCGAGGGTTTTCTGTTTAGTCTCCACGAAGAAGAAATAGATTATCGGAAATGACACGCAAAGATCTGGGGAAGTCAGCAGGGATCCACCTTTAAAGTCTTTCAGTGGGATACCGGATACTAACTCCATGCCACAAATACATAATAAAACTTCCACTGGATCTGTCCCAGTGCGGTGGGGGAGACTTGATTCCACAAAGTACTGATTGCCCAGTTACCAATCCCAACTGCGAATGCATTGCCCTTGCCGCGAATCTGCATCGGCATGATCTCGGCCATGTATACCCTGCGCGATGTCAGAAACAAAACGGCAGATTGAAGGGGGAGGTTCGCACCAGCTGCACGGCCCAAATGATACCGAGAAGGCAACCGATACGGCGAAAAGGAAAAATACTCCGCCGACGCTGTATCCGATTCGCTGACCGTCTGGGTTCTGTGATGTGAGGACTGCCTCACATATAAGCGCTATGGAGATTGCTACTGTGCCAAGCAGCAGAGGCTTTCGTCGCCCGACTCGGTCGAGGAAAAACACCACAAAGATAAGGTTGGCTAGTGGGCCCACGCAGTTGTATATCCCTGCGACGAGGGTATTACGACTGCCTGTGATTCCCAAGGCTTTGTACATGATCGTTTGGTAATATGTGATCACGTTGACGCCAGTCATTTGGGTGAAAACCTGAACAGCAAGACCATGCCTGCTGTTGTAAGTGGGAGGTTGAAGCAAGGGATTGGCGCTTAACATACAGCATACGAGTGCGCCATTTTGGCACCGTGAACATCGACACCCAGCCAGGGGCCGATTTCCCAGAAGCACTTGCCTGACATATTTCGTTGAACTCTGCCTGAATCCAGTCATCGTTGGTTCCATCATGGTGCAGCTTCCGGAGCACGCGCATCGCCTCTTCACAGCGGCCTTTCTCAACAAGGAAACGCGGGGACTCGGGTACGAAGAGCATCCCAATAACGAGAACAAGAGCTGGCACAACCTGAAAGGCCAATGGAAACCGCCATTGAAGTTGGCTTGTATCTGGTGCACGAAGAGAGCCATATCCCACCCATCTAAATTACAGTCAGCTTCCACCAAAGGCGTGAAAGGATCCAGGCGGAGAATCATACGTGCTGACAATGTAACCAATGCCAATCATCTGTTGCGACAACCCCACAATCAAGCCTCGAGAGCGGGGATGCGCAAGCTCAGCCTGGTAAACCGGTACTGCCATGGACATGACCCCTACGCCCCAGCCCGCCAAAATTCGGCCAACAAGGATCATGGATAAATGCTGAGCCGCTGCCTGCAGCGTCGCGCCAACGAGGCAGATCAGAGCACCAATCTGGATAGTGAGCTTGCGACCGAAGCTGTCGACAGTGAACGCTCCCTGAAAGGCACCGATTACGGCTTGAAACGGAATGATTAGCAACGATCAATGTTTCCGAACCCATTGCAACTTTGAGAATCTCACCACCGCCCGAATATGTGCTATTGATAGCCCCAATGATCGCCGACGTCTGCGTTGTATGAAAGTATTGCAAGAAATTCGTCGAGTCAATCACATCCGTCATGACACCGTTATCATAACCGAACAGGAATGATCCCATAGCCGCCAACGAGGCTATGAAAATAGAATATGATCGCCCCATTGCTAATGGGGATGATTTCGATAGAAGAGATATCCAATTGATTTACATAGAATGATACATGATTATGATCTTTGCGACTTGCATGCGAGGGCAGCAAATAAAGACAGGGAACAGGGATCGGGTCATCAAGTCGAAATCCGGGGAGATTGTGGGGACCGGTACCGGCACTTGGTGGCCCGATCCCAACCACCCCGCACTTGGTATGATTTTATTTCTTGCTATCGTGAACAAATGTTGAATGCCATTTATGGACCGATGAAAAGCTTTGGAGATAGAGATGAACGTGGTATGTGAGTTGCTTGGTTACCCCGTCCAACACAAGATATCCGGTAAAAGCTCCGATTCCCATCCATAAAATGCTGGCTAACGATTCGTTAATATTTTACAGGATTTCATTTCGGTTTCTACAGCGATGCAGATCTTTGAATCAATACTTGGGTGGTATTTAACGGACACCGGAGATTGGACTTATGATACCGGGATTAAGAGACATCCTTTTAACACTACTTAATATCGGACCGTATCGGTAGTCCGAGTCTCGGGCCGGAGATAAAGGACTAACTATATAACTACCTCGAGCTCATTCGATCTCATTCACGGGTCAAACAATTCATCATGTTACCTCTGATTACACTCGAAGAGCACTACGTCTCACCCACAGTTCGAGCAGCTCAAACACACGACGAATTCGCCACCTTCCCGCCAGACCTCGTGCGGAAACTAAACTCCCTCGACAATGAACGTATTGACGACATGGACAAAGGGAAGGTATCCCTCCAAGTAATTTCCCATGGCCCAGGAGACAGACCAGCAGCCCTATGCACAGAAGCAAACAACGACCTCGCATCAGCAATTTCCAATAACCCAAGTCGACTAGCCGGATTCGCTCATCTTCCAATGGGCGATCCGACCGCCGCAGCAACTGAGCTTGAGCGCTGTATCCGCCAACTCGGCTTCGTCGGTGCTTTAGTCGACAACCACTTAAACGGTACATTCTACGACAACGAGAACTTCTGGCCTATCTTTGAACAGGCACAGACTCTCGATGTTCCGATCTATATCCATCCCTACTGGGCAGCGGATAGTGCATTGGAACACTACCGCGGGAACTACGAAGAGTCGGTTGCCGTCGCGTTAAGTGCGTATGGCTGGGGCTGGCATTCTGAGACAGGGCTCCATATTTTGAAATTGTATGCGAGTGGACTCTTTGATCGGTTCCCCCGGCTGAAGATTATTATTGGGCATATGGGTGAGATGCTTCCTTTTCAGCTGGAGAGGGTGATCAAGGTTTCTGGGAGATGGGGGAAGACTCGGGGGTTTGAGGAGGTTTGGAGAGAGAATATCTGGATTACTACCAGTGGGATGTTTTCACTTCCACCGTTGGCTTGTCTTTTGCAGACAACGTCAATTGACCATGTTTTGTACAGTGTTGATTATCCGTTTTCGTCGAATGAGACGGGTCTGGCGTTTTTCGACCAGGTGAAGGAGAGTGGGTTGATCACTGGGGAGGATTTGGAGAAATTTGCTTTTAGGAATGCGAAGGCTTTGCTTCGTGTGCGAGCCGAGGCTCAATAGCTGTGTTATGTAGATTACTAAAACAAACTTCGTTCTGGGTTGTCAAACGTCAAAAATTGAGTCAACTGGTGTAGAGATCACGTGAAGACGTGTCTTTCGCGTTTGGAGCCTTCTGGTGGCAGTTCGCATACCACAGCCTAATACCAGTGATTTCCCCATCGTTTCCTGGATTAATGCGGCCATTATTCCATGTCACATACTACATACCAGAACCTCCAAGATTCTTGGGATCTCGCGCATTCTATAGCGTGACGTGGGACACGCGATGGGCCCCATAGCACGGCCGCAGTGGGGAATCCCGAATTACCTCCGACCGCGTAGAGGAAGTAAATAAAGAACAATCCAACAAGAAACAAGATGAAATGAGAAGATTTGATTTATCTAGGAAGGTAGAAACATTAATAGTATGTGTATAGAGCAAAATCGAGTATAAAATTTGAAAAGAAAGTAATTAAAACCTTGAAGGTAAGAGACTAGCGCGGGCACGGTCTCGATTCCTCCGTGTCCACAATCGCGACGCGATTCGCATACTCTTTTCTTTGCACCAGCCTCGCTCCTAATTCACATTTCAGTTTTTCACTTCCTTGTGTCTTTTTCTTTGGAATTGCTTTGCAACTACTCCATATCCTATACATTATCCCCTCCATGCTCTGTTAAGACTATGTCTGACCCGGAGCTTTCGGTGCCGGCTTCGTCCTCGCCATCTCTACCGGCCACCGAATGCAATGCTCTGAATTACGCCTTCCTCGTTCACTCTCAGAAAACCCTCACTCAAAATCTTCCACCACGCGTCGATAATAAGCTGCTAGCTCGCCAAAAACGTCGCCGAACGAGGTAAGCTCGGCTACCATTGGTTCCGAACGCGTATTTTCTAACCAGCATGATCGATTGGATATAGCCCCGAGGACCACGCCATTCTAGAGACCGAATATCAAAAGGATCCCAAACCGGATAAGGTTGCCCGCGCGAATATTGTGAATCGCGTCTCGCTCGGCGAGAAAGAGGTCCAAGTACGCGATGCCAAGACCTCAGCCCAAAAATCCTCTACGTAGAATCGCGTGACTGATTCCTGCAGATCTGGTTCCAGAATCGCCGCCAAAACGACCGACGAAAATCACGACCTCTCCAGCCCCACGAACTGCTCGCTCCTCGTTCGAGTATGTCTGATTCGGTGGGACATCCTTCTAGTGATGATAACGCGTCGGCGGAACCTGGGTCGTCGAGTGGGGCAGAACAGGCCGACACCCAAGACCGACTGGAAAGAACCAGGCCAAAATCATGGGGTGGTGACTTGTTGCAGTTATCGGATGATCTGGAGCCTGTGACAAGTGAGAGAGAGGAACCTGAGCTGCCGTCGCAGAGCACACAAATAAGTGTGGCAACGGTCGATTCTTTGGAGGATACCCCGCCGACCACACAGGAGGAATTTCACGGGGCGGACTTGCGATACATTCTGAATGAAACACCCTTGGATGAGTCGCAGGCGCCCAAACGGAAGCGATCAATTGCCGATATTCAGGAGGTACCGCAAGAGCCACGCACAGATCATGTCATGTCAACACCGACCAAGTCCCCGCCCTCACTACGACTGTCGATGTCCTTTGATGGGGAGGCAATGGTGAGAAAGGAAGACGAGATGACCCCATCCCCGCCTAAGGGCCGGAATGCCTTGCGGATCGCAATGTCATCCGATGGCAAGGCCGTCATCCGTGCAGAAAACGAACCGTCGCCGTCAAAGAACAGAGTGGCCATGTTCTCGGTACGCCGCACCAAATTGTCAGGCTTGCGTCGCAGTAACAGTGCTATCTTCCCATCCACGCCGCGGGCAGGCATGGCCGAGAAGGATCGCGTCTTTGGCCGGTCGCGCGATCCCCGTAACTGGGAATCATTCTTCGATACGGACGCACGGAGCGCCCTATCCACACCTGCCAGCTCCCAGACCGCTCCCAACCTCAACTCATCTCCTAGCCTCTTCCAATCTCGTGGCCCGCGTTCTCTTACCCGCAGCGCATCAACAAGGCATAGTCTCCTCTCTGCTCATCCCGACCTTTCCCGTACCCCGATCTCACAGGCAATGGGAGAGAAGCGACGGAAGCTCTCTCGCACTGTCTCCTCCATGGGCAGGTTAGAGACCGACCGCAGTCGCGTCAATTCTCAATCCAAACTCTCCAGGTCGACACCTTCAAAGCCCGGGAAACTGGACCTTGAGTTAGACCTCGGTGACTCGGACAAGGAAAATTGGATCCCAGGAACTCGAACACCTCAAGTTCGTCGTCGGACAACCTCTCAAACTACCCGCCCTGCTCTGCGCGACGCCAACCGTAACCGCGGATTAGGGCTGACCACCGGCAAACGCAACCGACCATTTGCAGCTGGCGTACAGGGCAAAGCCCCGCCAGAACTGAGCTCCGAAGTATCCGCATTCATGTCCGGAGGTACAGGCGACAGCCAAGAAGACGATCTGGACTGTGTCCAAGGCCTTCTTTCCCTGAGTCAAGGGGCGTGGCGATAGCAGCCCTTGCCCGCGCATAAAACGGATAAAAACGGATCCAGGTACAGATGATGTATCTCCTCAGCGTTGTCATTTACCCCTTACCCCTCCACGATCTTCGGGAGCTTGTCTCTTTTTCCTATGTTGTTTTCTTTCTTTGTCATGATATGATTCGCGATGTGTGCTTGCAAGCGGTTCTTCGCCACATCCTCGTCACGTGAACTCCATGATCCCTTGATTCCAGGTCCGTTGAGTCCTTGTCCTTTTTGTATATCTGCTCCCGGTCGAGCTACATGGCTCGCTGCGAGGACGTGGATATATGTGTTTGTGCCTATATGGCTCTGTCGTTGATGGTCGCCGTTGTAAGACCAACTGTGGGAGATGGCTCCCGGTATAGAAAAACTAATCCTGGAATGAAAGCCCAGTTACGAAACGACCCAATGATATAGACAAATTTTCCCATGAAGTAGATCTTCAAGTTTATCTGTAGAAGTATTGATCATTCAGATCTATAGAAGTACACTCTAAATAAATTCAAAGACAAGTCTGGAACTATTTACACCTTCCAACAATCTACTTAATGTACACACTCCAATCACAGCTTCCCCGAAGGCAATAAATCATCCTTCCCCTCATAAACCCCAACTCCCAACCCCCTCCGCCCACAGATCTGCCCAGCAACCCTCTCCCCACTCCAATAGGCCCCAGTAGTAGTACCCAGCGCCACAAAAGGCGCCGTATGTTCCCCAGCAAACCACAAACCACGTTCCTCCCCAGCACCCACCCCAGAGCGCATAGCCTCAATATCCCGATCACCCGCCTCCAATCCCACCTGAAAATTGCAGTACGATCCATACCCCGCGTACGGATCTTTCTGCCAACAGGTCGCCAGAATAGAACTAGGCACGCAGTCCGGCGACGAGGAATCGTAGCCTGGTAAACGGGAGTAGAAGGGACGGAGAGTTTTTATGAGTGTTTCCTTGTATTCCGATGATGAGGGGTCGAGGGACGCGATGCTATCGACTATGTGAGCGCCTCCTGGGCCGTAGGTGTAGAATAGGAGGGTTGGTTGGGAGCATGGGTGTGGGAGGGAGGCCATTGAAAGACATTCCTGATTCCATTCTAGGTGCTGTGGGCGTGGTGCGTAGGATGGGTCGAGGAATTGAGTGAAAGTTGGGTTTGTGGGAAGGTTAGGGTCGTCAGTTGAGATTGAGGTCGAAGTTGAGGTTGTTTGCCAGAAGGCGTGGGGGAATTTGACGAAGACTTTTTCGAGGCGGCCGTAGGAGATGTTTTCTATTGCTTGTTGGAGGCGGGGTGGGAGGGGTGGTGTGAATACGCTCATGTTGTTCTTTAGCCAACCGAGTGGACAGGTGATTACCAGGTCGTCGAAGGTGAAGCGGGTTCCTGATTCTGTTGTCACGGTCACTTGGTGCTGGTTTATAGATTCGTTGACGTTGCGGGGTGGAGCTTCGATGTTCACGACTGGGTGGTTTAGTTTGATGTTGGCGTGGGATTGAGCTGTCTTTGCGACTTGCTCTAGGATGTGCTTGTAGGTTCCCGCTACGAAGTAGTTATCTATGATTTGTTAGTGGATTGAAGAGTATATCAGAATGTGAATCCGGACTTACATCCGTCAATGCATTCTTCCAGACGGAAGAATCTTAGACTCTGTCTTTCGATAGGCTCGCCTACATAGGCACCCCAGAGTTTACAAGTATCCAGAACAAGCTGCCGTTCCTCCTCGGAGAAGCTCGTTTCCCGAACCTTGACTTGGAAGAAATCATAAAGGCTCTCTTCAGTTGGAATGCCCTCTCCATGTTCATTGCTGTATTTGAAGGCTTCTGCGATAGTAGACCACACAAAATCCGAGATCTTAGTCCCGAGATCCTCGCCGACGAACTTCCCATCACGAGAAACGAGGAAACTCCCACCCTCAGGATCAAAGGTAGCAGTCTGAGTCCTCTGAGCCATGGACATGATAGGATTCTCTCCCTGGCCATGAATCCAGTTTGCGCCCCTATCACAAGCGTTAGTCCATATTATCGAAGGTGAGGACCTTGGAACTACGCTTACATATCCACTACATGACCTTCCAGCTCATCTTGATAAACCTATCAAGCCCACTTAGCTCACGGGTTCATATGGCATGACTCGACAGGAAAGATGGACAAGAACATACCCTCCCACCAATGCGATTCCTAGCTTCTAGGATGGTGACTCGTGCCCCATTTTGAATGAGGATATCGGCGCAGCGTAGACCCGCAAGCCCGGCGCCAATGATACCAACATGCGGTTTAGAGCTCATAATGGCAGAGCGAGAAGAGAAAAGTCGGTAAGAGAAAGGAGTCCGACTAGCGTACTGGATCAACCTGTACATGAAAATGCCAGCTGGTTGAAGTTGTCATTAAAGTTTCCGCGGTTGATGCTGATAGAAAGTGGGGACCGGGGTTCGTAGGTGATTGGCTGTCATTGATCTATGGGCCGCTCGGTCCTGAGACTTCGGTCAGTATTTGGTGACGCCTCGGGGTTGTACAGAACGTTCATTGAATTATGTTTTCATAGGGACGAATTATCTGTCAAGGTGTTCGGAACGGTTAAGAGCTACCTGGACCCTGACGAAGACAGCTACAGAGTGGACATCTGTAGGCCCCCACGGGACATCTGGAGATAAGAGGAGCCGAGGTATTCAAGAGTGTGGGTTATTTCATGACCTTGCTAAGTAATAGCAACCAACTAGAGAGAATTGTGATGTAACTCCAGGCAAAGATGTAATATACGTGTGCTGATTCATTATCCATTTGCCAGCCACCGTTCCTCTTCACGAAATAGGTATCTAAGGAGTAGTAGACCTTACAGTGTCAGTTCTACGTGATCAATTTTGGCGGCCGAAAATGAGCTTCCATTCAGTTCTGAACGTAACAAAATGCAGATAGGTCGAGTCGAGTAACATGCTCGAGACCAAGGTATTGAGCCAAGAAAACAAAAACTAGGAATCAAATGTTACACCCAGAGAGTAAATTATGCTCAACATAATATATCAGAAAGCCATGCGCCTAGTCATTCTTCCTCACACGCCGAAGACGAATAGCGGAAAAACATTGTAAAAGCAAAGAACCTCAAACTCCTTTTGGATGATGTCGCGGAAAGATGGAAATGAGAGAAAATATGTACGTCGGATAGAAGTGGAGGGTATCAAGTAATGTCAGGGATAATGGAGAGAAGAAACCCGACGGATGCTGTCCTGTAAAGATCAACTCCAGGGAGGACATGTCAGGGGAACGTGTCGGGTTGAATTGAGACTGATTGAGATCGTCCGCTTGAGGTAAGGGGGATAAGCCAGGCATTGGCAAGGCTTAGTCTTCCCAGATAGTCTCCAGGTCGAGATCCTGCCGGCGCTCTGCGCCACAGACACTCCATCGTTTGCGACCACCGCGCGCGGTATTGATAGAGTTTGACGAAAAAGTGTCGGATGCACCGCGTCGTCGGTTGTTGTTGCTTGCCGCATCGGCCGCATCGGCTGCAGCCTTGAGCTCTGCGATCCGATCTTCTTCCAGCGCCTCGGCCTCAGCGTCGGGAATATCGGGAATGGTTTCCAAAGAAGAAATGCTAGGACTGCGGGATCGAAGACTTGTCGGGGTTGACGGGACAGACGACGTGGAGGAAGCAGAGAGGCCGGGGTATGATTCGTTGTATTTTCCGCTCAGAGTGGGGGAGCTATGGATGGAGGGCGGGCTGCTAACTGGGGTTTGGAAATGAAGGGGGGAAGTCGAGCGCATGCGACCGATACGGGGAAATGTTTGCGGCATCAGGACCGGGGAGGTGTTCGACAGAGAAGGCGAGGGCGATTTGGGCACGGTCTCCAGTGCGGCGTTCTCAGAGATGGTCTCGGAAATGTTAAGCGACCCGAGACGGGTCTCAATGTGATCGTCCATGCGCATCTGCAAGGGCACGCGCTTGGCATCCACTGCTGAGGTAGGCATCCCGCGGCCGTTGACGAAGATATATCTTCCCCGAGAGTCCAGCCCTGGAGAGGAGTATGCGCGCGTCATAGAGGGCATGCCGGGGATTCCCACGAGAGATCGCGAGCGAAGATGCGATCGGGCCATAGGGGACCGGGTCCGAGAGGGTGTCGGCGGTTCGGGAGAGACAGACAAAGTGACCATGACGTCTTCCTTTACCTTTTGCAAGTCCATGGAGTTGATGTTATTGGGTTCGCTGGAGTCGGAGTGAGGAGCGCGCGTGGCGTCCGGTCTTAGTGAACCTTCCATGTTGATCTCAAGGAAAAGGGGGGAAGGGAGGGTTGAAAGGCGATCACGGGCGCATCATATCAAGAGAACAAAAGAGGAATCTTGGGCCGGCCAAGCTTCAAGAGTTGGAACAGAGGTTGTTGGAGAAGAAAAGTGGAAAGTTGAAGGGTGGAAGAGGAAAAAGGAAAAAACCGCCGAATTTGAGGCGAAATAGGCAGGTCTGGCCAGACCTTCCGGATCAACACGCAGCAACTTTGAAGCTTTTGATTCGATGAATCTGATTGATAGTCTTCACATTGATTTCCCTTGGATTTAACATTACTTTTAGTCAAACTTGGATTCTATTCACATGATGTTCAGAGTAAAGCGGAGAGCGACGGAGGTTTCATCCATGGATCGGTTCCAAGCGGAGATAGGCTCCTTCACCAATCACGTCCTTTTTCGCCGCAGTTTATCTGAACGTCGAGGTTTCAATATGAGGGTTTGATTTAATGTTCACTTTCCTACTAGGACGCCGGAGGATCTATCATATAAACGAGACAGTGAAGGATCCAGATGCCTTAAACGGATCTAATTATACCAAAGTTTTCTAAATATTGGGGATTCTATTCTCTAGATTTGCCAAGGTTCTAGAAAGAAAATCCGTTGATGAACCATGGTCTCTATTACTAGATGACGCCACATCTACATGTGGCCGGAGATTCTGTCAACACAGGGAAAGTATGGCGAGTCCGATATGTACATAATATGACACGGCACGTTCGGCATGCCCGAGACATCTGGAACCGTCCACCTTGGTGTACACCCTGGGAAGTTAAGTTGAATACGAGACATACTTACTTAAGAAGATACTTACCTGCCCACTTAGGTGTCTCTCTGGTCTAGATTCTAGCAACATATCAACCTCATCCTAGGCTAATCCAAGATTAGCTGAGGATTGTGACGACCCTCGCATCGGTATTTAAATCCCCACCAAAAGACTAGTGTCCGCAGTGGGGGGAAGAAGGAAGAGGGGGAAGGGGGCTGCTCAACTCGAGTATCAGCATGAGACTTGTCTCTCGGCCTCGAAAATACCATGCTTTAGCGCTTGACTACCTTTGCTGTTTGCCAGTCCATTTCCGTACAACCAGATTACATGGCACAATTGAATACAAATCGCCTATGCAGAATTAAATGGGATTTTAATCTGGGCGACAGGAATCTAGGCGGTCCAGATGGGTCCAGATGTGAATGACTGATATTTTGAAACATGTGACATCAGGATGAGGCTAATTATTATACTAAATTAGTAGTGCATATGGATCAGGTATTATGGTAGAAAAAAGAAAAAGAAAAAAGGAATGAAATGAATGAAAAGGGGATATCAAAGACCAAACATCAGATCATCAATGGGTATGTTCGTGAGCCAGATCCTTACATTTGGGAGCCTGGTCTTTCCGCACATACGTCTCCCGGACCCCATCACCCTCGTTCTTGAACACTTCCCATTCGCCCATGCCGAGATAAGTGGGAGCAATACGCACACCACGGCCACCGCCACCAACAATAATATTACCAGGGCGGTAGGTCGGATCGGCCTGCATACGGCGAATAGCAGACACGTGAATCTCAGCGTCCAAAGGCACGTCACGGACCTCACCACGCGGCAACGGCCAGCGAATAGGCTTCCACGACCCATCACTCTGAAGATCCATACGACGGAACGGCAGCCATTCCATGATCCGCCAAGAAATCACAGAGAGCCTAGGTAAACCCTGATTGAACTCCAGACAATCGTGCTTGGGACCCTTCGTGCTCGATGTGTGTAGCGCATGCCAGAAATCGCGACTGGCAGCGGAACGCTGCTTCTCATCAGGTCCAACGCGGTAGGCATCAGGGTCGTCCTGGTGACCCGGGCTCGTACTGATGCGGCTGCCACGGCGGTTGCCAAGGGTTTCCTGGATAGGAGTGTAGTCACCATCGTACTCCTCCAAACACTGGAATTGCTTCATCTTGCGCTCATCCAGTTCAAGTCCGGCTTTTTGGGCTTCCTGGACCATCCAGACCAATGGAGCGTGGCTCAGGGCCCACAGCTCGCCGCCCTCAAGTTTCCATCCTCCACCGATATCAGCGTGGCATCCTGGGAACCAGACCTCGCGGATGTCTTGCTCTTCGTCGTCACTGTCGTATCCATCGCCGGCATGACTGGGAACCTGGATCGAGAGATTGCCAGATTGACCACTGCGGACCGATGTGAGATCCTCGAAAGATACCTTTCCGTTGGGAACGGTCAGGCCAGGTGATCCTCGAGATGGTGCACGGTATCGGTGGGACTTTTCTCCAAAATTACTGTCACTCCCCTGATTGGATGAGCCAGCGTGAAGGTGACGGGAGTGGTAGTATGACTCGCCTGGGTTGGGACCCCATCCTGGATTTTCCAATGGAGGCACTCCCTCGTGCGGGGCCGGTTTCTCATCAGGGGTGCCGGAATCGTCATTCAAACGAATAGCGGGGACTTCATCGGTGGGGGCAACCTCTTGATGTTGCTTGCGCAGAGCATCCTGATTGTGGAGATGCAGATGATGTTGAGCATCGACGTGGTGTGCCAAGGGGTTCTCAAAGTGGGGATTAGGGATGTGCGGAGTAGGAAGGTGATGACGGTGGTGCTTATTCTTCTTGTCTTGCGGGCGCTTTCCCGAGATCAAATCCTGACGGAACTTGGCACGGCGCTCATCAATACCGACAGCATGACGAATGACACTGGCCGAACTGCGTGCAGTGTAGGGGAACTTGCTGCGTTGCATCCAGGCGTTCTCAAAGCGCGGGACACTGTTGACAGTATCGAAAAGTCCCATGAACTTGATGCGCGTGATCGGGCGACTGAATGTTTCACGGAAGGCCTTCATATACTCGAAGAGTTTCTTCTTCTCTTCCTGGTCCTCCTCCGAGTCGCCCTGGCGCTGCTGCCACTTGGCGAAGGTCTTCCAAGCGAACCGAATCAACTCCTCGTTACCAGCTTCGAGTAGACCGATGTAGTCGAGCATCTCAGCCAGAAATCGCGCAATATATGAGCCGCGACTGAACCCGATGAAGAAAATCTCGTCACCAGGAGAATAGTACCGCATCAGGAACTTGTACCCGCCCATTACATGCTCGTCGAATGAAGAACCGATGGCCGAATCCTTGGCCTTTTCGTACCAGGATCTAATGCGCTGGATGCGACCATGGCTGGAGAGTGATTTGGTTGTCACATAGGTACCAATACCGGGTTGGTAGTAATGGTATTGGTGCGGTTTACTGCGATCCAGCATCTATTTGCGATGTGATTAGCAGATGTCTCAGTCTTATTGTCGAATGACATACGCGAAAGATTTTCAAGACATTGCTATCTGATTCATCACCAGCAAACTTATTTCCAGTACCATCGAAGCAGAGCACGAACTGCTTCGGTGCAGCAGAAGGCGCTACGTGGTGGGCCATGGTGAAGAGTTGTACAATGCCTATAGTGGCCCTGACGGAAACTATAAATGGGAAAAATTGGGGTTTGTGAGCAGAAGCAGCTTGTGGAGGGGCGCAATGACAGCGAATCAGAGTTTGCTTCTAGGAGGGGGTTGGATAAGAAGCCAAGCGTCTCACATTGAGATGATCCCTGCAGTCCCGAATACGTCAGGTTAGGTGGGTGGGTGGGACTCGGAATTAGCATTCCCATTACAGTATGGATCCCATGCATTTCCAGGATTTTACGTTCGCCTCTTGACTCGAGTAGTTAACTAGTTGTGTGATTTCCTCCGAACAATACAGGGCTGACAATGTCAGGTTGCACAGAAACAACCAGCAAACACTATCTGACGGGAGGCGCATTTCATCCAATCAACATTCTGCCTCGGATCGCATTGCTGATAATTCGATCTGGGCTGAACCGGTCACTCCAGCTGCACCCCTTATGTGGGGATTTCCACAGGTCAGGGCGTTCTGAACAAGAGTCCACAAATCAAATGGAAATTCAACTCATGCAGACTGTGCCAATCAAGGCAATACGCGACATGAATGGAGTCTCAGAGCATGATGGCAACGGGGCTGGACCTATGAGAGATTCGAATTCACCTAAAATGTATGGCTCGGGACATTTGTTGACGATCTTTCCCCAAGCACCGAACAACTCCCTTGTCAACGGATCTGTAGGAGTCAGGGGTGCAAAAAAGAGGGGCCGTTCATCTGTTTTTTTTCCTATTACTCTTCTTAGATCGAGACTTCGCCGCCCACTATTCCCGAACTGTCATTGTTTCCACGTCGTGGCCCGCCCGGGTCCCACCCGTCTGCCGTCATGAAGATTTCCAGAGTTGAAATGACGTGGGACGAAAGTTACGTGTCAAGATACAGAGTTTTTTCTGGTGGTACCAGATCAGCAAAACCTTCGAAAGTCTGAGTATACGAATATTGTCGCACGGAACCTGAAAGTTTTGATTTCTTTTTGGATCAATCCGGCATTCAAATTGTCATTTGCGTTGTCATTGTTCACAAAAGCCATCAAGCCAAAGCCGGGAGTGACCGCGATCCCCGGAGCCACGGTTGCCCGACCCGTGGATAATTAATTCTTTATTTCATCTGCAGAACGCCGCAGGGTCTCGATGTGACCCTTAGGAATATGACTATGATCATATTTCAGACCATAGATCTTCAGAATCTCCATGAATAGGTTCCTTTATCCCTAGCAAATACTATCGTGCAACGACCTGATGCATCTTTTCCACGAGGTGCAATACATCTGGATTGCACGGGACTCTAGGGGGGGTGGGGAGAGTTACGATGCATCAGATTTCTGATTGATTCCCGATGATGGCTAGCAGATTCGTGCACCAATGACCAAGAGCACAATGCGGTTCGTGCTACCCGTTCACACTTCTTGGCGTACGCTAGAGCCCATAGTGGGAGAACATGTGGGTCACTACTGCCGATCCATTTTGGAAAAGACGAGAAGGAAAAAAAAAACAAACATGCAGCTACATTAAAACAGTAAGCCCGCGTCTCAATCCTTGCGTCACATACCTACTAGTAACTGTCAATTATGGAGTGGGTATGACGGTTTCCCTGCATTAACAATACAATTACACATCATTATACACAAAAAACCGGTTGCTATGGGATCGTCCCAGCCAGCCACGAATAGTCTTCCGATCGGGAGGTTAAGTGTAAACTTACATACAGTGAACCCCCCACTTAGCGTTCCATCGAGCTGGATCTCATCATGTGGGGCTTGAAGAGCCCATGACTCCGAGATTCGCTTGCTCCGTGCGGATTTACACCGCTACTGTAATTGGCACCTTCCATTGGTCTTTCCTTTTGAAAAAGAAAAATAATCCTACCGCAGGGGGGATACTTGCAATATTTGCAACAAATAAAGCTCTCGACCAATGACAGAAACATAGAGTTTCGTCTCTATGGGGATGGGGGTGCACTTCGTACTCCCGTTACAGCAGGGGTTTCCATTGACGTGCCGTGTTCAATTGCCTGACCCGCCTCCTTTTCCACACAATCACGACTCTCTCCACTAGAGGAGTATACGAGGTGATCAATTACTCGGTTCAGCCGCTCGTCATCCCAGGAGCCATGCTGAAGTGGAGCAGCTGGACCTCGAGGTTGTCCCACGCGGGGCTAACTTGGCTAATTGGCCATCTGGCCATTCTGAGCCACAGCCTCCGGGCAGATCGAGGCTAGTAGTCTTCGAACCTGTCCACCCCCAATCAGATCTTGTCCGAGCAGTCAATCAACTATTGGCGATAACAAATCCGCCACTTATGGGGGATCCACAGTCTTGCAGCTGTGACCTACAGGTCGCCCGCACAGCTCGTTTTCCAATCCGAAGTCAGAAGTACTTCTTTTACCCCCCCCCCCCTAAGTTAGCCTGTAGCCATTTTTTCTTCTTTAATATCTCCATACCTCCCCTTGAGTGAGTCTGTGTGAGCCTCAGACTAACATCACCATGTTGCGGAGATTTTCTACCCAGTTCAAGAAGAACAAGGACGCCAATGGCGACGTCGAGCCCAAGGCTGAGAAGCAGAACAAGCGCTTCTCCAAGGTTGCGCCCGCGCGCAAGTCTTCCTCCAAGGAGGACACCACTGAGACACACCAGGTGAAGCGCGCCGAGGTTGTCGCAGTGTTTGAGAAGTATGCACAGGCTATTCACGCTTCGCGCGAGCCTTTGCCCAACCAGACTGGCGATGGCACATACCTGAAGCACGAGCAGTCCAGCGGACTGATTGATGACATCAAGACCCTCGGTTTCCGCGATATTGGTACCGTGAAGGATCTGGTTAAGAATAAGGCCTCCGGTGAATTGGTTGACGACAAAACATACCTGATGGAGCGCATTATCCAGGTACGAGCGGAACAATGTTGGAATTGAACTAGCAATTGGTGAAAACTGACTCGAATCTCAATTGCAGCTTGTCGCCGACATGCCCGGTCACTCCAAGAACCGTGTCGAGCTTACCAACAGCTTCCTTGATGAGCTGTGGACCTCTTTGCCGCATCCCCCGCTCTCGTAAGAAGCCTTCAATTGCGCCTTATTTATTTCTCAATTAACGCAGCATAGTTACATGGGTGATGACTACAAGTACCGTTCCGCCGATGGTTCGAACAACAACCCCACACTCCCATGGTTGGGTGCTGCCAACACCCCCTACTGCCGCACTATCCCCCCTCTCTCGATCCAGCCCAGCGGGTTGCCTGATGCGGGTCTGGTCTTCGACAGCTTGTTTGCTCGTCAGGAGTTCACTCCTCACCCCAACAAAGTGTCCAGTGTTTTCTTCGACTGGGCTTCCCTGATTATTCATGGTAAGCAGGCTCAGCGATTGCGATGCGTCAGTACTAACGTTCAATAGATATTTTCCAGACTGACTACCGCCAACCACACATTAACAAGACCTCCGCCTACCTCGATCTCTCCATTCTGTATGGTGATGTCAAGGAGCAGCAAGATCTTATCCGTTCCCACAAGGACGGTAAGCTGAAGCCTGACTGCTTCTCCGAAGGTCGTCTGCAGGCTCTTCCTCCTGCTTGTGGTGTTTTGCTGGTTATGCTTAACCGATTCCACAATCACGTTGTTGAGCAGCTTGCCGAGATTAACGAGAATGGCCGCTTTAACAAGCCCGGCAGAGACATGATGGGCAGACCCCTGGAAGGCGATGCTCTTGAGGCCGCTTGGGCCAAGTACGACGAGGACCTGTTCCAGACTGGTCGTCTGATTACTTGCGGTCTGTACATCAACATTACTCTTTACGATTACCTGCGTACCATTGTCAACCTCAACCGTACCAACTCTACCTGGTGCCTGGACCCCCGTGCCCAGATGGAGAAGGCCGGCGCTACCCCCTCCGGTCTCGGTAACCAGTGCTCCGTCGAGTTCAACCTGGCCTACCGGTGGCACTCGGCCATCGCCCAGGGTGATGAGAAGTGGATTGAGCAGATTTACTACGACCTCATGGGCAAGCCCGCTGACCAGGTCACCATGCCTGAGCTGCTGATGGGCATGAAGAAGGTTGAGGGCATGCTTGACGCCGATCCCTCCAAGCGTGAGTTCGCTCACCTGAAGCGTGGCGCTGACGGCCGCTTCAATGATGCGGAACTTGTTGCTATTCTCAAGAACGCTTCTGAGGACGTTGCTAGCTCCTTCGGACCCCGTAATGTTCCCAAGGCTCTGCGTTCCATCGAGATTCTCGGCATGGAGGCTGCCCGCCGCTGGCAGGTCGGTTCCCTCAACGAGTTCCGTAAGCACTTCGGCCTGAAGACTTATGACACTTTTGAGGAGATCAACTCCGACCCTGAGATTGCCAACACTCTGCGTCACCTCTATGAGCACCCTGACTTCGTCGAGTTGTACCCCGGTATTGTCTCCGAGGAGGCGAAGGAGCCCATGATTCCTGGTGTCGGTATCGCCCCCACATATACCGTTTCCCGTGCTGTCCTGTCCGATGCCGTCGCTCTCGTCCGTGGTGACCGTCACTACACCGTTGACTACAACCCCCGTAACATGACCAACTGGGGTTACAACGAGTGCCGCTACGACCTGAACATCAATCAGGGTTGTGTTTTCTACAAGCTGGCCACCCGTGCTTTCCCTAACTACTACAAGCCTGACTCCATCTATGCGCACTACCCCATGACCATCCCCAGCGAGAACCGCAAGATCATGAAGACGCTCGGTCGTGAGGACGACTACTCCTATGATGCTCCTTCCTTCATTCCTCCGCGTGTGAACTTGACCTCTCACCAGGCTGCCAAGGCTGTCCTCAGCAACCAGACCGACTTCAAGCCCTCGTTCAGCACTGCTTTGGACCAGCTGTTTGGCAAGGGCCAGTTCGACGCCAAGCAACAGCAAGCCTTGGCCGAGGCTCTCACTGCCGATGAATTCCCCAGACTTATCAAGCAGTTCTACGAGGAAACTACTCTGCACTTGCTCCAGCAGAACGGTGCCAAGATCGCCAACATCAACCAGGTTGACATCACCCGTGATGTTGGCAACTCAGCCCACGTCTACTTCGCCGCTGCCCTCTTCGGTTTGCCTCTAAAGACCGAGGAGAACCCCTCTGGCCTCTTCACCGAGCACGAGATGTACATGATCCTCACCACCATCTATTCCGCGCTCTTCTTCGATGTCGATGCCCCCAAGTCGTTCTCTCTGAACCGCGCCGCCACCGCCGTTGCCCAGCAGCTCGGCTCCGTTGTCGAGGCCACTGTCAAGGCTGACACCAACAACGGTCTCCTGTCCGGCCTCATGAACAGCTTCCGCCCCCACGACAACGCCCTGCGCGAGTTCGGTACCGCCGCCCTCCGCCGCCTGCAAGAGTCCGGCCTTACCGCCTCGGAGATCACCTGGTCGCAGGTCATCCCGACTATCGTCTCCCTGGTCCCCAACCAGGGCCAGGTGTTCACCCAGGTCATCGAGTACTACACCGGTGCCGGCAAGCAGCACTGGGCCGAGATCAGCCGTCTCGCCAAGGAGGAGTCCGCTGCCAATGACGAGCAACTCTACCGCTACTGCCTGGAGGCTATCCGTATCAATGGAACTTTCGGCTCCTACTGCGAGGCCCAAAACAACGTCACCATCGAGGACAACGGCAAGGCAATCGACATCCCGGCCGGTAACATGGTCTTCGCCTCTTTTGTCCAAGCCAACCACGACGCCAGCGTCTTCCCCGATCCCGACGAGGTCAAGCTCGATCGCCCCATCGACTCCTACATCGCACACGGCCAGGGTCCCAACACTGGCTTCGGTCAGGAGATCACCAAGATCGCCCTTGTTGCCATGATCCGCGTCGTCGGCCGCCTGGAGAACCTCCGCCGCGCCCCTGGTGCCCAGGGCCAGCTCAAGAAGATCCAGCAGGAGGGTGGCTACTACGTCTACCTCCGCCAGGACGGCACCTCTTACTTCCCCTTCCCTATGAGTACGTAACCCATCACTTATTCTCGAATATCAATACAAATGCTAACGGATTACCTTTACAGCTCTCAAGCTCCACTGGGACGGCGACTTCAAGTTCGAGCAGAAGAAATGAGCTACTCGCAGAAAAAAATGCCTTTTTTAATACGGGACTCTTATGTCCCGGGCTTGGAATAATGTGCGGTCTCTCGTGGCCATGGTTAATGTTTTGAGTTTTTGTTTGGATATCCAGAAATTGTGCTTTTATTTAAGGGACTTTAAGTGAGATACTACGCAGGAGACTACGTAGCAGATATAGTTGGAGACTAAGTTTCCTACCGTGTATAGTTCAATGATGACACTTTATATGATTTCTCTCAGTAATCACATCTGCATAAATAACTTATCGAGACAAGAGACCGAATAGATCGATCCACAGAATACTATATACAATACAGTGAAATTTCAACACTATTTCTATCTTTTCAATTGTGTTGGTCTTGTTGATCACCGATAAGAACGCTTTCATGGAGGAGTTCGCCTGTATTGTCCTGAGATGCCGGCATGGAGGCCAAGGCGCTCAAGATCTGGCTCATTCTTTCTTCGTGTCGGTGTACGTGAATATGACTGCGAGTAGGAATATACTGAGATCCTCGGGTACCTCTTCAGCGAGCATTCTTGTAAGCTTCGTGATCAACGTCCCGCCTATTATCGACATCAAGAAATCGTCCGGAAGGTGTTCTAGACAAAACGTTGCCCTCACGGCCATGGACGTGTTAATGCCTGTGATCTCGTTCGATCTAACCCCTCCTTCGTGATTTCATCGCTGATCGGAGAGATTTCCTCCTTCGTGTTGGAACAAGGCGGGGTATCGACGGCATCGTCATGGACCGTAGCCGCTGCCACTGAAAAATCATCACCTTGGCCTTAATGGCGATCAGGGAGGGACAACTGAGCCTGCTTCAGGTCATTATTGGCTTGTCCAGCTCCTTATTTTTGGCCAGTGATTCGGCCCAAAGCTCACCAATCCTCTCCACGTCTTTCTCCGCGCCACTCTTCTTCCAGGCCGCCCTCTCATTGGCCCTCTGCCGCTTGTTCTTCTCCGTCCATTTTTCCCTTGCCAACAACAGACGGTTCGTCCACTCGGTCCCTTTTTCGAGGCTGGAATCCCGCCTCGGACCCTGGTGTTTCTGCCAGGGTTGGTTAAACCGGGACGAGGCTCCATGATGCATTTTCCCATACTGAGAGTATGGCCACTGATATTTTGGTTGCTTGAGCCCCTTTTCTCTGGGCATTTCCCGCGGTATCAGCCTCTTTACGCTTTTTCTTCAACTGAAATGAGACGGCTTAGTATGGAAACACTTATTTTTCACACTCAAAAGTCAAAAATATACACTGCCTCGAGCAAGCTCTTGGCCCAGGATTTCTGAAAGCTCACTCTCCTTACTTTATGGTTGATTGTAGCTTCTCGTTCTATGATTTATTCCCAGCATTGTCTTGATCCGTGACCAGGTTTATCGCAACGCTGACAGATCTGCATCATACACGCATGAGTATTGTGTACAATGATATGAGCAGGGGGACAGAACAGCCACAGAGAATTGGGAATGATAGAGAACGACTCGATGTAAGCTAGGATATGAGGGGTTGATGATAGAATTGATATTTGAAATCTCACGAATTTTGCTTTGCTGGGCACTCTTCACGGCCAGTTCAGAATAATTGATGATGGAGGTGGTGGTGCAGATCTTGGCGTAGAACGCCGTAACCCGCAGCAGCTCAGCGAACTCTGCGGTTTCAAGAGAGCAGAGGTAGCAGTCCCCTTCTCGCCGGATAAGCAAGGTCAGAGAGTTCCTCGGCCAGTACCGAACAGTGCGCTGTGCGATCTCGCAGAGTGCGAGGTATTCCGGGGTCTTAGCTCGTCCGCACGAGCAAGTGGGTTTTGCGTCTTTGTGATGAAAACGCCTGTGATACTGCTCGAAATCGCTGTGCCTCGGGGGTATTACCAACCATCGGTAGAGTACCGGTCGGGGAAGGTCAAGCTTAGGGAGTGCTTCGACCTTGTACTTGTCGTGCCAGCATCGGTATCTCCGGGAAGGTTCCTGGAAGTGCATTCCGGAAGCTTGCATTTGAGCAAGGGAAACATTATAGGAATGACTATCAGTAACGTCATGCCCTGCGTCGCCAAACGCCATTCCCCTCAGGAACCCAATTTGTATGTTCAAGATCCGCATCAAGTTCACGAGCCAGCTCCTCCCGAATAGCCTCGAAAGCAAAGTCTCGACTTCGGAACTCGACCAAAGACTGTTTATTGCGGATCTCAAAGCCAATCAAAGAATACGAAGTCGACAGCTCTGTCCAGGGATCATTGGGGTCTAAAGACCCCCGCTGCTCCATCTCCAAAACATGATTGTGCTCTTCAGGCGCCAACTGTACACTGAAAACCTGCAGTTTCGGCATTACCGAAAGGGAGTCAAGTACCAGCTTAACATGGTTGTAGAAGGGAAAGATGGCAGTATAGGAGAAAGAAGTGAGATGACATAACATGGCCGATAGATGGGCTGGTGGGAAGTCCTGTGGTTTAAGCTGAGAGCCCCATTCTCCAATGACTGATGGGACGCGAGAGAGAAAATATTCGTAGTGATTATATGCTTTCAAAGAGGATGATTCATTAAAGGACATGGATGTCCACGGGCGGGCCAAGAGCAGACTATCGCAGTCATTCAATTCGAGAGAAGTATTTACGGATGAAGCATCAAGCTCCAGTTGTAGGATCTGCAGAGAGATATCAAATGCCCAGCTGTGGGCGTCCATAATACGGGTGTTCAGCATGTTACCGATGAAAGTCGGTGGCGCAAGCACTGTAACACGAATCGGGTCCAGATAACGGAGGACTCGTCGCCACCAGTGTTGATCGGCTGAGTCAGTGGAGGTATTCTCCACGATTACCACGAGGGAAGTCACGTATCGACCCAGATCCGATGCAACTATGAAGGCTTGAAACACGGATTCATCCTTGAGATCTAGACATGCATGGGCGAAAAGCCGAGGTCGCACCAGATCCAGTAAGTGGTACGAGCATTGCGACAATTGTTTAAGTGGTTTCAAGTAATTTGGAGATTGGGTGATCTGGCGGTCTGGGGCTTGATGGAGTCGTCCTAGCGAAGGTGGCTCTGTGCTTAAATAGAAGATGATCTGATCTAGGAGCTCATTGGGGAGTAGCTCCAGGGCACACGGCATAATGCTTAGGGCGGTTACAGCCCTAACTTCCCATGGCGTAACTGTGGCTCAGTCCAGGGTTTGTTGCAGTGTGATATGCTTGGACCGTGGTGAAGTCGAGGGTTCGGGAAGCAAATCGAGGTGGAAGTGCCGAGTTTCCCCACTTGACCTTTGGTGAGTGACCTGACTCCTCCACTTGGCGATTTGTCAGATTTTACTCAGCCAAAAAAGGTCTGATGCCGTTCTGAATGGGATCTGAGGTTAGGATAATTCCATGATATTATATCTTTGAAGTTCACCGTAGGGTAAGAGAAAGACTTGGAAGCGAACTAAGAGAAAATCTGGGGAGATGATCCGGAAAACCCCCTTACGTGAAAAAGAAGACTGTGGAGCTTACATGATCCACTCTTACTCTTTACAATAGATTTTTGCCACTAAAGGTTTTGCGCAAAGATAGGACTTAGGAGGTGCAGCTCGGCTTTGATTTGATTTGACGAATACCTTGACTTATACTCGGTAGACTGCATTAAATTCAAAATTCTGGTTATATGCTAAGTAAGTTACCCCGGCACACGCTCGTGCGCCATGCGCCAAGCGGCCAAGGGGGTGCCCCGCAGTATAGTTCGCTATAATTCTACAACGGCATCGTCCGGATGTGGTTGAAGTCTTGTCTAAGTCTACTTCGTACTATGTAGTAATACAACAATTTGCCTAATAGCCCTGAGCTTCACTTTTTATTAGATGCATTGACCAAATCGTCATGTGCAATCGAAAGAATCCAATAGGCGAGCCGTGTGGAGATCATCTTTGCTTGCGATGACAGCCCCACCTTCCAGCAAGCACAACGGAGATGGAAATCCATGATGGAATAATTGGTTTCGCCCCTCTTTTAAACTCCGGCTTCGGTCTTGACTTTTCTTTCTCTTTCCCCTCCTTTACTAACATATCTCAATGTGAGTAAACCTGGGCACCATTGGCATCCATTGCGACTTAGGCTAATCAATCCTCCTGCCCAGATCATTCACAATGGCTCCTCAACTTTACCAGAGACCCCCTTTCCGCGCGGAGCACTTGGGTTCGCTCCTCCGCCCTCAGCAGCTCTTGGATGTCAAGATCGCCCAAGAGGCCGGTAAGGCCTCCGAGGCCGAGCTTGCTGCCGTCGAGGACAAGGAGATCACCGACATTGTCAAGACCCAGCTGAAGATGGGCTACCCGGCTGCTTCGGATGGTGAATACCGTCGTCACAGTAAGCATTCGAGCTCCCGCGGAAAAAGCGACGCAATATTGACATGCTTTAGTGTTCTGGGGTACCTTCTTCCCCGGTCTGGACGGCTTCGACGAGATCACCGAGTTCGACGTCGGCATCTTCCGCTCTTACGCTCCTGATATTGCTGCCTTCCTGGAGGCTGGCCACAAGCCCGGCGAGACCGTCATCTGCACAGGCAAGATTAAGCACGTTGGTAGCACCTACGTCGACCAGTTCAAATACCTTGCTAGCCAAGTCCCCGCCGATCAGGTCAAGAACTTGAAGATCACCCTCGCTGCCCCCAACTGGTACCACCTGCGTTACGTTGAGGGTAAGGCCTACCCCAAGTCTGTGTACAGCTCCGACGAGGAATACTTCGCCGACCTAGCGCAAGCCTGGCGCGACGAGATTTCCGCTCTATACAAGGCGGGAGCGAGAAATCTGCAGTGGGATGACCCTAACCTGGCCTGTAAGTGACTCCGACTCTCCGTGCAATATGAAGTATATCGGAAAAACTCACATGTTATAGACTTCTGCTCCGAGAAGTTCCTCAAGGGTTTCAAGGAGGACCCCTTGAACATCCAGACCGCCGACGAGCTGTTCGATAAGTACATCAAGCTGTACAACGACTGCCTCATCGGTCTTCCCGAGGACATGCACGTCGGTGTCCACCTGTGCCGCGGTAACTTCGTCGGCAGCCGTCACTTCTCCGAGGGTGGCTACGACCGCATCGCCATTAAGCTCTTCCAGGAGCTCAACGTCCACACCTACTACCTCGAGTACGACACCGAGCGTGCCGGTGGCTTCGAGCCCCTCAAGCACCTCCCCACCCACAAGAACGTCATTCTGGGAGTCGTGACCTCCAAGTTTGCCACCATGGAAGACAAGGAGGAGATGAAGACCCGTGTCATCAACGCCGCCAAGATGATTGCCGAGGGCAACAACATCACCCTCGATGCCGCCTTGAACCAGGTCGGCGTCAGCCCCCAGTGTGGATTCGCTTCCCACCGTGAGGGTAACGCGATTGACTGGGATGGTATGATCAACAAGCTTCAGCTCGTCCGTGATATCGCCAACGATATCTGGCCCGGTCAGCTGTAAGAGGGTCGCCAAAAAATGTAGAACGAATGCAACGAATACCCATCTGTAATTTTTCTTTGTCACTGCCAAGAGGCGCCATTCTCGAGTTGCCTATTCAACAATGCAACGGGGGTGGGATTTTCTTTTTGTGCACAGCGCCGGTGGGATGCTTGGGACGAACGTCATGATTGATATTTTGGAAGGCACAACTTAACGTATGATTCTTGGATATAGTCAATGAACAAAGAACCCGTGTTCATGATCACGATCACACTTCCAGACTTCAAATCTTTCCGGTAAATATTCGGGGGGACACCTTTTATTTTAAGTCAAGCCATTCCCAAGGTCCTCAAACTAGGCCAGTCACGAGCTAGTGAGCCATGAAGTACATATTCAATCAAATACTGCCTTTTCACTCTAGACTTGAAGACAAGATTACGATAGAGTTGTATAGCAACTTTTTTGGTGGTGATAAAGAATGGATGAGCTATTTGGATATACTAAACAACAACCTCAAAGGCGTGACTAGAACCAAGTGAAGCTACCTAAACACATCCAAGTCACTCCGCAGGGCCAAGGATATTAGCCTCCTTCACCGCAGAATGCTTGCGAGTCTTCTCGTTCTCAATCTATGAAACAAGTCAACAGCCAACCCTTGCCTCGAGAGTTTATGATAAGGCGTAATACACACCTCGTATCGGGGTTCCTTATCCGAGGCAGCAACACTACGGCCAGTGAGTGTCGTTGGATTGGTTGCAACCTCGCGAATGATACCGACACTCGTGCTGGTATTGGAGTTAGGCCCTGTTTAGTGATATCAGCTTTGAATAATAATTTACTGAAGAGTTTGTCATACCACCGACGGGCTTATAGTTGACTCGCTGTCCTTCATGGAATGCAGGCATTGGCATCGTTTCTGGACAGCGTTTCAGAAAGACTAGTTGATTTTGAGGAGTTTTATGGACTGGTGTGGACTTGTGCGTTTTGGCGGTTTGTGAGTAGAGTGAGATTTGACCTGATGCAATCAAATAGTCGATACTTTGTTTGAGTCTGGTGTAGCTCTATTTATAAAGCATCGAGATAAGCAGAAAAGGGCTCGAGTTCCGGAGTCCCACGTCACCTTTGCGTGACTGTGACTGTATGTTAGGAAGCCATCGGAAAGTGCCCAATAGCGCGGGTTTAGATTCCGATGCGTCTACTATGATGACAGGATGTATGGCTTTCAAGGTTGGTTCGGTCAGGCGTATGTCATGTTCATTCTGATTCTCTATCCCAGCGCAGTTTCCACTTATTGCATCTCTCTATGAAGTTAATCAACTCTATACACATCGGGAATCCAGAAGAAAATCACAAGGGAATCGAACAATGGTAACGCTGATGATATGGACCACTATACGGATTAAATAATTAAGTCGGAGCTCATGACGAGTCCCATGGGTAAGAACAGAGGGGATATCATAGAAGGAAAACGGGAAGGGGGAAAGACAGAAGTAACCCGCACACAAAGGAAATCGAGGAACATGATCCGAGGAAAAGGGGAAAGGAAATAGGGCCTAAATGCTGGGTCGTCTTGTCATCAAACACGGACATGAAGCGGAAAGAGATGAAGACTGTCGGACAGTGCGAGGTGTTATACACGAGGCGGCGGGGGATGCCTCTCAGGATCATAGCCGGGGCGATCCAGGTCCCAGTCTGGATGGGTATGAGTGATCAATGGCGTAGCGTGCCTGGCCGGGCGCATGTCTGGGAAGACCCAACGGAGATTCGACCCTTGGCGTTCAATTCGAGGATAGATGGACACCTTTATTTCGTGGGTTGGGTTTTGACGTTGTTGGAGAGCCAGGCCTGAAAAGTGGAGAAAAATGCGGGTCAGGGTTTGTTTTGTGTTTTGATGCTTCAACAGGGACGAGTACTTACCAGACCCTCAAAGATACCAGTACCATCTGTAGCCACACTGGGCGCAACATACCACAGCTTATCCTTAAGCTTGGTCAGCTGGAGCGTGTTGGTAATTTCCTCCGGGCTCAGGTCTAGGGCAATTGGTCAGTATCAGCTTGAAAGGGGCCAATCCGGAAAACCCGAATCGGAAAAAACACATACGACCACTAATATCCTGTTTGTTGGCGAATACCAACAGGAGAGCATCCTTCATTTCGCGATCGTTAATGATCTTGTGGAGCTCCAACCGAGCTTCCTCCAGACGGGCAGTGTCGCTAGAATCCACCACGAAAATCAAGCCTTGTGTGCCGGAATAGTAGTGTCGCCAAAGGGGTCGGATCTTGTCCTGACCACCGACATCCCAGACATTGAACTTGACATTTTTATAGGTCACGCTTTCCACGTTGAAGCCGACTGTGGGGATTGTTGTCACGTCCTGGTTGCTGAGTTTCAATTTGTAGAGAATTGCTGATAAAAGTTAGCTTTCGTGTTCGATAAAATTCTCCAATGAGGATCATAGAGCTTACTAGTCTTTCCAGCAGCATCGAGACCCAGCATAAGAATGCGCATTTCCTTCGTGCCGAAGATCTTCCCCATCATCTTGGAGACTTGGCCACCCATCTTGGCGGTATCAATTGACTTTTCGATTGGGAAAGGACAAAACGGGGTGCTCTTGCACAAAGAAATAGAAAGCAAGCCAGGGATAATTGTGGCTTTCACCCCGGAAGTTGGAACTTGGGAAAAACAACAGGAGATGAGGGCGGGGGGAAAAGGGGCAGGCTGGGCTGACTCAGCCCCATTGGAGACACGGATCCACAAGCAATTTACTGCCTACCGAACTACTTGATTAGGTTGTGGATACATATACAGTTCAGTATAGATACCTCAGCGCCTAGGTAACTCATAGAGTTCTCCTGATAGTGTAGGATTTGGGATTATTATACCGGTACCACACTCCGTAGCTACAGACAAATCAGGAATCAGGAACCGTGGTTGTATCCTTTTCACACGTCATGATCGGGTGTTTCCAAACATCTCACCTATTTATCTCCCTGCGAGATCTCAATCTCAAATTTAATTTTTCTTTCAAACTTATCCAACATCATGCCTTCTAACGAACAGGGACCCGAGCGCCGCACATCGGTGGCTCAACACCGCCGGCTTTCACATCAATTTGAGAGACGCGCTTGGCTAGCTCCTCCATCAGATGTATGCTACCACTAAGATGAAATCAAGCTGATGCTGACTCCCAGAAAGGCCATCTATGCAGGTATTTCGGGCTTCTTTCCAACAAATCAGCCCTGCACCATCGCCATCGTCTTCCGCGATACCACCTACATACTGGACTTCATCGAGAAGGTGTTTGACATCCCCAAAGATAAACAAGAAGCTGATGTAACAACAAATTTTATCATCTCGGAGCTTAGGTCATATGGAGAAAGACACTTGGAGAAGATTATGGGTGTGGCAATGCCCGAAATTGTCACCGATCAATGCCCTAAGCTCTGCTCGCGCCTATGGGCAGAACTCGACATCCTTCCCCTGGTGCTTCCAGAATCCATCATGACCGATCAATGGATCTCACGTGTCCCAAAGGGCCAACGGGAAGGGGATCCAAGAACGATTGACGAGCAGGCGGATTCTATGTCGCGAAAATGCGTGCGGTAAGTTGGGATCGACAGCGATGCGGAGACCCTACCGTTTAAACTCTACCAATGCACGCCCCCTCTGACCGTTGTTGGCACGCAGATTATTTGGCCCGGAGAACCTCCCCTTGCTACAGGTGGGTTTCATGGGCCTCGTGGAAGTTGACACTGGTTTCCATGTGCGAATGACAGACCTTGATGATTTCAAGTCAACTGTCTCCTCCAGGACGTGGTCTGCCGTGGAACACTACGCCGCAGACCTGAAGGAGAGAAATATTAGTATTGCCTTTTTCAGTGCGACTCCTCAGGGTGGGGGAGTCGCGCTGATGCGGCATGCCCTCGTGCGATTTTCTCATCATCTGGGCACAGACATCAAGTGGTGGGTACCAAAGGATATATTGAGAAACATCTACTAATTCCCATGCACCATGCAGGTATACACCGAAGCCGTCACCGGGGGTGTTCCGCGTAACCAAAAACAATCGTATGTTACTATACACCACAACAATCGACACACTTCTCATCTAGTCCTTACCACTGACTCGCAATTGTGTAGACAATATTCTACAGGGTGTTGCAGAACCTGGAGAAAGGTTGACCGTCGAGAATCAAAAGTTGATGCGAGAATGGATTGAAGAGAATGCCAAGCGATACTGGCTCAGGCCTGGCGGTCCCCTGCTCCCTCCATCAGAGGGCGGAGCAGATGTGATTATCGTGGATGACCCTCAAATGCCCGGTCTCATACCCATTGCCAAAGAACAAGCACCAGACCGGCCAATCCTGTTCCGCAGTCATATTCAAATCCGCAGTGATCTCATCAAGGAGCCTGGAACCCCTCAGGCCGAAGCATGGGAGTTTTTGTGGAATCAAATTAAGCTTGCGGACTGTTTCATCAGTCATCCCGTAAGCGCATTTGTACCAAGCAACGTCCCACCCGAGATAGTTGGCTATATGCCGGCATCGACTGATTGGTAAGTGGTCCGCTACCATGCATTACCTTGCTGACGTGTCAAGGCTGGATGGATTGAACAAAAACATGCGCGACTGGGATATAGCCCACTATGGCCGCATCTTCAATGCAGCCTGCAAGCTTGTGGAGATGACAACTATTAATTATCCCGAAGGTGAAGTATGCCTGTGGTTACGCATGAGCCAATGTAGCTGACCATCTCAAATCAGACAAGTACATCGTGCAGATCGCACGGTTTGATCCATCCAAAGGGATTTTAGATGTGCTGAAGTCGTACGAGAAGTTTCACGACCGGTTGGCCAATGACCAGCCTTCTCTTACACCTCCAAAGCTTGTGATTTGCGGCCATGGCTCGGTGGATGACCCTGACGGATCGCTGATTTACGATATAGTGATGGATCATATCGAACAGAATATCCCACATCTCCGGAATCTGATCTGTGTCATGCGGCTGCGGCCTTCGGATCAGATTTTAAACGCTCTCCTCTCCAAGGCTACCATTGCGCTTCAATTATCTACCCGTGAGGGGTTCGAGGTCAAAGTCTCTGAGGCAATCCACAAGGGTAAACCGGTGATTGCCACCCGTGCTGGTGGAATCCCGCTGCAGGTTGAGGACAACAAAAATGGATTCCTGGTGGATGTCGGTGACACCGATGCCGTTGCACAGCATTTGTATGAGCTGTGGACGGACAAAGCCCTTTACCACCGTATGTCGGAGTATGCACGCAGCCACGTCTCTGACGAGATGGGCACGGTGGGCAACACCCTTCTCTGGCTCTATCTCGCCTCGAAATTTTCCAAGGGCGAGCCTGTAAAGCCGAATGGGCGCTGGATTAACGACATGGCCTTTGAAGAACTTGACCTTCCGTCGCTGGTAGGTGTTAACCATCTCAAGCGAGCAGTGCAGGTGCAGAACATGGGGTAGATTTGGCGAGTTCTACCCAATAGCTCAGAATGTCTCAAATTGGTCTTCCATATCAGCTACATTTGAATGATACACTGCTTAACAGCATGAAGCATAACCCACAACACTCGTACTCCATAGAACACCAAAATGCAAATCAATTTCAGCAAGAATTGTAGGGTATCATTGAAAATCAAAAAGAACAAGACAAAGCCATCATGGCCGTCCAACAACTCGATACCTTTCCCTCGCCAAACCACCCTCCGCCCCTTCAACCCCATACCCCTCGCCAACCTCCCCAACAATTCGCGCCGGTCGTCCTCCAACAACACACCAACTAGGCACAACCATACAGGGCGGCACAGCCGCACCATCCAAAACAACCGCAAAGTCCTTCACAATAGCCATGCTCCCGATTGTCGCGCCCGCGCCTACGTGAACATGATTCCCCAATGACGCGGCCTCCACAACGGCCGACTCACCCACAAAGACATGATCCCCAATTTTCAGCGGGTAGAACGAGTGCACGCCGCGATGTAACCTGCTCGGCGGGCGTAGGATCACACTCTTGGAGATATAGCTGTATCGACCGACCGTGATCGCGACGCTGGGGGCATTAGATTGCTGGGGTGGGTTGTTGGGGTCTGTGGAGGCGACTGTGGAGGGGAGACGGTAGAGGTCGCCGCGGATGACGGCTTCGGCTTGGATGACTGTCTTTCCGCCGAGGATAATATGTTGTGTGCCGTGAATTTGGGAGCGGCGCGAGATCTTGTTGCCCGTGTCCTGTAAGGTGTCAGTTTGGGGGTTCGAGGGAGGGGAGTTTGTGGGCGGGGCATTGGTGGATCTATGGGTGTACTTACAGTCTCAATGTACTCACTCTTGGCGGCTTTGGGAGGCATTTTGGAGGGGAGGCTGTACCTTTAGAAATCCAGTGTTGTTTGTTCGGTCTTGGATGTTGATAGTCGCGGGTCCACTAAGGCGGTGTGGGGCGTATACATCATCCTGATACCTTAACTAGTCAAATCTGGGTAGACATGGTGAAAAATGGGACGAAACAGTGCGACTCGAGACCTTTTTAACTAAGATATAATTTAATAAATAATTGATGGAAGTGGTTCGGAAGGGATATCAAATGAGAGCTCCAGATGGATGAACGAGGTTAATATCCACCTGGATTAGGGTGCATGAGAGTGATGTAGGGTGCCCATCTAGCAATCTCAATTCAAATTTCCTATCTCAATTTCGAGTCTTCCACAGCAATTTACAAGATTTTGGACTGTTTGCGGCACGTGGGACGACGTGTAGACGGTGCTTGAAGCTGGGAAAATCAATCTGGTTATACAAAGCAGAGCCCCATAGTATAACCGGAAACCTTCAAAATTTCGCGATCGACCATTCCAGAAAGAATGACGAGGGTTGAAATATAGAGAACCATTCATCTGAGCACTTGGTCTACTTCATTGAATCCTGTTTTGATCACAGGTACATCATTTTTCAACCCATGCTGCGAGTGAAGAGATCATCGTCAGGATTATACCCAGGAAGGCAATCGAAGAAGACTCAAGAGGTGGCATAGACATATTCAGGGTGCCTTTCGTCGAGTTGGTAGGTTGAGATGGATTCAAATACAATGGGGAGTATGTTTAGACTTTAGAAAGGGCGCATCATTCACATACAAACATCTATTAGAACTATGGACACCGCCCACTTTGAACATAGTAGACTTCCAAGTTTGGTCGGGACTCGATCTGTGATAACACCAATAGACCCTATTACCACATCGTATCCATTTCTGGGGAATCTCATATAGTATCGCTTGCACTCTTCTCCTCGCCAAACTACAAAAGTGAATATGAAAACCATTATTGACTTCAAATTCCTTCACAGTAGTGGCACTCGTGTTTTTTCTTCTAGACAAATAGACTGCAGACTCAAAGGGGCGTCAGTAGAAAAAGTGTAGTTGTGCTTGGCCGCTCTCTCCCACAATTGTTGCAGCAGGTTCCCAATTAGTTGATGATGAGGAATCAGAAAGTAGGTATAAATACGCCGAAGGTATTCTCGGATCTTATCCTGCAAATCTGGACACCGTGAGGCTTCATTGCCAATAACCGCCAGCGGCCATATCAGCGTGAACGCCGTTGGGATATGATACTTTTCAGCCGCTTGGATGATTTTCTCAATACCTGCACACATCTCTCGAATATATCGATCGATGAGAGATTCCTGCTCGGTGGATAAAGGAGCCATTGCATCCGTGCCGAAGCCACCGCGCCATAAATAGATCATGGCGGCTTTTCGTATGACCTCCCATGCTGTACTGAGAACAAGGCTGGTTTCTAGAGGCATGGAGTCGGGAATCGAAGGTGGGTTCCATCGCGTAAGGATTGTCTCCATCAGAGGAATGTGCTGCTTGTCTCGCTCATCGGCTGTTATTATGCGTTGATGGACTAGACTCACACCTGAACTGGTCGATAGAGAGGTCTGAAATGCGAGTTCTTCGAAATAAACCTTGCTGACAGGATCCAAGTTATGTTCCGATCGGTCCTCGTCCACAACAACAGATAATAAAGCAATGATCGTCACCAAAGTCTCCGGGTATCCCGAGCTGATCTCCCACCCAGAAAGCATTTTCTCTTTCGACGGCAGACGCAAAATTTCTTCTGCAGGGCATGAACTCCATTGCAACCAAAGTCGCCGACTAGGTTCGGTTCTGCCAATATGAAATGCCTTAATATCAGCATGCGAGGCGGCAAACGACGCGAATTTGTGAAGAGAAAAAGGAAAAGTGTTAAAAACAGGCAGCGGTGCGGTTTCAAGGAGAGCAATGAGACCATTCAGATGCATTGTCCATATTTCGTGTCCGGGCGGGCAAGATATCCACAGGATCATCGAGATCGCTATGGCCTCTTCAATGTCTCCATGCCCAGTCTGCAGATTTAACAAACTGGATTGTAGATTTTTGACAGTGTGCTGATAACTATCCTGGGCAAGATCTAGCCCCTGGTCTCCAAAATTGGTTGCTCCGGTTGCTCCGGACTGGTTGTTGAGAAAATGGGAGGAGCGAAACCGGGAGGCTAACGTCAGAAGTGCCTCTAAACTGGTCGCGTGACGAGCTGCCAAAGGCATCAAACACTGTAAAATCGGAACACCATATCCTGGGACCGCCACAAGGGTTTGTTTAAAGCGTCGAATCACTGAATATTAGCTCATATATTAGTTTGATCGTTCGTAGGAGGCCATTGTGACTGAAGAGCGATACACTTACAGAATCGGAGATTTTGGTTATCCACACCACTTAGCTTCAAATCCCACGCGCTTGCGTCAAAATAGCCCATCTTTGAGCATATTGAATCTCATGGATACAAGCATTAAAACAGCACATTCCCGATCTCTCATGGATTGATTAATTTTGCAGTTTCTCGATGTTGAAAAAGAAATGTTTGAGTTGGCCACGGCATATCTCAGTATCTGGTGATCTACATTTTCAAGGCAACTACAGTAGCTATTTTAGGGGCCCATGTGCAGACCCTTTCGACAGGAATTAAGCAACCAGGGTCACTATCGAAACGTGCATCAATAAAGCTTTGCAATTGGTACATCCAGTGAACGGACCGCCAAGAAAATTTACCGTCGGTCACTTTGTTTGGTACTATGGTGGAGCCCAAAGCCCGTGTGTGGACGTGCAGATGGTTATCACTCCAACTAGGCAAAACTAAAATCTGATGATTGTCAATGTCTCTTATCAATTGTACTGGTAGATTCAAGAATAACTCGAACACGCGTAATGGCTCTACAGATGTCATACTCTACCCTCATGTAACCTAGATTAATGATCTTGTCGCGTATGTCTAGGACTAAGTAGTCAACATGCCGTTTGCAACATAAGTCTTTTTTGCCGGCTGCCGAACCCTGGTAAAATCTCTGAGATTCCTTGGCGTTCACAGTAGATTTAGCTTGTAGATTTGATCAAAAACTTGGAAGAAAATGGGCCGATGTCGTTGCATTGATATTTTAGCACAAATCGGGTAAGGTATATCCGATGCCATTTAGCCGGCGCAATATAACCTTCTTATACGCGTATAGCCAAAAGTGGACCTTGAAACCTTGCGAAATTCCAAGTTTGGACGTTGCAGAGTTTGCTCTGGATCATCACGCAGTTTACGGATATAGTGTCAGCATATGACATGAAGCTTTGGAACCCCAAGTCCCGACTATATGAAACAACCCCTAACTACCATCAAACGTATCTTTCAAGATCAGTCCCACCGGGAGGACTCCTCAAATACTCCATTAAAAACTCGGACAAGGAATCCCAATTCAGAGATTTACCCCGAGGCCTATTATGGCTCCTGCTCTATCGTCACCTATCGTGACAGCTTCTAGGGAAAAAGATCATCATGCCCAGGATGACCATGCACAGTCAAATACCTGTGCCAATGTTGAAATGTGAAATAAAAACCATAGTTATAAGTCTCTGACGTACAAAAGGCCTAATTGATCAATGAATCCTTCCAAGGTGATAAGTAGAAAGCGTCGGCTTCCCCCACATGCGTCGGCTTCTCCCACATCATTGCACGGAGAACCCACATCAAGAAAATTCTGATCAACTATCAATCAATTCAATCAATTTTAATCGGCGACTCTATATTTTGCGGGCTACTGCTCACCAATGCCTTATTCAAGACCATGATTTTGTAACTACAGTCCCTACTGTAGTGACCGAACAATATGCAGAATGTGAATCTTTTATAAGGTAGAAAGGATTAAAATTCAACTGGATCCCCTTATTCATGTAACACGACTCATTTACGTCGACTTATTCGATTTTGCTCGGAGTTAGCTAGTCATGGCAAATAAATAAGCATAAAGCTTCGGCATTTTAGATCTAGTAATCAAAGGACGACCCACCGGTCAAACTATAAATAATCAACGAATGGAAGGATCTACAGAATTAGGCTCCCAAATTTCTTAATAATGTAATTTCCATCTAATTAGTCGAACTTGGATAAGGAAATCCCTTGTGGAATTCTATACCTTAGCCCACCACCAAGAGTAAAGCACGGTAGTGCGACCCTTCTTCCTGGGTAACTGGAGCGAGATTGCATTAAACCTGGCATCGCGATGGACATTGATTCACCATACGAACTCACTACTTCCCGAGCATGTGACCGATGTCACTCACTAGTAAGCTTTTAAGTACTCAAATTTTCAAAATTAACCCTTAACCCATCATTCCACAGAAAACTCAATGTCTCTTCGGAAACCCCTGTGGAAGATGTCAGCGGCTTGGCTTGACATGTACCAATGACCGACCCCAACGTGCGCGTGGTCGCCCTCCAAAGGGGACATCCAGATCCCGGGTACGTCGATAAGCTTGTGCTTAACAGCATCACTTATATGTTCTTTGCTAGTCTTCGCATACACTTCAGCTCTCTCCAGAAGACAGTAGCTCTGTGTCACCACGAAGTGGTCTCTTATCTACTGCAATACTTCCCTTTTTCCAAGGTGTTCCTGAGATTTCAGTGTCACATGATGTCCTTGCTTCACTTGTCCAACAGCTTCTCAATTCGGCCCCCGGATTGGGTTTTTATAGTATCATCCCTGCGTGCGCAAATCTGCAACTGAGACATGATGGTTCTTTTCAGCAGGTCTTTGAGGATTTGCTTCAGCCTGAGGTTCGATGCGCTCTTGCCGCAATCGCCTTGGAATTTTATGGGCATAATATTCCAGGCTATACGCAAGACATGGCTATTGTTGACCGAGATAGTCTTCACATGAGCGCTCTTTCGTCAATTCCAAATATCGCATCCAGAAGCAATCACCCTACTTTGTCGAACGCCCTTTGTCTCCTGATGCTCAGTCATACCTGGACCATCGCGGAGGATTTCCAGAAAATTCCGATGCAATGGTGCTCTGTCGCGAGAATTATTTTTGACAATTATGAAAAGGGAGATGAAAGGACTTCTCTCTATTCTAGGGAGTTAGAACGTCGGTATGTCAGAGCTTCTGTCTAGCTCAGGTAATTTCTAACAAGCGGTATAGAACATATATTGCATTGAGCCTACAGGAATGGTGATTTAAACCTTTTCTATCCTCAAGATCGTTTACTAACATGTGTTTGATAAGCGTTCTTCTCTTCGTCAATAATTGCGTGAACATATGGCCGCATTTTCACCACTCCACGGCCACGCTACCATTTATAACCGACGAGGAATGGCATTCCTAAGGTCGTTCATTGGATTTCGAGCAGAATTTAACCACACATTCTCACACTTTTTTTGCTTTATTTCAACCGTTCATCAGGTACGCTACGTGCGTTACTCACATCATGCTTTCAATCTCTTATTGTTATATAGTATCATGAAAACCATCGCTCAAGAGCCTGAAATCGGCTCACCTCATTGGATCGAGATTGAAGAGCAATTGGAAGATTATTTTTTCCAATTTCCCGGAGCCCTATTACAATTCAGCAATATAAGCCATTGTTATCAGTTTGAAGCAATGATCTGGCTACACGGACTATTTATTGTACTATGTGAGAAAACGCAGCAAACTACCCACCTGAATGGAGCATTAACACGGGCTCGCAGATTCAACCCGGGATTTCGTCAACTTATTAAAGAAGACCATATATCTCCAGGTGGACTGTTTCAACCACATCCTCGAACATTCGTTACTACTTGGCGAGGTACTACCCTACGCAAAAACCAAACCATCTTAAGCTGACCACACATATTATGGCCAGGCTATAACCCCTTTACTTTCCAAGTACCCCGACTTAGAAAGCCTTACCCCAACAACAATCTATCTCCTTTGCATCTCATCCGCAGTCCACAGTCTAGCTCTCCGACAATTCATTTTCCAGCCCGACTTCGCCCAAATCAGCCCCCCAGCCAAACTCATCAAATCCACACAAGATCACTTGGAAATTCTGCGTATCTGTGAAAATAAATACAGGCGATGCGACCCTATGATTATTCGGGAGTTCTTGAACCTGCTATCAACATGTCTACAGGCCGCGACAGGAGGAAGTATGACAGGTGTTGAAAATCTTTCTTGCGCGAGGCTATATCTTTATCGCTGGACTGGGAAGGGGAGTGGTATGATACAGATGAATGAGAAGGATGCAGATCGAGAATGGAAGTATGTGGAACATCCCAGCGATAAACTCTGGGACGGGTTAACGGGGCTGGAGACGGAGTTGACTGTTACTATTCTGCAGGTTTGTGATCCGGCGCAACGGGTTTGCGGGAGTGGGTTTTTTGATTTGAGTATTATGATACCAATTTAAAAGCTTTGAGTTTCTAGGAGTCTTTGAATTTCTTTAATTTTTCATTAGACATATTTTATATGAGAGCAAGCAAGAAAAAAGGTACGTGGACGGTATAGGAAACCTAGCGAAAACATGGTTGTAGAAACGCGCGGAAAAGTCTAGTATCATAGAGAGGAGTACATCATCAATATAATTCTCATGCCCTGGAAAATGACAGATGAGTGTCATAGATGAATTTGCGCGCGATAGCGAAAACCTTTATAATAATATCATTTGTATGTCTCTCCAATTTCCCAAGATAGTCAAACACAAGTATCGAGCGAAGGTCAATCTAGTCTTTAAAAGCTTCTCCTCTATTCACTATTACACGCATGACAGATATTGAGACAGGAAATCAATCATGAGTTTAAAACCAGTGTCTTGTGAAGAGTGCCGAAAGCAAGTAAGAAAAGCATCACAGAGCGTTTCGACATAACATCATACATGGGCTACTTCATGATTCCCAGACCTTCCACGACTGACAACGCGCCAGCGAGCATGAAAATCAATCTATCAACTGTACCCCTAGACAACGGAAATCTGGTTAGCATGGCATTTTAGTAGATTGGATGGTCTCCTGTGAATCATTTATAATGAGCGGGTTCATATTCCGCAGGAATCGAAAGAGATGACGACATGGTGAACAGCTTGGTAAGAATGTTCTGCAGTAAAAACTCGGTAAAAACTTCAAGCTTCTACCTTCAATGTAATGTTGAACCGTAAATGACCTATAAATGACCTAGTAGTACTTGAACTCGTAAAGACACGGATATTACTTCCATCCTGCTTTAGCAAGTTTTAACACGCTATTACGGCCGTTGTAGACTCTGGAAAAGCCCATTTGGATGGCTGATATTCGAGTATAATGCAATTCTACCTCTCTCATATTACCCATCACACCATAAAGCGAACCTTCTCTCTAAATCATCTCACCATCCCTCTCACCTCTTCGCTATTTAAGCAATCCACATTATAATCAACATTCCAAAATGACAGTCTCTCTACCACCAAGCTCCTTGGAGTCGGTGTCGCCACAACCAGACCCCGTACAAACGGAAGGAAAGAATGAGAAGGCTAGAAACCACATGAATCTCCCCATAATCAGTTTTGGGCTAGTCATGACATTCTGTGGGCTTGGACTTGTTTTATGTGCCTTTTCTATTCAGAGTGACTTTATCGACCCGTCTTGGAATTGGTACAATTCTGCACTGGCCTGGCTTCTGGTTCTATTTGCGGGCAGTAGCGGTGTGGCCTCTCTGGTATTAGCATTAAATTTTATCCTATTTGGTATGGGGTGTGATGTTCAGCGTTATGGGGGGTTTGATCCGTTTTGAAGGCGTGGTTCAAAGTTTGCTACAAACAAGGGAATGTTAAGGCTTCAACCTTTGCAAAAGAATTTCAAGTCAGACTTCGGATGAGAGTATCCTTGCAGTGAAATCTTGAAAATGTTGATAGTACTGAAAATAGAAATTACTATTGCGATTGACTAATGCGGGCAAGATTAGCCAAAGATAGCCCCGAGATACTACTAAGCACTACAGGAGTATAATATATAAAGCTTCCACATGGGGGCTCGGATGCCGCGAGTTGGAATCGTAAACATCCTGGTGAACACCTTACTTAAACTCAAATTTCCACAGAAAATCTCCCGATCATTCCATATTTATCTCTCCATCCCACCATTTCTACCTAAAATTCACATTAGTACATATCAATTTTGAAAATGACAGTCTCACCCCCGCCAGGCTACAACTCGCCTGACCTGGAATCAGCTTTACCACAAACAGACACTCCACAGACAGAGGAAAGTGCAAAAGCCGAGACTGCAACTTGTAATCCAGAATCTCGTTTCATTTTTGGTGGGATAAGCCTTGCTATGCTTGGGTCATCTTGATTCTTTGTGCCTGCGACTTGACCCATAATTTATCCCCTGATACGAACTCCTACGATGTTGCAATGATCTGGATTTTGGCCTTATTTTTAGGTGGCATCGGAGGTTTCTGTTTGCTAGCAGCCGTGGCGATGATATCGCAAGCCATATCATCTATGTTTTTTTGATCAAATGATCAATTTTGCTATTGGGTGGAGATGGATGTTCAGCCTTTGTGAATTTATGAAGTGTTGAAATTGGAATTGTTATTCATTTATTAGAATTTATTTCAAAGTTCGTTTACCATAGGAGAAGAAAATCGGGATTCTAACTTTTGCAGGGGACCATAAGTTGACAATTATGGCTTCGGAGATTAAGCAACTGCACCCGTGGACGTAAATGGCTTATTATATCTTCCAATGACATGTTGAAACTGTGGATTACCTCCAGATGCCTGGAATATATTCAAATCTTGGAATGTGTATCGGGAAGATTGTAACACTTGAATGTCAGAATGTCACCTACTAGGTACTACATGTATGTGGGCTTGATCCAAATGCATAATTAGATACAATGCATGGCGTCTCGTCGGCTTTGGATATATCGGGGTTCGGGCAACCGTAAACAGCCTAGTAATTTTAACCTGCACCGCATATATGTAGACTCAAACCTTAGTGAATAATATGAATCCTGTCCTAGCCTCAAGAATCCAGACCATCCATTCATCACCACTCTGACCTATAACCAGTTCTCTTCATCCAAGTACCCTGATACAAAACGAGAGATTCTCCAGTTCCCCCAGCCTACGAGTTACACGGCATGCCGTCAAATGATCAGCAAACAAATACCGAACTCGATACCGAACTCAGCAAATTTCATAAGCCATTGGGCAGAAGGTCATGGGTTCTCATTGCATTCGGGATGCTTTTACTAGCGGTAGGATCTGTCGCTATTTTTCTGACCGTCTTGGGAAGCAAGACCCTTTCCTTCGAAAAAGGAGATGCTGTAGGGTCCTGGACTGATTTGTTCATCGGAGGCATCATTGGTGCTGCTCATCTTATAACTGGTACTTCTCTGATTGTGTGGACATGTGCGGGTTGGTGTCGTTTCCTTTATGCGAGAAAGTCTCGGGGAACCTCTCAATTGATCGAAGGGAATCTACCTACTTAGGCTTTTGCGGAGATTAGATACTTGCTGTTTACTTGCTGCTGTTGTATTGAGAGTATGTTTCAAATCGTCAAAATTAGCAAGGTCGTTTTACGGATGAGCATGTCAATCATACATACTTGCTCATGGAAATATACTTAAATCGATATTGCATTTTTGAATCAATGGATTTAAGACATGATACATGTAAATTTTGAGTCTAGGATACACAACCGCGAGTCAGGCAACCCTAAATGGCTTAGTATATATAGCAATTAGTACCTATCCAGGTCTTCCTCTCCCATGTAGATACCCACATGCATATGTAAATCATCCCCTCGAACACTGATGTCCAAAGTCCAAAGTACATATCTGAATTATACATATTATCAGTCTTGCCAGCCTGTTTCCTTTATTGACATACACGCTACTCCATTCATCCTCCATGGACGTCGATGCCTTCAAGGTGGGTCTGTCGGTCTACCCTCGGGCCTTAGACAAATCGCCACGACTCTACCAAATGCCACCAAACTCCCCGTAAACTAATACTGCAAGCATTCCAGACGCCGAAGAAACAGAAACCGAAACCGAAACTGAAGCTCGAGAGGCAAAGAAGTACAAGCGTGCATGGATACACATTGTATGGGGGCTGTTTCTTTTTGCTTTGGCAGTTGTCATCATCTCTCTTGCCACCATAGCAAGGACTGAGCTGGGATCTGATGATACAACGGCTTGCTTTATCATGTTTGGGGAAGGCATCATAAGCGCTTTTTGTATCACATTTGGCATTAATGAAATATACAAAGTAAGCATTTTTTTTTCAGGTATTTCGCCAGAAGAGAGAGGCTTTCGAGCCTGCGGAGAGTTTGCCTGTCTGAAGAAATAGTTGTCATGTTGAGAGGCTTAAATTGTTCCAAGGCAGCAGCTGCTACTGTTGTTGTTATTGAATCTTCACGTTATATTCTCCCAAAATTACTATTCTTGTTCTGTGTTCCAAGTCAGACTTGTGATTACCTTTACTCTTTCAAATGCATTTACTGAGAGTAATCAAAAATCATAAATTCTGGATATCCATATTAAATAGGTAAAATCTCCGTGAAAATGACTGACCAGACACGTCTTCAGTCGGTCCATTCGATAAGTACTAATAGGGCCCCAGATTTGGGACAGAAATTTCGCTGGCATTTGTAACTCGCAACTCGTAGAAATCTCATATTGTTGACCCCTGAGAAGCTATCACTCTTGATTGAAATCTATCACAAGTCGTCCCGCTACCTGGCTGTTCCGCAGTTCCTCTACGGCTTCAGGTAGTCGGGAAATGGGATATACCTTGCAAATCTGCCTTAGCAAACCTTTACCAGCAAGGTCCAATGCGGCCGCAGTATCCTTCTGGCTCCCCACCAGCGTCCCTTTGATGCTGAGATTCTGGAAGACGTATTGACATGGGTCAGTGCCGAGAACCATCGATCCTGCAGGAGGTAATCCAATACACATAATGACGGTGCCAATCCGTTCACCAACATAAGAGATCGCCGTTTTGTACGCAGCAGGGGCTGTGACAAAGACACCATGCACTCCAACCCCATCGGCGATCTCGATGACGGCTTTGGCGGGATCTACCACTTCCTTAAAGTCCACGAAAGCTGCCGCGCCCATTTCCAGTGATAAATCTCGCTTCGAGTCTCCTGTATCCACAACGATAGGTCGCATCCCCATCGCCTTTGCCAATTGTACGCCCTGTATACCGACTCCACCACCCCCTCCTGGGAAAACAACCCAAGCTCCAGGCTTAAGACCAGACTCAACGAGGGAGCGGTACATGGTGCTGGCGCTGCACATAATAGGAGCGGCGACTTCATCAGGCACGCCATCAGGGATCGGCGATGCGTATCGTGCTGGGGACACTACAAAGTGCTGATAAGTTCCTGTTCAGTGATGAAAGTTAGTCGTGTACTGAAACAATTGTCAATACCCTTCAACTCGACTAGACTCACCCGCTGCCATCAAGCCTGTGTGCACTGCCGCTTTACAATATGTCTCCTTCTCATTCAAACAAAGTTCGCAGGAGCCGCAAGTATCAAGAAGCGGCTTGATTCCTGCCCTATCTCCTATCTTGAAATTCTTCACATTCTGACCAACTTTGACGACGACACCTGCTCCTTCGTGGCCGGGCGATCGCACGCCAAATTGTGACATGGGTGGACCGCCCAAGTCTCCCTTCATCATATGAATGTCGGATGAGCAGAGACCAGTAACATTCAGTCGGATTAATATTTCCTCGGGTCCTGTTGAAGATAGCATCAGTTTTATTTGGTTCTCTTTGTCAGATCTTTGGTGTCTGTCCAGTATTACCTGGTTCTGGCACAGGCACCATCTGAACTTCGAGGTGAAATTCCGGCCCTTCATTGACAACTACACCAGCTTTGCAATGGGTAGGTATCTCAAAGAAAGAATTATCCGTCATAGAACCCATGATTAGTGCTTTTGTTCGGTTGTTTTCCTTAGAAGAGATCGACAAAGAGCAAGTCGCTTTTATAGCTATTCTCGAAATGAATTTAGAAACACTACTCCGTCAACCTAGGTAATACATGTAAAGCCAAGGCAAGAGGTAGCGGAAACCCCCCGCAATGCCTACCCCGCCTTCAGTTTTCATATTACAATGATGATTTATGGTTAGCTTCATATGATTCAAATGCAGCGAATCACTATATCCGTACTTCCGCCCAACAAGACGGAGTTTCGCCAAAGCGGATTTTATCGAGCTTATTAGTGAACACTTTTTAGAAGACGCGCGCTAAACTTACAGAAATTACTCCACCAGCTTAAAGTATGACGCCACTCTTCAGACCTACAGCCAATCGAATCTCTAAGTCGAGGTGTGCGACTCGCACAAATGCCCCACATATACCCAACCCAGGGTCCCAGACTTTGCGATGCCTCATTTTCAAATCTCTCTGAATTATTTAAACCGCTTGATTACAGTATTTTCAATGTCTGACCTCATATTGTCGATCAGTTCGAAATACAGAAGCAGCCAATTAACTTGGGGATTACACAATGGCTGACTCAATGCCTCGCTTGCTACCCGGCATAGGGTTCGTGATCGTATGTTCATTGCTAACATGTGTTGGATAAATCCACAGTCACATCCGAAGCTAACCTCCAAATGTCTCATAGGGATCTGCATCCGGTAATTCAATGCGAACTTAATCATCTCAGCGCAGGATATCGGTGCTAATCGAGTATGTTTAGGGATTGGACGCAGCGCTTCATTCGCATTTGCCCGCGCTGGCGTTGCAGGCCTTTTCCTGGCAGATATCAATGCAGAGGCCTTGGAAGCAACTGCCAATGATATCCGTCGTGAACTACCCGATTTGAAAGTCGTAATCCACCAAGTTGATGTCGGTAATGAACAATCCTGCATAGATTGTGTGCGTACCGCAGCGAAAACCTTTGGAAGAATCGACTACGTGCTGAACAATGTTGGAATTGGCGGAAATCATATTCCAACTGTTGAGCAAGATAGTGCTGAGCTGCACAAGGTTCTCAACCTTAACTTTGTCGGGCTTTGGATTTGTCAGAGAGAGCAAGTTCGGCAAATGTTGACGCAGGAGAAACTGCAAATCCCGTGCGTATGATTCTACCCTATAATGGTGTTTACTATCTAATGCAGTTACTACTTTCGCAGAAGTGGACGCGGAAATCGTGGAGTCATCACTAATACAGCCTCTGTTTTGGGATTGGTCGGTGGCCCTCCTGGTGCTAGCCCATATGCTGCGAGCAAGCATGCGATCGTTGGGATGACCAAGACGGTATGCATATATTTTGATTTTCAAATCAATCCAACTAACATTTAATAGGAGGCTGCCACTTACAGCAAAGACAGTATTCGGATCAACAGTATTTGTCCAGGGTATCAAGCCTGCCACCCAATACCTATCGGATTCCAGGACTGACTTGACTAGTTATGTATCGACCGCAATCCTTGGAAACAATGACCCCAAGTTACGAGCGGAGATTGAATCGAAAGTGGTACCTCTGATTCCTATGGGAAGACTTGGAGAGACTGACGAGGTTTTTCTCACTATCCATTTCTCTCCTTGTACCTGATGCTAAAACATAACAGATTGCCGACTCGGTCGTTTTTCTCTCGTCACACATGGCAAGTTACATTACCGGGACTACATTGGCAGTCGATGGGTATGTTTTCTTTTCAATCATTACATTATCAAGTATAAGCATTCTGATCTGGATCTATAGGGGTTATACATCTGTTTAATGGCGACATCTGGCGTCCTTGACTTGGATTTTTGATTCACGAGAGTCCTTGATATACGCTGATAGTAAATATTAGAATGGCTCTATCACTAAATAGACGTCTCGATACTTTGCTGTGCTACTTTAATATATGAAAAGTTCCCCCGGGAACTAGCGCATAAATATGCCGATCTCACTAAAATCGGGTGAGGACATTAGTTAATAGCCCACCTGTAGCAGACTTACGTCATATTTCCGGAGCGGGGTGTTTCCGCGAGGATAGTTCCGCTACCGAAAGCCCCGGATTGAGATACAGGGCAAAAGGCGGGGTAGAAAATGTTAATTTAATCTAGTAGAAGAGTATTCAACTTACTCTGGTTCATGGGTTTGTGGATGCCTTAGGACTTGAGTGAAAAGGTGGGGCGAGACTTAGTTATCCTCGACATCTTTTCCTCACCATTCCTTGTCTGCATACACGCGCTCGAATTCCTTTCGTCCGTATCATCCGCCTACGCTACGTTGTTCAGGCAATTGAAGATTATAATTGTTAGAGTTGAAAGCATCACAATGTCTCCATGCCACGATACCAAATCATCTCGTGGCATCACAAAGTCCTGGTCTTCCGGACGCATTCTTACTGAACCGCAGCGACAACAAAAGCGTAATCGAGACAGAATCACCAAAGAAAAGCACAGAAAAGAAGAGAGGAAAGAGAAGGAAGAGCTTGAACTCAAATTATCCGCTCTAGAGCAAGATCTTCACTACCTCCGCGAAGGTGATAGCATTCGCCACCCTTTACTTCTGTTTTCTACTGACGGAAAATATGTATAGTGTTGGCTTTCTCAAGTCTGGAGTCTGGACAATGCAATTACAATCTCACTAGGCAACTTCCCCAGGATTCTGAATCCGGCTTAGCGGTTTCTCGCATTACCAGTGACCAAAATTACACTTTGAAAAACTACAGCGATCAGCTTCTAGGACGGGTACATAACCTTCCACCATCCTTAGTGTGTTTCAGTGACCCCACCAACCAGGATGTCCTGATCCGTGGAATTCTATTCGGGTGGGACAAAGTGAAAAATGGTGGTTTCTGGTGTCCTCTCTGGGAAATTCTGTATCAGCTTGATGCCATGTTCATTCGAAGCAGACTTTTGACTCGTATTTGTATGCTAAGAACGATACACTTGTTGCTTCAGGTATGTATCCAGATCCAATATTCAGTAGTATGCATAGCTTACAATAGCGCAGTGTTTCGTGCAAACTCACGGTTTTCGAAATATTCCACCCTGGTACCGTCCTCGGTATGACACGCACTTCTTCACTTCCAATGTGGCTTTTCCTCTAACAATTGCTACGAACAGACCGTCACAGATCGTCTACCATCACGATGTTTCTGCAGACTATTTTGCTTGGTATGATTTCCCTACCTTGAATGCTGAAAAATATACTAATCTAGACAGGCCTGGTCTCCGGGAACGCCTAGCCCTCACAGGATCTCAGCTGCTGACAGATGAATTTTTCAAATGCCTTTTTTCTGACTTCCGATTTCTTTGGAAGCATAGAATTTCCGACGTTTACCAGCTCGATGCAATCACGGGACGATACAAATTTTCAAGTCTATTTAATGATTCACTTTGGGATATTCGAAACTGGACCATGGATGAAGAGTTCTTTCAAGTATTTCCTCAAGTATACTATGATTTTGCTCTTAGTACATGATACCATCTTTGAATTTTCAAATAAAGATTTCATTTAATGTTAATTGAATCTTACAATCCTATCAGACCTTGCATGTGGTGAAATGTTCCCAGTTGCTGTTCAAAGCCTCCGCACACTTTTCCAGGTATCGCGGAAGACCACCGACATAAAAGAGTGGCTCAACTGGTTTCCCTGGAATATTGGAGCCCATGTACCATGACTTTGTCGTGGGTAGCAATGTCATGTTTGCAACTTCCAGGATCTCATCGCGCCAGGCTTCCTCGGTCTCCTTTTTGACATCAAGCTCTTGGATACCCTCCGATTCCATCTGCCTGATGACTTCGACAATCCACGAACCCTGGCTTTCAATGGTCGTCGGTCCATTTGAGAAGACAGACGGGCTGTGAGCACTGTATGGTAAGAACATGTTTGGACAGCGGCTGACCATGAGACCGAGGTAGGAATAGATACCCTCGTCCCATCTCGTACTCAGTTCAACTCCGTCTACATCCTTGATTCCCATTCGTTTAATACCACCTGTTACAGAATCGAAGCCCGTTGCGATGGCAATGATGTCAACTGCATGAAGTTTGCCGTCTGCTGTGACGATGCCGTTGGGACGAAGTTCCGAGATTGGGTTGTCCTTGATGCTAACCAGATGCACGTGTGGCTTGTTGAATTGCTCGTAAAAATCTTGTTCGAGTGAAGGGCGTTTCGCACCAAATGCATGAAGTGGTTCCAGAGGTGCGAGAAGATCCTTAAGCTCTGGGTCATTGATTCTGGCTCTGGTTTTCTTGGCCCAAAAATCGTAGACTTCGCGGTTTGCAGCATGATCGATCATGAGGTCCTTGTATGATGCGTTCCAGAGTTTCAAGCCACCTTCTTCGTATAATCTTTCATAGGTAGCCTGTCTTTCCTCGGGCGTATCATCAGAGGAATTACGTGGTACGTTGTTGTATGGAAGGCCTCCAAATGTTGTTCGGCTGGTTGCGAACAATGCCAAGCGGTCTTCAACCTTCATCTGGTTGGCAGGATCAAGTCTTTCCTGGCGCATAGGAAGGCAAGTATTTGGTGTCCTTTGGAAGATAAAGGTCTCGGCGGCTTCCTTCGCCCATTGTTGGCCAATTTGGACCCCAGTAGACCCTGTGCCGATCACTGCGACCTTTTTGCCTTCCACACTCACACCCTGTTCTGGCCAGGCAGAAGAATGATAGATCTTCCCACGGAAGGTATCATGACCTTTCCAGTCTGGAACATATTGCTTCGCCGCAAATCCAATGGCTGGAATGAGATATTTGGCAAAGACTACTCTGCCATTTTGGGTGGTCACGGCCCATTTCCGCTCCTTGGAAAGAAACTCGGCCGAGACAACTTCGTGATGAAAGAAGCAATCTTTGCTGATAGATAACTCACGGTCGATGTGAGCAAAGTATTGCTGAAGTTCTTCCCAGCTCGGATATTTCTCCTTCCAGGTCCAATTCTTCCAGGCGTCTTCGGCGGACAACTCGTAGCCGGGGACTGGGCAGTCGACTCGAGCACCGGGATAGCGGTTCCAGTACCAAGTACCGCCCAACGATGAACCAGCTTCAAATATTTTGACATTCAAGTTGAGTTCATCACGTAGCTTTTTGAGAAGATAGCAACCAGAAAATCCAGCGCCGACAATGAGAGCATCTAGCTCTTCCGGTTGATCACTCGGTGGAGCAGACATGATGGTAATAGTTGGCAGCGATGCCCAAGAGGAATAGATCAGGAGAATATGTGATGGGGTCTTCCCTAGAATGATCATCAATGGCTAGAGGGATGCCCTTCTTTAAATATTGGAAACCCCATGATTTGAAGAGGTTTCCACTCACGTTGGAAAGTCATACATCCGAAGCTCCGAAGGTGACATCGTTTGGCGGAACTTTGAACGGATATACTTGAATATATCTGCCTATAACATTGGCTGTTGGAGAGGATGTCCATGCATCATGTTGGAGCATCTGTATAGTTGTGCAGTAAACCAAGGTACTATGTGGGGCATTAGACTTTAGCCCGAATGTGCGAGTCGCTCACTTCGACCCCGCATTTCAAAATAATCCAGTGTCCATGTTTGCATGATACCCATGTGGATCAAATTGACATGTTCACACTGAGGGAAGCCCCGTTCCCTAGAGGCCTTTCCCCAGATTTAAGTCACCCGCTGCCGGACGGCCCGGACGAGAGCTCATGTACTCTTATGTTAGTTTTGGTAGATTTGATCGATTGCCACGTAACTAAAAGATAAATCGCATTAGAAAGGTTTGAATTAAATTTTGACAGAATTACATAGCGATAAATAATTATTTCAGGCCTTCAACCACAACCCTGAATTTTCACTGTAAAATAATACGTCTGTGAATCAATCCTTCAAGTTTGTGGGAGTCTCTTATCTCGATAGGTTACCCAAGTAAATGTATATACCGAGAGAAATCATATACCGGTGCACGCACCCTCTTTGGTCCAAAAGACGCACGCGCTGGTAAAGAACAACACGTACAGGTTGTCGGGCGTGACCCCGACCGAGATCATCACGAGAGTACCGTCCGTGTCTTAGATCTCTCTCTTTCCCTCAATGTTCTTCTATACCTTTCGGAATGCAGATTTGACAGTGACGTCTGTTTCCCGGCTACCCATATAGCCCTTTCTTCCCCTAACCGACAGATCCAGCTGTCGACAGATGCCACTGACGGTTGGTTGGACCTCTGGGCCCGCGGAGGGAGGTGTTTCCGCTGCGCCTTACTCTGTCAGGCGGTCCATACTTCATTGCCTTCAATGCGGGTGTGCCTAGGTAGTCTAGAGCACGCTTAATTATTTCTTGCCAATGGCCGTGAAGCTCAAGAGGACTTGTCAGACGAAGCGGCTCGGGTTGCCCCTCGTAGACGGCCATGACACAATTAACAAATATCAAAATTTGTTCTTTCCAGTTCGTTGCTCATATATTTTGGGCAATACTTCGGCTATTTGACTAATCCGGTAGAAAAGAAGGTAGCAGACAAGGTAGATAAATGGTGTAGGAGATATAGTAGAAACATTATTGTTCTAGGTGCCACGCGAAAAGCGCGGCGGAAATCCTCTAGTTAATTATCGCATAAGGCGGTGGGGCAAGCTCCCAGTCCCACCAGAGCTACCAACTCCCAACTAATTTGATCAGCTTTATCTCCAGGGCTTCGATATCTGGAGGCATTCATAGCATGGATGATGAGCCGTGCGCTTTATGATGCTTTATCATGGGTTCCAATGTCTATTCCGCAGAGCCTGCTCATCCATACCTAGCCCACTCTCTGCTCAGTGAGCCAAGACCCATAGCCATCAATGAACAACCCATAAAGGGATCAACGACCAACGACTGGAACCTCAAGGACGACTGGACTGCAGGCATTAAACACTCAAGTGAAGGAATTTTCCGCTGCGGGACAATCATCGGATTCTCACGACTAAGAAACAGAAGCAGCGACAATGACGAATACATCGGTCAGGTAAGTCGCCACGTCTATCCAAAAGATCCACTTGCATCATCTAATGGAATACTAGATCCCTCGCTACCTTCTCACAACACATCTGCGGAATAATTCACCATCATCTGAAACAAACATCTTCATTATCTACCCTAGCAACTTCGACGCCTTCGCAGCACGGACTTTATTCACCGATCTGCAATCCGGCCCATCACCTCTATCCAGCGAAGATGCATTGAAGCGACTGGATTCCGTCCAGCTCTTTCCAGTAGATTCTCTACCAGATGCAGCGCAGGCCATAATGCAAGTCTCGGACTTACTGCTGCAGGTCCAAGAAAAACGACTGGACCAGGACGCATCAGGTCACCCCGCTATCATCCTTGTTGTGGCCGGGCTGGATTCGTTAGCTGAAGGCGTGATTCGGGCTTCTAATCCGGCTAGGGGGGCTGGTGTCCTCGCGAGTGCTTTGCGGATATTAACGCGCATGTCTCGTACGCATGGCTCGTTTTTGACGACCGTGCTTGTTAATACTAGTGGACTCGGGTCTCATGTTGAGGTTGATGACGGCTCGGGTAGACGGGCTACTGTTGGGGTGGGTGACGATGATGTGAGACCATCTGATCATGATGGGATTCATTCTATTTTTCAACTTCCTGGGTCATCGCTTTTGTCGACCTTGTTGATGAGGACGCTGGATCAGGGGATTGATACGCACATCTTGCTTTCTGATGTGAAATACGCTCGCGTGGCAGAGGTTATCAAGGATCGTACTGGGACGGGGTTGGGGAAATGGGGGATATGGTCGCTGAAGAGATGAGCTAGGATAATACCTACATTATTAGGTAACTAGAAAAGTCTGTCGAAGTTGGATTTTGTGAATCTTAAATTCGTTTGGATTGCTCTATCCCGATGCAACCGATACTAATCATACAAATCGACACATACATGTCAAGATTCACCCCTTGAAGCGCCATGAATCACAAAAGACTCATCAATGACAGACCCCACCGATTTGCAAAATATCAACTCCGATCCATGAGCCAGTTTTGCTAAGAAAAAAGGGTATCAAACTTTCCGATTTTGTGTTTCCCAGGTCCTCACAACTCCATACTGCGAGAAACCAAGGAAATCAAGAGCATCTCCTACTTGATAGTCGCTGGCACATTTTCAGTTTGGGCCCACTTTCTCAAGACAGCACTCTCGGCGACAGTGCGTGCATCCATCGCAGCCTTGGCAAGATCTCGCTTGACAGTTTCTTCTTCAAATAGAATGTCCTGCTGCTGCACCTTAACCCATTGCTTGTGTCTCTCGCAGCGTTTCTTGGTGCAGACACCGCGGGTCAGGAAGCTTATTTCATCTTCATCCGTGCCGCCCATGGGTTCGTCGTTGTCGGGGTAGCTAGAAGCCATGGCCTCAGCTGTCCCTTCCTTGAGTGCGAGTTTGCCAGCTTCGGACAATCGCCAGTCATCGAACTCCTCGTCGGACCACGCGAGCCGCATGTCAAATCCGCAGATGTCCTTCCACCCGCTTTTCGGCTCAAGTTTCTTCAACCTTTCTACCAGTCCCTTAGATCTTTGGCGCAAAAGATTCACAAATGATGCACGAGCAGCAAGCATTTCCTTGCGATGCAGGAGGTCATCTCGTCGTTTCCGGATCTTTTCGACCTTAGCTGCTTCATCGGCTGAATATTCCACATTGTGAGATTCGATATCCAGATTCTGTTTGTTCTCGGTTGATTCCACTTCCATGTCGCCATTGGGAATATCGTCGCTGATAGACTCTGGTGAATGCGACAGAATTTTATCGCCCAGCTTCCTGAACTCTGCGACAGATGAGACCCCTAGAATCGCTGCTCGGAGGTCGCCAGGTGTGAGAATGCCGCCCATGCTACCGAGATCCTCCTGCCCTTTCCTCTCGGGTGCCAGTTTGAGGTTGCAAACTTGACGACGCATAAATTCATGGCCGTGCTCATCAGAGCAGTATTTGCTTTTGCGAGCAACACGTGCTGGTTTGCGGCATTCAAGGAGACGACACATTGGTTTCCACGTGGTGCAACCTTTGCCATTCTGGCTGCAGTTTGGGCCTATTTAATCTGATCAGACCTGGGAAATCAAATGGGAACGGGGAAAGGCTAAAACTTACAGATGTACTTATCGATCAATTCAGAGTCTCGAGCATCGATATCGACACATTTGCCGTGGAACCAATCCTCGCATCCACCATCACACCCAATCATCCATGTGTGGTTATCAGGTCGTCGGCAGATACAGAAGAGGGCATTTTCATCTGACTCTTCATCGTCGTCGTCAGCAAGCCGCCGGGGGCGCTTTTTAGTCTTCCTCTTTTCTTCGGGTGCGGGTGATCCTGCAATCGATACAGAATCCTGCTTTCTACCAGGGGTTTTGCTTGTGCGGGATGCAGGGGTGTTCGATCGGCGTTCATCCAGACTCTCTGCGTCCAGGTCATTCGCCCTGCGCTTGGGTGCCGGCTTCTTCTTTGAAGCTGGCTTTTTGTTCGAGGGCTTCACCGAATTTGCTGGAGAGGTGCGATCGGATGATGATGCCCGGGAAGCTCCACCATTCCTAAGATTGGCAAGAGCCTTCGAGGTTGGCCACTCACTTGGCAGATCACTCCCAAAAGATTTTGTTTCAAAATCATCGCCGACTGGTTCGGTTTTGACGGATGGAAGGGGGGTATCTTTGTTTGCGACCAGCGGGGGTGGACGGCGGCTCGGAACGTAAGTGTGGGTGTAGAGATCTAACCACGTCGCACTCTTTCCGCTCGTCTGCTTGGGGAAATCGGTGTTCCTTGATGACCGGTGTACCTGCTTGGCTCTCTCGAGGCCAAAATATCCACTTTGTCGCCAACCAGTAACGCCCACAACCCTGTCATCCTTCACAATTATTTGCGCCGGTACCAAATCGTTGTGAATAAAACACAGATCCTCATTTTCTGTTCTCTCGGCGAAGAGTATGGCCCGTTCTTTTTCCTGGCCGGGAGGCGGATTCTGGGAGTTGAGTCCACGACAAACGTAGGTTGGCTCTTGGGGGGAGGGGTCGACGCAGGCGAGAACATGTATGATCTGACGCGTCTGGGCCTTAAAGATGTTGATTTGTTTCGTGGTGAGGTACCGCTCTGCGACTTCAAGCGAGACTCCAGGGATGCGAGATTCGATTGTCACGTTCCGGCCTTCGATTGTCCCGCAAAAATATGTCACTGGAACCGCAACACCAATCTCCCTGAGTGCCTCCTCGACCTTTCGTGCTGCAGACAATTCATTGGCATTGACACAAGAGAACCACTCTGCCGCTGCGCCGTCCGCGGACTCGCGGTCAACCCAAATGATGACGCTGCCTGCAGCGAATCCCTCTCTGGGTCCCTTGATGTTGAGTGAGTTCTCCGGGGTGCAGAATTTCTCCGCAACTCCAACCCAGAAGGCATTTGCGTCGGGGTCAGAGTGGTACCAATCCTTGTAGCGGGGGGTGAAATCGTCAGGGTGCGGGGTGTATCGGCCATAGTTTGCGCTTTTTGCTAGGAATGGGTCGTCACGCGGAATATTGTCTGGATTGGTTTCGTAGGGATTGCCAGTGGTGTTGGTGGTCTTTGCGACGTCGGCAAACCCATTCGTATGGGTTGCGCGACCCGCGGCTTCCATGTCCGGTGTCATGGCGATAGTCAGAGGGGAAGTCAATAAGTAGCGAGACTTTCCGCTGGGACGTCAAATAACTTGTAAGGAGAAGTGTAATGCCCAAGTCCAAGGGACTTAAGCTGATTGAGGGTGTATCGGAAACACGGAGCGCGCGGGATGAGTTAAATCCACATAGATGCAAACGAGCAGGTCGGAGGCATCATGGAAGTCTCATCGACGCTAATAATGTCCAAACCCTCTTCCAAGCCTTTCTGGGTTCAGGCGATAGTAAAAATACACAACCAGGGAGGTCATTCAAGAAGGGAATAGAAAAGGGTCGCTGTGGGGGTTTCTTTCGCGAAAATCGGAGACTCCACCGCTTGCTCTAAGTGGGATTGCGGGGGGGTTCCAATTCGCCTCGGAGGTGGATGTTTGAGGGGTGGAGGCAGGAAAAATAACTCTGAAAAGGAGCGTGGAACATGCAAAACCTCAAAGCCACACACAGGTTAACGCTGTTCGGTCCGGTCCCTTGAATCTTGGAATCACAGATCGGCGACGCGGAGTTTTGACGGACTGTTGAGGCGGTGAATTCTAAGGCGGTGAAGGCCTCACCGCTTTTCCATGCATCTGGTGCGACTGGAACTAAAGGAGTAGACACTGAAGCAGGTACTCCTGTTCCCTGCACAGTTGATAAATTGCACAGTTGATAAATCACCAACTTCATCATCACCTTTATCCAACAGATCTTCGTTTTCACGACCACGTTGACAATGACTCCAATGGAAATTTATCTCCATCTAATTGAACTATATTTCTAACGTTGAGCATACTTTGATCGACCGTCACGATAAATACGAAGCGAGTTTTGGTGTGTTCGTTTGCTTAGTGCGACGCGCTGTCTCGCTCTCCCCAGTCAGCACGAAGATACACGGCATCAGGGGAGTTCCTACAGATAGATTTGCAGGCTATGTCAATTTCCCCGGTCAGCACAAGGATGCAGTCTAAGGAGACATCGGGGAGTTCCAAGACTCTTGGGTAACGGATAACTAGTTTAATTCGGACTAACCAGATGGAGGATAGCTGAAAGCTTCTTTAGTATTGCTGCATTACTCTTGAACTGTATCATCTAGGCCGTGGAAAGGAAAATGAAATAGAATTACTGCCATGGAGAGCATCGATTCATAAATCAAACCTCTCCTTTTATTGTCTGAAAAGATGCGAGTGTAGTTGGGTACATCTGCAGTAGCTTTGACTGGGTTAGCTCGTGTTTTGATTCATTCGGATTAATCACAGGTCTATGGTCGTTATCGTCTTAAATACGGGATTGAATTCGTGGAAGAATTTGGGGGCGGATCGGCTGATGTCATGAATAGAGGCGTACTTATCACTGAAGGGTTGATCAGTTCATTAATTTCATTGCATAATATCGAGAACTAGCATGATTTCCATAGAAACACAGCCAATCATCCATTTGAGCTCGGCAATAGCATTTGGCCCATCTTGGCACGCTTACCCAAAACTGGGGAGTGTGCGAGTCTAGGCCAAATGTGTCAGTCATCGTCATCTTTTAAGACATCAATTGATCGTATCTTTCCCCGATCGGGAATAGATCGGTGCAGAGTATTTGAAAGCTCAATTATTCTAGTCCGGCACTTCGCCCCATTCCCACGCTGCTGACTTATCGCTGATTCGCTTGCCAAACGGAGATCCCGCGGTGTCAGCTCGGACCACAGGCACATTGGATCATCACCCTACCATCCTACTATCATATATCCACCTTCCGAGTGTGATAAATTCCCCTTAGACAATCCTTTCAAGTCCAATGCACGAGTGCGACGCCCGGGACACTGGGCTCTGCTTACTTTCTCGATTCCCGTGACACACCCGGATTTGCCTCTTTGCTGAGACCTTCCAGCCCCAGGGGTCTACTTGAATGCCTTAAGACCCCGCTTGGCAGAATATGAACTCTCGTATTTGCATAGACCTGCGAACGGACTACGCGTCACCCTATCGGATCTCTACTTAGAGCCGCGACCGTACCCCACCTGTTCTCTCGGTTTTCCCCTTCGGGCGCCATCTGCTTCGCTATGTCGAATCCAAGTGGAGGAAATACAAGCAATAGTTCCAATGGGCGTTGGCAATTTATTGATGCATCTGATAACCGTCGCAGCAATCTGACACAGGTCAAACGTCATGTCATGCAAGAGTATATGCGTCAAAAGAAGGGCGAATCTCGTCAAAGCGATGGTGAAGAAGATACCAATCGTCCACCGCCCAAACGGGGACGCCCTAAGAAGGCCAATACATTGAAACGAAAGCCTGCCAAGAACGCTAAAAATGACAATCAGAGTGCTTCAAACACATCTACAGAGGAGTCTGGACCTCTTTCCACAGAAGGGTCTGCACTAGACGACGTTGAAACCACACAGGACTGGTACCATGGAATACCAACGTCATCACATCCTCACACTCCCTTTTTCCAACTTCCATTTCGGGATCCGCTGCCTGAGACACAAGGAAGCCCTTTTTTACCAGACTTTGCCCATATCGATCCGAGGAGCAGCTTCTCATCGAGTCCCGCAGGACTAGCAAGTCCCTGGGAAATCGCTAAATCCCCGAGGACCATCATGAGCGCTGCCAGAACAGACCCATTCAACTCGCTTCCATTGGAACTGGATCTAGATGGCCAGAGACTTTTCGACTTTTACGTGAACGATATGCCAGCGTGCTCTTATGGGACCCATTTCCGGTCACCAAAAGCTCATAACTGGTATACTTCTGTCTTTGTCCCTGAAGGAATGAAAGGCGGCGTGGCATTTCAGAACACCGTACTTGTCCACGCTGCGAATACATGGGCCTGGGTCCGCAATGAGACTGAAACCACGGATACCCTGATACATCGAGATCGTGCTATCAGCATGCTTCGCGAGCACTTGTCCAAGAACCCCCGAGATAACTCTGACGTTGCTATTGTATCCTGCTTGAGCGCCGCTGCCCTGGAAGACTTTGATCCACGACCAGGGCACAAGGAAATCAGCTGGGTGCATATGCGTGCAGCTCGCGAGATGATCCGGAGCCGTGGGGGGCCCGCTGCTTTTTTGAATACCCGTCTTGGAATGTTGATCAATTGGCAAGATTATATCTTGTCGGGGTACGAGACACATGGGCCTAGCTTTTCATTTGAGCACCCTTCAGCCATCAAGGCCTTGCCGGATCCCACTCCACCTCAGACTTCTGATTCCGTTATTGCTATTCCTTCCCCGCCTTCTTCTACCTCTTCCGCCCTGTCTGATACATCACCTTGTGTGGAACTTCCTTCAATTTCCCAGCAAATCTCAAACACCTACCCCATGGATGAGATTCGTCTTCAGTGCGAAGAATTCCTTGATTTCCTCCGTCGCTGCGAGCAGCTCTCCCTCTACCAAAAAGATAATCCAGGATCCTGTGATCCATCCCGACACACATGTGTCTCAGGGACATCTCCTCTCTTCCAGATCCTAGCCGCTCCTCCTGGCTCCCGATTCACATCCTCGGGAGATCGCAAGCAAATGGTCGCCCGCATGACTGCCCTCATGATGCTGAACGCCGCCTTCTGGGACTACCGATACAGTCCTCCCCATGCAGGAACATTCCTGAGAACGCTAGAGCAAGCCATTGTTGACAGTGAAGTCAGCATGAGTGGCTCCGTTGAAGCAATTCTCCAAATCCTTCTCGCGTGTAACGACGGCTATACGGCAGAATGGGTTACTGGTCCTTGTGGATCTACTTCGCCTGTCCGCTCAGAGTTTACGCCGGATTTCACACAATATTCTCCCTCTGCTACATCCCCTTCGGAAAGACCTTGGTTTGCCGGCCGGATGCTGAAAATTGCTAAGCGGCTCAGTGCGGACTGGTGGTATCGCATTAATGATTTCCTTTTCTCTTGTCTGACTATGCAATTGTCGGAGCCTACTGCATATCTGTGGGAGACTGATCTACGACGCGAGGTTCTCCAGGCGCCTTTGACGAGCTATGTTATGCCATCGTTGATGTAATCTCCCGACCTCTCTTTCTGGGGCAATTATGTGGTTATTGAAAGTGACTACGCTATACAGGCTATTAAGTGAAAGATTTGAAAGTGACATGTATTATGTATAATGTGGGTCCTCGGCCGCTCTTGCATAATACGAGAAGCAACCGCCAGTGGCTGATTATTCAGGCGCACATTCGCTTACATGTTTGTCCTGTCTTTAACATCATGCACCTTCTTCCACCTGCATTTGCCGAGCACGAATTGCCCCCTCTGTGGCTTGCGTTCTGGTCTTATCCACTTATTAGCTTTGTTTATTTACACTGAGTACCGAGTTCAGTAATAGTGCCTATGAGAACACCAAAGTGCTTCTCTTTAAAGCTAGTGACGGAATGATTTCTTCTATTCCCCCTCATTTTTATTATTGGTTTCTTTATCTTTGACTAAAAGATAAGCCGTGCTGTTTACGGCCGTGCTGGTGCCAAGGAAGCTTAGATGCGTCCAAGATAGTCTTCTCCACTATAGCCTTATCTCTCCACGGAGTTGGTGGCGGGGTTGGCAGTGGTCATTTCAGGGATGCTACTGATGAAGTCATTGGACTTGATGGGAGGAAGTATAAGTCTAACCATGCGACTATATGGCGTTGGCGCGATGTCTTTTAGACTTATTTTGCGGCGTGAATGCAGTGGTCGTTGTTTCTGTTTTTAGAAAGGCGAATGATCATCCTGTTGTTGTTTTGAATGGGAAGAGGTTATGTAGCAGCTGCATTTTGAGCTAGAGGCTAGCTCGACGTTTCAGCTGGATGTGTCAACGTTGTATGATTCTGAGCCTACCGTTTTACAGTCAAGTATAGTATAAGCTCTCATGCAGTGGTGTACAGACCATTCATTTGGCAGCTTCAGCTCTGATGCAATCTCATTGGAATGGAGTCTCCAATCTTTTATTTATGAGCTCAAAGTTCCATAGGAATTTTGCAGTGGCAATCCATTCACCTTTCGCGGCTCTCTGCCAGATCTCCCGTATTGGCTGAGACTCTTTATCATTTCCAGAAAGGAAATCACCCAATGTGCAAGACTAACTCATCCTCTTGTAAAGGGTCATTAATAATCATCTCCCTTCCGGTGTCTCTGGGAAACGACTGTCTTTCATTTTCATCCAAAAGCAGGGCAGCCGAAACATCGTATAGAACCAGTGTAGACAGGGCAATCTCTGGTACGGGGCTGCGATGTCCGTTCGGAAGGCTCTCTAGTCTGAAGCCTGGTGCATCTTAAGACTTTTGAGGCTGAGATTGCCCTCATACAGAAAATATCGTTCGCCTTCACCATAGAAGCTGTTAGCGAGCTTATCGAGGCAGATGAAGCGACCAAAATGGCCGTCAACTTCTTTTACATAATCCTCGAGTCGGGGTTCCACCTCCAAATATTTGGCCAATAGCCCAAAGAAAAACCGAGACTCAATATAAAAGGCAATTTCGATGGCCGACGAGGGACTATCAGCTTCCCCATCAGCTTGTTTGAAATATGTCGAGGTCATCGGGCTGTGGCAATTCGTACAGCATACCGTCTAGAAGAGGAACGTTCACCGGGTCTGGCTTTGACCTGTTGGGTCGTGGCACAAAGTCCATGATGTGAAGGCTCCAATTTGTGAAAGCTGAATCAAATAAGAACATAAACATAGACTTATAAAGGCAAAGTTCAAATCCATCGAGAATTTGCCTAGCATCAGCTGCGGTGTAGATGGGGGCCGGGCCGTAGATGGGGCTAATCAGCCTCGTGTATGACTGCTAAAGCGAAATTTTCTTGTCGCACATGTCCCTTTGGAATTGACATTGTCGGAGGTGATATGCTACAATTTAATGAAGACACGTCGCAATCTATTTATATCAGTTTAATATTATGAAGATCTAATTTGATATATCCGATAAAGTCATAAATTACCTTATAGAGTCAGGCAGATAGTAGGTAAATCTAAGGAGAGCTGAAGCCTACAGGAGGAGCTAAGTAAGAAGCTATAGATTTTTATGAAAAAATCTGATACTTATAAGCGATTCTTTGGTATTAAAGGCCTTAGTAGGAGAGCTAAATGTAGTGTTATACTCCTAGTACTGACTGATTCGTAGATTTGACTAACGAATTACAGGTGGGTTCCCAAATTTCTTAAGCTATGGTAGCTTCTAGCTCTTGTGGCTTGATCGGGGCCATCGACTTTCTGTTTCCATGCCCAAGCCCAAGTACTGGGTCACAGCGAATTTTGATTACTGAGGCTGATTTGCTTGCAGCCGCAGGATATGTCATCAAGACAATTTTGTAGAGCCGAGAGTAAATTCGCTCGCCAAGATGATTTCTAGAAGCCCACACGCAACTCTATTCTGGCGTCTGAAGGTGATCAGCAGCAGATGATAACAGATACACACTGCTTACCATTGGCGATATCACCCGGTATGAGTATCAAAGGTTTGAGTGAAATAGGACTTTGCCGCTGTGCCCATCCACATCTCAGACTGACCAGAGAAGTCTGCACATTCTATTTTCTTAACTCCATGATCCGTCAATTCCTACTATACTAGCAAGCTATTTTCACTTAGGTGAATCGTACGATGCTGAAATTGTCTTATAAAGTAGTTGAAAAAGGCCACAACATCAATCGCAAATCTAATACCAACCTGCAGGCGCTAGAGCTTTCCATCTCCCTCTTCCATCATAGGTCGCTGTTTGTGAGCGCATAATTCGATTTATGGTTTCCGTTGTGACTTTGCTGGCCCAAGACGGGGAAATCTTCCGATGGTACTGCGCCCATAGCCTGGGCAAGAATCGAACGTCTTGCACGCAGTATTTCTTGATATCATCAAGAAGAGGGTGGACGTTGAACACATCATAGCTTCCTCCATGTTCAGGAGCGAATAGTTTCAGCCCCTTTTCTTTAGATGCCTTCCAACACCGAATTTCATAAGTCGTAAGACAAGCATCCCGCTCGATGCATTTTGCCAGGCCGCTAATGTATTTTCTCGAGTAATAGCGGATTGCCAGTTCCATCAATTGAAGGTCAATAACTCCAGAAAGTTTGACATTGAAATGATGAAATAGTGCATCCGAGTCGTTTCTGCATCCGAGTCGTTTCGAACCTCGAAGAAGACCTTAGGGATATGAGGTGATTCCAATATACCCAGTAGAGTCTGGCCTTTGTCAGACGCTGTTTGCAAGAAAGCCTTCTTCTGGAGACTATGTATGTCGACTAGATACGTTTCTTCAAGCGGAAGGACGTAGATCTGTAAGATCGAAATGCTACCGTGCCTTGAGAGATTGACCCCTTCGACATCTATATATAGAGATGGTGGCTTGGTGGGTAGGTTTTGGAGTCTTCCAACAAGAGTCGCAAACTTAGCTTCCGTATCAACAAATTCTGGAGATTGGTCGACCTTGAGATGGAGGTTCGCGAGGGAGGCACGAGTGAAGAATTTCCCACGACCTCTGCAACAGTGCGCCCGCCTAAAGACCCCGATTCTAGTTGGCGGGTGGCGTTTCCAATGCTATGAAAATTATCGATATGCTTTTCTTTGGACTTGAGCTTAAGAACGGAACTCACCAGACATTTTAAGGATGGATTTCGTGAAGGTTTACTTGTGAACTCGCTACCGATGAAATAGAGAGCAAAATCCCCAGTAGCCAGATGTGTTATATCGTTGATTTTATGGCCAGATGTAGATTCGCAAAACTTCGTTCGTCCTATCCCCATCGGACACATCTCAACGTGTGTGTTGTTATCCTGAGCTTTATCAGAACAGTCGAGACTCAGCCACATTCGTAGCCGCCAGTTGAAACCTACGCTGACGCAGGGATCTCAGAACACTGCAAGTTGTTCAAGATCCGTCCGCAATGTGGAACAAATCATGCTCTACCACGTCTAACCAATTATGCAGTACTATCCATGCATCTGACATGGGTTTGAGGGGGCATAATGTGTTGACTCTGGGGCCAATCTTGCAAGTAGGCCGGATAGAACATGTATCAATAGACGAGAACGGATTGGTGAAATTGGAAATGAAGCACTCGGATTACAATTCCACCAGCCTCAGTGATGCCACCATACCGGGAAAGACACGTTGTGGTTTGTCCACTCGACATATGCAAGCCATGACTCGCGTACACAAAAGCCACATATGCGAAAACACGTCGCATGACTCCCCTGCGCTTGCATGCATGGACAGCAGGACTAGAATTTACCCTCACTATGAGGTTTCTACCTCTTGTTCGGAGCTGATTTATGCGAATTCGCATTTTCGTGGGAGAGATACGTACCTCTCAGGGTAATCTGCGTACCTTTGTCATACTAGAGAAGTATGTCATGAGGATTGATCCGTCTCACAGTCGCTAAGTAGAGAGCTCTGTCTCAAATATCTTTAAGCTGATACCCCGGGATTTTCTTCGTTCTTCAATCTACTCTATCCAGATCCAAGATGTTACTTTGTGCTCCCTGTGACCGATCATTCCCCACTCAACGCGCCTTGGAACAGCACCTCCAGTCCCCAAAACACTGGTGTGAGCCTTGCAACAGATTTTTTAAATCTGTGAGTTCAAAAAAACAGCATACAAAGAGCTCAAGGAACCACCTTGTCCAGGCAAACTTAGATGTAGTTTGCAACAAGCATCAGTCTGCCTCCCTGAACGACCGCAGAATGTGGAACCATCAAACACCAGGGATGTCAATTACGATGAAAAACAACGATTCGGTCTCACCGTACAAAGGGGTACCTCGAAATATAGTCACACCTGTCTTCAAAATGGCATGTCACCTCCGTTTCAAGAAACCCGACGTCAATATGCTATTGAACTATATCGATACACAACTAGACCACATGGTAATATCAGCACTCATCGAAGCTGCTCTTCGACTGCTCCCACCTGATGACACCCCTGAAGGGAGGTTAGAGGCGAAAGAAAGAATGCAACAAAAGATGGAGCGGGCACATTCTCAAGAAGTCGATTTCGTCGATCAAGTGCGAGACTTTGGCTATCAACTTCTAACGGAGAGCGAACAAAAACAGTCTCAACTACGCTCGACTCCTGATATTCTATTTCTTGAGCCTGTATCAATTCATGGACAGCTATGCCACTGGATCGAATTCAAAAGTTACTTCGGTTTCAAATCGAACCCATTTATCGCTTCGAAAAACAAGAAACAATTGAAGAGATATGCCTCGGAATTAGGACCAGGTGCCGTTGTCTACAAGTTGGGATTTGAGATTGATCACATAGTAGCTCCAGGGATTCATTCGTTTCGTGAGAAAGAGGTTCTGAATTACATGGGACAGCAGTCGGATTTTAGATACTAGCTGTAGTAGTATTTCTTGATTCAGTTTCAGAGACACGGAATATTGCCTATATCATACTTCTAGACTGGCATTGAACAATTATTGCTTGATAAATCTTATGAAACATCTGTGTTGGAGAGTATTTGTGCCTTGGGTAGGGCTTCCTTGATTAAAGCGACGGCCATATTTCTGGAAGCTGTATAATTATATTAAGACTTCGCCAATGTCACGTTTTCTGCTATTGCTTTGCGGGGGCCGGGCCGTAAATGGGGCTAATCAGCCTTATGTATAACTGCTAGAACAAGAATTTCCCGTCACTCATGTCCTTTTGGAATTGACATTGTCGGAAGAGATATGCTACGTTTAAATGAACAAAACCTAAATGATAAGATGGAGTGGTATGGAGAGAACCTTGGAAGAAAGAATCCTAGTAGGTAAGAGAGAGATGGGATATGGCAACTGCCCAGCACTATACACACGTAAGTACACGCACATGCTCCGAGGAATATCAACCACACTCGGAACTCCGCGCGGCTTTCCTTTTTAAACTTAATACCTAATTAATGATTAACGACCTCGGTGCTCATAGACGAAATCAATTTCTTAATTTATCTTTGCCATTCGCGGCTCAATCTCCCATCTTCCGCTGTGCCTCATTCCGCTTCTCGGTCAAACTTCATTCTTATCTGATATAAGGGGAGGCAGGCTATCTATACGTGTACCTCATCTATTGGGAGCCATGACTCGATCTCGAGCTTTCCTCGAATATCTGTGTAGCTTTAGCTTCAGGCCTTCCGAAGGGAATTAGACAACTCACACCAAGTATCTATCTTTAAGCCGGTCGCTAGGATCAGAAGGATAATCCAATTTACTGTGAAGAATGCGGTAGCCAGCCTTGTTAATAGAGATGCTGGTGCAGTTCTGGTCTCATGAGCCATAGTCTCAAGATCCAGATCAACGCCCTTTTTACCTAGAATAACCATAGCAAAGCGGCTGCCGTTCCCTTCGGTGAGTATGATGGTAGGGCCGCCGTTCCGTGGACAAGCCCATTTCTCACGCGCCCACCGGGGCAATGAACTTTCTAACAGGGCAAGGATAGTGCCGTAGCATGTTATCAGAAAGGTTCCCACTCGTTGCTGACGATCCACGGAATGATTCCAATGATTAATTGAGCGAGAATCACCAAAAATCCCGAAATCCAAATACTGTCTCTTGTCAGCATCCCATGCTCAATAGTCTCGTCATCTACCACTTCATAGAACGCTATTCGAAGCGCTTCCCATGGTTTCGATGGTTGTTCGATTTCTGATTCCAATCCCAATGTGGGTCTCCAGAAACACTCATTCCAGCTGGTCCAGCTCCCTGTACGTGAATGAGGTGCTTCACTGCTCATCTCTTTATCCATTTTGTCGCTCGTATCTCTAAGTAGTCTGCCAAGAATCCACGAACATGTGGTCCGACTGTCACCGCTTGAAGCAGTGATAACCATCAGATTTGTGTTCTCTGATGGTGGCATCACATCAATTTTCCATCTGTCAGCTAATATTAGAAATCAACCTTTCTTCCAATGTTTGAAAAGAGGTCAGGTATGAGCTACCGCCAACAGGCGAAAGTAGAGCCTTTACTGCATAGGCCACCAATCGAACGAAAATACCACCGGGATGATCTGACGTCCTGCAAGCTGTGCGACTGCTTGTTGCATGACTTCAGGGCCGAGCAGTAGCAGAATAGAAAATATGTCTCCTGGGTTTACCCATTGTGCAGCGAACTAGTCCGCCGTACTGGTCGAACTGTGGACCACTCCCACTGAAGATGTTGGCGCCATGGTCCAGAAAATGACAGCAAGTCCTAAGTTATTGGTGAAATATCTCAGAAGGTCAGGTCGTAGGAGGGGCATAGCCGATTATTTATTCAGGCGAGGAGCGCGCCTCACCCCGCGGTTGCCCAATTGAGGCTAAGCACGTATAAGTTCAACAAATACGAGCTGAAAACGCCCGGGTAAATTCTGAAGGGAGCAATTTGAATCAATGTGTCGATGGTATGGAATTCATTACTAAGAAATTCTGCAAACACAAGTGAGGGTGGGCACAAATATATTAACACGTTCACCAGGATAGATCCAATGGTCATTCGCAAAGACAGTGCTGTTTAGGTGGGAGTAATTTTGGGAGAAGGTAGCACGTGAGTTGGCTCACCCCGACCCTCGGACGAGGATCGGTGAGACATCACTGCTCAGTAAGCAAAGAACGGCAAAGTCTGAGCTCTAGTATGGAAGTCAACTGTATATAGCGTTACCTATATAGCTAGGTACGTGTCTAGGTATTGCAAAGTTAAAATAAATGATGAATAATCGTAAATTGCTGTACATAACTTATACTTCATGCATTTTCTTACAGCATAGCCGAGGTGATATGTTGCTGCGACTGCTCCAGCTACTGTCGTTTGTCGGATGCATCGATAAAGGATCCATTCCTTTATGCTTCAATTGCGAATGAGGTCTCAAATTCTCTGGACTCGGTCCCACAAGTATCACTTCTGGCTGTAACTCAGTGTTGTGCTTGAAGACATCCTCCACCTCTTCAAGGGACCGGCCCACGGTTTCAGGATAGAAAAGCCAAACGATAACCATAGCGACCCAGTTGAAAGCAACAAAGCAGTAAAAATACTTTGAGCCAATATTTGTGAGCCCGATGGGCGAACACTGCGCGAAGATCAAGTTTACACTCCAGTTCGTCGCAGTAGCAGCAGAGGACCCCCGAGCTCGAATAGCTGTAGGGAAAATCTCGGCCGGATAGATCCAGGATATCATGCCCAGGGCTGTGAAGAAGAGAGAGAACACAAAGAACATGGCAATCGCAGCACGAAGTGCGTTCTGGTTGGCGTTGCTGTCACTGAAATCGACGTACTGTGCAAGTGTGGCCTCAACGCACAGAACTGCACCCATACCCAAAAGTGATGGAATGAGAAGCTTTCGTCGACCAACTTTGTCGATGAAGAACATGAATACCGTGTTCCAGAACTGCGCCAGCGCGCCCCAGACGCCGATAATCATGAGTGATGTATGTGTAGAGAGACCCAAGGATTTGTATAGGCGGGGTCCATAGTATTGAATGACATTTGCGCCGGAAAGTTGCGTAAATGCCTGTATACCACACCCAAGGAGGATGCGATAGCGCCATTGTCGAGATAGTAGGAGTTGACGCCAGGAGTGGACAGCGGCGGTGCGCTCGTAAGCAATACTCTCATGAATTTGAGTCATTTCGTGTTCAACAAGCTGGCTATTGGTTGCGTTAAAGTTATGGAGACGATTCAATGCTGACCGACCAGCCGCTTCTTTTCCATGTTCGATGAGCCAGCGAGGCGACTCTGGAAGAAACCAGACACCACATGTTAAAATAATGGCTGGCGCTGTTTGGAATGAGAGAGGAAATCTCCAGGCAAAGTCGCTGCTGTAGCGGGAACATCCATAGCCGACCCATTGCTGGAATGAATTAGAGAAAAAAAATGTTAGCGGTCAGATGGAAGTTGCTTACAGCCACCATGATTCCTAGGCCAATCATCCATTGCTGCATGCTTGCTAACATGCCACGAATCCGGGGCGGTGCAACCTCGCTCTGTGAGATGTTAGTGATGACAGTGGTAAGCTTGAGTTCGGTCGACCCACGCAATACACGGGAATGGTTGCAGACATGAGGCCAATTGCCACACCCGCGATGAATCGGCCAGCGATTAGCATCGCAACAGTGACTGCACCTCCCTGAAGTGCAGCCCCGAGTGTTGCCAGAAGTCCTCCAATGAAGATGACCATCCTCCGGCCTTTAAAATCAGAGATGTAGGGAGCAAGTAAAGACCCCAGGATTGCCCCTCCTAGTCACAGATTAGAGCCGATCATCCGTGCACGGATCAGAAAACAATACCTGTGTAAGAGGAGATGATTCCACCAGTAGCTGCATCAGATAGATTAGGGGATCCGAACTTGACCAGGAAAGCGTTTTGCGCTATGCTTGACGAGATCACACCAGAGTCATAGCCAAACAAGAATGACCCCAAGGCGACAAAGACGCAACAGAGAGTAACTAGCACGTAAACCATGGTTGTTCTTTAAACAGCACAGCTGCATCATCGAAACAAAGGTGATAGACAAAGTGGAAGATGGCAGACAAGACGGACAGGTTTGGTATAAGAGGTCGATTGGGTCAGGTTTGGGGGCGCGCAGAATGTGGCGATCCACCCCGGGGGAAGTGGGACGTGGGACGTGCCGAAGGGGAAGGAGGGGGTCAATTATCACCAGATTTGAAATCTGGAAACTGTGACTGGCATGCAGGATGTGAAGACTTTGTCTGTTCAAATTATTTACAGCTAGACAAGTTGAAACGGCTTGATTCAATTATTTGAAGTAATCCCCTGCAGGGCTGACAAGCTTTAAAGAACTGAGTTTGGGCCCATCGAGACTAATACCGACCCATGGAACTGCCGTGAACACGATAAGGGTCTTTACCGCCTACTTACTAAGATACTCCTTCCTAATCTAGTTCTACCATTCTCCTAACTTTTCACTGTTAATACACCTACTTCCCTAATTATTGTGGTATTACGTATTATATCAGTGGCTTCTTGAAAATCTGTACAGCAATCTATGGGCCGTAATACAAAGTACAATCTAATTAGTTTTTACTACTTACTACTTTACTACTTATTACTGGAAGTCGAACAGTAAATTATTATTATAGGGGGTGGAAGGGTGCAAATACTTAAATCCTGGCTGGGTTATACCTACTTATGACTCGGTTTCAGCTTTGATCTTGAACATTCCAATCTCGCGTCACAGGGTTTTGTCATGGTCCCCTTTACATGGTTGATCCCTTCATAACGGCAGAACTGGCCCCGACATTTGAGTTGATCTATCATCTGCAACTTTCAACAAACTATTTCATTAATCTCGTCTGCCGGGGCAACAAGCTACGGGAATACCCCAAAGTGAGTTTTCCCGTATTATTGATATAGTCACCTCTTGGCGATATAACTTTATGATTTTATGCAGTCGTATATTCCATATCAAGATCTATGTGACCAACGACATGGAATAATTAAAATTGGTACCAGTTGACGTTGAAATCGGCATCGGGTTTCATGAATCCCGCAACTTTTAACCCCTTCCACGTTAGAAAGAAACTTCTGACTTCCTCTCGGCGATTAATCAGAATTCGCCGAATACCCCGAGTTTGAAGTGGAAACCCGTGGCTGTTCTCCGCAGTCCGGTTTCAAATGTATCAGTGGAGTACATTCAGTGCAACCAGTACAACCTACGACAGTTAATATTCTCGACTATATCAGATTTTGAACAATCAGATTGAACTGTCGAATCAGACCTCGGCAAGTTGACTTACGGAGTACTGAAGCTTAAAAACCGAGGCCACCCGAGTCGAGAGCCGTAGTGGGGACCGGAAAATTCTACCATCGGGAACGGACGCCGATGTGATCAAGAAAATGCCTCAATAATCCTGGAAAGTCCCTGTCGGATGTCCGATACGTACCTTATACGGGCGTATAGTATAGCCAAAATAGTAGAGAGTAGGAGTCATCTTTGGCCAAGCTTTTAGAGAACATTCCACCAATTCTCTCTCTCTCCACTTTACTCCGTACACCGCTTTCGGTTTGGAAATCATTTCATCATCACCGCGGGACCTTTCCACTAGACGATCTTCTGTCCCTTTTGGAACTTGAGCCCGTTCATTCGTCACTCTCCATTTGAACTTCTTTTCTTTTTCCCACAAATGTTCCGGCAAGGAGGGCGATCGAGAACTTGCTAATTAACTAGATCGCCCGCCAAGCTCTCCTTACATAAAATCACCGTTTACCACTTCCCTAAACAACTATGGCGATGATAGGTTCTCATTCTGGCGAGAATGAGGATGATCCATCTATGATGGATGTCTATTCACATGAGGATGACTTCTCCCCGCATGAGGCCTCCCCCGCAGATCCCAAATCACAGTCCTTGCCGATGCAAAAGAGGCGCCGAGTTGGTCGCGCCTGTGATGAATGCCGTAGAAAGAAGATCAAGTGTGACGGGAAACAACCCTGTACGCACTGTACGGTCTATAGTTATGGTGCGAACCACTGCAATCACATTTTTCTCACCCCGTCCTCAGTCTCACGTGGCTGACATTCCACAGAATGCACGTATGATCAGCCTTCCAATCGACGTCGCAACCCGGCCCCGCAGTATGTCGAAGCCCTCGAGGCCCGTATGCACAAGGCAGAAGCCCTTCTCCGATCTATACTCCCCGATATCAACCTCGATGACCCACAGCTGGACTTAAAAGCCACAGAGAAGAGCCTTGTCGCCGCACATAAGGCGAAACAGGCGCCGACCGGGCCATCTGCGCCCGAGGCGCCCGCGGCGCCCGCGGCGCCCAAACCTTCCGCAGGGCAGGTCGAGCCGACCCCTGAGGGTGGGGAAGAACCGTTGCTCGAGACCATGGTCGATAATTCTGGCTGTCTAGACCGCGATGACCAAGGTCACTGGGACTACCATGGTCATACGTCGGGTATCATCTTTGCCCGCCGTCTGCGCAAACAACTAGGCGCCACCGATGCGTCCATTACACGAGCGTATGGTCTTTCACCGGTCCTGGAGAGCCCTAAATCGGTGTCGGATTCCCCACAAGATTTATCAATGCCCTCGACGCATGATCTGCCATCCCGGATTGTCGCGCGACGCTTGTGTCACAATGCGCTAGATGATGCGTGCAGCCTGATGCGTTTCGTGCACGAGCCAACTTTCTTCGCCAGTCTTGAGCGCATTTACGATAAATCACCTGATCAATATACCAACGAAGAGAACACCTTCCTGCCGCTTCTATTTATTGTCATGGCGGTGGGATGCTTGTTCTCGGATGATGGCGTGGGCACTCTCGATGTAACTGGTTACGAGGGTGCCATCGGCCAAGGGTAAGTTTCCTTCTCCCTGCGTGTAACTATGAATAATTGTTGATCCTCTTGTCAGATTTCAATTCTTCAAGGCTGGGCGGCAGCTCTTGGAAATCACAGATTGCCGAGATCTGACCTCATTACAAGCAATTTGCTTCATGGTTCTCTTCCTTCAATCCTCTGCCAAGCTTAGTACGTGCTACTCCTTTGTAGGAATCGCACTCCGCTCGGCACTGCGATTGGGTCTGCACCGCAATGTGGTAGCGGACTTCAATCCGATTGAGCGCGAGATGCGTAAGCGCATATTCTGGGTGATACGCAAAATGGACGTCTATGTCAGCACTCTACTGGGTCTTCCGCAAATGCTGAGCGACGATGATATTGACCAGGAGCATCCCTTGGAAGTTGACGGAGAATTCATTTCCGCAGAAGGGATCATGCAGATGCCCACTGACTACACCCCTATAATGGCTGGGTCAAATGCGCATACCCGCCTTTCTAACATCATTTTGAAAGTGGTCAAGTATATATATCCTGTGAAAAACGCCCGCTATCGCTCCAAGTATGATCAACGCTACATGGTCAGTCACTCCAAGATCCGCGAAATTGAGCGTGATCTCCAAAATTGGATGGAGGAACTGCCTCCAGCCCTGCGCCCAGGTACAGAAGTGTCCCCACAACTCGAAAGGTAAGATCAAAGCCCCCCCCCCTCCACCAAAAAAAGACCATATCCAGGATCAGTGGAGCTTATTAGCTCTGTAGAATTCGTCAGTTGCTCCGTATCAGCTATGCGCATGTTCAGATGGTCATGTACCGTCCATTCTTACACTATGTATCTGGCGGGTCCCAAGCGCGTGGCGTCGACAAGCGCTCTTATGCATGTGCGGCAGCTTGCGTCAGCGTGTCCCGCAATATCGTTCACATTACAACCGGGATGCACAAGAGGGGCCTTCTCAATGGGTCGTTCTGGTTCACCATGTATACGACTTACTTTGCCATCCTTTCCCTGATCTTCTTCGTGGTTGAGAATCCTGATTCTCCTACGGCCAAGGATGGCGTTCTCAAGGATGCCATGGAGGGCAAAACTACTCTGGCCGGATTAGCCAAGAAGAGCATGGCGGCAGACCGTTGCTCTCAGAGCTTGATTGTAAGTGCAGATTCGTCTGGTCAGATTGTTCTGTGCTAATCCAAACTGCAGTGCTTGTTCAAGACTTTGCCAGAGATGTTGAAGAATCGACAGACCTCCAAGACCCCGGTAAACCTGAAGCGACCAGCTCCAACTAGCATCTCTGCGGAGCCTGAATCTATCAAGCTTTCAGAACAAGCCAATTTACCTCATCGCTCAAGTACATTCCCCACCCAGATGATGCAACAGTCCCCAATGATCAGTCCTTCGAATCGTCGACAAAAGAGCCTGGACAATCCCCCGGCCATGAACAACCGCCCCTCTGATAATGGCACCCAGTCGGCCTGGATGGCCTCGACACCTGAGCTGTTGACAGAAAGCATGCTCACCCCGGAACCCATGGTTACTAGCTCTTTGAACGCTTCACTTGCCAACCAAGAGCCTTCGAGCTTGGCGTGGTCCCAGCAATTTACCAATCCAACAAACCTCCCAGATCTCATGCCCATTATGTTCCCAACGGACGATCCCTTCGCGTATCCCACTCAACCCATGTCCACCCTGGAAGACGATCATTTCCGACACGACCGACCTGGCTTAGGCTCCACCCAATTCCCATTTGATTCAACCCCAATGGTGCATTCACCAAGCGACCCGAGTGTTACCACTCCCAGTTTTGACTTTACAAACCTTCCCGGCTATGGGGCAGCCTCAGTCAAGTCATCTGTGCCGAATCGACTTCAGGCTGCACCACAACTGAACTCGCCCCGTGTCCACTCCCCAATCTCTCAAAGCCATACACCCAGCGAAGCTCTAAGTAGCCCCGACCTGGTTTCCATCCCAAATCAGAACTTTGTTTGGCAAGGTTATAACTTCCAGCCAACAAACGGGGATCAGCCGATGCAGCAAGAGCCGCTTCCCAATGGACTGCCGGACTTCAACATGGGTCTTGATGAGAATAATATGGGCATGAACATGGATCTGGGTATCTCATTCGACGACTTGTTTGGGAACAACACCGGCCGCCCTGGTAAGGGCACATCCAGCGATGAGTGGACACAGTGGATGAATTCTGGGGTATAGCCCAATTTTGTGTGACTCTACGACGATATGCACTTACGAAGGAAAGTAAAAAAGAAAAACATATGTTTATACCAGGCTGGCGTTGCGTAATCAAAGGTATTTATGACAGGTTAGTTTGTGACAACACTGTATCGCAACCCTTGAATCAATAGTAATGTCTTTGTGAACTACAGTGCATGAATATTCGTAGACATTAAGAAATGATCATTGATCTTTAATTGATTGCTTGGAACGGTTTAGCCCCACTTGAATGATCCTCGGATGCCCGAATCACCCCCATCCACACTGACGACTTCTCCCCATTCAGTCAATATGGCAGTGCCCGACAACCCATCAATCGGGCCTTCTCATTCTACCATTTATACGAATTAAATATAGCACTTCGCTGTTTCACGCCTGGCGCCCGGTCGCATGAGCTAAGCTCTTCACGACAACAAGCTCTGTATAATACATCATTTATCCCCATCTATCCGATCCGCAAGAATGTCCCTCCCAAAATTATCCACCCTATTCTCATGGGCTCTATACTTCATCCCGGTATACATTTTCATTCTTTCGCCGCTGCTACAGACCTTCCTCGGCTCCAGCACGACCACTTCCAGTACCGAGAACATATTCGACTGGTCCCCAGACTCAAGCCCACCCCCAGACCTCCGAAACGACAGCTTCATCAGTCCAGAAGATGGCATTCCAAGAACCTGCCCCGGCGAACCCGCTGGATACAAAGTGCATTTACTCTCGCGCACACCACTCATCCTATACCTAGAGAACTTCCTCAGCGACGACGAAGCCGATCACCTTGTTAATATCAGGTAAGTCCATACCGACCCAGCCGCCAGAAGCGCAACGGCTGACCGGCACAGTGTCGACAAATACGCCCCATCGATAGTGTACGACGGCAAAACAGAAAAAGTCGATCCTACCAAACGACTTTCGGATCGCGCGCTCCTCGACCGCGATGATACGGTTCGCTGTCTGGAAGACCGCGCGCGCGCCTTCCAGGGCTGGCGTCCTCACCTGTATATAGAGCGAATGTGGGCGCAACGGTATAACGCCTCGGGACATTATCGGCACCACTATGATTGGACAGGGACGCTTGCGCGCGGCGGGGACCGACTGAGTACGTTCATGGTATATCTGGGCGCGGAGTGTGAGGGAGGAGGAACGAATTTCCCGCGCTTGACAATGCCCCCTGGGAAGCAGTGGTGTCAGTTTTTAGAGTGTGAAGGGGAGAACAAGGAGGTTGGGAATGATGAGGCGCAGGACCAAGCCCAGGCTCACGATATGGGAGGAATTCCAATTCCGAAGCAGAAGCCTGGAATTACGTTCAAGCCTATTAAGGGAAATGCGATCTTTTGGGAGAATCTTCGGCCTGATGGGACTGGGTATCCTGAGACTTGGCACGCCGCGTACCCGGTTACGTCGGGAACGAAGGTGGGATTGAATATTTGGAGTTGGTACCAGCCGCCAATGCGAGCGCATAGGTAAAGCCGAGGCCAAACTTAGGGACCAAACTTGGAGTGGCCACGTTCATGATTCAAGTTTGGTACTGGGTTCTTCAGTATGAAGAGTTCGCGGAGAATGCTTGGGAGCTGTGTTGCACTGGTGCAACTTGCACTGCCCGCTTATTCTTCTACTTGGAGGTGCTGTATATAGGTCAACCTTGGAAAGTGTATATGACGTGTAACATAGTTCTCTAGATAGATTTTTCTCCTGAATGTGCTTTGATATACCCCGGATCAAGGATCCTATCTTCCCCGGGAGTATGATCATTTTTTATTATCTCTTGTTCCCCATGGGGCTAATATTAGGCAACGAAATTCACCAAGGGGTGCCAAGTGACTGTTGCCGAGACATAGAATTGGGGGCTTCGGAGCGGGAATTGGCAAAGAGGAAAACCTTGGCTGCCAAGAATGTTTGGCCATGGCTTACGACGCTTGGCAGATTTACTTCCATTTGCCACAGAAAACAAATTTCATCCTTCCCCAAGGGTCCAGGACCCGAAATTGTCTCCGTTCGGTTCTTGAGTTGATTGGATGATTTGGTTTGTATCGTAAATTTAGTTGGCGCTTGACCCGATTAGGGAGCCACCACCCGAGTGGGGAAACACTTGCTATTTCTCTGTATTATTGGTGTTAAGTTGGGGGTTAAGAGATTACTTCATGAATATGAGGGGTTTGGGATATGATCAATAGTATTTATATAATGTTTTAGACTCGAGATGTTACAAGGATAATGCACAGCCTTTCTCAAAACCAGTCAAAAACTTGCCAACTCGTGGAAGCCCCGCAATAACTCTTGGCCCGATGTTTGTGCCTTCTTGTCCCGCCCCGGTAAAATGTGTTCTGGGCAAAGTCTCGGCTTATTACTGCGGAGTCTCCCCTTACGCGCTTTCCTTCACCCACTTTCTCTTTCCCCCTTAACTTGGACACTTCAGGTTTCATTCTGTACGACCTAGTTATCATATTGGTGGTCGTATTACATTTGGTGGTCTTTTCCCCCTTTTTTGGTTCATTTTTGATAATCGTTGTGCCTGGGCATCCCGCCAGCACGACAAGACTCCCCGTTTCTTGGCATCATGACGGAGAACAATATTCCCCAAACTTCAACTCCTCAAATGGTGCCGTCGGTACCGGTTGATCAGACACACTCCGTGGCGCAGGTCACCACCACCCCGACCGCGTCGGTTACGGCAACCGCCGCAGCCGCCACCGCCGCCATCAACAACTCCATGAATGGCGGCGAGCAACTCCCTTGCCAGTGGGTGGGCTGCGCAGAGAAGAGTCCTACTGCGGAAGCGCTATATGTAAGCTCATCGCGGATCACTCTTTACGAGTAGCGTACTAATCAGCGGTTGTATTAGGAACACGTTTGTGAGCGCCATGTCGGTCGCAAAAGCACAAACAACTTGAACTTGACCTGCCAGTGGGGATCTTGCAACACCACCACCGTCAAACGTGATCATATCACCTCGCACATCCGAGTCCATGTCCCGCTGAAGCCGCACAAGTGTGATTTCTGTGGCAAGGCCTTCAAGCGTCCCCAGGATTTGAAGAAGCATGTCAAGACTCACGCTGATGACTCGGAGATCCGGTCACCCGAGCCAGGCCTGAAGCACCACCCTGATATGATGTTCCCCCAGAACCCTAAGGGCTATGCCGCTGCCACTCACTACTTCGAGGGCCCCATCAATGGTGTCACCAACCAAGGCTATACTCATGCCCCACCCCAGTACTACCAGACACACCCGGCGCCACCCCCACCCGCTAACCCACACTCCTACGGCAATGTCTACTATGCTCTTCAGGGCCATGATGGTACCCCATCATATGACCGTAAGCGTGGATATGATGCGCTGAACGAGTTCTTCGGTGATCTCAAGCGCCGCCAATTCGACCCGAACTCTTACGCCGCCGTGGGCCAACGGCTGCTTGGTCTGCAGGCCCTACAGCTGCCGATCCTGAACGGACCCGTGCCTGAGTACCAGCCCATGCCCACTGGCGTTGCTGTCGGTGGAGGTGGTGGATACAGCCCTGGTGGCTCTCAAGCCCCTGCCTACCATCTGCCCCCGATGTCCAACGTCCGCACCAAGAACGATCTCATCAACATTGATCAGTTCCTGGAGCAGATGCAGAACACTATATACGAGAGTGATGAGAACGTGGCTGCTGCTGGTGTTGCGCAGCCCGGTGCCCACTACGTGCACCCTGGCATGCACTACCGTGCCACTCACTCCCCGCCAACTCAGCTACCTCCTAGCCATGTCACGGCCACCTCCGCACCCATGATGCAGGCGCACTCCCCATCTGTCGGTACTCCCGCGTTGACTCCTCCCTCCAGTGCACAATCGTATACTTCGAACCGCTCTCCTGTCTCCATGCACAACCAGCGTGTTTCTCCGCCGCATGAGAGTGGCGCCGGCATGTACCCTCGTCTCCCATCTGCCAGCATGTCTGACAGTATGGGTGCCGGCTACCCCACTGCATCCGGTGCTGCGCCCCCATCCACGCTTGGTGCCTTTGATAACGATGATCGTCGTCGTTACACCGGAGGTACTCTCCAGCGTGCGCGCCCGGCTGAGCGCGAAGTTGAAAGTGATGGCAAGGCAGATGGCGAACGCACTCCGACCAAGGAGCGCCTCAACATCTCGGAGAGTCTGATTGATCCTGCTCTCTCCGGCACCTCCCACGACCCCGACCAGGAAGCTGCCCAGCGGACGGCACAAGCTGCTACCGAGGTGGCTGAGCGTGATGTCAATGTTGCTTGGGTGGAGAAGGTTCGATTGCTTGAGAACTTGCGACGTCTGGTGTCTGAGCTCTTAGAGGCCGGTCAGTTCAACCCTGACTCCGATCACCGCGAGGCCCATTCCCCCACCCCCATTGAAGGGGCTATGGAGGGGATTGAGATTAGTAGTGCACGTGCATCCTCCGAGCCAACCAAGGAGGAACCCAAACCCGAACCCACAGAGACTATCTCTTATCCCACCCTCCGTGGACTCGACGAAGACGGAGATACTCAGGTGCCCGGTGTTGGTGCGTAGGGACACCAATATTTATCTACGGCCTCCATCATCTTAACGCTGTTACGACTATTTGATTTTATTTTTATTCTACCCATCTTTTTTCCATATGTTTTCCTTGAGCACACCCTTCTCATCGGTGGAACACGCCTGTTTTATATTTACTGTTCCGTCTCCTCTCCCTTGTCCTTTACATGTCCAATTTCCCTGGATAGTCCGGTCTACTGAAACATTTCATCTGTAGTAATAAAACTGCACATTGTTTATTTACGGCTTTTTCATGTTGTTTGCATCCAATGATCATTTCTCTAGTGTAACTTGAACTAGAACAAGGAACTAAAACAAGGATAGATCGAGATCGTCCCTTGACAAGGTTAAACAGGATTAAGGTTACATGATTCTTGAATGATTCGATGTGTTTTCTCCCTACTGTTTGGTATGCTCCCCGGATTTGGTAAAGTGAACACGGATCGACATGTCAAGTCCTAAAGGGGCAAAGCAACATTCCAACGGGTGAGACTAAACTGCATCCGGGGCCCTGTGACGCAAACGATCGAGTCGGCCCCGTCAATAAGGACTAGTAAATTCTGCAGGAATTGAATGCCGTATCAATTGTGAGAGTAGAGAATACCAGTAACTTTCATATATCAGGTTGATAGAATAGATTTAATATGAAGAGGACGAAGTACGGAATCAAGTATCTAGTACAGACTAGGCAGAATATTTGAATTGTTCTCATCTTCATTCAATCATACCTTAAGGCCCCTCATCTAACGTAGGATATTCTTCATGGACCAACTGCACTCGGAAACATCGTGGATCCCACGCTGAGCACGTAATGTGTATGTAATGGTATTACTTGATTTGCCCCGCTGATACCCTGCAAATCCATTGGTATTATACAGCAACGTGACAAGACTCCACCACTGTTTACGGCCAAACGCACTTTACTTCATCTGTTTCGGTTTCTTTCCTAAGTAAATTGAAATCTTTTACTTTACCTTCTTTTCCCTTCCTTTCTCCTATTTCCTTTTTCCCTTCTCATCTGTTCTGTGTTGAAACTTGAACTCATCACACGCTCCCCACGCGACAAGGCGGTCACCCCAAACAGACGCCATCGCGTCGATCGTAGGGATTATCGATAACGCAACATCCCCAGCCACTCGATTTACATCCAACTCCTCTGTGTTTGTGTGTTTGTATTTTTTTTGATTTGTGGAGCTTTGGGGGATTTTGTTATTCATTCTTTTACTTCAAAACACCAACTCTTTTTTTCTATCTTTTTGCTGTTTTCTGTCGCGGTGGCAAACTCCGACACAATCGAGTGGTTCTGACGGACTCTTTTCTCTGGTTCTACCTCTCTGAACGTGTCTCCGAAACTGGGGCGCTCAAATCCGGATCCAGACTTAGTCTGTTGTGTTTTTTATTTCCCTTTGGTCTGGGAATCTTTGCCTCTTTCTTGAACTTCATCTTTGTTGCCCCGCTGTGGAATATCTGCGGAGTATTCGAAACGTCTACATTGCCCACATTCTTGAAAATTCCGAAATCCCCCACGGTCATCATTCAGGTGCTGATTTGCGGAAAAATTCCTCTGGGTTAAAATCGTCCGACTGTATCCTCCAAGAACCGATAGAGATGCCGTTGTCGAATCGCCGGCGTGCGCGCCGGAAGGAGATCCAACTCCAGGAAACCTCCGACGCAGAGGCTCCAGACTCGTCCCCTAGTCGTCCGTCTGCAAAGAAGCGCAAGGTGAGTTCTGATAGCAGTGGCGATAGGATCCGTCGGTCCGAAACCGAATCTTCCGAGGGATTAGAAAAAAACAACACTCGCTGACATTGATTAAACGCATAGGTCGATCGCCGCGCCTCACCCTCACGAACCGCTATCAAAGCGGCACCCGAATCCGACGATGACGAAGACTCAGCTGGCGACCATGATCCGTCAACCCACCAGGATGTGGTCGACCTGGTGATCTCATACCTCAACATCCCGCGCGAAGAACTGCGCGTCACGCGCGATCACTCCAACGCCAAGACTGAGAACAAGCAGAGTATTCAAGCCTATGCGAAAATCGCCGGCCGCGACTGGACCTATTACGTCAAGTCGCTTCATGTCAACATCGGTCGCGAACCAGACCGCGAACAACACCCCACTGAACAATCCAGTCCGGTCACTATTGCCGCTCGTTCGCTCCCGGATGTCGATGTAGATTTAGGTCCGAGCAAGTTTGTGTCACGGCTCCATGCGGAGGTCTTTTATGATGGAAAGCAGGCGCCAGCCTGGCATATCCGGGTGAATGGCCGCAATGGCGTTCGACTGAATAACTCGATTCTCAAACGCGGCGCTGATGCGATTCTTTCTTGTGGCGATATCATTGAAGTCGCCAATACGCAGATGATGTTTGTCACGCCTGGTGACGTTCCCAATATACACCCTAGTTTTGTCGAGCGCGCGCAGCGCATTGCGAGTGGTCAGGAACCGGATCCGGCTTCCGTGGCTTGGGATGCGTCGCAGCATGCTCATCCGCAAGCCTCGCAGACAACGGAGTCAGCGCGTCCTTCTTCATCTGGTGGTCCTTCATTGGCGCCAGCGCCGAACTTCCTCAAGCGCAACGTCACCCCGCCTCCCCGGTCCCCGGATACGGCGGGCGCGCGGACGGTTAAGCAGTCTCCACTTTACAACCGGGGTATGATGATGGAGAGCACAGAGGAAATTGACTACAGTGCGGATGCGGCTAAGGACCTCAAGCCGCCCTATAGTTATGCCTCACTGATTGCGCAGGCTATCTTCTCCAGTGAAGAGGAGAAGCTTACTCTTAACAGCATTTACAATTGGATTATGGACCGATACGCTTTCTATCGACACTCGCAAAGTGGCTGGCAAAATTCTATTCGTCACAACCTGTCTTTGAACAAGGCCTTCCAGAAAGTTCCTCGTCGAACTGATGAGCCGGGCAAGGGAATGAAGTGGCAGATTGCTGTGGAGCATCGTGAAGAATATAGGAAAAAGCAAGCACGAAAGGGCAATCAATCGTCAGCTCCGTCATCGCCGGCGACCAAAGAGCCTCCATCGTCAGCACGTGCTCACATCCCTTCAATTGATACTTCTTTTCCCGCTACGGCTAGAAAGTCCCCACCCGTCTCATCTCCAGGCTTCAGCTCGTTTCCCGTTGCGCCCGTAGAGGCGTTTACTCCGGAGCGTGGTTCACGAGCCGGTCGTGGTCTCGGCTCCGACCACCCACTCCGGCACATGAACCCGCAAGGCTACGAGGAACCATCCCCTCTACCCGCCCGCACGCGCAACACAGCCGGATCGAGCCAAGCAACGAACACAAACCCCAGCCACGGATACGGAATGTCAGATAACGTAGCCGGATCCCCACCCGTGCTCTCATCTTCATACTACGACGATGGGCCTTCATCAATGATCACCCCTGCCCCTCAACGACAACAACCCCGTCTTCCTCCCCCAAGCACCGCTCAGATCCCATCAAAGTTCATGCCAATGAGCTCACCAGCCCAGTTTTGGAAATTCGCCGATATTGGCAGCACCCCCGCGCGTCCGGTACCGGATATGAGTCCACTAAAGGGCGAGGCTGATGATCGGGATCGGATCATTGGCAGTTTCCCAAGCAGTAGTCCACCACCTCCGAACCTGGCTAGTCCCAGCAAACCAGGAACATCAAATGGTCTCGGCTCAAGCAGGACATTACCGCCGCTACAATCTGACACTGGGGATCTGGTTCCGACTACTTCGCGGAAAGAAGAGGAGGAAGAGGATGATAATGGCTTTGATCTTGCTCGGTATGCTACCCCTGCTCTATCTTCAACTGACACCCCTTAAAAATCGTCACTGACATAAAATTAGTGGATTCCAACCCATCGGCTCATACCATCGACAATTAAGCAATGCAGCACGCGCCACAGCAACCTAGTCATTTTTTCTAATTTCATGATGTATAACATGTTCCCCAGATTGTATGTTACGTCCGCTTTGCTTTGTTTGTTTTGCTCCGCATTCACCGGTGTTGGCTGGCTTGATCCATGACTCTGCGTATCGTTATGTCTGTTTTCCTTTTGTGTCTTTGCCGCGTATCCCGGTGCTGAGATCGGTGTTTGGGGGTTATGAAAGTTTCTGGCGGTTGGGCGTTGTTTTTCCGGTTGCAGTTTTGCTTTTTTTTCCAATTACCTATCTCAAGCCGAAGCCAAGGTGGCTTTGTATGAACGCGCAGCTATCAATGTATGATATCAACATACAATGTGTAAAGTGGAAGTTGTCTTTTGCGTAGTTGGTAGTTGGCTAACTAAGATAACAAGAGCATTGAGTATTACATAAGCACTAACAGACCCTGATCGACAGGGTTTGAGTCACAAGTACCACCTACTACTAAATACACATATGTTTACCTCGCAAAAGGAACTTGAACGATGTCTCTGAGCAACCTCGGTCTCCGCATGGGCGGCGCTTCAAGTACAGTATTCGCCGCCCAGGGCGTTTTCCTCTTAGGAAACGCCTTCTACACCATCCTCTATCCATCCGCAGCAGCAAATTTCCCAGGCTCTTCGCTTAGCGGAACCCCTGAAGGTGCCGTGCAGTGCATTGGGTATGTATGGAATATTCAAATTCAATGTTGACTCGAGAATGATTCTCTAAGATAGTACATGATATTCTAGTCTAACCTCCTTTGCTTTGGGAACATACTATCTGATTTCGACTTATCAGCGGGATAGTCTCATCATGGCTTCCTCGGTGCCTTCTCGTCTTGTTGCTGCGTTTGTTATGTACAGGGCTGGAGGAAATTGGGTCCAGGTTGCGGCTTTTGAAGTCTCCATGGCTGTGGTGGCTGGTGCGGCTCTTTGGTGGGATCGTGTATGGTGAGTAGTCCTGAAGCAATCTATGTAAGGCAAGAGCATATCGTTGTATCGTGTCGTGGGATTTGATTTCAGGCCATCTATTAGTGGGAAGTTTCGGAATATGTATATATTCATTGGGTCTAGACACGATGTAGGATATGGTGAACCTGAAGTATATGCAATAGCAGTGTCAACAGGTTCTTTTTGATTGCAGCAATGCCATATATTTTATAAAGCCCAAGTATAAATACTAGGTATGCCAAATCCTGTGTATATTTCCTAGCCATGTTTCTTCTAATGCCTACGCTTAGGAGGTACGTACTAAAGCCTCATTCAAATGTTTCATCCCTACTAGGTATGAAATTTCCTAGTAGAAATGGCTCGCTCCAGCCTACAGTAACTTCTAGGACTTTATGATGTATGCTCATCATGGAATTTTATCTAATTATCTGTCACTTTCAACGTTTGATACTGTTTCGAGATTGTATACCCCCGGAACTAGCTTGTGGCACTGACGCAATAACCACATCAGCCCCACTGCAGCTCTTTACTCCCATTGCCCCTCCTAACTTAACTTTAATTAAAAACTCAACCACCTCTCCTGACTACAACGGCCAAAATGTCAAGCCAGGGTCCTTTGACAACCTGGCTTCTACAAAGCTCCCCTCAATCCCTCACCCGTGCAACAACCCATCCTTTCCTCGCCGCCGCCGGCAAAGGCACCCTACCCAAAACAACCCTCTCCCAATGGCTCTCCCAAGATAGACTGTACGCTCAATCCTACATCCGCTTTATAGGCCAGCTCCTTTCAAAAATCCGCCTCGATTCTCTTGCCGTAAAACCAAATGTCGTCTTCGCCTCAACGGCGGACCAACAAGCCGTTGATGTCCTCATCGACGCCCTCGTGAACATCCGTACGGAACTCCGCTTCTTCGAGTCCACTGCCAAGGAATATGATCTCGACCTCTCCGCCATCTCGGCTGATGAAGGCGGACTCGGTCTCGCCGGCAATGGCTCTGGACGAATTACTACCTCCGCGCAGATCTCGACTACGGGCTCGGGTTCTTGTCCTGGATTTACCGGGGCTGCCGGTGCAGGGGGCGGCAAAGCGAGTGGGAGTAGCAAGACTGGTGGAAATGAGAGTTGCAAAGATGAGCATGATCTTTCTGTCTCGACTATCGAATCTGGAGAACTGGATTCTGGTGATAGTGTCCTGCACCGTCTTTGCAGGTCTCAGGGTGAATGTCAGATGCAGGCTAGTGGCGAGGTGTGTAACCCGTCCTCGACTGTGTCTAATACTGGTGCTGCCTCCACCTCCGACATCTGTAAATCCGAGGGAGAGCCTGTGAAGCCTTCTTCTGGTGGTCATACTGAGTCTATCCCGCCGTTGGAGCGCGGTGGGCCTGTTGTCTTTGCTGCGACTCGCAGTACGCGTGCGTATATCGATATGTTCATGTCGGCGGGGAGTGCAGGTGTTCCCATTATCGAGGGATTGGCTGTGTTGTGGGCGACGGAAGTGTGTTATCTGCAGTCTTGGAAGTATGCGGCGGCATTTTTGAAGGCAAGGGCGGAGACTGATGATGGGTCTAATGATGCGGATGGGGGTGCTTTGAGGGAGAAGTTCATTCCTAATTGGTCGAGTGATGAGTTTGAGGAGTTTGTGGATAGGATTGGGGAGGTATTGAACCTTTTGGCGAGTCAGTGTAAGGGTGCGGAGGAGTGCGAGATGATGCGTGGGCGATGTTTGGAGTGGTGGAGGCAGGTTGTGTGGCTGGAGGAGCGCTTTTGGCCAGTCATGGATTAAGGACCTACACGGCTTCTATTGTTCCAAGGTTATTCACAGGACTCAACAAATGTTCTAAACACCTGCCTAGTACCTGAACATACATCTTAAATGCGGGTTTACGGACTAATCAAAGTTCTGAATTCGACTAAAATAGAAGGAAATGATGTATCATATGTAATATCAGACGGTGTGAATAGTCTGAAGGCTAGATCCTTGGGAAATTTATATAAATGATGCCATTGCACCGCAAGATAGCCTTCGAAGCAATATAACTGGCCAGGTGACATATGTATATATAAAATCTGCCGTCAAGCAAATTATTGCGTTGAACTATTTCGGCAGGGAGATATGGCGATGTTTGAATAGATTGACAAATCAAATGCGCTAAAATCGGTTATTCTGACATGAAAGTGGAGTTAGTATGCTTACCTAAGCCAAACAAACCGACTCCACTTGAGAACCCCAGTGCTAATGTTAACGGCAGCTGCAGGAGCTTGAGCTGACCTTGTCCGGCCACTTCGCTTATGTGGTGCGTGTCTGCGTGTTGTTCCATTTAAATCGACATTAATTTCCCTCTCCTATTCCACAAATTCTCGCGTCACCCGATACGCGTCTCATCCACAAGGATGCCCATGACCGACGAGACCGACCACAGTGGCGGGGTCATCTTAGATGGCCCTTTTGACCCTGACGCGCAAGCCACTGTGACTGATTTCATAGATTACACGGAGTATCTTCCAGCTGATCTCATGCGCTCCCTGACCCTCATCCGAGGCCTCGATAATCGCTACCTCGACTCCGCGCAAGAAGTACACAACCTGAGCAAAACCTACGGCCAGCTCCCCGACCTTCCCCTCGATGAGCGCCCAAGCGCGATCTCCTTGCGCCGTGAAATCTCGCATCAACTGGACCGTGCCGTCAATGCCCGCGAATCCGCCTATGCAGAGGCCTGCCGCCTCTACGATGTCGTGGATCGCCACTTCGACCGCTTGAGCTGCATTCGACAGAAGCTAGAAACACTTCCACGACCCCCTTCAGTGGAGCCATCGCCGCCGCCAGAACCTACCCCGAAGCGCGCGCGCAAGGACAAGAAATCGGGCGGGTCCACAACGCGTATCACCCTGCGCCTGGATAATCGCAAGAAGAGCGGAACCCAGAAGTCGAGGTCGCGACGCGTGGGAATAGAGCAATTTGCCGACTTTAATCCGGATTCCCCAATTGCTAGCACAGAGCAGTCCGATGCAGATGCGGAATTGCCTCCTGTTCATAAACCCAGGCCCCCAAAGAAAGAGAAGCAGCGACGCCCTAGCTCAGGGGTTGCAGCCTCGACAGCTATTGCTATTGCATCGTTGAAACCCCCGCCCCCAGATGCGCAGATTGGCAGTGAAGATCTGCCTTGGATGAGACTGACGGACTGGGAAATGACTAGACTGCGAAAGAAGATGAAGAAGAATGCCATGTGGCAGCCTAGTGATGTCATGATCCAGCGTGAGTTGGCACTTTCAGGTCGTGGCTGGGAGGCATACCGAGTTGCGAAACTCTTGGCCGAAGAGACTGGGGCTCCTTTCCTTGATTGTGATAATATAGAAGAAAATCATCGGGGCGAGAAGCTAAAAGATATGGAAGAAACCAAGCTGAGCAACCGAGGCATGAAGTTGAATGAGGCGAAGAAACTGAAACGTGAATTGTTGGCGCGAGAAGCGGCAGCTAACGGAGGAGATATAGCCATTAGCACTAAACCAGCTCCTGCTCAAGGAAACTCGGCAAACCGATCATCACGAAAGAGAAAGCGAGAGGAAATCGCAGTTGAGGATGATGTATTGGACTCGGCTCTCGAGTCTGTTTCTGTACCAACACCAGTGCCGGCACCATCGTCGAAATCACGCCGCAGATCTGACCGAGGGGCTCCCAGCAGTGGATCAGCAGATGCGACGAATGCACCGGTGCCTGAAATTGCACCCCTGGAACCTGCTGAAGTAAAGGTATCACCGCCATTGCCTTCGCCAACTGGATCAAAACGTTCTGTCAAATCAGCTGTTCAACCGGTCACAACACCTACTCCACCAGTCACCCGGCCCTCTTCCAGACGGTCTGCAGCCGCGGCACTGAGCGAACCCAGAGGCGCATCAGGTGCCTTCCCTATTGCGATAGCTGGCGGCCGAGATCTTCGGATTAAAAGTGCTACTCCTGCTCGCAAAACCCCGGTTCGAGAGACGTCTCATGCCCCCAGCGTTCCTGCTCCTGCGCGCCGACGAAAACGCCCCGCTCCTGGCCCAGTTTCCACTGGCCAGGACGGTGGCGCGGCTGTTAGTTACGGTCATCGTAAGGCGAAACCAAGCAAGAAGCGCATTCTGGTTCCCAACTCTCAGGATGTTCGTGTTGATGAGGATGGGGTCCTTGAGGAGATCAATGCCAACGAGCCGCGTTACTGTCTTTGTGGGGATGTGAGCTTTGGAACCATGATCTGCTGTGAAAACCAAGATGTAAGTTGTAAATTGATGTCCGTCTTGATGCATTGTACTAACTGACTGTAGTGTGATCGTGAATGGTTCCACCTTGACTGTATTGGTCTATCCGAGGTGCCTTCGCGCACGGCCAAATGGTACTGTCCAGAGTGCCGCGTCAAGTTTAGCAAGGGTTCAGATGGGATTGTTAGGGGTGGATCGCGGCGCTGAATTTTTCAGGGAATTTTCTTGCATGATACCACAGGACGTTGCTGCGATTCCAAGCTTTTGCTCTTTATTTCATGGTTTTTTGTGTTCTGGCGTGGAATTGAATACGGAGTTCTTAAGCTCAAGGGGGGGATTTCTCAATGGTTTATCAATCTTTCTTTATTTTCCCTACACAATTGGTAGATTTATTCGGTGTATTCTTCATTCACTGTGCATATTTACGATCAATTTTACTTGAGTTCCCACTTATCTCCCTCGGACACAATCTCCACTGGCCGGCGCTCATCCAATGACCTGCGGCCTGCATCGAGAATCGCTGTGGTCGCAATTGTGTTCTTCAGAGTAGGAAGGGCACGAGCATCGAGCTGATCAAGTGTCACGCGGCCCTCATTGAGTGCTGTCACGGCATCAATGAACTTCTCAAAGCTGACATAGCCGTAGCCGGTCTGGCCGCCAAAGTTTCCTTCCTCGTCGGGAGCGTAGCGCATATAGAATCTGGAATGATGTCAGTAAGCTTTCTGAGATATGTTTCGCATATACCCCAACTTACGGGTTGACCCAGATCAAACCTTGATCGTCGGTGGTCACATCATAGCTGCGCTTAGCCTGGTTCACCCGAATCTCACCATTGGCCGCCATGTCTATAACCGGTCAGTAAATATACCAAATCGCCCGCCAAAGGAGAAACACATACAGTGGAAGTACTGGTTAGAGTGCACACCCGCATTTTGCGGTGCTGTCCAACTAGCCGTGTAAACACCCGTAGCAATCTTTGCGGGGTTATCACGACGTCTCCACTCGACAAGCAGAGTAATAGTATCCTCTGTCTCAGGCACACAGCCCAACGCCTCAGCTGTACCCTGCGAAGCCGTAGCCGTGACCCGCACAGGCTTGTAATCCGGCACCATACTCTCACAAATATCAATATGGTGACTGTTCAGGTAGTACGAGATATCAGACTCCCGACCCGCCCACGCCTTGAAAGTCTCAAGCTGACTCTTCGGCTGGCTCATGTAGCTGTAGAAGTAGTTGAAATCGCCAAGGGAGCGTGCCTTAGCGCGGGCATCAGAGTACGCAGGATCGAATCGCTTGTGGTGCTCGATGAAGACGAAGACGCCGTGCTTGCGAGCTTCGTCGACGAGAGTGAGGTGGTCAGCTAGACGCTGGGTTGCGGGCTTGGTGATCATGACATGGATGCCGCGCTCGATGGCGTACAGGGCGATTGGGAAGTGAGTTGGGTCGGGGGTGAAGATTGTGATTGCGGAGCCCTTTGGGAGGGCATCGATGGCTGTCTTGTAAGCGTCTGGGTCTGTTTGGTCGTCTGCTGGGAAGGAGGCGAAGGATGTGTCGAGGCCATTGTAGACTTGGCAGATGTTGCGATGGAGGTGGTCGCCTTTGTTTGTTTAGCTGGTTTCAATTGGGCTGGTTTGCGAGTCGTTTACTTACGGATTCCGGGGAACTTCTTGCCAGACACGCCGACCATGCTTAGGTCGGCGACTTTGCCTCGTCGGCGTAGATCGAAGAGACTCAGGCCGACGACGCCGACCTTCTTGTCTGAGCCTGAGGCGCCACCGCCGACGAAGCCGGTGGTGTACTCGCCGGTACCGACCTGGTGAGATTAGCTTGCTGTATGCGGGGCCATCGGCAATTGTACTCACCATCAATACGTTAGGAGGAGCCATGATTTTTTCGAGGTGTAGAGGATTGGAGAATATTAGGAGGATGAGGAGGAGTAAATATAGAAATAGAAAAGTCTGACGGAGTGATGGGCTTGGAAATAAATCTTCCGGCATTTGAATGGAATAACGTCAATAGCCGATGTCATATCTTATCGTGAACCGACGTTCAACACTTTCTGGAGTAGATTCTTTCTATATTCTTGAAATTTGAAGTGATTCTTAATCAGATTAAATGCTATCTAGGTAGAAGATCAATGGTCCTCTCTCTTACTTCAATTACATTCTTCGTTCGCTATTCATCTCGACAGTACTCTGTCTAATTTCATTAATTTCGCAATCAACGACCCCTCATCCACGATACCCCCCCCCCCCCACATTTACTTCAATCCCAATGATTGGTGGAATAAAATTCTCCGCCAAACATAACGCTCGGAGAATTCGCCGAACGTGGGGGAAGGACAATGGCTGCCGGACCATTAAAAGCAAATAAGCAGCCAGGTATTTCCTGTTTTCTTGCTTTACAGTATATTCATAATCAACATTGTAAGTCAACCAAATATACTACTCTAGCCTGGAGCTAATCAATTATCAGCATCATGTCGCAACTCACTCCCCTCCGACCTGGCGTCTATGCCCCGACTATGACTTTCTTCGATCCCGTCACTGAGAATCTCGATGTTGCTTCTATCCGCCGTCACGCCGTTCGCCTGGCCAAGGCTGGCCTGGTTGGTCTCGTCACTATGGGATCCAACGGCGAAGCTGTTCACCTTACAAATGAGGAGCGCATGACCGTCACTCGAGAGACCCGATCAGCCCTCGACGAGGCCGGCTTCCAGAATGTGCCCGTCATCTCCGGTGCCAGTGAAAACAGTATCCGAGGCACCATCGAGCTATGCAAGCAGGTCGCTGCTGCTGGCGGCGAGTACGCCCTTATTGTTCCCCCAAGCTACTACCGTGGCGCCGTTGGCAACGACGAGACTCTGTACGAGTACTTCACATCCGTGGCCGATGGCTCCCCGGTCCCTCTCATCCTCTACAACTACCCTGGCGCCGTCGCTGGAATCGACATGGACTCCGATCTCATTATCCGCATCTCTGAACACCCCAACATCGTCGGCACCAAGTTCACCTGTGCCAACACCGGAAAGTTGACACGCGTCGCCTCCGCCCTGGGTGCTATTGTTCCTCCCTCCCCACTTGCCCCCACCCAGCGTGCCGCCCCCACAGTCTCCAAGCCTAACGCCAAGCACCCCTACGTCGCCTTTGGCGGTATCGCCGATTTTGCTCTCCAGACCCTCGTGTCTGGTGGTTCTGCCATTCTGGCCGGTGGTGCTAATGTTATCCCGCGTCTTTGTGTGCGCATCTTCAACCTCTGGTCTGAGGGCCGTCTTGCTGAGGCTATTGAGGCGCAGCAACAGCTTAGCGCTGCTGACTGGGTTCTCACCAAGGCTGCTATTCCTGGCACTAAGTCTGCCATCCAGTCCTACTATGGATATGGAGGCTACCCTCGCCGACCTCTGGCCCGCCTCAGCGATGCTCAGGCTAAGGAAGTTGCCGATAAAATTAAGTCTGCATTGGATGTAGAGCTGTCGTTGAAGGATGTGGTATAATTATGACTTGCAAAGAAATGGACATACATATTTCAGTTATAATTATAAATGAATTGGAATTCAATTTAAAATCAAACTTCTCTCATGAATCTCTTTAGCCCGAAGTACCGGACTAGAATAAACCCTCCTAATGCACACCTTATCGATTACGATAAGCTCCATGGGCATCATGGCGGGTCCAGTTTCTCCGGTGATTCTTATAGGTGGAGAAACCCAGGTCGGAGTTGATACGAGACTGTTTATCATTTTCTGCCCCACGGAAACCACCCCACGCTCTACCTTACCGTTTGATCGGGATAGTAGATGCCCGGTCATGTTAGTTAAAAGTATCCATTCCGAATCATTCGGGACTGATAGTCCTGAACTAAAACTTTAGCATGACTGTTCCGGGGAGGTCGGCCGATATCCCGTGTTGAGTTATTAAATGTAATTCGTGGAGTATCCAGTATTGGTAGATCAAGATCTTCTCTCGGACGAGAATATTCATTGACTTGATTTCGAGTGGATACTGTGCCACAATGGTTATACGGAGCGAGGGTGACGCTCTAAGATGAGAAGGTTTTTTCTTGTGTGATATACCCCCCACTCCCTTTCCTGTTTTCTTGTCTTTTCTTCTTTTCATTTTCAACTCTGTCAATTCTAAAGCCTTTCAATCTATCACTTTGGACTTTTCTGAGACCTTTCAAATTCAATTGAACTGTTTACATCATGCCTTACCCCGAGGAAGCTGAAGGCTTCCAGGTTGATGGACCTGAATCCTTTACCGACTTCAAGAAGCGATTCGTGAGTTGAATCTTCTAAAATCTCTCGAAGGCTCTAACAATTACTCTCCAATGAACAGTTCAAGTTGAAGCCTTTCGGTGACCATGGTACGTCAAGAGACACCCCAATGACTTGGCTCATCGCTAACGTATCAATTAGATGTCGACGTCAAGATCGAGGCATGCGGCGTGTGCGGCAGTGATGTCCACACCATCAGTGGTAAGAAATTACTCTGAATACCAATCGTTACAAAAACTCACAAGTCATACAGGTGGATGGGGAGACCAGAAATTTCCTCTCTGCGTCGGACACGGTAAGCCCCCAAGTAAGATATCCATAAATCAAGCAACTAACATCTCCTAGAAATCATCGGTCGTGCCATCCGCGTCGGACCCAAGGTTACCCTAATTAAAGAAGGCCAGCGCGTCGGTGTTGGCGCCCAATCCTACTCCTGCGGCGAGTGCAAGCAATGCCTCAACGACAACGAAACCTACTGCCCCGTGCGAATGATGGACACATATGGATCCGAGTGGCCAGAGACCGGCATCGTCAGCCAAGGCGGTTACTCCTCTCATGTACGCACACACGAACACTGGGTCTTCCCCATCCCCGACGCACTGGAGAGTAACACGGTTGCGCCGATGTTGTGTGCCGGATTAACGGCTTACTCGCCACTTGTGCGCAATGGTGCGGGACCTGGGAAGAAGGTCGGTATCGTTGGACTGGGTGGAATCGGACACTTTGGAATCATGTTTGCTAAGGCGTTGGGAGCGGAGGTGTGGGCGATTTCGCGATCGCGGGCTAAGGAGGCCGATGCGCGGAAGCTTGGTGCTGATGGGTATATTGCTACTGCTGAGGCGGGCTGGGAGGTACCGCATCAGTTTTCCTTTGATTTGATTGTTAACTGTGCCAATTCTTCTGAGGGATTTGATTTGGCGCGGTATCTGTCTATGATGGATGTTCATGGAAGGTGGATTAGTGTTGGATTGCCTGAGGAGGAGGGACAGGTTATCAAGGCGCAAAACTTGATTTCTAATGGTGTGCTTATCGGAGCCAGTCATCTTGGAAGTCGTCGTGAGATGCTGGAGATGCTGCAGCTGGCTGCGGATAAGGGTCTTAAGGGTTGGGTTGAAGAGATTGCTATTGGGGAGCAGGGGTTGAAGGAGGCTATGGAGCGGATGCAGAAGGGCGATGTTCGCTATCGTTTTACTTTGACTGGTTATGAGAAGGTCTTCGGGTGAAGATGACCCGATGTAAAGAATATGCGATAAGAATGAATGTGGAGATGAATAAAATATCATTCCAAGCTTGTTCATTTCGAAATGCACAGGCATGATGACGTGGAAATTTGAGGCTTTGTCGGATACAATATGGTAAATATATGAGTACTTTGATAATACTAATCTCCTCTATGAGTTGTTCAAAATAGTCCCCAGATTCGCTTAGAATTTCGACATTCCATTGACACAATTTTTTTTTCTCTCAGCCATCTACTAGGCTACTAATAATATTTGATAAATCCTGTCAGGAAAGAAAATATACTTGTAAATCAATTGAGCCGGCCTAGAGCGGCTTAGGGGGTGACTTAAGTCAAGCTTAGTCACCCCACCTATCTGTTTCGGTAAATTTCCAAACATTCAAGTTTAGGGCGAAGGAATTGGGATATATTTTAAGTTGCTATTTTTGAACCAAGAACTTTGTCAACTTTTTGGGGTTCCAGTCTTATCTGCATCCCCATAGTGGATCCGGGGCCGAACAGGATCGCCAATGTAGCGTCATGTACGGAGTAGATCAGAATGGAATCTTTCTATACGTTTCTCACAAACATTCCTGCTTTTCCCGATTAATCAGAGTTTTGGACCAGACTTGAACCGCCACTCCGAGACCCAACGGATGATGTACTCGGTACTTGAGCTAGAAGGCAAACTCATAGCGGATCCCTGGGTAGCGGTACTCCGCAGATATGGTCAGCCCCATGATTTGCCCCCCAGATCCTGAAAAAAAATCATTCCCTGCAGATCCGGGTACTGGGCGATGTATCTTTGAATCTAAATTGTTAGTGTTTCTCTTACAATTTTGAAAAATCGGTACTTAATAGTGACTTAGGTGAACACCAATCAGTCAGTACCGATTCACCGCCCGACTCGGACTCTCAGACCCATCAATATTTCCTGGAATTCGTCCGCTACTCCTTATTTCTCCTTGCGCAGCCCTCGTTTATTTTCTTTCCCTTTGACTCTTTCCTTGTATTTTATTCCATTACATTCATTCTCTTCCTTTTCTTCGACTCCCAGGGCACGTTGTGTTGTTACAATCTTTCCATACACATCGATTCGCCCCTGCTCAGCCCGATACACTTCCATTTTTATAAGTAGACTGGGATTGAAGAAAAAAGTTCAGTCGTTTTGATCATATATACCACTGATCAGGGAAAGGCTACCCAACGCCAGTACAATTGTTAATAATCCGCCGTTATCCGCGCAATCGACTTCATGTCGCCACGCGAGACTACCTCCACGAGGCGCCGCCCCTCCCTGTCCCTTCGCCCACGAGCCCGGACCGCGGTGCAGATCCCCTTTCCCAAAGACTACACCTTCGAGTGGCAAGAAAAATCTCTGGGTCAGGATCATAATGCTTCCGTCGAGGAGGTGGAGCCCTTTCCGCACGTGCCCCGGCGTCGTGCGGCCAAGAGCTTCTCGAGCCTGCGCCATCCAATGGATGGTCTAGTTGCACTGGGACGCCGTCTTTCAGTCACTATTCGCAACAAGTCATCGAAGCATAACCTGCGTCTCCAAGGAGAAGAGGAAGATAGCGAGTTCCGCAACTACCAAATCGCAGGACATTCCCACAAGCGCAATGCTGCGTCTGGCAGTTGGGAGGTGCGGCCTGAGCCGTGGACCAATGGCTACAGCGTCAACCGACGTCCCTCTTTGAATAGCGTCTCCGCGCTACACGGTTTCTATGTGCCCACCGCAGCGGTTCCGGGCCCTATCCCAGGCCGTGGATTGGAGCCGCCCATCCTTCCGAATGACATGTTCTCGGGCGCGGCGGCCCGTGCTGCTGCAGCTGCACAAAATGAACAGATGGAGATGGCGAGGCTCGAGATGGCCCGAGCGGAGCGAGGCAAGACCCTCGATACTATAGTGACGCAGGATTCAGAGAGTGGGATCGAAATTGATCTACGGGACTACACTGACTCGGACACCGAGACGGATTTTAAGCGAATTGGTAAGGATGACTTGCAGACGGTTCCTGGAAATTAGGGCTAACTGATACTAGATCCGGCTTCATACTTGCCTGCCGAGATCATGACTCACGTTCTTTCTCATTTGGACCCTGCCTCTTTGTTGAACTCTGAGCTGGTATCACATCTTTGGAATCAGCAAGCATCGTCTCCTTTTGTTTGGAAGCCCGTGTTTCGCGGTGCCTATCCTCGCCGTCCTGCTAGTTCCACCGCAACCAAGAAAAAGCAGTCTTTGGGGTTGGGGAAGAAGGATCATCACCAAGACTGGAAGAGAATGTTTCTTGTCCGTCGAGCTCTTGATCAACGCTGGAAGGAGGGCAAAGCAGCCGCAATCTACTTGCACGGACATCAAGACAGCGTGTACTGCGCGCAGTTCGATGAGGACAAAATTATTACTGGGTCGCGGGACCGCACAATTCGTGTGTGGGATGCCCACTATCCTTGGCCTTGCCTCAAAGTCATTGGTCCCCCTCCCGGCGAGGTGCCTGGAATTGGCCAGGTGAACAACCCTGCCCAACAAGCGACCGGAAAGTCTCCCTTTCTGACCATCTGCCCACCGTCCACTCCCCTGGATACCATCATCTCACCGATGGAACAGCCGCTAGACTACCACAGTGCCTCGATTCTCTGTCTGCGTTTTGACGAGGAGATCATGGTCACTGGGTCGTCGGACTACACCTGCATTGTGTGGGATATTAAAAATGATTACAAGCCGATCCGTCGTCTTGCCGGTCACCATGCTGGTGTGTTGGATGTCTGTTTTGATGATCGTTACATTGTTTCATGCTCCAAGGATAGCACCATCTGCGTCTGGAGCCGCGAGACCGGCGAACTCCTGAAGAACCTTGTGGGTCACCGCGGGCCGGTCAATGCTGTGCAACTGCGGGGTGATCTTGTGGTATCAGCTAGCGGTGATGGCGTGGCGAAGCTGTGGAACGTCATATCTGGCCACTGCGTCAAGGAGTTCGCCAGCAAGGACCGTGGTCTAGCCTGTGTTGAATTCAGCGATGACGGTCGTACCATCTTGACGGGTGGTAATGACAAGACCATCTATCAATTCGATGCCAACACGGGTGAGATGGTCAGTGAACTGCACGGGCACACTGGATTAATTCGCTCGCTGCACCTAGACAGCATGAATAAGCGTCTCGTGAGCGGTAGCTATGACATGAGTGTCAAAGTTTTTGATGCCGACTCTGGCGAGCTATCTATTGATTTGCCTGGGTGGACTACCAGCTGGATGCTGAATGTGCAATCTGACTACCGGCGCATTGTAGCCACCAGTCAGGATTCGCGGGCTGTGATCATGGATTTCGGCTACGGTCTTGATGGGATTGATCTTTTAGAAGAGTGATTTCTATCTGTTTATATAATATTTTTGCTTTATATTTTTGCTTTGAAAATCTTTTTAGCGTTCTTTCATCTGGGACAGATTGGTTGGAATCCATGGTTGGGTTTTGGGAGTTGGCATTGACATTGGGAACTTTGAAATTTTGAAAATCAGGGCGGCATTTGAGGCATAGATCTTGTTTACTTAGGCTTTCATACAAATCGATGCATTTCACAATGAAGTTCATATCTTCATTGACATAGCAGGCTATCCTTTATCCCAACACATACCTCTCATAGTTCAATAGCTTTGATGAATGGACAAGCTTGGGAACCACGCCTCAGGCACAAAGATGACGTAAGACCCTTGTGATTGGTTGATGTTCTCCTAGCGCCACCATGATCCGTGGTTTTTGGCATCAAAACAATCACGTCGCCATTTTGCATCAACACGGACAGGTAACCCTTAACAAGGAGCCCTGCCTCTGCATTATCACGTCTACAATTAGCGCTTTTCTTATCCAGTCCATCCTCCCTTCCTTTTCCTCTCCTTTTCTTTACACTTCGGCTGCGGCTATCATTACCCCACCATGGGTGAATCCAGGTTCGGCTTTCACCCCCTATCGTCAATCGACATGGCGCGTTAATCATGAACTAACCACGATATATATTTAGACAAGAGCTTCTGGCTTGGTTGAACAACCTGCTCCAGTTGAACATTACCAAGATTGAACAATGCGGAACTGGGTACGGATCGACAAGCTCCCTCTCGAGGACTGGACAAAGAATCGGTTAGAAGAGTGTGACTGACGGAGGATTTTGGATATTCTATACAGTGCCGCGCTATGTCAGATCTTTGATTCCATATTCAGTGAGTGTAGCCTTGATTGAAAGGTCATCGACTAGTGGCCAGGCGTAAAAGGGGAAAGAAAAAAAAGCGTTGGATTGGCTTTACTGATGCGGGGATTTTTTTCTAGTGGACGTGCCCATGTCGCGGGTCAAGTTCAATGTCAACACCGAATACGCCTACCTGCAGAACTTCAAGGTCCTCCAGAGTATGTCCGACAAGCCGATCTCGGTCCCCGCCATTCCCCCATTCTGACGTGCCTAACCTCCATCCAGACGTGTTTGCCCGCCATGGTATAGAGAAGCCTATTCCCGTCCAGTCCCTCAGCAAATGCCGCATGCAAGATAACCTGGAGTTCCTCCAGTGGGTTAAGAAATACTGGGACCAGCACTACCCTGGTGGTGATTACGATGCTGTTAGCCGACGGAAGGCGTCCGGTGCTCCCGCTGGTTCCGCTTCAGCCTCATCACGCGCACCCTCGGCGGGCTCTCGCCGTGGAGCTACACCGGTCACATCTGCTGCTCGTCCCCGGGTTGCCACTGCCGGCCCCAACACCGCTGCCCTGACACAGGAGATTGCCACTCAGAAGGAGGCCATCGCTGGTCTTGAGAAGGAGCGGGACTTCTACTTTGCCAAGTTGCGCGATATTGAGCTGTTGCTGCAGACCGCTATTGAGGCCGACCCAGAGCTGGAGAAGGAAGAGGATACGCTGGTGAAGCACATTCAGGGAATTCTGTACTCGACTGAGGTAAGTTTATGTTTTGTCCTTGTGCTCATCCACTATGAGGCTAATTTTATTGATAGGATGGATTCGAGATCCCGGCTGAGGCGGAAGAGGGTGTGGCCGATGAACTGGAGACGTTCTAAGCGGCAAAATAGGGACTGGAAAGAAGAAAGTGCGAGTGTCCCGTTGAATAAATACCCCCATGTGTGTTTCTCAAGTAGAGCAGACTGTGAATGTGTCTGAAGTACAGAGAGTAGAGAAATGATTGTTTCAGGCTATTGATTGGTCCCGGAGTATTAAGTAATCAAATCATTCGGTCCCAAAGTCACTATTTGGATTGCTTCCACGTTCCCAAATGATTCGCCCCGAGATAAGTATATCCCTATAGATCTTTAATGTTTGAATCTGTAGATACTTAGCACCAGCTAGAAGAGTTGACTAGATAGAGTATTACTTGGTTTTAGGGGTAGAGCAATTGTATTAATAGGTCCTTACAGATAATTAAACCTGCGTGGTACACTAGTCTAAATATAGCCTAGTGTTGCCAGTGGCTGGCCAGAACCTCTCGGCACTATCCACTTTGACGTTTTTGATTGGTCACATCACTCGTGTACCTGCAGCGTCACTATTCCTTTTTCAAAGAGTCCGTTGGTTCTCCTCGCATCTTTATGCTTTTTCCTCCAAATAAACAAAGATGTCCTCTGATTCAATTTGCTTTCTCTCTGGGACATATTCATCTTTGTGGTCTTTAGCCCCAAGTGTAGGGAAAAATCAGAAAATTCCACTTTGGCCCCCCCCCATCCCGGGCTAGTTCGTCATCCACGCGGGTCGGGACTTAGCTTCGATTAGGGGAGCGCTGGGTCCCGGTCTGGCCGTTCCACTCATTTCCTTTTTCCTCTTCTTTTCTCTCCTCCCCCCACTCTCAAGACATACTCTACCGAGTCACTGTTTTTGCAGGAAGAAGGTCTACCGGACTACGTCGTGTCACAATCGCCCAGTGCGCATTGATCATCACGCTGAGCCGGTTTCTTACGGGCCGACGCTGATATCACTTGACCGTTTGTGCTTTCAAGGAAAAGTCGTCTTCTGCAATGTTCAATATGGACTAGGCCGCGCGGTCGCTCCTTAACTTGTGTTTTTTTCTTCACTCTTTTGATCCTGGTACGTCGCTGTGGGGAACATGAGTTCGAGATGAAATTTAAGGAAGACCCGGAATAACAAGACAATGTTTATCCAATCAAACCTCGGTCAGCAGTGAAACGAGCTCCCGCTAACAGACTTCACAGGCTATTCAGACGAATGCCATTCACTCATTACTGAATTTCAATTGTTGACAGCATTCAGTCCGGTCAACATCCATTCCTTACTTTTGCACCAGTGCCCTCATTTTTCTTGGGACTTCTATCGAATAAGCGGGCAAGACCCGGCTGTTGTCTGTAGCGACGAACTTCTCGCCCAGAAACATACAATTCTATTCGCTATCGCTCGTGCTGGTCGATCCAGCCCCGACCTCTGCGAGGACTTACAACAAACCTTTGTTCCCACCTTCTTTTATCCATCGACACCATGTCTCAGCATGGATTTCGCCATTCCCGGATCAGCAGGATCATAAATGCCAAGCATCGAAAGGAGGAAGAAGAAGATACGGTAGACGGTTCAAACCCCGCTTTACACAATGTAAAGGAAGTGCAAAAACCTCTAGTATTAGAAGATACAGTCGAGCCGTGCGACCCGCTAAATCGGAACTGTATGGAGGATGTGGCTATTTCCTCTGACTTGCTGGTTAAACGACAAGCCGAGTCATCACAAACATCGGCTACGGTCTCCACGGTAGTGCAGGTGGTGGAGAGTATCTCGCAAACTGCGTCGCAATCAACTGGCACGGACTTTCCAATCACTCTCTCAGGCACATTCGATATGACGATCTCAGCAACTTTTTCGGCAACTCTCTCAGGAAGTCTCTCAGGAACTGACTTGCTGGCGACGTCTGTAACGGATTCGTCAATCGCATCGATAACATCACCGACCACCCAGCCCACTACTTCGGCCACGAGCAAGCAGCGCGTACCTGTCTCGTCACCCAGAGTCTCTGCAGGCGCTGGTACTCAACATACCTCCACCCCCTTGGTATCTCCCGCTAGCAGTCCGACAAGTTCGGCTACGACAAGTACTCCAACCGTGAACAGTGTCTACTATTACTCATACTCAACCTCATCCTCGGCCTCAGCCTCAACCTCAACCGAATTCGCATCCGCATCCTCGTCCGCATCCTCGTCCCCAGTTTCTGGAACTTCGTGGACTGGCTACTACTCCAGTTCGACTGAAACACCATCTTCAACAACTGACGTGCTTGGAGCTGTGCACACTGGTACCAGTTCTGGCTCCAGCACCGGTGATGGATCAGGGTCGTCCACGAATTCAGGGTCCTCGGGCTCGGGATCTTCCATTTCCCCCACCACATCCAAAATTGTGGGCGGGGTGATTGGCAGTGTTGCTGGTCTGGCTCTTATTTTTGCTCTCCTTTTCTACATCCTTCGTCGGCGGGGTTATCTCCAACGCTTCTTGAAAGACAAGGGAACAGAAGCTCTTCCATCCAGCGATGCTGGAACTGCTGGCACCAGGGAAATGTCCGAGAGACCCTCCAGCGTCTTCACTACTTCGTACTTGGCTCCTGCCTTTATGAAACGCTGGCGTCAGTCAACCATGACCACCAGAACTGATAGCACAGTCGATTCAGATTCCAGCGAGCGCGGATTCCAAAAGATCTCAGGCCGGAAAATTCCCCCTGTCCTCACCCATGGAGGAGATGGTTTTGGTGGAGGACTAGATGGCGACTCACCCACCATTCCAGACTGTCTTATCGGCCTATCCCCATCATCCTCAACTGGAGGACCAAGTGGGGGCTTTCTATCTTCTCCTGTCGCACATGGTCCGCCTCCAGCATCCCCGTTCGGCTCGCCACTTGATACGAACTACACACGGGAAATAGACGAGTTCCCCACCCCGCCACGATCCAAGATTCAACTTCCAGTCTCCAGCTCAGTGAATTTCGGCTCTCCCACCATGGTATCTTCTTCTCACTCTATTCCGCAACCGCAAAGTGCGATACCTGTCCAGCGGCCGGACTCAGTGGGACGAAGTCTTCCAAGCTTTGATGGAAGCCGCGGCAGCCGCTTCACGGAGAGTCTGGATCTGTGATCCAGAGTACTTACTCTTCGAGATATGCGATATGCGATACGAACCAAAAACAAAAACCGAAAAGCGGACGTGTTTGCGGGACTTGGAATTTTGAATTGCTGATAGGTCATTACCCATTCGAGTGCTTTGATTGGATTTAGCCCTCTTCACCTTCATCTCCTTGATTTTCTTTCCATGTCTGTTGCTCTCCGAGCGCTTCCTGTCGTTGATATTGTCTTTTCTTGTTCTTTATTTCTTTGCCATTTCTTCCTATAGATACCCATTGTCTTGATCCCCTCACTTGTCAATATTTGTTTACCTTGTATTGTCTGTCTTTCTTTCTGTATTGTTTCCAGAACATTTTGGTAATACGGTTATGAGCCACTTTCGGTCATACCATTCTTGTGTGGATAGTTCTAGGATTATTTAATAATTATACCTACAGCGAAAATTACTTTGGATTGTCACGGAAGCCTGGAATGGGGCAGTGAAGTATACTTATACGAAAACTGCCTTGATAAGTGCACAGCCTATGTAGATCATGTAAGACATATCACAAGCTGAAGGCACTAGAGCCTCAGCCACATGTACCCTGGTCATGTGCACCCAGGTACCTGGAGACTAAACTGGGCATATGACTACTAGTATTTCTTTAGTTGGTTACCTAGATGGTTGGTCATCACCTTATATCTGCACCGCCACAACCTTGTTGATTTGCCTCGTCTAAGCCACATGTGGCTAGTGGCAAGATCACCGCTAAGCTTCTGAAACCAGTCAAGGATCAGATCTTGCATTCCTGCGATCATCGATGAAATGATATCTGCGCCAAATTAATGACACCTCGAATGACTTCCAAGCCCTGACAGTATAGACCTCTCCAATGTACCTGTATTTTCAAGCTATACCAAGCCACTATGACACCCTCGATAAAGTCTCGCCTCCTTACTCCGTGGAAAACAGCGTAATAAAAGCATCTGATTGTCTATCTGACGCATGGACCTAGGCGGGGTCCCCTAGCTTCGTATCATTGGTGTTCTCATCGAGGCGCAGCAAGCACATCACTCCACCCGTGGTAGCCGGCGGCAAGCCCAAATCCGTCAGATCCAACGGGGATTGGATCGTTATCTCGGCGGAACCAGTTCCAATATCTGACGTTGTCGTCAGGCCCAGCGCCACGGGCCAAAAATCATAAGCTGGAGTTTGAAAGATATTATACCGGCGCCTAAGTTCCTCAGCTATGTAATGTGTGTAGAATATATCCGTGCATTTGTCATGACCCTGTTATTCCAACCCTAAGCCAATGCACTGGTACCGTGGTCATTGTTCGTGTTTTTGGATCTCTTTGGGTATGCTTGTAGACTTTGGTCTGATGAGCAGTTGGACCCAGTAACTTAAACTGATAAGAGGCTGTGTTTCTTGGAAACGTCATCTTGAAAGGATCACCCCGGGTGATGAGGCCTTTTCTACTCGTGCCAATCCTGTTACCGCCGCTCTCTTCTCAATAAACCTGTGAAGCGCTGCTTGGCATCTTCTTAAATCTTAGCGAGCTCAGATGTTCTACCCATGTCAGGCTTTATCCATTTTAGGCAGCCTGGGCATTTATACACAGCCTCCTCGCAGCGGGGTCATAACATCGTCTTGCGCCCCGAATTCGAAACGAACATAAAAAACTACAAATCTATTATACTTGCATAATTGGATCAAGCTCGCTACATTAACACCCATGTCTTCAAATTCCACGGCCCACCAGGGCCCATTCTTAAGCCCGACCATAATAACCAATAATCCGGGCAGAGAGGTACGTTCTATACAACACTCGAAACAGTATTCGGCGCCAACCAAAACAAATCCCATACTGACATTCTACCTCGCCCTAGCGTTCACTATCCGTTTCATCAGCAGCAGCTTCCTCTTCATGTCCCAGTCCGACATGCACCGATTTCATCCATAGTCCATCTTCATCTCTATCCCCTGAGATGGCATGGAATCAAATTCAAGACCCAAACCATCTAAGCGTACACCACGCACATCGACCCTCCCAGTCCATCGACGGAGATACCCTGCGTCCACGCTCGGACTCCTTCGTGTCAAATACAGATACAGTGGTACGCTCCAGAACAAGCTCTGATGTTAGCGACGCAGCCAAATTATTATATGACGACGTTACGCTCTCTGAAGCATTGCGGCCTGATCCTCGTGAAGAAGCCGATTTCCATGTCCAAGATAACCGGTTTGCGTTTTCTCCCGGGCAGTTGAATAAATTGCAGAATCCGAAGTCTCTCGCTGCTTTTCATGCTCTTGGGGGCTTGCAAGGTCTTGAACGTGGTTTGAGGACGGATCTTAATGCGGGGTTATCGGTTGATGAAGGTTCGTTGGTTGGATTTGTTGAGTTTCAGCAGGTTACTCCGCCTTTATACAATCGGCGGCTTTCGAGTAAGGCTCTTGATGAGAAGATTGAGGTGCCGAGTACGGGGAAGAGTGGAGATGGATCACCGTTTGAGGACCGGGTGAGGGTCTTTGGGAAGAATAAACTACCTGCTCGGAAGTCAACGGGGTTTTTTAAGTTGTTTTGGATTGCATATAATGATAAGATTATTATCCTGCTGACTATCGCTGCGATTGTGTCGCTGTCCTTGGGCATCTATGAGACTGTTGATGATGGGACTGGTGTGGAGTGGGTGGAGGGGGTTGCTATTTGCGTTGCCATTTTGATTGTTACTGTTGTCACGGCTGCCAATGATTGGCAGAAGGAAAGACAGTTTGCTAAGCTCAATAAGCGGGTGAATATCGATGTCCTCTGAGGCTGGTATAATGCTGATATTTATTAGAATGATGATCGGGATGTCAAAGTTCTTCGCTCGGGAAGGTCTATGATGGTATCTGTATACGACATCATGGTTGGTGACGTCCTTCACTTGGAAGCTGGTGACTCTATCCCGGCAGATGGGATTTTGATCTCAGGACATGGTGTGAAATGTGACGAGTCATCTGCGACTGGTGAGTCTGATCAGATGAAGAAGACAGATGGCAACGAAGTCTGGCAGCAAATCATCGAGGGTAGGGCTACCAAGAAGCTCGACCCTTTTATGATTTCTGGTAGCAAGGTTCTGGAAGGCGTTGGTACCTACCTGGTTACTAGCGTTGGGCCATACTCTACATATGGTCGTATCATGCTCTCCTTGCAGACTTCCAATGACCCAACGCCACTCCAGGTGAAGTTGGGTCGCTTGGCTGATTGGATTGGTTATTTGGGCTCAGCGTAAGTGGCTACCAGATCTATAGTGAAGTCCTTGACTAACTATTCAGCGCTGCAATTATACTGTTTTTGATCTTGGTCTTTCGATTTATTGCCGATCTTCCGAATAACCATGGCACACCCGCTGCCAAGGGCAAGGAGTTTGTGGATATTCTCATTGTCGCTGTGACCGTTATAGTTGTCGCCATTCCAGGTGAGCACTAGTTGAATGCTAAAGACTAGGTATATTATTGGTAACTAATGCTTTTCTCTTAGAGGGTCTTCCATTGGCTGTCACTTTGGCTTTGGCGTTCGCTACCACTCGCATGGTCAAGGAGAACAACCTTGTCCGCGTCCTTCGAGCATGCGAAACAATGGGAAATGCTACAGTCATCTGTTCGGATAAAACAGGAACCCTGACCCAAAACAAGATGACTGTAGTTTCTGGTACCTGGGGCTCAAGTCATAGTTTCAGCCAGTCTGAACTTGATTTTAGCAATGGTAACAAACAAATGAGCATCGCAGAGACTTTTAAGAAGTTATCCGCCCCGGTGCGGGATCTCATTGTCAAAAGCGTTGCTTTGAACTCCACGGCAATCGAGGAGAATAAGAATGGCCAAAAAGAGTTTCTGGGCAGTAAGACCGAAGTCGCTCTACTACAGATGGCTCAGGATCATCTAGGCATGGACCTTGTTTCAGAACGTGGATCTGCTGAGATTGTTCAACTTATTCCGTTCGATTCGGCGCGGAAGTGTATGGGTATTGTTTACCGACATTCGACCGCGGGATACCGTCTCCTTGTCAAGGGTGCTTCGGAATTGATGGTTGACGCTTGTTCCGGGCAGATTACAGATCTTGACGCCTGTACAGATTCATTACACACCGACTCGCTCTCCGACACAGACAGACGGGTCATCCTGGCGACCGTTGATCAATACGCTCAAGGTTCTCTCCGTACTATTGGAGTCGTCTACAGAGATTTTCCTTCTTGGCCTCCGCAGAGCGCTAAGAGACTGGAAGATGACCCATCTGCCGCAAGCTTTGACGATATCTTCCACGACATGACCTGGATTGGTGTTCTGGGAATCCAAGATCCACTACGACCTGAAGTCCCACCTGCCATTCGCAAATGTCACTCTGCAGGAGTCCAGGTTAAGATGGTAACAGGCGACAATGTTGCAACAGCCACAGCTATTGCATCCGCTTGTGGAATCAAAACTGAGAATGGCCTCGTTATGGAAGGCCCCAAGTTCCGGCAGCTATCAGACGAAGAAATGAATGAAGTTATTCCTCGCCTTCAGGTTCTGGCGCGTTCTTCCCCCGAAGACAAGCGCATTCTTGTTGAGCGACTGAAGCTTCTTGGTGAGACCGTCGCTGTTACTGGTGATGGAACCAACGATGGACCTGCTCTGCGGACTGCGGATGTCGGGTTCTCCATGGGTATTGCCGGGACCGAAGTCGCCAAGGAGGCTAGCTCGATTATTCTACTCGATGACAATTTTCGATCGATTGTCACGGCTATTGCATGGGGTCGGGCTGTCAATGATGCTGTGGCCAAATTCCTGCAGTTCCAGATCACAGTGAATATCACCGCTGTGATCTTGACTTTTGTATCTTCTGTGTATAGCAGCTCAAACCAGAGTGTTTTGAATGCTGTGCAGTTACTCTGGGTTAATCTTATCATGGATACATTTGCTGCCTTGGCTTTGTAAGTATCTCTTACCTTTTGAGAGAAGTCTCTCGCTAACACCCAATAGAGCCACGGATGGCCCAACAGAAAATATTCTAGATCGAAAGCCTGTTCCAAAAAGGGCATCGCTTTTCACTCTAACAATGTGGAAGATGATTCTTGGGCAATCTGTTTACAAATTAGCCGTGACATTTATGCTGTACTTTGCTGGCGATCAAATCCTCAACGCTCACCTTGTTTCCGACGACCCAGCACTCCGCGCCAAACAGCTTTCTACAGTTGTCTTCAACACATTCGTGTGGATGCAAATCTTCAACGAGCTAAACAACCGCCGCCTCGATAACCATTTTAACATCTTCGAAGGCATGTTCCGTAACTACTGGTTCCTGGGAATCAATACCCTCATCGTCACAGGACAAGTCATGATTGTATTTGTTGGAGGCCAGGCATTCGGTGTCACCCGACTCAACGGCACTTTATGGGCAGTTTGTCTGGTATGTGGTTTCGGATGTCTGCCATGGGCGGTGGTTCTGCGCCTCATTCCCGATCGTCATTTTGGTCTTGTCTTCAATGCCATTGTTGGAGCGTTTGCATTTATTCTCAGGCCACTATTGATAGCCTGGAATGCTTTTGTTCGTGGGTTGAAAGTGTTATTTCAACCCGTGACACGTTTTTACCGTCGAGTCTTTTCCCGCCGGCATGTGGAGCCTAGTGAGTCTTCTGTTCAGGCATCATCGGGCTCTCCTGTTGATGAGGAGAATCCTGCGGAGCCGAAACTGGTTCGACGGGAGTCTCCTGAGCGTCCTTCCACACCACCGGCGATATCAGTTCCCCCTATTACTGTGACAGTTTCACCATAGATGGATTTCAAGGGAGCTTTATAGTACGGCTTACAAAACGGGTGGATGTCTGTTTTTTATTATTGGATTACGTTCAGCGTGTTCGTCTTTCTTCATCATCTGTACAATACCAACCCATCTGCCCTGGATCCAGAGAAGATTGGCAGACTTGAAATAAGAATAAGACTTGGCAATTTCCCACTTTACAAAAGTATACCCTGGGTATAAGCTGGTCTCAGCCCTAGAATTCCGGGATAAAGATAACCGATGTAACCACGAGGTGATAGGGAAGTTTGCATGTTGTGGAAATTGCAATGGGGGCTGGAATGCTGTTATGCTCTGTAAGACCTAAAGCTAGGGACTATCTGCATCTTGTAGATCCTCTGCTTATGAGATTCTGATTACCTGCAGGAACAATGACAAGGGAAACCTCCCGTGAGTAACCATGAAATAACAATTCAAGTTTGATTTTGTCATTTTCATTCTGTGGTCTCTTTGTTTCCAACATAAACTAGATTGAGGAATCTATAATTAACTGAGACAAGCCTTTGAATTCAAGTTCGGCCCCCACGTGTGTCTACAAAGCGGCTCGTTGCCAAGACTAATTGAGTGACTAAAGTGTTCCCCTCTTGTACTTGAGACCCTGAGACCTTGAGACACCTGGAGTCAATATCCATGGGCTCTCATTCTCAATCCATCGCAACTCTGGTAGAATGAAATAATGTCAACCACAGAATCTCCGGTTTCACGGAGTCCGAATCACAGTCCGATCCCCTCTTCGCTCTCATGTGTGTAAACAAAACAAAACCCTCTCTCCGCAGTTGTTCCAGCTAACAACATTCAGCCGAGTGTGCAAAAGCAGCAAGGATTATAGACTCATTTATCAACCCCAAAGTCGTCGGCGATGGCGGGATTCCGCGCAAGATTCTCCTGCGCGCTAAAGTACGCGCATTTCCGATTCTCGTCGATCGAAGCTCACAGTTCTAGGCCCTGATCATCTGCACCATGGTTCGGTGGGGATTCTTCGGTTGCGCGCGCTTTGGTTCTGGTGTCTTTGTTGTTCGTCTACCCGACGGGACCTGGTCCGCTCCATCGGCTGTGGGCCTCGGTGGCTTGGGAGTCGGTCCACTTCTAGGTGTGGAGTTGACGGATTTCGTGTTCGTATTGAGTACCGATGAAGCAGTCACGAAATTCATGCAATCCGGCTTCTTGCATTTGGGTCTCAATCTTTCGGTGGCTCTTGGGTTGGGCCGGAGTGCGGAATCCGGTGGTATCGCTGGGGCACGGGGCGTGTCGGGCTTTTACTCCTATTCGAAGACGCGTGGAGTATATGCGGGCATTTCGGGGGAATTTGGGCTGATTGTTGAGCGCTCGCGCGCTAACAAGAAGATCTATGAGCGAAAACTCAAGTCGGTGCAGTTGGCTGGTGGGCAGATTCCTGCTCCCCGTGAGGCTGAATCATTGATGCGCATTCTTAATTCGGATGTCCTACGCCCTTCCTCGAAGCCCATTGTAAATCCGGATTCCAGCGGACTTCAATCTCTAGGTCGAGAAATACCGCCTCGGGGATTGGAAATGGGCGACCTGAGTAACTTGGGTCCGGGGCTTTCTGAGATCGGATCTTCTGAAGCTCACTGGAGTGGCTTGTCTGCTCAGGGTACTACACTTAAACCCAGAGAGCTCAACAGGGTTCCTCGGGAGCTACTTGGTAACCCAGTTCAACCTGCCGAGCCGGAATATACTGCGTCTACTAAGCCTACAGATCCTTCGCACGTTTTTGAACTGGAGTCGCGCCATGGATCTGTGGTTCCGCCCAGCGAGACCCTTTCGCATCAGGCATCTGTGAATTCCTCTACTGGAAGCTCTTCAAATCACACATCGCTTCAAACTTCTGTTGTCCACTCAATGGAAACACAAGACTCCTCTATTCTGGGGTCTCCCGGTGTCATTCCCGAGTCTCCGTCAAAGGAAGCGCAAGCAGAACATGGCACTGATGCCACAAGCACGACAATTCAAGCTTGATGTTCAAATTATTAGTCATAAACCAGCCATTTGACAAGGGTTGCCTTTCTTTTGTTTTCTTTTTTGTTCAAACGTGGGACATATGGTCGGAAACTTGGTTTAATTTCTCATTAGCATATCTTCATTCTCGACTCGTGCGCGTACCAGGATTCTTTGTCCTTCTGTACTCGAAAGAGAGTAAAAAATATTTTAACTCTCATCTGGTGGGTAGCTGTCTAGCAGCTGTTGAATCTATGCTAGTTGAATAATGTCTAAGTTATTGCAAGGTAATTAGGAGATATCAAGTCCAATTCAAATGAACGAGGATCATTCTCATATCACTATCCTCTTAGCTCTTGTTCATGCGCTTTTCAAGCTATTAAAGTAGGGCCTTATATTCTTCATCCTCCATCCTCTTTTGCCTTCGCAGCTCCTTTTCCTTGGGACTTGCATGGCATGTTTTGACCATGGGCTGATCCTTTTAAGCAACTTCACAATGAGGGTTTGGATGCTCAAATTATGGGCGTTAACGGCCAGATGGAGGCTGGCCTTGGATGATTGCTTCACAAGTCAATGCAGCTCTTGAAAATCTTCAGTGAAGCACCGGATAGCTGTCACTAGATCCTTTAAAGCCAAATATAGAAATTTGTTAAAAGACTGCTCTGTGAAGTTAAGTAACCACAGGAGACTCACGCGCAAGTATCAGCCGATAGCCTTGGGACCCTGTAACCGCTCTTTTCCCGGCCTGAGAGCACACAACCCGCTCACAAGCCATGCCAAGACTGACACCGATGTTCAACTTCTAGTGTCCATCAGAATTGACACACGCAAGTCGGATTTTGGCTTGCAACCTTCCACTCACGAGAGTTGGAGAAAGAAGAGAGGAGAGAGAGAGAGAGAGAGAGAGATAGAGAGTAAGCGCTGGAGCAAATGGAGGGCGTCACTGGACCCCATGCTCCAATATTACCCTATACCACGTATTCACCAGCTGGCATTGATTCGGCTCCCTGCACATGTGCCTGACACATGATTTTGTAGGACTCGGTCCAGAAAAAATAGCAAAGATACAGCAGCGTACCAATTCAATTATCGAGGGTCATTTCTATGACTGAATCAACGGAACTTGACATTATCCTTGAACATAATCGTTGCAATAATGAAACAAACGGTTGCCTTGTCAAGCCCAACACAAAATATGATTACAAACAGGTTCAAACACCGAGCTCCGAGCGCTGTAATAATCGATTTGTTCTCCCCAACACCTTGCACATTCATCATTCATCATATCACATCATACCCCATCCACAGCCTCAATCCAGCCAAAGACAGCGCCTACTACCAAAGTCGCGAATGTCCAGACCGCACCCCATAGAGACGCTCCCTCAACCGAAACACCGTCGATAGTTCCCGCTACCTGCACAATCGTATTGAAATACACAGCAGCGGCAAGCATAAGGGTCCGAGAAGTAAGGATACGAGTCTTATTTGACAGCTGGCCCCAAGTCTTGCGGTATGCGGCTGAGACCAATAGTTCGCCTTCGGTATCAGCATGCTCTGATTCCACTATCTTATCCGTCGCATGACCCGTAGAGCTGACGAAAAGAAAATCGCGCACGGCATAGCCAGTAGGGATTAAAGTCAAGAATAGAGCAGGGAGCCCGGCGGGACCGGCGTGCGCAGCGCTGATATCGGGGATGCTGTCGAAGTGCACAACTAGGTGGGCGGGAAGCCAAGATGCATAGCTTGCGTACAGCACGACGGTGAAGATCGAGGTTGCGGCGAGTGTAGTGTAGATCGTAGTGGGGCGATCTTGTAGGATGGATCGGTTGGCCACTGCGCCGGAGGGTGCGTGCGACAAATCATGAACCGATGCGGGGCGACGAAGAAAGTAGAATGGTATCACCGTCGAAAGCACCGTGATCGCATAGGATACAATGGTGGACGTCGGTCGGACACCGTAGAAGAATGTCAGGAGCGAGTAGGTGGGCAGGTGAGTTACGTATAGGAAAGATGCGACATCCCAGCCTGAAAATAGTGAGTACCATATGTCAGTCTTTACTTTCACTGAAGATGTCACAGTGTCCCGTCATATAGATCTTTACTTACTGTCGAATCCCAGCACCCAAGCTAAACCAATCTCCACGGCTTTCCAGGCCACCAGCCCCCCCACTTCCCACCACTCCTCCAGGTGCTTACTGACCAGGCTAAGATCGCCAACGAACAGATTCGAGATCAGGGTAAACGACACCGAGCTCAGAAAAAGGCTGCTCAGGACGACCAGGGAGAAACGCGCTGGTGAGGGGATTCGCGCCAGGCGCGGAACTGCAGGGCCCAAAGCCTTTGTGTAGTCGCGCTTTGGCGCATCGCCGCTCTTTGACGAGGACTTCTTAATAGACGACATGCTCAGCTCCGTGCGGTTCAATGGCAAGAGAATAGGAGTTATTGGCAATCGCAAGCTCTCACAGAACAGGAAAGTTGGAATGTTCGTTCGGCGGTGAGGCTGATGATGTCACTATGGCAATTCTCCACTCTAATTTGAGTCCAATCTTGGAAACAACAATATGACAAGGTTAAATTCGAAAAACATCATAAAATAGAGTTCCTTAACCTAGGATTTGATACATCAGGGGGGTCCTTAAATACATCATCTAATGTCTGGTGAAATCTATTCGTCTTCTCCCTTTCGCTCTGCCACAGAAAACTCAACAGTGCCGCTCTCATTACCCCGGTTGTCCTTCACGACGACCCGGTACTTGCCTTGATCCCAGAGATCCTTGATAGTCAGCTCACGAGTACGGCCAAGAGATTCAATATCACCAATGCGCTGCAGGGTTCCCTCAAGGTGGTCGTCGAACCCATTGATCGCGCAGATCTCTCGGAATGCTCGCTGCATCGGAACAGAGTCGGCGCGCACCATAGCTCGCGAGTCAATGGTGAAGATGTTCTCATGATCGTAGGACTGGATGAAGTCGGCACGGGTCATAATCTCTCGTGCTTTGTGTAGCGGGATCTCAGGCAAGATATGGCCTGTCTCAGGGTGGTAGGTCTGCTCCATTTCACTTTCAAGGTCGACCAGAGCTTTGGCCAGAACCATTGCGGCAGACTGAAGTTTGTCAACTCATGTCTTTCATCGTATGGTTAAAGGGAGGGCACCTACAGAATACTTCTGTTCATCCATGACATCGTCATCCATCTCCATGCCTAAAATCCAACATTTGTTGAGGAACCATGTCTTCTCGGCCCGACAGATCTCATCGCAGGTTTGCAATATGTTGGGTGATTTGGCTACTCGGTTCAAGAAAGAAAGCCGACCACCCACCGTGTCATAGACATGTTCAAGGACGGAGGATGGCAGGTCCTCGTGACAGAACTGTTTGCGATATCTCTTCAGGGCATCCATCGCTTTCTGCTTGGGCAAATCGGTGACCGGGATAACCTCCATTCGGGTAGCGTAACGCTTCAAGCGTTCATATACCCAGTATTCGTCACTGTTGAGGACTAGCTTTGTATTTAGCACATCAGAATCAGACAATGCTAGGTATATGAAACTTACTAGTGGTAACTAGGCCACTGGCAGCCCACTGTTCAGCCCGCTGCTGGATCATCTCCAGCAAATCCTTTCCATCGTGATCATCGCGAACCAAATGAGTGCTGTTGATGATCAGAACCAATGGTCGCCCGTGCGAGGACCTCCTGGCCAATGCGACCTTTTCCATCTTGTTGAAGGCCCGTTCGATGTCGAGTAACGCGGTGGTGTCTCGTGGGCCACGGATACTGAATAAGCTACCAATATAGCTAAAAAAAAATAAAAATCTTTAGCGTCAATTTCACCGAGCACAGAGTGAGACCTACTCCTCGTGGAACTCATAATCAAGTGCCTTTCCCAAGCGAATACGGAAGATCTCGAGATCAGCATGCGCCTCAAACATAGCAACACCAGTGCCATTGATCTTGCGCATACCTTCAAGGAGCATCGATGTCTTTCCAGTACCTTTCTCGCCTACCATCAAATAGTAGTGGCCTGCTCGTTTCCCGGCAACAATGTCATCAATCCGTGGTTGCTCATCCCGAGGAATCCAGTGCTCCTGATGATTATACTGGTGCTTTCCAGATACAACACCCGCCATTTCGAGAGCAGGATCACCTGGGTTGAACGCATTGTCCATTTTGTCCAGAACCAAATACTTGTAGTACCGGTGGTATGAATAGCCAGCCACACTGTAGGATGAGATTTAGCTGGATCCGGTCATATCGTGAGAAGCGATCTTACCCTAGGATGAAGATAGATGCTGCGGTAGTTGCAGCAGTTTCAAGCATCTTGAGGATTGTAGATTTCAGATTAGGATCCGAATCCTTTTCACGGCCTCGTCCCTGATCCTCTTCATTTTGATCTGTAGGATCAGGGGTATATTGGCCAGTGTTCTGGGGGTTCGAATTGAACCTCTTGCCTGTATATTGAAGAATGCGCCCATGAGACCTAAGAGGTCTCGATAGGCCCTGTCGAGCAAATGATGACAAGGGTGGCGCGAGCCTTTTCCATAACATTGTGGATCTCCTTGGCGCCTTTATCTGGCACTAATTCAACTTCACCAGCAGGGAAGGGGGGCTGTATTTGGTTTTTTGCAAAAATATACAGTGCACGAAGATATGCAGGTCCTATTTGGTCTGAAGCACCGGTACAACGGCCACAGGGCTATTGTAGAATGTTATAGACCTATCTCCAAGTTGACGCCACACCAGGGGGTGACGCGTCGAAAATAGAAGTGAGTGGACGGGGACAAAAGATCCCTAAGTTGATCTTAATGAAAAGATCATACAAGGTAAGGAATGAAAAGAAGCCGAAAGGAGAGACAATGAGTGGAACAGAAGTGGATAGAGGATGTCCAAGAAAGGATGCAAAGAAGGCGTTGTGGCTTAGCGGAGTCTTGGCAGATGTGTTGGCTATCGATACTGTTCAGTCAGCAATGTCATCTCATATTGCAAAGTTCCCATGTATAATCAATTGATGTGTTTCAGATGTTTCTTTCGTATATCATTAATTGCTTTCAACAGGATAGGTAGTATGCACTAAACACCAGTTGATAGCCGAAACGAAACTTGCCAGTTTGCCAGCTCAGTAGCCTGGATTTACTCGATGCTTTGACGTCTAGTGGGTGAACAAGTGTCAGTAGGTTTCCAAATAATTGCAGATATAGCTCTATGAGCTTATGAAAAAGACCAAATAAATTGAACCAATGAATTGGCCTGTCTACTAAGTAAAACTACGAACATTCCGCGGGGAAGTCTCAGGCAGTCAACTTCTATAGTCGACTACATCACCGATGTCCGGTATACTTCACCTATATGTGTCAGTTGGACACAAAGTATATCTACACATTCAAAATGTTCATTTGCATATTCTTGTCAATCCACAGAATGAATTAAATGTCCGATTTCCGCATCTTGGTTTGTGGAGTAGATCCACGGTGTCTCTTCCCCGAACCCACCGCCCGAGCACTTCCGAGGGTATGCCGCATCCGCGAAATTTTCTCCTACTCAGTTCCACCTCTCATACTCTGGACCCTTTCTTTATTTGCATATCTATTCTGGGGTACGGGGTTTCTGGCTGATCTCCTTCAATTACCCTGTTCTTGTATCATAGCGACTTTTTTTTCTACCTGCTCCCCCGCAGGTCCTCACTTTTTCTTCTTCGATCCGTCCGTTACTCCGGGAGATAGCTACTCGTCGACTCGACAAGAGCTATCATATTCATCAATTCGACATAATGGCACACACCCATGGGGAATTGGAGCCCTCGAAAGGTTGGTCCGGTCCACCCTATCCCTCGACGAATTGTCACACGACACCGACTTGCGGCAGAAACTCGACACATGATCTGACTCCTTTATATAGAGGTTCCTCAGGAAAACGGAAACCACGTGGAAGGTGCTGCGGAGGATGAGAACACTGGTGGTATGTGCAATGACTTGAAGATTGGTGGTTGGGCGAGCACGGCGGTTTTCTGACTCGTGTCAAGGTCTCTTCCAAATCTCCGTGAAGCTTCCTCATGAACCCTACAAGATTCAGGTGATGGTGGGTAGATTGCTGTGACAGGTCTTGATGGAATAAATTCCCTAACGTATTCCTCATAGGTCTCGAGCCAAGAACAGGTTCAAGATGTTCGCCAATCCATCGTCGAGCTTCCCGGTACCTTCCAGTACACCTGCTTCCACTTGGAGTTCAACGGTATCCGCGTCAATGACTTCGTCGAGCTGTCCGAGGTGCCCGACCTAAAGGCCGACTCCGAGATCGTTCTGGTTGAGGAGCCCTACACTGAGAAGGAAGCCCGTATGCATGTGGTGCGCATGCGTGAGCTGGTTGGTGCTGCTGGAGATCGTGTTGACACCCTTCATGGTATCTCTGCCGGTCTCTCCCTGCACGATGCCATTTCCGCGGAGGCGGCCACCGCCGGTGAATCGGAGAAGGACCACCCGCTCGCCAAGTACAACCTGACTGGGTCATCTTCGCTGCAGACTATTCTGCCGAAGTCTGAGGTTCCTCTCCCGAAGACGGTCAAGTCAATTTCGCTTTCGCCCTGGAACCCTGTTCCCTACCACCTCCGTCAAAAGGGTCACCTGCTCTACCTGCAGGTCATCACCAACGAGGGTGAGCAGTTCCAGATCACCTCCCACGTCTCCGGATTCTTCGTGAACAAGAGCTCGAGCTCCCGTTTCGATCCCTTCCCGAGATCGATCCCCAAGAAGGCCAGCGCCCACTCCCTTCTGACTCTGATTTCCATCCTCTCTCCCTCCTTCGCTGCTTCCTTTGAGGCCCTGCAGGAGGCCAACAACCAGAAGGACCTCCTCACCACCTTCCCCTTCCAGAATGCCATCCCCAATAACCCATGGTTGGTTGCCCCCACTTCGTCGACCCTGAACGCTCACCAGCCCGACATCACCCGCTCACAGGAGAGCTTCTTGATTGCCGGTGCCGACAACGCTGAGACCCTGCGTGACTGGAACGAGGAGTTCCAGACCACCCGTGAGCTGCCCCGTGATACTGTCCAGGATCGCGTATTCCGGGAGCGTCTGACCTCCAAGTTGTTCGCTGATTACAACGAGGCTGCCGCCCGCGGTGCAGTGTTGGTCGCCCGCGGTGAGGTTGCTCCTCTGAACCCCACTGAGGCCCAGGACGCCCAGATCTTCGTTTATAACAACATCTTCTACTCCTTCGGTGCTGACGGTGTTGGCACTTTCACCTCCGAGGGTGGTGATGAGGCTGCCCGCGTTGCTGTTGGCAAGGATGTTCTTGGTATCAAGGCTGTGAACCAGCTTGATATCCAAGGCTTGTTCACCCCTGGTACCGTAGTTGTCGATTACCTTGGCAAGCGCATTGTGGGTCAGAGCATTGTCCCTGGTATCTTCAAGCAGCGTGAGCCCGGCGAGCACCAGATCGACTACGGTGGTGTTGAGGGTAAGGAGGTTGTTGCGACCCACGAGGACTTTGTCCCTGTCTTTGAGAAGCTGTCGAAGGCACTCCGTATTAAGCAGCACCCCGTTTGGGATAAGGATAACAAGCGCCACGACCTTCAGGGCAGTGTTGAGACCAAGGGCCTTCTGGGCACCGATGGTCGCAAGTATGTTCTGGACCTTTACCGTATTGCCCCTCTGGATGCTCAGTGGCAGGAAGAGATTGGCAACGATGCCTACCCTCACCGTATGTCGGTTCTGAGATTGGAGCTGGTTGAGTCATACTGGAGACACAAGATGAGCGAGTACGTCAAGGCGGAAGTGGAGAAGCGCCGCGCCGCCAAGGCTGAGGAGGCACCCAAGGAGAAGACCGAGGGTGATTCTGAGGAGAAGACCGAGGAGAAGACCGAGGAGAAGACCGAGGAAAAGATCGAAGAGGCTGCGGATCAGGAGCGTGTTGATATTTCTGGATTCAACTTGTCACTGAACCCCGATGTTTTCAGCGGCCAGGTTCCCCAGACCGAGGAGGAGAAGAAGCAGTGGGCTCAGGATGAACAGGAAGTGCGGGATGCTGGTGAGCACTTGCGGTCCAAGATCATGCCTGACTTGATCAAGGATCTGCACGATGGCGATGTTGGCTTCCCTATGGATGGCCAGTCATTGACCCAGCTGCTGCACAAGCGCGGTATTAACATTCGTTACCTGGGCAAGTTGGCTCAGCTTTCTAGCGAGAAGGGTGCCCGTTTGCAGGCTCTGTCCACTCTCCTTGTTCAGGAGATGATTGCCCGTGCCTTCAAGCACGTTGCCAACGGCTACCTGCGTAAAGTCCCTGCTCCTTTTGCTGCTCCCTGTGTTGCTCACCTGCTGAACTGCCTCCTGGGCACTGATGTCAACTCCGCTCCCGTCGCTGAGATTGACCAGTCGTTGCGCGAGGTTTACCCTGAGGGTGACTTCTCCTTCGAGAAGGTCACTCCCGAGTCCCTCCGCACTGAGATTGAGAACCAGGTCACCCTGCGCTACCGTTTCTCTCTGGAGGAGACCTGGGCCGGCTCTCTCCGACACCTGCAGCTTCTGCGTGACATCTCTATCAAGCTTGGTCTGCAGCTTGGTGCCCGCGACTACGCTTTCAACAAGGCTGATGTTAAGGCACCTGCTCCGGCTCCTGTCAATGCCAACCAAAACGGCCAAGAGGAAGGCGGCAAGAAGCGCAAGGGCAAGAAGGGTGGTGATAACAAGGCTCCCCGCGTTATCCCTGAGGTCAAGCCTGCTGTCTCCATTCTTGCTGATGATATTCTCAACATTGTGCCATTAGTCAAGGATGCTGCTCCTCGTAGCGCCTTGGCTGAAGAAGCCCTGGAGGCTGGTCGGATTTCCCTCATGCAGAACCAGAAGCAATTGGGCCAGGAGCTCATTCTGGAGTCTCTGTCGCTGCACGAGCAGATCTACGGTATCCTCCACCCCGAGGTTGCCAAGCTGTACCACCAGCTGTCCATGCTCTACTACCAGACCGATGAGAAGGAAGCCGCTGTGGAGCTGGCTCGCAAGGCTGTCATCGTCACCGAGCGCACCCTGGGTGTTGACTCTGCTGACACTATTCTTGCCTACCTGAACCTGAGCCTGTTTGAGCACGCCTCTGGTAACACCAAGACTGCCCTGGTTTACATCAAGCACGCCATGGATCTCTGGAAGATCATCTACGGTCCCAACCACCCTGACTCCATTACCACCATGAACAATGCCGCCGTCATGCTGCAGCACCTTAAGCAGTACGGCGACTCGCGCAAGTGGTTCGAGGCTTCTCTCTCTGTTTGTGAGAACCTGTTCGGCAAGGACTCTATCAACACCGCCACTATCCTCTTCCAGCTGGCACAGGCCCTTGCTCTGGACCAGGACTCCAAGGCTGCTGTTGGCAAGATGCGTGATGCTTACAACATCTTCCTTTCTCAGCTTGGTCCCGAGGACCGCAACACCAAGGAGGCTGAGACTTGGTTGGAGCAGTTGACCCAGAACGCTGTCTCCATTGCTAAGCACGCCAAGGATATCCAGGCTCGTCGTCTGCGTCGCATCAATATCAACCCGCGCACCTCTAACATGGGCACTCGCGTTCAGCCCCAGGTTGGCCAGACCGCCCCTCAGACCGCTGGCACGGCCGGTGCCTCTGGCTCATCCATGGACTCCCGCAGCATTGACGAGCTGCTGAAGTTCATTGAAGGTGGTGATGCTGGTTCTTCGAGCTCCAAGCAAAAGAAGCGCTCTGCTGCCAACCCCAAGCTCCGAGGCTCTAAGCAGTCCAAGGCATAGATAAATTCTATGCTTTCTTTTTATAAATATTGGATCTTCCTTTACTTCCATTTAGTTTCGGATATTCATCTTCCTTTTTTTCTTGTCATCTCGTGTCTTAACAACAAAATATACTCCATGATTGTTTACGGAAGGGGGCTGGGGTTAAGGTTGATGAGCGGAAAACTATTGTATTTTAGATCTCTCTCCTCTCTTTTTGGTTCATTTTACGATTTGATCTATTGATCTTGTCCTTCCCAGGTGGACACAGCATGGGAATTTATGGATTTGGTAGAAACCATTTTGATGTGCATTTTTACAACATTACATTTATGATAATGCGATTTAGATTAAAAGTTGATCAAAGTACTAGACATTATTCAATGTTGGCTAGGAGTTTCCAGGTTTGATATAACCGTTATATGCGTATCTTAAGCTAAAGGTCAGTCGCACGATGACGCTCAGCGCTAGACCAAGTTGGGATGACCCGCTTTGGTTTGTTTGCTCCAACCTCCGATCACAATTCTTGTTCCGCCATAACATTCCATATTAAAGCGCCTTATTCTTGCATTGCAGTTCTATATTATCTACGCTTATTGGGATCTCTTCCCCGTTATGCTTAGAGGCTAGATGTGGTGACTACCATGCTTTAATCGCAGGTAGGATTGCTAAGGTCCCGTTACTGTTACTCGAGTGCGCCTCCACTCCCCACCAAACAAAGGCATTTGCAGATGAACTAACGCCCTTCTTCTTAGTTGCATACATTTGTTCTATACAATTATCCCCGTCAGACCCCAATGGACGACATCCAAGCTACTGCAAAATGGGCAAATCGCGTACTACGCCCTTTAACATCCATTTATCGTCGACTCGAGAAGCACCAGGAGACACTAGCGATTATTGCGGCCGAGTCAAGGGTACATAATCGAATCGAAGACCCCCACAGACAAAATCCGGAATCATCCCAACCTGCAAACCCTCGGGAAAACTACTTCGGGTCAGACGCCGACGAGGATGACCCCGTATGGATTCCGGGGAAAGGGCCTGACAAACGCCGAGTTAAGCATAAATATTCTGCGCGTGGGAGGGAAAAGGCAGGAAGGAGGCGCACAAGGTTATCCGTTCACAGCCCAGAAGCTACTCGTGTCCTCCCCGGCGCGATCGAGCTGGCAACGCCGTTGATCACTGGCAAAAGATGGGAGATGCCCTCAAGTGTCCGATCACAGCCGGCTGTGGAACAGAATAGAGTTGCCAATGCACGCAGCCAGGTGCAAGTATTTCGTGATCGGTACGCCCTGCACAAGAGCCCTTGGCAAGAAGTCCTCGATCAGTCTGGGGATTCTGGGTTTGCCGATATTGCACATAATCTTGATCGCGTTCTCCTAAATTTCTTGGGCAAAACTCGGATCAACAGCCGCGAGCCCATTGCCACGACCGTCCAGCCGGCTCGGGGTGCACGCTCTCTTCTTTCTATGGTCGCCCGGCGTTTACCCGAGTACATCGCAATCGAGCAGGAAGCGCAGGATGAGGAGGACGAGAACGGAGATGAAAATATGTGCGACGCATATTTCACCGAGCTAGAGTCGTTCTATGCGCCTCATGGCAAGGGATGGAAGCCATTGCGTGAAGCTGTCCGCGCCCAAGGCATTCACATGGTCTCTATGATGATACGAAACCGGTGGTTAACCGACCCAATTGCCTATGCATTGATCGAAAACTGCCGACCCCACGAACAAGATGCGTGTGAAACGCTTCTATCTACGTTCCTTTCAATCTGCACTGCTTGCCCTTTTCCTATCGCCCTTAAGCCTACTACCGACAACGTCTCTCCTGGAGATTCTGTTCGGCTATTGCATAGATATGCTTATTATGACCTACCTCGTCGAGCTTACATTTTTGACGAACTTTCTAAACTACTTGTCCGAGGCGTGCTACCTCCAGAATGGATGGCCACCAAACCATGGACTACTTGGATGACCCGAGCAACGATATCATTTTCAAGGGACGATGGTTATTGTTCTGCGTCCTCGCGATTGATTGAGGCTGTACTTGTTTCTGCTAGTGGCATTTACTCGGGTGGGAAGCTCCAGACTACTGTGAAAAAGCGTTCGACCAGTCGCAATGCTGGCCATTTCAGAGCAACGCGGACACACACGGTACCGACAAGCAATCCGAACATTAATCGGGCATGCCCTGTCCCAGTGGAGGATGCTTTAAGCAATCATGTTACGAGTCTCTTGGCAACGCTTTGTGGCATGCACATATCACGATCTCGCGAGCTTGATAACGAAGTCACAGATGGCACAAGAGCGGGCCATATTATCAACTACGTTTCATTCGTAGCGTGGGGAGAGCTGGATGGTAAATCACTCTCCCACATTTCTATTCTCCCTTCTCATCAATTGTTAAGACTTGGTTGCATTTTGCTGGCAGGTTGCCTTATACAATGTAACGATGCAGTTTTAGCATGTCGCACTGGACCCGTTTTGGTATCAACGGCAGCCATTGAAGAATATTCGAACACGCTAGTATCTCGATCTGATCTGATCAAAGAACTGGGGCTATTTGTGCGACAAGCATTTCGCTGTTTCAGCAGTTCATCAAACGAAGACACTGATATGAGAAGCGAGATTCGACGCATTGTATCACAGCTTCCGCATCGGGCTGATGCCCCGTGTCTATCTGCATTTCTCAGCCGTGTTGCCGTGGAGGCTGCTATGCAATTTGCAGAAGGAACTGGAGACCCAGACGATCATCTGTGGGCCGTTGAGATCCAGGAAACAACCGTGACTCTTAAAGACCCAAAAGAATCAAGCACTGAATTAGCAAGTGAAACGGAGGAGCCAGGACCGAGAAGAGGCCTGTTCCGCTGGGAAGATAGTATTGGCGAATGGGTTGCTCGTACTCCGGCAGTCAAAACAGCCCCCACAATAACCACCGGGGTAAAGAGGCGTGCTTTTGAAATGTCCAATTTTTCGCCATGCATTCGGGGCTCAACGGATATCAGCTCCCCGGGATCAGATTGCTTCGAAGAAAGGTCGAACAGCATAACTTTCTCTCCTTCTTCAGTTGGAACAGACCGGCAAATGGAAGCTGCGGAATCGTCGCCCATCCGACCCTTCAAACGACGATGTGTCGCCCCTGAGGTTGTGATTGAACAGCGTGAATCTCTGTCTAGCCGCTCTCCATCGAGGTACTTGTCAAAGTCCCCATCCTTGGAACCAGTTCCTTTTCATCGACGTGTCTTGCGCGATATGTCAAATCACGTTACTGCCAACCCGATACGCTCCGTGCCACTCAGGTCAACATCCAAACTGGAGGTAGTGATCTTCAACAAGCAAGAGCCTCGGCCCCTTGCGAGACCTGCGCCTGCACCAGAATTTGTTGAGAAGCAAGTACATCGATCGATGAACCGGAGAAGACCTGGAAGGCCCTCACTATCTCGTACGCCCGGTTCAATTGTGGTTCCTCGGCGACAATCAGTCATCCCTTGCTCACAGGATGACAGTGACGACGAACTTAGCTTCATTTGACCTGCGCTTGCTCGTCCACCACTGCTTGATTTATCCCCTAAGTATTACTGGCTCTACCCCCTCACTGATTGTTTTTTGTTATAATTTGGTGTTTTGGCTTTTTCTTACTCGATACCCGTGGCCGCTGGTGTGAATTGTTGTTTTGCTTCGCTGGTGTCCAATTGGACGTTTCGTTTGTTCTTCGTATTCCAAGATAATGTCTCTATTTTATGCAAATCCCATAGAGCAACCAATCCAACATCTATTGCTGGAAGATAAACGCCTCCAACTCCTTATAAGCAACCTCCAGATCATCATTAACAATAATCTTATCCTGTCCGCGCTGGGAATTCGCATACTCGAGCTCAGCAGTAGCCTGCGCAAGTCTCTTCTGCACATCCTCATCACTCTCAGTCCCGCGGCCTCTCAACCGCTGCTCCAGAATCTCAATGCTAGGCGGCTGGATAAAGACATAACGCGGGTCAATACTCGGATTTTCTTTCATCTGCTTCACGCCGTTCATCTCAATATCAAGCACAACGACCAGTCCCTTCGCCATCTGGTCCTTGATGGTCCTGTGGCTGGTGCCATACTTGTTTGAGCCGAAGACCGCATGCTCGACGAAGGTTCCCTCAGAGATCAGGGAGTCGAATTCGGAGTGCTCAACGAAGAAGTAGTTTGTTCCGTCGACTTCACCGGCGCGGGGTTTGCGGGTTGTGTGAGAGACTGTGAAGGCGAAGGTGTTGGGGTGAGAGGAGAAGAGTTTCTCGATAAGGGAGCCCTTGCCGACGCCTGAGGGGCCGGAGATGACAATCGGTCTGGTATCTTTGGGGGCTGGGTTTGATTAGCTATGTGAGTTGGTGAGTTGGGTTAATTGGAGACTTACGTGACATTTTGAAGGAAATGCTGGGAAAGGAATTAGGCTGGACTGTAGACGGGGAAGCAACTTAATGTGTTGTGGGCGGGATGAAGGTGGGATATGTAATTTATTTTACCGGTATTTACGTTGTTTTCGGCTTAATGGTGTGGCAGTCGTTACGCATGCGGGATGTTTTCACAATTGCTCCACGTACCCCCTAAAGTACTCTGGTACACCATAACCCATAAGCAGGAACATACTCATGGCTCCGATTTTATTGCCTCCCTACAGTATTGGAAAAATTCAAGTGTTCGATTTCGCAACGCATTTTTACATCTATGTGTACGTTCAATATGCTCGCATAGTACACCGTAGCTGAAATGGTAGGTGCTGGAGTACGTACTACACTTGAGGCTAGCTGGGTAAGCTATAGGGAACATGACTTAGGCAGTCAACTCGAAGCCATGAACATATGTATGTTCCTGATTCGGTTAGACAGGGTGTACAAGAGTAATTTAGGGGTACGTGGAGCAATTCCTGATGTTTTCCTGTATCAACCCTACATGTGTCCAAAACCTCCACGAGACTTTTCTTTTTCCCTTCCCCTCTCCTGGTATTGAATGAAAAAACACAAGTATAGTGGACACATCTACAGTAGCTTTGACTGGAGTAGCTCATGTTTTCAATTGTTTGGATTAATCACAGGTCTATGGTCGTTATCGCTAAAATTCCGATTATATACTTCAATCACCCCCCCACAACATTAGGCAATATTTGAAAGGGTTAAACGACAGAATCCTAGAGCTAGTAAGTCTGAGAGGGACGGCTCATCTCAATTTCATCTGAAGAAACCTCCCGCTTCACATTGTGATCCTCTGGCAAAAACCAACCAGGGTGCACAAAGTTGAAAACACCAACAGCCGCGATCATCATGGCACCATCCATTGCAATAAAGTATTTCTCATGGGTGATCAGATACCCACTCCAACCCTGTGACAGCTCGATGGTACGGTAAATACTTCGAACATAGATGCATAGCACGGAGAAAATCATAGCAACCAGCAGCGGGATGATCGAGCCAGTATGTGACTGGAGAAGACGGTGGCGCACGGACCGAATAATGAAGTCTGCGGCGAAGAAGACGAAAATGGTAATGGAGAACAATTGGAAGACAATACCGGCAACCATAATGTGTGTACCAGGGGCAGTGTTACCGTTGACCTCGTTAACTGCCATAGATGCGAGGCCACCACCGATGGCTTGGATGACGAGCGAAACGACATCGCAGGTGCAGAATATCCAGAGGTACAGTTTAGGTGAGAGAATGGATGAATCGCGGCCCAGGATTTGGATGAATCGGCCGAGAAGAACATAGATTCCAGCAGTGAAGAAGGTCGGGGCTTGTAGAATATTAGTACATGAAGAGTTAGAGCGGGAAGACATTCTGCTTACCGATGATGAGGGTGGAGATCTGCATCAAGAATGCAGTTCCGTTATACGGACACGCATTCGACCAGGTTCTACCAGCCCATCCGATCAATTCCACTGCATTGTTGTTTAGTTATACTGGTCCGTATCGGTTCGGATCATGCCCTACTTACCCATGCATCCCACGGAAAACACCACACACCACCATTGTCGCTTCCAACAGAATTGAATGGTATGAACAATCATTGAGAGGCCGAAAAGAACGCAGAAAGCGATGCCTGCTGACAGATGTGGGACGTATCCATAGGAAGTGTTTATGCCTTCAATTTTGGCATGGCAGCCTGTCGTCAAGGCCATTCTGTCGACCATGGTGAAAGAATACCAGTTGAACTGGCTGTATGAAAATTAAGAACTCGGTCTAGGAGGGTATAGGTTGGGGTTTTGGCTAGGACCAAAGGAGTGGGGTCGTATATTAGGAAGCTGACAGCCTTTTTGAAATATGGTCGGTAGTAAAGAAAGATGCACTCCGCCGGGTTGCGGGATTAGAAAATAGGTAAATGAGTGTGCGCCACGGGGTATATAAAGATGCGGAGTAAGGCTGAGCAACAACGCTCACGCTGAAGGCTACCAAGGAAATATGAATATTTTGACAGCCGCAGAAAATTGTCGGCTAACGGCCCATCGGGGGAACCAATCCCGCTTCTACATTACTATGTATATATAGGAAAAGATTTACTAAAGTGTCAAAGCAGCAAAAAAAGACTTGGAAAGTGGATACCTGTAAGATAATTTGTGGGCGAAGTAAACCAATTTGCAACATCATTTGCATTGTTCTGCAAGAGCGGACTTCAAAACCCAAGAACCACGCGAAATGAACCAAATTTGATAGGAATTCGGGCCGATTTATGGGTGTCTGCGCGTTGAAACTCGCAAGATCCTCTGTTTTGGGTTTAGTGTGATGGAGATAAGTGGATCTGAGCCACTCGCAAGTTTAACTCCGATCCGAATGTTGCCGGATCATGGATCAGCCTCGTTCTAGGCAATTAAGCCATTCTTCTGGATGGCCCACTTGATGAAGAGCAAGGACTAGACTTATGCCTTGAAGGTTTTCAAGCTCGTCGGAATCAGGGCATCAGTTGATTACAAGGCTTGCGTTGACTTGCTGGGTTTCAATATGCACCAGTTCACCGCTCCCGTCCTCTTTGTTTTCTTTGACATTGGAAACTTGCCAAGAAACAGCGTTACAGTCATTGGATCCTGTTTAAATTCTCTGTCTCGAGTGATGGATTTCGAAATATAACTTGATGCTCGTCACGTCCATTTTCCAACCTTTCTTCATCTCCGGTATACAAGATCAACCAATTTGGGTCTAGATGTCACTCTACATGCCCAAGTCAACATGCAAACACACAAAACTGTCATTTTGAACCAGTCCAATACCGCTGCAATCTTTTCAACTTCTGAGGCACCGAATCCTATGTGTATTTGGGAAGGTCGTAAAACCCTCCAGGATCGAAAACCAATCAGCGTGCAGCCGGCTCAACACCAAACATTCAGAACAATACTTATCCTCATACTTTTCGATGATGAACCTCTTCGAATCTGCAGTATTAGGACCAACTAAGCCAGCAACTCTTGATTTCGAATCTGAACCCTCTCATCGAACTTTGACGCCCTCTGGAGTAGCCTACGCCACGGAATACCGCGATGTACCATTAATAAGCACCATATCAAATGGCATAGTAGTGGTACCCTCCTCCATTTACCCAGCAATCGAAACACGCTCTAAACGTGGATGACGGGAAGAAAACTCTGCATATCAGGCAGATACCCATGGTAATAGCCCACCATCAGTTTGGTATAGTTCTTCTACATTAGACAGTGATGCAGGGTTGTCAGGAATGTGTTTGCATCTCGGGTTATTATACACCAGTTGCGCTGGGTTCGGTTTTAATACAGATCCACTGGGTGAGGGACTTTGGTGAAGGGGCCGTTGTGTTCGTGTCAAGTCCAGATGCTGGTTGTCCTGGCCTCTTATTTGGAACAGGTATGCTCCGACTGGAAAGACGGGAGGGGAAATTTAAACTGACGATTTTGATAAATCTAGCATACTGCACCATCATTGGGTGAATGATCTGAAGGCAACTCTCATACGATGAAAGTATACCCGTCCGGCTCATTAAGGTAATTTCGTGAATGAAGCCCTGACACATGCTCACTGAGTTGCGCCTTGGGCATTCCATTTGCAGTTCGCGCATGCCCCAAATGAAGTGTCTGTCTGGCCGCGTGTGGTGAAGGCATCCAACATAACACTTGTGTTGAATGGGTCCAACCCTCGTACAGACATCTTACCTGGGGCATGTACGAATTGCACTGGAATGCACAAGGTGCAAACTGCAGCTTCCGTAAGTCTGAACCCAATATCATAGGAGTGTTCATTGGCCGCAGCCACGGCAGGCCCACCACCATCAGCCATCATGACACGGGCCTGGGTCAGCATTATCCTTCGCGGAAAATGCTGACCCAGACCTTGTCATGATGGCTGCCCGCGGTGGCCTAAAGAGTGCCTTCAACAATGGTCATAACGCCATTGAAATTGTCAAGGGAGCCATGGATCGCATAAAATATACTGCTTTAGTCCAGAGTACCATGGTGAATGATTTTATGACCAGGGCTAATGACCTTGGCCGAGTTGAGTCAAGATATAGAGGACGCTGCCGATTAAATGGTCAATGGTACGCCCTTTACTACATACGTAGCGCTGGAGAAATCATCCCATTTAACTTGATTTCTGACCTGTCTTCTTAAATACTATATCCAATTTATTGATCTCTAAGTTATCTAGCGGGAATAGACGCGCACTATGTAGTTACTTGATGAAAAAATCCCGAGGTCGTCATCAGCTTGCCCGCGGCCTTCATTGCACTGTATTCATTATACGCTTTGTTGCGCCGGCCAAGTTCCTTGGGATTGTCGGTCGGGATCACATATCTGATCTCTTGTTCCCTAGTGACCTAACAATTCTAGCGGTTCATTGCAGAAGTGTAAATGTTACCTAGTTGGCGGGTTATATGTCGTCATAAGTAAGTTAAAGCTTTTAAGACTCTTATGTAAGAAAAATATCGCTTGTCGTGAGTTATATAGTAGTGCATTCTGGATGTAGGTTATATTTGCGCGATTTAAGATACTGCTCTGCGGAATTCGAGTAGTGCATATCACAGGGTTTTTGATCTGGACTATCTAGATCATCTGGTATACGTGATGGTAATGCGCGCCGCGCATGACGATATAGTTAACTGGTCAGAAATTAATGGGCAATATGTAAAGAATAAAGAAATGGTAAATTGGAAACCACTTAAAACACTTGAATTTATTAAACCGCATAAGTCCAGGTAATGTTTTTTATGCATGGGTCATGCCATCATGCCACCCATCTGCCCATAGGATACATTATCCGGCTTTTCCAGCGACGTCACAACTGATACCACCTTGACATCACGTCCCACTTCTTCTCAACATTTCAATCAGACCCAAGATCACTGCAAGCTCATCGTAAAACCACCAAGTCATGGCGAAATATATTCTCGCCGTGAACGCTGGCTCGTCCTCAGTCAAAGTCACGTTCTATACATACGAGAACCCGCCAAGAGTTATCGCTGATGCGCAGGTGTCAGGTATCACTGCCCCACCAGCGGAGCTCAAGTATCAACGCGGGCCTGTGAAAACCAAAGAAAAATTGAAGGAAAAGCTGGATACGCCGCAAGATGCTTTCAAATATATTCTGCAGCACTGCTTCGATGATCCCGAGCTATCCGAGGTTGCTAGCGAAAAGGACCTCGCATATATATGTCACCGAGTAGTCCATGGAGGAGACAATCAGGAAGCGGTTACGATTAACGAGGAAACTTTGCACCAACTCGAAGAACTGGAAGATCTCGCTCCGCTGTACGTGGACATGTCTAAACGTCTGTTACAAGCGCTAATATTGAACTCATCAAGACACAATTTTTCGGCTTTGGAAATCATCCGTCTCTGCAAAAAAGAGCTTCCAAGCGTCGCCAGCATCTGCTTCTTCGACTCAGCATTTCACCAAACCATGCCAGTTCACGTGAAAACATATCCCATTAACCAGGAAATCGCCAAAGCAAATGGTCTCCGGAAGTACGGATTTCACGGAATCAGCTACTCGTTCATTCTACGCTCCGTATCTCAGTTCCTAGATAAGCCGACCGCCTCCATAAATCTGATTGCAATGCATATCGGCAGTGGAGCCTCGATCTGCGCTATCAAGAATGGTCAATCGATTGATACTTCGTGAGCCATCCCACCCATTTCCATCGTTGGTTCAATTCACTTACCTTGATTTCTAGAATGGGCCTTACCCCCTTGGCTGGGTTACCCGGCGCAACGCGAAGTGGCTCCATCGATCCCTCGTGGGTTACTCCAGTCCAGCCCTAGTGGAGAATGAACTAACGGATCTAGACTGGTCTTTCACTATACAAGTGAGGCGGGGAAATTGAGTCCTTCCAGTACCAAGGAGATGCATATTAGCACGGTAAGGAATGATCCGATGAAGGTACTCAGAACAAAGACTGACAAGATTTGATGATGGATCAGGCTGAGGAAATCCTCAACAAACAATCCGGGTGGAAGGCTTTAACCGGTACGACGGACTTTGCGGAGATCGCAGTCGAGAATCCACCGGATACGCACAAACTAGCCTTTGATATTCTGGTGGATCGGATCATAGGCTATATCGGGAGTTACTATGTAAAGCTAAATGGACAGGTAGATGCACTCGTATTTGCGGGAGGGATTGGTGAGAAGAGTGCATTATTGCGTCGGACGCTGGTTGAGCAGTGCCAGAGTCTAGGTGTGGCGATTGACTCGCGGGCTAATGACAAGGGGCCGGATGAGACGGTCACAGATATCTCCCTTGACTATAACGGCAAGGGGCCTCGAGTGTTGATTTGCCAGACCAATGAACAGGTTAGTTTTTTCCTTTCTTGTTGTATTCCATTGCTAATCTGATTCGGAATAGTTTGAAATGGCTTATAGTGTTTGTGCGCGATGAGTCAATTCCAAATCTTCACATATGACAGGTTGTGACAAAGGTGAAAGCTCTTGAATCAGGAACACACTTTAAGTTTTTGGGCTTTTTGTCATTCTAGGATAAAATAGACATGTCCCTGCATTCCAATGCAATGCTTTGAGTCTAATCTACGGGAATCAATGATTGGGTGGCAGTAGCTTGATGAATGTGATGCATCAAACCTATTCGGATTCGACAGCTTGCATCGGAATTCCCGTTCCCCCCGGGACTTTCTGGGTCGATCAGTAATGCAAGAGGCGGGAAGGGGCGAAATGATGATAAGTGATAAATGATAAAACTTGTGATCGCGATCGGGAAGAATGACGATCAGATGAGTTGTGTTTGAAGTTCAGTACTTTTGAAAAGAGTGATCGACACCTACGTAGTCAAATTGCATGCAAATGTATAGAAGCTATTAAGTTCAATGTTGCTTGGATCTCTTATGCAGTGTCTGCATACAAGATCGATCGGATGCAAGTCAACATGGCACACAGTACACAGCACTCAGCACCCAGCACCCAGCACCCAGCAAGGTTGGACATGTCTTGACAATTAAATGGTGCAGAGTGTCATGTAGGACGCCGATCCGGTGGAACGAAAGGGGCAGCGCAGCTGATTTGTCTCCACTTAGCCATTAGTGTGGCTGGAAGTTCATCATTTCTTGGCCTTCAACTGGTCGCGGAAAGGATAAGTGAGAAGCCGCGCCCCAGGAATGCCCCTAGAGGAAGCCCTGTGGGTCTAATTGATGTTGACATTGCACTGTGTTTGGCTCGATTCATCCAAATCGGAAATCACCCCTTCGATGTGATGCAGAGAGAGTCAGGGGCAGGACCCGACAGGGAGGAAAAGGAGATGATCAAACCCGACACGATGGGGTTTGGGTCTGGGACGATCGAACTGAGGTTTAATGTTCTTTGGGACTCCGTCTTCCGTACTTTGTACAGGTAATTTCGAGCGGGTCCAGGATTGAGGCTGTCAAGCTTAGGATTTTCTCCACTTATGGTTTCCGCGGATTTAGCGGGTGTCAAGTCCAATCACATTTAGCGAAGAAAAGACACCGAAGATCATTCTCAAAAACAGGGCGAACAAAGCAAATAGTTAGAACGGGGAAGACGGGGAGATGGGTTTGACACGTCAATAGCGCGGATCAATGGGTTCCAGAATATCGGGTGAATGCATGTTGGTACGGAGTACAACCGGAATACCAGGACATGGACAGTGCAAATCCACTTATTCCAGAAAGCCAGAAAGCTTCCATGCTTTTTGGTCCGATCGGCTTCTCTTCCGTGCCCTAGCTTGAAAATAAATAAATAAGAGTGGAAATTGATGCGCTATTATGAATTACTGGTCTGGACCAAGTCCGTTGAATCCCCAACGGTCGCCGCAATCCTGAGCAATTGACGTAAGATCTAGGTGAAACAAAGAAATAGGATAATAGCTAGGATCACCCCTGTACTGCAAGGCAGTTGACCACAATGCGGCGTTTTTTCCCGATCCCTGTTCCCTGCACGTTATATCTATGAATCAACTTGCTACAAACATAAAGAAATAAGTAACTTCCCAACCCTTTAAACCTTGAAGTGGTTCATGCAATTTGCTAAACCTTCGGGTGAACTAATGCATCGAGCCGAACTCTGGAGACGCGTTCAGGAACCCAGCCGAGGTAAATAAAACCCTGCTGGATCTCGTTGTATAAATTACTCATGAAATATAAATAAAAACCCACTTTAACTAATGGGGAGAACGGAACCCAGCCCCGGCCAAGTAGGCGCTAAATGATTCTGGAAGGAATCGACTTTGTTCTCCCGTTTCTAGCGTCATTCTAGTTACTGGAAACGGGGTCTTCCCGAGCTGATTCTCTGGTTCTCCGATGAGCTTTCTCGTTGCCGGGTCCACAACTACAAAAAAGAATTAAGGAAAAAAGGGAAGCTCGCTTTCTTCCTTCACCCCAAGCGTTACCGGTTTTCGACTACAGGATCCATCGTGCTCCCGATCGGGTCAGTCTACTGCAACGTAAATACCGTGAGGTCCATTATTTGGATCCATTTCTTCGTAGACCCACTGAGGATCATCGTCAATTCCCCTAAGGTCCAGGAATCCACGAATAGGGACCGGCCCTGAAAGAAGGTGGCTAGAAAAAGCGGCATTCACAGTGACTTGCGAGTTTGGGAAAGGAATTCCGTTGACCCCCGTGGAGCTTCAAAGTTTCGCCTGCCGTGTCTAGGGTGCTCGATCTCGTTACCGTAGATCTTCAGGCCCGGGAATAATGATAGAAGCCTTCTAGTTAACTAGCTAACTAACTAGGTGGACTTATCGATTTCACTATTCATACCCTATCTCTCGTAACCTAACCTAAGCAGTCCCTGATCTACGGAGTAGTTCTAATATCCGTCCCTGGCACATGGCTGAAACAGGAGCCCAGTGCTGAGTGAATTACGAATTGCGAATTACGTGCGAATCCTGTATCCATACTCCGTACGGAGAAAAAGGGAGGTGATAACATAGGCTCCAGTGTGGCGAACATGAGCTGACGCAAGTGATACCCTTAAAAAGATAGGGGTATGGGGGTGGAGCCGTCATTGTTTTCTGCAGTTCCCAATCCCAGAAATTTCTATTTTTCATGGAGAATTACGGGGCCACTTGTATCATCATACCGCGAAGTGGGCCACTTAACCCAGGTTCCCGGGAGACTAGAAAGGCTAGAAGGTGAAAAGAATGTTCATACGTAACCGAGACTGGGAGTGGGTTCAGAAGCTTCTGATTGTGGAAAAACCACGGCAATCCACGCGCTGCTCCGTACGGAGTACTGTAATGGAGTTTTCAGGTAGCGCGCGCCCCCGGGGACCCACCCCCTATGATGGATACTTGTCCTCCCAACAGATCGAGATCCTGTTGGAGAAGTGAGAACTGAAGACGTAAAAGGAGAACAGAGACAAACACGGTAAATTGCCCAAGAAAAAGAAATGTAACGGATTCCAAGGTTACGGTTGGTTCGATTGGCTTTGTTTGAATCGGGATCAAAGGGGGGAAGGAGATAGGACAAGCGATTGGTTCGGGGAGAGAACATGTGAAGGAAACATTTAGACACAGCAATAATCCGGAGCAACTAAAGATGATAGCGCGAAGGCGAAACCAAATGTCTGAACTTGATTACTCTCGTGTTGGCTAGGGGATATGACACCAGTTATATGACCTAGGCATCAGGTGTCCAGGCCCAGGACCCCTGGGAAGAGTTAGTAGTAAGTGAGTAAGTTGAATAACCCGTAGAGTCAAGTCAGAAATACAGTAGGATTCATCTTCGGATGGATCCGTTTCTGTACCTGCGGCTGCTTCCTTCTCCACTTATGCAAAGCCCGGAGATTCGGTTCCTAGCTTCCCCTGGGAATAAAGTGGAGAGCTTGGGAAAATCACCTGTACCTGCACGGTACTTTTGGACAGGGAGTAAGGTATATGATAAACAGAGTGGCTGGATGTATTCGATAGAAATTATGATAGATCAGGATTTTGGAAAAGCAGGTTAACTAGTAGACGGGGGAAGGAATAGTTCCCCGGGGGAAGGGACGGGAGAGCCGCTCTACAGGAATCGAGTTTATGATTTGCGTTAACTGTTTTAATTTGGGATTTTATTGGTTTTTTTTTGGTTTATTTCTCCCCTTTTCGTTTGGATTTTTATTTATTTTTAATCCAATTTTCATATTTCCATATTTCTTTTTTTTTTCTTTTCTTATTTTCCGTCCAATTTACTAATTTAATTCTCTTTTCTTTCATTTTCAAGAATTAAAAAATCAATTAAAAAAACACCCAAAAAAAACCAAACCCAATGATCATCCCTAATATCTTTTTATTTCTTATATATCTACAATCATTTCCCTTCCCTTCTCCTTCGATCTAATTCTTCCCGATAACATTTGAACTGGACATACTTGACGACCCAAAACAAAAACATCCCTACCTGTCCCTGTCCTCTCCCTTCTCTCCCTTGCGATACGTCGTCTTTGCTGGGGTTTTAACCGGATCTACCGGGCCACTTCCGCGGCACTCTCTCCTTGGATCTCCCTTGCCGGCTTATATCCCTTCTCTGCCCGTTTATCCTTGGTTCAGATCTCGATTTTTATGAACCTGATCCTGCAGCCACCCTCGCGCTTATCACTGGGAATCATTTTGGGAGGATACCTCGATTTTACGAATCTGGGCGTGGCAAGCCCATAAAAAGCAAACGACCTGTCGATACTTTCCTCAACCGCCTTTTTATTATTTATCGGGCCCGTGTCGTCACATTCCTGCCCTATAACCTGCTGGCACCCGCAGCGTCTTAGTGGTCATCTTTAAAAAGGATCCCCTCTCCGATCTCAATCTGCATACGCCTATCGCCGCTATCCTTGTCGAAGATCCGTTCCGTGTAATTTTCCTTTTTTGCCATTTTTGATTACTTCGGGGGGTGGATTGGGAGTTCGTTTGCTGGCGCTCGAATCCCCGGCCGAACAAAGAACTATATAAGAACCGTTCGAGGTCTTCGTTGGTAAGTTCTTCATCCAGCTCAATCCTCATCTTTTCAACGTTACCACATCATACAACCACCGCTTTCTCAACTTCTCTAATCATGATTGCCTCCGCAGACCTTAATATGATACTCCGAGATCTCTCTGCTTGCAATATGGGACGCGGCGCTTACGACACAACTGGAGTCAAGAAGCCTGGTGCTCCTCCACCACCACCTAAATAATCACTTTACATTCGATCCTGCTCGTTCAGTTTCTGGGATTATTCCTAGCGCACACCGCTAGGACTTCACGCTTCTATGTTGGAGTTGGCACTTTTTTTCGGTGAGTCAGACTGCACCTGGTTTTGGGCATCAACCAAACAACCACTAACTCTTGAGTCCAGACACTTGTAACACTATTGAATCTGCCTCTGTTATTCTTATTTTCGGTTATCCTCTACGTTTCGCCACCGGATTTGGGCGACCATTATACCCCTTTTAATTCCTGTCCTGCATCGCTTTCGGATTCCCCCAGCGTCGACGCTTTTTCTCTTGATTTTCGACTTTCTTCGTCCTCGCATGTGGGCCTTTTATTTTTTATCGGAACCCTGTCCTCTATTTCCGCACCCTCACCCTCGCTCTCTCTCCGATCTGACTTCCGGGGTTACCGTTTCTTGATCTCTCAAAAAGTTGTTATGTTGATTTTGGTTTTGTGATTTGATTCGGCGTTATGGTTAGACGGGATGGATGTTATTGTTGCATGGAATGCATGGGTTTATACCAGAAGGATCTAGACCTTCGACCCCACGGTCAAATAGCACGTTTTTGCTGATATTACATTTGAAATTTTTCACTTCATTTGCTCACTTCTATCTGTATCTGTATACACCTGCCGTGAACGTCATACCGCGCGCCTGAACGTAAGCGCCGATCGGTTTCTCTTCCCCGATCCTCGGTCTAGACCACTGTAGAATCCATGGTTCAAGTCCACAGATTTACAAACAATTGTCGTGTCTGGGCTTGTCGGGTGCGGGTAGAATCCGTTGAGCATCGGGCAGATTTGCTTGGGGACTGACGAGTCCAGGAACCGGTTTGGTTCTGGATGTGGGCCCTGTCAGATGCATTGGCCAAGGCACCCTGGTCAGGAACAAGGTTTGTACTCATGATGATCTAGAGCCTTCTGTTCTACACATTGCATCGGAGTTTGTGTTCCAGGTAATCGAACTGCCTTGGCAGCCAAAAGAAAACACCGTAGAATCCTTCCATTAAGCATATTCTCATATTTATCAGGATATTGGCGCCCAATTGAAATTTAGAGGATACCTACTTTTCAATGTTCACGAGATCTGCTGACGTAGTACTACAGGGCTGCTACCTTCTAGAAGTGACAAAAGTACCGCTTGTCCGCCTATTGTTTGTTGAAGTGCCAGTCTATATATATGGAAACTATAGTCAGAAATACAAGGAGCTTGTTTGATGATTTGAAATTTGCTATCTCATACCAAGATCACGCTGGTATGGATCCTTCTATGCACGTAGTCTTAGTCTCGGCCATTTCGTGCTCCAGGACTGAGACTGCATTAACCTACATCAATTTCCATGAAAACTTAATCCTCAGTCAGATTACCCTGCACACTGATCCTCGGGCTTTCCTGCGCATTGATCAGGCTTTGACATGCACCCTTTATGCATTCATATGCTAGAAGTCACGTGATGATATATCATGGAGTTCGCGCTAAGCCCAATACGGGAAGTGCATCATCATCGACCTCCGCCTAAGCAACTCAATCCTTAAGACCATCTCAGCGCTTCTGGTTGCAAAATTCCTCGGAGCTTTCACTACACCCCCCTCATTCTTCGCAATAAACCACAAATCTGCTATCTAGCTTCTGTCTCACGTATCAGACAGCTAGCTTCACACGTCTCAGCCGAATCGCCCGTTCAGCCTTCTGCCTGATTACCGATTGTTTGACAGGCGTCACTTCCTGCACGACGGCCTGACCGATCTTGTTCCTTTCACCTCCTTTTCACTACTCAATCCTCAACCATGTCCGAATCAGCGGGTGCAAATGCCCCCAAACCAAGCAGCAGCGTCAAGCTCGTGTTGCTGGGAGAGGCCGCTGTGGGAAAGGTATACTTCTCCTCGCCACGTTACACAGGTAACAATAACTAATCAGTGTTCTCCCTTGCAGTCTTCCCTCGTCCTTCGATTTGTCAATAATGATTTCCAAGAGAACAAGGAGCCAACGATCGGCGGTAAGACAGTCCTCTTCCGTTATTCCCTCCCCCTTCCAACGAGCCGCTGGATATGCATGGAGACGATACTTGATTCTCCCTCGTCATACACCATCTCTGTCGCAATGGGCCTCACATGGTGTTACACCTGTGGCGATCCATTCAAATGAGCCATCAACTTAATCCTATCAAGCAGTTGGTCCTAAATAGATATGCTAACATCATCATGCAGCTGCCTTCCTTACACAGAAATGCACTCTCCCCTCGCGCACAATTAAGTTTGAGATCTGGGATACCGCAGGCCAGGAACGCTTCGCGTCGCTCGCCCCAATGTACTACCGCAACGCTCAAGCCGCTCTCGTGGTCTACGATGTTACCAAGCCCTCTTCGCTAACCAAGGCAAAACACTGGGTGGCCGAGCTCCAGCGCCAGGCTAGCCCCGGGATTGTCATCGCCCTTGTCGGTAATAAGCTGGACTTGACCAACGACGGCGGCGATGCCTCAGCTGCTCTCGATGCCGAGTCTGAATCGGCTGCCCCTGGGGATGAGGCAGCTGACGAGGAAGGTGAGCAGGATACAACTCCTGGTGACGCCCGGAAAGTGTCGACCCGCGAAGCGACCGGTTATGCCGAAGAGGAGGGATTGCTGTTCTTCGAGACCAGTGCGAAGACCGGAACTAATGTGGTGGATGTGTTCACGGCTATTGCCAATGCTATCCCAGAAAGTAGCTTGAAGACCGGCCGTGGTGCAGCCGGAGCTGGCCAGACTACGCTAGGTGCCCGTTCTGGGGAGGATTCTCGAGTTAATCTGGGTGACCGAAATGCTGCGACAGCCAAAGAGGGCTGTGCTTGTTGATCTGAAATCTCTTGTGCCCGGTTCTTTGTCCTTTTTTCTCTTCTTCTTTCCCAACATCCCCCCGCAATTTCCAGGCGTTTTCATACCTATTCAATTGTTCTCGCTTCGTTATTTAAGTTGCATTTGAGTTGTACCCACTCCCAAATGTCTTCATTGCACATTCTGTGGTATATCATCTTGTTTTTTTGGTCTAAATCAATGATACAGTATCTTCTAGAAAGTATAGTATCTGGGGCTTGAAACCATCTGTAAACTAGTGAGCAAAAGTAGTAAAAGTCTGGAACGTTAGAATCCGACCGTAACTAAATTTCAACCAATCAGAAGGAGCCGAGGGCAGGGTAGTCACGGGACCACCAATCCCCTAACAAGAAAATACGCTAGTCCCAATTTGGTCAAAGTGCACCCTAAGCGAAAGTGACGATCCCACAGCAAATTCCCATTTGGCTTCTTGATGCGAGAACACCTCCCCTCCGCCGACATCTCAACCAGCACTTCCCGCAGCACCCCGTTGCTCACCATGGCTGCCGTCAACAAGATTGCCCTCAACTCGCCGTCCCGGCAAAACCCCTCCGAGCTGGAGACCGCGATCGCCGGTGCTCTGTTCGACCTCGAGAGCAACACACAGGACCTGAAGGCCACCCTTCGCCCCCTGCAGTTCGTCTCTGCCCGTGAGGTAAGAATTGCGCCTTCGCCTACCCGAAATCAATCTTGGAATCGTGTCGACGGAATTTTTTTGTGCGGTTTTGTGTGATCGGAGCAAGAGTCGGAAATTTAAAGGTTATCATGGACCATTGTCGAATCGCCTCAATTCCTTGCCGGACACTCCAACAAGGCAATATCAACATCCAAGGAAGGCATACACAATCATGGAAACACTCTACACGCAACAACCCACAAAATTCCTTCGATACCGTTTCTGGGGTTGAAATCTGGATTTTGATGTTTTTTTTTGTGCGCCCGCCGCACGTTGGAATTGCCCATTCTAACATGATTCATCATCACAGGTCGAGGTCGGCCACGGCAAGAAGGCTATCGTTGTCTTCGTCCCCGTCCCTCTCCTCCAGGGCTTCCACAAGATCCAGCAGCGGTAAGATTCGACACCCAGCATTTACACCAATCAACCACACAACGAACCAAATACTAACGAATTGCGCCAACAGCCTCACCCGCGAGCTGGAGAAGAAGTTCTCTGACCGCCATGTCCTCTTCGTGGCTCAGCGCCGCATCCTGCCCCGCCCCAAGCGCTCCGTCAACTCGCGCTCCACCCAGACCCAGAAGCGCCCCCGTTCCCGCACTCTGACCGCCGTCCACGACTCCATCCTCACTGACCTCGTCTACCCCGTCGAGATCGTCGGCAAGCGCATCCGCACCAAGGAGGACGGCAGCAAGACCCTGAAGGTTATCCTGGACGAGAAGGAGAAGGGTGGTGTTGACCACCGTCTCGACGCTTACGGCGAGGTCTACCGTCGTTTGACCGGCCGCAACGTTGTGTTCGAGTTCCCCCAGAGCGGCGCTGAGTACTAAGCTTGAACTACTGTTATCAGTTTAAAGCTTTGTTTCTGTGTTGATTTGAAGGAACGGAGGGAAAGGACAGGAAATGATGTCGGTGTATTGGGTTACTTGTTTCTAGGTCTTGAAACTCAACTAGATCCAAGAGCATGAAGGGTGAAAAGACCAAAAAATGCATTCACGGGTTTTTCTTTGATTTATGTGTGCCCTTTCCATTGAACTTGGTGCATGGTTTGTCCTCCGATTCTTCTAAGAGCGAGGCGACGGAGCTGAGGTTTTTTTTCCATCCGGACACCGTGTTTCTTCTTTAATGAGGATGGGATGGGATATGTGATAACTATTCCAATTGAACAATTCCGACTTTCAATTATGCGTAGGACGGACACTCGCGATACTACTTATCCTTCCTGGATTCTGGAAGCTGGAACCTATGCCCTCGTACTGGATACCGTTCAAGATCAGTAGCCTCCCATTCTCCAGAGAAACTATATCTGCAACAAAATGAATTTGGTATGTATCGAACTATAATTGGGGTATGAACAAAAGCATGTGAACAATGAAGAAATCATCTACAACGAAGCCTGAATCCTCCCAACCCCCAAAACCATCCAGTAAGCCAATTCTCTCGCAACAAGATCATCAGGCTTAGAAGCCTTTCCAACATTCTGCTGCTCAAGCTGTGCCTCCGCATCCCACTCCATATGCACGAAGACCGGAATCTCCAATACATCCTCATCCTCCTTCAAAACAGATTCCGCCTTCTCTTCTCCGTCATCATCTGTACCGGTGTTGTTATCAGCTTCAGTGCCAGGCAACGTCCCCGGAATAACCTCCAACACAACCGTCGTCCAATTGCGACCTTTATCCCACACTTTCCCGGCTTCGGGAACCTTTTCTGAGGCTCGGAGACCCGTGAATCGTGAATCTCCCGTGATAGGAGCCGATGCACCTTGCAACGCCTCATCCCAGACATCACTATTTGCACCGATATCGAACTGAGGGCTTAGGACTGTGACTCTACTAGCAACTCGACCTGGAGTTACAGACGGTGTGGCGAGGGTAATGCGAACGGGATCGAACATGTGGTTCTTCAGCGTGAGAAGAATATGCACAGGCCTCAGCGGAGGTAAGGCATTAAGGTCCGGCGTCGAAGTGACAGTACCCGAAGTAAAGGATGACGGAGCGGTCAGAGCGAGAGGACGCAAAGTAGGCAGCGGGATATAGCTGAGAGCGATCAGACGAATACGGAAGCGAGTAGACTGCGGCTTTGTCTCTGGTTTGACAAGGATATGCTTGCAGGATTTGCAGCGCTTTGCGCGTTTCGTGCGAAGGAGGACGGGTAGGGGGAGGAGCTCATCGATGAAGCGGACATCGGGTGATTGCTGTGCGCGCTGATCGAGAGATGCGACGCTATCCCAGCCGCCGTCTGGGGAAGCGAGGCGCTCGATTATGGATGCTTCTTCGCCTTCGGGGGTAATTCGGAGACCTTCGCTTGCGGTGAGGGCTTCGCGCATGACTGGGGGCTTTGATTTGGATTTCTTGTTACCGCCGTAGAGTCCGCTTAGACGTGATGAGGATGCGTAGAGGGACATGAGGCGGTTCAGGGCACCAGGTGAGGAGAATCCGAAGTCGGAACCTAGGGGATCGCTTGGCGAGGTTGATGTTTCGGAGATCTGGTTGCGGTAGAAGGATTTCAATGCCGCGAAACGGGCATCTGTGTTGGCAGGAGCCACCTCCGAGGACTCTTCTTTTGTGGGCTCTTCGATGTTGGCATTGTCGTTGCTGGGGGCGCTGGGTTCGCCATCGGCGGAGATCAGGGTTGACAGAGGAGACTTGAGATCCCCGAATGCACGAGAGCCTTGTCTTGATCGGGCATCATAGGCAGGCGACGCGGTAGAATCGGTCATCTTTTGCAGCTGGCTACGGATGTTGGTCGGTTTGTCGAACTTGATGCCGATATCAAGCGTCGTCCACATACAGTAGCCACAAGACAATACCCATGGTCCTTGTTGACTTCCATTTCCCGCGACATTTTCAATGGTACTCACAGCTAGCGGGGCTGTACAGACGGGGCAATTGAAGCAGTTACGTCCACATCTAGTTCGGGATTAGCAGGATTCTTTCGAAGAAGACTATTTGACATACCGGTTTCCATCACTTTTCACCATGCTGCTAGGTGTCTCGAATAGACAATTTGGACAATACCAGCTCACAATTTCCTCGGTTATGCAGCGGGGGCACTTGATTTGATGACAATCCTCACAGTATAGAAGCTGCTCAGGTGGATGCAGCGAGAAGTTGGACCGGGGAGATCTAGGATCAAATGTCTGTTCTTCATCCTCATCTTGTTCCTCTTGGTCATCTTCCTGCTTTGTTGTCACGTCTTCGCCTGTGGCTTCTGTTCGTTCTGGGGTTGGTTTCCGCGGTGATTCTCTGGACCTTCGCTTCCTGGCGGGGTCGGGGGTAGAAATTTCGGCGCAAGGGCACGAAACATAGCTGTATGGAAATGGACGGGACATCCTGTGTTGGTGGGCGATTTATTGAGATGGGTTTGGGATCAAGGACGTTGGTCAAGTCAATTCATGCTTCGTGGCGGGTCAAGTTAATATGCAGATGCAGAGAGCAACTCGTAGTGTAAGGCTTCAGTGATCCCGTGTTGACTATCGTATCAATTGTTAGCAAGCGCTTCTCGATCGCGAACTTCGTTTTGACCACCACGAACCCCCGATGGGGTAGGGAGTTAACTATCACGAAGACGTACCAGAATATGGCATGAGATGTATTTTTGTGCGCTAATTTGCTGTACAGTATTTCCAGATCAACAACAAGGCTCCACGCCGGATCATGCACGCGGAATGGTAATGCAATTGCGGGCGCAAGAAACACGAGCGCGGAGATTGAGCTGCGGAGGTCAACAATCGACGTCAGAACAAAATTCGGGCCTCATTTGTACCTTCAACTCAACCTCCACTCCTCCACCTCGCCCCCCAAAATGATCTAAAATCGAACTCATACTGTCCAATTACGAACTAAAAAGCATACACAATTTGTCTACGATGTTTTCTCTTCACACCATCCGCTCCGGTCTTCCGCGAAGATGTCTCGCCGCAAGCTCCGTGCGGACGTACGCTAACCAGACTCCCGGTAATCCCATGCTGGAGATATTCAATCGCAAAACAAAGCACCTACAGAAGGACCGAGCTGCTCGAAATGTCGAGGAGAGTCGGAAAGTCGACTACCTGAAAGATGAAGTGGCAAGGCGGTTATGCGAACGGTTGTTGGTAAGGAAGCTCGCGGAACAAGGACGGGCATGGGAGGCTGACTGTGGTCTCGGTATAGGACATTAAACGCGACTTTCCCAATGTGCTTGATCTCGGCGCAAATAGCTGCAACATTGCTAGAGCGCTGACGACTCCGGACCTCGATATGGCCTCGCCGGAGGGCGTCTCGACACCATCGTTGACGCAGAAGATCCCTAATCTTACATGCGTGGAGACATCGCGGGCTTTGCTACACCGAGATGAGGAGCTTCCTTTCAATAAAGAACTCAATATCACTCGCGACGTGATTCCGGATCTGGAGTCATTGCCCTACCCGCCTAACTCGTTTGATGCTGTGCTCTCGTCACTGTCGATGCATTGGATCAATGATTTGCCGGGGTTGCTTAACCAAGTCAACACAATCCTCAAGCCGGATTGTCCTTTCATTGGTGCTATGTTTGGTGGTGATACGCTGTTCGAGCTCCGAGGGTCGATGCAGCTGGCTGATCTGGAACGGCGCGGCGGAGTCAGTCCACATGTTTCGCCGCTCGCGGATGTCAAGGATGTGGGAAGTCTGCTTACTCGCGCTGGGTTCAAAATGCTCACGGTCGACGTGGAAGATATCGTGGTTGAGTTCCCGGATACATTCGCTCTCATGCAAGATCTACAGGCTATGGGTGAAAGCAATGCTATCATGCACCGGGAGGCTGGTCCTTTGTCTCGCGATGTCTTGCTGGCCAACGAGGCCATCTACCGGACTCTGCATATGGAGGACGATGCACCCGGTATCCCTGCGACATTCCGGATGATTTACATGATCGGTTGGAAGGAGGGCGAGAACCAGCCGCAGCCATTGCAGCGCGGTAGTGGTGATGTCAATCTCAAGGATATCTTGGGCGGAGGTGATTTCTCAAGACCTTGAGATATTCCAAAATGTATAGTACAAGGATTTGAGATTGGATGGAAGTCCAACATAATGTTTCAGTATATCAATGTAAAACAGTCACGCTGAAAGCAAAACGATTTTCGACCTGAAAAGGGAAATTTGTATGAAATGCAATCAAGCCTCTGCCATAAAACAGCAAACCCGGTTCGAGATTATTTTGACTTAAACCGTCCGGCGGTCCGTCATGACCCGAACAATTGATCCAGTCCCTGTCAACTCCACCAGCTTCTCATGCCAATTGAGCAAAACACTCATCTGCTGACCACCACCACCTTCACCAACGTTCCGGGCCTGAATCTGCGAGAAGCCTGTGGCCTGCGGCGAAACATTCTTAGATCCACCGCTAGAAGCAGACGAAGACATCCCCTTGTATCTATTTCATATAAGCATATATCCACGGAGCGTTGAGATTCAAGCTCAAGCTCGGAAGTCCAGGGTTGACCTACAGGTACTTCATCAAACAATCTGCCCGCTCGGCTCCACCATCTGAAGCACAGACACCCTCCAGAACACGAGTCATCTCCGCCTGCCGAATACCCTGCAGTACTTCAATCACGGTGGCCATGTGCACCTCCTTGGCGCGGTCATCACCGCCGAGCGGTGCAGTGTCCAGAACGTGGCGGAGTGCGCCCTCGGTGTCGCCGCCGCGCAGCAGCTGGCGCACCTGACTTGCAACGTTTGCGGCATCACTAGATGTTTCAGGTTGGGGGAGCGTGGCAGGGAGGAGGGTTTCCATAGGGAAGTTAGCCGACGACTCGGGGTCGAGCTTGTCGATGTTGATAGTGCGGTAGTTGATTTGCGACATGGTGGCGGAGGTTCAGTGGTGTTTTTTCTCGTATCTCGATAATTTCAGGGGTTTCGGGGGTGCTTGAGGGGCAATTGAGCTTTGTTGTGTATGAATCCCAATTCGGGGGATAGGAGATGACGTGAAGCGTTAGTAGGCACGGGCGGTGGAGAGCGGGGGATTTGGGGATTTAGGGCGGACCGGACGGTATTGCCAGGCGGTAACAACACAGTCTGCACCGGCAAATAGCGGCCTGCCGGTGAAAGTTCAATTTTAGTAACCGCCTTTCTCACCGTCTATAGTATATAAGCCAGTATACCCGTGTACGCACCCCCATGGCTTTGGTCTATATTCGACCTATATATATGCGTGGTAGCCTACAATATGCTATTTACAGGCTCTTCCATTCAGCTAATATGTACATTTATGGGGAGATTGGGTGTGAAATGCTGACGCTTGACTCAAGAGGTCAAACCTTATACTACTTAGGCACACCGTGGACTTTCGACGCACGTTCGAAACCTCCACCCGACTTTTCCGTTTCCTCGTTCTACTTCAAGCTATCTTTTCTTATAATTTTGGAGAGTGATTCGACTATTTAACCAATACGGTAGGAAACAATACGGTAGGAAAGAGGATAGGAGATATGGTGGGAGACAGGGTAGGTAAATGTGGTAGGAAGATAGTATAAAATTGTTGTTCTAGAAGTTGCGCATAATGTGCGGCAGAAAACCTTTAGTTAAAGATTTACTCAGGCTCGTTGGATTAAAGTCATTATTTGAAGATGAAACTCATCAATCTCATTCAGCGTTGGACATAAACACATATGGAAAGTGGAGAACGGGAGGAACCAGGGTCCAAAGGCATATCTACAATGTACGTAAAATTGCGGGTCTTTTTATCTCTTGACTCATTCTGTGCTTTATAACTGAATATTGTCTTGTCTGATCTTGTCTTTATGAAACTGAGCAATCTCCATTCTTATTCTCCTCAATGGCATTGAACATCCCAACCTCGCCTATACCAGGCAGAGATCTTCAATTGGTCCTAGATTCACACGGCTTAGAATTCACTCCAGATGGCCAATTGATTCGCTGGTCTGCTTCAAATAAGAATCATCCGCGAAACTGGACGTTATCACGGAAGATCTATGATAGTCACATGGTTATCTCTCTAGATCTATTCACGTACGTTCTTGATCCAAAATCAACCCTCCAATATCAGAACTGATCACTTCTGTCTTAGAACGTGTATAAGTACAGCCGGTGTAGGTAATACCTCAAGTGGTATGAGGTAAAAGCTAGATTTGACAGAGCACTGCTGCTAATCATGCGCAACAAGAATTCGGAATTGGACATACATTTTCCATCTTCATCTTTGTTTCTCTGTCAGTATTTTCCAATATTTATCAATCCTTTCTAATTCCCTTTTGCAGATATATGATTGGCCAAGCTATCGGGGGAATCATCTTCCCATCTTACTCCGAAGCCTTTGGTCAGAAGAAGCTCTATATCATCTGCACTGCGCTATATAGCACCTTCTGCATCATTGTGGGCTTGGCTCCCTCTGTAACAGCCGTTGCCATCAGCCGTCTACTATCGGGATTCTTATCAGCAATTCCAACGATCGTTGTGGCAGGCAGCATCGAGGACATATTCAATTCCAAGGACCGTGTTTGGCTCATCTTCTTATGGGCGATGATTACCAATATGGGTCTGGCCATGGGTCCTATCATGAGTACTTATATTACTGCACATCTGGGCTGGTGAGTTTCGCTATCGAGGTAAGCTGCACTCACTGACTTTGCGTTTATCTAGGCATTGGGTTTTCTACATCGCTGCAATCGTCATGGCCATTCTTACTGTATTTCTATTCGGGATTCGAGAGTCACGGCCTTCGCTTTTTCTTGTTAGGGAAGTAGCCAAGGTGCGTGACGAGTGTGGTATCTCTACCCTAACCGCGTTGAACCCAGATCATACGCCTGATCTCAAGACGTGGGCTCGTCTTGCGCTGTTTCGTCCTATCGAGCTTTTCTTCACGGAACCTATTGTCTGCATGGTCGCGACTATAAGTGCCGTCGCCTTTGCGTTGATCTATATGTTCACCGAGGCTTTGCCGCCGGTATATCAATCGATGGGGTTCTCAGATACATCCTCTTCCCTGCCATTCCTGGCAATTATCGTCGGACTGATCTCGGGGCTTTTCACACGGATTCAAGATCACCGGATGATTTCAAAGTGTGAGCAAGAGGGTCTGCCATTGGAGCCTGAGTACAAGCTTCTTGGGCTCTCGATTGGCGCTCCTATGCTTGCGGGAGGGCTTTGGTGGTTTGCCTGGTCTATTCCTCCTCTTGTTGATGAAGTGCATTGGATTGTGTCTACGGCTTCTCTTGTACTGATCGGATATGCTCTCAATGAGTTCGATGCCGTGCTGGCAGGGTATCTGGAGGATAGTTACTTGAGCTTTGCAGCGAGTGGGTTTGCGGCTTTGTCGCTTGTTCGGTCCTTGATGTCAGCTGCGTTACCCTTGTTTGCGACGCAGATGTTTGGTGGTCTTGGAGCAAATGTTGCGGCTTCCATTCTGGCCGCAGTCGCTACTGTATTTTGCATTGTGCCTCCGCTGTTCAGTCGATATGGTAAGAAGATTCGGGCGAGGAGTAAGTTTGCTCGGTATAGTCTACAGGTGTACGAAGAAAATGGCGTTGATAAGAACGGCTATTGAAGGATTCATTACCCCAACTTTGTTGGAGTTCTTGAAGAATATGAAAAGGCTGGACTATCTCGAGAGATATCTTTACAGATAGTGGCAGCCAATAAGTAGCCATTCAAATATACCGGGCCGAGGATGTAGTAGCCAAGAATGTTGTAGCTCAATAATACCAAAGCGAACTCTTCATATGACTTCTACATCCATCAATTCGATACGGAAACAATTTCCTACAACTCTCCATCTTGTCCGTGGTGGTTCTTCCAAGGCCCGGCAAGCTCTGCCGCCGCGGCCTCGGCACTCTCGGTCCATGCCTGCATAGTCTCTTGATCCACATCATCCAAGAAGGACAGACCAGGCATAGCACGCCCTCCGCACGCGCGCTCCAGTGCCAAGAAAGCAAAATGACCACCGATAACTGGTCTGGCAAAGAAATTCGGCCCAGGGAAGTTGCCATCACCCTCTGTCTGGTGAAGGTCAGTGAAGGGCCGATCAGTAACAGTCTCATTGACCCAGCGCGCAACAGATTCAAGAATTTCCGAGCGGACGGGCTTGGAGGCCACCGCCATTGAGAAGAACTCCCAGTCAGTTTTGGTGTACAGGTGTCGACTGTCAAGGGGTAGTCCGTATTTCTGGCGCACGTAGTGGTACCACACTGACTGCTTTTGGTAGATGTGACGAGGGACGAAGCCAAGGGACTCGCTGGTGGCATTTGTTCCATCTAGATGGAAGCAGAGCTGGGCATCTGCGTACAGGTTATAGATCGTGGTCCAAGAACCATACCAGTCATAAGCGAGCTTGGCATGCGAGCCATCACGAGACATGCCAAGTTTCTCCCATTTGGTAATGTATTTTTTGGCGATGTCCTGAATAATGTCAGTTCTCGTGTCCTGTGAATTTCAGAAGCCGATACTTACCTTGAAATATGAGGCATCATCCTTATTTCCAGTCAACTCGGAAAGTTTGCTCATGGCGTTGATGCCAACAATACCCTTCAATGCCAAATTTGTCTGCAGTGCCAGCCAACCCGCAAAATCATCAGTCGAAACTATATCTGTTAGTTCTAGTCGACAATAGGACGGACCAGATAATTGAACATACGTTGGTTGGCAGGTTCCAGAGAGAATTCCACCAAGTAACCGGTCCATTGTTTCCAAAGACGGTAACTTCGCTTGACCCATTTCTCAGCAAGTTTCTTGCCCTCAATGCCACCGCCCCATTTACCGTCCTGGTGTGCGATGCCAGAAAGCACCTGTAGTTCGCTAAGAGGGAAGGTGCTGGCGTCCTCGCTAGAATATGCTGAAGGTGTGGAGCCTTGCGTGGACCAGATGGAAGCAGCTTCAGAAGATTCTTCATACTGGAGTGAGTTTGCAATTGCCAGACCCATGATCAAAATGTTACCACACTCTTCCACAGGCATATACTCATCCTTGCCATCGGGATGGCCAGTAGCATTAGGGAAATGGGTACCTAAATCATGCATAGCATAGGTATTAGGGTATTGCCCACTCAACATATGCTCAATCAATGGCTCAAGAAGATACGCCAACCAGCGCGGGTTGGTGTACAAGAAAAATGGGAAAGCCGGGAATATAACATCAATTGTTTGGAAGTTTCCATTGGATGAGATCTCCTTTAGGAATAAAAGAGGATTCTCTGGGGTTCCGGAGAAGGTTGTAGCGCCCATGACTTGCCGCGCACTGAGGGCGACAATATCAACATAGTCATCGGCACCAGAAAGATATGCATCTTCGGCCACCTGCTCGGAGTAATTGGCTGCTAGAGAGGCGGCTGTGGCGTGATCATTGTAGTGGAACGTGAGTAGCTCCTCCGTAGTAGGATACCAAGATTCCCAAAGAGGCCGCATCAGAGTGAGCCCGCGAGCCGAGGCATATTGCACAACGGGATTTTGAATAAGAGCAATAGTAAACGTGACGCTATCAGATGTCTTCTTAGATGACCGACTGAGATTGAAGGATTTGGAAAAGGCAAAAACAGGCGAGCGATCCTGAATGACACGGAAGTCCTTATCGTTCACATTGCCTAGTATTCCGGTGCTGGCAAATCCCTGCCTCACCTTTCCTGCCTCTCCGGACTCATATTTTGTATTCTGTGATAATGTTAAACCAAATGATATCAAGTTCAAGGTGTTCCAAAATCTTACAGTAGGCCCGGTGAAGTGAAGTGTGCCCCATTCTGCCCGATCACGAATCTCCGATAGGAGAAGTTCGTTCTCTCTCCGGATTTGCCATCGCTGCAGGCCTGGCTTCTCCTTGCTTTCGATACCCACGGTGTCCCATTGCCAGCTAAGTTTGGACCCATTGTCTCCACTCACCCATCGCCCATCAATGTCCATATAGACATTAACCTCTACTTCACCCTGTACATCTATTGTGACGTAGGAAGCCGGAATTGACTGTCGCAAAGTCGATGTCGGCGTGATGGGAGATAGGAACGAGACCGTGATTTCGAGAGGTGTGGAAGTTTTGGTGTCGATGCGATAGGTAAAGTTGGTGGTGGAGGCATCATAGTTGTTTCCTAAATACTCCGGATATTGTACTTTGTACCTGCATTATTTCAAGTTAAAACACAAATCGCCAGTCAAGCCTCAATGTTTTGTGTATTCTTACCCTGCATTTGTACCCAAGGAATCCTGGGGCTTGCCCACCAGGGGATAAACCGAGCCCTGACTCGGAACATGGGCCAGCAAAGAGAGCCCAACTTCCTGTCCAGTATAGAACATAGGCCATTTGGCCCAAGGTGCTTCACGCGCATTTCCCAGCCAAGTACTAAGGTAAGGGTTGCGCACAATTAGCGGCAGCACTGGCGGTGTAAGGCTCGATGCTGTCGTCACAGCAGCCTGGCAGACGACCAGAACGGCAAGTGACAGCTGCATGGTTTACTGTTTAAGGAATGACAAGATTGCAAGACAAACCAGGGTCATCAGGGGATAATGGATGTTTGACAGAGCAGAAACCAGGGGGGGAATGTAAAATGCGGGGAAATCTTGGTAAGGTCACAGGTGATCGACTCCGAGCACGGATCGGGGGTAGTTGTTACCTGAACAAGGAATACCCAGGTACAAAGTAGTATCAACCTTGGAAGCAACTGACAGGGTTTGTTCAGACGGATACATCTATATATCATATAGTCTAGCTGATGTGCATAGTAGTTAAGTCTGATTTCTCTGAATTCTCTCCGATGATGTCATGCGGAGACAAAGATACTTGGGATGCAACGGTATAATTCTGCCTCTATGTATGCCTACTTAGATACTTGCTTCCTATATCATACATGTTTTTATTTACGTTCTTTTCATTTGGTTTTCTTCATTCAAAATTAAACAAAAAATTCAAATACATAATTGGACCTTTTACACCGTATACCTATCTCCATAGAAGTCACCCATTTTACTTGGAGGTATATGTATACTGCCTAGACAAATCTACAGGTAGCTATCTGATATGAACATATGAACTTAAATAATCGAGAAATATGCATACGGAGTACCTACTGGTCCACGTGTACATTGAAGTGGTTAAGGGCTGTCGCGTGTTTGGCGCGACGCTGCGCTAGATTAGATGCTAAATTAGATGGTGTTTTAGATCACGCGAGATTCTATATTAGTTTAGGTCCGGGAGTAATTTACCTTCGAATTGCATAGACTCATGATTTAATCGAGGCTAGGAACAACTCCAAGAACATACCAAAGAATTGATCAAGGCTTTTAGTCAACTGGTTCGAGTCTCGACGCGTTAACCGTGTCAGGTGGATCCCGTCCGTGCTCTATACAAGCTAGTGTATCGAAGACTTATACGCGATTGACGCGCCCGTTTTTTGCTCTTTCAAACTCTCCAACATTGGAATATCTCTTTTCCAAAGCTTGACTTTTAGTTTCTTTTTCTGTTTCATTCCTATCGGGTGTTGTTCCTTGTAACGCCACCACGCACGCGAGCCCACTTCCCCGCTACGGTCATCTTTCTTTGACCTTCCTACGCCTCTCCAACCCCTGCTAGCTCCAACTTCAGACAAAATGCAGTCCACATCAATTCAATTCAGTCCGATTAAGGATGGACGCCGTATCCTTGGTGAAAAAGACACCAACGCGTGTTTGTCGCCAGCCCGCGAGAACAAACAGGCCCTCCCAGTCACCGGAACACCGGTCAAACGGGCCCTCTTCTCGACAGTCTCACCCAAGAAGCTTCTCCCCTCGCCAGTGTTTGCAGGCCAAAAACGGACAAGAAACCAGGTGGATGAGACCGACATGGACAGATCGGTGCAGACGCGGGGCTGTTCGGTTGAAGGCTCCCCAATCAAAAATGTCACTCAGGTAAGCTCGCATATGCAATGGAGGTCTGGTACAAGACAAAGAAACCATTGGCTGATATAATCGGCACATTACAGCACAATCAAGCACAAGAGAAGCAGGAAACCCGCGTCGCCACGCCCACACGCTCCGAGCGCGACCAGAATGAACATATGGATACACAAAACTCGTCTACCGCGTTGGACCAACAAAAGACACGAACAATTCCCGATGACCCGGACGCGCGTAAAATGTTTATTCAAGAAGTAAGCAGGGCTTGCAAACCTTCATTTGATCCCATTTACTAACAAACCTAAAGAAAGCGGCTCTTCTCCGAAACACCCTCCAAACCGCCATGCGCAATGTGACCGACCACCAAATCGACCGAAGAGTCTCCAGTCTAGAAGAGCACAGTCGGAAATGTCCACGAATCTCCCTGGCCACCTTCTCTTCACCACTGCCTCCCCTGTCTTTCCGCAATACCACCACGCCCAAATTCACAACTCCCCGCATTGGTTCCATGCCTGATATGAGCTCCACACCTTGTCACCAAACACCTGATCTTCCCCGTCGGCGGTCTCCGCTAGCCAATGCTGCAGAACGCGTCAAGGCCTCGCAGCGAACCCCACCTCGCACGCTAGGATCCCCCATGCAACTGAGTAGCCCCCCGGCTACGGTAATTCGCCACAATCGCACCCGTAATCTGGAGGAAGTTGGAGATGCAACGCGGGACGGCCTATCACCGTCTCAAAGAGGCGACGCAGTGGATGGGCTACTCAAACTGATGAACACGGCAAATCGACGTGCCAGCACTGATGCATGGAGTGGGTGATGTCACGCTGTGGAACGAGGCTCCTGTTTATAATAAGCCCTCGGTAGATCTTCGCGGACCAGCAAACAGGGTTCTTGTGACACGGGGGCCGTCATTTGATGACGATCATTGTAATGAATGAAACAGGGCTTGTTTTTGTCCCTCTTCTGGCTTGAGGGACGATGTAATTTTGGGCAACGCGAGGCGTCTAGCATAGTCATTCTATCCAATCAATGATACCATTTTTTTCCTATGATCGTGACAAATTCTTGCGGCATTTAGAAGGTCAAAGGGCAATGCGTACACGGACCTCGTCCTTCCCACAAGAGTAAGAGTCATTCATTGTATACATATGTCTACATGTACATCACCATGTCACGATCTATGATACCGGATAAGACATTCCATCCTAATATCAAATCGTAAAATAAATCGTTCCAAGGTTCCATGACAAAGGGGGGCTAGATAATGCATGTTTCAAACGCTAAACGCCGTTATGAAGATTTGGAACTCCCGACGCCACCGGCCCGTAGCGAGACACCAACATCCAAGAGGCGCCAAGGCTTACTGTCACTTTGAAGAATATGGCCGATCTCGAGCGATCGTTGGTGTAAGCATCAGGGGAGCGGACGCCTCCGATACCGTTGTGTGATACAAGTTTATAGATCGACGGTTACACAACTTCGGGGAATATTTCCAACAGCCTGGGAACCAATGATGACAAGAGCACAGTTACGTGGCTTCTAGGATTAAGTACTTGGAACTTCTGTCAAACTTGCAGATTGCTTATTTCCTGAATAGGCTTGTTACTTCTATTCGGGTCATTGAATTCTGCCAACTGGTCCGGACTGTTGCCCCGATATGTCCAGAATTTCGTATTAACCGATTAGATCTTAGTACAACACCATGTTGATCCTGCGTGGCGAAGTATGCTTCCTAAAAGAACAGCCCTTGGCTTCTGCCACCATGACGCGAGCCGTGCACCCGTTCAAGCGTTATGGTGGGTGGGCAGAAAGATGCCTGACTGTATATAGATGTTAGGAATGAACTTGTTCCCCATCCTTTTTCTGTTTCTGTTTCTCTCTTTCCGAATTATATGCAAGGAAGTAAATTATGTTTGATTTATTACCTTCCAAAGACAAATCACTCTACCAGTGCTTTTTCTTTATCTTCATCACACGATGATTTACAACCAAGCCTGCGAGCACTGTCGGCAAAAGGTAACATTCCAGTTCATTTATCCGTACCGGAGAGCTTTCTAATTTACATGTAGTTGCGACGAGGTCTCGTCAATGTCTATACTTCCAACCCTATCAGGGAGAGGAAGATCAAACGTCGGGCGTCAACTAGCAGCATGCCCTCCAGTACATTTCAGTGCCAGCATCCTTGGCTGAACGAAAGAATGCTAGGAGCATTTGATAAGCCTTTGTCCGATATATTCCAGGTCCAACCGCAACAACCAATCTCCAATCCCCTTTCAACCGATATCTCCTCGAGTGCATTCCAACCATCTCCCGATGAGGCTTTTGGCGAGATGTTGCAAACTCTCGAAACCGAGAAACCAAATGAGAATAGGCCTGGCATGTTCAATGGTCCTCTTTGCGAATCTGATATTCTCTCATTTGAGGCTAGAGCACTGCTCCAGTGCGCTGAGCTCAATCGTTCCAATGCGATTGAAGATTGGTGGGAATGTCCGCCTTCTTCTGTCCCTACTTATGAGTTCTTGCCTTCTCCTTTTCCTGCTCCCCCTCTACCGTCTCCTGTGAATACGGATCACGGTTTCCCTTACAACCCTGCTTTGGATGATTTCCCTCGTTTCCATGATCCGTTGCTATTTGATGACTGTTGGTCTACTCTGCCCGGTAGCAAACCGGCTCCCCGCCCAATGCTGGGATTCCAGCAGACAAACGCAGTTACACGTTCATCTAGCAATCATCAGAACCAGCGTCAGCATAAGCCCCCTAGGAAGTTTCATTTCGTTTTAGAGAATATCGGAGGAAAGGCGCCGGTCATTATTCAATAGATACTATATAAAGTGGTCTGCAGAATACATGCGCTTTGAAATATCATTCGTTCTAGTGATGGTATCAAACTTAAAAGCATAAAACAAACCCATCAACGGATTTTCTTCAACTTATTGCGTTTGCGGCCTAGTACATCGCGGCCTTCATCGATCTCACCCATGGCCTCGCGCTTTGCTGATCCAACTTCTTTCAGGACGTTGGTTCGTACGACACGGCTTTCGATGTTCACACCCTCCTGGGCCCACTCTTCCATCTTTCGACCCACCCGTGCCTCGATGGCGAGGACGAGCTCGACGTCACGTTGTCCAACCAGAGTGACTGCCTCACCGGTTCGTCCGGCACGGGCTGTACGACCAACACGGTGGACGTAGTCGTCTGGATTGCGAGGGACGTCGAAGTTGATAACAAGGCTAACGATTGGGATATCGAGACCACGCGATGCGACATCAGTGGCGACCAGGACGCGAGCAGCAGCGGCGCGGAACCGGGCAAGATTAGATGTGCGCTCGGATTGGGGAAGAAGACTGTGGAGCGAGGTAGCGCGGTGACCCAGTCTGCGAAGAGTGCGCTCCAACAGATCAGTGGTCTTTGTGTGATTACAGAAAATGATGACGGGCTTGGTGACGTTTTCTTCGGTAGAGAGAAGGGCGTGCAGGAAGGCTTCACGGTGCGTCATGGGGACTTGGAGGTAGGTCTGTTTGAGGGTTGGGGGGATCTTGCCCTGGTTTTCGGTGGAGATTTCTGTCACAAAGATAGGCGGCTTGCCCTCTGGGCGGGGCATGGATTGCAAGGCGCGAACTTCGGCCGTCAATGTAGCTGTGAAGAGGAGGGTTTGGCGCTCTGCTGAAGGTGGTAGGGCAGACAGACAGGTCTCTACGTCTGGCAGCATGCTACCGTGTCCGCCTGCGAGCAGTCGGTCTGCCTCATCCATCACGACCATTTTGACACGCCCCAATCCTGCAATTGTATCCTGACCAGAGGTCTTGATGTGATCCGCGAGTCGACCAGGGGTTGCGATTACGACGTGGGGGCGCGATGCGAGAGCGGTTGCCTGTTGTCGCATATCGGTACCACCGGTGATAAGGATGGGCTTCATGCTCTGTGGTGCTGAGATAGCCTTGAACTGCTCAAAGATCTGCAGCGCAAGCTCTCTTGGAAGACAAGACATGTTAGCAAGAAGAAACTTGTGCTAAAAGGTGCGGCGCAAAGAACATACCTAGTCGGGGTCAATACCAGAGCGAAGATTCCAAAGGGATCCTTGGCCCATAGCTGCATAATAGGAACGGCAAATGCAATAGTCTTTCCGGAACCTGTCCGACTTCCACCGATACAATCCCGACCCTTCAGAATCTCAGGAATACACGCCTTCTGAATGGCTGTGGGCCGTCGAACAGCCATAGTAGTCAAAGACCCTACAAGCCATGGCGACACATTCAGAGCACCAAAAGTGGACGACTCAGCTTGCAAGCCAATCTCAAGGGCATCCTTAATTGTGACTGGGTTTTCATCATCGTTCGAATCGGATTTCTTTGCGGTATCGTCCTTTTTCTTGATACGGGAGAGGGTGGGGAGAGGTGCAGGCGCAACATAAGAGTCGTTGGAGGACTCCGAGAGGCGTCGGCGCTTAGGAGCTCGATCTTGAGTGTCAATCTGGTTGTCTTCTGAAGCATCAGAGATATATGAGTCATCAGACTTCGGATCATCCTGTGAGGAAGCCATTGTGAATGCAGTTTGATCTTGATTGTTGCCAGAGAAATAATTTTGCGGCAGAAAATGCGATTATTATCTGGCGGTGTGTATTTGCCGCCTTATATATCAGGTATCTGATATGGCCTCTTTCGTACAGATTCTCGTCTCCACATGCTAAAATCTAGTTGGTGATGGACTTTTGGGTATTTACAGACTTTCCACAGGGTCTTGAGCAAGAAATATGCATTGCTATCAGTGAACGTAGACATTCTTGAAGCTACGTACTATTCAACGGGATTATGGTTGCAAATCTAATCCTTCCTTTCATCCAATGGTAAGATGGCCGAGTTGGTCTAAGGCGCCAGGTTAAGGTCCACCTTGACATCATTTCCTGGTCTACGTTTGTAGGCGTGGGTTCAAATCCCACTCTTATCATTTCTTTTTGTCTTTTGCCCTCTAGATGGCTTGCGGGCCTTGAGATGATATTTTGACTATTTTTGCACTACTTCCAGTGAGTCTACGACTTCTTTGATCATGAAATGGGTAAATAAGTAGATTATTATACTTCTCCATGCCTTTACTGATAGCTACCACGTCAATCCGCCCGACTGGTTGTACTTCTTCTCCGCATAGATGATCGAAGCTCATAAGCCTCTCCTCGCTCAAGATCATTATCCTCAACGACAGACTCTGAAGACGAGGAACGACCTCGTAGAACCCCATTATCACTCGACTGTGCTCCGCTGGATGTTGCTTCCGCAGATTCTTGCTCTTCCAGTCCATGTGTACCGCCGACACTTTCCATGGTGAACGGACTAGCCGTGGGTGCATCCAAAACATTCAACTCCTCGCGCGTGAACCAAAGTGGGAATAGGAATGACCGTACAGGAACCAAGAGGAGAATGATAACTGGAAACCCGATAGCAGCAATAGTCTGAGTAATTGCAAAAGTAGCACCGAAGCCAAGCAATTCAATAATCACAAATGCCCAGATCGCGGATCGGCGTTTGATCCGCTTGAGAGGGTTAGATGCAGGGGTTAGGTTTCGGTCTTGGGCGAGGAATATCAGCTTCTGAGTAATGCCGTTCCCCTGGAGAGCTTGGACTCCCATGATGAAGAACAGGCCGGCCATGACACCTTGGGGAATTAGATGAAGCACAATCAGAAGCGGGCCGGACATTGTTCCTAGGGTGAGGAGACCTTGAGCTAGGTTGCTGACTCGCTGCTCTACTACATGATCTGTGATCCGGATGGCTTTGCCCTTGTTTGTATCATCCTCATCGGCTACCTGGCGAGTCACGCAAAGAGCGGCAGTATGGAAGGGTGCCTGTGGGATAAGCCCATTGGGAAATGGGATTCCGAGAAGACCAGCAATAAAGGTGGTAAGTCCGAGGAGCCAAATATCCCAGTGGAAGCCAGCGGGCTTCCGCAAAGGGAATTCGGTGCCCTGGGCAATAAGAGATGAAACTATAAAACTTTAGTCATGGTGTAGAAGGTAATTTTCTGGAATACTTACCATTATGATCAAAGTAGAAAAGAATGGTCAAGAGGAGGGCAAAAGGGATAGCCAGGAAGATGTCCCCAACGTCAATGTTCCAAAAGTGAACCAGCCACGACCGATCAAGCGTAGGGAAGAAGGATTTGCTGGTGGGAAGCGTAGCGACATCAACATCACGCATGTGACCAAAGTGCACGAAGCCAGTAAAAAAGATAATGACCAACGGTGTGCCATAGTCTTCCAGGAACTTTCGAACGTATCTTTGGAATAGGTTACTGTTTCCCAGCTCTCCAACAACCCAAGCGGCCATCAAGACAAGCAAGGCTACCATGATAGCGAGATATGCTGAAGTTTCACCGACCTGCCCCCATTGCCGTGTGAGAACCTGGATTCCCTTTTGAATATAGATGCAAGCAACATAAAAGCCGAAGATATCACACGAAAATCGAGTGACATATTTAAGTCCATTGCAGGCATTGGTAATTGCCAGAATCCAGTGCATAATTAAAGACCATCTGCATAAATATCAGCATGTATAGTAGACATGTCGAAGGAATGGACCTTACATTCCAATCCAGCACATGAATGCAAGATAAGGGGTCCCTCGGGGGCTGATGATATCGTAGACCGTATAATTAAACACAGTGATGGGTCCTACACAGCATTAGATCAAATCCTTAGCGCAACAAGGAAGGTCACCAACCAGTAACCCCGACAATAACCAATGGCTGAGCCGCCAAAAGAGAAAAAACGACAGCTCCAAGAACAGAAGCAAGTAGAACCTCATTGACTCCATAGCTCTGATTTGTCTTCTCAAACATATCCAATGAGAAAGCCAGCGCGGGCAAGATACTGAAAAATTGTTAGAATTCAATATCGAATGAACGGGCAATCGGTGTTGATAAACAATTGACCATCCTATCTGTGTAAAGGTCATACTTAGCAAAATACATGTACACCGTTGCGGGCACAATACGATAATCCCATGCATCAGTCCAATCACTCCAGTAATAAGGAGCTCTGCGCTTAACATCATTGATCATGCCTCGAAATAGATGCACGCGCCACCATTTTGGTTGCGACTGAGCTGAGGTCGTCGTAGATGTACGGCGCTGGGGCTCCTCCACTCCTGCTGGAACTGCAGACAAGGTCGAGTGATATGAAGATGGAGCGTGGCTTGATACCGCTGACTGCTGGGACGGTTTGCGCTGCGATTGCCAAGACATCTTCCGCTGAGTGGATGAGGCGGAAGCTTGCATATTGGCTTCGGGAAAGGTCCCGTGTGACGAACTTTGAGTAGAAATTAGGAATGCAATTAAGCAACTAAGATGTATTTCCCCATAAAAATGCGATGGAAGCTTCACAAATCAGTATATATGGAGCTTTCGGGGTGTAATCAAGCTAGGAAGTTTTGCGGGGATGGAAAAGCTGGAGCCAAGAACTAAGATTGTGGGGCCTGAGGCACCAATGAACAAAGCATTGCTCTAGCAACATTTCACTTCCCTGGCTATGTACTCTACTAAAACTGGAGGAGCTATTGTAAACATACATACATTGGCTGCACCACGTCTGGATATATGATGAAAATTCAATGTTTGATTAATTCAGAAGTTTCCCACATATGTATACGTGCATAGTTTCAAGCCAGGCACTAGTAAAGCGTGCTCCCGCCTATCACCAAATATATCTATACCCTAACCTTTCAAATTTTACCTACTTCCGAGATTGTACTACCCTTTTTACGCACTATAATTCTTTAATATATGAAAGTACCAAGCATTTTGGAATATAGACCCATACTAGGTAAATTAGCAGCTGAAAATATTACTTCAAATACGGAAACGAGAGAAAAAAAAAGCCTATCTTCGGTATCACTGATGAAGAGAAGTAAATAACCCAGAAAGTTTTTTCGCCTACAAAAAGATCGCATAAAGGAAAATGGTTTAAGCAGCGGGAGGGGGAGGAGGGGGAGGCAGGTCGCTGGGAGGTGGGGGAGGGGGTCCATCGACAGGAGGGGGAGGGGGTGGAGGGCTGCCAGCGCCTGGGGCACCAGGAGCAGCAGCTCCGTACGACCAAGGGGCCATGCCGGGTGGTGGGGGAGCAGCGGCCATTCCAGGGGCAGCATAACCGTATCCCCCATATCCGTACGCGGGCTGACCACCGGGGACAGCCTGCTGTTGCCATGGAGCAGCACCGGGGGCAGTGCCAGGCGCAGCATATCCACCACCACCGCCATGACCACCATGGCCACCGTGAGATCCATAACCACCGCCGCCGTAACCGCCAGAGTCACCGCCACGCTTCTGTGCCCAAGGAGCAGGGCCGTTGTCGCGAGATCCATAGTCATCGCGGGGACGGTGCTCGCGTCGCTGTTGCCAGGGAGCCACATCACTTGGTGGCGGGGGCGGGCCGCGTTGCTGCCAGGGGTTCGCATCACGGTCATCGGCGGGAGGGTAACCACCCTGATCGGGGCCGGCTTCGATGCGACGAGGCGGGAATTCGCCAGGAGCACCTCCAGATAGCTCATTCATGAGTTGCTACGGAACATGTTAGCAGGTATTCTTGATTTTATCTGGGAAAAGAATGACTCACCTCCATCTCACGGTCGACAGCATCGCCAGTACCACCGATACGGGGAGCACCAGGACCACCAGGACCACCAGGGCCACGGGCACCAGGGAAACCGCCATTGTTGCGCCAGTCGCTGCCTCTCTGGCGGTCGGGACAATCACGGGCCATGTGGCCAGCGTTACCACAGACGCGACAGATGATGTTTGCAGTGAAGTTGCGCTGCTCGGGACAGTCGTACTTGCGATGTCCGATTTGACCACCTGTCGAATAATTAGAATCAATTTTGATCAATATATATGCAGAGAATATCAACTTACAGTTCTGGCAAGCCTGGTTCTCGTCATCACGGAGAGTACCGTTGAGAGCCGCAAGCTCACGAAGCTGGTTGCGCTTGAGCTCATTCTGGCCTTCGGGGATGGAGGCGGCCTAATAAATGGTAAGTAGTGTACTTCAGACCAAAAGGGTTGTTGCTGCACTTACAGTCTCGATAACGTTGTGAATCAGCTTCTTGGCCTTGTTCACCTTTTCTTCAGTCTCTGCCATGATCAGACAGTGGAGGTCCTCCTCCTGGTTGCTAGCATGAGCGGCATCAGATCGGCCTTTTCCTTCCTTGACGGAACCCTTGCCACGAATCGCAATCTTGGCGCCAGATTCGGTCTCCATCTTCTTCAAGGTGTTTCCACGAGGTCCTATAAGTAAGCCAACTTTAAAAAGATAGCAAAGAGCTAAGTGTTAGTTATCCGGTAATTTCTAAGCATGTGCAACATCAAGCACCGAGTGTTATCAAGAAACGGGCCGAGGACATCCAAGAAAATGCCTCGTCAGCTCGAATCGAGCAGGGAGTCATGACAGACACAACGGAGGGACAGTTAGGAGTTAGAGGGTTAGTTATCATACTGAAGTTAATCTCTGGATAGTCATTCACTGGGACATAGACCTTCTCCTGGGTCTTGGTGGGGCGTCTGTAGTCAGATGGCGGGTGGTAGTTAGGAATGGTCTTCATGGCCTTTTCGACCAGTTTGTGACGCTCATCCTCGAGGCGCTTGCGGTAACGGTACTCGCGAGTGTTCACACGTCTACCAAAGTTGTCGTACTGCGGGGGCGGCGAGGGGGATCTGCCTTTGTCAATGATGGATGCCACATGTGTCAGAGAAGTACTTACCTGTCACCATCGCCAGGGACCACATCGTTGATCCGCAGCTTCTGGCTGATCTCCTCGATACGCAGGTGCAGAGTGTAGGCCTCCAGCTGCTCACTAGTGAAGTTGGCCATGATCATGGTGGGCAGGCCCATCAGACCGGCGGCCTTGTTCTCTTGCTGGTCTCCCCAACGGTTGCGCTTCTTGCGCCTTTTGATGCCATCAGCATCTACTGCTGGGGCTTCTGCTAGATTCGGAAAGAGAGGTTAGAAATGATTTTCAGAAGGAATATTGAACACAAGATGAAACATACCTCGGACAGGACTGCGGCCGCGCTTAGGACCATCGGGCATAGACGAGGGAGTAGCGGTGCTACTATCATCTTCTTCATCACCCTGGAAGCGACGGCGCGTTCCCAGGGGGATGTTGTTAGAGCCCGTGGTACCTTGGTTGCGCCAGGCCATGGCTACTTGAGATTCGAAAAAAGGTTGATTGATCGAAAGGGACACAAAGTTGACCTGAAAGAGGCCAAGCTGCGAAGCTTCTGAAGGAAAAGTGGCCACCGTTCACGTGATCTACAAATGAGTTGGAAGGCGGTGAGGATAATATTTGGAGATTGTGAAGTTTATTTGATTTGTCTTATCACTGGAATTTCCACTTTACTCTTTCTTTCATAGTATAATTTAGACTTTACTCTTCGCATCATCCTTCATTCCCTGCTGAATCCAGGATCGACCCTGAGCGGCCGCCTTCTCCATGGCTGCCTTATCCTTCAGCAGCTCCTTAATGGTATGCGGGGAAGGAACATGGCGTCCCTTCTCCACACCTTCACGCTGAGCCATAAGCTCTTCCCACGCCTTTAGGTTGGGGAATTCATCAATATCTATTCCTGGCCACCCAGCGGCGGCCACCCATCCCCAGTGTGAGATATCGGCAATGGAGACGTGATCACCAACCAAATACCCGGACTTGGACTTGGCGAGGTGCTTGTCGAGCACGCCATATAGTCGGCGGGTTTCATTAACGTATCGGGTCACACCATACTCAATGTGCTCAGGTGCATAGCGTGCAAAGTGGTTTGCCTGACCTTGCATGGGTCCAACACCAGCATTCTGGAAGAAGAGCCAATTGGTCATTTCGTAGTGCTCGCGGGTGCCCTTGGGGAAGGAGATCTTGTACTCGGTGTCATATTGCTCCACCAGGTACTGCAAGATACCACCGGACTCGAACAGGTTGATCTTTTGCCCATCTTCGAACTCGTCGGTCAGAGCGGGAATTCGGCCATTGGGGTTAATCTCAAGGAACCAGCTATGCGCCTATTAGTTTATGATGAGGTCATTGGCATGGTGGTACATACTCCTCCTTTTGTGTGTTCTTGGAAATATCAATTTTCTCAACCTTGTAAGGCAATCTGTGAAGCTGTTAGAAACGTATGGATTTACATGGTCAAGAAAGTCTCCTACCCAAGCTCCTCCAAAGCAATAGAGATCTTGATCCCGTTAGGGGTCTGAGCCGTGTAGAGGGTGATATCAGGGCGAGTCATGATAGATGAATGAAGCTGTTCAAATGCTATTTCTGAAGAACTAAATCTTGAGTTGGCGGAATGGGCGGGGTTTAAATGGATTCCCCCACTTGGATTTATAATCGTCCAACCTTTAACGGGAACATTCGAATGTATACATGAGTAAGCTACCTGTAAACGGCATTATCGGGACCCGAATACACAAGCTATTAGCATGAATTATTAATCTTCAATTATTTCCTCCACTCTAATTTAGTTGACGAATAACTTATGCTGTAGCGCCATTAACCTTCACGACTTGTCCAGACATCCAGCTGCTATCCTTCCCACACAAGAATGCCATAACCGACGCGATCTCCTCCGGCTCTCCAATGCGATTGAAAGGATTAGACCCAGCAATTGCCTTGAGGACATATTCCGGCTTTCCCTCAAGGAAAAGCTTAGTACTTGTCGGACCAGGAGCGATCGCATTGACCAAGATACCCCTCCGCCCAAGATCCTTAGCAAGAACGCGGGAAATCTGCTCAATAGCACCCTTTGTCGAAACATAGAGAAGATAACCAGGATCAATGCCGGATACATGATTGAGAGTACTAGAAACGAAAATAATGCGCCCTCCAGACGGCATGTGTTTTGTGGCTTTCTATAGATAATCAGCGCCAGCGCCTTCAAAATGTTTCATAGAAACATAGTAAGCTGACATACCTGTGCCAAAAAGTATGGTCCCTTAACCATCAGATCATAGAAATTATCAAAGTCCTCTTCTGTGGTATTATCCAGACCTTTCATAGCAAGGATTCCCGCGTTGGGGATGAGGATATCAATTTTTCCGAATCTGGCTACTGTTGCGTCGACCAGATGGTCTAGATCTGATAGCTTGGAGGCGTCGGCCTGGACGGCCAGAGCGCGGTCGGCACCGATTTGCTCAACCACTTCATTAGCTGCCGTGGAGTCAGAACGATAGTTGATGACTATGCTGGCACCTTCGCTAGCAAGGCGGATGGCAGTTGCTCTGCCGATTCCCTGGGAGGAGCCAGTGATCAAGGCGACTTTTCCGGATAGAGACATTGTGGGTTATTGTGAATGCCAAGGTTCTGTGTTATTGTGATGAGGAATTGTAGTGGAATGAACAAATTGTTTACTTGACTCAATGTTCTTTTATATTTGAGTCTTTAATGGCTTCAAATAAACCCGTTGACCGTTGATAAACCCGGCTAGAGAGTGACATTCAAATCACTTAGAAACCGGTCTCCGGGCCTTGGGCCGGTAATCCTCTTAAAGCCGAGGCCAAGACATAATCGTAAGACAGTAAAAGCTCTAGACTGGCCTATCCAATTTACACATGCATAGACCTCATTTGAAATTCAGTTCATCCAATTCACGTTTGTTTGCACATGTTAAAGCAGTAGACACAAGACACAGCCAAGACAGTCACCCTTAGATAGATATCATGGATCAAGAGATTGAAAGGCAAGGTTGTGGCATATTTTTAGAGCGCGGCCCAGAACACAAAAAGATTAAAAACACAAACCGATTTCTTCATTTCATTTCAACAGCCTTCAATTGTCTGCAAGCTTGAACTCCATTTCTCCCCCCAATCACGACAAGTCCCGTATAAACGAAAATAGGAAGAAATCCAACACACATAGAGCATCAGTTGAGGATTTCCATGGACCACAGACCACGAACAAGAGATAGAATCACCACATCCCTTCTTCTACGAAGAAAACAGGGAAAACGGGCACTAGAGGGGAAGAAAATAGAGGAGCAAAGCAAAAAATCAAAGGTTGGTTCTGGGCTGCAGTTTCGTTTCCCATTTTAATTCAGCACTGGGGCGAGATGAGAAGGGGGCACGATGGTGGGGAAGATTTAGTTGCCGCCCAGGCTGGGGAAGTTCTTCTCGTCGACGGTAGGGCCGGCGGGGGCCTTGGCACCGCCACGGGCACCACGGGGAGCAGCAGCAGCGCCGCCGCGAGGAGCACCAGAGGCAGCACCACGGGGGGCACCACCACGGGGACCACCGCGAGCGGGGCGGTCACCACGGGGAGCGCGGTCGCCACCACGGGCACCACCACGAGCGGGACGGTCACCACGGGGACCGTTGGAGGGGCCGGAGCGGGGCTGCTCAACGAAGCGCATGTCGACGTCAAGGAAGTTCTTCTCCTTGCGCTGCTTCTCACGCTGCTTCTTCTCGGCGGTGGGGGCAATGTAGGCGGCCTCACCCTCTTCGCGCTTCAGCTCGGTGGCAGCGGCCCACTTCTTGTCGGCCTTGGTGCCCTCGTTGGCGGCACGGACAGGCTTAGCAGCCAGGCTGTCACGGGCGGCCTTCTCGGCGAGGTAGTCGTCGTAAGACTTGGACTTGTCGGCCTCCTCGACCTCCTCGGCGGGGGTCTGGGGCTCCTTCTCGTCATCCTTGGCGATGGTCTCGCCAACACGCTCATCGTCCCAGGTCTTCTCACCGGATTCGCCACCCCAGCCCTGCTGGACCTGCTTGCGAGTGTCGCTGTAATCAAAAACACCTGTTAGTTATGCTGTGCTGTAGAATCAAGCTCTATTCGCCACACCCCGCATCGGCAGAGCGATTGGATCTATCTTTTCATCATCATCTCATCTTCTTCTCCCTCTCCGATCGTCTGTTGATGGTGTGTGGCTTGACTATACTTGGACGGAATCATCTCAAAAAGAGAAAACAAGGGTCGCTTACGTCTGACCAGTGCGGGACTGGCGGTCACCGCGGGGAGGGCGGTTGCCACGGGGGCGAGAGGTCTGTCCCTCGGCCTCCTCGGTGGGCTTGGAGCGGTTGTTGTTGCGGCCAGCGTTGCGGTCGCGGAAGGCTATAGAGGGCAAGCTTGTCAGCTTCCGATGCTTCCTATCAAGCTTTCCCCACACTTCATCGACCCCACCATCGCTTCACGGATCGATCGATTTTCACATACCAGCTTCGTTGCCAGCGGTCACACGGCCTCCACGGCGGTTCTCGGAGCGAGGAGCGGCAGCAGGGGCGGCGGGAGCCTCCTTGGGGGCATCACGCTTGCCAACGCGGGGAGCGGGACGGTCGACGGCCCGGGCGGGGGGAGGAGCAGGTCTGCTGGGGTCGAGCTCGGGGTCATTACCTAGAGGATCAGAAGAAGACTGCGTTAGCTTGAGATGAACTTTGGAAGCTTGGAGATGCTCTCAAATGAGGGGCGGGTTCCCGACCATGAAATCATGGAAACGGAATACGCGGGATCTCATAGTGCAGCAAGTTTCACATACCGAGGAGCTCGTAGAGGTTCTATTTCGAGCAAAAAAAGCAAGACGCAACAAAGTTAGCCAAAGCGCTTGCTATAAGAGCGCAATTGTGTCGCAGGACAGAGCTCCGCCCACGATTCAGCGTACCTTAGACCGGACGTCAACCATGACGCCTGGTGTTGCGGAGTTCCTTCCGGCGCGGAAGGCACTCAACGATCACTAGGATGTATTAAAGGTAGGCACAAGGCAGAACCTCAACAGATCCAGCCTCTTAGATTGATAGTGATTGAAGGGGTGTTGTCTTAGGAAGGGAAGGTTGAGGGTTTGTGGTGCAGCACGAATCCGGTTAGGCGCCATTTACTAAGCGAATCAGGCTAGGGCTTAGGGTATCATGGCGTCACTAGATGGCATCATACATTCTACAACTCAATGACTTCCCTGTCGTTTTTAGACGTTGAATGACTTTTTTCTGCCTCGATTATGCAGGAAGGGGGCTTTGTATTCCATGGTACAATGTACAACCCGATGGTATCAAAATTTCATAATCAAAAACCACAAAGAATCCCAACTATCAACGCCTGGCAATGCTTCGAAAATGAAGAACTTTTTGGAAAAGCCAACCAATGTAACCCAACCAGAACCCGTCAATACTTTTTTTCTTTTCTCCTCTTCCCTCGCTCAGAAATGTAATGGGCTTGGTTTTCCAAACATAATAAAACCTCGTCAACCGAAAAGATGCATCGCTTAGTTGCGGGAATTGTTTTGCTCATAGTTGAACGGCGTTGGAAAATGCATGCTTGCACTGAGGCCGAACGGATCAGCATCCAGCATCGGTTCATACTGACCGAGTAGCTGGTTGGCACTTCCGAAGTCTCCGGGCGTTCCGTCCCCGCCGGCGGGAGGATTGAATCCAGACATGTTATGCGAGCCGGAAGCAACCGATTGTGGTGTGAACCCGGGCACGTATGATGTATTCACTGAGCCGTCTTGGTCTTCATCCACCATGTCAGCTTGTGCATCATATTCTTGTTCTGTTCAATTTGGTCAGCCATGCTCTTTTTACGTTCGCATTTTCTTCTTTCAATGCGATTGGTTCTAGAATAATAACTCACCCAATTGATCATAATGCTTCTGGAATGGAGATGGGTAGTATGCGGCTGCAACCCGCTGCTGGCCACGCGGCACTCCCCGTAGCTTCGGTTCATTTGGATCCGCCTGTGGCATACTTATGGCCGGCGGCGAGGTCTGATTGTTGTAAGCCCTCGGTTGAGGCAGCAGCTGCGGACGACCAGTCCCTTGCTGGTCAGCGGGGGACATGCCCTGGAAGCCAAAGCCAGGAGACTTGGCATGCGACGGTGATGATACATGAGATGTCGGCGTAGGTTGGAACTGTGGTGACGACACTCCATACCCCTCACGCTGCGACATGGCAAATGCATCAGGCTTGGAGGCGATGCCAGGATGCCGCTGCGTGGGCCGAGGCCCTGTGGGACCCGGCGGCTTAGGTGGCATGGGTGTGGTCTTGGGCTGTGCACCTGGGGCCCCAGTCTTAATCCGTAACTCAGCTTGTACATCAATGCCTGGAGTCCGGGGTTAGCTCGGAAGCGGGGGTGGAATGCAACGCCGACGCAAGGGGGTGGTCCATACCTTTCTCTAACAGGATCCGCTCCAGTAAGGAGTTCTTATACCGCAGCATCAGACATTCATCGGCGGCACTGCGATGACTCTGTTGAAGGCTCTGCAGGGACTCTTCATTGCGCTTGATGGTAGTCTCCAGCTGCCGGATATACTCCGTGCGACGTTCACGGAAAGCAGCTTGGGCCTGTCTATTGCGCTGCTTCCGTTCCTCGGAAGTGGCGTAGATCTAAAAAAGCACGTTAATAAAAATACAAGATAAGGTCATGGTGGATAGGATAAAACATCCGGGGGGAACCCATAGGCCAAACAAAAAGAATGATAAGGTAGGATCGAAGATAAATAAAAGAGGGAATGCGGGGCCCCGGATTATTGCATCAACAAGGCAAAAGATGTTACGTACAGGTTTCCGACCACCTTTTCGCTTTTGAGTCTGTGCAGGGTCTTGTGTCAGGGCTTCGACCTCTGGATCTGGCGTTGACACCGTCGAACTGATAGAGCCATCTAGCGTAGGTTCGGTCTTTGGCACAACAGAGTCCATGACCATGTCATTCTGATCATGAGAGGCCTCGACCATAGAGACCATTGGATTGAAGTCCCTCAGTTTCTCTTACTTAACGAAGATCACGTCTTCCGCAACACGGACCAAGAGGGATATTCGTTTCTCCCTCCCGCCGAACCACGGGCTTAAAGACCGGCAGAGAGGGACAAAAAAGAAATCAGAAACAAACGCAGGAACCGCGCGGCTCGGCGGTTATCGAATGAACGAGTAAGAAGAGAGTGACATAAAAGAAATTGAAATTATGAGAAAGGAAGAGTCAGAGAATTGAGATAAACGGGGAAACGGGGCGGAGAGGAGAAGAAATGTGAGTAAAACGATTGAGTAAAAACCGAATAATAATATTGTTCAAAAGGGTCAGACGAGAGGGGCTCGCGTACTAGTTTGGTTTGACTTTTTTTTTCTTTTTTTTCTCTTTTTTTTCGCTTTTCGCCTTCGCAACCATGAATGGGTCTGACGGCACGGGTCCACCATAAGTCCTCACACTGGTTGTTGCTTGAATGGATCAAGTCTCTCAAGTTCCTTAGTGGTCATACGAGTGGGTTAAGGAGTTCTATGTGGGGAATAGAAAAAAAAAAAGAAAAAACCTGCCACGCATATTCTAGGGGGATGCAGGTATTAGTTCCGCGGAGAATCACGAATAGTTACATGGAACATATACATCAACTATGTGGTATGTTTATTGGTATGAGGTACTTTGAAAAAATCGAGTTGCCTGAGCCGATATCGGAGTTGCCCGTCAAGTTGTCGCGCTTTCCGCCCTATGCTTGTTCAGTTCACCGTGGTGTTCAGGGGCGAAAATTTTCATTTAAGCTGTAAAAGCTAGTTGGCCATTAGTTCCTTTTCCTTGGAAAGGAAGGTCTGGGCACCGATCTAGGCAGGTCATTAGAGAAAAAGAAAAAAAGGTCCTCGGGTGCCTTGACCCTTGGGATCACGCGGACCAGACCACGTTCTTGGCCCCCCTTGTACGGAGTACCCATGATGCAATATTGGACGCGTTACAGATTTTTCCGACTTCCGAGCTCGTCTAGTTGGACCGATTGGTACATGGTTGCAACTCGTATCCAATCCACTTAAACCATTGGGAATCCCCGGGTTGTGTAAAGGACTGTACAGAGCACCTTGATTCAAGTTCAATTAGCCAATCCTTGAATCCGGGGTATTGTTTAATGATCAGGTCAGATCAGATCAGATCTTAGGAAAGAAAAACACATCAGATGTGGGCATATGCAGAACATGAAATGGGCTCGGCGATCGGCCTTCGGTTCCCCACTAAAAAAGTCACATGGTGGGATCAAACAACATAAACTTGAACCATGCCGAAAGTCAACACCCAACCTGCCTCACTCACTGTGCGCTTGTTAAAAGGACTCGAGAATGTCATAAATAATCGCAGAGAGCGGTTGGATCACCCTACTCGTCAATGGGATTCGGTTGTTTTCCCACTTGTAACCTTGAACGCCTTCCAATACTACGTTAATGCCGAATGAAGATAGCTCACAGCACTCTCAACATTCGTGGTTCAAAACTAGTCTGAGAGCAACCGCTAGTAAGATCGTAGACTATCGACTGAAGATTAAATTAGAAACTGGTCTTCAGTTTGAAATCTTTGCTCCACTAGATAAACCTGCTTGTATGCAGCAACCAGTCCGATTCATTTGATCAGAGATACAAATGGTTTCGAGTCAAATGCATACAGTGCCCACGTTAAAGGCCTCGGAGGTGACGTTTATGAGGCAGCCGAATACGTCTGTTTAAGTCATAAGTCCACTGTCTTTTCTTTGCGGGCCCGTTCGATCTTTTCCTTTATATTCCTCGCAAACAAGCCACGCGCTTGGGACATTGGGTGGCTGATACGTATAAGCGAGCTCCCATCGGAGATGACACTCCCAGCTCCGCATCCCCATTTGATAGTCTGAGTCTGGCACTTGTAAGCTTCGTACATGACACCGCTATTTTTCACCCTTCTTAGCTTTTCCATCTCCCCTAAACACGGCTTCACTTTCCCTCTCAAGATGCCATTTACCCTATGGTAGAAATGGACTTCAAACACCTCTAGATTCTCATTCGCCTCACCCATAGCTTGTATTCCATCTAGCCACGCATGTTGGATGTAATTGGTTTTATCGTTTTCGAAGTTTCCGCGCGGCATTTTCAACAAATTTGCGAGATTCGGGGTATCGATGTAAATCCGAATATGAGTGAGTGAAGTGAATGTTGTCCCTAGAGCATTCCATAGTTCATCATATTTTGCTTTACTCTGACGTGACATATGTGGTTGAGCATCCACATTCAGTTGCCACTGAAGGGTTAGACGTCGGATGGTGGGAAGAGCTAGAGAGGGTATTTGGTTGGGGAAAGTAGTGCATAGATCTCTGTGGTGTCCAAAACGAAATTCGTTGGTGGCGTAGAGAACCCGCAGGCTTTCAAGATATCTTCTTTTGCAGTAGTATCATTATAGGAGTATTTCTTCCAACCATACGTAGAATCGATGGTAGAAAGTATAACTCACCCTTTCCAACATGAGAATAACATCCCATAATCAATGCACATTTCCCAAAACTTTGCAGTACCGGACCCATTCCCCACTACACCTTGTTCCCCTACACATTGGTCTCAGTCTATTCTCTCGAAATGCGCATAGCAAACAAATGAATAAATATCCCATCTTTTCTTTCCTTTCACCCAGTCACACTGGTAGTGCAAGGAGCGGTCTCCGAAAAGAATCTCATAGGTGATAAACCGGATTTCGGGGGGAAGGAGGGTAAAGAATGAGCTTTGGGACTCAGGGTGGATGGAAGATAGAGAGGGATAGGGCTTCTTTTGAACTTGACGAAAAATGGATGCAGGGTTTTTTTTTCAATCTTCGCTTTTCCTCTCTTCATATTTGAAATGCTGCAGGGTGTTCTTCACTCTTTGCTGGCCTACTTAAATTAGTATTCAAGCGGTTGAAATTGTGGTAATTGAAAAGTGTTTAATTACTTCTCCCTAGATGCCGTGAAAGAAGTGACAAGGGCATGACTCAGGTAAAGGTTGAAACTTGATGAAAGAGGAGATGCACTAAAGAGCTTAAGACACGTAAGTATGTATTGCAGTGGTATGAAAAGAGATGAAATAGAAAGAGCAGATTCAACGTGAAGCCACTAGCCTTAGTGCTTACTCCATGAGATCACATGACTTCATTAGGTATTCTCCATATCTCATCGGCAGAATTCAAAGGTCAATACTGGTGTCTAAGTGGCCAGTGTAGTATGAACTTGGGAAAAGACCTGGAAGGGCAAGCTTTGGCGAGAAAAAGCAGCATTCTCTGCACTCATTGGTGCGACCGGTTTCCAACACCCATCATACCTACTTAAATGCTAATATTTCAGCCCTAGTGGAGCTCCCAATTGCCAGATTGATAACTTAGCGGGACAAGAGATGGCTGCCCCACATTTACTCTCCTTATACCTCAATGCTTCAAAATTGTACCTTTAATTTGCACGGCACATGCCATGGTCAAGGCCAGCAACTTGTCTGGCCACACATCTTACCTAATGGCTGAGTGCAGGTGCCACGAGAAGGAGTATTTCAGATCGAAAACAGGAATCTAAAGACTGTCCACTTCCCATCAGCTGAGAGGGTCATTGCGGCGGTCGCGACCGTAAAGCGGCGCTCATCCATTTCTCGCCCGGGCGACAAGAAAAAGTGACATCTAGATACAAATTGCAGTGCAAGTGCACCCTGCTCCACTACCAAATGCTCGATTCATCATAACTATGACCTATCAGTTCTCTTTGGCGCTAAATATTCTTCGAAATCTAATTTTCAATGCCACTTCGTTTTGCAGTGTGGGTATAAACCTCACCCTCACGACTTTCAACTATACAGCCAAGACTAGCTAGCATTAATAGCGCCAAGGCTGACACGCATTCAACTGGGTGAAATGGTGGAGGGGGCAATCATACAAAGTGGGATTTTCCACGCTCACAAGCTGACCTTCAACAACCTTTCACTATTACACACTCTGATATCCTCTATCCTCCACTACCAATAAGTCTCTTTCAAGTTATTCCTCGCTCGCAAAATCTCGAAGATGCCAAAGGTTTCATTCAACTCTGAATCTTCCAATCTTTGCTCTGCGACACTGACAACCTCTAACCTAGAGTGACATCCAAGTCGGTTGGTTCATTACCAGCATTGGCGACTTCGCCGGTGAACAAAAAGTCATTGCGATCAACTTCCCCAAGTACCAAGTGGCCGATGGGTCATGGGTAAACTGGGAAAATATTTTGGGATACAGACAAGGGGTCTGATGATATGGAGGCTTTTGGGAAGTGAGTAGCCTGACGGGACTAAGGAAAGAGGAAACCCAGATAGCGCTATATTCTAGTTTCGCATTTTTCAGCATCGAATTTCCAGCATTTTCTAATGCCAGTGAAGTTGAGAGATGAAATTTTCGAATGCTAGCATCGGTAGAACTACAAGACCCTAGGTGAACGAAGGATCCCTTCCGTCCATGCATTACATTCAAGTTGATAGGGTGATGGATTGCTTCACTATTATTTGCCCAACACATACGACCATAGCGTGTAGAGAACGGGACCTCCCGTCCGCTCAGCCGTACTTAAGCCGCACGCTGGTAGGTTAGTAGTATGGGGTCCAATCACATGCGAATACCTGGTGTATGTCCGTGTTCACTAATCTTTTTTATTCGTTGGGGAAACTCCTACCCTTCAGACCCTTCACCTGAATGCCCTGCATACCACCATCTTGCACCTGAATATCTGCACAGCCCTGAAGCGCTGACGTCGCCTTCCCCTTCCGTGCTGACCTTTTCCTTGTAGGTGCGTTGTCACCGTCACAACGGTTTGGTCTGGTCTAGGCTACGTAGTAAGACTAATAAAAGATGCTTAGATGAGCTATACATTGGTTCCGTGATGTTCTTCTATTATCGTTGAGATTAATATCCATAAGCCATGCTTCTTTATTCCACATTTAGATAATCTCCTTAACAGAAGAGGGTAGACATTCCCTTTAGTTCTGCAGCTAGCTACACTGCAAGCTTAATGGTCTTTGAAACTTGTCCAAGTCATGTCACGAGTACACCGGTATTTGAAAGATGATGCAGAACAATACTCCGAGAACAATGACCCTGAGCCATGCTCACCTGGAAGCGCATTCTACCTGCCCCAGTCCCTGCCTTGCCCATCCAGAACTTGCACCGTCACCAAATCTACGAATTGGCGTAGATGCAGACCGGCCTTTCGCACACCTAGCCAGACAGAAAAGCTTGGTAAGACAGCACAGCCTGCTCGGAAAACGCAGCAGGAACCAGAGGAAAGACATGTTCCTGAGATTTCTGATATCCAGCACGTGCTATCCGATGTTAATCTCGAATTCTCGGAGCTCAAGCAACTAGCAAAATCGCGCACGGCAACCCAAGCTCACTACACGGCGGCCTGGACCTAGATTGATTTGGTTGAACGGATTCTCAAGCATCCATTAGCCAGCTGTAAGCAGGACGAGTACATTATCGCTACCTGACCTGCTCGATCAATGAAATCCTCAGTCAGGAGCTTTTCCAAGAAAACGAAAGACTGATATTCCATGCAAAGAACATGAGTGGGATCAGTCCCATTAAGCCGGCGGTCTCTAGGAACTGTTTCCTATTCCTAGTTTATGGGAATATATTGTTGAATGAATACTTACATGCACCATTTTATGATAAGGGGTCACTCCAACATTTGAATCTTCCATACATTGAACCGAGGTCGTCGCAGATCGGCGATTCGTTTGCCCGTTCCCCCCGCCAAAAGTCACATGTAAACTTCCCCATGTTTCTGTTCTCCACTCAACATCCATCAGCATAGTCAACAATGGCGAGTGCTTCTGGCTCAGATCTGCGGGAGGGTACAACCTTACCTGCCACCGACATTCCCGCATCTGAACAGCCCATTGCGCAAACACCTGCGGAGCCCTCCCAGAAGAAGCAGGCCGATCACGGCGAGGACGACGATGATGACTCCGATCTAGACGATTTGGATGGTACAGCCTACACCCCCTTCCATCCTGTTTTTCTATCTCTAAAGTACCGGAAACTAATAAGATGTTGTCCCGTAGACGTCCTAGACGATTTTTCCAAACCTAAGCCTGTACCTGCACCTGCGCCGCCCGCCCCCGCTCCCGCAGCCGAGGCCCCAGCGGGTGATTTCGACGAAGATGCATTCCTCAAGCAATTGGAACAAGACATGGCAAACATGATGTCGAATCCGGGCGCGATGCCTATGGACCCCAATCTCGCCTCGGTAGAAGAGGGTGCTGATCTTTTTGCGAAACAGCTGGGAGACAGCGGGATTGAACCAGGGGATTTCTTGAAACAGTTATTAGCTGATGTGATGGCTGAAGAAAAGAACGGTGCCGGTGCGAAGGCAACGCCTAGTGATACCACACCGGCACATACATCTGCTGATACTGGAGCGTCGGGGTCTGGTGAACAACCGACTGAGTCTTTCAATGATGCGATTCAGCGTACTATGGAGCGTATGAAGCACTCTGGTGATCGTGCTACGGAGGCTGCGACTGAAGATGATGGGTTGTCGGATGATATGATAGCGCAGTTGCTTAAGGCGATGGAAGCTGGAGCGGCTGGTGCAGGTGATGACGGGGATTTGTCGAAGATGTTTATGGGTATGATGGAGCAGCTATCTAATAAGGAGATGCTCTACGAGCCTATGAAGGAGCTGGATGGGAAGTTTGCGCCTTGGATTGAGAAGAATAAGGTGGATGGCAAGGTCCCTGCTGAGGATATGGCGCGGTACGAGACGCAGGCCAAGGTTGTGGGGCAGATTGTGCGGAAATTCGAGGAGACAGGGTACTCTGACGATGATCCGAAGTGTCGGGAGTATGTGTGGGAGCGGATGCAAGAGGTGAGTCTTTCGCGGGTGACTTGGTGGAACTTGTTTAACTGGTTTATAGATGCAAGCTGCTGGCAGTCCGCCAGAGGAGCTGATTTCGAATCCTTTGATGGACATGGGTGATCTAGGAGGCGCTGGAGCTGCAGCTGCAGCTGGCGGAGTCCCTGATTGTCCACAGCAATGAAGAGTTAGAGAGGGTTGATGAAGATAAATACCATCATTGACTAGCTCTGTACTGTACATATACAACCATATCTGATACCCTGATTATGTACTCCGATATATCCACAGATGATTAACACTGGCTCATGGGCCATATCCATAAAAACACCATCCCATGCAATGACAATAGACGCTCACAAAAACATAAATATCCACAAATAGAACATTCCTCACGACATATCCATATCCTGACTTTCATAAGAAGGCGCAGGCTCAGGCAATGTCATAAAAATATCATCATACTCATCATCACTGAAAGAACCATGTTGATTCTCAGTCTCCTTCATAGCCATCTCCATAGCCTCTTCCTGAGAAATAAACTCATCAAAAGCACGATCATCCTCTACAAGAAAGTCAGCCAAAGACCCCTCAAGAGTAATAAGCAAATAGAAAAAGAACTTTAGAACATACCAGGAAGCATATCATTATTATCCTCCTCCTCAAGTTCACCCTCACCCTGCATCGGCACAATATCCCTCGCCATAGACTCTTCCCACCTCCGCTTGTCAGCAAGGTAATCGGCATGCATCATCTGCTCCCCACGAGCCTCAAACCGGCCCTCCTCACGGTCATTCCGCACGCGATTCATAAACATCTTTCGGGTCTTCGACCGCGCAAGCGATGCAGAGCTCTTCATCGGATTAGCCACCTGCGCCGCGTAGCGGTCCGCGAACTTGGTAGCGCGCGCAGACGGAGAAGGCGAGGTAGGAGACATGGTTGCGTTAGGGGAGAAGTTGAATGTGGGAAAGGATGGAGGCGCAGATGCAGGCGCGCGGAATTGTGATTGTGCTTGGGATTGGGTATCATTTTGTAGAGAGAAGGTCGGGAATGCGACTGGCGAGAAGAGGTTGTGGTTCTGGTTCTGGTTCTGATGGTGTGCGGAGGGCTTTTGGTGTCCTGCGCGTGTGGGGGGAGCCCATTGTCCATGGGGGAGTTGCGATGTTGGAGTTGCGGAGTCCTAGTGGGGATGGACGCGTTGGTGTGTAGTAGGAGGTTTGGCGGAAGGGTGTGGATGGGGATTGAGTTGCGAACATAGTGGGTGGTGAGTGGGTTTCGTTCCCGTGGTTCGGATGTGGAAGTATGTTGTGGTTTGTCCAAGTCCGGGGGTTTGGGTTTGATTTAGTAGATGATGTGAAGGAGAATGGGGATTGGATTGGACATTTAAATGGGGATGAAGGCTGGGAGTCGATTGGATCGCGACGCGCATTCCACGTGAAGAGGCGCGGCACGTCAGACCACTGCTTGGAATGTTGATCGTGATTATCTCGATGCCATCTGATAACATGTTCACTTAATAATTGTTTTAAGATCTACTACATAATTGCATACTGTGTCAACCCTATTGTAAATTTTTATTTTCTAGCTGGTGTTCCTCAGCAATTTGTGAAAATCTGACTCTGGTAAGACATGTCTGAAGTGAAGCGGATTCAAAGGTCTCACGTCCGAATAAATAACAGCATTAATCTCAATCATACCTGTACATTTAGCCCTAATCTATCCTGGCTCAACCGAATATTTGACTCAAGACTATGTGGCCTGATCAGGTAAAACGGGATGAATGCAAAACAGCAGTTTGGATGTACGCCTAACAGTTCTCAAAAAGTGAAAGACCAAAAATTGAATTACCATGTATGAAACTATTCTGTAATGGGGTAGTTAAAGTGTGCATCTCGCTGGAATACAAAAGAAAAAAAAGAGGTGAAGTAAAAGAAAAACCAGCCTCGAAAGTCGAGCTTGTGAACGCCAAAACCCTATGCTCCAAACCCGCGATGCACACGGCACAGTGAAGAAGTAGAATCAAAGACAGAAGGGAGAAAAAAAAAAGGGGGGGGGGGGGGGGGGAACAAGTATTGGAAACATCGCTTTCCCTGGGCACTTGGAGGCTTTGGGTGTCTATATTCGATCGAAAGGAAGGTGTGGGTGAAATATTATATCAGAGGTATTTTTGCCCTTGCTGACTGTGGGAAGTGTAGATGGAGAAAAGTGGGAAAGGAACAGTTTGGCGCTTTATTTGCGGAAACTTTCGACTCCTAGTGTAGGGTTTTCAACGGCGCGGTCGGTGGGCACGCCTTCATCACGTCGCCGGGCAAAGAAGCTGTCGCATTCAGAGACAATGTGTGCCCATTCTGCGAGGGCACGGCCGCAGTATTTGCTGGGTACCAGATGGTCATAAACGGGTTGGCAGGGCAATTCTGGCAACGGCGAATCTTTGGTGGTGTGGACCCTGTCCTTGTCCTGCATTTCTGGAACTGGTTCTGTCGAGAATAATTTGGAGTCTGAAGGAGGTCCGAATGTGTTATCATTGGAAGTGATCTCGTCTGTTACAGCCTCTGAACTGGTGTCATCATCGTCAAACTCACAAGGTTTGGCGGGAGACCGCCGGTGTTGTACATGTATCTGAGATGCAACGGGAAGACAGGGGGCAAAGAGGCGCTTGTTCTTCGTAGGCCACTGTGGCCGGTCCATCCATTCCAGAGAGAATTTGAAGAAGAATGGCTGGTGGGGTGTTTTGGGTCGGACAAGATCGTCCGAACTGTTGTTTGGAGTTGGCTCGTGATCCTCTAGACACTTGCTTTCGGAAGTCATGGTCAAGTCGATGCCAGTATTGTCAAACTCTTCAGAGCTACTGCTACTTATCCCGTCTGAAGACCGGGTAGTCGATGAGCTTCCAAACATGGACCGAAGAAGACCCCATCGACGTTTGGAAGGCTGACCGTCCGAGCTCGTTGAGTCTGAAGAGTTAGATCTTCGGTGGGTCATGATTTGGTCGGAAGACATGGGTGGGACCACACGATCAAAGGAAACAAACAGATTCACTGGAGAGATCTGATTGTCACATCGAATAATAATTATCCTTCTACCGGGAGCAGGCGTGCAGGGGGCAGATGACAGTGGTGCAATGAGTCCTTGCTCTGCTTTTGACTGATACCCAACATAATACTCCCAGACCCGCAGTAAACGGTCTGAGAGGGTCTCATAGATGGTTCTAGGCGATTGTTTAGTAGTGGAATGGATAGTCATCAAAAGGTAACACTCACGAATCAAGCGCCGAGGGATCTCCACTGAACCGTCCTACCCTCCAGCAGAGGAGGCGGTGGAAATAGGCACGCACCATGGGACTCCAGTGATTGAAATAGTGGTAGAAGACTGTTTCATGCAGGAGGAAGTCCAAGCAGAGACTCGCTTTTCTATCCTCTGTGGCAGTCCAGGTCCCCCAGACGGAGTAAATGAATGAAAATACCCGAACTTCGGTCAGAGAATTATGGCTCTGGTTCATCTGCCGACAAACGTCAAGCCAGAACGTCCAATCGAAAAGCTCTGTTTCGATTGACTGCGCATACCGGGTGATAATCGGAATTGCCTCCTCGGTAAAGTCACACAGAAGGAAACATGCATTGTGGTCAAAAAGGGAAATTCTTTGGGCAGCAATTTTCAACAGCCCACAGAAAGTCTCCGCGTACAGCAGACGCGCACGGTTCGGTTCTGCAGATGATTCGGAGAGCAAGTCACGTAAAAGAATGATCAATCGATTCTCCGCCATCGAGCGGTGGCTGTTTCTTGCACCTCCGATCTGATGAGGTGAGGCAGAAGCATCTGGTGATTCGAGATAATCATCAAATGTGATGGCAGCTGCCGTGGACGGGTTTTCAGGCATCTGCTGTATTGACTGCTTATGGATTGTATCTTCGAACGTAACCAGAAGCTGTGCATGAACTAAAAGTAAGCCAGGTGCCAGAAATCGCTTGGCTTTCTCAGTCTCCGGTGGCAAGTATTCCGCATAAAGGATGTGGATATACTTGGCGAAGACGAAAAACAAATCGGTATCGCGGCCAGACCATCGTGCGCTCCATGGTCCGTTCCAAGGTATATTGGCTGTATTCAAGGAAGCTTCGGGTTTGGTTCGCAAATATCGCAACAACGGTGCATGAGAGTGAAACGCTAGCGGGCGAAGAGCGGCTGGGAAGCTTAGTGCCAGCTCTTGCGTGTATGCGCGCATGGTCCCGACTCGAGAATCAGTGGATTCGGCGAATACGCGGCGGAAGACCGCAGGAGCTGTGTTCCACAAACGAACCAAAATATCTGCTACTCCAGGACAGAAAAAGAAGGCATATGCACAAGCCTTCCCACAGAAAGCCACCAGACTTGCAGGTGCGTGTCTCATGGACATCCGCTCCACAACGAATGACATTTGGGACAGAAGGTTTTGAACGAAAATATTGCGAATGTTATGGTGAATTGATTCAACCAGAAAATCCAATCCAGATGAGCCTGAACCCTCAGAGGTCTCTGAGACAGAAGTGGACGCATATTGCAAAGAATCCGTTGTGACGCCGCTGCTTTGCTGCGCTGTAGGAAACGGCATGCGCCATTCCGGCCGAGTCATGATGCCTACGACTGCTTCTAAGAACACCGGTCTGTCCGTGCCGGAAATAGACTGGTTGTGCTTCCCATTCAGCATCTCCAGCATCCCGATCCACCATTTGTTGAGAATGTTCACCCGGCGATCCAAGTCTTCGGGTCTGAGGTTTTTGCATGATGTATGTAGATGATGGCGGCCGAGAAAAGGAAGAAGTGAAGAGCGAATGACGTTTGCCTTGAGAGAGGTTGACTTGGATTGGAACCTTTTTCCTTGGTCAGTAATGCCATCGCTCAGAGAGTATTAGGGACTCACTTTTGGTAATCCGCTTCAAGGCCGCGAAAAATCCCCCAGAGTTCATCTTTTTTCCGAGATTGCTCAGGTGCGCTATTTTGAAAGGAAGCAGCTGTAGCAGCAGCTCCCTTTGGCATCGGAGGAAGGACTGGTGTCGAGACAGAGAGAGAAGCAGTGAACTTTTCGAAAGAGGTCTGGTGTCGTAGCAGAGAGTTTCCAGAAGGACTACTGGGTGATCCTGGTGAGTCTTGGGGCCCTTTGGCCACCACCGCGAGCATAGGTCGCCGCGGCCGTTTATATAGGATTGTCCGCCTGCGTGTTGGTTGTCCTGAATCCGAGTCCGACTCGTTTCTGCGCCCTCCTGATCTCGTTGGCGATTCGTCTGCTCTCTGCTTCACTCTCTTCGCCGTAGAGGGGGAAGGGGATCGGGATGAGGATCCAAAAGGCTTCCGCGCAAGACTGACAATGCGACCTGACATTGAGCGGCTTTTCGACGGTCGAGCCGCGGGCTCTGGTGCTCTGTGTTCCGGTATCTTTGTCCCAGCATTTTGCAATTCAGTGTCCTTCAGGTCCTCCGCGGATGACAGTGTAAAATGCGAGACCGGGGTCGAGAGTCTATTTTTAGAACGCAGGGATGTGCGGCGTAGAATATCCTTCGCGGCTGCTACACTCTCTTTCGTTGGTTTGGTCGGTGATTCGGATTGAGTAGGGACGGCATAATCGGAGAATGTTCTTCGTAGGCTCGGTGAGTCGGTATCTGTGTCTGTCTGGCTGGGAAGGTCGGTGTAGCTGGCGGCCCGTTGGGGCAAGCCACTTCCTTCATCGTTCGTATAGATGCTCGGTGCTTCGAGTGAGGGCGAAGACATGGTAGGAAGTGGTCAGGAGAGTAGCTGTTAACTGGACATTTCCCCGCGGGAGCACCGCAGACGTAAAGAGGGTGTTGAAGAAGGCCAGCTCCTCCATGTACCAGAAGAATTCCGGTCTGTGGCTAATGCTTAGACGCGCAGCATTTCCAGGTCAACAAAAGCAAGTAGGCAAACACAGCAAGTGACCCTTCAAAGGAAACAATCCAACCAGATAGAACGAAAGACTGAGGGAAGCGCAAGTGGTCGATCAGTCACACGGGGTAACGGGAGAGATCAGATTTTCTCCAAAGCGCGCACACACTCGAAAAGTAAAGAAGTTGAATAGATTGGATCGTCGCTGCAGCTACAGTCAAGGGCCGGCCTGAATTGATCGGCGTCGGGAAATCCTCCAACGGGCGGTACGGGAGCAGAACAAGGGTCCGGTCGCTGTGGCGGGGAAGGCGGAAGTGAGGGAGTTCAAGTAGGAACAAAATAAATTGATAAAAAGGGATAAACCACAGCCCCTTATATGAGAATTGATGGTTGGGTTTTGGATTTAGTGAAGGCGGGTCTCTTTTTTTCCCTCTTTCTCTTCCTCTCCTTTTTTTAAGTTTGTTTATTGGTATGGCTCAAGTATTAAAGGGGGAAAGAGAGGAGGTAGGAACTTGGAGGTAACGGGAGAAGTTGAATAATGACAAGCAGTAAAACAATCACGCAAGATGGAGATTCTTGGACTCAAAAGATAAAAAAAGAGTTTTATGCTGTAATTGATTCAGATCTTGCCCTTTGGACCCAATCTCCATGCTAAGGGTGAGACACGCTGTCCGTTCCCCACCCTACAGCCCCAAATCCACTCTAGATATAGCCATCATTCTCGCGTAATCTTGTGTCCCGCAATGATTGAGTCCTTCCAGGTTGTCCTTGGGCCCGATTGCAACCTCACGCAGTAGCGCCAATCGTATCGGCTCCGGACGACTGTAAAGGTGTCGATAGAATTTGCCCCAAAGAGGGGAAAGGGTAAACATGCATGTCCAAGCTTGATTAGGTTTATATACAAATTACCCGATCCGCCTACTTCCGTTGTTTCAAGGGTTCCAAGGTTCAAACGTTAAAGATGTACATGCTAGGTAGTACAGTATGCAATGCTTATAAACAACTTATATGGTCAAAGGCATCTACATGTATCTCATCCTCACACGCCATTCCTGCATCCCACCTGGGTGGCTTGGATATGCATTCCTTTATGGAATGTCGCTTCCCCCGAATGGCACGATCAACCAAAAAAAATGATAAGATTACAATGACATGATAGGTGCCCCACATTCCTATGTAGACAAATTGAAAACGCCTGGCCTCGAACTGGTACAGCTGACGCACCATACCTGACCAGCATTACGATCGAATGGGCATTGCGGATTCATGGGGTATGTATGTCCATCCAAACTGCCCCGTCCCGTGGGACATGACCATTGTTCACCTCCCATTCAGCAGAGGTTCTCGCCACTCAGACAATATCAGAAGCCATGGATAGACCTGGCCATGCATGAGTATTTGGGTTTGACTCGGTTCCGCTGGTGTAATCTCAGGGACAACACTCCAGGGCATTGCGCAAGTTCTTGGCGATAGTTCCATCTTTGGCCACCCCTTCCGATAGATTCCAGCCACTTTGGCTGGAAGTGAGAAGGACATGATGAGACAGTTTTCTGCATGAATATCTCTAATTTGACCGTTAGGTCGGTAATATAATCCATGCATTAAGTTAGGGAAGGAAAGGCAATTCGGTATAAACACGATAAGGCGAAAAAAGAGAGATGAAAGAGGCATCAACAAGCGGGAAATCATGTCGACTAGATTGGACCACGTCATTAGACTTGTTATGCAGTTCAGCCCCAACGTTTAAGACAAAAAGAGGCCTCATGTAGTAATTTGCAAGATCATATAGTCAAAAATTGATCCGTTAAACATCGAATGGTAAGATGGCCGAGTTGGTCTAAGGCGCCAGGTTAAGGTCCACCTTGACATCATTTCCTGGTCTACGTTTGTAGGCGTGGGTTCAAATCCCACTCTTATCATGTCTTTTTGTCTTTCTTTTTGTTTTCCTGGTCATTATCACCTCTTCAATGAATCAATGAAAAGCCCTTTCTTCTTCTTTGTTCCAGTTCTAGGTTTTGAATAATAACTAGGTTTTTGTATGCAACTCGTAGATGGTGAGTAAAACCACTCTCCACGCAATCGCGGATTCTAAAAGCCACAAATTATGGCAAAAATAGACCTTGGATCTAAACAAATTAAGTCATAAGCGTCCAACAGGTCACATTCGACCTATTAAGCGTCGTTGTGATTCGCATGCTTATGTTGACTATGTAGAATATATCCATAATGATCGCCGGCATCGGAACACCCCTCTGCACAATGCAGCCAGGGGGAATTGTTCATGCATAGATCAATATTCCAGTCCAATTTCAGACTGACCTTATGCAGACTAGATACACTGGTCAATTAATTCCATCGCGGGATCTATCTACTATTCGCAATAGTTCAATTACTCGTTTCCAATTTAAACTGATATCAGATGGTGGAAAGCATGTTCACCTACCTATCTTGACATGCTTCGAAATGTGATATGTATTTTGAGGAATCTGTCGGCGGTCTTACCTATATCTTTATTTATGCATCATTCAGAGGTTATTTGGTAGAGTGACATGATTCATTTAAGAATCATCAACAGACAAGGAATCCTGTAGCACCATGTTCACGGGCGCAGAAGCGTGATGCTCCAGGACCAGTCTTCCAAGTCAAGGTCGACATAGGACAGATTGAAACAGGTCGAGCGGTTCACTTCAAGAACAAATAAAAAGAGGTTGAACATTTCAGGATGGTCTAATTTACAAGCTTCAGGACCTGAGAGGCGGCCAATCTAGGCACGCTACAGGCATGCACAGCCGGCCCCCCATATTTCCCCAGACCTTGCCAAATGAAAGAAAGGGAAATTTAGTGGGCAGCAGCAGCCTCCTCTTCCTCCTCAACAAACCAGCTCTCCTCGACGGGGGCGGCCTCACCAGCGACGGCCTGGCCCTCAACCTCAACCTCGGACTGCTCGTAGGCGGACAGCTCAGCAGCAAGGTTGGACTCCTCGGGGGAGGCGGGAGCCTGGGGAAGAACGAACTTCTGGACGTGGGCGTCGGCGTCGCCGGCCTTGATGGGGGTGGGCTTGTAGGCCTTAAGCTCACGGAGGTACAGGTCCTGGACGGGGTCGGCTGGAAGGTTGATGTCAGTCAGGAACAGGCGAGGTCGAGTAGAGCCGAGGTGTAGTGCACAAGCTCCCAGGGAATTCAAGGTTGATACATACCGCGGCGGACAGCGGAGGTCAGGAAGGTGCGAGCGACCGGGACCTGTTGCCGGGCGGCACGGGTGAAGAGGGAGCGCTGGTAGAGAATCGCGTTAGCATGTTGATCGGAAGCAATTCGTTTGTAGTAAATTACCGAAGCCCGGAGAGATTGGGACATCATCTTGACGACGGGAGTAGTCGGTAGACTTAGAATGAGGGGATGCTCAACAGGAAGGAGATCTAAGCCGTCGTTCCGGTTCAGTGAAGTTCGAAACGACTTCTGTTCGGAAAGAAATGCTTGGCGCTGAGTCAACATCACGTGATTATCCGGATTGTTCTCAACCGGCCTCACCTCTCACCTCACCTTTGTGATCTTTCATCTCTCCCCCAGCCCCTCGATCCACCCCCACCCTCAGCTTGTCTCCGGAATTCGACTCTCCTGCTCTTCGCATTCCTGCAGCCGTCCGGTTCGACGACCCTTTTCGTGAGCTTGCTCTTACGGAGACCTTGATTGGTTCCTTGCGGTCGAACAAGCTCAGATATCGAGGCTCTCTGAATACCTTTCTTTCAAGAAAGCACGGATTAGTGAAGGCTTCTTCACTAGTGGGGGGTGATCTGTTCTGCGTGGCCCTATCTGAAAGGTAATGACAGCCTCGATGACTCGGGAAAGTCTCTGGTGTCGCAACCTGGATACCCCATCCGGGGGGCGACACCATCCTGGCTTGTCGTACTTTTCTCGTTGGATGTGACTGGCTAACACGAATGCATGGGTAGTGGTGTACGCATTTTGAGGAAGAAGCAGCTACTGTTTTTCTACTCGTGGCACAGCCGCCAAAGTGTATTCGCCACTGTTCCTTCGTTACTATAATCGCAAATACAATCTCCCCATCACAGCCAAAAGAATCGCAAAGAGACAGAAATCACGCTTCGAAGAAATCCGGAAGGCAAAGAAAATGGCGACCATGTCCACTATGCCCGCCGATGCGAATCCGTGGAGGAAAAACCTCAATGCGACACTCCAATGCCCCGAATGCAAGGAAGTCCCTCCCAACCTGGAGTTCCCAGATTCCCATGAGACCGTCTGCGGCTCCTGCGGCTTAGTTCTGGCCGATCGCGAGATCGATATGCACTCCGAGTGGCGAACCTTCTCGAACGATGACCAGAACAATGATGATCCGTCCCGTGTCGGAGAGGGTCCGAATCTGCTGCTCAACGGAGACCAGCTGGAGACCACCATCGCCAGCGGAGCCACTGGTCGATCCCGTGATCTCTACCGTGCTCAGAATAAGCAGTCCAACGAGAAGTCCAACAAGGCGCTGCTGGCAGCATACAAGGAAATCGGTGCTCTTTGCGATGGTTTCAACATCCAGAAGAACGTCGCCGACACAGCCAAATATCTCTTCAAGGTTGTGGACGATGCCAAGGCTTTCAAGGGCAAGTCCCAGGAGGTGATTATTGCTGGGTGCATCTTCATTGCATGCCGTCAATGCAAAGTTCCCCGGACCTTCACCGAAATTTTTGCTGTGACCAAGGTCACTCGCAAGGAGATTGGCCGCATCTACAAGGCCCTTGAGAAGTTCTTCACTGCCCAGAATGTCGAGCGACACAATGCGACTGGAGGTACCGGAGATCCCAATGATAACTACACCGCTACTACCTCAACTAAACCCAGCGACCTTTGCAACCGTTTCTGCAATCTGTTGGATCTTCCTTACTCGGTTACCAGTGTTTCTTCATCGCTCTCTGATCGCGTCACGGCCATGGGAGACCTGGCTGGACGTTCTCCCCTGTCTATTGTGGCTGCCTGTATTTACATGGCTTCGTATCTCATGGGCCACGGCAAGTCTGCAAAGGAGATTTCTGCGGTCGCTCACGTCAGCGACGGAACGATTCGTGGTGCCTACAAGCAGCTGTATGCCGAACGTGAGCGTCTGGTCGACAAGGAATGGATCAAAGATGGCCGTGGTGATATGGCTAAGCTCCCTGTGAGCTGAAATCACTTTCCAACTACAATGTACAGCCCTCCACACAAATATCACACATATTATGGTTTTGTGGATTCTATCTATTGGTTCCCAATGGTTTTCGCTACATCTTGAAAAACTAAAGTTACAAAAAAAGGTTTTTTGATATTGCAATACCCCAGATTTCACTGATTTCCAGCCCAAATTATGCTTTTCTTATCATTCTTCTTAGGTGCCATCGATGCATATGGACAATCCAGTGACACATAATTTACATTTTTTCCGTCGATTGCATTATTGCATTATCGTGCCTCTTCTCTGATGTAGAGATTGTAAATTATGGTATAATTCAGAACACTCTCGACTCTACCTAGGTTTAGTAAATTAGTAGGCCTACACCCTTCGGGTCAGGAACATACTACCTATTGCTTTAGTTTTTTCTTAATCATGTATCTGTGGCCTACCCTCTGTCTACCTCAAGTGCTGGATATACTGATATCCTCTTCAAGATTTTTATCTACAATACCTGAAAATTGGTTCATGTATATCGAAATGTACATTAAGAATAAAGATAGTAAAACACATTGGCTCTCGACTAGACACTACCATACGGAACCGTATGGCAGCTCATTTATGAGGGCAGCACTACCGTCTTAACCTACGTCAAAAGTCAACTTATGCATGTTCCAGACTCACGATGAACCAAGTGCCTGATCAGTGTTAGGTAGTAAGCTGGTCCTTTGGACAGCCAGATTATAAAGACTGTAAGAATTGACTGTATGAGTGGAAAGACTCAAGATTCCGTTTCTCTCCTCTCATCAAATCCATTGCTTTTATATAGCACCAATCTGTAGAGGTAGACTAGATCTCAGAATAGAGATGAAACCATACTCTCTTTTTTATATGAACTGTAGTAAGTTCATACATTAATATGTCGATTGAAATACGTCAAGTGATACGCTAGCACTAATACCACACGACTGCGTCCTTGGCCAATTTTGCGCTTGCCTGCAACTCGTTCACAGTCTCCTTGATCCTCTCAACCAATGCTTGACCATAGGCCGGGCCCAAAGGTGGCGCAGGCTTGGTGGTATCGGGTCGCAGCCAAGGTACAGTGGAGAGGGTTCCAGCCGCCTCACGTAGCCGCTGGATGTCCTCATCTTCATATCCGGCCCCCAAAATAATGGCACCCACCCCGCGTTCATAACTCTTGGAGCCTAGTTCACTGTCGGATGGCACATCGGCTTCTCCCCGCAACAGAGCCGGAATCTGGACAAGTCCAGCCTCGGGAGTCATGATGAAGTGAATGACTGGATGTTGTTTCTGATTAGCAACCAGGTTGGCACTTCGATATGTGGAAACACACCTTCGAACTCGGGTTTGAGGGCCGCGATAACGGCAGTGCCGATCTTTTCGGTTCTGCCGCACAGGACTACGGGGATAGGTTGGGCCATGTTTGATTGTAAAAGTTAATGAGGAGGTTGGGAAGAGTAAAAGGATATCAGGGCTGCACTGCACAAAGTGGAAGAGGAAGACAAATCATTCTTTGGCCCCCATTTTTTCCCCTCCACACAAGAACTATTCTTAGACATTAGAGCTCGATCTTGTCACCACTCTTTACCAATCAGTTTGCTCTGGTGGTGACTAACGGTGGTGGACCCGGTAGTCTCTCTTTCCTATTTCGTTCTTTTTAGTTAGCGTGCTAATGTAGCTGCAGAGGTTGATCGCATGGTGTATGCAAGTGGTATAGCAAGCGGGGATAAAAAACCATTTGAAGATGTACAACAGCAATTTCCAGTTGTACGACTAGCAAGGTTGTAGAAATAGTGCACGATGGTACCTCAAAACTTTTCAACTATATACTCTAATGACTCATTAAACATTACCTTGAGGTACTGGCCCGCAAGCCATTCGACGCACTCATGCCAAATGACGAATAAGACAGCTTCCAAATCAACCAGATAGCATTATACTAGCATGCCATAATGGAATAGATTGACGGTCTGGTGGTTCAAGCACAAATTAAACAACACAAAACAATAAGCTGAGCAGGTTGGAGTAGGATAATGTTAGTAGGATCTGCATGTGGTACGTTGTAGAATGCACTTCCACTCGTGTTCCTCATGTTCAGGCCATCAACAGCAGAAAATGAGAGAGAAAAGGAGAGAGAGGAGGGGGGGTGGGGGAGAGAAGGAACAGAGATAAAGTATTGAAATAGGAAATGAAACGCAAAACAAATCAGATGTTAAGATGACGAGACTGTCTCGTGTATATCGCCGTCTGATGTCTCCTTGCCATCGGCTGATGCGGTCATGTCCTCAAGAGCATTTTCAAACTTGGGCGGGAGCGCTTCCTTAGCAGGGGCTAGACTCGCCTCAGTCAAGATTTTCTCTTGCTTTGATTCTGACAGCGGCTCATCTTCTTGAGCTGGAGGCTCGACAACGGGTGAAGAAATCTGCTCCGAGCCAACATCTGCGGTTGAAGGCTGCTCAATTTCCGGGGCCGCGCCAAAGTCATGGAAAGAAGTCTCTTCGGCGGCAGTACGGGGCTCTGGGGTCGGGTCAACGGGTTCACCAGCAATGTTCTTTGCGATCTCTGGTGCCATGGCAGGCTCAGAAGGAATGGTCACCTCTGGCACCTTGGTGTCATTTTTCTCATCACCAACAACAAGGTTACCATCCTCACAGACCTGCCAGACATTCCATGTTTCTGTAATCTTGATCTCCGGAATAGTCGGTAGTCGAGCATTGGCATTCTCTACAGCGGGCTTTCGTCGAGCAGGTCCACGAGCTCTACCCTTGCGAGCATCACTAAGGGGCTGTTTCTCTGCCGGTGGTTCGGGCTCTTTCTCCTGGGGTTTTGGTTGTTGAGGACCTAACTGGAGACGCGAGTTCAGGTCGTTGAGGAATCCTGCCTTCAGAGCTGCGATCTTGCTGCCACCAGGACGAGCTGGAACCGCAGGCTTTGCTTTGGGCACGGCCGCCCCTTCAACTGCAGCTTCCTTGGTTTCCGAGTCGGTCGAGGCCCCGTGGCTAGGCTTTGTGGGACGAGCCGCGATCTGAGGCTTCGGGCGACCAGGGATCACTGGCGGCTGACGCTTCTCTGTAGGCGATGTGGACTGAAACTGTTTCTGTGGGCGGGCAGGGATGGTAGGTTTGGCAGGTACTTCTGGGCTCTTGACTTCATCCTCTGCAGGCTCGACTGTGGTCACCAATTGCTGACTGTCAGGTGCATCTTCCCAGATATCTCGACTTGGGAACCGTTGCTTAACAGCATCGGGGCGCCTGGTGGGCCTCGGACTTTCACGGGCGCTATCGCCCTCGAGAATATGACTGGCCACCTGATGAGAATCAATCTTAGAATTCTGCATTCTCCGAATAGTTTCTTGCTCGGGTGTCTCAAAGGCTCCTCCAGAGTCACGTCTGGGAAGATCTGGGGTTGTAACGGTAGCATGGAGTTGCAAGCTGTTGGGGGTATCTTCCCAGATATCCTGACTCGGGAACCTGTGCTTGGACAGCCCAGGGCGCTGCTTGAAACGATCTGCAGCTGAAAGAGGACGATCGTTCTTTGATTCATCTTCTGGGAACAACGGCTCGTATTCCTCGACATTCTCCAGAGGTGTATGGCTATCCTCATGTGAGTCAAACCGAGTTAACATGGGCCCTCCTTGAGCACTGGCGGATCTACTGTTGGAACGGCTGTGGGACACGCTGGGTGTCCGGCTTCGGTACTCTTCATCAAAACTTCCCCGAGTGGGTGAAACCGCAGGATGCAGGTATGCCGAACCGGGGCGCAATTCATCGGAAGCCAAGATAGGCTCATCTTCTTCGAATGCCTTTTTGATTGTCTCCGTAGGCTCATCTTGTACTGGAGTGGGAGCAAATCCATCCGGGTGGTGAAGGGGATGCATCGGGTTATTGACGTGGATGATGTCATTGTCTGCACGGTGCCCGTGCGATCTGCTCCGGCCATGGCGCAGCGGGGAGGCAGACGCAATCTTTGGCTCGTTTTCCGAAGCTGGGAAACTCATTTGGCGAAGTGGAGATTCCACGACGGGTTGAGAATCAAGGCGAGCATCAGGCGGGGGAGACGCCATGCGGTGCATGTACTCATCAGAGGCAAGGTATCCAACCTCCTCTTCGGGTGTACCTACAACCTCAGGAGAAGTGCCTGGAGTTTATAGTTATTATTAGGGCTTGGTCAAAGAAAATCATCCGCTAATTCAGCGCTTACCGGTTGTAGAGCCAGCTGGGGCTCGAATAATCTTGTTTAGGTCGTCGCTGCTCAGAGCCCAATCGGGGCGAGGAGTACCCACACCGGGGCCATATTGACCTGCCTCCTTAACGTACTCATCTGGGTGCTTTTCATACCAGGCCTTTTCAAACTTGTCGCCATTTTGCACACCGTGCCCGTGCAGGCCGTAGCTACCTGGGGGCAGTGAAGAGTCCCGGGCACTACGAGAGCGGTGGTGGTTGCGACCTGCGCGTTGGGAGCCTTGGTCTAGGTAAGGGCTGGGAGAAGGTGCTTGGACATCACCAGCATTGGGATACATGGGTACTCGAAAGCCCTGTTCATCTCCGGGTTGCATGGAAAGCCGGCGATCGGAGGAAGCGTTGGACGACTCGGCCCGCGAGCCGCTCGCTCTTCGGGAATGCAGTGATCGACTGTCCCGCTCGGGATCTTCGACAGCGGGGGAGCTTTCGCTGTCCCGACCCAGGCCAGCAGCAGCAGCCTGGCGAGAGTCTGTGCGAGTTACTGCCTGCACTTTGGCCTTAGCACTTAACGTCGGCAATGACGGTCTCGGCGCATGAATCTTGAGGTCACTGCTAACGTTACGAGTCTCCGCCGGTGCCTGGTGATGACCTTCGGGCACATTTCCAGCATCTAAATCTGCATACTCAATTCCTTCTTCCCCCAGAGACGGTATTGTTACGCTTGGTGGTCGCTGCGGGACATCATTCGAGGTGGTCCGGCTCAAGCTCGGGCCACTCCACTCGTTGAAAGGGGACGGTGCATAGCTACTCCGCATTGGAGACATTGATCGGTCGATGCGGCGGTTGACTGGGCGTGGAGGAATGCCAGGCATATCTAGGGAAGAGCGCGGCTGTGGTGATCGAGACGGCCGAGGAGGAACGACCGGAGCAGTTTGGGTAGACATGATGAAGACCCTTTTGAAGCTGCAGCATTTCAATATTAGCTTGGGCTCAAGTATACCCGAGTGCCACGTGTTTGAGGCATTTTAGGCGTCTTCTTGTCCTCTTGGGATGCTTGCAGGCCAAGACTTGACAAGGATTGTTCCGTGGGGTCAAGAACGCCAAAATGTGACGTCCATTGATGCAGGATAGGTCCAGGCCCCTCGAAATGGAGAATGGGGAGGGGGAAGGGCCGGGTAGCTGATAAGCAGTTGCAGAGGTGATTTGCTTACCCAGATCGATCTATCGAGTATCACAAATGCCTAGAGTCCAATTGAAGATATGCAACACAAATCGGTGTAAAGTAGTGACAAATGAGGGAAAGGAACTAGTTACTTGGGGGGCAGAAATTGAAGACAGGAAAGCAGGATGATGTATGCCTCGTTTCTGCCATGACCCACCGAGCGCGTGACGTGCTCTGACCGCATCGAAAGTCTCCATAGTTTACGGTATCATTACGGGTCTCGACTCTATTCAAGTATAAAGGAGTCAATGAAACATACTACTTGAGGTTTTTAGATTTTCCATTCATTCTTCACTGTTCCGAGCAGTCTCATGGATTCTGCAATATCCCAAACTTGAGCACCTTTCTGCGGCATTTTCGAGGCAAATGCCTCATAAAGAGTGGAGAGTGGTCGAGATCGTTTAGGTTCGGGGGCAAATCATACCTCGTGCTCCTTTTTGGCGGTCTATCTAGCGTATAGTGTTGTGTCTCCTTTTTCTCCTCTCTTCAAAGCTATTGGATCCCAGACCATGGACCGATAATCGTTTGGATCCAGACCATCTGCTCAAGGTATATTAATAGCATGTCTCTGGTACGGTGGCGGTGCTTCAAAGATGCATTATTTAGGGATCGCTCCAATATTGTGATAAGGAGCACTCACTATCGGTCTCGCCGATTATTTCTAAAAAAATCATTGGTCTGCTTTACCGAGGCGGTGAGAGTGCGAACGGTTCTCCGCATTGCATCATCTAGCATGAAAGACCCCTCTTCCTATGCACCTTTTGCTAGAAGGAATCAAATATCTTGATCGATGGCTGTCACATCTCAATGTATTTATATTATTCTCTCATTTATATCTACCCATTCGTTGGGGGGAATCAGACGAGTAACCTAGGAAGTCACTTGGGTAAGGTCTAAGCTCCACTCTCAACCGTACCTAGCTTTACAGTAATTGCGATAAATACCGTCATGACCTTGTATGACACGAGGGCCTGGAACTCGATTATTCCGATCTGGTTCCTGGGTACAAGCTAGCAAGGTTGGGAGTATTCCCGGGTGGCTTGAGGGGTCATGCCTCAGTCTGTGAATCTATGGAGTTTCAGTATTTGCGGCGCTGCCTAGGCACTAGCTAAGTGAATGGGAATCAGGGTGATCAAGCTGAGTAATATTTCAAGGCCGCGAATTCAATATACAGCTGTAAAAATTGCGATTAGTTGTATATAGTGCTAGCTTAAAGAATATGTGGTTGCAATGTCACCGAATCAGGGCCTTTCACTTGCAGTATCATCTATGTGATTTCATGTAGAAGCACCATCGAACCTTGCAGATACTTCTCATGAGATTACCTTATGCTGAGTCTTTTTTGTATGTATATCCTGGCTTTCGGGATGTGATGTCACTTAGCAGTACATTTGCGAAGTATCCCAGGAGGGTGTTATTCTTCTCGCCTATGCTCACAAGCTCTGGGATTAGGTTGAGCTGTATTGACCCTTCGCCAATATATTCGGAACAACCACTCAAGTGCTTCAGTTGGTCTTTCGGGCTTCTTGCTAGTTCTTGAAATGGATCACCTTTCTCTGACATTGTATTGACTGCAAGCTTCTTTTTTCCGTTTGTTATGCTGTAGAGATTCTAAACTTGCCCAACACCGTAGACACACATTTAATTGCCGCTGTCTATTAACCTGGGCTTTAAAATGTTTGTTTTTATGTCTTTTTGCAAGACTCACCAGCACCTATATCTAGGTTGTTCGCGGTCTATTTGCCATATGCTATAATTTCCATCCCCTCCAGACTCCATCCATCTCTTCTGTCATTTTAAATCGCGGCTCCTTTGGCATTTTCACTTGATTAAGTTCATCCAAGACTGAACCTTAGAGAAAGCCTGCACAAAAAAAAGTCGGGCCGATACCACACTCTAAGAGCTACCATCGAACTTCAGCCTCGTTGAACCTCCACCCTAAGCTACCTCTTCGATGACGGACCCTCTTACAAAATCTCATTACTAGTACGTATCTTAGCTATTCTCGGTCCATTTGTCGGAATAATATAAAACATTATTCTCTTGGCTGTCTTGGCCCTGTTTACCACATGAATGATGCGGCTCTGTGACTTACTTTCGCACATTTTCGGCTGAGGCGTTTATCCGGGTGAAGGAGGAGAAATAGAACATCCAAAATAGCAGAAATTGAAGAGCGGATGCTAAGATCCATAGGAAGGACGCGGATAAGGTTGTCTCTATGGTGCGCGAGTGTGACGCGCTTGACACTTTAGATGCGAAGTAGCGGCTTGAGCTTGGGCTTCCAAGGTTGCAATGCTCTATGTAGCCACTACTAGTAGAGGGTGAAGGGTCGTGAGATGGATTTTGAGAATAATGCTTCATTTAGGTAATTGATATGCTTCAATGTTGACACCGATATGATGTAAAGAATGCATACATACAACCAGAGTTATCTTAAGAAATATTAAAATAAGAAAAGCAGCGTGATCTTGGAACTCAGGTTGGTGCTTATTGAGAACAGGAAAAATAAAAAGACAAAAAGAGATGATAAGAGTGGGATTTGAACCCACGCCTACAAACGTAGACCAGGAAATGATGTCAAGGTGGACCTTAACCTGGCGCCTTAGACCAACTCGGCCATCTTACCATTCGATGTATAACGGATAGATTTTTAATTATATGATCCTACAACATTCAGCTTTACAAACGGCCAAACTTGAAGTGTTGATGCATGATCAACTTTCTGACTCAAAGGATGTTTAGATTAATTATGCATATCTATGAGCGGGCCAGGCTTCAATTTTACGCACATTTCAATACCTGCCAAGAAGCTTCTAGCTACAGACTTAAAAAACTTTCAAATCTCAAGGCTTGCTCGATCGATGACGGAAATTCATTTTAATATATATCTTGACCTGTGCTCCACATATCAAACAACGAGCGTTTCACCCTCAGTTTCATTCCTAGGTTCCTTGGTATATATGTGAATGTATGTGGAAAGTCAATTGTATTTCCTATGAAGTGGATATCGTGAGACACGAAACAGCACTTGAGCATTGGCACTGGGAAGATTATTGAAAATTCACTGAGACCCACATGCGTAGATGAACCTAGGAATTCAAGCGTTGATTGATGTCCAAAATCTCGGCGTTAGTCAAGCCACACATTTCAGCAGAAACTACTGGTCGAGTTTATCGCGTTACAAGATAGCCTAGGTGGCTGACACAAGACACGAAAAAGCATGCAGACACCTGAGCAGTAGTTGCTGGTATTATTTCAGGTATAATCAAGTGCAAATAATTAAGTCATAAGAGCCGGCGCAGACCCTAACAATACAAGAAACAGTTCAAATATGTCCGTGGCGAAGAGTTCAAAGTGCCAGATAGGCTCGCCCCGAACTAGAAACATACAAGTACAGGGCAGGTAAACAGCAAGGTCATGGCGCATTCCAATGCAAGTCGCCCGAAGGCCTTTTGAATGATTTCGCATCAAGCATCTCATCATTTCACGCAGATCCTTGAGCCCCAATGGTTATGATAGCCCGTACACCCCGGAGTCGAAGGAAGCAGCGCGATATCAATTCGGAAACCAAGCTCATTAAACAATCATCTGTACAACACCCTGGCCACCCAAGGTCTTGCTACCAACAAACTCCTGGTTCCTCAGACCGGCAAATGCGTAGAAGAGTGCGGCAATGATGAGGACAACAGCCACGGCGATCAAACTGGAAGCGCCGGTGCAGAGACTGGCCCACTGGATGCCGCTCAGGACGAGGTACATGGCAGCTCGCATCCAGTTTGTCGTGAAACGGCGGATAAAGGCATCGAATGTAGAGGACGTGGGGCAGATGCGGAGGAGCCAGGGAACTTCAATAAAGAGGATGACGAAGGTCGATGCACTGTCGCATGGTTAATTTGTATTTTCACTCGGAAAGGACATCCGGGCTTACAGGCAAAGAACGGAAAAGATGATCCGCACGACATGAACGGTGAAAATGTTGGCAATTCCAAGCGCCAGGCAAAGAATCATACCCAACACGCCGGTCCTAGTAGAGTATTATCAGCCAACGCTCTTACGCAGACGGAGATTTCGTGGCAGTGAAGTGCGCCAGAGGCCTTTCGCGGCCTAGCGCATGGATCCGTTATAAAATCAGGAGTCAAGGGGGTTTCGGGCAACAATAAGGGTCGAGGATACTAACCATTGTCCGTAGATACCTAGAGAAGAACGAGGTTAGCAGGGTCAGGGAATCCAGTGGGAGCTGATCGACAAAGCCGCCGCATCAGCACAAGGTACATACTGAAATTTCGCGAGCGGAATTCCTCGGCAAGAGTCATGATGGGCAGAGAGGTGACAAAAATTCGCAGCGACCGAAAAAAGACTTGAAATTGAGATCACAGGTAGACGTGGCGGTTTTCACTTAGTAAAGAGAGGTTTAAATGCCCAAACGTACACGCGGCTGATTAGCCACGGCGGCAGGCGGTCAATCACTGAAACGGAAACAAAACAAAGAGTTAATGTCGATCAGGTACCAACGGTCCCAAAGCAACGAGGATCTGTGAGAATAAATATAAAGTAGGTCTAACGGTCTTGCTTGTACATATAAAAAAAGGGACTTGTATCATCTGTTTTATCCCCCTTTTTAGGCAGACATCAATTTATTTGGTCTGAGACAAGGCCACTTAGGCTACCATGTATCAATTCCATTTCACATCACAAATGGAGTCCATACCTGCTCTGAATATAATTTCCTGAATTTCCGTCTCCAGAGTTCAAAGATATCATTATTATTCCAACGGTAAAAGTACGTGCAATAGCTATCGAAATATACCCTCGGTAGGCACTACCCCCAGGACTCTTTGACTGTTTAATGAGAATCGAAATGGAGAACTACAACATTCCAGACAGGTAGTGCTTTGAGACTTTGAGTGAGTGCACCGGACAGAGGCAAAATGACCATCTGCTTGCAAGAGCTACCTGCACAAAAAAACATCATGACAAAAAAGCAATGACAAGAGTGGGATTTGAACCCACGCCCCGAAAACGAGATACGGAAATCTGGATCAGGTGAACCTGAACCGTACGCCTTGGACCAACTCGGCCATCTTGCCTATTTACATGGAAACTTCTCCAGATTGACAATATGAGGATAACCATAAAAAATGCTAATTTCTGTGCAGCGATATCAACCTTAACTTTTTTGTTCATCTCAAAAGAACGATAAGACATTCGCCTTCGGAGTTGGGTCTGGGTGCTACATATCGATATGCCCTTTCTAGGGCAATGGTATCGGCGGAGCCTTAAACTCCCCAAACTCGAACATTGATACGTTTCTATCAACCAAAATAGGATGACCATCCTGGTGGAACTTCCAATATTTTACTTATTGCTCAGGCAGCTACATCATATTTGATAAATTTGCAACGGAAACTTCTAAATCGAAATGAGGGTACGGTGGTTGTAGATTCTGCGCCGTAGAGACAGTTGCATCTGATAAAATCGGACACTAACCCAGCCTACTGCGAGAGAAAAAGTTATATTTATCCATCGATAGGGAAAATTCGCGGTTTTCGTTAAAGTAAATATCAGCACACACCAAGAATACAAAAGCGCGATAGATCGATCTACTGTAACCTGTTCGTCAGGGACTCGTCTGTGACCTAGATGATGATCAACTATCGAGAGAATTGAGACCAAGTCTTCAATAGATTATAGATGAATTTCATGCATACCGCGACCCTTGCGAAACGGGCTGGAAGATCCATGGATGCACTAGACTAAATAGGGTCAGTTCTGTGATGGGCTAGCCCAGCTATCCTTATCAGGTATGCGCCACCGATATCGAACTTTGTATACCCCAGACCCCAGACTTGATATGGTTCTTTATCCCTCATACTCCTTATTGGGATAATGCAGGAATACCAATCGATCAGATCTTATCTTGCATTGTTTCCGCCATGATAGTGGAGGATCGAGATTGTACATGGTTTCATCGGCCCCCCAACATAGCGCACAACCCTCTGGAGGGCCAATTCTGGCCTATGTCGTAATTGATGCCAGTTGGCATATCTGATGAGTGGTGGGTTGATACCTGTTCTTTTATCTATAAATTACATTCCAGCATATACTAGTGCTTTGTTATCGCTTGAACTGTCGCGTATTAATCTAGACCCGGTTCACAGGCCACGCACGTCATCCCGTACTTTGTGGACCGGGGGCTATTCACGTGAATTGCGTCATCGAACGGATTCAGGTTAGTGCGCCAGGTCACCATAAGTTGACCTCCATTGACCCTCAACTAGCCACTCAGCATCTTGCATTCCGGTGTCCGAGTTCCAACCTCCCGTCTGTGCATAGATCTGACTGGCTGACACTCCATACATCTGGACCCCACTCGGCTGCTCCAACACCCGGGACACATTCCTGTCGTCGTCATCGTGAAATCATACATCCCCCTGTCACCTCAGATGTTGTGTATTATATTTCTAGTGATGGATTTAAATCTTACATTTGGTCTATGGTAGGGAGAAACTTCCATACCAGACATGGGGGATGCTTTGCCCCGTGGATACACTATCGTTGCCGATCCTGAATTGTTAAGTTACCAAAAAAAATCGTATGAAAAATTTTTCGTCATGTTGCCAGTGCCCCCATTTAGCCCGGAACGACTGTAGAATCCGCTTCCGAGCCTATATGCTATCTCTTATTGGTTGAATACACGGTACCGGGCCCACTTAACCTCTCCAGGTTCGACAACTAGACATGCGAGGGTCCATTGTGACCTTTTTTTTTTGCTTATCTTTTTCCCCAGCGTATGGATTCATCTTGACTTGTGAATAAAATGTGTATTTTCTATTGTATGAATGAAGATCGTAAACCGATGCAGTATCTGGAAAGAGAGCCAAATAGGAAAAGAAAAAAGGGTTAAAACCTCAACTTGCATGCGCAATCAGTCCAGACTCTCGGGGTCAAGGCTATTCCCCAACCTCCAACTGGTTTTTTTCTTTCTTTTCGCCTTCTCCCCCCCTTTACCGGCTTCGGCTATAAAACAGATTTTAGTAACATCGGTTACATCGGGTTTACCGTACCATCCTCATTTAAAATGCGTGGGGTTATTATAAATCAGTAACATCAACCCTGTTTGTGATAGGTGTATGGTATTATGGTAATACGACGGTATTGATGGGGAAGGCCCGTAAATTTCCATGTTACTTAATGTTTTCTCTCCCCTAAAATTGTCGTCATTCCCCCCTCTACGTCACTTCTCTCTTTCTCTTCTTCTCATCGGGTCAGCCTGCAAGCCACGCAGTGATCTTTTGTCTCTTTTCGTGTGCGCTTGACTACAGAAAGCAACTTGACATTTTTTATTTTCAAGTATGTCTGCTGCCGTCGCGCCCAGTACGACCACCATCAGAAACACATTGTCCAATATGGACTCGAAGAAAAATTCCAAAGAAGGTTCGTCGAATATCTGATGAGGCGCGCGTGTCCCCTTATGTGTCGTACCCCTTCTGCAACAACATTTGATATTCCCCTTCCTATCTTTATAAATGGGTGGGCACCGAAAGGATGAGCCAGAAAAGAAGAGAAAAAAGGAAAAAGATGAATACGAAGGAATTATTATAGCCGAATATAATAATTACTCTTTCTTTTCTTGGTAATCCGCCACCTGGAGTTACTTTAACTCAACTTCCCCCCTCTGCCGTTTGGATGATCTCACAACTGGCGTCATCGATCTTCCACACTTCTTCCACACAATGAAGGGCCCTCGTTTTCGACATCCCTCTGGTACCTTTATCGCGCGCGTCATCGTCTATCCTCATACATGCTGACTCGCCTTCCAGACTCTCAGTCTTCAGGGAAGGACCAAAAGCCCGATACCCAAACCTCGCTGGCGCCACCACGACGCCCAGCCGGAGCCGCCCCTAGTGATACCCCGGATTACTTCAACTCCGTTCACAACCCTTTCTCACTGGAGCCCAACCCGTTTGAGCAGTCGTTCAGCAGCAATCCCGGCGACACTCCCGGCAAGTCGCTGCTGCCGCCCGTCGCGTCCCTCACCTCCCCGGCCTTGCCTGGTGCAAGCTCTGCCGGTGGATATAACTGGTCCAACTCCCTGCGCTCAGGGCCCTTGAGCCCCGCCATGCTTCCCGGTCCCACTGGATCTAACGATTATTTCGACAGTATTGGCAGAGGCTTCCCAACTCCCAACGAATCGTCACTCCGCACTGGTCTGACCCCGGGTGGTGGTGGGTCGATGTTCCCGGCCCCCAGCCCTAACTCGCAAGCCCTACTTCAGCAACTTCAAAACGGCGGTGCCACACCGTCTACGATTGAGTTCCACCGCACTGCGTTGGCCGCCCGGAAGAACAGCGCAAATGGTCAAGGCAATGACCAAGACCCGACCTCGAACCCGACAATGGACACTAAGCCTCAGCCCTCGGCTGATCAATTCACCCAGCACGATGCTGCAGATGCCGCCAACGGTCTCTTTATGCTCGCCAAAGGTGGTCAGGCCAATAACATGCAAGCGAACCCGAATATGCAGAATGAGAGCCGCGCTGCTCGGCGCGTATCGTCAAACACGAACGGTACTAGTGGCCGTGAGATGAGCGGTGAAGGGTCGGAGCAAGAGCCTTCCAGGCCCGCTGGTAAGGGCAAGGGCAAGAAGAATGCTCCCAAGGCGGCTTCGGCTGCCAACAACCGGCGGAAGGCCGAAGATTCTGGCAAGGGACCAAATAAGAAGATGAAACCAAGCAGTGTCGAGCCACCGTCGGATCTTGATTCAGATGATGAAGACATGAAGAAGTTCTCGGGAGATCCTAAGAAGATGACAGACGAAGAAAAGAGACGTAACTTCCTGGAGCGCAACCGGTATGTCTATGTCGAAATTCCAAATCTACATCTGACTATTAGTACTGACTTTTTTTTCAGTGTCGCTGCCTTGAAATGTCGTCAACGGAAGAAGCAGTGGCTGGCCAACCTGCAGGCTAAGGTTGAGCTTTTCACCACTGAGAATGATGCTTTGACCGCTACCGTTACTCAACTCCGCGAGGAGATTGTGAATCTCAAGACCCTTCTCCTCGCCCACAAGGACTGTCCCGTTTCCCAGGCTCAAGGACTTGGCCCTCTTATGATGAATGGCATGTCAACTGGGTATGAACACCACGGATATGCCATGCCCGGACAGATGGGTATGCCGCCAGGTGCCCCGATTCCTACCCAGGGCATGCGACGGGCGTGAGACCAATAATTATAATGTCTCTAGCTCGTCAGTTTTTCCCTTTTCTTCTACTTCCCTTGGTCAACCGCCAAGGCAAAATTTAAGCCATTTGCTTAGATACGACGACCCGCCTTTTCCCTTGGGCGAGGGTACTTACCCAAAATGTTTTTTTTCCCTATTATTTCGGCCATGGCTTCGCCGAAACTTTGGCATGGGCAGGTGTTAACGATGCACATGATTCAAAAATTGGACGTGCTGATTCTGGTGGTCTCGAACGAATGAATTCCTTAGTCTGTGGAGGGCGCGTCTTTCCGGCGTCTTGAGATTTTTATGGCTGCTTTAAGGTTGTTCTTATGGCTCATGTTACTCCCCTGGTTTCCTCTCCCGTTGTACTTTCTGACATCCCCTTTTCTTTTCTTTTAATTTTTATCTCCGAGGGTCTTTGGGGGAGAACCTTTTACTCTTTCGCTTGTCTAATATTTGGAGGACCCGCGGGTGCATGTGTTTTTGAATCGGGTTTGCTTGAGATACACGATTTTTGGGTGGCGTTTGGGTGGGTTTGTCCTATGATTGTTTCACTAGTTTCCTTGAATGGATTGCCGGAGCAATTGAACTAACTATCGCTTTGCAATTAACCTTCAAATGTATAGTAGTATAATCAAGTTCCTTCGCAATCGTAGACAACTGCAATTAGCTAGAATACTTCAGAGTCTAGCCCCGAGGTATTTACCTCGGTAATACCTTAAGTCGCTACACTATTAGCTACTTCCATATGCACCCTTCCATTGAACTAGCCAGTCACACGCAAAAAGCACGAGTACCCTAGTAGTGGAGGGTTCGACTCCGAGTCGGTACTTTGTGGATATGTTGATAATTGATAAGAGACGCGTTCGGGCAAACAACCCAAACATCGGAAACACCAAACCCACTCCGCATGGCAATGTCGACCAGATGCGTTTTCTCAAGTCAATTCCAAAACATAACTTCTCTCTTTCAGTTCAACTGGGTTCGAGCAGATAAAATCTCCCAAGTATCTGCATTGGACTTGTAACGCGTCGCCCAAACTCTTTAACACCTCAATCCCCGAGCGAACCTGAACCCCAAACCCGCCCAATTCCACCAACTCACGACAATAACCCCCCATTCAGCGGGGGAAAGGGCAGGAATATGTCGACCTCGACCCGACAACCTACCCGCCCGCGCCGCATAGATGATGCTCTCTCCCAACTAGTCGACTCCCTGACCCCCGCGCTCCCCATCACCACTCTTCAAAACGATGATTACTCCGACGCTGACGAAGCGCTCGCAGCCGCCGAAGAACGCCGTCACAACGCCTACCTTGAGCGTGCCTGGTGCATCATTGACACCCACACTGCCTCAAACACTGCGGATGGTGGCTCTCCATCAGGCCGTCGGGGTAGTGCCGCGGGAACAGAAAACGTCAACAATGCCGCAGATCTGATCAAGCGCAAACTGCGGCGCGAAAACACAAGCCCAGAGCTGGCCGTGAAATTCTCGAATATGTACTCTAAGCTCCTGACACAACCTGTTCTATCACAAAAGTGGGGCATCCTGTACCTCTTGTATAAGTTATCTGACGAAAATGAGTTTGCGGCTGAACAAGGCGGCGAGCGGAGTCGCAGTCCACTTATGGATGATGGCAATTTGCAGAATATGCTTGGTCGGGGCACTCGGCCCAGACGTGGGACTGGTTCTCGCCCGTTTGACTCGGAGGATGACGAGGGTCCTGCCGTTAGTTCATCTGCGTCACAACGTGTGCCGTTGTCGTCTAAACCGGAGCGCCAGAGCTCTTTGCGTCGGGACTGGGAACGGGATGAGCGCGGCAGTCGTGGGGCGAGCAGTTTTGAGGCGGGTATGACTGACCGGGAAGGCGATGAGCGTATGGATGCGCCGTCTCGACCTTCTACGGCGACGCCAGCGGCTCAACCTCGGGCTCCAGATGGGTTTGAACATGGGCTTTTGCGCGACCTACCTTTCAATCTACAAGGATTGTCTTCGACAAACCTGCAGTTCCAGTCCGCTTCCATTTTGAAGTTGCCGGCTAATATACCGGCTCCAATTGTATCTTTGCTCAACTCTTTGGCTGAGCCTTGTCTTCTTTATAAAGGGCTGTCTACCTTTGTGGAAAGCACAGAGGGTGGATTGGTGAACCAGAGCCTACGGGCTGCTATTGCCACCGAGTTGCGGTCTTATCTTAGTTTGGTTGCGACCCTAGAAGCGGAGATCCGACAGGCGCTTACTGCCATTGGGAATGCAACTGAGCCTAAAGGCGTCCGGAAGGGTGGAGTTACTCTGAAGAGATGTGTTGTCTGGACCAGGGATGCCACAATGGCGCTCCGCCTGATGAGCCTTATTGTGGAAGAAGCTCGAGGTAAGTGACTGGCTCAATGAGTGCTAATTATGTGATCTTCATGCTGATAACAATGCAGATAAGAAAGGAGGCCAATTGATATCCTTGATCCATGGATTTTCTTCATCCCATGGCGACCCGTTTGTGTGCGCCTTTGCAGAGAAGCTTCTGGTGCATGTCACACAACCGTTTTATGATATGCTTCGGTCATGGATTTACGACGGTGAACTCTCTGACCCATATGAAGAATTCTTTGTTGCGGAAGGAAAAGGAAAGCCTGATGAGGACCCCCGCCGCATTGCAACTAGTGTCTGGGAAACAAAGTATGTCTTGGATGAGAAAATGCTACCTTCAATCATTACCGAAGAATTTGCGAACAAGGTCTTCCTAATTGGAAAGTCTTTGAACTTTATCCGATATGCTTGCGGTGATTCTGCATGGGTGGAGGCATATTCCAAGGAAGCTTCGAAAGAGCTGAAATATGGTGATACAGCCACTCTGGAGATATCCATCGATGAGGCCTATAAGACCACTATGGCGCGCCTCATCCATCTCATGGATAATAAATTCAAGCTCTTCGATCATTTGCAGGCTTTGAAGAAGTATTTGCTTTTAGGACAAGGTGACTTCATTGCGCTACTGATGGAGTCTCTAGCCTCGAACTTGGACCGCCCTGCAAATTCTCAGTACCGCCATACTCTCACCGCACAACTGGAACACGCCATCCGCGCCTCGAATGCGCAGTATGACTCGCCGGATGTGCTCCGCCGGTTGGATGCACGAATGCTTGAACTTAGCCATGGCGAGATCGGTTGGGACTGCTTCACCCTCGAATACAAGATTGACGCACCGGTTGACGTCGTAATCACCCCATACGGATCAACGCAATATCTGAAAGTTTTCAACTTCCTCTGGCGCGTGAAGCGAGTCGAGTTCGCCCTCAACAGTACCTGGCGCCGTTGCATGACCGGTGCACGAGGTGTACTTGCTCACGTCGACGATAAAGTTGGGCCAGATTGGAAACGCGCACGATGCGTTACTGCCGAAATGATCCACTTCGTCTGCCAACTCCAGTACTATATCCTGTTCGAGGTCATCGAGTCCAGTTGGGACACGCTGCAGGCGGCCATATCCAAACCAGACTGTACTCTTGATGATCTCATCATGGCGCACAAAGAATACCTCAACTCCATCACACACAAGGGTCTTCTCGGCTCTGCCTCTCCACGCTATGGTTCTTCTACCTCTACCTCCGCCAAGCAACCCGAAGAAAGCTTTCTCTCCCAGCTCCATCATATACTCAAGATCATGCTCTCTTATAAGGATGCCGTCGACGGTCTTTACTCTTTCTCTGTCGCAGAATTCACCCGCCGTCAGGAACTAAACGCTAAAATCGAAACTCGCACTGCGCAGGGCCGCTGGGGCGTCACAGACCGTGACCTCCTACCCCGTCGTACAAATAGTCGTGGCGGCACTTCCATGGCCTCAACACCTAGCCTTCGACCCTCCAGTTCGGGTCTAGACGGATTCGAGACTCCATTCTCTCTCTCCGCGCAAGATTCTACAGCCGATGACCACATGCTCGCGTCTCTACGTGTGCGGCTTCGGGATCTCTCTGCAGATTTCCGCTCGCGCCTGAACATCTTGCTCGGTGACCTTGCCTACCAGCCTGATGTGGATATGCGTTTCTTGGGTGTCGTCATGAACTTCAATGATGTGTACGAGCCTATAAAACGACGACGGGCTACAGGTCCTAGCTCTAAGGAGAAGGAAAGAGAGCGGGAGCGTGCAAAGCGGAAAGCAGCCGCCGCTCAAGCTACGGGCTCGGGTACTGAAGGGAATAGTATTCCGCGAGAAATGCGGAGGGAACGAAAAGATATCCCGGAACAAGGTGCTAATGGGGTCGCATGAAGCTATGCTCACTGGTTGTAAGAGAGAATATAATAGTGTAAGGGCCTATTAATGTGAGACGAATCTATTATATTGATCACTGTAATCGAAACTAGTACACCTTTCATCTGTTATGAGTCGAAACTGTCGTATCTACTACAGCTCGGGTACGTAGTACAGCAATCTTATCAAAGACCGCCTTAGTCTCGTCCGGCAGAAAAAAAAGTCAACTCCGCCTCCATCGTAGAATCAAATCTTCTCAACCATTAGGCCCTCAGGAAAGAACCTGAAAGCCTTTTCAAAATTACACTACTCACAATTGATCCAATCACAATTGTGGGACGTCCAAATCGAATCTTTGTTTAGGTGTCTGCGCCGCAGAACCTATCATTCAACCACCCACTATGGCAAAGACAAAAGACCTTAACTCCAAGCCAAAACACACCAAAGAGAGCGTCGACGAAGACGTACAGATGTCCGAACAGTCGACACCAAAGAAGAGCGCCGACAAGGACAAGAAGAAACGCAAGAAATCTGAGGAATCGGAGGAAGTGACGAAGAGCAAGAAGCGGAGGCATAGCAACGAAGCTGAAGATGAAGCCGATGCAGTGAAGGAGGAGCCCACAAAGAAAAAGAAGAAGGAGAAGAAGGAGAAGAAGGACAAGAAGAGAGTCTCATTTGGACCGGGGACCAAGATTGAAGACGGAGACGGAGATGAGAGCGACGCCGACAATGAAGCCGACGCCGAAGCCGAATCAAAAGTTGAAAGCAATGACAACGACTCCGACTCCGATAGCAGTGAAACTGTAACCAACACGAACTCATCACGGCAATTGCAATCCGAAAATGAGAAAGCTTTAGAGGAGATGCGCAAGCGCAAGCGCGAGAAGAAGAAGGCAAAGAAGAACAAGGACGGTTCCTCAGCCCCTGCATCATCGTCCTCTTCGGCACAACATTTTCATGAATCGCCTATCATGTCTTATCTGAGCCACTACCACCATGATCGTGCAACGTGGAAGTTCCAGAAGAACCGGGAGACGAACCTGTTCAAGCACCTCTACTCCGAGGAACATGTTCCTTCTCGTTATAACATTGCGCTTTTGTCGTATCTGAAGGGATTGAAGGGTGACGCTGCGAAGGCGAGATTGAGTCAGGGTGCAGTTCAGGTTCTGAAGGCTGATATCGAAGCTGGGCAGAAGGATGGGAAGGACGAGGATCCCGAGTTCCAGAAGGCTGTTGATATGTTCCGGGACGCTTTGGCTGATGCTGGTCCAGAGCTGAATTGCCCCGGGTCAGTGGAGGGACTGAAAGCGGTTGCGAAGAAGCGTCTTGAGAAGAGAGCGCGGGCTGAGCTTGTCTTCTATGCTGTGTCCGAGGAACTATTCGACATTGTGAAGTCCGTTCCTAAGAAGATGCCTGTTAAGGTGGTTCCGGTGGCCAAGAAGAGAAAGAACCGTACTGCTGTTGTCGATATCTCGAGCAGTGAGAGCGATAGTGATGATGAGACTTCCAGCTCTGGCAGTGATAGCGACGATGACTCCTCTGACTCGGACAGTGATGAGGACCAGCCGGCTGCTCCCAAGAGCCAACCCAAGGCTGCGGAGAAAACCCCTACCCGTGCTTTTGCTCCTGCTCCTGCCCCTGCTCCTGGTCCCTCTTCCAGAGCCAAGGATGCGGCAAGCAGGAAGGAGAAGAAGGCCGCCATGAGGAAGGAGAAGAAGCTGGCGCCTCCGCCCGCGCCTGCTCCAAGCAAGAACAAGAAGAAGCAGAAGCGTAAGATCAGAACTACTGAGATTGAAATCTCGAGTAGTGAGGATAGCGACTAAGGTTTTGGGATGAAATTTCGATTTATGGCATGTATTAGAAAAGATATCCAGCCGTTTGTACAGCGATCAATCAAAAGATGAATACTTGGATGTGATTTGTATACCTGACTATGTCATTCCAAAGTCTTAAAAACCATTGGACAGCGCCCCAGTGCTATGTAAAGACGATGACTTCGCTTCATCAAGCTCTAGTAGAATTGAAACAAGTGAAACATACAATTCCATTTGTGCTAATGCCATCGGAATTATTCAAGCTTGAGCAGGGTTTGGATGAACATGAACATATTCGTCTTATACTGCGCACTTGGCGGTAGCAATATGGTTGGACAAAGGCGGTGAGGCTCAAGCTCAAGCTCTCGTTCAAGCTTAGGCACCGCTGGCACGCGTCACTGTCAATTCCCTTTCCATCCATCTCGCTTCTTTCCTCCCCATTTTGACCATCTCTTCTCTTCTCTACCGCAATAAAAGGATTCATATACCGTCGCCATGTCCGGTACGTCTTTCTCAGCTCCTAACGCTGACCCAGCCCCATGACCTCAACCCCGACTGACCTTCTTCTCCGCATCAGGAAGCGCAGGTTACGATAGACATATCACCATCTTCTCCGACCAGGGTCGATTGTACCAAGTCGGTACGTACTTAACACTCTCTACGAATTCCCTGGCTTCGCTTGGCCCCGCGAAGTGGCGATGCTCCGTCATGCTCACGGACCACTGACAATCGATCTGCGCTGTAGAATATGCATTCAAGGCCATTACCTCTGCCAACATCACCTCCATCGGTGTGAGAGGAAAGGATTGTGCTGTCGTGCTGTCGCAGAAGAAAGTTGCTGTAAGTCATTACTTGGTCCATCAGCATCAGCAAACATACTGATATCCCATTCATTAGGACAAACTCATCGACCCTTCCTCTGTTTCACATGTCTTCAAGATCTCGCCCTCTGTGGGTTGCGTTATGACCGGCTCCATAGCAGATGCTCGGGCGTCCGTTGATCGTGCCCGTGGAGAGGCTGCCGAATTCCGGTACAAGTTCGGATATGAGATGCCCTGTGACGTCCTGGCGAAGCGATTGGCGAATATCAACCAGGTCTACACACAAAGAGTAGGTGTCCTTGTTCATCCTCCCTCGAGCTGTTACTGATCTGTGTCTCTTCATCCAGGCTTACATGCGGCCACTCGGTGTGGCTACGACCTTGATCTCCGTCGACGATGAGAAGGGCCCCCAGCTGTACAAGTGTGACCCGGCCGGTTACTTTGTTGGATACAAGGCGACTGCATCTGGTCCCAAGCAACAGGAGGCGCTGAACCACCTGGAGAAGAAGTTGAAGAACAAGGATGCGGCACCGGGTACCTGGGAGGAAGTGGTGGAGCTGGGCATTACTGCACTCAGCAATGTGCTGAGCGTTGACTTCAAGAAGCACGAGCTGGAGGTGGGAATTGTTGGTGGTCCCGCGGCAGATGGCGAGGGTACAACTACAGCGTTCCGTGCTCTAACGGAGGAGGAGATTGACGAACGGCTGCAGGCCATCGCAGAGAAGGACTAAGCAGACCAATTGCTGAATTGCAACCTTTGCATATTGGGTAGCAGTATGATGGACCAAATAGGTACAAGGATCCAGGTGTGTTATTGTGATATTCATTTTCTATTTTAGAAAGAACGACGAATGAATCTACTCCATTGAACTTTCTGTGGTCTCAATTTTCTTGTTTTTTCGATGGTCGTCTGCAAGGCATGGGTTTCGGCTGTGTTTCGCACCACGCACTACCAGGATCCTCTTTTCTGCAAGTACGATGACGCTCGGCTATGAATATGCGCTTGGGTTAGCGCGTCAAGGACAATCATGGGCGGGGCAACCTGAAAATACGGGATAACTTTGCCACCTCCAGTTTGATGGATCATATAGAATTACATATCAGTATATCATTGTTCTATACATTATCAAGGTAAGGGGGGAAGAGTCTTTCTCGATTCTCGAATAGTTTCAGCTTCTCAGCTGCCCCATCGACGCCACATGTGGCTCGGCCACAACCGTGGCTTGACCAGCCCTTCAATCAAAGCTGAACTGCTGTGTCATAGTAGGATGATGTGTTGTTCTTTTTTTCTTTTTCTTCTCCCTATCAAACAATTCACAGGTTCCTGGCTAATACAGTACGTTGATCAGGGGTCCCCACGAGCGGACTCGGATGCACCGAAAAGTACACCAATCAAGGTCAACAATCACTACTAGAGAGAGGCACATCAACCGCACAGAAACCTAATCTATGTTCTTGAGTCTCCACTTTGACGCTCATGCTCGCACTAGAAGCGCCCCATTTTCCTCAAAACTACTTTTCTTCTCTGACTCCAAAAATATCCACAAACGTTCTAGGTTGGGATCTAGAGATGGGTCCATGGGTCCCTGTTTTTCCCTTTACCCGTTGACGGTTTCTCGGGAGCTATCGTCGGTGGCCCGGTCCACCTGCATTTCCCAGCTGTGCTTGACTTCCGCGATACTCCTCATTTGGCTTTCTTCACCGTCTATTGGTGCAGCCGTATCTGTTCGTCGGTGATCCTACTGACGTTCGTCTCCGCTGTCATGGAACCGTAACTCCTTTTGGGATTTTTATTTTTTGGATTTTTATTGGGCATTTCCTTTTCTTTATGGGTCTAGTTTGAGATCCAGTGCTGTCATGGTATGGGGTTCTGGGATGACGCTGCTCTCATTCCTATAAAAGACTCGGATCCTCGCCACTTCTCTATAAATTCATCAGACTTGTTCACTTTACTTTCTTATACTCTACGTTCATTCTTCTCTTTCATTGATCTTTTTATCTTGGTGACATTCTCTTCGAGCTTCTTCTTGTCCCATCTTTTCTAGATCTACATCTACTATTTCTTATAATCAAGACACTCACGAATCTCAATGGCGGACGGACGTAAGTAATGATCACTTTGAAGGTCCAATTGGACTTGAATCTCCCATTAGGATGCTAACATTCATTGGGAACAGTCAACCAGGCCCGCGCAGTGCGAGTGGCCGAACTCATTAACGACTACCGCACTCTCTTGCTGCACATCTCTCAACAGAATGTCGATGTACACCCTGACGATCAATACGAAGAAGGATATACCGTTCTTCGTGAATGCCATACCGCTGCCCAGCGGTTAGTGTCCGCCAACTACCACCCATGTCCGATGACGGGCCAAGGCAATGCCGAGACAGAGAAAGTCGAACTACAAAGGTAAGTGGCCCTTTTTCCATGAACAGTCTGATTCAATTCTGACATACATCAGAGTTATCATTGATAGCTGTGCTCGCCGATTCCAAGCACACAAGATCTACCTCCGAGCCGCCGCCGCTCGACGATGGGCCATGACTCGTGAAACTACCCTCCGAGGCGCACGCCCAACACCAGCACATACCGCCGCCCTAAAAACGATCCACGACTCACTGCAGCGGGATCTGGCGCGCATCACCGATCAACACGTTATCGCTGACCTTCGAGCCGCCGACCAGCGGGCAGGCCACTGGCTTGAGGATGATCCGTCCTTGGATGTTATCCGGCGCTGGATTGGGCGGTAATGCCCATGTATATGACTATGACTATGAGTATGACGCATTGGTGTCAGCTATGAGGTCTCGAGGAGACACTGTATTAATCTCCAAGCTGAGAATGTTCTAATGGGTACGAAGTATGCGAGGACACTGGTTTTTGGTTTTTGGTTTTTGATTCTTTCTATTTTCCTATACTTTGTTTGCAGCGCTGGTCGCTGTGGTTGTTTGGGATTAACGAAACAACCCAATGTGACACAAAAAAAGAGAAAAGGGTCAGTCAACGTTTCCCAGGCATGACGAAGATATCCCCAGTTGTTTTGGGGGGTTTTGTTTATGATTTATTGGATTTGATGGTGATTTATTCCATTCTTTTGGCGTTTCTAAGTATACTCATTTTGAAGAATCTTGCATCAGAAATCTCCAAGTATCTACAATTGACTTTTCCTTTCATATTTCAATTTCAAAATACTGCTACTCGTATAAACCCGACAGATATACCGATAGTGACCAAACCCTCAGGGGGAGTGGACAGAACCATACTATGGCATCATCAGCTCGTTATTCCATTCTCCACAGTTGTGAGCCAGACCCGTCGGGCACCCATTAAACAGAGTACGTGTAGAGTAACAATCCACTTCTCCTAACTGCAGGGAAATAAAATTAGAATTATAAATAATTGAATAAAAATCTGCCGAACTAGTGCTTTCTACAGATACAGATCCAGAGGCTAGGGATGACTTGCAACTTCCCCCCACTGGAAGTTAAGGGCCCATAAGATCCACTACAGGAATTGGCCCTGGGCTGATAATGCGATTGGTCATATCGCGTAGACGGAGATCCGGACACCTGGGCCGCGAGGCAGACATACCAGCTGAAAAATATCACTGTGACTTAAATGAATCATACTAAAAGAACAAGAATTGAAATAATGCCAAGTGTTTTTATGGATCAAGAACCGATTGGTCGCTATGGAACTCGACAATTTAGCAGCGCACGCTCCAACGCTATTCGGCGTCTCTGTGAGAAAGAACGACCAACCAAAATAGAAAATCGGGCTATGCAACTATGAATCTTCAACTAGTATCTACTAGTCTGTAAGTACTACATTGTCCTTGAGTATATAAATAAGATTGAAGTGCTCAATTGAACGTTGGGAAATTATGGAACCATCCGAGAAAATAGATAAAAAAAGTTAAGGAAAAGACAAGATCTATGGTATTGCAGACCGTTTTGGCGCTTCCACCATGAACTTTACGTAGCTATGACAGGATGTTATTAAAATTCAGAGACGGCTGATCTAAGTGGATCCGGGGCTAAGGCATTAGTCTGGTGAGCGCTATACCAATCAGTGATCAGATCGGGCGCGTGTCGGCTGAAGTTCAGCTGAAGTTGGTTTGGGAATGAAAAATCTGCATGTATCTGCACCTGGGGCCTTGTTATTTGGGTTTCTTAAAAATTTGATTTTTCGTTGATTAACCTTATACTTAGTCAAATAGTGGATACAGATTCCTTCCCCGACACTTCTGGATTGCACTAGTGCTGGTTTCAGCTGCCTGAGGTCTTCAACGTGATCGTCATTTCAACGGCCCAAAAGGTGGAGCTCGTTCGATTTTTAATTTGGTTTATTTTTATTTTTTGTCGGGTCACTCTTTCGAGGTCGTTTCACTAATGCCATGTGTCCCGGGTGTCTGCATGATTCAGGTTTTTTGACTTTCTAGTGGATGCTATTATTTAGCGCCATGCTGACCGATACGACTTCCAATATTGCTGGCGTGATGTCGGGCATTCTATTTGAATATTTGAAGTCATCCAGGTTCGGGAAATAGAAAACATCAATTTCGTTCTTTCAAGTATACCAGCATGAGCATCATCTTGGCCAAACATATGAAAGTTAATGATTGCTATAAGACCCGGTGATAGAACCAATAGAAATCAAACCCTGGCAGCGACTCCGTGCACGTGAACATGTGGACGTGTAGGACCTTCCAGAATTTTGAAGGTTCCCGACTCACTGATGAGCAGCAAGGGCTGCTGGTAACATGCATATCATATGCCGTTATCATCTACCTACCTAGGTGCTCAGCTATGTAGATTTTCTTTTACCATACCGGCCCATCATAACAGATCTTGCCGGGACAAATTTTATGTTGATGTAGGTACCTACATGTACCCAGACCTGGGCATTGGGGGGGGTGTAAAAAATGGTCTACATACATGATAGTGCACTACATATGTAGGTAAACTTCGAAGGTTTGGAGATATATATTTCCGAGATACACCGCGAGTGGACATTTGAACACGACCTCGAGAGGATAATAAGTTAAAATTAGCGGTAATGGCTTCAATACACGGATCGAAATAACATCCAAATTTTGAAGCCAATTTAAACCTAAACATCATGATGAATCGCCAGTGAGTCTTGCTGCGGGATACGGTCGATCCCTGCTGCAAGCGTGTGATGTGGAACTTGAAAAGCACTGTATAAGTCGAAAACAAGCTTACAAATCTCAACAAGGTCCCTTGGGACAGCGGTTACTCCGTTCGGTTTTGATCCGAAAGATCGCCGGTTCGACCCCGGCAGGGACCTTTACCTTTTGCCGTTTCTTTTTTTTCCCTCTTCATTTTTTTCTTTCCTATTCAAGCATTTTTTTTATTTTTATTCCTCAAATGGTTCTTTCATTCATCTCGGCACAGCTGTCATCATTTACAAAACTGATTTTCGAAATAACCAGGAACATAAAAACAAGCGGAATACTTGAACAAGGCTGACAGACCATCTGTACCTGTTAAATGTAAATTACATGCATTGCGTGCCGATATATACACACACTGACTCTCCGACCAAGAGGCTGCATGTGCATGTGTTTAATTGGCACTTACGCTACATTAGTGGAGCTCTATGGTCAAACTATATAGTAGGCTCGTCAACTCGATGAATGGTCGGTTTAGATGCTACTAGCCGCACGTTTTCGGTAGTTTATGAATCATTTATTAAGTCTTCCTTCTTAGATCTATGCGCCGCATCCTGAACCGAATGCAGCTTCAAGGTCACTGGCAACCCAAAGACATCCTTTCCAAGAGGATTCTCGAGCAGTGATCATTTGATAAGTAAACCGTGTACAGAAAATGTCAAGCGTCAATACTCATAAACCCCCCATCTGGCCTGTCGTACGACTCTACTCAGCAGCATTACCAAGAATCCCTGGAGGGTTTTATTCGCAACACCTATATATATATATCAGGCACGCCCGGACATTTTGTCGCCCATGCAACTAAAATCCAATGACCCTCCACATCTAAATGTATAAGCCCCCATGACTGCGAGATATATCTATCTCCAGGCCTGATGGCCCGAATCTAGAAGGAGAGCCTATCTAGGTATGGTTAGCATCCTCCGTGATTGCTCCTTATAGCTGTCACAGGCCACAAGATGCCCATAAATGACCCGTATAGCGAAGATAGGAAACAGATACCCAGAAGATGCATCAATCCAACCAATCAATTGATAATCAAAAACATGAAACAGCAGCATGACTCGTGCAGTTCCACAGAGGCCATGTGCAGATGGACAAGTCATGGTACATACCGATTCTCAATTTCGCGATTGTCCTATAAAAAAGTGGATAACAGCTCTATGATATCGTCCTCCACTTCGAGCCCAGTATTCAATTACTGAAAAGTGATGCACAGCCTCCAGTGAAACTTGTTTGCAGATCATATTTTCAGCCACAGGTACGGCCATTCCCCAGCCACATACACAGCCACAAGCCTGTGCACAAGTGGCGTTGTTATTTATATCCCAGGCTCATTAATCCGCCAATAGTCAGGCTACGACATTAGGCGCCCCTCAATTCATACCTTGAAAATATCAACATAGTGCTTACCTGCCTACAATCGACTTTCATCTAGTTTAAAATTTGGCAAGTGTGGCTCTTCGTCGCTCGCCCATTGTATATCTCACCGCGTTTGTGGTACTCGTGGCTGCCCTTGTACAATATTCCAACCTCACTTGTACGACCCCGCCTGTACCAACCATGAGATCCGTTGCTTATTTTGTCAACTGGGTATGTAAATTTTCTGATACAATGAGCTATTCAATCTTGATAATGCTACCCTATGACATTTGTGGATGTTGCTGTTGACGATCATGTGCTGACCACCACAAAGGCCATCTATGGTCGCAACCACAATCCCCAGGACCTGCCCGCGGATAAATTGACTCATGTTCTCTACGCATTCGCCAATATTAACCCGGAAACTGGTGAAGTGTATGTGTTTCCAAAACTGACCGCCAGGTGCAATGCTAAACTGGTATAGATTCTTGACCGACAGCTGGTCTGATGCCGAGAAGCATTATCCCAGTGACTCGTGGAATGACTCGGGTAGCAATGTTTACGGATGTATCAAGCAACTGTATCTCCTGAAGAAACAGAACCGCAACCTGAAGGTCCTGCTGTCCATCGGTGGCTGGACCTATTCGTCCAACTTCGCTCAGCCTGCCAGCTCTCCTGAGGGTCGGGCTAAATTCGCCGAGACTGCGACCCGGCTTGTTCTTGACCTGGGATTCGATGGTATGTTAGATTTCCCAGTACCACAACAAAGCAAATCACTAATCATCTGCACAGGAATTGATATTGATTGGGAGTACCCTCAAAGTAAGACTGACTAGCTCCGACTCGTCTATACATAATGCTGATGACTATAACCAGACGATGACCAGGCGCAGAATATGGTTGAGTTGCTTCAAGCCTGTCGACAGGTATGATTTCTCACTTCCATTTGATCCCACCCACCACTGACAGGAACCAGCACCTCGACCAAGCTGCCGGTGCAAGCCGTAAATTCTACCTTACAATCGCCTGCCCCGCTGGCCCAAGCAATTTCAACCGCCTGAGACTATCTGAAATGAATGAATATCTTGATTTCTTCAATCTGATGGCATACGACTATGCCGGCAGCTGGGACTCAAATGCGGGTCACCAAGCAAACATCTACCCAAACTGTAGCGATCCAAGTTCAACACCATTCTCCACCCAGGTCGCAGTTGACCACTACATCAACTCCGGTGTTCCTAGCGACAAGATAGTGTTGGGCATGCCGTTGTACGGCCGCGCGTTCACCAACACCGACGGACCGGGCAAGCCATTCAACGGCGTGGGTGAGGGAAGTTGGGAGAATGGCGTTTGGGACTACAAGGCGTTGCCGCGACCTGGGGCGCAGGAGATGCTCGTTCAGGATATCGGGGCCTCGTGGTGCTATGATAGCACGTCACGCACGATGGTGTCGTATGACGACCCGCCTACGAGTCGACTGAAGGCCGAGTATGTGAAACAGAAACAGCTGGGTGGTGGTATGTGGTGGGAGAGTAGTGGTGATAAGGGGGGTAAGACTGCGAATGCTGCTGATGGGAGCTTGATTGGTACATTTGTCGATGCCCTTGGTGGAACCGGGGCTCTGGAGCATTTGGAAAATGCGCTCAGCTACCCCGAGAGCAAGTATGATAACCTGAAGAACGGAATGTGAATGCATGGCCATTAAGCTGGTGGGTTGCATTCCCGTTTCAACACAATATGTATTACCACCCTGAATAATTTTACTTCTTTCTTTTTGCTCTACTTGAACTCTACATGTAATCAAGATTGGCAGAGCCGACATTTTTGTAAGATTTTTTCTTAGTATTGACACAAGTGTGTATAACCAATATCCACCGGAAATCGTGATCTCATCCTAGCTATGCTCGAATTCAACAATGAACACCGGTCAGACAAAGTCCATTTACTTGGACTCGTCGAAGACGTAGGTCAGGTGGCACTTGCCGCAGTACTGGCGGTTGTGCATGGCAGCCATGAAGACACCGGCACCGCACTGGAAAGAAGTTAGCACTTGACTCGTGAAATCCAGAACCAGTGAAACATACCTCGGGAGCGGGGCACTCGCGGCGAAGACGCTCGATCTTTCCATCACCGTCAACCTTGTAGTACTTGAGGATGGCGAGCTTGGTCTTCTTGTGCTTGTGCTTGATCTTCTTGGGGGTGGTGTAAACCTTCTTCTTGCGCTTCTTACCACCACCACGCAGGCGGAGCACGAGGTGGAGGGTGGACTCCTTCTGGATGTTGTAGTCCGAAAGGGTACGGCCGTCCTCGAGCTGCTTGCCAGCGAAGATCAGACGCTGCTGGTCTGGGGGAATACCCTCCTTGTCTGTAAAGCGGGGATGTCAGAATTTTGCCACACTGTCGCATGGATGATGTTGGAGGGGTTGTTCGTACCCTGGATCTTGGACTTGACATTGTCAATGGTGTCGGAGGACTCAACCTCGAGGGTGATAGTCTTGCCCGTGAGGGTCTTAACGAAGATCTGCATCTTGAAGGCCTGCGATACGGTTAGTTTGGACGGTTCGAGTTTTTGACCTGAATATGCGCAGGTAAGGCAGTGAATCAGATACAGTATGCGCAAGGCTACATCTTGATTTGGACACTGAAATGCTTATGCTGCAGGGTTCATCAACTTACCTCGACAAGTTGTCTTCCTTAACCTTGCAAGAAAGAAGAAATTCAAGGTGGGTGGGACTCGGTTGGATGTTAAAATCGTTGTGTGATCACATGACGGTTCCACTGCTTTTTGTAGACTAGTGCGAAAAAAGCGGAATAAGATTTCTGCCGTCAAGGGCTTGTCGATAAGGATCACATGATAATGTAAACTGTTGTATCCACCGATTGTAGCCTCAGGCAAACAATGACATCTTCCCTGCATCAGCGGCCCTTTAGCCCCCCCAGTGTCGACCCAAGATCCGATCGACTATCAAAGTTGCCCAATCAGGGACATTCCCATGGCGACGGCCACAGGAGGGCCAACCCCTTCACTAGGGACACAGTGATGGAGATCCTCCTCGCAGCGGCCATTCGGGCCCTTGCAGAGGAGTGGAAAAGAAGTCAGGGTTGGATAGAAAATCAAAGAATTATTGTATAGATACGATCTCGGTCAATGCCTAAATTGAATCTAACAAAAGATTGCAGGATCCGCAGGGCGGGGAGTGGATCCCATGCTCGTCACACTCGCTGGTTTCCCAGACTCCCGACAGTGTGCGTTGCTATGCCAACCACAGGTTGTTGATAGTGAACCGTGGGCTGGATTGATAGATCTTCAGCTCTTCTGGCCCGCTTCAAAGGTTCCCTTTATTGGCTTTGGTTTCTACATTTGTCTCCAGTTTTCCTCTCGTGTTACCTTTTATTTATCTCTTTGAGGAGGATTGAACTTCATCAAGCACTACTAGCAACACTATACTAGCTTGTTGAGGCTCTAAAAAAACCACTTTCTTTTCTTTTTTGATTTGCGATTACGTTTTATTGTTCACAGACTAACACTGCGATAGGAAACGTGGATTGAATACGAGTGGCTTGGTAGATATGATCTCCACCTCGTCGATATTACACGGTCACCGTCGCCAAATATCAACTCCCGGTTTCGAAGTCGCTGGACCCGTGATGGCCAACATGCCACCCCGCCGAACACATCGCCGCGGTCAAACTGTGGACTACGGCTCCTTTGGTCCACAGTCAATTCTTGACCGACGATGCGCGACAAACAAGGTCACTCAACTTCGGGACTTTTTTAACGAAAAAGCAGGTTTCTCACGACAAATGCCTACCGAGCAGTTTGCGCCTATGCCTCAACATGATCAGCGCTTCATTTCGTCGGGTCTCCCCACACTACCAGAACAATATCAATCAGCATACATGTGGAACCCGGAGGAGCTTCAGAATATGTACACAGCAGGTAGCTCTGCCACTTTTCCCTCTTCAATTGCTCCCGCTCTTGCACGATCTGCAAGTGACAACCCTACCTCCAACTCGGCTATGAAACAAACCATGTACCGCATGCAAGAAGAGAGTCAACAACATTCTCAAGCCCGGGAGCAGAAGCGCTGGGGATCTTTCCCTCAGCAATTTCAGTCAAGGATGTATAAAGATCAGGCCAATGGCTACGATCAAACTATGCAGCTCTCTGTTCAACCAGAGAGGATCTCTCCTAAGATCAATCCCTACCTTTCATGTATGGTTCGATCTATGTCTGAATATCTCCTACAATACTAACGGCTAGTAGATACATCCCCCATCACCCCCGATGCCACCCCCATGAAGGGTTCTTTTGATTTATCCATGTATACCAATGACCAGACCCCTAGCAAGCCCCAGAGTTTTTCTCACCCCCGGACACCTATGACTGCTGAAATGCAAAGAACCCAATCTCTCGAAGAAATGTCCGGAGAAAACGCCGTCCACCTGACTCAGATGCCATCACCTGCAACTTCTGTCGCCGACCATGCCGAGCTAGCTGCTATGCCATCCCCCGTTCCTTGTGGAGTGTCACCTTACAAGATTAGCGTGCCTCCTACACCCTCAGCTAGCAGGGGCCGTAAGCGTGCCTTATCTCCCGCGTCATCATGTGGCCAATCCGAGGAAGACATGCCTGTCGAAATTGATGAGTTCGACCTCGACGCCCGCGTCAAAGCATCTGTGAAGGAAAGTTCGGTATCCAGTGATGAGATCGCTCAGTATATCTCCGGCCCGGACCCTAAAGACAACAAATGGGTCTGCACTTTCTCCGGCTGCCACTGTCGTTTTGGTCGCAAAGAGAACATCAAGTCCCACGTCCAGACCCACCTCAATGACCGTCAGTATGTATGTGACCGATGTGGAAAAGATTTCGTTCGTGGACACGACCTCAAGCGTCATCTGAAGACCCACTCCGGAAAGAAGCCCTTCGCCTGTGCTTGTGGTGCTAGCTTTGCCCGTCAAGATGCTCTCACCCGACACCGCCAACGTGACATGTGTGTTGGAGGCTTCACCGGGTTTGTTCCGAAAACCACCAAGCGCGGCCGCCCACCAAAGAAGAGCCGTCCCGATATTGAAACCCGTCAGATCAAGTCTACTCGTACCCGTCAACGCGTTGCTCAACAGTCCGCCCCCGTTATGCAGATGAAGATTGAGAGCAATATGCTCAACGAACAGCCAATGTTCAACTCCCCCAACTATGCCCCGTCTACTTCTATGTCAGAATTCACTCCGCCAACTTCCCCTGGTGCTGGTATCGGCCGCGATTCACCCATCCCGTCAAGTATTCCGATGAACACCCAGCAGTTCGAGGACGACATGCTTCCCTTGCCCCTGTCCCCACCTCAGATGGCCCACACCCGATATGCTCGCGCCATGGAACAATTCGATGCCAACAACTCAGCCTCCTCTCGTGACTGCTTGTATAGTGATCCTCTCTCCCCCTACGACATGTCCTCACCGCACTCTGCGCCAACCCTCGCAGGGTCGACAGTGGGCTCTGAGATTGATGTCTTCATCTCCCAGGACCCCACTGAGCAGTTGCAACAAGAATTCAAGATGGAGGACTTTGGATCCATCAGCTCTCAAAGCTACAACCTCCCAAGTAGCTATGCCTACGTGGACACTGCAGAATTTGGCATCGGCTCCGGAATGTACTCCGACGCCCCTGGAAAGACTATCTCTGGTTTCAGCGCTCTCGAAATGGACCCCTACTCCGACCAGATCGATTCCCTTTCCAGTGAATTCCTGGTCGACCCTTGAGCGCTGATCATATCCACTGACTTGGCTGTACCACCACTACGCGAGTACTATATCTCGCACCACCTGGCGTTTCATTTTCAATTTACGAAAAGCATGACATAGACGACGTGCACTCTTTCTTCTTTTACCGCGTGACGCAACTGCAACGAATGAGACGAGCGTTTGGACTCTCATGACACGACAAGACACGGGCGTTCACATATTATTCCTTCTTTCGGCTTGAGCGACCTGGCCTTTTTCACTGGACATCACTTTCTTTTCTCTTAGCGCACATGAATAGCCTTCAGGGGGCCCTGGGGCTGATGGTCTTCTGGCCATTGTTACGCCTTTTCCTGTTTTTATGACCATGTTTTTCTTTTATTTTTTCATATATTTTCCGTTGAGTTGTTCACCACTTTTGGGTCTTCTCAATCGGTTCATGGATTATGTATTGATGTTTTTCGTTTGTCCTTTTCTACCCCAAATCCCTTCAAGGGATCCATGCCGATGGCGTGACTATTTTTCATTTCTCTGGCGAATTTCCCCTAATTCACCCCCTTTGTGACATGTATCTCATGAGTTTAAATGGACCATCTGTAGCTAGCTACCTCCCATCCACTCGTTTCGTCTCGGGATTTTCCTTGAGGTCTTTGATGATGGCTTGTACTCTACTTTTCCTAGTTGTCCTGTCTATGACCGTTTTGTATAATCCACGGATTTTGCATGAATATGAACAATTATGAAAACCCTACATTGATCCTTGAAGATACAGACACGAGCAATGTCAAATAATGAAAATAATTTCTATGCTATATCAATGACTCCTATCTCTGATGTTTATGTATGTATCTCTATAGCCATATAACCGAAAATGCAATTCAAATAATGAGACAACAGAAAGATCCGGGATAACGCAAAATTGAAGGGACTGGAGTCCATAGACTGCCTTCAGACTGAGTCCTATGCCTTCCACACAATCTCAATTTCAACCGGGTGCCCTTCCGCATTGGAGTAAACGGTGCTTTGCGTCCACCCTTTGGGCGCATTGTCGGCATAGAATGTTGTTTTGCCTTCATAAGAAAGCTTGCCATCCTTGGTCTGTAAAGAATAGATGATTAGAACAGGGAACTTGACTATTATCGAATCCATGGTGCAATGCTAGGAGTCATACCGTAAAGTCACTGGGGGTATGGACATGACTTCCACAGCTAAGTTTACCCTGGTCAAAGGAGCACAGTCCCTTGCTTGATTTCAGGGTGAATGTGTCATCTAGAAAGACATCAGCTGCAGTTCCAATGACAAATCACCGGGTACTAGGAAACAGATACGAACCTGATGTCTTCTCCGCCCGGAAAGTTGCACAACTCCCAGACTGATACCACGTTCCGAAACTGATGATGCAGCCCCGTCTCTGGTTAAGGGTTGATACTAACAAGTTTCCTCTGCCAGTAAACGGAGTGCCTGGGTCCGTCGGCTCCGATCCATGGGTGGTGGTGGTCTTGGATGGATCCTTCTGGGGCCGCTTGAGCGGATAGTGGATACCCTGAGCGGGGCAATTTGATTTCTGACCATCTGCACATAGTTAGTCCTGATCTTCGCTACTCTTGAACTATTCCACTGGTTCAATGAACGCACCAGGATCCGCAGCAATGAACTTTCCAGCCTGCAGACTACCGGCAATATTGAAATGGTACCAGATCTCGTTGAAAACGCCGCGACGACAGTGAACGGTGACCGGTGCACCATGTCCACGCTCCAGCGCTTCTTCAATATCCTCAAGAGCATAAGTTTGGCGGTTTGATGGCACAATACCAGCATCAGCCAGAAACTAGAAGGAGTCAGCAACTAAGCTCGAGCCATGGGTTGGGTGAATAAGGCAGAGGGGTAGGTCTAACCTTGTGTGAAGGCCTCTGCTCGTAAATCTCTACCGCTTTATCGAAGTAGTCTACTACTTCTTGTTGTGGGAGATAGTCCTCGTAGCAGTGCGGCTCGAGGGTGCTGACACAGGTACCGTGTTTATTCCACTCATGTTGCCACAGGTTAGAGTCGTCGCCACGGAAGTCCTTCCAGTATTCGCTCATGTAGTCAAGCAGGTCTCCACGGCCAGAGTCAACCAAGATCAAGGAGATGTTGCTGTACTTCCGCCTGGAATCGCAGAATTGGTCGAATCCGCCGTCGCAATGATCAGGCCTATTGAAGGTTAGTCACCATGTGTTTGATATTAAAGTCTTGAAATTTGTTGCTGCTCTCTTCAGAAGGATTACTAGCTTACCAAAGCCCGTGAATAGTCCAAGAATCGTCGGGACCGACTGCGGGGTCGGCGTCCCAGAACTGCGTCTGCAGCATCTGGCCGCCCGGATAGTTGAAGCAACAGGTATCTTGCCCATCGAATTTAGCTTGGCAGCTGACTTCTGACCGAGGGCAAGATCGCGAGATTCCTGGAGGTCTTTCATCCACCGTCGAGGAGAGCCAAAGAGAACCTAGTGTTTTGAGGATCTTCTGGGGCCCCGGGATCGGGATCTGTTGCGATGTACCCCACATAATGGGATGAGGTTAAGAAATTTGGACCAGCAAAGCTAAATAGATTGCGAAGACAAGGATTATGTACCTAGACAGGTACCTTACAGGTCGAACGAATAGAGTTCCAAGCTCCAGGGAAGGTTGGGGTTCTTATCTACCCAGATGACTAAGGCGATCATCTGATACCCCATGTGGAGCCCGATAAGCATCACGAGTCATAAGCTCGAAGAGTGAAGGGGTATCTTATTTTGTACTGGCAGTAGCATCTATGTTACATCCATTTACATCTCAGATGATGGAGTTCTCCTGTTTGCGCGCTTTTTCTTGTTCCTCTTGCTCGTGCACCCTCTCCTTCCATAGTCGGAGCACCTCAAAGCCAACCTCGACGGCGATAAGCAGAATGATGATCCACTCGAGTCGGAGACCGTGGGTTTCACTAAGGCGTTCACGTAACACACTGGCAATCTCCTGCGCATAGTCCATCTTCTCATTCAGAAGCTTGATGCGAATCCCTACATCGAGACCGCGGCCCACTTGTTCATAGTACCCCTCCAATCCAAGCTCATGTCGACTGTCCCAGAAGATATCGGGAAGAGAGTCGGTAAGCTCAGAGTAGAGATTCAACTGTGCACGTACACTAAGTAATTGTCCGGTTTTGCGGAGAATGAAATCGCGCGTATATGGCAGTCGAGAGCCTTTAGATAGAAGAGTGGGGATAGTGCGGGTTGACTCGAAATAGTTTGACAAGAGGGTCTCAAGAACGGCCAATTTCGTACTCCGAGCCAGCCCAGAGGAGAAGGCAACTTTGGTCAACACGGTATCTAGGGACTGTTGTTGTGCGAGCGGACCTTCTAGGGCCTCGTTTCCGGACTTCGTCCCCAGGATGATGGTATCGCCCTTGATACTGCTATTCTCCCGTCTGGGATCTTCCACAAACTCGAGGTCTTCGGTTTCCAAGTCGTCCACATGCGCTCCTTCAGCTGCCGGGAGAAGGGTTCTTGTCGCCAAAAATGATGTAAATCCCTCGGGTAGGGCCCAGGCCACGACTGTTCCGGATGGGAAGACGAAGATGTCGCCTACTTCGTCGGAGGAAAGATCGGTTGTTGATGGGTTTCCGACCCGTCGTATTGAGTCGATGGGAATCTGTACATGAACCACTTGTGGGTAGAGTCCAGTGTTTAATGGATCCGGCTCGTATCCTTTTTCTTGTAAAATGTCTCGGACTTTGCGTATGTCAAATTGCTCGGCAACGGCGTAGGCGGTTACTATCTGAGGCCCCCAAAATTAGTATGCGGCTTCATATTGGAACTTTCTGACGGTACCTTGGTCTGGTAAATGCCCTGCTCGCGAAGTTGGGCCTTGGAGGCAGATCCCTCTCTTGACCTCTGTGCTTCCACCGCAACACGTCGTAGAGATTTTGGAGCTGCCGGGGATCTTGCTGCACGCCTACTTAAAATCTCGGCACCATCTTCCTTACTGGGCTGCTTTTGTGACAGATATGCATTGGACGAGAAGAAGTCTTTCCGGCGCGGGAGCTCCAATGCAGGCGTCGCGTGTAAATATTGGTTCTGCGGCTGTCTGAATAACCGCAGTGGCACTGGCCGCTTGCAGGCGGAGCAAAAGGAGGCCCTTGTAAACATGGCAACTGTTCGGGTAGCTGGTCATCAGTAAAAAATAAAAAGCAAGAAACGTCATGGTCTGCAGGAACGAACCCCCCCCGCTTAGTCATTGGGTGGAGCAGCCTGACCCCAGCTCCCAAGCTGCAACAATCCAGGTCCCGTCGCTTGTCGCATTTCGGATCTAAATCGACCTGGGAGCTCCAGGCGCCACAAGGGACTCGCCATGGATGCGCCTGGCGAGACAAATGTCAATGGGGGCGCTGAGACGGGCCTCTCAGAGAATCATGCATCAACGCGCAGCCAATCACCCTCCGATACGAACCCCGACGAGCACGAGCGACGTCATCAAAGCAGTGAAGATGGTTCCGATTCCGGGGGCAGCGATGACAAAGATGATGATGAGGATGAAGATCAAGATGGGGAGGATTCCGACGAGGATGAAGAAGAGCCAAAGCTCAAATACGCATATCTCTCCAAGCATTTGGGCTCGGTTTATCGCAATGGGGACGCCACCAGTACATTCCTCGTTGCAGGAGACAAGATGGTAGGATGACTTTCACTTATGAATGTATTAGGATCAGGCTAATGTGTTAATTAGATCGTTGGAACACACAATGGTGTTATTGTAAGCAGACTGTTCTCGCGCACTTAGCACGCGAGGCACAGCTAACCTTCTTTAGCATGTTCTCTTATTACCGCTACTACAACCTCTCCGTGTATACCATGCTCATTCAGCAAGCGTTACATCCATATCTGTATCTCCGTTCCCGCCGCCCTTACCGAGCCTAAAGTTCGATGTCCTCGGCAAGCAAACCGCAGAGGAATATCGTTCTCCGACACGGACCCCCACGGGCAGCATTCGAGGCCAGCCCAGGTCAAGCCAACAGACGGCTATCCCAGCTACACCATCAAATTCAATTTACATTGCATCGGCATCGATCGACGGCAACGTGTGCATATCATCATTGATAGATCCGAAAGATATCCTCAAACGGAACTTTGGGCGGCCTGTTCAAGCAGTCGCCCTCTCGCCAGATTATAAGAACGACAGAACATTTATCAGTGGTGGTCGAGCTGGTGAATTAATTTTAACAATTGGCGGTCGTATTGGAGTCAGTTCAAATGCTACCACAATGGGAGGAGCGACCGCGGCGGCATCCAGCTGGCTGGGATCCATGGGACTGGGAAACAACAGCGGAAAAGATACCATCTTGCACAGTGGGGAGGGTGCTATCAGCACCATCCGATGGTCTTTGTCTGGCAAATATGTTACCTGGGCCAATGAGGAGGGTATCAAGATCATGCGCTCCAACCTACACCTGGAATCCACAGAGTCCGAATTTGCGTGGAAACGTATCAGCCATATAGATCGGCCAAATGGGCCGGGGTGGGAAGAAATGGCGAGCGTCTGGAAGGCGCGTGCCGAATGGATTGACCAAGGGGCGTTGGACGACCATGATAATTTTGGCTCCAGTGATGATACGGTACAGCAAAAGCCTGCGCCTCTCGTACCAACTGAGAAGGTTGAAAAACTTGTCGTGGGCTGGGGAGGCACCGTGTGGGTTATTGATGTTTACCCAAACCGGGCGAGCAAGCATTCCAAGGGCGAGAAATATGGCTCTGCAGAGGTCTCTACAATGTAAGTTGCGCCATGACTTGCTCAACGAATTGAGTGTTAACTTCCAAATACAGCCTACGAACAGATTGCATGATATCTGGTATCTCCCTGTATACGCCTCGTCTACTTGTTATCCTGGCATATATCGAAGCAGAAGGTGATCAGAAGGGTTCTGGGTCCAAGAATCGCCAGAGAGGTCAAGAGCCTGAACTACGAATCATTGATTTAGAGACCAAGGAAGAGCTCAGCGCTGACACACTTTCTGTCAGTCGCTTTGAAGGACTGACTGCATCGGACTACCATCTAAGTGTCTTGCCCCCGTGGAAAACCCCTGAGGGGCAAGTCGTTCAGCGTGGGGCCCTAGGGACTCTTGGTCACGGCCTACTGGACGCAACTATGTACTCAGCACGGTTATTTAGCTCCGGTGCTAGCATCCGCAGTACCACCAGCAGTGGTGACAAGATTTCTGCAAGAGTTCCCCCATCATTCAGCTCCAGACAGCTATCTGTTGACGAACTTCCCAAGGAAGTGCAGGATGTTGCAGGTGCTTCAGGCGCAAAGATTTTTGTTCATAGCCCCTACGACTGTGTCGTTGCTGTGAAGAGGGATCTCTCTGATCGACTGGCTTGGCTCGACTCCCGTGGGCAATATGAAGAAGCATGGAAGCTCGTTAATGAGCATCCTGAGGCTGCAGGTTCAGTTTCGGCCGTGAAAGAAGCAATTCCAGGGTCTATCAAACCCCAATCAACCCTAGGTGATTTCTTTGCTGATGAACGATCCTCGATAACGACGGCTGGTCGGAATCAGTTTTCTGGTGCGGATCAAGAAAAGGCCCGACTTGGTGAACTCTGGGCTGGACAACTAATCCATGCGGAAGAATGGAATGAAGCCGCTGAAGTCTGCAGCAAGGTTCTCAACAATGCGGCTCGATGGGAACATTGGGCATGGGAGTTTATCAAGAATGAGAAATTTGATGAGATTACCCCGCACATTCCCACAGATGTGCGCAATGCGCTACCTGCGGAGGTCTATGAAGTTATTCTCGGTCACTATGTCTCCCGGAACCTTACGCAGTTCAAGGACTTGATTGAAACATGGCCATCTGATTTGTTTGACTCTAACAAAGTGACATCGCTCATTGAGGACCATCTCAAGTCTCATCCAACCCGGGAAGACTCCGAGGAATGGAGAATTTTGACTGATTGCCTTGCCAAAATGTTCGTTGTGGGCGGTCATCACCGTGAAGCCATACATTGCTACATTAAACTACAGGATGCCGATGCCACAATGTCGTTGATTAAGGAACATCACCTGGTTGACGCTGTGTCTGATGATATTACTGCGTTCATCATGATTCGTATCTCCAAGGAACAGATGAAATCGGCACCGAAATCTGAATTGGACGAGCTAGCCGCAGAACCAATTCGATTACTTGCTAGAGAGGCTTACACGGGAATAGTCCCCCCAGAGACCGTGGTCCAGCAGCTGAATGCTGAAAATCGCGTTCTTTTCGTTTACTTTTATCTCCGTGCGCTATGGCGCGGCGAGTTCCTTCCACAGGACGCCTCGAAGCCCACAAGAGGTCGTGGGGCTCATGCCAGAGATGCAGCGAGCAAGCTGGCTGCAGACGAGGGAAAGACTCTGATTGACAGGTTTGCTGATACAGCCGTCGAAGTATTTGCCGACTATGATCGACCTTTACTGATGGAATTCCTGCAAACGAGCATCTCATACACCTTTGAGACCGCAACGTCAATCTGTGAACAACGCCACTTTACCCCAGAATTAATCTACCTCTTGTCTAAGATGGGACAGACGAAGCGAGCATTGAATCTGATTTTGTCAGACCTTAAGGACGTATCTCAGGCCATTTCATTTGCCAAGTCGCAGGATGATCCTGACCTGTGGGAAGACCTTCTTGACTACTCTATGGACAAGCCCAAGTTCATCCACGGGCTCCTCGTCGAGGCTGGAACGGCTATTGATCCAATAAAACTTGTGCGTCGGATCCCAAGCGGTCTAGAAATTGAAGGTCTGCGAGACGGTCTCACTCGCTTGATCCGCGAGCATGACCTGCAAGCAAGTATCAGCCGAGGTGCTGCCCGGGTCATGCAGGGTGAGGTTGCCCTAGGAATGGACACCTTGCGCCGAGGACAACGCCGTGGAATTGCATTCAATATAGGCGAAAATAATGTTGTGAGCCCGAAAAATCAGAATATAGACACCGCATCGGTGTCTAGTGGCTCGACCATGCACGCTGGGACTAGACCGGGAACATGCGGCGGATGTCAGGTTCCGTTCACTCCAAACGAGCGAGAAATCCTCGTTGGCTTTGCTTGTGGCCACGTCTTTCACTTATCCCACCTGCATTCAGAAGAGTCGCAATATTCGAGCACAAACAGCGTGGCAGGTCGCACACCTCGGCCCTCCTCTCCGTCCGAGGAGTCTTCTTCGACAGCTTCTCGGACCGTGGGTCCCAAGGTGACAACCGCGCGACTTTTGCGAGACAAGATTGGAGAGGGATGCCGGATCTGCGCCTTAACAAGGAAGATTGAGTCCCTCGGGAATGAAGGCGAGGAGTGATTGTTGGTTTGAAAGTGGCCCGAGTTTAACGACAGCATCCATCCATTTCACCTGTTAATACTCATGCACGTCGCCTTAGGCCTTAGGCGCTCATGTATATCCATTGTTTCATTTGTGATACCCACACATCTTCCAGATGGCCCCGTGCATTGTGGGGTGATTTAGTGTTGGAATACAATGTATGATCTCATTTCTGAACGCCTGCAAGCATAAGATCGCACCTAAACATAAAATTCCGCAGAGTCAGATCAGCAAACTCTAAATTCCGTAGACTGGCCTGGTGGACGCTTATCTCTAGTAGTAGGAGCGGATTACATGTAAATCTCATGTGTCCGATGACTGCTACTTCTTCTCAATTTCGAAACGATGAGTAGCGAGCTAGAAAAGAAAGAAGGGGGAAAAAATCGGGCGTTCTGTCCAAACTTCCTGCGTGCATATGGCTCAAGGATTTGGGTTAGATAGAATGCTCAGAGTGTTGCTCAGAGTGTTGGCTGAGCAAGCTTTGTTCGAGGTTGAACCTATTCTGGAAAGGCTGGACGTTCCCATCGAAGTTTAAGTTCATTGGCTTCTCGCCTCGCTATATAAACGATTTCAGCCCGAGTGGCGAGCCAATAAAGACCTCTAAACCCGAAGCTATTGACCTCGCAATCTAGCAGGACCAGTTTTTCTGAGTTTGTTTCGAGATCGATCATGTCATCTCACTCGTCCTCATTAGTATCTTCCGATGTAGTAGTCCATTCGAAGCTGGCACACAAGTGACGTAGATCTTTCGAAAGTTAAATTCCTGGAAAACGATCTCATTAAATTCAGGAATTCGTCGACGCTATTCATTGTTCACAAGGAAGGAGTCACTGCCAATATGGCCTAGCTGGATATTAGTGACAACTCCTTATGCTAAGTCGAGTGAGGTGGAAACTTACAGACTCGCTGATCAGGGGGAAAACTGAAGATTGGATTCGCAAAAAGATGACCTTGACAGAAAACTGTTTTTCTTTTCAGAGCAGCGCGTTCACTCATGAGACATTCCCTCAATGCCTGCTGATGGGAATCGAAGTGAGTAGGGACCGAGAAGACACGAGGATTTGTCAAGCCTTCTATCGCCCTATCCCGCTCCTCGAGCCATGCATTGGGGAAATGATCCAAGAAGTCACCGTATGTTTTATCCGATCCCAAATCTCTTCAGTAGCCTCAGACGTTATATAGCATCGGGAAGATGATTCCCTAGCGATTCTTTCTTCGCCGCCCACTTACTATTGAAAGACCTTCAACTCAAGTTTTCCCCTGAGTACCAGCGTTTGAAGGTTGTAGAAAGGCACAGAGATGTCTATCAAATCGTCAAATCCCGTGTCATTGTGATGGCGTGTCTTGCGAATCATCGAAGCCAGATTCGGGTGATTTCTGATGGTCTTCGCAAGCCGAGGCCCATGAATGACCCTTGGTAGCTCGACTATTTGGTAAGAAGTGGATTGATGACCTGGCAAAGAAATAAACAAGTCTGAGCCAGCCGGCTCAGGCGTCGGGGTCGCTTGCCAATTCAGAGATACTGAAAGATCAGAATCCAAAGCTCTGGGGGCACATCCATCCAAGTGTTCTTGTATCCATCCTGCTTCCTGACCTGTCGAATCGCAACTTGTTCTCTTGAGAGTGCCATGATTGATAGGGATTCGAGGAGGAGAGAATGCAGATCAGGGATGGCTGCTGGATAACAGAATTAACAGTAGCAGAAGTCAAAGAATTGGGGAGCGGTGGGCAGACTAAAGAATCATGGGAGATTCCAGCCAACGGAGATTCAATATCCGTATTTCTGGAAGATGTCACCCAGAATCATCACTTTTGAATGGTAAACAGACCTGTAGTTATGTTTGAGTCAGGAGGCTTGATTCAGTGGTTGTAGCTTGTGCTGCTCCGTTTTCAGAATGTTGAAAATGTCGAATCCTAGGGCCTGTTCTGTCAAGACTTGCTCAGGGTCAGTTGATGTTTACTTTATCAGAATTTCAGTGTTGGAATTCAAAATGAAATAAACAACTTCAAGAGCCAGACGTGCCACGGGTGGGGAGCTAGAAAGTCTGTCTGTGTGCTACAACTGTCTTTCATGGCCGTCAACAGCATCATTCATCAATACATGTTCATTTGGAACTTGACTGGGTAGAATACGAGTATCGAGATATTGGGAATACTTTTTAAATTCGTAGCTAAACTAACTGGCTACCATTTCGACGAATCCCTAAGAGATAGAACGAAACATGCGGCACGAATATGGTGTATCCCAAGGTAACAAACGAATCACGCCAGATAAGGTCCATGGCGACAAAAACAGAATTAATAGACACCAGAAGTAAGAGCCATCCCACCATGGGCAGGAATCAAGGGCCAACCTCATGAAGAAGAAGCTTGAGGGCCTCACAGGGTGTTGATGAGAAGGATGACCATGAAGCCAGCAGCAACAATACTGGCAACTTGGCTGTCAACTTTGGCAGCCTTGGAGTAAGGCTTGCTAGGAATAGGGATGGCAGGAGTGCCAGTTGCAGGCTTGGTGGGGGTGCACGAAGAGTTGGTGCACTCAGGAACCTGAGGAACTGTGGCGGGAACAGTAGGAACCGAGGGAACTGTAACCAGAGTGGTAGTGCCAGCACATCCACCGGGAGGACACTGAGGAACCTGGGGAACCTCGGGAGCAGTCTCAGTAGGCTTGGGAGCAGTCTCAGTAGGCTTGGGAGCAGTCTCAGTGGGGGTGCATTCAGGGTGAGTGCACACAGGAACGGTAGGAGGAATCTCAGCAGGCACAGTAGGAGTGCACTCGGGGTGAGTGCAGGTGAGCTCAGTAGGAGGAACCACAGGCTCAGTAGTAGTGCACTCAGGGTGAGTGCAGGTGGGCACGGTAGAAGTGGACTTGCCAAGAGGGCATGGGACCGAGTCAGTGCCGATGGAAGAGCCGTTCACAGGAGTGGTGCTGGACTCAGACGAGGCAGGAACCGAGGGGGTGACAACAGGAGTGCTTGAAGCAGAGACGGTAGCAGGAACCTCAGGAGTATGCACAGGAGTAGTGCTGGACTCGGACGAGGCAGTAGGAACCTCAGGAGTATGCACAGAAGTAGTGCTGGACTCGAACGAGGCAGTAGGAACCCGGGGGGTCACAACACTAGGAGTGCTTTCAGAAGACGAGGCAGCAGGAACCATAGGAGTCTTGACAAGGGTGCCAGGGCAGTTAGGAACTCCAGGAGCACACGAAATCTCAGTAGCAGTCGAAGTGACAGTGGTAGTCGACACAGCTTGAATATATCAGTAGGTAGAACACAGTTACAAGAACTTGCTTGAATGGAACCTACCACGAGCAATGAAGTTGTTGGCCAGACCAGGCAGGTGGTCAACTTTGATATCATGTTACTTGATTTCAACACCAAAGAGATAGAATGACTTACGGCCACGAAGATTGACGCGTCCACGAACAGCGTTGTCCTGATTAGCAACACTCATGTTTGTGAATGTATAAGCATATTGTTTCCATGCAGTGACGCGAAGGAGGACGAGTTCGATGATGACAAGTGCAGAAAGAGAACTTACTGAGGGCGACAGCCTGTCCAAGGGACCCAAGGAGACAGACGGCGAGGAGCACCATCTTGAGAGGAATGCTAGTGAGCATCATCTTGAAGGTTGAAAGGAGTTTAACGAAAGACTGCTTGAAAGAGTAAGCGTTGGGAACGAGTGTGTTTGAAGAACGAGTGGGGAGAGAAAAGCGAGAGGATGGTATGAAGAGGGAAGAGGAAGGAATAAAAGATAAAGAAGAAGAAATAGGGAAGCAGAGACGTCGCGTGCGGGTTGAGGAAGGTGCAATTCGTCCTTATTTCAGAAGGTACCATCTTATATGAGGCTTCACCATACTACAACCAAGTACTACTGAAAGTTTACCAAGTCTGCCTGATAAGATGCCTGAACCAGTATCAGCAAGGACTCATCAATGCTCATATGGTGAGCATCAACATAGCGAGGAGCTTATTGTGCATGACATTGTTAAAGATGTCGTCCAGGAGCTTATCCTAGGGGATCAGGTTACTGGACTCGTCGAAGCCCAATGCATTTTGATGAACCCAGGAAATCAATTAACACAAGAAAGGCACTGCAAAGAATTCTACACCAATCTGCTTTAATAAAGTAAAATCTTAAAAATAGACAGCATAAGACAACATTTGAAGAGAATGACCCCAAAGTTCGACTGCACTGGAGAAAAGACCAGAGGGCATAGCATAAAACACAGACTCACCATCTATGGAAAAATCAATGACACAGTCAATCAGCATTAGAATAAGAAAATAAGTGCACTGCAACTTGAAATCTATCATATCACGACCATGCAGGCCTCAAAGCCAAGAATTAGGGCTGATGCTTGGATACAATGGTACAATCCTGGCATTTCATTGGCCCAAAGAAATCCAGTCTCAGCCTTATGCACTGTAACTTACTACCCATGTGCTTACAGATGCACAAGAGTGTACCAAGCCCTTGGCAATTCTCAGAAAAGCACAATACAAGAAACACCAGTCCAGTCTAGTTCAATATGCGCATTGAAAGTACGGATATACGGTACTGTACGGCAAGGCAAAAAAACCAGATCCAGTTCAAACGGCGCGGTATTTTGTTCGGCATGTGAGAAACTCGGCAAGTGGATACGCATTATTCGCGCTATATCCCGTGTCCCAGCAGGGTGGAACATGGAGTACTCCGTACTCTTCCAACTCGCTAAGAGAGATTGAAAAAAACCTGACCGCCAGTGTGTTGTATTTTATACGGTATTACAGTTTCAATTAGGTACCGGGATGAGCCGCTTGGAAAGATTAAGTGGGGTCAAGTCGTTACATACAGTAGAGCTCCGCTTCCAAGGAACCTTGGGAGTGATGTCATGGGGCTTATTGGAGGCTTGCTGGCGTTGTTTGAAAGGCCAAATTGCGCGCCAGCACATACACTCTGTTTTTCAAACCTGGGCGTAAATCCAACCGAATAACTCATGCAATCTAGCGCGCGTGTTTCTGCACTCCGCACCATATGATCTTCTCCCATGGAAGGAGGGGCTACTGGGGCACTGATCGATCGCGATCTACGAGTGGAATGAACTAGAGAGAGGGGTTTATATAATAGAGGGTTAGATCTGCAGGAACGAGCCAATGGGTGTCTTGGATCTGGAATTGGGCTTGTTTCAAAAGCGATATAGCGGGGTGTTGCTGTGATGGTCTGGGTTGCTGGCCTTAAGTTTAACGGGCTGACGTCATGGGAGATCCGGCTTCTCATCCGACCAGTACGAGGGCATGGATTGGTATCAAATGGGCTAAGCGGGGATTTGACAGTGTGACCGTTATAGGCGATTTGATTTGTACGGGGGAATATCCTATTATCATGGTAGTGCACTACTAGCTGACGACTAGGCCCATAGCTGGAGACATGCTTTACGCTTGTCAAATTGCGCTCTACATAAGAGGCATTAGTGAGGTACGCTTGAGTAGCATTGAAGCTCTCATGTCAAGGGAAAACGTACTAGTAAAAGAAAATACGATATACGAGAGTGGTAGGACAGTAAAACCGTTTGTCATTTTCTGTCCCCAGTAATACTTAGCATTAATACCCCACGGAGCCGACAAAACGCCACACCTATGGCTAGAGAAGGTAAGCCCTGCGGACATGTGTACTGTTCACTAGACCCGATACGGCCGACCTCCAACGCCTCCCCATATACCAAAATTTTGAGCCACCGAATCCAGAGCAGAACAAAGAAAAACTTTTATCCGATACATAAAAGGCAACTCAACAGATCGTATGATGCTCTCAATACCGGAGTCTCATTATACCCTAGACGGACGTTGGTCGTTGACGTTGAACGGAACCAACCGCACGCCAAAGAAGTAACTACCCGACCCCGAAAGCAACACCCACTGGGGAAAGACCATCCGTTTGAATTCATTTCTATGGAAGAACGCGGAACCAGCTCAAAAAGCACCAAGGCTAAGTCTAAGTCTAAGAAATCAAATTCAAACCCATGGTGCAATGATTCCAACCGGAAACTATGGAAAATGTACCCCAAGACCTTTGAAATTTCATTTCCATTGGTTGCTGAGCCATGGTAGCTCAACCCGCCAATCACATACATTGAGTGTAAACGGATGATATAACCCCCGCCACCCGCTTCGGGTAAAAGCCACAACAACAATAACAGACCCATGGCATGGAGGCTCGCCTCCTTTGAGACCGTGGTTTGATGTTTCGCGCTCTCCCGGAGAATGTTACCTGGTTGTTGGGACCGGCTCCGGGGTGTGGGTCAGCTTTAACCTCGATTTTTTTTCTTTGTTTGAATTTCGCGATCTGATAGACGAGCTTTGTGTGGGCTTTTGTCGTCCGTGGTAGATAGGAGTTGGTGGCTTGCTGATCTCGGGGGTATTCCCTAACTGCTCATTTTTGCGTCTCGTACCGATAACCCGCTTTTAGAAAGAACTATTGGGATATCTGTTTATCCACTAGGGGAAATGAGAAAATAAAATTAGAATAAAATAAAAATCTGCGCTTCGTTACGTACTCGTTCTTCAAGTGCCAAGGAATGTGCCAAGGCTAATATGCGAGCTGAATGGTATGCCCCGCAAAAATAGTCGAGGAAATCTACTGTATACCTTAAAAGGTTCAAATTTATAGAAGATAGAGAAAATTGTTTTAATCAGCTAGGCCATCGTATTCTGTACCTATCCATGAGATATTTGTTGGATTCATGACCCCGTCCCCAGTGACCGTCAGATCAGAAGATCCACCATCAGTATACAATGCGCCCAAATATTGTGAAAAGTAGCTGCACACAGAAGCCAGAATGCAGACGCTCCATAACACAAAATGCAGAGCAAGAAGGCCACACAAAGCAAGTCAATAAGCGCAGGTTTCGAAAATTGGAACGGGGTATCAACTTCGTGTGCTTCGTTTCGTCCCTAGTCCAGGCCAACGAAACCCACTTTGAAAAGTAATGAAAAACGAATAGAAAGGTAGAAGCAACGACGACGTGTATACCTCCGTAACTTTGCACCGGGTCTGCCCGTGGACTCATATACCGTCGCAGGGTGTACCAACACCTTTAGATTCAATAAAACGGAATACACGAGCAAAAAGAACAAAAAAGAATCACAAGAAATCATCAACGCGTAGTATGACAGGGTATCATTGCTCGGCGATTCGTATATTATCACCGTAATCAACGGCCCTGGAATGATTGATATCCGCCAATTAAATGACAATAGAACCAATATGAGATAATAGACATCCATTAAAAGGGACCACAGTATCGTAAGCGCAGGGCGCAAGCCTCAGTGTCCCTTGCACGCCAGGTGCAAGGAATATCTCAAGGCATAGTATGCTCTTTGAACATACAGGCCGAGGAGGTCGAAGCGAGGAAACCGAAGAAACAATCGTTCGAGAAAGGAAGGGCGGAGCGGTTATTCTATAGGGAGCACAGGAGGGGTTCTGGGTCGTCTATGCAACGCAGTAGTCCGTTAATATGTTAATTTGATCTCCACCGGGGAGCCAGGCGAGACGGGCGAGTTAGGGTTGTTGACTTCGGCATCCGGCGTTTCGTAAATATCAACAACCATGTCTTGACCTTCCGGTAGCTCGCGTACCACATCGTCATCGACCATGATCCGTAAGCCGGCTTCGTTGACATGAAGAATGCGGACTATCCGTGATGGATCGATGTGGTGCTTCTCAGATATTTTCTTCATCAAGTCCCGAACCGTGCGCTCGGTTAGGTAGATTGCACGGTAGTAATCTGCGGGGTGTTGATCGTTGCCGGAAAATCGGACGTAGAAGCAGGCGACTAGAATGATATTAGCGATGATTAGACCATGAATGAGTGAATAAGCTTACTTGGCTTGGGCGGCCGCTCGGCAGGAGGTCGGTAAGTAGGGTCGATATCCACAGCCTCGATATAACCTTGTGAAACCCTGTCCTTGGATACCACTTGTGGGACAGCAATTGGTTTCTTGGCCCTGTCCTTCATAAACTGCGTAGAGCCCAAGCGCGGTGAGTTCAACGAAGCATGGCTGCTGGTGGGTGATAGAATCAAAGACTCCATAGACTGCGAGGCACTGTGGTTCTGGAAGTTCAAGCCCTCTGTTTTAATAAACTCGCCCTCCGCTGGTAATCGGACTGGATATTTGTCAGGATCATCACCCTCGTCGCCGCGAAGCGCGAGAATACTCGTGGTCCGAGTTGACGAGAACATGTCCTGCATCATAGCCAGCTTGGATTGTAAATCGTCCTCCAATGATAGCTTCTCAGAGCCATCCTGTGAGCCTGATGACCAAGTGCGCTTGTGCTTCAGGGGAGGCCTAGACCGGTCGATTGATTTCACATTCGCAGCAGCATTAGTGCCACGCTTGCGCTTCCCAAATCCTCCACCCATCTCAGCCTGAGCAATCTGCTGCTTCAATTTCTCGATAGTCTTTTTGACGTGGGCGATATCGTTGGACAGTTTTCGCTCAGCACCATGGTCTCGGAACAGCTTGACCTTGCAGTAGCACACCTCGGGCTCGCGCGATCCACCTGCTTCTTCCCCTGGCGAGAGAAGCTCGGTCTTCGCACAGAGTCGAACTGGGATACCCTTGACACCCTTCGAATGGCTGAAATCAGTAGATAAAAAGTTAAAACGTACGGGGATACTGCAGTCGGAAGTGCCGGTAGCCGGGTTGGAAGTCCAGGTCACGCAGAACCCATCGAAAGACATCTGCTCGATTTGCAACTGGCGGTGCTTATTATCATCACCACCTTGGAGCGGGTCGACGTATTCCACGGCCAAAAGTTTCCCCCCGCGTTGGTGTGCTTCGCTGGTACCCCGGCCTTCCTTCCATAATTGCCAGCAGGCGGACGGCTTCAATCGCTGCTCTTCTTCCTCGAATGAAACGCGGACAAAAGTTCGGTAGCGGAGTGGTCCGGAGCTCGGCATTGGCGGGTTTGAATCCACCACTTGTAAATTATAGGTTTGGCCCTTGTTGAGGTAGGACACGGGAATTTCTCTGACATGCTTGACCATTGCAGTCGGGGCACGCAGGGAAACATTATAACGGAATCTGTCGGATACATTAGCAATTGATCGTGGATGGAGATGAAAATCAATCCTTACTGTTCACCTGCATATGACAACCCAATCGGGTGGCCGGCGGGGGCGGATGAAAAGTCTGTCGAAGTTGTCATAGTGGAAATATTTGATGCTTGATCAAGCGGAATTCCACTGACAGACGAATCATCCACCGTCTCATCCATAACGTCGTAGCCCGCGTCACGCTGCATAAAAGCACTCGGCGCGTAAGAGGCTTGCAAGTAGGGATTCATTTCAGGCATCTGGTGTCCGAGAAACTGTGGACTAAAATGACTCATTGCAGGATGATGTTGATGTTGCTGGTGGGCGCCAATGGGATTCGTGAGAGAGAGCGGGGTCATAGTGTGCAAGCCGGCGGTTGGGGTGTGTAGGTCGCCCGCCTGGCTATGGAAGATGGCACCCATGCCACCAGAGTTGGGGGTGTAGAAACCGGGATGTTGGTTGGCCATGGGGACCATGTTCATTGAATTTGGATCCAACCATGACGGCGAAAAATTGAGGTCTTGCAGGTTCCGGGGCGTACGCTCAGGCATAAATTTCATATTATGATCCTCCATTTTGATGTCGTGGCCTTGCATGCCTGACCTGTATCGTTCCGCAATATCAGTCTCTATTTTCAAAATTCTTGGGTCGTAATCCTCATACCTTCCCGCCATCATGGGATCTATTGATCCCGCGAAATGGCCATTTTCGTCGTCCTCGCTGTCTCGACGAGGTACCACATCGGAGAATGTCTGTTGGAAGCGACTGATGAAGTCATCATCAGGCTTCTGAGTATTGTTTCTAAATCAGAAGACAATGCTTAGCATCTTGGGGCTTTTCTTTTCTTTTCTTTTCTGGCTGGATTATAGAGTTCGGGACGGTACCCACCGGTTGCGAAACATTGAGGGTGATTCAATCTACTGGCAGTTCTTCAGAGCGTAGAATGCGCAAATATTGAAAGAGTCGGATGCGAAGTCAAGATTTCCCGACTCTAATTTAACATCTGAACCAAGCGTAACAATGTGACCACGAATCTTGCGTTGTTCGTGATCCTCTGTTGCGCGTAGAGGGAGGGGCTTCTCCCCGATCCCGAGAACACGGATATGCGGATATGCTCAAAAAAAAATGTATGGTTACGGAACAATCAAGGGTTCGATAACGGAGATACCATGCACGGGGAATGTCGTATGGGTAAAGTTATGTGGTGATGGTGTCGAGAAGATTGAAAGATTAAAGGACTGTGGGGGTCGTGACTCGAGGAGGGTTGCGTAAGGTATTGTCTATGCGAGCTTCACGAAAAAAAAAAGCGGAGACAGGAACAGACGGAAATGGCGGGTCTTGTTCCAGAATATACTGATGTAACTTCGTTGCTTTGAAACCAAGGTTTTCCAAAAGGGAGGGAAAGGAGCAAAAAGTGTGTGAAGTGAATTGGGAGAGGCCCCTTATGTATGGGGGAGTTGAAGGGGAGAATGTTCAGATAAAGGCGAAGGAGGGGTGGAAACGGTTGTATGACGAGCCTAGGAAAAGGGAAAAAAAGAGGTGACGGGTACGGTCCATCAAGCCTCCAATAATGGAATAGCACAAGAACCCAAGATCGACCACAACTGAGCCACAGTTTGGAAGGGGAAAAAGAGTTAGTGGGGAGAGGTTTTGAGGCTTTCGGAAGATTGGAGTTGCCACTTATGCCGATAAGGACAGTAGCTTGAGTAATTTTGGGGTGAATGACGGAAGAAACTTTTTTTTTTCTTTTTCTCCCTACAGTATTTTCCCTTTTCTCATTTTTTCCTCATTTTTTCCTTTTCTTTTTTTTTACTGAGTGGAGAAGTTGAAATTCTAGTTATGGAATGGCAATGATTGGTACCAGGGGAAAAGAGACGGAACGGGATAAATCATTGAATAAAGCGTGATAATTGGAAGGGAAAAAGGATTCACAGGTGTGGGGACCGAGAGCGATACTAAAATTACAAATTTACTCCAATTCCAAATCTAGATTTGCTTTTATTATTAATTTTCTTTTTCCAAAACATGTAATTTACGTATTGTCTTCATATATGACATTCTCGATCTAAGATCGAAATCGAAATCGAAGATCTTGAATGACTTTTGTCCAAAACCCAATACTCGATGATTCAACGTTTAAAAGCGGATTCTGGGTTTTTTGATGCTCTTCCCTTTAGTGATCAGCAACATGATGGTCCAGCCGGAGTCGTTCCGTTTTCCGTCTATCGATAAAGTGTCCCGACTCTCTGGGTTCCCCCACACGGCAACCTTTAAATGTTGACGCGCCTAAATATGGAATCGGAAACGGGAGTGTATAAATCTTGGGTATTAAAATGACTTCATTCATCTGTTTCGATGGTTCGTGAAAATATGACCTGTAGTTTTCTGCACCAATAGATTCCCGGAGAATAGATTAATTGATGAGCATTCAACCCAAAAAACTCGACCAGAACGTGGCTGGTGGCGTCGAAGCGGTAAGGAATCATCATTCGCTCTTCACGTCTAATCCACATGAAAACGGTGTGAACTCTGCAGATGGAATGGTGCACATGATGGCTAGTGACGGTAGGAACCGCAGGCAACGAGATTTGTCACATTGCTATGCAGTATGTGGCTCATGCCCCTTTCCATGGGTCGAGTGGTCGGAGTGTGGCCGTGTTTGTACTCGGTCTGATAGGTGGTTGCCCGGACCGGACTTGCCCCGTACTTGCCCCGTACACATGCAAAGGAGAGCTGTTACGATCATTAGCGATTGCACATACCATGGTTAAATTGAAAAATGAGGCGTTCGTCGTCAGCATTTAATTCTCATTTCCGTGTAGCTCCGTGGAAGTTTCTTATAGTGGTGGCATGATCATCGGGGAGATAACGACGCATCCCGCGGACGTGGCGGGTCGCGAGGCCACGAACTGTCCCAGGGTCTATGCCCTATAGCTGAAGCTGATATTTTGGATCAATGCAAGTTGACGTTCTTTATAGGAACAGGAAATTGTTTGTTACAGAAGATTGGCCAGTATGTGGGTATCTATTGATTTAATTACTATGTACGGAGTACTAGTAATATGGAACTGTACAATACGACTAGACACGTAATATGAAATACGTAGCCTGACAATACACCCCTGACACTCTGCCCGCCAGATTGATTGCTGGGATCTCAGCCCGCCAATCATAACCTCAAAAACATCCGTCTCACGTGCCATCTACAGTACACATACCAAAGTTACACGCACGGGACATTCCAAAGCCGAGGGCCGTGCAGTACTATGGGCGCTTACGGAGTAGTCCCAACTAATAAATTACTATTCCGGATGGAACATAGACCCCAATCTAGACATCGAGGTACTTTGGACGAAATTCTAGGGTTGTAAAGCTTAGAGTGACAGAAAAAACGACAGATGTCACTTGGTCCCTGCATCATTCAATTCGCCGGATGAGAAGCCGGATCAAAAACAGAAAGGTATTGGAAGAGAAAAGACCGCGATGGAGTCTGCTATATTAGGTAGTGATGATCGGTCTTGTACGTTGAAGCTCCACCACCAGCACAGACAGCCATTGCTGTAAGCTCAAACCCACAAAAAAGCCACAGGGCGCCATCCGATACTTACAGTACTGAGTATACGATGTAATCCTCCGGAGGAACCACAAAAAAAAACGCCCAAAACTATGCTATATGCCCCTGGCATAGGCGGCGTAGGGAGAGGCGTCTTCGGGATTTGAGGGGTGGAGAAGTCTTTCATAGTGCTTTTTTTATTCGAATGCCAATCACTACCGCTTCTCGCATGTTCCTCTGATCGGTTACATCGAATTCAGCCCTTCAGTCTTCTTTGGGAGGACAATTATGCAGGCTTGCGCCTTATGGTAACACCGGAAGCGAGTGTGTGTACCTGACGCCGTTCTACGTTCTACTTGTACGTGCACGCAATGCTCTCCCTTTCGGTTTCCTGTCCAGATCTCCACGTATGCTTTCCTAGGCAGACAGTACCTCCGAGCTCGTTATTTCGATCGAGTCACACAGTCCTTTGTTGTCGTCAAGAAGAATTCCGGAGCTGAAGAGATGGTGGAGAGGCGGAAGCCACACCGTCATGAAAGGCTTGTTGGGCGTTTGGATCAACAACGAATCAGACGCCACCAGCGCGAATTGGTATTGGAATTTGAATGTCGGTGGCACGGCCAGGAGAACCGCAATGCTCCGTATGGAGGAAGGGAAGGGAAAGGGAGACAAAATAAGGGTTCCGGTCGGCAGCTACATAGGGGTACTGGCAGGTTATGTATTGCTTCACAATCGGCAAGCTCGATTTGTCCAAAATGGGGAATGAGTACCAAAGGGAGGTGTGGCTGTGTGCTTGTGCCTCTTATCCCTTGTCGATCGTTCAATCTAATAGGTTCATCATGGTGATTTCACGGATATTAGAGCCACAGCTCGTTTTCGTGATCCTTGCAGCGGCGATCCTTCCTCAGCCACGGGGTGTATTCGAATATCAGGCTGGTTGGGTGGAGCCAATGAGGGGGGAGTAATAGCGCCACGGTGGAGAGCTTGGGTGCTGGACACACGGTTATCCTCGCAATTGACTGACAAGCTGTACAGCAGATAAAACTAATTACATAGACCTACATGAATTACGCGATTCTCTAGAGCCTTGGAAAGCTAACTGCATGGGAAATTTCGGCGATCATTGACGTATCTGCCACGGACAACATACAGGTATATACATCTACGTCTGCAGTACATCCAGCAACTGGTGGCGCAAACCAAAAAAAGAAAAACGGCTGCCTTTCCCGCTTTATGTGTTGAAGTCTACTATGACAACACACAAATCCGATTCAATCATCCAATAGCTAGCAACGACTTGCACCGAAATTCCAGGATCCCTGTGGATACATGTATGACCACATGGGGCCATAGCTAGTCAGACAATGTAGCGGGGTCGCCACATCAGCCCTCAGGCTGACGCAGCCCTGCCAGCTACCGAGGTGATCTAAAGCACTTCCCGTGTTTCAAGCGAGGAGAAAAAAAAGCACCTTTTGCTCTTGGTATCCTTGTACTGGGGCATTATAGGGCAGACGGGCCGGGCGGAACGGGGTTTAAGGTATGTGACCAATGAGGGTATGTGGAAGTGTACGGACGAAGAAAGTGTGGCGAATTTCAGTCAGATGTGATCCTGCATATCCGAAGTACGAATGAGAGTAAAGAAATGTACATTCTGCGGAGTTGGGCTTCTGACTAAGATGGGTCATTGTGGATCAGTCGAGAAATGTTCCAAATACATCCAAGTACGTGTGCACTACTGTACATACGTAAAGAGATATTTTAGATCATTTGGATTATATCATAGAAAATTTCATGTATGACGCCTTCTGAAGTAGATTATGTACTTTTACCAACTCCTTCGGGGAAGATGACTTGCACTCCGTCTATCGAGGTCCGTTGTTGATTCAATTACCCCACATTAATTTGTCAATCGATTGGCTCGTATAACTTTCCTTGTCTTAAGCGACAAATCATTTTCAATGTGGATTTTTAAGATTCTCCACCGGTCATCCACCTGCAGGAAATGAATGGTTCAAGGGAAGATATCGGTGGGAAACAAAGTCAATCTCATTGTGGCTATGCATTACTGAATGCGTATCAATTTGTGTCATGAGACTGATATGTACAATGTCAAGCGAACCTTGGAAGATTGTATAATCTGCAAGCCTCTGGAAGGTCCACAGGTGAAGCATGACCGCTGGCGATCATGCTGTATAATATTATCCATCTATAGTCTGCCCAATATGAATGTCCCTTGTACACAATGTCCCGCCGCATCAATCACAGTTGGCGCATTGACATGCCGAAAAACAACAAAGAAAAGATGAAAATGATGGTGGGTGAGTACATAAATGCAGCCGCATGTAAGTCCAACAACGCCGAAGAAAGAAAGGAAAGATATGAACAAAAGACACGGCTTATTAGAACCTTGTGTGTATGTACTGGCTTGGTCCTTAGCCAGATTTGTCAGGTGGAAACCCCACGATGCAGAAAAAAAAATCAAAGGAATGGTCGGGTGGTAGACAACATCAGAAATATGCAAGAATCGCGTTCAATGTTGAACGATAAGTGAAAAACCATCAACCCAGGATGCACAGGATCCTGAAAGACCTGCAATTTTATACCCCAGAGGCGGGATCAAGGTGTGTCTAGATATAACTTAGTCATAGTCTCATTTGCCCGGGATATTTGGGACTTACCCTGATCCACCATTGGGGTTGCCATAGAAGCTAGACTTTCTACCAAGGCTAGTGAGAATCTCAATTCCATCAATCCAGAGGCCAGCTCGGACGTAGAATCCAAGTAAAATCTCCCCACGCCGAGTGTCTAATCACAGTTAGCTCTAGTTGTACGTGGTAATGCTTCCATCACTTACCGAGGACGAACTCATCACCACCAGCTTTCCCACCAGTTTTGCCAAAAAGCTGGCTGGTCATATCCTCATAACAGAATTCAATGCCATCCAAAGCACTCCCATGGTACACCTTGATAGAAGTCAAGAGTTTAGTCGCAATAAAGGCACACTCTAGAAGAAGTTGCTGAGGCTCACTGCCATCCATGGAGGAGCAGCCTAGAATACCACTCTTGTACCCAGTCTGACTCTTGGGGAGCTTGACCAAAGAGCCTTTCGATTTCAAAGCTCCGACATCCTCAACGGTGTAACTTCCCAGGGCACCGGAGTAGACCACGATCTTGAGTTTTCGTTTCTTCTCTTTCTTATCCTTTTCAGGACCAAAGACTTTCAGGCGAAGCTCACTTTCCGTGACGGATATTTGCTTCGGAAGGCCATTGGCGCTAGACTCGGTGTTCAGATATTCGATAGAGGTTCGGCAGAATTCATCACCCTCCGTATACAGCTCCATAAATGCAACGCCCGACGACGCGGTAAACAAAATCTTGCCATTTTCCACAGGCCAGACTTGCACACTATCATCCGAGCTGATGGATGGATCACTGGGCAGTCGGAAACAGGGGTGAAACCTGAAACGGAGGGCGTCCAACCGATGCCAGCTGCACTCATCATTCGGGAGACACACTTTCAGGCCCTGAGCCTTGGTGCGAGTCGAAAATGGCTCCTTGGTCAAAAATGTGCGGTTAAGCTGTACGTAATCGCGCAGCATAACGCCAGACTCCTGGTGGGGACAGCCAAAGAGATGTCCCACCTCGTGCAAATGCGCGCCGATGCCAATGTTCGCGGATTCCCAATTCGATCCCGCTTCCCCATTGTCGTTGGCGACGTAATCCGTGTCCGTACGGGTGCAGTCGGTAAAGGCGTCCACGACTTCTTCCAGGCACGATGGGTAGGTTTGCAGACTGTGTGACCCGAAGATGGCCATTTTGATATCATCATCACCGGAGCCCAATGCTGCGTGTCCCGTGATAATTTGTTGCTCTGTGTCCCAGTGAGAGTCTAGCAGCAATACCGAGACGTATTGTTTCTGACCCGGTCGAGTATTGAAATGCTTTCGCACGGCGTCCTTTGCGATCGTAAATAGCTCGTCTTTCTTCTGTGCATTTTTGTTTTGTTGAGCGATGTTTAGGTCCCGCAGCTCTGCAACCGTCTTTTCTGTGCGAACAATGTGGACCTTGGCTTCGTTGCGCATCTGTCCGACCGCCAAATCGCGTCGACTCAGAGTACCAGACTGCCACTCCTCCTCGAAGCGGAAGCAACGTCGACCGAGGTTGTTGCGGAACATCTGCTCCCCGGTGAACGCTTGCCAGAGGTACGCCGCCGTTCGATATTTTCGAATCGCCAAATCCAGGTCATTGCCTTCTCGCTCCACCCGCTCCGGCACGGCGTCGTATGTGCCTTCTGAGTCCTTTCCGAGTAAGACTACTAGCTGTAACGGTGGGGTGTTGGACAGAGGAAGGTAGTTGATGCAGATCCATGCTGAGTGAACCGCGGGGTGGGTGCTGCCAGAGGAAAGTTTGGGAGAAATGAAGTCAAAACGAAGGCGATTCGGACCGGGCACCAGGTGGACTAGAGCTTTGAAATGCGATTCAGTGACGGGCCAGCTAGTCGATGGGAAGTTATCTTGGTGATGGAAAACCGTGATCGTCCCGTCCAGCGCTTGAGTCCTTGGATCTCCAGTCTGGCCGTAGACGAGTAGGACTTTTTGGTGGACCTGCGAAAGGTCAGGTTAGCGTTGGCATTCCTTATGACAGGGAGGACGCGTACCCAGGAATTATCGGCGATCGACACCATTCTTGGCGCATATGGCGAGCTAGAGGGAGATCGATAGATTCCATTGATGGATGATGAGGAGCTTCCCTATGTATGCGAGCATCCAATTAACATTTTTTCGAGCTGTATTTCATTCAACGATAGTTCCAACCTACCACCATGCTGTTTCGTTGAGATCGACCCCCCAGGGGCCCTGGGCGCTGCGGGGGCGGGGGTACAGACAAGGCATTGGTGTTCAGCTCGGTCAAGGAAGGAAGATTGGGTGAAGAGAGGGACGGCTTGATCGACGATGGCGGAGTTATGGAGCTGTGGGAGGACGTGTCGATCGTGGACGAGGATTTGCCGACAATTTCCACCTTTGCGGCGCCTTTTGATTCTGGTTGAAAATTCGCCTTTGAGCGACGACGTAACTGCTTGAAAAACGCCATGGTGGGCAATCTGGGGAAGCTCCAAGGTAAGGAGTTTCAGAGACAAAACCCTGGAAAAAAGAGGAGAGGTGGCAGTTGCCTTGTCAGGGTCAGGAACAGGAGAGCGCGACCGTTTGCGGCGGATGACGACGCCGTGGAGTTTTGCCCCGCAAAGGAAAAGAAAGGGACAATTTGGGAAATGAATTCAGGGGGAACAAAAGAAATTAATTATCAAGGTAAAGGCTTCAAAAAGAAAAGAAGGAAAAGCTGGCAGAAGTGACTAGAAGTCTATACTTAGAATTGTATCTAAAAATCCCCCCAACCAGATTTCTCTCATGCACAGTCCAGGGTACAAAGGGGACTTTTTAACAATATTACGTACCCCCTCTAACCTTCCACCACAAGAACAACTTTGAGAGTCGCAATGTTTCACCTGTGGATCTTTAATGATCGCCCTAAGGCTATTAGTTTCGATCTAGTGTCAAGCTAAGGATTCACATACCAGAAGGTCCGTTCGTCCATCATTGTGCTCCTCACCATAGGCCTGCAATTTACCAGGTCACAGATAAGCTATCAAGCTGAGAATCTTGCACATTTAGCCAACCTGTCAATCTACAAAGTCCGATTTCCAATCGGGGGTTCGGGATAGCTATACATGACGGCTCAGGTCTTGGTGGAAACCGGCTTTTTGCCCCTGAGATAAGCTTGTTGCTATGCCACATATCTGAGACCTTTGAAGTCTTGACTAAGCTGATCTGCAAATGAAATCTGACCATTTGGATGATGTGACTGAGATGCCCCCAACGATGGGATTATTTCCTTGTTTCTGTACGCCACGTTAGCAATGCAGTCAATTCATGCAAAATTATAGGGACAAATTGCCGACTTAACGGCCATCACGGAAATGCCGACCCCACGCCGATAGCCGCATGGGCTTATCAGTCTAACCCCTCTTCTGTTCTGCGGTAAGGACAAATAAGGACAAATTCCAGATGTTGTGATTCTATCTTCTATGACATAATCCAAGACTTGACAGTGGGCCAGGAATCTGGGATAGCATTCCAGATGAAACCAACTTGCAAGCTTGAGGTGGGGCAGTAGGGCACGGGGACTCTACCCTTGCTATGTTTGACCATCACTTACTGGGTGAACAGGCTGATTTGATGCATTTTCAGCCCCTACAAATGGGGAAGTCATCACCCACGGTCTCATCTAAAGATGAAGAATAACGCTACATCATCAAATCCATGCGTTTGACACTAGCGCATATGCCCCAAATGATCCTCAGAGGCTTGGGTTTAAGTCATGCCAAGTTATATGACAATTTGACCCGTGTTTCCTCCAATTTCATCCTGTGGGGCCTTCCAAGTTGAACTTAGCCGCTACAGGAGCCTTTACGTTATAATGTTGCGTGAGACTTCTCGCTAAATGATATTTGAAAGAATTGCTGGACCCTGCTGAGTCGTCTGATGACTATCTTGCGCAGCGGACTCAAGATTCCCCTCACTTGAGTCTGAAGGAAGGCAGCCAGTCGACTTGCCAGTGAATGTCCACCTATGTAAAACTTATTTTCAACAATTCGCTTGCTCAAATTCCATATAAAAACCCCAATTTGCAGTCTTTTGCTTCAAATCATGTAATTTCATTAGAAATGCGAGGGGATGTATTCTCTTTCTTTGATGTCAAGAATGCAGTACTTTTCTTGGGGGACCCGCTAATGTCATGGCACTCTGACACTAAGCCTTAGCCCACTTGATACATCGATTTTTTGCCGTCTTTGGATAGATGTACATGAACATGGAGCTCGTGTCGGACACAGGGAAAAAACCCAGTATATAGCTCTCGTCCTTCGGGAAAAGTACCAGTACCTGGATCCGTGGAATGGGCGGAACACGACTTCGCGTAAATTGATGCGCGGAACGCGTCGTCCTGCAACAACACAAACTTTGGAACATATATATATATATATTTATTTTATTTTTTATTTCTAGTTCTTGGTTTCCTTTCCATTTAATCGTATTCCCTACTCCGTATAAGCTTATTATTTTCATTTCCATCCGATAACATTTGGGGCTAGTGTGTCTTCGGATCCATCGATCGCCCAATTGGCTCCCTTTCCGCCCTTGCCTTGCCAACCCGCAAACTGGGTCTCCTTCGTCAGCTTCTCTTCTCTCCATATTCATTGCCCAACATGACCCTGCCACAGCCTGGTTCAGCAGAGAAGACTATTCGCAAGATTGATATAGCGCAGGTAAGATAATATCTGGGGAGAAGGAATGAAACCGAAAGACCGAAATTTGCAACCTGGTGGGCCCGGTGGTTGGGTCTTGTGCCTGATGCAGGAACACTAGAATTGCCACCGCAAATTACTTTGATAATTAGACCGTTTGATGACCAAATTTAGCTAACATATCTATTTGCGTGAATAGGTCTCTCTAAGTCTGCAGGACCGACTAGGCTTGGCTAAATTGAAGTACCAACATGGCCGACTCCATGGCTTGAGTTCCACCCTTCAGGACAAGGCGGGTCGTCCAGACTCTGAAAAGCCCTCCGATTCCTCCTCCAACTTCTCACGCAGCCGTTGTGAGACTCCATTTACATCACCCCCCTTGCGAGCCTCGACCTACTCCAAGGAACTTCCTCGATCCGCCCGCAACAAGCATGCTGTCACATTCGACTCTCTCGCCATGCAGCCAATGCTGACCGCAGGCCGCAAGCGTGTGCGATCAGATTCCAATTCAGAACGTCCAGCGAAGGTGCCACGGGTGTCATGGAAAAGCACTCACCGACTGCCAGAGTCGTCTCCAGGTCTGGGGATCCGTCACGCCACACGAAGGAGCCGGGTCCCTTTCATGTCCGAGGCACCAATTCCGGAAATGTCCTCGCCAGGTTACCACGGACACTCTGATGAAGAGAATGATCCAGATCTGCCATTGCATAGTTTTCAACACTTGAGCTCCATGGGCTCCTCCCCTCCTCGTACTCCGCCCCCAAAGCATGCACGACTGTCACGAGCAGACCGACCTGGTGGATATGAGGACGACGGGGCTGGCCTCTTACTCTACCTTGCCAATTCGCCAACTCCGGCTCGTGTAGCGGGTGGCTCACAGGCTCACATCTTTCCCCCGTCGACCCCTCCGAGCCAGCATGCGGTTCTTGGAACTCCAGGGCAACAATTCAACTTTGCAGATTTCGTGAACGTGACACCGAGTCCTGCACAGCCAGCATGGGGCAGTCGCACACCCGGCAACCCGTCTCGCACCCCTCTCATCGCCAAGGATGCTCGAAAACGGTTGAATTTCGACGCTCTGGTTCCCCCAAGTGGCTCGCCAAAGATGTCCAGCAAAGAGGGTGGACTAGCCCTCCAACTTGGAGGCGAGTTGCGTCGATAGATGCCGTCGTATCTCCACATCGCATGTCTCATTCTCTTCTTCTGTCCATTTCTTCCCCTCGCTTTTCTATTACCTTTGTTACGGTTTGACGATTTTGCTACGTTTGCATCCACACATATCCCTTGTGTTCTAATTCTCTGTGTTGAGCGTGTCGAGGCCTTGTTTTACAAGGTTATCCCTCAAATTTCCCTATCAAGCACACCCCTGCATCCACGGCGTTTCTTTGTCTGCATGGCTCTTGCCATATCCTGCATTCTTATTCCATGATTGACGTTTATTCCATACCTTGATTTGCGTTATGGCATTTCTGCCCGCATGTTATCACACTCAACATGTCCCTTACGATACTGTACCCGACCTCATTGGCTTGATGATCAGTGTACCTAATATTTCCCCTGTCTTCTCTGACAGGTGGTCTAGTCGACCACATGAATATAGCAAATAGCCTGTAATATGTCTTCTGTCTACCAACTCTTTCTCTATACACCTATTCATCCAATATCTAGAACGGCAAGAGTTTCATTACATGACCCCCAACATAAGATCCCAACTTCCAGTAATTAACTATATAGGTTTAATCCTCCGTCCAACCCAACACCTCATCCGGCCCACCATTCTCTTCAACCTCAGCCTTTTCCCCCTGTTTTCTCCACAAAAGCGCTAAATAATCCGAAGTAGTTGCCTCATCAATCCCCTTATCCTCCCTGACCTTCAGAAACCGCGGAAACCTCAAACTTAATCCTCGCTCCTCACTGACAAGCCCAATCGCTGCCGTATAAGTAGGACTAAGCGTGATATCCGCAAACGCCATCTCCCAAACCTCCTGCGGTTCAAACCATACATCCGGCGTCCCGAAATAATCCACATACGCAGGTCTCGAGATAACATTCGCACTGCCGGCGCTGTATTTCTCTTTGTTGGCCTGATAGAACTTGTCGGTGAATCCCGACATGCATTTTGTGACGGCTTCCAGAGCTCCAGATTCGGGATTGCGGACTGCCAGGAGGATTGGAGACCACCATTTCGCTTTGCGGCCTTGGCCGTGCCAGCCTGCGATCGGGATTAGGTCGAGAGTTTCGGAGGAGGCGCTGTAGTCTTTTTTGACTTTTAGCCAGGATTCGAGCCGTTTGTCAGGTTCGTAGGTTGATAGGAGGGCTTTGCGGCGGGCATTGGGTTTTGATTGGGGAGTTTTGCTGTCGGGGGTTGGTTCTGGTTCTATTGAAGGAGGTTCTGCTTCCGGGTTGAGTTTGTTGATTTGCTTGGTATTCGAAGTACCATTGTCGAGCACTTTAACCATGATTCCCTCGCATTTGACGTCGGTGGCGCCTTTGAAAAATTCTAGAATACTTTCTGAGTCTGCCGAGGTGGCATCTAGGCTCTTGACCCAGGTGAATCGATTGGGGATTTCGACAAAAAGACTTCGGAGTAGTTCGCGGCGTTCTCGAAAGGGGCGATCTAAAGAGTGGTTCGCCGTTGAGATACATGAGATCAAATGAGAATAGACAGACGTTGACGGTGATTGCTCCAAGCTCGACATTCTTCTTTGCTCGATTGGTAAGAGTTTGAAATGGCTGCAGGTCGCCATTTTCACGGTCCACGGCGACTACCTCTCCCTCCAGAATGAAACTGGAGACGCCCTCGCCCCGTATCTGGGGAACGAGGGATACCAAGTCGGGGTATTTCTCTGTCATAAGCTCCAGGTGTCGAGAAAATATAGACACTTTGCCCTGTTCATCGCAGTGCACTTGAGCTCGCTGCCCATCGTACTTGTATTCACAGCTGAACTCTCGTCCTTGCAATTTGGTCAACATCTCCGAGAGATCGCGGGTGATACTTCCTAGCATCGGTCGGAGTGGAATATGCAGCACCAGGCCACACCGGAGAAGCAGTTCCTCAGTCACACCAATCTCCTGCAGACAAGGGACGAGATCATTGTAATCTGGGTGTCTAGCGTAGGACGCCTTGACAATCTCTTCGGCGTTAGTGTATAATTCGGAGAGTTCTTCTTTCTTCAGACGTGCGAGATCAGGGTGAATGGTGAACTCCGCCCCAGCAGGTTTCGAATAGAGGAATGCTCGTGCCAGAGCAATGAGCATAGTAGTCTTCACTGCTCCAATTCGGAGATTCTGGACCAAAGTACGCACGATATACCGACTCTCTTCGGCACCGCGTGCATCCTGCAATAACTTCTCAACAATTCGTTGTTTTGTCTCTTGACTTCCAGTCCCTTTACTCTTAGCGATTTTGAGGAGTGATTGGTATACACCTTTGATCTTAAGTGGTTTTGGTTTGACCAATTTGAAGGCTTGACGTTTCTTGGCTTCGAAAGCAACATCTCCCGCGTCTCCATGACGATCGTAAAGCGTCTTGAGGCCTTGACTGTTCAGACCGTATACCTTCTTTAGCGCCTTGGAGATGGAGGAGCCGCCCAATCCTAACTCCAGCTCATCGTATGGTGGTGAGATGGAATTGGTTGCTAGCCAGACAGCCGGAAGAAGACTATCTGGATCGCCTTCTATTAGAACCCGAAGGAAGTTGACAAGGGTATCGACGATCTTAATTCGGCTTGTGGTTGAGTTTGCCAGGACAAAGGCCCTTGTTAGCAGCGCGTAGGTAGCATCGCCGCCCTCGGAGGCCCAGTGCGGTCGTAACTCGGCTGCATATTTGCCTGCATCAAATGTTTGAGGGGTTTGATCAAATGGTACAGTAAGGGAAACAGTGTCTTCTGTGCCCGAGGACGATTGCAATGATAGCGTGTTTTTTTTGGGCAGGGTCACCGGCGTTGTATCTGTAGGTATCAACGGAATTGACGGTGCTCCACTTGATTCGGGCTCTTTAGGTTGGATATCATTTGCAGATATTTTAGCATTATCTTCCTGATCCCATTCGGCCTGAAGTTTCCGCGCCAATGCTTCATCGGATAGGTTCTGCTCTGTGACGTCGGGATCTAGCTGTGGCTGTTTTGTCTGTCCTTTAAAGAACGACTCAATACCACGGGTTTTCTGTGGCGATGATTCAGTACCATTGCGCTTGCGCTTTTTAGCCGGACTGGACATAGTTCAATGCGTGGGTGCGCAAGAGATCAAGTGCTATTGCCACTGGAGGTTTGGAGGTCTGGAGCTGCGGTTGGCAGACGTCAGCGGAAGGCGGAGATCAACATCACGAACATCGTGTTCTTCCTTCCGCAACAATGGCGCCAACTACGTCTCTGTCCTCGCACGAGCGGACACGAGTCGAGGATTATCTTAATGATAAAATCCAGATTTCTGCTGACCTTGAAAGTTTGAATTCGCTGCTCTCAAGCCTCCGCGCGCAGCAAGAGCTCCAGCGCAAGCAGGTACCTCCCCCTCGTGTCCCGCAACTCCAGATCGCCACGTACAAATTGAACTGACTTTATACCAAATTAGCTAATAGATGCGCACGAAGCACTCTCAAATGCGACCAAAGCATCCAATGAACATGCCGAAGCTACTCGAAAACGTGCCGAGGCATTCGCGGCGGAGCAGGCGGGCATCGATCAGCGGTTGAAGGCGATCACAAAATCGGAGACTAGCGATGAAGCAGTACGGCGACTTGAGAAAAGTATGGAGAAGCTACAGCGCCTAGAGATATCTAAGGGATACGTGGGATTATTGAAGGAGGCCGAAGAGTTGAGGTACGCATTCGCAGACTTATGCCCGAATCACGCTAATTGCAGTCTAATACAGCAAGGAAGCTTTATCCAACATCTCCTCCGATCCCCGCGCCGCCTTGAAGCCTTATTGCCAGCTCCGCAGTATTGTCGTGTCGCTGAAAGAAGCACAACCTGCTGCCGAGGGCGCTGCGCCCCACCTTATCGACTATACAGTGAAACTGGCTTCCGCATTGAGGGAACAGTTGAAGAAATTCTTTGGCGATCAACTCCAGAAGACACTCACATCCTTGAAATGGCCAACGCGAGAACTGAACATCACGGACAAATTGTTGGATCAATGGAGACGTGATGTTGAGCTCCTGATTGACCTGCAAACACCGTATGCTCACTCCCCGTGATATCGTTAAGTTCTTTTTTTAACAGTAATTATAGAGAACTCCCACACCGTGATGCATTGAGCATCAGCCAGAAGGTTGAACCCCCCGGCCTATTCCCTCTAGAGGTTATGGTGCATCCTTTGGAGCTCCGCTTCAAGTATCACTTCAGCGGTGAGAAGCCGACAAACAGACTTGACAAGGTAATCACATCATTATTGAACCTGGGTTTTTCGTTTTCTAATTTCGATTATCTAGCCGGAATACTTCCTCTCGCATGTTTTGGACCTCATCAGTCAGTTTGGTGGTTTCTTTACTTCATACTTCCAGCCAATCCTTAATGAAAAGGCCCAGTCGGCAGGTGTCAGCTTGGAATGGAACTTCAATAATGCCTTGCATGCGTTCATCAATGCTCTTATGCCAATGTTGCGAGAGAAAATCGACTCCTTCCTCCCACAAATTTCCGACTATCCTCAACTGCTCAGCCATTTTATCCACGAGCTGATGAACTTTGACAACGAGATTCGGGCAACTTGGAACTACTTACCAGATCCTTACTCTGATGGAAACTGGAAGGGCATGACGGGGGAGGTTCTCGCCAAACAGGGGTGGTACGATCGCTGGCTTCAGGTTGAGAAGGACTTCGCCCTGGCTCGATACAAAGATATCATCGACACTGCCGACAGTGGTGAGATTGACTACGATGGCGTCGAGTTGACCGCAACCAAACCAACCAAAGCTGCAATTAGAGTCAATGATCTTCTCGAAACGATCACAGAACGTTACCAGCCACTGTCATCCTTCAGTCAGAAGCTGCGGTTCCTTATCGATATTCAAATCACAATTTTCGATCAATTTCACGAGCGCCTTTACTCTGCACTGGAGGCCTATCTTGCGATGACTTCTACGCTAGGACGGACGGTACGAGGAGCAGACGGACAAGCCAGTGTAGAAGACGTTGCAGGCCTAGAAAGGCTCTGCAGAGTCTTCGGAAGTGCAGAGTATCTCGAGAAGAAGATGGAGGACTGGAGCAATGATGTTTTCTTTGTTGAACTCTGGTCTGAGCTTCAAGACCGAGTTCGTCAGGGTGGGCAAAACGTGGCGGGCTCCATGACCGTTGCCGAAGTGGCGGCGCGCACTTCACCGGCAGTCAATAACAATGGGGTATCAAGCCCTCAGACCTCTTCTGACGGTGCGTTGTTTGATGAAACTGCCTCTGCGTACCGTCGCCTTCGACAACGGTCGGAAACCATTGTCACCTCCACCTTGACCTCGAACATCACTACAGTCTTGAAGCCCTACTCCCGTGTATCTACATGGGCAACACTTTCCGTTCCCTCAGCTGGTTCAGCATCTTCTCCTTTATCCCTATCATCTGACCTTGCACACGCAATGCGCACGTTGTCTTCCCAACTTGCCTTTCTTTCCAAAGCCCTAGGTGTGGCGCCTCTCCGAAGAGTAACCCGCCAGCTTCTCCTCTCTATACAGACTTATATCTGGGATCATGTCCTGACTAGGAATACCTTTTCCACAGCTGGTGCAAACCAGTTAGTCAGTGATGTCGAACAAATATGCAGCGTGGTTGACAACACCCTTGGCGTGGCTGGCCATCCAGGTGGCTCGTTGTTGATCATGAAGAAGCTCAACGAGGCTCTGCGTCTTTTGAATCTGAGTCCGTCAACCACTAATTCCGATGAGGCGGCAAATACGTCCAATACCGTGCTAGGCCTGTGGGATGTGGAAAGTAGACTTTTCAAGGACAACGAGAGTGCTCGTGCTGTTCTTGTCGAGCTTGAGATTGATGCATTGACTGAGGCTGAGGCTCGATCTGTGCTGGGTCGCAGAGTAGAGGTCGGCAGCTAGAAAGCATTGAAGAGAAACCGCTATGTTTAAAAATCGTCGTACTACATTCAGAATCATGATGCATTTTAAGCCAACTACTATGAGCGTCCTTGAAAACATTTACTAGATACACCTTTGCATCTGTGCAGAACTAGTATACCTACAGCACTTAAGGGTTCCGCCGCGCTCAACACGCGGTGCTTAGAATAACTCTCCTATACTATTGACTCTGTATCCTACTCCGTCTCCACCTAGTCTCCTACCGTATGACTATCTCCCAGTTGATCGCGACCATGCTTCCTACCGTATTAGTTAATATAGTTGAATGGCCATCCAAAATGGCTTTTCATAGTAAGAAGGAGAAGGAGAGTCTTTACAAGATTGCTGTTGGAGGTTTTCAATATTGTGAGATTCCTGCTTTGTACCCAAGTAATAGAGAGGTGGACTCTATGTAGACTCGATGCTTGTGGGATCGATCCGAAGACTAGTTACACGACCCGATGAATGCCCCATCAGTAATAAATCATCTACAGCGACAGCACAGTTTGCTCAATAGTCTACTGGAAGCAACAGTATCCTGTCGGTTCCATAGACCACCCAGTCACTGTCAACCAGAAAATCACCATTCCTCACAAGCGCCCGACTAGGGAAAGATTTTTCAACATCAATGCGACCCATCGCTGTCATCATGGTATTGTTATCCACAGAAAATTGCAGTGACCTCCAAGAGCCAGGGATGTAACGAGTCCCAATCAACATACCCGTCTGCACTTCCCAGAGATCGACGATATCGCGACTTCTTGATCCGGCTAAAAGTAAACCATCGGGAGATAAAGTAATGGATGATGTCCAGTCCTGCCGATCAAAAGTCCTTTTCAATTGCCCCGTCGCCACGTCCCATACTCGTACGCTTTGGTCCCACGTGAAGGAAATCACAGTACTTCCATCGGGTGACCATGCAAGATCTTTAACCCAATGGGAAGTGTCAGACACGGGAATCGTAAACACCCTCTGTCTCTTTCCAGTAATAACATTCCAAATATTGAAGGTAACTTCCAAGGTTTCGCGTGCTAGGGACTGATCCAGATTATCGTGTATTGCACAAGCAAGAAGCTTGGAATTCGGCGAGAAACTCAGCACCGTAGATTGATATTTATAACGGGCCCCAAATGTAAGGAGTGGCTTCCAAGTGTCTGTATGCCAAATCTTGACTAGGGGCTGCTCATTGAGATTTTCGGTATCTATATTGGCCACTCGATCTTCATGTAAAGGAACGATCTCGTGTGCGAAAAGCTCACCGTCAGGGCTGAATGCGAAACCCCCGAGTGTTACGGAGCCCTTAGGAGCGCTGAGTGCCAGTTCCCACGTGGCCAGATTCCAAATATCGTCTGTAAATTTATTAGAGACGAGGACCCAGTTGCTGTCTGGTGAGAATGAGCAGTGTCCACCGCGAAGGCGTTTCAGAAAAATGCCGGTTTCCATGTCCCATATACTGACGCTGGTGCGGGAACTCGTTATAGAAGCGGCAATTTTACGATCCGGAGAAAGCTTAAAGCCATCGATTTGGAAAGACTCAAGCTGAAATTCCTCGAGAGATTTGGATTGGGTGACAAGGTCCCAAAGCTGGATGGTATACCCTAAGTCCGACACCGTGACCAACAACGTGTTATCCGCCGAGAATGATAGCCAATTTATATCACCAAAGGGGTTGTAGAAAGTCTTGTCGATGTTTCCTGTGGTGATATCCCAGACACGTATTTCCCTGCCGCCTCTTTCCCAACCGCGGGCCCCGTAACACAGAGGTACAGATGCGAAGAATCTGCCATTCGGTGAAAGTTGCAGCCCCAAACAGCCAGCCTCAATTGTCTTAACGAGCTTTCCAGATGATACGTCCCACAGTTTGACGAAACCAGCATCATCGCCCTCGGAGTCGCAAGACATCAAGAGTACTTTGCTATCTGGCAAAAAGCAGGCATCGTGGAACCACCCGGGAATCTCACCTAGGAGCTCTCCACTTGCAGGATCCCAAAGTGAGATTGGATAGCGATTGGACCATGCCGCAAGAATATTGCCGTCTGGAGAGAAAGCAAGTCTGGTCTTGAGCATTAATTCACCGTAATGGCGTCTGAGCTCACGTTTGGGGGTAATTGCCACTGCATTCCAGAGCTGAGTCACGCCAGTCTCAGAAGCAGATGCCAAAGTTTGACCGTCTCGGGAGAGTGCTAAAGAAGACACGCTCACCCCCCCATGGGGCTGAAATGTCTTCAACAGTAGCCCGTTTGCAATATCAATGACTTCAACTGTATTACTGTTCAGAAGAGCCACAGCAAGAGTCTTGTCATGAGAAAAGAGCCTCCAATGTGGTGTTCCTCCACGTACAGAACTCTTTACTTCAGTGATGAGCAGACCGGAAGATACATCCCATACTCTAAGCCACCCTCCCAATGATATGGAAATCACCCGTTTCCCATCTTGCGAGAATGTAACCGTAGTGCCTCTTATACTATCCTCCTTGTCTTCGCTGAATACATCTAGAGTCTTCAACAAGGTTCCTGTGGCTGAATCATAGAGGCAAGCCGCAGAAGATGCCACTAGCTTTCCATCGGGAGAAAAGGCCGCGCCGTAGAGTACCTGATCGCTTTCAAATGTCTGCAATAGGGGGCTCCACAATTTCTCTACTTTTGGTAGACCGCTGATCCAATTGGGAACCAGGTGCTGATATGTGTGTCGAATAATGCTCATCTCTGGGCAATAGAAAAGAGCTGATCTGTAGAGTTGGAGAGGTGCAGTTTCGATGATTGACCTGAATTTGAGTATGAAACGCCTCGCGTCGGAGATCATTTCTCGAATTTTTATCCTCCCATCAGGCTGTATAAATAAAAATGGAACGTCAGTTGATATAATTACATTAATTTGTAAGTACCTGAGTAGGTACATGGCCTTCGGATGCAGGGATGGACTTTGTAGCTTACAGGTAAACTGAATATGTGATCTGAGAGCACATTAATGGCGCGGACACCCTCGGAAATCTTGCCTAGAAGGCCTAGAGCCTCGAGCCAGTACAAAAATTGCTTTTTGAGAAACCCATGGACTTGACCAACATCTTCGACATCTGTATCGGCCCGTTGGAGATGATCAACCCAGTAGCGGCAAGCGTACTGAACATGAGCTGGCAGGTATTGATTCACCAAGGAGCGCGGAACATCTGCAGTGAGAGAAGCGAAGTCGCCGAGACAGCAAATATCTTGCTTCAAGGTCTTGGATAAAACATCAAGGCAAGCATAAGCCAATTCCCTATGCTTAATCTTCTGGGAAATCCAAAAGTCTTCGTTGGTACATCGCTCTTGATCAAGCAAGAAATCCCGAAAAGAGAGATGAAGGAGGCGGATAGGCGAATCCTCATCGCTAATTGATAGTACCGATAGAAGGGATTGAAGTGTATCCTTAACCGTAGATCCCGATAGAGAGCAGATTGGCCAGAGCAGTCACTGACAAGGGTTCGAACAGCATGATGATGGCCCCAACAATCAGCTGGAACCGATTGCGTATAGCCCCCTTCTCTTCCTCAATTGCCTCTCCAATCAATGAGAACTGAAGGATTCGGCTGTAAATTGCATCCAGGCTCCTCTGCGGAGAACGCTCCACTACCCTACCACCAAGAAGAAGATCCAAACGTGATTCCAAGCGCTCCTTGGTTAGTTTGCGGTCGCCGAGAAAACGACACGCTGTTGCGGCGTAGATGAACAGACCATCGGCCTTCCAAGCAAGTTGTTGGATCTTCTCCTCATCGGGTCAGCCGGATTTTAACATATGTCGCCGAGTAATTATGGCGAGTTCATGCTTCAGAAATCTTGTAATGTCGTCCTTGGGTGCATTTTTGTCGCTGGAAAGTAAAACCTTGGGCAACTCAGTTGCATAGAGATCACCTACAATTGCATTGAAGCTCGAAAAAATGTTCAATTCTAGTCTGCTGGTGATGAAAAACTTCAAGCGGATGGTGCTCAATTTTTGAGCTCCAGTGGTGAGCTGTAGGATTGTGTCAATGTCAGTCTCTGACTCCGATTCACATTCATCAAGCGCATCAATCACAATGATGGATGTCAGAGGCACCAAAGTCTGCTTATCAAGTTCAAGGAGAGGCTGCAGGATGACTCTGAAATAAATGAATTTCTAAGAATGATGTCGTTGCTGTCTAGTGGGGGCCAGAAAGCTGTCCAATCTCACCCGCAAAGACCATGCGGGGTCGATCTGCAGCTACACGACGGAGGACCATAGCAGCCACAGAAGAATAACTTTAAGTAGCCTTTGTGGCCCTCCGTAGACAATTATGACTTCCGAACTAAACATTCGACTGATAGCGGATGCTAAAATACCGAATTTTCAATTAAGAAGAAGATTGAAGTGAAGTCCAAAATCCCAAAATACGAACTACTTTAGTTAGTTGACCGCCAATCACCGACCAGCTGATCTTACTGATGTTCCATCTCCCCGCACTACAACAATGCAACCTCGCGAAGACTCTTCTTTATATAAGATAACCAAGGCTCAATTCAAAAGAAGCTTCTGGTCCATATGATTGATTACCCTTGAGCCCAGACTTAAGCTTTTATCCCTCATCAATCTACAACAATGATGAAAGAACCCCAGCTTCCACCTCCAGATATCCAGCTATCCAAGTCCGCAACAAGAGCAACCCGCTTCCTTGTGATCGGTGCTGGATCTCGAGGAAATGCCTACGCTCGCGCTGTCACAAGAACAACACCAGGTACAATTCACGCCGTCGCCGAGCCCCACGCCTTCAAGCGGCGCGAGTTCGGCCAGAACTATATCTGGGGCACGGACGGATCCACAGAGGGACAGGAGTTTACAGATTGGCGAGAATGGGTACAATGGGAGACAGAGCGACGAAAATCCACCAAGGATAGCCACCCTAACATAAATTCTACTACTCCTGTCGGCGTGGACGGAGTTTTTATCTGCACATTGGACGAAACACACGTTGAAATCATTCAAGCCATTGCTCCGCTTAACTTGCACATTCTTTGCGAAAAACCTCTCGCACTTTCATTGGATGACTGTCTAACAGTCTATCGAACTCTCCAACCACCCGAGGGTCCGAACCAGCAACCCCGTGCACCAAAAACCATCTTTTCAATTGGACACGTCCTCCGCTACAGTCCGCATAACAAACTACTTCGCAAACTCCTCCTAGAAGACCGCATTATCGGCGATATCGTCTCGCTCGAACATACTGAGCCGGTGGGCTGGTGGCATTTCTCTCATAGCTATGTACGCGGGAACTGGCGCCGCGCAACAGCCGCAGGGGACGGCTCTTTACTGACGAAATCATGCCATGATATCGATTTTATACTATGGCTGCTCTGCTCGCCCGTCTCACTTGAGAATGCGCAGGTAGAGGGCCAGAATCCGCATTTCCCGAGGAGTATCTCGTCGGCGGGATCTTTGACGCAGTTTAGAAAGGCGAGGAAGCCTGTTGCGGCTGGTGGTGCTACGAATTGTCTTTCTTGTCCTGCGGAGAGGGAGTGCAGTTATAGTGCTGTGCGGATTTATAATGATCGGCACCTTGCGAAGGGGCATACGGGGTGGCCGGTTGATATTGTCTGTCCTGACATTGAAGATGCATATAAAGGGCACGGGGCGGGTGCTGCGGAGTCACAGTTGCTTGCTAAGTTGGGCGAGAACTGGGATTCTGGCACGCATTCGGATTCAGAGATAGCGGCGCGGCCTTGGTATGGGCGGTGTGTTTATGAGGCTGATAATGATGTTGTTGATGATCAGGTCGTTACGATTGCGTGGGATGATGAAGTGGATGCGCCGCGCCGACTTGCTAAGACCGCTTCGTTTCATATGATTGCTCCGACGGAGAAACAGTGTGAGCGAAGAGGTCGGGTTTATGGGACAAAGGGTGAGATTGAGTATGATAGCAACAGGATCTCGATCTATGATTTCGCATCGGCGAAGACTTCTGTTCATGATGTGCCGAAGCCTCCACCCGAGAGGGCCGAGTCGCATGGTGGTGGGGATTATGGGCTTGCGGGACAGTATGTGGCTGCTGTTGAGGCGGTAGTCAATGGAGGAATGGATATTGAGACCGCGCAGGCCCGGTTTGTCGGATGCACATTGGTGGAGGCGGTCCGGAGTCATGCCGTTGTGTTTGCCGCAGAAGAGGCGAGGCGTGAGGAGCGCGTTGTGCGATGGGGAGATTGGTGGGAGGAGAAGTTGAAGGCTTCAGCTGCAGGCTCGAAGGCATAATTTGACCACAACATGATGTCAGGATGTGATGAAATGATCAGAGGGGAATAACACTAATGTTTCTACTGTACCTCCTATACCGTTTACCTACACTGTTCCTAGTACCTACTAGTCTCCCACTCAGTACAGTCATATTTCCTATCTTCTTTCCTACCCTGCTTGTTGAATAGTCGAACGGCTCCATCAAATTATAAGAAGCAAACAAGAAAGAAAAGATAATCGATAGGAATCCAAATTACTGCAATGTACCGAAGTAATGGAGAGGTAGGTGAGGTGACTTGGGTCGAGATTGTGAAAAAGGTATTGTCAACGCTGCAGAACGAACATCATATTACTAGAACCAAAAATAGCTATTTCTATCTCATACGTTGCTTCTGCGGTCGTAATATCATCTTCTCACATCGAGAATAAAGCCGTGATCCCCATCCAGCGGGTATCCAGCGGGTCACACTATTACCAAGCAGAATCCACTGCTTAGGTCTTGACATCAGGCTCCTCACGTCCAACGTAAGACTTGAATTTGAGGAGCTTCAGAGCAGAAGCAATGTTCTCGCTCAAGTACTCCTGAGCATTGAGACCGAACTTGGAGCTATCGCTCTCATAGCGCTCAATGTAAAGACGAATGGTAGCACCACTGCTGCCAGTACCGGACAGACGAACGACAATGCGGCTGCCATCGTCGAACTTTACGTAAAGACCCTGGTTCTTGGAGACACTGCCGTCGAGGTCAGTGTAGGAGAAGTTACCAGCGTCAACGATCTTGCGACCGTCAATCTCAGCCGAAGTGCCCTGGGCAACCACGTCGGCCAGAGTGGCGACGACCTTGTTGGCACCGTCACTGTCGACATTCTCGTAGTCGTAACGAGTGAAGAAGGTACGGCCGTAGGTCTTCCAGAAGTCATTCTGGATGGAAGCAATGCTAGGAGTCTCCTCGGGCTTCTGCTTGGCAACACCAGCAATGATGTTCAACCAGGCCACAACAGCCCACACACCATCCTTCTCCCGAATGTGGTTGCTACCAGTACCGAAGCTCTCTTCTCCACAGATGGAGATCTTCTTGTTATCGAACAGGTTGCAGAAGAACTTCCAGCCGGTAGGCACTTCGTAGCTCTCAAGGCCCTGGGCCTTGGCGACGCGGTCGACGGCACCAGAAGTGGGCATGGAGCGGGCAAGACCGTAGACACCCTGCTTCTGGAACCAGGGGATGAGCTTCGCGTGGTGCGCAATGATAGCCAAGCTGTCACCGGGCGAGACGAAGGTGTTGGCACCGTAGATCATGTTACGGTCACCATCACCATCACTGGCAGCACCAAAGTGCACACCATTCTTGTCAACGGCCTCGACGAGCTCGTGAGCGTACACGAGGTTGGGATCCGGGTGACCGCCGCCAAAGTCCGGCTTGGGCACGCAGTTCATGGTGCTGCTGGCGGGCAATCCGAGCTCCTTGACGAAAATGTCCACACCGTAGGGACCGGTCACACCGTGCATACCGTCGAAGAGCACCTTGAAGTCCTTGTGGGTGCTAAGGAACTCCTTGATCAGGTCGAAATCGAAGATCTCCTTCATCATGGTCACGTAGTCCGCGGTGGAGTGAACAACCTCAACCTCGAGGGGGCCGTACGCCTTGGTGCCGATGACGGAGGTGTCGACATCCTCGACATCGATGTAGTTGTAGGAGGTGAGAGACTTGGAGATCTCGTAGATCTTGTTGGTAACCGTCTCAGGGGCGGGGGCGCCGTTAGACAAGTTGTACTTGATACCGAAGTCGTTGTCCGGGCCTATTCGAGTTGGGTGTTAGCTGTTTGTCCGAGACGGGAGGAGCATATCCGCTGTTACTTACCACCAGGGTTGTGACTGGCAGTCAGCAAGATACCACCAGTGGCCTTGCGGACGCGGATCAGGTTGCTGGCCGCAGGGGTACTGAGAATGCCATTCTGGCCCACCAGGAGCTTCTTGACACCGTAGGCGGCACTGATCTTGGCAATCTTGGAGATGACCTCAGGGTTGTAGTAACGGCCATCACCACCGATGACGAGGAAAGCACCCTCTGCACCCTCAGGGATTGACAGAAGAGTGCTAGTGATGAAAGACTCGGAGTAATGGGGTTGCTGGAAGACCTTGACCTTCTTGCGAAGACCAGAACTGGAGAGGTATCGTTAGGGATGGATGGGAAGGAAAGGAGGGGCAATCACATACGTGCCCGGCTTCTGGTCAGTGAAAGACTGGAAGGAGACCGTTTGAACCGACATTATGAAAAACCTTGGAGAGTTGTGAAGAAGAAGAGAAGAGGAAATTCACCGACTCGGAGAAGAGGGGTTGGAGTCGGCGTCATGTGTTGATCATCCCACCGCATTTAAAACATGGCGTTTTTACTATGCATCCCCGCCAATTGGACAAGGATTGAACTGTCATGAAGCTTCCAATTGATCATAGCAGTTATGAATTACCTATAGTCAACCTATGATCTCTATTCTATTATTCCATTGGCTTTTTTTGAAGCTGTTTTTGTTTTTCTTTCCCCCCGGCGGGGCACTGAGCTCCAGTTACTTTTCCCTGTTTCCCTGGTATCATAAATCATAACAATACGGAATTAACTAAACAGCTTCTCCTGATAATAGCGCATTTCCGCAATACTCTCCAGAATATCATCTCTCGCCAAATGAACCTCTCGCTTGGGTGGAACAGAAGCTAACAACTCATCACTGCCCCACCTTCTCGCCGCCTCTTTGATCGTACTCACATCCAAGATGCGGTAATGCAAATGCTCCATAACGGGCGCGTAAGGGCCACGCACCAAAAATGCTTTATCGGCATGTACGCTGTTTCCTGCCAACAAGGCAGTGCGTGGAGTGGGCACATAGCGCTGGATGTAGGCAAGTAGCGACTTAGCGGCAGCTTCTGGGCTAGTGCTCGAGGCCCGGACAGCGGCCGTGAGGCCCGTGCGACCGTGCGTGTCAATGCACCACGGGTTCATGGCGTTGAGGGTGGAGTCTGGGTGGTGGATGACGGTCTCAAATCCGTTGGGCTCGAGAAGTCGAAGCTTTGAGTCTGTGATAAAGCAGCAGATTTGGAGAACTTGGTCGTTTTCGACGTCGAGGCCGGTCATCTGCGAGGATTGTAAGATTACCTGTGGTTGCGACGCGACAGGCGGGACTTACTTCACAGTCGATCCAGACTAAGGGATCGGATGAGCGGGCGAGAGGCATTTTGGGCTGGGTGGGTGTTGGCGCACTCTATGTTGTTAATTCTGTCTCTGGAAGAAATCGGGGGTTGATTCACTTGGTGGAGAACGCGAGCGGGCCGAGTTCGATTGTGTCTGTATGGAACCGCGGGTCGGAGTTGGAAGCCCCTTGCAAACATTTGAAGTTGTATCTTTTCAAATTTCCAGGAATGAATAGAATTGTTATTGTGCACGGGAATTTATACAGTCACTCCCTAAATTGATACCGTCACTCCCCCCAAAAAAGGGAAAATGACTTTGATTTTTTCAATACATGGAATTACATACCGCCTTTACACCGCCTTTCACTTTTGGATTTTCTGGTCTGCCCACCCACCCAACCCCTTCTGCACACCCACCTAATATAGATAGTAGGGCTTCATATTAGGGTATCACCATAGTCTAGCACTCTCTATAGTTATCCACATAGACTCTCAAATCCTCCACACACAGACTCTCAAATCCTCCACACACAGACTCTCAAATCCTCCACCCACAGACTCTCAAATCCTCCACACAACACAAAAATCTTCAAGATGTCTACTACGGGCACCAATAAAGGCAAAAGTGTATCTTTCAAGGATCTACTCTACGACTACGACTCTGATCTCGACCAGGAAAGCGACCCTGAAGTCCTCGAAAGCGACGCTGGAATCCCCGATGAGACTACTCCAGAACCCGAAGCAACCCATAAGTTTCCTCCCAGCCCTACTAGTGCCTATGAAATCCTTGGAATTAACCCTGAAATCCTTGGAAGTGACCCTGAAGTCCTCGAAAGCGACCCTAGAATCCCTGATGAGACTACTCCGGATCCCGAAGCAACAACCCATGAGTCCCCTCTGATGCCCCCTCCTCCTGCAGGGCAAGTATTTGAGACTCGCCAGTCTGCTATTGACTCAATAAACAACTTTGCTAAGCCTTATGGGTACTCTGTCTCGATTCTTCGATCTAAAAAGGGTGTTACGAATCTCAAATGCGTCCGCGGAGCTCTTGCTGGAGGATCTAATCGACAGGAAATTCACCCAAATGACCGTAAGCGAGTTAAAAACAAGATTAATAGAGACTGCCATTTCCGAATCAATCTCCGAGAGATGCCACATTCAACTCAATGGTCTTATCTTATCGCTAATCCTACCCATAACCATGGTTCTGTGAACACAACAATCCAGCGAGTACATCGGCGTCAGACTCTAGCCGCGGAAAGAGAGACTATTTCGGCTTCATTACTTCAAGGCCTACAACCTCGACATGTTCTAACACAACTACTTGAGACAGGGCATCCATACATAAAGATCAGAGATATCTACAATATCCAAGCTAAGATCCAGGAGGAAATTCTTGGTGGTCGACCCTCGATCCAGGCCCTACTTCTAGATCTTCCTGAGAATGACGAATGGCTCATCCGATACGCGGTTCGGGACGATGACAGTCTTTTCGCTCTTTTTGCAATGCATCGGACAAGCCTTGATTTACTTAAGAGATCTCTATGGGTCTTATGGATCGATTCAACATATAAAACGAATCTCCATAAGATGCCCCTTGTTGATATTATTGGATCTGCAGCGACTGGATAGTCTTTTTGTGCAGCTTTTGGTTTTCTACAGAATGAACAGGAAGACTCGTATGTCTTTGTTCTAGACTGTCTTAAGGAGGTTTATGCCAAGGAAATCTCTGTAGAGCATCACCTAGTCGGACCGCGGACTATTTTTACGGATCATGAGCCTGCCCTAATGAACGCAATTAACGATATCTTCCCTGATATAGACCGTATGATCTGTCTATGGCATGTCATGAAAAATATCAAGATCAAAGTACGCCCGATTATCACTGAATGCATCGCCAGGCAGGTTAATGATAGTATTCTTCAAAAAGATGAAGTTAAAGAGCAGTCTCTAGCGTTATGGGCAGAGTTTAAGGAAAACCTTGATGAGGTTTTCTACTTCCTTACAGTTAAGGGTTCTCAGAGAAATTGGCGCATATTTCGACGCAAATGGGATCGACTTGGATTCGATGAGGTTAATGACTACATCATGAAGGTCTGGATCGAGGGCTGTGGTGAGCACTTTATGGCCTGCTAAACCAAGGGCTACCTCCATCTATCTGAAGTGGTAACTTCTCGTGCTAAAGGAGAACACTAGGCGTTGAAGCAGGACTCGATAAAGACTAGAAGTCGTCTTTTGAGGACTCTCCGGTCTTTCCAAATCGTCACAAAGGCTCAATTTACCGCGATTCGGCAAAATCTTGCAGACCAGGTCGTCCGCGGGCGATCGTGGACAGATCCTGAAGCTGCGATTGTGATTCGTGATATTAACAAGGTTATTTCCCGGAAGGCTATTGCGGAGGTATTAGCAACCTTTAAGACCTACCTACCACCTAACGAAAACCCACTAGAGAGACCTAATAAGGACAGCAAATGGCAGATCAGATATCCTTATATCTGTTTTGAAGGGACTGGCGGACCTGGAATCCCTTGTATCCATACGATATTAACCTCATGGAGACACTAAGTGCCTTTGACTAAAGACCAATTCCATCAGCACTGGCACCTCCCGAGTCCTGAAAAGACCACTAATGCCTCTTTTGTGGCTCCTCCTATTGACGCACGGCATCTAGTTCGAGAACCCCATACAGTAATTCGGCTAAAAGGGCGACCGACTGAGACTAATGAGTCTATTACCCGGCAAGGGCCAAGGCCAGGTGGGCGGAAGTTATCCCAGTTCGAGATTATGGACCTACAGCAAGATGCGCTACAGATAGATAATAATCGGCATGAAACTCGAATATAGGAGGCCCAGCGGACGCAGCAATCTCAGGAGGACCAGCAATTTCATGAAGGTGTTGCTCAGGAGTACTTTACACAACAGGATGAGACTCTCGAGGCAGGTCCTAGTCGAGCCCGAGGACAGAAACAGTCTCCAGCGAAGATACCCAGAAAGCGCAAGTATCCAACGAGTCCAACGAAAAGAGGTCCTGGTCGGCCAAGGAAGGCTGATAAAGGCACAGTACCAGATGTGCCGGACAGTATGATGGGTATTATGGAGTTTTGAGAAGCGCGCGGCGGACTCGGTGGTCTGTGTGGACGCAGAGGGACAGCATGTATCGGCAGCGGACTTGGTAGTCTGCACATGTGTATGTTTAGGGGATTTGGAAGGTCTGCATGGAGGTCAAATTGTCAGCATAAGGGACTCGAGAGTTTATGCGGGGAACTGCGGGGAACTCGGAGGGTAGCGAGGTGGACTCAGATGTCGTGAAAAGCGTTCAAATAACGTCAAGTAACAGCTTTCAAGCGTTGATTTAGGTGGTTGTTTAGTATGCTAGCCAGAATTCGCTAATATGTAAGCCTGTGCAGGGGGTGTCTCCGCGGAGGTAGGGGTAATAATAATAAGGGTTGTAAACAAAGTAGTTATGGGTGGCAATAAAAAAGGCAGAAAAATATTCTGCCGATGTATTCCGATGTACAGGTGGAACTTTTGACATTTTTGATTTTTCCTAATTAGGTGATTAGGGAGTGACGGTATCAATTTAGGAAGTGACTGTATAATATCCCTTGTGCACTGTCTAACCCGATCAGGAACATACCCACGTCTTCAAAATGAATTACTTGATTGAACCGTACTTTTACTGCATCAAGTCTGCTCAAGGAACCTGGAACGTGCATATGATTTTGAACACTTCCTAGTTACAAATTTATAAACAAGCCGCCTATAAGCGACACAGCTAATGTATGCCCTTTCCGAATGCTTCCTGTAGTTGATCTGGACATGACGGCGTAAAAAGTTGAAAGAGGGCATGGAATTACCCAACAGCGGATGCGAACATATGGCTCCAACCAAAAAATTCTATCGTTTCAAAGCCTGGATTCCCTGGACTCCACCATAAGAAGTACCACTGCGCCAAACTCACAGTTCCTCATCCTCATCGGCTGCGTTCGACCCCGCGGCCGTATTTTGATCACCAAATGACCCTGCGCTAGAGTTGGTATCATTCATGCCACCGCCGAGGACTTCGTTAATGCGACCAGATGACTCTGCAATGCGACGCCGCAAAGCATTCTCGTCAGCTGTGGACACGCTGGCTCGTTGCTTCTTCAGAGGGCTCCCCAGGAACCCAGCAGGTGGCTCAGCCGTAGACTGGGAAGGTTCAGAGGGACCAGCGATAGCATCCGCAATCGTCTTGGGCGGGGTGATTGAGCGCTCAGTAGCCGGGGGAGGAGTTCCAGAAGCTGGGGTGCCAGTAGAGTTGTTGTCTCCACTTGCGCTAAACGGCTCGGCAGAGTGCTGGCGTTTCAACTGTGGCTTTGTTAGATTTGGAAAAAGAAAATGCAGGAGCTTTCACCTACCCGAATCTTGCGGACACCTTCTTCCAGCTCTCCCTGGCGTTTGATATCATCGGGGGATAAGAATTGATTGTCATCTTTAGTCTCTTCTTCATCGGCCTTGCTCAGGATTGGATTATCGGTGTCATCGTCATCGCTGTCCATTTCATCTTCCCCCTTCTTGCCCTTCGTTGTGGATTCGTGGTCCCGGAAATTGAGGAATCCTACTGTTCCACCGGGCTTCAGAGGACCAATACTGGCAAAGTCCGCTTGTAATGATTTCCGCTTTGCTGCCGGGGTTTCTTGCGCTTTGGGGTCCTTCAGGATACCCATCTTCTGCAATTGGCCTATGTTTTTTTATATAAAGTTAGTGTTTCAATTCTCTGGGTGGAATGAGGGAGTTCGACGCACGCTCTCCACGATACATGAAGGTGAATGTAGCATATGGCTTGTCAGTAGGGTCAATGCCAGTAACAGTTTGTGTACTAATGCTTTTCGGATCGAGAGTCTTGGGCTTTGCGAAACTGGTGGTGTGGTCAATATCGGCATCTCCATTCCCACCTTCCTGACCTCCCTCTTCATCATCGTCGTGGGCATCGAATTGCGGAGAATATTCACCCCGTTTGATTTCTCCCGAGGCCAGGACACGAAACAGAGCCACCTTGATTTGACCTGTAGTCTCCGGGATCGGGTCATCATCATCGGAATCCGACAGGTCATCATCAGAGACATTCTCCAGCGGCGCCTTGTCGTCACCTCCATAGCGCATGATATTTTTGTGCTTCGACGAAGCATTGGCTTCCATCTCCATTGCACTTTGACCTTCTTCCAAGCGCTTTGCCCGACGTTTCTCCATTTTCTGTCGCCGCCGCTCGATCTTGGCAGCGGCATCCTTGCCCTCCAGGTCCAACCCATTGAGCCAGCGCTCCAGACCAACTTCACGAAACAGGAACTCGCGTTCAGCGATGCCCCCGCCTTCGGAATCCGGAACACTGACCCACCGCGAGTTCACCCATGTCTCTTCACCCCTTCGAAGCAATGTGGCCACCTCTTCCTTCTGTCTACCATCAAAGTAGATGTACGCCGCCACGGTCTCATTCGGTCCATTCGTCAATGCCTGATATGGTGCGACAGAACCGGCCTCGTTTGTTTGGCCCGGTAGGCCGCCAACAACCTTTGGCTTCGGAGTGGGGCATTCGGGGGTCGGTTTAGGGGTAGAGTAGGGGACATCCTGGCCAGGATTGAGGAGGGTGATGGAAATGGCGAATGTTGATTGCTCGGGTTTGCCGTTCTTGGAGTCAGGGACTTTAGGCGGAGGAACCGGGATGAAGCAGCCTATGCGGGAAGCGCGCGACTGTCGCTGGATAGAGTATTCAGGGATCGCGCCATCCGGAGTATGAATACTCACGGCGAGACCTTTAAAGCAAGGCATGACGGTGCCTTACAGAGGTGTTGAGTGGAGGAAGAGAATTCGAAGCAGTTGTTAAAAGGGGAAAGGGGAGCTCCTCCGTCAACACGTAGGGAGTTGATTCCTTGAGCGGGAATCGGCAGGAAAGTTTGAATCTGACGCCGGCGGGGAAACACAAATAGTAGAAATTGCGGGTTTTTTTTTTGCCCTTTTTGGAGTCCCGCGATGGAGTGAGGGAGGTTTAAAAGAGGCGGTCAGGACAGTGTATTTTAGATTGTTATAGGAGCACCCAGCAGCCCACTGGGTCCGAACCCCACCGTTGCTGCTGGTATACGGAGGCTGGTCGAGTGCAGCTTTTGTGGGGACGCAGGAAAAATGAGAACCAGGGGACGACCACGAGAAAGGCTCCTTGCCTCGAAGATATTGGAAGATAAGATCAAGAAGCTCAGAAAATCACGAGGTCACCCATGGGGATCAAGACAAAGCAAGTTACGTAGCGGAATGCTCTTGGGCAGAAGAAGAGGGTGAGGGGCGGAAGTGGACCAAAACATCTCGAACCCCCACGTGATACACCTTATTAGTCGTCATGAGCGTGACTATTCAAACCCTATGACTATTTGCTGCGTGACTTATTTCCTACTTGATTTATTACTGGACATTAGAGGTTTATCTGACCTTATCATTATACCACTTTCATGACTTAACTTGCCATCGTCATTCTTCACTGTACCCACATCAGCTGTTCCTTTACCATGGATCAGCCGCGTTGCCCCAGGGCCCGCTTGAAACGGATATGCGCTTATCACTGACAGCAAAACAGGTATTACTGCATTTTTGGAACTGAAATAGCTTTCCCAATTTTGCCTCTGCGCAAATATATGGCTTCAAAAGAGCATATCTATGCGTCAAAACATGTTATCGCGGAAGTATAGAGTTATGATTCCAAAAACGACATAGGTTTCCATGGATTCCAAGGTCCACAAGTAATAAAATGTATTTTAAATCAAAGCCGCAAGTATCAATATCTCAAGTGCTGTTTAACCAATATCGCTTCAAAGCCTATGTCCTCCCTTTGACTCGGGCCACAGAGAGTACATGCTTGGACTCCAAAATGAAAGCAGATCGCCTAGTAGTTGGTATCCGGCCCAGTTGGGCTGTAGGTGTAACCAGGGAAATGGTTGAACAGACTCTGATCATACTGTCCAAGCTCCGGACATTCAAGCTTCCCCAGGATTGGAGCCAAGAAAGGATCCAAGAACGAGGTCGCATTGAAAATATCCGCCAGAGGGCCCTTAAGGAAATCCGGAATTCCTTGCTGCAAAAGACTAAAGACGAAGCACGCAAAATTATCACCCTCAAACAAGTTTCCGGCGTCCAGGACGCCACCAGTGAGATCTGAAACCTCGACACCTGTAAAAGAGTTTACCGAGCCAGTATTTCCCCCAATCTTCAAAGTGTCCGGGTACGCAAGATATCCGATGCCGACGTCCAACACGACATCGTCAAGGCTGTAGGGCGCGGTGGAGGGGCGGCGGTACCAATTGTTAGGAATAATTTCTTGTCCTTTGTTCCAAACGAAGGAACCAGGGGAGCCAGATACACCGAAGAACTGTTTGAAGGTGAAGCCGTCCTAGTAGCTGTTAGATAGTCCCTTAGGTTGAAAAGAAGAGTAGGATGTACCAGGTATCCTGTCGGCTCCTCTGCCGAAAAGTTCGACATGAAGTTAATGACAAAGTTATACGCCGCAGGCACAACCACAATTGTCGAGAAAGCGCCAGTGAAGTAGTACGGGTTGGTGGCGATGGAATCTGCCTGCACCTCTGCATATCGAGCACGGAACTTGTCGATAGTATAGCGTTGGTCGTACCCGTTCTCAGACAAGTCATCGCCACCGACAGCATAGACGGCTTCGAATTTGGATATGTTGAGCGAATGGGCATCACCGTGGTTGGTATAAGCATCGTTTCGTCCAATTGAGCCATCGCCCTCGTAGTTATTGTGAGAGTAGGAAAGACCTTGACCGGTCCTCAGAATACCTTCCAAGGGATCGGATGGCTGAGGACCACCAATAGACCACGTTCCACCAAGTAGATCACCGAGATGCTTGCCAAGATTAGGAAGTTTGCACCAAGTGATGAACTTCCCGAGTTAGGGAAAAATTCCGCCGAATTGAAAGACGATCTCTTGCGGCAAATTCGAAAGTTCTTTGTTCAGATGGACCAAGCTCGATCGGAGAATCCAACCAGTTCCTACTATATGCTGATGCCTTTCTTGATGCGATGGATCGGAAGTTTTATAGTATTTGCTTCTTCTCGTCTGGCTGTTTTGTGGACTCATGAAAGGCGTTTGTGATACTTGTTGATCAAGGATTTTTAAAAATCTCCGCATGAAATCCTGACGAACGAGGGAGAGATTTGGATGCAGTAAAATTTCATTTGTATACATTACTTTCTGACCTGTTCAATGTCGAGTTAAATTTCAACCTACGAGGATATTTGGTTCTGGAATTACTAAGAGTAAGGGCAGTGGATATCATAATTACGCAGTTATAGGTATAAGGTCGCTCGTTTGAAGCAAGGTATGTATGAAAATGAAAGGAAGAATGGACTTTTGCAAATATTCCTCAATCCGAGTCCCCAATCTCAATCTCGAGCCTCATTTCATAGCGCTATAGCAACTTGCTGAACATCCCTGCTGTTAGAATGGTCACCAGCACGGAGTATATCAAAATATTAAAACCGGCGTATCCGAATAAAGCACTCATGGTGAGATGAAGAATGAATGTGTAATGTAGAATTGTGTCGACGGTGCCGATTCCTGCGCCATTGATCGGTCTCATGAAAAACATCGCAATAGCTCCACAGCCTGACACAGTGCTATGCAGCAGAAAGGTCGAGCCTGTTATGGCGAAGATGAAGGCATCGAAGAAGGAATTGGCATTTTCATAACTATATGCGCGGGACATATCGATGGTTAATCGATCTGCGGTTTCGACGATGGTTTGAGGATTCGATGGGTTACAGCTTCGAGGGGATGGGTGACTTGGTGGACGAATTAATACGAGAGTGAACGGGAGGGATGATCACAGTCTTAAAGGGAGATCGAACTGTGAGCTGTGGGGAGCTGGTAAGATGAGAAAGATGAGGAGGAGATTCTTTAATGTAATCTTTCCTGCCCTAAACTCATATATCCACAAACTCACACCTTCACGTTTACAAACGCTATTTCTAAACCAGCTCCCACGCTTGGTAAGTAATGTCTAGGTGCAAAGATACTCTCATAACGACTATGTGAAAACCAATCGGAAATCGAGAGGTTGCCCATTTTTCTCCTGGTTCCCGGCTACCTCTTGCCCTAAACGACAGATCAGCTGTCGAAACCATGTGATGGGATGGTCGAGAATCAAGAAGTACTATTCCAGGCAGAAATACTATAAGTAAATGCTATGGACATATAAACATGGGGAAAACTTACTGCCTGTAAGGTTAGATCCAGGAAATCCTGCATTGAGCTAAGTATTTCCCCAGAACGCCGAGGATAATGGAGCAGATAAGGAATTTCACCAAAAAGACGACAAAGCCAATATCAACATCGACGCCCCGAACACGTTGACAAGTACTAATTATTTGGATTTCTTTCGCACATAGCGTTAACCATCCACTCAATTATTTGCTTGAAATTTGAAATAGGTGACTCACCTTGATCATCATTCGGTCAAAAGCTGGGATGCACCGCTGAAGGGACGTAACTACCACGAGGAGTTGACACCAGCCCCTGAACGAAGCACAGAAAAAGATATCTGGTCGAGAAATTCCCATTTTATCTGTTAGCTCATCACCACTCAAGGTACGACAACCTATCTCGGTCATCGATCTGGACACATTGATACCCGGGTAATCCTGGACCGCAGTGAGGAAATTGGCTCCAATAGATTTGGACGCCTCGGTTGGCTCAGGCTCACATGCCATGATACTCTTCATTGTCGCTTTGGACTGTTCAACTCCATCGAAATACGAATTCGGGGTAGCCATAACATAGGCAATGTATCGGAACAATGCAAGGAAGTCTTTCGTCTCATTTGGGCGGGGCTGGATACCGATCTTAGGGAGTTGGCGAAACAAGGGCATGCAGCAGAAGATCGCTGTTGCGTGAATGACATCTCTCAAATTGACTGGCGCCCTATACTCGACTTCATCAAAGTACGTCGGGTTTTGATTCATGAGCTTCAGGATGCGGCGGCTTACTGTGGCATGCAACAGTCGAACACGCACTGTCGAAGTATGGCCTGCTCCACCCGGCTGGATAGATTTCAGGTCCATCGCAACTTGTGAAAGCCATAGAAAATTTTCGAGGAATCGCCTTGGCATGACCCGAAGGGAGAACCCTCCAGTCCGCACGAAAATTTCGGTTCCACCTGCAATTGTCTTGAATAGTCAGCAATCTTTCGGGTATCGAATCAATACAGAGATGTATTACTGCGGTGCCTCCCAAAACCCCTTGTAGTGCAAGCCCGGTGAGATTTGGTACCAAATACCGATAGAAAAACTCTTGACCGCGCTCAATTTGAGTCCAATCAACCCAGTCGGGAATTGAGTTTAACTCTTCCCATAGGCGTTGCAATACGCTATCCTCCTCATGATGTTCTTTCAGAACGGCATACATGTCGAATTGACCAATGCATGCCCTAGCATTGCTTCGTCTCTCTCTTGTGGCGATAGTCTGAAGTCGTTCCACCGCAGTCACTGCGAGATCGTCAGCCTGCTGTCTGAGTGGCAGCAGATTCTCAGGCGTAAAGTGCTTGTCGGTCCATCGGAATGTGTGATTCCACACTCTCCGGATATCATCAAGTACACGGAAGGATGTGAATCAAATGTCCAAGTTATCATTTTGACCATTCCCAATGGCAATTGCTCCTCCCCTCCTCCCCCCAATTACTCCTGCACGCCCTGACCTAAATGCAGGAACATAGCTATGGCTCCGACTGAGCTACTGAGCTGCAATATAAAACTTTCTTGTTTTCTGACGCAGTTTTTTAATCTATGTATACGCTTGATTCACTTTCAGAGTATACTGTAGCTAAAAATGTATTTTATTTCATACTTCAAATATGAGGTAAGTCAATAGAGCTTCATGGTCATCCGAAGGTGTATGTGATATGACCAAGGTTGCCTGAAGATATGAAAGAAATACCTTAAATGACCATGTACCAGGTCCATTGATATCTTTACAGAGGCGGAAATAAATTAGAACAATACCCTAGGATATTCCCAGGTCAGCTCAGAGCCAAGTTTGATCGCCAGACTTGGGATTTCACCCCGGAATTGTGGGTTGAATGGTGCATAGAATGGCATTTGAGGCGCAATGCCGCTGGCACCGTTCAACAGAGCGATCCCTATTTGCAGATAGCCAGTTCGGTAATTTTCTTTGCTTGGAATTTGCACAAGATCAAGTCCTGTTGACTTCCAAGGCATGCTATTCACTAGTCGAGCCTCTTGATAAATCATGACGGACTAGGCTGACAGTAAAGCGATATACTAAGTTCGGGAAGAGAATATGATCGGAACACAACACATCGAGAATTCTTTATCCCCGTTCATAAGGACATTGACGAGTTGAGCAAGATCGAGGCGCTTCTTTACAGGGAAATTTGGGATAATCGGGGTCCGGGAATTAGAACCTGGGGGTCAATTTGTCCCATAACGTGAGGAGCGTGTGACTATTACACATGCAGGGATCACCAATCCAGTCTGCTAAAAGCCATCACCATGACAGAAGTCACAATCAATGATGCGACAGAAGAAAGTGATAGTTAGTAGTTAAGGGATGTGCTCCGTAATGGAACTCCGGCTGGGGGTATCAACGAGACAAACAACACAAACATCAAACAGCTTAAACAAGTTCATGCTCGATATTGTGATGGCAGGTCTGAATTTTAGAAACCGTTATAATACCCCTTAGTCTGATCACACATGTCAGTCCTACTGCCAAATAAACTATAGCATATCTGTCGCCACAGCCGTGAATCTCTTATCAATTCGACCCAAGTAGCCGCGAATGACATCAGCTCCGCCATGCTGACAAATGAGCAATGAGCTAAAAAGGGTCAATTAGTGACACGGTACTCCCTCCATTTAAGCTCGAGAACCAATCTTCACGTACTCAAATTAGTTACCACGTCATAATGCTACCCCTCCTACCCCGCACAGCTTTCAACTCTCTGAGAGCTGCATCTCGACTCCCTCAATTCACATCAACCTTCTGCCCATTTTCAATATCCACCACCATGTCCAACATCACGCTATACAGCTGGCCTACACCAAACGGCATCAAGGCCTCCATTACCCTGGAAGAGCTCGGTCTACCCTACAAGACTGTGCCGATTGACATAAGCACTAACATCCAAAAAGAGGAGTACTGAGACCATCCCATAATCCCTATTCCCGGTACAATTTCTAACACAATAATACATGTAGCTGGTTCCTCAAGATCAACCCCAATGGCCGGATTCCTGCAATCACAGACAACTCGCAGCGTGTCTTTGAAAGTGGCTCGATCATGCTTTACCTAGCTGACAAATATGACACTGATCGCAAGATAAGCTATGCGCCGGGAACACCAGAGCACATCGAGCAGCTATCCTGGCTCATGTTCCAAATGGGCGGTCTTGGACCCATGCAAGGTATTTACAATCTTCCCTTTGGAGTTTTGAGAGAAACCTTGTTGATCTCTGTACAGGCCAAGCGAACCACTTCCGCCTCTTTGCTGGCGTACGCTCAGACTATGGGATCAAGCGTTACATCGACGAGACGAAGCGTCTGATTTCTGTTCTTGAGTCTCGGTTGCAGGAGAGTCCCTACCTGGCAGGTAGTAAGTATACTGTTGCGGATATCGCGAATTATTCGTGGGTTCGCAGTGCTCCTACTGCGCTTGAGATTGATCTTGCAGAGTTCCCAGCTGTGGAGAAGTGGGTGAATGAGATTGGGAAGAGGGATGCGGTGGTCAAGGGGGCAAATATTCCGGATACTGGTCGTACGGATGCGGATCGGAATGAATTTTTTAAGAATGCTCGGGCGAAGATTGATGCGATGAACAACTCTGATCAGCATTGAGTTGGATGAGTTGTATTGCTATGATAGGGTATATCGAATATAGCCAGTCACGAGTCATTTCGCATGTAGAATTTCTCATCAAGGAACCTTGAATGCAGTACTCTCAAATCTCACCGGGTCGATAACTCCTCCAGGTCTTAAAGCCCACCTGCTCATACCATCCATCAAGAGCTACCCAGTCTACAAAGACCCCTTCAATGCCTCGCTCCTTCATATTCTCAATCGCATGGCAGATTAGCGCCAGGCCAATACCAGATTTTCGGTGATCGGCATCTACTCCGACACACCCGATCAGACCGGTTTTTGGGCCGCAAATCTGGGGAAATGCCCAGCCTTCGTTTAACTCCGGGCACGGAGGCAGCATTAATGTCCATCCAACTTGCTGATTTTGGGAATCGAAGGCAACCATCACGCATGACGGAAATTTCTCGGGATCTAGCATGACATACGCTTCAACCCACCCCTGTATGCAAAATTAGCTTGTGAACATTGAGTGGAGAGGATCTACGTACCGCTTTGTCTGAAAAGTTCCTCCTCTGACCATCCAAGCAAGCTAAATACTCATCGGGCTGCAGAGCAGCGAAGCGGAAGCCACGATCTCGGGCACGATTAATATACTTCTCTGGGGACTGGAAATTGCGAATATCCTGGTACAGGTCCACTGATCTTTTACCCGGTGGGCTGAGTCGGAAGCCACGGTGAATGAAGAAGCTTTGAACCGACTCTGGAAGTTCGCGAGGAATTCCGGGCCAAAAGCGAGGGAACGAGCTGCCAAGCTTTAGGCTTTGGATGCCAAACTTGGTGCGGAAGTATGAACGAGTCTCCCGTAATAGGGATGTGCCGATGCCTTGACCTTGGTGCTTTGGAGCGACACCCAGAACTGCTATGTGAACAGTAGAGGGTGGGCCGAGGTACGCAAGGCAGAATCCTACCAACTCTGACCCGCACCGGGCCACAAAGTGATGCCCGTTCGCTTGAGTAATCAATGTTCGGAGGCCATCTGCAGGTAAAGCGTAGGTCGGAAATATTTCATTCCATTTTGAGACCACCTCATTCACGTCAGTTTCTATACTGAAGGGTTCGACTGCCACATTTATTTTTGGAGCACCTGTGCCTATAGGAAGAGATCCCTTTGCGGTCATCCGACCGAAAACAATACTTGCAGCGACAGTGAATGCCTCGACCGTCGGCTCATACGTCGTGATATATGTCTGAAGTTCAGGGACTTCAAGAAAATCATATGGACTGCAAGCAGCAATAGCAACGAGTGATCGAGCATGCTGAGGAAGTTCACGACCAAGCGCTTCTTGATATGGCGTTTCCCGTCCATTTATGGAAACAAAAATAACCGAATCGGCACCCTTGACAAGGTTCCATTGATCAGGTGTTAGCCCTGTATCCTTGTACTTAATTTCCGTAATGGAAGAGTTGTAGGCTCGAAGCGCATGAAGGTATGGGGAAACTTCGTATGACCCTTGTCGGCCCAATCCCTCACCATCTACAGCGCCTCCCATTGGGATTATACTTCCAGGGAAAAGAAACACAATATTTCCAGCTGTTTTCAGAGGCAGGGTATTATTGGTATCACGAACAACAGTGACCGATTTTTCGTAAGCCTCTTTGAAAACACTGGGAGTCCTCTTGTTAAGTGCATCAAGTTCTTCCAGATGATTTAGACGCAAGGCGGTGTTCCATTTCAAGAACTTGTCTTTTACATGGGCAACATGGCGGCATGCCTCTTCGAAGCGGGATGATCCGAGTGTTCCAGACTGGACTGCTTCACAGACTCTCTTAATAGACGCAACTTGCACTTCGAAAGTATGGCAAAGCATGATGCTATCGCTTCCAGCTTTAAGCGCAAGAATTGAGCCCTGTTCGGTGCCGATAGTGGCGCGGATTCCATCCATTTCAAGACAGTCTGTGATAATCATTCCATCATAGGCCATGTCCTTACGAAGGATGGCGAGTGCATTTGGCGACAGCGTCGCTGGAAGCTTCTCATCGATGTTTGGCAGGGAGATGTGGGCAGTCATCACTGTCTCAATGCCTTCCGCAACCGCCCTTCGGAATGGAATCAATTCACATCGCTCGAGCTGGTCTCGTGTCTTCAAGATGACTGGCAACCCATAGTGTGAGTCGGTAGCAGTATCGCCATGGCCGGGGAAGTGCTTCGCACTAGGAACGATATTCATCTCTCGAAGACCACGCGCTGCGGCACAAGCAAACCTGCCCACAAATTCTGGATCATCGCCGGGACTACGGACTCCAACCACTGGATTCAAGGGCTCCGAGTTGATGTCGCAGACTGGAGCGTAATTCATGTTGATACCAAAAATTCCTAGGGTCTCACCCGTGGCTTTGCCTGCCTGGTAGGCCATTTCTGGATCACCAGTGGCCCCAAGAGCCATTGGCCCCGGGATTTGAGTTGCGATCGGAGGAGAAATCCGAGTAACAACACCATTCTCTTGGTCAATTCCAATGAGCAATGGTCGCTCGTGTCCAGCCATTCTCGCTTCGATTTGCAGCGCCAACGTCAAGGCTTGGAGTTGAGCGGCATCTTGAAAGTTGCGAGAGAAAAGCACAATGCCTCCGACATGGTATTCATGAATCAGTTTTTTGATCTCCGGGCTAGGCGTGTAGCCATGGAACCCGACCGCAAATAGCTGGCCGACCTGCTTTTGGAGGTCTGTTGAGCTCATAGTGCCGAGTTTTGAATTAAAGTGGTGAATAGTCAACGGTCGCGCGGGGGTCAAGATAGTGCCCGCCCTTTGCTGGCTCCACTCTGGCGGAAAGTAGCGCCACGAGTACGACCAGTCGACCACAGACGTGGGTAGCTTATTCGGAAGCGCTCATGTGAAGAGAAATGCAATGCTTTGAAAGAGAAGATAGAGGAGAACAATGAAAAGTCTGTATAATGGCGGGATAGAGAGATGAGAAGGAAGGAAGAAAGATGCGGCGGGATAGAGAGATGAGAAGGAAGGAAGAAAGATGCGGTTCATCTACTCCGTAATATTAAGTATATTAAGTCTAGCTAGTCCCGATAGGCACGACAGCAACAAACCCAGCAATTCCCCTGACCACGACAAATGCACTTCATATTGACTTTTGGGGTTAGAAGGTTGATGATCATACCTAAATACGTTAGCAATTTCCCGAAGGTAATTATTTCATCGCAACGTTACGAGAAAAGACGAAAGGCACAGTAGCTAGCAACAGACATGGATACATCACGATGCAACACCCCACAGTCACATCAGTGATGAAGATAAGATAATTAGATAAGAACCGGGTACACTCTCATGGAGAATGCGGGGTAGATCAAAGGAGAAATATCGGGGATGAAACTCTTTTCCTCCCTTCCGATCTGTCCGCCTTAACCATGGCGAACACGGATCAAGAGAACGAAAGTGTTGCTGGCCCGCAAGTATTCAAACACGCCACTGCCGAAGTGGCTGTTACACCCCGTGATACTCAACGGGAATATGAACGCTTATTTGGCGTCGATGAAGATGCCTTTGATCAACCCACCACCAGTCGGAAGGAGCTGTGGTCGTACTACCTCTATTATAATGGTATACTGCAGTCTCAGATCCATTCAGAACAAAGACTGATCGATCGTCTTCAATCCAGGTGATAATGGCGTGGGTCCGGGCTCCTACAGTCAAGCATTGTAGGTTATTCCTGCCTGCACAGAAATACCTGTCCTTGTGAAGCTGACTTGACAGATTCCAATGGGCCTTGACAAATGCCGGATACATTCCCGATACAAACCCGCCTCAGCCTTGCACCGATTCCTCCGCGTGTGTGGTGCCCTGGGCAGGCGGCACGCGATCTACATCCTCGGTGATCCTGATTGCCAATGGTCTCTGTTTTGCCTTCATGACAGTGATCTTTGTCTGGCTAGGTAGTGCTGCAGATTACGGCTCATTCGGAAGATGGCTGCTTCTTGTTTTGACTGTTGTGGCCTGGGCACTACAATACGGCATGCTTGCTATCCGACACCCTAGTCAATGGCCCGCAGCCATGGCCATGTATGTTGTTGCATATATCGCCTATGGTGCGACTCTGGTATTTTATGCCGCTGTCTTTCCTAGACTTGCGCGGTACATGCCGCACGTACGAAAGGCGCGAGATGAACTGCGAGAAGGCAAGATTGAGCAGCATGAATACGATGCGATCGAGTCTTTGGAAAGAAATCATATCAGGTACCAATCATCTGATTGTTCTAACTTCAAGCGGCTGACAAAGTCGATACAGTAACATCTCGACTGCACACAGCAATATTGGATACCTCCTCACATTAGTCCTGAATTTGAGCGTTCTTCTTCCGATGCAGAATAACCAGTTCTCAAACAACCTGGCACTATGTCTCACAAATTCATGTAAGACGATTTATTGCACAGCAGTCTACTATCTGACCACTTGAACAGATTGGGTGATTCTCGGAATCTGGTGGTTCTTATTTCAGCAGAAACGCCCCGGTCCCACTGTCCCTAAGGGCTCGAACTATGCCACAATTGGGTTCAAACAGATTTGGCTGGCAATGAGAGAGATCAGGTCTCTCCCGCAGACTTTTCTGTACTTTGTGGCCTATTTCTTGCTAGCTGACGGACTGAACACGACAGGTATCTTGACTGCCGCTTTTGAAAATCTTACACTCACACATTTCAGGAACTCTTGTCTCAATCATTCAAAATGACTACGTCTCATTTTCCTTCCTGCAAATCACCTATCTCGGTATTACACAGGCCGTTTGCTCCATCAGTTCCACGTTTGGGTTTTGGTACATCCAGCGGTACTTCAAGCTCAAAACAAAGACGATGTTCATGATCACCAATTTCTTCACTGCCTTCATTCCATTCTGGGGCATGCTGGGTCTATGGACGACCCGAATCGGCTACCATAATAGGGTATGCTTGGTTAGCCAAGTCGTTATATCAGTACTGACAGGTTTTAGTGGGAATTTTACTTCTACAACGTCGTCTTTGGCTTGTTCCAAGCGCCCTACTATGCAGTATGTGTATTAAACTCCTTTTATCCAGAAATCTGCTAATCTCTGGAACTCCAGTACGCCCAAACGATGATTAGCGAACTCATGCCTCGGGGCTACGATAACATGTTTTTTGCCTTGTTTGGGATCACCAATCGAGCAGTGAGTGGCGACCCTTCAGTCAACCTTCTCCAGCACTAATCAAGTCAATCTAAGTCTTCGATCATCGGTCCGAACGTGATTCAGGCTATTATCAATGATACGCGTAACAACTGGATGGGCTTCCCCTTTCTTTTTGCTGTCTGTACGGGTGCCATGATCGCAATTGGTTTCGTGGATGTTGAAAAGGGCCGTGAAGATTGCAGGAACTTCACTGAGCAGCGGAAGGTGGACCGCGTTGTTGCGGAAGCTGGATTAGATCCGAATGATCTGAATGGAAAGGGAGTACCAAGGAATCATCACTCTGTAGAAGGTGAATAGCACTTACAGACTTGCTTAATACCAATCGATTAAGTCTTTATTCAAGAATCAATCATCTTTTTTCTTCCTTGTGCACCGTCGGACTCCGTGTGCTTGGTTAAGATGGCAGGTTTGAGCGCCGCTTTTAGCCGGCCGGTTTTGAGGTTGCTTTAGCAGCAGCGAGATTCATGCCTGAAAATGCCTGAAAATGGGCACCCACTAGTAACTTGTCATCGCGTGCGAACCATGCAACTTTACCTGGTATCTCGATTTCCAATTTAAGTATGATGTGGCCAATGGTTCAAAAATTCATCGATGCATTCAAAGCGTGTAAAATGCGGTCAATTATTTATCCACACAATACGCCTACGCCCTTCAGATGAGTCAATCGCAGTGGCTTAGGATCCACCTAGCTGGCGCCATGTCTATAACTAGTTCCTAATTCCCGTAAAATTGTTTCATCAATAAATTTTCCTGAGTTCATATCCTTCCTCATTCTATAATGGCAATCCCACCGCAGAGCCTAGGGCATCCCACGCTCACCCAGTTCCTTCAGGATAATGATTGGAAAAACTTCAATCATGGTTAGCCTAGATCTCCCATTCTTCTTTCGGTATCACTAATATCCAGTAGGTTCATATGGCACATACCCCGCAGTGATTCGAGCCGAGCTCCGCAAGTTTCAAGATCAAGTAGAAGCTAGACCGGACTGGTTTATTCGTTATCAATATCCCAAGCTGCTGGATATATCTCGAAACGCAATGGCCACCTATCTGAACGTTCCAACAAGCGAAGTCGTATTCGTGAAAAGTGCAACTGTTGCCGTTAACACGGTGCTTCGGAATCTTGTCTTCGGTCCAAATGACATGATCATCCATTTCTCTACTATCTTCGATGGTTGTGGTAAAACAGTACAGTCCGTTACGGAGACCACCCCACTGAAGGCTAGGAACATAGAGTGCTCGTCTTCAATGAGTCATGATGACATTGTCGCAAAGTTTGTGCAGACAATCCAGCAGGCTACTGAGGAGGGTTTCAATGTCCGAATTGCCCTTTTCGACACCATTTCCAGTATGCCTGGCGTAAGAATGCCTTTCGAGAGATTGACTGAAGTTTGTCGCGAGCATAAAATTCTCAGCTGCATCGATGCTGCGCATGGAGTTGGCCAGATCTCTTTCGATCTTGGCAAATTGAACCCGGATTTCTTCACCAGCATTACCCACAAGTAAGAACATGTGCCCCCATATGTTCCAAGGAAATATTAACAGTCGATCTAGGTGGCTGTACAATCCTAGGGGTTGTTCCGTTTTCTATGTCGCCCGCCGCAACCAACACCTGATTCGCACCACAATCCCGACGTCGCACGTCTTGATTTCTAAGGAGCAAAAAGACGAATCATCATCAATGTCAGCTCAACCTGGGAGCAAATCAACTTTTGAAATCATGTTTCAAAGTACTGCAATCACCGATGACACACCTCATTTGACTATCCCAGCTGCTCTGGAATTCCGGGCCCATCTTCCTGGAGGTGAGGAGGGTATTTTGAAGTACATCCGCAAGATGGCTTTCGAAGGAGGAAATATTGTCGCCCAAATCCTTGGGACGGATGTTCTGGGTGAGCCGGGTACGGATAAAACAAGTCCTTGCAGAATGCGGGACTGCGCATTCGCCAATGTGCGTCTCCCATTCTTGATCGAGGATTCTGAAGCAGGTGCGACAGAGGCAGTGCAATGGCCTGTTCTGAGTATTTCGCAAGCTAAGAAACTTGCACCTCGTTTGCAAGAACATATCATCACCGATCATTCTGTGGCGGTCGCTCTCTTTGTGTATGACTCGGCTTTGTGGATCCGGCTTAGCGGGCAGATATACTTAGAGCTGGATGACTTCAGGTGGCTCGGTGAACTGTTGAAAAGGCTTTGTGCTAACGATGGGGCGATTTTGGGGGAGTCTAGTGCAGACTAGGTGATGTTTTCATCACTTATTGATTTATTGATCATTGTTAGTGCTCGCGTAACCCCAGGAGCTTATCCCCACTTATTTCTCTCCACATGTGCAGATAGCTTTCCCCTCATACATATGCTTCCATCTAAATGCTTTTCTCACCTTCCTCTCCTCCGATAGTACGTCTCGTACAATTATAACGTCTACAACACTTGTAATACAAAATTTAACTTAGTTCTGACGAGGAAATTCCTGCTCGCAGTAAAATGTAATGATTATTTTCCCAAAATGCTTACCATTTCACTCGTAGATAGTATCAAATTTGCTTCAATGCACCCTTCTTCCAGATGTCGTATGGTGGCATCCCAATATGGGGTCAAAGTTTCCGAAATGAGCCGTATACGTTGAAACTTGAAAAGGCGCCTTCAATCATGCGGCCTTTCCTTCCCATAAAGACACGTCATGTTGCATGCTTATAGCTTTCAAGACCAGTCCAATCCTTTGAAACGAAACCGGGTTTGGAAACTAACTCATCATCAGACCCACGGTGAAGACGCACGTATCTATCTCCCAATAAAAAGTAGCCGTCAGTTGGGAAGCCTGGAACCGAGATAAATGACACAATTACGTATGTATAATTATGCGAAGTTATTCTCCACGCATGCAAGGATCGAATCCTTCCAAGATTGGACACGAGTGAAACTTGCTACAGATTACACCGGTACTGTTAGAGTAAGCTCCGGGGTCACATGCCCATGTACAGCGCTCCTTTTCCTGTTTTGGCTTAGTTCCACGGCATATTTCTCATGGACTGCATACTCTCTTTCCTCCATCCCTCTCAGAATACGGATCATGAATTTTTCTTCTACTTCCCAGTTACCCATGTAGCCCTTTCTTCTCCAGGCTGGATGATAGATCAGCTGTCGACACCAACTTATGGGATGGTCGGGAATCAAGATGTTCATTTTAGGCGAGCCGCAGTTGGTGAGATTTGTTGCTGAAGACCCGAGCTTCTGGTAACCAATCCGGTTGAATTGCTAGCGCATGGAAACCTGCATTAAGTGGGTTTTAATCGATAGGTCATATTACTGAACTTTGGATATGAAATAGAAGACCTTCACGGAGTGAATGGAAGTTGATGTGTTCCAAAGAAAAATGAAAATAATATCATGTCATATATTAAACTTCGAACTCTAGATGTACAGTACTCTTTGCACATTCCAGGTCTACTATTTCCACACGCCATAAGCGCCATTATTTTCCGATCAGGCGGTGAGCGGGCCGACCCTGATCAAAGCTTATTATTAGAGTCTCGATCAATAAGGCTCCAGCTAAAACAGTTCAGGACACAGTTTGTCGCGGTGACTTTTAAGCTTGTAGTACGGAGTAGTTATTATCAAAATTTCAATCCCCACATAAGAGTTAATGAATAGGATCAGATTTTATCTTCAGCTCAATCAAGTGCTTCTCTAGGTATCAGCAGCCCTTTTCGGCGTCACTCGGCGCCTTTTAGTCGTTGACCACATATCCCGACACGTCCCCGAATGGCTACCACCACGCACTGAACTACAATCAATCGCACGGGCCGGCTATCTTATGCGGACAACCATGCTGTCGGGTCGATGATTATTACAACTTTTTAAACAGTTCGTTCCATCACCCAACCTTTTTTCTCTTTTCCTTCTTTTCTATCACCAGGAGAAGCTTCTAGTGTGCGATCCATCTACTTCCTGCATATTGCCTAACAAGTCGATAACCAAAACCTGCGATTTCATCACTTCAATTTGCCACGATCAATGGCGTCAGAATCGGGAGCAGGTCCCGCAGCAGAGCAACCTCTCACGGTCCCGGGTGATGAGGAACAAAATGCAAATAATGAACAGCAAATTGCAGTCGATGAAATTGAGGTATTGCCTTTGATTCTCTGCTTGATCAACCCGTCTAAAATTTCAATAAATGTAGAGCGCAGAAAGTGAATTCGATGAGGATTTCACTGATAACACATCACTGTCTTCAAGTGTTCTTCAATATGAATACGAAAATGGCCGTCGTTATGCTAGTAACCGTTCGGTAGGGCCGCCTCGGGTGGTAAGACGTTCAAGCCAGCTAACTCTACATAGGGACTCTATATGTATCTAAACCTAAACAAGAAACCCATGAAGCAAGAAGACTGACAAAATAGGATGCCAAACGATGAAGAGGAACAGGATCGAATGGATTTGGTACGTGTCTTGCCTTAATGTGTCATAAATTTAGAAGCTAATCAAAACCAGGCGCATCACCTGTAAGCCACATTCTGACCCTAGATACACGTATCTACGACTCTGACAATCATTCTGCCAGATGGCTTATGATGATGAAAGGAGAACTTCACAATGCTCCCGTGAAAAACCCTCAAAGGATTCTTGATCTTGGGACAGGAACAGGTATATGGGCTCTCGATATAGCGGAGTACGTTTCTTATAACCTTTTATCACTTTCAGGAACTATATAACCCCCCATTATCGCTTCTAAGAACTGTATTGACTTAAATTGAAAAAAAAAGGAAATTTCCACAGGCACATGTCATCGGTACCGATCTCAGCCCGATCCAACCAGAATGGACTTTACCGAATGTTGAATTCATTGTTGAGAACTTCGAAGAGGAGTGGCTTTATAAGCCAAACAGCTTTGATTTTATCCATGTGCGACTACTAGCAGGGTACATTTGATGATTATCGGGATTATATACGTGATAAAAAACTAATTGTGCTCAGATGCGTTGCCGACTGGCCAAAATTTATTCGAACCATTTATCAGCACCTCAAGCCAGGCGGCTACTTCGAGGTCCAGGAAAGTGCTGTATGGGCCTGGAGTGATGATGGATCTCTAACAGCGGATTCACCGTTATTCCAGTACATGCAGTTTCTCGATTCTGCGGGGAAAAAATTGGGACGTGACATGAACGTCTACTATAAGCTGCATGACTGGCTTGTTGAGGCGGGCTTTGAGGATGTGCAGCAATCTACATATATTCTGCCATATTCTCCGTGGCCCCGGGATCCGCACCTCAAGGAACTGGGCAAATACCAAGCTGTCCACGCTAATCAAGCAGTGGAGGCATATGGGCTGAGACTATTGACTCAGGTATTCGGATGGGGTGAAGATCCGTCACGAATATTTCAGGCAGCGGTTAAGAAGCACATGCGAGACAAGGATTTACATGCTTATGTTAAAGAGTAAGTGATCACCTGAACGTGAGGTTTGAACCGTTTTTGACATGATAAGGGTCGCTGTTTATGGGAGGAAGCCAATGAGTCGAGGAATCCAATGAGTCGAGGAATCCAATGAGTCGAGGAAGCCACTGAATTTGAAATCATAATTCATCCATTTAGGTGCTATAACGAAACTAAAGAATCTAAAAAAATCCCCAACATTCTTATGCTATAATGATAGGATAGCCTAGAGTGACTAGGTAAACAATCTCAACCTTGTACTACCTAGGTAAGTGCTGATATACGCAAGTGAACTCTATACTACAAATTCAATGACGTGTGCTGCCAGAAGAAATACAGTCGGGGCATGAGTACCATTTAAAAATCCCTCATTTAGTAGCCAATCGGATGGTTTTCACAATACCCCAATAAATCATTCCAGGCTGGATGCACAACAGATGTGATTATGCACTCTTCTTAAGCATATAAATGCGTAGACCGAGATAACGTGTTATTAACAGCACGTGCCTCGCTCTAGTTCGCCGTATATACCGTTTGAATGGCCCCACTCAAAATCTTGCCCATCACAAGAAGGGGGACTACGTGAAGGAGAACCTGGATGAGGAATGAAACGCAGCTGAGAGTCTCCACGGGTCTAAACATCCCAGCATTTCCAGTCTCTCGAAACTGGCGGTTCGTCCGTTTCTTCAGGCTAGGGACGTGTTTGAATTCATACTTGGACCCTCCCTTGAGCATAGAAGACCCCAAAACCGTATCTATGAGGAATTGCTTTGAAATCTTTGTGGAAGTAGCATTAGCCGTATATCCGTGGGTGTCTATCGATGGGATATACTCACGTTGGTCATAAATCTATCAAAAGATGGAAACCAATGTTGCAGTTGACAAATGACGACAAGAATGCCACAGTATCCTCGAAAAAGAGCCTGGAAGAAGTAACCCGGTTTCGAAAGTCCCAATTCATCCGCCATCTGATCATCATTCATCTTTCGAACACCGGTTTCAATCAAAGACCTGGATATGTTGATACCCGGGAAATCGCGGATCATCTCGATGAAGTTTTCAGTAAGGACTTTGGAAGATGCCGTGGGGCCAGGCTCACTGAGCATGATGCTTTCCATAGTAGCCTTGGCCTGCTCAACAGTCGCAAAGTACTCTGCCGGGGTACCTAAAAGATAGGCGATATAGCGGTATAAGGCCAGGTATCCCTTTAACATTTGTGGATCGGGTTTTATCCCCATCTTGGGTAATTGGACGAACGGTGTATTGCAAGAGAAGACGCAAATAGCGTGCATACAATCCAGAAGATTAATGGGAGTACCGTATTTTTCGAAATCGTAGTATTCCGAATTCTTTTCCACGATTTTCAGAATCCGATGGCGCACCATCGCATGCAAAAGTCTCACGCGAATGGTGGAGATATGGCCGTCGCCACCAGGTTGAACTGACTGCAACGACTGAGTAGCCTGGATCTGCCACTGGAATGTTTCAAGGAATCGCTTGGGCAAAACAGGCACGTTGAAGCCTCCAGTCCTGATGAAGACCTCTGCTGTTCCTGCCGTTGTCTATATTGCTGTTAAGATAATGTGCACAAAGAAATATCATTGGAGGATGAAACATACGGCATTTTCTCCTAAGCAGCCTTGAAGCACAATGCCGGTGATATTTGGTGCCAGATATCGATAGAGGAAGACCTGACCCTTTTCAATCTCTTCCCAGTCCACCCAGTCAGGGACACAGTGGGTTTCCTCCCAGAATTGACGCAGAATGCTATCATTTGCATAGTTTTCCTTCAGGACTGTGTACAGGTCTGGTCTGTTCACCCCGCCCTTCTCTGGTTTCTGAGCTGCTATGATGGCCAGCAGTCTCTCGACAACAGCTAGTGCAAGGTCATCGGCTTGCCGTCTTAATGGCATGAGCTGCTCTGCCGTCAAATGGTTCTCGGTCCATTGAAACTCGTAACCCCTGACATAACGCTTGTCGTCAAGAAATGACTTTTCAAAAGACATTATAAAAAGCAATGGCTCAGAAGTGAGTCTTCAAAGTTAGGTGTAGAAGAGGGTTTTAGTGAATAGATTTTTGGAGTTGATTCTGAATCCAGTTTATTTTAATTTAAAATCCGCTACCAATGACAAATAAATCCCGCACGAAGGATCAGTCAAGTATGAATTGTAACCTTGGAACGTATAGAGCCTGATCGGGACATGCAATACCTCTTCTCTTCTTCGGAAACCGATTTAGCTCTCTTAGCACTCTTCTAAAGGAACGGACATTGGACGATCGTAAAAAGATGAGAGGATCTAGGGGATCGATTGTCACTGTAGTCGCACTAGTAAAGCTAATCGAGATTAATAAAAATCAGAATCGGTGCTCCCCCACGATGTGGATAGTGGAGTAGAGAATATGGATTTCCCTTCTGTACATCCTTTAGACCGGGGATCAAGATAACCAACAGTCACTGATAGAGCAGTCAAACACTCGTTCAAGCACTCGGGATTTGCTTTGGAAAGTCAATTTTGCGAGCCATGACTCGAATCCTTCGCAAAAGTACGAACAACAGCTCGAGTCTACAAAACCAGTGCGAGCGATGACTACATCCCCGCACAGGCCTCTTCATATGTCGACTTCGTCATTACAGACCCTCTTCTCTGGAAAGTAATATCGCTATTTTCGCACTCTTCCAAAAGAATAGATATTAGATGATTGTAAAATGAGGCAGTGGTTTAGGCGAGTATCACTCCATGTGCAGCACTTGGGGAGTAAAGCTGATCAACATTAACTCAAACCAGATATGGAACTCCCCCACTGTTACGATATAGTGGAGTAGGAGGTTGAAATTTCTCCTTACATAGTACGTCGGTTAGAATGGGGGCCAAAAGGCAGTGGCAAACTAGTTCTCCACCTGTTTACGCCTCGATCTTTCAATAGTGCGAAACATGACCCGAGTCCCCGACAAAAGTACGCACAATAATTTGAATTCCACAAAACAGTTACAAGCCATGAATCTGGTTCCTGGTAACATTACTTGAGGCACTTTTATTACAAGCCCTCTATCAAAAGAACGGAATTGAAGGATTGCAAAAGAGAGGAGACGGTCTACGCTAGTATCAATGCATTTGCACTAGTTAAGCAGATAAAAATCAGCCTTTGACTCAAACAAGGAAGTGGAACTCTGCCATTACGTGGACCAGGATATATGGACCACCCCTCAATGCTGGTTACATTGATTGGACTGGATCTCATTAATAAACTATTCATTCATGCCTTCTTGAAAAGGAAATGGGCTTGTCTCAGTTAGCACTATCTATCCACGGGTGATCTATAACTTCGGGACCAATTTGTATGACATCTTCAATCTGCTAATCGCCGATAATTGGGAAAATACACCGAGCACTTAAGCCATTTCAAGAGTCATTCCAGGTAAAAAGGATTCGGTAGATCCACAGCTGTAAAACTTGGTTCATTACTCTATTACTTGATTTGCCATTTAAAGCAGCCCCACAAAATGCAAGCCTTGGAATTTGTGGCTCAAACAAAAAGGTTATATAGAAGACACATTCTCTAGGCATTGCATAGACCTTTGCTCCATCCACTCCTTTGGGATTCTGCATATAGTACAATCTTGGAAGTGCCGAAAATATGATCGAAGGGCAGAAGATCGTTCAGGTTACTTTGCCTGACTTATTTGTCGGTTTTCTGGCACGGAAACCTGTGCTGCATCCAGACTACGAAGATGTCCGTGTGGCCTCGGAATCATGGCTTTCAGAGTAAGTGACCTTCTAAAGACTCTATCTGTTGCTTACTAACCAGATAAGACTATGCAATTTCCATGCCTCTTTGCGAGAAACAATTCACAAAATCGATATCACATACTACTGCGCCATCTTGCTACCTCGTGTGGACGCAGATCGTTTCCGTATAGTCTGTGACTGGATGAACTGGGTATGTAGAGATTCCCCCGCCCCTATGATCTTTTAAAAACATGTCTGACTCTGACTCCACCAACAGGTCTTTCCTTTTGATGATGGTGTGAAATGCAGATCTATTGTGAATGCGAAGATGCCCAACTAATCTTGTCAACAGCACTGGACAATGGCCCCCTCAAGGAAAAGCCCAAAGACGTTCGAGAATTAGTCAATTGCCTGATAGGTATACTTGATACAAACACAATCCATGGACATCAGGATAAACTCTTGGTCGCCTTTGAGTCGATTTGGATTCGCGTGTTTCAGGTGCGGACATTCCTCTTATCTGATACGATGACCTGACCTGCTAGTCATTGAAACTAATGAATGATTAGGACTCTTCATTGGGAATCCAGAGACGGTTTGCAAGTGCCATGCGAGATTACTGCGAGGCTGTTTATCAACAGGTTGTTCTACAAAAGGGTAGTCGGCAGAAACAACTCGGGGTTAAATCAACTTTAGAAATACGGCGACAGTCAATTGCAACCATGCCATTATTCGCGTTGGTCGAGTGAGTTCAAATCTTTTTTAATGTAATCCAAAGAGGGTCCCTTATGATAGATTGCAGATATGCACACGCATTACGCATTCCAGATGATGTATTTGAATGCAAAAGCATCAAAGAGATACAACGAGTCGGCACCGACCTAGTTTTATTGTGAGTTTCCTAGCATCATAGGTAACGGAAGTGGGATTACTGAATGTTTGTCTGTAGGCAAAACGAGCTGATATCATATCAGAAAGAGAAGGTATGTGAAACTACGAAGACCATGATCAGTCACATCCTTAACGTACCCATTCTAGGCGCTGGGCGAGAGCCACAACATAATATCAATATATCAACAGGAAGGACACACCGTCCAAGAAGCGTTCAATGAAGTAGAACGCTTATTGTCTAAATGTTACCGCGACTGGTATCTCGCATTGGCACAACTACCCAGCTGGGGAGAAGAGATCGATTCGCAGGTCCAGCTGTATATTGAAGGTGTGCAGAATGCTGCCCTTGCCAACATTCACTGGAGGTAAGTTATCGTTCTTCGCTCATCAAATTATCTGTTTACTGACTTTATTTGCTTCATAGTTTCCGAGTAGATAGATATTGGGGAAACAACCAGGATGTTCGCAAGACGCGAATCATTAGTCTTCCAGAGGATATGGCTACTCCCAAGCGGCGGAAGATAAATATCAAGATTTCGCATGGAGGGGCCTTATTCTCGGCTTTTATTATGCTAGTCGCTTTCGCGTCGATACTTGCTGTTCCTCGGGTATTTGTTTTTGCTTCAGGAATGTGAGAGTATTACCTTGATTTCTTTGATTTATGTATGATGCGTGGATTATGTATAAATCTTGGAACCGTTCTCCGCCTAATGTGAATGTCTGAGAGGGCTTTTGGAACAATATCATTGACTAGGTTGCAAGGAACTCTTTGAGCCGTAAAAAAATGAAATGGTGATCTTTAGGAAACAGCCTGGAGTGGCCTTAATTGACCGATAAAGAAATAGGAGAGCCTGGGGTTAAATTAGATTAGTCTTAATGTAGATTTTGCAGTCAATCTGTTGAAAACAAACAATACAAGATATGTAGTCGCGAACATTTGAATGCTAAGCTTTCAATCTAGCTCTGCTGCTTCATCTTATCCATGTGCAAGGCACTAGTACTAGTTACATATAGTTGGAAAATGCTGCAGATTTGGGTATCACGCACTTGGCCCCAGTACCTACTGTAGTGTGTTTCTTGGCGCGCCATGTTGCTCTAATCTTTGAAGAGCTCCCTGGAATGAGATTCAATAGATGGATTCAAATACTTGGAAAACCCGTTACTTCGATAAGCTTGATTCTTCGAGAATATTGAGTTCATCGTTCGCCAACTTGAGTTCTGTGGAGACGGGTGACGCGTCTTTCACTGCCACGCCACGAATCAGATCTGCTAGCCCCTGTAGATATGGATCTCACCAAGGCCTTATTTTCAAATACTCACATTCATCTTCTCATTATTCGTATGGCCCAACGAAGTTCAAAGTCCGACTCTAATAATGAGCTTCCCTCACCAGGCTGGTGGTCCATCGAAACCAGCACGCGGGCTCTCCATTGCTCTTTGATTTTATCCTTCTGCATGATGCTTGTGGCGAATTTCATCGCATGGTGGAGAGGTATTCTCTGGTATTGGTGGGTTTACTACCTTACGACTTTGAAAATGATTGGGAACTAAACCTTCCATATTAGGATATATGAACAAACTGGAATTTTTAAACCACAAGCACTCGTTGATCTGTCTTAATTCGCTGAGTTTGTGAATACGCGCCTGTGCTCCATGCTGTTACCAAGCTTCAGGCTTACCTGAATGAAGCAGACCGAGATAATTATACTTTCCAAGTCACCGCCGAACTCCTTTTTGAAGATTGTGCATCGCCCTAGAGGTCCCTATTCATTTGTTGATATTCATTGCCATCCATCGCTGGCTCTTCGTCTGAAGTTGTTCGCCGTGATTGGAAGCTGCCTTATTATTGGGTGCTGGAAGTCTAATCAAGGTGAGGGTGTGGGCTGGTATATTTCACAGATTCGTTTATCTACTAAATGTATTATCTTTAGTTAGCACACCATAAACAGTGGACTTGGTTGTTGAGATTTGTGAAATTCCCTCTTTCCTGACACCATGATTTCTTGAATTCGTTTGATATGGAACGATTTACAGGTATAATTCTCATAGAATTTTGTAGTCCTGAGCTGATCTTTTGGATAATCATAATCATCGTATTGCCTCTATGGGCAGTGAACATTTAGTACAGCGTGTTTTGGAGCGGTACTACCGAATAGTCGGAACTGACAAGTATAACACAAACACCGTTCAGCTTTTCAAGGAATTTAGTCAGCCTTGGTTCGGCTACGGGTGCGGCTGCCAATTCCCTCCGCAGAAACCGCCTTTTTGATGACATCTTTCACTTTCTCCTTCTTGGGACGGGAAGTTTTCTTGGGCTCTCCATTTGCATCATCGGCTGCAGGTGGAGCTGGAGCAGCGGCCTCGGGTTCCTCAGCGGGTTCCTCGGTAGATTCCGCTCCAGTCTCTAGCTTTTGCTTCTTGGCCTCGGGCTCTTCCGTCTTTTCAACGACAGGAGCAGTTGGGTCAAGTTTGTCCGTTTCTTCGGCGGCGGAAGCTGGGGCTGTTGGAGCTACAGGCGGGGTCGTAGTCGCGTCCAGATCGCGCTTCTCGCCTGTCTGAGGCTCTTCCTTTTCAACTTCCTTCTTCTCAGACTGATCCTTTTCGGACTGCTCCTTGGCCTCAGCCTTTTCTACCGGAGCGGCCACCGGGGCCTGTGGCTCTAAGGATGCAACAGGTGCATCGAGAGAAGGTTCTATGGAAGAAGCGCTCAGAGGCTGGGAATTGGGAGCCTCGGATTCGTCTACCTTTGCGCCTTCTCTAGCGTTTTCGACAGTAATAGCTTCACTGTCTGGCTGTGTCGGATGCAGGACACTATGAACTGGCTCTGAAGATTGGGAGGCGAGAGCTGTGGCTGATTAGTCATCATATACTGAGTGAAACCAACGTGAATGACAGCAACACTGAAATTCCCACACGAATGAAGGCCACGTTAAAGTTGCAATTCGTCTGAATTGACATACCTGCAGCTAGGGAGCACATACCTGGAACTGAAGGAGGGTTTTGCATGGGAACACTTTCACTGGCCATGATGAATCGATGATGTCAGATATGGGCACGTGTCTGGAGGGAGTAATTTGACAAGGGATAGGGTCGCGAGGTTGAGGCGATTGCAATGAAAATAGTATAGATGGACTACAGAGAAGATTGAAACAAGAAAGAGATGGCTTGAAATTGGGGTGGAAAAGGTGAGGTTGCGCTGTGACGTTTACTAAGAAAGATGGAGACGCTAACCCGATTCCCTCAATGCGACGGGGCCGATTCGCCCCCCTCGACCCCATGTTAAAAACACCGTCACACAAGTCATTTGGGTTATCTTTCCCCGTAACTGCCCTTTAAGCACATGATTCTGACTCTGCTTGCATTCCCGCTGCATTCCGGTCATAAAGTATACTTTTCTCAAATCTCGCTTCCATAAGTACTTGGTACCTGGAAGTATGCCAAGCAGATCTCGGAGAAGTTTATCCGGATGGCGCAGAGCGGGTGGAGTCCAAGTGCGGAGTACTGGATCGATCTTCGTCATAGCGCACTGAAGTGCTCCGGGAAATGGGCCTGGCATTGCCATTGCTGAGGGGAAAAATACAACAGCTTGAATTAAGATCTGTGTTCCCAGCGTTCAACACATCCACGCCAAATTGCCAAAATTTGAACGTCTACTTGAACCCTGTGCTTATTCCTCAATGATATGCGTATTGAAGGAAAGTTGTTATATAGCCGAAACCACGTAGACAAATCAGGTCAAGCTCAGCTCCAAGTGACTCATAATATCTCCTTCCTCTCTGACGGAAGAACGGATGCGAGATCCCTCGGCATTGTCTGCTGTATTATCTGGGAGCAACAGCTGTACATGGCGAGCCAGAGAAGTTGCATCTCTAATTCTCCTCTGCTCTATCAAAAGTCGGAGGGCATCACAGGCAATTCGAAGGAAAGCGTCTCGGCGGGAATCATTCCAGGCCTGGACTTTGGGGAGTGATAGAGTTTCAACGAAGCGAATGAAAGGAGTCGGGTCAGGATGACTCGGATGGCAAAGGGACACGCTCGCAAATAACAATGATCGAGAGGATGCCAGTGTAGAAATGACTTCTCGGTACTCGTCATAGATGTAAGGGGTGACCTTCTCGGTCAGCGGTTTGGCGTCCATTGCTGCCCGGTTTAGATGGGCTCCAGCTGCCAGCAGCATCGGTTTTCCGGACTTGATCTGTTGGGGTAACATCGAATGCATGTGGCAGACACGTAGATAATACTTGAATGCCGAAGCAAGTCCATCTCCATATCGAAGTTCTGCTTCCATAAAGTCGACAAGCACGTTGCTAATACTTTGCTGGGCGACCGACTCTGTGATTCGGCCATTAGACCCGCCCAAATCGCGGCTTAGGAGCATTCTAATCCACTGGACAATGGTATCTTGAAGACCCTCGGCGACCATAAACTTAGTCAAAGACGAGGTTGCCGCTCGTGAGTGCAACAGCATCTGTCGGGAAACGCCATCGGAAGCCCAAAACCATTCCACCACGCGAGACGCTGCACGGGAAGTCTTCATCGCCTCGCTGACGCCATTCTGAGCAGGAGTTCGTACCAGCAGCAGCTGAGATTTTAAACATTTGGTGATGGTTAACGGGGTTACAGAGCCTGAGGCTGCCAATTCATCAAATACGAGCATAGGTTCTTTAGCCAGTCGTTCCTGTTCGTCTATATCTCGGACATGTTGATTAATGCCTTTGGGCGGCACGATTCGAAACAGCGGATTGTCGAGAATAATATGCAGATGGTGGTCGGTTGCATGAAGTGAGGAATCGGTATTCAAGGGCTGTCGATCGCCCTCATGGGTGTCCGATACCGGGTACGCGTGGTCCAGCTGACGACGAAATGAGGATGTGAGGGCGTTGAGCAATTGCTGGGACTCTCTGGGGGTTCGAGGCAGTGGCTGATTAATCTTGGGCCAGGATTTGAACTGAAAAATTGAGGTGCCCTTCATGATGATAAATTTGGGGATTATGCGGTGAGTCCCAAATGTGTATATGTGACGACTCTCAAATAGTTGGCCCCCTTGTGAAGGCGAAGATCGCCGCGAGGGGTGGGCGGTGAAGGCTCGAACTCTCAACTTTGGGCGGGAGTGGATGACGAGCAGACCGAGTGGTGCAATCGAATTGGTGAATGAGAAGAGATTTAAAGAGTGAAACCACCAAGTAAAATAGATCAAAAGATTTATCAAGATAAGATCAAGGAGATGAATCGAGTGTTCAAGATGATACCTAATACAAGTTCATGTACTTCCCAATATTTCAAACTGTCGTGAACCAGGTAACAAACCAATAGGCGCCACTCGCTAAAAAGCCAGGCAACGCCAAGACCAGCTGTGACTGAGAGCAACACATCAGAACTTAGCTTTTGCCTTCCCCATTCACATCCCCCCCCCCATTCTCCCCATACCACACCTTTTCTTGCTTTTTGCTTGTCTATCTGGATTACTATCTGGCCAGTGTGCCTGTGGTCCTTTTCTGGTGCTTTTCCTCTTGCGCGAGGGTGCATCATACACTTTTTCACCCTACCTTCCTCAGATCCTTCCTTCACGAAACCCTTGCGACGCCATCGTGACCTCCTTCCCAATTCCAATTCTTCCATCTCACATACCCACATAACACAATGTCCGACATTCAGAACCGACCCTCTGCTCGAGGCAGAGTATCCGCTCGCGGTGGCCGTGGTGGCTACAGCAACAGAGGTGGCCGTGGTGGAAACAGCAGATCCAATGCCGATAGCTCAGACCTCGCATCCTTTGATGAAGGTGAAATCGGCCAGATGAAGAAGAAGTATTCCGATACCCTGCCCACTCTTCGAGAGTTGTTCCCCGACTGGAAGGACGAAGATCTGGTGTTCGCTCTGGAGGACTCAAATGGTGAACTCGAGGAGGCAATTGAGCGCATTACTGAAGGTTGGTTCCCCTGAACTGAACCGCGACTTAGCGCGTTGATATCTTCCCCCACGGCTCATACTGACCAATGTGTTTAGGTAATGTGTCGCAGTGGGGAGAGGTCAAGAAGAAGACCGTCGACCGGACTCGCCCTAAGACCAAGGAGGTTCAGAGCGCCCCGACCGAGGTGACTTCAGCTCCTCTTCGTGCAGCTCGTGGTCGCGGCGGGCTGGAAAGCCGTGGTCGTGCTCGCGGAGACCGGGGTCGTGGTGGTCGTGGTGGCCGGGCTGGTGCTCAAACAAATGGAACTCGCGTTGTCAGCACGGCTGAGCCTGTGCCCGCGGCGGCAACTGAGCCCGTTGCATCGAACGTGACAGACGAATTGGATAAATGGGACAACGAGCCTGCAGCCACAGCCACAGCCACAGAGTCGGAGCCTCAGACCAGTGTGATTCCCGAAGGCTCAAAGAAGGGTTGGGCTAGTTTGTTCGCCAAGCCGCCTCCTCCTCCCCCGCAGAAGAAGGCTCCGCAGCCCGCTCCTGTGCCTGAAGCTGAGAAGGCTCCCGAACCTGTGCCAGAGCAGACTGCTCCCGAACCCGCTCCGGTGCCCGCTCCCTCCCAGAAGACTCCTGTCGCCAAGCCGATTCAACCTGTTGTCCCTGCCATCCCCGCCGCGATTGCCAAGCCTCCTCAGGTTGACTTGACCGAGACCAACCTCGAACAAATCCCCGATGTGTCCGCCCCGGCTCCAACTGCCACTGCTGCCAGCACTGTCGGTAGCTCTCTGGACCCTGTGGCTGTTGCTCAGGCTACTCCTTCCCGCGCTCCTCCCGCTAGCCTTCCCGGTAGCGCATACAAGCAGGGTGTTCGTGCTCCCGGCTTCCAGCGCCGTGTGATGGAGCAGCAGCAGGCTGTGGTGATGCCCGGCAACCACGCGGTTGATCGTGCTGCTGTGCAATTTGGAAGTATGGGACTGAACGGCGACGCCGTGGATATTGATGAGAACCGTGAGGAGGCAGAGACCCGCGCCCAGCCTCCTCAGCACTCCCCTGTCGCTCCTCGTGCTTCCCTCCCTCCTTCGACTCAGGGTGTTGCTGAGACCCCTGCCGCCCGACCTGCCCCTGGTCTGCCGCCGGTTCCCCAGGGCTCTGTTGGTGAATCTTTTGACTTTGCCCGCTACTCCGAGACCCAGAAAGCCTACGACCCCTTCGCCATTCCCGCCAGCCAGCCCCAGCAGCAGATCCCAGAGCCCTTCGCCAACCAGGCTCCCACTCAGCCCGCTGCTACCACCGGCAGCGAGTACTCTCCCTTCTACGCCGCCGACCAGCAGCGTTTCCCCTACAACTACTACGATAGCTACGGCCAGACTCAGAATGCCACTGCTGCCCCTCGTGCCGCTCCTGGATTCGGTGTCTCGGGTGCTGAGGCTGCGCCTCAGATTCCCACCACCCAGGCCCCCAGTCGTTACGGCCCCGTCGATGCCACCAACAGTGGTCACAACACTCCTAACCCGACCATGCCCGCTGCTAACCAGACCCCCGCTGGTCAGCACATGCCAGGCCAGCAGAGCGCCTATGCCTACGGCTACAACCCTTATTATACCAACCCTCACTATGCTCAGTACATGAACCAAATGAACCAGCAGCCCCAGTACAACCGGAACCGCCCCATGTATGATGATGCTCGTCGCTATGATGACCCACAACAGCAGCAGCAACAGCAGCAGCAGCAGCAGCACTACGGTATGCCGCACAACAACCAGTACGGCTACGGTAACCAGTACGGCCCCTACGCTGGTAAGGGTGGCATGTACGGCCAGCAGCCCCATGGCTTCTCCTACGACCACACCTCTTCCCCCGCGAATGCTGCCGCCACCTTCAACCAGGGAACCCCCGGACGTGACTCAGTCTACGGTGGTCGCACTGGTGCAGCCCAGCCTGCCGATAGCCAACAGACCACTGCGGGCGCCAACGCCTTCGGTACTGGTATGTCGGACGTTTTCAGTCGCCCCCAGGCCAGTGGATTTGGTCAGAACCCCTCTGTCGCCCAGCAAGCTCCTGTGAGTGCTGAGGAGACCAAGGGCTTCGAGGCCCCCAAGGCTGGTGGCCCCAGCCCGTCTCTGGCCCAGGCCAACCGCCCCGGTTCCGCCACCAACAATGTCCCTGGTCAGCCCCAGGGCCAAACCGGCCTTCCCCCGCTGCAGGGTCAGCAGGGTCAGCAAGCCTTTGGTGGTTATGGCCACTTGAACCCCCAGTATGGTGGTCTCGGTGGTCTTAGCGGACACCAGGGCGCTGCTTCGCAGAGCGGTGGTGGCTACAACAACTACGGTGCCGGGTTCAGCAACTACTACGGAAACAACCGTGGTGCCGGTGGCTGGGGTAACAACTACGGTCACTAAGCTTAGGGAATGACTATTTTCTTTTTTCTCCTTCCCTGTCATACACATATGTCGTTGATTTGAGAAAATCAAAAAAGGGCGGAGTTTCTTTTCCTTTTGTCTTGATCGTCTCAGGAAGGCAGACAAAGAAGCAACTCCTATCATTTTCTTTTCATCTTTTTTCCCTCAACATCTGTGTAATCTCTACTCTCTTCTGGGAGCTTGGCTGGCTTTTCCTTCTTGGGGACTGGGTACTTGCGTTTTCTTCCTTACTTCCCCATGTTTTTCTTTTTGCTACTGTCACGCCTGAGGCGGTTTGTATTAAATCCATCAATTTTCCCTGTCTTCCCTCCACCTCTGCCGAATGTCTTTTTCCCCCTTTTTTCTTTTTTTATTTTTTTTTTCTTCGCCCTAGCTCACGGTGTCAATTGAGGTCCGGTGTGTTATTCGGTGAAGAAGGGTTTCTGTTTCTGTCTCCTTTTTTCATCTTCTATTCTCTGTCATATGCATTGTCTACGACTGATGGGTCTGGCTGAGGTGGATTGTGATGGATTTTGCTCATTATTGAGCCTTCAAAAAGTGTGATGAGTTATGTACGCACCTATATGAACCAGATATTGCAAGACTCAATAGATTCCCCTGGGGCAGAAGCTCGAAATCCAGTTCTCGTATCCTATTTTATACATAGGCCATAAGATTACATGTAAATTTCAATGTTTGATTGCGGAAACATCTTATGTACTCACCTGATACATACCGAAATGTAGTAAAGGTATAAAATTGTACTGTTGTTGCAGAGATGCTTTGCCATACATATTTATATATGAGTTGGAGAATGAGAAAAAATCAAGATCATATGATTAGGTTGTGCAACCGTTGATCTGCTCAACTCATGCATATAAGCAAACGGCAAGATCATCGACCGGGACTATATACAATCGAAATACATGACATGGTCCTCCATATAACCAAGGACATCACAAGGCCAACTCTATACGAAGACAATCGGGCTAAGGGACAGGACTAGATAACCCGAGATTGAGAACAGTTGTCCTGGTACCCTGGATCCACTCGATAAAAAAAGAAAAACACCCAAAATGAAAATAAAAAAGCAAAGGCGGCGTCTCTCTCAATTGCCAGAGTCTAGAATCTACGCGGAAAGGCCAAGACCCTCAGGGCCAACCTTGAAGTACGGCGGCTTCGCACCCGCAGCGCGGGTGGCGTCAAAGCGCCAGATTCCACCAGTCTTGTCACCATCCAGATCAGGGCTGAGGTCGAGCGACCGAGCAAGCTCCTGAATGGTAGCGTCGTCATCCTTTGGATCAACACGGTTGAAGAAGCGACGCTCCCACTCGCGGTTCTCGGACTTCTCGATACGACGCAGCTCGCGCTGCGCATTCTCAATGCGAGACTTGTGGGCTGAGACGGCGTCCATGTCGTTCTTTTGGATGTTCTCCGCAACCTCCTTCCAGGCGCGGCGGCTCTCGTAGATATCCTGCTCGTCGATCGGGGCCAGGCTCAAGGGGGTGGTCTTGTTCTCCTCGACAGTCCAGGTATCGATGACTTCCTTGCTGCCGGCCTTCTTGAGGGTAAAGGTGTTGGACCACTGGCCGTCGACGGTGTACAAGGGCTTCTTCTCGCCCTCGCTGGCCTTGTATAGGCTCGCGGTGAAGGTGTTCTTCTTACCGCTCAGCCAGCCCTTGCCGGAGAAGTCGATCTTAGAGACATAGCCGGTGCTGCTGGCGATCTTGGCGGTCTTCTCGAGCTCGACGAATGGGGTACCGTAGATCAGGGACTCGATGTGGAGGTTAGGGAGCGTAATCAGGTATCGCTCCTTCTCTTTGGATCCGGGCAAGCTAAGGGTGTAAAGAGCATGTCCGATCTGCTTCACTTGGATGGTGCTGGAGAATGATGCCTTCTGGGCGTTGTATCCTTGGAGCTGTGAGAGCTCGTGTCAGTTACTTGTGCTTGTGATGATGGCACGTGACAAACTCACCTCGACTCCATTCTTCTCGTTTGAGATTGCATACGCGGTAGCGGGTGGGTGGTGGCTACAAAATATACTTGTGAGTATCTTCAATCCATTTGGTCCTAGATTGGGAAAGACCACGTACCTGACCTGTTCACTGACCAGCTGTGTCTCGCCAGTCTCAGCGTTACCCTGCCACTTACCGATGAACAGCTCACCCAGGAATGGGTTCAGCGGCTTCTTCTCGCTGCCAAGCTTCTCACTACGGCTGCAGTACTGCTGGTGAAGGGTGGTCAGGAACCATTTGAGGACAAGAAGGGCCCGCTTCTCTGGGTCGGACTCCTTGGCGGGGGCCACGAACACATCGGGGTGTTCGGCCCAGTAGGCAGAGTACTCGGTAAGGGAGGTCGAGGACAGGATGAAGGGAGGGGCAGTCAGGGACGAGAGATCTCCGTTAAATGAAGCAATAGACTAGAAAACCGATTAATTGCAGGAACTCGAAAACCAAGTTGTGCAGCCTACCTTGAGGAAACTGGTCCACGAGCCCTTGCTGTGGGCGGGGACGGCACTTTGGGGCTCCTTAGGCGACATTTTTTTCAGGAATTTAACTTGGATTGGAAAGGTCAAACTTGAAACCACAGAAATTCCGAAACCTGAAGCAAGTGGGGGAGTTTGATGTCAACGGTTGGCGGTCAGAGGGATAACGTCATGGGGAATGTGGTATCGGTACTATTGGTCGACCACACTCATGCATTTTCCTGATTTCATCGATTGCGCGTCTCTATAAGTGACAGTATCTTTCTGGTACTATTCATATCATCTTTCTGGTACTATTCATACTCCTGCCATTGACAATGCCCACTGAGGGAAACCGGAGGCCTCATGATCTTGCAATCGAGGGGCAGATAATTGAAAAATCTCCGATCCGAAACACGGACATATGATGGAGATATTTTTAATCAATTTGCTAGAACTTCCATATCTTTTTGTCTCTTTTCATCTTTCTATCGGATCATCGCCCTGATCGGTTAGAACTTCGGGGATTGCTTTACGTACCCCCTCAATTACTCTTGTATACTCTTACCTGATCAGGAACATATGTACCCATGGCAAGTACCCGACCAAATCATGTTTTCTATTGCCTATCCAGTCAGCCTTCAGGGCTCCAGTATACCCAACCATTGAAGGTACTTTGTAGTGTCAAGTGAATCTACTCCAGTATCTCTTCCTGTACTTTTTCCTGTACCCACCCCTTTAGCTACAGTAGACTATAAACGTATATCGAACGTATCCATAGATGTAAAAATGTGCAGTGAAAGGTCAACATTTGAAAGGTTGCTGTTGTAGTGTGTCACTGAATTCGGAGCCATGGGTATAATCCTGCATATGGGTTAGGGTGTACAAGAGTAATTTGGGGGCTACGTAGCAATTGCCAGAACTTCGGATTCTTTTCCGCACTGACTCGGCTGTTAACCACCCCACGCTATCGAGTCTCAACCATTGGTTACATTGTCTGGGTCGGACCCTGAAAGAACCATGCTCAAGCCAATCTGTACTGCTCTACGGACTTCAATCCGACAGTTGGACTGAATTTAATGCCGATCCTCGGCCAAAGATAACCATCGCCGAACGTTCGCAGATTTTTCCTTCTGACTCACTGATCTTTCCAATGTATTCAGTTGCTATATATCTTTGATTGTTGGATTGGATTTCAATTAAAACAACCTATTTTCCAATTTTCTGATCTGGGAAACTATACCCCAGTATGCCATCGGAAACATCCCGCGTTTAAAAGTTGAGCCTGCTTCTATCATCAAATTTTCCAACTCACAAACCCTGAACAAGCCCTGGACTGCTATTGTCAAGTCTAGACCAAATCAAATTGCACGTAACGCAATCACAGGCGTGTATCGGCCGGCATGTCTGCGACGCATTCCATCTCCAGCATCGAGGAAGCTGCCTCGGTAGAAGAAATACAACCTCAAAGAACGAAATCGCGCCGATCTGAGACGGGAAACGATCTTCATCTTGCTCAGAGTCATCTCTCTCACCATGATATGCCAGTGGCCAATGATGATTTCCACGAGGTCGATGCTGAACAGTATTTACGCTTTTCACATACCCGCAAAATAGTGATTGTTGCCGTGCTATCTTTCTGTTCATTCTTGGCTCCCATTTCTTCAACATCGATTCTTTCCGGTGTTCCAGAGGTCGCAGTGACCTACAATACCACCGGAAGTATTATAAATGCTAGCAATGCCCTATATCTGGCGTTTATGGGAATCGCGGCTCCGTTCTGGGGACCATTTAGTCAAGTGTGGGGAAGAAGACCGGTGAGTTCTTATACATCATTTTCTATGAAAATGCTAATTAATATTTTCAGATCTTCCTTACCAGTGCATTCTTATTCTTTGCCTTCAGTATTGGCACCGCACTTGCTCCGAACCTCCCAGCATATTTCATCTTTCGTGTTCTCACTGCCTTCCAAGGAACATCATTCTTGGTCGTAGGTAGCTCTGCAATTGGCGATATTTACGAGCCTCGAGCTCGTGCCACTGCCCTGGGGTGGTTCCTATCGGGTACTCTGATCGGACCAGCATTTGGACCATTTATTGGTGTACGTCCATCTCCTTCAATCATCAATTTAAGCAATACTAAACTAATTAAAACAGGGAGTTATTGTCACTTTCTGCTCTTGGAGAGTTGTATTCTGGCTCCAAACCGCTCTGGGTGGTCTAGGCACACTGCTAGTATTCTTCTTCTTTCCAGAAACATACCCCCACCTCGTCAAAGCGGACCCTTCTCAGAAAACCCCAAAAGAAAAAGCCAAATTCCTCTGGCATCGCGTCAATCCTGCCCGCGTTGGCGTCCTTCTCTTCTCCTACCCGAATCTGTTCTTCGCAGGCCTAGCAGCCGGCGCACTAGTCTGGAACCAGTACTCCCTCCTCACACCAATTCGCTACGTGCTAAACCCCCGCTTCCATCTAACAAGTCCCATCGAATCGGGTCTCTTCTACATCGCACCTGGATGCGGGTATCTAGTGGGTACGTTCATGGGCGGCCGCTGGGCAGATCACACAGTAAAGAAATGGATCCGCAAGCGCGGCGGCATCCGCGTGCCTGAAGATAGACTGAAATCCTGTCTTGTGTTCCTTGGCATCGTAATCCCGGGCTGTATCCTCGTCTATGGTTGGACGGTTGAGAAGGCTGTTGGTGGAATTCCTGTTCCGGTGCTTGCGATGTTCATTCAGGGAGTTGCGCAGCTGTTTTGTTTTCCCAGTTTGAATACCTTCTGTCTCGATGTTATGCAGTCTTCTGGCCGGAGTGCAGAGGTGGTTGCGGGCAATTATATGTTCCGGTATGTTTTCGCGGCGATTGGCTCTGGTGTGGTGCTTCCGGCTGTGGAAGCTATTGGTGTCGGATGGTTTAGTACTATCAGTGCCTTGTTTCTTGTCGTTGCGGGTTTGTGTGTCTGGGCGACTACTATTTTTGGAGATCAGTGGAGGAAGAAGGTTGATGCTAAGAACCAACAGAAGGAGGTGGGGATTGTTGAACAGCAATCTTCAACAGATGTTGAAAAGATAGGCGTGGCTGAGGTTAAAGTATGAGGCCTTGGTAATGTTTCATTTGCAAAATGCTTTTTCGTTAAACTAAAATATGATTGGCAAAGCTTTCAGCAATTTAATCTTAACTAATCTCATCCGCCATACAATTTCGTCCTATCCTTTCTTGGGCCATTTGTTTCCAACAGGATTTACCCATCATTTGAGTCAGCATGATCATTGGCGAGATCAATCCTAATCAACGTTTTCCTCAAGTACTAGTTCTGGCCTCATAGTACAGTGCCTTTTACCGCCCCTAATCCTTTCTATCTGAGGACAATTTTCCAGAGATACTCGAAAAGCAAGAATAGGAGTGTCAGATGTGAAAGAACTAATAATTGAGAAAAGTCGGGTAGGAAGAAAGGCCCGAAAGCGTGGATGAAGCCAGTGCTAACGGCCTGGAAATAATAATTGAAATGAGATAGAGATATTTATACATATTAAACACCAGGTAAAGGGGGATCAACAGCCAATAAAGCCGGATGGTCCGCCAAAGACTGCCAGAATCCCGCCTCGAAATCCCACAAGTCCTGACTGAGCAAAGCAGCCCAGTCGTCGTTCCCAGTTCCATCCTCATGAGCACCTTGTATATCCGTCGGGGCCTGCCCACTATCAGAGTGAAAAGAATCCAGAAATCGCTGCATCGTCTGCGTGGCTTTAGAAAGCAAAGCATAATTCGGATCCCCTGGTCGAACGATCGTACCGATCTGTACCTCCGCCACGAAGACGCCAAGGTCTTGTAAGATCTTCGTACGGGTGATATTTTGCGTTGTATGAGTGTGTTGCTTTAGGAGGGCGAGGAGAATCATTCCTGCTGCTGGGAGACCATAGTATGCGACCTATAGTAATTACTTAATATTGGATCGGCATTAGCATAGATAGACATACCTTCCAAACAAGACCGGTTCCGGAGTTAGTCAACTGATCCCGCAGAAGGATGCATTCCACAACGAGGGTGAGCATCTGTCCCGCTGTCTCGATAATAGGTATATCGGGCTCGGTTAGATTATTCAATAATAAGAGACGAAGTAAGAAGAGAACATGTAGATGCTGAAGACGGGCATGAGCGATGAAGTCCCTATCAAATGGAGTCCGGGTGCACTGCTTTAGACTTGTTTCGAGGCGAAGGGAAGCAGGGAGAGCGAGCCATTGCTTTTCGGCTTTTTGCTGAATTACACTGTTTGGCGTTGATATGATTAGGATCATGAATGCAGAAGATGGATGTTTTGATACGGAACATACGTCGCTCTTTGCACACAGGCTGCATCTTGCTTATCTTGTAACAATTCCCAAATCTCTTCTTTCAGAAATGCGCACAGTGCAGACCACCGAGAGTCTGCCCGATAACCGGGTTTCGAGTCCGAGTCCCAGGTAATATCATGATGGTTTTCATTGAAACTTGGTCTTGGTGTTGTGCTGGTAGGTGTATGACATGATGGAATTTGAAAATGACAAAATCGCTTGTTCATCCGCGGCGGACGACCAAGAAAAATGGCGATATTCTTGTCAGCGGAATATATCCGCGCGAATGCGGACTTCCGTAAATCCATTAAAAATCGCGGTATACCGGGTTTGGCCTCCAGGTTCTCATGGTATCCCATTGCGAATGTCGAGGAGATAACGTCACCGAGTTTGCGCCATGAGTGATAACCTAGATATGGCCTATAAGAAAGAATCAAATAGGCAGGAAAAGAGAAGCTTACTTTGATCACCATCCACATAAGAATGTACGATGAAATTCTCGTACTGAATAATCAATTGTAAATCATTCAAGCAGTCTAATGAAAGCGAGATCTCCAGCGCAAAGTCACTAAGCTTGGTTGCAAGCCGTCGTAAATTATATTGATCTTCCTCTGTGGTATAAAGAACCGGAAAAAAAGGGATATCGATTGTCGCGCGACTAATCGCAGCGAAGAAGATGCCGATGGTCTCCCAGCGACAGTTGTGATCGAGGAACTGCGTCGAGAATTCGGACAAGTTCATAGATTGATGGAATTTCAGCGACTGCGCAGAATTGTGGAGCAACCGCCGCGCATAAATTAAATGCCAATTCTCGTCATTTAAGGTAAAGAGCTGGCTCACACTCTCGGCGCATTGCGCAACGAAGGGCTCCGCGAGAGCAAGATTCGCGCCCTTTGCGAGCCAAAACATGACAAGCTCCTTCATAGCCGATAACGGATACGCCGTGAGTAGATGTCGTAGGATATCAGCCCCTTGAAGCAGCAAGTGGTTATCGCCCACCCACTGCGGGCTTAAAGCTTCGGAGCCCCCGACTTGAGCGCCAGCGCCATGGTCTCCGTCCGTTGTAATATGCTTGAATATGGCGGCATGACTAGAGGATCCCAAGTATCCAGGGTTTGGATACGGATTACGCCGAGGAGTAAAAGATGGCGTTGGATTTGATGAGGTCAAATTGCTAAGAACCTCATTAATATCCCATGCTCATTGTTCGGCCGGTCCCACTTACCTCGGTTTCTCAACGCGCCTCCGCTTGAATGGCGTGGTGCGGTAGATACAGACAGCCTTGTTATTCTTGCATCGCGAACAGACTGGCTGATGATGATCACAAGCGAGTTTTGCCTTTCGACAGGTTTCACAAGCAGCTAAACGTGATGCCATTGGAGGGTAAGCGGAGTCTTGTCCGCAAAGGAAAAAAGTTCTCGGCTATAGGCGGTTCGGCGATAAGATGGTGGGGTAAAGTTAAAAGCGGTACAAGCGGGGACCAACAGTATAAAAGGTTCCTTGGATCTGCAACTTACTTCTTACATACATCTGCCAATCATGTCTTCTACCAATACTGTTAAGCTCGCTGATTATTTATTGACCCGGCTACTTCAGCTAGGTGTTCAGTCTATCTTTGGCGTTCCAGGAGATTACAACTTGCGCTTGTTGGACTTTGTTGTCCCTGCTGGTCTACACTGGGTGGGGAACTGCAATGAGCTTAATGCCGCATATGCAGCCGATGGATATGCTCGCATCAATGGATTATCCGCCCTGATCACCACTTTCGGTGTTGGGGAGCTGTCTGCCGCTAATGGTATCGCTGGCGCGTATGCTGAAAGGTCACCCGTTATTCACATTGTCGGTACTCCACCTCGGCCACTCCAGCAAAGCCGCGCATTGATGCATCATACTTTCGCCGATGGTGAGTACAAGCGGTTCGCCGCTATGTCAAAGCATATCACTATCGCACAAACAGAATTGCAGGATGCAGCGACGGCACCAGAGAGAATCGATTGGATCTTGCAGCAGGCTCTCATCCACAGCCGACCTGTGTACCTTGAATTCCCCGATGATATGCCCCATGTCCTTGTCTCGTCAGCAAATCTCAAGACTCCGATCAAGGTCCCAGATGTCCCGAGTCCTGCAAATGAACAAGAGGTCATCAACCGCATCTTAGAACGCATCTATTCCTCCAAGCAGCCCGTCATCTTTGTAGACGGCGAGAGCAAAGCGCTGGGAATCGTCGACCAGCTCGATACACTGATCAAATCCACTAAATGGCCCACCTGGACTACAGTCTGGGGTAAAGGACTCGTCAACGAATCCCACCCCAACGCCTACGGCCTGTATGCCGCGGCCTTTGGTGACAAACCTGCACAAGAATACTTCGAATCTGCCGATCTGGTCCTCACATTTGGCCCACACTATAGCGATACAAACAGCTACTTCGATCAAACAATCCCCAAGCCCGCAGCTGCCATCACATTCCGAGACAGCACCATTCAAATCGAATCTGATATCTACCGTGACATCTCCCCTTCCAAAGTCCTCTCCGCACTCCTGGACAAACTCGACTCCTCTCGCACAATCACCGCCCAAGGCCCAACTAAGAAAATTGTCACGCTCGATGATATCCAGCCCACAGATGCAGTTGCCCAGAAGAACTTCTTCCGGCTTGTCAACCCGCTCTTCCGCGAGGGTGACATCATTCTCGCAGAAACTGGCACAGCAGCCTACGGTGGCCGACACTTTAAGCTACCCCCGAAATCCCGACTCTTCACTGCCGTCACCTGGCTATCAATTGGTTTCATGCTCCCCGCTACCCTTGGCACCGCGCTCGCAAAACGGGAACTGAACAAACCATCTGGCGCGCGGAACCAAACAGTTCTGATAATCGGTGATGGTAGTCTCCAGATGACAGCACAGGAGATCAGTGTTATGATTAAGGAGAAGCTGGACATTCTGATCATCATCATCAATAACGAAGGATACACAATTGAGCGGGTGATTCATGGACGGAAAGAGGCGTACAATGATGTTCCATTTTGGAGGCATACGCAGGCGCTCCAATACTTTGGGGCGGATGATGAGGCTGTGAAGCAGAATACGTATACGGCGAGGACAGTCGGGGAGTTCCAGGATGTGCTGAAGAATGAGAGAGTCAAGGATGGGAAGGGAGTCAGGATTGTGGAGGTCTTCATGGAGAGAGAGGATGTGCAGGAGGGACCTTTGCTTTGGGTGCTGAACAAACAACTTGCGGAGGAAGAGGCGGCCAAGTCTGCTTAGATGCTTTATTGAACACGTCCGAACCAAGAGATCGATACAGTAGATAAATATATTTTTTCTTTCATTGTTCGATATTTGCAAATAAACACTCATTTAAAGGAAGACTCCAAACATGTCAACACGTCGCTTGAACAGCATAGATGCAAGACGTATATCTACTGTACATCACACGACAATTGCTGCCTCCAGGTGAGGTTGTTGATGAAAATGATCTTCGAAAACATCAGATGCAACCTCATATGCCCAATACTCCATAGTTTTGATGTTTAATTGTGTACGTGTGGAGCTGGTTTCGAACTTGGGATGTATTAACTGTGCCTAGTCCCACCGAGTACTTGGAAGGTACATTGTGAATAGCCTCATTTGCATCACCCATGAGTTTACACATGAATTGATCAATCATCTACTACACCAAGATTTGATTTAAGAGAAAATTGACAATATATTTTGTTTAAGTGATTGAATGGTGCATCAAAAACAATATCAAAAAACAAAACATCTAACCCAGAGGGACTCCTCCTGTGCCTCTGTTGGTCACTTTAGAGGGGTCTGCTCTGAGCTGATGTTTCCCGGTACTAATTGACAACACCATTCAAGTCCCGTGGGCTGACCTATTTGGTCACATATAGTGCCAGCTGGTGGGAGTGTTTACCACTCGACCATACGGATGTCAATTGTTAGTTCTATTTCCCTACAGGTCGTTATAACCCAGCCACTAACCAATTGTACTTTTTGTCATTTTCGGAGTTGGTTCAAGCCATCATAACAAAACTCTCTGCAAGTGCAGAACATCTACCCAGGTGCCTAATGCTGAGATTGAATTTATTGATGTACGCTAATAGAAAAGCAAGTAACATGGACCTGGATGGCAAGGAGCACTGATTATGGGGATGAGGGTTTGGCTTGAGTGTCACTCTACTACGAGATAACCACAGCTTAGGCCTCACTGTTACTTCGTCAAGATCAATGCGAACTGGAATGTATGAGATTGAGTGTATTCAGTGCTATCACAGTGAGGGAAAGTCTAAGTAACTCGCTACTGAAGCCACCACCTGGGCAGTAAGAACATGGTTGGTGTATATGTATGACGAAAAAAAAAGGAGATTGAGGAACAGCGATATAAGAGCTCCAACCAGAGACAGGCTGTACAATGCCTAGGTGGGACCGCAATGAAAATGCTCGAGGACAAGTGTGAGGGGTATGCACGAGAGAAAGGACAAATGGAGAAGATAGGAGGTGTAAAGGTAGTGTACATTTAGTGCAGGAGATCAGTGCTGGCGGTGTGGATGATGTTGGCGACACGATCGATCCAGTGCTGAGCGAGAGACCAGTCGCCAGTATTGATGGTATCGCGGATGGCGGGGAAAATGGAGGGGTCGTAACCGGACCATAGCTCAGGCCCGAAGATAACGTGGCGGAATTGAGTGCGGTTGGGGATCTATGGAAGTGTTAGTTGAAGATTAGAAGTACTAGGTGTCAAGAGTAGAACTTACACCGCCGCCCTCTTCTAGGTCCAACAGATGCGTGTCAAAACTGGCCATGCGTAGGTTGTGGTTCACACGCTGTATCGCCATGACATTGCTCTCGTATCCACCGGAGCCCCAGACAGTATCATGCCAGATCTGGTTCCATGATTCAAACTTGACAGCATTGGCTTCCAGCTCTGCTGCTGCGTTGAACATGACCTCCAGATTGACATTGGCCTTCTTAGATTTGACAAATCCTTCCAGGTCTTTGACCCAGCCGGTGATAGATCGAGCATACGCTTGAAGGTCGAATGGAAGCATGGGATTCTCAGACACATCCAGTAGGAGAAGACTCCAGAACTGTGCAAGAAGCTTGTGATACTGGAAGCCCGGATCACCAGATTTCTCCATCCAGTCATAGGACTCGTAGCAGCTGTGGTATGGGTAGGGCTTGCCCTCGAATCCAAAATCAATGCTAGAAGTACCTGCAATGTCCTGGAAAGCCACGTAATCGCTGCCAGCACCAAGCGGTTCTAGCTTGCTGCCCTTTTCTATCCAGATGTCCTTCAGCGTCTTATTGGCAGTGGGGTCAGAGAGACGTCCTAATATTTGCAGCATAGAGCGCTCAAACACGGGCGACCCTGCGGCCCGGAACTCGGAGCCCGCTACACCCACATCAACATTGAGGTAGGCATATGCATTGCTCCGGAGGTTCTCAGCTTCCTTTTCAACATGTTCTGTTGAGCCGATAAGGTTGTATTCCTCACCATCCCAGCTGACAAACTCGATGGTACGAAGTGGCCGCCAGCCGTAATTGAGCAGCTCACCAAAGGCTCGTATGACCTCAAGAAAGACTGCAGTGCCACTGCCAGGATCAACACTTCCCAGACACCATGAATCCCGATGATTGCCAACAATGATCTTCTTGTCGCGCTCCTCGAGTCCGATGATAGTCCCGTGGACATTGTAAATAGGCATTCTCTCCACTTCATCCTGCAGATTCATCAAGTGGACAGTCGGCGAATTCTGATCACCGGTCCACCAGCCTTGAATCTTGGGTACCCCACCAACCCATTCGCTGGGGACCTTGGAGCCATGTCCCTCCAGGGCCTGCAACAATCGTTGCGCGTCGCGCCAGGCGATGGGAAGGCTAGGGATCTTTGTCAAGCCGGCACTCTCTTCGGGCAATAGCCGGTGCTTCTCCTCCGGTGTAGATGCCCACCCGGGGGTTAGAACGTCTCCAACAACCTGGGACATGAGACTAACTCCGCCTCTTTGGACCCCATCGGCTGGCATATAGCGTCCCTTGGGATAGGCAGGACCTTGGACAAACCCGTCCTGGGCTGGATCAGAATAAATGATACATCCTGCTGCGCCAGCCAGTTCGGCGGCTTTGATTTTCAGAGCCCGGTCTGGTTCAGTCCCGTAATACCGGACTAGAGCAATTGCACCATCAAGTGAGATACCACGGTCGGCAAGCAGCTTGAAGTCTTCCCGAGAGCCGAAATTAGCGTACACCAAGGGTCCCGTCACGTTGCCGGATTTCGAGTGGCCATGGAACACGGGGGTTTTTGAGTCATTCTCCTCAAGGGTGGCTTCCCACACTAAATCTGGAGGATCGATGATGGCCACCTTGCGACCACCGTCACGCGGATAGTTCAGGTAGACCTGAAACTCTTCCCGTTCGACCTTATCGAACCCTGCTCGGTGCATCGCCTGCTCGACCCATTCTGCCAGATAGAAGCTACCTTCGGTACCGGCGATATGAGGGAAAGAGGTGATGTGTTTGAGGGTCTCCTGGATGTTGGTGTCGTTGATGTTGCCCTGGATGAAATTCTCGACCGACGATGAACTGTAGGTCTGACCCATGATCATGCGATTATTGAGGTTGAAGACATCCCCGATGAAGAAGACATAAACCAACGTCACCACCAGCATGAGAGCGAACAATCGTAATAACATAATACATCCTTGATCCCGCATGCGCGACCGCGCATCTTGAAGGTTGAAACTGAAGCGAAAGCTGGAGAGGCTCGGTAGGTATCGTTGTAAGGGCCGATGGATTGCGGAAAGGGTTCGGGTGAGAGTAGAGAAGCGCTTGGAGAATTGGTGTCTTAATCGGCGGCGACCATGGGGTAGTGTTGCGGAGTCATCGACATCCATCTGATCTAATTCCCTGCGTAGCTCATCCGCGGAGCCTCGGGATGAGCCCGATGCCGACGAGGCAAGGTCATCGAGACTGCCGCGAACGGATTCCACGGTTGGGGGTTGGTAGTGAGAGGGCTCGCGACCGAGGAGCCCCTGGCGTTCAGCGTCGGTGCCATCACCTAGATGTTCGCGCGAGGAGGAGGGTTGACCGGTGGCTTCTTCGTAAGAGGGGATAGGGAGTTCCTGATATTCGAACTTATCGTCGCCCATGGTGGCACGGGGTGGGCTCCCAGGAGCCGTAGCAAATGGAGGGCGCGGATGCGGGGAACTTCCAGATCATGATCTGCTTGTAAGAAATAGGAAATGATAATGCAACATCCCGAGAAAATGAGGGATGGCTTCAATGTTGGGTGAAAGGTTGAATGGGGAGTTGGATGGATGCCTGCCCCGGACTATCTCCTGTTCTCTCGTGGCGCAGTGACCCACGCTTGGCTCAACGCGTCCATGTATCCCAATGGGTTTCGTAACTACACAAATTCGTGACTACGAAGTACGTATTTAGATACTGGAAAGAGAAAATCGCTAGCTCATTGACGATCTGAATGTTTATTTCATTGAAATATTTTCCGGAATGTCCGGAGGACACTCACCTGATAATGTTCATCCGGATATAGTTGGACTTAATACGGAGTACGTTCAAGTATCTACGGAGTACTATCTCTGCGCTCTTATACTTTCTTTCTTTCCCTATGCCGATAATCCCCGAGTGATGTCCGAATTTATTGAATTCCTGAACAAATCTGATCAGATCCACCAAGGAATGCAATAATTAGAAGAAATTACAGGAAGTGGAGTTCAGGCCCGCAGATAAGATGAACAGACTGGATTATACACCGTAGATTTGAACTAACCAGTTGACCTCAATGTACCTGAAATCTTAACAAATCTGGTAAATCTGGTACCATAATGTAACATCATTAGATCTATTAGAGCTCTATTCACATGCTATCATAACTGATACCTTAACCCTATATAGAAAGCTCCACTTCTCAATTTCAAAATTTAGTTCAATTGACCCCTAAACCCATTTCCTTCGGCTCAAAGGAAGGTGAAGTAGTGGCATCTCCACCCATATGAGAAGAAAAAAGAAAGGGTGACAGATCGTACACGGTAGATCCGAGTACACAACTTTCTCCTTTTTCTGTTATAAACTCGTCCTCAGTTCCTCCTAATTTACTTTCTTCTTTATTCACTTCATTTCTTGCTCTTTTGAACTTGAGTTTCCCTTGTGGTTGTGTTCTTATTTAAAAAAACCCCTTTCAAAATAATTTCTATACCCCTCCCCCACAATGTCTGCCCGCCCCCAGAACATCGGTATCAAGGCCATTGAGGTCTACTTCCCTTCCCAGGTTCGTACCCCCTTGGATTGAAATTGATTAGAATCCTCATTAACAATTCCTCTAGTGCGTTGATCAATCCGAGCTGGAGAAGCACGATGGCGTTAGCGAGGGCAAATACACCATCGGTCTTGGCCAGAAGAAGATGAGCTTCTGTGATGACCGTGAGGGTATGTGGCACCTTTTTTTTTTCTGGGGAATTCGAGATTCAAAACTAATTCGAAACTAGATATCTACTCTATGGCCTTGACTACCCTCTCCTCCCTCCTCAACAAGTACAACATCGACCCCAAGACCGTCGGCCGCCTCGAGGTCGGCACCGAGACTCTGCTGGACAAGTCTAAGTCCGTCAAGACTGTGCTCATGCAACTGTTCGCTCCCCACGGAAACACCAACATTGAGGGTGTCGATAACGTCAACGCCTGCTACGGTGGTACCAACGCCGTCTTCAACAGCATTAACTGGCTCGAGTCCTCTGCCTGGGACGGTCGTGATGCCGTTGTTGTCTGTGGTGATATTGCTCTGTACGCTGCCGGTGCTGCCCGCCCCACCGGTGGTGCTGGTTGCGTTGCCATGCTCATCGGTCCCGATGCTCCTATCGTCTTCGAGCCCGGTCTCCGTGCCTCTTACATGACCCACGCCTACGACTTCTACAAGCCCGATCTCACCAGCGAGTACCCCGTTGTTGACGGCCACTTCTCTCTGAAGTGCTACACCGAGGCTGTCGATGCCTGCTACAAGGCCTACGACGTCCGTGAGAAGGTCCTCAAGGCCAACCAGAACGGCACCAACGGCGCTACCGACGAGTCCCAGACCGCTCTGGACCGCTTCGAGTACCTCCTGTTCCACGCCCCTACCTGCAAGCTCGTCCAGAAGTCCTACGCTCGTATGCTCTACAACGACTACCTGGCCAACCCCTCCCACTCCGCCTTCGCTGAGGTCGCCCCTGAGCTCCGTGACCTCGACTACGCCGCTTCCCTGTCCGACAAGGCCGTCGAGAAGACCTTCATGGCTCTGACCAAGAAGCGCTTCGCTGACCGTGTCTCCCCTGGTCTCCAGGTCGCCCTTCTGTGCGGTAACATGTACACCGCCACCGTCTGGGCTGGTCTCGCTTCCCTACTCAGCCACGTCACCCTCTCCCCCAGCGAGCCCAAGCGCATCGGACTCTTCTCCTACGGTTCCGGTCTCGCCTCCTCCCTGTTCAGTGCCAAGATCGTCGGCGACGTTTCCGCCATGGTTGAGAAGCTTGACCTCAAGAACCGCCTCGAGGCCCGCAACGTCCTCGCCCCCGCTGCCTACGATGACCTGTGCAAGCTGCGCGAGCACGCCCACCTGCAGAAGAACTTCAAGCCCTCCGGTAGCACCGAGACTCTGCAGCCCGGAACCTACTACCTCACCGAGATTGATGACATGTTCCGTCGCAAGTACGAGATCAAGGCCTAGATGGTCTACTCGTTCTGATCTGCCGTTGGATATGACCCCCTGCCTTGTTTAGACGGTTAAGAAAAGATTCCCCACCAGCGTTTTTGATGGGTTTTGTGTTGGAATAGACCTTGCGAAGCCCTTGATACTTATTGTTTATTTTTCTTTTGTTACGCACACTTTTTCGGATGAATGATGAAATAAGCTAGAAGCTACAATATCAGTTTTTAACTCGGCTATATGCCTGAATATAATACTTCATTTCAAAATATTGGAATTTCAAATGTTGTCTACTTCTTAAGGTTGTAACAAACAAATACCTAAACATATGTGACTACTAACCTCGTAAACACGTGAGACCCTTGTATATTCTGAAGATGCATCGGACAGGATTTGGTAGGGGTAACGGAGAAATACGATGTTTCGCCTTCATAACTATGCGCCCGTGTGTTATCTCATCTATGTGCTGGTATTGCCTAAGGTTTCAGTAGGTAATGCATAGTAATCCCATCATCATCAGTCTGTTGAATGTATAGTTCATTCATTTTTGTAAACGCTCAAGTGCAAAGGAATTGAAGCTATTCAGAACTAACCAAAGTACCATGGTCCATGCCCCTAATGATCTACTAAATTAATGCAAGGCAATCTTATCAAAAGACTGAAACAGTGCAAAAAGTGGAGTAAAACTTTGTACAAAAATCCCCACTAAGAACATGATAACATTAAACCTTTTGACCAAATCATCACTAATTTAGAACTTGAAACAACAGTTGAATGAACCTGTTCTGCTAATTATGGGACATTCCACCATGGTTTACTGGTCGCAGAAACCGTAGAAAGAGTGACGACGATCGGCCGGCGCGTACTTGAGACTTAACTTACATCTGTAGCCGCCGACCAAACCATCACACCGCGAACGACCTACTACCTGACAAAGGAAGGTCCATCTCTGGAGTTTCTACTTCATGCATCGTCACAGCACACGCCCTGGCTATTTTTAGCTATTTTTATCCTTCAAAAGCTAACCGCCCATCTACAACCCGGCGATTCCTGAGGCATGGCGCACCCTCTAGGGGTCAACCCCTAGAGGGGTGAAGCCGCTAATTACCTGACAATTGCGACCTAATTGTTTCTGAATTTAGAAGTGTTTGATTATTCTGCATCACACTATTCCCAAAAAGGGATCTGAAGAATACCGTCGAAGCTGATGCAAAATATAGTAACAACTTAACGCGCGACTGATCCGCTGAAACCGCACTAAACCTAGATGGACATCCTTTACGGGCTTTCAATGTCCCCTGTCGCGCGACCTGAGGAACAATTGTCGGCAGTTTCGCGTTTCATCGCATAGCAGGCGTGGCACTGGATCGGAGACCAGGATCCCAAAAAAAGAATAGGAGCCTCCGTTGGCGTCACCGTGGAGCCATTTCTCCATGTTTCAGGTTATTCAAGATCCGCTTGGGGCTCGTTGTGGGCCCTTATTCTATATCTATATCTGCATCTTTGCTTGGCTTGTTTGAGCCTTTTTATCTCAGACCATTTAATATCCAAGCATTCTCCTTCACCGTCATGTCTCTGTTCCTTCACGAAATTGTTCAGATCTGAACGACTTACCTCGACCTACATTCGTTTCTTACTTGTCATTGGGAAGTCCGTTCCTGTTGATACAGAGGCTCGCCTACTTGTTGAATCATCTCCATCGCATCATGTCTGGAGACCACGCTCGCTACCAGCCAACTACGCCACCTGGTCAGCCTTACGAGGAATATCTTGGGTCCGGACATAGTCGTAACCCATCTACTTCATCTATCTACTCTGGTGAATCTTCACCTTGGTCCACCATGACGAGCAATACTAGCCCTGGTACTTCGCCAACCCGGCATCACCATGGTCCTGCACTCTTACCCAAAATTCGACCTCAAGATGTGGTGATTGAACCTGTCTCTTCTGCTGGCCCTCTGCGTACCCGCCGGTTCTTGTCCAACACACGAAATACTCCTGGATTTGCACCTTATTCCCTTAGCCGTCCTTCTTCTCGACGCAACCAGCCAGATACGGCTGATCGGATTCCTTTGGCATCTCCCATTTCACCTATTGTCACCACGGGTCCTATCAGTCACTCTGCTTTGTCGTCTCCAGTGACTATCACATCAAACAAGCGCAAAGCGTCTGGGGGTCATAATCGATCCGTGTCAGCCTCAAGTATTGATGAGGCTACTCTGAGCCGATATGGATATCCTACCTACCGACAGCTCCCAAAGTATGTGCCGCATGTACAGGCGCAAACAACCCCAACTACACCAGTTACCCCAGTGACTCCGAACATCGTGGTCTACCCATCTCTACCACAGCAACCCACAGTAGAAGTTCCTCGGCTCGGTCCTGTGCGCACTCCACGTCATCCGTTGACTGTGCCAACGCCCCAGTACTGCCGCAGCCCAGTTCACGGCCCTCAAAGATCACCAATGGATCTGATGAGCCCCCGGGAAGATTCAATTCCTCAATCTACCAACTTGATCTCGTACTTGACAGCTCCCACTCAACCAGTCAACCTAGTCCGAAATGTCAGTGTCATTCCTACCCGTGGCATGCATGACTACTTCTGGTGGGACATCCGTCAGCTCCGCAACTGGGAATCCTTCTCTTTTGCCACGATTGACAAAATCGACGGACTCACCCAACTACTAAGAACCGAGATCCCCGGAACCCTGGCTCCCCCCGTAGGTGTTTCCTCTTCTCGTCTAGCCCCGGAGTCTGAACCTGGTCTAGTGGACCTAATCCGCGATCTCTATGCCCCACGAGTCAATGCAGCATTAGCCGTTTCCCAAGGAGCAGAACATCTCCAACTCTATCCAGCTCCAGATATCCGTCATACCGGACACAAAAACCACGGCCACCCGCATTTCCTAGCCAACTACTCCACAGACACAGATTGCACTAGCGCAGGGCTCCCACGTGGCCGACTCGTGGGTATAGTCAAGAGTTTCGACAGATGGAACTCGGCAATGCGCAATGAAGCACCCCACCGTCGCGTCGAGTATCTAAACGGCCTAGCCCATCTCCAGCGCTGCATGCGCGAACATTCCTGTCGCTACGGCTTCATAATCACGGAAATCGAACTCATCTGCGTTCGCGCCGGCTGCGACGATGGCTGTGACGTCCCATATTTCGGCTACCTGGAAGTGGCAGCGCCAATTCCACTTAAAACGGCCGCGACGCCCCAAACCGCGCGCGATGTTCCAGCACTCGCAACCCCGATCAGTGCACGTTCTTTCTCATCCTCTTCTCATGGCTCATCTTCATCATATTCCGGACATCCGTCCCCTGCGCTTGAGTCGGAATGTTTGGACGATGGCTGTTCAACTCCCATGACTGCTAGTCTGGCTTTGTACTTTCTGCTCATGCTTTCTAAATCCGTTCCACTTCCCTATCAGCCGTCCGCTCACCTCAACGTTGGCGGACCGGGTGCTCTTACCCGGCAGCGTGTTCTTTCCGAGCCTAAAGATAGCTGGATCCCTGAGCCGCAGATTGGTGAGCGTCGCGACGCTAAGCGGGTTCGGGGATGGGTTTGGCCCCATGAAGCTTGGCATCGGCGGGAAGGCGGCGGTGTTCCTCGATCAACAAGGAATATCGATATTAGGGCGAAGAACTGGCATAAATAGGTAATTTCTGTTAGGCGTAGGATATTGGAAATGAGGCGCTTGATCTATTGGAGTAGTCTACTCTATTCTCCATTTTGTGTTCATGATTTATGCTTTGGCTTGGGTTTTCCTTCGGTGGTTGCTTTGTTATTCCCCCTTTGTTTTCAATATTTGATATTAATGTAATTTTTTTCTTTCCTATTTATCCGGTAGTATTTCTCTACTGTCTAGCTTTCTAATGGTGTACTTTCATCCCCAGTACGACTGGGCAATCAGACCTTGGAAGTTCTAATGGATGAGGATGTAGCTTCAACTCCAAGGTCCCCATTGTCAGCCTCAAGCCGATCATATCCACATTTATTGATTGTAACCATTCCCACTAATAAGGACCTTGGGAGTAAGAGTACCTCGATAGCCAGCTCGCAATGAGGACATTGCAGAAAGACCAAAGTATAAGCTGCCATACATAAATACGGCTCCCCTTCACTAATCCCTGTACACTTTTTCCCTCAAATATTATCATCCATAATAACCCACAAAAATTTGGGATTAAACCACCACTTACCACAAGATGAATACAGAAAGCGAACCTGAAATCCACGATGTAATCATCATCGGTGCCGGACCCTGCGGTCTAGGCGTCGCCGCCCGCATCCACGAAGATACCCCGTCAGCAGTATTTACCGACGAAGAACACCAACGATACCACTGGATCAAGAAACATACTGGAAAAATGAATCTTGTCCAAGCAGGTCGTACTAAGAAGAACGTGCGCGCGGAGAAATGGAATCGTGGAATTACATGCTGTGACAAGAATGAAAATAGACAGCGCAGAGAATCTTCGAACTCGATATCCTCTGTTCCTTCTCTTGCGTCGTCGGCATCGTCGATCTCATCTACATCGTCGATCTCGACACTTGTCCTTGATGGATCGGGTGATCGGTGGATGCAACGGTGGAATAATGCGTTCCGAACGTTAGAGATTAAGCAGTTGAGAAGTCCGATGTTCTTTCACGTTGATCCTGGGGATCGAGATGGGATGCTTGCTTATACTCAGGAGAAGGGAAGGGAAGGGGATCTTTGGGAGATCTCGGGATGCGTGGGAAAAGAGATGAGTAAGCACAAAAAGAAGAAGATGAGACAGGGAGGGAAGACTCAGTGAGTGTCTGGAGTCTGTGAGACACACGGGAGAAACTAATATGCCATGTTAGGACAATTGGTGTTGAGATCGACGAGCGAGATCGGAAAGACTACTTCTCTCCGTCGACAGATCTTTTTGCCGACTACTGCAATTCTATCATCGACCGATATGGCCTGGATCATCCTGAACAAATACAGAAGCAGGAGGTTGTGGACATGAGATACGATTATCCACCTGACAGAGGGGATGGGCCTGTTTCTGATGATAGGATCTTTACTCTAACCACATCATCGGGCTTAAAGTTCTACAGTCGCGCTGTTGTTCTCGCTATTGGTGCTGGTGGAGCGGAGGTATCTAAGATCTTTCCGTGGAAGCCTTCAAGTCCAGAGGAGGGCTCCAATGCATGCTGCCATAGCATGGAGATCAAGACTTTTCCGAGTCCGAACGTGCGCGCCAAAATCCAGCATCGACAGGAGGCGAACGTCGTCGTTGTTGGGGGTGGACTTTCATCAGCACAAATTGTGGATATGGCTGTGCGGAAGGGTGTGACGAAAGTATGGTTCATCATGCGCTCTGGTCTTAAGAGTAAGTACTAATTTTCCTTCGAATGTTTTGTGTGAGGTGAGTTGCCAATTTTATCATAGTCAAGCATTTCGATATCAGTTTACCCTGGATGGGCAAATACAAGAACTGGGAAAAAGCGGCATTTTTCTCCGCAGACACCGACGAAGGTTCGTGAAGTTAAGAATGTGGTTAGAAGACAGTTGAACTGACTCTGACACATACGTAGAACGTCTTGAACAGATGAAAACTGCTCGCAACGGCGGTAGTATCACACCCCGGTATACGAGAATCGTCAGACAACATGCCGCCCATGACCGTGCATCAATTCATACAAACACAGTGATCACTTCACATGAATATAACTCAGAAACTCAGACTTGGAATTTGACTACGGATCCGCAGATTCCAAATCTACCCCCGATCGACTACATTTACTTCGCAACCGGGGCTCGTGCGGACGTGCGCGAGATGTCTTTGTTAAGTCACATGAATGAGGAATACCCCATCGAAGTCAAAGAGGGTCTACCATGTCTGACAGAAGATCTGATGTGGAGAGATGACGTACCGTTGTATATGACCGGTCGAATGGCAGGACTACGCCTTGGACCTGGAGCTCCTAACCTCGAGGGCGCCAGACTAGGAGCCGAACGCATTGCATGGAGCCTAGAAGATGTATTAGGAAAGGCAAAGGAGGTCGGGGAACAGTGCGAGGGATTCTGTGGGCTAGGGAATCGGTATGCGTCGCTAGTCGGGGAATTGGACGAGTAACAAGTTAGGGCTCGATTTGGAATTTGATTCCTGTTAGTAAACGCCCTGGAGATAATGACCAACTCCTTGATAAATATAGACTTTGTCTCGTGTGCCTGATTTCTGTAAATTCGATACAAGATGATCATCCATTCCTCCCTACATTCTCTGGATTTCCGATCAGCAGCTCTCCACGCCCGCTGGGTGGCTTATGGAGAAGAAGGGTAAGAATGCAGATAACCCTTGTTTTATGAATTTTCCTGTAGCTTAAATATAAAGCTTAATGGATCGGGAATTTGAAGCTGGGTTGGATTGTGTTTCATAATATTCGGCTTGGGGACGGCCATTTACGGACTTATATCTATCATGGACCGAAAGCTGGTTTCAGATGTGGAGACGAAGGCTCTTCCGAAAGATGATGATAGAAGCTGGCTCAGGGATCCAGGTTTGCGAAAGTTGAATTTGGGCATTGCGTTCATGTTCGCTTCGTCTGCTGGAACAGGATATAACGGGAGTTTGATGAATGGATTGCTTGTACTGCCCAAATGTAAGATGTCGAATGATCGAGGAAAAAGCTCATGCTAAACAAATATTCTTAGTTTCCACGGTCATCGGCGGTCTGGATCCGAATATCCTCGGTCTTCTCATCGCCGCTACCTCTCTCGGCGCGTTCATATCCTTCGTCCCAGCATCCTACTGCGCCGATATCCTTGGTCGAAAAGCGTGCGTGGGATTAGCATCCGCGCTAGTGATTGTAGCATCTCTCGTTCAAGCCGCTGTGAACACTCACTGGGCATTTTTTGGCTGTCGCGTTTTGGCTGGCGTTGGTGTGGGAGCTGCACAGACCGCTGCTCCTTTATTGGCGACTGAGATCGCCCATCCCCGACACCGACAAACTGCCACCGCACTGTATAATGCTGCCTGGTGTGTAGGGTCTATCGCCTCTGCGGCAGTTACCTTGGCCACCTTGTCCGTGCCTAGCACTTGGTCATGGAAGATACCCTGCATGCTGCAAGCCTTCTTCCCCATTGCTCAACTTATTGGTCTGTGGTTTGTTCCTGAGAGTCCGCGCTGGTTGGTCTCTGAGGGAAGAAAAGATGAGGCATTGGCAATTTTGGGAGAATATCATGCCAATGGAAATTCGGACGATGAGCTTGTTCAGCATGAGTTCCATCAGATTTGCGTGAGTATTAATGTCCAGAACCAGCAGCCTGGATATTGGAGCACTTTTTTCTCGTCAAAGGGAGATATGCATCGTCTTGCAATCTGTATAATTTGTGGATTCATGCAGGAATGGGCTGGAAACGGTATGGAGCACTCTTTAAAGGAAAATAACCATTCATTGACAATCTCTTAGGCATTATCTCTTACTATCTTGCTCCTATCCTTGCCTCCGTTGGCATTACTCGTGCATCGAGCCAAGGTGCAGTCAACGTGGGCCTCCAAGTGTGGAATCTTGTTCTGTCCTCTGCAGGTGCCGTTGCATCGGAGCGTTACGGCAGACGTATCTTGTGGCTGCTATCGACAGCATTTATGCTTCTCTTCCTGTCCTTGACAACCATCGTAGCTGGCCTCTTTCAAGAGAAACATATTGCAGCTGCCGGCGTGGCTGTTGTACCAATGCTGTTCCTCTTCTTTGCAGGATTTGATCTTGCCTATTCACCTCTATTCATTGCCTACCCAGCAGAGATTCTGCCGTTCCAACTCCGAGCCAAGGGCATAGCTATAACGTTATCTACGGACGCTGTCGCGTGCTTCTTCAACCAGTACGTCAATCCGGTCGCTTTCTCCGCTTTGCAATGGAAGTATTATTTTGTTTATGTGGGCTGTCTGGTGCTTTTCTTGGGACTGGCATATTTCCTCTTCCCAGAGACGAAAGGAAGATCACTGGAGGAGGTGTCGAAGATTTTCGATGACAAAGATCAAATGGAAGACGTGAAAGAAAAAGACGGAGTGAAGAATTAGTATGTATTAATTATATCTATATAGTGAAGGGAGAAAGGATCCTCTCGTTCTGAATAGTAACAATCCCATGATGTATAAGCTGTTTCAGCAAATCCACATGTCTCTCTACAGCAACCGTCACAAGCCCCTGATCTAGCTGCTTAAAGTAGCCTCGCATTTGCATCCAAAATATACGACTATATGCGCTACGCTTGGGATTCCTAGTGATGAGAAAGTGACCCTGATCAGAGGCCTGCTTTAGTGTCACGAACCAATCTCGCTCCGTACGTTTCTCAGACATACCACAGTCCATGTTAAAGCCCACCCATACCTGGTCCTCCTTGGCGTGGGGATTGAGTTGCTGGTAGTTCTTTGATGGAATGTACCGTCGGCGCAGATATGGGTGGTCGTTAATTGAGAGCATGATGCAGTTGTAGCTGTTCACAAGTCCATTAGAGGTTAGGACTTCGGGGCTTATTGCGTTGTAGCAGTTGTCGCTGATCAGTGTGCCATTGTATGGCTCTGATAGATAGACGACTGTTTGGTTGGTGAGAAGCTCCCCCATTATTGACAGTGGATGTAGGTAGCTGGTGTCAAGGTTTGAATGATTGATTCTGAAGTGCGTTGAAGTAGGTGTAATCGCGATCCGCTACTTGGGCAGGGAGGTCATGAATTTATAACCGAGCCACAGGATTTGAATCACGGAGTCAAACAATGGGAAACAGGGAACAAAGCACTACGAATCCAAGTAAGACCTGAGAAGAAGCATCTGCATTGTTTAAGAAAATAACCTTGTTACTGAAAGAGCGGACCATTGAACTAGTGTTTACAAAAGAAAGGCCTTCAAAGCGACGACAGCGACAAGTATACAATAAGATGTGGTATTAACAATGTATAGAAATCTCTATCGCTCAATTTTCGGCAGCAGCAGCAGCCTGTTCAGCAGTGGCAGCCTGTCTAACATCTTGGATGCCCTGCTGAATAGCGTATCGCTCGCGTGCTAGTTCAATCTTCGACTTCGGTCGCTCTCCCTGACCCTCAGCCCAACCAGGCTGTTGGTCAAGGCCCTTTGCCCGACCAACCCATTCACCCCGGCGGCGCTTGTACAGGTCCATTGACCAGTTACGCCACACTGCACGACCGATAAATGAGTCACGCAGAACCATCTCGTTTGCCACAAGTTCCTGTGCCATCCGCTCTTTGACGAAGAAGATATCTTTTGTAGCATCCCAGAGACAGTCCACCACGTGAGATCCACTGTTATTTTGAGCAAGCTCGACCAAGTGGCCTTGGAATCGAGTTACAAACTGTCGCCGGAATTGGGTGGTAGAGGTCTTAGCTTTCAAAGCTTGTTGCAAGACACGAGACGATGTGGATTCTTGTGCAAGCTGGATAATTGTCTCGGAAGATTGGGCGAGCAAGCCGCTGTAGACGAGATCGCTTAAGGGACCTGGAACAGACAGAAGCGTTTGTGCGAACAATGACCCATGCAGCTTCTCTGAAGAATAGGTCGATGACGGCTTTTTCCTGTGCTCATTTTGGCCTTCATACCCTCCATCCTGCATCTCCTGATCTTCGTGGTTTTGGATCTCTTCAGGAGATGCGTCGAGTCGAAGCATCTGACGAAGACGAATTGAAGGGTCCTGGTCAAAGGCCTCTTTGAGTGCCTTGGCAAAAGGCTTTGTGTCAACGTTACGAATGACACAACGCTCGACCAAAGTGCGAGGAACGATAAGTCTGAATCTCTCAATCAGACCTGGGACTTCAGGGATGATGAGGTCCATGGCATCCTTCAAGTCATCCTTTCCGAGTCGCTCCAGTGTCTTCAAAACAACATAACCTGCTGTTTGGTTGCGAGCAAGGGACCCAATACGTTCACGGATGTTGTTCTTGTACAGGTTTTTGAATACTTTGCCAGGCATGTGGCGCACCATAGTCTCCACAAGGCGAGAACCAACCGGATCGTAGAGCAAACCGCGGATAAAGTTTGCACTTTCGGTGCCCTCCTCGACATTCTCATCGGGGAGCAATCTGCGCAAGATAGATTTCGGATCTTTGGCGCTGGACTTTCCGAAATGGGAGAGCTCAAGGGTCAGCATGACCTGAAGTACTGGGTTTCCAACAGCATGGGTGGCCAGAGCGCGGAGGTAGACATCATCCAAACCTGAAACCATATCACTCATGATCTTCTTGAGCGCAGGTTCAAAGGACTCCGGAACGCTCCGTTTCTTGGAACTTGTCTTTTCCTTATCCTCCTTGTTCTCCTCCCCTGTGTTCAGTGTAGAAAGACCCAATCTTTCTTTGTTGCGGCTTGCAACAATTGATTGATTTGATTCAACATCCACCGGCTCTCCAGCAAGAACCAATAGAAGTACTCGAATTGTGTGCGACGCAAATCGCTCTGTCAGAAGATAACCCCAGTTTCCTTCCAGCTCCTGAATCACGCTCATGAACATCTCCGCCAGAGACAGCTCCGGCTCCTCCTCCCCATCCTCATCTTCCTTCTTCGCCTGTGCCTTTGATGTCTTCTGCATAACTGCTGGAGCCGCGTTGATGAAAAGGGTCTCACAGCAGTGACTGGCGAAACGATGCTGCACGAGGTGAAGGAAGTGGCCAATAAACTTGCTGAAGATTCGTCGGATTTGTCGGACATCTGACATCGAGATCAATTTTTCCATGAGTCTCGAGCAGCCTTGACTACAAGCGATCTTCAGTTCTTTGCCATTGGCCTCCCGATACACACTCTCCACGAATAAGTTCTTCTGTTCAGCGTCCTCGAATTGGTTCGCCTCGAGCATCTCGTTGGCGCGTGAGAAGTACTCTTGTTCGTCGGTGTCGAGCAGACCGTAGAAAGGCATATCGCCATTATCTTCGTACTCTTTTTGTTCTCCTTCCATTTGCTGACCATATTGCTCGTCACCCCCGTCGAGAGGAATGTAATCCGCATTCTGGTCGTAGGCAACGTTGACGTCGGCGTCGACGTCCGCACCGTCGGAGGGCTTCATGCGCTTTGCGACGGGTTCTTCGGGTGTGTCATCGAATTTGCGCTTTGATTCGTCATCCTTCTGAGCTTTCTTCTCGGCCCGGCGGCCTCTCTTTTGCTGTTCACGAGGCATTGTGAATGTGTTTTGAGAGCTTGAAACGGCGTAGGATTTTTTTTGGGAAATTTCTGGATAAGCAGTGGTCCAAGCGTCTCCGCGGCGCTGTTTGTTCAGTTTGCATCCGATAAGGCTAAAGCGGTGGCGGTAACCAGGACAACCACGATCTACTTCCTTTTTGCCGTAGATTGATCGATCATCTTGACAGAACCCAACGCTCCTGAGGTCCTGATAAATGCTATGTATCCAGATACGAGTAGCCATTTGAGCTTCTCTATGTAGGGACCTATGAGGTAGGTAGAAATAATGGAGGTGATCAATTTGGTAGTGTTACACATAAAACAATCACATATATTGTACATCAAAATTTTTTGCCAATCTGTTAAAGCGCTGAATAAATGGCAGAAACATGTCGGCCACACTCAACCCGCTGCTCCATACTCTTGGTGGTCTTGCCAACGGGGCCTTTGTGTCTGGGCATAATCTGCAATCGTGCTTCGGGCTCGGGCTTCTTTGCAGACTCCGAAGGTGCCTTGATATAGGTTGGCCGAGATTGATTGCTTCGTTTTCCAGTTCCAAGTTGGAAATGCTCGTTACCTCCCCACCAGAAAACTTCATAGCCGAAATCCTTTGACTTGTCTAGGGATTCCGCGTTCTTGGTGTTGAGGGCTGCTTCGTTGTCCAAAACTGCAGCAACATGGTTTGTGCCGACAGACATATGGCGCAGACGAATAGGAGTTATCTGCTTCAATTTTTCGTTGTATTCACCCAAGCCGCTCAAATCCTTCACCTTGTTGGGTGAGTCCTGGATGTGGATCCATTTCCCGGATCCCAATGTACCCCAGATACCTCTACCGCAGGACCAGGTGTCAGCAGTCACGTTGCCTAGGTCACGGACCTTGGCCGCGTCTTCTTCGCGGCCCAGAATCCGCTCAGAATCAACAGTGAAAAAAGTCGTGGCTCCACCGGCTGCAACGCTAGTGACTGTCGGGCAGTAAAATGCCTTTCGGTAATATTTTTCGACTGGAAGGACAAAAGGTGTATCTTTGAAAGGCGCCGAAGGCTCGAATTGAACCCCCAATTGCCCAAACGAGTTATCTCCCCAGGCAAAGAGGCGGCCATCACTCGTTAGCGCCAGAGCATGATAGTCGCCAGAGGCAATTTGAGTGACCTTTAAACCCTTAAGGGTTTCCACTTCATGGCAAGCATCCGCCGGCCCGCTAGGTCTAGTAGACCAGGTCAGGCCAGGCACACCAAGTTGACCGAGGGTTGGGTAGCTCTCAGTTGATGATGCTGCTGTGAAAACACGGCCAGAGCTTGTAAGCATGACAACATGCTCTTGACCGCCACGGATTGAGGTGACCTTTTCACCAAGCTTCAAGGCTGGCTTCAGAATACGATAGCTCAAAGCAGAGCGTCCTCCCCAGAGCGGCACCCAGGAGCTCTCTCGATGTTTCGGACCAGTAATTTGTTCCGACTTGGAGATGGGAATAGAATAAATGGTTCCATCGGAAGATAGAGCGATAAGTCGGTTCTCTGATAGTGCAAGTGAAGTCAAGTTCTTGCCTGTCAGAGTCTTGCTGGGTTTGAACTCTGTCTCGGAAAAGCCCTTGCCCCATTGAACAAGATCGCCGTTCTCCGTAATTGCGGCGCCAGACTTCTCATCAACTTTGAAATCCCGAAGTAACTGGCCGTTGAAATACTTGAATCGTCGGGGAGTTTTGACATCGGCGTCTTTCGATCCTGGGTCCACCACTTTATACTCATTCGATCCCCAAGTGTAGACACCAGGGCTCTTTAAACTTCTCTTCTCTTGAATAAAATCCGCACGAAGCTCGTTTATATCAATGACTTCATTCTTTGGTATCTGGCTGTTGATCCATGTGTCTTTGAAGTTGCCGGTCAAGTATGAATAGCCAAGGAAGCCAGCCGTACCGGCGACTGCAACGCCGAGGGAAGTGGTAAGCCAGTTGGAGGGTGATTGCTTTGCTTTACCACTTGCCAATCGTCGCCATGGCGCATTCAAAGATCGGCCTGTCACGAGGGTCGGGCGGAGGTGGCGGGTAAAGTGTGCCGCAGGCTGTCGTACTCGAGTTGCCAACATGATGGAGATTGATGATTAACTCTTAAACCATGCCCGTGAGCTTCACTTGAGCGGTTCAGAATAGCCGAAGGATAGAGGGTAAGCTAGAAGCTCAAAAAGCGGCCGGGGAAGCTTCATGTAGTCTGCGTCAAATCGGGCGGACTCACGCGGCAGAACTTCCCCGATTCAATACACTTACGCATCTCCTACCCTGCAATCGCGATCCCCAACAATAGACCTGTGCTTCGTCTGTGGCTCTTAGAGAGCGATGAATAGCTGCAGAACTTAATACCAGTTACTGGGCCTTGACTGCAATTATGCCATCCACAAAGCAGCAACGTGCCCGCCGTCAGACCGCGCCATCGGGCCCGCCGCGGAAGCCAACTGCCAGCGAAACACAGCCTCGCCTCGAGTCGACTCAGGAACAGCCGTCCAACCTTCTGCAATGGAGTATTCCCAGCTGGAATAATGAATTAGATTTCTCTCAATGGCTCAATGGTGTCAAGGATGACCTGGTTGAAGAGAGTTATGACCAATACCAGTGAGTACATGTACATGAACGTGGGGTGAACGCTCTCGAGACTAATCTGGTCCTTTTATCGCAACTAGGAACTGCCTCGATGAGCTCCAACAATCAAAAGAACACATTGATGAGATATTAATGAGCACTTTGACTCTCCTTGACGACCTATCTAGCCTATCCGAGTCCTTCAGATCCGTCGAGTCGCAGACGTCCAACTTCGAGAAACAATGCGAGGGGCTATTATCTGCCCAGGAGCGCGACACAAAGCTTGCAAATGGTATTCAAAATAATCTTCATTATTATGACTTTTTGGATCCTGCGTCTCGGCGATTGAATGCTCCCAGTGCTGGAAATACTGTTCGCGACAGAGAGTTCTCGGACATGCTTAGGCGTCTTGATGTATGCTTAGATTACATGGAAACCCACGTAAGTACCACTGAGTCATTCTCCTTGTCCCAAAATATCACTGATGTCGGTTTAGCCCGAACAAAAAGAAGCGGAAGTTTACCGGTCCAGATACCGTCTTCTCCTCACCCGTGCATTGACCCTTATCCGTGGCAATTTCGTGGCTGCTCTGAAAGATATCTACCAAAATGTGTCGAAGAAGGTCTCTGATCAAAACCTAAATGATACCGCTCTGTCGGCACTTCTGTACGCCAAATTTAGGGTTGGAGCTCCGGAGCTAAAGCAGATTGGACTTGAGATCCAAAAGAGAGCTGTCCCGCCCCTGAACCCGGAGCAGAATAGCGAGGCCGAATACCAAAGTCTGATGAACGAATTGCATAGCAATTACTCGGCCACTCGAGCACGCCTCATTATTCCACTTGTTCGCAAGAAGCTCATCGAGATCACACAAACCCCTAGTTCATCAAAAGACTTGGTATCATTTGCTCGTGCAAGTATCGGCTACATTCGCGGTGTGTGTTTGGATGAATACGACTTATGGGGTGAGTGGTTCCATGGCCAAGGTGGATTGTACGATTTTCTCGAAACCATCTGCGAGCCTCTCTATGACCACCTTCGTCCCCGAATCATCCATGAGGGTGATATTGTCAACCTCTGCCAGCTATGCACCATGCTTCAAACTCGATACTTCCTGGACCCAGAAGAAGAGCCCGAGCAACCTGATATAAACCAACTTGACTTCTCTAATTTGATCCAGCCGGCTTTGCAGGATGTCCAATCCCGGTTGGTATTCCGAGCCCAGGCTGTTCTTCGCGATGGAATTGAAAGATACAAGGCTCGTCCGGAAGACATTGATTACCCAATGCACAGCCGAAGTGTGTCATTGACCGTGACCGACACTCAAATCTCTGGGGAAAAGGACACTACTGCCGCTACTATGATCGACATGACAAAACGCACAGAAGGTGATGAGACTGCCCTAGACAAGGACGGGAAATGGGACTTTGAAACCCAGACAGCACTTAAAGGATGGTATCCCACCTTGCGAAAAGCGATTTGGCTTCTCAGTCGAATCTATCGCCTTGTAAATGTAAGCCCCTTCGCATAAGAGTTTTCACATCAGCCTCTTGCTGACATGTTCTACCAGTCAACCGTGTTCGATGACCTAGCACATAACATTGTCCACCAAACAACTATATCCCTTCACAACGCCAGCAATTTAATCTCCAACAAAGCCACCCCTTCAGACGGCCAATTATTCCTAATGAGCCACCTTCTCATCTTGAAACAACAAATCGTCGCCTTCGATATTGAGTACGTCGCTCCGGAAGTCACCTTCGACTTTTCCGGCGTGACAAACACCTTCTGGGAACTTCGCGAACGAGGTGGACTGTTCAACCCACGGAACCTGATGCGTTTGGTCGGCCACGGCCTCATCCCCCGCGTTGTGGAAAACATGCTTGACGCCAAAGTCGAACTCGATGGTCGTCTCCGCACTGTCATCAACGATTTCATCAATGCCTTCGCCGCCCGGATGACGGCATCGCTTCCTGCGAAGTTTGTTGATACTCGCAATCTCCAGCGCGGGGAACTCATTCATCCTACTTGCCATACTATTGAGAAAGAGGTCCCTGCTTTAAGAAAGTGTCTGAATGAGTATATTGATGACACTCGCATGAAGGAGACTCTCGTTGGCGCTGTGCAGGATCGCACTATTCAGATTTACGAGGACTTTTTGGAGAAGTATACTTCTTCAGATAAAAACAAGGGTCTGGCTTTTAAGAAGGGGAAGGGGCTTGATGATGCGGTTTGGGATGTTGAGACCTTTGCTGAATGGTGCGAAGGTGTTTTCAGGGTTGGGGTTGCGGGTCTGCAGGCTGAAGAAGTCGAGGATAACGATGATCTGTCGAGCACAACCTCATAGATTTGTTGTTTTCTTTTCTTTGGATATGTTTTTCATCGCATTGCGAGCATAGATACCATGTGTAGTGCAGTTTTCAAAGTACGGAAGCAATTCCAAGTTTACTCAGGTGTTCAATCAGTTTACGTTTTACTGGAATCCAGCCTCGCAGTAGACACGAGGCATATTATCAATAACCAGTGAGTTCATTTGTACAGCGAAGAGCAACACCAAGCCCATCACCAAGGGCCATAATCTGAGGACCAGTTCCAATTCCAAATCTCGCTCGAACGAAAAAAGAGCATTTGACGGGGTATGATTATATGATGCAGGCAAAGAAATAATGATCAAAACACAGTGCTGAACCCAGTCTCATTCCAAGAGTGAAGCCCAGAAATTAGGTGCGACGCCGGTCTAGGAGGGCGGCAAGCCAATCTTGGCGTACAGTTCGGTGTCGAGGAAGTTGTATGTTGGATCCGATTCACAGAATGGGTGTCGAGTGAGCAAGGTGCCAGCTGTGGGTCGTTCAGCGGAATCACTGTAGTAATGTTAGCACCATGGTTCGAATATAAAAGACAGAGGAAATGAACATACACTGTGAAACAGTCCCACATAAACGAGAGAGCCGCAAGAGAGGCATTCGCGCTTACGTCATCTGGAATCGGCGGAGCTTGGCCGAGACTACCTAGCTTGAAGATCGCGCCAATTGCTTCTTCCTTACTCCAGGGACGACGGCCTGCAAACATCTCAAGCACTACACAGCCAAGGGACCAGATGTCAACCTTAGCGCTGTAGCCTTGGCCCTTTGACTGAATGACCTCCGGGGCCATCCAAAAGACAGAGCCTTGCATAGAGTTGCTTGAGTCGTTACCGTAGATGTCGTCAGTTTTCTTAGAGATACCGAAGTCGGAAATCTTGCAAGTACCGTCGAGATCCAAGAGGATGTTGTCTGATTTCATATCTCGGTGGAGAATACCCTTGTCGTGCAGGTATGCCAGACCACTCAGGGTTTGTCGAGTGAGTGATTTGACAACGCTCTCCTCGAATTTGCCGTGTTTCCGTAGACAACTACCAACCGAGCCACCAGAAATGTACTCGAGGTAGATGGAAATTGACAATTCGCCTCGCTCGCAACCCAGATACTGCACAATATTAGGGTGCTCGAGATGCTGCATGGTATCAATCTCTTGGTCAAGAGCATTGACCATTTCCTTAATGCGGTCTGTGTCGGATCCAGCAATCCGCGGGTTGATTTCAACTTGCTTAACTGCCAAAACCTCACCATTGTCTGCATTCATGCCCAGATAAACACGTCCATATGTACCCTTGCCGATAAGTTGACCACGGATAATACGGAATGTAGGCTGGGGCTGCTGCATAGAGCCACTTGGCCCCTCTCTCGTACCCTGCGGGATAGGATCGAGCCGGCTGATTCGACTCCCAGGTTTCGGACTGATTTGCATGATTTTGCCGCCGAACATCTTCGTACTCTTCCGACGGAGCATCCCTGACTGCTGCGGGCCAGAGGAGCTGACACTTTTGGTGCGATGAGAATCACGCGCCACTTGTCGAATAGATTTGGTTCTTCCAAGGCCGCCACCACCCCCGCCACGTTGGTTCATCAACTTATTAGCTACTATCTTGGATCCTGTCTGCGGTCGCATGGTTGAGGTATCAATGCCATAAAGACTGCTTGACTCAGTGTTGGACGATGGTATAGGGGGTGGGTGCATCGGTTGTCCTCGGGTATTTGGATCATCATGGGTGCCCTTGGAATTTGGCGAAACTGGTTCATCCAGGTAGGGGGCATCGAGATCAACATCCGGGAAGAAGCTGTCCAGGTTGTCGATAACGCCCTCCACAGGGGGTCTGCTAGCCCAGATATCTCCATTGGCAAAGGAATTTCTTCTATTGGGTTTCTCGTCAATGGGGGAGGGATCGTGGTAGAAAGTTCCAGTATCCTGGTTGTCGGAATTTTCTCCACCAGAGCTGTCTGCAGGAACTGGAGATGCAAAGCTCACTCTTGGACCCTTGAAATCAGTGTCTACGGTGAGGGTTCGTCCCTGCATGGGCTTCGCCTCGGGTTCGGGCTTGGGCTTTTCCTCAACCTTATGGGCCAAAGGAACCATGAAGAGACCATCGTCAGATGAGTCGTCATCAGAATCGTCGGCTGGTTCCGCTGGCTGTGAAGTCCGCTGGAAGGAAACTTCGTTCTCCTCAAATTCAAACGCTGGACCAAACGACTTCCGAGTTTCCAAGGTTGGACGTTCTGGAGGCTCGGGGTTTCTTTTCGCTGGCGAAATAAAAGGTACAGTTGAATTTTCATCGATCGTTTCACCTGAAAATCTGGGACCACTGTGGACAGGATCTGTAATGGATACTTGTCAGCATCCGGTACTGCTAGAAAGGAATTTGTACTTGAAAATGAAAGTGCTGTTGAGGTGTATACATACCAAGTGTTGTCCTACTCGAGGCCGTTTCAAAGGAGCCAAGGGTTGGTGGCCGATCTGAATCCGAGCTGGCACTATCGCGATTGGCAGAAGAAGGAGTGGAGACATTGACCGACGGGTTGCCAGTCGCACTGATTATTCGGCCGACACCAGTGATGGCAGCTCCTAAACTGTGGGTTCCAGGGGGCTTTCGAAGGGAATTGACCTTTGTGAGCGTGTTCGACTCATTCGGAGCAACTGGCGGCCTCCGGAAGGGCACCAGTGTTTCTGGCTTTTTGTCGTCGGACGGGGAAGCTTTCTTTGTTTCGAATGGCGAATCACGAGGTTTGTCAAAATCGATTACCTTTGCACTTCTGAAACCATTATGGGCAGAGTTCGCATCCCGGGGGAGTTGCGGCGAAGGAGGGTGTCGCGAGATATGGTTTTCCTCCTGCTTTCGCTCAATCTCGCGTTTGTATGCTTCGTGACGAGCAAATAGATCGTCCTTGAGGTGATCCGCTTGAGAGCCACCTGGGGTAGCCTTGAGTGCTGTCGGTCTGGAGCCTGAGAAAGGCGAATTGGGATTGACTTGGGTCTGAGGCGAGATCCTCGGTTCTTCACCCACGGGTTTTCGAATGATGGGGGTATGCATGGCCGTGGGAGATACGGCTTGTTTGTCGGGAGATATTGAAGATATCGAAACCCCAAGGCCATCCACTGGAGAGGGACGATGTTTCCTGCTTTTGACAAACAACAATCTCAAGCCATTGTGATCTGATTTCTGTTTTCGAAGGCGTAACAGGCAGTCATCGTTCATGAAATCATCATGATCGGCTTGTCCAGGCTCAGTGAGACCGATTTGAGCACCTACCCAATCAGAGATCCCTAGCTTATTACAAATGCCTGCACGCAAAGCATCTGGTGAATCCATATCCGCAATATCAATCAAGCGGTAGTTCAAGTTGTCCACAGTCGCGAATACCCATTTTTTAGATTTAGGTATCGTTACGGACAATGGGCGCTCGGCTAAAGACAAGTCACTGGTGCTGAAGCCAGGCACTGAATAAGGCACATAGCGAGGATCCGGGCTCGGGGGTTCGTGATCTGATTCTTTAGGCGATGGGTGATTCGAGTCTGTTCCTTTAGTCCTCTTTCTAAGCCGGTCGAAAAACCCTTTGCCATGGTCCTTAGGGTGTGAAGAAGTTTCTCCACTCCACGGCCGGCTATGGCCTTCCTGGGGTGATGGGCGAGTACCATCGGGGCCTTTGCGGTTCTCATAATAGCGGGCACCAGTTCGGCCAGTGCCAGAAACGGACTCGGTGCTGTTCCCACGGGAGTGTTCGTATCTAAATGGCAAATCTCCAGTAGACGATGACGGATGTCCTCCATGTGAAGGTGATGCAAATTGTGCAGCCGGACTGCCACTTTTTGGGCTGGGCTCTGCCCGAAGAGTCGATCCTGAGAATGTTGCCGCGTCATTAGATATAGACGGACTTTGTCGACGATGCTCACCAAGGGCTGCTCCAAGGGCACCACGTGAAAATTCCGACCTTCCAGGAGCAGTTTCGCGTAGAGGGGACTCGTAAGGCGAACCATGCCCAGTAGGATTTGGTGTGGTGAAAGAACGCGTTCCCGTGTTTCCCTTTGGGCCGGTGGTATTTGCGGCAGCCAGCTGCTCGGCAGTAATGTCATTGGTACCCTCAATGGCTGAACGGGGTTCACGGGGAATATAAGCAGATGCAGACTCGATAATAGGTGCCTCCTGGCGCAGAGGGGTAGATACAGAGAAATCAGCAGCTCCATCATGAAGCTGGCGAATTAGCTTGCGAATACGGAGACCTTCATTACGTTCCACGCGTTCGCGCTCCGGGTCCCAGCCCGTGCCGTTGCGGACGCACTCCTTAGCCAGCTGAGGATAGACGACCTGGTGGATTTTCCCAAGATTGCCTCGCCCACCAAATTGGAGGCCCAGCTCCAAAAATTCAGCACCTTGTAGCTCTAAAGACTTAAAAGTATCTTGCCAATCCTTAGAAAATTGGTTTCTGGCAAGCCATAGCAAGACCTTATCAAGAGGCCATTGCGCTGCCGCCTCACTGGGCGACAGGCCACCCAATGAGGCGCCGCTGGTATTATGGCGATGACTTGGCGACTTTGTAAGATCAGCCATCTGGTTGACAGTCTGTGGCGGCGGGTTCACATGCTCATTGGGCAATTCATGGAAATTGTTGTGGATGGCAAACGGTGGGTTAATCGTTCTTGTTCCTGGGGTCTGCGGGTTGTAGGCCGTATCCGCATATCCCTGGCCTCCAACAGGGCGCTGCCCATAAGGCTCGTAGGTAGACCGTCCTTGAAAGTGTTCATACAACGGTGGAAACCCGCCGATGGTGTCATTCCCAGGGACATAGGTTGCCGAGGTGAGGGGTGTGTCTCCGGGGACAAATGTTGCCGAGGGGTAGGACGTGTCGACGGCAGAAAAGTTAGCGGGTTTATATGGGACATGCTGAGTATGAGGTGGCGGCGGAGGCAGAGTGTATCCGGGAGTCATGACCTGGCGGGTATAGGCAGGCTGCTGCTGCCATGATTGAGCATAGCCTGTTTGCACTGGCGGAGGGCCTGGCGGGGGTGGTGGCATGCCAGAAACTCCGACCGATTGGAGTTGCGTTGGGACTCGGGGAGGGGGTGGAGGCAGGCCCGTGAAATATTGTTGTCGTTGGCCGTCCATAGCGAGTGAGTTGGCGACCCAGGTTAAATATTAACGCGCTGCACAATCAATCCGCTGAAAATAAGACCACGGGAGAAAGAGGTCGTGTGTGATTGTCGCTACTATCATCCCGTGCGGTGGCGGGTAAAAGTCAACAAGAAATCGAGTCGATGGATCGCTTTCCAAGTATGTATAGTAAGCTTCGGCGTCCCCGAAATTGATTATCGCGGCGTTGAAAGCGCAGACCAAGGCTCATATGACGGGGAGGAGGACACCGCGATGCAACTGATCGGAAAACAGCCAGCTGTTTTAAGCTGGACTCGATCCTGGTAGCACGATCAATAACTATCACCAACTGGGGGTCGCAAATAATTGGGTGAGGGAAAGGGACGATCCCCCTCCGATCGTGGCAGAAGCAAGTGCAAGCGACAGGAGTGGAGATTCTAGCCACCCGCTCCTTGCGGAGCAGCATAAGCAAAAAAAAAAGACTTACCGAGAACGAGATCACAGGGATGCAAAGCGTGTGTGGGAGGACAAAGGAGTGAATCTTCACAACATTTGATGCCTTTTCTCTCGGGCACTTGGGATTATCACGTGGGCCCGCTCTAAAGTGGAGTTTTGTTTTGTTCCTTTCCCATAAGGCTCAAGGTCTATCTTCCGAAGGATTATTATTGGATTGATGCACCTTTTGCTTTTTCCCCCTCTATGTTCCGCTTGTAATATCCCTGAAATAAGGGCACATGATTGGGCTTCAAGCTTTGGACATCAGTGTTGAATTGTACAGATTCTTCCCCATCAGCTAAACAATCAAATGCGTAACTCTTGTGTACTCCGTACTCTGCGGTGACGGCGAATTATCCAAAGCAGTTTAGCGTTCCATCTTAGGCTTAGCACTTACCATCAGCGATCGTCGTGTGTGCTTCTATAAAGTCGTCTCAGTGAACCTTCTACTAAAGGCTTTCCGCCGCGCCTTTTGTGCGGCGCCTACTTAGGTGTTATACCATCTCCTAACTGGTCTTGTGGGCCTGTAGAAATGGCAAATTTGTAAAGGGCCAGTAAGAGGGGTAGATAGAACTTGATGTCTCAGGACCTGACAGGTAAAATTGGTGGCGCACAGCATCGCTGGGCCGGCCCAGGAACCGCCCTAGCGTCCGAGCTACCTAACACTGCTTTACCTCTACAGAGCGCATGTTGGATTAAAAAAAACCTTTCATGCCGTCGTTTCTGCGTGGAGAGGAGATATTAGGAGACAAATCGCTAGATATTCAGATAAATCCGCGACAAGAATCAAATGCAAATCGCGGACTGCACTACACTACGCGCGAGGTCACAGACCCCTAGTCCTTATTTGAAACATCTGTCGGCGAAGATGAACAAGCTATTCAAGTAGCCTTGTTGCGCTCGGCCGCTGCTTCGGCAGTTAACTTCAATGCAGCAGGGGCATCGTCGCGCGGCATGTAGAGCTCAACCAGCTGCAGCGCATTAGCCAGATTCGATTGTTTTGCCATCAATTAACTTACCCGAAGGCTGTCAGAATCGTTGAAGCTAGGTTCAGCAAACAACTTGTGAAGTTCATCTCTGGTCTTGATGCGGTACCCCTTGTAGCCTTCGTCGGCACCGAAGGCCTTGGGGATACCGACATGATCCCAGGGCTGGATGTCGTTGTACTTCGCGTCCCATCCATGGATGTATCGTTCAATGGTGTAGCCCTCGTTGCAGATGACGAAGCTAAAAAATGATTACCTGGTTAGTTAAATGTTCCCTGGAATGATCTGGCGGGCAAAAAACTTACACGATGGGGTTCAGTTTGTTGCGCAGCATAGTACTGAGCTCCTGCACAGTCAATTGGAGGCTACCATCTCCAATGAAAAGGATGGTACGACGGTTTTTCAGTTCCTTGGCCGCCAATGCTGCTCCCTGGCAGGATCCCAGAGCGTACCCGATGCTGCCCCAAAGAACCTGGCTGATCGCAGTCACATTCGCAGGGAAACGGGTTTCCCAAATACCAAAGTTGGCAGTGCCAGTCTCGGTAAGGACAATATCGTTCTCCTTCAACCACTGGCCAACTGTCGGCCAAAGCCACGCGTGGGTGATAGTGGGGCTACTGGAGTCCTTCTCATTTTGGGGAAGAGTGTTGGTCATCGGAGGGGCGCGAGTGGCACTGAGCTTGCCCATACGCTGAACAACCTTCTCAAGAACACCCTTCATGTTGATGTCCGGGTACTCTGAATACCGCACTCGGACATAGTTGCTGTGGAAGTCAATAGTGTTCAGCTGTCCAATGCGGTAGGTGAATCCCGCAGTGTTAAAATCGGACTTGATGGCTCCGATGCTGAGGATAAGATCCGAGGACTCGACAACCTCTCTCACTCCGGCATTAGATCCATCTCCAGCATAGACTCCACCGAAGTTTTGGTGAGTCTCGTTTACTGCACCCTTGCCCATTGGGGTTACAAATGTAGGCAATCCGGAGACTTCGACGAGATTGTGCACCTCCTTCAGTGCACGGTGACGGATGGCACAGGCATCAACCAAGATAACAGGGTTATCAGCTTTCTGAAGATACTTCAGAACGACGTCAACTACATAATCCTCCTTCTCCGGATCGTTCGAGGGCAATGACAGATCAATGGGGGTCTTCAATCGATCTCCATTGACCTTGGCATTTACCATGTTGGTAGGAAGAGTCACATAGACAGGACGGCTGCGAATCCAACACTCACGGATCGCGCTATCAATGAGGGTCGCAGCATCGCGAGGATCATTCAGCTTGGCAACGTAGCAAGAAATACCCGCACTCATTTTTGTGAAAACATCGTAGTCTCCATTACCGAGGGTGTGGTGAAGAAGCATTCCATCTTTCTGCGACTGGGTGGTTGGCTGACCGACGATGTGTACAACAGGGACGAACTCTGAGTAGGCGCCTGCAATAGCGTTGAGAGCAGATAGCTCACCGACGCCGAATGTAGTGATCACAGCACTAATTCCTTTAACGCGTGCATAACCATCGGCGGCGTAACCTAAAGAATATATGTTAAAGACCTTGGGACAGATCATTGGGTAGTTCAATGCAAATCATACCGGCATTCAGCTCATTGCAGTTCCCAACCCAGTCAAGTCCGCACTTAGGCAGGTAGTCCAGAGCAGAAAGGTTGTAGTCACCGGGGACTCCGTGAACAGCGCGAATTCCAACCTCATGCAAGCGTCGGAACAGGTATTCTGCCACGTCGATGGGGTTCTTTAGCTCCTGCGTAGCAATGTCGGTGGATGCCATGGTGAGTAATTTGAGAAGTCAGAAGAGGGGAAACTAGAGGGGAAACTGGAGGGGAAACTGAGGGAAAACTGAAAGAAGTGAAAGTTGCAAACTTGATGATCTTTACACCGGAACTTCCCGGTAAAGCAGGGCAATTTGAGTCTTTTCTTTTATCGGATAATCGGATTATCGGATGAGCTCCAAAGATAGCATGCCACTTAACATCTACGTCATGATTGGACGTTGACGTCATGCCATACAGTACATTTGTATCACAACTACTGTACTACAAATCAACGTTATGAAGTAGAAACAATGGCATGATTTTAAGTGAAATTGATTAAAAACAAAATCTTGATAGTAATCACATGTTTGTGCAACTCTTGAAGCTTCCAAGCTTTGGTTGAAGTAGAAGATCCGGATCCACCGTAGATTTACACACGCTAAACCTAATCCAACCACACAAATTTCTCCCCGCCATTCTGACTTAACTACTTTTGGGACAGAATTTACAAGCTGATCTGATGGCCGGGGGCAAAAGAACCATGCCGAACCAATCAAGTCAGTTTGGTAAGCGCAAGAAGGTATGAATCAAGTACTGGGACTTCACATCTGTTCCGTTCAATTGAATCCTAACACCACATCAGCAGGGACAATGGGCTCAAACACGCAAAGGGACTGATATTGAGGCTGGAGATGTTGGAATCTTTGTCACTTGTGATATTGGCAGAGAAAGCAAATGTGTCGCCGAGATCACCGATATCCTCTCACAGGTTAGCAAAGACAATAGCACATGCCTTCATGTCTACTGTGCAACAATTCTTCTGTCTCTAAGTTACTTACTCGATTTTCTAGATCGTAGAAAATGATGCAAAGCCGGAAAATGATAAGGACTCTGATGAGGATGATGCAGACATTGAAGCACAAATCCGCAGAGAACTCGAAGGCTTGCAGCCAAGCAAGAAAAAAACACGCCCAGTTCAAGCCATGCAGCTTGATATACCCTGTGGTATGTTCATCCATGTTAGAAACACTTTGAAAAAGCCATGGAAAGCTAATCCCTGGCAGTGGTCTTTGCGCGGTTCAACGATAAGTCGGTGGATCCCGTTAAGATTGTCCACCAACTGTGTCTCGATGCACAAGCCAATACGGATACAAAGAAGAGCCGATACATTAAGCGCTTGACCCCTATCACAATGATTAAAAAGACCCTTAGTGTGGATTTGGAGGTTTTTGCGAGGGAGGTCCTCAAGCCACACTTCCATTCAGGAGGCGGACCAAAGAAGGTAAGTCTGACCAATTCAGCCACGCCAACTTTTCACAGCGAAACTATGATCATATCCATTTGATCCCGAAGCTAACTCAAGGATCCCTGGAAATAGTACGCTATTCGGCCTACATGCCGAGGCAATCACAAGCTCAACCGAGACATCATCATTAAAACCGTCGCCGATGTAGTCGGTCCCGAGCATCCCGTCAACTTGAAGGACTACGACCTTATGATCCTGGTCGATGTTGTGCAGGTAAGTTCCCATGCAAGCGTCCGTCTTGGCAAGTGCTGATTTTGTGTTCACAGAATGTTATCGGAATGAGCGTTGTGGGAAGCAACTATGACCAATTGAAACGATTCAATATTGCTGAGATCTACGACCCCTCTCCCAAGGGGGAAGAAACACCGGCACAGAACAAGGAGGCGAAAGTCTAGTTTATTCGAGATATGGATCACTTTAGGGAATGAAACTGCGCGGAAAGATAAAATACAATTAACTAGCATAAATAGCGAATCAAGATAACATTTTGAATGAACGGCCTGAGTGGATTGATTGGTGACGCAGTCAACTTCACGGTCTAATCAATCGATCACTTAGTCCTTCCAAGGTTTTTCAAGCTACTAGTTTCTATATACATAGTATGTAATGGGGAAAAAAACCTTTGAATTCTTCGGCTGTCTGTATGAGTCCAATGGATTCCCACGATGCGGGTTTGACACAGTACATGAGAAGATCGGCGTGGGTCTGTTATATACTGTCAAAGTACTGTAGTTTCGCATCTACCCAAACTATGTAAGTTGGCATTTTTCGAGATGAAGTTAAAGTCTGGCATTTCTTGTGAATAATATTCAAAACTGCATAGATTTACTGTAATAATCTATGTATTCCCATGATAGGAATGGGGATCTTTGACTGTTGACTCTGCCCTGCGGCTGGGGCGGAAAGCGGGGCAAACTTAGGAATCTGATTAGCGTCTCCGCCATGTCGTCAGCTGCGGACATTCCTCAAGCTTCACTTGCTTCTTCTTCCTGCACCCATGCAAAGCCTGCCATAACTCAGCCTTGTACAAAATGGCTCAATTCCTGCGAGGCAAGCAGGCTGGTATTCAAAGAGACCTGTCTGAGGGCTTGGCCCCAGAGCTCTTCGCGCTCGACGACGTTCGTCTTGGCATCCCAGGCAACTTTTCACATTGGATCATGAGCTAACATTGCCATTCCAGTTCGAGCGATGTGGTATAAACTCTCAGATCAGCGTGGTAGCATACGATCCCGTCCAGTCTCTCCTTGCCGTCGGCACCAGTGATACCCAGTTCGGAAGCGGCCAGATCTATGTGTTTGGACAGGGGCGAGTGCTGGTGGTCTTTGAATTTCCGCGCAAGGCCTCAGCGAAGTTCCTCCAGTTCTGCGCCGATAAGATTGTCAGCATCGACTCCAAAAATGAGATCAGCATATATTCTTTGGACACCCGGCGCCTGATGACTTCCTATGCGCCCCCGGGCCAGGCCACTTGCCTTGCGACGGACCCGAGCCTTGATTACGCCTTCATCGGTCTAGCAAATGGTTCGTCGATTTTTACAAGATAATGGGACCGGAACCTGTGGCTCTAACGTTGATTTAGGCGATGTGGTTGCGTACGATCTCGACCGACAGTCTTTGTGTCCGTTCAAGATCCCGAATTTGTGGCTGGCACAGAACCCACGGTCCCGCCTCTGCCCTGTAGTGTCAATCGCATTCTCTTCTAGAGACATTGGAAAGATCCTTGTGGGATACCCGGAAGGTGCAGTGACATTCACCTTCAAGCAAAATATTGCGCAGAAGTACTTTATCTATGAGGTGCCAGTGGGCGCGCCAGGTGGTGACCCTGGTAAGCCTGCTAGTGGTACGCGAAGGCCTCTACTGAAGGATGCAATTTGGCACCCAAATGGAATTTTCGTCTTGACTGTCCACGAAGACACCAGTCTTGTCCTTTGGGATTCGAAAGATGGCCGGAAGCTTCATGCCAGGACACTCCAAGCTACCAATGTTGACCAACCAGGTGGAGGTCGGCCAGACCCGGAGGTGGCATCTGGACCCAAGGAGCCAATCACCAAAGTGACTTGGTGCGCAAAAGAAAACCCAGATGATACGGGTCTTCTTGTTGCGGGTGGAAAATCTGTCCAAGATGTGAACAAGGGCCTCACTTTCTTGGATATGGGTCCAACCCCTAACTACCAGACATCTTCGTGGCAAGTCCTTGCCGGTTATTTTGAGAGACCAAAACGCCACATGAGTCTTCCAATACCACCCGGGGCAATTGCCACGACATACTGTTTAATTCCTCGTACTTCACCATATTTTGCCGGGGCCCATGACCCAATCGCTATCCTTGCTGTGCTGTCTTCAGGAGAGCTACTTACCATGAGTTTCCCAAGCGGCCATGCAATTACGCCAACCAACATGCTCCACCCTTATCTTACATTCGTTCACCCATTTATCAACAAGATCATACTTACACCTGTTTCTCGAGATACCTGGCTAGGGCTAAGAGAGCGTCGGGCACAAGGCCCTAAGTTCGTCTTTGGCGGTGCCGAAGCAAGGGACCCCCTGAAGCGTTATGAGGACCGAAACATAGTTACCACTGCTCATGCAGATGGTACCATTCGCATCTGGGATGGTGGACACAACGATGAGATTGAAAATTCAGAGTCAATCCAAGTGGACTTGGCTCGGGCAGTGGGTCGAGTCCGCAACATTGAAGTTTCCGAAATGTCTCTCGCAGCGAGTGGAACAGGTGAGCTGTCTGTTGGACTTACAAGCGGTGAACTTGTAATTTTTAGATGGGGCAACAATGCCTCATATGGAAAGGAGGAGGCTCCTGGTGCCAACCAGGGCCCTGGACGCTTGACACCAATCACCAACCGGACAGATCCCGGACTGAAGACGGGCCTTCTGCCTCTCACTCTCCTTGACATGCAGCAAGGACGGGTAACGGCATTGAAGCACAGCCCGGTAGGATTTGTTGCCATTGGTTATGAGAGTGGAGGCTTGGCCATTCTTGATTTACGAGGTCCTGCTATTATTCATACCGCACAAATCTCCGATTTCATGAAGCCACCAAAGCGCAGCAGCTTCATGAAGCCGAGTCGCTCAGATAGCGCGCCAGCTGAATGGCCCACTCACATCGAGTTTGGCGTAATGACCTTGGAAGGCGAAGGTAGGCGTTTTTAGATCCCTGCATGCTGATAAAGCTAATGTTATTCATTCCAGATTATTCTAGCATTTGCTGCTTTGTGGGCACAAACAGGGGAAATTTGGCTACATTCAAGATTCTTCCAGGAGCCAATGGAGCATACTCCGCAGCTTATGTTGGAGTTTCTAACGTCGAGGACAAGGTCATCAAAATTATTCCGATTGATGCGGACTCTGGCGGACAAGCTCTTGCCACACCGATTACAGTTGGCGGGCTGAGAAACGGAGTGAAGATCAACGGCGTTGTGGTTGCTGTTACGGTGTCCGGATGCCGGATTTTCAAACCACCGACCGCTAAGGGTGCTCACAAGACATGGGATGATTACCTCTGTGATTCAGCCCAGGTCGTTAAGTCTGAAGGCCGGGGCTACAGCTTGGTTGGCCTCTTTGGCGATGGAAAGACTCGCGCATTCTCTATTCCAGGCCTCAAAGAGATCGGGTCGAGCAATATTAACCAAATTGCTGACATGCGCCGTCTTTCGGAAGCATGCATCACGCCCACTGGTAGTGTGATGGCATGGATTGGACCTTCACAGGTCAGCCTGTTCAACGTGTGGGGCAAAGGAGCCACAATGTAAGACTTCGCTTTTGCGTCGCGAAAAGAACATGCTAACATTTTCTCAGGCAACCGTCGCAAGATCGTCTATACGACCCAGAGAAGGTCGTCCCTCCACGTCCCACGATCACCAATTTGCAGTGGATCTCCGGCACTCAATATGTCTCACCAGCTGACATGGATATGCTGAGTACGTTGCCAATATCCCTGGCTATTTACCGATCTAGCTGATATCTAACGATTATTATAGTCGGAGGCCCTGACCGCCCCCCATCAAAGCGAATGATGGAACAGATGAGACTGACCGAAGAAGAGGAGCGCAGAGCCCTCCGAGAAGGTCGTTCAGCTCCACCTCAACAGAAGTCACAGGAAGGTTGGGGTTCATATATGTCTCGCCAGGTCCAAGAGCGCACAGAGCGCCTCGGAATAGCGGGTGACACAATGGACCGTCTGGAGGAGAATAGCAGTAACTTTGCCGCGGATGTGAGCAAGTATGTGTCAAGCCAAAAGAAGAAGGCTATCTTTGGCGGTAGGTGATCTCCATCCTCATATCTCGTTTGACTTATCGAAACACGTCCCGTCATCGCCCTTTCCTCGCGCCTCTCGAACCCCTTGCATTCTTAGTCACGCACTGACCGTTTTTTGCAGTGCTCGGGTCGAAGTTTGGGCTCTAGGTTTTTATTTGTAGCGAGACACTTTCTTGGTGCAGCGCAGCTAGACTGACTTATGCCAAACTCGATCCTCCACATTTCGGCCGTGACTTTACAATATGAACTACCCACCCAGGATTAGACTATATGCCGTGTAACCACTTCCAGGGTCATTGCATCCTAGTGAAAGCTTGAAATTCAATGTCTTCCAAGGAACGGTCCGGACATTCCCCTGATGGAGACGAATTCCAAGCCCCTTATTGGGCCTCATTGAACTTTGATTGCAGATGTACATTATTCCGTAGATGATGAGCATACAGGCAAAACATAGGAGCTCCTACATACCTAAATGGGTATCCTACTTTGAGTACGTCAACATGTATGGATCTACAAGAAAGTCATTTGGAAAGGGATGTATATTTTGGAGATCTTGATCAACGCCAAAGTTGAAAAATGATTTGTTCAAAAGTTGGTCCATGGGTCGTAAGAATAGCATGCTGGTTGTCATCAAGTGCATAGAAAATCGGGGGGAAAATATTGGAGGGAGATAATGAAGTGAAGCGGTCGTAACCCGGGTAATGATGTCCACGCTAAGCGTTTAGTGCACCATGACCTCGGATTGAGCAGGGTGGGCAGGCTTGGATTCATCCTTTTGCTCAGAGTCGTCACCCATCTCCACATCCTCATCGCCGTCACCGCCTTCATCCTCGTCAAGGTCATCATCGTCATCTTCACTCTCCTCCTCGAGGTCCTCGCTACCGGCATCAGAGAGATCATCTTCATCATCGTCCTCCTTGCCCCCAGTTGCCTCGGCGCCCTCCATCTCGTGATCATCACCCTCAGCGGGCTTGCTGGATTCCTCGAGCTCCTTGACGAGGGCAGCTTCCAGCTCAGCCTCCTCGTGACCGTAGGCATTGCTGTCGTCGTCAAGGTTGTCAGCCTCGGGCTGGTCAGGCGGGTACTCCGCGGGAGCAGACTCCTCAGAATCCCTGGAGATAATTAGTCTAGGTAATTTCATAGAATAATTGTAAACATACCACTTGATGGCAAAGCGAGTCACACGGGGCTTCTCAGCAAGGACATTGCGGCGAATACGATCAATAGCGGGCTTGGCGGGGGGATCGGCGATGAGCTCTTCAGAGTCATACTCGTTATTCACGTAGTAACCGACACGGACGAACTCGCGGCCATCATAGCTACAAGTAAGAAGGATGACAGTGACACCTAGGATCTCGGAGGGAGGAATGCGCTTCAAATCGGGCGCGTCGGCCTCGAAAATGAATTTGTTCACTCCAACAGGGATAGGGCCGACGAGGAGGGAGTCGAGTTCTTGGTCATACTCGGAACTAGGGTTAATGTTAGTGAGGATTCATTGAATACTACCCATGTCAGCGTGGGTATTTGTAGAAGACATACGAAGTCGCAGATCCAACGTAAGTCAACTTCCACTCGAGATCTAAAGATTGAGTGTTAGCGAAGGTCATTTGTTGATTTATTTCTTCTCGGTGGGATCATGTTAATACCTTTTTGAAGTTGTTCAAGACACTCGAAGGTAATTTCAAATTGATAGCTTGCCGTGAAAGTGGCAGGGTTGTTGAGGATTTTAACCCCGAGAAGAGAGACGACCGACATTGTGACTGATTTATGTACGGGAGGATAGTGTAGAAAGGTGGGATAGTGGGACGAATGAAAAAGGAGGTGTGGCCAACTTTATAGGGCGGTGGGTCAAAACCTGGGGCAATAACAGAGAGAAAAACAAAAAAGACCAAGTTATTATCAGGCTTTTTATTCACCGCAAGGAATGTGTTGATCGAGTCCCAAAGCACGATGTGAGGGAGAATCCCGCGAAATCCACCAAACGCGCACCTCGCGTCCCTTGCGCGCTCACCGCCCACGTGACATAGCAGCTTGCAGACTCAGCTTTCTCTATCCGTAACTTGATGGTTGTGATTCAGATTGGTTGTGAACCACCTTCACGAAAGTTCTGTTGCTGCCTTGTATTTATACTTGGTCATTATAGATGGTGGGGTAGCGAGTCAGCGACTCATTTTCAAATTATAGGAGATCACAATCCTCACTCTACCTTTCCCCTCTTACTATTCTTCCAACTGTTCCGCAATCGTGTTCCGACCTTGACTTTTCTAACCCGAATCTTCACCACTTTCTCACTGAACGTATCGCAGACTTCACTCTGAATATGGCGGATGAAGCTGAGCAGGCCTTTTTCCAGGCCCAGGCCATGGAATCCGAAACGGACAATGCGGTGTCAATGGAAGACCAAGCTCCCGATAATGACGACGACGAAGAAGAAGAAGAAGAAGAAGAAGAAGAAGAATATGACCCCTCGAAATCCCTTGATGATCAATACGAGTCAATCGCAGAAGTTCCCCAAGACGATGAAGATGATTCGGTCACTCCCAACCTGCCTGTCACATCCGAAGACCTGGATACTGGCGCTGCTAGTGACTCCCTGGATCCTTCACAAAGCCCCTCGCGTACTGAGTCTCAGTTGTCTACGCCAATTCCACACACAGGTGCGACGGCACAGCCGCAGCCCAGAACGATTGGGGGATTCGTGGATGAGGATGACGAGGAAGAGGATGACAAAGATGAGGCGGACTACGAGCCGCCAGCGGCATTGGGGGTGGATGATACAGATTCCATGCCTATGACTATGTCTGAAGATCCAAACTCAGGAAATGCAATTCAAAAGACTTACCCAGATGTATCATCGCACCCGGGTGTGCAGGACGCGGCCACAGTGCCAGATGCTGTCAATAGTTCTTATTCTCATGTTCCTGTTTCTAATATCGATCCCTCGGCTTCTGGCCAAGTTTCGTGGACTGGGGCCGCCATTGATGCGAGTTACCAAAGCAGTACTGTTCCTACTCCTGTACCTGATGATTCTGCAGCTGGCAGCTCTCGCTTACCCTATGACCGGGTGGGCATCTTGCAAGATCGGGTTGATGCGGATCCCCGAGGTGATCTTTCTGCGTGGCTGGAATTAATTGCTGAGCACAGAAGTCGGAACAGACTCGACAGTGCGCGCGAGACTTACGAGCGGTTTTTGAAGGTCTTCCCCATGGCGGTAAGCCTCTACTTAACTCTCCAACTAAATACATTAGGATACTAATCGATGAAATAGGCCGATCAGTGGGTAGCTTATGCGACGATGGAATCCGAACTCAATGAACTCTTCCGCCTGGAGCAAATCTTCAATCGAACCCTCCTTACCATTCCCAGCGTGAACCTCTGGTCGGTCTACCTGGATTATGTTCGCCGCCGCAATCCCTTGACGACCGACACCACTGGACAAGCGAGGCGAGTCATCTCTTCAGCGTATGACCTAGCTCTGCAATACGTGGGAATGGACAAAGATGGCGGAAACATCTGGAACGACTACATTGAGTTCATTCGTTCCGGCCCAGGAATCGTTGGAGGCACCGGATGGCAGGACCAGCAGAAGATGGACTTGTTGCGAAAGGAGTACCAAAAAGCCATTTGTGTTCCGACTCAGGTTGTCAATGCTCTTTGGAAGGAATATGATCAGTTCGAAATGGGCCTCAACAAGCTAACTGTAAGCCCTGCTGCTTTATTTAATTAAGTTTTCGTCTGACATCGTTATAGGGTCGCAAGTTTTTGCAAGAACATTCGCCGTCGTATATGACAGCGCGAAGCTCTTACACCGAGCTACAGAATATCACCCGGGACCTGGTCCGAACTTCTTTGGCCCGGTTGCCCCCTGTTCCCGGATCCGAGGGCGACGTCGAGTACGCTCAACAGGTCGAAATCTGGAAGCGCTGGATCGCTTGGGAGAAGGAAGACCCACTGGTTCTGAAAGAGGATGATCCTGCTGCATTCAAAGCGCGTGTCGTCTACGTCTACAAGCAGGCCTTGATGACTCTCCGATTTTTGCCTGAGATCTGGTTCGAAGCTTCCGAATTCTGCTTTTTGAACGATATGGAGAACGAGGGTAATGAATTCCTCAAGCAAGGAATTGAAGCCAATCCGGAGAGCTGCTTGTTGTCATTCAAGCGGGCTGATCGCCTCGAATTCACGTCCGACTCGGAACAGGATTCTGTCAAACGGGCAGCCAAGGTTAGGGAGCCTTTCGACCCCCTACTTGATTCTCTCTATGACTTGATCGCCAAGGCCAAAGCTCGGGAGGCTCAGGACGTTGCACGTATCGAGGAGGCCTTTGCTCAACAGAGCCTGGAAGGCCAGACTGTGCCCAGCGACGATGACGACGAGGTTTCACCCGAGAACAAGGAGCGGGAGGCAGCTAAAAAATCGCAAATTGATGCTGTCAGGAAAGCCCATGGCATTCAAATCAATCTTCTCTCCAAGAGCGTCTCCTTTGCCTGGATCGCACTCATGCGTGCTATGCGCCGTATTCAGGGCAAGGGCAAACCGGGAGAACTGGCGGGCTCTCGCCAGATCTTCGCTGAAGCTCGCAAGAGAGGTCGTATCACTAGCGATGTCTACATTGCCAGTGCACTTATGGAGTACCATTGCTACAAAGACCCGGCAGCCACCAAGATTTTCGAGAGAGGTGCCAAGTTGTTCCCTGAAGACGAAAACTTTGCTCTTGAATACCTGAAGCATCTCATTGACATCAACGATATCATCAGTAAGCTGCCAGTATCTCTCGTTTCGGAAAATCGTGCTAACTTACCTGAATAGACGCAAGAGCGGTCTTTGAGACAACCGTTCGGAGATTTGCCGCCAATCCCGACAATGTGCACAAGGCTAAACCAATCTTCTCTTTTCTCCACGAGTATGAGTCCCGGTATGGTGACTTGGTTCAGGTGATTAACCTGGAAGCACGTATGCGCGAGCTTTTCCCTGAAGATCCGGCGTTGGATCAGTTCACACACCGATTTTCCACACCTTCTTTTAATCCTTTGTCTTTCCAGCCGATCCTGTCACCCACTCAGACAAGGCCAAAGACAATGGCAACTGGCATTGTGCCGGAAACTCGTCTCGACCCGCAGGATGCATCCTTCAGTTCCCCGAAGCGACCCTACCCTGTTGACGATGACTATGATTCCGATCGGCCTCGCAAATTTGCCCGTGCTGAGTCCCCATTGAAGGGCGCTCAGGGCCGACGTCTTGATCAACAGAAGCGCGCCCCACAGCTGAATGGGCAAGCTAGTACTTCATCATACAAGCCGCACGGATCAGCTGCTTCATTGCCCCGGGATGTGGTTCATCTTCTCAGCATCATTCCTCATTCATCCGCCTACAACATCGCCCGTCTTTCCCCGGAGAAAATGGTTGATCTCCTCCGTCAAGTTGAGATTCCAGCTTCAACTTCCCAGATCCCGTTGCCAGGGAACGTTCGCGGGACTGGTACGAGCCAGAACCAGTACTCCGGTAACTACCGTTGAGGCTCATTTCCGTGGCGCCCATTCTCATATCCATTTATCTTCTGTGCATAATCTCGCCATCGTACCGTTTCACGTCTCTTGATACCTGAGGCACAAGATTTGATCTATCCGGTCAACATTTCATTGCATGAAGGAAAAACCCTCTGTCTCTTTCATTATTATCGGGCTGTGGTGGGATTCCCGCGTGAGTCCAAGAGCTCGTTGCATCTACCGGCGTCGGTCTGATAGGCATTTTCCATTTTTACTGGGCATCGGGAGCTTTGTGGTTTCTTTTCAATGTTCGAGTGCTTCGTTCTTTTAATAGGAGGTCTCCTACATGTACATTCCCCAGATAGTGCAGATACCCATGGACTCGGAATAAAATTTCCTGGCTGTTCTGCCGGTTAATGCTTATCATTCTTTCATTTATCTTAGTAATTCTCACGATTCAAGGCTGCCCAGCTATCACTGTTTTTGTACCTACTAGGCAGTAGAAAGTTTGGAAACTTCGAGATTGGGCCTTGATATCAAAACATTCCCAAGTATAGAATTTAGCTCATGAATCTTAAATTAGGGACCTTGAAACGTCACAATTGATAATTGCTTTGTATCACTTGTTAAAAATCGCTTTATAGACGAGTCTTAGACGAATATACAGCAGATGAAAAATTCGTTGGTGTAAACACGTAAATCCGTCAGCTTTGCAAAGACAGCATAAATATTCTTATTATTATTGATTTAGTCAGTTTAACCACTCTCTCACATGCAAGAAATCGATCTACACCGGAATCCAAGGGAAATATAGAGGAGATTAAGGTTTCATCAGTGTTAACACGCGAATCTTTCTCCTTTGAAAAATATTGTAGAGTACGTGAATGAAATCACTGCATTTCTCTCCATTTTGATTAACTTCGAATCCTTGAATTCCAAGGTTGTCAAGTCTATATAGCTTGCCACTTTTTCCAATTTTCAAATTAAGTATATAAGCTTTCTTTTATTTCAAGTCCTCTCTTCTGCCTTCTTATTGTCTACAACTTGACTTTTCAATGAACTTTGCTGCCTTTACATGGTCTCAAGTCTAACAACTGATGTCCATCTCTACTCCCGATTCACCAGATCTGTTCTCTTCACCGACTTCTGATCGAAATTTCTAGCCTTCGAAGTATCCCAACCTTGACAACCCAAGTCTATCTCTGCCCAGTTGCTCGAGTCTTCACCATAGCAGCTCCTAATCCTCACCAGACCTGTGGTATTCCATATACCTAGCTAGTAAAGGCAAGAAACATACATTTATCACTTCCCTCAAATTTGTTCATCACTTTGGGCGAACGTGAATTTCTCATTCTGGGGTATTCACTTGTCAAAACTACCAAACTCATTTATCACTTTCTCACTTCATGATCGATCTATCACTAAAAACCATCTCCAGCCTTCTCTCCATCTTCACGTCACCATCTCCACGTCACCATCTCCACTTGATACCACAGCTCAGTACGTTATCTTTGGACTCTTGTCACCATTATTTCTTTCTCTGTGCTAGCTTTTCTTCTCTTCAACCATCAAACATTTCAATTTTACCCCCACTTCTTCTATGCCTTATCGCATTCCAGGTCTCATACCTTACCCAACTACGCATCTAATTTCTAACCTTTTTCTCTCTCTTATAGTTCACAATGCAGTCTTCCAGAGAAATTGCCAAGCAGGTTCGTGCCAGTGGCTCGGGTAATAGCAGCAACAATGAAAGCTGTTTTTCGCACCACCGTCTCCCGAGCATCTTAGGGCTCTTGGACAGCCTTCCTTCTATGAAACTTGAACTCCCCAATGAAACCCCAGAAGAAGGCTCTTCGGCCCCTGTGATGCGTCTAACCAAGGAGCGGGATTTGGTCAGTGATTTTCAAATACTTCCAACATATCACATGCCTTGGAACTGCGATTTGCCCAGCTGCGATTTGCCTCACTTCTATCTCCACTACTTTATTTTCTTACACTAACAAGGACTAGTGCAATGAAACCAGACCCATCAACCGCGTCGGCTACAACAAGTCCGGTAAAGAAGTTGTTGTTCTCATGAACACATATCCCATCACGAGATACCCCACGGAAACTGTTTACCAGTATGAGGTTAGTAGAACTTTCCTAAAGGCTCTTTTGCGCATCAGAAGCTCACAAGTTATAGGTCAATACGATCTCCGGACTTGGCTCCGCACCAGGCGTGGAGCAGGACCGACGCGTTCTCCGGCGAACCTTCAACTGTGATAGCAGAAAAAGGCTGCTTCCTGATGCTATCTATGATGGAATGAGAACTGCTTGGTAAGATCCAAAGATACAGACTTTTACATTATACTAATGCTTATACTTCTAGGTCGCGCATTCACCTCCCAAACGGGGTTCATGAACGCTTCCAGTACACTGGTGGTCAAACTCGGCCTTCTGGTGCCAGGACCAATGTTCACATGAAAGATGTGATCTTCACCATGCTGCCCCGACGCAGGATCAATCTGGACGTCATCGGGAAATGGCTCCAGAAGAAGCGTGACCTGGATGAATATGTGATCGAGGCTCTTAGTAAGTATTTTCCTGTTGAATAACGGCTGCAGACATACTGACTATTCAGATTTCCTCGACCACTTGATCCGTGATTGGCCTACCAGAGAATTCACTGCACACAAGCGGGCATACTTCTTTCAGAACCTCCAGGAGGATCCAAAGCATAGGGACATTGCCAATGAGTTTCATTACTCGCTTGGAGGCTACTCTGGTGCCACATGTTATCGCGGAATTTTTCAGATGATCCGACCTTCTGTCAGTGGTCTTTTGCTGAATCTGGACACTGCTCATTCCGTCTTCTTTTCTCGTATCAGCCTTCTCGGTACCATGAAGGGCATTCTCAAATGCGGTACTGACGAGGAGCTTACCAAAAGGCTTCGACCCAAGATTGATAACCACCGTGTTCGACACTCGAGCCCAGATTTTACCAAGCTGAGTAAGATGCTCAAGGGCCTCCGCGTCCAGCCCGACTATGATGAATGTCCTTTCAAGGATAAGAGTTTCACCATTTTTGATCTTATTGACGGTAATTCCACTGAGTTCAAATTGAGGATTACCGACAAGGCCACTGGCAGAGAGCAATCGATGACTGTGCAGCAATATTTCCTTTCGAAGTATAACAAGCGCCTGGAACAGCCACACATGTCTCTTCTCAGGATGACTAACAAGGAAGTCATCTACCCTGCCGAGCTTCTGGTTATCAAGAATCTGCAGCGATGGCCCTTCAAGCTCAATGATCTCCAAACTAGCGACATGATCAAGTACACCGCGAAAAGGCCTGAAGTCCGCCTGGAGCATATCAGAAAGTGCAAGAAGATCTTGAGTCACGAGGCTGACCCCAATCTGAAGCACTATGGGCTTGAAATCGGTACCAGTCTGATCAAGGCCAAGGCTCGTTTGCTCCCCCACCCAGAGATTCAATTTGGAGCTTCCAGGCACAATCCAGGTACGACAGGGAAATGGGATCTTCGTGGAAAGAAATTCTACAAAACCAACGCAGTGCCTCTCGTCTCTTGGGGCATTGGATTTTTCGGTGGCAACCGCAACGACTTGAATTTCAGTCAGGTTCAAGCATGGCTTGACCTGTTTATCAAGAGTTACAAGCAGCACGGTGGCCTCATTGGTAACCGCCCCTTTACCCTCCAGCTCAAGGAAGATATCGGCGAGGCAATGAATCAGCTCTACACCAAGACCAAAGAGACCTGGAAGGATGAACCTCAGCTTCTGGTGATTATCGTACCCTCAAAGGACGCATTTTCTTATCTTCGCATTAAAAAATCTGCCGATTGCCGATTCGGAGTTCCTTCTCAGGTTTTGCAATCTGCCCGCTGCATCGATAACCGTCCCCAGTACCACTCGAATGTCCTCATGAAGGTTAACGCCAAGCTTGGTGGAGTGACTAACCGCATCATTCCCACTTCCACTGGGTCAACTCTGCGTGCACGCTCGATCATCATCGGTGGTGATGTGACTCACCCTGCACTTGGTGTTTGGACCCCGTCCCTGGCTGCCATGTGCATCTCCAATGATGCTAATGGGGTTAGCTACATGGGAGGGTGCGAATGCAATGGAGAAAAGGTAGAGATCATTTCCAAGGATAACATCAGGGGTATCCTCGGACCTCTCCTTACCCAGTGGATCAGAACTGTCGGAAACAAGCACTCTCCTAAACAGATCTATTACTTCCGTGACGGTGTCTCCGACTCTGAAATAAATGGTGTCCTGAACAAGGAAGTTCCCGCCATCCGCAAGGTTCTGGCCGAAGTCTGTGGTGTACCTCTGTTCACCGGAAAGCTGTGTGTGGTGATCGCCAACAAGCGCCACCACCTTCGCGCATTCCCGAACCCAAAAGATCTCAAGACCTGCGATCGAAACGGCAACCCCCTCCCCGGTACCCTGATTGACCGTGAAGTCACAAGCCCGCGTGGATGGGACTTCCTCCTCTACGCTCACGCCGCGCTTCAAGGAACTGCCCGTCCGGTCCACTATAAGGTTGTCCTCGATGAGATTGGCCACAAGCCCGAGGAGCTTGAGAACATGATTTACGAGCAAAGCTACCAGTATGTCCGGTCTACTACACCCGTCTCGATTCATCCTGCGATTTATTATGCGCATTTGATCACTGCCCGCGCCCGTCATCACGAGTCCGTTCCTGTTTCGGACGGTCCACAGAGCGGAGCGAAGATTCCTCATGATCGATCAAATTACAAACCAAAGGATATCCCCAACAGGCTCATTGCGATGAAGGGGTCCTCCAACAAGCTTCCTCTTTCAATGTGGTGGATTTAGATTGAGAGGTGTTAAATTTGGTTATGACCTCGGGAATTAGATTGGATTTAACATTGTTATCGTGGTCACAAAAAGAAAGAAAGAAAAGGCAATAACAAAGAAAAACAGAGTGGAGAGGAAAGGGAAGGAAATGTCCAGAAAGGAATGTCCATGGTGGTTCTCTAGAGCCCTAACAAATTGTCGGAGTGCGACAGGTTATTGACATTTTATATCAAAGACCCAATAAAATCCAAAATACTTAGCTTACAATATATCTCCTCTTGTTAATTTATTTAGAGTAATAAGTCTAATAGTGGCCTGGCAGCAGATACTTTTCCAAGGTTGATATAATCCATAGTATTTGGTGGTCCCTGATGTGTTTGCTATTGGCCAAGGGGACAGAATAGCCCCACCCAATCCACTTTTGATATCAACTTGAACGAACTGAAATCGCGTTGTTCGGTAACATTTGAAATTTTCTAGCAAAACTCTCGGTGCTAGCTGGGCTCGTCTGGAATCCAGTACTGACTCAATGCTGCAGAAAACAGGGTAAATGCAGAAGAGCAATCTATTATGTCCTGTACGAAAACATAACGGAATGGTAGAAAAGGATTTCTCCAGAGCATTTAAAGATGGAGTTACCAAGAATCAAGGTAGTCAAAATAATGCCAAAGTGGTCAATGGTATGATACAGTACACGCAGCAAATATAACGTGACAAAGGGGGTTCAAGGTCGAAAGTACATTATTAAGAATCGAGTGAGGACATAATACATGAGAGAAGCAGTAACTGGACGGGGAAAAACCATGGAAATTGATTTACTGTGACCGGTTAGTTTGCGCCCCTGTGACCTGGGAATCTTATTTTTTGGACGGGATCATCGCTCATTGGAGGCATATGATGTATCCAGGATTTCAAATCGCGGAAGTAATTGGAAACCTGGGGGTTGGATTTCATCACCAGCCGTCATGCCGGCATATAGATAAAATATGGTGGTAAGATAAGACAAACTCAGAAACAAAAATTGGGGTAGAGAAATTGGGAAGGACAGAAGGACGGTATAGGGGTTGTAGGCGTTGTATAGAAACAGATCTCTGTAATAGCTCATGCGGTGGTACCGTTGATCATGGGCACATTATCCGACTGAGAAACATTCGGTTCGTCGGCTCCATCTGGAAAATTATTACTATCAGGTTTCATGTCCGTTGAGAAGTCTTTAGTCCCGTCAAAGGCAGAGCCTTGATCTGCATCCCCGTCGAAATTGAAGTTGGGCATCTCGAGTGCGACGCCACTGTTCTTCTTCGACTTTTTCTTGCTTGGCTCCGCAGTACCTGTCTTAGCAACTGCGGTTGCATTTGGAGGGGCGGGTCGTTTCTGAGGGCTTGAATTAGGCCCTGAGACGCCCGGCATGGGAGGAATTTTGCCGGAGGCTGGTAGACGAGGTTTGACAGCCATTGGTCTTTGCTTGGGTGGAAGCTCAAGATCCTCTATAAGGGGCTCGTCGCGGTTCGCGGCAAGCTTGCCTTTGAAGAAAGCTTGCACCAGCCCAATCTGTTCGGGTAGACTGTCCACTGAGACACGGGAGTATGATGGTGGCGTGGGGTAGATAGTGACGATTTGAGTGGTATTGGTGTTCTGCGATTGGGCCGCGCTGTACATCCGGTTCTGAAGGAGATGCAGAGGAACGCTGAGCTGGGACAGACCAAACTCGCGGTCCAGTCCCAACTCTTTGAAACCAAAGAAATCTTCATCGATATCCTCGGCGAAATCACCACCTACAAACTGTTCGCTTCCATCATTAAAGGCATTAGAGCCATCCTCGCCACCATCAGCGAGAGCTGGGCGGAGCAGTTCAGTGAGCAGCGACTTGAGGCGATCGTGGGCCGTGAAAAGCTTGGCGCCAAGTCGTTCAACATCTTCCTTGATATATGACTCAAGTTCATCAATGTTGATCCCAACACCAGAAAGAGTATGAAGTACAATCTCTGGCTCGGTGTACGCTGACTTCCATTCGGCCGCTGATGTTGCGGCTTCCGGAGACTCAGTGGCTGGAACCTTGGGGGCTTCCATGTACGATTTAAAAGTTTCACCGATTTTGTGGAAAAAGTCGGACGTAATATCGGTGGCAACTTCAATAGCAGAAGGTTGGTACTCCTCAAAACCGGAGTGATAGAAAATCTTAGCAACTGAGCGTTGCAGCGCTGCCCGACAAGTTCCAGGAGCTATAACAGGGCCATTGTCGTTTAAGACATGAGGTGGAACATCCTGTTCCGCGAAAGGCTCCGGGTTGTATTTTTGGAATTGATTCTGATACATCTAGGAGACAGTTAGATTTAGCACCGAATTGGGGATAGTTGGCTGTTATGCATACCTGGGATTGTATCTGCATCTGCTTCACAATGCTAACCTTGGAACAGATCTTACGAGTCTCTTGCATCTGTCGCATATTCGCTTCTATCTTGCGAGACAGCTTGCTGTCGGGCTGCAAGAAAGAACCTTTCGGAAGAATTCTTAGATATTCTTCTGTGGCATCCACAACATTACCTTGCGCATCTTCCTTCCAGGCGAGCCGCTCTGGAAGATCAGGTACACCAGACATGACGTCGTAATAATAGGGAATCATCCTCTCCTCTTCGCCCTCGATGCCTTCTGCAAGTGTTTCGCCAGCCGTGGGCTCCATTGCCTGAGAGGCATCGTGCATTTTGTCGCCTTCAATCGCTGCTTGCTTTTCGTGGCGAAGCCATCGTCGCATACCAGCTTTCGTTCGAAGCAAGGCCGGCTCTTCGGGGTTGACCTTGTCGCCTTTGAGTAGGCGATGGCGTTCTGCGGCAATGAGAGCCCGATCCTTCTTTGTCACTTGCTTCCACACCTTGTATTCAGGGTCTTCTAACTCTGCACCGGGACCTGCCAGAGCGCTAAGCGCCATAGTTGACGCGACAGGTGCATCCATTTCCATGGAATCGTCTTGCTGACTGGCTGCGGCTCCCATTCCGCCTAACGGATCGGATGGAGTATTGGATCCAGGGGGCGGAGTGCCGAACCCATTTTGATTTGCTTCCATGGCGGTGTCTGAATCTGCACGAACGGGTGCTGGGGGTTGACTGGAGCGAGCTCCCGGAGGGCCCTCAGAGCCACTGGGAGTATTGCGAGACGGGGCAGTACCCTTCTTAGACGATTTGCCAGGGGCTTTTCTCCCGCGTGAGGACATGATGGGTTCATCGTCGCTCTCTTCGGCACCATCAAGCTCTGCCATTTGAAGTCGACGCTCCTCTGCTTCAACCTCAGCTCGCTCTCTGATGACAATATCGGGAATGAGGGGGACAAGCTTTTCAGTCTCTTTTCGCATGTAAAGGGCATGTTTGCGCAAAGGGTGTTCAGGATTTGTGTTGTATTTCAAACAATTCATCCAAATTAGATTGAGGTCATCCACAAAGTCTTCCTTGGAACGATATTGTAAGCCCTTGAGCTTCTTAGTCATTGATCCGAGATCCATAGGGTGTTTGATGACTGGTTCATAGGTTAGTATACTGAACAAAGCTTGTCTGTTACTGTGAAGGCTGGAGGATGATTCTTACTTGTATAGTAATCTGGCGCATCACGTTTGTTGACCCTGGTCAGGAAAGCGGTGGAATGCTCTGTCATGGCCTTGAGCTCACTCAACACCTTTTCCGCAGCTTCGTAGAGCTCTTCCTGGCCAATCTTATCCTCGCTGGCCCATTTGCTGCGATTCTTACGCACTTCGCTCAGCAAGCTGCGGAGCTCAGCATCAGAGGCTTGAACCATGTCGCGCTTCTTATCAATTCGGGCAATAAGGTTCTTCAGGGTCAGACTTGAAGCTCCGAGGTTGGTGTTACTCAAAGAGCTGTATCCATTTGAGCCAGAAGCATTGTTTCCAGCAGCATTGGCTTGTCCCGAGATCTCTGCATCAACTTGTCGTTCGGACTCTTCCAACCGTTGCTGATCCATCATGGCATCTCGGTCATTCTCGAGGGTGTAGAACAGGGTATGGAAGCTGCGCCGAGCAGCCTCCTCCGTCGCTTTTTTGTCCTCCTCCAATTGCTTCCGTATATCCTCCAGTGACTCTTTTTTAGACTCCTTAGATCCATCGGCAGTGGTGGAAAGAGCTGTGCTCGGACGTGGGGCGGATGCGGCGGCGGAATTAGGGTCCTGCGACGGTGGTACGGACTTGACTTTCAAGGGTGACTCGGCCAAGTCGACCATATCAGCATCATCATCGTCATCATAGTCATCGTAGTCGTCGTCGAGTTTGCGGGTGGGTTTAGGTGGTGGGGCGGCAGGGGCGGCCGGCGCATCGACGCGTTCAGATTGAAGCTCGGGCGGCTCAATCTCCGCGATCGCGGCACCGGACGTTTCGTCGGGAGTATAGTGGCCTGAAAAAAGCGCGTTGATTTTCGCCTCACTGCATCGGAATAGTTCGCGAAATGAGGCAATGCGCGGGTCCTCCTCGATGGTGATATCCGGCTCGGAGGTCATACTACCGGCATTCGGGCCCTCGGCGCTGACCGAACCGCGTATTTGGGGGGTTCGCGAGCCGGACAATGTCTTCACTAAGCCATTGACTGGGCGCGGGGAGTCCAGTTGTTCGTCTGGGGGGCGGATATTGCCTGGTGGCCAGGCGTTGTGACCGAGCGACATGCTCGCTCCAAAACCCCGGTTATGGGGACGGGCGAGACTCGATTCTCCACGGTTAAGATCACGGGGCCCAGAAATCACAGGGAGGTGGTTTTTATGGAAGAAAAAGGCATGAAGAGAAACCGCTCGGTCAGCCAAATCGACAGGTGATGTCGTAAAGGCCAACAGAGATGGCACGGCGGCAAGGTTTGATGAAGAAGACAGGAGCTTCTGTAAGGAAGATTGGACGAGGGTGAAGTACAGTTACGGCAAGCGTGAAGGCGGAAAGTCACGGCAGATGGGAGAGGATCTGCTTTGGGCGTTTCATGCTGATCGCAAAGCTAGTACATTACATTTACTCTCCACTACAACTCAACCAAAGTGATAACTTAAGGCTTTCCCCAGGTTTTGACCTTTTCCCATTTGGCTTATCATTTCCGATTTTATCGTTGACCCGTGATGTTTTGATTGTCATCTCATCTTTCCATCTCCGTTATCTCTCCACATATGACGCACAAGGCAACAGCTGGGGCCAATTGAATCCACGTTCCGCAACCTACTCTCCCCAACCTCCACTTGAAGCTATCGCCAGCTTGATTACGAATAACACCGGAATACTTGAGAATCATTGTTGACGCTTGGAATCATAATCGCTACTCCTCTTGTTGAACCACCATGCGGATCCGTTATCCGTTCGCAGGTACGTAATCTGATCCCGATCGCACGATCACCTGAAGCTAACATCAACACCACGAACTCCAGGAGCCTTTGTCTTCCTGATCATTCTCGCTGGCTACATTGGTCTTCTTCCACACAGTGCCTCTTCATCAATTCCCACAAATTTACAACCAAATGACAAATTTCTCCACCTGCTTACCTTCTTCCTTTTGTCGCTGACATTCTACTGGGTGATCGACACCACCCGACGACGGACTTTGCATTTGACTCTCCTGGTCTGCACCCTTGGCCTCAGTGTTGGCTCTGAAATAGTTCAGGCTTTCTTGCCTAATGACCGTGCCTTCGATCCATTTGACATTGTCGCCAATGTGGTCGGAAGTCTCGGCGCCGTTGGTCTGTGCGGCTGGTATCATCGCCGCATGCTCGAGCGCCGCCGGAAGAGCCGCTTTGGAATGACGGAGGGAGGCGAGGATGTTGAGCTCGGGACTGGGATAGGAGACCATTCTGCGCGCGACGAGGATGCCCTCGGTCCGCAGGAATCCGGGGTCATGTCCCTGGAGCGAGAAGTGGATACTTGGGACGAGAACGCTGTTGACAACTGGGATACCGAGGATGGACCCGGGCCATCTGAACCCTCGACATCGCCTCCAAGTTATGCGAGCGCTGCGAGCGGTGTGCCCATCTTGGAACCTATAGGGAAGCGCAGTGATTAATAGGCTATTTCTTCAATTGAAGGCAATCAGCCCGGAGGAGAGTATGATCTGATGACTACTCAGCCTGACTCAGAGCCAATCCCGATCATTATCCTGCTCACGATTATTGATGCATTGATGGATCTCATGTTGGCATGATGCCAGCCATTTAGTGTCCCGCAGCGCTTTTTCTATCTGTTTTTATTGTTGTCCAAACTCTTGTTGGGAGAGGATGTCAATGCCCGTCCAGGTTCGATCTCAATTTATACTTGCAATGATTCTTGAGCGATGGGGTTCATGGATCCCCAAAGTGTACAGTTACCATGTTTAATGACAATGTGCAATTACGGCCGATCACGTCAACTGGCTTTTTTCAAAGGTTCATTCAACACAAATTTCAATATTATTTCCTCGGTCCTGGGCCTCGGCCTGGGGATTAAATACCTGTGGCAAAGGTTTACGGGTACCTGCCGGGTACCTCAACCGCAACCAAAGTATGTAGTCTGAGTCACGAGGTCGGCATGACATGTCGTACTAGGATTTTCGACTCTGGCAAATAATATAAACACGGTTTGGATCGATCTAATATACAGCAATTCTAACACAGAACTAGACAAATCCAGCCAGTGGGGTAGGACTACATACGGCGCAGGGGGCATCGACAATTGAGCTGCTGTGGGGTATTGGAGAAGAAAAGATGTAAGGTGAGCACTGCAAGGAACGAGTGAAGAAAAGGAAAGCAGCTAAACAATTGGGGGAACTTAATACAATAACAACAAACCCGATACAACACCGGATGCCATGGTATGATGCAGCAGGAGAACTCAAGATCGAGAAGCCAAGGGGGTCATGATCACATCGCAGAAGAGATGAAAGGAGAATACATATAGAAAAAAGTGAGCATATGAGACTACTCGTTATCGGAGACCTCAGGGGTCCCAGACCAGCTTCGCGTCGGAGTCTCGATTCGGTCCGGGACGGGCTCCAATTCGGGCTTCGACGCCGGTACATATCCTGATGGGTCACTCAACTTGCGTAATTTGGCAGATCGTGGCTCATGCTGGCTTCCAGGTGACTCGGGCGGGTACTTGCCCAGCTTGACGTCGGTTTGCTCGCGGAGGACCTCATAGATGAATTGCATTTGGAGCTCATTGTACACCATCATCATGCGTTGTTCGCGCATCTGGTTGACGCACTCATAAACCGGATCGGCTTCGGTGTCGGTTACCTGCAGCAGCTGGCCCGATTCAAGTTCGCGCAAGAGGTGATCGAGGGCGATGAAGGTTCCAGTCCGGCCAACACCGGCGCTACAGTGAACCACCCGTGGATTATCCGAGTCGCATTTGGAGGCCGACAGCTTAATGAGTTCCAACAATCCTTGGCGGTCGTGCCCCTCGGGCTTGCAATGATCTGCCCAGCCCGCAAACAGGTAATGCCAAATAATCTTGGATTCGGATCCAATAGTCAACTCCAATTTGCGAACCTCGGAGCACGAGGCATCGTCAAAGAAGGATTCCAAAAGTGTCACTTTGCCCAGAAGACTGGGCTGGTCGTCTGGCTGAGCTTCATTCAAGGAATCGAAAGGCTCCTCGAATGGAATATCCATCGTCGGTTGGTCTAGATCTAATGGGAAATATTGGGCGCATTTTTCCCGACCGGCTTCAAAGGTCTGAGTGAGCATTATAATGACGCCCACATCTTTGCTCTCGTGAAAGACCATATGCCAAAAGTGTGAAAGCTGTCCAAGTTTAGGTCCCTGCAAAGGCTGTTAGTCAAGAACCAGACTCTTCCAGAAAAGGCCCACCCACCTGCGTCGCGATATACTTCAATTCGTCCTGCGTTACCGAGTTCCTCAGGACAATCGGAGAGGCATTAATAAAATCGCATTCGCCCTCGGGGACCTGCAGATGAATGCGATAGTTCGCATACGCCTGCACATTCAGGTACCGATTCCTCGCCTTGACTTTTGGGTCTGTCTCGATCGCATACGGATGAGCAGGATCATTTGACAACAATCCATCCGAAATGCGAGTCCTCTGTATCCACTCCAGATCCTCAAACTTGTCATGAATCTCTGTTGGTGGAAGCGGTCAGTTTTGTCATACTTCCCCACGTGCCTATGGAATTCTCCTATAGGCGCATGCAACACCGCTTGACTCACCTGTCACCGATTGGCACAGGAACGGTGGGACATCGTCCGTGTTCCCTGTCTCTAACCGGGGATTTCCCTGCTCCAGAATGTCGATCCCCGCATCGTTATCTGGTAGGCCACGCTTGGTGCTCTGGACGTTGGTGTCGATCTTGATGGAGGGATGCGCCATTTTGGCAGCGGCGATCCGCTGAAGTGCGCGGACCTTCCCGATGACGCCGCGCGCTTTGCGGGAGACGGTTTGTCGACTGGACCGTTTTTTGACGCGCGGGGCAAGCGGGTCGGGGGAGGGGGAGCGAGAGGGTTCAGTATTGATGTCTTGATCAGAACCGGCAGAAATCAAAGGCGAAGAAATCTGCAACGAGGTCAGATCGGGACAGCTATAGAAGCTGTCCCGAGAATGTGCGTTCAAGGCCAGATTTTTGTATTTTGTTGGGCGGTTTTGGGCGTCGAGTTCAAGTAAGCCGGAGTGTCACCGGGGGAATCGTGTGACCTCGTGTAAATGTTCAGAAGGTAGAAGGAAAGAAGATCAACGGATGAAAATCGAATGATCACTGGACCAAGTATGATCCGCCGTTACGGAGTAAACCAAAAGAAAAAAAAAAAAGAGGATCGAGGGGAAAAAGGAGGGGCTTGAAGAGATGGAAAAGTCCCGACTAACTCCGCCGAATCCAGATCTATTTCTTTCCTGATTTGGGCTATAGATTGTGTATTATTTTACTTATGTTTACTTATAAGTTTGTGGAATTCCTAAAAACAATATCATTGGTTCAAACTATAAGTCATCAACTTTTGCCACTGCGAGTTCAGCTGCTTGCGGCTTGTACTACTGCGGGACACTATACCTTAGGCAGGTACTTCATACTTTTCTTCCATTCCGGCTTTTGCTTCAGGTACCTGATTCTGAGAAATGATTTTTAAATAAAACTCCTGTACTGAGTACGTTCTAACGATCCTGGGATAACTGCAATCTATCTATAACCATTGTTTGGGGATCGCGGGGACTAAATCCTAAATCCACCGTCGCGACACTCTCCAACCACAACACCCTTACCCACCTCCCCCACACCCTCATTTCCCACGTTTTACATGATTTTAAATGACGGCATCAGGCGCGAATAGGTGTTGATCACCGATGCACCTCTTCGTGGCTAACGGGGCTCTTCAATCTATGAAGAACAAACAAAGAAATCCACGCGCGCAATGGTATCTCAAGCTCAAGTCGTTGATCGCATGGCACCAAACCAGAGTGCCCCTTCTGTGGTGTCGCGCCACTCGCATTCTACTCGTCGTCATCGATCAGGACATTCCCACCATGGAGGCTCCGGATCGTCCTCCTCCAACGACTTTCCCATCTTCACGTACACGGGCGACACCGAGATCGCGATCCGCGCTGGGTCGCAAGAGAAACGATATCTCCTCCATCGGTTGATTCTGGCGCAATGTTCGGGCTTCTTTGAGGCAAGCACAAGAGAGGAATGGGCAGGGCAGAGTGCAGTTGGGCCCTCGAAGCCTGATGGGACATTGTCTCGGGTGAGCGAGGACGATTCGCTCTCCACTGGGTCTACGCTCCTTGCGCAATCTGATCATGGTTTACCGACACGACCTGGGGAAAAGCGACGATGGAGGTATGAGTTAGACTGGGAAAATCGGGGAGAAGATGAGGAGCCCATACTTGTTCAGAAGGTCGGTCTCACGCAGTCGCAATTAGCAAGGGGTGCCAGGTCCATAGCTAAACTCATTCTCCAACAGCAACCTACCTACGCTCCCATATTCACCCACGACCAGAGTGCGTTCCCTCCAACGATGACCAAACCATCCAATGCGCAGGCGGGCTACTTCCGATCCATGGCAAACTTAGTAGGAATGCAGTCGGTAGTACACCTCCCACGAACTGAAGGGGAGGACCGCAATACCATCGATCCACTAGTTCGCGACTATGAAAACCTCTTCCGCATGTTCTACAATCATCCGCCAATATTGAACAGTGTGAACATTGCCACGGCTTATACAGAGTGCAAGTCTCTCCTCGCCCTGGCAGATATGTACGACGCGCTGGCGGTGACTGGTCCCCGAGTAGATCACCACCTCTTAGGATTCGGCTCACGGCTCTTCAAACAAATCGCCAAATACCCTCCTAGCTACCTCAAGCTGGGGTACCTAGCTCGCAGCAGAGTGATCTTCTCCGAGGCGCTGATTCATGTCGTCGGCCAATGGCCAGCCGCCCTACCAAATCTGCGTAACGGCTCATACGCACCCCTCCCAAACCCTGTCCTCGATCTCATCGAGGATAAATACGAAGATATGGAAGACCTCAAAGCTCGCATCGAGTCCAAACTCTTTCGCCTATCTCTGACGACATCTCGGGGCGAGCGAGTCGGTCCCAACAACGCATATCTAGACTGGTTGGCCGTCTCTTTATTCCGTCAGTGGCTCATCGAGAGTACCACTCCCCCTCCTGCTCCTATTCTCAAGAACCCTACCAACAACCCTCCGCAAACACCTGCACCAGGTTCCCAAACCAGCTCATCGAGACCAACCGCACCGCCTGATCCGGCTGCCCGTGTGTATCGATTGATTGGATCGTCTTCGTCACAGGCATATCTGCCCCACGATGAACTGAAACGCTTCCTGAAGATCCACCCTACCCAATCAGCTGACTCGCTTTACACCCGCGACACGCTCAAACGTTTCGAGCGCAAGATGGATGAGATTAAACGGCTGGCTCGTGAGATCGTCAAACCCCTCATGCGAAACTTTCTTGAACTCGAGCTGAAGAGTGCGGAGCAAAGCAGTGCGAGTTCCACGGCCATTGAAACCCCGGATGTAGGACTGCCATATTTGACCTGCACGAGGGTTGAAGAGGCTGATCTGCCCTGGAATTAAGCTGGATACCGGTCTATTTTTCGTCTATAATGTTTTTATTTTCTCTTTTTATTGTTTGTTTCCACGCCAATTGGCGGGTTGCTCTCCAGATACCTATGTGGTTGTTTTGGAGTTTTGATCCTGGTGTCTGGTGTTTTTATTTGCTCTGAGCTGCTGGTTCTGTTCAGAGTGGGTTGGATTGGTTGTACTCCGACGATGATTTTCCCGATGATGCGATGTCCTTGCTGCGCTTTATTTAATGTGTTATGACTTTATGAATAGTGTTGATGCTTTCCGTACTTTTGTTTCCTTGTTTTCCAAGATTGTTATAGATCGCAACCAAAAATGTGTGCGTAATGTTGAATGCATGGTCGTCTACCAAGTATCAAGCTAGACTTACAAGGCAACATGTAGGTGAACTTGGCCATGATTTCTATGAAATACATATACTACATACTACCCCAGACATATACTTTTCATATCATACAAACAAGAGCATCAGAATCTACTGCTTCCCTCCAATCGTCTCCATACCATCCATCCACGGCCGCAAAACTTCCGGAATAACAACCACTCCCCGTTCAGGATCGAATCCATTCTCCAGGATAGCAGCCAAAACACGCGGCACAGCCATCGCTGTCCCATTGACAGTATGCGGGAACCGAGATTCCTTTGCCGCGCCACCCCGGACCCGAGTCGCAAGCCGTCGGCTCTGATAATCCGTACAAATAGAAGCGGATGTAACCTCACCCCAAGCGGACTCCAGCTCCTGAATCGAAGGATCCACAACAGTTTCAGTCGAAACTGACCGGAGTCGGGACGGGAACAGAGCCTCGATATCCCGTTTCCGAGTTGCGCTGGCGCCCAGATCTCCCGTGGGCATTTCAAGCACACGACAGGGAAGATGGAGGGATGTCAGAATCTCTGTCTGGATATCGAGTAGCTCGGCGAATAGATCATCTGATGTGGGTGTATTCTTCTCCTTTGCAGACTCGGAATCAACTAGATTATCTGCCCAAGCGAATAGTTCCACCTTTGTAAACTCGTGTACCCGATATAACCCCTTCGTGTCCACGCCGCGCGAACCGGCTTCCGCTCGATAACATCTACTAGAACCCACAAGCTTTAACGGAAGCTCATTCGCTTTAATATCCCGTCCAGCGTACATGGCCGCTAAAGGAATTTCCGCCGTCGCCGTCAATGACCGCTGAGGTTTGCTATCGCGATCGCGCTCGCTTTGCTCAATTCCCCAGATCTGCTGCTCGTTGTGCTGGTCGCGTGGCTGGAACCCGCACGCTTCAGCGACATACGAGTAGACGATTGAGGGTGGGGAAACGGGTTTCCAGGCTCGGCGGCGAGCGACGCTAAGAGCATACTGGACGAGTGCTTGTTCGAGCATGGCTCCTTCGTTTATGAGGAAGTACCAGCCCCATCCTGTTGTTGTGGCGGAGCTGGTGAAGTCGAGTAGGCCGAGGGATGTGCCGATTGTGACGTGAGAGCGGGATTGGAGATCGGATGGGGACTGGGTTGTCCAGGGTGGAGGGTTTGAGGGATCGAAGTTAAGGTACTTTATTAGGCGGGGAGTGTCGCCGATGGGTGTTTCATTAGAGGAGAGGTTGGGTAGGGATAGAGCCAGGCGGGTGATTTCTTCAGTGCAGCTTGATTTGCGTTGCATCATTGCTGCAGATTCATCTTTGAGACGCTGGGCTTCTGCTTTTAAGACCGTAATATCCTCTGGTGTGTCCTTGGTATCATCGCCTGCTTCTCGGGCCGCGATCGAGAGCTTGGCAATTGTTTTCTCAAGCTGTTTGACGCGGGATCGGGGTGTCTTCAGGTCGTGATCGAGTTGTCGCGCTTCTTCGGAGAGAGCCTGGATCTGCGAGGGGTATCCTGCGTGACCGACATAGTTTCGTTCAACGCAGTTTTGGGCGTAGCGCTCCACATTCTGGCGGATGTGTTTGAGGTCTGGTGTTGGCTTCGGAGCTGTTGCGGGTCGGAGGATTTGATGGTGGCGCGCAGAGATAGAGAAGTTTCGAATTAGATTTAATCTGGACCGGGGTGCCCATCTGCAATTGAAGCAGACGTAGGGGCTTGTGAGCGGCATGTTTGTGAGAGAGGAAGTTGGAGAAATTGTCGGGAAGTGGATTAGTAGTTAGCTGCTTCCAAGGTGGAGCAAATTGGACCATCCAAATCCACTCGGAACTATACAATCGAGTTACAAAGATTTACTATTTGTACGATTTGATTCAGCAGCTCTCATATTTTCAATCTTGAATAATCTGCAAATCTAAATCTCGGATTCAATCCCTTCAAATGTTCAAAGTCCCAACTTGTGCTTCCTGATCCTGGCACCCACACCAATGATCACCGCAGCAGACGCAGCAAGCACAGCCCACAATGGGATATGCAAAACATTTATGCTGAAGTCCGTCTGCGTCGCCCCCCAGATCGCAGTCGGAATCTCCAGCACCAACAGCGCCACATATCCGCTCCAACGATGGTATTTGTAAAGTTTCTTTCCTTTGTCCACGCTGCCCAGGACAATAACTGGCAGGAAGTACTGAACGATGCCGAAGGAAGACTGGAGTACAACGAAGATGATAGTGAGAAGGCCGAGGATGCCGTGTGCGGAGGCGAAGTGGGGATGAGAGCCTTTATTTACTTCGATGACGATGAAGGCGCTGATAAAAAGGATGGTGCTGAGTAGTTGAATTGTGTAGTGGGCGCGGGCACCGATACGCTTTTGGGATGGGGTAGAAGTGGGTTGAAGAATAAGAGTTCCTTGGATTTGAAGTAAAAGGCCTGATATGGCGAGAAGCTGTGATGATTGGTTAAATATAACCTTGTCACCTACTGTAACTTGGTGCACTTACTGGATGAGCTGAGAAGAGAATGATTGGTTGAGCTAGGATGTTGGTCCAGACGAGGGCGGCGAACTGAGAAATTAATCAATGTGTCACGCTTTCTGTGATATGGAGACACTTACAACCCAAATTCCAAACTGAGCAAGACCAGCGACATCTGTCAAGTCGGAGTCAGGTTACTGCACAGCTTTTCGAATCCGATATGATCTCACCCGAGACTAAATTGACCCATATGTTCTCTTGGACAACATCACCAGATTGTTCCAACAGAGGCTCATTCTCCGAGACTTCCCCAGAGCGCTCTTCATGGATATCAGTGGTGGTCATAATAGCGATTTGCTAGATGGATGCTGATAGATTTACTCTTCCACCCCACCTGGGGACATCAGCCGATTAATAAAATAATCACTGAGATTGGTCTGCGTGGATCTAGTTGCTAGCGCGTCGTTAGGTTGATCCCGTTGGCCGCAATGTGGCATGCAAACCCCTCGCTTCATGTCGTGTTACAGCGAATTGATCACGGAATTGGCGTGATCGTCGCCAATCATGACAAGCAGGTGGAGCTCGGTTATATTCAGATGAGGTTGTCGCTTATAATTACCAAGCATTCCACATGTGCTTATCCAGTGTTTAGCTCCGTACAGAATACTCTGTACACGTACGGTCGAATAAGGCAGGGACACAGCAAGGATGTGCAAGTAAGGGGGGACCTGGAATCTTGGAATTGGACACTGACGTGATGTGGCCGGCATAGGCCGGTATATTTACGGAGTACCAATTGATATATAGATAAGATAACGTCTTCCCAGTGGGACCCCGCCATTTTAACACTGAAGTACTCATAGTCCAGGATAGATACATATTTATCGATATAGTTTCAAGGAATTTTCGCAATTTGCTCTAGTAGGGTCGGTTTATCTTTAATAAGATAGAGATACCTACATGGAGGTGGAAAATAGTATGAATATATCAAAAGAATCATGTACTCAAAAGATAACCAGTGTCCAGATTGTCAAGCAATCTCTTTAGTAGATCAGAAAAAAAAATGACTGTCTTCATGCGCTGATTGAACTCATACCAGAAGACCAAATTTGGCCTAGAATCTTGATTATTAGTGGGCGCCAAATCAAGCCCAGGGAATCCTTCATGTAATCCCTATTGTTGCGAAGTTAAGCTACCCCCATGTTGAATATCAGATAGTCATTATTAACTGGCAAAAGGACAATATTACGACTCGCCCCAGTCTTGGACTACGATTCACCGGTGGATCCTTTGCTTCTATGAAATTAAAGCCAAAGTCTACCGCGAGGGACTTACGGCTAACGAATAGGTCCTGTTGACAAAGCAAAGGTCAGGTATTGGATATCGTTGTTCACTACAGCAATGTCATTTTTGTCGCTATTCCGATATATTGTATTAGGATTCACCCGTACTGCTTCAATATTCAAAATGAACATCACACCCAAGGCATTTTAAATACAGGCCCTGCTTCAGAGCCAGGACGACCAAAAACAACCTCCGCACCAAATTTTCCTGGTTCCAAATTCATGACTATATTAAATAGAGTGTTGCTCCGAATCGAAATGTGAGCGGATTCATCGCCTTGACAACAGATGGCCTGAGGAGCATTGAAGGTATCAGAGAATATCTTCTCCCTCAGTAATGCAGGTGTAATAGCATCATCTGATATCCCATCTGCGATGAGCTCTAGTGCCAAGTCCCTCGCACGGTCCAAGCGGATTGTAGATCCTGAAAGCCAAGGCGGCTCCTCGACATATTGATTTTCAATAAAATGATTGGTGTGCAGAATCAGACCTGATTCATCCTCTAGGATGTACTTGTTACCCAAAGGTGATAATTCAAGCGCCAGGGCAGTATTATAATCCGATATAAGAATATGCTGCGCCGAGGCAACACCTCCCAACCTCTCAAGAGTCTTCACAGCGCTCTCAACCGATACACTTTCGAGGCATAATCGAAGAGCAACGTGGATTGGAAGCTTGCTGCTGATCATTGGTTTTGCCCGGATAGCATTCAGACAAGTACCCACGCCTGCGGAATTGAAGCCTATTTTACCCACTATTCCTGCCTGTTAATCCATCAGTCAATGCTCTTCTATACCTAGTCATCGACCTCGAAAGTCTTCATACCTCTGTCACCATATACAGCGTCGGCTTTCCAGTCTGTTCAATGGAGACCATGGCCAGATTCTGGCCAACAGGAGCGGTCCAATCCCAGTTCTGAGAAAGGATCCGTGCTGTATCGTTTTTCTTCCAGCACAAGCTAGTGCAGCCATCGGAGAACTTTCCAAGGGCAATCTCACTGCGACAATTGATTGCTACGATATCAAGCACGTCAAGTTCCGCTCCTTTGGCAATACCTTTCATCTCGGCATAGATGTCAGGGACCAGTGTGACCAGGGCGGGTTGGAAGTCCTTGGCTATTTCGCGCACATCTGGCCAAGACAGCTTCGAGGTGTGTGCAAACATGGCCTCGTAAATACTGATCTGGCTGCGGATTTGTTTACGCAATGAGCGGCCATGCTCGATACCGATCTGGCGCTGATTAGATGTGGCTATTAGCTGTGTGGCGGGAGGAATACCTCTTGAGGGCTTCCCCTCAACGTCAGTCTTATCGGCTCTTTGGTATTCATGGTCATGCTGGGAATAGTGTGAGTGAAAGAAGGTGCAAATACAGACTATTGCAGATTCTTTTGAATGTCTGATCACTAAGCCACTATTGGGGTCAAGTCGTCGACGGAGCCGAGGGTTGGAGTCATGCGGGGGTTAGCCGATAGGATCGCAATGACCTGCCCCAAATGGTCTTATCACTCGGAAAGGAAGTTGCATGCTATTTGATCGATGAATTTGATTTGGTTCTGCTGCAAAATGACAACTACTACTCCAAAATACGCTACCCCGAGTGTCAAACAGGAAGGCGACATCTAGTTTGGGCAGCAGACTCCAAAGAGTCAAATCATTGGCTTAAAGTCTGTTGTATTTCTCCTGTCGCCTATTTCTCGCGAATCAAGTGCTTGAATAGACGATCCAGGTAATAAGCTGACTGCTTAGGATAGCGAGTCTTTTCCTCCGACTCGAAATCAATAAAAGTACAGCCAAACCGGTCGGAATATCCAGCAGCCCATTCTGCATCAAGTTAGTGATTGGATCCGACATTCGGCGAAATAAACATACCCCAATTATCAGTGAATGTCCACGCAAAATAAGACCGGATGTCAATCCCATCTTCCTTCACAGCTCGAGCCAGCGCATGACCCACGTATCCCTCAAAGAACTTGATACGGAACTCATCATTTAAAACGTCCGGCGTGGGCGCAACTTCTCCCTTGGCAGTAGTACCGTTCTCAGTCACATAAATAGGAGTCTGGTACCTTGCCCAGATCCAATTCAAAAGCTTCCGGAATCCCTCAGGCGAAGCTTTTAGCCACTCGGTATCACTCTCCTCCCCGCGCGGAACACCCTGCTTATTCTCATCATAAATTTCCACATTCCCCTTATGATCATTAATATCCGGCGGCGTAGTCGTATGCTTCATGAAGAAAGTCGTATAACTATTCATACCATAAAACTCAGAGCTCCCAAGCACAAGCTTGGACTCCTCCTCCGTGAACCGCGGAAGCCGATCTCCAAGCTGCGCACGCATAGAAGCAGGATAATCACCAGTCTTATAAATGGGATCAGCAAACCAAGCGATCTCAAATTCACGAGCTCTTTGCGCAGCCTCTTGATCCCGCTCATCCTCCTCATCCCAAGCCTCGGACCAATTCCCATGGAGCGTGATACCAATCATACCGTCCTGCTCCGGCTTGAACTCCTCCCGATACAACCTCGATACATGGCCGTGAGAAACCAGCTCCGTATGCGCGACAATGAACGGCTCTGTGGACGAATCCCCCTCCGCATTGCGCTCTCTGAAAGATGATCGTCCAGGCGCATGCACCCCAGCCGCGTACCCGGCAAGTGTATACACGCCTGGTTCATTGTATGTAATCCAATGCTTAACGCGATCGCCGAACCTTTCAAAGCATACACGTGCATAGCGCACGAAGTCAGCTGTATACGCATCCTGATCCAACATCCCGCCATACCGATCCTCCAATGCCTGTGGGATATCCCAATGGAACAGCGTAACGAAAGGCGTGATGCCGTTCCGGAGTAACTCATCGATCAGATTCGAGTAATATTGGATTCCCTGCTCGTTGAGGGGGTCATCACGGCCTCCAAGAGGAATAATTCTTGTCCAGGAAAGTGAGAATCTGTATGCGTTTACGCCGTAGGTTTTCATCAGCGCGACGTCTTCGCGGTAGAAGTCGTATGCGCGTGTTGCGTCGTCGGCATTGCTGCCATCCGCTACTTTGCCCGGTGTATGGCCGAATTTGTCCCAGATTGAGATACCTTTGCCATCTTTGTTCCAGGCGCCTTCTATTTGGGTTGCGGCTGTGGCGTAGCCGTGGTAGAAGTCTGGCCGGAGGACGTCTTTAACGTCGTGGACTGAGGATAGATCCATTGCTGTGGCGAGCTAGGTGTATAGGTGGCGTCGTCGTTGCTTCACGCCGCAGTGAATAAATAGCTGCGGGGTTTGTCCGGTTAAGTTGTGAATTTTACTTTATCCATCTGATGCGGGGTGATTCCGTGCCTGTTTAGGAAGTTTGACAGGGTGATAGATGTGACACGTAGCTGTGGGGTGAGCGAGCCATCTGGGCCGATTTATTAGCTACATTTTCAGCATGTAGTGATTGACAGTCGAATAAGTAGATTTATCAATAGATACTCATGTAGGTATAGTCCAAAGAAAGGGCAGGAGACAGGATTGATAGAAGAAACAGGAAGCACTGGAGAGATAATATGAATGTTGTACCTGTTTGGGGTCTCCAGGTTCATAATGCATAGTTATTTGTCCTATTAACCCACCAGTGCTTACATGCACATGTGATCTAAGTAGAATACATCTCCGGTGGGATACGGCAGTCGCCATCACATTCGACTTCCATTTGAAACCCAGTCGGGAAAACCACAGTGACCGTCTTCACACCCCGAGTCTTGAGAACAACCTCCCCCACCAAACATCCACCCTCGAAGCTAAAATCTAATTCAAATCCTCCACGAGCTCGGACTCCATGAATTCTACCTGTCCATTCCGGACAAGCAGGAAGCAGTCGGATAATTCCCGGTTCGTGAGACTGAATCAACATCTCCACGATACCTGCAGCCCCACCAAAGTTACCATCGATTTGGAATGGCGGATGGCTATCGAAAAGATTGGGGAGTGTAGATTGCCTCAGTAATAAAACAAGATGTTTTTGACACTCCGCTTTGTCGTGAAGACGCGCGTATAGGTTTATGAGCCAGGCACGGCTCCAGCCTGTGTGACCACCTCCGTGCTCTGCACGTCGACAAAGAGTCTCCCTACATGCAGCCGCGAGATCTGGAGTCTTGTCTGGTGTGATTGCGTTACCAGGGTATAGTGCCCATAGATGAGATGTGTGGCGGTGGCCTGGCTCGACTTCTTCGTAGTCTTCGGCCCACTCCTGGAGGTATCCCATCGTGCTGATTTTCATGGGCGGGAGGCGAGATCGCGTGGAACGAACTTGTGGGAGGAGAGGATCGTCGTTCATGCCTAGCTGTGCGGTTGCTAGCTCGAAGTCTTGTAATACAGCGTCGATGATTTGAGTATCAATAGTCGAGCCTTCGCAAAGTACGCCTTTCTGGCCTTTTTTGTCGTAGTAGGAATTTTCGGGAGAGACGGATGGGGACGTTATAAGATATTTCCCGGACGAGTCTTTGATGAGGAAGTCGAGGAGGAACTCTATGCATCCACGAAGGATCCAAAAGTATTGGTTGAGAATGCTCTCGTCCCTGGTAAATTGGAAATGTTCCCAGAGGTGGTGACAGAGCCATGCACCTCCTAGTGGCCATAGAGTACCTGGCATCCAACGATCAACAGGATCAGTGTCGGCCCAGATATCAGTATTGGAGTGGGCAGTCCATCCCCGGCACCCGTACATCTTTTCAGCGGTATTCTTGCCGTTAGACACCATTCGGGAGAGATGAGTGAACAGAGGGAGCTCGCATTCAGACAGATTGCAAAGATTGGTAGACCAATAGTTCATCTGTAGATTGATGTTGATGGTAAATCTCGAACCCCAAGCGGGATGGAAAGAAGGATTCCAGATGCCCTGTAGATTGGCCGGTAGAGGGTAAGCCGCACTTCCTTCATAACTACAGGCCATGAGCAGATAGCGATTATAGTTGTGATAGAGAGCAATCAAGCCTGGATCTAGGGTTTTCGACACTCTCTTGTCTGTAGGAATTTCCGATCGATCCGGTGTGAGCTTCAGGTGCATTCGCTCCCATATCTCCCTGTTCTTCATGACTTGTTGTCTCCAGGTGTCGTGTGGAGTGGAGCCAACCTTTTCGATGTCCGATTCCGCATGTACATCACCTTTCTTACCCTTGAAATCGGTTCGGGCGGAAATGTAAATGACTGCATCATCGGAATTGATGACAAGGTTTTTTCCAACTTTGATAATGGTGCCTTTTCCGTCCTCGTCGATGGTTTGAACATGGAGAACACAGCAGACACTGCTTCCCTTTCCACCGGGTGTAATATGCATGGTTATTGTATTCTCCTTGCGACGGGAGATTTTCCATTGAGGAAGTTTCCCCACAGTCTGGATGGAATCGAAGTACTCATGTGTCTCAAATTCAAGGTCACTCATTCGTGTCAGACGTAAGATAAACTCAGTCTTTGCCGAGGAGCGAGCGTGTAGAATCAGAACCGACGGGTCATCAGTAGCGATCATTTGCCGGTCATATTTAACATTCTGATGCTCATAGTTAACATGCAAAACCCCCTCGGTGAGATCCAGTGAGCGTCGGTAGCTGGTGACTTGCTCAGGCTCGTGTCTAAAGTCCAAGAAGAGATTCCCGAGAGGCTCGTAATGGCGCTGGCTTGCTGGGTTTGCGAAGAAGTATGTGGTAACCAGTCTTTCTGCCTCGATGTGGTTTCCCTGGCGGATGGCATGTCGTAGAGCTGGCAGATTACCCAAGGCGTCTTCGGGAGTCCGTTGTTGAGGTCCACCGTACCAGACTGAAGCTTCATTTAGCTGAATCATCTCTGTGTCGGTGCGACCGTAAACCATAGCACCCAGTCGGCCATTGCCCAAAGGAAGAGCCTCATTCCAACTAGATGCGGGCTGTTCGTACCACAGCTCGCTCATGGTGTCGATAGGGTTGAGGTTGTCATGAGAGATATAAGGTGTAATTCAGAGAATAATAGACTCCGAATTTGTGTGAAGCTTGCGGTACATGAAATTTCAAAGGGTCTGTACAGCTTAATATCCGGTTAAATTGAGTCTTTAAGCCGAACAGTCAGACTAGCGTCAAAATTGTGTAAATTTATATTCCCCGCACTCAGTTCCAAGTGGTGGAGAAATCATCAAAGCCGTCCAGCCAATTAAGAATTTCGAATCGATGGCGTTTATTGGTGATTCCTTTAACCCCAGTATCCAAGGTAATGTGACTTGCGCCATTCCACATTCTTGCTTTTTCCAGTCGCGTCCCACTAAGCTTGGAGATCCAGTCAGTTGATCCCCAGATCTTTCATTTTTCCTTTTTAGTCTCGGATCTTGTCAATCTCCGTGGCAAATTGGGTTCCAGGCATGGATCTTTAGCCACCATGGCTGTCTGGACTAGTCATGTTCCCCAGAATTGAAATACCAAGTGATCGCCCTCCTGGTTCTTCCCCAGATTCGCAAAACTTAAACATTCTCGGACTTACTTGGTTGGCCGGCCGATATTTGTTATTATTGTGACTTTTTTTTTCTTGCGTCGGCACTTACCATGGCGAAGGAAAAGGATCCAGAGGTGTTGAAAGGGAGTGAGGAATATGTCGAGGAGGTCGTACTGGCAAGACTGACGGAAGAAGACTTGTGGACGCTATCCCAGGAGTCTCTAAATCTTTGGTCATGGACAGGAGTTCGGCTAGGCCTCATCATGTTCGTTCAGGGCTGTAACCAAGCCGGCTATGGGGTTGACTGGGGTGTGATCAGTGGCATTGATTCATTGAATGCATGGCACGAGTACTTTGGGTTCGATACCTCGGGAAGCACCTACGGACTAATCAATGCGCTGATGAGCATTGGCACGGTTTGCGGTGCTCCATTTATGGCCTATGCAGATGTGATCGGTCGTCGGGGGATCAACTTCACCGGCAATGCTATCGTGATCGTTGCCGCGATTCTGCAAGGATGTGCGACTAACCTGCAGATGTTCATGGCGGGTCGATTCTTCATGGGCTTCGGTACAGCTTTGATGTCCAGCTCACAGTATATTGGTGAGGTCTCTCCGATTCATCTCCGTGGTCGCATGGTTGGCTTCTTTGGTGCCTGCTTCCAGGTGGGTAGTTTGACCATGCTGGGTGCTATGATCGGACTGGACACCCTGCCAGGTAACAAGTGCTGGCGTATCCCGTTGATTCTCGAGGCCTTGTTCCCGGCCATCGTCTGCTTGACTATCTTCGTCTTGACACCGGAGTCACCCCGATGGTACATTATGAAGGGCCAGCGCGACAAGGCCAAGCAAGTGATCGCCAAGTACCATACCACCAGCGGTGATATAAATCAGCCAATTGTTGAGATTGTAGTCGCCCAGATGGAGGAATCTTTGGAGAACGATACAACCGGGTTCTCGGCATTCTGGGACTATCGAGTCTTCTTCACCAAGACTGTCCGTTATCGACTTTTTGTTCTGACCTTGTATTCAATCTTCCAGCAATGGAACGGTGGCGGCATCATCACATACTATGTAAGAATCTATTTAGGACCTTGGCTCGAATATACTGACCATTCAACTCTAGATGACGCCAGCACTGGAGACCATCGGAATCAACACCACAAAGCAACAACTGGGAATTACAATTGGAAGTACGGGAACCTATTTCGTCTTCACTGCGGTTGGAGCTTTGCTTGTCGATAAATTTCGACGAAGAACCCTCATTTTCGCCGGCCTGGCTAGTATGATCATTTTCCAAACCGCTACGACCATCACCTCTTGGCAGTACAGTCTTCATGCCAGTCACGCTGCTGCAGCTCTGACGATTCTCTGGATCTTCCTCTACCAAACATTCTCTGCGTCTTTGATTGCCACAATGCATAATCTATATCCTGTGGAAGTCCTCTCCTTGCCCCTCCGTGCAAAAGGAATGGGTCTTTATAGTTTGATCCAAGGCGGAGCAGGCGCTGTCCAAACCTATGGGATTAGCGTGGGAATCAGCAAAATCGGCTACAAGATCTGGGTGGTGTACATTGTATACAACAGTGTCCAGCTTGTTCTGTCATATTTTTTCTTCCCTGAAACCAGTGGGCTGAGTCTGGAGGAGATTGATACGGTGTTTGAAACCCCCGGAGTGGCACCCGTGAAAATGTCACTGGATATTCAGAAAGCCAAGAAAGAAAGACTTGCAGCCGGACGGGATGAGGAAGGCAGATCTGGACTGTAGATGGTCCTTCAGTGGCATGTTTTCTCTAATTCAATTTCAAACTACAACTGTCAAGCAAAGCCCCATCACGTGAAATTAATTTGCATGTAACCGTAGATCATAGATAATTCTCCTACTATAGGCTCTAAGGCTCACTTTTCCACCTGAACCAGAATAAGAAGACATTTAATTTGGAGTGAAATTAAATGAGGATTACCAAAAAATAGTGAGGTTAACGTATGTAAATTGGCTGAGATGGCAAGGTGAGCCATATTATGTAGTCAGTCAGCATGTAGTCCTTCCCTGGCACGCAGACTATGAAACCCGAAAAAAGCAAAATTCTCTCCTGGCATGCGCCACAATATTGGGGCGCCGTTAGCAGGATGCAAGGAGCCCCAACTGGGCTATCTAAATTCAATTTGACAGATGTCCATGCGGAGGATGAAACGGCGTCGGTTCCGATGCAGCTGTACATACCCGACGAAGACATGCGCGTTCTGTTGCACTGTACCCGTCTTCCATCGTCTGTAGCAGGTACATGAAAGGGGACCCAACAAGGTATTTACCTGCGGGTAAGTATAAACATTGGTTATGGAGGGGATTGCTAGGAAGTTTATCTTGGCTTGGATCAGATGATACTATTAGCCCTAGATCAAGTCTGGAAGTGTGATAAATATAAAGTTGAGTCAGTCCTGGTTCCAATCAAACCTCGACTCAACGTATTTAGCGTCACACAAACAATTCAGGTACCGAATTAAGTGCCTTGATCAAACAATTCTGTTGCCCTATCTGCTAGGGCATCGATGGTGAACTGATCATGTGTCAATGACCAACCGATTGGCACTCGATAGAGCTACAGATTTGGGAAAAGTGGCACGATGCTCTGTGAATCTCAACTTGCAAAGTTTTAATTCTCTTATTTACAATGATGCCGAATTTAAATGGTCTAACATGCAGATAATCCTTGAACATGTATTTCTTCCTGATCATCTTATTTCACCTAAGATCCATGGGGTCGACCAGTAGAGAAGAAAGTGTGCAACGACGGGAAGGCTGAATGACTGGCAGGCGACATCAACTCTATTCTGGTGTAATTTCTATATCAGCTCTGGCTTGTGTTATTAAATTTCCGCGTGGCGACTGGTATACATGTGAACTTCAATAATTCCTACAACATTTCTCTTCCATATCTTCCACCCTATGTAGGCTTAAGCCTAACGCAGCCCGGACTGAGACGGAACTGCTCTCAACCACGTAGATTGTTCGTATGTCCGGTTGCGCGGTAGAAAATCAGTGTCACCATGAAATCTACCAATCAATAGCCCCGGTTTGTTGTCCATCATGAGACAGATAGCACTTTTCTTTTCAAATGTAGACAAATGCTATGATAGACACCTGAACTACTTTAATCTCCGCGATGCTACAAGTCGATACAATTCCACGAGGTTTTCCTGGTTTTATTTTTGTTTCTCAAAATTCTTTTACATTATAATTTCTTTTTGGGGGATTGGTCCTGTGGGTGTTTCCCCCTTTTTTCTTTCCCCCCCAGTATCACCCTAGAAGTAGAAGTCGGGTGATACTGCAAAGCTGTCGGGTATTGGATGACCTGGTCCAGGTCCTCCATGGCTTCATATAAGGGAATGACCTCAGTCCCTGAAACCTTTCCTTGCACCCGTCCTTTCCCCTATACTTGCAATTCTATTCCTCCACTTCGACTTCTTCTGCTTCGTGCTAGTGCTCGCATTTCCCTGCAGTTTCCTTGTTCTTAGAGCTCCCCAGTTCTCTAAAAAAACGAAAATCCATCCATCGCTTACATTCGAAATTGAATCAAATTGTTCCAGCCTCATTCCCACCTCCCGCCCATCTATGGCATACATACTTCCTTCGTGAGTCCATGCTACGCCTAGTCGATACCTGCTTTTCAGCATTCCACCCGGATAGAGGTCATTCGCTCTAGCTTCAGCATCCGCATCCACCGATCTCTCGCTTGCCGCGATGCCGCCAAAGGCTGCCGAAAATACTGTCATGCCTGAAGCTCAGGGCCTGGTCTATGATGAATCAGAAATGGCCTTGTTTCACGCGAAACTATCTTACCACGCCACTATTGATCAACGCATGGAGTCAAAAGATAGTAATCTTGCGGCTATCACCGATGCTCAGGGCAAGCTGCTTAAGCGATGGGAATTGTTAAAACAGACAGAGAAGGAGTTGGCAGAGCAGGGGAAGAGTTTATGTCCTTCGGATAAAAGTTTGTTGGCGCAGTTGGCATGGCGATATAAAGAGTTGGAGAAGAAAGCGGCGACAAACGATTCATGAATTCAAGGCAAAAGCAACTGTTTTCTTTTTTTCCTTTTCCTTTTCCTCCTTTTCACTTCCGTTCTCCTTGAATGGCGATATGAAAGGCATTTCTGGCGCTGGGTTAGAATGAAAAGTCTCAAGGCAACATTGTCGAGATTTTTCTGCTTTTTAGTTCTTTGGCGTTACTAAATCTCCTACTTTATTCTTCATTCTCGATTCTTTGTCAATATAGCTCAAATATAACTTTCATTACTTTCCTCTTAAGCGGCTCTTCAGATCACCTATAAAAACAAGGCCATTCGGAGTATTTCTTATTGTTGCGACCCAACCTTTTCTTTTGCCTTTGTCCCACGTTTCGTCATAGCTTGGAAAGATTTCAGCTATGGCCCCAGTAAGACTCGAGGATTTTCCGTTAATAGTTGCACAAGCAGCAGAGCAAACGTGGCCTGTATTGCAACGGTATTGGAACAATCTTTTGAGCAGCAAACCTAGTTTTAGCACAGACATCTCGGCTGAGCACTGGGTGTGATCCTATATGTAACAGAAGTATTTCGCTCGGGATCATTGGGCTGAATTGCATCCGGTACTGCCTGGAGCTATATGTATGTTTGATCATTCTACTTGTCACGCATTGGGCAGCAATCTCGCTCTCTAGGATATTACGCTGTCTTGGTGTTAATAACATCATTTCGGTCCTCTGCCTAGGTCCACTGTATATGTAGAAAACGTTGCACACTGAGAAACGTGTGTTTGCACATGTGGTCTAGTAGCTTGGTCATTTACTGCCATGTGTGTCGACTGGGGTGTTGGTGGTCATGCAGAATGTTCAAGTGCTCACGGGGCCGTCTGGATGGTGTCAGTTTGATCCTCAGGAATGTGACCCTACAATTGGGTAGGGTGTAGAATGACAATGTTGGAACATTGTTACGTACTCAATTCATTTTATCTCTAGTCGAACATGCAGTGTGCCCAGGTGGTACAGACAATCCTGGTGCCTAAGAGGTATCCTCGGATGTTGAGATGGAGCTTCACGCGCGGCCCATCTGATATGGCAGCAAAGGACCTTGGGAGTTGACAAGATAATCGAGTTCTACTAGATATGGATATATGTATCAAGCACATCTAAGAATGCATTGAATGAAATTCGATTCCAATTGGAGATAACAGACCCAGTCTGAAGTTCCATAACATCATCTCATGAGAATCATAGGCAAAACTGACCAACAAACGACAAATACCAAATGCAACATGTATTCAATCATGAAATGAAAACATACCCGAAAGGCAGATCCGGGTAAGCATCAGAGAAATATCAATAATGTCGCATTGAAAGACAAACACGCATAGTCGTCGCTGAGCTCATAACGAGGTCCATGACGCCTGAAACTCTATCGGTGCAATGTGTAGGGTATCATTTTGGGTGGGTGTGGGGGTTGGAAGCGTGGGTAACCATATCTTTTGATGTGCGGGCTGGTGGAAGTTTCGCTAGTTCCTCTGACCCGGACGAGGAGATACTGGTTGGCGTACCGCAATCATGGCTAATACTTCCTCTGGATCCCTTCTCTCGGAGTACTAGGCGAGTGCGGGGATGGGATGGTACTGGGGCGAGGTACTTGTCAAGAAGCTCACTCAGGATCGGTGACCGCACCGGTTTGGGGAGGTAGTTGTTCATGCCAGCGTCGAGGCACTTTTCTCTGTCGCCTTCAATGGCACTGGCTGTCATGGCGATTACTAGTACTTTGTTCACGTTTGGATCAGGGTCGCGGCGGAGTTCGCGGGTGGCATTGTATCCGTCCAAGGTGGGCATCATGACGTCCATTAGGACAATATGGAATGGATTGCCTTCATTGGATCTGGCGCGGAGAGCATCCACAGCCTGCCGGCCATCACTGAAAGCTTCGCACTGGAGGCCGAGACCAGTCACGAATTTGACCGCAATCTTCTGGTTGATGGGATTGTCTTCGGCGATACAGACGCGGATCTGATCGCGTGGAATTTGCGTGAGGTCGAGAGTAGTGGGCCGAGGAGCTTGTTTGCTTTCTGCTTGACTGAGGTCCTGTGACCAAGCGGTTTTGACGGCCGTCTTCTTCGGGGCTTTGTTGAAGACCAAGTGGAAGGTCACAGTAGTTCCAACTCCAGCCTCAGACTCAAGCCAAATTGCGCCACCAAGTACATCCTCGATAATCGCTTTGCAAATACTCAAGCCCAGTCCACTGCCGCCATATGATCTTTCCGTGGAGGGATCAGCCTGGGAGAAGGGCCGGAACAAGCGTGCTTTCTGCTCTTCTGGAATTCCAATTCCAGTGTCGGAGACGGAGCATTCCAAGCGCACGCGGCCTTTGCCCTCACGGACAGTCTTTGCCTTGACGACGATGGATCCCTTGGGCGTGAATTTGTAGCTGTTGCTGAGCAGATTCATGAAGATTTGATGTAAGCGGACTGGATCACCAAGGACAACTAGTTCTGCTGGAACACGATCCAGCTCCTCAATTGTATTCAGGCCTCGCTCGCGATGAGTGAAGCGCAGTGCCCGAACAACTTCAGTGATGGTCTCCTTTAGGTTAAGCGGCACAGTGGAGATCTTCATCTTGCCAGCTTCCAGCTTAGAAAAGTCCAGAATGTCATTAATGAGGGTCAACAATGTATCGGCGCAGACGCGGATAGACTCCACATATTCATCTTGTTCCTTATCCAATTTGGTGCCTTTCAGCAGCTCTGAAAGACCAATGACGCCGTTCATCGGAGTTCGCAGATCGTGTGAAATATTCGCAAGGAAAATTGACTTGGCTCGTGCAGCGTCTTCCTTCAGCTTCACATTGTGTTTGGCTTCAGCCTCCGCGACCTTCGCTTTTTGCTCCGATTCACGGGCTTGGGCAAGGGCGCGCTTCTGAGATTCTATCATAGATAAATTCTTAGCGCTGACCTTACGAATCTCACGGAAAAGCAAGGCGTTTGACAGCGAGATTCCAATCTGGTTGCACAGCAGATGTAAGACCACCACATTCCGCTGTGTGAACCAATTCGGCTTGCCTTCCAAGTGAATCACTCCAAGAAGTTGGTCGCCCTGAACAATCGGAAGGGCGATAACGGACCGGCCCTGGGGGTAATTGGCGAGATATGATTCATTGACGTTGGAGAATCGCTCGTCCTCAAGGACATTATGAACGAGAACCTCTTCCTTTGTACGCATGACATAGTATGAGATATGCTGCGCCATCCGACTCTCCGTTTCCGAGAAGGGCAGGCCATCGGGGTATGATCGCTGACCTTTATCGGAATCTGCTGCCGCCGCAATAGCAAATCCTTGGTCATCAAAGTTGGTTGCAATGACTGCAAAATCGGAACCGTTGCAAGACTCTAGAATAATCTCGAGCATTTTCATGAAGAGTTTGTCGATCTGAAGCTCAGATGACATCACTTGGCTGGACTCCAGGATGCTGGACAGATCTATAATATCCAGACCCACACTCGAGATATCCATAGATTTCTCATCTGAGTTGAGACCATTTTGTTCTATCCAGAGCTGCCTTCTGTCCTCCTCCTCAGCCTGGGAGGGTATGATAATTTCGTCTTGAACAACGTCCCGGTTAATGTCCATGAGTGAGTCAAGGGTTTGGCATCCAACGTCAACGGTCCTAGCGGAGGTAGCTGTTTTGAGCAACCATTCGTGCTTTTCGGCAAGCATCATAGCTTTGCCTCCAGCGCCCATGGAGCTCCATGCGGCGATAGACTCCTGTATCAACGCACGAGCGGCCCGTTTGGCCCCACGCCTGATGAGGTACTCGCCCTGCAGCTCAAGCGAGAGGGCCTCCTCTAACGGCCATCCATGAATCTGGCAATGGTCGATGGCTGCCTCGAACTTCTGAATGGCGTTATTATGGTCATTGCGGACCTCGGCGATCAAAGCCTCAAGCAGGAAAGCCCACATGCCGTAGTTCGCATCAGAGCAGCTGCGGGCAAAGTCTATCTCAGCCTTGTACTTGAGGATCATATCCATTTTCCCGTCAAGGTACCCTTGAGCAGGGTAGTCATTGTGAAGACAGAGAAGTGATATGGCGAGATAGAAGTGAATGATGTAAGACACGCGCACAGACCAGAGTCTGTACGATGTACTGAGTAGCTTGTTTCCCATTTGGATTGCCTCAGTATAGTGTCCAAACAGGAACAACGGGATCATGGCTAGGCCAAAGTATATGTCACGAGGCCTGTCTGCATTGCTGGCATGAGTGTCCAAATAATTCATGTATGAGGTTGTCCGGTGGTCATCATCCGACATAACGTTGTCTGCAGATCGGAACTCCGTTTTGCCTTGCAGGGCCCGTGCAACTTGACGAACTGCAATAATGCTAGCACCGCCACGGGTATCATTAGCCCAGTTCGGGATATCTTCAGGGGCCTCGAAGCAAAAGGCCTCCAATTGGGCCATATCTTGGCCAAGATAAAGTCGAGTCATTGCCATTGAAGAGATGCTAATCAACGTGATGTACGGATCGCCCATTGTAAATGACGCCTCAAGAGCGGTCTCCAGCGCTGGCAATGTCGACGCTAGGGGAACACGTAAATGGCTGACATAAAGATTATGAACGATCGAGCCTCTGCTCTGGGTCCACAGCTCGGGGCAGTTTTCAAGTAGGGAAAGAGAGAGATCACTGAGTTTGGTGCCAAACTCAAGATCCTTGAAGCGACTCAAAGTAATCATGGAGAGGTGGGAACAACCAATTGAAATCGGTGTGAATCCACCCCTGGATATGTGAATATGCATCATCTCAATTGCCATTCGATAAAAGGTCAGCGCATCGTCCCAGTAGGTCACGGCCATTGCCTCAGCCATGACAGCTCCAATTGTCACCAAATTAGGATCCTTGCTGATAGGCTTTTGAGCAATGGCGTCAATATCGACCGATTCGAGGTACTTTTTGAGTTTGTGGAAAGCAATATCACATTCTTCGAAGGTTGTGGGAGAGCGAAGATGAACACCCAGCTCGTCAAGGCACGAGAGCAGTGACTCCATTGAGCGGTGATGGTCACCCATCTGAGCCATGATCTTGGCTTTGATGACCCAGGCCCTTGATTTGCTGACCGCATCCTTGCCGTGGACAAAAACAGCATCAATCAGGCTCAGCGCGTCCTCATTCTGGGCTTGAGACCAGGACATTTCAGCTGTCGCTATGAAAAGGCGCATAGTCTCGTCATAATACACATCTGGATGGTGATCATCCCAAGGGTCATCTTGGAGGAGTGCGATACAATGGCGGAAATACCAAAGGGCAGTGGGACGAGCGCCAGACTGAGCAGCCGTCTGCCCGGCTTCCCACAAGATCCGTCGATATTCAATTCTGTGATTCACACGCGATTTGATCCTACGCGATGCAAGTGCAACATGATGAGCGACGGAGTATCGACTGCGCTGGTCATGGTAGTATTTCATCAACGCCTGCGAAAGGATAAAATGCATTTTCTCCACATTACGACTCTCATTCAAAGAGAGTGCAGCTTGTGCAAGCCGGTCATTGCCGAATCTATAGCAAGTGTTAGTCAAGAATATTCGATATTGATAGCAGGAATGTTAAAGTAGACGAACTTGAACTCATCGTCTGTTTTACCAGTGTTAAGCAGGTTTGCCTGGACCAGGTATTGCAAGCCGATCACGATATCACTCTCTGATTGTCTGACCAATGTGACATTTCCGGGTAAGGACAGAGCATGACCTTCTTCGTCATCCCCGTCGTCTGAAGTCACAAATTCACTGGTCAGGATTCTTTGGACCAACGAGAAAGAAAATGGGCTTCCTAGGAGAGCGCCCCAAATCAGGATTGACCGGGCAGCAGCTGGAATCTCCTGAAGGCGTTTGGTGAGGAAGCCTAACCCAAGTCCCTCTCCATATACAGGAGCAACAAATTCATTGAAGATTCGATCAAGATCAAACAACCACTTTGAGTCCTTCCACGAATACCAGATGCAGTTCTTCCGGTAGCATGTTTCAAGCATTAGCCGCACGTAGAATGGATTCCCCTGGCTCTTTTCCTGGACAACAGCCGAAAGGGGAGTGAGCTGTGGGTTAGGCTCTTGATGCATCGTTGCAGCCACAAATGCCATGACGTCGTCTTCTGATATTGGTTGAAGCGCAATGCGTGTGACGTTGGGCATGTCAGTCTCAAACAAGGCCCGAATCTGATCAGACGCGATCTCATCCTTGCGACTGGTAAGAACGAGCGCACAAGGTAGCTTCGCTTTAATGATGTTCAACACCAATTCCAAGGTTTCATCATCGGCATACTCGAGATCATCCAAGCACACAGTAATAAGCTTGAACTGGCACAGTGTTCGCAATATCTCAACGAATATGTCCATCAAGCGCATATTATTTGAAGCAGCATTAGACAAGAAAAAGTCAGTGGATGTTTGGCCTTGGTTCATCCATGGAATGTGGAGTCGCTTTGAGGGGTCTTCGTGAGCCTCCTGTAAAGCAATTGGTTGGGCAACAGTGGTCCTTTGAGAGGGTTTGTACTTGGCACCTGGAGCCATCAGTTGCTCTGGTAGATCTAAGACCTTGTGGAGAGTAGGCCACATGCTCCTTAAAGCTGATCTGATGGTGTTGTGGTAGTCGGTATTAACGTCCTGCTCAGAGAAGATCTGGCGCAAAAGGCTGGCCGTGATTTTTGCAAAAGGTTCAAAGGGCACCCGTTTGGCTCGGTCTAGCCGTGTGATTGCAATATAACCAGCCTTGCGGATAACTGGTTGTACTCTATTCAGGAGATCTGTCTTGCCTATCCCAGCAGCACCACTGATTGCGATTACCTCGCAACGTCCATTGCGGCGAAATTTGACCCCAGTTTTCTGTTTCGCAAGTGAGGTCAAAGAATCCGTTTGGCTGAAAGCCTGGGTGGATTGCTGGCTGTTGGTGTTGGTACTAACGGAAGGATGACTTTCCCTGTCTGTGTTGTTGGAAGACCGAGAATGAGATGGGCTTTTGATATTTTGAGTAACTGTGACAGGTGGCGTTTGACTCAAGGAATCCGGGCCTGTCGAAGTCTGCCGAAGTCTTGGAGTCGGAGAAGTGTCATTGCTCGCTATTGATTCTTGGCCGTTGACATGTGCGATGTGATATTGAGTGCCATTCGAGCTGGTTCGAGGAGGTAGATGGAAGGAGCCAGAGTCACTGGAAATTGAGGCTAGGTCAAAACTATCCACACGCCCTTCTGAAATCGAGGAACTGGAGGCGAGTGCGTGAGCCGTTGCGGGACTCTGCACAAACGCCTTGACAGATGCAGTCGCCTGGCGCTTTTTGAGTTTCTCGACCACGTTGATAATTGTATCATATTCTTTTTGTCGACCAATCATCTGAGAAGGCAGTGTGAAGAAAGATGACACGTCTCGCTGGGCGATCTTGAAATTATTCAAGGCTTCGCTTTCTCCATCCCCCAGCAGTTTCGCTACTTCTGCCAAGTCCCGCTTGACAGAAGAAATTGTGTGGTAGCGGTCGTGCACGACTTTCTGCGTCATTTTCTGGATGACGGCTGAGAGAGCATCGGGGATATCCATTCTTTTCGCGGAGACCGGAGTCAACTTCTTGGTCAGCACATTCTGGACGACTTCCACGGGATCAACCCCTTCAAAGGGCAATTTCCCGACAAGCATAGACCAGAAGAACAGGCCGAGCGCATATATATCTGTACGGCTATCTGGCTCCGTCGGCATCCTACCGGTCTGCTCGGGGGCGATAAATTGCAACTTGTACTTGGCTCCAAGCTCTCGGGAAACGGAGGACCAGCCTTCACTCAGCACGTTATCAAATGATCGTGCACCGTTGCCCATATTGGCGAGTTTGACGGATCCCTGTTCACTGCTGAAATGGAATGCATCACCACGAATTTCCCCGTGGACTGTCCTCATGCCATAGTGCAAAATTTCCAGACAGTCACACGCTCCAATTGCGAAATCGAAAAACGCTGACAGGTCGACCTGCTCGTCAGGCGTTAAGTTTTGATCGCCCTTAGTCCCCGCGACAAAAGACGCGGGGCCAAATGTGACCAAGTCGCGCAATCGGTCGTGGCCGGGAGACTCGAAGACTGCCACCAAGAGGGACCCTCCTTCTATGGGATCGGCAGGAAGTCGTATTAAGTCGATCGGTCGCACGGTATGATTGCAGTCCGGGTCCGATGACTGCACGATCGACCTGAGCATATGAAACTCTCGTTCCAGGCGGATGAAGTTTGTAGAGACTCGAGCCACCACCGGTATCCAGACCTGTTCATGGTCACCTCCTCGAGATAGCGATAGCTCACTGCTAGTCTCGCTCACACTAAACCTCCGGTTTGAACCTCGAGCAGAAGGGCGGGCATCGGTGCGGGGGAAAATCGGGTCAGGCTGGAGGGACCGGATGAGGCAGGGCCTGAGGAGGTCGCGATCGGGGTGGAAAGATCTGATTCAGCGGCATGGCGAAATCCCGAAATGTGCCAGTGATTATAGGTGGAGTGGAAGGGTTCGATGGACTGGTCCCAAGTATAACCAGGCAAATTGCCCAGTCGTTCGAACAATCGGGCAGGTGGAAGCGGCAGGTCGTCGCTAAGTAAGTGGTTCTCTTCCATTTCAACGGAAAATAAACGGATTTCTACAGCGTTTTAGCCATCCAAGCCAAGCCAGGGTCTTGGTTTACCGACTCTGTCAACTAGAGCGGGTTTCACGGCGGGATAGACATGGAGGACCCAACCGGCGCTAGCGAATGGAGGGATCCAGCTCCCTAATTCTATGAAGGGTGAAATTGTCGCAGATTTAGAAAAAGGTAGTCAACAGGCCCTGGCACATGCAAAATCACAGAAAGGGAGGGGGAAGACCTGAGGCAGAAGCGTGCACCTCGTGCAAAACGCATGCGATAGTGGGACGGGAAATCTATTTTGCGGGTCAGGGATCAACGTGGATGTGAATGTGGATCCATGGATTGTGAACTCTACTTATACTTCTAAATCTGAGAAGAACTTATCGCGTCGAATCAAAAGCAGGAAAGAAGTTTATTTCGGCAAATACGATATGTGTGTATAGACATCAATCTGAATGGTTCAAAAGAGTACATAGTAGATTCCATCAGCAGCGATCATAGACCAATATATCTACATGTACATATGTAGTGATACGCTTTAGAACATGAAAATTATTGGGTTGCTTGTAATGATTTAAATGGATAACGAAATCCACAAGCGACAGAAGAACATATTTATTTTTGTAAGCGGTATGGCCTACACCGTCAAACTACTCTTAAGAGTTACAGTAATCATCGGAGTGAACTCAGGAAACAATTTCCAGTTATCTAATCCCTTCGAGGCGCGCGTTCGAACCGCACTATTGCCGTGAACTTTTTTTAATACGTTGTCCTTCTTACCTTATAAACTTTTGATTACTACGCACTTCTCCGAGACAATTAGAAATAAATTGAAGCAAGTCATTTTCTCCCGCAGCTCACCAAACAGCCCCTCCTCAATTCCCTGTACCCAGCTGGATGCTCCTTCTCCTTCTCCACCTAAGCCGTGACAGTTTCACCTGATTTTTTATTGTCGGCTGACGCCAGATGACCTAAATATACATCAGGTCTTAGTCTGATAATCCGGGTTCGTAACAAGTCGGACTCTGCCCCAAACCCACGACCTCGTGGACCAATACGAGTCAGCGTAGTCAGCCTTAATGGCCTTTAAGTATCCTCAAGGCCCATAGGCCGAAAGCAGCCAAGAAATTCTCTTGCAGGCTTCAGCCCATGACGTACCCACAGGAACCCCCCGAAATCGATTTGACTTTCCGATTTGCTTTTCTCTCTGTCGTCGATTAGACCCTCGATAGGTTTTGAGTCGTGCGCCAGTCGGCACGGCTGGAATGGCCTCATATGCCAGATGACGACAATACCGCGCTGGAGAACTCACCTGGTGATGATCTGATAGCCGCAAAAGGAGACGGATCGTCGGGGGGTTAAAAAAAGGGGATCCGTCCCCTCAACTGAAGCCGCCAATTTGACTCCATTCCAAAAAGGGGTAGGAAAGCGGGTTCGCGGTGGTCCCGAGTGCGCCACATCAGTCGATCGCTTCATTTCTATGAGCCACTTTTGGAGGTGGATTTTTTCCGGATTTGGCTTCTAGAAACACTACTAATGCGACCCCCTAGACCTTTCCGTTGTACCATGCGGCGGTTTGGCATTGATCGTCCTTGAGATGCCGCGGCCTTGAGGAGTCTAGAATCTTGGAAAAGGTAATGATGGTGGGTTCTTTACATTCCAGAGCTTAGATGTCTTGGACCATGCATGGACTTTATTGATACGGTAGGGATCTGATACAATTTCAAGTACGGAGTAAATTGAATCCGTTCCCCATTTGTTTGTTTTTCAATTTTTTTTTTTTGCCACCTAATGGGTCATTATCGGTGAGTGACCGGTGAATTGATATATTTAAGAGAATCCGGTTTAGTCTTTGCAAATATTACCATAAACTACCTAGGTAGCTCGGAGGTAATGTTCACTATAGGCAACCACAAGAAACCGGGTGAGGAGGCTGGGAAGCTGGACGAGACAGTTCCCCTTTCCCCCTGTTTGATATACATAAGGGCAAAAACCATGGTCATCTGACAAGAGGAACATGACTAATCCTATCCTGACCTTTCAGGTGTAAAGCGAGTTTAATTCAAGTCTAAATCAATTTGCTCTTACTATTTCCCATTTGAAAGTAGGAAATTCAGACGAATCAAAGACTTGGATTTAGAACGGGGTTTATAAAAGCAAGACAAGTCCAATAGTCCTGGATTTACAAGTCGTCAAGGTTTGCGTTTTCTCTCCCTCTACGTCATACCTAAAGCCCCCCCCGGAGACCATCATTTGATATCCACTTTTTTCCCTCTTTCATCCACTCCTAAGTCGATCCAAGCAATGGGCTTGCGGGTACTGACGCCAGTTTCCAGAGTCACTCTTGTCTGTGGTTCCCTCGATCCCGATCATCCCCCCCTCAAATCACCCACACACTTGTTGTGCCCTTCCGCCCCAAACACCTTTGACCTAGAGGGCCAATACACCATTTGAGGCTTATCCATCTCTTCCCACACCCATTCCCTCCTATTCGTTGAAGGGCGGTTTTTTCAAGAAAAAAATTCTTGCATTCTTTTCCTATTACCCTTTTCGTTTCTTCTTGCAGCGCATTTCGCGTGACGGACTTCGCCTGCCCTTCTCCCCCTCCCCCTCCTCCTCCTCCCCAAGACTACTACGAACGGACCGTTGTGGCCGAGACATGAACGACCCGTCTTGCTCCCGCGTCGTCGTCGCCCAGGAGTATTGATTTGTTTGGTCGAAAAGCATGGGGGACGTGCATAACAGGAGGAGCCCTCCCTTTCCATCGCCAACAGAGACAGTGCCGCCCGTTGCCGTGTCACAACCTCCACTCCTAGCCCCGCGTTCGCCAAAATATTCTCCCCTGGACAATGATCACGCAAGTAGATCGAGAGATGGAATCTTCCTCGGAGCTGATGGCATAGCGAAGTCGACAAACCGCAAACCTCGTTTTTCGCGGGGTGACTCCACCGAACAGGTTGCCGGCTTAACACCGATCACAGAGGACACACCACCTACGGACGACCGGCAGGAGGATCAAGGTCGGAGTTCACAAACCTTGAAGGAGTTACGAAGACAGATGGAGGAGTTACTGGTTTATCAACAAATGCAACAGCAACAAGCCCCAATACAGGTCCCGGCCGGACAGTCAAATGAGCCTCCCAGGAAACGACGGTTATCTACCTCGTCTATGACGGATCTTGCCAACACGATCGCGCACCCTTCATCAGGCTCGCTTGGCTCCGGAGGGACGATCAAAGCTCCCTCGCCAACCCACAATGTCGTCCAAACACCTTGTTACCCATTCCCCAGAGTACAAGATTCGACGAAATCCAGCTCGGAACAAGCAGGACGCGAGGGTCAATTTCGATTAAAACTTCCATCTGAGAAGCTGAAGTCGTCAGAATCTCAATCACCAGAAGAGAAACCCACCCCGGTACAGGCCCCGATGCCAGCATCAAAATTTCTGCCCGCTCAATCAAACGCAATACCCGATGATCCGGACTATGCGACCCCAAATTTATACGATTTGACGCTGAAATTGAATGCGGATGCGGGGCTGGAAGGATGGTGGTCGAACCTCATTGATATCCTGCAAACAAATTATGGAGCCGAGCGGATATCACTTGCAGTTCCGGGTGATGCGACAGATCTGGAGAACGTGCCATGGGGTCAAAAGGCGGTTTTCAATCAACATGCATCAGTAGATGATGGCCAGAAATCATTCATGCATGACTATGTACCGCCAGACACCCCCGCCGTGCAAACTTACAGCAATGCGGCGAACCTATTTGATGAAGTGCCATATTCCTCCGCGACGTCTTCCACTCGACCTCCCTTATCTTCACGCCACTCCTTTGCTGGGTTTGGTCACGGCAAAAAGCAATCTTCGGACCTGGACTCGTCCCAACAGCTATCGAAGTCCAACAGCATCAAGTTGGACAAGAAGCACACTCGTATTCCGGGGTTATCTACTGATACCAAGCCATTCTCGAGCAGCCAACGAACTCCCCAAACTCAAACTGAAGTGAATGATGTTCCAAGCAACTTGATTCCTGTGCGAAATGCAGTGTTCCCTTTGGCAAGACCCCTGGAGGTAGAGTCAGATCCGCTCATTAAACGTACCGGTGTAGTCAAGCTTTTTGGCCGAACAAGCCCCGTCATCCTCACGCGAGAATATTCGGAGAGCTCAGCCCCTGTCTTTAGGAACCTGGCACGGAGCCCTCTAGAGACAGTCCAAGTTACACCAGGGAGTGAAACGCCCAAGACGCACGTAACTGCCCCAGTTGTTTCCTCGCAACAGGAACATGCGACCGGCCTTCTTGCTCTTGGGCCACGGCTATACGATGAATACGAGCAAGCCCCTCAGTCGCCTTGGTCGCAATCCCCTGCGCCTTCACCGGCTCCACGCACATATGCCGATCAGAATCCCTTTTTCAGCAGTCATGCAGTTGACGAGGGTGCATTTGAGAAAGATCCACCTCCTCACGACTACTCCAACACACGCCCATTGGAGGCCATTGGAGTTGACCACTCAAAGACCGTGATTCACATCCCGCTATTACACGGAGGTCGCTCCGATCAACCTTCATCGTCAACTCTGAGATTCCCGGTCGCGGTCATCTCGATGCTGTCCGAAATTAGACCGTACCCGCCCAACCTCCGCAGATCTCTTGCAGACATTATGCCTCACTTAACAACCTCATTTTGTCTGGCCCAGCAGTATAGCCAACTTGAACGTCAATTGACAACGAAGATGGAAACTCCTCGCTATGGCCATTTGCTAGGACTTGGTGGTACCTTTTCCGATGCGAGCAGCGAGCTGGAACTTGTTGCAGGATTAAGTGGCCATGTCAGCTATTCCGTTGGAGACGATGCTTCTGTATCTACCCGAGCCAGTATCGCCAGTCCCAGCGACCGCTCATCGATAAAATTCAGCCCTGCTATTTCAAGCTTCGGAACCCCTGGGTTTGAACTTGGCCACCCGGGAATGGGGTCAGCAGGTCTCTCCCCGGCAATCACCGGGCGAGACCTCGCCACGGACAGCTATTTTACTACTCAACATCCCAAGCACCCCCGCGAGAATGGAGCACAGTATCGGCAACGTCTCCCTAAGTCTAAGATTAAAACCGCCGAATCCACCCCAACCTCCCCTGGACGCGTGACCGCAAACGCCCCCAAGGTCGAAGAAGCCACCCCCCAAGATCCCAGCCCTGCCGTGGTATATCAATCACAAGACATAAGACCACCGTCGCTTGTGTCCCCTACGCAAGCATCCTCGCGCCAGGGATCCACAAACTCATTCTATGCTCAGCTACAACGTGAATTGCCTCGCCCATTCCCTGACACTATTGCACAACTGATGCTCAATTCAATCCCTCTTCATCTCTTCTTGGCCAAGCCCCAGAGTGGTGAAGTGATATGGACCAACACCAAATTCGATGCTTACCGGAGAAGCAAGCCCCAGGAACAAAAATTGCGAGACCCTTGGCAGAACATTCATAGCAGTGAGCGAGATCATGTCTCAAGTGAGTGGGAAAATGCTTTGCGGACAGGCTCTCAATTCACAGAAAGAGTACGTGTGAGACGATTCAACGACGAGAGTGCGTATCGCTGGTTCATATTTCGAGCAAACCCGTTATTGTCCACGACCGGAGAAGTCCTTTATTGGATTGGCTCTTTCCTCGATATCCATGAACAGCATATTTCTGAGCTGAAAGCCACCCAGGAGAGGGAAAAGTTTGCCACTGATGCCAAATACCGGGCGTTCTCGAACTCGATCCCTCAGGTGGTGTTTGAGGCTACTGAAAACAGGGGTCTGATATTTGTAAACGAGCAATGGAACTTGTACACTGGGCAACCGCTCGAGGAGGCTCTTGACCTGGGATTTGCGAAACATGTTCACCCAGACGATTTAGAGAAATGCGGCGGCCTCTCCTCGCCCATGAAGCAAAGCCAAAGTGGGCCAGTCGAATCAAGAAAACCTGCAGATGGAGGAAATGGCTCAATTCCCTCAGAAGTACATGGCGTTTCCTCCGCCTTGGACGAACTTGTGAGGCGTGGTGTTGCCTCTTTGCAAAAAGATGAAAATGGCCGTGTGTTCTACTCTACCGAAATCCGACTTCGTTCCCGAGGAGGAGATTTCCGATGGCATTTGGTTCGCCTGGTTCTCGTTGAGACGAGCAGCTTTGGCAGCGAAGAAGCCTCTTGGTACGGCACTTGTACCGACATCAACGACCGCAAAAACCTTGAGCGTCAACTCAATAAGACAATGGAATCCAAGACGAAGTTCTTTAGCAACATGTCGCATGAGATCAGAACCCCTCTCAACGGAATTCTTGGAACTATTCCATTCATCCTTGATACGCAGCTGGACAGTGACCAAAGGAGAATGCTGGACACAATCCAGAACAGCTCCATCAATCTCCGCGAGCTGGTGGACAATATTCTAGATGTTTCTCGTGTCGAGGCTGGTAAGATGACGTTGGTTAGCTCTTGGTTCCATGTCCGCTCGATGATTGAGGATGTGATTGATACCATCGCTTCTCGAGCCATCGATAAGGGCCTCGAAATCAATTATCTGATGGCTCAAGATGTACCGTCAATGGTAATTGGTGATCGATTCCGTATTCGCCAGGTCCTCATCAATCTTGTCGGCAATGCTGTCAAATTCACCGCACAGGGCGAAATTTTCATCTGCTGTAATCTGAGTCGCGACGAATCGCCAAACACCAAAGGCACCGAGACTTTCTTGAAGTTTGATGTTATGGATACTGGCAAAGGGTTCAGCAAGACTGATGCGGACCGTCTCATGCAAAGATTCAGTCAGTTGGGAGAGAACGGATCGCAGCAAAATGCTGGAAGTGGACTCGGATTGTTCCTGTCGAAGCAACTGGTTGAAATGCATGGCGGTAGCCTCACGCCCAGCAGTATGGAGGGCAAGGGAGCCAAGTTCTCTTTCGATGTCAAGGTTGATGCTCCCTCGCCTCCATCGCCATCCGAGAGACCCAGTCTACTACGCCAAGCCTCGACTGCTTCCAGAAGACCGGTAACGTCCAGAACAACCTCTTACGATCAATATGCGCTATCTCCGTTGCGAAACTTTGATCTGAAACTACCAGATCCTTCCACTCTTTCTCCGGCACTCGATTCTCCTGCATCGCGGTCTCAATCGCCTACTTTCAGCAACCCTGCAGCGGTCTCTGACGCAAAGCGTTTAACGTCGACCTATTCTGCTCCTCCAACCCCGGATCTTTCGACTGCTCAGTCACCACCATTGGGCTTTCCGAAAATCGACGGGGTGTCAAGCACGGGCCCACAGAAGCAATCAAGTGCAGAGAATTCTGCTGGTTCAATTTATACCCCTCCCGTCCGGTTGACTCCACCACCGGTCAACACCTCTCAGGAGTCGATCAATTCCTCGGCAAAAGAGGCTGCAGTAGTGCAGGAACCCCTCTCGATTTTTATCTTGTGTCCCCTCGACAATACCCGGCGATCTACAAAACAGCACATTGAACAAGTCGTACCGCACGAGATTTCTTTCACGATAACCACCTTGCCCGACGTGGATGAGTGGAAGGACATGATACAATCAGGCTCCAATGCACGGTGTACTCATCTGGTTCTCAATCTACCTGCAACCGATGACATTTTGGAGGTAATTCAACATGTGGCTGAGTCTGATCCTGCTACTGCCCCTGTAGTTGTGATCATTTCAGACTTGTACCAGAAACGCCAGATTAGTACTCGTGTCAAAGAGCTGGCAACCTTAGGGAAGAAAGTCTTCATTGTACCGAAACCTGTGAAGCCTTCTGCGTTCTCGACGATCTTTGACCCCGAGAGCAAGCGCGAGCTGAGTAAGGATCGAAACCAGGATATGGCTCGCGAGATCAACAACAATTTCAAGTCCATGTCCAAGATGGTCAAGGAGCAGCTGGGAAATAAAGGGTATCGCATCTTACTTGTGGAAGATGACGAAATTAATCGCGACGTATGTCCTGGATCCTATAAAGTGAATCACAACGGTGCTAAACATTCATCTAGGTCATGCTTAAATACCTCGACAAGATCAAGCTGATGTCAGAAACTGCGTCCAACGGCCAGGAGGCCATCGATATGGTCTTTTCCAAGGAACCGGGCTACTTCTCTCTCATCATTGTAAGCCTTTTCACCCGTAAATAGGAGGGCTTGACTAATGACTAATGTATCAGTGTGATATTCAAATGCCCATCAAGAACGGATATGACACATGTCGAGAAATCCGTGCTTGGGAGCAAAAGAACCATTACCCCCAGATTCCGATCATGGCTCTGTCAGCCAATGCAATGACAGAACAAATTGAGAACGCTGCACGTGCAGGCTTCAATGACTATGTCACCAAGCCCATCAAGCACAACGAACTGGGCAAAATGATGATGGGACTTCTCAACAGCCACCAACCTCTTCTCCTCCTTCGAGACCGTCTACATCCTGGCAACCCGCAAACTAGTATTCGCCGCTAGTGAAAGGTCACATTGATGCCATTCCGTCCCTTTTAAGTCCTTTCATGAGGACAAACTTATATTTTTTCGAATAATATCCCGACTGCTTGTTTTTCAGCCTTCATTTGCTTCCCGGTACACGATCGAGCGAGTCTACGGTTTTCCTTTTACGGTTCACGGTGCAACTGGTTATTGATTTTTTCACGGAATACGGGAATCGGGGTGCGGGGATTAAACCAAAGGGCATGTTCATATCCCGGCGCATGTGCATTTTTTGTGTGCTCACTACCCTCCCCATCGCATTGCACGTTACGAATCTGCCGAAGATACAAGCATCGCATCTACCTGCATCGGGCATTGCACTGTTACCATCTCCCCAGCATACGGCAATCCACTCTTACCGGACGGCTGAATTTTGTGTATTATTGACTTGTTTCCTTTCGCATCTATGTCCCATCGGTGTGGAGGGGTTGGTTTGCTTTGGCCTTTGGAGACCGAGTACATGGCGTTACTGCCCGAATGGGCTATCTTTTCCTCCCTTTCAGCGATCAGTCATATACTGGTTTCTTTGCTTTTTGATTACCTGTGATACCAGATTACGAGCGCATAACGACAGCTGTGGACTTATCTACCTTCTGGATATGTATTTGTCAATAATAATTCACCTTGGTACCTCTTGATTATGTTCTTATGTCCTGACGTCTGGCGGAATCTGTTTACCAGGAACCCTGTCACCCTTAATTACCCTCAACTAGCACATGAGATAGAAGTATATACATAATTTAATGGTGGAGGTACTTACCTAATTTGTACATATGACAGTTCCAACCTTGCATTCGGATGTTGAAGGCCCATTCATGTGACTTGACTTTGACATGGATAGGGTAGTAAATTGAAGACTTCAACCTTAGGCCTCGGGACGCTTTTCATATCTACCCGATGACCTCAATTCTTTGGGTAGACTTTCCGACCTGTCAAAGAACTAAATCTCCACGCTGATAGGAAGGAATCTAAGTTTCGCACAGTCGCCACGGAATCAAGGGGGCGAAGGTTAATCGTAGAGAACAAAAAGTATACAAGGCGTACTTCATATGAGGACTAAGACTAAGTACCAAGTTCTAAGGTAAAGTTCTGAGTACTGATAAATCAAGAATTTAATCCTCAATGAATCATGCATTCTCAATTCCGCCTCCTGCATGATCGTCCACGCTGCCAAAAGGCCGTCAGTATCCGAGAAACATTTAGTTAGATCATGCCCAACAACCCCGGCTTCTGAAAGAAAAACATAGGAGTCCCCAAAGCAGATCCGTGACAAGGGTTAAGGCGCAAAAAGACAAAAAGATAGAAAGATAATAAGACCAAATGGAGTGGGAAATAAATAAATAGGGAACCTGTCCCAAAGCGGCAAAGTAGGATGAGTTGGCGACATCAACCGTCCAGTCATGGCGCTGCATGTGGCGGTGAAGGAAGCGTATCGTGAAAAAAATTAATCCCCGCTTGACCCCACTCTCCCTGCCTGGTCCAAATACACGGTGATCGGCTCAGTGGGCTTGTGGATTGTCCAGATATTCTGATCAAACGTTAAGGAATTGCAGTCCGAGGCCAATTGGGGTAATATCGCTAGAACATAGAGGGTTCGAAGGGGGGAAAGAAAGCAGAAAACCGACGTGGTCGCATGCTATGGGCTGAGAAACCAGAGGGGAATGAACTAGGATATGTGTATGTGAGTGGAGAAAAGTTCTGTCTGGAATCCCTCAGACCAAGACTCCGGGCTCGTGTGCAACGCATGCAACACTGTTAGTTTTGTCATGTTGACAGGGTGCAGGTATACATTGAGGAACCGGAGGATCAGGGAAGATCGTAATGCTCTTTTCCCAAGGCTTTTCATCGCTAGGTTCTAGATGAACCGCATAGCCCAGTTCGTTGAATGTTTGACCGGAGTAGCGAGGCTCAGCGAGGGGCAGATCAGCCACCGGTGAATGGACGAATAGTTCGGGCTATGACGATGAGAAATAAGGACGAGGCAGACCAAGGGATTTCCCCCATTCCTCATATTGCTGATGTGCCTTGCGCGTCATTGTTGTGCTGCCCGATTCCCGGGCTAGATGAACGGGAGGAGATTGGGCGAATCTTTTGGCGTAGTATCCTTGCGAGAGGCTTTTTTTGAAAAAAGAACAAATCCTTTCCAAGTTTTCAATTATTAACATTCGGGAAAAAGTGGGCAATTAGAATAAAAAAAAAAAATGGAGGAGGGTGGTGACACGGTGTAATTCGATGGCAGGATGTGTGTTCAACGGGGCATATTGGCACTCGTCAGGCTGCAAGGCATGCAGAGAGCACGGCTAGGGTGTAGAGTACATTGTAGACATTGGCATGTATTTTGAGGGTATCGGAGTTTCCAAATGGGTCTGCGGCAGGGCCCTTAGGCTCTGGTTGAATTTTCTTTTTCTGACTGGAGCCTGGGTACATCTATGTCAGCAAGAATTAGGACCAATGATGACGGAGATTGGTTTCTCTTATCAAATTGCGTTACCGACGGCCTGCAGAGATGGTCACTTTCGCATGGCCCGAGACTAGGCAAGTCATCGAACGTGTGCATGGAAAGTGGGGAGATGCTTCTCTTCTTCCCGGCGTCTAGAGCGCTTGTCCCGTGCTCCATTGCTCGCAGTTCCCTGCTCCCTTAGCCATTTGTGGGCTGGTGCAGAGGCTTCTTCCCCGGGAGCAATAGCCGCATCAATGCGGGCAAACGGTGAAGCAGGGTTCAGCCTGTTGAGGCAAAAGCTATCTGCCTTTTAAGTTCCTGTGACTTGAACGGATCACACATCAGTCACACAATCTTTATTTTGGACTTGGCTGATCCCAATGTGACTCTGGCGCAGATAGTTTTTGCGCCTGAATACATGGGGGGCCATAGTCTCGGCGAGTTGGGATCTTTGGGATCTGCCGGTTTTCTCCACGGTTCGTTCGGGCCATGCAGTGATGTCCAACATATGGATCTTTATTTCGTGTGACTTCGCCATGGCCTTGATGCCTGCTTTTGAGTTTTGGGTTGCTGAAATTTTAGATCATGTCGGGCAGTGAGACATGTTTTCTGGATTTGATTTGATTTTCTCACTGCAGAAGAAAATGGGTGTCGGAAGGAAACCCACGGCTGTTGGATGTCGAATGTGCAAGGGAAATCGGTCCCTTTCGAACAGTTGACCATCACGCGGACATAAAGGTCAGTGCTAAGAAACTGACACATTAAATATCCAAACTGGACTAGGAATACCCTAGGTTTGGAACAAAAATGTCGTATGTCATAACGGTTCTGTAGTTCGCATCTCGTTTCGGCCGCATCCATTGAGCGAATCAACCTCGATCCTCGAGTCGACTATCCGCCTCCCAGCCACCGAATTTCGAGAACTAAAAGCATTGAGGGGTAAAAGATAAGAGAAAAAAAAAAAAAAGATCTGAAGAACAAGTGGGGGAAAATTTGAAGGCAAAAAAAGAGGGAAAAAGGGCAGAGAATGAGAGAACCGGGAAGCAGCGCTTTTATACTTCTCTCCTCCACTCCAACCTCATGACCAAAAACCATTTCCTACTCCACTTATAGTCAACTTTTCTTCTTTTTTTTTTTTGAAAATTTCCAATTCCTCCGCTCGGACCCAAGAGAATCACACCATTCGGGGGACTACGTAGGCCTAGGACGATGATCCTGGGAAAAAACCGCCACGGGGGAGCGGAAACCTTGGACCGGAAGAGCGCCCTGGCCCAGACACACTCAATTCCCACTCAGGGCGGGGTCAGGGCGGTCCAAGAGACGAATCGGCGGGCAGATACGGAGAGGAGACACAGCCGAAGCCCGGAGATTGGAAGATACACAGGAGGGGTGCGAGTCCTGGTCTCTTCAATGGTCCAATGGATCCCGTCCGGGACCCTCCTTTCCTTGCCATCCCTCCTCGCCTCGTCACGACGAGGGACCCCCGCCGGAGGGAAGACTGTCCGTCAAAGTCTATAAATTCCCTTGTCTGGTCGGCTAGTCCCAGTCTTCCTCCTTCTTCCTCTTTCATCTCTTCCAGCTGCCCCATCGAAACAGCCCTAAGTGTCTTGATCTCTTTTTATATTGCTGCATCAGACCACATCAAGGAGTATATCATCCTCCCATTCATCATCGTCTGACCATATTGAGACCTTCTCACCATCCAATCCATATTTCTACCATCAGTCATAATGTCTGCCCACCGTCAGTACTACCAGCCCTCGGCAGTTCCCATGAGCATGCCCTCCAAGGCACCAGCTCCAGCTAGCATGTACCCTATCTCCAGGGTTCCAGGCTCGCCAACAGACTACTCTGATGCGAGCACCACTGCCGGTAGCCGCACATCCGGCGGCCTAACATTTAGCTCCGCTGGCGGGGACTACGACTCCAGCTCAGCTTCATACTCCGGCGTGGACGTCGTTGACGTCCTGAGCGACCGCATGCAGAATGCGTTCGACCCAACACCGCTCGACAAGAGTCTGGCAAGCCAAGCGCAAACGTGAGTTCTATCACCTGAAATGAGAATCTCCACAGCCCCACTCCAAACGGCGACCTGCCTTCGCAAACGCGCAAATGAGCGAGACAGCCAAACCGCAACTTTCTGCATCAATATCAAATCAAAATTTGAAGCTAATGAGCCGCACGAAATTTAGTTCCGGCCAGCTGCGCGCAAAGCAACAAGAGCTCCTCGAGCTCCAAGCTATGGCCCAGCGCCGCATGAAAGGCCTGCGTGCAAACTTCAACGAAGGACTCAAGACTGCACGAGAAACCAAGCGGGATCTCGAATGGACCCAGAAGCGCGTCAGGTAAGCATACCTTAGAAAAACCTCCACTTCACTGCAGGGAATGCGCAGGACTTCAAATTCCACCTCGAAACCCCCTGGCATGGAATGGACGTTGTCGAGATTTCCGCCCCGCTCCGCGCGACAGGGGGATGAAATCATGATAGCCTCCGCTCCGCCGGGCCAGATCTTGGCACGTGCGCCAGGAGATCGACGGGATGACGTCCAAATTAGCACTGCATGCCGTTCCTGCAGTGGTCCCTGATTTCCCCGGAGTTCCAGAAGCTGACGAATCGTTTTTCCTGCGAATAGCGCCCTCAAATCTAAGGCCGAGAAGGCCCACCCGGATGAATACCGTCGGGCATCGAAGAAGTACACCTACGACGACTACTGATTCGGTGGCTAGACCCGCTTTAAGGAGCATGTGTTTCTATTGCTTATTCTAACGACTGCTATGATGACTTCGGACAAAATCGGAACTTAGGACTTGGACTTGGATTGGGATGATTTAGTTTGGGACGGATTAATTTGCTTTTTCGGACGGTTGGTTTGTTTTTGAATGTATATAGCTCTTCATTTCCTTGTGTATAGCGTCTCCATAGTACTTACTATCTGAACGGGCGTGATTTTCATCAATCATACGCTGTTTTTACCATTATACCGTACCGTTTAAGGCTTCCTGGCCATTAATGGCCGTATGTGTATAGTCCAAGAGTTATGACCCTGTACTACTCGTCGTGAGCCCTAAAAGCTGCTCTACTGAAGCGAGGGCTGGTTATAGGCTGTATGCTGTGGCTAGGGATCCACTCTGCTGGCTAGAATTTGTAGATGTGATGTCTGATAGGGCTACAATGTTAGGGTTTCAACTCCTTGCATGTGCCATAGGTAATTAACAAAAAGGATCTCGGTTCAAATGTTGAATGTACAGTGCTCGTAGGATCAATTACGAAATTTCTTTTTTTTACCCGGTAATGTGAGAGGACAGAAATGGTTTTGAGTCGCATTGCATAAAAGCTGTCCTACTAGATTAACTATGCTTGAAGATGAACGCCCGATAGTAGGCATGGACAAAGCAACCAATCTTAAAGAATGCCTCGGTCTGTAGTACCTTTGTAAGCACCCTACTACTACAGGAACCAAGTAATCAAAGGCAAAAGCGTGATATACAACAGTCAAGCAAGGGGTAGCATTACACAGCTTTAATAAGCTCTTATCTATATACCATCTAAGCGAATGACTGCTCCTCGATCGCCCGGTTAATGACCCGAACAAACCGGCCAACCTTATCATCATCCTGCTTAGCAGTCTCAATACCTAGGAGAACCTTCTTGATGCCCACACTGACCCGGCCATCATCTGCCAGACCACCCACATTCTCCAAAGCACGATCAATTTCCTTGTCATCAAAGGCACCGGACTGCTTCATAACATAGCGCAGCTCGCTAAATGACTGCACGTTCGGAACCATGATATCCGAGTTGAACGAGTTGTAAACGTCAAGCTGTTTCATCAAAGCACGCTCAGTAGTTGTAGCCAGGACCAACAGACGACGCCCATGCGTAGGCTGCTTTCGGAGGAAGACCATGAGGGCCTGTAGAACGCTATTGCTGAAGCGGGGACCGATGGGCACCCAGTCGATGATGCGCTCGATGTTGTCGATAACAACAATACTAGTGTTGGATTTGTAGGCGCTATCAAAAATTCGGCTAATATGTTGGATCTTGGCTGGCTCACTGAAGCCGACCATGTCTTCCGGACTGATCAGCTTGATAAAGGGGAAACCGGAGTCAATGGCGATACGAGCTGCGAGTGCTGTCTTGCCACTGCCAGGGGGACCGTGAAGCAGGACAGAGAAGAGGGGGGTGGCCTGTGCCTGGCCAACTTGCTTGACGAATAGCTCGCCTTCCCGCATGATTTCATTGATGGTCTCAGAGTAGTGGATGATACCATACTGGATGCGACTAGAAAGTTCTTCCTCTGAAACACCAAAGGCAGGCTTCACTTCGTCAAGAGCGTGGTGGAAGTCGGATTGGTTGACCTTCATGTTGATTACATCGTCATTAATGCTGGCCATGGTGCCAACTTTGACGTGGCGAGAGAAAGCAAACGACGAGGCCGACTTGACCAAACCGGCAATCTCGGCACCGGAAAAGTTCTTGGTCACAGTTGCAAGCTCACGCAAGTCGACGTCGGAATCGAGTACGTCGTTTTTACGCATCTTCTCGGTATGAATTTTGAGAATTTGGCTTCGACCCTGTTCATCAGGGAGTGAGATCTCAATGTGGACCTCCAAACGGCCAGGACGCAGCAAAGCCTCATCAATCATATCCATTCGGTTGGTCATACCGATCAACAGAATGTTGTTAAGCTGGTCAACACCATCCAGCTTAGACAGCAGTTGGTTGACAACACTATCACCAACACCAGTGCCGCCGCCTGCACCACTACCACGCTGCTTGCAAACGGCATCCAGCTCATCAAAAATGATGATGTGAAGGCCACTTTCATCACCCTTATCTTTGTATTCCTTCTCGGCATCCGCGAACATCTTTCGAATGTTCTCCTCGGACTGACCCACATATTTATTCAAGACCTCGGGTCCGTTGATGATCTTCGGTTCTCGAGCATTAAGCATTTTTCCGATCTGCCGCGCGATCAAAGTTTTACCAGTACCCGGGGGTCCGTAAAGCAGAAGACCTTTGACATGCTGAATACCAAGCTTCTCAACCAGACCGGGAGGGAAGATACGAGACGCAAAAGCGCGACGGAAGATGGTGCTGAACTCGGAGTCCAGACCACCAATTCCCATATCCTCAAATTTGAAGCCGGGCTGGATGATCGAATTGGCAGCGGGGCGTCGGTTTGAAGCTTTGACATTGATACCTGTTGCAGAATCTTTGAAGAAGTTGAGCTGAGTATGCCGTGTGATGATTCCTCGAGCTGCAGGGTTTGTCTCAACCTCTCCAGCATTGGAGTCAGATTTCTCCGCAGTCAGGTCGACTCGCTGGACAGTCTTAACCTGCAACAGAAGTGGGATGCTCTTGTGGTCCATCAAGATTCTTTGACCCGGAGCAAACAGTTGGTTTTCAAAATTCTATCGAGGTTAATAATGGGTCATACTGCTGGGGCTTAGAATTAACATACTTTGATGACAGCATTTGCGAGCTCATCCTGATCATATGGTGCCTCCACTCGCTTCTTTACCGAAGCGAAGCTGACTTCAATATCCGCAGATCCCAAGTAAGCCTGGCCGCCTTGACTGAAAGGATCGTACAACTGTACTTTAATCGCATCCCTCAATCCAATGTTGGCCCATGTTCGCTGAGGGTCCGACATGCTCATGTATCCAGGCGGGAAGCCATCCAAGGGACGGGCTGAGAAGACGAAAACGTCATTGATGAGGAGGAGCACATCGCTGCCGTCGCGACTCGGAGGAATGTCCTGGGGCGAAACAGCGACACTGCGCCATGTCAGTATTGGTAATAGGCCAGAAGGAAAACTCGCAATCCACATACAGGTTACCAAAAGTGTAGTTGTCGTTTGGACTCTTGCTGGGGTGGAGCGTCCAAGTAGGACCGCCTGCGGACGGCATGCGCCCAGGCATTTGTTGTGGCGGTCTGCCAGTATTCTGAGTTGGAGGAGGCCCGTGTCCGCTTGATTGAGAAGTTGCGTCAGTCATGGGCACATCGCCGTCAGGGGTATGCCCCGCGGGCATGGGGGGGCCATAATCATACCGTGGAGGCCCTTGATTCGGGTTCGAGTAGCCCTGCGGGGACGGACGAGCCGGCTCCTGTCGAGAAGCGAAGGGGTTAGGAACGGACGGTAGATCTCTCCGATTAAACATTTTGAATCGTGCGAGATCTGGAGATTGGAAAGGTGTAGGTGTTAGTGTGTTGAGGGGAGTTTGGCGGTGACGCCACTGTGTCTTAACAGCAGGCAGCAAGATACGCGACACCTCGGTTCAGCACGGCTCAGCCAGATTTAGTAATATAAGAATAGCTTGGTGATTTACAAGCGCAAGCAATGAAATTCGGAGATAGTGAAGTTGAGGTAGTAAGTTCACGAGCTGGAGGTTCACCCCGACGACCGCAATAGCGTCAGGCGGTGGGGGCCTTATCGATAAGCCAAGTCTAGAGCTCTCACTTCAGAGTTACACTACGCTTCAATCACCATCACGATGCCGCTGTAAGTCGCCTTTTGTTTCCAGTCTATTTATGATCTAAGCTCATATCTCACAGTCATCTTCTCGGCAAAAAGTCATGGAACGTCTACAACACCGAGAATGTTGCCCGCGTCAAGCGCGACGAGGCCCAAGCGAAGGCCCTCGAGGAGGAAGATGAGCGTCGCATGCAAGAGGTCGATGCTGAACGGCGAATCCGAATATTGCGCGGACAAAGACCGTCTAATTCCCCTCCACCGCCACCTGTGCGCTCTTCATCGGATGCTTTTAGTCGACCAGAACGAACATCAGCCGATGGCATTGGAAGGTCTCGCAAAAGAAGGCGCGTTGCTGGGGAGGATGACACAGATAGAGATATCAGATACGCGCGAGAGGATGCAGAGCAAGCAAGTTCTAATCGGGCGCTCGCGCCCCTTCGAAGGAGCAAGAATTCAGATGCCCCGATCTTGGACCGTGACGGTCACATCAACCTTTTCCCTGCAGAGGAGGGCGGCAAAAAGGCGGAGAAAAACAAAGAGGCCGAAGCTGAGGCTCAGAAAGAAAAACGGAGCTATGAAGATCAATATACAATGCGTTTTTCCAATGCGGCAGGGTTCAAACAGTCAGTCGGTCAACAACCATGGTATTCATCCTCCGCACAGGCAGCGGAAGCCCCGGACACAAGGTCGAAAAATGTATGGGGAAATGAGGATCCTATGCGCAAAGAACGCGAGAAAGTCAGGATGGATGCCAATGATCCACTTGCGGCTATGAAGCGCGGTGTTCGGCAGTTGAGAGCGACAGAGCAAGAGCGAAAACGTTGGAATGAAGAGAAACGAAGGGAGCTTGAAGCACTCAAATCAGAGCAGAGAGGTCCAGATCGCTCCAGCTATCATCGCCGGAGACGCTCAAAATCTGTTGATAGCCTCGAGGGATTCAAGCTCGATGCACCAGCTGGCAAAGACCGAGACGAGAAAGAGCACTTCAGTTCACGGCATCATCGTCACCACCGAGAGCGAAGTCGCAATAGACATCGAGACAGTTCGCCTCGACGGTCACATCACTCATCGGGTCGCAGTCATCGTCGACGCGACGAAAGTCATGGAACTCGGCGTTACTAATCACTGGGAATGAAGAGATATCTTCTCGGGGCTTAATGATTATGATTATGATTACAAGTATTAATTTCCATTGGTATTATCTTTACCAAGTATGAAAATGGTTCACCATAAGTCATGGGTATGTAGACCATCCAAGTCTCTTATATGCATAACTACATAATTTTTTTGATTGAACAAAAATAGCAATCTACATGCTACCACCTGCTTCCTCAACGAGCGGGTAAATCAATCAAATAGCACACAATAAAACGCCCAGAACGGATCGCTGCAAATGTTTATTGAAGCGACCACTTCTGAGCACCCTTGGTGTTTTCGCCTCCCTGCCACTCAATGTTGATGTTGAGGCCTCGGGAACCCTCCTGATCCCTCTTCTGGTATCCAATCTTGCCGGAGATGACCTGCCCCTTCTTAAGAGACTTCTGCTTGTGGTTGCCATGGTCGATCAGTGCAATCGTTTGCTGCCAGTGAGTCTCGATACCATCAGGTCCAGTGGTGAATCCGACGAATCCCTTCTTCTGCATATCGGCGGGAACAGCATTCTCGGGGATAGGTGAGTCTCGTGAAGGCATGAAGAAGATATCGAACCAGATCGCCCAGCCATCCAGGTTATCGATGTCTTTGTTCAATGTGACCTGGAAATCCTTCAAGAAGGTCAACTCATCAACGGTGATGGTGTGTAGGGGAAGAGGCAAGAAGATTGCTGAGTCCGCGGCAATTGTCGAAGATGGGATATTGCGAACAAGGGCTTCATCGTAGATCTTCAATAACATGCTAGTCATCTTGAAGCCGTAGACATTCTCCCAGAAGGAGATGTGGGAAGCCAGGAAGTCTGGGTCCTCGTAGGGTGCGATGCGAAGGGTCGCGTGGGAAGGAACCATCAGACCATCAGGAGCGAGGTAGCGGTCCCGAGCGTAAATGACGGAGTCAAACATGCACTCGAAGAGTAGGGCATAACCCATCCATTCGGAGATAATGATATCAACCTTGTCAACCGGCAAAGTGACCTCCTCGATCTTTCCACGGACAAGACTGTAAACTGTTAGCGGAGACCCCATCAAAGTCTCTTGAGACGGATTCATACGTGATAACATCTCCAAACTCGTTGTCAAAGACAATTTCCTTAGCACGGTCGATGATGTTGGAATTGTCAACGGAGATGACCTTCTTCGCACCGGCCTTGGCGCAGAACATGGACAGGATACCAGTTCCACAGCCCACATCCAGAACAACCTTATCCTTGAAAAGGTGCTTGTTTTCGTAAACGAAGTCGCGGTAGGCATCAGTGCGGATGGCATCCTTCAACATGGACTCGTGAATTCCTTGAAAGCAACAGTCAGTAAAGGTCCAATTATGGAAGGTATCTATTTGGCATACCGTTATAAGCGTAAGATGCGAAGTAATCATCATCGACCTCCTGAGCTTTGTTGGAGCTAGAAGCCTTGGGTGCAAGTTTCTCGTCTTCCTTAGACAATTGATCTTCCATTGACTGCTGGACTGCGAGCCTGTACTCAGAGAACTGAGTCTGTAGTCTCTCCAGTTCCTCCTGAAGCTCTAGAACTCGGCGCTCAGCTTCGCTTCCAGTAGCTGCCTCCTCACCCTGTTCTTCGGTGATGTCGTCCAGGCTGTACAGAAGAGCATCGTCCTCCATCACAGGCTTCAAGTAGAGATCATCGTCAAACTGAGACTTAGACTGGACATCGATTGACTTGTTTCCGGCCTTGACTTGGGTTCGAATGTAGTTCACCAGCTTAATGGTATCAATGAAATCCAGACCTATCATGATTGTTTGTTAGTCCGCTATCTCTCCCATATAAGTTGACTCTCCAATTAAAGACATACCGAGATCCTTCTGAATCTTCAACAGATCAAACTGGTGCTTCTCCTTGCACGCCTTCAGCATAGATCGTGCATCGGGGAAAACCTCGGTGGAGAAAAGATCCACGACAGGCTGTGTCTCATCATCAGCCTCGACATCTTCCCATCCCTCCTCGTTGCTAGAGTCCGACTCGTCCGAAATTGAGCGGGAATCAGCGGGGATTTCATCCACTGGCTCTGTACGACTAGACGACGCCATTGTACGTTAGAATTGTGTGACAATTTTAAGCTTAAAGATTGGGGAATGGAGGGGCAGAGATCAAAGATAAAAAAAAATCGTTATCGGGATGTTGCCTGAGGCCAACAAACGGTTGCCCCGCCCTGTTTGTTTATTGCGGAACCACGAGATGTGATGAGTCCGGCGAAAGTGATTCTCGCCCTTTCCTCAATCAAACTACTTCAAATTTCAAGGTCATGGCTTTCTTTTTTAATCGCGGCCGGTCACGGCAACCGGCTGATGTTGCTCGCTCCACCAAGGAACTGCTTCTTAGGGTCCAGGAGACTCCCAACTTGCCCAAGGTTTGGCCCCCGATGCCATCCGCCTATACAATGCTGACGCAGTCCCAAGGCCGAAGAAGAGCTCGCCAAACAACTCAGCCAGATGAAAGTCATAGTTCAAGGGACACAAGGCGAGTCAATTGTTTGCTGATGCTATGGTTTTTCTTGCAATGGGTAACTGACTGTTGCTTTGATTCTAGAGGTCAACACGTCACCGGACCAAGTTCACGCCCTTGTTCAAGCAACGCTCCAAGAAGACCTTCTCTACGACCTATCACGAACAATCCACTTGCTTCCATTTGAAGCGAGGAAAGATACACAGACAATTTTCTCCCATATCCTCCGTTTCCGACCTAGCAACTACGCACCGGACAAAGACCCTCCTGTCATCTCGTACATTGTCCACCACCGACCAGAGATCCTTGTTGAATTATGTCGTGGGTACTCGGAGAGTCAGAGTGCCATGCCCTGTGGTGTGATCTTAAGAGAAGCGCTCAAGTTCGATGTGGTTGCTGCAGTGGTTTTGTATGATCAGTCCAAAGAAGGAGAGCCTGCCGTACGGCTCTCCGATTTGAAGCCCAACTTACCTCAAAAAGGCGATGGAGTGTTTTGGCATTTCTTCAACTGGATCGACAAGAGCAATTTCGAAGTGAGCGCAGATGCGTTTACAACGTTCAGGGTAAGAGGTGCAGTGGAAGCGAGTCGAACAAAATGGATATTAATCATTCATAGGAGATTTTGACCCGCCATAAAAACCTAGTTACCGCATATTTGGCTACCAATTATGACCTTTTCTTTGGTCAGTTCAACGACATTCTCGTCCAGTCTGACTCATATGTGACGAAGCGACAAAGCATCAAGCTCCTGGGCGAAATTCTGTTGGACCGTGCGAATTACAATGTGATGATGGCATATGTGGAGAGTGGGGAGAATCTTAAGCTGTGTATGAAGCTCCTGCGGGACGATCGCAAGATGGTTCAGTATGAGGGGTTCCACGTTTTTAAGGTATGACACCCTTGATCCCTAGGGGGTGTGATGCACTGACAAAGCTTAGGTATTTGTGGCCAACCCGAACAAATCAGTGGCCGTGCAACGGATCTTGATCAACAACCGCGACCGATTACTGCGGTTCCTTCCTAAATTTCTAGAGGATCGCACCGAGGACGATCAATTCACCGATGAGAAGAGTTTCCTTGTGCGACAGATTGAACTATTACCCAAGGAGCCCGTTGAGCGAAGCAGACCTAGAGAGACTCAGGGAGTTAATACCGCTGTGGCTTGAAACTCGATCTAAACAATGGACCACTGGATGGTCATGACCTCTTTCTTCTTTCTCTTGACTGTTTTGCCTTTATTATTTGCATGATCGTTATAACTGTACTTTGAATTGCCCCTTTCCCCCATTGCATTAGCTGGTGGTCTGCTGGATTTACAGCCTCGGCTTACGGGAGTTCCGTGCTTTTGTACATGATTCAATGCTCAAAATTGAAAATTTTTCCTTCCAATATTTGCATTGGAACCTGCATGTTCGATATTAGGACTAAATCCATGTCATTAGCCCCAAAAAGCAAGACATAAAGGATACTCCAATATTTTCCGAAATTTCTCGACAATCAATCTCTGAAAAGTCTCTAAACGTCTAAACCAGTCCAGACTCATTCATGACATGGTTCTGTTCTAATCTAAGCACCACTAGCGTACTCCACTCTCCCCTTGTCGTCGTCTGCGGCCCACTGCTCGCGCGGCCGAAGGTGGGATGAAGGAGGTGCCCCTGTACGTTATAAGAGTTACGAATTCTGATATGAACACATTTTTTCTCTGGATATTTTTTCCATGGAATGAAGAAATCTGAAGTATCTGGAATATCTGAAATATCCCTTAGAACGCCAAGAAGAAAGGTCGACTCCACCCTCTCCGTCTTTTCTCATCAATTTTAATTTCCAGACCCTGACAAGCACATATGAAATCAATCCCTGTGGATATTCTCTTCGCTCTCTAATTCCTTCGTTGTCATCTGTGCGAGTCATGCCGGGATAATGGTGGAGGTTCTTGCATCGTTATCCCCTGGATCGGAGTCGCGATCGACGCAAGCTGCGCGCTATGAAACAACGGTCGCCGAACGACCAGTCTCCATAAGATCCTTTTCGCAGCCATTCCACAATACACCGAATCACAATGCCCGCTCCCTCAGCGCTAGCCATGCTCCGCAAGGCTCCCACCGTCCCTCCTCCGCGCGCGCATCCCTCCAAAACCCAAACCAGCTGTCGCCAGCATTAGAAGGCCCTACAAGAAGATCAATGGACGAGCGTCTTGGTAGGGCGCCCTCGCTGCGCAGTGTCCCAAGCATCGTCATTAATGATAACTCTCGCCCTGTTTCGCGACCAGGATCTCGTCCGGGGTCAAGATGGTCGGAGCGCAAGTGGGGTGGGTTGAGGAAACGATCGAGTGACTTGGAGGAGAAGATGAACACGGAGGAATTGCCGCCGGTGCCCCAGATTGACTCTGCGTTCAATGGGATCAGCTTGGATATACCCACGTCATCTCTGGAAGGATTGGGACAGACAATGAAGTTCTCCAACCGCGGCAGCCTGATCAGGGACCGTTCAAAGCGGCCGATTTTGAAACCACGAGATCAACAACCGGAGCTAATCTCAGAGCTTGAGAATTGTGAACCGCAGTCGGATACAGCGTCTTTTCAGCAATCCATACCAACGGATTCGGAGCCACCAAGTAAAGCGCCGAGTATAATCCGTCCCTCGACGGGGTACGATGGTGCGAATGGCGATATACCGGAGGCGACACCACGGCCGTTCAGACAAGAAGGACATCTTCGTCCAAGGCAGACGAGCCTCCAATCCAGGGCCATTTCCGCGGATGAGGATATGCTATCCCGACGAGTGCGACTCATGTACGAGAAGGGCGATGACAGCGTGACCGATAAGGACGTCGCAAAGGCAATGGCAGAGGAAAATGGCGTTCTCTGGGAGGAAACAACACCGGATCTCGAGACGGCCTCGACACCTTCAAATCTCGAGAACCCGCCAACTTCGACCGCCAGGGCTTCTGGCGAAGTAGAGCGCAAGCGAATGAAGAGAGAGACCCAAGAATTGGCAGGTGGCATTGAGTATTGGCAAAATATTGGCGCCGGACAAGTGGATAGATATGGATTTATTCATGCTCAAGAGGACGACGAGCCCCATCCTATCCAGCGAGTCACCACCAGTCTTTTGCTTGCCTCTGAGACACCTCGTCGCAAACTCTCCATTCGTCCCCCGACTGCTCGAGCCAGTACTCGTTCATTCAGTGGGCGGTCTCCAACTCGCAACTTGTCCCAAAGCTCTGCCAACGCGCGTCCAATGTCATCTGCAAGTACCGCCAGCGTGCCGGTTCGGCGATCGACATCCCGCTTACGCTCCGCGACTAATCGCCTCCCTCACAACAGGGATCGGAGGTTCACAGACGAGGCGGCTTATATGCTCACTCTCCCCGCCGATGACCCCGGTGAAGGGAAAGACACACCAGCTGCACGTGCGATGCGGAAGAAGGAGTGGCAGCGCGAAGACAAGTGGACAAAGATGGCCAAACAGACCAAAAAGAGTCGTGACGGCGGTGGAATGAAATTTGAGTTCGATACACATAGCCCGAAACTCATTGAGCGGACTTGGAAGGGGATTCCGGATCGATGGCGGGCAGCTGCCTGGTCTTCATTCCTTGAGGCCAGTGCCAGACGACATAAAAATAGCCCCTCTGAAGAGGAGCTTGTGAAAGCTTTCCATGAAAGTCAATACGTCTCCTCTCCTGATGATGTGCAGATTGACATTGACGTGCCGCGGACAATCACTGCCCACATCATGTTCCGTCGGAGATATCGCGGTGGACAACGACTGTTATTCCGTGTTCTTCATGCCATGTCATTATATTACCCTGATACTGGTTATGTTCAAGGAATGGCAGCTATTGCGGCTACACTATTGGCATACTACGACGAGGAGCATGCGTTTGTGATGCTGGCTCGCCTTTGGCATCTGCGCGGTTTAGAAGAATTATATAAGTCTGGCTTCGCGGGACTAATGGAGGCTTTGGACGACTTTGAACGCGAATGGCTAGCTGGTGGTGAAGTAGCCACACAACTAGTAAGATATACCGAATCTTACCTTGAAACAATATACTGACGTATCCCAGAACGAAGTCGGAGTCCCGCCAACAGCCTACGGCACCCGGTGGTACCTAACGCTCTTTAATTATTCTATTCCATTCCCCGCCCAACTTCGAGTCTGGGATGTTTTTATGCTGCTTGGAGACGCTGAAGAACCCGTTCCTCCGCGACCAGCCACGTCATCTGGAAAAGGATCAAAGGCACCACCACCACGCCTTGGAACCTTTGGACAAGGTCTCGATGTGCTCCATGCTACATCCGCAGCCTTGATCGACGGAATGCGCGATATCATTTTGGAATCCGATTTTGAAAACACGATGAAGGTTCTTACCAGCTGGGTCCCCATCAAAGACATCGAATTGTTTATGCGTGTCGCCAAGGCCGAATATAAGGTCCACCGACGCAAGAAAACCCATTAATTCACTGGGTTTTTCATTTTTTGTCTCCAGTACCCACGCCCCCTAATCACTGTCTTGACAGCTACCTTTATACCCTAATGGTCGGGTCACAATCCCGAGTCCCTGTTGATGTCTAATACCATTATACCCAACACCTTTTGTCTTGCCACGATATGGATCATTGGACTGATCAGTGGAGTACCCTAATATTCCCATACACATTATTATCCCTTGCACCTGATCAATGTCTAAACTCACGCTCTCTAGTTGTTCTCCTTTTCTCCCTGTCCAGTCCTTTTTTTCTTACGACGTCCACTGCTATTGGCTCTCTAGACGATACCTATTCTTATGCTCCCTACATTCTCCTTGAACTTCTTCTTTTGTGACCTCGTCAAACCTTGTCTACTTTCTTGTAATCATAATTGGCTGACTTGTTTATGGCGGTCGTTGGCTACTGGAACGCGTCTACTACGGGAAAGAATGCCACATTTTTATAGTTATTTCTTGCTTTGAACTCTGCTGCCGTCGAGCCCTTGACCTGACACCCAGGTCATGTGACAGATCCTTTGGATAGTCGAGATCCCCTTGGGACCTCTGACCCCTGGACGGCAGATCAGCTGTCGACAAAATCTAGTAAATCGAAAAGTAAAATCCTCTACCCTCGACGAACATGTTATGTAAATACCATGATATTCGGACCAATTCATTCTCCTCTTTGTTAAATGCTATACATAGAAGTATACAAGCCCCCCAAAAGGATCAATCAGACCTCAAGTATTCTCCAATGTGCTCGTACAAAGCGCCGCAACTATTCACATTTTCATAGTTCGTATCAGATCTCTATAATGGTGCAAAAGTACAGAGCGGCAATGTCGGCTTTTTCGATAAATCCATACATGTTCGTGTAGCCCTTCTTCGCATATTCCAGCCACGTATCTGCAATGGCTCCAGCGGTACCTGCTGCATGCTTCGCCAAGGCAACCCTAGTGGAGCCAACATCGAAAGCAAACTTGACACATTTACCGCTTGAACGCTTTTGATAGGAAGCAGTGGAGTTGCCACCTCTAGAGATTGGAACTTGTCGCTGCCCAGTGCCATTTTCGAATCCCCGTATCGAATAATCCCCAGCAGCCTGATCACCTTTCCTCAAATCCTTTAAGAGGTATCGATACTTCAAGGCTGGTTTATCTTTTTTTTCCTGCCTTGGTCCCGACGCTTGAGAGAGTGATATTCGCAAAGGGTCATTCACAACAGCGTCATATTCATAGCTATTGCTTCAAGGGCATCCTCAAAGAAGATTTTCCCATTATCAGTAGGAAGCGACCGAGTGCTTCACTTACCACCACTTGGGTTGACAGGTTGTAAATTGCCTAACAAAGTTTGACAGCCTCTTTGCACTCACATATGAAAGCAAAATTTGTTATATTTTATTTGCGTAAGAAAAGTAGACTGCGGTATACCCGAATACCCTGAGAAACAATACCAAGGAGCCAAAAGAACTCGGTAATATAAGAGCGAATTTCACGACATATTTCTTCTTCACAAAATTGACGGCAGGTAGGTATAAAAGAAAAAAAAATTATAAGAGTGATAAAGATAGCCCTGGCAAAGGCTTAGTATTGTAAGGCAAATCGGTAAATTGAATTACATACATTTTGCTATCTTTGAGGAGCATCTCAGTTCTGGGAGGACTATCGCAATCATTCATCTCTGATTGGATGTTAGCCAATTCTGCAGGTATTTTGGCAATAGAAGATGGTTGATTTGAGTCCATGCTGGGCGATCAAAAGCTGCTCAGTAGACTTGAGAAAAATATGCAGTATAGTAGGAAGAAAACTTGATGAAACAGGAACCGGAATTGATTTGGAAGAGCCAAGAAATATCGTCGAGAAGAGTCCAAATGTCCATCCGTAAGGTAGGATAAGTGGAAAGGGGAGAGGATTATTTTGAGAGGGCAAAAGCTCGCTCTATCTATACGACATACTCTGAAACAGACCTGACTTTACGCCGGTCCCACGTTTTGACTAGCTCATCGACTAGTCAGAAATAGGTTACCGCCGGGACTCGATATATTTTTATGTGCCAGTATTCTATTCTGAGCAGATTCCTGCCCCTATCGGTGGCTTGACCTACACCTTGTCTATGTACCTGTGTGTAGGCTGACCGTAGACGGTCTGATACGTCAACTCCTAGTATAACTGTTACCGGACCAGCACACTGGCAAGCAGACTAGGTAGCTTCAGTACGCAGAGGGGCATGCACTCCTTGGTTCCAGCCGATTTAGCAGAACTAAAGAACTATCGGGGACCAAAATACAGAGTATGCCCCACCCGGAAAGCTCGGATCCGAACAGGCCAGCGATTTAGCGCCTGCTAGTTTTTTACCATGTATCCTATCTGGATAGACTCGGCGGGTGGTTCTTGGGTAGAGATATGAGTTGGCGCCTATCAAGCTTGACGAGTTCTCAAGCAAGAGAATCTGGAGGTTGGATCTCGGTTTATCTCGGATTACAAAATCCAGTTGTTATTTTTGGGCTCTGTTCACATGTTTTAGTTCAGGTACCAAATCTTTGGCTAATCAAGTTGCGTGGCGTTCTTGGCAGAAGCTTGACCTAATCTGGCTTGCTTATGTAGGAACTACGGAGTGACACACGAACTGATCCATACGGTATTAGTGAGACTTGAGACCCACTCGAGATGTTCAAATTCAGCCCGATGCACATGTGGCAGATGCATCATGAAAATATATCTTCCATCTTTTTTTTCCTACTCTTTCCCCTCTGTACGTGGCATGATTCTCTGCAATGCAAGGTTGTGTATTTATCTTTGCTTTTCCTTTTCCTGCTACGTAAGATGTAGCTCGTCTTCTTAGGTTAAGATCCACTGTCAATAATCATGCGTTTCATTTCCTCTATATTTATCATGACAAGTCAAAAGGGAACTGGAGTGGAGCCTCGAGTGGGAAACCTGCTACTGATATGCAGCTAGAAAATGTGGAGTTGTATGCTAGCATCCTCCAGTGCTGCGGATAACTACGTAAGCAAACCCGACTTGGAACTTGGAGCCGTAAATTGGGCCCACAAAGAATTCGCTTGCTTAACTCGCTGGATTCCAAATTCATTGTAAATCACGAGTTTCAATCTGGAGTTCGTCTTGTTTGCGAGCCGTTTAGACTTGATGGGCATCGAGTCATGTCTCTACACCAAGAACACCGTCTGCAAAGTACATGGTGAAGGATTCGCAAGGTGCTCAATTGTCGGCAGTCCTGGTCCAGCTATCTGAAGTCGGAAAATGTTTCAGACTAGTTAATCAACTAGTCAAATTTTGGCCTAGAGCGTAAAGCTGCGTCTAAACTGGATAAATTTCATGGATAGAGCGACCTCTTACTCCTGGCCATTCTGTCCTTCCAAATTAATATTTCTTACTCGACATGCTGTCTTGGCTTTTCTACACATGACTCTTGTTCTACTATCTCATACAAAAGTCCTTTGACTTTCCTTCCAATACTGAATTTTTTTTTTCTAATTCACCGTGCAATCTTTGAGCATCCAACATGAACTCAAAACCGCCGTGCTCTGTCTTCGACTCCCCTGCAGAACCAGCCGAAATCCTATCGGAAATGAACAATCGCCCTAGTCTCCCCAATGGTGATGGTAGTCTATTGGTCGATAACGTTATAAAGTATGCGCCTCGAGTGCTCTGTTAACTTTGTCTATAACATAACTAACTCTATCTAGTGCCATGAAAGAGTTTTTTATCTTCATCTCGTTATGTGGGATCTTTTATGATAAACACTTTGAAGCGGATATAGATAGTCAAACTTGCCCAATGTTTATTTACTCTGCGCTCACTGTTGCGGTTTTGCAGGCTACTCAGGTGTATCGAAAGTCAAAGAAAGGAGATATCAAATAGAGAGCGTTGATTTTCAGATACTTGAATATCGAATATCATGTAGAAATATTTCATACTCAAGTGCTACTTGTGATGAACCAAGTCCATTAAATACCTGATTAATGCTTGAGCATAGTGTTGGTCATTTGTGCAAGAGGATCGTTTGTTGCATTATTCATTGCTGTCGTCGATTGCACGTATGCGGAGGCGAGTACCGGCCAAGTGGACAGATCCCCAAAACAGCGGGAGTTGCTCCACGTACCCCCTTGTTACTCTTTTTCACCCTGTCTAGCCCGATCAGGAACATACTTATATATACCCATGGCTTCAAGTTAAATAACTAAATCAAGTTCCCTATAGCCTACCCAGGTAGCTTCAAATGTACCTACCCCAGTATCTACTCTAGTACCTACCCATGTAACCACGATATACTAAATAAGTATATCGAACGTACTCACATACTACTACCTACCGCTTGCCTTACCTACTTATAGAATGAAATGAAACCTTTCACGAATATCGGTATGAAGGAGAGTGAGGCTAGAATTGCGTGTATCTTGGTGGTCACTACGTCGTAATTTGGGTATATATCCGATTCCTAATCGGGGGTCACAAATCAGATACTTTTCTTCCTTCTAGATATCGCTCCCCTCTCACACGCACCTTCCTTTTGAATTTAGCACAACATTTAAAATCACCCAAGGTGTCTTACTTACCACAGTCGTTTTGTCTCGTTTTCACCACTCATCATCTTTAGGACCCCACAATATATCCATCATCCACTACTACCGGTCAAAAATCCATCGTCAACCCATCCTGTTGATGAAACACCGCTGCAGTCATCGGAACAAGAGATACCCAGCAACCAAAACCCCGTTCATACCCGCAGCCACCTTGATGAATCCCCTATCGCTGGTAGCCCCCAAGCGTACGGCCTCGATAAAGAATGGTCAGCTCCCTACCCGTTATCTACGGATATATGGCACATACTATTCGTCACCTTATACCAACCCTGATAACATCGGTCCTCGATATGCGCCAGTTCCCCATCTTGGTACCCCGGCCATCAGGACAACAGGTGATCGAGAGCTAGGGCAAGGACAATAACTACACACCAACGACAGAGCAGAGCAAAGTGGTAGATGTATTGTGACCAACCCAATTTTCTTCTCAATCGGCAATATTAATAAATATACAGCACACAGCCACGCCATACCACCGTAGAGAAATAATTGACACCCGCAAGAAAAAACAGCTGCGGTGCCAATGGCGAGGGTGCGATCACCCTCCGTTCAACGAGAAACGGGAGATCTTGCGACATATTAGCGACCGACGTCTACTAGATGTCAAATTCCTTTGTCGTCACCTTAATTGTACCAAGGGTTACAGGTCCATGGCGCGTTTGTTAAAACATGACGAAGATGATCATTAAGACTTGGAGAACTCCTGTTGCTGATTGCTTATTTGTTGCTAATGTCTTTCGTAGAAAGGTCACCCTCTTACGGTTTGATCAGGGCCGTGGAGGTACCACGCGTACACTTTGTCGACTTGAGGGTCTTAAGCTGCGAAGTAGACCCCGGCGGAGATCTTCGGCTGATGGTAAAGTAGATGACCCTATTCAAGTAAATTGATACTAGAGGCTTTCCGCCGCGCAAGAAGCGCGCGCCTAATTAGATGTTAAACCATACCTCCTACTATATCTCCTAGTTAGTCTCCTACTTGGTATAGGAGATCGCCAATATAGGAGAACGCAGCCCATCCATAGTCATTGGAAGCCGACTCGATCGTTATATGTAGCAGACTTGCCAAGTGGTCATGTACCGGGGCCTGCTATACTAGAACATGATTCTTAGGCACAATAATCCTATCGGGATACGGTATAAGATCCTCGTAGTAAACAGGATTTTCGGTGTAGATAGATTTATCGCAGGCAGCGACGAAGGGCTTAGGGATCTTATACTCCCCGAACGAAGTATGTAGCCCATCAGGTCATCAGGTGAACGGAACACATACATGGGTTAGCAGTCACCCGACTTATGAGTAGAAATACGAGTAGCCAAATAATCCACACCCAGTCCGGCGCGTCAAGTAGACGAGTCCTTTGCACAGAACATCAGGACGCCAGCTCCAGCTATACAGTCTTGTAGACATTAGGTTATCGATTCCCATGAGGGGGTCCATTCACTCCATGCCTTCATTTCCCCTTAGATTCAAGTTCAGTCTCTGCCTGAGACCCGCATTCTCTTGCCGAAGTCTTCCTAACTCATCTTCATATTCTTCCATCGTGTCTTCACTGGCAGACCTCAACTCCTCGATGATCTGGAACACCCGCCAGAGACGCAAAACAACAACAAGAGAACCCAGTTCCTCTTCCATTCCATGGAGTGCAATTTCGATGACAAAGGCGACAACAATCACCAGTGAATCAAAGATGTGGAACCAGTTCGAAAAATAACTAGTTCATATTGTCAGAGTACTCACAGCGTGCCGAGCTTCAGGGAAGATCGAGATGACCGGGTCATAACCCAAAGCAAGGTCCAATGCTGCCAAAACAGACTCACCCTATTCCAAAGCTAAGAACCGCCACTATCAACTCCACCATGAAGAGACATGAAATCACGAGACCGGTGACGCCCAGGGCCTGCTCAGTGACTCCCCATTCTCGCTCAACGCGATGACCATTCTGCTTCAACTCGCAGATATGCAACTGGATGAGAAATTCCGAGAAACCACAGCAGACATCGATGGTGATCAGCAGAAGGACAAGGTAATGGCCCCATCGCGAAGTTAGAAAGTCGCGCGCGGACCTTCTCCACCTCGCAATGAGGGGCTCCTGCTCAGGCAGAGAAAAGGGTCGCCGGCGAATAAATCCGGAGCTGCGCTCACCGAGTAACGGTTGCAGAATAGACTCCATATTTGACTTCGAGACAATATTGTGATTTCGCCTGGATGATAATATTTCTGTGAGTTGTGAAAGGCTTCGTCAGGAGACACTCTCGGACCACCCAGCTTAGTCAGGTTCTGGCGATAACTAACTAGAGCCCGGAATTAGACAGAGTTCCCTAAACAGTTCTTTCCTACCTTAGTCTTACTTAGTGGAAGCACCTGAAGTTGCTCACGGCGCTGTTTGCTTCAGTGGGGATTTCCCTGTCAGCCAAGCTGAGTAATCCGATACCGCTCCTGGGGTCTCCTCCAAGTCTCAGACTTCGAAACTTCCTCGCGCTTCGCTTCCCTGGCCGCCATTCATTTCAATTTACAATAAGTACGCTCACTTCGGAAATTTCGACACTTCCCGAATAGATGTGCGGAGCGAAAGAAACGATACGCCCGATAAGAAGCTGCAGACACAGTATCCTTTCAGAATGGCCATGGAACATGACCTTCCACCACCATATGAGGCTCATGATGCATTTCTAAATTCAGCAATATGGGACCGCAGATTAAATCAGATTCAACCCGACATTTTCAACATCTCCTGCCCTATCTGGGGACAGATAGATCGATCCGTTATTGATTCCCACCTGGTTACCCCGGTTCTCGTCACCAAACGATATAGATGAAGATGCCATAGCCAATATGCCATGTGGTACATATAGATGGAAGGTCTCAACTTAGGCGGAGAGTCCATTCTCAGGCTCCCTATCGGTCACTTCGGGCGTTAAAACATGTCAGTTGCTCTTATCTATCTTTAGAACAAGGCCTAGACGACTTCACGTATTTAGCCCAAGTGTGGCCTCGGACGTATTGTCTTATCAGATACCGTTCAGGCGCGCTGGGTGATCTTTAGTCTAGCTCAATTCAGCCTAAGCGGGTTCAGTATCGTCTTAGCGGTGGGGCTTGAAATAGTTTCTCTGTGTAAACATGGAAGTCAATTGCTGTAGAATGAAACATGGTTGAGTGCGACAAAGGTTGAAAGAGAAAAAGAAGAAGAATAGAAAGGTCTTGTTAAAATAGCTGCAAGTGGAGAGATTCTTTTTTATACGTAGATAAAAGCTCGAGGGGAGGATTGTTGGTGGAAAGGTGCGGGCCTAGGGCATGGCAGGAGGCGGCCGCGACTGCTATGTATATCTTTAGCTCTTAATAGGTATATCGCGTAAATTATTGCTGTTCGGTGCGAAACGTTAAATTAGTCCTATCCAGTATTCTACTTCTTTCGTACCGGATTAGTCAAATGGTCAAAAGGCTCTCCAAATTCATAAATAGCGGAATAGAAAAGAAAGAGAAAAAAGTGAAGTGGAAGGAGAAGGTGAGAAGAAAAGTCTGGTGGAGGTTTCGAACGTACGTCCGAAAAGTCTGCGGTGTACCCAAGTAATAGAGGGGTAGACTATAACTGTGCCAAGTTAACTGTATCTTTTCAAGGATGACGGTTTCTCACCCTTGCTGTTTGTTCTTACCATGGTGATTTAATATCTTTTGTATCTTGTCCATTCGTATGTCTGTTCTTTGCTGATAGAAATGCCGGAGACTGCTGCCGAGATAGGACTCGCACTTTGACATCGTGCAATGTCACCTTCTGGATGTGGTGCATAGTCATTTGAAAGAACTGACTACTTTTTGTGTGTTTGGCCTCCAAATGTAATTTGTGAGCTTATTATTGCGCATGTGGTCAAATAAGCTAAGCATGCTGTATACAATGTGTAATCTCCTGTTGCAGCTTTCTGCCCGTGTCACCTGAACGTGCAAGATAAGATATGTATTCTTTTTGGGAGCATCACAAGGCTGAATTATTTACAGCACGCCATTCAATGCTGTTCATTTAGCACGCATCAAGAGTATCTCCATGAATGAAGGAAGCATTTGTCGACAAGAATACCAATTTGGCTTATCCCTGAAGCAGATCAGGTCCACATTTATGTGGTTGGTCGATTCCGGTACACATCCTCAGGACTGGAGAATTCCTCCATTTTGGTCAGCAGATAGAACACCTACCAACCAAGGAGATGATATTGCTGAGAATATTGACACAGTTGCAGAAAGTGATCGGATTACCAAAAGCTTGAGGTGACAAGACGAAGGGGTGGATACAATATGGTTGGACGTCGGAAGAGCTTATTTCAGGGATTTCGGACAAGATTATAGATCGTGGCACACATATCCGTAAGGACATACACCACCCAGGTGACACACGAAGATTTCGGCTAGAAGATCGTAAGAATCATATATTAGACGCAGATGCGACGCTCAGTACATACATTAGATCCATCATTTATCAAGAACATACATGTATACATCAAGTCAGACGTGCAGGGTATTAAATTGGAGAAAAGCACACAAGCCCACTAGAACAAAGCAGCAGCGGCAGCAGCAAAAGCCATAGCCAAAGGCGCAGCAGTAATCATAGGCTGTGCAGCATCTGAGTGAACAGTCACAGCCGCAGTAGCAGTAGCACCAGCACTGAAAGCCTGCAGACCAGCAGTAACGGTAAGGGGAGCATAGCTAACTGAATCCGCGTCAATAGTCGTGCTAGGTACATGGGTGCTATAAGCAGTAGAGACACCATTATACGAGACATCGAAGGAGATGCTCTGATCGCAAGAGACAGATTGCGAGGTGTGGGTGAATGAGCACGCAACGGTGGCGAGAACATCGGCAACACCGCCGTCAGTGTTGATCTTCTCGAAGGCCGAGAAGCTATATGTCTCCGGACCCTGGATGAGTCTCCAGGGAGTCTGGCTGTCGATTGCGCAGAGCGACTTGGCTACGCCGCTTTGGCAGCGGACGTCGTATGTTGTAGCGGTGCGGTCGATGGCGTAGACTGAAGCTGCGATGCTGGTGTACTTGGAGATGTCGACATCGGCGGTGATTGAGGCGGCGAAGTAGCTGACGACGGTTGAGCTAGCATCGGCGGCGGCAAAGGCCGCGAGAGTAGAAGCGATGAGCCAAGAGGCGCGCATGGTGTAGGAAATCTTTTTTTTTGGTAAGGGTATTGATTATTGAGTATGGAGATGAAGGGTTGATAGTGAACCGGGAGACAAATATTAAACCCAGCAGAATAGGGAGCCCATTCTATTTAAACCCTTTTTTTCAAGCCTCAAAGTCTTTTAGGCGGCGCTGTGACTAGTCAACCAGTCAGCCTCGTGTGGAAATTATCGTGCAGACAATCGGACCCTGGCCGCGCCCAAGTAACCTAATTTGGTCACTTCCTCGCTAGCCAAGGCGCTAAGAAACGCATTATGGACTGATTGGTAGATATCATCAGGCTAGTTGGTCTTAGTGTGTACAGCCCCTGGAACTACAATGTATGAAAATCCACTAAAATGGAGGTTCGGCTCGTCTCGTAACATTCGGGCAAGATCCGCGCAGTTCCCTGGTAAATTTAGAAAAGACAAACTCCATAACATCGTGCTCGGACAACTTTTCATAACCTAATGGTGCATGCCCAGATTTCCATGCGCCCAGGTAAGTCGGAAGCGAGACTAGTTATAGGATACAATTGGCTGGTTGGGGGTGCCGGTGCTCGGCTGAGATTTTCTTCCCATGCCAAGATTTAGGGCGGATTAGTGCCCCGCATCGACTCGGAAACGTGTATGTCGGCAGGACCCTGAAATGTAGGCTCAGCATCTCGTATAAGGTGATGATTCTGAGACATTTTGCGGGGGAGAATCATATCATTGGAGATAATCACGAGTAAACGCACGGAATGAGTCAGACGCCACTTGGCTGCCAATTTGCTCGGCACGGCAACCTGGGATATAATCGATGTAACGAAGTGGGCTGGGAAAGAATGTTACACCGGGCGAGAAATGGTTGAGTTCGGGGGTTCGGGATGTTAGACACATGTGCAGGAGATGAGGCTCTGACTCGGCTAAACCTTGGGCTATGTACCCGCCCAGGTACCAATACTACGTTCTAAAGTCTGGTACTAATCTAGATTGACTCCCGGAAATCACGATCAAATACCCCTATTCATCCACAATATATTAGAACCCCGTCGGAAGACCGTTCACCTTATGTTGACTTAAGTTAGTCCACATTTGATGACTCACTGATGACTCAGCTCCAAGATAATGTAAACAATCTTATCTGCCTGAAGCCCCCCGAGACAAGCCTTTGCTTATCCACAGCACTTAAATATTGTTTCAACCTGGTTGAGCCCTCCAGAGTCCACATGTATCCCTCTCCACTAGAACCCTATCGCTCTGCGCGTCTCATCTACCGCGCACCAGAAGAAAATGCAACAGACGATGCATTCTTCCATGCACTCTACTCCGACCCCTCAATCGGGTTCATGGCCTCACCCGCCCTGTTACATCCACTCAGTACCAAGGTGAAGAAGGAGATGCGAGCGGATGCCGAAACTAAAATGTTCATGGGAGTCATGATCTGCATCATCCCAGATGACCCCGCTCAGGAGCCCGAGACAATCGGTATGATCTGGTTGAAGAAGCAACCGATTCATCTCATGCATAATCGCACATACGAGTTCGGGATTGCAATTGCGGACCAGTATCAGGATAAAGGGTATGGGTCTGAGGCGATATCTTGGATGTTGGATTGGTCGTTTTTGACGGCGGGCCTACATCGCGTGGAGCTGACGGTCTATGAGTGGAATGAGAGGGCACAGAGGACGTATGAAAAACTTGGCTTTGTTAAGGAGGGACGTAGAAGGGAGTGTTTGTGGAGGGATGGGAGGTGGTGGGATTGTATTCATATGGGTATTTTGGCGCATGAGTGGAAGGCAAAGAAGGAGAATCTTGCCTAGTCCGCTGACTAAGAATTTGAAGATATTCGGTTTGAATTGATTTAATCTCCATATGAGGTTTGGCCCACTTACTCTAGAGCTTTTAAGGCGAATCATTGAATATAGATCTGTTTCCTCTTCCAGTTAGTGGATTCCTCGATAAGGTTCCCCTTGACCTTCTTATTGATCTGAAAAGTTTGGTTCCATCTTTCGATCTATAAGTCTTGGGTGATGCAAGAGTTGAGCTGAGATGAGTGTTGGGACATATCCTCAATGCCTGCATCTCATTGGATGATTGACTATCTGACCCCTGCGCTCAATTCCCTATTCTTGGACTAACCAGCATGAGCTAGACATGGATGTGCTTGTTGCCGATGAATCTCTCAATCAGCCTTCCCCAATCAGCCTACAATCTTGGAATCCCTGCAAACCCCGAGATCATGTTGGGGCGGAGAGATCGGCACGAGTAAGTGGACCAGGCGCTTGCGCGGAATTGCCGAATGAATCCACTCATTTACGCCGCTGGAGATTGTCATTGGCGCTAGATCTTTGATTTGCCCGCGGACAGGCGATTCCCGTGAGGCTACCGATGATGTAGATTCACCTCATTTGTGCACCGTGCGTGGTCCACTGCCCCATCTGTCGTCTTCTTTGATCTATCCTGGGCTAATGTAGGCCCCCATGTTATTTCATTTCATCTCTTTTCTGTTGGTCCTTTCTTTCTTTCTTTCCGTTCTCCGTGATATCGAGTTTTTATCGCCTTGAGGATCTGTCTTGCCCTTGAAATCAATTCGCAACCAAATTGCTTCGCCTTCTATTACGTATAGCCAGGGCCCCTGGGGCCTGGCTGAGTCATCTGAACTGCGTGGATTGATTGGTGAGTGAAATGATCTTGTATGAAGCTCTGCCATGCCTTCCTATTCGGGAGTGCCTTCGCCCTGTCTCTTTCCTTCTCTACAATTTAGCGTCTTTCACTTTTGCTTTCGAACACTTGACCATGCTTTACTACGTTATTTGAAAATATGTCGCTTACTCTCAATTCGCAGATCGACGCGATACACTCCAATGATTGCTCGATCGTGCTGAGTTCGAACCCTACCCCGCGGTCTTCGTCGGGGTCTGACTCCCCCTCTGAACCTGCTTCTGTTCCCATGGAGTCTTCCAGAGAACTTCCTCCACCGTCTACCTTGAATCGCTTGCCGCCAGTAATGCCCAGTTCGTTGCCCCCGCCGCCTGGGCAATGGCAGGGTCCTGAGCCCATGCAGCAATGGTTGCGGGCCAAAGCTGAGGAGGATCGTCGTGCCCAGGAGGAAGAGAAGACTCGACAGGAGACGTTGAAATTGGAGCAGCGCAGGGTTGAACAGATGATTCTGTTAGAGTCGTTGCGTGCAGGTGTACCCCCTCATATGATTCCATTGATCTTCGCGGGCATAGGTGGTGGAAGTTCCCACTGGACCGAGACAGTTCACCAGTACACGTCACACGCACAAGCAGCTCGTGGTTTCTCAGCTCCTACACGGTCTCAGCAATCATTCCCCGCCTCAGCATCCACTTCTCAGCATCCATCGATGGTTCTATCACAGTCAACTCCCGCGGAGTCCCCACGGGATATTCCTAATCTTCTGATCCCTAATATAAACCCTCATTCCTCAGCTGTGAGTGGTCTGTCAATAGGCGATAGTACTGCTATATCTTCGGGCATGGCTACCCCAGTTCCAGCTCCCTTGCCTGCTCAACCACTCCCTTTCGATACGACGCCTCGAATCCCGCCCAATCTTGCCGGTGGACATATCGCTCCACACCCATCTCAAAGCGTTCCCACTTTCTTCAGGCCACCTCAACATTCACCTATTTCTTTCCACCATTGGGTCCCTCCAGGGTCACTGACCCAGTCTCAAGCATCCAGCAAAGGTCAGGGAACAGAGCCAAGCACGCCATCCGATTCAGCATTTCAACCTCGGCTTGATTATGCTCAAAGTTCACCAGGTCGCAAGAGAAAATCACAGACAGCCCACACTCAGCTCGCTGCCCCATCTACTCGTATAGCCGAATCAGTTTCACAAGGTACTCGATCTGGCAAACATATCTCAGTTGGTGAGAAGCAAGAGAGTGGACTTCCTAACGCCACTGATGACCCTAGCCATCGTCGCGCTTCGGAACAAATCAGCCCCAGGACTCGCAGAGGAGCCACCTGGAATTTTGATCGACAACCCTCTCGCGAAAGAGAATCCCAGTCGAATCCATCCCAACAGGTTGAAATGTTGGATGCGGAGACTCTGTCGGAGCCCTCTCAAGACGCAAACACCGGCAGCAAGTCAGACGGAACGACTAAAAGCCTACCCTAGCCCATCCCTGTCATTTCTTACCATTGGCTATAGATTCTCACTTGTCTTCATAAGATACCCCTTGTCACGGACTAAGTATTTCTGCATCTGGGCCTTCTGTCCAAGGGCAACCGTTCCATGTAAAAAAGGAGGCAATTGTTATCATTTTGCTTCAGCTCTTTCTGCTTAGTGATTAAACCTCGGCACCACACGCAGGACAACATTGATCTATGTATTCTTTATCCACTAATCTCAAAGTCCTGGTGTCGCTGCAAAATAGAAGATATTCATTGATCCAAACTACATTTGCAAAATCCGGATCCCATCTCAATTTCATATCTATTTCTGATGTCTTCACCCCAGCTGTACGAGGAGTAGGTATGCAGTGCCTACACTGAGGAGTAATCAAAGACCTGCAATAAACTTCTTCACTGCTAGAAATATATACACTCGTGACAATTCATGCAACCAACCAATCCAGCACACATCGTTAACATGAAAAGTGAAAAGGGTATCGCCTTGCCACCATCACGAATAACAGCCCGAGATCAAGATAAAGACGCCGATCCACAAATGTGCATCGTTCAGAATAGAATAATGGAGAGTCGTACCGACTATACATCGCCACGATCAAATCGACTTAATACCTCAGGCGGTACGGTAGGAATATACTTCCTCGCTCGTTCACGATTCGTTCCTCCCAACCCGGCACCATAACTAATCAACATATCCGTACTCGTCGGCAAAGAAAATGGAAGAAAGAGTGTAGGATCCAGAATCACACTATTTGAATTAGGGCGGTCGTCATTTCGAGCAGCCGATACCATGCTTGAGGGGCGCGATGAAGTCGGGGATGAGGGGGTCGGGTTTGGTGTTGATATTTGTTGGTCTGAGTCTTTTGTTGGTGTTTTGGGTCGATCTGTGTCTGGGGAGATATTTGCTTTTGCTTTCTCTTTCTCCTTTTCGGATTGGATTTTTTGTTGTTCTCTGAATAGGATTTCCGGATCACGTTGCATGTCCAGAAGGAACTTCATGGCTTGTTTCGTTAGGCCTTTTTCGCCTACTTCGGGCCGATATGATTTGACGGCGTGGAGGAGCTGGATTGGGAAGAGCTGTTGGAGTTGGAGGAGGGTTGACACTAGGGATTCGTGATCGTCTCCAAGAGAGGAGAAGCATTGAAGCCATTGTAGAAGTTGGATGACGGGCGCTAGATGTCTGCGAGCGGCGTCGACGGTGGTCTCTCCGGTGCATGTCATGGATCCGTTTTCGTAATGTTCGGGTTGTCGATTGTTGGTACGTGCCCAGTCTTCCAGGGCGGAAACGTTCATGCGGATTTGCATTGCTTTTGTCCGGGCTAGGTAGCGTCGCGTACTCATGATTCTGTTGAAGATCTCGGCACCAAGCCAGTAGAGGAGTTGAGAGATGATCTGGGTGGTGATCACAGAGTGGACATCGTAGAGATCCAGCACGAAGAGGGTGGATGAGAGTAGGGATGTGACGTTTCGCGGAGAGATCTGGGCTCGTCGCCGCGGCGATGGTGGGCGGAATCGCTTGTCCGCAGGTTCAGGGGCCTCAGACTTCTTCTTGCGGAAAAGCTTCCACTCATTTTGAAAGGCAACGTCTTCCAGTCCTGGGATGGTCTCATGGTCCAGCATGGCCTCATCTAGGACTTTGTTCATTCGCCGCTCAGCGTCACGAATGATCAGGACGAAGATTTCGTTGATCAACTCTGCTAGGTGGAGCTGAAACTCCACAGTAGACTCCAGTAGCCCGGAATCTTTCTTCAGATAATGCAGCAAAAGCGTCGCGTTAGACAGCCAGAATGCTTGCATAGTCATGTCCCACTGATGGCGCTCAACCACGTCGTTGATCTTCTCCGTTGCCGAGGTGAGGAGCTCTGCCAGCAGTTCTGGACTAGCATGGTAGTGTGCATAACGTGCACTGAGAAAGAGGAGGTTCGCCGGCACAGGTTTTTGAGACGGAGACCGTTGAGGAGTCATGTTGGTGATGATGATATCCAATATGCGCTCCAGCTCATGATCCTGAAAGACAAACATCTGGTCATTGAGACACCTGTCCCAGACAAATTCCTGCTGCTCTTCTTCAAGATCATCTTCATCCGAAGGATCGAACTTCTCATCCAGCCCAAGGCTCGACAAATCTACCTCCAAATTGATCGCGCTCTCTTCCATCATCATCCGCCTCTTCATCTCATTCTCCGCAAGCTCTTCCTCAAACCGCCCATGTGCCAACCCAGCATCATAAAAATCATGCTCAATCGCACCCGGTCCAAAGCTATACCCATTCTCATGGAGATACTCCGAAATCTCACTCCCAGGCTGCGCAAAGTCAAACGCCGTCCCACCAGAAGAAGACTTGATATCGGGGGAAGCGTTATGATCCAGCAAAATCTTTGCGATAGTCTTATGCCGATTCGTCATAGCCCACATCAATGCGCTCCACTGATTCCGATCCTGTTGATCCACAAAAGCACCCGCATCAAGAAGCGCTGAGACAACATCCTGATGACCGAAACAACTCGCGTATATCAGCGGCACTGTCCCCTCCTCGTCCTTCATATTAACGTCCACGAAATTCTTCGCCGCGCCAGACAATAACTTTCTCACTCGCTCTACATCTCCGTTGCTCGCTGCCATATTGAGACTTTTCTGTAGGATATCCTTCTTCTCGGCCGTTGTCAACTTTTCGTCCTCCGCTATGCTTTCTTCGTCCGCGCCGAGGGAATCCACTTCGCGGTGCGCCGCTTGCGCCGCAAGCATCTCCATAAGCCGGGCGTCACTGTCTTCCAGATCACGTCCATATTGAGCGCGAAGATCCGTTTCCAGATCGTGCGTGTGGTCGTCCAAAGCTAAGCTGAAGGTGAGCGGTTTCGCAGCGACGGGTGTAGTAAGGAATTGAGATTGTCCTGCGCAGACACGGTATATTAGCGTAGTCCGATTTTGATCTCAATCGGCCCCGTGCTACGGCTTGGTGGGTAGATGCATCATATCCAGGCACCAGAGCTCGGACCACCTGAGGTTCTCGTGAGAGTTGCTTACCCTGCCACGCATCGTACATCTCCGTCTCCTGTTGATAAACCGGAACCGAGCGGCGATCGTCTAGTGATTTGGGAAGGTCGTCCGGGAGTTGTTTGGGTTTTTCCAGGGACACGGGGCTATGGGACTCAGTCTCGGTGTCCAGTTCCTCTGAAGCCCCGCGCCGCGGCTCGGTCGTGTCCATCGTGGCGGGGAAACACGGGGCGGGACATTAAATACGGGAAGAGTTTGATTGAGCCCCTTTGTTGCGGAAGAATGTAGGAAAGGAAAGAGAAACTCGGGTGAAGCCCTTTGGAATTGGGGTCGAGGAAGGGAAATGGGGGTTCGGGCTGAAAATGGTGTTCCGTGAGTAGATCCAACACAACTGTTTTTTGATTATGACGTGTGAATCCACTTATGCAACGACCTCACCAACTCCATATACTCGCATTTGTAGGATTGAATGCCAAGGTAGATTTGTCTATTAAGTTCGAATATTTCTGTTATTTATGAAACAAAGAAAAGGTAAAAGCGAAAGAAATATGTATGAATGCCATCCATTCCGTCCGTGATATCTCCAAGTCAATGATGCAAATGCTCGCTCCAAACGCAAATACCAAACAAACATGAACGAAGGTGAGAAGGAAAATGCAAATATAGATACAGTGATATATAGCATCAAATGGCCAAAAGCTCTGCAGGGGTATGGAAGAAAAGAAAAGAAAAGAAAAGAACATCATAATAGAATCGGTGAGATCATTCGAGCTGTTTGCTCCGAGATTGAATCTCATCTTCAGTGAGAGCAGCAATCCAGAGACACCGTTCGATAATACCCTGGACAGGCTGAAAGCGGTACTTGGTGCTGGCGTCGATCAGTCGGAGCAGGCTCTTGACAATACGAGCAGCAGTGCGGTATCGTTCAAAGTTAACCAGCAGGCCTCCCTCGGCTCGAGGGATCTGGGCTGGCTTTTGAGCATTATAAGTAAGGTCATGTACATAAAGGCCTGAATCAAGTTAGCGATATACCATCGAAAACAAGGATTCAACTTACCGATGAAAGGAATACAGCCTTCCTGCAGGTTGGCAGTCTCCATCTCAACACGGAGATCATTGAAGTTGCGAACAGGTTGAATCAAGCACTCCATATCCTTGAACAACCGCTTATCCTCCAAAGGAACTAATTGCCACGTATTCTGTAACCGAGAACAGTCCGACGAGGACAAGGCAATGGCGATCTGCAACATAGTCGCATAGTTACAAATGCGGCGCGCATGGGCAGCCGTGTGAATAAACTTGATGATTGTGCGAGCTCGCTCGTGGATGTCGCGAGTTAGGACAATCTCGGAGACAACCCATTTCACCATGAGGTTGAAGCGACCGACAACGAGGTCGATACCCTTGCGTTCCTCGGCGGTGAGGAATTGAACCCAGCTAGCAATGCATTGGGAGCTGCTGCTCCATCTCATCTCAACCAAATCTCGCCAATCAATCTCGCTCAGCGCAGCCATTTCGACCAATGTCAGTTGCTGCGCTAGCACTTGAGACTCACATGCGAGGATAAAGGGAACATGGTCTGGGCCATTGTTGATGAGTTGACGGTCTTTCTCGGAGTTGGAAAGAACGTCGGTTGCGAATTGAGGAACTTCTCTTGGCTTTGCGTTCTGTGAATCGGCTGTCTCCGTGCCCCGACGCAGGGGAGAAGTATCAGGTGTAGGTGGCTGAGCCTGAAATATTACATTCTCCATAGGCGAGACACAGTGGATGAAAGAGCTTGGATGTTGAATTGTCATCGGAGGAGAAGGGGGGTGAGCCAGGGGGTGAGGCGGGATTTCGACAGTCGACGAAGCCAGACTACGATTATCAGTAGAAAAGCGGCCCTCCATGGCCTCATGCGAGTCAATCATATCAACAGACATGGCTGACAAACGCTTAGGGGTGGCTTGTCCCGCGTCAGAAGCAGGCTGGGGCAGGGTCGAGCCTCGAGGAATACGGCGAATGCTATCCGTATCATGGACGATCTGGATTGACGGGTGCGAAGATGCTAATTCAGAAGTATCCCGACTGGAGATTAGACTGAGAGGAGCCCCTTGCACATCGATAATCTGGCCGCGATTTGCTGCCGGCCGTTTCATCGACTCATCAGTCAAGCCACGTTCAAGAAGAGGAATCGAATTGTAGGACTCTTCGGACTCCGCCACAGAATCCGAATACGGACGGGGTGGCGCCAGTCGCCCTCCAACGGTAGAGTAGCCTGATTTATCTGTCTGCCGTCTTCGGGAAATAACATCCCAGGGAACATTATTTTTTTCAACCACATGTTCCCGAGGCTGAATGACGCGCTCAAATCCAATATCCTGATCAGCTGGTGGTGAACTAGGCCATTTGCCCTCCAGCTTCAACAGAGTCGACTCGATACCTCCATCATCGTCATCTGGAATCTGCGCAAAACGGGCGATAGCTGCTTCAAATGAACGTTTCATATTCTGGTTCGATCGAGCCTGAATCAAGGAGTGCTGCGGGTTGGGCGGGATCAAGGTAGTCGGAGGCCTTGAGGCGCGATCAGAGGTGGTGGTCGTCGTCTCTGCTAGCGAGTCGTCATATGAGCGAGTGGACACGACACTTCCACGACCTGAGCCGGGTTCCATGTCATCCACATATTGCATTTGCCGCAAGTTTCCACCAGGTCTTCTACGAAGGCCACGTCCAGGCTTATCTGTCTCCTGTGCAAGATTCCCCGTAAAAGACTTGCCTGTATCGCTCCCCATTGATGTCCGCTGCCTCGAGATTCCGCTTTGGAAGGATGCATATTTCCGTAGTCGGAGGGAAAGCGAGGCTCTTTTGTTAGGAGCAGTCTGGCGCTCATTTGAGAACGACCTCCGAGTTGAAGCAATGCTATACGGGTGCGGCTTTTGCGAAAGATCCGAAATTTCACCATTGAAATAGATAGGAACGGTGTGTTCACTTTGGCCTGTTGACAAGTATGATTTGGTGGACGCAAGCGTATCACCAGTATCTAAGCGCGAGGGATCACCCATAGCACGATTAGGTAGACGTTCTAAAGCCCCAGACATAGAAGGAGGGAATTCGAATCCAGTATCATCAACGATGACGATCGACCCACTACCCGTAGTAAGCCCACTTTTGATTTTCGAGCTGTCCTTTGGAGTCCGAATATTGGCCTCCGGGGTTGCAGGAGGAGAATTTTGCCAGGTGGTCTGTACGTCAGGCGCATTGGGCTGCAGCTGGGTATCCTGCTTGGGATCCATGGCATCTTGATATTGCCTCAAAGCTTGTTCACAGAGCACATCAATCCGCGCAGGGGGCTTGGGGGCAGTCGCTATCTTCCTTTCGCGGTAGTAGTCAGATCCGAGGGCAATGTGATGGGGCATTGCGGAGATTTTCCCACGGTATGGCATGGTACGGGTCTCTGAGGCATTTGCGATGCGAGCAGAAACACTCTGACCACCATTCCTAGTATGCAAAGCCCGCCTGATTGAGCCAATGATGGTCTTGACCCCCGAGTTTGATTGAGCTGGTTTAGAACCCCCATCTGGTGTACTCCGGCGGTCCGTGTTGGAAGATGAAGACGGCAAAGCTAAAGGAGGGGAGTCCGGGGCCATCATCGTCATGTAAGACTCTGCAGGGGGGTACAGAACACCTCGAATGAAGCTGACCGGGTCCATTATCTCCTGTGGTGCGTTCGAGCCAAGCTCTACGCCGGACATAGGATCTCGCACGGAATCGGAAAAGCTGCCGCTTCTCTTATGACCATGGGAAAATGGATACCGCGAAAGCATCGGCGATGAAGGATGACCTTCGTGAGGAGAAGCCGACTTAGTGAGGGGCAATGGAACGGGACGCGGTGCTTTGCTTCTTGAATAAGGACCGGACAGCCGTCGCGGAGACCTGGGAGGCAGTGAGCAGGAGAGTGCCAGCATACTCTGGTCGCTCTTTGTTGAAAAGGGTATACTGTGTGCCGTCGCAGCCGAGTCATTTCGATCATGCTGAGTAGAGACGGGAAAGCTTTTCCGTGAACTTGTTTCTATCTGAACGGCCATGCCAGGAAGCGGAACAGTCTGTTGAACATTTTCTTCACTCGGAAGCTCCATTTGCACGTTTCCCGGTAGAATCGAGCTATCGGGGTCATTATAAGCGCGAGCGAAATCCGATGCGGTCCAATAGACTGAACACTTGCCATTCCAACAACGTTTCAAATCGATAAGGATTTTCAAGTCGCTTGTGCCGCCATTTCGTCGAGACTTTACCTCCTGATAGAGCTTGTTGATAGTCTCGCAAAAGTGGGTCCGGAGTTCATGATTCGTCACAAAATCATCAACAAAATAATTCAAGATCCAGTGTCGAAGAGCCGCAAAGGTGCGAATGCGAATGATTCGCCCATCTTCCTGAAGACGGTTTATAGCCCATTGCAGGCGCGCAAGCAACAGAGCAAGCAGGTGATTCGGAGATAAGTAGCAACGAAAAGTGAGGAAAAAGTCCGACACCAGCTCGTAGTCCATAAACGACTCAGAAGAGATCTGAGCCACAATGCGAGCGGGTGTGGCCGCGCTGATATCCTTGGTGCCGGGAATGTACCGCACAACTGTTTCACCATCCATGTCTGATACCAGCCTTTCATATATCGAGGGCTCAACCGGTCCCTTCAACTCATACACCATCGAGTTCCTCGGTGCTGGCGAAGCCCGACTGAGATCTATAGCAGCCGCTCCGGAGAACATGGACACCGCAAAAGAAGCACGGTTACGCGGGAAAGAATCTCTGCTATAGAGACTCGGATAGCGCGGAGGCATGGGATCAATCATGCCCCCTAGCAAGGTGGAGTTTCGAAAATTATCGGACATTGACGTCCGTGTGTAGACGGAACTATGCAGGGCCGCACTACCGTCATTATTGAACCGTGCCGAGAGTCGGTAATGAGGAATGGGGACATCCAACGCCATGTCAGGCGACTTTTCATTCGCGGTCTTAGGCCGGTCCTCCGATCGATCGATGACGATGCGCAGCTCTCCACGTTTACCCGCGCCAGACACGGAGTGAGTATCGGATAAGGTGGAGAACGAGTTCGCACGCTGGCGGAGCCGATTAGCGGATTCTGGGCGCGTTTCTGGGACCTCGGATCCCTCCTCTCGTGTTTCGCGCGGACGTAGCTCGGAGAGCTGGGAGCTCGACCATCGAGACGGGTCATCTCGGGGGTAGGCATACTGCGGCTGGAGGCGATCGGTCGTCACTTGATCAATCGATGAAAAGGGCACTCTATGGGGATCTTTCTGCGGTGGATTCGCAATCGGCCTAGTGAATAATGGCGAATTGTCAGCTCGCTGCAGGTTATGTGTGACGCGAATTGGGGGATGCAGAGATTAGAGATTAGATATTCAGTATTGCAACGTAGCAGATGCAGCAATGCAGCAATGCAGCTCCGATCGTACCTGAGAAAGATCTTGCCATTCTGTCCAACACTTCCAACCGTAAAATGACCTGCTTTGCGTCCGGCCGGACGCGCCTCTAATTGAGCCCGGTGTGTCTGGGATCGTTGCAATGGCGTCGCTCGTAATAATTCAGTACTGTCTTTGGCCCGTAGTCCCGATCCTCCCACCCCCGTAGTCCCAGTCGTCGCGGTCCTGTCGCGGTTCGCCTTGCGTTCCAGGTTCTTCTTAATCAGGGTCCCTTGTGCCACCGTGTTGGCGCGACGGAGGTTGGTAGTCTTCGGGGAGGCACCACTGCGCGTTCGCTCGAGTTTAGGCAGTTCATTGATTTGCACGGAGGGTCCAGATAGATCCTTGGAATGTGCGGGCCGGTCGAGGGTGGAAGGGAAAGGTTCCATGGCGATCGTGGGAGCTTCGTTGACAGCTCCACGAACCGCGACGCGGTCGTATAATTTTGCTCACAGGCAGTAAATAGTATGTGAATGCATGTAGCAGAGATATAGCAGCTCTGTGAAGGAAAAGGGATTGTTTTTTTCCCAAGTGGAGCATGGGGAATCGATCCCGACGGCGGAACCAGAAAAGGCTCAAGCCACTTAACTACAGTACAGACACTAGGTAACTAAAGTACTGTACCGTAGTTAGTACGGAGTACTGTTACTTTGTCTAATCATACCTATCTACTCCCTACTTGTTCTCAAATTGATACATCCGGTGAAGCAAACTACAATTGGGGCGAATCCCCGTTTCGCCCGCTGAGTGGCTGTTTCTCCCGTTTATCCCATGCTCCACCTCGGCAGTGACGCGCCCTTGGGACCAAGTTTGAGAGCTCTCACTGCATCTCAAGGGGTCCCACTGATTCCCACTTTGCTGTCAGCTGCAATTTCCACTTCTCATTTTGGTCAACATGAAATGAGCTAATCTATACTCGGTACTCCGTACATTATACAGTACTAAACCAAGCTCACATGATCTTCAATTAAATTTGATAAATACCCCGGTCGTTGCTCCGTATTATACTTGGATCTATCCCGATCTGTAGACTCCGGGCTTTTTTTTTTGCTTTACGGAAATAACTAGTTTAAACGGGGATCGGCGATGAGGGGGTGGATGCAATGGATGCAGAAAAGCATCATGGATGTACATGCACAAGCTCAAGGAAATCGTCTTCGTATTTTCATGCATGAGATGAACAGAAACCAGAGTTTTTGATGTTTGTAGAGCTTATGTCTCATAGGTTTCGATCTTGATTGGTGTGTTACAATTTCGGTCACCGAAATCCATAAATCCCTTGGAATGTGTCTTATGCATACGAGAAACCACAGGAGAATGCAATGTGAAATGAGGTGAGAAATGACAACCGAAAGTAGATAATAGTTAATCCCAAAAAAAGTCACAAAATCACAAAATCACAAGTCCCCGAAATGATGTTAGGAGATTGTGATGTTACCCGGCAACGAACTACCAAATTTGGCAAACCGGCTTCTTTTCCGGGCACTGGAAGGCCTCCTTGAACTCGCGGGAGTTTGCCATCGTTTCCTAAATCATGTTAGGGGACAGGGATCTTGCATGACATGGAAGCAAACTTACAATAATCCGCGCAGACTTGGGCGCATGGGGATCGGTATAGATAGCTTGCTCGGCGGCCTCACTAGTAGTCTTACTACACCAGGCTTTGGCGTAGGAAACGAAGAATAGCTGCTCCTTAGTAAAGTCATCCAGTCCGGGAAGATGGAGATCTGCCTTTGCATCGTCGTGTTTCTTCCAGGCGTGGAACGAAGCGGTCAGGCCCCCAGCATCCGCGATGTTCTCGCCCAGGGTAAGGCGTCCATTCACATGCAACACTTTACCGCCGGGTCCCTCCACGGTGTAGTTATCGTATTGGTCTACAAAACACTGCGCCCGTTTCTCAAATGCCTGGACGGTTTTATCGTCCCACCAGTTCGTCTGGTTGCCCGTCTCGTCGTAATGCCGACCAGTCGAGTCGAACGCATGAGAGAGCTCGTGGCCACTGACAGACCCAAAGGCTCCATAGGTCAAATACAAGGGGACTGATGGACCCCAAAACGAGGGGGGCTGCATGATACCGGCCGGGAAGACGATCTCGTTCCCCGGGGGGTTGTAGTATGCATTGACAGTTGACGCGGTCATATCCCACTCATCTCGGTTGGTTGGTTTGCCCAGCTTGGACCACTCGTTCACAAGATCAAACTTCGCGACGGCAACCTCGTTTTCGAAGTAGGTTGTGTTTGATACGTCAAGTGCGGCATAGTACTTCTCCACATCCTGTGGGTCTAGGACGTTGGGACTCTTGGTTGGGTAACCAATCTTCTGGACAATGTTCTCCACCTTCTGAATACCCAGCTTCCGTACATCCGGAGACATCCACGCAGTCTGATCCAGAGTGAAGACAAATCGTTCTTTGATATCCGATACAACCTGATCACCAAGCTTCTTGGACTCTTCTGAGAATGAGTCCAAAACGTAGAATCGGCTCAGGATCCAACTAAGACCCGAATCCAGGTCGACAACGCACTTTCGCCATCGCTCTTCCTTGGCCTGCGGGTCTTTTCCGGCGAGTTCATTATTGAACCGGGTAAGGGGGGAAATCTTATCATCCTCGATACTGGCTGCATATGTCTGGATGATTTTCCACTGGAAGAAGAAAGACACGGTCTGCCGGGAAGTATGCTTCACTATCTTGGAGAGGCCTTCCATGTACGAAGGCGACCCAACAATTAAGCGGTCGGTTTTGTAGTGCGGTGCAAGCACTGAGAGGATATCGGTGAAGGAGATCTCGGGCACCAAGGACTCAGTTTGCTTGACACTGAGTGGGTTGTAAGAATTGGTAACATTCCTCTGTGTCTCCGTATCCGGAGTCACATCGGCCAGCTCCTTTTCAAAAGCGACAATGTTCTCCGCGATTTTTTCAAAGTCGCTGACGTCGAATTCCTGCAAGATCTCCTTCATAACGGTCGTGTACTTTGTGACCGTCTCCGTATTGTTGTAGTACTCACGGGCGGAGAGTCCAATTTCGCTAGGCGCGCTTACAACAATTGCAACGTTATCAGGATCCCGATCATCAGGCTGTTACTGTTAGTATACAATTAGCCAAGGCCGAGCTAGGGACTTACGGAAACACTAAGAGACGCCAAAGCCTCAACACCAGATTGAATGAGGAACAGGAAGGCGTCGGTAAGATTGGCTTCTGTGCCAAGGGCATTTTCATCCGCAGGATATATACTTTGCAGCTTCTTCATGATTTCAACCAAGGGCTGGACGCCGCGTGATCGGATAGTAGATTCATCCAAACAAGCATCGTAGGCATCCTTCAGCTTCTTGAAGTTTTCAGTATCATTAGCCTCGGGGGCCTCCGATCGTTCCAAAATATGACGGAGGCGAGTTTGAACAGTATCCTCCATCAGTGTCCCAGCAAAGATTGAGCCCTGGTCTGAGCGCATATCATGGCGCTCTCTCCATCCACCACAGACGAACTGGTCAAAGTTGGTACACGGGTCAATTTTCTCGTAATTTGGATCTAGGCTGTATAGGATGTCCGATGCAGCGTGGATGCATTCAGGAGTCTGACAGGTAGGGGGCGAGGACGCTGGGCGTGAGGGAGCTTCATTCGACGGGTCTGATCCTTATAACGTCGAATGTGAGCTAGAAGGTACGTGTACTGATATTGGAAGCTTACCGTGGAGCAATTGTGTAAGGCCCCAGACCAGAATGCCAGCCCAGACAAATCCTAGGATAGCTCGCCAGAAGGGGTGAGTTTTTCGACATTGGCCGCGACATCTCTTCAGGACGCGATGCACAATTGTTTTGTTCCTTGTTTCGGAAGTCTCATCAGTGCCCAAGAGAGCCTGCTGCTGTTCCTGCTCCACCTCTCCCACGTACTTGAGGTCCGGCTTCCAGCCGTCACTGTAGCGCATCAGGCAACAACCCCCAATTCTAATGTCATGGGGAACTCACTCATTGATTGTAGGTTTCATTTTAGAGCTGCTAGGGATTCGGTAAGTGAACAGCAAAGCCACTCCCTCGCCGATAATGAAACGGATGAGTGAGTGATAGTGACTCCTCATCCTCGGAAGCTCCAGTGGGGAATGGCGTCACGAGATGAGTAAGCTATCGTCGATCCCGTGCGGGGATCAGAGCACGCACGGGATCAGAATAAGAGTAACACTGGAGTAATTCGACATGGACTTGAATGGATTTGGGACTTGGACTGGTGAGGATTAATTACAAGAGATGGTTTAATTTTCTTGTTCTAGTCTGCTGCCTAATGCTCCCTCACTTGTGTCATCAATGTTCTCAATTTAACTCCAATTCGAATGATTATGGCCCACGTGCGCTTCCACTGTCTGACCCGCCATTCTTAATATCAAAAAATGAAACTAGTGCACTGAACTCCCCCAAGCAAACGCGAAGTGGATATCAATCTGGAAAATCGAAAGCCGAAAATCGAAGCAAGTCGCTAAATCGGATGATCAACATCCTGAGTAAAAAAATCAGCCCTGATCTACAGGACATCCCTGCTCAATCGAAGCGTCTACTTCGAAACTGAATGAGCCTGCGAAACATAACTCGCCGAGCCAGTAGCCTCATTGAAGATATTGTACCCATAATCAGCTGCATTTGGAGGTGTGTAAACTAGATCCATGTCAGTGTATGCCCAAAAACATCTCTTCTCTAACACTCACGATGCAACGAGACAGCAATCTGACTAGGATGAGGATTATGAACCCGGTGAAGACCAATGTCATCAGAGATATATGTAACCTCATTCATCCCGAAGGTATTTGCAGACTTAACAGTCAAAGGTTTAGCCTCCTTCGAACCAGCCTCGGGAGCATGATAAACCGTCTCATGTAATTGTCCTGCGAGGACCTTCATGATGCAATGCGCGTTGGCGTGGTCGTGAATAGGTGAGCCCTTTCCAGGATTCCAGACGAGAAGAAGCTATCCGGGTTAGTGATGCTTCAATATAACCTTGAAGAGATCGATACGAACAATATTCGCCTTGTGGTTTATATTCTCGATGGCATTCCGGGTATAGTTCTTGCTGGTATCATTATAGAAAAACTCAATCCAATCACTCGGGTCGGATATGTATTTTCTCGCCAATGAAATAAGGTATTCTTCGTCGACTTCTTCGGAAGATATACCACCTGATTCTCCTAGATGCTGTTTGATATCTTGTATCAGGCTTTCCAGATTGTATTTCTCCTTGAAGGGCTGATAGCTTAGAGGCAAGGTCCTATCGAAGGCGGATGTTGTTGAGAGGAGAGTTGACGACATTTTGCTTGAGATTTGTGTTGGAGAGGTGAGATACTGGTTGAATGAGAGAATGAAGTGCTGGAAGTTGTTTTGAGCGAATTTCGGGGATCAATTGAATACATTTATAAAGGGGTTTGCTGGTGCTTAGACGCAAATCCGCGTCAATCCCCGATGTGTAGTGACATTGAGTTTTAATCGGCGATTGGATTTTGGATCGCCGACCGGGATGATCTGCGTGGACAGGCCGCGTGCCCTCGCTCAGCCCCGTCGGACTCCTATCTCTTGTTCTTATCTTTGCATTTATTGGATAGATAACTTTATTCGTTAGGAATGGCCAGCAATGGTTACTCGCTATCTAAGGGCTTAGATACTGATGTGGAGAACCAAACCTTGAATGTGTTTATAGTCTGGGGATCGGACTACGTGTAACTTCATGATTCTACTGATACTGCCCGTACATATCCAATTTTCTTGCAGTGAGACTAAGCTCAGTCTCATAGATTGATGTCTAATATTCTACATTATAGGCGATTCAGTGGATATCAAAGTCAGGGAGTGAGGTAAAGAACGAATCGTTGTAACAAGTCGGATCAACAAAGGCTGACCCAAGGGGAGGAAACAACATTTCCTGACCCTCCGATATTGCCGAGATTGGCCGTGCAGGCTGGTTGGGACGTTCTGTGTTACTCGGTGTCGAATCTGATGGGAACAGCTTCCTGGGAGGTTCCGTGCACCAGCGCTCCATAGAATCTGACAGGTTATCTGCCGCAGACGTTCTTAAATGATTGTAGGCATCGTCCGCCAAGTTCCAGATCCGTTTTGTACTTTTCAAGCATCCCAGAATGAGGGTGACTCGGTTGTAATGATGATCGAAGCACTCTTCATTATGCTTAATAGAGGTGGCGAGCTGGATCATCCCGCAGAGCGCTAAAGCAGGAATTGCAAAGGGGGTATGTTTCGGGACATTGGGGCAAAGGGAGATGGCGTCGGATAGACGTCGCGAGGCTTCAGTGGCCTTTATACTGTGGATTGAGCGGTTAAGTGTTGATGCAAGATGGCGTGTGGCAACCGGCCAGAATTGATCGTCCGATTGTGACAAAACAGGTTGTAGATCGCTCCGGGGTAGGTGAAGGAGCATTGTCGCATAGGCGATTGTCATATGTGCTTGAAACATCATCTCGTCAATGTTTCCGTATGAGTCGACGATATCCAACTTTTTTGATGGCAAGTGATTGATCCAACTGACTAGGGCGTTCTCGACGGCTTGCAGGTGATCTCGGTGATAATCTCGAAGTCCATTCAACACAAGAGCACGACATAAGATAGTCACGGCCTCAATGCGGTAACTGGATGACGAGAAGACTGTCTCATCAGGGGCGAAGACTCTTCGCTTGAAATCAAGGATATTGCAAGGGATTGGGATGTCGCATGTACCCGTATACGCCGAATCCTCACAAGGCAGAGCAACCTCCGGTGCCATCGTGCTGCATTGAAAAGTCGTGTGTTTGAAGGGTGCAGCCATGAACACGTCTGTGATGTACAACTCCCACCATGTCCTGCGCATGCTTTCGGCCTCAATGGAGGTTTCTGGGTGCGCGGATGCAGCAAAATCCCGTTTGTTCATGCCCAGCTCTAGAGCAATCTCCACACTACGTGAAAATGCATCCTGGGCTTCCTGCCATTCGCCTCGGGCGTAAACTGCAATCGAGTAGATAAGCCACGCTTGAACCATGCACGGCGATCTATCTGGGCTGCAACTGAGCTCTGTTATCACTTTTTCTTTGTACTGTTGGATTGGATTTGACGAGATATAATGAGACCCAACGAAATTCACGACCATTTGAAGAAAGTCGGGATACTGTCGGTCCCGATACACAGCGCTTGGAACGAGGATTGGATGTGCAACATGGAAGTTCTCGTAAAATAATCGTAAAAAGCGGTCATCCTGGAACCATGAATCACGAGATGACTCTGCCCTTGATTGATGAAGTTCGTTTCTTGAGGGAAATATAGGCCAGGGGACCTGGCCTGTTGGAACGCCTACTGATGCTCTCGGCAGTGACGTACTGTCAGGCGTATCAGGCTGACCAAGCTCGGTAACAGGTGCAATCAAAGATGTCTAGAAAAGATTTAGCATATTGAATCTCGATTGAGAATCATATAAATGGATTACCCACGTCAATCTGGTCTGTTTGACAAAAAGAGGCGCGGCGATGGGGCTCGCGGGTTTTCCTGCGGCCGCCGCGTCGTGAGGGGAGATACTGGCAAAAGTACTCATTTTGCAAGCAACGTGAGCATGTCGGTTTTCGGGCGTCACATTTTAGATGCTGTTTGCGACACTCGGTACACGCTAATGAAGCTAGACCACTCTGTTTTGTGGATCGCGGTGTCATGATCATGGCGGGTTGCTGGAATGTCAGGTGCAAGCCGAACGCTGGTGTAATTGGGTCCCGGGCGGTACCGCTTCTCCGACTCAACCATTCGCCCATGACTATCTGATTCACTTTCAACGATTTTCAGAATGAAGATGTTAAGAATGGAGTGTTATCTGCTAGGTTATTTTAAGGACTATTTGGGGGGTTGCATAAAATTGATCGTCTAGACTGCATGGTATTTTGTGCGCTGATACGGTAGAACAGCGGTCAATGAAACCTTGAAAACGTTTTGGATTCATGATTAAGGGGTACGTACGTGGATAGCGTGATCTTGTACCATAATGAGCATTAACAGTAAAACTACGTGTATCCCTCCCTATCTTCAGAATGGAAACTGGCGGTCTGTTCTCCTGTGTGATATCCGGGGCGTCATTCGGCGATTGAAAAGCTGGCCCCTGCTCTCCCCTACGCAACATTTCACCCCTATTCAACTTACATCAACCAATGGAAAATGTGATTTTGACACATTTACCTAAATTGCCGCCTCATCCAAGACTGCTGCATAATTTAAACCTTTGGGCATTTACTTGGGCGGGTGATCAGAACACGGGGTGTTATTACTAACACTCTATAACAAGGATACGACTTCTTGGGATACTTCGCATGAAAAGCAATTCTGGGTGAATTTTCAAACAGACCTCAGGTGCTTGAGACAACATATAATTTTGGCAAAGTTGCGACTTCGTTAAAGTATGTTGATATTGTTTAGTACTAGAGCGATATATGCACACTCATGTGCCAAGGCCTTGAAAACGAGACCACCCCAGGCACATTACTTTGTATTGTTCCTAATTACTACACACAAGTAGATTTTGAGCTCCAAGGTTCCACACTTCTTGGTTTTTAATAACAGCGATCTGATCAACTACCTATGGTCGAATCCTGATCGGCTTTTTACCCCTCTTTGCTGGGTTGAGTCATTTCGAGTCATCGGGCATACTATATGCCTATAAATTTAGGTCATCAAATACATCGCTTCATCATTGATCATGCTGCACTTTGCTGATTCAGACATCAGTTTCTATACCTGACTAAATTATCAAGTACCCCACATGAGATGATACGAGCCATGTCACACGTCCCATCCAACCCTACTGTCTACCAGCTACATGGCCAGATGAATAATTCAATACTTGAACTGAAGTCCAATACGTTGGATCTCTCGCTTCGGATACCCACGTTAAATGATATCGTCACATTGAAGGATATCCTTACAAACAAAGCAAACTCGGAGTTCGACAAATCCATCTCCGACGCCACAGCTGAGGATCTCGAATCCATTGCAAAGCGATGGACAACAGTCTCCGAGCCGCCGACATATCGCAATTTTCTGGTATGGCATGAGAATAAGCCCATTGGAATCGCTGGGCTTGGCTGGATCGGCCCATACATTGAGGGTCAACCGGAAGATGCACCGAGAGCCGGGGCGGCGGGGGTGATTATTCAACCCTTTGCCCGGGGGAGAGGGCTTGGTTATGAGGCACTACGTATTGTTTTTGATTATGGATTTTGTGAGCTGGGACTACAGGAAATTCGAGTTGGTAGTCATTCTGGGAATATTCCCATGAGAGCGTTGATGGAGCAGAAGTTTGGATTGAATACCGAAATACTTATCGGGACAGAGGTCGACCAGTTTGGAAATGATCTCAAGTGGACTATCCAAAGAGAAGATTGGCAGCATAGCCCTAAGCCTCTTATCAGATTCTGAGGCTCAACTTCCGTGAGATGAACAAATTGTTGAATTCGAATATTCTTCCCGAATCCCTGGATATAATTTCTTCCTGTGGTAGACTGTAGACCAATACAATCTGCGTGTCATGCACGTTGGCCATCATATCAAATGGATTATGAAACACCGCTTCACATTATCAGGAGAAGGTTCATCATTATTTATGAAGCCAGAAGGCTATCGAGATCATCGAAGAAATAGTACCCTGGGCAACGAAATCAACATCATCCCCCACGGGAACAATGTCAAGCCGCTATGAAACTCTAAAGACCCTGAAACGACAGCCTGGTTTTAGCTCAAATTTCGCCCTAAGCACAGCCAGACCACTCTCGACCTTTTGACTTGAGTGGGTCTACAGTAAGCAGCCTGCATTAGGCGAACCTAATCAAGGAGCCACCCGTGGACGCCGAGATCTCCATGGATTGAGATCTCCATCAAATTGAGGTGATAAGCCAATCAGATTAGCGACTTTCGCTAATTGAACTAGCTGGGCGACTTGCCAAGATCCATCCAGGCAGACATGATTTTCGCGTGGGGCCGACCCTGGATTCTTGAGTGGAGGCACCGTCAGCCGGTTGCATTGCCGAGCTATTCCATGCTTTGTTTTCATGGGTCACATCCTTGTCCCTGTCATCACATTGCATCTAGGGCTAATAATAAAATGAGATATAGATTGCTCTTGGTGGGGAGGAAGGGCAGATCACCCCGCTCGGAAGGATGCCCAGCAAGTTAGTCGACAGGATCACAAAAATGAACCGAAAAGGAAAACCAAAGAAAGTTACAAATTGACCAAGCCAACAAAATTTGAAGCTGAGGGCATACATTTGTCATTCAGTTGCACATGTAGACATGGAACAATCGAAACATTGGCCAAGGGCTCATGGTTGTAATGGGTTTACGTCGAACATTGGGTCATATATATATCTGTTGACAGAGGATCTTGCAGCACCTTACATAATGCACTGTCATTTAGGAGAAACCGCAAACCATGGAACAGATGGAATGGAGCAAAGATCCATACATATTCCAAGATTACTGGAGGGATGAGAGGGAGGAAAGAGAGAGGGGGAGAGAGTTATTTTGTAGACTTGCTAGCAAACGGAGTGGGGTCACATCCATACTCCAACAATAGCTACAGTCCATGATGTCATTCGTTAACGACATTTTGATTCACAATATTTCGAACTTTGGGGTACAAGGAAACCCTTTGCTCCGCCTGTGTAGGGGGGAAATGGAATCCAGCCAATTATTGGGAGATATTATTGGGGGAAGATTAGTATGATACACATGTGCAGTAGTCGCAAAGTGATTTGTTGGCATCTTCTTGGGTTATAATTAGCGTTTGGCTAAATTGCCGTTGATTGCGTACGCGGCCCTTATCTCGGTTTGGCTCAAGGCGCAATATTGCGTATTTGCGCACGTATACGGAGTACGAATGAGATTAGTAAAGTTACTAAAGGAAAATGATATTAAAAGCCAAGAAATCGCCAAGTCCTTAATCCTGAGACCATGGGCCAAAGACTGTCAGCATAGATCGATTTGTCTTAACTCCGAATCTCATGCCGACATGCAAATCAGCCGGCGGCAGATAACATATAGTCAGGCCCTCAGTACATAGACCCGCACTCCTCCTTTTACTTTACAGGTTTCTGTCTCCTCTACTTGTCACCAAAATTATTTTTTTGTCTATCATCAGCCCTTTATCGCCATCCAGGAACGATGTATTCGGTACTTGTTCTATTTACGCTCATGCTCAATGTCGCATCAATCGCGATCCCGAATCTTGACCCCCGATCGAGACTGTCTGGCCCCGGCCCAGAACCGATAAGACAAAATTTGCTGGCGGAAGATCTCCCTGTGCACAGTGATCAACGTGGTTATCGGGGAGGAAACGATTATGAAAGATTTGTATCGCTTTGCGAGGCTGGATTCGTCTCTGGCTGCCGGTCGGCCATGGGGGCATCGAGATAAGAGTTCAAAAATATTTCCATGGATAGAAACATCATTCGCTTCTCTCACCAATGTCGCCATTGCTATAAACACGAAGAAATCGAGATTATGAACCACTGCCGAGAAATGGTCTACTGCTGAAGTCATACGGCTGACACGTTCCAATGACGCTTATCTTCCTTATTATCCTTTCGCTAGGACGTCTGGCGTGATGCCTATGCTACTATCGATCGTTCCAACAGGATCCTGCTCTCCTGCAGTATACTGTCGGGATAACAGGACGCCTAAGACTCAAGTTCTCGTTTGGAAACTCTCTTTTATGAGGAAGCCGGCTGGACTCTGTCGCCGGCCTTGGGACTGGATCTATATGCTGCACTATTGTCGACCATGGGAGATGAAGATGGGAGTAGAAGAGAATGGAGAAAAATCTGCATTTCGAAAGGGGTATAGGAACGAAGAAGAGGGAAGGAGAGCCGAGAGCACTATCTCGACAAGCCAGTGCACTTAACCCCAAGGTGCCCCTATTCCGTCCACTTCCCCTGCTTTCATCGAGTATTGATTGTTGAAGGTCCTTTCTCGGGATCATTTTGATATATGATGTCTCATGTGCATATAGTCTCAGCCTAAATAGTTACAGTATACAGTATCAACAGTGCTCTGTATGTACGTACTAGAGGCTTCCCGCCGCGCTTTTTGCGCGGCGCCTACTTAGGTGTTAGACCACATCTCCTACTTAGTCTCCTACTTAGCCTCCTGCTCGGTATCCTATTCAGTATTCTACCTTCTTTCGCACAGCATTAATCAAGTGGTCATAGGTCCATAAATAGCGGAATAGAAAAGAAAGAGAAAAAAGAGAAGAGAAGAAGAGTGCATTGGAAGGAGAAGGGGAAAAAAGGAAAAATTTGGTAGAGGTTTCGAACATACTATGTCCAAAAAGTCTGTGGTGTACAGGGCCGCTCGAAATCAGCTTCACCTTTGATTTGTTTTCTTTCTTTTCTGAAGTCTATTCTGAAACACACTAGACCCCCTATTATCTAGTCTGTTTTGAGATCCTGAAATGTTTTGTCACTATGTATTACGCGGATGGCGAGGTTGTAACTTTCCTGAAACATAGATATAATCGTTACGCAACGGTTAACTGTGAGGTTCACTTCGGGCAAAGCTTTAGTATACCGTGGCAGCTTTGCATATGATAGCGCTTAAGCTCACGTGTTTAACTCATGAGTAGTGTAAACGAAAATATACATCATCTCTCAAGGTAAATACGGGGTATAAGATCAAAGCAGGTATTTTCTTCTGTCTCTAATCAGCCGCAATCTACTTCTCAGTCATGTGACTTATTGAGGCTTTACCAAATCAGGAAGTTTGGACGCCACGATGGGAGCCTAGGGCTAAGCGAAACATGTCCCCTTTCGACTCATCAATTTGCGAATTCTACCTGTGACCACGCCTAGATGTTACGCCTTCTCAATCTGCCCAGCGAACTGCTCGCTCGCAAATTTCTTAATGTGGATCGTTCATCATTGAAGGCGCTGCGCCAATCCTGCCGTTTCATATCACAGCTGGCCACCGATCAGCTCTTCAGGACCGTGCACCTGCAGCCCAGCGAGACAAGCCAAAATGCGCTACAAGAGATTTTGAACAATCCCAGTCTACGTCGGATTCCGCGAAAGATCTACATAGACACCGTGGACGAGAATCTTGTACGATTATCATAATCCAGCTCCAAGCAACAACTAATGCGCATAGAATTATGATAATGAAGAAGAGCAAAAATGGCCCCAAGGCTGGGACAATCTTGTTCCGCAAGTGAAAGAATTGCCTCGGCTGAACGCCGCCGTTCTGTGCTTCGATAAGGGGTTTACTTCAGACAGCAGTGTTCAGGATTGGCTCCATGTTATAGACTTTCCCCAGACGCCTCAATTCCGCTTCCACGCAATGCATAAGCTCTTCTCTCTTCTCGAAGCCTTACGGCACCCAATCCAAGATCTTGGCATTCGCAACCTGCAAGCGGATAACCCCAAAGATCCGAAAACACTTGCGAAAATGGAAAAGGTCCTGTCGGGCCTACTGTCCCTTCGCCTAAGCATTACCAGCGAGACAAATGACGCCGCTCCTGAGCATGATCTCGAGGTATAACCCTACCCTATTCTTCATCGAGATGCTTTTTCTAAACATATCAGTTTTCGGAAATCCGCAAGTTTTTCAAGGAGTTGCCCAGCACATGGCTGAGTCCCGCTGCGCCTTCTCTCCAACATCTCTCGCTCTGCTCGCGTGAATACTCGGGCTTTTACCCTCACCTGGATCTCTCCAATCTGTTCTTTCCACGCCTGAAGACGCTCTCACTAGGAAACTTCTGTTTCTTCCATGATGACCAAATCGATTGGATTCTGAAGCATGGCGACACCCTCGAGGAAATCTACTTCGATGACTGCGCCGTCCTCTACGACTTTTGTATGATGGAAGAGAATGTGGACGCCTGTGCTCTACCTAGGGACACTTTAGTGCGCCGCGAGGGCGAGGTGTCTTTGTATGGTTCGTTCGAGAAGCGATGGCACCATATTTTCGATCTATTTGCAGAGAGATTGCCCAAATTGCGACACTTTCGAATCGGCCGTAGTAATTGGTACCCGGATATTCCATTTGAGCAGGAGAGGGATATCAAGGTCGGGCTGTTTTACAATCGGTACATGTGCTGCTATGATGGATATGGCCCTTCGCCTTATATGGAAGGTGAGGATCCTAAAGAACCCGCAAACCTTGAGAATGGGTGGAGACCGTCACCAGAATGCGACGATGAAGATCGCACGGCACTGCGGAACCTATTGGCAAAGCTTGGACAATCGGTCCAGGAAAGTTATTCCAGTAGACACTCTGGTGGTCATATAGTGGATCTTGTTCAGAGGAGATACGGAACCGCAGAGTGATACAGTATCTATGGATTGCAATCACTTGGGTAAAGAGCCTCCACCTAGGCAGGGCTCCCAAGGTTGGAAATTATGCAGACGGTTTCTAAGTCGGCTGGAGATAGTGGCATTTGCTGAGTGATTACTCAACCTTTAAAATGATGTTACGTATGAGAAAGCAGGAATATATACCTCTAGGGCTATCTACGCAATATCCTTCATCCTTCAAATGCTGGTGAATCGACACCTCGGACTACATGTAGACCACCTGGTTATCCTCTGACATCATGATTGATTGATCTAGATATGGTAAGGTTCCATTTCTAATAGGCAATTCATGACTTGGACTGGAGCCAACCCGGGGTCGCAGGAAATTTAGCTTGCCTAGGGCTGTCAATAAAAGGTTCTTGATCAGAATCCACATAAACTTCTACAACATCTCTGGCTTTAGAATACTCCTGTGGAGCTGTGGAGGATGAGATGTTGGTAGAGGAAGCGAATTTGAATTCTGGCCAAATAACCACCAACAAAGCGGATTTCCCTTTTGTTTGCTTTTTTTGCAGGATCAACGTTCTCGAGGCTGCTGAGACCATACAAGCTCATTACGGATGCTATTTTTACGCTGTCATTTACACACGTACTGGAATACTGCCAAGAAAGGGATTTGGGAGTAGATTAACCGTAATAGGTTTAGCGACGTTTCAAAAGAGGACTCGAGATAGCTGTTGAATCTGATTTCGATCCAGGCTGTACCCAAGTAGTAGAGGGGTAGATATGTAGAGCCATGTTTTTGTCGCCTACCCCTACCCCTAGAGCCTGCCGTCAACATTTAAATTTACCCCCCCCCCCCCCCCACTATGAATCTACCATTCTAGCTGTAAACATATTTTTAACAATTGGGAGTCAACTGTATGTAAATTGATTGAAAGGTACGTATAAATACTTATATATATTTTATCCTGCCAAAGTCCCATGTAAAGATACCAAAGAGCAATACCATTAAAACCACCGCAAGATAAATATTGAAGGTATAACAAGGTCCACCGGTAAACATTCATCTCCTTAGATAACTGGGTAAGAATAGACATAATTGAAATGTGGTGTTGCCTTGCTATCTGGACAAAGAGCTTAATCGCCGAATGCTGATCCGCGAATGCAAAGTGCGTTCGAGCAAGGGCCATAAGCACGGCTTTTAAGGTCCATATATATATATTATCATGAAGCTCGATTTTTGACTATACATATGTAACTCGAGTTCTGGTGGCTTTGTGTCGCAATGATTGGCATGGAGATATAATTTATACTCTTATGGCGTAGCGCGATAGAGAGCAAATGAGAGAGCATCCATAGATTATTATGATAACAATCAACCTTGGAAGGGCTAAATAACTGGAGATTGATGCTTTCTAAAATACCTATATAATAATTATGTAGAAGCGATGGTGATTTTTTTGCGGGTCAAAAAGGATATTCTTTGTTGACCAGTACTTCCAAATTTGTCGCTCTATCTTCTTTGAAGCCTAGCTTACTTCGTTTGTACTTTCTACGTACTACCTTCCTATATGGCTCTCCCTGTAAACTGTACCTCTGTCAACTCTTACGTGCTGTAGTTCTTTTTATGTGGAGATGAGGCTAAACCTTCTCTAAATTTCACTAATAAACCATTAACTAGTTCAGCTATATGGCGTTATTGTCTCTTACAAGACCACGTCCTACATACTCAGAGCATAGTAACCAGATATCACCTCAAAGGCTTATGCATGAAGACAAGGTCAATATGACTTTCTACAAACTCAATCATTCATGGGCCTTAAGGGAAGTTCGCATACTATGTTCAAAAGGTTAGCCCCTTTGAATAAGTTGGATATCTGAATAGGATGTGAAATCGCCCCCCTCGATCCTCCAGCGAGCGGCTTACTACTCATCGTGATGCATTTATATGTCACTGAACATAATCTGAAGCCTAGAGCTTCCAAGGCTGTCCACATTGTTGCTACTATAAAACGCACAATATTGTCGACGCCTCAAAAACTGAATACGGTCCACGACGACCATTTCGTTTCGCGTTACCCAGTGGGTTTCGCATCACCTTCTTCAGTTTCTGTTGCCTCCTTTGCAGCCCTCGATCATTCCTTTAACTTTCTTTGCATCTACGACAAGATGGATAAACCATCAGAAAATCCTGTAAGAATGATATTGCGTTTGATGACCTGAAGTTTGGCAAACATTTTATCGACAACTCGAGAAATCAAGCCGCATCTATAATTTATAACCTGCAAAATCACGTCCTTATATATATCATTACCCTGCAGCAGTCATGATATGGTTCCTGTTCTATTCCTTCTATCCTCTTTTACAATGATAATATGAAACAAATTAACATGAAATTATAGGAACAAGTCGCCAAAAAGGCAAAGAAAAGAGCAAAGAAAAGAAAACAGAAAAGAGAACAGAAAAAAGTAGCTGATTGGAAGGCAAAGATGGCCAGGTGGAAGTCGAACATCAAAGCAAGGAAGGCCAGTAAAACTGGCACGGACGAGACTAGCAAAGATGAGCCTACAAATGAGGACCAAGATGGTGAAGCAGGTAAGGACACAGCTTTATTTCTTCTCCATGATCCCCTACACGCTACAAATTTCTGGATACTAGCACATGTGCAGATACCGCAAGCCCCTTTGTGACCTGAGTTACTCATTTGTATACTATTGCCGATAGTCACTTCCAGAGATTCAGTATCCAGTCAGCTGGACCTGATGGTCCCCGTGACTTTGCGGCCTCTCGATCAGCGCCGATTCTGGATTTCCGCAAGGCTTGAGGCTCTGGATGGGCGGCTTCTAATTCTGGAGGCGATTTATACAGCCTGGGCGGAGCGGTAGGCGGAGGAGAGTACTGGTCACTTCTGCAATTGTGACAAAATATTGCGGGATTGAGGTTATGAAAGAACGAGATGCCTGGGGCACCATGTGGAAATGACTGAGTGCTTCAGATGATGATCAGGGATACCCAATGAGCGAATGAAGACATCATGCTTTACTCCTAACTTTCTGTGTTTATCCCTAACCCCTGTTCAACACTGTGTTGGAAGTCCTCGTAGATGGATTCCCCAGCCTTCATCCAATCCATCAAGGTGTCTGTTTTTCTCATTGTGTGAGGTCTGTGATGGTGGTTTTCGTTCCAGAATGTCGCTCAGGGGCTGCCGTGAACGGAAAACTACGTACGTAGGTATCTCTGTAGGTAGACCATTGATATTTCGTTCTGTTTATGTTCCTTGTCCTTGATGAGGTTTGTATGTGGTCAATTATGATTTCCCAAACAGGGCGAGGCCTGACCAATCATAGCGTCGCTGGATTCGGGTGCGTCGGGTGGAGAAGGCATCAACGGTCACAGGGGGGCATTGGACAATGCGAATCGGGATGGTCTAGTAGTATTAGCATTGTCAATGTAGTCTTTCCAGTGAAGAGTTGTACTTCTTCAATAAAAGAAGAAAAAGAAAAGATATAGCAGTGAGCCGACAGCTGTTCCGAATGATCGCGGTTTTCACCGAGCGGGTTGTGTGGGCCAATCAGAACGAGGGTTTTACACCCCATTTTCCCGCGAGAAACTTGAACCTTCTGAACTTCAACTCGCATCACTTCTAGCACTTCTCCCTGCTACCAACCCCTCCCCTCCCCCCTCTTCCCGCTTTTGCGATCCAATCCCTTCCCATCCATCAACTCGTTGATCGGAGGGTTTGAATTCGACATGCTGGCCCGTACCCTCCTGCGCGTGCCCTCCCGGGCCATCGCACGCCAATCGCTCGGCAAGTCTACGGTACGCTGCCAACACCCCCAATCAGTCCCATTGAGCCTCATCGATGAGGACAATCGCTTCGCTAATCCTCGCTACGGCCATTGAAAGGTTTTTTGGCTAATTCTTTTGACAGCGTGCTTCTTCCACCGCCGCCGGTGCCGAGGCCGCTAGCTCCCCCTTCCACCTCACCCTCACTGCCTCGCTCGCAACCGCCGCGGCTGCCGGTTCCGCCGCATGGTACTACCATCTCTATGGCCAGGAGGCCTTCGCTATGACACCTGCTGAGGAGGGGTGAGTCTAATCGATGATCGAGATGACCCATATCTGGTTGCCTCCGGTGCCCCGAGCTCAGGATTGTGCGATCAGGTTATCGAGGAACGATTGAGCTAATACTTGGATTTGAATTCAGTCTTCACGCTACTCAGTACCCCTGGGTGCACCAGCGCTTCAACAAGACTTTCGACCACGCTGCGTGAGTCCCGATATGACCGGCCCAGCCACCCCCATCGAAGCTAACATTTTCATCAGTCTCCGCCGTGGTTTCCAGGTCTACCGTGAGGTCTGCGCTTCTTGCCACTCCCTGACCCGTGTTCCCTGGCGCTCAATGGTCGGTGTCATGCACACTGTTGATGAGATGAAGGCCATGGCCGAGGAGAACGAGTACGACACTGAGCCCAACAACGAGGGCGAGATCGAGAAGCGTCCCGGAAAGCTTTCCGACTACATCCCTCCCCCCTACAAGAACGACGAGGCTGCTCGTGCTTCCAACGGCGGTGCTCTGCCCCCGGATCTCAGCTTGATCATCAAGGGCCGTCACGGTGGTTGCAACTACGTCTTCAACCTGTTGACCGGTTACCCCGATGAGGCTCCCGCCGGTGCCAGCGTTGCCGAGGGCATGAACTTCAACCCCTACTTCCCCGGTACCGGTACGTGAAAATAATCAGGCCCTATCTTCGTGAATTGGTTATTAATTGAATCATAGGTATTGCTATGGGTCGTGTTCTGTTCGACGGTGTTGTCGAGTACGAGGACGGCACTCCCGCTACCACCTCTCAGATGGCCAAGGATGTTACCGAGTTCCTGAACTGGGCCGCCGAGCCCGAGATGGACGACCGCAAGAAGATGGGTGTCAAGGCCATTGTTCTCCTGACTGGTCTGACCGCCATCAGCATCTGGGTCAAGCGCTACAAGTGGGCCCCGATCAAGTCTCGCAAGATCGTGTACAGCCCTCCTATCGCCCCCCGCCGTTAAACGCCATTCAAGAAACCATATAAGTTGGAAAATGGGAGAGGTTAACGAGGATACGTGACCCATTGGGCATTTTCTATACTGTTGCCCCCCGTGTGTTATGTCGCCAGGGAGAAATCTCTTGTCATCTGTTTTTTTTTGTGTCTAGGGTTGCGGCCCTTGTTTTGTTAGAACACTCCCGGCACATGTATCTGTATCCTAGATATTCTCTTTTTTTGCCCTTCGAAAATTGTGCTGGAGGAGTCAACCGAATTTAATTTCCTTTGTGAATGCAGCTGTTTCGTTTGAATCGCCGTGCACATATGAGACTAGTATATGGGAGATCAAAAGTTGATATCTTCGGACTTTTATATTTGAGTGAATACAATATTGCAACTCCGCTCCATTATGCGCATGCCGGTGAGATTTGGTGCCTGAAATCATGCCAGATCAAGAATCATATCACAAGGACGGAATATCTTCAATAGTCCTCTCGCCATCCCCAAACAACGGCTTAAAGGTATAATCATAGCTTTTCCACATCTTAGAAAACAAGAGATTCGCCACCCCAGCCAGCCACGGCGGGATGCGTCCATCAGGACCAGCAAAGACCTTGGAAAGCTGTAGTGTCAAGAGAATAGGCGGTCCCCAGAAAGCAAGAAAGCCAACCTTTCCAATCTTCTGCCGGAAGGTAGTGATGTGATAGGAATGAATACTCGAAAGATATTCACGATATGATACAGGTAGATCATGTTCTTCACTACCAGTAATAAGCAATCCCAGGTAGCGGGCAGAAGGTTGCGCATACTCCGGGTCTGGACGCATGTGCGGCTCGATATCCCCGAATATCGAGGACGCCGGGCAAGACTTGCTTGCTGTGTAGGGTTCGATACTCTTAGATGCATATATTCTCTTCCGTTCATCATCCGCTGCCGGTGATAGAAGGGTATGTGTCTTGAAGCGCTGGGTAGTCGGGTGATCTGGGACTGGGTCCGTGGATTTGTAGTTTTCTGAGAAGGGGTAGCAGTCGACGACTACATCCCTGTATCCACGGCCGCCGCCCTCTGTCGCGATAATCTTGGCATAATCCCTCAGTGTGACCTCGTAAACAACACCGACGAGAGGTTTATGCCATTTTCGCTCGTGAAAAACAGCCCCACGTGTTTCCATTGATCGAGCCAGGAGCGACGCTTCCTCCGATAAGAACTCGCTCTCCGTGAGGAGTTTCTCGTCATCAGGAATATCGACCTCGGATTCGGAGTCTGGATCGGATGCAACATCAACATTGCGGAAATGGGTGCCTGCGAAACAGGGTTCAGCGTAGGGAATTCCTGGAAGATCGAATGTGAGACGCAGATCTGGCACCAGGACGGGGATTTTCGAGATCGGTTTGATCCCACGCATGCCCAGGAATGTCTTCGCTGCCAGATTCGACCCGTATGCGAGATACAGTACTGTTTCCTCAGAATATGCTTTCGGCAAGCCCTCCCTACTGTCCTCTTGCACTGCGATTTTCTCTGGGAGTTGAACATCCTGATCCCGGGACAAATCGAGGTTTGAAGCTCGACGGCGTTCAGCAGAGGTGGTAGGGATTGAACGGATATCGAGGTTGGCAGCTTGGTGTGGGACTGCAGGGAGGGTTGCATGGAGTCGGTCTAGAGGCTCGACCGCGCTAAATCGGCGTTCAGATGGAGAAGCGGCCTCCTCGTCGTTAGCATTTGGGGTAGAATTGGGGGTCATTTTGGGGGTCCAAATGCGATGTCAAGAATCGCCTGACAACGAGAACCTAGATAGTGGGAGAATGTTAGTCATGGGCAGATCCATGGCTATATAAATCCGGTTCTCAGGCGCTTCGATCGGCCAGATTGATGCATTTAGTCCGGGTGGACCCCATTGAGAACGAACCACAGGCATTGTTCAGCCACCTACCGCGATTATTAATCGGGGAACGGGGCAATTGGTGTACCTGACCGGGGTGTACGGAACTCCTGATGCCGAGTTCCTTTTCTAGGTTTCACTCGAGAGGCTTCCAGAAAAAATTTCAAGATTGGGGAAATGCAGTATATTTGGTAATTTCCTCGGTTTTTGAATGCACCGTTGTATAGGTTGACTGTAGAGTATGGCAGATTGTCACTTGGTGAGTTGCAAGGTAATAATAGTAGCACAACCGACAAAGATAATTGACCAACCGTGTGTGTATGATAATACAGGAAAGCGGTTAGCAAAAAACGAGCAAGCAATAGGGGTCCTCCAAATCTCAATGGTCATCTTCGTTGTGTTTCAATAACCCTGCCTTGGTCTTGTAAGCCTTGTTGCAATAAGCGTGCCGACAATGGTATTTCACTTCTAATAGATGTCGGGCGCTGATATGTTGTAAGATCTCGCTTTTCTCATCGAAGGGAGGGTGATCGCACCCTTCCCATTTGCACTGCAGCTGTTTCTTCTCACGAGGATCGATTGTTTCTCTGGGGTGGGTTGGCGTGGCTGTATGCAGTATATTTATTAGTATTGCAGATGAAGAAGAAAACTGGGTTGGTCACAATATGCATACCACCTTGTTCTTCGCTATTGTTGGTATGTTCCTGTCCACGCCCTAGCTCTTGATCACCTAGTCCCCTGGTGCCCGGGGCACTAAGATGGGGAACTGTTGCATAGAGAAGACAGAGATCTTCAGCGTCGCTATAAGGTGATAAATAGTACGTGCCAGACATCCGCAGATAGTGTGGTGGGAGCTGTCCATTTTTCATCGAGGCCGTACTAGGGACTGGAGGTTCATCAGGATGGCTGCGTATTTGAACGCGGTTTTGATTGCCAGGTATGTCGGGTTCGGATGATTGCTGTGTTGTTTCATCAAGAGAACGGGTTGACGATGGATCTATTGTGGGGTCCCAAAGATGATGAGTCGTGGAAACGAAACAAAACGACTGGAACAGGTAAGACATATTGGGCGATTTCAAATATTGTGCTGAGTTCAAAAGGAAGGTGCGAGTGGGAAGCGACATCTGGAAGGAAGAATATCAGATCTGTGTGATCCCTATTTGAGAAGCGGATGTATACCCAAATTACGACACAGTGACCACCAAAGTGATGCAAAAGTGAATGCAAAAGTGGAACCCCTTTTGCAATCAGACAAGTATCAAGCTCTCCCATACCGATTTTTTTCAACGAGCCGGAACTGGGAATCCAACATGGTGAATAACGGAGCATTACGACGGGCTAGCCGGAGTGCCAAAGGGAAAGCTCAACACTCTACAACAGAGGAGTTACCAGGTCCAAGATTGAAGATGAAGAGCACAACGGGCCCAGGAAAGTCGGAAAAGGGTCGACGAAGCACAAGAGGTCCCCAACAGAAGTTGAATTTAGCTACGCTGCCACATGTGAAAGACCCACCCCAATTGCTGCGCGAGGATGGTGCCGCTGATTCGTGCCGTGCTGCCACCAAGCACGCAATCCCGAAGGCACCACAGCAGCTCAAATCAAAAGATACTGATCCCATACTGCAGAAGCTCGATTCAGCCAAAGTGATAATCGATACGTACCACATTCGCTCAACCTCGAGAATTGGCGTTGACGTTCAACACGAAACCGTCATTGACACCAATGGTGATGTTTCAGCTGCCAAGAAAGATCGGGACAGCAAGCGGCAAATCAATGATAGTACAAGAAACGAATTTTCTAAAATTCACACTGCATTAGTCCAGCCAGAGAGCAGATTCCGGCGTCTGACACTCTCACTGCCACGGAACCCAGAGCCTCGAGGGAAGCTTTCTGCCGGGAAAAAATATACTCATCACCTCAAGACCGAAGTGGATTGGAATGAGGATCTGCGGCCAACAGACGACGAGAAGTCGACCAAAGCGAGTAGTGATGGCGAAGCAAACTTTGGTTCTACTCGAGACTCCGAATCCATGGGGGATGAAGAGAGGTCGAGTCTCAAACGAAAAGCATCAAACGCCCAAATAAATTCCGAGAAGCGGAGAAAACCTGCGAAAGGCGAAGCTAACATCAGGAGAGAAAGCAATCAGCGGGCTGAGTTGCCATTGACTTCACTGATCACGGATCCGGCCAAAACATTACAAACAAAGCCAATCGATTTCATGATAAAGGCTAAGTCGATGCCAGGTGAACAGTCACAAGAAGTTGACACACGAAATGAACTCGAAGTTGCATCGTCCGTTCCAAAGGCACACAATATTTGTCAGGATGGATCAGCTGGTCATCAACATGAGATCATTGAAATAACGAGCTCGCCAGTAGTATCTGAAACCAGCAGCTCAGACTATGGTATTGACGTGCTTAGAGGGGAGACTTACCGGGTGGTTGGAAGAAGCATTGATGGGAGAGGAAAAACTGTCGCTCAGAAGCTCGTCGATGCGCTCCATGGAGTACAGTTGCACTCTCAACTTCAGCCTGCTGTTGAGACCACCTTGCATTGTGCTCACAAAAGAGCTGGTCGGTCTTCACGCATGTCCATTCGTGATGAGTCTCAAAGCCAAGACCTGAAGGTCATCCAACAGACACAAACAAGCCTTGACATGAGACAACAAGGTCACGGATTGCCAGGAACGCTGCAAATGGCTCATGCAACAACAGTACCATTAGATATGGCGAATCCTTGCAACACCGGCGGACTCCAAATTGATACGAAGCCCCAAGGATCCTTGATTGGTGGAGACTTGGCGCACATCAAAGTTGGCAGTGATGGATTCAGTGACCGCCATGCAACTCCAAATTGTCTTCAAGCACAGCGTGAACAGGTTTCCTTAAAAAGTGTCGATCTGACGGAGGAACCTCGCCCAGGTGCCACCCAGCTCCCTGGAGATGTCCCAGAACATGACACAGATAGCTCATCGCAAAACTCACCAGAGGTAGGAAGAGAAGGTTTCACAGCTGCAATTTCCCGAGGCAGAGACCGCGGAACTCGCCATACTCCCGAATCCGAGAAGCCGCTTCTAAGCCTGCAAACCCCCATTCAAAGCAGGGTTTCGATTTTCGGGGGTCTCAAGACGGGTCCAAGAAGCAGTATAGTCGATTCAAACGGTAGCCCTAGGCGCATGCTGCAGGCGAACCTGACGGCCCACAAATCTCAAAGCCCACTTAAAGATGTCCATTTGCTCACCGATATTGAGATGCCCGACTCCAGTTCCAGTAACTACAACGAAGACTCGAATGCATCTTCTCTAGACAGCTCAGACGACGAACTGACATGGTCAAAATACCAGCGCGATATGTTCATGGAGTATGGCTTCCAAACAGCATCGATGAAGAAAAGCAGAACCCAATTGCCTCCGCCCAAGGAAAATTCCAGCACTGGTGGCAACAGTGAAGTCCCTGGCCAAAATGGAAAACAGTCATCGGCGGACCCAATCTCGACATCTTTCATTCCACCTTCAGGTGACTCGATGATACCAGAGCGAGACGCTCATGGTGTGAGTCAAAATCGGGCTGCAGAAGTCAAACCAGGCCCCAATCAGATATCCACTGAAAAGCCGCAGGCACACGACGCCCAGCATGTAGTGATGCCCTTGTCTACAGAATACTCTGGTCCCCTCCGAATGGCCCCTGAAGCTCATCAATTATCTCAATCGAATGACTCTAACCCTCAGGATTGGATTTCAGCTCTACAAAGTGCTCAAAAAAGTGCCCACGATCTGTTGTTGGAAACGAATCAAGCAAGTCAAATTGAATGCGAGGGAGCATCTTGTGCTTAGGCTAATACGATAACAGCGCTTGTCAGACCAGCTTACAGCAGAACAAGAGACGATCCGTCAGGTACTTCAAATCTATCGACAGGGATGCAATTGCATCCTCGATGATCTTTTCCACGCACAGCAAGTCCGCGTGGGACTTTACCAACAGCAGATGAAGGCGGTGAAGGAGCAACATCGACAGATTTGCCAAGAACTAGTTGAGGGTCTACAAGACCTGGATCATCGGGTGCAAGGGGGATAGTGGAACAAAGTGGGGACCACGTCATTACGCGGAGTACAGTATGGATTTTATTTTTCACATTGTTAGTCTAGGCATTTGTTAATGCGGATGCGGTGATTGGGATTGGCTCCGGTTCACCGAGTTCACCGAGGGTAATCACGTGGGGCCATTTCCCCGTTGACTCATACCATGTTGCTTTCGTTACGTTTTATTGACGGGAGAATTCTTATTTATATGGCATCCTAATTTTATTCTTGTTTCTTTCCTCAATTACTTGTTCCCACATAAAACCACCTTTCTGCTTTTTTGTCCGATCTTCCGAGCTCTCAATTCCTCACCAATTGCGTCAATCATTTTAGCCCCGCCATGTCGGTGAGTCCGCCCCTCTATGACAATATGATCTGGCCCTTGAGGAGTTATTGACCCCGACGACTCTAGTTCTTCATTGAAAACCCTAATGTGGGCAACCACAGCCACTTGGAAGACTCGCGAAGTAAGTGACCCTTCGTTCCGACCTCAATTGGAGCTGCACTAACTCCCCACATAGTTGCTGGCTACAATCCCCTCACCGCGCCCAACGTTCTCCAACATGAGATCGCCATGACAGAGAAGTCACGAAAGACTGTGCTACAGGGTCGTGATGAAGCAGTTGCAATTGTCCATGGCACCGACAAGAAGGAGCGCTTGATGGTCGTCGTTGGACCGTGCTCAATTCACGATCCGGATATGGCCCTGGAATACTGCGACCGCCTGATGAAGCTGAAGGAGAAATACACAGATGACCTGTTGATTGTTATGCGCTCTTACCTGGAGAAGCCTCGCACTACAGTTGGCTGGAAGGGTCTGATCAACGACCCGGATATCGACAACAGCTTCAAGATTAACAAGGGTTTGCGCACATCACGTCAGCTCTTCGTTGATCTGACCGACAAGGGTATGCCCATTGCCAGTGAGATGCTTGATACTATCTCTCCACAATTCTTGGCCGATTGTTTGTCCGTCGGCGCCGTCGGTGCCCGCACCACTGAGTCTCAGGTCCACCGTGAGCTGTCCTCGGGTCTGTCCTTCCCTGTCGGCTTCAAGAACGGCACGGACGGTTCACTGGATGTCGCGGTCGATGCCATTGGCTCCGTCAAGCACCCTCACCACTTCCTATCTGTTACCAAGCCTGGTGTTGTCTCCATTGTGGGCACTGTCGGTAACCCTGACTGCTTCGTGATTCTGCGCGGCGGCAAGAGGGGTCCCAACTATGATTCTGCTAGCATCGCCGATGCTAAGAGTAAGCTCGAAGCTAAGGGACTTGCACCTCGTCTAATGGTAGACTGCAGTCACGGGAACTCTGAAAAGAACCACAAGAACCAACCTAAGGTTGCTGCTGTGCTCGCTGAACAGATTGCTGCGGGTGAGACCGCTATCATGGGTGTCATGATTGAGAGTAATATCAACGAAGGTACGTCTAAATCTAATCTTAATCTTTTATTACTTTATATTAACGATTAGCAGGTGCCCAGAAGGTTCCGCCAGAGGGCAAGGCTGGCCTGAAGTACGGTGTCAGCATTACCGATGCTTGCATTAACTGGGAGGATACTGAATCTGTCCTGGAGGTTTTGGCACAGTCTGTGCGCGCTCGCCGGCAAAAATTGACCGGTAACTAAGCGATGCCAACAGCTGTTTTTTTTTCTGCTATAATGTTGTTACTATCACCTTTTAATGACACCTGGCATATGACCAGCGTACTGTGTCAGTGACCTTAGGAAAAAGTTATTGAATGATATTATTATATCTATTGCTTCTTTATTGAATTTCTTGGAATCTAATATTTGAAGACGATGGTAATATTTCTGCGTTATCGTGACTATCTTAAATACGATTGAGAGCCTCGCTTAGAGCTTCCGCATCGCTATTCTCGAATGGAGTTTTGCGCTCAAATTCCAGAATCAACTCTTTGTGCTTCTCACTCCGTGGGGAAAATTTGCACTCATAAGGTACCGGGTGACTGATAATCCCCGGCGTGAAGTCGACAGGTGGCTCAATTTCCTGGCCATCTTGCCCAATCGACTTGGTTATATTGAAGGTCGCCAACGTATTTGCGATTGTCAGAAATAGAGATGTGTCGGCAACGATGCGCCCTGGACAGAGACGTCGTCCATAGCCGAAGCTCGTGTTGTGTGGATCGGGCTCAGTATCCCGTCCCTCTTCGGCGAGATACCGTTCAGGTCGGAACTCCGATGGCTCATGATATACTGCAGGATCGTGATTGAAAGACCTGGCAAGCTCGTTAATTAATTTTTATCGCGCGGGTTGAAAGGTTGGGGAGCGAACCATATATTTGGCAGTAAGAGGGCGTTCTTCGGAATCAAGAAACCATTGATGATATCATCTTCGTCTGTTCGATGCGGAACTCCAAGTGGAGTGACAACGTGCCACCGGAGGGTTTCTTTGACGACTGCGTCGATATATGGCAGTCTTTCCCGATCTGCGACTGTGGGCAAAGTTGGTTCACCGAATACACGGTCAATCTCTTCCTGTGCTTTGCGCTGAATTTCTGGGAATAGGATCATCGCGAGGAAGAATCCTTCTAAAGCGGACACCGTCTGGTACCATGTTAGCAAGATAACGACGCACGAGACCGGGATCCTACTGTGTCAGCTCCTCCACCATATAGTGCCGCAGCGGCCCATTTCGTAATATCCTCGTCCTCTCCCTGGCTGAGCAGCTCAGATACGAATGATGTTTCGTGCGACTCCTGGCTCATTTTGTACTTTGTGAACTTGAAAGGGTGGTTGACGAGATTTGTGAGGGTTTCAAGATAATAGCGCGCTGTCTTTTTAAACCCTGCCCCTGGAGCCCACTCTGGAATGTACTTCACTGCAGCGCATTGTCAGATAGTGGATTTGCAAATGTGACTATTAGAGAACTTACATGCTGGAATCATATCTACCAGCCATGCTCCGGGAACTACAGCCAACGAGAACTGGTCGAGTGCCAAATCGGCCAAACTAACCAGAGGATCTCTCCCGTGAGGAACAATATCATACCCATAGGTGATTTTCAAAACGAATGCTCCCGCCGCACTGTTATGCTTCTTTTAGCACTGGAATTCGATCGGAGACTCTGTCAAGGGTGGTATGTCTCACGTTTTGATATGTTGTAGAAAGTCTTGCGGACAATCAAGTAAACGCCACAGGAATCGGCGAGTCTCCACAATAAGTAATTGATCAAACTTGGATGCGGATGCTCGTGTTCCGATGGTCCGGGCCATCGCACGGCGATACGTCCGAAGAAGACTTGTGTTATCCTGGCTCACAGGTGCTTTTCCCCATCCCGAGCTATCACTGATTAGCTATGGAAAAGAGCCCGTAGAAGAAAACATACAGTTCATCTGCGAAGACAAGGCGAGGGCGAGATGAATGCTTAGCCGAATTTTTTTCCAATATTTCAACCGCAAGTTGTCGATCGTTTATAATGACCACTGTTTGACCAAGGACTGTGACTGAGCTTAAAGGACCTGGAAGAAGTCAGTGACGATGCTTGTGTTCATACTGTGTTACTCAGTCACCGTAAAGCTCTTTATGCCGAAGCCAATGTTGCCATTCTTGTTTCCCTGGTGCGGGGAGATCAAGCAGGTTCCCGATTAAAGGCTTTCCTTTAGGGCCGGGAGGAAGTTGTGCGAGCTTTTGCTTTGAGGTAAATGCCCGGATGATGAAGAAAACAGCCAAAGCAGCAGTAAGAACTGCCAAGGTGGTGGATCCCATGCTATGTGGTGCAATCAGTCAACAGATTGCGCTACTTCTTAGACGCGGACTCTCCAGTTTTCAAATGATGGATTCCCCCTGAAATTCCAAGGTTGGGGAAACGTCAAAAATATCGGGGCGTCGGGGACATTTAAAGGCTCGGAGACCGATGAATAACCAGTGGTCATACTAAGATAATGAAATAGCGGAGCTACGGGGGATATACCACCTTTGGGTAGTCTCTAGGAATATCAGCTCACTGTAATCCGCCTAAACGGGTATGCACCTCGATGGGTTACATGGCGCAGCCTGTTTACAACTTCGCTAGCGTTGAGAAAGGTCGAGCCAAAAATTCAAATGTAATAAAAGACATGGGCGTGAGGATAATCTCCCTCACCTACTAGTACGCGAGTTTCACTTATCTCCAATGTGTGTTAAAAAGTTTTCATTTAGCACGGGAACAGGTTTCCTATTAGCAATCGCGCTACTAACATAGTGCAGGTAGGCGGGCCACAAGTGTGGAGCTGCTGAGGTGTCATTGCCACGGCATTTGAACCTAGCCAGGGGCTAAGAATGAATTAGGCATATGATTCTGAGCTACATGCTATGTTTTACGATCCCTGATTTGACCAGTTCCAAGGTTAAATACTCGGTCAGATCTTACATTGATACTTTGATCGAACGGAGACAGACAAACCATGCGTTCTTGGCACGAAAGGGTACACCAATCCACTCTGGTGAGTTGTCAATGACTCCCCACTTAGTAGGTAGACGGATTAGCGTTATCTAACTAACTAGCCGAGGTCAACACGTGGACAGTTACCAGTTGACATGCATGTTGATGCCTTATATATGAGGCGACAAGGCATCAATCAGGCGCTTAACAAAGATCCAGCATAATCTCATCGGAACTATTTTGTCAGATAACCTGTTACCGAAAGAAGCTTCCTCAAAGGAAGTTTAATTACATGTAAAAGAACTGTCAGCTTGAGATATAGTTCTCTCCCCAGTGATCGGCATACCGAGACCCGTTGGAGCGATTGCCGAGTCTGGAGGCTGGACCCACGGATCATTTCTCTCATCTCTTCATGAAGATTTCCTTGTCAGGCAATTTTACCACAAAGCACCAAAACCTTGGAAGTTTAATAATTCTCGACGTTCCAAGGGTTCTGTACAACTTCAATTGATCTCAATTGATTGTACCTCTTCACCCTTACAATCTTCATTAAGTGCCAGCTTCAAGTCTAGTAATTCTCTATAATGCTTTTTTTTTCTTCTGGGAAACATTTTAGTAGCTTAGCAAAAGGGGTGGGCAAAGGGGTGGGCAAAATGGTAGGCAAAAGGGTGGGCGGAATTATCAAGTACGTGACAGAAGTCGAAGATGTTTCTAATCAGGTTATTCCAATGAGAATCCAAAATTTATCAAATCCACGGTAGAAATTTTCCATATGGATAAACTGACGTGGGGGGCTTTCCCGTTAATCAAGGTACCCCCGCATTACGAGACTTGGAATACTCGATGAATTAACGCACATCAGTGTACCTCCAAAAGGGCAGAGAAATGGTCAATGCGGTGCTAGATTGTTCCTGACCCTGGTCCTCCCACGGTCTAGCCTCGACGCTAAAAATACGCAGCCAAGGCCAAGGTGTAGCCCAAATGCATGATGTCACCTGCGGAACACCCAAGATGAGGGGGGAAAAACCACCTTCCTTCCAAGATTTTTCTCTGTTCCACACCACTCCCACGGTCTTAAATTAGGCCATTCGCTCTTTAGCAATTCCAGATTTCACTGGATAAAGCTATTTGAGCTTCTAACTCATTTCGCTGTCTAGTTCGCAAGCGCTACATCGCCATGGGTTCCTCATCCCAGGTCTATCTGCTTCCTTTGAAGGATGACGGTTCCCCAGATGTGCCCGGCGGCTACATCTACTTACCACCCCCTACGGAGGCAGGTTATGTGCTGCGTTTTATCATTGAAGGGACCAGCTCAATCTGCCGGCAAGGCAGCTTATGGGTCAACATTCCTGAGGAGGGCAAGGCTTTTGATCGCCATTCGTTCCGCGAGTTCAAGTATGATCTCTCCCCTTCCGAATAGAATATCTGAGAATAGGTTGCTAAAATGAAGTAGACTGCGCCCCAATTTCAACGAGAACATACAGATCGATATTCGGGTTCCTAGCGCTGGCGCCTTTGCATACTATGCCACGTTCACCCCGTTGCCGGACTTCTCCGTTGAGGCGGTTCAAACGCCGGAACCTATCAAAAGCCCACTCTACTACATAGATGTGTCGCCAAAGCTCACATTACAAGGAAAGGACTTACCATTAAATGCCCTTTCAATCTTTTCGGTGATCTCGAAATTTATGGGACAGTACCCTATCGACTGGGATGGCCACCTCAATGGCATCAGCCAGCGGAACTACAACATGGTTCACTTCACGCCGCTCATGCAGCGTGGGGCTTCCAACTCGCCCTACAGTATTTTTGATCAGATTTCATTTGACTCCGCGCTGTTCCCCAATGGAGAGTCTGATGTCGCATCCCTTGTGTCGAAAATGGAGAAGGATTATGGTCTTTTGACCCTGACCGATGTTGTTTGGAATCACACTGCACACAATAGCAAGTGGTTGGAAGAACACCCAGAGTCTGGATACAGTGCCGAGACAGCGCCTTGGTTGGAATCTGCACTAGAGTTGGACACAGCACTGTTGAAGTTTAGCGACGACCTTGAATCTCTGGGCTTGCCGACCGAATTCAAAACCGTGGATGACTTGGTTGCTGTTATGAATGTTTTGCGCGATCAAGTAATTAAGGAGCTTCGCTTGTGGGAGTTTTACGCCCTTGACGTCAAGTCCAACGCAAAGAAAATCTTAGATGCATGGACCAGTGGAGCTGCGGACCCAGCCATTACCCAAGCTGATTACCTGCAAGGTTTCAAGAGTTTGACACCAAAGGAGCAATCACAGATTGTCCGCAATCACGGCATGGTGAATTCGAACCAACTTCGCGGAAGATTCGAGCGCGCAGTAGACCCTGCGTTTGGCGCTGCTATTCTATCAAAGTTTCACGGAGAGTTTGAAAACAACAAGTCCGTACTCCCTGAAGCCGAGGAATCTCTCTCTAGGCTCCTTGATGCCGTGAACTTGCCTCTCTACGAAGAATACGATGCGGATCTTGCTGATATCATGGATCAACTGTTTAACCGGACCAAGTATCTTCGGATCGACGATCACGGTCCAAAGCTTGGCCCTATTACCAAGGAGAGCCCGTTGATAGAGACCTACTTTACTCGACTTCCTCTCAATGAAGTCACCAAAAAGCACAACCCAAAGGCCCTTTCTCTGGCAAACAATGGCTGGATTTGGAACGCCGATGCGATGAAGGATAATGCAGGACCAAACTCCAAAGCTTATCTTCGTCGTGAAGTCATCGTGTGGGGAGACTGTGTCAAGCTCCGTTACGGAGATTCACCGAAAGACAGTCCGTTCCTCTGGGATTTCATGACCAAGTACACCCGTCTCATGGCCAAGTATTTCTCGGGCTTCCGAATCGACAACTGTCACTCTACACCGCTGGTGGTCGCAGAATATCTGCTAGATGAGGCCCGCCAAGTTCGTCCAAATCTGACCGTCTTTGCGGAGCTCTTCACAGGATCCGAGGAAGCAGATTATGTGTTTGTCAAACGCTTGGGTATCAATGCCCTCATCCGAGAGGCCATGCAGGCCTGGAGCACTGCAGAGTTGAGCCGGCTGGTCCATCGTCATGGCGGTCGCCCAATTGGTAGCTTTGATGTGGACCTACCATCCGCTGGCAGTAGCCATGCCATTGCTTCGGCAAAGTCTGGAGGTACGGATGAGCAAATCACTCACATCCGACCATCTCCTGTTCAGGCATTATTCATGGACTGCACCCATGACAACGAGGTCCCTGCACAAAAGCGCGATGCTCGGGACACTCTTCCAAACGCTGCTCTTGTCGCAATGTGTGCATCCGCGATTGGAAGTGTGATGGGCTACGATGAAGTTTACCCAAAACTTATCGACCTGGTTCACGAAACACGACTGTACGCATCGCCATTCTCCGGTGACCAGGAATTGGAAGTTGGCCCTGGAGAGGGCATTGGAAGTGTGAAGAAGCTTCTTAATGAACTCCATACCAAGATGGGGGTAGAAGGCTATGACGAGACCCATATCCACCACGACGGGGAATACATCACCGTGCACCGAGTCCACCCCAAGACCAGAAAGGGAATTTTCCTCATTGCCCATACCGCGTTCCCTGGCAATGACAATGGTGCGATCCTTGCTCCTACTCACATCACCGGTACACAGGCCAAGCACCTTGGTTCCTGGGTACTTGAAGTGAACGCAGATGACGAGACCAAGACCAAGGTTCTAGCAGATGATCAGTATCTCAAAGGACTCCCAAGTCATACAAAGGATATTGAATGTACAAATATCGAAGGGGATGGAAATGACGTGACCATCTCTGTGCTCAAAACTCTTGTACCCGGGTCTATCGCGCTTTTCGAGACTTGGATCCCTAGCGCAGAACACGCCAGTGGTCTGGATAGCTTCCTTTCTAGCGGAGCAGATGAGGCTTTCAGCGAACTCAGCTTGATTGATCTCAACTTCGTGCTCTATCGCTGTGACGCCGAGGAGAGAGATTCCAGCGACGGGCAAGATGGTGCGTACAGTATTCCCAAGCACGGATCTTTGGTCTACGCGGGTCTGCAGGGCTGGTGGAGTGTCCTGGAGGACATTATTAAATACAACAACCTCGGCCACCCACTTTGTGATCATTTACGTGAAGGCCAATGGGCCTTGGACTATCTTGTTGGACGTATGGAGAAGGTAGCCTCCAAGGAAGGTTATGTCGCACTACGCAAACCTGCCGCATGGCTTCGTGAGAAGTTCGACGCTGTTCGAGGTCTGCCGAATTTCCTACTCCCGCGCTACTTCGCAATTATCGTTCAAGTTGCCTACAATGCTGCATGGAAAGCAGGAATTCATCAGTTCAGTGACAATGTGCGCTATGGCCAGGAGTTTGTTCATCAACTGGCGATGGTCAGCGTTCAACAGACTGGCTTTGTCAACTCGGCTTCACTGTGGCCCACCAAACAGGTTCGCAGTCTGGCAGCGGGGCTGCCCCATTTCGCTGTTGATTGGGCCAGATGCTGGGGTCGCGATGTATTCATCTCCATTCGTGGTCTTTTCCTCTGCACGGGTCGCTTTGATGATGCGAAAGAGCACATTATTGCCTTTGCCAGCGTCCTAAAGCATGGCATGATTCCCAACCTACTCAGCAGCGGCAAGTTGCCTCGGTATAATTCGCGGGATTCGGTCTGGTTCTTCTTACAGGCAATCCAGGATTACACAAAAATGGCCCCGGATGGCATGAGTCTGCTGCAGGAGAAGGTGCCTCGGCGCTTTTTGCCGTATGACGATACATGGTTCCCGTTCGATGATCCTCGTGCCTACTCACAGTCTCCGACTATTCTGGAGGTCATTCAAGAGGTGTTCCAGAGACACGCCCTTGGAATGTCCTTCCGCGAGTACAATGCGGGATCGGACCTGGATATCCAGATGAAGCCCGAAGGCTTCCAAATTGATGTGAAGGTCGATTGGGACACTGGCATCATCTTTGGTGGAAGTCAGGACAACTGTGGCACGTGGCAAGACAAGATGGGTGAAAGCGTCACTGCTGGCAACAAGGGAGTTCCTGGAACTCCTCGTGATGGTGCAGCCATTGAGATCACTGGACTTCTTTACAGTGCTCTGGCTTGGGTGTCGCAACTACATGAGTCGAGTGTTTACCCACACAAGGGGGTGGACATTGGTGACGGAAAATCCATCACCTTCAAGGAGTGGGCCAGCAAGATCAAGACTAACTTTGAGCGGTGCTACTACATTCCCACAGACTCCAAGGAAGATGGTCAATACGATGTGGATGCCAACATCATTAACCGCCGTGGTATCTACAAAGACTTGTACAAGTCTGGTAAGCCTTTCGAGGACTACCAGCTTCGATCCAACTTCCCAATTGCAATGACGGTTGCCCCGGCCTTATTCACTCCCGAAAAGGCTCTGACGGCCCTTGCAATCGCCGATTCTGCCGTCGTTGGCCCCATCGGAATGGCCACCCTTGATCCGTCTGACATGAACTACCGTCCCAATTACAACAATTCCGAGGACTCCACCGACTTTGCAACTTCCAAGGGTCGCAACTACCACCAAGGTCCCGAGTGGGTTTGGCAGCGCGGTTACTTCCTTCGTGCTCTGCTCGCTTTCGACTTGCTTCGTCGCAAAACACCCGAGGAGCGCATTGAGTCCTTCCAGCAGGTCACTCGACGACTGGATGGCTGCAAGAAGGCTCTTCGTGAGAGTCCTTGGAAGGGGTTGACAGAGCTTACGAACAAAAACGGAGAGTATTGTGGCGATTCGGTATGATCTAACTCACCCTAACAAGTTTTATTGATGCTAACATAATGAAATATAGTCGCCCACACAAGCCTGGTCTGCTGGCTGCATGCTTGATCTCTACTATGACGCGGCCAAACTTTCCTAATCTTTTTCTGCTTATAGACTTAGCATATCCATGGATGACAGCGCTTAATTTTGTCTATTCCATGCATAATATATTTCTTTCCTTTTCAATCTGCATCAATTATGTCCAAGTTAAAAGGTTCCACGGGTGAAAATTTTAGTAATATTCATGGGTAAACATGCCATGAATGTTCGGTTCCGGGACGTTGGGTAGCTAGATGGCCCGATAACCATTTGAATAGGCCGATCATTGAAGCATGTTATGAAGCTCATCACACTTAATCACAGTCCAGGTGAGATATTTTAGAACGCTGAATGATAGATGTAAGTATAAAAAAACAAATCAAGATACATCATAACACAACATTGAACTGAATTACTGTATTCTTGTACAGATTGCAGTATTCACAAATGCTGAGTCAGCGACAGCGTCATTGCACAAAACGAAGGCTAGCTTGGTTAGCTCCTTTTTTGCCCTCCTTTAGACCAACCCCCGGTTTTGAACCTCCACCCTTGGCTTATACCTCCTTGTTTTACCATAGAGTTCTTTGAGTCCATTTGATTCCCACCACCCTTTAACCCCTTGCGCCACGTTCTGATGGACTAATACCTTGAGCATTCCGCGGACGACGATTCCACCCCACACTTTCAAGGCGCAAGGCGCCGTTTAATCGAAAAAGATGTCTCTAACGGCATCTGCGGCCACAACACTGTGGACAGTACTCGGCGATAACTCAAACGAGGGAGGAGAGCACCGATGGGAAGACCAGACCAAACAGCAACGTGATCTGTACACCCAATTTGTGCTCAGTTTTGCCCTTGGGTTGGGTGCTTTTTTGTCGTTCTGTGTTCTACGACCGAAATGGACGGAACTCTATGCTGCACGGCGAAAACAGAGGTCTTCCGCTTCGCGATTGCCGGAATTGCCGGATAGCTTGTTTGGATGGATTCCTGTTCTACATCGCATTACCGATGAGGAGGTGTTGCAGTCGGCTGGTTTAGATGCATACGTAGTACGTGTTAGACTTGCAAAAGTTTGGATTGGATATTTTGCTGACTCTAATATCCACATAGTTTCTGTCCTTCTTCAAATTTGCGATTCGACTCCTTCTTTACGTTTTTGTCTTCGCGGTGGCTATCATCCTACCGGTGCACTACCATTATACCGGCCAATATGGGCCTCCTGGCTGGGATAACGATGCCAACCCACCTGTTAACAATTCTATGAATGCAATCGGAGCGCTTGGGAAGGGTGATAAGGACCCAGTGCTTGACCCGGCCTACTTGTGGATATATGTCGTGTTTCCCTATGTGTTCAGCGGTTTGGCTATCTACCTGCTCCTTCAGGAAACGAATGAGATCATCCACACTCGACAAACGTATCTCGGAAGTCAAACAAGCACAACAGACCGGACAGTTCGGTTATCGGGGATTCCCCCTGAATTGAAGACCGAGGATGATATCAAATGCTTTGTGGAGGGGATACATGTTGGCAAGGTTGAGAGTGTTACTTTGTGCCGCAAATGGCGGGAACTGGATGAATTGATTGATGAACGGATGAAAATTATCCGAGGTTTAGAACGCGCATGGACAAAGCATATGGGATACAAGCGTCCACGCAGTGATGGGAACACCCTGCCACTAACTCGCCAACCGCCAGTTAGTTCAAATCGGCCTCTGGATGATGAAGATGAACGGTCTCAATTACTGTCAGGCGAAAATTCCCATGTCTCCGGCTACGCCAACGAACGGCCTCGAGTCCGTGTGTGGTACGGTCCAATGAGGTTGCGGTTTCGATCGATCGATGCCATTAATTACTATGAAGAAAAGCTGCGCAAGATCGATGAAAAGATTGAAAGTGCTCGAGAAAAAGAGTATCCTCCCACTGAGATCGCTTTCGTGACTATGCAATCTATCGCCGCCTCACAGATGCTAGTCCAGGCGATCCTCGACCCACATCCCATGCAAATGTTTGCTCGTCTTGCCCCAGCACCGGCTGATGTCATTTGGAAGAACACCTACGTCTCACGTAGCCGACGAATGACCCAGTCTTGGTTTATCACGGTTGTTATCGGTTTCCTCACCGTTTTCTGGTCAGTTCTTCTGCTGCCAATTGCTACTTTGCTGGACCTGCAGACGTTGCACAAGATTGTGCCGTCTCTCGCAGAACTTCTCTCCGAACACCCCATCGTAAAGTCCTTGGTTCAAACAGGTTTGCCTACATTGGCATTCTCTCTTTTAACCGTGGCAGTTCCATATCTCTATGAATGGCTCTCCAACAATCAAGGAATGATGTCCCGTGGAGATGTTGAATTGTCTATCATCTCGAAGAACTTCTTCTTCTCCTTCTTCAACCTGTTCCTCCTCTTCACCGTCTTTGGAACAGCATCTGGTTTCTATGGTCTCTGGGAGCACCTGCGTGACGCCTTTAAAGATGCCCAAACTGTTGCCTTGGCTTTGGCCACCTCGCTAGAAAGTCTGGCCCCATTCTACATCAATCTGTTGATGCTTCAAGGTCTGGGTCTGTTTCCTTTCAGACTCCTCGAGTTTGGCAGCGTCGCCCTGTACCCCTTGCGTTTCCTCGGGGCACGGACCCCCCGGGAATATGCGGAATTGTCAACGCCTCCACAGTTCAGCTACGGTTTCTCCATCCCGCAGACCATCCTCATTCTGATCATTTGTATTGTCTACAGCGTGTTCCCCAGTTCCTGGCTCATTTGCTGTTTCGGGCTAGTGTATTTCGTCATCGGCAAATTCATCTACAAGTACCAGTTGCTCTACGCGATGGATCACCAGCAACACTCGACAGGACGAGCTTGGCCTATGATCTGCAACCGAGTCTATGTTGGCTTGGTCATGTTCCAGCTGGCCATGATCGGTGTATTGGCTCTCCGCCAGAGCATCACTCGCCCATTGCTCCTGGTGCCTCTGTTGGGTTTCACTGTGTGGTTCAGCTACTGGTTCTCGCGGACATATGAGCCGTTGATGAAGTTCATCGCTCTTAAAAGTATTAACCGAGAGCAGCCCGGTGGCGGGGAGGTCTCTCCCTCTCCTTCTGCCACATTCTCGCCGCCTTCTGGGTTGGAGCGCGATGCGCTGCCTATTCAGATGGGTGGGCGAGAACTGGAGAACCGGTTAAAAAAGTACGTTCATCCGAATTTGATCGTACCGCTGCATGATGCATGGATCCCGGGCCGCAATCCTTATGGCAACGGTCAATATTTGGATCAATCCATTGAGTCGTTGAACAATGTTTCCGTTTGACCTGATTGCCCCCTTTAATTATCGCATGACTTCTGTTTCTTGTTCCTTGTTTCATATCTTATTGTTTTACGATGATACACGACCGTGATACCTCGATCGCATTCCTACTTGTTGATAATCTCTCGCTTAATCACAATACCCATGGAATTTCCGGCGCTTTGTTCATAATCATTCTCTCGCTTCATTTGCTTCATTTGATTTTCATTTTATCTCTCTTTTTTCTGAATAGAAACATGTACAGTGGCAGGTTGGACTGGTATGGACTTTGTAATTCTAGATCTTCCTTCTATTTGCAGCTCATGTGAACATTAACATTCCTTTCATCCGAAGCGAACGTGGCAATTGCCATGTCATCAATGATTATTTTATTTAACTTGATTTTGTGGATGATCCATAAAGGCAGAACTTGAATCGGCCTGGGTCGCGGAATAATATAAGTAGAATTCCTAGATCGAAAGTATCGTGACTAGAAAAGATCTTTTGATTCTTTGATCATTTTATCTTCTAATATTTTTATCTTCTAATCTTTGATTTTTTAATCTTTTAAACTTTCACATTTTCATCTTCTCATCTCTAAGCGAGTTCGCGTGCATAAGGAATGAATGCTTCTGGAATCCCCCAAGGGGCCCACATGGAGATAATCACACATTCCACGGCCTTGCGGTAAGCATCACAACAATGCTGCCCCGTGCCTCTCCCTCGACTTATGAGACAGAATAAACGAACATCAAAATAAAAGCGATCAACCTGTCAGTGGTTCAGAAGTATCGTGCTAGTGCATGCATAGTACATACTGTGGAGTCGTACAGTGTACTGCATCCGGAAACGTCACATTCTTGACTTCCTAATTCCCATACGGAATGCACAGCAGAATTACGCTTTTCAAGTTTCTTTGTGCCCCATGTGCACAAACTGTCAGAGACGATCAGTTGCCTTTTTCATTCCCATTCCACTCCCGTCAGCTAGTCTACGCGGAATCCCTGACTCGTCCATCGCCGATGTGTGGCGATCTTATGCTTTGACGGGGGTCCACCATCAACGTGGCTCGTGGCTTATGTCTCATAAAATGGCAAATGAGAGTTGAAGTTCCAGTTCAAGTTTCTCCCTTGGTTTCTGAATCTGAGTCTGATGTATATGATTCCTTTTATGCACAACAAAAACCCTTGCCTCGTCCAATTTCCCGTTTTCTCTCAATCCACCGCTTTCAGTTCTTTAATCCATACGACCTTGGGGCATATTTTGGTCGGGAATACTACCATGCCTTTTGCTGGATAAGATCTGGCTGGATCTGATCGGACTAGTACCACTTTATTTGGGATATCCCGATCGTTCCGTATCTAATCCTATACCGGTCGATCTCAGATCTGCTTTTAGATCAACATTCCCATTTGTGGTTTTGGGTTTGATCTACCGATTTACTTTCAACTTCATCGCCACATTGCGATATCTGGAAAGGTCAGGGTCAGGGAACTTTGAATGACAAACATCTTGGTTTATGAGTGGTGACGGAATGCCGGCTTTGAGGTCGCGGAGCAAACGCTTTGCACAGACGTCAGAGCCTGCTTCACAAGAAAAGGGAAATAGTACGAAAATCAACCAGTCAACGTCAATCGTTACAAATTTGTCCAGCAGGACTGAAGAAATCACAGATCTCGTGCACCATGACTATACCAAGGTTTCAGTCTCATCCGCTGCGAATATCACACCTGCGGAGATTCTATTGCAAATCTACTCCCTGTTGACACCCCGGGAGTTTGACAATGCGCGACGAACTTGCTCCCAATGGATGAGAGTCAGCTTGAATGCAGATTTGTTGGAGACCATGTTGAAGCGAGCAGGCTGGTGGGAAGCATGGCAGCAAGATAGAATAACACGACGGCTTTACCGTCCATCCAGCTATGAGAGTCGAGTCTGGAGGATGAGCAAACGATTTGCGACAGAGTGTTTGCTGTCCGGGAGAAGAGAGACTAAGAAACTGGCTTTTGTCGCAACGGGATCTGTCGATTTCTCGCGGCTTGCTAGCGGCTTGCAAAGGCCAAAACCCCGTGGAGCTGTAGCCTCCCTGGACCGAAATCTTCATAGCACCTCGACATTCAACGTCAGCAGCTGTGGCAGGTTTCTTTTGACTACGGCAGGCTGCGTGGTTTATGTCTTCCATCTCCTCGATAGAAGATCCAGATCCATGTCTTCGACAGAGCTTGCGGATTCCAATGTGATACCGATAACCGGTATCTCTTGTCAGTTTGAAGTATTATCGGCGACAATTGATACAACTGTATCTCCGTTTGTCATCGCTGCCTTATTACGCAATCGAGCTGGTATGGTCTGCGACTTGGACATATCAAACATCGCCGATGTTGCATCCACTGCTGGCTCAGTGGATGTATCGGAATCCTTGTCATCCAAACCATCCAAGCATAATCTATACTCGATGCCGGCCAGCAATTCAACTCCACACTACTTCTATGATGTTTGCTCAGAAGACCACCCTCCACGAACAATCGCCCTATGTCCAGGTCGTCGGTGCGTGGCTTTCGGTTGTGCAGGAGGCATCGAAATACACTGGGTCGACGAAGAAACCCAGAAAGACCAACGTCGACATTTTCCCATGTCCCAGCCATCCGAAATCCTACACTTCCTACCAAACTCGCCCAAAATACCGACAGAAATGCGCCTTATCTCTTCACTCGCAGGTCCCGGCGTCCACGAGTGCGCATGTCGACAATCCCCATACCCCGACCATCCCAAGAAATGCCAATTCAACTTCCCCGGCGACTCAAGATCAACTCGCAATCCCCCAAACACCCCATCTCTCAGCCTCGTCCGCGCAACACACTGCCACCACTACCGCGCCATGCCCATAAATGACGGCTACCACATCATCTTCATCGAACCACGCACTGGCCTCCTCTGCATCGGATCCGACGCCCCAATCGGCGGCCCAACAAGTCTCACCCGCGCCTTCGTCTGCATCCCTCCCAACAAAGACCAAGACCAAACGAACAGGCCCCGCGTCCCAACTGCCTTCGCCGTCGCCTCAGATCTACGCTGGGGCCTCCGCGTCGTAGCCGCATACCAAGATCGCTTAGTCCTCTACTCAATCCCCTTGGACATCCTAACAATCATCCGCAAAGAGCGCGAGCGCCAACAGGATGGTATAATGGGAGATGATCCAGCACTCACAGCATCCTCCTCCGAGCCCCGTCAACGCCGCGACAATCTCTTCCAGCATGAAAACGGAGACTGGGAATTTCTCCTGAGTGCACGCTCCAAACCACCCGCTACGATGTGGCCGTTCAAAACGCATGGTATGGAAATCGGCTACATGGACAATATCGTCGAACTCGCTCTACAGTCCTCAAATGGAGGTGCACGCATCTGGGCCTTTGATTCATCTGGCCATGCACGGATATTCGATATCAATACATTCACGTCATCCCAGTCACAATCTAAGTCCAAGTTCAAGTCCCCAACGGCCCTCCCAATGAAACAAGCCACCATAGCCTCAGACGGCAGTATCATATCTGCGTTAATAGCCGAGCGAACCACAAGTTCCGTACCCGTGTCCATGGCCGGGGATGGAGCCGGAGCTAGAGCCGGATCTCGGAAACGCAAGGCATCAGCACTAGATGAATTTGTGGGGCGATATGGTACAAGTCGATATGTGCCATATAGAAGCTTGGATGGTCTACAACCTGTCAATGCGCTTCGAATTCAAGAGGAAGACTTTTCTCTGCGAAGACCTTCCTTTGCGGCTTGTATTGTTGATTTCAGGATTCCTGAGCTTGGGATGAGGGATGGGGGGTGGGAATGAAAGTTGACTTGGAACCTTGAGACGTCATTTGTTTCATTGATGGATATCTTCTCCGCTATGACGTGGTGTGGAGTTGTATCAATGTTTGGGTGGAGTGGTTGTGTACATTACGGCTTTGCTTGAACATAATAAATTATACATACCATCGATCGATTCAACCTGGATAAACTTTGAGCTTCCAGATACATGTATCATGTGCCGACTATTTCTGTTGGGAATGACTGACTTTATTATATCCGTGGATTTGTTGTGGCGAGAAAGTTCTTCACCAGGATAAGGTTCTATATACCTAACGAGATCTATGTCAGGCTGATCACTGAGATAATTACTACCGGAAAGGTAAGTGTGATTTTCATCAAGGGTATAGTCTATTGTAAACAGTTCGTAGAGATGCATAAATACAATCGTAAATCTTTATCTACAAGCCATGCCATGCCATGCCAATCCCCATTTTCCCAACTCAAAGTCGGGCAGCAAACCGAGCGCCATCACCATCGCTATCGCCATTCTCGCCAGGAGTCTCAGAAGAATTCGAAGTACGCGATACCGGGGGGCTAAAAAACCAAATTCCCGCAATTAACGACACACACTTTAAGAAAGAGGCCGAAAAGAGGATTTACCGCTCGATGTAAGCAGGGATATCTGCAACCTTCATGCTTCCCTCCAGAATGCCTATGGATCCAGATTAGTGGTTGTACAGTATGTGTAGTAGCAGAGTGACTTACGGAAGACAGCAGTGAATAGAGGGAACTCGTCCTCCATGCCCTTCTTCTTCAGGAACTTGTTGACCTCAATAGCGGTCAATGTGCCCTGGAGACTTTGGCCGTTAAGCTCTGACTTCTCAACCTGCTCAATTGTCTGGTTGCGCTCAACGCTAAGCTTGGCACAACGGAAGTTGCGGCCACTGCTGGAACTGGTGATCAGGTCGGCCACACCGGCACTCTCCTCGGTGAAAGTACGCTGATCGATGGTGGCACCGAAGAACAGATCACCGAAACGAACCATCTCCTTCAGACCAACGCGCATCACGGCGGACTTAGCATTGTCACCCCAGCCCATACCGATAACCCAGCCGGCAGCGATGGCGACGATGTTCTTCAAAGCTCCGCTGACGGACACACCGGCGACGTCATTTACGACGCGCACGTGGAAGTATGAGCGGTGGAAGAGGGACTTGAGGACAGCGTGGTCGATGGGAGGGTAGTCCACGGGCAGTGCCTGCAGCTTGACGTCGGACATTTTACCCGAGACATCTTTGTGCTCAAACTCGACGAGATTGGTTTGGGAGCCCGAGGGCGAAAGCTGTGGGGTGGGAGCCTTGGAGTCCATGTGCGGGGGGTCGTATGCGACGGTGGTTTCGGACCACTTCTCCTGCGCAACCTCATTGGCGATGTTGGCACCGGACAGGGCACCACAGTAGATGCCGAGGCACTTGCCAATGGTCTCTGAGAAGAGGTGGACGCCGTCCTCTGTGACGTCGACACCCTTAATGCAAGAAATACCACGAGCGTAGGGTAGGATCTTGCCCTTAATTGACTCGCAGATCTTGTGGATGAACTGATGGGGGAGGTTGAAGACGAGGAGGGTGCTGTCCTTGACAGCATCCTCAAGGGAGGGGTTTGCGTGGAGGTTGGCCGGCAACCGAATTCCTTGCAGGTACTTGACGTTCTCGTGTGTGCAGTTGATCACATCAGTGAGTTTTTGAGGGCCCGGGTTGGCGGGGTCGTAGTGTGGTGAATCCTTTGCGATCTCAACATTCTCCTCAAACACCCACATCTCGACCTTCTCCTCGAAGAGGTCAGGGTTGCTAGCGGCATTTTCGGCGACAATCTTAGCGATGGCGGTACCCCTACCAATGCAGAAAAGAAAGGATTAGTTGGCTGTTCCTGGGGGGTAGATCAGAGCAAAGGGGGTGATTACCAGTTACCGGAGCCCACCACGGTCACCTTGTGTTTGCGCTGGAAAGGAGTGAGAGAACCCATTTTGGAAGAAGATGTAGATGAATATGATCGACACTGAGAAGCGGCGGGAGATGGTGTCTTATAAAAGGACACAGGATAGGACGGGGGCAACCGGGGAGGCTTGATACAATTCTGGAACCGGGTGGGTGGAGGCGACCGAGGCAAGATGGCCGTGGTACGCGCAGGAAAGCAGATCCGATAACAACGGGTTGGGGAGGGCATCCAGAATAGGCTTGACCGGCACCCAATTAGAACAAGTTAAGACCGGGTATTCGTTCAAGTGCACTAAGTTCTGATGTCACAGGCCCCGGAGTTCTCTTGTGAGAATTTACCCGAAAAGGTGGAGCGAAGTGTAATGTGAGGTTTACAACTGAAGCGGTCACGTCACAGCGAGCGCATTCTCGCGTGGTCCTGTGGTTTTCGGTGTTCCTTTAGGTCAAGTGGATCTTGTAATTTCTTAGTGAAGATATGTCGTTGGTTGGATTATCACAGGGACAAGGGGCAAGCGGGCGGTCAAGGTGGGGCGGAAAACGAAAAAAAATCTGGTGCCGATCAATTCACATGCGGGATTATGACTTTGCTTGACTCCACGTCACCAAACCGGATCTTTCTCGTCTCTCTAAAAAACGATGAAGACGAAGACTGTCGGAAGGACCGCCCCGAGATCAGCTCCTTTTGGAGATGATTTCCGGACTAGCAAAAAGGACAAGCGTCAGATCAAGCGCGCCGGGTTGATGTCCAAAATCACCAAGAATGCGACTACCACCACCAAGAAGCGTCGTGCCTCCAAAAAATTGGTCGCCAACCTCGAGTCCCTAGCGGATGCCTTACCCGAAGCTGCAGAGGAGTCTCACGATGCGGCAAGCCAGGTCAATGTGATCAAACAAAACACCCTCCGTCACAAGCCTGGTGCTGTGAAGCGCCGGGAGAAAATCGAGAAGGTCGAACGGGATCGATTCGCGAAGAACATGGCCCAGATGTCAGGTCTGCAGGCTACAGTACCAAGTGCTGGCGAGGAAACCACAACCGCCAACCCCACGGCCAATAGGTGGTCTGCGCTGCGGAGTTTCATCTCTCAGACAATGGAACAACAGCCCGTTTTCAAGACGAACAAATGAAGAGTGAGAGGAATCAAGACCGAAATCCGAATTCCCCCAAAACACCTGCGACTTAATGATACCCACGACTTTAACTACATACGAGTTTCAAATCCGGGCGCCACATACCCGACCATTCGCCCAAGGGCGTCAAATACTTGCAGTTGAAGTCTCATTCTGCATTGATGATACCGGTTCAGCAAGATCTGACTTGACTGCTTTTGGATCTCAAAGACTTTACTACCTGATGAACTTGCTCTCAGGCACCCGAGGAACTCTTCATTGAGCAGTCTTCGGATTTAGTCTACAATCAAACAAATCTACACAAATAACCACTCATTATGGTCACTGAATTCAATCTTCGTAGACATAGGACAGTATAATAAGTAACGATGATCAAACGCCATCCATCCAAAGCGAAAGTCATTGGCCTACTTAGTGACTGAAAGTTACTGTTCTGTGACATGGCATTCCTGCGGGCCAGGCATCTTAAAAGTTACAAGGTTTTCGGTACATAATACATAGACGACCACAGAAAGATCGGGGAAACATGGAAGTCCCCAAGGGTCGATCGTGAGTCCGTGACCTGACAGGCACACCAAAAGTACCCACCTGGTAAGGCCTAGAAACATGGAAGAGATCAGTGCTCACGGGTCCTAATACGAGTCTAGTCACCAGGCTTCCATGTAAGTAAAGGGAAATCAGTGTCCTCGTCATCGTTCTCAATCTTCTCCCTACCTAGCGGAATAGTCAAACACCCTCCGAATATTGCAAGGCTACTCCCGATGCTGCATGGTTAATGTCGATCTCCTTTCTCGTATTGGTCAATAAATGACATCACCTACTTCGGTGCCGATGATCTACAGATCGGGTTGGATATGGACCTCGGGAAAGGCTTGATCATTATCATGTACGGAGCACCTTGTCTACTATACTCCATACTGAACGCCGGAGACCAAAAATTTCAGATATATGTACTCCGTAAATGATGATGTACACCCGAAACCCGTTGACCTACGGGACTACACTAGATTTAAACATGTGGAGTAAATTTGGTGCGGTATCGGGACCCTGCGCGATATACTTCGAGCGCTTCTACGTCACCGATTGGAAGTGAAGACCACATGTGCTAGTGACATCGGAGTGTATGATTTCAAAACGAGTACTTAGAATCTAACCTACATATGTACTTCTATGTAGCCAAATATGTAATGATTCAACTGAGATAAAGCATGTCCGATATCCCGGTCCGATGCAAAGCGTGATGACTAAGCCGATAAGCTCACCTGCGGGGAAGCTTCCCCAATTGGTTATCTGATCCAACAACTCACTGACTCACTACAAGCATCAGTTGATCCTTTTCCTTTTCAAACTCAGCCTTGCAGCTTCCGGATCTTCTCGGCGATGCTGTGGCGGCCAATTCAACGTCGCCTTCCGCTTGCCCTAGCGCATCGTGACCTTATCCGATGTCGGCCGTGGCTATTATCTTCTAGCCACACACGTCTACTATTCAGTAGCTCCTCAAGGTCCTCCCAGTTTAACCGGTCTGACTTTACGAACCAACCATTTACCGGAAGCTATGAGACTGGACTCCCGACGTCTGGGCCCCTTGGCTCAACCCCAGCCTTTGGTGCTCCGCGGATTACCCCGAAGGTGCTGAAGCAGTATCTCGATCAGTATGTGGTGGGGCAGGATCGCGCGAAGAAAGTATTGAGTGTAGCGGTCTACAATCATTACCAGCGTGTACAGGAAATAGCACGACGGGAGGAGGAAGCAGAGGAGCTTGCGGCAAAACGTCAGCGGAAGGAGGCGCTTGAGAGTCATCCTTTGGAAGGTATGTCCCTTGGTCTATCTTTTATCCCTACCGTTGTAACCCTGCTTTCGATTAGATGAATATCCAGGCCAGCAACGGACAGTTGGTCTTCCATCTTCGCCCAAATCCCGCCAGGCAACCCCCTTGGGTCAAGACGTGCTCGTTGATACATCTCCACTTCCACTTGACAAGTCCAATATTCTATTATTAGGCCCTTCGGGTGTCGGTAAGACGCTGATGGCTAAGACGTTGGCCCGTGTGCTGTCAGTGCCATTCAGCATCTCGGACTGCACCCCCTTCACACAAGCTGGCTATATCGGCGAAGATGCCGAAACTTGCGTTCACCGACTACTCGCTGCTGCCAACTATGATGTGGAGCAGGCGGAACGCGGAATAATTGTACTTGACGAGGTTGATAAAATTGCCGCAGCAAAAATTAGCCATGGAAAGGACGTGGGTGGTGAGGGAGTCCAGCAAGCACTGCTGAAGATCATTGAAGGCACCACTATACAAGTCCAGGCCAAACCGGAGAAGAACCCTCGCTCGAACAGTCCACCTAACTCATACCCATCTAATAGCCCTCTGGGAAATACCCCTTTCCAACCTCACAGTGGTAGCCCTCCCAATAAGGGTGAGGTGTATAATGTGCGCACGGACAATATCCTCTTCATCTTCTCCGGCGCCTTCGTTGGTCTTAACAAGCTGGTCATGGACCGTATTTCCCGAGGGTCCATGGGATTCGGACAGCCTGTTCGTTCACACGATGGATCCAGCCCCTCAGATCCCTCTTCCGCAGAACCACTTCCCATTATCCCTGGCTCTGAAGAAGAAGCGCTATACAAAAAGCACCTTCCTTTCTTCACCTCTGCAACCCCCGCACCGGGCAGCGATCCTACCTATTTTAACGCACTTGACCTCTTAACTCCAACAGATCTCCAATCATATGGCTTCATCCCGGAGTTGATTGGCCGAATTCCCGTCACCGCTGCTCTATCCACACTAACTCAGCCCTTGCTTCTTCGTATCCTCACCGAACCCCGCAACTCCCTCCTAGTCCAATACACCACGCTCTTTTCACTCTCCGGAATCGAGTTGCGCTTCACCACACCAGCTTTGCATACTATCGCATCCAACGCTTTTAAAATGGGCACGGGTGCGCGTGCGTTGCGAACAGAAATGGAGACTATCCTCAGCGACGCAATGTTCGAAGTCCCAGGATCAAGTGTGAAGTTCGTGCTCGTTACTGGGGCCGTTGCAAAACGCGAAGAGAAGCCCGTCTACCTTGCCCGTGGTCAAGGCGGTAAATTCCACGCTATGATATCAGCCGAAGAAAGCGAATGGGAGGATAAGACAAGACGCGAGAAGAAAGAAAAGAAGAAGAATGGAACGCAGAATGATTCTGGTGAGCATCCTTCGAATTTCCAGGAATATCGCAAGCGTGCAGTTGGGTAGTTGGTACTCTTTTGAATGCTTTCCAATTCCTCGCCCTGGTTTGGCGATCACGACATACCCGATTTCGTTTTTTTTTGGTTCTTCATTCAGCCCCGGGGATAATGTACTTTCTCGTTTCGGATTCGCGTTTTAACATTGGATCACTTTGAAAATTGTAAATTCCATCATTGTCTAATTTACATCATACAAAGAGAAAAGGGAATGAGTAATCGTAAGTATGGATTTGCAGGTTTCGACATTTTCATCATAGTCCAGCAAGACAGATGGGATCTCATGTGAGAAAACAAAAAAAACCCGTAGAAATAGAACGAAACAACCCGTTGGTACTGTTGGACACCATTGATCTCCTTATCGGTAGGGCTGAGCAAGAGGGTTCGACGGATAAGCCTCTGGCGCCAGCCTGGGATCCCTGCTACCCTTACGATCTCTACTAGGATCGCCACGGTTCTTACGAGGGTCGCGCGATTCCTGTGGTGTATGAGGGGTCCACGGGGTGGTGACGCCGCCTTCAGTGGCAAGCTGAGGGGAGTTAACCTGTCGCTGAAGACCATTTTGAAGCCTTTCGAAAAGAATGCTTTCATCCGTGGCGAATGCTCGACAGAAAGCCTTGAAACCGTCTAACACGACGACATGCCCCCAGCCCGACCAGCGACTTAGTAGGGGTTCGTTCTTCAAAAAGGTGACGACGGCTGTTTTGCGGAAGCGCGCTGCATTCACTTGTGTCCATCCGGCGAAGGCCTCGACGAGATGATCTGCGTCTCTTTCTGGTTGTGTTAGGCATTTGGTGTGTGCGTGTTCGGCACCGGTGCGGGTGCCATATCCTGGGATAGGTAGACAAAGAACATTATTGTTTGAGCGGTCCAGGGATTGAATTGAAAGACTGTCCAGTTCGAAGAATGGAAAATTCGGGTCCGTGGAGTTTACCATCTTGATACAAGCGATGATACTCATAATGCTGGGTAGAGTGTTAGTTTGCAAGAAACAAGCGACATGAGCAGGGTTGAGAACGCACTTGACATCATCATTCTTGTCTCGGTTGGGATTATCCAATCTCTTTTCTAGCTTTGTCATGAAGTCGGGACAGAGCACGAGTTTGGATGTTACTGGTGTTTTACTTGAGATGTGCTTGTGGTAAAACCAACAGACAATCATGGCGGCTCGCTTCAAGTCCTGGACTACGTCTTCGGTAAGCAAAATTGCAGAGCTATGAGGGAAAATAGCTTGAATATGAGAGCCCTCGCTGCAGTATCGAAGATCTGGCAGATCCAACGGTCTCCGGAGACGGACAGTCCAGAAGTTGTGATTGTCTTTCCATAGGTAAGACCGAATTTTTGGCCGCAAGCTTTCGTACTGAAAGAACGATTCATGGAACTGTTGGTCAAATCAGCTATCTCCGCATGGTTCTCTGGCGAAATTCCGAGTACAACATACGATAATCACACCACGCTTGCAGTCGCTATGGAATTTTTCCCAGTTCCTTGGGTCCCGGTTTGTCCAGTACTTCACTCTATGATGATTGAGCCAAGCCTCCATGAATTCCAAATCGATGCAGGCATCTGTATCCTCAACAGGAAAGTGAAGATAGAACGTGTCTGTGATGTCGCCATTATCAAGGGTGCCTAGACGTTCGAGCGTCATTTTGAACTGATCCTTAAAGATTTTGAGCATTTCATCTATTGCCTGTTCGCTGACATTTGTCGGGGGTGCCTTTCTAACACTCCCCAACTTTTGCGATGGCATAGCTGGCTCCCGGACATCCTGCGGAGTATCCACTAGCACTGGCCCTTGGCCATTGAATGAAGTGTCACTGGAGGTGTCCATGATTATATCCGGACCCCAGTTCGGTGTTTCATCTGGTCTCCGCCTGCCTGACGTATCCGATTTTGTAAGCATCCAGAGACGAGAGGGATGGATATTTGGTGACCCGACCAGGGGAGCCTGAATTTTATTGTCGTTCGTTGTGGACTGCCCAGGTCTGGTATTGTCAAGTTGCCGAATCACAGGCGCGCGAGGATTCGTAAGATTGCTGGATATTGTGCTGAGAGTTGAGAAATCCGGCAAGGGACCCCTCACAGCAAGACAGATGACCGCACCACTTGGCAACCGAATTTGTCCAGGGTTCGTGAGAAACCGATCGAAAATAGACGAAGGAGAGTAGGCGATCCAGTTCATCCCTCTGCCATTAGCTGGGTAATGGATAGCCGCCATATTTTGTCTACGGAGAGACTCGGCCATGTAGAACAATTGCTCATTCGAGTCTTCGAACCCTTCCATCCACGCATTGCACCATAGTCGATGGCTTCTTGTCTCGTGGAACTTAGTGAAATCTTAGTAAAAGCGAGTTTCCAAAAGAACATTGCAACTTACATCCCGTGCCAACTCCTGGTATTGGTCGAATGTACATGAGTGTTTAAACCACACGTCCAGTGTGATGCTTCCTTTCCGCTTGGATGCAATCAGGTCATGAGCGGCCAAAAGCTTGTGCCCACATAATCTCACGGCCCCGATGTACTGCTTATCAACACCAAAATAAGCGTGAGCCAGCACCTCGCCCGGGTTCCAGAAATGACCTGCCGGGTTAGATTTAAAACCTTTCTTTTTAATCCCTACTGGCATTCGGGCAATCTGGTGTTTCTCTTCTTCGGTAAGAACAGTTTGGGCTGAAGGTCTTGGCTTAGTGACTGGAGGCGGGAATGGACCCCGACTCCCCGGCCTCGAGATAGTATGACGGCGAGAGGTTGGTGACGGTGGACGTGATAGCTCATGTCTTTCCGGTGAAGTTGAGTGTCTGTTGTATCTCATCGCGGGGAAAGATTGCCGGCGATTGTATGCATCAGGAGAAGGTCGACGTCTATATGGAGATGGCGATCGCCGGGGCCTGTAAACATCTGGAGATCGTTGACGTCTAGACAGAGATGGTGATCGCCGGCGGCCATAATCGGGAGATCCTCGGCGATGGTACACGTCTGGTGACTTTCGCCGACTGTTCTCTTCTGGTGCGATAGAACGCTTTTCTGAATCAGGCAAATTCGGAGGATTGTCTCCCTCCGTCAATCTAGCTCTAGGAGCTACCCCGTGAGCTCTTGACATGGTAGGCAGAATTGGGGCGGTTGGAGTAATGGTGTCTGGAGCTTGAATCTCCGAAGAATTTTCAGTGCGGTTTGATGCTGCAGATTGAACCAAGTTAGGAGGGCCGGGAGGGCCCATCGATGTAATGATGGCTGCTGATAGACTCGACTCTGACAGTGTCTCTTCAGCTGATTTAATTGTGACGGTCGTTCTGTCTATCATCGAAGGAGAAGGCTGAATGTACCCGTAATTCTCTCTGCTGGGAAACTCCGAAGGCTTCATCAGCTCCAATTGATTGATATCTGGAGCCCTCTCGCGAGCCCAGCGTGAATTCAACCCCTGTCGCTTGTTACTTGGACGAGCTGTTTGACCAGACCCAAAGAAAGGAGTTTTAGTAGCTGGTTCCTGAGGCCTAGATATCGAGTTAGCCAATGTCCAGGTTGGTTTTGACCGGGGCTTTTTGGCTGTTTGAATGGCTGGCTTCTGTTGGGCTGGTTCCTTCGGCGATGGTTTCGCTGGTATCGCTAGTACCGCTGGTGTAACTGGTGCCTTAACAGCGTGCACCGGGGCTCCGGTCTTTTTCGGTGACTTGGAAGGACCAGATGTAGGATGTTTAGGAACTTCCCGTGGCACTGTGCGTGGCTCCTCTGGAGGGACAGTGTCTGGCCGAACGAACAAAGATGAAACCTCCGACGAGAAGCGCGTTTCTCGCCTATGACTGAGGGGTTTATCTGAGTCAGATGAAGATAAGCCTGGCAATGGGTGAAAATATGAATCAAAATCAGTGTTGATGGAACAGTTCTCTTTGATCAAGTCTCTCTTGGATGCCGCGAATTCGGCCTCAATTCTCTTTTTATCACGCTCCCATCTCTTCACGTCGAAGCGACGTTCTCTTCCAGCTGTGATGAGAAGCTTCTTCCTTGCCCAATCCATCAGTGTATCTTCGGAGTTGAACTGCTCGGCAGGCTCCCAGGTGGCGTTCATCAGGTCAAAGCCATCCCATTTGACTAGATATTCTGTCACGCCCTTTTTGACCCTCTCCTCAAGGATAGCTTCTACATCGAACTCATCCTCCTCCTCTGACTCTTGCTCTGATGTATCAGCATTACTCGGAGTTGGAGGATTGGACCGGCCAGAAAGCTCGCCGTCGCCGCTGCCACTTTTGTTCTTCATATTGGCTTTTGTTGACGTGGTCATGTGCTGCAAAGATTTGCACAGGTAGAAGTTTGAAAGATTGTTTGATAATAGTTATGACAGATGAATTTCCGCAGAGAAAAAGGCACAGTCTTCGTGCGATAAAGCCATTAACAGCGTGAGAATGTTGTATGAAAGACAGGACCGTTTCCGGGGGAGATGAATGTTTAGAAACCTCCGGCACATTCTATATAAAGAGATTAAGGCTTTTTGAAATTCAGTGAAATGCCCACTCAAATCCAAACTTTTAAGCTCCTTGTAAAAAAGTCTTGGATGCAACTCTCTCTAACATCAAAATCTAAGATTGAACATTGGAACTTGAAGTTGCCGAGCGGCAAAAACAACACCCACGTGACTTGTGGGTTAAGGAGACACTCCACCTAGGAGACATCAACTCTCCCTATCGGCCGTCACTTACTACATCTTCCCGCTTTTTTTCTCTTCTGTACTTCACCCCTTTTCTCCTATTCCTTCTTTATCCTTCAACATGGCCAACGACGAATACGATGTAAGTCATTCTATCACTCTGTTATTGTTTCTGTCGCTGACTGGCCCCAGTTTCTCTTCAAAGGTAACGTCGCCTCGTGCAGCTGCCTACCGAGTGATGCTGCGCAACACTCTGCAACCCGTGCCCACCAACGGACCTCGAACAAAATAATATAACTGACGGCAATATACAGTGGTGTTGATCGGAGATTCCGGTGTCGGTAAATCCAACCTGTTGAGTCGATTCACTCGCAACGAGTTCAACCTGGACTCTAAGTCAACGATCGGTGTGGAGTTTGCGACTCGCTCGATCCAGGTCGACTCGAAGACCATCAAGGCACAGATCTGGGATACCGCCGGTCAGGAGCGCTACCGTGCCATCACTTCTGCTTACTACCGCGGCGCTGTCGGTGCCCTCCTCGTCTACGATATCAGCAAGCACCAGACCTACGACAATGTCACTCGGTGGTTGAAGGAGCTCCGCGACCACGCCGACTCCAATATTGTCATCATGCTCGTCGGTAACAAGAGCGATTTGAGACACCTCCGTGCGGTCCCCACCGAGGAGGCCAAACAATTTGCCAGTGCGTGCACGTGCCTTGTCTCACGGGGCTTTCGACATGAGTGTATGATGATGCTGACTATCCTCTAGGCGAGAACAACCTCTCTTTCATCGAAACCTCCGCCCTTGACGCCAGCAACGTCGAGCTCGCTTTCCAGAACATCCTCACAGGTGCGCCCCCACTCAGCCCCAAAGTCTCCACCTATAAAGCTAACTAGCCCCTCTCTAGAAATCTACCGTATTGTGTCTAGCAAGGCTCTCGACTCCGGCGAGGGCTCCTCGGCCGGGCTCCCTGGTGGCCGCCCCGTCATCGAGGTCACTCAGCAGGACCAAGAGCAGAAGCAGGGCTGCTGCTAAACGATTCGTGAGAACGCTCCCGACCGCAACGACTCTTCTTTTACAATGTGATATTGGAATGGCTTGATCCGTGATGGGGTCTGTAATTTGAAACACGGAGGATGATACACAGGCAGGATCTGGTAGACAGCACATGGGGGAAGATGGGGATCGTAACCCGGACATATCTCCCGATAGTCGGACCTTTTGTTTTATTTTCTTTCCCACCCCATTGCTTTTGTTTTTTTTTCTGCGTGGTTATCCCTATGAAATTGATTTCCTTTCCACCGGACTTAAGTATTTTGAAATCTGTTGGTGCCCCGCAATGGGCGCAATAGGCGTTGCTGTAACTATGTGGGTTTGTATGAAGTCGTTTCTGCAAAATGAGTATAGTCGTTCATTTCTTCGTAATCTGCAGTTGACATAACATTTGAATTTGGGGTGTCCTCGTGTGGCGGTTTTGTGTTTAACTAGTCCAGATGGGCTGCCACAACTCGGGCCCACTTGAAGCTCCACACTCTTAAGGAAATCTTACGTCTATGATAAGAAAGTGGCGGTTGTGGCCTTAAAGGCCATTCTAGGCCAACGTTCAATACGTTCCACATATTTGGGATCCTCTAATGTTCCAGGATTTGACTACTTCTAAATGAAAACTGTAGTTGTAGAACATGCAAGATACTTTTGAATGAAAATTAACCAGTACAAGACTTTGCCTTGACGCCATAGCAGACCATGATATCGTCGCCATCAAATATACATGTAGTAGAAAGAAATCTCTAGAGTGGATCAAATGAATGAACGCTGAAACCCCACCCAGACCCTTATTTGAAAAGCTTTCTCGAATCCAGCGCATGTGGCTTCTGCGACGAGTTGTCGGTAAGACCCAGATCCGTTCGCTTGGCCACACGGTCTGTTTGCACGTCCCGACGTGCGGTGTAACGACCAGCCTTGCCCATGCGAACCTCGCGACGGACCTGGTTGGGGCTGACATACTCCTTGTTCTCATAGATGACGGGACCGCCAAAGCTACCCTCCAGGATAACAATGGGAGTCAGGACGAATCGCGGACCAATCTCGACCAAGGAAATCTCGGGCATGCCATCTCCGCCCTTGGGAATGGGCTTAGCAGTTGGCTCGCCATCCTTCTTGGCACCACCCTCAGACTCACGGATCTCGTAGACACGGATCCAGATCTTGCCGTCAACACCAAAGATACCGATGATGCGGTCGACGAAGGGCTTCATGCCCTTGACGCCACGCTTGGGCACACAGAAGACACCGCGGAGCATCTCACGAACCAGCGCACGGTACTCGGTGCCAGCAACGCCCATGTTGGGACCCTGCTCGTCGAATGATCGGTCGAAGACAACGACTCCTCTGCCGCCCTTCAGGCAGTTACCTGCGAATCCTGCGCCGAGCTCGGCCATAGTGTGCAGATTGTTAAGGTGAAACTTGATAGTAGGGCCGTTGGGAGGGCGCGCAAGCCAGAGGTAGAGATCCTGGCCGTTCTTGCGGGCCTCGAGGAAGAAGATCATGTTGCAGGAGTGGAGATCAGCGAGCGAGTTGAGCAAAAGGTTGTAGCCGGCAGTCTTCTTCTTGGTGTCGAGCTTGGTTTCTTTGTGGGTGTGGGGGAGGAGTGCGCAGAGATCGGCCATCAAGTGTCGGTGACTGTAGCAAGAAAATTGCGCTGGTTAGTAAAATGATTCTTGGTTCAAATTGAAGCGATATGAGGATCTTACCGATGTGAGACACCGCGGGATGTCAGAATGAGAACTCGAGTCTTGGGCATAAAGCCTTGGGCAAGCATCTTCTTGGCTGCGACGATGCGGTCCTCGTCGTCCTGCTCATCTTCCTCTTCGCTGTCGGTGGTATCGTCGGCATCATTCAGCAGCTCCTGCAAACCCGCTTCCATTTCATTATCAGAATCATCCTCAATGGATTGACGAGCCTTCTTCTTGTTGACTGCTTTGTAAACTGCTGCCATGGTGACTGTGATTTGGTGGGTGACTTGAAATAGATCCAACACTGAAAGCTTCCGAGAAAAGTTGGTGGCAGAATATTTTTTTGCTGCATACCGCCCATTAGTGTTCTGGTCACGTGGAGATTATACTATCTTGGCGGAGACAATTGTAACACTAACAAAATACACCTACCTCACTGGGGCTATTCGATTGAGAGAATATCTAGAACATGAATGCAAAGATGGATTCTGTCGACATCGGCACAAAAGCTCCATACCCGGTACTGGTGATCCATCGTGTCGTAGGCCGAGCTCTCGGAAGTGCCAGTCCTCGTGCTTCTTGTATTTGGCTGTTGCCGTGTACCATCAGATGTCTAATTGATTTGCAGCTGTACCCAAATTCTGCAGAGCTATTTATGAAGAAGACAAAGGATTCAGGATGTTTGGCAGCCAACGAAACTCAAAGCTGCATCGCCAAAGCTGATTATTTTGCATTCTCATTCATACAAATGCTAAAGAATCGCCCGATCAGTCATTCAGACCTCGTTTGGCGCGATTTCTAATTTCTGCACCGTATTAACAAGTCACACAAACCCCCGTCAAGCATTGAAAGCTCCAAAGGCCTTGCAGACACTAGCCCAAAGAACACTAGAATACTTCAGGGTCCACCTCCAGACAAAGTATTGTACAAAGCTCCAAATTCCGCATACCACTTGTCCACAATCTCTTGGCTCATTCCAGGAGCAATCATGTCGTCCCCCCTTTCCAATCCAGCAGATACAAAGTCCATGAATTCGTCCACAGACAGTACGTCTGGATTTTTGTGCTTCTTATTGTCATCTGGATCATCTCTTTCCCGATGAAGATCGGTCGCCACTGAAGGGGGTGCAACTTCAATAACCTTGATCTTCTCGAAGCCCCCACGAGCAAGCTGCGAGCGTAAAGTCATTGACCAAAAATGAAGCCAGGCTTTTGTTCCATTGTACACCGGATTTATAACGGAAAATGGAATGAATGCGAGAATTGACGAAACATTGATGATGGTAGCATGTGGTCTGCCTTTGAAATGTTCTAACAACCCGAGCGTGAGGTGCATGGGCCCGCGAATATTGATGTCAATCTCCTGGTCTGCTTTTAGCAGGAAGTCGGAGGGTTCATCTTGCAGAACATGGAGAGGACGTTGGACGCCTGCGTTGTTGATTAAGCAATCAAGCTCGGGGTATTTGGCAGTGATAGTGGCAGTGAAGGGTGAGATTTGGTCGATTTTTCCCGTATCGAGAACGAAGTAGTCTGTAGCGCCGATTTCTTTGGCTGTCTCGCGTAGATTGCTCTCCGTTCGACCAGCAAGAATCACTTTTCTGTTCTGCCTGACAAGGTACGCAGCTATCGCCTTGCCCAGCCCTCCGCCACCACCGGTTACGAGAGCGCAGGAAAAAGATAGATCAGACATAACCATGGAATGCCAAATGGAGCGTGTGACGTTTATAAGCTGTAACTACAGCGAGAGTTCATATCAAATATATTTCTGTTATTTAAGAGTTCATCGGACTGGGATATATACATTACGTCATGGTCTTTCTACTCGGGGTAACTTCGGTCTCTGAATTTGTCAGCGATGTCTAAAACATGGCCAGGTGGAGTAGTTCACTTACTGACTTGGAAGCAGTGGACTTTCCCAGGTTTTCATGGAGCTAGAATTATTCGTAGGGGGCAGCTGGGCATGCAGTAGCAGGCACCTGGGAGTAACAGCAGCAATCGTCAATTGAAGATGTATGTCTAACCATTCACGAATTGACTTTGATGATGCGTCATGAATAGAGCTCCAATACCCTGTCCAGTCCTGAAAATCCTTCCTGTGTCACCTTCATACCGGCAATACGGTTGGCGAATCCCACCTTTGTAGAAAGATCCCACTCTTTATCTCTGCAATTCAAGGCATACAGCATCCCTGCGTTGAATGTATCTCCAGCACCAATTGGACTACGAACAATTAGTATGTTGTGTGTAGGTGACATTGTCACTGACTTACTCCACTACTCGAAAGTCCGCCGAGGAATAGGCATCAACGTGGACTAATTGTCCTGTCCCAGGCTCGAAGGCGTCGGCTCCTTCCTGGCCCCAAGTACAGCAAATCAAGCGCCTGGAGTATGAAAACTTTAGTCCAAAGGACTATGTACTTTGGGTGTTTCAAACGCTAGTCTTACGCATTCCGTGTCATGGTTGACTGGCTTCGCAAACATTCTTCGGCTGATGTATATCCAAGGTTCTACGCAGAAGATTAATCATCAGCAGTATCCTACTGTGACCCAGATGGCTTGAATTACCTGTGCCCATGTCTTCGAGTAGAAAACCACATCGGCCAATTCCGCAAGTTTGTCAAGACCTTCTCGACCAGGCTTCTCCAACTCAACACTCACACTGGCAGATGGAAAGTGCCTTCGGAGATGTTGAATGCAGCCAAGGGTAACATCAGGTATGCGACCCTAGATGTAGGTGAGAATGGGAACTGCAAGTATTATCAGAAAACATACCTCGAAATGAAACCAAGTTGCTCGAGGAACCAGCTCATCTGTGATTCGCACAAACTCTTCCACTGTCATATCGGGAAGCTCATTGTAGTTCACAATGGTCCTACTGCCAGTCGACTGACTTTTAATAATGTAGCATGATGCTGGTTCCTGGAACCGCTCTCGATAAATGCTATGCTTGAGCTGTACATGAGGCTCAAGTCCTGATAAAATTTGTTGTGAAGCCACCGATGATTTAGCGGGTAAGACCGTAACAAGATTCAATGCCAGCTCTTCCTTAGCGCGGGCTGTCAATTGCTGCAATACCTCTAGGCTGTTTGGGCAATTCCCACCCCGACGATGAACAATGTTTGATGCGCGGAGCTTTTCATCCTCCCTTGGATAATGCGATGTGCTGAAATTGGATAAGAATGAGCGTTTGACTGCATATGTGGACGGGCATGATGTGTGAGCTGCGTGACGCACCTGAGAATGGTATCCACATAGCATGCACCTATTGCGATCAAAGACATGTATTGATTTTTATTAACGCGGAAGCAATCTATCAGCTTCCTGGTAAACAATAAAGGCAAGCTCGGGAAGGGGGTTTGCTTAAAATCACCAGTAGTCAAAAGCCTGGATGCGGGGCAGATTAGTCATCAGTCTGCTATGCGGATGTCCAGGACTCCAGGCCTATATTTCATATGTACTGTTTATCATCGTGGTCCCGGGATTTGTGGGAATGTAGATTGGTTGCGGGGATGTTCCTGAACCGTGGGGATGTTCCTGAATCGCGGAGACGTTCATGGATCGTGGAGACGTTTGTAAATCGTGGAGACGTTTGTAAATCGCGGAGACGTTCATGAATCGTGGAGATGTTCGTAAATCTTGGAGACGTTGATGAATCGCGGAGACGTTCATAAATCGCGGGGACAACGCTGTTGTACGGGGATGTTTAAGAATCGTGGGAACATATTAAGGTGTGGGCTTAGGGGACCCCTGTTGCTCTAGTACTTGCCTTATCTGCCTTGGGTTTTCTTCGCTATCCTTCTCATAGAATCCACATCTCGACCATTTTTCTTCGTTTCCCAGCTACTTATATGGCTTTTTCTTCTCCCGGACGACAGATCACCGTTGAAACAAAATAATTGATTATGGCATTTCTCAAAATAAATGGTCCCCTTCGTCTCTTGGCTAATAATATATTGAATTTAGTCAAGGGTTTGTCGACGCAGGAAATATGGTTCTGATTGTTGCCGCAGAGCGAGTATAGAAAACCCAGATGTATATTGACAAAGAATGTAATATTCTCTGAAGTACAATCCTATTGCAAGTATCTAGAATTCTGCTACTACACAGAAGAACGAAAACAAATGATTTGAGCAATAAAATATAACCTCTTTAATGCACCATGTCTTAGAATAGTACCCTATCATCTACGATCCATACCAGCAAACCTGTCTTTATAGATCATTCCAAATTCTTTTAGGAAAAATTCTTCTGAATCTATTCATTGTTATGCCACAAAGATTATTACTTAGTTCTTGTGGGAATGCATCTAGAACTTGTTCTAACTAGTGCTTATCTCCACCGGGTATATATTAGGCTCATGTTCACTAGTGTGCACTTATTCTAATACCGAAAGTCATATCCGTTTCATCTTTTCTCTGATCGATTGACTGAGACATTTTCCCTGCTGGATCCCCTGACCAAGAACATTAGATCATACATATCTGATTGATATGGTTCAACGAAACAAGGTCTTAGATATTGATGGGCCGACACCCAAGTTTCTGTATGCCATGCTTAAGCAGCTCGACCTTAAGATTGTGAGTACTGTTCCAATTGATAATATGCTGTCTTTGGTAAAATACCTCATAAACAGTACCTAATGTACAATAGGTTGACTGGAATCATGTTGCTTCTGAGATTGGAATATCCAACGGCCATGCTGCCCGTATGCGATTCTCTCGATTCCGCAATCAAATGGAAGGGACCACTGGGGCCCAGCGGAGGAAGAGGAACCCAAAGAAAGGCGAAGATGGTGGGAAAGGAGAAAAGGGAGATCCTAAGCCTCTGATGCCCCCCACGCAGCAATCGAATCCTGTTCATGGGCCCGCCATGGAGACAGCCAACTCGTCTGCCTATACAAACCCCGTTAAACGCGAACACGGTGACCATGTTGTCTTGGGAAGCCAGCAATTTCCTGACATGGGCGAGGTATATCCGTGGTCCCAGGTAATTCCAACCAGCGAGGGGAGTTACACACCACAGATGCACCCGTTCATGCAACAGGAAATGTCTCATGGAATTCCGCATGGAACGCCGTACCACATGGCATCTGGAATGGCTTCGGGCTTCCCTATGGTGTCACAAAATCCCTCATCATTCTATTCGCCATTTTCCATGCCGCAGGACTTCGTTATGCAAGATATGGCAAGCAACATGTCGAGTTTCAACCCTAATGGCGTCCCAGTCTGGGAATCATTCACCCCACCAATGGCCGAGTCCGAAATTGCACCTGTTAAGATTGAGGAAAACTGCAAGTCAATTGAAGTCAAGCTTGAACAGGGTATGGAACTCAAAACTCATCAGTCGGCCTTTGACCAGAGCCCTGCGGCTACCTGGAGGTCCTCCACCCCGCCAACCCTGCCGAAAGTCACACCTGTGAAGATAGAGGATGATCATGAGCCAGTCGAGATCAAGACGGAGCCGAGGATTCCAATCAGAATCAAAACTGAGGCGTATTAATTGGAGTGAAAGGGCGATTGTTATGACTGCATTATTAGGAGTTACAATTGCTTAGAAAATGCTGTGGGAGTGAAAATTAAACATCTTTAGGTTCTTGAATTTGAGACTTTTTAATTACTCCTACTATACTAATCATGATTCAATCAATTGCCACCGCTCTACTAAAGCTTTACCGATATTTTATGAATTATGTGGTAGACATCATGCTTTAAGGAAAAAATACTAGCAGACGAGTAAGCAGTGAGAAAAATACCCAAATTGATTATATCACAGCAGATACCAATACCCCGGTATACTCATCAAGGGTTCTTCATCATAAAATAACAACTCAAATCCAAACAACGAATTTAGTTATAAGAACTTGATATACCATGTTTTAAATTCATGGAAAATATGAGAAAATTCGCAGATCCTTCAAATGTAAAAAAATTCCGGTCGCAAAGAGTCTGGCGGTTAGACTGGGGTCAAATTTAGAGTTGGGATCACTTTCAAAATAACTTGATGAACACATCACAGCCTTCTTACATATTTTTACCATATCCTAAAGTGTGAATAACTGAGATGAACAATATATTAGTTCCTTTTCTGCAGGGAACATTGAAATGAATATCGAAGCTGTTTATATTAATATCACCTCCCACAATAAAACCTACTAATATAGGTAAAAATATTTATAATATCTATATGAAAAGGATCTGGAAAAATGAGAAAAATTAGAGAAACCCGATGACAGAAAAAAAATACGGTCGCAAATACTCTGGCGGGCAGAATTGGGCTGACTTCAAAGTGGCACTATGATGTAGTATACTATATTATCATTAAGCTGTGGTGTGAAATGCCCATCAAAGATAGATACTAGAAAGGGGAACTCACTCATCTAGGGCTGCACTGCTTGAACAGCATACAAGAATTTCCTATACCAAAACTTTTCAATATAAGCTTCAACCCTTAAGGTATCATTATAAAAATCATATGAATGAATGAGAAAAATCAGTCCATCCTAAGAACATTAAAAAACCCCGGTCGCAAAGACTCTGGCGGGTAGAATTGGGCTTAACTTTCATAATATTATATTCTTAAATCTTATAGACCACAAGGCTAGAAGAAGAAGATTTTCAAGTTTTCATAGGCTACAAAAGTAAAAGAAGAAGATGTTCAGGCAATTAAAATACTAAAAAAACCTGTCGACTACCTGCTAGGCCCAGGCATTACAGCGATCGCCTGGAAATGGGCCCTCATCCAAACGATTGCCCATAGAAACCTTCCCTGATTTCCTCTATCGTCCATATTTCCTCTCAGTTGTGCGCTCACTTCGCTTCCCATTATCCAGCTCTTTTCATCACCTTCCAAGAACATATCAACCGTACGCATCGCAAGCCATCAAATGTCTTCCCCCAAAGTCTCGTGGGACCTCGAGGCCCACTACGTGGTCAGTATTCTTCCTCAACCTTCTCTTACATGCCTTGCTTATTTTGCATCTGTCCTGAATCCTGAAATTGCATTCAAACGTTCTCTATGGGCTTTACTAATCAACCGTTCATTCCAGCTGCTCTTGACGATTCTTGAGACCCACTGCAACAAGATAGATTACCAGAGCATTGCCGACACGTGGCGTGAGTTTATTTATACTCTATTCCAGTAATTTGATGTGCGTCGAGGCCTTTACTAATGAAAATCGACTCAGCCCAGGGAGGAGCTCGCCCCACGGCGCGTGCGATCAAGGAGCGAATCAGCAAGATCAAGAAGGGAGAAGCGAGTGGTATCAGCTCCCCTGCTACCCCCAAGCTGCCTCGACGTGCCCCGGGCAAGACGAAAGTCACGCCCTCTACCCCAAAGAAAAAGCGTGCCAGCGAGGTGACCGAGGAGGAGGAGCCTGTTGCGAAGAAACCCAAGGGCAAAGGAAAGGGCGATGATCAGGAGACCGCCCGGGACAGCTCTCAGGATGATGCAGCCAGCGAGGAGACCGAGTACGATTCCGTTTAGGAAGTAGCCGTAGAAAACGGTGATACTATGTATCCATGTTGAAGAATACCGTATTTTCAGCATTTATCGAGCAAAACAGCTTTTGAAGGAACCATCGCATCTTAGCTAGTTTTTGATAGCACCAATAAAGGTCATTTAAAAAGTAAATCTTCCAATAAACGCAGTATAAACACAGCATTTTGGAATCGCACAATCCTTGGTCCGAGGATGCCCCTTTGACCCCAAATGAGGACTCATACGGAACGTTGTATACGGAGGTTGATATGTGGCCTAAATTGGGGGCTTCCGGACCCCATAAACTGTTGCGTCATAAAGCAATCAACAGCTCTGGTGACCAATGTATTTAACGTTGGATTATAGTTCGTATAATCAGTCTCTCCGAGTCCCGTAGAGCGCTAGTCGATATATAGTAGGCGGTGGAGCGGCAGTATGCTTCTTTGGACGACCACCCTTTCTTTGTCTACTTGAACCCATCTTACAAACATGCATTGTAAATGCGCCAGCCTTAATACGAAGCTGCTATTTTGACAGTCGAATCCTTGGAAGGCCGCTTATAATTGTGAGGATTTCTGTAGTCACCTGACTACCACCACCAATGTAGTTGTGCATAGTCCTCAAAATTTGCCCAAACTCGACTGTCCCGGGCTCAAGACATGGTATTGTACCAAACGACGGCCATTCGGCGTGATTTTCGAGTATGGTGTCTAGAGTAATCATGTGTCAATCTGATCTTTACTGTAGACCAATGCGACAATCAGCAAAAGAGAAATAGTAGACGGGGTGAAGTGTGGAGGTTGGATTGCATCTGCAGTACTTGAGGGTAAACTCCAGAGTACCCCTCCAAAGTAGAAATGCGCCTTATATTTAATCTCAAACACCAGACTTCACAAAATGCAAAAAGAAATTGTTAAAAAATGGCAAAATTACCACTGGAGGTAAAATTGGTGAAAAAAAAAGAAAACTATAAAAATGAAACCTGCACAAAGAAAGCCAGGCCATCCTGAGCCCCCCACGCCATGGTAATGCAGGCAAAAGGGAAAGAAAAACTCAAAAAGGACGCGATTTATACGCCTAACAGGCGTAATAGTCTCCGCCCTCATCCTCATCCTCCTCAGCCTCCTCTTCCATCTCCTCGTCTTCCCCCTCCTCTTCTTCATCGGAAGACTCTGCCTTCCTCTTACCCTTGCCGGCAGTGGCGATCAGGCCCTCTGCTGCATGAACAGGACCTTTGGCGCCAGCGGCGGTCTTCTGAATGCGGCTCTTGCCGCTGGATGAGGCCGAAGCCGAAGCAGAACCTGAGCCCGAGGCCTGAGCCCTGGTCTTTGTGTTCTGCTTGACCTGGCGGGCAGAGGGCATTCCAATCTGTTCGCGGATGCGAACGAGGCGATGTTTAATAGCCGACACCGAGACACCTGTATATATATCAGTCAAAAAGTAACGAGGAAGTGAGTCATTGGTCTTATAGCTTACCATCTCCCATGAGGTTTGCGACGGCCGCAAAATCCGGACTTCCAGTTGTCGAAAAAGCGATCAACAACTGATAGAAAGTCAGTATATTTCTTTAATTGTCTTCTTCAGTCTGTAGGTACCTTCAAATCCGCAGCATGGTCCCAAATCATCGGCATCGTCGCGGTTCAATAAGCGGGTGTTGATAACGGTGATTGTCTGACTGTAGTTCTCAAAAGTAACTGCTCGTTGGATCAAAAGAAAAATTAGTTAAAGAATGATATAAGGACTAGTAGGTAGGGCAGGAGGGGGTAATATACTTTGAGGTGAAGCTTTGCAAAACGTGGGGATCAAAGCGGGGATGATGTGGGAAGAACGTGGGAGGAAAGAGGAAGAAGGAAGAGGGGCGCGTGAAAATTCGTATTATAGTCGAATTTTGAGAATTATTTTGCCTAGTATACTCTCACTTAATCTGAATATGGTGCCCTATGTACCCTAGACTTATATTATAGTATACTACTACCCGTGTCTACTTTCCAGTAAGAACACTTATTCACTATAACGAGATTTTTCATATTAGACCTAGTATATATGCCCCACGAATAGACGCCTATTCTGGTAATCTATAGAATTAACTAAATCATACTAACTAAGTATCTTGTCAACATCTCTAGATAATATATATCAATATTTTACTATATCAAGGACAGCTAGAAGATTTAGCTTTCCCGTGGGAGCTTGTGGTTGCTTAGCCTATATCCGGAGTCAAATAAATTATCTAATCAGCCTGCTATATTGTGACAGAGGATCAAGTGCCTCGAGAGGGTCGGCTCGGTGACAGGTTTTTCTGTTTTTTGGCTAAATGCGATATTTAAATTATGTTAAATGAATCTCTATCCTCCAAATAGATATGATTGCCCTTTTGATTTTACTTCTGTCTTCATTCCTTGTTCATCAAATTTGTGAAAGGGTAGATGCTTAGTTCACAAAGAATGTGAAAAAAACAATTTTATATAAATACATCAACAGTGTAAAATCCAAAATATAAATCTCCTCTGGATAGAGGTACCTTATTCAAAAGTCCTTGGAGACTGTTAGTTGACCATATACGGCGCCCTCCTTTCTATTTAGCAATGTTAGATCCAACAATAGGGAGATAATCACCTGTGGGCCGGATACTCAGTTTCTCGTCTTCCTTGACCATATTAGTCTGAATAAAGATCGTGATCCTTTTTTTCTATTCCCCGGCTACATACCCATACAGCCCCTTTCCCCCCTCTAGGCTGGGCGACAGATCAATTGCTAAAAGTACGCGAATGACTCATTGAAGTTTCTGCCTTGGTAGACCATCAGATACCTCCAGTATCAAGCAGTATGTGCCTTGCAGGTACCTCAATTGAGAATGGCAGCCCAGCAGTGTCCACAGGTACCTAGGTAGCAATACTAGAGATGGACTGGCAGTCATCAAATGGTGCTTATCTATATTTGTATACGCCCGATAGTCCCTAGTACCTGTCTGGAAGTCAACAGACCAGGATTACAGGCTAGGTCCATAGGTCCCTGGAGTGAGATGAGAAATCCTTCAGGCATGTGTATTTAGTTGAGGGAATAATATATAAGCCGATTTTTCTCCCGAGGCTGTCACCGGTTTTACTGATTCCTTGCATACATACATGAATAAATGTATCAGTGAAGGAACATTTGAACATCTATTCACAAGCTGGAGCCGCAGACGGTATACAAATTACGAAGAATCTCAAGCTGCTCGGGACTGATAAATCCTTGATGTAATACGAATCTCCCATAGAAAATTAGGCCTCAAAGAGACGGCTGCTCGGGAAAGAAGACAGCCTTAAAACCACGAATCAAGCAGTCGATCTATGCGAAAATGGAAGAAAGAGAACGAAATATATGGAATGAAGCAGCAGACATTCGTAGCTGCTGTTTCATACCCGCCAGAGTCTCAACTCCTATGCATCATCATCATTCATATCGAGTCGAAGGTGGAAGCCCCGATGCTGGTGGCGACGATCCCCATGGACCACTAATGAATTGAGAATCCGAGGCTGATACCCGTGACATGTGTTGATCTGAACCACGCCACTGGTTGTATTGACCAGTAGCCTGTGCATATTGATGCGAATACCCAGCACCGGGGATATTGCCTCCATGGGTATTTGGATGTTGCTGTGGCAGGTATTGATGGACTCCAGGCTGCGAGGGAGGGTTTGGGTAGAATTGACCCATGGACTGAGCTTCCAGGGCTGGCGGGAATACCATCGAATTAAATCCCATTCCAGATTGGGAGTTCACCATATTAGCGCCGCTGTATTGAACATGAGAAGGTATCGGCTGTTGGGAGTAGCCGTGGGGCTGCGGATTTCCAGAGCTACCAACTTCAGGACTGACTTGCTGATGAAACAGGCTATGATGGGATTGAGATCGCGACATCGGGTGGCCAGTCTGTTGGGCGGCCCGATTCGCATTGTAATCGCCTCCGGGATGCGAGGGCTCAGATGATTGTGACGATCGTGAGGTGAAATTTCCATGTGACCAGCCGCTCGTTTGGGGTGTTGGGTACGACCCGAGATATGGCCGGGATGAATTGGCGGAGCTAGAGTTTGTGGCAACCGTGTAATGTGGAGCGCTTTGATGAGCAGGCTGTTGCTCCACCCGCCATTGGGGTTGCGGGGGTTGATCGGCTCCCAAACCTGGAACTTGGCATTCATCAATGGCTGCAGAGGAAGAGTATGCCTCCATCTGATGTGAATGTTGAAGCCCCATTGCCAAGTTTTGATAAGAATCTTGAGGGTGCATGTTATAGCCACTCGCCTGTCCTGCGTGACCCCAAGAGTTCCCAATAAAAGGCTGTTGGCCAACGACATGATTGGCAAGCGGATGGCCGGGATAGTATGCTGATGGTTCGACGCTTATGTTTCTGGGGGCTCCATTATGATGCAGTCCCTAGGTCCTCGGTTAGACAGCGCCAGTGGCAGCGAGGTGGACCTTGGCATACCGAACTATAACCACCTTCGCCTACGTGGGCATTTTGGTGGTATACATGGCCCATATGCTGTCCAGTCTGATCGTGATACCAACCTGGTTTCCCCGGATGTCCGATCGATGGGTCTGCAGACTGTCCATTGAGCTGGGCATCTAGTGAGCTCTAATCCGCCATCAGTGTCACTCTTGCAATGAATGTGCGGACATAATAAGCGCGATTCCCTACGGAGGTCCTCGCACTGGCTGCAACAGCATCAATGCGTCCCGCTAATTTATTTGCCAATCCAGTCACTTGGGGGCTATTTGTTGATGGTCGCGAGGGTACTTGTGAGGGGCCGGTGCCGATAGATGTGGGTGTTGTCGATGGCGTGAGAACGACTGGTTCGGTCGGAATTTCCCACTGTGATTTGCCTGTCGCTCGTTGGACATAATACCATTTACGCTGGACCCCTTCCCATTGAGGGAGCCTGAGATGCGTGGAACGTCAGTGGGTTAAAGGACATGTGATCGGAGCGGACGTACCATCCCTCAGGCATTCGGGGAGGTGGCGACGACGGACCTGCCGTGTCCGCCGGAGCCTCTTGAGGCATTATGCTGAGACAGGTAGTTTTCAGACTCTAGAGGATGTAGAAAGCATCGTAGTTGAGTAAAGGAAATGGCGATATGTTCCAGGTTAAGATGATCATGTGGGGCTCCGAGGGCTTGGCGAGGCGATCACGAGTATATCACGAGTAGATAGGCTATCTGTGAATTCATGAACTCAAATTAAAGAAATCCAAATAAACCATTAGATATAACTAGAGGTGATACACTACATAGTATATACAAAAGCAAGCCCAAAGGACAACATAGAGTGGTATATAAAGGCTAGATAAGTAGGATATGGGCCATTACAAGCGCAACGACGTCATGTGACCGGATAAAAGTATCAGATAGTGTTACATTGTATTGGCTAGTAATTCATATTAGGCATAAACAGAAAGAATAGACGAAGTCCCCCAATTCACAGATCAAAGCAAAGACACCGGCCCCGTCTTCTACCATATTCATACGCCGGAGTTAAACCTAAAACCCCCAACCCAAACCTGTAGAATCAATAAATCATGAAGGTATTAAAAAAAAGTCCGAGAGCAATACTACCACGCGTGGCCATCTTCGGGCTCGAAATCATCGCCTGCCCAGTCCTCATCGCCGCTGATTTCATCATCAAGGAAGTGTTTTTCGCTGTATTGGAATTCATTAGGTCGTTGATTGTCAATCCGAATTGTGAAATGTTGACACATTCCCTGGGCATTTTCCAGATGCTCAAATTCATTGTCGTGGTCGGATAAATTCGCCTCTAAGTTGTCTGTGGGAATCTTTTGCTGTGCTATGCGGCTGCTGTGCCGTTTGGAAGTGTGGGATTCGCCGTCTACGGTGTTGGCACGGGCTGAGGCGTCGGGAATGGGAGCATGTGGAACAGGAGCCAGCGGTCGTTTTCGTAGAGAACGAAAGTTTGGGTTAGGCGGAGGGCTACGCCGCAAGAAGGCCGCTGTCAAGCGGTCAACCCATTTCTTTCGAAATTGAGCACGATCCCGCCATCCAACCGGAAGAATGACACTGATGTCCACCCACCGTAGATCCTTCAACTTCGGCGCGGCCTCAAGTAAAGACGTGAAGAACATCTCCCCTAATTTTGAATCCCAGTGTCGAAGCTGATGCAGTTCAATTTCTTGCAGACTCTCAGGCCAGGTTGGACGTTGGTCATGATAGAGAAGCTGAGGGAAATGAGGTTCAAGGTCATGATAGCTTGACGTGTCAAACATGGACATGTCTACCTTGAACCTTTCCAGTTGTGGGCAGCAAATACCTAGATGGGGTATGAACTCCATACTCATGTGGCGATTGTGATTAAGGGTCAGCTCGAGAAGTTGTCCGCCGTGGATTTTCAGGAGTTCGGTAATGTTACTGGCCACCAGTCGATCACAATTGGAAATCGTCAGTGAGCGGAGTGTCAGTGGCAGTTGCTCTAGAATGCTGCCAGTTAAAATGCTGCACTCGTGGAATTCAAGACGCTCTATGTCGGGCAATGCCTTGAGAGTCGTGGCAAGAGCGATTTCCTTGCCACAAGTGTCCTCTCGATTATTGTCGAGGAGATGAACAAGCCGAATGTCTTTGACTCCTTGAAATGAGGGACTTGAATGTTTCTCTAACATGAGAGGAAGCAACAAGTCCGTGTCAAGAAAGCGACCGTTCCACTCCCAACTGCGCAGCTTGATTCCACTTTGATCAAGGGCTGAAAATAACGGTTCTGAGTAGCTCCACTTTGATAGGGAAAGAGTCACTGGTGGATGCCCGAAGACCACATCCTCAGGATGGTAGAGGCGTAGGGTGTGGAGTCGAGGGGTTTTTTGAAGCAACTGGGGCAAGTCAAAATAGCCCAGGGTCGGGCCGCTTTTCAAAGTAAGAACACTTTCAGCATCGATATAAAGCTCTCTGATCTTCCCAGCGTAGTTAATAAACTGGGATTCTGAGGGCATCGATAGCAAATTCAAGAGTCCATGGCCGTGGTATGCGGAGAATACTGGAGGTCGGTAGTATAGAGCTGCAAGAGCAGCTTCCGAAAACCCACGGCACAGAGTTGCGATGCCAACAATGTTGTTGGCTGACTTTGTCTCCGGTGTTTTGCCAGGCGTCTTAACTGCTTGGATCTTGGGATCGTCAAGAGGGTAGTAGGCTCGGAGGAAGATTTCAAAGAGGATATGATACGGGAGTGTTTGCCATGGAGGAATCACTCCAGATCCCACGAAGAACGGTTCGGGCTCATTTTTGGAGCGCTTTTTCGACGGCTGTCCCAGTGCTCTTGACTTTGGCCGTGGTCGTTTGGTTTTGGTGGACCGAGGTGGAGCACGTCGAGTGCGCTGCGGGGCACGGGAGGTGGGCGGGGGAATGGCAGCAGGAATCTGTTCCACAGGTGGCAGCTCAGCGGCAGTTGGATTGACATTCAAATCGTGTTCATCTGACAGCTCCCCAAGGCTTTCATCGGTGGACTTCTCCCGATAGGATCGGCGTGTTTTTGGTGTATTTCGAGGACGCAGGGATAGTGAGCCACGCCGGGAGACATTTTGATCAGAATTTTGCAGCTGGTCCAACTCGTCAGATGTGGATTCCTCATGATAGGACGAAACCTGGGTTCGGTTTTGACGAATCGGTCTCGAGGGCCGGGCGCGAGCAGAAGGACGTGAATGTGCCATGATGAACGATGGCAGCGCTAAATCAATCAATGATGGCACCACATGATCTTAATGGCCGCGACCAGCTTGAAGATAAGGTATCAACGTTCAGGGAGCAATAAGATGTCAGAGGGCAGGTGGGAGTATGCGACAAAGCAGATACCAGGCCTCTTGGCGGATGTGACGGCAGGAGCGATCGACGTTATCGATAAGGATAAAAGGCAATTATGACTAATATGGACTAGCGTATCACATGACTCGTCTTTGATACAGATTGGATTGCATTTATCGACCAAAGTACTTCAGATGTACTCAAGGGTAGCCCTGAAGCTCTGCTTGATAATTGGTGTTCACAATTACCCGTCACATCAATTGTCAGAGTCCAATATATTCGAAGCAATAAATGTCACTCTCAACACCCATGATGGAGGCGGAAATACATATAAACAGAGCTAGATTCCCACCATCAATCAATTTATTGAATATTTAGAGACATAAACTTCCAATCAACGGATTCCAACACTGTCATTCTATGGAGAAAATAAAAAAGTAAGATTTATTGATTTCTCAGATGTTGCAGCATGTGATACGATGAGGCACCGACCCCGCCCTCAGGCAACGACACTATACTTGATTAAGATGCACTAGATGCGCCCAAAATAGAACTCAGCTTGAGCTTGAAAGCGCTTCCAGCCACCTCGAGGGGTTTCCCTTGAGAGGTTGTCGCTTCCATTCCCTGTGTGGGATTTTTTACTTTCCATATGCGCTTGGAATTAATTTACCAACACTTGAGGTCATGATAAACAGATGATCGATGCGACCCGCCCGGAGACCCCATAATCGCCGGCCTCCACTTATTGGTTTCATTTGGCTCGCACTCGAGTTGGGGGCTTGGGGGTCAAAACTGACTCCCTGTCCAACTCGATGGAAGCTACAATCCACTCCAGAATGGAGTCAACAGATCGACCAGCTCCAGCTCGGAGCGAAACCAGTGCGTCGTCGATGGTTGTTCAACAATATGCGCGATACCCGCAGACGCTGGAGTCCTCGCTCCGCAGTGCCTCCTCACTAGGGAGTGCGCGCAGTCAAGCAGATGCCCATAGATCACCTTCTTTGCATCGCAGGGAAACTCCTCGAGGCTTACAATCTTCTCCAAGGGGAATTAGGTCCGCCATACCCGCATCGGCTGCTCGCTCGGGGCCGTCAATGTCACCGCCTGTGTTTGATGTCTTGCGCCATGCGCCAATGAAAGATACCACAGATCAAGCAGAGTCCAGAGCTCTACCATCGCGAGATGTCACTGACGAAAACATTGATGACGCCTATGTACTGTTTATTTTTTATTGCAATCCCAATGTGCCCTCTTCCGTCGACGCTTCTGAGCTTCGGAAGACATTTCGCTGCCCTCCGCGCAGCGATGGCAAGAGCTTCAGTGTCTTCAAGTTATTCGAGTTGATTCGAAAGCTTGACAATAAGGAACTCAAGACATGGATCCAGCTGGCAATCGAGCTAGGCGTCGAACCTCCCTCAATGGAAAAGAAACAGAGTACACAGAAAGTACAGCAGTATGCTGTTCGACTTAAGGTGAGCAGCCACAATTATTTTTAATTACTGTGTGACTGACCAGATAAAGCGTTGGATGCGTGCTATGCACGTCGATTCATTCTTTGAATATTGCCTTGGGCATCCCCATCCCTACTACACCCAGCTACCGGCCTCCGGTCCATTCGTGAGTGAATCTCGTGATGGTGTGCCGTTGGAAGAGGATCTCGCTCTTCGAGCTCTTGTGCCCCAGTGGAAGCCCAAGAGAGGCAGGAAAAGGGCCGATGAAAGGGAGCTCGACGACGAAAAGACAGCCAAACGTCCTTCATTGGATACTTCGGTAGGAGGCTTACCACCAGGTGGCTTTCATAACCACTCTGCGACTTTTCCGCAGAGCGCTATACCTTTCAGCGCCTTTCCTGAGGAGGATACATGGATGAATGCAAATTCTTCATTCCCACCACCTGGTACCTCGGAACAGCAGAGCCGGGATTTACAATGGAGGCTTCCAGACCGAGAGACATCTCCCGCGGGTTATCCACAGTCTGCAATTCTTCCACGTGGTCATCAGCCGGATATGATCATGTCGGCCGAGCCGCGTTCTGCTGTAACGCCATCATCTGGAGAGAAAACTCGCGCGAAGCGCAAACATGGCCCTGCGGTTTCGTCAGCTTGGCCAGCCAGCAATAATTCGTCTAACGGAAAGAGTCGGGGCAGACCCCCGAATAAGCCCTCATCCGGTTCTTTCTCAACCTTTCAACTTCAGCCAAGCAGAGAGCCATCGCAGATTCCGCCAAATTCTATTCCTCAATCAACTCCACAAATTGTGGAGAATGGTACACCAGGCGCCGTGCCAACGCCATCATATAACCAGTCTCCAACTCCAGCTGCACAAGGTAGACCCGGGAAACTTCAACTGCAAGTTCCTCAGCATATGGGGGCGCCGGTACGACTCGCTACTCCACCGACATTGTTAGTCAATGGTGTCAACGGGGCAGTTATCCCTCAGCCCACAGAATCTCAGGGCCAGCCTCAACTTCATGCTCAGGCAAATAAGCAACCCCACTCTCAAGCTCATCAACAGGCTCATCAACAGCCTTATCCGCACCCTCATCCACAGGTCCATCCCCAGGCTCATCCACAGGCTCACTCTCAGCCTCATCTGCAGACTCACACTCAAGTCCACCCTCAAGCGCATTCTCAGGTCCATCCCCAGATACATCCTCAAATTCACCCTCAAGTTCACCCTCACGCCTCTCAACACGCCGATCACAGGGGTTCACTCGGTGAACCTGGCCCCACTATCGATCAAAGAGCCTTAGAGGCAGCTCCGAAAATACCATTTGATGAAATTATCCGCGCCCTCTCGAGTGAGCTGTTAATGGCGCGGGTGATGAGACCCACACAACTGAGTCCAGACGAGGCCAATGGGTTAGCTACCATGATGGTATTCAATTCATCGGCTCAGTACGCCAAACTTCCGATTGAGCTACATTCTTACCTTCTGGCCTTTAATCTTGGCGTGGGGCACTACTTCGGATTTGCAGCTCCCCGGCCTGTTCCTATGGTTGTCCATATTGAACACCCAACTCCGGACGCAAATGGCCAGGCACAGAAAGAGCCTAGATATAGTGTCTCATTTGATTATAATCCCACTGGTCACTTTTCAACACACACAGCGGTCGGAAACATAAATTCTGCAATTAACTTTGTTGGGCCACCACTGCAACTGCCACAGCCACCGCCCCCGCCAGATCCGTCCTCCGATCGTCAAAGCAAGATCTCTGAGAATGACAATATATCAAGCATTGATTTGGAGGATGATGATGATGGTGATAATCCTGCCTCCGATGCCACCTGGAAGCAACGATTCATGAAACTTCGCTCGCAAATGTTGAAGAAGGATCGTGCTCTGTCACAGTACAAGCGCAAGATCGTTGAATCAGTCATGGCTGATATCTAATCATTGACCTGCATCTTTGATAATATACCCTGTTGAATATATGTGCCTTGCTTTGTTTCATAAGAAGATACCCATAATAGCATGTCATTGATTTTCTGGGCTCATATTGGGGCTACTTTTAGGATGTTTATGTTTATGTTGCATGTATATGCATTTGAAAAAGTCAAATAAGTAAGACGCTAAACCAGACCGCAAAAATGCAATTGACATATCGAATTGGCGAAAAGCGTAGTGGTCAGAAAATCCTTGGCTCCGCGATTCTCTGTCCATTCTGCTCGCCATGCCACTTGTACTTCCCAGATGGTCGCCATATGTAGATCGTAGATTCGAGATGTGACTTTCGTACCACGATTAGACATGACCAATAAAGAGATTTCAATCCAAACTCACCGAAAAAATTAGCAAGAGTATGTCCCAGAGCTTAAGCTTCATCCTGAGCCTCTCCCTCATTAAGACCCTCGCTAGACTCCTTAGCGCTGGTCTCTTCGTCATCATCAAAGATAACGCCCTCGTCAAAAGCACGAGCCTCCTCCTCATCCTCGGAGAGCTCAGCTTTGGCCGCTCCCTTCACAGAACGAGACTTGGTAGGAGTAGACTTGGTAATTTTCCCCGAGTCCTAAGAAATATCAACCGTGTCACATGGAAAGAACAAGTGAAGGGATAATTGTGTACCTTGGGGCGGACTGAGAACGCCTCGACCTTTAGTCCGTGAGTCTTGCGCAATCGATTGTAGGTGTTTCCAGCGGATCGGACATTCTTGTACCTCATCAGAGCAGCGAATTCAGTCAGGTCAACCTGAAGTGAAAATGGATATTAGCTGGGAAATGGTAGTGCAAATGTGCTGTCTGGAGAAAGTCAAAATAACCTTCTTCTGCTGGCTGTCAAATGACTTGAGCATGTTGACGAGAGCCTTCGCATCTTGAAGATCTTCGTCACGAGGTAGCTTGGGAGTCGCGGGCTTCGAGCCAGAAGCCTTAGGACGGCCCCTCTTAGAAGGGGTTTTGATCGGGCTAGTCGAAGGAGACGACATGTTAATCGTTGAGATGTTGTAATATTCTATGGGTTTGGATAGATGAAGGAAGAGATCAGGTCAAAATGGGAAGTTGGGAAAAGGAAGAAACCAAATGACAGGAACTGGACTTTCTACACTGGGGATGTTTCAAAGCCAGTGAAAAGTTCCTGTCACTGGGTACAAAGTGTGTAGCCAGAAAAGCACTAATTACCGTATAAAATTACTCTTGGATGGCAGAACGACATGTAGATATTGAGTGGAATTACATTTTCTTCACTGTAATCTGGTCCAACACCCAATGTATCCTAGACAGAATTTGTAAATCTTCAAAAAATCGTAAATGCCGCGTTGAATAAGAAATACCGAACCAGGCTTTGAAGAGCAGCCCCAAAAGGCTCAAACAGCATCCTCATCATCATCCTCGTGGTCCCGTTCAATGGATTCGACAATCTCGAGCTCATCCTTTACCTTGCGCTTCTTAGGCTCATCAGGCTAGAAGAAATTAGATCTTCATGTCATGACGTTACTGTGTTAGAAACCTACTAAGAGTTTCGTGTTGCAAGCCTCGAGCCATTCGAAGTCGTAGGCCTTTCGGATCTTGTAGAAGTAATAAAGCAAATTCCTTGGGTTCGTGTGGAGCTTCTTCGCAGCTTTCTGCATGTCGACCTGGGAGACCATGGAATTAGTACATAAAAGATTGAAGATAGCCGAGCCTTGATGTTCATACCTTTCCACCCTCAAGAGACTGGATGAACACAGCGAGGTAGTCAAGGTCAGTGGGGCGCTCGGGGACCTTCCATTTGCTGGATGCCTCCTTTTCGGATGCAGCAACTGATTTCTTCCGCCTTTTGGTGGGACTGTCCTTGGAGGGGGGTCGCTTGGTAGGAGACATATCGAAATTTGGAGTTGGTTGGGTTTGGAGGGAAAAAAATCAAAACGATGAGTGGTAAGAACGAGGGAGAGTAATGGATGGAGAAAGTTACTTATCATCACCCCACGAGTGCATCACTTAAATATGAAGATGTTTGCCCCTCTCCTGGAACATCAGAGTCGCGTACTTGACTTGAAAAATTCTCTTTAGTCTACCTGAGCACCTACCACTTAATTGCGGTATTTTGTTCAAGAACATAAATTCTTTGTCCAATGAAATTTAGAAATCAAATCAAATTAGCTGAGTCCAAATCTAACTTGGAATTGACTGTCATGGGTATCATATAATTCATAGCTGAACATTTGCCAGTCATGACAAAGGGGTATCATAAATCGAGAGTAACACAAGGGCAGAAACCTGAACATAAGCAGTCCGTGAATCATAAATGTTCATTTCTCCTCAGCACGCTTCTTGAATCTTTGAATGGAATCCTCCAGCTGAGTCTTGAGCAGCAAAAAAGTATTGTCAATACAACGCCGGTGCTCAAGGTCATCTTCCAGTGCAGCATTCAGGTAAGCAATCTGGTGTTCAAACGACTCTATCACTTTGGAAGCAGACAAGCAGAGCTCATTTTGAAGGGCGGCCTTCTCGGTAATAGACTTGCTCTTACCACGAATAACTCGGAGGTTGGTAGGTAGTCCATCATCATCCGTTTCATCAGCCAGATCAGGGGTATTTGATCCTGAGTCTTCCCCATATATTTGCCGGACAGAACCAGCAGACTGATCAAACTGTGGAGCCGCAATGCCAGAGGGTACGGGTAGAGCTTCCGGCACTGGCCCAGTGGAAGTAGTAGGTTTCAGTTCCCTGGAGGATACGATTTGTCGTGGAGAAGAAATTTCGTGTTCGGTAGATGTAGTGATAGGTTCAGTTAGACACTCCGGTGACACATTGTTGACCTCCCATGTGGCCATGCAGCGTCGGCAAGACTGCCATGAATAATTACGGCCAGCGGCATGGAAGAACAGATCGGACATTTGCATCCAGAAGCGTTTCGTTTTATCGGAAAATGGCTCTCCGTGCTTGTTCTCCACACAAAGGCTGATAAGCATAGCCTCCTCTGCAGCGGTGAGTCGTTTGCCACGGCCTGAAGATGGCTGGACGCTGCCGTCGGTAGGCGCAAGGAAAAATGTGACTTCAGACATAAGCGAAGGTGGTGTTCTTGTTTTCAATGCAGCGGCTTTAATTGAAACCAATTGATGCGTGGTTTTAGAGGCTGTGAATGCAGTGGGGACTAATGGATAAGTCAAAGCGAAGAGAAGTAGGTTAAATCTTGTTCAGGCGGTACGTTTTAATTGGGACTAGTGTCGGTGGAATTCCCGCCCACGCTTTAGGTGCCACAGCTAATGGGTATCATGAAAAATAGTAAAAATAGTAACAATGATAAAAATAGAAAAAATAGCAGGGAACTTTTATCAATCATAAAAGTAAATATATGACGAGTCAATTGGTAATGAAAAAAAACTCCAGCAGGTGTGCTAAATTTGGGGATATTCAGCCATCCGTTCCTATAATTCAAGTCTTGATAGAAGTCTTTTTCTGGTGTCAGACCAGATCGATCGGTCTAATGCATGTCATGATTCATTATGGGCAAAGGCGCCGTATATACAACTTGAAAAATCAATAAGGTAAATAGAAAGCCATAGCCACGTTGAGGAATCCAAGGAGTGAAGAAACAAGATATTCAGGCGACGGAGTCCAGCTCCAGCCTAGTGACATAGTTGAATCCATTGGGCGATAATATTCTCCATGTCATGAGCTATTCCCCACTGTGATGAAAGACAGCGGAAAAGCTTTTGAATGGAGTTGAGCTCGTACAGAAGGTTGCGTACAGCACCACCAGTGAGAACGGGAGACATTCCTTGGTTCGTTGTCACGAAACACCGTGTCTCGGAACCAGACTGGGGGCGGATGTCATCGTGGCCGAGATGGAGGTCTGAATGGGACAGCAGGGCATCTTGCCATACGATATTGCGGGGGAGATGGACGGTCGTTACCCCAGCAAGAGTAAAGACGACATAGATCGTAGCTGCAGCAAACAAGGAGCTTGGCATGTGCACGACGTGCGCACGACCACGAGGTAATTGCTCGATGATGTCTTGAATGGCGACGGCGTGGAGGACCGCTCGCTTGGCGTCCTCGGTGTCGACCCATTGAATGAGGTCGAACCCTGGACGGGTTGTTCGACAGCCTCCGGATAGATGTTGGGAAATATTGTAACGAGAACAGACATGACGAGCTAAAACAGTTGAGTTGATCATTGTATCGAGGCAGACGGTATGCCAGCGCAAAAGCAGCTCTAGCCTCTCGGCAGCAGAGAAATGTATACTCATAGAGATGGTCTCGTGCACTTGAGCTAAAGCTCTTCGTACATCAGATTGGCCAGGAACGTCCACTGCCATTTCATCATCACCGTCAGAGATCAAGGACTGAAGGCCCTCCAATACGACCCGAAGAGCGAAGGCGGAGAATTGGTAGTCCAGGGCCCTAAAATTACCAACGGGTGGGAACAAGGACCGAAAGACCAGTCGGAAGGAGGATTGATCGGGTTTTTGAGAGTGCATGTGTGCCAGCCATTCATCAGGGCTGCTCGCATCAAAAGCGGGTTCGCTACTGGGAAGGCTCATCGGATTCGAGACATGTCGGGCAGATGGTCCATCACCAGACATCTGGGCTACCAGTCCATCAAGGACGTAGTATGCAAGCAAAGCACGCTGCTGTATTTCCCGTGCAGCCCATATCCGCCACTGATGATCTTTCTCGGCAGCAGGGGCGTCGTTTGAAGGTAGATTCTCCATCGAATATGGCTCACTGTCATACATTCCGCATTGGCGAGCCCAGAAGAAGCCAAGTGGACGGAAGACTTGGCTTGTGGTCCGAATTGCACGATTCCTGGATAATCCTCCGTATATTTGACCGAGAAGTGCAGTGATCATCAACTGCACGCCCTTGCAGGCGTCATATGGGCCATTGTGTGTGATTAATGATTGCCATGAGGTGGCAACAGCAGTATGTGCAAGCCGCCATAAAGCTTCCCCTTTCGCAACAGCATCACTTGGGCCAAGGTACAATGAACCGATGGCTATAGCGTTAAGGAGTAAGGAATGGGAGCATTCTCGAAAGACGAACGTTGCTCGGTGCAGTAGAGGGAATGTTGGAATGAAACGAACAAAGAACATGTGAAGACATTCATCTAGAAAGACGGATGTGATCGATGTGGCTTTGACGGCAGCGGTGACGCTCGAGGACTAGGGTCGAAATTAGCATAGCGTTCTCACTGGAGTTCGGATTTCCCGAGGCTTGAAATTTGCTGCCAAGTTCGGAGTCAAACGTACCGAGCTAGTAATCATGTCCGTCACATCCCGCACGGCTTGGTGTCCTCCACCGGACGGAATAGAGCCGATTGATGAGCTTCGGTCATCAAATGAGTTTGGTGAACCAAAACTTACACCATTTATTTCTTGCACGACCGGTGGGAATGGCAGTGTCCCCAACGGGATCTGCCATTGATCGGTAGCTTCCGAGGACATGAGACTATGGAATAGATTCTCCGAATCAGGCCAGACCAGAGCGAAATCCAAATCGTTCACATTTTGCATAGCCGAATGGTGCACAACTTGCGGCTCATCCCAAGACCGACTAGTAGCTGAAGTGGAAGCTGGATCAACTGTAGACGCGCTGCTTGATTCCCATGAAGTCATGGGATCTAGAGACGGGGGAACGGAAGCTTGGTGTAAGCCATCCCTTGAATTCATATCACGCTGATGCAGCTTCTCATGCCGAACAAGAGCATCTTGTCTGGCAAATGGTCTGCGACACTCCTTACAGACATAAGGCTTAGATCCGGTGTCTGTCCAACGCCTTCCGGTCAGCCGGCGGCTTCTTTCGGTAAGGGAAATATATTAAAAGGCATCATCGGCCCAACAATGATAAGAATAGAACAAAACTTGTACTTACGACAACGCTCATGTCTCTGAACCAGTGTTAGCTCTGTGTTTGGGGATTTACTGCATTGGGGGAGCTGCCCCTCAAAATCGTGGGGACGGGAAAAACATACTCGCAGATGTTCAGCTTTGGTGAATCCTTTTTGACATACACGACATACAAGTTTCTTTACCCCTGCTGATGCAGTCGTCATGATCTCCATCTCCATTGACATCACGTTTCGAGGGGAAGCGTGGGAAGACAAAGTGGTGAAGGAAAAGAGAAGTTGATGTGGGGATTAGCAGGTCATTGTGGGGATGTGGCACTATATTCTTCCCTTAACCTTTCATCTCTCCGCCTCGCGGAATTTCGCATAGTCACATCCCTTACACCGAATCAATGGAAACCAAATGTTGGGGGATATCATGCAGTTGATTTTATATGGAAACTTGTTATTTGATTTTTTTTGGTCTTTTAGATCCGGAGCGTGTTCCCAACCTTTGTGTGTGGTCCCAACATCCCAGGTTCTCCCCGGGGTCACCAGATCAGTTACCAGGGACTTGTGGATGCCAAGGCTGAAAACCCCGGATAGTGTAAAATAAAAACCTTGAACGGAGGAATACTCTGGGGATCTGATACGGGGAAATACGCCAAGATCATCCAGCTGTCAGTACTCGGTAATTAGCTGCCTGTGAGTGTGCCGCATGACCAGCCAAAATCTTCATCGGCTAGCCGTTCTCAAGTGCCAGGAAAGTTCGGTGACTAATCTCGTGACATGGAATGCCGGCGAAGCTGGCTCTTGACTCGCCGATCCCGATGTTGAGAGTCCACTCGGTGGGCCGTGGAGACCTCCGCATTTCTCTCCTGGCGAGCCGACCCCCGGCAAATAATACCCCATGGGCCGTATCTCCGATTTTTTTTTGCCGCTAGGCTTGTTATGAACACTCACCGTGACCTGTTTTTGGTACGCCAGCCCTTTACCAAGCCTTTGGCCTCCCCATGTGGGTGATAGCGGCGAATTCCGATTAATCATCTTCAAATTCAATTCTAAATACTTCTTCCCTCGGGCCTTTTCGCATTTCTTGTACTCGTAGTTCTTTTCTCTACTTCTCCCCAACACCAATCGATACAGCGTTTGAATTCCCATCTCTTGGAATTGCTTCGTTTCCTCTCTCAACTGGTGTCGCCCACAATGACATCTCTTGAGCTACACCCAGGCCCTTCTCGGGCAGAAGACTTTGTGGAGAACCCGGGCTCCAAGGTGGACATTGATCTTGTTGAAAGTGCTGGTGCTGGCCAAGCCGCTACCTATGAAGAATCAGTCGCAGCACGTCTCCCTAAAGCCCACCGGGAGTATCTTCTTGCGCGACATGGCACGTTGGAACTTGATCCAATTCCCAGCATGGGTCCAGCTGACCCATACAACTGGCCTGAATGGAAGGTGCGTCTCCCTTGAATAGAGACCCCTATCTAACGATTGGGGAGCCGAGAGCGAAAAATCCAGACACTAATCCTGAAAATGCAGAAAATGGCAAATCTCATCCTTGTAGCTTTTCACGCTTGCATGGGTACATTTACCGCCGCCGCCATCATTCCTGCCTACTCCGACATTGCCGCAGAGTTGGGCATTCCTGTCCAAACTGCGAGTTACTTGACTTCCCTCCAGATTGCGATTTTGGGAGGCGCCCCCTTCTTCTGGAAACCCCTGTCCAATCGTTATGGACGCCGACCGATTTTCCTTCTGTCTCTTATCTCGAGTTTGGTGTGTAACATTGGCTGTGCCAAGAGCACTACCTATGCATCGCTCGCTGCTTGTCGTGCCCTGGTGGCCTTTTTCATCTCCCCGGCCGCGGCAATTGGCAGTGCGGTGGTCATGGAGACGACTTTCAAGAAGGATCGAGCCCGTTATATGGGTATCTGGACACTCATGGTCACACTGGGCGTACCGGTCGGACCACTCATCTTCGGATTTGTCACCCAGCGTGCCGGTGTTGTGTGGATTTACTGGATCCTAGCCATGGTAAGTGAGCATTTCAGTGTTAGTCAGATGAACGCCCGCTAACTCGAATTGATCAACAGATCAATGGTGGTCAGTTTATTTTGTACCTCTTCTTCGGGCCAGAGACCCGTTATCTGGGCGGCGGCGTAGACCAAACCCGGCCTGCTTGGAAGCAAGAGTATCTGACGCTTCGTCGGATTGATCCGACTCCATTCACATGGTACGAGTTTATTCGACCACTTACCATGGCCCGTCATCCATCCATCCTCATCCCAGCCTGTGCGTATGCGATGATCTTCTTGTTCGGTAGCATCTTGTCAACAGTCGAGGTACCACAACTCCTGCAGGAGAAATTTAAACTTAACGCCGAACAACTGGGTCTCCAGTTCCTTGGTGTCATCATCGGATCCTTGATTGGTGAGCAGCTGGGAGGTCACTTGTCCGACCTGTGGATGAGACGTCGCGCCCATCGCATTAATCGCAAGCCCGACCCTGAATTCCGGTTATGGCTCAGCTACTTCGGCTTCGCTTTGACCATGATTGGTGTTATTGTCTTCCTAGTCTGCACCCAGACTTCCGCCTCTGGTCACTGGAGCGTGGCTCCCATCATTGGCACGGGAATTGGCGCCGTTGGCAACCAGCTTGTCACCACAGTGATGATCACATATGCCATCGACTGTTACCCCCAAGAAGCCGCCAGCATTGGTGTGTTCATCACCTTTGTGCGCCAGACCTGGGGTTTCCTCGGACCATTCTGGTTCTCAGCCATGTTTGAGAGTGTAGGAGTAGCACCTGCTTCTGGAATTTGTTGTGCGATGATCGTTGTTGTCAGTGTAATTCCAACCATTTTCTTGCACATGCGTGGAAAGAAGATGCGCCATGAAGAGTAAATCGACTTTTTGTTTGCTCTGGCGGTTTTGATTTTTCATGATTTGATAGCTATCTTTGAATTGGCTTTGGGTGTTCTGGAGCGATCGGTTGGGACGGTACAAACGCATTGAATCGGTATCGGATGCTTAGACTGGACATATTCGAATCGAGAATCCTGCGACCTGTGCCTGTATATAGTATAATAAGCAAGCATTGGTGCAATTACCATGAATAAACAGATATTCAAATGTGAGTCAGTTGACCAGCTCATCTTGTTCAAGGCGGAAATGAGTAGTAGACTGAACAGCCAGTCAGGTTGTGCAGGTATACAAGAACCACGAAGCAATCTCGAAAGAGCAAAAGCATTCCGATCTTGGAAACCTGGTTGAGAAAAAGTAAATGAACAAGCTGTTATAAAAAAAGTCAAATAGAAAAGCATCAAGAAAATCTCCGGCGTAAATAAAAAGCCGGTCCCTTAACGCAAGCCGATCGGGACAGCTCGGTGCTCAATCCCGAAACTGGCCCGTAGCGGCAAAAGTCATCGGCCCCTGACCAGGTCCAGACGTAGGCACATATCTGAATCATGCGATTATCGGCTTTGAATTTCGGTGCTATTGGTTGGATTTACTCCCACTGCCGCTATGCATGCCGATATAATCTTAATGATGGCCATTTTCAATATAGGGATGTAGCTATAGCTGAGTTACTATGTAAATCATCGGTATGCCGAAAGGCTATAAAATCTCAAAACGAGCAATCATTATATGATTTAATCAGCGACCATTTATTCAATCTCACGTATTCAATTTCAAAGTAATCAGTATATCAGGATTTTCCCAAAAAGTATAATGACTATCCCTGTTGGTTTGTTTTTGACTGGATTTTGGTAGATAATGTCATACAGCCAAGGCCGAGAATGGGCCGATGATTGAGCGGATATGATTTATTCCGCTGGGGAAGAAATCATATCCCGGTATCTTTATTGGTGGAAAGGATCAGTGCTGCGGATGAATATTGAACAATCAATCAAAATGACTTGCGAACATTTGATTGGTTTCTAATATTGGAACAGCTAGCTTGTGACTTTCAGCACAAGTTCCAAGAGTGACACCGACGTCTGAAGGTCTATTTGCGCGAACCTTGGAATACGGTAACCCTATGCATGCCAACATGCAGGTGCAGGTGACCCTAGCCAAGTGCAGAGACAATTCTGACAGGCACCTCAGGTAGGCAGTTTTGCATTCTCTGCATTTAAGGTCAAGACATCAATCAACATCGAAATGTTGTAGGCCATTGACACGTAGACATGTTTCTTCTAGGAATCTTAAGTGCATATTTTCGGCATCTATATACCTGCATCCTATAAATATATACATTGACAGGGTCATTTCTCCGTCAGTTCCTCATTCGTATTCATTTATATAGTCGTCAATCACTGGTGCTCGATCTTGTTAATCAGAGTACCAACGTGGGGAAGCAGCTCAACAGCAAACTCATCACCAGCCTTGATGAACTGCTTGGGATTCTTAGCGGCACCGACACCGGGAGGAGTGCCAGTGAGAATAATAGTACCGGCCCGCAAAGTGGTACCCTGAGAAATGAAGCTGATAAGCTGGGGAACGGAGAAAATCAAGTCACTGTATTGTCATTAGCTTTTAGGTTCATAATTGAAGTTCCAGATACGTACGTCAGAGGGCAGTCCTGCATGACATCTCCGTTCTTGAGGCCGCGAATATGCAGCTTGCTAACATCGGGAAGAAGCTTGGCGGAAACAAGAGTGGGTCCTATTGTTAAGTTAGCCTCAGATCTTCCACGGTCTCCTCGTAATGAGACTATATCGTCATCGTACCAATGGGACATGAGCCATCAAAGCCCTTGGAGAAGCACCATTGGCTCTGGTTCATCTGGTAGGTACGGCTAGAAACATCGTTGGCAGCAGTGTAGCCGAGAACATAGTCAAGAGCCTCGGACTCGGGCACATCCTTTGCATCACGGCCAATAACAATGACCATCTCAGACTCGTAGTCACCGGTGTTGTCGGTCTGTGTGATCTTGGGCAGGATGGTCGGAGCGGGATAGGGATCCGCAAGGGCTGTGGACGGCTTAAGGAACAGGACCGGCACATCCGGGAGCGACAAGTCCATCTCCTTAGCGTGCGAAACATACTATTGATTGTTAGATTGGAGTCTCTCATGGCTTTCAGAACACCTACGTTAAGGCCAACGCAGCGGATGGATCCGACTTCCTCCTCTGCGAGAGGGGAGAGAAGGCGTTCAATAACTTCAGTGCCGGTAGTGACTTCACCAGGGCTTAAAACGGAGGTACCGGTGAATGGGCGCACGGAGACCTCCTGGCCCTTGTACAAAGCCAGACCAACATCAAGCTCCGCATCCACAGGCTCTCCGATGAGAACCTTGGAGGAGTCCGACTTGGGAACGAAGCGCACCAGGCCTAGAATCGTCAGCCTCAACCATCAATGGTCTAAAAATAAGGAAACTCACGCGAAAAGGTAGAGGCAATAGTCGACATAGTTGAAATGTGTGTAGAATTTTGATTTTACGAGAAGGTCAAGGAAGACCTTACTTGTATTTGTACTTATCGATAAAAGCGGAGTAAATCTATCCCGCCTGGATAAGCCGGACACAGACAATGTGGGGAGGTGGCAACGAGGGGAAGACAGCGGAAGGAAATAAATACCCCGCTATATCGCTGTTCTTTTTCTCCGACAACGAATCCAATTCTTTACAATGTCTGCTCCCAAGGGTCCTTTCCGTCTCGTGACTGTCAACACCGCTCCCGAGCGCGCTAAGCGTCTCATCGGTCGTGTCGCCGATCAGCTCAAGGATCGCTACGAGATCATCCACGTCGACAATTGTGACTGTGAGTGTCCTTCAATACAGTTTCTACCCAAACCAATTCTCAAACTAACCTCAACCCTCTAGCCATCGATCAGGTCGAAGCCAAGGTCAAGGAGCACCAGCCGAACGTTCTGGTAAGTTATCCCCACTCCGGGTTATCCGAGAATCTCCAACTTACATTTCCACAGTTCAGTGCTTCCATGTGGACCGAGGAGGAGGCCAAGCAGATCCACGATATTGCCAGGTCCATTGTTCCCGACATCAAGCTCCACGCCATCCCCGAAGGCCTGCAAGTCAAGTACGGCCCCGATGCTATCGTCGATTACCTGGTCGAGAAGGTCCCTGTGCTGCTGGACAGCTAGATTATGATCGCATGAATTCATGTATATATTTGACAATAAAATTGTATCAATTTTTTAAACACAATGGCTTCAATGTCAATGTTGTAGTCTGGCATTCGTAGTTCCAGTACCTCGTGACGATCTTCCCCACATCCCACGCATGCCGATATCGGGACTCCCCCACATTTCGTGTCAAAGCCATCTATGCACGTGTATTGATGCAGCTCATTCCCAAGGATCAGTCTTGGACCGCTCAATCGCCGCCTTGGTCGCCTCGTCAATATCCTCCGTTGGCAATCCAAGCAATGCATTCAAAGTACCCTTGTGTTCGATATTCCCCGCGCCATCCTGATAGCAGACACGGGTGTAGAGCATCTTGGCAAACCCAATACGACTGCCCTCTTTCATCTCCTTCATACCATTTGCCCAACGTTCAGTCGCCGGTTCCTTCGAAATAGACCAGTCCGATTCCTGGGTTCCAGTCACGCGAATAGCAGATTCCAGCATGTCCTTCTGGCTAACCGTGAATGATTTGATGTAGACGACCTGATTCTTGATATTCTCGAGACACGCTTCCTGGTCAGATCCTTCAGGCTTAATAGGCAGGCTGAGCAGAGCGGCGACAGCACGACCAACCTGCGGCCAGGTGGAGGTTGTGATCTTTGTCTCTCCATCGTCGAAGAAAGTCGCCGTATGATTGATCAGATCAATTCCAAAGGCTGATGGAATGGCAAGACTCCATTCGTACCAGAATCCAGTGGAAAGACTGATAAAGCTGCATTGGCCAAGTTTGACAATGGCTTTCCGTAGCTCAGCTGTTATCAAGACACATATTAACAACATTCCTTGAACATCAAATTTTCGGACTATTTACCCTTGGGCTGGAATATCGGAATATCCTGGTTCATGGCCTCATTCGTTGTACTGGGAGACCAGTCGTTCGGCAAAACCCATTTCACACCTGCTTCACCCGCAGCCTTGATGAGCTGCAGCTCTGTCCCTTCTGGGGCATGGCCACTTAGTGTGATCACTAGCATCTTGATCTTTGAGTGCTTCCACGATCGTCTCTGCTTTGCTGTAGTCAATTTCCTTAGCTAAAACACCGACTGGAAGAGTCTTTGGACTTCCGGATCTCGTCAGGGCTGTGATGGTATGCTTTCCTGTCTTAAGCAGGGCATCAGTCATGAAGCGGGCACTGTGGCCAGTGGCCTTAGTATACTTGTTAGTATTTAGTTCGTGAAGTTAAGAGAATCAAAATTGAGTCCATTTTTCATTCAATGTTCAATTATCTCAATCTTGAGGTGGTGGAGGACTGGCGAGCAAATAGAGTCGAAACCATAGAATCACATACCCCGACGATCGCGACCTTTGTGATGTAATTCGACATCACTTTCCTAATTATTGTATTCGCTTCAGATATTTTGTTGTAGTGGTCTGTCTCAAATGCCCGAGTCCTTTCCTCCAAGACCACACAGGGCTTTATAAACTTTGGTTCTGTGCCATGATTCATACTACGTCAACGGACTTAAGGGACTCACTAATTCCGAGGATCACTCAGCACGGAAATAGACGGTATAGCCGAGGATATTTTCTGATTATCATACACAAACTAGGATTTGGACTCCGGGAATGATTAATTTTGGAGAAAAAGGACCTTGCGAATGTGTGGATGATTTGGACTGTGGAGAGTGTGAAGTGTAGGAAATTAATCTGCGGAGAATTTAGGTGATCGGCAATCAGATAACTTGACCCTTAGCCTTGGAACTTTTGCAACACAGGCACTGTGCAGTCATCTTATGCTCACGTTGTATTTATGTACGATCCAGTTGACTTTCGAGGTTACGCAAGTTTGTATCAATTGAAAGTTATTTTTCCTGGTGGTATGCTCGGTGCTCGATATAAATATTTATCATGGTTGGGATTGAGAGTTGTTCCGGAGTAAATCGGCCTAGCTGAGATATTATTATAACAGGCTCTGATGCTCTACTAGCAACGAGATCCGAGCGATATGTATCAGTACCGAGACGTGTGCAATTTGATAAATGCTTCAAATGGTTGTGTTTGGTGTAAATCGAGGTTCTGATCCGACTGTGGACCAAAAGTCCAATTACCGAGATCCAATCGCCGAGGGCATGATAACTGGAGATATTCTGCTTTCCTTCAGAGATAATTGTAAGCTATGCCTGTAAAGTTCACTGTGATATAGATAATTATGGAGATCGTCTAAAGGAAAAGAAGGCCATGAATATAATATTTGGGTTTCTTGATTGGGCAGTGCCTGCAGACACAAGTTGAGGATACTGAGATTCGGAGGGATGACCTTCTCCTAGGATCACTTGATGCACATGTCCATAAAATGTGCAACTGACTTGAAGAAAGTAGGTTCAATTCCTTCGCGGAAGCCAACGAAGAGAACGAAAACACCCTTATAAGCTGATTTGCAGAAATCAATAAGATAAATGAATTTGAATGCGATGGTTGAGATTGGAAAGAACGCTGGGAAAGCCCATGCCTGAACGCCTGTATGATATAAATCCAATGTAGTTATCCCGACCTTGTAGCCGAGGATACCTTGTCCTTGTCTGCAGCAAGTTGCCGTCCGGGTTTTAGCAAGAGCAGAATAGCCGGTAGCTGAGCGGCTGCAAAGCCGATCATGACTATCAGCTGGATACGGTAACTATCGGCAAATACTCTCTTCACATCGTCTTGAAGATGTGGAGATAGGGTTTTCAAAGTCGTCGAGTTCTCGAGAAATAGGTGTATTTCGTGGTGTGTTAAGACGCCTTTCAAATGATGTGCCAGGCGGCTGTTGAGGATATTGGATGCGATGGCGAGACCGATAGCACCGCCGAGGAATCGTAGTTGGACGACCGTTCCAGTGGCAATTGCTGTAAAGCATGTTAATACCAGTCCAATACACTCTTATTGATCACCTAGGTCAATGCATACCGAGATCTCTGTCCTCGACGATATAAGGTGTTGACAGCAATAGAATGCCCAGCGTAATACCAATCCCGGCACCAGCAATAACCTCATACCCGATATCTGTTGCATGGTAGCCTTCCGACCGGGTAATGGTGGACAGAAGCCCAACTCCGACTGTGTGGATTATGCATCCCACAAGTAGGGAATAAAGGAACGGAATTCGCCCTTTCGAGCTGGCTATGTTGATTATCGCAGCCGCGACGGCTGCGACCGCAGAATATGCAATGAGATACACACCGGAGTCGAGAGGCGACTGTCCTAGAAGAATCTGGGCTTGTTGGGGGACATACACCAGGACGACATTCCAAACTGCACCTGTAACAAAAGAGGAGCTGGGTTTTGTCAGATTATATGGCAAAAATGAGCAAGATGAGAACTCACATCAGGATACCCATCCATGGACGATCACAGAGCCATCGTTTTGGAAAGATGGGGTCTGCGCCAGGTATGCCCGACAGGTACCACTCCCAGACAAAGAAGGCGATCCAAGAAACGCCCGTCAGGACGAGAAGAGCTATCGAGCCTCTGGAGTCCCAGGAAAAAGCAAGATTTGCTTCGTTCAAAACTGTAACGATCAAGAATGAACCCGCGATCATCAGAAATGAGCCCACAAAGTCTAGATTGGCAAATGAGCGATATGATGCCCTTGTTCTGAAAGAAGGAGTGTGTTGGTCAAGGCCGAAGTGTTTCGGCATCGCAACCATAATTATAATGATGGCAACTGCGCATAGGGGAGCACTGCGATGATGTTAGCAATCGGACCAAACTATGACGCATTCACATACTTGATAAAGAAAACCCATCTCCAGGCCGCGTGTTGTGCAAGCACACCTCCGATAATTGGCCCGGCTAAAGCTGCAACCGCTAAGCAGAATGACATGATGCCACTGTATGTGGGAAGTTTCTCCTTCGGGGCGATCTCATAGATGCAAAGAATGGCTAGGGCATAGGCGCCAGCGCCCCCTATCCCCTGGAGTGCTCGGCATATAATGCTACAAGCAAAATTAGTTCGATCCGCATATCAAAGTCCAGGAATCCTCACAGTTGGTTGACTGTCTGAGCGCATCCACATCCAATAGAGAATGCAAGCAGGATGAAAAGCGAAGCAATAGTCGTTTGCTTCCTCCCAACTATATCACTGAGTTTAGTCCATATCGCCATGGACCCTGTATAGGTGGCCAAGTACCCCGTAACAATCCAACTCCGCTTCTCGAATCCATTCAAGCTATCGGTGATGTTGGTAAGAGAGGAGCTAACGATGGTAACGTCCAAGTTGGAAAGAAAGAAGCCAATCAAGAGCCTGCCAGAAATCCGTAAGCCTTTCGTTCACTAGCCCCAAGTTCCAACATACGCATTATACCTACCCAATAGTAGTAAGAACGAGCCTCCATCCTGTCGGGTATACGATTTCACTCCCCGGTGAAAGAGATCTCTGTGCTGACCCCTTTTCCCCATTCCCCCTGCCGCGATTCGGCCCATACTGTGTTTTCTTTGAGATTGGCTCCGCGAACTTGATCCGGTCAGCCATGGTTTAATGATTGCTTTAGTGGTAAAGAAGTGAGATGACAGCCATCGCCGCTTGAGGAAAAAAAGAGAATTCCGAAATGAACCACTCACTGTAGGACCAAGCCCCGCGTATATTTACCCCAGGGGCTTCGTGTGGAACGCGGGCAACGCGCGATGACAGAATGTGGAATCTGTATGCCAAGGGAGTGATCGGCGGTGATCATTGAAGCTAGCTGGAATTGAATGGCTTGGCGTGAATTTGTCTTCGGCTAGACCTTTTTCTGGGGTCTTCATGTGCCAAAATTGGAATTTAAAGGCTCCTAGCGTTGGTGGGTTATTTTTTGAATGCTATTCCCCCCCCCCCCTTTTTTCTCTTTTCTGTGGCGAAATGGGGGAGAAAAAGGGGTCATTCTTGACCAAGGAGATTTAAGACATTTCCAACAATTGCTTTGCGCGTTTTTATGATGGTTTGAGTTGGTATTATCTCCTTGCTCTTGGCAGTTTTACCCCTTTGATAATGATAAGACTTGATGTTATCCATGTCGTCAGTAAGGGTTATACTTTGCCTCTAGCCTGTTCAGGTAATATGGACTACACTTGATTAACAAGCATTATTTACACAATTCAGTAGTGCGAATATTGCTTATCGATCTACTTTACGGGTAAAAGAAAGTAAAAAAGCCCCGGCACTTTGCTTATCCCATTGCTACCATTGATTTCCGAATCCCTGTTTGACGGGAAGCGGATACCCGCGTGACTGACAGTTGGAACTCCATAGCCACTTGGCAAACATTCAATACCCATTTCTTCCGGATACAATACCAAAACAAGGTCCGTCCTTCTTGAACATGGCCTGAAGATCCTGAGTAATAATTTCAGGAACTTCCCAGGCAGCGAAATGTCCACCGTAATCATATTCAGTCTGCTGGACAACAGGACCCAATCCAGCAGCCCAAGTACGAGGAACCACAATGATTTCACGTGGGAAATGCACAAGCCCCAATTTAACATTGGGCAGATACTCCCTGAGCTTATCGTGGGCTAAATCCTTACCAGGCCGAGCGTGAAAGCTTTCATAATAGATGCGAACGCTAGCCTCTGGGCCTGCCACCGAAAACCAATAAATAGACACCCAAGTCAAGATCTCGTCTTCAGTCCAGGGGTAAGAATCCGACCAATCGTGAAGTTTCTCGTAGACCCAGCCTAGCAGTGCAACGGGACTATCTGCCAACGCTGTGCCGATTGTTTGGGGCTTCGTACTTTGTAGTAGGTTGTATCCGAAGCCTTCTCGTTGAAACCATCCAGATCGCTGTCGGCCATTTTTTTCGTAGGCGCTGTATGGTTGAATGCTATGTTGTAGAGCTAAGAGTGGATTCGAGGTCCACTTCGGCGGCAGAGCGGCAATCATGTTCAGGTGAGAAGCTTTGCAATGCTCTGGGTATAGATGGCCCATACTCCTAGTGATGAAATGACCTAGATCTCCACCTTGCGTGACTGTCCATGACATTTGTACGTCAGAATGTTTTCAGGGAAATACTTAAACTACCATATTCGGAATACCCAAGTTTGGTCATGAGTTTGTGAAACGTCTCGGCATACTGAGCCCAACCGAATCCGCGCTTTGTAACCCCAGAAGAAAAACCAAAATTGGGCAACGAAGGTGCCACAACGTGGAATGCTGGATTTTTGTCATCACCATGTAGTAGTGGCAACAGCTTCTTCACCTCGATAAATGATCCCGGCCCTAATTGAAATTAGATTGTCTTTAAATTGCATACCCCGCAATAAGCCAATACCTACGAGTACGGGAATGGCATTCTTTACAGGGCTAACCTGATGAACGACTAGACACATGTCAGTTCAGTATGGATATCACATCTTCCACGGTCCTCACAGTGGATATCCAGTATACCGAATCCGTCAACTTCAACTTCGGTGTGATACTGGGGAAGTTCATTCAACTGAGCCTCAGCTTTTCGCCAGTCATAACGATCTTTCCAATATGTCACCAGTCGCGCTATGTCTTTGGCAGGAACACCAAAGTCCCATGAATCTTGGTCTGGAGATTCAAACTGGGTGGGGAGTTTGGCCCAGGTAAGGCGTTGCTTGAGCTCCTGTAGAGCAGCATCAGGGACGGAGATCGTGTAGGGTGTCGGTTGGGACATCTTGGGTGATCAAATAGAACGAATTCAAGATCTTAACTAGTTAAAACACTCAATTTAGTCAGCCAGTTGGAGTGCATGTTGAAGTTTAGTTCCAAGGTTCAGTGGCGGGTATATCCTTCAATGATGCGGAGTCCGCAGCTTTGACCTCGGAAGTATTGCATCACCGTATTGGCCTTATAAGAGGACCTCAGGATATCTAGGTGTTACACATACAAATAGAGAAATTTGGACATGTATGTCATGTTGTTGTCATCAAGTAAGTACATGCAGATTTCAAGGCTATGTATTTAGACAACGATATGTATCGTTGCATAGAAATAAATGTTATGGGATGATACAGGTATGATAGTCAGCCTTGATCCTTTTCCTTTTCCTTTTCTTTACTAGTACCGGCTAGGGGTGCTGGCGGTGGAGGTGGGTTGCGGAGAAGGGGACTTCCTTCACTCAGATCGCACACATAGCCATCTTCGTCCACACCGAGGTGTAAGCGCTCCATATCATCCGCCTGCAGGGGGGTCAGGTTCATGTTGAATGCTGCCTTGACCAGATCTGACTGCGAAACCCTCTTTCGGTTGCTGACTCCCTTGCTTTTAGTGGATAGGCGGCAAACCATCTCGTTATTGATGGCGGTTTGAACTGCAGGGTAGTCAAGCCCAGTTGCCAGTATCTTGCTCACTTTTTCGGACATGGTGGCAGTACGCACACGATTGAAGAGCGCCGCGGTATTCAGAAGTCCCCACTGGTGGGTCGCACGCTCTCGGACCTTGCTGATCAGATGCTCCTTCTTTTTCTTGCTATCGACTAGCTTACGAGATGAGGCCCAGGTATCATGAAAGCCTTCGAGGTCCTCATGTCCTTGCCAGAATTCGCCATCTTGTACAAAGGTATGTAGTTCATCGAGATTGTCTTTGCCGGCCTCCTTCTTCTTACTCTTCTTCTTCTTCTTCTTCAGCTGGCCGGAGGGACCAGAGGATGAAGGTACCGGTGTGCCTTTGTCAGTCACAACGGAGGAAGAAGATGATGCCTCCCGTTCAGTGTTGGGAGTTGGCACCAAGGAAGTGTGCTTGCCAGTTTTGGACTTCTTCTTCACTGGACCAGAAGGGCTGGCGCGGCTGGAGGATTGAGGCACTGGGGTGCCATTCTCACTCGCGATTATGGAAGACGATGATGTCCCGCACTCAGCGTCAGGGGTATCCGTGTGTAGCGAGACAAATTTATTCTCCATCTTTGCCGGGTCAGGTGGGTTAGAGGGGCTAGTTAGTGGACACACTAGAGTGCCATTATCAATACCGGTGATGACCAAGGAAGAGTTCTCACATTCCACATCTTCGCGACGGCGCTTACCACTCTTAGGAATTTCAGCGTTCGAAGGGTCAGTAGAACTTCGCAGAGGTGAGACATTTGAGCATCCTCGAATTTGCAAATCTCGCTTTGTCAGACTCTTATGTATTGAAGGGCCCGTGGCCTTATCCACCGGATGAGATGATCCGTTGCTTTCGTGAGAGAGCCATTCTTGCAGTTTGGTCTGAATGATCGATAATTCATCCCGAATCCTCACCACTTCTGCAGCGAACGTTTTCATCGCATCATTGATATCCTTCGCAAAATCCCCTTGCTCGTCCCTCAGTTGGCTGCGAAGTGAGACTATCTCCTCAGGCAACCCAAATGTCCGCCGAATCTTGGGTATATCCTTTAATGGATCAAGTTCCTTCCATTCAGTTGCCCAGGTCTGCAATTCTTCCAGAGAGACCTTGAGTATCTGAATTTGCTCCGTTAGGCTAGCGAATCGTGGATCTAACGTTTCAGCCAGGGTCTTCAACTCAGCAGAGAGTTGATTACTCTGATCAGTCAGCTTCATAACGTCGTCCGAGTGGTCATCAGCAAGCTCTTGAAAGGCGGTAGACAGCGAGTTGGAACTTTCCTGCAACTCATTGACATCCCGAAGCTGTTTAGATATGCTTTCGGAATGCGATCCCTGAACTTGTTGTAGTGGAGCAAGTTGATCCTTGACGAAAGCCTCAACCTTTACCAGTATCCTTTCAGACAGTGATGTAACATCAGCATCCAACTTGTTGATCCGTTCTTCCACAGGTCGAATTTGACTCTTGATGCTATCGTCGGATTTTGCCAGCATATTATCTGGCATTGATGAACATTCCAACTTGTCGACCCGACTTTCCACGTTTGGAAGTTCACTCTGGATGACATTTTCCAGCTTTGCCAGCATTTCATCAGGCATTGATGAAGATTCCAACTTTTTGGTCCGATCCTCTAGGGCTCGCAGGTGAGAGCCGTACATCTCGAAAAGAGCGTGAGACATCTGTTTTACTAAGCCCTCGGTGTTGAAGTTGTCGTATCGCATCTCAATCGAGCGAAGTGCCACCTGGAAAGATTCGAGCCTTTTTACCCATGGTTCCAATACAACAGCATGAGCCTCAGCAGCCGCATCTACTACCAATTCTTTCATACGGGCATCAAGCCTAGAGTAAGCAGTCTCAAGGGCGGCAATCCTGTCAGCCCATTTGTCTGGCCCTCCATTAGCCTTCTGGTAAGTGGCTGCCTCTTGTCGCGAGATGTCGATCTGTCGCAAAATATCAGCCTTTTCATTTTGAAAGTTGCCAAATCTCTTGCTCAGATTAATTGCCATCGTTTCGGTATTGGTCAATTTGTATTTTAGAACATTGATCTCCGTTTCATTGGATTTAATGGCTGATTCAAGGGACGCGAATTTGGTACTGTCCATCTTGGATTTTAGAAGACCAATATCCGCTTCGTTGGACCTGGTGGCTGATTCGATGCTTTCGATCATGGAGAATCTTTGCTCGACCAGCTCAAGGCGCACTTGCAACGCTGACTCCTGTACAGAGTTGGTAGAAAGGAGTGTTGACCCATTGGGAGGAGTTGCCGATTTGTCGAGATTTTCCTTTACTGTGGTCACTTCTCCTGCAGCCTGTGTCGCCTTTCGGTGAGCTTCATTGGCCTTCATTTCGAGCTCTTTCAGATTATCCGGCAAGCTTTCCCAGGCCTCAGGCATGGATTTCAAGGGCAGTTTCGTGTCCCCATTGTCAAGTCCTTTCCTCCAATCTTTGATCTCGCCGATTTCTTTTCTGAGCCCATCAATGTCTTTTTTCTGCTCACCGCTGCTTTTCAGAATGCGTGATATTCGAGTGGAATATTCCACGACCGAATTTTGAATCTGGGCCGGGAAATTAACGCTCGGCTGAGCTACCGAAGTGGCTTGTTTGAGCTTATTGACCTCCACTTCCAGCTCGTTGATTCTCTCGATTTCCACACGAGAGGGCTGGGCAGGTGGAATGGGCTCCGTGAGCTTAGATTGGATCGGGGTTGAGAGAAGATGCTGGTACTTGGCAAATTCAGCGGTCACTTGCTGACAGATATCCTGATGCTGAATCAGGGACTGGTTAAGCCTGGCTCTATTGTTTTCCCTCTTCTCGTCCATATGATGGAACATATCTGTCGTGGCCGGGTACATTTGCCTCATCATCTTTGCCCGATCGCTGTCTCGCTTCGCTTGCGCGGTAATGTCGTCCAGGCGTTTCTTCTCATTTTGTTGATTGAGGAGATTAAAATGTGATATATTGAATTTTGACAGCAATGTCAGGAGATTAGCTGCATCCCCCTCCGCCACGGGTACATTTTGAGGGTCTGGTCCTCCAGAGGCTCCTGCAGTGGCTAGATGAATATCAGCACTAGATTTCGATCGTGATACATTTGACGAAGTAGATAGTGGCGGAGTGGAGGCTGAGGCTTGAGTAGGATGTGAAGATGAGCGAGATAGTGAGATATTGATGGCCGGGCGAGGAGGTCGGCTGGCCAAACGGGGATCAGTTGCAGTCGGTGGGAGAGGAGTAGGCACATTCATATCCATCTTGTTGATCGAGCTGGTGACTTGAGTGTTATGATTGGCTCATGGTATTTTCAAGTCACGCAAGCAAATACAATGCCGAATTAGATTGACTAATGAGCCATATGAAGGCTGATATGAAGCTCTCTGACGAAAAGAAGTTCGAGTCGAAGATTTTGTATCCCGTACTCCATAGGTCAAAGAGGTGTAAAGATTTGAAGGCGGGAAGGTGCAGGACCAACAAACGGGAATTGCCCAGTAACTTGAAGAAAGAAAAGAATGGTAGATCACCCGATACAGAGGAAATGTGATCAGTCTACTGTTTGACATTTGTTTGTTCCCTTTCTCTTGAGCAACTCCCATACAAGAAGGAGTCGCGACGCGACCGCCGGCGCTAAATCAACGTTCAAAGAAAAACATACTGCCAGGCGGTGAGCTGGAATCTTCCCTTCCCAGGCTGTTTCTTCCGCAGCTTCACCTTCGATCAACTGCTCTTTAAACTTCATCCCGAAAGTGAGACGGAGACTTTGTGGGAAATACTCAGTGATAATGACTGCTGTAAGCCTGACTCCTTTTTAGGTGCCATTGGGCTTTTGACTAACTCCAATTTCAGCCAATTTCCACCATCGCAGAGAGCAAGGAGCTCCGGGGACTGAACCTCATCGCCGCCCATTCGCATATTAGAGGTCTTGGTGTCGATGCCGACTCTTTACAGCCCCGAGGGGCCTCCCAAGGTCTGGTGGGACAGGAAAAGGCTCGCAAGGCTGCTGCGGTGATTTTACAGATGGTGAAGGAAGGCAAGATCGCGGGTCGCGCAGTCCTGATCGCAGGACCTCCTAGCACCGGAAAGACCGCCATTGCGATGGGCATGGCTCAGTCGCTTGGCCCTGATGTGCCTTTCACAATGCTTGCCTCCTCAGAAATTTTCTCGATGGAAATGTCCAAGACGGAGGCCCTTACCCAGGCCTTCCGCAAATCCATTGGAGTCCGGATCAAGGAAGAAAGTGAGATCATTGAGGGAGAGGTCGTTGAGATTCAGATTGACCGCAGTGTCACTGGAGTAAGCATGACCTTCATATTTTGACCTATCGACTGGTTGCTTACGGTTATAGGGAAACAAACAAGGAAAGCTCACGATCAAGACCACCGACATGGAAACGATTTACGACATGGGCACAAAGATGATTGATTCGATGACCAAGGAACGCGTGATGGCTGGTGACGTTATCTCCATCGACAAGTCTTCCGGCAAGATCACCAAGCTTGGCCGGTCCTACGCTCGTTCGCGCGACTACGACGCCATGGGTGCCGACACCAAATTTGTTCAATGTCCGGAGGGAGAGCTGCAAGTGCGCAAGGAAATCGTTCACACAGTCAGCCTCCATGAGATCGACGTGATCAACTCGCGGTCCCAAGGATTCTTGGCGCTCTTCTCGGGTGACACGGGCGAGATTCGCAGCGAGGTCCGAGACCAGATCAACACCAAGGTGGCTGAGTGGAAGGAAGAGGGCAAGGCGGAAATCATTCCAGGTGTCTTGTTCATTGATGAAGTACACATGCTCGATATTGAGTGCTTCTCGTACATTAATCGTGCTTTGGAGGCTGAACTAGCACCCATTGTCATCATGGCCAGCAACCGTGGCCAAGCTCGCATTCGCGGTACCACCTACACCTCTCCTCACGGCTTACCTCTTGATTTTCTTGACCGTGTTGTCATTGTCAGCACCGCGCCATACTCGGGCGATGAAATCCGCCAAATTCTTGCTATCCGTGCCCAAGAAGAAGAAATTGACTTGTCCCCAGATGCCCTGGCCCTTCTGACCAAGATTGGCGAGGAGTCAAATCTCCGTTATGCCAGCAACATTATCACTACTTCTCACTTGTTGAGCCAGAAGCGCAAGGCCAAGGAAGTCAGTGTTGACGATGTCCAGCGGAGCTTCCGACTATTCTACGACCCGAGCCGTAGTGTCAAGTTCGTCAGCCAGTATGAACAACGCTTCATCGGTGACCAGGGCGCAGTTTCATTTACTGTAGGCGCCAACGGTGATGCCATGGAGCTTTCATAATAATTTCTCTTCTGCCCATTTCTTTGCCATGTGTTCGCCGGGGGACGATTTAGCGGATTGAAAACTACACTGGTTTCTTACTTTGTTCTTCTTTTTTATCGCATCATATGATGTATGAATAGGACTGGCGCTTGTCGAGGTGATCTTTTATGTTTATGAACTTTTTATACCGGAGAATCGAATTGAGCCCCGTTGGATTTGATATTTTACACGAAACTAACCGTGGAACTCCACGGCCCTGTACTTCCAACCTGGCGAAATTCGACTCCTTCGCCAAAGTAACCGGCACTATTCCATGAAGCCATCATAGTGCTATCGTAGGGCCCGTGAGCATCGCCTCCGTCTCGGGCATCTGACCAACGATATTCCCACATCATGGGGGTTTCGACCTGCGCGTCACCTTCTGAAGGTGGGTCTACCCAGTCCTCGCCGGTCTCGTTGCGATACTGCCTGGTTAGAAGCTCACGCTCGGTGTCGAAGATCTCGGGTTGGTCGCGGCCCATAAGTATATCGGCGGCACCGGTGATGTCATCAATTGCCTTTCTCCGCTTGGCTTCGTCGGGATTTTCGTCGGTCATCTCAGTGTCTTCAGTGTTGCTCTTCTTGTTTTTCTTCTTGTTTTGCCATTTGGGCTTACGCTGCAGACCCTTGCCTAGTCGAGCCAGAGCTTCCAATATTGTTTCTCCGCGCTCGAGGTGTAGAATAATAGTCTTCAAGACATCGGCTGTCAACACACTGTCATTCATGCGGTCCTGCTCTTTCCGGTCTGATTCGCGTTTCGCTGCGGCATCTTTTGCCTTTTGGATGTCCTTTTTAGAAAGCCCGTCCAGCCATGAATCGTATACAGCGTCTGGATCAACGGCTTTGCGGACATAGTTCCCGGATTCGTCGAATTGACCTTCTTCCTGTTCTGTCCTCATGTTGAAGGCATCGAGCAATGGTGCATGCTTCTTCTTTCCACCAGCGCCAACCTCCTCGTCCAGATCCTCATCGATCCTGGCGCGCTCCTCTTCTCCAACATCACTCCCACTGTCTTCATCTTCTTCCTCATCGTCGATCTCACCAGGAGCTTTGCTTAGATCGGCGCGTAGTGCCTTTCCACCTTTCGAATCGGACTCCTGGCCTTCAATCTCGTTGTCGCGCAGGAAGCGAACGGACTTTTTTTTGCGCGAAGCTTCATCGTCATCCTCTTTATTCTCGTCAAAGTCATCCTGCAGTTCTGCGAACATATCGTCGTCGTCATCAGCATCCTTTGCGATCTTTTTTGATTTCTCTTGCTTGCGCGCCGAGAACCCTTCGTTGTCACTGTCCGAATCGTATCCGTCGAGATTGACTGCTTTGCGGCGCACATTTTGACCGCGCCGACCGATCTCATCGGCATCTAAAACCGCATCCTCTTCTGGGGCGTCGGCTGCAAGTGCGGAAGGGTTGCGAAGGTCGAAACGAGGTTTCTTGTTGTCGGGGGAGTCGTCTTGATCATGATTTGTGCGGGCAAAGGATTCCCCTGCTCTTTTAGGGCGTGGGAGAGAGCTTGCCATATTGAAAAGGCAAATATAATGCGAAAAACGGACTTGATGGTTTAGTTTGCAAGCTGTGTCGCAGTATGAATGCCATTTGCATCCGGGGTCGGAACGGAAAATCAAGCCGGAAGCCAAGTTGCGTCACTCGAATCTCGGCGAGTTGCAACTCCATTGGGTACTCGGTTTCTTTCACCACCCTTATCTCCACAACTTCAAAAGTCTCTTGGTCTAACTTCACGTGTTCTATTCGATTGATCTTGAAATTATGGTGAGTAGAGAACTGAGCTTTATGCCATGTTTATACCCTTTGCAATAGCTTCTAACAGCTCCAGTTCCGACCTGATTACTGGTCCGACGACCCCATGGACGGCATTATGGGAGGTGGCATGCTCCGAGGAGGGGCTGCTGCTCGCCGTTTTGATGAATATTATCGATGCTACCCTGTCGCGATGCTTCCTGGCCCCGAGAGAGAGAATGTCAATCACGGCGGCAAGGTTATTATGCCTCCTAGTGCACTAGACAAACTTACCCGCCTTCATATCACCTATCCCATGCTCTTTGAGCTTCACAACGGGGCCAGAGAGAGAATGTCACATGCTGGTGTCCTGGAATTCATTGCGGAGGAAGGCAAAATTTATCTCCCATTTTGGGTGAGTGTCGGCTCCAGCCTGGCTAGAGACGTTAATGCGATGTTGAATCCATCCTGACTAACCTGATTATAGTTGATGCAAACACTACTGCTTGAACCTGGCGATCTGCTTCAGATCAAGTCCACAGATCTTCCTCCCGGTCAATTTATCAAGCTCCAGGCACAGTCAACTGCAATCCTCGACATTAGTGACCCAAAGGCTGTCCTCGAAAACGCTTTCCGCAATTTCTCCTGCCTTACCAAGGGTGACGTTTTTACATTCGCCTATAACGAGCAGGTTTATGAAATGGCAGTTCTAGAGACGAAGCCCGCAGGCTCCAAGAATGCGATCTCTGTCCTGGAAACCGACCTGGAAGTTGACTTTGCCACTCCAGTTGGATACGAGGAACCACAACGTATCAGCGGTACCAGCACTCCGGGGAGCGTGGTCAAGCTTCCCGCCGGTGGACTTCTGCACCCCCACGGCACCATGGCGCAAGCTATCAACTATGCCGCTATCGCTCCCGATTCTACAGACGCTGCTGCTGGTGCCCGGGCTACATCCTCCAACTTTTTGTCTGAGGGACAACGCCTCAACGCAAAGAAGGGTAGCAAGGCGCCTACTCCGAAGGCTTCTACCCCCACACCAGGGGCCACAAATCCCTCACACCCGCCGCCAGTGCGCAGAACTAACGGCCCCCAACCACTTCGTCTCCCACCCAACCAACTCTTCTTCGGCTACGAACTCAAACCGGCAAAGCCTCGCGATGAGAATGGACAAGTTGTTATCCCCGAGGGTCAACCCACATTCCAGGGCATCGGTCAGACATTAAGAGGAAAGAAGAAGGACCTCGGTGGTTCGGCCACTCCCACATCTGGCAGCGAAGCCGAGAGCCAGAAAGGCAAAGGGAATAACAATGGACGAACTCTGGGAAACAGCAAGCGTTAATACATCTGATGATCCTTATGAAAATGAAAATTGCCCGGCAAAACCCTCTAGACGTGTGGCGGGGATCATTATTTCGGCATAGCGAGGTCGGCGTTCCTGTGTCGCTCTAAATCAAGTTATGATTTTTATGGTTAACATCATTATGAATTTTCCCTAAACAGTAACTTGAATATATGTAAATACAGTAATTCTAAAACATTGAAATAGAGAGCAACAGCAGCATCTCACACGGCCCCACTAGCCCGATCTTCACTCCCCGCGTTTATTTCCGGCAAGCCAAGACATCAAAATCAAGGCACCTTCACTATGCCAACCCCCGAGTCTGCCCTATCAGCTTTTAACAAGCTCAATGACTCCGTCTATATCTCGGATCCCACTGAGCTCCTAGAAAACAACAACCCACCTCTAATCGTCCTTGCATTATGGATGAACGCCGGTCCAGCCGCCCTACTCCGATATGGAAACCAGTACAGGCGCATGATTCCCTCCGCTCGCATTGTGATGCTCCGTTCCACGACCAATGACTTCTACTTCGGTTCGAGCGACACCGCTCAGGCTACCCAGCTCGGTCCCGCTGTGGATGCCTTACGCACGTTCGCCGTCCCCGGGAACCCGGTATTCATCCACCTCTTTTCCAACGGTGGCATGTTGAAGACTTCTCAATTGATGCGGGTTTTCAAAGACATGACCGGTAATCCACTACCTGTCTCGTCGATGCTTGTGGATAGTGCCCCTGGCGTGACGAGTATCCAGTCCGCTATGAACGCGATCTCTTTCCAGCTTCCGCGGTTCTGGCTCTGGAGGCTACTTTCCAAGGCTGCCTTGTGGGTATTTTTAGTTTCTATGGGTGTTTATGGAAAGATCACCAATACACCGAATCCGGTCACTGTTGCTTGTGAGAGGATTAATGACAAGGATCTTTATCAGGCTGCTGGGGAGGGTCTGGTCCGTTATTATGTTTACTCTGATGCGGATAATATTGTTCGCTCGGAGAATGTTGAGGAGCATATCAGGTACTCAGAATCATGTGGCGTTGTTGTGCGTCCTGAGAAATTCCAGGGTGCACAGCATGTTATGGCTATGAGGACGGATCCGGAGCGGTACTGGGCTATTGTCGATGAGTGCTTGAAGCTGGGTCAGTCGAGTTGAATGGCTATTTGGGAGGATTGACTGGCATGTATTTTTTGATCTCACGGATGTCTGAAAATGATCATCACTGTACATATGCACATCGTTTTTGTAAATAGACTTGAAAAAGCATCTAGATGATGGCTATCATATGGTAAGAGTTTGTACCGTACATAGTACACAGTCTTCATGTAAAGAATTGTTGACAACAGGAGCTGCGGAGTTTTCAAAGCAATTTGTTCAGTCACTATGACCATCATCTTGTTAAGATTCGGTATAATTTGGTCCAAATTCATGGATTACTAACTTTTTGCTTTGCCGGAAGAAGGTTCCGCACCTTTGGCTCAGCCTGGCAAGAAACGACAGTAATGCATCATATTGAATTATAAGCCGGAGTTCCCGAGACATTTCACCGAGCTTCTTCAGAGTCATCATTTTGCTTCACAAATCTCTTTCAACCCTGTGAGCTACCTCTGCTCGTCATCATCTTATAGTATCAATTACCCAGTCATTCAGTTGCTGTGAGCTTTTGACCGGCCATCTAAGCACTGTCTACTTAATTGACCACAAGTACTGGTTCGAAGGTCTTTCATCAGGCTGCTTTGATCAAACACCAAGATGTTTCAACACAGTGCAAATGAGCAGGCTTTCCTAAAAGCTAACCAAAACCAAGACTACCGCTTCAAACTTCCCGGATATGGCCGGCCATTAGACTACTTTCCAGTGGAGAAGAATATCTATGGTATCGAAAGTCGTAGCATGTTTCCATCTGTATTGGACGACAGAGATATCGAAAATCAATACACGGAGTATGTCGACCACCACCTTCCCGCTATGTACAAGACTAGCTGACCTATACAGGCTTCCCGTGCTAACGCTTCGAGAATTGGCCATGATGGAGGTAATGGAACAAATTACTGACATCCCGGAATGGTGGAAGAAGGTACTTGCAACTCAACTTTGACATGGATCGGTACTCAACTGTAATAGATCTACGACTCCAACACGGCACAAGAGTGGAAGAAAATGGCGCTCGACAGAGGCGACATGATCACCAAAAACATGGCCCAGTGGATCATCGATGAGCTTAAATACAAAGCTATGATATACAAAGTGAACGATGCCGTGTCTCTCTACAACGGCGACGTCACCAAATCCGACTCAAACGTCCCTCCCTCCATTGTGAATGATTTGAAAGAATCAACCCAGGTCTTGGAATATCAGGATGAGGAGCTGAAATTCTTCCATCCCGGAACTCTCGCAAGCCAGCGTGATCTCCTCTCCGTGGTACTCTACCCACTCGTGTACGGAAAGAGCCGCATCCTCCCAGACAGACTGATCGGTCTCAATGACGCCCTCCGCCACGCCGGACAAGGCGAGATCGTCCCCATTCCAAACGAAACAGGAATCACGCGCGAAGACATCGCCTGGCGCGTCTCCGATCGAGCAGACATCTCCGTCCGTCCCTACAGCCGAGCCTTCCAAATGCTTCCAATGGATTTGGAACTCGGCGACGATGGCCGCTGGCATATCGCCTCATACATCAACAACCTGCACCCGGTCAGGCATCGCAATATATACAATATCATCGAAGCGGCTTTCAATTGCATGATCCCCCAGTGGAATATGACTTTGACCCCGCTGAAAGATATGTTGCATTCCCGGGCCAGAATCGAGTACAGCAAAGCGGAGTACTATCCCGCCCCTAAGGAAATTGTTGATCAAGCGCCTAAGATCCAGGAGCGGGAGGCACAGAGCGAGTTCGATGAACGCTTTGACAAGTGGCGAATGGAGCACTACAGTGCTGTACAGCCTGATGTTGATCAATTTGTTCCTTGGGCTGTACCACCATGTATGATGTCCCAGCTGGCTGAGGATCTTCCTGCCTCGGTGCGCATCGAGCAGAGTGTCAATCTGAATGAACACTACAAGGATCGCGGATTGCAGGTAATCACCCGGATCATGCCCGTGGATTTGACCCCTGAAGCACCCTTCTATGAAACACCATGGCACGTAGAAGGACAGATGGTAAGTCTGCCCCATCCCGATCGCACACATCTAACCCATACAGAATGAACACATCTGCGCCGCGGCATTTCTCTTCTTCGACAGCATAAACATGGAAGAGCCATTGATGGAATTCCGCAACATAGTAGAGGTAGAAACTCTGAGCGAAGTCGACCACGAGCCCGGCGACTTCATCTGGCTGAAACAGGTCTTCGGGATGGAAAATGGCGAACCGGCTGTCCAGCGCTCGGGTGCAATCCGTTGCCCTACTGGTCGTGTCGTTATGTTTCCCAGCACGATCCAGCACCGGATGACCAAGTACGAGCTGACGGACAAGACGAAATCGGGTTCGAATCGATGTCTCGTGTTTTACCTTGTTGATCCGAATATTCGGATTATTTCTACCGCGAATATCCCTCCCCAGCGGCTGGATTGGACGCTTGAGACTGTTGAGGCGGAGGGGCAGAATCTGTCTTCTGCTATGGAGCAGTTGGCGCTTGCGAACAAGGAAAAGAAGGGGAACATGCCAATGTCTTTGACTGAGGCTTTGGCGAATAGAAAAAGCTTTCTGGAAGAGTTGATTGAGTTCATGCGGTATCAGCAGGTTGCGATGGATTCGAAGGTGTTGATGCTTTAGTTTTGCGGCCTTGTTTCCTGTTTCGTGTTTCTAAATTATTGATTCGTGTGCTGGGGTTACTAAAGTTTGATTTCCAATGACTACGGAGTATAACGGTTTACGTAGTTCTGGGAACTGGGTAATTCTCAAATCGCCGCGCTATGCCATTCGTGAAGAAACTATACATGAACTAGACACCACTAATTCTTCTTTTGTTTTTCCATAACACCATATCCAAGGACCATCAAACCCAATCCTATCTAACTCCTTAACGGCCCTTCATCTCGGGAAACTCGTCATCGAGCTTCAGGCGGGCAGCAACGTTCATACTCATCAGCTCCTGGATCAATAGCTTGGCAGCATAGGGGATGACCATCTTAGAAACAGAACGAGTTGACTTGCATCCGGGGCACCAGCCCAAGAATCCCATGAAACCACACTTCTCGCAAATATCAACCTCGTGACGATCGGACGAGATCATGAGACGCTCTAGCAGAAGTTGACTGGTTCCGTAGGCAATCAGACAATCACGCTCCATCTCACCAAGACGAAGACCACCATCACGCGAACGACCCTCGGTAGGCTGTCGAGTCAGGGTGGCCTTGGGACCACGTGCACGCGAGTGCATCTTATCTTGAACCATGTGCTTGAGCTTCTGGTAGTAGATAGGACCCGTGAAGACATAGAAGGGGAGCGGTTCACCGGTGATACCAGAAGTGAGGAACTCTTTACCACCATAGCTGAAGCCGTGGTCGATGAGGGTTTGTGATGTCTCTTCGATGGGTGTTCCACCGAAACAAGTACCATAGCCGTGTCGACCAGCAAGAACACCGGCTTTACCAGCGACCAGCTCCAGCATCTTACCGACTGTCATACGAGACGGGAAACCGTGAGGGTTCATGATAATATCGGGGTTAATACCGGATTCGGTGAAGGGCATGTCCATTTGGTCGGCAATGATACCAACGACACCCTTCTGTCCGTGGCGAGACGAGAACTTGTCACCGACCTCGGGACGACGAGTCTGGCGAGTCAGCACCTTAAGGAGCTGAGTCTCACCCTCGGTGGCGGAGAGCATGACCTTGTCGATGTATGCCGGGTCAGGCAACTTGTATGACATGGAGGCAGGGTTATAAGAGGTGGTTCCAGTGTCGGAGCCCATAATTCCGCTCGTGTGGGCCTGGTCAGGGGTGACCTTATTGATGTAAACCTCACCCTGGCTCACCTTCTCACCCACAGCAGCCAGACCGTCCGCCTCCAGCAATGCGTGCTTGCGAATAGGAGCGTCGTTCTCATATTCAGGAGGGTTCAAGCGGTCTTTCATTCCGTTCGGGTAACTCTTGAGGTTCGTGACGTATTTCTTGAAGACCTGGCAACGTCCAAATCCACGGTCCACCGAGCCCTTGTTCAACACCAAAGCATCCTCAATATCGTAGCCGGAGTAACTCATGACCGCGACAGTGGCGTTTTGACCAGCGGGAAGTTGGTCGTATTTGACAAGCTCAATCGTTCGTGACTTGACCATGGGCTTTTGTGGATATACCATGAGGTAGAGAATAGAATCGATTCGCTGGTTTTGATTCGAAGCAATTGCACCAATAGCTTGCTTACCCATAGCGCATTGGTAGGTGTTTCGAGGAGATTGGTTGTGGTGAGGGTAAGGAATAAGCCCAGCAACAGCACCAAGGACAGTGAAAGGCTCAACTTCGAGGTGAGTAGTGGCCTCGGTAATATCCTTCTCGTAGATGGAGATCAAGGAATCGTTCTCCTCGTTCACATCAAGATATTCAACCAGGCCCTGTGCAAGGAAATCGTCGAATGCCATCTTGCCTTCGCGCAGCTTTTGCAGGTGGTGTCGACGGACTCGGGATTTGCCATTTTCAACAACAATGAGTGGTCGGCAGATGCGACCATCGTCGGTTGCAACGTGTACAGCCTGCTGGTGGTGATTGATGTAAATACTGACGAACTCCGAGATTCGCCCCATGCGACGAAGTCTGCGGAAAGAGTTGAGGAAGTGTTTGGGCCGTCTTGTCAAAGCAGTCGGTGTACCGTTGATCGAGATAGTGTAAGTTCCTTTCTTATACAGTTCGATACCGCTGACGGTGGAGATATCTTCGGCGCCCAGCATGAAGATCAAGTTTCGTACTGGACCCTCCTCGTCGTTGGTGGTAATGTGTGTCATAAGGGCCAAGTTTTTGACCAAACCACAGGCCTCTCCTTCGGGCGTATCCGCAGGACACAGCATACCAAATTGCGACGGCTGAAGGGCACGAGGACCAGAGACCTTTCGCGTCTTCTCAAACTGACTGCTGATACGAGTCATCATACCAAGGGCAGCAATGTAACTCAGACGACTGAGGACGTGCGTCACACCCGCACGCTCCATACGGAAACGCTTCAAGCTCCAGTTACCAGTGGAAATGGCTCGGTTCATGCCCTGGGTAATGTGGTGACCGTGCATGCTCATGACACTCCACGCGTCAAATTGTTCTGCTCTGTTGCGCTTGTTCAGGACCTTGTCAATGTTCAACTTGATGTCAAAGCAGAATTTCTTAAAAAGATCCTCGAACAAGAGAGCAAGCATCTGACCTGCCAGTTCCAATCGTTTGTTTCCGAGATAATCGCGGTCATCAACCATTGACGGGTCGTTCTTAGCCATCAAGACACGGCGGGCCATGTGAGCGACATAGATTGCCTTTGGTCGGAAGTTCATATCCTTTACCTCAATATGGGATATAATGACAGATGCGATGGCTTCCACCGCCTCTTGCACATGGGTCCGGCGGTATGCGCCTGTCTTCCGGTTGATCTTGATTCGAGAACCCATCCAATCCAGAGCCTGTTGTTGGGTGAAAATTCCCAAATTGAGCGCCTCCTCGAAGTTGATGGCGAAGTCGTCCTGGTATTGGCTATCATCACCAGCCACCATCTGGAGCATCTCTTTGTCGGTATGGATACCCATGGCTTTCAACAACACAACGATCGGCAGGTCTTCGCTGAGGACGTTATGCTTCACGTAGAGTCGTCCCTTCTTCAGAACGATGTAACTCTTAGATTTACGTTCATTGGAAGAACTATTAAATGTTAGCTATGTCATGCGATGAAAACAGGGCGTTTCTTATCATACCTGGTTACCGAGGCCTGGACAATGTCTTTCTTAGGGTCGGTTTCGACGATAATTCTGTTTTTGCTGAGCTGCTCCTGGACCAGAATGACCTTTTCTGTTCCATTTACAACGAAGTAGCCACCAGGATCCAATGGACATTCATTGAGGACAGCCATCTGTGCCGGTGTCTTATCTGCCAAAACACACTTGGAACTGCGAAGCATGACCGGCATCCGACCAATGGCAACACCTCGTCGAACAACGCGTTGGCGACCACGGACATACTCAAAGTCGATCAGAATTGGGGCGGCATAGGTAGTATCCCGAAGCCGACACTCCTGTGGTGTGATATCCGACTGGAAATCTATCCCAGCATCCTGAGTCTCATCTGCGCGGCGAGGCGATCCCAGCCAAATATTTGTGAAGTTGACGTAGAAGTGGTGGTCAATGTCGCTGCGAATAACACCAGCTGATTCCACGATCTTTTTCATCTGCACCTCCACAAAATAGTTGTATGAGTCGATATGCTGCTTCACCAAACCCTTGACCTTGAGGAATGCGGGCAGCAGGTTCCATTTGTCTTTCGCGGTGTCGATAGGGTCGGTGAGTGACTTGTCGTAGTAAAAAGGTTCCAAGAGCGCATTGAAGGGATCTCGGTGCTTGTACTTGACATAATCGTCGTCTTGCACAGCGGTAGGCATGGCCGGTTGAGATACGGAAGGGCGCTTGGATGTTGAAGAGTCCGCTGACTGACCCGCCTGTTTTTTTGGAAATAATACTGATTAGAATAGCTGTGCCTAGATCGGACAGTCATGGGCAACGCGCGGGGAAAAAAGTTTTGTTACCTCAGAGGGCCGACGACCCTGGCTGGCCGCAGCGGGCTGTGGCCTCCTACGAGGCGGCATTGTGGCAAGGGAACTATTATTTGGAGATTTTCACTCTCCAGAGATCTCAGGCCAATAAAATGTTCGGGTTGAATACTATCGCAAGATGCATCACCAGCATGGAGGGGGAAGAGAGAATTTGGAGAAGCGCTTATCTAACCAAAGAGCTATCCGTTAGCGTCGACACCTGAGGCGTGAAGTCTGGATGTATAAGCGGAAGCCATAAGACCAACATCAATCTATTGATTGAAACCGACTTTTGTTGCTCTAATTATGGTACTCGAAAATTGAATGTGAATCTAGCATCCAAATCCAGAAGACAAGTTGAATTGGCCGGGAAAATGAAGTTGGACTACTTTAGATTGTGTCGTACATATAGCCTATGTATATGTATGCTTGACTGCCGAAACTAGTTAAATGCACTCGGGAGCCCAATTTAACCGTGCTCATAAAACATCAATCTAATTAGGGCACCTGGACATAAAAAAACTAGCTCTATTCCATTAAGTTGCTTTGGGCTTGGAATCTTGAAATTTTATCCACTAATCTGCCAAAGTGGGCCCAAAGGATCTTCATTCTAGTAGGTCTTACATGATCTAGTTACCTGGTCCGTACTCATAATTAAGATCTTAAAAAGGAAAACACGGCCCATTCTTGCTCATACAGTCTTGAGTCAAAGACGGTAATGAATTTCCGGTAATCTCCAGATATATCCTCGGGGTATTCATGCAAGTGCCGAGATTAGGCAGTATTATTGCGGCGGCTATCATGTCACTCCACCTATTCATTTCCACCCCCGTCAAAAGCACTTAAAGAGTGGGGTAGAGAGCTGGCAGTGTAGCCGCCCGTATCTTTTCAGATGATTCCTTCTTGTCCTTCCCACAAGCTTCCTCATCTCTCTATAACTAATTACTAAGAACCCTGTTCTACCTCACTTCAGAAAATTTTGTCAAGTACACTTGGCTAGTCTATTTTCCAACCAATATGAACGAACCAACTCATATTATAGATCCAGACGGCGAGGTGATCATGATATTGCGCAATACGGACTATCCTTTTGCCGATGGGATTGAAGGTGAACCAATTCAAGATTCTGCCTTTTTTCAACCTTACGCTGAATTTGAGCCTGCTCCTGAACCTTCCCCCGAACGTGTCTCGAACCATCTGAGCCTGTCCCCGAAGAACATCTTGAGTCTACTCCCGCAGAAGATATCGAGCCCGCCCCCGAAGAGGATCTTGAGCCTGCTCCCGTAGAACCAGCCGTCGATGAACCCGCTGCCCAGATCATTTTCCGCATCCAAGTCTCCGCGAAGCATTTGAGTTTTGCATCCCCAGTCTTCAAAACGATACTTAAAGGTGGTTGGAAGGAAAGCATAACCTTTTTGCAGAAAGGTACAGTTGAACTCACCGCAGAAAGCTGGGACGTCGAGGCACTTTTGATTCTTCTTCGTGCTATACATGGCCAATACCGCCTCATCACCCAAAAATTGACTCTCGAGATGCTCGCGAAAGTTGCTGTCATAGCCGACTACTAAAAATGCAAGGACGCTTTATTCATCATATCAGATAAATGGATCAGCAACCTGGATGAAAGGATCATTCTGTCAAACCGCCGAAATCTAATCCTGTGGATCTGGGTATCTTGGTTCTTCCAACTTCCTGGTCAATTCAAAGACTCGACATCGGTCGTGATGTCAAGGAGTACAAATCTTCTTAACGGATCGGGACTCCGATCCCCGGGAAGATTTTTGGTAAGTTGAGGATATTCTTTCAACAGCTTGGTCTCTAATGTCTTTATAGAATCCATGAATCGAAGCAGACTAGAGGCTATCCCTAAATTAGTTCTCCTCCTTCATGAAACACTGAAGGGGTTCCTTAGTGGGAGTCGAGGCTGCTGTTTTCAGTGTCGTTCCATGATGTATGGGGCTCTTAGCATACAGATGCAGTCCATTAATCTGCTTTCATCGAAGCTTGAGCCTCCCTTTGCGGGTTTATGTTATGGATATCTCACTCAGAGTGTATTATCTTTCGAATCACCGACCTGGCATAACGCGAGGAATAAGCCCCCCCACGGTTGCTATCAGTCATCTTGCTCATTACTCTTTTCCGGCTTGGAGGAAAATATCGAAGTGTTGAATCTAGATACTTTTCAATAGATATGGCACATCTACAGTGAACATTTTCAGTTTTACTGTCACAAAGTTTGTCAGAAGATATTTGACCAGCGCAAACCGCAATTGAATAAATCTGGATGCTATCTTTGACATATATTAGTACACAGTATTCTATTCCTCTAATCCCAATTGAGCTATGGGATGCTTCATTATCCATACCCCTCCATTACTTGGGTATATCGCAGTAGATGTCGACACACGTTCGACTACCAGCTCTCGACTCTACCTTACTATCCTTTTAACTTTCATTCCTCTGTTCTTCTTTCCAGCTCGCCACTTGTTATTTCGAAAAGCCCTACGAAAGCTCTTTGAATACTTACCTAGCACGGTAGGAAATATGGTAGGAGACTAGCTATGACTGATTAGGAGACTGAGTAGGTGAATAGCACAGGAGGTATATTAAGAAATAGTTGATCTAGGCGCTGCGCGATTCGCGCGATGGAAAGTTTCTACATACGAACAAGCACGGTTTGGGCAACAGAGAGTATGTCCAAGTTGAATCTATTTCGACTCTAGCAACTGTATACCTATTTCCAAGGGACGCTATGTTATCATGGGTACAATTGTGCTTTAGGACACAAGTTTTTTCTGGTAACGAAAGAAAATAGAGATCATTAAAAGAGACAGGGATTACTAAATTAGTAACCTTGCATTAGTAACCTGTTTCACAGTGGCCAATGTGCTGACAATGTGATTCGCTGGCATTTGTCGCCTAGACAAAAAGCCACTGGCTCATCGAAATGGCGAATAAACATAGATTAGGTATCCGTGTGGCAAATACCTATTCTAGTTACACCTGACCGCAACTTCCCAGCCGGATTGTTCGAATGTTTAAAGTTGCCACCAAAACCACAGTAACAGTGCGTTCAATGCCAGAAATGACAGTATGTCTCCGAACCCACAATAGAATTCCATAAATCGTATATGGGTACTTTCATGCAGGCGGCTACGTCAGGTGCGGGCTCCATAGGCAATCCACAGACAACAATCACCCGAATCAACTCAACAGCAAAGCAAAGACAAATTTATGTAGTACACGTGGCAGATAGTAGAGGCGGGCCGGAATGCAACCCTGGTTTCTTTGTATCAGTACAGAAGAAAATATTATCGCGGCTATGATTCTAGACGTACCTTCACGTTGACAGGGATTTGAACCGAGAGCGGGGCATTCCGCTTCAGGAATGATTTGCCAATGGGTCGATAACCCAAAATTTGTTGCATATGGAAACGAGTTGAGCTTATATCAGACGATCCCCGTGACCTGTCAGTACCGATATGAAGAATAGTGTTACCATTGTAAATTAGTCGAGACACGGATTGGGCGTTGGGCATGAAAGACCAATATTTGGTTCCTTTGGGCCTAAAGAACGCCAGGTTTGAACGCGGATGAATCCTTCGGCAATCGGACTAGTGCCCAGGTCTTGCTATCCTGGTGTATATGTCATATCTTTGGCGATGCTGGCATTATGAATCTACAACCTTAGGGCACAGACCTTAGATTTCGAATCGAAAACATTTCCAGCCTTATGATCAAATTAGATTGATGTGAAGATCACTCGCGCGTGGAAATCAGGGTACGAGAGAGGGGCAAAAGGTGGTCCGTGACGATAAGCGATCCGTTCTCCGAGGGGGAGATTAACTGGGGTTCATTTGATGCAGGATCTCCACAATCAGTGATGGTATGCTCGTCATTCGGTGGATCAGGGGCTCTAAAGGACAAGATCAGCACCAATGGCTTGTATCATGTTCACCGCTCATCTCGCCAGTCGAGTCCTTATCGGTGGGAGGAAAAGAGGACTATTTGATTCCCCTCCCCCTCCCAAGGAGGGAAAAGGGAAAAGGAAATTATATTTGAACTATTGTAACTAAAGAAAGTAAAAAGAAAGCAAAACGCCATGTGCTTTGTTGCAAAGGCCGTAACCATGGATCTCCCGGCCGGAAATGTTATGAACCTTGGGAAGCGCGTCAATATGGGCGGCGCGAACCATCCAACACGCGAGACCCAGATTATAAGGGAATCTTTATTTCTATAACATTCATTTGACTGAAATGAATGTATCGTATCTATCACAACTCTGCAGACTAGAAATCCAGACAAAGCCATTCCCACCGATCCAGGTACTAGTCGCCCCGTGCGGTGGCTAACCATCTTAGAGGGCGATCCGCTGTCACATCCTCGCAGCACCACTCGGCGCGTCTCCACTCGCCTAAAATGATACAGTGGCTGCTCAATTGGCATGGATTGATGCACCTGCAGCTGCCACGCTCACGAACAGCGCATCCTTTCTCTCCGCTTTCCATTCCACCCCCTTGCGCGATCGAAAGCAAGTCCCATAGCTTCTTGCACCATCGGGGTGAAAAAATAAGTCATCGGAGAAAGCAAAAAGGCTTGAGAGTACAACAGATCGATCATTTTCCAGTCCACTATAGAATTGAACATGGTAAAAAGTCAAGAATCAAGAAACAGGCCAAAGAAAAAGAAGGATCGAGCCTCTTTTTCCCATAGTTATTGACCATATACCCCGGGCTGGTCTCTCGGGGGCGTAAAGATAGCTGCATCTTGGTGGTACAGGTGCAGCCTTCTCCAATCATGCCTTGGCCCCGAACAATTCCCGAGTAACTGTGGTCGATCATCTGCTGTGACCGCCAAATTTCTCACTGTAGATTCCGCGAAAATTTAGGAAATTTAGGAATATTATCTACACATGGTATTTCCTGGCGATAGGTGGGGGTTTTGGGGGAAGGAATGGGTAAGATGGACTTGAGACTGATAAACACGGTCGGATAAGATTTTAGAGAAAATAGGTTCATGAACAAGATCCTCCTATCAACCCTAAATGAAGTAGTTTAGATTTAATTTGTTAGGAATTAAACAAGCGAGAAGAGCCCAACCAATTTGTAAAAAAAAAAAAAAAAAAAAAAGAAAAAAGGGAGTTCGTACACGGCCATTCCCGATTAGGGTTGAGAAGAGCCCTCCCCGCTCTCCCCTTCTTCCCTCCCAGCCTTCTCCTCCTTCCCTCCTATTCTTCCCCTACCCATCCTGTACAACAGTTCTTGTATCTTTCCTTTGGCTTGTTCCCTTGTACTCTTTGTATTTGTGAACACATTCGTTTTTTCCCGCCTTCCACTGTGTTTCGCTAAAAGTGGAGGGTTAGCGGTAAGTGTCTCCATCCCACTCTGCGATTCCTCGCGGCTGATCTCCGCATTTTCCAGGTACATCAGCGATTGTTGATTTTTTTTCTTCTGCACACATTGCCAACTATAGATGAATCTAGCTACCCAGTGGACTGCTGGATATTGATTGTCTTCAATCACCTCACGAGGCGTTCATTGTGTGAGTGCTTTCCTATTTGCGAGTGCAGATCACCCCCGACCAAAGCCCCTCCCCCTCTCGATCTCCGACCCCCTTACTTAGGGACAAGCCTGCAACACACCACACCGCTCGGCCATATACCTGTCAGAAAGCACCCCCTTGTCCTGCCACCGAATCCCTCGTGGTGAACATTTGGGGCTGGGGGCTTGCCATTGGCGTGGACCCCAATGTCTTAAAAGTACCGTGCACACACACGGAGAACTTGTGCTGACCTCTGAGCTTGTTGGATGTAGTTGAATATTTCCCCTGCTCTGCCCATCATGGCCTTCAAGAACGGGCTGAGCGAACGCCTCGATGAGCTGCGATTCCCTTCCCCTCGCTCTCCTCCGTCTGAGTCGACCTATAACCCTCTCTCGCCTGGAAATTCGAACTTCTCGGGATTTTCACGACCGACCAGCGATGTCCGCGCAAATCTGCAACGTCGATTTACCACGGACTCGAGTAAGCTTTCTTCATGGAATTTCCTCAATCAGGGGCCTCCTCAGGCGCCCGACCCCCTGGACCTGCTTTCCTCGGTGCGTAAAAAACTTCCTTGGTCTTTGTTCTCTCGTTTGCGTTTTTGGAACAAGGGCATATATCCATGAATCTGTGCAGGGCCCATAATTAGAGAACATTTCTATGTTTGCATATGGCTGAGGTGCGTCGCTTTGATCTCATGGCAATGGCGTGTGGTAAAATTGCCATCAACGTCAAGTCTGCCTGCGTCAATCGAAGCCCTCTCCCTCATGATGAGTGATTGTTGCCCTTTGGTCTTTCCCTCTATTTCCCTATCCCCAATTCTCTTCATCTCGCCGACTACCGTCAGACCAGACCAACAAATAATCAAAGGTTACGATGACTCAAGACTTGGCAATGTACGAGCAGTCTGGTGTCAATGTAGCCTTAATCTTTTGTTGGTTTGGTCTAGGCAGCAGATACCTCTATAGTGTGGGTCTGTATAAGGCAACGCATGGAATCGAAATTCACCGAATTTCTTGATTCGACATGTGAAAGCGACAATCGAGACCGATTTGGATTCACTGTTCCCTGCGCAGTAGAAAGTCAAGTTGAATCACAACTTTGTCTTTCTTCTTCTCTTTCCCTCCATCTCTCTGATCCTTCTTCCTTCCTACCCCATCCTCTTCTTTTCACGTGTTCCCAAGGTCTGCTTTCCTATCTTGACATTTGTGATATTTGACGTGTCTCCAACACGTCTCTGGCTCTATTCAAACTCTCGCTTTCCCCATCTTTGACGTTTCTTAACACGTCCTCCCCACCACCCACTTGCCGCACTTTCATCCATACCTTTTTCATCCTTTTTCGTTCTCAAGAATATCGTCTGACTATCCGCAGTTTGAGAAGAAGCGTCAGCATATTGAGTATATGCGTGAACAGAAAAGGCGATTTGAAGAAGACATGAAGCTTCTTGATATTCAGCACGAGAAAGAGAAGATCGAAATGGCCAAGTTGGCGCGCGATCTTGCCAAGGCTGGCATTGCTGGCCGAGCCAGCGAACCGACTACACCTCCCGAGTATCGTGAACCAACTATCTCGAGCGCAGGAAGAGGCGCACGTTTCCCATCTACCAGTGTGACCTCATCGCCAGGTTTCTTCAGCGCCTTCGCTCCTTCAACCCTTACTTCTCCCCAACCGCAAGTTCCTAGTCATTCGCATGCTCAGTCCGTTGACCGGTTTGCTGCGCATTCCCTGCCTGGATCTCGACGAAACTCCGAGAAGGAAAACTTTCTGTTTGATTCCACTGATTCTACAAACATGCGTACCTCATCGTAAGTCCGTCTGCTTTTTCTTGGTCGATTTCGAAAATTACTTTTCACTTCACTTGCCCTTCGTTTTTGTGTCCGGTCTCTACAAGTTGCCCTTCACCAAGAACTTCGTGGTTGACTTTTGACATTAGGCACCGCAACTCCATGCCATCGAGCAACAACTACACCGCGTATCGGCCCAACATGACCAGCAACATGTCTCACCTGAATGGTTATACCAATAGCAATACGAATGGCTATATGAATGGCTCCACTCCTGCTGGATTCGAATCATTTTCTGTCGCCAGACATCTCTTCCAGGACGACGAGGGATCATTTGCAAACCACGAGCCCCGTCTTTCGACTCCCGACCTCAAGACGTACATCACAATGACCGAGCCCATCGATGACAAGTTCCCGACCCTTCACCGCGACGGTCCAAATTATGTAAGTGAACGATCTGGTTGACCTTGCTCTCTCCGAGGACGTGTTCTAACTTCTTTGTTCAGCTGGCAGCCAACCCAGATGCCCATGACCTCGCAAGCCCTCGTGCCCCGGGCCAGGATACTTATTCTTATCGCTTCCGCAATCACGCATCTCACCAGAGTATGCCTCAAAGTCTCACCGACATTGCGCGCGGTGATCGCGTGAATCGCCAGTCCGAGGACAATGGCGTTGCTCATCGTCACCATGCTCGACACTCCCTTGAGGGTGGCTTGGCATTCCCCATTGACTCTGCCGAGTCTATGACACCGGTTGCCTCCCACCGACCCGTTGCGCGGGTGTCGTACTCGACCAATGATGTGCCCACAATCAGAGGCACGGCCTTTGATGCCGCCATTACTCCGCCTAGGACGCACGCCGATCAACTTCACCACCGCAATGTCAGCAGCGTTGGTCGCATTCCAACCAGTTTGCACCACCTTCAAACTAGGGGGTCTCCAGAATCCGAGAACCACAACAACCAGTCTGGCCAAACGACGCTACAGGCGAGTGCTGCGCCTTTCGGTCCTCACATTAGCTCAACTGTGTCCAACAGTTTGAATGGCTCTATTGCTCCCATGAGTATGCAATTCCCCGCTTTCACCAACAGCATGGAGTCTTATGGCCCAGCTCCCACCTCGATGATGGTGCCATTCGCTGATCTCAACACCTACGGCGCCTATTCCAACCCTGGTACCAATGGATACCGTACCCATGAGGCTGCAGGCCGTGGTGGTCATACTCTGCGACGTGCCACTGAGAGCGAGGTCCCTCAGCAGAATCGGTTCGATGGCCAGAATCGCTTCACTCAGTCTCTGGACCACTACAAGGGCGAGCTATACAGCTTGTGCAAGGACCAACACGGCTGTAGATACTTGCAGCGAAAGCTGGACGAGAACAACGCGGAATATGTCAAGCTGATCTTCAACGAGACTTACATGCATGTGACCGAGCTGATGACTGATCCGTTTGGCAACTACCTTGTTCAAAAGCTGCTTGAGCTCTCCAATGATGACCAGCGTACTCTTTTGATCAACAACGCTGCGCCTCAGATGGTCAGCATTGCGTTGAACCAGCATGGAACTCGTGCGCTTCAGAAAATGATTGAACACATCACTACTCCAGGACAAACCCAAACAGTGATCGACGCTCTTGCCAATCACGTCGTTGATCTGGTTAAGGATTTGAATGGAAACCATGTCATCCAGAAATGTCTCAATCGCTTGCACACCGACGACGCCAATTTCATTTATGAGGCTGTAGGCGGCAGCTGTATCATAGTCGGCACCCACCGACATGGATGTTGTGTACTGCAGCGCTGTATCGACCATGCGTCAGGTTCTCAGAAGACACACCTGATCGCTCAGATCACCGACAACTCATTCAAGCTTATCCAAGATCCTTACGGCAACTATGTTGTACAGTACATTCTGGATCTAGGAGTCCCGGCTTACACCAAGCCTCTCTGCCAGGGATTTTATGGCCACATTCTTCAATTGTCTATGCACAAATTCAGCTCCAATGTCATTGAAAAATGTTTGCGTACATGCTCTGACGAGGTCCGACGTGAAATGATTGATGAGATGCTCTCTGGAGACATCTTTGCGGACTGCCTTCGCCACCAATACGGCAACTATGTCATCCAGACGGCTCTGGAAAATGCGGATCAAGAAATTAAGCCCCGTCTGATGGATGCCATTCGTCCAATTCTTCCTTCTATTCGCCAGACCCCCCACGGGCGTCGTATCGCCGGCAAGATGGCCGCGGCGGAGGCCAGTGCTCGACAAGTTCAGGAAATGATGAAGAAAGACGCGGCTCTCGAGAATTTCGCTCATCAAAATTTCCCACCCACCCCTGCGGCAAGCTCCAAGGCGAACACTCCCCCTGGGTCAGGTAATGACGATTCTCTGATGTTTCCTGCTCCTGGTTCCCCCGGGGACCTCTACAACTTCGTCTAAACAGGGATTGGAACACTTCACTCCTTTCCCTCTTGTACTCATATCGAAATGATACCAACGACGCTTTTCATGATTTCACGGATACTCATTCAAGATTATGATTATCTTGGTCTTTCCATTCTCGTTCTTTGTTTCTCGGCCTATTCATATCTTTACGCTCACATTTTCTGCTGCTTGCATGTTGGGTTGTCCCTGCATAACATGGCAATATTTACGTTTTGCATTCTGCCTTCAGCCCCATTTCATCTCAGACCTTTCTTTGGTCATTGGTGGCGGTGATGAGACTCATTGCTACTGCTTTCGACCTTTCAGATCTGAGATTTCAGTTCATTTCCTGCTTGTCATTTACCCATTCACATTTTTTTCTTCACATTTTGTTCCTTTTATTCGCTTCTTCGTGAACATTTACATGTTGACTCGTTTGACTTCAAAGAATCAGTTCAGTGATGTGTACCATTTTGGTGCGCAAGAGCCAAATGAATTGTGGTCCCCCTGTGGTTGAGGACTTTTTCTCACAAGTCTCTTCACCTGGAATATGTTTCCGTTGGATTCGGTTCCTGGAGGATCGGCGAGGTGCTGCTAGCTAGTGGCAATTTGCCCATTCCTGTTGGTTTTTTGGCCTTCGTCCATGTTGCCTTCATTTACATACGCTGTGCTCAGAACGTTTGTACCTGTCCAATGAATGAATACATATTCCAAATCTTTGCTATTTGTAAAATTTCCACGTAAACCGACTTAATCGAGTAAGGTGCTCTCTTGGACCTTGGCGGCGCGTCGCGAAACCACGTGACTTTAATGATGATCTTCGGGGAACTTAGCGGTGGATCGCAACCCACTCCCTGTCGACCAGGTTAACAAGATTCTATTTCAGCGGGAAGCTTTCAATAACCCTCGATCTATGCAGGTCGCTGACGTTGCCCGCTCTCTGAGCGCACAATGGCCATGTCGGGATGTCCAGGCGCGACAACTTGCCAGTCTGCTTCATGTACGTTCCGCTCCGTCTAGGCTCTCCTCATTAAATTTGGATACGACGTCTGCAACAATTGCTAACTTCTGGCTGCGCTGCAGCCACAACTACCTAATCCCTCGACTGTTGTCGTCCATGGTGTCTCGGCAACCTGCAAATCAACAATCGTCCGTGGTGTTCTTGCCGCCCTTAACGCACCGCATGCTGTTGTTCGAAGCACCGAGTGCATTACCGGAAGGCATCTTCTGACAAAAATCCTCTGGAATACACTGGATGCATTTGGCAGGAAGGATGAGTGGGAGAAGTTCGGGAAAGGACGATGTGAGCACGTTAGTACTCTAGCCGTGCTCCTAGAGGAATGTTTAGCCTCGAGACCAGGAGAGAAACAAGGAAATTTTGTCCTGGTGTTAGACGAGATTGATAGGCAAAGAGAGGCGTCCCCGACACTACTTTCGGCGCTTGCCCGACTTGGAGAAATCGTGAGTCCCTCGGGTTCGTGGTTTTTTGCCTGGCACTAACGGATCCCTAGATTCCTTCGCTTTGCGTCGTTCTAGTTCTGAGCTCGACTCCTCGACCCCTATTTCTTCAGAATGCGTCTGTTCCGCATATTAGCTTTCCGCCGTACACCCGGAAAGAGATGATTGATATCTTGATGGCTTCCCCTGCACCCACAGTTGAAGGACTTCCTGAGGAGATCCTTTCTCGTGTATACCCACACTTTGTTGCGACTATTTATGATGCATTGGTTGGACCGACAGCTGGGTCAATTCCGAACTTCCGATCTATTTGCGAGAGGTTATGGCCACAATTCGTGGCTCCCGTGGTGCAAGGTGAAGCACCCCTTGGCAATACTGAATGGGACTTTTCGCGACTACTCGTCAAGAACCGGGCACTATTCAGACACCAAGGTGAATCGGCTCTTGTACACCGAATCGTACCTGACGAATCATCTGCTCCAAATACATTCCGCAAGCCATTGTCCACCGGTGTCACCCGTTCAGCACTACCCTCTTTGCCATACTTCTCGACCCTAATTTTGACATCAGCATACGTCGCATCACATACCCCACAACGTCTGGACACGATCTTTTTTTCAAAATTCTCCTCCTCCTCTTTATCTGCTCGCAACAAACGTGCCCACCACCGTCGCCGTCTGAAGGTCCTTTCCCAGGCCCAAGCGGAAGAAATGAGACAAGCCGCCAACGACGACCCCTCAACCCCAAAGAAGGGTAAACGGACCAAGACTCGTATTACGAAATCCACCCTCTCCTCTGCCTTCGCTACCTCTTCAGCCACTACGTCCGCGATGGGAGGTGGATCGGGTATTACAGGTCCTTCAACGATCCTCACCGCGCGCCCATTCCCTCTTGAGCGTCTTATCGCAATCTACCACGCCATTGATCCTAACCCTCCTGCAAATCCCATTCGAACAGGTGCAGTGGCGGACCAAATTTACGCCGAGCTGGCAACACTACGCCGTCTGCGCCTTGTCGTCCCGGCCTCGGGGCACCATGGTGGTCTCGGTACTACTGCAAGTGCAAATACCAGCGCGGACGCAGGAGAGAAATGGTGTGTCAACGTCTCTGGAGACTGGATTGGGGAGCTGGCAAAGGGTATTGGTGTTGAGGTTGGGGAATGGCTGGCTGGTGGTTTGGACTAGGTTTTATCTTTTACCTTTACACTGAAGTATGATCAAAGGTTCATGTATGCATATGGTGTTGATTAGGTTGCATGGCATCTTAAGATGCAAATATTTGAATGAATTATACCCGTTTGTTCGTCTTTTCTTCGTTGGTCGTGCCGTTCTACTACAGTAGGATTTTATCGTACACTGCATGTGGCAACTAGCATGGGAAATTGTCCACAACATGCAAGACTGCTCTCAGCACTTGAGCTAATGAGTATGCCAACTTACGACCGTGCTGTCATGCCCGTCCTTTCTGATAATCTCCATCTGTAATATCAAAACCGTCGTCGAAAGACCTAAGAGACACTTATATACATGACCGATATCAATTGTGCTGGAATCTTTGGGCTTTTTGGTGCCCGAGAGACAGGATGCGGAAAATCCATGGACAATCCAAAATGTGCAGCAGTGTGAGGGATATTCCCCGTGCCCTGTGTTTGGTCATGTGCGCAGTGCATCGAGCACCCTGTAAACACAACTAGTCTTAGATACCTCCACGAGAAAATTTCTATATTTGGTGACGAGGAACAAAACTCGCGCAATAGTTGACAAAGAGTGAAGCTAAAAGAAGGAAAGAAGTGAATCTAAAGAAAACAAACGAAATGAATGGGGTATCAATAGAGACTCGTTATGGTACATATTAAATCTGCCCCCTCCCCTCTCCCTTTGGCAGAACAACTCTCTCCCTCCTTCACCACTTCCATTCGTTCAACGAGCCGTTCGCGCAAACCAACAAGCTCGGCAATCCTGTACCCACGTTCTCTTCGAATCGCACGCAATCGACCTCGTGCTTGTATTTCTTATATGCCAACGGAGACTCGACTAGAGTCCCCGTCCGCGTTGAGAACAGCTGCACCCTCTTGTCAGGCGAGGCTAAAGTGAAAACCTTGTTAGCAAATAATCCCATAAATTCACATGAAAAGCAACTTACCACTTGCAAGAAGGCCAAGCTCGGGGTCGAGGTCGAAAACCGGCATCGAGCGAGGCGAGTAATCACTGAAAGTGTGATATGGCCGAGGTGCAATTCGCGGCCAGGCGTGGTGCGCTGGGTTGCGCTGCCTCTCCTTTGCCGTGTAGCGCAGATCGTAAATTTCCAACTTTGTTTTTAGATCAGAATTTATCCAGCCAGAGAAGTGAATCAGACTCACAAATTCCTTGCCTGCTACCACTATTCTGTGCTCGTCGACCGTGCGGAGTTTAAGTACGGGGCGCGTAAATAGCAGCTCCTTGGTACTTTTACCACTCCGCAGGTCGAACGAGAAGATTTCCGAGTCTCGTTGTCCTGCGACGATGACGTTGGGGGAGAGCCAGTCCACTGTCGTTATGCAAGTGTCCGCTCTGTTGGGTTTTCGAGGCCTTCCTCCGATGGGAAATGGCCGGTTAGTGATAGTCCATCGGTCACCTGCGCCTTCGAGGGTGTACAATCCTCTTGATGTTCCGATGGCGAACGTGGCCTTTTCCGTCTGGGGACCGGCGGCAGAGGAGAAAAGGGTTGCGCGCAGGGGGATTTCTGGAGCAGCTGCATCTAGGCAAATCAGGTTGAAAGGTCGCGTTGGAGATTGATAGAGCAATACATACATGTCGTGGCCATGTATTCATCGCCTAGAGAAATCTCTTCGGGGATTCTCCAAGGTTCAAGGAATGCATCTCCGGTGGGGCCGTCATCCATGGTCACACTGTGAGTGTTAGCAAACAATGAACATGTAGACTGATCTGTTGTAAGCTTACAGCATATGGTTTGCGGGGCTGAGACACATTGATGAAAGCTATGAAGACCCGTTAATGAGAATGCATGTTTGATAATTGGAAAAAACATACCCTGTATGGGCGGCTGGCAAGCAGTCGCTCCTTTTCAGGATCGTAGAGATGCTCTTCCTCATTCATACGCACTGTTGGATAAGTAATCCTATTCTCTTGTCAGTGACTGCCATGCGACATAATGGGGCAAATCTTACGTTAGTGCGGACTGAGAACCACGCTGGCCACCTATCAAAACACTTAGCATTGATGGATCATGTTTCAGTCACCTCATATCAATGACCAACCTGCAATCAAAGCCCCAGTGACAGAATCTCGGAAAACGTTGTTAACGTAGACGGAGATGTCGTCAAGGGACCCAAACTTGTACAGTTTGCGTCGTTCCAACTGACTCGCAAAGCCTCGAGCCACCTGGTTTTTTAACGACGAGCCAATGTGAACTTTGCCGAGCTCTCTCATTGCTGGGAATAGTGGGTGGTCTAAAATGGCTGCCCTGCGGATCTGCTCTTTGGCAATGCGTTGCTCTACCTCTGCCTTTTGCTTGGTTTTCTAAAATGCTTTGGTAAGTCAATGATTATTTCCCTGGGAATTTCAGACGCACCTCGTGCTCGATTTTTCGTTTCTTAACCGATTCATTAGAGTAAGATGCCGATGCACCAGAGGATGCACCGGAGGTTGCAACATGATTGGCCTGGATCGCAAAATATTTCTTCTTCTCAGAATCTGCCAAGGAATCAGCGTTTGCCTTTCTCCATAGAATTTGGGGTTCGCTTACCGTAATAAAAGCCCGGGATGTCTCGCATGGTGTCGGTGGGGGTGTTGTAGATGTTGAAAAGCAGATAGCACGTAGCGTGTGACAGGAAAATCAAATGAGATTGAAAAACCAGAGCAATGTGTCAAATATTGACTAATTGTTGTCAAAGCCTTGGAAGATGCTGTGATGGTGTTTGATCACAAGTTTCACCTGGCAAAGCTCATAGGATGAAAAGAGAGTTCGTGAGATACGCTCAGGGTGGATGCGATGATCAGGATGGCTTCAGAAGCACGCAAAGGATGGCAATGAAGTTGAAAACACCGTTCACCTTGCAAAGCTGATGGGAATGAAAGAAGACTTGGATGATACACAGGGTTAGGTGGTGATCAGGATGGCTTTCAGAACCGCGCAAAAGATGGGAGTGAAGTTTAGCAACAAAGTTCAGCTTGGAAAGCTGATGGGAAGGTAAGAAGTCTCAGGTGATAAACAGTGTTAAGATGATGATCAACTTGACCGTCAGGAACGTGCAAGAGATTCAGAGAATGGGAAAAGGGAAGCAAAGATGGGTATGGTAAGCGCAGAGTTAAAGCAATGATTAGGGTAGCCTTCAGAGCGAGACAAAGGACAAGAATGAAGCTTTCCCCCAAGGCTCACCTAACAACATCTATGGTAATCAAATGGGGATACGCAGAGGATTGTGACTGTGGTTGGTCTCATCAGAGCACAGAAAAGACGCCGGCGGTGTTTGGTCGAAAATGAAACCAGGCGACATTTCCTACTGAGCTTCAAGATTACTGTTATGCGATTGTCAGGCTCCCACAGACCCAATTCACTCCCGAATCATCGTGTTCAAATGTTTTTGCAATTTCGATTCATTCGACGGTGACGTCCAGATGCTGACATAATATTAATGCCTGAGGCCTCAGTATGTTTCGTTCTCGTTGACTTGCTAGTCTCACACATCAACATGGCAATCAAGTTTCGGTCCATTTGATATAAAAGAGAATGTCCGACAATATCATCATATATTTCCTATTGCTCATGAGTTTGTCGATCAATGTTCGGCGTTTCTGGAGTCGATAATCCACTTCAAGAAGCATTTCCGAACATCATGTTGCTCCGCAGCCGCGTCAATCTCCCGAGGGTGCATTAGTTTCAACGATTTAGCCTTTTTAGGCAATGTCGTTAGTCAATTCTCCATGGAGATCACAGGAGACTTAGTTTCGAGGCACCGAGCCCGGATCGGCTGGATGAATAGCTCTTTCTCCTTTTGCGGAATGGCCCTTGCCATATCTCTGCCGTGATACATCTCTTGCCCGAATTATTTCCTGCTTTTCGATCAACACTTCTCATCAGTATAGTTATTCAATCTGTGAGTCTTGACCTGTGAGGCACATCAAGTATTTTTCCTCGATAAGCTTATTGTTCTAGTTCCAACTACACACTACCTTCATTCACATACTGTATCAACATACCGCATCACCATACATTCATCACCATGCCTCAAGACGCCGACTCGGGGACGATCCCTCTCAACAACCTTTCCGGTGTTGATGAATTTGGGCTGGAAGCTAAGGAGCTTTCTCTCATCACCCGACTGGAGACAGAAGACGACTTGGACCTTCTGATCTCGGAGCTTGAAGCAGAGGATGGCCAAGATATCGATCCCAACGTCCCGATAATCACCCCTGGTCCCGACTGTCCCATGCCGGAATGCATCTTTTTAACAGTCCTTGATACAGGACTCAACGAGGGAGAAGTCGAAGCTGCACGACACAAGCATGGGTGGAACAGCCTGCAGGAAGAACGTCGGAGCAACGTCGTCAAGTTCCTTATGCTTTTTGTCGGGCCAGTACAGTTTGTCATGGAGGTATGTAGATTGCCTTAAGCCTGCATGCAACTATTCTTCGCTACCAGCTAACTTTCCTTTCACATAGGTTGCAGCGATTCTGTCTGCCGGTCTGCAAGACTGGATTGACTTGGGTGTCATTTCGGGCCTGCTACTGCTCAACGCCGGGGTTGGATTTGCTCAAGAATACCAGGCTGGAAACATTGTCGACAGCTTGAAGAAAACCCTTGCTCTCAAAGCCACTGTTCTTCGCAGTGGGGAAAAGATGGACATTCCTGTCCAGGAAGTTGTCCCCGGTGATGTTGTGTTTCTTGAAGAGGTAGATCCAACTGATGCTGTCAACTCCTGATAGCGTACTGACTGTGATCTAGGGAGCAATCGTTCCGGCTGATGGAGTGCTTGCCGATGAAGATGCCCAGTTGCAGGTTGATCAGTCCGCAATTACCGGAGAGTCCCTTGCCGTGGCTAAAGTTTCAAAAGATTCATGCTTTGCATCTTCCACCATTAAACGTGGAGAGGCGCGCATGATTGTCACTTCTATCGGTGATAAGACGTTTGTTGGGAAGGCTGCAGCCCTGGTGAACAAAGAATCAACTAGAAAAGGTCACTTCACCGTGGTTTTGGATGGTATAGCTAGGATTCTCATGGCCCTTGTGAGCTTTGCACTGCTCTTGGTGTGGATCAGCTCGTACTACCGGTCGAATAGGATTCGACTGATCCTAGAATTCACACTCGCCCTTACGGTTGTTGGTGTTCCAGTTGGTCTTCCTGCAGTTGTGACCACCACTATGGCCGTTGGTGCATCTGAGCTTGCCCGAAAATCGTGTATTGTGCAAAAGCTCTCCGCCATAGAGTCTCTGGCCGGTGCAGAGATTCTCTGTTCAGACAAGACCGGCACTCTCACTCGCAACAAATTGGCTTTGGGTGACCCGTTCACACTCCCAGGGGTTACAGTCAATGATTTAATGCTTACTGCTTGCTTGGCCGCAAGTCGGAAGAAGAAAGGATTGGACGCCATTGATCGTGTCTTTATCAAAAGTCTTAGGCGTTATCCCGGTGTTAAGGCGCAAATGGCGTTGCACAAGACCGTCGATTTCTATCCTTTCGATCCGGTTTCAAAGAAAGTCACAGCTGTCGTGCTTAATTCCAATGAGGCGAAAATCACATGTATGAAAGGGGCTCCCTTGTCGGTTCTGCGGACTATTCAGGATGATCAGCATATTTCCGAGTCGGTTCAAAATTTATATGAGGAAAAGGTAGCTGAATTCGCCAGCCGTGGATTCCGGGCCCTTGGGGTTGCTCGGAAGAATGACAATGAGGAATGGCGGATCCTTGGGATTGTGCCCTGCTTGGACCCTCCTCGTCATGATACCAAGGAGACTATACAAGAAGCACAGAGGCTTGGCCTTCGTGTGAAGATGCTTACCGGAGATGCCGTAGGTATCGCCAAAGAGACAGCTCGTTCACTTGGATTAGGCACGCATATTTACAATGCAGAGCGTCTTGGTGTGACTGGAGCTGGTGATATGCCTGGTTCTGAGATAAATGACTTCGTAGTAGCTGCTGATGGCTTCGCCGAGGTGTTTCCCGAGCACAAGTATAAAGTTGTGGAGATTTTGCAGCAGCGTGGTCACTTAGTTGCGATGACGGGGGATGGGGTTAATGACGCACCCTCGCTCAAAAAAGCAGACACAGGAATCGCGGTTCAGGGTGCTTCAGACGCAGCCCGCTCTGCTTCTGATATTGTCTTCCTCGAACCTGGACTCTCGGCAATCATCGACGCAATCAAGTGTTCTCGTCAAATCTTCCACAGGATGTACTCCTACGTTATCTACCGTATCGCACTGTCTTTGCATCTTGAGTTCTTCCTTGGTCTGTGGATTATCATCTTGGATCAAACTCTTGACCTGCGCCTGGTTGTCTTAATTGCCATCTTTGCCGACATCGCTACCCTTTCCATCGCTTACGACCACGCGCCCTATGCTCAGGCTCCTGTCAAGTGGAACCTTCACAAGCTTTGGGGAATCTCTGTTATCCTCGGGATCGTCCTCGCCGCGGGTTCATGGATTGCCTTGGGCTCCATGCTACTGCGAGGTGAGATGGGGGGTATTGTGGAAGGCTATGGTGCCCGCGACTCAGTCCTGTTTCTGGAGATTGTATTGACTCAAAATTGGCTTATCTTCATTACTCGTATGAACACTTGTGACAATGGTCCTTTCTGGAAAAATCCACCATCCTGCGCACTCTGCGTGGCGGTCTTGGTCGTTGATATTGCAGCTACCTTTATGTGTGCCTTCGGCGCCTTTTCCGACCACTTTACGTCACCTGGAACTATTGTCAGGGTCTTTGTTTTCTCCCTCGGTGTTTCCGGGGTCTGCGCCACATTTTACGTTCTTCTTCAGCGCTCTGGGCGTTTCAACGACCTGATGCATGGCCGGCTCTTCCGCCGTCCCCGCGCTCAGCGAGATTGGGAGGACTTTGGTAAGTTTCACTTTAGATAATAATTAATTTCGATCTTATACTAACCACAATTACAGTTGCAAACCTCAACCGTGTGTCGACTGAACATGAGAACATTGTCTGAGATAGGAAGATGGTGTCCCATCAATTTGAGAAGATCGAGGATAGATTGAGTGAATATGGAATAGGATGCAGCTTTTCTTTTCATTGGATTATATGTTTTGCTCTACGGATGGCTACCGAAATGGATTGAACCTGTATTACTTACTAGCCCGCCAATGTACCAATTCTCAAGTTTGAATCAACTCTTTCGATCGATTTGACCTACAGATAGTCTGGTATTTTAGAGCAAAGAGAATGACCTATACATTCAATGTTCTCCATTCATTTGGGTTTCCTTTCATACATACTAAATATCAAAATTGATACTCATGATCTAGCTTATTCAATTTTCAATTTATGGAATGCAGGTCAAGGAAGGAAAACAAGTTTGATACCAATAAAAGGAGAATGTTGACGATGCATATTATTCTCAGTCATTTTCTTCCACAATTTCCCCAGCCTCCATCATGGCATCCAACATTTGAATGTGCAATTCAAATCTAGCACGTAAGCCACGGGTCTTCAATCGGAAGCTCATGACTGTTGATCCTCTGAATTCTAATGCAACATCTATTATCCAGAGCGGATATCAAGCTCAGTGGTTGCTGATTGGCTGGATGTTTGTTGTCACCCCAATCGGGACTAGCTCAGGGTCCTAGACTGGTCTTGCCTTTGCTCTCTTCATACAACTATCCAGTGATGATTTTATCCTTTTTCCCTGATCTTTTCTTGCCTACCGATTCCATAGACTCCTTTCTGAATGCTCTACGGTATGCCTTCACTGGCTGTGGGGGAATACCAGGCCCACAAGTCCCTGTCCGCACTTTCCATTAGGGGTCAAGTCATGTGACTCGGTGGGGCTCTGATGCGGAGCTTAATTAGCCAATGCGGGGAGCCTCGGCATCTCATGCATTGATTCATCAATTGGTCAGATTGATTCTTCTCTTGCATAACTGCTGCACCAATGCTGGGGAAACAAAGACCTGCAGACCGGGCGAGAATCGTGTGCCTGCACTGCCATGCTCGAAAAGTATAATCCGGCGGAATACCATTGGCAAATGCAGACTGACCAGGTTCAAGGTACGATGCGACCTCGATCAGACAGGGGATATCTGCGGTAATTGCAGAAGGCGTCGTCAAGTTTGCCGGTTAGTTGATACTTGAAGAGCCTCTTCCAACGTTCTGATAATGTTTGTTACAGACGGCGGGGTCGCAGTAAATATCCTGCGAGGAATAACGACTCCGCGCCTTCTTTACTACCCAGTTCCGTGACTGTGCAATCTAATGAAATTAGTGACAATGATCTGGTCCCTACAGAAAAGAGCCTGTCCCCAACTCAACGACTCACTTCACTTGACTCAACACCATTTAATCCGCCGGGCTATCTTGGGGAGCTGTCATTCATGTCTCCTTTAGACACTGATGCTGATCAACCATTACCACAACCATTAGGAGAATTCCATGCCCGATTCTCCATTGAGCTCATGAAGTCGATGGATGCAGAGACACTGCCACCAAAAGCTAAGGTTGACGCGTTCACCGATGCTTATTTTCAACATCTTTATCATCGTGCCCCTGTTATTGACAGAGCGGATCTACAAACGGAGCCATCAAAGCTCTTATCCCAAGCCATATGTATGGTTGGCAGTCTGCTACGCCACCCAGGGATTCAATCTCCCCTCCAAGAGAGCGAAGAATATTACTGCAAAGCGAAAGCATTGTTATATGCTAATTACGAGGTCGATCATCGCAATATACTAAAAGCGCTTTGCCTTCTCATATTCAGAAACGTCAGTCCGCCAAAGGTCCTCACCTTGGACTGTTCGTGGCAATGGACGGGACTGGCAACACGCCTCGCCTATCAGATGGGTCTGCATCGCGAGTCTACGTATTCCAAGCTCACAAATCCTGGAAATGCGCGTCGGATGATGTGGTTTCTGTTTGTATGTTTAGTGAAGACATTTTCTGGCTGGTCTGCTAACATCGTGACTAGGCGCAGGACAAACTGCTAAGCGCTTGCTTTGGACGCCCATCGTTTATTCGAACCGCGGAATTAGACTTGCGGCCGCTGCAGCTCCAGGACTTTGAGCGTCAAGATATTCAAGCCGAGATCTTTATTGAATATGTCAAGCTTGGTATGATAACAGGCCACATGGTGGATTGCCACGGTCGGGAAGGCCAGCCACAGTACGGAGAGGTATTTGCCACTGTGAAACATTGAAAACATTCATGGTGGGCTGAAGTTCACGCTGAGATGTGAAATGTCGAGCCAGGGCTGATGCTTTGATTTCTACAGGTGACTGCCATCCTTCAATCGCTACAGCAATGGATCAACAATCTCACCTCTCAACTACGCCTTTATGATGGCAATGATCGACGCTATTTCAGGCGAGATGTTTGCGAGCTACATATCAATTACTTCGTCTGTGTGGTAGTCCTTTGCCGTCTCTTTGGTACTTCACTTCCACCAGCCACAGCATCCGCCGTTTCCCTAGTGGCATCTTCATGCATTAGCCACCTATACGAAGAGATTATCTTCCGCGACGAGATCAACTACATGATGCCCTTGAACAACTGGTTTCTCATGGTAGCCTGTGCTCCGCAAATTCAGCAAAGCTCCACCTGTCAAGGCAAAGACACACTTTGTACCGAAGAGCTGAAAAAGCTGATGACTGCGCTGCGATACATGAATTTGAAATGGCCCCCAGCGAGAATTTTACTAGCAATAATTGAGCGATTGGCTGCCAAAAGTCACCAAGAGATGAATTCGCTCGGCCAAACTCCAGATTCTTCGCTGCATATGGACTCTTTGTCCGAAACCTGGTCACGAATACTTCCCCATTCTGATCTGAGGGCTTTGTTTCCGTTTCCTACCTCGCTTAGCCCCCGTATACAGCATCCGGATGTTGGGAGCGAAGACACTGCTGATTATATGGCTCTTGAAAGGATGGATGATATGGGAAATGATGATTTGGATTGGATTTTCCATGAATATCAGCTCGGCTACATGGAAGCTTCGCTTAATTGATCTAAGTCACGAGTTGAATTGATAGACCCACGAAATGAAAAAATATTCAGGGTTGAGGTTTGAACTTTTACCTGCCAGATGCCTTTTTAGAAGAGTGCCTAGTCTATTGCTGTGAGAGACTTCTCAGAGATGGCTTTCGAAAGGCTTGTTTCCCCACGGGAAAAATTGCATCAGATCTTGGAATAGCTTCGGGTCACCTTCGCACATCTGAGCGTCTACTTTAATGCGACACAGAAGTAGACTTCTTAATTCAGCTTTGGCCACTTTGAAGTGTAGTCCCGGTTTCTCCAAGGATGTATTCCCCGAAAGGATCCGGTAACTCAAGGCACCATTGCTCAGAATGAGGCGCCAGGTCTGACCTTGATCCGACAGCGTGACATCAATCGCAAAAGATTTGCCAGCTGCGCGTATACCATCAATCTGAACAGAAAGAGAACACAACCACTGCTCCACGCTCAACAATGGATTGAGGTCCACCGTTTTGGTGCTCTGTGGCGATGGTGTAGTGGTGCTTTCAGGCGCCAAATCCGCTGCACCAGTTAAATAGAAGTTTCGCCAAGTTGCATTCAATGCTCCGAATCCAAGTTTCTTAAACACCGAGCTGAGTGCACTACGCGCCCGGGTATGCTTTGGCTCTGCGGCAATAACATGCCCCAGCAGGGTAGCTGCAAAGCGCAGATCATCCTTGGCGGCGAATTGTTCCGCTAGAGTGATAGTTCCTTCGATACCACCCATGCACGCGATGTATCGCTTACCTTCTTCGGCGGGAGGGTGCTTCCATAGATTAACGGGATTCCCATCGAACCATGTCATGTAGCGGGAATAGATAGCCTTGATATTGTGGCTGAGTGATCCATAATAGCCCTGGAGATGCCAGGCGCTGTCAAGTGCTGGGGGCAGGCTGAGGGTCTCTGCAATTTCCACACCTGTCATTCCCTCGTTCATGAGGCGGACTGTCTGGTCATGCATGAAGGCGTACATGTCACGCTGCTCAACTAACATGCGAGTGATATCGGCTCTGCCCCAGGTCGGCCAGTTGTGTCCGGCCAACAAGACATCGGCCTCGCCACCGTATAGCACAAGGCTTTCATCAAGGTAACGCGACCAGGCTTTCGCATCCCGAACAAGTGCACCCCGGAGAGTGGAAATGTTGTGCATGCAGTGGGTTGCGCACTCGGCAATGTACAGTGCCTTGGTGTCAGGGAAGTAGAAGTTGAATTCCGACGGCGCCTCAGTGCCAGACACCATCTGGAAGACAATTCTGACACCATCCACCAGTCTTTCATCATTGGTATTTGAAATCAGAACGTTGGGTGGAATCAGCGATGTGGTTCCTCTCGAGGTAGCCATTCCCAGTCCACATCCTACTTGGCCCTCCACGCTCCTGGGTAAAGTGGTTCCATACATATATCTCGCCCTGCGCCTCATTGCCGGTCCGGCATAGATATTTTCGCTGGTCGCTTCCTCCATGAATCCTTCCGGGGCGACAATAGGGATCTGATCCTCCAATCCTGGTGGTAGGACTCCCCGTGCACCGCCGAAGTGATCGATATGCGAGTGCGAGTAGATCAAGCCAGTGAGAGGCCGATCCCCGCGATGTTTCTTGTATAGTGAGAATGCTGCTGCAGCACACTCATTTGATACCAGGGGATCGATTATGATCACGCCTTTTTCTCCTTCCACGAGCGTCATATTTGACAGGTCAAAGCCACGAACTTGGTAGATTCTTTGAGTGACTTTGAAGAGCCCATGTTTGACCGTGAGCTGGCCTTGTCGCCATAGTTTTGGATGGACTGTCGGTGGGCATTGCTGATCATTTTCCAGGAATCCATAAGCATTGTTGTCCCAAACAGTTTCGCCGGAAAGTGTCTTGATGATTCCTGGTTCGAGTGTTCCAAGGAATCCACGGGTTGCGTTCTGAAAGTCGGTCATGATAGCAAAAATCTCAATTTGAGGAATTATATTGATCAATCCATGGGGGATGAATGTCTTTAAATATTAAAAGAAGTTTGAATGTAAATCAAGAAAGTACCGAGTTCTGGGAACCTCAAAAGCCGAATATACCGAAGTTGGTTCGGCACCCCGCATCTACCCCATACTTTGATCTAAATCATACCGAAGTGAAAGAGCCGAGATGACAATAAAACCCCTGCAGATCTCGCCAAAGAGCGATTCAAGTGGAACTCTTTCTTCACACTCATCTACTATGAAAATGGATCACAAAGATTCTGAGCTTGTTGAGCAGTCTCTGCCGGTCGATGATGATCTCGGCTTCACACCTCGCGAGCAGCGCCATATCATTCATAAAATCGATCGGAGGTTGATTCTGGGCCTCGGTTTACTTCTTGCTGTTAGTTTGATTGACCGAACAAACTTGGGAAATGCGTCAATTGCAGGGTGAGGAGTGGACTCTATAAGCAAGAATACCGTTTGACAATTTTTAGGATGCAAAAGGATCTCCAGCTTGAAGTCAATTCCCGATATGTCAGTTTTTCGAACCTCTTGGATGGCCTGGTTGCTGAGTAAATAGTCCATCATTCTGTTGGTCTTCTTCATCCCCTACGTCCTCGTTCAATTCCCAAGCTCCATCCTTGTCCGCAAGATCGGCCCACGTATCTTTCTTTCCGCAATTACCTTCACATGGGGTGTGGTGATGATGGTATGTATTTTGAATGTTGATTGTATACTATACTGACCTTGACAGTGTTTTGGATTCGTTCATGACTGGAAAGTAATGATTGCACTCCGCATCATCTTGGGAATATTCGAAGCAAGTCTCTTCCCCGGGGCAATATATCTTCTTGCGCTTTGGTACTCCAGATGTGAGTCGCTCCATGCGATCTACAGATACTCAAGTTGACTTGACCAGATGACGTTCACAAGCGCTATTCCTCTTTCTATCTTCTGAGCACAATCGGTGCTTCTCTTTCTGGGGTCCTTGCCTACGGCTTCATGCAAATGGCAGGCCTTGGGGGTCTGTCTGCCTGGCAATGGATTTTTGTGATGGAGGGTCTCCTCACGTGTGTCATAGCAGCGATTGGCTACTGGCTACTCATCAGTTTCCCACAGGATGCACACAAAGCCCGCAATTTCTTATCTCCAACAGAAATTGACTTCATTCTTCGCCGAATTGATAGGGATAGGAGTGATGCAGATGATGAGCCTTTTTCGCTTTCTTCGTTTTTGGCACCTGCTTCGGACTTGAAGATTTGGGGATTCGGAATGATATTTTTGTGGGTCTGGCTTCGTTTATGCTATGTCTGGTTGCTGACTCTATCACTGTAGATGCAGCACTGTCGTGTCCTACGGTATAGCGTTCTTCCAACCCATCATTCTATCGCAGAAGCTTGGTTTCGGAATAGGAGCCTCACAGGCTCTGTCCACGCCGCCATATTTCTTTGGTGGTCTTCTCATGTATGCACAGGGGTGGGCAGGCGATAAATGGCATATCCGGAGCCCAATCATCATTTACAATGCATTGCAGACTATCGTCGGCTTATGTATTTTGGAATGGGTTCCTGCCCCTGGTGTGCAGTACTTTGGCATTTTCCTCGTTGCAGCTGGCTCCAATGCTACCATACCTGCCGTGCTTGCTTGGCAGGCAAACAATATCCGTGGCCAGTGGAAGCGGGCATTTTGCAGTGCTAGCATTGTTACCTTTGGAGGGATCGGGGGCATCATCGGAGCTGTTGTTTTCCGGTCTCAGGATGCACCAAATTATTTCCCTGGAGTGATGGCCTCAATTGTGTGAGTGACTATGAATCAATTGTCTTGGTTCTGATGCTGACCTCCATTCTCATAGCTGTAATGTTATAATACTTCTTGTAGCAGGCATTCTCGCGATATATTTCCACACATCAAATCGCCAAGCTAGGAAGGGTAGCTTGGTAATTGAAGGACTGCCTGGATTTGCCTATACTTTATAATTGAAACTCGGAATTGCTAGTACAATCAGATGATCTGACATTAGCACCTGAAGTGATTTAAGTTTTCTGCCTTCTAATGGGGTGCACTCTAGCATTGGATTATATTTTTGAACCTCAATGAACTTTTGTACAAATCCTGCAAATACTTGACTAGAGGAACAAGCCTTCACAGCCGGTGCAATAGAAACGCCTTATTTGGCTTCAGAGGCTCATCGAAGTACGTTGAAACCTCATGAACCCGTCCCATCTCCTCATCATCCCGGATGATCCTCTGTTGTTTCTTATACATACGCCAAAAGACAAGACTTCCGTGCATCTGTGTCACCGAAAACGCAACATGCAAAATAGGCGTGACAACCTTGAACGCAAGCTGCCATCGACTCCAAAGGCTGCCAAACAACCACATCGTAACAATTGTCTCGCAAAGCGTGCCCATCGCCGTTGTCATACATGATACGAGAAACAGACGACTGAGGAAATGGTGACGATCAGGATAAACGCGGTAAAGGATAATGGCGATATGTGGAAAGAACTCGGCAATGATATCGAAGGCACCTAGAGGAAAGAATTGTCAGACGAAGTCATGGATGTGATGCAAGGAGGAGAACTTACCCCACACAGTACACAGAATGAATTCGATATCGGCATCTGGCTCCCGCGCCAGCCTCAGACTAATCGCGATAGCAGACTGGCCTATAAGGATTGTACCGACGTGGTGTGCAACAGCAACAGGGGATAACTTGGCACGATAAATGAGCTCGGAGATGTACATGGCAATCAGGATTTGGGCCGCCACGACGAGCACATCACCCAGTGTTACCACAGAGCCGGGGGAGAAGAGGGTGTGAAAGGTTGAGTTGCCAAATCCAACGCAGATAAATGGGTATGCTGCAATGATCAGGATGAGCAGTTTTGTCGCTGCTGAAATGTGATGATTGATGAAGCCACGTCGATTGATCTCGCTCAGCTCCGTGTAGGTATCTCCGTAAAGCCATTTTATGAGGAAGCCTTCGAGGATGTAGAATCTGATCATAAATAGAACAACCAGCGCGACAGATATGATGAGAGCAGAGAATGGTGCGAGAACCGATATTGGTTCCAAGGGTTTTCTGAGTAGTGTCCCGTGTCGTGGAGAGAGCGGCGTAGTTGTTGACATGACGAGCGATAGGTGGTGGACTAGAGTTCCGGTTATTGAGAGAAGAACAAAAAGAAATTGTCGAAAGAGAAGAACAAAAAACAAAGTGTCGAAGAGAACGTAAGAAGAATATCAAGAAAAGAGTGGCCTAAGTTGGAAAGAAGTGGAAATGGGAAAGTTGGGGGTTTGACTTAAGGCCCCATGGGTAATTCTTAGTCTCTTAGACCCCTAAATGCTAAGCCTTGTGGTACCTGGAAGGCCCCAGTGTTTAAGGTTTGACTAGATGTCTCTCAAAGCTTAACTGTTGAAGTGATCAATTAACCAAACTCGTTCTTTCATCTGTTTCTAGACATATATATACTTTTAAGTTGATGCAATATGAGAGATATTTGAGCGCTATTCAGTCATAATATTGAGTTAGATCTCTGGATTTGATCTATTGACGCTGCATTGTCAGCTTTTAGCAATGCGGCTGCCTAAGTAAGACCCACAGTCATCTAACCACGGGAACTCCCTATTTGCGTCTAAATAAGCGGGCTATCTATATGCATGTAACCTTTGAAGTGAGACTTTTACGTACGGTCCTTAAGCTCAACCCCTTCTCCGTTTATCCTTCTCGCGCCACCAATTTCTTCCGTACTAAAGACAGTCTAGCCGCAAAAATCACCACGGCTCCAGCTAGGCTGCACACCCAGCAGATACATTGCAGGATAATAACTTCCGTGCCGGCTAATTATAGCACCCGTGATCGGTTTTCCCGTCAGCCCGGAGAATTTAAGCACTCCGAGGCCCATCCCCATATAGGATCCAATTTCTTGGGTTGCTCAGCAGTCGGAGCAATAGTAGCTAGGAATATCGCCATTACTGTTCCAGGAAAGAAACAAAATAGGGTTTCAAAAGCAATCATACCCTCCAGGGACCCAATGGATAGCCACGAGAGGATATGAAGCCCCAAATAGCCGAGGCACCGGCTAGTGTGCTAAACCGCCTGATATGGTTGGCAAGTGCCCCACCCGAAAGTGGCACAACCATGGATCCCGCATTCGTGATCGCGATCAAGTAGAAAGACATTTCCGCATCGATAAGATTGACTCGGCGTATGACGGAATATAGAAGAACGGGGAAGACATTTCCAGCAAACGAGAAATAAACCCGCGATTTGTAGTGAGTATGCTGGATATCTCCGCGCCATGAGAATGAGAGGTGGCACACACTTTCTCTTCGGAGTCTTCTGATGCAATGCTTACAGAGGTGACGATACTAAATGTCAACACAAGAAACCCGTGGATGCAGACCGACCAGTCAAACCCGAGTTGATAGTTGGTTTTTTCAAGCGTTCGGTCCAAGGCAATCAGGAATAAACGTCCGCGAGGAAGATTCACTCAACGATTTTCATGGCCAGCGAACGTTTATGGAAGAAACATTGATTGACTATGGTCAATGCTGGTGCCTACCATGTAAGGTCATTTTTAGGCCACCAAATACGCCCTTGCCCAGGATATGGTGATAGTAATCGGTGCAAAGACTGACCAGCATGACAGAGACAACGAATAGTAACGAACATGGCTTTATTGGCCCATTACTACCTGGTTCTGCCAGATTTTTTGACATAAACTGCTGAGGCATCTGTAATTAATTCTGTTGACGTATTTCAAGGGCGAGCGGCGCACACGGGCGAGTGGCGCATCACCCATCACCATAGTGAATGCCATATTTACTATTATAATGTTTCAACAACGGCATTCCTAGTATATTCTTATATTAACCGATAGACACGAATAAGGATTATCAGAAGAACATGTTCCTTTGAAATAAATTAAACTCTTTTTTCACTACTAGTTGATGACACCAACAATTGCATCGTCAAATAGGTGCGGTATATATCCTCCAGGCGTCAACTCGTGAAAATTCTCGAAACTCGTTGCAAACATTGAAGGGCCTCAAGTGCTATATATCACATTGAGAGAACTCAGCTTTAAGGAAAATTCTATAGCCTACTGTTGTTGAGACAATGAGTTGTAATTTATCGCATTTACTATGGTGTTTGTGATTGCGGCACTCGCCCTTGTGCGCAGCTCGCTCGTGAATTACGTTAGCTAAATATTTACCCATATTTTGGTTCAAAGACATACCACCTACTCTACTTTCTATCTTCTACATTATATTTTTTTGAAATATTACTATTTATCGATAGACCACTATTAACTTTCTTAGTCTGATAAAGCGATGTGCTCTAGCCGATCGTGTTCGAAGAGAACGGGCCGAGAGTCATAATCTATAGACTTCTGGTGTGCATTTGAGTAACTTGTGTGGTTCTAGATTATCCAGATGCTCATAATTGCAATATTTTTACATAGCAGGCTACACAATATCTTCGTTCCGTTTCAGGACTTGGATATGGAAACGAGACCTCAGGTCTGGGCCATGCCTTTATCAGCCTTCCTGAGCCTCGGTATGTAAGAGCAGGGATGGATTTAGTTCCAAAAAGTATAAGTCAAAATCAAAGCGGGGCAGTGTCGATGAGGCCGGGGTTCGAATCAGGTTCGATCCCCTACAACTGTTGGTTCCAACACATCTAGAACATCCAATCATGACGGTGCCCTCATCCAACACGAATGGCGTCAACCTTATTCGCTAGGGACATGGAATTCACCCTGAAAGCTGATAGGAGCTGCACAGTAGATCTTCTCTGCGACATGTAAATCAGTGCTAAATAGTGGGTCCTCTCCACGACACTATTTTTTCTCTGCGACACTGGTTTCTCCGCGACATGAAAACAGTGTCGCATAGTGAGTCTTCTCTGCGATATGTGATATATAAAACAGGGCATTCTCACCCTCTGAATCCTTGCCCCCACAAGGTCTGAACTTTTCATTCTTACATATACACCATGTCTTCTTCTCTAAAAATCCCATCTGAAATTGATTATGACACTACTAGAGCTGATCCATTATATGAGCGCCAGTGGTACTTCAATCTGTCTTCCCTGATGGATATCGAATGGAATGCTTCCTCCAACGGCATGGTGGGAGGCTATCTTCACGAAGAACCCATGATTCCCTTCTGCTTGCCTCATGATGGGACCGCTTCGTATTATGAGGATGCAATCGCGGGTTTCAACGACGCTTTTGTCCCAAACAACTTCCCCTCACAGAACCAGTAAGATACCACAGTTACCCTATAAGATTTCAAAGCAAAGACTGATACCATTTTGCTGTAGGATGATGACGCTGTCCTCGCCCTTTGGCCCCAAAGACCCAATCATCCCAGGTGCAGGATCCTTAAAAAATGCTCTCTCTCTTATGGCGAAATATTTCGCTGCAAAATCGGCTAGCAGGCTTGAAGCATTGGAACATCTGGAGCGAAATTTTGACTGCTTGTCTAGTCAATTTCAGAATCTGAAGCGAATTGTTGACTGCGTGTCTAGTCAATTTCAAGATCTGAAAGCCCAATTCGGAGTACAAGTTCAAGTTCTGAAAAATCAAGTTCCTGTTGCTTCAAATGATATCAACCATTTGCATGACCGGCTTTCTTAAGTCAGAAGCAATGAGAAAGAGTCTTTGTAATTTTGAGCTTCGATTATAAGCAACGCGAAAGAGCTCGAGAATTGATAGGATTCAATGGTTTCTTCATGCTTCAGTTCTCTGATAACGTCTGACATGCAATTACTCAATCATGTTCATAGTTTAAGATGCTTTAAATACTTGAATTTCATCTTGACGCTCTTGTGCCTATACTGATAATACGTAACATCAGAATCTTCCACCATCTTCACCATCTCCATCGGCTTGCCATGATGCATGGCCTGTCTGAGCCAAGCCTGATAGCGCCAGATCGAGTGACCGATACGGGTACCCAGTTCCGCGGCCCTCGAAACTATGATCACCGGCCTCTTTCAATATGATTCGTAGAGTCTCTTTCCACTTCGGACAGGCGATCGACTTGGGAGAATTTCGGGACATACCACAGAAGAGAAACACACTACGAGCTAATTTGACGTCTAGATCAAGTATCGACCTGTTCTCACTGCCTGTAACCGTTGGTCACCAACGGCGCGTAAGGATGGACATGGATTGGATGCGCCACCCAAAATGAATGGCCAGCCCGAAATTGAATTACCCCAAGCTGAGGTCGCCGAAAATGATGAAAGCCATTTCCGCGTCTTTGTTGACAGCCGTTCCATAAAATACATTACCATTGAGCCAGGCATTTACAACTCTGAAAATATGTGTTTTGGCCCTTCTTTAGTGCCGCTCTTGCCAAGATTCCCCCCGGGAGACTGGAATGATGGGCTGGTGGCTAAAACCCTCTTGACGGCCGACCGCATTTTGCACGTGTCTCCCTGACCCCATTCTCTGGCGTTCAGAACACCTGGCATGAAATCTTTATCGACTATTCGGAGCTTTTGGTCGGTCGAAAGCTACGAACGGGTATCTATGAAACCAGAGCTTCGTCATTCCATGATATTGTCGTTGTAAAATTCGCTCGTTTCCCTTGGGAGGTGCAATATATTGAAAATGAAACCACGGCGTATCAATGGATAGTCGGCCATGATATCGGACCCCGATTCTTGGGTCACTTGACTGAAAACGGTCGAGTAATTGGGTTCTTACTGGAACGTATTACCGATTCTCGGCACGCTGGCGCTCAGGACACTGAGATCTGCGAGGAGGTATTATCTCGACTGCATGATTTAGGGGTCCGGCACGGGGATACCAACCGATCTAATTTTCTTGTCCGTGATTCGAGGGCTACTTTGATTGATTTCGATACAGCTCAGAAATTTGCTAATCGTGAAGTGCTTCTACAAGAGTTGAAAGATCTAAGCATGTGCCTCAAAAGTTCATCAGGCCGAGGAGGTGGGGGCGTTCTTTGAAATTTCAGATGCTGGAATCACGACAGTTCTTTCAGGTTCGCAGAAGGTTGGAAAAGAAGAACCTCGTATGCTTAAGTGATTAGACCATATACTCTCCATATCTAAAGGACGCCGTATACAGTTAAATGATGTTCCTGGCCTGGAGAATGTTGACATAAGCAGCGAAGTTGACAACGGCTTCCTGTGCGATCTCCAATGTAGTGCCATCTCGGCAGAAAATCAGATTAGGACCTGTCTGATGAACAGAGACGGGACACGCCGAAGCCTATCAGTTAGTCGAGGCCAAAGCCACCCAAGCGAAACAGAAGTTTGGGTCTTACGATTGCGTCTCCCCATAGGTATTTGTGTGATTTTCTAAAGCACTTCCGACGAAAGGTTTGCGTCGACTAAACTGATCTGTTTTTTACCCATGGGCTATATAGCCTGTATCATCCAGCTATGTACATCCATAATCAAGTCATGTGCAGCGGAGTCTCTCATCTCTCATTGTTCAATAAGAGAGGAGTGATTGGATGCCTCAATCTTTTACACTTCAACTTCAAACACGTATGCAACTAGCCCACCCCCAACCAAGACAACTCCTGCGATGACAGGCAGCCCAAACCTACTCGCCAAACTGAACGGAACCAGAGCCTGGTTCTCTGGTCGAAGCATTTGTGGATAGAAATACCAAGTTGAGGTGACACCCAGCCATGCCATTGCCCAAAAAAAACCAAGAACTTTTTGCCATAACGGTGGAGGAGTTTTCATCAGATTCTCAGCACGATTGGTTCCCGTACAGCTTCTCCACGTCGCCTTGATGCCATCCTCAATGACCAAGCCCAATGGAGCTGTCAGGAAAAGTAGCATGGCACCAGACTCTTGTACCGGGATACCTTGAATCACATCAAGGATGACATGCAGTCCACCTGAGAAGACAAAAACAAGGAGAATGTTTGTATATCGCTCCAATGGGGATCTAGAAAGGCCCAGCATGTCACGAGTAATACATGTGCTCACAGAGACGAAAGGCTCGCGCACCAATTGATGCCAGAATTTGCTGCGATCTATTAGCACATGATATCTTCCACATATAACAGGGAAGAATCTACATACCCCCAGAACCCTCTCAGTGAACCAGCCTCCGCTGCCCGTCCAAACAGAGGGGGACAATTCGACGGCGAGTCCAATCCAAGTCCAACAAGAAGGATTGAGAATACGCGATGATGCAAATCAATAAGCATCCTGCTCACCACGAATCCAGCGACCAGATTAGAGATCATCCGTTCAATCCACTGCTCAACGGACAAATCCCACTGAACAGTCGGCGGTAAAATTCCATGCTTTCTCTGCTCCTCCGCCTGCTGCAAGGCAACCGTAGCAAAAATATCCAGCGCCAGATACTGCCACACAGCGATTGCGGAATGACGAAGCAAAAATCGACCACGAGATGGCTCTTTCATCCCCCTTTTCGTATAATACGCTGGTTGTGTGGGCGCATTCTTGATTTGCCAGGGCGTGTTGATGCCACGCGGCTGGGTAAATAGTCGCGTCGCATAGTAGAGACGCGAGATAAGACTGTGACCTTGCTTTGGGGGGAGGTCAGAGCTGTCTTTTGGATTTATGAGTAGAAGGTTTAGGGATTGGAACAGGACTGTCACGATTAAACGTGCTAGTTCACACCAGATGAAGCCTGGTCCCAAAGCTGCTGCCACGCTTATAGATCGGTGCGCGGTGAAGATCAGACATGGGATTGAGAGGTAGCGGGGTATTGAGTGTTTGGCTGTGGTCAGCAGGAGTATACCTGGGATTAAGCAGTGGGCGGTATAGAGGCATGATATTTCCACAATTGACGATAACGTGTCAGGTCCCATTATAATTGAGCAGCGTATGTTTTCCCTGAAGGATTTTTTGCTTCCCCTTTCCCATGCATGAAATTATTGGTCCAACACTGCTTATGGGAAAAACCAATTGTGGTTAGCGTGATAAAGGTTAAAACAGTAGTGATCGTCGCATCTTAGATCGTCAAATTCAATTAAAAAGCTTCCCTTCTATCAATAACTATACATTGATCCCACACGAATCAAAGATAAACATAACAAAACGGACCAGCCGTCGTACTCATCAAATCCCTCAAAACCACTGGTCCCCGATTCCCATTCGCATAACCAACATTCAGAAAGTAATCCAAAGTCACATTGGCAGACGCAGGCGTATCCATCAAAGTACTCGTCCCAGAGATCTCATCCTGCCTCTTCAAATCCATTTTCTGCCAAATCCACCAAATCCGATCCACCATCCCATGATGATGATAAAATGCCGGATCCCCCGCACTAGCATCCGCATCCCGTCCCGGATCCCCACCCATGGCGAAATGTCCCCCACCATGTAACCCAGGAGTATCACGCTGGCCCTGCATTTTATCCTGCAAGTCCCAGACTATTTCGCTCTGTGTGATCAGATCCACGATCGAGGTGTAGTTCACATACAGCTGCAGGATGGCAGTTGTTAGATCCCGTTTTAGACAGCGCGGGTTGTAGTCTAGTGGGTTTGACATTCGGGTTATGTTGTCGCCTGGCACGGCGAGGTAGGAGGGGCCTAAGTTGACGGTCAGGTGTTGGAAGGGGCCGCTTGTTACGCAGCCGCCTCCCGTTCCTGGTGGAAGCCAGAGGGGTGGGTAGGGGCCTGGGATTCGGGCTCCGATGGGGGCTTCGTTGAGGATGTGGGCGCCGTTTCCTGAGAGGGAGGTTTCAGTCCCGTCGAATAAGCTGGATTTCTCTAGGTTGTCGGCGTCTGCGGCCCAGTTCCAGTATCTGGATTTCATCAGATAGGCTTGAATTTGGTTGGCTTTGGGTATGCTTACGGGTAATCTCCTGTGTAGTTGCATTCATTGCGGAGGGCTTGTTCGTATTCATAGATGAAATATCGATGCCATGCGAGAAACAGACCCTGCCTCTTTGTTAGCAGGATGAATGAACTTGGGATGTGGAACTTACATCGCGATGGACGTGATACGCTTGACTGATGTGAGTGGCGACAAAGTCATCGAATCGTGATCTGGCTCCAGGGGCCAAATGACTCGGCGTGATAGACCGTGCTTTGGTCAAGCAGAGAACCGATTTGATATAAGACTTCTTCTCGGCAGAAGTAAACGCTCTCCAATTGCGACGAACTCGCAAGTTTTCCAAGGTGCACGTATTGTTCTTCTTTGACGAGTCCTTGATAATCGTGTCAATCGATGTCTTCAAAGCATTCTGTGCCATTTCTTCAAGTTGGGCCGCTGCTTCAATCATCGTCGGATCTTGATTAAACGTACGTACCCCCCAAACCGGACATGTCAGTATCACCAAAAATGAAAAGAACAAGGCAACTATATTAGCCATGTTGTCTTTCGGATTGAGTGAGTTAACCTGACACTGATTGCGTATACACGTGGCTCATTATGAGTCCCTGACTCAAGGCTAGAAGGCCACGCGAGGATTATATGCTGTGCAACTCCAGCCCGTAGCCTCGGAGAGTTTCTCATGCAAGGTCTCCCAAGATCTGACATTCTGTCCGACGTTGAAGCATGGAAGAATCGAAAGAAAAGCTTATCAGAGAATGGTTCAGGGGATCTGTTGTACAGACGTATTGCTGAAACTCTTAGTTTCGCTTATCTGAGGTTCTAATTCGGTTGACTTTTATCACGCCCCTTAGGTCGCCTTAAGACACGAGGTCCTGATCGAAAATTGCCCGACCTGAGCCATAGTGTTTCAGGATATAAATCGTCAGCCCTTGGTCTGTGTAAGCGGTATCTATAATCTATGTGTGACATCGGGCCTGATAATGAGTGATAATATTAGAATATGCAATTGCTACATGGTGTTTCCCAGAGAGAGCGAGAACGAGTCCAGAGCCACCTCATCATTCTCCCACGGGAGTTCCATTGTAGAGAGTACATCATCCGTAATACCAGGGAACTTTGAAGCATCAAATGCGAGAATATCACCAGTCGATAGATCATTCACAAAGTCCCCGATTTTAAAAGATTGATTCGCCTCCAAACTCTGTAGATACTCCGGTGTCAATGCCGGCGCCGCCATAACTTGCACTGCAGCGCTAGTCTGAGCCCGCTGTTTTGTCGGTGGGCCACGAGCTGACAAGCTATTATGGAACTTTTCAACAAGCGTCTCAGCTTGGATCCCAGCTTCTCGCACTATCTCTGCTGCCGTTCTAGCCGCCACAGAGTTCTTCCCCATTATTTCAAAGCAGTGTATGGCTGTCTGGATGGACTTGCGAGCTGCGGGGGTTGGTGGACAGACTGGGTTGGCTAGGACGAAGCCTAGGGTGCACAGAGCGGCATCCCATTGGTACTGGAATACGGGATTCCATCCACGGAGTAGGTCAGTTTCGGTGAGTACTTGGTGGAGAAGGTTGGTCAAAGCGACAGCATGGTTCAAGCAGTTAATGCTGTGGCAGTCTGATAATGGGGTGATTGACGAGTTTCCAGGTGGGAAGCGCAGGAATGAGCGAAAGGTCGAGAGTTGGAGATGATGGTACAGGAGCTCAAGGAGGATTCGTTGTCGTTGGAGCCATAGGGGACTGGAGGTATCAAAATTGATTGGAATGCGCTTCGTGGAGAATGGTTCGCCGGAAACTCGGCAATTCTGGAGCGAGGGTGGTACATGACGTGTCCAGTCGTATATCGCGCCAACTTCTCGGGCAAGGCATGCGGCTAGCTCTTCGATCATGTAAAGGTCACAGTATATACTTTCGGCATTCTTCTGCTCGATTAATCGAGCGCCTTGTTGATAGAAGGCAATTTGGACACTTTGCGCGATGGTCAATAGCCGGGTAGACTGTACGTGGAAGGTTAACCAGCTGATTTCCTCGTGGCCTGGGATCATCAACATTGAGCCAGATAGAAGCGCGTGTTCCTGGGTATCTCCTGGTAGATCCAAATTAACTTCAACACGGGTTACCAAAGGTCGGCCCAGAACCATGGACAACTGACAATCTAGGACAAACAGTGTATGCCAAAGACGTTGGTATAAGTCTTGGTCCTTCTGAATTGACGTGTCACGCGGTAGATGGAGCCGAAGACTCTGAGCAACCCTCACAGCTGTTCCCAAAAGAGAATAGGCCGCATTGAAGAATGAGGTATTATGCAAATAGACAATACAGTATATGTGGCTCTGCAATGCCATTATCGAAGGGCTTTCCATCTGGTCAAGAAGCAGGGTCTGAGCCCGACGAAAGAATGCGTGACTCTCTTTCGAAACTGTTGCAACATGGTGACCCCCATCACTTTCCACGTCATTCTCATCACTCATGAGAAATGTGGCTCCATATTGCATACAAACAGCTAGCAGGCTATCTACCAGTGGAGAAGGACGTCGTGTAACTTGATCTCTTTCCCATAAATACTCGTAGTAGATCCTGAAATCCGGTTCCACGATGATTGGATAGACGCAATGAAATGACTGCCAGAGCAGATCAAGAAAATATTGCTCTTGAGCCCGGGACAAGGTATTCGGCTCCATCTTCTCCGACGCATGGTGACATGTAGGCGGATAGTTCAGCCGGAAAGAACCAATCTGAAACGCCGACTCTAAGCCCTTGCTCACATTGGCCAGGAAGTGACTCATGCGAGCCCCGAAATACGAAGATGACAGTGGCCCATAATAGCCCGCCCCAGGTGTATCATGAATCTCCACACCTTTCCATTCTTTCAGTGAATATGAATCCAAGGGTCGTGAAACCTGACTTTGGAGAGGAAGCATATTGTCAGATTGAGGGGTTGCATATTGGCTGGGCGCCTGGTCCTGGGCGTGTCGGGCCTGTAGTTCCTTGATCGTATCTCGCAGTCGCTGAATTTCTCTATATTGGAGTTAACTCTGTTTGAGATGTGCCTGTGGGACTGTGACACACCTGGTCGCTGCGGGCAGCGTGAAATTTTCTGTACGCTTACCATTACTGCACTGTATTCCACGACTGCGGCAATTTTGACAAGGCTGAGAATCATCACACCTGGTTCGATTCAGTCGGCACCAGTCACATGCACGGGCGACCTGTCTACGTCTCCGTGAAGGTTTCTTTTTCTCTGGATCAGCCGCAAATGTAGAGAGCATGATTGATGTAAAGATCAAGTATTCTGCTGATGCTGCATGGCATGGCATGGCGCTAAGCGGTCAGATTGATTCGGGGTTAAACTAATCTAGTCATAGTCACTTAGCAATCTCCTGAACAGCCAACAAACTATGGACAGAATCCACCACACTCTCCGTGAGAGTTCTAAACTTCAACCCCAAAACCTCTCGACTTCGTGAGTTATCAAATCCATACACTCCATCCGCGGGATAATCCCCTGAAACGAGAGCCTCGCCCGCAGGCAATCGATCCCGGAATTCGGGGAATTCCTGACCGATAATCTCCGCAATCTCTTTGTTTGAAAAGTGACTCGACACGGTAAAGAATCGCTTTCCACCAGCTTCAGGTTTCTCGATCGCTAGAACATGAGCGAGACCCAGATCACGCACGTCGACGTAACCGTGGTTTCCAGTCGGTGGGCAGTGGTCCTTTGACGCGCCGTTTATAAAATCTCGAATACGCTCGTTGGAGGTATTTATGGTGCTGAGAGAGGCGAGTTGGTGGGCAATGGGACCTAGAACGAGAGGTGGGTTTATCACTGTCAAATCGAAGGATGACTTTTCTTTTTCCATAAAGTCCCATGCAGCTCGCTCCTGTGGTTTGTTAGTTGTCTTTCAACTATTACTAACGACTAGTAGACTTACAGCAAAAGTCTTGCTTGCTCTGTAGGCGTTTCCGGGATTCTGGTTGGCTTGTTCTATTGTGATGGGACACCAGTCGGCCTGAATGACCTAATTAGCGATCGCTAAGTAAAGACTGTAAGTTGAATCTTACCTCGGAATACACCTTCTCCTTACCGGCGGTGTAAATATTGTTGATAGCAGCGAATGAAGAAGTCACCACAACACGTTTAACAGACGGCGCATATTTCTGCACCGAAGAGAGAATACCCGTGGTTCCAATAATCGCTGGATCGAGAAGCTCTTTTGCATCCTTAGCATGGAAGTGATACGGGCTTGCGGTATGGATGACAGCATCGAATGGAGGCTCGGAGACAACAGCCTTGTCAAAGGCTATCGATTGAATTAGATCGATGATTAACGGTATATGTACAGGACATGCAGTTACCATCAGCCTGGCCTATATCTTCCACAATCGCACAATCTAACCTGTCTTTCTGTAACTCGGGGTGAGATTGGAGGATTCCTTGAGCTTTTTGCTGGGACCGGACGGTTGTGACAACAGAATGACCACGGGCGAGAAGTATCTCAATAATATGTGTAGCGATAAAACCGCTACCACCTGTGAGAAGAACGCGAGGCATTTTCAAGCACCTGGGTGTTAATGATAATTGTGATTTCCCACTTGATGTTTTTAAAGAGTAGACTGAGATTAATGAGTATCAATTGAGTGGAGAGTCGGTCGTTTAAGTATTCGTCTATCCTCATATGCGCAAAGAATCTATTCATACGCCAAGCCTGACTATACTACTGATTTGGACAAATTGACAGACTCGTATGAACTCCGACTCCGAAGCTCCGATTACTCCTTTCGGAAACATCAGCTTCGCTCCGCTCAACTTAATTACTTGGCTTTACTTTTTTTTTCCCACTTCGTTATCATTTTGTAGACCTCTGAGAGGCCGATTCAACTTTTTAACTAAGAGGTGATATTATTGGAGAGCAGTCTTCGTAATACTCCCTTCCATTCTGCCATGATCGAATTGTACCTACACAGCACATGTGATTAAGTGCATTGAATCATTGCAAACTACACTACACTGTGATCAAGATAAATGGACAGAATCAAGCAATCGGTTCTTTCTTTCCGAAAGCATCGTCAAGAATGAATCAAATCCAATCCAATACCTTCACTAATGGCGATGACAGGAACGGAAAGGAAGATGTACATGAGGCTGGAACAGACGGGAATTATTGGGTAATCGGGATGCAAGAGGCCGCCCAGTCCCCAGTCGCATCGCAAGATGGGAGAGGAAATAACAAAAGGAAAATGGGTCATTCGGAAAGAAAGGCATCATGGCAAAAGAGAGATATGTGTGGGATGATATGTGCAAAGGGATGGAAATGAATCAAGGTTTATTTGGAGGTCAAATAGTCGGCAGCCTGGAATTGTTAGTTAGAAGTCGCTTAAGCCAGGGGTTGAAAGCTTACCTTGTCAAGGTTATAGTCAAACTTCTCCAAAGCTCCGAGGGATTCCTCCCGAGGGAAGCCCATGCCAGTTAATCGCTGGAGAATCAGATCATCTTCGCCGGTGTCGGTATTGAGGGCCCAACCAGGCTTCTTGGGGTCGAACGTGCTGGCTCCTTCCTCAGTGGCAGGCTTCGCATTATCAAGAGGTGCGAAGAGAGTGTCCCAGTCATGGTTGGAAGTGCCTCCATTGGCAGATTCTGTAGGCACAGCTGCAGGGGCATTGTCGTCGAAAGAGAAGAATTCAGATGAGCCAGTGTGGCCAGCATCTGTACTGGATGTGGCTTCATGTTTAGCGTGAGACGGGGAGTCAAAGGAAAAGTCAAAGTCGGTGTTCTTATCGTGACCCTCAGGCTCATCGTCGTCATCGTCTGCTTCCTCGGCGGGTGCCAAATTAAGGCCAGCGAAGGCAGCATCAAAGTCAGGGGCGCTTGTCTTCACCTCACTGGAAGCGCTAGCATCTGGGGCTGAGGCTGGAGAAACCATCTCCCGCTGGGGCTCGTTGTCAATGATCGGTGCGCCGGTCGCAGACTCGACAGAGTGAGGAGCATCGGGTGCGGCAGTAGGGTCCGACCGGACGGGCAGCAAGCCATTGTATTCAGGAGCATCGTTAGTGTTGTTTTCATACTGGGGAGGGCTGGCCTGAGCATCCGCGGCAGGGGGTTGGCCTGACGCCCCAGCGGTTCCCGGAGACGGGAAGGCAGCAAGTTGAGCGGCATCAATAGAATCAGCTGGCTTGCCCTTTGTACCTGACGGTGCTACAGGGGTGAAGTTATCATCAAACCCCAAAGGGCCCTCGTCGTCCGAGCTGTCCTCTTCCTCTTCATCATCGTGATGGAGCTCCTGAATGGGTGGGAATTCTGAGCCGGCGGCAGCAGTTGCTGGCCCGCCTGCGATGTTACTGGCGGGCTTCATAGCTGCAAAAGCTTCCTCGAAGTCATTCTCCTTCTGGGATTCAGACCGCTTGTGCGCCTTGCTGCCAAACAACTCATCGAAAGACAGGTCCTTTGGCGGCTCCTGGCTCTCTGCGCTAAGTGGAGAAGTGGCCGATGGTTCAGCCACAGTGGCAGCGGCCTCATTAGCCGGGGGCATCTCCTCGAAAGGAGAACGCGCCGGTGTGGCTTCGGCGGTTGAGCCAGCCGCTTGGCTATAGTCACTCGACGCTGTCACTGACGGAGCGCCAAATTCACTGGCTGTCGCCTGAGAAGGTGTTCCAAAGCCCGAGGTGTCTTGGCCATATCTGCTAGCAGGGGGAGACACCATGGTGGACGAGGTCACAGACTGGTTTTCATTAAATGGCAGAAAGTTTGGGGTGAGTTGACGGGACAGAGGAGGGGCGGGGGGCTCAGGGAAAGCTCCTGGCAGAGATCCAGGCATGGATCCAGGAGCAGGAGACGCAGATGGAGTTGGGACATTCGAGGTAACCGGTGATTTGGCCCTCGCCAACGGAGACTCGGCACGGAAAGAGGTCGGCGGCGGTCCGGCACTCGTGGGACTGGCAAATGTCTGACCAAAGAGACTGTCAAACGCTTTCTGCTGATCGCTGCCAGAGTCAGGCGAACGAGCGCGATCGCTTGAGGTGCCTGTCACAGTGCGACGGAAGAAGGGATTGGTATTCTGGCTGGTGGTAGAAGCAGCAGGACTAGCAACCTCAGCAACACTACTGGCGGGTGTCACATCCTCTGTATACTGTGGAGTCTCTCGCGCCAAGTCGTCAATTTCGGCCTGGACCTTGTCGCGTTCACCCTCCACGGTGGATAGCTGCTTCTTGTTAATTGCAACTAGTCCCTTCTGCTGTCGGGCATCTGAGCGTGCCTTTTCAAGAGCCGGCTTGAGCTGAGCGACCTCTGCATTTGCCTGCCGAATCTTCTCCTTCAGACTAGCATTCTCCTGCTGGTCAGAAGCCAGTGCGGTGGAAACCTGTTGGTACTGATTCGCCAAATCCTGGCGACCTCCCTCAATCAGGGCGTACTCTTGAGATAACTTGATGGTCTCAGCCTTTGACGTCTTCAATCGCTCTTCTAGGGCTTTGAAGCTCGCCAGCTCCTGTTCGTACATAGTACGTGCTTGCGCAAGCCGGGTCTCGAAATCCCGCTTTTGCTGCGAAGTCTGGGTCATGCTCTGTTCAGCAGTAGTGCGCTTCTGTTGAACATTGTGCATCTCCTTAGAAAGCGATCCGATTTGGTTTGACAAGTTCGCCAGCTCCATAGTCTCCTGTGTCAATTTCTTGGATTCCTCCGGATCGTTATCTCCCAGTAAATCGTCGGATGGTGGTGGAGGCGAACGAATTGAACCCGGGTGTCCAGAAGACGCCCCGGTCGATTGGGGTTGCAGACTTTGACCAAAGGATGATGTCGGGACAAACGGCTTGAAAGTTGTGGATGCCGTTGGCGGGGAAGCCCTTGAAGACGGAGAGGCAGGTGTGTGCCATGCGCTTGCAGAGCCACCGGTAGACTGAGGCATCTGAAGCTGGGCAGGAGCAGGCGCGGGAGGCGAATCCAAACCGAACAAGTCATCTGCAGCAGATCGTGGCAAGGGTGCAGGTGCAGGTAAAGGTGCAGGTGCAGGTGCAGGGGCTGCCATTGGAGCCGGAGCAGGAGCTTGGCGTCGCATGTTAGGCGGAATCAGAGCGGGAGGAAGCACTTGTGGTAGAGGCTCCTTTCCGCCACGCTGCAATCTCACCAAATACATAGCCACGGCGAACTCCTCTCGCGTTAACTGACCATCAGCATCGATATCAGCAAGGTCCCAGATTTGGGCAAGGACCTCTTCTGCTAGTTGCGCCTTCATGAAGAATCCCACGGCTTGATCACCAGTAATAAGTCCACGCTTAGCGGTATCAACGGTCTCAAATATCCCATCAAAGTGCATCTTCTCCTGCGGGGAAATCAGCCAATCTCCACCTGTTGCCTGGGCGGACAATTGACCTCCGAACTGCGGGACAGGAGCAGGGCCCAAGGGGCTTGCAGTTCGCTGAGAGCCAGTAAATTGCCTGGGGATTGACGGAACTGGTGGAACTTCTGGCCGAGCACCAAAGGATGACCTAGCAGCGCCCCTACGAGACGCCGCTTCATATAATCCAGGCGGTAGAGTCTGCGGAATACCACGCAATACACCGGACTTGAACGACGTTAGAAGATGCATGGCGATAACGAATTCCGTGGCATCCAGAGCACCGCGCTGCTGTGTGTCGGAAAGATTCCATATACGACCCAAAATCTCATTGGGTAATCTTGCGCGCTCAAAGATTTGCTTAGCAATGTCGCCTAAATTTATATGAGCAACTGTTTCGACTGGGATCTGTTATGGATCGAGAGTTATACATACCCGACATAATGCCATTCACGACCTCAGACTTGTCAAAGAGAGAAACGAATTTGTTGACATCATCGGGCTGCAGCGGAGGGACGCGAATAGGGCCAGATGCACCCGGTGGAGGGCTCGCGGGGCTCGGCTCCGGTACAGGAGCTGTGTTGTCGACTGCGATTCCATCAAATCGGGGCAGCGGGCCGGCTATTGTTGAATGGCAGTCAGCAGAGGGTCTCGGGAATTTGAGAAGCTCCAAGTAACTTCAGGGGTACATACGCTGCAAAGCTAGCTCAGCAGATGGTGTACGGCCAGCTTGGGCGTGTCCAATTAATCGAAGAACAACCCCAAATCCAGCTGGAGTCAGAAGACCCCTGTTCTCTCTGTCCGCAATCTGCCAGATCTATAGTGGCTTGTCAGTCTGCCAATCCAATGCCATATAACAGCTTTTAGAGCATACCTCTCCAAGAACACCGCCAGGGAGATGTGTCTTCTCGAAGAATGGAACTGCGATCTCGCCGGTGATAACGCCGAGGTTGGTGGTATCGGCGGCCTGGAATAGTTGGTAAAAGACGCGCTTTTCCTCGGCTGTAAGATTCAGATTCGGATGTCGCTGTGCTATATGAAAAAAAAAAAATTGCACACGTCAGTTCCTCGAAATCGCGTTAATGTGTTAAGGTGTACAGGGGAGGGGGTAAATGCGGGAAGCTCCGTGGACCTCCTGGCTTGCGCCAAGGTCCGCCATTGAATTCACGGTGTTACAGGTGTGATAGAGTGGAAGGCTCACCGGTTTCAGCCATAGCTGTGGTTGTGGAGGAGCGGACCCCCTCTCCGTGTCGATAGGATGCGAATAGCTTGGGTGCCTGGGAGGACAAGCTGGGGAAACGGGTGACGTCGGTTTAGCCGGAAGATGCCACGAGCATGGATCGAGGCTTAGATTTTGTATTTCGGGGTTGCAGTGACAGAGAAGACAGGTCGAGGAATAATCTCTGAAATAAGAGAACGGATTGTTCCGGTGGTGGAATGGGTTTACAGAGAGGCTGGAGTCAATGTCGTAAGAAGGTACCCCCCAAGGCGGTCAGTTGGTTAGCGCCCATTCCAGGGTCTCACGCAGGTACCTCCTATTACATATCAGATGAACATCCTTCAAATAACTAGACACTATCGGGAATTATCTGATAAAAATCAACATATGGGTGCTAGCCTAATTGCAAACAGGCTACTAATTTCGCCTTAAAACCAATCGCTCTAGAAGGCAACTATTTGCAACTAACATCTCCAATGCCCAGTCCCAATTGTCTACGCAGTCCGGCAGTAAACACAACCGGCCATGATGATACTAGCAAAGCCATTAGTTTAAGAAAAATGAAAAGGTTTTTTTGGTTTTTTTTGTAATTACAATTTGTGTATAATCCCAGAATAGGGTTAGAACGAGCGGAAAACACGCTGCTTCGGGGATATTAAAGATATATCGAACAACAAAGCCAGAAAACACATTCATCGGACTGTAAAACCTATGTTCCCTGTGTATTTGCAAAGAAAGCCCAGTAGATTCAGGAAAGCCGATCTTTCAAGGTAAGAGCTGATATGCCAAAATGTTTTGCATGGCACCAGTCCAATGCCTCCGGTACGGTCATATAGCATCCCTAATCTAGTACTCGGGCTCAACATCCTCCTCCTCGATGGAGTCGCTAGCAACCTCCTCGTAATCCCGCTCGAGAGCAGCCAAGTCCTCACGAGCCTCGGAGAACTCACCCTCCTCCATACCCTCACCAACGTACCAGTGAACGAAGGCACGCTTGGAGTACATGAGGTCGAACTTGTGGTCGAGAGCGGACCAGGCCTCGGCGATGGCGGTGGTGTTGGACAGCATGCAACTGCACATAGATTAGTAAAAAGTCTTCGATTCTCGGGTGGACAACTTACACAGCACGGCTGAGGTTGGCAAGGTCGCCGTTGGGGACCTGCTGGGGAGGCTGGTAGCAGATACCGAGCTTGAAACCAGTAGGGCACCAGTCGACGAACTGAATGGTGCGCTTGGTCTTGAGCTGAGCAACAGCGGCGTGGGCGTCCTTGGGGACGACATCACCACGGTACAGCAGGCAGGTAGCCATGTACTTGCCGTTGCGGGGGTCACACTTGACCATCTGGTTGTTGGGCTCGAAGCAGTTGGTGGTGATCTCAGTGACGGAGTGGGCCTCGTGGGAAGCCTTGTCGGCGGAGATGACGGGAGAGTAGGCGACCAGAGGGAAGTGAATACGGGGGTAGGGGACCAGGTTAGTCTGGAACTCGTTCAGGTCGACGTTGAGGGAACCGTCGAAACGGAGCGAAGCAGTGATGGAGGAAACAACCTGGGCGATCAGGCGGTTCAGGTTCTCGTAGCTGGGGCGCTCAATGCCGAGGTTGCGGCGGCAGATGTCGTAGATGGCCTCGTTGTCGACCATGAAGGAACAGTCGGAGTGCTCCAGGGTGGTGTGGGTGGTAAGGATGGAGTTGTAGGGCTCAACAACGGAGGTGGCGTTCTGGGGAGCAGGGTAGACACAGAACTCAAGCTTGGACTTCTTGCCGTAGTCGACGGACAGACGCTCCATCAGGAGAGCACCGAAACCGGAACCGGTACCACCACCGAAGGAGTGGAAGACCAAGAAACCTTGGAGACCAGCACAGGCATCGGCCACACGGCGGACCTTGTCGAGAACCTGATCAATCATCTCCTTACCAACGGTGTAGTGACCACGGGCGTAGTTGTTGGAGGCATCCTCCTTGCCGGTAATCATCTGTTCGGGGTGGAAGAGCGAACGGTAGGTACCGGTGCGAACCTCGTCGACGACATTGGGCTCGAGATCGGCGTAGATAGTACGGGGAACGTAGCGGCCCTTGTCTGTAAGGTAAGAATAAAACGTTAGACCATCACAAACAAAGGATTTAAGGCGGGGATTAGCGCGCTTTGGCTGGCCCCTCCTAAAGGCAGAAAAACTGGGTATACGCACCAGTCTCGGAGAAGAAAGTGCTGAAGCCGTGGTCGGGCTCGGCCTTCTTGCGCTCCTCAGTGAGGTATCCATCAGGCTATCACCAATGTTAGTCGCGGGTACTAGCTTTCCTCCCAAGAAAAGGGGGCATGTTGCTCAATTCGAGATTGGGCGCCACCATCAGATTAGAAATTCAACGTACCTGGATGCCGTGCTCCAGACAGTAAAGCTATACAGTTTTATAGTCAGTTCACCGCATATTGGGGCCACAATGGATATGATATGTTACCTCCCAGCAGGAGTTGGCGATCTGGCAACCGGCCTGACCGACTATACGACATCAACAAGTTAGCGCGTCATTTCCATCGGGAAAAAAAAGATTTCCTGTAGAAATTGCCGGCTGATTTCAGCACCTACCGTTCAAACTGATGATCTCTCTCATTGTGTTGGCGGTGTTTTCACGGTGTCAAAAAATTAAGGAGGGGGAGAAAGACCCAACAACAAACACGGGTCTGCCGACTCAGGGGTTAGTTCAAAAGTATAAATTGGGCGAATTAACCTAGAAAGGGGGAGGGGGAGGGGTCGAAGGGTGACCTGAGGACTAACTCACCAGGAATGGGAGGAATGGAGATCGAGTCGAGAAGAAGGAAGAACAGAAATGTTGTGGAGTGAAGGCGTCTGTGCTGTTAACAGGGGGGAGTTCGTTGTTGATCCAGTCGTTGGGTCGCGTCAAGCCCGCTGATTGGTCGCGGCCCGCCTTCCCGCTGTGAGCTTCACCGCCTGTTTAAGGTCACGTGCTTTGGCCTTGACCGACATTACATCAGCCTCGGATAGGAGCTTGCAACAAAGGACAGTGCTTTACCGCCTTCTTTTCTAAACCTAGCCCCCTCTTTTCCTTGGCTTTCGATTCGAAGGAGATATGAACTGCTGGCAGAATGCTGGGCGGTGTCTTGGAGCTAGTATCTATCCCGCCATGCTAAGTCTTTCCACGTGTATATACGCTCAATTAGCTTCTCATCATGGATATTTCACTGGCAGATATACTTCCACCATACTCCAAAACTCGACCAATCCACACTTCTCGATTGATTCTTCGACCATTTCAATGGACCGACCTACAAGCCGTGCACGAGCTTCGTACACGCCCAGAGGTCATGCAATGGACCAGCCAAGTCCAAATAGACAGCTCTATACAACAAACGCGTACATGGATGGAAAGATACATAAACGACAATGAAACTTCACGACAAAATTTCAACTTCATCGTCACTGTCCAACCCGATAATCCGGATAAATTCTCGCCCAATTCTTTTCTGGAAGATAAGAGCGCACTCATTGGTGTATGTGGTCTGGTCGCCTGGGACGACTCTCAGAAGTATCCATTACCTCTCTTTGGATATATGTTCTTGCCGGAAACTTGGGGCAAGGGATATGCTACCGAGGCTGCTCTTGGGTTTCAGCAGGAATGGAAGCGGCTGATTGACTTTGGTCTACAAGCTCGCTCTATTGACAATCAATCAAGGCTGGATTTGTACGACTTGTATGCTGTTACTCTCGAGACTAATGTTCCGAGTGCGAATGTTTTGCGGAAGTGCGGTTGGTGTACATATGAGGCTGCCGATGAGGGGAACCAAAAGACTCTGAAATGGATTCTACGAGATAGACCTGTCAGCTTTGCTCCTTGATTCTGGATGAGGATACCTGGAGCTCTCTTATATATCATTAAATGTTTGATGTAATTACAAATAGCCAATATTAGAAGTACATACTGTCCGAGCCTATCATATCATGTCCATGGCCCCTATCCGGGTTTTGCCCATTCTTTCAAATCGTACCTCCCTCCTGACGCTTCCTCACCGCCTAGGCCACTCGACCCAATAGACACGAACCAACTACATCCCGTCAAAATATATCTCCAGTTACATGTACCAGAATCCCAACGCAAACAATGACACCTAAATAAACTCAACCTGAATCCTACAACCTTGGAAGTCTTGAATCACCGCCAAGGAAATATCATTGAAAATCATTAAGAAAGGTTATTGATTCCTCATCGGTGTTCATCATGCACCACATCACCATCTTAGGACTTATATTCCTCCTCACAAACATTGTCCGCGCAAACGTGGAGAAAACAATCTTCCTCGCTCCAGCAGCAGTCACTTTTCCATCAAGAGAGGCAGCTCTAGATGACCTCGGTCTAGAACGGCTCTCACCAGAGAACCACATCGTGCGAGCACAGCTCAATGCTTCGTTCCCTACCACCGAGGCACCGGAGGGTACGGAGTCGTGGTTCTTTCTTGAGAATTTGAAGCCTGGTCAGCGGTACGAGGTGAGGGTATGTTGGTTAGCTACGGTAAGAACCCCATCCTACCTAGTTTCCAACCGGAGCCTGAAGTTTCAAATGCTTCGTCTGCATTACATTATACACGCATGGAATTATTGCATTTAAATGGAAAATTGAAAAAAACGGAATACGTCAGAATGAGAAAAATGCTAATTCATCCAGCAACCTACATCTTTCAAACTCTCAACACATTCCCTCTCAACGACAATAGAGGACAAATCCCTCTTCTCATCTCTAAGCATCTTCTCCACAGCCCGTCTCGCAGCACTAGACACGCAACTCCAAGAAAATGCTGCACGCAGCGCATCAAGTCGCAAGAGAGGAGAAACATCCCCAGATACAGCGCTAACGACGGACTCGGTGCTGTTTCTGCGAGTCCAGGCTGCGGCAGACTATTTTAGTCATAAGGAGTCTTTGATGAAGACTGTGCCGGCTGTTTCTGTGGATTTGATTTTGGATCCATTCTTGTGGAATGTTTTCCCTAGGTCGCTTGTTTGGACTGCGGGGTGGATTGCTGTTGTTGCTGTTACTGCTGGGCTTGTGGCGAAGTGGATTGGTGGGGAGATTGGGGGGTTGATTGAGGGAACGAGGAAGCTTAGGGATAAGGATGATGGTGCGGATAAGAAGGAGCAGTAAAGGGGTAGGTACAAATTTCGATCCAGTCTTTATTGTTGGTTATGTATAGTAGTCTTTACAAACGTGGGCATGGGTTATTAATAGTAGGCATGTATTGCATTTCCATTAATACTGAATAGATAATAGGAGATACATGTAGCGGATAAGTACAGGAGGGGATATACTTCATCAAGCATTGTGTAACGAACAAGGGGCGCCAGAAACAAAAAGCACGAAAATTTAAGTAGGTCCAGCGCTCGAGAAATTCATTCTTGCGCTTTACTCTATGTCATCTTCAAATCTTGATTGAGATTCGTAGCGCAGATGGTGCTTTTGAATCTCAAAGCTAGCCAATTAGTTGCAGTCATAAATGTGAGCATTAAATCGTACTTCTCATAGTAATGCATCCAAGTGACAGGTCATGGATGGCTTAATCTTCGAAGAAGTTCAGAATAGCACGGATACCCTTGGAACCAAGGCCGTGCGATGGGTAAGCGATGTAGAGAGGATCCTCAACGGCACCAAGTTTGGCGCGGAACTCACTCTTACGCACAAGGTGGAATTGCTTGGCGAGAGCTTCGTAAGTGTGCTCCAGCATCTTGATCTTGGTGCCATGCAGGTTGTGGCCTGGAGTCATGCGGGCGGTAGCACCAGCACCGAAGGTAAGACCCTTGACGTTCGCCTTGGCAGCGGTCTGGATGGCATGAGTGACAATGTACTCGATGACACCATTGGGGGCACCGGGGAAGTCCAAGCTGTACTTGACTTGCATGCCATGAGCGGGGGAGATCATGACCAGCGCAACGAAGGCACAGATTTTGCCTTCTTTGTCCTGGGCGTAGAAGTACCAGCGGTGCTCCGAGTCACACCATGGCCGGATCTCCGACAAGTGAACCTGCGTGCCCTTGCGATTTGCAAGCCACTCCTGGATACGTCCGTCAATTTGGTTGCGCACCTCTTCGCTGGGAAGCTCGCCCAGGTTGAAACCGACAATCTTGATGCCTTCAGACTCGGCTTTACGCAGCTTGCGGCCAAGCTCTCCGTCAGATGCAGCCTGGTTGCGTTGAGGATCAACACGCTCCTCGGCAATACAGGACAGACTGCGCCATCCCAATCGCTCGCCGAGGATGGTCTCCACTTCAGGAGAGCAGAGAATCCAGACAGGCTTGTACTTGGTCTCGCGGCGAAGCCACTGGAGGAATTGTGTGATGGTACGAGTGTACTGACTGGGATCACACGCTGGGTTACCAGGGACAATCACAAAGTTGCTGGTGCTAGGTACATAGGCGACGGCGGCACCTGTGCTCATATCACGCCAAATCTTGTATCGGTCATCGAACCAAGACGTCGAGGTTGCGTCACCGTAGTTGGCAACAATGTTCTCCAAGGGTGGCAGCTCATCAACGCTTGAGGCAACGCGACGGTGGTGGTCTCGCAGCCAAACCGGCTCAGTTGTTGATGCTTCAGGGTGGCGAAGGGTCTGCACTGGAGGCTTGGCAGGCAGACTCTTCGGGTCACGGTGGAACATGGAGGTCAGTCGAATGTTACCCACCTGAAGGAGAAGCATCAGCAAACGCTCCAGGCCAACACCTGCACCGGCGTGAGGCGGTGCACCCCAGCGGAAGGCTTCGAGATACTCCTCCATGTCATCTGGGTTAATTCCCACGGCGCGCATGTTCTCCTCGAGCATGTGGGGATCGTGGATACGCTGACCTCCAGACACGATCTCCTGTCCACGAATGAACATGTCAAAGGAGTTGGTGTATTTATCGTCTTCTGGGTCAGGCATAGTATAGAAGGGGCGAGCTCCACGGGGGAACTTGTCAAGAATGTAGTAATCAGTATCATATTTCTCCTTGACCAATTGACCAAGGCGAATCTCGTCGCGAGTCGCCAGGTCCTCGTCAAGGGGCAATTCGTTGCCATGCTCGTCACGCCAGCCCGAGTCATTGAGCATCTTGATGCCATCAGCGAAGCGAATCACGGGTGTTGTCTCCAACCACTTGACATCCTCTGATGGAAACTGGTGCTTGACGATGTCAATCTCTCGGCGATATTTAGTGTAAACACCCTGGAGGATATTCTTAATGGTGGCATCAATGGTCTCAAGCATCTCATGGTAGTGCTCTTCAATAGCCATTTCAATATCAAGACCTGTGTATTCGGTCAAGTGGCGGTGGGTGTTGGAGTTCTCGGCACGGAAGACAGCACCAATCTCGTAGACGCGACCGAAATCAGCCGCAATGGCCATCTGCTTAGCAAGCTGGGGCGACTGGGCCAAGAATGCTGGGCGATTAAAGTAATTGACCTGGAAAACACTAGCGCCGGACTCGGTGGCGGCGCCCTGGAGCTTGGGGGTGTGGATCTCGATGAACCCTCGTTCATCCAATGCACTGCGGAAGAGATTGCAAGTGGCCGACTGGAGGCGGAAGATACCTTGCGAGGTTGCTGTCCGTAGGTCAAGCAAACGGTTGGTCAACCGGGTCCGGTCAGGGATATGACTGCGACGGCCCTCGATCTTGTCCTCCTCGTTGGTCCGGATCTCCGCCTCGTAAACACTGAAAGGCACTGGCTCCTCGCGCTTGACGAGCAGATGCACCGAATCAATGGCCAACTCGACATCATGGATACTGCAGCCAAGAACGGGGACCTCTGGCTTCTGCAGCTTACCGCGAACCCGGACGAACGATCCCACCCGCAGGTGTTCCGCCCATTGGACCATGGCGAGGGAGGAGATGCCCGCACGTTCGTGCAGGACACCCTGGAAGGTGCTCAGCTGCTGGCGGAACACCAAGAAGACCAACTTGGCGCTCATACGACGAACCACGTGGAGTCGAGCCGTGAAGAAGATATCCTGGCCGACCATTTCCGCTGTAATATCATCCAGTGGGACGCGCACCTCCCGCAGTCGGTCCTGCGACTGCATCAAGGGCAGCTCGCCATATCTGGCCTTCATCTCTGGTGTCTCGTCCGCAGCAGCCTTGGCAATCTCTTCTTCCTTTCGGTTATGATCCGCTTCCGAGAAGGCCTCCTCGCTGAGACGACTCCGCTCTGAGCGTCGCTGCTCGCGTACTAATCGCTTCTGTTGGTTCTTACTCAACGCCCCGGAGGAGGAATCATCGGAAAAGTCCTCGGAAGATGAAACATAGTCCCGATCGCGGAAGAAGTTGCCCAGAATACTGCGGCGTGGGGAGGCAGTGGGCGAACCCTCATCGCGGGACAGGGAGATTCGGGGGAGGCTGGTACGAACGTTGGAGCCGGAAGAGTCATCGTTCTCTCCGCGCCCTCGAATGGCCTTAGAAAGGGCCCTTTTGATCGACATGGTAGGCAATGTGGTAATGTGTGTAAGAAAAGAAAAAAAAAAGTAAGAAATGGGGGGCAGGGTCGAAGTATATGAGTGGACCGAATTCCCAGATGTGGGGGGAGTCAGCACCGAAGGAGGGGAAACTGCAGGCGGGTGGTGGGCGATTCGTGCAATCACTTGCCCCGACCAAACCAATCAATTGAAGCTTATCAACAAAAGAAATGCCGCGCGGATCCGAGAAATATGGAATGGAACAGAGAGACGCAAGATGTGAGAAAAGGGAAATATATGGCGATATGGGGATATAAGGCCAAGCTAACTAATAACATGACATCATCATCAAGCCGAATTCCGGATTACATTCACCAATCTCACCAGGTTTAATCAAGAATAATTCTTTATCTTATGATGATGGAGGGAATGGTTTTTTTGGTTTTGCTTTCATTTAGTTTCTATATTCATATTTTTAATTCCTTAGTAAATAATTTCAAAACTTCCTTACTGTGCAGTTTTTACTCCTGATCATATGTTATCCTGATTCCTTGTTATCTTTTTGCCACCAGGAACAAGGTGAACAGATTCGACCTCTCGGCAACTCTTCCTTTTACATTCCTTACCTTGAGCCATGTGCTATTCTCCATCATTTATCCATTAATTTTTGTATCCTTGTATCCGGAGAACTGTCTGGGTTTTTTCTCATCATTCCCCCCCCCCCCCCCCCCCCCCTTTCTCTTTCTCTATGGCTTCATCCCGTCAGTGGCTATATTTTCAAGCCATCATTTGGCGATTCCTAATGCGCATTGGAATGATCCTGCATGATATCGCTCCTCCACGTGTCTCAAAACCTCGCTTCACCCGCACCGTCGAAACCGATACTCAAGGCCACTCCGTTGTCATCCATTTTTACTGCCCACCAGACTACGAACAAAAACGCCGACAAGGTCACCGCTTTCCTGTTTGCGTCAACTTCCATGGCGGAGGATTTACCCTTGGATGCGCTACCGATGATTCCCGCTGGGCCGACGCCGTGGTGAAAGAAGTTGATGCAGTCGTGGCCAGTGTGAGTTATCGACGGGCCCCAGAACACCCTTTTCCCGCGGCGGTTGACGACGGCGTCGACGCACTGCTTTACCTAGCCACCCATGCCACTGATCTGGGCTTAGACGTGAGCCGTCTGGCTCTGAGCGGATTCTCGGCGGGCGGCAATCTGGCTGTTACGGTTCCGCTGCGACTCCGCGAGCGACTCCACACCGAGATCAAGGAACGTTTTGGCAGGGCGGATTCCACACAACGGTTGGTGGATCAAATCGGTGAGCTTCGGGTTGTCGCCCTTTTCAGCTGGTATCCCATTCTGGACTTCTTAGAGTCCCGTGACCATCGTCGGATGACGAGTCTCATGCCAAACGAGACTCTTCCGGCCTTCTTCACCACTCTCTTCGATGAGTCGTATGTTCCCAATCTAGAGGATCGGACTTCCCCTTATGCATCGCCCGTACGCGCCTCCGACCGGATGCTGGATGAAGCCTTGCCGCACGATATCTTCTTGTATATATGCGAATGGGATATGTTGATGAAAGAGGGCCAGACTTTTGTCCGCCGCTTAGAAGGTCTTGGGAAGCGTGTTCGTGCTATGATGATTGAGAAGGCCCGCCATGCTTGGGATAAGTCAGCCAACCCTTTCCGCGACCAGGGTAGCGTAGACGTTCTGTATCGTGACGCATGCGCTGACATGAAGGCGATTTTCGGTCGGTGATTCGATTTGCTCTAGATAGATTGCATGTTTTTGACTGCCAGTTTTGGTTAGCGTTCATGAGCATCCACGGCGTCTTGTGCCCGGGGCACAAATTCATCCTTTATTGCAAATCCATTTCACTTCAGTCAATTCTTATCAAAAGTAAACTTCCCCTCGTAACCTTTGGAAAGGCTCATAAATGAGTCATAAATGAGAAGTCCGCCACAAGCTGCACCTCGTATATGACGACTTCGTGTCCAAGTGCATAAGTGCATAACTAATCAAGCATAATCCTCGCTTTATGCAAAAAATAGACATTCATATCATTGGCTGGTCTGACCTCCCAGGAATGATATAAGGCCGATCGGCAGATCCGCACCAACATGTCTCCACATGCCTTCACATTGACGCACATGTAGGCTGTCCCCGAGTTCAAGTGATGTCATTGGGCACTTGGACGAAAACCCAAATTTGTGATCTACTACTGCAGGGCTGAATTGGTCTGCCAAGAATTCCAATCAAGGCACAGTTGGAACTCTGCTAAACGTTCGTCAACATTGCGTTTGTTTGAGAATCTTGATATTTATCAGATTTAACTTTGAATTGATTGCTTATTCCCTCTAATTTCTTACAGGCTTTCGTTAGAGGGGATTGAATATCAAGATTCTTGGGAATTGCTCCACTTAGTCCCTGAATTACTCTTATACATCCTGCCTAACCCGATCAGGAACATATGTACCCATAGGTCATGGCTTCGAGTCAACTACCCAAATCAATTCCCTATAGCCTACCTAGGTAGAATCAAGTGTATCTACCCCAGTATCTACTTCAGCACCTACCCTAGCACCTACGCGTTCAGCTGCGGTGGATTATTCAAGGATATTGAAGATAAACATACATAAATGAAAAATGCGAATCGAAAACGAACATTTGGAAGTTTGATATTGTAGGGTGCCACTGAATTCGGAGCTATGAGTATGTTCTTGCGTATGGGGTAAGGGTGTACAAGAGTAATTTGGGGGGTACGTGGAGAAATTGCCAGATTCTTGTTTCAGGTCTCTTTCATACCCAGTCGAGATTTAAACCCAAAGGATCTACCCGAGTCAAATGCGGAATACCAGGAATGAATCACAATTGATGATTAGGATATGACAATATCTGAGTATTTGCTATACTGCCTTTTTCATGAATCCTGATCTAGATTTCTTTGCGAATGACTCCATGTGTTGCCCTCGATATCCATCTGTAGAAGCAAGACTTTAGAACTAGTTGGCTAAAGATATTTATATTGTTCCGTTCCATTTGCTCTCTCTTTGATGGAGGCTTGGCAGGTCTTCTTTCACTGACCATGTCCATGATTGACGATAGATGCGGCATAGGTACATCCCCTCCATAAGTCAGGACATGGTTTAGGAAGGGGGTACGGGCATTTGTAGAAAGTCGAGCGATGACATCTTCTTCCGTTCGTGGTCTGAATGATCCATTTGCTGGGCACTGATCCACTCACTACCTTGCGAACCTGCCGGAGACTTGGGTGAAGCCAGAGCTACAATACGTAAATTTTGGATTAATAAAAATACATTCGGATTAGGAGGGGTAGTGCGACTAGGGTCAGTCACCAAAGATCGACCAAAACATTCCAGATGGGAAAGTATCAGGCATTGGGGGGTGTGGTATTCGGGTCGGGGGGAAGCGAGCACAATACGCTCGTGTTGGCGGCGATTTGGAATGCCGTTTCGATCTCGAACATATAGCTCAGCGAAGCCTGAAACAGCCCTTGTTGATTGGTGTAAAGACCAGATCGGGATCACGACTGCTTTAATGATGCCATCACCACCAACCAGTAACAGATTCATATCTTCCAATAGCTCATAGTTGGATTCGGACCACCCTTCCGATGACAAATGAGGGGAGTATGTCTCTTGTTGTTTATATGAAAAGAATTTAGTGGAAAATCTGAGGACTAATTTTACCATAGAGTTCTTATCAGGACTGCAACCTGTGGATCTTAATGTCCGGGACTGGTAGTCTCAGTAGTGAGTTCACTTGTGCGCTCGCTTTGCCCGCAGAACCTACACTTCCATGGGTTCCCCGGTATCTAGGATGTTGAAATTTCTCATAATCGCATCACGCTAGCCTGACTCAGGACTCGCCAGTCGCAAAGGCAGCCGCGCCACCTGCCAACGTGAGAGCCACTACTTCACGGAAACGGAGACTAAACAACGCCGAAAGGGCTAAGGAAGTAGAAGAAGGCTCAGCTATATGAATATTCTTGGCAGCGATTCAACCTACGCCAGGTCAGCACCGAGGAAAGAAGGAAAGGGACCTGCCGACGAAGTTTAAATTCATGGATGCAGCCACCCGAAGCATTGCATCAATGACATGATGAAATCCTTCGGCTATTTTTTTTTTCACACTTGAGATTTGCGTGCAGTTCAAAGCGGTGTTCACGGCAGATGGGCACTTAAGAAATCGTTGGAACACCTAGCCGACCGCACGAACGCGCAAGGATGACCCTCATTCTCAGATGTGGAGAAGACATCGATCATCAGACAATGGGCATTACGAAAGGTGACTCGAGCACCAGGGCTTACAAGTGTTATGACCGCATTCGCACGAATGAACCTTATAGCTGGCGTTATGTTTTATTATAATGATAAAGATTTCCATTTCTGGCTAGAGCTATGGGAGCACAAATCGTGCAAGCAAATCGAATCATATGCTCCAGTAGGTTCCATGCACGCTCAAAAAGATGGCTTGAGGCATTGAAATGGTATCGCGAACTTTTGTACCAGAAATTTTCAGACAATATCCCAAACGCCACGCTAAAAGAACAGAATGTAGGGCAAGGTAGATCTAGATCTAGTGCTAGATGCTGTGCAAATGAAACAGAGGTATGGGCCCCCGCGTATCGATAGCAAGGGGATTTTCACTCCTCGTCAGTTGCTGTGACGTCGTCATCATCGTCATCGTCATCATCGGCGTCACTGTCTGAGTCGTCCTCATCGTCTAGACCTGGCACACCGCGCCACTCGACATAGTCACCTTCCAGCCAGCGTCGGCTGCGGGGGAGGTGGTACGGATCGAATGGGAAGTAGGCATCAAGTTGATGGCCAAGATGATCACTAGCGCGAGTCTCACGCTCGACGTGGCCATGAGTGGCGATGCTGCGGAAGGCAGTGATGCGAAGACGCTTGTTGGTCTCCAAAAGAGGATAGACGTAGAGCAGCTGGAAGTGGTGGGCAATGCGTGCAAATTGGGTCACGATGCCGGGCGAGCAGATTTTAAGCGGGTTCAGTCGCGAGTAGATCGACTTGTGGAGGTACTCCTTGATGTTGGGTGGAAAGGTGATCTGACTCGGCTCCAGCTCATCGATTTGATCCATTGTGTCACCATCGATGGCTGCGGTGGTCAGGTCACGCCAGCGGAAACAGAAAATGTAGAATACGGCCTGAGCGGTAGAGTAATACGGAGCATAGCGTCGGAGATCTGGACCACGGCAGCCAGGTTCATAGTCCGCTTGTAAATTGTCCACATGTGTGAGAAGGAGGTCGAAGACATCACGCACAACGTCGCCAGAGATGTGGGCACCACGAGCAACATAGCTGGCCAGATAAGCGGCTGCAGACTGGCGCATGAGACCTGGCTGGCGTTTGCTGGAGATAATATCCATGCATTCCGTGGCGAACAGCTCAACAAGATCCGGAGACAGCTGAGAGAAATGGAAAAGGAGAAATTGTGAATGTCGTGATTTGTAGGTTGGGAGAATGATGGATCGGAAGTGGCTGATCAAAAGTGACAGAGTATTTTCTTTGTCGGCGGCTGTTCCTGATGAAAACGGGTCCGAGTAGAATTCAAAGAGGATATCAAGCATTCCGTCCACTTTTTGAATGTTTCCCTTGATCTCCTGAGCGCGCTGTTCCTGCTCATCGTCATCACTAAAATCCTCATCGTCTTCATCCAGTTCTTCATCCGGGTTCGGAGGGGCTTCTAGTAGGAACTCCTCCCCGAACTCGTCCTCAACGTCTTCCAAATCCACTTGTATCTGCACATCAACTTTGACCAGTCTCTCGGTGATAAGGGCAAGGATGTCAGACTGCAGCTCCGGGGCGTATTGGGTGATTCTGATGAGATTTCGGGTGTATGCGAGGAAACACTTAGCTGGGTCGGGATCGGGAGGAAACTGTTGGGATAGAATCGGTGATAGAGCTCCACTCCCAGCGGGAATGAGCCGCAACACATGGCGCAGGGCCATGTGAATACGGGTGTAGATCTCCGAGGGTGTAACGACAGGGTAGCCAGGCAGTCGGCCAGTTCCGTATGACACGCCGGTTAATTTCGAAGTCAACATGCGGAAAACTAGAGAGAGATATGATCCCTGTGCAGCAGCAAGATTGCCCAGGAACCGGATGAAGAGCTTCACGTATGCCTCATCGCGACCAAGCCACTCACTGTTCAGTATAGCCTGAACCAGCCCACTACAGTTGCGGTCTAAGGAGGCGATGTGAGAGAGAAGACCCATCAGATGATTCTTGAGAGATACATGCGTCGGGAGGCTCCATGATTGCATGCCGGAGTCGGCCTTTTTGGGGTCGGCGGTGAAGATCTCCTTGATTTGGTCATAGGCCTCGCTATCTCCAGTTGTAACATGGTGGTGAATGGCCCGACGCACCTCCTCACGAATCACTGCGAGGCTCTTTCCATCCGTGTTTGTGAACGGGTCTTCGGAAAGAACCGAGAATGTGCGAACACTGTCTTTGTCGTCGAAGGTGACGCGTGGGCGCTTTGCAAGATGCTTCGGAAGGTCATCCTGCGGGGATGGGGAGAGGGTCAAGTCGGCGTCATCCATTTTGCGTTTGATTCCGACAGGCTTGGAAGATTTGAGGATCGATACAGGAGACGAAGCTGCAATCATCTTTGAGTGATGGATGGAGGGTGTCGCTGTAAGGGCCGGTGAGAGGGGAGCAGTGGCAACGGACACCATGATCGATATTTTAGAAGAATGCGTTATTGGGAAAGAGGATAGTAAGACCGCTGTGTTATCGACATCTGTCGGACTGAACCTCCGGTGGATGCAGAGGGACAGCTCGAAGGAGTGAAGACAGGGACAGTAGTCAAGCACACGACCGCTTGATCGGACAAATTTTTCAAATTCTGTTACAGGTAAGAGGGATGGGACTCTTATTGTCTGTCTTTATCCCCCAGAAATATTCCAGTCAGTCAAGTGAATTGATGGATACGCAGACTGAGACGTGGTGCATCGGATTCAAGTGCTGGAGTTAAGGAAAAAAAACTGCATGGGATTTGTTGTGGGGCTGCGGAGAACCCGTGACTGGTGAGCCTCGACACTAGTCCTGTTTAGGTCATATTGAAGATTATGTCATTAAATGCCTGAGGCAACAATATCAGCCTTTCATCGGCCTAAGTACTAGGAAATCTTTGTCTTTTAACACTGCATCTATTCAAACATTTGGAAGCCTAATGTGATGATAATGATTACATAGTATATGCCAAACATGAGATATGTAAACCCATCGTAGTCCCGTAAATACAAAGAATCGCGAAACAAGTGGAAAAGCAAAGAACGAAATTCAAATCGGGAACTGAAGGCTCCTCCTATGGTATAGTGCGAATCAGAAATAAATATCAAAGTATCGTAAGAGAGTGAATAGGAGTTGGTCGTAGCGGGCGTTGTCAAGGAAGATCCAGTCCTGTCAAAAAACGCCACTAGTGGGTCATGGATTATAGTCCCGGCTCAACCGGTATTCAGGAGGATTGTCAATGATTTACAGCCACGGACCCGCACTAATGGGTCCAAGCTTATTGTCAAAGACACTTCCATATAACTCCTCGATTTCGGCAAGGTAGTCATCGACGGTGAATTTGTGCAGTCCCTTGCGAGTAAGGTATAGTTCGTCCTCATCCAGTACGTGGGGACCACCGAACTCCTCGGCCACCTCATTGACCTGCGCTAGCTCTTTGCTGAACGGATGCGACTCAGGTGTAGCCTTGAACATCTCTAGCGATGCGCCGAGCGTAGGATTGCTGCGTGGCGCGCTTAAGGTTGGTGGAGACATTCCGGACTGGGAGCGCTTGCGTGCAAGATCTTGGTGAGATCGCTTGGTGTGTGAGAGAGCTCGCGTGGGAACAACCGGTGCCTCCGTTGAAGAGGTCGATGTAGTGGAGGAGCGTGGGGCGCTGGTGACTGTTGCCGACCGCTTGGGGAAGTACGAAGTCGGGCTCCCGTCGATGGGAGAAGTGTTCTGGGAGACATCGGGGGTAGTGATGGCTGAGGAGTAACTGTGTGGGGAAACAGCAACGTCGGAGTTACCACGCGATCGCATGGAAGAGGAAGAAGAAGAAGACACCGGGGATTGCGCGATGGAACCCAAATCAGGCGCGTTGTAAGCCAACATATTGGTAGTGGAGATCAGCTGAACAGGACCAGAGATGTTGCTGCGCTTGATGGAGCCGGAATTGAAGCGCGAATGGCCCTTGGCTTTCTCCTCGCGGTATGGCATGGGTGCCGATACTTCCGGTCGCTTGTGGCGTTTGGTGAAAGCGCGCGTGAGAGTCGACATGATGATCTAGAGACGTGGCTTGTGGCACGTGAGGACGAGTGTGGGATTCACAAGATATGGGTTCGATTTGGGGACAGATAAACTAGTCCGAGGTGCTCTCTTTTGTATATTCGGGTTCAAATTCCAGATTATACGCCACCGGCTTAATATCGCGTGGTAGATAGATTGTCGCGGGATCCGGGGGCGGCGAATGAAGATCAATTCCAGGAATGTTCAATGTCTGGTATGAGAAGTAATTTTGAGGTTCGAATCTGTGTTGCACAGTTCAAAATGAATGTCAAGGCTTAACCCGTCAACTTTGCGCAGCAAAATCGTAGGATTTTCGGTCTCTTTATGAATGAGGGGCGTACCACCAGGACGCGCCAGGGGTAAATGGTAAAAATGGTCAAAAAAACCCTAGGGAATGGAGATTGAAGGGAGTCCAGGATCACAGATCACAGATCACAGATCTTAGATCATAGATCAATATTGTTAGGACTTAAGAAATGAAGGGAAGGAAAAGAATGAAGGAAATCCCTGAAGAAGGGGAAGAGGCAAAGGTAAGGGTCTGAAGGTCTGGAGTTTGAACTAAAGAACTTTCCGTGGGCGCTTACTGTTTGGATTCCCCAATCAAGTCGATTCCAGCTCAACTTAAACGTTTCCACTTACTTCCCGTTCCAAGGTTCACCATCGGTCTGGAGCCTTATTCCACCATGATTTGTTCACTCTTGTGGCGAACGGGTTCTTTCCAGTCTTTCTTATTCTGTTTCTCCTTTCTGCTTGGTGGGTTCATTCATTCCTTTTCGCCATCTACTTTGTCCGAAAAAGTGGCCACAGCCCCATTGTCCGTGCCTGGAAGGGGCGCACAACCAGAAAAGGTTCATTGTCATGGGGGCTAGGCCATGCTCCCCTTGGGCATGAAAAGCGCTTGACGTGTTAAAACTAATGCAGACTCCAGGGCACGTCCCACCTTGAGTTGTTCGGGTCTACAAAATACCAACCTAATGGTAAAAGGCCTGATCAAAGGGAACGGGATTTTATTCGTGAGCAATGATTTCCTTTGACGCTTTATCGCCCTAAGGATATGAAACAGCTCTGAACTCGAATGTCCGGGGTCCGTTTCACCACCAGCCGTCCCAAAACTGAAAGTAGTCTGTGCTCCGCGAGACCGACGGATCGCCAGGTCCCAGGTACGGCCGGCATGATGCGCCACGGCCAATCAGGTGGCGCCTCAACCCAGTCCGAATGCCGCCGGCGTGATCCTGGTGCGACAGGCGCTTCAAGATGCAGGGCTGCTGCACCTGATTGAGCCCCGTGGTTGCGATCGGTTCTTTTTCAATGGACCTGTGAGGGGCTCGTGGGTCATTCAAGTTTGGTGGGCCGAGGTGGACCCCGCTCGTTACAGTCACTCACTAGCGAAATCTGCTTGCTCCGTAAAAGGACTGTTTCCTCTTTTCTCGGGACCCACTGCAAAGGCACTAGCACCAAAATCTATTTAATAGACATCAAGATATGTTCCCTCCTCAGTGTTCGCATCCGTATTGAGCAGTATTGACAGTAAAATCATCGTTGCAATGCAGCATACGTTTATCGAAATTGCTGAGTTACAGAGTAAATTTCAGCACTGTACGACCTCAGAATCTAGTAAATGCATTGGACTAGCGGAAATGAATTTAGTTGGAACCTGACCCGCTTTTGTCTACCCATAGTAAAGGCATTCGCCTTAAATTCATTGGTATCCAATGGAACTACCCCCATGGTTCTGTAGATGAGATCTTAGTTATCCTGGATGATTGGCTGGATTATTACTTACTAATATCAGATTTACAAATCGATACTGATAACGCAAAATTCGGATAGCGAAGATACATGCAGGTGTAAGTAATAGGTTAACTATGGCTATCTATACATAACTAGCTACAGAAGGTAATGAGTTGTTTTTAAAAGGATTCGGACATATTTATATTTGACAAGGTGAATTTCTTCCTTGCATCAATCGATTAAGGTTCTCGTGAAACTCAAGAGTCCTATCCCTGGAGTACCTTATAATAAAATCTCGTCGAGAGAGTTCATTACCTTCTCGATAAAATTGATACGTTGAACAGCTGGTCGAACAGTTATAGTAGCAATAGTACCCATCAAGCGCAGCAAATCGCAACTTCGATCCCCAGGGACGCCGATGACAGATCCAGGGCTCGCATCACTATCGTCTCCTACCTCTGATTTTTCCTTACAGCCACGAATCTACGTGTCGGAAGAGTCGCTGGAGAAAGAGATGGGGAAACTTGCGGTGATGGAAGATCTAGCCATGTCATATCGCAAGCAACAAAAGTATGACTGGGCCGAGAAGATCGGGGAAGAAGTGGTCAATTTACGGCAAAAATGCTTGGTGCCAAGCATCTGGACACGATGCAGGCCATGGCAGATCTCGCTGTGGCATATTACGACCAGGGGAAATATGACAAGGCCGAAGGCATCGACAGGCAGTTGTACAGTCTGCGAAGTGAGATTTTCGGCAGTAGGCACCCAGAAACTATTTCTGTGATGGAGAGACTTGGCAAGACATATCGTGAGACTCTCAGTCTACAACGACAAATAGCTGGTCTCTCCCAATGCCAGCCAGATCGCGTCGGCGTCCGATGACGGGACCGCCAAGATCTGGGATGCCGCCACAGGCCGCGGTGTCTCGACGCTGACCGGTCCGGGCGATTCGCGGCTCAAGCGATTCAGTGATCTCGTAGGTTACAGGGATCGCTCGACGCTGACCGGCCATAAAAATCGGGTCCGGTCAGTCGACTGGTCGCCTGATAGTGGCCAGCTCGCGTCAGCGTCCGATGACAAGACCGTCAAGATCTGGAACGCCGCCACGGGCCAGTGTGTCTCGAAACTGACAGGCCACCGCGGTACAGTCTTCTCAGTCGTCTGGTCGCCCGATGGCGGCCCTTCTTGAAAAAGCCAGTTGTCTTGCAAGACAGAAATCCGGGATTATCCAATACCTGAGCACACCTCAACAAGAAGCAAACTTCAAAGATGGATTGTCAATTTGAAATGGTAGTTTTGCTGTCGATTCCTGCTTAATGCATTAAATAGCAAATACATGTTGATATCCGTAAAAAAAAAGAACTCTGGCGCTAGAACCTCGGCAGGGGTTCAGTCCCTACGAAGTAAATTTTGATAATAAGTGTAGTTTTGGGAGTCTCGTGGAAATGTCATTCGGCCTTTACTGCTTGCTACTCCCGAGCCAAGTGGGTCTGAGATCCAACTGATCGCGACAACGCATACTATTTACCCAACTCAAAGGGACTTCAAAGCTTGGTGATTGCCTTCCATTTCTGGCCTTGGGGTCATGCTTGCTGGTTATTTGTTCATTCCGAATTACACTCTCTGGGGGATTATGAAACACGCGACCGGAGGTTAACTTAGTCCGTCGCAAGTTGAGTGCAACTGAAACCGCAAATTTGAAGACGGGAAATGTCCGTTCAAAAGCGCCTCGATTAAAAGTATATACTGGATTTAATCTTCGACAGCTCTTCTGCCCTGGAGTGACCTGTCACGCTTTGATCATCGCTAGCCCCCATGTCGGTATGCTCGTCTCCAGTCGCCACGTCGGACCCCACAACAGCATCCTGCGAACACGCCGAGAAACTCATTCTCCCCGGGCGAAAGTGGATGTCATGAGAACTTCGAACATGATCGTCACCTGGGGGTTGCCCAGCGTAAGATGAAGAGGCTCCTTGGGTTTCCCCATCTGCAGGGCTCCGAGCTTGGTTGCTATTTTGTGAGGTTATAGGCGGATCCGTTCGCCCCCAGGATTTACCAAATGCCTCAATCGGGTATCTCTCAGTCATGAATTGGTCAGATACTCCGGTCATCCAGCGCTCTATACCGGTCCAATCTTGTAAAGGGTATTGGGCCCACTCTTCCATGCGCCCTGACTTGTGCTTTTGCCCATCTGGTTTTGCGGAAGCTTGAACCACTACAGCTGGTCTCATGGAGCGAAGTGTTACTAACGCGCCGTACAAAGCTGATTCGGTTTCAGCTAGTCTTTGTTCAAGTCGATTGAGATATCCGAGAGGTAAGCCCCTTAATGACTAATCTTAGCTTTCTTCGTCTCCGGGATCCGTGAGATACTGATACCTCTTGCCACTTTCGGGATATACGCATCTCGATGGATCATTCGAGCAATTCAAGCAGTACGGCCTATCAGTGACGGTGAAATGGTTAGGTGCAATTCAATTGCTTACGACCCATGAATCATACAGTTTTCGGTCACACTATGTTGATTAGTACAGCTCTCTGTAAGGTGTCGCGTGACCAACTTTGCATTTTCGCTGCCTGCATATCTCACAGGATATCGGACTTAGGCTATCATTCGCTGCAGTAATTATATCAGTCAATATATCTAGTTTGCATATTGATGTGACTACCTGGCATCTTATCTGATGGAGTTCGTTTTGGTCACAAGATCTGCAACTCAATGCTAGGTTTTCACTTGACTAAAGTAGCAGTAGAATATATCAGCATCTTACTTGCCAAACTGCGCATTGATTTAGTCAATCTAGCACAAGACGTAGAGTGGCAAGAAACAAATTCCGCTCGGACAAAGAAACCTCCGATTTATGTCACGTGCTTGAACCCCGTGTCTGTTGATGCCTGGTAAGGCATACTATGTGGAGCTTTTTCTCACTAGTGACCACTACTCGTGCCCGCACCCCTTGACACTTTCGAACATGAAGCAAGAATGATTTGTGAGGGGAGACGAACAGCTCAGCTTTTGGAAAAATTAGGCAGAAACAATCGCAACTAGAACAAGAGAATCGAGATTCACTCCTTATCATCAATCCGACTTAAAAAATTCTTTTTATGGTATCAATAAGGCTTCTAAAAACCCAAACATCGCTCAACGGCAGCCGACTAAGGTCCAAAGACAACAGGAATCCAAATCATAATGAATCCTGTTTGATTCCGAAAAAAAACCTTAATGATTCCTCTATGACAACTGAAAATCCTGACTAACTTTTCAATGTTAAGTGGAAACTCATAGATCTAATCTAAGGCCTTCTGTACGTTAAATTTGTCTTTAATCAGTTTTCGAAGAGAGGTAGATTTCATTGTTCGGGTAATATATCACAGTAGATTGCCATCAATTATCCATGGCCCATCTGCCACACTCCATAGATCATTCATAAAGAAAGATCCATCCGAAAATGGCTGAGAATCTTGGCCTATATTCACCGGGTAGAGATGTGCATTTGTGTTTGAAATACTTCCAAATATAAGACCGGCTGAGCTCTGACCAGCCGAGTATGCCTCGAACGACGAAAGCTCAAATGCGGAGCCTTGGTTATCATGTGGGATTGTAAATTCAGTCGGTTCCCCAGAATCCCGCGTGGTAGGATTTGTCTGTGTTCCGAATCTTTGCGCGCCAGTTGAAGATAGGATAGCTTGATCATTTCTCCCTTGGTGACCAGAAGCAAATGTTGTGTTCGCACGCACAGGCTGTCGAGGCGTGTTGTTCGGAGACCTAGTTTGATATTCTGGGAGACTCATCCCGTTGGTAAGGAAGCCTGTAAATGGTTCTTGAGAAGGGAAGTTCAATAGCAAAGCCGACTCCATACTTCTGATCGCTTCAATACATGTCTCTGGCCAGCTACTTCCTCGAAGAGTAAGATTTTCAAGCACAGAAATACCCATTCTAGCATACTTTATAGCTGTAGTCACGGGAAGCTCGCCTTCCCAAGATGCGTACATCAATACGAGACAGGCCATCCATGTTGTCCAGGTGAAAGATGGCCATGTGAGGGGAGCATCAGACGAGGACTTGAATCTCGTCAGTGCAGCAAGCAAGGATCGCGAAGAACCAATACACGTTTGTAGGGCATTCTTGTACTCGGGATTGGGTTCCTCAGCGGCGAGAAGAGGCCGGTTCATAGATATGATGGCTTCATGTCTTAAAATCACCAGCAAAAGTCGATGATAGGGAGCAAGTATCGCACTTGGATCGAGATCTGCATCTGATGCGCTTTCAATGGGGTTTACTTCGTCGTAAACTTCATTCCACCATTGAGACAGTTCACCGTTTACATGCGATGCCTCGACCGTGCCAGCGTGACTATGCAGGATAGACTTGTTGCGCAACTCCAGAATCAAACCTCGTATTCTGGCAAATTTGGCAAGGTAGCATTGCAACTTAAGTCGGCCGATGTCAGACTGACCGGAAGGATTTCCGTGTCTTTCAGCGCCAGGATAGCAAACGTCAATATCATCGTCTCGAATACTAAGAGGAACACCTAGAGCCTGGGACAAATATCGCTCAAGAGAGTAAATTGACCAAAAAAGACGCTTTCGAATACCAACCTCTTCCTTACTGAAGCAGGCAAAGCGACCAGGACATCTGTGCAGACCTAAATGGAAAGCTGTTCGGGTAATGATCCCGCCCACACGAGATGCAGCATTAAGGCGCAAAAGGGAAGTCAGGGTGAGCTGAGCGGTGAATGCAGCTTGTAATAGTGGAAGCGCAGTTGGCTCCGATAACAAGCATTGTATCTCTTGCATAATGTGCTTCACAGTCTGGAATACCAAAGGCACGGGGACAGAGCGCATTTTCAACGTGGAGGTCTGAACCTGTCGGCTATCCGCCAATGATATCGAAACAAGACAGCGGATGATGGTTAGATCAAGTCTGTCAATTGAGTCTAGGCCATCACTTCCGATCTTCTCCATGGCCTTAAGAACCGTGGGTGCATGAAGACAGGGAAAAATCGGATGCCAATTTTCAAAGTATTGAAGGGTCCAGTGAGTCAGATCATCAAAGGAAAATGTAGCCGTTGAGGAAAAATCCACCTCTTCCTTTTTCCATAGCTCACTGGTATCGTGATGCCCAGAGTCTCGCTGTAAGCGATCATCTTCTCCAGGCACCGAGCTCTCATCAGCCCGGATCTGCTGTAGATCCGCTGAGCGTCGAGCAAATGCACTATAAACACGCCGGACAAAGTGGATCCCACTGGAGCTACCAAGAAAGCTGGCAGATCCATCGTTCTGGGGCTCTCTCATGTACCCGATCTCGCGAGGGGAGGGTCTCGACGCGTCCGCCGTTGAGGCTCGCTTGCGTCGCTTGGTGAGACTTGGCCCATATTGGCGATCTGACTCGTCCTCTAAGCGGGTACTGAGAGAGGACGGGGGGGCCATCCTTATCACATTTTCTAGATGATGCCAAGGCGAATACGCAATGTCGGGAGCAAGTTCGTGAAGCAAAAGGTTGGCTTGGATGAGGCCCACTTGGATTACATAATCATATATCCCCCGGACTGGCTTTCCCTGGTGTTTAGACCAGAAATTGAAAGCTCATAAATGTGGTATATAAGCTAGAGATTGTTATCACTATTCTCTAAAATCTTATGTACTTCTCTATAATCCGATCAAGGGCATACAGATGGTTTTGAGTTGATTAGGTACCGGGGTAGATACTAGGTCACAGGGTATACACGTAACAAGAGCAAGTTAGGGGATGTATGTATATCGAAAATCTCCAGTCAACTCCGCTGGCACTTTGACGAAACATCTTCAACCGCAATTATTTCCCTTTCTTGATCCAAAACAACTCGCAGCTGCCCTTTTCCCTCTTCGGAAAATATTCCCTCTCGCAATCGGTCCAGATATAGCTCATAAGCCGGCATATAGCCTTTCACAAACTCCACAACCTCTTCATCAGTCATACCTCTGGCTTTTCGATTCCAAAGAGCATGTTCCTGCTGAACACGCCACTGATAGACATTAACCAGATCATTCGTATCCAGATGAACCAGGTAATCAAAATGCTTAGGCCCCATGAATAGTTCACAGTATTGTCGAAGATTCTCATTCACCTCCAAGAGATGCTCAAGCACATGTTCCTTCAGGGTAGCTGTAGGAAACATCGAATCACTCGCAGATTTCCCGGCTTTGTTCCACCGCATTCGAACCTGATCTTCAGCGAGAGGCAGGAATCCAACACACCACCCTTCAAAAATCACAACATCAATGTCGCCGGCGGGGACGCGTTCCCATTGCTGTGATGATACTCTCCCTCCTTCTCCGTTAAACAAACGCTTATCAAAAGATGGAAGCAATATTTCCGATGAGTTCAGACTTCTGAAAAATGATACCGATAAGGCTTTGTCGTGCGTTCCGGGTTGTCCTCGCGTTTGAAGAAGTTTATTGCGTGAGTTGGTCTTTCTAAGCGTGACTAGATCGTCATGGTCAAGGTATAGATCGTCCAAAGAGATGTTTATCGTTTGGTAATTGTGCTTGTTGCGGAGAGTGCTAGCGAGAGCATCGGTCCAGGTGGACTTGCCGCTGCCCTGGAGGCCTGTCAGGGCGAGGACGAAGGGATGCTTGGTCGGATTTGTCGATTGTGCAGCTTTATGTTGTTTGATTCGAGGTAGAATGTGATACAGGACATTATCAATATTTTCTGGGGGAATTTTCGGAGGGGCCATCGTGATGATGGATTGTTGTAACAGGAGCGAAGTGATATAGCAGTATTAATTCCAAATATGATAATACTACTCAGGTAAAAATATGTTAAGCATATACTGTAGAGTCTAAATCAATTATGACTGGATAAAAGATTCGCCTCTTATTTTGCCTTGAGGAATGGGCCGGACATATCTTTCTCCTGATACCCCCGCACTAACACTCAACGTTAACTACCTCGGACTTGGAAATCCCCGCAACAATCTTCTTACCATTTTCATTGGTTAATTGTATTGGCCATGAAGGGATCAGCAAACTTGGTCTCCATCAAGACCCGGGAGCTTGAAGGGCTAGAAACAAAAGGATCCGAATCCCCCACAAGCACAAGTACCTTCTCCTTTACAAAGAAATCCCACTTTTCGAATCACACATCTTGAATTCAATTCACCATGTCTCCTTCAATTATTTCAGGAAAGATCTACAGCATTGCATCAATCCCCGCTGATGGCATCTGTCCCGAGGTCATTGACGCCGGCATTGCGGCGCTGAATGCCTTGACGGATACCCTCCAGACCTTCAAACTGAAATTCCAGCACTACGATTGGAGTTCGGAGACATATAAGAAAACTGGAAAGTATATTCCAGACGGCGGACTTGAAGAGCTGAAGAAGCATGATGCAATCTTCTTTGGTGCCGTCGGTGCACCCGGTAAACAAGTCAACCCCAGCTTTCCTGGTTGTATGCAGCTAATAATCCATCAATAGATGTTCCCGACCACATCTCTCTGTGGGGCCTCCGCCTGGCCATCTGCCAACCCCTACAGCAATACGCCAATGTGCGCCCAACCAGAGTATTCCGCGGCACCGAGTCACCACTCCGCAACTGCAAGGCAGGTGACCTCGACTGGGTCATCATCCGTGAGAACAGCGAAGGCGAATACGCCGGTCAAGGTGGCCGCTCTCACCAAGGCAAAGCTTGGGAGGTAGCTACCGAAGTATCCATCTTCTCTCGATACGGTGTTGAGAGAATTATGCGCTTCGCCTTCGAGACTGCCCAGAAGCGTCCGCGTAAGCTCCTCACTGTTGTCACCAAAAGTAATGCCCAGCGCAACGGCATGGTTCTCTGGGACGAGGTTGCGAAGGCAGTTGCCGTGGACTTCCCCGATGTCACTGTTGACAAGATGCTGGTTGACGCCATGACTACCAGGATGGTGTTGAAGCCCGAGAGCTTGGATACCATTGTGGCTACAAACCTGGTGCGTTAAAAACGAACTGGAAATTGATATAATTACTTACGCATCTTTTAGCACGCGGATATTCTTTCTGACCTTGCTGCGTCCCTGGCTGGCTCTATTGGAATTGCCCCTACTTCCAATCTTGACCCTACCCGCGAGTACCCTAGTATGTTCGAGCCCATTCACGGCTCTGCTTTTGACATCACTGGCATGGGTATCTCCAACCCCGTGGCTACCTTCTGGACAGCTGCAGAGATGCTCGCATGGCTGGGCGAGGAGGACGCGTCGAAGAAGCTGCTGGCATGCGTGGAGAATGTTTGCGAGCAAGGAATTCTGACTCGGGATTTGGGTGGAAAGTCTACCACCAAGGAGGTCACGGAAGCTGTCGTGGCAGAGATCAAGAAATTGGGTTCTAAATAATGATTCTAGATCAAAGCTCTAGATCATAGTTGAATAAAATGAAGTCGCAAGGATCAATAAATCTAAGCTAGTCAGTCTGTAGAATATGATAAACTCAGCATATGAGCTTGATCACATTGTAACAGGGTGGATGAAGCATCTGCCAGTCTGGCAGCATATGAGGGCTTAGTTACCAGCGACGAAGCTGTTAATCCCTAGAAGCCACCTCCGAGTCAGAGGATGCAATTAGAGAAATGTTCTCGAAAAATGACGAAGAGCTTCTATTTATCGATTCTGTCTCTGCATTGTTCTACAATTCTTCCAACAAATGTGTCGCGGCAATCTTCGTATACGCCTTGACAATTTTTCAAAAAGAATCTACACATGAGCGCATCCCTTTCCTCTATCCTGGCTGCGTGTGCCCTTACCTGGAAATTCCTATCTTGTTTCATTGCGTTCTTCGCTATCGACCGCTTTGGCCGGTGCACGTTGTTCATAGTCAGCGGGACGGGCATGTCAGCTTGTATGGCCGCTTTGGCTATAACAGCCAGCTTTGGTTCCACTAACAAGCACGCGTCGATAGCATCAGCGTGCTTCATCTTTCTGTTCAACATCTTCTACCCCATCGGCTTCTTGGGTAGGAATTTCTTGTACTGCACGGAAGTTGCGGCAGTGCACCTTCGAGTTGCTATGACGTCAATTTCTGCTGCCAATCACTGGCTGTGGAATATTGTTGTTGTCATGGTCACTCCGGTGGCTCTTGAGACAACTGGATACCAGTACTATATCATATACGCGATTTTGTCGGCCTGTATTCCTATTTTGGTGTACTTCTTCTATCCGGAGACTATGAATCGTAACTTGGAGTTGCTGATTCATGTATTTCGGGATGCATCGTCTCTCTGGAAGATTGTTTCTATGGCGCGGAATCTGCCCCGGGGTGATTCTACTGATATGGACTTGATGGCTTATATCGAGGGAAAGAATGGCGGATCTGTTGAGATGAAGGAGCGTATCTGATTGGATTGGTATAGCGTTCATGTGATTAATAGCTGTGAATATCATGTGTCGCGTTTTCATGCCCAAAGAGTTACAGTAGTTCAATGCGGGATTTTTGGTTTGCAATTCGAACATCTAGGGCAATAGATGCAACTTTTGAGTTCATATTTTCCCGAAAAGTAGGTCATCCATCTTGAAAGTTGGGATGAGTTCTTAGAAAGCAGGTAGAGGAGGGAATGCTGCCCAATTAGTCCCGCACTGCAACCTCCTCCAACTGCCGTGTTAGACGATAAAAGCAAAATACCCGTGGATAGTAGGTCACCTTCGGCATTCCCATCGGCGAAACCGGAATCCTGGCAGTCCGCGGCATCAAAAACCATGTATCGGAATGCCGATGCGGAGGAAGACAGGTACGGGAATAGATTTCATCCGCAAATCAAACGGCATCAATATACGATTAGGCCCCACGAACCTGATCCCAGACATGAAAAGTGGTCCCTGAATCAGTCTGACGCCGAGCACTAAATCATAGCCAATGGACCGCTCACATCTAGACCAGAAACCTCCGAAATTCGCTACTTTTACCCCGGAGTCAAGCCAGCCCCATTAGACCCATTGGCACTGCCGAGAAGACAAGGCTTGTTCGTCGCGTTTATAGGCGGACGTTGCCTTGTCCGCGTTGCTCGGGAAGCGGAAGCGGGAATTTCGGGGCGATGAGACGCCGCTATTGGTTGCCGATGGATCCATCCCAGCCGGATACCCGATGCGGTACCGCCGAACGGGGCTCCGTTGAAGTTTGCATACTGTGAAAAGAGCTTTATCAGTCCTTAAATCATATGGAGTATTACTGTCCGACGTTGGAAGCCGAATCAGCATCCGTCTTGCGGCGGAATAATTCGGGTTAGATATGTTTTTATGACATGACGATGGGTCTTGATAGTGGTCTGGATTATACTAAAGACTCCTGTTTTCTTGTGAAAATTTCTCTGATAATAGAATAAATTAAGATAAATCTCTCTCAACATTTTTTGAATACCTTCAAGTACCTTCAAAAATCATATCACATTGCCATGGCTCCTTCAATCAACGACATGCCTGTTGGCGAAACTACTGCTCCTTCGGCTTGTAAAGTCGGCATCAACGGCTTTGGTCGAATTGGTAGGAGACATAAACTGCCTAACCAAGTACAAGCAAAGGCTAACTAGTAATGCCTCATAGGTCGCAATGTACTCCGTGCTGCACTCGTCCGATCTGATATCCAGGTTGTCGCCATTAACCACACATGCGTCACCGTTGATGACCTCATCTATCTTATCCGCTACGATTCTTCCATGGGAAACTTAGATGACCGAGTCGAGATCCAAGCTGTCTCAGATAACCTGATTACCATTGATGGAAAGCGAGTTGCTCTTACATCAGAGCGGGACTTGAAGAAGCTCAACTGGGCTTCCTTAGGAGTCGACTATGTCCTCGAGTGCACAGGAAAGTTCACAAAGCGCGAGCTCGCCATGGATCATATTACCTACGGCAACGCCAAGCGTGTTCTTATTTCCGCACCTAGCTCAGACGCCCCTACATTTGTCTACGGTGTGAACTCCGATGATTATACACCCAGTGAAGAGTGCCGCGTTGTCTCCAACGCAAGCTGCACAACCAACTGTGTCACTCCCGTCTTGAAGGTTCTCCAAGAGTCCTTTGGTATTACTCAGGGTTTCCTGACTACCATTCACGCCGCTACCCGATCTCAGCAGGTTCTGGATGGGTACAGCAAGAAGAACGCTCGTCTAGGTAAGTTATCTGCACAATAACACTCGACAATTTCTAACCTTCTCAGGACGCGGTGTTTTCAACAATATTATCCCCACCACCACTGGTGCCGCCAAGGCCGTCGCAACAGTGCTGCCCGAACTGAAGGGCAAGGTGACCGGTGTCTCCATTCGCGTTCCCACGTAAGCTTATGAAGACTTTCTACCATCCTAATTCAAAAGCTAACATACCCAGACCCAACGTCTCCATGATCGATCTCACAGTCAGCACCGACAAGCCAACCTCTCTCTCAGAAATCATCTCCAAATTCCGCCTTGCTTCTAAATCGAGTATGGCTGGCGTTCTCCAGGTTACAGACCAGGAGCTGGTGAGCAGTGACTACAATGGTAGTCCCTATAGCGCTATCGTCGATGCTCCCGCATGTGCAGAGCTAAACCCTCAATTCTTCAAGATCATGGCATGGTACGACAACGAGTGGGGATACTCAAACCGCCTTCTTGACTTGACCACTTTGGTGCATTCCCAAGAAGCCAATTAGATGTGCCATCTGGAAAGGAGTTTGATGTTCGCGAAAATATATAATACCATTTAAATTATGCAATAGAGCTTAGATTCAATAGAATCATTTGACATGATTGTTCACACAGGACGTTAACTTCCAATTTTCTAACTAAGCACCCATGCTACCATTAATCTTCCGAACACGCTCATCTCGTAATTGGTCCACCCATTTATCTTTTCGATTATGCCAGATTTCGCTTGCCAGGTTTGCACAATTCAGTCGGTGCTCTTCATCGAGTGTGCCTGACTTCACCGCGAATTCCACGTCATCACTCGATGATGTGAATGGTGTCCCGCAATCGGAACAGAATTCGCGCAATACGCGCACGTCCTTATCGCTGCGATCCACATACACCTTAGGCGACCCTTTGGTGTACTCAAAAGAGGATTTCGGCACAACGATGTTGGCAGAAAAGCCGGAGCCGGTATTACGTTTGCAATTGGTGCAGTGACAGATGATCACCTGGGACATGTTGTTAGTAGGCGAATAGGATACTCTTGTAGCGCAATAAGAGAGACCGTACCTTTGGAAATGGTTCTGATGAATCTAAATGAATTTTGTATGCTATGCTCTTGCAGAGGCAAGCGCCGGTCATGAAACCCTGTGCCATTGTAGATTTTGAGAGCCGTTGGTTGTTAGATCCTCTAAGAATTTAAGCCAAATGTAAATATTGGAGGGACAAAAGTTCTTTGGGTCATGCGCTAAATAGGTGGGGGCCAGCGGGAACTGTAGAGACTCTAAGTGAGATTACTGGTGCTGGGGCACTGCTGACAAAGGCTTGCTTATGTAGCAATTCTGTCATCCTAATGGATATAGTAGAATTGATGGAAGCCTGTAGATAAATTTGGGTTAATATTTCCATCAAGCAGACATGATAGCAAATAGGAACGGAAACAGCAAAAGACGGCACAAGAATTTGGAAATTTCTCCTGTATTTTACGTTGACTCCGTGCATGTGACAAATGGCGGGAGGCTCCTAATTTGTACTAGTACAGGCAAAGTGGGGAGGTGGGGGTTTGAGACATAGGCGATAATGCGATAAGGAGATAAAGAGAACATTTGAAGAGATAGAATTTGTTCGATTGACAATAGATTATGACAGTCTACATTAAAATCTAAACAGGTCGAGTACGCCTGTCTAATATTCTCATCAATCGCTGCAAATCACGGCGACTCTGTAAGTTAATCAATTGGATTGAACATCTCGAATTCTTGGTAGACACAATAACATAATCATCCCTTGTCGGTCCGTGTAGATTTGCGGTGGCCCATCCTTCGGAATCAGGTGCTCATCTCCATTTGCAATGAGGGCTTCAACAAGAGTTGCACTACCAGCTTGCTCAAACCCAAGGCGCTTATAAAATTCCAGGGCAGCATCATTCCCCCTCTTAATAATAAGTCTGATCTTAACTGTTGAGGGATATGTTCGGTATGATTGAAGGTACTCGATGACCTTTTTGCACAGTTTGCTTCCAATTCCATGGCCGCGGTGCTCAGGGAGATTGAACAAGCTCAGCAACTGCCATCGCTCTTCCACATCGTCCGACTGCTGGGGTGGCTGGCAAGCTTCGTCGGGCAAGTCAAAAGCAGCGGCGGACCCAGGTCCTCGCACAGTGACCTGGCCGATCCATTGGGGGTCATCGGGGCTTGATGGGTCTTGATTGACTGGCTTAGCGGCACAAATGAAGAATTCCCGATCGGGGAGGTTGATGAGGTTTATCCAGTCGGCATCGGTGAAAGCTGCTTCGATGGCGTATGTAGAGGAGAAGGAGCCGGGTGAGGTCTGCAATGCCTTTAAGCGTAGCTCTCGGATTTTTTGAGCGGACTCGCTGATTCCAGTTTCTTTCGAAATCCGGAAGAAACTATAGGTAAATTTGGAAGCCATTTTGGATGGGATTCAGATGGGAGTGAAGTAGACTAACGATAACGATATTGAATTTATATTCGAAAGTGTTCGCCGTGACTCAGAGATGGCCACACTACGCTTAGTTCACTCCACATTTATGAAATGGGATTAGCGCATTCCAGATTATATTCGGGATTTGATGGGCTTTTGGAGTTTACAGTGAGCCTGTTAGTCAATTAGCTTTCCAAGATTGAAATTTATTAAAATATTGAAAGCGGCTAGCCTCGGCCAATTATCATACTCTTACTAGCCACCAGTTCTTCTTGACAACCTGCCTGAAGTAATATTTAGAGCCATTCTAAAGTTTTGACATAACTCCTGGGGTCTCTTTCAAAAGCAGCGTTGGGACATCAAATTATACTGAATCTGTAGCCCTAGCGGCTCATACCTAGCGAACTGCACCAAAGCAACACACCCTAAGTACAGCTGTCACTGCCAGAAACGAATGTCCCATCCGAATCCTCACAGCCACAAACCCCAGTCTGAGGATCTTTGATGCAACCAGTGCCAACACCGCTGTCCTCTCCATCATCGCTCCAGTAGAAAATCCAGTAGTCCGAGCTTTCCTCCAACTCATCACTGGTGGGAGCGTCGCATGTGTATGCGCTGCAGGTGCCGTACGGTGCACCATTGTAATCGTCGTACTGATGATTCGTCTCGAAGACGGCGAATGTTTGGGTTCCAGAAACGCGCGTGTTGTGTGAGCATTCGGCAGCTTGAATAGCGGTTGAGACCTTGCTGGCTATATTGCAAAAGTTTGGAAGTGGTTAGTGCGTGGATATACCGGATCTGGAAATACCGCTCGGATATATAGCCAGTGAAAACAAATGAAACTGTATTTCTTGAATCATGGAATGCAACTCACCGGAGCAATTCAGGCTGGCTGGCTTGTAGCCCTTTGTGTTTGATGAACATGGATCCACGGTGGCCATGACAATGGCTGGTGTTGCCACTAGAGCGAGGAATTTGGTGAAGTGCATTGGATGAGTTGTTTCTTTCAAATGTTGAATATTGGTCAGATACTTGAAATTCAAAGTTAACAGCGTTCATGTCGTCTTTAGGAGACCGGGTAGCCCTTTTATACTTGACGCTCGGCTTCGCTCCGGCATCGATCCAATTGGAAATTAACAAAATTTATCTGATACGAAGCATTTATCTCGTGTCTTCGAGATCAAAAAGGAGAATTTAGTGATTGATCGACGTAACCAGGGGTACTCGCCAAGCTTTTGATAGTGAGGATCCATAGGAAATGTGTTTCAAGTGTCACTTCAAAACAGCCATCGGGCATATTACCTCGAACATGATCTTACCGCTACATCAGCCACGTCATGATAATACGAGTATTGTTAAAATACATGAGTAAATCTGGTCATAAAGTGTGTGATAAGCGGTATATCGTCCTACGCTGTGTTTTTCATAGTAATCGTCGTGATTAAGTCAAGTAGATCAGGTTTTCGACAAAAAGCGAAAAGAAAAGCATGGTGGCTTGAGGAGTGAGTCATCTGGACAGGAAGATGCTCAAAGTCAACGTCATGGATGAAGTTAAGCAGCTTCTATGTTTCTGCAAGAAAAAGCTCGAAGACAACGACGACGCGATTGATGACATAAAAAAAAGTGACTTGTTTAGCCCACATGACATACGATGAGCTGGTGATGGAATTCTGTATGATTTGATAGCATCGAAACGATATACCTAGTTTTTCCTTTATAAACGTGACCTGTTCTTTATCTGCAAGTCCACTTTTCCCCATCTGATTCAACAAAACCACCTGTGAGAGATCTGAAATAGGAACCAATACCAAATGACGAGGAGATAATATGCCCAAGAAGCAACCTCACTGCGGACATGAAAATGAGAATTATGATGACAATGAAATCAAGGCAATTGTCTCATTTTCGCGGCTATCAGAATCCCCAGGAAAGAATGCAAACCTTCATTGCGATTCTCATATTCAATGTTACTAAAGGAAACGAGGAGAGCTTAGGTGAAGACTTGAAGACCAATTTCAAGTGCATCCTATGATCTTCGTTTTTTATCTCTCTTCACAGTAGAATCCTTGAGTTTCCACTCGGGAAACACTATATAATGTCACGGGGAATCTGGTAAGCTCTATCTGTCTTGAGCAGACCGTGCATAGATAGGAGTATGAGGATAGTGTCCGAGATACCAAGGAAGCAAATGAGGTGATTCGTAAGACTAAGGAATTAAATAACATTTGGATGCACACATACATCATATCGCTGATCTAAATCACGATAACGAACGCTTTAATGTTGACTGCTCACATCATGCCACCCTACGTCATAGGTAATTCCAAGCTTTTCCTGCCATGTATATAACTTTCCTCCTCGGGCCGATTAAGTATTCAATCCTACATATCACTGCCCCCGTTCAACCTAATTCGATTCTTCATATATTACATCCAATTCCATCTACAGTCACAATGTCTGGAATCTTGCACAAAGCCGAGGATGCCTTACACATCCACCACGATAAGAAGAAATCTATCGATAACGGAGAACAAGGGAAGCAGCCCGATATTCATGCTGGTAAATACATATCTCGCCATCCTCGAAGCCAAAATGAAGTTCTTACTGACGTTCGCAGATAAGCACTCTCATGGACACAGTCATGAGGGTAAACATCTGAGCCAGGATGAGAGAGATCGTGCCGATTTTGAGGCTGCGAGACACTATGATCATGCTTTAAAGAATAGTCATGGTGCAGGTGTTGGGTTTGAGGAGTAATCATGGTCATTTTGATGGGTTAAGATTCATGATTCAATGGCTGGGGAACCTTCTTGGATATACATGTGTACATGCACTAGATGATCGGGAGTGATAGAATGCTGTTGCTGCATGCGGATTTACTGTAGATAGAAGCATGTTATCATTTTATTAAGAGGGTGTTTGCAGAAGATCTTTGAATATATTCATTTTCGTTGGCTAGACCAACAGTCATCAGGTAACATGCGTGATCGGAAACATAAGAAATCTATTTTTGTGTACATCAAAGCAGGACTCCACGGGTATCTGTGTTCCTCGACGAAATCATTTAATCCTCATCCATGGACTCCCATCCATCAGGACCCGGAGCCTCAGCCTCAACGCCAGCCTCGCCCTCATCATCCGACTCATCATCACCGTCAGCGTTCAGACCAACCATACGCTCTTGCACATCACCCTCAAAAGCAGGCAGACGTGAGACAAACGCACGGCGAACAGCACCGTTCGTAGACGCATCCCAGATTTGAACGTTACCCTTGCTACCAGCCACGGCGAGACGGAAGCTGACCTCAGAGTCTGGGGCGAAGTTGGTCGAGAAGACCTTGCCGACGTCCAGCTTGCGGGAGACGACCATGCTGGGCTTGTCATTCTCGACGTTCCAGAGCTTGACCTCCTTGTCTGTGGAGCCGGTTACCAGGAAGCCGGGGATGGTGCGGTTGATGTCGAAGGAGGAAACGGAGGAGTCGTGTGCCTGCAGGGTCCAGACGGGCTTGGACTCGGCCGGGGTGGCGGGGACGTTGCGAACATCGTAACGGTAGACTTGGCCACCATCGGTGGTGACGTAGAAGAAGTTAGGGTCGTGAGGATCCCAGCGGACGTTCTCGACGTCCGAGTCGACGGCCCAGCGGGCCTTGGCGTCGGGTGCACGCATATCCGCTGCAACCACAGTGCGGTCGTAGCTACCACTCAGGAGGATGGTGGACTCTGTAGGGTGCCAGTCCAGCGAGCAGACCTTGTCGGTGTGGTGCGAGTACGACTTGACGCACTTGGTGGTGGTAAGATCCCAGAGCTTGACGGTGCGATCGGCAGAGGCGGAGGCGAGCAGGTTGCGGTGCTGGCGGTTGGCTGCCAGAGCCAGGATGGAGTCGATGTGGTACTCGTCGTTGGCCTTTGGCTTCTTCTTCTTGGACTTCTTGCGCTCGCTGTCCTGGCCGCCTTGGCCGAGGATGGCGTTGGGGTACATGGAGTCCACGACGTCCAGATCCCAGATCTCGATATCCGGCTCCATGGTTCCAACGGCGACGAAGTTACCTTGTGTGCGTCCCTCAGTGTTCTTGCCAACGGGCATGTCGAGCCACTCCAGGCACAGGGGAATGCCGGGCAGCATGATGTCGTGGTGAACGTAGAGGTTGTCGGCGGAGTCCTCGTAAACGTAAACCTCCAGGTGGGCAACCTCGTCCTCGACCTTTCCGGCCAGGAGAAGGTTGTCGGTGGGCATGATCTGGAGCTCCTCGCGGTCCTCGTCGTCCTCGTCCTCAGGCATGACAAGGTACGGGTCTGCCTCGTTGGGCTGGTGGTAAGCCAGGGACTGAACGTTGCCGAACATAGTGACCTTCTCGCCATCCTCGTCAACCTCCTCGCTATCGTAGTGGTCCATATCGAACTCCTTAAGAACATCATCATCATCCCTAAAGGTTGGTTAGCCTAGACCAATGCAATTCACAAAGTCGGACATACTCAGTCTTTTTCGACTCGACAGCCTCCTTGGAGGTCTCCTTAACCTCCTCATTCTCCTCCTTGTTATCTTCCTCCTTGTCCTCATCCATAGCAGAATCCTCTTGCGCAGCATTCATATCCTCCTTGGCATCCTCAAGCTGCATGCGAGCAAGCTTAGATATCCGGTTCATTTCCTCCTCGTCAATCTCATATTTAGTAGGAAACTGGGCAGCGACACCGCGCCGCACCCAGGCTGTAGTAGTGATCATAGAAGACATTGCGAGAACGTAATCACATCAATCTTCGAAGATCAGGCTTTTTTTTTTTATCGGCGATATTTTTTTTATCGGTGTGCTGAGGGGTCTTCCGCCCGGCAGAAAGCGGCCGATCTACTCACCGCCTGGATTTTGCGATTTGCTTCAGGAACAAGTATTGGTGGCTCACATTCGCGATACAAAAGACGTTTCCTTTCAATTACTAGTTTCTTGAGCTATACCATTACCGCCAATATGCATTCTCATCTTCACACCTCATACAACGTCAGTAAGTATCACCATGAATGACTTTCCTGAACCAATTGCATCGGCACTAACTAGTCCTGTACAGACTGCGAGGAGATCATGACAGCTCTCGACGAATGCCATGCTCGTGGATTCATTTACAAGGCCCTCGGCAACTGCAATGATATCAAGCGTGAGGTGAACAAGTGTCTCGCTGCCGAGCGTTTCGACCGCGCGAAGAAGAATCGGGAAACCGCGCGCGATAACCGACGGAAGATCGAGGATATTTGGGCAAAGGAGCGGGCAATGGATGCCAGTGCTGTGCAGGTTCCAAGTGCTACTTCCAGCGCTTCCCAGGATGGTGTGAAGCAATGAGTGAATGGGTTGTATTATGTGCGGTCATTTCTGGTGTTTGGAGTCTGGTCAATTGCTTCTTTTTATGGGTTGATACTCTCTTCTCGACGGTGAAAGAACGAAGTTGCTTGTACGATACTTTGGATGTATATATATAGTGGATATTGATGAGAACGTGGCTAAATGCCAGAGTTGCCATGATACTCAGGACATTTTTGATGAGCTTTTCGAGCTTATAAATTTCCATGTACAATTGGACTATTGAACTTTTTTGAACTGAATATCCCATCCGAACGCCACGCCTGGACAATAATTATCATGCAATGTGAACAAGTAGGCGCTTATGCGTCCACTTCAGCCTCGGCCATAGGAACATCAGCGTCACCACTCTTGTTGTGGCGGCGTCTCCGCTTTGTCTTAACAGGGCCAACTTCTTCGCCCTCTGCATCAGCCTCGGCGACTTCGGTCTCCATCCGATCCTTCTTCGCACCACCCGCATTCCCCTCAACTCTCTTCTTGGGCTTCTTCATACTCATGGGGTTCGGTCCCTTGGCCTTCTTCAATCCAGGAATCTTCTTCCTCTCACCACCATCTTCACCCTCTCCGTCATGCTTTCTCTTAGCTCCAAGCTCGGGGTCATCCAAACCAGCCCGGAATTTGCCCATCTCGTGACCATCACGCACTGCCTCTGTCGGTGTACTCAACGGCTCGAGAACCATGACCGAGCGCTTGACGTAGATGATAGGTACACCGGGGATAGAGCGCGCGCCGAAACGCAAAGCTCGAGAACGGCGCATTGCGCGCTCTTCTTCGCGCTCCTCTTCGGTCTTGCGCTTACGCTGCGCCGGGTTGTCTGCTTTATCGCTCCTCTTAGCCGCTGGCGGGTCGGCTGTGGCGAGGATGTAGTGCTCTTTGTTCTTCTTTACTTCGGCATTAGGCGAAAGGAGGGAGAGCAGACACTCCACCTCATCGATGGGAGTGTGCTCTGCGTTGTGAGTGCAGTGGCGGAGGGGGAGAACTGTTGGTGGGGGGAGATGCATAGGGCGGTAGGGAGTGTTGGTTCTGGGGTTGATGGGTTGTTTGGCCATAATGGCTGCGAGGGAACATTTTGTCAGGACTGTTAGGAGTTAGTTTACCAGTGATCAAGTGCCAATTTTCATCTGCGATTGCGATATGCATCGCTGGATCATTAGGTGGTGGTGGGTACTGACGAGGCTTGGGTGTTCCCTGAAGAGTCCGCTCAAGAGCAGGGAGTAGATCCATCTTGAATTGGTCAACTGCGTGCAGGAAGTTCGAGTCCACTGTCAAGTAGGTTAGCATTCAAGTCTGGATAACAGCTTTGGAGTCGACATACCGAGCACCTGGTAGGGCTCACGGAAGCCAAATGTCATCTCATACTGGTGCATGAGCTTGCGGTACTTCTTGGAGCGTTTGGCCCTCATTTTGAATGGTTTAGAATAAGGATTGTTGAAGTTACGGAGATTTCCTTGTGGTGATGCGCGGACGAAACTTTTTTCTTATTTTGCCGGGCGGCGGGCGAGGCGGTGATGGTCCGTGCGAAGTACCTTTCGATCTATGGACAGCAGCTTTCAAGCTCTACAAATGCAATAAAACCTCCGGTTTGTTGTCTGATTATTATTATCCATATAATTTAACGTCTAGACAGTAGCTAGTTAAACGCAAGTACTCCTGTACGCTGGCGTATGCAATGCAATAAAGCTGACCAGTAGTCGTGTCTGCTGAGATATAATATGAACTGAAAAAATTGGCGTTGAAGCCCGGGAATAGAAGTGGACCTGAAGAAAGGGTTCAGGCTCCGGATGAAAAGGTCGTTGACACATAAGATGCCTCGCCCTGTAGATCGATACAGGGGGCATGGATGGTTGTGAGGTTCAAAAGAACCGCACTCAACATGAAAGCGTGGGTTTCGAGTGACTGCAGAGAGAGGCCAGATTCTTCATCATACACGAATTGGACAGTCGATTGTCAATTCGCGAATCAAAATGGCCGGTACTATGTAGACTTTCGAGTCGTATCGCATGACGGAAGACATGTCTTGCTGGGTGGATAGGTACTCAACACCCAGCTCGTTTCTGACAAGAAGCAACCACGACAGAGATGTCGTCCATTTTGCCTGCGAGGAGTCAGTATTCCATCTAATAACAAAAGGTACCTAAACGAACCTCCTTCAATAGCAAGCCCTTCATCAATCGCCTTCTCCATATACGGGCTCTCCGCAAATGGATCCTGAGCAATCGCCAGAGCAGCATTCATCAACTCCCTCGCCACATAGACCATACGATCATTTGACAGATCCGACGAGGCCAGCTCAGCCGTCTCTGCGATTCCCTGGTCCCATTTCTTGAGGCTATCCAGGATATTTGTCATAACCTCGTGCTCCCACAGGTTATCCATCACGCCGTCCGACACGACCAGTACAATGTCATCTTCTTGTATATCGACCTTGGTCATCACCGCGTCCTTGCGGGGTGTATCGATGCTGTTGGTGCCGAGTTGCATGGGACAGTCAAACCAGTGCCATTGCTCGGTTGTACTGAAGAGGATCCTCTCTTCCTTGGGTCGGATGACGATAACTTTGCAATCGCCTAGGTTCGTTACGTAGAGAAGGGGTTTTTGTGTGCCATTGTCTCCGTTGGTCCAATGAAGGAGTGCCGTGGCGGATGTGGTGGTTCCTAGCCATTCGTTTGGGGTACTTGTTGCGCGGACGGTTTCCTCAAAAGCTAGTTGGAGATATTCGACCGGGTCAGGGGTAGCGGTTGCGGAGAGGTTGCGATCGATCTCTAGAGCCCAGAAATGCAGGAGAAGCCTGGACCATAATCTATTTCCAGATGTTTTGTTAGCTATGAATGGGTACCAAAGTCCGTGGAAGTAGAAGAACTCACGCTGCATGACCACCAGGTCTCGTCGCCCAGGCCCCTACCCCGTCATCTACTCCGAGAAAGTTCTCGGCAACGATAACCGCATCGTCTCCATTGTTCAAGCCACGGATCAGCTCACCCTTGACGGATAATGTCTTATCCTGGGTAGTCAAGGGATCGGAAAAGGATGAAGACGGCGGAGACAAAAATGGTGGGGGGAAGGGACGGGAAGGGCGCTTAGCACATAGAGCGTAGCCGGTCTCGAATCTGAATGGGGATTGGAGGCTTTGGTAGTGGTTAGGGACGGGTGTGGTGGTGCCATATGAGGGCCACTGAGCCGCGTGGTATTGCCGAAGCTGCGGCGTCTCTAGCTTTAGTCGGCCCGAGGTGAATACCGGGGACGATCTATAACTGGTCCACCATGATGATAATAGTGATGAGAATGAGAATGAGAGTGACGGTGGAACCCTTGCCGTAGTCACCATGCCTTGACTTGGGTTCTCACAGTTGAACGGCCAGTCAGATTTGGGTGAAAGGGATTGGAGAGGTTTGCAATGCAATTTCAGGACAAAGTCATTGGCTGGTATAGAATTGGATTGGAAATTTAAGAAAGAATCACAGAATACTTGAACAGTGGAAAGAAAAGAGGATTTTTTCATGTCGGTATTCACCGGTGAGGGTACATTTTTGATCTCGAACGTTGAGTGGACTGTTAACGCCGACCGGGAAACTGTTCTCTCCTCTACGTTGTAGGGCGTGTCATATGAAAATGCAAGTTTCCCCCACTCCCCATAACAATCTGGAACTATTGATCTGATCTTCCTTCTATTTCAGGGGGAGGGGATCTGGGGTATTAATACAAACTATACCTACTATTGAAAATAGAAGTTCCTTCTAGACCCATTGATCGCCCGCCACAGAGAAAAGCTGAGAATGGTCTACAACAAATTCGATGTTTACGTTACCTACAATTAACCTCCACGCGATGCCCGGTTTTCGCCGTCGGAAAACACTACAGCTGCCCGAGATAGTTTCGTGTTGAGGGTCCACGCTTATCTTGACTCATACTGACATTATCTGCGATTATTATCATCTGAGATACCGCCCGTGCAGCTTCTGCCCATGACTGTGCATGGCGCAAGCATCGCAGATGCCGAGAGCACAATATTCATTTTTCATACTCCGTAATTGGAGAGTCCTTTGGATAAGAGGGGATTGTGGTCATTGAAGGTAAGGCTTTGGAGTCGATCTTGAGTGGCTCAGACCCCTTGCGAACTCTCAACCGCAAAGGCACACCGACTCGACACGGGAAGAGGACCGTGTCTTGGTTAAGGTTGTCGATGCCACCTGTGATGAGGCCGGTATCACATATACATATTACTGCCTCTCGAGTGCGTCGACCTGTCAGCCATACTTCGGATTGCATCACTTTTACAGGGTGATTAGAAGTTTGCCCTCGGCAGCTGACCGACTTGGCAGACAGATTGGACTCCTTGAGCAAACTGTTTAGAGGGCCTGACACTCAATTCCATTTATGATGCTAGTTTTGTTTGATAGACTAATGTATTCCTAAGAAGCATAGCAGTGGTACTCGAACTACCGTCATGTCATAAACTCCGATAAATGCTGCCATAAAATGGAGTCAATTCAGATCCAGTTAGTCTCTACACCAGTAGACCGCTCCTTTTGGATCTCCATCGCAATCGCGTTGAAGATAACGATCATTTCCAGCAGCATGACGTCCTCACGGGCGTCTGGCTTCAGAGCTGCCAGTCCCTGGAATCCAGCCACGGCAACAGTGTCGACCCTGGTGGTGAAGTTGAACCGGCCAGTTCGCTTACTGTTAATGGCGAGCTGCATACGGAGCTGACGTTCGGCGCAAGGGCAGCGACGCTCAACGTCGTTAGTACACTTGCGAGCGCAGAAGCAGACCGATTTGCAGATACACTTAGCGTGCTTCACCTCGTTCAACAGGCGAAGACGAATATTCTGGTCCTCATGGCGGCATTCTCCGACACATTTTCCTTCTAGCTTAGCCAGCGTGCCGAGGCGGTGGTCGAGGATGATTTCCCTCTCGCGGATGACTGGATCGATCATTTCCAGATTAGTAAAAGGAAGGTCTTTTAAGGCGATATCGCTCTCCGGCACATGCTTGGGGACCATGGTGAAGTATCTCTCGGAAAGCACAGTCATGGTCTCAGGCGGGAAGTCGGGGAAGTTGGTAATGAGACTGTCCCATTTCTTGCGATAGGAAGAATGTCGGTTGTTAACAATGCTGTAGGCGTATCGGCGGTATCCCAGGATATCATCGTTGATGAACGGTCCCTGTCGGGCATCTTTGCAGATAAGCATCCGCACGTAGCCTTCCATGAACTTGGCAACAAGATTGTTATCACGCTCTTCGCAGATACCTGGTGAGTCGAGGATATCCTTGAACAAGAGAAAGAGGCGATACATATGGTTAGGATCGGGCATGTAGAACTGACGGTCTTTCGTCGTCGCCGGACGAACTTCCAATTTGAACAGGGCACACAGCTCGATTCCTGCCATCTCGAGTTTGAGTCGTGAATAGAGAGCATAGAAGAGGTGCTCAATGATAGTGATAAGCTCGGCGAGGGAATCAGTCCGGATGTTGGTCTCGGCTTGCTCGATCCAGTACATGAGGCCCGTCTCCGAGGTGTCGAGCTAAAACAGTCATCAGTCTGCATGATGTGAAGGATTCCTTCACATACCTCGATACCGTAGCCCAGAAATGCTATCTGCACAATCTTTGAGATGGCATAAACCTGAGCGAAAATCTTAAGCGCATCCTTGAAATGCATGGTGATTTGAGCCTCGGTCAAGTCATCCAGGGACAGTACCTGGGATGTCAACCGGGATGCTCCATAAGTTGGAGATGGCGATGGTGAGCTCGGAGTCACAGCTAATACCCATTCCTCACTGCTAACCCTATATGGACCGGAATGTCGTTTCAACACCTGCTCCAACGCGTCAAGTCAGTTATTTTCCTTTCTTCTCATAGTTGCAAGGCGTGAGAGAGAATTTATAGAACTTGCCACAACACCCTCCTCGTTCTCGTCTTGGGTATCGTTTTGATTCATGTCGAATGATGATTCTCCTTGGAGGTAAAGCTCCGAGTATCTGTAAATTCCGTCGCGATGATCCTCGACTGTGTCGACCCAGACTTCTGAGCCTACAGACTTTTGGTCATCGCTGGGAGTCGTAGGGGTTCTGGATTGTTCAGAATCGCGTCTGTGGCGGAGTTTGGGGAAAGAGAAGTTCCAGATGTGACTCTTCTTCCTGTAAAGGTCGTTCATTTCGAAATTTGTTGTCGGCGACTTTTTATGAATATCAAGTCACCAACCAAAGGAATATTTTGAATTTGGGGGGGGTCAAGATCAAATTCTTTCTCTGTTCTACAGTGGATGTCAATTCGAGGAGGTATCGAGTGAAGCATTCTGGGGCAGCCACGGTCGTACTTGTCAAGTTAGGGTTACCGCTTCCACTTCCACTTCGGCCACCGCAATTCACTCAAGTACTATACTAGACTCTACTGGAAAGGAATAAGTCAAGTATAAATAAAAAAGCTTTGCTGGTTCATAAAACGCTCCTCCAAGGATATCAACATGAAGCCACAAGTTAACTTTGCACACGGAATGTCCGACCACTGGCGGTCTTGCGCTCACGCTCTTCATTCTCCGGTCTGGCTCGGTTGAGAACTGTATCCAGTTAGTAATTAGTATGACCAAAGGTATTAGAGACATACCTTGCAGGAAGTCCGCTGTGCGCTTGCGCATACGGGTGTGAATGTACGCCTGTCAAAACGCCAAAGGTCAGTCGGTCAATCCGATATAGTAGTAATCTCAGATACAATACCTTCGAAGCCTTGATGTGGTAATGGAAGTAGTCACGGAAGGTCTGGATATGGGAAATGTTGTCGTAGCGGCGCTGGGGGGTCAAGTGTCGGGGGAACAGAACTATGTATGTTAGTGACTTCGATCAAGTTCCATGATGAAAAGTTTCCGTACCAAAAGTAACATAGCTAATTTCACCCTCGCCTGCACCGGCCAGACCAGGAACACCCTGCAACTCCAATGGAGCATCGTTGCGGAACAGCACTTGGGGAGCATTCTGGAGAGTCACAACACGACGTCTGGCATCCACAAATTCCTAAGAACCATTAACGTCAGATAAAACAAACCATCCAATGTTGAAGATCAAACAAACCTGCAAAAAGACCTTGCCAAAGATGCGATCTGTCTCCTCCCGGAACACAGTGCTGAAGATTACAGTCACCCGGTCAAAGCTCGCTTTAATGTAGATAGCCTCCTCCTCACGGTAATGGATGGCCATCACCTCGCCACCCTCCTTCATACCTTGTGGCGCTGACTCCGAAGTGTAACGTGAAGCCTCTTCCGCAAGCTTGTTGAATTCATCAAATGCTCTCTCAAATGGGGCCGCCATGGCATTGCGCTTCAGCAGGGCGAGCTTCATGATCAATTCATCCCGAGCCTCCTGCTCAGCAGGCAAGTTTTCGAGATCAACCTGTACAGAGAAATCATAGCCTGGCTCGGGGGACACAATGTAGGGACCGTATTCCCGCTCAAGCACCTCCTGGGCGCCATACTGAACGAGCTCCTTGAAGCATTTCACGTGGATCGAAAGCAAGATCTTAGTTTTGGACTCGGGGGTGGAAACGTGGAAGGTCACTCCGTCAAAGTCAGAGGCCACTTGGTCAATCGAGGCTGGGGGAGCTCTGCGGGCACGGGTTAGCTGGGGGCCTGGCAGGAGTGTATACAATGGAGCCGGGAGGGGAATGGGCGGGGATGGAGAAGGTGGAATTGTACCCAGAAAACCGCTCCGTGAGGAGCGATTGAATCAAAACATTCTGATAATCCAAGAGCAGCATGACGGGCAAAGATAATGAGTGTCAACAAGATGGCAGGTTGAGAGGAGGGCAACCCGCGATCGTCATTACCGGGCGGTGGGGGAGCCGGACGGGTCGCTCTCGCCGCCCGTACTAATTTTTGTGCTATCGATAGCAAGAGTCTACGATTCTCCAAAAATTTTCCCATCCACCCCACGATGGTGAAATCTTACTAGTAGGTGCCAATTATGATTGAAAATTGGTACCTGATTGTCTAACATTGGATTTCTTTAGCAAATTCGAGCATTCGAGCACGTTCGGGCTCATCGCCTCGGCGGCGTCCAATGCGATCTGGGCCAAGGATGAGCAGGTCCCAGGCGCAGCCCGCCAGACAGGTGCCGGTCGAGCGATCGTGGGTGCCAGTGAGGAGGTTCTTTGCTGGGATGTGAAGAAGGGAGAACTATTGGGCCGGTGGCGCGATTCCGCGTGCAAGGCACCTGTGACCGTTGTCATCCAGAGCAAAACGGATGAAGATATCTTCGCAGTCGGGTAAAGACTTTCCTGCCAGCATGGATACAAGTTGGTCGCTAATATTCACTCTTCTGTTTCCAGCTACGAGGATGGCAGTATTCGCATCTGGGATGCGCGGACTCGCACTGTCATTATTTCTTTCAATGGTCACAAGTCTGCCGTGACCCAGATGGCCTTCGACAACGCCGGTGTGCGCCTTGCCAGTGGCTCCAAAGACACCGACATTATCGTCTGGGACTTGATCACCGAAACTGGTCTTTTCAAACTTCGCGGACACACCGACCAGATCACCTCCCTCCACTTCCTTTTCCCTTCCGCGGAGCTACTTACTACCTCCGGACTCATCGAACACCCCGGTTTTTTGTTGACGACCGGCAAGGATGCACTGGTCAAGGTCTGGGATCTTGGATCACAGCATTGTATCGAGACACATGTCGCGCAGACAAACGGCGAGTGTTGGAGCTTGGGTCTTTCTCCGGACCAAGGTGGATGCATTACTGCAGGAAATGATGGAGAGCTGAAGGTCTGGTCTATCGATGAGAACACGATGGTTGAGATCTCGAAGGAGAAGGTCAGCGCGGACGGTCGCAAAATCATGACGGACCGAGGAACCTTCTACCGAAACGGCAAAGACCGCACAATTGGTATTCGATTCCACCCTCGCTTGGATTATGTTGGTTTGCATGGCTCGGACAAGTCAGTCGAAATTTGGCGTATTCGTTCCGCGACAGAGGTGCAGAAGAGCATGGCCCGCAAGCGCAAGCGGAGAAAGGAGAAGGAGGCCCAGCGTGAGGGTGAAGCTGAAGAGAAGGTCGAGGCTGAAGAGAAGCCTGAAGATATTTCTTCTGCACCTATTACAGAAGTCTTTGTTCCTCATGTCATTGTTCGCACCGGTGGAAAGATCCGTTCATTCGACTGGATGCTCAATAAATCCAGCAATCTCAACATCCTAGCAGCAACGTCGAATAACCAGCTGGAGGCCTATAGCATTGTTACAGCAAACAAGAAGAACAAAGATGAGGAGGAATCTGACTACACCCGCAGCCTAGCTGTGGATATTCCAGGTCACCGAACCGATATCCGATCGATTGCCCTGAGCTCCGAGGATCGCATGCTGGCTTCCGCCTCGAACGGTAGCCTCAAGATCTGGAATGTACGCACAGGAACCTGCTTGCGTACCCTCGAGTGTGGCTATGCGCTTTGCTCCGCATTCCTTCCCGGTGACAAGATCGTGGTGATTGGAAACAAGAATGGAGAGTTGGAGGTCTTTGATATCGCTTCCTCCACATTGCTGGACACCATCAAGGCCCATGACGGCCCTGTCTGGTCAATGCAGGTGCACCCGGATGGCAAGTCCGTGGTTACTGGAAGTGCCGATAAAGAAGCGAAGTTCTGGGAGTTCAAGGTTGTGCAGGAAGAGATCCCCGGTACTAAGCGCACTACTCCCCGTCTCCGACTGGTTCACACCAGAACTTTGAAGGTCAACGAAGACATTCTCAGTCTCCGATTCTCGCCGGACGCGCGCCTTCTGGCTGTTTCCATGCTGGACAACACTGTGAAGGTCTTTTTCGTTGACTCGCTCAAGCTCTTCCTGAACCTATATGGCCACAAGCTTCCTGTTTTAAGCATGGATATTTCTTACGACAGCAAGTTAATTGTCACTTGCTCGGCCGATAAGACTGTCCGTCTGTGGGGTTTGGACTTTGGTGACTGCCACAAATCTCTGCACGCTCACGAGGACAGTGTCATGGCAGTTGCATTCGTTCCCTCCAACAAGCAACAAAACGGCCATAACTTCTTCAGTGCAGGCAAGGACCGAGTCATCAAGTACTGGGATGGCGACAAGTTCGAGCAGATTCAGCGACTGACCGGTCACCATGGAGAGATCTGGGCATTGGCTATCAGCCGTACAGGTGATACTATTGTTACTGCCAGTCACGACAAGAGTATTCGCATCTGGCAGGAGACTGACGAACCGCTGTTCCTGGAGGAAGAGCGTGAACGGGAAATGGAGGAAGCTTATGACAACACTCTGACTGCATCTCTTGAGCAGGACGAGGACGGTGAAGATGGCGAGAAGGCTGAGGCAGTTGATGCCGGCAAGCAAACCACAGGCACCCTCATGGCTGGTGAAAAGATCATGGAAGCTCTGGACCTGGGCATGGAGGATCTCGAACTCGTTCGCGAATGGCACGAAACCAACCCTAACAGCGCACCTCCCAACCGCAACCCGATCTACCTCGCCTTTGGCAACATCTCAGCAGAGCAACACGTCTTGAAAACCGTGTCCAAGGTCCCCGCCGCCGCCCTACAAGATGCCCTCCTCGTTTTGCCCTTCAACAAGCTCCCCGCCCTCTTCACCTTCCTCAACATCTGGGCCGAGCGCGAGTGGAATGTGCCCCTGACCTGCCGCGTCCTGTTCTTCATGCTCAAGACTCACCACCGCCAGATCGTGGCCAGCAAGATGATGCGCCCAATGCTGGACAGCATCCGGTCCGCCCTGCGTCGGGTTCTTTCCCGCCAAAAGGACGAGATGGGCTTCAACTTGTCTGCACTGCAGTACATCGGCACCCAGATCCGTGAACTGAGCACTAAGGATTACATTGATGAGGAGAAATGGACGGCGCCCGAGACACAAAAGGGAACGGGCAAGAAGCGGCAATTCGTGAGCGTGGCATGATAGGCCATGGAGCATGTTCAATAGGCGTTTGACATTGATTTGATTTTTTAATGTTTATTCTACAAAAGTTGGATATCCTTGGGAGTTAAGAGCCAAGATCGAGGAATGTATTATACTAGATCTACTTTTAAATGATCGCTTGCATCGTATATATCGAATTCAGGTATTTCAAAATTTCCATTATAATTATTGTGAACTAAATACTCTAGCTTTGACCAACTTCAGTCGCACCACCCTTAATCCATCCACCCAGCCAAACAAGTACCGAAGGGGAACAAACAAGATGCTAGGGTAAAGTTAGCGACATGACCCACAAACTCAAGACCCATCAAGCCAGCAAGAAAAGCAGAGCTCGAAACATTTATTTCAGCGGAACCATTATAAGCATCGACGACACCGTATCCTCTTTGGGTATACTGGTGCCATACCTCTTCCGGCTCTTCCTAATTGTTTCGGTTCAATGCAGTTTCTCATCATTTTAAATGTTTCGAGCTTTGCATTTCTGTTTCAGGCTGGTGGGGTTATTGTAACGTACCATTGCTGTTATTACCAGCACAGACAATGGATCCACTCATTCATGGTCCTTGTCCATGCTGGCATGGGTGTTTGGTGAGGTGTGGAGGGAAGAAGAGAAGGTTGGAGCTCGTGAAAATAAATTTGCTGTGTTAGCGGGTGGAGCTTCGCTTAGTCATGTATCACGTGTCGTGTATAGAGATCAGCTAGTTGGCGCGGAAGAATGGAGTAAGTTAATGAAGATAATGAAAAGGCATAATTTGTTCTATTGATCTTGTTTATCTGTTCATAATATAATACTCGTAAAGTCACATATTCCTGTCCAGGGAGATCAAGAAGATGGCTTCATTGATCCACATAATGAACATGTCCACCATTGAGTCTCCATAAAAGTACCACATGAGCAGACCCATCCTAGTGGTCGTTTGTTGGCATCTCGATCTAGCGATGACAGGGTATCCAAGGCGCGGGTGCGGTTTTTGAATTTGAAGGCATCCCGGGGAGGGTCTTTTTTCACCTCAATATTATCTCCCAGGGCACGCTTCTTCTGGTTTTGGGGTTCTGTATTAGCACTCTTGGTAGATGTTTGTCTTGATGGACCCTTGGCCTTGGTATTTGAAGGAGTCGGTCTTTCGGCAGCACAGACATCACAGCATAGAAAGTTGGACGGATTCTCCAATGTACACATCGGGCATATCCATGGAGCGTCGTATGAACTATTGTTGGCACGGGACGAGCTGAATGGAATAGCGGGTGGTCGCTTAACTGGTAAAGACTTCTCTGTATCTTTGACAGACAGTTTAGACGGCGATGCCTCTGTTCGAGGTCCTGCCGGATTCTCTTGGCTCGGAGGCACATAAGAAGACCCATATTTTTCACGTTCCTCCTCCTGGATCAGCTCAATAAAGGCTTGCAGAATTGCTTCGTCGTTTGCATCGTCCTCTTCTGCCTGTGTTCTAAATCCATTTCTGGATTCCTCCTCCAAGAGCTCGGCTTCTCGGTCTGTTCCGGAGGCACACCCATTCATTACCTCGAGACGACGCTGGGCGGCATCCGCTCGAACCTTGCGCATATCTGTTCCACGAAGCAACGGAGCGCCCCCAAGCCTCTTACCCGAGTTCTTGGAGAGTGTTCGCCGCTTTTCAGCAGTAGCGCGGGCTTGTCGGCGAGCTTCATCCAGGGGGATTCTGGAGCCGCCAAGGCGTTTACCTTGGGAAAGGAAACCTTCCCCTGTGTAACCCTTGATCACAAGTTCCTCATGTTCATCACGGAGCTGGTTCCACAGAGCATGAAAATCTCGGTTATGGGGTCCATGAACAATGTGAGACAATCTAGTTCATGGATGAGCTCGAGCTCAAGCCTTGGTATTTGAGGGGTGACTTACTCGTGCAGCATCGTATCCACAATCTGTTCAAAGGGAAGGAATTGCTTTTGATCAGAAGCATACCGTAGCCTCAGGCAAATCTTCTGGCCACCGTTGACATTCAGTCCTAGGAGATTGCCTTGGCGTGGATAAAACTCGCATAAAGCACCCACCCTCCAAGAGCGCTGGCGCATGATCGGCTTGACGATGGAGGCCACTTTACGCAACATGAAGAGGGCTTCTGATTCGCGCGGGCGTGATTTTTCATGTCGGTATTCTGAGATGAGAGGGTCCAGTTCGCGCATTTTGGATGAGTTATGCAAACAGATGAAAGAAGGGGAATGAAGTGAGCATCGGAGGCTAGGGCCTCTCCCAGGGTATCATTCTCCAAATAGGCAGTTTCTAGAGTTTTCAACACCCCATCTGTATTTCAAATAATGCCGAGGAAGAGCACGAGGGCGTTGTCGAATGCAAGAACGAGGTTGGGAATCGCTGGTTGATAATCACCTCTTTGGCCTGATAAACAAGGCACAAATTCAAGTAGAATGATGGTCACGTGCATGGTTACGATTCCAAGCAAACGAAGTTTTCCACATGCAACTCTCATGAAGAAAGATCTGGGGCAATTTGGATAAGTGTAATTGCCATTAATCAATAGTTTTGCAAACTGAGAGTATCTTTTCCTTTGATTTTGGCAATCTATGTATGTATGTACAAAGATGATCTTCTCATGCACCACATAGCAGATATATACATATTCTACTGTCTTCCACAACTTGAAGAGCTAAACTCTCAATTTCAGAGAACCATAACACACTCCAAGCTTCAAGCATTACCCAGTATATAGTCTAAATGGATTTTGTTCAGATGAAAAATGGATCAAACTACATCCGACGTTCATCATCCAAGATTCTTTATTGCTCCCGCATCTTCCACGGAAGCCCATGTGACCGAGAAGGCCTATTTTATCAGACACAATCTTATCGCCGCTTCGATATTTTTTCTATTCAAGTTTTACCAACTCAGACAACATGCCAAGTGACGATCAGTTCTTCCCTGAATATGTGAGACTTTTCGAGAATACACCCTTGGGTATGATCATAGTACTAATAATCGGTTTCTGCGCAGCTTGCTTCCCTACCCAATGACGTAAGGCGGTACTCCGAACAAGTCGCCGACTCGATCGATCGATCCGTCGACCAGGCAGCGAACGCCATTCGGAATACTCTATCGGAACAGACATGGCTACCGTCTACTGTGCGACCGCGGATGCGCGCTTCTCAGATGCGCGCATCTCCCCGTGGTCTGACCGACCGAGTCCAGGACTGGATGATTCGGAACCGCGCGTGGACCGCGGCTATCCTTGCGTTTGTCGGCACGGGCTGTATTTTGCTGTATGGAAGTAAGAAACTAAACGGAAAACGGAGAAAGGCTAGAAAAGCCGGGAATGGGTCCCGGAAAGAGATTGTTGGTTAGTTGGCAGAGCTTTACGATATGGATATGCGCTAAAATGTTGCAGTCATTGCTGGATCACCACATGAGCCTATGACCAGGGCGATCGCGGCGGATTTGGAGCGCCGGGGATACATTGTCTATGTGACAGTATCCTCTGCAGACGAGGAACACATTGTCCAGTCCGAGAAACGGGCTGATATCAAAGCGCTTTGGTTGGATCTTACCACTGCAAGTATCTCCAAACTCCAGTACAATATATGAGCGCAGTAGCTAACATTATTTCGCAGACATCCTCGAACCCTTCAGACCTTCACCCCTCCTTGCACGAACTCCGCACCTTGATCACACAGCCCCAGTCCCCCTCACCAGGAATGCCTTCGCATACCTGTCAACTAAGCGGTCTGATCATCGTGCCGTCTCCCAACTACGCCGGAGGCCCCGTCGCGACCATTCCTCAGTCCTCATGGGCAGACACCATCAACACCCGCATCCTGTCACCAATCCTTACCGCGCAGGCCTTCCTCCCCCTAATGACTCTCCGCAATAACAACAGCTCCATTGTCTTCGCCTACCCAGCCATCTCCTCATCTCTATCCGCCCCCTTTGCCGGTCCAGAAGTCACCGCCACCCGCGCTATCTCCGGATTCGCAGCCTCCCTTCGACAAGAGCTCCGACTTCTGGAACGTGGCAACGTTGACGTTGTCGAGCTTCGTATGGGTAACATTGACCTGGGACCTGCTTACCGCAACCCCCAGGCACAAATCACTGGAACGGAGGTCCTGGCCTGGAGTGTCCAGCAGCGCGCCCTTTACGCTCCCCAGTATATGTCCAGCATTGAACAGCGACCTGTTGCATCTGCCGGTCCCGGCGCCGTAAGAGGTTCCTCAGCGCGTTGCCTCCACCACGCTGTAATGGATGCTCTGGAGCCTCCAACGCTCAACTTCCTGGGACAGAAGAAGTCTAAGAAGTCGGTCATGTACGTTGGCCGGGGCGCTCGGTCCTATAGTGTGATTGGCGCGTGGGTCCCGAGTGGACTGGTTGCCCTAATGATGGGCTATCAAAGCGGAAATGCAGGCACTGAGAGCCCCAGCAGTGGCAGTGAAAACAGCTGGGAGCGGGTTTAGCTCTGAAACGATGAGAAGCAAACATCTTCTCCACTTCTTTTGTACTCTTAAGCTTAATATGGAACTCTGTATATGGTTTCTTGATCCTCTTCGCTCTTAAAGACATCATGCTTGATTAACATTATCCGTCGGCACATTAAGCGTGAAATCACGTCTACTAAGGCGACGTCTACTAAGGCGACGTCTACTAAGGCGACGTCTACTAAGGCGTTCCTTGTTCGTATCATATTGCTGTGATCATCATTCTCTCATGCAGAGCCCGAGGTAAAACAGATGACCTACCCGTGGACCTTTTCTGCGCCGAAATACTCATCCTATCTCTACCGGATTCGATGAAGAAAATTGGATTTCTCTGGGGGTTTGCACAGCTCGTAGCCAGGAGGAAACTACTTGCTTAGTAGAGAGTCTCGAGCGGGGCTCAAGATTCGGGATCGCGATTCAACCTGGAAAGCGAATTAAACGGCAGTCCCTTTCATCTCACTTGACTGCGCTTGCACCTCGATATTCTCCGCGAAGTCATCTCTGCGCATGGAATCATACGGAGACCTTTTCCTCTTGTCCCCAGTCACTCGTTTGCGCAACCAGATCAACCCCATAGAAATAAAGAAGATGACCAGGATAGCAGCCAGGATTCCGAAACAATACCCCGCGACAGTCCCGCTCTTCCTACCATGCTCAGGATTCAGGAAACTATAAGTCCAGAAACCCTGATCATAGTATGTGATATACGCCACACAGAGGTAAAGCAGCAAGACGAGGATCAGAACCGGAAAAGCAATCCAGGGGTGCGGAGCGGTAGCCGGAAGGAAAATTTCCAGAAGCGCATAAAGAGAGTTGAGTCCATGCTGAGAGATCTGCATAAACTCATTAGCCGCAATTAAATTCGCCCAAGAATGCAGGGGTGCATCAAACCACAGGAACCTACATTCGACCACCCCGGAAACGTAACCTTATAGAACGGCGGCTTGAACAAAATCCCCCAGAAGACAATCGTCACGAGAAATGGGTAAGTGGTGATACTCGCATACAGCAGACCATGGAGCACGCGACATACGCGAGGGCAGCGATCGAAGAGTACGGAGCGACCCGTCCGTGCGTAGAGGGCTGTGTGGATGGTGGAGACCAGGAAATAGAATCCTAGCCCCCAGTAAGTAAGCCAGGTGAAGTAGCTAAAGGATTCATCGATTGCGATACGGTCATCGTGTGTGCCGTACCAAATCCAGATGATAATTATAGTGGTGAAGATGTAGAGGGCGATTAGACCGCGGAGAGCTGCTAGAAGGGCTGGTGGGAGGAGCCATGAGGTTTCAAATTGGTGAAGGTGATCGTCGGAGGGATCGGCGCCGATCAGCGACGCTCTTGAGGGTCGCATGGTAGAATCTTCACTGTGTTCAGTGGGTAGTACAGACTCCGGAGTTTGAGGACATTTGGAGGCTGTAGCTTGGTGTAGCCTTTGGTTCCCTCGTATACGAAGGTTTAACCAACCAACCCCGCGCTGAAAGTGGAAAGTAAGAATCAGAAACCATTTCTACAAGGTATCATCGCTTAACCATCCTGGGTTCATGCCAAGCGTCAGGCAAAGTTGGGACCATGCCGCTTTGGTTGGCCCTACCCAGAACGAATTGCAGTCGAATTGCAGTCATTGGCCAGTCATCCGAATCAGTCATTGATCAGTCATTGACTAGGAGGTAACAGTACGTACTCAGGGCTTAAAAGTAGGACTGAAAGATCGGATTGGTTAACATGGACCAGTCTCGATGCGGGATTACTCCGAGATGCAACTGCGGGGCGGAAGTAGAAACCATTCCGGCGCAAGTTTTGGGGGTTAAGGCGATTGAACTCGGATAATTATAGAGATATAAAAAGCAACATTAGCTATACGTACTTAACTACTAGTAATAACTAGCTAACACTGAAAAAAATGTATAGAACTCATGTATGTCACCCCTGAATAGCAAAATTTCATAAGTTGACATCTCCACAATGACACGTATAATTGGTAGACCAAACCCGAAGAAGAATAGATTAACGTATGAAACAATACCAAAATAGCCCGTGTGGGGGAGTGAGGATTCTAGAAGGTCAAATATTCCAATGGTGTCAATACTTACCCCTGAATCTATCCTTACAATTATACACCAGTAGGATTTAATTACAGATTAGGGAGTACATGAGTAGATTACGTAGAGTCGTATTCTGTTTACTCCTTATAACTAGTATACTTTGTTGTTATATCTTCCCCTTTAAGTGGATCCGTGCACGGTGTTGTCATCGTGTTCATTGTGATCGTCAGGGCCTCGCCCGTTTTTCTCCTTTCTCTTTACCAACTCTTTGGGCTGTCACTCCTTTGGCCTCATCGCCTTTCCGCCCTGAAATTCAACTCCATGACCTAATACCTTCATCCTCATCTGGACCTTAGGCGCCTATTACCCGACCACCCGAGCCTTACACCTCCCTGACTTGGACCAACACTTTGACGACTGATCGAATAGACCCGGGACCGTACCATGATGAACCAGCGAGCGAAACTGAGCGAATGCCGCTCCAACTCTCACGACACCCTGCGAGGAGGGATGCCCTCCCCAAGGATCTCTCATTTCGACGGCGAAGTCCCTCCCGCCCTATCTCCCCTCGATGCCTTTGCCGCCCAGGGCCGATTTCTGGCCCGACAGTTAGATGAGTCCAGACTAGGTGAACGGCGAATGAGTCGCCTACCTCCCTCCAGCGTAGCCCGATCGCTGTCCCGCCCCCGACCAGGCTACTTCCGCTCCGCGAACAGCGATTCCAATACAGAGGGTCTGACGCGCCGACCGACACAGAAGGGCCTCCCAGAGCTAGAGGAGCCAAAATATCGTCCAATGTCAGAGCATCCCCGCTTCAGCTCGATTTCACACGCTAGCAGCAATGCGGCGAGCTTCTACGACGACGACGAAACTACCCCCAGGACAACCATGATTCAGGAGGACCCCAGCGTGTGGGGAATACCTCGGGCGGAATCACCCGAGGAGGACTCGGTGCTTGCAGACGATACTGAAAGCTCAGTGGGAGTGACTTTGGTAGATACATCGCGTCAGTCGTCGACGGACTCCGTTACCAGCAAACTCCATATTCCACGAACCCTGGCCCCACCGGTTTCGCCGCATTCACGACCGTCTAGCAGCGCCCGCGCGGCTCAACTGGACTCTGATGATGATTACAGTAGCTCCAATGCAGGTTCGACATTCTCCAAGCCACGGAAACTGTCAACGGGAAGTGCTGTGTCAATTCCGTACTCACCTATGTCGACCTTTCCAGCTCGGTCGCATCCTCGTTCGCCTTCAATAAGCTCCGAAACGTCGACCGGCACCAGCTATCTAGCGCGACCCTCCTTTAATTTCTCCCGGCCTCTGAGTCGATCCAGCACCAGCCTCTCAGCACCTGGAGCCCCAGAGCCAACTACCGCCCCGGCTCCCACCCCCCAGCGGCATCAGTCGAACCATATGCACCGTCCGAGCAAACCTCACCCGATTATGGTTCCTTTGTCCACTGACATGGGAGCTACTCAACCGCTCGACGGCGAGCCATCCTCGGCGGTGTCATCGTTTGTGTATGCCAAGTATGCGCTGCCGCGTGGACGTGAGCCCTCTCGAGACTCGGTGATCTTTGCAGGGCTACAAACTCCGCACTTTGAATGGAATGAGCCTTTGTTTGAGAATTCTCCCCCGCGAGAATCCGCAGATATCCCCCGTCCTGTTCGCACTCCGCCGCCGACCACACATCACCCGATGGATCATTCGCCAGAGCCAAATTCGATGCACGAGATTCCCACTCCTGCGCCTAGACAGACAACACCAGCTCCACCTTCACCAAAACCACCAACCTCTTCACCTAGGCCGTCGACTTCTTCCTCGAAACCGCCTTGTTCACCGCAACCGCCGACCTCGCCAATGCCAGCTGCAGCCACACTGGCTACTCCCGAGAAACCTAGACCTTCAACAGAGTCTACTCGCAAGAGTGATAAGATCGAGACGGCCTCGTCGGCTGGCTCTGCGAGCACATTACGTCCGCAGACTGCCGCGACCCAGGCACCATCGACTGCCGTGTCTGCCGATGATCATGTTACCAAGGGAATTGAATTACACGAGAGCGGATCTTTGAATGAATCTACCTATCACTTGCGGATTGCTGCGAAGCAGAATCACCCCACTGGAATGTTGCTTTACGCACTCGCTTGCCGTCATGGTTGGGGTATGCGATCCAATCAGCAAGAGGGTGTGCGGTGGCTACGGAAGGCTGTGGATTCCGTGGGATTGGAGATGTTGGAGAACCCCGACGCTCCTGGTGCTTCTAAGGCAAAAGAGCTGCAGAAGGCATATCGCGCGCAATTTGCTCTCAGTATCTACGAGTTGGGCGTTAGCCATTTAAACGGTTGGGGTATCGAGCAAGATAGGTCTCTTGCTCTTCGTTGTTTCGAAATCGCCGGTCAGTGGGGTGATGTCGACGCTATGGCAGAGGCTGGTTTCTGCTACGCGGAAGGCGTTGGTTGCAAGAAAGACATGAAGAAGGCCGCACGTTTCTACCGGCAAGCCGAGTCCAACGGCATGAGTATGGTCGGCAACAGCTGGTAAGTCTCAACCCTTTACCTATTCAAGTATCTACTAACAATCCAATAGGATTTACAAAGAAAAATACATGACGGACGAGGCCAAAGAAGCTGCCAAAGAGACTCGTGCACGCGGTCGAACTGTCAGCAGTGACAAGAAGAGCAACTCACGCAATAAATCGCGCACGCGCAGTATCTTCCAGCGGAAAAAGTCCGTACCCGAGCCATAAACTATTCGAAGCCCTACATCCAGAAACCCGAGTCGAAACAAAACCTTGCATCCCGCAAAGCGTTTTTAAAGCGTTCCGAGCAGACTTTCGTTCCCCATTTTTTTTCTTTTTACATCACTTTTCTTTCTCCCTACTCCCCTACTTTTTCAACATATCCAACTTTTAAGCCGCCTGGAAGCTATCTAGCTAGCATCAGGAAATGGCATGCCTAAGAGGCACAATACTTCAGTTCTTTGTGGATACCCTATTTTGTCTGATTTTGATTTACACTCGCTGTGGTCCTTTTCTTTTCTTTTCTCTTTTCTCGACCATAGTCCCGTGGGGACTGAATCCCCCTTTCGCTTCTTTGAACATTTCTTCCCTTTTCATATCTACTTCTTTGGATCCTTTTTCTTTCTTGGCAGATGCTTGCTAGCGACTTGTGTTCTCGGTTCATGATGGATGATCGATTGGATCGAGGCCTGGACATTTCTGATTACCCCTTTGCATATTATGTCTGTTTAGCACGGATTGATTCAATTGATATTTGGATCGTTGGTTTCCTTCCCAGATCATATCTTATCTTTATGGCCCGGACCTCCGAGCGAGTAATTAACTTGAAAACACTTATTGCTGTTTCCTGACATTGATCTTTCCACTGACACGTGTTGGGCTGACTTCGCCACAAGGCAGACAAAGTCTCAGCCCCCAAATTTGACCTCTACGCTCCCCTGATTGGTAGACGGCAGCCGCTGGCTATTTATGTGGCTGGCACATAGGAAAAAAGTACCTGTACGAAGTACTTTTGTCTTGTTTCCCTGCTCAACCCCAATCTTCTCTGTTCACAGTGTTTTAGTTCAGCCCTCTCTAGGCTCAACCCCATCTTGCTGAACACCATTATCTCCCATGGCTCTCATCCTTGCAAACTGTAGACGAGTACCAGGGGGAGATCCCACGTTGTCTCTGGTGAAGGCCCTGACGGATTTCAAACAAATTCTGACAAACGAGGAAAAGCAACAGTACCAGGAAATGCCATGACTCCGGGCGCTTCGAGCATTATTGAATTTGTGAGAATAGTTGATGAGAGCAAATCCAAACCGACAATGAGATGTATGGGATCTCGACTATGCACATTCTTGGATAAGACGCAACAGTTCGCTGGCATTGTCGAATCTTTTGTCAGCTCCAATCCATCGATCGCCGCGCTTGTATGGGGAGGCGTTAAGTTAGCCATTCTAACGGCGAACAACGTGGCGTCTTACTTCGAAAAAGTCACTGGCTTGATTATGTCAATCGGAAAGCTTTGCCCCAGTTATGAAAAGTTCGGTGGACTCTATCCTGGATGCATAGAGCTTCAAAGTAAGCTGTGTGATTTTTATGCGATTATTATCCGCATGTGCATCAAGATCATCGAAGTTTCACGAAGACAGACCCTTACTTAGATGATTTCAATATTCTTCAGTCCCTTTGAAAGTGACTTCAGCCCTTTCCTTGACCTTTTGAAAAACTCTGAAAAGAACATTGCACGCGAGATACAATTCGCTTCACAGAAAGCCAACCAAGAAGCAATCAAATTGCAGGAATATGAGAGCCGAAAAAACGAAAGCTTCCGTCTAAAATTGTATAAGGCGAGCAGGAAACAGGAGGAACAAGCAAATGAGTGGCGCATTGCTAAGTTGAACGGAGATTGTGCGCGATTGCGGTCCCGCATTCGAAAGAATCTCTCTATAGTCGATCATCTAAAGCCATAGAAAAGGGCCATGCGGGAGCGAGTTACGAGCACAGCTGAGTGGTTATATTACGAAAATATCTTCGGCGAATGGAAAACCAGTGCCGGAAATACAGTCCTTTGGCGCTCAGGTACGATAGGAGTTGGTAAGACAATACTCGCGTCAAATGTGGTTTCACAGCTACACACATCACGTAAAGCTAATGAGGTTGTATACTACTATTTCTGTTTTTCTGATACCAAAGCCACTTTATCGGCAAGAAACATCATGGGAAGCTTAGCTTATCGATTACTGCACAGTCGGATCGAGACTGCACAGCTGGCTAATCTCCAAGCCCTATATGATAGTACTAAGGATCTTGACACAACGGAAGTGACTGAGCTACTGTTGTCTCACTTAGAAATTGGAAAGAATTTCTATCTTATAATCGATGGGCTAGATGAGTGCGATGAAAACGAATGTGAAGAAGCCATTTTGAACTAATGCGCCTCCGTCAATTTGATACCAGCACTATCAAGATTCTTATTACGAGTCGCCCCGACATCGAGACGCAGCTTTTCAGCGTGCAAAGACCACAGTACAAGATTTCAGTGACAAAGAGAAAGGTCGAACCCGACATGGAAGCTTACATCGACGTAACTCTGAGCCGCTATCTAGAGGAAGGAAAGTTGAAGCTCAGAGACGGGAGGCTCATAGCTACCATTTCGCAAGCTTTACGAGATGGATCAGGTGAAATGTAAGTGCGCATTACCTGTGCAGCCCCGAATTATGCCAGGACTGCCTGTTCATTTTTCAACGAATAGATTATTAACTAATATTATGAGTACAGGATCCTCTGGACTCGTCTCTTTATTGAAGAGCTCTGTGCCCAAGGGAGTGACAAGATAATTTTAAAAGCCCTAACGCGACTGCCGCGGGGCCTCGCTGAGCTGTATGATCAAAAGCTTCGTCGTGTACAGAGCAAGCAGAATGCTGAGCAAGCAGACGACATACTACGCTTCTGTGCTTTCTTAAAACGACCGTTGACACTGCCCGAATACGAGGACCTTCTTGGTATTAAACCAGAGCAAGAGTCTCATGATCCTGCCAATTGTCCTACGGATATGATGCAAGTGATCAGCGACTGTTGTGGGCTGATCTCTGTAGATGAAGAAGATAACACAGTGCATTATGTTCATCATAGTGTAGGGGAGCACCTTTCAGCAAACAGTGACCGGTGTGAAAAGGTGGATCAGCATCTTGGCGTCCTTTGCCTGACATATCTCGACTTTACTGATTTCAAACGCCAATTGGCAAAGTTACGGGAGGGATTCAACACTCCTATCCAACCTCTCCAACTAGGTGTCCTACCACTTCCTAGCGTTGGAAGACGGGTGGCATTGGAAATCTTGTCTCGTGGTCGACATCTAAGACATTTACGGTCTGCAGAGGTGGAAAGAAAAACCGAAGAAATTATCGAAAAGTCGAATGCACCACAGCTAGAGAATCAGCTTCAGATAAGCTACCCATTTCTGCCCTACGCCCAGACCTACTGATTGACCACCTAAGCGAGCTGGATACCCAGATTGATGGCAAAATCTGGCGATTGTTCTGTCAATGTGTCGAGGGGAGCGATATTCCTGTGAAAAGGCCATGGAACGTTGATTCAGATACAGGTGGTAAATCCACCGACAGAAGAAAAGAGTGGTTATTAGCAAATCGGCATCCCGCCTTGCTTTGGTACTACGCATTGTATCATCCCATCACTGGAAACGAAAATTTAGACACCAACATCCTCGAGGAATTTGCCCGCCGACTTGAGCATGGTTGTGGGTTCAAAGAGGCGGTATCATTATTTTGGACCAAATTGAACTGGAATAGCAAAACTCCGGCTTTGTGCTACGCATTGGTTGGTGCCGCGGAGACAGGATGTAAAGTTTGCGTTGAACATCTGATCCAATTAGGCGACCGTCTTGATACTCGAGTGCCATCAACAAGAGGACATAATTCGTTGAACGGAGCAGCTCTTATAGTAGCAGCCGAAAAAGGCCATCTCCAGGTTGTGAAAATATTGCTACAGGCCAAGGCTGACCTCAATGCGAGGTCTGAGGACCTCTTTGGCCTAACAGCCCTCCAGGCAGCTTTTAAGGGTCATATTGATGTCGTGAATACTTTGATACAGGCCAAAGCTGACGTCAATGCGGAGCCTGGAGAGATCCTTGGCCGGACAGCTCTCCAAGCAGCAGCTGAATGGGGTCATATTGATGTTGTAAATACATTGATACAGGCCAAAGCTGACGTCAATGCGGAGTCTGGAGAGATCCTTGGCCGGACAGCTCTCCAAGCAGCAGCTGAATGGGGTCATATTGATGTTGTAAATACATTGATACAGGCCAAAGCTGACGTCAATGCGGAGTCTGGAGAGATCCTTGGCCGGACAGCTCTCCAAGCAGCAGCTGAATGGGGTCATATTGATGTCGTGAATACATTAATACAGGCGAATGCCGATGTAAATGCGCCCCCAGGACCTCAGGGAGGCCGGACAGCCCTTCAATGTGCGCAAAATAATGGATGGCGGGAAGTAGCAGAGAGATTAAGGCAAGCTGGCGCGATCAGGCCCCAGCTTTAATTATCCGCAGCTTTGCGATCCATTTTCTCTTTTTTATCCTAGCATCTGCGACCCCATAGGGCTATATATTTCTCTCGTTCGCACACGAAAATATTACTAAATTAACTCTAGATGCTCACTTACGCTATCTTCGTACACTTGATCCTTTGATTATCACGCGAAGCGATGGATCAACCGGCTGAGAGCTTAACCCAGAAATAGATAGCCAATTTGTGATCACATAAGGAGGTTGTGTACAATGAGCTCAAGGATTTATAGTCGCCCTTATATAATGTAGTAGTGGGGATGCCAAGCCCCTATTACAGATTACCCTTCTCTTACAGGTCACGTTTTGCAGGCCACGTTATAGTCGGCATCCGTATAATCAGCTATCGTCGTTGCAGAGGAGATCCGTGGATTGCTTCACGCTACCCTTGTATCAAGAATATGTGATAAATTATGGTTATATGAATAAAATGTTCGCCTCAGAAGTGCGAGTGCAGTTCAAGGTCCCGTTAAACGCGCTAAGAACGTCTGGGAGTACATATAGAAAAAGCAATATAGCCTCGGGCACGTATGCATGCGGGGAAATGGTTGACGTAGCAAACGAATATGATAGTCAGGCTCTCACATTGCAGGCTTTGTTCCCTTTCATGTTCCGAAATATTTCCATCATATTCATCGACTCCCAATCATTAACACTCAACATATTTTGATTATCATATTGACTGAATAGTAAAAATCAAATCAAAATGACCGCTAAGTTCATATGTGCGAATTGGAGCCCCGGTAGCCCAACCTGTGAGGAAGAGGGTAAATACACCTGCAAAAACTGTTTTCTTGTCATCGTCAGTTTATCAAAGCACATGATGATACATTACTCAACTTACACATACAGTATTGCGGCTCAACATGCCAAAAATCTCACTGGCCTCACCATAAGGTTGAATGTAAGTCGCCCCTGGGCAAGCAGACCTGGCAGCCATCTTGGATTCTCGAACAAAGAACTCCTGATTTCATTGGAGACGGGAATCATACATTTGGAGGGAAGAAGTACCTCTGGGGTAACGTTCCTGCGTTTGACGTCCTCAAACTGGAATCGAATGAAGGAGAGGAATATGATGGTGATCTTCGTTTGTTGTTCGCAGGTATGTGCTACTCCATCAGAAGGATCCTGGAAATTGACATCTTTTCAAATTAGCATCTGGAGATATTCGCAACCTTGTTAGAACAGTCGCAAACCTTCCGAGCAGCTATAACCAATCCGTGGAAGCCATCATAAACGATAGAGACTTTGACATTGTCGCACAAAATCTCATTCTGCTTCTAATTGCGCTGGTTGTCGAGAACGTGCACGAGGCTGTTGATTGCATCATTCACCTGTGGTACTCGACTCTCGTGCGCACTTCCGACATCGAAATTCTTCACACTCGGATTCTGCCTCTAATTGAAGATATCTCCGAAAAGGTCAAAGACAAGCCGCCGGGAAAGCTCCTCGCGAAGACATGGAAATTTGGGACTCGCTCATTAAGGATTGTGCTGGAGCAATCCTTCTGGATTCGTCTTCTGTCTTTTTTCAAGAAGCCCGCTGCCTTGACAATCGACCAAGCAAACGAAACTCGCAAGGCCAATACTCTAGCCCATTCAAGGCGGGACTATCAAGACCGATATATGTTATGTCTTTCGCCCACCCAACGGATCGCTTTCTACAAGTTTCGCCAGGATGGCCTCTTACTTCCATTTGGATATCCGCGCCATGCTTTCAGGGAGCCAAACCCGTGAGTTGCGACATAAGTAGATGCTGAAAGTATGCTGACAAGGACAGGACTTTCTTTCAAGATGCGGTTAGCTGGCCGATGAAAGACAACGCAGATCCTCTTCACGGGTGGCCATTAGAAGAGGTTTCGAATACAACAAGTGGAGCTGCGACCGCCGATATTTACGGCAAGTTATTTTTCTATCTTCGCGGCCAGCTCCATTCTTTCTTGAGTCGAGTTTCTAGTTCGAAGATAGCCTTTGAACTTCACCTTCTTGACGTTACTGCCCTTCCTGAGCATCTCGAGGTCGACTCTTTTAGCCGAATCGATGTGAGTGACTAGCCTGTTGCCCCTAGCACATACATAATCCCAAAAATATACCCACTACATCACGAGAAACAAGACAAATAATATTTATAGGTATCCAACATCTCCGATAGAGCCTGGCTAGGACTCCCCGAAACACTTTCCGCAATGGTACCGCTACTCCAGAGTCCGCTAGAAAACCCACACGCTACTCTGATAACCTTGTTTATGAACGCGGTTGAAGAGAGCTTGACCGACGCCGATAGAATGGAGGGTCTGACTTCTAAGAGCCAGATAACGAAGCGCCTGATGAAATATTTCCCTCCCAACAAAATGAAAATGACAAGCATTTCCAGATACGATCCCATTATGATCAAAGTGGCGGTTGGCCGTGAGCTCATCACGACCTGGGATGACGTTTTTGACAGGTAATGATGTTCAAGAAATGGCCTCATTATAACAAGATCTAATAATAATGCTGGTTTAGGTTTATGAAGTACTACAAGTTCAAAGAAGCCTCTGAATTTTTCGAAGTGACGATGAAGAACGAACATACCATCATTGAAAAATGGCCTTACAAATTGAAGCTTCGTCCTGGACAACCTGGAGCTCAGGATGAGTTCGACCGGGCATTGACGATGGGTGTGTCAGGGAAAGAGCGCTATGTAGAGTGGAAGAGAGTCCCCGAAGATCCACTTTGAAAGAAGTACCAGTTTGAGGACTTCATATCGAGATATATAAACATTGAACACACTTCGTCTGGGGTCTTCCCTATTGCCAGAAGACTCTATAGTTTCATTGGTTTTGAGATTCATGTACCTCCTTCCATAGATCAAAACATAGCTTGGAAACAGAGAAACCTCGGGAATTGAAACATATAGTAAAGCCTACGATAGCAAGGTCTGAAGATTTGATTAAAAAAAACAACGTTTTCACAGCGTATGCTCAATAGAAGACGCTTCTTCATAGCTCTGATACTGCGACTTTCCATCGACCAAGTTCACCACCTGCTGACCCGCGGTGTAGGTTTCCACCCATCCAAGCTGGGCGACGACACCCTCCTTGCTGATATAAGGCGCTTCGATTGCCTGCAGAACGATGAAATCTGGGTCGGTAGACACATTCACCAAGTCCGCGATGTCTCGGAAGTAAAACTCCACGGTCGCGTCGTGGGTGTCGACTGTCCAATGGTTTTGCAGACGCTCGCACGTGGTGCTCAATACATTTCGCACTGGCGTTGGGGTGAAGTACTTTTTCCATGTCAAGATTGACTGTCATTGGGGGAAAAACCGGGGGATCATGTTGTAATAGAATGGTGACTTACCTAGCTATAGCCCTGTTACTTGTAGCGTTGATGAATCGCCACTGCTTTAGGGATATACTCCTCCGTGATGAAGCGATGGCATCCTTCCTCGGAGGCATCCGAGTTCCGATGATGGGCGAGCGTCAGCTTCAAAAGGCGTTGTGGGGTCATGTTGGGTTAGACAAGGATGTTCTGGGGGCTTCAAATGGTTTCGTGACTTTGAAATGATAGGCTCGAGAGGCAAGTCAATCATGCCCCCTTTATATTATATTCCTCTAAGGTTTACATCTTATCCAGCTGGTCATACAAGAGGGAGGGCCTTGTAGGCAGAAGGACCTCGCCGTTTCCTGCAGCGCCCGCCGAGTTATGTTCTCGGTGTTAGTTCGCCATTCGGTGAAGTCAAAGATGATTACAGATAGCGCCGATAAAATGCGAAATCTGTTTTGTCTAACATGATTCATTGTTCATAATTAGAAAAGTGGCGAGCGCCCCTCCATTGCTCGCCTAAAAACCGACACGCGCAAACCAAGCATGGCAGTATCAACATCGTGACTGTCTTGGGGATGACGTTGTCTTCTTTATAGAAATGGTCGATTGTATTCGCCATCACCAGCATTATTCACCCGATTTTCGACCTCTTTGGCAACAGTTTTGCAATTGGGCTGCAGCCTGCATCAAGCGGCTTTCGTGTTCACGGACCGTCTTCATCACCATTTTGATTGCGTTGTTTTCGCTAGATGGACTAGACGGTCGGCTGGTGTCGATTTCGGCGTTCTCGCTAGATACAAAAGGCGCCGTATGTTTGTTCACCAAGTCCCCCAGACCGTCTAGTAGTCGCAAGGCTGACTGAATCACTAACCCAATGTGACTCGCTGGATCATCCACGGAAAACGCCCCAATTTGCAGCGAGGGAAGTGGAATGGGCATGCCCTTGGCCAACTCAGCACCGAAGTTTTCAGCGGTCTGCGAGAAGGTATGATAATAAGCTTCGATCAGCCGCATGTATGTAGATAAGGCATGCAACAGTGACAATTGATCTAGCCTTGCTCCTGGCTGTAGTGATTCGTATCTGAAGTTCCAAGTTCCAGGCGTGCTTTGAGGCATGGCGATAAGCTGCTGGAACCGCGAGGAACAAGTAGAGGATGCGGAAAGCGGCAATTGCCAATGTGGATTCTGCACAGCGGGCAACTGAACTGAGCGATTTCCATTTACTCGCAAAAGCTTAATCAATCGTTGCGTGAGAAGGAAAATCATGTCGATCGCACACTCTGATGACGAAGGGGAATTGGAGCTATCTGTTTCAGGGGTCATCGGGACTGGGTTACATAGGAGGGCTTCCTTCGACGTGAGCCGAATCAAGTCAATGTCGGGCTCCAAAAGATCTTCCATAAATTTCTGTAGAAACTAAGTCTGCGAATCAATCTTGCGATGGGAAGTGGGTCCCCACGATAGCTCCGATTTCTGAGACGACAGTAGCGGGATATCCGGGCCGATTTTGGTTCCAGACGTGGGCACACTTGGCCGGGAAAAGATTCGAGTAGAGAGAGTTCATGGTCAGTAATTTGGGCGCAAGGAGCCGTATTGCGGGCAGAAAAATGTGAGAACATGCCAGATTCCAGAGGTGCGCCGGGAAAATTTAGAGACGGTGTGAAGTATTCCGGAACGGGGATGTCCTGGTCGACGCCCATGCATAGGTTCGACAGCGTCGGCTCATGGGTCTCCGTACCAGCAATTGGCGTTCTGTCGACGGTGATTGCTTGATAATTACCTTCTGAATATTCCCTTTGCAGCAGACCCCAGTATTAGTGGTTAGACTACGTGTGTTCTAGGGGGCCAGGGGTACTCAACCTGTTCAGCAAGTCAATATCTCCTCATTCGTTGAAAAGGGCATCTGGGACACTATTCCCATAGCCAACGGCCTGTCGCTGGTCCATTTGGATATGTTGGAACCGTTACGGCGATCCTCACGAGTGGGCTGACGCCCGCGGTTCGAAGGACTAAACAAACAATTTGTGTCCGCTCTCTGACAGCGGCTGCATTTACCTGCCTCGGTGCGGTGACAACGTAGTTTGAGGTCATGACAGTGATCGCAAGCCTGTCGCGATGGTTGTTCGTACATTCCTCGAGCCGAGCTCAAAGAATATTGGAGAGGGGGGTGGATTTGGGTTCAAGGCGGTTAACTCGGGTCGGACCGAAGCTTGGAAAAAGCGAAGGAGTTGGGTACACAAGTACACGAGCAAGTAGAAAATCGACTAAGCAGAAAATCGACACGCGAACCCGAGGGAAGCTGCAGATTTATCTTCAAAGGCGCCTCCGTCGGCCCTTAGCCGTGGTATTTTTGGGTCCTCTGCCCCCGGGGCCCTTTGGTGTCATCCCCAACCAATGATGATCAACCATGGCCGCTATTGCTTTGCATGCCAAGACGGCCCACCCGAGCGCTCAGTAGGGCTCCCTTAGTCGAGCCCCAACTACAATTGGTATGATTTGGTTATACAGCCTCATAAACTTAAAACTCATAAGAAGAGTAGCTTATTTTGAAGTTAGTTGCACTTGAAAGCCTAGCACATTCTATTTTTGGTGTAGTAATTCAAGTAGAGAAATGCTAAGAAAAATGCGTTGTCTCATAGTGTGCGCGTGCGCAGCCGTTCCTGCCTGAGATTCTCCCTGAAAGTCTATGAATGAGAGAGCAGTGTAGAGCAAAAGGCTTTAAGTACTAGTCTTTTGCCGGTTTGTGCAGCGTTTCAGCTTCTGAATGCTCCCAGAGGCCACGCCCTAACACGATGTGAATAAGAGACCCGAGTACTTGCCTCGATCGCTATATATTATCTCTTAGCCATTTTTCTTGCCACCTAGAAATTAAGTCAATATTCTAGGAAAATGCGCATTACGTAGAGAAATAAATTAGTTGTACACACGTAAATTTAGATATATTGTTTCTTAAGCTAGTGCAACATATGGTTCTTAGGTGGTAATTTGTTGCCTATCACCAGAGAGGAATGAGATGAATAGTATTAATACCTGAAAATGTGAAGGATAAGCACAAGTACTTGATACACCCAGCCAAGGTAATTCTCACTAGTCAAAGTAGGAAGCGAAGAAGGAATGGAGAGTGAAGACAACTGAGAGATAATTGCTCACTTGAGAAGGCAAAGCAGAGATAAGAAGTGGTTATGAGCTATCAGCGGATGAACTGCTACAAATTCCTTGGAACCCTTTATACTAAGAAGCATCAAGAAGGAACCACATCTCAATATCTATCGGACCCACAATCTGTAACTAATCAGATCTCCTGGCTTACCTAATATTTGGCGACCTAGGGCCAATCACAGGCCAGACCGCCCAATGGGGAAGTTGGTTTATACAATGACCGAATCTCATCGGCGATGTTGACAAAGAGATCTCCTAGTAAAGAAGGTCCAACAGGCCTCACTTTACATAGGTATCATCAATGCTTCTCAAAATTAGCCACCGTCATATGAGGCCACGCCGTGATAATATAAGGCAGGCGGCAGGAAGACAAGTAGGGAAGAATATAAATACGGCCTGCTCCCTTGGTCCTCTGTCGAAACAAATCTCTATCTTGCAGGATTGGATGAAATTCCTTGAAGCGAGGTATAGGATGCTAGTCTGTAGCGGTCCTATAATAAGTTCCTTACCTTTGGACTGGTCTTTCTAATTCTCTCTGTTACTGACACGAATTGTGCATACCATAGTCATCCAAGTTAGGCAGCTCCCTTACACAGTTGATGGTATGTTTCGTTTTTAAAATTACCCGCGAGCCTACAGGAGTAGCTCCGTTCTTCGGATCTCCTGACTTTCTTTTGACGCTGCCTAATTTATATACCAGCCCTATGCTATGGGAGTGACTGTAGTCTACTAGACTATAAAAGTATTGGCACTTCCCTCGATAGAATCTAGGATGTAGAGATTTACCAAAAAGCAGTAGCATCTCATGATTATCTCTAAAAGATCTATTGGCCATCAATGATAAGTCATATCAAGAAATCATGTGTTTATAAGCTACCCTGTCCTATTTACAGGGACAAATAGATCAGATATTGACATTCGCCTCTACAGCTGCAACCTTCCAATGGTCAAAGTATGTCCTGAGAAGATCTGGCATAGACTTGACGTTCAGAATCTCGGGCGATTTTGCCAGCGCCTTGCGCAGATTGGTGGTTTCATACGTGGACATTCCGCTGCTGGTATCCCAAAAGATCAGGCTATCCGCCAGTCTTTCTTGGAGCATTGGACTAGCCGCTTTCATGCTCTTCTTGCCACCTTCCCGTAACAACTGCAGCCACTCGGCTGAAGAGACCTCTCGTAAGGGAGTGGGACAGCAGTCGCTTATAATTCTGAACGTATCACGCAAGGTGATGGTTTGATCGTGAGGTGATACCACGTTGAAGGCATGGCCGTGGCTCTCGGAAGACTGCGAGATATGCAGCATCGCTGCGCAGAAAAAGTCGACTGGAACAATGTGGGTGCGTTGCGCAGGGGGGGTCGGGAACGCTCCGAGTCGGATACAGTTGATCATCAGACGACTGGATAGGTCCTCAGGCTTATCAATTCCCGTGTCACTGTGGCCCATCACAAACCCTGGACGATAAATGGATATGGGGAAACCGTTCCCAATGGCATTCCACACTATGTTCTCTGCAACCAGCTTACTTCTGGTGTATCCAGAGTGCATTTCAAAGGATCGACGATCCAGCGCCGCCCTTTTATCCTCTGGGATTGCACCACCACCAGAGACGAAAGGCGGAATACCGCAAGCCGAGAAACTTGAGCAGTAATGTAAAGCCTTAAGACGACCAGCATTGACAAATTTCAACACATTGAGGATTCCAGTAATGTTGCCCTCTCGATGAGCAGAGTATGGAAGGGTATAATTGACGTGGGCTGCAAGATGGAAGACAGCACTTGATACCTGTGCGTGATATTCAAAGTCTTCTTTCGACATTCCCAAGTTCGGATAGGCGATGTTTCCAGGGACCACAGTCAATTTGCTCAGAGAACTCGTGGGTAGGGAGTATCGAGCAAATGTATTTTTAATCCGCCGTTTGCCTGACTCCGGATCCGTTGTCCTAACCAGGCAAGTGACGTTCTTGACTTGTGGGAGAGCAAGAAGATCCAATAAGAAGAAGGCACCCACAAATCCTGTCGCACCAGTCAGGAAGATGGCTCCTTCGGATTCAGAGCACCAGTCCGGGACATGCCCGGGGATAGGCTGGAAGTCACTTCCTAGCTTCATATCCTCCAAGCAAATTGGTAGTTCATCTGGTTCAGCCGTTGAAGGTATTTTAGATGGGCTTGGAAGTTCTTCTCCATCCAAGTGCTTCTTACGTAGCATCTTGACTGCAACGTCAGCAAGGCCTCCGACAGTGCCAGCATTCGATATCTCTACAAGAGAAATGTCGATACCTGCGTTACGGCGAAACCAGCTGCGAATTTCAATGCCCATCAATGAATCGATTGCAATATTAGCCAGTTCCTCTTTGCTCAGGTCTTCTGCATAGGCAAGATGGGAAGCAACAACCTTGCCCAGCTCGATAGTAATCTTGTCGTGAGTGGTCTCTTCATCCAGTAGTTTGGGATTGTCGCGAATTTCATCCAAAAGAGACTTCAATGCGTGAGATCGAGGTGCGGTCGTTGCTTTCCCGCTGACAGCAACATTCTGCCAACGACTAAAACGACCTTCTCGGACCAGGGCAGGCGTACTCGATGTCCTTGTCCCCAGTCCCACGATGAGTTGTGATGACCGATGAGAAAATTGAGAAAATATGGAGATCTCCAAAGCTTGAAGCAGATGCTTTTCTTCCAGTATTTGAATACCAAGAGAAGTAAAGACTTTCAATGATTGTGGGTTGTTTTCAGCCGCGTAACCGATATCTCCCATAACACCAAGATCAATAACACTTGCTGGTAGCTTCTGGGAATGACGATACTTCACAAATGAATCGAGGAAAGTGTTGGCTGCAGCGTAATTGGCCTGGCTGCCTAATCCCATGAGGCCCGTGACAGAACTGAAAAGGACAAAGAAGTCGAGTGGCTTGTTTTGGAAATTGTAATGGAGATTCCATGTTCCTCGCACCTTGGGCACCAGGGAAGCTGTCCATTCTTCGTAGGTCATATTGGAGAACATCTGATCCTTGAGCACCATTGCCATCTGGAGAATTCCTGCAATGGGATATTTTGCTGCAGAAATAGCCCGGTGAATGTCTCCTTCCACGGAGACATCACCTGTGACCACCGTCACGCTGATAATACCGTTATTCTCTAGATCTTGGATGAAGTTCTGGGTCTCAGTAGATTCAGCACCTGACCGAGATAGAAAGATGAAATTGCGGGCGCCTTTTTCCACCATCCAAGTACTTATCCCTCGGCCAAGTCCCCCGAGTCCTCCAACCAAAAGGTACGAGGCGTCTGATCTGAAGATGGGGACGCTGCGATGTATCCCGGTTATTGGTAAATTTTCCGGATCTTCCGGCATTCGAACGACAATTTTGCCCATATGCTGGCCTGTTTGCATGTGACGGAACGCTTTGATAATATCAGAAGCTTCGAAAACTGTCACCGGCTCGATGCGTGTCAATTTTCCTTGCTTGACGAATTCTCTGAATTGGTCAACCAGACCCCGAAGTACCGTCGGATACTCAAGAGATAGCGTTCTGAGATCCACGCCGTGGAAGGATCGGTGGTCAAGGAAGGGCTTCATGTCAAGTTTACCGTGGCCCAAGAAGTCTCGCTTCCCAATTTCAACCATTTTCCCAAATCTGGCGACGCATCTCCACGAGGCATGCAGCAATTCGCCGGCTAGAGAGTTTAGCACCAGATCAACCCCGCGTCCATTCGTCTCCCTAAGCACACCCTGCATAAATGATGTGCTTCTGGAATCAAATATTCGTTGAGCTGGAATTTTTATCACATTGACGAGATGACGAAATTTGTCTTTCGTCCCGACTGTGACAAATATTTCTGCCCCGATCATGCGGCAGATCTGGATCGCAGCCAATCCAACGCCTCCACACGCGGAATGAATCAGCACAGACTGGCCTTTCTGGAGATTTCCAACGGTTATAAGACAATATATTGCCGTTGCAAAAACAACTGTGAAGGATGCCGCATCTTCGAGAGTTGTCCCTTCAGGAATAGGCTCACAGAGAAATGCTGGGGCAACAACTCGAGTGGCGAATAGACCATCATAGATGCAACTAATTTTGTCGCCGACTCGGAGATGCTCCACAGAAGACCCTACCCGTCGAACAATACCACTTCCTTCGAATCCGAGTTGCTCTGTAGCTCCGAAAAATCCCATGGTAATCATCATGTCCTGTGCAGGTTAGAATTCTCAGAATGCCCAGTAAAAAGTCAAGGGTTACTCCGGGACTTACCCGGAAATTCATGCCAACATATCTCATGTCCACCTCGACTTCATCATCTTTTAAATCAGACTGAGAGACTGGCGACATGGAAATGGCCCACGTTAAGGAATCAAAGATTCCATTGAACTTGATATCCAGTGATCTTGCTGCTGACAGGTGTGGCACATCAGTCAGCTGTTGATCTAGCGAAGACCATTGGATCCTAGGCAGAAGAATCCTTCCATCCTGAATGGCATATTCATAATCTGGATCAAGCCACGGCCGCTGAGATTGAACCTTCAAAGCGCATAGAACCTTGAGTACCGAGGCTATGGAATTGTCATCAAATTGGTCAACTTCCACTGTCGCAAATTTGCTGCTTAGTTCGTTTCGAAGTGTGCGAGCCATTCCTAAGACCAATGCAAAACCAGGAGCTTCACATGTAATTTGGAGGCTCTTGGTGATCCAAAGGAGATGACCCTCGGCCAACGTGGAAAGGTAGTTTCGGAACAAGTCAAACTCATCAGCCGACAAGTACTGAAAGAATGGCCCTTCCAGATCAAGCAGGGAAATAAGATCAGATCCAGTTGGGGGTTTATCTTGAAGTGTGTACCATGTCACCGTATAGCCAGCAAGAGTAAGTGCTTTCTCTAATTCACGTCCCCATTCCGTGATATGTGACAGATAAAGCAGCCCAATCCGCCCCCCTGTTGCATTGTCATCGGTAGCTTTCGTTCTGGAAAGGATTACCGCTGTCAGACTCAGTGGTCGGTCATTGGCATATCGCACGGCGTCCACACCGGTAAAGTTCGCTTTGGTCAACTCATCATGCCATCTCTCAACAGACAATGCGGGGCTATCCGAGCGGCCGTCATTCTCTCCCAGCCACCATCCCGGTAAAATGCCACATATGAAATTGATCATGGGAGTATCTCCACTGAGCTCCTGCATGAGTAGTCGACCACCGGGGGCTAAGAGTTTGCGGATGTTATTGAGCGTGCTGGATATGTGTGGTGTCGCGTGTAGCACATTGCCAGCCAGGATCAGATCATAACTCTCCGCAACATAGCCCTGTTCTTCTGGATCGCGAGAGATATCAAGGATTGCGTATTCCACAGCATCGTACTTCTGGAATCGCTCCTGTGCATCTGCGATAAAGCCGGGTGATATGTCCGTGAAGGTGTAGCGTAAATAAATTCGACCACTTTCTGGATTGAGAGTCTTCAGGGCAGTGGATGTCAACCCGCCTGTTCCAGCGCCAATTTCGAGAATACGAATAGCTGGATTAGATTGACCTAGTAGTGCGATGAAGTCTTCGCAAGGTGAAATCCCACACATAGCGTCAAAGAATTTTATCATCCCATCGTTCTGCATGAGAAACTCGAGAGGATTAATGCGACCCTCCAACACGTCGTGCAATCCAAAGCAGACTCTATGCAAGAGCTCGAGGGTAGGTATGAGCCAGGGATGAGACCCACGTGCTTCCTTGTTCAATGCATCACCATAAGGACTGAGGACGCTAAGTACTGAAACATCCTCTTCCCTCATCTCGGGAACAATTTCGGGTGACTTTTCTTGAATCTTCCGATAAAGATCTTTAAGCCAAACATGGTATTTCTCAAGGTGATCCGAAACAGGGATAGAATTTTTTGTTAGGCGATATGCTTCAGCCACACATGTGCTTGTTAGCCTGGCCATTGTCTTCCCATCAAATGCTGGTTCATGGGGTGGCAGTTGTTCTTTGAAAGGAAGATATTCGATATGCGGCGTCCAATGTAAGTTCGATGCTAGCGGCGTATTCGTGTCATCTGACTCCGGATCATTGATACTAAAGAAAAACCCCCTTTCCATATGGAGTGAGACAGAATTGTTTGAAAAGAGCGTCGAATTTGCCTCCAAAGTACCACCTGTTGTCTCACATGAAACATACAGGTCCATTGACCCACGGCCTTCAGTAACATACAGAGATTCAATGGCAGTTGGTATGCACATTCTTGTCATGCGCCGCGAGATCCCTTGTGTTGCTGCTACACTTAACAACTGGAAGCATTCATCAATGCAGGTTGGATGAAGAGCATAGTAGCTGTCGAGTGGCGGCTCATTGCTATGCAATGCTGCGGAAGCCTGTTGCGTGGTTGAACTTGCTGTGATCTGTTCAAGTCCCCTGAAATGGGCTCCATAGTTCAGACCGCGTTTGCTCAGTGCATGATACCATTTTTCCGAATCAACTTGTCGAGAATAGCTTTGTCTGGAGGGGACATCGTACTCCTGCTCAGCTCCCCCACGAACTTGACCCACGATGTGTTTCTTCCACTTTCCGTTCTGAAACGTAGAAATAGTGAAGTCAAACCACAGGGAGTCAACATGGTCTGTGAGCTTTTCAGGCCGCAAATTCGTCATTATCTCAACTGAGTCCTCAAGAATCAAGGCACTGCGAATGAACACATTTCTCAGAGAGTAGTCTGGTGATCCAGTAAATCGCCGCACAGCTTCACCTGCCATAGCAACGTAACCAGCAGCAGGAAAGACAATGTCAGTGCCCAGCTTGTGATCCAACAACCAAAGGACATTTTCTAACTTTAGAATGTTTCGCCAACATGGTTCCAAATGGTTTGACTCAAGTATCTGGGAGCCAAGCAACTCGTGGTGAGGAAATTGACGATGTCTCCAGTCATGAACAATTCGGGGCTCATCCCAATATTTCTCGTTATGCTGCCAACAGTATGGGGGGAGCTTTGTCACAACTTTTCCTCGGGGAATAATGTGCCGGAGATCAATTGAGGCGCCATGTGTGTGAAGATTACCAGCTGCAGCCAAAAGACTTCTCCAGGGCTCCTTGTCTCTGATGATCGTCGGAATGTATCGGTGCTCTCCTGTACTCGCCATTTTCATTGACTGCCGTATAGGGCCGGAAAGGGCTGAATGGGGTCCGACCTCTAGGAAGAGCTTTGACTGGGTGTCGTCTTTGAGAATTCTTTCGATTGCGGTATGAAAGAGAACAGGGGACTGTAGGTTTCTGCGCCAATAGCTAGGGCTCAGGATAGAGGGATCTGTCACGATTGTCCCGGTAACAGTGGAGTACATTGGAATCATAGAGGGTTGGTGATAGAAGTGAGGAGCGACCATCTTCTCATAGACTTCACCGGCTTCAGCCATATGGTGCGAGTGATACGCTACATTGACGGCAAGCTTTCGGCAAAATGTGTCCTGGCTGTCACCATGAATATTATCCAAAACCTCTGTGAGGATTTCACTATCCCCTGAAAGAGTGACACTTTCTGGGCTATTATAACAGCCGACGACGACGCCCGGTTTCAGGAAAGGTTCAACCTGATTGGGGCCAAGGCCAACGGCTGCCATGCCACCAGGACGGCTGGATTGATTCTTCATGGCCTGGCCACGGAAATAGGCGATGAGAATCGCCATCTCAGCGGACAATGCACCTGATGCATAGCCAGCTGCAATCTCTCCACTGGAATGCCCTACTACCGCATCAGGTATAGTGCCCCAAGCCCGAAGGAGGTTAACGAGACCGATCTGAACGGCAGTGCAGAGGGGCTGAGCAAATTCTGCTTCCGCTACTCTACTCTGATCGTCGCACTTCAGAAGCTCATCTGAGACAAACCTATTAGTTTCTGTCTTTAGGGGGGGGGGATTTGTAAGCTTACCTTCAAGCGACCACAAAGGCTTGCTTTTTAGCCCTTGTAGGACACGATCCATCATCTGAATATCTTCTCGGAAGCCTTGAGCCTTATCGATCAATTGTCTCCCCATTCCAGACCATTGGGCACCTTGACCCGTAAATACGAAGACGGTTGCTGCTTTCACGGAGGCCGACCTTTCAAAAGACGAGATTTTATCATCGCTTTGAGTGATCGCAAAGGCACGGTGAGTCAAATGCTCTCGTCTCAAACCCAAGGTATACGCGATATCGCTCAAGGATGATTTTGTCGACTCCAGATAAACCTGTAGACGATCAATCTGCCCGTTCAACGAGTCCTTTGATTTTGCAGAGACCACCAGAAGCTGTGGGCCATCTGCATTCGCAGACGTGCCAATCTGCAAGGAAGAAGCAGAATCAAGAATAACCTGGCAATATTAGCAGTCGTCCTGAAAATATTCAGAGAGAAAAAGCCTTACGTGAGCATTTGACCCGCCAATTCCAAATGAATTGATGCTTATTCTTTCGCTTCGGTCCGCGGGCCAAGGAGTCGGCTCCACGGCAACCTTCAGCTTCGCCTGCTCAAACGGGACTTGCTGTCGATTAGTACTCTCTTGCGAATATTGAATAGCTGGGAGATCGCATACTGTTGGGATTCGGATCTTGGAAGTGAGCATTAGGCGGAATTGTACGATTTTCCAGCGCGAGCACACTGTGAATCACACTTGTGATTCCAGATGCACCCTCAGAGTGACCAACATTGGGTTTGACCTATATTCAATCAGTGTATGCTTTCTAGAGGATGGGAAATGGACATACTGCCCCAATGTGAATCCCTTTTTCCCCAAAAATTTTGCCCACCACGGACGTCTCTGCCAAATCTCCAACAGTCGTCCCTGTGCCATGGCACTCAAACAAGCCAGTTGAGGAGACATCCAGTCCAGCTTTCTTATAAGCCTTCTTGATCAACCTCTCCTGCGCTGCAGACCCTGGAGTAGTGATGCTAGAAGTTTTGCCATCACAGTTGGTTGCGCTCGATCGAATGACAGCTCGTACCGGGTCACCGTCTCGAAGAGCCTTATCAAGAGGCTTGATGAAAATCGCATTCACAGCCTCTCCTCTACCATATCCGTCTGCTGCTGCGTCAAATGTTCTGCATACACCACTCTTTGAAATGACCATGTTATCTGACATTGACGTGGTCATTGTTGGTGTAAAGATGAGATTGGTGCCAGCTACCAAGGCAGAAGAGCATTCTCCAGAGTAGAGAGCCTGGCAGGCCTCATGCAGACCTACAAGGGATGATGAACATCCAGTCTGAATAGTCATGCTTGGGCCGCCAAGATCATATTCATATGACACCCGGTTTGATAGCGCATAGGGGCCCGCTCCAACGACACGATACCGGTCATGATCCTGGGGATCTCTGATCTTCACATCCAGCCAATCCTCCCCGAAAACACCCACGTAACATCCGATGTTCTTTCCTCTCCATCCTACTTGACCCCCATTCTCCATGCACTCCCAAGTAATCTCCAGAAGCATTCTTTGCTGGGGATCAAGCTTGGCAGCCTCGATCTTGCTAATTCCGAAGAACTCTGGGTCAAAGTGCCCAATATCATGTTCTAGGAAGTATCCGTGCTGTGTTCGTATCGCACCCGGTCTTGACTCATGATAAAAAGCGTCAATATTATATCGGGTATCGGGAACTTTACACAGTCCGTCACGTTTGTTGATCAAAAAGTCCCAGAATTCTTCCTCGCAGCTCACGCCCCCGGGCAATCTCATGGCCATTCCAACAATCGCGATCGGGAAAGGGACAGGCTTGTCTTCGATTTCCATGTCATCTCGACAGTTTTGGATTTCTTCGACGCCAATCCTGGCCGCAGGGTCAACTTCCAGTGGCAGTTGATGATTGGCGGTATGATCGATTAATTCGCCCATTTTTGTTTGATAGAAAACGGAAAGTTGGGCGTGAATTAAGAGTTTATGGAGAGGTTGGAAAAGCTCAAGTGCAGTCACAAAAACAGTCGTCTTAATATGCTACATATTGATGAATTAGAGTTTCCGCCGTCGATCGGTTCCGAAACGGGGCGAGTCCAGGGGGTTAACTGGCTGCATCGATCAACGCACTATTTGTGATCGATCAAGCAGGCGACAAATCAAACCCCATTGCGGCTCAGAGGGGGAACGGATACATCGTTGATTTTTGTAATAGGTTCTGCAGGCAGTATATCAATGAACTGGAGTTCCCATCGCTGATCGGTTCCGAAGCGGGGCGAGTACAGGGATTGACTGGCTGCATCGATCAACGCACTATATGTGATCGATCAAGCAGGCGACAAATCAAACCCCATTTGCGGCTTAGAGGTGAAACAGATACATCGTTGATTTTTGTGATAGTTTCTGCAGGCGGTATCACAATGTAGGAATACTATTGCATACTTGCATACTATTAAGTGACTCGCTCTTTTCTTTTGCCGGGTGAGCCTCCCTCCACTCCCTCTTGGGTCCGAAATCCCGTTTAGCACCCCAGACAAGTTGAGACAGAGAAGGATGGCTATACAGATTATCCCTTTACACTCTAATGATGACACGTGGATGAACCGAGGGATTGCTCTCGAGTTTACTCTTCATTTTGACCATGTTTTGGATTCAGACCATCTTCGTCGTTCCCTCCAACGCTTGCTGGAGATAGGAGAATGGAAGAAACTGGGTGCACGTCTACGCCTGAAGGCAAGTTATCTTTTGCATTCCCTGTTCTTCAATGCTGAATACTAATAACGATCTATAGGACGGCAAGCTTGAATATCATATCCCCGAGAAATACGATACGAAATGCCCTGGATTCACCTTTTACACCACGACACATGATGGAAGACTGGATGACTTGCTTCCCTCTCAACTGCCATGTAGGACGCATTCTCCGACTGTTTTCCCATTCTCGGCTGCGAATCTCGATACCTTGCTTTACAGAACTGATTCCCCTAAGAAACTCGAGGACTGGATATACAATGATCGCCCACAACTAGATATCCATCTTGTAGTCACTCGAAATGCCACCCTATTGAAGTTGGCATGGCTGCATACTTTCATGGATGCCTCGGGTCGGGCTTGTTTGCTCAACGCTTGGGCGGCGGTTCTTCGCGGTCGCGAAGATCAAGTTCCACCGTTCCTCGGCTTTTTCAAAGATCCTTTGGCGGACTTGAATGCTCAGCCCCCATTCGAGTGGTTCGTCCGGTCACAGTGGATGTTGATTCTTATGCAATGGCTGGGGCCGCTATTACTTGTTATTCGGTGGGTCTGGGAAATGATCCCATGCCCGAAGCATGAACACCGACTAGTCTGTATCCCGGGATCAATTGTGACAGACATGCGAGAGGCAGCAATACAGGAGTTATCTGCGGGAGATGGCGAAAACTTCGTCAGCGAAAGCGATGTCCTCCTGGCATGGTGGGCTCAGCGCATTGTCCAGTCCATGCTACCATCGGGGAAAATCCCTATCACGCTACTGAACAATTTCAATATCCGGCCTTCTTTCCCGGACCTTTTCCCACGAGATACAGCCTATATCGGAAATGCATGGCTGACTGCCCATACTATCCTGACTGCTGACGAGGTGCTAGAGCGGCCGGTCGGCTATCTTGCTCTCAAGCTCCGGCATTCTCTTCTCGCCCAGCGCTCCAAAAACCAAATCATGGATTATATGGCTGTTCAGAGAGACGGCATGGAGAAGGTTGAGGCTACACTTGCATCTATGTTGGGCGTATCGAACATGTTGATCCATTGCTCAAACTGGCATCAAGCTAGGTTTTTCAATGTGGATTTCTCGCCTGCTATCGTCGGACCAGCAACGAAGGCCCGACCGGCGGGAAGACCAAGACTAATAATACCCAACACTTTCTATCGATGGCCCATGCTACTAAATACTGGATCGGTTATTGGGAAGGACGCAGACGGAAACTGGTGGCTGACATGGCATTTGAAAAAGGGGGTTTGGAGAAAGATTGAGAAACAACTAGCAGTAGACACAACGTGACCTCAATAAGATTCTGGTAAGCTGTATCATATCTCAATTGACTTCAAACGCTGCTTCAGTTGAAGACCGTCAGGGACTTTTCAAATTCATCTTTAAGACTGTCAACGGGACCAGCGATCTCCGAGTGGTTTGCCACAGGAAGTTTCAATTTCGTCAAAGTCTCGAAAATCGCCCTTTCGCTGGCAAAATTGCGGAGCAGGACTTGTGAGAACATCTTGAAACCCTGAGAGTCTATGCTGTCGACCTGTATTCCGTAAGTATTTGTTAAAATTGTAGAAACAATAATTCTCACCTTTGAAGAGGCGGTGCTCAACGTATCGGCAACAGCCGAGCGAATGCCATGATAGTGATACAGGTAAGTTTGGACCTGGTCAGCCGGGACCGAGTCCAAATCGGCCAGATCCTTTCTAGACGAGCCACTCGCCATCAAGACGTTATAGAGTTCATAGCCGCAGCTCAAACTCTGTGTCATACCCCCATTGAAGGACTTCAGGCACTCGTTTGTTGAGAGGATTCGCTTGTGTAGATTTTCGAACCCAGAGAAGACGGTTTCTGAGCTGGTTGCGGCCAAAACGGCGGGAGCCAGCGTGGCTGAGATCAAGAGCTGCTTTATCTGCATTGTAGCTATGTAGTGGATAGTCGTAGAGGTGTGGGTTTCGCGTTGTTCTCCAGGGTTCTGTTCTTATAAGACTCATCACGCCCTAGGGCCAGGTAAGGGATACATACCAGATTGAATTAGGCGGGGGGTAAAAAGAAAACATGGTCAATAGTTCGTGACGGCATGTTGTTTATTACATGAGGCTATCCTTGTTCGGCTACCAGAATGACCAGGGCATGGGCCGAAATTCCCTTTCTCTGGCCCTCTCACTGTTTTGATGCAGGATTAATATTGAAAGGTACGAATCTACATTTCCATCTTTAAATTGGGAGGAGGCATGCAGGGGACAGCGTCACAATGGGGGTGGCAATAAGGTTACGGAAGGCCTTGACAAGGTTTTAAGTTCGTTTGCAGGAAGTTGATCACTTCCCACATGTGCATGCACACACCTGGCATATATGTAGTCGTTGTATCCTGCATATCGCTTTCAATGTATATTTTACCACGAGACCAAAAACAAATCCGTTCTCAGCCTGGTGGATGAGGTTTAGAATCAACCTTTAATTTGCGAGGGGCCAGGGTGACTGGTTTCAACCAACCAACCGACCCTGTACTTCGACCCTTGCTTTAATTCAATGCTGTCAAACTTTTTTCATGTCTAATCTTTGATCAATTTACAAAACCAACAGCACTCGGGATTGGCAATCTAAAATCAAGATAGATGCATACTTATTTAGGTGTAAGCAGCGACCCTGACTGAAGCCCTTAAGCTGTGTAACCGCTGATCTGTGTCACCACCTATGCGGCGCCACCAAAAACAATATAACCACCCGTGATGGCTGCCGCAAACTCTAACCGATCCAATCACCCCTCAACGAAGAGGAAATTGATGCGCCAAAAAGTGCCGTCATAAAACAAGTTTGATGGAAAAGGCATATATTTGGTACAGATATATTGGTCGGTATTCGTATCTAGGAGACGGGCCAAGTATATATGTTGACCGCAGATGTATCGGGCTTTAGGGCTTTTCTTTTTATCACAATTGCCCGGTATATTACAGAACCTTTCACGCGTGATAGAAAGCTGACTTATTAGGGCTCTCACTACCTGACTCCGTGTTTATCTACAAACCAAGACATAGAGAAGACTATAGAGAGCAAAACTATTGCCGCCGCGTGTAGTCTGTGCCATAACCCGCAAATGGGTAGGTCAAGTCAACCCGCAACCCGTATAGGGCGGGTTGCAGGGTTGGGTCGCGGGTTACCTACGCTTAGACTTCGGCAGGCCCATGGGCCTGTCCAGGTGGACAAAAAGTGGTTTGTCCATGGAGAGGAGGCCCATGAAAAGCCCATAAGGCCCATGGAGGTGGAGACCCGTTTTTTACATCATTTATGAAAGATATGCTGTATTTTTGGTATCCCAGCTGTTAAATACAGCTCAATAATACACACACACACAATTGTACTCGTGCACGCCCCTGACCACTTTCGGGTAAGGGGTGCTCACGGTCAATTTCCCAACCACCCCAATTTCCCAAGAAATGTCACCTACTTCAGCATCAAATCACCCACCCCTACCACATAAGTTTAAATAAATCAAGCGATAAGTATATTATTTAGACCTGAACGTCACTCTTTTAGCTAGCATTCAGCCAGTATAATTGTAGTCTGTGGTGGAGCATGAATCTGCCAAATGCCTACTAGATGGTTACAAGGACACCGCATTCAATAGAAGATATACTTCAGACTTTTTCAGGAACAAACTATATTTTTCTCCACTTCATCCGCAAGATCACTCCGGTTCTTCTCTTCATGCCCCCTCATCTATATTACCTCACACATCCACTCAAGCCCCGAGACTTTGATTCACGTATAAGGCTCGGTCAATGAATTAGACGCATACGCCCCTACGCGTTTTGGAGCAGCACATTTCGTTATAAAAACAGGAATCGCCTTCTATATATCGTTCGTGTACCAGCAAAATCCTCATATAGCAGCTCGAACCAAATTTTAGTAACTCAACACATATTTCTAACACACGAGTTAGCGTTAGGGTCCGTAGCAACAGCATTCGTAAGGGCTGCAAGAGCACTGATAAGAATTAGGCTAAGGAGCTTCATGGTGAGGAAGTGTAGTGTGAAAATTTCAGATTTGTGGCTCTCAGATAATTGTGCTCAAATTTTGAAGTGAAAGTTGAAGAATTTTGTGAAAGGGCATTCTCGGTTCGTGTGGATTCCTGTGCTATATACCCTTGTAATTGAACGATTTCAAAATTTATTGGGAAAACCCGCAGAGCCAGTTTTTTAAAGCGCCGATCTTACACTAGTTTTCAGAATACCATATCTACATAGTACCTTACCAAGAGGGCCGATCCCAAAGCCGAAGTATTCACTACCAGATCGGGCGCCCGAGATCCCCCGAGACATGAATCTTGAATGAGGCGTTATCTAGATCTTGGCTAGCGCATTCAACAGCAGTGAGTTCGTGCTACCGGAAAGAACGCTTAAAGGGACTTCGTGAACACATAACAAATGAGGGAAACTATAATGTCCTAACATTGTATGATTACTAGAATAACGTGAATAGCACCCAGTGGGTTCCTGTACATATTATATATACTCAAATAGTATTTGAATTTCCCTAGACTAGCTAGCCTTTAGCATAGGCCGGCCCATTGGGCTTTACCCTTATCCAAGCCCAAATTCTAGGCAATTTACATATCACTCTGTGTGTCAATCCTACTAGCTGCGGTTGAGTCAACGGTCACGTCGACCGCATTGCTGTTCATCGCGGATGAGTTGCATGCAGGCAAGAACTACGTCTGGTTTGTCAACTCCTTCTTCTTGACGAGGTAAGTCACAGACCGTCTTTTGATCCGAGTCAATGAAACTAATAGTTAACAATATATCCAATGACAAGTGCTTGCTTCCAGCCCCTTTTCGAACAGACTGCGAATTTATTTTGTCGACGATGGTTGATGATCGGCTCGGTGGTCTTGTTCGTCCTCGCAGCGGTATCAGCGGCGGCGCGATCAAACCTCCCGTGATGATTGCTGGGCGATCAATCCAAGGAGTTGAGGTTGCCGGTATCAATGTAATGATCGATATGATCGTTAGCGATATGCTACGAGGAAACTTCATGGGTATGATCTTCGCCGTGTTCACCGTCGGCACCTTCCTTGGCCCATTTATTGGGGGTGTTATTGTACAGCATAGCTCCTGGAAATGGGTTGTAAGTATCTAAGTCCAATCTATATCTGAGAGAATGACAAGGCTCACACGACTTAATCAAAGTTCTATCTCAACCTTCCCATTGGCGGAACGGCGATCGTCTGCCTGTTTTTCTTTCTCCATGTCAACTACCAAAAAGAGCCATGGCATGAAAAGGTCAAGCGGATCGACTATACTGGCAATGCACTTCTTATGACCTCTATTTTCTTTATTCTCCTCGCTCTCACCTGGGGTGGTACTACCTACGCCTGGTCAAACTGGCGGATCATCGTCTGTTTACTTCTCGGTCTCATTGGTATGATTCTATTCCACGCTTTTGAGGCCAGTCCATTGTGTCGGGAACCCATGATGCCACCATATATATTTCGACACCGCACTTCATTCATTGCCTTGGTTGTGTCCTTTGTACATAATATGCTTACGTTCTTGGTGATCTACTTTATACCCGTGTACTTCCAGGCTGTGAAGCTTTCTACCTCTACTCGCGCCGGTGTACAGTTTCTACTGAGTGTGATTCTCGCTGTGCCGACTGCCATTGTTGCAGATGGCCTTACTAAATATGACCGCTATAAGCCTATCCATATCTTCGCTTCGGCTGTGATTCTCCTAGGACTAGGTCTCTTTACTCTCCTCGATGCCGAGTCAAGTGCAACAGAGTGGATCATTTTCCAAATCATCACCGCAATCGGCTTGGGTCTTCTGCACATAAGTACGCTAGCTGCAGTGCAGGTTCCCTTAGAAGAAAAGGATGTTGGACTCGCTACGGCGACATGGGCGTTTGTTCGCAGTCACGGTGCTATCTGGGGAATTGCAATTCCAGCTGCTATTTTTAACACCGAGTTTGCGCGCTTGTCGGGTCGTATCTCAAACCCCGCTGTTTCGGCGCAACTTGCGGGTGGAGAAGCTTACCCTCATGTCTCTTCAAAATTTATTGAGTCACTTGCTCCTCAAGTTCAACGGGAGGTAGTCAGCGTGTACACTGATGCTCTGAAGCTGGTTTGGTATGTCTCGCTCGCTTTTGCTGCTCTGGCGTTCATCATTACCTTCTTTGAGAAGGAGTTGAAACTACGAACCGAGTTGGAGACGAAGTATGGAATCAAGGATGCTAAGGAAGGTAAGGAAAAGGAAAGCGCCACTGAGGTCTAAACAAAGGAGTTTGAAAACTTAAGATGAATGGTTGGATAAATTAAACTGAAATTTTCAGTACTGTTTCTATATGATTGCAGATCTTGTTTTGAAACTCTCAATTTCGAGTACGAAGGACATGATTAAGGAAGGGGAATTTCGAATGTATCTGCTTTTTTATCATGTGAAATCATTTCACCTACTGACTTAACAGAGGGTTGATCAGTCTGACCCTCAAAGATTCACACAAAAGCATTAAACATAACCCACTAGTACTGTATAGCATACATCTCACTCCTATAATTTTGTGCTCGGTTTGAGTGGTTGATACTGGAATCTGGACTGGGCCAGGTAGCTGGAAAGATCCACTTTGTTTGCTTTGTTTCCAGGGCGAGCGTTCTAGAAACTCTGGATGCTATACACGCCTAATACAGAAGCAATCTTCATGCTGTTATTTACAACTACAATGAAATACTGCCAAGGAAGGGGATCAGGGTAGAGTGACTATATTAGGAATAGCGCGCTTCGAGAGAGGGTTTGAGAAAGAATCTAGTACCGAAAAATATTAGATCAACTCGCGCAGCGCCAGGATTCTCAACGCGAATAAGTGTTACGTTCGCACGTAAAGAAGAACGTGTAATCACCACTTTCCAGTGCCGTGGGGGCCCCAATTTCCGGTCGTGGTAGCTGTCTGAGTGCAGGTAGTAGTGACACTGATGGTGTCAGTAGTGGTCACGGTACTCGTAGAGGTAACAAAATCCGTGTCGGTGATGGTGTCTGTAGTGGTGACGCCATCCGTGGTAGTGACAGTCGCCGTGATGGTGTCGGTATTGGTGACGACGTCCGTGGTAGTGACAGTCGCCGTGGCGGTTGAGGTGCACCAGGATCTGATCATGTTTAGCAAACGCAAGTATTGGGTCAATAAGCGAGTCGTAAGACTTACGTATAGGTGTGGTTTGGCCAACCCGACTCATGCGCGCTGCGCTCGCAAGCTGCCTGATCGCATTTACCGTCGTGCCCAAGAAATTCGGGCAGAGCAGTGACATGGGCACAGATGGTCAAGAGGGTGAGAAGTGAGAATTGCATTGTGAAGTACTTTGTTGAAAGTATTGAGTAGGAAGGCTGATATGAAAATAATTTTTGGTAGGAAGAGGATAATCAAGCGGGGATGCTTATTTATAATAGTTTCACAAGTTGATTGAGGTTAAATATCGTCCGGACGCTTATGCTCGGGTTATAGGGAAGGAATGTGAGCTCGTAGCATTTCTTCTTTCACACTAAGCTTAAGCTCCGCTGGTTTGACGCCACTGGCGGAATATCTATAAGAATTCTCCGACGGGTGTGTCTTACTAGGGGCTTAAGAATGCCTAATGCTACCATGAAAACGCCAAAAAGCTTGTGATTTTAGACCAAGGATTGGAAATACTACATCGCCCAGCCTCTCACGTTGTTTTCTCATATCACCTATCTAAGTCAGAGACCTAGCCCACCACGTCTAACTATGTAACAAAAGACCTTGATTAACATTCTTGATTTCTTGTGTTGGATCCCTATACAGTTAGTGATAAAAATGACATTCGTAGATTTAACAAAATCCGCCTCGTCTGATATCTCGCCTTTTTTTCAAAATGATCAACTCTCCCGTTTCCACATAACTCCACTTGTCAAACCCCGCATAACTCCACTTGTCAAGCCTTGGGACAATCTTTCCATTGCCAGGCCCCTCAGCATATTCAGAATAGTACCCAGAATAAAGGTTCTAGGTCGTGCATACAGGAATGCTTCCCGCCCAGAAGAGAGCCAATCGCTATAAAGGGAATGAGCGTGATTCTGTGCTTCCGCAGTTGAAGGTTATGTGAAGCGAAAGCCGACCAAGCCATTCCCAATAGGGTTTCCAATTATCACTTCTGATCTGGTCTGGCTTATCACAGCATTACAAGTCATGGGCCCATATATAACTTGCATTAGTAATTGGGAAAATGTTGTTGTTCAGAGGAAGATTGATTGTTGTCTATTCAAAGGGAGACATGAGGCTATATATAGAACGAGAAGATCAAGTCGCTTCCAAATCAAATTGATGCTTCGTATACATACCACGGAATTAATCCCGAAGGCTCTGTTTAGTTCCTGATCAACGCCAGCCTCATTTCACAGCAAAAAACAAAGAGTGGGAAGGCGACAATGCGCTACTATCATCATGCTCAGAGAATGTTCGAGTACAAAAAACTGTGTATTTAGTTCGAATTTGATAATTTATCCGGCCTTGTGTTCCGGCCTTGTGTTCTGGCCTTATGTTGAAAGAACGAGGCACCAATTCTTTTGGTCTCGAGACGTTGCATACCAAAACCTCCACTCTGGCTGCCGATCCATATTTGATTCCAGATCATTTCATTTAGAGTGGGGTGCTCGTACTGTATTGACACCTGAACTATTTCAAATGTCTCCTATAATGTGACAAACTTTCAGTATACATTTCGATTTATCAAGATATAGTTGATAAGGCACAATAGACGGAGCAGGGACCCCATAGTAATGACTTGGAGGCACAAAGCCCCCGCTGAAGGTTCGGATGCTTCTACAGCTGAAAAGTGCCATGCCAAAGCTTCCGAATACGACTTTTCTAGTATGCACCAGCAGCTGTCCTTCGCCTAGTTGCAAATATGTACAAGAAAGTGCCTAGTAAAAAACTTCAACGCAGTTCCCAGTCGAAAAACTCCCTGGGTATAGTTATAGCTTCTGAGAGTAATACGTCCGTTGACCTAGATTCATCCTCAATCGTTCCATGTCTGACCGTTTCTACACTTCATTGGAACATAACTGCAAAATGAGTTGGATCACTTTTATTTCAATGTACTATGAGAAGCGGCATTGACTCATTGATAAATTTACTTCAACTAAAAGAAGTTCTAATCAAAATGACATGATTAGAAACGGAACCTTTGTCCTGATACGTGTTGCTGTATATGATTGAAGAGGCTAGGCTTCAGAATTGCGTTTATTTAGAGGCAAGAAGACCCATGTCAGCTCCTTGCGCAGCTTAGAAATTGAACGCCTTCAAAGTTAGCAATATCGGTGCGTAGGAGTGATGAGTCCGCCAGCGATGCGTTTGCACAAAGAAATCAGTCAAGTAATTGAATGCAACATAGTTGCAGGTCAAAGTATGCCATTGATCAGAATCGTGATAACCCTCAATATATCCATTGGCTGAATTTTGTTGCATGGACTGGTGAACTGCTGGGCTTTGTTTCTGAAAATAATCGATCTCATTAATTTCTACCTCATGAAAGCTTAACTTAGAAATCACAGCCTAGTTGATACCCTTATGGCAAATGATCATGTCCCTCTAGAGTTTTCCTACATAAACATTCCGACTTGACAGCTCTCAAATCTCCCCCGAAGCAGATATTCACTGGGCTCTAAGGTACCATTCCTAATGCTGCTCAAACGACCCATCCAGAGGGCAACGGTCAACAAGACCGCATGTGATTAGCAATGTCGACGACATCGCCTGTCAGCCAGAAGATCTTGGATCAAATCCAAAAATGTCTTGACCGCGCCTACCATGCCAACGCATGGGAATCAGAAGCTAAAACAGCCCTCTTTTTATAAAATAACCTCATCAGCGAACAAAATGTGACTCAAACCGTTCTTATCTCAAGTGATGATCAGGGAAATAAAGCTCAATTCGGAGGACGAAATGTGGTTCGCATTGAAAAGGTCGCGGGCTTATCTTGGAGAGTTGTCAAGGAAGCCTTTGTCGAAGGGTTGGCAAAGTAATGTGTACCTTTTTTGACTGCAAAGGCTTTTCGACTGACTTCGGAATCGCCGTCGAACATAGCTTCTTATGCCATTATTGTGATGACTGGTGGCTTAGAGGTTCTTTTTACTTATCTCAACTCGTATTTGATTGTAGGATGTTGAGGAGTTAGCATACCTTTCGAGCCACAGAGGCTCTCGGCAGCATATACTAGCTCAGAGCCGAGCAATGACCAAAGTCTTCATGCGTCCGTGGAAAAAAAACACTTTTCTTGATGCATAGCACGATCCCATCTAATATCATAAGACTAAAATGAACCCTTAGTACGTTAACCACAAACTTGTCACCAGGCCCTTCTCGAGGTTCCAAAATAAAAAAGTTATTGACACGACCATCAAAGATGAAGATACTATCACGAACAAATGGCCTTATTGATTTAGTCTTTGACGATCAGTCCATGAAAATGGCATTCCTGGGAAAGAGCGTTATGTGAAAAGCAAGAGAGTTCCCGAGGCTCTGCTTTGGAATGCATACCTTTGAGAGGTATAGGGTAATATACTTAAGCCGGAGCCTTCCCCATTGCGAGAAGTGTCTGCACAGCACTCTCTTCTTGACCCGTATTATCCAACAATTTATTCGCAAATTCCAAAAGTCCACCCTCCGAATTATTCACCTCCCGGAACTTCCCATCCCAACTATAGATAACATCCCCATGACGCTTCTCATCAGCAAAAAGTAAGACCACGCTTCGAGCAACGGCCTCCGGGGGCTGAATAGTCACTCCAAGAGCCCCAAAAACACCACTAGGCATGAGCCCAGTATCAGTCCACGAAGGCGCAATGGCATTGAGTCGCACTTTTCCTCTTAAAGGTTCAACGAACCCCCGGATCATACCCAAAACTCCATGCTTAGCGATTGTGTAGTCACCAGTACTGAAGGTCTCAAACGCTGAGCAGGATGAACAGAGTACAATACTGCCGATTCCAGCGTTCTCAGGAGCCAATTTGGTCATGTATGCATTCGCGAGGTGGAGCGTGTGAAGTACTGCAAGGAAATTCACGTTGATGGTTCTGGGATTTGGGGGTTCGACTTGGCCCGCTTCATCAAGTTTCGCAACGAGGAAATCAAGTGTTGGGCCAATTCCTGCATTGGCGAAGACGTGGTCGATGCGGCCGAATTTCTCCATCGCGTAGGTGAACATGCTGCGCAGACTTTCCCATTCTGTGACGTTGACTTCGAGGAACTTTGGATTCTCGTTGCTTTCGAATTCGGGTGTAGGGGGTTTCAGGTCTCCTATCACGACCTTCGCGCCTAGGTCAAGGCATAGTTGCACTGTTGCTCTGCCAATACCGGAGGAACCACCTAAATTTGTTAATTAATGCGGTTAGAATTGTGATGGAGTGGTTACCTGTGATCAAGATGACTTTATCTTTAATGCTTGTCAGGTCTTCGTCGGTAATATAAACTCTGGCCATGATGAATGTGTTGATGGATTGCCTTGGTGTTCTGCTTATGACTGCGGGGAAATGTACGTTGAAATGATGTGTACCTGTAGCTTGGAAGTGGGGGACCGAGGGTCGCTCTAACCACGATTGGAGATTCAAGCGTAAGCAGTAGGACGTGCATATCATCTATCAACAAAATACCATAGGTAACGGAGATTAGACGAATTAGGTTTCATATCCCAAGTAGCTAGTCATCTTCTCCCTTGCTTGCTCAACCTGATCTTGTACATCAAGATCCCAGAGCCACTTCATCCGCTCTTGAAACGCCCTTTTCAATTTCTCATCATCATTCCCCACCCCATCCAGACATAAGCAAAGGAGATAAGCATTCTCCTTACTACTCGTCACGACCCTTTGACTACGAGGTCGCCTGGTCTCATCATATGCTCGAAAAGCGCCAACCACATCTTGAACCGACATAACGCGTGCATCACCGAGCAATTCCGCCAGAACATGCGCATCTTCAATAGCCTGTCCAGCCCCAGCACCTTGATGCGGCGTTGAGGCATGGGCCGCATCCCCAAGTATCGCAACCCGCGACAGACAAAACGTGTCAAGAGGAGGATTTTCGAAAATTGCCCATTGCGACGGATCAGGCATACACTTCATATCATTAGAATCATCTCAACAAAGCAGACATTACATACCTCAACAAGTTCCTTCCAATACCGCCCCATCCCTTCCGCATCACGCCTCATATCTTTCCGCTCTGCTGCCCGCACCCAAGTCTCACAATCCCACTCCTCACACAGCACATAGAGTCCCACATTCACTTTTTTCGCACGCATAATTGGATACGAAATCCCATACCTCCCTTCCCCAAGATAAAGCGTCGAGATCCTCGCACGCTGCTCCCCTACAGCTAGAACCATATCCTCCATATCAAGAACAGCGCGGTATCCATACATCCCACTAAATCGCGGATTTCCCTTATGAAAAAGAGATTCCACAACCTTGGATTTAATTCCATCACAACCAATAACCACATCAACGAGTACCTCACTTCCATCTTCGAAGAATAACATCACCCCACTCTTATTCTCATCCTCAACCTCAACGCATTTCTTAAGCCGTTTCCCGAAATGTACTATCCCAGTCGGGATGAGACTAACAAGTGCATCTAGGAAATCAGATCTTCGCACCGTCGTTTGTCCGGATGGTTGCGCTTTGAGATCTAGAAGTAATTCGCCTTCGTGTTTTCCACAAGCCCATAGTATCTCGAACCATGTCTCGCGAAAGGCTTCGTAGCCGGGACTATCGGCGTGCGTTGTTACGAGGGAGTCGTAGATTTTGCGGATATCTGGATCGAGAAGGGGGAGGGCGCGATGGGCTGCTGGTCCTATGGAGAGGCCTAGACCGATTTCTTGGAATGAGGATGCGGCTTCGTAGATTTGGACTGGGGTTTTGCGGCGGAGGAGGCTTATTGCGAGGATTAAACCGCCTATTCCGCCGCCTATTATAGTGATTGTGAAGTTTTTGGTCATTTTGTTCGTGAGTAACTTGTATCAATGGATGGGGAGGGTTTATTCTAATTGCGGGGTTTTGCTTATTCAAAGTTGGGACGGGAATGATCCGTGGATTGTTGGCGGGAGGAGCCGATTGTTTGTGTACAATATGTTTTCGTTGGTTTATATCTTAACTACTAATGTTTATTGGACGCTAATGGGTATTTGAATGGGAGATTCTACTATCAACGCGATCCTGTCGCGTGACGGTGAAAGATTCCCTCGGAAGAAAAGAGCCTAAGAAGCCCAAGTGGAGATGCCTGAAGAAGTCCCTTATGCAGGGTGGAGACTATTTACATGTTAGCGCGGATATAGACACTATGACATAAAGACGAACCTCAATTGGCAGAATGATATAGTCAATCCATTCAGGTTTTCAGACTCAACCTGGGGAGGGATCTGGAAATATCAAGACGATGGTATGCATCCGTTCTTGAATACACAGCAGGGATCAAATCATGGGCATCGTCAACGTCCGACTATTATCCCATTTATGCGGCCCGATCGGATCATCCCGACCATACTCCGACGCCTCCTCAAAATCAGGATTTGCTCGATCTCTATCTCTAGAGATAGGCGGAGAAGAATCCGAATCATCGAGCGCCCGCCGGAACCGCAGGAATTCCTGCGAATCCACACCCTGAATGGGGTACATAGTTCCCATCTCCATTGAATGAAGGGCTGCTCGTTGGATTTGACGAAGATCGTCGCGGAGGCTGGAAACCTGGCTTTCGAGGTTGCGGCGGGCGGTTTGTTCGCGACGGAGGAGCGTTACTAGAGTGCTATACTGCTCGATAGAGACACCGCTGTACTCCGAGAGAGACGTTGCTGATGGGGCGGGACGAATGCTCCGATTGCTTAGTGTGTCTTGCCGGATTGTACTAGTGCTAGATGGTCGCACTGCGCAAAAATTGGCAAGGGGGCTAGGGGATTCGTCACGGTCGCGGTCTCGCTCTCGGTCTAAAGAGCCTAGATATCCGGATGAGGGCTTGTTGCGTGTGTGGCTGGTTGGCGTGCGGATCGGCTCGGCGGATGGGGTGCGCTTCTGTCGAGACCGATCTGTTGGGCCGTCAATGGGACTGGATTGCATGCGGGCGATTGCAAATTCCAAGTCAATCATCTTCACCTCAAGGGTGTTCAGTCGCTGCTCCACGGTGAGACCGTCGTCTTGTTGCATCGAGTGGACAAAGTTGCCCATATTAGGTGGTAGGCTCATTTGGTCCGCTCGTTCGTCGGCTTCGGAAATTGACGGTGCCACCGATGCGCGCGTGACGCTTGTCACGGTAGTCCCTGTGGACGGCCTAACAGAGGGATCACTGACGGAGCTTCCAAGCGCAGGCGACTTGGAATTGGGCCCCGAAGCCGCGGAAGTGGCGCGGGGTGGCCAATCTTCATGGTGCAACGCTTCAGTGCTTCTAGTTCGTCGGTTTTGAAGCAAACTATATCGGCCATCGTGAGCATGGCGGTCTTCCTGAGGATCGGAGATGGCAGAGGCTACTGCAAACCGCGACTCATCGTCGGAGAAGATCACACTGGGCAGTGTGGCTCTTCGGCGTCGCGGCAAACCAGGCGATGGCAAGGAACCACCCTTGGCGGATGTTGGTGATAGATGTGACTCCGCAAATTGCAGTTGTAGGTTCTCCTCCGACAGTGGACTGCTCCTTTTTGATTCTGTAGGTGTAGGAACCGATAAAAATGATTTTCCTGGTCCTGGTTTTCTCACTGGGGTTGTATAGAAGGCCTCATTCGGGCTCTCCTCCAACCCATCCGCTGCGCTTTGTCTCTTCCGGTTGAAGATCTTGCGCATGACCGTTTTCAATGTACTACCAGTCCGTCGGTGTGCGAGGGCCGGATTCTGAAAGCTGATCGGGGGTAAGGCGGTATCGTAGTGGTCTATGGCAAAGGACGCAGGGTTTGAAGCTGAGCGCTCAGCGCGGGCGGACGATGATAGATGTACACTTGCGACCGACTCGCTCCCGGCGCTGGCAATGGATCGAGTGTAATTTCCTGACATCGCGGTAATTTCCGATCTAATCACCCCTGAAAGTTCCACCTCATTAAATGATATTCGTCGCGCCACATAGGGGTATATCGCAAAAAAGGAAAATAAAGGGACGGAGCGAGTGTCGAGAAGTATAGAAAGCAGATTATGAACCGCTCAGCGGAATCGATGAAGAATTAAGAAGGGCTGACAGACAATTTAGTGTTAGTCTTAGTGCGAATCGATTTGGACGTACATAAGGATCATAATTGCAATTCCCGTGGCTGTTTGCCTTGAAAGGTTCCACAGCGTCAAAGGGTTGGAAAGAATCAAACGAGGGAGGGAAGTTGGGGGGAATAGGAGACAAGCTTTTGCAGTTGGGAATCAAGATGATCCAGTCCAGGCTTCTCTGCCCCCCACAACCAAAGCCACAGCCGAGACCAAAGAACAAGTTACTCCGTGGTGGACCGCAATTCCTTCTCAGAGTTTGGTTAGGTTTTAGCTTGCTTTGGCTTTTCCAAACATGGAATGCGACCGAAGTTCATCCCGGAGAGTGGAGAAGGGGAAGAGAACTCCTGGTCCGAAAGAACGTTTGTTATCAGACCAACGAATCATACTTGTCCTACAGGGTTCCCGTCTCCAGCTCGGGTTGAAACCCGACTTTGTCTGTTTAAGCTAGTCTGGTTCCCCTGTCTCGGCTGAGGCTCACTTTGATACAGTACGTGCATATCTACCTAGTACTATGAGGCCAAGATCGACCTTTAATTTGTCCGTATCATGTCCCTTTCCGTGTCTACCCCACATTGCTTTAAAGTAAATCTCCGGCATCGGGATATCGTAGGTCAGCGTGCTCCTCCAAGTAATCCATCCAGTGTTTCAAGAAGTTGCTTCCTCTGCGTTGTGTTAATACCGAGTCTGCAGGGTTTGCAGGGTTTGCAGGTTTCCTGCACGAAATCACTCACCGACTAATAGTGTCAGAGTCTCCACAAATACAAAGATGTCGCTTTGGTCGAGTCATGGCAACTGAAAAAGTAAGAATTTGCAAAGTCAAGAGAAAAACAGAGCCCTACCATTAAGACGTCGCTTCTCACCGAGGAATCCAACCTCATGCTCCTCATTGCTGCGTACAAGACTCACAACAACAGCCTCTTTTTCGCGTCCTTGGAATCCATCCACGCTGCCCAGTTCCAGCCCGGGGTATTTCTCACGCAGCATCTGAGACAGGAGTGCCCGTTGTCCATTGTAAGGTGTGATAACAGCGATCGCCTCAGGTCTGACACCTGCATCCACCAGGTTATCAACATGCCTGGCAACGACCAAGGCCTCCATCTCGTTGCATTTGCTTTCCCCTAGAAGCGTGTCCCTTTTGCTGATCTCGGCGTCTTCGGTCTTTTCGGGGAAATCGCCTCCTTGTGTGTCCCAGAAGATGAGGGGCTCTTGGGTATCGTCGGTGCCGCGCACTTCATATGGTAAGTCGACTAACAGACGAGCTTTCACGGAATCAGCGGCCATCAGCTTGGCCTCATATAGCTCGTCTGACGGGAATCGCATGATCTTCTCATGCATGCGATACTGTGTTGTCAGCATGCGTTTGATACCGGGACCGTGTAACGCTAACAATCGATCGAATAATGTGCGCTCCAGTGAAAAGCCCTTCAATATTTCCTTATCCTCTGGTACCTCCTTCGTGGGCGTGTCCTTGGACTTGTGATTTGTTGATTTGACCGTGGGTGGCAGCTGTAAATGATCACCCGCGAGTACCACTTTTTGAGCTGATAATAGCGAGATCCAACATTGTGCCTCCAGCGCTTGACTGGCCTCGTCGATGATCACGATATCGAATTTCTGATTTTTGAGTTGGTGACCACCAGCGCCATGAAGGGTTGCTAGCACAACACTACTCTCGCGAACCAGATTATCAACGCATTTGGATTCGCGCTCTCGGAACTCCTTCCGCAGATGTTTCAGATCATCATATATCACTCTTCTTTCTCGACCACTCTTGGTCTTGCGAATGCTGGCTTGTTTCTCATCCATCTCCTTGCGCACGTCTTTCACGATACTGGCTGCATCAGATGTCTGTGTCAGGACTTCAAGAGAATGTTCCAGGACAGAGGGAAGAAGACGAGCGGGATGTCCGATGCGAACCACAGGAATCTTTTTCGGAGCTAATCGCTCCACAATGTTATCCACAGAAATGTTCGACGGGCCGCAAACGAGGATGCGCTTTTTGCGTTGCACGAACTGCATGATCAGCTCGATCAAGGTATGTGTCTTTCCCGTACCAGGTGGCCCATGAATAAGCGCGATATCCTTGGATCCCAGCGCAAATCGAATGGCATCCTTCTGGGAGTCATTGAGTGTCGGATCAAGAAACTCAACAGACTCTGCATCATCCGGCTGTAAAGGAGTCGTCTGGCCAAAAGCCACACGCATGAAATGGGTATAATCACCCTCCGTCATCTTGGTCATCTTCTCCATCGTCTGCCTCATTCTGAAAGACATCAGCATAAACCCTCAACCACATCACGAATTCCTTACCGTCTATACGTGACATCGTTGGCAAGCTTGATCCTACAACATATTAGCAGATTCCCACCAACCGCAGATGCAGACATACACCCATAACTTCTTGCTCCATAGCTCCTCAATCGCCTCATCATCCTCCTTAGACCGCGTCCCACCCCCTTGCTGCCCAAATGCAATCCAAATGGCCTTGTCGCTGACCCGCGTAACAACACCTTCAGGTCCCTTCGCTTCCCCATCTTTGCCTTTATCCTTGCCCACTTTCTTCACCCCAGCAGATACGTCATTCACACGAACAACATCTCCAACTCGAATCCCATGCGATCCAAGCCGAGGCTGTCCGTCCGTAGACTCGGTCGACGCGATGGCCGGGTCGGGAGCGAATTCACCCACCACGCGACCTCCAAGACCGGTCCGGCATTGTGAGAGAATTAGGCCTGTGAGCGCGTTTCCGGTTGCTTGGAGGGTTCTTCTTGTTGCAGGGGAAACTGATGCGGCGGTTGATGCGAGGGAGGAGGAGGACACTTCGGCTTCGTGTTCTTGGAGTAGGAGCTGAAGCTGGGTTTCAGCGAAGAGGGGGATGGAGATTGGGTCGGGGGCCATGATTGGCGCGGAGACGAGAAGTTGTTTGAATTCTCGTTTTATCCAAATTATTCTTCCATTGATCGAGTACTCCGTAGTCGCTTGCTGTAAAGACTGGTGGGCTTGGTTTGGTTGTTGCGGTGACGTGGGGCTGGAGCTGCGATGATCTCCCCGCGGGTTTAGTCAACCCCTCTCGAAGTCTCAAAGACGTCGTTCCGGGCATCCAGCCTGGTTTTAACATTTCATTTGGCTCAATTTAGTTACGCTAGCTCTAGGAAAGGGAAATATGATTCATATGTCTTTGAAAAAGACTGTGGAGTTCGTTTCTGAACTGTATATCGCGTTCCAGATCTCTGGTAGTCAAGCAGCTGGCCAGGAACGCGCCCACGCGATGTAGTCCAAACAGCTAGTCCTTGGAACATGGTCATGGGGCCATTCAGACATTTTTCCACAACCAGGAATCGCGATACAGACTTTCATTTGCCTTACCCAGGGCTCTTCAGAACTTTGATTTTATTTGTGGATTGGCCAGCGGCCTGTTGCGCGCGGACTGTATGATCGGAAACGCAGGTCGCGCCAATAGAGATTCGAGCATGAAGTCGGAAAGCCCTTTTGATTGACATCATGGAGGCAATGGCAGACAAACTGATGGAGGTGAATGAGGGGCCAAGACCATAATTGACTTCCCGCGGGTGGTTGGTTTGATTTTGCTCTGTCAGGATTTGATTTGAATGAGAAGCTGCGAGTATGATATAGACGTTATTGCGAAGAGTTACGGAGTGCATCACTACGGAGTAAACAGCTAATGTAATATTCTATTACGTACCATACTCCATAAAGTCAAAGGCGCACCGAACTAACTACGATAACTTTGAAATGAGTTCTGGAGCCACTAGGCTAGGAATTATTGCATTTTGTCTTGGATACAGATCCTAATCCCTAGATGATGTATGTAATAAAAAGGTCAAAATATGTGTACGCTAAGATATCCCCTCTAACCCTTGCTGAAAACAAACCGAAGCAAGACCCAAATGCAGGTGAAGCCAGATAATTGAACGCCGATAGATGATAAAGGAGGGACGGCTGTCGGGGTCGTAGGGATCGTAATATGACAATGTCAAGTGCTATGCTGAATGATTGATGCTGAATAAAATGCAATGGACGAGTGATGATAGGAACGAAAACCGTGCCAGATCAAATTTTTACAAAGCCATGGCGACAATGACTGCACCGCCGACCATAGCGGCGACCTCCCGAGCAAGACCGTTGTTCATGGCAGCACCACCGGTCTGGAGACCAGGGTGGGAGGTGGTGGTGGTCGCTGTCGAAGCAGTTGGGGTGACGTGCACAACTGTCACAGCAGTGACAGTTTCGAGGGTGCCATCGGGCAGAGTAGTGGTACTCTTGTAGGTGGAGGTGCTCAGACTAGCAGAGCTAGTGGTTGTGGAGTGCGATTCAGTCGAGGTGGACGACGAGCTGGAGGAGCTCGAGCTGGAAGAGGTGCTTGTCTGTGTGGTGAGGGTGGTAGCCACGGATGTCGTGGTCGAGGTAGAGGTGGAGCTAGAAGTGGAGGTAGAGGTAGAAGTAGAGGTAGAAGTAGAGGTAGAAGTAGAGGTAGAGGTAGGAGTAGAGGTGGTTGATGTGGAAGTGGACGTCTCGCTCGTCGAGGTTGAGGTGCTTGAAGTGATGGTGCTCGAAGTGGTGGCCACAGTATCAGTGGGGGTCGAACTAGAGCTAGTGCTGGAGCTAGAACTGGTGCTGGCTGAGGTGGGGCTGGTGCTATCGGTCGACTCGGTTGCCTTGGTAGATTCAGAAGTGGTGGTAGCTTCGGTGCTGGACTCAGTTGGAATAGCGGCCTCAGTGGTGGGGTTGGCAGAAGCACTGGCGGTCGCGTTGCTATCTCTCTTCAAAACCTTGAAGATGCTGGCAATCTTCTTATCTTCACCTTGAAGGGCCTCGAGGGCACTCATGTCAGTTTCGAAAACGCCGTCTTGGAATTTGTCGGACAACACGTGGAGAGCATCGTGAATGCGGTTCACATCGATGTTGGCGAGGATGTCCTGGAAAGACTCACGGTGGACAAGTTTGTCCTGAGGGAGCTGTTCGGTGGCAATGACAACCGACAGGAGCATCAGCACTGCAATGAGCAGCTGGAGAATGTTGAAGCGAGGCATGATAGGCGATAAGTGATAAGCTGAGGAATGTGGGATTGTCGGGGATGGGGTGATGGGATATAGAGGAGAAAGAAGAGAAGCAATTACAAGAGCAACTGGGAAGATTACAAAAAAAGCAATCGCTACCAGGAAAAGTCAGAGTCGTCGCAATGTTTTGGACGCTACTTCCAAGTTTTATCAACTAAGCCGCTAGTTGACCCACGCGATCCCCAAAACGAACAAATTGAGAAGCTTGGATGCCTAGAAATGGTTCAACCTATTTTATTCTTCTCTAGCCGGTACTCCGAATTTATTACATTAATCTTTTATTTCGAAAAATGTACTCTATACATAGCGAAGAAACAAAAATCACGAGAGTAAGGTGCGACCCAAGGTTTCCAATGCATGAACAAGGCAGCGGGTTCCGCTCATTGGCTGAGTCTCAGCCGAAAATAGTACGCATCCGGTCATGTTGTCATACACACTATTGATCAATAAATAGTGGAAAACAATGCTGATCAAGAATGAAATTACACGAAATCAACAATAACAGCCTTGGAAAAATAGAGATTCATGAAAATATCCATCATTCATATTCATGTTCATCGTCTATCCCCCCTCACACTAGTAGACAACATGCATGCATTAGTGGCTGACATCGAATCAACTTCATGCATTAACACAGGTGAACAAATCGCCAACGAACACCTGAGACACGACATAATCCACTTGGCACAACACGAGCAAACTCAATTTTCAAGTATACTTGTAACAATACCCTTTCCCCATCGGATTCATGACCTCACGAACCGATCGAGCCCGATCGAGCACCCCCCACTCCATCATTGTATCTAAAGTTATAAGCTTCGCCCACGGCGGATTGGTAATAACATCCGTCCCATTCAACGCATATCTTCGACTGCGATCACCATCCTGCCACCGCGCCCAAACCCGATCAATCATCGCATGGTGCAGCATAAATGCCGGGTCCTGCGGCGATGTAAACAGATCCTGCAACGTCGCGCCGAGACTGAAGTGTCCGGCACCGTGTAGCCCCAGCAGACCATCCGGCCGGGCCGGCCAATGGTCCATTACCATCTGGAAGGTGTTTATGTCGGGCGCGGCCATCAGAGCCGATACGATGGTGGCATTGCTGTAGTGGGTTGCGACCCAGTCGTTGAGACTTCGGTTCAGGCACCGGGGGTTGTAGTCGAATCCCGGGGCTGGGATCTGGGTTAGTGAGGCGAGACTACGTGAAAAGGGGCCTAGATGGATTTGCATGTCTTTGAAGGGACCACTTTTGGCACAGCCTCCACCGCTTCCGCGTGGCAGGGTGACTCCACCGCCCGAAATACTTTGTTCGCCTGGGTTGTATGCCCCGTCTCCTGAGAGGGATGTTTCACTGCCGTCAAAGAGGGGACTGGCAGCTAGGTCGTCTGCCCAAAGAGGCCAGTTCCAGTATCTGGCTTGGTAAGTGTTTGTCTTTCAGTGGATGTGGAAGCTACTCACGGAAGATGACCTTTGTATCCGCATTCTTCCCGCACGGCCTTTTCCCAGAGCCAAAGGAATTGGCGATGCCATGGCAAGAAAAGTCCACTGTAGTGAACATGTAGAGTATAGTTGATGTGAGTGCTAGCATCGAGTTAGGCTTGTTCCGGAAACTGTCGGCGATTAAACATACGCCACAAAATCGTCAAATCGGCTGCGAACGCCCGGGTAATCGGCTGTCGGAAGATGGGGTGGAAGTCGCTGTAAACATAAAACGGCATCTGTGTAACCGATCCTGTCAATTGCCGTCATCTCTCCCCTGTATATGGTCAGCTGTAGAGCCGGATTTGGATATTTGGATCTTACCATTCCTTACGCTCAGCAATATTTTGTTTATTGCACTTTTCTGGAGAAGTAGGTACTGAGGATACCAACGCCCCTAGACTCAGGAAAAGCCCGAGCGACCGGAGTAAAATCATGTCGCAGGTATGAGAAGTCTGTCAACACTCAATGCACAGAAATGAGTATGATTACACTCGGACTCTGATTCTTTCTCTGGGCAATCTAGCTGTTAAATAGTGCAATCTTGTTTTCTTTGTCCAAGCTCTATACTTCCGGGATTCCTTGGCTTGTGACCTGTCTATGCACATCCCTGCAGGGGTTCACATCCCCAATCCAGAAATTGCAAGTCGTCTATCACTTGGTTTAGAGAATTGGAATCAGGTTGAATCCACAAAACTGATTGGTGAACTGCATCTCTACCTAACGTTTTATTCCAAACCACGGTTTTCAGTGGTCACCAGATGAGTCCATGGATCTCGACAATAGCGTGAATACCTATGACACAGAAATGCAGGGTCCAGACCCTAGGAAGATGATTATGACAGGTAAATAAACACAGTATCTGGGCCAATCAGGCATCTTTTGCATCGAATCCCTGCAGGAAGATCGCTATCTCCCCACGCCTATCTTGACAAGGTTTAATTCAGGTCTCTCCACTTTGTCCACATTGAAATACCATCTGCAAGGAGTATCTACGACGCTCTGCCAAATATGATGCTATCTCTACTCATTTTTACACCGCCCACTTTGCAACTGAGGCATAGTCTGCACATGTGTGGGTGGCTTGTCACACCATGCTTTTAGTTGTCGTTGAATATTCATTATGTGAAAATCTTTGATAGGAAGTTGATTCATTCCACATATCGTCACTATCATGGGGAAGACCCTTGGCGCGCGAAAGCTTTATACCACTTCTCGGAACCTCTATCTGAACCAATCTCTGCAACCATCCAACTTAGCACAAACAGATGCTCTTAGCAATTCAATTCCCTCGAACATACCACTTGACTAAGTGACATGCTTACGGAGAGCGAACGTGATTCAATAGGACACACATGGCTGAATGCAATATTGCAGTCATATCGTTGAACCGGCAGAGATAGAATTGGCGAACGTGAATATCCTTACCAGTTTCTGCCGTGGAGATCCAGACTAAGCGATTGCAGTGGTTGTGTTGAAATGGATAGCTTCATTCAATTAAGGCAACGGACTTGTATTCACATGGCGAGATCAAGCCGAGATCCACCCATGGCACCCGTCGATCGAATGCGGGGCGGGCGAGCCGAGGTTCTTATACGAAAGGACCCGGACTCTGGTCGATTGATTTCCGCACATCTCAGTCACCTTCTAGTTAGTAGCTTATCGAGTTCATGGGGTCAATACAGCACCGCAGTTACCAGGCCATGGAGTTCTGGTCGGGAATCGTGGAGTCTCACTCGCCACAGAAGATCGAGTTTCTGGGAACACTCCTTGTTCAAGTCTTCTCATTCTGGCTACCATCTCTTTTCTATCTATGGCTGGATACTATTGCCCCATCCTTCTCACAAAAACATAAGATTCAACCGGCCCCCAAGCAACCCACGCGACGCGACATCACACACTGCTTTCTCGTCGTAACACAAAACCAGATCCTCTCATCTGTCTTGCACCTCACCCTCCTTTTCATTTCGAGTAAAGCAGGCTCGCGATCCTCATACCGCATTGAAGCTTCTTTACCCGGAACCACCGAATTTGCACGCGACTTCATATTAAGCATACTTCTACGCGAGGCGATATTTTACTACAGTCACCGTCTCCTACACATCCCTTACTTCTATCGAAGAATTCACAAGAAGCATCATCGATTCACCGCACCGATTGCGCTTGCAGCGCAGTTCGCCCATCCTCTTGAGCAGATTTTCGCCAATGCCTTGCCTATTTCGTTGCCGCCGCAGCTATTGCGGAGTCATGTATTGACATTTTGGGCTTTTCTTGCTTGGGAGCTGTTCAATACTGCAACTGTGCATAGTGGGTATGATTTCTTTCATAACAAGGCCAAGATGCATGATTTGCATCATGAGAAGTTCAATTTGAATTATGGGTCTGTTGGATTGCTGGATTGGATACATGGGACGGATAAGCTTGGCAAGCGACATTCCGAATAGTTTTTCGGGGTAGAGGCGAAGTATCAGATCTCACGTAGGTAGCTACATGAGTATGCTGCCTGTCGAATATGGAAAAAAATAAGTGATCGAATCCAAAATTGGCGTAATCGAAAGTAGAAATGTCTCATTACAAGGCTGTCTCGTTACAGGGCTGGACTCAGCAGTCTCACCATCTTGTACCCCCGAGAAGTCTTTCTCATGTGTTGTACACAGGTGAAGGGTGAAATCATTGGATCCCGTTTCTAATTCTCGGTGATTCGGCCGAAACGTGACCGCAAATAAGCTGTCAGTGATGCGAAATCTTTATCTTCATTTCATTATATCAGTGGTTTCTGTCAGTGCTCATGCTCAAGCTTGGAGTTACCCCATCTCAACAATTACTGCACCCTTGGAGAGGCAGCATGCCAACCTATAGTAGGTGAGGATATCCCTTATCCATCGCACTTACCCCACGCCATTCAGACCTGTGTCCCTTCTTATCGACCTACCCCAACACATCAGTTGGGGTAACTACAAAGGAAAATCGTATCCTATTTTGACCTACCTTATCAAAGTGGAGTTCCTACTGTTATCAGACCGTTGGAGCCATGTCTGCATACATAACGTGCGGGGAGACATGTTGGAAAATGAATCACTTTACCAATTTACCTACCAACCAAACCCATGGCAAAAGACTTTCAAGTCCTGCCACCCAGTGCAGGCTACGGCATCGTCATTGGAATCGGAGGCATCTTCGCCCTGTTCATGCTCAGTCTAACTTGGCTCCAGAACCGATACACCCGTTTCTCAACGCACCAAGCTGAAGAATTCAACACAGCGTCCAGATCCGTCAAACCAGGTCTAATCAGTGCTGGCATCGTATCCTCGTGGACATGGTCTGCAACATTATTGACAAGTTCCACGTTCGCATATGAGTATGGAGTCTGTGGACCGATGTGGTATGCGGCGACGGGAACGTTGCAGATTCTTTTATTCGGCTTGATCGCTATTAAGATTAAGCTGAATGCTCCTGGAGCGCATACGATGCCTGAGATTGTACTCTCCCGCCATGGCACTATTGCGCATCTTACTTATTTGTATTACGGTCTTGCGACTAATATGCTTGTCGGGGCGTGTTTGGTTCTTGGTGGTTCGCAGGTCGTGAGTGCGTTGACGGGTATGAATGTTTACGCAGCGATATTCTTAATCCCGGCGGTTGTTGCTGTGTATGTTATTGCTGGTGGATTGCGGTCTACCTTTATTGCTGACTATACTCATACTGTTATCTTGTTTGTGGCGATTTTGGTTTTTGGTTTCTTGCTTAATGCTACTAGTGACTTGGTCGGGAGTCCGGGGAAGTTGTATGATCTTCTGCTGGAAGCTTCGGAGAAGATGCCGATCGCGCGAAATACGGGTGGTTCTTATCTTGCGTTTCGGTCGGTTGGCGGTCTTATCTTTGCTTGTGATCTTTTTGTCGCTGGTTTCACCACTGTTTGGCTTGATCAGGCTTACTGGCAGCGTGCGATCGCTTCGAAGCCGGAGACGTCGGTCAAGGCATATATCCTTGGCGGTATTGCGTGGTATGGTAAGTATTACCGATATATGAGCCTCTGGTTCTAGATCTGACATAGAATAGGGATTCCTTTCGGGTTTGCAACTGTTATGGGCTTGGGATGTGCAGCTCTAACAAGCGACCCACGTTTTCCTACTTATCCCAACCCATTGTCGTCAGCGCAAGTCGAAGCAGGACTTTCAGCCCCAGCAACGGCAATAGCACTCCTCGGCAAGGGTGGCGCCGTCTTATTGCTCATCCTGTTATTCATGGCCGTGACGAGTTCCACCTCGGCAGAACTCATCGCCGTGTCATCGCTGTTGACGTTTGACGTGTACAAGACATACTACCGACCGAACACTAGCTCCGAAGCACTAGTGAAGGTCAGCCACTGGGCGATCGCGTTGTATGCAATTATTCTTGCTGCCTTCTGCTGCATCCTAAATGCAGTTGGGATCAGTCTGACCTGGGTTCTGACAGTGTTGGGGGTCATCGTGGGTGGCGCAGCCCTTCCCGTTGGCATGATTCTTCTATGGGAGCCCATGTCCACGGTCGCGGCTATCGCTGCCCCATGGATTGCTTTTATCTGTGGCCTTATCTGTTGGTTTGTCACGGCGTGGAAACGCAGTGGTGCGATCAACGTTGCAACGACTGGGGATACCACTAATGCCGTAGCTGGCAATCTAGCGTCCTTCGGGATGGGGTTTGTGATGGCGTTTGTGTTGACATTTCTGTTCCCTAAGAAACATAGTCCTCCGGTAGCGATTGCGGCTGCTGTTTCTGGCGTTCCAGACTCTGCTGGTTCCGAGCAAGAATCTACTGCTCGTCAAGAAAATGAGAAAGATAAACGTGATGTTTCTCCAAATACAAGGGAAGTTGTGCAGCCTCCAAGTAACGAGCTTGTCGATTACCTCAGTTCCAACAACATCGAGCCCATGGATCCTATCCTTGCACGCAAAGGTGAACGCATTGCTTGGGTTGCTAATGCTATTTTCTTCTTTGGTGCTGTTGTTTTGGTTCCATTCACCCTTTTCGGCACGAGCTATATCTACAGCAAACCTTTCTTCACTGGATGGGTGGTTGTCTCTTTTATTTGGATTTGGATCAGTGTTGTCATTTGCGTTATTTTTCCTGTGGTAAGTTCGCCCATCCAGCTTTCCAATTTTGGTACTGACGATTATCCAGGTTGAGAGTGCCGAAGCTTTGGGAAATATCCTGGGCGGGGTGTGGATGGATGTAAAGGCCCTTTTTGGCCATCGCAAGGAGAGGGTAGTAAGCCCCGTCGCTGCTTGAATATTCTATGTTGAAGCTCAACTATTCAAGTTAAACTATTACAACTTTCTGCTTCCACGCTTCCATTATCCGCTTTTTTAGTCTGACTATGCACTTATCTGGTATCCGTGTCCCTACAGCAAGCTATCACTTCTAGTGCAGCTCCTCCTAATTTCTCGCCCGCTTAGCCTTTACCTCAAAACATAGTCGTAACCAGAGCAGAGCGATCCATTTTCCTGAATTTTTTCTTCCTTCATATTGCAGAGACAAGGAACTGTGTTGCATAACGAATTGGCCTGTGGAAATGAGCAGATGGCCTAGGTGGGGTTTGTGGAAACGAGGGTCTCTCGGTCCAACCATGGTTTGAGGAGCCGCCTACCTATCAGATTCAGCTGCATTGTTTAGTTACTAACTTCAGAGGGGATGACCAAATTATCAACTACTCTGTAGAAATATATACGTCAAGCCAATCCTCATGTTCATGGTATACCCTGCGGCTCCTATTTATAAATCCTCGGACATCTGCATACACCCGTTTGTGTCACGCAAGGGTGCTGAATATTCCTTCCCTAATTCTGCTTCACAGCCATGGAATACACATGGTTTTGCCACACAGTTGTTTCTTGGTCGTTAGGTAAGGTAAGGGTCGTAATAGTATGCCCTTGGCTGTGGCTGTGTATTTTGCATGTCACAGTAGCTCGAAGTCCAGAATCGCGCCAGTTTTGTAGATCAAGGAACAGCTCTTAATATCGCTGCCAAATACCCGGCAAGATACACAATAACCCATCTCAGTCCAGCTATTGATATTCTCTATTTGAATCACAGTATGTCGCCTGGGATTGACCATGCATCACGTTGCCAAGGATTCATGATCCATTACGCCAAGACAATACTACTACTAAGTAGTATGCGCGCAGGGTCCAGCAGAATCCACTTCAATGTACGAGTAGATGATACATGGATTCTGTATATATTAAAAGCTAGAGGCTTGTAGCTCCTACACAGTATCCTACCTTCTTTCAAACCGTGTTAGTCAAATGGCCCAAGGGTTTTCTGAAGACGCCCTCGAAAATGATGAGTGGCAAACCGTTCAGAGAAGTCTGGGGTTAGTCCAACATTTCGCGGTGTACCCAAGTAATAGACCCTGGGGGTGTTTTGTGTGACATGTCTGGGTTGCCAACTTTGTGTATCCACGCTGGATTTCGAGTACCGCTATGAACAGCTTCAAAGGCAGATTTCATGTTGAGCAATAAGGAAAGATTAAAAGCAAACAAAGATAACCAGATTGAAAAATTTCAAAATCCTGGGGCAGGGTCGCCAAGATGTCCCGGAAACCCCTTGCATGATCGACGAGCCCGAGGATATCTCCTTGTAATAGAATAGTGACACAATGCAGCTTCCTGCCAATCAGCATCGGATACAACGCCCAGTGTTTAACCATCCTTGCGGTGGCCATTGGCTGGGGGGCAGGGTTGATCTGGACCTATTTAAGGTGGGAAGTTATAAGGTAAACCCTTCATCCCTACGTTCTTGAGCAACAGTCCTTCGTTCTTTCCTTTTACGCGTTTTTGGCATTCTTTCATTTTGTCATTCGTTCTGTCTTACATTCGTTTATTTCTCCATCCGCTCAATCCCCACCATTTATCACCACTCAACCAACCCCACTGATAAAGCTGTTCATCATGAAGGCTGGCCTCATCTCTATCGCCGCGGCTCTCGTGGGTGCCTCTCCTGTCTGGGGTGCCTCAACCGAGAAACGCGACAGCATCACCCCCGTCACTGTCAAAGGAAATGCCTTCTTCAAGGGCGATGAGCGATTCTACATCCGCGGTGTCGACTACCAGCCCGGTGGCGAGTCGAAGCTAGTAGATCCGATCGCCAATGCCGATAGCTGCAAGCGTGACATCAAGAAATTCCAGGATCTCGGCCTGAATACTGTTCGTGTTTACTCTGTTGACAACTCCGCGAACCACGACGAGTGCATGAAGGCCTTGGCGGATGCTGGGATCTACCTGGTGCTCGATGTCAACACACCCAAGTACGCGATCAATCGTGCCGACCCCAAGAAATCATACAATGACGTGTATCTTCAGTACGTCTTCGCAACTGTTGAGATGTTCGCGCAGTATGACAACACCCTGGCCTTCTTCTCTGGAAACGAGGTTGTCAATGATGGTCCTTCTTCCTCCGCTGCTCCTTACGTGAAGGCCGTTACTCGTGATATTCGCTCGTTCTTGCGCGCTCGTAAGCTGCGTCATGTCCCTGTTGGATACTCTGCTGTAAGGATCACCTGCCCTGCTTTCGTCATCCATGCTGACCCACCACCAGGCTGACGTTAACGATAACCGACTGGAGATGGCTGAGTACATGAATTGCGGTACTGATGACGAGCGCAGCGATTTCTTCGCCTTCAACGACTACTCATGGTGTGACCCATCCTCTTTCACCATTTCCGGATGGGACCAAAAGGTCAAAAACTTCACCGGCTATGGTCTCCCACTCTTCCTTTCCGAATACGGCTGCCACACAAACACTCGTGACTTCGGAGAGGTTTCCGCGCTCTACTCGACCGAGATGACCGGCGTCTACTCTGGTGGCTTGGTCTACGAGTACGCCCAGGAGTCCAACAAATACGGATTGGTCGAGATCAAAGGAGACGACGTCAAGGAGCTCCACGATTACACTGCCCTCAAGACCGCTTTTGAAAAAACCGCGAACCCCCAGGGTGATGGAAACTACAACAGCACTGGTGGTGCGAGTGGTTGCCCTGCGATGAACGCGCCCAACTGGAATGTTACCAATGACGCACTGCCCGCTATGCCTGCCGCTGCCAAGAAATACTTGACCGATGGTGCTGGCAAAGCAGTAGGCTTTGGCGGAGACGGTAGCATGGATGCAGGCACCGACTCTACTGCCACAGCTACCTCCGGCTCTGGGGCAGTCACCGGAAGCACTTCTAGCAGCACCAGCACCAGCTCCAAGGGAGCTGCCGCTGGTCTTCAACCCCCTGCCCTTTCCATGGCCCCCGTTACTGTTGGCTTGGTGACTGCCTTGTCTGCACTTTTCGGCGCCGGCTTCATCGTTCTGTGATAGGTTTACACCCTGCTTGACAACTTTCTTTGTTCCCAAAATCCTGTATTTTTTACTTTATGACCTTTCATTTCGTGGGACAAGTTAGCTCTTATTGATGGTGATGTAACGGCATTCGGCCTGTACAGCAGATTAACTGATACGGCAAGTCAATCAAATATGATGTTCCGAATGAGCTTCCCTAGTCTCTTGATCGAACATTTTTCTATTCTCATTTATTTCACGTAATTATAGTTCACAATATCTAAACCAAACTCCACGCCGATAACAACAATGCATCCATAATGATCAGCTCAACCCCAGTATAATCCATACTTCTTCAGGATTTTCAGACACAGTCATTAACACGACTTCCAAATCTCGTTGAGCCATTCAAAATAGACTTGAGATTTAACCCCGATCGATAAAGCCGGGATCTGTTGGCGTGGGAGAAAGTCGAAAAGACAGATCGCGAAGTCTTCTTCAAATCCTCATTCCTAGGATGAACTGTGCCGATACGCTCTGAGTCACGGTTGAGCTGTCTCAAAATCCATTCTCCAGTCTCCACCAATTTGGACAGTTCAACCCCCGTTTCGATACCAGCAGCATTGAACATGAGCACAAGCTCCTCGGTTGCGACATTACCCTTTGCTCCTGGTGCAAAGGGGCATCCACCAAGACCACTCACACTGCTGTCGAATACGCGGATCCCGGCTTTGTATGCTTCCCACACATTTGCCGCTGCCTGTCCATATGTATCGTGGAAATGGCCAGCCAGCTTTGTCAGTGGGATGCAGTGTTGTTTTAGATATTTGATTAGACCGCGGACTTTCCATGGTGAGCCCACGCCGGTTGTATCGCCGAGGCTCACTTCGTAGCATCCAGCATCGAGGAGAGATTTGACACAATGAAGAGTAGATTCTGGTGACGTTGGTCCATCATATGGATCTTCAAAGATGCAAGAAACGTATCTGTATCTGTTAGCCTGATTCTCCATCTTATTCAGATGCACGCTTACCCTCTCACAACAATATTAGCTTCCATCGCTAATGAAATCACCTCCTTGGCTCTTTCAATCGCAACTTCAACACTGCAGTTTATGTTCGCTTTACTGAATCCGTCCGACGCACTAATAAAGACCGCGATCTCTTTAACGCCTTGTTGAATCGCAATCTCCAGCCCTTTGAGATTAGGAACCAGGACCGGAAATCGGAGACTCGGGTCCGACATAGCTTCTTGTACATCTTCATCACTGAGTATATCCCGACAATCCGATAATTGCGGCACAGCCCTCGGCGACACAACAGATGTCAACTCAATAGTCGTCAGTCCACATTCGCGCAGTCGTCGAATCAACTCCAGTTTTGTCGCGGTCGGAATCCGCTCCTGAATATTCTGTAGCCCGTCGCGTGGCCCGACTTCCACGATCCGAACTGCCGGCGTTTGAATGGTCATGGTGCTTAACACTTCAATATCGATATGAATTCAATATGGATATAGAAGCTGCCGGAAAATTCGTGGTCGTGATCTGACCTTCGCCCCATATACCTCGGCTCGGATGGGGGCGTAATACAGATTCCCCGCAAAAGTTGGCCCCACTACAATGAGATCCGCGTTTCCCGAATACAACGTTGAGGACTTCTATGACGTCCACTGATAAGAAAGAAAGTAGTGATTTGAAGTATGATGTATAGTATCTGTATAGTATCGAGGTTTAAATGTACCGTCGAGGAAGCAGACGGTATATATAATGTTGATTTCTTTCAAAGTGTCGCAAACCGGGCTAAAGATAGTCAGCATTTGGTAGTTCGTCGATCAATGAGAATACAATAAGAATACATGTACGATGAAAATACAATAAGAACCGAGTAAGAATAGAATAAAAATAAAGGCAATATTTACTAGTTTCAACAGAAAATTACCTTTGGCCCTGAGCTATTTCGGTATATATGGGTGGCGGATTACCGGAAATAAATCGAAATGCGAGTTCCGAGTGCTTAGTTCGCTGATTCTTTGATCCCCCGATTGGTCAACCTTTTCGTCAATGATCCGTTGAGGAGATAAGCAAGAACACTCACCGGATTATTGATAAGGTATCGGCACCTAAATCGTTGGCTATTTGCAATCCTCTTTGTACGGACCTTGGAACATCATATATGCCATGGGAGACCGGAAGGCAAATTCCGCCCGTGGATCATCTATGAATTTCAGAATTATCTTATTATCGATGGTAACGCATGTTTTCTGTGTACAACACTCATCTGCATTCAAAAATTGAACGAGAAACCGTGGTGATGATCAGGTATGCAGGTGGCTATGGTGGGAAGATGTATGGTGAATCCGACAGCACTAAGCCCAACCGATTTTGCACGGCAAGGTAAACCCCAACATATATCCTGAAGGACGGAACTTATCAGCCAATAATATGCCGTGCATATTTGTCATCAAACATGGCTTAAGAACAGGCAACTAGATACTTTAATATAGTAGGTGGGTTCTACTCAATTGGTCTTTGTGCGTAGGGCTGACTTGTACTTAATGTTTCTCTCAGCGGCATGATATCATGACCTCAATGCAATTATCACATAGCCACATCTACCTCGACTTCATGAATGTTTATACTTGTTCAGGAAGACTCATCTCATCCCTTTTCACCTTTTAAGGATTCAAGGGTGAAGAGTATATATATGACGTCATCGAGATGGAGCGGTAACTGTCCAAATCCGATCGAATGAAAGATATCGAGTAAAATTGTTTGAATAATTGTCCATGTTATATTCATATTTAGAGATGATTTGATCTAATCAATAAGGTACGATGTATCCTCGATCTGGTTCTATAGTCCTTCATCCTGATCGTTGCTATATTGGATAGCGGTCTTAAGTGGTAAATGTCCTTGCTGACTCATCTGCCCCCTGCCAATATGTATGGGACCTAAAAAAAGTCTTTGTCCAAGTCCCATTCGCCAAGATCCCAGGGAGTTACTAAATGAAATGGGACTCCCATGCCCTATATTTTCTGCATAATTGCCTAAAAAGGAAATGGATAATTCAATGTAAACCATAAGTGTGATTTTGGCTGTTTAGTGTTTGTTTTCAGGTTTGATAACTAAGTATTAAGTAAATGATGATATGATATGTTAGCCAATCAGAAGTAAAGAAAAGCTTCAGATATTTAGAGTCAAAGATATATATCTTTAATATAGATCGCCTTAATTCTTATGTACTAGCCTCAAAACCTCCTGATTTATTTTTCGCGAAGACAACCATCGGCGCTACTGTACATTGAACTGCCTACGCGATCTAATAAATAGATGGGTGTTGGGCCGGGAGTTAGACCGGGCTTGCCCCAATGTCATTAATTATGGAAAAATGAGACATGTTTTGAGCTTATATTCCTTCATCAAAAATTTGCAACGCCAACTATCCGAGACCGTTAATGCAGACTGTGAGATGTTTGGTATCCACGGTTCCCGAGGTGCTCTTCTGGAAAGTGACGTTCTCTCACACGAGTACACCGTGCCCGCAAAATGCACGGTCCCAGAGTTCCTCGCCATGAAGCAGCTGCTTACAACAGCCTTCGTCAGATTCAGGGAATAAACGTTGCTCTGCGCCTTGGAAGCATCGATCTGGTCTACCTCTACGGTTACGATGAAATCGCCTTATCGAGCATATAATGCTATTGAGCCCAGGCGGGCTTCTCTACGTAGCTTTAAGGGGCTTGGATCAAAATAGTCTGGTCTCCAAGTTTTGAGAGTCCCTATCAGCGATTCATGACCAGAACTTCGTCCATGAAGACCCGGCCCCGCACAATTGGTTGTACAATCCAGAAAGCAAAATGGTGGTCACTTTTGATTTTGAAAGGGCTGAAATTATTAACACACGTTCGATCTTGAGCCTGATCCAACAGAACCGCAAACGCAAACGAACCGCGGTCGACGGATCTAATAAAAATACATGATTTGCATAGCAAAGAAACAAAGCGTTGCGCGAGTTGCGGGGCTTCCGTCTACCGCCACGGTTCCAGGAAATTTAAACATGTCCAGATGTCGTTCGTTACTTTGCGCGGGACTCATGTAAATATGTAATGTATATTATGTATGACATAGAGCGTCACCGAATGAGTGGCAGGTATCAAGATAAGTACATTTTTTGTCATCTCACAATAAATGTGTTACTTAAAATACCGCCTTTTGGTCCAAACCTTCCTCCTTCTAACTAGTTGTATGCTATGTATGAGGTGCTATATATGAGGCCCCCAACATGATTAGTCAGACCCTAAGTAGGTTCCAAGGTACTCGGACAAAGCACCGCAACTATTCACGTTTTCATAGTTGGTACCAAAGCCCTCCATTTCAACAAGGGTGCGAAAGTACAGAACAGAAGTGGCGACCTTCTCGACGAATGCATACATGTTCGTGTAACCTTCCTTCGCATATTTTAGCCACGATTTCGAAATAGCTTCGGCGGCACCCAGTGCATGCTTCTTCAAGGTAACCCTAGCGGAGCCAATATCGAAAGCAACCTTGACGCCTTTCCCAGTTGAACGCTTCTGAAGGGAACCAGTGGAATTACCACTTGTAGCGGATGGAATGTGTAGCTGCCCAGTGCCATCCTCAAATTTCAGCATCGTGTAATCTCGGCCAGTCTTGTCACCTTTCCACACATTCTTCATGAAGTAACGAGCGGTTAAGGCTGGGTCATCATTCTGTGCTTTGGTTTCTCAAATTGGGAGAGTGGTGTTCACAACATAGTCAAACTCGTAGCCACTAGTTCGAAGCACATACTCAAGGCCCAGGATCTGTTCAATTTCAACGGCAAGCGATCGACGGCGCTTCGACCAATGTGCGTCATAGGCAGCGGCATAAGCGGAAATCTCTCCAAGCTTTGCGGGCACGTCCGTAAGTAACATCAGCCAACCCAATGCACTTTCAATTTCGCTCGCCCAACTTTCACAGGTTTCGTATTCTGACCACGCGCAGAATTTTTTAACTGGCTAATTATATACTCCGATCCACATGATTCTAATTTGTATTATATTTTAGCTCGCCAAATATAGACACACTAAGTCGGGGTCCATAGGTAGTACTTACGCTGCTTGCATGGTTGTGGTAGCGTATATTCCCTTTCCTATACCCACAAATGACGCCCGCCATTGTAGCTGGGGCTGAGCGAGATCCAGGGTGGAAATGTCACTGTCTTTGTAGGTGGTGACAGTGTTAGGGGTAGGACCAGCCACCTCTTCCCCGAAGAGAAAAAAGGCGAAAAAGGCTCGGGAGAGCTTCATTTTGAAAAACCACGCAGCAAAAGTAGTCGACCAACAGAAAAGAGCTTAGGAGACCTTGGAAATAGTTTCTTGGGCTGTAGTATCCAAAATGTGCGGAGTCCTGAGGTGATATTTATATCTGAGATGATCAATGCTAAAGTTCCAACACCCGGGTGTGCCGAGAGATACAGAATCTTAGAGCGACTAGTGTTCTATTGTGGTTTTGAAAGTTCGGAATTTATAGTTAGTCAAAACAATCTGGAATTGTTTCCACGGATCACGCTAAGCTAGCTTCGGTTTCATTCTCTCCTCGTTTGCTATAGAACTGTGACCTCTTTGGATGTTCCATTCATCTTCAAGTGACCTATGATCTCAGTCGACTGCCGATTGATACTTTTTGAAGAGAGAATACAAAATTATGGAAGAGAATCCCATTATTTCAAGTTGCTAGGATGTGAGATTTGAAATCTATTGCCTCTGAAATTTTCGATATATCCATCTTCTGGGTACATATCGAGTCTTAGCGTTACCGAGGGCATTTCTGAAGAAGGCCTCGGAGGAGAAGTCCTTGAGAGCGGGACTAGCTAATCGGAGTACTTGAGGATGCTAGAGCTCAAGCTCTAGATTATTTGGCTGCGTCTCCGTATCAGTAGTCGATTTCCCACTTGAGGTTCCACGCCATTTCATTTTGGCGTGTTATCATAGACGTGGAGGATGTGAGCCGCATATTTATCGAAAGGTGCATTTGAGGTAGAGAGGAAGCATAATTACATCTTATGCTATAGGAAAGGGAGAAGCATTATCAGAGATATAATGGTGTATTAGAGAATATTTTATCTCGTAGAGAAGGGAAAGTGGTCAAAGCGTGTGACAATTACTCCTTGATCTGCCATCGAAGCTGAAAATCAAGTTATTGGAGTGGGTTTCAAATCACTGTGCGGTATTTGTCAATAAAAGTAGATATTGGGTGTATGAGACTACTTCTGGGTCTAGCTATGATACATATTGTGCACATATTGACTAGTCATCTAGAGCGCTAGTAATGGACCTAGTAATACCATCGGCCGGGTCTCAGTAGCTTTACGCCTGTATCATATATGAACTAGCTAACCGACTAAGCTCTATGGTCCCGCTTAGTTACGTGGAGCGGCGTTCTTGGGAGAAGCTTGGCCCGAATATGCTTAGTTAGGAACTAGTTCAGTTAGCGAAAGTCGCTAATTTGATTGGCTTATCACCTCAATTCGATGGAGATCTCAACCCATGGAGATCTCGGCGTCCACGGGTGGCTCCTTGATTAGGTTCGCCTAATGCAGGCTGCTTCCTGTAGACCCACTTAAGTCAAAAGGTCGAAAGTGGTCTGGCTGTGCTACAGCTGCTCAAAGGAGCGGGGCCAATCAGGTTTTAAATTTTGAGCGATATTTTAGCTTCGGCACTCAGTGCATCATTACGCTCTACCGAACTATTTCACTGCCTAAAAGACTAGCTAGTACAAACGAGGTACAAACTCCGTAGTAAACGAGTAAGCCGTTGAGAATCCGAACGAAGGTCGGCAGGAGTGGGGCCCACCCCGAAGGTTCTGGTCCGAAGTAGCCGATGATTTACCATCTTTGATGTATTATCCTTAGATGAACCCGACTCGTGGTTGTTTCTTACAGGTATAATTTGCCAAATCTCTTCATATATAACAGAGTCGAGTTTTTATACAATACAGTCTATAAATTAGATATCGTGATTTATCATGAATCAGATCATCCATTAGTGGTTTTGGGGCTATATGTTCGCAGGTTATGGTGGACCCATTTTACGGCTAAGCTCTAGGGTCCCGCTTGATTACGTGGCGCAGCGTTTTTAGGAGGAGCTTGGCCTATACTTGCTTACTTATGAACTAAAACGCTATGGTCTAACTAGATCTTTAGCTCCATTACTAACGAGCTCTTACTATCTCCCGGGCATTCTTTCCCCGATTGATCCTATTTTGCGGACCGGTAGTTCTCAGCAGTTAATCTTAAGTGTTCTACATTTGTCCCAGTCTCCATTCCTTGATCATCCCACACAAAAGTCCTTCAGATCTCCTTCCTACACGGCATATTTCTCTGTAAATCCACCGTGAAATCCTCGAACATCCGACATAGACTCAAAATCCCCATCCTCGACTGTCGACACGCCTACAGAATCAGCTGAAATTCTATCAGAGATGAATCATCAGCCTAGATCTCCTAGACTTTGGGGCAGTCCATTCGTGGATAAAGTCTTATAGTATGTACCTTTCTTTAGCTCGATTGATAGTCTACTAACCTGAAACCTATCTTAGTGTCATGCAAAACCTTTCTCAATGCATCGCGGTATATGGGGTCTTCTGCTCTAAAGTCCTTGAGGAGGATAAATACAGAAAATACTGCCCCCACTTTGTTGACTATGCTGCGTTCTTTGTATTCTTTATTCATGTTCTCCAAGTATACAGAAGATTGAAGAGAGAAGAGATATCACAAAGAGAAGATTAGTTTTCAAATACCATGATTGAACCCTTACCGAATTGATCAGATTCTGTAAAAAGCATTTCAAATATTCCATCATGGAATGAATAAAAGCTGATCGGACGATGTTGTTTGGATAACGGGACTGGCGGGGATAAGGGTATTTTAGGAGGCAAATCTCATTTCGAAGTTCCCTTCATGCCAGAATATCAAATCTCAGAGTTTTGATTCCGGCTTCCTACCCACATATGTTACATGCTAAATGCTAAGCTCAATGGTTTGTGGCATCATCCTGCCATGAAAATTGGCCTTTTCTTCTTCGAGCCATCTCTTCGATGAAGATAGCTATGACGAAGATGACCATGTTTTACTTGAATAGACAGCCTACTTTCATTCAACTTTTCAAGTCTACTATATACAATAAAGGGGGCTGCGAAGATTTTCCTTCCTCACCACCCTAGTGCCGAGGCCCGATCTCCTCACCAGGCACATACAGGACTGCCAAGCGTACTCGAACCATGGTAGAGTGAGTGGATATAACCACCCCTCGGCTGAAAGGAAAAAGTAGCAAAGCAAGAAGGAGCGGAGGTAGGTAAAATTGCCGGATTATGTGATGTCTGCCGAGATCGGCAGGCGGCTCATTTCCTCGGTACCAAGTAAATCACGGCAGCAGCAACGCGTAGAGGCTGGTTCCAGGTCACAAAGCCCCGTGGTTTTCGATATATGATGCGTAATAGGAAAATGAGCAGGACAAGGGCGCATTTTTAATAGTTCACAATTTTTTTTGACGATGTGGCATTGCCGCATTCAATGAAGTTGTCTACAGTGGATCGTAGTTAGGCCAGGGCGCGACCGTGACTCGCGCAAGTGAAGGCGCGTTGACGCAGACTTACTCACAACGCAACACGCTCTAATTAAGCTTCGGCTTCAAATCTACTGCCATTGCGGATAGTTAGATGATGGTGCTAACCACCAAATTTGCATGGCGCTGATTTTATTTTTCAGAATGAAGTCACCTGGACCGAGCATGGGAAGATATCTAGAGGTAGTATTTCTCAATATCTGAGGTCGGTCCGCTCTCTAGAGTCGGGTAGGTAGGGAGTGTTAAAGCCCTATCAACCCCTCGGGAATCCAGCTCATTGGATAGAAGGCTTTACCTCGCCCAACTGAGCTGCATACTAAACAATTGATAGCCTAACCTTCAGAGTAATCGTTGAATAGGTACATATAAGGTAAATGAAGCATGAAATAAGAAAAAGCAAAACGCACAACAGTCAATTAACTGCTTTTCACCACATAAGACATATTTTGTTGGTCGGAACTTCCTTCAGATGGTAGATACGGCTTAGATCCTCAAAACAGATTATTAGAGATTATAGCCTAAAATTTCTACATAAGTAGGTTCAGACATAGTAACGCGCCATGGCTAGTAACCCCAGTCACATCGTGAAATAAGCCGCACTAGGGGGTCGATATATGTGGCTTCTACTGATCAGGCCCGAATCACCCGACAATCACCCGACTCTCGCCCCTAGTCGTACGACCCTAACGTGGCGCTTACCCATTTCTGACCCAGGTGACACCCACCTGACTACTAGCTACATATAAGCCTATAGATAGTGTATAACTAGTCAGGCTGAGTAGTATACTAAAAAAAAAAACTCAGATCCCTATAGACACCTCTAAATTAGTTCTAAATAGTCTTGAATTCAATTTGGAGTTAGACCCAACCGTAACGTAAAATATATTGAGTTTTAAGGTCTATAATATCAAGATATAAAAGCATTTAGGGTCAGAAGATTAATTTCATTCAGCCCTGACCCACCTTTATCCCCTATAGTAAAAGCGATCACCCTGATTCATGTAGGCGCAATGGAATTACCCCCAGGGATTAGGAGGTAGAAGGCAAGGCAATTTGTGCCAAACAATGGTCTACCGTCATGGAAGATTTGTGATTTAACGGAGCATCTACCGGGCAATTCGCACTAATTTGAGATTTGAGTAGGCGCTTAAGATCAAGTGACAATTTGGAAAGATACCGAATAAGCATGATCATGGATGAAGAATCGCTGCAGACGTTGCATTTATATCCGGGGAGCATATCGAGTAGGGAAGTCCGCAAAATAGGGATCAAGAACTAGGATATGTGAAGGTTTTTGAAGTATGGCCCATTGTGGATCAATATGAAACTTTCCTCGGTTGGATGAAATGTTGGAGACTTGCGCTATTGGACTTGTGGATGATGTATTTGCTGTTAGATGCTGGCATAGCCAATAATAATATGTAATGTAGTAGGATTCATGTGATTACTGACCTGTGGCGTTTTTGTCGCCATTTCTTCCTCTCCACTTCATTGTTAGCCAGATTTGTCAGTTCCAAATTCAATTCATAGACGGATTATGGCCTAATTCTATGACATGCTAAAGCGACTAATGGATTCGATTCAAACCGGGCCAATCAAATAACAATTTGTTGCTCGTATTTTCTTCGATATTATTAGACATTTTCCTCCTCTTCAACATTATGAAAATGCTTCCGCATCAGCTGAGATATATCTTTAGCCCACATCCACGGCTTCTCAGTCCCTCCTGGCAATGAATTACAGTACTGCCAGCCCATAACACCACCAAAAGTCTGATATGTGTTGCCATTCTTATTCCCGGTCTCCTTGCTTGTCATATTCGCTGCAATTTCCGCAAGAGTGGCATCTACCCGATCGCAAGATAAAAAGCCATTCGTCTCGGGATTCGTGCTCTGGCCCATGAAAATCTTATCCATCTGCCACCCGCTTTTTGCAATAAACTCATAAGTGTCTGCCTTTTACTAAGTATGAATAGTCGAGGCAAACTCAAGGTCCATATCATCTTTAGTTAGGTTGTGATCCTAACCCACTTTTTTTCCCCTATAGTAAAAGGGATCTTTTTATAGGGAATAGAGTTCATCCTCCCACCCCCATAGGTTAGGGTAAATAAAATATATCAAAATCTAAGCTCTTTATAGCTAAGAAATATAACTGTAATAGACTTGAGAAGTGAAACTATGAAAGACCCCGAACTACTTTTTTTCTCCTATACTAAGAATCTCACCCGAAATGTAATGGTGTCTATTACAGTTACCGCTATAGGTTAGGTTAGGCTTTATACCCGGCACTCTCTCGCTAAGGTCAGCTAAGGTCATATGATACAACGTCAAAATAATACTTATCAGTTTTATGACACATTTCTACTACTCCCACGAATGATCTGATATTTGGTTTAACTCTAAAGTAGAGGGTGACCAAGAATACATTAAAATCTAAGCCCTATCCAAGTCCAGAATACAAATGCATCCTAGTCTTGAAATAATATTCTATCGCACCCTAATCTACCTTTTTCCCACCATACTTAAGAAGTCCACCCTAAATCCATCGTAGTATGATGGAATTACCCCTATAGGTTAGTTGACCGATAAGTCGAGGCCTTCATCAACTATTACTAGTAGATTATCGAATTAATATATAATGAATAGAGATTAAAGAAAGCTATGATTAGCTGGTAAAGTAGTTTCTTGTCACTTAAAAATTAGATTTAGTGTTATATAGTTCATATCGTCGATAAAACGTGGGTAAAAGCGAAGGGAAAACTCAAAATTCAGCAAAAATATACAGGGTCTATATCAGTGAGGTCAAATGTACCCTGGCCTTGGACGGGGTCTAATAGCTGTTCCCTTTTTTTCGTCTCTACGCTTTTACTAAGTAGCGGTGAAAACATTATATCTTGATAAGGGTAGTGATATCATATTATCTGTATCGTATTAAAGTCCCACACCTTTACTTGGTGAATTAATAAAAAATGAAAGTTGATTTGTGTACGCTTCATATAGCTATAAGTCATATATATGTTTTAATAGCTCGCAGACTCACGTATGCATACGTCAGGTAGTACAAACTTAAACGCTAACCCCCCCCTCCTGCAAGGACGGCCACTATATATGTACATACTATATGCACTGAGTAAGAAGAGAATATGATGGTGACGCGTATTATAGATTGTGCCCGTAAACAGAGTACTTATGCTTCTTCTATAATGAATTATATCGATTGATCGAACATTCCTACTATAACAATGTTACGCTCCTAAGGTATTGGCTTTAATCATATTCTTCCAATAGTTTATAGTAATGTACATTGTAGAACTATATGTACCTAGGATTATCGGTAAAATTTTGTGGACAATATTAACTTGTATGCACATGTGTAACGCTGCTATGCAAGGGGGCTAGGAAGGACATAGGTAGACAACCCTAACTAGCAATGTGGATTCCAATTTGCATCACAGAGTTACACTCCGTTTGCATAGGATAGCCATACTACCTTGAAAAATGCGGTCAGCCTATTCAGCTGAGTACAAGGGAGAGACTTGCGTGCAGGCTTTGTGCAGTCTTTATTACGTGGCATACCTCAACAGACATCATGAATGCCTAACTGCAAAGTGGATTGCCCCTTGAGGTGCCCCAATTTCCAAACATCAATTGCGGAATGCTGTGATCTCCTAAATGAATTTTTTTGATGCCTAACCGGTGTATGGACAGGTTTCGCCTCTTGGAATTGCCTGATTTCCAATATTACCTGCAGGATAGTGCCCACTTGAAGTTTATTAACAACCATTTCCCACCCTTTTTCAACCTATTTTCTCTAACGTTGGAAGACAAATCGAAGACAGATAGACTAACCAAGTTTCTCCAATGGCATCTCCCAACAAGAAGAACATACAGGGAGACATCTGGTAAGCCATGAACCTAGCCAAAGCTGCAGTCGAGAACTTCATACTGATCATATTAGGCCTCGTCTCCCTAAGAAACACGAGTTGTTTGTCTTTTTCCGGATCACCGACCCAAAGCTATTCAAGGAACACCTAAAGAAGCTCGTTCCCTTACTCACAACTGCTCGCGATGCTGAGAGGACCAGAGCTGAGATATACCAGAAGAAGGCCGCAGGCACTCTTCAAGGGCTCATCGAACTATCTGCTATTAATGTTGCCTTCTCTGCGAAGGGACTTGCAAAAGTAAGTCAGACATTAACCTGTCATTATACAAGCAACGCTAAGTCATGCCAGCTTAAAGCTGAGGCATTCAAAGATGATATCTTCAACAACGGAATGTGGGAGGACTTGACTTATCCTTTGCCAGGGGATGACAAGACAAAGCACAACGGCCTCGATGACCAGCATGATTGGTTCCATCAGTTCACTCCACGCAGCGGATATATCGACGGCGTCTTCATTATTACAGGTGATAGTCAAAAGACTTTGACTGTTACTCATGAGATGGTCAAAAACACCTTTGGTATTAACATTAAGGGCCGGGACCAGCCAAGCATGCAGCAAATTTTCCAACAACAGGGACATGTCCTTGAAGATGACAGAGAACAGTGAGGCACCTTTTCTTTGTCTAGAAACCTGAAATTTGACTTAATTATACGGTTTAGCTTCGGATGGGTTGATGGTATCTCTCAGCCCATTGTCATTGGTCTAGATACCGATCAAAAGGTCGAAGAAGCCAAAAAGGGCTTGAAGCCGATTCAGCCAGGGTAGAGTTTAACCCATCTTGACATGATCTTACTCAGGAATAATGATTTCTAACAGCCCATGCTAGTACGATTCTCGTTGGAGGCGAAGGCGATCAGTCAAACCACCCAGCTTGGGCCAAAGAAGGGAGCTTCATGGTCTTCCGCACATATGAGCAAAGAACACCAGAGTTTGTCCAGTATGTGTATCTCTTCAGCTTTGCTTTTTGAACTATTGTTAACAACCATCTCAGTTGGTGTGCTGGCAACATAAAAAAAATGGCTACCGGGAACATGACAGAAACAGCTGCAAACGAGCTTCGCAAATTCTCTTCCCGTATTGTAGGAAGATGGCCCAACGGTAGTTTCTCTTGACCACCTAAGTTTGTTTGATTCAGAGATATACTGATTTGTAATCTACAGGAGGTCCGCTCGAAGTTCACCCAGAAAAAGATCCCACACCTTTTTTTACTCCCGATCCATTGGTGAACAAGAAGCTCATGATTGAGGACTGGGAGAAAAAAGGTGAAGACGTGAAAGCCAAGCTTAAAGAGTTGGAAGAGATAAATCACTCGGATGCTTTCACTTACAACCCTGAGGACCAAACCAAGTGCCCTTACGCTGCCCACATCCGGAAGTGTGGGCCCCGAGATGACTTTCCTGGTTATGAGAAGCATCTGATGATGCGACGGGGAATCCCATACGGACCACAGACGGAGCAAAATGAAAAGGGCGGTTTTGTGTCCCAGCACGACCGAGGCCTCTTGTTTGTCTCCTACCAAAGCAGCATTGAAAATGGATTCCGATTTGTCCAGAAAGGTACATCATCCAGTTACAGGAAAAGTCAAGTTTATGGTTAACAATCTTTTTACAGTTTGGGCAAATGAAGAGGACAAGCCTGTTGATTTCACCAGCAAGTTGGGCAATGCCGGACCCCAAGGTATCGATGCTATCATCGGTCAAAGGCCTCCGGACTGGCGCCACGAGGAGGATGTTACCAAATACGAGGATCCAGCTCCAGTTGCCAATTTTCCCGATATTGAGAAGCCTGTGCCAAAGAACAACAAGCATTTTATCCCCCTTGAGCGCTGGGTGATCCCTCGTGGTGGTGAATACTTCTTCGCTCCTTCGATTTCCGGATTGAAAGATACTCTTTGCAATTGAGCATATGGTTCCTGCCGAGGCAAATAAATCCATTGGGTGATTTTATGCTAGGAAATTTCGGGCTTTGAATTTTCTGTTGGATAGTCTAGTTCTTTGCGCATCTCTCGGTAACTAATATGCTTCGAACTACGTTACCCTTCGCGTTGATTAGAATCAATCCTCCTTCAATTAAATCAAATATCTGTGATATCCAAGATTGTAGAAGAATGAAAATAGACAGTGCAGGTTAGTAATTCATGGATTGATTAAAATCACAAACCGTTGTCCGGGTTGTTGTTCGCAAAGCGAGTTGTGTGGTCTTCTAGATCCTGAGAATACTGCAAACATATATATATCTTTAGGTAGAATACGTCTCGGCTCCCAATGTTGATAATAGAGTTCTTTATGTCCCTGATAGTGCTACATATGTAGTGTGAAGCAAGTTGGTCCCGTGTATGTATTCAATTCCACCAACCTTACAAGGTTGGAATCAATTACATGTCGCGCGGAGTGGTTTGATATGTGTGCGTCCTCTTATGGCGCGCTTGGTACCTGACATTGAAATGGTAAGTCTTTGTTCTATATTCCACAGATACACACTTGTTTCCCGCCAAGCTGTGAAAATATGATTCAAGCTTCGATCATTTCATCAAGTATATCAACTCTCTAGAACCTTAGATCACTGAGATCTGGTTTCGTACTATCGATGCCTTAAAAAATTTTGATGCAAGCAGAAAGTGCACGTATCGCAAAACCTCATTGAAACACCAATTGAAGACGTAAAAATGAACGTCCGAGCAACTCAACAGGACTGGATACTGTTACATTCCGCGAACAAAAAGCGGGTCTATTTAGACAGGGTTTACGGAGCGGGACGACCCACATTGAGCAGATGGATCGTCGTCATACATTCTGTGCTACGCGAGGCGTGGATCCACATATTATGCATGTTTGTGGGACCAATCAATCGAGTCCAATGCACAAGAAGGTCTACATATTCGATTCTTGATGTTACACTGAACGCTTCTGGACCGATAGTGATTTCCAGTTGAAACAATGTTTCATTCCTTTACACGATAACATGAATCCCGCTGGAGAAGGCAGATCCCCCTGTCCACGGATGCCAATAGCTTTAAAATTTGTGTACCCAAGGATGATGAGCTTGATAATAAATTATAATAGATTGAATCTAAAAATTGGATGGAGACTATTCCTATAAATTCCCTCTAAATCCCGAAAGCAAAGTGGTCTAAAACACTCATCCTCTGAATTTTCTAATTCATACACAATTGAATTTTTCCAAAATTGTGTTCCTCCGAACTTGATTTCCTCCGCCCTCTCAATATGCAGCTCTCATTCCTCCTTCAAGCCACTCTTGCGTTGGTCATCTCTAGCGCCTGGGCCCAGAACGCCCCGGTAACCGCCGATAACACTCCTACCTGCCTTCGTATTTGTCGCGATGACCCTGTTGAGTGCCAGGCCGGCTGGGTCTCTGCTCAGATTGCTGCAGAAGGCGAGGAGGTATGTACCCACTTTACCTGCCCCATGAATTGATACTAACTTGTGGAGAAGGCTTGCTGGACTTGCTGCAGCGAGTAATTTGCCAAAATACCACCAATGAAAAAATGAGGATTACCCGTATCGAAGTTGCATATGGTTGGAACTTGGACTACTTGCTGTAAAGTACATCGGCCCATGGTCTGGATGACGTCAGTTCTGTAAAATAGTCTTTCTGCATCCTGAGCTTGGTGGAATAATAGTGCTGTTGCAGGACAATTTCGCAATACAGTTGCCGTATCATCATTATTAGTACTCAGCACTTGAGGCTTCGATATTCTGTTTGCAATTCAATTCCCAAAACCCCATCTGGTGTATTATGATACAAAAAATCTCCCTACGTAAATCAAGGCTTTTTCTCTTTTATGGAAAACCCTGGAATTCTTTGACAAAATATTGATTGTGTAACCGGGACGTACACTGGCAGCACTTGAGTAGGTTCTGAGATAAATCGCCATACATATATCACTCAAGTGCTGTATGAGATAGTCACACAAACCTTGCCCACTAGCAGCACAAAATTTCAGTGATCCTATTTTACCGTTGAAGACATTTCGGGAACCTATACAGAGCTAGGCGGGTCACCGGGCATGTGAAGATTGACAAAGATACCAGGTATCTGGGAGTTGGCGCTGTACTCATGGTTGTTGCCTTCGACTTCTACACATGTTGGAATAATACCGAAGTGAGATTCAATTTCTATTCTTGGGTCATCACCTAATAAATGATAGGGTTACTCGCATTCAGTCGATCCAGAATCTAAAACAAACTCGTCAGTGATAAGTCGAGGGTTAATCTTCCATGGATGTACTCATACCCAATCGTTAAGGTCAGCATCGTTCTCTCTGAAATTCTCGAAGCCAACATCCAGATGCTCTGATTAGAATGTCAGCCTGATTGATCCTTTTCGCTCTATCGTTCATCATTTATCACTCACCAGCAGTCACATTGACGTTCTGGGGGACAAGACTGTTCATCTCCCAGCTTTTCAAAAATTCGGTAGCCTCGGGCGCATTACCCACCTGGCTAAGGTCGTATCGGACGGCTGCTTTAAGTTAGCAATTTTGTCAGTTCAGAGCCATGATAAAGTCTTACCTTCTTCTCCGTAGCCATTGGCTCTTACAAAGTTGAGTGATGCTCTAATCTCATCTTCGTATGTCGAAGTAGGCTCCTCATTTGGACATCCGTCGGTGACCGTCAGGATGAGTAATGGCCGTTTCAATGTGTTACCATTTTTCACTGGTCCGTAGAGGAAATCTTCCAAAACTTTGTCTTTTAGGTTTGTGCCCAGCCTGGTTGATCCATCGGGGGTAAAAGTCATCTTCGAGGAAAGATCACTGGGACTGATGTCATTGAGCTTGTCGCTCTTGTTTATGAAGCGCAGATCGACGAGGGCGCCCTCTGGAGGCGCAGCCTGTGTAATAAGGCTTGCTATTCGTTGAACCATGGTTGCTTGCCGATCCATACGGTTGTCATTCTTCATAGAGCCACTGTCATCTGAGGTAAACAAACTTTAGCATCCTATACATCCGCAAATCAATTATTTGACCTACCGCAGTAAAAGACAGGCTTATACAATGCTTGGCGGGACATGATGGTCACGTTCCTAGGCGTTGCACCCGGGAAAGCTGAATTGCTCAGAATCCTCGCTGAGTTCTCGGCTACCTGAGCCACGTACTCGCTACCAGTAGGGTAGAAGTCCTCAAGACCCTTTGCTTGGATGAAGTTGTCAAGGTTTGACTTGAACTCCTCTGTCGTCCGAGGATTTGGGATTTGCTAGTTTGGATCAGCCAATCTGGAATGAAATTGATAGAAATGAGAAGAGACATACGCCTGGTGTTGGTTCCGACAATGCAGCAACACGGTTGATAGCATTAAGGCCAACATCCTTGAAGTTTTTGAAGTAGGCTAGAGCGAATAATCCAGAGCTCACGAGAAAGTTCTCTAACTCGGGCTTCCATTCTGGCGCCTCGTCTTTGGGCCGAATGGCCTTATGGACGGCAGTATTGGTGGACTTGTCAGCAAGCTTCTTGGGGGTCTCGCCAATTTCATTGGCCTTATCCATAGATGCTCCTGCCTGTACGAGGGCGCGAATGGCCTCGGGGCTGGTGCCTTGTCGGATCGCCGACATCAAAGGAGTGTCACCTTTCGGGTCTGAGACTGGCTCATCCGACTTGGCATCGTGCTTGAGCAGCAGTGCAACAATGCGACCGCTGTTTGGGGCTTGAGTGGCCGCATAGATAGGGCTCTTGCCACCCGGAGGCACTCTATTGGCGTCGGCACCGGCTTGAAGGAGAAGCTTCACTGCACCTACGTGGCCGTGACGGATTGCAACATCAAGGGCTGTGTCACCATAGATATCCTCATCATTAACTTCGAATTGTATGAGGAGTTGACCAAGTTTCTCTAGATTGAGAGTTCCACTCCTCGCGTGGGTGTGAAGATTTTCCGTCATGGTGAAGTGCCCGGTCAAGTAGCGGCTAGGCAAGGCTTGATTTTGAGATTTCAGCAGGGTGAGATACTCTCATCAAGGACTTCATCGCAGCCGTACTTATACCCTGGGCTAGACGCCATGGCACCATTTCTGTAGCTGTATGACAGCGTAACCGTGCCTATTAACACGTAATGCCCACGGGCTCACCTCGCTTCTGTGAATGCACACGATCTATCACCCAGCTTGCGCATGTTTCAAGGTAAAACGATCATCTTTCCAAAACCCGCCTCGGAATGAACGAGAACTCAGGCATGCATTCAAAGCACTGACGTCAAATCAAATGGCGGTCGGTTCTCCCAGTCGTTGATCACCAGAACGTGACATCAATTTTCTAGAAACGTACCTAAGCTGATTGGTTCAGTGGGGTTACACAACAGCTTCTCCCTTGAGTGGATGTCCGAATGATCGCTAGTGCCTGCAATATGGGCCTGTAGTCAGTTGGGTTGTTTTTTTCCATCGGCACCACATGTGCAGCTTGGATCACTCATACGCCGTGAAACATTAAGCTGAACCCTAATGCTGTAGACGACATATTTTGACCATATCTCGTCAGAGTGGGTATCTGATCTAGCCGATGGGAGTAGTTGAGCCGAACAGGTATCCCCAGTTGAAGAATCTCGCCAAAAGATCGATCTCCTTCCTCATTTTTTTCTCCTGTTTGTTTGATCTATCTTCGACAGCATTTCATGGGAATAGCGTGAGAGCTTACGTCGAATCCTGTCTCCGGGCTATCACCTTCATGGAAGTAACATATCGTTTTCCTTTTCTTAATTCAGGCGACTATGGCTTTTGTGCGCTGGTTCTAGACCCTTGCAGCAGAGTATCGGTGAAGAGGAGGCTAGTGGCGCAGCTGATTGTTGCATTTGGACCTAGACTCCTCTTGGGCTGCTCCGCACCCGCACGGATACCTAGGATCATTGTTCTACTGCAGCTAAGAAGGTTAAAGAGAGATCTGGAACCATAAGTGGGGAGCGGAGCCGGTAGAACACTGACCGGCCCCAATCCGCCTCCAGCATCATTGGTCTCGAACGCATGCCCCCTTCTGTCTTTCTGAGCGGCGATCAAATTCAAGTTTTTTCGAATCTGTTCATTTGATAACTCGTGAAACCTTGGAACGTAACCTCGCCCCCAAGTACGAGCATGTTAGGTGGCATCAATGATGTTATTGATATATTGTTGATGTTCGCGGCGGGAGGGTCGGCTAGCCCGGCTCCCTGCAGATCGGTTCGGGAATTAGAAGGCGGACCACTGTAGGTAGAAAGTAAGACCCACAAGGTCCAGATACAAAGAACAAAGGGCTCGTAACTTCGATTTGGGGATCAGCTCCTATGTTGTAACTAAATTGTGAATTGACAGCGCCGGGGAGGAAAGTGGAATCCTTACTATCTCGAATCCGGCTCCCCGCTGACCGTCTAAAGGAAATAAATTAGAGATTGCAACACTGTTGCCACATAATTCAGGCTCCACATCGTTGAACACCACTCAAGGCAACGGGAAAAAAAAAAAAAAAACAGAAGATACACAGAAGACCTAAGTATCATATCATTGTTGCTACTATCCAAAATTGAATAGACTAGTTGGTTGGAAAGGTCCCTGAAAAAGCGTTTCTATTCAAATGGCGTTGCTAGATACCCAAAATCTTATGGAGGCATGCCTAGGCACGCTCGAGACCAATGGCCCGAGAAAGCACTTGATATCTAGTCTGTCAGATGTTTACTCGTACACCATAGTAAACTCAGTAAAATCTTATTATGTTTCTCTCCCCTTGGCGCTATCTGCCACCACTGTATCCTCTGAATATATCCTACCGTCATCATCTCTGGAGATTTTCCATAGGTTTTGAGAGCACGCATGCCTAACTCGTGAATCAAAGAAGCTGACCAGAACTCCACTTTGATGACTGGGTAGGAACCCTCTCCTGTCCGTGCGACCTCATGTAGCAGGATCTGTCTTTGCCGTCTGTGCTCCACATGAAACGCACACACTTCTTCGCGCCCTTGTAGTTAGCGCACCTCTCTGCGCAGTCCTTGAAAGAGTTGGCCCTTCCACTACCCAGGTCCGAGAAACCCTCATCGTCAACTACACAGAAGTTAGTCCATCATGATTCTCAATATGATATGTTTCAGGGTAAACAAACGTTTGCCGTAGTAAATCTTGAACTTCTCATTTCCAGCATCGATAATGCATAGATCATCACGAGGCTCTGTGACTCGATAATTAGTCTGGGATCAAATACAAAATCGCACTTCTGTCAGAGTGGTAAGATCACGCTACTTACCGGCGTCGTAGATGTTCGTACGGCATTTTCCATCAGGACCTTCTCCGTTGCACTCGATCTCTAAAGCATCATATAACTGCTGAAGCCCCGACAATTTGCCCTTGAGGGTCGTGATTTGAGAATTGAGCGCCGCGATCTCATCGTTCTTGTGATCGAGCTGCAACTCCAGGGCTGATTTGTCATTCTCACACTTCTGCTTGTCAAGATTGATATCTCCCTTTTCAGTTTCACACTTCTGGTGTTTCAAACGCCATTCTTCTTTTTTCTGTTCAAACTGCTCAGCCTCCCGACGGCAGTCCTTTTCGTTGTTTTGCAAGGTAAGCTTCTCAGCTTCGCATTGAGTCAATTTGGCAGGATCTTGCCGGTTGCTGAGGCAATTTTGGAGCTTTTGATCAGTTTCCGCAAGCTTTTCTTCACACCCAGGCTCAGGGGCTGGGGGCTCAACAACATCATCGACGACCTTCGCGACCGAAATAAATGTCGTAGCTTCTTTTTGATTCTTATTGTCACCTTGGACAAAGAAGCACTTGTCAGCTCGATTCCCAAGCTTTCGGTAGGAAATTGCGTCACATCCTTCAGCTGCACATTGAGAAGCACAATCCTGGACGTTCAGTGCCTGCCTGTGCGTCGGATTGAGTGATACGAGAATTGAATCGCAGGTCCACTTCCAGAGGACGCCGTCGATTAAGACCTCGCCTTCTTTGGTACCTGGATCAGAGCAGCAAGAGTTGGGATTATCCGATTCCAAACAAGATGGAATAACTTCCGTGAAGGCAATCCAGGCTTCATCAGACTTCTGGTCCATGTTGTCGCCAATCAAGAAGAAGCAGTTCTTTCCACCACGAGCTGGCTGGCCCTTTGCTTTGAAAGCTGATGCTTCACAGGATGGGTCGGCCGCGCACTCCGATGCACACTCATGAGCATTATTGTAAGTTTGGGCATTGTTCGAATTGAGGGATATCAACTTCGACCCACAAGTGAACACGAAAGTACGGCCAGAAATGACCACCTCGCCAGTCGTTGCTCCCCCGGTACAGCAGGCGTTGGGATCACTGGAGGCCAGACATGCCGAGGATCCGCCAATCGGGATTTGGTCGGTAGCGAAGGCAAAGGCTGCGCTTAGCAGCAGGAGCGAGGATTTGACAATCATGGTCAAAGCGAAGGACTGAATGATGGTTGTAGCAGGAAAGAAAGCACTGGATGCTCTCCAAACTCAAGTAAATAGCTGAGGAATGCGGCGATCAAGCTCCCCACAGCTCTTGTCTCACTAGCGTAGCAATGGGGCTCCACTTACATGGTAAGACATGACGTAGAACTATGCGGCCATTAAGAGGGTGGAAATGAGATGTAAGGATAATATATAGATTATCGAATTACATGAGTGGACCCAGAAGTGGGTAGCTACCTGAAGTACTGGAATGGTCTGATCATTCAGTTCATCTCAGCCTTCCAAAGTATGTGGGTCTGTACCATCGTAGCCATGAAGCAGCCACCTAATTCCCAGGAAACATAGGGAAGGGGCCGAATAGTTCCGCAAAATATGACCAGTACATGGTTTTGCCTCGTTTGGGTTGCACAGCATGCTCATCGAATTGGAGATCAGGATGATGAATAATTATGGCCATATTCCAAATGTAGTCCTCCTGTAGAAGAGTCATACACCCACAGAAAGCAACGGTGCAGATATCACCGTTCCCATATTCAGGTACACTGATTATGTCTGCAATTGATTTCGATCTCGGCAGACCTTAATGTTAGCAGTGAAACAGGTCTATCCCTTAGATTTTGCTAGTCATCGTACATATACAGAAAAGCTTATCATTAGAGCTTGTTGTTGCTTTTACTGCACTCGTGTTAATTGTCTTTGCCTTGAAGAGATCGAGCTACACATGTGGACATATGCAGGTTCGACATATTATAAGACGACCCAGAGCCTAAAGCAATTAATTGCTAAAGGGTAGTGAATGATTAGTAGATAATGGAGACCTGGAGGAGAAGACTATGTCCTCTTGTTCAATTTACTTCAAATATGGAACGTCATTTTATCAACATATGAACGGTCTCAGAGATGGATATGTGCCCCCACTCAAATGTTTGAAGCTATTAGTAGATAGCATATTTCCAAGGTTCCAATGTTGCACATGTGATTGCGTTCTGATTCGCATATGTTCATAAACTTGGCTTCGACCACCAGAACATTTAAACGATCCCGACCCACCGCTTAACACGACTTTCTACGTGGCTAAGATTGATAATTGGAACATTGCATTCTTCTTGGCTGGTGAGACTTTTTGGGTAGCTGGCCGATTGGAAACTCGAGGCGTTCTTACATGGCAGTTTTAAATAATCTTATATAGCACATTTTGTAACGTTGACTATATATGTAAGTGTGTTATCGAGATGATGAAGTTCGTTGACACTACTATGGGGCTATTGTCAAGGCCAAAGATCTTTCCTGACGGTGAAGGGAAGGAACATCGGATGCCTACCTGGGCAGTGATATTCTTCTGGAATACAGTTACGACACTAAGACCAGACTGGCCGAAGGGTGCGGAGGGCGTTTGAATCTTTTTGGGGTGTTTTTTCAGCTATTCTCCCATTTTTCGGGATGCTTTTAATGAGGGTGTCCTTATTTAGGGCAGCTTTCAGAAAACCCTTTACAGGATGGGAAACTGTAAAATGCGAGTTCTTTTACTTTTAGAAAGTGAAGATAAGATAGTTCCACAGCTAAGATCAGAGATTCCAGTGCGCAAATGGTGAAAGTATCATTTATTTGGCAGAGTGATTGGTTACCGGTGGCGCTAGTCACCGTGGAGAACAGTTGAAGTCGGAAAAGAAGATAATTCTGATTCTTCTAACCAAGGAATCATTTCGATCTAGATACATGCTGTGGCAAAATACGGTAGTCCAAACAGTGTTTGAACTGCTCTTGAGCTGTAGAGCGAGCAGTCACATCACATCTCTCATCAGTTACTTTCGTCTGATTGAAGACCCAAGAACATAGACTCCCTCGACGGGATGCTTTGATGCTAGCTCATCCGGCTGCTCCCAGCTCTGCACATCAAGTTGAAGGGATGTATCATGCTGAACCTTCTCCCATAGGCGGTTCCAACTGGACATATCGTGATAATAGTATGGCATGCGACCAAGGGTGGCATTGATTAGGCTTTGATCCCGACACGCCATGATACGACAGAGAATGAGTGAGCCTGGCTTAGCAGCAAGCAAGTTAAGCACTCTTTTAGCCACTTCAACTTGCTTGTCCCAGTCAAAGACGTGAAGGAACAAGGAGATGTATACCATATCAAGCTCCCCCTTCAAACGGACCACCAGATCCGAATTGTCATCCGTGATGTCGGCACCGATGAGTTGGTCACACATTTTGTCATGGTCAAGGAACAGATCGCAACCGAGCTCAAGGAATTCGGGACGAATATCAGATCCGTAGAGGCTCGAACACGGTGCGCCGTCATAGATCTATGGTTGTCAGCTGGCTTCGCCCACATTTGAAGAGAATACGAAGGTGTAAACGTACCAGCCGGCGAAGCTCCTGACCAAACGCACAGCCGAGGTCCAACAATTTCTCTCCGTCTTTGGTCCGGCGGAGCAACTCAGGATAGAGGGGCGAAGATGCAATGCTAAGCTGGAGAAAGGAAAACTTGCCGATGCAAGCATATGGAAACTGAACATGGTGAGTAGGGTCGTCTTCTAGAATGCTAATAAAAGACGTACGATCGTGAATGCTCGATCTCTCTGATAATGGTTAGTGATCTCAGCTAAGAAAGGAATTTGGGGTTGCGGCACTGACCAGTTGACGAACGTGGTCCAAGATCTTGTCTGCGGGGATATTGCTGTATTTCTCGAGGATGGATCGGACTGGTTCATCGACATGGTTGAGATTAGGATCATATAAGAGTTTGGGGTCGAAGCCCTTCGCCACCGCGTCTTGAAGCTGAGAGTCTGGATGCATAGTGAATAGACAGCGTGAGATGGTGCAAGAAAAACAAGATGTCCAAGAAGAGTAGATTGGCTACAAGAGACTCTTCATGAATAACATGTCATGCGAGATTCATATCAAATCGATATTTTTATACTTGATCGGCGGGAATTGCAGATCACATCAACAGAACGTGCGTATTGCGGTGAGCAGAGTAGCAATATTGCCTAGGGCCAAATAAATTTGTCATGGTGAAATGAAGTGAGTGGGCGGGTCAGCCTTCTGGCCCTCGGATTTTCGTCTAAGGTGCAAGGGGTAACCTGGTCTAGAGTGCAAATGTATGGTAGCTTCCAATCAGATTACCCAAAGGCATATCTTGATAGTCAAAATAAACAAATAGATCAACAAAGATATTTAACATTCTAAAATTATAAGCGCCAGCTAGCCACCAGACCCCGGCATCTCTGCGGATTGGTTAGATCCCAGAAGCAGATATTCTCTGTCAATCAGACAACATGTTGGGTGAAGAAAGAATGTACCCGAATTCTGGTTGAATGTAGGAAATTGCGCATGCAGTCCTACCTTGGACCAGACATCTCAAATACTTGAGCCCTGCAGGGGGCGCCTGACGAAATCGACTTGTTAATGGTGGAATTGGATCTGCGATACATGCGTCTAAACGAGGATGTCTGAAGCTAGCTATGTAAGATCTTCAGCAGGCTAATCTGCGTGGCCTGCTAGACCTTTTTTTTTTTCTTTTTTTCTTTTTTCTTTTTTCCTTTTTTTTTTTTTTTTTTTTTTTTTTTTTTTGGCAGAGCTTGACAGTGTTTGATAGGATCTCTCTTTAATGGAGAACATTTGACCTTTGATCTCACTTAGTTGAACTTGGTCACATCTCCATCCTGCGTTTCCTTTTCTTCAATATCTACTACGCCCTATGCAGCCTTCAACAGACAGCGTCCAAAGTCCGGTCTCCGTTCTATTCGGACCACAATGCAGCAATTTCGATGAGGTTGCGGCTGAAATAAGCAAAGCTCTGGCCGAAGATCCGTCTGTACAATTTATACGGGATATTCTCACTGAGTTGCCTTCGCTCTGGGCCGATATAACCAAGGCCTTGCCGTCCCTCAGCCAAGTTTCAGGGAATGAGCAGATTGCCGGTTTGATACAAAAGCTAAATGGCTTGCCATCACCGGCCACCGCAGAGCCTACGAATGTGATCCTGACTCCCCTCACTGTCATTAGTCAAATAGTGGAGTTCGTCAAACTCAATGATCGGAATGATGAGCAAAAGATCATTGACGCCCAAGGGTTCTGCGTTGGATTCCTGTCCGCCGTTGTGGTCGCTTGCGCTAAGGAGAAGGAAGAGTTTCAGTCAGTCACAGCGACAATTGTCCGACTCGCCGTCTGCATCGGCGCTCTGGTTGACTTGGACGAATTGAAGAATGGAAGCAGTCGGTCCGTCGTTGTAAGGTGGAAGGACCTTGCTGGTTGCAAGGCGTTTGAACACGTGATGGCATCCCATCCAAAGGCAAGCTGCTTCCCTCTACTCTTTCCTTCCGTGGACACCCCTCATCGAAAAATTGTCTAACTTCCCTGTCCAGGCCTACGCGTCATGTGAGTTGGACACAAAATGCATGACAGTAACAGTGTCCGGGGATGAGATGGACGCGCTGGTCAAAGATCTTACACGCCATGATCTATCAGCTAAGCCCATCGCTCTGAAGGGGAGGTTCCATCATAAAGCACACAGAATTGCCTTTCAGCATATGGTCACGTTTTTTGGACAAGACAAACGTTTCCAGTTACCAGCTGAAACCAAATTGCGCCTGCCTCTCCGATCCAACGTGGATGGGAACGTCATTGCCCAAGACGATATCCTCGCTCTTGCATTGGAATCCATTTTGATCATGCAATGCAAGTGGCTTCCAACCGTGGCCAATGCATTTCACCAAATCCGACAAATTGACAACACTGCTCGCTTGCTTATGGTAGGCGACAAATCTATCGTCCCCCAGAGTGTGAGAATGCAGTCAACACTGGGAAGTGACCATTCTCATTTGCGTGGAGACACAAACGGGCTCACTAATGGCCACGTCTCTCACAAAGAAACGGAAGCGGTCGCAGCTGTGCGAAATAGCACTCTCAACGGTCACTGTGACGCTCCAGAGACCCCGATTGCAATTGTTGGGATGGCCGGTCGGTATCCCCAGGCAGATTCTATCGAGGCATTATGGGAGATGCTTGAGTTAGGACGATGCGCTGTCACTGAGATGCCCGATGATCGATTCAGGCTGTCCGAGATGTTACGACAGCCAAAGGGGCCCTTTTTCGGGAACTATCTCGATGATCCAGACGCTTTCGATCATAGATTCTTTGGTATCTCTGCTCGCGAGGCCGAAGCCATGGATCCTCAGCAGCGTCTCCTCTTACAAGTTGCATACAACGCGATGGAGTCTGCCGGTTATTGTGGGATATCCGCTGCTTCATTGACCTCGGATATCGGCTGCTATATTGGTGTTGGCTCGGACGATTATACGGATAACGTTGGGTCCCGGGACTCTAACGCATTTTCCGCCACCGGGACCCTTCAAGCATTTAACAGCGGGCGCATCAGTCATTACTTTGGATGGAGTGGTCCATCGTTGGTAGTTGATACCGCTTGCTCTTCCGCCGCTGTGGCGATTCATCTGGCATGCAAGGCCTTGCAGGCGAAAGAATGCGCGATTGCAATGGCAGGAGGAGTGAACGTCATGACCAGCCCAAAAGTGACTCAGAATCTGGCCGCTGCCTCTTTTTTGTCTCCGACTGGTGCATCCAGGGCCTTTGATGCTGATGCAAATGGGTATTGCCGTGGTGAAGGCGCCGGGTTGGTGATGTTGCGACCATTGGAAGACGCCCTTCGCGATCACGATACTGTTTTGGCTGTCATCGCAGGTTCAGCTGTTAACCAAGGGTCTAACTGCTCCCCAATTACTGTGCCTGTTTCAGAGTCTCAGCAGTCTCTGTATCGTAAAGCCCTTGCCGCTGGGGCGACTTCTCCATTTGAGGTCAGCTATGTCGAGGCTCATGGGACTGGTATGTCATCCCATCCTCCTACATCACTCGTTACTGATACTGATATTCCTACAGGAACGCAAGTGGGAGACCCCATTGAGTTTGATAGCATTCGACAGGTTTTTGGTGGAGCGATGCGCGACGAAAGGCTGTACATCGGGTCTATCAAAGACAATATTGGGCATACCGAAACCTCGTCGGGAGTTGCAGCGCTACTGAAGACGGTTATGATGATCCAAAAGGGCAGGATACCGAAGCAGGCAAATTTCAATCGCTTGAATTCTAAGATACCTTGTGCCGATCAAGAAAACATATCAATTTCTGAAAAATCTATCGAGTGGAAGTCCTCGCATCCAGCGGCCATGGTGACGAATTATGGGGCCGCTGGAAGTAATGCCGCCCTTCTGGTCAAGCAGTACCGAGGTCCATCGGTTAACTCAGAATACATCGAACGTTGCCCATTGGAAGTCCCCATCTTCTTTTCGGCAAAGTCTCAGGAGTCCTTGCGCGCTTACTGTGAAGCACTTCACAAGTTCGTGACCATCAGATCAATCAAACCAAATGTGAGACTGCTGCAAGATCTTGCGTACAACCTTGCTGTCAAACAAAATCGATCAATGGATTACACCGCGACATTCTCGGCAGACTCGAAGGATGTTCCCGCCTTTTTGAAAAAGCTCACTACTGTGATCTCCGATGGTACCTACACACAAACGAAACCGGCAAAGCCACTTCCTGTGATCCTTTGCTTTGGCGGCCAGACTGGTAACATGGCCAGTATTTCTGAAGACTTGTTCAATTCATGTGGACATTTGAGGCATCATTTGGTAAGTCGTCTTTTTCAAACCTGAAAGCTAGCATCATTCTAATCCTCGAAAATTAGATGCAATGCGAGAAAACTTGCAAAGCGCTCGGCCTACCCAGTCTGTTCCCGACGATTTTCCAAAACCGTCCAAATGAAGATCTTATATCTCTGCATTGCATCCTTTTCTCTATTCAATACGCGTCTGCAAGGGCTTGGATGGATTCAGGACTCAAAGTGGACCGTATTATCGGGCACAGCTTCGGGCAGCTCACTGGACTTTGTATTTCCTGCACCTTGAGTCTCTCTGACACCATGAAGCTAATCTCCCAACGAGCCAGACTAATCCATGGCAGTTGGGGTATGGAGCATGGTAGCATGCTGTCCATTAAAGGTACACAAAAAGATGTTCGCGATCTGGTTAATGCTTGCAACAACGCAGTAGATATCGCGTGCTTCAACGGGCAACAAAGCGTGGTTGTTGCTGGGGACGAGGGTTCCATCGCGAAAATTGAGATTATGGCTGCAGACAAGCCCAGGTTCATCGAAACAAAGCGACTCGGTAGTACTCACGGTTTCCACTCCAGACTGGTTGACGCAATTCTTCCTGGTCTCGCTCAAGTTGCTCAGTCACTGGAGTATCATGAGCCACAAATTCCGATTGAGGCCTGCTCTGTGTTGGGGGACTGGACATCTGTGACTCCCTTGAAAATCGTCCAGCATAGCCGCATGCCTGTTCACTTCGACTCAGCTGTAAATAATGCAGCACTGAAGGCTGCTGGGCCAGCCATTTGGCTTGAGGCTGGTTCAGGCTCCCCTGTAATCCCGATGATTCGACAGATTATCCAGTCTTCCAGATCACCCCAAGGACATGTTTTCCAATCCGTGAATCTTCACGACAATCAAGCACAGCGAAACATCGCAACCGCCACCACAAACCTTTGGTCCAAGGGTGCGGAAGTACAATTTTGGCCCTTCAGCTATCATCAAGCACCTTCTTACAAGTCGATGAATTTGCCGCCTTATCAATTTGCGAAGACCAAGCATTGGATTGCATTTGATCCGCATGCGTTCGCTCCCAAGACACCTCCACCGATGCCTGAGACCGAAAATGGACTTGTAAACGTGCTTGAACAAAACACCAGAGACACTGTGTTTTCCATCAACGTTTCTGACGCTGTGTACCGCTTGTGCGCACAAGGACATTCCGTTGTTGGTCAAAATTTATGTCCTGCATCTCTTTATATCGAGATAATTTTGAAGGCGGCAAGCAAGCTCGCATCGGGTGGACTTGATGGGCTCATGCCACATGTCCAAGACCTGAGTATATCTGCCCCGTTGCTTCTTGAGTTTGAAGGAGAAGTACGTCTTCGGCTATCAACAACCGGTACCGCACTCACGTGGTCGTTCTCTTTGTTTACACAGAAGGCAATGTCATTCCCAGAAACACATGCCACTGGTAAGATCGGACTTCACAATGTGGACGCTGGATCCAAGGTTTCCTCGCGTTTCCGATCTCTCGACCGCCTCATCACCCCGTCACGCGCAGAAGGCATTTCCAAATCATCAGATTCCAGTGGTCTGATGGGTTCAACCGTCTACCAGACTTTCAATCGAGTTGTCGCATACGCAGACTACTTCCGAGGTGTCAAAAGAGTGTTTTCCAATGGACATGAAGCCATGGGTCTGGTTTCCTTACAAAACTCTCCAAGTGCGAATAGCATTTGTGATCCTGTGCTAGTAGACAATTTCCTTCAGGTCGCCGGTATCCATACCAACTGCTTATCCGACACTCGGGATGACGAGGTATTTGTATGCAGTGCCATCGGGGACATCTTTTTCAGTGATGTCTATATTCAAAGAGACACCAAGTCCACTGGAACAACCACCACATATACCAGCTATGAACGGCCTTCCAGGAAGCAGTTCACAAGTGATATTTTCGTCTTCGACTCTGAAAGTGGAAAGATGCTTGTAGCTATCATGTCTGCAACATTCACCAGTGTTCTAATGTCCAATTTGTCTCGCGCGCTTGAGAAATTGAATAAAGGCTCTCCTGTCTCGGCCCCCCAGCCAATTGAAATAAATTCCCAACTTGAGGCCCAGCTACTGGAGTTAAAAAGTCTGCCCATTATTCAGCAAGACAGTTTTGCCGACGGGGGACACGTGGGAGCTGTTCGAGAGATGTTCCACACTCTGCTTGGTATCCCGCTCGCGGATTTGCTTCCATCTTCAGGCCTTGAAGATATCGGTGTTGATTCTCTAATGCGGACTGAAGTATTGAATGAGATCAAGAAGCGCTTCGAGTTCGATTTATCCTTGAGCGCATTGATGGATATCCCCGACATCCAAAGTCTCACCAATGCAATTTTCCCGGGTACTTCCCCACAAATCGAGCCAATTTTCACCCTAGCAGAGAACCCTGCCGATGGAAGGTTGATTCGTACTAGCCAGACGAGAGCCACGTCTCCCGTGGGTGATTCATTTGCTGAGTTGTCAAGGGATGTGTTTTCCAGCCTCAAGGAAACTACCGCTCATAGTGAGAAAACCCAGTGGACTGGATTCTGTGATAAGGTCTATCCTCAGCAGATGGCCCTTGTAACAGCTTATGTGGTTGAGGCTTTCCGAGCCATGGGGGTCGCACTTGAGTCATTCGGACCCGGACAGGCAGTTCCACAGATTCAAGTATTGCCTCAGCACTATCAGGTCAGGGAGCAATTGTACTCAATCTTAGTATCTTCTGAGTTGGTGCAAATGCATGGGGATGTTGCTCTAAGAACAGAGAAAGCAGTCCCGTCTACACATCCATCTGTTCTTCATGAGCAAATTGTCCGAAGATACCCTCATCACGAGCCAGAACATAGCCTTCTTCGCACCACTGGAGCTCAATTAGCTCAATGTTTGACTGGGTCAGCCGATCCTCTGGTCATCCTATTCCAGGACAAAGAAGCACGTGAACTCATCGGAAATGTGTACACCCATGCTCCAATGTTCCATTCCGCCACCATCCTTTTGACTCAACTCCTCCGGGATGTTCTCAGCAAGACTGACCCTGGCAGGGAAATCAAGGTCCTCGAGATCGGTGCTGGTACTGGTGGTACCACCGGCTTCCTTCTTTCTCAGCTCGCGGACGTCGCTGGGCTACGCTTCGAGTACACATTCACAGACATCTCATCGTCATTGGTTGCTCTCGCACGGAAGAGATTTAAAAAGTACGACTTCATGTGCTACAGACTACTCAATGTGGATCAAGATCCTCCCCAAGAGATGCTTGGACAATATGACGTGGTCCTCTCGTCAAACTGTGTTCACGCCACTCCAGACATCACGAAATCAACGAGGAACATCAATAGCCTTCTGCGGCCGGATGGAATTCTCTGTCTGATTGAGCTGACCAGGAATCTGTTCTGGTTTGACCTGGTCTTCGGATTACTCGATGGGTGGTGGATGTTCAACGATGGTCGACAGCATGCCCTTGCTAATGAACATGTTTGGGATAAGGCTCTTCGCCAGGCTGGCTATCATTGGGTTGATTGGAGTAGTAACGCTTCAAAGGAATCGGAGATTATACGACTATTTGTGGCTTCCCCAGCCAAGCTTGAGCCGGACAGAACTGCTCTTATCACCGAGGAGACGGTAACCTTTGCAGAGAAGGATGGCGTCCAGCTACAGGCGGACATTTACTATCCTTCCGAAGTTGATACATCTGGCCGACCACGGCCTATCGGTACGTGAACCAAATTCCGAGATATTCCAGTGAAGAACCATGGCTGAAATATTCCAAAGCCCTCATGATCCACGGCGGTGGCCATGTCATGCTGTCCCGCAAGGATATACGCCCCGAGCAAACAGAAATATTACTTGCCGCAGGTTTCTTGCCTATCAGCATTGATTACCGCCTCTGTCCAGAGGTCTCTCTCTTGGATGGGCCCATGCAAGATTCCCGAGATGCTTTAAGGTGGGCTCGGAAGGTACTGCCATGCTTGGTGCTGCAGCGCTCTGACGTGAAACCTGACGGTGATCATGTTGTCAGCGTTGGTTGGTCAACCGGTGGACATCTTGCCATGACGCTTGCCTGGACTGCTGCGGAAATTGACGTACGACCCCCGGAGGCAATTCTCTCCTTCTATAGTCCAACAGATTATGAGGATCCCTTTTGGAGCGAGCCAAACCTGCCATTTGGTGAGTCTGCTACTCCCATTGGTACATATGACCAGTGGGAAGCCGTCCAACCTACGCCCATCACTGCATATAACCCTCCCTCATCACTGGGTGGATGGATGAATCCTAGTGATGCTCGAAGCCGAATCGCATTACACATGAATTGGACTGGCCAAACGGTTCCGGTCCTACTTAACAGCCTGGGCTCGAACCTCAAAACTTCAATTTCCGAATTGAAACAACCCAGCATTCGGGATATTCAGGCCATCAGTCCTCTTGCTCAGATTCGTTCCCACAAATACCAGTCGCCTACTTTCATCATTCATGGTACCCGTGATGATCTGATCCCCATTTCTCAGGCGAAGAAAACATATGCTGCGCTCTGCGACGCCGGTGTTACTGCGGAAATCAGGGTCCTGGATGCGGTGCATTTGTTTGATATATATCCGGACATAAAACGTGATCAGGAAGCAAAGCAGGCCATTCGAGATGGGTTTGCATTCTTGAAGTCGCATGTTTGAAGTCTTCAGCGCCATGTTCTTGTTCAAGCACATGATATGAACAACCTCACTACATGTATCCAGAAACCACACCTCATCTTGGAGGCAATATCTCATTTCGGGGGGTGGCAAGCAATTTCTTTTTGACTAATTTGAAAGTAACCTTTGTTATTTGGTACGTTGATACAAATTGAATCTCTTTTCCCAGCTATCAAAGATCCTATGCCAGCGCAAGACTTAGTAATATCGACATCATGACATCGGAACACTACTCGGGTGGGACATCTCCGTACATGTTGGACTTGATCGCTAGCTTCTCATTTAATGATGACACCCAGGATGAATTGCCGCATCATAATCACACGTTTTACATTTACTTTGCTGCTGGGACCATTTATTTGCTGATGGCAATGGTGGTAGTCTATGCATTAATACACGCACAAATTAAGATCTCTTTTCTTCGTTGTCACTCCAGGTAAATACTGAATTCTTCTGTGATCGAAATTTTGCTGGAGGAAGGGGGGACGATCTCTATTAGAATGGATGTACGTGTCTGCTAGACTGAGTTCCTCCTCCCTGCGTATCTCATCACTAGTGCTTCTTTTGCTTATGCTGCACTGGAAATCGTTGGAAAGTGCTTAGCGAGTCTTGGTCTGACTAGGACATTTGAACAGGCATATCTATCTTCTGGAAGTTTTACGATTGTGAGATCTATGGACCCGCTTCTGTTACTTCTGTGTTAGACCTCTGGTGCCTAGGGTGTCAATATCCAGTGTCATTTTCCAAGGCTAAAAGATTTAGATCCTCCTTACATGGACTGTCTTGCCATGATTCTTGCATCTACATGCAATCGAGATAAGCTGATACTCTTCAAATGTCACTTATGATCAAGTAGAAATCCTATCAAGGGCACATATGTCATATGGCATATTGAATGGCATATACATACTATGAGCGGAGCTGATCAACATTTGAACTCAAAGTAATTCGATTGGCTTGATTGCGTGCTTACCCCTGGCTGGAAAATTATCGAAAAATTTTGCCTGCCCTGGAATCTTGGAAGTTCGAATTGCATCAGTTTTCAAATGCTTCAATCATGATATACTACAGCAGGGGAAACTTTGACCCCTCAAGTCCTTGCCTTGACCGATTTGATTAAGTGGAGACTTTTGGTATTCTTGGCACGAAAAGACTTTATTCGCTCCGGCCCGGCCCTAAAGCATCCAAGCACTTGAGACATCCTAAAAGATACCTCACAAAAAGAAACAAATAGGAACAAAACAAAAACACGTGAAAATCTGTTGAGACTGGAAATGACATTCGCAGGAACCTTGCCTGAATTGTAGCAGGTAAGGATTTAAATTCCGGCAGATGATCATGTGGGTCCAAGCTATGTCCGCGGGTTGGGATCGTCACTGAACCTTGAAAGCTGCAGATGGAAACGCCACAAACCTTGGCATGCATGCATGGGATAGTGTAACACAACGTCCAGATTAGGATCTAGATTCGTGAGGCTGAGGTTTACGTGGAACAAGCGGAATTGTTTTCTTCTTCGGGCTCGACTCACATTCCAGGTCTCCTTAGTCCTTGTAGGTGAGTGAGGGACCACCCACTTTCTCCAGCCCTTCTCCTATCTCTTAATCTACACTGCCATTGTCATGGGGTTGACCGGAAGATCTTGGAGTAACACCAAAATTATTCACATTGTCCTCCTGCATAGATCTGCATCAATTTCGTCAAATTAAGTATCTCCTTTATGCTTACCTCCTAAAAGACCTCCATCTTGCGAGTCCGGGGTGATCGACTCCTTCGAAAAATAATCTCTGCGCATATCGTCTCGCTTCACATGGCACATGAATCAACCATGTCGCCTGAAATATTGTCTCATATCTCTCCGGCGTCCATACCAATTGTCCTGATCCTTTTGCCGGTGGTCTTCTTTTTCTTGACCTCCTCATCTCGAAAGTCCAATCTCCCTTTCATCAATGCAAGAGAGACATGGGAGTTTGGTAAAGGCCGCGCACGCGCGCGATACATGAAAGATGCTGCCACCCTGATCAAGAAAGGATTGAATGAAGTATGCACCCGTGCTAACAGGTTAGCCCAGGAAGCTTTTTTACTAATTCATTGTTTGCTCTAGGCCGGAGTGTTTCGAATCATCACTGATGTCGGCACAAGAACAATGCTCTCACCCAAGTATGCCAATGAGATCCGCAGCCTCCCTCAACTGAGTCTGTCCGATAACTTGAAAACCGAGCTACATGCCGATCTTCCGGGCTTTGAGCCATTCGGAATTGTAGCCAACCATACCATCGTCCAGGATCTCGTCCGGATCAAGATTACGCAGAATTTGGGTAAGTCGCCTCGTGAATCGGCTTGCAGCAACGTTACTGATTCAAAGTCGATCCGTTAGCAAACTCCCTGATGCCGCTCTCTACCGAAGCTAGTCACGTTCTGGAGACCCAATGGGGAGACTCAACCGAGTGGCGTGATATGCAGGTTAAACCCACTGTCCTCAAGATGGTTGCCCAGCTCTCTTCTAGAGTTTTCCTTGGGGAAAAGATCTGCCGTAACCCCGAGTGGCTTGACATTACGATCAACTATACTCTCAGTGCATTCAGCGCCGCCCAGGAGCTCCGCCTGTTGCCGGAATTCCTGCGCCCTATTGCTGTGAGATACCTACCAGGTAGTCGAAAAGCCCAGAACCAGGTCAAGCAAGCGAGAAAGATTATCAACCCGGTTGTGAAAGAGAGACGCGACGCTGTACGTGCAGGAAAAGGTGTCAAATATCATGATGCACTCCAGTGGCTCGAGGATATTGCTAAGGGAGATAAGTACGATCCGGCGGCGGCGCAGCTTGGCCTCTCTGCGGCTGCCATTCACACTACGACCGATCTGCTAACACAGACTCTTCTCGATATCTGTGGTCGCGATGAACTAATCCGTGAATTGCGCGAGGAGATTATCTCGGTGGTTCAGGAGCATGGATGGAAGAAGACGACCCTTTACAAACTTGAGTTGATGGATAGTGTGATCAAGGAGTGCCAGCGACTGAAGCCCATGGCTATTGGTGAGTCCATCCCTAGCCCAAACATATCTAGCAAGCTGGTTCTGACAATATTGTAGCCTTCATGGCCCGTGTTGTCCGAGAAGACGTTGTCCTGTCCGACGGAATAGTAATTCCCAAGGGCGATAAGATGCTGGTGTCCTGTGACAGAATGTGGGATGAGACCATCTACCCTGACCCCCTGAAGTTCGACCCATACCGCTTTGCAAAGCTGCGCCAGACTGATAACCGGAAGAACGAAGCCGCGGCTCAACTTGTTTCGCCGTCCCCTGAACACATGGGTTTTGGGTTTGGACAACATGCTTGCCCAGGACGATTCTTTGTGGCAAATGAGATCAAGATCTCTTTGTGCCATATTTTGTTGAAGTATGACTTGAAGTTGGCAGACGGATGTGAGCCCAAGGTGCAAGTCTTCGGGATGCGGAGAGCTGCAGATCCAACTGCCAAAATTTCTATCAGACGGCGACAGGCAGAAATTCCTCTGTGAGCTTAAGGGCTCAATAATAGTGTCCTCTGTACTAGAGTCAATTCGGATGGATAGTATGATAGTTTGTCCTGCCCAGATAATGAATGTATTGTTCCCAGAATTATCAGCGCCAGATGGCTCGTTTTCGGTGTCTTTGACAACTTTAAATATTCAGACAGAAGAAGAAATTTATCGATGCAAGTTATGCCTGAAATACCAGCGTACTCTTGTGATCATGGAGGCGACTATATCTTTGAACACCTGCTATATCTTACAAAAGCGTTCATTTGAGATCATATCAGTTGATCGCCCAGTTACCTCATTTTGTTGGAGCCTATGTAATATGATCCACTGATTGCGGTAGTATGTCCCAGAAAAGAGAGGCACGATAATCGAAACTCCAAAAGTACCTGGGGAGAGAATTGTTAGCCTAGCAACAGTTGCAGACTTAAGGCAATGGCCGTCAACTGGTATATTTCCCAACATGGTGGCCTGCTCACTGGGCTAGCAGCACTAGGCGAGAACAAAGGGTCTACTTCCGACTACCCACCTCCACTCATCTTTCAATGGGATGGCATTATCATCTTGAACTCACAATATCCGCTCAATTACCTAGCGAAAATCCGTGAATTTCATTTCCTCTGTCCTCTGTAATAGTCCGCAAAATTCCGATTCCACACTAATACACGGGCCAGGTAAATACTACTGGCATGCAAAAATGGCATGGTTTCCACTTCGCTTACCATGTTGGGAATGTATGAAAGCACGGACCATGTGTTCACCGGCCACTACGCCCCGTGCCGGCACGTACTCTCCGGGGGGTATTACCGGTACTTCTAATGTTGTTACTCCACCCGTGGACTAGGCCGCACGGCGCCTCGACCCGTCCCGACGAATTATTTATCGATGATCCCTCTAGTGTCTGTGCGTGTGTCCACTGGTTCACAAAATATAGCTCCCAAACAATTATATGTTTTATGCATATCTTAGCGCCTATGGGCTGCTAAGCGGGGAAGATGACTATAGTATTATAGAAAACAGCGTCACACAGAACAGTATATGATTTTGGGGATATCAGGAGAAAAAAGAATAGAGAGAGCAGGTCTAGAGGATATGCCCCCAGACCAAAACTAAGCTCGGGCTACCTAGGTCACATGACCCAGGAATACCGACAGCATGTATGAATTCGAATTTTTGGGCGGCGCTGAAAGTAAGCATCCCTTGCGTCGAAAATCTTTACTCGTGATGAAGGACCTGCTTCTGCCTGCTCGGCATCTCAAAAATCGCACAATCACTTTTCTTTTCTCTGAAGGAAACTCGCTGGTGATACTCAATGCTCAGTCACTGGGTAATTGTCCACAACGGTCGTGAAACAATTCACACCTTCCCCAATCTTCCTCTTCAGCTTGCCAGCTATGGGAGACTCTACTATACTCTCGGCTATGTTGGAATACCGCGATGAACTCGGTGCTGTTGCAGAGTTCCTTCGAAAGCTAGCAGGCATCTGCTGGACCCTGAATTACTTCAGTATGATGTACGTTTCTGGGAGAGAAAAAGTTCCAAACACAGGAATTTTCCCTCTTTGCAATGATATCGCATGGGAGTTTGTCTATGCCTTCGTTCACCCCGCTGCAAGTGCACACTGGGAAGGAGGTGTAAAGATATGGTTTTTGGTTCATCTTGCGGTGGTCTCGTACATACTCAAGTTTGCACCGAATGAATGGAATGATGTACCGATAGTGAAAAACAACATCTACCTCATTTATTTGGTGGTAATTCTTGGCTTTACTGCGGGTCAGCTGTCTTTTGCAGCTGAGGTTGGGCCTGACTTGGGCTTTTTCTATGGGGGTGTTCTATGTCAAACACTGGCAAGCCTCGGGCCAATCTGCCAGCTTTTGAGCCGGAACAGCACGCGTGGAGCTTCTATTCTGACCTGGTATGTCTTCGTTCCCTTAATCTTCCCAAGGTTCCCTATATCCAATATCTTGAATGCTTACTTGGAAAAAGGTCATTACGTGCGATTGCAACTTTTGGGGGCTTTATCAAACTCACAATCTACTATATCTGTGATACCCCTGCAGGTCCGTGGTTCGAAAGCCCAATGTGCAAGTTTTACATTGGATTGACTCTCACCCTTGACATCATATACCCTTGCCTGTATTATGTTGTTCGACGTCAGGAAAAACGTATTGCTGTGGGGCAAAAGAAGGTCAAATAGAAGAACATCGAAGCCCTGTGACCAGGGAGCAAAATGATGAAACCACAATACATGGATAGGCAGATAAATTGATCCTGCATCAATTTTGTGCGGCATCTCAGGTGTTAGGTATACATGTGTGGGTCAATAGCTGGGAATGGTGGAATGGTGGCGTGGATGGATTGATGATTTTCGGGTTTCTTAAGCTGTACGTTTGTTCAGTCGTTTGAGTAAAACTGGATGACCTATATTCTATACGCTACGACAAAACCATGTGCGCAGGTGATGTAATATGGTATGGGGTCACATTGAGATTGTGATTACTCAATTTATTCAAGCCATCCAACGTACCATCCTTGTGCTGCCAGGTGGCTAGTAGCTACAGCACGTAGCAAAATTTAATCGAGGGATAAAGAGCGGTCGCCTCAGGTCTCCTAGGCAAGCAATACTTTGATAAGAGAATCAAGCACTTGAGCCGTTGCATATTTGTCGTCATGCACCAGAGCTGCCTGAAGCAAGGGTTAGAGGCCGCACATAAACAAGACTGCTTCATCAAGAATAGCACCAATCATCGGTATCGCTGCGGAATCCACGAATTTCATCGGATTCGGTCACCTACCCCCTTGAGATTCATTTTCTTTCTGCGCCACAATTACACCTCATCGCTTCCATTCCACGCTCCCAGGTAGTGTTTGCTCTCTGTCCCCAAAAACCTCGCGACAAAAAATCTACTCCAGTCCCCCAAGCCTCGCAAGGCGCGTCCTCAGTGCTCTAAAGACCCACACTCTTCACGGTGTCAAATATCCTCCACATTTTGGTGGTTTTCCCCTTGACCTGGATATCGATCGAATATCTGCAATGATGGAGAAATCCAATTTCAAAGTCATCATTGTTGGGGGATCCATTTCTGGCCTGACTCTTGCGCATTGTCTGGCCAAAGCGAACATCGACCATATCATTCTGGAAAAGCGAGCTGAGATAGCCCCCCAGGAAGGAGCCTTCATTGGCATCTGGCCAAATGGAGCACGGATCTTGCAACAACTGGAAGTTTATAGTAGCCTCGAAAAGCTCACCGCACCGATACACCGGATGCACATTTCCTATCCGGATCAATTTTCTTTCAGCAGTTTGCTGCCCAAGAAAGTGCATGAATTGTTTGTCGCATACTCAGTGATTTCTTGTACAGGACGTTATTGTTCTGACTTATTGCATCACAGATTCGGGTACCCTATAGTATCTCTTGATCGCCAGAAGGTTCTGGAAATATTGCTCGACCATTACCCCGACAAATCGAAGGTCTTGACTAACAAGCGTGTGTCGGAAGTACGCCTTGGGGAACACGGCGCCAGTGTTCTGGCAGATGATGGGAGTATTTTTGAAGCCGATCTCATTGTGGGTGCAGATGGTGTCCACAGCCGTACCCGATCCGAGATGTGGCGGTTGGCCGATGATATACATCCCGGTTACATTTCGCAAAGCGACAAAAAAGGTTCTTAACCCCCTTCCCACAATGAGCATTTAAATGGTCTGATGATTGGATGCTAACTCCCTCTTAATCTTGCTAATTCAGTTCTCAAAGTCGAATATACGTGCGTATTTGGAATATCGAAGCCGATACCCGGACTAGAAACAGGAGAGCATATAAACCGATACGGCGATCAATTTTCTGTTATAACGTTCCATGGGAAAGATGGAAGAGTCTTCTGGTTTATCATCCAGAAGCTTGATCAACCTTATGTCTATCCCAATGTCCCTCGTTATTCCCTTGACGACGCTGCCGATCTTTGCAGCAAATTGTCACATGTTTCCATCCTGGGGGATATCCGCGTTGAAGATCTCTGGAGGAATAGACTCGTTGCGTCTATGACTGCACTTGAGGAGGGGCTCCTTGAGACTTGGCATTTCAATCGCATAGTCCTCCTTGGGGACAGCGTGCACAAGGTAATAACCCATGCACTATCATTGATTGAAACCACATAAAGACTAACGTTGTTGACATCAGATGACACCAAACATTGGTCAAGGAGCAAATACAGCCATTGAGGATGCTGCTGTTCTGGCGTCACTGATTAATCGTCTTGTCCACACGGATGACGTTCCCAGCCCAACTGAGGCTCACATTGAATCAATGCTTCGGGAGTATCAAAGCCTGCGATACGAGCGTGCAAAGAGTACATACGAGCGATCTAGATTTGGAGCCCGGTTTCATACGCGGGATGATTGGGTGAAGGCGTTGGGCGGTCGTTATATTTTTCCTTTCATAGGTGGTCTTGTAGAGCGCGCAACTTCAAAGGTTCTGGCCAACGGAGAAACGATTGATTACCTTCCATTTCCCGACCGTTCGGGACCAGGTTGGATTCAAAAGTCTTCCAAGGTCAAGACAACTGCTCTGCTACAGTGGAGGCTGCTTTGGATTATCCCTGTTACTATCTGTTGGGCTTTTTTGTGGATGCGCCCGAATTCGTCATGATCCTCTGTAGTCGTCTGTCACGAATGGCTTGGAAGCACTCTATAGACATAGAAGTAACTGTACGGCTAATGGTCGTCGCAAATCTTTTACCTCAGAGCTTGGCCGCATGTCCTTGTTTATCCTAGAAAATTGCCATGGAGCTTTGTCCATTTCACGTTTTCGGCGCTGTGAACTTGAATATCTTTATCGCATCAAGCTTCTGAATGCAAAATAGGTAAATACGTGGATGACAACGCAGTTTGTATACATAGTACATGCAATAAGTATGAAGGGGTTCTGCGGACAAGACAAAGTACGATTCTATCCAAATATTTTACGAAACAAGTAGGTAGCGATCGGCGCAAGGCGCCTTAAATCTGAAGTAATTCCAAGCTTGATCTACTTGATCGCCCTCGCATTCCTTTGATGCAGTGTAACAGCAGTTGAGCAGGTGTCTGACATCCGAAAAAAATGTTATGAGCAAGGACGCGAAATTGTTGAAGGGTCCACGGCATCTCTTTCTAGACCTGGCTCTTTGGGATTCAACCAGCGGTGTGATGTACTTGTGTCATTTGCTCTCTCTGATCTATTCTCAGGGACTTTTTGTCTGCCAGCTCGGTCACCTTGGCTCTCTTATCCTTAACATTCAAAGTGCTGATCACGATACCCTACTTAAATTTGCCTTGTCTCACTTCTGATCTTGAACTCCATACTGCATTGTCTAGCGCAATCCAGATAATCCATTTTCTCCACGTCAAAATGCCAGCCAAAATGGCTGCCAGGAATATGAATACGGCAACAATTCCTCAAAGCAGAATACTCGACTGGTTTCCTCATTCTTTGTTGCCTTATGCGGAATTGTCACGGATCCATCGCTTTCTGGGCTTCTACCTCAATACTTCGCCTTATTTTGTTGGTATTGCTTTTAGTGCATCAATTGCCACAGACCTGCCGGCATCTTTTCTGCTCAATCGCCTGGCAATTTTTTCCATTTGGTCCTTCTTTCTACGTTGTGCTGGATGCGTTTGGAATGATCTTATCGACTCGGATCTAGATTCCCAAATCGCACGAACGAAATCCAGGCCAATCCCCCGAGGAGCTGTTTCAAAACGAAATGCCGCAATTTTCGCTTTTAGCCTTTTTGCCTGTGGCAGCTCGGTCTTGTTGTTCCTTCCGTGGCAATGCGCCATTGAAGCCGGCATCAAGATCTTCTTCGCCCTTCTTTATCCGTTTGGTAAAAGATTCACAAATTACCCTCAAGTAACTCTCGCCAATATCGGGTGGGCTATCCCGATGACGATGCACAGTTTAGGGGTGGATCCTCTCGACCATCTTCTGCCAACCGTGTGTATGTTCCTGTTCATTGCAACAGTGATTATCACAGTTGACGTGGTCTACGCGTGCCAGGATATTGAAGAAGACATCAAAGTCGGAGTGAAGAGCATGGCCGTTCGGTTCCGAAACTGCATTCCAACTCTGGCATACTCGTTATTCTACCTGTCGACCGCTCTTCTTGCGACGGCTGGAGGACTCACTGGGCTTGGTATGCCCTTCTTTGTTATATCTGTTGGCGGCCATTTCTTTGGGTTCAAAGGTCTTCTCAAGGCAACTCAGATCGGGAGATCTTCAGGAGTAGAGAAAAATGCGAAGGCGTATTGCTTCCTTAGCGGTATTTTTTGGGTTCTTGGGTTTGCGGTTGAGTACTCTATACGTGGGTACTAAATACCACATCATGATCCAAGTCTACATGTGCATTGTCTCAAATCGGGGGCTTGCAGGCTCGTCTGATACATTATTCACGTGGGAGACATTGAAGTTGCAAATGTGCTATTCTTCAGTTCCTTTTATATATATGTATTTGCACGTAAGCACTATGTAGTGAATGACATTTGGACGTCTGGACGAAGCTCAAGCTCATATGTTCAAATATTGCACGTATGACTTATGCCATTCGACGACTCAGACATTGAACCTCAAGTGTTGGAAGTATCTCCATTTTTTACTACGATTGCTCGTTGAACTATTTGATAGGACAGGACTCATCCTGTCAATAATTGTCGAGGTGCTACGAGGTGCATCATAATGCGCAGTAAATTAATGTTATTGGGCGACTTGATCGTGTGATGCGATGTGTTTGGGTGGACCTGTCACGCGATGGGAAGATCTTTGCCTAATGGCAGATCCTCGATGAAACATATTGTGTTAATTGCACATGTGTGCCTAGGCTTTGGACTATCTTCGAGCAAAATACATTTGACTCAGTGTCAAAGGGTCAAGAGCGTACAGGGGCATAGTTCGGCACGGAACGGCCCAGTTCGACCTCCACGGCATCCTCATATGACGTAGAATTGTTTTCAAAGTATACATTCCAATGCTCCGATATTGCTGTTTCATGGGGAGCCAGCTGGCCTTCGCACAACATTCCATTCATTTCCCCCAATGGAAAGTCAACATGAACATTGCGAACAAGGGCTAATGCAAGGAAATTCCAAATATTGAATCAATAGATGTTAAATATATCAAAGCTTATCAAAATGAAGTACCTGTCTGCATAAGTGCAATATCCGAGTCCCGATGGAAGGCTGATTGTTCATTCAATTTTGTTTGACATCCCCCAAGAAAGGCAGTACGGAAAGCCTCAGCTGCCCTGATGAATGCTACTGCGGGTTCTAAGCTCCCTAGTGAGCGACGGAGTCTCTGCACGACGACGACCGGTAGTCCAGAGGCCTCCTCCCACGATCCATCCAGCCCGGATAAGAAACACCACACCGAAGTCCACAGCAAGAACACAGACCCATCACCCCCCAGTTCTTCCGAGTTTCTTGATTGCGAATGGGCGAAACGAAACATTTCTATCCTCACTTCTGCCGCTGGTGACTCTCGACATCGCGGAATTTTATTCGAGAGTCTCTCAATCCAGGGCTCTGCCTCGCATCTTCAAACTCAGTCGACGGTTCTTTCGACCCTGATTAGACCTTTCACATCGACTCTGCACTATTTTCGACATTGCCATCATCCCAAACAGCGAGCCACCATCCTACACAATTTCGACGGACTGGTTGACAGTGGCGAGTTGCTTTTGGTCCTCGGCCGCCCGGGTAGCGGATGTTCAACCTTTTTGAAGATAATATCCGGCTACTTGGATGGATTGAGTTTGGACCCGGGCAGCAACATCCAGTACAAGGGGGTCTCGTATGAGAGGATGACAAAGGAGTATCGCGGCGATGTTGTTTACAACGAAGAACAAGACAATCACTTTCCGCATTTGACTGTCCGGGAAACCCTTGAGTTTGCTGCATATGCACGGGCACCGCATACCCGACCGGGCAACATTAGCCGCGACGAATATGCACAGACGGCGGTGCGGGTTGTTATGGCCTTATTTGGTCTTTCACATACGGAGAACACCCGAGTTGGCAACGAGTATATTCGCGGAGTCAGTGGTGGAGAAAGAAAACGAGTGAGGTGAGGGATTCCGGAAGCTGCTGCCCTGCTGTGTCTCCATGGATCACATTAACTGACTCCCTGGGTTCTCACATGTAGCATAGCGGAAATGACTCTAGCTAGAGCGCCCATTGGTACCTGGGATAACAGCACTCGAGGTCTTGACGCCAACAGTGCACTTGATTTTGCCAAAAACCTTCGTCTCTCTGCCAATCTCACCAAAACATGTCACGCCGCCGCGGTATACCAGGCTTCAGAGCCCATCTACAACAACTTTGACAACGTCACTATTCTCTATGAAGGTCGACAAGTATACTTTGGTCCCTGTGATCGAGCTGTCGCATACTTTGAGAGGATGGGTTGGAAACGCCATCCTCGACAGGTCAGCGCGGATTTTCTTACTTCTGTCACCAATCCGAGTGAGCGTGTGCCCCAAGATGGAATGGCGGAGGAGGTTCCGCGGACTTCAACAGACTTTGAGACATACTGGAGGAATAGTGAAGAGTATTTGGATCTTCGAGAGAAGATGAAAAGCTTCTCTCACAACTTTCCTCTCGATGGACTAGAAGAAAGCAAATTGAAAGACGTCAAACGTACCGAACAAGCCAACCATGTCCGAAGGTCAAGCCCTTACCTGCTCTCCGTGCCCATGCAACTCAGATTGTGTCTTGTTAGGGCATACAGACGATCCTTGAATGACCGCGCAGGGATCATTGCGACTGCAGTGTTACAAATGCTTATAGCTGTGCTGATCAGTTCTCTTTTCTTTGATATCCCCGATAACTCCGATGGTCTATCACAGAGGGCATCCGTTATCTTTCTGGCAGTTTTGACAAATAACATGATTGCTATGTTCGAGGTCAACGTCCTATACGGCCAGAGACCAATTGTGGAAAAACAGGCTCGCTATTCATTTGTTCGCCCCTTCACCGAGGCACTCGCTGGAGTCATCATAGATCTCCCAATCAAAACGCTTCGCGCTCTCCTAGCCAGTGTAATCGTTTACTTCATGGCGCACCTCAGGAGAGAGCCCGGGCACTTTTTCATATATGTCCTTTTCCAAGTGGTCTCCGTTATTACCATGTCCGGGATCTTTCGGTGCTTGGCCGCAAGCACGAAAACTCTCAGTCAAGCGATGGCTCTCAGCGGGATCGTCATTATCAGCGTTGCAGTGTATACCGGTTTTACTGTATCACCGCCCGATATGCGCCCGTGGCTTGGCTGGATCCGATGGATCAATCCCGTTTTCTACGCGTTCGAAGCAATCATAGCCAACGAGTACCATGGTTTACGAGCCAAATGCGTCGAGTACTTGCCAGACTATCCCTCGCTTTCTGGCTTGTCTTTCGTTTGCTTGGAAGTTGGTGCTGTCGCAGGGGATCACTTCGTTTCCGGTGATCGATACATTGAGAAGCATTATGGTTTTCTCTATAGTCATCTGTGGCGGAATCTGGGTATCCTTTTTGCGTTCATGATCGGACTCCATGTGTTCTATCTTGTGATTACAGAGCTGGTTCCGGGCACCGTCTCCAAACCCGAGTCATTGTCATTTCTCCCAGGCCACATTCCCAAAAACATGAGTCCATGCGATGAAGAAGTGAAGGAGGTGCCAAAAGTATCGAAAGAGCTTTCCCAGCCACCCTCGATGTTTCGTGGCTCGTTGCCAAAGCATGAGAACATATTCACTTGGAAAGGGTTATGCTATGATATTCCGATTAAGGGAGGCACAAAGAGACTACTGGATGATGTCAGCGGCTGGGTGAAACCAGGCACCTTGACTGCTCTTATGGTATGTAAAACCATTCAATTCTTCACTCAATGATTGGCTCCATGCTTACTTGGTTAGGGTGTATCTGGTGCAGGAAAAACCACTCTTCTGAATGTCCTATCGCAGCGAATGACCGTTGGCGTTGTGACGGGAGAAACTTTGGTCAATGGCCGAAGCCTCAATACCAGCATCTGCCGCAAGACCGGATACGTCGAACAAAATGACATTCACTGTGCGACTGCTACGGTCAGGGAGGCCCTTCGTTTTAGTGCAGCACTGCGGCAACTCCAGTCGATTTCCACTGAAGAAAAACAAGCATACGTTGAGGACGTGATTCAAATGCTGGGAATGGAAGACTTTGCCGAAGCTATTGTTGGAAAGCCTGGGGAAGGATTGAACCTCGAGCAGAGAAAGCTTCTCACTATTGGTGTCGAGCTGGCAGCAAAGCCAGAGCTCTTAATCTTCTTAGACGAGCCGACTAGTGGACTGGACTCACAGAGCTCCCTGGCAATTTGCTCTGTTATGAAAAGACTGGCTGAAAATGGACAAGCCGTGCTTGCCACAATTCATCAGCCCAGTCCTATCATGTTTGAGCAATTTGATCGTCTCCTTTTACTTGCTAAAGGCGGTAAGACCGCGTACTTTGGGGACATTGGGAACCATGGTCGCCTTCTTCTGGATTATTTCGAATCAAACGGCGCACGCCCAAGTCTGTCAGATGAGAATGTAAGTCACAAGCCATTCCTTTCTTCTTTACCGATATTCCATCCCATCAAGTTTGACTAATTCACCCCTTCACAGCCCGCTGAATACATACTCGAGGTTATTGGTGAAGGCTCGCATGAGAGCACTCAGCCTGTTGATTGGGTGGAGAAATGGAAGCAGAGCCCTCAAAATCAAGAAGTCCAGGATCATCTTCGCCACATCTGTTCGAATGCCCTTCAGCCACCCACCGATAAGTCCAGCGAGCTTGAGTTTGCCATGCCGATTACAGCCCAGCTGTACCAGGTTATGAAACGTGACTTCCAGCAGTATCATCGCCAGCCGGAGTACATTTTCGCCAAGCTTGCTTTGGGTATTGTCTGCGGCCTATTTGTAGGCTTTTCGTTTTGGATGTCAGACAACTCCAACCAAGGCTTCCAAAATACTCTGTTTAGCTTGTTCCTTCTTTGCACTATTTTCACCACAATGCTAAACCAGTGAGTCTTCATTCCATCTTTGGCCACTGAGATAACGGAAAGCTAACGGAAACAGAATTATGCCGAAGTTTGTGGAGAAGCGGGCTTTGTATGAGCTACGCGAGCGACCTTCCAAGACCTATTCCTGGAAAGTTTTCATTTTCTCACAAGTTGTCGTTGAGCTACCCTGGCAGGCCTTGCTTGGTGTCTGCACGTGGGCCTCCTTCTACTTCTCTGTTTATGGTGGAAACCAAGACCCAGAGCGCCAGGGCCTCGTCCTCCTGTTCGTACTCCAATTCTTCCTCTTTGCCTCCAGCTTCGCATCATTGATTGCCTCTGCGGTCTCGAATCTTGCTATGGGCAGTATGATGGCTCTTTTCATGTTTGTGTTGTCACTGTTGTCTAACGGCGTGATGCAACCACCGAGCGCCATGCCCAATTTCTGGTCCCAGATGCACAGAGTCTCTCCTTTAACCTATTACGTCGGCGGTATCAGTGCAACTGCACTCCACGGTCGTCCGATCATTTGCTCGGATCGAGAGCTAGTTAGCTTTGACGCCCCGGCCGGACAGACCTGTGGCGAGTATCTCGGAAAGTTTCTCAAGACAGCACCGGGGAAGCTCTACGACTGGAACTCCACTGCACAATGTCAGTATTGTCCCCTCAGCTCGGCTGATCAATACCTTGCCGGTCGCGACATCTCTTGGAACAACCGGTGGGAATATTATGGGATTTTTTGGGCATATTTCGTTTTCAATATCTTCGGTGCTGTCCTTCTTTACTATCTCTTCCGTGTTTTGCCATATTCCCGAGCAAACAAGGCGAAGGCTAAATAGCCGAAGTATTAATGCTTTATGGTGGCATGGGGCAGGTTTGAAGTGTTCCTCACTTTCTTTTTTCTTGCTCCTTTTCTCTTCTTATTTCTCTCTTTCCTTCTTTCCTTATCTATCTCTTCCCCTCTTTTACTCTCTCTTTCCATGTCTCTCTCTGTGTCTCTTTTCTCTCCTTTTCTCTCTTTCTCTCTCTTTCTCTCTCTTTCTTTCTCTTTCTCGCTGGAAATTCTAATTCTTTGAAGTTTGGGCCTAATGGCGGCCTGGGTGCCCGCAATGTACCACGGCGCGGTTCTTGAGTAGGTTTTCATTTTTCCTGTCACATCTGTGCGCGCAGCTGGCGCAACTAGATAGCTCCTATACAAGACAGCTAGTGGTGAGTCTCAATAGCAATACAAACACGAAAAATTCCAAACACGATAACAAGAGCTATAGCCTGCGGACGAAAAATATTCTCTCAACAACTGTGTGATGACTTGAAGCTTGGAGCTCTCCCTGAGACATCCATTTACTTCCTGGTCCTGCTTGAGGCTGACCTTTAGCTATCTCTTGTTTCATTCCTCTTCAATTCACGCCTAGCTCTTTCATTCGAGTTTCAGCCCATTTTCCAAGACGGCCAAAGTACTTCTCCCAATCTCCACCCCTCCAGTCTCGGAGACTAAACCACAGGTGCCTCAAATCCTTTCCAGCTTATGTTACAACTTTATATCAGGCGCCTTGGTTTATAGCGTCTTTATGAAGGCAAAACAGGAGTCAGCGCTCAGTTTAATTGAATTAAAATCCGTATGAAGGTGATTGATAACAACGAACCTGAATGTAGTGCCGTGCCTATACTGCATATGTTTTCAGATCCGACTGAGTATAATCTTGGGGTAATCGGGTCACGGATGGCCCACCCTTGTCGTCGGTGGTCAAATTGACCGGAACGACAGCTACTAAAAGATCCGATAAAATTGCTGGAACGGTGCATCCACTTTCCCAGTGGTATAATGATTTGACAATAGGTTTTTCGTTCGCCACATAATTTATCGTAGTGTTATGAATGCCAAAGTCGCCGTGTTCAAGAACAAGTCTGTAGAGACTTTGGTCATCGTGCTCCAGTGGAATTAATGATATGAGGGAGGACTCGTAAAGGCTCGCCTTGGCTACCAAAGCAACTGGGCCGACAGTCTCGTTATCATCCTCCCAGCCAATAATTTCTCCTTCGTTTCGAATAGTGGCATTGATCTTGGACTCAATAACATGCATCCAGAATTCGCGCGTTGGGGAGACCGGCAAGGTGAGTCTTTCGGACATGAATTTGAATACACGGCTGGGAAGTTACTGTGTGATGAAGTCAGGCGGTGGGTGGGTTATAGCGAAACAGACTCGCCCGTATATTAGCTGACTGATCCAGGAGATATATCTAGCACAGTGAGCATTGGCTATTAAGGGATCCTGTATTCATCACACCTTAGCGGTCGCATTGAGCTAGTTCCACGCATTCTCTACGCCGTCTGCCTTTTCAAATAGAAAGAGCCGGCGACCAGCTAAGTCTTTGGGAATGGAATCTTTCGGGCCGGGATACAATACTAGTACTCGATAGTAAAGCAAGCGAGATGTATGGAGTTCATGCTCTGAACGCACCAAATTGTAGACACCGGCTTTGAAGATAGCTTCCGACAGTTGAGCCTCTGTTGGAAAGCCGTCAAAGTTGGGGCATATTAATATCTCTCCGTGACAACCGAGCGATAATATAAGATCCTTCCGATATTTCTGTATAACCCCAACCCCTCGTAGTGCAGTAGGCTTCACATTTCTAAATCATGAGGAAAGGAAAAACAATAATGTGCACTTCCATAGTTGTTGGAGCCTTTGTCAACGGCCGGAATATCTGTCACATACCACCTGAGTCCCCGTATGCTTCTCGATCTCTTCGATAAGAAGATTGACATCCCATGATCCTTGGAAAAGAGCTTTTGTCATTACGCACCAGCGTGATTAAGTGTTTGCCATTGTACTGACTGCCATCTGGCATCAATGGCCAGTCATCTCTCCAGCCCATTGTGCTGAGTGTTTGTGTGTGGACTATCTAAGAACGAAGGCGAACGCAGTGTTGGACTCTTAAATGAGAATTGCTAAATCAACCAACCCGGGGTCCACTTATTGCCTAGTTAGGCTTCCCCAAAACCCAATTTGGGTCCAAGGTATGGACCCAAGACATGGGCCGAGAGTGGGTTGAGAAAGGCTACAAAAAGTCCTAATGTCCATGACTATTACATTTTACCTAGTCTTCGTCATTGAATATATCACACCTATATATGAAAGCTTCCGACTACTTAGACAGTGGTCTATGCCTTAGCTGACCACCCTTATCATAATAGCTATCACTTTACTATATACATAGAGTTCTTTCCCTAGCCTAATAAAGAGCAAATATAGTGAATTCAGACACACTGTATAATATATATCATGAAGGTTGTGGCTCGCTCCCTTCATAGCGTAAGAATAGATTCCAAAGAAGTTCATCCTTTTTGGAAAATCACAAATCGGGGTAACTTTTACGATGAACTTGTCACGAGGCTGGTCAAATACTGCTCCAATGATGCGGACACGGCGCCAATAATACTCTGAAATAAGCAGAATCTATGCAGCCATATTTCAGCCATTGAAAATGCCTCTAGGATCCTTAGAAGACTCACTGGAAATACTGAATGGCCTTCATTACCTGGTTCGTATACTCGGTTGTAGAAGGAATTCATAATAATACTCATCTCACCTTGGGTGAGTATGGTATCTGCTCCGTTACATGCAGTGGTCATGTATATCTTTAAATGAGGGGGATTGAGATTCCCTTCTTTCAATGTTGGACTAATCCACTCGGAAATAGAAGCCATTTCATAATCAAGGTTTGGTCCCGTTTGCATAAGGAAACCGAGTTGGGTCACGGTTACTAAAGTGATGATATGTGGCGGCGGCAGTACTGTTGCTTGCAAGAATAGAGAACGCAAGAGGAAGCGTCCATGTATGAAGAAACTCCACGCTGGATAAAATGGAAGTGGGGTGTGCGTATGTGACAGCTTCGCGTAAACTTTGCCGAAGCTCGGTCTGGGTAGGTACCGATTGAGTTGGTCCCCTAAGGTTATGGGTCTCTTCTCGAGTTGTAGCGCATGACACATTTCGATCGCACCAGTACTCATCGTCGACAGTAGGCATGAAATTTCGGAGCCCGAAGATCCACACAGCGCAAGTCTTTTCGCAACGGATGCGGTTCGTTTTTACATGGCAGTTAGGGTTGACGTTTGTAGTCTTGCGCCTATTGGCATGCCGACAGAACCTTACCCGTCTTGATTGAAGCAGGATCATCCCAGTGTGTACTAACAGGTGGTGTGTCTTCGTCACAAAGCTCCTAACAGGAATTGTACTCGATTTGAGTGACGGAGCTTCTTAAATGAAATAAAGACCAAGGAAGTGCGTTCCAAGCCCATGGGCTACAAATGGGTCTGAACTATAAGGCGGGTAATAGCGGGATTCGTGACAGGTGCTTTGGCGGCATCAGCAATAATTTTGGAAGTTTTGGAAGTTTCGCGATAGCGTGGTAGTAAGTGGCCTCAAGTCAAAAGCCTTAGAATACAATCCACGAAGCAGGTCATCAGGTGCACGACCTCAACTTCGGACAGACATAGAAGCGATAAGCGTGAACCCTTAATACCAACCCTAGTAACAGGCGCTAGCCCCCTACTCCGAATCGGAGAACTCAATGAGCCACTCCGCCTCCGGGTGCTGAGTGATTTCCAACTGTGACATAGGGAAGGTGATGAGGTCTGCGGCCTCTTCTCTCTCTGTGAATCATGAGCTTATTTCAAAGATGCATGGACTAGAAATGCTGCTGACCAACAGGCGCTTGCGCGCCCTTAACTGCCGTCTTAGCAGTACCAGTCTCCGCAACAGCTATGCTGCGTTCCAGCTTCTTCGCAGCTGCAATACGGGCGCGCTTGCGCTGCCTTCTGCTTTGCTTCTTAATAGGCCCTTTAACCGCGTCGGGAATGGCGTTGAAGTTGTTGTCAGCAACATGGGCGGATTAGGACAGGGAAGTGGCCTTAGCCTTGGCCGGAGTCTTTGGCTCCATAACGCGGTTGGCGACACCTGTTAGATGTCAGCATGAGCTTACGGGGTTCGTGTTGTCATTATGTACTACCGACTCGGGATTTAGGAGGCAGGCCTTCCTGCACGATCTGCTCCAATATCTCCTTCTGGTTTCGGGCAACCGCTAAGCGGCGACGACGATGCCTGGCTCTGGACTTGGATGATCCAGCAACAGGAGTATCCTCCTAAGACATTTTAGCATGTTGATTATCGACTGGCGTCTTGAAGAAAACCTACGCTCATCTGGTACGCCTCAAGAGCCTTCTTTAGGACTGCGAGCGCCTCCGGTGTCTTCCGCTGTGAAAAGAGTCAGCTTTCACACTTCATATGTATGGCATCAGGGAAACGTACGTTGACACCTCCGCGACTTTGTCAGCAGGAGTCTTGCCTGACTTCTTCGGGGGTTTCCCCCCTCCGCCACCGGAGGTAGCCACATTGGTAGCACCTGACATCTTGCTATAATGCCTATGATTAGTGGTTTTTGGTGGTTTGGTGATGCTGATGGTGTGATTGAAAAGGTTCGGGTGGGGATGCAAAGGAGAAGGTATTTATAGCTATAGGAATCATTCAATGAGTCGTCGAATCGATTCATTGGTCGAAACTTGAGTACGTGGATCTATGAGAGCGGCGCCCCGCCGCCTGGGCGGTCATGTAGAGGGCGGTTGTGTGGAGGCCGACGACGTGTAGAGGCAGACGACGTGAGATGTGAACTGTGCAAAACAACACATTCATTATGACTCCCAGTTGACCTGTATTTTCCATTCTCCGCTTAACGTTGAGACCTACTAAATCGATAAATTGTGCTTGCCGGTAGATACAATCTCGGAAATTGATGATATCATTAGGGGGAGGTTGTGAGGAAGAAACAGAGGAACATGTGATAACGGCTTAGAGGTCTATAGGCCCTATATCACATGAGATTACGATATGAATGATGGGTTATCTTGTGTAGTAATAATCTACATCTTTACTACTTACTAGTAAGTAAGCAGTGCTTTATCTGACGTACTAGTGAGTGAGCAACGTAAAAAGGGAATTAATACACTAGTCATTACTTATAACAAGGTCTTGAACTACCTTCAAGTGAGTAGCAAAACGTAATATATCGTAGCAAGAACTGATAGACTTGCTTTCAATTTAGCTGAAGCAGAATCAGATGTTTTTGTGGATTTATGACAGAATATCCTGCTAGTATTCTAGTATTATTTTTCTTCGCTGAATATTCACGTAAAGAATAACTAGAGGCTTTCCGCCGCGCAAAGAGCGGCGCCTATTTGAGTGTTAGACCGCACCTCCAACTATATTTACTACTCAGTCTCCTACCGAGTCTTCCACTCTGTATCCTATCCTGTATTCTACCTTCTTTCGTACCGTATTAGTCAAATGGACAAAAGGCTCCCCAGATTAATACATAGCGACATAGAAAAGAAAGAGAAAAAAAGAGAAAAGAAGAATAATGAAGTAGAAGGAGATGGGGGGAAAAAAATCTGGTGGTGGTTTCGAACGTATGTCCAAAAAGTCCGCAGTGTACCCAAGTAATAGAGGGGTAGAATTTCTCTTGAAGATAGTATTTTATTCGTCGGAGGTCATGGTTTATCGCGGCAGAAAGAAACAAAGAATCAGTTTGGAAATCATATCCAGGTATCGTAAAGGCATTTAAATTTTCATTTGAAAGTTCATTTAAATTGATCATCAAGACGACTACACAAAAACGCCCTGGGAATATTTCCACATTTGTAACATTTGAAGAAATGTTATTGTGCTTCGTTACATTTACGAAAAACTTTTTCTCCCGTGCTTAAGCTATCTTTGCTCGATGCACGCCGCCTTGGCTACACTAGCCATGCGACTTGGAAGTGCCCAATCTCCTGCTGCCAACCCAACGGCGTTTCATTTCAGGCTTACCGCGAGCTACCCCAGCTGTGCCACAGAATTCAGTTGCACCGAGAGCTCCGAGCCCGAAAAGCTTAAATCAGTACCCGTTTCACTGAGTTTTTTTATTTGGATTGCCGTGGGCATAGGAAGCATACTCTAAATTGTCATTTCGATTGAAAAACTTCAAGTATTTTTGATGCACCGGACCTTGCTTTCAAGGAAAGGGTCCACAAGGTTGAGATGGGGGCCGCAAGGTACCAGACATACTTCATGGGGTGAACGACGATTTCCGTCGTAGACTTATTGCTTTGGAGGAGAAAAACAAGGCAGGACCAGTACGAGGTGGAGGTTGAGTGTTGGCTGCAGCGATCCCTATATCGCGATAGCCCTCGAACTTGAACCTTGTATATATGATATCCGGCATGATGATGGAGGCTTGTTGTCATTCGAGAAGCGGTTCAAGTCAGGCCTGGCACAGGCTGAGGTAGCCATGCTACCAGCCCAAAGATATCGTACGCTCCACTGACAAGGAATGGGATACGCAGTTCTCTTACCGTCTTACTCACCATGCTACACTTTTTCAAGTTCCGGCGCATGCTGTCGATGATAGCCAGGTGCTACTAGATGGCTTTGCCCTGGATATTATATCGAACGTTATCCAACATGTCTGGAAAATCAAATGAAGCGCTATAAGCCCTCAAGTGCTCTGTATGGATTACTAGTTCCCTAATCTGCCAACCTGGAGATAGTTTAGTCTCACTTACGAAACTCGAAACCAAGCCTTCCAAGTTCCCGGGTTCAAGTGAAGCCTCCTAGATGGCGGGAACATTCCAAGACGATGTGCGTCAAATTTGGTCAGGCGTGTCACACCGCTGCATTTATTCCAAGATTCATCTTCAAATTTTCCTAACGTGTCTAAACAGCGGTGTTATTCCCAGCCAATGCTTATCTGGCTATTGAGAGCACCTTGTCGGTATCTCATTGAGCAATATAATCGGGCCGACTCAAATGGCGACACATATCGAGCAACCTTGTTATGGTAATGCCGATAAGTCCGCGCTCCGGTCTACAGCTTGTAGTATAAATATGTCCTCGTGCCAGGACAATTTGCTAATTCTGTCAGTCCATTTCAAAGCTGATTTTATCTGGGAAACATTCAAATTTTGAACAAGGGCTTGAAGGTGAACCTTGGAACAGAGCGGGAAATTCCTTTGTCCGGCCTTGGGGTTATCAATTTGTCTGATTTGCTGACATGGAAGAAAACGCACACCCGATATGAAAAAAGAAGAAAAATATATTTCCCATCACATGTACGTCGAACCGATCAAGAAAATTCCACGATGATGAGAAAAATGCTGGGAACGGGAGAAAGAAAAGAAAATTGGGATTCAAGTCTAGGAAGATCCCCAAATCCAAGTTCCAATGTTTGACGAGATTACGTGCAGCGGAAAACATTCACCAATTCCCCGCTACATGGATACATTTTCTGAACAAATCTGGAATGGACAAGTGTTCAGCACAGGCGTAGAAAACATACGGTGTGCTCGCTTGGAGGGAACAAAACCAAACAATTGGAAAAGAAAAATGCCTCAGGTATATAAAATGGCGCATACTAAAGGGTGCGGATCCAGGACCGATTTACTAGTCTGGCGGGCCCCCAAATTTGTAGCTCGTCACGTTTGATTGGATTAACCTGGAGCTTAATTTTCCTTAATTGTGCCTTTTATTTGATCTTTTTAAGGGGGAATCCGAGTTGTGGGATTCCGTGGGATAAACCTAGGTACTGTCTCAGGCAGATTCAATGTTTCATGTGGAGGGTAGTTCTAACCATGATATGTGATATGTTCATGTGAATATCGAGGCTAATGCGCGTGTAAAGAAATTCGAAAAAAATTCGCGATGCAACGCCACTTAACCGAATGGGATGCACAGCCACCTCCAGTTAGAATTTGAACTTTTGTATGTTGTCTGCGTAGCTTAGGTGGGGGGTTGATAGCACTTGCATTCACCAGCCCCATTGTGAACCGAGCGGCCGTTTCGAGTAAAAGGAACCATTAACTAAATCGGTTGCCAAGTGGTGTTTGGATTTTGTTTTGCTTTTTTTCCTTGGTAACTGGTAACAAGTTCTCTAGGCTTTTTGTTGGTCCCCGCTCGGTACAGGTACGTACATTGCCGACGGAACGGGATATGTATGAGGCATTTGTCAGATCTAGCCCCAATACCTGTACCGATTTGTCTACTTGAACGATAGAAATTTCACCCGTTTACATTTTCCCGCTAGAACGAAATTAAAGCAAGAAATCCCTCATGGTATCTATGAAAATTTCTCTCCCGCTTTCTAGTTGACCCACTGGAAAAAAGCACCTCCAGACCAAGAACATTACCTAGTTTAATGGCCCAAGCTCCTACAGACTAACATGGAACTCTCCGAAACGCACACGCAGTTCCACCTGCAGTCGATCCTGTGGCTGTGAAATCGAATCAGTGTCGTTGGTGGATTTCCACGACACAGAAAAATCCTATCCAATATGTCACAATATGTCATAGCTCCTAATGTGGCATCGGTCCTACCGTAAAAACAGATATCAAAGAAAAAAACAAAAAAGAGGGAGAAAAAAGTATATAAGCCCACCGTACCTGCAACCCGTCCATTCATTTCATCTTACCGAGGGATGCTTATCGACGGTCAAAAGTGGGCTTGTGAAGCTTGCATACGAGGCCACCGTGTGTCCAGTTGCAAACATCATGGTACCCTTCCCCCAATCTATTCCCATTCCTATTTCCATTTCCTCTACAACATTTCCCGAATATATGCTAACCGCACAGATCGACCATTGATTCGTATCAAGCGAAAAGGTCGCCCCTTCGCAACATGTTCAATCTGTCATTCAACCCCCTGCAAATCGCCCACGGACCACGCTCGTCAAAAGCGCGAGTCTGAGCTCAAACATCCAAAAGTAACGCAACACACGCACATGCCGTTCCTACAATACCGGAGTGGCCCATGATACTTCGATGCAGACGGCGTGTCGCTGATCGCTTGTTGGTTTTAGAAAGCTTCCCACGCTAGACTTTATCCCCGGCACCATAATCCAAATGGATTTTTGCCCATTGCGCCGAGACCGTCGTCCGGTGCGAAGAGGGAGTGCCGCATAAGCAACGAGGGGGCGGGAGAGGGAGGGTTCGTCTACTTCTGCTGAGGATTCTAATGCTCCTGCTGCTAGAGCGGAGAGGACTGCTAGCTCTGGTTGTTTGGGGTATTGGTCGGGTTCGGAGGAGGGGTCTGGGAATGGGTCTGGGAATGAGTCTGGAGGGTTGGTGGCTGTCTCTGGTCCTGCCAGTACCACTCAGAGTCTCTCGCCTGCGCCTGGTCCTTGTCCCGGTCCTGGCCCTGATGCTGGTTCTATTCCTTCCGATCCGGTTATGGGAAATGCCATCTTTGATCCCACGTATTCCCTTCTCCCTCCTGCTACGCTGGCGCAGACGGATCCTCTGGGTCCGCTGGACAGTGTCAATCCGTTTGACTTCCCTCTGGACCCGGCATTGGCCGACGGTATGTGTCTGGGGGAGATGGATTTGGATATCACGGAGGGATTGGAAGAGGTCTTCCAGGTGGAGGATTGGTCGCGGTATATGTGGTCGCCGGAGAATGGGTTTGAACATTTAGATATGGGGTATCCCCCGGTGACGCGATGACATTTAAGTGTCCCTGTAGGGAGTTAATGTCATGATGATTATGAATGATGCACTGGTAACATTGGATCCTATAGACTTGAATGCATGTGAAACAGATAATGTCCCCCGATGTAGATCGGGCTGGTTCGCAGAACGCCATATAGCAGGGAAAAAAGTACAGAACGCAAAATGCAAAATGCAGAACGAAATCCCACCATGCAACCTCTCTCGCTGTACCGAGGTCTATGCATCTACACCTCCTGGATATAGTTCGCTGGTACACTCTTTGTGACTCCACCGCGCTCCACATCCGCCCATCCATCACCGCCGTCGCGATTAACCAGGACAAATCTATCACCCTCGGTCATGTTCCACTCCATATCGCTGCGAGCTTCATAGTCGTACAGCGCCTCCACATATTGGAGTTTCTTGGCACCCCTGCGTGGCGCCACCGCCGGACCCACCCGTTTGGGAGCTGCCAAGGAGGCAGAGGAGTTCGAGTAGACAGACCCCGGTCGTTCGGGCAGCCCGGGGCTAGCCGATGGGGCTGGTGAAGGCGTTGGTGCCGCATCGACGTATGACGCTGGGACAAGACCATCTTGACCGCCTACGCTGACACGGAGCCAGCCAGATCCATCTACAGAGGTTAGAGAACGTTTTTCGAATACCCATACCGAGCTTACCATCAGCTTCAACAATTGTCACATTATCTCCATCCTGTACAGTCACCTCGTCGGGACCAGTGGCTTCGTAAGAATATAGCATCTTGCCTCTTGGTTTGGTTGTAGGTTCAGGGGATGGTGCGGTGGCATATGCCATGGGAGGCGGTGCCATAATCCGGTGCTTCCTTCCGGCGTTTGGCTTGGTCTCAGCAACAGGCGAGGGAGTTTCATCGGCCGGGTCTTCGGGGGTGGGTTGGGTGGCCACATTAGACAGCGAACGGGCTCCACTGGCTGCATACCCGGAACTAAGGGAGTTCATAGTATTCTGGCGAGTAAGGGATGGCGCTGTTGTCGAGGCCGCGGAGGATTCAAGATCGATAGTAGGCCCTGAACCTGCTTGTTCTTGTCGAGCGGCTTTGAGCTTCTTCTTTTCCTCCTTCGATTGTTCGCCGGGGCACTCGGCCGGCACCTTCATTTGGCACTTGCTGTGGCATGTGTAGCCACAGTCCTGACAGTCGAAGCCCTTGGCAGATAAACCCCAGATGCGATCACCACAGTAATCACAGTTTGTAGGGATTTTGAATGTTTGCGATCGGAAGTTATGGTTCTGTGCTCCTACAGACAAGTCTCCTACCACAGCGATAATGGTGGATGTTTCAACCTCGGCCGTCAGCCACTTGCGGTCCACCTCATGCAGGCTTTCCTGCCACTGAAATATGTTCCGAACAATATCAAGCTCATTACGCTTGTCTTTGCCTTGCCGAATACTATCCCGGATCTTTTTACAGCCCTCAACCTCGCGTCTCTTTCGATCCGACTCCACACGTAACTCACGTACTTGCGCTTTGCTTTGGCCCAGCAGGTTGCGCAGGAACACTTTAGCGGCGTCGTCAGTGATGATAGACGCATCATCGGACCAAATGGGACTCGGCTCAAAGCCCATATTGGCAGGTTCTTGGGTCTGAATGGCGTTGTGCTGAAGGAACATCATTGAGTCCAGTCGGGGGTCATTGCGGGGGATCTCGTTGAGAAGATTGGCAGTATTATTGACACTGTTTGTAAGGGATGCTTGTTCCAGTTGTGTGGCGAGCGTCCAAAGAGCATTCAACCTTATCACTCGGGTCTCGTTGAGGTCTTGCAGGCCCTGCGTCACCATAAGTATTTATCAAGACTCGAGTCCAGTGCGACTTACATCAATAACCTCAGGCACATATTCGTGGAAGAACTTCTCCTTCAACTTGTTCGTGACATTGATGCTGAGTAGGTACAGGTTCTATTTGGTCAGCCAAATCCTGTAGTTTGTCTCTTGCGAACGTACCTTGTAGTTGTTCATCTCCGCTAATTGTTGCTGGAATGCGCTCTGCGCCTTAGCCTTGGAATGATCGAATGAGGAGTCCATCTTCTTGCGCCGCGACTCAACCTCCTGACAAGCGCCATCATATTTTCCCTTGGCCTTTTTCAGTTCCCCATATGAGGCATCTCGCTCTTTTTCAAGCTTACTATGGTAATCCGCATGGCATTTGCGAATTTCCTCATACTGCACGGCCCCTTGCTTCAACGGGTCGGCGATCTGAGTGATCAACTCATTTCCAAATTTGTCGCGCTCCGCCGCATGCGCCTCGACCGTGCTCAATTGAGTGGACCATGTTGTAAGGGATGCACATTCGAGGGAACCCGGAGTCATAGTCGGAGTGTCACCGACACTCAACGGGCTGATCTTCTTTGCTTTGCGATCCTGGTATTTTTTGCATAGAGCTGAAAGTCGGGCTGCATATTCTTTTTCGATAGCGCTGCGTTCGCGGTAGAATTGTTGGATTTCGTCCAGCCATGTTATGCCATTAGAAACCTGTGCAACGTGGGTGCATTAGCTCCGCTCCGAAACGTGGTTATATGACGCGCTGCGTTGCGGGGAAGGAGAGGACCGTTTTGGACGTACCCAAGCATTCACTGGTTTGAACGAGTCCTATAAAGACAAAAAAATATTAGTTACTTGAAGAAAGACTGCCTCGGAGTTCATACCTTTAGTTGCGCTCCAAACTGGGGAGCCACGTCTGCTGCCGCCATGGCTGTCTCAAGGCCGAAAGCAGATCACGCATGAGCTGGAAAGAAAGATCAACTTGTGGTAATTTGAATTGATCAGGGGTCGACCTGGATCACAAGGAAGAATTATAAGAAAGAATCGAAACACAGAGAAGTTGAAGCCAATGAGGCAGCAAGAACGATGATCTTAGAAAGGCGGGGAGCGCATCTCCGGTGCCTGTGACGATACGGTATCGTTATCGGGCATTTGGAGGTGGCAGTACAGTGGTATTACATTACCGTATTCGGACTAGCTTCGTCGGGCTCCGTCATTTCTTCTAAATGTCGTTTTGAACTGTTTTTGCTTAATTTCAAGTTTACTTCACTTTCAAGGGACCTTCCCCACATTCATTCGTATCTCCGTTTCTTCGCAATCGTCCTTCGCTGCGGATATCCCCCCTTCCATCCTCTTCAAGTTTCCGTGGGCATCATCCCCTCGATACTTCCCTGCCCCGCGACGCCCCTCCATCCCATTGACTCCGCAAGTGTCGCGTCGCAAATCGCAATTGCATCATGTCTGAGGCTCCCGAAGCTGTTCCCCAGGCTGAAGGCTCTCTTGCAGACCGCATCACTCAGCCTGATGCTCCTACCGGTACGCGAGCCCACACGTCAACCTTCACGTCCACCTACCGACATCATGTCATAAAAGTTCATGCTAAGATTGAATCGTTGAACTGATCGCTCTTTTTACTGCAACAGAAGCCCCAGAGATTATCCAGGATGGTGCAGGTGGAAGTGGTTCCGGTTCTGTGCTCCAGGAACCGGACTACTCTGTCGAGGTCAAGCTGAGCGACCTGCAGGCGGATCCCAACAACCCTCTGTACTCTGTTAAGACTTTCAATGATCTTAAGCTGTGAGTCTTCCAGTGGATTCTCATCTGTATCCGTGCTAACAATGCGCTTAGGGATGAGCGTATCCTCAAGGGCCTTTCCTCCATGAACTTCCGCCAGCCTTCCAAGGTTCAGGAGCGCGCTCTTCCTCTCCTCATGGACAATCCGCCGAAGAACCTCGTCGGTCAATCCCAGTCTGGTACTGGCAAGACTGCTGCCTTCGTTCTGAACATCCTCAGCCGCCTGGACCTTTCCAACGAAAAGGCCATGACTACCCCCCAGGCTCTCATTCTCGCCCCGACCCGTGAGTTGGCCCGTCAGATTGTTGGTGTCATTCAGACCATGGGCCAGTTCCTTGACGGGTTGATCATCGGTACTGCTGTTCCTGCCGACGCCGCCTCACGTCCCAGCCAAATGGATTGCTCTGTCGTGGTCGGTACCCCGGGTACCGTGCAGGACATGATCAAAAAGCGCCGATTGAATCCCACTCAGCTGCGGGTCTTGGTGCTGGATGAGGCCGATAACATGCTGGACCAGCAGGGTATGGGTGATCAGTGCATTCGTGTCAAGGCGTAAGTTCCCGGTTTTTTCACCTCACTGTCCTTTGCTTACAAGACGTATAGCATGCTCCCCAAGACGATCCAAGTTGTCCTCTTCTCCGCTACATTCCCCGCTCACGTCTACCGTTATGCCCAGAAGTTTGCCCCGGCGGCCAATGAGATCACCCTTAAGCACGAGGAGTTGACTGTGGACGGGATCAAGCAACTTTACATGGACTGCAACAATGATGAGGAGAAATACTCCAACCTTGTGCAGCTCTATGGCTTGCTGACCGTTGGTTCATCCATCATTTTCGTTCGCGTGAGTATCATTCGATTGTTCTTATTGACTGCGCTAACAATAAACATAGACTCGCCGATCTGCCGACGAGATTGAGAAGCGCATGGTCGCCGAGGGACACACTGTGGCATCCTTGACCGGAGGAATCGAGGGATCTCAACGCGACGCTGTTATTGACTCCTTCCGCAGTGGAGAAGCCAAGGTGCTCATTACCACCAACGTGCTTGCTCGTGGAATCGACGTTTCCACTGTTTCCCTGGTTGTCAACTACGACATTCCCGAGGCCTACGATGGTAGCCGGCCTACCGGTCAGCCCGAATACCAAACTTATCTGCACCGCATCGGTCGGACCGGTCGTTTCGGCCGTATCGGTGTCGCTATCTCGTTTGTAGCCAACCGGGGTGAATGGGAGATGCTCCGCATGATTCAAGAGCACTTCGGTTGCACCATTGATCGCATCGACACCAGTGACTGGGATGAGGTTGAAGATATGATCAAGAAGACCATCAAGAACTCGCGTGCGCAGGCCAACTTCGCCAAATAGTTAACTCATGAATCTTACGAACGATCTGGGTGGATACTTGCAATGTTCAGCGGAGCTTGAAATGTGCAAGGAAAACGAGATACCAATTTACGAATTATTCTAAAATGAACAAGTCCTGTTCCAAGCTTCTATTGTAATAGCCTTAATCTTGCTGTACTCAAGCGCAGAAGGTCAATCGTTTCCTATGTTCATCTGGTCACCAAGTCCACAATCATCTGTGTCTGGTGTAACCTGGGGGGCTTGCTCCGCCAAGTCTTGCGTAACCAGCCCCTCACCGCATTTTCGTGACGCTGTTCTTCCAACATTTACTCTTATCTCGTAACAAGCCGAATATTATGCAACATAACGACCATTGACAAGCAGACATTGTTGCGGGTGTAGAGCGTTTAGCCTGAATTGGCCAATATCCGAAACTAAGTGGGGGGATGGGTCGGTCGGTGGCCCCATATCCCAGGTTAAAGAGTATCCAGTGGGCCTAGCCCGATTCCAGATGAACAGCTAGATGAACAGAAGCATGAAAAAGAAAGTGGAAAATCATCCAGAAGACACCAATAAGACTCGAAACTAACAAAGAAAACCCCAAATTAATGACGCATAGATAAGCTGATAGCAGTGCGGGGTCACATGGTCCTGTGCTGCGATTCCAAACAAACCGGCTTCTCACTCATCTCTCTCATTCACATATCTTCGACTCGAAATGGGAGATTCTGAACCAGCGTCAAATATGCCAGAGCCTACTCCCCAATTCCCGACTTCACCAAAGTCTCGGATCAGCAAACATATCATCGTAGGGACATGTCTGAAAGAGCCATACTGGACATTCGGCGGTGAAATACTGATAACCTGTATAGCTGACAACATACCCCGGTCAAAGTGGAATCGACCCTGTACCTTTGGAATGGGGCGCCTCCAACGCCAAATCCCGGGGTCCGATCGTCGTCTCCAGAAGCGGAAATCTAGTCAAACGTCGTAATGCCATCGGCGCCCATGGAGGCAGTTACAGCATTTATAACGCACTTGCCGTTGCGGCCGGTGATCTGGATGCAGACTTCAAGCCTGACTTGCGGAACAGTCAGCCTGTTTTCAATTTTCCATGGCAGGCTGCTTGGGCGGATAAGAGTAAGATTGTGTCGATGGATCCTTATGGTCATGATATCGTGAACCAATACAAGGAAGAGTTAAAGGCGGGATGGGATATCCGACCCACGATGGCTGTTACCAGAGCTAATATGAAGTTGGCGGAGATTGCTGATGCCGTGCGTGATGGTCAGCTGGAGGTGGATGGCAATATTGTTGTTGACTCTTCGGGCGAGGTGCGGGTTACGAAGGTGGCTGTTGAGCCGGTATGGTATTTGCCTGGCGTTGCTGAGAGATTTGGCGTGGATGAGGGTACGCTTCGGCGCAATTTGTTTGAGCATACGGGTGGCAGTTACCCCGAGCTTATCACGAGACCCGACCTCAAGATATTCCTACCTCCCATCGGAGGGCAGACAGTCTATATCTTCGGACCCCCGGAGCGGGTTTCCGATGAGAATGTCAGGCTTTCTCTGCGTGTTCACGATGAGTGCAATGGAAGCGATGTTTTCCAGTCGGACATATGCACATGTCGGCCCTACTTAGCCTTTGGTATTCGTGAAGCGATCCGCGAAGCACAGAATGGAGGAAGTGGTGTGGTAATCTACTTCCGTAAAGAAGGCCGAGCATTGGGTGAAGTTATCAAGTACCTGGTCTACAATGCTCGTAAACGAGGTGGAGACACTGCCGACAAGTACTTCACTCGGACAGAAAACATTGCCGGAGTGCGCGATGTAAGAGGACGCTCTTCCCCTACTGACACGAGCTAACACCCTGGTTAAGATGCGATTCCAAGCCCTCATGCCAGACATTCTTCATTGGCTTGGAATCAAGAAAATCGACCGCATGCTATCCATGTCCAATATGAAGCACGATGCTATCGTGGACACCGGCATCAAGATCCTGGAACGTGTTCCCATTCCGGAGGATATGATTCCTGATGACTCTCGAGTGGAGATTGACGCCAAGATCAACGCGGGCTACTTCACCACCGGCAAGCAATTCACAATGGATGAGCTGGCACAAGTTAAAGGGCGTGGCTGGGAGAAGTGGGAGGATGTCACTGTGAGTGAACTATAACAGTTGTCTCGAGCATTGGACTAACCTTTTCAGCATTGAAATGGGCATTTTGCACATTTGGACAGAAACCATTTCGGTGATCTTCTAAGGTTTGAATGGTACAAGTCTGGACATGATTAATGAACTTTATAAAAAAACAATACTCATTGTGATTCAGTAGTGTGACCCAGTAGATTGATTGTTTGTATACCTGGAACAATTTTGGAACATCTTCAATGAATTCTGTAACTCGTGCACATGTGCAGCAGTTGTTTTATTCTGTAATTTGACACAGGCTTCATAGACATACATCAGACTACCTACTATGTACCGGATTTCCTTTAAGAATTCGTAGCTTACTTTTCTGGATTAGTGCTCACCATGGGGAATTGGGAAAGCGGAGAATCGGGGAAGCGGGGACGGCCGCATTGTCTAGATCGTGGGTCCTCAAAAACCAGCGGTCTCATAGTCTTCTCCAAAGTCTCAGAGCTGGCACTTGGCTCGAATTCGAGTCCTGAAAACCAGTAGATGGACTCGGCAAGAAGTAGAGGCAGTACGAACCGCAGCAGGCGTGGCACTACTCGGAAGAAGAGAGGTATGGAGTTATTGATGACGAAGTCACTGACCGACTGACTGACCGACGAACTTAGGATGGTAAGTGATGCGCCTTTGATGGTGAAGAAGGCTGCAGAAAGACACTCACCCATGGCAGTGTGACCTGCAAATCCAGGCACACGCGGTGCGATGAGAAAACCCCGGTATGCAACAATTCCGAGCGTCTCGGTCTTCAATGCTGCCCATCCGAGCTCATCACCCAGTCGACGTGGAGTAGCGTTCTTTCTACGGATCCACCTCCCGAGGAGGAACGCGAAACTGACTCGACGTTTACCTTCTCCAAGTCCCTGCCGTCATTCAGCCCCAAGGCCAAACGGGTGTCATCTAAAGGGAGCGCCAGTGAGCTTTCCAGCTCCTTGACGCCTTCCAATCAAGGAAATGTGGCATCTCAATCATCTTGCTCACTATCACGCCCGCCTTCATCCGGAATAACGGTGGAATTGAACGACGAAGTGGTCACCTTGCTCAACACCTTCCGTGCCGGCTTGGCGACATGGATGGACGTATTCGACTTTGACAAAACATACGAAAGAGAGGTTTCTAGACGTGCTTTGCACTCAGATTTCCTGCTCCGCTGCATCTGCGCCTTTACTGCGCGGAATCTTTCCCTGCTAGTCTCGGGCGAGGTTTGGTCCCCGATCGCCTCCCGGTATTATGGCGAAGTACACTACTGTCCCCACTTCTTGGTCCCTCCCTAGCACATCTGATCTGATTGACATAACTAGGCACTGAATCATATGATCGTGGCGCTAAGCTGCGGAGAGCCAGACAGCGATACACTCACTGCGGCTATCTTATTAAGTAGTTATGAGGCTCTGGCGGCATCCAGGACCTCCCATCAATCCCACTACAAAGGCGCCATGAATTTAATCATCACCCGGGGGATCTCTGCGAGCTCCATTGGATTGGACAAGGCCAACTTCTTCATTTACATGCGCCATGAAATCACGATAGCTTTGAGCAACCAGGAGCCCCTTCAATTTGACCCGAAGAGATAGAATATCACGAGACCAGGAGCAAGCGCAATGGAAGATCACCTCGCAAACTATTTAATGATGTTGATTGGCCATATTGTAAACCTTATGTATAAAGGAAATGAGTCGCCGTCTGACCGAACAAGGTTGAAAGATCAGGTGGACGAGTGGTATGTTACCACCACAGAAGAATTCCGTGGTATAGCGTATGGCGAGGTATCCGAGAGTGGATTTCAGAAATTTTTCTTCCCAGTTCCTGCCTCAGGTGAGCTACGGGGTGCTTGTCTCCAATGGGTCTGAAAGCTGATCACGGAATAGCTGCTGCAATTATATCGTTTCATGCGGCCCAGATTCTGCTTTCTGCAGAAGAGGACACATTCAGCCCGCCGGCTAGTTTTTCGGTAAGGCGCATTGCCAGCTTCTCTCCATGGCCGAACTAAACCGAAGCGTAGAATATCAAGGTCCAGGAGCATGCTAAATCTATCATCAATATTGCCTCTTCGGAGCTACCTGCCAGCGCTCGTTGCTTTGCCATTACACCAATATATATTGGTAAGCCTATCCATGACCAAGAATGACTGCTAAGGATGCGCAATAGCTAACAGCCCCAAGCGGGTAAACATATTCGCGGTATTTCCAATAGGATGCGCTGCTATACACTATTGAGCGCCATAGAGAGGGAAATTGGATATTGTACCCAAGACAAAATACGATCTTTGGAACAAATGATGCATTGGAACAGATTTAGTAATACAGAACGGCTGCTAGGGAATGAAGAAAGATGCGATCTAGATGAGAACACGGGTCTGGAGTCTTGAGTATAGACAAGACTGCATAGAGGATAGCGTCTGAGAAGGGGCAAGCGAATGTCAACATCTCGAAGATCTTGGTTGAAAAGACGAATGTTGCGCGACTTCGATGTAAATGGGTAAAATGTATTTACTCAGTGAAAGCTCTGCTACATTCGTCTTACCCTCGGAGACTGGCATCAATTTTATGTTTCGGAGTTTTGAACGCCCTATGAATTACCTCGTTTGTTGTAAAGCTGCCCTACAGAGCTCTGAATAGCCGTCGTAAATTTGGTCTTTTTGAGAATTTTTATCCCCGTGAGGCATCCGCCGTATCAAGTTAATCTAGCGGCTGCCAATCATGGTCTATTATATTGGACTGTGACGTCATCGCAACGGTGAGGGCAGTTGGCTGGTAGCAAGGTGGGTGGTAAGAGAACGATGAGGTTAGAGTAGGACACAATTATGAAGATGGCTGGCGGGGCCCAGTCATGCAAAAAAAAAATTTTGATCCAGACTGCCTCCGAGTACGCGAGTCCAGTATGCATGACCAGCTGTTCCAGATGTCCCAAAGCAGAGTAGGATACGCGTGTCCGAAAGGGGCAAAACACACGCGTTAGTTCAACGCTAGCGGGATACCAACTCCGATAAACGGCTCGAGACACGCGTGTATTATACCCAGCGCGGTCCATCCTGGCAACGTTTGTCTGCTCCGTCTGGGATGAACATAGAACAAGATCGATTATCCCAGTATGGTTGTATGGTTGTCTAGTGGTAGGATGGGATGTAATACAACCAATTCTGTTAGCCACAGTACGTCATTTAGCTTGGCGAGCATGTAAATTGGAGATAAAATGTATGATTTGTAAATATCAGATATAGTACTTTACCTAGTACCGTAGTTCATAGTCAAATTCTCGGTGTCTGAAGGTGGAGACGGTCCCCGGAACTCTGATCGGCCCTAGACAAGGATACAGATCCCCTTTTCTATGGATTGACTCATCATGAGCGAAAGAGAAAGAATAAATTGCAGTGCTGCAAACGCTGCCTATCATACCCAGCGACAGTCTGTACATCATCCACTGCCTGCCCGCCTCTCTTCTTCCTCTCGCGCCTTGGGTAACTTCTTTCCCACTCTAGGCACTGCTCGCATCAAATTACCGACACAGGTTCCTACAAAAGTGATTTTAATCCACACAAGGTATCAACACAAGAGCGGAGCAATATTCTTTGACGATTAAAGACTAACAATTGCCGCATTTACCAGTATCCATAGAAAGCGCATAAAGTCCAAGTTTCTCCACGGGAAACAGTCTCTTCATTTCAAAAAAAGACGCAGCAATCTAACAAAACGATGCAACTAAGCGCTGGATTGCCATCATGGTCTTGTTTCCGGCCTGCAAAATACACCGTTGCTGGTGGACTCTGTTCATTTGGCGGCTTCTTACTGGGGTCTGTTGGTCTAGCAATATCATGAATACAAGTCCAATAGAATACTAACAATCATTCATCATGACAGAATGGACACAAGTGTTATAGGACCGGTCACCGTCATGGAGAGTTTCATTGAGCAATTTGGGAAGCACTCCGCTGCCGTCCATGGTATCTTGGTGTCTTGTATTCTTCTTTGCGCCGCTCTGGGCTCCTTGTTTGCTGGCAGACTCGCAGACCGACTGGGCCGCCCTAAAGCAATGGCATTCGGGGCAGCAGTCTTTACCGTGGGTATCATCTTGGAGGCAGCTGCAGTGAAGCTCTTGATGTTTGCCGTAGGACGCGTCATTGAGGGCCTTGGCTATGGCCTCTACTTCAGCACTCAGACCGTCTATATCTGCGAAATCTCACCACCAAAAGCACGAGGGCCCCTCACTTTGGGACCGCAGTTCATGACATGCATGGCACTGGTAGTGGGGTATTTTATCAGCTATGGTACGGTGAACATACCAGGCTCGCTTTCATGGCGGCTTCCCTTCATTATTATTGTCGTGATGGCCATCTTGTACCTGTTCATCAATCTATTTGTCCTACCGGAGTCTCCGCGATAGCTGATTCGACGTCGAGATTATCGCGCGGCTGAGAAGGTGTGGAATGCACTTGAAGTCAACAAGAAGACCGGGAGGTCGACGACCCCACAACGATCCTATCGCAATCAAATCCAGCAAGAGAAGAAATGGGACAAGAGGCCAATTTTCAGAGCCTGTGGACTCCGGACGTGCGGAAGCAGACATTTCTGGCAGTGTTTCTCTTGGGATTCCTCCAGCTCTGCGGTATCGACGCTTTCCTCTATGTATGGCCCTTTCAGCAATCCCACTACCCCCCCCCCCCGGTGAACTGTCTGACTTTTGTTATCTAGTACGCGCCTCTAATTTTCCAGCAGGCCGGCCTGGAATCTCAAGAAGCCTCATTCTTGGTCAGTATATGGTCTTTTCAAGCGGCCTGATAAAGCTGATCTCAATTCTGGTATAGGCGTCCGGTGTCTCTGCCATCGCTATTGTCGCGACAAACATTCCTGCAACACTGCTAGCCGACAAATGGGGTCGTCGCACCAGCACGGTGCTGGTCGTTGGGTGGTCATCGTGTCTATCTATCTCTACTGCATTGTGCAGGCCACGACCTAGGGTATCAGTATCAAGGTGTGGGCGCCAAAGATCCAGCCCCAGCACACACGCGCCCAGGCGATCAGTCTCGGATACGGTTAGTCTTAAACCAAGGGTGCTGCTTCAACTTTACTAATTTCTTCAGGCGCCAATTGGGTTTGCAATTTTTTCGTCGCCTTTGTATGCCCAATTCTCCTTGACAAGAGCGTACCAAGTGCCTATTTACTTTTCGGCGGCTGCACTGCGGCCGCGACCATTGTAAGTTTTTTCTACATGGTCGAAACGAAAGGGAAGACCTTGGCCGAGATCGAGCGAGCATTCAAGACGCGGATTCCGGTCGCGAGTGCGGCTATCCCAATGGCGAGAATGGTACATGCAGACCATGAGGTCAAGGCAGTATGAATGGTTCAGCGAGGTCCCTTCTTCCCCTTGCAGTATTTCCTGACAAGGAACGAGGGGAAAGGAGGCATTCGATTCAAGTGATGCAATATCCGTATGAAATTCTCTTTTAATGCCAATATCTGCGACTCAATATCAAGTCTGCAACTGGTCTACTTTTATCTTCTCAATATACTCGTATAGTGCACCGTAGCTGAAGGAGTAGGAGGTGGAGTAGGTGCTGGAGTATATAACTTGAGGCTACCTGGATAGGCCACAAGGAACATGATTTAGTTAGTTGACTCGAAGCCATGGTTAAGTTCCTATTCGGGCTAGACAGGGTTTAAAAGAGCGAATTGGGGGGTACGTGGAGCAAATTCGCGAATCTGCGCGCTTCCGACAAGTTTGAATAAAACCCTGATCAGGCTCTTTGCCTTTCGCTAGGCTAGGTTTGTATGTATTCATCCCGGTCCACTTTCTATCCACTGACCGAATCCCCATATCGTGGAGTGTATCGCTGGTAGTCCTAGTAACCTTCGCTTGTGATTTCACGAAATTCCGTTGATCTGATCACGATATCTCCCTCACCAGGTTCTGGTTGCCGATCATACAGAGTAATGAATGGATGAATGGTAAAATAATGGGGGCGCCCACAATACCGTTGGGAAAAATCTCAATTTCTTGGGTAGAGTATGGCTGCTCTGTCACTGATGGCTGGTCTAGCATAGGAGGAATGTTAGGATTTGCTTCCGCGTAGACTCCTCATATATTTCCGGGTAAGGCGCTGAGTAGTTGGAGGGGCTAATTGCCATTTCTCAAAGGTGATCTGTGTTGGCTTGATGCTGATTATTGCCCCCCTCGAATTGCCTAAGAAGTTGGTATATAACCTAGATGCATGATTATAACGATCACTATGTACTTGGTGGTGTTATGAGGACAGACTCTAGCGACAGACTATATGTAAATTTGTTATCTTTTAGTTGACTCCTTCTTTTCCCTATGAACTATTCATTTGCTGTATCATTTCCTCCTTGTTAAGTATTAAAAAAATTTAAAAATAGTAGTTTGGGCGACCCGGGGATATATGGCGCGGAACTGGACGTAGTGAAATATGACTTGAACAGATTAATGTGCATTTCTATAGAAGATGATCGTCAAACCGGATGGATGACGAAGCGGGATATATGTCTCATCTTAAGGCTGACACCCCACCAGATAAGCACGCCCATCTGTTGTCCCATTCCGCAAATGCAGAGAACTAATGTGAGATAGCAATTTTTCGTTTCTGGTAAATGACTGAAGAGACTTGGCATCATCGATTTCGTGTTCAAGGCTTAAAGTGGAAGAAATCGTTCGGCTGCATTTAATGCTTGTCTGAATATCTAGCAGGAGAAATGCAAGCGTGTATATAGGCTGATGAGGAGCAACTGTATGTTTGTGCACGATGATTTATTGGATGACAGGTTTGATCTCCATCGATCCGCTTCTGCCTTGGTCAACCTCATCCTAACCATGGATTAGATTTATGCAGGGTCACCAATGTTCAAGGGGCCGCCTTGATTAGCTCGGCGACTTTTTCAATATCCCTACACTGCGGCACCCTGCCCGTTACAGATTGACATGATCAGGACATGACCACACAGACCTACAAAATCTCACGTAAGAGGGGCTTTTTCGGTGATTTTCAACCAACCACGTCGCGTCGGTCCGATCACTAAATGAGAGGCTAAGGCCAACATTATTGCTGGGCCGGCCGTCATAAGAAGTAACAAAATCTGCTTCATAAAACTGAAAAGATCGATATATATTAAGAAACAATATCATTTGAGACCCTTGGCTTCACTCACTCGGCAACTAGCTTGTGACCAATTCCATCATTCAAACAATGGCTTCCATAGCGTTCCCGTCCCTTGCTAAGAAGGCGACCCTATCTGACGGCACGTCATATGGATATGTCGCTTACCCCTCGTCCAAAGCTGATGGGATCACATTTTTGCTCCTTCATGGATATCCCAGTTCTTGCTATGACTGGCGGCATCAAATCAAGTCATTGTCAGCCGCAGGGTATGGGGTTATTGCTCCGGACTTGCTCGGCTATGGAGACACAGATAAGCCGGCCGATCCAGCCTCATATCGCTTGAAGTCTATGTCGCTCCATATGGCCGAAATACTAGGTATCGAAAAAGTCCAACGTTGTGTTGCCGTGGGTCATGATTGGTTAGTTTATGCATGTCTGAGACGTACCTAGTGCCTTTCCTTCTCACACAAAGATTTGATATAGGGGCTGTGGATTGCTTTCCCGTCTGGTCACGTATATCCCTGATCGCTTGATGGGCATTGTACTGATCTCAGTCGGGTACAATCGGCCTGGTCCGAGGGACTTCGGTATGGTATCTAAGCTTCCACTATCCGCAACTCTTCTAACTTACCTTGCCTCGATGCAGATGCAATCAACGCATATACTAAGAGCCGTTTCGGTTATTCAACTTATGGATTCTGGCCGTGGCACAACACTGAGGACGCTGTTAAGGATTGTGACGAACATGTGAGTCTCGCGTCATTAATTGACTCAAAGCCAGTGCTCCTGCTAACGCTTGTAGCAGCCAGCTTCGGCGTTTACACTCATCTATGCAGCCAATCCAGAGGACTCGAAAGTCAATCTGTGTCCTATAGGTGCTGCAGCTGAGTACGTCAAGGCTAATAGGATTGATCCGCTGCCGTCATGGTATACTCTAGAGGAGTACACGCTCAGAGACCGAATCCTAGTCCAGGGACATCGCGGCCCCTTGAACTGGTACAAAGCCGCAATGCGCGGTGTTAACGACCTTGATGAAGCCGAAATCCCAGACGCGGACAGGGATTGTCATCTGCCCACACTCCTTGTCGTAAGTGAAAAGGACTATATTACGAGGGCAGACATGAACATTGCTGCTACCAAGGAACATACGCCCGATCTGCGGGTGAAAAACTTTGCAGACTGCGGACATTGGATTCAGCTGCAACGACCGGACGAGGTGCATCAACTTCTTGAAGAGTTTGTTCTGGAGCTGGTTGATAGAAAAGACTCGTGACAGAAGGCAAAGGAGCATGGGATCACGGGAATTTCATATGTATGGCTCATTACAAACAGAGAAGTATCTGTTTAGTGGTTTCTTAATATGGAAATGTACCTGGAAATTTAATTTGTGCGAACATCTTTCATGCCCAGCTTCTATTATAGGCCACACGGTAGGTAATGGCACGTTGGCCCGAGCCTGTTGTCCTCCATATAGCCGGCAGACTTGAGAGAGCATCACGGAGCATTCTCGGAGCAAGTCACCGAAACCATCAATGACCTTTGGAGTTGGCATTCCTCCTGAAATTGACGCTGAAACCCCATTCGATACCTACAGGCCCGAAGTCTATCGATTCCGTCCCAATAGTATGCATCTAACATCGTCGGTGGAGGCTTGGGCTGGGGCTCTTTATCCTCATCAGCGGCGTCCTTCTCTTGCACACCCTCAAACTTCGCCGACTAGGTCAAGCGGTCCGGCATATCGGCAACAACGAGACTCATGGCACAGTAAACCAATCAAAGACACGCGAGCATGAGCGCGGTGATGATCATATGGGGACAATGGCGGAACATTTGATGGATACTAGAAGATCCATGGATAAGGCGGTGGAAAATTTCCCGGTCAGTTACCGCTGTCCAATGTACTCCGTACACCAATCCAGTGGCGGGCACTAGTATAGGTCAATGACGCAGTTTGCCAGGAAACAAAGTCTCAGACTCTGATTGTTAGGCCGTTCGGCCTAAATATAAGACCCGCCGACACCGGAAGTTTGACCCACTGGTCTCCCTGAAGGTCTGGTTACAGGCTCTCATTTGTGGCTACCGCCGTCACGCAAACTCCGCGGGTGGCCGATGTGGTCAGAGTGGAGACGCTAAACGATCAGATAAGATCAGACCGCGAATTCATTCTCTGCAATGCGCCACCAAGTGGAGTAGCAAGGCTGCTGACCCAGAATATGAGCGAAATTTGAAAGAAATCTCTGCTCGTTTCAATATTGGTAAAAACGCAAAATTGAAACCACAAGATATGAATTTCGTGGGAAGTTGCAAATCATTTCACTGAGATGAAATGCAGAATCACATGGGAAAAGCTGAGTCATTAGGCGGTGGGATAATTGTGGGATGATTCAGGGACCACCAATAGCATGAATAATACAATACGAATCTTGTACAGTGTATTACAGGGAGGCTACCAGCATTTATGGCAAAATCGTCTTACCATACTGTATGGTTACCATTGCCGGGGAGCCGGAAGTGCGGGTAGCCGCGATCATACGACTAAAAATGTCTAAACTCATGCCTCCTTTATGCAACAAACAGAATGCTATTCGTGTTGTCGTCCCTGCAACAAAATTAAATAATACTTTCAAGTCCGATCTCGCGTAGCGCGACCTACACCTGCACCCTGGTCCACTGTCCACACTATTTGGCGATGATCGTCTTTGCAGGGGAAGACCAATCAACTTGAGAACCCACCCCCCCATTCTTAGTAGGGCCCGCCGACGCTACTGACTGGAGTGGGTATCTGCCTAGCTGCACCCAAATGCCCTCATGACTCTGACATCTTCCCCTCTCCCAGTTTCCCCCATCTCTCCCTGCATACTGCTCGACCTCACTAGTCACCATACGAATTGACTTGAATCCGAGTCCCCGAGTCCAGTAAGTGCATTCAATATGGCCGCCGATAGCCGGGGCTAGTGCTACCTCACAGGGGTTGATCATCTAATCCCTAAGCTCCTCACCATTATGTTCAAGACTAAGACATGATGCAGTGCCAGACGCCTTGTTCTAAGTGCTTACACGTCTTGAAGTTTCAATTGAGAGACGAGGATCCTATCACGGATTCTCAGGCACAATGTCTGCCCCCGGTATGGAGAATGACTTTCAACTGTTCTCTTCTCATCAACAGTCTGGGGGAGATTCTCGTTTCCAGCAGCAACCCGAAAGCCACAACCAAGACTGGACTCAATGGATGCGGTGGGACGAACCGATGTTCACGGAGGGTGACCAGAAGAATATCGACTGCCCACTGGACCTCCCATTCGTATCCCCACAAACTACCCTGAGCTCCTCGCCCAATCAGCTCCAACACACAGAATTCTCTCCTCAACTTCCTCTGGGTTTGATGGAAATCCCATCTGGTCACGATCATCAGAGAGGCTCGATAGTGTCCAACTACCAGAGCCAGATCGGGTTGGTCTCTCCCATCTCGAGTGTCGGGGTAAGCCGAAAGCGAAAGACAGGCAGCGACGATGACGCTACCACCGTTACTGGTCCTGTTCCGGGGAAGAAGATGCCAGCAAAGAAGCGGGCTCATAACGTCATTGAAAAACGGTATCGAGCCAACCTGAATGAGAAAATCGCCGAACTACGCGATAGTGTGCCAAGTTTACGAACGAAGAATGTCAACGGTGACTCCAACGAGGATGAGGATGATGCAGAGGGTGCTCAAACTGCGAGCAAGTTAAATAAGGCTTCCATTTTGTCAAAGGCAACCGAGTACATCAAGCACCTGGAAATCCGGAACAAAAGACTAGAGGACGAAAACACAGCTCTCAAGAACCGCCTACGTCAGGTTGACAAAGCGGCCGACCAAGCTGTTACCTCCTCCGCCTCCGTGTCATCACCTAGCAACTATGCTGGCTCCAGCGATTCCAACGCGGGTAATTCGCCAAGCGTGTTCTCCCAGCCTGAGGACATCGATGGCAGCTCCCCTACCGCTTCTTCGTCCTCTTCACACCCCCCAGAGGGCCTCATCAAGGTGCCCGATGCATTCAAGCGGTTGCGCGAAGAGGGTAAACAGGGAATATTTGCAGAGTCATATATGAAGTCCTCCCCTCGGGCCGGCCCTGATTATGGCCGCGAACATGGGTCCCGGCGCCGTTCCAAGCTGCCCAACAAGTATATGTTGGGTGCTCTAGCTGGACTAATGGTGCTTGAGGGCTTTGGTTCAGATGAGTCTGAGACTGAGGAGAAGGGTCTGCTTGCTCTTCCTTTCAACTTACTCCGTCGGTTGCGCTCTCCCAGTCTTTCTCACTGGGAGTATTACCTCCAAAGCTTCTGGCACTCCTCGCATGCACGTGCCATTTCCCATTTCCTTCTTCTCGCTGTGCTTGTTGTCGGAAGCGCGTTCATTGTATTCGTTTACCTATTCAACGCTCGGCCATCCACACGGCGTGCGCCAAAGGTTGTCAGTGAAGGCCAAAATGGCGCACCCACATCCAGCGACTTCCGACGACAGGCTTGGCTTACCAGCATGCAACGAGTCGGCGTACCACGTCATCGCTTTTTCCGTGAATGGTATGTTGTCACGTCGCGCTGCTTTGAATATGTTCTTCGGTGCTTGATGGGCTGGAAATTCTACTCTTGGGTTACAGGAATCACCGAAGAGGATGAAAGGGGCCGGGTGAAGACTTGGGATATTGCCATTGACGCCCAGCTTACTGGAGGTGATGCCGAAATCACTAAGAGTCGACTTGTCCTCACAATATTTGCGGCGGGCACACTTCCTAGCAGTCCTTTGAGGATGATGCTGAAGGCCTTACATGTGCGCATTCTCATGTGGAGAGTAGGACAGCCTGGCTCCTGGTCTTTCCATGTCTCCAATGACATTGCCCGTGCTCTTGCGAATTACCAGTGGGGTGTCGCAAGAGAAATCAACAACTCACTCCCAGAGGGCCATCCCGATCAGCTTCCAAGCCACCTCGCCAGGCTTCTCAGCCTGGACTGTGAGGAAGTCATGATCGATTCCATCACTCAACGCGCTGTGAACCTCACTTGGAACCGACCAACGCAGGAAGGTACCGGAGATGACGAAGTGCTACTTGATGTTGTTGAGGAAGACCCTGCCATCCAATGCTCTGTTGACGCTCTTGCAGCCTGGTGGTCTAGCCATCTTCTTCAGTCCGCCTTGCTGAAATACATGGAAGCCAGTGAAGGGGGGCCCGTCTCGAAAGCGAGCCGTGATTCTTTTAAAGAGAAGATACGCATGGCGCTTGAGGTTGCCCCCCGACTTTCAGCTGCATACACCCGTGCCCTTGTGATGAAGGCCGTGTTCTTCGAGCATGACCGTATCAAGAATGTGGGTGCTGTTCTTGCCACTCTTCCCAAGGACAAGCGCAAGGACGAATGGAGCCAATCTGCGAACTTCCTCGACTCCTCTCTCCCTATTTCAGTTCGGGACGAGATCTCCGTTGCTGTGCGCTGTGCCATGATCGCTGCCATAATCACTGCACGATCTACCGGTGACACTTCCCTCCCGGACTCGTTCACCATTCAAAAGGCAATCAACATGTTCAATCAGTTACCGATTGACCCTGTCGAGCTAAGCTTGCTAGGATTCTCCGCGGTTTACCACTTGCTGCATCTTCTGGCATCCGACGTGGACTACATCGTCTCTTCCGACTCATCTGCGCCTTCTGCACCCGTTTCCGAGGCAGGATCCTCGGCCGACGACGAAGCAGATGAGAAGCCCCGGATGTCTCGCAAACTCGCCGTCTGCCCACGGGACATTCCAAACGTGGGTCGTGTAGCAGCCCAACTTATCTACTGGTCCCGCAACGCGTACAACCCCGCCTTCTACGGCTTCTCATCAAGTCTGGTAGATGTTATCGTGAATTCCTGCACGACTGTCTGCCAGAATGCCGGTGTGAAAGTCGAAGACTATCTACCTACACCATCCGCGCCCATCCCTTCTCGAAAGCGAAAGTTCCGCCGTCGCCGCGGGGGCTCTGATCAGCCTTTACAGAGTGAGGCTGAACAAGATTCGATCAACACTCGCATGGGAAAGCCCCTGCGCCGCGAACGGTCGGCTAGCAATGATACAGGGTATGGAAGTCTTAGCCTCGAAGAGGATCAATGTATTCCTAGGGTTCCTGAACAGGTTCAGGAAGTCTCAGCTTGAAGTCTATACTCTAGCATGACTATGTTATCATGGGATAGCAAGTAATAACGATGGCGTTTGGATTTATGTTTATAGCAGCATTAGTCACTATCGGCGGCCGGTCAGGAAAAACGATTCGAACAGGAATGGACCTGGCGCATCGTGGCGTTTTCTTCTCTTGTAGAATAGGCATGATCACACTTTGGAATGTTCCCCTTAGTCTCTTTTCATCCTCTTACATTTGAACTTATTTTAAGCCAGCGAATCATGAAAAATCGGAAGAACAGCCACATCGAAGACGAACTGCAAATGGAAGCATTCCTACAGTGCTCTACGCCCTTACATGATCACCTGACTAGAAGCCATCCGCATTCTATGGCCATAGTGGCCAGGCCCAGAATCTAGATGTGGCCAGGTCTTCTGTCAGCCTATCTTGTCGACTATACCGCTGTACTTCCACGTTGGGCTTCTCCACATTACTCACCAGTTGCTGAGGCAGTTCCCAGGCCTTCGATAATGGAGGCCTGAGAAATAAGGAAACCTTATTAGCCAAGCCAATCCTTGGTTACTACCGGCAATCTAAGGGCAAAGCAGGTACCTTTGAACCAAGGCAATGTCTGCAGATGCAGTGACGACACAAAAGTGGGTGCGCGACAAATTTTCAAAGGACCTAGCGCGGTCATATGGTCTGTTTGAACCAATAAGAGACCTTGGCATTACAGAGCATGGTCAACGCAGTCTAGATCTTAGGCGCTTCGTTTCTCGACACTGTCATCCAGAGCAATTAATGTGTAGTTGGTGTCATAGCTGCAGGATACGATTCCCGAGGCCAACGTTGTATACTGCAAAGACCGGTTTTTCTCATGTGGAAGGCATTGATCGAGCGATTACGTAGCAGAGTACCTGTCAGCAAGCATACATCATCTACTACCCTGTCTCCGCAATGATCGAACTGAACTGTCCCATTGTTATAGCCTAGCGTTGCAGTTGCGTCCCAAATCATTGGGTTCCACGCTTTTAGCCCGAGGCCGTCCGATTCCACGATCTGACTTGGAATTCACTGTCGTCAGAGTTGATTTAACTAAATATGAATCCTATTAGATCCCTGAATTTCAAAATCATTGAGTCAAGGCACATGTATTTTGCTATAATCTGGGAAAACTCATATATTTTAGGGTCGCAGGCGGGAGCCGCTTGGGCCTCAACATTCCGTTCCGTTTTCAGGGCTTCACGTCTCCAACGTCAATCCGCGTCTAGATTGGCTTCTTATTTCCTATCCCTTGATGAATTTGGATAACACTCATTTGTCTAGATCCCGCAAATGTCAACGAATTTCATAAACGGCCTAATTGTGCAAAGGTTTGTGCTTCTCGCGGGTAACTAAGATCTAGACTTTTAAACTTTGCCCTAGTCTATCCCCCGGGTGCATGAACCATGAATCTGGATCCCCGTTCCCCACCCGAATTCACACCCGATTCGTCTGGTTACACTCACGCTTTCGTGTGGAAACATGACGATGTTTTCAATCTGCTGGAAGCTATACTATGTCCCCAGGGGTCGATGACGGCATCCATAGTTGATGCTGGATACCACACAATGATATTAGATTGACTTTGTATCCGTCCACGCGATCTGCTTTTGACTTTATTTCTCCAAGGTCCGCTCTCCTCTTCTTTACCTTCTTTGCAGGTCTGAAGTTGTTGGAGATCGCTGTCGGCGGTTGACGAATACGTACCCGACCAAACATTTGGAATCCGGCTCTCTTGTATGGCAACATGGGTGTTCAACTCGCAGGAAATGGCCCTGGAGAGCCGCCCATGAACCCTAAGATTGCGGTTCCTCTATTCGTCGTTGGAGGACTCATCACCTTGTTGTTTGTATATCGAACCGTCATCCGGGTGAGCAATCGTCGACGTGAAAAGCTAGCCTTGCAAGGTGATGATCAGACTCAACTCTCCATGACACACGGTGCCATTGCGGGGATCAAGAAGCATCTGCTCTATGCGCCGCTGTGGGGTTCTCGCCATAGTCGAGAGTTTCGATTTCTTCGACTTCACATGGGATCGATGCCGTTGCGATTGGAGGTCATTCTCTTGGCGGTTTATCTCTCTCTCAATATCATCTTTGTCTTTGTGTCGGTTGATTGGTGGGAAGGGTACTCCAAGAAAATGTTCCAGTTGAAGTATGCGGCGGGGCATCTGGCTGTGATGAACACGCCTGGATTGGTTCTCAGTGCTGGACGGAATAACCCGTTGGTGATGATGTTGGGTATTTCGTTTGATACGTTCAACTTCATGCATCGATGGGTTGGGCGGGTTATCGCGGCGAATGCTGTTATTCACATGAGTGCTGTTCTGGCAAATCAAGCCTATATAAGTATGTGCGCCCATCCGCTTCCAAACGCAAAGCTAACAGTGTTAGATGGCGTGGATTACATTCTATACACAATTTGGCAAATGCCGTTCTACATTTATGGCCTTGTGGTAGGACAAAACCGACCAATCTGGATTGTACATGCCCTGACCTTCTCTTCTACAGGCAGTCCTCGGCTTTGTTTTCATCTTCCTTCAATCACTATCGCCGCTCCGTCACTCCTTCTACGAGCTGTTCCTCCACCTGCACATCGCTCTGGCCATCATATCATTCGTTGCTCTGTGGTATCATCTCAAGAATCTACTACAACAACGGGTACTACTTGGAACCTTAATCTTATGGGGACTAGACCGAGCCAGTCGAGTCCTCATTCTCCTTTGGAGAAACTGTTCCAAGCGTCCTACAACCGCCACAGTCGAAGCTCTATCAGGCTCAGTCGCAAAGGTCGAGGTGGAAGTCGCTCGCTCTTGGAAATTCCGTCCTGGTCAATACATGTATCTCTACATGCCATGTTTGGGTCTGTGGACCTCACACCCATTTACCGTTGCGTGGGCATCGACCGGCGAATCAACCTTAAGCCACAATGAAAAGCGCAGTTCAAGTGATTCGTTCGCTTCGCTGCTTGGTGGTTCAGAGACGACTACCATGTCCGTCCTCATTAAGGGACAGGATGGGTTTACCAAGAAGCTTCTCCAGAAGGTGGAAGACTCGCCCGATGGAAGAATCAAAGCATTGGCATTGGCAGAAGGGCCATTCGGTATGTATTGCGGACATCTTTCCTAGTATCTCACTAACTCTACTAGGTGGTCTTCACTCATTGAAATCCTACGGAACCCTCCTTTTAATCGCGGGCGGTATCGGAATCACACATCCCATGTCATATCTGCATGAGGTAGTCACCAACTTCACTTCCCGGACATCGGCAACCCGGAAGGTTCACCTAGTCTGGATGATCCGAAGTCTAGGTTAGAGATCCCATGCAGCCAATGCCGGCCTCGCTAATGAATTCCAGATCACTTGACCTGGATCCATACATGGATGCTAGACGTCCTAAGCCACGATGCGCTGAAATCCTCAATTGATCCAAAAGGTGGCTCGTACTTCCAATTCCAGGGTTTAATGCTCTCCATCCGCATCCATGTCACAGGCGACAAGGAGGATGCCGAAGCGTATACACCTACATTGGAAACCCCGTGGACAGAGGCTGCTCCGGCCAATGTACCAATTAGTGTAGAGTATGGCAAGCCGTGCTTCACAACATTGCTGGAAAATGAAAAGGCGGAGCAGGTTGGTGCGTTGGCGGTTAGTGTTTGCGGCCCTGGTGGTCTTGGTGATAGTGTGCGTGAAGCTGTTCGTCATGTACAAGGGGAGAAGACGGTTGATCTTTTTGAAGAGTCTTTCTCGTGGTGATGAATTTTTGGCGTTTTGGTACATATAATGTTTTAGACGAATTACAACATCCACTTTGATCAACATTTCCAGTAGTTATCACGAACAAGATTGAAGCTTTGTACCGCTATACGAATTCCATGTCGATATGCAATGCACGCTATATAACTCTAATATCTATGACAACTCATGTAAGTGTCAAACCAAACCTGCCCTATCATTCATTAATCTCCTCCATCGCCCACTCGAACAACTCCACAATAGCATTCGTAACAACCGTCCGCCGCGGAATCTCGTGCCCACCACCATGATCATAGCATCGACGCGTCGCCGGATCACAAACTCCCGACAAATGCAAACCCGCTGTGTACCTCGGATCCTTCGACCCATAAACATGAACAGTCGGAATAGAGATCTGCACCGGTCCCTTAACCTCATCCCTAAGCGCGTCCTCCGATAGCCCTCCACGAGAATTATCCCCCTTCCACCTATCCGTCCCCATTCTCAAAATAGCCTCCGTACTCGCCGAGCTATTCAGCGCATTCCGCGACTTCAAATCCCGCTCATGCATACCAGGGGTAATATTAAATCCCAATTCCTGTAGTACCTGCAACGAGACACCTCCGCAATGGAAGATTGCTACCTTGAACGGTGCGGGGAGATGGGGCGTTTCCTCCTCGTGGAAAAGGAGGTATGTTGAGGCGAGGATGGTTCCCTGCGAAAACCCCATCACGGCATCGTAGGGTCCGTGCTTGTTGATGTATTCCGTGAGCCAGGAGCAGGCCGATCGGATGTCTTCCACGGAACCCTGTTCCCAGAATGCGTAGTAGGGCGCTGGGTAGAAGAGGTCTATACCAGCTGCGGGGCCGGATTTTGCTGGGCCATCTATGAAGTCGAATTGGATGTCTTTTTGGGCGAGTTGGGCGCGGAAAGATGCTGTGGGGGCGGGGTTAGTGGAGATCCTTGGTTTGGAACTTGGGTTTGGGTTCAATGGTACAGGTTTGTGATTTGAAAATGGCGCCGCTGGTGCCTTTTCCGTGGAGACAGAGAACCTTCATTTTGGTTGGGTTTAGGAGAGCCGGTCTTGAGGAAAGATTTTGAGCGCGACGAAGATTTGAAATGTTGATTATGCGTAAGCACGGGATTCGAGATGCAGGTTGGGGGGGGGGGCCAAACGACTGGAAATAAAATTATTCCCCCGGTGACCTGAAGGAAGAAACTTTGCAGTTATCTATTATCCGAGATCAGGGATGTTGAATTTTTTTGAAGCAAGGGGATGTTAAGACATTCGGGATTACCACAATTCGGTGGAGCAGATATATATAACCTCAACATATATTATCCATCAATGAGACCTGGAACACAGAGTTAGATATCTATGTTTTCTGTTAATAATATCACTTCGACCAAAGCAAGAGTGACTTTGGTCAGAGTAAAAGTTGTCAGTGGATGATCTGAAGGATCCAGCTAAAACTATTGAGAGAACATAAGTACATAAAGCCTGAAGATTCAGGCCAACATATCAACTAAATGCGCACCCCTCTTTGCTAAATTCAAATAGAAGAGATAAATAGTATCCGGTGATTAGATGGTCTTACTTGAATTGTAAACATGAAACATTGGTTATCAATTGTGTTCATGATAGAAGACATGACCTGAAGGATCAGAGCTAAGGGATTGCATGGATTAAACAGGAAGATGGTGAATGTTTGTATTTGTAATGTACCCCTCACATACATCTGTCAATTTCTAATCAAGTTTGACAATAAAGCTGCCACCGATTCCAATCTTATCTCCCCAGAAGTTCCATCATGTCTACTCAAAAAGCCATTATCGTCACCGAACCAAAGAAGGCTGAATTGGTCACTGACCGTCCCATCCCCACCCTGCCAGACGACTACATCCTTGTGAAGAACATCGCCGTGGGCTTAAATCCCACCGACTGGAAATCAATCACTCAATATGCCCCAACCGGCGTCCAGACAGGATGCGACTTCGCCGGGTTAGTCGAAGCAGTTGGCAATAACGTGAAGAAGCAATGGAAGAAAGGCGATCGTGTATGCGGCTTCGCTCACGGCTGCAACACCGTGCGGCCAGAAACGGGTTCGTTCGCGGAGTGGATTATTGTCAAGGGCGATATTGCCATGCGCTTACCGGGTAACCTGAGCTTCCAAGAAGGTGCCACTCTTGGTGTGGGCATCGCGACGGTCGGTCAGGCGCTTTATCAAAGCTTGAAACTTGCTCTCCCTACGAATCCTATCACGGATGCTACTCCGATTTTGATTTATGGTGGCTCGACAGCCACTGGGACGCTGGCTATTCAGTTTGCCAAATTGTCTGGTTATACTGTGCTCACTACGTGTTCGCCGCGCAACTTCGACCTTGTCCGGCGTCTCGGTGCAGACGCAGTCTTTGATTACAGGGATATGGAGGCTGCTTCTGAGATCAAGAAGCTCACTGATGATAATTTGAAGCTCGTCTTTGACTGTATCTCGCTGGAGGATAGTGTTAAGTTCTGTGATGCGGCTATATCTTCCTCGGGTGGTGACTACAGCAATCTTCTGGCCGGGAGAATTGAGCGTGAGAATGTGAATAGTCGGTCTACTGCGGCTTACAGTATATCTGGGGAGGATTGGCAATATGGCGGTGGGGATATACCTGGTAAGCCAGAAGACAAGGCTCATGCTGAAATGTTTTTCCCTATCGTGGAGGTTCTGTTGCAGCAAGGGAAGGTCAAGGTTCACCCTCCCAAGGTTGGTAAGGAGGGATTGAAGGGTGTTTTGGAGGGGTTGGAGTTGCTGAAGAATGAAAAGGTCAGCGGTGAGAAGCTGGTTTACAACATCGACGAGACGCCGTAAGTGAATATGGACTGCGAATCAACAGGGCGGGGAAAGAGAAAGTCATTGGACTCCCTTGTTCCTCTGAATGCTTTTCGCGTGTTCAAGTAAACCTCTCTCATTTTTTAATATCCTCAAATCCCTTGTCCATAGTACAGACTGTTGTCTTTACTTTGACCTAGTTATCAAGTATTTTCTTCCTTCTACCATTCGATCAGCTGGCAAAACTGCTACTTTTCATGAGAGTAATGGTATCACATGCCAGAAATTAGTCTTCCTCAATATTTTGGCATCATGGTGGTTTCAAGGTTCTCTGCTTTGAAAGGATCTCATCAATGCAGCCACAGTAATTTAACCAACTTGGAAAATCTAAGGGAAGAAAAAACACTGAGATAATTTGTTGTACACGATTAATTATCCGTCTATTAGCTTGCCTAGGGAACAGCCCTATTGGACGACTGGAGGTATTATATGAACATGTGATAAGGATATAAGAAGCCGGAACGCCCGTGAAACCGCAGAATCAAAAGAAAGAAAGTGTAAGCCCATCACATGATGCTACACTTCTTGGACAGACTCCGCTTTCCCTTTTTCGATTCCCGAGCAGCAGGTTGCTTCGAGGCAGGCTGCGCTGGCTCCTTTTTAACGGCCGCGGGAGCGGCAGCGGCAGCTTGACCCTGCCCCTGTGGCTTCGACTTGTCACTGCCATGTAGTCAATTGGCCTTGGAAGCGGTCTCGTAGAAGGCCTTGCCCTGAGCCTCAGCAACCTGGAGCTCAAGAGCGGTAGGCTGGCGAGAACCGTCGGCACCCTATTGAAAGTCAGTCAGTATCATACTGATATCAGCGAGCGAGGTATACGTACAGCAAAGGTACCAGCACCCCAGGCACTACCACCGTGGACCTCGTCGAGGTTGGCAAGCTGTCCAAAGACAGTCTTGTAGCCAAGAGGAACGTAGACCATGCCGTGGTGGGCGAGAGTGCTCATGGAAGCAAGACAGGTCGACTCCTGGCCACCACCCTGGGTACCAGTGGAGACGAAAAGGCCGGCGTACTTGCCCCAGTAACCACCAGAGGCCCAGATGCCGCCAGTCTTGTCCCAGAAAGTCTTCCACTGAGCGGGGAAGTTACCGTAACGAGTGGGGATACCGAAGAGAATGGCGTCGTACTCGAGGAGCTGCTCGGGCTCAATAATGGGGTAGTTGGGCTTAGGGGGAGCGTGCATCTTCGCAAGGACATCTTCAGAAAGGGTCTCGGCGATCCTAAGGAGTCAATTGTTAGTTTGATGCTTGGGAAATGAACTAAAAGGCGTCTCATACTGGAAGATCTTCGCAGAGCCACCGGCGGACTCAATACCCTTCTTCTCCGCCTCGGCCAGCTTAACGATGTGGCCGTACATCGAGTACTACTTTCAGGTTAGTCAAATGGGATCAAAGGTAATCCTAGAAGGGGCAATTGAGACATACGATAACAATAGCAACCTTGGGAGCCATGGTGACGTTTCTTTCAAATCTTCACAGAGTATGGAGAAAGGGTGGAATAGAAATGAGTGAGGAATGGAGGGGATGGGAAGAGTTTAAATATGGATTCCGGTCCAACAAAGGGGGAGTAAAATTGCTATTGGACCCTACATTGGTATGATCCAGAATATAAAGGTGCATGTCTCAGCGATTATCAAGCAAAGCTTAGTTGCTCAGTCATACTGCCCCACTTGGATTACGGGTAGCTTAGTGGATTATTACGGAGACATGACTAAGGGAAATAAATGCTCGAGGCAAGATCTGATTTTTTACTTTTGAAATCGAAAGACATCTTGGGAATAACTTGAAAACGATATGCATGGCAAAATTGTACGAATTATAAAAACTTCTAAAGTAATTGATGTCATAGCCTGCGATCATAAATCATGACGCAGTGCACTCACGAGGTCAGGAAGGGAAGGATTAGGACCCACTCGAAGGTGCTAAATGCGCGAACATTACGTTACATTAGATGCCAAATCTGGCGCAAGGTAGAAGTTGACTGACAATTAGATCGACCAATCGACCACACTGCTGCTTTCTTTCGGATTCCTGCCTCAGGCGCCCACAGACCTTCCCAGGTTACTTAATCACAATATCGCCTCATCCCCACTTTCCAATTTAGGAAATATATGAATCACATAAAATCGCTAGTCCATGTGCTTTGCTGCTAAAAGCTCCATCTGATTTTCCAAAAACTTCACAGTCACGCTAGTATCAATCCCCCTTTCCAACAGATACTCCGCATTATCAGCCGAATACCAAATGCTTCCAATTAAGGGGATAACGCCATGCGCCAAGCAAGCAGGTAGCCGGCCACATTCCATGCCACCTGTTCATGGGCAGTATGGAACGAATCTGCGTAGTGATCTTGGGTGTCTTCGAGTCTTGTTTTGAAGTAGTCGCAGTAGTACTCGACCCAAGCTCTGTAAAGCTCCAGAACAGGGGTTAAAAAGGAGGAAAGTACCTCTTCAGCCTCAACATAGCTTTCTCCATCATTCTCTTCTATATCGTCATCGTTCTGGCGCCAGAGAAAGTCTGTTCCATAATCCGCCCAAATGCGATAATCTAGACTTCAGCCTTGGAACTTTCATATTTCACGCTATCCAACCATATAGCGCACTGATAAATGATTGGCTTATATCTCAAGTACAGACAGCAGGGACAATAAAATCCCCAGTGGATACTTTTACAGCACGTTTCCCATTCAATTTCATAATTCTTGATAAGTTTGAAAGTTGTGCTCATTTATCATAATTTTAGGTTTGATCAATAAAAATCCAGCGCTTCTTCTCCGCGCTGCTTTCGCCAGTAGTTGGTCGAGGTGAAAAGCTCATCACACCCTTCGACAACCCATTTCCATTTTGTCAAAAATTCTTCGCTAACCTCCCATCCTGACGGGTCCCACGGCGTATTCCAGACAATCAAGCCAGTTTTTTCATTCGGAACTTCGTAAAAGTCCACCAGATCGTTACAAAGCGCCCACTCGTCATAAGAGTCAGAATTGCGAAGCAAATTATCGCGCATCCGAGGTAGCGGGAAGAGATCAATCCAAGGATGGTGCGAGACTGATCTTTGTATTTGTGTTGGCCGTAAGGATCTGGGACAGGAATTCTGTTTGTTGTCGTAAGCCTTGAGGTTCCATGGTGAGATGGCATCTTCATCTTCTATCCATTCTTCTACCGTGAGGCCGAGCATGCTGGTGTTGCTGATAAGGGCACGGAAGACGTTGAATTGGATAAGAGTGAGGAGTAAGTCGACTCTAGGAGAACCAATCATGTGTTGGTGCGCCCTTGCTTCATATTGGCTCATCAGTTGTTGGAGCTCGGGCCAGCTCATACTGTGGATTGATGTGGCATTTGGAGAGATTGGCTGAGAATATCTTGGAGTTATTATGGCTTGACGATCTTCCGGCACTTGGTCCACTCCACTCCGCTGATTTCCCGTGATTGCCACTTCCCAGGAATTCTCAAGATTTGTCGGCGTTGACTGCTCTTGCTGTGCTTTCGGTCGTCTCCTTTGCCCTGCGACGGTTAATTAATTTGGTATTTTATCCTTTTTCTTAAAGACGTGGCAATTCTTACGGTAGAGCCTCTGATTCAACCTATTCTGCAACTTTCTTCGCTCCCGAGGATCGCTTCGACCCGTCCAATCCTCTTCCGGGCAACGGATTTCAAGCTGCGGCGCCATATGAACCAGGATTTCTAGAATAGACGCAATTGATTCGTTGTCTTGTGCCACATGTATTTCGGGAAGTGGTCAAAGTGGGTTTGGTTGGATGTGGCCCATTTCGGTTTCTATATGCCACCAGCTTATCCTGCGACCAGTGGCAGACACCATTGGTCGACAGAAATGAGTAAGTATATGTGGGGCTTCACATCTTCTGGTCCAATGAAATGGTCTGTCGGACTTAAGGCGGATATAAAGCACGTCCTTATTCGCGCACCTTATGGCAGGCTTTTCAGGTGATATTTTTGCTCGACTGCGATAGAACTAACCATTATTGACATTTCTTGTTGGGCACATAAACTGATGGTACTGTTCTTGAAGAATTTCACTCTTATCAATTCAGTATGAGTGCCAGCGAGAATCTAGTCTAGTCCAGGGTAACCTTATCTGCTCTAGTTTGACTTCTCTCTACCAATAAATAAGTGGGCCCTTCTGCATGCTGCTTATTATACGTCATAGCTGTTGGGCCACATTATCTATGTCGAGAGAAATCCTAACAAGCAGCTGGCTTACAGAGATTGAGTCAGAGACTGCAAGATCTTGAATGGGTAATGTGATCATTTCTGGCACGCTATCTTTAATACCACTCTTAATTGCTTCGTTCAATTGGTGGTCCTGGCTGGACCCAGTCAAAGTTGCCCAACAATTTCGTCAGCCACACATCTCCAGGACCGTCGGGGCCACGTGGATCGCTGCCCTCGAAACTGCTGCCGCTAAGGAAAGTATGAGGGAAACCATGATCAAAGCTATAAGCTGACTCGATCTGGGCGATCTCCTCGGCACTCAGGGACACGTTCAATGCAGCGATGTTACCTCGGAGATGCTCAACCTTCCTCCCGCCGACGATTGGGAAGACGTAAGGAGCTTTGTGGCGAACATAGGCAAGAGCAACACTGGTGATTTCTGTTTGCTTCGAATTGGCAATTGTTTCCAGCACCCGAGCAACCTTTTTCTCTGTGGGTGAGGGGTCCCGTCCCTTGCGCCCAGGGTTGTTCTTCTCCCGCTCTGCGTAGCCGGCGGCCGTATGGAATCGACCCTGACCCAGAGTTCCCCAGGGAACCACACCCATGTTTTCATCACGGCACATGGGGAGAATTTCTCGCTCAAAGTCTCGGATTGACGCGTTCCAAAGGCCTTGGTAAACGGAGAATTGGCGTAGACCATGATCGCGAGCGTATTGGTTGGCTTTGGCAACCACCCAGGCAGGGCAGTCCGAAATTCCCAGATAGATGACCTTGCCAGAGACGACCAAATCGTTGAGGGCGTGCATCAATTCTGGGATTGAAACACTATAATCCCACCAGTGAAGATAGAAAAGGTCGATGTAGCTGGTTTGCAATTTCTGCAGTGAGAGATCCACGGACACACGCATGGACTTGGCGCCGTTGCCGCCATAGTTCGACTGAATCTTGTCTTTATTGTGGCTCTTGTAACTGCTGGAGTACTTTGTAGCGAGGACAAGTTCATCGCGGTTCTGTCTCTTGGCAATCCATTCTCCAATCCATTCCTCGGATTGTTCGTCTTGGTAGCTATTAGCGGTATCGATGAAATTGCCACCTTGGCTAACAAAGTAATCGAGGATTTCAAACACGGTCTCTTTTGGGCATTCTCCAAGTCTCTCCTTCCACGCGTCGCCAAAGTTCATAGCGCCGAGGCATAGTGGAGAAACCCGGACAGAGGCAGACGGAGCCAGTTGGCGATGGCGATCAAGAGGCGAGCGAGCTGGAGGATGGGCGGGGAGTGGCATGATGGAGGTTTGCTGGTTATGCGTCGATTTGAATGAATGAAATGAAAAGAAAGGGAAGTTACGGACTGCGGCCTGTGATGTTTTTATATCTTCCTGAGTGAGTCCCAGACACGTTCGAGAGGGGCTCCCAGGTGGGGAATGCATTTTGATTCCATGCTAAACTCCATATAAAGTCCGAATAAGATTTTCCATGACGTATAATAAGCAATTGGCATCCAACGTACCCAGCTCTTCCCATTGTGGAATAGCGGCTGCGAGGGAGGATAGACGTTCGCCCACTAGCCGAACGGGCAATCAGTACTGGACAAAACCAAATACACGTGACCGTGGGTGCAAATCTGCAAAACTCATTATGTACTTCCGATAAGAGCTCTGGATTCCAAAATGTACATGACTCTGTACCTGATACTTGCAAGCTGTGTTATGGTGAGTGCTGTAAATATTGTGACCGTTATGGGTTAGCGTTTCTAGGAGTAACATGGGTCCGACGCTCTTGGTTAGACAGGAGAGCCTCTTGATTCTTGCGACACCACACAGGAATTGGACAACATTTTAGACTAGTGTTAGATGATTTCTCTCATGAAAAAAAAACTTTAAATCATGTGCTAAACGAGAACAGCTTTTTCGATAATTTGTCCAGGTAAAAGGGGAGCTTTGTTCTGGAGATGGCCATTGAAGATTCAAGCAGGCAGGCCAGTCGCGTCTGAGGATCTTTTAGCTTACACTAATGGCCGTTTCCTTGTCAACGAAAACCATTAAATTTCCCGTCTGCGGAGGACTGTACCCTCGGACCGATATGAGCAGTTCAAATAGGCCCCTCGATGGTGATATTGATCCATCCCAGTCTTTTTGTCTTGGGCCTTCTTGCGACTGGGCTTTCAATATGTAAACATTTTTGTCAAATCAGACTAGTCCAAAAATGGTCTCGCTCATTGATTTCCAGTTAGGGCCAAAACTTGAAGTCATGTCAGCATATGCATTGAGCTTCCGCTTTAAGTTAGCGTTTCGGACCATTCCCAGGGACCACATCCCTTTTCGGGCGGAACACCTTCAAACCCACCACAGAGATATTTTCGCCAATCAACAGATGAATAACTCTGCGTCGTCCGCTATCGAAGATAGCAGCATGGCCACCCCATGCAGGGCCGTGCCGACACATCCTCAGGTTCATCCCTTTGCGGGAACACTTGGCGGTAATCAAAGAGTGGTGGTTGACCGCAGTGACCCCGACAATGAATCATTGCTGGAGAAACTGCCCGACGCGGCACCGTTAATGACGGTCCAAGAAGGATTAAGCTTGCAAGGATTTCTCAATGTTGACCTCTGGAGGCTTGGACTTCTCGAGTGCGTTGGTAAGAGAACCATACCTCCCGCTTGATGTGGTGGTACCAATGATACTTGCCGGGTCTAGGAGCAATGCTGCTGGATTTTGTTACTGCATGGATGTCTATACGACCAAGCGCAGCCATTGTGTCTCCAACCGGAGAAGCTGGTATCTTCTCAACAAGCACATTCCTGGGCCCGTTATTCGGAGCTTTCAGTAACTGGATATTTCTGACATTATTCATTTTCTCCTTCTCCAATGTCAGTGGGAGTCATCTCAATCCCACAATTACGCTAGGCACTTTCTTCGCGCGCCTCATATCGCTTCCTCGAATGGTCATTTATATCCTTGGCCAAACGCTCGGGGGTGCTCTTTCCGGCTTTATACTCCGCTCCGCTTATGGTACTCGAGATTTCACTGTGGGAGGTTGTTACATTGACACAAATATTGTACCCCTGGATGAAGCGTTTCTTCTAGAGTTCATCTTCTGTCTCCTTCTGATATTTCTATCATTCGGTGTCGGTCTTGATCCTAGACAGAGTCAGGTTTGCGGACCCGCTCTCTCTCCTTTCTTGGTAGGGCTGGTCTTGTTTGGTGTGAGTTGGGGGTCAGCTTATACGAGAGCAGGCTATTCTGGAGCATGTAAGTATCATCGCTCCCTCTTACGACACGTGTGCAGACTGCTTATGTTTTTCTATTCGCAGCGGTCAATCCAGCTCGGTGCTTTGGTGTCTATGTGGCTACCACCTTTCCAAGCTATCACTGGATTCACTGGGTGAGTACGGCACTAACTCTGACCTATTGCGACAACTGACCATGATCTCAGGTCGGACCATTGGCTGCTTCAATTGGCCATGGAATTATTTATTTTGTCGTGCCTCCTTGGAAGGCATGATTTACCCTGATGACTAACGCCCAATTTTTACGCACAAGTGAGATACCCCGGAGCATTTGGAAAGCCGTCTTAGATCTTTTACTTGCATCATGAGTGCGACACCGAGACCTGAGTCCATGGTACGAAGTTCCGGATAACCATGAAAATAGCTCGCCGTTTTCGTACCTATAAAAGTGATGTCATTGTTCAAGGGAAACCTCTAGGTATTGATTACCTCAAGTCTCTTAAACAAGCCCCAAACTGTGTTTACTGGTATAAATTAGGGAATCGCATAACTTTGAAGGGAAGGAACCATGGAATTTTGGAACCGAGACACGGCAAACACTCATATGTACACTAGCGGACACAATACCCGCCGTCAATAAGCAGATCATTGCCCGTCATGTATGAGCTAGCATCACTGCACAGATACACATAAGCGCCTTTCAACTCCTTCGCATTTCCATTTCGACCCATCGGAATCATTGACATCCATAAGTCTTGAACCTTTTTGTCAACAAAGTCAGATAGACCGGTATCGATATAGCCCGGAGAGATACTATTGACACGAGCAAAGTCTCGCCACTCGTTGGCAAGAGACTTTGTCATATGAATACAACCCGCTTTCGCAACATTGTATGAAGTCTGCTCTTGTGGATAGTTGGCAATATGACCAGACATGCTCGATGTGATAACGAGGCTACCCTTGCCGCGCTTTTTAAAGTGCGCCCCAACAGCCTTTGCGCAGTGGAAAGTACCCGTAAGGTCGGTTTGGATGACTTCATTCCAGTCCTCGACTGTACCGTCTAGGATACCACTATTGGCGGTGCGACCGGCATTAGCGACGAAGGCGTCGATTTGGCCAAATTCGGCAAGCACGTCTTGCACGAGTTTCTCGACGCTCTCGTAGCTTCCGACGTTGCATTTGTATGCTTTGGATTTCACTCCATATGTCTTGGAGAGTTCTTTTGCGTTCTCTTCGCCGCCTTGTGGACGTGAGGAGTATGTGATCGCAACATCGGCACCCATCTCGGCACAGCCACGAGCTGCCTCGATGCCCATGCCACGGGGACCTGAGGCTCCTGTAACCACGACCACTTTGCCTTTCAGACTAAGAAGGTCCTTTAGGCTTTCTGGCTCTGGGACTGGCTGAGGCATGGTGAATAGGTTAATATCTTGAAGGTAAATTCAAATTTTTGTTCCGAGCATGTGGTCCTTGGGATAAGATGATGAGGATTTAAATAATCCTCGAATAACATTTTGTACCCGCACGGTACCAGTGGCGTTCATTCTTGGTCTGCGTTCGGGGCGTTATCATCATCCTCTCTACATTGGGAGCAAACACGAAATATCTAAGATTCATTTATCTTTAATATGTGGTACATAAACGCCACTTGCGCTATTGATGGAAAGTTATTCAATGTTAGAGTTTCCGGTGCTGATATTCAGCATTTATAATAATATTGTAATCAAAACTATTATTCCTCTTCCAATCACGATTGTAAACCTGTTTTATGGAAGACTATAACCGTTAAATTTATCACGAGATTATAGGGCATTAAAGTTCAGATAAATGTATGATCCGAAGACTCGGTGCTAAGATATTCTGGCCACTAAGGACATAATCGATGCTTGATCGTGGAAATGAAAGGCTTTCATGAACATCCAGTAGGGTTAATGCGGGATTTATTTAGACTTTAAGATGAATCACCATAAGTAGAAAATTGATTGGTGGAGACGGGGTTCGTTTCCTTCGAACCTTAATCGATTATATCAGTCTGGAATAATGAAATGGGAATGATGATATAAGGCTGAATTGTTTTCCATAAGTAAAAATCGTGACAAGCAGGTGGGGAGATTCAGAACCAACTTTTATACAACCAATTCAGGACTCTTTATCATGGCACCCCGAGTCGCCATCGTCTTTGTGAGTTTTATCCCTTTTTCGAAACTAACCAATATTCTTCTCCCAATTTTGTTCTGTTTCGTCGATGAGAGTCTCGCTAACTCTTCCAAGTATTCGCTCTATGGCCATATTCAGAAGCTAGCCGAAGCTGAGCTGAAAGGCATTACCGCCGCTGGCGGCAACGCCGATATCTACCAGTATGTCATTCAGCTACAAAGATTACTTTTTCTAGACACATGTGATTACCTAACTGACTTTTCGTATAGGGTCGAAGAGACTCTTTCAGAGGATGTTCTCAAAAAGATGCACGCCCCGCCAAAGTCTTCTTATCCTACAATTGACGTCCATAAACTGCTGGAGTATGACGCGGTGCTATTTGGCATTCCAACCCGCTACGGCAACTTCCCTGCTCAGTGGAAGGCATTCTGGGATAGAACAGGTTCTATCTGGGCCTCGGGTGGTTACTGGGGAAAATACGCCGGGATATTCATTTCAACAGGCACTATGGGCGGAGGGCAGGAGTCAACTGCTATCGCCTCTATGAGTACCCTCGCCCATCATGGATTCATCTATGTTCCTTTGGGATATAAGAATGTGTTCCCGCTACTTGCAAACCTTGACGAAATTCACGGCGGGTCTCCCTGGGGAGCTGGTACCTTTGCGGTGAGTCCTTTTCCTTCAAATATGATGCTCATGATCCTAACGCGTTTTATAGGGCGCGGATGGTAGTCGTCAACCAACTGCTTTGGAGATTGAGATTGCCGAAAACCAGGGCAAGGATTTCTGGAAGGCTGTTTCCAAGGTTCAACATTAGTCTATTCATCAGACCATATTACTCATGCAAGGACTCGCAGTATATAAGTCTGGTACTAGCAATCGTCTTCAATACATTCCATCTATCACCAACTCTACAAAAGATCGGAATAGACATGCCGCGATTCAGTACACTGTGCGAAGTTAACGTTATCGTTCCAAATTTAAAAGCTTCTTTAGGTATTCTAAAGCCTTCAACCATTGATAATTCACACAGATCTCACTGTAGATCGCTACCGTCATCCTAAGATCTCATGCAATTGCTCCCGGATCCATCACTGCATTACTTATTCATTAGTCCAGCCCCACCGGATGTGCATCTATTTGTGGACACTATCACAAACTAGTACTAACTTATTCACCTACTCTGTGTCCTAGTGCCCTCACCTCTCTCCTGCCATTAATTGAACAGTCGACGGGAAATCAAAAAGATAAAGGGACCTACTAATTTCACTCCCCGCCCAAAAATTAAGTGACTTTTATTTATTGCGCTAGTCTTACCCCTCTATCACTTGGGTACATCGCAGACTTTATGGATATACGTTCGAAACCTCCACTAGACTTTTCCTCTTTTCCCCTTCGCCTCCCGCTTGAATTCTCTTCTTTTTTTCTTTTTACCATCTTTCTTTTCTATTCCGCTATTTATGAATATAGGGAGACTTTTGACTATTAAATTGATACAGTATGAAAGAAGGTAGAATACTGGATAGGATACTGAGTAGGAGACTAAGTAGAAAATTAAGTAGGTAGACGAAAATATTTATATATAGTATTGAAGTCGCGGCAGAATAAATACAAGTCACTTAGTTCCAGGAAGGGGAGTGAAATTAGTAAAAATGGGAGTGAATTTAATAGGTCCCAAGATAAATATATTTCCGCAAGTAAACAGATAATGAAGAAGTAGATTTCACCAAGGTAGAAATAAGAAAAACGCGAGAGCAATAACATTCAGCCTATTATATAACCAATTTATAAGGCAACATGAAGAAAAATCGAAATCTGGCCCAAGTTCCAGGGTTGAATAGTCGATGTTGAATCAACTACTCGTTGCTCACTTCATCTCCACGCTCGCATTGCCACTGGAGGACATCATCGTCGGTGTATCAAAACCAGCTCTCATCTCAGCATCCTCCAAAATAGGAATACCATGCTTCCCACTTCCAATGCCAAAAGCCCGCTTCACTGCCTTCCAACTCTCAATACAAGCCAGGTACGTAAGCGTACATCCAAAAACCAATCCCCATTCCCATGTGATAGCATGATGTTTAAATACAACCTCATTAATCACAGGAAGGTAAATCACGGGAAACGCGATGACGAATCCTGCTGCGACTGCCCAGAAGAGGAACCGGTTACGCCATAGGGTAGGGAAAATCGAAAGATGCCCAGGACATCTGATGGGGTCCATGTTGAATAGAGATTTCGAGAAATCCTTGACTTCCCAGGCTGTTACCAGTAGTAGGAATGTCAGCGTGGCGTAAGTTGTGGCCCGAGCTCGGAAGACTGTGTCGCAGGTTGAGTTGTATTTCTGGTTACATCCGTCTCCTAGATCTGAGGACCCGGTTCCTGCTGCATAGATGACGCATACAAAGGATACTAGACATAAAGATCCCATAAAGGTACCATAGATCATTTTGTCGACAATGAGTTCGCGGGTGAAGACTCCGATTCGTAGATCGTGCGGTGGACGATACATTATGTCTGGTTGAGCTTCTTCAAGACCGAGGCCCACAGCTAGGAAGGATGATGTGACGAGATTTGCCCATAGAATTTCAAGGGGAGAGAGTGGGAAGACGGAGTCTCCACCGGTATCTTTGAAAGCCAGTGCAATGAGAAGAAGAACGACTTGCGCGATGTTCGAGATGAGGAGATGCATGAGAAACTGTTCTTGTTAGCAGTGATATGAAAAGGATGTGAGAGAAATACCTTCTGGATGTTATCAAATAATCTTCTGCCCTCCTCAACAGCTTTGACGATCGACGCAAAGTTATCGTCAGTGAGAACCATGTCGGCCGCCTCTTTAGCAACATCACTTCCATTTTTCCCCATCGCTATACCCACATCCGCTCTCTTAAGTGCAGGGGAGTCGTTCACACCGTCCCCGGTCATGACACAAAACGCTTGACGGCGGTGCATTGCGTCGACCATTCGGACCTTTGTTGCAGGGCTGCAACGAGCGATCACGAGGGGAAGTTCTTCAATCTCGTCAATTTCGGCGTCAGTCAACTTGTCAAATTCATCGGCGGCCATGACGAATTTTGTCTGCTTTGTAATTAGCGAGACACGGTCTAAAATTCCTACTTGACCCGCAATAGCAGTTGCAGTCTTGATGTGATCTCCTGTGAGCATGTGGACTGTGATTCCTGCCATTTGACACTTTCGCACAGCCGCGGCACTCTCAATCCGAGGTGGGTCGTATAGTCCTACCAGACCGCCGAATTGCAGACCGGACTCGACGACGGATCGAGGGGATACTGCGTCGTCTTGGCTGATTGGTGTCTTTTTCACAGCGATGCATAGGACGCGAAGACCTTCTCCGGCCATTCGGTCTGCTGCTTCGTGAATTATTTGCTTTTCATTGTCGGATATGGACAAAGAGGGAAGGACAGCCTCCGGTGCGCCCTTGGTATAAACCTCGTTGACATTGTCAATGGCGTTACTGTAGACGACTGTCATCTTTTTGATAGCAGAATCAAATGGGTACTCGGTGCGAAGCTCGATCTGACGTCGATTGATTACTGCACTTTTCCCAAAGTCAAGTCGCATAGCCAACACATGTAGCGCGATCTCAGTCGGCTCCCCAACCGCAGTCCAGACGCTGTTCTCATGATGTACAATTGAGAGATTGCAAAGTGAAAGAGCGGAAAGAAATGTGTGCAATGCAGGGTTATCTTCCATTGGATGGGTTGAGCTCCAGTCAATTTCATCAAGCTGCACGGTTCCACTTGTAGGGTCGTAGGGATCGGTGATTTGGCGTACTGTTAATGTGCCAGCACCCGGGATCCATGCCGCGCGAGCGACCATTCTTCCCTGTGTTAGAGTGCCAGTCTTGTCTGAACAGATATTAGTGACGCCACCGACAGCCTCTAGGCATTGCAGCTTTCGGACTATAACATTGCCTTTTGCCATGGCTTGAGTGCCGACAGCCATTGTTATGGTGAGCACTGCGATTAAGGATTCCGGGATAACTGCCACCGCGACACAGATGCCATATATGAGGACTTCACCCTGCACGTCCCAGAGATTGACTGAGAATACGATGATAGCTAGCAAAATAGCCAGAGCAAAGAGTAAAAGTGCAAACTTGCTCAGTTTAATCTGCAATGGTGTTCCGACCAAGCCCAGAATCTTCTTCATAGAGATCATGACACGATTCAAGACCCGAGAATGCACTTTGCCCTGATCATCTTGGTCCTGTAACAGCCGGGCGATCTTTCCAACCTCCGTGTTCATTCCTGTCGCTATGACAATTCCCGTGGCCCGACCCTGTGTGGTGCTACAACCTGAATACGCCATATTGTTTCTATCGCCAAGAGGGATATCCGAAGATGCAAGCGTCTCGTGAGGAGTCTTGAGGACAGGAAGAGATTCGCCTGTGAGGAGAGCTTCGTCAATCGACGCATTCATCCCTTCAAACAGCCGTAAATCTGCAGGTACGATGTCGCCCACTGCGAGGCGTACAACATCTCCTACAACCACTGTCTGGGCCTTGACGGTCGTTACTCGGTTATCGCGAATGACTTTACATTCCGGAGCCGAGAGACGTTGCAAGGATAGAATTGTTCTTTCCGCGCGGTAGTCCTGAAAGAATCTTCGAGTTTTTAGTACTGAGTCTAATCACGAAAGAATGACTTACCCGACAATGATGTTCAGGAGGATCACCGCGGTGATGACACCTCCTTCGATATAATCGTCAATCCCAAAGGACAAGCCCATGGTCAGGAGAAGAACCTTTGAATTTAGCATAGATCTTCCAATCTACCATTGAACTTACTATTGTGAGACTGTTAGAGACCTGTCTTAACAGTATCCCCCAGACGGAGATGCCCGTGATTTCTTGGACGGCATTCGGACCATCGCGTTCAAGGCGTAGGAGCGCCTCGCTGCTAGTGAGTCCATGACTAGAAGGGGATCAATAAAGATGTTAAGGTTGATGGCCTTTCTCACATACTGCAGGTCTGTATCAAGGAACGAAGCAATGTCGGCCGGTTCGAAGGAATGGGCATTTTTCAGTTGACTGTCGGACTGATCAGGATGTGCAGATTTCTCGCACAGCTCAAAGCTTAAGCTGTTGGTAGGGGGATATGAGGAGTCCGTATAGCCACATATAGGAGGTTCCGTCGATTCCTCGACATCAGGGAGAGTCTCTATGCCCATTCAAAAGGTGTAGTAAAGAAGGAAAGAAGACGAATATAGTAGTTATATCCTACCTGATCTAAATAAAATCCTCACAGAGTGATAATCTACAAGAAATGAAGGAAAGTCCATATTAAAAAGAGGGGTGTGAGGGGGAATTCCTTGTCACTTTCTTGGTGCGTTATCATTGGCAAAGGACATGCTTGGCTTGTTATTATCGGATGTAGTCATGGACTTACCGAAACCATGGGTTCTCACGGCAAAACTGGTTTCCACTAGAAACTCCAGTACCCAGATGGCTGATAACGCCTGGATCATGGCGTTGTCGCGTATGGCATCCAATCAGGGGTATGTCTGAATAGCTATATTTTGACCTGCGTATCTGAGGAAATTACCAATGAATCGTAATGCTGTCCTTGGCTATCTAGAGTAACTCCTGACCCATCTGGTGTACTACCTACACTTACATCGACATTTACATAATGAAAATTCGAATCTCATTTTCCAAGTAACTATAATAAAAATAGATTAACCGAATAAAATCAAAGTTGTTGATTTGATTTATTTGAATATTCAACTCTTGAAGTATGAACTGTGAGAGACATTGATTCCTGACCAATCAACCACCGGCCCGCATCCAGCAAAAAAATCATTGGAGCTCGTCCTCACTTAAGACAACTTGACATCTTGATCTTTCCCTATCCAACATGGGTCCCACAGCAACACTTTCGGATTTGAACCGTCAGGATGGCTCTGCTTCCTACAAATGCCCCGCTACTGGCTTCAATGTGCTCGCCGGTGTGAATGGACCCATCGAGCTTCCTGCCCGTCGCGACGCTCTCAAGCCCGAAGAAGCCACCGTTGAAGTGTTTGTGAAGCCCGGAACTGCCGTCGCAGGAGTTGGTGAAAAATACGTTGAAGGAATATTGCGCGATGTCCTGAGCACTATCATTCTCCGCCGTGAGAAGGGACTCCCACGTCGCGGAGTGGTCATCACACTGGGAATCGTTGGAGGCGAGAGCATACAACGCGGCGACTCGGTAAGTCTACATCGTCGTTAAAGTGACCAAAACTAACAGACGCAGTATCTCACCCTTCTCTCCTCTCTCCTCCATGCCGCTCTACTAGCTCTGATCGCCGCCGCCATCCCATTGTCCATGACCTTCGCTACTACCCTGCTCGGTGTGACTCGTTCCGGGGATATTATTCGTAACCCATCCCCCGCTGTCGCGAAGACTGCTGCGTCATTGCACGCCCTTGCGTTTTCCTCTAAGGGCCATCTGCTACTGAATGAAAGCCTGGGGCGGTTCGACTTTGATACCTGGGAACTGGTCCGACAGCAGGCCGCTTCTATCTGCCAAGGAGCTGCTACACCTGGATCCGATGGCGACGTTGCTATGGACGGAGCGGACGCCCATGTGGATGAATTTGTCCGTGAAACCGTGGAGGACCACCTTCACCGTGACTACAACTGGAAGATCGAGTCGATTTGAGTCCGCATCTTACTGATGTTATGGGGAACTACACAAGCATGGCTGCACCCGACAGAAACATCCCAGTTCCAGACGAACTACCCGACCCCTTATCACGGCCGGCCTCATTCGCTACCACCATACGAGGCAGTGTGACAGCATTTTGGCTGTAGCACATCCGAGCCCATCACCTGACCGACACTGCATGTGCAAGGCATCACCCACTTGCCTTGGAGTCTGACGTTCCTGAGGATGACAGTCGCACTGGACATGGGCCCTCGAAAAGCGGGGGTATCAGGACCAACGGGATTAGTTGTACCAGAGAGCAGAAAGGGACTTAACCCAAAGGGAAATGCTCATATTGAATCCTAAAAAAAGAATCCAGCTTATCAAATTTTCCAATCAGCCGGATCTTACGAGATACACCTAGGATATGATCGCGCGTAGAGCGGCCAAGTTCAAGTATTTTTAGATAATGAATTATAGGATGGAATAGAAGGAATGTAAACGTCACAGCGAGGAAGATTGAACTCACGCATCTAAACTCGGCTCCAAAGGGTACTAAACCGGCACGTACTGGACCGAAATGACGGGGATTCCATAGATTTAGACATTTATGGTCCAAGGAACTTCATTTAAGCATTCTTTGATCGACATATTTGTCTACAGTTCTTCCCCTATTTCCAGTATCAGGTTTCCAAGTTAGCCCCCACCGATCGGGGGCCGCCCCAGTTGATCCAAGCTTTAAACATCCCTGTCGACAGATCCAAATAAAAAGAAAAGAAAAAAGCAAGAAAGAAGCAAAGGCAAAGCAAAGAATCAAGTGGAATGGTCTGAGAGCAATTACCCCACAGGATTTGGGGAATTTCCATTTTCCAATTTCCAATTCCCTGGCACTAGTGGACTCAAACCCCGTTACATCCGATCCGGGCTTTATAATCTCTGGGGACTTTTTTTCTCTCTCTTAAGAAAACCCACCGAGAATGCACTCATGGCGTCGAGTGATTCACCCCGATCTGATGTCTCGTCATTAGACCCGTCTCACCTCACTCCGTCCCCAACTACCGCCCCACCCCCATCCGCGACCGTCGGCGCTGCATTACTCCGCCATTATGCCCTCCATATAGAGCCGTCCCAGACACAGACTCATCACTCTCCTGGAGACCCTGGCAGCGGTGCGCTGCCTTCACGCAAGATCGATTCTACACAAGAGGAGGCCGGTAGGTCGCTGCCCTCCTCGACTTTGCGCCGGTTCCGCCAGAAATCAATCTCCAGTCATCGCCCGCAGCAGAAGAAGGCTCTCTCTACCGATTGTATCCCGCGCCAGACCATCATGAAGGCTCTTGCTTCACGAACGTCCTTCCCCGGTCCCAATACCCAGAACTCCGCGTCGGTAAATTCCTGGTCTGGGTTGGTCGCTAGCAATAACGCCCAGGGCTCCCCTTCCGAGGATAAAGAGCGTCGGAGTAGCAGCGCGTCATCCCAAGGGTTATCGGCTGCCTTATCCAACTTGCAACTCAGCAGCTATGTTGAACGATCGCCCGCGACTGCTCGGTTGGTGCTGCAGTCGCCCTGTTACTTTCATCAGCGCTTCGACGACGCTGTCAATATTAAGAAGGTCCTCGAGGAGATCGCCGATGATGAGTGGCTATCACATTCACGATTAGTACAGACAGCAACGGGGGTTCGAGAGGTATCCAAACAATTACAACGACGGCCGATCAAGCGCGCGGTCCGCAACATCATGATCGTGACCAAGGCACGGGACAACAGTCTCGTACATTTGACGCGCGAACTCGCCGAGTGGCTTCTGTCCACCCCGCGTTACGGAAGCGATCTGGGAGTCAACGTGTATGTTGATGCAAAGTTAAGGAACTCCAAGCGGTTTGATGTCCCGGGCCTTCTGCAGAAGGAACCACGGTTTGCTCAGATGTTGCAATTCTGGACCCCAGATCTGTGTTGGACGTCACCGGATAAATTCGATTTGGTTTTGACTCTGGGGGGCGATGGCACAGTCTTGTTTACCTCATGGCTCTTCCAACGGGTTGTTCCACCCGTGCTCTCTTTCTCCCTGGGGAGTCTGGGATTCCTCACCAACTTCGAGTTCGCGGAATACACATCCCATCTTAATGGTATCATGGGCGATGCAGGCATGCGTGTCAATCTGCGGATGCGATTCACCTGCACCGTATTCCGGAAAGATCGCAGCAAGGGCGCCGAGGCGGACGCTGTCGAGGAGGGAGAGCAGTTTGAAGTACTCAACGAAGTGGTTATTGACCGAGGGCCATCTCCCTACGTGTCGAACTTGGAATTATATGCCGATAACGAGTTATTGACTGTCGTCCAAGCGGATGGCTGTATATTCTCCACTCCAACTGGTAGGTCTCCCAAGTTGCATTCTTTCAACCCATCTAACATTCTCTTCTCTAGGCTCAACTGCTTATTCTTTGTCCGCTGGCGGCTCCCTCATGCACCCCTCTATTCCCGGAATTCTCCTCACACCAATTTGCCCTCACACCCTCTCCTTCCGCCCCATGGTTCTCTCAGACTCCCACCTCCTCCGCGTCGCAGTCCCCAATACATCTCGCTCCACAGCCTACTGTTCCTTCGACGGCAAAGGCCGTGTCGAGCTCCGACAAGGAGACTACGTCACCGTCGAAGCAAGTCAATATCCCTTCCCCACAGTCGTCTCCGACAGCGGCGAATGGTTCACAAGTGTCCAGCGCGCTCTACGCTGGAACACCCGTGGAGCCGTCCAAAAAAGCTGGGACGGAGACCTCAACGACGAAGACGAACAATGGGATATCGACACGGACACAGGACTAGCCGGTACCGATAGCGGCATCGGTCCTAGCGAAGATGGCGATTCTTTCTCTCCGAATCCCATGCGGCGACAGATGAGCATGCTCAATATGTGACCGCACTTTTCATGTCCTCTACTTTTCATGACCGTATATACCTGTCTCATCGGCGTTTCACGATATACTCTGCATCCCACCATTTCATGGATAGATTCACGATTTCTCTTTGCTTAGACAGTTTAGCGGTCGCTACTTGATGTTGCTGTCGATTACTTTCGGTGTCTCTTTTAGACGGTCTCTACCTCTAATTATACAATAACAGAGTGTTCTTATGGCACCTGTCATCTGCCGAATTCGTTTCATGTAGTCTTGAACCATGTCTACCTTAGCCAGGGATGTTATCAATCTCCAAGCTTTTCTAGGGTGTTACGGAATCTATATCATACTGTAGTCAGGTAAGATCATCGCAAATCGATTTACCATGCTAATGCACTAATCCTGTACATCTATCTAAACTTTTACGAAACTGTACCTCCCATCACATCCATAATTATATCAATCATCCCGCGTATCACGTAGTATATCCGTGTCTCATACCAATAAATCCCTACCAATCACAGCTTGTAGCAAGAAGCTCAGCAAGCTGTTCAAGGTATTTCTTATCAACATCATCAAACCCAGAAGGCTCAGTGCAATCGATATCAATAATAGCAACAGTCTAAGAAAAGATCAGCCTCATCAATCCATTCAATTCCACGGGAATGGAAGAGTAAGGGTACGACAAACCTCTCCACGGATAATAATCGGAACGACAATCTCACTCCGACTCTCCGCGTCGCAGGCAATATGTCCTGGGAACTCGAGCACGTCTGGAACGACGAGGGTTTCCTGGTTTGCGGCTGCGGTGCCGCACACGCCTTTGCCGAAGCGGATCTGTTGGCATGCTGGCTTTCCGTGGAAGGGGCCTAGGAGGAGGACTTGGTTCTCTGGGGAGGCGTATGTGGTTGAGATTGTTACGCCTGCGACGCCGTCTAGGGGCGGGGAGGAGATTGGGGATGCGAGGGCGGGGAATTTGTCATCGCGGATGTAGAAGCCTGCCCAGTTTACGGACGAGGAGGGGGCTGGGAGGGCGGCGTAGGCGTGCCAGAGGAGGGAGGAGATGTTGGAGAGGTTGCTAGTGGGGTTAGTTTGAGGTGAAGGTGGTTGTGGTTGTGGTTGTGATGGAAGCTCACCTAACCTGTTGGTTTATTAGTTTTGGTTTTGGTTTGGGGGTTGGGGTTGGGTTTGGTGTGCTTGACTTACCCAATTGCGTTGTCCTGAGAGGAGACCCTCTGCTTGTTCTAGGAGTTGCTGGTAGACTTCGGCTTTGGAGGCCCCTGGGTAGAAGTATGAGGAGTCGGCGTGAGGCTAGTGTCGGTGTCAGTGTCGGGGGCAATTGCGGTTGTTGGGGAATTTGCATGTAGTTGAAAGATAGACATACCATTTTGAATAGAAATAGAATGAATGACTTGGATGCAGAGAATGGAGTATAACGCAGAAATCGAAATCAAATCTCAAAGTTCAATCGGTAAGTGGAGACCCGGTCGAGCTCCGTGCTTTTGAAGGCTTTTTTGATCTTGGTCTCGGCTATCGTTCGCCCAATCATAACCAACTTCAACAAAGAATCTTCCTTTCTCTATCTTTTTCTTTCAAGGCTGCTTCTGCTTCTGCTTTGCGGGGTAAGACCCAATATCTTAACCCTCCCGAAAATTTCTCGTTCGGAGCGGGGTTAAGAATTCCGCCGCGTTCTTTGATCCAGGCGCTTAGCCATTGGACTGGAGTTCAGGAACCCTGGCTTCCTTTCACTTCCTTCCTTTCGGCCTTAGCAGTCCAATCGACCGATCTTCCGTCTTCTAGATCACTCTCTTCCGGATCGGTTCGGGTGTCATGCATTGGTAGAGGGATGAAAGGTGGAAACGAGCCAAATAATCGATTTAGTTGGTGTCTTTGTACCAGTGCACGAATGATCTGATAGACTTCCACCTGAAGGATCGATCTAGCCCTCGAGATCGATCGTTTTTTGGTCTGGAAGCGACTAGGCCGTGAAAGCTGGCTAGAGAGTGCTTCGCTACCCTTGATCCAGCCATCGGCGTAGCTAGTGTGATAGAGTTGTTCTTGGACATGGACTTCGTTGGGTGTTATGCGTACCACGGGTCCTGTTTGTGCATGAGCATGAGTGATAGTCCTTTCAAGGTTAGGAATTTACCATATTTCTGGTGCATTCGATCAATCTCGTCCTCGAATGATCCTCCCAATGTAAAATACATTTCATATAGACCTGTGGCACCGGCGAGCCAGGGTCCGGGGTACTTGCTTAGTGGGTGAACATGTAGTCGATAGAATATCATAACCAGGCCATAAGCCAGGAAACTTCCAAGGAAAAACCACCCAATCATTTTAATTCTGGGGTTTTGATTTAGTATACACATAGATGGGACAATGCAAACTTGAAACTTGATGCTTATCGCGTACCTTTTGTATCTTCATTCACTTTGACTTTTGATTATGGTTGTACAGCATTAACTTAAATAAATGTCAAGCTGACGGGAATTGCTGCTAAAAAGAGCGCTTTGCATTCAGTCTCTTCGTACTTATACGGACCAACCGCTGGCAAGGTCTGTACACACCGCATCGCTGATCATCTCCACCAACACGCTGATTGGTTAATTAGCTCGTCATACCGCCAATCCCAACCCCAGGACCTCAAAAAATTCCCATCGTGGGATTTTTGGCTTGGTCTCCGGATTGGCGGTGTCCACCCGCATCCAGGCCCATCCACGTTTAATCGGATCCGAGACCTTAAGGTAGACCGCTACTTTTTTTTCATCTTTGTTGTTCGCGGTGATCTATCATCTGGCGCATATGCAGCACAGCAATTTACTTTGGGGACGTCATTCTGCATCGGGTTTTGGTGTGGTGGGGTTGTACGGGACTTTGAAGTTTTTGTTCTTTTTTAGCTTCACTGAAATGATTCGTCTGCAGAAGATCGAGATCAGTGATTATCTTTGATTTGCCTCTCTATGGGTCTATCCGCCTGTGAAATCACCCGGAACCACATTTGTGGGGTTTGCCATCGTCTCCGCTAAACGGACACGTGCATGATTAGCGTGGAGTGAGAGTTTGCGATTCGTTACACGGAGAATTGGATGGCGAATTTCGTGGTTCTAAGAGAACTATGAGATCAGACTGATGTGAATATGTTGTAGAACAACATGCACATGGCCATATATGGCACACCCTATTGCATGAACCTAGTCGGATCAAACCAACTATGACTGTCTACATATCAGATCTCACTATCTGTGGCCAATCAAGCACATAATCCTCCCTTGAATATTCAGGTAAGGCGCTAGAAAGGGGTCTCTCAGAACTATGTATGTACATAAGTACACCTTGATTCTCCACCTCACCTTACTTGTGGATCTCCTGCGCACAAGCCAGGCAACGGAGACTACTCTAAGCTTCAGCAATACGAGACCAGAGCACTGAAATTAAATGATATATTGATTTCATATTGTACAAGTTTCACCTGAACTACGATCAAATGTATTAATCCTTCTTCTCTTCTACTTCCCGTGCCTCTGGGGCAGTAGTGTGGCCGCTCAGGAAGCTGACAGCGCCCGGGCCTGTAAAGTTCTTCCGACCAGTGGTCACCCAAGTAATTATACTTAGAAGAGCAACGACCCCAATAGCAGCGCTGGTGTAGTTCATCGACTCGTGATTCACTGGATAGGTACTTGGGAAATTAAAGGTGATGGAAGCGAACAGCAGGAATATGAGTCCGATGGCGTTGAGTGCGATTGAGACTGGGACCGAGAAGGCGTATGGGCCATCCAGCTTGACAACATGCCCCGAAAAATATCCAAGTAATCTACTGCCGAGTGCCATGGCGTAGGATAGATCTATAAATTGTTAGAGATGTCATTCCATTGGCTTGCATGACTTACAGAATCCCTCAGTCGAGATCGAAATGACTGTCTCAAAGCCAGTTGTTGTACCAAATTCGATGGCATCCAACGCCAGCTGTACAACAAGAGTGAGCAAAACTGCATTCACAGGTACCTGGGTCTTGCTGTCGACTTTGCTGAAAACCTTGGAGAAAGGAAGTCCGTTGTCACGGGCAAAAGCATACACGGAACGAGATCCTTCAGCCAAGATGTTGTTTCCGGCAACTATAACAATCACAGTGATCAAAATGGATAGGATGCAAGCTGCAGCTTTACTGCCGGTGGAATCATAGAGGATCTGAATGACAGGCACTCCAGTGCTACTGTTGGCGGTCGCTGTGATATCGCCGATGCAAAAGCAAAGGGTAACAAGGAAGACGAATCCGGTGACCGCGCCCAGGATGACTGCGAGCACAATCGCTTTGGGGGCTTCTTTGGACGCAGATTTCATTTCCTCTGTCATATGTGAGGGTGCATCGTAGCAGCACATTCCAAAGCAGGCCTGTAAGATACCAATAATAGCGGCCATTCCCGTACCCCAGCCGGTTGAGTTCTCAAACTCCGAGAACACGAAGGAGGGTGATTGTTTGTGGTCATTGGTTGCAAGAAGTGTGATTGTGATGATGATAAAGGAGGCAACGTTCCAGATCAAGATGAACTTCGAGATTCGGTGGAGCAGATGAGATCCCCAAAGATTGACGGCGGCCGAGAGGAAAGCAATGAGGTAAGCCACGAGGACAGTCTGCCATCTTTCAATAACATAATCAGGAAATATGAGGTTCGCCATTCCCAGAACAAAGTTTGACGCAATCGAGTTGTTCGTCGCGCCCATCGCCAAGACACCTAGTCATCGCATTAGTGTGCCTTCGCGGTACCAAGAATAAACTCAGAAAGCGTACCAACAAGCATAAACCAGCCAGTAACGTAAGATAAACCTCGAGCAATCTTTGGAGGGGCTAGAGCAGCAACCCATGAATACTGGCCACCGGAAACGGGTAGCATACTGCACATCTCCGCCATCGGAATGGCCACGGCGAGTGTAAGAATACTGACACCGAGGAAACTGAAGATCATCACGGGTGGACCGCCGGAGGTCACTCCGACAATGAACACACCACTTAGAGCCGTCCAGCTAGAGTCTGTCAGTTTTGTCGTGAGGAATTTGGGATTAGTACTGACGATGTCACAACACTGAAACTAAATCCAATCATACTAAGCAATCCAAAGGAACGCTTGAGCTCTAGTAAGATGTTAGTATCCCAAACTTACACCCTTTTCCAATTCAGACTCACCCTGCTCGTAACCCAGGTTCTCCAGGCGAACATCTTCACTTGTGGTGCCTTTGAACACCTGCGTCTCGTCCTCATGCGACATCCTTGCGGCAAGTCCTATAGTCGACAGACAATACTTTCCGGGCGAAGGACATCCTTAAGAATATCGGAGCCCTGACACTATCATTACTACATCGTATGCTTCTGCTGCACCCCATGGAGAAACGCAGGAACGATAAGATAGATTGTCAGAACGTCCTTCCTGATCGAGAAGGTCTCCGCGACGCCGGTGGAGCCGGTCTGCTAGTCCCGGGCGGGCAGCGAACTTTGTTAGTGTCTTTGCGGGGACGCTTCAAGACCGCTGATAAGCGTTTGCATTTGCAGGGCCTGTCATTTGCCGGAAGCTAGTGGCTCGGTGCTGATATCGATTCGTGGGGTACACTATATGTCGTGGGAATTGAGTAATAAGATGTCGGAAATGAGTGGGAGAGGCTTGGTATCTCTTGGGATTGCCTTTGTTGTTTTAGCTCGTTCGGCTTAAGTGCTTTGACGGGTGATACGAAATCATGTTTGTGATAAGAGACTGTTGACCTTATTACTCCCTACGATGAAAAGTGTCTATATTGTACTAACCCAATCGGATGCTCTTAGGTGCTGCTCCGGTGATACTAAGGGTGATTTCCAAATTTGGTGCTAGGGTATAGGGCTTCGGAAGACCAAGCTTCCGGCCAAATACGCTTTCTATACGCAGTACACAGCGTACACGCAACACCAAAATTCAGGCCAAGGGGCATTTGATCGCGCTTTTCTGTTTTAGTTATCATCTCTCGCCGCTTTTGCTACTGACTGCGGGGAAGAGTTGGATACATTTGACCTACCAGTTAAAGTGATCTTAGACCCTGGTAGATCCTTTTAGAGGCCGATCCACCTCCGTCCACTTGAGCAGGCTACCAGCAAATGCCAGCACAAGGAGAAATGAGAGAAGCTTTCCATATACACTCGCACTAATTGTTCCTAGAGGTCAGCTGACCAGGCTTAATACTAATAGAATGTGGCAAAAAGCAGCTCGAAAGCACTTGAGGCAGATAATCATTTAATGTTGAAATGCCCTGGGCCATTTGGTCACTTGCCTGACTTTCAGATCCTAAACACCGCTTTGTAGCCGATGAGTTGACTGACTGCAATATCATAAATCTTTAAATATTTGTGTGATCCATCTAAGCATCGGCCTCCGCCTACTTGACTACCATGTTAGGGAAACAATTCCGCCTTCGACTCTGCCTACAAGTAGACAACTGGATGCTGCCAGACTTTTAGACAATCCCAAGCCAGTGCGAGGGGACTGAGGTCATTCCTTTGCTTCCTCTTTTTCTTCTTCTTCTTCTTCTTCTTTTTCTTTTCTTTTTTGAAGGATATAGAATCGACAGTATTGACACGGTTGAGCCCATGCTCTGGCTTTAAAGCGGCAAGCCCCCCCCCCCCAAGCACTTCAGTGGACCACGTGTACGGATATGTAACATTAGCTGCATACGGAGTGAGTTTATTAGCAGATTCAGCGAAACACCATGGTTCAAATAAATCAACCTGCATAAATTAAGACTACGACGAGTGGCATAATCCATTTGTACAGGCCACTACTCCCCCCACATGGGCAGTGGTTCGATATTTTGTCACTCAACATCTGGCCCGCAAATGCGGACCTCACAGTGGATAATGTACTACGGAAGACGGATACCCACTCTTCCGTAGCCACCATCAACCAACTACTTAAATCCAGATCGTGCAGCGAGTCTTCCCCCTTTCAACAATCCTCAATATTTCATCATGACAGCACAAATTCTTGCGGGCAAGACATGTCTTGTAACTGGTGGCGCAGGTGGGCTAGGAAAAGCCATTGCGACCAAATACCTCGAAGCCGGCGCTAATGTGGTGATCTGCGATGTCCATGAAGAGCGTCTACAAGAGACATCGAAAGAACTCTCGCCCATGGGACCGTTCAAAGCCCTGAAGACGGATATCACCAAGAAAAGCGAAGTGGAGAGTTTGTTCGAGCAGATTATCCAGGAATTCGGCAAGATCGATGTCCTTGTCAACAATGCTGGTATCATGGATAAATGTGATGCCGTTGCGGAAACCGATCCGGATGTTTGGGATCGGGTTATTGCTGTTAACCTGACGGCTCCGTTTCTGTTGAGCAGATTGGCTGTTCAAAATATGCTCGAGCAGGAGAAGCCTGATGGTCGCATTATCAATATTGTTTCTATCGCTGGAAAGGCAGGAGGTGTCTCTGGTATGTTGGTTCTTTTTCCTTTCTCCTTGGATAGCGCTTATAGTTCTAGGTGCCGCCTACACTGCAAGCAAGCATGGTCTCGTTGGCTTGACCAAGAATACTGCTGCATGGTATGGCGAGAAGGGTATTCGATGCAACGCTTTGATGATGGGTTCGATGCCTACAAATATTGCTGACTCGATGAGAACGGGCTTGAATGTGGATAATTTGCAGAGAGTGACGGGCATTCTTGGGGCACTCAGGGTCCCTCTTTGTGAACTGGAAGAGTGTGCCGAGCTGTCTTTGCAATTGGCTGGTGGCAAGGGTTTCAGCATTGTGAACGGAGTCTGCATTTCGGCTGACAACGGTTTCACCGCTGTTGTTGGTTGAGTTTCTTACTCATCAAATCCTCGGTAGGGGCCGTGTATATTGAACAAATTTGATATCGTTCTCGTTATCGTGGGTTTTTTAGCGTGAAGCCATCGAATAGTGACATTTGCAAGTCCAGCCGTATCAACGTTCCAGGGGATTCGCAACTGGCGGCGCTTCCTCCCACTGCTCCACGCCTTCGGGAATCTCCACGATCGCATGTTTAGTCCATATATGAACAATTCCCTTCATCATTTCCTTGTCCAATCCCTCAAGACAACCACTCTTGACGTTGGTAGTTGAAAAAGGGTTTGGTTTTTCGCCAGGCCTAGGTATCGCATCACGGAAGCGATGCAGCAATCGAGAACCACAGCTCTTGCAAAAAAGACATTCCATATGCCTCCCTGTGAGCGTGTTGCGAGTGTAGCTTCCAATATATTCGGACGTAGTCTCTGGAAGCTCAAAGTAAGGAAAAACGGCTGTGATGCCAAAGGCAGCAGAGCTTTGGTGGCGGCATTCGGTGCAGTGGCATGCGTAAAGTGCGAGTGGTTTGTCTGTTGGTGTTATGAACTGCACCTTGTAGCACTGGCAACGTGCCATCATTCCCATTTTGGTACTTATGCGGTTCCGATCTGGGGTAGGAGCTCCACGCGAGAAGGTAACAGAATGGCGATTTTTAAATCGGTGTACCCAACCCTCGGAGAAAGCGGGCTTTGGTAGATCTTGGTATTCGGGTATTTGGCCCCAGTATGTGGCTGCTTTGTATTGAATTAAAGCCTGGTTCGCCCGCTTTCCAGAAGCAGTATACCTCTCTAACCATTCCACAAGCTTTTGATCTAATATAGGCCATTGAGAGGATGATCTGCGCATACTGGGAGTCGCAGGACCGGTATCAAGATGCGCATATTTGGACGAAAGGATCCTTGATATAGTTGAGCGGGTAATTGAACGATTATACTTGGTCTGAAACCAAACAACACAGTCTCTTTGCGTAGGACGCGGGTCAGAATTGGCCCAATAGGCGCGCACAGCTTGTTTCTGTTCCTCTGATACACCCTTTCTTGAACGACGTGTTCCCGTACGTTCCACAAAAGAGGTGGAAGAATTTGGAGAATCCGGCATTCTGATTGGTCGATTTGGCTGAGTCGGGGCGAAGGGTAACAAATGTGTGAAATCAATGAATGGGAGATTTTATGGGTGAATGAGGCAGAAAAGTGGGTCCATACAAGACAAGTGCATACCATAACTCAGACTGTACTATAACCTGTACAATAATTGAAACTCTAAGGATTTAACCCAAATGTCACCAGTTCAAGGTTCCATTGGGTATTTGAATTTGTAATATTTTTGGTCAGGTGTGCTTCGAACAACCCCACTGCCATCCTAGCCTATGCTGACAATCATGAAAAATATTCAATAGTTCACCTAATTTACGGCATGGCTTTGCGCTCTGTATGTTTATCGAGGAAATAGGATTTCTAATTTGATGTGAATGATGCGGAGATTACGTACTACTGTTCAGGAAGGACTGGACGTTTTTCTCAAGTATGATACCCCAATGCGAGATCTTCCAAGTTACACCACAATGCGCTATGCTGCGAATGCACCTTAATTAACGGATCCACACACACCATACATAGGTTCGAGCCATCTTGATCGGTCGAGCGCAAAGTGGAGCAGCCAACGGACTATATTGGTTGTGACTCGGTTGGCAGAGAATGGCGAGGTATGCTTATCAGATCGGTATGTTCTCAAACACATGCATTTCATTGCATTTTCCTCATCAATTACGGCGAAGTGATGACGGAAGACTAGCTTGCAAGTCTGTGAGTAAGATAGCGCATAGGTCATGTTCTGTCCTAACGGGCTGCCTGTTGGGGGCAGTTCTCCGAGCCTTAACTAAGGGCCGCGCAAACCTGACCGAATTCGGAGATATTCAGTAATCCTCCTAGCGAGTAGGTGTGGGTGACATAAAGGGTAAATGCACCAGGTTGGAATTATGGTGGGAGGGGTAGGTGTGTTACCCATATGCAGGGGAATATCTCAAGTCCTATCATTTAGCTCTGCGGAGAGTAGCTTGGTCCTTGATGAACTTCTGCAGAGTCTGAAAAGGGCAAGCCGGGACAATCCATCTCGATCCAACGGCTAGGATGCACGGCCAAGATGAACCTGCTGCAACCCAAACCAAATAGATCCAGAAACATACCAACCAGAACTATCTTCTGACTCACACCTCAAGGGGCAAGCAACTTCAGGTGTGGTGGGTAGAGAGCAATAATAGTCACTCTTCCGAGACACCCACACACCACTGAAGAAATGCAGGTGTGCGGATAAAAGAGGCGCAATTAGTGGCATTTGTCATGGATCTCTACCAATCAAAAGCGATCCGTCCCTCCTCCTGGCTCGCTGATTAGGTGTCGGCTGATCGGGAACGTTGAAGGCGGCCGGCGCTCTGACTGGTCAGATATGATCTCCCTTGAGGGGTGCAGGAAACATTGGTTCGCCCTGATCTCTGAGTGGCCACTGCGCTCCAAGTGTCCGGCAGGAAGAACGTCATTTCCATTATGGATCTGGACGCGTGCGAATCACAGGATGACCCAGTCGTATCTCACGCATGACCGCCGGGCGATCAACCGCGCCTGGCCGGAGATCTTCAGCCCCCGTTTCCCTCTCCAGTTCAGCCATTCACACTGAATTGAGAATTGTGGATGATCTAGGATTAGATTTGGGAACATATCACTTTTTTGTTCCCGGGGTTTCTTGTCTTTGTGCCTTGGAATGAACTTCCTAAATGGTCACCAGGCTTAGCCGCGTGGGAAACAAGCCTGGGCTTGCAGGACTCACGATTCATGAAGGTTTCACAGGTGCCTAGCCGGAGCTTTTGTTTTTAAACAGACTGCATTCCTCTTTTTTCTTGGTCATTGGATGTTGACCGTTCTAATTCCGTCTGGGAAAAAAAATCATAGGTACACATGTGCATGCTTTATCTGCAAGTCTACGTGTTTTCCCCAGTGGAGACATCACAACCTAGACCAACTAGTCGGGTTATTACACGGCATATGCTGTACAGCAACGAATCAGTGGAGGAATTGGGATCCTGGTGGATCAACTCAGGCTGAGACTGAATTTGACAGTCTCATTTAATGGTACGTGAAGTTCTAGACTTTCATTTTTCTTTTCTCTCTCTCTTTTCTTCGTCAGGTACCGACGCCATCCGGGTATCGGATCCATGGATATCAAAGAAAGTGGATCTATTTCAAGCACAAAAAATGAAGAAAATGACGACATGTTGCGGCATGATTTGAGGACGGGCCTGAGTGGAACCCGGAATCCCCGCAACCTTGGAAGAAAAAAAACATAGAGAAACGGGAATTCCCACTGACATAAAGTAACGCAGATGCCCAAGAAATATACGGAATCATCTTCGGAATCCTCATATTACCCCTCTTCACTTAGCAGCTCATTCTCAGGTAAGTCCGACCCATTTTTATGGAATGCTTCTATATGGAATATCATTGGTTTCCATATACATATATCTTTCCCCTTCATTCCACATTCCAGTCGACACGTGTGCGCATTCCACAAAATTACGTCCATTTCTGATCTCGTGCATAGGCCTTTCTTCTCCTTCACCTCGTTTGTCACCGAGGGATCATCTTGAAACTTTGATTTCGAGATACGGCTACCCCACCCCAGTCTCCCTGTCCTCCTTGCGGGACTTGACCTCCACCTCATCAACTTATAATCCCCCTTCCCCGCGCTACCGCTACCGCTCGAATTCTCCTCCTATTGACGGCCTTGACTCTCTTGCTCTCTCCTCATCCACCCGCCCAATCCCCATCCCCAGACGGGCAATCCGTGTGTACGACGACGATCTCCCCGTCACACCACTCACAGGTCGTTTCGACCACGAAGACTACATTGACGATTGGGAACGTGCCTCCTTGTCCGCCAAGTCCCGGCACGTTTTGCCTTCTCGACCATCCGGCCGCCGCGGTCGATACTCAAGCATGCGCTCTGATACCTCTCCCTTCTACTCGCCGGTTGCTTCGCCCACCATGTCTCCTAGACGACCAAATTCACCTCAACCTTCTCGCTCCTCAGCCAAAACCATGCCGGGCTTCCATCTTGGAACTTTGCCCCGCTTCCACCCCGCTGTCTACCAGCCCGGTCCTTCATCTCACACCGTGACGAACCAGCCGCCATCGCCACGTCAATCTCGTCAGAGTCATGGCTACCGCACAACCGGATCTCGAGAGGTCAAATTCCAGTACCGTGATCTTTTGGATGGTTCGAACCATAGCCCGTCCGCGCCGCGCCTGGACCCACTTATTAGTCCCGGCCCGGTCACTCCCCTTGCTCTTGAAGCTGGTGATTACATCGCCGCAGGGTCGATCAGCAAGGAGCGTACCATGCCAGGTACCACTAACCAGCATGTTGGACCACCACCCGACCTGGTGGAAAAGCTCATTGCTCGAGAAAAGGAAATGGCTCGCCAGATGGCCCGCAAATCTCCAAAGGGCCGATGACGAGATGGCTTGAGCCAATATTTACGCACGGATACTTCGGCAGCTACTGCTACTGCGTGAAGGCCGTTGACATTGACTTTTCTCCCCTTCTTCTTCTTCCTATTCTTCCATTGAAAGACTGAGACTGATTGACTATTGTTCTTTCACGCATGCCTATTTTTCGGCGTTTCGGGCATGAGAATACGGTCATAAGAAGTACAGCATCAGACCGCGCATGGGGGTTTTTTGTTTTCCTTATCCTCATCTCCTATTTCTTCGAATAACACCTTCCTGGTGTTTCTTCTTTCCTTGCGAAATCATGTATCTATACCCCCTTAGTCCATCTTATGCATATTTATTCAATCCATGACTGATCCAATGGACATATACCTACTACATTTTTCAATTCCAGTAATCCACGTTGAAATCCGAATATTCTCATCCTTCGACACTTCTGTAAGGCCTGATTTTTAGGGCAGAATGGCCAAAAATCCCAAAGATGCAATGTGTGTACGCTTCGAGCGAATCGTTTGGGAAAGGAACGTAGCACTTCCAACAAAGAAGGCACGACTTCACCACCTTTTCTTCTTCTCTCTTCCCATCTTCCACTCACGTTGTGTTTGTGGTGGAGCTTCTCTCTCTCTAGAGGCTTCTTCTTGCCTCCATCTTCATATCCATGCACTCGCTTCCTCCCCTCCAGCTACCATACCTTGTACAGGTTATGAATGCTGTGTTCCGGCGATACTGGTTCTAGTAATTCATGCCCCTCGGGCACATCTTTGTACAACTTTTTTGCAAGTTTTGACCAGTTCGGAAGCCTCATTTTTGGCCTTTTTGACCACATTAACACACCTTTTACCCACCATGCCAACCCGTCTTCTCACTTCTCATAGAAATGTCAGCCTATCAGAAATCAACTTTCTGCACTTTGTTCACTTCAATGCTCGCTGCCCAGGCACCGCTCTTCTTATTCACTTTACTGCCTACAACTCACCGTTGCCTGCTTTCCTCCACAAGTACTTTCCTTCGCGTCCTCTGTCTTTCTTTACTTCCCCACCCCAACTTTCAAGTTTCGCATCAAGTTTCTACCACAACCGCAATCCCCCCTCAGGACGCATTCTCGCTACCTTGGACGAGAGGTGGGTTTCAATTTCTTTTCTAATCTGTCGTTTCACTCCTCACTTACTTCGTATCTGCACAATCGCTGATGGAAAATCATTTCGCCCCATCACTCGCTTTACCCAGCTTGACCGAACTCCCGATCACACGATCAACACAATGCCTCCCAAGATTACCTCCCTTTTCAATTTCACACGTTTCTTTATCTTCATCCGCTTTGTCAACTCCATCGTCAAAGTTGTCCATTCCTCGTGTTCCCTATCTTTATCAATCTTGCCCAGTCATTCTGTGTGAGATTTGGTTCAACTGACCCTGGCCAATTAGGAATTCGAACAGGAACTCAACCGACCTTTCTGTCAATCATTGTTTTCTGGAGCTAACTGAGATACACATTCGAGATGTTTGGCTGACAAGAATTAAAGAAACAAAGTTTTGTGTGACGTTGGGTTTTCCTGTTTGATGCGGAATGAATGCAGTGTTGATGGAGCTGGTTTTGGCACCTTAAGAAGACAGACTGCCCATGCGGACTGAATTCTTTCTGTTGTTGAGATGAGATATCGGCGCATGATGTCCCAATGTATCTTGGGGATTGACACGACTGAATACGAGAATCAAGTTCTGGCTCCTGTTATCCTGACTGCTCCCGTGGAAGGATGAAGTGTCATCCTCTCCTACGTGGTCATGTGGAAAAGACCGAGTGCCATTGCAAGCTCTTGCCCGTGGATTCCAGGTACCTCATGTGGAAAGAAGTTTAACATATTGCGAGTGTTGCCTGGCTGAGTATCGTCTTCACGAAGACCGTCTCGCTTGTTCTCGCTGAAGTTCTCACACCCCAAATGCAAGCCGATCGTTTTGAGGAAACGCTCCTTGTGATTCACATCACGAGGGTTGATCCCCAATGACGGGCAAGTGCAGTTCCCAACAAAATATCGAGGAGCAGATACCGGTCTGAAGATTGAAATCCGAAATTTTGAACCCCGTCAGTGGAAGAAGTTATGAAGTCAGTAAGTTGACAATCTAAAATTCTCCCAAAAAATTTCTTCTAGATTCAGTGAACAATGATCAGAAAAGTGTCATTTCGTTGCTCTAGCATAACATCAAGGATTCACGGTAAGTGGTCAGTATGATTTTTGATCGCTGATTGGTTAAAGTCTTCATACCTGAGGTGTCTGCGAAATCGGAGCTGATCCCGGAGCTGCAACATTTCTCCCCGAAGAACGAGTGGATGCGGGGCCTCTAAGGCCCATCATTCAAGAGTTTCGTTTCTTCTCTTCACCCTTGTCAATTGCATAGATACCACAGGAATTCGGACCAGGACCCCGCGCGATTTCTTTCCCCTCGAAAACAATTTCATCCGCAGCCTTACCGACAGCAATTGACGCTCTTGCTCATCGCGCGACCACCTTCCGCTTCATCGAGACGCGCCGACGCCTCACTCTTAGTTTCCTCGATTAACAACATCGGCGCAGGCGCCCCTGTTGTTTTCAGATTTTTAAAATGACCGAACAAAGCTCTATACCGAAAGGAATGGGCAGTACGAATCTCGCGCCAGTGCCTGCAACAGCACCAGCTCCCGCTCCCTCGACCAATGACTACAAGGGCTTTGTAGGTGGCGTATTCTCTGGTATCGCAAAGCTGAGTGGTATGTTGTTTCCAACAGTGCTTGTCCCCTTGAAGCCTTTTACAGTCCCATGAGCGATTGCTGACGCTCTGCATCTCTAGTCGGCCATCCGTACGTTTCTCGAACTCTATAGTACGCCCAAGCTATCCTTACTTACCGTTTTATTCCTGAGTAGCTTCGACACAATCAAGGTCCGCCTCCAAACCAGCAAAGATGGCCACTTCCGGGGACCCTTAGATTGCACCATGCAGACATTACGGAAAGAGGGAGTGCGGGGATTCTATAAGGGTGCAAGTCCACCGCTGGTTGGATGGATGGTGATGGACTCTGTGTGGGTGTACCTTACACGGCTTGCATTTCAACGCTAACATGGCTCTTCGTGGTAGTATGCTTGGGTCACTGACGCTATACCGACGGTTGTTGCTGGAGAACGTCTTTTCCAACCCGGGCCTCCGCCCTTACATCCCTTTTACAAAGAGTCAACCTGACTTGAAAACGCTCCCAACAGTCGGCCATGGTATCGCCGGTGTCTTCTCGGGAATGACAGTCAGTCTCGTTGCTGCCCCAGTTGAACACATCAAGGCTCGACTTCAAATACAATATTCTGCCGACAAGAGCAAGCGCATGTACAGCGGTCCCATCGACTGTATTCGCAAGATTGTAAGCTATGATAATACATGGGCAAAATGAATTGTGCTGACAGGTTGGATTTAGTATGGCTCACACGGCATCAGTGGAATTTACCGCGGCCTGTGTGCCACCATGCTCTTCCGCTCCTTTTTCTTTTGTTGGTGGGGCTCCTACGATCTGGTCACTCGCTACATGCAGAAGAACACTAGTCTATCAGCACCTGCCATCAATTTCTGGGCTGGAGGCATCTCAGCCCAGGCCTTCTGGGTTGTTGCTTACCCGGCAGACGTGGTGAAACAGCGTTTGATGACAGATCCGATGGGCGGGTCTCTTAACGATGGCAAGAGACAGTTCCACAGCTGGAAAGATGCGGCTGTAGCTGTTGGGCGTGAACGTGGGTGGAAAGGCTACTTCCGGGGCTTTGTGCCATGCTTTATCAGGGCGTTCCCGGCGAATGCGATGGCCCTGGTTGTATTCGAGGGAGTGATGCGCGCCTTGCCATGAACAAAACTTTTATGAGTCTGAGATGTACATATTAAGACTTGAAATAGTCGCACAAAAGAACATAGACATATACCAATATCACTAAACACATCCATCACTATTTCCCAAGTCTTGCGCTTCATCCGACGGGAGCGCACATGTCCGAGCTCAGGAATGTTCATGATCCAAACATATGGCCGCATTCGGTGAACAGGGACTCGACCGCTGTTTCTGGAATCTCGGCATCTCCGGTAGGTGGATTCCGAGAGATGCTGTCTTTGGGTCCATTGTGGCCGCTGATAGTAAAGTCGAGAGTTAGTCAATGTAGTACTCCGTACTCCGGTGGTCAAAGAAGTGCCCACCATCCATGTCTCTTTCCGGGACAAAGTACAATTCAAGGATTCACCTTTCTCTTCCTTCATATTTCTCATCTCGTGCATCATCGGTATTAAAACGCCAGAGATTATATTCACTCGTTAGCGCAATTTAGGTAAGGCAAGGTTTGGCTATCAGACCCTTGCTGCCTGAGGCACAAGGCTAATCGCCGTTTCATATTGAGCATCCGGCCAACTTCCAACACTTGTACACCTTCTTGGACAATTTGTTCGAAACGGCCATGGCCGTCGCACGCTCAATGCGACGTACAAGTCCAACCAGCCTTGTGCTGGCAGCTTTGTTGGCTTTTGGCTTCATCTGTTTCCTATTATCGCCCTCGACGCCCTCCGCAGCAGCCGCCGCAACATCGCAACAGCGACAGGACAACGCAGCTGAACACCCTCTTTCCCCACCGACGAAACCCTTCCTCAAGTCACAGTCATATCGAAGCGATGGTTCCCGAGCTGCTCCGCCCGTTGTTCATTACGACCTCAACAACCTCACTAGCACGAGCACCTCCGCGGCCAACGGCGAGCGAATCCTCATTCTCACGCCTCTAGCTCGCTTCTACCAAGAATACTGGGATAACCTGGAAAGATTGAGCTATCCGCACGAGCTTATCTCTCTCGGCTTCATCGCTCCCAAGACAAAGGATGGAAACGCAGCCGTCACAGCTCTAGAAAAGGCCATCTCCCGCACGCAGTCGGGCCCCATCGATGACCGATTCGCGAGCATCTCCATCCTGCGCCAGGACTTTGACCCGCCCCTCCAGTCCCAAGACGAAAAAGTCCGCCACCAGATGTCCGCGCAGAAAGAACGCCGAGAGTCAATGAGTCGTGCACGGAACAGTCTCGTCTTCACAACCCTCGGCCCAGGCACATCATGGGTCCTCTGGCTTGACGCCGATGTCGTCGAGACTCCACCAACGCTCATCCAGGACCTAACACACCACGACCAACCTGTTATCGTACCGAATTGTTTCCAGCGCTACTACGACTCCAAGGAGCGCAAGTGGGACGTCCGTCCCTACGACTACAATTCCTGGATCGATAGCGAAGAGGCTCAGAACTTGGCGGCTAATATGGGACCCGATGAGATTCTTCTGGAGGGTTATGCGGAGCTTCCCACATACCGTACCCTTATGGCGTACTTGCCTGACTTTAATGCACTCGATCCGCTCCGCATGGTCGCCCTGGATGGCGTTGGTGGGACTGCTCTGATGGTCAAGGCAGATGTACATCGCGACGGTGCCATGTTCCCTGCGTTCCCGTTCTATCATCTCGTCGAAACGGAGGGCTTCGCTAAGATGGCGCGACGATTGGGTTATGCGGTATTTGGGCTGCCGGATTATTTCGTATGTCACTGCCTTTCAACTTCGTTATGGTTCATGCTAACATTCACTTAGGTTTACCACTATAATGAGTAAGGATACTCATTTTCGGTTTGGATTTCACACATACATGGCCGCGCGCCGTGCGCCGGTCATGTCTTAACAGGCCAAATTGTATTTGGTCAACATCTTTCGGCGTCTATATTCTTGGGCTTTTGGTGTTTTCCTGAGTTGGCTTTTTCTCCATTTTTTCCCCTTTATATCTGTAGCAGAAGTTCAAAATTGATTTCTTTTCCTGTCCGCATAACGAAAATGTCGATTGGTCTTTATGGTCAAGTTGCTGGTCAATTCGGAGTATGTTGGTGTTAGATGTGATGATTCGAGTACATTTGAATTCTAGATGGTCGGTTTGTTCTTGATTGATGTTTCCTAAACGTACAACTGGTATTCCCACTAGGCTTATGTTTATTTATAAACTAAAGTGGTGATACATTTCACCTCATCTACTCAACCCTCATGAGGCTTCTTTTTCCTTATTGGTGGAGCAGGCACTTTATACCAACTAGTCCGAGCTTGGCAATGCTTAATGCCAAGAGATTCTATGAGCAAGTTAGCAAACATCATCGAATACAGGCGGAAATGCGAAGTACTCACGCAAGCATAATCCCCGCGCCGAGAGCAACAGCCAAAAATTGCGTAATGGTCTTGCGCACCTCGGCGCCCTTGTCCTTTCCAGTCTCCAGCAACTCGGGAATAACAGCCACAGTCCCAACATACAAGAAGGTTCCCGCTGTAAAGGGAAGTAGCATGTCACCCCAAGTAAGGCTTGTACCCCAAAGACCAGAAGTAGGGGCATCCTCCAGCCCAGCACTTCCGCCAAACTCCTGTACCGCAATACCGATCAACGTACCCAGGAAGGCACCTACGGCGGTGACGAACTGCGCGCCCATGGCCTTGCGCTTCGAGAAGCCAGACTGGATGAGCAAAGCGAAGTCACCTACCTCATGCGGGATTTCGTGGAAGAATACTGCAACGGTAGTGGTTGCACCGAGGGTAGGTGATGCATAGAATGACGAGGAAAGAGCTAGACCGTCCGTGATGTTGTGTGTGAAATCCGCAATTAAGTTAAGGTATCCGCCCAGCTTGACGCTAGGGTTAACTTCCTTTTCCTCTTCAGGGGCGGCAGAGATGGCGTCGGACTTTTTCGACTTGCGCTGCTTCAGATCACCGGTCGCCTTGTCAGTCTCGGCACTGCTTGTGGATGCAGATACAGCCTCTGGATGTGCGTGGCTGTGCGAGTGGTCGTGACCACCGCCGCCTGTTGCGATGCGCAGTGTCTTGTCCATTGCTACGAAGGTGAAGAAGCCGACCATGATTCCTAGTCCGAGAAGGAGGTTCTTGTTTGGCTCGACCATTACGAAGCTGACGTGATCGGGGGAGTCTTCACCGAGGAAAATTTCAGGGAGGAGGTGGAAGAGCGTGTCACCTAGTAATCCACCGACGGCGAAAGCGACCATGACGGATAAAGAAGATGGGTCAATGTTGGGAGGGCATAGTGCCAGGAGGAAGTCTAGGAGGGTTAGCATAGTACATCTGTGTCGAGGCCTCTTCTAGGTACATACTGGGTGGACCGGAAATATACAGCGTCGCGAGCAGGGCGTTCACGGCGGGGCTCCCTGGGAAGAGAACAGCGAATATTTTCGCTGTAAAGCTCGTGGTTTCCGGGACTGTGGATCTTTTGTGCTCATTGAGGGATTCAACAAGAGGGCAATTCTAGGAATGTTAGTGTAAATTTGATGTGAAAGAACAACAAAGTGCTATATACCTGCAGCTGTTCTTCGATCTGGCTAACAGATAGATCTTCAGGACGAACATTGGCCGCGGCCAATGCTGAAAATAAAAGACATCCTGCTGCGATGGCAAAGCCTGTCCGACGAGAAAACATCGAAGCCATGGTGTGTAGCAAAGAGAAGTCTCCTGAGTTGGAAACCAAAACAAGCCGTGGGGTCTTATCGACCCGTTGTCAAACCACTTATCGGACCCTGATAGTCTGAGCAAACTTCACCGCCTTCCGTGCGGAGTGGGAAAAAAAAAGTTTCTGGGCCGCGCAATCTGAAATCCAATACCAATACCACTTTTATACAACAAAATGGGTAAACTCCTCCAGAAAAAGAAGAACCGGTCCGGCTTGTCCAAGGCCCGGGCGAAGAACAACCGCCTGAAGAGCGGTAACAAGAAGATCAATGTGTTGGGCAACGCCATCATCGCTGAGAACTGGTATGTGATCCGCAGAAAAAATCAACTAAATTACGCTAACAACAGAGTCTAGGGACAAGAATCTCACCCTGACACAAAACTACAAGAACCTCGGTCTTCTTCACAAACTTAACGCCCCCGCCGGTGGTCGCGAACGTCTCCCTGGAACAGAAAACGACGGCGATGCGTCGCACTCCCTCCAGATCCGTGATAGCGGCAAGGCCGCCGCTCAGATTGACCTCGGCGAGATCCGCGTCGAGCGCGATCCTGAGACTGGAAACATTGTGCGAGTCATTCGGGACGACGATGAGATCGAAGTTGCGGGTGTCAAGCGCCGACGCGCGAACCCTCTTAACGACCCTTTGAATGATATCGAGGATAACGCTGTGCAATTCCCCAGTTCATCGGCCACCGATGTAGTGAAGAAGCTAGAGCGCCAAGCCAACAAGGAAGGCGTCGCTGAGAAGGTTAAGAAGCCTCGTCACCTGAGTGCTCGTGAGATCGAGTGGGTCTCACGACTTGTCGAGAAGCACGGAGATGATCTTTTGGCTATGGCGCGGGACCGCAAGCTCAACCCTATGCAGCAGAGCGTGGGAGATTTGCGGAGAAGAATCGACAAGTGGAAGCAGTCTCAGGAGTGATATCTGGGCTTCTCTAGCATTCGGTTACGGCGATTCGGGCGTTCTCTGGGTTGTTTTTCAGAAAACAAAAAGTGGTCTAGTGTTTTTACGCATATCCATGACAGATAAATCTTGAGCAGTACATAGTGGCTCTGGTCGAGCAAATATTATACTTTCATATCGTGACTATACATTATTGGCTTAGGGTTGAGTATGTAACGGTGGTCGTGTCAGCTGGCGGGACATTCATGCGCTGAACAATCCGCACCCAACGACGACGTCGCCATTCTCCCACTCCGTACGAGGCAGGGGTTCCTTCTTCCCAGTCCTTAGTAGACCTTTTTCGGCTTTCTTTTGCAGGTCCCTGATTTGTCTCTGGTGGCAAGTCTCCATATGCCATTGCGGTCATCTCTGCTTCTTCACTGGCAGACGGCTCAGCAGGAAGGTCCCAGACCCAGCCTCCAACCTCGTCGACGATAGCGTGGCCTTCTGGTATCACGCCTGGGATCTCGAAGCCAACGCCAGTAATCATGCGCTCCATGACCCACTCTCGACAATCCAAGTCGAGTTCCCACTTCTTGCTCTTCCACTTCCATCCAGATGGAGTGCGGACATCGTCAAAAAATCGACACCCACGAGGCCGATCGCCTGCAATGCGAGACGGAGACAATGGGTCATATGGTAGTGGGCTAAACAAGAAATTCTCCCAACCAGATTCTGAAGTCCCTTGGGCTCGGTGTTGAATTTCAAAGATTTCGACCTCTCGCTCTTCCGGTTCGGTGTCTAGCGAGATGTCCGCGAACTTTTCCAGAGCAGAAACAGCTGCAGATGGCGTTTTCGGGACCGGCTGTCCAAACAACTCATGCTCAGCCTCCTCACTAAGGGGGGCATCTTGATCCGGTACTCCGCTCACGTCCTGCATCAAGCCTTGACAGAAATGTCGCACCGCGGGGTTGTTCCACAAGATACCTCCATTTCCGGCCGCTAGCATAACCAGTCGAAGCGGTACAAGATGGGCTGTCAAGAATAAAAAGACTGCGGCGACTGTGCATCCTAAAAATAGAGCCGAGGATAATTTCTCATTGGAGAAGTTAGTAGTTGGCGCAACGACAGAGACCAGTGCATCATGGGCGTCGGAGAAATCCGCCATGACGTTTTGAAGATCACGCATGTTGCGGAAGAAGTCCTTGGAAGTCTCAGGAGCCGGCTTGATCGTTTTTGCTGGTGCTAGTGCTGGTCCTTCATAAGAGTAATAGGGTGTCGTGCTGGAGGTAGAGGTAGAGGGTGGCGGAGGGTGTCGAGTCACGAACGCTGGTACCATGACGAAGAGTAGAAAGATCACCACTGGAAGCACCAACAAAAGATGCGGATCCAAACATATAAAGGAATATACAAAGAGGAAAGACAGGGTGTGTGTTGGTGTTTTCCAGCAAAACAGACCCTCTGCCTGTGACTGGAAGAGAAATACCACACCGATTCTATATAAGATCAGTCTTAACCATCATTAGATACTCAAGCAGACAGCACTGACCTGGCATTGAATCGGCGAAAATTATTTGTCATTGCTGGCAGACTAAATGGTGGCTTTTTTGGAGAGTTCGCCATGGCCTTGTCTCCGGTGTTGCGTTCCGCATCATTATCTGCGGGGATAACTTGTTGTAGAAGACTGGGTTTATATCAGAGACTGCACTTGTCACATGCATATCCAGATATTAGGCAGAAGCTTACTTGTTAAACAGCCGGTCCTGAATGGAACCTTTCGACATGGAGGATGATCGTGAGTGTGCGCTGTCAGGCGAACCTTGCCTCTGGCGCCGCGGCTTCAACGTGGACAAGCCCGAGGGCGAGGCGGGTTCGTTACGGTTGGCCCGAGTCTCTGGAACTGGATCATCCATCTTGGAAGACTGGTAGCATGTTATACAAACCTGGGGGTAATAAGGTAGATAGAGAGGTGAAGAGGAAGCCGAGGAGAGATATTTCTGTGGTTCGCACATGCTGCACATGCTTGTTGATCAAAGTTCACACCTGATCAATCAGGCAACGAAGAATTTTATTTCTATTCTATGTGTATTGTCAATACAATATTACCACCAGGGATCGACACGTTCTATGTGGGGTTCACTACCAATTGACGGGTAATTTAATATTATACCCATACAAACGGTACAATCAGGGGAAGTTCCGAGACTAAAAGTCATTCGCGATTCTGTTCCTTTTCGTTCTTTTCGTTTTTTGGTCTTTTTTCCCTTCTGACTCTTCCACAGAACGCATTGAGTGTTTCTTTGTCTCATTTTTGATCCCCTTTTGTGCTGCTTTGTTGGTGGATCTTGATATCCTGCGACCGCCTAGCACTTGCCCCAGCAACACGACCAAAAGCTACACCAAAATTATTTCTGGGTGATTGGAAATCTCCCACCTTATCATCTCCCCCTTTACGTCCCGAACACACACTACCTCTGGCATCGCATACGGTCGTTCCTTTGTTACGCCCCGATATGGACAGGTAACCGCCATTTGACGAGTCGCGCGACTGTGCTCAAGGCTCTTCCGAGTGGGGAATCGAAACCCGCTTTCTCCTGAATGCCATTGCAGTTAGTCCCTGGCATTTCTCGGTTTGGTCAGCGCCACGGGCTGTCAAATTAAGGATCGCCACCGTCACAATCGGACCGTGATGGGGACCATGCCTGTCAGACCACCTCAAACTCCAGGGAGGGGTCGAGCTGGTTCCGTCCAATCTCGCTCATCTAACCCCTCTATGAACGATGATTCGGGCTCTGGAGGTAAGATAGATCAGAACTAAGCTCTGCACCGCAGTGGGATGAAAGCTAATACTATATTCAATAGCGGAAACCCCCGCCCGCAGACGCCTTGTAAAGGCCGCTTCAACCACGTTCCACACGAATTCTACGACCAATCTTGATTCACGCTCCTCGAGAGGGGTAGCAGGCCCCCGTATTGCGGGAACAAATCGCAGGCAATTGTCTGTTAGAGGCAATGCCCCTCAGGGGCCGCGACCACAGGACGCTTCGCGTTGGAGGTGGGTGTTGACTGCCCCTGACTTGTTGGCTCGCCGGCGATCAATGTTTTGGTAAAAATAACTAACTATGAATATTCTGTAGCAAACCATCCGGTGGCTACTTTCACTCCGAAACATCCTCAGTCGACTCTACGAATGATTCTAAAGGCTATAACCTCCGATCTACAAGTGTGGGCAATTTGGCGAAACACGACAGCACTCAAATCCCTCCAGACAGCATGGATTTCTTGGCGCCAATCAATTTCGACGACTTCCATAACAGCATCATGGCAGAACCCAGCTTGAATCATTTCCCCATGCCGGGAAATGGAGGTGCTGGCTCTGAGAATCGGGACTCTGGCCTGTCAACCAACAGCTCATGGACAAATAACAGCTACGAGAGCAATATCTCGGATCGCACAAGGAACGCATCTGCCCGTCGAAAGAGTGAAGTATCGCGCTTCCATGGCCAGAACGTTCCAAACCCGGGGCTGCTCACAACCTCAGGCAACACCCGATCGCGACGTCAAAGTCTCGCCCAACCCCCGGCCAATGGAGTTAACAGTCCCAGTACTGGATCGCGTCCCTCTCGCAAATCTATCAGCTCTGGCGCATTTGCGCCCACCAGCGCTTCAGCGAGACGTGCCAGTTTAAGTGCCCGCAAGGTCAGCACCGACCCATCGCGAGACCCGAACAATTTCCTTCGCCCGCGGGGTACACAGGCGGACTCGGGACGGGATGAGCCTAGAGTTCCCTCCTCGGTGCGAAGCCTCAAGGCAAAGTCTTTCCAGCCAAGTGCGCGTGAACCGCGCGGGCCTTATTTGACTACGTCTGGGACCTCGGACCACAGCCGCTCATCTTCCACTAATGCGGTCCGTACACCGGTCAAGAATGCGACCGGAAATCCTGCTGCTACGACGCCCACTTGTTCATCTTCCAAGCGTATGTCTGTCATGCCACATGCAACTGGTTTAGGCGCCCGCACTATCAGTCCCACGGATGCACGTCGCATGAAGCGAACGTCCATCGCACCTCCTGCACCTCCTATGCCACATACCCCACCCACCCAAACTGAGCCCCTTCCCGTTCGACCTCTTTCGACGAACCAATCCCCTTCCTTCCTCCCAAGAAAAAGCATCACCCCATCCTCTAACCGGACAACGCCAGATCCCAACCGCAAGTCCTACAGCTCTGGTTTATCGCTGTCATCAAACACTAGCTTTAACTCGATCCGGAACTCCAGCAGCTCGCTTCAGCCACGGCTTTCTCAGAATTTCTCATCGTCGCGATTGCCCACGCCGAAGCCGCGTACAGACCAATCCGCTTCGAATGGGGAGGGAGAAGTGCCTCCAGTTCCCGCAATTCCCAAGGCTTATGAATCCCCGAAGGGTGAACTGGACGCGCCGGTCTTTCCGGCCCCAAGGAAGTCCAGCTTACCAGTGGACATCAGCCAATTGCACATTACGCAGGATTCTGAGATGGAAACCCAGGGTCGGTTCAGCACTACCGGCGACGACAAGAATAATGACTTTACGACTGAGCGTGCGGCGAAAACGCCAGAGTCGCGAACACGAACCTCGACGGTTTTAGGTCGCAAGGGACTGCAACCATTGAAGTTGCCTCCTTTGAACCTCCTGCCTTTGGGGACTCCAATGACGACCAAGATCGAAGCTTTGAGAGACCGGGAAGCGGAGGATCGAAAATCTTACACCCCATCTAACCAAGTCATGTCGAAGACACCCAGCACGCCGATGACCGCATCAAAGGCATCTAACTTTTGGTCTTTCCGCGATGATGAAGATAAAACACCTGCGACTCAGGTCCGGAGCAGTACATCACACTTTGCCATCAGCTCTAGCTCCACGGCAGCATTGCGGACTGCCAGCAGTACCAGCGTGTTCGAGTCCCTCGACACACCCAATGGCACCCGGAACATCTCACCATATGCATCCTACACACTGCCCAAGAGCAGTAGCGAGTTCAATGCTCTCCGTCATCAGGCTAGCGGCGATTACTCAAACAACCGGACATCTCATTCGTACAAGTTGACAGGTCCACGCCCGCAGACACAGAGTGCCACATTTACACCTGCCGCAGAAAGACTGAGTCAGATATCGACCCCATCTGAGCCGGAAAGCACCACTGCGGTGTCTAACCCTTCGCTTCGGGATCGCTTGAATGTTGCACGAGTTCGCAGCAATTCCAAGATAACCGCCTCTTCTGATACGGATGCCGATTCAGCTAAATACGATCACATGCCACCACCCAAGCTCCCAGCATCCGCAACATGGAATAACTTGTCTTCTGCGTCTTTGAATAGTCCTAGCGTCAAGACATCTTATCTCAAGCCCCGCCGTCAATCATCTGTATCGAGCATAACCAAGCAATCATCTCCTCGCAAACCCAGTGTCAGCAGTGAGCAAAGCTTCAACCTGGAACCAACTCGGTCTAATGATTCTGCTACGAGTCTTGAGCCCTCGCATGTCAGGCCCAACAGCACATATGTGTCTCCGGTGCATAAAATCATCAGCTCTGCTCGCTCCAGTGCCGCGGCATCTTCTCGGTCAGCTGATGCCAGTGTTGACGCTGACATAGCAGTGGCAGATGAGGAGATGCGGAGGCTTGGAGCCAAACGGAAAGACTTTGAAAGTGCCGCCAAGGCGCTGGATGAATTGCGTCGCAAAGCAGGACCAAAGGATCGTGTCAGTCCCGCTTCGGCTCTTAAGATGGCCAACTTGAACATCTTTGAGCGAGGAGAAATCATCGATTACCGAGACATCTTCTTCTGCGGGACTCAAAATGCGAAGAAGCATGTCGGCGATCTCCACTCCGGCGCTGCAAACTTTGGATATGATGATGACCGTGGTGACTACAACATCGTGATGGGCGATCACCTCGCATACCGCTACGAGGTCGTAGATGTCCTTGGTAAGGGAAGTTTCGGACAAGTCGTGCGATGTGTCGACCATAAGACTGGTGCTTTGGTCGCAATCAAGATCATCCGGAACAAGAAACGGTTCCATCAGCAGGCTTTGATTGAAGTCAATCTACTTCGAAAGCTGAAGGATTGGGATCCCGATCGCCGCCATAGTGTGGTCAACTTTGTCGAGAATTTCTATTTCCGTGGCCATCTCTGCATCTCCACGGAGCTCCTGGGAATTAATCTTTACGAGTTTATCAAGGCACACGATTTCCGCGGGTTCAATATCAAGCTGATTCGGCGGTTCACCAAGCAAATGCTCAGCAGTCTTACCCTCTTGCACGCAAAGAAGGTCATTCACTGCGATTTGAAACCGGAGAATATTCTTCTGGTTCACCCGTTGAATTCTGAGATTCGAGTCATTGATTTTGGCTCTAGTTGTTTCGAGAACGAAAAGGTTTATACCTATATCCAAAGTCGTTTCTACCGTTCACCAGAGGTCATCTTGGGCATGTCCTACGGTATGCCCATCGATATGTGGAGTATTGGATGTATCCTGGCTGAGCTGTTCACCGGTTATCCTATCTTCCCTGGTGAGAACGAACAGGAGCAATTGGCCTGTATCATGGAAGTCTTTGGTCCTCCAGAGAAGCACCTAATCGAAAAGAGCACACGCAAGAAGTTGTTCTTTGATTCTTTGGGCAAGCCACGTTTAACTGTCTCGTCCAAGGGCCGTCGCCGTCGACCCAGTTCCAAAGAGCTTCGTCAAGTCCTCAAGTGCGACGATGAAGCCTTTTTGGATTTCATCACCCGTTGCCTGCGCTGGGACCCAGCCCGTCGAATGACTCCTCATGAGGCTTTGAAGCACGAATTTCTTACCGGCATCAAGCCAACCGCTCGCCCCAGAATGTATGCCCGGACTGACACTAGCTCGCCATCTAAGCGTGGCGTATCCAGCGGGCGCCCGCTGCCTGAGCCTCCTAGTTCTACCGTGAAGACGGGTGGATTCCTGCGCAGCCGTGATGCATCCGGTCATTCTCCGGTCAAGAGCTCTGGAAAGCGCCATTCAACGGTCAGCGGTCCACCGCCCAGCCCTGCCAAGCGAGCGGCTAACCCTTCCACCACGCTACCCCGTGCTTCAGCGCGGAGCATCAGTGGAAAGCCCGACCTTGCTACGGCGGCGGCAGCAACCAGCTTGGTGAGTTAGCATACCACTGGCTGGTTATCAACCATAAAACACAAGCTGACAAGCCGACAGAGGACCAAATAACGCCTCTTCTTTTCTTCTCTTTTTTCTATCTCTTCTTTTCTTCTCTTCTTCTTCCCCACGCGCTGTAATAATAACTGTTCTTACTTTGTTTTCTATCTTTCTTGTCTCATGATTTTTCATGCATCAGGTGGTTTGTCATGTCACGCATTTGTTGATCTGGTTCGGGGAACCCACGGCCAAAAGGACGGCATCCATCCTATACCCTTTATGTTCGTTGACAGCATTTGCATCTGGGCCTTGATATGATTCATGCGACGGGGTTTTATCATGTTCATGTCTTTCGTTTGTTGAATTCCTCGCTTCTATACTGATGACCCATCATTACCCCCCATCAGGGCCTTTCGGACCTGCCTTTGTACAGTTTGACGTTGTTTTATTTCTTTGCATCTCTCCGAGGAGCTTCTGGGCTTTTCCTGTCGAGCATTCGGGTTGGCAATCAATGCATTACTACGATACATAGCTATTATCATAGATTTGGAGTACGAAAACTGATACTGAATGATCAATTGTATATTCTATTATCTCCGACTGACGATACAGGTTCAAAAATATGCACATGTGTACGATGTCGTAGGCAGAATATACAAGATTTGGAGATGAGCTAAAAGAACGAAACTTTGCATCAATTGATTACCCGCTTATTACATAACCTACGAGTTCAGAAGATTGTAATCAACTTTCTGTATTTAACCTCTGCATTCATGAAATCTTGCGTTCCTAGTGCGCTGCAAGTATAGCTGCGGTCCGTACCTGACAGAGTGGGGCGCGAATCGGACTACTTGGCCTCATCGCCTTATCTAACCCGCACTCCACCTTTCTTTTGTTCCTGCACTATTGACCTCCACGCGATGAATGGCTTCGAGTCCAAGGTCCTCGATGAGGACGCCTTTGGAGAAAAGAATGCTCTATCAGGGCTGAAGAGCTTTGACGCTTTCCGTGAGTCTCCTTTGCCCATCCACGACATGCGGGCACGCGTGCCTCGAACATAAACCTCGCCCAGTTCGACGACTGGTATAAGACAAAGGCCTGCAGGCTGATTTTCTACTACATTAGCAAAAACAAAGGCCTCCTACACTACCCCAACTAGCCGCGGTGGTCAATGGACCGTTCTTATCCTTCTCATCTGCACCGTCTTCAGCTTCTCCGAACTAAAAACATGGTGGCGCGGCACCGAACAGCACCACTTCAGCGTGGAAAAGGGTGTCTCCCATGAACTCCAGCTCAACCTCGATATCGTTGTCAACATGCCCTGTGATACCCTCCGCGTCAACATCCAAGACGCAGCCGGCGACCGCATCCTAGCCAGCGACATGCTCAAACGCGAAGAAACGAGCTGGAACCTGTGGATGCAGAAGAGGAATAAGGATAAGCACGAGTATCAGACACTGAGCCATGAGGAAGAGGACCGATTGTCGGCACAGGAGGCCGACGCGCATGCGCACCACGTTCTGGGTGAGGTGAGACGGAATCCGAGACGCAAGTTTGCAAAGGGCCCGTCCATGCGATGGGGCGACGTAGTAGACTCTTGTCGCATCTATGGTAGTCTGGAGGGGAACAAAGTGCAGGGCGATTTCCACATCACAGCGCGAGGACATGGGTATAGGGAGTTTGCGCCGCACTTGGATCACAGTGGTATGTTTTGGTTTCGTCTTGATTCATCTATTCTTACTCAACATTTATCCCAGTGTTCAATTTCTCGCACATTATTACCGAGCTCTCTTTTGGTCCTCATTACCCCACCCTCATGAACCCTCTCGACAAGACGATCGCCGAGACGGACAAGCACTACTACAAATACCAGTACTTCCTTTCTGTTGTGCCGACGCTCTACACCAAGGGTCGGAGCGCTCTGGACGCATACAACCGTTCCCCTGCCTCGGCTACCGCCCGCACTGGCCGTAACACGGTCTTCACGAACCAGTACGCGGCGACCAGTCAGTCTGAAGAGATGCCGGAGACGCCGCTGCTGGTCCCGGGCATCTTCTTCAAGTATAACATTGAGCCGATCTTGCTGCTTGTCAGTGAAGAGCGGGGCGGGTTCCTGGCTCTTCTTATCCGAGTGATTAACACCGTGAGTGGAGTCCTTGTTACTGGTGGCTGGATCTATCAGATCTCGGGTTGGGTTGGTGAGGTTCTTGGTAGAAGGAAGAAGGAGCAGCCAGAAGGATATTTGACTGGAAAGCATTATACGGATTGATTTCATTTGCTTTTTTATCTACTTTCAATTAATGGGTGCATTTACATTTCTACAGTACCTCGGCGTACTTTCTATCAAGTTTCTCTTTCTCGTCGGCTCTACCAGCAGAAGCAATAATCACCGCGAGTACCAGGAAACGCTATTGCCGTTTGTTCTGAGGGATACTGGAAGGGGAATGTGCAGATCGTGTGCACAATATATTGGGGTTGAATTGGTAGATAGTCATGAAGCGTTGAAAGCCCCGGTTCTGAAAAGGTTGTTACATTCTCCGAGAATAATCAAGTAAATCAGTACTAGCATCCAGCTCACGTCAAGTCTTCCAATTAGCATCGCCAACTTCTTGTTCCATAGTTATCACTCAAATCCCGGCCTATCTGGTAAATGACTGCTTGCGCAGTGCTTTAGCCTGGCACTTCCACACAGGTCGTGCAATCTTCCTATAGTAAGGACCAAATTCTTCTATCAATTTTTGCACAAACGCGTCATCGGACCCGTAAAGAGTCGACTCGGGCACTGGAATATCTTTGAAAGTGAGATACCTCCAAAGAGACCTCCAATAGGAAACTGATTCCTTTGCGGCAGGATGTTCCAGATCGATATTTCTTGCCACAAGATAGAACGACGATTTGATAGCATGGCACTTGGGGTGCTTGTATAGCTCAATTTCAGAGAACTGATTGAAAGCATTGAGTATACAAACAGTATCCCATGCCTCAACACGATGCAAGAGCAGGACAATCGAGCCACCGGGATTGAGATGGTTCATAGCAAAGACAGTTTGCGAAACAATCAAGCGTGTGCCTTCACAATCTTTGCGATAATCCTTTCTAGGGTGATCACGTCCTACCGCTCCACCACAGAACACGATGCTGTACCTGTTTCCGAGAAGCGGCTGATTTGTTTCGAATTTTCTCGCATCAGGATGTCCCTCTGGAACATGTCCCGCGTATCCCATTTCTGTGGGATACATCGTGATATCAGAGTAGATGATACGCTGACAGAAACTCTTGGCAATCACTTCATACCCTCCGATCTCAGGTGGAAGTGTCATGCCGTCGATCATTGGCTCGGTGAGGTTTTTGGCGGCTGCCGTTGTGAACCCGCCTGGTGCCATACAGAGATCAAGGACCTTGAGGCCTGGAGATTTCGACTTGAATATGTCTGTGTCCGCTGCCAGTCCTGCTCCAACTTGACTTGTCATCTGGTACAAACTGTACTTTTCCGTTTTGGTGGGGTTCGATGCGACTTTTCTTCTTTCTTCGAAAAATCGATCGCCGGCTTTGTTATTCCAACCCTAAGTCTGTTATTGCATGTACTGTTTGACGTGTAGCTGATTCTGTGACTAACCTTGTCTTTGAGAGTTCTTAGGTGTCGATAGACATCATCAGAGGAAATGAAATCCGTCCACAGTGGAGGAATGTCAGGCATGGTTTCTTTGTTTGTGGAATGATTCGGAAGTACACTTGGAAGATTAGCAGTTGGAACATTTTTTTTCTCATCAAGAGGGGTAAGTACCTTGCAAGATGGAATGAATACACACAGCTATCAAATAAGCGGGGGTGGGGAAGGAGGAGGAAGGAGGGGAGAGACAGAGAAAGATGGATGGTAGATATAGTGATGCAGCTGATCAGGCAGCGCAAAGGCAAACAGCGAGGCAGACTAAATCGCTTAAAATGGTTAATATCAATCTAGCCGTAATCATGCATGCCGGATAAAGGCGCTGCTTTTTATTATACAAGGGTGCTGTAGTATCGGGTGATATCAGGAGTATCGCAACATTTACGCCTGATTGGGCGACTACGACGCTACCAACAATAGAGATACCGACACATAATCAACGTGCTCTGCGCCAAACCCAACATTGTCTATGCCTAGCCCAACGTAGTCTACGTCAAAGCCAACATTGTCTGCGCCAAACCCAACATGCTCTGCACCGGATCCAACATCGTCTGCGCCAAAACCAACGTTGCCTGTGCCAAAACCAACATTATCTGCGCCAGGACCAACGCCGTCTGCGCCTAAAAGACCAAACATACCCTTATACACTAGATATCGTCTGCTTTAGACAGACTAAATTTATCTGCGATTCGAAGCTCACATTATCGGCGTTATTTACGTGGAATTCAAACTCAGGTCGACTGCGTTGTCTACGCGAAATTCGAAGCCCACGTCGTCTTTGTTCTCTACGCGAGACTCGAAGCTCAAGTCGTCTACGTTATCTAGTACACTAGAGAAATTGCCATCTTTAATGGAGAAAGAAAAGAGGCCCGTACATAAGAGACATCGTTTGCACCAGGGAAACTAACGCTATCTGCGATACAAGTCTTACTTTATCCACTCAGAATTCAAGATTTACACTATCTACGTATTCGACGCCAGCACTGAGATACCAAAATTACCTTTGACGTGAGATATCGTCTGCATCAGAGAAATTAAGTCATCTAAATTAGAGAAGCTAAGATGAATCAGCGTTGGTAGACCAAACAGTCGGTATGAATTCGCGAAAGGGAATTGGTTAGAAAGCAACTAAAAATATTTGAATCAATTCATCAAATACTAAAACTCAATAATCAAATATAATATCCGGAGACATAGTACTATCAAGCACATTTTCACGACATAAAGGGCACGTAAAGCTCCTCTCAAACCATGACTTAATACAGCACCACTCGAACCAATGACCACAGGGAAGAGTGACAACTTCCAAGTCAGGACTGAGAAGGTCGTAGCATATAGAGCAGGTGCGATTCTCTTCTTCGGAGACTTCGACCAGGTCATGCAGTGGTTTTCGTGGTAGATGCTCGGAGGGATTTAACCGCCAAGTCTGGTAGGTTTTGAGATCAATCCGTATATCCCGGGTATTAATCTCGCTCTCTGAAATAAGGCCTGTAGCGTCAGGTGGGAGTGGTTGTCGTGGGAAACTCAAGACAATAAACTTACCGTTGTGGGATAGAATGACTCGGCTGTTGGGGAATGCTCCATTTTCATAGTTGCGGAGGAGTTGAAGGGTATCAGACTCTGATTGTTCATGTTCTGTGATCCGCCCTTGATTCCTCCCTGAGACTCCAAACTCTGCAAACAGATCGTCGATGGCCCCTTGTATCAATCGAGAATGACTTTGTATATACTCAATTGACATGGTGAAGTCAACAATCAGGCAGATACAGAGCGAGAGCTTCCTTACTTAGGCACTCGGTAATGATCTCATATTATACTCTTTCAGCTATCGATGGTGATCAAACAATTGTATTCCCCTTGACCCGAGACCAAGCCAAGAAAGCCTTTGTTAACTCGGATCACAAGTTTCTCTTGGCTTTGAAGAACTTGGCCATTGTTGCCCTTTGAGACTATTGTGTTGCTTGTCCCTCGAAATAGAGCAGGTAGAATAAGGCTGATTCAACGAATTTTCGAGTCTTTGTTCCTCGAGGTGATACTTATAGTATGAAAGGATGAATATGTCTAGTTTCGCTCAAAGAATTGTTCTCTGAGGAAACAATGCAACTCAAAAACACGAGCAAGATCTTCCAAGTCGACATAAACATAAAAGGCCAGCAATTCCCGTCATTATTGGACTCCATCTACATCATCTACACTTTATCGTTTTGACTTTTCTTGCTTACAAAATGCCAGCCCAGCCTTACACTAGCATCAACCTCCTGAACGACCTAGTCGGCGGACTGTACGAGAAGACCCCTGACCTTGCAGATGAGCTTCGCGAGCTTGTGCAAGACATGAGCGAGCAGGGAGGCCAGGGACTTGTTCTGCCGAGACATATGCATACTCGAATTGTGACGGGGCCGGATGAGCCCCCGGTGACTTTGAAGGAGTGGATAGACGCCCAATTCAGCTTCTCTATTTCCGGGCGCACTCATAGGGGGGAGAGGAACGGAAGCCGGTCTACTCGACATGCCACTCCTGTAGCTCCCCATACTCATGCTGGTCGACATGCAGCTCCTGTCCATGGACATACTCATGCTCATCCTCATGTACATACTCACGTACATACTCATGTACATACCCATGCTCCAGCTCATCATACTCACCATGCACCGCTGCCTCACCGTACAGACAGACATACAACCCCTGCTCATGCTATAGGAGGTCGGGAGAATCACCATGCAACCCCAATTGCTCATCGTGGAGGCCACCATAGAAGCCGATCAGCACGACATGCAACCCCCGCTCCCCTAGGCTCTCCACTTTCAGCTGCTGCCGGACAGGGTCGCCCAGGAGGTTCTCGAAATGAAGGAGTATCTGAACAAGTGATTAACCAGCTAACCCGTCCTATTGTTACCCAAGGCATGCTGGACTCCGATGACAACACTTGTGTTATTTGCCAGGATGATGTTAAGGTTGGAGATGAGGTTATGCTTCTGCCTTGCTCGCACCGGTCTTTCCATGCAGACTGCCTTGTGCCTTGGCTTCGCCGTTCTAACACCTGCCCTACTTGTCGGGTTCCTGTTCAGTAGTTACATATTAAGGTGAGTTTTTTAGATTGAGTCTGTTTATTGAGAATTTTTGTTTTCAAAATGTTGTTTTGCATTTTATCGAATCTTCCACGTAAATCTTTGAAAACTGGTTTGACTTCCATCGAAATCAATATTTCTATTCTTCAAAAATTTCCGATTTAGAGCCTAAAGATAGACCTTAGTCTCTTTACTATGTGGCGCCACTTGCATAGGTGTTCCCTAAATATTCAAGTTCCTATTGGCCAAGGAGAGCATTTGTTACAATCTCAACCTCCTCAGCCGTTCCACAGATCAACCCCCCTCTCTCGTCACAGTTCTCCAAAGGCCGACTCAAGATGTCTTCTCCATTGGCGGGATCAACAGCTCTTCCTCCAGCACATTCCACCACCAGCGCGATAGGGAGCAACTCATACAAGCGGCGCAGCTTGGCCTCGCTCGCCCCTGTCACAGGGGACAGATACACGCCGTGGCCCTTGACCAACGCGTGCACCACATCGGGTACCAATCCACCACTATACCGCAATGTATATTTCTTCTCAACAAACTGCGTGATCAGACGCATATACGCCTCACTCTCAGCAGCAGCCCGGAGATTAGCCGGGGCAAAGTAGCGCGTCTTAAATGGCGGGTCTGCGAGTTGCACATTGGATCGAATGACCTCGTGATCCCCGGATTCTCCGATTCCAATCTCAAGACATTGTGGCTTGCCGCCCGGTACCTTCAGGGCGACGATGGCGGTAGTACGGGGTCCGTAGACGCCCAAGACGGCGGCAATTTGTTTGGAGGGTTGTTCGTTGATTGCTGAGCTACCGTCCCAGATTCCGATGATCGTTCCCACGGTCCAATTTGGTGCAATGATGGAGCTCCCGTCTAGTGGGTCGAAGGCGACTGTGTACTTTTCTGGGCCGGAGACATCCTCGACTTGGCCGTCGCGGGCAGGTCGCTCAATTGGCTCTTCCTCGCTGCTTGCTGTCTGGACGGAGGGGCACTTTGCGAGCGCAGCTCGGAGGATATTCTCTGCTGCAATGTCGACGTTCAATTGGCCATCGCCAAATGTGTTGGTGGTTCCGGCGAGGGAGACGTGCTGGGAATGACGGAGTGACTTTGCGATTTCAGCGATGCAGTCTAGCAGACCCGGTAGCAGGGAATTGGATAGTTCCGTGCGACCGTCTGGCAATGAGATTTCTTTAAGGGCCATTGTGAGTTGAAGATGGGAAGTTATTTGTTTCAATGACGTTGACGCTTGATTTGGTGGGGTTGGATAGCCCCACCTATGGTCAACAGCTTCCAAGGTTCAACTAATTAAAGCCTCATTCTCATATTTACAGATTTACAGAGGGATTCATTTGAGAGGTGAGTATTTGTAGGTTACTTGAGACTGTAGCAGGTTGAACTATTTCCTCCTACTAATCTCCTCCGTCCCTGCCGACTTTTCAAAATCAACTTGACCAAGATTAATCCTCTTCCCCAAAGCCCTCCGAAGAATCCACTGCTTGCTACTAACTTCCTCTTCCACTCCTTCCAAGGGAGGAATCGCATTTCCCTCCAACCGCCGCAAGACAACATCATCCTCAGGCCTTGCAAAGTAAACAAGACTATACCGCGTGCACTCCGCTTGTGCCCCAGGCGGCGCAATAACCCGATGAATATTCGAACGCAAAAGTCCATTGCTGAACTTCACCATAGCATCACCCAGATTGATTATCGCGTGTCCTGGTAATGGACGCACGTATACCCAGTCGTCTGTTCCGGGCATTTGGACTTGGAGACCGCCGAGTCGGTTGAAGAGGACCGTTACTGAGCCGAAGTCTGTGTGTTGACCTAGCGCGACTCTTCTGTCGTTTATGGGTTGCGGTGGTGCTTTAACCCAGCGGACTTGGTCGCCACTTATAGCGTTTTGGCGGTGCATGTTTGGTAATGTGTTCGGTGGGAGGCCCAGTTTGGTGTTAAGGATCGATAGGATCAGGGTTACGATGCTATGGGAGCTCCGCATAAAAGATTCAATAAGCTTTCTGTTTCGGTGGAGGAGTTCTGGGGCGGGGATCTGGTCTGATAAGCCGAAGATGTCGTCTTTGGAGATCTGTTTTCTCTAGTCTTGAGCCATGGGCCTTGATAGGATTTGAAAGGATAGCATGATGTTGCCCAGAGGAGAGGTTTAGCTCACATTATAGAATTCATTCCGGTCCAAATTCCCCTCTTTATCCACGTATGCTGCGCCCTGCCCTTTGTACCCAAAGTACGAGTTCTGTTCGCTAAAGTCATACTTCTGCTTCTCTTCTAAGCTGAGCTCGAATAGCTCCTTGCCAACTCCAAACAACTTGTCCGCATCTTCAAGTGCGGAACTCCCCAGCTGGCAGTCTTGGAAGTCTAGGTAGAAGAATCCTATCTCCACAGATGCTGTGAAGAGGCGATTGATTTCCGTTGTCTTCCCTGCTAGTAGCTTTCCGAGGGATAGCCGGAGGAGAGGCGCTGTGGGTATATCCGTGGGAAATGGTGGGAGGTCGGGGAAATCCACTTTGAGATCACTAAGATTTCGAGATTGCATTGTGTTGGGCTGACAAGTGTACGTTGCGAACTCTTTTCATGGAGTTTGAGCGGCTTTGGGGTCAGCTTTACATGTCGTGAAGTGCGGGGATATGGGGTAGCCGAGGTGTCCATGCGATCATGCCGTAGATATATTTACACGCTTTAGTGTAAAGACCTGCTATCAAAAAGGAAAGGCATAGTCAATTTGGTCATGCTGGCGTCTAGTTGCCATATGGAGAGTGTCTCCATGATGGCAAAACACGCGGGTCCACTTGTTCAGGGCTTCACTGGCTTAGTCTAGTGGCAATCAACTAAGCGGGCTGGAATTCTTTCCCTAAAATCAGATATGCTCTCATGCTGTGCAGGTGATCATGTTTGGGTTTCTTCATGGTTGCATGCTCATTTGCGGTGAGTATTCCCATGTTGAAGTAAACAGTTGGCCTTGGGGCTTTGATACTAGGTGGAATGATAAGAGATACAGACAGTGCTATAGGACCTCGGAAGACTGAGTAGAGGACTGAGAACTCAGGTAGTGGGTTTGGAACTCTACTCACTAATGCCCTCTATAATAGTCCAGCATTATAGCTTATAATCCTTAATTGCAGATATCCGTATGGTAGACAAGATGGTATAATATAACATTCAAAAGCGCCGCGTCCACCACATGCCCATCATACCCAAAACCTAAACCTCAAAGATTTCACCCATTCCCACACCAGCACCCTCAGCACCAGCACGACTGTCAACCAGGTCCAAGCGCCATGAGTTCCAGTCACGAAGCTTGCGCTTGATTTCACGCACCCATTCGACCCGCTTGCGCGCTTCTTCTTCGGCTTGGGCACGGCTGAATTCCGCTTCATCGAACTCATCTTCCAGATTCTCTTCTGACAGCAGTTCGAGACTGCCGCGTGTTGCGGGATGCGGGTGAGGCGGGTTAGAGGAGCCGGCGCGTGCACGGTTCGGGCTGTTACCCGTGAACGCGGCAAGTCCACTGGATAACACAGTAGAGAAGGAGGAGTGTTGTTGCTGGTACGCCATACTACGGCGACGGGCGTGGTCGGGACGGCCACCGACGAGATCGACGTCGTCAAAGGCGTTGGCGGCATCACCGGTGGAGTACTGGGGGTTCTCGTCGAAGGGTTGGCCGGTGAGTTCATGTCGCTTCTCTTCCCAGACGCCGCGGCGTAGGTCAAAGACTTCGCCTTCCAGCTCGCGGATGCGGCGCTCGAGACGCTGGCGTTCCTCATCCTCAAGCTCGTCGAGGGCATCGTCGTCGGTTCCTCCAGCGTCACGTTTCTTGATGCGGTCGATCTCTTCGCGGAGCCGGAGATTCTCGTTCTCGATGCTGCCTATTTTTTTGCGGAGTACGGCAGTCTCTTTCTCTGACTTTTCACTCTCGCGGAGCTTGGTCTGATGACGTGTTTCTGATTCTTTGTGCAGATTTCCCATGGCCTGAAGCTTCTTTTCCAGCATTTCAATCTTCTTGTCGGCCTCGGTCTTTTCGTTCTTAAGACTTTCGATTTCCCGCTCTAGGGACTTAATAAGGGTCTCAGTGGACGTCTTGTCCACGCCTTCTTTGACAGCCTTTTCTGAAGCCCGGGTCAAAGCTTGTTTCGTGTCTGCCAACTCACGTTGAGACTTTTCGAGTGCACTCTGGCCTTGGGACACCTTTTCTTCCAACGCCGCGACCTGGGTCTCATGCGCACTGTCAGAGGACGAATGGGAGTTTATTTGAGCTCGTAAGTTTGAAATTTCCAATTCCATGGCCTCGATCGTGGCCGATTTAGACTCCAGCTGGCGCACAAGGTCAGCTGGAGGTGATTCCGATGGCCCAGGTACCGAGACGCTTGCATTGTTGCGGTGTGACCGGGATTGAAGCTGTGAGTTTTGGCGTTGTAGCGATGCAATTTCCTCTTTCTGTTCCAACCATTAGTCCAGGATCTTCTTTCGCTCACAATTTGAACCATACCAATGACTCAATACCAGCCACCTTCTCCTCTGCCGCCTTTAATTTCTCCTTCAGTTCCGCCCCATCCACGCTGGCCTCCCGGAGATCCTCTAATTGATCTTCCGTCTTCCGCCAGCGCGCCGTCGCATCGCTGAGTTCATTCTCCATACGCTTATTATCCCTCTCCAATTCTTCAATCCGTGTTGATTGTTTCCGGAACACTTCGTGAACGGAATCTCCATCACCGGTCAGGGGTGGTAGTGAAGGCGGGGGCGATTTGAGGGTTACTGGAGGAGAGTGGCTGCCTTGCGACACAGAATTCTTGCGGAATGATGATGAGCGCATCTTCGATTGAATTGACAGGGATGGCGCGCGGCCGTGGCCAGCTCGGGGGGTATCCAGTCGAGCGGGCTGTGGCTCTGCGTCTGGGTCTGGAGAGCCAGGTGCTGGGGGCATGGGCTCGGTCGGGGACTCTGTAGATTCCTCGGGCTTTTCTTGTTCTTCTGGCTCTGTAGCGACTGGCTCCGGATCGGCCGGTTGCTCAGTGCTGGTCTCTGCAGTATCCTGGGGCTTCTCGGCGGGGTCCTCTGCTGGTTGGCTATCTTCTGCTGCAGGGGTTTCTTCGGTCGACGCGGGTCCAGACTTCTTGGTCTCTGCATCTTTAGGAGTGTCGGTGTCGGGAGAAGTCTTCTTGTTGGCCTTTTTCTTTTGTTTTTGAAGCTGGGCCACCTGCAAAACATTGGTTGTTAGATATAAACACCGGTTAATCGGACGAAACATACTCTTTTCTTAGCAGCGGCCAGCTTTTCAGCTTTGATGCGCTCCTCCTCGTCAGCCATAACTGTTGTTGATCTAGTGGAAGCAACGAAGTAGGTGGGGAAGATTGGAAGGACGGGGAGAATGGACAGCTTTCCCCATCTGGTGCACGGACCATCTACAATCTATACATGCGTCAGGCAAAAGGCGCAACGATAAGATCAGGTGTGAGTGATGTCAAACTGCTGGTGTTATATTCTAATATTGGCGTATTGGACATATAGTAGATTTGAGGGAATTTTCCAATCCGTCAATACCTCCTTTTCAGAACCCTTCAGCTTCTACAAATAGTCTCGGTACTGGCCACCGGCTTGACAAGTCAATTGTTGAACAGATACCATTAAAATGTATTAACACGAATCGAAAGTGAACATCAATATAGAGGCGTGTTGCATGTCAATCTTGCCCAACGCCCTGGATAAGAGATATGCAGGTTGAATTGCGCCCCAAGTCCATCGAATCCCAAACGCCTCCAGCTGGAAAGCAAAAACCAAAACTACCGGTCAACGGAGCAAAATTGAAAACAAGTCTCAGACTTCCATCGTGTCCATCATCTCCTCACTCATTGCACGCACCATCCCCTTGTGGCCGGAGCGAGTTTGAAGCTCCTCATCACTCAGCATGTATTGATCATCCTCATCCAAGATCGGATGCGACGGTTGCGATGGGCCCATGTCGTCATCATCGGACTCGCTGTTGCGAAGTGATGACTCGGCCCGGGTTCCAAGCCAGTAGCGGGTACGCTTGCTGGAACTCAGATCGGGGGTGAGGTACCCATCGTCGAACGTGCGCTTGCTAGTCGGCGTAGCAACGCCCTCCTCCGGCGGTGTGTGGCTGAGAATCGGAATCGCCCGCATGTGAATATAACAAACACGTTTGCGTAGCGGATTGAAAAAGAAGTAATGCAGGCTCCAAATCGCTCCGTCATCGGAGTCAGATGGGTCCTCATCCGGCGAATACGAGTATACCGAGCACTCTTTCAACGACATATGTTCGTCAATAATCCTCCACATCCGCGGACCCCAAGAAGGGTATCCAGCATTGTATGATCCCGAGAGGGTCGCGGGAGATGATGGGGAGAGGTCGATTGAGTCGCGCGGTCGCAGGTTGTACAGGGTGGAGTTGACTGTGTTCATGACCCGCTTCAAGTGACGCTCGCGACGAAAATCAGTCGGGCGCAGCACATTCGAGAAATCATAGTCGGGATGACTGGCGTTGAGGGTGGCGATCAAGTAGGCGAAGGTCCGACGACTGGAGTGCTCACTCAGGGGGCCGAAGGGGCTGGATCTCGATAGGTTCAAGGCCTCGGCGGCATCGTGAGCGTTGGGAGGAGATAAGGAGGCGGACAGTCGAAGAATTGATTCGTACTGGGCTTCCAGCGATTGTTCGATATGATTGTAGAGTTTCCGATCGGATCGGGCAGCCTTGGTGGTGTACAGATCGCATGCACCAACAATATGACAGTCGGCTGTATCAAAGTTCAAAGAACCTGTGACATCCTCAAATTCTGGCAGGGGAAGGAACTAATTATGCCAAGGTGTGAGTATAAATGAACGATTTATGAGGGGATTGGGGGGGTGGAATCAGATCAGGTCACCGTGGCGACCAAGAGCCTAGGGGAGAGCATCAACGAACCTTCATTGTGAGGTACCGAGCGATAAGGTCTGAAGTCACTGATTCTAAATAAACTGACGATGGATAGTAGAACTATTACCAGCGCAGGCGATTCAGGGTTGACTGGGGTGATGGGCAGATGGGGGAGATAGCGCGGATGGTCGCGCCGGAGGCGGAGATGGTTGCCGATCGGAGGTAACCGCAAGCAGGAGTCGGAACAGCGGTGAAGGTGTAAGAGGCACCACAACAGTATATAGACAGGTATTGCTGGGGGGTGGAGAATAGAGAAATATCTCGCTGTTCCTTCGCGATGATGAGTCGTAAGAGGGGGATTTGCGACCGGGTGTCACGTGGATCCAGTCTGAACCAGTGATATCACGCACTGACCTCACGGTGTGTCAATCCATGGTTCTGGTTATCAGTCATCACATCACAGACCAACTCGGTCCAAGTTGCGCGCCAAGTCCTCAGTGTCCTGAATCGGCAGAGTTGGTATTCATCAGTAAAAAAAAAAAACAAAACGCTACAAACAAAACCGCAAATGTATAATCCAAATCCACCAAACAAGTCCAAAGTCACTACATAATCTTGGTGACCACATCTTCCTCAACCTGGGGCAGAAGAGCATTAGCCCGATTGCGCCGGGGAGGAAAGGGGATGGAATGAAAAAAGAATAGTCAGTTCCACGTAGCACTTGCATGCTGCATGAAATAGACTACTCAAATGAAATCATTCGGGGTAGAAAGGAATGAACACCTGTCAGGGGGCTAGACTCACCTCCATGTCTTCCAGGCTGTCTTGTTGACTGATGCAGCGTAGCACATTCTTCTTGCTACTCTCTTGCATTTCTCCGGCCAATAACAGCTCATCCAAGATGAAATAGGCCTTTTGGAAATTGAAGATGATGTCCAGCTCACACACATTCCCATAGTATTTGTCCATTTGTTCGACGTAGCGGTGGACCACCTCTAGGCTGATCAATTCGTTGTCGGTCGAGGAACATCCGGCGATAAAGAAGAGGGAGGCATAGCGACGATAGACGACCTTAGAATCTGCAGACGATCCACGTTAATCCATGTTCCGGAGCTCGGGGGTATAGAGGTTGAAGCCACCTTTGTACTCGAGGAAATTGCACATGCGCGTGCGACGCGACAGAACCAGCTGGGTCACATCCTTGATGATCTTGGCCTTCTCCTTGGGGGAGAGAGTAGTGAACCACTTGGCAAGGCGCTGAGGGTCAAGAAAAAAGTCAGTCGGCTAAAATTAGGGTCGGGTATAAGGGTGGGCCACGAGGGACAAGAGGGACGCACGACTTTGCCCTGGCGAGACAGGAGAATTAAGTAGCTGCGAATGTCAGTAAAGAGATTAGTCACAGCAATAGATCCCAGGACTCACTTGATGGGCATGATTGTGGAATGACTTGGGAGCGGAAAGGGATGGATGGAGAAGGGGTGTCGAAACCCGTGGCGGATCCAGAAATTGTTGACGGGTGGATCAGAGGGGAAGAGCTGCCCCGCTGAGCCAGTGAGCCCTAACAAAGAACAGTAGGTATCGAAAGAGATGAGAAAGATGATTAAGAGGAAAATGGAGATGGTCGAGATTCAAATTGATACTGTGTTCGGCGCACGGTCCATGAATGAGTCAACTTGCTACAAACCATGGGAGTATAGCTAAATGACAAGCTAACAACCATGAGTCAGCCAGTTGGCAACTCTCAAGATATACATTTTGGTGCAAATTATTCTCGTTCCCATTCGATGGAGATTAGAAAGCTCAATTATTAAACCAGCAGGTATTATTAAACATCATAGTAACACATTCCAATACGCCATTTCGAAAAAAGAAACCCAAGTGACCGTTTCGTTTTCGTATTTGGGAGCAAGCTGACAATCACCAGTACCTATTTCCTCATCCAACCTTGACAACAACATGTCCATCCATTCATGGTCATGTTCATTGTATCAATCACATGGATCATTCAAGGCAGCATAGCTTAGACATAGCGAGAAATTGCTAGTCACTTCTAGCCATCCAGACCTGGAAACTTCCTTGGCCAGACCTTCCTATTCATGGCTTAGACCTGGGCCATGCTGGGACGGGCTGGGCGACGGGCACTGCCAGTGCGACCGCGCATGTTCACAGTAGCCGAGCGGGACATCAAGATGGAGATGATGGTCGAGGCCATGTAACAAGCCCAGCCAAACCACAGGAAGGCAGTCGACGCCTGGGCCTCACGGCAACGCTTCTTTGAGTTGAAAGAGCCGTCGGTGATTTCGTTGGTGCTGGTATAAGCCTAAATCATATATTAGTCGTGGGTTCCCGGGTACGTTCGTTTTAATTGGTGTAACTCATACCAAGTTGCCGCATGAGTGGACATGCAGCCTCGCAGCCAGGGCGATGGCCGCACAGAAGAAGAAAATCGTGTTGAGCACGTCAACGATGATCATGATGATGGGGTGGATGGCCCAGTCCAAGTTCCATGATGCCGGAATCAAGTAGAACAGTGAAAACATAGAGAATGCTGACACGAACATTGTGTAGTTGACAGAGCTTGGGTTACCAGCGAACGCCTGGTTGATCATGTTACCAATGAGGGACATGATAAGGAGAGTCCATACGAACTGATAATCTCATGGTTAGTTATTTTTTTTCTTTTTTAGGCTTTTATTCAGGCGTAGCATACCTCCCACGCACGCAAAATCAACTGAACAACCCGCATGATGGCTGATTTCGAAGGAGATTATAGGCAGTTCTGTATGTCGAGAAACAGGGTACACGATAGAAGATAATCGTACAGCTTAGGAAAAAGCTTTTGAGCGAAGGGACTTGGGGTTCTGGTTAAAATATAGCGGAAAGACCGGAGGATGATGATGACGATATAGAAAGGCAAAGCTCGAGACTCGCTACGTCATGCATTCATCCAACGATGCAGCCGGGAGCTGACGGCACCAATGATTGGGCTTCGCATGAGGGGCAGCATCATGAAAATCTTGCACTTCAATTTTTGGTCATGACCAACTGAAGTCTTCAATGTCACAGAACCCCACACGGCCAAAATGCGGGTACCATTACTGGAGATCTTGGATAATCGATCCTCAACCAGGAAGTGGGATTTACCCCTAGTTCTATACATGCTTCACATTTAAAAGATAAGCCATTTTATTCTATTCACTATGTATGGCTTAGAGCTTAAACTTAAAATCAGAAACCGAATTCAAGTATTGGGACTGGGTTCAAAGATGCACAAAAAGAAAAGCCAAAAATAAATGGTTCCAGAGGGGGTCGAACCCTCGACTTTGGCGTTATTAGCACCACACTCTAACCAACTGAGTTATGGAACCGGTTATTGATAATCGGCTCGGTATTTTAGGTTATACAGTAATACTTTGTCCTAGTCATTCAAATGTTTACGTTCGCGTCGTATGCATGGATCAGCGAATGATGATATTCTAATCAACTTGTATACGCAAATGCCCTGTTCAAGTAGCCAAAACATTTCCTCCAAACATTTGAACTTCTTGAAGTTGAGGTTTGGAACCTTTCGTTGCTGACGGAGCTCAAATGCTTGCAAATATATGTGGTTCAAGGGCCACATGCACATGCCGGATATCTGACTTCCTTCGTGATTTAATGTTGGAAAATTCATCAGTACGATAAAACTTTTCGGTCCATACATAAGACATCTCAAGCAACTCAAGTACTACCTATTTGAACCACTAGGTATCCATGGAACTAAAGCCTAATTTAACATTGTAGTTAGAAGTGATATTGTAAAGGCTAAAGTAGGTTCCCGAAATTGAGAGCCAGGCGCGCCCAACTTCATGGCGAACTGGCCAAATATACGGATGACTAGTACATCGTAGTGGAAAGATCATTTGAATATTTAAAGGAAATCGAATAGTAGGATTAGAAGTATCCACTGACATACAAATTCCCTCTACTTTACTGTGAAGGGGCTCTGGACAGACCCGTACCTTAAAAAAAAGAGTTAGCAATGTATTTCCCAACAGAACACTGGTCCAAAAAGACACGAGGGATGCATAATTACCCCTGAGGACACTCATACCCCAGCCCAGCACTTCCACTACGCATGTAGCAGATCTTGGCCTTTTGACACTCCGCCGTATCACAGACAGGACTCTTGACACTCAATTTTCCCTGTAGAGCATTTTGCAGGGTAACCAGATCCAGGTCTGTCTCCATAGCCTCGGTGACACGATGCCAGAATGTTGCGTTCAATGGATCCCGCTTGTCCCACCCAGCAGCTGCACCATATGTATCGCGGGTGGAATACTCAGGCTGGAATGTTGGGCCCGTTTCACGCAGAGCAGAGTAAGCCGACACATTGCTGAAGAAGGTATAAGCTTCATAGATATTGAAGTCTCCAGTATCGACCTCATATAGCCGGTATCCGCTGTTCAGATTGGTCATAGGCGTGACACTGGGTCCAACCCAACCAGTTGAGAGTGCGGTGTCCGCATTTCGATCGGTACCGTTGTTTGCATAGTAAACCATGAATTGATCCTCATGATTATGACCCCAGAATGTATTGGCAATGACATGTGGTGAATACCGGTCCACGATTTGGTAGAAGAGATTTGTTGGGTCGGGCAGTGGGTTGTAGCCATCCCATCCACTGAGAACGTGGCCGATGATCCAGACTCGTTCACCCGCATCTTCAGCCTTTTGTAGCTCATTGATCATCCAGGAAAACATGCCCGAGTTATCGGGATTGGTCGTGTTGATGAAATTGAGGATGTTCGCCCTGTACCAAAAGTCTATGTGACTGTCAGCATATTGTGAATTTTGGGACGTTGAAAAAGAAAGGAATACCGGTGTTGATCGAAATGATGCGTAGCCCGTAGTTCGTTTTGATAGAGTAACCGCCATAGTGTGTTGCCGCTTCATCTGCAGTCTGATTGCTAATCCAGCCTTCATGCTGCCACAGACGAGCCACGTGCTCGTATTTCCAGCTTGATTGTTCGCCTAGACGCCCGGGGAGACTATGGGGAGAGTCGATATTGGAAGGGGCCGAATCATGGTTTCCCAGCGTAACAAATACAGGCCCCGTAAGATATTCCCTGAACATTTGAAAGATACTGGTCTCAGTGTACTCCAGATATTCATGAGAGGTCTGAAGCTCAGGGTCGTGCGACACCAAGTCCCCAGTGTAAATTGTCCATGCCAGATGCTCATCGTAGTGAACTTCCCCCGTACCAGTCAATGGGCCAACGGACTGCAGAGCAGCAAGACCTAGATCGTAAGGAGTATCACATTTGAAATTTCCATAAGGGGTGGCAGGAATTAGTACCTCATCCTCTGAGTGATCGTTGTGATTGTCACTGCGACAGCACAGTTTTGATGAGCAGTTTGCCTCCGAGCTGACCGCATACCGAGCATCCAGGTGGAAATCAGACATGTGAAGCACCTTCACCCGTTCTCCGCTCGCCTTTGGGGCATGGGCATTGGCCGGCTTAGGCTTGGGGAACCAGCTGGATGTATCGAGGGGACGAGTATTAGGCCGAGGGCAAAAACTATTCTTGAGCGAATAGCAGATATACTGACCATCAAGACCTTCGACGTCCGCATATGCCAAGACCTGGGTCCAGATAGAACCAAATGCATGTTCAGAGTACTGCTGTTCACAGGTTTTATTAGAGGCAAATTTGAACGCCTTACACAAGCTGATCATGGCCTCGGGAGCCTTGGTTGGAGTAAACAGGGCAGCAGGCTTGGCAGCAGCAAGAGCCCTCTTGCATCTGTCGCATTGGTTTTCGGAGGTGCTGCTTTTGATGACCTCGGTCACATTGAAAATCACAGACTCGATCAAAGCATGCTCCTCAGCTGACGACAAATTTGCCAGAGGTGAGGGAAAGAATGGCTCATCTTGACCTTCAGGGATAGTATCAGGGTTTGTCAACTCAAATGGGAAGGTGTATTTCAAAATTGGGTCGTAGATAATGGGTTGAGGTTCTTTCGTCGGCAGGGCCGGAGAATCGTAGTAGGATCTATCGATTCATAAGAATTACGCTAGCTAGCACTCAGGAAATTCATACGCGAAAGCAGAGGTTGGAAATCCTGGCGCGGCGTGGTAAAACGCGTTCCCAGGGAAGGACGCCGTGGCATTCAACGGCACATCGATTCCAAGCAAGGCTTGTAGCATGGTAAAAAGACAGCAGTTTTGTTCAAATTCCGGGAAACTCAAAATCAGGATCAAATAAAGCGAAGAAAGAAGATATCCTGCATGAGGTGTGTAAGTGTAAACATTGAGATTCTCCAGAGTCGCGTTCTCCAAAGCCACGTGGGGAGAGGACTGGTCCAGGAGCACGTTACCTAAATACACTTCAGTAGTTGAATATTTGGATTATCCTGGCCCTAGAGCCATTTATAATGGACCATGATGAATGATGGGATGTACCCCTTGCATTAAGCCTGTGTCAAAAACTTCGTTCGATAGTCTAGAAATGATAGAGGCCGATACCGGCCATAAACAACATAACTAGTGTAGGTGCCATTAAGGCCTTCAATATGTCAAACTCAGACTTGGAAGACACCTCATATCCGAATAAATACCGCTGGATTATTATGCAGAACCACTCCGGACTTTTTTGAACACGCTATGTCCCCTCTTCAGTGTTATATAGCGCTTAGTCTCTCACTGTCAATCTAGCCAGGATGTTAAAATCAAGAGAGGCTAAGGTTCATTGAACCTGAAATATCATTGTTTGTGCATACAATTAGAGATATCTTCCGAGCATTGAAGCTTGAATCTCAGATAAAAAAAATCATTCCACTTCAGAAAACCTGGAAATCCCATCAAGAACCTCGGCTTGTCGGGCTGCCCAGTACTTTCTCTTTTCGTACCATCCTTGAGTGATTTGAACGGGGTAGTCATATAATATTCGACCTTTGTAGAAGTATTCTACCCAGGTAGAGTACATTTGACTTGCTGCTGTGGATTCAAAGTATAGGTCTGGATATACCTTGTAGTATCTATCGGTGGTCTCATCGACGCAAAGACGAGGAATATTCGAATTCACTTGGTAGGCAGCAGCAGGACCCAAGGGTGGCGAATGGCCTGAAAGTACAGGGTCTCCTGACTCGTTAAAGTTCCAACACTTGCAAATGCTTTTCTCATGGGGAAGTTTGTAGAAGTCGGTAATTATACTGAGCCAAACTTCTTCAAATGAATGATCGACAAGTTTTTCGTCCCATTTCCCCATCGTTTCATCCAGTTCGTGAATGTATTTTCTTTCTTCTTTCAGTATCTCATCAACATCTTCTGTGTTCATTGGTGTGGACTCTGTATGGTTACGCCGATGGGAAAGGCAGACATGCGTGATCTTGGCTTTTTGAAACTCTCTAAATCGAATCAAGTCTAGCAGCGCTGTACGTGCGATGGACTGCCCTTGGAACTCTGCTAACATCAATAGCCATTCAAGGACCCATACATAGCCGACAGAACCTTCAATATCGTAGTAGAAATCGATAAAAATTGAAGATTTCTGGTTCAACAACAGAGTCGATGGCGAGCAGCCATTGAAGGAACATGCGCAGCGGCATTTGTCAAAGCCAAAAGGATTCGCACCACGATGGAGCAACTTTCCTATAAGGGAGAATAATTCAGACTGAGATGAAGGTAAATTGGATAATCCCAGTATGTGGCATGCCCAAGATAAAGCTGAGAGTCCCGACTCATCCTGGTGATCGATGTTGCAGCCTTGCTCCAAAATGATGTGAGAGACTTCAATGGCATTGTTGATAAGTGATGTCATCAGAGCCGTATGACCCGAATGGTTGGTAAGGTCAATGTATACAAATCCTGCTGCAAAGAGTGCTATGGCATCTGCTTCTTTCTTCGCGTGATGCAGCAACGTGCCTCCGTCTTCGAATAAAGTATGAGTCTCAAGCCCCAAACCGAGAAGTTTACCGAAGTTTTTGCTCCATCTGCTAAGAGCAAGATGACGAAGCTCACTTTGCAAAAACGCATCCGAAAAATACCGCTTCGTACGAAGGAAAGCAAATGTCTCCGATAAGAGGTGCCATTGACACCAATCACCAGCGTACTGCAAAAATGAGATATGCTGGCCATTCAGTGCAGCTGCTCCTGCATTAAGGAGAATCATTACCGACTTGGTGCGTCCATATGCTGCAGCATATTCCAGTGGGGTCCTCCCGTAATAATCTGGCTTGTCTAAATCTTGACAGACATGAGCTATTCTTGCAAGCACATTGGGGCGAAGGACAGCCACATGGACCGGCGTTTGCCCAAGGTAACTTCTTCCTTCTATTGACCCGGAGCGGTTCAAAAGTGCTGTGATTTCATCCATGGAGTCACAGAGAATAGCATCCATGAGAGGCGTCTGGCCACAAACACCTTGAAATCGAACATGGTCAGGTAACCGAGGGTAACGACAATAAAGATAGAAACGTACCGTATGCATTCTTTGCACATTCTGTAAAGAAATTGAGCAGGAAAGGCTCTATCTGACTCCAAAAATCATCCCCCTCCCTCTTGTAATGCAAATCGTAAGGTTCTGGTGGCAAGGGCCCAACCATTTTCCACAAACGCTGATCAGTCGAGGCGTCTATTGCGCAGTCATAGCCAATGGCGATCAGCTCTTTGAGCAATCTGATATGCCATCCGTGTGTCTGATTCAAACGAGCCGCAAGTATCAAGAGTCTAGAAAATGGCAAAATTTAGTCTGAGTGAGGAAAACTCCCAACGTAGCGCGAGGGACGATGATGCCTACGATGTTGTAGTATTCATTGGCGCACCGCGTTCAAAAAGCACTTTTAAGACAGCAAAGACTGTCAGAGGAGAAGTGAGGCAAGGATTGATCATCCTCTGATCTAGCATCAATAAATTTGTCACACGAGAACAAACGGCTCATACTTACCTCGAGCCAAGTAGCTCCGTCCGGGAAAACATCATGCGGAGAAACATCACCACGGCGAAACAGCTCTCCAGACTATATTCAGCCCAGGTGATGTGAATTTGACTAATTTTTGGAAATGTAAACCGGGATGAATGGGAATCCCTTGATCGCTCCATGAAACGTGGAGGTCTGCGCGGAGAGCCCAAAGTAGACCGAAGCGTGACAGCCCGAAGAAGTAAGAGAACTTGCGTTTTCTATCTCTCTTGGAGTAGTTTGCGACAGATTTGATAGGCCTCTTTGCCAAAGGTGGGTCCGTATGGCCTACCACACTATTCGCTGGTGCTGAAGTAGCGGTGATCGAAACATCCACAGATATAGCTTGTTCATGCATCTTCATCATCGATTTCACATGGACCAAGGTGGCATCCGAGCGAATTCTGAAAAAGCAATAACTTGTCAATATACCCCAAGATATTGGAGAAGATCTTTTTCAAGGTCTTCTCCTCCTTAAGACTGTAGATAGCCTTGCGACTCCTTGTAATCTTCGAGTCGCTATCGATAGGCGTCAACTTGAAAAGAAGATCATCAAGCAAAGCCATCTGCGAATAGGCCTCGTCGATGAAGATTTTCATCACAGCTGAGCTTCTTGGGTTGAAGTAGCCGTAGTCGATCATGGTTCGAACACGCTGCAATGCCTCGATGAAGAAAGGCAAGTGCAATCTGATTTCGCGAAGGGTTCCCGGTGCGTCTTCGATATGGCGAAGATAGTCATTCAGACGATCAAACAATTTGGTCGTGAAATCTATCAGCTGGATGGCGGACGCGATGGCCCCAACCACGGTCAAGGCTTCTGCCATCGTAGTACCTTTGATGAGTAGAAGACATTGAGATCATGAGTCCGTACTGATGGAGAAAGATGAGGTTCTGAGGCTGAGCCCAAGGCGGAGTCGAAACACCGTAGCCAATAGGCTAGATACTTGGCGCCTTATGCATCGCTGACGTGTCTGGATTTTTGCCCAATGACATGCTCGGAACAGCGTTATAGAGACGAGAAGAAGATGAATTGTAGGAGATTAACATGTAAATAACATGAGATAAGGCATTTGACATTAAGCGGGAGAGAAAGAAAGCGTTGATTCCACTGCGATGGAAATGGCCATTCATCTATTGGAGTAGCCTTCCGTTTGTTCCAGCTCTCTCTCCCCTTATTCAAATAGTAGGGCTTTCACTAATCAATAGTAACCATACTAAAACTTAAATTATCCAGAACCGGGTTTAAAAGCCGTATATACTTACTATACATATACCCACAATAGGTCTGAAGTCCTCCCAATTTTCGTGCCTGTAGGCCTACAGGCATATTAATGTTAAAAATTAATTTAAAAAATCAGATGAATGCCTGTTTTGGTAGCTCAGATGTTTAGTATGTTTGCCAGACTGGAAAATTCGAGAATTGATACAGTAAAAATCTAGTTCAATGAATGCGCCCAGTGGACCAGGTACTGGGTACCTCGGCATGCGCGGAGCAGCATTATTGAGACGAAATCCAATATACCTCTCTTTGGTCTTTCTCTTCTACTCTATTCCTACTAGTTTCTTATGATTAGTGGATACTGTACCTGCTGATGTCTAGTCATGATACGTCACGGTGGGTAGTTAACGATTGATCGGCATTTATGTCGGGAAGATCAACCTCGGCTGCTTTGCCCGAAATTGAGCACCCGCGTAAGTGATTGGCGCGACCCTTTCAGCGGGGCAATATTCCTTATGATACCTTATGATACCTTATGATACAGTAAGCATGCCAAATCATGATAAGGTTTTGGGTTCGTTGAGGCTATTGGAAATTTGGAAAGTTGGAAATTGAAGAATAAGTTGCCGAAAATGACACCGAAGGTAGTCTATGACGCACAGGCCTGGGGGCGAATCAAGGTCTCAAGGCAGGGTTACATAAACATAAAAGGGTATTTATTAGAATCGAGAGATATACCCTGAATTATTATTATCCAGTTCAAAAATCCTTCTGACCTTCATTGCAACCAATTCCAAAATGCCTGTCAATCCCTCATTGGAAGGATCAACTTTCGATGTCGACCTGCGCGACCGGCACTTGATCTACGATTACGCAGCACAAGACGAGCACGGCAATCCGGAAACTTGGCGATATGAGATGTGGTTCCAGAACGAGGATCGCATCAATTATGCTATCCACGGCGGACCGATGGCAGGTCGCTTCAACTTCCAAACAGCCACCTATCAATGCATTCGACCAGGTGAATTGTGGCAATGCAACTGGTTGGAAGAGACGGGAACCATTTGCTCGCTTGTATATGATATACCGCGGCGAAAGATCTCCACTCTACTTGGATTCTCCAAGGGCCATTGGGAGAAGGCCGAGGAGGCCCATGGTGATAAGCGGAACCCGAAAGACTTTGAGAGATGGCGGGGGTTGGCACGGCTTGGAATCCAGACCGATCGCCACATGCTGAGCGAGCAAGCTGATATTTTGGAGGATTTCCGCGGGCCCGGGGATTTGAAGCCGGTTGACAATAGCTGGCCCACGCTGTGAGCACATGGCAACATCGGAATGGCGGGTACTGGCATGGGCCGGCGACCTTGTGACCGTATCATCGGAAGATCGGAAAGTGTTCTGTAGAGATGTGTACATAGACAACAAGAACAACAGAATTAATCAAAGTAAGCCCATAATGTGTAACAACTTGTAGAGAAGACGTGGCTGGCGCCGGGTATGTTTGAAACCGGGACTTCTAGCGGACTTCTAGACATGCATACTTGGCCGCATATTAGTCTGAAGGGACCTTTTGGCGGGTGAAAAGTCAGCTGACGTGAGGTCGGCGAGAAGAGAAAAGAATTCATAGCGATCGCAAAGACCGCCCTTGAAGGTCAATCTCAATCATGATCATTGGGGGAACCGGATCCTGTTGGCGGACCTTGGGGTGCCTGTAGGCATACGAGCTCGATTTGAATGTCATCTGGGCTAAGCGGTGGCGCAGAGTCAAAGCTTGGACAACGACTGATAATACCCACCGCGACCTGGGAGGCTTGTTGGGTGTCGGTCATCTGATCAAGATACCAAACCTGCCAAGGGTGATAACTTGATCCTGTCTTCATGATTGTGACCTCCTGGGAAGGGGCTTGTTCATAGACAAAGTCTGTAGGGAAGAGTCAGTAATCTACAGTTATGGCATAGATAAGCAGAACGTACCCTGCACAGGAATGGCGGCGACGTCAAAGACAGGCGCACCGCAAGAGGGCAGCATTGGCGGAGTCATCATGAACTGGTCCAAAGCTGTTGCCAAAGGTTGGTGATAATAATCGCCCGACGTCGCAAGTTCATACATGGTACCTTGCAAAGCAGTCTTAATATCGTGAGAACAAGCAGGACCCCAGATACCATCACATCCATTGTTCGGTCCCATCGGTGTGCCGGTCAAATTCCCGACTCGTAAAGCCACCTCCGAGGTGCGGTTCGTGTCGACGACATGCGGGTCGATGTTGTGATCTTGATATCCGAGCCAAAACGCGGTCTTGGTCATGGGACCTTCCCCTTTACCGGACGAGCTCGAATCGAAGGAGTAGAAGAGGGTGAGAGGGTTGAGAAATAGAGGCGGGAAATTGAACGCCACGGCGGTCTGGGCAAGCGGGTCGATACATCCGTTGTTCCAAAAGGAGCAGAACTGAGCCGAGCCGCATTGGATCAGGGTAGACGCGACCAACAAAACCCAGGCTTGAGACAGATGCCTGACCCCTAGGGAGGCCATTGCTGGCGACTGGAAGGAGAGGGAGGATCGGGTCCTCAGAGCGACCGTGACGGCCCTCAAAATAGCGAGATTCGTGAGTGATTAGCCAGAGTCGCGTTTCCCCAGGTCATCGTCTTTGAAAAAGGGCGAAGCGGGCGGGTTTGGGTTATGACGGTAGAGAAAAGCGGGAAGAGAAGTCAATGATGATCAAACGGCCGGACCAGATGAATAAATTAGTTCCATTCGCGACGGGGCTAAGGGAAAAGAGCCCCCGCAGGGCCTTCTAGGCGGGTGTTTGACCCTTTCCTAAGCGGATCCTAGCAACCGGTTAGGGCCAATGGAATCCAGCCAAGCGGAGTCTCCTCCCGATTACGAACAAAAAAAGGGAAAAAAAGATGAAAAAGGGTCCTCTGCCAAGATGGATAGCAGGGGATCAAGGAATGGAGCTTCCATGTAGGAAAAAAAAAAATAATAGAAAAACAGGGAGAGGCTCGTCTGCCACGGCGTAACCATGCAAGGCTAAGATCAATATTTATTCCGAACATTCCCATAAGTATGGAGTACATCGGGGGTACTTCCTGCAGGGTCGTGCAGTGCACAGTAACCCAAGTCAACAGTAAGTTTAATCAACATTTCTGAGCAGGAATCTCTGGTAGAGAGAACGCGCTAAAGGGTCAAGTCTCCGCATAGCAGGCAAAAGAGGCAAATACAGGCGGCGATCGTAAGTCAGGGTTGCAGAGCTGAGCAGGAACTAACCAATCATGACTCTTATCTGTCTCACTACGGGTCCGCATTATCTTCGCTAGCGCATCCATTTGCTGGTGGCCTAGGACCCTTGTTGTGGCCCCAACCCCCCTTCCTTTTGGTGGCGCTATTGAACCCTGCTCTGTGTATCAAATCGTGAGGCCTGCGCGACCTGAGAATCGTCGAATGACTCGTGTTGGATCGAGAATCGATATAGGAATTAATTTATTATCAGTTTAACGTGAAACGGAAGAAACATATGCCCTCGGCTAAGGTCGGCAACAACCTTGTCTGGGCAAACTAAAACCCAAGTTTTTGGATTCGTCTTCACCCCCAACGTACTACAAAGGTCGACCGGAGACTGTCCTTCTTGACACAACTTGACATCTCGGTCACACAGTTGCCTTTGTGCATATGGTTGCTGCATTGCGGTCTGCAATAGCCCGATAGTTCCGACCCTTCTTGTCGAGCGGATACCAGGGTGGTATCAGATCTGAGACGCTGATCTGTCGGGGCTAATATCCTGTCAATCATTTGGGATCTCCATGGTCTTTGAACCGCAAATCCTCGGACGTAAGACGGACCGTCAATTCGGAGCATTCCGACAGGAGGCTTTACACATACTGCGCAGCGTCATAAGTAGACTGGGCAAGTGGGACATGCGGTGTCTCCTTGGCGAGAGTGCGGGTCTTCGGGATCTGGTGGACACCAAGAGAATTGTGAGCCCAGCTGGCTGTTAGCAGTTGAGAGTCTTGGCAGGCGAGTTTTTGATGAGCCAATTCACCGACTTGATCTCGTATCAGTCCCATATCAGGCACGATCATGCTAGCCGCAAAAAAAGACACGGCTAAGTATGGATGAACCTTGAAATGATCAATATTGAGATACGCGCATGACTATCTGACAGGAAAGTTCTTTCATTTGTTGGTGTGCCCAAGTGTGCATAACCGTGTCCTCGTATCCGCGCCACAAAACTGTAAGACGCATACCAACACACATATTGGAAGAAATAAGAGACATATCGGAGCAGGACCCTATCTTTTGAAGCTCTTCAGCATATCTTTTCTCATTTTGATCACCGTTTGCGTCTCATGAATGGAGCTGACCAACAGGCGCACACGCTCTCGGTCCTGTACAATGTTGTCGTCAACGGTCGTAGAGATGAGCTAAAGGCTTTCCGTCTCACTCAGGTTGGAGTTAACCTTGTCAGGTAGACGAGCAAAAGTAATCGACAATTTCTGGACAGCCCTCACCAGTGGCAAGACACTGGGCCGGTTGCTGCTAATGCAGGCCGCATTCTCCGGGGTTGCACCTTTGAAATTCCAGATGATATCAATGTCCGTGGCGCGCTGGCAGCAGGTCTTCATGCGGCCCTGGCTCACATTGATGTAGTTCCGATCCCAATCGATGCTTGGCAACTGGAGCTTTTGCTGTTTCCAATCCTCGCACTGAGCAAGTTCGACAACACTTCATTTTCCTTGGCGATGGGTTCAGCTTGTGACGGGGAGGAGGTTTTGTGTTCGTCTAAGACAAGCTGCCTCCACACCGGATTGCATCGGCTCGGCCGTAGAGCTTTCGTGCGCCGCCTTCGAGGCTGTCACCTGGCTCAGCAATCGGCAAAATAAAAGGGAAGTCGTCATGGTTGAGGAAAGCATGCTGCTCTGGGAGATCGGGGTAAGGATCAAACTCGTCAATTGATTTCACTAGATTTATGCTCATCCTGTAGCTCATGGTAAATTAGCCTGGGCACATGTAGCGAGGTGTTTGTCACGGATAAAATTCAGATTCGTCAATGTGGGAGCACGGCCATACTTCTCTTGCCTTGCAATAGATTTATTCAAGTCCACATAGACTTAAAAATTTGGCGTTAATGAGATGAGAGATCAAGATCGCTGAGATGTGGGTGAAGTGAGAGCCTTTTGGGACATGTTCTTCCCAGTGCCTGGAACAGAACATGGATCTAAGACCCCGGATTTGACCGCAAATCCCAGAAAGAATGTAAATGATAATATATCATTTATCAAAGATCAGGGAGAATACAAGATGCATGTGTACCGGATCAGGCAAGAAAGATAAAATAGATGTAAAATGCCATAATGAAGGATAAGTTGATATAGTACAGACACACTTGATAGTCGCTATCCCGACTCCCCATCCCCTAGTATAATACAACGCTTCAAAGCAAATGCTTGAGATATGCAGGCCAGACAGGCCATGTACAGTGGTTTTCGTTTTCGAATCAGAAAAACCGTCACAAAATTAGAAATTGTCATGGGAGAGTGTCAATGCCCAAAACTCCGTAACTCCACGCTGGAAAATCAAAAAAATGCAGGTAAATGTTTCACGAAACACGGAAGCTGCCAGAAGCCCAGAGCTCAGATGGACGCACGTTCTGGGTAGCTAAATGCGTTTCAAGGCCCCATCGAGCCCCAATGCCTCACGATCTCGTCGCATACCTTCCAGAACACCAACAATCCCGCCACTGCGGAGACGTTCCAGAACCACATTCATTCCTTCCTTGCTCTTCAACACAGCGTCCCGAGTGCGACTCACGCCGATCAGCTCGATAGTTCGTTGGATGCCGGCGGTGGACAGAGAGGAGAAAAATCCTTTCTTGGGCGCTTCATCGTCCGCTTCGGTGTGATCCGCCTTCTTTCTACCCAGCAATTTGCCCTGTCCGAGGCGAGACTTGAAAGTCACTGTGGTGCGTACAGTGGTCTGTTCGGTTTTCTGATCCATGGACAGACCATCAAGCGCGCGAACTTCATTGCCGGCCGGGAGGCGCTGGTACCGCTGTTTTTCCACGACGCTGAGGATGCCAGTCCATTCCATGTTGCGGGATTCCGTCTCCATCCAGCCCTCGTGCGGATCAACGACGGTTGTCTCAAGGATGTAGCTCTGGCCGGAATGATCGGACCCGCCCATTCCCTTAGGCAGTAGTTTCAAGATACCGGCCGGGATCTTGGACTTTTTCAGGTGGAGTCGAGTGGTATGGAGACGTTGAGTAGCGGGATCGACATAGCGATCAATCACGTCGGTGGTAAGGACATGGCGAGAGTAGGGGTTCGGGTACCGGAGGAAGTAGGCAAGGGAGACAGCGGGGAAGGAGTAGTCATAGGTGAATTTATTTTCAAAGAATTTCATGATGGCAGATTCATGTGGATGAGATGAGCAAAAGGCATTAGGGAGGTTGTTCGTGACTTTTTACTCTTAATGGCAAAGGAAGATGCCGGAATAAGGAAAAATAGATTATCCGATATCCGGCGTGATCATGCGCCTATCACCAATAAGGAATAATGAATGGTGATGTAGACATGATTCAAAACGGATATATGATATGTGGGAATCTGGTTTAAGTGAATATACCCCGCATCCAGATGTCCTGTCTTGTATAATCCTCTGTACTTCATTGATCGATGATATCACAGGCATCCGTCTTGGGTTTACCTCGGGTAATCAATCACACTATGAGCTGATAACATTCTTTCTGTCATGATCATGCAATGCCTGCAGTTCTAAGTAGGTTCAAGGTATAACAAACCTGGATCTTTACTGCAACCATGGTATGTTACGATGTGATATGGTATTCGCGGTCTAAGGCACTCACACCACGTAGACGATCTGTTAGTGGCAAAGCATTCACCCAGAACCCAAAAGGCTGTGTTTCGGGATATCTGAATATTGTGTATTTCATTTCAGGGGGAAAAACAAATAAAAAAAATTATGACCATGCAATTAATTTTCAATGAATCTTACATCTGAGGAGAAATATTTGAACGGTTTCAATGGTGTAATGTAGTGAGGGATGGCATCAGGTGAACCCCGCAAAAACCAAGGTTTTCCCCCTGATTTGGAACACGCGCTCGACCCTTGAAATTTATACGTCCACCAGCAAAGGAGATTCATGAGCTACATATATACTAAGGACTTGACTTTCTATAACTGAACTATAGTCAGAGCTTACCTCTTCGGCTACCTCCTTATGGGCCGCGTTCAGCGCCCTGCATGCTTTCAATGCCGATGTCGAAAGGTATCTCTACCACCAAACCAAATTTAGTAAGGTCGAGCTAAAATTAATAGGTTCGATGTGATCGTCGGCAAGATAAATGTGGGAATTGTGAGCGCTTGCAATTCTCCTGCTCCTTTCAAAAGCAAGTTGGCCCAATAGCTGTTGGGACAGCTTCTACAGCGTTAGACCATCCTGAGCGACGCCGGGGAGGTCAGGCATGTTTAGATTGTCGCCGCCAAAAGTCGCGTTGCTCAGGAGAAATCCCTGAATGTGCAAATTGCCAGCGACATCAAAGACGATGCCGATATCCGTCAAGACCAGGCCCGTGTCACGAGGCGCAGCAGCCCTTCGAACTTGTCAATTTTCCCAATGATATCAATGAGGACGAGCCAGGGTAGGTCTTCAGTCAGCTACCCAAGTATCGTGAAATTGGTGCTGATCAGTCTAGATCAGATCCTCTTGCCCAAGATGAACTTGAGCTGATGATCAATGATTATTTCAAGTATCTCTACCCAATTCCGACATATGCATTTTTGCATGAATTTTCCACTCACCAGCAATTCCATGAAGGCACCCTTGATGAAGATTTGGGACTGTCAATCGCTGCTGTGACCAAGGAAGTCTTGTCACCGGGCCGAGGCCCCTTGGATGAGACTCGCCGTTGGATTTCCAAGGTGGAGATGAACATCTGGAATCAACTGGAGAAGCCAAGTATTGTTCGCCTACAATGTCTTCTTCTCGTGATTCATTTTTATATCCAAATCGGTCGGTTTTCGCGGGCTTATATGCTTGCCGGACTAGCCGCTAGAGGAGCTACTGCTTTACGATTGAACCACGAGCGGCCCGAGCTGAGTTTCATAGCCCAAGAGATACGTCGGCGAGTTCTATGGACTCTCAGTTCTATTGACGGTTCGTTCTCTGTCGGTCTTCCTGAATATGAAACAATCCCCCATGCAGTTATCTACCAGCGACTCCCAAGCTCAGAAGACGCATTTCGGGACGGTCGGCCCGCTGCTCCAATGGTTACACATTGGCCACGGCTGGATAGTGATCCAGCAGCAGGCTGCAATCTATTTTCATCTTGCATTCGGATCTCCAAGATTTCAAAGGACATCATGCGGCTTACGCGGCAACTTGCTCTTTCAGAACAGCCACTCGCGCAGTTGAGTGGGCTTGTCCAGGAGATCCAGAACGACCTGTGGAGACTTCAAGCAGACATCGAACTTTCCTTTCAGTACCAGGTTGCATCCCCCGCATGTGTAGCTCAGATGAAAAGCTCACGCTGGTTTGTACGCTACCTTCAGATTTCAATTACTTGGCACCAGGCCCATTGTGACCTGTACCGACTTTTCCTTCCAGATTACAATGGCGCAGCCCCCACAATAATCACCGACTCCATCGAGCCAAGTCTTAGAGCGCAAGCCGTGGAGAAGTGCCAAGAGCATGTCCAGAACATTAATCTCATCATACGTGGAGTTCTAGATCTGTCCCCGTCCGCCCCTCTCCCACCCTATGTTGCGGTATGCGCATACCATGCAACCCGGTTGACGTTGTTTCTCCCATGTGCCCCAGCTCTGAACGTGCGAGTTGATCTGAAAAGTGCAATAGAGAGTGCAAACGTGGCACTGACTGTGCTGCGGCGGTTTTTCGCCAGCTCTGCATCTGCCGGACATATTATCCAAGATATGCAACGTCTGGTAGACCTATCAAGCAGTGCATGTGGTTCAATTTACAAAGAACTCTGCTACCCATTACCACCATTTGATCATGGCCTACATCGCCACAGCCACCTGGCAGTCCACAGCCTCATCCGACAGGCTAATTTTATTGATGGAGGCTATGAAAACTATGGGGGAACTTTAGTAGGTACTAGAGAAGGTACTAGACCTGATCCATTGGTATGACAAGGCTGTACCTTCTGGACCAGAAACTTCTATTGCCTAAGAGCGCCTTCTCCTTGATTCTTTTCGAGTTGAACCTTGGAAACCATTCAGTTTCCATTCAGTTTCAAAGAGCGTGGGCAAAAGGTGCCTGGCCCAAAGGAGTATGTCATTGGAGAAGCCAAGTTCGAGAAGATTCTTGTTGGCTGTCTTATCCGAGGTCAGCATCCGTCAGCCAACTTTGCCGCCTGAAATTCTCTGATTCCAGTTGGAGAGAGGCGAACTCTACGTAAGTGGACCAAAGAATCTCAGATATGGAACAGCTTATGTCAAAGTCGCCCCTCGCTCTAGACGAACAAGAAGCTGTACCATTGAAGTGGATCGAACGGATAGAGAAATTCCAGAACGCTGATGGGATGAGGATCTCCACGTCAGACGATGACAAAGTGGTCGAGAACGTCTGGGCTTCCACGCGGGATCCACCAGAAACAACCTTATTGCTCATCCGCGCTTCCGGATTCTCAGATTACTTTATCCCCAAACTTTTGGGATTTTCATCGGTTCCCAGCGATTGCCGACTCCACAATGGAGGATAAATAGGTCCTCATCTCGCCCTGAGATGTTAGTTTCCTCAACCAGTCCAGTCTTTCTCACTCTCATTCTCTTGTCTTTGTTTTTGTGTCTCTCGACACGTACATTCTCTTGTTCCTTTGTTGAACAGACGGCCCTTCGGTCAAGACAATCACTACCTTTCTATTTGAAGACTTCCTTCTTTTGAAGACTTCCATTCTCAATCTTTCAAGATGCAGTTCTCCAACGTTCTTATCACCAGCATCCTTGCTGTCGCCGCTGCTGCTCTGCCCGCCTCCAACGTGGCCCGCGATACTGCCACTACCACCTCCACAAGCACTAGTGCTAGCTCCACTTCCTCGAGCTCTGGAAGTGTCCAGATCGTGAACAACCTGGATACCGACGTTTATCTGTGGAGCACCTCGCTCGACTCCGGTTCCATGCAGACCCTCAACTCCGGTGGCGGCACCTACAGCGAGCACTGGCAGATCAACCCCGATGGTGGCGGTATCTCTATCAAGATGTCTACCTCCACCAACGAGGACAGTGTCCTCCAGTTCGAGTACACCGAGAATGGCGAGACCCTTTACTGGGATCTTTCCTCCATCAATCTGGATAGCGACTCTGAGTTCGTTACCCAGGGTTTCTCGGTTACTCCCAGTGACTCTAGCTGCTCTTCTGCTACCTGCGCGGCTGGTGATGTCGACTGCGCTGCTTCTTACCAGCACCCTGATGACACTGCCACCAACTCCTGCTCCACCAGCGCCCAGTACGTTCTGACTCTGGGCTAAGTGTCATGTACAATCATTATACTTTTATGTGATTTCCTGCTTGGTCAGGACATTTTAAGACTGGATACATATTCTACCTTCCTGATGCTCTGCAAGACTATTCCAGCAGAGGTCTTGTTTCATTGTCGCATGCTGGCTATGCCTCGATTCAAAAGATTGTTTTATATGAACATATAGATTTTATAGATACAGACTGTACATATTACAGAACCACTCAAATTTCAAATTCTTAAGAATTAAACTTTCCAATCAAGAACCTTATGTATTACTAAGAAGAAATGATGCCATGAAAATCTTTCAATGTTCTGCATAAGGCTAGTATATCCATGGATGTCCCAAACTTAATACGAGTGTAACCGATACATCCGCTACTGTCTTGATTCGACATGCATCCGGCGAGAACCATCCGCAAACCATAATTAAGTTTGGACCGATTGCTGGTCGCTTGAGATCGAATCAAGGGTTAATCATGATATAGCAATACTGATTAATATCCAGAATCCTTGAAACAAACGATAGAAGAAGAGTTTCACAATAAGTCTGATTGCACTTAGCAACTCAGCGCTAATCACGACATTCCTTGAATTTTCTTTTCATGCATCAGCTAAATTCTAGGCATCGCGGCGTTTCAGAGTCTACGCTGATGGACATTACCGGGATTGTAGCAATTCTTCAATGTTGCCATTTTATTCAGGTGTCGAATCGCCTCATTTGGAAGGGGAGAGGACATCGCCCGAGTGCCCACTGTCAGGTGCGATTTACAGAAATTTTATCGACCAGTTGACTTTCGACATCTCAATTTGATCGAACCAATGATTGAGATGTCAATGTTCTACAACACAATGCGAGAACATTTTAATGCTACCCCTATATAACATTGAGTGTACCAGACCAGCAGCGGATTCAAGGATTATAGATGTTGAAGGACTTCGAGAAGACGGCTAGTTGACAGATTGTGTTATTTTGAGCTTGAAAGGCTTATTACAAAGAGAAGAAGCGAGATAAATAAAGTGGTACAGAATAGTTACAGGGATACTAGATGACCATAGCTATTGTTCAGGGAAAATGAGAAAATAAATGCAATCTTAAGCTCATATTGCAATATTTGAAATAAGTTTATAAAGAAAGGAAGATGATATCGGGGTATTCGGGTATTCTAACAACAGCATAATCGGGCATCCTTGTACAATCTCCCGTGCTCAAATAATATCCATGAAGCAAATTAGTATTATACAAAAGCTGCACCCACTCCCATAGATTTGTACAAATGTAAAGACAGATCTAAATCAGAGGAGAAACAGCCATTGCGTATGATCGGTGATCTTTTGAACCGCTTACTCGTGCGAGAGAGTCTTCTCTCCCTCAGAGGCAGCGGCGGGCAGAACAAGAGGATCGATGTTATCCTTCTTCATGGCCTCCATTCTCGGGCTGGTGCGCTCGAAGTACTTGGACATGTTGCCGGAGAGGATGCTCTCGTCGACATCGAAGATGTCAGAGGCAGTCTCGGACTCGTTGGTGCGAGAGGCCATGGCGGACTCCCACTCCCCACGGAACTCCTCGACCTTCATCTTGTAGTCCAGAGCAGCGTCGTAGTACTTGCCCTTGCCGGTCCAGCGCTCCCAGACGGACAAGTGCTTGGAGTGCACAGCGGGTCCGTGGTAGTCTTCCTCGCGACCGGAGCGGAGGTATTGCCAGCGGCGCTCCTGCTCGCGGAGATCCAGACCGGTGGTATCGGGCAGGAACAGGTAGGTGACAAGGGCACCGAGCAGGCCGAACCAAGGCACAATGTAGAAGCGCTGTTGGGTGGTGGTGTAGGAGCCAACGATGGCAATGATCAGGGCACCGAGCTTACCGAAGGCGGCGGAGATACCGTGGGCGGTACCACGGATAGGGGTAGGGAAGACCTCAGCAGCGACCAGGAAGGTGATACAGTTGGGACCGAACTGGTTGAAGAACGAGGACAGGAAGTACATAGCCTGGAAAGAGTGGATGTGCTCTTTGCTGGTGTAGTAGTCGTACTTGAAGCAGGGGATGACGAAGAGAATGAAGCACATCATGAAACCAATGATCTGAGCCCACTTGCGACCGTAGAGCTTGTTGTCAACGGTCCACATGGCGCCGTAGTAACCGGCCAACTCAACACCAACATTGGCTAGGGTCCAGAGCCAGCCGGTCATGACAGTGTCATCATCGGGGCTGATGGCCTTGATGAAGTTGCTCTGGAAGAGCTTGTTACCGTAAAAGAAGACATCGTTGGCGAACCATCCACCGGCGGTAGCAATGAGACGAGGAGTGAAGTACTTGAAGGTAAGCTTAAGGGACTCGGTATCGTATCCGGTGACGGAGGCCTTCTTCTTCTGAGCGTCGAGCTGCTTGCTGGCAGCGCGCATGTGGTAGATACGGTAGTAGACGAGCCAAAGAGTACCGGCGGCGGGAATAGCAAAGGAGACACGGTAGACCCACTGGGTGGTCTTGGGGGAGAAGCCAGTGGAGTGACCACCGTTGAAGATCAACAGGAGGAGGATGAGGATGGCCTGGTTGGCGAACTGGCCCCAACCCTGCATAGTGAAGGCACCGACGACGGAGCGACCACGGTGAAGACGATCGTGAGAGGTGGTGACCTTGCCAGAGCCGTATCCGTTCTCCATACCAATGGTGGCAGTCATAGGGTACTCACCACCGACACCGATGGAGTAGAAGAAGAGAGCCCACATGTAACAGATAACCCAGCCGTTCTGGGTAAGACCCCAGGCGGCAGTAAGCATAAGAAGACCGACGAACATGATGACAGCGTCCTGAATGAGACCCCAGCGACGACCGATACTAGAATGATCATCAGCAATTGCTCCAAACTCTCATCCCAGTGTATTCCTTACGCATCACCCAGATAACCGACGAGAACCTGACCAACCATGATACCGGCGACCTCCATATAGTTGATGGCGGCAATCCAGTTCTTGTTGCAAATCTTGTACTCCTTCCAGCACGACTTGTAGGAGACATCCAAAAGACTGGTGACGTTGGAAATGGAGAAGAGAACGTAACTATTTTACAGATCGTCAGCCTTATTCCCTGCATGTGTCACGTTCCACAAGATCTGACAACTCACCCTTCCAGACCAAGACCAGCACCAGGCAGGACAAAGTTGCGGAAGTAGTAGGAGATGGGCGAGAGGGGATCAGTCTTGATCATGTCCCAGAGCCAGGCGGCCTCCTTCTTGGTCTCCTCACGGTCCTGCTGCGTACAGAAGCTGATGCGCTCGCCGATGGGCAGATCGGCCCAGTAGCGACCATCGGGGGTGTAGCTGTCAGCGGGACGGATGATCTCATCGAAGGCAGCCTTCTCATGAACCTCCATCTCCTCAAAGTGGTAGAGGATCTCCTTGGGGGCTTCCATTGTGAATGGATTTCAAACCCAGATGGGTTAGAAGCAAGGGATTGCTAGGGGTTGGTTGATTGAAAAGGTAAGAGCGACACGAGACAAAAAGAAAAGAAGGAGAAGCAGGCATATTTATCTTGCAGACGGACCAAAACCAAGCGGGCGCGCGATATGCGACGGGACAGGAAACTGCAGGGCGCTAGACAACATGAACCACGAGGTGAGAAAAGTAAGACGCAAGAGCCTATAGAATGCATGTATGGGAGCACGATTCCCGATGATAGTGGAGACGGCCAATCTCCCTTTTTGCACTAGTCGTTTGGGTCCGACTGGGTCCATTTGGTACGTCTCGGGTGCATTGACCGAGTGTAGCATCGGAGGCACGCGAGTGGTCGGTCTTCTCAACCATGCAAATGGGTTCCGGGGCGGAAAAGGAAAAGAAAAAGTGGTTCCTTAAAGGTATGTTAATTGGGTCCAGTCTAGAACAGAGTAAGGCGCATGTCATCTGGGACGGACATTACTAGATCTGGTTCGGCTCCTTGTACTTGGATTCATCGTTCTTTTAAACAATACTACATTGGTTTTACCTATATCACGCCTTTAAGCAAAAACAAGAAGACCAAGACATGGAAGGCGTAACTTGGCGACATTTGGCGACATTGGCAACATTGGCAACAATTGGCATGGACAGAAATGGCTTCTTCTCATGCGACCACCAGAGTTCTGGTGATCGATGATTGGAATAACTATAATTGACCAATCAGATACTCGCATGTCACCCCGTGCTCAACTCAAATCTTATTCAAGCATAAGACCCACTTATGTAATACCACAAACCAATCAAATCGCTCAATTGTCAAGTCTAGACCCATATTTCCCCCGACTCATAATGCTCCTTCGGCGCACATGGGATTCTGGAGTCAATTGACTGGAGTTGGCTTATTTTGCCCGCATTTAGTGTATTTAGTACCATGTCAAGTCCGGAGTCCCCGCCCCACTTCAATATTTGCCTGCGGCCTGTTTACGCTTTTTACGGTCTCCTCCGTTCGCTTGCCACGCGAACCCTATGGCATGAGATTCGTGGGACACCCACAATATCTAAGTATCCAGACATGTTGAGAAACAAGGAACGTGGGCTTCCATGGAGCCACCTGAAGCACGCGACTTTCCTACATCAGACCACGGTTTAGCCATTGACCATACGAGCATATCTCCCAGATGTGGAAGGAGCACACGGCACTGAGAATCAGATTGTCTGTGAAACAGAGACCTGCATTACGCAGCTCTTAATCTATCTTAGAATATATCAAATGCCAAGCCAGCGTATACCGCATTAACATCCCGATTATCCGATATAAACCGCATGTCTGATCGCGAAAGTGGTCCATGCAACACAAGATCACTAGCTCGATCCTTAAGATTGAGAGGCGTATCACGCCGTTAATCATGAACCCGAGTTCGTTTACGGAGTACGCCTTGCGGTCCCCACCGTGTCATGCAGGAACGTGCTCCTAGATCGCCATATCGACTGGCCGATCCTTCGGATGCCAGGGCCCTGCAACTGACCTGCCGCTCCCGGCTTCTATTATTATTCTAGACTCGTTACTCCGTACTCCGTCTCGGTCTGAGCCGATTGGATAGCTGGATGCATGTTGCTTATTGCGGTCTGTCTCGTGAATCGATGCATTCTTTCGACCGGTGTTTTTGTTTTCATTTCCGCTCTCCACCGATCGACTTAGGGCCTGCATTCCTGCCAATAGTCGCCGCCACTTAATGTGTTGCCTCTGGCCCGAAAATTTGAATTTACTTGTTCTTGAAGCCGGTCTATTGTGTGGTTGAAACGCGCGGCCTTGCCGATGATACGATGTGGCGGGTAGACATAAGACAACCGTGTTGATCTCGGATTTCCTCTCAATTTGAAACTGTCTATTATAGATGTAGTCTAATAATGCTACCTTCTAAGGCACTTTCACGGGACCTAGTCGGGCGAAAGCAATGATATAGTTCCGTAAAAATGGCGAAATCAATGCTAAATGGTCATGTGCCCTCAGTTGCCTAGATACTAACCTTTCTCCCTGCTGTTTGAATTTTCTCTTCTCCACCTCTCTTATACCTTTTTATTATATCCTCCGATTTTGTTCCCTACTGTTTGTCCTTGACTATTAGTTCGCCGACATATCCAGTCGTACACAAGCAGACAAAATGTTTCATGTGCTCGCGGTTTCGCCCCATCCAAGACCTCCCTCTCGATCAGAGATCATACGGGATGTAAGCTACTCGCATACACCTTGTTTTTTCTGTATTAGCAGCGCTTAAGGGAAAACCTGTACAACGTGGCGTTTGAAATTGTTGATTACACGGTACCCGAGTGACTCACTCAGAGGGAGGTATTTAAGGCTAGTGAAATAGTGAAGTGAATACAGCAGAACATTTTTTATTTTTGTGATCCATCTTTGAACTTGTTAACTAACTATTCTGTTACAAGGGCGACAGTATTTTTGAATTCGACTCACTTAAACCATCACATCGAGATCAAAAAGCGCCCCATTCTCCGATCTAGTTCCAAGACATTCCTCTGAAACTGCGACTCTATATTTCAGTCCTCGTGAATACCAAACTCATCCACTTGGTACAGTATGCCGTCACCCAGCAATACCCGTCCTCGGACAGGTGGAGGACCCGGGCTGATTTCGCTGACCGGGATCAACAAGCCTTGGTCGTCGGCTCGCTTTTCGTCAGCGGCGGTGACCTTAGTTGGGTGTTTGAGTTCTCGCATCATGAATTTTGTTCGGCTCATCAGGAAGACCTAGTGCTGCCATGCGAGTTTGGTTCCATATCGCAAAGCCATGACGCTGGAATGATCCGACTTTCACATATTGGCATGGGGGCGCGGAAGATTGAGATTTATTCCCGAAAAATCCCAATCCTCTGATGCCAAAGCGAAACTCCATATTGTCATTGTCATTGGCAACTGAGAAGGGACAGTCGCGTTGATAGCTCCATTGTGTCGCATGGGCTTAAGCTCCGGATGCACAGTATCATTTAACTGGAAGCTTTAAAGAAGGGGACAAGATTGAGCTATCGGCCATTGTCCCGAGCTTTGAGATATCAATTGCATAACATAGACGCCCATATTTCATTCAAGGACAGGCTTGAAGTCGGTCCACCTCGCTGAGGGGCCAGCTTGTGGGTATGCTGCTGTGTCTCTTCCAGACTAGGAAAATTCATCAAAGAGCACGAACTCCCCTCGGCTCTTCCATTGCAGAATCAATATTTGCCTGTCACTTGGCAAACTGCATGCCATCACCTCGATGATTCGACTGGAAGTGCCGTCCTCGTGTAGGAAAGACTATATCACAGGTTATGACCGATATAAGCTATGAATAGATACGAGATCTAACTGACTGAGGATCATCTCTCAAGTGCTAGAAGGTGTCTTGGTAAGAGAAAGAAGAGATTCTGATGAGCTTGCTGAGTCTGGTTGCTGGTTGATGCCTCAGGCTGTTCAGCTTCTCGTTCTTTGCCCTTGCTTGTAGATTGGTGCATCAAGTAAAGCGTTTCTGGCAAAGTGAGTACCATTCTAGTCAAGCAAACGAAGTGCCCAGGTGCGATGGATGAGAAAGGGAAAAGCTATCTGAAGGGAGATAAGAAATACATACGGGGATAAATCCCATTCTCCACGAGCACTTGTAACCTTGTTACCTGTACCACATGGGCATGCAGCACTTGAGGTCGTTCAATAACTGGTGTAATCAAGCTGTAGAATGTCAAGCGAGGCGTCGGAGGCTCACGTGCATATGTTTATATGTACGCATAGCCTGGACGTAAACACGAAAATGTGAAACCTCCAAATGTTGGAAGGAAGTGATAATTTATGAACACATGTGCAAACATATGACAGAAAGAGAGGTCGAAGATGGAGAAGAGAATGGGATATATATATATATGTATACATACTGTCCAGAATTCAAGTACTGGAAGTCCTGAGAGCAGCAATCATTCAATATGAGGCGTTTTAAGCCTTTGATGTTTTATCGTTGTAAGAATTTCATTTGCAGGCACCACTGATAGATATAAGATCGGCAAGCAGTACAGAATCTAGTGTGAGAAAGTGGGTATGGATATACTCAACTGACCAATATTTTTGCTGAATTGCCGATACCCGCCGACTACCGTCTATGTGGATCCTCTCTACCATTCACGTCAGAGCAAAAGATATGATATGCTGATTTAGTATTTAAGTCATGCCTTTTCTTCGCTCAGCGCATTGCTCCTGAGTTCCTAAGAATTCAACAATTTTGTATTCCGTTGTCTCTAAACACGGAGTTGCTTTCTCCAGGTTTTTTTTCTTTCGGTTTTGCTGCAGATCAACTGGCTCGCTATCATCCTCTTTCACTGCGTACCATCATGGCGCAAATTCGACCAAATATCGTCTTCATCATGGCGGATGATCATGCCTCTAAAGCAATCTCCTGCTATGGGGCCGGAATCAACCACACACCAAATCTCGATCGCATAGCCAACGAGGGTATGAAATTCAACCACTGTTATGTCACCAACAGTATTTGCACCCCTTCTCGCGCCGCAATCTTAACAGGCACCCACAATCATGTCAACGGTGTCATGACCCTCGATTCTAAAATCAACAAGCACATGCCTAACGTTGCAAAACACCTCCGAGTGGGTGGCTACCAAACCGCCATGATTGGGAAATGGCATCTGGGTGAAGGGGAAGCGCACGAACCGACCGGATTTGACTACTGGGAAGTTGTCCCCGGACAAGGAGAATATCATGACCCGCAGTTTATTGGGCCCAACAGCACCGTACGGGAAAAGGGATATGCGACGGACATCATTACCGACAAAAGTCTCAACTGGATGAAAGCTCGGGACACCACAAAGCCATTTTTCCTCATGTGTCACCACAAAGCACCCCACCGCAGCTGGGAATGTAACCCGAAGCATAAGGAACTGTACAAAGACCCCATTAAGGTGCCGGATACATTCACAGATGACTATAAGAACCGTGCCAAATCAGCCGCTGCCTCAAAGATGCGCGTCGCGCAGGATCTTACCTATTTTGATCTTGGACTCGCTCAGCCTGACGGGCCCGCTCACATCGTTGGAGAGAAAATGGTGAATTCATGGTGGTCCCAGGAGCGAAAGATTCCCGACCCAGAGGACGTGACAAAACTGAAACTGATCGATAAAGAGGACGGAACTGTTTTCACTTTTCAAACGCGCCAGGAGCTCGCCGAGTTCAAGTTCCAGCGCTACATGCAGCGCTACCTGCGCACGATCCAAAGTGTTGATGACAACGTGGGTCGGATGCTAGACTACCTGGATGCGGAGGGTCTCTCCGAGAACACCATTGTGATCTACACGTCCGACCAAGGGTTCTTCCTTGGTGAACATGGATGGTTCGATAAGCGCCTTGTCTACGAGAACAGTTTCAACATGCCATTCCTCATCAAGTACCCGCGGGAAATCTCCGCTGGAAGTGTTTGTAACGACATCATCTGCAATGTTGACTTTGCACCGACATGGTTAGATTTTGCGAAGCTTCGTATGCCGACCTATATGCAAGGTGTCAGTTTCAGGCAGTTGGTCCAGCAGAAGACGCCCGCAGATTGGCAGCAGATTGCATATCATCGATACTGGATGCATCGTGACATTATCCATGATGCACATGCGCATTATGCGGTGAGGGATAAGCGGTATAAGCTTATCTATTGGTACAATGAGAGCTTTGGAATCGAGGGGGCTAGGCTCGGTGGTGAGGAAAAGGAGTGGGAGTTGTTTGATCTTGATGAGGATCCGTTGGAACTGTTCAACTGCTATAATGAAGAGAAGTATCGTGAAGTTGTGAAGTACATGACCAAGCTCCTCGAGCTGAAGATGGAGGAGATTGGAGATGAGCCTGTTCACCCACGATGAGCCCGCCTTCAAGACTGGCATTTTAATCAAGGAAATGTGGACCATAACCCCCTGTGATTGTCTGATTCTAAGATGCATTATGACTTGATCCATATAATGAGATCTATAAAACGATGCCCAACTACTGATAAACAATAATCCATTCACCACTCAAAATGATTTCCCACCAGCTTCAAGTACCTGATAATTTTTATGCGCTCATAGCTTGCCTTTCGGGAGATCCCCCCTCTTGGTCCGGATTGGCACCGTAGCAGAAATACTTGCTTCTTTCGACAACCTCAACATCTCATCATCTGAGTGCCGGCTCTGATACACCGACCAGAACTTCTCATCTTCCAACCACCCATTGAACCATTTCTGAATCCACCCAGCCCCAACCTCAGCACACCATCCCACATCCTCACAAACAATCGAATGCGTTCCCTCCTTCAGAACGACTTTCTCCACCATCCCAGCCTGAACTCCACCACTCCCACCGGCCCCAGTCCCGGTAGCCCGCATCTTTGCGTCCTGCGACTGAGGCGAAGAAAGAGGGCTTTTCCCACCAAAAGCATACAACACACTCGGCCTAAGGAATGGCAGATTTCTGAAAGCGGCCTGGCACTCCGGTCGCGCAACGATATACGGCCTTTCCTTGTCAGAATCCCAGTCCGGTAGCACAAATCTATCCAGCGATTCATGTTCAAGATTTGTGCTGTAGTAACTCCATGTTTCCTGATGCTTCGTCGTCGTTAAAGTTACGGCTTCTGGACCAACATTCGGATCCGAAAGCTTATATATAGCCGTCGGGACATTCCGAAGTCCAAATTTCAGATATCGTTCTTGAACCCGAGGATCCCATTTGCGTAGGCTTTTCGACAAGGCGGTTTTGGCTTTCTCAGCGCTCGACCAGAGATCGCGGCGTAGACTGGACTGGAGGCCTGGGTTTGGTCCTACCAAGGATATATCGGTACTAATGTCGAAGATGGTGGGATCAAACATGATCAATGTCGATAGGAGCCGAGGGTGCATGATTGAGAGATTTACACTGACTGGTTAGGTTTTTTTCACACGATACAGGGAGGGATGGAACATACAGTTGGGCGCAACCCATGCTATGCCCGACACCGATTATAGGGCGAGAAATTTCATCGCGGAAATGGTTGACCATGTGGAGAATGTCGCGCGAGTGGTCATACCAGTTTGCTTTATTGTCGTCAGGTTATGCTTTATGAGCCTCAACTCTGTGAGCTCTGGCATGGGAGAAGTACATACTTCGATCACCCTGGATATTTTCATTGAGAATTCCACTTGCTCCTTGATTTGATATATCTGCGACCCAGATTCCACGCAGTGAGAGTCCTTTCTGCTTCAATTCAGTATATAGGTCTTCCCAGAGAGGCTCGTATGTCTCCTTGGGGTTGCCATTTCCGTGGAACCCGATGATGGTGATTGCATTATCAGGGATCGGAGTATCAATGGGAATGTATTGCTTGATGGCAAGGTGATGTGGGGTTTCTTGATTTCCCCTGGTACTCTGAGGGTATTCTCTGATGTGTTGACCGGGGATTGTATGTTCAATAATTCGAAATGGAAAAGACATTGTCGCTGTTTTGTGAGGATTCAGTGACTGGCAAGGGTTAATCTTGATTAAATATACGGGCAAAGCCGAGCTGATGGATAGCTACCGCTTAAATTGTCGCCGATTAACACATGGGCAAATTTAAGATCCACATTTACTTCTTCATGCAGCTAAGGCTTTGGTGGGATCTGTCAGTCCCCTGTTGAAGAACCTTATAAATCGGGCGCTCAACTTCCATGGTTGAGATATAAATGAGACACATATTTCATTTGAAACTGGAATGATCTGGGAACGAGAGGGAAATTTTTCACTGTGTCAATTGGATATCTGACGACTAAACATGCTCCTTTTGATGTCACAAAGTTGCGCTATGGCCAGGCGGGGCGTCGGGTAAGAAATCCCATTGTAAACACAACTTTACTATACTGAAGGAGATCACCGCGCTTTTCTAGAAAATGCCGACAAGAACCATTACAAATATTTCTTCACCGGTAGAAAAAACGCTAGCCTTTTCCCAGAATATTTTCGCGGAGAGTTTCAGCTTCATGGACGAAGATGGGTACTGGCTTTGAGGTTTTGGTTGCCGAGGCCGTTTGCATAGCGCGGGGCAAGCTAACCACTTCTAAGGAGTACCTAACAACATATTTCGAAAACGTTACTTCAGCTCCACGAAAGGAGAAAAGGAGCATGGCAAAAATATCACATCGGAGAAGAGCGAAGGCCTCTATCAGTGGGGACCCGCTTATCCTGGTCTAGACCTGTTAGTGCCCGTTATCACATCTGGAATTTGAGCTAGTTGACTACAATTCACTTGTTGTTACCCTACGATCGCTTACCATTGCCGTTTCCTATCCTTCACATCATAACACATTATGACTGAATGTCGGCATGACTTCGAACTCCATCGAACTAGTGAAGATCGCTGATCAGCGGATAGTGATCACGAATGCAAATCTATATACAGTACCCCGCCAAATGGGGAGCACTTTCTGTTCATTTATGTCAAGGTAGCAGCAAAATTCGGTGGTTAGTGTACTAAGCAATAGAGGTTGATTGACTGTAGGGACTACTACTAGTTAGTATTGATTGAAAAAGAGTGACACGAACCTCGCAAAACACAGCGGTACTCAACGCGTCTTCTGTTTATTTATCCCAATATCTGTGATTCTTAAGCTCGAACTTTGGTGTGTTGAACAAGAACAGAATGCTGACTTCATTGCGGTCAATGATGCGGCACGTGATCAGGCGGTGGACTACACGCGCTGCCCGCTAATCAACGCTGAGACCGGAGTTGATCTTCCTGTGCCGATACTTGAAGCTTTTTTTTTCTTTGCCCAGCTGCATCTGACTTTGATCACCCCAATTAACTCACATACCCTGAACTTGCGGGATTGAAAGTAGTTACGAGGGTCAAGCACAGCATTTCCGCTCCCGGAGCACCCCGCGTACACTCGGCCCACTCCCCGATGAAGTGGCCAAGCACCACAAATGCCGAACGGAAAGAAAGGGACGGTGCCAGCCAAGCCGCGGAGGGATGTCCTGGCTTCGCTGCGAATGGCGTCCTTGGAAGAGATCTCTCGGGCTGTCTTGCCCGCAGGTAATTGTGCAGATCATTGACTGATAAGAACCAAAACACGCTGACACTCTACAGAGATCATGTCGGCCATTCTTGATTATCTTGGACCGGTCGACCTTATTCGGGCCTCGCAATCCTGTAAACTCCTACATGAAATGGCTTATGACGATACTCGATGGGTACAACGATTAAAGCGAATTGGATGCTGGGATGAGTCGGATGCTCGCAGACGCGTGGAGGAGGTGTATGGAACTGTTGCCAACCAGGAGGCTATTGAACAACATGAGATTGATGAAGAGGCGAGAGGCGCAGTTCCGATCACCGATTCAGAAGTCCATGCCATATCAGATGGTTTCGACAAGATCGAGCTGAGCAAGACGGCGGCACAACTGAAACCTCTGGAAGATGAAGCGAGGGACCCTGACCTTGCTGTCTTGGAGAATTGCAGATCAATTCGAGGTGAAGCTCGTCAGGAGTATGGGAAAATTCATGCCGCGTTGGCACCCTTGTACGATGATATTGCAGCATCTGGACCTTCCACTGAGAATCTGGTCTTCACAAAGTACAAAGACCCACAACTCCAAGCAAAGATGCTATCTCAATTAATGGCATTTGCGAAAAGTGACATGACTACGGGATGGGAGTGGCGAGAAAATCGACTGGAAAGTGCAGTGTCCATGTTTGAAACCGCCGCATTAAACGAGTTCCGAAACGGATACGAGACAGACGACATTGATGGCCTCATGCACAAGTACGCCTACATCCTATACGCTCTCAATGGTGGTCAATCGGCGCTAGATCTTTTCATCCATCATAACCATTTAATGACTCGAAAGTCTGAACTTGGCACTTTCGCAGATTGCATTGATGGTGTTAATGGACGATTGAAGGTCCAACACACGCAAAGTTTTTTTACACGCCTGAGTGTTGCCTATAACGAAGAGGTCACGATTATGAACCGGGCATTCCCCCCCGAGTTGCAAGTCGCATTGCGCTTTATGGAGAAAGTTGGGCAGGATGTTCTTTCCCCGTTCCTGACAGCTATATTTGATGAATTGCATCGCATCAACAAGGAATCTTACCTGACCGCCGTTTCCTTGACTTTTATTCAATGCATGAACCTGTCTGAAACCCTGCTGCCTATACGAAACTCTGGTGATCATTTCGACCATTACCTAGATGCCGTTGTGGCCAAAATTTACGAACCACATATCGACCTTTACTTGGCGGAGGAGCTAGACTACTTCCGCAAGGGCTCCGAAGCAACAGTAAATGACTGGGATCGCCAGCTTTCGGAACAGGCCGCGTCGACAGAGTCCTTTTTGATGTCAAATGTCAACCGACAAGCAGACAAGCGAGACTTCCTTACCTCATTCAAGAAGGTTATTATGATGCCAGTCAACATTCTTCCAAGCTTCTCCAGCAAAGCCAGCGAGGAACCAAAGTCACCCGAACCCACTGGCCCCGGGGCCTTGAAGAACTCCAATCGATTTTCTACCATCTCCACGCCCCCTCCACTTCCCATCGAAGAGGCCCCAACAACAGAACTAGCGGCCAAAGCCTTGCTAATGAAATCCAAGATGGAGGGCATTAGATCATTGTTCAGCATCGAGATTGCACTAAGCCTGGTTCATTCTGCCAAGTCCAGTCTTGAGAGAGCCGCCCAGTTTGTTAGACTGGGTGGAGCATATGGCAAAGCGGCCAAACATCAATGCCAAGCCATCTTTGTGGATCTTCTTCGTATCTTGGGCCAAAAGCATGTCATCATTGGCTTTGATAAAGCTGTTGACCATCTATCAAACTACCGGCCCCGCGAGCAGGATGAGCGCGATCAATCCGGGGTTGAGCCCCTAGTCACGTTCCTGGAGTTGGTCAATGTCGGTGACCTGATTCTACAGATGGTGGATGTATTTTATGAACAAGAATTGATCGCTACACGTCTCACCGACCGCAGCGATTTCCTCGATCCGGCCGTGAAGGAGAAAAAGAAGTTCGAGCAGATGCTGGACGAGCGGGTCGCTGCCGGACTGAACAAGGGAATTGATGTCCTCATGGAGGAAGTGGACTACATTCTTGCCACGCGGCAACTGGCCACCGATTTCAATCCCGAGGTCTCATCAGACCCTCACCGACAGACCATGGACGTGGGAGTCAGTGATGTAGCGGCAGCTGTCGTGGATGTGGTATCATCGCACACGCAGATGCTAGTGGGCAGTACTGACAAGAGCACATTGGATGTATTCAATCAAGAAGTCGGACTGCGCCTGTTTACCGCATTGTGCAAACACCTCAAGCGTCAGCGGATCAGCACCGAAGGTTCTTTAAAGCTGATCAGGTAAGATTTTATATTACCATATTTCCGCGATCTCCGCTGACCTTCATTAGTGACATGAATCATTACTTCAAGTTCGTCCAGACTCTCCGGAACCCCGAGCTACTCTTATACTTCAAGGCTTTCCGCGAACTCGCGCAGATCTATTTGATCGACAGGGCCCACGCCAAGGAACTAGCGACGATCATCGCTGACGCTGATCGATTCCAAGGGATCTGGCGCGTGGAAGAGGTATACGAGTTTGCAGAGCGCCGAGCGGACTGGTACCAGGTAAAGCGTGATGTGGAACGAGCAATGTATGGAATTGGGTGTAGCTTAATGTAAACATGACAGATACCCGGATTGCATAGCGTGATTGGTTTGTATAGAGGGTTTAAGATTAATGCTTAAATGTATATACATATTGAATTCTTTCCTCGATGATTCCTGCATACTGCTTGACTAATCCAATCCTTCCGAGTCTTCCGCGGCGTAGCATCTGACGTCAACGGCGGCTACTGGAACACTACATCCCGTCTGAAACAACATCTAGACTTTCCGAGAACCAACGATCAATCAGATCCGCATGCAGATGCAAATTTTCGACCGAAAATAGAGCATGTTCCTGTTTCTCGTGACGTTGGATTCTTCAATCGGAGGAAAACCATGTTTCCTTTTCTACCCGGTCGAACCTAATCTAGGTTGCTATATATGGACTAGTCCTGTCTGAAGAAAGGACATCCATGCTACTAGACTTTAAACAGCTGGCTCTTTGTTCGAATTTTGACCAAAGAAGTGAATGATATACTTGAATGATGTGGTGATCGGGGATAAGTGCTTGCTTCTCTTTTTTTATTTTATATCTGGAAGCATCTTGCTATCACCGTCGACTATGATCGCCATGAACTCCGTTTTATCTCGATGGCTTCTTTTGTTAGGAAGTTTAGCAATTTGTGCTCTCGGTGAAGATGTGGTTATCGTCACAGTCACTTCTACCGAAACATCAAAGACTGTCTATGAGACCCCTGTTATCCCCAGTCCGGCATCCTATATCTCGCTTCCTGAATTCAAAAAGGTTGTTCTGCAAGTCAGCAATGAGTATCGAGGTGTCCATGAAGCCGATGAGATCGTCTGGAATGAGACGCTTGTCGAATACGCTCGACATTGGGCGGAGACTTGTCTTTGGAAACACTCTGTAGGTTTTTCCAATACTGGACTGAACATTGGACTAATGTCTTTACAGGGTGGCCCGTATGGAGAAAATCTCGCATTCGGATACTCCAATGCCTCATCTGCGGTGGAAGCATGGGGCGACGAGGGAAGGTTGTACGACTTCAAGAAACCAACCGGATTTACCGAGGCGACGGGCCATTTCACACAACTGGTGTGGAGGGCCACAGAAGAGGTCGGATGTGCGGCTGTGAATTGTGGATATACAGAGGACCTTCCCAAAGTGAGACGAGATGGAGAGGTGCTAGTGTCAAGGGATTCAGGTGGTAGCACAAGGGCGCAGGGCTGGTATGTGGTGTGTGAATACACGCCGGCGGGCAATGTGGTTGGAGATCACGATTCATACTTCAAGAAGAATGTGTTGCCGAGCAAGTCATCCAAGACAAGCTCAAATTCATCTGCGACTGAATCAGCATCTACGAATCGCCCAAATGGAAGTGCAAATAGGCACGGCGTGGGTTCGATGGCAGACATGGTGTGGCTAGCCATTGTTGTAGTAAGGATCGGGATGAGCCTGTACACATAATACAAATAAAGAAAAATGGAAACAGCGCAGCTTATTCGTAGGGCATTTCTCATGCTTATCCACATTGCACATCAGAGCTTCGGACGCAAATAGCTCAATCAATCAGATTTTTGGAGGCCCCGATCCTCGCTACACAGGACCAAAACACATGGGGGGCAGAAACCCGAGCCTCAAAGCACAGAGGACGCCGGTGAAGAAGGGAACAAAAGGGAAAATGGAAACACATTATATGCGAAAGGGAAATGAAAAGGTTCTTCAACCAATGACCTCTTCGGTCTCCTCGATAATCTCCTCCACAATTTCCTCCACAACGGTGTCGCCTTGCTCCTGGCCGCCGATCGGCGCATCCTTGGCAAGTTGAGGTGAGTCGACATCCTCGGGTAATCCGAAGGCCTGCTTCTCCTCGGCCGCAAGCTCCTTCTCCTGGCGCACCCAGGCAAGCCACTCGTTGAGCACGCGCTTGCGGGTCTCGACAACGGCGGTGTTGGCGATGTCCACGGCGTAACGATCCTCCTCATCGAACTCCTTGGAGTACTCGCGCAGGTTCTTGCGCACCTGCTTCTGTTCCTCTTTGCTGAGCAGAGTGGGGGGACGCGGGCGCCACAGGAACTGCTTGAACTTCTCGGTAGGGTTCTCGGACAAGGTGTTTCCAGAGAAAGTGTGAAGGTTCCAGCCGTTTTCCATCTGAAAGATTGGTTAGTAACGTAATATGGGGATGGAAAAGAGTTTTCTTACTGAGTGAGTCCAGACACTTGCGCTGGTGACGACGTAGCGACCTGTGGGGTCCCACTCGACATCTGTGACACCGTAGTGCTCAACGGTCTTCATCAATTGCAGGTTGGCAGCCAGATCCTTCTCGGCCTCAACCTTCTCACCCTCGAAGTCCATATCCCAGAAGTCAAGGTCGAAGCTGGACTGGGAGTGAACGGTGGCTACAATAACGAAACGACCCTTGGGAGACCAGTAGATACCGTTGCTGGTCTTCTTCTCAACTGTGCGGACAAGCTTGAAGTTGCCGGCGGTGCTGCCCTTCTTCTCGGTGGCAAAAAAGGAGACGCCGGTCTTAGGGGGAGCGGCGGGACCGGCAGGGTTCTCACCGGTGGTGATGGCGACGAAGCGGGATCCATTGGGCTCCCAGGCGAAGTTAATGACGGTATCCTTCAGGTTGTCGACAACCTCAACGGGGACACCCTTCTCCTTGACGCGGAAAATCTCCAGGTTGGTGGCCATGGACTTCTTGGACTTCGAGTGACGGTCGACCTTAACACAGCAGTAGGCACCCTGTGATTGCCAGTGCAGCTTGACATCGGATACGTTGAACAGGTTACGGGTGCGGACAATCTCCTTGGAGGGGACGCTCATCATGGCCACACGGGCGGGATTGCTGCCAATTTCGGGGGTCCAGAAGCAGAGCAACTGCTCGTAAGTCTTGACACCATCACGGGTGACGGTAGAGGGAGACCATTCGAAGTCGCTGACACCCTCGATCTTGACCGAGGTTTTGCTCAGCAGGTTCATGTTGGGCAGCTCGTAGATGGAGATGGACTGACCCTGGAGCATGCGCGCCACGTACTTCTCATCCGCGGACCACTTGAAAGCGGGCCACTGCACCTTCTTCTTGGGCGCGACCTCACCATCCTCGGCGGGACCAGCGGCCAGCTCGTGAGATGTGAACGAACGAAGGGGCTTTCCGGACTCGATATCCCAAACAATGATGTTCTTGCCATCCTCCTCGTAGGTCAGGATGGGCTGGCCTTCCTCGACCTGAATGGGGCGGGAGGACCAGGTCGTCAGGTAACCTTCAAGGGGCGAGAATTCGACGAGCTGAACGAAGGGGTGGGGGAACTGTTTCTGCTTGGAGAAGGAGGCTCCACCCCACAGTTGGACACCCTGGGGGTGGACGGAGGCGAGGAAGGTACCCTTAGGGGACCATTGAACGAAGAGTTGTGTCCAGTGTGCGCGGTCGACGACATTCTCGGGGGGGTTGGACTTGTTGTTCCAGAAGACACCAACTTTATCGCCGCGGTAGAGGGCGAATTGATCACGGGCGTGGACATCTCCCATCCAGGAGCGCAGGTGCTCCCTCTCCTTGAACGGCTCGAGCTGGGGTGCGACGTATTCCTCCTCAACCCGACCCTCACGACCATAGCGCTCGATATCCATCAACTTATTCACAGAAAGGGTGTGCTTCTTGTCGAGGGGAACGCCGTGCAGCTGCTTAACGGCGGCGACGGCCTGCTCGGGAGTCTCGTACTCAACGAAGGCGAATCTATAAACCAACAAAACCCAGTCTCAGTCAAAATTATTCCTCCACAGACAGGTGGAACGTAGATTCTTCCCATGATACGCACCCTTCAGTTGAGCCGTTGGTGACTGGCATAAAAACAGCATCTTCGGAGGCGTGACCAACGGAGTTAAGCTTTCTCAACAAGAACTTGATGAGTTTCTGGCGGGATTCCTCGGGGACAACGGGGAGACCATCGATAACGACGAAAGTGTCGAGGCCTTCGTCAAGTTTGACATCGAACTGCTCCTTGAGATCTGAAGACTTATTAGATTGGAGGGGCATCGGGGAAAGTTTCTGCACACGCACCGGAGAAATCAATCTCCTCCTCTTCCTCCTCGTGGAGGTCCTGTTCGGACAGGGTATCGAAGCTGGGCGCCATGATGGGTGAGCGGTAGGCGACCGGTTGCAAGAAGTAGTGGATTGGGGGACTTCAAGGGAGATTTTCGGCCAGGAACACAAATCCACAAATCTTCTGCCAAGCGGGTTCTTTGTGCGTAAATCATGTGATTTGAGAGGCTGACTGATCGGCTTAGTCATTCCAGCGATCGCCCCAGACCAATTGCGGAACAAATTGGCAGAACGGCAAGTACGAAACAAAGTCGCAGTTGCTTCCGAGTGAGCTACAGCGGGGTTCTAGTCCATACTTCAACTCTTGTACTTGCGGATTCATTTCATTTCAATCTATATCCCCTTCATTTTTCTATCTGCATCTTAGTACCCAGTGCTATCTTGTGTTCTTTGTTACCGTCCCTACACTTTATCCCCACCGCCGCGGGTCTTAAGCGCCCAGTGCGACTATACCCACCCGACACCGTCCACCTTCCACTTCAAGTACCTTCAACCCCGTTGCGCAATCGACTTTAGTCCCACAATCGGCGGAAGCTTTCTTTTCGCATTTTCAACCACCAGCTTTGCCTTGTTTTGGTACAATTTTAAAGGCGATACTCGATTGACCCGCCGGTACGATGTCGCGTAGGTTAACCTCGGCGTTGCCCCGGCGCCATTGTCGGGTGCTTTCCAGATAGCGCAGTTCGGATTTTAACGTGTCGCAATAGTTTCATCCGAGGTGCGCGATCGGTTCACCGACATAATCGACTCGATTTTAGCGAAAAGCGACCTCACTACCATCTCGGAAAAGCGCATTCGCAAAGGTCTGCAGGAGGAGATTGGCTATGACCTCACCCCCCAGAAGGTTGGTTTTTTCCTCATCGGAACTTCAATAGAGCCAAGGCTGATTTTCAAACATATAGGCTGCGATTAAGCAGCTCATCATGGAGCGATTCGACATTTACGCGGACAAAAACGGAGTTGGCGAGGAGCCCGAAGAAGAATCCGCAAACAACGGTCACCAGGATGGCAATTCTGTCTCCGGGGTCCCCTCACCACCACCATCCTCATCTCCCGTGAAGCGCCAGGCCGACAGCGAAGAAGCGTCCGATCCAAGCGATTCCCCTCCCCCGAAGAAACTTAAATCGGAGGCGGATATTGATGCTGACGCCGTATTCGCTGCCAAGCTGCAAGCTGAAGAGAACCTGCGGGCACGACCAACGCGAGGGGGAAATGCACGGCGGGCAGCTCCGACAAAGAAAAAGACCAAGAGCAAACCCAAGGCTAAGACATCCGCGAGGGTAAAGGCAGAGGATGATTCAGATCTCGAGTCTGGCTCCGACACAAAGAAGGAAGTGAATCGGACGGGTGGTTTCCATGTAAGAATCAGACAAGTTTGGTACTATTGTATTCCTCTAACGGACTCCAGAAACCCCTCAATCTCTCACCTCCCCTTGCCGCACTCCTGGGTGAGGCTACGGTATGTTTTGTTCCGCGACGATTAGACCTAGCAATGTGCTTATACGATATATAGCTGTCACGACCTCAAACAGTAAAGAAGGTGTGGCAATACATTCGAGACAATGAACTCCAGGATCCTAGCGACCGACGTCAAATTCGTTGTGATGATGCAATGCGCGCCGTCTTCAAGCAAGATCGGGTGCATATGTTCACCATGACCAAGATCCTCAATCAAAACCTGTACAGCCCTGATGAATAGTCGTCGGTCTTTGGTTGGCCATAGTGCACTTTTGGATAGGCTTTCTATCCGACTTAATGACTCTCATATTTTCTAAGGTCAATACTTTGAATTTTTTTCTGCGATGCATGGGGATGCTGGCGTGATTCATTTAGCCCAATCACCCGTTGAGGCTTTGGTTTCTTCTGGCGCTTATACTACTGCTTTTCTTAAAGATTTGCTTTCTGCCTTTGAGTGTCTATCAACATTAGCAATCGCATCTAACTTCAGATTAGTTTCAGGCTTGTAAAATTCATAATTTCGAATGGATGAGAAGCTCACAAAACCGGGGTCATGTTAACAAATGTATCAGGCCAAAGCATCGATGTTGCGGCCCACTTTCTCGATTTGGAAACTCCGCGTTGCTGGGCGGGGCGGAATGACCTGGCAAGATGTCAATCCATGCTGACTTCTCTTCACACACTGGAAGGCATATCAGGTCTTCGATATGCGGGGTAGACAGAAACTCTTCACCTTTATTGCGAATGATCCGGTAGGTCTTCCTCAGAACCGCAAAGGAACCCACCGGGCATGTGGGCATTGTCGCAAGCGCAAGCGGCGTTGCACCCATGGACCGAGGGCCTCTCGGCATCCCGAGACCGAATCTAGAGATTGCCGAATACTTGATACATTGTCTCCGCCAGGTGGAAACGCCGAAACATCCTCAACTCCTGGGCCTATCGTACCCGTGGAACCGAGTCACCAGCATGCTCCGAGGCCAGGTATAGATAATGAAGCCTGGTTCGTTGGGGAAACGGACCCGGCAAGTGCATTCTGGACGGCAGCAGGCTCGTTGAGTCCTAGTCCGATCCGACGGCATGATGTTGGCATTTGGTTATCACCAGGGAAGACGGGTTCTGATCTCGCCAAGAAACCCAAACCAGGAATACCGTATCTGAACACTCTGATATCCACTGGTCTCCTGCATTTTCTGCAAGACAAATGCTCTTTACTTCCAGCTCCAGGCGATATGGAAGGTCTTCTTCGAATCTACCTTCAGAACATCCATCCGATCTTTCCGATCTTGGACTATGGAGCGTATCAAGCAATGCCCGATACATCCCCAGACAAAGTGATCCTGTCGCAGTCAATATGTCTCGCTGCCAGTCTTGATCGAAAAGCGAAACAGTTTCTCGATATACCCACAGTTAGTACATCGAAAATTGATTTCTCTCGAGGCCTCTCCGATGCAATCAACACCTCGATATCAATGGGAATAGTCAGGGACAAGCTGGTTTTGATACAAGCATTGTCATTAACCTCGCTGTTTACCCAGTTCTCGGGAGATCGACAGGAGTCAGCGGAACTTCTGTATCGTGCCATTTGTCATGCGCATACCGTTGGCCTGCACCATCCTTCTCAGCCAGTGACAGAACACGAGCACATATATACCCGGATGTTCTGCTGTCTTTATGCGCTCGATATTCTCAATGCTGCATGCCTAGGCAGACCTGTTCAATTGCATCGACGGGATTTTGGTCGTGATCTTCCGTCGTCGATAGCACAACAGGGAAGCTGTTTCCAGCTATTTCTTCGTACCATTGCCTTGATGGAGAGAGTAATCGAAATTTATCGACCTGCTGAAATTGGAATCTGGACTGGACCATTTCCATCATTTGAGGAACTAATGCATGATGTCGAGATATCAGACACTCCCATGCATTTAATCGGTATGTTATTCCAACGAATGTGAGTGACCGCGCAAAAATTGACAGTCGTTACAGCAACAATAGAAGTGCTGTATCATGCGGTAGCTATTTTATCCTGTCGCTTGATAACACCGGATGGTGTCTCGCAATCCGCAGAGTCAAACCTACGCCAGAGCCTGTCCGTATCCAGAGTCACATCCATCGTAGGAGATGAGTTCCACAACGAATTGTCCTCACTCCCGATTATTCCTTATGCTGTGGCTTTGTCTTTGCGAGTGTCATATCATAATCTGCAGCAAAGCAAAGCGCTTTTATTTCGAACAAGAGCTCGGAAGCAGCTCATCTCCAATTGTGTCATATTGAGAGAGTTAGGCGAGGTTTTTGTTTATGCCTCGCTAATGGCAGATCTAGGAGAATATCTGGTCAGCGAAGTCGATAAGCATAATCAAAATGTGGGAATAGAAATGGAAAATGCGCACAATGGTCTATCTAGCGGGGATCAGGACATATTGACTGGTGAGAAGATACAGTCGTACCTCAAGTTGTGTCTTTGACTGACCACATATCAGAGGAAGCTGATTTACAACACTTACGAGGCCCGGAGCCTGTTGAAACAGTATTTCCACCTTACGACCCCGATTCATGGGACCCAATGTCGATTTTGGGAATTTTCGACAATTTTGATCTTGACTTTGGAATGATTGGAGGAATGGGTCAAGTGCATGGTTCATCTGCCCCGAGTGACCTTTAGAAAGAAATGGAATCCACGAGTAAATGCATTATGTACAACGGAAATTGATAGAAATAATATACACATGTCAATGACGCGACACTAAGCAACCTAGAAGCCTAGGATCGTGTTGGCCTTCTCCAGAACGAGTCGCTGTCCGTGGTTGAGGTTCTCCTCCTCGGTGTTCCACTTGCCAAATCCAAAGGCGCGCAGAGCTTGCTCATTGGAATACTTTTGAAGATCCTCTGCCGTGGCGCGGCCGATATGTTCACTCTCACCCTTACCACCGGGGAAGTCGGGCGGGGGAATGCCATTAATGAAGTTGTCCTTCTGACGCTTGACATACTCTACATTTGCTTCCGTGACGGGGCAGGCAGGAATATACAGTACGCTAGAGTCGCCAGTTCCCTGGTGGACCTTGTCAACTGCGTGGATGGCTAAAGATAGTTAGTGACAATATCTATCGATACAAGGGTAGAGAAACTTACTGTCACAGTGCCAGGCAACATAGTCACCAGGTCCAATCTTAGGAACATGGACCATGGTCTTTTGAAGCTCAAGATGTGGGTGAAGAACCGTGGTAAGCTCCTGCGAATACCCGGGAGTAGCACCTTCCAGCTTACTCGTAGGCTTTTCCTCCAGACGCCAGTTAGAGGGTTCCAGGTAGGTATCCATCGCAATTCGAGAGCTCTCATCCTTTGGCGGCGGGTTGATAGGCTGGAAGAATGGACGGAGCATGATGTACGCAGTAGCCATCGAAAGAAGAGGGTTCACAAGCAAGGTTCCCTCGTTGGGTCCTGTGTGTGACATGCTCAACCATCCTTGGAACATGCGGAACATAGAGCAAGCTCCAGGGCCGTCATAGAGATTTGAAACTACGGGAAGGCGGCAGCTCGCTTCCCAGGGGTTGTATTCTTCCCACCGTCCTTCGAAGATCTTCTGGTAGACTTGGCCCAAGCCGTAGCCATTGTCTTCCCAGCGCTCAACGCTTCCGGCGTCGGTGTGAGGACCCAGTGCAAATCCTGCATCACCAGGTTGGCGAATACGAAGACGGTCTGCGTAGGTAACTGGGTGCACGGGGGAGATCATGGCGTCGGACTCGGAGGAATGCCAGAAGCTCATGAGGAACCGCTGTGTCTCAAGCATGTTTGCGTGAGAGCGGGCTCGAACCTGAGGGTGAGACCAGTAGAGCTCGTAGACCTGAGGATCATTGGGTGGAAAGGCTGTTCATATTAGCATGTCAGTGGTGAAATAGGGTTGGGAATCAGTCACCTACCCTTTGTGCCTGGGTTAGCCCGTGCGTAGGATTCGATTTCTTCTTTGTATCCTCTAGCCTCGGCCTCTGGAACCACGCCACGGATGATAGCGACACCTCGCTTGCGAAGCTCATCGTGGAATGATCGCGGTGCGGCATGGATATCTTTGAAATTGATGCTGGGGATGATATCCGATCCACGCTGTCCAATAATCTCAACTTCGTCTCTGAGCTTGCAAAGCAGACGATCCCAGCTTCGTTTGAGCTGGTCTCCACGGTCCCCGATCAACTTCTTTTTCTGATCGGCGAATCGTTCGTCGAGTGGCTGAGCTTTGCCGTCGCCAGATAGCGAAACAAAGACGGAGGAAATGTCGCCTTCTTTTTTGGCAGCCGAAGTGTTCGTGGAAAGACAACTTGAGCCTGCAGGCAGACTCCTTTTGCAGAGTGGCCGTGCAAGTTGAGTGGGAAAGCCCCTGGCTTTGGGAACGTACATGGTGAGATAAATAATGTTCACAAATCTATAGATTGAGGGGAAGACGGAACATTTGACTTTGAGCTAGCTCGAATGGTTGACCGAAATCCCGGGGGAATCTAACATCTTTTATGTCTGGAGGAAATAATTACGTCGCCACTACTGGTATAGTAGGCCTTTCCTACTTCATTCTCGATTTGAGGTACTTCCAGTCGGGACATGTCTTAAAACGGCAATATTCGAGATCTTCTCTGCATATGGACTGAGCCGACAAGGCGGCAAGTGGGGCTACTGGCGGAACCCTTCCAATATAGGTAAGTCACCCGCCTGAACATCTCGCTAGCAGGATTACACCGGCTAATGTTTGTCGAGTCTATTAAATCTAGAATGAGGTCACTCCTAAATACTCTTCCAGCTTGGTCCTGATTTAGATTTATCACAAGAATTTTAGCAAACTTCCTATTGATCCGTCACGCTGCGACATGTACCTCTACGTTTACCTTCAAGAATAGTCTTACTCTTTCAAGCGGTACATCTCTACATTTGCGTGAAAACGGGATCTCAGATACCAAGTGTTATATTGAATCAACAATTTCATCTGAATGTTCATTGATCTAACATGGACATCAAATATATACATACACCACGACCAACTCGGAATGGATCATTCTCATGCTCCCCAAGTCCTTTGAACTCATTATATAAGGGGTCATTCAGCTCGAGTACATTGTACAAAATTGTCCTGTGCTTACTTGTCAAGTTCAAAATGCGTGGGAAGTTCAAGTAGAGTCGATGTTAAGAAGGACTTGATGAATTTATGGTAGAGTATAGCCTCCATCAACAATAAGATCTGCTCCGGTTGTGTAGCTCGAAGCATCAGAGGCGAGGTATAAATAAGCCCCCTTCAGTTCTTGTGGTAGTCCTTCCCGGCCCATGGGGATTTTATCTTTCCAGATCTTCTTCGTCTCGGCATCAATGAACACGGAAATTTCCGTCGCAATATAGCCTGGCGAGACAGTATTCGCCCGAGCAAATCGAACCCACTCCACTGCAAGAGACTTGCCTATCGAACTGTTAGTAAATGTTTCTAGAAAATAGAAGAAAGACAAACATACATAGATGGATGACTCCAGCCTTAGCAGCGTTGTATGCAGCCTGGAGCTGAGGGACGTTGACGATGCTGCCACTCATAGAAGCAGTGGCGATAAAGCTGCCATAAGTGAATCCTTGAAGAGGCTGGCCAAAAATATCCGTGTTTTCCGATTTCTGTCGCCGCCAATGTGAGGCGGCTGCTCTGGCACAATAGAAGGTTCCATCCAGATCTGTCTGGGTCACATTCGAGTAGTGGTCAAGGGGGGCATCCACCATAGCTCCTTTGGTCCATGGAATGCCAGAGTTGGCAATAAAGATGTCAAGCCGGCCTTGAAACTCACGGACGCACATATCGAGTAGTCTTTCGACGTCTTCGCTCTGTTTGATATTCACTTGGTATGCTTGGCCTATTTGGAGATAATCAGCAATGTCGCGCGGACAAGGGGCAGTCGATAAATTACACTGAACTCCGTATTTTTTCTCAATGTTTGCGGCTTCTTCAGTAGCCTTCGGGTTGGTGTTGTACCAAATGGCAACATTGGCGCCGGCTTCCGCAAGGGCATGTGCAACACTCAATCCAATTCCCGCGGCAGCTCCTGTTACAACGGCAGTTTTCCCTTTCAAGGAAAACATTTCCATCACACTGGATTTGCCTTCGAATGTGTTGTTATCATGGCAGAAGTTGCCCTTCACAATCGGTTGCTCCGCCATTGATGTTATTTTCGATTGACGTTATTTGAAAGACGTTGAAATAAGCAAAGAAACGAAGCTGAAGTCACAATTGGTGTTTTGTGTGGCGGGGTTTATATACTGCCATTAAATAGTCAGCGGAACCATATACTGTTCCGTAAAATATTCAACATGATAGTTGCCTACGTGGTATCACTGCGGAGAGCTCCTTCATATGGTAATTCCATACACGTATCTGCCTAGGTGTGTTAACATGTCAATACCCCCGCCATTTGCGGGAAGCGGGCCTTCCAAATTAGGAAATTTGCGCCTTCTCCAGAATCTCCACTCTCACCCCGGGATTTACTAAACCCTCCCTAAGCTCTGTCTCATGTCAAGGGACAGATTGGGTTATGAACTGTCCTTTGTTTTCTTCGCAACGACCATTTTCTTCATGATTGTGTCCTATCCTGGGCTGATTTAAGTACTTGATCGTCAGGTGTGAGTGAGGAAATATACAAACCAGTCTACAGGCACTAATAGCTCGACTTTTTAAGGTCATGTTCGTCATTTCTTTGGTTGAGATTTCTGTAGTTATTACGAATTGGCGATATCGTGAATACTGGGCTAACTATTGATGTTGCGTGCACAAGCAGAAAAGTTTGCGAATTTTTGATCCTATGATGTCATCTGTGTCGGAATAAGGTTGAACAGTTACGTCAGCTCTAAATTAAGAACGAAAGAGGATCCAAGACAATGTAAACATGGCTCCCTGGTCAATTAAACTTGATCGAGTCACACCATAGGGGTGCTGCCATGCTTCGGAATCACATCACTTATAGGTCCACAGTGGACCCTTGGTGGTGAAAAAGACGCCCCCTACTGTGACCGTGTCAGACGATCAACTTCTAGACCCTAACTGCATGTACGACGTTGGTCCCTTGCCCTGACGCATCATGCAGCGAATGGGCCACTACCCAAAATGATGAATAGCCTTGGAAAGTTCATGCACGGCAACTAGTACAAGTGCAATCAAGAGGCAAATACGTCGACTCTGGCTGACTTGAATGTATGAGAATTTCTTATTTTTGACCAAAGAGGGCCAATTTAATCCCCAGATAGGATACTTAGCTATGGACTAGATATTAGTTGGTATTTAGTTCTAATGCCTAGTGACTGCTTTGGTTTCTGAAGAATCAGGCCCAAACTGCCGAGCTAAACCCCTTTAGGACGAGGTACACGATTGTGGGCATTGTTAGATATAGTATTGAGCTGAGGGTAAAACCTGGATGATGAATAAGACAGCTTCAATCCAAGGAATTCAAGAAATAACCCAAATTGAGATCATGATGACCGGTGGGCCCGGTTGGGGTAGTTAGTAAACCCGGTATGGCGATTGAGCTTCAACTTGGAACGATGACGTCATTGATATTTTAGCTTGCTCACAACAGCATAAATAGCCCTGGTTCCCAACGCAATTGTAAGTCACTCAATTCCAAAGTTCAATCTCAAAGCTCACAATATCTTACCGCAAACTCAAACTTTCAAACAACTTCTTAATATCCAACTCATTCACCATGGACACCATCAAGGTTAGTAATGTTCAACAATTCCACCCTGTGCTTACTAACACTTACCTAGAACGCCGCCAACTACGTCTCGGAGTCCATCCAGGGTACCGGTGCTCAAGCTTCTAAGGAGGTCAACAAGGAAGTCGCCAAGGATAGCGACGCTAAGCTGAGCACCCGTGCCTCTGCCGCCAAGGATGCCCTCGTTGACAAGAAGGACGAAAAGTCTCACGACGTCAAGGCCGATCTTAACAAAGGTATGTGTGTGGAATTGAGTGACATCTATACCTACATAGCAAGTGATGCTAACTACTGAACAGAACAGGCTAAGCACTAAATTTGATGGGAACCGTTATGCTTGATTACCCTTGTCTCCATTGCTGGATCCATGAGACAGGAGATGTATGATTATCCATGTTAATTAGATGATGAAGAAAGCCGTTATTGGCGCATTCAATGAATACTCATTCCAAGAAATTTGACGCCACGTCTCGTTGACAAGCTAAAAGACGAATAAACCCCGAGACTTTATACCGTCACTCCCCTAAAGAATTAGTAAAATGACTTTTATTTATTTTGATACATAAGTCCACACCACCTTAGCCACCGCCTTTCAACTGTAGATTTTCTAGTCTACCTATTTAACCCCAACCTACTTCTTTGAGAAGACTTAGTATTGGGTTGTCACCACTACGCTCCGCAGTCTACTAGTGCCTTTAAGCATTTATTTTCGTCTTCGATATAGATTTTCAAACCCTCATATACTATATAAAATTGTTTGAGATATTTTCTCCACGCGCTGATAAAGGCAAAAATATGTCTTTTGTGGTTTCCTCTACTACTCCGACTCCGATCTGAGCTGGAAAAGTGACTCTGACATCCTTAATGAGACTACTCCGGACCTGAATTTACTATACTGGATCCCCGAAGTTACCTACGAGTCTCCCTATCTGCCCCCCTCCATGTAGCATAAGGGACCAGTAAGTCCATACAGGGAACTCAGGGGATAGTAAGGTAGACTTAGACACAGTAAAACGTTCGATTAGTGTTGAATAACAGCTTTTAAGCGTTATAAGCGTTAATCTATATATTTATCTAGTATAGTTACCAGAATTCACTTCAATACTAGGAGCTAGTGTGGGAGATAATAATTATGGACATAACAGTATGTTATAATGGGTGGCAATAAAAGTGGCAGGAAAATGCCTGTATAATGACCGGATGGAACTTCTGAATATGGTAATTTTCCCAATTTGGAAAAAGGGGAGTGACAGTATAATTCTCTAAACCTTACGAGGTGAGATTCTAGCGTATCAGTCAATATCCCACCACTTGTTCCGTCACAATGAAAGTGATTATCAGTGACAAGTTCTTTATGGTAATCGGAGTGGGGTGTTTTTCGCTAAGCTTCTAACTAGCGTTATTTACGGAGTAGTTACGGATCTTCAGGGGAGAGATGCTTAACTAGCCTCCCTCCCCATCATCTTCTCAAGAACCCTGCCCATATGCACATTATATGCATCCAATATGGATATCTCCCTTTCTCTCTGGGGCTCTTCTGGCTACGTACTACAACACCCGCTTTCCTCTTTCTTCTAGCAAGATAAAATAATGCGATTGGAAAATGCCGCACCCTAAATTAGAAGTAATTTGTGGATTCCAGTTGGAGCATACCAGAAGTCTGGGTTTCCCCACCAAAGAACAATGGTATTCAAATTCATGCCCTCAACATCCAGGAGATAGTAAATTCACGGACGTCAGTAACTAGAAGCTCTCTAGTAAGACCACGGAAAATTGCAAATGATGGAAAATTATACTTGCACAATTTGTTAGTAAAAAAAATATTCACGCTTCGACATGTTTGTACCGGGTAGCCCGGCTCGGGATCAAGAACCCCACTTGGTGTTGAATTGTGCTTTTTATTGTGTTTTGCTGTAATTCGGTTACACGTAAGTAATATTCACAAAGTTTTCATAACATTATGCCTGAGATAAATCTACTTTACCGATTTGACAACGAATGTATTCCTCGATACTATTTCAAAATGTGCTTGCTACCTGCTAATAGGTATGACACTGGGTAAACTTTGCATATAACAGAAACAGGTGAGTACGTGCGCATGTGACCATGGCAGCTTGGCCATATACTGGAAAGCAAGACCCGTGGACCCTATGTTTGGGTCGAAAGATATCGGTATGTGATTGCCGCGCATCGCTCGCGTAGCTAAGCCCCGTTTGGAAAAGGCCCTTTTCCTCTGATGGTAAGCTCGGTATATCTTTTTCTTTCGCCTTGAGAAAGCTCGGAATATTTTTTTTCTTTCGCCTTGAGAATCATTTCAGGTGGACATGATTGACCGTTTACTTCAATGGGACTCTAGCCCCAACGGCGAAAGCTTTCACGATAAGGAACGTTTAAGCCATACTGAGCTCTCGCTAGACCGACGACGCTTGTCAAGGCATATCAAACCCAGAGCATCGTCAATATTCCTCTTCCTCTTGGACATTTTGGTTATCTGGCTACTCATCCATAATTTGGAGCCTCTGATCACTCTGTTACGCAGAAATGATGAGCTCTTCAGGCCACAAGTTAATTTTTTTGAACAAGAAGACAGAACAAATGGGTCAAGCTATATTCCGCGGATACTCCACCAAACTGCTCCCACGGACATAATTCCAGATAAGTGGACTGCATCACAAGAAAGCTGCCAAAGGTCCTACCAGGACTTTGAATACAAGGTGAGAATCTTTGCATAGAAAGAAGACTTTGGGCGCGGAGATTCGTGTCTTTTTCAAGAGGTGCATGTCCTAACTTGGATCCTACCACATAGTTGTGGACCGACGAGTCAACTCGCGCATTCCTATCGATTCACTATCCCTGGTTTGTGGACGTTTGGGATAACTACCCCTTCCCGATCCAGCGCGCGGACTCCCTTCGCTATTTCGTCTTATATCACTACGGTGGTATCTATCTCGATATGGATACCTGGTGCAACAACAGTGTTCCCATCGACAAGATCGAATCGGATGCAGTTACCGAATATGCACTTTTCAAGTCTACAACCCCGACAGGCATCACAAATGACTTCATGATAACATCCGCCAAGCATCCGATCTATGCAGCGGCAATCGCGAAATTACCGGCTTATAATGATTTCTCTCGGACCTGGGCCCGATGGCAACCATACTGTGCTATTATGATATCTGCTGGACCAATGTTCCTGACCATGGTTGTTAAGGATTACTTGCTCCAGCAGACTTCTCTGTCTTTTCGAAATCTTGGTGTTGTGAATCAAACCGAACTAAGTCCCTATCTCACCGATTTGGAGAGTGGCAGCTGGCACACGGCGGACACGAATATTTTAATGTGGCTTGGAACTCGGCCGTGGGCTTGGTTCAGTCTAGGAGCAGTTGGGCTTTGCATTTGTTTATACCTCATGAATCGTGCTGTGATGATCATGTTGAAGGTCTCGATTCGCAAGATTCCCCGTGGTTGGTGAAGGGTATTAGAAGATGAAGCTTTTATCTTACTTTGGGCTTTATCTATTGGAGGAACTAATATGAACATTGAATGGGAAAAATAGTTATAACGCTTTTCAATGATACCCAAGGTGCATAATTGCATACGCCTACGTGTAATGTATACTAATTGTGTCCAAGTTAATTCAACCTCGGCTGATCATGTCAAAAATCATATCCAGATTGCTTAAAGATGGTAGCATTTGCATCCCACTTTGTTCAACATTCTGTTTTAGTCATTTTTTGCCCGGGAAAAAAAATCAGACAATCTAAAGGAGTGTCAGATCATACACAATAGTCAGTCTAACTAGTTAGATGGTTGTCATTATAACGTTAATCGAGTTAGTTCTATACGCTTAGTCATCCCGCGGAGCTTCATCTCGCCATCAGAAGTAAAGTCGCATGTGGCGCTATCAAACCCCCTAGAGATAGATTATTCACCTCATAAAGCTGAAAGGGATCATGAGTATTCAATTAAGAAAGGCTCGGGTACTAATTGTGATGACTAAATTATAAAAATCATATGTGGAGGAATTGGAAAATGTCCCCTTTGATGCTTGTACTTGATGTGGTCTACGGAATGGATCAGTCAGCGAGGCAACTTTTCCCATCCCCCACCACCCACAACCCCGAGCTCTTCAGCCCAAGGCCTATCATTGATACCTAGTTTCCCTGTCACTATTGATCGCTGGTATCCTGCTATGGCTGACAACGTTCCTGCCGCTTCAGAATCATCAGGACGGGGTCGTGGTGGTCGCCGCCGCGGCGGCCGCGGAGGGGCTCCCCCGTCCGGCAACACGGATGGCCCACGCAACGCAGGGGGAGCCGCTAGCAGAGGACCCAAGCCTCGTGGACGAGGAGGCAAGGGCCTTAGAGGTCGTGACCAGTCAAATGTGACCGATGGATCCCAGGACAAGGACACACAAGCTGCGCCAGCTCCAACTGCGACGGTCGGATCAAAGGCTCTCCCGGCTGCTACCGACGACGCAGACGACGGGGAGGTTTGCTTCATCTGCGCTTCCAAGGTCGAGCATACCTCTGTCTCTCCATGTAATCACCGGACCTGTCACATTTGCGCGCTGAGGCTTCGTGCCCTCTACAAGAACAAAGCCTGTGCGCATTGTCGAGTAAGTCACCCTGTCCTTGTCCAAGCATTCGCACATGCTGATCTGTGGATAGACCGAGTCAAGTTTCGTCATCTTTACCGACGACCCCGTACGCCGATTCGAAGATTTTGAGCAAAAGGATTTCGCAAGGAAGGACGACAATTTGGGAGTCTTCTATGAAAATGACGAAATCTTCGAGGACACTGTCTTGTTGCTTCGGTACAACTGTCCCGATGAGGACTGTGATGTGGCTTGCTTGGGGTGGCCGGATTTGCATCGCCATGTGAAGAGCAAGCACGGCAAGGTCATGTGGTAAGTTACCCTGCAACGGTTGTCGAGGAGTTAGCAACTGATTGGGATGTATGTTTCTAGTGACCTTTGTACCCGCAACAAAAAGGTGTTCACCCATGAACATGTCCTCTTTACCCGAGACGAATTGCGCAAGCACGAGAAGCACGGCGACGACAAACCAGGTGCAACTAATCAGAGTGGGTTTAAGGGGCACCCTGAGTGTGGCTTCTGTCGCCAGCGATTCTACGGTGATGATGAACTTTACACCCATTGTCGAGAGCGCCATGAACGTTGCCATATCTGTGACCGACGCAATTCCAACCGCCAACAACAATATTATGTCGATTATAATGCCCTTGAAGACCACTTCCAACGTGATCACTTTGTGTGTCTTGATAAGGAGTGCCTGGAGAAGAAATTTGTGGTGTTCGAATCTCAGATGGATCTTAAGGCACACCAAATAGAAGCACACCCAGACGGCGTCTCCAAGGACATTCGACGAGATGCACGACTGGTCGATCTCTCAGAGTTTGATCATATGCGCAGCCCATACCAACCGCAGCGTCCACGACGCGGAGCTGGCAGGGGACGGGACCCCAATGCTGAGCCATTACCAGCCTCAAGTGCGCAGCCATTATCACGGGCCGAACTCGCCTTTCAACGTCAAATGGACATCCAGAGCGCGCAGTCCATTTCGACACGTAGTTTTGGTGGCCAGCTCACCAGAAATGACACTCAAACTGTGCAGGCCCCACCCCGGTCAGCCGGTGCTACACCAGCTCCGTCATCCTCGCGTCCCCGTCCTCCGGCTGCAGAACTTGAGAGCCTTAGTCTCGCCGCTGATCCGGCGCCCCTTGGCCCACAAGATCAAGCGCGCAAACTGCGTCATACGGCAGTGGTCGAACGAGCTACTAGCCTTCTCCGCAATGACACAAATAAGCTTGCCGAATTCCGCTCCAGAGTCTCCAGTTATCGGACATCGGCCATCTCGGCTACTGAGCTCATTGACGCATTCTTCTCCCTATTCGACACATCCAGCTCTGATCTTGGCAAGCTCATCAAGGAGCTTGCTGACATTTACGAGGAAGAATCCAAGCGCACTGGACTCTTACAAGCCTGGAATGATTGGAGAGCAATTAACGAGGACTACCCTGCTTTGCCTGGCCCTGGTGGACTTTTGCCTGGTATGTCCCCGGGCACTGCCAGCACTGGTGGCATGCGAGTATTGCGTCTAAAGTCCTCTACCGCCCAGTCCTCGCGGTCTGCCGTTGGCCGGAGTGGTGCTATGGCATCACCAGCCTCAAATCCCTTCCCTCCACTCTCGGCTGCTGCGGGTCCCTCTCGTCGTAGCAAGCCTGCTTCCTCCACTCCATGGGCCGCCGCTGCCCCATCACCTCTTGTCCGCCCATCAATTTCCACTGTCCCCGCTCGCTCCTCTTCTTCAAGTCCAGCTACTCTTGCGCGCGCACCACCGCCCAGGGCTGGTGCCGACGCCTTCCCAGCTCTGCCCGCTGCTGCAAAGCCCAACGTGATGATGGCTGGTAAGACTCGTGGTTACGTACGCTGGGATGGTCATCGTGGCCCAGCCCCAACTGCTTGGGGATCGAATTCCTCCTCTGGCCTTGCCTCTCCCGCTGAACCAGCTGATGGGGACTTTGATGACTCCGGTGATAAGAAGGGTAAAAAGAAGAAGGGGAAGCAGACTCTCTATCACTTTGGTTAATTAAAATACCCTAGATATGTGTTGCATCCACTATATGCAGAAAACAAATGTCCATGAACTAAATATTGCTCATAGAGTCTTGGTAATATAACAAATAATGCAATCTTATCAGTGGTCATTCATGTAGATATTCTGGCAAGTCTTCACGAGTAAGTGCATATAATCACATGAAGTCGTGGACACTGGGATAATGGCTATAGGTGCTGATTTGTTGTCATACAATCTGCAACAACCCTGTTGCTCAAACGAGTACCATGCTGTCATAATCCGTGCTATCCGTCTCACAATCCGATTCGATCACAATCGGGCTAGCCACAGACGTACCTGCGAAAGAAATGGGTTCATCTAAATCCCGGTTGTCTTCCATAAAGTTAGCTTGTGCCTCCATGCCCTCTGGGGCCATCTCGGCATCATTTAGGTCATCAGTTTCATCAGTCGCCTCAACTTCCTGGCCAATTACAGCCATCTTCAATGCAAATTCATCCTGCAACTTCTTCAACCATCGAAAAAGGGACGCGTTATCCATCTTCCCATTTCGAGCTGTGATAAGTTGTTCTTGTAGAGATAGTAGCAGCTTCCGCTTTCTTGAAATAGCCCCTGTACGCGATGGGTTGTTTCGACGCTGAGATATCCGATCTAGCTCTTCCGATACGGTGGTCGCAACTTCAAGGACTTGCGGTGGGAGATCCACTAGCTTTGCGAGCGCAATCCCATATCGACGATCTGGTACTGGCCCCTCAGCGATGTGGTATAACATAGTGATCTTCGCCGCGTCCGAAGTAATCTCAGCTGCCAGATGTAGATTGATGACACCACTGCGCTCGGATAAAATGCGTGCTAAATCATGAAAGTGCGTGGCAAACCACACGAAAGCATTGCTGGCCAGGAGTGCTTCGGCAAGGCTAATTGCGATCGCGAGCCCGTCATTCGTGCTTGTTCCCCGTCCCAGCTCGTTGACAAGGACCATACCTTGTTGCTGGACGTTGCGCAGGATAAAAGCCATCTCGCGCATCTCTGCGGCGAATGTAGACACGCTCGCATCCAGATCATCCGTTGTTGCGACGCGCGCAAAAAGTTGGTGCATGATTGGGAATGATGCATACTGGGCCGGGACGAAGCAGCCGATCTGCGCCATGACGGTTATCAAAGCCAGGGACCGGATGTAAGTGGATTTACCACTCATGTTGCAGCCGGTGATAATCTGGAACCGGGTCTGGGGCGTCGCGTAGGCATCATTGGGGATGAAATTGCTGGAATGGATCTGCTCGCGGATGGGATGGCGGCCGGCTTTTATGGCTAACGTATCCGTTAGTTCAGGCCTGATATAGTCGTGGCTAGTTGATAGTTGGGCAAATGCTGCTAGCATGTCGAGCATGGCGATTGCTTCGCTTATTCGGAAGAGTCCTGAGACTTCGGAGCAGAGGTCTCGGAGGAGTTCTTGGATGGTTTGATCGCTTAGACTGATTACTTCGTTGTGGGCATCTGTGATTTTTTGGTTCAGTTTCACCAGGTCGAGCGTTTGGCATTCAATGTAGTTTTTCTTTCGGTATATGTTGATGAGTACATCCGGGAGAGACTCTGGCTCGGTAGAGGGAATAGAAATGTAATATTGGCGGGCAGAATCGTATTTGAGATCCAAAGTCATGTCATGGGTGTCTGAGAAAATCAGTGACAGATCACAGTTAGGGTCAGTAAAATGTACCTCCGAGCTTAGAGATAAGTTCTGCTGCATCGGCATTCGCTTCTTTGTAAGTTTGTCGCGCGACATCAAGAAGACTATTGACACCTGCCTGATAATAGTTAGGCCATGCGGGAAGACAGGCGCAACAATCTCTCACCTTGATACAATAGATTCGTTGGTTGCGAAGATCAAGTGGCTTGCTTTGATAGGTGATGTTCTCGTTCAATGCATCTTCAATAATCTGTTCGACTGCCTGATGCCCCACGGGATAGCAGACCTGTGCGCATTAGCTTTGAAATACACTGATCCGAAATGGGTAAATACCTCACGGATGGCGATAAGCAAATCACTATCTGCTGCACCTAATGCCTGATAGACTACTTTGATAGAAGCCACAAAGGTCTTGAGGATGATGACATTATTGACTGATTGTTCAACATATTGAACAGTCTGTCTTGTTGGAACCAAAATAATCTGAGTCCAGTTAATTTTGTTCAATGTGTAGATCCATGTACTAACTGAGCTCAGCACTTTATCGGCATCGAGGAACCCCTTCAAAGACTGTCTAACTGACACAAACATGTCTTCCTTGGTGGACAAGTCTTCTACGGCATTGTATCTGGCGGTTAGCTTATTTCTCTCGGTGCAAGGTTGAAGGATAGTCGATCGGAGTAATCTAGCTCCCATCGGTGTCAATGTCTGGTTGAGCAATCCGTACAGACTGTCCCGCGATTTGGCGATGTGGAGGTTTTGGATCAGCTCGAGGGAGACGATAGTCTTCAAATCAATTGTCATGGACCCCTGCGAGGGCTCGAATCTGATCCGTAGCGAGTGGGTGGTGAATACCCGCTGAAGTTCCGACTCAACATATTTCAGCGCCTGTTTTAGGGTCAGTTCGCACTCGTCCAGCTCGAAATTGATTATTCCATACCGCAGCAAAGCAACACGCGGCAAAGTAGCTTCCACCTAAAGTTACTTTCAGAGACTCCGCCTCATCGGCGAACGCCAACCGATCCATGTACTCTTGTCCAGCTTTATCAGACCAGTATCGGCGGTCCAAGAAGGTCAGGATGGGCTCAGGTAGATTCTCCTGGATGATATAACGCAGCTTGGACTCGGCGACGGTGCTCATGAACAGAATCTCATTGGGCTCGAAGACACCGATCTTGGTGACAGTCTTGACGTATGTTGGACTGTCGCATAATTGACATAAGATCACCTCTGCTGTGGCTAGATTGACAAATGCAAGACCGACGGTGGATGAAATACCACGAGATTCGCTGACGGCACAAACGATGTCCTGTGATGCGATGCTAGTCGCCGTGGTGGTTGGTCTTGCAGTTGTCGGGCGTCTACTCGTGGTAGTCCTTGTCGGTAATGGAATGGACGAGTATACCGAGGACTCTCGTGAAGTGGACATGATGGCTGGAAGATGGGGTGAGGAATTAGAGAAACCACTTCCCTCACTTCTAGATGGCAACATGCCCAATACATTCCACCCAAATGTTGCGCGATGTTAGGGGCCTCAGGCAGGTATACCGAATATGGTAAAATTGCATAACAAGCAGTTATTAGTCCTTTGCTAAGTTAGGGGTCATGGCTTTGAAGCAGCCTGTTTTGACAGCCTTATCTATGTGTCTGAAGCAGTCCTTTACATGTTGTGCTAGTTACTAAATATTCTAGATATGTCTGTAGATGTACTCAACATTCAACGCCCTATGGCGGTGCTCTATAGCGAAAATGATGATCAAGATGGAGCCAAAGTTTCGGAGGAGCGAACTTTGCGGCGTATATTCGGAAGTTTCACACTAAATTTGACCTGAGCAAGGGAATGTAGCGACTGGGAGACTACACTGTTCCTTATCGACTGAAGATTTAACATCTCGATCATGTCAATGAAGTTGAATTACATGGCAAAATTCCCAAAACGAACGCAAATCAGACACCGCCAAAGCATCGGTTTGATGATATTCGGCTTGAAGGCTACAAACCTCTAGTCTTGTCAACGAATTAACTTCTGATCCTTTGATCAGATCACCAAAATCTATAATTTTAGCATTGTGTACCAAACCCTAGACATTAATGTGGGGAACTTATAGAAGAGGGAGAGTTAAGCAAAGAAGTAGTCATATAGGCCTAGGTATAGTCATTTCAACAAAACCTACTGGTATAAGACGCTCTAAAGAGACTATTTATCTGGTTCAAATGTTGTATAGTATACTTATCCGTGACGTTGAGCCCCGCGATAAGATAAGGCAGATAAGCCTTCGATCTCAAATTTTCTTCATTCTCCAACTACCAACGAAAAAAAAGACAATGTCGACCCTCGTTCCCCCACCTAGTAAACGGCAAAAGCTCGCTGCAGCCGAGAAGGCGCGGGAGCAGCAGGAGATTCAAAATATTCCCACTGATCTCGGCAGTGTGCGAGTGCAGTTCTTCGACCAGGCGACTGGCAATGCTACTGGGCCTGCGGTCTCGGTCCCTGTGGCCGATGCGAACATCAAGAACCTCGAGACACTGTTGAACACATTGCAAGGAAATGTATGTTGCAATTCCGTTTTGTACCCAATTGATTTTTCTAACGACCCATTTCGAATAGGAGGATGATGAACGAGTGCCGTATCGCTTCACCCACCACTCCGAAAAACAGGACGGACCGACCATTGACATTCTTTCGGACTTGTACCACTCGCTACTCCAACCGGGCGTCAAGACTACTGAAGATACAATCTCTCTTTTCTTCACCCCGCAAGCCGTTTTCCGAGTCAAGGCCGTCTCCCGCTGCGCAGCCTCTATCGCCGGTCATGGCGAAGCCATTCTTGCAACCTCTTTCTCTCCCGTCTCCTCTTCTACAATGGTCTCCGGAAGTGGTGACTCTACCGCGCGAATCTGGGATTGCGATACTGGAACTCCCCTTCACACACTGAAGGGTCATACCAGCTGGGTGCTGGCCGTGGCGTACTCGCCGAACGGTGCCCTGATTGCGACCGGTAGTATGGACAATACGGTGCGACTGTGGGATGCGAAGAAGGGACAGCCCCTCGGCGGCCCGCTCAAGGGTCACGCGAAGTGGATTACGAGTCTGGCCTGGGAGCCATACCACGTCCAGGAGTCCGGACGTCCTCTTCTGGCATCGGCGTCTAAGGACTCGACCGTCCGCATTTGGGATGTTGTTTCGAAGCGCATTGACAAGGTTTTAACTGGACACAAGGGCTCTGTTACCTGTGTACGATGGGGTGGTACCGGCAAGATCTATACTGCGTCGCACGATAAGACCATCAAGATTTGGAACTCCAAGGACGGCACAATTCTTCAGACTCTGTCCGCACATGCCCACCGCGTTAATCATCTTGCTCTTTCTACCGACTTTGCTTTGCGCGTTTCTTACCACGACCACACTGGTAAGGTCCCTGCGACAGAAGCTGAGAAGGTTGCCGCTGCAAAGAAACGATTCGAGGAGGCTGCGACTGTGAACGGAAAGATTGTTGAGCGCTTGGTGTCGGCCAGTGATGATTTCACTATGTACCTGTGGGACCCGTCCAGTGGGAACAAGCCGGTTGCTCGTCTGTTGGGACACCAGAAGGAAGTGAACCACGTTACTTTCTCCCCAGATATGGCATACATCGCCTCTGCTGGATTTGATAACCACGTGAAGCTGTGGAACGGACGTGACGGAAAGTATGTGATTTCTCTCCCATCATCTGAATAGTAGCTGACAAGTCTAGGTTCATCACCACTTTCCGTGGCCACGTCGGTGCTGTTTACCAGTGTTGTTTCTCCGCTGATTCGCGACTTCTCGTGTCCTCATCCAAGGATACGACCCTCAAGGTGTGGGATGTGCGCTCGGGTAAACTGTCGGTGGATCTGCCGGGTCACCAGGACGAAGTATTCGCCGTTGATTGGAGTCCCGATGGGCAGAAGGTTGGCAGTGGTGGCAAGGACAAAGCGATTCGGATTTGGCGAAACTAGACGAAAAGTTAGCATGATACCCATTGCCTATAGAATTAAAAGTACACAGTATTTGGTTTAATGATTTCATGGATATACTGAGCGGTAACAATTTAAAGCAATGTATGTACAGAGTTATGAATTTCCAAGACAGATCAAACTAGTTTCTTCCACTTAAATGTACTGCCAAGCAGGGATATCACCGGTGTAGGTCAAAGCGAGAGCATCGAAGCCAAGGCAGTCATCGACACTACCAGAGGGGACAGTAGCGTTCTGGATGGCAGCAAACACCTGCCAGCGATTATCGGTAGTCGGGCAAGCCATAAGACCCTGCGCACCCCAGCCATTAAAACTGTAGTGCGACCAAGGCTCACCACTCTCATAAACCATATCACCGACCGCAGAACCAGCGGGGATAGAAGCGGAGTGAGCTTGGGTAAAGCTCAAAGCACCAGTAGGGTCAACATAGACCTGCTGGCCTCCGGGGACCTCCACGCTCTGTATTCCAATTAGTATACTTTCTTATTCCACATTCCTATATACTATGTCACATACCATGGCGTTTCCACCTGGAGCAAAGACCGTCTGGTTTCCAGGAGGGCAAACGAGGCCCTGAATACTTGGGCAGTAGGAAGAAGTAGTTCCGCCGAGATAGAATTTCTGGCCTGAAGCATTCATCTGCAAGTAGTGGATTGGCGAGCCGGAGCGAACGGACATGACACCAAATTCTGGGTTGGCTGCGGTTGTGGCAACGGGAGCCGCTGAAGCCAGCAGAGGAAGAGCAATAGAAGCAATAACAGCCTTCATCTTGGAGTGCTTGAGTGTGAAGGGATCTGGATATAAGAGTTGATTATTGAGTAAATTGGAATATGAATGTTGCTAAAATCTGGCGCATACCACACCTTTTTATAGCTGGAGAACATGACTACATATCAACCATTTCAATATCGGTTAACCCCGCGAGCACTGATCAAAACAAGGGTCCATAGCTATCTTGTCCCAAGGAACCAATTGTTGATGACAAGTCAGTTCAGGGTCGGCCACAACCGATGCGGAGACGCAGATTGTCGAAGTCTATTGGTTGAGAGTGAGACAAGATGAGTTTAGACTCGCTAACTGACACTAGTCTGAATGATCGCGTGGCATAAGTCATAGCCGAACAATTTTGGAAGGAAATGTCTCTCCATCAGTTCTCGGCATGGTATAGTAAGCTCCGTGAGTGAGACAAGGATGAAGTAATAGAGGGAAAAGGCGGTGGAGTTTATCCGTGGTTGTCGCTGATCTGCATTCCATGTCTCATTCCACTCTCCATGATACTATTCTTATCACAATCCTTGGCTTCATACGAGAATCGATGTAACCTGACAAGAGTTAAGAATTAAGAAACAAGCAAATCAAGGCAGACCTTGTCTCTCCTGAGTTCGCTCATTCAATCCCCATGCCAAACTACTCCCATCATGAACCGTAGCCCTACGCATATCCCGTCGATATTTCCCCTCAAATGCCCCGCCCGCAGCTCGATGCATGACACAGGTATTATCCCAGAGTACCAAATCCCCTTCATTCTCCCACTTTACCCGAAGGATATATTCCGGCTTTGTCGCATGTCCGAATAACCGCTCGAACAAGGCTTTCGATTCGCCATCGGTTAATCCTTCGATATGGTGGATATGCGCTGCGAGATACAATGTCTCTCTACCGGATGCCTCGTGACGCTGTAACAGGCGGTGTCGACTCATGGGGTAGTCGGCTGGATCGATATCCGCGAATGTTTCTGGTGCGGCGACTTTACGGGAATGCCAGAGCGAATGCGCGGCTATGTAGTCTTGTTCTCGGAGCTTAGTCTGAAGAGCAGATGGGAGGTCCGCGAAAGCTGTTCGGATATCTGCGAATTCGGTTTCTCCGCCCGTGCCTGCTGGCGGGAGTTCTGCTGCTCGGAGAAGTGAGTAACCAGCTCGTCGGGGGTTGAAGCTTGAATCGACGTGGAATAGCCCATTTCCCTGGTTTTTGTTAGCTTCGGTGTAGCGGAGGTAGGTTTTATGCTGGTACTTTATTCCACTGGCGTCGGACATTGTCTGAGGGGAATACCATCCCGTCTAGATCAATGTTGCTGACGTCGAACAGGTGGACGTCGGATAAACGGTGGGCTCGTCCGCCTGATATGTAAGGAGTTACATCATCTAGCTCGCCGAACTGAGATGCGAAAGCGACGTGACCGGTATCGTCGAGGGCTGTACTGCGAAACACGCATACGCCGTACTGCTATGTTTAGAAACTTTAATGATGTACCTCACGGTCTTGATGCTCACCTTGCTGATTGCAGATAAGATCTCTTGAAAGACCTCATTCTCTACTGGGCGCGAAAAGTCCACGCCGCTGATCTCAGCGCCAAAAGTAGGATGTATCTCCGTGACGGTGATGCGCGTGAACGGCATAACTAGACCAGGCATGATGAAGCGCAGAATAGACAAGGTGTATTTACGGAGAAGCTTGACTACCTACTACAACCTTGGAAGGGTTATATAGACATAGCGTTCGGCTGGTTATCTCGGCTCAAAGAGCGTGAAAGTGCGGGGAAGACTCGGACTTCCTTCCAGATGAGACTTATCCAGATACTTCAGGATACATCCAGGTGTTATCATACAGGGTTATTGCAACCGCTTTATGCAGGGGTTGGCCTAGATATGAATGTAGATATTGGTACGATCCAGGGATCCACTCTGGATGCCCTAGAATCTGCAGAAGCACCTCACTGACAGATAAGCAGTTTTTTTAGTTTGCAGCACTTGATCAACCCGAAATTAGCATGGATTGATAATAATAAGTGTATATATATGACCGGCAGTCCGACTCGTGGTATAAACATGGCCGAAGCCAACGGAAATGAAAAAGCCAAGCAACCCCACCCAGTACCTATCCGTGTAGCAATATAACCCCTAGAGTAATAGAAGAAGAAAGGAAAGGCCAGAACACCGTAAAGCCAACACGCCCCCTTTTAGTTGCCCCACGTCTTGATCCGCAAGCAATAAATATGACCCAGATCCCATTCATCCGTCACCCCGGGAATGTGTCCATGCCGGGGGACTCGTTCGTGCCCAGATTATGGGTCGTGCCCATGCAAAGATTGATTTTATGCTTTCTAGTAATCGCCCTCATCTTCGTCATCGTCACCGCCACCACGACCGCGAGGACCCTTTACTCCGTCCTTTCGGATGGGAATCTTGATGCCCTGCAGCGCGAAGCATTTGCTCAACTGAGTGCTTTCAATAACACCTGGGAACTTCTTTGCCGAGAAAACCTGGAAAGGCTCACTAAAGACCGACGCGAGAACTGGTGCCGTGCCGTGGTTAATCACGGGCGCGCCATTGGTGGTTTCGGGAGACTGCGTCCCCACATTGACAAAACTCATTTTAAGTCTATTGGCAATTAGCAAAGGTAGTTTCTGTTGGATGGAGAGAATCCTACCGGAAAGAGCCTTCTGTTCGCACACTCAAATCCTGCAAGATAAACCATACACCAATCTTGTTGTCGGGGTCTGTCAACCGGAAAGCACTGGCGCTCAGGCTTCCGATCAGATTGCGAGTGAACATTCCTCCGGGTCCACCGGTAACTGGCGGTGCGGGAGACATGGCCGGTTGCATTTGATTTTGAGCCTGGTAAGCGTACTGAGGGTTGTAGCCTACTGCCTGGTTGTAAGTGTTCTGATATGGCATCTGTGCGCCTCCGTAGTAGTTGCCCACGGGTGGATATCCGACAGGGTTGGCATAGGGCTGGCTGTAACCCGGGTAGGTGGGAGACATGCTCTGGGGTGGAGGCGGGTACGAAGATGACATGGCGGTTGAGATTGACGGTGAGGTAGCCGAATGCTTGACGAGGTTGACTTCATTGGTGCCATCGGCGTTCCATAGGTCGACGGTGAGTACGTAGAATGAAGTATCGATCTCACTGCGGTGGGTTAGAAATGATTGAAGAGGATTCCACGGAGTACCTTACTTGATATCAATCTCCTTGTCCGTTTGCGCATCTCTCACAATCAGTCGGATACACGGCGGCGGTGTAATTGGTCGTCGATCCTACGTGCATGTTAGTCCGGACATCCTAATCCTGGAATAGCGCTGAGTTAACGGGCGCGCACCTTATCACCGAAGCCGCACATGCGAGCTCGGATGGGCTGTTGAACGACTTGCAATGACCAGAAGCGGCCTTCATGCAAAGTGGTCACGGGCGCAAGATGATCGGAGGGACGTAGCGGGCCGGTGCCTGGTGTGGGATATGCAGCGGACGGCGCAGAGATGCGATCCATTGAAAGAGGTGGTGGTGGCGGCGGCACCGGATGGGCCCTTTCCTGCTCAACGGCGTACATGGTTCGTGCAGGCAATGAACCGAGGACCGATGTATAAGATCAAAAGGAAGGGTCCGGTTGTTTTTGATCTCTGAAGTGCTGGTGGACCCCTCTTTAAAGTTCTTTAAAGGCGGGGGGTCAAGATATGTGGCATGCGACCCCGCTAGAAATCCACACGTCAGAGTCGAAGCATCGACTTCCGGGGTTGGGGCGGTCGCGAGTATCCGAGTATTGGGGAGGGGGGGTTTGGGGGTGAAGTGGTTTCGTTCAGGCAGATATAAGGGAGTTGGGAAGTGAAAATCTCAGGGCGAGAGAAGAGCGAAGGAATCGGTGAATGCCTGAGGCGGGAGTGAGGTGGGGGGGAAAGAAGAAGAAAGTGACGTTCTCGAGACTTTGGTTGCAGTTTCCTTCCCATGAGAATCCGCCGCAAAGGAACAACTTAGACACGATTCATTATATAAGCGGGGTTTTTAATCTGGCAGAATTTTCAGTCTCAACAAAATCCTTATATTTAAAGATTTGATTTGAATTAATCGTCCTAAAGAATCTATCCAAGAAATGAAAGAATGATCGTCTAGTTTATTCAATGATTTTTATCGATCGACAAAGCAATTGATTAGAATTTTCTCAAATTCCCAAAAGGCGGAGAGGAGAGCGGTCAATATCTAGTCTGCCGCCGCCATCACCCAAAGCCCAGACAGTCGGGTTTCTTTCAATATTCAAATAATCCCTGTTCTGACGAATCACATCCCTCGCTCATCAGAATCTGCCAATGTAACCAATATTGCCGGGGGTTTTTTTTCCTGTTTTCTTCTCTTTCCTTTAGGTCATATTCATTTCTTTGGATCATTAGCCCTGTCACCCGTTTGCGGATGTCCCAGCGGGTCAACCGGACCTAGAGGCTAGAACCACTGGAAATCCCACTTGACCGGAATTGGACTGGCTCGAACAAGTTGGCGCTCGGCTGATTCTCGGGACCGTGCACGCTACTCGGAGATTACGGAGAATAGGGTCCCGCAAAGATTGGTGATACAAATTGATGGGCGTACAAAGAGATTCCGTTGTGGGAGGTTGAATTCTTCCAATTGTATAGAGTACAGAGTATAGAGTATAGATATTGTTCTTTGTTTATTGACGGACCCTGGTACCGGAACCATTGCCCGTCGGCCCATGTTTTAGCAGGCGCCTCCTGTCCCAAGAATACACGAACCTCGCTGGCTTGTCCTATGGTACGCACTTGTCGATGCGGGGGGACCAAGTCCATGGATGAGAGGAAATACGGAGCCTCAATCCGGAGCCTCAGAGCCTCCACGACATGCACTGAGAACATCGTGATATCTTCAATAACAATTCTTGTGGAAGGTGAGATTGGACTAAACATACTTCCCTGATCCGTTCAGACTAGGTGGATCATTGGACCAGATACTCTAATGCGATTTGCATAATCGCTACCTAGGTAGCTCCGCTTTCCAGGAACTGGAAATGCTGTCCACAAATCGATATCACCTCCAGATTTCCTCTATGTGATACATCCAACGGCCCATCAGGGGAGGCCCGGTCCATGTGTCACCAACCAAAATGAATCGGTCTAGATCGAGGATCATTCTGTAATTTCGGCATTTTTAGGGTATTCAGGGGCTAAGATAAACACTAGCATATGGCGTAGATAAATTGTTTGGTTCAAGGGGTAAGAGAATCCCACAAATTCCAGGGTCTAGATTAAAAATTGGTACAGAACACTTGCATTACATACCATAATATTTGTCACAAATTGCCTGCCTGAGGTGGTCATCCACGCGTTCATGAACGATAGATCAAAGGAGACCAACTATGAGGTCAGGATGTAGGGATTATCCTGGAATTTGATATCTTGGACGAACCCGACGAGACAGCTATTCAGGGGGATGTGCTAAATGGGGGAGTCCCTTGCAGAACTCTAGTGATCCATGTGCGATGAGCCTAATCTCGTGGTAATTAGCTTCCGGGAGCAACGCGTCCAGATCGCTGGGTGGTGAACGAGGCCAAAATCGTCGTCAGCTGTCGTCAGCTGTCGTCAGCCGATCTGTGTTTCCCCTGATTATCATGCAAGCTCAGAATCTGAAGAACCTCACAACCATGATGTACAGATCTCGTGAAACTGTGTGATGGGGAGAATTAGACACTGAGGGACATCGGGGATCTTTCGTTTTGGTGATCGACATGGGCGCGCACACCATTTTCATTTCTCGCCTAAAGGCGGGGAAATGTTGGAATGGACCTCGGGACCAAGGATTTTCCCATGCGCTTGGGACCGCTCAAGGATAAACCAGAAACCAGCGGTGATAACCCCTGATCCATGTAAATGTGGAGTCATACGATAAGGGACACATGGCTCATGGTCCAAGCTGGAGGCTTGGGACAGCCCTGACCCGAGTGTTTGAGATAACCCGATGACCTCAACTCACCGCAAGTGTAGCAACCGTGGACTCTGGTCCATATCCCGGGTGATTGGCTCGGTTGACCCCGCACGGGTATCCTGTGATGTCGGAATTAAACTATAGTTGAGTATAGGGAATAGAGAGGATAGGACTAGTCGGAGTTAAATACTTGATTTGATGCTCGTATCAAGTACTTGACTTTGTTTGTATATTTTCGTCTTAATCCGTATATGCATGTGTGGGGCAGTTCACTCACACCCCAGACTCAGCTGTCTAGATCTGGATTTTATATCCCGTGTCTCCAAGATAGTTCCAGTTCCTTACTTTCGGGTAAACAGATGTTTTCCCCCTCCCCTTCAGTTCTACAGGTGCAAGGTTGAAAGGACAGTGTACATGTAAATGTACGAATCCTCTGCGAATCCCCATGGCGCCATTTTCCTGAAGCTTTGCGAGGATTTGAAGTCTTCTCCGATCGGCTCTCGCCTCTCGACTAAGCGTATGAAGTCGATCATATTCCGTAGAGCGGTCCGCTCATGCCTGCACGAGATGGCGTGCTTAGTGTCAATCATTTCAATCCCAACGCAGACTATACGGAACAAAGTATACATCGGCTTATCAACTGACTTTCATCGGTTTGCTGATGTGCATTAGGGCTTTTCTTGCGCAAGGAGCATTTGACATGTTGTGATCAGTCCCTGGACTCCAAGTATTTGAAGTTTGAATTCCCTCGTTTCCAGGAATGTGATTCTAGCCCGGACCGGCTTGAAGCTTCCTTTTGTCTTGGGCATATTATTTTTTCATTCCCCCTAGAATCCTCCGTGGCAGCGATTCAGGTTGAGTTTAATATAATACAATTATGTTCGCAAAGGCCTGGAGCACAATTGCTCTGGTGGGCTCATTTTTGGTGTCGCAGAGCAATGCCATTACCTATAGTCCATTGAAGCCCCCGTCATATCCCTTAGCGGTGCGGAGTCCATATCTATCAGGTGAGTGTCGATCTTTCTACCCCAGACTCGATCTAATGATGATCGGCAGCGTGGATCCCGGGCAATGAAGTTGACTCATTACCTTCCAACAACGCACAATTCTGGGCTGGGAACACTCTGGTTTGGTCTGTGATCGCCCGTGTTGATAATACCACGTACAATTTGTTTGGTGTGGCCAGTCCCAACGATGGCACTACTTCGGCCACCGTGACTGCCGCTACATACACATCGACCCATTCTACCTTTACAGTTACGGCTGGATCGCGCACTTTCACGCTTGACTTTTTCTCTCCAGTTTCACCCAAGAACTATCTTCGACAATCCCTGCCCTTCTCGTACTTGACGGTGACGCTCGTTGCAGGCGACTCGAGCTCCGTTCAGATCTACTCTGACATTAGCGAGAGTTGGACGGGCCAGTCAACCGATTCCAGCTGGAGTTACTCCACCACTGGATCGACAGGAGTCTTCCAGATCGAGGCAGTCGGCCAGGCAACCTATTCGGAAAACAGCGATGGTCAAGCTCTCTGGGGAAGCGCCGTGTATGCAACCCGTCCCTCTAGCGATAGCACACTCTCCACTCAGGCCGGTCCTCGGGTCACAGTGCGAGAGCAGTTTATCGAAGAGGGTACCTTGACAGGAACTTACGCAGATTGGACTAGTGGTGCTGTTGTTGCTTTTGCTCATGGTTAGTCCTATCTTCCAAAACAAGTGAGACACCGTTTATTTACCCATGTCACAGATCTCGGTACCACAGCGGATGAATCGTCCGTGACATTTGCAATCGGCCACGTGCGGGAGGAGTCGATTAACTTCCTGGGAGCCGCGCAAACGGGCTACTATCGTGCGACCTACCCCGATACCCTTGAAGCTGTCTCTTACTTCCTTGATGACTACGATGATGCCAATTCCGAATCGACTACATTCGATGACTTAATCTCTAACACCGGATCGTCGAGCTTCGGATCCAAGTACTCTGATGTGTTGGCTCTTTCTGTACGCCAGGTCTACGGCGGTATTGAGGTGACCATTCCGAATGAAACTCTCGACACCAGTAGTACCCGCGCGTTTATCAAGGAGATCTCTAGCGATGGAAACATCAACACTGTCGATGTGATCTATGCGACATTCCCTATCTTCTACGTCCTGAGCCCCGACTACATCAAGTTGCTCCTCAGCCCCGTATTCGAGTATATGGCTACCGACGCCTATTCCGAAATCTATGCAGTGCATGATATTGGAGCGCTATATCCAAATGCGACTGGTCATCTATCATCCGGCGAGGCCATGCCAATCGAGGAGAGTGGCAATGTGATCCTCCTCACATACGCATACCAGAAAGCTAGTGGGGACACCGACTTATACACTACCTATTCCTCCCAGATCGAGACATACGCGAACTACCTATACAACAACGGCCTTTACCCAGCTGCGCAGCTGTCTCTAAATGATGCACTGGGAGATCTCGCCAACCAGACCAACTTGGCCGTCAAAGCTGCCGTCGCCCTGACAGCCTACGGAAAACTGGCTAGCGATACGACGTATGTGACCACGGGCCGCGACTGGGCAGACAAGATTTGGACGGACCACTTGGGTACCGACGCCGCTGGAACACGCTTTTTGATCCAGTACAACATTACCCCCTGGTTCCTCGTTTTCAACCACTACCCAGACAAGTTGTTCGGGTTGGACGTCTTCCCAGATGATGCATACAACGCAACATCCGATTTCTACCCGACCGTCCGTGAGGATGCAGGTATACCCCTCGATGGAACTATTGGCTGGGGTCAGACAAATTGGCAAAGCTTCGTGGCGGCTACCGTCAGTGATGATACCCGGGACACCTTCATTGATGATCTTTGGACATATATCTCGAACGGCCTGAATACAGCTCCGTTTTCTGACCGGTATTGGGTTACTGCTAGTGGCAGCTACTCTGCTGGTGAATCTTATTCTTTCCGTGCACGGCCGACGTTAGGCAGCCACTTTGCTTTAGCGGCACTATCTGGTGCTGATATTTGGTCTTGATTTTACTGTACATAAGCATCGAAGTAATGACTTCGAGATGAGTCTGCTTCGATTTCCGTGGATCTTGCCTAAAGTATATATCACTCATAAAGCAGCATATCTTTCATGTTTTCGAATGCCTAGACTCGTCTTCATCATAACGTCACAATCGTGATAAGTGTCTGGAATCAGCATCCACCACCACCGGCTATCGTCACAAAGCTTCCTCTCATAGCAAACTTCTGGTCCCCTTCCCATTGCTTTCGTAAAGCCTTCTCTCGAGCACGCCCTCGTTTGCTGTGCTCCCTTGCAAATCGCTTCTGGGCTCTTTCCTCATTTTTGCACGTGCTTGGTCTCTCATCGGTGGTATGTTTACCCTCGCTCTTGCACATGGTAGGTCTCTCATCAATGGTCTGTTTATCCTCACTCTTCAGTGCATGTTTCTTTGACAATATTATTCCTTTCATCCAGTCGAACATCTTGATGGACTCTAGGCTGCTGGGTATATAAGCAGTATAGTGGTTATGGGGAGACTATCGGATGTCAGCTGCAACCAAATATTATTTGTTGGATATAGAGACAATACTTTGAAATGTGTCTTTGGAGCCAGGTCGTGGTATCTAGCAGTGTGAGATTAGATCAGGGTAGAAGTTCATGATCGCAGCTGGGGCCATAGGGTCGAGTACAGCGGGCGTGGACTAAACTAGCAACGATCGTCAACAGCCTCGCAAGGCTAAATCGTGCCCGGTCTATGATAACTCCCTGTATATCACAATGGGAATATATTGGCACGCTTGACTTTCCTTTTCCAGTAAGGTTGGAAGATGAACTCTATACAGTTTAGGTATACGGGTTGAAGGAAAAAAATTTGAAGATGGTAGTTAATATCATAACTAGGTCAAGAAAAATCCCTTCTATGCACTCTATGCGTGGTATATAAAAATAATCCATAACTCGTTCATCAGTAAATTCAACGGGTTTGTTCATCAGCCGAAAATACACTTTCCATGGCGCGAACCCAATTTGATATGTTTTTGATTTTTGCGTTTTTGTGTTTTCCAATTCCCTTACTCAATAGCAGACTGAGAGTTGCCGTGCATGACAGGGTTGATCTTGGACTCCCACTTGAACTTGAAGTCGTCACCAAGCTCCTTACGGATAGCAGCCTGAACAGCCTCCTTGACGTTCTTGAAGACACCGAAGTTGGCGGGGTTCTCCTCATCGTTCTCTCCACCCTGGAAGACACCGGTGCGGACAAGGCAGGTGTTCCAGCCGTACATGTTTCCACCGACGATATCGGAGGCCGGGTTGTCTCCGATCATGTAGATGTTCTTGGGGAGCTTCTTCTCGCCGTAGAGATCCTCCATCCAGTCCTGCATCACCTCGTCGGCATAAATGTAAGTGGCCCGCTCGGGCTTACCGTACAGCACACGCTCGAGGTCGTTACCAGAGGTGGCCTTGTACATGGCTTCGACACCTAGACGGAAAGCACCAAGGTGGAGACGTGGGGGACCCTTGTGCTCGGTGGGGCAGAGGAGATCACCTTGCGAGAAGTAGATGGGGATGTGCTTGTGCTCCTTGGGGTTCTTGGTGCGAGTGAGCAGGTATCCGTCCTCGGACATGAGAAGATCGTTGATGATCTGGAAGTCGGTCATCATGTCCCAGGACTCGGCGAAACAGAGGATGGCATCGAACTTGAGCTTGGAGAAGTCGCGAGGGCGGGCGCCCTTGAGGTCCTCTTCGGTGAAGTAGCGCTGGGGGGAGATCGTGGGGTCCCAGGCGACAATGTCCTTGGGGTGGATAACGTTCTTGAAGCCGTACTGCTCGGCGACATCGCGAATCTTGTAGCCTTCGCCACCGCAGACCAGCACGGTATCGTAATACTCAGCAAGAGCCTGCATGGGTGTGTGTGACTGGATGAATTGGTCGAGATGGATGGGCTGCTCCAGGATCTCGGATAGCTGCTCAGTACGAGCCAGCTCGGTCTTACCGCCACCGTTAGTGAGGAGGATGTATGGGAACTTGATACCTAAGGAGAAGGTGATTAGGGAGACATTCATGGCCAATGCGGGGTAATAGATTTCTTACCGAGCTCGTTGTCACCGTTCAGCATCTTAAGGACTTCACGGCCTTCCTGGATCGGGTTGTTACCGTGAACCAGGACACCATCGATATCAAAGGCAAAGGCCATGTTCTTGACGGCCTGGACCTTCTCTGGGGACATGTCCTGCACCTGGGAGGCCATGATGTCCCGTCCCACGACGCTCGGCCGGGAGGCACGAGACAGACGTGAGCTCCGCGACATACGCGGAGACCGGGGAATGGGCAGAGAAGTACCGAAGGAGTTGCGAGAACCACGACGGTCCCGCATGGAGGGACCCAGGCTCAGGTGGTGCATCATGGCGGATGTACCGCTCATAGAGCTGCGAGTGGCAGGGATTTCAATGGTCTCACCCTGGTCGTTAGGGATGGGAATGCTGCCATGGGCGTCGCGGGGGGAGCGAGCGGCCTGCACATCGCTGTGGGGAGCGGCGGACTCGACGCCAAGGTCAGCGTCTTCAAAGCGAGGCATGATGGATGTTGTGATGGGAAGGGGTATCTGGTGAAAAAGATTGTCGAAGGGTATCTTGAAGGGTATATGTAGAAGTGAAAGATGGGAAGTTTCAATGGACCCCTCAAAACTGGGTCACGGAGCAGAGTACCGAAGAATATTGTGTGGTTGATGACGAGGGACCCGATTTACTTTATAAACGATGACGCGCTGATCGGTTCCCCTATGAAGTAGTCCCGGTCTAAGAGAGATGAGTCTCCATAATTTTCTTCAGTACGGTTCGTGTCCGCCCAAACGCCCGATTGTCTCAAAAGAAGACTAGTACCACCGCTAACAAAGAGAAAATTATGGAGACGGCAAGTGACGTGGCATTGCCCAATCATTTACTCGGTACCTGTAAAATTGTGAAAAACGCGTAAAGGAGATTGGGAAATTGCGAAACATTGGAGCAAGCATTGGCGGGAAATTGGGAAATTCAAAATGTTGACGTCACTGCACAGGTGAGATTGGCTGCTAAATTGATTCTTTTAATTAATTACTTTAGTGTGGAGGTTAGAATAAGCTTGTACAACTCGGCCAACTTTCCTCTAGACTTATCCTATAGACCCTTGACTATAAAATTCATTCAAGATTCCCATCACTCGTACCTGAATGAAATGATGGTATCTCAATGTCCCTTAGTTTCAGCTCATGACGTAGAGCCTGCTAGTAATCACCAATACATTAATTCGACAAAACCCCTCCGGGTTCACCCATTGCGGGCTAACCGAAAACGACGCATTTATTGTGGGTATCAGTGGATCTCTACTCCACTATACCACCTGTAGGGTTGAGGTGGCGCCGGAGATGTAACATGCGGGTTGCCGCACCACCGAGATCATATAGAGAAATGTAGTGTATACATGCAAGTCCAACATTTAATTGAAATAGCACTCGATGGCGTAGTCTTAAAAAAGGTCCAAGCCATGTGAGGTCTAAACGGGGGTGAGAAGGTCAACGGGAGTCAATCGGCTTATCTTATCGCCGTGATTGGCTGAATAAGCCTCACTTACCCGCCTCTGCACGATGACCTAATGCCGATTATGCCGAAACCTGCCAAGCCCGGACGTTTTCGGACTGTTTGAATGTCAAGGTTTAATGTTCTTCCGGTTTTGGATTCATCCTTTCCTGATACGGATTCACGGTGTATAGATCTTGTCAGTACTCCGTTAAGCCCCTCTAATCAAATTGATCCAATGAACAAGCACCTCTGTCGATACATGTAAGGGATCGTGGAGAGTTACGCGTTGGAATTCTGGAAGTCGGGATTCCGTATTGTCGCCCCGCCGTCTGTATCGCGTAACCCCACCACCCCTCCAATTCCCAGTTTCTCTGCCAAAAAGCATTCTCACTCGGGGAGGCTTGCATGATAATCATTGGAAATTACTAAAATAATCCCGCATATGTTAATCCAATAGAAAAGGGCCATGGGAGATCAAAAGCACGTGTAGATAGAGTTTGCGTCACCGCTGGCCAATTGGTTTTTGGAGTTTTAGCCCATTGGACGCCTCAACCGTGCTGTCCATGCAGATACCCTAGCTATACTGTAGATCGCCCGTGCTTTCTCCGTGGTGGTGATGATTCAGGTTGCCGTGCCGCGAGATCTGGATCATCCACAACGGAGTGGACTGCTCCGTGTCCTGATATACTGTTGACTGAAATGAGGGTCCATACAGATAGGCTGGAATAGAATCTAGCACATGAGGTCTAAGCGTGGATACAATGTAAGATGATGGACTGGCGTACGTCAAGGGAAACTCCTAGGTATCTATCGTTTGGGATCATGGAAGAAAACCACTTGCACAGTAATATCATCCCGTGCATTACGGGAAAAGGGAGAACCGAAGCCCAGTCGTCCTGCGATCAACTCATGTTGGTTTCCACCAAAAGCATTGCGAGTCAAATGAACTGCGGCATTGCCATCCTGGACAGTCGTCCGCTCCTCCACAAATCTCTCCTCAACTCCTTTATCAAAGATAAAATCCGACGGCGCTGGGCTGGTCGGGGCTGAGGGGTTCTTCTCTGAGGATTCGAGCCATTTCCCCATTAGGCCAACCGCTTGCTCGCTGGATAAATGATCCCATAAGCCATCACTGGCCATGATCATGAAAGACGGTCTACTGGGATCGATCTTTGTACTAGTCACCACCGGCTCGGCAGTCAGATATGGTGGCGTCCGCACATCATATCTGGGCGTCAAAGGGGCCGGTCCGTAGAACCGTTTGTGCATTTCTTTCTGAAAATCCAAGGCCCACTTCCACCGGCTATCCCCGAATGCCCGGGAGACCATGATGCCTAGCACCCGCCCATCTTTGATGATGTTCTCCTCGCCAGGGTGCTCTTTTTGCAGTCTGGCAATCTCCTCTTCGTTCGTCCCGCTCTGATCCACGGACAAAGGAATGGCCTCCCAGGTGCCGTCTGGTCTTTGTTGGCCCAGCACGGCTCTAGAATCACCGGTGCATGCAACATGCAGTGTGCTTGTAGCGGTATCCAAGATGGAAAGCAAAGCGCATGAACCTGCATACGCGGGTTCCATCTTGTGGATTTTATCTTGCAGCGGTTCGTCGCTGCGGGATGCATCCTCGGCGGTCTTGAAAATGGAGGCGTCAAGGTTGAGGAACCCTTTGATCAGAGCCTCTTGGATCCGCTCTGGCGGAACTGATGCATCCGATCGGATCTGTTCTAGACTGTGGCGCACGTAAGGAAGCATTTGGTGTTTCAGTAGCTCTGCCGTTTGCCACCCCGCATGTCCATCAAAGACCGCCCAGGCCATCCACTGTTTACCGTCCCTCCACGGCGAAGGGAATTGACCATGCAAAAAGCGGTCCTCGCAGGGGCTATTCGAAGCCCATTGAGTGCCATCGTATCGAGCCACACTAGCAATTCTAGTAACGGGGACCGAATAGGCATTTTGGGAGATTATCCGGGTCACCTGGTCTGGTGAAAGGCCCGGCCCGAATGTCAACTGATCCGTGGGCGGAGTGTCTAGCCGCGGCACGTCAGGCACATCAGGCACATCCACCACATTGGACACGTCGCGACCAGAAGTTGCCCACCACAGACCTGGGCCAGTGATGAGGCCTCCAAGCACGGCATTTCTACCCCAATGCGACGAACCTGTCTTTGTTGAGTAGAAACGCCGGGTGGTCACGCGACCTAGCTGGGGTCGAGCCCGAGCGCCCAATGAAATAGTGGAGAACATGTAAGCCTTGAGACAGGGGGTGAATGGACAGTTCGGGCAGAAGGAATGTCTTTCCAAGTTTCGAATTCTCAGGGACTGGAATATTCCAAGCGATCCCTTGGGATACTTATGAAACTCTCACGAATGAGAAGTAAGGGGGAAGTCAAGTTGGTCTTGACCAATACATTCCCGACACGTGACTTTTGTACACATTGAGATATTCGAAATGAGATTAAAGTGATTTACGAATGACCATACTAATGACGAACAAAATAGCAAAAGATATAGATATATTGAAAATTCCTCTCATTTGACAATAATTAGAGAGCCTAAACCTCCGGCTGAACTCGCATCTAAAAGGGGGTACCCCCTCACAGAGTGTAAATGAAATCCGGCCGCTTATCACCTAGCAACTCGATCTCACTCTGATCAAGCCCTTCGATCCAGTGATCTCGCTCACCGCGCCGACGCTTGGCGTTTTCGCGGCGAAGTAGAACGTACTGTACGATCGAGCCCCCAAACAGAAACAAGACCAGGTATGCGAGCACAGTGCCGTGCCCGGGGTAGTATCGGGGGGAATCAGCCTGACGATAGATATTGGATGAGACAATACCGTTCAGGTTACCCCAACCGATGATAAATCCTAGCGATACGCCACGCTTATATACACCTAAACTGCAGTCAGCGGATGCAACCGATAGGACTAGTGGGGCTCAGAGGATTACGTACCCTCGATGTTATTGCTGGACCAGGAGATGGTGTTGGCGATGGCAGGGTAGATACCCATTGCCCCAAGGAATGTTCCGGCGTAGCGAGCACCGGCAGATTGACATCCTAGGAGCATAGAGAAGCCCACTATACCGAGGATCGCGGTAGCAATATTGCACAGCCCCCGCTGGCGCGTACGGTCAGCAATGAAGCCGACCGTAATGGTCAAAATGGCAGCAGCAGCGTAGGGAGGAACACTCAGTAACTGAGCACGGATCGAGCTGTAGCCTGAATATAATTAGTCGGAGTCGAGAGTGTAGATCAAACAGAGTTTTAACCCTAAAAGCAAGTTAGGAAATATACACCCAAAGTCCCTAGGTATCACTCACTAGTTCACTGATAATAGTCGGCACAAACAGCGAGAATGCATACAGCGATCCGTCTGCTCCCATGTACACTATCGCACCCGTCCAGGTTTTCCAGTCCTTAACGCTCGCCCAGAAGTAGGACATCTTGAACTCTTCATGTTCAGCGCTCGACTGCGCATCCAGGGCAAGTCGGCGTAGCACACGGGCTCGATCGTCCTCGGACAAAAACCGGGCTTGGTCGGGGAAATCGTATACACACCAGAAGGAGGCCACGCCAATTACGACAGTGGCCAGCCCTTCCAGAATGAAGATCCACGCCCAACCGGGCTTGCCTCCGACTTGATCCATCTTGGCGATTGCGGCTGCTAGAAGACCGCCAAAGGAGCCAGCGAGGGCTGCAGCTGAGAAGAAAATTGCCATTCGTACACCGAACTCCTCGCGCCTGTACCAGCAGGAAAGGAAGTATCCTATGCCTGGGAAGAGACCAGCTTCGCTCAGACCGAGGAACCAACGCACTGCCATCAGTCCGGCATAGTTGTGCACCGTCCCCATTAGGGTCATGCAGATTCCCTAGAGGCGAATAGAATTTAGAATCAAAAGGAAAGCCTTGAACTGTAAAATCAAAGCAAACAATGCGTTACTTACCCAAGCGATCATGATGGAAGGAATGAAGATGCTCGGTCGCAGCTTCTTCAGGAGCACGTTGGTCAAGGGCTCGAAGACAGAGTATGAGACGAAGAAGATGGTCAAAGTGGCATTGTACTGATTGGCTGTCATACCCAAGCTCTTGCTAAGGCCGTCGATCTTGGCATTGCCGATGTTAGTCCTTTTCCATGTCAGTACGTGCTAACCAGGATCCTAGGAAGATCTTCCCTCTGATTAGATAACATACCGATCAAGAAATGAGGCTAGATAAAGCAGACTTAACCACGGAAGCAATCGAAGATCAAGCTTCCAGAGAAGCTTTCGGTCCTATGGGCATGCAGCGGTTAGTTCTAGCAGATCGGCTCTGCATGAAATTATGCAGGGGGGGGGGGGGTCCAGGATATGGATCCAAACACATACAATCTGGGCTCTTTCTTCATCACTCAGACCTTCGTCTGGATCCTCCAACCTTGACAATTTGTCTATTCTGGTGTTTGAGGGCATCTCCACATCCATGTGGGCTGCTTTCTCAACACCAACGATCTCGGTAGCCATAGTGTTGCACAGCAGATGCAATTATCCTTGTAACCAATTCTGCAGCTCGCAGCACAAGACTGAAAAGGGAATGAAAGAAAAGAAGGAAGAAAGATACAGGGCAGTGAATGGATGAGCGGAGCGGGGAACTAAACGAAATAGCTGAGCATGAACGAGTGGAGGGAGTACTGCACGATGTAAGCCCTCGTGCTACGTGGCTAAGAATTAAAATATACAAACCAATCATTGGTCTTTACTCCGCACCTGTTTACAGGGATCATTCCAATATTTCCCCAGTGATCGGCATGGACCGCGATCTACATTAGAATATGCCTAATTGAGGCTCGGGATTATAATTCCCTGCAGAGTCATGCAGAGTCAAGCCGAGGGATAACCGGTCAGAGGGGCTTAAGGGTACGCTATTTAGATCAATGGAAAGACTGGATTCATGCTATCTTGATATTTATGGAAATAGGGACATCGTGGAGACCCTGGGTTAGGGCAAACATCCCCGCGATTTTGCGGGGACGTCGAGACTCGAGACCTCCACTCCGCCCCGCCCACAGAAATACAGGACTCAACCCCCCACGTCCAAAAAAATCACTATCCCGAGGATATCATGCCCAGTTGAGGCTGCTAGCGGGGTGCCGCTGATGCCCATTATAAACTGCTAAACAGCAGCTAGATCAACCTATCCTTATGGTCGAAGGTCCGGACGGAGACATGGTTGGATCAGGTTAGACGAGATTATTAGAGTATGATTCAAGTGAAAATGAAAATAAGGCCCACGGGGTCAAAATTGACCTCGAAATACGCGGAAAAGCTCTCTTTGCGCACTCTGGGGGTCTCTCAGGCTTCTCAGAGATCAAAACACTGCTAGGCTATGTTTTGGATGCGAATACCGGGGAAAGCATAACCCGTCGAAGCCTCTGAGAGGCTGAAATTATCATCTACTGGAAAGGAACAAAGGCGCACGAATATGAGACAATCAGGTGGAAAAAGACGAGAAGTCTCCAGAGGGAGAACTTCTGGCTATTTGCTGGCTATCTACTGAGCGCTGATCACGCGGAGTGGGTCAGAGTACTTGATTACCTGACCTACCTTCCCAACGGAGGCCATTCAGACATAGACAAGGCGACACGAGGGCCATGGTCATCTAACCTACTCTCCAACAGAGGCCATTCAGACGTAGCCAAGGCGGCGCAAGGATCATCGGCAAAGGTGACAACGCCGCCGTCAAACGATTCCGGGTCGAGTGTGATAAGTTTGCGGTAGAACCAGTAGGCAGCTCTCACTGAGGCGAACTGGAAGACCTGATCTGAAGATACTCCGGTGTCCACCCGGCATATCAGATGGTGCGGGCTATCGTGTATCAAGTCGAATATCGCCTGGACATACCATCCAAGCCCAGAGCTGACCCGCAGGCATCGTGTCAACTTCTTTCCTTCAAAGCGCAGCGGAATGGGATAGGTGGGGTTTACCAGCTCCATCGCCCTGGCTCCCTCAAAGTTGACTTCAAATTTCTTGGTCTTCCCATACCTAAGAAAGGCCTTGGCGCTCCGCTCTTCAACAAAGACAATTATCGCAGTGTAAACAGGGTTGGTGGGATCGAGGTGGCACGAGTAGACATTTCCTTGTTTTATGTGAGACAAAACTCGTGGGAGAGTGAATTTTTTAGCGAGATCCACGATTGCAACAGTTCGCCACACATCGTTATTATACCGACCCAGTTCGATCGGCACGCCATATTCAAGCTTTGGATTAGAGGGGCGAGCACTGTCGAGATCATCTTCACGGAAGGGGGTGAAACTCTGCAGGCCGGTCAATAACTTCAAATGATCAGCAGGTTGTGCTATGTTTCTGGGCTAACCTTGCGAGTTACTTGCGCATTAGGAGGAGCAATGCTGAGGCGCGAGAAAGCCGATGTGGCAACTTCATTATCGCCGTCCTTGAATTGAGCTCTGAAGGCGTTTGCCTTGTCAATGAGGGGACAATTGGTGATATTTTCGCCACGGCGCTTGCGACTGGGCCTGCGATGACCCATTATGGCGGTGTTGTCTTTGGACGATAAGACCTCGAGATAAGACAAATAGAAAGAGAGTCTGCATCCGATGAAATGAATAGAAACGCAACGAAGATAAAGAGACGGCTATCCTCGAGTTGAGAAGGATATGAAAGCGTGGATGGACACGTTTTAGGTAGGCATAGGGGAATGGAGAATGAATGATATGCGAATACAATGAAGGATTGAGATTGAAAAGAAGAACCAGGTTAGAATCGCCAAAGAAAGATCAATCTGAAATGATAGGACGTGTCACGTAGGTACAAAAAGCGGAGTCATTGTCTGCTGCAGGAAGTATGCCAGTGCAGTAGTGAAAGTGATTGTTGTCCGTTCACAGATCTATCCGAAAAACTCTCCGCCAGCCAACGCAACCCAGGGAAGGTTTTCCTTCCAGCATCGTTGCATTAACTGACGAGCATTTTGGATCTAAAAAGCAAGTTAGTTAAAGAAAATCATGGTCAGTCTGCATATAATTACCTGTTTCATACCCGATTTCTCCAGAACCATGAACCGATCTAGGATCGTGGCCCGTTGTGACGGATCTCGAGACTCACATCCCGCCGTGAATAACGGTAACAACGAACAAACCTCGGTCGAGGCACCCAGTCTCATACGCCCGAGGGCATCAATCAGCTGGCGAAGAGCTTCTTTTACCGGGAACGAGTCTGCTGATGACCCTAGCACACGGCGGTGGAGATGAATGAGACCAGCACACCGGAAGGCCTCTTCCGTTGCCATCATGTCTTGAGCTTCGAGACCCTGGTGGTGATCCGGGTCAGCATGGGCATGCTCAGGAAGTCCATCTAGGTCACCCAGAACGGCTTGAGCTTGAAGAACCATGTCTGCAGATGGATGCCAAGCCCGGCGGAAATTCCCTAGCTCGTCGAAACGCTGATTATCGCACTCTTGGACCAGCTTGGCCAGGCGAATGAGAAACAGACCGGTGCGAGGAGTGAATCCCGTGAAGCAGTCCACGCTAAACTCGTCATAGTTTTCGGGATTCGAGCATGCGCCTAGAACAGACTGATACAGCAACAACGGTGGACCGGCTCGACGACAGGACAATGCACCAACTGTGTCGATATACCCTAACCAACGAGCGAAGAATGCGCTTATTCGATTACCGGCCCGGGCAAGCCGCTCACTCCGTGCAAGGAACAACTCGCGAGCGAGCTTAAGATGGCTCTGCCATGTGATGGGCACTTCAAACGTTCCCGGGGACACAATCTTCAAGGACAAGAGCAGAATGGCAGTCGCTAAGTGGCTATCGGTAATGTCTTCGTGGGAAGCTTCCAATGCCACGCGCAGGGTTGGGAAGACATCACTGACCCAGTGCGCGATTCGATTGGCTGGCTCGGCATGACCTAAATACCGCGCACGATGACTTGCCGAGTACGCAAGCAACAAGTTGAGCAGATTAGGGTCGTCGATCGCCACTAATTTTATTCGTCAGTATAAGACCGCATGAAACCCCTCACTTGAACTGATGATAAATACTTACTTGACGGCAACACTGACGAGAACGGGTTATTTTCACAATCATGAGGAACCAACATCCGGGATGTATGATTGAGGAAATGATGAAAGTACATCAGATTGATCGGGTTCCCCAGCAATGATGACGGCAGCGGGGACAGATATCTTGGGATGTTGATTGGCACCGGAACAGCATAATACCCGCTATAATCAGCACTCTGGGGCCCAGATGAAGTCGAATAGCCCTTAGGTGAAGCCTCTTCAGAGTGCCCCCGAGCGCCAATAATTTCCAAGGAAGAGTTGACATCAATTGCAGCGTGATCGTTATTCAATGCGACATCCCGATCTGGCCGGCCTGAATCCAATCCATAGTTATCGGTCACACTGGTGAGATAGGCCTGCCATCTGCTTTGGGCCGCGAACGATTCTGCGGCTTTATCACCATCATCGCGATCATTAGACATGGCCTCCGTGTGATGGTTGAATGGCGTGATTGTATCGTCAGGTGATGAAGCCGCGTTGCTTCGTGTTATTGGGTCATGCGAACCAAGCATCAAGGCCATACCACTACCGTTTGACAAGCTAGGAGAGTGGTTGCTATGCGGTGCCATTCCACCCATGGAGTATCCCAAGCTGTGCTCATCATGGGAAATGGAATCGCGGTGGTCTTCGTTTTGATCAGATCCCTGTCCGGCATCCAATGAATTTCGAAGAAATGATACGGGCTGCGAAACCGAGTTCGAATGGAATGCAAATGCCGACATCGAACGAAGGCCTACACCTTGATCGGCGGCGGCTGAGAAAGTCCCGTGGAAACCTGGACCAAAAGGATAATGTGTTAGAGAACCTGACGATACTGGAGGTGTCGAAGATGGGTGTTCTGGCCAGGTAGACGCAAATTGAATATCAGCCTGGCCCGGTGAACTGCCATCTCCCACATGCGGCTTGGGTGATTCAAATATGCCGAGTGGTGGGGACATGGTCCCAGGGGAACCCAGATCACTGGGATGGACGTTGACAAAACCATCCCCAGGGCTTGTATTAGCCGGCATTGGCGCCGAAGTGGAGCTCATAGCGCCTGCTGGGGTAGCGTCCGCAAAAGACATGATCGTTCCTGCGTACCCGCTTGACTGGGAGCCAGGCGATTCAACGGATGCGCGTTTGGTCCGACCACCCCAGTTCAGACGGACGCTATAGTCACAGGCCTCTCCTTGTCGTTGGCAATTGAGACATAGAGGCTTTTCCTCTCCACTGGATAGCTCGAATTAGTGATGATGTTTTGTTGCGACGCATGTTCACTGCTTACCATTTGACTTTACGAGCCTTGCACGGCCTGTGTTGACAAACTATTAGTATTCAAGCACAGAGGACTCAGTTATACCCTCAAATATAGACTTACCAACACCCTTTTCGACTTCTTCTCTTCGGCTCTGGCGCGCCAGGTCTTCGGGGACGAGGCATTGCACCTCAGACGAGATATATCAACGACCAGCCCCAGAGCAGCACCGAGGGAATCGAAAGAGAAAAAAGGTCGTCTCCGAAGAGATTCCATTCAACAGCAAAAACGCTTTGAAGGAAACTGTCGAAGCGTTTTCACAGGGCACACAGCACACGATTGGATCGCTTTTTACGTCCAGAACTGTGTTGACCCCAAGTGGCGACGAAACGATAGTCGACCAAGCACCCACACCTAGTAGACAGGGACATCGAGGTGTGGGAGGGAGATGCGCCCAAGTAAGAGTTCAGGATCCCGCTGCGGATGCAGCAATGGGGTTTTTTGCTATTCTGCAGATGCAGCTCCAAGAATGATAAGGGTTTGTGGCGATCTTGTCGATCACAGAATGCGGGACAAGCTGATAATTTCTGGGGTAAGGGCCCACTTCAGACCTTTACCATTTACAGACCAGCGAGTTCAGATTATGCAGGCAATAGAAAAGGAAAAGCACGTTCTGGAATGGCCATTGCACGCGAGAAAGTGTGGGGAAAGAACCAAAGATAAGACTGACTAATCCGGATACCGGATTAACCCGAGATCCGACCAGGGATGCCGCGGCTTGCCGAGTCACGTGGCGTAGCGTCATAGATGTTAGGGGCCGAACTCCGATTTGTCTTTGGTTCCTTGGTTTCCCTTGATCTCCCTGGAGTGGTCGATACCCTGAATCATCGGAAGTTTATTCAACTCCGACAATGTCTAACATTTTGATTGAACAGCATCCGCTGCAGAGGCTTCCTAGCCCTTCAAGAGGCCTGTCGGCTCTGGTTCATGTATGACGCTTGGATCCGATTACAAGAGCCATGCTAACGTACATAGATCACCGGGCTTGCGAGCTTTCTATGGTCATTTAAGTTGTCAGTCATCAATTGCTTCTCCACCAAACTCCCTGAATTTACCGGTCAGCTAATGGAAACATAATAGTATGCATGATAATCCTAATAGGGCGTAAGCTTTACTTTGGCTCTCTACAAGGGATCAATATGATGTTCCGACAGATCAACTAATGAAAATTAGAGATGAGGCATATGGCTGGCATTTTCAGTATTTGACCGTGATTGGTCTGACCTTGTCTACGTTGACCTTTGCCGTTGCCTTGTTGGCAGATATTACCTTGTCCCGGCGCTTATTTCTGGTCAAAAACCTGCTGTCAGTATGCAGTGCACCGATGGAGGTTCTAATTAGCGTTATGTACTGGGGGCTTCGACTGGTTAGGAAAATATATCATATCTCATTTTATGGAGAGCTAATTGAGACCCCAGATTGACGAGCGGCTAGTGGTTCCTGATTGGGCTGTGATACCCCTTCACGCGGGTTTGTTGGATCATTAAATCCCGTTTCGCATTGACCCCTCGCGCTAACGCAGTTCGAACAGATATTGGCTTCCATGCAACCCCGTCTATTGTGATGTTGGTAGATCTACTGTTTCTGTCTCCCCCATGGACTATCACCGCTCTGCCCTCATTGGGAATATCGGGAACTATTGCGTTTGGTTATTGGTTTTGGGTGGAGCAGTGCTTCCTGTACAACGGATGGTACCCGTACCCCCTTTTTGAACAGCTATCAACCGTGGGTCGTATTGGGCTTTTCTCACTGAGTGCCGTTGTCATGGCGATGAGTACTGTCACACTTCAATGGTTATATGGCCGGGTAAATGGATTTGGTACTGGTATCCCGAGTCAGTCTCGCCCAGGCGATATCAAGCGGAAGGATGGTCTTTGAGATATATTTACGAACTAACTCTTTGTGGCGTGGCGGCATTGATGTAAGGCCTCCATGCCCCTCGCATCAGGTCTCGGGTTGGGGATGAAGAGTCCTTTACGAAGGATAGAAACATGTAAAAATCCAATAGAATTGTATCAGAAGCCTCTCGCACTATCGTTTCCAAGGTTCTTGGGATAAATTTGAATCATCACGGACAAACACATCACTTGGAATTCACATGTGACTTATACACTTGGAAGAAAAATCAAGGAGTCATCACAAAAAAAAACACAATAACTCTTACCCCCAGACTCATTGCAAAAAGCTCAGCTGCTGATCTATCACATTTCGCACAATTTCCTCCCAAGGTCGCCATCGCATTCCAAGTTCAACTTCTGCCTTGGTTGTGTCGGTAGGCATGGAAGAAGGGCCCTCAACGTCCTCCGTAAGCTTCACACCAACATTGGGGTAGGCCTTTAGCGCCACACGAGCCACATCCTTCCAAGTGGTTTGCGGCCCGGAAAGCAAATACTTTGAACCATCCTTGATCTTTGGATCTAATGCCTTGACGTGAGCTTCAGCAACATCTTGGATGTGCACGCCTGTGATGCGGCCCATTGGAACACCTCTCATCACGCTACCCCAGAGAATACCATTGGATCCTCCCTGAATTTCTTCGGCGGAGGTTTGCACAAGATTGGTACCGAAGACAAATGCTGGATGAATTGTAACCAAGGCGTAATGTGGCTTTTCGTTCTTCCAGAATTCCCAGGTAGCATTGTTTGCAAGCAATTTGGATGCTCGGTACAAAGTCATCGGGGTTGCATCAGGATTGCTAGGGTCGACGAAATTGGCCTTAGGGTCCACAGTCAAATTCCAGTCATTATCCTCTATTTGAAATGTCAGCCTATTTATAATTTTGAATGCAGTAGTTGGGATCAAGTGCTCATGAAGCATGCATGGTATGGTACCTTTGACAACACCACCTTCGGGTATTCCGGTGATGGGAAGCAACGCAGCGATAGACGAAGTGATCACAACCTTCTTGATGCTTGACACCTCAGCCGCCTCCTTAAGAATAGCCAAGGTTCCGTTAATCGCAGGAGTGAATATGGCATCCGGGTCTGTTCCACGGGCAAGAGGCGATGCCAGATGCAGGACAAAGTCCACTCCATCAAGCTTGCCTTTGTAGGCAGCTTCGTCGGTCAGGTCAGGGATGGTGACGAACTCCAGCTGGTCACGATAGCCTGACAATACATCTTCCAGTTTCTCTGATCTCTTGCGGACGGCAATTCGAAGACGATATCCTGCCTTCAAAGTCTCAAGAGCGGTGGCGCTGCCAATAAAACCAGTAGCACCGGTGATGAAGACAAGTGGGGAAGACATGGTGGTAATGACGATAATACTAAAAAATTGATCTAGAAAATCAGGATATCAACCGAATTAAATAGATTTTGGTTGATTATCAATTGATGTTCTCGTTTATTCTCTAGGGAATAGTCGGCGTTGATTACTATTCATTACCACATTCTTCGTTATAATCTGCCCGAACCTAAACCCACTACCACTATTCTTGCCCACAACGGATCCGAATTACCTTCGAAGATTCCGAAGTTTACAAGGTAGTTATAATTGCAGTCAGCTTAGATATGTTTTCTAGCGAATCAATGGATTAAGAGGGACATTTGAATCGAGTGTGTTTGCGTCAAATCGGCCTCCCTCCCGAGGTCTTAGAATTGGCACAGTAAGCTATAATTTTCATTGGATCTTGCACAACAAACCAGGATATAGACATCGATTACAAGAAGTTCGGACGATGAATAAACATTTGAATCCCTGCACCAGTGGGGCGGCACTTGAGCCTCGGTACCTGATGATCTTACATAAGGCAAATTACCAATCAGATCTGAACTTTTAATCCTTGGAGTCCCTCTCACTCCAACGGAGTTGGGGCATATAAAGATGGGGAGGAGAAAAATGTAGAAGCTTGAAAGTCGAAATTTTGGTTGTAAGTTTATTCTCTTTCTTCCCCGACCTAGATCACCTGATATGTAGGTGGCGGAGTTCTGCAAATGCGTTTTTCTTATAAGTCATGAGAAGCGCTGAATTCATCTCATTGAATACTCATGATTTCCAAGCTTGTGAATCACATCTTTGAGTGCCCCCATGATATTCGAATCCATGCCGATTGTTGGACTCGAGGTCAATTCCGTGGCCCAAACGGTTTCACACCTGCAAATATGAGTGTCCCTTTTATTATCTTGGGACTTCCGTCTCTTCAGATCCTCTCCCATTGAACTGGGCAGCGGAAAGGGCCCTTCCTTTTATCATCATGAGATGGTTCGTAACTTGCAAGGGAATCCGTAGAAGCCACGATGGATGCGTGACTTGCAAGTCATCCGGATTATTGAGCAGTTGACTCCTACTCCAAGTTCGATATTGACTGACAGGCTACAGTGAATTAGATAACAAATAGGATTACCTCCACTACTACACTTTGCAAGGTTAACAATGATCATGCTAGCCAAACAGAAAAGTGAGAGGGACCATAGAATTCATTTCGATGAGTCCGTTACAACGGGCGATAATGGATTCTAAAGAATAGCTCCTATTGAAGAGGCGCATGTGTATTCCACAAAATCTATACCGCATCCAATCGAATAAGTGAACACATATGTTAATCTCAATCTCATATCAAGGTTCCAACAAAACAGTATTTGTCCAAATCCATGGATATTGAAGCTTGTATGATTCGCAACTTCGCCCGCTTACATAACCTTACTCCACCTTTGGTTTTCGTGGTAGCAACGCAATCTCTTGTCTCCGATTCAGTTTCCCAGTTCCTGACATTCCATCAAATCAATCATGTCAGCTCGCACAGTGATCGGTGGTCGACTCAACCCCACAGCTCTCAGCTCTCTGGCTAGCCCCTGTCCGCGGATTGCATCCCAGCAACTTGCACGCCTCCACTCGACCATTGTCCGTCCCTCCCCGAGCGCCCCGTCCAAGCTCGCCATCCAAAATGTCCGTCCTGCTCCCGCCCTCTTGAACCGCCCGGGTCTGCGGATGAAGTCGACCTCTTCACCCAGCAAGGATGAGGTGAAACTCGACTGGAACTCTTTCTTCAAGCTTCGCGCTTCTCGCCGCCGATACTCCCTGGCATCCTCCATTGCGACCTCCCTCGTGTCCACTACCGCCGGTGTGCAGATTCTGTCTTCGCAGGATCTGGAGTCTCTCGGTGCTCAGGTGATGGGTCTGGACCCTTTTGTTGTCCTGGGAATGGCGACCGCTGCTTGCGGTGCTGTGGGATGGCTCCTGGGCCCGATCGTTGGCAACGGCCTCTGGGGTCTGGTTTACCGTCGGTTTGCGCCCTCTGTGGCAACAGTGAGTCTAATATTACCCTGCATAATGACAACATATGGTTTGCTAATGAGATAATCTCTTATAGAAAGAGAAGGAGTTCTTTGATCGCATTCGTCGATTCCGCGTCGATCCCTCGACTAACTCCATCGCCAACCCTGTTCCTGATTACTACGGCGAGAAGATTGGTAGCGTGCAAGGATATCGCCAGTGGCTGAAGGACCAGCGGGCATACAACCGGAAGCGCCGAAACTTCATTGCTTGAATTTCTTTTTGACACCTTAACCCTTGCATGTTTGTGTATACGCTTGATCCTGCACTTGCAGACTCTTCACCTGAACGGTCGCTTTCTTTTCTCTGGATATGGATTGGTGTTTTCTGATTTTTTTTCGATCTCATTAGCGGTCTGGGCGACCTGGGGCATCATATTTGTATTTGAAAATGACCATTGATAGCACCGTCAAGCACCATCTTCAATTCAACTTATCTACATCATCAAATACCGTCTGCATGAGCTTATTGTATCATACATGGTCCCTATTGCCTACAGCTTCGCCGGAGTCTTGGCCTTGGGAGGCCGGCCAGTATCAACCTCGGTCCACCAAGGAACATGAGCAGGCACGTCATCATCCAAATTGGCTCGGAAGTTGGGTTTACGCTTTTCAAAGAATGCCGTCACACCTTCTTTCTGGTCTCTATGAGATAGTCAGACTTGAACTAGAAACCTACGCAAAGGCATACGTACGCTGATGAGAACATATGATAGATTGTTTTTGACTCGACCAAATGCGCCATCTCCGGCGAACCATCGTTCCGCCACATCATGGCTCGGTTGAGATACAATGACGTGGGACTGACATTCTCGGCGATTTCAGTCGCTAATTCGAGAGCTCTTGGCAATACTTGGGACGCCTCAGGCATAATCTCATTGAACAAGTCCCCAAAGTGTTTTGCGGTCGGTGGGAATACTGCACCGGTGCTGACGAGGTAGCTTGCGTTGGAGTGTCCGACTAGACGGGGTAGGAAATAGGACGAGCACGCCTCCATTGTGATGCCACGGCGTCCAAATACAAAACCGTATTTCCCTTTCTCGTAGGCGATGCTGGTCATAATCAGTAATGTGAATTGATCTTCCGTCTTGATCATCTTACCGAATAATGGTGGGTAGAGTCATCGTCATGCCCACTCCAACTGCTGATCCTTGCATAGCCGCGATAGTTGGTTTGCGGCAATGATGGATAGCAAGGGAAGCGCGTCCGCCACTGGATCCGATTCGTTAGCTGAGCTACTCACAATAATAACAGTACTTACCCATCACGGTGATCCGCCGGCCTGTCTTTGCCGACATGCCTCGTAAATCCAATATCCAGGTCTGCACCAGCACAGAAGGTCTTCCCGGCGCCGGTTAGAACGATTACCTTGACGCGTTCATCGACATCAAATAGCGCGAAAAGCTTCTCGAAATCAAAGACCATCTCTCCAGTGAATGCATTCTGCTTATTCGGGCGGTTGAGTGTGACAACGACGATGGGGGTTACTGTTGGCGAGCCAGGTGGATTGTGCTTAACGATGACATGGCCGGACGTTGGAACCGTCTCATAAGAGGTCGGGAGGTCTAGAGGTTTTGGATCGAATATCATACTGGAAAGATAATCTGTTACAAGGGATGTAAATGTAAGCCAATTCTAAAGGAGGAAAGAGAAATGGATCGCTTATACCTTATCGGTTCTTCGACTTGTAGCCTCGGTCCGTTTGTGGGGAAGCTGTTTTGTGCGGGGTATAGATTGATTAGTATCAGTCTGACATAACAGCCGATATGAAAACATCAATCCAAACATAACCTCTCAGCTGAATCGCAGTGCTTTATATTACTGTAGGTGTACCTGGTAATTGTAATCTTAATAGACATTCCAGATCCTTTGAAGGATAGTTCTCAACCCCCACAGTCATGAAATCAACCCTGCAAAGTATATACCAACGGGATTATTATCGTCTGGTAAAGACAATTCGAGACCAGCCAGAAGCGACTCCAGAGAAGGCTGTAAGAAGAGCTTCAGCAAGGTATGGATTCACGGTTCTGAATCGAACATGAAGGAGGTATCTACACCCAGTCTGATCAGGTCAATCCTCCAACCTGAAGATGATACGGACCGATATCTACGTTTGCCTTGTCGTTGGTGCTTAGCTGGATTGTATAGTCCAGACTGGAAACCACAATATCAAAGTAAGTAATGCGAAGCTAATCATGTTCGCCGTTTTGTAAGGTCCATCGAACATTAGCAGCCGAACCACATGGACAATCCTACCAAACAACCTTTTTTTTTTGGAAGGCGACAGGGCAGATTGGCCACTCAAACTACTTAGCCACCCTTTTGTATCTATCAGCCGGAAATGCGAGCCCTCTGGCCATCTTCAAGATCCAAGAGGGCAATGATTTCCTCATGCGTTCCATGTGGGAACCAACCATGGTGCTGTGGCGGCAAGAATTTTGGGTCGATATGAAAGCAACTGCTGAGTGATGTTGAACCTGTAGCCAATTCTCAGTCTGTCACTATGAATATACATCAGTATGGTTAGAGATAGCGAAAGCTCAAAGGCAATCGATCCCGATCCGTCGTTCGGTTCATGACCTCATCGGGGACTCTTGGCGCGGAAAAGATTTCAGTGGACCCTGTGCGCACCGTCCACGGTAGGGAACATAGAAAACCGCCTCTTCTCTTGCCCGGACCACTCAGCAAGAGATAGAGACCTCTTATCTCTCTCTGTTGCAAATATCATTCCAAAAGACGATCCGAGTAACAATCACCAGGCGGAGCCAGAATCTGTTCTGCCATCTTCCCTCCCCCCCCCACTTCCCCTTAAGCTTCCCCTCGATCGCTGCACTCATATCACGTCGCCATGTCTGGTCGAAATATTTCGTATGGTCGCGGCGGAGCTGGTAGGTACCTCCAGACGTTGAAGTTGCAGGAAAGTTCTGGGAATGTGTCCTGACTTTCACTCTTTCATAGGCAACATCTCCCGCCAGCACAGCTCCACTATGCCGAAGGATCTCATCACCCCGACAATCAAGCAAGAAGTCTATACCACCGGTCGTGGAGGCTCAGGGAACATGGTTCAAAATGATCCCGAACGACCAGAGATTGCTCGCGAGAGCCAGGACGTGGAATCCCCGCCTTTACGAGCACAGCACTTCGCCCACCACACTGGCCGAGGTATGAAAATCCACACGCAAGCGCCAGGACACGAAGATATGGGCGAAGACTGATCTTTTCGTTTCTTAGGGGGTGTTGCCAATGCCTATATCCCGACGGCCGAAGAGGAGGAGCGAGCTCGTCTCCAGGAGGCTGAGCTGATGCGGGTGCGCACACATGACAAGGATCGCATTAAGGAGATCGGACACGAAAGACAGGAACTGCGGAATCAGGATCACTCGAACTAGTCCTGTGATGCGATAAATCGTCAGAGTGAGTCTTGAGTCCCTGAGTGATTTGCAGGAGATATGAAGAAAACACTAACCCAAATAGGGCGAATCTCTTATCTTTGTAATAATTTCTTGCTTTTTTTTTACGCCATTCCTATTTGCGGGGTCACACTGGATTTGAGGATTCGGAGTCTTGTGGGTTATTTACTATGCTTATTCTTAACATCGGGCGTAAGGGATAGATTCTCTACAATTAGGTTTCTATGCTAATTACAATTTCATTATGCATTATACATGTCACCCGGCCGTTGGCCTAGGTGAGTATATGTATGCATGGGACTAACGTCAGCCCGACCTTGAGGTTTTTCCCCGCGATCTTGATTTCAACTAGTAGCTCTATGGCAAAAGCGTCAAACTTTTGCCTCAGGCAAGAACCAGCCCATAGCATCTACTGGCCAACTGAGAAGGCCCCGCCATTCGGGATCAAGCTCGTCCACAGCCTCCTTCAGAATACGGATGCCCCAATCTCCCATCCACCATGTCTCCCGGAGATGATGTAGGATAACGGCGAAGTGAGCGAGAATCACTAGCGCAAAAGGCCTTCGTTCGCCCACGAGTTCTGGGAAGCGAACAGGGACTTGAAAGGTCCAACAAAGGGCGAAATCTTTAGGCTCACTTCCATTCATCAATTGCTCAAGAGAGGTGCCCAGATGATCAATTGTCGCTTCATATGTTTCTTTCTCATGGGTTGGGTCCAGCAATGCTTCACTCTCATTATGCCGTCGCAGGGCTAGAATGACCAATTGAGACATGTTCGGCATTCGGGGCCGTCTTTCTTCGGATTGGACTAATGCATGGAGCTCGCCATCTCCCACCCGGTGCATATTTAATATCATGGCACTAATGAGCCACCGAGTGAGCTGAAATACCTCCAGAAACTCATCTAGTATATCGGCCTGCTCGTCGTCGTCTTCTAGGCCGTCATCAGTTAGGCAATATGCAAAAGAGAACACTGTCATGACACTGCATAGGGCGAAGTGGGCATCGCACTGGGTGTCTGAGAGTTCCTGTGTCGTGTCGAGGTGAATGCCCATTAGAGCTTTGCTCTGATGCTCGCGCGCAGCGAGGAGATATCGCCATTTGCCGGCCAGGGTCGTGCATGTCCCAGACAGCTGCAGCGCCGATAATGCCAATAGCCCATGCCGAAGACAGGTGAACCGCAGTGATAAACGGGGGATAACGGTCTGCCAGAGGGTTTCTGTGGCACGATCTCGAGCCATGGAGCGATAGGTCGTTGTACACCAGTACATCATCAATTCGAGGTCCTGTAAACCCAACTTTTCCTCCATATCTTCTGACACAGTACTCGGCGATGCCTTCGTCGCAGTTTGTGTTGAGTGAGACGTGGCGATGGTCATAGTCGGGGAACTGGGGGAGGCTGAAGGTGTTGACGAGCCACTCGAGCCCATGTCCTGAGTTTTGGTATCCAGTCTACTCAGGCGAGGTAGACATGTCTGGTTGGCCATCTTTCGATCTAGGTACTGGGGACAGCTCGGGCTGGAGAACTTCATGTGGTAAATGTCAGCATAACCCCGTTTCTTTGCCAATGCAAGAGCTGTGGACATGGGGAGATTACGGGGCAAGCTGGTAAGCCTATTCAACATACCCTGCGTTCGCTTTTCACCCCCCGTCGAAGTCGTTTACTTGACGGCATTATCCGGAGTTGTAGATTTGTTGTTTTCTGTTTTCTGTTCTCTGTTCTCACTTGACTTAGTCTCCATGGGTCACACTGAGCTATATAGGAACTGAAATGCAAAATTAAAACCCCGGAAGAACCTGATCGAGGTCAGTGGGGCCGAGATTCTTTGATTGCTACCCTTTCCCCTGTGAAGTGGGAACGGGAGGATAGAACTGTTTACCTTGCATAAAAAAAAGAACACGAAAAAGTAACTGGAGGCAACATATCCCAATTTGGCAAATGCAGCTTCGCTACGTAGAGTGACATTATCTGCCCGAACTCCACACCTGTGATGAGCAAATTTCGATATTGCGATAAGCTGTGTTAGATTTCGCCCGAGTACAAGGGTGACCAAAAATAACTGATCAACATATCCAATTTCTAGGAAGTAAAGAATGAACTACTCCCTATTAGCTCTCTCAAGACCTAAAGGGGAGCCTTAAAGGCAACAAGTCTTGCCAAATCGAGACTAGACGCATAAGCTGGATCCACCTGCTTATATATGATTGGTTGAGTCTATCCACTAGTTGTGCCTTAATGATGCCTGAAAATGCGCTGAGCCATGCGTTTTCCCAAACGGGGCAAACGTAAGATGGTCAATGCACTTGGTTGTCAATTGATAGGCTGAGAGCATTTCAATACTTCCTCCACCAAGGAAGTTATTGCGTGGATCATTGTTGATCTATACACCGATTCTTCGAATGCATACGCAAGAACTGTGATGATCTATGCATATTATATTGCTCAACTGGTACATTTATCTGTACTCGGTTGGCAGCGTTTGCTCCACTTTGACAGGTTCTGCGTTCCAGGGTTGGAAAGAGTCAATTGCATTCTACCTTTATTCTCTAATATCAGTAGATCTTTCTTCCTGCCCAGTCGCGTGGCCAAGGCTTGGCTCCATTGAGCTTGCGTCATTGACGTGCGCGACGAGTCTATAGATATGACTTCTAAGAGAGCACGGGGTCTCAAAGACTTCCACTCCCAAAAATTTCTGAAGTAAGCATGACATGTACTGACCAGGTAACTTACATCCATCCACTCCTAGGCGAATATGGTATATGCATTGTAACCTTTGTTTTTCTTTTGGACATGATCTACGCTATTCGAGTCAAGCACCAGAATTCTCCATTTAGCGGATGAGTGATTGCCCGCCTGCTTATTTTTGGGGCAATGCATATCATCTTCGTCCAACAGGGTCCATGCTCCTGGTGATAATCAAGAATTCGGCCCCGGGGCCTTCATCTGACCCGTGCGTCCGTGTAGTCTTGCCGTATTGAGGTAAAAGCCGAACTATGAATGGCTCACCAAGCGGCACGCCTGAATATTCCCAATCGATTGGATTGTGCTCCTGCAGATCAAGATTCGCCGGGTGCGGGTAAGTGGCCCACGAACCGAAAGGATCAGCCCGAGATAATAAGCAATCACGGTATATACGGACAGTTTGCTCCGTAGTCAGATGCGCAATGACAGACCTGGTCTCTGGCGCAAATGGGTGAGTCATTGGTATCAATACTTACTTATGACCTTCAGTTGCTGAGAATGATCCTGCAGTTCTCAGATAGACTAGCTGCAGGAAGCTGCCCCACAAGCTGCCAAATCCAGACAAAGAACTGCTTCTCCCTATTGCGCGGAATCTGGCCCCCGGGTGATGGCGGATGGCCCAATCACTCCTAGTGATAGCCATGCATCATCCTACTGACGTACGATGATGGACTGGATCGGAATTCGCTTCGAATGCCGACTTGCTCAGCTCAGATCCATTAAAGGGCGGTATGACAGATTGATAGACTGAGATTATGCTCCATCGTTCGTGATAAACAAAAGTTGTTTAATGAATAACTCGGTGCTTTGAGGTCTAATGTGCTTCACAAGGCTGTTCTCTACTCGTGATTGAAGAACATTGGGGGCTATTCCTTTTGAAGTCCCAGAGAGTAAAGGTGGCATCTGGTACGATTCAAGAGCAGCTCAGATGCTAAGCCTGAATATGCTCGCCGCCAACTGGTGAGACATTATTGACAAACTTTCAGGTCCTGGTCTTTACACTTGAAACTGTCTTTCCCATCTCTGCATTATGCCAATATCACTCGTCCATCTTACGTGCATGAACATAACATGTTTTACGGGGAGATTACAATTTCCAAGCATGAATAGTAGAATCATTTTGATAAGAAACTTCGGAACCGGAAAATTAAGTACAAAGATATACCCAGGCGTGGGTACCTTGGTATATAACAGCCAAAATTGCCAAAGAAACGCAAAAAACAGCAGAAGACAACACATAGTACAGTACATTCAAAAGACAAACTCCAAGAAACTCTCAGTTAACTTATTTACCGCCCAGTCCCAAAGCATCCGTAAGTGAACCAAGCCCCAGACCACTGATCAGCTTATCCAATCCCAATCCTCCAAGGATGCCATTCAACAGTCCACCCAGGCCAAGACCATCCAGCAGACGACCAACCAGAGTCAAGACTCCGTTCAACAAAAGTCCAACGGCAGCAATGATCTGGAACAATGGCTCGGAAAGAAGGCCCCAGAGAGGGTTGAGCTTCTTCTTGGCATGAGGCATATCAGCAATGCGTCTCTTACCGTTGTCAATTGTCTTAACAACTGTCTCAGTGAGAGTCTTCAGGAGATCAGCCAGCTGATTCTCCTCGGGTGTAGCATCGCGCGAAGAGGCACGGGCCTTGGCAGTGGCAGCAATGCGACCATCAGGGTCAAGGGCACGAATGGCACCATTGCACTCTTGGAGGATCTGGCCTCCCTGCTCTAGTAGGGGCTTGATATCTTTGACCAGCTTCTCCTCGTCAAGTTCATCCTTAGGAGTGCGGTCGGCCTTTTCAACTTTCTATAGGGGAATTATTAGCAATAAACTTCATACGGAGTTGCTGGTGACATACCTCGGTGATCATGTCGCAAATAGGCTTGATCTGGTCAAGAGTTTGTCGAAGGATATGAATCATCTTCTCGGCCAGCTGACGGTCGTGCTCGGCCTTTTGTTGAGCTTCCAACTCTTCGGGCGATGGTCCTTCTTCCTCAACTTCTGGCTCCTCCTCAGGCTCCTCAGGCTCCGGCTCCGGGATATTCTCCAGGAGGGTGCATTCGCCGATCTTGTTGCCATCGTTATCAACAACATAGCCGTTGTCATCGATGGACTTGCCCACCAAGGTGGCCAGGTTTCCAGAAGTAAGCTTGCCGATGAGGTCGCCATCAGCATTGCGGACTTCACCCTCCTTGTTGACCTTACGGCCAGACATAGGATTAACATCTCGGGCCTTCTCCTCGGGCTCCCATCGCTCAGCCTTGCCGATGGTATTGCCGTTCTTGTCCACCACATCACCATCTTCGTCAACTTTGCGTCCAAGTAGGCGCTTGGCGTCGCCTTCAACAAGACGTCCGATGATGCGACCGCCGTCGACTACAACGCCGTCCTTTGCAACCTCAGCATTGTCAAATCCGAAGAACGGTCCCTCAGCCTTGTGCTGCTCAGCACCTGGGATTAACTCGGCGCGTCCAATAACCTCACCATTATCACCCCAGATCTGGCCTTTGCCATCGACCTTGCGACCGGCAAGACGCTTGTCGCCTTCGACGATGCGCCCGACAACAGCACCGGTGGCAGGATCAACGACATTACCCATCTTGTTGACAACCTTGCCCTCAAGCAAAGATAGGTCTGCCTCGGCGGGAGCCTCTTCTTCGGGAACCTCGTAAGGCTCAGCACGGCCCTTCACATTGCCATACTTGTCGGTGATCTCGCCATCCTCATCGACAGCACGGCCGCGGAGTTTCTTCGCGTCGCCCTCGATGAGCTTTCCGACAATCGAGCCCTCCTCGTCCTCAACGAATCCATCTTTGGTGACGACCAAGCCTTCCAAGCCGGCAAATGGACCTTCGGGCTTGTTCTCCAGCTCCTCCTCGGGAATGAGCTCAACACGACCGACGACCTTCTTACCGTCGTAGATCTCGCCGTCTTCGATTTTCTTGCCGGCAAGCTCCTTGGGGTTACCCTCCACCACACGGGCAATAGGGAAGCCTTCGGGTCCAATGACGTATCCGGCCTTGTTGCATTTCAGTCCGTTAAGAACGGAGAGATCAGAGGCAGGCTCCTCCTCTTCGGGCTCAGGTTCGGGCTCCTCCCATCGTTCAGCACGACCGATGACAGAGCCGTGACGATCGAGAACTTCACCATCCTCGTCGACACCACGACCGAGAAGCTTCTTCGCGTCACCTTCGACCAGCTTTCCGACGCGAGTCTGGTTCTCATCCTCGACCCAGCCGTCCTGGCCAATAACAAGGCCCTCGAGGCCAGCGAATGGACCCTCCTCGTCCTTGTCGTCTTCGACGGGCAGGGCCTTGACCTTTCCGATCACGTTGCCTCGGTTGTCCCAGAATTGACCCTCTTGGTCAAGGGTAGCGCCGAGTCGCGCAAGCTTCTTAGGGTCGCCTTCGATGACTTCACCAACGGGCTTGCCAGTGTCTGGGTCAATGACGAATCCGCGCTTGTTGCACTTCAGACCTTCCAGGGTGTCAAGTGCAGGAATGCGCTGGGTGGCTTCTTCGGCTTCTTCTGCTGCGTCATCTGCAGCGTCTTCGGCGTTTTCGGAAACGCCTTCAACGTTCTCTTGAGCTTCCTCGAGTTTCTCCTCGGCAGTGTCGTTCAAATCGTCGACAGCATCTTCAGCATCATCTTTGGCGTCGACAGCACCTTCCGCATCATCTTTGACGTCGTCGACATCAGGAACAGCGTCGTCAATGTCTGATTTGGCCTCATCGACTTCCGAAAGGTCGGCTTGGGGAGCTGCATCCGTAGCATCGTCGGCGACATCATTGACAGCATCTTCGGCCTCGCTGGCCTCGTCGGCCACGTCAGGCACGTCGGCCGCATTCTTCGTAGCCTCTTCGGCTTCGTCGGCGTGACTCTCCACAGCATCCGCTGCGTCATCAACAGAAAGGCCATCCTGGGCGTCCTCATACTCCTCATCGACCTCATCCTTGACGCCGTCGACATTTTCCGTGGCGTCGCCGACGGCCTCTTCGATGGCCTTCTGTTGCTCCTCAACGGGAACAAGCTCCACGCGACCGATCGCATCGCCGTCATCATCGACGATCTCACCGGAATCATTGAGAGTATATCCGATGAGGTCCTCCGGATCGCCTTCAACAATTTTGCCCAAGACTTGACCAGCAGAGTTCTTGATCACGCCGCCATCAGATACAGGTAGACCCTCCAGCTCGGCCAGGTCAGTGACAACATCCTGGACTTCACCGAGCTTGGACTCAGCATCCTCAGGAAATTCCCCAGGAACATTCTGGGCCTGCTCGGCAGCGTCGTGGAGAATATCCACACGGCCAATCAGGTCCCCATCTTCGTCGACGATCTCGCCATCATCACCGACAACTTGACCGACCAGATCTTCAGGGTCACCTTCCACCACTTCACCCAATGGGGTTCCATCCTGGCCCAGAATCTTTCCACCATCAGCGACGGAAAGACCCTTCAGAGCAGAGAGGTCGAGTGGGATAGCATTGGTGGCTTTCTGGACTCCATTCTGAACGGTATCCTTGGACTTCCCGGCCAGATCCTTGGCCTTGTCGGTCATACCAGAGGTGGCTCGACGTAATGGGGCAGCCGAACCCGAAGCCTGGGATACAGCATCATCGGGGGGAGAGATAGGACGACGCTGCTCCGAGGAAGGGATCTTCTTCTTCTTGGATTTCGGCGAGGGGGTCTCGGGGATAGATTGGATAGATTCTTCGTCGTCTTGGATAGGCTTGGGTGATTTGGGAGCGAGTTTACGGGAGGGTGTCTTCTTCATGGGCTTGGGTGATTCGGCGACACTTTGCTTGGAGGCGACACTCGAGCCGGAACCTTTGCGAAGTTTGGAGGGGGTTCCGGTCTTCGAACCGAGCTTTTGGGGTGCTTTGCTCACTGCAGGGGACGACATGATCGTTCAGGGTATTGGTAAAGTTCCAAGGCTGCGCAAGAGATATAACAGGAGATTGAAAATAGTTCAAAGTCGTAGCTCAACTTGACAATGTGAAGTGACGTCGTGAAAGTCGTATCAACAAGGTAGGTATAAAGTATACAGATTAGACCGTCAATTTCGGACTAATAAAGATTAAGAGAGTAGGTAATAAAGATCAGTAACTTTTCAAGTGACTTGAGACTGAAATGATTAATGAAATCTCAGGAACAGTGAACGATGATTAGGCAAACTATATACCTTACGACAACATCCCACACAAATGCAGGGAATAGCCTACTACGTCATGGCTGTTGATATCACCGCGAGACTTCTTCAATCCCTGTCAAATGTAGTAGATCGATCCAAACCTTCTCCGGGGGGTGCACGGTGCATGGTGGATAAGAAGCCACCAGAGCATTGATAGCATTGATTCTAGCATCATAGTGGGTCTAGCCGCTCAGAGTGGTCGATGGAAATGTGTCTCCAAGAGTGACGATCCCTGTGTCTGGCCACATCATTTACCAATCATCGTCTGTGAATGCAGGAAGTCGTTAAGGGAAGTGGAGTACAGTACAACATGACGTGGACCACAATGACACCAATCTGGGGGCTATCTCAGGACATCCCCGAAGTATATCCATGGATCGCTCGGGATATATTTTTCTTCTCAGACTGTACCTGTTTCCTTTGAATATGACGACTTGGAACAGATCATGTTCCAAGGTTGAATGCAAGGTACCTACAGTAGCATATGAGGGATAGGAGAGAAATCTTCCAATTAAAGTATAAAGCCGGTTATTGGCAGGTCGCGACCCATGGAAATAAATTGGCCACTCTATTTGGAGAAAGCCATGAACAAATGATGTGGAAGTACTGAAACAAATGTAATTTGCCCCCTAATGTCAACTCTGTGGCTGAAGACTTCAACCTTGGATTATCATTGTGATAAGCACGGGGTCATCATTACACCAAGCGCCTTCTAAAGACCACTGTTGTACAGTGTAACTGGAACTATGAAGCAATTCATCTATGCATTTGTTAAAATGATATTCAGTATTAAAATTTCTTGGTTTCAAAGATCCCCTACCAGACTCATCAGAAATGACAGGGGATGCTTCAATACAAACTTGGCAGTAAAGACGGTCAAACGCCACTGAAGAGCACGGGTCTCGGCCGGATGAGATCATGATCGATCGCTTCATCATTTTAATCTATTTGAGTGGAGACATCAGCCACACAAGTCATCATCCGCACCAGACTGATATCATCGACAGGGATTCAAGGCAGGAAAGGTTGTACAATGCAGAATTAAATTTCCACCAGAGAAACCCCATGACACTTTTATCTGATGGATTTGAATGAAAGTTGGTTCCTTTTATACCGGATCCGTTGACGCGTGGGAAGTGGATCAGGTAAAATCCCCGCTCGAATCAGAGTTTGGCTTAGCGTCAACGGTCAAAGGTACTCAAATGTCCTATACGGAGTAGTAGATCATGGGGATTTTATTCAGAAAATTCTGGGCCTTATACTCCGTAGCCTATGTGAATCTAACATATCTTATCAAGGGTCCATTTTAATATGCATATTTTACCACGCTATAACATGGGGTAAAAGTATAGCATAACCCACTAGCTTTGACATCAACTATATCAATCAATAAATACAAGAAATTTCTCCCAAAATACGGAAGCATTTCTGGGGTGATAGATGAAAGATTTCTATGAGGAATTTTAAATTCGATATTCCCTGTTGCGAGATATCAATGCTGACGGTCTCTATGGTCAACGCTTTTCACGGGCGGATCGCTCATACGGGCGGGTCGCTCACCCCCAGACACCATAGTAAATGCGATATTCACTAACCCTCATATCTCAATAACCACATTCTTACTCTATCCCAATACTCACCGATAGAAATTGATAATGATCATAGAAGCACATATCATTGAATATCACGATACAGAAAAGTATGTTGTGACACCGATCAGATATAGATTTTCACTCACCAAGTCATGCAAATTCTTGAAACTCCCTACAGAGACTACATGTCATATAGCAAAAAACAAAAAAAACTTCAAGGAAAGACTCCTATAGACCACTGTTGTTAAGATCATGAGTTGTATTTACCACATTTACTATGGTGTTTGAGGTGAGCGACCCGCCCATGAAATACATAGTTACCATCTGTTGGATAAATGCTGACTAAGGTTGCCTTGCTTCTCTCCTTATCAGCTTATCAGCGGCCTGTTATGGACGGAAATCATCGGCTAATTGAGGCCCGCGTTGGCCTCCGTGTCTTCCCCTCCAAAACACCCGACTTCTCGCATTCCTTAATGCCCTGATTCATCGTCTCCCCGATCTCGGACCGGAACGGTTGAATATGGATGCAAGGCCATCCCGTCCGGACCGGCCGTATCAGCGGACATACAAAGCATGTATACCTTGCCGACAACGCAAGGCTAAGTGCGACTTGGGTGCGGGCCCAGATGGCTTACCGATCGGCCCACCCTGCGCACGTTGTCGCCGAGAGATGAGAGAGTGTGTGTTCCCCGAGAAACGGGCCTGGGAAAGGTCCCGCAAACGTGGTAAGTGGAGTCGGAATACAGCCTAGTTATGGTATTGGTGACTAACTTGCTATGAAGCTCGATCCATCGAAACTGACGGCCAGGTTTCCCCACGCGCAGAGCAATATCTTTCCGATGTGACACCAGAGGCAACCAACGGAAGGTATTCTCTACCCCATCAATCGCCGACTCAGTATCCCGGCTCCAGTCCGTTTCAATCTGGCTGGGCACTTGACGGACACTCAGCATCTTTGCAGCATGATCTGAGTCCGAACATTAGCCCAAGACCGGACCCGGCTGCAACAATAAACCATTCAAATCATACTTCACCTCATCTTAATCATGATCGTCGGCACCGGTCTAATCCCAATTTAGCGAGTTCCATGATGCGGACGGTAGTGGCCAGTGGAAATGATGCCCTCAACATCCTATTCGAGGCAGCCACCCAACAAAGCCAAGAGGACAATGCTCTCCGTGAGCCCAGTCCGCCTGTGGGGGTCAGTTCAAAAAATGGCATTAATGCCAAGGAACGAAGTACTCCCCGGAATTTTGAAAGTCCCATACCATTCGAGCCTGTTCCCCGAACGCGCCCCGTACATCTGGCAGAAGTATCGCAAGATGCCCTTCACATTTGGGAAGCATGTCGTTTTGTCAGAATGGGTTGGTTTACTGCTCGAGAGGCAGTCACGTTCATGGATTTGTGAGTAACCGAACGTTTACCAATCCCTTGATCATTATCAGTGCTGACGAGATCTAGATTCTTCAAAAACATGTCTTGTTTATCCCCCATCCTAACCGACTTCTATTCCAACCACAAAAATCATTACCTCCTCATTACGCGCGAACCGGTCCTTTGCTGCACCATTCTCATGGTCTCTTCACGCTACCATATACTCCCTGGCGCCGGAGGCGAATCCAGGAACTTTTTCATTCACCACCGGCTTTGGCAGCATTGTCAGCAGCTTACAATGCGACTGATTTTTGGTCAAGAAAAATCAACCAAGTCCAAAATCCGGAGTCTTGGCACTGTGGAGGCCCTGATGTTAATGGCGGAGTGGCACCCTCGCTCACTGCACTTCCCGCCAGAAACCGACGGATGGGACGATGACTTGATCTCCATGGGTCCAAAGCCTTCAGAATCTGCCGATCCGAACAGTGGATCTGCAAGTAGATGGCTGGAAGACATGATTGAACCGTCGAGAAGGTCCGACCAGATGTCGTGGATGCTACTCGGATGCGCGCTCTCTCTTGCACATGAGCTGGGTATCTTTGAGACCGAGGATGACGATTCTGTTGAAGATGATCCGGAATGGAAAGCGCAAATAGCTCTCCGGCGGCAGAGAGTGCAGCGCTTGCTTTATGTATACATAAATCAGCTCGCATGGCGCATAGGATGCATGTCGCCAATCCCGCAGTCCCTCAACCATGCAGTTCTGGGCGGCCGAAAGCCTCGAGGGCTAAGCCAGCCTGGTAGCACATGGCTTGTCTTCATGGACTCGTGGATTGAGCTTACCAAGTTAGCGCAATCTGTCACTGACATGTTCTTCCCCTCTGCCAAATTTGCTCGCCAGCAGCTGCACAGTGGCCGATATATTGGACTTCTTGACCATTTTCGGCCTCTTCTCAACCAGTGGAAGGAGAATTATCTACAACCGGACGTTCTTGACAAGTCCTTCTACAACGATCTTTTCATTGAGTATCACTTTGTCCGTGTTTACACTCATTCAGTTGGTATGCAAGCCGTGGTAGAGCGTGCTCTGGCAGATGCCGACTCTAACTTCGATGACGCCCGCCCCATGACCATTGAACAAACCGACTACGAGTATATTCAAGAGGTTATTGATGGTTGCTGCCAGATCTTACGAAAAGTCGCACAACTTGCAGAAACTGGCGCATTGCGATTTTCACCTGTGCGCATCGTACTGCGTATCACCAGCGCCTCGATCTTCTTAATGAAAGCCCTCAGTCTAGGTACTCGTGAAGCAGTGCTACGAGAGTCACTGGAGGTGTTGGAGAAGAGCATCAGTGCGCTCAAGTCCAACGCGTTAGATGACGTTCATCTCAGTACTCGCTACGCCACACTCCTGGAAATGCACGTCTCTCGACTCCGTCGTAACCTTCTCGCATCCTCCAAGGCTGTTAAGAACAGTCGAGGAGTAACCCGTCGATCTTCAATGGGCCCTCCTCCTTGGACTGATGCCAGTGATCGTCCCAACCAAGCTAATCCAACTATACCCCAGGACTTGTCCTCTGATCTGGGATTCATTCCCTCTCTGAATGACATGACGGATGACTGGCTGTCCCTACCGTTTGATCCATCCATGGCGCCCTTCGGAATGACCAATGGTAGTCAATTTCCCATGTGCGAGGGCGGTGCCTTGGATTTCATTTGGAATCTACCGTCTTGATATGATTTTATGTATATAAAAACTGACTAATGACCCCTCATTCCCATTCATGTCTACAGCTATCATGAGATACCCGTTCAACACCTTCCCCAGATATCCGGGATTCATACTCGTCTCTTTCTTTTTACCCGTGAAACATGGTCGATATATATCTATTCAGGAGCCGAGGTGAAGCTTACCTTTGTAATGGGACATCTAGCACTCTTGAGCTTTTGCTAGATGACATTCGCTTTGGATTCAGGGGGACAGAAGACTATGCACTTGAAGAAGCTATAGGGAAGGGCCACTTGGAATCAGTAATAATTGCAAGAAAATTTTAATCATGCATTTTCAACTAAACTAGTGGACGCGATTACTGGTCATCATGGGTATCCATACGCCTGAATGCCTTGAGCACCTCCTTGTCCCATCGACTACGTGCAACCATGATCCATTGCACAATTCCAACACAGTATAGTGCAGCACATTGGCCAACCCAGAGGCCTTTTAGTCCCCAACCATGAAAAGCAAGGTAAATACCCAGTGGCAGAGCAAATATATAGTAGCTGATCACGTTCACAGCAGCGCCGATATGCTGTCGGCCCATACCACGCAAACTGCCACCACAACTTCCATTCAGGCCATCTGCAATTTGGAAAACAGCGACCAGTGGCATGATTTCTGACACCAGCTCCGCTACTCGTGGGTCTTTGTTGAAGATTTTGGCAAAGTGATTACGGCTGCCCATCAGTATGACTAGAACGACTGATCCCAGTATGATTGCAAGGAAGGCAGAAGTATGAGCCGTACGTGCCGCACTCTTCCCACTGCGGGCTCCGAGCAGATTGCCAATTCGAGATGAAGTTGCCACGCCGAGGCCAAAGGGTATTGTGTTCATCACGGAATCGGCAGTCATGATCACGCTCTGAGCTGCCAGTGCGATTGTACCCAGGCGTCCGGCGGCCAATGCCACAATCTCAAATGCCCACCACTCCGTTCCGATGTGCATGATGCCCAGGAATGATAGCCGCACGAAGGTCCAGATGTTGTCGAAGGCCGCCATTGACCATCCACCCCAGCACTCGGAGCCAGCGATGTATTTGCTGTAAAGTACTAGGAGTGCAACGGCTAGCCAGTAGGAGATGTCAGAGGCTAAAGGGGCACCAAGCAACCCGATCCCCAGTGTATAGCAGAAAAGATAGGTGATGGCGATATGGCATGGTAAGACGACCATCATAACATATGTCCCAGCTCTCATGATCTCTATTTATATGTTAACAGCATTCAATTTCCCAGCTCAAGGCTTCTTACCTTGGGCTTGTAAATACTTCTTCATGACTTCGAAGAAGATATATCCCAGCCCACCCGGAATAAACACAGTCAGATACCGCGAACTAAGGTAGGCAAGCTCCGGATCTTGACCAAGAGCCCTAAATAAAGGATTGGAACTTGCCCAGAGAATGGCAACAGGAATAAAGAAGCCGCTCAAAACCATGAGCGCCCGCAGAAGCAAGATTCCAAGATCGTGCTTGTTCCCGCCAGTGTATGCGGACGAACCAATCGTATCGAGGGCAGTTGTTCCTCCTAGAGCGATCATTCCTCCAGTGACGAGTGCAAACATCTGTGTAAAAGCGGCGACAGCCAAATTCATAGGCGATGATTGTCCTATAATAATCGTGGTTGTTGTTTGGATGCTCATTTGTAACGCATACCCTAATATCACTGGCAATGAGTCCTTCAACAGTCCCCAATATTCTGCGAAGAAACCTTTCTCCCGGGTATAAAAGAGTGTTTGCCCTTCTACTCGGCTCCATTTGGTAGTATCCGATGGTTGGTCTGGGAGGAGTGGGGTGTGCTCATCGGGCGGGGCATTTCCTATATCGGGCTCGGCACTGGCATGAGACATGTTAATCAATAGATCAACGGGAAACAGCGTGTCGACTATGAACGACAGTTTGATCGGTTTGAAAAAAGTACTCTGTACTCTGTATAGCGAAGATGGGTGATCACATCACCGAAGCTGAACGTGTCAAAATTTCAAATTCGTCCAAGATTGCGTGGTGATCGACAGTTTAAATCAAGTGGCTGATCCACGTACTTGCATACTAGAGGCTTTCCTACTTGAGTGTTAGACCTCACCTCCTACTATATTTCTTACTATATCTCCTACTCGGTATCCTATCCTGTATTCTACCTTCTTTCGTACCCATATGAATCAAATGGCCACAGGGCTCTCCAAATTCATAAATCAGGGAAAATCTGGTGGACTTTTTGAGTGTATGTCCAAAAAGTCTGCAGTGTACCCAAGTAATAGAGGGGTAGATTACTGAGAGAATTGTGAGCTGTCGAATTATCTTCTTCGCTTGAATATAATCAACTTCCTTGCCAGGTTCCACTGGATCTGCGGCTGAGATGCAGTAGAGGCACCAATCATCGTCCTGTTCTCTTTTCTGTTGGTCTCTTTGCATGATTACGAACCAGGTGATCACGATAGTGCATACCTACAGTGGCATACAGAGTAGCCTATAAGCTGCACATGTGGATGACAGAGCCATTCATTTAGAAACTAAACAATCCACTTCTCCGTTTTCCATATGGGTAAACGATGAGTGCCGAGATAAACAAACCAATTGTGATTCCAATCGCCACCTGAATCATGCCGAATCCCAGGGTAAATACCGATGTATTTTCAAGCCCTGCTCCAGGTTGGGAACTAGGGGAAGAATGCGAAGATACATTCTGTCGGATTGCATTCGCGGACTGAACGCCCGTAATCAATGACCCGGTCGCAGCCAGCCCAGAAGGCACAAGAATAAAGATCCCCGGCAAGATGGCCGTCGCGGCATGGCCGTGCCAGAGTCGGCTGTAAAGATTCCCCATCATGCCAATAGTAAAAGCGCCGACGGTATTCGCAACTTGCGAATTCGATCCGAGACGCTTGGTACTAAAATAGTTCGCTGTGTATCCTGACAGGGCGATGACTGCCATTGGTGGAAGTTGCTTCCATTTGCCTTGATTGATGATTAGAAGCCACACGATCATCACCGAGACGAAGGGAAAACGGGCGACATAGGGATTGGGAAATGCTCCAGTCTTGGGGCAAGTGAGATCCGATACTGCTTGGGTGTCCATGAGTCCGTAGATCGTAGTGCCGACAGTGATCCCGTAGCCGATGAACAAGGAGAAAATAATCGCATATACCATCCGAATCGAACCCGCAATGATCTGATGCGATTGTAATTCCAGACTACTGCATAAGACCAGAAACCCGGGTAGGATTAATGCAATTGAAGCTTGTGCTATCGCAGAAAAGCAGAAAAGATATTGTCGCTTTCCATCCACAGTTCTGATTGGGATACTTCCGAAGGCCCGAGCGAGGAAGGATGTTAATACGGTAGATGTCACTTCGAAGACATTTGAATAGAGGACTGATCGAGGGGCTGCGAGATGTTGCATGGCCCCGACCAATAACCCATTGATAAAGATGATCGGCATATCGATGGGTCGGGCATTGAATGCGAAAGGCCCGACGGTTGCGGTAGCTAGACCATATACTAATACAATGATGAACTTGTTATAGCGTGGCTCCTTTTGCATCACCTCATCCAGTTCTTGGACCGCTTCCTCGATCCCGATCACGTCATGGATGACATTCTTATATATAGAATGAGTATCTGAGAGACGTGTCAGGTCCACTCCCTGCCCAACCCGGACGAGCTTCATCTCTGTTGTTCGCGTTGATGGATCGTCAAATGACATGATCATACACCCAGGCAGATACAGAAACTGACTATCGATCTCAAGTACCTTGGAAGTCATTTGCATGTATTCTTCCAATCGGTGAGTTGGGGCCCCGAATAGCATCAATGCCCGACAGAGCTGCATGATATATCGTTGTCGACAGATGATCTCCGCGATGTGGATAGTAACTCGGATCTCATCTTCCAGTCTCGGGCCAGAACTAGGCTGTTTGCCGCGCCTTTTTGATGCTGCCGAGATCACTTCGCTTGATACCGGTGTGGTTGCCCCGCTCAGACTGTCTGATGATGCCCCGATCAAGGTGGACGTCGATGTATTGGGTGGCTTCTTGTACCATTTCGGTTTATCTTTTTTTGATCTTGGTCCCTCACTCGTCGAAGATGCAGTACTAGATGTAGAATTGACAGAAGACTGACTCTGGGTCCTGGACGTGCTTCCTTGTTGCTGTCCGCCATTATTGAGCTTCATCAGCTGTGACAACACACCCCCACCACCAGATCGGTATCGCAAGCCCGAGTCAAGGCTCGACTCATGTTCACCTCCGACGAATTCCGTCTGGTTCCCCGGGCCCTGTTTCCCTCGGGTTTTTCGCCGCTTGGCCGATTGATCTTGCGTCAGGTCGCGGACGAGTCGGTGGGCTTCGGAACTACTTGTCGCGTGATGCTGACGCTTTTCTTCATAAGTCTTGTGCTTGTCGTCTGTCACATCCGACATTGGAGGTTCGCTGCCGGTCGCCCAGTCTGCATGGTACATACCCGACCCAAGATCATCACCTCCATGTGTAGGCCGACCCAGTCGGTCGCCGAGGCGCGAAGCTCTTTGTTTGAGGTTGGATGTTACGGAACGAACGCGGTTTTTCGCCGTGCTAAAATTGAATGTAGCCGGGATGGTCTTTATATTCTGACTTGGTTCATGTGGTTCCTCCGGTGCTTTCTCATCCGGAGCTATGCCGTCGATCTGCCCTGGCGGTTCGCTTTGCCCCCCGCGTGGTGCATCAGCGATATCCTCAGAGTGATGGGCATATGGTGCTGTTGGTGGATGAGGTCGATCCTCAGCACGAGACTTTTCGTGGGGTGGTAGACGAGGCACGTTGTGAGAAAAGCTGGCAGATGATCGGAAATGTACTCGTGCTGCTGGTGGTTCCCCTTCTTGGGTTTTGTCATCTCCAGACTCCTTTTCAGTAAGACCCCCTGTTGCCTCGGGGCGATCAGTGTCGTCGTCACTATTGCCTTCAGTTGAAGAACCGCTACTGCTTCCCTTGGTAGACATAAGGAGATATTGATAGATGGTAGAATTAATTTGGAGAGATTCAAACAATTGGACCACTTGAGTTGAATGCAAATTCTGTCAGTGACCGTTTCACTGACATCAATGAGCTCATACGCCCCTGCCCGGTATATACTTCAGCTGCGCCAATCAGACGACAGTACCGTTCGAACCTTTTTTCCACCCGTCATGAGCCATGGAGTCTTGTCATGCGGAACATTTGTCCGCCGGTATCTGTATTTACTCAGCTCTTACTAAGTAGGTTGCGTAATGGCTATGTACATCCAATTATAATGCCGAGAGGCGAATGTCAAGTGGAGTTGACTTCAAATTAACAGATAACGCAAGGGACAAGGCTAGAAATCATGAAAAGAACGGGATATCATGAAAAAACCGCTTCACAGATATGCAACTCACAACAGTCAATAAAAAAAATCGGGTCAATGAATGGAAAAGAAACCAAGTCTATCTGGACCATGCCTTGGGCCTTTTTGCAAGATTTCCGTTAGGGAGGATATCACCATCACTGTCACTGCTATGCTGATCGTCACTAGAATCGGACACTTCGAAAATGTCACCTCTCGGGATAGATTTGGTAACTTTCGGCGGCTGTACTGGGGCCTGCTTCGCCCTGGCTGCCTGCTTTGCCTTTTGATCTGAAAGGAGGTCTTTCAAAGTCTTTCTCGGTGTCACTCGGGGAGTAGTTTTCTGCGACAATGAAAGCTGCTCAATTGAGTTGGCAACGGGAGCGTGAGCAACAGGAGTAACATGAGAAGCATATTTAGGAAGACTAGATGAGAGGTCAGTGACTGTCCTTATGGGTAAGAAGTGGCAGCATACCTAAAGCTGGCGTCCAGTTCACCTTCACTCTCTGATTCTTCTGAAGAGCTGTCTTGGACTAGCTGTGGTTGGACTTTGTTGGTCTCAGGGAGCTTCACGGGCGATGATGTCGGGACTTCGACGGCGACAGTCTCGTCCTGTTGTTCCGGCTTAGATTTAATGTCGTCTTCTTGGTCACTGCCCTCGTCGGTCGACTCTTCTTGCTCTTCTTCCTCTTCATCCTCTTCTTCTTCACTATCAACCGCAGCCTCATCATCCACTAATTGACTGACGGGATCGCCTGTGGCCAATTCCTCGTCTTCATCTTTGTCATCTTCGCCATCAACACCAGCCCCATTCACAGATGGCTTTTCTTCGTTGTGTGCTGCAGAATCCAGCGTGTCATCATTGTCACTGCCGTCGGCCTCACTATCGTCAATGGTATGCTCGGCCTTAGCCTCCCCATTCTTTACAGATGGATTGTCTGAGGGCTCGGCCTCCGCTTCCGACTCATCTGCGGACTCATCGTCTTCATCGTCCTCTTCATCCTCGGTCTCGGCCTCCCTGTTCTCCACAGATGGTTTGACTGAGGGTTCGGCTTCCGCTTCCGAATCATCTGCAGACTCCTCGTCTTCGTCCTCATCTTCATCTTCGTCCTCATCTTCATCTTCGTCCTCATCCTCGGCTTCAGCCTTTCCATTCTTCACAGATGGTTTGACTGGGGGCTCTTCTTCCGCCTCCGACTCGTCGGTCGACTCCTCTACCGATTCCGATTCCGATTCCGATTCCGATTCCGATATCGATTCATCGGTAGATTCTGCTGCGTTGTCCGGGGGTTGAAGCTTACCATTGGCTACAACTCGTTCCGCATCCACCATCTCTTCATCGCTGTCGATTTGTTCCTTTTCGGTATTACCGTTTCCATGGACTGCTCCCATGCCCTCAATGTCAGAATTTGAGATTTCGCAGATATCCACCGATTCCTCGATTTCGGGTGGTGACGACTTCACCGCAAGCTTCTCCTCGCGCTCCTGTAATTCAATGCGTAAAGCTTCAAGAGTTACTCTCTCCAATCCACTCTTCCTTCTCTTGCTCCTGCCATTGCCGTTGTTTCGACCCTTGAGGATATCGTAGATATCAGACATCTTCAGTAAGGTGGGACGTAATGATGCATGCGTTTTAGGATCCTGCAATAATTGCGCAACCAAATTCATCTCGCGCTCCTCGTTCTCACATCTCTTCTGTAACTCCTGAATCATTTCTAAATCGGCCGGATAGACCATTCCTGAAACCTGGCTACTAGGAGGAGCAGAGACTTGACTGCTTGGTATTATGGAAGACTGTGGCTCTTTACGGGCCCTCGGAGTATCCTCGTCGCCTGCAGGTTGGAAGGAAACACGGCGCTGACGATCTTGGGCGGCTCGTTTCGGAGGACTACTAGTGACACCGAGCCCTAGTCCTCTGCCGTTAGGCGGGGACACGTTCGATGGCCTCCGGTGGGGACTGGTCCACGAGGGGCCAAGATCCCGTCTCCGTGTCGAGCCAGGGCTTGTCGGGGCTTCCAGAGTTGATCGTCCAGTTTGGCCCTCCAGTCGAGGTTCCTTAGACGGTACATCGCTCTCGGGAGTTTGTTGCTTTCGTTTGCGAGAGAACGATTCGCTGGCGGCTTCGAAATCGAGATCGACCGAAGGGAGTCGCTCGGGGGCATGAGCGCAAGGCTTTTGAATCACACGAACGATGCCTCGCTGGTCGTGGCCATCTGCACGGGCTTTTCCGCGATCAACAAATACGTCCTGGACAGAGGTCTCCACTTCAATGTCAACTGCGGGCATCTTATCGTCGAGTAACTTCTTGATCACCAAGGGCCTGGCATTTACAATGATTAGCTGTTTTCTTTTGCTTCAATCAAACCTGGTTCCTACTCACGAGTTCGGGTGAATTGCTTCCCATTTCTGTTTTATTAGGCGGCCGAGATCGCCCATCGTAAGGTCCTCCGGCTTCTCCAGAGTTAATAAAAGCCCCGCGAAGGGTTTCTGCTTGTTTGTTTCCTCGGACTCCGGTCGTTTACCAGGCAAGATCGAGCGCAGAAACCCTGGAAGTTGCTCCGGGGGGTACACCCGGACTTCTAGGCGTAAAAAGACCATGGCGACGGGGACCGCGATTGCAAGGGCTGGAGGGGGATAAGACTAAACAGGCCTATTGAGCGGAAAAGAGATATAATAGGATCAGGTATCCATGCGGTTTGATAGACAATGAATGGGGCGCCCAGTGTCGTGTCCGTGGGGAAAAGAAAGGATCAAACGCGACAAAGGGAAAAGACTGGGGTTTCGTGATGGTTGCCTGAGGCCACAATGTGATGGATAGGACGAAATGAACAAGCCAATAAGAGAACCACATTTTCCCCATTATGCAGGTCTAAGATGAGAAAGATACGGGCAATGAAAACTTTATGTTGTATAATGACAAGTTTGTCCAGGTATATATACAGCTCCTGCAAACAGTACGTACAAGAAGCGCGGTTGCTCTGGGAAATATATATACAAACACTAGAATCGATTTGGTATGATTGATGGGTACAACCGAGTAATAATTTTATGCACTGCGATGTATTCACATGTAGGAAAAATATAAAGGATCCATTCAATGTTCAACATGTGACATGTTGCATACTTGCATGTAATCTATATCCAGTTATATGCGGTACATGATCTGACATCAAACACGATTACTCCGGCGGCTGAAAGTACCGCTGGAACCGATCGATCTTCGTCAATTGCAACTCGGCAATGACCCAATGACAGCTCATCAGGAGACTAGGGAAGCGCACCGTCCAGAAATTCAGATAACCTTCTGGTAGTCCACCAATGTGCGTCTTCAGATGTTCCGGCATGTCATTGTAGTGGTTACGCTTATTTCGGAGGGCACGCAGGAGATCTAGCATTCGGGAACCAGTGTACTTGCGCTGCTTACCCAAGCTGTCCTTGAAGTCGCGAGGGAGTAGGCGCAAGAAATCCATATCGGGTCCAAGAACTTGCGGGGCCACCGACTCCAAGCAGAGCAGCGCATCCGATGGGGGGTCGCGTGGCTCAAACTCGAAGTGATCCGATACGTCACACAAGAAGCTGAGTCGGTCGGAGGGAGGCCAGAAAAATGGGTGCATTAGAACGGCACTGGCATCAGGGCTATGGGAAAGGGATTGTCAGTATTAGGGGAGATAATCACAAGGTGTAGAGTGGAAGCATACCGATGGCGTGGATCAAGAGCAAGCATGGAACGAATCAGGTCATCTGCCTCAAAGGCATAATCACCCAAACGATCCAATTCTTGTAGATCAAATTGGCCTTTCACTATGTTGGCCTCCCGCATGAACTTGCCATTTTTATCGAACGGATGGCTGCCCCGTGTCAAAACATAATAAAACACGCATCCCAGGGAGAAAATATCAATAGCCCGGGTGGCGCGGCGATTGGTCTGGGGATCCACAACAGCGGGCTCAGAAGACTCCGTGTACTGGGACGCAAGACTAGAAGGACCAGTATCGTCATCAACAAGCAGTTCTGGAGCACGCCAGCCAGAGGTTCCAGCAGCGTGAGCAGTAGTGGCTCGGAATGAACTCTGGTTATCCTCCAATTTCTTGCACAGACCGAAATCTGAGATAAGGAGGCGAATGGCCCGGGACGCTGTCCGTCCACGGGGCATGGCTACCAGGATATTTTGAGGCTTCAAGTCACGATGAACAATCTTGAGCGAGTGTAGGTATCGAACTCCTTGCGTGATCTGACGAAGAACATCCGGCATGTCCAGGCCGCCTTGAACCAGCTCCGGGTACTGATTAGGACGCTCAATGACATCTTGGAGAGACGCCGGGCACAGCTCCAGACCAATGTACAAGAACCCAGTTGCCTGTTCACGACAGAAATAACGGATCACGTTATGATGGTCATCGCTCTCCTGTAGCAGGCCTACCTCGTGTGAGGCGATATCGTAAAACTCCATAAGCATGCGCTTTACGGCGACATTCCGTCCATCAAATGTACCGCGGTAGACCACAGTTCCATGGCTGCCGTGCCCAAGCACAACGTCTGTAAAAACTTCTAGTCGTCCAATGCGAACAACCCCATCACTTTGTACAACTTCAGTTGATATATTGCCAGTCATCCTAGCATCAAGTCGGGACTGCGACGCAGCCCGGTTCACCTGTTCAATTCCCTGGTCGGAGTGCTCTCCAACCTCACTCTCGGTGCCAGGCTTTTTCTTGCGGCGGTGACTTTTACCACCACGTGTACCACGAGATCGTTTCTTCTTTGCTGGCTTGTCAGGATCCTGGCTTCCCTCATCAAGCTCACCATCTTCGGTCTCACGGTCTGGTTCGCTGATCTTCACACGGGGTGTCTTATTCGGTGGTATGCTGAGATCCCGAGATGTTCGCGGCGTAGCATCCCCAGAGTCGATCAAATCAACGTCAACGGTGACATTGGGGACAGTTCGAGGGGTGGATGCGTGAGCCAGATCTGGTGCCGTGCCGAGGATCGGGGTCGTTGGCGTCGAGAGAGAAGATTTGTCGTTTGAGTTGATAATGTTCTTGATATCCAGCTTCTGCTTGGCGAGGTCCCGAATATGGTGCGAGTTGAAGTAAATAAATGTGCCAATGAAGAGCAGGATAAGGGTAACAACAATGTCAAGGGCATTATCCCAGCTCTTGCGAATAATGGCGCTGTTTCGCAGAGCAGGAGGAAGAGCTAGCTCTGATGGACTGCGTGCAACTTCCCGCGGCGTGTCATTGGAAATATCAGTCGTGGAGCTGCCAAGTCGGGGAATGGAAGGCCGGATCTGGGGACCATTCAATGAATGAACACCAGCGAGTGCGTCTCGTTGCTGATGCGGCGTCAAACTCATCAGAGACTGGCCCTGGCGGAAGAAGTCTTTGTCGTAGCACTGAGCCATGGGGGCACGACCAGTGACGAGAGGGTAGGTCTCCTCGGAGAGAGCATACCATCCTCCCGCGCTCGTCGAATCTATGAATACACGCATGTCTCGACCATCATCCAGGGTACCATAGTCAGGGTCCGGCGGCTGGAGAGGTTGAGAGAGAAGGACCAATGGAGTTGAAGCGTTGGGGGCATCTTTGTTAGTCGGCCGTATCACATCGAAAACACGGGCCACAGGCGATTGGAAGCGCTGTGTGTACCGAGGGCGGTCCATTCGAGAATGATCAAATCCCAATACAACACCATCGTGCATGCTGTAGACGTGACTCGAGTCCATTGTTCGGTAGTATTGACTCTGCAAATCTATATCGCGATTATTGGGTGCCCATTCGGAGTATTTCAATGTACAGATGGGATCACCCGTTTCCGTATTCTGGATAGCCACGGCGTACTCCACACGGCCAAGAACCAATGTACCGGAGGATGTTTCGCACTCATCGGGGTCCAGGTCTTCTCCGTCCACCTTGCGGCATTCTTGACCAGTTTGGAATGGCCCACGAGAGCTGAAAACCCGCAGAATGCTGCCAGTGCGGGCATCAATAGTATACAAGGTGGTTTCTTTCCGGGCAGTGTACGTGACTGCAGGTTCAAGACCTGAATAAGGGGTTTCATCGACCAATTGCTTGACAGTGAGGCCAAGCTTTTGTAATCCTGCCTCCGGGCCTGGACTGTAGATGTACAGGCTGCCATCCTGGCTAGGTTCCACAATCCAAAGGAAGTCGTCCTCTGGTTGTGTTTCGTCGAAACTTGTCGTCATGTTTGATCGGTGATAAATAGATTCGACAAGTGGACTGCTGGGAATTTCCAAAGCCCATTTCGGAGTTCCGGTCTTACGATCTCGTGCGTGAATGGTTCCGTCAACGGTCGCCAGCAGGACAAAGTCCTCAACTAGCAAAAGGTGTTAGCTATTGTAGTCAGATAGTCATTGGTCAGATACCCACCCTCATATCCCTCTAAGGACCGCGCTGAAAGCTGCGGAGTGGAAGGGGCTCGAACGGCACGGCCGGAGCCTGCTAGAGCCAGAGTGGTTGCAAGGGCGCTCTCATCAACGTTATGTTTCACGATAGGAGAAAATGTCTGTTTGGAGTATGAAGCCGCTCCACCAGCCACTATGGGCTTGGAGGCTCGAGAGGCGGAGTCATGGTTTGCAGCAGAAACCAGGACTGGGAGTATGAGAAGGGCGACGGTCGAACTAACGCCCGGTAACCGCCACCACATGGTGATCAGCACTGTGTTCGATCCAGTGTGAAAACCACGCGAAAGGTCGCGATGGTTTTACGTCGAGGCAGGAGGTCGGGGTTGATTTCGATGGACTGTGGAGCAAAGTCGAGAACTCGGGTAGCTGATCATCCCCCACCCACAGTTGGATTATGGACCGGAGATAAAAATCCGCTCGGCAAGAACAGTGGAAGTGGCTGTCACAATGTAATGACGTTGATGTTGGGAAGGGGAGAAATTCTATCGCTTGTGTTTTGGAAAGATGAAAGGGGGGAAGAGAGAGAAGTGGAAGAGAGAAGGCAGATGAATTGTGTGTAATAACACTGTACAATACACTGCCACCCCCCGCCGCCCCCTTTATTGCTAGTATTTATCGGTACGGATGTAATTAACCGGCCACGCCATCGAGACTACGCAAGTGTTTCAGGCCCCTTGAACTGTACTGAGTACTTGCTTTTGCTATGCACATGTGGGATATGTTTCATTGTTGTCACACAGCGTGTGATGCAGGTTAGCTCGATATCACACCGGGAAGGGAGTACAAATATATGAAAATTACTCTGTAACAAATCCTTTCAATCCCTCCGAGCCGCAGCGGGTTGATCGTTTCCGGGGAATTCGGTCTTCCCGTCCGTCCAATCTGTCAACCAATCACATTGAATCATTGAATTACTTTACGCATTATGTAAAGTCAGCTAGCCTTTTATGCTTGCCCTCCAACCTCTCTTATCTTAGTATACTCTAGTATTAACCTAGTCTCCTAATTAGTCTTCCACTTGGGCTTCTACCACATCTCCTACCTCTCTCCTACTCTATCATTTGAAGGCTCCACTTGACGCCCAGTTTAAATAAATTCTCGGCGATATGCTACACTATTTCTATCATTGCTGTCCAAGGGTGCTGTTGATTCTACCCGTGGCGGAAGGGGCTTATAGTTCACAAGGGACTACCTCGATCAATTGATGTATACCCGCATGCGCCTAATTGAAACTTCCATATCGGCGAGGGGAATCCACTGCCCAGGTAGAAGCTAGGAGGAGGGAAAAGAAAGTACGCTGTACATACAAAAGTAATGGCAACTTGGAGACATAGGTCAAAGGGTAAGTTGTAAAAACAGACGCGCGCACTGCGTGACATCAAAATAAGAGCAATACATGAAATTAACCATCCCCAATTATTTAACCGCCTCGGACCATCCAAGTGATAGCCACGACCCAACCAGTGACAAAGACAACTGTCAAGACTCCAGCACCGGCTCGATCTCCAGTATGAACCGTGTTTAATACAGGAACATCATTGTCGGAGCTGTTCGTACCGGCGCTAGGATTACTCACGGAAGTTCCACCGGTTTCGGATGTGTAGGGCGCTTTGTTTTTGAAGGGGACGAGGTTCGCATTGAGGACACCCAGCACAGCCATCTGCTGTTCAAGTCCAGAAGTACCGTCCCAGCTCTGCGTATACCATTTGGTTCCGCAATGTGAGCCATCACTGAGACCAGTACAAGATAGAGCGGCGGCGGCGGCTGAAGTCTTGAACTTCGGCATCACCAGGTCAGAGGTTCCGGGGACGATCAGGGTCATAAATGCAAGCCAGGAAGAGAAGTACGCCCTGAATGTGATCTGGTTCCGGTCGCACTTTTCAATTGGCTCACAAGTTATTTCGCTGAGAATGTTGCCATCAGCATTGTCAAAGGTTTTGCTTGTTGGGTAAAATTGATCAGATGTGTTTAACAGGCCATGGATGCCTTCTGACCACTTCTGAACTCCTTGCGTCTATAGATTGTCAGCAATTCATGATCCAATAGATCAAGGAAATGAAACACATACGTAGTTGTACATGTAAGCGGCACCGCTGATGTACGTTGCGTAGTTATACGACCACTGATAATCACCATGATCCGTACATTGGGATTCACAGCTCGTAGTGTCCGCAATGACCCAATTCTTCCTAAGCAATGGGGTGCCCGCACTCCAATCCCAGATACGCTCGGCCCAGGTGGCATATGTCGAATTGTCAGTGTACAGAGCCAAGCGCGCGGCCAGCTGAAAGAGTCCACCATTGGAGATGGCGTTTTTGGTGGTGTATCCGGGCTGGTAAGGCCAGATCTGCCAGCGCATGCCACCGTGACAGCTACTGGTATCCCACCTGGGCACCTGGGTGTTGAATACGCCCTGGGCTAACGCTACCCATGAGGGCTCACCACTGCGCTCTGGATAATTCAATTCCGCAGCAGTCATAGCCGCCAGACCCCAGAAGACTTGGTCATCGTTGCCTAGATATTGACTGTAATTGGCAGGGAAGAAATTGTCGTCGCCCTTCTGCCAGTACATGCCTTCCTGAACAAGACTGTTGAACTGGCTATCCCCGGTCAAAAACCAATACTGAATGAGTATCATGAACATGGATCCACCCTCCCACCAAGTGCCATCGAGCTTGCCGGGTATAGCTTTCGAATCGCGGTCGTTGTAGAAGTTGATCATGTCAATGGCGACGGTCTTGGCGGCGGTTTTGAGGGAGCCTGGAATGCGCAATGCTGTTAGTCCACGCGCCCATGATCTACAGTATATGAGGGGGAAAGGATTGGAATGCGGGCCACCGACTTTCATCCTCCACGTTGAGGGTAATAGCGAGAGCACGCTGGGCGGCTAAAGCACCACCTAATAAGGCAGGAAGCCATCTGGAAAAAATCATGTTGCATGAGCGAAGAGGTCAAGGCATCGAGGGAAGTGGTAAGGAAAGAAAAAAGTGGACGATCTGTGGAGTTAGGGGAGAGTGGAGAAGAGAAGGTTTGACAGGCCTGGTCAGGTCCCTACAGTCGGGGCCCACAGACAAAGCTATGTCCGGGGTTACTGGACCCTGAATGGACATCTGGATTATCTATGACGAACATAGTGGGTATTTGAAGGTCTCCAGCTGACTTTATGTCACTACTCCGTACCTCATGGTACCTAGAAATCAGGGGAAGCGAATTTGCCCAAATTAGCTTCCCCTGGCCAGAAACCGAGAGAAAGTAGCCTTGTCCTTGGCGCTGACCCCCCTCGCGGCGGATGTCTTAAGTAAGGGAAGCATGATCTCTCAAATTATGAAGTGTCTAGCTAATTGTGTAGTTTTAATAGTCACCTGCTGCTTATAGCTGTCACTTCCCCACTTATGCTAAAATGAAGGATCGCGGATGACCCCGGCTGACTAGACTCCCTTTGATGGGTGCTAAGACCTCCCAAAATAAATGCGTTTGGTTAACAATATCCTCAACTTGTGAGGCATGCCGGGGTGTTCCTGAGGAAACTGAAGTAGTCAGACGAGTAGAAGTTGGAAAGAATAAAGCGAAGAAACTAAGATTGACGAGGCGTTCAGGGTCTTAATGCACGGGCCACAGCAGGAAATGTGGGTCGATCTGAATCACGTGTTATACTACATCCTAATCTGGACTAGTCCAGTACATGCCCAGGTGGTATCGGTATTCTCGTGTTCATTTGTAAATGCGAATAATTAACAAAATTATGTAAAAATATGGCATGGCAGATCACGGGCCTAGATATATCGGAAGCTACTATTGGTATGTATAGGTATCATAGTTGATCTTTAACTGATAATTTGTGCTTTTTGATTTCTAGATACAAGTCATCACCCATGAGTCGTAACGTGACTTTACATGCGGTTTCGTTGTCTAGGCGCAGAGCGAATGATATTGTCGACTCGGAGAAGCAGCTGCACAGAATACATGTTAGTCCTGGTCATGACGGGAAAAGAGTATAGGGAGAATTTACCTCAGCAGCCTCAGAGGCCGATGACACCACAGCCTTCTTCAGCTTGTAGGCCTCTACTACACCAAGCTCGCGCATATCCGCAATACCACCGCCAGGGGTCAACAGATCCAGACCGGAGCTGGTCATGCCATTGTTGATCGCTTGACGCAGACGTGTGACCAGATCACTCGAATCAAGACCGGCGTTATCCGCCAGAATCGTGGGCAATTGCTTCAGTGCGTGGGAGAATGAGTCCACAGCAAGCTGCTTCTTGCCAGTGGTGTTCTGGGCCGCCTGCTCAACAGCCTTGGACATGACCATCTCGGCACAGCCACCACCAAGGGTGACACGGGGATCCTTAACCGTCTGGGACAGAACAGCCAGGGCATCGTGGAGAGAGCGCTCGGCTTCGTCCAGGAGCTGCTCGGTGGCACCGCGTAGAACAATGGTGCAGGCCTGGCCAGCAGCGACACCCGAGAATTTAATCAAAGTGTCCTCACCAATGATTACCTCCTCAATCAAGTCACAAGAACCCAGCTTGACCTGATCAGGGTGATCGAAGGTGGAGGCAATCTCACCACCAGTCACCAGCGCCAGGCGCTCAATACCATCGAAGTCGGCGTGCTCAATAGACATGATACCGGCCTCAGTGAACAACTGCTCGGGCCAGTTGTAGATCAGCTGTCGGTTGACGAAACAATTGATACCGTGGGACTTGATCCGCTCAACCTTGGCCCGCATCTTCTCCCGCTCAGCCTTCTCCAGATCGGCCAGCTTGCCAGTAGAGTCGACCTTGACGCGAGCTCCGAAAATCTTGACCTTGTCTGTGTCCATGGCGGTGTTGGCCACCAGAATCTTGGCATTCTCAAGTCGCTTGGGCTGGTTGACACCCATCTTCTTGTCCATGATGAAGCCCTCATCCAAGTACGAGTCGTTCAGCTTGCCGCCGGCCTTCTTGATAATTTGAATGTGGCTGAGGTCGGTAGACCCCTTAAGGCGCAGGACGGCCTCACAGGCCAGTCGGGCGAAGTGTTCACGGTCTTGTGAGAGAACCTTGGAGCTCAGGGTGGTACGGGCAATGGCGTGCAGGTCCTGACGGAAAGCCTCGGCGTCCTTGCTGCGGTCGATGGCAATACTCTCAAGAGCAGTCAGGGCGGCCTTGCTGGCTATCCGGTAGCCCTCAATAATGGTCTGGGGGTGGATCTTGGAGTTGACGAGCTTCTCTGCCTCCCGCAGCAGTTCCGCGGCTAGCACAGTGACAGATGTAGTACCGTCACCAACCTCATCGTCCTGAACCTTGGAAATGTTGACCAGCACCTTTGCGGCGGCGTTGTCGAGAGCGATCGATTTCAAGATGGTGGCACCGTCATTTGTCACAAGGATCTCTCCGGTTGATCTGGTATCCCGCAGGCTTTGTTAGCATCTTATCCCCACCCGCAATCATCCAGATGGTATTATTTGTGCTTCCCACATACGCAGACTGTAAAATCTTGTCCATTCCCTTGGGACCCAAGGTGCTCTTCACGAGGTCTCCGACCGCAATAGCACCAACGAAGGCCGACAGACGGGCGTTCTCGCCCTTCTCCTCGGTCACATCGTCGGCGAAGATCTGTGTGGGATTACCGAACGACGCCTAGGCAGAAGTTAGCGGGGCGGACGTTCTCCGACATATATTGAAAAATGGGTGTTTCTGGGTGAGGCGCACCATTATGATCTGTGTAGAATAAACAATTGACTCAACTGATCCAGACGACTGTTTGGAAGTTGAAAGCAATGAGTTCGTCAACAGTGGGGGGAAGGAAAGGAGAAAAGTTGGGTGGCCCGAGCTTCTGTCTTCTCCCACCGCCCGCTACGTTCTCCGGCTTTCTCTCCCTTAAGGCGTCTCAGAGTGTGCCTTTTATTTATTCTTTTCTTGTTGACACTTTACTTTTGGATCTGAAATGGCGGGCTCTGAAGAATCTGCTGCTCCTCCGGCCAAGCGTCCGCACTCCGCCATTGATGCCGACGATGGTGCGTACACGGCTCCTCCGAGCTCCCGCAAATTCCAGTTGGCGCAGTCTACTAATCGCGATGCACAGGCGACGATTCTTCCTCCGACGATGACTTTGGCCCTGCGCTACCCTCCGAGGTCGCGCCGAAGAAGAAGCGCCGCAAGCTCCCGTTCGAAAAGATCTACATCAAGGCGCTACCCGCGTCGCCTCGCTATTCCAAGTCCCTCATGCACAAGGAGCAATTGTCCTTCGTGAACGTCACCCCAGTGACCGACTTTGTTATCACCAGCTCTATCGATGGGGTAGTCAAGTTTTGGAAGAAGATGGCCGAAAGTATCGAGTTCGTCAAGGAGTTTCGCGCCCATCCAGGAGAGATCCACAGCACCAGTGTCAGTGCAGATGGTCGCAGCTTTGCGACAGTTGGAGCCGATAAGACGGTGAAGATCTTTGATGTCATCACATTTGGTGGGTAATCCATATGGTAAACCAAACCCCAGCCTCACTAACTCGCGTGGAACAGATCTACTTGCTATGTATACCCTAGAATTCGTGCCCCGTTGCGTTTGCTGGGTTCATCGCCGAGGAGCGTCCTTACCGCTACTGGCGGTGACAGATCAGTCCAGCAACACCATTCAAGTCTTTGACGGGCGAGGAGAGAACCCGGAGCCCTTGCACACGGTAAAGTCGGTCCATCGGAGCCCAGTAGTTTCATTGGCGTTCAACAATGCGTATGACTGTGTCATCTCTGCCGACGAGTCTGGAATGATTGAATACTGGAGAGCCGGGGATGGATCGTTTGAAAAGCCGGACAATGTGTTCGAACTCAAATCCTCGACGAATTTGTTCGCTTTCAAGAAAGCTAAATCGACCGCCACTGCCATTACCATCTCGCCTTCAGGCGAGCAGTTCGCCACGGTATCTTTCCCAGATCGCCAGGTACGCGTGTTTGAATTCGCAAAGGGCAAGTTGTATCGCACATATGACGAGTCAATAGCTACTCTTATGGAGATGCAACAGGCTGGGACAGCTCCGTACCAGCTGGATGAATTGGAATTTGGAAGGCGGTTAGGAGTCGAACGAGAGTTGGAGGGGGAGTCGATCCGTAACAAGGTTAATGTCTCGTTTGACGAGTCAGGTCACTTTTTGCTTTACGGATCTCTCTACGGAACCAAGTGCATCAACACCTATACAAATCGTGTGGTCCGTGTGTACGGCCGTGATGAGCCATTCCGTGCTCTGAATTTGGCCTTGTACCAGGGTCAGCCCCAACGCAAAGGTGTTGTAACCGTCTCCATGGCGGCCAGTAACAATCCATTGCTGCAGGAAGCGGAGGAGCGAGATGCTATTCTAATCAGCACAGGATTTGGCAAGGTGCGCTTCTACATGTTCACCAATGAGACCGACATATCCAAGTCATCCCGAGACGTGCAGAATGAGAAGCCCACGCAGGCTGCCGGTGGCGCCGATTCCGTTACCAAGGCGAGCGAAACCGGCACGGCCGCCGTTCTCCACACGACTATGGGTGATATTCACCTTCGTCTATTCCCCTCCGCTGCACCACGGACAGTGGAGAATTTTGTCACCCATGCCCGGCAAGGGTACTACAACAACACCATCTTCCACCGTGTTATCCGCAAGTTTATGATCCAAGGAGGTGATCCGCAAGGCGATGGTACCGGCGGAGAGTCCATCTGGGGCGGGGAGTTTGCAGATGAGTTCTCCACTTTACGACACGACAAACCATACACGCTGTCCATGGCCAATGCGGGACCGAACTCCAATGGTAGCCAGTTCTTCATCACGACTGAGAAGACTCCTTGGTTGGACAACAAGCACACCATCTTCGGCCGGGCTGTGCAGGGATTGGACGTGGTGCACAAGATTGAGAATGTCAAGACCTACAAGGAGAAGCCCGAGGTTGATGTGAAGATTGTCAGCATCAGCATTTCCTGATGACATGAAACTGTACATATGTAAATGAATAACGAGGATCAAAATTAGATTGCGGGCCAACCCATGCGCACGCTATGTGTTTGGCTGTTTAACTACTATAGAAGGATATCAAGTGGGAGACTTCGAAGGTAGAGTACTAGGTAAATAGTATACAGTGGCGTTCCAAAAGCTTGTCAATTAATCAAGACCGCCCCAAAGACCGCCTACTGTATTTAGCTTAGCCTCACTGTTTATAAATCTGGACTCCATACAAATATCTTTCAAGGTTATTCGTTTCAGAAAGCCATTCTGGACAGCTAATAGTGTTGATCGATATGCCACCCATGCATTGTTGAAAGCAGTCTCATCTTCTGCTTTATAGAAAATGGATGAAATTCGAAGGACCGAAATTAGATCGGGCAGAGAGATGGGCAGAAGTTATGTAATCCAATTGGGATGACAAACTATTGAAATGCTACTGTAGGAGGTATAGTAGAAGCATTGATTGTTCTAGCCTTCTAGGCGCTATTTGAAATACATAGGTACGCCATTGGAGAGTCTCTAGTATCCACTAACTGAACCGGGTAAGAGAGGTACCCCGAACATAGATTTCGAACAAATGAAAAAGTAAAAATATTGAAAAACAGATCCCAGCCACGCTTGGAATGAATGTGATAGATAGGCAAAGGTCGGTTCTTTTCACCCAACGCCGGTAAATGCAAGTGTGACGGGAAAGCAAGATGGTCTTTGGTTTATCCGAAGGGACCCCGAGTCCGTAGTGAGAGAGGAAAGAAATGAGGGGGAAAAGAGCGGTATTATGACGGTGGGAGTTGTCTAGTTTCCACATTTTGAAAGTTCACGGCGGCGGCAGGGCTTTGTTTCTGTAATCGACTATTCCCCGTGGAGGATCTAACCGACCTAGGCGGAGCGACATTGGTGCGGGAGCTGCTGGCGACCGAGTCCGGGGGTAAGCACGTCTGGGATGTCTGGGGTTGATTCGGCGCTAATATCCCTCCTCCATCTCCCCTCTCGACGTATACCTCGCGATTCCGTGAAGGTAAGGGCCCAGCTCCAGAAGCAGGTGACCCATACAGCTGGATTCCTCTTTTCGTATCACGACGTCGTCTGTACCAGACACCGACGACGGAGATCAGGCTGAAGGCGATTACCAGGACAATGACCTGCGAACTGGGATTAGCGTTTCCGGTTCAAGTCTGTATCCCGGTCCGGTTTTGAACGCACCATAACCACCCATCTATAGTGTGACTGCCACCTGTTTGAGGGTTAGTGTTTGCGCTTCGGGGTCATGACGAATGCGCGACATATTGCGCCAAAAAGTGAAAACCTACCAGGTTTGGGTCCCATCGGCCATGCTGGGGTTTGACTGTAAGGAAGGTGTAAAGTGGGAGCCAGGAAAGGCCGGGATCCGTGGCCAGAACGCGTGCTGGCGGGAGGGCAGATCGACGTAAGATCGATAAGCGAAAAGGGTTCGACCCAAATGAAACGATCGAATTAGAAATGCAGGGTCGGGCCCAGACGCAATGCCATAATCAGGCGCGCCTACAGGGGATTGGGGGAAAGGGCAAAAGGGAAAAAACCCGGAAGCTGCGGGAATCCGCGGGATTTGTTATCTTGTTTATTCTTAGGTCACTTCGGCTATTTCTCCCCTTCCCCCCCCCTTTTTATTGTTCGTCATTTGATTATTGAAGGATTTAGCGGGGTTCACGGGTACCTAGTCGGTAATTGGGGTTATCAATTGTTGAGCCTATCTGTTCTTTAGGTATAGGGTGCAGAACGAATTGGGTTTGAAGCTCTACCCCAAACACGAGGGGGTCCACTGGCCTGATCGGCGTCAGACCGTTGGCCCAGGACCAAGGGACAGTGCCGATCAGGTCCAGATCAAAACAATGGCAAACAGTACTGGTCTTTTTCTATTGTTCATACCAGCACGATCAGAGCCCTCAGTGCATCAGATTACGATCGCTTCACGATCCTCGATTTCCTTTCTAGATATGTAGTGGGGCCCAAGTGGAATGATCAGAAACCCGGTTTCTATGCTATGTAGCACGCAAGCACCAGTAGGATCGCAGGGATCAGCATCGATCTTCAGTGTTCGCTCGGGGTCTATTAGGCTCAAGTGCTGGCTAGAACGTAGCTTCCAACGGTATATAAACAAACATCCTTGATGAAATTAGCCAATCATCAAGTGGCCAATGTTCCAAGGTTGTCGGTCACATCAATACCTCTTTTCTTAGGCACACAATTACGGATCTTGAATGGCGGTGTACTCTGGCATTATATCTTTCTTGGGCTGGGTGCCTGAGGCTAGAATTTTGTCGTTGCATTATGTAAGCGATCCATGACTTCACGTATTTCACAAGCCAGTGGATCACCCAAAACACCATAGTAAACGTGATAAATTATCTCAACGACAGTGGTCTGTCGTAGGTACTCTTTCCTTGAAGCTTAGTCCTTTTCACATATATGATATCTCGTCCCTTTGTGGATTTTCAAGAATTTTCATGATTTGGTGAATAGAATATATATATGTCATCGGCTTGACAATGTGATTTTTGGTATCGTGATCATAGTAGGAATGGATTTTTTAAGAAATTGATACATGGCTGAATCTAATAATCCTTATCAATGTCTACTGAAATTGAGTATAAATGTGATTGTTGAGATAATTGAGTAGTAATACGGCATTTACTATGGTGTTTTGGATGATCCACTGGCTTGTGAAATACGTTAACTTAAAACTACCTTAAGTAGTTATTGTTTCCACGCATCAACGAGTACTCATGCATCATATGTCCACAACTTTTTAGGCTGCAAGTAGGCCCATTTAGAAGTTCTAAGAAATCTTGAGTCTGAGCTCTGCTATGTGAAAACCGAGGGTCTCTACTGACAATGATACACCGTGCCACTACTCTTCACCAGGCCTTGGCTTATGGGCCTTTTTTTTTCAACAGCAAGGTAGAAACCAGGTTGATAGCTAGATACCTGTAAACAAGGGGATGATGGATGTTATGAGGTCATTCTGTACTATTGATAGCTTCTTGTCCTACTGGGATTAAGAGGCACCTTGGCAACTTTTGAGCCATTCAATCCTACAGCAGTAACCATGGAAGGGGTGGCCAGAACTAGTCAACAAGGTGATCAACCCGCAGATCGTTACGTATTTCCATCAGATTCTATTTGGATTTATTTTAATTTGCGTACAGTACGGAGTAGGGCTGATCGATTCAAACAAGTTAGTTACGCGGTGGCGCGGATGACGTTATCCGATGTCAGCGACTGCCAGGATTGGGGCTGTTGTTCTCCACTATAACCATCAACACGTTAGAATTTAATCAAGTCCCCAGCTTGGATATCTATGTCGATCAATTCTGAATCTGCGGGGCACGTCATTTACTTCAAGGATTCTTCTTTGTCTCAGAAATGGCGTCACGGTGCGACAAACACAGTATATATACTTCGTCCGTCGACCACCAATTCCATTAACATCAATCATCAATCCAACGCAACTCTCAAACTTCAATCATCAATTTTTTCCAATAACAACACAACTATCAAGTGCTTCTGAATCATCATCTATCATCATGTCTGGAATCATCCACAAAGTCAAGGACACTATTGCCCAACACAAGGAAAACAAGGCAGAGCAGAAGGCTGAGAAGACCGATGAGCACCACACCGGCAATGACAGCACCAACTATGGTCCCCATGACAGCAACATCGCCAATGAAGCCGACCCTCGTGTTGATAGCGACCGATCCAAGATGACCGGGTCATCAGGAAACCACGGGCCCCACGATAGCAAGCTTGCCAACAAGACCGATCCCCGCGTCGACAGTGATCGGGATGGCCGTGCTGCCTACACCTCAACTGCCGCCCCAACTACTACTGGCGCTGCTTACGGCTCAACTGACAACTACGACACCTCCCGCTCTTCAAACTTTGGCCCTCACGATAGCAAGCTTGCCAACAAGGCCGATCCCCGCGTCGACAGTGATCTGGATGGTCGTGCTGCCTACACCTCAAATGCTGCCCCAACTGCTACTGGCGCTGCTTACGGCTCAACTAACAACTATGACTCCTCCCGCTCTTCGAACTATGGCCCCCACGATAGCAACGTCGGCAATGCAGTTGACCCCCGTGTTGATAGCGACCTAGACAGCCGAGGTGCTCGCAATGCCTCGACTGGTTACAGCGCAGCTGGACCCACCAGCGCCGGTACTGGCTATGGATCTACTGGCACCAACTATGGTACCGCCAACACCTACGACTCCTCCCGCTCCTCAAACTATGGTCCCCACGACAGCAAGATCGCTAACGAGGTCGACCCTCGTGTCGACAGTGACCGTGACGGACGTGCTGCTCATCACAGCACCTCCTCCGGCCACGGTGCTGGCTACGCTGCTACTGGTGCCGCTGTCGGTGCTGGCGCTGGCTACGTTGGCTCACAGCACCACTCTTCCACTCACTCCCCTTCCACCGGTCCAGCCACCTCAACTGCCGGTCCCCACTCAAGCAACCTAGAGAACAAGATGGATCCTCGCATTGACAGCGACACTCCTAACGACCGCTACTCCGCTTCCACTGGCCCGGCCTCGAAGACTGCTGGTCCCCATGAGAGCAACATTGCCAATGAGGCCGATCCTCGTGTTGACAGCGACCGCAGCAAGGCTGACTTTGTTGGTGGTAACTCCTCATTCAATAATGATGTCCACAAGGGTAGCCTTGGAGGCGGCAATATGATTCCCATTTCTGGACACAAGCCCGGGGCCTCGACTACTACTCAGACTTTCGAGAAGGCGCAGAATGAGAATCTTGGTGGTAGCTCTGTCGCTGGTAGCAGCTACACTGGTCAGCACACTGGCCAGCGGACTGCTGGTCCTCACAGCAGTGATGTCGCCAACAAGCTCGACCCTCGTGTCGACTCTGACCTTGATGGGTCCAAGACTCTTGGCTCTCAGCGTGTTTAATTATGATGTTTACGATGGTTACGCTAGTTAAGGTTAATGAATGAATGCTTTTTATTTTCAAATGGATGTGATATTTCCAAATATATAGACAAGGTGGTCATAGCGGATACTAGAGGCTTTCCGCTGCACATATCTACCATATTAGTTAAATAGCCAAAGAGCTATCTTAAAATTTTCTCCAAAAGCTTTGATAAGTAGACAATTTTTAAGAAGAAGTGATACAGGGAAGGAGAAGCAGGGGGACAGAAAGCTTGGGGGCGAGAGGTTTCTCACGTACTCAAATTTACTATGATGTAACGAAGTAATGGCAGGAAACTAAAGGCAGAAATAGAGGTGAGAAGTAAGAAATAAACATGAATATGAAGTCTATATTGATAAGAGTGAAAAGTAAATAATAAATGGGGGCATATGTGCAGTGAGTAGTATAAATACAGAGGTGAAAATGAAAGGGTAAAGAGAATAGAGAAACTCTGTGTAGTATGGAGACTTGGTATCATCTATGCAGCGGCCTTGCCTCTGGAAACCTTGGCCTTCGAGGTCCGAACTCGGAAGAGATAGTAAACCAGTACAGCGCAAACAACGTTGAAAACAAAGTAGCACCAGAAGATTCCGTAATCACGCCAGCGATCATCATAGTAGATCTCTCGGGCTGCGAGATATTCATCCGCAGATGTCATACTGCAGTACTCGCAATTGGCAGTAGCATTGGGGTTGTAGATGGCACCCGTGGAATCTTCAAGGTACTTCGCCATGTACTGATAGCATGTCTGGCCGGAAGGTGGGTCGAAGATATCGAGCTCATCCTTGCTGCATTCGACAGAGCGGCCATGGAGAGCTGTGCCACTGATACCAGCGATGTAGTAAGTGAATGGGGAGACGCGATACATGAAAATCCAGAAGCGGGGCAGGTCACTTGGAGGCTGCATGACTCCGTTGAAGATGAACGAGAGACCAAACATGAGGGTTGCCACCATGGCAGCAAGGGTAGGTTCGGGGATAGCGCAGACAACGAACTGGGCCATGCTGGCTGCGTAGATGAAAAATTGGCAAATGTAGAGAAGGACAATACCAGTCTGTTCCGAAGTTTGATTGGCGCCAAAGACAGCCCAGTAGAACGAGGCCCAGGAGCAGACACCCAAGCAGAATTGCCAAGGGACCTCGACGAGAATTTGAGAAATGATAAACACCTGCCATGAATAAGTTCTGGATGGCCGCTCACGGACCTCGTAGAGGGATCTTTGGGCGACCAGGTTAGGCATAATAGCGTTGGCGAGAGTGTTGAAGATAGTGCACAGAAGGAAGATACTAAAGAGTGCGTTCTGGAAACCTTGTTCGGAGTTGTCGGCGCCGTAGAAGGAGAATCCAATGAACAGGCCACTGACAATGCCAAGAACAAATTTAGAGTAGATATAGTCAGGTCGGCGGAAGTAGGCTTGAAAGCATCGGCCAAGAACTACCCAGAGCTGAGTCGTGATAGGCATGGCAAACTCAGCGGTATCATCATCATCGTCATCGTGGGAAGTATGCTCATCTCTGGCTCCCTTAGCAGAGTGGAGACGATCGACTTCTGCGATAACCTCTTCATGTTCTGGACTTTTCTTCCAAGCCTGAACCCAATCGACATCGGGACAACCGTCTCCGGCGACCATATCAAGAATATACTCAGCGGGGTTTTCGAGAGTCTCACAAGGCCGAGCCCCGTTGCGCTCAAAGTACTCGAGGAGTGTGGCGGATTCTTTTCCGACATCGCCAAAGTAAACTGTCCTGCCGCCCTTGGCAAGGAAAAGCAGACGGTCAAAAGTTTGGAACAATGTAGCACTGGGCTGATGGATTGTCGCCAACACAGCCTGGCCATGGTCTGCCAGTCGCCTTAAGAATTGACAAATTGTCCAGGAGCTCTGCGAGTCCAGACCACTGGTAGGTTCGTCAAGGAAGATCAGAAGAGTGGGCTTAGCTGCAAGCTCAACTCCAATGCTGAGAAGTTTACGCTGCTCAACATTGAGTCCTTCTCCCAGAGACCCAACGACCGCTTCTGCGAAATCCTCCATACCCAGGACCTTAAGAACCTCTTCCACGTATTCATACTTTTCCTTTTTCGGCACGGTACTTGGCTGACGGAGCATTGCACTGAACTGAAGGGCCTCTCGAACAGTTGTAGTGTCCATGTGGAGATCCTGCTGTTGGACGTAACCGGTTCTACGGGGAAAGTTAGCCGCCAGCGGCTTTCCATTGACAAAGACGTCACCAGTGACTACACCGATTGACACTCTCTGGGCGAGAACATCCAAGAGGGTAGTTTTTCCAGCTCCAGAAACTCCCATAAGTGCAGTCAATGTTCCCGGCTTGACCCAACCGTTCACGTCATCCAGCAAGCGTCGAGTGCCCTCCTTCACCGGAATGTCGTATTGCAGTGACTTCCAGGAGAGGATATCGGTCTGCTCGGGAAGGCGAATATCATTGGTATGTTGCACTTCGAGTTTCGTGAGATCGCTCGCTCCAGTCTCCGAGTCTTGACTATCTTGGATGTGCTGGGGAACATGACCAGGGCGGTATACGAGAGCTTCAGCCTTGGATGTGTCACGGGAGATGAATTCTGTGGCTGTCAAGTAAAGCCCATTGAAGAAGATCAGGAAAGCAATCAGGATGCCAAAGTTTCGCCACAAGTGGGAGTAATAGTACTCATAGTTGTCATTTATGAAGCTATCACCACTCACGTATGCCTGACCGGCCACTGAACCCACGGCCGAGCACACGAAGTTCTTACCGGTGCCGTAGCTTGGGATCAAAGAAGAGCATGCGTAGGTTTTGCCGTGGAATTCATTGGCAATGAGAGCCTCGAAAGTGTAGTAGATCGGGTTGATCCAACGAATCCAGGAGAACCAGGGGTGCATGTAAGGCTGCGGCAAAGTGAATCCCGTATAGACGACAATACAAAGAACCAAAACACCCGCCATGGCCATTGCCTGGCCGACCGACTTGGTAAGGGCTCCCAAACTGCGGAAGAGACCCGACATAGTCAAAACGGCGGTGACCAAGAAGAGGTAGAAGATGAAGAAATTGCCAGCCTCACGACGTAAATTCGCCATAAAGTAGAGAACAATGCTGAAAATGGAGATTCGTACGAGTTTGATCGGTAGATCGATGATAATGCTGGCGAGAGCTTCGGTGAACGGATGGACGAACGCATAACCCGCCTGCTTTTCAACAATTGAGCGCTGGCTATACAGTTGAAGAATTTCGTTGATAGTAAGCAAAGCATTCATGAGAACCGCAAAGTAGCACACGGCGCCCTTTTGGAAGAAATAGCCTGAAGTGTCGGGCGTGTTGTAGAAGACGGAGCCGATGATCAACGCCAGGATCAGCTGAACGATGACCGGGGAAAGTGCAGTGGGCAGATCGTTAAGAACTCGTTGGTAGGCACGACGAGTACAGAGTCGAATTTGCATTGGAATGGATAGCAGGTACGGGCTGCGAGTTCGGGTGTGGCGGGCTTGCTGTTCCACGTGGCTCATCTGGAATTGTTTTGCAGCGTCGCTATTGGGAGCATGCTCTGCTTCGTAGGTCTTGATCTGTTCGTGCAAAGCCTTGTACTCCGGACTTCTCTTCCAGAACTCGTGAAACTCCTTTGCGGTACGTGGCACCTTCGATTCCATGCCAGGACGGGTGACCCGCTCGTTGGGGTTGGTAATCGCTGTCAGATAATCTCCTGATACCTGGCGCTCCGGCCTCTGCCATCCTTGGTCCTCGAAATAGGATACGGCTCGGTCGCGAGGGCCATAATAGATCTGGTAACCTTCGTACAGAACAATCACCTTGTCGAAAAGGTCATACATCGATTGAGACGCTTGGTAGGCAGCAATGGCGTGACAGGAATTTCCCATGTCTGCTGCAAGACGCTGGGATTTGACAAACCTAAGAGCCGAAGCTGCGTCCAAACCGCGAGTGCTGTTGTCCCATGCTCCCAAGCGACAGCGGCTGAGGAACATCTCCGCAATGCTAACTCGCTTTCGCTCGCCTCCACTGACACCGCGCACGAATTCGCTGCCGACTTTGGTGTTGACGGTATGGCTAAGACCAAACACGGACATCACCACCTGGACAAGAGTCTCGCAAAACTCATCTCTGCTCAGTCCTTCCAGACGCTTATGGGGAGCCCGTGCCTGGGCGGCGAACGACAGGGTTTGGCCGACTGTCAGATGAGGGAAATGAAGTTCGACCTAGGCAGAGTTAGTCAATGTCGACTTTCAGACACATTGGAGTACATTGGAACTTACCTCTCTGTTATAAGCAACCTCGCCGCGGTGAAATTTGATCATGTCCTCAAATGAAATTCCCTCGTAGTGTATTGTGCTGTTTGGGTCCATGGTCAAGCCACCTAGGTGGCCAGTAATTGTCTTAAGAAAGGTAGTGCAACCGCTTCCTGGGCGACCCAGAACGAGCAATAGCTCGCCTGCCTGGAGCAATCCATCGAAGCTTTGTAAGATCCGGCGCGGTTTCGCATGGTGTCCGGTCAAGGCACGGGTGATAGAGCGGAAGGGGACCGCAAGAACCGACGTCAGGGTTTCTTGATATTGGATGGCGGCACCACTGCCGCTGATGGATAGATCCTTGAAGACCACACTCTGTTGAGGGGCTTCGATTCCCTCCTCATGCATCTGGTCCAGGACAGTTTGAGCCCATCTGTAATGATCGAATTCAGGGCTTGTTGGATCCAGTCGCGGGTCGTTTTTCTTGGCAGCTGAATGGGCGGAGACAGCTCTTCCTAGCCTACTCGAGGCAATGCGATTAAGCTCATTGAGTGTTTCATATTCCCTCTCCTCTTCCACGGTTGCTGTTCTGGTCGTGATGGGAGCGAACTCCACATCGGAGTCGTCTTTCTCCATGCTGGGCAGGTTGAACTAGTTTCAACCGACTATCAGGGAGGCGACGCATAATATATAAAGGGTGATCCTGTGGGGACGCCTTGAAATTTTGGGACTATCAACGGGCACGGAGCGAGATTGGCCGATATTTTTGTACAAAATCGGCAAAGAAGCCACCCGAGCCCCTCAGGCGGGATTCGGGTGACAAGTGGATCTAGTGCGTGGCTTCTTCATGGCCCTCGTGGCTGCCTTGCCTCATTTCAGCTTAGTCTCGATTCTGGCGATCCGGAGAATATCAGAGGCGAATGATCCGTGAGCGGCACAAGAAAAGTTCCAGAGTGTCGATTTCATCTGTGCACAGAAACTTCATTTTTCATTTTTTAATCGCCTGATCAAAGTGGGCGATCTCCATAAATCAGTGAAAAAAAGTCTAACTAACCCGCTTGATTGACTAATGGCAAATAGTCGGGGAAGCGGAGCACCGATATCCCGACGGAGTTAAGTGAGATAGCCCCGAGCGTTTCGTGTCGCGGAATACCCCCTATTGGCCATTTCACAGTGCTGATCGGATTTTGATATTTTCGGTATTGTCGGTCTATACTTTAAGCCTTTTGGCGATATCTCCGTAGGTGAACGACTCTGTTTCCATTTTAAATCCGACCATTTACCCGGATAGGTAGGCGGTACCCAAATTTATATATTAGATGGAAGATCGGTGGCTTGAAAATCAATGTAATTTGGTCAACAGAAAGGAGACTACGGGGTACCGGGATAGGATCCAGGCAACCTTCCAAGGTCAGAATATAATCAACTCCAGAACTTATCCCGTGAAATAGATATACCTATATAGAACTCATCCTATAAGGCACAAAGTTTCATTCACATAGAGCGTATCCTACCTGCATGATTGATTATAGCAGGGGCTCATTAGCTATAAGGTAGCGCAAGTCTCAAGTGCTTACTTCGCTAGTAAGAAGGAAATGAATCCATCAATTCAATACTCAAATCATGTGTGTCGCATAAAGATAAGCTAGGAGTTTACTGAATAGAGTTGAAAGAGATGACTAAACGTATTTACCTTGAGCATGCAATAACCGTGCCCACAAATGTGGTAATATTCATAAGAGTAAACAATGTGCATGTTTAATAACAGTGCCGTATAATTAACGATCGTTGAAGCCAAGATATTACTGTTGGATATTGAGGTCGTGCGCTCCAGCATTAAGAAGGTTTTCGCCTAACAAGAACCTCCTTCTCTTATACCTACAGAATATCGACATATATTGATGTTGCTTCTCGCCTTTTGTAGAATTCACCAGTATTAGCACCCGCTCATAAAGTGCAAGAATTAACTCTCGTAAAGTGTTAGCTTGTTCATAGTTTGAGTGGTCACAGTGGCGAACCGAATGTATCGTGGGGAGTGGTTAAGACGTATTTCAACTTGTAAGACACGCACGCGCTGGAGCAAACGGAGGGATTTACCTGATAACACACTCTGATAAGCTTCTAGCAACATTTTTCACAGATTCCCAATCATCGATGGCGATAGTATTTATAAGAGAGGTCCGTCTTTGGGCATCTTGTGAAGTGACATTGACGCAAGAAGTGTCCAAAAGAAGTTCCACAAGACTATACCGCAACTTCCCAGGCTGCCATCAATTTCTTGTACGTACTGGGAAGTCAAGGTACCTAGTACTGTGCACACCAGAGGGCGCGCGCACTAGTAACCTGCTGCTGATCGCTATTGATGAAATGTAAGTTCCAGAGATGAGTCATTGAAGCCGCGCGTCTTCCGCACTAAAGCGTTAGTCAACAACGCACATGATCCAATAGTCCACCTCCATAAGTAGTCTCGAGCCTATAGACCCTGGGAAATCAAAATACGTAGGAACCTGCTGCTGATCGCCATTGATGAAAAGTAGGTTGCCAAGATGAGTCATTCATAACAGCGTACTGCCTAATTAGACTAACTTCTATTTATACCGTAGATCTGGGAACTCTTTGGCTCCATACCTCTCAATTAGGAAGATTTCAAATATTGTGGAAGATGGACACGCATCACCAATGGAGCCTACCAGACCCTCAACTGCTTGAGTGGGCAAGGCAACTTCTGAGAAAGCTTGCAGGTGATGATTCTGAGCGGCCCCAACAAACCCTGCAGAAAGGCCCCAAGGCCGCAGCACTGGTTCTTGCCTTCCTCGATGATATTGCCTCTCCGGATAAACTTTTGAATGATTTGGTTCCCTACCTCTTTGACTGCCTATATTCTTCTCTCGAAAAAGACTTCGACGTTACGCTTGCATTATCCGATCTAGAATTTTTTGCTTCGTGGGAACGAAAACGAATGGAAACACTAAACGAGACTCTGCATCAATTTATTAAGACCTTTACTGGTGGAACCGCGCCGCTTTCTTATGCATCAGATCATGGACATATGGCAGCGGTCAAGTTGATTATCTCCACGGAGGGACTCAAGGGTAGCACTCAAACCTACGATGAGGATGACCCACAGCCACTGTCGTTGGCAGCACGGAATGGACATAAGGCGATAGTCAATATGTTGCTCGCCACTGAGGGTATTGACCCTGACCACCGCGAAGAAAGCTGGGATGGCCAGACACCACTGTTGTTGGCGTCACAAAATGGGCACGAAGCAATCGTCAAGCTTTTGCTTGCCACGCCGACTGTCGACCCAAACATTGAAGACTGGAGTTACCAGACACCACTGTTGCTAGCCTCACGCAATGGACATGATGCCGTGGTCAAACTATTACTTTCGCATGGCGTGGATCCAAACTTTCAGAATTATTGGGGGGAGACATCTCTTCAAGTGGCAGCAGAGCTTGGAAATGAAGCAGTCATCAAGCAGCTACTGGCTGCGGAGAACTGCCAGGCAGAGATTCAAAATTCTCGAGGTGAAACAGCCTTATCTGTGGCCGCAGAACTTGGTCATGCAGCTGTAGTCAAACTCCTTCTTGCCACAGATGGCGTCAATCCTAGTATTAAGGACTCGGGCGGACATACACCACTGTGGTGGGCGGCAAGAAATGGTCATTGTGCTGTCGTTCAACTGTTCTTGACTATTGGGGATGTCGATCCCGACATTAAAGGGACTGGTGGCTACACGCCCCTATCATGGGCAGCGCGAAATGGCCATCAGGACGTGGTTGAAACATTACTTGTAACAGATGGTGTTAGCCCTGATGCGAGGACCTCAGATGGACGCACACCGCTCTCCTTGGCAGCAGAGGCTGGAAATGAGGCAGTCGTCAAAGTCCTGCTCAACGCGCAAGGTGTCAATCCAAACTTCTCGGATTCAAAAGGACGCGCGCCGATATGGTGGGCTGCACAAAGTGGAAACGAAGCTGTAGTCAAAGCGCTGCTTGCAACGGAGAACACAAGCCCGGATACCAAGGATTTCGACGGGGAGACACCCTTGAACTGTGCGGCACGGAATAATAATATGGGAATAGTGCGACTACTTCTTGCTACAGACGGAGTTGATCCTGAATCTAAGGACACTCAGGGCCATACACCACTTTTATGGGCGGTGTATTACAGACATGAAGAGGTGGCCAAAGAATTGATTGCTATGCAAAGCGTTAATCCTGATTCTGCAAATTCTGACGGACAAACACCATTACTATATGCTGCAGAATATGGAAACGATGCTCTAGTTGAGCTGTTACTCTCCACAAATCGCGTGAACCCTGAGTCTTGGAATTCAAACGGAGAGACGCCGTTATGGTGGGCAGCGCGAAACGGGCACCTGGAAGTAGTCAAGCTACTACTTGCAGAAGGCGCTGATCCCGAATCTAAGAGTCATAGTGGGGAGACAACACTATTATGGGCGGCACGAAACGGCCACGAGGCAGTGTGCAGGCTACTTCTCGAAACAGGGATCGACCCTGAACCCCAGAGCCCTGGTAGGGAGACCTCGTTATGGTCAGCAGCACGAAACGGGCACGACGCGGTGGTTGAGCTACTTCTTGCGACTCAGAGGGTTGATCCTGACTTCAAGGACTCCAGGGGAGAGACGCCGCTCTGGTGGGAGGCTCGGAATGGGAATGAGACAATTGTCAATTTGCTGCTTTCAATGGGAGTCCATCCAGATTCCGAAAATTTAGATGGACAGACGCCACTATCTTGTGCAGCAGAATTCGGGCATGAGGCTGTAGTCAAGTTGCTTCTTGCCAATGGTGTCAACCCCAACTCTCGGAGTTCCAGTGGAGAGACGCCGCTTTCTTTAGCGACAGAAAACGGACATGAGTCCGTTGTACAGCTGCTGAGTGAGGCAAGAGCATGAATAATTCGCAGATCATAAATTTTGCTGGTATTTCCACCAACCTCTTACCTCTGCTGGAAACAATGACTTTTTTATCTTCACGTCCGAGTCTGTTCGTTATAGTCTTGTCTGTACTAAGGGTCTATAATCACCATCTCGCCCCCGTAATATAGCTAGGTCGACCAGGAAATTGAGTTACCTTTCTTTTGATCCAAAATTTGAAATTCATTCAGTGATGAGGGAAGTTTAAGACTTAGCAATTCGTTCTGGCGATATTTCAAGGTACTTCCCCCAAAATCGGCGGATCTTCCCGAGGTCCGCGCGTGGGTCTTAAATTAAACACTGTCCTTCAGATCCACAGCGTTGTCCATTGTCGAATCATAAAGCGGGCCGGCGTACAGTCCGGCAACTGTTCGATACTGGTCAGTGGCACAGACCTTCATCATGCCGGCTATGATATTTCAACAATGGTCAAGAGCCCACAATTCTGGGGCGGGGAAGAGCTGATTGAGATTGATCTAAATTTTAAAATTGTCCCACGAGATTACCCACTGGGCTAGCAGACCGATAGTGCCGGTAGGGACATAGGGACAGAGAAACAGAACAACGGACAGTCATTGGATAGTCAAGCTCGTTATCACGCCCCCAATATCGCGAAATCCGGCGCAAAAAATTTGTTCTACTTTGTCATATTTACGCCATGTTTGCCACTAGTGCGTGAGGGGAAAGTTGTCCGGTACTCGGGAGCATGTTATGAATCAATTCAGGGATTAAATAGATGGAATAGAATGGTCGAATAATACATGTATCCATAAAAACCATTTTGACAGGGCTGAATGAGGGGTTCTATAAACAATCAGAAGCCAAAGGCCAAGCTAGTTGTTTTGAATAACGTGTACAAGAGTCTTTATGCACCCACTGCGGAGGTCCGGCAATAGCTTGACAAGGATCAATAATACTCCTGCAGCTGTATTTACCATTCTGAAGCTCGGTTATCAGGCTACTCCAATCATATTAATGATAAAACATAAGTGATATCCGGACTCCGTCGGGTCTGGTGGCCCCTCAGCAGCTCAAAATGGGGCTCTTGTAAGCTTTTGCCGCGTAATCGATGTTCGGTCACAGGGTCAATGATCACATATAGTCCAAGGCTCCGCGTATATATCGACCATTCGATAAAATCAATACAAAGATCTGGGAAGAAATTCAACGATATGCCAAACGTTAATCACGATGGTTTCGAACATCGCCTGGCTCTCATTAAGGCGATTCTGCAGGAGTACGGTCTACAGGTACTTTTATGATCAAAGAACGAGCTAATGAGGGAGAGGAAAACAACTTACTAACATGACGAATTTTTAACTTCTAGTCCACCGAGATACATCCAATCGCGTATGAAGAAGACTGTCCATTCCAGTATAATAACTTCATTTATAAAATCAAGCTCTCGAAGCCAGCGACAGAAAGCTCTTTCTTGAGTGCACCGTCTTACACTGTCAAGCCTCCCTTGACAGGTGTATCTACATTAGTACTCCGTCTGAGCAATCCTCAGGCGATGGGTCTGAATCAGACTAATCGGGTACAAAATGAGGTTGCCGCTATGAAAATCGCACGCGATGGATTACGCACCTTTCGATCTGGCCTTGAAGTCCTTGTTCCCGCCATCTACGCGCGGAAGATACCTTCGTCAAGTGAAGATACTCCTGGCTTCGGTTGGATTATGATGGAGTATAAGAGCGGCGTGCCACTAGATGAATACTTTGTCGGCCTACCTACCACCATGAAAAAAGATATTCTCGAGCAGATTGCAGATACCATCGCCGGGATTGAGGGTTCCCAGCTTCCTTTGAAGGTAGATCAGTTTGGTGGATTGACGATAGGAAAGGAAGGTATCATCAGCGGAGAGATGACGACCATTCAAGGTGGACCATGGAAGACCTATGAAGCTTGGTGGCAGGATAGACTTAGAGATCAACTGAAAAGTGCAGATAAAAGTCCGGTCCTTGAGGGATGGCGCCCGGGGGGTAAGCTTCGCGATCGCATTGAGGATTTTATTGCCTATGAGATAAGTAGCATATTCACACAAGCGGGAGTAGATTCCAGCAAGCGAGTGCTTATACATGGGGATTTCAGTAAGTTTCTGTTCGATCTATTCTCGTCTGTCTGCTGTTAGTTAAGTTGTTGACTATTATCAGCAATGAACAATATGCTTGTTGACCCAGATACCAATCAACTTACAGCAGTGCTCGACTTTGACTTCTCTCACATCGGTCCTCCAGCTCATCTGTTCTTTACGGTACTGCAAAGCCTAGGAACCAGCGCCGATCCAACTGGTGGCAAGCTTACCGAGGTTCAGGGACTTGAGACACTGAACCAACTAGCGGAACTGGAACGTCTCATCTGTCCCTTCCGACTCGCTGTACCAATTTTTATAGAAAAGAAGACGAAAGAGGAACTAGCGCAAGCTAGACTTCTAGCAGAACAGGCCCTGGTCAATCAGTTAGGGCTCTGGGGTTATTGAATAGAGTTATCATTATCGCTAGTATTCTTCTGTTCCATTGGTAGTTACTATATCTATATCAAGCTTTCAATGGCACCTGGGGATGATGTTGGCTTTTTCTTCTAGGGTAATTGATTTTCCATTGATCTACATGCTTACAATGGAGCTGACGTGGTAGCCCTAAACTAATTTCCTACATTGTATTATAGTCGAGACGTGCAAGTCACTTGAAAATACAGTTTAGAATGAAAATTTTTATGTCATTTCACCACGCATCGTTTTTACAATCAAATTCCTGAATTATTTCAAGTCCTGAGATATTATCTCAAATCGAAGCTTCTAATTTCCAACGGAAATCAAATGACATGCAGAATGCGAAAGTGGTGACTTAATTTTCTAAATGGACTATTCCCTAGTATCTAAGTCATAACGGGGGGAAGGAGATGTCTTTGTCGAGGGAAGAAGTTGACCGGACTTGCATGTGACTAGCTGGCCTCCATTTCAGCTCGAGAATAGGGAACCATATACTTGTATAGCATTTAATTTGTGGGGTTGTTCATCCAAATGATCTAGTTTGATCCCTTTCATCCATCACCATGACTGATGATCCTACTTCCGGTCGTCCTGAGCTCCTTCAAGATGCCGAAATTCTCGCTCCGAGTAATCTTCGCTAGATTTGCAGACCGAGGAGAAGAGACACATCGCTGGTTCGGGATGGTTTGTTTCGATTACTTGGGGTGTGAAATTAGAGTGAAATTGCTAAATGCATGTAGTGGGCGTTGTTTTTGATGAGCACCTTAACAGCTGTTTTCGTCTACTCTCTGGATAATACAATTGTTGCCAAAATCGCTTCGGTAAGCACACCCCCTCTCTAAATCTCCATGTTATTATTCATGCCAGCCCCAGAAGAGAGGGAAAAATTACTGACGAGGCTCTTCCTGAATTTATGAGAAAATTGTCAACAAGTTTAAAGCGGTCGAAGATTTGCCATTGCTGTCGGTTGGGTATGTAGTTGATGAAAGTCATGGCAATTAGAGGGAAAGTCACCGGCTGACAAGGTCTCAAGGCAGAGGCAAATATTCGCCAATCAGGAAGTCTCAGCCCCATATTGAACACGACGTGCAGCAGCAGCGGCAACAGAAAGAATGCTATTGGCGGAAGCGCTCGTGTCCATGCGCCCGAAGCAAAGGTATACTATGATATTGGCCCTACTGTCGACAGCTGCTATCGGCCAGAGGAAGAAATGACTAGATCGTGGTAGCTAGGAAACTGTCAAATTTATATTCTGAGATGGATCGAGGAGAGAGAGAGAGAGAGATCTAGCTAAGACACGCAACACGCTGGAGTAAACGCATAGGGTCAGGTGATCCCACACTCACCATAGTATACGAGGAGGCTTTCAGCTAGGTACGTAAGTAGATATATCGTATAGGTCTCGAAATTGGTACTTAAAGAGAAGTGAGCTCTCATGAAAGGAGGGTCAGGCACCCAGGCACTCAGGCACCCAGGCACCAAGCCCCTTAGGCCTCTCGACTACGCCTTCACTCCCTCTGATCCATTCTTCACTCGCCTTTCTCACACATGGCACAACTACATACTACTAGTAGATCTCAAAATATTACTTCAATCTTTTACCATGGCCTGTCAAACTTTTGTTAGGGAAGTATGAATGAGATTCTTCGGCCTCAGGCACCTCCAGCCCGATCCGGAGCTTAAGTCCGCGTCAGCAGATCCATCATCTCGACCTAAGCCCTCCACTCATACCAATCCGTTCTTAGCTAGACCCTCCCCGCCTTCTCGCTTACACATATTAGTCTTGGCCCCAACGCCTCATCCTCGTGGACGACAAAAGCTCTCATTTATCACCATGCATCCCCCATAGTCGTGATCCTAAGTATGGCAAACTCTACGACTCGGGCCAAAGGCCAAGGTATTCTGCAGTTAGTATCTAACCATGGAGATCAATATCAGCATCGAATTCATGAAGCATGAAACCCTGACACTCGAATAGGGGAGGAAACCCCTCACAGTATGACTCTTCCAACCCCATCGTGATGTTTATCATTCAGGTATTCAATCTACATTTTCTATATCCCCCTCTGTTTACGTAAATATGAAAGGCGAAGCTAAATATCCGCTAGGCGGGCATTATTATCATTTTGTGCCGCCTGGTTCACTGGCCGCTATCCAAGATCCGTCAGCCCAAGGTCATTGCAGAGGTCATAAGTGGGATTATACTGGGTCCGTCAGTGATGGGCCATATCCCCGGGTTCACCGATACCATCTTCCCTACCGCCAGCCTGCCTAGTCTGAGCGTCGTGGCGAACCTCGGGCTTATTCTCTTTTTGTTTTTGGTGGGGCTGGAGACGGACCTGCGTTTTCTCATCAGTAACTGGCGGGTCGCGTTGAGCGTCTCTGCGGCAGGAATGATTCTTCCATTTGGACTCGGCTGCGCGATCTCCTATGGGCTTTACAACCAGTTCCACGATGATGCTGGGACGGTCCCCGTGAAGTTTGGCACTTTCATGCTCTTCATCGGTATTGCCATGGCCATCACGGCGTTCCCTGTCCTATGTCGCATTTTGACAGACTTGAAGCTCCTTGGCACTCGGGTTGGTATCATTGTGCTGTCAGCTGGTGTGGGGAATGATGTAGTTGGCTGGATCCTCCTTGCCCTTTGTGTGGCCCTGGTCAATGCGGGAAGTGGAATCACAGCGCTCTATGTTCTTCTCGTAGCGGCGGGATACGTGCTGTTCTTGACCTTCGTGTTCCGACCGTTTTTCATACGCTTCCTTGAACGAACCGGAAGTCTGCAGAAAGGCCCTAGTCAATCCGTCGTGATGTTGACTTTGCTGATTGCGTTGGCGTCGGCGTTCTTCACTCAAGTGATTGGAATCCATGCAATCTTTGGGGGCTTTCTCATTGGCTTAATCTGTCCTCATGAAGGGGGTTTTGCTATTAAACTGACCGAAAAGATTGAGGACTTGGTGGCCGCACTGTTCTTACCATTGTACTTTACATTATCCGGTCTCAGCACCAATTTGGGCTTGTTGGATAACGGGACTGTCTGGGGTTATGTGGTTGGCATTATTGCCATTGCCTTCACGGCCAAGGTCGCTGGTGGTGCGATCGCTTCTCGCTTCTGTGGGATGCTATGGCGTGAAAGCTTTGCCATTGGTGTTTTGATGAGTTGTAAGGGGCTGGTAGAGCTGATTGTGTTGGTAGGTCCTCGTTCTACTGTTGAATTTCCTAGAAGCAGAGGCTGACGCTTGAAATCTAGAATATTGGCCTCCAAGCCAAAATCTTGAGCACACGCACATTCACCATGTTTGTTGTCATGGCACTTGTCACCACGTTTATGACCACCCCTTTAACTGTTTCCCTCTATCCAAATTGGTATCAGGTCAAGGTTGCCCGTTGGCGACGGGGAGAAATCAACTGGAATGACGAGCCTTTGCAGCAAGACGGTCGTTCAGACAGTATTTCTGCTGTCAAAGAACAGGTCAAGACTGTACCGGTGCGGAAGCTTCTGGTCTATCTTCGCCTTGATGGTCTTTCTGGGATTTGCACATTGGCTGCTCTCATGAGCCCCAACCGTGGAGCTTTGCCCATGCCTCGGGTGCACCCAACAAAGACACCCAAACAAACAGATCAGACCGTGGAGGATGCAGTTGCGCCAGGAGATGATGAAACGACAGCTCTTCGAGTGCATGGCGTTCGTCTGATGGAGCTGACAGATCGTGACTCCAGTGTGATGAAGGTTTCGGCTGGAGAACATGCACTATGGGACCCCGTTGTCAATACCTTCCGCGCATTTGGCGAGTGGCACGATATTTCTCTTATGGCCGGTGTATCGGTAGTCCCCGAGTACAGTTACGCCGATACTGTGGTGAACATGGCCCACCAAGACACATCAGACCTCCTTCTCTTGCCATGGAGTGAAACTGGAACACTAGCCGATCGCCAAAATGGTCTTGAGGTCAATACAGCCGGTCGCTTCGCCAATTCCGAGTATGCAAGCTTCGTGTCGGATATCCTAGACCGAGTCACTGGCCATGTAGGCATCTTGATCGATCACAACCCGGAAATCTCCAAGCGATCCACAACCCAGCGCTCACCTAGTGGACTAACCATCCAAGGCACCACATGGACTCAACCATCGACGGGAAGTCGTTCTCACCACGTTGTGCTCCCCTTCTTTGGTGGCGAGGATGACCGGTTCGCTCTACGATTTGTCCTCCAATTGGCTCAGAATGATCACGTCACAGTCACTGTTATCCAGGCGGTGGGCTCACAACCAGACACATCCAGAGCCACAAGATCGAGTACCCCGACAGATCTTATTTTCTTCGAGACGCTTCGTGATTCCATTCCATCAAATCTCCAAGAACGCGTGGTTTTTCAGACACCGATGGTGCAGGGCACCATCAGTGACCCGGCCCAGTTCGCCCTTACTGCTGTTCGGGCTGAGTTAGAGCGAATTTCTCATAGACCTGGTAGTATTGTCGTTGTCGGGCGCCGTAGTAACGCTTTAGAAGCAGATATTGACATCGACCCGGAGGAAAGTGTTGGTACCCGCAGTCGTTACGCGCTGGGAAGATTTGGGTCCGTGATGGTGCAGCTGGAGAACAAGGTGGTTGGCAGTGTATTGATCCTGCAAGCTGGTACTAATACTCTGCTCGACAGTCATTAATCGTTGGAATTAGGATCTATTTGAATTTGCTCTGGTTTACGTTGGACCTCAATATGATACTCATAATTGCAAGACCTTTTTGGGTAGGAAGTGAATCACCATAAGATATTGACAAATAGAAGGAGTTGGCAGGGCACTAGATCAGACAACATTTGAAATATCGAGTTCTTTAGATCCCCAACAACACGCTGCTCGCGTTTTAAGGACAGAAAGCACGGAATGAGTTCAACGGCAAAATACCAGGCGATAGCGGCAAAGGCAGCACATATTCCAGTGAGGACATCATCTCCATCCACGTGCTTGTGTGTCAGCGAATTCACAAAATCAGAGGCAGTATTAGGCGACATGGGGTGAATTGTCCTAAAGGGTGAACATCGCTCCATCAGTATTAGAAAGGGATAAAATTCGAAAGGAATGTCCTAACTCCTGACTCCTTATGCGGGGAAGATGGAGGAATGGGGAAGGGATGTGGGCCTATGGATCATTTCCTGGTTAGAAGAATATTGAGTAACTTGGATGATTGACGCGACTATTGAGCTCTTGAATCAAGGTTTTTGCGATCAAAGGGGAAAGAGAACAAGATTTGCAAGTGGATGAGAACATTGGAGAAACGTTTACTAAACCTTGGAACTTATATCTTCCATATACATGTACATTACAAGTAACTGCTCAAGTGCTAGTAGTCTACTTTCCTGACGGATTACAGAGCCTTAGGAATTCCACTTTACTAGTGGGTATAGCTGGGATCGTGCACTGTAGATCACATAATTGGACCTATTGACTAGTGATATGCAGGGATGTCAAAGCTTTTTTTATATAATACATGTATGAAGTTGATTGGTCTTTGGTGAGACCAGGAATGCGAAAATAAGGGAAAGAACAGTCTACAGTACTTATACTGTTCGTAGAATACATACATACATATATATGTACGGAAATGTTACTCCTTCCCTGTAAGTTTATTACCCTCACGAGTATACATAACTAATTGACGACAATTTCGCTCTACTTCCCGATCTTCTGTGATAGAATGCGCCTCAAATTCCTTCTTCATTTTGTTGAACTAAATAAGGGAAACCTGGTCCAGTGACGTCATGATAAATGTCGATCGATCGATCGATGTATGATTTCCCAGATCTTACAGTACAACAGGCCAGCAACGCGTAGATTACACCGCTAGTGATGCGACGGACATTCACCCTCCCCATCCGACCGTACATTTCCACTCGATTCTTCAATCCCATTGCTATGGCGCCCCGAAAGCGAAAAGCGACCAAAAGCGAGAGTCCTGACATAGACACGAAACAGGATGCCGGTCTGACACACGCGCACAAGAAAGAGCGATTGACCGACCTGCGATCTCCACACCACAATGCCAAACAAACCGAAGACTTTGGTATCGTTCTACGCGACTTTTACCCCCCAGAAATGGCAAATGAGCGGTGCCAGGCCTACAATGATGGGACCCTTGAACGACCGATCGAGACTCTGGAGAAGGCATGTCGCGATACCGCTGAGCACCGACGCTCCACGGAAGCAGGCCAAGCGGTGGTGCACTGGTTCAAGAGCGATCTGCGTCTACATGACAATCGGGCCCTTAGGATGGCCTTTGAATTGGCCAAGGAGAACCAGGTGCCCCTAATCTGCCTCTATATTCAGTCCCCCGAAGATTTGACTGCTCATATCGCTAGTCCAGCTCGAGTGGACTTTACTCTACGCAGTTTGCAACGGCTCCAGCAGGACCTCGCCGAATTGGATATTCCCCTCTACATGGAGAGTGTAGAGAAGCGGAAAGCTATCCCGAGCCGCATTGTAGAGCTATGCCAACAGTGGCAGGCCAGACATCTTTGCGCCAATATTGAGTATGAAGTGGATGAGCTGCGCCGAGATGCGAAGATTGTGCGCCTGTGTGCTGATAATGATATTGATTTCTCTCCCTCGCACGACACCTGTGTTGTCACACCCGGTGCCCTGAGCAGCGGGCAAGGCAGGCAATATGCGGTGTACACGCCCTGGTTTCGCTCATGGTTGAGGTTCCTTAAAGAGAATCCAGATTATCTGGAGGTGTCGGAGGAACCTGGATCCAACCCGGGCGATGTGCGGAGCAAGTTCTCTGATCTCTTCGACTGCAAGCTACCCAGCGCGCCTGAGAATAAAAAGCTGTCTGACAAGGAGCGGAAACGCTTCGAAGAACTCTACCCGGTGGGTGAGCACGAAGCTCTCCAACGATTGGAGAAATTCTTGGAAGAAAAAGGTCGCAAATATGAGGAGATGCGCAGCATGCTATCTGGGCAGCACACATCCATCCTTAGCCCGTACTTCGCCTGCGGCGCTCTCAGTGCTCGCACTGCAGTAGCAGCAGCCAAACGAGCAAATAAGAATCATCTCGACCGATATGACGCGGGCTATATGACTTGGATCAGTGAGGTTGCCTGGCGTGACTTTTACAAGCACGTATTGACCCATTGGCCCTATATCTGGTAAGACATACTTGCCATCATTTTCACGTCCCCGCTCACCAGATTACAGTATGAATAAATGCTTCAAACCAGAACATACTAATATCGAATGGGAATATGATCTAAACCAATTCCAAGCCTGGTGTGATGGCAAAACTGGCTTTCCTATCGTGGACGCCGCGATGCGACAACTTCGCCACTGTGCATGGATGCATAACCGGACCCGAATGGTGGTTTCCTCTTTCTTATCAAAGGACCTCTTGATTGATTGGCGTCGAGGAGAGCGATACTTTATGGAGAACCTGATCGATGGTGACTTTGCATCTAATCATGGTGGCTGGGGGTTTGGCTCCAGCACCGGTGTTGATCCCCAACCATACTTTCGTATTTTCAACCCTCTACGACAGAGTGAGCGATTCGATCCTACTGGAGATTATATCCGGCGCTGGGTACCAGAGCTGAAGGATGTGGAGGGCAAGGCGGTTCATGACCCATATGAACGAGGTGCTGGGCCCATTGCGGAAAAGAATGGGTACCCTCGACCAATCATAGAGCACGCAGCAAGTCGGGAAAGGGCATTGGCGCGTTATAAGAAGGCGTTACAGAAATAGTGCACATGACTATCAACTTTGAACCCATGGAGATATTAAGAGGCTGGTGTATTAGTGATTACTTAATGGAAACTTTGTGAACTTTTTTAGCAGATGTTAGATGGACTAAGATTGAATTTGATTGGACGAAATATCGGAATCACTTCTACATCGGCTAAAGCGACCGATTCTGTATATATTAATTTGTTGTGTAGCGGTACAAGATGATATGATTGGCTCCCCCGCTTGAGACACGCGCCACAATTTCCCCGCGCTTTAGCTTTCTTCTTTTCCCCGAATTCTTTCTTTTCTTCTCAACCCCAAATGTCGCTGCAATAAATCATCCCGGACATGGAAACCCAGTCCGGGGACCGGCAGTCTTCTGCACCCGCGCTGGACGATTTGCCAAATGGCAAGCGACGATGGCGTCGAAATCGAGTGGCATGTGATTCGTGTCATACTCGGCGCGTTCGATGCGATCGGGCCTTCCCCTGCTCCCGGTGTCTGCGCAGTGATACCCATTGCGAGTTTACTCGGGAGCGTAGGAAGCGAGGAAGAATCGCCCGTTCCAAACAAGCAACGGGGCCCATCACATCCACCTCTACATCAAACTATACTAGAAGGGAATCGAACGGAGATCAGAAAGTCATGCAGCCAGCCTTGTCTCCGATGCAGCAGAGCTCTCCAGAATCCTCCTTTCACCCTAGATCACCAATGACGAACGAACCGAGTCTCTCTGCACCCAGCGTTGATGGGCCGCATCCCGCGCCGAATGGCCACCGTCCTACCCGAGCGCCGGAAGGGAACAACACAACGGAGGAATGGTTATCAGCCGCTCACTTATCACCAGACTCGTATGAAATCCTGGGAGGTGTGAATGGAGGCGATGGTCCATTGCCACGGTTGATGGATCTTTGGAACCCAGTTGATTTAGGTCATCCTCCACAGCCACACGCCCAATCCATGCCGGCGCCGAACGTCCCTGGTCAAAGCTATAACTCAAGCTCCCGATCAGGCCTCAAGTACCCTGTGCTAGAACCGGTGATGCCATTTCTGGGATCTAATTTACCCCGTCGTTTAGTTGGCGATCTGCTTGAACTTTATTTCATGAGTGCCTTTTCGACCCACATGCATCCCGTCTGTCACCATATACATTGTTATGTCCTGCGAAAGGCTTCCTTCTTGAGCACCGACCATCCTCGGCCGAGTAGCCCAGCCTTATTAGCAAGTATGCTTTGGGTCGCTGCCGTCGATGACCGGGCCTTCTCATTGTCCATCTCTCCGCTGCAGCGACGCAAGATTTGTCAATTCCTGTGCGCCCTAACGATACGACTGCTACGGCCGTTGATCCATGTTTCATTCAAAGACCAGGAACCGACTGAGAATCCGAATGGCTCGCAGGACTTTGCAGCAGCAGCAGCGCATCATCCCTTTGAAGGAGTCGGTGATGACAAGGGGCTCGTGGGTCCGGCGGGCTCTCTAGATGATGTGATCACGTATATACATGTCGCGTCTATCATTTCTTCCAGTGAACAGAAAGCGGCTAGTATGCGATGGTATGTTACTTTTCTTGTATTGATTTCATCCACTAACGAGATCACAGGTGGCATGCGGCCTTCACCCTCGCTCGAGAGCTGAAATTAAACCAGGAAATTGAAGTTGTGCCGAATATGGACGGTCAAAGCGATGGCTCGAGTCCAGCTTTTGGATATTCCCTCGGTGGCTGGGCAAGCTCGCCCGGGGGGGCTGCATTTGACTATTCCAATCCATCACGGCCAACTTTGAACTGTATTTGCGACGAAGGTCGTAATCCGCACAACGACTTCACGGTGACAGAAGAGTATCGTGAAGAGCGACGTCGCACCTGGTGGCTGCTTTATATTATGGATCGACATCTTGCGTTATGTTACAATCGGCCGCTCGCTCTCCTCGATGCCGAAAGTGAAGATTTGCTTCTCCCACTGGACGAGGGTTCCTGGCAGGCCGGGAATATTCACAGCAACAGCCCTCGAGCCGACGGGCCTCAGTGTCCTCGATCTGGTGATCGCAACAAACGCCGTGTCTTCCCGAACTTTATCTGTCATGACCACTCCATTCTCGGATTCTTCCTCCCGCTGATGACTATCACTGGGGAACTGATTGATTTGAATCAAGCGCGAAACCATCCCACCCTTGGCCTGCGCCTGCAAGGGAAAGAAGCCTGGGAAGTCCACGTGGCAGAGGTACTTCGGCAACTCGAGATATACAAGGCGAGTCTGACCACCTTTGCCGCTGCCACGGCTGTGGACCCCGAAGCATCTATTTCGACTGCCTTTACCAAGTTGGATGAGCCTGTTGACCCAAAGCTATCCGAAGCTTATTCGTGGCATACCCAAACAGTGATTGCCTACGCATCTTATTTGGTTCACGTTCTTCATATTCTCCTGGTTGGGAAGTGGGACCCAGTGTCTTTGATTGAGGACAAAGACTTTTGGACGTCCTCCCCAGCCTTTGCATCCACCATCTCGCATGCGCTGGAAGCCGCCGATTCTGTGCAGCAGATATTGCGGTTCGACGCGGATATCAGCTTCATGCCTTACTTTTTTGGAATCCAGCTCCTCCAGGGAAGCTTCCTCTTGCTTCTCATCGTGGAGCGGCTACAGAAGGAAGCCGGGGAAGGCATTCTCAACGCCTGTGAGACCATGATCCGCGCCACGGAATCATGTGTGGTCACCCTCAATACGGAATATCAGCGGAGCTTCAGGCAGGTGATGCGCAGTGCGGTAGCTCAGGCTCGCGGCAGGCCTGTCAATCCCAGCGAAATCCGGCATCGTCGTAAAGCGGTATTGGCCCTGTATCGGTGGACGCGTAAAGGGACTGGACTAGCTCTGTGACCCACCAGATAGGGCTGGAGGCTCTGCAGCTACCCCGTAGTGGAGTTTCAGCTTGTATAGTATATACTGGCCTTGCTGATTGTACATGTCTTGATGTGGCGCTGGGCGTACAGGGATGTATTGATCATCAAAGGGTTGAGTAGGGTCATAGGAATGTTCTGTTAATACACCAAGAGCATCTAGTAGCCTAGTTATAGCCCTGGAGGCCTTGCATGAATATAGTACCTAATATTTTGGTTCAAATGTCGAATTTTCATGTTTTGAAGGGATTGTAATATCAAAGTCAAGGCCCAAGGTCATGCTCGATGGCCGCGACATTCGGCACATGGACTTGGCATAACCATTGAGCCGCGTAAGTATTTCGTTTATAGAATAAAGCTTGGAAGTAACAAGCGAACCTCGGGCTGAATTCTAACCCTCGGATTAGCCGAGTAGATGTAGATGGCGACATTCCACTGTTCTCATCTGCCATGTAAAGCACGCCATCTAGGACCCACTCTGGCATGATAACTTCAGGGGATCCACGCAAATACGTACTTTTTTCGCGAGAACCAGTAATTTTTGAGCATTTTTATCTACATCGGATTCCAAGGTCCCAGTGGTAAATTTAAATCATTTACATGGTCAACCAGTCATTGGTGTTCATGTTCAATTGGACTTCATCATGCCTTAAAACGTTTACATAAGATCTAGATTTCACCAGGCCACCACGTGACTGTCAAAGTGGATAAAGTGGATTCGAATGCCATCAGAACCACCGATGGCATCATCAAAGCTCTCCCCACCCTTTGCCGACCTTGTATACTGTATGCAAGTCGATTGACTAACCAATTATGGAATAGGGCCATGATCAATTTGTGTCACTGAATGTCGCAAGTCGTGTCCCCTCCAATTTCTATCCTCATCACACGCCGCTATAATGAAGGCACTCACTGCTGTAGTCGGCCTCATCGCGGCCGCCGAGGGTGTCGCGATTGGGAATGCGGATATGAGAAATGTTTTCCAGTCTGTCCTCAGCTTATCCGAGCGCCCGTCATCGAAGCCGCCAAACATTCTGTTTGTGATCACCGATGACCAAGATCTACAACTCGACTCAATCTCGTATACACCGCACATCCTGAAACATATGCGCGACAAGGGCACATCGTTTACCAACCACTTCGTGACTACCGCACTCTGCTGTCCCTCACGGGTCAGCTTATGGACTGGACGACAGGCTCACAATACCAATGTGACCGACGTCAGCCCGCCGTATGGTCAGTACTTCCGCTCAAGTGTACCATAACGTGGCTGATTTAATCAGGTGGATATCCCAAATTCGTGGATCGCGGATTCAATGACAACTTCTTGCCGGTCTGGCTACAAGAGGCAGGATACAACACTTACTATACGGGGAAGCTATTCAACGCCCACACAGTCGAGAATTACCACAGCCCTCACGTCAATGGATTCAATGGATCCGATTTCCTGCTCGATCCATTCACCTACTCCTACCTGAACTCCACATATCAGCGCAATCAAGATCCGCCCGTGAGCTATGAAGGCCAGCACACGATGGATGTCATTACAGGAAAAGCACTGGGCTTCTTAGAGGATGCCCTGGACGGGGATCGGCCGTTCTTTGTGGTGGTCGCTCCTATTGCCCCTCACTCGAATGTGGACCCAAGCTCCCTGGGTCGGCATGACCAACTCACCATGGGTGCCCCGATTCCATTGGAGCGACACCAACATCTATTCCCCGATGTCAAGGTGCCTCGTACCGAAAGTTTCAACTCAGACAAGGTATGTCTCACCCATATTTTTCCATAAGAAATGGTATTGACCGGATTATAGCCTAGTGGGGTCAGTTGGGTTCGGGATCTACCACAACAAAATCAATCGGTGGTTGATTACGGTGACTTGTATTATCGTTCGCGACTGCAGGCTCTGCAAGGGGTTGATGAGCTCGTGGACTCGCTTGTTACGCGTCTGGAAGAGAGTGACCAGCTTGACAACACCTATATTATCTACACATCCGACAACGGATTCCACATCGGACAGCACCGGCTGCCACCAGGTAAGACCTGCGGCTTTGAGGAGGATATTCGCGTCCCTCTATTCATTCGGGGCCCTGGAGTTCCCGAGGGATATGTGCAAGACTCAGTCACCACGCACATTGACCTTGCCCCGACCATTTTCAACCTCGCAGGAATCCCCCACCGGGATGATTTCGATGGAACTGTTATTCCTGTAACTCCTGACTTTGCGGGTCCCCGACACGAGCATGTTACTGTCGAGTTCTGGGGCAACGCTGTTTTTGAAGGAGATTATAGTCACATTGGTAAGCTTTTCGCGTATCACCTTTCTAGATCAGGGCTGATTCGTGTTTTTTTAGGTATCGGTGGCAGTATCTTGCTCCCCAATAACACGTACAAGTCAGTTCGCCTGTTGGGAGACGGCTACAACCTATATTACTCTGTGTGGTGTAATAATGAGCATGAACTTTATGACCTTTCGGTGAGTAGTGACTTCTCACAGACATCAGTGCGGTGCTAACATTTTCGTCAGACGGATCCTTATCAAATGAACAACTTATATCCCAGCGGCCCTGCTGTGCATGAGAATGAGCCTCAGCTTCTGGGCCGAAGACTATCACAAACTATCAGCCGACTCGATGCTCTCCTGCTCGTCTTGAAATCGTGCCAGGGATATACCTGCGTCGAGCCATGGAAGGTGCTTCATCCGCAGCACTCCATCCGTACCTTACGAGATGCTCTAGATGAGCGATATGATCTATTTTATCAGGCACAGCCGCAGGTTGCCTTTGATTGGTGTGATGCGGGATACATTATTGAGGCGGAAGGTCCTCAAGCCCCGTTGACTACTCGATACGGTCTTCCTTGGGATATTTGGGTGTAATCCATCAATTTCAGTGTACACATATGCCCCAGTGCTTTGGCAATAGATTGAAAATCTCAAAAACTCAAAATTGCCAAAATTCAATGTTACGCGAGCTGTAGTCGTAGTTTGAAGCTGAAGAAAGAGCGGTCACTCCGTAGTGATTCAACCACCAAGAATCACCAACGCCACAATCAATTGATGCGCCTCGGAAACCCAGAAATCGGCAAATTTAAGCGTTGAATTTTGATTTTCTCTGTATATGCGGAAATAACAATATCCAGAATGCAATAAAATGGGTCCGTTCTTGCACGTCAAGGGCGCCATGATTGCGCCATACCTCCCCGCCGTGTCGACAGTCAACGGGACCACAATGACAGGCTAAGGTGAAATCTAGATGTCGCCCACATGGAGACATACGCAATCCTCGATAAGCGACCGGGGAAAAATATTTATATAAAGATCCTCCATCGCATAGAGGCTATCCCCAGACATTCCACAAGCCAACCACCGAAACCCCTGGATCCCAGCTTCGGTCCAAATCTCGGAGGCTTCATCATCAACACACATACAAATACACCAAGATGGTGGACCAGGATTTCCTGTCAGAGAAGAGTGGCTTTGAGGAAAAGGTCCTTGACACTCCTTCAAGTGAAGTTCAAGATGGCATCATCAAGGACTGGGACAAGGAAGAGTCTGCCGTTCGTCGCAAGTATGTGTAATTGCTTCGTACCTGGAGCTTCATGAACTAATCTTTCCATTCAATAGGATTGACTTCATCTTGATTCCTACCCTAGCCCTCGCCTTCTTCGCCCTTCAGCTCGATCGGGGCAACATCAGTGCTGTCCTTACCTCGACCATCACTAAAGATCTCGGTATCACAACGAACCAAGTCAACATCGGTACTCAACTCCTATCGGCCGGCATTGTTCTCTCCGAGATTCCATCCAATTTCCTTTTGCAGCGCATCGGACCCCGTACTTGGCTATCGGGTCAATTGTTCGCCTGGGGACTGGTGGCTACGTTCCAGGCTTTTGTCCAATCTTATCCGGCATACCTAGTGACGCGCATCTTGCTTGGTCTCTGCGAGGGTGGATTCATTCCAGGTAAGACTTTTTCATGATGATAGTCTTGGCAGTTGATTGACAATTCGGAATAGGCGCGTTATACTACCTTTCGAACTGGTATAAGAAGGATGAAACCAGTCTCCGCACTAGTTTCTTCTTCTATGGTCAAATGTTTGCTTCTGCAACCTCAAGTCTGATCTCCGCTGGTGTGCTCCGATTAAGTGGCGCCCATGGCATGGGCGGATGGAGGTGGATTTTCCTCAGTGAGTGAGCCCCCCTGGGATTGACTCAATATGTCACTAACATCTGAGATTAGTCGAGGGTCTCATCACTCTGTTCATTGCAATCGTCTTCACCCTTTTCGTTCCACCCAGTGTAGGTGACGGCCGTCCGCTTATTTCCTTTGGTCGCTGGAGCTACTTCAGTGAGAGAGAATCGCACATTATTCGCAATCGAGTCTTGCTGGATGACCCCAGGAAGGCTAAGGGCCACATCCAGATCTCCAAGTCTGATGTCGGAAAAGCTCTTACGAACCCGCGTATCATGCAGCACGTGTTATTGACTTTGGTGTCCATGTCTGCCTTCCAAGGCCTGAGCCAATATACCCCCACCATGATCAAGTCGATGGGATTCGGCTCCATCAAGGCCAATGCACTCGCATCTGTACCTGTGTACTGCGGTATCGTCTGGCTGACAATTCTGTCCTTCCTCTCGTGAGTTTAATTCGAATGACTATTTTTTTTTGGCTTCGCTGACAGGGATTAGGGATCGCACCGGCCACCGCGGTCCATTTGTGTTGCTCGCCATTACCTGGAACGTGATTTCCTATGCATGCCTGCGCACCGATTCCCAAACTGCCGGGCAGTGGCACCGCTATGGAGTGATTGCCGTCGCCAACGTCTCCTATTGTAGCATGCAGTATGTGGAATTCTGTTCTGACTTTAAAGCTCGGACTGACATGAATCTAGCATCCTGAATGTTGGTTGGTTGTCCATCTACTGCCGCTCTCCCCAAGAACGAAGTGTCGCCATGGCGTAAGTCTACTAACTCCCCACCGTCCAAGGGATTCGCACTAACTTATCATCAGGCTGGTTGTGATGGGAGCCAACTGTGCTGGAATCTCTGGCGCGCAAATTTTCCGAACGGAAGACGCACCCAAGTACCTGAATGGCTTGACAGCCATCGCCGTCATGGCTGGGGTCTCGTGGTTACAAGCCGCAGTCCTGGGGGTACAGACTTATATTGGACGGAAAAAGGCGAGTGGAAAGGACAGCGAATCCAGCCCTTCCACATCTTCATCTAATTAAACCTACACTCGTGTTACAAAGCTTTAGACTAGCCTATTTAATGATTAATGAGTTTTACCGAGATTACAACGGTTCGACCTGTCAAGTAATATTGCTCGGTTCTTAAGTCTTTCTACTTATTACATTCACATATCACAGAAACCAACCTGGTCATGACTTGCGTGTTCAAATCAGGCGAGATTGCAAGGTTCAGTCATATGATCCATGAGATTGGATCATTTAAGCCGAGCGAATATTTCAAGGAATATGGATTATGCCGCCCTCCAAGGCTTGAAATGGTGTGATCTGCACGACCCTTCCATGAATATTCTTCGCCTCGTGTTGTACCTTGCGTAGATGGTCAGGAACCCATGCAAGATGAAACCACCTAGGAACAAATTCTGGGGAATGTCCCTGTGCATGTCTTTGACCACATTATGAACCCATTAAATGCGGGGAAATAGACGGTTAAAAGAGATCCATCCTTCCCGATCCCGACTAGAATATACCGATTGGTCCCTTCTTATTCGGTCCGATCCGCCCAGTGGGAATCTGGGGAAAAGATTCGGGTAATTTTGCTTTAGGATCATGTGTTGCCAATGTTTTCTCATTAATTTACCGAACAGGTCGGCTGAGCTCTAGCTCGGAGCTCTTGTTCTCCGCAAAATCTTTTTAAATCAACCAGGATGCCCCGGATTTGCGGGGAAATCACTAAATTTCTTTGCTTTTTTGTTTTTCTATGCAGTGCTGGTCGCGCAAAGCTGTTAATCATGACTGCACCCAACCTCTGCTACAGCCTGGAGTACTGGCAGCTCCCCAATGACCGTGAGATGCCCAGTGCGGTCCATCATGTCCAAGAGTATGACAAGGCCGAAAACTTCGTGACCCGAACTGGATTCCCTCATGTTGTCCAGGATGAGCCAGGTCAATGGGCGTTGGAGAATTATGACTGGAGTGGAGAGATGGTCCTGAAATCATCCAGCGACCTCTCCCAAAATTTTCAATTCTCCGATCTATATCCAACCAATAATGGCGACCAAAATTGGGACATGACAAGGTCAGTCTGCGCTTTCGTGGAGCAGATAGACCAATCACTAACGAGAGATACTATAGTTCCTGGGTTCCGGCCTATCAAACACCCGGCCTTTCACACGATGACCTAGAACGACAACACATAATGACCCGAGTGGCAGCCGAAAGGGCCCTCTTTATGACTCCCTCCGTTCAAGCATTATCCGTTTCTACATTACCGGGTTCCCCTATATCCGATCACTCCAGTACACCCGAGATCACTCAAACTTCCTTCAATCGGCGGGAGGACAGGGGTGCATCACCATTGTCCGATACCATGTCCGAGAACAGCTCAGCCATGCATCCAGCAGGTTGGGCCAACTGTCCCACCTGGAAGGAAGATGAGGTTCTTCCCACAATGCTAGAAATGCCCGATGGCTCATCTCGCAAGACCTCGAACTGGCTTCCAGTTGACCCCGAAGCCGGCTTTACAATCGGTTCATCCGCTTACACAGATTGGTCAGACCTACAAGAGGGTCATGACATCCACTCAGCTTTCATGTCGTCGACTTCCCCTCAGTGGACATACACTGGGTGACGGGTCGGAAAGTTTTGGACTGCATTCTATAAGAAAGCAACCAGCTTTCTCCCCTTCTTCCTTCCACCGCCATCACTGAGCGGAAATTTTCGTCTTTCGCAAAGCGAAGCTAGCCCAGGATCCCAGATATGGACTGAGCCATAAGAGGTGTCTGGCAGAAGAAGGTCCATCCTCTGCACTGGCCTAGAACTATTATTGGATTATGCCTTTTACTGCACTCGTTTGAACCACCAAAATTTAGTCGCCATTACGGGTATGATGACTTGCAAGAGAAAGCACGGACACTGTCGTGCGACATGAAAATGTCGGGAATATTTACGAAGGAATTAAGCAAGCTTGGGCAAGGATAGAAGATGCTTGACCGCATGGTCGGACCTGTCGATATGTCGGCTTTGCAAGTATTTCTATATGATTGAATCACAATCAAGAAATGGAAACCATTTCAATTCCATTTGGAGAAAATTAAAATTCTGAAACGAGATTGAACTGTGAAGGGAAGGAAGACCGGTCCAATGATAAATAACCGGCCAAGCACGGGCGTCAGCCTAAGACGCAGGCACCTCGTGGCAAGTCATGCGGGGTTGAATCTTGGATCATTACATCTACTGATCCAAGGTTTTGAAGATTTCTTGTTGGATGATAGGTCTTCAACCCGACTTAGGTTAGATCTGAAGGTAATGTTAAACATCACTGATCAAAGGATGGAATTATCCCAGTGGTAGTTGAAATCGAAATAGGAGGGTTGCAGGGATATAATGGATAAAATGTTTTTCTCTCAATATTGTTCATATTTATTATATTATACAGCCTGGGAAAAAGGTTACTTTTGTTCTATATGGTTGAAGATTAGATAATAATACACTGTTGAATCGAAATGATCTATTCGTCGTCCGCGTATCTTGCCTTGTGGATTCTGAACGCCATATCGCATGCCGCATTATAAAAGGCATGGAAATTCGGTTCAACGACATCCTGAGATTCACCATCAACCGAAGGAATGGTCTGTCTAGGAATATCCATGTCAAGCGAAATTTCAGTCGTCCGGGCCGCAAGGAATGGTCCACTTTCGTAGAAGCGGTAGCTCAGTTGCCTGCCGTCAAAGTCATACCGCTGGGCAGCAGCTCCACGGACATCATTAAGTGGAGCAAACATGTACTCGACAGGCTCAACCTGGCCATCCGTAGCGAGGCGAAGGGATGTTTGGAAAAGATTTCTTGGTAGGGGAATGTGGGAAAATGCAGGGAGGGACGCAGCCTCAGAGCTTGACCGGATGAAGGTGTTGTAGAGAGGTTGTCTGATGCTATTCAAAAGCTCTTCATACTTGGCTGGATCGGTGATGGTTTCCGAGGCCTGGGAGTGGAGAGTACGCGTAAATCGAAGATCGAGGCCAGTTTCCGGCAGCAGATAGTCAACACTGTTGGTCTCTAGTATAAATTTGATACTTTTGATGTCAATCTCCCCTTGGGAGTCCGTGGAACTGGTAGATTTGGAGGCAAATTCCACGTCCAACTCTGGAAGGTTACCAGAAGACCCTGGCAACGGGATCAGGCGAACAACGTGGGTTAAAATCCCGCTCTCGGGGGCAATGGGTGAAAGCGAGTCCAGGAAAGGTTTGACTCGAGGAATATCAGGCACAAAGGTTCGTGGCAAAGATAGTCTCCCAAGTTGAGAGGCGCTGATCTCTGTCGCGTCAAATACGGACTTCCGACCAAAGAGACAGCTTCCAGCCGCAGCGGTCACTGATTCATAGACGGTTGACCCAAGAGAGAGCGACTTTGCACCGGGCTGGTTCCGAAGCAGCTTGAGCAATTCGCTAGAGAGTAGAGTTTGGTGACCGTCGAAAAAGGGGGTCGGTTCAGTCGCGGTGGTCTGAACGACAGGCATTGCCCATCGGAACCAGGATTTTTGTCGATCAAACCAATTCGCGCTGGCCTCGGGGGTGTAATCGTATACATTTGCCGGCTCGGACGCTGGCAGGTATGTAGAGAACGGCTTGGGTGTCTGATTGGCATCATGGACAGCCAACCCGAGCGTTCTTCGAGCGTCCTCGGCCCCATGTTTGTTTTCTGTCAGATACAGGATCTTGTCTGGACCCTGCATGGGCTGTTGATCTATGGCAACACTGTAAGTTTCGCACACCCATTCGATGAAGCTCGGGGTGAGGCGCAAGCCCGTAGGGAAATCAATTCCAACCTCGTCCACCCGAATTCTCGTCGTGGTGTCTGAGATGACTTCGAATGCTGATTCGCAGGCGGGCTGGGTTCCGGTAATTCTCACCAGCCCTAGGGAGTGGCTGATGTCAATGCTGGCCTTATGGAAGCTTGCCACTTCATCGAAGGAGAAGTGAGTTGCGGTCAGGAGTAGCTTGATGTAATTAGGGGGTAAACTGATATCCAGCTGGCCCACCTCATCCATGATGGAGAGCTGCCAACAGTCTCGAAGAATGTGATCCACAAGCCCGGATTTGGTTTTGCGCGTCAGTCCAGGCGGTTGCACAGACCCAGATCTCCCGGGTTGCCATGTTGCAAGGTTGTTCTCAGTTTTCGGCTCCCCGTGATTGTATTCCGCCACGTAATGTAACAATTGTCCGTATGTGAAGGATGATGCGATGGTCGATTGAAGGTCCTTCCAATCACCAGCGTCCAGTCTTTGTTTCGGTCTATAGGTCCGGAGTTCTTCTAGTCTCTCTCGGGCCAGGTCAATAGTTGTTTCAATGGCTTCATCATCTAGATCTTCAAGTATCGAAGAGAGCGAGTTTATACCGTCGGCGGGTGGTTCGACTTCGTTTGGGTTTTTGCGACGGCGCCTCACCTTGGAGGGTTTAGGAGGCACAATGATCATTTGAGCAGGTTCACCGAGCGAGTCTACCCCAATTGGTAAAGCTCTGCCAGGGATAGCTTTCACCCGGGGGCGAACGGATGTGTACGCAGGTTTGTGCAATTTGTTCAAGTTGTCAGGACGGCGGGAATCATCGGAGGAAAAGCTTTGAGATCGATGGATGAAGCTTCGGATATATGGTTGAATTGGTCTGCGAGGTGATGCACATAAGCGCCCCAAAGCGCTGGGAGGTGGTCGCATCGTTGTGGTTGATAAGAAAATGTTCTAACATTTGAAGGTTCAGATGTTGAAATGTTGATCGCGACCGGGAGAGATTAACGCTAAACTATATTAGGAAGGTGGATCTGGAGATAACATTTAGAGTAGAAAATGAGAATTTTGTATATCTTAAGTCTTCTCTTCTTTGCTTCTTTGTTATATGTTTCCAAGGTTTGTGATTTAATGTACATTGTATATCTATTCTTCAATTGGCGCAAATTCGGATCTTCTCCTCAAGGTCGCCCCGTATTTGATGAATATAAATGGAACTGGGATGGCAAGAACAGCGATGCCTCCCACTAGGGACATGGCTGGCCCAACTCCCAAATTACGAAACATTGGTGATGCCACCAGAGGAAATGCAGCTGCCAACGCACTCCTGAGAAAGGTATTGGCGGAAACTGCGCTTGCCGCATATAATTGATATGTGTCGATGAGGAAGTTCATACACTGTTGAAAGATGATATTAAAGCCGGCACCGATAAACACCGCGGCGAGGACGGGCGCAATCCCTATAGCATTTGTTAGGAATACTGCGCCAGGGCAGGATTTACGCACTTACAATGAATCTTGGGGTCAGCTGTCCAGCCGAACCAGAATAACCCAATGGCAAAAATAACTCCCCCAATGGCCATCGGTGCACACCGAGCCTCTGGTACTGGCTTACCTCCCGCGGCGTCTACAAGCCTCGCATATCGGGGTTGATTTGCCAAGTTGACAAACATTGCGAAAATCACACCGACAAACAGTGCAAGGAACGGTAATGAACTCTCCACCAAACCAAACCCATGTTCTTCTTGGAAGACTATGGGAAAGACCTCCAATGTCATGTATAGTAGTGCGTATACGAATGAAGCATATAAGGCTATGCATGTGACCATTGGTTCTGTGGTTAGCATTAGCAAGGGTCGTGAGAGGTGCTTGGTGATGATAGTCTTTGGCGACAGTTTGGTCATCTCATGGGTGTGGTAGTATGCCTTATTCCCAGTCTCCTTACGCAGGCGGTGCGCTTTATTCTGTAACAGTACCGGGCTATACGTTTCTGGCAGATTGAAAATCGCGACAAGAGTGACAGCGAAAGTCCATATAGCTTGAATGTACTCAGTCCAACGCCAACTAAGGTGAGGATTTACGACCAAGGCGGCGCCAATAGTAGGACCCTGGAAATAGTCAGACAGTTGACTTCGTAGAGGGGGAGGGTAGTTGTTACCAAAGTAGGTCCCCCGATGACAGCGAGGGCATAGAACACGACTGCAGTTCCTCGAGCCTTGGGTGCCCAGATATCGCCCATGATTGCCCCTACGTTGCTCACCGGGGATGAAGCAAATAGCCCACCGAAAAATCTCGTTATCAGCACCGACTGTATATTTTGACTTGTGGCAGTGCCTATTGAAAAAAGCCCAAGCCCGACCATAGGAGGGAGCAAAGACAATCGCCTACCCCATAGCTCCGAGAAAGGCGCCCAGCAGAGCGGTCCAAAGGCAAATCCGATACTATCAGGGGGTATGATCAGTTGAGATTCCAAGATTCTTCACAAACTTCAAAGAAGATCAACATACATATACAGCGAGATGCAAAGGACAGCCACCTCATGACTGATGCTGAAGTGGTCCGCAAGCGTCGATTCAGCAGGGGCGATAATGCTTGATCCCAAGCTAGCTGCCATGGCCAGCATTCCCAGCTGGAAGGTTATCCATGATTTGTATTTCGTGGACCAGTTATGTGGATTCGCTGGCTCATTTTCATCCCATCCGACCAGAATCGAGGCTGGTTTGGCATTTCTTGTCCTGGCTGGAGTGATTGCGAGTGTTGACATTGACAATGATTTCAAGGTCAATTCAGATTGCACGAAAAACGTTGCCTGGAAAAGCCAAGTTCAGAAAGCATATTTCTTCCATAAATACGCTCGGTAAACCGTAGCGTGAAGTTCGATAGCGAAGTAAGCGCCTAACCAAGGCATATTTGACCAAGTCCGCGGTACTGGGTCCGCATGTCCGCGGAGTGTCTCTAAAGAGCCTACTGCCGTAATTCTTGTGTACTTCTGGATGTACCAGAGAATGTAGGAAATGCACATGTTGGGGAGATCCGAATATATGATGGCGCATTTAGTATGATTTGGCCAATGATAACAATGCATCTATTTGATTTCTACTGATGGAAAATCATTCAACCAGTAGAGTATACGCATTGCCCGTATTAAGCAGTGGACGACCCCCGCGGGCCCGCGGGTATTATTTCTACTTTGGGCTCGTCTATCCGGTCAAGTCCGCGGGGATCTGCAGCCTTGACAGGCAGCATCATGTACGGAGTAGAGATAGATTTTAGAAAACATACATAACTTCCTTTTGTCTTGCTCTTCTTTCCCACATATTCCATCATGTCATCTAAGAAAATTGCCTTGGTCATCTGCAGCACCAGGGAGCCTCGACTGAATCCTTTCATTGCTCGATACGTTCTGGATATCGCCTTACGCCAAAACTGCCAAGAAAGCATTGATATTCTTGATCTTGGCGAGCAAGGCCTCCCTTTATACAATGAGTCTGCAGTTCCATCCCAACTCCCAGAGACTAATCCTACACCTCATTACACTCACCGACACACGCAAGCATGGTCCGCTACGGTCCGACAATACAGTGCGTTCATTTTCGTGACACCTCAATATAACTGGAGTGTTCCCGCTAGTTTGAAGAATGCATTGGACTATTTGTATTTTGAATGGAAAGGCAAACCTGCCGCCATCGTGAGTTATGGAGGGAGAGGTGGTGGAAAGGCGGCAGATCATTTGCAGGGAATTCTTCAGGGATTACGCATGAAAGTGATCTCGACCCATCCTGGACTCGTTGTTAAGACAACAACTCTAGAGTCTTGTGTGGAAACACAGCAAATTGGTCCTGGAGAAAGGGAGATGTGGCGGGAAAGTGGTGTCGAGGAACAGATCTCTTCCATGTTTCTAGAATTGATAGAAATGGTTCAAAATGAATGAATTTATGATTTCCATGTATTTAGTGGAGCATTAAGACTGATTACAGATGCAGACTGTATCAAATGAAAAGAATACCACAGTAACGTGTTATGCATGGATGGTGCCTCTGTCTACCCAGCCGAGGTGAGAAAAGAGCAAAAAGCAAAAAGCAAAACAGTAAAACAAGGAAAAATGACGACAGATTCTTAGTACCTACTAGTAGTGGTCTAGTGCTTAATTTGTCCGCGAAGAATCGTCATTGGCAGGCTCTTTCAACATACGAACCAGCAATGATGCAATTCGAGCTTACCACGATCTAATTGGTCCATCTTGCAAGGTACCGGGTCTCATGCAGTGTCACTTAGTGGTTTACATATAAATCGAAGATTCTGCCTTTTAATGTTGTGAACTTTTCAATCATATTACATTCGATGGATTTGTGGAATGGCAAATCACCAGATCATGATGTGTTTGCGGGGAGATAACAGCTCGGCTCCAGCCGATCCGGGGGACCCCAACCAGCGAGGCCCAAACTTGCTTTGACCCCTCCAACTTGCCCAATTCTGCGAGAAATGTCACTCTCAGACACTGTAACCACGCGCCAATATGACTGACCCGAGTGCTGCGTTGCCAGCCCTGGAGCAACCTGTCAGTGCTGTCGTGAGGGAGTCCCGACCGCCATCTCCGCACGAGCAGGAAGATCGCGAAGCTCTCGAGCTCCAGGAGATCCAAACAGGCGAGGATGACGAGCTGGAATATTCTTCACCCTCTGCTTCATCCGGAGATGAGTATCGGGTCACCACCCGGCGAACAGTGTCTCGCGCCACGAATCCATCCTCGCGCCACCATCGGACTGGGCTTTGGAGCCGCATCTGTCGATTTTGGACACACCATGTCACTCTGACGGTACCACATAAAAATAACCGGGACCATTATGGTAAGCGAAACAGCTGGATGTTGCAGAAAATAGGCTAATGATTGGAACTATAGCATTGGAGAGAACATTCCTCGCATACATCCGCACCTCGGTGGTTATTGCAATGCAAGGGGTAGTGATCGCGCAGCTGTTCCGCCTTCAACGGTCCTCATCAAGCGAAGACCGCTTGAAGTTCTACCAGGTCGGCATTCCGCTCGCTGTCGCTTGCCACTCTGTGGCTGTTATCGTCGCCCTGATCGGAGCCTATCGGTTCTGGAGACAACAAACCGCCATTTCTAAAGGAAAAGTTCATGCCGGAGGCTGGGAGCTCAATTCGGTCGGCATTTTGCTCTTTGCGGTATGTTACACCTACCCCAAAATCCGTTGAGTGAGACTAACGTTATATCGGCCTAGATCATCATGGTCACCTTGGTTATCTCTGTCGTTATCATCGTTGAAATTGACGATACCAAAACCACTTTTTTCAGTCGGATATTCCCACATTGAACCGGCATATCGACACAAGTCCCCAACTTCACAATGGATGATGAATTATGATGTATCTTAATGACTGGAATGAAATTGCAATTGATTCAAACTGCATTGATCTAGATTGATTCGCTATATGAGATCACTCGAGAAAGATGATTGTTGGTGTATGGACTAGGATAGGTAGTCTGCCTAAGTGAGAACCAGATACGCAAAGATTTGGAAGCAAGAACATTCACATTCTAAAGATTTGCATATTTTCCACTACTTCTATAGTCACAGATAACACCAGATAGAAAGAAAAACGGGTTCAACTAAGTGCAATCAAATATTGGCACCTCCATTCAACGGCAAGATTTGACCTGCATATCAATTAGTCAAATTCAATAGGGCCAGTGACCAGATTTTTGCATTCCGTTACTCACCGTTGATCCATTCCCCTCCCGGGCTAGCCAAGAATGCCACAACGCGGCCAATGTCGGCCGGCACACCGCACCGCTTCAAGGGGCTACCGTTTGCCAAGGCTTGCTCGATCTCCTCGATGGACGAGCTCTGATCGCATCCAGGCGCATAGCGCCATGCGTTCTTCAGCCACATGTCACTCTTCACGCCAGCCGGGGCAATGGCATTGACTGTGCATCGCTTCTTTCCGAAATCGGCGGCAAAGCAGCGAGTGAAGCCCTCTATCGCACTCTTGCTGCCGGCATACAATGAGTGACCCGGGACGCCAACGCCTGCGGCGATGGACGACATTAGCACCACTCGGCCACCCGGCTGAATGTATTTGTAGGCATTCTGAGCGACAAAGAACTGGGCGCGGGTGTTGAGATCGAACACTTCGTTGAAATCATCGAGGGTGGTATCGGCCAGCGAGACAAACTTCTCGGTTCCAGAGTTGGAAACAACAATATCCAGTTGACCGAAGTGTGCCACAACCTGTTGGAAAAGGGATTCAATGGCGTCAACCTGGGTCAAATTGGCCTGAAAGGCGGCTGCATGGCTGCCCACAGCCTGAATCTCCTGGACCATCTTTTCGGCGGAAACGGGGTCCCGGGCATAGTTGATAGCGATCGAGGCACCCTTCTTGGCCAACTCCAGCGCAATGCCGGAGCCAATACCCCGACTGCCACCGGTAACTAGGGCAACTTTACCTGCCAGTTCATGGGCATCTTGGGAGAGTGTAACGACCATGTTGAAATTTAGCTAGGCGGATGTAGAATTTTAGACAAAGTAGAGAAGAAAGGCAAGGGTTCCAGGACGTAGGATATATTTCATTATAAATTACAGAATAGTCTTGACAGCTGGATGGAAGCAACCCTGAAGCTACACTTGGGCATAGATGTTTCGTAAGTTTGTTCTGCTTTCGAGTGATTGATGGCTCAAAACATGGAGTGACTGCCGCATGCGGAAGTGTCTTCTCGCAATAGTAGGTCACATCAGGTCCGGGTTGCATTCCTCAACAATTCAAATGTTTCATTTGTAGAGTCGTGCTGCATCCGGGAGAGCCAAGCATGAGATGAACCAAGAGAATTGTGAAGTTAGCTTATTCCAGAAGTACTTCATTTACGTATCCCCAGACTGCAAAATTGTCAATCACAAAAATCAAAATGTCTCCCGCTGTGAAGATCCAAACAGAGCCCAGAGAGCTCAAAGAGCCTAATCTAGACATCAGCTTTCAGGGTGAGTGAATTCTTACAAGATAATCTAGATGGTGTCGCTAAATATTGCAGACTACTTGGTTTTGTCCAAGCTTGTTTTCGACTGGGCGGATAGTTATGATGCCAAGGTATGTGGCCATTGATTTTCTACAAGGCGTATGCTGGAACTAAAGCACCTCTGGCTAGGACTGGGATCGTCTGCGCAGAATAATTGCCCCAACACTCACGGTAGGATTGGAAATATCCCGACACGTGAACAGAAATTTTGACATACGTCCAGGTGGACTATACGAAAATCGGACTCCGAAGATGGGATGACATGCCAGCAGATGAGTATATGGCCATGGTTACCCACCCCGGATTTCTGGGTGACCCCACTGTGAAGACACAGCATCTGCTCGGCCAAACCTGGTGGGAGAAGATATCTGACACCGAGGTGATCGGTCACCACCAGCTGCGTGCAGCCCACCAGGTGTATACCGATGCCGATTTGAAAGAGGTCAAGCTGCGTGGCCACGGCCACGCCACCAATGAGCACTACTACCGCAAGGTCGACGGAGTGTGGAAGTTTGCAGGCCTCAAGCCTAATGTGCGATGGAATGAACTGCGGTTTGATGATGTTTTCAAGGGTCTAGATTGATGGAAATGACAGAGGGAGTTGTCAGGTAGATTAACACTCTATCAAATCAATTATATTGCGCGTCTCAAAACAACTAGCTCCAGAAAGCCTTTTGCAAAGCATCACACATGAGTGTAATACATCGTTTTCCCTCGGAAAGTACCCCATCCATCGCCAAGAATGGATGCGGCATGCCCTTCATCAACTGAAGGTCCACCGGCACGCCTGCCTCCCGGAGCTTTTCGGCGTACTGCTCGCCTTCGGACCGCAACACGTCTAACTCACCCACCATGACCAATGCGGGGGGAAGTTCAGACCAGCTACCGGCGTAAAACAAGGGACTAGCCTCGGGGTTTGTCCAATCGCCGGCGTTCGGCAGGTAATGATTCCGGTACCAAAGCATCTTTAGGGCGGATAGGGCGGGGGTGTGCTCGTAAAGGCGATAAGACTCATTCGTCTCCACGGTCGCGGTATTATCCGTAACTGGGACTGACAGTAATTGAGCGGAGAAGCGGACAGGAGGGAAAAGGGCCAATGCCTTGTGGGTCATGATTGCAGCCAAGTTTCCTCCTGCCGAGGACCCGCCTGTTGCCATTTTGGACGTGTCGATTGACAATGCGGCGGGGCCCTCGTCCACCAGCCACAACAGGACCTCCCAACAATCGTGAACAGCAGCTGGCCATGGGTTTTCAGGGGCAAGACTAATCTCTCTTAGCTACAACTTCAATCTTGAGTGCATCGGGGAACTTACCGGTAATTAACAGTCACCACAACACAGTTACCACGCACGCACAGGTTGGAGCACACCACATTTTCGGTGTCAATGTTGCCCAGGACCCAACCACCGCCGTGGAAATAAAGCATGACTGGCCACCCGCCAGCTGGTGCTTCACCTTTGGGTGTGAAGCAGCGAACCTCAACTGGCGGTCCCTCGGTCTCCCGGCGCGCAATTGTAAGGTCATGGGTTTTACCCACCTCCAACATTGGCCCCGCGCCTGGGATCAGAACACCGCTGGTCCGAGATGCTGCAACGGGTTGCAGATGAACTTGCTGATTGTTGATCACATACTTGTTATAGAAGGTGGTATATTCGGGATCCAGCAGGTCTTTAACGGACTCGTGGAGGGGATAAGGAGGTATTGTGACACCGGGAATGGCAGACATGGTGACAGAATTGCAAATGTCAAGGCTGAAAGAGAAGAGAAAGTTGAATTTCGAAGCACACAATTACATCCCTTGGGTCATGTAATAATGCAATACCAATCCCACCAAAAACCCCCCACGCGGCAGGTGGGATGTGCCGCGGGGATGAAACCCACGGACCTTAGACCAACCAAACTAAGAGATTCATATTCAATCAAAACTATCCCAATGTAACGTGGCTAGATGGGGTTCATCGGTCTTCATCCGTGGGATGTATTCTGTGTATTTACTTTGGAAGCTTCCCCGTATCCGGAATGAGTTTACTTTCTCCAGACTCTGTTACTCAATATCCGAGGCATTCAAGATGACTACCAAGACTCCTGTTCTTACTGCAAACGCCCCTAAGCCCCTTCCTGGCATTTACTCCCAAGCCATCATTGCTAATGGCGTGGTGTATTGCTCGGGTGCAGTCCCGATGGATGCTACAACGGGCAAGCTGATCGACGGTGATGTCAAAGCGCATACTGTAAGCATCCACAATATGCACTCAGTGCCACGAGTTAATTTAGGGTCCACCTAGCATCAATGCATTAAGAACCTGACTCACGTTCTTGAGGAGGCTGGCAGCGATATCACCAAGGTGGTGAAGGTGAATGTCTTCCTTTCAAACATGGATGACTTTGCGGAAATGAACTCGGTGTACACCCAATACTGGGGTGATGTGAAGCCGTGTCGCACGTGAGCTCTCCCCCTTACATGAGGTTCCTCCACTCCTGCTGACCCATAAGGCAGATGCGTTGCGGTCAAGACTCTACCGCTCAATACCGACGTGGAAATTGAATGCATTGCGGTGTTGTAATGGACACAACACACTACAATACGCCAAAAACCGAACGAATAGAATTCTAGATTATGCATGCCTCATACATCAACGTCTAGTCCTGGCTAGTTAGGATCAACTAGCTTAGGGCTCAATTGAATCAAAATCTCTTCCCCTTCTACCCGTGAATTGAACCACTGTTTTATCTGGATCCTGTTCTGGACAACCCTTGCATCACACAGCAGATCCGCCTTGACTATGCTGAATATCGCCATGGTAACCTCCAGAGTGCCCAGATTCTGCGCGATGCATGCTCTAGAACCCTTGCCGAATGCAAAGAAATGATCCAGCATCTGCTGGGTGGGATTGAGCCATCGCTCCGGCATGAAGCGGAGTGGGTCTGGGAAGACTTGCGCATTTTGGTGGAGTTGGAAAGACGCAACCCCAACACTAGTCCCTGTAGGAAAATGATAATCATGATAGTTCCAGCCTCCAGTGGGCACTGCTCGTGGGAGTCGGATAGGGTTGGCCCATGATAATCGAAGCCCCTCTTTGACCGTCCCACGAAGATAGCTACAGGCGATCGGGTCTTCTCCTCTCGTAACACAGCTTTGGATCTCTTCGCGGAGTTGCTGGTATCTGATCGACCGGTTAGTGGACTTCAGGTCAAGATGAAATAAACATACATCTTGGGGTATTTGGACAAGTACCACATGATTGTCGCGGTGTTCATACTGGTGGAGTCGGTACCGGCAAAGCAAAGATCCTTGACTTCGATTTGCGACTGTAACGGTGTCTGCTTCTCCAAAAGACGGCTTTGATAACTCCCACTTTTAGGTGTTGCGACAGACACAAGCTCCGCCGTATAGCGGTCGATCAGATCGAATGCTTTTTTTGTCACTTCCGTGGACATATGTTCTGAGACTGCCATGACAAGGTCTCCTATCCTCCCAGCGAGATTAAAAAACGCCCCAACGCCAACATAGGCGTCAACGAAGGGGGATGCCGACATGACCCCTGAGTTCTCGTCAAGGGCTCCATATCGATGCTGGAAAAGATATACACTAATGGCGTCGAGGGCCATACATCGACAAACATTGAGCACATTGACTGGTTCTCCTTTTTTAGCTTCGCGTTGAAGCTTGGCCACAAAATCATCAAACACCTGGGACAGGATTGCCTCGGACTGTCGGAGTGAGGCGGTGGAAAAGAGTGATGTGATAGCCTTAGCTCTAGCTGCTCTCTCGGGAAGGGTCAATGTGGAAAAAATGGTATTATGGCCTTCGATATCAAATTTGGAGTAAACGGGAGACTTTGGAAATCCACCCCGAGCAACGTAAATCGGTTCGATAGCGTCGGCATTAGAAATATCAACGTCATTGGGACCGACGCGCAGTATTGGGCCATATTTACAATGGAGGTTAAAGATGACGGTGCACTCGTCACCGATATAGGTGTGATATGCGAGCCAGAGTGAGGTACATCCTGCGATCTTCGGCCCGGGAATGTTGGATAAAGGATGGAAGAAAGCTCTGCAAACCCATTTAGAAATGAGGCTCCCAATAATTACCAGTGGGAGTAACCAGACGGTACTCAATGGGAAAGTCAGTGCCATGATATCATCCATATATATATTATCTATAATACGGGAGATGTTGATCTTAAAAGTGCGTGCCAGCGAATCCGATAAGATCTTGCGGGGTATTAATGACGGGTCGGATCAGCCGATAATCAAAGTTCAAATGTTTATCTGAAGTGGAAGTCGACGGTATCTCCGACATATATCATTCGTTGAGATTAATCATCATGCTTATCTACCCCCCCCCCACTGGACCCCTACCATCTGCGCATGATAAGCCATCGGAATTCTGGATTCAAGGATACATATAATTGTTTACCCCCCGCATGCCTAATCATGATTATCAAGTATTGGAATCGTTACAATGGCCAAAGAGGTATTCAATACCTCAACCGAGGAAGATGTGGCTCTCGAGCACCTTGGGTACCAACAAGGTAAGACCCAACGTAGTGAATGTGCAGGCCATGACGCTAATAAGCTGCAGAGTTTAAGCGCTCATTCGGTCTTTGGGATATGGTTGGCTTTAGTTTCAGCATTGTGACTTGGTATGCACTCCTGAATTCCGGTCAAACCCGCGCTAACATGCTCATCTCGCTAGCTGGACCGCATTGAGTGGAGTTTTCATCATTGGCGTCGAAGCAGGCGGGCCACCAGTGATGATTTTTGGCTGGATAGGGGTCTGTGTGATCACTTTATTGATTGCACTGGCCATGGCAGAAATGTGTGCAAGATGGCCAGTCAGTGGAGGCCAGTATTCGTGGGTGGCCATGCTGGCACCGCCCAAGGTCTCTCGACAGCTATCCTATATCACTGGATGGTTCATGTTAATTGGTTCGTTTTCATGACTGGATGAATTACTAGCAGCTTACACTCACCAGGTATCTTGGCTATGGGCGCTGTGAATAACTCAGTAGCGTCGAACTTCATTCTTGGCATGGCCAACCTGGTCTTTCCGGAGTATAACATTGAGAGATGGCATACCGTTCTGGTGGCTTGGGCTGTGGCCCTCTTTGCGCTGGCGGTGAATGTTCTCACGCCACATGCCCTGCATCGTCTATCTCGAATGATTTTGGTGTGGAATATCGCGTCGTTCTTCATCATCATCATCACGCTCCTCGCGACCAATGATCATAAACAGAGCGCAGACTTTGTTTTTGGTGAATTCCGCAACACAACTGGCTTAGGCGCGGCAATGGCTACCATCGTTGGGATTCTCCAGAGCTTCTTTGGCATGTGTTGCTATGATGCCCCCAGCCATATGACGGAAGAAATGACTCATGCAAGCCGTGATGCGCCCAAGGCCATCATCCTGGCAGTCATCATGGGCGCCGTGACCGGTTTCTTCTTCCTTTTGACCTTATGCTTCTGCATGGGGGATATTGATAGTACGGCGAATTCTAGTACAGGAGTCCCAGTCATCCAGATCTTCTATGATTCGACTCAAAGCAAAGCAGGCACGTGTGTTTTAGCGAGTATGATGACTGTCATCATTGTCGTCGCCTCGGTGAGTCTCATTGCAGAAGGGTCTCGATCCGTTTATGCATTCGCCCGGGATCAGGGCTTGCCGTTTTCGAAAGTCTGGGCCAAAGTCGAGCCGAAGCAGAAGATCCCCGTCTATGCCATCTTCCTCACCTTGATCGTTCAGCTAGCTTTGAACGCAATCTACTTCGGCACGGTGACTGGATTCGAAACGGTGATTTCCATAGCCACCACAGGCTTCTGTAAGTCACATTGATATCTTCGAATGTTCCACTTGATATGAAATGCTAATCTGGGTTTTATTAGATGTCTCCTATGGTCTTGTCCTCCTGGCCCGACTTCTTGGTTATTTGTTTGGACACCATACGTCTACCTTTAGCGGTCCATATTCACTTCCATCCTCCGTGTCTATTGCCTTCAACGCAATTGGGCTTATATTTCTCCTATTTGGTTCCATCACCTTCAACTTCCCCTCCGAAGCGCCTGTGACGTCCAGTTCCATGAACTATACCAGTGCGGCAATTGGGCTGGTTACCCTTCTTAGCTTGGTTACTTGGTTTACTACAGCGACCAAACACTTTTCTGGGCCTTCAGATGTAAGGGATCTGGTGATTAATGGAGTTGAAAGACCTACAGACTCAAAGTCGTAGTAATGCTTAAACATCTGTGATTGTGATCTGTCTACTCCGTATCCGTACTGTTTATTAAGTACAGTACTACCCGAGACCCACACGGGAAAACCTTGAAAGCCATGGAAACCTATGATGTCAAAGGTTCTCCTCAGCCAAATCCCCACTTATGTCCCACCTTGGACAGCCACTCAAGCTGAAGATAATTATCATGGTTTGTCTACCAAACGTTGACCTGGGAAAGAAGCCAGGTTTAAGCCTACATAAGTGCAATGGAATCCTCTCTCCCATGACTTGCAGGGGCGGTCAAAGTGCGTGGAGATGAAAACCTCGCAGTGGCGCAAAGCTGACCATTCTGACGAAGCCGATTGCCCCCTTGGGTGGTCGCACTACAGCCCGCGACCCCAGTTAGTTGCAGAATATCCTGTTAAACTACCAATCCGAGTCCGATCGGCGTCCGCCAATCTGCGCTATTACATCGCGATCGTGCCGATCTCCACATTCAGACCGAACCTATGTTCTTAACCAACCCCCTCTCCACTTCATTGATTGGATCAGATACGATCTGTTGATCGGAGGCGTCCACATCAGCTGAAGATTGGTGGATTGGGGGTAAGCTGAAGGTTTTTATGAGGTCTTTGCTCTCCCCACCCAAGAGCGCATAGCTTTTTACTCTCTCCCCCACCGCGTGGCTGAATCTACATTACCTCGTCCACCGATCCAGCTTTGTCTTTGTTTTATCCTGTATAAACACCTTTTCTATCAATCTTCTGTGTGGAAATGCCTTCTGAAATCCCTGGACCGCCTGGTGTGCCCGTTTTGGGCAACATCTTTGATGTCAACCCCAATGAGACCTGGAACTCTCTGAACAGCCTGGCCAGCAAATATGGTATGCAAATCTTATGGTCGCAAAATAAGATGGAAACTAATCGTATAAACAGGTCCCATTTTCAAGATCAACGTGCTGGGCCACCAACTCGTGTTCATCTGCAGCGTGGCTCTGCTCGAGGAAGTCTGCGACCAAACCCGATTCCGCAAGTGTGTGACCGGACCCGTCGTTGAGATCCGGTACTCCGTCCACAACAGCTTGTTCACTGCCTATGACGACGAGAAGAGCTGGGGAATCGCTCACCGGATCATGATGCCACACCTGACCCAGGAAGCCACCGATACCACCTACAATGACATGATGGAGGTCGTCCCGGACCTCACCAAGAAATGGAGCGCGGGCACCAAGCAACGCGTCAAGGCCAGTGATGATCTCGATTTGATTTTGGTGGCTTCGTGTATGAAGTGCTTCTTCAACGAGCGGGTGGAGGTGCTGGGTGAAAAGACTGAGACTCAAAAAAAAGCTTGGGGTTTGGTCCAGGCATTCGAGGGTGCCACCATGGAAGCTATGAAGCGACCGAGTCGCCCGAAGGTGTTGAATTGGCTATACCAGAGTCGCTTCTCCTCTCAGACCAAGACAATGCGCAATTACGCCGCCGATATCGTTAAGGGCCGGACGGACCATCCAGAGTTGGCTCGCAAGGATATGTTGGACGCCCTCTTGAACGGTGTGGACCCAGAGAGTGGCTCGAAGCTTGAAGCCTCTCAGGTTCTGGATGAGATTGTTACGATCTTCATCGGCGCTGCGACGGCCGCCAATCTTCTCACCTATGCGGTATACTACCTCAGCAAAAACCCCGAAGCCCTGAAGAAGGGCCAAGCTGAGATCGACTCTATTGTAGGCGATGGTCCGATTGACCTGGCTCACTTGAAGCAGCTGAACTACGTCGAGGCCATTCTACGTGAGACCATCCGTCTGTCTGCCACCGCGCCCGGCTTTAACATTGAGCCGATTCCCCGCGCCGACCCTAAGGATAAGACTCCTGTGATCCTCGGTGGAGGAGAATATGAGATCCCCTACAACCAGCCCATGATTGCCATTCTAAACGCAGTCAACCGTGACCCGGCCGTGTTTGAGGACCCATTGGCCTTCAAGCCCGAGCAGGTGATCGGCGACAAGTGGGACAAGCTGCCCGCCGCCGCCAAGAAGGGCTTCGGTAACGGCAAGCGCGAGTGTATCGGTAAACTGTGGGCCTGGCAATGGTCGTTCTTCACCTTGGCCAGCATTATCAAGGACGTCACGTTCGAGCTGGAGGATCCGGACTACAAACTCCATGCCAATGGTGCCTTTAGCATCAAGCCACTTGATATGTACGTTCTCATGAGCGGACGCCAAAAATAAAAGTGTGACTGAATAGGGGAATGATCAAAACTGGAAACCAAGGGGAGGACTTCGGGCTCAATCTCGATTTTTGGCTAATTAGCGGATACGAACCTGTTAGCATTGAATTTTGTCTATATAACTTATTTATGACCAATGATCTCAAAACTATATCCTGGTACATATATGTACAGTATGCGCATATCCAATTGATACAATATGACACATTCGAACTGGAAAGGACTCAACTCTGCATGCACATGTGTGATAATGCCGATCGACATACAAATAGCAATCAGAACGTCATTCAACAACATTTAAAAGAGGCAGGTTCAATGCCGTACTAGTATCCGTATGTAGTTGATCTAAAAGTAGAACCTCCCCGGGAATGTAAGTGGTTTTGAGGGTTGGGGTATCCTATATGACTTAAGAGAGGAAACCAACACTTGAACTTTCTCAAAGGATATCCCGAGTTCAAATCTCAAGATCGGAGTCAATACCCATTGATTTGTTATTTGTGAGTCTGACATACTCGGAGATAGCGGACGATTCACTTCGGCTTTAGCTTCAGCTTCGGTATACCACGTGACCCCCTTCCACCTCGCCTGAAGTGGAGTTATTGGATCATATTCCAACCAGCGCCACCATGCCTCCTCGACGAGCGCATACAAAAAGCCGCAGTGGATGTGACCAATGTAAAAGGCGCCGTGTTAAGGTCGGTGGGCCCCTTCTGCGGTTGTGGGATGGTTCCTAACGGGCGCAGTGTGACGAAACAGGGCCCCCTTGCGCGAATTGCATTTCCCGTGAGCTTGACTGCACCTATGTGAAAGCTTCACCAAAGGATGTCTCTAATCTGGGACGACGGGCTACGCCACTGCCAGCTAGGGAGAAAGGCCCCGCCACCCCATGCTCTCTAGCTCCGGCCAGTCCAGTCTCAATCCCCGCCGTAGCCGGAGTACGGGAGCTGGAGTTGATGCATCATTATGCCACGGATACGTACCGAAGCATGAGTACCAGCGATTCAGAAATGCAAGTGTGGCAGATCCATGTCCCGCGCTTGGCTTTGCAGTTCGAATTTCTCATGAACGGCATATTGGCGCTAGCCGCCTTACACATCGCCTCCACCTTGGAACCACCAGCGTCGTTCGCATACATGGACGCGGCTCTGCACTATCACAACCTCACCTTTGCCCCATTTCGAGCGTCTATTGACCACCTGACCGAACAGAATTGTGAAGCGGTGCTGGCGCAGTCTATTATTACTACAGTCTTTGGCATTGCCTTGCCACGGGTCACCGCTGTACGTGGAGAGAGCTCCAGCATGACGGAAAACATGGTCGTTTTATTCGAACTTCTTCAGGGCGTCAAGAACATCATCACCATTGGCCGGCCTTGGATCAAACTCAACCTGTATCCGAACCAGAATGGGTTGAAGAGCGATGGACCATCACTAGATGGAGGGACCCAGGCCGCTCTGGATCGGCTCGCGATGCTGAACGATGATAGCCTTTCCATCATCAATACAGACCAACACCTGATCAACAAAGAGGTCATTTCTCATCTGCACCACTGCTTCGCCATGTACAGCAACGCCAGAGGACCGGCCAATACTCTCGCCTGGCTATGTGCTGTCGACAAAGAGTTTGTAGACAATGTGCGGCGCCGGCAACCATTGGCCCTTCTGGTTCTCATGCATTGGGCCGTGCTACTCGGCGAGCTGGATGGCCAGTGGTGGTGGGCCCGTAACTCGGGCCGGGCGCTCGTCTCGGAGCTTCTGCTCATTATGCAACCGGGAGATGATCGCTGGGCAGATTCACTAGCCTGGCCTCAACGTACGATGGGTCTTTAACAGCAAAGAACTTGTTTCGCCTTATCTTAATTGATCCCCGTTTCCCAATGTTGGCGGACTTGTCAACGGTCCATAGCCTGAACGGGGGCGATTTGAAGTCTCGTGTTTAACTGAAGCCTCCCCTCATACCGGTGGAGGTGACAACGACAGAACCATAATGCAGGTTGTGATGCCGATACGGCCCAGTCGGCAGTACTAGTCTCTGGCCAGTTCTGTCGTGGTAATTGATTTGGAAATATGGATTTCCCCTTCAATATCACGACTCTTCCACCTCCCGTCGACAAGGAATATAGTATTCTTCACAGTCCTGGCACTTCAGAGTGATTATTCCAGCCCCTAGCAGCGGTGGACGAACGTGATCTGCTGGTTGTCTGGAATTCCAGCTGGTAGATGACCGAAGGACTGACATGTTTGTGCAAAAGATATACTAATGACCTTGGCTTTGGAAAGCAGGCAATGGTATGTCTTGTCACTATTTGTGCTGTACCTCTTTGACACGGCAGTGGTGAGTGGAGAACGTGCAGAGAGCAAAAGCCGTCTTCTAGGAGCACACCAATTTAGAGGACGCTGCTCAACGGTATATCCATCGTTCATTGCTGTCTTTTGTCTTTACTCGGGGACCCGCATAAATGGGTGGATTGATGCTCCTGATGAGAATAAGACTGGGGAGAGGTGAATTACTACCAGGGCGGCAGTTTATAGATCAGTCATAGTATAACTTGTATGTACGTGCCTGCCCAGGTTGATTATTGGCACGGATTATGATATCTGTATATCTATCAATTCAACATGATTATGATCTCTCAGATTCCAGAACTACTTGGCAACCCGGAACATTCAACTTTGTGCTGGATTCAACCACCTTGCCAGTCTGGATCACTGGCTGGGAGTAGGTGATCCCTTTCTCAGACATGGCTCCAAAAGTGTTGGCTACCGTTTCAAGATGCTTTGCTTCTCCATGAAGTCGAGGTTGTGGTTCTTCGGCATTTGATACTATGCCAAAGTGATATGAAAGCCCAGCCTGGCCGCCAACTTCTACCGATTGTGTCGGTTCCACCGCGACAAAGAACTGAATGAAATCGCCTGCATTGGCAACTTGGGAGAGGTGGGACAAATCTTCTCCGATCAAACCATTATCAAGGAATAATGGCATCTCCATGGGTTCTTCTGAACTGGAGTCTGCTTCGAACAGTTGGTCCAGGTCGGTAGCCTTATGGCGAATGATAGCTGGGAAAGCAACCTCTGGATCCAGGGAGAGAAGACCCTGCTTTTTTCCCCAGCCACCTCCACCACTCATGACGTGGTGCAATTTACCTCCCCGAGATAAGGACTGAGTGAGTTGATCTTGTATGGATGCATTGGGATCAGCAATCTCCACGTCTGGGGTCTCCACCAAAGCCCATACAGAAACTCTTCGGTCGGCGATATTATGTTCCTCGATATAACGTGGAAGCTCCTTCTCAAGCTCGGTGGAGGCAGGCATGGGCTCATCTGAAGAACCGTCAGTTGACTTTGCCAGCTGTCGTAAAATATTTCCCATTCCTGTTATCACCCTTCGTCGTTGAGTCACGGGCTCTAGTGGAAGCATCAGCCTCGGGCGAATACTGTCCTGTCTGGATGTGATCACGCAGCTCGCGAGGTCCGCAGACTTGTCCATTACATATCCATCGTTGCTCGCAACCCAGCGCATGCCTGTGAATGTTCGTTCATTTCCATTGAGAAAGACGGTATTGGTAAGGCGCAGACCAACGGCGTGAGTGGACGTTCTATCCCGAATGGAGATTGTTAGACTGGGCTCCTCGCCAGTTGGGCTTCCGATCCGGCGAGGCGGAGTAGCTTTCCATTGCACATTATCTTCTCCAACCATTAACATGGACACGCCATCATATTCTCCTCCAGCAATAGCATCGGGGGTGGTCCCTGGCGGACGTGTTGCACTGTTCGGAATCCGGTCAACCACAGCTGTGATTGTATGGAGAGTCTCTGGTCTTTGGGGGGTATTTCGGAGTAGTTTGCTCATAAAATTGCCAAGGAATGGTGATGTAGGATCGAGCAGGTGGGCGAGTTTTGGTGTGACGAGCAGTAGGGGGACGGAGCTTGGATTGCGCTCGTAAGATACTGAGGGCAAGGACGAAATGATATCATCCGAGGTCTGTCATGTTACATTAGTGAGAAACATACGAATGGGGGTTGCAATGGCTCACAATGGCTTCCGGTGTTCTGGTGAGCCAGGTGTAAGCGCTGTTCCATCGCCTTCCTCCGGTATGGCTTCTTGCGATAAACGAAGCTCGCAGCAAGCTGGAGCCACGCAGGTATCGTAAAGCCTGATTCTGGACGACCCTTGCTGGCATATGTACGAAGATTAGTGAGTGTACTGAATTGTCACGGAAATCCAAAATTGGAGTGGAGATCGGACAATGCGGAAAAAGTCCAGACCGCCAAACTTTCCATCCACTCTCCCGCATCTCCATGATGGTTCGAACAATAGAGAATCTTTTACTATCTTGTACCATTGAGGGATACTCATCATTATCTAAACATCTTCACGGAGCTCCTCAGGTTCAGGACAATGGTAAGTAATTCTATCAAATGGAAATAAAATCGTCCGATGGAGGCCTGCACCGTGGGGGTATTGACAGGACAAAAAGGAGAGACAAAATGTGGGATATGTATGTGCGACACAGTCGACCGGCGATCTATGCAAAGAACATAAAAAGGGATAAGAGAAACACGCAAAAAGATAGACAAAAAAGATGGTACAAAGACGGTTCGAAATTGCAGAGATATCGACTCCAGCCAAATTCCTTGATTCCTTCCCAGTGACCGTTGTTGTCTCCAGGCCATTTTCTTAGGATTCATCGTAATATGCAAGATTGTGTTTCCCGGCAGAATCGGCATCAAGTTCATGTCACTTTAAGCACCCCGAAGACATCACGACCTGCGTCACTTTCAATCTTCATGTTGGGGCGGGAGCGCTTCTTATTCGGGTTGACGACGACCTCACCCCAGTGCTTGGGTACCGCACCACCGGAATTCGGGCGACTGGTTGTGGATGCCTGATCAGAAGTCACAACGAGATGTGTACTTCCATCGTTTGTGGTGGGTGATGTGGAGGTAGATCGCGGGACATGGAGGGTTGCATGCGGTTGGAGATGGGGTTGAGGTTGGAGGGACCAGATATCGATGACAGAGCTGAACGAAATGGGACGGAAGGTCAATGAAAAGACAACAACAAGAAAATCATGGGGATCAAGATCGAGGACTCGACTCACTCTGATGTTCTTTGGCAAATAGCATCCAAGGCCTCTCTTTCGCGCCTCACATACTCCGGATCCGGCTGATTGGCCTGTTGGGCTTGATTCAGCGCCCCGTAGCCATATCCAGCCTGGTAAGGATCCTCATCTAGTAGGCGAGAGGACTCGGGCTGAAAGAAAGATCTGTCAGAATACAATCCAGGTAATGCGCATCGCACGGGTTGGTATGCGCATCGGACATCTTAGTCCCGATCGTTCAGCATCAGGACTCACCTCGGGAGATTCGTGACGGTTGCCGCCTAGGCAAGAGGCACAAATACCCATCTATAGCGGTGGGAGTGATCTGAGATCTGACACCTATTGTTGGAGGGGCAAGATGCGACTAGCACGGGGTGTCAATCACCTCTCCGTTGCCGATACAAAGGTGGGACCCCGATCCCCTCGATGGGGGTGGATGGGAAGATGAAGGCGAAGTTTCGAAGAGCAAAGAGTGTGGGATTTATTGAAACGAAACAGTTAAGGAAAGATGGCGCACAGAGGTGGAAAGCTGGGGGTAGAGGAATCAAATGGTTGAACATCGGTTGCGGTCGAAGATGGAGGTTGGGACGTCCGTGCGATGTCATCGGGCCGTGGCCGTAATCCGTGGAATTACCGTTCATAACCTCTTTTTTTCCCTGCATGTTCCACCCCCCACACAACGCTTCATTTCACGACATGTTTAGCTTACCAGAAGCTAAGCGGTATGCTGGATGCTCCGATTGCAGTAATGAGTCCCTATTTGCTAACAACTCCCAGGGTGCGCCGCGATGAGGTCCGGTCTCCGGCTTCGTCTCCATCTCTATCTCCAGTCGACGAATCGGATCTCCAAGATGTTCACGTACGCCTAGGGAAATTGCTCAACCTTGAGGGATTATTTGGAGCCAGTGCGACCTCAGAAAAAGCAAATGATGTCCTTGAGGCAGTAAATGATGAGAATGAGGACGAGGAGCAAGAGTTCGAATTCCGGCTGTTCAGCGCCCCGGCAAACCTCAAGGACACCGCAGAAGAAGCCGACGAGACCAATACGAAGACCAAGAATTCTTCGATTGAGAGTGAGAAACCGATTGCGGGCACACAGAAACTGCGAATAAGACTGCGATCCCCAACACCAGGCTCGGGCGATCCCTCGCAAGCCCGATTTGTCAAGGCTTCTCGGGGGTGGCAGTATTACTTTTCTACTCCTTCACTTTGGGGTGCAAACCTCGAGTCAGCAGATGAAGCCTCTCTGGTAGAAAGAAAAAAGCAATTTGAGGATATTGCCGTAACAGGAGAGCATATCACGACCTGGGCCAAATCTCAGCCATGGGTGAGTCCAATCGCCTACACTTTTCATCAGAGTTTACTGATGCCCTTTCCTAGCCTGGTTGTCATCTTCCTTGGAGAGTCATTCATCTTAAACGCCACCAAACAAAATTACCCCGGAAAGATAAAGATGTTCCCATATACGTAATCGAGGGCGAACCGCCATCCAAGTCACCCAAAACTCGCAAGAAGCCGGGAAAGAAACGACGAGTTTTACTTCGGAAACGCGCGACGGCTGCTTTGATCGCGAAGGAAGAAGATCAGGCTAAGCGGACCCGTAAGAATCGCGAACGAAAGATCAAACGAAGGCAGAAGGCTCGAGATGAAAAGGCAGCTGCAATGGGAAACAAGAAAGAAGATGGTGACACTTCAATGGCCGATGCTGATGGCGAATCATCTGGGGAAGATTAAGTGCGTCACTACCTTTGGTTCCATTTTACAGTTGCTGTGAAGCTTGATGAATACCCTGCATGAACCTACTCCCGGAATACAAGTATGCATGAATAATGTACATATGTAGTTGTGATATTCCAGAATCCATTCCTAGTGAAAGTTTCATAGATGCAGTTTTTTCGGATGTCTTGACAGGCAGAGGTCGCAAGAACTGGCGAGAAAAAGAGTTCTAATTTCTATACAGCTCAGGGCTATCAACTGATCCCGGTAAAAACCGTTGGAGCGGCGGCAACTGTAACCACCATATCTAACATCTAGCCCCGTTGAACTTTTAGTATAGGATATCATTGCCAACGCCGAAGTAAGACAGCGCTTCAAATTGGTCGTGAGAATAAATTGATTAGCCCAGAGCTTTCATGGCGAGCTCGACACTGGAAAGCAAACGTCAATTGTTGCCCATACCGGAAATTTTATCAAGAGAGGGGAGATGACAACATACACAACAAATGTACCCGCGGAGACGGGCATGGCTCTCAGTAATGTGGGACCAATACCCTTCCAGAACCCACCGAGACCTTCAATGGCATAGGTCTTCTTAAAGCAGTCACGCATGGTGGCGAACTTCTGGTCGGCGCCAAATCCATCGGTCTGCATCTTGCTTTTCACGACGTCAAGAGGGTAGCTAGTCAGCCAAAGCGCCTCACCAGCGAGACCACCATATGTGGCGACCTTCACAGCGCCAATGTCCTCGCGCTTCACGTTGTTACGCTTCGCATCTTGGTTCATCATGAACTCAAAGGCCATGAACCAGGCTCCATATGCCTGGGCCTCACGTAGGACAGTCACCGCCTGACCCCGGAACAGACCACGTATGGCACCCTGGTGAGCAGAAAGCTTCTTCACACAGTCAATGGGGCCGGAGTATAGGCGACCAGCACCATGCGGCTGCGCTTGCAGGCGAATACGGACGTGCTCAATAGGACCGGAAAGAACGGAGTTGGTGACACCAGCGAACGAACCGGCCATGTAGTACTGTGTGTAGGAAAGGGCGCTGTTGGCATATTTCTTTTGGTTCAACTCTTCGAGCTTTCGGCGGGCTTGGTGGAAGGCTCCAAATTGCACGCTGACCTATAAAGGTGGTCGGATTAGATCGATGGCGGGGGCAGCGTACAATAAGATTTGCGACATATTGACTTACGCAGGCACCAATTCCGATTAAAGGAGTCAGGGTTCCCTTGTAGAAGGCTGCAGGGCCTTCATTTTTGAAGATCTGGGTTGCGCACTCTAGCGCACTAGAGTACTGGGTAGTTGTTTGGAGGCGGACCTTGACGATATCTGGGTGGGTTAGATGGCTTCAATGGGGGATTGGGCGTCACTAACCAAAGGGTTGACCTAAAGGAATGTTAGCAACGGCACTGATCATCAAAATACCAAAAGTGTAAGACACGAGACGCAATAGTCAAGACTATTTCCGGGGTCGCCCCGGAGTTCTCGTGCGGGGGAGGAAGACATACCCAGAAGAACCTGCGCCATGCCGCCCGCGGCGCCGGAGGCCAGATCCTTGATGGTGCGCAGAGCATCAGCGCCCTTTTCAATATCGTCGAATGCTTCAGATTCCATGATCAATTGGTTCAATTGGTTGGAAAGAAAGAAAGATGTTTCCCAAAAATAATATCAGGGACAAGGGCTCTTATCGCGATGGCGCAATCCGCACTTCTGATTCGATCGTTTCGCCGACGGGAAACGGGCAAGTCAAAATGGTCTGTGCTTACCGACTATGATTTACACTGTGGAATCGATTTACTTGAAGTATATCAACTAATAGTGGTCTGAGGCATCCAATGTTCAGGTCGGTGGTAAATCTTACCTGGCGCTATCAGTGCGTACCTATTTTATAAGGGCAAAAGGATACTAACATTAAAATGGTAGAAGTCAGTTTTCCGCACGGCGCGGAACTTTACCACGGAGCAGGCGGGTTCTGTTCCAAGCTTATATCTGATCCACTTTGATAGTCCACAAGCTGATAGCGTGGGTCGACGCCTATATTGGGGAGTACTCGTGTGGATCAATTGATGAACATATTCTTTGTAGCCCCCCAGCTGCCTAGGTCAACTGATGGAAATTGATCAATCGGGATATATATTGAATGCTCCAAGACTCCAAGGTTCCACTATTTAGCACCACGAAACATCTGAACTTGATTCAAACGTTGGATATACTATCATACATTTACAAAAACAAAGAACTGTTTGGCGACAACGAATCCAGATCAGATTCCCCAACAAGCAGCGGGAAAATCTTCCGGATTCGATCCTCAAGGACGGCCTCCTCAGCCTTCCATCTCCTTGACACCTCAGCCTTCTTCTTAGCATCACGCGCACCGCCATACCAGGCTTTCGGAGCTCGTTCAAGACTTTCCCTTTCTTCCTTCTGGGAACGCCTAACAAGTGCCGATACCATGGTCTTCCAATTCTCAAGTCCGACCTTCAGACATTGCGCGCATTGTGCACGCGCAGCCTTTTCGTCAGAGCTCAGACTCAGCATCGTCGACTCGGCCATCTCGACTGCATCACGCGTCCAAGCGAGGCCCTGATCATGGGACGAGGAGGCGTAGATGATTTCCCCAATATATGTCATGAGGCCAGCTTCATCACAGGGGGAGCTCGCTGTTTGGTGAGGTGGGACATCACCTGATGAGAGAGGCGGTGGATATTCGACGGGGATGAAAACGGTTTTCAGGGTTTTGAAAAGAGCGGAAAAGGGGTCGCTGGAGGATCTTGTGGGGAGTGCAGGGAGAGAAGCTTGGGAGAAGGAGTCGGATGAGAGAGGAAGGGCACGACGCGCCTTAAGGATGGATGTGAAGATGGAGAGCGCGGCAGGGAGGTTATGGTGGCGAGCATTGTGAACAGCTAGTGCAGTTGACACTCGCAGAATGTTCTCAGATGGCAGACCAGAAGCACTGCTTTTAAGCACGCCGGTTTTGACATCCACGATCTTGCTGGCGTCGCCTTCGTATCCACCCGTAGCAATATCCATGGCCCAAGTATACATATCGCCTGCCGTATCCGGCAGACCCTTGAAGTCCAACCAATCGGCATAGGCAAGTGCAGCGTCAAGCTTCTGTCTTGTGTCGAATCCGTTTGTCGTAAGAACCTTCATGTAAAAGGTTTCGGGCGGAGGTGATGCAGGCTCACAGTCCTCCTCATGAATCTCCTTCTTTTGGCCAGCAGGCATGGGCTTAGGTCTGGGATTGGACGGTCCAATGACATACTCCGCCGGTGCAGAAATCTTCTGCTTGCGATCCGTCACCCAGCCATCCAGGTTTTCGGCCGCTTTTGCAGCACCCATAAGAGCCTGGAAATATCCCCGTCGCCAGGGCTCACTTTTGGCCGATACATCTAGACCTGTGCGACCAACACCTTCGACAAGGAGACCACCCTCATATTGTTCAACAATCCCCTTGCCTTCACCTTCCACATCCTCAAGCCGCTCCAGTAATTCCGACATGTATCCGGCTACCATGGGCCAATTGGTCATCAACTTGCCAATGTAATCAGGATGCTGGAGCGCTTGTGCAGAGCGCAGCGACCAGCGGCTTTTCCAGGACCATTCCGGTGGTGTGGGCCATTGGTGCTCGATATCTTCTTGATAGACGCCGAGTTGGATGATAGAGAACAGGATCAAGATTGCGCCGAATGAAAGGCTAAGTTTTAGGCCCCGGCCGAAGCGGCGCTTATAACCCTCGCGACTTTCGGTAGAGATGAGTCGGCCAAAATGCTTGCGCAGGTGAATGGAGAGTGGCGGCAGCGGTCGAGATGGGGCTAGCGGTGTTAGGAATGGTAATTGAGGCCGGCCGGGTGGTGGGGAGAGGAGAAGTGGTGTGCGGTTTGTGAAGGATCGGAGGCAGATATTGGGGCCATTCGTTCGAAGAAACAGTCGAGTGTGGGTCGGTATTCGACCGATGGCATTTCGTGGTGGTAGCATGGTTCCAACTACCAAGAACGCATCGCGTCTATTCCAGCATTTTCCCCGATGATGGTCGAGGACTGAAAGCGGTGAATAAATCACGTGCAGCAGAATCAAGATTCAAGCCATACGGAGTTCAGTGGTACAATGAACTCACTCTGAGAGCACACTTAAAACTATAACCCAGTCAACACAGAATGTTTCAGATGTTCCAAGGTTTAGTGGATTAAAAATGGGATTGTTCAATGTCCAAGCACTTGGGTGATGTAACCTTCAAATGTGGAAGCGATTGGCTGCGCTCAGGGTCCAGGCAGCGACCCCAGAGTCTCGTATTTTAGTCCACTCGCCTATCACCGCTAGGTCGCATTCTCAACAAACATACACAATACAACATTAGTCTGAAGGTGGAAACATTGTTTGTATTATCTGCCCGACTTTGTTTCAAATTAAGATATCTCGCGACATCAAGGCACACCAACTCCTATGGCATCTCTTTCAGGTTGGTTGGTTACAAATTCGTGCTAGAGGCTACCAGCTGATATGCTTGCAAAAGATTCGAAACTGAGAAGAGACTCCCATTTTTGTTTCCTTGACTTACCATTTGAGCTTCGAAGCAGAATAATCAAATACACCATCATCTCTACATACTCTACAAACGAGCTCAAGGCTTTGGAAAAGCTTCAACACACTTGGCCTCGCACGGGATGGGAGATAAAGCCACGGGACTTCACTATCAATTCTACTGGTCTCAAATCCCATTCTATGACGTTGTTCAATTTTCTTCTGGTGAATAAGCAACTCCCGCGTGAGGCGCTCAGCATCATTTTTCGGCATGCGACTCTTTGCATTCACGTGCATATCCCCAGATACGGACCATTAAGCACAATCCTGAAAGACATAGTCAAAACTTATCGCATCGTTCGCGAGTATTCAATGCTACTGAAAGTAGCACGCGATATCACCTTGATCATTGAGCCACAGCCTGTATATAGTCAAACACTTCGACATAAAGTAGCCTCTATTTTGGACGCAAGATTTGGTCACTACATAAGTATTTTTTAGGCTCCTTTATTAAGCTTGTGCATCGAAACTACATTTACCAGTATCGCTCAGCTTGCTACATGGAGTTACAGGATTGTGCCTTCTCAAGGAAAACGACACACTGATCTTAAGGCTCTTATCGATCTTCTTGTGCAGTTACCCGAGAGCGGCACACCCATGAAGATTATTGCATATCTGTAGCATTTGTACCGGCAAGATCTCGCAATTGTCCTCGGTTTACTGAAATTGCGATGTGGGCCCACTACGTTGGAGGAGGTTTGGGCTGTTTGGCATCCATATAATATGGGCCATGAAATAAACTACCATGATCTAGTGACATCTGCTGCGGAAAAAGCTGGATGCATGGAGATTCTCAGTATTACTCAGGAATTTGATGTTGATGAGACCGATGAGGGTGATGTTCGTGGCACTCAATACATCGGGAGGAGCCGAAGAGCATTGACACAGAATATCAATCTTGAGGTACCTAGGCAGAGAGTTTTCTGTCCCACTTCTTGACTGATCCGATCACCATCATTACCGGATATTTATAGAGGGAGATTTCAGGAGCCACCGCACGCTATAATGAGTATCTTCCTGAAGAAATTCCCGCAAGCTTGATCAAAGTACCCGGAGAATCCGCAGACGGAGCCCCCAAGACAAATTCTTTTTAGAAAATCAATATCACGATTCATCTATTACTGCCGCCCCGGTCCTAAATCTCTATATCTAGATAGCCCTTTTTGAATCCATTTGATCCCTTATTGTAGCAAAAAATTAAAGAAGAGACCAGCACTTGAAAGCAATAAGCCCCGCTCAGCCTTTTTTTTTAGTGCGTCATAATCTAGGACAAGGGACACCTGTTCAAAAATTGCGTTGACTGCACCTAGACTCTCTTCGGGCATATAAGCGCGGAATAAATGGCGATGGTATTAGGCGCGCTGTATCAGAGTCTAGGGATTTTGACCATGAGATCAAATATATCGCTCTTGTGCTTCTAAAGCGGCTGGTGATATATTCGAGTGGATATGTAGTCTACGGAGGCGAGTAGCGGCCATGCGGTCAGATCCCCAAAACCCAGGCAAAAATGGTAAAAATAATAGAAAATTCAAAAATACTGAAGGGCCGAAAACAGTTATTTACAAGGGCGCAAACGACTGTGCATACGTTACATAGTCCCTAAACCTTAGTACATATGTCAGTTCCCGCCTAGTCTAGGTTAATTAGTAAGTAGATCTTTAAACTTCTAAAGTCCTACAAGATTAAGTTAGTGTTATCCTATCCCTATAGATATAAATAGTATTATAGATATTTTTAAGGGTATTTAGGTCCACTTAAGAAGGGACTCGATCCCCCTTAGTGGGAAATAAATCATGGGTCAGGCAGTCAAGTTTCAAATGAGCCTAGGTAAGTATTAGTACTGGATAATACTGAAACTATGGATATTTTGGTATAATAAAGTACAAAAATAATGATCTGACCACATGGCCGCTAGTCGCTTCCGTAGTAGTCAGAGATTTAGCTATGGCGGCAAGTTGCATGACTAGCCATCACCAGTATCGGACAACATTTAGAAGTTGAGTGCAGTTGCAGATCAGATAATTCAAGAGAAAAAAAAAAGATCCGATCCTTAGATCATGCCGAAAGACGAGCCTTCGCTCGTCGATCACGCATCTCAGCCGCACAATCATCTCTATTATAGATACTGCTCACAGACGGATGTTTCATGACAACCTGGGCCCACACGTAGAATTTTGCCGCTTTTTCTTCCAAATCGGTTACCATGGTTCTTGGCAGTGACGCATTTTCGGTGTAAGGCAACGTGAAAATCCGCAAGATAAAATAGGCCGTCAGGACCTGCAAATTGTGTCATCAGTTCCGGACTTGTGTTGTTCTCAGAGGAAAAAACCGAAAGGAGTTGGAGGCTTCAAAAGAGCAGTAGATTGTTTACCTCGGCCATAGTCAACATGTCACTGCCACCAAAGAAAGGGTTCGCGTCTAGCAAGAGAGGCTCGATCTCTTTGATGACGGCATCAGCAAAGCGCTTGCCGAGCACTTCGGCTTCTTCATCGACTTTAGCTTCGATCGCCGGGTAGTAGTAGATATTAGCCTTTGAAAAGTACGTTCCGACAAAGAAGGCGATTCTCTTTCGCATGAGGGCTCCTTGGATTTCCCCAGTGCGCGGAGTCAAGTGCGTCGATATCACCGAGTCAGCCAGAAACTGCGCGATAATAGCCGATTCGAAAATGATTTGTTCGCCATAGGCCAATGTGGGGACTGTTCCATCAGGGTTTAGTTTGAGATACGCAGGAGTTCTCGGCTTGCTATAGTCAATCCTTTCCGCTTCAAATGGCATACCCAGCTCCGCCAGCGCAATGTGAAAACCGTGTGCCCCTGAGGTCACGATCGTGTGAGGCCTTAACATCGACTGCAGGTACTTTCATCATCTCGTCTTTGATCTGTTCAATAATCATTGCTGTAGGCGTTCAAATTGAAGGTCTCCGTTATAATGTTTGGGATGCCGACAATTTGTATGTGTTCTAGAAAGAGCTCTGGAGAATAAAATCAATTGAGGATTGCAGCAAGTTTCAGCATCTATATATCATGTAGTTCCAAACAGTCTCTGAAGGAGTGTATAATGACGTGATAGGCTGAAATGAAGACTGAGCGTGGATGTTGGGCGGCCCAAGATAAGGGTTGAAAGCCATGGCGATGTACGGGATGGGCGAGGGTCATCGGGAAAAGCCGAATTACTGTCGAATTAGAATTGACTTTAGCCTCTTGTAACTGGGCTTATCGAGTTGGGTTTTATGCGGAAAATAGACTAGATACCTGATACTACCCGGAGACCTGCCTTATTGAAAGGAAAAATATTCCTCTTTTTCCTCAAATTTGAAATCATATCGTGTTATATGCAATGGATTGCACTTTCGATTTTCAGTAGACGATCAGTGAAGTGGGGCCAGGGTGTCCAGATAGGCTAACATACATGGATTCAATGTAGCTGGTCCTCTCTATAATCTTGGCTTTGTTTACATTCCTTGACCCCTTTAATAATGTCTTCCACAAAACGGCGAGGTGCCGAGTTTTTCGCGCCTTCTTCAATGAGGAAGGGAAGATTTTGATCCTGATAGACATGTTTGAGATCAGACATCCGACCCGCAATTAAGTCAGTCTAGATCTGATAAGTCAACAACGCTGCAGATACTTACAGTTGCTTAAAGGTCATAATGATATTTATCTTATATACGTTCATATATCGACTCCTCCGCGTCGATAAACTTGTCAATATCATCCTCTGATCCCCTTTCATTAAAGTCGTTTCCGTACTCCACCTCTCTTAAGCCTTGAGTGGCCAGCCCTAGATCTACCATTCCATTAGACAATGCCTTCTCAATCTTCGCCAACTCCTCATTTTGACCTTTACCAAAAGCAACCATCATATCGTAAAAGCTAGTAATCTCTTCATGCGACTCTTTCTCGTCTAGCATCTTTCTTTCCCGTAAACGCAAGAAACAATTCAACGGGGTATTGCCAAAATTGTCCGGAGTGCTGATGTCAACGTGAACTTTGTCTGGCCCACTCTGACTGATGAGCCGCATCATCGCAGAGTTTGAGCGCAATGCGGCTACGTGCAGAAGTGTTGCGCCGTTGTCAGATACAAAGTCAAGCCTAGCCCCCGCATCTCTGAGCACGGAGAAAGCAGCGAGGTTGTTGTCCGTAGCTGCCAAACCTATTGAGCTGCTGCCCCCTGGCCATGGCAACTCCATGTCGGCTCCTGCATCAATTAACGCTTGGACCGTCGCCGGGTAACCCATACTTGCTGCTCTGTGCAGAGGAGTCACACCCGCGGCGCCATGTGTACCTGTACTGTCCACGACAGCGCCATAGGCTACCAGAAGTCGGACCATTTCGGCACTCGGACCCAACGCAGCCAGTTGTAGTGGTGTCACGCCATCAGTCTTGGTTGCATGAACATTACTACCCGCATCGAGTAGGTGCCGCGCAATTTCCACATTGCCTTTCAGAGCAGCGGCATGCAATGCTATTTCCCCACTAGAACAATTCAACCCCGTATCAGCACCCCATTTTAAAAGTAATCCGACCGCTTCCCGATTGTCCATCAAAGCTGCCCACCAGAGTGGCGTGTTTTCGAGGTTATCTTGGGAGTTTACGTCTTTCCAATGGTCCTCTACCACCTCCTCCAAGTCTTGACCGGACATGCCTTGAACAGCTCGATGCAATGGATTAAATCCAAGAAGATCTTCGCCCTCTTTCATAACGTCGTTCAAGATTGTATCCCGGACATTGGCTCCCGGTTCGTTCGGCCAGAGAATCTTTCTCCTATATAAGCTCGTAAATGCAGCTCTGTTGGTAGATAAGCATCAGCCTCATAATATTTTAAAGTTCGTCGATGGAAGAAATTCATCGAGTAATGGGCATGCTTACCTCCCGTCCTCATTCTTCCAAGTCAAGTCTGCCCCTTGTATCTGAAGGAAACGGACCATGTCAAAGTTTTCCCGCTGAATGCAATGCTAATTAAATCACAATAAATTATTAGTTAGTATATATTTCGACACGTGAAGTTCCGAAAAGCGTTGTCATGAAGCTATCTTGCTCTCAACTAGGGGGGAAATACTTACAAGAGCCAAAGATTGACCTCTAGGACTGACATCGTAAATTGACCCCAGACCACGCGCCATCCAGTCCTGAAGCTGTGGAATAGTACCTTGGAGGAGGATGTTCCAGATGTTAGCATCAGGACTAATCACGCGCGGCATCCTAATCGTCCATGATATGCCTGTACCACTGATGTTCTTCCATTTGCTTGACACATGTAATGCTCGGGACAACGCCCAGTGGGGGAAGAAGTAGGTGAAATGACATGACGACGACTCTGTCTTCTTGCATTGCGAGTAGTTGCAAGGTCGTTTTCCCAACACGGGTGTGCCAGAGTAGCCATAGAACAGCTCTCCGAGGGTTTCACGAAGCCACCGTGGCGTCCGACTGGCGGTTCGGACGTAGCATTGGCATTTGCAAAGCTGGGAACATTCCATGAGCGAAAAACTTGCCCCTATGCGCAAGATTTGGTTTCCTTCCATTCTTTGTCTCTGTGTGCCAGACGTGGGACGGGTATTTGATGGCCATGTAAGTTGGTGTTCTCGTATACTCGGAGGTGGGTTGATATTAGAGAACAGTTCGTCGAGTTGCGATTGTATATGTTGCATATTGTTATCCATCTTACTTGACGCCTCCTGAATCCTCATTGAGCAGGACTGTATGTCGAGCAATACTCTGGGCCTATAGATATCGCATACGTGTCAAATAAGATCCCGGCTTGAATGCCTTGCAGGGGCATTTTTGCGGCTGTCTTCCTCTGAAACACGTAGATAACGCACATTTGAATGCCCCCAAGCGCTACGATAGCGACTGAAATTTTATCGCACTGATCTTTTATTTTGCTTCGGAGTTCCTGCACCTTCCTCGCTTTCAATAGCCACTTGTGACGCGAAACTTTCGGGTTACCATTTTTGTCTAGCGTCCGGCTGCTTTGACGGAGCTCCTCATTGATGAGAGTATCTAGCTGGTCCGTTAAACCCTTCGCGCTGTCAATAAATTGCTTAAATTGTTGAATAGGAAAGCCTATACGAGCAGTAGCGGCTGTCACTGATTTATCGTGAATAGCACCAAGTTTGTATAGGCAAGTCAACAGATATCGCAGATCCGTAATCTGTACAGAAAATGGATTCAGTTCGGATGTACTTGTAAAAAAACGTATGGATTCAAGCGATCATACGACCAGAGTGTGAGATAGCAGTTTGCATCTCTACTTCACCTACAGGAGAATGGACTTACCTCATTCATAAGCCAGGCGAGTTCCTCAGGAGCACGTCTCAACTCAAGGAGCTTATCTACTCCAGCACCTACAGATGCTGTGGCTTGAATGACCGCAATAATACCCGCTGCGATTGACAGTGGGTCTGCCATGGCGAAAAAGCATCTCCTGCTCGAGCAGTTCTTCGGTGGCTTCAACAAGGTTGTTGTTGTTTTTTAAAAATTAAGGAGAAAATAAGAATACTCAAGTTGAAAAGATCGACATTCTAATTGAAGGAAATAATTTCGATTCTAAGCCCTGATTCGAACGATATTGGGGCGATTTTAGGCAACTGTAAATGTAACCTCAGCGCAATACATAGTTGGGTATCCATTTTGCGGGGTCATAGCCCACTGACCGCGGGGTTATTATTAGTCAGCCTCCCTTGCGGGGGTAAGTTCTAGCCTTTGCACACAGTTAAACCACTCCTATATAACCTTAGAATCCTCTATTTTCGCATGATCATAGTTATATCGCCTTGAATATCGAGCTTTAAGGGTAGGGTGTCGCTTAACGAAGTTTGTAGCCTAATTTCGGCCGACCGTTATGATCGGGGTCTCTCCACGCTCTTTTAGCAGCAAATTGGCTATACCTGCCACTATAGAGGGTCGTGGGGTAAATCTACGATTGTCCATAGATATTATTCATTCATAAAGCGATATCTCTTTGTTTTTTGGTCAATTTACTGTATGTGAATTTACGCGTGAATTCGCGCGAGAGATATTCCCCACAAGACGACTTGAAAGTGTAGAATAGGGTGTATTATATATACGTGTAGCTTCGCGCCTAGACGGTAAATTCGTGTATTTGATAGCTTGGATAGCTATTAGAATTTTACCCTCCTGCTCTGTTGAATTTCGAGCTTTTTGGGTACATTTTGGTGGCATAGTGGGTGGTCAAAGGTGGTGGGGTGGTATGGAAGACGCAGTTTTGATGGGGTGATCAGCCCGCTTGTGCGGTCAGCTTGCTTGTGAAATACATTGAAATACATTAATTTAACATATTTCACAAGCGGGTCGTGCACAAAAGCGGATCGCGCATCCCTAAACACCATAGTAAATGCGATTTAGTATCTTAAAGACAGTTGTCTAAAAGAACTTTTCCTTTCAGTATAGTTATTTTTATATGATATTGGCCTACTTTAGGGAGTTTCGAGAATTTTAATGATCTCACGTCTGCAATATATATATTTTTCCAGTTCAAGGGCGTAATTTTTATTAATATGATAATATAAAGAATCGATTTTTTTTTAAAAAATTATTATTAACATCTCAGAGTCCTTATCGATGTCTATCGGTAAGTGCTGGAACTGATGAAAAATATAGTTGTTGAGATATCGGAGTAGTAAATATCGCATTTACTATGGTGTTTGGGGGTGCGCGATCCGCTTGTGTGCGCGACCCGCTTGTGAAATACGTTAACTTGTGAATTCCGATTATATAATATGAAACTCAAGCTAAGTAAGTTAACTAGTCTGAAAAGAAAAACTCCTGAGGCCTTTGCTTCCGAAAAGGCAACTCCAGCGAGCTGCCCGCCCCGCCATGGCCATAGTTCGTGGGCTCTCATTGGCGGGATAATGGCCGGCATGGGTCCCGAAGCATCTAACACTGCGGCCTGCCGGGGCTTCGCAATATAGCCACCTCTGTGATTAGTAGCTGAATTTATTGGCTACGAGTATGCTGAGGATAGATTTCTTCTTAGAGACTCTAGCGTAATATGTTGTCTTATCCGCAAGCCAAAAAAAATCTGCATAATTACTCTCCCCCTGAAATTATATTGGTTCGGTCAACAACATAGCACTATAATTTAGTCCACAGTCGATACAACAGGAATTTCAGCAATCTGCAAGTTTTCAGAGCCGTACGGGATCAATAGGACCTGGATTGGCTCGCCTGTCACACGCGGCTTGACAGGAGGCAAAGCGGCCGTGCCCAGTGTATCTGTATAATCAATTTGCCAGAAAATCACCCAGAGCGCAACGGGGGTGTTTTCACACGTCCAAATAGGATTTAACAGTGTCTGATCGGGGTCGTACAGCTCCTCAACGGTCAAAGAGGTTGGGTAGATCCCGTAGCGCCACTCGGAAGACGAATCTAGGACCCAATTATGAGTCTGAGTTGTAATTTGATCACTCGATAAAGTAGTCAGACTGGACTAATTAAGTGGAGAGTCGTAAGATGCGTTGTACTCGATGTCCAACGCGCAGAGCAATGGGACGTAGTATATAGCTACGGAGCCATTGCGAGCATCACCGACATGAATTGCCATGTCCAAATCAACCAGAACTTGAGTTTCTCCCTTGTAGATTTGAGACATCTGAAGATGCTCCAATTCGGGAGACAAATGAACAGCTTTGCCATTGTTGATACGATAGCTAGAATTAGCAGTCGCCCATGACGGAATACTGACTGCGAATTCGAAGGACGTGGCTGCGGTGATGGTGTGGGTGAGCTTTCCGGAGAATGGATATGCAGTGGTACAAGCGATAGTCACATTCAGCTCATTCAAAGAGGATTTAAGCGTGGTTGGTCCCAACAGCGCATGGATAATCTTAGAATCACCCTGGCGGACGTAGGAAGATGCGGTGAATTTCGGATAACCCTGCCCATGGTTGACGGTGCATCATGGAAAATTGGGCTCAAGTCCATATGTGTTACCATCCGATACGACATTATAGTATGGCTTCGCTGTCAGGTCTCTGGACCACGGCTGATTTGTCTGTTGGACGTATTGATGCGCCCACCCTATTAGATTCTCCTTCAGTATTATTCCATAGATGAGATCCAGAATCCTCCAGCACTGAAAACCTACAATTGGATGTCTCTGCAGCAAAAAGTGTATTGTAAGCAGTGCGTTCCGATGTATCGGCATAATCACCAATGCCGTAAAACCGTTCCAGGTAGCTCATGGAAAACATCATTTCAACAACCATGCAGGTTTCAGAGCTGAGGTTGATAGTCAATGCATGAATGCTAAAAAAAAGGCGTAAATGAAGATTGCTGTAGAGTTAACACATACCCTCGTTGAGGGCTCAACCAGCCCAGATGCTCATCCGCTGTAATACTTCCCGCTCTGGAGGAGTGGTACAAAGTTGTCCAATTAACAGCTTCCGATGTTGAGTTAGCAATATATCATCTTCAGTAATTCGGTAAAGAACGGTGGGATATCGTAGTTTTTCATCAGCTGCGATTAGCTTGGCAATATCTACTTAGGAATGGACGTAGACACTCACCCTCGGCTAAGTTCACGCCATGAGTAAAGCCACTTGTCTTAATATATGGCGTGCCTACTGTAGGGAATGCCCCTCGAACCAAAAAGGCAGTCCAGTCTCTTTCGCCCTTTCGGGCACCTGCAAACATAAGCTCCTTTGTCTCCTAAATTATTTTCGAGTTATTGCGGGGGTGATTCTCGTAGAGCCGTTGCAGAGCCAAGGGCAATTCATGCTTTCTTGAAAGACCAAAACCATACGGGTCAAAGTCATCTTCCTCCGATTTGTGTTCTATTAGGCCTATGTAATTGTTTATAAGCATCTCGTGTGCGAGCACGGTGAATTTGCGCATCGCTGTCACGATGCACAAATTATGTGCTACGGGTGAAGTTGTCGGACTGGCGGACATATCTGCCCACTTCGCTCTCTAAGATCCTTTCTCTTTATGTTTAACATATCCACTCCGACAGATTTTAGAAGCAAGAAGGAAGAACGGTACTTTCCGACGCGAGAAATTCAATTGTCTTGTTCCTCCATAGCCGCCTGTCGTGTTCTAGTAAGTAAGCTTTTCCAAATGAGCATAGTACGTTTCTATCGATTTTGTCAAATCTCCTCCATGACTGTGCAATGTAAGCTGAGTTACTGGTATAGTGATCAACGTGATCAGGAAACTTTGCGCAAACCAACGAACAGTGAATCTGTTGGTTATAAGGAGGGTTGATGTCGCGAAAAACAAATGGCATTGAATAGCCATAATATTGGACAGGCGACAGGCCTACAGTGAAGATATGCTCTGTATCTGACCGCGAGTTAAGGGTGAATGTAACAATTGATCTCTAGACATATGACTGGGAACTTTCTTGACAGTAAAGGCCTCCTTATTCCCTCCGTGCGAGGCTACACTATACGGGTGAAAACGTGCTTCCTGACTTTGATCGTAGCTTCAAAAAGAGGGGCTAGCAGACTTCTCGCTGTTCTGAATTAGTAATTTACACAATACTGAGAAAAAAGCCGAATTTAATTGGTTGACAGACTCGAAGCCCAATTCCGGCCCAGAAGCTGGATTGGGACATTCCCCTTTCGTTTGCACCAAGCAAATGAACCCTGGTCGTGTAACGTCACTTATTATGTGCATTGGAGCTACAATGCTATCACCTAAAAGCCTAGATTAAGAGCTATAATCTCTGCGGGCAAGTATACTTGAATGAGTCTTAACGTTCATATCCTCCGTCGTCTTCGCCGCGCACACGTGCCAAAACAATCCTCCCCTACCTGAAATCTCCGGTGCCGCTCCCATTTAGTCTACCATGACATTGCTTGAGGCCGTGACAAGATCGAAATTTATTGAATTATTGATTTGATGCGCTTTCAAGATGACAGTCCGTCCTTTGAAACACCCAAGAAGAAGTTCCGTTGCTAGTCAGTTTCTCTGTGTGCTCATCGAACTCGCTTGTAGGCTCGTCAATGATAAAAATTCTGCCAGGTAAGAGAATCATACGGGCAATGCAGAATATTTGCTGTTGGCCATTGGAAAGGAGGGCTAAGTTGATCTTCGCGTTCAGGCCAGCGTTGTCTCAGATTTGACTCCAGAGCCCGACTTCTTCCGGCGCAGAGATCAGCACTGAATCATCAACCGTGAATGATGTTCCCAAAGAAGGGTTCTTACGGATCAAAACTGGATGCATTAGGGGACTTTGAGATAATAGGACCAATGCCGAATTGAGTTTCTCTTTGGGAACAGTTGAGGTATACATGCCGTCAATGTAAATTTCGCCAGAAATGATTGTCGCAAAAGAGAACAAACATGCAAGTATAGAACTCTTTCCAATATTGAAAGTCAGCTGGATCTCGTTCGAACGGACATTTCTAATCTTATCTTTCAGTTCGCCGAGAAATGCCTAGCTTCTGTCCACTCTCCAGAGTAAATGATGTGATTCTCATGTATTCAGTCCGCGGAGACAAAATCTTGTCCGCGGGAACAAAATCTGTCGGTTGTGTCCCGATCAGGCGCGTTATCAACCCGACCCATAAGTTTCACTCAATACGCACGAGCGATTGCGAGCATATTTCAGCCATTCACAATAAAACCCTAAACCATCCTTACGCGTCCGAGGAAGCAAAATTGTATTAGGCTTACAAGCATTTCTGTTATGATGTAAAGCTGGTGCAGATCAGGAACCAAACACCTACATCGAAACTAGTTCTCAGGTGCCTATATGAACGCCTAGGATTGGTGGGGAATCGGGTATCTTCTCCTCGTATGTATCGCCTCATTTATTCCGTCTGGTACACGAATAATCAAACTTTCTTTGAATTAGAGCAGATCATGTTCTCGAAAAAGTTTCAAGAACAAGAAATCTGATGGAACAACTTGTCTTTCCTGGACAGATATACCTCAAATGCTGTTCCTGTGCCTGACTCTTGAACATGCAAATAAAATCGAATAGAAGATACAAAAATACTGGCCAAACATTGTGAGAAGAAGATATTTTTGTCTTTTTCCATTATAGTATCCTCTTCAACTATAATCTGTTGGATCCTCCTCAAATTTGAAGTGTATTGTGATTCAAATTTGACAAATCACCATGTTCGAGATGGTCGGGCTATCACTTCCAAGTCGAGGTAATATTGTAGATTTTAACATTGACGCCCTTAGTAGCACCCCCAGTCGACACGAGATGTGTGTGAATTGCATCGCTGCTTGGGAAGATCTGAGCCGTCAGGGTGGTCTCACCCAGCCCGCCGAAAACTTCCACACGAGACCGATCAACAAAGATGCTCAATTGCACATTGTTGTTAACGTCTGGTTTGAGGGGACCGCGGTAAACGCTTGCAAAAGTCTTGTCAAAGACACGTCTCCAGATTTGGTGCGATCAAGGAATACCTGCTTGTTGACGAAGTCGTAACCGACAAGGGTCTGCTCGGCGGAATCAGTGGAGGCTCGAACGGCAATGGCAAACTCCGAAGCCGTCGAAGCAGCAGAGAAGTTCAGGTCGACCTTGATCGCATCTCCAGTGGTGCCAACGTTCACGATGCCCATCGGGACAGAGTGATAGGTATGTGAATATGCCGGCTGCTTGTTTATAATAGAAGACCAGGCTTCCTGGGGCTCTTGAATGAGAGTCACCTTGGCACCGATCGTCTCAAGGGCTAGGTGCCGAGGAATAGACATGGTGCTGCGCCACGGGGTGGTAGGAATATTTGCGCCATACTGCCAGTTATTCATCCACCCGAGGTGGACGTGGTCGTCAGTAGTTGTTCCGACAAGCGCTGGCATCCCGTTTAGGACTAGCTTAGTTTGGGTCTGGGGGCATATCCTCCAGACCTTCTGCCCTTTTCTCTTTTCTCCCCCCATACCCAATATCACATACGTTTTGTGTGAAGCTGTCAGCCTACATACTGTAGTCATCTTCCATCTTCCCCGCTTGGGGCCTATTGGCGCCAAGACAAATGTATCTACTTCCCTTGGCCTCCACTTTACCCTGGACTGCCCCTAACGACGCCCTAAAAACGCGAAGCTACTATCCAAACACACTATGGCACTTTCAGAAACTCTTGAGACATTCCTGCAACATTGTGGAACCTTCATCGGGGACAGACTGGAGGCAGCCCCCTTCCAGACCTTCCTCATACTAGCCTCTATCTGGATATTCTCGATTCCTGCCATTTTATTGATTACAATCCGCTATTGGCCGTCTAATTCCGCCAATGACAGACCTCAGCTCCGATGCCGCTCATGCGGGAGCACCGATATGACCGATATTCCCAGTGTTGGGATCTCAAGCCCAGGCCCGAGTGAGAAGATAGACTAGATCTTGGGGGCGGAAAACGCCACATGACATTAGGGGCGGCTGATCACCAGACTGCTTAGGCGGAATGAACACAAGTTCGCCGATTAAGATATACATTGTGGGGCCTGTATGGGGCCTACCCGTTAATGGGAATTCGGTTTAGTCGCTTCATACAAGTTTGTTTCGCCTCTTTTTACGTTTTCCAGTCTGAGCTCTTTTGACAATGGGCAGTGTACCCAAAGTAGAATTAGGGTGGAGTGAACTATTGTATCAGTTTGTCGACTTATAATGTGCGCGCAGGGTTTTTCTCGACGACTTGGACTGCTTGCAATGAGGAAGTTAAGGCTGAAGGAAAGACCAGTGCTTCGTGTGAGGGGTATGGAAGCAGTGATCAGGGTGGTGATGTTTGTCTTAGTATCCGTGCTACTGGATGTACCTAAATTGATTAGGTAGGATTGGTTAGGCGTGGAATATTTGAATGACTGAGGGGTATAGGGCTGAGTAGCTGAATCACTGATTATTTGCTTTTGATAGAGTAGTATTTTAAAGGCGCAGAAAGAAGGTTTTCTTGCAAGGCAAAGGCTAATATTTGCCGGCTTAAGCTTTATTTGGATTAAATCGTGGAATAAAACTATTGCCCCTTTCTGAAAATATCTACCCCGTACGTCACTTAATGGAGTGATTTAGTGTAATCAGACGACATTTGGATATCTTCATAGCTTCAACTTCGAAGTGCTATTCGAATCTACTAAATGATAATGTCATATACACCATACTAATATATGTGCGAAGGATATGCCTCAGATCTTTAGGTGATGCACCTTAATGAACAGATTCCCTATATAGAGAAAATGAGAGGAAGAAAAAAAATGTGGTTCACTATACTCTGTTCAAGAACATGACCGGAAAATCTTGATAGAAATCCAAATAGCAGTTGAAAGGATTCACGCTAGAGTATAAGAGAAAAGAATTGGGGGTACCAGCTTCATCCTAGGTAACAATTGAACTTCGGCAGACCTACATAATGGATATATCCAGGTAGAAAGAAGATTCTGAGCATCTCTTCCAATGGCTAGGGCCACCTGTTATGGGCCTGATTACAGGGCTGTACTTATCCGGTTTCAGATTTACGGGATCCGAGGGTACAATATTCACGCAAATTGAGCAACTCTCTGGCGCTATCTTATTCCTGATTGGCCCCTGTTTATTAGGGCGGAAGATGCTCGGCCAGTATTATAGGTTCAATGTGGAGTTGAAGGTACGCGCAGAGAGAGGTGGCTCTCCTTATCAACTCAAAAAAGCTTCTGAGGGGTTTAGTGAGTTAAGTAAAAGGAGAACATAATCTACACAAATATAGTCAGGATGATGGAGAGGACGTGAGTTTGAAGTGTAGAAGTATAGTGGTATAAAAAATGGAAAAGCTATTTAGAGAGAAATATAGTGATTACTGATATAGCCCCAAACCACAGGCTTACATAGTCACGAACAAACTGAATATGCTTAATGTTCATAATGTTGGCGACCCATCTCTTCTGTCTCCATCGTCAACTCTTCAATGAATAGAGAGCTCAAAAATCCCAAAGCTCCGAACGCTGCCATTTCATACCAAATAGTCTGCATGGCATTCTTGTATGCCTCTTTGATGAGGACCCGCAGAGCAGGGGGGATGTCGACAGTTCGCAGATGGGGAATAAAGCCTACGGCCTCGCTGGGATCTGCTAATAATGCCACAGAAGCAGGCAATGCAATACCGTCGATTCCCTTAGCGAATACGCTGCTGAATGTAGTCCCACCCACCGCAAGACCAATGAGAGACCCAGATAGCCGAAATCCGACCATAATTCCCCTCGCAAGACCTTGATCTTCGGCTGCAGCACTGGCTTGCATTGGGATTGGAGGGACGCTAAATATTGTACCAATGCCAATCCCTGCAATCACCTGGAAACCAGCAGTCTTGGCTACTGAAGAGGATTGGTCCCATGGCGAGAAAATGCCACAGCCAACAGCCAGAAATACCCATCCAGCCCAAATTTCCCACTTATATCTTCGAAGAACGTCAACAGCAAAGGCAGCGATCCCTGTAAAGACATAGACCACACAGCAGAATAATAGGATTGAAATGGAAGATTTAAGTGGTGTCTCGAGATAGGCTGCTTGGGAAAAAAAGGAAAGATATTGAAGTAGCGTATAAAGAACGAAGCCATGGGTAGAGCTTCCGAGTAGGGTCATTTGTGCCGTTCGAGAGCGGAAGATACGGTAGGGGAACATCGCGTCAGCTGGATAGGCTTCGTAAAATGCAAATCCCACCAATATAAATATACCGATAATGAGAGGAACAATCGTTCGCCACGAGCCCCAGGGATACATATTTCCTGCCCAACTCAGTGGTAGGGCGAAAAGAATACTACCAGCCGTAAAGAGCAGCATTCCAAACCAGTCTATACGACTAAGCTGGGAGCGAAGAGACTGATCGATAGGCTTCAGACGCACAAAGAAGAAAGCCAAGAAAAAGGCGACACCAATCACAGGTAGATTGATCCAGCCAATCCATCGCCACGTGACATACTCACTGAAGACTGCACCGAGAATAGGACCCGCGATGCATCCTGCGGCCATTGGTAGGGAAAGCAAACCGATGTAAATGGCTCTTTCTTGTAGAGTAGTGATATCGGCGACAATGACCTCGGTAAGGACGTCGAGCCCGCCTCCGCCCAGGCCTTGCAGCACGCGCCCCACAATGAGAACTGCCATACTGTGTGCAACTGAAAACACGATCGATCCAATAGCAAAGAGTGTGAACGCCCTATAAAGAGGGATCTTGCGGCCGAAGATATCGGAAAAACTGATATAAATTGGCTGAATGACCACGACGGCTACCGTGAAGGATATGTTGGCCCAAAACGCCGTTAAAGTGGTACCCGAAAGATCGCTGGTGAGCCTATTGAGCGAGAACAGATATGTGAGCTGATTTGTGGAAGGATCGCGGCAAGTGGGTATATTTACGGGGATGGCAACCGCCAACGTTGTGGAATCCAAGGAGACCAAAAAGACCATCAACAGCAGAGCTATAAATGCAAGGAAGAATGATAGAGGCTTTCTCTTACGGCACTGTTGTTGTTCCGCCTCGGGATCGGGATTGCTCGGTGCTGATGCGCTTGGTACATCTTTTTTCTCCGTACAGTCGTATTCTGACTGAGATTGAGATCCAATTTTAGTATCACTTGCAGACGGCTGGTCCAAATCTTTGTTCGTATTTTGCGATGCGGTCTCTGATTGTGAAGACATCTTTTGGGGATTCGGGGTTAGATAGAAGGTGGACATAAAATGTTCTGCCCTTAAGGAAGAGAACTAGCTATAATTATGTTCACAGCTTGTTTTGTTTAAAATGAGAGAATAATTAGTTAACGTTACTAATATCATGGGTTGGTAATCAATAATCATTTTTCGTATTACATTCAGTAATATAGATAAGAAGGGATAGCGTGATAAAATCCTTGTAAGTTGTCATCATGCAGTATCTCGCTACAAGCCGCGTATGCTATTAGTGCCAACAGAAGAGGGGGTAAAACATGGAAACAAGCAGTTTAGCGGGTGGTCTGGACTGTAAGCGGATAATTGAGCTTAACCATAAATCGTAATTTGTTATCCCGAAAATGAAGAACATAGGCGAACTATTGGTCCCCCGTAGGGTTCGTCATGGATACATATGCAGTCTACCTGTACAGACCCCCGGTCTATGGACCTCCATGAATGCCTGATTTTTATGGAATATTCACGGTAATTTACACCTTATTGAATCTGAACACGTATAATTATAGTATTCATACTAAATTAGTGTGTATATTAGTGAAATATTTTCATGTATGAGCAGCTGATATGGTTATAATCTAACCAATCAGTTTAAATAATATATTATGTTAGTGCTTTGGTAGGTTATGTACGAAGTAGCATATTTGCATGCGAGTAAAAAGTGGTATTGTATTTATCAGGGTAGGGTACAAATATGAATATTCATATATATGATTTGTACAGATTTAGGGGCAAGTCACATGCTTAGTCGTCCATAGACAACGTACCCATGGACAGATAGCCCCTTGTCCATCCAAGGGTGTCCAATGGACACTTGTCGAACCCTAGTCACTTGTAATATACTCTCTGGCTACATCCGCGAAGACGGGTGTGGGATCCCCTATTCAGGTAATCGGAGAAGAGACATTGACATAGGAATTCTTCCCATTCGCTTCCGCATTCGCCTGCTGTGCTCTTGCACACGCCGTGCAGCACTGGGAATTTTGCCACTTCCTTTACCATTCGCTTCAATATCAAGCATCTCTTGTGCCCACTCGTCTATTTTTATCTTTGCCTTGAAACCAACTGTTCTTCAATTGGTTAAATACCAGACTTGGATCGAGTCACAGGCTCGTCTGGCAGAACTACCTTCACCAACCTGGAAGGCTTTAGATAGTCGAAGCCTCCGTGAAAGAATCGAGGGCCGAGTCACACATCTCTCCGTGACTCCAGCTGCGTCTGTAGCTCGTGCACTTCTCAATGTCAACGATGCACTGGAACAGTTATTTATCGGAAAGGCTGATGTTTTCGACATCGTTCGGGACGAAGATATCTGTGGTCAACTCTATGAATTTATAGATAACTTTGACCCATCTCTTCTCCTTGCTGTTCTGGTTCATTCTCGTCCCAATCTTCTGGTTATCGAGCTAAGAGCTGGTAAAGGGAGATCGACATCGAAGATATTGGAGTCATTAGAATCATCGTTTTCCAAATACACATTTTCGGATGTTTCATCAATTCACTTTCAGGCGGCCAAAGAACAGTTCAAGAGCGTACCCAATATCTGATTCGCTGTTCTGGATATTGGCAGAAATCTTGAGGAGCAAGGGTTCTCTGAGCAACATTATGACCTCGTTATTGCCACAAATGTGATTCATCTCACAGAGAACCCGTTGCAGAGCCTGAGAAATTTGCATGCTTTGACTTCACCAGAGGGACGACTCATCCTTCAGGAACTGTGTCCTTCAGTCAACTGGTTGACCTACATTCTAGGCGTGTTTCCTACGTGGTAGACAGCACTCCATGATGAGACCGAGCGAGGTTTCACGAGTGTACAGGAATGGGAACAAAATCTTCAACATGCAGGCTTTGATAATGTGAAAGTTGTCCTCGATGCAGATGAGCCATTCCAGCTCAGTGCGGCCTCCATTGTTCAACCATGGGGACTCGAGAATCCACAAAAGAAGGTTACACTTCTCTGCCGACATGAATTAGATACTGCTGATCCCATTGTCGAAGAGCTTCAGAAGTGCGACTTTGAGGTCTCCTTTTGCACACTAGATGACACTCCGCCCACTGAGAATGACATCATATCACTGTTAGATCAAGGGGCATCTTTCTCTGAAAATTTGTCGCCGGATTAATTTGATCGTCTCAAACATTTCCTTGCTTCCGTGGGGGATATTGGAATATTTTGGCCAATCGCTCCCAGGTCCACAATTTCAAAATATGCTCAAACGTTAGGTTTCGCTCGAACAATGCGCTCTGAACTTGGACTCTCGTTCGCTGTTTGTGAGACAGACACTTTTGATCACATTGTCATTAGTGTGTTCGAGCGATTTCAGCGTCGAAGAGAGTCTACAACACTTCTTGCAGACATGGAATACCTTGTTCACGGAGACGAAGTCAGGGTTCCTTGCATCCATCCATTCTCCCTTGATGAGGAAATGCTCAGATCACCTGACGATGATAATGTTGCGTTGACTACTAGTAGACCTGGCCGACTGGCAGATCTATATTGAAATACCAACTGGCTACCTTCTTGGGTGGTGATGACGTCGAAATCGAGGTTTACTCTGTGGGGTTAAGTGACCGTGTAAGATCCACGCGACAGATGAATTGAAGGCAAACCGCTGACGTAATTTCCAGGATTCATGCATCGCCATCGGATCAACAGAAGTCTCACATCTTGTTTTTGGACATGAAGCAACAGGTATAATCCGCCGGGTGGGTCAACCGGTCAAGGGTTTTACGGTTGGTGACCGCGTCATGGCTTTGGGACAAGGACTCTTCGCCTCTGTCTTTGTGCAATCGGAAGCCTTTTGCGTGAGGCTTCCTGAGAGTATCACCTTCAATGACGGCGCCAGCCTGCCAATCGTCTATACCACTTAACTCTATGCCATAGGTCATATCGCAAGTCTCACGAGAAATCAGGTATGTGTAAGCTTCCGACATAACATGATTAAGCCGACGCTCTCTAAAAGTCCATTTTAATACATTGCGGAAGCAGTCGCATTGGACTTGCTGCGATTCAGATTGCGCATTCGTTGCAGGCTAAAGTATTTGCAACCGTCGAAAACGATGAGCAAGCAACATACCTAGTCCAAATGCTTAATGTCCAGGCGAGCAACATATTTGTCATTTCTGACCTCAACTTCTCGGAATCTGTGAGAAAAGCAACAAATGATGAAGGTGTAGACGTGGTGTTTAACTCAGTTTCTGTAGAGCTAATCCATGAATGCTGGCTCTGTGTCGCAGAATTCAGCGTTATTATCGAGACAGAAATCCTAGGGGTCCAAGGAAAGCAGAAGTCTATCCCTGCTCTAAATACAAACTACAGTTATTACCATGTTGATATTGACAGCATTCAATCGAGCAAGCCAAATTTTATCAAAGAGTGAGTGTCCTATTTCACGAGTATTCGCAACGCAACGCTAACCTTGGCAAGACTGCTCTTCGATACCCAGAATTTGTTGACGAAAAGAACGATTCGCCTCCGCCTCCTTCAGCCCTCGAGTGTATTTAGTGTATTCCGTATCCAGGACGCCTTTACTGAGCTGGAGGATTCTTAGGTGGGCAACATCGTTGTTGAATTGCGTAAATCTGACGAAACTGGACATTTCGTTGAACGCCCTCTTAGGAGAACTATTACGCCTCAGTTCGACCCTTTGGCATCATACCTTTTGGTAGGGGGTTTCGGTGGTCTTGGACGGTCTGTCTCAACATGGATGGTTGATAATGGCGCAAGAGTGTCGGGCCAAGAGGTGAAGCATCTGGCAGCGATGGACTGACAGGATTCCTGACTCGAGCACGCGCGGACTCTAGTGAATTGCAGACCCCAGAGGCATTGGAGCTCATTACCCGGGAAATTTGGTTGAAGGTCTTGAACCTGCTTTCCAAGGAAGCAGAAGACGAGCTTGACCCAAAACTGGGCCTTGCAGATCTTGGCATGGACTCATTGATCGCGATAGAGATGCGGAAGTGGTGGAAACAAATCTTCCGGTTCGATATCAGTGTTCTGGAAATGATGGGCAAAGGTACATTGGAAGTGCTAGCCAAACATGCGGCAGATGGAATCAGAAGGAGTTTGGAGTAATGGTTCTATGGCATAGAATGGTTTTAGTCAGACCTCATTTAAAACGTTTTCAGGGCCGGTACCTCCAGCCCTTGGCCTGACCTGTAAACTCTCGCAGATGATTCAAACGATCGCGTCATTATCCTCTACCTTAAAATCCTAAATATTCACTTTATATTATAGAGCCTTCTTACTAATTTACTATAATTGATAGAAAATGAAGGATATTACCACATATACTATCTTCTAGATCTATAATAAGCTCTTTGCCTATCTAGAAGCTTTGATGTAGAAGCTCTAGTAAAAAAGGTGAGTTTCATCCGATCTTTTGTAGCCAAAAAATCCAATATCTTCTCTTTAGATTTAATTAGGCTTCATTAGGACCCAAGTTGGGTCCAACTCTTAACACCCAATTCAACCCAACTCATTGGGTTTTCTTGGGGCCCAATTCTACCCAATTTTGTATAATTTACCTGATTTTCCAATACTCTATGCTGTTTGTATTCTCTGTAGTGTGCTTCTTCTATGGGGTATATTTGACCGTAATTATAGACATAGATTGAAAGGGGTTAATTGATTCATATTCTTAATTTGAATTAAATCCGACCAGTATAAGTAGAGAAAATACAGTACAATAAAACCGAGTTTTATGAATTGGAACATTTTTGAAGTTCAAGATATATGTTTTGAATGAGCAGTAGCTCTGTCATTTTTTGATAGAGCTCTATAATTGATTTATTTTTACAACTCCATAATAATTTAATATACTTACATGCAGGTCTTCGCGGTCGTGGTTACAAGCTTCCGGGCCAAGTTTAAAGCCAATCTTTATTGGTGACCTCACGCAGTCAAGAGGAGCAAGAAGAGTTTAGTTTGGCCGCAACGGGTTACCTGTCGCTGCGGTCGTAGACCGTGGCGTCAGATAGGCCCCGTCCGCGCTCCCTTGAAGGGAGGCAATGTGTCTGTATTGTAGTGGATTCTATATACAGAGGGAAGGTGGGAGGGACAAAATTGACACTTGACTGCCTGAGAGATGACGAGCTACCCGCAGAGGCCATCAACTGACTCTCGTGAGGCAGTTGTAGGAGGAAGAGGCCCTCGGAAATGTCGGTGTAGATATCACGTGAGGCTACAGACATGGTGAGGCTTAGACCTCGCCAAATGGGCGGGTTGGGTTTCGACCCTTGACCCAAAACCCGCCAAGAGATTAAAATACACGTAACATATACCTGATTACATCACTCTATATCTGGTATTGGTTGTATTTCAACAGTAATACTGTAATATACAGGTAAATGGGTTCTTGGCGGTAGGGATGTCAAAATGAAATTTCAAAATTTCGAAATTCCTGAAATTTGGCTGCTTGAAATGTAATTTGAAATGGGGCTTGAAATCTTGAAATCTAGCTAGTCCCAAAGTGGTAATGATTATCTTCCATTCTTCCAATCAAAACAGTCGAACGTAAAGCACGTGACATAGACATCATGTGTCATCTATCCCCCGCCGTCGCCGAGTTGGCCGCTTGGAATCATCTGGAACTCCTTGAGGCCATTCAGATACACGCTTCGACCTCGTCCGCATAAGATGAGCTGAATCTGAATTTGTTGTGGGTTTCGTTGAAGGACTAAGGGGAGGCTCCGAAGTTGGCTTCAACAAGGAGTTAAGCCTCGACTTCAACGCAGAAATGAGGGCAGGATTTGTTGATTCTGAAGCTGAAGTCAAAGCTGAATTCAATGCTAAAACCAGGGCAGACGTTGGTGATTGCTCTGTTGGTTGCTCTGGTGGTTGCTCTGGTGGTTGCTCTGGCGGTTGCTCTGGCGGTTGCTCTGGCGGTTGCTCTGGCGGTTGCTCTGGCGGTTGCTCTGGCGGTTGCTCTGGCGGTTGCTCTGGCGGTTGCTCTGGCGGTTGCTCTGGCGGTTGCTCTGGCGGTTGCTCTAGTGGTTGCTCCGGTGGTTGCTCTAGTAGTTGATATGAGCCCCCTGATAGATCGTCTAGCACTTGGTTTCGCTGCAAAACCCTCTCTATCTCGTTATCCTCTTCTTGAAGGAGTGATTCTTGCGCAACTTCGGGAGGCCGTTCTGTCCGGAATTGTCGTTTATTGATCTGCACGAAGAGCAGTTTTTCAACGCGGTGGGGCTCGAGCCTATTTCGGACTTTTGTATGCTGAAGGTTCATCTGTGAAAAGGCTCTCTCCGCTGCCGCTGAATTTGCCACAGTATTGCAGAGTCGACGAGCAAAGGGTGCAAGAAGCGGAGCAAAGTCCTCCTGTATAAGCATATCGTAAGTAAGTCCTTCGTTTTAATCGTTGATAGTATAACGTACTGCCTCAAGCCAAAAGAGAGACGGGCTCTGGGCCTTCCAGCAGGAGGCATTATAAAAAGCGCCCGTTCTCTGCCTGAATGACAGAAATTCATGCCAAGCGGAAGAGCTTTTGTCGTTGTTCTGTAGAGGCCGTAGCACACCGATATAATTACGAGAGCTCTGGTCAACTTTCCCAGGGACTCTAGCGGGATCAAGATGATAGGCTACCCAGTGGATAGGCTCAAGCTGACGTAGTATTCGACTTTGCCAGCCTATGCCATCCAAATAGGACAAGAAATCGTCCTTAAGAGATGTTTGGGAAGCCAATGTTCGTAGATCTTCATGGAGATCTAGCCATCGCTGCGTTACCTCCATAATCGACGAGTTCCGAGCTTCGGACTCTTTTTGGGCAACATGTAGAGGCTTAAGGATTTTAATCAACTCCTTTAGTTGCCACCAGAACGAATGCGAGTTCGCTATCCGAATAATCTCCCTCCCCCTAGCAGTCGAGGTAGCAGGAGTGATAAGTGTCCACTCACAGATAGCTTCTTGGCAGTCGTGGAGCGAGGAGAGCATATTATATTGCGTTCCCCATCTTGTAATGACTGACGCAATAAGAGCCTTCCTATATCCCCACTTCTCAATCTGCTTTCCTTGCATCCTTGCGTACTCGAGTGGTGAGTGGTGGAAGAAGACGACTATTTCAAGGGCCGACTTAAATACCTCCGCAGCCCGTGGAACCTTCGAACCCTTAGCATCAACAATATCCTTCATGATTAACTGTAGGCCGTGAGAGTCACAGGGAATCATAAAGCAGTGTTTGAGCTCTGGTGTGTTCTCTAGCTTCTCCCAGACCGATTTCATGACAGAACATGTGTCTGTCGAGATAGAATTAATTCTTTTCCAGTCAATCGTTGTATCCAGTTGTAGTAGGAGACATTTGAGACTATTCAAGATCCAACCACTAATAGCAGGAGCATCAAGAGTCTTGTCTTCCATATCATTCAAGTAGACAAACCATGACTTTATCGGCGTTGTTATAGTCATCACTATCACCCGTTGAGATCTAATGTTAGTGGTCTCATCCACTGTGACATTTAAGAACTCAGTTCTCCGTAACTCTTTAATAACCTTCTCTAGTAGTTCATTATATGCTTCATCCAGCAGGTCATCGGCGACTCGTTGGCGGGAAGGAATTTGATACGTCGGGCTTAACGCATGGATAAGTTCTCGCATTTCTTGCTGTTCGAAAAGGTTGAATGGTCTAGCCCCGGTGAAACAGACCTGAGCGATTAGCTGATCAATGCTTCTGGCTGGCTGAGATGTAGAGAAACTTAGCAATTTCTGTTTCTTCTCTGCGGCGGTCTTGGGATCCATCAGAGCCTGTGCTTTTGTGCATTTATTAACATGCTCACTCTGGCGTGTAGTATTTTTGGCGCGAGTCTTCAAGCATCCAAGACATTGTGCTTGAGGCACCTGAAGAAGCTGCAATTAGGGGAGTAGAGGATAAGTTTATGAATTAGTTCTTACCTTTTTATCACCCTGTATGATTTTGAAGCATCTCTGAAGCTCGAGCTCTGAGTAGGAAACCTTTCCGCAAGGATGATTAGGAGCCATTTCGAAGGTGAGGGTGCTAGGAAGGGGTGAGACCTTGAGAGTATTCTAAACAAGCCAAAGATATATATTCTTCCACCTGTTGCCACGAGCTACAGCATACTTGATGAAGACAATGGCAGAAAAATGAAGTATAGGCCTTTATTGGCTATAATAGGTTACCGCTTCTGATGACTCAGCAGACGCCAGCCCCTTGAAATGTAATTGAAACGAGAAAATGAAATGAAATTTCAAGATTTCGTAATGAGTTGGCCAATTTCGTAATTACAACATCCCTACTTGGCGGGTTCGCGGGTATTCCTTCGGGTACCCAAAAAAGCAATATGGCGAGGTCTAGTGAGGCTACAGGCATTGTGAGGCAACCCCAATAAAACCACTCCCTTTAAGGAAACACAACTCTAGTCGGAGTACTTGAGGACCGCCTCTCAAATTATGCGGGCGTAGTAGTGTGGGAAGGAAATCTATTGGCAACATGTTATCTCTATGTATATACCTGTGGATTAAATATAGGTCTAGGAAGATTATTGAGCCTCATCGCCTTTCCCGTATTGATCTAGATCGTCTAAAGAAGGTCGAGACTAGTTACTGTTCCAGAGTGATCAAGCCTAAATTTTTGTCTTGTGCTTCCAACGCCCGTTGATGCATCGCTTCCGCCTCTTCATATTTCCCTTGGCTGTCAAGCACACGGCCAAGGTTACTGACACTGGTGAGCGTGTCGGGATGCTCGCGTCCAAGCACCTTCTCACTGCCTTCTAGATCTCGTCGATGCATCGCTTCCGCCTCTTCATATTTCCCTTGGCTCTCAAGCACACGGCCAAGGTTACTGACACTGGTGAGCGTGTCGGGATGCTCGCGTCCAAGCACCTTCTCTCGTGCTTCCAGTGCCCGTCGATGCATCGCTTCCGCCTCTTTATATTTTCCTTGGCTAGAGAGCACACTGCCAAGGTTATCGACGCTGGTCTCAGAGTCTGGCCAAACGTGTCGTAAAACTCTTTCCACCCTCCACGGACAGCGAGCTCTTCTCAATTTTCCCAGTCGGCGTTTGTTTCAGCTCCTCCACGATCTCGATGATAGTCGGCACTTGCTGTCGCGCCATATGCGTCTGCGACCATTGCCACAAAGCGTCTTCGTCCGTCAAACTACCACTGCGCAACTTCACCGCAACCTTAAGATCATCTTCTATCCCCTCTCCCAACACACTAGGAATTGCAAATGCAGCAGCAATGATAACATCAGGATGCTGCAGAAACTCCTCTTCCACTTCCGAAGCATTAACATTTTCCTCACGTCGCCGGATGATATCCTTGATACGGCCTAGGAAGAAAACATTGCCACACTCATCTACCTTCGCAATGTCGCCCGTGTGCAGCCACATATTGGCAAATGCCTTGACCGTATTGGCCGGGTCATTGAAATAGCCCTGGAAAAAGGCATTCGGATTCTCACTACGGAGCAACAATTGGCCCGATGTATTGGGAGGCAGAGGTTCGTCTTCCCGGTCCGCAATGCGTAGCTGATACCCCGGGCGCAGGACGCCGCAGGATCCAAGAGGAACGGGGCCTTCTCTTTGGACTATTGGAATGCTCGCCTCCACACTGCCATGCAGTGTAAGGAGCGGGTGACCAAATCGCTTTTCATAATCCGCTGCAAATGCCGGGATCGGCACACCCCAGGCAAGTCGAACTCGATGATCCCGATCCCGCGGGCTTGGTGGCTGCTTATAGATCAGGGCCAGTGTTGCGCCCATGAAATCGTACACCGTCGCCTGCGTTTCCTTTATCTCTTCCCAGAATCGACTTGCCGTGAATCTGGGAGATAAAGCAGCAGTTGCACCAAGTAAAATTGCCGGGATAATAGTGAGTGCTGTTGCATCTGCATTGAATAACGGGAACGGACAGTAGAGCACATCATCTGTTCGCAGCTTGCAACTTTCTATCAAGAGGGTAGCCTGGATGATAAAATACTCGTGTGATAGGATGCATGGCTTAGACTTGCCCGTCGTCCCGCTGGTATACAAGAAGGCAGAGGTGGTGGCCGGTGTCACGGCGAAGGCTGCCGCTAGGGGTGCTTCGTTGAGGTAGAGCATAGACATGTCTTGGGCGTTACCGCTCCTAAGAATCCAGATGGAATCGCGCTTAAATGCACCAGTTCCTTCAATCATGTCGACATACTGGCTATCCACAATCGCGACTGTTGCTTTTGCTGCAGCTACCGCGCTCTTCAGTGTCAACGACCGCCAATCTGTATTGATGGGAACCCACACTGCACCGAGCCTGTTAGTGGCCATCCAGGTATGAGCCATCTCGAGGCTATTCTTCATCATGACGAGCACCCGGTTGCCTGCTTGGACTCCCGCCCTGCGAAGCCCGCTGGCGAGAGCCGCCACACTGCAATCAAACTCCTGGAAAGTGACATCTTGGCCCTGGCATCGCATGAAGACTTTGGTGGGGTATTTTTGAACGGCCGCCTCGAGCGCATCATTAATAACCCGAACTTTGCTCTGTCTCTGCTTTCTGTCGGCAAAATTCTTGAAAGCATCTGCAGCCTCCCTTCTAGCGAAACAGTAACTAGCGGCGTTCACCTCGTCATGTAGAGCCGATTCCATGTTAGAGAAAACCCCTCGCTCCAATGACGTTTTGAGGCTGGATGCTGCAGCTGTCGGCAGCTTTGCCAGCTCCAACGCCAGCTCTTCGGCCCGTACTTTTGGATTCTCTGCAATCTCGCTGAGTAGACCGATGCCCAGTGCCTCATGAGCCCCAATAGTTCGGCCTCGGATCAGAAGCTCTTTGGCCTTTAACAGACCGACCATGTGAGACAATCGCAGCGAGATTCCTCCTGTAACAGCATGGCCGAGTGTCACTTCAGGGAATTGGAACTTTGCATCTGGGCCGCCAACGACGAAGTCTGCTGCCAAGGCAATCTCTGCTCCGCCGCCAACTGCATATCCCTGTACAGCGGCTACTATAATCACAGAGGACGAAGAAGTCAGACGAGTGACGTCTTGTAGCAGACTAAACGCGATACGCAGTTCCTCTGGAGATCCCATGCGCGGAGCGAGAGTTTCCTTGAGATCTTCTCCAGCACAGAATGCCCTGTCCCCTGCACCTTCGAGAATGATGATATGTGCATCTCTGTGGGCATGTAAAGCATCGATAAGGTCACGTAGAAGCTCTGCGTTGAGCGCATTCAGGCGTTCGGGTCGATTTAGCGTAATTTTGACCACGCTTGGGGCCGGGTGAGAGATGATCACCGTCTTGGAAGACATTACCTGGTTCTTGCTACGTGTGCATGCTTCCGCTTAATGGCTAACAAGGTATATTTATATAAATTTATTCGATAACCTTCAAATGTTGGAATGGATGTGGGCCTATGTGGACCTCGGGAGATATAAACATGGCAACTTATATCGAGTTATATGTTCTGCTGCGCCACCGAAAGCCAATCAATTTCCTTTCTAGTGAAGAGGGGAATGCTCGTTGGCAGTGTACTCTAGGTACACAGGTCGTTTCAGCATACAAGACAAGACTAGAACAACCAGGAGGCTGGAGATAAGAAAGGAGAACCAAAAGGTGGTTTTGTAGAAGAGAAGATGGTCTGCTTTGCTCTGTCTCTGCACGAAGGCGTTAAATACAGGATTTCTACTTAGTAACCCTACACCGCTCTTCCCCACTATACATCCGAACTCCGCTTTTACTCCGCGCTTGTTCCGCACGTACTCCGCGGTCTCTTCTTGAAAGATCAGGGCAATCACGTAATCACCGTTGTCGTCGAGCATGTCCTGCTATAAGGAGAGTTACTATTGTTCCCTTCAGATTCTGTTCAACATGACTCACTCTAACACCCAATTTCACATTGCTATTTCCAGCCGCGCTACAATGCCAACTTGCTCTCGTGTATCGTACCGACAATACCGCAGTCCTTCAAGCTGATCACATCATTGAGGCCTCATTGATGCTGGTGAAAGCAAGAGGGCCACATAAAATAGAATAACCGTGTATCCTTTTCACCTTGGTCATCAAGTCACAAGAAGCCGAGGGCTGATATTTCAATCACTGGATATATGCTTGATCAGGGTTGAGTATTCATCTATTTAGATTCCACATGCCTGTCTGACCAGCAATTATAGGTTCGAGGAAGCCGATCAATCCAGCCAATCATCGTACGACGCAAACAGCGAAAAAGGTGAAAATGGCACCGAGAAAGCGATCGTCCAAAGATTTTTAGGGATTCATAGTGATCTGTTCATGTCCAGCGATATGTGTCGGCATTTTCCAGTGCCGAGCTCACAGCTTACACATTATAATCGTTGATAAAAGGCTCTTTCATCAATGCCCATACCCGACGCTTCTAGAGGGAAATCCACAGAGTTAGATGGAGCAAGAGATGATCGCAATACAAGGCCGTGAATATGATTTCCGAAACATAGTCTCGTACTAGAAGGTCGACTATGGCCAGGCACTAAGAGCTCACACCGGGTCTGAGAAGGCTTTGGCAAGAATAGAGAACAAATTGTACAAATACTCGGTCTCGAAGCTTAAACCGGACGAGAATTGAAATTCATTTATGGCGGGACCTTCATACCTTTCACACCCTCTGGCTTTAATGGCGGACTGAGCACTCCTTTCTTCTCTCCATCAACCCATTCGGCGCTGACATCATGTCTCATGTTCCACTGCACTAATTTTCTCCCACTTCTTACAGGTGTGAATAGTGTTAAAATTTGGATATGGCATGTCTCTGCCTGCAACCCAGTTGTAGGTCAGCAAACTAATATCCCCGTGGCACATCAGCATCTGGCGCAGCGTTTCGATACAATGTTCCAGGTGTCCTTCGATGACCCGTTTTGGGGCACCGGCGAATGAGCCCTCGTGCTTGTCGTAATACTCACGGTGGATGTTCTTGCGCAATAAGTCCTAGAAGAAGTGTTAGATCTGTATTCGAGATCCTGGCTTGGTGGGCCTGTCACTAACCACAAAGTGGAGCTGGTGAAAGACGTCAAGGCTGGCAAGGTAACGCCCTGTCCCATGGTCTGTTTCCAACATCACCGGGTACTCAGGATACTGATTGACAGCTTCCCACTGTTCTTTGGTGATACCTATAGCACCACCTGCTGGTCCTGGTTGTTCGTTATTGAGAGGATGCAATATTGGCGCAAGCTTGGGTCGCTGAATCTGTGGTGGAGGCCGGCCTACCATTTGTGATGTTATCCCAAGCAGCATCTACAGCTGGTCCAATGCCAGTGAAAGGGGACTCCAGTCCAAAGCTGCCTTTGAAGCGCTGGGTTTCGTATTCGATGGCTCTTTCTCCGTCCGGTACTATAGAGGGGCTTAGAGAACGATAAGCCCTGAGAATCTTTCTAACTTACGCGATTCAAGCTGATTCCATGAAGTCCCGCATTGGCGTTCTTGATAACGCAAATATGAAGATCGACGCACGGAGGCAAACAAGGCTATAATAGAACAGGCGAGTATTGTGATCTCGAGAGCAATACGCCAGCTTTGCCACACACAGAATTTGCGCTTTCCAAGGTTTTGCCTCGCTTCTTCGATAAGACCACTTGCGTCTTGCAGATGGCTGTGGTGTGGCTCATCGCTCTGCTCAGTGTCAGGTAGCTGGGCATAATGTGCCCCAGATCGAAAAAGGAATGTCATTGTTGCGCTCGCTGTATGGCAAGTAATTCGGTGCCTTTTGAGTTGTAAAGGTGCGGTGTATAACCGTGAGTCTATCTAATGGGGTGACCGAAAGCGAAGGGAATGTAGTTGAATCAGAAGCGTTAGCAACCTGCGGTTAAAATCTTATTGATCAACAATTACATGCTCTGCTGATCAATCACAGCTGTAGAACTACCACAGGGTGATAGGTATCGTGTACGTATGTGCCTAGCAGGTCATGCATAATTGAATAAAGAAGACATATTGAAGGACAGAATGATAGCCAGGATCAGCACCAACCGCGGAACGAAGCGGAGTAGACCGGAATAACTGCACAAAGGCTTCCAAGTCGGATGAGACAAGATTACTCCGGAGGAGGTCTGCATAGCGGCGAGGTGCCCTTGCTGCCCGCTTCAAGGAATCATATACTGCGCCGGAGTTCCGCTATCTGTTTACCCAAGGGTATTAATATCCTACCAATTCCATATCGTCGTAGTCACTCAGTAGTCCAACAAAAAGCGAAACCCCCAGGGAGAGGGAAACACCAAAAAATTTACTCATCACCAAATCCCGGGATTGGTCTCTCAATTAGGACTTCTACTCTCGGCTCAGGTTAGGTTCATCGTAATACGCCTATGTACCACCCCGGATCACGCCGGGTAACTTTAGGTGGGCGGCAAGTGAGTAATAAGATCTAATATGTATGGACTCATGCGAAGGACAAGTAATACAACAATGACAACTGAAGGAAAGAAATGAACAATCCACATCAAGAGACTTTGCTACAACACCAGATAGGAGAATAGGATAACCTCCGTGTAGAAGCTGAAGACGCAAATGTAGATAGCCTTCATCCTAAAAGAAAAGAAAACGACTCAGAAGAATCATACACAGCCACCCAAGAATTATATTAAATAAAAGTCATGAGAAAAATGCAAAAAGGATAACGGGGAAAAAAAGAACCTTTTTCGACGCCAAAGTTCGCCGGCATGCGCCATCGGGGCATATGCTTCGATAACAGAGCTCTGCTGAAAAACATCCGGACTATGATAAATAAGGTGAACAACTATACAAGCGAGAATGGAAAAAGTAGATAAAAGAGGTATTAAGCACTGGGCCCCGGAAATATGACAGGGGCTGGAAAGATTGTGGTTCACGTGTCGGAGCGTGGAATTTTAGGAATATTAATCGGCGCTGGAAAATAGGAAGCAGGAGGAAGTTTGAAAGAGGCTAGCGAGTTTTTCGCTCAAGGCGGAATTGGTGAGGAGTAGGGATTCGGCGAGGAAGGTGATGAGCTTTTGACGGATAGATTCGGACTCTGCAGCAGCAGCGACAGGTGTTTGTGTTTGGGTGCTGCGTGGAATTGCAAGGGTAACCTTCGCTGAGACAATCTGAGAGCAGGATTGATGAGCAACCGGCACTCAGCGAGGGAAACGCGGGTCTATAGGAACTTGCTTATCACGGCTTTGTGTCTCTCTCAGTACGGATGAGAGTGACCTGCGCTTCGAGATGTTGAGAGCAGGTTTAATTGGGAGTTGTGGAAGGAGAAGAGAGGACGTCGGATGGGGATCCTTTTCCGTTCGGGTTTCGAAGCTTACATGTTTACGGGAGGTCGATAGTAAATGGTCGTTAGTACGCAAAGATTGCGATGTTGGTATACTAGGCAGGCTGGGCGTCTGGTCATCATTGGTATCTTGAACCCTAACGTGATCCGACGTGTTCTGGCTAGCAGAGGTTTCCAAGGTCTAGCGAAAGGCTCGCCCCTATCGCCCATCTTGTTTGTATTCTTTTCAACGCCGATTCCGTCGATCAGCCCGTCGATCCCCGCGGAGGCGCATCAGCATTATTGATGACTACTTTCGATGGCGAATAGGCCACTCGGCTGAGGATAACTTAGCCAAAATATAGTCCGAGGATGTATCTCGCATTGAAGAGTGGGCGCGACCAATCGGATCCTGCTTCGCGGCGGAATAAACGAGTACTGCAGTATCAATACATTCGTCTAAAATTTGGCCTTCGGTGTTAAATTCAGTCGTTCTTTTCAAGATAGACACCGTCTCGACGGTACAATTGGGCCCTAGGCCTCGTCACTTACTATAGCTGGACCGGTCTCCCGCATGCGAATTCCCACCCGTTCATCTGCGTTGCACATCTTGCTAAATTCATATGCTTTTCGCAAAAAATTTGTCCTGCGACGACATTGTCTTGGTATATAATCTTTACTCAAAGAACAAAAGTTCTGTAACTATCCTTCTACAGTAAACACTTTGATGAGATGCGATTATTGTTTTGACATGATGTATTAGCCTAAGAGGGCCCCTCTTTCTTCAAGGGTGACGTCTTGAACCTTACTGAAACTAGATGAACTTTTTGTGAACATCGATACGATGACTAAACTCCCAGAAACAAAATTATTGTGGTATGGGAAACCAAATCGAAGTTTTTCTGAACAAGGCTCTAAAAATCAGGTCTGACAAAATAAATAAAAAGATATCGAAAATTTCGGTGAACATTGTGTACTCTAGATGGAGAGCGTTCAACGCACATGCCTTTTTTCCAATTGATTCCAGAACACGTGCGTTTGCTAGTACTCTCTTCCCCCCAAGTTCAATTGCAGAAATTTCTTTGGCTCATGCCGCAGCCTTGAAAAAGTGGTGTCAAGGAAAAGAAGTCAAAGAGTACAGGGACCACCGTTTCTTGTACTTGACACCATTCACTCCGTCACCGTATTATCCCGCTATAACTGTTCGCTTGGTGCACGTGTAGCTCATTCCTGAACATAATAGCTCCCTTACTGCACAGAAGCCCAGATTGCTTTGGTACTCTAAAGTGGAGAAAGGGTAGCATTCATCCAATAAGATGTTCGGCAATGCTACGCTACCAGTAGTGACCTGCAAAGCCAAATATTACCATTTTCTTTTTTTCAATGTATAACTTTGTTTTCACTGGTCCTGTATTGAACTCATAATGTGCATCACGAAGGAACTTGACTTGGCCATGAGACTTCGTTAGTTTTGGGACTGCAGTCATGGCACCCTCCGAGGATCGGCTCCATTTGCCAAGCTAGCTTGTTTTTACTATAACGTTGTGCTCATATAGTAATTTTGATTGGCTCAAAAAGTCCACCTTAATCGATCATATCATTGGGGTGGATGCTTTCTCCTTCCTCCACTTTGGAGTACTAAAGCAACTTTGTTACGATCACGTGACCGATAGCTTAGTCTTAGCCCCGGTCTTTCAGACCTCTTACTTTATCCAGTCCTATTACCCATTATACCATGGCTCAGTGCCTTCCTTCCTTCCTACGTAACAGTTGGTAGCATGTCCTAGCTACGTTTCTTTCGGGTCCTCCGATTGGTATTGGCCCCGTTTTTTCCCCTACGCTGGTGCGGTGATCGCACCAATCCCAATCCCGCCCCTGAACACCCCGCGAACCACTCACAAGCCGCGCCTGGACCCACCGTCCCGAGCTTGTATGGACTCGCTGGACAAAGCATCAAGGTCGGCTTTGATACTCGCCTCGCAGCTCGATAATTATATCAGCTCGTCCCTGGCTGACCTTCCTGTCCCCTGGGTTGAGGATTTTGACTCTGTCACTCTCTCCCGTGTCCGACACGTGATTTCGCGTTTTGGGAAGGTGCCTTCGTCCCGCTTGCCAGGTTGCGTCGATTTCCCAGTTGACTGGCCCATCGATCGTTCCTGCTTGAACCAAGCAACGAAGAACTTCCTTCGTCTCTCAACCCCCATTTGCCCCCCTGATCCACCTGCATCAGACTCGGAGCCTAGTCGTCCTCTTGGCCGTCCCCGAAACTACGCTCGTCAGTCAGAACGTCAGTCTGACTCGTCGAAACGTCAGGAGCCAGAACGCCGGCTTGACTCGTCTGTGACGACTGAGCCAGAGCGTCACCTTGACTCGCCCATCGCGAGCACATCTGTTTCTTCCCCTGTGCCAGTTTCCCGCCCGACTACCCCTCAGACTGAACAAGCTCAGTCACTCCCTATTGCTCCTTCACGCAGTACTGTCGGCTTCGCTGATTTCTCCCCTGTACGGTTACCGTACACTCAGGTTTCCCTTGCTGAGCCTGAATCAGATCTTTCCTGCGGGACCCCATCCGCTGCCGCTGATCCTTCAGCCTCCACTGAGCCTCTCCTTACACCTAGATTTTTCCCCGGTCAGTTGCTGCCAATCCCCAGGATGGCTGACAACGAGCACCAGAGCGGGCGTTCTGACGTCCAAGCGATGCTCACTGAGATTTTCACTAACCCCGATTTTATTTCATTGATTCGCAACCCGGCCCGTGGCAGCCCTGCCCTCGATGGCCTCGCCCCCCACGATAAGCCAGATACGTCGTGGAAACCAGCTGAAATCGGATATTTCGATCCGGGCCTAGACGATAAAGACGGTGGTTTCACCTTGGTCAAAAACGTCATGCATTACTCCAACGTTTTCACCTTTATCAGCCGCCTCAATGATTTAATCCGGCTCAAGTCCGAGCGCGTCGTCCGCGCCAATATTCACTCGTGCCTTAAGGCTGAAGCACTTGCTTGGTACTCCCAAGAACTAACGGATAACGAGAAGAACATGTTACAGCTTGTCCCCCTCGACGATGGATGGTTTAAGCTACTCAGAGACCGTTTTAAACCCGACCGAATGACAACGCTTGCCAAGCTTGATCGTTGCAAGTACGGCTGGACACAAGTTCGCGAGCACCGCTCCGCCCGATCTCACGCACAGACTATGCTCACCCTGTTGAGGTCTACCGGCATGACTGACCCCAAGGACCAGATCTGCAGGATTGTGATGAGCATCGATGCTACCTTGGCACGCGACCTGGGCCGACCCAGTGACAAGATCGAGGACTTTATGAGGGATTTGGATTTTTGCTACGAGAATTGGCATCGCCAGTCCGAAGAAAGCCGCAACCGTGTGTCTACCCTGCCCCCCCGCCAAGCTACCCGTCCGCAATTCGGCTACAAGTCGCGCCTTAACACCAACACTAACCAGCAATGGCGTCAGGATTTGCCACTCCGGACCAGTACGCAGACCCAGTATAGGCCTAGGTACCAGCAGCAGCAGCAGCAGCAACAGTACCCCGTTTCACAGCAGAACTACCAAGCTCAGTACCAGACCCAGTACCAGACTAACCCGCCCCAGTCTCAGGATTCTCAGTCTCAGATCTCGCAGCCCTCGCGTCAGGTCTACACGCAGTACCGACCTCAGCCACAGCGATTTGGCCAAGCCCAGGCAGCTCCACAAGCTCCGCGAGGCCAGCTCCTATTGACGGACAAGCCACATAATCCATCACAGAACGATCGCCAGGCATATAACCGCCCCAGGGCCCTCCTCGCGGATGCCAACCCGGGTGACGAGGATGAAGCTCAGAACCAATCGCGCTCCCCCTATGTCGAGGATGAACCGTTTGATGACTCATTCGAGTCTGAGCCCTACCAAGCCGATGACCAATATGACCTCTACGACGACGGCTACGATGTTCCACGAGATGGACCTGGTGATTTCCCCGCCTTGGCCTGCGCCCCAGATGAAGAAGTCATCGTGTCCTGTTTACAGTGTGACACCGCTTTCCCCTCTAACAATCAGCTTCATGCTCACTTTGAGAGTTGCCGACCGAAAGCGGCTGCTCCGATTGATCCAGTTGTGAATTTCGCAGCGTGCTCAGTCCCGATCATTAGCTCGTCGGCTCAGCACACACATGACAGCGGCTACGCGTTCCGGTCATGGCGTTACGCTACTGCCACAGTTGGCCTGATGGCCCCCGACCAAGTGGTGACCTCCTGTCTTGATTCTGGCTGCGTTATGACTTTGATCGACACCAAGCTCGCCAAGTCTCTCGACACGACCATCCAACGGATTTCGCCCCCGATCCCAGTCTCAGGAATCGGCTCCAAGCATATGTCAAGCGACTACATCACTATCGATTTATACATGCTGGGCCAGCATGCCACGTGTGGCCAGGCCGCTGCTAAGCTGACTATCGAAGCGCACCTCGTTGACAATCTCAAAGCTCAGTTGCTTATCGGCATGGACATCATGGGCTCCGAGCAGATATCTCTAGACTTCAAGCACCGCCGAGCAATCATTGCATCTTGTGATGATATCGCTGTCCCAATAGGCATCTGTGCTAAACCAGACCACGTTGAGAACCGACCGGTTTACGCTTCGAAGAGGACCACGATCCTGCCTAAGCAATCTGGCAGAGTCCCGGTCAAGGTTAAGACCACCTTGCCGCGTGACCGCGACCTAATATTTGATCCCCAATTGCCCAACGCCGCTAAGCTGCAAGCATTCGCTCAGTTAGTCGACTCGAACATCACGCATGTCGATGTCTTCAACGCCTCCGCCGACCCTGTGGTCATTAGCGATAGGGCCAGGATCGGTTTCTTGTCCGAAACTGACTACACTATGGCGTACCAGGTTCACCCTGAGATCGCACCTTTGTGCCTCACAGGCGGACCATCGCCAGTGGACTCCCGTGAGCTGATCGCGCCGCCGAACCCCCCCGCTGGCCGCCACCCTGGCTCCACCGAGGTGACACTCCCTAATGGCGTTACTGCCTATGGCACCACCGATGAGATTCAGAAGATACAGGGCCTCGTGGAAGGATATGACATTTGGTCTAGACCAGGCCTTGTCAATCTTCCCCAAGATCAGTGGATGCGCTTGCCCCTCATCCCCAACGCCAAGCTGCCTCGCAATCAAGTTTATAAAGTCGGTACCGAAGCACAAGCCACTATTGACAAGGTTTTCGACCAGCTTCACGATGAAGGGAAGATGGTTTGGGCGACCAACCACGCGCCTAGCGCATTACCTGTGTTTGTCGTCTACAAGCCAGTTTACGACAAGGATGGCAAGAAGACGATGGCCGCTCGCCCCGTCATCGATGCCCGGTCACTTAACAAGGCCTTACAACCCGACCTCTACCCTGCGCCAAATCAAGACGATATCATCCAACTCGCCCTTGGCAAGCCGTTCGTGTCCATCATCGACGCCGCCAAGTGCTACTACCAGTGGCGGGTCCACCCCGATGATGTGGGCTTACAGGCAGTCATCACCCACCGCGGCCAGGAACTCCTGCTGGTTGCCATTATGGGAGGCATGAACTCAGGCGCGTACGTGCAACGGCAGATGGATAATCTTTTCCGCGCTTGCCGGCATTTCATGCGCACATACACCGACGACAGCTTCGTGGCTGGCATGACTTTTGACGAACACCTCGACCAACTTCGCCAGGTGTTCGATATCTGCCAAACTGCAAATATCCGGTTAGACCCAAAAAAGGCTCGTCTCTGTTTTCCGTCCCTCACATTACTGGGTAAAGAGATAGACTCGGTCGGCATTACTACCGATGCTCACAAGCTGCGTGCTATCACTTCCCTATCCTTCCCACGCACCTGTAAGCAGCTGGAAACATACTTAGGTATGACTGGCGACCTGCGTCATTTCATTCCGCATTACGCACGCATCGCTGAGCCGCTCCAACTACGCAAAACCGCTTTACTGAAGGGATCACCAGTCAAAGGAGGACCGCGCCGTGCTTGGAGCAACCGCAGCGTTATCGACCGCCCGAGTAACGCTGAGCTGGAAGCTTTCACCGCACTCCAGAATGAATTCCGGAAGCCAAAGTGTCTTGTACATCATGACCAGTCGAAGCAGTTATATATTGACATTGACGCTTCTAAAGAGGGAGGTTTCGGCGCCATGGTCTATCATGTCGAGGACGATTTCCAACACGACTTGGCTAAGCCACCCCCGCCTCCTAGGATTCGCCCGATCCTTTTCCTAAGCCGCCTCCTTACTGGTGCCGAGACTAGGTATTGGCCCACTGAGCTGGAAGTTGCCTGCTTGGTCTGGACACTTAGAAAAACGCGACATATGGTGGAAGCTGCGCCAAGGCACCTCCCTACAGTCGTCTACACTGACCACAAGAGCACCATGGTCATTGCCACAATAGATAATTTGAGATCCACCTCGGTCGAAAATCTTAACCTCCGCCTTGTCCGGGCTTCCCAATACATCCAGATGTTCAACCTCAAAATTATCTACCGCCCTGGCGTCACGAATCGCATCGCCGATGCCCTGTCTCGACTACAGGCCGATCATGATTCGCCACCGAAGGATGGCGAGGATCTGGACAGCCTCACCGAGGGGCTCATTCAGGACGCTTTCCATGCCGAAGCGTCGGACCCTACTGGGTCAGCTGATATTACACCACTGAGTATCACTTCTGTCTGCGAAGTCAGTGACGAATTTAAGCGCCGTATCCGTTTGGCCTATGATGGTGATGTCCGCTGGAGCTCTCTCATTGATGTCTTACACGAGGATAAAGCGTTGTGGTTGTCGACCGATAAGCGCGATCCTACTGTCTCCAAGTTACCATACAGCATAGAGGATGGCTTACTCTTCTTTACTCGCGCCTCCGGCGAGAGATCCCTCTGCCTCCCAAGGTCTATGACCGGTGAGATTTTTCAATTGGTCCACGATAACCAAGCCCACCAGGGTTTCGATGCTTGCTGGCAGAAGCTCGACGGCATCACTTTCTACAAGGGAGCCAAGCTACTTAAGCAGTATATCACCCACTGCCCGGTGTGCATCGAGAACAAGACTCGTCGCCACAAGCCATATGGCTCTCTCCAGCCAATTTTGTCCCCACCAATTCCCTTCCATACACTCACTATGGATTGGGTGGTTGGCTTGCCGACAACAGCTGAAGGCTACGACTGTGCACTAGTGATGGTTTGTAAATTCACTAAGCTATCAGCTGCGTTACCCGGCCAGACAGAATGGACCGGCCAACAGTGGGCTAAGGTTGCCCTAGCTTATTGGATGTCAGCCAATTGGGGCATCCCCTCGGTGATGATTACTGACCGCGACCCGAAATTCGTCCACGGTTTCTGGCGCGCTATCTTCCTCGCCTTGGCTGTCAACATGCTGTATACAGCAGCCCACCACTCCCCCACGGATGGCCAGTCCGAGCGCGCTATCCAGACTTTCGAGATGGCTTTGCGCCACTGGGTTGCCGCTCACCCGCAGCATATCGGCGACTGGCACTCTGCTTTGCCAGCGATCCAGATGGCTATGAATTCGTCCATCAAGGCCAGCACTGGTTATAGCCCCCACCAATTGCTCTATGGCATTAAGCTACGCCAGCCATGGAACCTCCTTGCAAAAGCATCCGAGAAGGACGCGACCCAAGCCGCCCGCCTCGACGCGGAACATTCTATTGCTTTTGCTTCCATGGAAATGAAGCGCCGTTTTGACTCAGCACATCGTCCGATTCACTTCAAAGTTGGAGATTACGTTTTACTCAAGCTCGGCGATGGCTATAATATCCCAGCTAATCACCGCCTACCCACTAAGCTTGGACAACGATATGTTGGCCGTTTTAGAGTTTTGAAGCGCATCGGCCGTTTAGCTTACAAGCTGGACCTGCCCTCTGACTGGAAAATACACCCGGTCATCAGCGTTGCACACCTGGAGCCGGCTCCCCCAGGCGACGACCCTTGGGAAAGACCACAAACTGTGGCAGTTGACACCCACGACCCTACGTTCGACGCCCGCTTCCCTGACGAGAAAGAGCTATACGATGTTCAAGAGATATTACGCAAGCGAACTCGGCTTCATCCAGGCCGGCTTCCCAAGAGCGGTATCCGTGGCTCTTCAACCGAGTATCTCCTCCGATGGGCTGGTAAGTCAGCTAGATGGGATAAATGGGTCAATGAATCCGACCTCATAGGTTGTGCCGAGCTCCTCAAGGAGTTTAACGAGCGAGATCGCGATTAGAACCGTTTCTGTAGGATTTTATGTCACATCATTAGCATCAGTATCTATTTCCTCCATCCATTTTGTTTTCTCCCTACATCTACTCTGCCTTCACTTGCTCTATCACTTGGACTTCACTTCCCACTCAACCTTTCTTGCTTACCCTGACTCCACTTACTTTATCACTCTGCTTTCACTTGCTTTACTCTTCATACTATCCACCGCTTTACCCTCTCGCACCACTTACTGTTTCACGATGCCTTCCAACGCCTCATCCCCCGCTCCAAAGAAGTCTAAGAACCCCACGGATTCCGACGCGTCTGACAGACTCTTAAAGAAACCGAAGACTACTGGCCAGACCGAAACCGCCTCTAAGCCCCGAATACTACCACCGATCGCTTACTCCGACGCCACTATGAATGAGCCAGTCGCGTTGTCCTGGACTAAGCATAAAGCACCAACGGAAAAACCTGGCTTGGTGTTTGAAGAATGCTACGATCATAGCACCATACAGGACTGGCAGAAAGGCGAGCAATTTGCAATCATGTGCAAAGGCGCTGCCCACGCACAAGCCGAGCCAGCCGCAGTCCCATTCGACGGGACCACACACGACCCGTCCTTCTTTAAATACACCAAGCCACCGAACCCTATTGGCAAAACTGGAAAACCGGTCAATGTGCCACCCAGCGTTTTCAGGGCCTGGGCGCAGACCTTGCCGCTGTACACCCACTGCAATGTCAAAGTGGTCAACCACGAGATTCACCTTCTAAACGAAATCCCGAAGATGGTCAAACTCTCCGATGAGCTGGTTTACGTTGTCTACAAAACCTACTCCCAGACAACCCGCGCGAAGATGTTCCCAGCCGATTTCGACGCCACAGGAGACATCCGAGCAGACCGCATGCCAGAAGACCCTGCGCCAAGCTGGGCTGCACACGGCGTTCACTTCATTCTGGAATTCAAAGGGTACTCATTGCTCTGCGGGCGCGAAATCGCTAAGCGGATCGGATGGAAGCTAAACACTAAGACCAACGCCACCACCCGTGGACAACCCATCGACTGGTCTTTCGGCAACTGGGTCATCGGTGACGGCTTTCATATCACCACCCCAATTAATCGCCAGGCTTATCGCCCTGATGGGTCCATGGTCGACTCCTATATCGGCACTGAAAAATCTGCTCACCGCGACACTATGACATAACCACCATATGGCTTGGTGGTTGTGATAAACAAGACAGCAGATTGCATGGTGGGACCGCTATGGCGCCTGCGCAGTTACCACCCAAGATGCGCAAACGCTGATGGCGCGTGGACTGTACCCCTCGGCCTATTCCAGGAGCATGACATTCCGCTGAACCCGGGCATTGCGATCACTTTTCCGGTGACCATTTCCACAGCCCCCGTTTTCATGACCTCTGCTGAGCTTCGCGAGAAGTGGAAGACCCCTGTAACCGCGCTCACTAACTCAGAGTCTATGGCCTCTAACCAGCATGGTTCAAATCAGCGCAATACAACACGCGTGATGCCGGACGTTACTAGAATACAGGAATGGACCAAGAAGCTTAATGCAGACCCACAAGCACATCATGTCTGGGAATGCCTCCGCGACATCCCCGTCCTGGAACCGGACACAGTCTCCATCGACAAGCTCATTGACAATTTGTGGCAGACAACCTTGCTTCTCGACGCAGCGAGGGCCAACCTGACGTCAGAAGAAGCTAAGTACTGGACCAAGCTGGAAAGTAACATCTCCGAGCTACAGGCGTCCTACTCTTCATACGTCGCCAAGGCCAGCCCTACGCTAGCCTCCATGAACGTGGCAACCCGTGAGCCTGCCAGATCTCGTTGGGACCTCGCACTTCAACTCTGTTCTCGCAACAAGTCTGTTAGCACTGAGCCAGATAGCACCACCGCCATGGGGTTGCCGAAGCCCAGCAGCCCGGCCCCAAGCTCCCAAAATGATGAGGACCTCGACATTACTTACTAGTTTCTCACTTTTACGCTTACTCCTTGGTTTTTTACTTTTTCCTTGTTGTGCCCTGCGTTTTTTCTTTTCCACATTGAGGGCAATGTCTTCATTCTGCGGAACCCCAGTTGTTACGATCACGTGACCGATAGCTTAGTCTTAGCCCCGGTCTTTCAGACCTCTTACTTTATCCAGTCCTATTACCCATTATACCATGGCTCAGTGCCTTCCTTCCTTCCTACGTAACAAACTTGGACCGCTCTCATTCAGGTCTCAGATCTCCATGAATATCATTCGAAACAAATACTTATGTCTGATTGAGTGAGACCTGTGCGCTAATAGTGGTATACGAAGACAGGCAACTCCCTCATGAATGTGCTTTTGCTTTGTTGGCAGCAAGATTTGATTGGTCTATGCTCACTCAATCCAGGCTCCACTTTGGAGGCATTAGTCAGCGGCCTCGGGGAACTATGCCTGTAGTTAGAGGAGCAATAAGGCTCCAGGGGCCTACTGATAAGTTCCTGAAGTCACTTTAGCTGACCTCAGGAATAGAAAGTATATCTCTAAAATTTCAAAAGTAGTTTTATGTTTCTTTGATGCGTAGCTATCTATCTATACCAGTTTCAAGACACAATGATCTAAATTGACGTGCCCGACAAAATCACAAGTTGCCTTCAAGAAGGTCTAGTATTAGGCCAAGAAGTCTATTAGGCCGGTCTATGATGGGCCGGTCTATGATGGGCCGGCCTATGCTGAAGTCCAGAGAGCGTTTAGGTCAAAAATGGTTTGCCGGCGATTCTTGTCCCACCCTAATCTTCCCCACCTCGATACATCAGATTTTGACACTACGAAACCTTTTCTAGCTCCCATGGTTGCTCATATTCCAGCCCTTTGCGTGAGAATGCCGTGGATTAGCTGGGGCGCCCATATACTGCGGGTGTAGGTAAGTCCAACATCACCAACTTAGACGTCCGGAAATGCCGCTGCCACGCGCCCCACACCTTTGGTCCCCACCGGCAATTCCGTAATGCGGAACGCTTAAAGTCTGATACATATAAGGCGTGTGGTCAAAGCCTTTACCATAAAAATAAACATTCAAAATCAACTATGCCTGACCTCCATTCCCTCCCAGACGGCTGGTGGCCCGAACACGCAATCCGCAACAATGGCCCTGACGCATTGGTGCTGGAGAGAATGAAACTGCGCGAATTGGCTGAGGGATGGCCTTGTTATCGGTAAATTATCCTTATACGGTGGTTCTGCTTGTTGAAAATCCTCTTTCATTCGTTCATCTCTAATCATCGCCAACTTGTAGCGACGCGTGCGAGTGGGAAAACTTCGCATCCATCTTCCACCCCGGCGCACTGATTTACACTACCTGGTCTGGGAAGGTGTTATTCACCGACTTCTTCACCGTTTCGAAAACCGGCATGGATCGCGGCGCTTTTATTATGCACCGCTGCCACGGTATCACGACGGATATCACCCCCGACGCTCGGCGCGCAGTGACCAAGATGAAGGCCACGATCACGCAGCGATTCGTGTTGAAGGAAGGTATTGAAGTCGACGTTGAGTGTGACTGTCGTTTCTGCTTTTTCTTTGAGAAGGTCGATGAGTGCTGGGGCGCGCGGTTTGTTCGGCACTGGTATGAGAAAGATAAATTGATACCGGTAAATCCGGCTAGGGTGCCGACGATCCCTGAGAAAGATTTAGCAAGGTATCCAGAGGGATATAAATTTCTGGCGTATTGTCAGGAGCAGACGATGGGTGTTGAAGTTCTTAAAGATATGCCGGGGCATAATCGGCACAAAGGGACGCCGGCGGGTGAGAAGCATGATCTTTTGTATATGCAGGCGAAGGCATGGCTGAATGGCGAGGATATTAAGATCTAGATGGGCACAGATGTTTTTCAACGAGATTAGAACACTAAATATCGTATACTCTAATAGAACACGCATCAGTATTCTTCGCGACAATTCTTAGAGGACGGGTAAGGCGCGGTCATATTCTGCTTCACTTTTCTCGGCGTTGATGATTCAAACGGTTAGTTAAATACAAGTATGTAAAAATAGCCTAAGGCAGAGAAATCATCACCATTCTATCATCACGAGAAAGACGGATCATGAAGAAAGACCGGTCCACTTAGCACAGGTGCCTGGACAGGAAATATTAATCTCTGCAACTAAGCCTGGCAGTCTATGGTCTATTTATAGGGTACAGATTTTTATCTACAGTATGGGCTCGAGCCCGATAGTGAATGAGGAAGATGACGCAGCGCTCAACAGCGACCACCGACACTCAGTTGAACGAGGCATTGAGAGAGAGAGATAGAGAGACTATCAGCCACTTTGCAGGGCTCTTCCCGGGTCGAAGGTCGAAACGGGCCCCGCCTAGCCAATTTTCATGAGTGTACATGTTTTTGTCCTGTCTTTCCCACATTTTTCGATTTTCTACTTCTCGCTTGTACCGACCAGTTTGTTTGTCTGTCGTGTTTGTAGCCTTTGTAATCCCACGAATCCCCGTACTAATCCCTCGGCGTAGATCCAACGTCGAATTATAATTTATCTAGAGGCTAAATCTACCTTATCAGACTTATTGCACAAGAAAATAGGCGAGGTCCAAGACACCACCCCTCAATCAGACTCCTCTTAAAGTCCAAGCCCTAATGCGCTCCTCCAAAAAAAAATATAGGAATGGCGAGAGGAAGAAAGAAACACTATATCGCAACCATCTCGCCAAATACCTGTTCTCGTGTATAGAGCGGTGAGCGATATATTTAGTAAGGCTAGTAAGGATAAAATAATTAGCTGGGTGAGGTCGTACTATCCAATGAATGTTCCAACCAACCTACTAGTCCACAGAAATGGCAGATGAATGCCAGTGAGATGGTAGTCCAGATAGTCTTAAAGAAAGAGATAACCCGCCCGAAACGGTCGGTCACAGCCATCAAAGTGATGAAGTCCTTTCTCAGTGAATATACAGAGCTTGGTAGGTCGATACTAGCGGCACCTCGCTAGTATCTCGAGCTATTGTGAAAGGCCTAACAATCATTGAATCTTTCGTTAAAGCTACCGTTAAATCTATTCTTAAACGTTTTGTTAAAGCTGCTGTTAAAGCTGTCGTTAAATCTATCTTGAAATATATTGTTAAATCTTTCGTCAAACCTCTCGCTAAACCTTTTATTGAAGCTACTATTGAAGGCCTGGAATTTATTAAACCTTTTGTTAAAGCTGCTGTTAAAGCTAGCTACTGTCAACCCTATTGTTAAAAGTATACTTCAAGCTATTATCAAAAGCTGGTTGTTATCCTACTATCTAGCCTGCTGCCTAATCCTACCGAACACATATGTATACATGTGAATAGGACTCGAGCGAAGCGAGAGAAATCAGTTATATTTATATAATCTATAGTTATTCACTATCATACTACTTAATATGTTAAAGTTTCTTAGTTTTATCAAAGAAATAAGGTAAAAATCAAGGGACCTGCTAATCTCACTCCTATTTTTACTAATTTCACTCCCCGCCCAAAATTAAGTGACTTATAATCATTACGCTAGTACTTCCAACCCCTACCACCGCCCTCAGACTTCCACACTTTCTAACCTTTTAAGTATATCATAATATAGAATAATAATAAATCTCTCTTTTCTATGGCTTCATATAATCTTATTTTGTATCTTTCGAGTCCGCTACTAGACTCGCCTCTGTACATATAGTCTCTATTCGTCTGCTTTAAATCTCTTAAGATATCACCTAAGAATATATATGATGCTTTACAGGCTCTTCTTTGTCTACTTTAAGGGTTTTAAGGATTCTCATCTCTCTGAAGATAACGCTGAGTCAAATCAAGATCATAAGGGTAATGCTGAGTTTTTTTTTTTTTTGAAAAGTGCAATCAAAATTTCGAGCCCGCCCCCGAGTCTTCCATCGAATCTTCCTCTAATACTAAAAGAAGTAGGTGAGGAGAGAGTAAGGCTGGATCATATAGCGTTGAAAAGCGATAATAATCAATTGGTTATGTGCGAATTATTATATTAATATATATAGTAGCTAGGATTCATTTATCTCCGCGGACTTAAAAGGGCAGAGAAAAATATACGACATGTGGTGTCGAAGTCGCGGCAGAATAAATATAAGTCACTTGGTTTCCGGGAGAAATTAGAAAAAACGGGAGTAAACTTAGTAGGTCCCAAAATTAAAGATCGAACCCAGAAGAGGGTAAAATAGTAGTATCTTATTAAGATAAGTCTGTAAGATTATTAGTTTAAATTAGGAAATGTCAACTTTTTCATGTAAATGCGGGTTAACAAGGGCCGTCCGCGGGCGACCCTCTGCGGGTTGAGGGTCGGGTAAGGGTTAGTAGTACTAGCTCTCAAACCGCTGCGGGTCAGGCCTAAGGGTTGGAGGTTCCGGCCCTCGAAACGTTTTCAATGATGTCTACTTTAGCATGATAGACCAGTTTTGGCGATGCTGGCCAGATTAGTCAGTGAAATGCCAGTTGATGCGCTTATCCACTTACAGAAGTAGGGGCCAATGCGGATACAAGCGCGAGTTCTGGAAGAATATAGAAACGCATCGCTTTTTATATTTGAGATAGGTGTTATTCTTACATGCCCAAGTTTCGTGAGTACAAGACCACTTATGTGGCTAGCATGGTACAACAACCACTTTCATGTGTTTATATTTGCAAAGGAGCTGCCAAGATAATATGCGTAATACCCCGGCTTAGACGCATGTCCTCTAAAGCCGAAGATTGCAAACATCCTTGAATTTTGCGGAGAAGCTTTACTATGAATGCCAAGAATGCCGCCCAGCTGTCCACGTCATGTCTCGGAAATCCCCCAGTGAATGAACAACTCGCTTTTCAAACCCCCTACATATAAGTGGCTTCCTCTCGAATTTTGGTTCAGACCAAGCAGATCATGATTTGAATATAGTTTCGCTATCGTTTTCAGAAAGGTAGTATTCAGAGGTACCAAACTAATAAGCAGCACCAGTCCCTAACGCCCGGCCTTCTACCAACACTTTTCGTAAGTCAGAGCCTGAAAATTAAGCACTTCCTCCGGGAGGGATCACCTAATTACTTCTTCATCAGAGTAAGTTGCACCATTCCTTACCATAAAGTCTGCTCAACTGCCGGATACCGGCTTTTATTCTGCCGATCTTTTGGGATCAATCATTCAGGAACCACAATTTGTTCTGGGCCGTATAGGACCGTATATCCGCGTGGGTCCCCCATCCACTCAAAACTTTGTATTATAGAACCTTTTAAAAGCCACAATTTTTAGACCCCTCAATATTTGCTTCTGGGTCAACACAAGCCGGATGACATCACTGCCAAGGTCTAGTACATCAAATAACCCGCGTACCACTGGCGCTGTTCTTGTTACCCGCTTTGGTGGTATAACTCCAAGTTTATTTTTGGTTATGAGACAGAAGCGTAGGTCGTGCCCCTCTTTTATAGACGACTCTCCTTGAAAGAGGAGTTGCCTATCAGATAAACCGTTCATTCGTTCACTAATTATTTGAGGTCCCTAATTCCTGTTTCTTTAGTTCGGATAAAGATCTCCGAGGTCACACCATAGAATTCTTTTCACATCTATTTCAACACCCACTGGTTCGGTGGGATTGGTCTTTCCTATCAGTAGTCTAGCAATTCGATTTCTCCTGATACTAGATGCTTTTAAGTTATGCGCTTATTACGGGCTTGTATTGGGTGGTCAATGTTTGACTGGCTTGCCGGCTGCCCCAGCGCTGGTAAGAATATTGAAATATGTTATTTGTTCAGACTATAAGTGTTGGATCCACCAGTTTTAAGCCCGTAACTTTAGAGCTAGTTCATCAGAAATAGATTTTGACAGCATCCATACGCGCGTGCGGATACATTACGAGGGAGTCATAATTGACGATATAGCCCAAGAGCGACGAGTGTAATGATGGTACACACTGACGAAGAAACAATCAGACAGAGAACAAGAATGGGAATATAGGGCATGGCCTACGTCAAGACTGAAAATGAAAGGCAAGAAAATATATGCCTAGGTGGACCCGTTCCATACACTTACGCAAGCTGTGTGGCGTACCTTGACCTTGGCCTTTTGTTGGGACGTAGATCAATTTCTTTGTACAGAGGACTGCGGATCTTGGCCCCTTTTATCCCATTGTTCAAGTTTACGCAAGCGTGGAGTCCATGTCACCTTGGATGCTATAATTTATAAATGTAGCCAATCAACTCGGCCACATATGATCCGAAGAACTCGTAACCCCAAATTAGCGCAAGGCAGGCCGGATTCGTGTGTCAAGACCTATTTAAAGGGCTAATTTTCCATCCCCTGGATCCTCTATTGGAGAAAATTCTTGCACATTCTTCATACACCGACTTAGAAACAATATCTTCCAGACACGATGCAGTTGCCGTTCTACCTTGCCGTTGCTGCCACTTGTTTGGCCAGTGTTGTTCTCGCGCATCCCGGAGAAAATCACGATGCTGCGCTTGTCAAGCGCAAGTTGGATATGCAAGAGGCTCGGGCTGCCCACGGTAATCGTGCTCTCGCCAAGTGCGCTCGCTCTCAGGACTACCGTTCGTTTCATACGCGAAACATCGAGCGTCGCGAATTGAAAGCTCGAGGAATTCGCCAATCACGCGGTCTCAGCCACAGCAAGTTTTCCTTTTCATTTTTTTTTTGGCTTCAAGATATGACTGAACATAATACTAACTGAAAGATTGCAGAGACTAACGACCACTTTCGTCGAACATCAGATGACCTAGAGAAATGGTCCGGTGTAGAACACAACAAGACCGGAAAGATTACTCCGTTCGGTAATGTTTTTGACGCAGAAACAACCTGCATCCTGACTCCTGTGATCACTGATGGTCCGTACTATGTCTGGGGTGAGTTGATTCGCCAGAACGTTGTCGAGAGTGAGTACTCTCGAGGTGTCCCAATGTATCTTGAGATCCAATATATCGACGTGAACACCTGTCAGCCTCTTCCAGACCTTTACGTGGATATTTGGAATGCAAATGCGACTGGAGTGTATAGGTATATCTCTCTAATCATCCATGCCCTGATGCCAGCAGTTTCTCTGACTAATGCTTCATTCTAGTGGCATCTCAGAAAGTGGCAACTACGCCGCTGGGGGATGGAACAGCACCTATTTGCGAGGCATTCAGCCTACTGATGATGATGGAGTGGCGACTTTTGAAACTATCGTTCCTGGTCATTACTCCGGTCGAGCCACCCATACCCATTTGCTTGTTCACACAAACGCCACAATTCTTTCGAATGGTACCCTCCAAATCAACTCCGGTTCAATTACCCATAACGGACAGCTTTTCTACGACGAAGCCCTTCGATCTGCGGTCGAGGCGTCAGATCCTTACAATACCAACACGATTGCGGTTACCAGTAATGACGAAGACCAGTGGTTGCCAGAGCAGGCGACTTCGAGTTATGACCCATTTATTCGCTATGTCTATTTAGGCGATGATATCTCCGACGGTATTTTCGCATGGAAGGAAATTGGTATCAATTCCACTGCTGACTACACAAACAATTCGGACTACGCCATTGCTGCTTACCTTGGAGCTAATGGGGGTTACGAAAATACGGGTGCCCACGCGTTCTTGGGTGGTGGTGGCTCCTCATAAGGGATTCGAGTATTGGATCATGTTTGTTCATCACGAAAGAGTCTATCTTGTATATGAGCTGTTGGCGGTGACTCCTGGTCGAACGCAATGTTCCTATTAGACTCTTTAAACACAAGACACAGTCAATTTTTGAAAGGACTATGTTTTTTTTCAGTTCCTGGTTTATTCCTTCGTAGTAGATAACAGCAGGGTAGATTCCTCGTTGGGCACCACCATACTAATTACATATTCAGTTTTTATACTAGCACACCCTTTTTGTATATTTAGTAACTCAAGTAGCATTGGGTAATGGTGAAAGGCAGTTTGATCCAGAGTAGCGTTCCAAAGCTGCTTTCAACCAGAGCGCTTGTGGTAATTTTTCTTGATACAAATACTGACAGAATTATTATAAATCAACCAATATTTATTGCAGTAATTGTAACGTCAGATCCCCACGGATTTTCGCCTTCAATTCAATCTCAACATCAAGATTCAAATCCAACCTTAACTTCAACTGATCTTTGCCTTTGGTATTTGTCACTGCTTCGGTAGTCTCTAATACCTCGCCTGTTTGTGAATTTATCCCGTTTTGAAGAAGCTCTCCCCGTTGTCCTGGATTGTGGGGATCTGACGCTCGAATGATATCTTTATTCTTGACTTCGGGACTAAGCATCCGCCGAACGCGTGTCTCTCTTATCTTTTCGTCTGGACTATTTGATCTTTGCTCTCGTTCGATTACTTCAACTCCTTCTGGTTCGGTGGATGGGGCGGACTCATGTCTGATTCTCGTTTGTTGAACAATCTGCGGGCTCTCGGGGGGTTTCTCTAGCCTAACAGAATCCAAACTGCCCTCACTTTGGTGATTGGTGATGCCGTTTAGAGATTCCGGCACGGAATTTGATTGTGATCTATCCGATTCTGCGGTTTGTCTCTGTTCGCTTACTTGACTTTCTCTGTCTGAGGAAGTCGTCCGCTTTGCAAGCTTAGGAGGTCGGAGTTTTGGCGGTCGCCGCTTTTGTGAAGACGCGACTCCATTTGTGCTGCTGTTGCTGAGTTTTTCTTGCGTAGTCTTTTCCGGTGCTTTCATTGGGAGGAAATAATGGAATAGAGAATATTCAAGACAGTTGGATGCAGTGTTCAGAGCTTCGTACCCCAGAGCAAGCCATATTGTCACAACTTGAACCACAGATATGTGGGCTTAATTCGCCTCTTGACGTCATTTACATAGAGTGGTTGTAGGTGGATGTGATGTCCGAGAAGTACGTCTATTGCGGCCGAGTGCTCTCTACGTGGAAAAAGGACGTGTCATAAGGTCGTAGTGGAGACTTGTTTCCGAAAGAAAAAAATGGAAAGCAGGACTGGGTTCAAGATTGAGGCAATTATGATGGTCTCCTTAATTAGGATTTAGGGGACTTGACCATAATGACCGTTTATATTCCAAGTAGCAGGAAGGAGGCTAGTGACGTGAAACCTGCAGTTTTCATTTACACATACATCTTGTGGAAATTGTTCTTCTCACCATCTCACAAATTCCTTACGGGAAAGAATGGCTTCAGATCAACATTTGGCCGATAGAAGCATTCCTTTGAAAGACTTTAGACGGAATAGATACGACGACCACGAGCAAAATATTTCCCCCACTTCTGAGATCACCCCGCAGGACTATGATAACTTGAGTGTGGCCTCTGGTCAATATGATCAAGACTCCGGCACTGAAGACGTCACCCGGATGGAATTTTATCCCAAAACCACCGCCGAACGCGCTCCGCAAACTGAAGGAATTAAATTCGATCGACTTAAACCGAATTCCTCATTGACCCGAACAGTTCCTCCAGTACCAGTCTTTCGTGGCGAAGTCCAAAGACCAGGGATTGAGCCAATCCCACCGCTTCAAAGTTCAAAACCCCCGGCGAATACGGCATTAAGTCTGAGATTGGACCTGAATCTTGATCTTGAAGTTGATTTGAAAGCTAGTATACGTGGCGATCTAACGCTTTCTCTCTTGTAAGTTGATCATGTGTGATACCTGGGTATCTTAAGCTTACAATTCAAAGGACTTGATCAGACAAAGAATGCAAAATTGATGGTTTTGTTTGTCGTCTTTTTCTGAAAATATGTTATTTTCATTATTGCATGTCTTATTCATTTCCATTGCATTTGAGGTTCCTTCCTAGCTTTGAATGGCTGGTTTCTACAGCCGAATGAGACAGTATTGGGCCGAGACCGCATGAGCCACAGTTAAGCCACCTACGCCAGGTAGTCGAAAAACGTGTTTTGACCAAATTTGAGCTTGCAGTCATTTCAAAAAGAATGGCATGTCAATATTCCGGAGACAATGGTGCTGTGTGCTCCGCGTTCCAAGACGTTCCAGCCACTCTCCGACATGGTGATCCGTGGTAGCTTGATGGCGGGAATGACGACAAGACAGTAGAGCTCTCAGCCACATCTCGAAAAATTTGCCGAGCAAGTTTTCAATCACTCCAACGGAGCCATGATTGGATTGATTCGTTGTCATCATGGCATCAGTGCATCTCTTAGTAATTTCTGAGCATGTAGAGTGATACGTCTGTGGCTGTGGTGTCTGTGGCGTGTGTCGTATGACTTTTAATTGAGCATACGAACCTGTATAAAGACACCAGGTGCAACAACGATCCGAAAATGAGGCATCCAACATCAAATGAATCTTTGAGCACATTTATTTGATCTCAGACTAAAGCAAAACCAAAAATATACCTGAATATTTTTAATGACAACACCGGAAGCCAGACCCACTATGCTGAGTAAAAAACCCTCGGGGGCACCTACTAGCCCTTTCCAAAAATCAAAATCTCCTATCAATCCTGCACATGGTCAGAAAAAGCCAGACTTGCCCAAATCTTCAAACTCTCTTCGGAAGTCGGCCAACAGCATTCCTACGAAGCCGTGCATACCTCCAGGTTTGAAGGAATCTGTCAGCAAGAGTGAAAAGGGCAGCCGTCCCCCAAATCTACCAAAGCCAGCCGAAAAGTTTCCAATTTCTCGGGAGACTGAGGGAGACGGGGGAGTAAAAATTCATAACGCGGAAATACCAACAAAGTCTATCGAGGATGATGAAGGCCCTATCAATTTGATCGACAATACGCCGATCTCAGAGGGAGACGAAGCGAATGGGGAACAGCGTGAAAATGCCGTAAGTGAGCTACCTCAGGCTTCTGGGTCGACAGGGAAATCATATTTTCAACGTGGCAAAGACGCCGCATCTGGTATTGCAAACTTTGCGAACAAGGCCAGCAAGTTTCATTCTCAGCTTCCTAATTCTATTAAGAAAGAGGCTGCAAGTCACATGCAGACGGGCATGCGGCGCATTACGACCATGGCCCAGCCCGCAGCTGATGGAACAGGAGGCAGAGTTGAAGAGATAACGCAGAGAACTTCGAAGATTCCGACAGATCTCTCTTCTTTGTCTGGACTTCAAGTTGGTGAAGATGGGTTGGTCTTAGATGGGGACGGCAATCAAGTTGGCCGACTGGCTGAGGGCGACGCAGAAGATATTGCTGGTCAAATTATCAGCGAGGATGGAGAAATTCTCGATGAAGATGGTGACTTGATTGGGCGCGTGGAGCTTCTCAGCGGTGTTCGGGCAGCAAAAGCACCTTGTGGCCAAAATGTCCTGGGCTTAAAAGACCTTGCAAACCTACCTCTTGGGGAAGATGGGACAATCAAAGATCAGTCTGATCGAGTATTGGGAAAGCTCGTCGAAGGTAACCTTGAGGATTTGGTTGGTTGGACGGTGGATGAAAATGGTGAGATACTCGATCAGGATGGTGATTTGGTGGGCCGCGTTGAGCTGCTTCCTTCTGATGAAGTTGATGAGAGGCTTGACCAGCCAGGTGACTCGCTGCCAGGCCTGTCCATTTTGAAGGACAAAGCCATCGATGAAGAAGGGAAAATACTGGATGAAGACGGCAATCTGCTTGGCCGAATCAAAGACGATCAAGACCCGGATGCTTTGGTTGGTAGAGCGGCGAACGAACAAGGTCAAATTCTGGGTGATGATGGACAGATCATTGGGGAAGTTGAGGTAGTTGCTGGAGAGGTTGCTGACAAGGCAATGGCAGCGCAGCAAGAGGCAGTACGGCAGGCCGAAGAAGATATTTCTATCCTTGATGGACTCCACGTCAACGAAGAAGGATTGATCACTGACCCCAGTGGCGCCGTAGTCGGTGAGCTGGACAGTGGTGATTTATCGAAAGCCGTTCGTATGACTGTGAACGAAAAAGGCCTGGTGTTGGATGATGATGGCAATATTGTAGGCAAAGCACGTTTGGCTGCCAAAGATCAGATCGAAGAGACCGAGGAAACTGCCGAAAATACCGTCCAGCCATTGCCACCCCTTTCCACGCTGGAAGGTATGAAGTGCAACAAACTCGGAAAAATTTTCAATGAGGATGGGATCCCTGTTGGTGAACTTGTCGAAGGCGACCCCAAGAGGCTTAGTAAAGACAGTGTCGAGCTCGACTCTGAGGGTCAATTCTGGGACAACAGGGGCAGAATCATTGGCAAAGCCCACACTCTTCCCATGGATGAGGACCAAGAGAAAGGGCCATTTGCGGATCTAGATGAGCCTTTTGTTGCCGAAGAAGGTTGGGTCCACGACGTCAATGGGAACAAAGTTGGACAGATTGTTGAGGGTGAAATTGGAAAACTTCTTGGACGAGCCGTCGATGACGATGGTGATATCCTAGATAAACGCGGTAATCTGCTGGGTCGGGCAGAACCGTGGGAAGCAGTCGAGCCAGAGCCGGAGAAATCCGTCGATTTGACAGAATTAGAGGGTCTCACTCCTAATAAACTTGGAAATGTCATGGGTCCAGACGGAGTTCCCATTGCTCGGGTCAGTGAAGGAAACATCAAACAACTAGCTGACAAAAAGATCGATGCCCGGGGCCAGATATGGAGTGATGTTGGTGAAGTCATCGGACAGGTCAGTCTTATTCCTGAAGACGAACGGGAAGCTATCACACCCTTTGGAGGGATGGGAGATCTAGTGGTCCGGAAAACTGGCTTTGTCGAGGATGAAACTGGTTCGATAGTTGGCAAGATCGTCGAAGGCGACCCTCAGAAATTGCAAGGCCTCCTTGTGGATGATGATGGAGACATTCTTGACAAGCGAGGCAATTTGAAGGGACGGGCTGAGCCGTATACTCCATCGGAGGAAGAGGAGGAAGAAGAGGAAGATGATCTATCCGTTCTTGAAGGGATGAAGGTCAATAAGCTAGGAAATGTCGTGGATGAAAATGGCTCCGTGTGGGGACGCCTCATCTCTGGGAATCCTAAGAAGCTGGCAGGCAAGCAAATCGACGCGGAAGGTCAAATCTGGAGCGATGATGGAAATGTTCTCGGCTCTGTTGAACTGATACCTATATCTGAGCGAGAGCAGGGGGAAGGTATTTTCTTTGGGCTCGACGGCCTAGTTGTCACCAAAGACGGAACCATCACAGACATTGGCGGCCAAATTGTCGGAAGGCTTGTTGAAGGAGACACGTTTCGACTACAAGGTCGTGCCGTTGATGAGGATGGAGAAATTATCGACAAAGTAGGAAACGTCATAGGCCGTGCAGAGCGTTGGGTCCCGGAGGAAAAGCTTCGCAACGTCAGTCCGATGAGTGGTCGAAAAGTCAACCGGGAGGGAGAAGTACGCGATGAAGATGGAAATCTCATCGGTCAACTCACAGATGGCAATCTCAAGTCTCTAGCTGGCAAAACCATTGACGACAATGGCTACATCGTTGACAACGATGGTAATAAAATCGGCGAGTGCACATTGCTAGAACACTTACCCGAGCCCGAGCCCGAGCCCGAGCTCGGGTCTGAGCAAGAGGATCTCGAGTTGTCACCTGAGGAGCTAGAGCAGAAAGAAAAGGAGGAACATGATCGAGAGTTGGCGAAGAATATGTCTTCGATTATACAACAGACATTTGATTCCGTTGAGCCTCTTTGCAAACAGATCTCCGAGGTAAGCTTTTCATTTTGTCACATGATTATGTCCACTAATAATATGGCCAGCATATTGAGAGAGCCGACCGCACACCCCGAGACGAGCTTGATGAGGAACAGCTTGTAAAGACAGTAAAGCCTATTATCGAACAAGCTGGCAATATACTGCAAGAGTGTAAAGGGGCCCTTCGTGCTCTGGATCCCGATGGTCAAATTGCAGCGTCTGCAAAAGCCAGAAGTGTCTCGCACGAAGCAACATCGGAAGAATATCAGTTGGCCGATCTTCTCAAGCAACTGTCGCAGACAATCTCTACCACAATTGAGAATGGTCGTCGGCGAATAGCAGATATGCCTCATGCGAAGAAGAAGATCAATCCACTTTGGTCTGTGCTTTCTGAGCCCCTTTTCCAAATTATTGCGGCCGTTGGTCTACTCCTGAGTGGAGTCTTGGGGCTTCTCGGTAAACTCCTGAATGGGCTTGGTCTTGGAGGCCTTGTCCGGGGGCTTCTTGGTGGTCTGGGAATTGATAACCTTCTCAGTGGTCTTGGTCTAGGTAATATCGGCGAGAAACTGGGCATGTCAGGTTAAGATATGTACTCCGCACTGCAAGGAATAAAAAAAGTTTATTGGGGAAAAAAAGACATGGGCTGGAGTTTCTGGCTCTTAAAGCGCTTTTAACGAGGTCTAATCTTTTTAACATTCCATAAATGTATGGATCTGAATTTCACTTTTCATCTCCGATAGTGATTGCGAGTAGAATAAATTACCTAATGGGAGTGGTTTTATTGGGGTTGCCTCACAATGCCTGTAGCCTCACCATGTCTGTAGCCTCACGTGATATCTACACCGACATTTCCGAGGGCCTCTTCCTCCTACAACTGCCTCACGAGAGTCATTTGATGGCCTCTGCGGGTAGCTCGTCATCTCTCAGGCAGTCAAGTGTCAATTTTGTCCCTCCCACCTTCCCTCTGTATATAGAATCCACTACAATACAGACACATTGCCTCCCTTCAAGGGAGCGCGGACGGGGCCTATCTGACGCCACGGTCTACGACCGCAGCGACAGGTAACCCGTTGCGGCCAAACTAAACTCTTCTTGCTCCTCTTGACTGCGTGAGGTCACCAATAAAACATATATATATGATGTAGTTTTTCGATTCATCGACTCAGCGTCATTCATAACTGGTACTCATGTGTGTCAACTGACGTCTTTTACACGGTTCTGTGAAGGCACTAAATAGTCGAATTTCTCATCACCGATAAGGATTCTAAGGTTCTGTTACCGATTAACTGTTTCCAGATTGACCCTTTGCATCTAAGTTCGCAATTCGTTGCGATGCATTTACCTTACTACTCCATGTATTATGGTTTCGATGACAATATAGATTATCCCACTTGTTCTGGATTGGCATATAGCTCCCTTCACTACATCTCTTGACTCACTCGTATGGCAAGTACAACGCTGAGTCCCCATTCTCATAAACCTCTCTAAACACCGCACGATCAAATAGCTCGTATAGCCCGGCCGGCATCAGCGCCGCACAGTCGACCACCTTTTGCTCCAAGTCAAACACCAGGGCGACGTGTCCCTGTCTTCCGGGGCCAATCCAATGCACCAAGAATAAGTTGGGTCGGACCTCCCGCTGTTGGTACGGTACCGCAAGAACCGTCGTTCCGTCTGGGAGGGCAGGAACCGTGAAGTAGACCAGTTCCTTGCTAAAACTTATGCGGTACTGGGGACCGCTGGGGTATTGATACTCGAATGTACGGCCGAACATTCCGGTTGTTTTAGGCCCGCCGACTTTGTCAGGCAGATGCTCTGGCTGTAACAAGGTTATTGAGTGTCACTTGTCTTGTACACCAAGGTAAGGAGGGATGGAATGTAATCACCTCTGGCACATTGAGTGCTACGTTATCTGTTGGGGTTGGCATCTTGGTGGATGGGCTCAGAACTTCATTGCGCTGAAGAGTAGGTATATATACCTTTTTCAATGATCTAGATTACAGGTCATCTCGAGGGCGGGGAAAAGCGGGGTAAGTCACCCTAGGTAAACCATTTCGTTAAAGGACAGGACATCAGGCAGGGGAATTCTCTTCATTGGCCATTACCCTCATTTCTGACTTCCGCGTCATTAACTTATCGGAGCGGGGCGGGGAAGATACCTAAGTCGGAGGACGCAAATGCAATTCCCAGAATTCTTTGCGAACAAGGTATCTTCGCCAATGTGAAATCATCGGCCCCGCAAATCCTCCGGCAATTTGGTACCCAGAGGAATAGGGTAGTGGTAAGGCGTAACCACTAGTCACAGGTTGAGTATTATCTAGCGTCTCACTTGTTTACACTAGTTTGCAACTTCAAGGCGATAATACCAAAAGACAGGGATGACAGTAATATTTCAAAAGCGCAAAGGCAATGGCACCTTGGCGGAAACTAGTGACTTAATACATCAAGAGAAGTTCAATGATTCAAATGAGTTGCAAAGACCGGGCATCGATTTGAATCTATTATGAGCAAGGAAGCACAGAGATCATCGATTCTTTTTTTCATCCATCTGCTGGATGCCCTCTTTGAGAGATTGATATCGTGGGGCGTAAGAAGACCTCTCAAGACTATGCCATTATTGGATTGAACCAAAGGCGAAATTTCCCAGAGTAGACAGGATGGCCGCAAACCGGTTAGAGATTCTCCAATGACCAGCATGCTGCAAGAAGTCAATCATTGAAAAGAAAACAAGCTTCAGCGAGAGAAGATCATGATTGTCCGTAGAGGCAACCTCTGAGACCAGGGTCTGTAAGTTAATGCCCATTGATGAGAATTCTGGAAAGTCGAGATTTGCTGTGGGTTGAAGAACGCATAGCGACCTGTCTGATGTTCTAAAGCGGATGTAACAAAATAAAGCCAACCCGGCCCAAAACACGGCCCGTGGAACATGGAGCGCAGGCTCCGATGTGATGTTCCTTGCTTCCACATGCCTTTTGATTAAAATAGCATGCAGGACGCAGTGCTGTCCGTTCACAGAGTTTGCCCACTCAGTAACAATTGCCATTTCATCGGTGGTCATTTTGGTCCCATCTCTACCGACAGCCCTTTCCAACAAATCGAAGTTAACCAGGGCTTCCATGTATATGAGGCTTTGTAGGACACGGAGTTGAAAAGTATCTGTTGGGCATTGGGCGAGATTGTTGGGCGACCAACTTGGTAAGAGATGATGATGAAGTTCTGCAAATGACTCATGAATAACCTCAATTTTCACCTGCCCGGCTTCTTGGAAAAAACTTCGAAGAAGTACTTGCGAGCTGATACTTTCCATAGCGGTGTAAGCCGTCAAGCTGCTAGTATCGGGCACGTATGAAGATAAGGCTGACTGTGAGGATGTTGGAGAACCTTTGGAAGGTAGCGATTTAGCTTGCTGTTGATTCAACTCCTCGCAGTAGATAGCTTTCCAATCTCGGGCGTTGGAGGCCGAAAAAGCCTTTTCGGAACAGGCATATGGGACTTTGTATGCTTTCCAGCTCTGAATTGGCTCATGATGGAGAGTGCTTCCCAGCTCTGCATCCATGATAAACAGCCCATGAGCTACGCGAATAATTTCTTCATTGCGTGCCCAATCATGCCAGAGCTTTTCAAGCTCATAACCATCGATGGAAGGATCAATTTGGGTGATGCTTTGGCGTGCATATAGGCGCAAATATCGTGACCACGCTATGGGAGGGCCGTGAAAAGCGTCCACGGTTAATAAGAGACTTGGGCTGCCAGAAAGCAGGCCAAATAACTGTGATATGGCTGCGCCTTGAATTGCGACAGCCAACTCCTTCCTGCCCCTAGCCAGAAGCTGTTCCCAATTGTGCAATGTAGCCTTGTGGACTCGCTCGAAGAGATAGATCCCCTGTTGAAGGCTCTGATCTGACCCGGTGAAGAGTCCTCCTATTGCACACATTGCGACCACAAGGTCCGCCTTCTCTCGACATGGCTGAAATGTGGCCGCATGAACTAATGGGAATAGGGGGTGAACCTTGGCAAAATAGAGGCGAAGACCGACATTCAAAAGATCAGTTGAAGGGACGGTCGGCTCATATGCGAGTATCTGGAGGCGATCCCACATGCTCTGACGATGATCCTCATTGATTGTAGTAGAAGTCAAAGACTCAGGTGAAAGAAGCTGCAACGTTTGTTCATAATTTTGTCTCGGGGTCAGAGTCTGTTCTGGATATTCGGCAATGGTAGTGAACCACAGACGTTGCACGCTCTGTAGTTGAGATAGGCCAGGACTCAGAGGCTCAGATGAAGTTACTTGAAAGAGCTGAGACTGCTGAAAAGAAGGAAATTCCATGGCTGAGATCTCTTCTCGCAGCCCTGCATCTATATGGCGAAGAGCGTCAAAGCCGCTCAGGTCGGACACCCTGAGGTCGAATTGGTCAATTTGAATATTGGGCGCTTCCGCCAAAATGGAATCGGCGGGCGCGATGGGAGCCGATTCCATCCATGTGGCCGGATGGTATGGTGGTGCAAAGGGAAAATTTCCCACTTCAGGACTTGAATTATTGACCGACGTTCGTTCTGCATGGTTTGGAACAGCAGCGACGGCGTCCCGTGAGCCAGGACTACGCACTGCCAGACCTGATATGGATGATGGTTCTTTTGGGCACAAAGAATCGGTTTCTACCATGGTGATGTGCTTATCCGAAGGTCGGCACTTAACATCGCGGCGATGCCGGATCAGGATGTCCCTTTGCCTTGCATTAGTCCCTCTTTATCGGTGTGTGGGTTTCTTGAGGATAATAGTTTACAACATACTGTCTACTGTATCGACTCCCACAGTCGGGGCATATGAAAGGCTTCTCTTTTGTGTGTGACCGAACATGACGCGCCAGATGCTCATTCTTCGAAAAGCTGGTTTTGCAGATTCGGCATTGAAACGGCCTTGACTCTGTGCGTCGTTGACTCTCTGACAGAGGCATTGTCGATCTAGCGTTGAGCACCTGAGAATTGGTCCAACAAAGGACGAATCAAGGTCCAACTTAGGTTGTCAGGTCTGATTAAGAGCGCGGGGGATATTGGGATTTCTGGGCAGACTAACCCCGCAAAATTGTCCCCGCATCGGAAGACTGAGCTAGAGATATTCGGGCAAGGTAATTATTTTGCCACTGAATTTACTAGTGGTATTAAAAATGCAATAAGCCCAACGTCTACATTTTTTGAGGCTAGCTCCCTAGCTAACCTTTCAAACGATTTCATGCGTGAAAATTACCTTACTTGAACTAGGGAGTTGGCTAGCGGTCGAGCTTATACACTAATTGTAGGAACTGCGAGCATCCCAAGTTTATACACGGGTACGAGAGCCCTCCCTCTATCTATATCCTAAAAGCCTAATCTAGATTAGCAGAATGAAAGTGAGCCGCTCAAAGCTTCCTTATGTGGTACCAAGTGATTAGCTGTTTCGTTTAGAAGGATCACCATTACAGAATGAATGATCTGAACAACGAATCGCTAGCCTGGCGGGAATTACCACTCCTTCAACCCAACTGGCCCGGTGCATGTCCAATGCTTGTGGTTCAGCTTGTTGTTCTCAACCTCATCCACAATAGCCACCGCCATGTCCTCGTTGTATACTCCCTTATCAATTCCTGGCTCAGCAGAACCCGCGCCGTCATCCACGTGGACCTCATATTTTCCAGTGCGAATCCCTAGTAAGCCAGAATGATCAGCATTGTCAAGGTCGCTTAATGCAAAGAATGAGATTACCCTTGTCGCGCAACTGCCATGGGGGTGACAAAAAGCTCCAATTTGTCTCCCGGACCCCTTCCCACATGGTCAGGGCCGCCCGAGAGCACAAAATCAGGCCTACGGTGTCTGGACTCGTCAAAGAGCTTTTAGCAGACCGCAAAAACCATCTGGCAAAAGGCCTGAAAAGCCATGAAAACCCTGTAAACATGAGAGATTGTCAGAAGTTGTTTTAGAAATCAATGAGACAATACATGACTTACAGCCGGGATTCTCAACATTCCCTCTTGCCCATTTGAATAGAGAGATGAATGTACCGAATGCTCGCTGACCATGATCAAACATACGAGTTGACATGTAATCGAGATGAACGTCCGGCCACGCATACCTAAAGTTGGTGAGCTATTTGAATAACGTAATTCAGTTAAAGGATTTATTATTACTCACCAATGCTTGAAGCAAAAGTCTTCATCGTCACACAGTTGGACGCCATGCTTGAAATACAGTGATCCGGCGCCGCCTGATTATCACAGTTAGAGCATGACACAGACGATAGAGCATGTGCGATCGAGTAATGTTACCAATGATAATGAAAATACCGCGGAAAGTTGAGCCGAGGATAGCCATTTTTATATTGCCATGGCCCTCCACGCCCACGCGGTACACGGCCTTCATGTCAACCAGAGGGGGGGCGAAGGCGGATACGACAGCGTCGAAGTTTCCATCGGACAAGATTGTACTGAGCTCTTTGATGTTGCTGTAGTCACATGAGATTGCATTGTACTCTCCGGACTTTGCCCACGTCTTAGGGGGCGAACGAGAAATTCCGACCACGCTGTGACCTCTGGCCAGAAGTTCATCCACGACGCACGATCCACACTGGCCCTTAGGTCCCAATACTGCAACTCGGAGACTTTCAGACATGATAGCGAAGATACTTGCCTTCTCTCCGATGCTTAGGCTTTGGTGAAATCAAAAAAAAAAATCGCACTGGGGGTGAGGTGAGATGACCAAACCAACTTGGCGATCGAGATTTTCGGGGGAAAGAAAAAGGGTCAACCTCACCTACTTCGGATATCATATAAGGCATAAGCTGCGGCCTGGTGTAGCTCACGTGTGCTTTGATTGATCGCACTGGTATTTGGTCCCTGACTCGACGGAACGCGGTATATCGGACCACCACATTGAAGTCCGCCCCGTCAAGTCCCCGCATTCCCCATTTCTTTCCCCGCCGGATCCCCACATGCGCCCCGGAATTCCTGTGGTGGCTTTAAGTCCAATTCGAACACTGAATCCCCGCTATCCAGGTCCATTCTGAAATGAGGTGAAGCCTTCGCAGCGCGAGATCCCACCGGGTAGCATGACGTAATATCCAATCTTACGCCTCGATGTCCTCCTTCTTTCTTTATTCAACCGGGGTTGTCAGGTCAGTATTTGCATTAGGACCCCTCTCCAACGTTATAATTAGCCGACTGAAGTTCGTACTCCTTTTTAATTTTTATTATTTTTTATCCTTTGGTCCCAGACTGCAGAATGGCTGAACTTCAGGGCCACGCCCAATTCTTGGAGTCATGTCAAGACAATAGGAGAAAGGCGAAGAACTATGTTCAATTTCGATCGGCTTTGTCGCCAGAATCCCCCAAGGCGCGCTTTCCTGGGTTTCGCCAGGGACTCACTAAATTCAAGGCAGGACAGCAGGTACAGAAGGGAGCAAGACCTTTGCCTGTGGATTTACTCATGCATGAAAGCATGCCAATGATACTATCCGATGGCACCAAGCTGTATTCCGATATCTTCTTCCCAGCTGGTTATGAGAGCCTCGGAGCCGTTGACGAGCACAAAAAGATCCCTGCTTTGGTTGCCTGGTAAGCTACTCATTCATTCACAACCTTCAGAGTTAGAATCGAGCCACAAATTAAATGCGACCAATTAAGTTACGATAGCTAATAGAGGCCAATTGCAGGAGTCCTTATGGCAAACAAATGGGCGTGAGTTTATTGGATGACTTTCCATTCCGCGCAGGCGTCCCAAAACATTGGCTGTCAGGTCTTCAAAAATGGGAGGGCCCGGATCCTGCATTTTGGTGCGCGGAGGGATACGCAGTCGTCAATGTTGACACACGCGGCGCCTATACATCTGAGGGTGATCTCATAATGATGGGACATCAGGAAGCTCAAGATGGAGCAGAGCTCGTGACTTGGCTATCTCAGCAGCCTTGGTGCAATGGTAAAGTCGGAATGACTGGGAACAGTTGGCTGGCTATGTCGCAGTGGAAAATAGGAAGTTTGCGGCCTAGAGGCCTAGCGGCACTCGCACCATGGTAGGCAGAGAAATATCAAGAGTCGTTTGCTTGAGCGAATTTAGTCTAATCGTCTCTTCATCAGGGAAGGAATACAGGACGTTTATCGCGACATCTTGTGTCCAGGAGGAATTCCGTTCACTGGATTCCATGACTCGATCGCCGGTAAGGTCATCCTCATGCAAGAATCGCTTCTATACTTTGAATGACAAAAGACAGACACTCTCTCCAGCTATGGCAAGTTAGAGGACATTTCCGAAGTCTTGAAAAGATTTCCTCTCTGGAACGAGTACTGGGACGACAAGAGATCTAAATGCGAGCAGATAAATGTCCCCACATACGTGGTTGGCTCCTGGACGAACCCGGTCCACACACCGGGGACAATGAGAGCTTACCGGGCCATACCTGAATCAGTTCCCAAGTGGCTTCGAGTACACAACTCAATGGAATGGCCTGACTATTATGCTGACTCCAGTTGCCGTGACCTGAAGCGCTTCTTCGATTGCTTCCTGAAGGCAAAAACGGATAATGGCTGGTTGGCGACACCCAAGGTGCGACTGAGCATCTTGAATTTTGGACTGTCTGGTTTGGATGATACCGTCAATAGAGCAGAAGCTGAATGGCCTCTGGCTCGGACCAATTATCGGAAGATATATCTTACACTCGAGCAAAAAATGAGCCCATCATACTTGGCGCAGCCTGGTCAAGTCACGTACGACTCGAAGAATGGGAAGGCCACGTTTCAATATCGCATACCAGATAATATGGAAACTACGGGATATTTCATTGCTCGGCTCGCAGTATCTTCTTCCTCAAATAGTGACATGGACTTGTTCGTTCAAGTGAGCTGCCTTCGAGGCAGCTCTTCATACAAGCAAGGCGTTCTCACTATTCGGCCACATAACGTCATGGTACTCAAATTATTGAAGCTACTGCATGACTGGCAATTCGGCTTACAGGGAGTCGGGATGCTTTTCCATTGGGGACCAAGTGGTCAGCTCCGGGTCAGTCATAGCCAACATAGCAGTGAGCTTTGCACGACTTTCGAACCACTTTATCGTCACACCGAGCGTGTTCCATTGACCCAGGACGAGGTCCGAGTCGTGGAGATACCTCTTCGTCCCTATGGGATGTATTTGAAAGTACGTAACAGCTTATACCATTATCGGTCCCCTTGTCTATAGCTGCTAATTAAACTCTAGAAAGATGACATTATGGAACTTACTGTGGCGGGGAATCCGGTTCTACCATTTCCAATTCCAGGCGTCAAAGCACTGCACGGCAAAAATGATGGATCTCACACTATCCACTGCCTTGATAGAGGGGATCAGAGTTCTTGTCTTATTGTACCTTGTGTCTAGTTCAGCCTTGCAGCCATCTCTACTATTTTGTAATGAGATAGCGGCAAAGCGAGAGGTGAAATGCCTGAGCAATACGATGCGCATATTGAGAACCTTCGACGGCGGCCTCCAAATGAAGATATTGGAGATTTCAATGCATTCTATGTTACGATAAACTTAACCGATCACCGATAGAACTACATTCTCTCGTTCTTCAAACTGTAGGGTGCGGCTAACCTACGCGCAAGTTCCCATCTTCATTCGATTTAGCAGCTGATTTATCCTTAATAAACGGCTGAAAATCCAATCTGGATAGTTTCGGCCAATCATAATTCTGGTAGCTTGCCCGGTATCCGTGTCCTCGCTCACCCACACCGCTTCCGTAGGAAGTAGTTCGGCTCGAGTGTAAAAAAAATGTGTTCCCAAGTTTCGTTGATCGCTTCCCAATTCATACTCTCCCGCTTACGCGCTGTGGCTGGGCGAAGACACGGATAATGCCCCGCGGGCGTCGGGTAGTGCAGCAGGAGGAGCATGCGAAGTGGAGCTGCGGTGGGGCCGACGGGGTCTCTAGCCTCACCTCCGGTTTTGCAAGTGTTTTTGTCGACGTAGGTTTCGAGGCGGTTGCGTTTGAAGGTGGTACAGCTTATAGGGGTTGGTGAATTCAAAATTTGCAGTATATAATAGGCTGCCTAAAACCACGCTATATATAAACACAATTTCCGCGACCGTGGCCTTTTCTTTGTCCTAACACAGTCTCTATCAAGAGAATAGTCCACGCAAATGGCAGATACGTCACTTTCAAGCCTCTTCTGGAGCAAATCCAGTGTGCGGCCGGAAATAGCTGCGGCTCTAGCTCTGCTCGGCCTTTTAGTGATTGCTAGACTGACCCTTCGGACATATCGCATACACGGCCATCCTCTTAAATCATTCAAGGGTCCCCCAGAGGCGTGCGTTCCGGAAGACTGGCTTTACAAGGTTACGAAGGACGGTACTGCCGAGCAAAAATTCGAAGCTCTTCACAAAAAGTACAGTATGAACTTAACCATCACCCTGTTGAATAACATGTATTGTATCTGCTACTGGAAATTATACTGATCGTTTATCTTTCCAACAAGACACTAAGGCTCTTCGTATTGGACCAAACGAGCTTCATATTTCTGATATCGAGCTGTACAAAGTGATCTACAAGCAGTCCAAGCCATTCCTCAAGCATGCCCCATTTTACGATGGATTCAACACACCCCATACTGTGTTTGCGGAAATCGATCCTCGCTTGCATAAAGAGCGTCGACGCATGCTGAATCCCTTGTTCTCGAAGGTGGGGGTTTACAAGTTGGAACCTCTGATTCATGAGAAGATTTACGTGCTCTCATCCAAAATCAACCGCCTCTGTGGCTCCCAGGAGATTGATATCTACAATGCAGTTCGGTAAGTCCAAGATTCCAAAATGCTTGACATAATATTTACATTTCCTAACCTTTTCAGGGCAGCCTTTTGACTACAGAGATTATCACGGAATTTGCCTTCGCGAGATCAGCTAACCTCATCGAGGAGAGAACTGAGGAAATGGATTCATGGTTCCTTGACGCTTTCGACGTTGGCTCCCAAAGTGTGGTCGATTTACAGTACAATTATTTTCTTCGACAACTCGTGAGAATACTACCAGTTGGCATTAGCGAACTTTTGAACCCCAAGCTTGCCTCTATCCTCAATTTACAAAAGGTATATTATATTGATATGCCCGCGAGACCGAGCCCTAAGGCTGACAAATGAACAATCAAGTTTGCGGCAGATTGTATGCGGCATTGGCAGAAGTCGTCAGGAAGCTCCTCTCATCCTGTTATCTTCGATAGCCTGAAGTCAATCTCAGACAGCGCCAAGGTTTCTGAGGCTATGGACATTCTCATCGCCGGTGCTGACACCACAGCATCTACGCTGACAACTGGGTTTTATCATATCCTCTCCAATCCAACAATCCAAAAACGCCTTGTGCGGGCACTCGACGAGGCCATGCCAGAATCCGGATCATTAATTTCACTCCAATCTTTGGAGAAAGTGGAATACTTGGTATGTCCGGATTTTGCGGATCAAAATTGAACCTAGATGACCTACGAGGCCGCTTCTCTACCCCACAATCACTGACGTTACAATAGTCGGCGTGTGTCAAAGAATCTATTAGGGTTGGTATGGCTGTACCTGGTCGTCTCCCTCGTGTCGTCCCCAATGGTGATCCGTTTGTTGTCGAAGGAAAACTCGTCCCCCCGGGTGTAAGTTCTGTCCTTCTTGGGAATCGAGAGCCAATCCAGAACTAAAAATACTAACAATGCTTTTATCGGGATTCTTAGACCATCGTTGGCATGTCAGCGTACACCATGCATAATTCTATAGATGCTTGGGGACCCGACGCCCGCGAGTTCAACCCTGACCGTTGGATCGGACCCGAGTCTAAGGATCTGGAGAAATGGCTATGCACATTTTCCAAAGGTGCACGGATGTGCTTGGGCCAAAAGTACGTTTTGACCCCACAACCGACCAATATCCTTTGGTTTTATACCACATACCCTGATATAATTGCTCACATCTATAACCTTTTAGTGTTGCACCAGCTGAGATGACCCTCACATTTGCCCACTTGTTCCGCAATCACGAGCTGAGCCTCCCCAAAGGGAATATGGCACCGAAGGGGATTGATCGCTTTACCTTACAGTTCGAAAAGCCGGGATTACCCGTAGTGTTTAAACCTCGTCAGTGAAATGAAGTCTGATCAAGTAAGTAGCCAGTGAGCCTTTCCGGGCTCATTTTTGATTGTATTGCTACATAGTGTCACTTCATCATGGCCGCCCAATTGTGACGTCTTTTGGTTGCTTGGTGTCACCTTGAAGGCATAGTTCAGGGGCAATATTGCTGCAATGCGAAGTTGATGTAACTCAAAAGCCAGCACGCAGCATTGGGGAAAGTTACTACAGATATCAATCTGCGCGAAAAATTACGCTCAAATTCAGCTCTTCTGCGTATTGTTCTTGAATAGTTACACCTACATCCTATGCTCACACAAAATAGTATTTTCAGTGTTTCCTCTGGATTGCGAGAATAAAAAAGGGTTTGAATCGTATCAAACATGGCTGATGGTAAAACAAGCAAATGCAATCATAATCGCTGTTTTAGGTAATTATGAGAAACCCTTAACGTACTTCCCGCCTAGGCGACGCACCCAACAACACATATAAAATGCGATAGATTACAAATTTATATCTCAACAGCCAAACCTCTTCAAGGTATAATGTTAGAATTTAGTTTTTAGAATAGGCCTCCTAGTACCCTTATAGATTCTAAAAGTTTGATCTCGAATAGTAATTGAGGAACATATATCTGAGTCTCCAATATCAAAATTACATTGTAATTAATAGCAATTTAATGTAGTTTTGCTTTAATTATTTTTAAATTAGAGCATAATACTATTAATATATAAAATAGTATCAAGAATAAGTTTTGGATTAATACATAGTCTGGTTGTTGAAATATATAACTAGAATTTCTCGCATTTACTACGTGGTTTTGGGTGCGTCGCCTAGGTGGGAAGTACGTTAAGTTACAAAGCAAAAAGCCGCAGAAAGAGGTCAAAGCGTGAAAAAGGAGCTGATCCGGAATTTCCCCACCTTTGGTCATGTGATAAAAGTTTCCGCTGACTCATCATTGCCACGCTTCTTGAGTTCCGAGCCCAAGGAGCTCCCGAGCATGCATCAACCCAATGAACATGTGCTGCCCAGTACCTTCATGATGGCAAATCTCCCCTCTGAGTCTTCACATCCTACCAGAATAATGCCCCCCAAATTCATTCACCACCAAATCTGAATGAGCCCTCCTCTCCGCCGAGAAGGTACAATTGTAGCGTCTGCTCAACGTCCTTCCGCCGCCGTGAGCACTTTGAGCGTCATCTCAGAAGCCATTCTAAAAGCAGGGATTTCAGATGTGACATTTGTGACAAACAGTTTGCGCGAAGGTAGGGTTTACGGGGCCTTGTCTACTATGCAAATAAACTAACACTTCTCAGGGATACATTGCAACGCCACTCAACAATTCATGGGCAAGTACCTAACAAAGTGCAAAGAACGCTCCCGAGGGCACCCCGTGCCTGTCTTAACTGTGTCAAATCAAAACAGCGTTGTTCTGGATCCCATCCATGTGATCGCTGTAATCAAAAAGACTGGCCTTGCCAGTTTACCAAGGGCTCCAAGGAAGGGGCACCACAAGAACAGAACGTCTTGCCGGATGCCACCGAACGAAGGACGAGTAATCAATTAAATCAGACCTCAAGACTCATTTATCCCTCTGAGTCATCCCTTGCATGCGGGTTATCACCGATCAGCACAGTCCACTCGGACTCTAGGGGTTCAGACAGTATCGATTATGCCGGCGGGCCATGTGCGGATATTCCTTTCCCAAGCCAGGCTCGACAAATCTCGCAATACGCCGAAGCCACTTCACTCTTCGAACCGTTCATTCTTTGGCCTCTGGATGATGCGTATGAGCATTCTCATATGGCTTCACTTGACCCCCCAAGTCTTCCGACGCCATTCGGTATGGCTGGGACTGCGAATCAACCACTAAGTATGCCGCTTGGAGTAGATACTCCTGTAGAGCCTTCGAATTTTCATCAAGAGCGTTCAGGACATACCGAGGCGGCTCCGAGGCCCTTCAGTGGCCAGTCAGACCACTATCTGTCAGATAACGCCCTCACCGAGGAAGACCGCGATATTCTGATATCTGAGGATTACGGACATGTTCCCAAGCCCTCTACCTCAACATATGAAATAATCTGTGCTCAATATGCGGAAGTGAGTCGGTCTTCACCGGAACCCCTACTTCCGAACCTACATTCTTTGGATATCCTTCACGTATGTACACAGCTGTACTTCGAACATTTTCACCAAGGATTCCCTTTTCTTCACCAAAGTACCTTCGAGGCTCGAAGCTCATCGTGGCTTCTATATATCGCCGTCGCCGCCGTGGGAAGCCAGTATTCACGACTTTCAAGTCGGAATAGAATATTCTCTGATCTGATTAAAGCCCTTCGAATGGCTTTGCTTCGAAAGGTATGTTCAATCAAAGTTCCAAATGATTATTTTAGGTCACGTTTAGTCTAATAGGGAACATTAGCTCAGCTCCACTTCGTCACTTCAAAACAACCTTGAACTTGCCCAGGCAACACTGCTCTTCAATTTTGCTCTTCTTTTCAGTGGAACACGCGAGAGTTTGATGCATTTGCAATACCAACGAAACGTGCTGATCACGATGTGTCGCCCCCTCCTCATTTCCGGTGTCCTCTTCGCGAAGAGCGGCGCGTTATCGAATACAACTGTGCCGACCGAAGACTGGACTCGATGGATCGTAATTGAGTCTTGGAAGAGACTAGTTTACTTCACATGGTGTAAGTGTAGCCCTCGGTTTTTACGCTGTTATCTATGTCCGCTGTCTATTTGCTGACTATCAAACGTACGCAGTGAACGAGTGCTTTCAATTAGTCTTCTTCGACCTGCCTACTCTCATTACGATTGACGACATGCATCTGAGCATGCCCTGTAATGATGAACTGTGGCAGTCCGCAAGCTTCCATGACTGGGAGAAGGCTAAAGGCCTACAGAGAGGTAATTCATGCCACGTATCAGAGTTGACAAAGTTCTCTTAACTTACCTAATCTGATAAGACCCAGCGGAATGTCTTAGTGTTCCTTCTTTGCTCAAGATGAATGCCATTAACCTAGAGCGTATTCGCTCGTTGAGTGGCTCTGGGATTTGGATATCAGTTTTTGCGGTGTACTTTGCGGGGAGGTACTCCATTCAAGGGCAATCGTTCAACTCCTACCCCAGCATGAAAAGTACCTCTGACTGCTGGAACCTAACTTCCGCGGAGGAATTAGCCGCTCCTGAGCATGGTGGGGATCCCATTGACACCATACTTGGGAGTCTTCAGCAAGCTGTTACGCGACAACGCCAAGAGTCGCCTCTCCTTTCCATCGTGAGGAAATTTTCTCTTGTTCTCAGACTACTTCGCTTCATCAAATACCGTCTTTTGTATGTCTCTTCGGGGTGGATGGCACAACGTCAGGAGGTTGACGCTGCAGCGCAACATATCGCACAGCTACTTCAAGCAGAACCGAGGCGGGCCCGTCAAAGTCTCCTTCATGCTGCTCAGTTGTTCCGAATAATCCGTTCACAGCGTCAATATGACCCCTACGACTCCTTTCTTCTTCTTATGGCCTCTCTATACATCTGGAACTATGATAGATTCGTGATTTCAGACAAGCCACAATTCCCTTCGGGTGGAGATGCCGAGGAGATCCTTCGAATTGATCAGGATATGGACAAGGATTTACTCGAGCAATGGATTACAGACACATTTGATACGCCCAAGCTAATTCACATCAGTGGGCTTGGGGTGCTTAACGGGCAGGACAGCGTGCCACGCATTTTTAGGGAATCAACGAGGATCTTGAGCCATGAGAAGGCTTGGTCAAGACAGGCGAATGCTATCAAGTACGCGTTACATCAAATACTATCAGGAGGTGCTCCGTCATTTCCTGCCGAAATCTAGTGATGAATGAAGTACAAGTCATCTAGAGGGTTTTTTTGCCGCCCTCCTTCCATCTTGATTTATGTCAGTATAAGGCTTCTTGGCTGTTTCTTGCATGAAGGTGGTCGCAGATGTCTTGCAGTATCTAGATAGCGGGCTTACTCTATGTTCATTTCAAAATTATTTCTCATCACTTAGTATGAAGGTGGGTTCCTTCCTACCTGGACCAGTCGCCATCTGGTAATTGGTGGCTACGGGAAGCTCGTAACATTTGCTCCGCAACAGCAGCTTTGCAATGTGGGTCTCTCGGTCGTCGGTCTTTCGGTCTTCGGCATTCAGTAAAACCGACCAACGGTCCGCTGCAAAGAACTTTCCATGCATTTTTGGCCCACTGGGTAGCAATAATCCCCGCAATTTCTCCACAGTGACGATCTTTTTCGCGGGGCCGACGGAGCCGACGGGGTGGCGACCACTGGCGGGTTTCGTGAGTGCAGATCATCTGCATGAACGCGTGTCGGCAATTATTGAATTAGTCGTATCCAGCGCTATGTTGACATACTAGTGCCGGAGATAATCAACAGATCCGAATCCAGGGATCGTTGAAAATGGGGAGGTTCACTGCCGAGATTGTTTGGCCGGTATTTGGCGGTTGCATAATTTCACAAAATTGAAGACAAAATTCGGGAGATTAATCATACACTCACCGGTAACGTGGTTCCCGCCTACGTCGGATATCCGCCTACATCCCTCACCCCAAAACACATAATAAATACGGTAAATACAATATCATATCTCAAGAACCATATCCCCTTATAGATATAATACCGGAATATAGTACTTAGAGTAGGTCTCCTAGTATCTTAATGGATCCTAAAAGTATTAGCTTAAGTAGTAGTAGAGAAATATATATTAAAGTCTCTGATATCAAAATTACAATATATTTCATAGTAATGTAGTGTAATTTTGCACTATCTATTTTCAAATTGTGATATATTACTTTTGATGCTTATAAAGTATCAATAATGGGTTTTAGATTAATATATATTCTGGCTGTTGAGATATAATAGTATGATTTCACTATGCGTTTTGGGGTGTCCGACGTAGCCGGGAATCACGTTAGTAATTCACCAAGGCAGAAAAGGGCAAATCCCGGGAAAGTAACCAATCGACCAACAATACACTACAGGCAACATTATTAGTCAATAGTTAACATCTTCTATTGCCCTGAGATAATCTAACGCTCCCTCACTCCACAGTACCGTACCTATAGCATCAATTTTCATTCTGAACCTAGGGCACAGTTATAGTCAATGATTTGCAATCTGGAAGCAAGGCCGGGAAAAAGACTTCGGCAGCAACGACGTAATCGTTTGTATATTAGGAATTGATACGGAATGAATTTATCCAAACAAATTTTTCCTCACTACCATTCGCAAGCGTTTCTCGGCCACATTTAAACATTCCTTCTCTCGAACGAACTTGATATCTTTTCATCGGCGTTTATTGAAAATCATAAGTTCAAGCGACAAGTGACATAGGCAATCACCCACACAACGAGATTCAGACATGAGATATTGAGCGCACAATAGCGCACACTGCAGGGGCATGCATTTGACGTTACCGCAAACTTGCATCCTTACTACTTCACACATGATTTCTTGCCTTATTATTCCACCGCTTCTAGCTGTAATCTCAAACTCAATGATAACATCACTTGATTCAAGCTGGTTCATATAGAACTACAGTTCCCGACATGGCATACTGACTAGACAAGTGCATGGCCGACTTCAACTGTATCTGAACAGGTCAAGGTAATGATAGAACTCAGAGTAAACCACCATACATGAGTGAAGGAATCCTTCTCAACGGTAGTCATGCGGCAAAGTCTCAGACTCCAAAAGACAAGCAAAGAGTTGGAAAGTCATGGACTATCAAACGTACTCTACACGCTCTTCCAATTCATCGAGTGGTTTTTTAGTATCGTGCAGCTCTAATGAGAACTGACTTGTATCTGTTGTTGAAAACTTTCTCGCCGGAATATGATGCTCAAACAGGGCATCTATCTCGGCAAAGGTCCTTCCGGCAGTTTCTAGGTCTCTGTCAGTCGAAATATCTCAATTCAAAGTTTGCACCCTTCTCTTACCAGGGAGCCGTAGAAATGTCCAAATGAACAGTAGTGCGCATATTCCTGCCCAGAAAAATCCGCACTTGGCGCCCCAGTTCCACGATCCAGCGCTAAGCATGTGGGGAACCAATATATTGGTAATGATGAAACCCTAGCCAGTACCAAAAAGTGAGTACACGATGATGAGAATTTTTTTTTTTGATTTTTGGTCTTACCGTATTGTAGGTATTGCGAGCAATTGCCAAAGATTTGATCTTCAAACGAGTTGATGGTACTTCTGATACAATTGCAAAGCATACAGGCCCGATTGTGACATCGTATACCAGAGCTAAGATTAGCAAGAGACACCCAATAGCCCAGCTTACGCTGGTCGATTGTGTACTGGCACCCAATGCACCTATCACGGTCAGAATTATAAACATTCCAGTCAATCCCGCAAGATACAGGGTTCGTCGCCCAAAATGATCTAGCAGGTACCATGATCCTAAATGCTTTAGAATTAGTTTCCGTCCCATGGGAAAATCTTCAATGCTCCAGATTAAGGATATTCCAAGACATCGAGATGAATAAATGCTTAACTCACCGACAGTGCCGATCCAGCCAAGTCCAGACACGCCTATGGTGAAAGAAAAACTGTTTGATTGGTTCAGTCCCGCACGTTCCAAGAACACGACAGAGTATGAAACTAAGCCGAATCCGCAAAAGGTCTGGGCTAGCCATGCGACTGAGACAATTTCAGTTCGACGAAGATTAACCCCCTTGAAGCAGTCCATATAGCCTGTCCCTGTGTTCGAGTACATTTCCTGCTCGTTGGTAGCTTGTATCATTGAAATTTCGTGGTCGATATCAATTGGAACGCCGCATGTCGAAGATGTTAGCCTCTGCAAGGACTTCTTCGCATCTTCAATCCTCCCACGGCGCACCAAACACCAAGGTGAGTTCGGTGCGAACAGTGTGAAAACCATAATGGGAAGCGGCCAAGCCCATTGAATAGCGAGCGGTAAACGATAAGACCACTCATCTGTTCGCGTAGAAAAGGCCTTTACCACTCCTGATCCGATCAATTGGCCTGTGACAAAACAAAGATTGATGAAAGTGGTCATATAGCCTCGCAGCCGTACAGGGATGACCTCTGCGATATAAGTGAGTGGAAGAATCTGGAACACGCCCCTATATCATCAAGTCAGCTTAAAGGAAGGGCGGGCTAGAAATAGTTGGAGATATTGACCAAGGAATTCCAATCAGAATAGCACCGGCCTCGATAGTGGCGATATTTTGCGCAAAAAAGGTCAACGAGATGAAACAACACATCAATAATAATGAGCCGACAAGAGTCGCTTTGTAACCGATTCGTTCGGCGATCAAACTATTGAAATAAAGCCCAGTAATACAACCGACCTATCATCAAAGTGGTCAGCCTGTATCCTGAATCTTCCAAACTCACCGAGGAATGTAGCTGCCTCTGAAAGATCTTTTTGGAAATAAAATGTACTCACTAGTCCCCCACAATTGATACCAGATTGCCAAGCCGCCGATATCGCTTTGATCCCGTTTTCAGTATCTCCATACCTATAGGTCACTTTTAGTATGATATAACCACAGCCGAGAGTACTTAAGATACCTTTCCGCAAAAGTACCCAGTCCAAAGAAACTCCCCAAGAGGACAACATCGTAGCCCTCCATAATAGGTGCAAGAGATATTGCGAGTGACCAGAGAATGGCCTTCTTGTATAACTTAACAACATCTCTCAGAGGGAGATTAGTGGAGTCGTAGTGATTGTCACTGGGATTCGGAGGGCTCCCATCAGTGCTTTGATCCTTCGACATTTTGAAGTGGCAGGGAAAAGAGTATGAAAGGGGACAATATACTGGATCACGAATTGGAAATTCTGGGATCGAGACGGGGGGGAGCTTGATGTTATAGAGAAAGAATTTTCATCCGGTACGAAATGATCAATATGCGTTAAGCGACAGAGGCGCAAAGGCATGAGTGCAATTGAACACCTCGTGGGGCAATTGTCCACCAAGGCGCCGGTACTCTGGGCCCATGGGGAAAATATCTTTACTTCCCCACGATTTTTACATGACAGGAGGAACGGGATAAGTTCAGAGATTGCCGAGGAACCTATCAAGTTTGCGGGGAAACGGTCTAATCTCAAGTGGGAGTAGGACCCAAATACCTCGTGTTCAGCGACAGTAGGAACTCTTAGCGAACTTTGTGATAAGGGCAAAAATAAGCGATCCCAGAACCCCGGACGGCTAATCCTCGGGATTGAGATTCAAGCCACGAAAGAAGATTACGGAAGGCATCACAGGCGAGCGGACCCGCCGGCTCCGCGGGAAGCCAGCGAAGCCAGATTTGCTCGCGCATATGTCCCGTAGGGTTCAAATAGTGTGAAATCAGTCATGGAATGGCCTTCTTTCTCTACCCTGTTTGCAAGCCTCTTGATTGTCGACAGCGCCTTGAGAAGGGATTTTTGATGCAAAATGACGTTTACCACGACAAATGAGGCCAAGCCTATCTATCGCGATGGCTCAAAGTCGATTGATGAAAGGATCGCTGATCTACTTGGTCGCATGACTCTCGCTGAAAAGGCTGGGCAGCTTTTTCATAGCATGCTTCTTCCCGGGCAGGATGGCTCGCTTGCTCCAGCAGAGCCCAACTTTGGCATTGAAGATACCAAATTTCTTATTTCCGAAAAGTACATGAGCCATTTCAATCTTCTTGGTCCGGTACAAGACCCGTCAACGGTGGCCAGATGGCAGAATGCCCTCCAAGAACATGCGTTAACTCAAACTCGCTTGGGAATACCGATCACTATCTCTTCCGATCCCCGGAATCATTTCAACGAGAACGTGGGAACTGCGTTCTCCGCTGGTTCGCTGAGTTTATGGCCTGAAACGTTAGGCTTTGCGGCATTACGAGATACATGCCTTGTTGAACGTTTCGCCGATATCGCAAGGCAGGAATACATCGCAATGGGCTTGCGGGTTTCTCTCCACCCCCAAGTTGACCTGGCAACGGAATACCGCTGGGCCCGAATCAATACCACTTTCGGTGAGGATGCCGATCTATCTGGAGAGCTTGTCCAAGCCTACATCCGCGGCTTTCAGGGAGGTAAAGGTGTGTCCTCTACCAGCGTTTCGACCATGACAAAGCACTTCCCGGGCGGAGGACCGCAGATGAATGGGGAGGACCCTCATTTCACCTATGGACGCGAGCAAATTTATCCAGGAAACAATATCGAATATCACCTTAAGCCCTTCAAGAAGGCAATTGAGGCCGGTACTCGTCATATAATGCCATACTATGGAATGCCAGTCGGTACTGAATTGGAGGAAGTTGGCTTCGCGTTCAACAAAGCCGTTATGACGGGACTTCTGCGTGACAAGCTAGGTTTTGGTGGTATAATTTGCACCGACTGGGGCCTTCTCACAGATGCTGTGATTTTGGGACAGGAAATGCCAGCACGGGCCTGGGGATGTGAGAATCTTACTGAACTAGAGAGAGCGAAGAAGATCCTCGATGCCGGTTGTGATCAATTCGGAGGTGAAACACGAACCGATTTGATTATTCAATTGGTCGAAGAGGGCCTAATTCCTGAATCTCGAATTGATATATCCGTGGACCGCATCCTGCGAGAGAAATTTGCCCTTGGTCTTTTTGATAACCCATTCGTTGATGCAGAAGCTGCGGCAAAGATCGTTGGGCAGCCTCAATGGAAAGAAGAGGGTGAAGCAGCGCAGAGAAGGGCGTTTACTCTGTTGAAGAATGTCGATGGTATTCTTCCACTCCGAAAGCAAGACTATCAAGGCAAGAAGATTTATATCGAAGGTGTCAGCCAGTCAGCTGCGAGGGCAAGGGGCTTCTCATTAAGCTCCATCGATGAAGCAGACATCGCCATCATGCGACTTCAGTGCCCATTCGAACATCGCCCTGGTGGTTTTGAGTCTCATTTCCACGCCGGATCCTTGGAGTTTTCTGAAACTGAGAAGGCTCGCCAAGCGAACGTCTTCTCTAAGGTTTCTATTAGCATTGTGGATATTTACCTCGACCGCCCACCAGTCATTCCAGAGATTGTTAACCAAGCCACCGCTTTGACGGTGAGCTATGGTAGCAGCGATAATGCTTTCCTCGATGTCATTCTGGGATCCAACGGGGCGAGACCAGAGGGAAAGCTTCCTTTCGACCTCCCTAGCAGTATGGAAGCAGTTGAAAAGAGCAAGGAAGACCTACCCTATGACACAGAATTTCCACTCTTCAAATTCGGACAGGGCCTAGAATATTCTTGAAGAAGTAGAAGGTCTGCAAATGCGATGTATCCCTCATCATGCTGCGTTAATATAAAAAATTCTTGTTTTCTTCCCCTTGCACAGGACACAGAATCTGTATAGTTTCATGTTTCTTTTCTAGTCGCAACTTCACAATTTCAAGCCTAATATGAGATAAATGTATGTCAATGCTACATAGCATACAGGAAACGCGCTAACACTATGAACTAAGATTGACTTATAGGATAAGCGAGATGGCCTGGAAAAGATATTTCCTATATCGTATGTGGAACACCAAATTCAAATTTGAGCTATCCGATGTTCGAGCTACAAATTATCCTGGTCCGCTTCACAAAAGATATCGAAAAAGCTCTGCCCGGGGGTGCATGTTTCAACTGCTGGCCAGGTGTCATATTTAGTACAGCTTTCTTGTCCTTCCAGTCTTTCATCCCTAAGCCATTGACCTCATTTTACAATGGCGGAATAAGCGTTGAGGTTTGGCTTAAAAATTTAGGTCTTTTGCAACAACACTAACTTCCCTTCCTGTGACACTGATTGTGCGCTGGGGGTCGAATGATGAGGGCAAGCTTTGAAGAGCTTGCACACGAGTTGAGTTTGCAAAGAATTCAACGGCCGACTGCTCGTCGCGGAACCAGTACTGCTCCATAGCGCCCACGTTACCCCAGTCTCCATTCTCGAACTGAGTATCTTTGAAGAATTCTCTTGGGTTCGATGGGGTGACATCGCGATTCAAAACATAGCGAATCAATCCCGTTCCTGAACCCAACTCCTTCAATGCGTCACTCCTGCTCTGGAGATCATAATCAGAGACATTTTTCTCGGAAGCCTTGGCCAAGAAGACGACGACCTTGAACGAATCCTGACGATCCTTGAAGAGGACCGGATCGAACATTATATCTTCAAAGGCCTGACTGAGTGATCCGGCGAGCTCAGGATCAGCGAATTCATGCTGTCCGGCACTCGCTCTGTAACCTGGGTGCTTGAAGGAACTTCCCAGTTTTGCCAGGGAAGACCACCCCAGAATGCTCGCAATTTCGAAGCGGGACTGATCAGTGGAGAAGGTCTCCACAGAGGCTTTTGGAACCCCCGCGACTTGTGTATAGGCTCTCAGGAAGGGAACCATGTTAGATACCTGTGCTGTCATGCCGGCATGAGTTTGAAGATACTCCTCAAGGAACTTCTCGTCATTCCATCCTTTGACACGATTGGCGAGTAGAGCCATCTTAATGGTTTTCCCATGGCATAATGAGGATCCTGCCCCAGGAGGAATACCAGGTAGTTGCAAAAAGCTTTCATGCTTTCCGCCAAAGTGAATCACATGAGCTCCTTTATTCACAGTCTTTGTATGACGGGCCACAGGAATCATGGGAGGGTATTTCCCATAATCATGTCCGGAAATGCTCACTTGCAAAGTATCTCCTGGACGGAATCGGCATGAGGAGGGCAGAATCTCTATATCGACGGGGACCACCTGGCCAGGTTCAAGGAGGAGATCCTTCTGATGGCTGTGATAGGGCTGAAATTCCGTTGATTTAGATTCGTCCAGCTCCCGTCTGGAAACTCGAAGATGGCCGAAAGCAATTGGACCATTGTCAATGATAGTAAGCCATGGAAAGTGGACCTCATTGCCTGAAGCATCTTTCTTCTTCAGAACAATGAAAAGATCCATGTTATCAGCTCCGCGTGCTTCAACCCAGAGTCGCAGTTTTGCGTGGCCAGCGAACTCATAGGACTCGGTGAAAGGAACCTCAAAAGTGACTTCACCTGTTTGAGCGTCGTACGAAACGTTCTGCTCTGTAGGCTGGGCGACTTGCGATAGACCACCGGCGGGTGTAGGGTAGAGCTTTACATACTCAGTTTGCGGAAAGGGGAATGTGGTAGCATAGCGCCACTCCGAGTTATAGAAGCTTTCACGCATAGCCCATCTGACAGGAGGCCAAAATTTGACCTCGGTTTCCTTCCCATGCAAGAATGTGTCATAGAAGGCCTTTTGCCGGGTAAGAGATTCTTCGGTGAGAGCAAATTCCCACCTAGACACTAGTTAGCACCGTTTCGTAAAAGAAAATGTGGGCAATAGAACCCGGATAACATGGAATTAGGGGTCACGGCATACTTTTGATAAGGATGAATCTCTAGATACTTTGTTGTTGAACCGATCTGTTTCCACCCATTCAGTGTGCCGCGAGTGTGGATTCCTTGATCTCCCCAGCAAGATACAACGTAAGCCGGACACTTGATTTGATCAAGGCGCGGAATCTTGCTGCGCCAATAATCATCAAAGAAAGGATGCTGGAAATGAGCATTTCCAGAGTCCTCCACAAGACCCCTACCCCAGTTATAAAGGTGTGGGTACCTGGAAAGTGTGCTAGGCATAAGTAAAATATATCTATAAAGGAAAGAGCGGAAAACTCACACAGCCATGAACTGAGTCTCTGGAATACCGCCCTTGCGGGCCATCTCTCGGTATAGATCCGTCATTCCATCAAAAGGTAAGATTGCCTGCTCGGCAAGAAAATGACTCATTAACTCATTCGTTCGCAACGGGAGATCTCACTAGACTTACCGCAAGCGATGGGGGATTTTCTGCTGCGACCTGCCACTGCAGCATGGCAAATGCACTGGCACCGTACATTCCGACCTTACCACTTGCCCATTCCTGAACAGCAAGCCATTCGATGATATCATAACCTAATTTTGAAGAAGGCGTCACGTTAGAACTCAAAGGCCTTAAATTCCTCAAGCTATAGCTCTCTTACCATCAAGAGCAACATCGCGAGAGTAATAGCTCTTGTCGCCTTCTGACTGAAAAGAACCACGTGCATCCACGTAGGCAACAATGTATCCCCTTTGGGTCCACCAAGGTGTATCACAAGCTTCAAATTGGTAGTATGGCGTATAGTGACTGTTGTCTAGTCCGCTACTTTTGGGGAACATACAGGGCTCTAGAGCCATATCTTTGCCGTAGACGCTGTAGTTGAGTAAAACCGGAAGCTTCTGATCGTTATGTGTCTCTGGGCGATAGATGTTTCCCCGCAGCTTGGTCCCATCTCGAGTTGGAATGATAACATCTGTATGAATGATCATGCCATCTCGAACATCCACTCTCTCAGACGGGTGTGAAAGCCCTTGAATTGCTGGATCATTAGCTGTAAGAATGCGGGTGTTAGCGAACGAAGTCTCGATTCCAAGTTCCCGCATAAAACCTGCCCACGCACCTTTTATAAAGCTACCCAAATCTTTGGTTTTTTTCAGCTCCTGCACTGTCTCTTCGATGGATTGGTTTGCAGGATGCATTTTTGCGAAGTTTGGGGCGGATATCACTGGTCGGGTGTATTGACATGCTTTGGCTGGGGCTCTTCGAGCTCTTATGAAGCGGCACTCTCCATGATGACCTACGTTGCGGTCCTCCACCTCGGAGGTTACCCCGCAGTCACCATCCCCACATTTTTGATGCTGGAAACCAATAAATCCAGATCTAGGTAAGATCTATTACACAATCAGTCGCTAGCGCCTGATGTTGCCGGCTACCCCGTCGGCTCCGCACCGTCGGCTCGGCAGCGGCGGCACGCCTAATTCCAACGCGACCTTTGAGCGTGTGGCGATAATGTCCACAACTTTCGGTGTAGCTATACAGAAGCCTGAACCCGAGCCTGCTTCTAAACCTCATTAGCTCAACTAGACGGCCAATGCTAAGCTTAAAGTATATACATATAGCCGGCTCGTTGAAATGAAATTTAGGTGGCATAGTCGCACTACGCACGCTATCCATCGCTACGGCCCGGCACTTTCGATACGTTCAGTTTTTCACATATTGGCTAATATGTCGACAATAACGTCTTAATAGATCAAGGACATAATTATGACAGAAGGTTTGTATACAGATACTACATAGTTTACGGTAAATTTGAACAAGCCCAATACTGACGTAAAGGGAAATAGCCCGTGATTCCAGCATATGGCTCGCGTTCTGACGCTTGAGCTTCGCAAGTGCCGAGAATATACCGAATCAAGGTAACAGACAAGGCTACTAAATTTTTGGCACTCAGTTGAAATAACAATTGTAGCAATATGAAGCGTATATGCCAGAATAAATTAAGCTGGAACATCGAGATTAGTTCCCCGCGCAATCCGAAAGGATGTTATTTCCCCACATTCCCCATGATTTGTTTCTTTTTCCCACATGTCCTTCATGCATCTGGCATGACACTCAACACGAGAGTGGGGTGAAATGACATAAGTCATGCACTAAGGAGTGACTATATTACTTTGGTGTGTACAAGAGATTTCTTGATCCACCCCCTCCCATTGAGATTCCGTCCACGCCAGTGTCTTTGATATGGCTCTGAATCGTGAAACAACCCAAACGATTCGGGTTCCTCGGCGAGGTGGAAAGATTGCCTTGGAAGAGGCAGTCGGCAGCCCCCTCTTTGCTGCATACCAACTCTATCCGCCTCGTCCAGCAATCAAAGGGCTAGATGGCCTGCCATTCAGCCCCCAATTCCTTGCGGATGTTGAGGGTAGATTAGACGATGTCGGTCTCCGTCTCAAGTCAATGGATCAATGTGGCATCCAGTATGCTATTCTTAGCCTGACTTCGCCCGGTATTGAGGGAGTTAGTGATGCTGCGACAGCTATTCATTTCGCCAAAGAGACAAATGATGACATATATCATAAATATGTTGAGCCTCACCCTTCCCGCTTTGGTTTCTTCGCATGTGTGGCAATGCATGACCCAAAGGAAGCTGCCAAGGAGCTTGAGAGAGCCGTAACACAGCTCGGCGCAAAAGGGGTCTTGGTCAATGGTTTTACAAATCTTGATGACCGTGATGAACAGCTGCGGTACCTCGATGCACCAGAATGTGAGCTATTCTGGGCCATGCTACATCACCTCAAGGTGCCTTTATATCTGCACCCCCGTCTGCCTCCGACCCATCAGCAGGTGTTATATAGCCAGTATCCGAACCTGGCCTCGGCATCATACGGCTTTGGAGTGGAGTGCGCTGGTCATGCTCTCAGAATCATGTGCTCGGGGATACTTGACAAATATCCAGTGAACATTATCTTAGGTCACTGTGCCGAGGCTCTCCCGTTTCTTATTCACCGGGCGGGTCAACGAATAAACATCGGAACACCGGGAAGCAATGGCAAGCACACCAAGCCCCTAATGCATTATTTCAGGACCCATTTCATTGCGACACTGGCCGGAGTTCGCCGCCATAGCACGTTGAGAAATACGATTGAGGAACTGGGCGAGTCACGAGTAATGTTTAGTGTGGATTATCCTTACGAGAGCAATGAGGACGCTGTAGACTGGTTCGATGCCCTTGAAATCAACGAGAATTCCAGGGCCGCTATTTCTCACCAAAACGCGGTGCGCCTCTTCGGATTAGATAGCAAGTGTACGGAGCTACGTACATCAAAAATTTTGGGCCACCTATGACAGCCGCTGGTAAAATTTTTGAATCCGAGCTAGTTACCCGCGAGCTAGCTCCCAAATTATTTGAATTCACGCAATTTCTTCTACTTAGAGCTTAGCGTAAAGATGAGATTCGTCACGTATGGTCTTTTCGACATATTGACGGTAACATAAAATACTATTGAAGTTCATTTGGTAGGTGTTGATAGGCTGTAGGATAAAGAGACTAGACGGCTAAGATATAGAGTATTAACAGGTCATTTAGTGGAGGATGTGTCATCAATTTTGAGACAGTCTTGCATATTTCCGCTGAAAGAATCGCATTCTTCGCGCTTTATGTGCTTTCAGATCAAGATTTATTCATGCTCATTAAGGATGAAATGCTAGATTTGCAAGCTTCTTCAAGTAAACCAAGGATGCCATTAGATGTCGCGCATTTTCAAAGTGACATGAAGCCCTGTCTGGTTGTAAAACAACCTAGTCACATGTTCTAATGGCTTCTTTGGATCAACCAGGTCCATTTCATATCGATAGAATATCTGAGGCAGAACTTTGTTTAACTCAAAAAGGGCTAGGTGCCTGCCGATACAGGTATGAGATCCGCCTCCAAACTGTGTCCAATCATGATCAGATTTGTGTTGGGTCGCCGAAAGGTTCTGGCAGGGTTCGGTCTGATGGCTATCATACCTGGAACATGCATCTTTCCATCTTCTTTAGCCGATCAAAATCAGCTTCGAGCCATCTTTCAGGGTTGAATGAGCTAGTATTAGGCCCAAAGACCGATTCGTCGCGGTGTATTACCCATGCACTGACCGCAACCCTGGTGCCGCCAGGCAAATTTATACCGTCTACTGTGGCACCAGCATCTGGGACTGTACGAGTCATGTTAAAAGGAAGCGCAGGTTGCAAGCGCATTGTTTCTTTGAGACACGCCTGGAAATATGGAAGTGTGATTGCTTGATCGTACTGTACCATAGGTGAGAGCGATGCATCAAGCAGCTCTGCAACGAGTTTCTCGTGAACCATGGGGTGTGCGAGTACGTTCCAGCAAAAGCTATGCATAGTCGATGCGGTAGTATCTGAGCCAGCGGCACTATAGAATTGTTAGCTGCTTTTCCAAGTCTACAAAAAAAAACTATCGATCACTTAAAGAGCTGCCATACATGGCCCCCATGGAGATTGCCATTACATCCTGCATTCCAAAATCTTCTGGATTTCTGGAAAGTGCATCCAGAAGAGACTTCAACAGGCAGACGGATGTTTTTGATTTCTCGCTGTCTCCCTCTTGAAATTCCTTTAGGACTGATTTTGCGGTTTCTGGCGCGAGACTCAATTTACTCTTCGGCAGAAATGGGATGTGATTCCAGATTGGGTTCGACCGCGTGAGCCGCTCAATTTTCGGTATTTGGCCGAGAATGGAGCTCTCGTACTGCGCTTGACTGACACCCTCAAGAAATTGATCGATGTCTCTCCCATTCTTGATGAATCCAAATGGTTTGTCAAAGGCGAACTGTGCAAGCACCTAGAATATGGCTTTAGCAAACATGTGGATGAAAAGAATGGTACTTTAAAGGGTTGAAAATGCTCACATCTATGACCAAAAAGTGCAGCCAACTACCGAGATCAAAGCTCGCCGTTTGATTTTTGGCAGCAGTGGAATCCATTACAGAGATCAAATCCATTGTGAGCCTTTCGATCTGCTCGGTCTGCTGCTTTACCGATGCGAGGCTGTAGGGCGGAACCGCAAATCTTTTCTTTTTGGCATGTACTTTTTCTCGGATCTCGGTGAATATATCCTTGATGTTGTCAGGGAGAAACACAGTATAGAAATCTGTCTTCTGGAATCCCCGTCCTGTCCGGAAAATATCCAGCGCGGCGTCAGGGGATGCGAAAGAGAGTTCATTGGGGCCCACTCGCACCACGGGGCCTGTGATTGCCGTGAGCTTATGAGTGTCATACGGCGCACTGAATCAAATACCATATTTACGATGCACTTTGAGGTAATACTCCTCGGCATGCCCACTCCAAGCGATATATACTGTGATGTGATTCTTACTTAGCATTCAAAGAATGTAGAAAAGCTCATGCTGCCGTACCTAGCCAGAGCCTTGTGCATGAAGCGAGGAAAGGGCCTGGGAATTTGCGGATTGGCCTGGCGTAACGATTATACAGCATGCGAAAGAGGAGTCCAGTGGTCGCAAGCGAAAGCATAATAAGACTGGTAGATTGCCATCCTAGGGCAGTATTCAAGATGATCGGTCGTAGCAACATTTTGCTGCGATACGACTTAGCTATGGCGAAACAGCGCAAATTTTGATGTGTCCTGTATAAACTTGTAGTATGACCACAATGGACACGAATCTGCGCCCTCACACCGATTATTTGTAGAATGTGCTGTGCATGAAGTCACCAGACGCTCTTCCTGCACTCTACGTCCCACCTGTGTCATCTTCGCAAAGTTAGGCCTTGGCCCCTCCTCCGCACTTTCCTTGGTATATTCTCCACATTCCCCGCATTAACTTTCTTCTTATTTCTGTATTGAGATCTGCATAATTCTAAGGTGCCTGTCAATAATGCGCCCTTGCCCCATGTTTTCGAGCCAGATTTACCTGCAATCGCCCTGTATTGTTGCGCTTGTAACTATCTGCAGATCTATTTGGAGTAGTTATTACAACTGACACCGAGTTCTTTCATCAATTGCCCACTATTTTCATATTTTACATAAAATTATGGATTGCCCCTGGACTCGAGCATTGTGACCGCCGAATATCAGCATCAGCGTACCCATACAGAGCAAACAGAGGGAACGCTCACACCAGCCTGTTTTTAATACTAATCCATTCGGCCTTCATCGTGGCGCTATTTAATACTCTATCAATAACCCATATCTATAATGCTACGTTGAATAAATATGCGTAAGAAAGAACGTGAATGATATTGGTGGGGATAATTGAATAAAAGAGGTGGGGACGAATTGTATAGAAGCCTCAAGGTCATCCACAAATATAAGCGATCCTCTTCCACGGCGAACCGATCACTATAAAAAGGAATTGAGGTCATGAGTATCACCGCAGTGTTCCGTGTGAACAGTACCGTACCGCAAGCAGAAAACCTGGTATTACATAACATGACGGCGAGGAAAACATCGGTTCTAGCATTCCTGAATACTTGAACCGAATTCCGTGACGTAGAATGCTGTACGTAATCACTGGAGACTCTGCGGCAGTCCCGGCGGGGCCGAAGTGAATTCCGATGATACCCCATTCTTTGACCAGCGGAAGAACAGAGTCGGCCTCTTTTGAACGCGAGACCGGACTGCTGCTTACGAATCTCCGTTTGGGCATGAGGTACTGTACTTCTTGGTTCTTCTGTAACTTGGTAATTTATTTGTTTAAACCCCTGTCCCGGAACGCTCGCTTCTTCATCACATCTAAAATACCCTACTTCTTTCAAGCATTTGCCATCACGATGCAAGCGGCCACCCGTGCGATTTTCACCGACCACAACGGCGAGCCATACATTGGCACAGTCGACGAAAGCTACGAGCCTCTTCCAACTGAGGTTCTTGTCAAGGTCGAATTCTCCGGAATTAACCCTGCTGACCTCGGCCACGCGAGGGTAGGATTCAACAATACCGTCGCGGGGTACGACTTCTCGGGGATCGTCATCAAAGCAGGCACCGCCAAAGAGGGGCAGTTCCAACCCGGTGACCGCGTTCTTGGATTTGCTGCGCCTGCCTTGGATAAGCCAAACCAGTATGGTGTGCACCAGGAACTCCATTGCGCCAGACATTTTGTCTACCACGTTCCCCCTTCGATGCCCATGGAAGATGCCGCTTGCCTCATGGTTGTGACCCATACCGCTGCTGATGCTCTCTTCAATCAACTCCAGCTTTCTTTTGAAGATGAGTCTCAGCCTCTATTGGTTTGGGGTGGCTCAAGTGCTGTTGGGAGTGCTATCATCCAACTCGCCAAAAAGGCAGGATGTTACCCAATCCTCACCACTGCATCCCCTAAGAATCATGCGAAACTCTTAGAAATTGGTGCAACGGAATGTTTTGATTATAATGATCCCAAGGTTGTGCAAAAAATTCTATCTGCTCTCACAAGATACACTACCAAGCCGTTGAAGCGAGTGGTGGATTCGGTTGTCTCACGCGGACAGCCTTCATCGACCAGTCTTTGCGAGGCTTGTGTCAATGATTCAACCGATGCTTTATTCACTTCTCCAATTCCTGCTGCGAGTGATGCGAAGAATCATTGGAGCCGTACCTTTGCCTGCAGGAATGTTGACGTCGACTTCAAACTTCCGAACGGAATCGTGCTCAAGCACACTCCTAATCAGCCTATGCAAGACAAAATCGACCAAGCTACCAGCTGGGCTATTTCAAACTATGGACAGGGTTACCGTATGCCAAATGTTGTGGTGGTGAAAGGCGGGGAAGAGGGAATACGTGCCATGCTTGATGTTTCCGCAGGAAAGGTCAGCATGCAGAAGTTTGTGATTGAGCATCCTATCTGAAAACCTTCAGATCACTAGGCTGATGAAAATCCGAATTTTTCTTTTTTTTTTGGGACCTCTGACCATCCTTCCACAAATTTAAGGTTCCGTGCTGGTTTAATGTAGAAAGCGAGATTTTACCCTTACTCTTCGGAATGTATCTTCTCTGATTTACTTCATCCACATCATCTCCATCATTAGCGGCGGACATTGGCGTCATCCAATATTTCATTCCTCTGTGGTTAATACGAGTGTTTTTATTAGACAAACTTCTGCCCTTCAACACTCCAAGTCATCAGTTTTGTTTCACTAAATTCCTGCAGTCCCCAAAGGGCATTGTTTCGACCCCACCCGCTTCCTTTAACCCCGCCAATTGGGAATGTCGCTGTAAGCAGTAGATTAGTACGCCGTAGATAACCGACATGAAAAAGCGATATTTCATCTTACGTTCATCATGGGGTGTCATATTGTTGATATGAACTTGACCAAAATCGAGCTCTTGAGTCATTCGCCAAGCTCGATCGAAATTCTGGGTATGAATAGCAGCATTCAGTCCGTAGGAGCTATCATTAGCGATCTCGATGGCATGATCATCGTCTCGGGCAACGAAAACAGATGCGGAAGGCCCAAAAGCTTCTTCATAATAGATATCCATGTCTTTTGTCACTCCTTGAAGAAGTGTCGGGCGAAGCTTTGATGACGACAGCTTCTCAGGACCACCGCAAAGGAAAGACGCTCCTTTCTTCTCCGCATCAAGAAGCTTTTGCAGAGAAGCCTCCACAATCCTGGGACTAACTCCATCGGTAACGGGGAATGATTCAGTTTCGGCGATGAGTAGTTTGAAGAACTCGGGTGCCACCTTCTCAGCGACTACAATCCTCTCTGTCGAAAAGCAAAGCTGACCATGATGAAGAAAAGCTACGGTATAGATGAATCAGTGCCTGCATCAGAGCTCTCAAGACCTATGTCAATTGACAAAAGATTTACATACCTCCCATTATACAGCGTTTCGCAGCAGCCGGCAAATCAGCATCTTCGAGCACAATAGCGGGCCCTTTTCCCCCCAGTTCCATGAATATGGGCTTCAAATACTTCGAGCAGAGCTGTCCGATAGCACGACCGACCGAGGCACTTCCCACGAACTCGACCTTTCGGATAGCCTTGTGGGCAATCACTGCCTCGGTAACTTCACTGGCCATTTCTCGATTTGCTTGAATGACATTGATGATGCCTTTAGGGAGCCCGGCATCTTCAAATATCTGAACGAGAAGGTGGTGCAGCTGAGAACAATTCTCCGATACTTTGAAAACAACTGTACAGCCGGCGGCGACAGCAGTGGCAATATTTCTCGCGCCAAGGATAATAGGAGAATTCCATCTATATACTTGGTTATTTGTCTTTTCCTTTCTATGAAGAAAGGAAATCATTGAAACTTGTTAACAAGGCAGGAAAACTTACGGTGCAATAACCAGGACAGGACCAATGGGCACGGTAAACGCGAGAGATAGAACCGATGAGGAACTTGTTTGGGGAATAGATCCTTTCAACGAGGTAATGCACGCGGCAGTTTCCTCAATCAAGCCAACGGCAAGTTCAATATTCTTGCGGCACCATAACTCCGGTGCACTGGTCTCCTCCTGTTGAACAGCGACAAGTTGGTCCGCATTTGCACGCAAAGCCTTCGCGTAATTTTGCAGAAGCTCGCGACGCTCTACTGCTGGAACTTTCTTCCAAGTCTTGAAGGCTTCTTGAGCAGCATCGGCCGCGAGTGCTGCCGTACTCGCATTAGCGGACTCGCATAAAGAGACATCTTTCTGTTGTGCGTTGGAGTACACTGGAAATTGGATGGATGGGGTCGATGCCATCTCCTTGCCGCCAATACGCAGCGGGATTACTGGGAGTTTATCCTGCATATTGAGATGTTTCTTGAATGGAACGGTCGTTGGTTTGAAAAGTTAAAATTTGAACAACTTATGATTGCAGGTGGACTGAAAAGGCCGTCGGCGTGTTTAACATATGAATTAGCAATGGATGGACTAAAGACACCTCATACCTCCCTGCTCCAACCGAGTGTCACTCAACATAGCAGACCTATTAGGTAACGTGGGGCACGTGGGGAAGAGTCAACCCGGAGGACCTCGGGTAGTGGTGAATCTCCTCATTTGGCATAGCAGCAACATACGATCACTCCCGGTCCCCGCGGTGCCAGAGGCGAGCTCCTGCTTCAGGGTGATCCGGAGGGGAACTCTACCAAAGCAGTAAATTTAACTTCCAATAGAGTGCAGAATATTAAGGCAAGGGAACACGCTAGTTGCATTGTCCCTCTTTGTTAGCGAAGATGGCTTCTGAGAATTCCAACTGATGATCTTTCGAAAACTTGCGCAACAAACGTCTTTTGATTTGCACTATCTACAATCCTCTAAACATATCTCGCCATGACATCGTGGAAATTTCAAGCGATACACCGTAACGATGCGGACTACGAAAAGGCGAGGCGTGCGTCCGTGTGGAATGGACGTGTGCCTGACCGATATCCGGCGGTGATCGTCTACCCAGAAACCGAGAAAGATGTTCAAGCAATCGTTTTGTACGCGAAAGAAAAGGGTATGTCGATCGGAACTAAGTCTGGTGGTCATTCCTGGACGGCCTCTTTTCTGCGCGACGGTGGTATTATGGTCGATATGATCCGCATGAACAAGTTTAGTTTCGATGTGAAGTCCCTGACGGCGGAAGCCCAACCGGCTGCTTATGGCTCTGACCTCAACGCCGCTTTGGGGGAGCATGATCTCATGTTCCCTGGAGGCCACTGTCCGACTGTGGGGCTGGGGGGTTTCCTTCTCCAAGGCGGTTTTGGATGGAACTCTCGAAAATGGGGACTTGCATGTGAGAACGTATTGGCAGTCGACGTGGTGGACGCCGACGGTAATTTGATACATGCTAGTGCCACGGAAAACCCAGACTTCTACTGGGCTGCTCGAGGCGCTGGGTGTGGATATTTCGGTCTTGTGACCCGTTTCTACTTGAAGTTGTACCCTCTGCCAAAGGGTATTATGACTGCGCGTTATGTCTTCGAACGGGATGACTTCGATGAAGTGACACTTGCGGTGGAACAGATTTCAGACAAAATTTCCGCGGATCTAGAGATTGGAATCTTCATAGCTCATGACCAAGATGGTTTCAATGGGCGATGCACGGTTGCTCTAACACTTGACGCGCTCTCTGACACCGAAGAAGAAGCTCATCAAGCCCTTGAGCTAGTGCATCAACTTCCCGTCGTACAGAATAAGTCAATTAAATCTTATCCTTACATCTCCTGTACGCTCAAGGAAATGCTTCAGCGATTTGACGATATTCTCGACAACAAAGGACGCCGCTATGAGACCAACAACATGTGGACAGATGCCCCGGTGAAAAACTTGTTGGGGTCTATGAACGAAATCATCGATCATCTTCCACCAGCTCCATCTCATTTGTATCTTCTTTGGTGGCTCCCTGTCCGTGATCGACCTGATATGGCTTTTTCAATGGAGGCCCAATTATACGTGGCCCTCTACGCGATTTCGACCGATCCTAAATCCGATGCGCCCAACTCCAAATATGTTGTGAACTCTTTAACCAACATGGAACCTTTCCGCAAGGGCATCCAACTGGCAGATGAGAACTTGCCGGCTCATCCGGGAAAGTTCATGCGGACACAGAACTATGCACGACTGGAAAAGCTGCGACAGAAATATGATCCGGAGGGTCGCTTCTATAGCTATATGCGTATCCCAGCGGAATTTATGACAACACTTGCCTCACTTTGAGCCTCCGGCTTCTATCAGGGTGCGCAGTATCATGGATTTTTTGCTTCAATATACCTTTTGAATTCTCGACTTCCTATTGCAGCTGATCGTTCTCATTCGACTCAAATGTCACTATCGGAATCGACGAGTGTTGGTCTGTCACGTCCGACTGGGAATCATAACTGGACTTCTTATCGCTGTGGGGATAAAAAGAAGGGACGGTGGATCGTGGGAGTTGGGACCTCATGTGAAGTCAGAGATGGAATCAAACCATGTCTCTTCTCAATTAATGTCCACAGAATAATAGACATGGTGTCGAGCTGAAGAGTGGTGAAATATCATTGCGGCCCCTAGTGGTAGATTTTCACCGTACCGCCTCAACTTCTCTCAGTATTTGATTAGTATTGTTTGTTAGCCTCAGAGATCTCGGATGTGCGGCGGCGTAACGCATTACGTAAACTTTTCTCATGAGAGCCTAACTAAGTTGTCACATCTACATAATCGATGTTCGATTCAATTTCAAATCCCTAGTACTAGTCAGGACGACATTTTTGCCGACCTAACATACTACCCTCACATATCGCAGAACCGGGAATAACCGTGCCACATAAAGTCTAAAATCAGTGCTTCGCGGGGAACAGAACATCCAAAGTGGGGAAACTAGGTTGCGTGGGACCGCACCGCAACTCATCGTTCCTAGCCTCGCGCCTCTGTCTATAATATTTGCGCTGGATCCAAAATCATAATTCATGAGTACAGTGAAAATTCGCGAGGCTAAACACTAAAATGGATAAAGGCAATTTGGCTCTTGTCTCGCATGGCCCACTCAGTTCTGGGCAATGGAAATTGGAATCCGTCACCCCCCGCGCCATCAAAGATGACGAACTTTTGATTCGGATGGTTGCTACGGGCATTTGCCGTGCAGATATTCACTTCGGAGATTTTCCCGTCCAGGAGGCCGCCACAAATCCTGCGGCATTCTATCCTCGTGTGATGGGTCACGAAGGTTAGATGCATTCAGTTTGCTGTACCGTTCTTACTGTTCTGAAAAGTTTACTAACACTCTGGTATCTCCTCGCATTAGGTGCGGGATACGTGGAACGGGTTGGAAGCTCGGTGAAAGGTTTCAAACCCAATGACCCAGTTCTTCTCTCGGTGCTGTCCTGTGGGAAGTGCTACAACTGCGACGCAAAACACCCAGCGTATTGCATTAAATCATTTGAATGTAACTTCCTTGGCGATCAGAATGTCTATGCCGGCCATGGTAATTCAAGCTTTGACATCGCTGGTGCTTTCTTTGGGCAGTCTAGCTTTTCGGCCAGGGCCGTTGTGAAAGAGCGAAGCGTCGTCAACATGAATGGACTGGGGGTCACGCCTCATGATCTGCAAATCCTCGCACCTCTCGGATGTGGCGTTCAGACTGGGGCAGGAGCATTTACCAATATTGCTAAAGTGCAACCGGATCATGATGTTGCAGTGCTTGGTGTAGGGGGTGTGGGTATGAGTGCAATTATGGTAAGATCAACTTGGTGTTTCATGCCCATTTATGCGCTGGCTTCATATGCATTCAAAATTATTGATTCTAATTGGAATTCTTCTATCAAGGCAGCTGCAATGATTGGATGTGAAGTCATCATTGCCATTGATAATGTTCCATCTCGCTTAGAGGTAGCAAAATCCCTGGGCGCAACCCACACAATTGACACCTCGGACTCAAGTATTGATCTTGTATCCGAGGTCTTAAAAATCACTGATGGCCGAGGAGTACACACATCCCTTGATACAACCGGCATCCAGCGATTGGCGAGGCAGTCCTGGGAATTTGTGCGCTTTCATGGTAAAGTTCTACAGGTTGGGCTGGCGAAGCCAGACGACCGGTGGAATGTGTCCATGGCCGACCATATGAATACGGGGCGCCAGATTATTGGCTGCATCCAGGGCGACTCGATTCCACAGATTTTTTTGCGTGATATCGTGCGCTGGTACCTTAATGGAAAATTCCCAGTTGAGAAGTTGGTCCGCTCCTATCCAATCGGACAATGGCAACAAGCACTGGAGGATATGCAGAACGGAACTACTATAAAGCCTATTCTACTCTGGCCAGATCAAGTCTCGCCTAAAATATAGGTGTTGGAGTTTAGAAAACACTATCTCATATACGATATCCTCCATGTGCCAACAATAAATGATTCAATACGTCTAACAGTTGGCCCTGTGTAGAGTTCTTCACTCAACTATCTGGCTGGTCACTTGTCTTTTGAGCAGACTGCTCACGCTAATCGCATTTTTTGCGTTTTTTGGCTTGTCCCATTTCTCTACGTATAAGTTAGGCTTCCAGCGATTGAGCATGACAAATGATTTCGTAATTCATCAGGCACCGACCCATCTCACTCTACTAGGTCTCGCCAAAGTCCTGGATCAAGGTGAATATCTTCGATGCACTTATCTGCTCGTTCCCTGGATTAAGATGAAAACACGACGTTGGGACTTAAGTGATTCCTCAAAGTGCCGGCGACGATCTATATATGGTAGAACTTGAATCTTCGGTAGTTGAAGCTTTTAGATCGGAACTGGGATGGTGCCGAAATCTGGAGTAAATCCGGAGTATATACTAGGTCAGCAAACTTGGTAATCCTATGATCTAATCACTTTTCGTTCTGCTATGAGATTGAAGTAACCTGTACAGTAGTCGCGTGACTGAGGGTAATTCTCAATTAGGTTCTCACTTCGTCGTCACGTACTCACTCTTCTCATTGTGGGTCGTGCGGTGGAAGAGCGGCGATCAAGTATGTCTCCACAAGGCTGTACCGAATGATTGACTAGCCTAGCACTTGGTCGTGAAATCGGCGTTCCTAGTAATATATATTCTCCTGCAAACAGCATGTTTATATCCCTGCAACCTCATCAACAAGAATCCTCTATGCAACTTATACACCACCAAAAAAACCGTGCAAATTCTTCAAGTATAGGTAGGCTGTGCCGTAACCCGCAGAAACCCGCACCCGAACCCGCCCCATCCTCCCTATGGGTCGGGTTTTGGGTCGGTCTGTCTAACCCGCATGCGGGTTGCGGGTTCCGTTGGGAAACCCGCGCAGGTTTATGGGTTACCCATTGGGTAATACCCAATGGGTCGTCAAACAGGACAAACATAGAAATAGCTCTCTCTGCATAAATTATGTAGTAATTTTGAGTATTTTTGAGTATTCCTAGTACAGCCTAGTACAGCTTTGTAGTTTTCGCAATATAATCTTAATTCATGAAATCTTGATTTATGAATCACTCAAGTAGATAGAATATAAAGTGAATATATTAAATAAACAGTTAATCATATAGGAAATCACTATCTTCACGTCTAACACGCTTACGCACTCTCCCTGATGTGCGTTTTGAGTATCTACCCCTTCTATCATAGGTAAATCAGGCGAATCATGCTCACTGTGGTCTTCAGGTGACTTAGACCTTTGAGTCTCCTCTTGCCCTTGTGTATCCTCTTCCTCATCATCACTGATTGGATCAATATCAAATTGATCAGTTGAATCATCTCTTTCTTCATTTACTGCTTCAATCTCATCATGAGAGAAGAACTCCTTTAAGAACTTGAACTGCTCTTCTTGCATATCAAACCTTGAAGTGCAGAGGAACATCATTAATTCTTGGATAGTTGTGGCATTTAGTCTCCCTCTGCGGTAGTGGCAAATATCACGAGCAGTATTGAACAGTCGTTCAACACCAGCACCAGATGCTGGAACTGAAAGGACATCCCGAGCGAGATTTGCAAGTGCTGGAAATCGGTACTGATTCTCTCTCCAAAACGTAAGAGGGATAACTTCAATAATATCTAAAGAGATTAATAATATTTAAGTATAAGACAGATAAAACTTACCACTATCAAGATATTGCGTAACTTCATCACGTGGTATTGCCTGTTGCCTTTTCCCTTTAAGCATCATATCTAGACGTGATCCTACCCTAGTAGATGACTGGGAGGGAATAGAATCATTTTGACTAGTAAGACGGCTTTGGTAGGGGATAAAGTAATCCTTAAAGCTTTGTCGATATCTTTGGCGCCATTCATCAGACCAGTCGTCAGTCATGAAAAACTGGAGCTTATTCTCTGGCGCTAAGATAGTGCCAATTGCATAAAGGTCACCTCGGATATTATCTGTTTCAGAGTAATAGACTCGAAGCTTCTGTAGGCCAGCCTGAAGCGCTTCAAGCATCTTCTTTTTCCAAGTAGCCTTCTTTCTTTGGAGTTGGGAAATCGATAGCTCGAGATGTTCAAACAGTTTGTTATAAATCTTGAAGATATGATGGGCTGTAACGTCTTTTGTCTTCGAAAGTTCATTAGTGAACTCAAAGAATGGCTGTGTGATCCAAAGGAGATATTCAATCTGCCGCCACTCCTCATCATCCAACATCAAGTCTGTCCGATCGTATTCCTCACAAAAAGGGTTGAAGATAGATTGGAGGCGCTTTGCACGGCGAAGCATGAGGAATGTAGAGTTCCAACGTGTTTTGACATCTTGAATAGGCGTAAGTTTGACAGATTCAGGTTGAAATTTATAGAATGCTTCCCGGCGTTGAGGACTAGCGTTAATATAGATAGCAAGACTGCGAATCTGGAGAATTTTGTAAGTAATAGTAATATTTCATAGATTTGATATCACTTACCTTATTTAACGTTCTCACAATTTCTCGTCTATGGTGCTTTGCATTCATGCGAGCTGACTGGGACCGCTGCTCAGTCCACCGTGCTTCGGTTGTCTCATTCATAGGGTCCGCCTTCATAGAACCAAGAAGCTCATTTAGACTGAGTTGAATAACATGCGCGATACAGGGGACCCGAATCAGGGTAATATCATCTGACATAGATTGCTGAAGGGTGTCGACTAAGGTCTTATTGTTTGATGCATTATCAGTGACAACTGCAAGAACTCGATCCTCAATTTTATGTCGCTGAAGGATCTCCAGGAGTACTACACTCAGATTTGCACCAGAGTGTGTTCCATAAAGTGGTTCGAATCCAAGAAGGATCTCACGATACTGCCAGTCCTCATCAATAAAATAGCCACTGATAGCCATGAACGCCTGTGAGAATGGAGATGTCCAGCAATCAAGCGCAATTGATATCTTAGACCCAGCAGGTAGCCTTCGGAGTAAATCTTCTTGTCTCTCTTTCACTGTAGTGTGTAGCCGGTTTCTAATACGTTTTTGTGACGGGATCTCAGGGCATGTTGGGGCAGTTTGGGCCATTCTGATAAGGCTATGAAATTCAGGGTGCTCGACTAGTCGGAATGGAAGCCGTGCGACCGTAAGGAAAGTAAGAAGCTTCTGTTCCCATGCATCTTGTGTAAACTTGTGATTGGTTAATGATTTCTGCTCTATAGCGTTGAAAGTTAAGCGTTGAGCGTGAATATTAATTAAAGATATGTTTTTGTGCACAAAAACACGTCTCTTAATGATCGAAGAGAAAGTTGGAAAAATAGAAGAATAGATGAATATTTATACTTACAGCTGTTTGTATAAACTGGGTAATACCAGATGCTTGCGTCTTATTCTTAGTATAATTGCGACAATTAATACCCTTTAAATGCTTGTTCATTGTCGAAGTTCCATGGCGCATACTCGTTCCAGCGCATGGAGATTGAGGGTGCTCAAGGATTTGCCCGCAACGTCTGCACATTACCTTTGGTGCACCATCAGCGGCATTTGCTACCTGATCGAACTGGGTCCAAACTTCAGAAAAGTGGTTTGAGTCCCATCGTACCCTACTTTGTTTCCCAAAGTCGGTCTGAAGCCACCATTCTACCCAATCACTATGTGTCATGCTTTCATAGAGAATGTAGCCCTTTCGACGATCTGGGCCAACGCGTTTTAGAGAGGAAGGGATCGTGAGAGGGGCGGATGGTCGAATAAACTCTTGATCAAAGGAATTGGTTGTCTGCTGGCTGACTGAGAGTTCGGGTGTATATAAAAGATGTGAGTCCTCTGGTGGAAAATAAGGAAGATTATCTATATCACCATCGTAGATAGATGATGAGAAGCCATCAGCATCAGAGTATTGGAGTTGAGACATATAGAAAGTAAAGAGGGGTAGTAGATGGTTTAGAAGAATATGAGAGCAGTAGGCACTTACGTGGAATTTTCAATGCTGTAAAAAAGGGAATTTAATAATAAAGAGGGGGGTTGACCATGCTGTATAGTGAAAAACTGAGTATGTTGATCTATCACAACTTGACTTATAAAGCATGGTTCCTATTGGATAGAATTTATGGGTTATCAGGTAACCCGCAAGAAACCCGCAAGAAACCCGCAAGTAACCCGCAATAACCCGCAGAAACCCATAAGAAACCCGCAGAAACCCACAAGAAACCCATAAGAAACCCATAAAAACCCATAAAAACCCATTGAATTTATGGGTTACTGAAGGCCTTAGGGGTTAATGATTTCTATAGAAATCGTTGATCTCCTGATTTTTCAGGCTATGAAAGTATTACTAATTGCTGTAGAAATGGCTGATAAAGTCTGCCACTGAACGACAGAGTCTAAGATAGAGAGAGTATATAAAAGTACTGCTGATTTCTATAGAAATCAGTCATAGATTTGATATTAAAAAAGTTGAAATTAAGCTGATTTAGGTAGGGGAGAGAAGGTCCACAAATCTCCTAGAAGATACACTTGAAGAGCTCTACATGAAATATATATATTTCCACCCCAAATAACCATTTCCTACTCAAACTCTTTTAAATAACCACAACCTACCTTAAATACATTAAATCCTAAAGGCAATCTTATTACCAGACTTAAAGTTTTGATATACAACCTAAATCCTTTTAAATTCATGATACTAATGATTGAATAACGAGAAATTCAAAAGCGTGACAGAAACATGTGTAAATAACAGTAATTAATTTCATGAATAATCAAATTTATCCATCCTATTTAGGTATAGCGTTAGAAATTTATGCAAAGATGGGCTAGCGTGGGTAACCCGCACCCGAACCCGCAACCCGCATGGGGCGGGTTGCGGGTTGACCTGACCAACCCATGGGTTTTGCGGGTTCGGGTTGCGGGTTGACTTTACCTACCCATTTGCGGGTTATGGCACAGACTAGCTGTTCGGACCAATGGTTTTTCATGGACTTTAAATCGCGGCAAATATATACTGTACAACGTGAACATAATAAACCATCTTCAAATATGGTTAATCCGGGAATCGGGCTATCAACCTGGGTGGGCCAATGGCTGATATCGGGCTGGTCCTCAATATGGTCCCACTGCTGGACACATTGCTCGATATACCGTGCGGTTGTACGGGGTACCCGATGATTGGTGCCGGTTAAATGGGTGGTAATATTATCCCGTCGTACGGCATGCTCACACTGGTGGCAAATCACCACGTTGAACTCAGAATTGGTGAAAAAAAACTCGCTGGCCTGGGGACTGTGGGGGGTGGTTTCGGACATACTGGAAATGGAAATATCACACTTGGGGCGATTATGCAAATCCGTATGCGCAACTTCAACACCGTACGGGCAAAATTCGTTAATTGGCCTTGAAGAACGAACTGAATATAAAGCTGAATCAAATCAATCGACCCCCTGAATTTTCAGCTTTCTAACCCATGTGATCCCCTATACCCTATTGGGTATCTAGTGGCGGTGGTCGTACGGTGATGTATCACCCTAGCCCGCGGTCGGCACCTCTATTGGGTTTTTGTGCACAAAACCCTAACTCTCTTATATCTTAGAATCTGTTGGGTTTTTGTGCACAAAAACCAATCTCTTTCGCATCTTAATATTCTAATGGGTTTTTGTGCACAAAACCCCATCTCTCAAAATCCATATCCCTGAATTTTCAGCTTTCTAACCCATATAATCCTTGTACGGTGATGTATCGCCCTAACCCGCGGTCGGCACCCCATCAAAAAAACTCCCTGATTTCCAACCCCTGTTTTAACCATGTCCACTGCTTCGAATGATCTGAATTTCGGTTTGACCATGAAATAGAGGCTGGCGAAAAACATATCAAAATCTGAGCCCCGTCCGAGTCCAGAATGTAAATCCATCCTTATCTTGAAATAATATTCCATCGTACCCCGACCCACTTTTTTTCCCCCATACTAAAGAAGTCCACCCTAATTCCATCGTAGTAGAATGGAATTACCCCCATGGGTTAGACTACAATTACCCCCATGGGTTAGCACCACTCCGCAACATGCTTCAAATATAAACCCAGGGGTGCCGGTAAAAATGTCTGCCGGTTCGGTATGCCCCGCGACTTGATTTCCAAGGCCAAGGTAGATGACCTGGGCATGATCCACCTACCTCGGAATCATGCCTGGGTTACGCCGTGGAACCCTGCCATTGCAAGCTGTATCCGTTCAAATCACGATATATCGTGGATCCCAACGGTCTCCAAATGCTTGTCGCTGCTCTACTATATCACCAACTACGCCACGAAGGACGACGTCTCTCCGCTGCAGCTAGTATTAAAAGCGGCTCTGCTCAAGAAATCCATTGACTGCGCAAAAACTACAGAGTCGCCAACAGCAACAGACTTGCGCCTGCGTGAAAAGGGCATGGACAGCTTTGCACTCCGTTGCTTCAACGCCCTTTCGCATGACCGTGAGGTCAGTGGCGTCCAAGTCGCCAGCACTTTACTCCAGCTCCCCTCTTATTACACGGGTAATTATAATTTCACGCGAATCAATCTGTGGTGGTTAAAGAGGCATGTGCGCGCCGTCATTCAACCTAACGAAACCGATGCTTCCTCGGATCCGATGGCAGAAGAACCATGCACGTTCGATAATGACACGGCTCCTGCTAGCATATTTGATAACTATAAATGGCGCGGTCCACACTTGACTTCCTTGTCACTTTTTGAATACGGCATGCTCGTGCGCACGAAGAGCCTAGGGGACTCCTTCGCGACCGATTTTGACTTCGATACCGTTCACCCAAGATATGGCACACACCTACAGCGCGTTGCTCGCACGCCGTCTCAGGTAGCAACCGTCACCTTCGTGGGACAGCTGACTGAGTTCCAAGAACGGCCGAAGATACGGTTCCCGGCGGGAACCCAACAACAACTGCAATTGCAAATGACGTCGCCGAGATCTTGCTCGGTCTGTTTGTTCCCTGGCAGCAATTAGCAGCACACTTCGAACACCATGCTGCTGCGGCCGCTGTAAAACGAGATGTCTGCGCTCAAGTCTGGGCGACCGCAGAGCCGATGCTCATGCCGCATAATCGAAATTTTGCGAGAAACGTTGAGCTGTTACGGAAGTCCAAGGAGGACTGTCGGGCTGATGCCGAGTTACGGAAGAGGTCGGGTTGTGCCTCCCGCCATTTCGGTCGCGATATTGATGACCTGGAACTAACAGAACTGGACACGGACAATGGGGAACCCTTCCAAGGTGTAGACGAGACCTTTAATGCAGACACTTTAATTGCTGCGTTCCACACGATCTGCAGATCATGGAGCCGTGAAACCCTCGCCACAGCAGGACACATCTCTGTACTACGGCATGGATTCGCATCCACTCAGAACTTGCGCTTACAAAACCTTCAACCTCTCAACATCTGCAATGCTGACGCATGGAAAGCCCCAGGCCTCAGATTTCTCCCGCCATCCACCCTCCAGGATTGGTAATCGCACCTGAAAACCCCCTCCATTTCCGTCTATCGAGAACCACCCGCTCTTGATGCAATTGAGGACGGCTTTGAGCTGGATGATTTTAACTTGTATGTTGGAGATAGCATCCTGCACCCCGTACTGGCGGACTCGGATACAATCCCCACCCTGTTGGACCGCCGTTCCCATGTCGGCAACAGGCCTACTGGTGCCTCCCTTACCACCCTTGTCGCCGAACATATTCCTCTCAACACAAAGCAGTGAATGGTTGCGGAAAGAATCTTATCAGAAGCGCTGGCGTGGGCGGACCATCCGTACGATCCGTCGAAGCGGCAGCAGTCCCGGCTATACGTTGGCGGCGAGGGCGGCGTTGGCAAGAGCCAGATCATCAAAGCCATCATGGCCGGCATGGACTTGATTTGCCGTAAGCAAGAAGTTATCCTAATGGCCCCAACGGGTGACGCTGCTGATAATATCGGCGGGAACACGTGCCACACGTCACTTGGTATCTCCATAGATCGGTCGCGACGTACAGCAATGGGTGCCCGTGTCCGAAAACTATGGGCTCGAAAGACCATTATGATCGTGGACGAGATAAGTATGGTGGATCTCGGAATGCTCAGCGTAATAGATAGTCATTGTAAAATCGCTCGATCTCTGGAACGGGGTTCCACCGACTTCTTTGGCGGTCTGCCAGTAGTGATCCTGATGGGCGACTTCTTTCAGTTTCCGCCTGTCCGTGGCCCACCGTTGTGGAAACCACCAAGAAATGGGAAAGACGAGGAGCAGAATGGCAAGCTGATCTGGCTTCAATTCAACCAGGTAATCCTCCTGGATGAACAAATGAGGCAGGCAGAAGACCCACCCTTCCGACACCTTCTCAGCCGTGCACGAACTGCCACCTTGTCCGTAGATGATCTGAATTTGCTCAATTCTAAAGCAATCACGTCACTCGTTGCTCCTGACTTGGGGGATACAACGATAGTAGTCAAACTAAATACACTTCGACAGCAGGTAAACCGCATTCGCATGGAGCATTTTGCAAGGTCTCGAGGACAGAAGATCTTCGCCTTCGTCGGGCTCCATACACGCACCAAGTCAACTGGGCCGACGAATTTGCGACTGCACGCCGATGACCTGCTGGGCCTTCCAGAACAAGGCACCAAGATTCCATTTCAGGCCTGCTCCTGTACTCACCGGCCATGCCTGTGGCACTACTAACCAACGTTTGCACTCACCTGGGACTGGTCAACGGAGCGACAGGCGCCGCCGTAGGAGTCGTCATCGACCCGACTGGCAAGTCCTTCTCAACTTACTAGTCCTGGCTGCGGGTGACAACACTATACTAATAGCCAGCAACACAGCTGAGTTCTATGAGATTGATGATCTTTACATCTTGTGCACGAGACCCCCGGCGTGTGTTCTATTCAGACCGCATAAGCCGAAGGCTGCCACATTCACACATCTCGAACCCACTGTCATGCCTGTGTTTCCTTTAGAGAGATCCATCACGGTAAAAGGTTACTCAGTTCCACGGAAACAGGTGCCACTCTGCCCCCCTTTCTGTTTGACCGACTACAAAGTGCAGGGCTCGACACTCACAACTGCAATTCTCGATCTGAAAGTCAACCCTAAAGAGCGACGCCACGATCATCATAAGAAATTCTGCTCCACGTATGTGCAGCTGTCACGGCTGCGATCGCTGAGAGGGCTTCACCTCCTACGAAAAATTGAAATGGGAGATTTGGGCTTTCAGCCCGATCCTCAATTGTCAGACGAGATGCGCCGACTGCAGGACCTTGAAAAGGACACTATGGAGAATTGGAGTGCAAACATGACGAATGTGACAGTCTGATCTGGTCACCAATTTTCTCGTTCCGGTCTTCGTTTCAGGGCCGCAGCGTGCGACAGCGCGCGTCATCCAGTTCCACCAAGGGATGGATGTCCGCCGGAATGGGTTTGGCGTACTTGAAGAGACAGTCGGGTCGCTGAAGGTCGCCCGACACACGACATCCCAAACTTGTCTTGCTTAGAGATAGGAGGTCATGAGACGCTTCCATGTTGCGTAGTTGTCGCTTCCTGTCAGAGGCTCGATGGCCGTGATGGCACGGTCGGGCGAGTCGTGGACTAGAGCAGACATGATGGAAGTGTAAGCGGGGTAGATCGAGAGGAAAGATGATCAAGATAATTCTCAGATGAGTAGAAACGGCACCCGAGAGTTGCCAGCGGGCTCATAACCTGTTGTATTTCGGAGGTATTAATTATCTTTTTAATTAGAGGGAAACATTAGGCCATATATATACAACGAGAAGATCAAGTTGATTTCCAATCAACTTGGTTCTTTGTATAGATATCTCGGGATTAATTCCGATGGTTCGGCTTGGTTCCTGATCTGCACCAGCCTCATATCACAACAAAGCCGAACCTTCTTCCTTTCCTACCATACAACGCAGCCTCAATCGTCAATGTCATCACCAACAAGCTCCGTTCTCTACTCCCAGTCGGAGAAAATTCAGATCCCAAATTTGTCCCCTTCTTGCAACCGGCCGCTATCCAGCTTTGTGCGAAGAAAGTCGCCTCACAGACCGGAGACTTGCGAAAGGCATTCGAACTGACCAAGCGTGCCATTGACGCCATCGAACAAGAACCCTGTCAAAGCTGAAGAAACAAGCCGCCGATGCTCAAGACGCCTCCATTCTCACAGAGAACAAGAACCTATCGTCATCTTTGAAGCCTAGTCCTGCGCCTCGTCCTCCGGTTATCACGAATTACAACCCTGTCACAGCACCTCGCGCCAGCATTGCCCACGTCGCCCGCATCACCACATCCGCATTTGGCCAAGGCATGATCCAAAAACTAAAAAGTCTCAATCTACAACAGAAGGCAGCTATCTGCTCGCTGATCGCGCTAGAGCGTAAACCCCGAGAATGCGATATTCCCAGCACGCCGTCGAAATCTCGATCTGGTGCTCCGACTGTGAAACAAGCATTCGATACTTATTGCACACTTTGTCGAAACGAAAATATCCTTCACCCTCTCACTTCTACTGAGTTCAAGGATGTTCTCGGGAACCTAGAGACTATGGGTCTTGTCGGTGACTATCAGGGTCGTGGACGTGGTGGGACACTGGGTGGTGGCGCTCGGATGTTTGTCAGACACCCTCTAAATCTGGGAGTGTCATGTCGACTCCGCATAAGGGTATGGATGAACAGGGTCTTCTTTGCTTTGTTTCTCAGTCTGAGATTGAGGGTCAGATTGCGGGACCTGGTGAGGGTATTCTGAGACGGCTTCTTCGAGGTGAGGGTCTTTGATTGAGCTTGCTTTCTGCTTTCTGGTATTTCTTGCTACTTGGCATATCTGCTATGATATAATTGACTTTTTTTTCCTGTTGTTCGTTTCCTTTGTGTTTTACTTTGTTCTTTCTGTTCTTTCTTTTGTTTTTGCTTTTTTTAATGCTTGGCGCTCTGGTGTTTTTTAAACTGGCATATGGCATCTTTGGTGTTTGGATTGCATTTTGTTTTTGTTTTTTGTTTTTTTAATATTATTATTATCTTCAGCGCCATTGTTATGTTATGATAACGGTCTTATTATTCGCACTCTCTTGATGTTTGATCAATACATCGATATTCAATATTCAATACTACTACGAGTAAACAAAGAGTCCTCTCCCAGTCCATAGGTCTTAGAGCAGGGAGCAGTAGAATAAGCCATGAATTGTGACTGAAAAATCAAATTTCTTTCATCAACAGGTAGATTCAAGGACCAAATCTCATCATTTTTCATCCGTGGTCAGTTTCTCGTAGAACCGCTCCAATATAAGTCGACTCAAATCACCCACAGTAGTTGCGCCAGCAAGGCTTGCTAAAGTTAGGTCAAGGTCCAGACTCCGACGCAGATGGCCGACAGTTTCAATTAGTAGAATGGAATCGATGGACACTGTGGCAAACTGAGCTCGCTCTGCATCCGTCCCTGCCTTCTCATTCATATGAAGCCCCATGTACTCAACAACTAAATTCCACCCTTCTGGCTCCTTCAAAAGAGTCGGGGTCTGCTGAGCCTTTTGAAGAAAGCCCTTGAGCTTATCAGCAATTCGTTCCTGCTGTACATCGTTCTTTGTTTCTCCGATATTTGCGTAGAGACGATATCTCGCATCTCTCCACGGGATGCGTGCTGCAGGATCTGTTTGCGTACGACTCGTACTCATTCCTGTGATGATTTGACCAGTTGCAGCGACGCCATGCAAACCATAAGAGGTCTGAGATACACGGATGGCTGCTTCCACTGATTGAATGACCTGCTCCTCGTTTAGAAGATTTAGTTCCCATAAGTCGGCTGCTGTCATCCATTCTGGCTCTCGTGCAAAGCAGCCAATGTCTCTAACCCCGCCTAGGTTGAGGGTTGCGCCAGGAAGCCCCAGAGATCGACGGTATTTTATTAGTGCGTCGAGGTAGGAGTTTGCAGACGCATAGCTCGCTTGTCCGATGCTGCCGCATATAGATGTGATTGAGCTCAAAACAACGAAAAAGTCAAGCGCTGCCAGACTAAATGCCTGATGTAAATTCCAAGACCCTTTCACCTTCGGATCCTGAACATCAGACCAATCTTGATAGTTAGACTCGGAGAGAGCTGACGGCTGTCATAGTAAAGAATTGTAAGCTGGGTGTACCGAAAATTGTCTTAAGATATGCTGCTTACCTTTTGCACCATGCCTAGATTAATTACTCCAGAAATAGGTTTGGGGCTGGCAGCAATTGCTCTTTCCACATCTCCGGGATTTGACACGCTCCCATTAACTATCACTGGTTGACAGCCCTGTGCCTGAAGCTCTTCAATAAATGCGTTGTTACTTTGTGATCTTCCGGATCGTGAGAGGTAAATGAGATGTCTGGCACCATTTTCAACCATCCAATTCGACACAGCCCGACCAATTCCTCCGAGACCTCCCACCAGCAGGTACGCAGCTTCGCACTTGAAGGAGGTTAGAGGAGCAACATTAATCTTCTTACTCAAACTGAGTGTGGTCTTATCATCGGTCATTCTGATTAAAATCTTCCCAATGTGTGTTCCACGTTGCATATATGCGAGGGCTTCCGGAATCTCTGCTGAGGTGAAGAATTTGATTGGCTGGATTGGTTTGATTTTTCCCCTCTGATAAAGCCGGGTAAACAGCTCAGTCAATCTGGATTCATAGTCTTGTTAGCTATGCATATCATCAGTGTTGAAGCTTAGCAGCTGTACCTTCGGCTTCGGCTCGGGCTCTCCAACCCAATTTGTAGCAGATCCACACCAATGAATGATCGGTTCGCTCCAAAAGTCTCCATATCCAACATTCCGTGGCCCATGAAGTCGCGTTTTCCAAGCTCAATCATTTTTCCAAATTTAGCAACGCAGCTCCAAGAAGCATGTAGCAAACTCTCGGATAAAGAGTTGAGCACGATGTCAACGCCCTGTCCGCCTGTTGCAGATCTGATTCCATCAACAAATGAAGCATTACGAGACTGGTAAATGTTTTCTCGGGGAATATTAAATGTTTGCTGGAGATATTGAACCTTCTGTTCCGTGCCAACTGTGGCATAGATCTGTATGGCAGTTAGAGGCAAAATCAATTGACACCCAGGTATACAGGACTGATTTCAATGTTGGCGACAATAAAAGAGTATACATACTTTGGCCTTCATGGTCTGTGCAATGCGAATCGCTGCCTGGCCAACTGCACCGCATGCCGAGTGAATTAGAACAGACTTGTGAGAGTCAGTATATTTTCTTTCTTCGTATTAATTGCACTCAATCTTACCTGTCCACGCTCCAGTTGCCCTACTGTAAGGAGTGAGTATATGGCAGTTCGATACGCTACCGGGATCGTAGCCGCATCCTCCAGAGACATTTCATCTGATAGAGGGAAGCAGACATCACTGGGCACAACAACTCGAGTAGCCAAAAGTCCTGTGCCGAGAATGCTGACTCGTTGGCCTGGTCTTAGATGTGTAATACCAGATCCAATGCGGTGAATGATTCCACTTCCTTCCAGACCCAAGCCATGCTCTCGATCAATAATACCCATCGCCACCATGATGTCCTGTCTTGTCAGCAGCATTCATAAATGTGAAATGATCTACATACCCTAAAATTGACGGCGACGTAACTCATATCCACTTCCACATCTTTCTCGCCCAGTGAAAGATCGGGCTGCTCTTTCCATGTCTGCAGGCTCCCAATGCCCGGCGCACCAGCCTCCAGGGCTATATGACAGTCCTCTGGGGCAGGCGGATAAATTTTCTCGAGCGGCACCCAGTGAAAACGGCCGATATAGACAACTTTGTCGAGCAAGGCAAATTCACATTCTGGTGCCCAACTGTGGGCTAGCGACTGTCGACAGAATTTCTCGTATACTTTGACTAGAGCTCTTGCAGCATCTTGATCAAAATTATCAATTTCAATGGTGCCAAACTCTGACATGGTTTCTTGTCGAATAGTTCTTGCGAACCCATTTATTAGACCAAACGACGGATTGTCACATTTCATCTGCGAAGCTTTGGTAGCCCAGATTATTCGCCTTCCTTGCAAGCAAAGCTTTATTAGTGCATCGTGTTTCTCCTTCGAGAAATTGCCCAAGATCGGTGTCGGTATGTCCAGCACAGAGATGATGTCTCCTTCACCGGATGGAAGCTCTTGAAGTGTGGCATCAACGACATTGTATCCTCGTTCAATCAAGTGGTGTCTCACACTCTCACTCCATGGATGACTCTGTACTGGACCAAGAAGGAAAACATCATGCCTTTCGAGTTCAGGGTGAGGAGCCTTGGAGATTATCCCTTGTTCAAGTGTCCAAGGGTAAATGGTTAGATTGAAAGAGTCGAACTCTGGTGGGAGGAACCCCGCCTCATCAAGTTCAGATGTCCAGAACTCTGAAGAGAAAGAGTTCTGCAACTGAAGCTCGCTGCTAATAGATATTTGAGCCGGGATCATGCCCATCAAAAACTCTATGAATGGAACGGGCGGGATCAGCTCGCGAATGAAAAGACGACCACCGGGTGCAAGTAAAGTCTTCATCTCGGCTAAGAAAGGAGTCACTTCATAGACCGATGGGAGGTCATTTGGAAGGATAACCAAATCATAGCTCTTAGAGGCAAAGTCGTGTGCTCCTATGGCGACTTTGGGGTTCAGAGCAACAGAGGAAAATCCTTCTATTTGCCCGAATCTGTCCAAAGCCTCTGTTCTAATATCAGTGGAGTCTGAAGCCACGGTATATTTTGAGAATAATCGGACTCCATCAACAGATTGTAAAACGGCCAGTGCACCCGAAGTGGTGCCTGAAGTACTGGGGTTTACCTCGAGGACCGCTAGCGATGGATTGGAATGTCCCAGCAAAGAAAGCATCTGTCCATGATTCACATTGGTAGCTGCAAACTCGAACAGGGATCTTAAGCCCCTATTGTCCATCAAAAGATCCGAAATTGGAACTTGGCTGTCGATCGCGTCCAATATCTTTGTGACATAATCACGAACAGGCAGAACCCAGGGCTCAGTGGATTCGACTACTGCAGATACATCTTTGATCAGCATGGACTGGAGAGATATTGGGTCCTGGTTCCAATCGAAGGCACCTGGGAAGTACGACTCTAGGATATTATGAAGCCGACCAAGGTTGAAGGTTGTCCAGTCTTGATATTCTGCGGCAGAAGAAAAGGTCGACGGCCTAAAGCCCATCTGATCAAAGAGCTCAATGACAGCAATGACCAAGAGCTTTGTGAGCAATGCCATGGAAGGGTCCTCTGGTATAGACTTCAACAGATATTCTTTGGCTGGCAAGAAATCGATGTCGGGCTTCCACTCAAGTCTTGATGCCAATGGGATCTCCGTAGACATCCTAGATTGGTGTAATGGGAAAAACTTGACTCCTTTGAGATTGAACGAAAGATTTTCATCCAAACTTCCAGACACACATCCCCCCAGTGAAGTTTTCAATGTGCCGTTTTTACAGGCTGGGAATTCAGCCCGAAGGGCAATCCCGGTTTCGGATCCTGTCATTTCCTGCGCATCAGAGACATATATATAATCAATTGACATGGGAACACCGAGTCTAGACATGCGCCGCGAAAGTCCATTGCATGCAGCAATAACAAGAAGCTGCAGACCTTGATCAATGATCATAGGGTCGATGCCATCTCGATCAGTCTGTTCTTTCAATTCGCTTTGAGCAACAGTAGCAGAAGCGTAGTAGCTGATAGGATCAGCAGTGATCGCTGTGAGCTTGCGGAAACTAGGACCGAATTCTAGACCCGCGTTTCGCGTTGTTTCGTACCACATATCGGTATCGACTTGACGTGCAAAGGCTTGAGAACTGGAATTGAAGACACTTTGATGATCTTCGTTCTCTCCTCTGACTTGCCCAGTACAATGTGTTGACCATTGCTTGCCATCATACGCAGAAATAGTGATGTCATACCAGCTTGATCTGGTGCTGTCTGTCAATCTTGCAGGGCGTAAATTTGTGATAATCTCCGTGGTGGAATTTTCATACAACACCATGGGGGTGCTCATAAAGAGCCGCTTGATTGAGAAGCATTTTGATCCAGTTATTTGACGAATTGCTTCGCCTATCATTGAAATATACCCGACGCAAGGGTACACGATATCGGAGTTGACTTTGTGGTCCAGAAGCCAAGGAACGGACTTGAGCTGCAACCTGTTTCTCCACAAGGGCTCAAGATCTGATGACTCTGGAGAACGATGTCCTAAAAGCTCATGGTGTGCAAACTTGGATGTTCTCCAGTTGCGAGCAATGCGGGACTCATACCAAAGTTGCTTCTCATGCTGCCATGGGTAGGGGGGAAGATCGGTCAGAACTTTGCCATTGCCATTTATAGCTGCCATATCCAGCGTGAAACCGTGCAGGTATAGCTCGCCTGCCGTCCGCAGAACACAATCCATCGAGTTCTGGTCTTTCAGCAGGGTGGGAACATACACCATCTTTGACTGAGCCTTGGAAGCTTCGTGAATCTGCTTTATAGGGCTAAGCAGAACGGACTGTGGGCCGACTTCAACGAATAACCTGGTCTTGTCACTATTTTCAATGAGGTTGTTGATAGATTCGTTAAATTTGACCGGTGAATCCATTGTGCGACGCCAGTACGCAGCATCGAGATCTGCGGGTGAAGATATTTGTTGCCCAGAAATGCAGGAGAACATTGGGATCATGGAAGCGTTCGAGCTGACGCGAGGCTCAACAAGTTGCAAATATTCGGTTGCGGCTTCCGTAATAAGCTCTGGAGGATGGACACATATTAGTATGTTGAGTAGATATATCATAGTATGAGTGGTAAATCTCACCTGAGTGATACGCAACGTTAAGTGACAAAGACTTGCAGACAACGTCTGGATGATCAGAGGTTATTCGGTCGAGGATCCGACCCAACACATCTCGTAAACCAGAGAGAGTCACACTTCGAGGGCTATTTTCGCAAGCCACGACAACGCCTTTTTGGAGATATGGATCGACATCAAATTTGCCTAGGCTGACAGAGGCCATCATTCCTGGGCCCGTCTGCATCTTCGTCGCTTTACCACGATAATAGCTGAGTATGATAGCCACGTCCATTGAAATTGCGCCTGCTGCATATGCGGCGGCAATTTCTCCGCTAGAATGGCCGGCCACTGATTCTGGTTGAATTCCCCAGTTCCTGAGCAGGTTGACCAACCCAATCTGAAGTGCTGTACATAATGGCTGGGCAAACTCAGCATCATCTAGATAAGGACAATCCGGGTGAGACAGGACATCTGTGAACATTCGAGTCGGTAAGAGAGATACAACAATGAAACCGGGAAAAGCTGATTCCATACCTTCAATGCTCCAGTGGGGAGCGTCTTTCAGTGACTGCAAGACGCTGTCCATCTTCCTCATGTCACTCCGAAAGGTTTCACTGCGCGTGATCAAATCTTTGCCCATTCCTGACCACTGGGCTCCTTGACCCGAGAATAATAAAGTCAAAGCTTCAATATTGGATGCTTGAGATAAATCCAGATTGCCTCCGGACGTCACAGATGTACCATCAGTGATCATGAAGCTCCGATTGCGCAAAAATGCCCTTCGTTGCCCAAGTGTATGAGCCAGGTCCTGCATTGATTCTGGATGGCTCTCTAGATATTGAAGAATTTGTGTTCTACGATGACTCAAGGATTCCTCTGATTTGGCCGAGATCACAAAGAGCTGATGCCGCCCACGCCGGCGAGTGTAGTCCACTTCGGGTTTGGTTTCTGTGAATGTTCTTGCCGAATCAATGATTGCCTGACAAGATTAGTTCAGGCTAGAATGAAGAGTGCTGGTTATCCTACATGAGCATTGGAGCCACCCACTCCGAAGCAATTGATGCTGACTCGTTCTGATTTGTCGACGGGCCAGGCAGTTGGCTCGATAGGAACTCTTAACTTCGAAGTTTCAAAAAGAACTTTGCACGATCAGTTCCGTGTCAGTGTCGTAAGGCCAGGAGCTTCGGACTTACTCTTGGGGTTAGGATTGCGGAAATGAACATTGGGCGGGATAATTCGGTGCTCAAGGGAAAGCACAGCCTTGATCAGACTTGTAAGGCCTGAAGCGCCCTCTGAATGACCAAGATTCGGCTTGACCTGGAATGAGTTAGCAAAACTCACGGAGAAGAAGGATAGGCGCTGACCGATCCTATAATGATGCCATCTGTGAAGACACTTGCGACAACTGAAGTTTCGATCACATCTCCCTTCTGGGTCCCTGTTCCGTGGCATTCAAAAAATCCGGTCTTGGAGAGATCATCTATACCAGCCTTTGCGTAGGCAGATCTGATGACTTGTTCCTGTCCTTCTGCGCGAGGTTCTCCGGTCCTGGCTACCTTACCATCCGAGTTGATCGCAGTGGCTCGGATCACAGCTCGAACTGGATCGCTTCTTTGTAATGCGTCATCCAGGTTCTTGATAAAGACGGCGTTGATGGCTTCACCCCTCCCATAGCCATCTGCATCCGCATCGAATGTCTTGCATATCCCGCTTGGTGATAGGGCCTTGTAGTCGGACATTGTTGTAGAGGTAGTGGGTGTCAAAATCAAATTTGTACCGGCAACAACCGCAGAATCGCACTCGCCTGCTTTGATGGCTTCACAGGCCATGTGTAATGCGGTCATTGAAGATGAGCAAGCGGTTCTGATCGTAAGACTGTAATCAATCTGTCAATTAATCCATTTGACTAACGCTTCTCATTCGTAAAGAACTAACCTAGGGCCCATCAAGTCAAATACCTGCGAGACTTGGTTTGCCAGGACAAAGTCATGAGTGGAGCCCACAAGATTGCGATCAAAGTCCTGCTGGTCTCGGAGTGCAAGCTCCTGCCAATCATTCCCAAAAACTCCAACAAAACATCCAATTCTTTTGCCGGCAGTGCTCGCCTCCCCGGCGTTCTCGAAGCACTCCCATACCACCTCGGTTAGAAGCCTTTGTTGAGGATCCAGTGAAGCAGCAAGTTGGGGTCGTACATCAAAGAACCCCGTATCAAATCTCGCGATATTATCATGTAGGAAATAACCACCTTCGGCCCGCACCGCATGGGGTTTTGACTGGCTCTGGTATGCGCTTATGTTGTATCGTGAGCTTGGTACCTTGCCATGTCCGTCTTTCCCGTCAATCAACAAGCTCCAAAAGTCTTCTGCAGTTCGAATACCCCCGGGAAGTCGCATGGCCATTCCTGTAATAGCAATCAAAGCCTCACTCGGGCTCCTGGCGATTCCAATGCCATCAGACAGCGCGGTCGTGGCATCGCCGTTACACACTCCTTCCTGGCAAAGCTGACGTGGCTTATAGTATTCGATATTGTCGGTTGGGGGGGTTTGCAGATTTGGCGAGATGATCACTGGGGATTGCGACCCTATGCTAGAACTTGAATCGTTCATGACGGAGAAAGCAGAGTATTTGGTCATCGGATGAGGATTATCGGGAGAGGACTCTCAATGCACAATAAAGGGAGGAATTATGAGAACATTTGAACTACTAAAAGCTAAGCTCTGCCCCACTGGCAGGTGTCCAATATTGCGGTCATGGGCCAAGCCTATATTATTCAAGGCTCCTTCAAATGTTAGACAATGTATCAATCAGTAAAAAGGGTAAGGGCCTTACACAGTACGATGATCAGCTCGATGAGTACGTACTCCGTACATGTACACAGTAAGATGAATCTGGATGGCTAGCAAGGGGTAGCGCTTTGGGCTCTTTCTGCGAGTCTTGAGAGGAGAAGAGTTTTGGCTCAGATTGTACAAACTTCGAACTTAAGGAACTATTGGATGCACATAGGTGGATAAAGCCCCTTGCATCCACATGCCGCTAAGTGGACAAATTCGTTTTCTTGGTATGTTGTACAACTCAGAGAATATGATGTATACACTTGAATGCTTGAGGGTCTCTGACATCCTCGAAATGAGCTGTACTACATACTGTACTGTAGCCTTATCGGACCATTCATACAGTGCCCACCAGATAATTGTTCAAGTGAACCTTTCGATCGTCTATTATACTTGGCAACGACATTAAAAATGACAGAACTAGGCAGTAAGTAGGTGATCGGAAGGATTGACTTCTAATCTCACCTCGATTTTACATGAAGTTATACGGCCGATTACTGATTTTTTTATTTGAATGTGTAAATTTGGTGGGCATTAGGCATTATTCTTCATTGATCGAAGTCTATGTGATCATTCTATCTCTATCGTCCTACCTACCCCCTTGCTTGCATTCATCGCTGCTGTACCTGCAGCGCGTAATGTCTCATAGGATTATTATTAAATTACATGTTCTCCCATAGGTCGCATCATATTTATACCAGCCTTTCGAAAACCTCGCAAACTTTGACTCTACTATTCTACGGTATATCATCCCTGCCATCGAGATTCACACGTCGAGGCTTCGGCACCTCCACTCTCATCACTCCCGCGTCTGACTATAAAACATGCGTGTTACCCCGGTCATCGCCTTCACGAGTTTATGCCTTACTCAAGGCGTCAGTGCAACAATTCTAACCGACTGTGTCAACGCTATCAACATCATCAGCCCTCGGGTCTTCATTGAGAACGTCCAACGACAATCTTGCGAAGCCGGTTGCCGACCGCATCCAGATCACTGGGATATGTTTGGCAAAGATACCATGCGTGAGTTGGTAGAGGACGGTGCATCACACCTGGGCATTAAGGAAGGCAAGGATGCATTTATCAACTTTCTGGATAGCATTTTTCAGGAAATGCGCTCCAAATGTGGGTCCAAATTGGCCAACGCACATGGCTGTAAAGACTCTCCGGAGTTGGATGAAGCGATGCGTTGTGTCGACGACTACAGCCAGCTCGCCAAGATCCGCGCGGCGCCTCGTCTTCTTCCTTATGTTACTGCAGAACGCTGCAGGAAAGTTGGCGAGTATTTTCAGAGCTCGGAGCTGTGGGAGAAGAGCTTCCCGGCTTGCGGAAAGAACTACGTTTATCACTGCCATGAGCTCTGAGTTGTCAACTGTCTTCTCTCCCTGTTCAAATACATGTTCAGAAACGTGCCTGCTTGGGTTTAGCCCTTCTCCTTCTATACATTGTTTCATTCGGCAAGAAAGAGTCCGATATTTTATTGTATTGCTGTACACGTACCACACTTTGGCAGCTAAATTGACGTTGAGCAAGAAAGAAACCGACTTTTCAGAAGTAAAAAATATATAATAGTTTGTGGTATTGAATAGAAAGGATGATATATAACCAATATTCTCAGATTACCATATCATACGCCCGAGAGACATTCGCCCAGTTCTCACCCCATTCTCACCCCATTCTCACCCAGTCTATTTCGCACTCACCTACAATTGTATCACCCGGGTTACACGACTCTTAAGCGGTGCTTTCCTTGTTCTCATTTATGATATACAGCTTGAGAAGGGTACATATGCCCTAACTCTGCCTGAACCAGTATATACGACCATAGGGTGTGGAGAACAGGGCTTCCCGTCCGCTCAGCCGTACTTAAGCCACACACCGATAGGTGAGTAGTATGGTGGGTGGCCGCATGCCAATCCCTACTGCTGTATGTTTGCGTTCACCCATTTCTTTTTGATTCGCCGGGCAATTGCCCTTGCCGCTTTACTCTCCAGTCCCTTCAGCTTCTGAACACCCTGAACGGATGACGTGGTTCCTCGGCTAAACTTGGCGTACATCGTGCCTATGCAACACAACCCCAATTTTCATGTTCGGCCACAACAACCTGGCTGCTGACGCAGTACACAGCAAATACGTCGTGGCCATAACCACTGTCTAGTCTGGTGTCGGTTATCTTTTCTCGAGGGACGCAGCTGAATTTTTGTGGCGAGGCGTGGAAATGAGCCGGGAAAAATGGCATCGCTTAATCCGTTCCCTGCTATGTAAAGCCTAGATCAGCGGCTACAACAGTAACTTACCGAGCCAGCTTTGAACTGACTCTCCCTAAACTAACCCTACAAACCACGTCATGCCACAGACGGTAGACATTTCAACTGTCGAGGATAGGATGTTGAATACTTAGAGAAGCGCCTTCAAGCCCGTCTACTAACTAAATCCTACTACCTACCAACCTACTTCAACCCCCTACCATGCCACCAATTCGCTCTGAATCTTCACAGAATTCGGGTAATCAAGAAGGCAGGATCTTATTCGCCCTTGATGATCTTCAAAATGGCCTTATCAAATTTATTCGCGCCGCGGCTAGCCTATACGCAGTACCACGTTCAACACTACAAGCGCGCGCCGATGGCCGAATTGCACGCGTCGATATGCGTCCGAATCGCTAGAAATTGACTGAATTAGAAGAGGATTCGCTTGTTGAATGTCGCTTGTTGAATGGATTCTCTCTATGGATTCACGTGGAGTAGCGCCTAGACCGGCTACTGTGTAAGAGATGGCTAATATCCTACTGGCTGCGCGCGGTAGCTACCCTGCACCTACTGTTGGCAAGAATTGGGCATCAACCTTTATAAATAGACGTGAGGAGATTCGCTCACGCTTCTCAAAACGCTATGGCTACCGGCGCGCATTCAACGAAGACCCAACATCATTACGAGAATGGTTTGCGACTGTACAACGGGTTATTGATGAGAATAGTATCCAATCTGAGGATATCTACAACTTTGATGAGACAGGATTCGCAATGGGTCTTATTTCATCGCAGAAGGTGGTTACACGGGCAGAATACTACGGTCGGCGATCGATTCTACAGCCAGGAAATCGTCAGTGGGTTACTACTATTGAAGCAATCTGCGCAGATGGCTATTCGCTACCGCCATGCGTGATCTTTAAGGGGAAGGTTGCTATTGCAGGTTGGTTTGATAACTTACCAAAAGATTGGCGGTTTGAGGTCTCAAAAAATGGCTGGACTACCGATGAGATAGGCCTATGTTGGTTATAAAAGCTATTTATCCCATCAACAAATTCGCGTGTACGAGGCCGGTTTCGACTATCAATTCTTGATGGCCATGGGAGCCATCTCAGACCCCAGTTCGACCGAATTTGTACAGAGAACGATATTATTCCTCTCGGTATGCCTTCGCATTCTTCACATTTGCTACAACCACTTGATGTTGGGTGCTTTGCAGTACTAAAGCGCGCATATAGTCGCTTTATAAGTGACCTTGCGCGTAGAGAATATAACCATATCGATAAATTCGATATCTTTGGGATGACTATCAACGCGCACGGCTAGAGATCTTCCACCAGCCAGCTATTATTCAGAATAGCTTTGCAGCTAGTGGTCTAGTGCCAGTCAATGCAGAAAGAGTGCTTTCGAAGCTTAATATCTCTCTACACACTCCGTCACCACAAAACAGCCGGCCAAACAGCAGATCTAGCCAATTCGCAACAGAAACACCTAAAACGGTTATTCAGCTACTTAAGCAAGCTACAATGCATAAGGATCTGCTAAAGCAACGGTCAATTAGCCCTCCAAGCCCATCAAAAACTATGCTAGATCAGATCATCAAGGGCCACTGCATAGCGCTACATGACACTGCGCTACTAGCGCAAGAAAACACAAATCTACGCATAGCGAATGAGAAGGTGGTCAAGAAGCATAATCGGTCGACTATACAGATACCCTGCGAAGAGGGTCTGACTGTTGAAGAGGGCCTACAGCAAATTACGCAGCTAGATTTGCTAGCAGAAGCACCTATAGTAGGTTCCCATATGCAGGGTGAATTGCCTATTCAGGCAGATCAACCAGCCAAGAGGGCTCCGCCTAGGTGCAGTGGGTGTAGAGAGATTGGCCACAGGATCAATACATGTAAAAATCGCTATGTTTAGTTGAATTAATAGGTGCTGGTTGAGAAAATCGATTTTGAATATTTCTAATGGCGGTAGGTGGCCCGGTCAACCGGGTGGCCCGGTCATGCGGGAATTACGTTAGTGGTATTCTACCACTTCTTCAGGTCGTTATGATGTAATGTTCTTTTCAAACCGTAGAGTGAGGATTTTGGATCTGGCAAGATCGCTATCCCCTGCCTATATTTCACGGCGTACGCAGCTTCACTTACATGTACACTCGTTAATACAAACCACGCTCGTTTTCACCAATTTGAAGGTTGTGCCTGTGCTTCGGTTAATACTAACTAGGGTAGGAGATTGTTGTTCTTTCATACCATGGTTGATCTGCCGGCCTGCGATCTTATCTGTCACCAGCGTTTTCGATAGCTGGTCTTGTTATGCTAGCTGAAGAGAGTCTATGAAGGTATTAGTTATTTTACTACGGCTCTCTTGAACTGGATAAAATACAGTGAATACGGGATATCCCCGCAAATACAACATGAATATATGTAGGATGGAGTCCTATATTCGTGTGTCCCTAGAGCGTACGGTATACATAGCGCATCGGCGCCTGGAATTGGTATTAGAACACCGAACGGGATAGATATAATCTGGAAAGGAAGTATAATATCGGCTCCTCACAGCCATAGGTTTTCCCCTTTTCTCGCGCTAAGTAAGCTAGTATCCAGATATGACCCACTTAAGAATGAGTGGTTTTATCTAGGAGGCGGCGATCAACGCTATGACCTCTCCTAGAAATGTTGTTGCATCTAGCACTAATATGCGAACACGCATCCACACTTATTCGCCCTTGCTGAACCAAGAGAGCCTATTCCTCCAATACACATCAAAGCCATTCACACCGCCTATCGTACTCGATTATAAATACTTATGTATATAAACCCCATCATCTCTCTCTTTTCCAAATTTTCATTTCGACGCTGTCCGACACCTTTTGAAACTCCTGATACAATTACTCTGAAAATGCGCTTCTCTACACTCCAATTATCTGGTGGGCTATAGATATTCTACTTCATATCTATAATTATGCTTATCGCTTTTGTAGTTTTTCTTTTTAATGCCGCAGGTGGCATTGCTGCGCAAGCCGCCCAGGCCGATCCAGCTCTAGTGATTACTAAAGGACGAGCGGTTGATACCAGTAAGTTCAGTTGCATAAAGGGCACAGAAATATATATATCAACAGAAACAGACAACGCACCTCACGCATCAATCCCGAAAATTCTCCCTATGAAACGAGACTCCGAGTCTACCGGTGAGTACTTGTCTTGCTTTTCCTGCTGTATAAGATTTACTGAACTCATAGTTGCCGCAGCCGATTGCTGGCTCTGTCAATATCCTTGCGACAATATCTACTGCTGTGAAGATGGTCATCCTAAATGTTGCCATATAAGTGGCCAATGTGCTTGTTGTGAATAAAAATCGAATCGGTCAATGGCGTTATATGTTTCGTGTCCGAGTATTGAGGCTCTTATTGACTGTAACTCGTCGACGGGGTGTATCCTACCGCTCCTTCGCTTATCTACCCGTCTTGTTGTTCTTCCATTTTCTAATTCTCTATTTAAGCTCAAATTGGATTGGAAGTTCATCTTACAAGGATTCATATTGATGTGTCTGTGAAAGGCTACCCCTGAAGTTGATCAAATTTTACGATGCCATAATTTAAGTACCCGTGCTGCGTATTATGCCGCAATAGCCCTTTCAAGGATTAGGTTAAGCAGTAGTAATAACCACTTTGTTGGTATTGTTTGACCCTACCTTTACGTGGCAATCAAAATTACGATACCTTCCGAACTACTGATATCGATAGTTCAGTATACGCAAGGAAAATATATGTCCAGGGAAGCAGTTATAGAGTTATATGAGGGGCAAGCTGGCTTAAGTATTTAAAATAATAATCTCGCGTCGTAATAATATTATTCATGGATAGAAGGGTATCCGTATACCGCAGTTTCTATTCGTTTTAATCTGAAGTTCCCGTAATTCTGGAAAAATAACGGTCAAAGCCGAGAAGCAGATCAGCATTCGAGATCAAGATCTCTAAGTGGAACAACGCGTCATGATCGGCGTCACGGTCATTCCTAGTATTTCCTGGCAGTCAAGCAAGGGGTTATTGGCCCGTTAGATATATTCTAGTTGATCCGGTAAAGTTCGTCGGGTTCAACGAGGTGAAACCAGCTGCCAGTTGGCACCATGCAAGAGATGTGTCTCATGCACCGCCTCTCTAGCTGTAAACACATCTCACTGTGTCTTATATATAAGCTAAACTTTCTATTCACCGCCTTAATTGCCGATCTGGCAGGCGGCTCGGGCTAATCACTCAGAGCTGAACCAGCGTTTTTGCAGGCCAATGAGTCTGCATACCAATTTATCCATACGATGTTAGGTGACAAATATTCATGATCAGAATGAGCAATTAATATAATCGAGAACAAGTTGAATGAGGCAGTAGATTCTATTTTCAGAGCACATTTTCAAGGAATGACGAGGATGTTTTTGACTGGTAGAATCTGATGTTTATGAAAGTTGACACGACGTATCGCCGGCGTTTCGACTTGTGGTAGCTGTGCCATAAAGGTGGAAGCAACGTTGAAACCCTGGAATGAGACTCCGGAATAGTTTTTCACCGAGATGAGAACTGCAGTTCCAATCGAACTAGTATATAACCAATGGTGAAACGCTTCAACGGGCCACAACTTGAGACCAACTCGGACCGACCCTCAGTCACAGCTGGGCTAGCGACAAGGTTGCCGCAGCACTATGAATATATACCCAGACCCCAGCATAACGCTCTTTTCGAAAATATGCTCTAGCTTGTCCAGCCGTAAGACATGGGTAGATTACCTTCCACCTTGTCCGTCTTTTGTACTGTACTGTACTGAGGCGATTGAACATATCGAGTTTGACCGATGCCTTGTGCCAGGACGAGATGGCAGCCAGTCCCACAGGTCTGCATCGGACCATGACCTGCACCTTGGACTGCACCTTGGACCTTCTTTCAGTGGTACGGAGCCCGATCTCTCATACTTGTGATTGTGCCGATGCCCATAATACTGCCTCTAGCTTGTGTATGCTTGATAGAGAAGTCCGTTCACGGCAGGTAGGTGCGTCAACCCTGGCACTTAACTATACTGACGAGAATGTTCGTTGACAACCAGCCCTGTTTCTAGTGTTCCCACGAAGAGAGTGGACGTCTCGGTAGTATTTCTGAAGGTGAGTTTGCGCCCCTTGGCCTTGCCTTCTAAACTTGATTTAGTAGCTATCATACGAACAGCCACCCATCGTTCTCATAGCTCTCGACACTTTGCTGCCCCTACATCCGGTTAAACGCTCTTTGATCGACCAGATCCGCTTCTGTGCTGAACCTTCGACACATACATCCTGACTCTTTGACGCCTTTAGGCAAATTTATGTAAATAGAAGATTCAACGTAGCCGTGCAGGAATAACGTGACAGTATTGAATTGGCGGAGTTTCCATCGCGCACCACTGCGCTGGTGACAATGTAGCGGGTCAAGTCCATCCTAGGAAGAGCAGCAAATGTTTTGCGATAGTCGATGCCATGTTTCTGCCGGTAGCCTTTGATAAAAAATCGCGGTTTGCGCTTTCTGTTGGTTTCAGTCTTAAAAACCTATGTACAGCCAATCACATAATCTTTGGTAGGTATGTCCTCTTGTTGAACGTCCTCCTATTTTCGGTGTTCGAGAAGTGATGCATATTATTTCTTGACAGCAGCCTAATATTCCAGCTGCGCTGGGCCTGACACGGCCTTTTAGAACGTTGATAGGTTAACCTCTTTCGCCGCTATGGTATTCAATGTGCCTGCCAAGTACACCTTGTCTAGTGACTCCAGGAGACGTTGTGAAGGTCTTCGTCTGTGGCCGAAGATCGAATACCGAAGATCTGATGTCAAATCGGTTCTTTGTTGACTTGGATTTACCACTAGAGGTGTCTCCTCTTCACGCTCAGATGGCATTTTCTCTTGTATGTTCGACGAAGGCAATGGCGATGCAATAAATCAATGATATAGCCGCGGCAGGCCTAATAAGCCTACCTACTACCCTATCTTCGGAATGTTGTCCCATAAGATTCGGTCATTCTACGGCCTTTATTCCCTAACAGTCCTGTCTGGAATCCTCCAGTGTTCCAGCATACCGCCTATATCGCTTTCGCTAAAGAGTTTGTGGCCTATCATCAGGATACAGAAGGCCCGAATCAGCTCTCTATTTTCTACTCGGCCATGGCACAGCTCGTCGACCAGCTAGCTGCCCTAGAAGGAAGAATAAACAGAGGGTGCTGGAGTTAAAGCTATCGATCGACGCTGTTATCTAGTCACAGAGCACCCAGTTCCAGCAGCTACAGCTTCTCACATCAGGCGTCTCACATTCCGTCTAGATGCTCCGCAACTACGCCCTCCTCTACCACAGCCGCTAACTGCGACTGCGACCTCGAGCAACTACGCCTCAGCCCAGGCTGGTATCGAGTCCCCCTCGAGCGTCTCTTCGCTTAAGCTCCCGATAGAGCCCACCTAGATATTTTATGTGCCGTGTATTGAGGACGGTAGAGTCTTATGGCGTGAATGGCCAGCTGGCCTGTAAGGGAGCCCTTCGATTGAGACACTACATCAGAAATGGGGGAAGTGGTGGAGGGCAGGCCGGCAGAGCGAGCTTCAATGGTATTCGCTACGACAGGAGGCTATCAAAGAAATCATGCGGATAGCGCATGCGCAGCTGATTAGCGAGGAGGCCGCTATGTGGCAGGTCGACTTACAGCAGCAGTAGATGCTCGCTAGATCAGCATTGCAAACGGCTCCGAGTAGGGAGAAAGGCTCTTGGCACGTAACAATGGAAGAGAGCTCAGATTCATTGCCTGAGTATTCCTGAAAAGATTAATGGCAAAGGTCCAATTATCCAATCCAACAGCTAGTTAATAACCAGTACAAGAGGCCTGCGGCCCTACGGTAGCGCAAATATGACCCTACGTGGACTAATACAGGATATTCAATCTTGTAAAACCATGCTATTCCATATCAGACTTCATCCACGTTTGTCGCTTTGATGCATTGATCACAGCATTCCACCACTATTATTGGCTTCTATTGGGGTCAACTCTTATATGAGTTCTTCACTTATCTAAGTTAACCTGTATCAAGATGCGTGTCATTGCCGGCAGTTCCTCTAAGTCTGGTCAACTCATTCTGGACCGCTGCGAGTCAACGACTTCAAAATTGAGCACGCAGGTCATGAATATATCTGGATATAGGAGTGAGACACGATGATTGAAAAGGTATGAAGATTGAAAAGGGAGTTGCTGCTGATAGTCGGAGATGATTCACAAGAAACATAATAGTATTCCAGATACGAGTGAGATGGAGGTTGAAAGAGTGGAAGCAATGGAAACCTTTTTAGAAAGTTCCAAGTCTCAGATGATACGAGCCCGAGATTTACAGCAGTAATCGAAATTGGCTTCCACATTTTACAGAGAAACTATCTCAAGCCCCACCGCCAAGACGATGATGAATCGGCTAGGTCGCAGATTAGCTCTGCTTATCAGAAAGGAGATATGCTAAAATCGGTGAATCATTATATTTACCGTACCATCCAATCCTTGAACCAACACAGCTTACAGAGTCAGATATACTCTGTTCAAGCACTTCTATCACCCATGAAATACGACCACTATATTCGCCGTTGTCTTGAAAGACAAAAGGTGCACGACCCGACTCGCAAATTTGTGAAGATTACCAGTGACCCGAGTTCGATACTCCGTGAGTACAAGCTTGGTCCGTCGAAGAGATGGGGATGCAAGGCAGACTTGGGGTTGTCGACTGTGTATAGCGATGATGAGGATACGACTATAGAACCATTAACATCCAAAAATATCTTGAGTTTCAGACACTTCCAAATCCTTAAACTAACAGGGCCGGGTCGTCCTCATCAGGAAGGGGCATACCATAGTCGATAGTCCTCTTTCTCTAGCGATATCACCTAACTCTTCCGCCAAATTCCAGCTCTTGAATTCCTTCAGATCTATCATGTAGCGCATCAGATCAATATCAACGTCATCTATAGCGAGCTTCAGCTCCCGCACAAGTTCCCGTGTCCACGTATCTTTCGACCATTCTGATATATCATTTGACTTGTATACCACATATCGAGAACCAGATCCGCACCCTGCATTGCATGTCTGAGTGACCCATCGATCCTGTACGAACTGATAGACGGCGAACATGGATCTGAGCGAAGGCTAGTAAAGCGCCTGCTCAAAATCTTACTTTGCGACCATAGGACTCTGAAATAGAGCCTCCGAAGTGTTCACGACCAGATCATACAGCATGTTCATTTTTAACCCACCAAGTGCTTGTAGTGGAATCTCCCAGCGATGTAGGTCTGTCCCTTCGGATGGCGACACGTTACGCTCCGCCCATCCCAGCGCCATGATAGGTGGTTGCTGAATAAGCATCCGGCGCCAGCTTGCCTCTGGTCGCCGATATTTTTCGCTGCTCTCTAGAAAATCCTGCATGTCGCAGGCGTCAACGGCGATGGCATATGACTCTCACCGCCGGGAAACCAGCATGGAAATTTGGAGGCTATTAGGGGGTTTTTTTGGCGTGTCGTGTTGGGTGGTGCTAGTTAGGAGAATGGAAGAAGATTTTAGATTGGGGAAGATCCTCAGATGCATCGGGCCCATTGTCGACAGACTAGTTAGGCGAGGAGGACGGTTTGCATGCCTATTTGCCTGAGAATCGCTTCGATGACTCGTTCGATAATGATCAGCGGTCCATGATCTGGTTTTAGCAAGCTGAGATGCGTTCCCCCTTTTGGAAGTACTGTATTCACAGAACAGGGATTGTGGATGGCAAATCAACGGCGCGTGATGGAAGCACTGGATATGCTTCTGGTCGATCTAAAATATTATGCGGCTGTTAACTAGTCGATCAAACTTGGCCCTATCTTCAAACGCTTTCGTTGTCCTACCGCTAAAGGATTTATTACTCAAATATTGATCCCTACCTGGGCGCCTGAGTTTCTATCCCCAGGTCTTATAGAATCTAGAGTCAAAACACAACACCCATTCATTCCAGTCATTATTTGGACGAACGAGAAATGACGACCCCTCTTCAAACGGGCCTAATGAGGGGTACTGTCAGGGTGCAGGCTGGCAGGGTTATAATAGGAGAAGACCGGCGGGATCGGGTCGGGTTCAGAGGGTTTCTAATTGATCCGGCAGCAGGTCGGCGGACGGTCTAGCGTAAGCTATTATACAAGACGTAGCTCGAAGAGCTACAACAGGATCCAGATCGGAAGTGCAGATAAACAAAATATAGATCACGTGCCCGTGATCTCCTCTCTGAACACGTAATCAGGGTCGAACAGCATGTACCAATGGTATGGGTCACGTCTGTGTACTTGTCTGGTATTCTCTAGTCTCCACCACAGCAATTTAACATGTGGTACGCTGACTAATAAAGTTGATTACATGATCCATTGTTCCGACACACCCCTTCAGCTTTGGCAGTCCTGGCAAAGCTGCGCAGTTGCCATAAATGGTCACTTGAATCATTCAAAGCTTCTCAGAAGCAACAAAATAGACACAATTCCTTCAGAACTGCGATCTTTTCAAAACAGCCTCTACTTACTAATTAGGCAAGTATGACTTATTTTTCTTCCTCAATGAGATGACGCACGTCCGTCAATCCCAGCATCCTGACAAAAGCTTCATGCTTCTGCCTCGGCAGCATCTTGGTGAGTCCGTCCGCGAGCATCTGCGCGGTTGGTACCCACTTGATCTGCACCCTGCCTTCCTTGACTTCTTGTCTCAGCCAGTGCCCGTGAATATCAACGTGCCTGAGCTTGGTATCGAAGGGGGTATCCTCTGCGTTGATCAAGTCCACCGTACGGCGGTTGTCACACTCGATTGTGAGACCCTCCGGATATTTGAAACCAATCCTTCCAAATAGACGATCCCACCACTGTAGTGACCTTCCTGCGTCTGATAGGCCTAATAACTCAGCCTCCGTCGTCGACGTGGTCACGGTCTTCTGCTTGGTTGCCCTCCAGTCCACCGGTCCACCGAAGAACTGGCAAATATATCCTGCGGAGCTAGTCCGGTCACCCATATCCCCATACGAAGCATCTGATGAGAACTTCACCACTTCGCTGTCGTTGTCAACTGGACCGTATTGTATAGCCCAGAACCGTGTGGTATAGAGGTAGCAGATTAAGCGCTCAATTGCTTGGTGGTGCTTCGGACCAGGGTTGGTCAGGAACTGTGCGCAGATAGACGCTCGCTTTGCTGCGTCCGCGCGGGTAATCGTGGTACCATATTGAACTGAGCCCACTCGCTGCTGATATTGGTGGATGCTTTCGGCTGTAGCTTGCCCGTCGTATGGCTCTAGGATCTCCGTGGTTCCCGGAGTCCAGACCGGAGCTCGGTGAGCCAGGTTAAACCGCTCAGCAACACTGGCAAAATAGCTGTCCTGCACTAGCCAGAGCTTTCTCTCTTTGCGATTTCGTAGGATTCTGATCCCTAGAAACCACTCAGCGTCCCCTTGGTCAGTCAGCTGCCAATTCTTCTCGAGTTCCCGTTCTAGCTGCTGAGCACGCTCGCGGGCAGTGTGGTGGCCGGCGATTAGGATATCATCGACGTAGAAGAATACGATAATCCCATCCCCAACAAAAACACACGGATCCTCGGCAACCTGTTGTAAACCAAGCTCTCTCAGTACACGCGCTGCGTCTCGCTGCCAAAGTCGTGGAGCAATTCTCAGTCCGTACAGCGCCCGTAGCAGCTTCCAGCACTTGCCCTGAGTCATAAAACCCTCGGGCATCAGAGTGTATACTTCTGTTAGGAGCTTGCTGTTTAGGAAAGCGTTTACCGCATCTCGCTGTCGGATATCTAAGTCGTACGCTGCGCTCAGGGCAAATAGCATACGGGCAGTTCTGGCTGCCAGTGTGGCAGCTCGCTTGTCTGCGTCTGAGATCGTCTGGAGATCCCCACGTACGCAGATCCTGGCTTTGCACTTAATCAAGAACCCATCTTGATCAAATTTATAAGCATATACCCACATGAGGGGCAGTACTTGTATCCCACGATCCTTTGGCCTTTCCACGACTTTGTACGTCTCTTTGGCCTGTAGTCCGTCTAGTTCAACCCTCATAGCTCGGCTAAAACCTTCGCTCAATGGGTGTTTCCAGACGTCTCGGAATCGTTGTGGTGGAGGTGGTAGGTCATCTCGATGCTGCCGTAGCGACGGTTTTGGTGCTAGAAGACCGGTAGCAAACGCTTGTAAAGTGGTTGTTGTGGTATCGTCGCCGTTGTCGTCATCGATAAACATGGTGTTATAGGCGTAGTCTCGGTCTCGTCTCGATATTCGCACCCTCGGTCCCTGGATGATATTGCTGGTATCCACAGCTGCACAATCGCGATCTTGATCCTTAGGCAATGACCCTGCCAAAGTCGTTCTTGGCCGATGTCGTACGATCCTCTTGCTCAACGCTCTCCTGTAGGGATAGCTGTAATTGGTCCTGGAGTTGATCCTCCGGGCTCGGTTCCCGTAGTGATACTGGCGAAACAGGCGTCTGATCTATTTGATTATGGTCCTGAGCGAGACGCTCAGGATCATCCCTCACCCCTTGATCAGTGGTAGTTTCCGCAGAATTGCTTCTAACTGGATAATCCGGTGGTGGGGTATGATCAATTGGGGTTTTGTGCACAAAAACTTGATCTTGTCCCGAGTGTGGTATTGTCGTCTCCTGTGGTTCTCTAGATCCTCCAGATTCTTGATCCTGTATGACGTCTACATCATCCGCATCTCTTGCTCTATAGGACCGTCCCGGAGAGCTCCCTTCTGGGGTACTCTCGGGAATACTCGTACGAGCAGTCTGTTCGTCGAGACCCTGTCGAATACAGTCGACCTCTAGTCCTTCCTCCATGATTGTGGGAGGATAGTCCTCTGGAACTGGTAGCTTCACCCCTTCATCCGGGTCATGGTTCTCTGCCGAAAAACGTCGGTTTTCATCAAAAACTGCGTCTCGGACCATCCTGACCTGACCACGGTGCGGTATCCAGATTTGCCAGATATTCGAGGCCACGTAGCCAACGAGATATCCTATCTCAGCTCGTGACTTCATTTTGTCAAGTTTCGGGATATTGGGGATCCTGCAGTATGCAAGTGATCCATACAATTTGATATTCGCAAGCGACGTCTTTGTGGGAGTATTGACAGGAGTACCCTCGGTACCCTGGTTGAACCCAATAAAGCGCCGTGCTTCATCCCATGGAACTATCCAAGTCCCATCTTCCAATCTCGTAGGCGTACGGTTCAGCAGGTATACTGCCGCTTTTACCGCTTCTGGCCATAGTTTATCGGGTAGTTTTCCTTCCTTTAGAAGCGCTCTCGCTCTAAGGATAATCACACCTCCAGCACGCTCACCCGGACCGTTCATCTCAGGCGTATACGGGACTGTAAACGTGTGAACACACCCCAGCTGCTTAATTAGCAGTAGAATACTCTCATCAACTGATCTCTCTTTATCAGAGTGGAACACCTTAATCGGCTAATTTAGCCAGCGAATAGCGAAAGCGATAAAGCTTCTGATCGCTTCCTGGCACCCGTTTTTGTTCACATGGGTCATTAACCAGTGGAACCGGATACCCTCAACGTAGAAATGGGTTATCCAGCAGTGCTGATTATATCCCATAATGACCTGAATTAGGTCAAAGTAGACCCTCCCGCACCGTCCGTAGTGCTTGCCTATCGGTCTCCGCGAGACCTGTCGTGGAGCGTTGACCAAGCTGCAGACCGTACAAATTTCATCATCCGGTCGCTCTTCCCCATCCTCCGTGCTTCGTACAACCTCAACTCCACTGACCAGTTTCGGTAGTTGCTAAATTGCTGCCTTCGAGACATGGCCAAGTCGTTTATGCCACGTATTAGTATTGGCAGACGATTTCAACGGTTTCTCTGATCGTCGGGTAGCAAGTGCAGTTTTATGCTGGGTGTTGTTTTGGGTCTTGATCGTAGTCGTACGACCCTCTGTTTTCGGCCGAAAAACTGTACGTTCATCCCGCGTCTGTGAGAACAGATAAATATCATGTTCTCGGTAGGTCTCAAGAATAGGTTGATCTCCAATCATAATCCTTCCTTGCTTCATATCCCACCATCCTCCATGGTCCTCTATCCTGCCTAAGGAAACCAAATTGCAGTGAAAATCTGGAGAATAACGGCAGTTATACAAGTTTACCACACGCGGTCTGCCAGTTGTAGGATCCCTTCCGGTGAAGGTTGCTGTACCGACTCCAGCAATTGCGGTCCGATTGTCGCCCGTACGGAGATACGAGGGGTCTTCCTTATACTCGGTAAATTTGGTCCGGTCGTTGCATACGTGTACGCTTGCTCCGGTATCCAATACCCATTGGTCTCGGTACTTGGTATCAACTTCAGTTGATAGGGCGACTGTGGCAAAGCCGACATGGGCTAAGTTTGCAGACTCAGATGTCTTCTCTGTGGATTCATATGA